GCGACATGGAAGAGGGGTGAGAATACGAAGCAAACAAGTCGCAAGCTGAAGCCTCGGCCGTTTGATACTTTATGGCTAACATGATCGATGATAGCGGCAGCCAGGGCAAGGCGCGTCTCAAAAGAAGCCTCAAACGCCCACATGGCTCGATACGCAGCCGCCGATACAAAGGATATTGTTACGCATGGAGCGCTAGGTGGTCAACTTAGATAGGCTTCGCCTATAGTGGACGTTAGTGCCCTCAAGATGGTGGAGTTCAGTGGGTTGCGTTGAGCAATAGGAAGCCGAGACAGACGACGGTGGCTGAAATGCCTAGGAAAGGGTGCGGAGCAAGCAGAATGAGTACCGTACTGTACCGAGCGCACAGCTTTCACTAGCGGGACTGAAGCCCTGGCGATCGGGGCACAAGAGTAACGCTAGCCTGTCTGTGACTTCGCAAGATGTGCTTCATTGTGGAAAGCGCTAGGTATCGCGTGGTTTGCATCGGTCACAACGTGTACTGTACATTAGCTCTGCGTGCCTCATGGGCACACGAGGGACACTAGCAAGTGTGACAAGAGGCTTGGTCTCCATGGCGGATGATACGCTGCGTGTGTGATTCGGTCATCTTCCATGTCGGAGCCGGGTCGCCCGTCCGCCCTAATTCTACCTCTGTGGCGCACCTGGTGCTAGCAGGTCTAGTGGTTGCCAACAATTTAGCCCCAGAATCAGCACGACCGGCCCGCGAAGCGCAGGGGATCGCTGGATCGTGTCGCTTGGTTCGCTGCGCATGGGGCTGGAGGTGTGGGCTTGCGCTCGGCCGGCACGAAGCGCAATGGTTGCATGCAATCTCACGGGCAAGCGCCTCACAAAAAGTGAGTGTTACTGTTGTGGTTGGGGGAGTTGGATTAGACTTGCACACCCAGGCAAAGCTACTGTATAGTAAAGTACTGTACGAGCAAGGGAAACTGCAAGAAAGCAGGGCTTGCCATGCCTATTCCTTTGGCGAGGGGGTTTAGGTGGATGGCGCAATGTACTGTGCTGCAATGCTGTGCTGTGCCGCATCATGCACACGAGGCAGCTGGGGGCGGAAATAGAAAAAGACCCTGGCAGTTGCGGCCTCGCCTGCCGGATCAAACAGAAGAAGAGTCAAGACGGAGAGGCGAATCCCAGCACAAACTTGTGGTGGGTGGTGTGCTTCGACCCGGCCATCAGCGAACAAAGCTTGATGGTGATGTGGTTGCATCACATCGGGGTCTCGATTGCTGTTGGTTGGTTGGTCCTGGTGGGCGGCCAGACACGGCACGGCGTGCATTGCAGCAGGCCCCTTCGTTTTTCCATTTTGCCTTCTTGTGTCCATTTTTGGAGGACGACCCGGATGGCAGTTGAAAATGTATGTATCTATGGATCATGGGCAGCGACGCCCGCAGGTTGGCTTGAGAGATGGCTTGATGTAGGCTGCCGGGACGTGGGCGATGTGCATGGCCGGCAGGTGGTTTGCTTGCTTTTCTGAATGGGCATGTGCGGGATGGAGGGGATCGTCGCTGATCTTTTGACGCTGAGTCGTAATTCCTGCTTCTCCGATGCAGGCGATTGTGGCCCAACCAACCAAGTCCAGCGTGCATGCTTTGGTGGTTGCGTCCGCGCCTCGATAGCGCCAGCCTCGTCTGACGAGCTGAGAAACCGCCCCGTGATAGCAGAGTAACATTGCCCTGCGCTGAAATGGGGCTACAATGTGCTCGCCTTAGGATGGGGCTTCACCGATGGGGCTAGTCCGTCCCCGTCTCCGTCTCCGTTTCCTTTTTTCTTTGCTCAACAGCTTAGCAGTAAAAGTGAGCCAAGCTGAGAGCAGAGCGAGCATAGACGCCCGCCCTGCTCCTCGGCCCAGGCCAGGTGAGACGTCGGTAGTGGGCTAGCATAGCTCAGGTCAGTCAAGGGGAGAGGGGGGCTATGATTATTACACGCCATCGACATAGGAAACGTGGCAGGCGCCTCTGATGAAGAAACGCCCACCACAGACGCTTATTGAGATGAAGGGTGGGGGATGACTCTTTGCCGGCAGCAGTACAGTAATCCTGATTGATTCCTACAGGCCGCGTGTAACCCAACTGCCCTGTTATTTTTATCCTGTTATCAAACCCGTGTTCAGATTGCTCTGCCGAAAAGCAAAAGAGGGTGTGTGGGCATGGGACTAGACGGATTCCGAACGCCACAAATTGGGGACTTGGGATTGCGTGGCGGCGGCAGTAGTGAGCTTCAGGGGGGGCTGTTCAAGAAGGAAAAAGATGGCGTTTGTTCGGTGTGTAACAGGTCCAACAAGAATCGTTGGATTGGCGTTGAGTTCTTTTTTTGGGCAGAAGGGACATGGTTTGCATACGTTTGGGGCGTCGAGCTCGGGAGGGCAGTGAAAGTGGCCCGGGCACAACGGGCCGGAGATGACTACGCCCTTGGGGGATTGATGTGCATGAAGAGGGCCGCGGATCTCGCGGGCTTGCATTTCCCATTTGCTTGGGGGTAAGGCATTCTGTCAGGCTGTGCTGTAACAGGTGAGTGAGTGGTGAGAACAGAGCATGGTAAGTAGCCATGGGATCGGATGACTCTGTCACGTTTGCATTTTTCAAGTTTGGAAGAGAAGGAGTATGAGGATCGCAGGAATTACTACTCTTGGTAAGTGGTGACCAGGCCCAATTGTTCTTTTTTTGCAGACAAGGCAGACTTGTGGCATTTTGTTTGCCCTTTTGTATTATCTTTATATTAAATTTCCTGGGCGGTAGGACGGGGCTGTGGTGGATGCCCAGCGATGTTCCGTTGGCTCGTTGCAGCATTATCACCGTAGGTATTAATTAATCTATGCCATTTACGGTTCATGAGCATTGTGTTGTAAGGGGTCCGGTTATCAACAGTAGCGGTTTCATGAGACCCGTGCAGGGTGCGTCCGATCATCAACGCCGATGCAAGGCAGACGAAAGCATATAGACAGGGTGTGTGTGGTCTATAGTAGAGGATGCTATAGATGGCGGCTAAAGATGGCTTCAAAGGCGCTTGGTGATGCTTTTATTGTCGAGTAATATAAACAGGGTGGTGTTATTTCATGTGATAACGTGCAAGTGACGATCGCTGTGTTGTTGGTGTGTAACATGGAAAGCGAGATGCGGTGTATTGTAGATGGGTATGGGAGACTGTACGTAGATACACAGCTATCTGAGTGGGTTGTGAAGTTGGGACAGCATGTTACTCTTGTGTTGGCATATGTTCCATTTACTACTTGACAAAAGGTTAGGTGATGCATGTCTGAGATGGTAGAAGAGTGGTGAGACTCGCTTCTGTCCAGGCGAAGATCTGGATGGTAGTGAAACCGTATATATCGCTGTATCTCACAACATAGTGTATTTTAAGTACTAAATGTGCCCCAAGATAGAAAGAAATACCATTTTATATTCACTTTGGTGTCAAAATTGTGGATTCTGCATACTTTTGGCATTGTTGATATCTTGTTGAAGCAGCAAGCGTCGAATGCCCAACAAGCTAGAATAGCGACTTGCCACCAATTTGGCCGTTTTAGTCCTCTTAAATAATTTAGCACTATTCATCAGTATATGGGAAACTTTTTACAAGAAAATAAACCTATTTCCTTGATGTGGTGGCTCGCACTGGTGTGAACTGGTAATTGCATACTATAAACGTGGTGATATCAAACTACGACACATTGCATCTATAACACCAAACGAGTCATTCGAGGCAATGATATAAGTTCCTCCTCTTTTTGATGTCAACGCCATATCTCTCGAATACGAATTATCATTTAATAACTACATTCGCCGCCTCCGCCCTTGCTGCTTGCCCCTATCCGCACCACTCAACACAAGCAACACTGCGATATTAGCAGCGACACCTAGACTGATCCCGATCAAGACCCCTTAAATGAACCTTCGCGCTTATCTTGCGTCTAGTTTCGTATTGAAAATAGTAACCCGATACAGCTCTATTTCGAAACTTCAAAAACGACATCTTCGTAGACTCGGCAATCGCGGCTGTCGGCAGCACGTCCCGTCCTACCGGCCATTACTACATTAGGAAACTCCGCTTACATTCAAAGTGAGAAACATCCCATCGCAAACATGTTTCCGGCGACTTATCGGTCGATTTAGCGCTCGTCAGATAGATTTGTGCAATATGTCTCCGAGCTGAAGCTTGCTCCCTTCGGGTGAATAGCTTTGCGGCGGCCGATACCCGTATCAGGAAGGAACTATTTCGAATGGCGCAATTCGTAAGTTAGTGTAAAAGAAAAGTGTGATATGTTAGTAAAAACCAGCAGGGAACGCGGAGGGGCTGTATTAGGCAGCAGTTTTGCAGTTCGGCCGGGGGATCTGTGGATTCGTTGTGATGATGACTAGTGGGTAGGCCGGTGCAGGGGGGCATCGCGGCAGGCAGTGTCTGACAGATGTGACGACAGAGAGAGACATGGTGGGTAAAGGCTATTAGCTTCTCGAGTGGGAAGGCAAGGGCGAGGAGGGGCTGAACGAGTTGCGAGCTGGGAGCGTGGGGGATGAGTCGTAGAGGTGCTTACTGAGAACTGGATGGGGGTTTGGTGGGATTTGTCATTGATGTAAAGGGGGTATTCTATGTCATTGTTTGTAGGCTATTACTGAGGCATGAAAGGGGTGAGAATGACAGGTAAGTGTGTTTAAAAAGGGTCTTTGGGGTATGGTATTCGTGTAAGTCGAAATTGATATCTGATGTAGGGTAGGGGAGGTGAGTTGGGAGTGTGCAATGTCACAGTTGGTAGTGGGGGGTGTTTGTGCTAATAGTAGTGAATATATGGCATAGGGCTGTAATTCTAGATGAATAGGGTCGACTGAATGATAATGATGATTTAATGAGCAAGGGAGTTGGTAAGTTGAGTGGCTGTAGAGGTAGTGTAATACTGACGTTGGACCCTGGAATTAGATATATAAATGTGAGACTATGTTACAGAAGGCAAAGTATTTAATCGTGAAAAATAGCGCCTTATTTAATCCAATGCCATATTTATCAAGAGAGAATAATATTTATGAACAATACCAAGATGGCGTATTAGTTTACCTTTTGTAACAAAAGACCTCATTTACTGCCAGGGAACTTGTGCTCGTCGGCCGTCAAATCCGCCGTCCAGTGGTACTTTGAAGCCACATGATCTTCTCTTGGACGCTTCACGCCCTCCTTTCTATAAAAGTTCTCTCGGAACGTTCCCCCGGGAACAGCATAATCCTCCCAGAACAGCCCACGTCTTTGTAGTTCCGGAACCAGCAACTCCGCAATGTCCTTGAACGACTGCGGAAACACAGCATAGGCCTACAACACTCCAAGTTAGCAAAAGGTTAACTTTACAAGGTCATTATATACAATCACTTACCAAGTTGAACCCGTCGACGTCGGCTTCCGCAACCCACGCCTCCATCACGTCTGCTACTTGGGCCGGCGTTCCAACCACCAACGGCCCATTTCCACCAAGACTGACATGCTCAGCAACAGTATGCTTTGTCCATTTGGAATTGGCCGGCGAAAAGCGTGCGTATGCCGTGACAGTCGACCTTATATCGTGTTAGCGTTTCCATCTGTAGAGTTCGAGGCGACTTCACTTACTTGACAGCGTTGCTTTCCACCTCGCGAAGCTCCTCATCGTCGCCATACTCATTCAAATCTATCCCGGTCCAGCCGCCAAAGAGCGCCAGAGCACCCTCGAGTGACGCATACTGCTTGTAATCCTCATACTTGGCTCGTGCTTCCTCCTCTGTCCGGCCTAGAATAGGCGTCAGCAGTGCCAACACCTTGATACTGCTTGGATCTCTGCCAAACTCGTCGCGTGCTGTCGCACGAATCTCAGCGATATTGGCAGCACAAGCCTGCGGAGCGTGAGCAGAGGTGAAGATGGCCTCGGCGTGCTGTGCGGCGAACTGCTTGCCGGCCTTGGATGCGCCAGCTTGTAGTAAGAGAGGTGTACGCTGCGGGCTGGGGTCGACAAAATGAGGGCCAGGAACAGTAAAGAATTCGCCGTCGTGATTGATTTTGCGAACAAGGGCTGGGTCTGTGTAGATGCCCTTTTCGCGGTCGAGCTTGACGGCATCGTCGCGCCATGAGGCTTGGAGCAGCTTGTAGATGACTTCCAAGTATTCCTCTGCCTGTGCATACCTCTGGTCATGCTGTCTCTCTATTAGTATTATGCTTAGTATTTGAATATTACAAATCATACCGCTAGCTGTTCTGTGTGGCCGAGATTCTTGGCTGCTGATGGCAGATAGCCGGTGACAATCTACATCTTTGTAAGCATGGCATGGACCACGAATAGTAAATTATGATACAACGTACGTTCCAGCCAAGTCTGCCCTTTGTTAAATGGTCTACCGTAGACAGGCGTCGGGCCAGGTGATATGGCTGCTCATATGTAGTCGAGACGGTGACGCCGAAGCCGATACTCTTGGTCGCTTGCGCCATGGCAGGGACTACAGCAAGCGGCTCTGTTGTTGGCCACTGAGCGCCGCTTGTAATTGCTGGCTCCAGAGACTTTTTAAAGACATCGTAGCCGCCTTGCATTGGTTAGTCGTCAGTCAGACTTGTTTATGTTCGCTATCCACGTACCTAGAACGTCGGCAATGAAGATGCCATGGAACTTTGCATCTTCCAGCAGCTTGGCCAAATTGACCCAATGCTCAATGTCTTTGAATTTCCATGATTCATCTTCGGGGTGCCTCCATAGGCCAGGAGACTGGTGGCCGCTGCCTGCTACATGTTAGGCCAATCTTAATGTATAGGGCAGGGAGACTTACACATCATGACAAACGCATTGAGCACAAGGCTCTTCTTTTCAGTTTTAGAGTTGCTTTCCGTCATATTAGGTATTTGTTCCTTAGAATTTCTAACACATTGATACCATTTTTTGTAATGGCTGTCTCCTCAAGGTACCGGATATAAATGTCGGAGGTGTGCGTGCCTGGATGGCGTCACTCTCCCACATATTGCATCACGTCATTGTCTCTACTCTACGTATCGCTCCGGGTCAATTATGAGCGACATCGGACAATGTGTGGGGGAACATACGGGTTGAATTGACAGAAATTGAATGAAAAATTGTAGAATATTAATTTGTGTTATCTACTTGTGGTCTACCTCGCTGGCGGTGCTATCTTCTACCTGCGCCACCGGCAGTTTGCTTCCAATATGCCGAATTACAATCCACGCAGGCACAATGGCGACAGCCCAGAGTGAAAAGTTGAGGTAGATACCTCCAACCTGTGCCATGATCTCTACAGACGAAACACCGTAGCTGACGGCTTGCCACGCAGACTCGGTGCCTCGAAGCAGGGCCGAGTATCGGATGATTTGGTCGTCTGTAGCTGCCAGGTTTTGAATGACAAAGTACCTAAAATAGAAGCGTTAGCAGGATCGTTGAGAGATTTAGCAAATGTGAACAACATACAAGAAGAGGTAGTTGAGCTGGAAACCGGCCAAGAGCAAAATGTATACTGCAAAGGCTGATCCAAAGCTGGTGCTGCTCCAATCAAACGTGGGTTGCGAGTGATGGAATCGAGTAGCTAAGACTGTTGCCCAAGTCCACCAGGCGCCTTGAAGGACAACAATTGTCCAAAAGGCCGCTCGGGATCGAAGCCGTAAGGAAATGGACTGTCGATCAAGCCAGTACTGTGAAACCATGTTAGAGCGGAACGCACTCTTAAGGGCATAAAGAAAGCAGCTACTTACACCCAGAAGATTACCAACCAGTGCCGCAACAATTCCAGAAACAAAAGAGCCGAGTGCTCTCGCTCGTACCGAAAACCACACTATCAAGGTGTGGTTAGTAGTATGTTTGTAGACGGTTAGGCAGACAACACGCAAGACTTACACGCGAGATATGTGTTGAAAACAGCTTCGGCAAACACCGCCTGACCAATAAATGGCACAATCAAGAGAAATTCCCTTGTGAAAAACAACTTGACTGTAGTCTTGGCTTCGTTCCACGGCTTATCAAAGATGGCTAGCTGGACGGTACGGCCATCCTTGCGCTGCACATGTTCTGGTCGTGAGAGCAGCAGTGCCGCAGCGGGACCAAGGCACTGTAGGGCAATGAAAATAAGATAGACCGTATATGAGACCTTACCCGCCTCGTCATTGCTTGCATTGAGGCCGAGGTTGATTGCACCACCCAGGATCTGCCCGCCTACGCGAAACGAAAGCCAGTATCCCAGCGCTCGCCCGCGATTCCACGGCTCCGGATAGGCAATGGCAATAGCAGCCTCGGCCATCCAGAAGACACCGGCTGATATACCGCAGAGAGCGGCGCCAAGAATCACCAGCCATTCTGTCCCGAAGCGGTTGTTAGTGTACAGGCCGGCTGCGTAGGGAGCATAACCAAGCCTAATAATGTCAATATAAGCGAAACAAACAGAAAAGCAGATTTGTGTGACGTACGTTCCAAAGATGAGCGCGCCTTTAATTCCAATGAGCTTGACGAGCGCGCTGGAAAATAGGCAAGACACAACCATCAAGCAGAATGTTAGGGCGTTGGCCGTGTTGACGAGATATGGCTTCTGCGCACCGCCGGCTCCGAGAGAGTTCATGGCGCCCCAGATGCCAGGCGCGGCAAAGTTGCAAAGTCCGAGAATGGTCATGTTGAAGAAAGTTGACCGGTACCATTTTACTGGGTTTGCAGCGTCTGTGACGCTCTTGGTACTAGACATTGTGGATGAGAGGGAATCGAAGTTATGAATTCAAACGTCAAATACTTTTGGTTCGTCTAGTCTGATATACGCACAGGTAGACAATGCGTATTTAACGGCATGTTCCCCAAAAACGTTGGTTGGTGCTGCTACCCCGGGGTCGGAGCACGCCATTCTAGCGTTTAGACATGCAACAGCGTCGCTTAGTGGTTAGGCTGTCAAACCTATCTTTAGCCTATTCGGTATAAATAAATCCATGGCAGACATTTCTTATCTCGGTTTAATTATTTCCGTATGACCGTCTACAGTAGCCTAGTTCTACTCTATGGAATGGTGTGCCAGCTCTCGTGGACATCACGTAAGTCAACCGCTTCGTGCAGGTAGGTAGTCATGTCGCTCTCTGCGTCTTGCTCCTTTCTCGTCGATCCGTTGCCCAAATATCCCATGAATCTGTTTCCATTGCTCTCGGCTATATACTCGTACTTGAAGTCCTCCCATCGCGGGTCACGCCGTACAATAGTCAGATGGGCTGCGCTGCCAGGCCAGATGCCATGTACTCTAGACCCGGGAATTCCACCATTATACCACGAACTGCAAGTCTCAGAAACAACAGACTCTTTAAAGAATGAGTCGCAATAGGCAAGAAAATCGTCGGCGGCAGCCTTGCACGGCCGCACAGACTTGATGCCCTCTCGGGAGACTTTGCGGAGTACTTTGGCAATGTAAGCCAGTTGGCTTTCCACGCTGTGTGGAACGGTTCCTGACGGTGCTGTCCCGTGAGGTCCTTGTATTAGTAGTAGATTGTGGAAGCCTGGCACAGCAACACCAAGATAGCTGTATGGAAAGCCGTGCTCGCCATCCGCTGCCCAGACTTCCGCGAGAGTCGTGTCTTGGGACACAATTTCAAATGCAGGGACAAAGTCTCGCCGGGATCCCGTGGAGCAAAAGATGGCATCTACAGGGCGATGCTTGCCGTCCTCTGTTTCAATTCCAGTCGCAGTGAAGCGTCGAATCGGCGTCTGGATGTAGTCGACATTGTCTTGCCCAATGGCCTCGAGATAGCCAGGGCCAGGTGTCAAACGACGGCAATTGGGTGAAAAGTCTGGTACCATGTCTTTGGCCAAATGTGCCTTGTCGCCTAATCGCGACTTCATCACGTCGGTAAACCGCTCTCGTAGGGCTGCGTTTTCGTCCGAGTCTTTGATGAATGTGCGGAATCTGCGCCAGTATTTATCTTCCATGGTCTTTCGAAACTCGAGATACGCTGCGTCATCCGCTTGCCACTGGGCCTGTTTCTCCTGGGAGATGGGCTGCGGCTCTAGTGTTCGGTCGTCGCCTGCCCATGATGACGCAATCCACGTCTTGCTTCTCGCGTAGTGGTCAAGCTGAACTACCTGGTTTTGCAAGCTGGACACAACTTGGATGCCGCTGGCTCCGTTGCCAATGACGGCGACTCGCTTGCCTGCTGGATCAAAGGTTGCATCCCAATTCGATGTATGGCGCAGCAGCCCTTGGAAGTCGGACAAGCCTGGGTAGTCTGGGAGCTGCCAGGTATTGAAGCGGCCGACGGCAGTCAATACAAAGTCGTATTCCTCCTTTATTGACTTGTCGCCCTTGCTGCTTGTGACTTGCCAGGTGCTATTCGTGGTATACCACTCTGCTGCCAACACTCGCTCATTAAATCTTGCATACTTGTATAGATCGTATTGGCGAGCTACATCTTGCCAATAGTCTCGAATCTCTGCGCCCGACGCAAATTCGTCAGACCAGTCTTTCTTCGGGGCAAATGTCGCCTGGTAGACATGCGATGGAATGTCACAACGTACTCCCGGGTAGATGTTTTCGAGCCACGTTCCACCCTAAGAGCCAATTGATTAGCGGATTGATCTTGGTAATGACTTTTCTGTGTTTCATACAAAATCAGGATTCTTCTCATAAATGGTAAGCTTAATCCCAGGGACCTTGCGAGGCAGCAGAATACCCGCCAGAATACCAGTTAGCCCACCACCAACAACGGCAACGCGCAGCGACCGTGGCTCATCAATGAATCTATCTACCAATGGCAAAGTGGTAGCAGTTGCATAGGAAAAGCGAGGACGTGCGCTGGTAGCGGCGCCATTTGTGACCCTTGGCTGCACGGTAATAGGCTCTGTCGCGACATCTACAGTGTCAAGCACATTAAGATGGTCGGTACCATTGGGGCGAGCTACAATTGCGGTCATTGTGGTAATAGAATGAGGACTTTACAAAAGGAAGGATTACCCCTCATCTATTTGGAGATGCTTTATGTATGCATGGGTTATCTGCGGTATCATGTGCATGTCACGTTAGGCGGGGGATTGCTCTATAGCGGCCAGCGATGACGTTATTTTGAATGTTGGGGGTCAGAGAGTTTGGACGCGGTTAGCTGCTGAGGGGTTTTGATTAAGAGGGGATAGTGATAGGGTTATAATGCGTAATATGAATCATAGTTTATGGTGTTTATTTAATTGTTGGTATGTTTTCGGCGATACGCTGCATAATGTAGTATACCATTGTCTACCAACAACACAATATATTATGTATTAGAGGGTACTTTTGGGGACAGCAAATTGAGGGATTGATAGGGAATAGTATATAATATGTGGGAATGGTTAGTTTACACTTTGAAACTTATTATTACTATTATTAATGTTGCGTTTGTATATGGAAGCGCATCTAGGGAGCTGGTTAACTGTGTACTAGCTGGTAGGTATAGCGCTGCCATATAAACTCAGTATAATACACGTCTACTCAACTCTTGTTAAGGCTAATAACGTCATAAACGAAACATCAATTATATATTTGGGTTTATCAGTATATTAAGGTATAGTATAAAGTTATATCTATATTTATAGAATAGTTTTTTTTAAGTCCAATTGTTGATTTTTGGTTGTCTCCTATCTATCAGATCGCCGTGTTGGAACTCTGTACTGCCGACACCCCCTACACCACTTCTGCAATCGCGACGTTAAATAATTTACAGAAATATTAATCTATATAGAAGTTATGTTTATAATACAATACATATTTTCCTACAATTATTATAGTTTATTATCAGTCCTTATTGTTAGTGATCCCTCAACTGCCGCTTTAACAGATTGCCCCACCCCACCCAATAACCCCTAACCGCAACCTTCTCCTTCCGCCTCGTCCGGGCTTGGCCTCCACGATCTCCAAGATTTTTCCCAATTGGCGGCGCCGCATACACTCTTTTCCGCTTCTTCTTCTTCTTTCGACTTCTTCGGGCGGCGCATATATTCGCTCTGACTGCTCTCAATTACCGCACAATTACCGCTAATTCTTTTCGCCTACTACGACTCTTTTTGTAATACGTGTTCCTGTTACGATACCCCCTTTGCTTGCTACTGCTGCTGCAATTCTTCGACGCGATACATCTCTTCTCTTCCAATTCGACGATATAACTCTCTAATCGATTAAATATGAGCTTCCTTACCGGTCTCGTCGGCATCCTTGCGCCGCTCTTCATGATTCTGTCGCCCGTGCTGTCGTACGGCGACCAGGCCATGTCGATGCATCGCGCCAGATCGAGCGCCGGCTTCTCGCTCGACATTCCGCTGATTATGCTTGTCGCTTCATTCTTCAGGTAGGCACACAGACCAAGAACGATACGGGTAACAGTTGTGTTGACCATGTATGCGTGATTGCAGAATATTCTACTGGCCCGGTGCCCGCTTCGACAATGCGCTCCTCCTCCAGTCCGTCATCATGGTGGGCATGCAGGTTCTTCTGCTCAAGATTGGCCTTGATAATAGACCGGCCCCAGCGGCGCGCGGTGGTGATGGAAGCCAGCCGTTTAGCGGTGTCTCTGGCCGTCGTGGCGGTCTGCTTGATTCGCTGTCCGACTTTGAACGCCCTTATAACTTTTGGCAGTGGCGCTCGCCCAAGCCGTAAGACGACAAAATGAAGTTTCTCTAGACAGTAAATGCGATGAGCTAACAGTAAACCACAGATACTGGCAGTTTCTCGGATACCTCCTTCTCGGCCTTTGCATCATGCAGCTTATCATGGCCCCCATGCACGACCTCTACGATCTCTACTCTAACATGCTCGGCGTTGTCGGCTTGACGGTCGAAGCAACACTCCCGCTGCCCCAGATGCTCGCCAATGTCCAGACGCGCTCGTGCAAGGGTTTCCGTGTATCCGTCCTGGCTAGCTGGCTGATTGGTGACGCCATGAAGATGTGCTGGTTCTTCACTTCGACGACAGAAATCCCCTTGGCCTTCAAGGTCTGCGGTATCTTCCAGGCCGCATGCGACTGCTTCCTTGGATTCCAGTACTTCATGTACGAGACACCGTACTATGCCCGCATGATGCGCGAGCTTGGCCAGCCTGAGACGCTTGCTATGGAGGACCGCGGTTCATGGACTTACGCGGCTGCGCGCCAGGAGGACGAGGACGACAAGTTTCTCAATGGAAACAAGTAGATGATTATGACAAGCCAAAAAAAGTTTACTACATATGCATAATACAATGGGAGTTGTCTTTACAAAATGTATTGTTCAAGTATAATGGTATCAAAGCACGGTTCAAAAGAAATCTAGTCCAGAAGCAACGCCCACAGCCCCTCGCTGTCTACAAACTCGTGGTGAATCACATTTACAAGCCAGTAATCGTTGCGGATGCCCGAGAGCAGCTTCTCGCTAGGGCTTCCCTTGCCGTAGACACGCGCCCACTCGCCCCAAATGCCAAAGGCCTCTTCGCTCCACGCCTTGAAACTGACCTCTTCGATAATGGTCGGCGTGACAATTTCCTTGCCAGGGAAGACGCCCCACGTTACAGCATTGGTGCTGGCGCCTTCTGTGCGGGCACCGCCGGTAATATCGGATGTGACGAAGTCGCCCGCAGCGTTGGCAGCGTAGAAGCAGACGTGTTCGTGGACATCTGCGCTCAGTAGCTTGGCCTTGAGGGTCTCCCAGTCGGCAGCGGGCAGGAAGAACTCGACAAAGGCCTTTTGGAAGACGAAGCCGTTGGGCGGGCCCCAGCCAAATGTTGAGTCGCGCGATGAGGCACTGTTAATGGCGGGCTGGGACGCCACGGACCACCAGCCCTTCGAGTTGAGGTCCTTGAGGTGCGCTGTAATGGCGGATGACTCGGGCATCAGTTCTTCCTCGCTCCATGGGATGGCGTTGAGCTTGCCAGTAACGTGGTTGACAAACATGTCGTTAATGTCTGACACAGCGGCAGGATGGCCCCAGAGAGAGACGGCCTGCGTGACAGACATGTGCAGGCTTACACCGTAGCCGTCAATCTCACCGTACGCGGGAGATCTCGAGTCACCGAAACGACCGTTGGGGAAGTCGTCCCACGTGGCTTCGCGGCCGAGAGCACCCTCTCCTTCGGAAATGGCGAGAGTGTTGGCGCGCGAGTTGATGTCTTGTGCGCGGACACCGGCTTCTTGACCGCTGGCTTCCCATTCGGGGCGGGATACGGCGCGGCCGCTGACAATCACGCGGTTATGGGGGTCTGAGCCGACAGACGACTGGCGACGAGAAGAGCTGCGGTGGCTGCGGTTGCGCAGGGGGATACCGCCGTTGATCTGGAGGAGGGGAGTCGGGATGGGCCCGTCGGCAATGGCCACTTCATCGTCAGAGGTGTCTGGGATGAGGTGTGTTCGCTCGAGGATGAAGGTGACGGACTTTTCGAGGTTAAGCGTGTAGAAGTGAAAGCCCTTGGGGCCGGGTGTGCGCTGCTTAGTGTCGCGGATCTTCTCGACCATTTCGGAGAGGATTTCGACACCAACTTGCTTAACGGCCTCGTCGTCGCCGCGGACTTGGTTGAGACGGTCCATGATGGCTGCGGGCATGCTTGCATGAGACAGCTTGGCAGTGCGCTTGATCATGGCGTACGACTGGATGGGCATGAGACCTGGCAGAATCGGAATCGTCTTGAACGCGCCAGAGGGGTGGTCGCGGAGTGTCTGCTCAAACTTGTCATAGGCATCTGTGTCAAAGAAGAGCTGTGTCATGATAAAGTCGGCACCGGCTTGGACCTTGTCGACAAGATATGGTAGATCGTGCTCGAGGCTCTGGCCAATGGGATGGCTGCCGTCCGCATGGCCCTCGGGGTACGCTGCCACACCAATACAGAAATGGTCGCCGTACTTGCGGCGGATGTATTTGACGAGATCGACAGCCCAGACAAAGGTGTCTGTGTTGGCCTCTTGCGCGGGCGCATCTTGGTCTCGGTACTCGTCGTCGCGGGGCGGGTCGCCTCGGAGGGCAAGGATGTTGCGGATGCCGAGGGCCTTTGCGTCTTCGAGGGCCTTGTCGATGAGCGTCTGGCTCATGTTGGTGCATGTCAGGTGCAGACAGGTCGTCATACCGAGCTGGCGCTGGCAGAGCTCGGCAAGCTCCAGCGACTTATCGGCCGTAGAGCCACCGGCACCCCAAGTTACGTTGACAAAGAGAGGGCGAAGAGCCTGCTCCATACGCTGCAGACGGTCTCGCAAGTTGGCGAAGCCCATTGCCGTCTTGGGCGGGAAGAATTCGAGAGAAAAGTACTCTCCATCAGCTGGCAGAGCCGCGATCTTGTCGGTAATCTTTTCCATTGTGGCAGATGTCTGTGATTCGAGTTTATGAATGAGGGAGAGAAGCGATGAACGGTCGCTGCTTCTATCGAGAAGCTTGATACGCTACGATAATCGCCAATACTGGCTGAGCGTTGTTGGGGGAAGCGATGCGGGGTTGATGGGTGTTGGATTTTTGGTGATGTTAGCTGAAAGCGGCACTGTAACCGTGTCGACGAGTCAGTGAGCGGCGCCACGTAGCTATTCACACAAATATAGGCGTTGCAGTATCTGAATAAATGAACAATTAATCGATGAGAAAGAGAAAAACAAGGAAAGAAAAAAAATAGCTTCAGCGGCTTGACGCGGGACACTGGCAGCTTTCGGCGGGCCGGTGTTTTTTTCCGGTGTCGTGACCGGCATACTTGAATGGGGATCCTACGAATTTGGTGCGGGGCAAGCTCAACGTGTGCGTGGGGTGAAGGGAGCCGCTAAAAGACAGCTGCCAGGGCGCTGTAACTGCGACGGTAGACAGCTGAAGACAGCGCTAAACGACGAAGTTACAGCAGTGTGGGGGGGCACACTAGAGCAGACCTCGCTTGGAGCTCTCCCCGATTTGACGGCTTCCCATTGGCCGCCCCTGCAGCATCTTAAAAAAACATCCACCAAAGCCGATCACGCTTGTTGTGACGAACATCGAAATACCCGACACAATTGATTCGCCAGCGGCAGAGGAGATGAAGACATAGCAACAAAATGTTGATGCTTCAAGCTAGACACACGAGTGCACAGGCTGCTCGAGCCTTTCGATTGCCGTCTGTGTCGATTCTGCGTCATCATCCGCTAGTCCGCTCAGCGACATCCTCACGAGGCCCATCGCAGCGACGATTTGCCGTGGACCTCGTATCAATCGATTCGAAATGGCGACAGGTGTGGGAGACAAATAGAAAGAACGCAGAGGAAGGTGCAGACACGGGCAAGAAGCAGCACAAGTACGTACTGCCCATGTTTCCATATCCCTCGGGCACGCTGCACCTGGGCCACCTGCGCGTCTACACGATTGCGGATGTCACCGCACGATATCACAGCTTAAAGGGTAACGATGTGTTATTACCTATGGGATGGGATGCGTTTGGACTCCCAGCAGAGAACGCGGCGCTGGAGCGCGGTGTAGCGCCGGCTGGGTGGACGCAGAGCAACATTGTGAAGTTGAAGGAGCAACTCGAATTAATGAATGGCAGCTGGGACTGGAAGAATGTGCGTAACATCTTTGAAGTAGTGGTTGACGATTGCTAATTGATACAGGAACTGTCGACGTGCGACCCCGAATTCTACAAACACACACAAAAGCTCTTCCTCATGCTCTACGAACGCGGTCTTGCCTACCAGGCCGAAGCCGAAGTCAATTACGATCCGGTCGATAAAACAGTGCTTGCTAACGAACAAGTTGATGCGAATGGATACTCGTGGCGATCCGGTGCCAAGGTGGAAAAGAAGCTGCTCAAGCAATGGTTCCTCAAGATTTCTGAATTCCGAGAGGATCTCCTCCGGGAACTGGATACCTTGGCCAAAGACGACGCATGGCCAGAGCATGTTCTTGTACAGCAAAGAAACTGGCTTGGAAAGTCGACAGGAGCGATGATCAAGTTCCCCATTATGGCTCACGGCCACGACGTAGGAAGTGCCATTGAAGTATACACTACACGCCCCGATACGCTGTTTGGGGTTCAGTACATTGCCCTGTCTGCTAGCCACCCAGCAGTGGTTAAGCTTGCAGAGACAGATGCTGAGCTTCAGGCGTTCTTAGACACGATGCCAGGCCTGCCGCCCGACTCAAAAGTGGGATATATGTTACCACAGATGCGAGCCATCAACCCGCTCGCCTTTAACGACAAAACACCCGACGCAACTAAGGCATCAATTCCAGTCTATGTCGCACCTTATGTTCTGGGAGACTATGGAGAGGGCGCTGTGATGGGTGTGCCTGGTCACGACACACGCGACTTTGCCTTTTGGAAGACTCACCAAAATGATGAGCCAGTGCGCTACGTCATTGCAGCATCAGAAGACGAGTCCACTACAGTCCTTGACAACGAGCCATTTGTCGACCATGGTGTCATGACGGAAAATAGCGGCCTCTTCAAAGGCAAGACCTCCAAGGAGGGCGGCGAGGTCATGGTCCGCATGCTTGAGGCCGCTGAGCTGGCCAAGGGTGTAGAGAAGTGGCGGCTGCGTGACTGGCTCATTAGCCGTCAGCGATACTGGGGCGCCCCTATCCCTATCATTCACTGCGATTCGTGTGGTGCTGTGCCTGTGCCTGAGAGCCAGCTGCCTATTGAGCTTCCCGCTGTAGATCAGCACTGGGAGGCAGGCAAGGCAGGCAACGCGCTGGAGTCGTCACCCGACTTTGTCAATGTGCCGTGCCCCAAGTGTGGAAGCCCAGCAAAGCGCGACACGGACACCATGGATACATTTGTCGACTCGAGCTGGTACTATGCGCGCTTTACCGACCCCAAGCACGCCAATGAGCTCTTTTCGTCAGAGGCGGCTGAGAAGCTGCCCGTCGACATTTACATTGGCGGCGTAGAACACGCCATCCTGCATCTGCTTTATGCCAGATTCATCTATAAATTCCTCGCATCCACACACCTCCTCCCCCAATACACCGCAGAAACGGCCCCGTCAGCGGAACCCTTCAAGCGACTCATCACGCAGGGCATGGTACACGGTAAGACATATGTCGACCCAACCAACGGCAAGTTCCTCAAGCCCAACGAGGTCGACCTATCGGATCCCAGCCAGCCCAAGGTTGCGTCATCAGGGGCCCCGGCTGAGCTGCGCTACGAGAAGATGTCAAAATCCAAACACAATGGCGTCGATCCGACTGACTTCATCTCCAAGCATGGTGCCGACGCCACACGTGCGCACATGCTGTTCCAGGCTCCCGTGGCAGACGTGCTCAACTGGGACGATGTCAAGGTGCAGGGTGTGACACGCTGGCTGCAGCGGCTGCACGATCAGGTGGAGAAGCTGGCCAATACGGAAATGGTTGCCTCTGTAAAGGAAGATCTCGTTGCTCGACAGACGAGCGTCGCGTCCATGTCCAAGGAGGATGCCGATCGATTTAATGCCGATGTCCTTCTCTGGCGCGAGACACAGCGGGTTATTGAGGCCGTCACGCGATCCTACGAAAAGATTTACTCGCTGAATGTCGTCGTATCGGACCTCATGACGCTCACCAACGCCCTGACGGGGGCCAAGGCCGCGAGTGTCTCAGTCAAGCGCGCCACTGCCGACGCTCTTGTCCGACTCATGGCCCCCATCACGCCGGCCTTTGCAGAAGAGTGCTGGGCCCTGCTGAGCCCTAAATCGGCTTCTATTTTCCAAGACGGGTCATTTCCTGTTACAGATGATAGTTTGTCTATTCTTAAGCCACAGGAGCAAAAGTGCATGATCCAGATCAATGGCAAAGTGCGCGGCGGCGTCATGATCCCCCCTGCACCAGGCGGTCTGGAGGGCGACGATCTCAAAAATTGGATGGTCGAGGCTATCCTTGCGACAGAAGAGGGCGAGGCTCGATTCACAAAGGGCCCATTTGATATTCGTCAGGCAAAGCGCGCCATCCCCGTCAAAGGTGGCAAGCTCATCAACTTTGTCCTATAAGACTTTGTAACAAAAAGCGTATTAAAATTTACTGCATACTATGTACAAACATCATCATCATCCTCTGTCAATATACATGTACCACTTTCTCGTCTCTTAACGGGTCCCTCTCTCCTCATCAAATAAGAGTCCACCACGCTCCTCCTCACTATCGTCATCGTACTCCTTGTCCCCATACAATCCATAGTGCTGCACCATGAACATGGAATCAAACACCATGGAAATGTTACCCAGGAAGAACTTGACCGGGTTACCAAACACGCCGTGCCAGTTGCCCTGCAAATGGCTGTCAATAAGCAACTGACCCACGCTCAGCAGGCCACCCGCCACATCAAGCAAGATCTGCAAGATGCTCCAGCCCTTGGTGCTCTTGTTGCGATAGTTGGTCAACAGCTGCGGCGTATACTTGACCAGCGTAATAATCAACTTGACATAGCCAAGCGCGTACACAATATCAAGCGCACACCAACTTGTCGCGGGATCAGTACCGCGCGAACTGGCTACAGTCAAGAGGGTCGCTCCGAGACCGACGGCGCAGCCTGTCGCAATGCCGGTAGCTGACCGCGAGGGTTTGCTACCCGGCGAAGCAGTAAACGACCAAGACGACGCAGCAAGGTACTGCGAGAGTGTAAGGTTCGAGACGACGAGCGCGTGCAGGGCGAACGTGACGTCGTTGAAGCGCACGGCGGGGGTCTCGTTGTTATTGCGAGCGGCGTACTGGGCGCGGATGGTGGGGGAGTAGTAGAGGGCGACGTTGGATGCGAGGTATGCGGCGAAGCCTGTCGACTGGCGGTTAGCCCTGTTGAAGACATCTTGCACTTCTCAATAGAGAGAGAGCGTGGAACGCTTACCAATGGTGTTGAGAAAGGGGAAATCGACTGTCGTGCCGGACGTGCTCTTGCGGCGCAGGTTCAGGAGGAATTGTGGATAGAACGAGGCCGACCAGCACACGGTGTATATCCAGCCAAAGAGGACAGATATGATGGCAAGTAGTGCCATTGTTGCGGAGGTTGTTGTGTACAGAGCAAAAAAGTCGGGCTGGTGAGAAGGGAGGAAGAGGAAGAAATAGAGAGACGGAGCGTGTACGAAAGGTGTGGTACTCGTGATGAGGCTGCGTGGTTCTTTCTTAGGTGGGGTGGTAGTGGTCATGGGGGGCGGGAATAAGGACACAGGTGTGGGCTAGCCGGGGCCGGGTAAGTCAGGTACAAGGGACGCTGTGGACGTATTACAGAAGGGAGAAGACAGCGGTTAGTGGAATACAGTGAAACGCAAATAAAAAAAAATAAAAAGGGTGAATATTTCGTTGGTCTGTTTAAAGGTAGGCATGTATATGCAAAGTAGTCAAAAAATAGTAGTCATCATTGTGTGTTGTTATGCTGTGTCTAATACGAGCACGCCATATATCCATCGCCATAGCCAATCCTGTGTAGTGAGTGCTGTGGGTATCTTGCTATAAAAGTATCTTGCCATAAAAATCCATTTCCCATTTCCCATTTCCGTTTTCAATATCTGTAATTTTTCTCTGCCTTATCCCTTTTCCTAAACGCGTTCACTCCAGAAAAGGATGTATACTCTAATGTGCTGAAAGGTACGCTCAAATCTCGCCGTCGTCTTGCGCCTCGGGATACCCGTAAAACGACAGCTGCGAGGTCCCGTTTCCCGCAAACTCATCCTGGCCACCGTTCCTAAAGCCAAAGATGGATTCTGTAGGAGGGGCAGGGGCAGGGGCAGGGGCAGGAGCAGGCGTGTACGAAAACTGCGTTGAGCGTAATGTGGAATGCGGTGCACTCATGCGAGGCAAGTCCGTCATGCGGATGGGAGCCGTCTCCGTCTTGGCCTTGACGCGCTTGGACGGACTCTGCTCTCTGTCCGAGGAGGAATCGTAGTCGTAGTCGTCCTCATCTTCTGCATCAGAAGTAGGCTCGGGCTTGACTTTGCCGGGCGTCTTTCTGACGCGCTTGCTCGTGGGTGTCTTGGTGGTGCTGCGTCCACCAGGGCCTCGGGATGGCGTGGCGGCGGGTGTGGTGCTTGTGAGGTCGAGTGCCGTGGCTGGGTTGCCGCCAGATTCTACTACACGTTTTAGTAATTCAGCATCCTTCTTGATAGCGCGGAACTGGAACTGGATGCCGTCGGTAGTGGACTGACCAAAGTACATAGCAATGTCTATGAGAAAAAAGAGGTTAGCATGCGGTCTTCAACAGGTAGATGAGATGGGTTAGGTGCAATGAAGGAGGAGAGGGGAGGCGTACTCTCTATATCGACCCTATCCTGGGCAATGGGGAGTATGGCCTCGTTGCAGGTCATGTCTTTAATGTCGAAGCCCTGTTCGCGGGCTTTGCGGATAATGAGCGTCTGCGTCTTGAGCCTGCGGAACCGGTGGTTGAGCGCATTCTCTGTCATGTCGGACCCATAGCAGGCGACAATTTCTGGAGAGAGCAGAAGGCGTCAAAGAATGTTCAATGTGTGTGTGTGTGTGTGTGATTAGGCATTGGTGGTGGATGGTAGAAGAGAGATAAAAAGAAGGTTGATAGCGTACCTTTGTAGTTCCACTTGACTTCGGGGTGAGCGGCGACAATGGCACGGATCATGCGCGCCTGTGCCTCGTAGCTTCTATAGTTTGCTTTTGAATTGCTCGGCGCCATAGTGATGGTCAATTGACGTTGATGGTGTTGATGGAGGATGAGAAAATGGATGGTAGAGATGAGCGTGAAGATGTATCAAGGGGTGAGGGTGTGAGATGGAGCAAGAGAAGAGGTGGAGGGGGTGGTGAGGCCCGGTGAATTAAATAGGAGGCCAGTGAATTGGATTCTGCAGCGGAGGCGAACGCAAAGTGAAGGTTGGCCAGTGTTGTCGAGAGACTGCGCGGGATGTGGTTGATGCGCAGTGTTGTGCGTTTGCACAAGTGGAGAGTGAGTGTCTGGTGACGTTTTGCGGGCTATCGGCGGTTGTGGTTTTTCTTCTGACACCTGGGCCAGCTGCGCCAGCTGGTTGGTACTGACTGTAGTAGTGCAATATAGCACCAGAATGAGCTGGTACAAATTAGATGAATTTTGAGAGACTGGTTTTAGGAGATAGAAATCCATTAAAATATTTACACGAATCTTCACATCTAGAAACACCCTCAAGAATTTTCTAGATGCGCCTTACCACCTACAAACTTACACTTTGGCCACCCGTCGCGGCTAGCTCCAAACCTTGGCTACCGCACTGTACACCAGCGCCAGCTTCCAGCACTCGATGCACTGTACGGCAATCATGGCTCCACCCCCGCAAAATCCCAATACAGCGCTGTCCCCCACTAAAAACGACCTGCAAACACCACTAGCGCAGCCCTGCCATTGCTCAAAGCAGCGTCCCTCCTCTAGAACACACATGACCAATCCGATGTCGCCATCCATCCATTGGCTTATCTTGCCCTTGGCCAGTTCCATTTGTCCTTGATCGGAGGCAACTTCCTTTCTTTTTCAGATTCTTCAATCCATTCACTCAAGAAACAATGTCTACGCTGCTCAACCTCCCACTCGAACTCCGCCTCGACATCTACGCTCTACTGCTCATCCTCCCGCCCATCTCCAAGGAAGACGACTTCCACTTCCGCAACTGCACGCGTGCCCAGCAGATGCCACCGACGCCGCCATCGTCACCGCCCAACCAGTACCAGCTCAACGGATTCGCTGTCCCCCAGTCCTACAACGGGCCGCCGCGCGTGCATGCAGCCGTCCTCGGTGTGTGCCGCCAGGTGCACCGCGAGGCGCTACCGATCCTATATGCGCAAAATACATTTGTAGCACATCCGTCGCTGCTGTCCTCGTTTCCACGACTGCGCTCGTGGTATCCGCCAGTACGAGAGTCCAGCATGCATAAGCACATTCGTCGCTGGTATCTGCAGGTCCGGCTAGACTGCGACGTGCCGTTCACCGCGACAAAGGCAAGCCTAGCGTTTGACGGTGCCGCGGCCCTCGAGATCGATCTTGTGCAAAGCGTTTTTCTGGGTGTTGGCTATTCCAATCTGCGCGTGCTTGAGCAGATTCGCGGCGTCAAGAGGGTCAAGGTGGGCGGCAGCACGACGGGCTTTGAAAAGTACATTGGGTGGCTGGAGGACAAGATGGTCCAGGACGAAGATGAAGAAGACGATGGAGAACCGTTTCAGCCGGAAGAGGACGACCTTGTAATGCGCCTCAGCATATTCCCTTGAGTTTGTGTACATGTGTGCTTGAGGAAGAAACTGTACCGTACGCGGCGGTGGACTGATGAAGAGGTGCGATCTACACCTGGGCCTCGTGGCCTGTTGTTCTCGACTCGGACATATTTTTTGAAGACCAAGGTTTATCTCCGGTGACGCCTCTGGACTTTTAAACAATAATACAACAAACAACAAAGCTTGGCGGGCAAAGCATTACACCGCAAGGCTGAGAATTGCCCAAAGAGGCAACTCCACAGCCCACTGCGACAAGCTTACGCGGCTCCGCGTGTCGACGTACGAAGCACCAGCAACGAATGCAATTGGCGAATAAAAAGGTCGGAAATTGTCCGGAGATGGTCGCAGACGCGTGGAAATTACCAATATTTACAAAAAGTCCCATGAAGGAGGTCAAATGGCGACATCGATGCCATCCGTCGTCCATCACAAGTTGGCCAGGGTTGGCTGCACGCCCTACACAAAGGGAAACAAAGGTGAAAAGACACAAGATAAATATAAACTAAATAGTAGATATATACTCTCTTATACAGATGATATCCTCAGCTGAAAATATGTCGCTTCATGCAGTGAAATGCCAGCGCACAGCTGTACCAAGACATGCAGCAGTCGCCCAAGTCGCACAGCAGCAACAGCCCAGATCAACGCTAAATACTAGCCGAAAAGGCTTAATTCTCTTTAAAGCATCCTTGCAAGATGTCAGCCCCCACCAATTACGCATCTCCCTTTGTAAAACACGGGCCGCATATCAAACCCCCCGCCGGCCGCGTAACGCATGATGATACCACACGCGGCCACCCCCTGGTCCGTCCCTATAACACAGCATGTCTCGCCGGCCAGGACACCAGCGAAAAAAAACGTAAAAGATTATCCCGCTCCTCGCCATGCCCGCGCCTGCTGTCTTTTCTCAAGATGTCCGAATCAACCCCTCTCCTTCCCAAACATGCGCCGTCGAGCCAAGGACTGTCGTGGCACACGCTGACAACTCTGTTCCTCGCCGTGCTGGTGGTGTGTCTCATGGAGACGGGGGGCGTCATGGAATCGATCCCCTTGGCAGAAATAACAGAGGATATTGTATGCAGATCTTACATTTCTCAAAGTGAGAGTCTGGCCGGGAGCGCGGCGGCTGAGGACCGGTGCAAACAGCCAGAGTACGTTATAAGTGTCATGGTAAAAAAGAAAATGCTAACGAATACAGTGTGCAGGCAGATGTAGCCAATATACAGGCGTGGCGGTCGACAGTAGAAACTATCCCGTCGCTGCTTCTGGCTGTGCCGTATGGTCTGCTGGCAGACAAGTACTCGGCGAGCAAGATTCTTGCGCTGTCTGGTCTGGGAGGCGCGCTGGTCATGATGCTTGATTTATTCATCTGTATGTTTCTATTGTGATCGAGGACTAGGTCATAAACTAACAAGGAGCAAAAAATAGGCTTAAATGCAGCCACAGTGTCTGTCAAGTTGCTCATCCTTTCCCCGCTGCTTACTGTAGTTGGCGGCGGCGGCGGCGTCTTCATCGCCATGATCTATTCTATTATCGGCGATACTACGACTGCCACAAACAGGTTTGTTGAACTTGTCCCCTTTTTGGTTCGTTTCGGCTCTAACATAGCATAGGGCTACTGTATTTTCGCTCATGTTCTCCGGCGTACTTGTCGCTAAACTCATCGCCACCGCGCTGACATACTATACAATGGCGGTATCTACATGGCTGTGCCTTTATACCTCGATAGGTGTCAGCTTGGTTGCTAGTATCATCTCTTATTTTATACCCGAGTCTGGTGCCGGAGCGCCCAAGTCGCGATTCAATGGGAAGACGCCGCCACAGTCACTCTTCGACCTCGACGATTTGACGATACGCGACCGCCTCAACAACCTAGTATACAGCATCAAGGCTGCCGTCCGATGGGCATGTGTTGAGAACCGATCTGCCGCATTGGTGACCTCGACACTCATTCTCACATCGCTGGGCGGCTACGCCAAGATCCTCGAACTGCAATACATTACAAAACGATACGGCACATCCTGGCCCGAAGCGGCAATGCTGCTCAATTCGCGCACAATTACGTCACTAGTGCTATTTATTGCGGTGATTCCAGCAATCTCTCAGTATCTGACGAAGTCGTTGCGATTGACGCCGACGCAAAAGGACCTGCTTCTTGCGCGGGTGTCGATCCTCTTCAATGTTCTTGGGTGCGTGATCGTTGGTCTGGCAATCAATATCCCAATTGTGGTCATTGGAACAGTTGTCATGTCGTTTGGCTCCGGGTTTATCGTTTCGTGCATGAGCCTGGTGTCGTCGCTTGTCCCCGGCGGCAAGTCGAGCTCGCTATATACCGTGATTGGGCTGATGCAGAGCGTCGGCATCTTAATCTCTGGGCCAATTATTGCGGCAATCTTTAAACTTGGGTTGAACATGGGCGGCATATGGATTGGTATGCCATATATCGTTGTTGCGGGAACCTACGGATTAACATTTGTGATCTTGGGCTTTGTAACCCTCGATGGGCGCGAAAATAGAGGCGATGCCGAGTCTGTCTACGAAATGCCCCTGCGTGACAACATTATAGAGACACATAGTATTTACTCATAATTATAAATCATTTTCTTATCAGCAAGGCTGTCACAGCCTAGTGGTGATGACACAGTCCCGATCTCGGTCAAAACCTCCACTACAACCGCTTGCGTGCTCCGATAACATCACCACTACACAACACCGCATCAACAACACAAACAAAAACAATGCCGGCGCCAGAAACCCCAACAGAGCTCTTCAAGCAAGTGCAATCGCTCTTTGAGACGACCTCACTGGGCGCAGACAAATGGTACATCCTGCTTACTGCCTGTCTGTCCGCGAGCCCGGACCCCGAACTTGCCGCCGACCTCTATTCATACATCATCACTCTACCGGATTATCAGACCACGGCGCAGCGGCAGGTGCTCATTCGACGCATTCGTGAATCACTCTTCAAATCAGCAATCCTTGTCGGCGTGCCAAAGCCCATTGAAGCCATCCTCGCCATTGCCGCCGTCGAGCAGCCCGCAGATAGAGACTACAACACGACGCGTGAAACGTGGCAGACAGGCACTGAGAACCGTCAGCGTGCCACAGAATGGTTTAAGCGCATTTATACGCGCAATGCAGCGGATACGGTTGGTCTATTTGATGCGCACAAGGACTTTGCGTGGATGTCGCTAGAGGTGACGTATGGCTTGTTCCTGTCAGATCGCCAGGTGCTGGGGGACGTGGAGTCGGAGTTGGTGACGCTGCCCGCGATTATGATGCAGAATCTTCCGAATGAGACGCACTGGCATATTCGCGGTACGAGGCGGATTGGCGTGGCCAAGGGGGATGTGCAGATGATTTGGGATGCGGTGACGCTTGTGGCGGGGTATTTTGGTATCAAGCTGACCAAGGTGCCGACGGTGGATGAAGTCGAGCCAGGCGTGCTTTAGGGGCTTATGAATTCAGTATGAAGAGATGGCAATAGAGTGAAAATAGGCGATGTACAACGCTTGCGATAGAAGACCTATGACAGTGCTCCAATGAGATATGTTGCGAAAATACTTTGTTAATGTGAACAAAACTCTATAATAATAGGTCTAAATTTGCTATCTAATCCCTTTTACTAGCGTATTACCCATAAAACTATATACATACGATGTCTAGAATAAAAGGCTTACTCAGACTTTGGGGCATTGAACCGCTGGCGTCCAACGTCTTTTTTTTTTTCAGGGAATTCTCTCTAGTAGCCACAGAAAGCAACGATGCCAATCCGGAAAATGTGGCTAAAATCACCCAGATGGTTTGAAATGCATCCACATACGCGTTCGTAAATACACGCATGGTGTTTGGTGGGTATGTTACTATTATGCAACGATCTTTAGTTGTAAATAAATACTAATTTCATGTAGAAGGGCTATCCTACACCATGCCTTCAGAAACGTATTGTTCTGCCGTTGATAACATCTAAGTCGGCATTCTTGCCGCTTCGTTAACTCACGATACCAATATGCAAAGCATTTATAAAATACAACACTTGTAGCACAAACCTATCCAGTCAAACAATACATTATTTATTCAATAGTCAAGAGAACTACTACAATATTTGTAGAAACTAGAGATTCCTCTATTTTTGGTGGGCGTTGTTAGGGTGGCTACTATGTAGGGTAAGCTAATCACGTCTACTCTAGTTGGTCATCCGGCATCATTATCACCTACAATGCCTCAACGCGATAATACGAAAACGGATAAACTGCTTCCAATAAATGATAGCCTAAAACGAACAAACTTCAGGTCAAAAAACAAAGAAGCCGGGTGTATCCGTGGTTCTTGTGGCGGGAGGCGGAGGCGCGCGTGGACACTAGGCATACTATTACGAAATGCATCTCTGATTCCTCGGCACTCAGAGCTCCCCAGATTTATGCATACTAATCGCCCGCCACTAGTGCCAATAGCTACAGCTGCCAAACAACACACACTACCGAGCTATGTTTTAAGGCGCCGTCCAATAAAGAGAGGTAGGACGCGATGTAATTACGTTTCAAGTGCAACAGCCGCTTGGCACATCTTGCTTAGGACAACGCCTCGTTCTAGGGTCCAGCCCAGGCGGCTGTCGTCGGACAATACAGATCCTCGTTCAGCAGAGGTTAGCCGAGGGATGAAATGCAGTTACTGCTGGTACTGCTGCTGCTGCTGCCCAACCATGCACTGTAGATTTTATTTGGTAATCTGGCGCACTCCGCCAACGAGTTCCCCCTTGCTAGAGAGATCCCGTCGTCTTGCAAGATGCCGAGGCTCGCTTATTCAACCGTGCTTGGTTGTAAGAGGGTTACGGAACCCCACGCTGTCATCACCAGTTCGTCTCAAGAAAATGCTACGCTTGAGATCCATCTTGAGTGGAAAAGCCCACTCTGACATTGGCAATAGCTTAGGGGGCACGCTGTTACATTGCCTTATGCATATGGTTTGGCTGCAGGAGATCTGACCGACACTATCCGTCCGTCAAAAGACAAGCTTAAAAACCAAGACGCCTATCATATGACTGCGTTTGCCACTGTCCTTCTACTTTTGGAAGGTCGCAGTTCATGCCAGCCACGACACACTATCTATCGCTGGGAGCCACTGCGCTGGGTGTTTAGCGTGGTCCGGGGTAGGCGGACAGCCTAGTATGGAGATTTCTATGACTGTAAGCTTTTCGGATATGCCTCTGCCAGTCTACCTACCCAAAGGGGGCGTTGTAAGCGTGCGGCTGTGGGGTACGTGGTGGCGCTAGAGCGTTGAGACGACGTAATGGGAATTGAGGGCCAGTGAGAGCGTTGATGTGCTTTAAAGAATAAGATTGAGAGTAAGGTACAAGAGACAAAAAACCTGAATAGTCGATGTTGGTGGGAGCTGTTTTGGAGGAGGGAATGTATAAGGGGCTATCTCTCGTCTGGCTACTGTTGTAGACAAGATGTTCAACAAAACTTGCATACGCTAGAAGTGGAAATGTTTGAGATATGGAGAACGGCAGATTGTCCGCCTCCACCTCCACCCCCACATCTGTCAAGCTGCGCGGCGTGCATGGTGGAGGAGGAGGATGGAACGCTAGCAGAACAATACTAAGCGAGGTAGAACCATTGGAACCTGGGGAAGGAGAAAGAGTAGTCCTATTTCGGAGCATGGGTTCAGTCCGGGGTATCATCTAAGGGGATGTGGTACATCATCCTTGAGTATATAAGACGGCCTTCAGGCCCAGCCTATCCATCACAATTGCCAATAATATCCAACATCCTCATCTCTCTCTGACATCTTGACCTCAACCTTCTCCCCTTTCTAACTTCTTCACCCTCCTCTATCTACCATGCACGCTGCCCTTCTCGCTGTGGCTAGCTTGGCCGCCTCGGCCATGGCCCTCATCCCTCCTACAAAGATGGGATGTCTGACCCAGCCGCCGTCTGATGTGCAAAAGGAAGTCCACCAGCAGCTTGCTGCCGTTTCTGCTGCTGCCGTCAGCTCCGCGAACCCTCTGGTAGCGCGGGCCACTGTTTATGTGCCAGTCTATGTGCACGTTGTGTCTGCCTCCAACAACGCCCGCGACGGCTACCTTAGCGTAAGTTTCTTTTTCTTCTACCTACTACTCTCTCTGTCTTATTGATTGGGATAAATCGAACGAATGTCTGCTAACACATTCATCATAGCCCGCCACAGTCAACAAACAAATCGGTATCCTCAACCAGTACTTCCAGGGCACAGGCTTCCAGTTCACCCTGAAGAACACCGACTGGACCGTCAACCGCAACTGGGCATACAACTACGACGAGTACGGCATGAAGAAGACGCTCCGCAAGGGCGACTACCGCACTCTCAACCTCTACTACATCAGCGACATTGGCGGCGGCAACACCGGCTTCTGCAAGTACCCCGTCAGCACATATTACGGCAGCGACGACTTTATCTACGATGGCTGCGTCATGAGCGCCTGGACAGCCCCCGGCGGCGTCTCGCCCAGCGGCAGCACCATCTACAGCACCGGCAAGATCACCGTCCACGAAGTCGGCCACTGGAGCAACCTTATTCACACGTTCGACGGCGAGGACTGCAACGGCAACGGTGACTATGTCGATGATACACCCGCCGAGGCCAGTGCTGCCTATGGCTGCCAGACAAACCGAGACAGCTGCCCTAACCAGCCTGGTTTGGACCCTGTCTACAACCATATGGACTACTCCGACGAGTATGTTTTTCTTTCTTATACTCATCCAAAGTCTTGAATTAACTAACCGTTTTAATAGCAACTGCCGCAGCCAGTTTACCAACGGTCAGATTGACCGCATGATTCAGAGCTACAACTTTTACCGCCTCAACTCGCAGTAAGCGGCCGCAGGACGATGATGTCTTATTAATGATGAATATGCATAGTATGGTGTTGGTGGTGTTGTGGGTGATGATGAGCGTGCATATTGTATCTTGAATCCTTTTTTTGTATATTTTGTAGGATTTTATATATATATATATATTTTCTATCACATTTTTGCAGCAAAACTCTAACCAAATCGATCATCATGTCTTTATATTGCGTATTAAATCCATCAAAGTAACCAAATCTATAGTATACAAATTTAGAGTGAATACAATGCTATTAATTCGTTTTCCTTTTTTTTTTTTCAATTTTTTTTATTTTTCGTCGCTGGGTCACAGGTCTTTTACTCGCGGGGCGCAAAAATCTCATCAGGCCTCTCCAGAATAGCAACCAACGCGTCATCCAACAGCGCAATCAAACCGCGGATGTATTCGGGTGTCAAAAACTCGTAGCCAGGCCACAGCTGACTGTACGAAAGACGGTATATAATCTTCTTGTCATCGCCTGCCGGGTTGGGCCACATCTCCATGAGAATGGGCGTGCCGGTGTTGGTCTCTCTCCAGGGGATCGTGTGATCGTGGAAGCGGCTAAAGGCAGGCAAACCGCTTAAATCAACGTGGCATTCCTGCTTGGGGAAGGCCTGAAGAATGATACCAGTGTCGAAACGGCGCGTGGATCGCGAGAACTGGATGTTGGGGCACGGCATCTCGGTAAAGGCCAGCGACTCGGCGTACTCGTTGAACATCTCCTCGCACAGCTGACGGTGCGTGATGCGCTTGTCGGCAGCAAACTGCACGCGCGAGGGCAGCGCATTGAGCATCATGGCCACAGAGTCCATAGCCTCGGGGCTCTGGCGTCCGTGGAAGACACCGCCAAACTGGATATCAGTGCCGCCGTTGGGCGCGTTGGGACCCTCGAGCGTCTTGCTTAGAGCCATGGCCCACGCAGCGTGGATGACAGCAATAGGGGAGAAGAGGCCTCGCTCCTTGGGAAGCTCTTGCAGGTCCTGGAGACTGTAGCTGCAGTCAATGGCCTCGCTGGCTACGCCGACGCCAGGGTTGATGGTTGTGTACTGGCGGCTAGAGGCATCGTTGGCACGCTTGCCAATGGAGAATGCGGGGGCACCAGCAAGACGACGCATCCAGAAGAGAGTCGTCTCGAGCCAGTCGGAGCCGTAGTGCTGCTTGACGGGCGTCAGCATGCCTGGGCCACCAGTGCCAGAGCGTGGGAGGCCGTGGTATGTCTCGGCAATGTTACGGCGGACGTGTTCGAGACCGACGCCGTCGTAGAAGGGGTGGAAGACGGAGAAGATGACGGTGCAGTGGGCGTTGTCGGCGGATGTGATCCAAGTGATGACGGATGCTAGGCTGCCGGGTCCAAAGACCTCCTCGGCGGCCTTTTGAGAGTTGTTGATGGTCAGCTGCCACAGGCTGTTGGGCTTCTCCGAGTACACGGGGACGACAGTCTTGATGATGGGGTGTTGGCCGTGGGGAGAGTCCTCGCGGTAGATGACCTGAGCGTAAGCAGCGAGCGGGTGGTTGACCTCGATGAGGGTGGTGCGCCAGGCATCGCGGGCATTGAAGGACTCGCGAATGGCAACTTCTAGACGGTCACGGTCGACATTGGCGGGAACATTGTAGGGGAAGTGCTCGACCCAGGGCTTGTTGACGCCAAACTCGCGGCACTCGACCACGTTGGACATCATGCGCGTCTGGAGGCCGGTCGAGGGGAGAATATCCTGGATATCCTCGGGGGTGATATCAAGTGTCTTGCAGACCTGCTCGCGCGTGGTCACGGCAAAGTGCTTGAGCTTGACGGGAAGTGGGAGTGTGAGCAGCTCCTCTTCGTCCTCGAGCTCGGGGATCTCGTCATTATCAGCGTCAATGGTAGCGTCGTTGGCAGCGCCGGCCTTGTGGCCTTCGAGGATGATGTTGGCGATATCGGTCAGACTCTTGCCGGTCAAGAGATCGCGGAGAGTGAGGTCTTCTACATCGAGCTTGCGCAGGGCTTGCAGGTACTTCATGCCACCGAGACTGTCAAGACCACAGGCGTTGAGAGCGAGAACGGGATCAACCGTGACGATGCGCTCGCCGAGAGCGGAACGCAGCGTGACCTGGAGCATGTTGAGGATGCTGTCGAGACTGGTAAAGTCGACAACAAGCTCGCTGGCCACACCGGCAGGGACAAGATCCTCGCTTTTGGGAACGCTGGCGCCAAAGGTCTCGAGAGCCTTGGCTTGGAGTGTACGGCGATCAGCCTTACCTCCAAAGCTGCGAGGAATCTTGGGCAGAACGACATAGGCAGCAGGGCGCATCCAGTTGGGCAGACCGGCGTCGGCAGCGGCCTTGCACTCAGCAATCACGGCATCTTCATTGGTGTTGTTGCCATCGCCGGTCAGAACAATGTAGGCGGCGAGGAAGTTGCCGTTGAGAACAACAGTCACCACCTCACGAACGGCATCGACCTGAGCCACGACAGACTCAATATCACCCAGCTCGACACGGCGAGTGTTGAGCTTGACCTGCTCCATGTTGAAGCGGCCAAGAATCTCAACACGAGCCTCACCGTCTTCAGCATAGACCACACGCGCCTTGTCGCCGGTTCTGTAGGTTCGGCCGAGAGTAGGGTGTTCGCCAAAGGCCTTGGCTGTCTCGACAGGGCGGTTCAAGTAGCCATAGCCTACCATGGGACCTGCAACAACAAGCTCACCGGTCAGACCCATGGGCGTCTCAACAAGTCTATCGGTAATGTTCACATCCACGAGAAAGATGGAGTTGCAGTCGTGAGCAACACCAGAGATGGAGCCACGAGATCCAGTGGTTGGCACTTCGAGTGTGTTACCAATGGCGCATTCACTCGGGCCGTAGACGTTGATCATGCGCTTTTGAAGAATACCAGGGGCCTGTTGAGCATCGTGGGAGAAGTTGTCAATGGCGTACTTGATGACAAACTCGCCAGCGCAGATGAGATGCGTCAGTGTAGGAAGCTTCTTGGGGCGAAGCAGCGTAGCTAAACTGGGTACGACAAACATGCCGGTAGCCTTGAACAGGTTGACCATGCGCTCCATGTCCGACAACATCAGCTGGCGATCGGCCGAGCAGAGTGTGCCACCGTGGCTCAGCACCAGGAAGATTTCACCTGTGCACATGTCAAAGGTGGGCAGACCGAATTGCAGCCAGCGCAGAGCCTCGAAGTTGGGCAGCGGCTGGAGCTTGCTGGCGTTGGTGTGAATAGAGGCACAGGCCATAAAGTGCGAGATTAGAACACCCTTGGGCTTGCCGGTCGAGCCACTAGTGTACAAGATGTACGCAACATCATCCTCGACAGGAGGGTGTCTCGCCGCAGGCTCCATGGCAGGCAACTCGGCACGCCAGGCCTGCATGTTGTTCACGTCGACCCAGGTGAGCTCTCGCAGAGCCTGGACAACCTCGGAGGAATCATCTGACAAGTCGACACCAGGGAAGGGCGTGCTGCCTACACCGAGGACCACAGATCCCTTGATATCGTCAATAATGTCAAACAGGCGCTGGGCAGGCGCATCAGTTGGTAGAGGGCAGTACGCAAGACCAGCCTTTAGCGTGCCGAGAATCGAGACGTAGAATTCTGGGCTTCCAGGGAGGAAAACGGCAATAGCTCTCTGTGCCTTGTACGCGGGCTGCCACCCAGGAAGCGTAGCTTCGAGCATGAGAATCTCCTCGGCCAGAGCGTCAGCCTTGGCGTTGAGCTCGGCATACGTCCACTTTTGAATAGTAAGAGACTCTTCGTCCACAAGACCCTCGACGGCAATGTGGTCAGGGAACTGAGCGACGCGGCGTTCAAAGGCGCCGTAGAGGAGCGCCTCGTATTCTGGGTGCATGTCATTGGCGTCCTTGGGCATGTCGGGACGGATTGTTAGCGGTCGAGGCGCCGATGGTGGCGTGTTGAGCTGAGCCAGAGGCAGCTGTGAGAAGACGGGAGCAGAGGAAGAGAGGTAGGCGGCGGCGAGCTGGAGGAGGTTGTTGGCGGCGATGACGGGGCCGTATTGTGTGGAGAGAGAGATGGTGAGGGTGGCAGCGGATGTGTTGGTCGCGTCGGTGCGGACGGTAAGTGTGAATGGCTGTATTTCCGTCAAGTTAGAAAGATGGGCTGCAAATTGTAAGAGAGGGAAGCAAACCTTGTTGGCGGGAGCAGCAGTGGCTTCTGCGGCGAGAATGCGAATCTCAAAGTCAACATCGTGCTGGTCAACGCCCTCTTCAGCAGCCACCGTCGTCAGCGTCGTGGCATGTGATGAGAAAGATCGCGGCTCGTGGAGGTTCGTGACGGAGGCAAGGCACAGTTGGCGCTGTCCGTCTGTGGTGGTGGCCAGGAAGCCGGCGGCATCGAGATCCGTGACGCCACAGACAAATGTGGCAAAGCCCGTCAAGATGTCAGAGGCCTCGGTGGGGAGAGTGTGGTTCTCGCTGGAAACCTCGTGGAATGTGGTGCTGGCGACTTCTTCGTCATCGTGAACTCGTAAATCGTATCGGGGGAGCTTGGTGCTGGGGCACGCAGGATGCGTAGCAGAGCCGTCGGTGATGAAGGGCATCTTGACTCTATTTCCTGGTGTCTCTAGTAGTGTGTATGTATGAGGTAAGTAAGTAAGAGAGTCTATGTCTATGTGCGTGTATGAATATGTATATATAGAGTGTAAAAGAATGGGTAGAGATGGACGAAGCACGGACTTGGCGAGAGAGTCCGCTCCAAGATGTTTATATATTCCCTGGACCTAGCTAATTGCGACTAGCTAACTTACATTGCCCATTCATCTGACACCCAATTCCCCATCTTTCTCGCTTTCTCAAAGCCGAGGCGCAGGCATTCTGACAACTCCGTATCAACGGCTGCGTATCCCGCACACGTGTGCCTATGCGGTCATCGCATCAGCAACCGGTATTCGTGCGGTGCCTGAACGAGGCCCTGCGTTTTTTAACTTGCCCCTGTCTGTCCCAAAGTAGACATTGTTTCGTCACTGTAGACACACCCTGGCTGGCTGTAAGCAGAGAGAAAGCAGCCGCAGCCACAGCCGCAGCCTGCCTGTAAGAAGTTATAGTACTGTACGGGTGGATGTCCACTATCGGTAGTGTTGCTACAGGCTAATAATTGCTGCTAAAGTTACTGCTGTTCCCACTAAATACTGCTGGTAAGGCGATGCGACGGCGGTGCTGTGGAGGGCCTTTGCCGCCCCCTGCTGCTTTGATTTACTAGCGGCCTGCCCTACACGGAAATCGGGGGCGGCGGCGGGAATCCCTCATCATAGGGCTCTTGTTCTTCCTATTCTATTTTACTACTAATGAAGCTTTTATTTTGCCGACTTTGCACTGCATAATAAAGTACCATTAAGGGGAAAAAGGATGAACGTGAATCCCGTCGTGAGCGCGAACCCCGAGCTTCAAAGCATAAAGGCAGAACAGGCCTCTAGAAGAACAGAAAGAAACCCTCCGGTGACAGGGGGACAAGACCACTGTGCCTGTGGCTACTGCTGCTGCTGCTGATCTCGCGTCTGACGTGAACTCCGTCGCACCCAACATGATGACGGGATTCATCAGCACCAACGATGGATCGTCAGCAACTCGGCCCTGCATGCGGAGACTAACCTTGTTGTTTAAGCCGCACGTTGTTGCAGCAGAACCAGTGGCTCTGCCTGCTATCTTGCCTGCTAGCTTAGCTTATACCCGGGCTAGCTGTCTCCGGAGTGGGCGTCCATCATATGCTTCTTTTTTTGTTCCTTTTCTGCAGCTTTTACCGTCTCACCCACAGCAAGCAGTCTTGGCTTGTTATTGGCTCACGAACGCTCGGCAACTAACCCTTTGGGATGCTTACATCTTGCAGATACGCTACGACTGCCATACACAGGGCTCTTTTGGTAGGTCAGACGCAGATTCATCTGCCGTTTCATGATGTGCCGTGAACCGTATCGCATAAATCCTCCTTTCGGGAAGCGTTCCGGAGAGGCTCGTGGGCGCCGGGTTTGGTGGTGCTCTGAATCCCTTTTCCTTAGTGCACGTCACCAACCAAACATGAATGCACTCTAAATGAATATCTCCTGGGTTGATGCAGAGTATCACGCCTTGAATTAATTTTTATTTTATTTTTAACTGCCTGGGAGACACTAATAAGGACCCGGCTGGCTGTGCCGTCAGGCGTATGTAAGCGGTGGTCCATTCTCGCGTAAGCCCAACATGGCCCAAAGAGGAAACTTAGCGCGGGCAAACCCCAACAACACAGAATATATATGTAAAAAAAATATTTTTAAATATGTAACACACTTGCAGTTTTATACTAGTGCGAGGGAAGGGAATAAGTTGGGATGGAAATATCAAACTCGACACAGTCGCTCTGCTGGTTCAGCGTAGGGCTTCCCCAGAGGTAGTCGTTGCAGTAATACCAGTGCCACAGCTTGCCGCCGTCGAGGACAAGCGAGCCATTCTTGAGGGCCCATGGACCGCGCTGGTCATTGGCCTGTTTTAGAATTAGTATATTTTTTCTACCATTTTTTCGGTAGGAAAAAACTCACTGTCGGTGTGCGGATACCGGTAAACGCAGCAGCCCAGTAGGGAGGGCTGTTATCCAGTTTGGTAAAGTACATCTCCCCAAGACCAGCAGCAGCAGCACCAGCCGCAGTAACAAGATGTCCGTTCTTGTCAAGATCCAGCTGGAGCCATTGCTCGCCGCCGCTTGTGCCCGCAGTCACGGCAAAGTCATCGTAGATGGTGCGGACGGGGACGGAGGTGCCGGCGCCGGTCAGCGGTACGCGCAGGTAAAAGGAAGCAGCGGCAACATGGGCCAACATGAGAAGGGAAGAGACGGCGTGCATGGTGGCTTGGTTGTAGTGGGTGTAGCGTGGTGTAGTAGGCCGTTGTGGTGGTGGAGGGGGCCTGGCGATCGGTACAGCCCTTTTTATATCTTCTAAATTTGGAGAAAGGGAAAGAAAGATGCCTGGTTGGGTTTTGTTTGAATCCTTCCCTTTTTACTAATACTTACTACGAATGCAGCTGCTGGCACCGAGTAGATTGTTCACGTCCTTGCTGAGGGGAATATGGATGGGGGATCTTGCGCTAACCAAAGGTAATCAGGTCGGATAGTTCCTCCGAAGCATGCCGGGGCCCATTACTACACTGGTGGTAGGATGTAAATGGAGATAGATTTTGTAGGAAATATTTTAGTATTATACACTCTTTATTCAGCTAGCATAGAGAGATATTCGGCCGCTTGCATGATGCATTAAACATGGCTCCGCATGCATTCAATATTACCAAGCATTAATAGCTAATAATCATCACATTTATCCGAAGCAGGTCAAAATGACGTCTTTTCTTCAGCAAATGCCCCCAGACATCATCCTTACCATCTGCGATGCATGGCCTCCCATCGTCCCGAGCTTGGCTCTAACGTGCAAACACCTCCGTGGCGCGATTGCGCCACGGTTATCAAGGTTCAACGACATTCGTGCAAAATATCGCTTGATTTCAGTGGAACAATGAAAAGACTTTGTCTTCATATCTGACTTTTTGGTGGCCATAGCAGAAAAACTCTACATTGCCGAGTTCATCACAGATCTCTACTTGCAAGATAGTCAAGTCAGGAGCTCGGAGACTCTAAGACTTGAGATTAGCGAGACTGAGATGGACATCCTAGAAGACATACTTATGAACTCGAAAGACGTTCTATACGTGTCTCCGGATGCCGCGGCGAGACAGGAATGGTTTGAGGTGCTTACAATCAGGGGTGCCAACTATACAACATACTGGGGAGTGTCTTTTCTACTAAGCATGCTTCCCAACTTGGAGTCTCTTAAGCTACCTTCTAAATAGGTTCATCCGGGTGCTGCGCAGTCCAATGACAGCGCACCGTATGCCTTATTGAAGCTTCTAGTAGAACGGGCAAACAATCCCGCACTACAACGTCAGCCGCTGCAAAAGCTCAAGTCGGTGGAGGGACCGAACGCTAAAAACGGTGTTAATGGTACAAATATCGTCCTCATGTTTCCTTTACTCTCCCTCCACTCGATGCAGACCTTTCACTGCCACAGTGCCTGCTTGGGAGAAGGGAAAACAGAGTGGGATATGTACGAGCAGTATCCAGCAGTCAGGCCCAATCTGCAAGGACTATATGTACATGAATCAGTAATCACGAGTCAAAACGCGGGACGATTGTTTGAGTACATGCGGCATCTCCGTACTCTGCGCTTTGTGTACTCCGAGTCCGCGCTAAGCGAGTTCTACTTCAACGCTAATGGCTTTGTTCGGCATCTCGTCGCAGGAGTTGGTGATGCGCTAGAAGATTTATCCCTGGTGGGACTTGAGTCAATTGGCTCTGTAGATATTGTACGGTATCCGCTGAATGGCTTCAAGAAGCTAAGACGCCTGGAACTTGACTTGGCGTATTTTATTTCGACTAATGTTGAATGGGATCCTGATGCCAGAGAGGATGAGGGTGATGTGTTGTGCTATGGAGAAGAAGACGGAGATAGCATCTGGGGCTCCGGCGATGATAAGCGGGTAGGAAAAGCTGACAATCGCTTTGTTGGACACTTGATGGCGGCAACTGGAGACACGCTGGAAGATTTCGAGTTGACAGCGGGGGACCTGCACTCGGACACGGTTTGCATTCGCTGCCCTCTCCATAAATTCAAGCGGTTGTCAAGACTTGAGATCGATACTAGTTTCTTTATTAACAGCAAAGTGGTCGTTGGCGAGGATGAAAACTATCAGAGTGACGAAAGAGATGACGGAATTTGGGGGACAGAAGCTGTTCCCCAAGACGATGCCATCTGGCGAGCCTATGAGATCAGCAAGACGAAAATGAAGGTCAGGGGAGAAAGTAAACAGAAGGAGATGAAGGAAGGCTGATGGTGTTCAAAATAGTAGGGATGCAGAACATGAAGGTGATGAAGAAATGGAAGATGGAGATGGAGAAGGACAAGAACAGGATGGCGATTCACAAGAGTAGTACAGACACGGGCACGGATACGGACACGGACGACGAACAGGATGCTGCCAACGCACCGGGCAACATTACTAGATGGAGGCTTGTCAGCGAATTACCTAGCACGCTTAAAACGTTGGTGATTCATGTGCCTGCGGAAGAGCGGAACTATCGCTGCCTTGAGGTCATGCTGGAAGGGTTTGACGAGGAAAAGGCATTGAATTTGCCGTTGCTCGAGACGGTAGAGCTTTACGTACGGACCACTAGCTGCTGGAACGGGCTGCTGGTGAATTATGAATTATCTCTGGCCAAGCTTCAGGCACTCTTTGCGAGTATGAAAACTAGAGTCGCCGTTCTGGAGGAAAGGGGCCGAAGCAGTTGAGATTTTGGCCTCTAAAACGCAGCCGAGCCTAACAGGCTCTAGGTACCAAGTAGAACAATTCATCAGTTCTGTCACGTGTTATTATTGCCCCTCTGGGATCGATCGATTTCAGATTCGTAGATTCGCATTGTTGAGAGTGTTGTGTGGTGTTTTCGGGCGTACACAATCCGTAGATGCTGCTGATAGAAGGAAAGGTACCATCAATGCAGTGGATACAAGACATCAGAAGGTTATACGGGGCAGTTAACACACAACTATAAAAAGATCATGATCGTTTCATTCATCTATCTAATTCACTGTGTGCGTTGCATTCAACAGCTGCATCAATAATCTCCTCTGGGCCTTTTGTTCACTCTTGATTCTCAAAGAATCCCGACTCAGGCCATCTCGGTAACCGCAGCATAATTCCGGCTTATTCCCCATGTGGTTCTCGTTGGCTAGCGTGAAACAGCTGCGTGCGAAGTGAAATCATGCTGAGAGTTACCCACTGGGGCCATTGGGAGGCAAAAGCGAGCGGGCGTGATGTCGCACGCAAAACAGTTTCTTTGATTCCTGCGCCCGCACTTGACCTTTTTTCGTCATAAAAAATTGTTACAATGCTCCGAAAGAGTATAGAGATGCTTTCTGTGCCCTTTTACTTATAAAAAGTGTGCTGTGGTGGTTGGAAGGGACGATAATCGCGATAGTGTGCCTCACCTCGCATGAGTGCCACTTTGCACCACCACTGCCACCTGCAATGGATACTGCTGCCAGCTGGCCCTTGAAATGGATGGAGAGTCACTTTCTGCTCGTTTTACGAATAGAATGAGAATTCACTTTGCTTTCAGATGCGTGGAACACGCGTTCACGTCAAGCCTAACGCGAGAGAGGTCACAGTTGTGCTCCGTTCTGATATATAACTGGCGAAGATTCCTCACTTTGGAACCGAAACTTTCCTTCACTATCTTTCCTTCGTTATCTTTTGCAGATATACTCTCAAACTCAATTCTTTCACTTCTTCCTTCCCTACCCAAACACGATGTCCCTGACCGACTGCCCACACGAGATTCTCTTGAGAATCTTTGAGGATGTGGCCTACACCCCCACACCTCCAGCCTATCGAGGCTGCCGACTCTTCGAATTTGGCGAAAGAGACAGAGCCGAGGCCGCCAGAGACACCCACGGCGAGGATCCGTTTGCCGAGAACGAAAGATTGGACTACTATGCCCCGTCGTCTCAGGGGAGCGATGTAGGACCTGAAAACTCCAACGGCTCTCACGAGTCCAGGATTCGTCAGGATCCGTGGGAACAGATCGAGCTTGACCAATTTTCCACCGGCGACGGACCACACACATTCCCGAATCGGGACCTTAGTGCTATCGCCCAGAGCTGCAAAAGACTCTATGGCGTGGCAACTAAGATCTTGTATCGACGAGCAGGCACCGCAGTCAATTTCCCTGCCTACGTTGAAACGATCTTGACTACCCCCCATCTCATGGCTCATGTCGAGCATCTTACATTGTCCCGTCGTCATCGCAAGGGCCCTGTGACGGCTAAACTCGCTGATCTATGCAACCAGATCTTTGATCGCCATCAAGCTTTTAACCTTTCTGGTCGTTGCGTGCTCCTCGGCGAAGGAGAAGAGGAGGAGCTGCTCCCATACGACTGGGCATCGCTGTCCACCAAGCTAGGTCTTGCCCTTTTGCTGACCTTGCCTAACCTTCGTTCGGTGGACATTTCGTTGTCTCCAAACTTGCAAGGCCTGCCCAACGTCAGGGAATGGCCGCATCTTCCAAACCTTGTGGCGATTCGCCTCATTGATACAACTTGTTACCACGGCTACTACAACATTGGGTATGAACCTCGGTTCCACCCCCAACTTCCCTTCCAATGGCTCTTGAACGCAGCCCCAAACCTGACAACACTGGTTTCGGGCAACGTCGCTGGGATGGGTTCTCTCAGCCATCCATCCCTTTCTGTCTTTGCGCTACACGGTGGTTTCCTTCAACTGGACGAAGTTGAAGGAATTTTGAACAATATGCCTGGCATCCGGTCGATCATTTATCAGCCGAGCTATTTTGGTCGGGCACAAATCACAACAAAAGAGTTCTTCAAAGCCTTGGGAGACTCTAAACGACCCTTCAGAGTCGTGGACGCACGTCTGAATGGTCGAACCATGGAGAAAATCTCGACACCTCAATCCTTGGCGTACACGGTGGACGTACAAAACCTCACTGTGTACGCTATTCGATTGAACCTGTGCCCTGTACATCAGCTGCAGGGCCGCACATTGGATCACAAATTCGCAAAGCTGATCCCCTCTTCGGCAGAGATCCTCGGCGTTGATGATTATCAACGTTGGGAAGACGTTATCTCTATGGCTGACTTTGTGATTCGATGCCGTCACATTGTCAAAACGATCTACATTCGTAACGTAGAGTACGATTATACTGTTCTTGATAAGCAAGAGCCAATGCTTACGTTGAAAGCCCGTGGCATTCGCTGTCTGGTTTATTCACACCTTGACTTTCTCGAATTGGCTGACAAATTTGGGTTTGCATGTCAAAAGTTCTAAAGTTTACACAGAACATGTAGGGTTAAGTAAATCACCCACGATACAACATTGTTTGCCCGTTTTTACTTCTTGATTTGGACGGTTTACAAGTTTGTTTTGACCTTCCTTTTATTATTGTGTATAGAGATGCTTACTTGTTTCTATGATTACGATTCGATCAGTCTAATGACTGGGTTGCTACACGACTACGCAGCTGATTATTGATCGCGAATAACTACCAACGAGGGCTTATAAACGGTTGTTTTTTATGATTTGCATTAAAAGAAAGGCTTTGCGATGACCTTTGCATGGTTGTTTCTATGATTTGCTTGTTTAACGGAAAGGGTTTGCCATGAATTTCAAGTGATTGTTTTTATGGTTGTTTTTATGGTTGACTTTGTTCAACAGAAAGGTTGCGCGATGGCTTTGATGCTCTGATTTTATTACCGGTGTTCTTCTAACATTGAGTTTATGAAGAATTACCACCCCTCTTGCTTTACAGAAACGGTTTAACGGTTTGCACATGGAATCAACGGATAAATTTTAAATGCACAAACTGCGTTTTGCCCTAACGTGATAATTATTTGTGAATCTTTCTACTTTACATTCCTTTCTACAGAGGTGCTGCATTGAGATCCCAAAAAAGCACGCGAAGAAGTTGCACACGTTCTACATCCAACCGCCTAGGCTGATAACAGCTGGCCCTTGACCGAATAGCGAATCACTTGCGATTCGTGTGACAAATGAGATGATAATTCACTTCTGCTTCAAGACGCGTGAAACACGCGTTCGCGTCAGGCGAGAGCGTCAGCGCTGTGCCCCGTGGCGATATATAGTTAGCTAGCTCTCTTCACTTTGGAGTAGAAACGATCCATTCTTGGTCCTCTCGATATCTCTCTTCAATAGATATCACCTGAAGACTCTCAACAAACCGATTAAACCTAGACAAAGTCCTCTTATACTGTACTCTTGTTCGTTTCGCCCTCCTTTACCTAATCCCTTTGGACTCTCTAACCCAAAACATAGGCTGAACGACTACAATGCCACTCACATCACTCCCCGTGGAGATTCTTGAAAAGGTCTGCTTGAATATTGCACGTTCACCAGACATCGCAGAGCACAGAGGCTCGCGTCTCTTCAACTTTGGCGAACGAGCCCAGACCGAGGTCGTCGCCGAGACCTCTTCCGCCGCCGCCTCTTCTGCCCATCCCTCTAGCGAAGATGACGACGAAGACGAAAAAGACGACGACGAAGACGATTACTATACGGATTCGCCATGGCGCGTTCCCTCTGTCTCCGATGGCAGCTTTGACTCGGATAGCAGCTCTAAGATGGGGGAGGGATCTACATCTCGGCCGTTCCAACCGGATGAGGACGCCGATAAGTTCTCGGACAGAGACTTGGCAGCACTGGCACTAACATGTCGTCACATGTATGCTATCGCGAATAAAATCCTCTACCGACGCGGAGGCACAGCCGTACGACTCGCAGACTACACCGAAACAGTCCTAACTCACCCTCATCTGATGGAGCATGTCGAGCATTTGACTGTGGCCAAGAGTCGCCGCAGCGGTGCAGTTACTGAGGAGCTCGCCCAGCTATGCAACGAAATTTTTGTGAGCCACAATGTCGTGAGTCCTCAGGGAAAACCCGTCACCTGCTGGGCTGGTGAACAAGAAAAGCCCTACCCGGCCTGGCCCCCTCTATCGTCGAGGCTGGTTATAGCTTTATTGCTCAGGCTGCCAAATGTAAAAACCATGGACATCCATTATGGGTTTCATCTTGGTAGTACACCCGTCGCCAACAACCCCCCTTGCCTCCCAAAGCTGCAGGCAGTACGAGTGATGGATTGTCACGAGTACGGCCGTAACCATCATCAATACGGCTATCATTCACGACTGCTGCCACAAACCACCGTTCAGTGGATGCTGGACGCTGCCCCGAACCTGATAGCTATTGACACGTCAAATATTGCCTTTGTCACTGCTCTACGGCATCCTTCTGTTTCTGTGTTTGCGATACATAGTGGATGGGCTCACCCCAGGGAGATCCAGCAGCTAATGGAAAGCATGCCAGGGCTACGATCGCTCAAATACCACTCAAGCAGTCTTCACGCCGAGCAGATGAAGTCCAAGGATCTGTACCGCGCAGTGCGTGCCAGCGGGAATGAATTCCTAGTTGTTGATGCTCGTTTCAACGTCATCGCAACGGAAAGGCTCGGCACCAGTTCAATTCCAGCCGGTGAAGGACAAGCAAACAATCTTTCTAGTGTGCCGGTGTCTAGCAATCCCTCTCTCTTGCCGTTGTCTAACGATCTTTCTATCTTGCAGGTGTCTAACGATCTTTCGATCGTACCGGTGTCTTACGATCCTTCTGTTGGGTTGGCGCCTGACGATCATTCCCTCTTGTCGGCGCCTCTCATGCCTCTTGTGGACATTCACAAGCTTCGCATCAAGGCGATTCGCATCAATCTGCTGCCTGTTCATGAACCTTCCGGAAGCCCTTGGGATTGTCGGTTTCAATGCATCATCCCAGCCACGGCCGAGATTATTGCTGTTGATCATTATAAAAATTGGGATGACATCACGGCTTTGGCGGATTATGTTATTCGTTGCTGCCGCGTGGTCAAGGCAATTTACATCCGCAACTTGGGACATGACTTTCAAATTCTTGATAATGAGGAACCGGCACGCAGGTTGAAGGCCAATGGCATTACTTGCCAGGCCTATTCACACATTGACCTGCTCCAACTAGCTGATCCATTTGGTTTTGTACGAACCAGCTTTTGATCGGGTATTGGCAACTGAGCAAAACACTGGTTTTAAACCAATCTTCTTTTTGCTCCTTTCTTGGATTTACTAGCAGATTTATTTATGTTTCAGTTTGACAAGTCTTTAGACTTTGCGTTTTCTGCGTTGTGTTCGTTTACAACAACGAGCCCGCATAATGCGAGCTATGACGCTTGATTCAACATCACCGGCCCAACAATTTTGCTTTTATTACACTTGACTTTTTGACAGATAGTACAACTTTATGATGGTCTTGGTATTTTTATGCTTTTCTTTTTGCTCTGGTTTACATTTTAACATCAAGTTTAGGAAGGTTTACATCTCAACTTTGCTTTTTAGGAACGATTTACGAAATATTTGTTTGTATTAAGGCACATGAAATAACGCAATGAATAAATTTGAAAATACACACAATGCGTTATATCCTAATGCGATACTTGAAATATTTCATAGACACGTATCGTGTCTGCGATGGCCACGATCCCAGCGAAATACGTGCTTTTGAAAACGTCTCGTAAAATTCTCCACATATTGCCTTGTATTCAAAACGTCGAAACTATCTTGCTCATATGTATTTGAATGCGTAAAGATAACCTATTTTGTCTACTCAATCTCAATGCACACCTTGCCGACGTGCTTTCCAGCCCACTGGTACTCGTAGGCCTCCTTGAGCTGCTCCAGCTTAAACACCTTCTTGTCGACCACAGGGCGCAGCTTATCCGGGTTGGCCTCAATGGCGAGACACATTTCCTCCATCTGGGTTCTCGAGCCGACAAGCGTGCCACGAGCAATGCATCCGCGGAGCAGGCACTCAATGAAGCCTGGCTGGTCCTCAGTGAAGCCACCGACAAAGCCAATAATGGTAATGACACCGCTCACAGCAATAGCTTCGAGACTCTGCTTCATCGATGCAGGGCCAGCAACTTCCACAATGTGGTTGGCGCCAACGCCACCAGTAAGACGCTTGGCCTCAACACCCCATTCAGGGTTCTCCTTGTAGTTAATGACATGGTCCGCACCAAGATCCTTGAGGAACTGGACCTTGTCAGCCGAGCTGGTGGTTGCAATGACACGCGCACCAGCGGCCTTGGCGAACTGCAGAGCAAAGATACTGACGCCGCCGGTGCCCTGGGTGAGCACCCACTGGCCAGGGAGCAGCTGGGAGCCACTGAGACCATAGAGGGAGTTCCAGGCTGTCAGACCGGCGCAAGAGAGGGTAGAGCCTTCGATGGGTGTGAGGTTCGAGGGGAGTCGGACAAGGCCATTCTCGTTAAAGGCGCCGTAGTTGCGAAGAGTGCCGTCGAGAGCACCGCCGAGGCCGGAAGCGAGGGTTTCGAGGTTGCTGGGACCGCCAATGTGTGCCTGGCTGAAGAGAGTGACGACCTTGTCGCCAGGCTTGAAGCGGGTCACTTGTCTTCCTACCGCAACGACCTCACCAGCACCGTCTGAGCCGGGGATGACGTTTTCGCGGGTAGGGAAGGCGTATTTGCCCTGGGGGATGATGAGATCGCGGTACTGTGTTTCATGTTAGTAATTGGCTTGTTTTGTGTGTCTGTTGATTTTCCAAGGGCTATTTTTGCTGGGACTCACGTTGAGAGAGGCACCTTGCACTATTCATTGGTATGTCGGTTAGCGTCGTCATAGTGGATTGGGGTGCGCGGTGATAATGGTGTGCTGTTGCTCACTTACACTTGACGAGAACCTCACTGTCTCCAAGCTGAGGGAGAGGCTGCTCGCTGAATTGGAGGGCGTCAAAGCCAGTGGTTCCAGTGACGTTCCACTGCTTGACGGTCTTGGGGAGTTCAAAGGACATGATGTATAGCAGAGTAGAGGCTTTGAGACGATGATGCTTTAGTGATGATGAGCTAGACAATTGGAGACCAGCGTGGAACGAAGGATTCGATCTTTATACCTCAACGGTTTTAGTGATGGGGACCATTTTAATGGCCATCCTACGTATTAGAAATCAGGCTTTCTGCGCTCCATCTTACAAATTCAAGCATCGACCTTTTTGTTGCTGTTTTTGCTGTCGGCGATAGTATTAGCGCCCCTTAACGAGCCTCGCCGCAGCCTGCTCTTAACAAAAGGTGTCTGTGTCCATTGTTGTTGTCGGCGTTAGCGGGCCAAAGAGATCATCATTCTTGCTTAACTAAGGCAATGTCCGACCCAAAAGACAAATCGTGGAGTCGACAGGTGGAGTAGATGCATTGTAAAGCAGAAACGCATGCTGCGCTTTGATAAGCAACTCGCTCTGAAGTGTGGCGGTCAAACTCGGCTTCCTATTCGCTGGTGAACGTTAAAGACGCATTACGAGACATGATTCAGGGCCGCCCAACGCCACCAGGCTGAAAAAAAATCAAAAGCAGGCTCTTTGCTAGCGCCCTGACATGTGCAGGAGAGGCAGAAACCAGACCGCCTTGTTTGTGTATGTGCAGCCTGAGTTTAAAAAAAATCAGGATAGAGTTTTGCATATTACTTGTGATGCAGAGTTTCAAAGTTTGACTCGGATCGAATAAACTTTGATGGAACCGGTTGGGAACCACTAACTAGCGTGGTGATGGTAAGCCGGACAAGACACTAAACCAAACCCCCTCCGATCTTCCCCATACTCCGCATCTCGTGACTAAATATAGTTTATCCTATCTCGGTTGTTGACTTTTTCACTTGTTTCTTCTTCCTATTTCTTCTCCTCTCTCATCTCATCTTCCCACCATCTTCATCATCACGTTTCCTCTCTGCTCTCCGCCTGGTTTACGTTCTCAAAACAACAAAACCATGACGGCAGCAGCAAAGCACCACTCCGACACAGAGGATGGCGACCGACTAGCCCGCCTCCCCGATGCCGTGCTAGTCCAAATCTTCCAAGTCATCGCCAAACACTCCCGCCGCGACCTCTGCAACATCTCGCTGCTCAACCGCCGCTACCACCTGCTCGCCGACGCCATCCTCTACAATGTCGTCCAGTTCCTCACCCCCGAGCTGCACCAAATCTTCACACAGTCGCTGCGTCGCAATCCTCGCCGCGGCTCCGCCATCTACGAGATCCAGCTCGCGTACCCCGCATCGAAGTTGTCGTCCCAGTATCCCGAGACGCCCATCAAAACAAACCACTGGAACCGCCCGCTCGACAATCTTTCTCAGTCCATCGCCACAATGTCCAATCTCGAGGTCCTCGACATTGCCGTCCCCGACACTCTGCTGCACGGCATTGGCCAGCTCTTCGATGGGCCCTTTGATCTCGCCTGCCTGCAATCGTGCACCCTCTTCTACCAGAGCGAGGGAGACGCATTCTGGGACTTGCGAGAAAACATTCACATCTTTTCCCAGCCATCACTAGAAAAGCTCACCATTAAGCGAGCGAAGCTCGACCACAGAGGCTTCGACCTGCTCGAGCAACCGCACAACACAGCCTTGGCCAAGCTGCACCTGCTCGAATGCGACATCAATGACGATGCTCTCGGCGACTTGTTGGCTTTCCCCAAGGCCCTTAAAGAATTCGTCATGACGCAGCCCCAAGACCCGAGCCCGGATCTCGAGGAAAGCTCCGACAGCCTGCGCGACTACATTGTGGCGTTGGGCGCCGCAGCACACTCGCTAGAGACCATCACTATAGATTTTCCCATCCTACGAAATACAAAGGCCCTCGCCATGCGTGACTTTGTCCAACTCAAGACGCTGCGGATCAACTGGGATCACCAGCTCTTTGGCAAGTCGTCCAAGAAGCCGCGCATGACCTCGGTCGGTGTGCCCCCCGAATTAGAGACGCTCGAGTTCTTCAACCCGCTCGGCACAGACGAAGAAGTCACCGATTTATTTGTTAGCGCAGTAGAGAGCATACACATTACAGCACGCAAGTTGGCCCAGCTCATCCTCGTTGAGGGCGGCGACGACGGCCAGACGATTCCGAATAGACTACACGATGCGCTGAAAGCACAGCCGCAGATAAAAATAGATGTTATAGGGCAAATGGATATACATGGCGAATAGACGGCCCGTCTTTGGATTTTTTACATAGAACATCATTCTACAGTTTTTTTATTGTATAAATATACCCCCTTATGATGATGATACTACTGCTTCAGACCAGTTTCACAATCACGAGTAAAATTAAAGGATAAATATTGAGTAAAAAGATTCTTTTCAAATAAAATGAGTGTATCCAAATGAGTGCGCACCAAAATCGTAGCATGAAGTGTATGCTGCTGGCATCCATAAAAGAAACATTACCCAGTCCTACCAAAAACGCCAATACAAAAGAGCCAATCAAACGCCAAACCAACATAAAGAACGCTCAACAAGTAAGGAACCTACAAAACGCTTTATAAATGACAAACAGAAAACAAAAGGATCAGAGCCGTCTCTCATTTGCCCAGGCTGACCTGGATAGTGCCGCCATTGGGGAAGCCTCGGCAACCACCCTCCGGTTGGTTCTTCGGGTTCAAGCCAAAGTTGGCGCCAACCTGACTGCCAGGGGCGCAGTTTAGGAGGTTATAAGAATCAAGCAAGCCGCAGGTATTTCCGCTCTTACATGTAAAAACGCACGTGTTCATATCGGACAAACAGGTGGGCGTCTTGATGCTCATGGCGTTGCCGCTCATGTTGACTTCACGGGAGACATCGACGGTAGCATCTGTCCCGCCCGTGGTGAACTCGCCCCAGGTGTTGAAGACCTGCCCATTTTGCGAAAGGGTCGTCTTCTGGCTAATCAGGTGGGCGAAGCCACCGGACACGCCGTTGGCAATGGACACAGTGACGCTCTGACCCGGCTTGGCTAGCGAGTAGGACACCTGCGACCTGCGGGCATTCATGAAGCTCGACTGGAAGTCGCCAGGAGGTTGGTTCCAAACAATCACGGTAATGGGGCCTGCGGCATTGTTGGTAAAGACGAACTTGTTGGGGCCTTGGTTGCCGATCCAGATCTGGCCGTTGGGGGCCTGGGGGTTGAAGCCCTGGCCGGCCATGCCGATCTTGGACATGTGCTCGCAGTCGGGCTTGCTGAGGCCAGGTGCGAGTCTGCTGCAGTCGAAGCCGGCTCGGGAGGAGAGTGCGGAACGCTGGACGATTCTAGAAGATGGTGTTAGTGAGATGTGTGGAGAGGGGAGAGGTGGTGTGTGTACTCGGAGGGGGCGGCGAGGGCAGCACCGAAAAGGGTTGCCGAGGCGATGATACTAGAGAGTGAGAAAGGCATTGTTGCTAAAGCTGTTGTAAAGACTGTATGGGATACTGAAAAGAGTGTTGAAAGAAAAAGAGAGTGCTTGCTAAAGAAGGTGCTTAGAGCTGTGGGTTGATGAGATCCATAATGGTGATGGGATAGAACAGTTTATATATCTGTTAGAAATGGGTTGTCTGTTTTAGCCGTTGTGAAGAAAGAAACTGAAAGCGTTCTTCTGGTCAGTTTGAAGCAGTTTGGTCTGGTATCATGGTCTCCTAGGGTCGTTTGAAGCCCGATGATACGGGCTTCCAACGGCACCGAAACCCGCATGAATCGCAGTGCCAAGAAGAAGGAGTAGTAGCAAGGTGAGAATGAGATCCCCCTTTCTCTTGGTAGTTTATTTCATAATGGTAAAGATGGAATCGTCGCGGCGCACGGCCACCTTGGAGGATTCCGAGTTTCAGTGCCGATCCAGGACGGTCTCGTCTGTGCTCGAGGATGCAAGGCTGTGACTTGATGAATTTTGCCGCCGGTTTCTTTTTGCTTCAAGGGACTCTTAGAGAGAGGCTTACTGGAAAAGTCCGCAAGCCGCTCTGCAAGCAAAATCGGGCGGTGGGCATAGCCAACGCTTCTGGCTTCTATTATACCCGAAGAAATTCGCTTTTAAATCTCAAGATATATTTATTAGCATTATTTAGTCTTGAGTAATTTCTCTAGTATTTTAACAGAGCGTTCTGGTGACGAGGAGAGGTTCGGCTGCTGCGACACGCACCGTTTCACCCTCGTCATAGAGCCTGCGACCGCGACCAGAAACCACTCTTGCTGTATATTCGTCTCATCGTATACTCTGGACAAAGTTTCTGGGAGGAGTTGTTAGTAATCCTGGGAAACTGAGCCTCCTCGTTCAGAAGCATGAGTCGTATGCAGCGCCGTTGCATGTTCTAGGTGACTGAACAAGGAACAAAGGAATTGAATCGCATAAAGTTGCAAAACTAAACAAAGTGCGTTATAAATTTAAAGAATTGTGCCAGTACAATTCAATATGTGGTCACTAATTTTCAATGCTTCTTGTTTTGGAACAATCGTTTTCTTTTTGTCAGAATGGCTACAATCCAAGTAATAATTTGGGATTGTTGCTATTCCACGATAGAGAAGCCAACTTGTCGATATTCCCCAAACTACGGCAAAGAATATGCCTTACAGAAAAAGTTACCTTGTCAAGAATCTCATTAATGTTTACCATGGCTATTTTCAGTAAGTTTGATTATTTTCCAAGCGTAGCTGGCCATTGCAGAAACACACAACTTTGTACCGGGTAGGGCGTAAACAAACGCTTCACGCAAGACGACTTGTACAATTTGTATAAAATATTCCACTAACTTATTCACAATGAGAAAAAAAATACTAAAGGTCCTTAAATGCTCATAAAGTAGGACAGCATGGCAGGGTAGTCAGGAGTACCCAGACCAGTCACAGGGTCCCAGCCCTTGACCGCAGAAAAGCCATTGTTGCCGCAAGCACTCTTGCCACCATCACCGTTAGGTCCGCCCTTGTCCTGGTTTCCAGACGTAACATCGCGGAACATGGCCGGGTTCTTGTAAAGAGCAGGGTTGGCAAAGCCAATGGTTGGTTTGCCGGCCTTGAGTCTCTCCTCGTTGATGCGCGTAAAGATGGACGCGACAATGGGCGACGAGGCCGACGTGCCGCCCGAAATGTTTGGCAGGGCCATGACTACAACAGCAATATTGTCACCAACAGCAGCAATGTCGGGGTATCCACGGCCGATGCGGTTGTAGATACCGCCCTCATCGGGGATATTGCCGTCCGAGGTGTTGTATGAGGGGTAGCCGGGGTCGTGCTGGGCAAAGTAACTGTCTGTATGTTAGAAAGGGTTGATAGGAGGGAAACACTATAAAAAAGAACTTACGCAGAAACTGCGTCCTTTTGGTAGTCAGGCGAGGTCCAGATGTTGCTGAAGCCGCCACCAGAGGAGAAGCGGCTAGTAGCCACTTCGGCATCACCAGGCTTGGAACCTGCAGGCAAAGTCGTGGAACCAACAGAGGTGACGTAGGGGCATGAGGCCTGCTCGCCTGGAGTAAAGATGTTCTTCTTGGAGCCGAGGCAGGGACCGGCGCGACGGGCAACACCATCATCACCGCTGGCAAAGACAATAGAGGTGCCTTGAAGACCAAGTTTCATGAACTCGTCACATTGGCGCTGCCCCTGTTAGCAAATGCTCACTTTAGGGTTGGGGAGGTTGGATATACCTTGAGGTAGTAGGTAGGGTAGTCGACTTCAGCCGTGCCGTAAGAAAAGGAAATGACATTGGCAGCCTTGAAAGTGCCACACATCTCGTTGGGTGTTGCTCCATCGACGACGGGATCATCGCCAGTCTCGCCATAAGCAGTGGAGTTGCAGTACGAGCCATCGACAGCGTCAAGAAACGTGTTGAAGATGTCATCCTTGTTGACGTATGTCTCATACAACTCTGTTTGTTGGGGGTAGATGAGAGGAATGGCGAGCTCAAAGTCCAAGTCGGACTCGCCACCAGCAGTCAGCTGTGAGTTGGGAGCCTTGGCGCCATCGATCAGGTCAATCTTGGGACCAGTGCCAAGAGGGATGCTCTGTTCAAAGAGGAGGTAAAACTCGTTCAAGTCACCTTGAGAGTAGACATCTCCGTAGTATTCAAAGATGCCCAGGCGGTTGTTGGGATTGGCAGAGGTGCCGTCGGGGATGCCGTACATGGACTTGATGCAGTGCGGCGTAACGAGGACTCCACAGAGGGCATCAGACACTAACTCAGTTGTTAGCCCACTTCACTTTAGTCGATATCCTGACATGGGACTCACGAGGGTTGGACTTGAGGAGGTCAAGCAGGGCCTTGGTCAGTGGCTCCAACGGCTGCATCATGGACTGCTTGGGCAAGGCGCGGCGCTTCATGGCCTGCGAGGGCTCCCTGGTTGGCGCAAACACAACACCGGGGGTAACGAACTCAACAATCTCCGAGATGGCACGGGGTAAATGGTACTCATCCGTGCCGATATGAGCATTGCGAGCCTCGACATGGTCGTACGTGTGGAATCGAGTTGCAAGCAGTGACTCGAGCTCGCCCACGGTGCTGGGGAACTCGACCCAGGCATTGCTGCGGGGAATGTTGATCTTTCTCGCGTCAATGCCTTTATCGACAAGCCACCGCTTGACGACGGCAGCATTGTCGCCGTCTGCAGCAAAGAGCTTGGCAACTTGGTCTTGGGTGTAATACTTGCCGTAGTTGTCGGAGGCGGGATCGGATCTGATGAGCGGCGCAAGGTTAGTCTCAGCCACAGAACTTGGCGGAGCCGCAATCTTCAACTTACACATCCAGCAGATATTCCATGCCCTTGTCCAGGTTGCGCTGCTTCAAAGCAATGCGCACAGGCACCTTGGAGTCGGGATGGAGAGCGTCACGCTTAATCCAGCGCTTGGAGCTTGCATCGCGCTTCTCGTGCACGACGTGCGTGGTGGAGGGAGCAGCAAGCGCTCCAGCCAAGAGGCAGCTAAGCAGGGCAAATGACTTCATCACCGTATGTTGTTTAGTGTTTTCGTGTTGCTCTTTGTACAGAGCCGACTTTCCAAAGTAGGTGCCATGCACCTCTGCCTTTATACTTCCTTTCCATTGTCCATTTCTCCCCCGCCATTGTTCGCAGCTCATGACTCTACCTCGGCCAATTTTCTTGTGAATTGCCACCTTCTAGCCGCTAGGCCCAAAGGCCCCGATGCTACAGCATTCATCCGCACGCTAGCACGGAGCCGCCTTGCAACTAAGCGAATTGGTGTACAGACTAACTTGCCCAGTTACGTACTGCATCTCGACCATTCTCTGCGGGGAAGTGGAGGGCCGGGCGCTGATCGGCTGCCATTGTGCCCCCCCTACCGAACAATAGCGCTGTGTTCTAGGCCTGACCAGGCAACTGGTCGTGCAAGTTGCATCACAGTGCTGGACTATCGTGCGCTAGAGGGCCAGGAGGGTTGTGCGATAGGGTGCTGAGTGAGCTCGCTTGTTTAGTGCAAATACATTTGCAGCAGGCTGTAGCTCATGTGATGGGATGCGATGTCGGGCGGCTACGCGAACTTGACAAAATATTGATTTTTTGAAGCTTCTCATCCATGCGAGGAAGGTCGTGGCAATCAGTGTGCGCAGCGCACGGCCAGGTCAGAAGAGCATCTGCGTGTCCCACATCCCACATTGCGTGAGTAGCGGAAGGTAGTCTTGCTAGCAGGTAAAGATGTAACTCCGGGAATGTCGGCATCGCGTATTCGTTATATTGAACGGATGTATCTTGATCGGGCCTTGTACATATTCAGCTGGTCCTTAACTTAGTACGTATGGGCGAAGATGTGGTGAGCCAGCTCGGCAAATAACGCTGGACGGTGGTGTCATACCGCAACGGTATATGTGATTTCTGACTTCTGTACAGTTTGGGTAAGGTTTGTTTTGCTAGCATTCTCAAAGGTAGTGTACTTAGCATTGGTGGTTTCAGGTTTTGCAGCCACAGCCCGCGGCGTCGATGGCTCCAGTGCAGCGTGCTAGATTTAGTGGACGCTGTCTACGTCACACAGATACTTTGTGCAGAATCATGCAGATTGGTGACATATTTGAGGATGCTGCAATTCAGGTTACTTTTAACTTTTGTTTAGAATAGATGTCAATGACCATTATTTTCTGCCTTTAAAATATATAGAATTTTGCCAAGTGTCTGCCAGGTGTCTACCAGCTGCGAGCCGGCCCATTTCGTTCAGCCGCAATCCACACAAATCAAACTCGTTGAATGCACAAGCCAACCGCCGTCTTTTGACATCTCCATCTAGTCTCTGCTACGGTTCGCCAACGTTTATGTGCATTCGTTCACTAAACTCAATTGAATAGTACAGAATGGCAACTGTTGATACCGGCGAGATGCAAGACTTGGATCGTGGCACGTCCCCTCTGCTGCGTTTACCAGCCGAAATCAGACACCAGATTTATGACCATGCCTACCCCAAACACCTCTTGCATGTCAAGCGCATTGTGTACCATAACCGAAAGAATACAGACCGATATATCGCTTACTGGTACGGCTGACGACTTGCCCTCCCTTCCCCACCAACTATAGACTAACAGATGCGCTTGTAGGTGTGTTGAGGCGCAACATGAAAGACATGCCCACCTCCACCGTGCATGTCACACGCTAGAAGCGCCTAGAAAACACACGCTTGGATTGCCATTGGCCTGCAAGCAGCTTGTACGTGATGTACAACAGCCAAGTGACACTTGTTCAGTCCTCGCTAATACCAGACGGAAACAGTACAATGAAACGATGCAGAAAGTTTACAGCAGGCCCGAGTTTCACTTCTACTTTGAGGAGCTCCTACTCCTGTGGGCTAAGCAGACTCCAACGATACATCATACAGCTCTTACATGTGTCACGATAACGTCAATGTCGTTTGACGCACGGAGTCCAGAGACATATCAAAAGACATGGGAATTCCTTGCCGCACTATCAAATCTTCAGACTCTAAGTGTATTCGTCACCAGCAATAACAACGCCGATCTATGGGAAGACTCATTGCAAGAAATGGCGGAGCCTACAACAAAAGTGCAGCAACACACGCTCACGCACTTTGATCTCATCTTTGATATCACCCCCACCTGGTTTCCAGACGACTGCTATCTAAAAATCAACTACAACAAGCTCCACTGGGATACATTCATCATTGAAAGAACCGAGTATTCCGTGTTTGATAGTTTACACCCAAAGTGCCGTCTCATCGGGATGAACGGCTACCTATTGTATCGCCCCATACCTCAAGTTCTTCCTACAGCACAAGAACTCACAGAGTGGATTGAATGCTTTAGCTGCAATTCGGCCTATGGACTCGACGAACCTGATGGCTACGACCCTGATGAAATCGGCGAGCGAGCAAGGCGGATCAAGGATGCCCAACCGACTGAGGGTGCCTATGACAAGGAGGATGCTTTCCAGAAACTTCGAGACGAGTTGGAGGATAAATACTTGTACGGCCCAGACTGCGATGACGATCCGGACCATTGGGACTTGGAGGCGATTGATCGGCTTGCCGATCACCTGGAGATGCCAAACACGTATTTGGAAACACCACATTGGTATTATCCTGAAACGCCCAGCTGGGTCACTGACGCCGAGCTTTAGGGAGTAGGATTTGTGGCAGGCGATGATGTACGAAGAAATTGGAGCAATGGGAAGGGAACGCCGCTCGTGAAGTACGAACTTGTTGTATATTAAAGTCATCCAATGTATATAGAGATTAGAGCTTCAAAAAATAAGCAGCAACCCCAACCACGCACCTATCGTTTTACTTTTCTAACCATCTGCAAAATTATGACGTCGTCCATTCCGGGCTTAGCATTTGGTTTCCTTCTACACCCGCCGCCCCAATCAGCAGCTGGGCTTGCTCCGTGCCAGACACAGGGAGCTTCTGCTGCTGGCCGTTGTGATCGAGATGTGATGGAAGGATTCCAATCTGGCGGAGAACAGATGCTTGATCCCACCAAATGTGCTCGTGATATAGACGGTCACCGCGGACATTGACTACCGCAAGCATGGGGACAGAAATCTTGACATTTGTGGGCTGGACCCCAGGTAACAGCCACGGGATTACCGATGTGTGCGTGCATGAAAAGATAAATTCGTCTAAAATTCCTGTTAGCGACTTAAATTAGAGTCATATCAACGACGAAACATACCGACAACGCGATCAGGGCCCACTGTACGTGATAATGGGCTGAGAACGGTATCTGGTGGGTTGCTAGAGGCTGTTAGGGTGCGAAACCATGGGTGGTAGACTATTACGTACCAGAAGATGAAGTTATCACGGTAGAATGCCGTCAAGTTTGCTCTTCCCCGACCACCCGTCATCTATCGTCTCGTAAGTAAATGAAGACAATTCACAATAACTCCTACGTACCGTTGGTAGATGGTTTACGTATGGCTCAGCCTAAGCAACGTTTAGTATCGTGGATATGCTGGCTGAGAGAGTTGCGACTTACCACCATTGTCGCCATGGTCCTTGCGACACTCCTTTCCTCAAACTCAAACTTGGTATGCTCCTCCCAGATACTCACAAGGTCAAAATGCGGCCCGCCAAGATGCTTCCTTAGAAAGACGAGGTTTCGCGTATGCGCCAACGCAGCGGCGCTAGGATTATAGTCCTTGTCGTACGGGAGGATGAAATTCACCCCGCAATCATTATAGTTGAAAACTGTAGTATTTTCAGCTGAGGTAGCCGTTGATGCATCGTTTTGAGCAATATGAGATTGTAGCGGGATGCTCTGCAAACTAGCAATGGGGCTACTGGACACCGTGATGACACACGCAATACCGAGGTCGCTTAGCATTGACGCAGAGGATGAAATCTTCAAAGACAGTTGCTCGTCGTAGATGATGAGACCAAATTTATCTTTTACCGTCAGAGAGTCGTGAGCCTTGAGTGCCGCAGTCACCGCGCCAAGCTGGGTAGCGAATTCGCCTTCACCATGCGTACCAACGACTGCGAATCCCTCCTCTGCCCACTTTTGGATCGGGTCAGGATCTAGCGATGAACCTGAGGAGAGACTGTTTCGTTGTGCGGTGATTAAGATGATACCCGGGCCGGAACCACGCCGTGAGAGAGGGGGCTGCAGGAGGGCTGAGCCGTTGAGGAGGATACGCCTTGGTGCATTGGGCAGCTCTGGTATGTTTGTAGTTTCCGTTGTGCTGTTTGGATCGTATGAGACTGGAGCCGAGGACATTGTTGATGAGATGGTCTTGGTCAGATGTGGTGATGTTGGTGTTCAAGTGAGGCATACGACATCCGGCGTCGGGTGAATCGATCTACCCCGCCTTGTCAAAATATATGATTTACTACAACGGGTATCTGCATATACTCGGGGGATGACAGCGCACCAATTGTTTTTTTCATAGCTCATGTGAAACATGTTGATTTATCAATGATTTAATCTATATTTATTGTTCCACATGCTAGCATGCGCTCGTTGCTACTCTAATCACCACCCAACGGATGGCTTGAAGCCAAATACCGCCACCTTTCCCTCGGCCACATTATAAATGCAACCAGGCTAAACTTTCAGCTTATTCGTCTAAACTCGTATAATATTCATCATTCATTGACTTCTTTTGCAGCTTGCGGCTTGTCCGTTGGCCACGGGTGCACAGTCAACTGCGGCCAGATGCCCTTCCACCTCGCAGCCTTCTTCTCAAACGCTTCACGTGTTCCAAGTATTGCATTCGGTCTAACTACCAAATTGAACATATCTGAGATCCCCCAAGGAGCATAAATGTCCCACTTGTCCTTGTCTTCCTGGCCCGGCCGTATCCGCACGCCAATCATGGCAGAGTTGGAGATCCACGAGTCGATGCCATCCTCCAACGTTTTGTGAGGGGCACAATCTACTCCGTGCTTTTCACTGTACCAGAGATGCACACGCGCCTGGTTTCGAATCTCCACCTCGGTGTCTATGCTAGCAAAAAGCGCCTTTCCTGCCTGAATCACCTTGTCTTCGGCTTCCCAGGACAGGTCGTCAGCATCGTAGTAGACTAGATCGTAGTCAGAGATGCCGGCCTCGGGTTCCATGCCACAGACATGGTTCCAGACTGTCTGTGATAGTGAGCCAGCTGCCAGATACCAGCTGGAGAGGCCGAGCTGCGGCGCAAGCTCGAGGACCTTGAGTAGTGTTTTGTTTGTTGAGAGGACACGTTGGAATTCATCTAGTTGGAGATGCAGAGGCATCTGTGCGATTCTACGTGCTTCCGACATGATTACAGCCCGTGTTGCGTTTCGGCGCCTGTTTTGCGGTTTGAAATGCGAGGGGATGATTCACAAGGACGTGCCCGTGGAGATCTAGGCAGAAGCAGGATCAGGCCAAAAATTGACTTTTGACTGTAACCCTAACCCAAAGACTCTGCAAACAGGCAGACAAGGTTTATGAAAGGGTTGTCTTTGCTTTCTTTACATGCGCGGAGTGACTTCTTACAAAAGCTTTGTTGAGGATTTAACATTTATTTATTTTAACATTCATTTATTAACGCCTTTACTCTTCGGGCACAGTTTCAAATCGATCTCCTCGTAGATGATCCGTCACTCCAGGAATCTCATTCTTGCAATACAAAACAGCACCCTCCTTTGTCAACAGAGGCCCAAATTCCTTTAAATACTGTTCATCAAAGCACCCAACAGCAAGACTGTGATTTTTACTTGTGATGCCAGAATAGTAGAGGTAGCTTCCGCATTTCGTGCAGAAGCCGCGACGTTTTCCTGGGGTAGCTTCGTAGTTTTGCAGCGTCGACGATGCTGTGAATTCAACGCACTCCTTCGGGATGGAATAGAATCGGAAAAACAAGGCGCCAGTGACTTTTCTGCAATATGTACATTGGCACGTGCCGACCTGTCACAATTGTTAATCATGATGCCCTAGCATTCCGAAAGTCTAGGTAGCCCTACACAGTCATCCCAGTCGTGATTCGCTGGGAATTTGATTGTATATCGCACGGATTCGCAGAGGCATCCGCCTGTGATTTCGGTGGGTTTCGACATTGTGGTTGTTGGAGTTCACACAGTCCCCCACTAATAGTTGTCTAACTGACTCTATTTAAGCTAGACGGACAACAGCCATCGAGTCACTTGTGGCGCTGAATTGATAATAGTTTAACCTAGAAGCTTGAGTCACATTGGCTTCGCTCGACTGAAAGATTCACGCTCTTTCCCCTCCCGTTCCTCTCAAGCTGGGCTTTGGCGTCGCCGATCCCCCGCCCAGCTAGGTTCAGCCGCAGCCCAATCAATGACAGCAGCTTTTCCATCGGCGTTTTGAGAAGCGAAATGTAGTATTTGGTTTTGATGGGAGTTCGTCGGACGGAATCAAGAAAGGTCTGAAATTCGTCATATTTACTATGTAACAGCTTGACTACAGCACTATTGCCTCCCATCACCGGATAGGCCTTTTCCACGAAAGTACAATTCTCTTTTATTTCAACACACCGATCGGCTTACCAATGATGTCCAAAAGCGCATTCACCAACGTCAACGGCAAGAATTCCAGCGTAGATACTAAGTCAAGCAAAGTCGATGGCAAAGTCACTGTCGAGCAACTCTTGGGAGGCACATGCCCATCCATCACCCCGTGAAGCCATGCCAGCGCCTTGAATGCACCAATGACTGCCAAACTTCCATGATTGGCACTTCCATCACGGACGTAGGTCACGCTGCCCCCAGTGCTGCAGTACCGCTGTACAAGAGCATCCGTATCGGCGACAGGGGAGATCTCGTCCTTGACAGCCTTGTAAATGTAGAGTGGGATCTTGGGGGTTCCAGTGTGTCCCAGATCGTTGGCTGCCACGGTGCTCTTGAGAATCGGGTTGTCAAGAATGTTAGGGTCGTCAAACATGCCAAGAATATCCTGGTTTCCAAACGTGTCACCATTGGCTCCAAGACACTGGGACAATGCTTTGTGCAAGTGGTCTCTGTTCTCGGGCTTAATGTGCTTCTCAACTTCAGCAGCGAGCTCGGGGAACTCTTTACCCATACCTAGGATACCAGCAGGCAGCAAGCCTGCGTTTGGGCCTCCATTGACGGTGCGGACAGCACTCATAATGTCGGGAACATTGCCTCCCGCGGCTACACCAACAATCTTGAGTTCGGGGGCATAGGTTGGCTGAAGCTCTGCCGCCCATCCACTGACTAGACTGCCTCCAGAGTATCCCCACATGGCTACACGGGCATTTGGCTTGATGCCTGTGATGGATCCGGAACTCAAAGCGGCACGGATTCCATCCAGCACGGCATGGCCTCCGGCTCTGTTGGCAGTGAAAGCACCCTTGTAGCCTTCGTGGTCGGGAACAATGACGACCCAGTTCTGTTCGAGAGCGGCTTCGATAAGAAGAATTTCCAGTTGTGTAGTCTGTGTACCGGCATCAACAGAATCCTTCTGGTAGACATACGACGGCGCACAATTGAGGTAGGCCGCGTCCTCTGCATTTTGGTACGAGAGGACCTTGGAGTAGTCTGCAAAGTAAGGGACAAAGACAGTCAGCACCGTAGCGGTGGCATTTCCATGGCTGTCTGTTGTTCGATAGAGAAACTGATGGGCTTCTTTTAGGTTGAATGGAAGTGTGCGAAACGCCCGGATCGGAGCGGGAGGCGGTCGGTGGCTGATGATCCCGCCTGGGGGCAACTTGTCCGCATTCGCAGGGACATTGTAAAAGGCGTCATTGCTGGGCAGCGTAGGAGGCTGGTCAGCAAGAGGAGCAGCGAGTGCTTGAATGCTGAAAAGGGCAATAAAGCCCGACAGAATAACTCTAGGGTTGAATCCCATTTTGTTTTGCGTGCAAGTGACAGTGTGGGTTGGACAGGAGGCAGCCTACTAGCCCTTTTTAACTCTGCAGTGTTTTCAAATGCACGTTATTCCGTCTTAAACAAAAGGTCCTGATGTCTGCCGATGCATGGACAGGAGTGGGGGCCAGACGACGATGTGAGGTTGCAATCGCTAACAAACAACGACACCAATACACGTATTCTCACCGTTCTTGGCTGCTGGCCAGCCGCCACAACGGAACACAATGTGATCGAGTTCAGCCGACTCCGTTTTTTTCATTTGCTTTCGAAAGGGAGGGAGAATGTCTTTCTAATTAGATTGCTAGGTTTCTGAGACCTGGTGGTAACAAGCAAGCAGACAGAGACATCGGACGGGAGGCGTCTGTAATAGCCATGCATAAACGGTCGCCCACCTTAAGTGAACATAATTAGACAACTCATTTCTATATAGTTATTATAAGTCTAGCTTGAAAATAGTATTCTACGGTCATAAATTGGCAGCTACACAAGTCAACAGTAGGGATCGACACGGGATGGCAACTAGGCTGTGCTTCCCCGCACTACCCTTACCCTTGCATCCCTCACCTGAACTCAGCCGTAAAGTCCATCGGCATTTTCGCACTGGATCGGGTGATGATCAGCCCATTTGTCGTTCAAGGCGAGAACCAACCGGTGACGGTATATGCCGCTGAGCGGAGCGGAACTATAGCGGAATACTTCCTTAGCACGACACCATACTTTGCTCTTCTTATGTCATCTTTCGTCATTCTTTATATACAATATATACTCTTTGCTATGTACAATATGTGACGACTTGTTGTGTATGTATGTACAAATCGATCCACCCAGAGGTATTCCCTCGTCATGTATACTTGGATGCCCACTTAGACGGCAATGTCGAAGCTCATGTTGTGGATGACAGTGCCATCATTGTCGTGACCACCAAAAGCAGTCCAGAGATCAAGGCACATGTCGATAGAGTTGTCGTTGCTCAGGTTGCGGTCAGCGACAACACCGGTGCGAGTAACGCCGTTGTGCTTAATGGTGATCTTCTTGCCGCACAGAGTGTTGTGCTGAGCAGAGCCGTACTTGTCAAAGATGCCAGAGGGCATGGCGACAAACGACGAGTTGGGGTCCACGTTCTGGAAGTAGGTGCTGATGCCGCAGGCGCCGTACTCGCGAAGGATGCGGTGGCATTCGTTGGCATCGCCGAAGCGGTAGATGGAGCCGTTGGCATTGTCGCCGTGGACGGTGTTGCCGCCGCTAGGAGGAGGGTTACCACCCGAAGGAGGAGGGGTAGAGCCGCAGTAGTCGGGACCGGTACCGCAGTAGCCATACTGAGAGCAGCACTGGCCAGAGGCGCAGGGAGCACCAGTGTTGCCGCAGTTGCCAGAGGTGGGAGGAGGGGGGGGAGGAGTAGAGCCGCCGGTGCAGTAGTCAGGGCCAGTACCGCAGTAACCGTACTTGGAGCAGCAGTATCCCGCAGGGCAGTTGGCGTTGCTGGTGCATTGTCCATCGCGGCCCATTAGGACGTGCGAGGACGACTGGTGAGGCATGGCGGCGACAAGCGAGGCCAGCGAGAGAGCGGCAAGGGCGATAGCGGAGTTCTTCATTGTAGTGATGGTTGGATTGAGTGAATCTAGAGAAGTGTTTGTTGTGTGTGAATGACTATTATAAACTGTTTGATGGCATGGGGGCAACTTGGAGTTCTTATATCTCGACCTAGTAAACCATCTACAAGCAAGGCACCCACGTTTTTTCTACGAGCAGCCCTATTCGGGACAAGAGTGCGAGCTGGCGTGCTCCATTCGGCTAACATGGTTACATATCGATCCATTATCGTGCCGTTCTTGGGCTTCGTGGAATCATTTTGGGCTACTTGCTTGTTTGCTTACATGGATGGAATCTACGGAATATGCCTCAGGAAATGTTCCGAGAGAAAAGCAAATGTCCAATTGAGGAAGGTACAACGTTACGTGGGTGGATTCTGGCCACCAAGAATGAGAATAAGCTGCGAGCTTGACAGACCTTTTTGGGTAGCCATCTTTGCGCTAGTGATGCGGCTAAAGCCATTCGGCAAGGCGTTTGAGGCAAGCCGTGAGATAAGCCACGCCTGCATCTCAGGGGTAAAAAGAGAACTATACTACAATTTTCTGCAGCAGAAGATGCAGGTACCAATATATCACATGCAACGTAAAATGTGTCTGTAGCAGACTCGACTTTGCTGTCCTCAACAGCCTTGGCTGTCCATACCAGACTACAATAGTTTAACCGGGGTACCACAGTTGCGGCATTTGAGTTTTGCCTAGGCTTATTTCTCTGCCAAGCGAAGAAACGCAGGGACTATTATTTCCCGTCAGACAAGCGATTCGTGGAATTGCTCCGTGCGTTGGCCTACATTGTTGGTTTCTGGGGCCAATGTTAGCGGACGGGGCGGCGCGCCAAAAGCCTAAAACTATGTCCCCGGATTACGGCCGACATTACAGCGAGGTCAAGAAGAACCATTGTTCGCGACCACGTGGTTCGTGCTTGCTGCGGCGTCGCGCCATGCAAACTACCCAAAGTTTGTCTGTTACATGCGTAAGCGTGGTTGCTGGACGTGGTACGGAATCTTCGGAGAGTTTGTGTAGTTTACCACTATACAAGCTATATTTCCTATTCTATCATTTGCACACGTTAGTAACATGCGCTAATTACTACTAAGTTGCATATTGCCGCAAGTCAGCGACAGAGGAGCGGTTTAGTCGGGGCCATGGAGAGACAATATTTAGCTGTAGACTGTGTCTTATCGCTTAAAGGGGAGCCAGATTTCTATTAAATATAAAGAGAAAAATAAAAACGAAGGGCAATGTTCATACAAGTTCATTTATTAACCTGCGCATGGTTGGATTTGGGGGTTTCGATTAGAGCTTTAGCTCGTTGGCTCCTCAGGGTATTTTGGACGCTTTTGGGATATAAGGGTGATTCGTTAGCTGAAGATATTCCTCGAAATGCATACAATAACATTGTGAGGCTATTTGCTATGAATAAGCCAGACGACAAGCCTACTACATTTTATGAATTGACAAAGTCAGCTCTAGGTGTTTGAATAATACGGATAGCATGACGAGCTTAATGCAAAGGGCGAGGTTGCCATACGTGTTAGGGTCTGACAGTTGTATGGCATATTGTATATACACAGAGCTTGGAATATCGCGACTAGGCTTGATTCTGTCGTAATTCAGGCAGCCAGAGATTAAGTACAATTTTCGAAGAATGTAGTCGTCGCCAGATAGGCAATTTGCGTCGCCGTTGAAGAACCAACCTTAGACTGGTTTAGAAGATACCCGTACATGGCAACGAAAGGAAAACACCACTTATAGCACAATTGACCAATGTTTAATAAATACACTACTGCTAAATATTCTATATGTTTTACAACTCTGTCTGGGTAAAAATCATCGAGATCTCCACGTGATCTCCATATGCACGTTATCTCACCATACAGCCTAGTTTGGTGATGCCTTAGCAGCGCGAGCCTCAGCTTCACCGCTGCTCATACGCAGAGCGAGACCCTTTTCAGCCCCTCAAGACCCTTCAATTCAGCGATCAATTGATTTATAGTCATGAAAAAAATAAAAGGTATCTTTGGGCGAAAGCCGAAACCGGCGAACGCTGAGCTTCTTTCACCTGAACACAACAACCCCCTCCCTGAGCGACACATCCCGCCCAGCCTCTATACAGAGTTCAACCCTCCTTGTGCCCGACCAAAATGAAAGCCATACCAGCGACACCTCACGCCCGGTCTCCGTCCAGGTCTCTAGTCAAACCAATTCGCCACAGGTAGCAGCCAACCCCAGCAGCGTGGATGCCTTGCCTCTCACCTCCCTTTCAATACAATCAGCCACGGCCAGCGGGGAAGCCGTCGACAGCACCTCAGAACCAATCAATAGCCAAGCCCAAGTGTCACAGCCTGTCGAAGTTGAGACCCTTACTAAAGAAAGCACCCTAACGATGCGAGAAACCCTTTGGCGCCGTGCTTATGGTATGCTGGCTGAGAAACAACCAGATCTTGGCCAAGACTACGGCAAGCACCTACAGGGTGACGTCGATGACGTTGATGGTGCTGACCTACCAGTGTTGGCTGATCCAGAACGTATTAAGGCTACTATTGCCAACCTCTTAGAAGCTCGCGAGAAACGTCAATGGTCCATAAAACTTGGCGGCAAGACTGTCAAGGTGAAAGACCAGGTAGAAACGCTTGCCAAGCTGCTAGTCTGGTCAGACAAAATTATCAAGGATGCTCTCAGCGCCCAGCCGTATGCAGCGCTGGCTTGGTCTGGCGTTTCCGTATTCTTACCGCTTATTGAGGCTGGCTCAAAACAAAATACTGCCATGATTGAAGGTTTCAGCGCCATTAGCAATTGCCAGTTATATTGGATGAACTGCGAAGACCTCTTTTTGACGCCTTCACGGATTGATAATCACTCCTATGGATTGTGGCCGGTGCCATGACTTCAATCAGTCGACTGGGGGAAATTCTACTAAAAAGAACCGACGTGGATATCAACCTTTGTAACCCACAAGATGGTTCTTCAGTCTTATTCCGTAGCACGGCCTTAGGTGCTGATGCACACCATGAGTTCTTTGACATGCTCTTGGAGGCTGGAGCAGATCCCAATCAAGCGAACCACGCAGGCCAAATCCCGCTTCACGTTGCAAAATCCAGGTTAATAGTTGAATTATTGATCAAAGCCGGCAGTGAAGTGAATATCAGAGACTCAAAGGGTTCTACACCACTACACTACATTGCGGCATCGTTTCCAGACACTAAAGCTAGTGCGATATGTGAGCTGGTCAGGGCAGGTGCTCGACTCAACGATGTCAACTCTGAGGGGCAAACGGCTCTTCATCTTGCCTTAAAAGGAGAGGCTATACAAGAAAATCAGTTCCGTGTTGACCTGGTGCACTATGGCAGTAACGATAGGCCGTGGCGCCATCGCTATTCAACCACCACTGATGAAGGATACATCACCCTCGAACACGACAGCACCTATGAAGAGGAACAAGATAGCACCTATGAAAAGGAACAAAACAGTAACTATAAAGAGAAAAGCTCTCATATCGCGACCAACGGGTATGGTTATTCAGCGACCGAGATTCTGGTCCACGCCGGTGCAAACAAGGACGCGCAAGACAAGATGCTGCGTTCGCCACTTCACTACGCAGCAGCGGATGGGCCACATGTTAAAACTCTCAAATTATTGCTTCGTCATGGTGCAAGTCCTCTATTGGCAGACAAGGATGGCAGGACTGCACTTCATCTGGTAGCAATAAAGGGCAAGGTTACACGAGCTAAGCTGTTAGTCGAAGCTGGGGCAGATGCTAACTGTCGGGATAATCATGGCAAGACGGCTCTGGATCTAGCGAGAGAGGTCGAGTCTCCGGAGACGGTGGCTTACCTCGAGACGGTAACAAACCCCTAGCCATATCAATATAACCAAGCGACCATAACAAGTGGTTTAGCACCAAATGGGATATAGTTTGCTAGCATGTGTACTTAAAATCACCAATAACAGTACTTAAACTGGGCAAAAGTGTATCGCACGTATTTTCTAACAGTTGCTCAAGCTAAGCTTGTCTACATAATCTATGGCTGACCAACCAACGCACCAGGATGACCGGGGCAGGTGATAACTGAGTCAAATGCCAAAAGGGTATGCTACGCCCTTTGAAACATGCACTCTTGTCAAAGCTTGTCCTCGACGTACGCCTGCTTCTTCCCTCCATTCTCCGTTTCGGGATGTTCCCCGGCTGGCTGGCTGGCTCAGTGGCCGAGGTGTGAGCCGGTCGCGTACCCCGAAGCGCTAAGCCTTATAAGCTTCTATGGCTTTGAGCTAAGGCAAGCCACTGACTCGTAAAATCATCGGAGGCTTGGATATATCACGATCGGCAAGTGGCGGGGACATGATGTCTTGTTGGGGGCCCGCCTCAATCATCGGTATTTTCTACCATATCCAGCGAAGCTCGTATTTCCAACTCACAAGCAAATAGCCAAGTCGTCTAGGTTGGAATTCGTTTGACCACATGTACATGTATATTTACCTTTTCAGCGCTCGAGCCAGCGTGGCGAACCTGCAGCCTGACATTTCGGAGCCTTGTTCCAGAATGTTCCGAAAGAGTGAGCGGCGCCCAAATAGATCTGCCGTCTATCCTTTTTTCAGTGTAATAAAGTCTATGCAGATTTAAGTGTCTACGGTGAGGTAATAAACAAGCAGACTAGCCAGAAGTAAGGTTTTATGTTGCGGTAACCGTTATTTGCATTGTCCTGTTGGGCCGCACATCGTCTATCGATCCTGGTTTTGCAACACACGTATTTAGACTCAACCCCAACCGCCACCAAATGTGTAAGAAAGCAAAAGGATCTGGAGAGATGAGCGAAAAGAGGCGACAGCAGAATCGAGAATCCCAGAGACGATACAGTAAGCAGCCGAGGCGATTGTTGCAACACCAAGTCTGAAATCATTGCTGCTAACACCATCTCTTTAGGAGAAAGACAAAAGGCTGGGTCGAAAGAGGAAAGCGTAGATACCGACCTTTCGAGCCTAATTGATTTGGAGATGGAGGGCATTTGGCCAGTGTCGCCGTCCAACCATGCGGTACTGAACGAAGGCGTGAGCCATTCCAACAGACTCTTGTTGGATATTTTGTCAGATGCCGACGAGATGGGATACAGAGAGTCATTTCATCCCACAACCCCAACTGTACCACTGGGCCGGGATCGAAGTCGTAAGTGCACATAATGATTTAATGCAGTTTTCTGTCAGGTAGCTAACACATGCCCCAGTTTCGATCAGTTCTCCTGCCGTGGCACCATTTGAAGCTTCATTGGAAACATTTATATCCGATTATACCTTCAACAGTAACAGCCACGCCCTACTCTTCTCAGGGCATGGTCATCACAGAACGGCCAGCACACCGGCTTCCAACACTGGACACTCCTTGTCGGACGTTACACCACAAACTTCAAGAGCCGTGGAAATGATTCTCGACGTGGAGCGGCTATATAACTTTGGAGTCGAGATTGGGATTCTGCCAGAAGACGCCGAGTCACGCCGCCTCCTCCAGCGGATGAGGCACCAGTTTGCGTATCTTGCAGCTTCGAGGGCAAACGGTGCAGGCACGGGCGCTAATTAATTTAAATCTACGTCTATTTAAATCGAAACAGGGCTACCGTAATCATCGATTATTCTTCTTCACTTTTAGAATAGATCTTTACCACAGCACATATCGCACTTGGTGTACCACCTCTCAACCAACCATCACTCGTGAGCACTTATCGCAACCAAAGCAGCGATTTCTTAATTTTCCTACTGGCCCATCTGCCGGTGCTTATGCTGCATGCTGATTCCCAAACAAGCCGGCAATTGCCAAATAAGGCTCTCTGCCGCCCCTGCAGCGCAAGGTGGCTGTGCCAAACTGGCTGCATATATCGACCGCAGCCTGCTCTCCGAGCCTGCTTTCCACTTTCCACCCTCACCACTACGTTCTCACCTAAAATCGTACGTCAAAAAATTGTCAAATGACCTTGGACGCTGCAGAGCGTACTACGCAGGACATCAAGTCCGTCATAGAGGGTGTTGCTCGCGGTGAACTCAACGAGCTGCGCGGTGTAGGCTTCTACAACCGCACATGGATCACCACGGAGCGTTTCTGCCGTATAGGCGATGGCGTGGACTCGCTTGAGTTTTATATTCACTCGCTCTGGCACATTTACTATCAACTTGCACTACATACATCAAGTGACTCGCTTGAGCACAGCCGCATCGTGCTCGACATTGCGCGGATCCAGGGTATAGGTGAACTTGTTCGGCCAGTCTCCGGACCATACGGGCATGATGTAGCTCGGACAAGAGACGGTACGCTCTGGGTCGATTTACCGTTCTTTGTAGCCGACATGAGCAAGTTTTGGACGACCAATTACGCCGCTCTGCCCGGCACACAGCGCCTGAACTTTGCTTCATTCCTCGCCAAGACGGCGTCGGTGCGCGTTGCCAAAGACAAGTTGTGCCAGATTGCTCTCATGCTATTCCGCAATACCTTCGAAGAAGAGCGTGATATCGGCACCAAGGACGACCCAGACAAGAACGGCCCAGAGCACGAAAACATGCCACTGACGGTTACGCAGCTACTACCCGCGGTGGCCGAATGGATCCGCGAAGCCGGCCATGTACTTCTAGAGATCGCGGATAGTGAATGGAATGCGTGCAGCAGTGAGTTTAGTGCGGGTGGTCGAGCATTCAAAGAGTCACCGTTCTATCAGAGGGCAGCGCCGGGGTTCTCGCCGATGCGTTGGATGTTTTGGATCAAGAAGCTACATGAGATTCGAGATGAGGCACGGCAAGCTGACCACAAGGTGTTGGAAGAGCAGGCTACGGATATCATTGACAGGGTGATGCAGGATGTGCAGACGCGCAATGTAAAGATGATTCTAGAGTTTAAGGAGTATAAGGAGCTGCACGACGACGAGCATTTTGCGGGTTTAAAGGAGCTTATCATGGAGGATGCCCAGAGAGGGAAATAATTTCGTGTTTTGGCGTGAGTATGCAAGCTTATGGTACTGATTATCGATATCTTCCAGCGAGGCTGGCAGGTGGCACACTTGTGAAGACGCCATCCTGTTCGTGGTTACTACCCGTGTGCAAGGTCATCAGTCCCTACAACGAGTCAATAGAAACAAGTCTTTTCTAGCCAAGTCAACTCAACACAGCTATATACTGGCCTGATCCATACGCCTTGCAAAACCTCAAACGTGCAGTCCTCTCAGTCCCGTCGTAGCAACCACTTCATAGCAGCCAGCGACTTAATCGCCAGCGACTTCGGGCTATCCTCATTCGTAAAGATACTCCAGGCCTCGTGCCCCAGCTCCTGGAAGTTATCTAGCCTCACGTCCACATCCGCCTTTTGCATCGCCTTTGCATAAATGATGCCGTCGTCACGCATACTATCCGACTGTCCTACCTGGACATAGACTCTAGGCAAGCCTACATGCGGGTTGGGCGAGTTGAATGGCGAGAACTTTGGCGACCGCACATCCGCCTGCATGGCGCCAACTAGATCAGCCAGGCCCTTTTCCGTCAGCAGCGGGTGCTTGTCTGCCTGCTCGTCCATCGACGTCCACTCGTCCTTATACTCAGGTGGCACAATGTCCCGTGACAGCAACAGCGGGATACATACATATCCTCCTGTTGGCGCCGGCTGCATCTTCTGGTCCAGCATGTACTGTAGAATCGTGGCGGAGAGCGAGCCGCCGGCAGACTGGCCCCCAATGATGAACCCGGCTGCCAGATCGGCATTGAGCTCTTGCAGCGTCTCTGGTCGCGAGAGCCACTGTACAGCATCGATCGAGTCGTCGAATTGTGTGGGGAACTTGTTCTCGGGGCTTAGACGGTAGCTAGGCGATACCACGACGGCGTCGAATTCTTTGGCAAAGTCGCGGGCTGGGCGCGTCACCATGCGCGTGGAGCCGGCAGTAAAGGCACCGCCATGGAAAAGGACGATTAGCGGTCGGCCTTGTGTCGATTTAGCCTTGGGCCGTACTACCGTGGCCTTGTTGATGGCGCCGTCGTGGGCTGGGATGCTGATTTGGTATTCTTCGAGGGACGAGTGTAGGGGAGGCAGGCAGTTCACGAGGAACGTCTCCACGCCCTCGAGGCCCGAGCGCATGTCGTAGGGGTTGTAGTAGTCCATGCTGGAGCAGCGGCCGTGATCTAACGGACACGGTGTGGTTTGCAATTGGAAAGGAGTAGCAACTCCAAGCTGAACTTTATAGGTGCGGGGTCTCTCAGACGGCTGAAGCCTCACCGGGAATACGACGCTGACACAGGAAGACGGCGAAACTTTTCTCGTAAGTGTCGTTTGTAATTTTTTATTGAGAACCAGAAACATCCGTCGATTTTGTGCGGCAGTAAATTTGCAGTTATTTAAATCTCGTATGCATGGTCCAGTTTGGGTGTCATCACAGTTATATATGTACTATCACCATCTACTCATTGCGGCGCATGTCCACTATACGGGTCCAGGGGAAAAGCGATAGCATCAATGAACGTCGTGTCCCATAGTCTGAAATCTGAGTCCAACTAGATGGTTTGTGCAATTTACGCAGTGTACGGAATCTTAAATGTCCAGACATACTTGTCGCCTACTCCTCTTTTTCATCACCATCGTCTCCAAAAGATCGTCGGTATTTGTCGACGCCACAGCACTCACACCGCACTAATGACCGCCTTACAATTATTGAGGGGCCAGGGACCGCCTGTAAACTTGGCTAGTCAGTGGGGAAGCTCCCAGGCGCAGTGACCACGACTCGCGGCGTCCCCAAGTTTACCCCAACAGCACTCAGCCTATCCACAAAGAACACAATTTGCAGGACACTGGAGTTCTCTTGACAGCTTCCATCTTGGGCCCTAAAACAGCCTTTCCCGTCTTTCTCCAACTTAAATTGGCAAACTCTGCATATGTAACGTCGTAATGGACGCTACAGTGGATCGCGACTCTGGCGCGAGCAATTACCATTCCGGTCACGAACATGGCCTGAGAACCGCATCGGCTATTTAACGCAAAAGTACCCCACGTGCCGCTGGGCTGCAATATTTGATGTTGAAAGTCGTTCAAACGCTTCTTCTGTATTCCAATTGAAGCTTCAGCAACAGCAGCATCACCATGTGGTCTTCCAAGATTTGCGTGGTCTTGGCCCTCGCTGCCCAGGCGTTGGCCGTCATTCCCCAGCCTGCCTCCATCTCGACAGGCAAGTCGGCCGTCTGGATCAACAAGGACACTGCCATCACCTACAATGGCAAGGCTCTCAACTATGCCGGCGCCACGGATGAGTCCGACGTCACCCAGGACGGCATCATTGCTGGTGGTGTTCACCGCGCCATAGACGCCATCCTCAACAAGGGCTTGGTTCCCTGGAAGCTCGTCCCTCGCGGCGGCCTCGCCAGCTTCCAGCCCAGCACCTCGGACCGCACGTTCATCAAGACGCTCGCCATCACCGTGACTGGCGGTGCTCCCAGCAACAATGCCCTCAACGCCACCACCGCCGAGGAAGCCTACAAGCTGACCATTGGCACTGATGGAGCTGCTACCATCAACGCCGCTACCTCCTCGGGTGTCCTCCGCGCCCTGCAGTCGTTTGTTCAGCTCTTCTACAAGCACGAGGACGGTGTCTCTGGCTCCTACACCAAGCTTGCTCCCATTTCCATTGCCGATGAGCCTAGACTCATCTACCGTGGTGTCAACCTCGATGTTGCTCGCTCTTGGTACGAGGTGGACGATATCCTTCGCACTATTGAAGGCCTCGCCCAGAACAAGCTCAATTCTATGCATCTTCACATGACCGATTCTCAGTCATGGCCTTTGGAAATCCCCGCCCTTCCTGAGCTTGCTCAAAAGGGCGCCTACGCTGCTGGCCTCACCTACAAGCCCTCTGATATTGAGCGTATCCAGCAGTTTGCCCTGCGCCGTGGCATCCGTGTCAATGTTGAGATTGACATGCCCGGCCACACTACCGCCATCTCGCTTGCCTACCCCGAGCTTGTCGCTGCTGCCAACGCCAAGCCCTGGAGCAACTACTGCGCTGAGCCTCCTTGCGGCACGCTGCAGCTCAACAACCCAAAGGTTGACAGCTTTATTGACACTCTCTTTGGCGACCTCATGCCCCGTCTGGCCAAGTACTCTACCATGTTCCACACCGGTGGTGACGAGGTCAACGCCAACTCGTACACTTTGGACCCTACCACAAAGTCTTCCGACACAGCCACCATCGCCAAGGGCATCCAGAGACTTGTGGACCGTGCTCACGCCCAGATCCGCAAGGCTGGCATGATCCCCATGGTTTGGGAGGAAATGGTCTTTGACTGGAACATCAACCTGGGCAAGGACGTCATTGTCGGCACCTGGCACGATGGATTCACTGCCAAGGCCGTCCAGAAGGGTTACCGTACCATTGGCAGCTCCAGCGACTACTGGTACCTTGACTGTGGCCACGGAGGCTGGATCAACTACAACAATGCCAACGCCGCCAACGCGTTCCCCTTCAACGACTACTGCTCTCCCGTCAAGAACTGGCGCAAGGTCTACTACTACGACCCCTGGGCTGGTATTCCTGCTGATAAGCAGAGCCTTTTGTACGGCGCTGAAGTCCACCTCTGGTCTGAGCAGACCGACGGTGTCAACGTCGACGACATGCTTTGGCCCCGTGGCAGCGCCGCCGCCGAAGTCATGTGGTCTGGCCGTCGCGATGCCAAGGGCCAGCTCCGTGATCAGTTTGATGTTGTAGGCCGTCTCGCCGAGATTCGCGAGCGCATGGTCCTCCACGGCTTCCGCTCCGGCCCCGTGCAGATGCCTCACTGCACCCAGCACGACCCCTCCGAGTGTGCCTAAATCTACATCCACAACTACAAAAGAATTTTTGAATTGCGCCTCGCATAGTAAATAGATCAAAAACGTTAATACATGCCTGTCATATTTTTTTGCATCAACCACTCGCTCGTCTCTTCTTTTTCTTCTAGAACAGTGAATCGCCTGCCTCAGGACCCTGCCGTAGTTGGCCGTCGTCCGAACCTCTTCGGCCAACAACGGGCGACTCTGCACCAAGATGTTCGGCATAGTGCAGAGATTTGGCCCCGCATTAGATCGGGGGTCTGTGAGGGGACGGGCTTACTTTCAAGGACATGCCACCCTGGGCCAAGTGAGGTGGCTCTCGGGCGCCACCCGCTAACAAAGTTTTAGTGGTTTGAGGTGCAAGCCACAGCGGGCTTGTTGTTCGTCAGTGTGGGTAAACGGACGCAGGTATGTAGACGGGTCAGACGCAATGAGAGGGTGCTGGTTGGATTTGCAAATAGTGCGATTACGCTGGGACGAGGGGACGAGGAGACCCAAAGTGTCCGCTTGGCAAAAGGATAAACGCGGCGGCCCATGACTGACATTCACACGCATCAACCCGGAGAGGTTGCACGCCCACCGTTGCTCAATTTCATTTTGTCACGGCTTTCGGTGGCAACAGCAACAGCACCAACGGAATGGTGGATCTAGAACGACGACACATCTGGCAACCTTATTACAACGAGTGCTTTTCGTTAGCGTCTCCCTGTCATGGATCCAGCCGCTAGTGAGTGCTGTATCGTGTGCTGTAGATTCAGGTTGGGGCGACTGTCGACAAAAGGAGAAACTTTACCACACGACACTGCCCACATTTCGTTCGCGTCTGTCTCAGGCCCCGTCGGGTATCTTGCTCCCCCAAGACCCGATTGCTGGTCCCCGGTGCGGAGAAGCAAATGGGCTGACCTATAAGGGAAACCTTGCGCCGTCGTGTCGTCGACCAATTCCACGTAGCGGTTGCTTAGGCTGTGTCTCTACTTTCCTACTCCTACTCCTTTTCCTTTTCTCCATCTACCTCCTCCCCGAGATAGACATCCTCTTTTCTTCATCGATACATAGTTTTTGTTATTTCATGTAGAAGCTATACACAATTAAAGTTTGTCAAACAGTTAAAATTCGTTCCAAAAAGCAAACAATACGATGATAGTAATGTAACAGCAAAATTACAACAGCAACACACAGCTACGCCCCTTGCGATCCGTTGATCGCGCGTCTCTTCGGCTGCTGGGGAACCGCAAAACTTGATCCTGAAGCTGAAGTATCTTCTGGCTCTGGCTTCGTAACTTTGTCTAGTTTATTTATTATAAATTGGCTGAAAGAACCGACAGAGTTACGGTGTTCTTCGGCAGCTAAGCCGCCGTCGCGGGGAGCTCCGTTCATAGCTTGCTTTTCTTACTACAACGATACCCTACAGGCTTATAAACTTTACTCTTTTCTCGCCAACGTCACAGGAAAAAATATATAACTCTTTAAATATATAATCCAGTACTTACATATCTCATATTTGATATTTCAATCGGTAATATTCCCTCTTTATTAAACATACTGCCAACATTGGAGCTTAGGCTGCACAAGTCGGTTCCCTTTGTTTAACCAAGACGGCCATTAGCTAGATGATTGACGGAATCAACTGCGAATTATTTTACTCTTCGATACCATCTCGTCGTTTAGCACGCCTCTCCCACCGCTCGGCCCTTCTCTCCGCTCTTCCCTCCTTACTGAACCACGACGAACTGTGACCATCGCTCTTGGGCTCAGGCGGTGGGATCGTACCGTCCGCTCGACCATCACGATACTCCATGGCCTTGTCGCGCCAGAAAGCATGATCCTGTGCCTGAGCGAGTCTCTGGCCGACCATGCCGCCAATAACTCCGCCAGTCACCATGTCTCCAACAGCTGAACCACCAGAGAGAACCCCAGCAGTAGCCCCGGCCGCCATGCCAGCATTGCCTAGCTGCTGTTGATACTGAGGATGCGCGTGCGTGGCAGCTTGTGGCAAGTTCGTGCCTTGCGAAGCATATGACGTATGTGAATCTGGGGCCACTGTATTCCTTTGGTCAGGGTGATCTCCAGCGCTATCGTCAAATGGGGCTTGCTTGGTGTTGTCTGTCATTGTGCGATGAATTGATTGTAAGATACAGTAGACGAACTAATGGGGGTTCATTGTTGCTTCAAAGTAATTCATTGCGTTATTATTTCTATTATTCTTTATATCACGTGTGAATGGAAAACGTGCCGCTCTAACCGGACAGCTCTTAGTTGTTTACAACTTAGACGCCTTGCGCTTTTCAGCATGGCGTACGCCACGGCTGACAATGGTGATCGCTAACACCTCCCAGTCACAGTGTGAGTTCTGTTGTCTACCTACTTTGATCATTTATTATTATTCCATGGTTTGAGGTAATTCCAGCGTAAACCCGAACCACGTTTTGCCAGGCCGTACCAAATGACGTTCCATCGGTCCAGGTCCGCACGCAGCCGTGCCTACGCCACTGACTGCAGCATCGAGCCGAAGCAAGACGTAATCCTCTTCCACGAGATCTTGCGGATGCGCCGCCTTCTCCAGCATCTCTGCAGAGTGCCTGGTGGCAGTGAAGTTGAATAGGGCGTCATCGCTACCTGACTTGCACTGAGCGTCGGTGTCACTAGCCTCGCTGAGTCGGTACGATTCAGCTTCGAGAGGGCTCATTCTGGTCGCCCGCAACACGGTGCTTGCACTGTCATTGGAGATAGAGACCCATCGTGTGTCTGTACGATTTCCATTCTCTTGCGGCACTTCGTACGCTGTCTGCAACTCGGCGATACTGTCCGCGTTCCAAACACCCACGCGTTGGCCCAGCTTCTTATCCGGGTAGGATTCGCCAGGCCCACGACCGCACCAGCTGACACAGTTCAAACTAGTAGGAAGTACAAGGTCGAATCCCATGCGAGGAAGATAGTCAGGTGCATCTCCGACAGGGTCGTCGAGGTACATCATCACCGTCATGGACGAACCATCCTGCTCGATGCGATAGATGGTTGTGGCAGGCCAGCCCCAGCCTAATGACACAGGCCCAATGTGCAATCGCATGGTCAGGACAGTGGCGCCACTGTGCGTCTCTTGGTCGACTCTCATACCACGCAATTGAGTCGACAGTCTATGCAGGCCATAACTCTTCCAGTATGGCACGGCTTTTCCATTATCGTTGTCCGTGGGGGCACGCCAGAAAGCAGGCACAAGCGCACCTTGTTGAGATTCGACCTTCTGCACAATGGATTTCGAGTTGAAGCTCCAGCCTTGCAACAAGCCACGTACTTTGCTAAACTCAAAAGTCGATTTACCTGCACATACTTTCAAGAGCGGGCAATTCTCGTCAATGGTAGCGGTCGGAGCAGACGGCGCCTGTAGTTCGCGAGCAATGATGCGAGGCGTTGATTGCGAGATTTGGTGCTGGAAGAATGCGATTTCGTGTCCAGCATCACTCCAAGGGGTAGAGTTGGACAGTTTCAAGCTTACAGTCAACAGTAATTCTGACTTGGATGGGTGCTTAAACACTGCGTGTGGCAGGTCTACCACTGCAGACGACCGAGCAGCGATACGTGGCACTACCAGAGAGTTCGTAGATAGTAGTTTGGCACTGCTTATATACTGTGTCAGTACTAACGCACTAAATGGCTACTAGGGTGTTTATAAAATGTAGCACATACCTCAAGGCCAGTTCTTCTAGCTGGATAGTGATCTCAAAGAGGCCAAGATCAATGAAGTCGTGGCAGTTCGTAATTACCAAACTTTTGTCATGCATTTTGAATGACACAGGAGAGTAAACCTGCTTCAGTTCAACAAGCCCAGGCATAGGCTCGTGGTTACTGCTGCAAAGGCCATCCATAACAAAGGTTCCATCGTGAACGAGTTCACCAAAGTCGCCTCCGTAAGCATGAAATGATATGCCAGAGTCGTCCGTCTTTTCAAGGCCATGATTTGCCCATTCCCAGATAAAGCCGCCTTGGACCCGGGGATGTTCGGAGAATACAGCTTCATAATCTTCGAGCAACCCAGGACCATTTCCCATTGCATGGGCATATTCGCACAGAATCAGTGGTTTGGATGCTGTTCCGTCTGGTGCAACATCCTTTGTCAAAGCCCTGTTGACAAGCGCGTCTATGGTAGGATACATGTACGAGTACATGTCCGTTGTACCCATGCCGTTATCTCCTTCGTAGTGTACCAGTCGACCCGGATCAAGACTCTTGCAAACTTGATACATGGCAACATGATTTTGACCGCAGAATGATTCATTCCCCAGTGACCATATGATGATGCAAGGATGGTTCTTGTCTCTGCTGATGAGCTGGACCATTCGGTCGACATATGCCTCTTTCCATGTGGGATTATCGCTCAAATACTTGCTAGCAACCGGCGCAATCTCGTTGAATAAGCGTTGGTATACCTCTTCGGTGCCATCACACTCTGCTGCATTGGTGGCAACAACTTCGGCAAAGCCATGGCATTCCAAGTCTGCTTCATCCATGACCCATAATCCAAGCTCATTGGCAAGGTCATAAAGGCCAGGGTTAGAGGGGTAATGTGCACAGCGCAGAGCATTGATGTTGTTCCTTTTCATCAGCAAAAGGTCTTGGCGAATAAACTCGAGCGGCACAGCGCGCCCCAGCCTTGGGTGGTGGTCGTGGCGGTTCACTCCCCGGAATCGAATAGCTTTGCCATTGACTTTGATACGACCATCTTTGAGCTCAACTTTTCTAAAGCCGGTTGCATGAGTAACAGAAGCAGTTACGCCATCCGAGGCCAAGGCTATATCGACGTCGTAGAGGTAAGGTGTTTCAGCCGTCCACTTGCATGGATCCTCCACATGCAGACTAAACTCAGCATGTCTGCCGGATGGATCAACATTTTGCACAGAGCGGCATATGACAGCACCACCGTTTTTATGCTGCTCTCGAAGAACGACGGAAAGGGTGCCGCCTGCAGGACAATGTACATCTACGCCGACACGGAGATTACCATGCTGGTACGCAGAATCCAGGTCACCACGGATAAAAAAGTCTTCTACTCTACATGCCATAGGAAAGGCAAGCAGATGGACATCTCGAAATATACCTATTTCTATGTCAGCATTCATCTTCACGTTAATTGTTGTGTAGTACCTCGGATAACACTCACCCGATAGCCACCATTGATCCTGGTCCTCAATGTACGAGCCATCCGACCATTGGTACACTCGAACAACAAGTTGGTTCACGCCATTGCGATTCGCAACATCTGTGACATCGAATTCCGCAGGATTCCGACTTCCCTGAGCGTATCCGACAAACTCTCCATTGAGCCAGACGTGGTACGCGCTGTCGACACCATCGAAACGCAGTCTAAGCTGGGTATTGGTATCCCACTCATATGGGACAGAAAAGTTCCTGACATATGTACCAGTGGGATTAATATCCGGAACATGTGGTGGGTTTACCGGGAACGGATAAGAAATGTTGGTGTACTGTGGGCTTCCATAGCCTTGAAGCTGCCAGTGCCCAGGAACCTGGATTTTATCCCATGATTCTGCGTTGCATTTTTGCACATCAGGGCTTTCCAGAGGACTCTGTGCATAGTCGAAGGACCAAGTGCCATTTAGACAGAGGGCGGTGTCCGGTATCCAATAGGATCGTGGCGGCAAGGTATTACGCCGAATAACGGCCTCATTAGCATAATCTGGACATTGCTCATAGCTTATGCTTAGAGATTCTCGTGCTTGTTCAACATTCTGGAGACTTGTTCCCTGTGTCATTTTGTGTCAATAAGAGTGTGTGAAAGACGCCGTTCTAGGGGCTGCTAGAGAAGCGAGGGTTGCGAAAGTGTGGTTTACAACGGAGGAGCAATGAAATAGACGGTGATTTGTGATTGGGGTAGTGGACGAAATATACCTTGCTGCTCAACGGATACGCGCGCGCCCGCGGATTTCATCGACTGTTCAATCGCCGGGTCGCAGAAGGGTCTCTTGTCGAGTTCTCTCGGCATTGTCTCCGTCTAGGCCTAAACCAATGATATGGTATCTTTTCCCGCCGCGAATCCCGCCCAAGTATCCCGCCCGTTGTCCGATTCGCTCTAGCGCCTCGCCTCCACAAACGCCTACTCAATAGCCCGGCTAGGCCGACTTGGCGTCTGGTGGCTGAATAGTTCTCAATTTCATTTTCAAAATACAGCGTTTTAAGTGTCTTTGAGATTTATTCGGTGGCAAAATATAACGGACATTGTAATCATTACACAATAATGTCGTGAAGTGGCTTTTTATTTGTGTTTGTGCCTACAGAGTTTTAGCCGAAGCTGTGGCAGATTTGTCCAGTAATTGGTGCCACGACTCGTGGTAAGAGTCATCGCCGCCATCATCTCCTCGCCTTTCTGGAATTTCTGTTGCGAATTCTAGCAGGAATTTCAGCATCCAGTGATCCATCCGGAAATGGGAGTCGTCTTGCGAGCGCGAACAGGCTTCATGGAACGCGCGAAATCGAGCAAAAGACACGTCAATGCAAGGCCAGTAAGTCTGCAAAAGCGTCAGAAGTTGAAAGTTTCTCTCTAGCAGGTGTCGCGCATCTTGTCTATCGGTCTCATTTTCACCGAATAGGAAGATATGTAGCTGAACCGTAGAGGCAATGGCTAACACATGACCGACAAGAGAGCTGAGCAGCTCGCTTCTCTTCGATTGGCTTGCCCGATGTATAAGATCGCATACCTGCGAGGCTGCATGCCGGCATTTGGCGGCAAACTGGACGGCTAATGGCGACCTACCGGCGCCATCCACGCTGCCATGGATAAACTGATAGAATAGCAGGAGACAAAAGTAGTAATAGTTCATGTGAACAAAAGTGAAGATATTCCCTTGCTCTCGCTCGGTCCAGTAGGCGAGGTTGGCTTCCGTGTCAGTCATGTTAGCCGGCAGATTGGCTTCCCAACTCTGCAGCTCATGCCAGATCAGTTCCACTTCTCGGATAAGATACGAGTACTCTATTGCCCCGGACGCAGCTTGAGTATTTACTTGAGCAATTTTAGAAAGAGTTAGGCCCACGCGAATAGACTGCGCAATCAAAGCATCTGGATGCGCCACCAGCGGATCCGTAGAATGGTTTGGTGTCAAGTCAGGAGGTTGAGAGATGGGAAGTGAAAGGAATGCTTGCTCGCCCATCGGTAATTGAACAACGCGAATCGGCATCATTTTAGGCAGTCGAACTGCTGTGGAAGACCAAGTATCCGTCTCGTAGACGCTCCACCAAACTATCGGGCCGTGTTAGCGCGAACGGTGGCGAGCGGAACTGGGGGGCGGGGTACTAGCCTCGTCTATTAACTTCTTGCTCAATGCAAGTTGATGCGGGGATGTTGGGTAGATCAAGTAATTGTGCCATTCGGCAAGCAATACCGAAATAGACCGATTCTGTGGCTGCGGCCCTGTGTCCAGTTTCGTTTTCGGTCACGGCTGTCCCCCCGAGCAATAGGCAGGCTTGAATGGTAGTCAATGAGACGTCGTGAAGGTTCAATAGTCTCTCGGCGTCCTTGGTAAACGGCCTGCCTCGCTCGTGAAGCGGAATGTTTGCTTGACTTTCGTGTTTCGAGAAGCGCGCCGACAGACCCATGACGGCAAAGAGAAGAATGCGAGGCAAGGTGCCGCGGTCAAACGCTGCAACAAAGGACGGCTTGTGAAATAGAATGTGAAATGAGACATGGATATATCGAAAATAGAGGGAGATTAGTTCGTGACACAAATCCTTTGGGGGAAGCAGCTTCGACTTGTGTGTAAGCATATGGGACGTCCAAGGAACGACAGGCTCATATCCTGTCTCCACGTGGACTGTCTCATCGGTCAAGTTGCACGGCAGCTGTCGTTCTAAACAGTGACGGCAACTTGTCCCTTGTTGAGAACGTATGCATTTTCTACGACGACTCCTGGACCGGAGTTTCATTAGCAGAAGGCCATGTGGCGCGACATGGAGCGGGTGAGTACCTGCAGTTGTCACAGGCAGATTTCGGCTTCATCTATGACGTTGTTTTTGATGCCCATGCAAGGCCACTAGCATTTAATGGGTGCGTGTCCAATATCCAAGGCTGACAGTTTGAGATGAGAGATGGGATGCCGGGCCCGTCAAGTTGGTAGTGACCTCTTTTTGTGGCGTGATGTGAGTGTGTTTTACTTTAGACATATGTGCAGCCTGGCTCAACCCTGCACTGGATAAATTGCCTGCTCGCTAAACTAGGCTTAGGCCTTGTCAGCGCTGTAGATGGAGGGTCCAGAACTCTTCTTCGTCGTCTGGGGTTTGTGGGGTGGCGTGTCGAGATGGGCTGACGTAGAGTGCATGGCCAATCAACAAACGTAGAATCCCGCCTGAATCCCGCCCCCGCACACCAACGCTTGGGTCGCGTGGCGTAGAGAATTAGCTGAATCAGTCAAATTCTGCCGAGATCGTGCAGCTTCATGGCCCTGCGAGATGAAAACGCCGTGGCAAAGCGGCGGCATTTGTTCTTTCTCACCAACTCAATTCGTCTGAGCTTCCCCGGGGTACTTAAAATGCGCCGTGTCGCCCGTCCCCTCGCCGTTTGAAGATCGGCCAATTCGATCCAATATCTTATGCTCCTTTTTTTCTACCAATTGAATATCCTTACTCTTTCAAAATGTACGAAAAGTCCCACGACGCAGAGGTGACGCACAAGGACGACATCATGGACGAAAAAGTCACAGGAAAGGTGACCAGCGTCAATACTGGCTCTGTCGCTCTGGCGGCAGCAGTTGCCAGTCAGCAGCCCAGCTTGTGGTCTAGAAATATGATCAAGCTGTACTTCATCATGGCGATTGGCTATCTTGTGTCGACAATGAATGGTTTTGGTAAGTGTTGCAACACCCAACTGTTCTTCCAAGTGCTGTACCTTGGCTAACACCGACCTTGTAATAGACAGCTCTCTCATGGGCAGCATCAACGCCATGAAGCAATATCAAGCCTCATTTGGGCTCGATGGAGCCGGGTCCACCACGGGCATCATCTTCATCATTTATAACCTTGGTCAAATTGCTGCGTTTCCCTTCTGCAGCATGCTCGCTGATGGTTACGGGCGTCGTATCTGCATCTTTGTTGGGTGCTTCATTGTTCTCGTGGGTACCGCCGTACAGACTTCCGCTCACTCTCTGTCCCAATTCATGGGAGGTCGCTTTGTGCTGGGGTTTGGTGCTGCCATCGCCAGCGCTGCAGGGCCTGCATACACGGTAGAACTTGCTCATCCGGCATACCGAGGCTTCATGGCCGGCATGTATAACAACTTCTGGTGGGTTGGCAACATCTTGGCGGGCTGGACAAGCTATGGATCCAACATGTAAGTGAAAATGATGCTACAGAAAAGGCCGAATTAACTAACCTCGTACAAGGCACTTGGACTCTTCCTGGGCTTGGAGGGTTCCAACCCTGGCGCAAGCTTTCCTCCCCGGACTTGTCATGGTCTTTGTCCTTTTCTTCCCAGAGTCTCCACGATGGCTAATTGCGCAAGATCGAATGGAGGAAGCTCACGCGATTCTTGTCAAGTACCATGGCGACGGCGATGTCAACTCGGCTCTTCCCAATCTTGAGTACAACGAAATTGTCGAGACGTACAACTTAACAAAGGACCCGAACCCATGGTGGAACTTTAAGGAGCTCTGGAACACCAGAGCGGCCCGGTACCGGTTAGCCATGGTCATTGCCATGTCTTTCATTGGACAGTGGAGTGGCAACAATGTTGTATCCTACTTTTTGGTAAGCTTCAGCCTATCGGGCACTCAAGTTTCAACCAGCGCTAACACGCTCATTTGTAGCCCGGTATGATTATCCAGGCCGGAATTACCGACACGAACAAGCAGCTGCTCATCAACGCTATCAATCCCATCTTCTCAATGCTGGGTGCCGTGTATGGTGCGTCGCTGCTTGATAAGCTTGGACGTCGCACAATGATGATTGCAGGTCTTACCGGAGGCCTGTTTTCCTACTGTCTACTGACGGCCTTTACCGCAGAGACCAGCAAGGCCGGTCAGGGGAGCTCGCTGGCGTATGGTGTGATTGTGTCCATCTACCTGTTTGGTATTTGCTTTGCCTGGGGCTTCACTCCCCTACAAACTCTGTATGCTGTTGAGTGTCTAGAGAACCGCACCCGTGCAAAGGGCTCAGGCCTCAACTTCCTCTTCCTCAACATTGCCATGGTGGTGAACACATATGGCATCAGTGTCGGCATCGAAAAGATTGGCTGGAAGCTGTATCTTGTTTACATTGTCTGGATTTGCGTCGAAATCGCCATCATTTACTTCTTCTTTGTCGAAACGGCCGGCAAGACGTTGGAAGAACTCAAGGAAGTGTTTGAGGCCAAGAACCCAGTGAAGGCTAGCACAAGGAAGGTCAAGGTGGAGCTGGATGAGAGAGGGAGAGTCGTTGCAGCGACTGGCAGCGACAATTGTTAGAGGCAGTCTGTCCAAGAAGTAGACTACATACATTGAAGAGTTCTGAAACTACAGTACAGTATAATTTCCGTTTGTAGAAAACAGCTTGGATCGCGCCACCTGTGCCACATGTGCCATCTGCGCCAGGTGGCTCGCACTGCCAGCCAACTTCTGACCCGCATAAACACACGTGGACTAGTCGCAACCGTTGTCTCTTTCTTCTTCTTCTACAATGCACGTTGTATCCAAACTACGACAATAGTCCATAAAATAGCGTCATTCTCCTTTTGTTTGTTCTTTTTTGGCTGATGGCCAAGACGGGCGATCTCGGCCCTGCAAATCCCCCCGCAATAATAGCGACATCTGAATGCCGGAGGCTTTCTCTAGGAACTGCCTATTTAGGCAAGGCTACGCTGACGATGAGACTCTATACCATCCCCATTCCCTGAAACGAGCCAATAACAAAAGCGAGACGAGCCAACTGGTGTCATCGCAGCTGACTATGGACTGACTGCGAATGGAAGGTCGGGGTAGAGAAACCCTGTTGTCCTGGCCAAGAGCCAAAGTTGCCCGATGGGATGGACAAATGACACGATGTGGCTGCGAGAGCGAGCTGCCAAGGTTCTTAGCGATCGCCCAAACAAAACGAAAGTTATAAAAAAGCTTCGATTTGCTGTTGCCAAAACGCCGCTTCGCCCCCATCCGTCCCTGTTCATCCCATCTTCCTTCATCCCATCTCTCTCCTCTCCTCCCCAACTCCCGCCATGCAATTCGCTGCCCTCTTCGTCTCTGCCTTTGTGGCTGCTGCCCTCGGCATGCCCGCTGGCCACGTTCAGCATGAGTCTCACGAGGCTCACCCATCCATTATCAAGCGTGCCGGCGCTGCTCTTGACAAGGTGGTCCCCGTGCGCATTGCCCTCAAGCAGAGCAACCTCGACAATGGCATGGACATGCTCATGGAGGTGTCGGACCCCGAGTCCGCCAAGTACGGCCAGCACTACACCCAGGAAGAGGTATCCAAGGCCTTTGCTCCCGAGCAAAAGTCTGTTGATGCCGTTAAGAAGTGGCTCGTTGAGGCCGGTATCCCTGCCGACTCTATCAAGGCGCCCGCGTCCCAGGGCTGGCTGCAGTTCCAGACCACCGTGGACAAGCTCGAGACCCTTCTTCACACCAAGTACAACGTCTTTGAGGACCGCGATAGCTCTGAGCACTTCCTTGGCACGGAGGCCTACCACCTGCCTGCCGAGGTTGCCGAGCACGTCGACTTTGTGACGCCTGCCGTGGCCATGTACAAGGTCAAGAACACCGGCAGAGCCGTCCGCTCTCCCGCTACCACATCCACCGTTTCCAAGCGCGCTGTCGGCGACGACCCCCTCTCCGGCTGCGACGAGTCCATGACGCCCGAGTGCATCAAGACCATGTACAACATTGCGGATGCCAAGCAGTCGCCCAACCCTGCCAACAGACTCGGCATGTTTGAGATGGGGTCCTTCATTAACCAAGACGACCTCAACGGCTTCTATACCAACTTTGCCAACTACATCCCGCAGGGCTTCGGACCCAAGATCGACTTCATCGCCTACAGAGGCGATCCCAGCCCCGGTGGCAGCGCCGAGCCTGCGCTCGACTTTGACGTCGCGTACCCCATCATCTACCCGCAGAACATTGAGCTGTACCAGGTTCGCAACACCAACAACGACCTACTAGACCATTTCCTCGACGCCATTGATGGCAGCTTCTGCACCACCGACGGCGGAGACGATCCCAACATTGACGGGCCCGACGACCCGAGCAGCTGCGGCAAGTTCAAGCCCACCAACGTCATCTCCGTCTCCTACGGCGGCCCTGAGAGTAAGTGGCCCATCAAGTACGTCAAGCGCCAGTGCAACGAGTTCATGAAGCTGGGTCTCCAGGGCACCTCGGTGCTCTTTGCCTCTGGCGACGGCGGCGTGGCCGGCCCTCACGGCAAGTCGTGCTCCGGCGACGGCAAGGTCTTCACGGCCAGTGCTACCTCGGGATGCCCCTACATTACATCGGTTGGCGCCACCGAGCTGCCCAGCGGCAGTTCGCCTGGCGATGCTGAGCAGGTGCCTACACACTTTGCCCCCGGCGGTGGCTTCTCCAACTTCTACCCCCGCCCCGACTACCAGAGGAGCGCTGTCGAGTCCTTCTTGACCAACCACAAGCTCAACTTCAAGGGCTATAACAACACCGATGGCTCCGTCCCTTCGTCTAGCAAGAACGGTGTCTTCAACCAGGCCGGCCGCGGATACCCCGACATCGCTGTTGTCGGTGCCCACGGCGCCATCTTCTTCCAGGGCGAGGTCAAACACACTGGCGGCACCTCCATGGCGGCGCCCATCATGGCCTCCATGTTCAACTTGATCAACGAGGACCGTCTGGCGGCCGGCAAGAAGCCCCTTGGCTTCTTGAACCCTGCCATCTACAAGAACCCCTCCATGTTCACCGATGTCACTCTTGGCGGTATGCTCAAGACACCCGCTGGCTCTTGCGACGGCAACAGCTTTGATGCCGTCACTGGCTGGGACCCCGCCAGTGGTCTGGGAACTCCCCAGTACCCCGTCATGGCCAAGTACTTTACCGGTCTTCCTTGAATTCTCTAATGGTCTGTAAATAATGAGATGAGCTTTTTTATATATACACAAGACTTGGGACCATGATATACGTAGCATTCCATTATTATAAATACATGTATTCATAATCAATCTGTCTGTTTGTTAAGCATCTCCCTTGATACCTCTTAGCTCAGACGCCCACCTCTGCATATCCTTTTGAAAATCAACAAAGCTCTGCATCGACACCACGAACACCTAGTAAGCCACAGCAGCCAGCGCAGCAGCAGCAGCAGCACCGACATATGCCGCATTAGCACCCATGGTAGCGACACCTGCTGACGAACTACTACTTGCTGATGCTGTGCCGCTGCTACTGCCACTGCTTCCTCCCGTCTTAGTCGCTGCCATGCTGGTATTCTCCCCCGTCAGTGTAATCAACGACTGTGTCTTCGTTGGTAGATTCACACCACCAGGCGTAGTTTGTGCCCCGTTACCGTCAATTGTCGTCGTCAATTGGCTTATATCTGTCGGGGCGGTCGCAGCCACCGTGACACTCGCTGCGGCTGCCGAATCTGTCGGATTATACGACGTGCTTGCGAATCCGCACCCCTTGAGCAGATTATCGATATCTGCCAAAACTCATTAGCATCCCTGCCTTTCAACATCTGTAGCATATTGATGTTAGTTACCCTTTGCATCACCTTTGTCCTTATGGTCGCTATCCATATTCTGGCTCTGGTGCACGCAGGCGGCACACAGCGCAGCAATCTTGGCCACGTCGAAGCTCTTGTTGGTGCAGATGCACTGGTTGGTCAACCGGTCCTCGTCTCTATCAATATCGCTCTTGAGATCTACATCGCATCTATCAGAGAGTGTCCCGATGGGCTTGCAGATCGGCTTGCAAGCCGACGGGATGTCGTCCATGTCGATGCCGAGAGCGAGGGCAGCAGCAGGAAGGCCAGCAAGAAGAGCGAGAGTAGACTTCATTTTCAATGTCGATGATTTACTTGTAGTTTGTAGATGAAACAAATGAAAATACATTTGGGCAGAAGAGCAGTACTGGTATGTATAAATGCCAAGAGCTGCCAGCTGGTTGCCAGCTGCGCCACCGCGTCACTGCAATACGAAAGACTGGAGTACAAGTATGAAACTACTACACAAACTTAATTGGAACCCATTGCCACCACCAAAGTCTTCGCTGCACCATTTCGTCATGTTTGCTGCACCAATTGAGTTTGTCTGCCGCTTTTTGGAATTCCACGGCGTACTGCGGTCTACATCACAAAGACACACACGCAGTCGGGTATGAACAAATCAAATTAGTACACAGGAGGCCATAGTAGGGCGCGCGTCCCGTTGGCCCTATAAAACGGTTGTAAAAAAAACATGAAACAAAACGCCCAAACGTCTCTGCTCTTTTTTGGCCTTTCTGCTCACTCCATCACCGCAAGGCGTGCCGCAGACCAAGCCGGCCCCTTCTGCCAATGCTTCTCTATATGCCGCCCTTCTAATCCGTCTATTTCTAGCGCAATAAGGGCATCTGTCCGACAAAGGGAATGCAAGCAACAAAATGATAAAAAAAACATTAAAAAAAATAGATATATGTGGCAGGACAGTCCGTTTCGTAGCTCGTGTCCTGCCCTTTATGCGCGCGTCTCCTCGTCGTCCGCTCTGCTTCTGAGAGTAATTCATGTTTGCAATCCTTCATCTTTTCTGCTTAGCAAACTACGCAAGAGACGCTTTATTGTTCTTCTTCTTCAGCTGCACCGTCAGCACCATATCGGCATGTGTGGTCGTGCATTTGAAGATCTATCGATTCGGCCGGGTGTCGTCGAGCTTACTGAGCGGCAGCAGCGCCGCCGCCGCCAATGGCCTTGGGCAGGGCCTGCCATCCCTTGTCGGTGGGGTTGCGGAAGCGGCCAAAGTCCTCGTCAACGTCGAGAATAATCTTGAGGGCGTTGCGGCTGCGGGCAAACATGCTAGCATCGAACTTGGAGGCGGCAGACAGCGAAGCGTCGGGGGCGAGAACCTGCTCCTTGGGCTTGCCGGGGTAGGGAACGACATTCTGCAGAAGCTCGTAGGCAGCGAGGGTGAAACCAAACTGCGGTGACGAACGGAAGATACGGGCAGGGCCGCCCTTGAAGAAGGCAGTGAAGCCCTCCTCCTTCATAATGGTCTTGGCGGCGTGGCGGAGACCAGTGTACTGGGCCTCACCCTTGCGGGCCTCGACCTGCAGACGGGTCTTGATCACGTCGCAGGGTGTCGTCAGGTAGGCGGCAGGCATACCGGCAATGGCACCGGCCGTGAGCAGCTCGAGAATGCTCAGCTTCTTGGTCGAGGACTCGCCGAAAAAGTCCTTCTTCAGATGGCTGTAGGTGGGGAAGTAAATGGCGGAGAAGGGGACGTCACGGAGCAGACAGGCCGAAGCGCCCTTGTAGAGACCGACAAGACCCAGGTTGCGCACGATCCACATGGCGGAGCGCTTGGGGGCGCCGTCAACCGTCTTGGCGACCTGACCCTGGATTTGCAGGCGAATCTTGACGATTTCGAGAGGGTTGGTGAAGACGACCTGGCAGGCACCGGCACTGGCACCAGCGATAATCTCGGCAGGTAGAGTAATCTTGCCGCCCTTGTCGGTGGTCCAGCCGCGGACAAGGTCATTGACAGTGAGCTTGATAGCCTTTTCGGGAGCAACACCAACAAGCTGGGGCAGAACACCCGAGTAGAGACCGCGGATACCCTCGTTGCGGAAGACCTTTTGGAAGCAGTCGATGGAGTTCTTGTACAGGCGCTGGCCGGGCTGGGCACCACGCTGGTTCTGGAGACGGGTCTTTACGAGATCGATGGGGTACACCATGAATGCACCAAAGGCACCGGCGAGCGAACCGAGGGCAAAGTTGAAGGAGGACTCGGCGAGTCTGGACAGAACGGTGTGACCGGCTTCGGCAGCCTTTTTAGCGGCAGCTGCGGCGGCATCCTCGTCCAGGGAGCGGTTGCGCCAGGCCGGGTCGAGGACCTTTGCAAAGTCCTGGAGGCCGAGGCGGCCGGAGGGCTCGTCGATGCTGGCAAAGTGGAAGAGGACATCGGCCTCCATGGGTGTGAAGAGAGAGAAGCGGGTGATCTTGGCGGCCTGCTGAAGGAACTCGGAGCGGGTAATCTTGCCGTCGGGGCTGCTGGCGACGGCGCGGCGGACAATGTGCTCAACCAGGTCCATCTCCTTAATCATGTTCTGGAAAGCGCGGACATTGGCGTAGGAGATCTTGGAGCCCTGGGAGACGTTGCAGAGAGTGTGGAGGTTGTCGAGGAGATGGTCGGAGAGTTTGTGCTTGGAGGTCTCGAGGATGATGCGCTCAAACTGTTCGGGCTCAATGTAGCCATCGCCGTCCTTGTCGAGGAGCTGGAAGGCCTGGCGGATGCGCTCGCCCTGAAGACCGCGCAGCATCTGGGAGAACTGGTTGTAGTCGAGGTTGTGGCGCTTTGTGCGGGAGCCAATGTAGAGCTTAGCCCACTCGCAGTCCCAGTCAAAGGGGATGTGATCGGGGCCCTTGTTGAGCTCGTAGAGGCGGCGGAAGTCTTCGTACTTGACGTTGCCGGTACGCTCCACATCAAAGAGGCGGAAGGCGATTTCGTACTCGGCGTCGGGCTTGGCCAGGAGGTGATCAAAGACGGACCAGTCGCCGAGGGTGACTTTGCCCTTGCCCGTGCGGTCCGCGACACCAAAGAGGATCATGTACTGCTCGCGCTGGATCTTGTGCTGCAAAAGAAAAAAAACGGTTAGCCCGAGAGTCCGCCAGCCAGCGTCCAGAGTTTCGCAGCTGCTGCTGCTCCTCCAACAAAACTTACAAAGTCGGCCCCCTTGGGGGCAATGGCATTAATAAACTGGTCAGGGCCCATGTAGAGCTCGCCAGCGTCGTCCTTGATGGCATTGGAGGTGAAGCGCGCCTTGCTCTGCGAGGAGAGCTGTGCAGGCGGCGCCTCCGCGCCCATCAGCGACTCCTTGACGGCCTGCTTGACCGCAGTCGCGTTGGAAGCCATGGTGATTTGCGATTGAGTGTTTTTATCCGAACCGTTTCGCTTCGTCGGTGGTTGTGGTTGGCAAGCCGGGATTCAGAAAAAAATTGGCGCGCAACAAAGCAACAAACGGGGAAACCTGCCACACGAGGCCTTTTTCACAAGCAAAAGCGGAGCCGGGGAATCAGAGGCCGAGGACTCAAAACGAAACAACAGAAAAGAAAAACAACGGCGGTCGTCTCCTGCTGGGCAATGGGGGATTTCAGAGTGTCGTGTCAGACGAAGAAAGAAGAAGAAATGGAAGAAGAAGGGGTGGGAAGCAGAAAACCCCAGGTAGGCAGGCTGACGGGAGTGCCAGCTGGTTGGTTAGTTGCCAGCTGGTGCCAGAAAAAAATAAAGACCGTTTAGCACAGCAAGCCAAGCGCCAAACAGGCCGACCACGGCCACTAAGACGGTCAGGTACCCCCCTGTACGCCTTCTGGGGGCCACTACTGAGTAAAAAAGTGACACGAGACCTGTTGTTTGCGCGGTGCGCGCCGTACCATCTGTGCGTGGCGGTTTACTTTAAATTGGCGGGTTTTTAAATATTGTTTAACCATATTGCCTTCCCTCTCTTGAATTATTTCTTTTGATCTTCTTTTTTTGCGCGCTAGCTAGTGCTGTGTCCGTTCTACCTCTACCGCCAACCAAAACCCCTTCTAACCCCTGTAGCGAGGTTGTCACTGCAGGCAGTGGGCTCTATATCTCTCTACGCTTTCCTTCGCTACTGCAACATCCCATCACCGCCTCATGTGCTCTCTTTCCAATTTCTTTCTTGTATCATCAATTCCACAATACACACATTTCCCTTTTATTTTATTCTACCGCTGCCCTCTCAATACCCTTCCCCAAACACAACCAACCTGTCAAACCAAAGCGGCCCCGTGTCCGCGGACCCCTTCCCAAGCACCTTTGCGGCCCCGTTAGCCGAACAATCTCCGCACCCACCATTTCCCCACTACGCCTCTTGTGCGCCACTAACAAAATCCAAAAATTCTTTTCCTTCCTTCCTTCCTTCGCTCTCTTCCGAGGCTTAGTTCCCCGGAAAAGCCCGAGTGCGCGCCATTGCCGAATCGGGCACTCGCTACTATACAGTGGCTTTTCTCTGCATACTACACTACGGCGTCATCTGCGAAACACATGACGCCAGCCTTCACCTAAACAAACAAAAAAAATACCTCTCTGAAACACCGCCTAAATTTTACCTTAATTGCTGAGCTTATTCTCGCCGCAGATGCTGCCCTGCCCATCGTCAGCCCGCCTAAGCTTCCCCAACCCGGTGGACCCCAGCTTACATGAGATACTGCAGTAATACCGGCTCCAGTCCCCAGGCGATATTACTCTCCATGAGCCTTGGCTTGGGTGCCCGTCTCCACGACCTTGACTGATCCTGTCCGCTTCTTGCTGTGCTTTCAAAGTACTGCCTAGACTTCGCCGTGTGACTTGGTTCCCTCTCTCCTGTCTCAGCTCATGTTGGACACACTGCTAGAATAGTTGATTCTGCTGCACACTGCCGCTATGGCGCCCGGGGCTTTGAATTTGAGGGTCGTCCCGCCTGTAATAAACGGCTCTCTCTCTCAGGAAGACATGGAATCGAGCCCTGTCCACCCGTCTTGGCCAGATTGGCTCCCGTCTTCCCCGGCCCGACTGACCAATAAGACGGCTGGCTGCGCTCGCTACGGGCCGCGAACGAACCCAATTGACATGCGAGACATAACACACACACCGACACAAGTAGCTACGACTACACACATCACTTGATGATTAAAAAGGCCAGAGCGTTTCCTTGTAAATGCGCATTTTGTATTGCCGCGGCTAGTGATGCTGTTGCTGCTACTGCTCCTGTATGAATCGCTATTATTATAACATGTAAACCTCCCTTGCGCCTTTAAGAAACAGATTCCATAAAACAATTCCGGTATTTCCATACTCCGCCAAGATGTTCTTTGTCTTGGGTCAAAAAATATAACAATCATGCAATCTCCCATTAAGGTCGTCGTAGTAATGACCTGTATTGTCTCCTTCAACAGTAAAAAAAAAAGTTGGGCGTATTATGCCGATGTTTCCTCCATCATTGTCGGGTATCCGTTGGTGGCAACGGCCGGCCGTGAAGAGCGAACTGGTGATGTGTGGTTGGGCAGTGTGAATCCAGCGTCCAAAGCGTCTTGGACAATGTATGCTGCCTCCTTGAATCTCTTTTCGCAGTACTTCTCGTACACTGCGGCGTGGTGCAGGCGAGGTTGTTCGCAGCACTCGATAATCATGGTTACCAGCGATCGGAGCTGTGTCCATGTGTATCCGGAATAGTAGACATGTTGCTTAGTCTAGACGCGATTTGTTAGCAAATGCAAAAAAACGGTGAAAAATAAAAGATAGAAAAAAAACATACCCAGTCTCCCTTTCCGAGAATAAGACGCGACAGGCAGTGGGCGCCAGCAGCCAAGAAGCTGGGCGGTGTTGCCACGAAGCGTTCGTCCATAATAGTCAACTCGATAAAATACTTGGCTAGCGTGCGCGTGTCCAAGTCGTAGTTGTCGGCCTTACTGACGCGACGCAGGAAGCTCATGGGACCGGGGAAGCCGAGCTCAAAGCTCAGCATACTAAGCATGAACCGCTCGGCCTTGAGAATCTCATCCGCGGTGTAGCCATTATCCACCATGTACTCAATCTCCTCTAGCGATGGGCAGTGAATCTCTTCGTACTTGGCTGCCACCAAGATGGCAGTGGCGCCGACGAGCTGGAGCTTGCCCACGGAGACGACCTTGTAGGAGAGGAAGCGGTCGATGTAGTTGACAGTAAGGAATAGTGTTTCGGGAAGAAGGTTGAAGCGGCTGTGGACCTGGACGAGCCAGTCCATCAAGACGGAGCGCATGGACCATTGGATCTCGGTCTGATTCTCCATGTAGTGAGGGTTGGGCATCATCTTGACTTCCAACTCCCTCATGTACTCAAAAATCTCGTCGCCATACTCGGCAACCATGGTCACGTCCCAGAATTCCTCCTCGAGCTCATCCGGAGTGATGCTAGCCTCTACCTCGCGACGGGCATCGTCCAGCTCCTTGTTCACCTTGTTGGTGACGCGGGGAGCCAGCATGGTCGTGACATTGCCCGTGGTCAGGTCTCGCGAGCGGAATGAGTGAGCTGTGGTGTAGGCTTGGTCCTGGTCGTCGTAATCCTCATCATCCTCGTCCCAGTACTCTTCGGGCTCAGATACTGGTGCTGTATTCTCATTGTACACAGCAGCAGCCGGGCCAGCACTTTGATCAACATACTGATCCTGCGTGACTGCCATGAGGGGCTCCAGATCTGCGGCATCGCTTACCGAATCGAGATACATTGTGTTGCCGCTCTCAACTTCGGTGGAGTCTGTCGAGATGGCGGTGCCGACCGACTCCGTGTCCAGCTCGGGCAGCTCCAGGAGCGGCTCAACGAGCATGGACGCAAGGGGCTCAGCACGCTCGAATTGCTTGCTTTGTGTCTTGCGGAGGACGGGAGCCTGTTGTTGCTTCAGCTGCGGCTGGCTCTTATGGTGACGAGGCTGATACACGCGAGGCTCAACGGTGGAGGATGATGTGGGAATGTGTGATGTTAGCGATAATGTTGTAGTAGGGATGGTGGCAGATAGAGTGTGGCGATGCGGGCCCTTGAGAGGAAGATCATGCAGAGGCTGGATGACTTCAATGGGCTGGCTGTTATTGTTGTTGGTAGTGGTGCTAGTGTTGGATGATCTGGGCTTGAGCATGGCAGCCGCAGCGGCTGCCGTGCGTTGGAAACCGCCCTTGAGCGAGTCCTTGCGGCTGTGTGCAACATTTTCCTTGTTGGTAGCGGCAACAGCGCGTGTGGTTTGCGAGGTGACCTTGACGGGAGCAGGTTTAACGCCGTCCTTGCTAGAAACACCGTTGCTGGTGCTGGCCCTTGACACGTTGGTGACGTCGCCAAATGCTGCGCGTTTGGCCGGGCGAAGGAAGCCCACGGCCGAGGCAGAGGCCATACCGATCAGGTTTCCCGTCGATTTGTGTCTATGATGGATGGGAGCCGGAGCGTTGTCCGAGGTTCGCGGTCGTTGGAGCTAGAGCAGGAGAATTGTGAATTAGCCAACGAAAGGAAGGGATGCCTGATGATGAGCAACAGCGGCAAGCCAGGTTCAAAAGGGACAACAAGAAGGAAATGAAACTGCAGGCGAATTGATGCAAGTCATAAGAAAACAAAACAACAGGGGCCACTTGCAGGATCCAATGCAAATCAAACAGACACGATAGAGAAAAGGAGAGAGTAAACGGCCAGCTGTGGTGGTGAGGAATGCAATAGGCTGCGATTGCCCGTTGCAAGACACAAGCGAAATTGGCTAGGCCGACCAGGGGAAATTGGTGGACGAAACGAAAGCAGTCGTGTTTACTCACCCGTGAATCCATTTTGATGTAGAAAAAACTTAGCAAATTTCACAGCTGCCAGCAACTGCTGCAGCTAGAAGAAGAGAAGAAAGAAAAGAAAAATGCGCGGTGGCGAAAGCGTGTTTTCAATGTGAACGGCGTGAGCAGCTGGCGGCCAACTGTCGCGCGTTGGGGATTTGGCGAGAAAAGTGACCTGAGCGTCAGGCTGACATGAAGAGGCTCGAAGACGTTCGTAGTAGTAGCAGCAAGCAGAAAATAAAATAAAAACTCGATACGGCTACTATGAAGATGCCAACTGCTTTTTTTGTTTTGTGTGAATATCGGCGAAACCAAGATAGATATTTGGTTGGATCGGTTGTTTTGACGTGGCGGAGACACTGGGTAGCAGTAGCTCACTTCAGTGCATTCGTCCCTCTGCTGGTTGCTCCACCAATGGCCGGTACGGGTACCCCAATAACAAAGGGGAGGGGGCCGAATATAGCAACAAGGCGAAAGAAAAATAACAACAAAGCTTTCAATGTCCAGCGGGCGAAAGAAGCTGTGCAAAGTGCCTTTTTTCGCTTGCAGAGAGAAAAAAAAATGGCGATGATGAAGGAGAAAGAGGCAAAGAAGCAAAAAACGCGTTCGCGAACAAGATTAGAAACCCTGGGGATCCCTGTAGGTACTAACACTTCCGTAATCGAGGCTCAGCGGGTAGGTACTGGGACTTGCTCTGTCGTAGGCACTTTGGGGCCCTGCTTGCTGCTAATAAAAACGTGCCCACGGGGGGATGAGATGATGGGTTCCCCTGAAAGTGAGGACGTTCGCTATTTCCAGCCGGACGGGCCGCTTTCGCACAGGCGTCTTTTTTGGGGGGCTTTTTGAGGCCGACGACAAGGGCGAGTAAGATAAAACAGCGAGTGGAAACCAATTGCTTTGACTTTTTTTTTCTGTTGGAGACAAAAAAGGGCGCAAGAAGCAAGTAAAAAAAGGAGGGTGTAAGATCCTCGTCTGGGGTGAGTGAGGCAGTAGGAGGCACTGAAAAAAATAAGAATGAAAAATAAAAGATGATAAAATAATTTACTACAATCTACGGATGGGATGAACGGCTTCTATTTCAGTATTTTCATCGTCTTCATTTCTCATACCATTGTCGATGGACAGCAACATAACATCCAGAAGCCGTTGCATCCAACGACGCTATTTTTGTTTATGTTGTTTATTTACTGAGCTGTCTCTGCTACTGCCTTAGTGGTAACAGCCCAGCCCAGCGGCCGGCAGCCACACCCGCAAACCAGCGAAAAAAAAAAATGACAAGAATGGCTGTCTCGTCGATCGCCAGCCAATCGCTCCTCACTATTCTTTTCTTGCGTTTGTCTGTCGTGCTGTCTTGCAAAAATAGGAGCAACCAGTGGCCCATGTCTCACGCGGCGTGCCTGTCCCAAGCAGCGTTACTTTGTAGCCAATCAGACGGGCTGCACGGGCGCCAGGTGTGCTTGTTTTCTTCCAGAACCGGCATGTTGCGCACCGACCCACCTTGTGGCGCCTGAGTCGACGGGTGGCCCTGTCGTCACGGCGATGACGATTTTCCGGGGTCACCTTTTTTTTGTCGTCGCACGCCTTATGTAAAGGAAACGGCGCTAGGCCCGTTTGGGGCAGGCGGGTCAGCCTTCCGTCGCGTCTTCCCGGGTAGTTTAAATCTGCCGTTTGAGCAGATCGGAAACGTCTGTCGCCGCAACATGACTCTTAAAAATACAAAACTGTAAAATTTGCAATATTCACAGATTCTACTACCAGTTGCACCATTTTCCGATGCAAATTTTAGTAAGTTGCGGTGCCAACAGCACAGTTTACGCTTTGCGCCAGATCGCGTCGGATCCGATCTAGTAATGCACGCCAACAGCTCACGACTGCACGTGACCCCAATCCCACCTGCCAACACAGTGTGGCATGTTCAACTTTCGTTTTGCCGCAGCCGTGCAAAGCCGAGTCACCACCGGAGCAGCCAGGCTCACGTCACCATTTACTAGGCGAAAAAAAAAAAAGAGCTGAACCGTCGCATCGAAACCGCCAAGAACCAGAGCGGTAAAAATAGAAACCTCTCAAGAAAAAGACACCTCGCTAAACAGACGACTGTCTGGGAAATTTTTGCGCGCTTTTGCAGAAATGCGACAAACACCTATCAAAGGCGTTTTTGCCGCCGAGGCTAAAAACCCACATACAACGCACCACGCAGCCCACCCCGCGGACAAATCGGCGTCGAGCGTCACCGTAGGAGGGGATGGATGGAGCAAATACCGGTTTCATCAGCCAGCACAACGAAGAAAAAAGCTAGCCACGGAACCGCCGGCTTCCTTATTTGGTTGAAAAGCCAGATGGCCATTCTTGCCCAATCGATGATCCTCATGCGATTCCAGCTGCTAATAATTCTGCCACGGTGTTTTTTTAGAAGCGCTTTCTTTCAGGGTAAGTTCGTCTCAACGCCGGTAGTTTTCCATTTTTCGCACACTGTGTAGATTGCGCAGTCCCGCGCCGCTGTCGCAGTACGTACGCTCCTATTTTTCCAAAAGGCCCAACGATATTCTCGTATCGCTCGGAGTATAATTGCACATATTCCCTATCACGGGAAGCGCTCCGAGAAAGCTAGAAACATCTGTCACGCCGACGCCCTGGTTGGCTGGCTAGGCTGCCTTGGAAGTGGCCAAGCAAACAGTGCCAGCCCGGCGCAAAAAGCTTGCGCCGCCAGCGCTGTACAGTATAAGGGGGGGCGCTTATAGTGGCATATGCGCCGCCAATCAGACGACGATCGCAGTGCTCTGTGTACCCAGCTGTGCGCCCGTTTCGCAATGCAATTATGACTGTGCGGCGTTTTGCCTCGGAAATAGGGAAGCCCTTTGCGCTGCAGCTGCGCTTTTACTATGTATTGCCCAATTTCATACGACGTGCTGGGAAGGGGGACGAACCAACTGGTTTTGCGCCGCGCTAGATACTAGATGCTGCAGGCAGCTGATGGTGGTCGGAGAACCCCCCCTGTCGACCGCCCTGCTTGCGATGGGATGCGCAGGGTATTGGGCCTAGCCAGCAAGTACCGTGCTGCTGCAGCAGGCTACTTCTAGAAGAAGCGTGCGAGCGAGCGCATCTACGATGACGCTGGTCCTAGCATGTATGTATGTCCCTTGATGAGCGCAGCCCATTTCCCCAGATGCGCCGTGTCAAGACGAGCTGTGGATGGACAGAGCCAGCCCATTTCAATTTACCTGTAGGGCGCACGCAGACACTCTTCGCTCTTCATTTCGCCTTGGGCTGGGCATTGTGACTCGTGGCCGCCTCTTTTTTTCTCCTTCTCTCGCCTGCGCTAACAAGCCCTTGTGACTCCATCTCCCCGTATCAAGCCACAATGCCAGTCGCAGGTGGACCGGAGCTCCGCTAGAGCAAGGAAGCAAAAAGAAGAGGTGAGTGAAGCGGCCAAAAAATTGGCGGCTGGCTGGGTAGATTGCAGCGCAGGGTTGTTTTTATAAAGTAGGGGGAGAATATATATACAGTCCTATATGGTAATTACACAGTGAGAAGAAGAGCTGTCAAAAGTAGGGCATGTCATGTCGTTGGGCATCAGCAGCAAGCAAGCAGCCTCGACGTGCGTGCGCAGACCAGACCCTGCGCATCAATTGATGCCCGTATATCTTGCGACACGTTGCGCCGGGTAGCATGTAAGCTGTCCCGCGTGGGGTTTAAAGCATTTGATTACATTGTCGATGGAATAATTTGTGTGCGGAATCCGCTTTCTAGCGAGAGGGGGGAATATAGACTGCATGCAGAGAGAGGCCCGGCAGTCTTTCCTATGCATGAGACGTTTTATGTGCAAGACCAACGACATGCATGACGCGACAAGACCAGACACACCGTAACTTTGAACGGTTTGCACCCCCTCCCGAAGACGGGCAAAAAAATGAGACAAGAATGCACATGTACTGTAGATAGCCAAGCTAGAGTAAACAAGTGAGCGTAGCGGAGATACCACGCATTGCGCAATGCGCTCTTCTCTCATTGGACCGGCTCAGCGATAGCGCAGTAAACTTTTTTGTCTACAGCACAGCTCAGCGCACCGCCTTGGCTATCACTCACGGGGCGGGCTTTCACCCGTCGGCACGCCGGACAGCAAACAAAATATATTTTAACATGTCGCATTGGATTCTCCAGCTCGAGGCGACGGGTTTTGTACAGTGTTGGGTCTTGCGCGACAATGGCATGGGCAGCGGTAGACAGCCGCGCGCCGCTCTGCATTTGGGAAGCCAGCCCTTGTCGTGTCCCCCATCCCATCTGTCTGCACGTAGCCTTGTGAACACACACTGTGCGTGGACCTTGTGGCTGGCCTGCCTGCTTGCGTACGTGCGATGCAGACATTTTGTTTTCTTTTATTGCACACCGTTTCCATCATTTCGTAATTAGGATACAAATCCTACAGTCCCGGTCTGCTTGTCTAGACCTTGGGCCCGTGCTGACAACGAGGAATGCGCTGACCGCAATCATCAGGATAGGGTCGTCCATCGTATCGTGCACATGAAACACAATGAATGAATGAATGACATGGCAAGGGAGCGCCTGCTGCGCAAAAGAGACCAATTAATCAACCAAGCGGACGGGATTGCTCCCGTGCACATGGGCGCTCTTAATCATGGGTATTTTGACGCAATTGATTCACAACCACTCAACCCGTCGCAAGCGCCTCGTGAGGAATGCGGCCGTCCAGGTTTTGCGACCACCTGCTCTACCTGGGGTTGTAGTGTGTGGAGGCTGGCGGCGAAACCGGGGGCTCGCTCCCAAGGGCTGGATACCTTTTTGCGAAAAAAAAACGGCCTGGGCTATTGAATTATGTACATTTTACCTGGCACTTGACTTAGTAGTGAGTGTAATTGGCGGGATCGGGGTGTTGTTTGTTTTGGCGATGCGCAGTGCAGCAAGTAGCACATGGCCCGTTGGTGAGGGCTGGCGCGGCGCAAACGTGGGTACGCAACGTCACCACCAACAATAGTGTGTGTCTTCATCTTGTCTAGTAGCTTTTTGCTTGCTTGCCTCGTGACAAGAGAGACACTGCTTTTGCGCGCGTGTGTGTGCGATCGGAGAAATTGCGCAAGCCATCATTTCTGCTTGCGCCGGTGATATTACCTACTGTAGCGTGGTGTTCCTGTTTTGCCCGGTATTCACCTGAAAATGCGATAAGCGGCGCTTCTACTGTACTAGTGCTCGGCGTGTTCGCTCTTGCGGTCGTCACTGTTATGATGGCAAATGTTGCTATTATTTTTATTCCTTTCTTTTCTTTTAATGACGGGTCTGTTCTAGATGTGGAGCTTGTCAAGTCTTCTCTCGTAGATTCCAGTATGCAAATATACATACAATGACTGGATGTCTCAACACTCTCTGCGCAAGGTACCGCGCTGTGTCTTGGATTAGCCTCTAGTGCGGAGGCCCGGCGGCGCTAGGCCGCACAGTGCCGAGTCAGAGCACGAGCATGCACGAGCACACGCTGTATCTCGCTAGTGGCGGCCTGCTGAGAGAGAGCTTTGCTTTTCCCCTTTGCTGCGCACGAGGCGAGGCTGGCGGACGATACGATGATGACTTTTCTTTTTTTCTATGTTGTTGTTCACCGTTTGCGGCATCCTTTGCATGTTGCCACTTCTCTTGTCGCCAAAGGGTGAACTTCATCATGGCGCAAATCCAGCCACCGCAAGAACCCTGGTGCCTTTTTTTTTTCCTTTGCTTGGTCCCCAAGAAACGGGGGATCCCTGCAAACGGTAGGTACGCAAAAACACCCTTCTGCCCCATCGCACTGTGACAGGGAACCAAAAAGTGCTCGGTGCCTGTAGCACAGCGTATCACCCAGCTAACAGGGCCTGCTGATAGGCGACTGGGGAGATCGATCGCTGCACTGGGCGCGCCGTTTGTGAAGCTGCCGTGCTGCTTTGCTGCAGGTCGTCCCAAGAGCCGTGGCCGCCACCTAACTTACAGCGCAGTGCAGTGCACCATACAGCAGCGACCACTCACCACCTGCAACAGCACTACTGCTGCTTGCTGGGTGTCTGCTTCAGATGCAGTGCAACGACATCCCCGCTTGCGCTGCTGCCCCCTGACCCGTATAGATGCGCGCAACTATTAGTTTTCCTGCTCCGACTATTACCTGGAGGAGTGAAGCATCTGTATGCATGTCCAGACTTGTTGTCTCTCTGGCTCTGTAGTCTCTGGCTCTGTACTGTAGGTAGGTCACTTGTGCTGAGGTCGACCCTCTTTTCCTGTCCATCGCCAGCTTTGCGCCGCGTGACTCTTCAATCCAACCAACTGCCGCTGCGACTCAACACCAATCCTTTTGGCTAAGCACGCACGTACGCACGCATTGCTTAGCTGCCCTCTTTGGTAGAATCCGGCGTCGCACCATAAGCGCCCGGCCCATGTTCGTTCTGCCGTGTAGATGACAGAGAATGGAGGGACTGACAGGTAAGCAGATTTGCGAATTGTGCCGTCCATCTGTTTCTGTATGCCAAGCTGCTGCGCCAGCTCAACAAACACAGTCTGTCGCCCACCGCTCTCTCTTTGAGAGAAATAACAAGAAAAAAAAGCCGCCATTCATCTACAACACGCATGCACGCTACGGCAACTAACGCTTTCGTTAGCTCTGTTCCTGTTGAATGATGTGCTGGTTAGGTAGGTGTGCCATACAGCCTACGGCACCACAGCCCACTCACACCATTCTTGACACAAGCCCGTTTCTGGCGCATTGCCTGTATGGCTTTGTTTCGCATACTGTACGCTGCGTACTGTACGGCGGCGCAAGGTACGTAGCAATTCGTAGTCACCACATATTGCTCTCAGCGATCACTCGTAGTTCAGCTTTTTAAGTATATTTGTTTTAATTACTTGCCCTGTCGCCAACTGTAGCTGGCCGGGATTTTGTTTTGTCCCAATGCGTAACCATTATCTTGCCGTGCCGAACCGCACCGTGCCGGTTCATGGTTTGCTTGCTTGCTTGCTCGCATGCAATCCAGCGCACAGCAGCGCCGCCAGCACCTAGTCCAATTGAGGCTAACAACACTGCCGATGCTCCGGCAATAGTTCCAGGTATGGATTACTAGGACTAGTCAAAAACGGTATGTAAAAGCTCAATAGCTCTTTTCACCCGATTGGCAACACTAGGTGCCTCAACACAACGCTTGCGCCCAGCCCAATGGCATCATAGGCATTCTCGCTGTTCGCATAGCTCCTCCGGACACAGTAAAAGACTACTTGGTTACAGCTGTACGTTATTACCCCGTCATCACCAGTGGCCAAACCCCACAAACACAAGTCAAGGCCGGCCGCGAAGGTGCTTGCTTGCGTGCCAAGTTGGCTTGTATCTTGTGGCCTGGCCATTGAGGTTCCCTTGACTAGGCTGACTTGGTATCCCTCGATCGGGATGAAATGCGTGCGTGTGTGTATGAGTACTTACTCCTGCGCTGTTCCTGGCGATTTGTGTTTGGTTCTACTTCGCCATGGCTAATTAGCATCGACATCGGTCTAAAACCATTCCGTCGCCTTTTGCCCATGGCCCCAAATGAAAATAATTCCTAGACTGACTGACTGACTGACTGCGCGCGCGACTTGCCCACACACCCCCCCGTACAGTATGCCACCGCACAGCACCACAGTGCGCCGGCATCACCAGCACTAAGAGAGAGACGAGTGGCGGGGACCGTAAATGGCACTGTGGCACCTTTTTTTTCACCGTCATTCCCCTGCAACTCGCTTCGATAGCGCTGGGCCGCTGACATGTACATTTTTTCTTCTCTTGCCCTTTTTTTTTTTACCCATTCTTTAATATATATGAAGGGGATTTCTATTTCCCGGGCTAGCGCTAGTCCTGCTCGACCATACAAATTAGACACCCCAGGCAACGAGTGCACAGCCAGCGCTAGCACTAGCACGAGTACCACCGCCTTGACAAATTGGGGGTCATGACCAATGACGGATTTGGGCCACAATACCAGCCATCGGCAGAGGGACGCGCTGGCCCAGACGACCAAGAACGTGGGGAAGAAAAAAAAGAGGGAAACAGTAGAAGATTTGCCCTTGTTACTCTACAAGCGGTCTTTTGTAGCGAAACATAAAAAAAAAACCAGCGGGATTGGTTTGATTACTCGGCATCCAATCAAGTTGTGCAAGCGCCCAACAACTTTTACTTAGGCGCCGTAGCAAAAACCAACAGGTGCCGTAGAACCCACTACAGCCGCCCGTCCTCAGCGCCCGTTTTAGCGGCCAATAGCGGGGGCTTGGGGGCAGGCAGGTACGAACCTACTAGACTCCTGGCGGTGTGGGATGGATGGATGCGATGGGGCCAGTGTGCGCTGGCACGCCGCCCGCACTGTGAGGTGTGTGCCCGCCCCGCTGGTCTAGCGATCATGAAGCGCTGTAGGTAGCTCCAGCGGCCCTTTAGCGACTCGATCCCCTAACGCACGGCGCTGTGGCCGCTGAAACTGGACGCTATGTTTAGGCTTTCAGGCTAGCCTAGCGCTGGAAAAAAACCTCCTCTCCTCACACTGGGCTGAGTCTGGGCCTTTTCGCCTGCACCGCTGGTGGCCCGGTTAAGCAAAATGGTTCGACCTCTTTTGCTCCTCTTTTCCCAGGCCTCTCTTCTTCTTTCTCTCCAACCCAAGCTGCCGACTCTTCTCTTTTTTCGTTGTCTTCCTTTTTTCAAACTCCTTCGTTCCGTCATTGTCGTGATATCTCTGGTACGTCCTGCTCATGCGCCATATGCTCCCTCTTCCACCTGCACTGCACTGGTACCAGCTCGTTCGCCTGCGTGCGTTCGCCGCAACTGAGCCCTTGGGCCGCCCAGGCGCTCGCTGCAAACCAAACATGTTCCTCTGCGCTTCGTTTGACTGCCGTGTCCATCTACGCATCGCTAACCATCATTAGAAGTCGATTCAGATCCAGCCGCTTCCTTTTGCCGACCAATCCGACTCGTTGCCTTCGACCGTCTTCTCGCTGCTGCTACTACCGCTGCTGCTGCTGCTGCGCCGCCTGGTTTGGCGCTAGCCCGCCCACAACCTGCTCACGGTGATGAACGCTGGAGAAAAACAAATCGGTTTTATTTTTCTCCTTTAATCGTTCTTCGTCTGCTGCCCGATCGATATTTACATCTACATCTACATTTCTCCTCGTCCTTTTTTGTTGTTTCGCTGCGTGTTCGGGAACCGCTGAGCGTCTTGTTCCTCTCTCTCCGCTCTTCCCTTGGCACCACCCATTGCGTTACGACTACTACTACACCTAAGCAGTAGGGAAAAAAAGGCCCGCCGCAAAAACCACTCCTCCGACACCCAAAAAACCACCCCCAAGTTCCAACCACGTCCCTTGCCTGGGAGAGGAATCTTGGATTTGCGTGTCCTCGCCATCAAAAATTCATCATCCCGTCGTCCTTTTGTATGAAAAATACAAAAAGGCGGCAAATTCTCCATGTCTTCCCTTTCGCCCATCAACACCGCCGCCGCCATGTCAGCCTCCCCGTCTGCTGGCGGCAGCATGTCGCCTAGGCAGGCCGCTGCCCCCAAGAATGTCGCATTTGAGCTTCTCTTTATGGACTCGCCTCAGTACAGAGCGCGCTTGCCCATGAGAGTCCAGATTTACCCTCACGATGCCACGGAGTCCATTGTCACCACTGTCAAGAACTTCTATGGCCTCTACTCCAACGCCACCACCTCCAAGGGCGTCAGCTTTGAGGACGAGCACGGCAACACCCTCATTGCCCGCTACGAAAACTTTACAAATAACATGAATGTCTATGTTCGTGTCATTGAGGAAGGCCCCGTTGTCCCTGCAAACTACGGCTCCAGCTCGTTTCACACAGCCATGCCAGGGGCCGCCGCCGCTGCCCCCGAGGGCTACTACGCCGACGGCTACCACCAGTCCACAGACCGCGTGGCACGCCCGGGCAGTCGTTCACCCTTGGGCATGGTCCGCGATGACCTCAGCGAATCTGCTAGCGTAACAAGCAAAGAGCAGCTTGGCACTACAGATATCAGCGTCGACAACATTGTCGAGGGTGGTAGACGTAAACGTGCCAAGTTTGAATCTTCGGTAAGACCAACCACCATGTCCTCATCCTACTCCTGCAAGACATCTCCTTGCCATCGAGATGGTTTTTTTTCTTGTTTCCGTTTTTTTATATTACCAGTGTCTAACATGTTGGCTTTTTCCTCTCGTCTTATAGGAGCTCCCTCTTTTTGCTCCTCCTCAGATGCCGGCGGCCACGTCGAACCCGTCCGTATCGCCTGCTCGTCGTATTGACCAGCACCGCGCCCCAGTCGGTTTCAACCAGTCCAGCCACAACCCCTTCACGAACCCTCGATCGATCCACTCGTCGCAATACTACAGCAACAATATTTATGCAACGCCCAATTCTGAAGACCGCCGTCATCGCGGAAGCATCAGCTACGGTAGCGGAAACGGCGTCTTGCCTACGCCGGATCCCACTGTTGGCAGCTGCATGTCGGAAGAGGACAAGGACGTTGCCATCCAGCTCATGAGACTTGGTGAAATGTCCAATGTTCCCCACGGCCGAACATCAGCTTCTACACATGATGATACCTTTAGCGGCAAGGCCGACGCTGCCTCCTCTACTGGCGCCACTAGCGATGGCGAGAGTGACAGCGACAACGACTTGCCCCCTGCCCGCCGCCAGAAGCTGGACATGTCTGGCAACTCCCGCTCCATTTACCCTACCACGGAGAGCAACTTTATGCTTGCCCCCAGCAAGGTAGAGTACAGCAGCGAAGAGGAGTATGACAACCAGCCCAAGCCTGCACCCGCGTCCAAGCCCAAGGCATCCAAGCCCAAGGCTCTTAAACCCGCGGCTACCAAGACAAAGAAGGTTGCTGCTGCTGCTGCGGCTGCTACTGCTCCTCCTCCTGGCGCGCCTCTGTCCCCTGCATCGGCAACACACTCTCGCAAGCCTTCTGTTACTTCGGTTGGCGCCATGGGCCCTCCTGGCGAGGATGAGCCCGACTTGTCCACCAAGCCTCGCTGCCAGCGTTGCCGCAAGAGCAAGAAGGGCTGCGATCGTCAGCGCCCCTGCGGACGATGCCGAGATGCTGGCCTTACCGCGGACCAGTGCATCAGCGAAGATGAGGGCAACGGTCGCAAGGGCCGTTATGGACGCCACATGGGCGTTCCCATCAAAAAGGAAGAGCTGCTCACCGTGGCTCAACCTACGCTGCTGCCGGCCGCTCCCATCGCCCCCAACACCGTCGCCGTCGCCATGTCTATCGACAAATCCAAGAAGCGCAAGCGATAAGCGGTTTACGGAACGGTGCGATGATGACACATACTACAAAACAAAACAACTGGACATATTCTTATTTATTTTTTTACTCTTTTTGAGAGAAAATGTATTCTTCCTGGATTGCAAGACGGAAAATCTTTTTGCCCTTTTTTTCGCACTCAACGGAACGGTTTTTGGGTCGGGTCCACCACACAACGGTGAGAGAGCGCCCATGATGAGAAGAGAAAAAACTACGAAAACGACAACCAAAAAAAACGTACACAAAAAAGCGACACGAAAAAGCGACCAAAAAATTACTACAAACAAATGACGATCTATGGGTTTTTCTGAGAAAAAAATTGGCGGACGAAGAAGAGAATACTTCCCGGGCCTGGAAGCGCCGGGGCGGAGAAAGAGAGGCACGAAGCTACGCATCACACGTTTCCCGCTGTTTATTGTCTGTCTGGTTTTGACTTGATTTATTGGTTCTGTTCCTTTTGCGCGCTCTGTTGAAAGTTTTTGCTCTCGAGGTCTTCTCCCTGTGGCGCAAACATGTTTTGATATTTTTATTCATTTTTTGTTGTTGCTTATTACAGGAGAGTAATTTACGACGGCCCTCTGGGAGGAAAACAAAGAGGGCCATTACACTCCGTCGGGTTTACTTTTTGGCGTTTTGGTCTTTTTCTATATGCAGGGCAGACTCTGTGTTTTTGATCGAGAGTGTCTGATATTTTTTTGTTATTACCTCTACTTTATAGTCTCTTTATTACTCGTTTTTAACTGGTATTCTTTGATGAACCGTCTTCTTTCCGCGTGCTTCTCCTGCGCAGTGTCAACTTCGGCACTTCTTTACACAGCAAACGCTGCTAGCTCCCGAGACGAAAGGGGAAAATACGGTCTGCTCGTCAGCGGCCTGTTGTTTTACGCCAGCGACGCCGCGATTCGAGTGACTGGATGGCAGAGATTGGGGAAAAGCGGGTGATGGCCACGGAATGCGGTCACCTGGGGCACACACAAGCGGCGGCGCGCGGGCATGACTCCAGTATGAAATGAGAAGTATCTGCCGGAAGCGTGCGCATGATGGGATTACAGACCTCATGAGTCGTTGCGATTCCTGTTTGCCGTGTGGTTTTTTCAGCGCGTTCTTTCTTTTTCGTCCGTTGCGCCGGGTGTCTGTCTTGCGTAACAAGTGCGGTGTGGGCCCCCCGCGGGAGTCGACATCTCGGCGCGCAGTACGACATGTTTGATTTTCAAGTTATTTATTATTTATTATGAAGTATGTATGTATGAATTACGAATTCCGCGCATTTTCAGTAAGTCTACAGCGTATGTGGTGACATGCTAAAAGGTCGGAGCCACAAGGGTGCATGTATCTCTGGCTGGTTAGCATTGGTCGTAGATTGTGCAGCGGAACGCAGCATCGCCAATCCGCGACGCTTTGATGCGAAAATTGGCGCGCACAGTCGCAATATACATGCGACACTAGCGGGCACCAGAAAATTCTAAGATTGTGATTTTTTGCGAAATGCGCTGCGGTTGATGCGGCGCCGCGCCGTTCGGCGATGGCGGCTCCAGGGTAAATCGACGTCAAACTTGGCGCTGGTGCGCTTAGCCTATTCGGGTTTAGGGCGGAAATAGAATGGCCTTGCGGAAGAAAAAGAACCGTTGGCATGCAGGGATGACGGGTGCCGATTGGTGCACGTGAAGAGTCACGGGGTTTACGTCATCAGGTCCAGGGTACCCCGCGGTAGTGGTAGTGTGGGGTAGACAAACCAAAAAGGGTGAGACAAGAGTGAGGTTGGCTGGTGAGGAGGAAATAATTGTGGTTAATTTTTGGGAAAATGGAATAAAATTGAAAATAAAATTGGAAATTTAAAGGAAACTGAGGGAGAGGGAAGGAATGGGGAAAATGGGAGAAATGAGGTGCTGGGGGTGTTTGTGACGGGATGATTTGGTGGGAGAACAGTGCGCTCTGCAAAAATGGTGTAAGTGTGGATGAGTGTAGGTCGGTCTATAATGGATTAATGACCACGAATTGCAATTTTATAGGGCAAATAATGAAAGAATTGTTTACTGTTGGTTTCGAACATACGGTGACGGCTGCCTATGCCAAGACAATCACGCCCAGCGCAATTTACCTGCTCAGTCACCGACACCAAGCAGAAAACTTTGTGAAATGCATAATCAACGCGAAAATGTTTGAATAAACCACATAAAAATGACTTATGATCGAGAAGTCGTCGTCCAAGGCATGCTGCGGTACTACCGGCTGCTCGCTAAGCTTGCCTACCTGGAGGACTCAGAGATTCTGGTGCCGCCTCCGACAGGATGGCCCGACGAGCAGCTGCTCATGGGGATGCTGGTGTCGACTAACCGATCAGACTTAGTCATTGACCTCGTCAAACACTTACCATATCTCCGCCGCGACCGCGATCTAGAAATCTATCCGCCGTGCCGCGCTGTCAGCTATCTCCGGGAGAGCGCCGACCAAGATGCACAGTCACCAAAGACAGCCAGACGGTACTTTCACCTGCAGCTCATGCCCTTTGGAATCACCATCAAGGCGCCTGGGAACATGATTGTGCTGGCCTCGGATCTGAGGGTAGACGCCTGGGTCTTGGACATTGACGACGACGTTGTCTACCATTGCGATTCGACGCTGTGGGACGAGAATGCCCGCGACGATGAGCCCTGGAAGCAGTTTGGGAAGCGCCGTGGGACACGTGCGTTTTTTAATTACATGTGCAGACTGCTGGAGAGACTGGTGATTGTCCCGGTGCCGGAGCCTGTCTTGTGGTTTGAAGGTGGGCGGTCTGGCAAAGGACGAGTAAGTATAGATGGAAAAGTATAAAGCGTTGCTAATATGTGGTGTCTGGTAGCGTATTATTGGTCTCTTGACGCGGCATGGGTGGCCGGACAATCTGGATAAGGAGGCATATCTGGAGTCTATAAGGGAATATGATGCGGCTGTGAGGCGTAAGATGGTACGGGACGCGGAGCGTGAAGAAGCAGAAACACAAGGTGAAGACTAGTGGATTGATTGCCAGTTTGTTTTTCAAACAGTCAACACGCGTTATTTGCAAGCTTGCTAATATTTCCTACGTATTTCGCCGCTTCTCTAGAGCAACGGATAGATCAAACTTGAACCCGCGCGCCGGGCCTCGCGCAGAAAACTTCCATCCACCACGCGCAAACAACTGTCCATTTTCCGCCAAAACCTTTAAAAGCAGCGCAGTTCTCTCGTCCTCTGTCGCTGGGAACACGTCATTTGCCAAAGCATAGGGCTCCATGACAGCCAGTGCATTGCGCAGCCACTCGTCTGCATTCTCCTCCTCCAGCCTGCCCTTCTCTATAGCACCGCGCTTCACCCTGTCAATTTGCTCGCTACGCGCTGGCTCTTGTTCAAACACTGCCCCAAGAAGACCGAGAAGCATATGAGAACGCAGTGCATAGTCTAGATTGTCCATGCTGTAGCCCTTTGTCTCCTCGGCCGCCACAGCCGCCATAAAATCTACCTCCTCCTCGCTCCCAAGCTCATGAAGCCAGCCAAACATGGCCGCAACAGATCCTGCACCACCATCAGGCCAGCCACACCAGCCCACCTCGCTTCTACCCGTTTTATCGTCTATGTCTGGGGGCAGAGCTACATCACTCACAGCGTGCCAGCGCTCGGGCCTATAGTGTCTCTGCCAGTCCCATACATCGTAGCCGCCCTGGGCCATGTAGATGCCAAAGTAGCTTGGACCTCCGGCATAGCCCATTTCTTTCCGGACGTAGTCGAGCCAGAGGCGCGCCTGGGTCTCCGAATAAGGCGCTACTTCAGGATGCTGTTCCCGCAGGCGGGAGCTGCTGCTACGTAAGGTTTCAATGGCAATCTCTGTTATTCTCTCCTTTGGTAGTGCCGTCTGCCAGTGATATGTCCCATTGACGGTATCGGCCCATCGGGGCAGCTTGGTAGCATGGGCAGCAGGTTTCTTCCGGCAAGTCCCTACTGGGTCGTCGGAGAAAGGCAGATGGCGCAGGTTAGGAGGGCGCCAGAAGCGCGCAGTAGCTGGTTGAAGAAGAAATTCGAGGGAGTAGTATTGCTTCCAGATATCTTCAGTGAAATACTTGCCATAAGCGGTCAAGTAGTCGTTAAAATTGTCCGTGTAGAGATCATCAACTATGTAGGATTCGTAGTACCAACCGCAGGCTACCTGGGACATGTAAAATGCATCCAAAGTTCTGTCATTTGAAATAGTTAGTTGCCGTCAATGTAAAGAGTTGAGCTTGGGGGGAATGAAAATTGCTTACTGATTAAACCTCAATTCGTCTCGCCCAAATGACCAGCCTTGCTCGTGCAGTTTGTCGACGGCTGCACACAGATCACGGCTGTTTTCAGCATGGAACCAATAAATATAGGCTATACGAGCCGTTGCTTCATGGCTGTCGATAACAACCTCTCCTCCTTCGGCGGCATCCACGAAATCACTGTCCTCAGCTAGCGTGGCTGCGAATAAACTAGTAGGGGAGAGATGCTGTGGCTAGCATGCTCAGTCAGGCAAGAGGTGCGGTGATATTTCCAGTAAAGCTTCCGATTTGAGGGAATATACACAAAAAGAGGCCTGTTGGTCTCGTCACATGCAGCTTAGTTAATATATGGCCGCCAAGTTCACGGACTCTTTGTTCCACCCCCACCGTCCCACTAACGGCCTTGATGTTAGAGCCTTATGTCAATTAATACCCTTGTGAGCCTTATGTGCCAAGAGAAATATAAAAGTTAAAACTAATAAATTTGATGGTGTGCCTTACGCTTACATGGTGGTCTCATTTATCGGCTCATGACTAGAGAAGATGCTGGCCACCAAGCTGCGCTGCACCACCACCGTGATGCTACTAGAGCCACTCTATCAACAATTTTTGACATCAGGAAATATGTATCCATGTTCAATAATCGTAATTGTGGTGGAGAGCTCTAGTTTGCGTGGAAACTGGTAGCTTTTCTAGATGGAGGATTGTAGTTGGTTCGGCTAAACGTTCATAAGAACAGTCATAAACACAAGTATATGTGCGTATCTGTTACCACTAACTTTACTACCCCCTTACAGAGTGTGTTGGGAAACAGCCATCTTCATATTTCTAGGATGAAGCTATCGATTATTCTCATCGGTGTCTCCTCCGCTATTGCCTTGAGCGATGTACCGAGTAACAGCTCACTGGTTGCTCGCGATGGTGGAAGAACACACATTGGCTATCGAGTAATTAAGCAAGTAAGTCCAAGACTAGTTAAAACACACCATCATATGTTTTTTATTTGGTGATTATGCCTTGAAAGTACCCAGTTAACATCCCACCAGCTCGATCTGGAAGCTCTTCGCCGAAGCGACGGCGTGGCAGGACTACCTGTTGAACCTGGTGCTAGGCAACTAGGCGTCGGTATCTATATATCTCCTGTTTTCCACGACTGGCCTCCAAAGCTCGAGGCTGGAATTGACCCAGCAAAATATTGGGATTGTAGAGTGATGGCGGAGCCCGGATTCTGGGAAGGGCTGAAGAAAGCCTGGATTCCACGCTATGTTGAGCCCACGGACGCCCTTGGACTACAACTGAACGTGGCACCACCACCAAAGAAAGGCGGCCAGAATTGTAATAAGCCTCCCACCCTTTGGGGCATGCTTCCGTTTATTAAGAGTAAGTGTTGTGCGGATGAATGATGTGTTATTAGATTCTAGCCGCTAACATGAGTGTAGATCTCAACCGACCCAGATTTCTGGCATATCTTGACAGCTCCCCCAGTTCCTCCCGGTGGTAAGCCCGGGCCAACAGATGAGCCACCAGAAGATGACCCAGACTCGTGTCCTATTGATCTACCAGATTTTCCGTTTGGCGATGGCTATGGTAGCGGTGGCGACTCCAATGGCTACGATGAGAGCTATCCAGGTGCTGCCAAAGATAATAGACCACGGGAGATCCCATCGCCTGGGGCTGGTACTGGTACTCCCCAGACAACAGTAGTGACGGTGCAGCCTACATCAGATGCGAAACCAACGGAGGGTAACACGGTTGGGCCTGAGCCAACCGCAGAAATAACACCATTTACTATGGTTGATCCCAACTTTGGCTACAGTGTCGTGTGCGAAACGTCCACACTGACGTATTACGCTGGGTATCCCGTAACACAGTGTGCAGGTGCCAGCACAACCATCTATCCTCCTGGCACTAGACCAACGCAGGAACCAGAACCAGAGCCAGAGTATACGACCGGCTGGTTTGACTGCGAAGGTGACAACACCGCAGAGGAGGCTCTTTGCCCGATAGGGCAGTCGATGTTGGCACCACAAATGGGTGATTGTGATGAGCTTTGCGACGGCGTGATTGGCAAATGCCCGAAGGGCGAGAAGACGGTCTGGACACATAATACAGTGCCATTTCTGGGTTCCAGCTTTCAATATTGGAGTAGAGGGCCACACGGGTTCCGCAATAGTGGCGATTGCCCGAGAAACAAGCCGAACTGTATGGAGTATTGCGAGGCCGCAGCCTTGGGCCCCTTACAAAGATCACCAAGGTATGTCGGAGGCACTATGTACATGTGTGATAAGACAGGCAAAGTTATAATCGGGTTTATTACAGATCAGGGTAGTTGCGCGCCACCAGGCCTCATAGGGTAAGTAACAGACTAACAGCAATAGTATAATCATAGTAAATAGAGAAAATATAGAAGTAGTGTGCTCTGAAAATGGGGTATACGTGCACAGTCGACTGTTAATTAATTTCATGTATTATAATTTAACTTATTACATCAAGTCTTCATCATCAAAGGTACTACACATTACTTATGTGCGTTCACTGAATCGGCTCGTAGTTTATATGTACAGTCAGCTTAGTTTGTACCGCTAGTGCTATTTACGTATCGAGTCTTCATATCCATTGTTTTCACCGTATTTACAGGTGAGAGGTGATAAAGTCGTGCATCTCAGCCTGAGCAATGTTGCCGTAAACACCAGGAGCATCGGCGCGGGCACAGCCCTCACCCCAGGAGACGATACCAGCGAGCTTGCCGTTGACGATGAAGGGGCCACCAGAGTCGCCGCTGCAGGAGTCCTTTCCACCTTCGGGGACGGAGGCGCAGAACATGCGGTCGGTGACAGTGTCGTGGTAGCTGCCACTCTGGTACATCTTGGCGCACTGAGCGCGATCAATGACGGGAACCTGGACGGACTGGAGCGTCGAGGCAAGGTCTGGGTTCTTCTCTCCCTCGGTGCCCCAGCCGGAGACAAGACCGATATCACCAACAGCGGGCTCCTTATCAGCGAGGCCGGCAACGGCCTGGACGCCAGGGCCAAATTTAATGGACTTGGTGAGCTTAAGGATGGCAGCGTCATAGTCAGCGATCTGACCGTTGTACTTGGGGTGCTGGAAGACCTCGGAGACCTGGTAAGTCGTACCCTTGTCGAGGGCGCTGTTGCCAACCTTGATGCTGAAGTCGGAAGCGCTGCCGCCCTCAACACAGTGGCCGGCGGTGAGAATGGTGTTCTTGTTGATAATAGAACCGCCACAGAAGGCACCACCAGCGTCAAATTGGATCTGGTAGGGAACGTCCTTGATGTCGGTGTCCTTGCCACCGACGATTTCCTCGCCACGCTGGCCAATGGCGTAGGCAGTAGCCTGGGCAGCGAGGGCAGTGATAAGCAGGGCCTTGACCATGATGGGCAGTGTATGAGATTGTGAATTTAGAAGATGGAAGAAGAGGCTTGAAGAGGAATTGGTGGATAGAGAATATATTCCGAATAGCGACGGGCTCAAAGCTGCCTTTTAATAGTTGAGATGCCGAGCCAGTTGGCTTATCACGGGTGAGAATATCTCCCACCTCGTATACCCCGCATTTTACTTAAAGGAACTTGTAGTATACCCCAGGTTTAAATCCTAATCTCTGCGCTCTGCATGGCGACGTTGCAAGTGTGGCTGCCAATCGAGCTTGAATTGGTAAGGTGGTATCGGCCGATGCATCGTCACGCGCGCACCGTTATACCCCGAGTTGCCCCTCCAGGTGCAGACCTCGGTGCGCTTTTAGAAGGTAGTAAGGAAGAGTTTCATTTTGCATGCAGTTGAGATGGTGTATGGAAGCAACATGATATCATGAACTCGGCACTCGGAGCACGGCGAGACAATATTGGACGATAAGGAGTTTGTAATCCTCAGCTAGCAAAAAGCGACTCCCACTGCGCTAGTCCGGTGTACTTGGCTTGTAGCTGCAAGCACATTCTTGAGTTGAGCGTTCGTTTAAAACTTGCAACAACCTTGCTTAGCCTTTTGTATACTTGACCGTGTTCACCGTTGCCAGTCCTATTGAGCGGGGTAGGAACTTGTCTTTACAGAATAATGCCTGACGTATATTTTCTATTAAACGTCGGCTCTTGTATAGAGACCTCGATGAACCGATCGCTGGGCCAATAACTCTCGGAAGAGATTATAAACTCTTCCGGCTTCCAAATAATAAATAATTACAAGGTCTGAAACGCTTCCGAACTGGACGCAGCCGCAGCTAAACTACGCTTGGTAATGCTGGTTGTGGCATTGACTATGTTGATCAACAAGTTCAGACACGACTATAACGTGTATCAGTCTGTTGTGACTATTGTGACTATTGTGACATTGGAGGTGTGTTACTTTACCAGAGAAGTGAAGGAACAGTTAGGTCACTGGAAGTGGCCAAGGAAGGAGAAAGAAGTGGAAGACACAGGAAAAGGAAGTGAATACAGGATGTATTCGGTGTATTTAGCTAGAGCAGTTCCGACCATGGAACTTGAAGAAAACAACAACGAATTTTACCACAACGTCTTACCTTTTAATAACACGTGTTATTGATCCTTGAACCAACAATTATAAAACAACAGCTACGTATGCTCTGGTGGCCGAGGTGCGAACCAACACTGGCAATGACAGCGGCGCTTGCCCTTATTCCGGTGTCCTGCTTTACGCAGTCGACACGACCAAGGCAACGGGCAAAGGCCCTGTCTATGTCATCAACGCGACTGGTTACGGCGCATACCAGAGCAATAGGTTGGGTTATACTTTGCTTAACCCTGCCAACAATGCTGTGTCTAGGTATACCTGGGATGGCATCACTATATCTGTTTCTTCAGGCTCCGGAGCGCAGTTTATTGTTGATGTTACTGTCAACTAAAACTTTCAAACACATTTGAAGCCTCGTGATAGAGCTGGACGGGATCCCGAGTTCTCCTGTATCTATGGTCGGATGTACCAGGAAATCAACCAATTTAGTCTATATTGGCTACCCCAAAGACAAAAACTAGGTAAAATCCATAGTAATTCTATATCTATAGTTAAATATACTTATAAGGAAATAAATTTACATGGGAATAAATTTAATAGTCAACTAGTATACTCCACAGCGCCCGTTTCTTATCACTTCTCCTGCACTACACCATGCATCCCACGTTCTACATGTCGATATCACATAACCCTGGAATTCACAGTATTACTCCTGGTGCACGATCAATACTACGTTGTATGTCTTCCGAGTATTCAACATTACCAGGTACGGCTGAAGCGCCTCATTATTCTAGCGGCACTCCATGCGAAATTCAGTCCTTTCAAGGCGTTCTCCCCGTACCACGAGACTTATGATCCTGTAGCCACAAACCCCTTGATTCCACAGCGGGCTGACAGCTGCGTCTGGCTGCACTCTGCTGCAGGTTGGTTTCCAAAATTGGTGCGGCTGAGCGGCATGTCAGCAAGGGTAACACACTGAAACTCTCCGCCACAGCCTCGTCCTCCAGCAAGAATAGAAAGAAGCGAAGGCGCGAAAGTTGGGTCGTGCGGACCACACACAGTGTACCATGCATGTTGTAATTGGGAGCGCCTCTGTACCACGTCTTGTGAGGCTGTCAGTGCCGTCATGCTATAAGTAGGGTAGAGCGCAAGTATGAATGCCCAACACGCTCACCCTACCTCAGTTTGTTCATCGCTGCTTGCGTCGTCTATTTGCATTTCTTATCTTCTTCATTTTGGTTTCAACTCTTCCCACGCATAATAGTAAGTTAATACATACGCTTGGTACATGTCGCGTGTGCTAATCTAGTCTTGTTTATACATCAGGCCTTGCGAAATGTCTGGTCTCGAGGTGCTCGGTGCCATTTCTGCCGTAATTTCCATCATCGATGCGACTATTCAAATAAGTAGCGCTATTCAAGATGAGGCGGGCCTACCAGCAAACTTCAAGACGGTGGCGGTTAGACTGCCTGTGGTTTCGAGACTCCTCGACGACGCAGAGGAATACATAAGAAGGAACGAAACCCTCGACCTGGCACCAGCTTTTACGCCCGTCATCCAAAACTGCTCGACAAAAGCCACGCAGCTCCAGCAACTATTCCAAAAGGTTATCCCAGCCGACGGTGACTCGCGAGCTAGCAGATACATCAAAGCAGCCCGAACCATCGGCAAGGGCGGTCGCGTAGAGACGCTGATGAAGGATATCCTTGACGACCTGAGCCTCTTGACTATGCAGTTCCCTGATACAACTTCGCATAGAGGGAAGGAAAGCCTGACGAGGGCCATTGACGAAGTGAAGAAACTGGAGCCTTCGCTGCCTGAGGGGTTCGAAGACGCGGTCAGGTTTGCCAATTATGGGAGCGGCCCGCAGAACATCAATACCGGATCGGGGAGCCTGTACAATAACAATGGTGCGGTTATTCAGAATACCGGTTCGGGGCAGCTGTATAACGGCACCAATTATGTCGGTACGCAACCACCCGAGTCAAAGCCACCTGCAACTTCTTGATGTAATTACTGAAAGATTATATCTATCTACCTACCTATCTACATTCCGTTTCTTTTCTTTTTAGCTAAACTGCTAACTGTGATATTTTTGTGTAGCCTCTAAAATTTCTACACTTAGTTTTGGTGACCAGAATCACGGCATTCAAGCGGAGACAGTGACTGTCCATGGAGGATATCACGAGTACCGTCAATCTGCACGTAAGTTTATCAGTTCCTTGGGCCTCTGTCAAAAATCAAGATTCCATTGCCGATGAATTCTGTTGTATAGAAGGCTAACAGAACCTGGCTAGCTGCAACGCCATTGACTCCTCAAGAACTTAACGCGAAGCGCCTAAAAGGTACGATATCCCCCAAAATATCTTTGCATACCATCGCTCAATGCTTCTCTTCTAGTTTGTCGAAACCATCTTCGGTCCGTCGAATCAACGCGACTATTCAACAAACAAAAGTCCTTTGAGTCTGCAAATTGGCTGCTCCAGCAAGACGCTTTCCAGGAATGGCAGAGGCTCGGTGTGAAGGGCCCCCAGGCAGTCCTACTCACCATCAAGGGGCATAACTTTACTGGTAAGTCTGTCATGATGAGGAGGGCGGTCGCTGCGAGCTCGGAAAATGAAAAGGTCATCACGCTGCATCACTTCTTTGGCGGCGATACAAAGGATCCGATAGATGAGCTCCTCCGCGACTTGCTTTACCAGCTTATCTATGCTTTGCCAGAGAAGCATAAGCCATGGGAGGATATTCGACGCTGGGGTGAGGAGATTGGTGATGGCGAATGTATCGACCTTGCATCTTGTGGTAACCTCGAAGAAATCTTCATACGCATCACGGCCACAGTTAAAGACGATCTAGCGATTCGCATTTTTGTTGATGATGTGGATGACTGTATTGGCGGCCATGCGCATACGTCGAAGCAGGACAGCCGTATGCCTCTCGACGTTCTTGAAGCCCTATACAACCTTCTAAGCCGCGCCCGAACTGTTGATGCAGACCTTGGAATTTGCGTATCACGTCGGACACGGCAAGATTATTACGGAAAAGAACCCCCGGCGACAACCATTCATCTAGAAGAATACATTAACGAGGCGCTTTCGACGCTTATACAAGCAAAGCTGGCAAATGTATTTCCAGAGGCATTGGAAAAAGCGTTCATTATTTTAAAGATGGTCGAAACGGGTTCGCATAATTTCCACTGGGCAGAGCACATATGCAATGAGATTGTCAAGAACAAAGACGGCAAGATGCAGGATCTCGCGTGGGTTGCGTCCACACCCCTGAGCGACTATGAGGCTCTGTATACCAGCGCGCTACGGTCTTCCAAGGCTTCAAAGACTCACTGCAGTCACATGAACCTCTTGCGAGTTGCTCTCGGCTCCTTTCGACCGATGACAGCAGAGGAGTCTCTGCACGCACACGCGTTCGCGGAGGAGCCTGAATTCAAGCACCCAACAATGGAGGCCTGGCAGGCATCCGAGCAAGGGTTGACGGTAGATGCATTTACCAACTACGTCTCGGATAAGACGTACGGGCTCTTGGAGGTATCCGTGCGGGTGAAAACATCCAATAGCGCGACCGCGGCGCTCGAAGATGACGATGTTGAGTGTCACGTTCTCTTTTCCCGGCGCTCTACCGCGACGTTTCTTCGCGGCGAAAAAGGCCTGGCAGAATTGGAAATCCAGTCGCGAGATCACCTTGAGCAAGAGTGCCATGCGCTGCTGTTTCGTATATGCAGCACCGTTCTGGACAAGTTCTCTCTCACTGGCAGCAATAACGTCCATCTCTTGGATTACGCCTGCGAGTTCTGGCTTCGCCATTCCATAGCATGCGGGGAGCTACCGCCTGACAAGGCGCTGCCAGAGTTCTTCATGAACAAGTGCACAAAACGCAAAGCTCAGCGCTTCATCAAGCAACAGATAACCTTCCTTGAGCAGGCTCGCGCCAAGGAAAGCATATCACTGAAAAACCAGACCAGTATGACGGTGCTGCTGGCTACGCTCGGCTGCACTACACTGCTCCGTAGGCACATTGAGGCGTGCGACTGCTGCAAGATGGATATGTGTGTAGAACCAAACGCCAAGCAGCCGTCTACGGTGCTCCAGGCGTCGCTCTACAACGCAATATCAACTGCCAAGTTTGACACTGCCAAGTATCTCGTCGGCTTACTGCCGCGGGACCATCTCAATATGAGTATCAGAGGCTGGACCTTGATGTACACGACGTGCTTCTATAGCAAAATAATGGCATCTGAGTACGAAAAGGCCCTAGATCTCGTCAAAACCCTGCTTGATCTCGGCGCGGACGCCTGCGAACCATCTCTGACGGGGGATGTGTTTCCTCTGCACCTCGCCATCAGCGTCGCTGACCACCGTTTGATCGAAGTTATTTGCGAAGGAAGGGATAGAAAGGCACTGAACGACATATTTGAGATGGGGCAGGGCAAGACTAGACAAACAGCTCTACACCATGCCGTCATGTGCAAGCTTGCTGAGCCGCGAGAGAGACAGGCGATATTGGCTACATTGCGAAAGCTGGCGCCTGATCCGAATAGATTGCTTGGTATGATAGACGAAGAAAATAGAACGCCAGTGGACCTTGCGGACGATGACGACGACCTTTTGGATGAATTGGAGCTATTCCAGAGTTAGATTACAGAGTAGTCTAAAAGCTACTGCGTTTTTGTTTTGGACGGTTGTATTCGGTTGTATTCGGTTGTAATATATATGTTTATTTTATACATGTAGGAGATGTGGAAATGGACGGAGAATGCGATTGTATAAAAAGAACAAGATGATGGCGGAAAGGAGAATTCTCCTTGAAGTGCCATGCGCAGAAGAGCTTCGAGCCATGGAGTCTTGATAGGGCTTTTTATTAGTTGTACTACAGAATCAGACACTAATCGTTTACAAAGTGTAAAGTACAACAAACTATAATTATTTATCTGCGTCCTCCGTTCTCCAAGTTATACAAGTACATAATACAGAAGAGCAAGAAGCTCAAGCCCAAACATCCAAGATGGCACCAGAGACTGAGATCCTGCAGAAGCTGGCGCTGATTTCGGCCCGCTGCTTGTTGTCTGAGTAGTTCCTTTTGGCCCAGAAGAAGAAGATGCTGCCGCGGCGCTAGATCCTGCGGTGTGCGTCGCCTGAGAGCCTGAACCTGTAGTGACAGCCGCTGCCGACGCAGACGTTGTGGCGGTAGCAGGAACGGTACCAATGATTGTAGAGCTGAAGGTGAGCGTCTGAGAGGCCAAGGAGTCGGCGTAATTCTCATAGTCTTCCTCGTTGATCGGGAACTGCCAGCACCAGATATTATTGGAGAAGGGATACCAGTAGCATCGTCTCGCCCAGTAGTACCCTTCATCCGTGAAGACTTCGTCAAAGTATGCTGCCTCTGGAACCTTGTACGGATAGTAATCTAGAGGCTCGTAGGTTGCAAGGTCGACGAAGATGCACCGCTCGTTAGCATCGATGTAGAAACCCAAGTCCCCATCCTAATACGTTTGTTAGAATACAAGGCGCAGCATGCTTATACAGTGCTCTGAGATACATACCCTCAAGACCGGGCTGAATTGCAGCTCAACGCAGGGAGGAAAAGAGCTTCCATTTTCCGAGCACTCATAATCATATTCATCATCCCGTCGACCGTTCCTATGTGATCCTACCCGCTTCGCAAACTGGTCTTTCTGCATAAGATATAGACTTCTTGTGGGCCTGGGGGGAAGATCACGGAAGCCAGAAGGTCCATTGGGACAAGCTTTATCCAGGTCGATCTGACCTCCGGTCTTGAAACAAAATGTCAGGCGGCTGAAATCGTTTGAGTCATACCGTTGGTTGCAGAGACATTCGTGGAAATTCGCCGTCGCAGCGCACGAAGCCAGTACACCACCACTCGCGGAGTTGCATTCTTTGGCTCCGTCGTACAGCAGCATTTCGGGCAAAATGCACTGTTCTAGCGCCGCGTTGAAAGTATCTCGGTACCGGTGTTGAAAATCCTCATGGGTGGTGATCAGATTCTCGCAGTAGTCGCGGTGACGCCTTTCTTCTGGTCGCGGCACCTTGACCGCGCGCATCACCTCTAGCAGAGTGTTGCTGCACCGCTGACATTTGATTGGCTCACGCCTTACTCCGTCGTCTCTCCGTTTGCAGTAATAGTCTTCATCCTGGGAACATCCGTAGGTTTCCAGCAGGTCTGCAGAAACCAGGCCCACGACCAGGAGGAGCAGGACGGTAACAAAGGACCGGTTGAGTCGAGCACACATCATGATCACTGAACTTGAACAATCGTAAGGTTAGTCGTAGTAGTCTTTAGACAAGGTTAAAGGGCGAGAGAAAAGCAGGCTCCCAGACACTTGAAGGCGACCAAGAGGCATACTTATACCTTTCATCCCAGCTGGCGCCAGAGTGTATTCGTTGGAAAGCCCCAGGCGTCTATGCAAATGCCTACCAGCCCACGCTCAGCCTATCCTCATCTCACCCTCTCGAATTCCTAGCTAATTAGATGGCATGTCCCGAAGAAGCCAGAATAGGGGGAGGCTTGCTCCGAAACAAGGTTGAAAATACAAAGCCGAGTCATTTGTACGTTACACACGCAACCACACAGTACGTCTTATGTTTTTCTGTGCCACCCTCCATCGTCTAACAGGAACCGTATGTGAAGAAACGCCCGTCCGCGTGCATGAGTGGCGGACACGGGTATTGACACACCTGCATGACAAGGCTGCCATAATAGTGCCCGAATCGTCCACACCTCCGCTCTACAGCTTCATTTTGTGTCCGGTGTGTGTAACCCGTAGTCTGAAAAAGTCAATATCTAAATTTATATCATAGTGGGTGTCAGTGGAGATACACCCACGGTGTAAACAGTCCAAGCCACGCGTTGAAAGCTCAATGCCTCTTGTCAATTCCACTCTACACATCATTCGACGCAGCCAAAGAAGAAGGTACATAGCCATACTAATGATCATCCGGAAAAGAAAGCGTGTTCCTATTCTTTCTTCAACCATCTCTTACAATATCGACTGGACAAAGCTCTGCCACCCTCAGTCTGCCTTGGAAGCATAGTGGATGGTGGATGGTGGAGAGGCGGCTGCAGGCTGACCACACTTCGTGGTTAACTAAGAGCCGAGCTGTGGGGAGCCTGGCAGCCATATCTTCCTTGTTCCGTGTCGCAGCCCCTTTAATTTTGCAACCTTCTAATTATTTCCAGAAGGTCATCCGCTGGCTATTGGTAAAAGGCGTTAAAATTAGCGTGCCACCCGTTCACTGCTCAGCCGCACTAATGTTCGGGGAAGTAACTACATGCGGAAAGGTGATCTTCATGTAAGGCAATTGAAATAGTTGCCTAGTCGGCAATGTGAAAGATTTGGTAACCGACACAGTCTGATTGCACTGGGACAACCCAGGACGCCTTTTTCGATTAGTTGTCTAATGCTATCAGGGGCATACCTAAATCACAGCCAGCTCTCGAAAGTTGTATCTCATCCATGATGTGGCGCTACAAACTACCCTGAAACCATGGCATTGTGAAGGCTTTGGCACTTCCAGCTGCTCATACTTATATAAAGTTTGAATTGACTTGACCTTGTTGGAGTATAATATCTCGTAGTATAGGTTGAAGGGTTAGGTTTTCAAGCCCAGAAAACTATTTGAAATGATCAGTGTCCTATTACCGCAAGAACTACATATATGACAGGCGATTGCCGTGCTCTATATCCAGCCATTAAGGTGTCTGCTTCCTATAGCCGCCATTTTGGTACCACATACAAGTGCGGCAATGAGCCTGGAGTAGCCAGATTGAGAAAGTGACAAGTGGTACTGTTGCCTTATTATATATTTAGTGAGTCTGTTAGCTATAAACCAGTCTCGAACAGCCAGTCTCAGGCACCGGGATAACTGGCCGGGGCTGGTATGCAGCGGGCCGTGCCGGAGCCGACCCCATGGTCTTGGCGTACGTTAACGATGGAGCGAGGTCGGACTTACAATTTTAAACCGTTTATTTTACGACCTGTAAAGTATTCTAACCGCTTTAAGCTCATCCTAAAATTAAAATTTAATATTGAATGGGTCCTCATAATTATAATTAATGGCTTTAAATTTCTCTGCATTGAGCACTCAAAACTCTATAATCGGAGGAAGGGGTCTTGAAATTTGGTCAAAGTTTAACTGATGAAAAGAAATGGATCCCGAGTTCCCCTACACCTACAGTTATATATATTCAGACACGGATGAAGCAAATATATAACAGTAATTTCAAAGGTCATGTAGTCTCTTTCTATCTCAATATATTTAACGATATAATCACTCGAATATTCCAACCTTAGCTAATTGTATTTCGTTATGCGGGTCGTAAAGGTGCCTCCGTGGCTAGACCAGCTACCAAATGATTGGCATTAAAGCTAGCTCGACCTTTAATGCAAGGCTTAGCTAGCCTCTGTAACCGTTGCGTAATTACTGAGGTAGGCCGTCTGCAGGATAGCATCGAGAAGGCTGCGCGAATGGGTAGTTGGCGGCACTGTCGCTACACAGCGGGTAGATACGAACAGGGACACAGCCGTCGGGAACGTTGTCGTTCGAGTTTAGACTTCTAATGGGATAAGAGATGGTGGGACGCTGCACAGCAAGAGCCGCCGCGCTGGCCGTGTCGTTGTTGCAGACCACGTAGTTGGTCTTTGGCAAAAGGTATGAATACGGGTCAGAGGCAGGAGAGAGCGTAACAGCTTCTGGGCTCAGCTTGGAGGCAACAGTGCTGATGCGGAGGGGGCGGCTGCCTTTCTGGCTGTCCTTGCCCAAAAAGACGTTGCCAGAGCTTGTGTCCTGGTTATCGAGAACAGTCCCCTTTCCATGGGCAACATCAGCCTTGGTGCCATTGACAACGTAAGTACGTGTATGACCACCAGTGACTGCAACTAGGCGATAGTATTTGTCGGAGTCGGTAATGGTATCAATAACCACACGAGCATTGTCCATGCCGGCCGGCAGGTCTTGCTTCTTGTTCACCAGACGGAGTCTTAGCTCGAAGGTCTTGGAAAGTTGTGTTGGGGGCGCCTTGCTTGGGACAGTAGCAGCAACGGCTAACGTTGCCAGAGCGGAAACGGTCAAAATAGAGAAAGAGACCATTGTGATAAGATTTGGATGGCAATGATGACAAGGTAAAAAAAAATAAGAATGACAATTGTGCGGATGAAGGGATTGGGATGAAAACGAAGCTAAGAATGCACTGGCAGGCTACATATATACCTGCTGCAATGCGACTTTCAGCTGTAATAATCGGCACGCTATTCCAACGAATAAGGTTACACTATAGGCATCTCTCTCGTGTTGCTAGTTAGCTGGACCTCAGCTGCCTGCAGCCCTGTCAGCCCGCTCAGCTGAAGCTTTCAAGGCCTAGAACCAACGGTTCGGCGTCTTTCTTTGTTTATATATTCGCGCAAATACAATGAAGCTGCCGTGCTGCCGTTTAAATGCCTTTTCAGCCTAAATGTGAATATATTACAAAGTTTTCTGCAGTGTTAATTACCACACGCCAGCTCACCGCAACGACGGCAGAAAACGCCTAGGACAACACGAACAGACACCGAATTCGCACCCAGCCGACAATCTAATACCAATCCCTGCGAGAAGGCCTAGACCCATACCGCTTTGCAACATTATAATAGAGCTGACCAGTAATAGTGGCTATGACACTAACCAGCGTTCTAAAAATAGTCTGAATAGGAAAAGTTACATGCTTAGCGTGCCTCTTCGAGTTCGTTGAATTAACTACCCTGCGTCGATTATAACCATTTTTTAAGAATACTAAAATTATAGTAAAAAAAATAATAAAAATAACAAATAATAATATAGGATGTAATCTTGGCTTTCTAGCTATATTAATGTATATTGTTAAATAATTAATATTAATATTAACACAATTAAAGAGATTAAAACTGTAAAGGAATTAAGCTTAATATGTGGTGGAATATTGACTAAACCAAAACCAGTGGCCTCTAAAAGCCAGACGAAGCCTGATTTGTCAATTCAACACACAAGCCCCTCACTTGGCGTGGCCTAAAGACTTCTAAAAAAATGCGCTGAAGCATCCACTGTAATACTACTATAGTTTCCACTGCAATACACAATGATGCCGCTGTACTTGCTTAACAATTAAGCTGGTATTCGTCATGAGTTGTCTTGTGAGCTTCTATAATAAAAGCATAGCCCGTATAGTGTTAGATCTAATCCTTCAATAATTAGACACTACCAGATTTTGCTAAGGGCCTAAAAAATGCAGGTGGACTTAGTCTTGGATCCGACGGCGTATTTCGAAGCCTCGACTTCAGCACAGACCCGCCAAAAGTTGTTGATGCCATAGCTTTTAGCCCCAAGCAATTGGAGGAGGTGTTTTTAAAAACCTTGGAATCCCTATGCCGGAAGTATATAAAGGCGTGGACGGTACCATTGTGCCGCGAGAGCACTGGTTCAACCCGCCAGACCCCAGGGTAGTAACTTCGCATACACCTAGCGAGTAAAGTTTCGTATTTATCTTTAATTTAAGGATGCCCTATTATTGAAAGATCACAGTTCTATAAAAGCATTGTTAGATTATTCTAGCTATAGCCAATGCAAAGGTAGTCGATAGCTTCGCCTCTAAGCTATGCTGTATCCTGCCTCCCCAACTGGATTCTTTCTCCATACCCTACGAACGAAATATACCTCAATAGCATTATTAACCTCTTGGATGAAAGAGTAACTAATCAGACCTGGAAAGACCAGAGTAGTAGGCTGATTTTGTTGATTTGAAGTCGCGATTCCGTTTTATTAGTTGCTGTGCTTATTGTATAGGTTGAAGGCCGAAGTAACATCCATGGGCTGGCTGGCCCCGCACGGAGTAAGGCACGCTTACATCGAGCGCTAGTGGTCTTACAGAGGGCTTTAATCACACAATCTTCGTTGGCTCGCCAAGTCTACGATTCTAACTAGGCAGAAACATGTTATCCCAGATGAGCCGCGTCTTACTCTTCAAAGTGTGGGCGATGGTCGCGCTTCTTCCCTACACAAGTACCTGCGCGGCAGCTCTAAATGGGATAAAGGCCAGTACTGGACAAGATACTGTCAGCAGAAGACACCCTCCTAGCACAAATGCCGCACGTGAAGCCATCGACGCAATGAATTGGGGGTTTTACAACATTACAGATGGCCGCTGGAGGACTTCGGATGCGTGGTGGCTAAGCGGCAATGCCTTACAAACCATACTAGACTATATGAGGGCCACCGGCAGCAAAGACTACTTGTGGCAGGCTGAGCATACCGTCCGGATGCAAAAGAAACCGCTTCCTTGGTGGCCCCAGGGCGGAGGCGACTTTCGTGCAGATTCAACTGACGATACCGGGTGGTGGGTGCTGGCGTTGGTGAGCCTCTTTGACCTGACGGGCTCCGTCGAATACCTCGACATTGCGCGCCGTGACGAAGAGTATATGTACAGCTACTGGAGTACCTCCACTTGCGGCGGGGGGATAATTCAGGATATCCCCAACCTCGCGTACAAGAATGCGATCAGCAATGAGCTGTACCTGAAGTTGGCAGCCTCGCTGCATAATCGGATCCCCGGGGACCACGTCTACTTAGAACGTGCCGTTCAAAGCTGGGAGTGGTTCAAAGGAAGTGGAATGATCAACTCGGAGAATCTGGTCAACGACGGCCTTGCCCAGAGCAGTAACGGTACATGTAGCAACAACGGCGCGACGACATGGACATATAATCAAGGCGTAATTATAGGGGGACTTGTCGAGCTGTATCGCGCAACTGCAGATGAAGAGTATCTGGCCGAAGCAAAGAAAATTGCCGACGCTGTTCTGAACAGCAGCATGCTCTCCCAAAGGGGGATTTTACACGAGCCATGCGACCCGGCAACAGACTGTAACAGCGATCAGGCGGCTTTCAAAGGCATCTTTGCGCGAGATCTAGCAGAGCTGGATAAGGTATTAGACGATAGACCTTACAAAGGATATCTCGTGCGAAACGCAGAATCAGCTTGGTTGCGAGCGAGAAATAGTCAAAATTTCTACTCCGTTAGCTGGACTGGACCATTTGACAAGGCAACAATTGGCTCCCAAGCTTCAGCGGCTAGCCTACTTTTATCTGCCTTATGAAGTACTGAGAGATGCATTTGATATAAATTTTTGTACCATGATTTGTCCTACTCTACTCATGGCAAAACCCAAGTAGTCACAGAGTTTGCCTGAACATTCCCGCTCCATTCTTGGCCGCTCTTCGTATTCAAGTGAACGTACACATCATTGCCAAACGTATTCTGTATGACAACCGTTCGTGATCCGTCTGGGTTCTTGGAAGCGACGGATTGGATGCCACCATTCGAGTAGCTATAGCTACCATTGCCGCTCAAGACCGTCGCACCGGGGGGCATAAATTTGCTAAATTGCGCCATCATATAATATGCTGTCTGGAAAGTATACGCACCATTGTTAATGGTAACAAGACCTGTGCAGCTTCCGCAGCCACCACTTGATAGATGAGGCCCATCTTGTGCATCTGTGCCAAGGGTCCACGCGGCAACGCCAGAAGCCCAGTTCTGCAGCGGCCCCATGGTAAAGTCGGCAGCCTGATGCCACGCACCAGTTGATGGCGTCCAGCACTCAGTCATGTACTGCTGGACGTTGGGGTTGCTTTGTTTGAAGTTGGAGAGGACCGTCCAGTCCAGGTTGGTTGCATAGCAATGCCACGCGACTGTGTCGACGTATTGACCAGCCTTGTTGATAACCGTCTGGGGGTAGTCAGGCACGTCTGTATTTTATTAGAATTATTCACTGTCTTTGGTAGTGTAGATAGAATTGCTTTACCAGTGTTGTGGTCATACGCCCATACTTTGGTATCCAATCCTGCATTTGCGAGGGCTGGACCAATATAATTCTGAATAAGGTTGCCTTGTTCATCTGCGAACATGTACATGGTGGGATATCCGGCCTGGCTGTTCAATGGCTCATTTTGAACAGTGATGGCATCAATCTTGGCACCTTGCGCTTCGAATGCTTGAATATACTTGACAAAGTATTGTGCAAAGGCGCTGGAGTACTGAGCGCCATTGTTGGTAAGATAGCCATCGTTCAGGTTATTCTGGTTGGTAGTGCCGTCAATGACACCATTCAGTTTCATCCACCCTGGTGCGCTCCATGGAGATCCGAATATCTTGAGGCTGGACTGCAGCGACTTCATCTTTGCAAGTAGGGAAGCCATGGCATCGCCTCGATCGCCAAGGTTGAAGCCATTCAAATTTGGGTCAGCCTTGCCGCCATTGTCGTCAAACGTATATGCTGGATCGCCAGACAAGTCCGAGGCGCCAATGGTGTGTCGCATAAGCGCGAATCCAGCGCCTGCTGTAGTCATGAGTTCGTTAAGAAGCTGGTTCAGGGTACTTGCGGACAACGTGTTGAAGGATGTGACAGTGGCATCAGTTACAGCACCGCCGAAACCGGTAATGGTTTGCTTGTATCCCGAGCTTGTGTCGTCAATATTCAACTGCCACGTAGATGCTGATCCGGGGTTTCCACCCCCTTGCACAGGGGCAGCAACGGGAGATAGCTTAAGACTGCCATCAGAGTTGGAAGCAAATGCACCAGCGGCTGCTCGAACCTTTTCATTTGAAAGGCAATGAGCCTCTGTCGAGAGCAACCCGAGGCATAGGAGGAGAGGAGAGTAATACATCTTGAGAGTTGTTTGAAACCTTTTATGCGAGAGTGAAGTATCTACAGTATAAGAAACTATCTCATATTTACAGTTTGCACTCTCTATTCTTATAGTCTCTCAATCCGTTATGTGCTATAACTCAGTCACGTCAACGTTGCACTTGCCTTTGAGCGGCAAACGCTAACCTGCAGGTAGCATCGTGTCGATCCTGGAAACCCCGGAGATACTGCGGGGTAATAAAACAATATTATGTATTGTTCTTGAATGTGACGGGTGGAAGTTTTCTAGAAACCGGAAGTTTGATTTCTCCTTTCCTAATCACCCGGTGGCGTAAACACGGGCCGATTAAACTTGAATGCTACTCAACATATGCTTGCTTAGTCTGGCGGGCTCAGTGAATAGGCTAAGTTTATAGCTTAGCTTAGAATTCCAGGTCACCTGCCCGCCACTATCGTCAAATCGTGGGAATAAAATCTCCGCTCGCCTATCGTGTTCTTGGCACAAGAAATCAAACATGACGTTGTGATCTATTTCGAACAACAGTTTCTATTAACCTTGCTAATTTTAATATTTTGCAATTTTGAAATTAATAGTTCATGGTATTCTAGATTTAACTGCTTGATAAATTATCCTCCATTTTCTTTTAGCGTCTAACCCTCTGGAAATGGAAGAAAGAACGGCAAAATAGGAGCGCGAGTATCTCACTCCGCCACACTGACCTGGTGAATTGATCTGTACAGAACCATCTTTTGTTGAAAGCATCGCGACTGAGAGTCCACAAGGTGTAGATAAGTAACGTGTATTGAATAAACATACAGATGGCGTCAAATAAGCCATAAAACGGAATATCTCTAAAGTCTATTAATTAGTTAACTAGCACAGGGCAAACACACCAGGTGTGCCCATGTAGCACCCCTCTTTAGCGGCAGTGTTGGATAGTGAGATGCTTGACACTATCGCGCTCTGCGTGCTATCTCCTCGCGAACACGGGCATCTTGCTGCTCTTGCACAAGCTTCCGTCCGCGACGATAGGAGGCGAGAACCACCAGGATTGCCGCGCCGGATACTGCAGCTGCAGCTAACATATCACTATGGAAGGCTTCTGAGTAGGCACGGTGCACAGCGCTGCGTTGCTGAGGTGAAAGTGGTGGCCCATCGTGACCGAGAGTAGCCTGTTCCTGGGGTGTCAGAAGCCCGGATAGGATTTCAGTGATTTTGCTGTTGAGGAAGACAGTCGAGGTAGATATGCCCAAGCTGCCTCCAAGAATTCGCAACTGTGCAATAATGCCCTGAGCAGGTGCTAGAAAAACATAACATTAGCTTGATTTGAAGGATCCAAGTTGAAAGGAAGAGAGAATTACCGTAGTCTACAATGGATACCTCATACGACGTCTGCATCGTGGCGGATGCGACGGTCAAGCCGAACCCAAGGCCGACAAACACGATGAAGCCAAGTGCCTTGGCGTCGTCTCCGTCATCGTGGATCATGGTGAGCAGCCCGACGCCTAGAGTCATCAAACAAGCACCAACGAGCATCGTCTCGAAAATGTAGTTTTTCTTTCTGCTTGCGAATCCCGCAATGATAGTGCCCACAGCTGACGAGGCGAGCATGGGGAGCAGCATTACACCGGCCACCAGCGCATTTTTCTCGCTTACGACCTGCGCCCTGAGTGGCAAGGCGTAGTTAAGAATAAAGTAGGGAAATCCAAGGAAGAGCGTGGAGATGGCAGCAGTTGCGTATGCCCTGTTGCGGAAGAGATTGATGGGAAAGGTGAGCGCTACACGACCCTCGAAGAAACGGCTAACCACGTAGCCCCAAGCAAACAGGGCCAGCCAGAGGATAAGGCCGATGGTCAGCGGCACAATGAAACCAACGGTGCCCCAAGCCGTGTGCGCAGAAGCACCTTCGTTTTGGAATGCGTAGACGACGAGCACGGCGGCAGGGATGATCAGAAAGGAGCCGACATAGTCAAACTCCTTCCACGATCGCCTTGCAGTAGATGGCAGCTGGTCAGATTTCGGCCAAGCGAGGAAGAAGATGACTAGCGAGACGAAGCCAACCGGGCCACTATAAAATAAAATGTCAGCATCTGTACTTACTACCTGCACGCCATGAACAGCAATGGGGAACGAACATACTTTATCCAAAAGACCCATCTCCAAGTGGTGTAGTGCGTCAAGATGCCGCCTAGAACAGGTCCAAGGGCTCCTGAAACAGCAATAACCAGACCGATTACACTGCCCATGTATTGTTTAAGATGATTCGGACAAACCTCCGGCAAGATGATCATAGAGAGAGAGTAGAGACCTGGATGAAGTGTCAGCAAGACCACAGCCACAAACACAGCGAGGCGGACCACTCACCAGAGCCGCCGATTCCTTGGAATGTGCGGCATGCAATAAGCTGATCAAGGGTCTGTGCAAAGCCGCATCCCAGCGAAAAGGCAAAGAAGATTATATACGCTGCAACAAAGGCTGCCTTCCTGCCCACTACGTCGGAGATGCGCGCAAAGGTCACTGCACAGCCTAGGTACGCAAGTGTGTAGGCCAGAGCAACCCAATTGACGCGGCGGACGTCTTTAAATTCAACGCCGATATCGTAGATACTAGTAGCGACGATGGAGGTGTCGATCATGGAGAGCACAAGGCCAAGACAGACGCTGCAATGCCAGATACATGGCCGCTGGTGAGCATGAGTTTTTCCGACGAGAGATGGATGCAAAGAGGCCTAGCTTACCCAACGGTGAGGAACCAGAAGCGCGCTGGAGGCACAGTGCTTTCTTTGAATCCAGGCTCTGGTTTTTCTTGTTTCGAGAGACAATCAGAGTCCTCGCCTGCGGGAGAGGGAGCGGCGAGGTTTGTTTTTTCCATGGCGTTGTGGCTCAAAAACCAACTTTGAGAAACAAGTTACGGATATCCCAGCAAATGTTACTTTTTAGCCTTGGAAACGGTGGGCGAAGCGGGGGACTCTTTTCAAAACATGCCAGCAGAGGCGGCGGATTCAATAATATATATATTGGTCGGCGCCGCTGCGGGCGCCCCTGGAAAGCCTTTGCAATATCGCATAACCATGGTATTGGGCTGAGTGCGAATGCGAGGGATAGTGTAAGTTGATTGCCGCCGCTGCTTAACGCCTATCCCGGGCCGGCCTCCGTCTAACCCGCTCGGCACAGTCCGAACCTCCGGACCTGGGAGACTACCTCTGACTCGTCCGTAAATATGTGGTGATGGCCATATTGATAATTAATTATATGATTATTTAACCTAAGTTATAGTATATAAATTATAATATTTGTGAGCTTATAGGCCATATATGCTGAAACGCCATATCAATAGGGAGCCAGAAATGTTAGAGGAAGTCCAGCCACGGATAAGAACCGGACGGGATCTCGAGTTCTCCTACATTTATGGTCGTCTGAATTTGGAATAGAATTAAGCTGGAATATTTATGAAGAGTCCTAACCCAGAAGCTAACTCGAGTGGAATTAGTGTGGAGGATGACTTGAGGGTTGTGGTATGCTCTGTAGGCTGGGTGGTTTGAGCAGAGTTGGGTCAGATCGTTGAATTTGGGCAGGCCTTGATACCAGCCTCCGCAACTATCAAACGTCTTGTCTTGTGTTTTACAATAACGCTACGGTATATATTCAGCTTTAGAGTAACCCTAAATTTTAAGACGTGAAAGGATTCTTATACTAATACATGTAATATGGAATTTTATTTTTTACTAGTACTGAATATAGCTCCGCAATACTCTCCTCCAATGAGGCTGGATTTGATCACAGGATTCTTCACCTTACCAGCGCCGCAGCCTTGGGACCAACTGTATATGGGATATTCGGACGGAGTAGCCAGGAACACCAGTAGTATACACACCCCGCAAACACATGCGGGAGATAATCACAAACACTCTGCCCGTGACTGGGAAACGAGATTTACCGAAACATCCACCGGCAGACTGGTCCGGATTCTGGCGGGCGTTTACTGGCAAGCATGACAAAGTCAGCTTTTCGATACTGACAATATACCTGAGTCGAATCTTTTAGCTCTTATTCGCTCTTCTTTATCGATAATAATTCGTGGAACCTCATTGGATTTTGGGTTGGTGGATGTTGCCACGCCAAAAGGGAAAACGTGGCCCTCGTGATGCGACTCCCCGTCTTGAATTGCAGGATCTGCATCCAACTTAGCAAGACAATAGTTATTTGCAATATAGAAGGCATTGTGATGTAACATAGGGCTGCAATTGCGACATTGCCTCGTGCTGTGTTAAAGCAATGCCAAGCCAAGCCCAAGGCTTAGCCGCCAAGAGCTGGTAAAAAGCCAGCTGCCGCAGCCATCTCAGCTGCAGCATCAGATACATGAATCTACCATAGTGAAGATTTAATATGTCAGAATTCTGTGTATCTTGGCAATGGGCTCGGCGGCAGCACGCCTTACAACTGCCGCAGACGCGACTCCTTCCCCTGGTGTATAAGATGTACGGCTCATCACTGTCGCCGTTGAAAGTTGCTTGGCAGATCGCAAAATTGACTCACGACTGTTACCAGATCACTGTCAAACCATAATTACACTATGGGTGAAAACAAAATGAACGACGATAAGGCTGCCATCGCCGTTGCCACTGCTGTTTCTTCTGCTGGTGAAGATGAAGAAAGCGGCCAACGGCACGTCGTCGATTGGACTGCTGAAGAGGAGAGGAGGGCAAAGAGAAAGTAAGAACATGTTTCTATTCGAAAGATTAATCTGACAATGCTTTACAGGCTTGATTTTATCATTATGCCCATACTTACGCTGGGATTCTTTTGCCTCCGTAAGTGCATTCTATCCGCATCACTTGTAGGTGTTCGATATTGACAGATTCCAGAGCTCGACAGGGGAAATATGGCAAACGCGATTACAGACCGCTTTATGGAAGAGGTCGGCATTAATCAGGATCAATTTAACATTGGTCAACAAATGCTATCGCTTGGCATCGTTTTGACGGAGATCCCTTCGAACATGATCCTGTATCGAGTTGGCCCAGGCAAATGGCTGACGCTGCAGTTGTTTTTGTTTGGAATTGTGAGTACTTTCCAAGCCTTTCAGCGCAACTATAGTGCCTTCTTGGCCACTCGATTCCTTCTCGGTATAACCGAGTCCGGCTTTATTCCTGGTGGTCTGTGGACGCTGTCGACCTGGTATACGCGCGATGAGACAGCTAAGCGAGTCATGGTATTTTACTTTGGCAACCAACTAGGCCAAGCATCCGCAAAGCTCCTGGCATTTGGTATTCTTCATATGAGGGGTGTTGGTGGACAGCCCGGCTGGTTCTGGCTATTCACACTGATGGGAGCCTTCACGATTCTGGGAGGCTTCATCTTCGGATTCTTCCTGCCCGACTCCTTCCAAAACCCGTACAGTACCTTCTTACCCAAGTTCTCGAGGTTCACAGAGAGGGAGATACATATACTACAAACGCGAGTTTTGCTAGATGACCCAAGGAAGGGTGAGAAGAAAAAGGCGATCGGTCTTGATGCCTTCAAACGAGCGGTTAGTTTTATCAACTTTGCTGTCTTGCAAGTCACAATGCTGACAGATGGATCACAGTTTATCAATTGGAGAATCTGGATACACTTTTTCATTACATTATTAAACAATGGCCCTCAACGAGCATTCGATACCTATGCACCGTCGATAGTCGTCAGCTTTGGGTTCGGCAACCTCAGTAGCAATGCGCTCGCTGCTGTCGGTCTCTTTCTTCAGGTTCCTGTTTCCTTTGCTTTCAGCTGGGTATCAGATCGATTGTTAGTAGTATGAGCATTGATTATGGGCGTATCTGTTAGCTAACCAAAGATAGTAACCGCCGAGGTGAAACAGTGATGGTCGGCTTGACATGCCATTTGCTGGGCTACATTTTCAATCAGGTATTCACAACGGTCAAGTTACGCGGTGTCCGCTATTTTGGTGTAGTTTGGACTCAAGTCTTTGGCACCTTTTCTCATCCGCTTAATATCGCATGGCTCTCTCTCGCGTGCGACGACTCGGAACAGCGAGCGCTCGCGATGGCAGGGTACGTCAGCACATTTGACCGCTAACATGTAGACATGCTAACAAATGCGCATAATAGAGTGATTATGAATGCCAACATCGCCGGGATCTATGGCGCTCAGATATTTAGAGGCGATGACAAACCTCTTTACCGCCGCGGATTTAGCGTGGCTATTGCATTGCTTTCAGCAGGGCTTTTGTTAGTCATTGTTCGGTGGGTAGACGACTTCCGTCGACGACGCAAAGTAAGAGCCTTTTTGGAGTGAAGGGGGATGGCTTTAGCGAGCTGAGGGAGGACAGATTGTATAGCTCTGTTAATCGGTCTAATGATCGCAATTAGTTTCAGTAGAAACTCGTCCGATTATAATGGTACGAAAATGCGATGATTTCGATTCCTACTTGTTTTAGGTCTATACTTGTCTAGATTTGCAGACGTTTAGGCGTTTATATCTACCTATCTTGATGCTTCCTATTGAAAACTACGCGAATTATACCTGTGCGGCGAGCGCCGCTGTAATGTCTTCAACCGATACCTGTTGCTGAAGCAGCCACCCCAGTCCCTTGATTGTGTCCAGGTTACTCTTTTGAGACGACTTCAAGCTAGGAAAAATTGAAAAATGCCCGTGTGGCGCGCCCGGGTAAACGTCCAACTTAGTCTCAACACCTGCAGCGCGTAGTGCCTTCTCGTAAATCAGTCCGTCGTCTCTTAGAGGATCCTGGCCGGAAACCTGGAGATACACTGGAGGAAGACCCTTGTGAGGATTCTCGGCATTGAACGGAGATAGGGCCGGCGAATGCACGTCAGGCTCATACGAGGCTTTGGCAAAGGCAATTCCATCGCTGTTGATGATGAGGGCGGCGGCGTTTTGCTCCCTCGAAAACCACAAGTCTTTGTATTCTGCCGGCACAGCGTCCGGTTCCAGCACGTACGGGATCGATAGCCACACGCCTGTGAGAGCGGGGTTCTTGGTTTCGCTAACCCATCTCTGCGCCGTGACGGCCGCCAGGTTGGCGCCGGCGGAGACACCGCCAATAACAAAGCCCAAGCTGAGGTCTACACCGAGGGACGATGCGTTGGCAGGCGACGCGAGCCATTCAAGGCTGTCCCAGATGTCGTTGGGTGCCGTAGGGAATTTGAACTCCGGCGCCAGACGGTATGAAAGGCTTGCAACAGTGACATCGTACAGGCTCGCTGCGGCTCGCGCAAACAGGGCGATGTCAGTGTTTGAGCCGAGTACAAAGGCGCCACCGTGGATAAGCACAAGAAGCGGCTTGCTATCCGTCTCCTTCGAGTCTGCCGAGACTGGCTTGAAAATTCGAATGTTCGACTCGTGGCCGTCGCGGAGGTGCACTGTAATGGCAAACTCGGTGTCTGTATCGGGCGGTGGCGCTACGTGGTGCTGCCTTGACATAACCATGGCTTGCTCAAGAGTCGCTTGGAGGAAAGGATTTTGGGCTGCCTCTGTCTTTAGCAGCTATAATATCATCAAATGGTGTTGTTAGCGTCCGTGCTCGAATCCGCACCAATTGGGTAGATTATGGTCTGTTCTTACCTCTACAAGTTCAGGGCTGCCACTACAGTTAGCATTGTATGTGAGAAAAACAATGGGATGCTTACTCGTCCTCTGCGAGCTTGGCGACGGTTTCTCTCGTATTAAACTCCGACATGGCCAAGAATTTCAGTTTAGTATGGTTGTCTTAAAGTGATATTTTAAAAGTAGAATGACAGATGTGAGCGTTCTCTATGCAAAAGTCTGATAGCCGCCGCTGTTGTTTAAAACTGAAGACGCTTGGGTAAGTGGAACTTGGTCTAGTTATATATTTCTAAATATTGCGGATCTGCCGGATGGCTGCGCCAACATATTTAATGTCCGTCATGGAGTGCGGGGTACAGACGGCCTATTCCCTAATTGAGCACATTGTAAAGCCGAATGGATTATTGCCGTCAGTGAGATAAACACCCACCGAAGGTAATAAATACAGAGCTAATATATATATATATTCATTTTTTTTTAAAAAAAGAGAATAATAAAATGGGGGGCATTTCTTAACAGACACCGACTTGTGCACGCCGAGAGACGTTGATGGTCACAATCTTGCTTGGATGTGATTTTGAATTTTCAAGTGGCTAGAATTGAGTTTTCCGGCGCCTTGCTATTGTACAATCTCAACTAGATATATAGATTTGCTGTGGGCAGTTTACACAGTGCATCGCCCCATCATTTTCAAACTAATATTTACAAGAGTTCCAGGAGCTTGGCAAAGTCAGGAACACCCCAGCCGGTGACAGCATCCCAACCCTCAGTGGCAGGGAGGGCAGGCTGGCCATAGACTCGGGGCTTAACCTTGCGGTTAATGCAGGCGTTGTTGTGGCCCTTGGCAATATCTCTGAATCCCTCCTTGCCGTAGCTGTACAACCAGGGGTTGAGGAAACCAAGAGGGGACTGTCCATTGGAGACAAGGTAATCGTTCAAGAGAGCAATCATGGAAGCGACAGCAGGAGTAGACGCGCTAGTTCCTCCACTGCTCTTGGCCTTGCCCTGGTTGAAGATGGGGTAGGGGGTGAAGGAGGCGGCAATATCGGGGTAAGCACGGCCAGTTTTGTTGTAGAGTCCGTCAAACTGGCCATCTAGGCGGTCAATGTACTGGTTGACAGCTTCCTGCTGGTAGCTAGGGGCAGCGAAGTGGTTGGAGAAGCCGCTGCCGCCGAGAACATAGGCGGCTTCATCAGCACCGTAATGCTCGGTGCCACCGACAACGGTAACCCAGGGGCAAGAGGCAGGGAAAGACGGGGCAAACTTGTTGATGGTATCGCCGGTGCAGTCCTCGTGGGTTGCGACACCATCATCACCAGAAGAAGCAAGGATAGTGACACCACGAGCACCGAGCTTCATGAACTGACTGCAGACACAGTCGGCGTAGTCGTTAGGAACAGTGGTCTCAATGTCACCGTAGGAAATGGAGACGGTCTCAGGGGGGTTGTCGAGGTTGATCATGTAGGACAACCATTCAAGGTACGGCTCGTTGGTGTTGTTGCCGGTACCGAGCCAGGGAGGCGAGCCGCCGGTGGAGTAGTAGACGGACTTCATGGGGTAGGTGAGAGGCACAGCAATCTGGACATCCAAATCAGCCTCGCCACCGCCGGGGCCGTCCGTAGGTCCGTTGTTGATGGAGACGATGGGGATCGTGGTGTCGGCAGGCACAGATGGCTGGTACTTCTTGATGTACGTGGAAAGACTGCCCTGGTTGGGAACCTCGCCGAGGAATCCAGCAATGCCAATTGTGGTAGAGTCGGTCGAATTGTAGCCCTTGATGTTGTAGTTGGATCGAAGGCAGTCGGTGGTGAAGCCATTGGCGCAAACATCATCGGACTTGGCGTTGGTAGCGCGGCGCTTGGGAACATCCTCATCCGCATCAACGATGTAGGGGTGGAAGCTGGATCCAAGATCCGCAAATATGGTGGTAGGCTGGATCATAGAGATGGCGCTGAAGACCTCCTTGGGCAGACTGTAGCTGGTAGCACGGACAGTCTCCTGGCCAGTGGCGGCCTGCTTGTAGATGCCGTAATCGGCACCAATGAGCTTCTTAGCCTGGGCGACGGTCAAGGAGACCTTGAGGTAGCCGCTCTGGGGCTTGCCGACGACAACACCATTGGCAGAGAGCCACTTGGTGACAGAATCGACGGCAGCGGGTGTAGGCGCAGTCAAGGCGTCAACATCGGCCTTGGACAAGTGCTTTCCGTAGTCAGCGTGCTTGGGGTTGCTGACCTCGAGCAGGCGCTGCTGCAAACGGTCTATGTTTTCCTCGCGGAGACGGATGTGAAGCTGGAGCCCATGATCAGCGGGCGCATCGGCTTGGCGCTCCCATCCCTGGGGCACCTCGGCGATGCTGTGCTTGGTGACCAAGGAGCTGAGTGGCGATGCGGCGGCCAGCGTGGCTACCAGGACGGGGAATATGAAAGCCATTGTAGAACGAAACCAGCAATTGATTCAGAAGATCTATCTGTTTGACGAGACAATAATAAAAACCAAAGAAATTGCAAGAACGGGTAAAGGACAGGGTGGGTTATATATCCACAGACCATGGGGTTCGTTCGAGCCCATTCCAGTCAGTTAGGTTGCCATCATAATATAGGGTCCCCCCCACACTGCGGTCATGGTCCGTGAAATTCGGGGGGATATTTATGAGCTACTATTTGATCTCTTGGCTACGCGATTCGTTCCTTTTTGCTCGCTTGGCGATTGGCTCCGTTGGAGAGGCGCAATGAATGTGCCGTATTGAGGCTTTGTTGTGAGTCAACTGACTTACCTTCTGATTTTATTTCCCCAAAAGTCCCCTCGGAGCAATGCTGTGTTGTTTATTTCCTTTTTCGGGCAACCACTGTACATCCCCTGTAAATACCTCGTGGAGAAGCCTAAACCTGGTTGCTGCACCCGCTCGTCTCATGCAATGGACTTGTGCGAGTCAGGCGGAGAAATATACCGCGAAGCTAACCATGAATAGTAGAACAATACCACAACACCTTCCTTGTAGGATAGCAGAAAAGCGGGTATTGGAGAACTAGTGAACTTTTTGTGCGGAGGAGTGCCGGTTTCTGTTAACCGAGACAGGGAACTTTATTTTTTTTTGGGGGGTTGAGGCGCAGCTAAAGCACGAACTTGGAGCACGACATGACGATTGTCTGAGGGGTTACTACAAGGAGATATTCGACGCGTTCTAGAAGAGTAATGATTACCTTGGTGTACACTGCTGCGGCCATTACGGGCCTGTTTTCCACCGTAATAGCCTGTAAAATATCATCAAAGATCACGACGGTCTTGTCGAGCAAGCGGTTTTTCATGTCGATTCTTTTTTTTAGGTAGCGGATATTCATTCATTGATAATATTGAAATGAAGAAGCTCTTAAATCTACTTTCTCCATACATCCAGATTCTCTTCTATAAACTCTGAAAGAGGTTTTGGCTGTCTACCCAGTATTTGGAAGACATCATCGTTTTCCCGTTCCTCTGCGCCTTGGCTGATAGCAATATCCATTCCAGCCAACCCTCGTGCTCCTGGTTCAGGAATACCAAACTCCATCAATCGCTGGGCAAAAGCATCTGCACTGAGTTTTTCATGTGTAATTGTTCTTCCCAGCGCTCTGGTCAAAGCTTCCGAGACATCGTCATAGCTCAAAAGCTGTGGCCCGAGAACAAAGATCTCCCGGTTAGGCGCTTCCTTCACTGTCAAGGCATGGAACGCTAGTGCCGCAATATCATCGGCCGAGCAGAACGGTATCTTGCCGTTCTCCGTAGCTGTGTAGATTTTGTCTTCGTCCCGAATAGTCGCAGTATGTTGTTGTTCAGAGAAATTTTCTTGTCAAGCGTGTTAGTACGTCCTTATTGTTAAAGCGCCATCGACCAGGTAAGACTTACCCATGAACCACGACGGCCGTAGCACCGCCCATTCCACACCTAGCGTTCGTAGTTTTGCGTGCACTTGGCCCATGAACGGTCCTCCCTCCGGTATCATGCTAGAGCCCAGAAGCACGAATCTAGTCACGCCACGCTTGGCTGCAAACTCAATAAACGCGAGCTCGCCAGCCAGCACCGATTCTTCACCGGTCGGTGCAACAATGTATACGGCAGAGATGGGACTCTCTTTGGCCAGCGGGTGTGAAAATGGATTTTCAAATGTAGTCTCGTCCTTCCAATTGAATGCGACACTCGGTGGAAGGGTTGGATCGTTGTGGGAAGATCGTGCTCCCACCAAAACTGTGTATTGTGGATGCAGCAACGCTGTGAGGCGCCTGGCGGTGATGCCGCGCGACCCAGTGACGAAGATGGTCATTGTTTAAAGCTAGAAAAAGAAGTCAATTGTGAAATAGAGGACAAAAGTATGATTAGATGATTCTGGGATGTCTTTTATAATATATTGATGAAGCTCTGTTACGTCAGCGCCTCGTCGGAGCCCTGCATCTCTAAAACCGTAAACGCCGAAGATTCTCACGGCGACTAAAAAGTGATGTGTAATCCCAGCTATATGGACATATATATCACCAGAGTTTTAGGCGGACGAAAAATTAGTAATAGATTATAGAAGCCTGTTTTGTATGATTGGTTCTGGTGGTTTAATATTTTGTATGTAACATTATTGACTCTATTTGCCTTTAAAAATAAATTGTACACTTATGAACACTCTCCCAACTTGCTTACCACATCAGAGCAATACCTTAGTCCACAGATTTGCACTATAATGTCGGTGTTGTTTCTGAGATATGTAGCTTTAAGCTTTGCATGATGCCACCGATTTTGATCCACCTTAATGCATGATTCACACTGCACGAGAGGTGAGCCACTCACAGAAGTGAGATTGGTTGGGCGGCGTGGAGCTTAACCTGCGAATTCGGCCGACAAGCGAATCGAGGGAAATTACCAGACAAGATTAATTTTGCGGGGTTGGACCACCTGGTAAATCGGTTTCAGGCAGGCTAAACCTAGAAGACAATGTGACGAAGAAGTGCTGCGTTTTCGTGAGGAAACGGCCTAGCGTGGGGTTTTGGTAGCTGCATGGAAGGGAACTGGTGGTAATGATATCGTACAACTATTGGCCAAGGTGACATGCGGCTAGGGTTGCTCTTGCTGCTACCTACTGAATAGCATTAAAAGATGGGATGGTGTCGCACTACAGGACTGTTGTAACGAGACAGTTCCTTCACACATTCCTCTTTGAGTATAGAGTCAAATGGGACGTACCTTGATACGAGCATCATGATCATATGGATGCTTTGAAGTTCAGAACTGTCGGTTATTGAGGTTTGCAAGTATATAAACGGAAGCAATTCTCGTGTGTTTATGTCTCAGTTAACTAGATCATATACACTAGATCATATACACTAGATTTATAAAAGGTTTACAAATATATTTCTTTGCCTTCACTGCTGGCTCCCCTTACCCATCATGAAGACCAACGAGGCCCTCCTTGCCCTGCTTCACTCCGCAACAGCAGCATCTATTCCCTTAGTTTCCCCTAGAGGCACCGAGATTGTTGGCGGCCAGCCTGGTAAGATTGAAGACTTTGCATACCAAGCACATCTCTACAACGACGGAGCAAACGGCTGCGCTGGCACCATCATTAGCAATCGTCACGTCGTAACCGCCGCTCAATGCACGCCTTACAATGACGTTTCGGGATACTGGTGACGGTCGGCACTACTACGAACGATGCTGGTGAGGTGTACAAGGTCTCCAAGCGTCTTGAAATCCCCGTCTATGACGACGCAAATGTAGACTACGATGTCACTGTCCTCGTGCTGAACAGGGATATCAAGTTCAGCTCGACAGTCAAGGCCATCAATGTGGCAAGCAAGGCTCCTGCTGCGGACACAACGGCCGTCGTCTCTGGCTGGGGTGTGCTCACAGAGGCAGAGGATAAGGACCCCCAGCCTCACGAACTGAGATATGTCAATATCCCCATTGTGGACCACGCCGAGTGCCAGAAGGACTACGGCAACAACCCCGACAGGACGGAGCAAATCACACCTCGAATGATCTGCGCAGGTGTCAAGGAGGGAGGCAAAGACTCGTGCCAGGCCGACAGTGGCGGTCCACTTGTTGCTAACAATACTCTTGTCGGTATTGTTTCGTTTGGTCAGGGATGCGGCCGACCTAACTATCCTGGCGTCTACACTGACGTTTCGGAGCCAACTGTCCACAAGTTTATCATGGACAGTCTCAAAATCACCTCGTGAAGATGGTGTATGGAGTGTAGCTAAATTTTAAGTGCGTACATAGTTTGATTTATATTGTTATCTAACCCGAAGTCTAGAGACATAATTTTAAAACTATCGTATCATAGTAAAAGTATATATTTTCTTCTAGCTCATAGAAATATGCGTTAACTCATTACTGCAGCTGGAACTCTGCTCGGAAAGCCTGTCCCAGCAGCTCAATTCCAGGCTTGAGCTGCTCCTCGGTCGCCGCCGCAAAAGTGACGCGAAGGCTGACTTCGGTAGTGCTCTGTGGTGTGCCGAGAAACCAACTTCCCTTGCTAGTTAGAACACCAATATCTTTGGCCTTTTGGTACAGAGCCTCTTCGACCTGTAAAAGGAGCTCTGTGGATGGCTTGCCCTCTCCCGCCTGCGGGTGCTTGGTGGCATCGACCGTGATCCAGATAAACATGCCGGCGTCGGGAATCTTCCACGAACAGATATCGGTTGGCAGATTGGCCTTGCAAGCGTCGTGCATCATGTGCATGCGCAGGCTGTACTGCTGCGAGAGGTGTGTAAGCCAGCGGATGAAGCCTTCGTGACCCCATTGTTGGTCCATCAGCTTGTACATCATCATCTGCGAGGGTCCGCTAGGTGCGAGCACGCTAATCTCAGAGTATGCCATGAATAATTCCACAATCTGGTCGCTGGCAGTCAACCAACCCAAGCGAAGGCCAGGAGAGAGAATCTTGGATGTGGAGTCAAGACGAACCACTCGTCCAGATACATCCAGAGAGAGGTACGACGATGGCAGCTTGTCGATGTAGGCTTGGAGTGCTTCGGGGGTGTGAGCCTGCTCTTCCTGGACCTCTGTGAGCTGCAGGAAAAAGTAGGGGTCGTCTTCAATGATGATAAGGTCGTGCTTCTCAGCAACTTGGTAGATCTCTCTGCGTCGCTGCTCTGTCTGGGTAACGCCGGTAGGGTTCTGGCCCGTAGGAATAGTGTATAGAACATGGGGCTTAGGTCCCTTTGCCGTATCCCAGTTAGCCAGTGTGTTCTCCAGCTCTGTGGCAGACAGACCAGCCTCGTCCATACCCAGGTGGACAGCCTTGATTCGCTGAGCCTTGGCGGCAACCATGGTGCCGGTGTAAGAGTAGTTTTCCACGAGGATGCTATCTCCGGGGTTGCAGAAGATGCGGAAGCAGATCTCAATGGCGGATGTGGTGCCGCAGGTCAGACTTGTGGCCCAGTCCTGGTACGGAGGGTTGTGCATCATCTCAATGTGTTCTGTGATGAAGCGTACTGACTGAGGCGATCCTGCTGGGTAGCCGTAGTTGAGGGCAGCAGAGAGGTTATAGGCCTCGTCGCCCTTGAAGGCGGTCAAAGCCGTAGTGGGCTTGTTTTCCTTAGACGAAGCATCATCAACGCAGTTGAATGTGATGGACTCGTAGGGGTAAAACTGTGGTGAAGGACGGGCAGTTCCAAGCGTAATCATGTCCGCCTTCTTGCCAATAGACGCCGCCTTTAGCGGAGACGAGCTCTGGTACTGGCTGTCCACGCTAAGTTGCGTCGTCCATGTTTTGGCCTTGGGTTTGTCTGCTCCGACAGCATACTTGGACTTGAAAAAGCTGGCGGCGGTGTAAGCGGCGCTGTCCGTGGGGAGAGCCTCTGCCTGCGCGCGCAGCGTCTTGAATTCTTGGGCGTGTTCCGCAAAGCTGACCTTTGACATTTTGTCTAAATAAATACAACCACGTAAACGGGTGACTATGACCGAAATATGGGTAAAACGGAAACTGGAGCAGATGTTGATTTATACCTTTAAGGTCAGGCGGGTTTTCTCTCGGAGTAGTCGGCGTAGTCGGGGTAGCCGGTGTGAGCCGGTGCGAGCCGGGCTGGGGAATTTCCCCAATAGGAATAAATTTGGGGTCTCCGCGACCGCTTCGGCGTGTTCGGTCTAGTTTAAAAGCCAATACTTGAAGGGCGCAGTCGCCTGTACTCTTTTGCCGCTTTCTGCTACACTCATCATCACTCTCATCACCAACATCTTGCTCCTTAGGCTAGAAGTTCCAATACACTTTTTCACTATGCCTGGAACAGTCAAGCTTGCGACGTACCTTTACCAGAGGCTGCGCCAGCTCGGCGTCGACTCGCTACACGGCGTGCCTGGCGACTTCAACCTCACCTTGCTAGACTATGTTGAGCCCGCAGGCCTTCGCTGGGTAGGAAGCGCCAATGAACTCAATGCTGCCTACGCGGCTGATGGATACTCACGTGTTAAGGGAGTCGGCGCCCTCGTTACCACCTTTGGTGTGGGTGAACTGTCGGCTATCAACGCCATTGCGGGCGCCTTCTCGGAGAGGGCCGCCGTTGTTCACATTGTCGGAATCCCTGCTCGACCTTTGCAAGATGGCCAAGTGCTGGTGCACCACACACTCAAGGATGGCAACTTTACGCGATTCTCGCAGGCACATGCTCTCTTCACCGTGGCGCAAGCCCGTCTCTGGGACCCCAGAACATCTGCTGAACAAATTGACGAGTGTCTGAGACAGTGTCTGCATCACAGCCGCCCTGTTTACATTGAGGTCCCTGTCGATCTTGTTTCCGCACCGCTAGATGCGTCCAGGCTCGAGCAGCCACTGCAGCGCATTCCTAGTGAGCCTGTCGGCAACTGCGACCGCGTGGTAGCAAGTGTCTTGGAAAAGATTCATTCTGCCAAACAGCCGCTTATTCTGTTCGATGGCGAGAGCAGAGGCATGGGCATCGTAGAGGAAGTCCAGGCTCTCACCAAGACAACGGGGTGGCCTACGTGGGCTACGTGCTTCTCCAAGGGTCTGCTGGACGAGACAGCATCCAACTTCCATGGCATCTACAAGGGCAAGTGGGATGAAGAATCCATCAAGACATTCTTCTCTGAGGCCGACTTGATTCTGTGCTTTGGCCCGCACTTTAGCACCACCAACTCTTACGGAGGAACGGCCATCCCCAACGCCAGTACCACCATCTCGTTAAGCTACACTGAGGCCAACGTCTGCGGCGAGCTTTTCCGCGACGTACCTGGAAAATTCCTAGCGACAAAGCTCGTGCAGGGCATCGATGCATCCAAGATCAAGAAGTACGAGCCTTACCCCGAACTGCCCCGGGACTACCTTATCCCGTACGCAGACGTCGTCAGCGACGAACCCCTCACACACGACCGTCTCTGGCAGACTGTTGGCAACTTTTTGCGTCCCGGTGATATCCTCATGGGCGAGACCGGAACGTGCGCTAACGGTGTTCGCGTCACACCACTGCCTCTACACACTCGCCTCTTCACCGCCGTTACGTGGCTGTCTATTGGATACATGTTGCCTGCTGCTCAGGGAGCTGCTCTTGCGCAACAGGAGCTGATGGATTCCAACAAGTACCACGGCATCAAGGATGCGCGCACAGTGCTCTTTATTGGCGATGGCAGTTTCCAGATGACGGCGCAGGAGCTGGCTACGATTATCCGCCACAACGTAAATGTCGTTGTGGTGCTTGTTAACAACGACGGATACACAATTGAGCGCTGCATTCACGGCAGAAGCCAGCGGTACAACGATGTCACACCCTGGCGCTACCTCAAGGCACCCGAGTTTTTCGGTGCGCCTGAGGACCACTACACGGCAACGATTCGAACATGGCGGGATTTGGAGAAGGTGTTTACTGATGAGAAACTTGTCAATGGCACTGGACTGAGAATGGTAGAGCTGTTTTTGGACCGTGATGATGCGCCACAGGGTCCGATTCAGGACTACATGACATGGCAGAAGGCCGGAAATGGAATCATGGAAGAGAAGGAATAAAAACAGGTCTAAAATAATGTAAATGATTTAATGCCATACAAAAATAAAACGAAATTAATTCACTTCGAATGCAGTCTTGTAAGATTTTGGACGTATTCTGTTCAAGATGAACACTTTTGAGATTGATTCAACTTTGTATAGGTTAGTAGAAGTCCTTAGTGTTGGAGAGGCTAAGTATAGGTAGAGCATACTCTATTCACGGGCTATTAACTTTTGCTTCAATATTGCGAAATTAAATATTAATAAATAGGGATTAAATTATCTACTTATATTAATACTTCAACTAATCATTTAATTAATTTTATATTAAAAAGTCTAACTGATGTGGCTTTTATAAATGATAAAATATGTTACATAATCAAGTGTAAATCGGCGCTAGACAAACACACTAGTTGGACGTTTGTTTAGTGGGCGCGATGACCCATGAAAAAGATGAAGCAACAAACACAGATTTCAAACTTACAAACGCTAGCCCATATACCTCACAATACAGACATCGTCTTTTTGTTTCCTTATTAATTGCCTAAAAATATTCAATCTCACGCGCTTCGTTTATGAGAGACACGCGCAGGAAGTTTGCAGCCTGCGAGCCCTGCAGAGCATCCAAAGTGGCGTGCGACCATGTGCGTCCATACTGCACGCGATGTGTGGCTACATCACGACAGACGGAATGCGTATATCGCCAGTCGCCGTTTAAGAAGAATAAGTCTGCTGAAGCGAAGAGCGCAGCATCAATTCCGAGTGTTATAAGGTTAGTTTGTTGCATTTGATTATGGATGGTTCCTGAGACTGATCACATTAACCAGTCGTATCCGAAACCGGCGGCAGAGCGACACTGGCATTAGAGATGAACTGGAAGGCGTCGCTTCATACGCTGTCATTAGCAAGCCGCATCGGTATCCCAATCCCGGATACCAGGGCTCGTTTAGCCACAGCACTATCCTTGGCCACCTGATGGACTCACCAGAAGGATCGCCGGGAGACTTTGTCCACGGCAATAGCCAGCCTAGGGGAGCCGTGCGTGAGGTAAACATTGAACGTGGGACGGTGCTCATTGAAGAGATTAATGAGTCTGTGTCCATTGCGTTCTGCGCGGAGATGATACGGGCGTGGACTGCCAAGGGGTCCAATCTTGCCGTAGCCCGACCCTTCATGCCCAGCTGCATCGAGTCCGTTTGTGCATTATTCGCCAATCAGGGTATTCAACCGATCAAAGCAAGGGAGATCTCAAGGAGCCTGTTCCTAGGAACAAGCCAGCTGTGGGATGTGGCTGCAAGCACGTCGCTGGAGGCATTTACTGCGCAATTCTGCCACGAGCGCAGCCGCCGTTGGGAAACGCTCGGGCTCTTCTTTACGGCGGCGTCTAGGGCGGCACTAGAAATGTCCAGCCTTGCATCCGACAAGGAGAGGCGCGAGCTGCAGAGGCTGGGGATGAATCTTTCCGACCAATGTTTGGATATTGCCTTGTCGCTCGACTGTCTGAATGACTTGCAGCTGATGTTCCAGTACGAGAATTGGATTCTCCATTCCTTTGTCGATGGCGACCAGAGTAAGACTATCGTCCACATTTTTCTACTATATGAATGATATATATTAACTTTTTGACACAGGTTATCACTCTTGGAAGAGGCTAGGAGATGTCATCAGCTCCATCTATGCGCTCGGCCACCATCAGCAGACTGAACACGATGACAACAACACGCCGTTATTCCTGTTAGAGCTAAGGCGGCAGACGTTTGCGATAGCGTATTCGGCAGATAAAAATGTGTCGCTGTTCTTGGGCCGCCCACCGAGGATACATCGCAAGTACTGCAACTTTGTGCTGCCTCGGAGCAACGGCTGGGGCTCCTCGACGACAACGTCGCAACAGGACGTCGAGTTTGACTTTGTGTCAGACATGCGGTGGGCAGGCATGTGCGCTATATTAAAAGAGGATATTGTAGAGTTATTCAGCGGGGAAAAGATTCACGACTATGACCCAAGAGTCAGGTAAGTTGCCTACCACCGAGGTGGTCCTTCATGTTACTTCCAGCGCGCTGATATGTATAACAACACAGAGACATTCTGGAAAAGGCACATTCGCAGTGGCAAGCGCTTCCACCCAACTTTCGACTCGAGACGCCGCTAAAACAATGCGACAAGCCGCCTGTAGTACGTGACTTTATGCTGAATGCCAAACTGAACCATTTGCATGTGCTTTGTCTTCTGCGCATGGCGGTTACTAGGAACAAGCCTGCGTCAGACCCGGAGCTAGTGTCCACGTCCGTGGAGATTCTGCATCTCATTGTCGAGGCCATCATGCAAAAGGATTATCTCGTCAACTCAGGCACATCACTAGTATGGAAGGTAAGAATTCTGCCCCTCTACGCGCTTACATGGAGCGGCTTTGGGTACAGCATATACTGATTGACATGTTGAAATAGGTGGCATACTATGGCCTCTTTGCAGCAGGAGTCATATCTCTCTGGCTGCTAAACCACGCGTCTAACCCGCAGAATTTCGAAGTCGATATAGCCAAGGTGTTTCAGTACCTTAGCGTACTTGTCATGGAGATGGAGGCTGGGGTGCTCATAGCTGCCGACGATCCAAATTACAAGCTGCTCGTGGACGCATCCAAGACTATTGGGTGTCTGCTTTCACAGCTCATAGTAGGCCGTCTATCCGGCCAGAGTTCGGGAGGTCTGCTCCCTATCGAGGCGCCTTCAGTAGTTGATACTCGTGAAGCGCTTGGATGGAGTGCGTGGGACGGCAATGCGCCTCAGGACTTTGAGTCTGAATTTTGGTTGAATTTGGCCGAGCATCCCTTCTTGGCCAGAGCGCATGATTTATGATTACGATTTTACGATATTGAAACAAATTATTTGTACTTCTATTGAGATACTAGCCGACAGAGGTTAGTGGGGTGCATCGCTAACGTGGCGCTCCGATGTAAGCCTCACACCAACCTCATCAATTAAAGTAGATGTAGCTGCCTAAAGCATCCAAAGTCAGCTCCGTAATATTAATTATCGCCAAGTTAATACACCTCAATCAATAGCGAAGTTATGACATGCTTCAAACTCGCAGGGTTCTAAGCCGCAGTCTGCAGTGATACCCTGCCGCCTCTAACCGACTGCACTGCCCGCTGGATCTCGGTTCGCTTAATCTTAGCGCGAACAAAAACCAGCTCACATCCTGTTTACTCCCCAATTCCTTTCTTCCAGAATCATCTTGGCCCATCCACCAAACCGTCTTGGTCCATCCATCATGCACTTCCTTACGAGTATTACCGCATGTCTGCTACCGGCCCTCGCTGCAGCAGCACCGAACATTGACGTCATTACCGGTGTGCGCTCTGATCATACATATGACCCGCGCATCATCATATCCGACATTGCTGGAACCGCAAAATGGACATGGACCAAGGCCGACGTCGCTAACCAGTCCATGCCTGCAGACCTGCGCAAGTGCATGGATGGCGCCTCTGCAACGGACGCCAAATGGGTGAGTGGCGGCAATGCTATCGTCGTCATCTACTCCTATGCCGCGCTGCTCATCAACCATCAACCCGGCTCAGCCACAGACAAGCAGCTCCTCTACGGCCTGTGCCTCTCTGGCAATGGTCTTGGCAACACCCACAGCCTCGAGCTTCTGCCCAATAACAAGCTGGCCATCGCCAACGACAACTCTGGCATGAGCCAAAGCATCAATATCTACAATATGTCGTCGACGCTCGAAGCGTACCCCAAGCCTGCCCAGCAGATTCATCTCATGCCTGCTGTGCATGCTCTTGTCTGGGACGATAAGCGCCAGCTACTTTGGGCTGCTGGCAATGATCAGCCCCCCTATGGCAAGGCGGAGTCTCGTGCTCTTTTAAATGCCTATCGCTTCAACGATGGCACAATCGACGAGACGCCGTACCACAGCTATAACGTGTCTGCTCCGCTACGTCTTACTACTGAGAATGGTAACGATACATTGTGGTGGGAGGGGTCGCATGACTTAACCCCCCTGCCAGATGAAGACAAGCTCATTGTGACGACGGATGCGGAAATGTACTTGTTTGATATCGCAACCGAGACATTCACGCACGGAGAGGCTGTCGCCAAACAGTACTTCCCAGGATTCGAGTCTGTTGATCGCCGTGTCGGCAGTGATGGGGTCAATCTCCCGCGATCTGATTTGAAGAGTGTCAGTGTTGTCGATGGGATGGCACTGTATACGCAGGCACCGTGGACAAACACGTTTCCTACACGTGTAAATGTTCTGGTTCAAGGCAAGAAACAACCCGATTTATATTCAGGTAGTGCATTGTACAAGTCGCGCTGGTTTACCGAAATTCGTGGTTGGCCTAAACCTACTCTTGGAAACTTGTAGAGCTGCCCATTGCCATACACTAGTGGTGCTGAATACTTAGGATTACCATGTGTATAACGTAGTTAAAAGTTTTGACATGTTAGATTTAATATCGAATAACTTTGTTAATTCATATGTAATGGAAACATAATGTCTACGGTGTATCTGTACATCACAGCTGCATTGCTGCCAAGGCAAGAGCTGCGATGAACAACACCGTGTTCTGAGCCACTCTGGACCCATTGCTTGTCGAAGTAGCACTGCTTGAGTGACTCTTTTCATCATTCGTACTGTGAATACTGCCAAATACGCTGCCGGTGGTCTTTGGGTCAAAACCTGTTTGCGACGCTGTCGACTGACTCGAGACGCTCTTCGCTGTTGCCCTACCACTAGTGCTGAGGGACTGGGCAGATGCTGGCTGTGCATTAGTGGCAGTGCTAGGCAATTTCTCAATTCCACCCGTGATTGTGATGATGTAGTGTTGCTTGAATTCACTGTTTGTGTTGAAGTCTGTTGTAATCGATGTCTCATCCCGGTCCTTGTAATAAGTGACACCGTAACCAATGCAGGTACCATACTTGTCCTCAGGCTTGTAGTGGCATTTTTCGGCAATATCACTATAGAATTGTTCTATTAGCATACATCTGAAATTTAACGTCTTCATTCAGTAACCTACACAGCATAGAGTCTGTTGCCGAGGGATTCTGTACCATGCATGGTGTAGTGCTCTTCAAACGTGGTCGCTCCCTGCGTGACAGTGGCATGTGGCTCCAGTGTCTCTGGGTATGGCTCAAAAGGGTGAACATAGGGTAGGTCGAGAATAAATGTCGTCAGATCTGTGCTCTCGTCATACGCCAGAATCGATCCTGAGTCGATGGCGGCGGCGTAGGGCATCGACACCAGCAGCGTCGATTGTGCGGCAACAATGCCGCACATCGCTACAAAAATGACCGACGCGTACGCAATCATGGCCACTTGTAGTTGAGTTCAGCTAGTATAATAGAATTTAGACCAGAGTCAGGGGGCGAAATCAATACTTAAGAGCAAAGCACAAAGACCGTGAATCAGGCTGCGAAATGGCAACCTAGGACGAAATAGGACTAGGCCACACATCTTGCCAATCAAACAATCATGTGGAGAAGGCCTCTCATTAATGAATTTGGCAATGGTGCGGGCGCAATTTATGGTCATCTGCTCACACTTTTTCTGTTCTGTTAAACCTAGCCATTGGTATTCTAGGGATGTCGTACCGCACAAGGTGGTTTTGATTGCTTACTTAGATCTCTCATGCCACGAGAATAGAAAGCTAGAAATAATCTATGGGAATAAAATGGGAAGCTACAGTTCTCAACATTAAACTTGGATGAACTAAATATTGGAATGTTATTAACACACGGAACTACTGGTCAATATACATTGACCCATAGGCGCTACGAGATATATTCCCTCGCATTCGACGCTGCCAAACTACTATGGCAGCATAGCCAACGCATCACAGAGGCTAACTTACAGCCCTTGGCCTTTGCCCATTTATCATCAACGTCCAACGCCGAGCTCATTCAACATCTCATCTTGCGTGCGAGACATTAGATTCGTGGCCAATGTTCTAAACCAGACTGTGCCCTCATCGCCCACGGTCATCAAATATAACCAATCGGTGTCGCCAGTCCACGCACATGCTACCGGTGTGTCCTTCTTCGTGCGATACTCCCAGCCGTCATCGGGGTCAACTGACTATGAAAAGTCAAACTAGCCCTTCCACTCATCACGAAAATTCCAATAGTCGAGCTTTGCCATTCTGATGCGTCTTGAATCGGTCGATCCCACCGCGTATAAGCCTTTGTGCGAGGAACAGGTAGCCATGGGGGAACGAACGGTAAAATCCAGATGGTAATTGGAGTCCACATTGCGCGACCATCGCGGTTCTGTCCATCGTGACCAGCCCGAGGCAGCTCTCCAAACACTGGTATGCATCATAGGAAGACCACCAACCACTTGGGTGGTCGGCAGTACGAGATGGATGCTTTCATTAAGAAAGTTGTATACGGCGTTGATCCTGTCGGTGAAGATGTAAAAGTCCACAACAACGCCCCAATCCTGCCATCTGGTCTGATACTCCCACCACGCGTTGTAGCCTTTGCCGTCGGCGCCAACAGCGAACAAGTCGAGGTGATAATTGGAGCGCCAAGTCGCGCTGATGGGTGCACCTGGCCTCATGCGAACACCAGGAGACAAGCTGAACCACGGTTGCTAACCGATGCGCGGCTCCCAGTATGATGTCCATACAATGCCATCGGAATCAGTAACAAAAAGATCGTAATGGGGATCACCGCGCCATACTGCCTTCACCTCGGCACCAGGAGCCATCTTGTGGTCGCCAATAGCGAACCAATTGGCCAGCCAGTCTTAGCTTCCCACCAGGTCGACTTAACGTAGCCGTCTTTGTCGACTATAAATAGATCTAGATGTTCTGCTTCCGCATTAAGGATGTAGCCGCGCCAATTAGCTGTGAGAGTGGCGCTGGGGAGGATGTTCAGGTTTTCCGCGGGTAGAGCATACCACCCCATCCACGGAGAGTGTGGCGGCGGTTCTATGTTCGAGGGCGCTTGTCTTGTTGGTACACTCCGCGTTTCAATCCATACCATGTAGATGTTGGCATCAGCGCCTACGCCAAACACGTCGAAGTGGGCAAGCCTAGAATCTTGGCGACTGTCTCTCCAGAGCGTCACAAGCCGCTGCCTAGGCGTGAGCTGGGGCGTTCCGGGGGAAACAATGGATATCAGCGGCTTGCGAAAGCAAACGATGCTGATACTTCAAGTAGAAAATATAAATAGATTGTAAGTACGACTCTCATGGTGATCGTTGTCGCCCAACTGCAGGGGCTTCCTGATGGTCGAGAGATGAGACCACGGAGGAACGCAACGGAGGGCGAAGCCCTTAACATATAGATAATAAGTTGATCAAGAGCAGGCGTAAGCAACCGCTATTTTTTTTTTAGTCTGTACAGGGAGATATACGAATCAATGCTAATAGCGTGCTTATGGCGCTCATTTTGTGCGAGCTCCCGAAAGGAGCAAATACCAATCAGTAACTCCTTTAGCTCGTAAAATCATCGCGAGATGAATTTGCCAATTATAGAAGCTAATCGCATTAGCTCACATTTGTTTTATTCCGTTCCCTTCACCGCTATTGAAGCAAAATCACACTGTATGGGGTGATTCTTATGGCTTAATACCGCGGGCCACTATTGCGCTTGCCTTCTTCCCGGCAACCCCGTACAGTAGCAAAGATATCCCACAATTAAGCGAAATCACCTGCAAAAAATTGCAAAAAAACATACAACAGCCGGTGTTCGCTGGTCGTCACCGACCCAACTACTAATCTGCCGATTACAGGCTTATCTATGGGAGAGCGGACGGGATCCCGAGTTCTCCTGTATCTATGGTCGTATGTACCGGAAGCAGGTCTACATCATTATATAATATCTGCTAAATTTTTGAAACTACGAATGTGGGCTTTTATAGTGGGGCTTAAGAAACACTTGATTTCTATTCGTCAAGTAATGAAGCATGGCATTGTATCGCTTTGTCGCGTCTTGTTCCGCCATGTCCCCGCCACGCTTTGCGTTGCAGCACACTCAATCTCGCAGGGGTTCAGCTGGCAAGTAAAACCTTGGTAGGTATACAAGGAATCCAACTCGAACCCAGATTGACGACGGCCGTATCGCATTGCTGAGAAGCGGCGCGGCACTGAGATATAGGCACTTGATGTCGCGAGGAGCAGCGCACTATTCAACCCGATCCCATCAACTGGCATCCAACTCCCCATCTAGTAGAGCTGGGCCATGGTGAGGCAGATTAGGGTAACGTATCATAACAATATAAAAGGAACAAAGTGTTTTAGATTGGACGTCTACTATGCAGGGCGCCAATAACGAGATTTCAATATTCTAGAGTCTAGCTTGCCGGCAATTCGGATATATGGCTAGTGCTTGGCGCCGCCAGACCGAGATGCTGGTCTGGTGTAGCTAATTCGCACATTTGTGCCGTACGCGCCTCGGCTTCATGAGTATAGCCTGGTATCTTGTGCGATTCTTCCGATTGCGAGTTCGTCCTTTGCTTCTTTTTGAAAAGCAACCACAAACCGGCGCCAATCAGCGCTGCACCAGCCAACGCGCCAATAACAACGCCCGCAATTGCCCCAGGAGAAAGCCCGGTTCCAGTTTCATGATGCGGTTCTGCGTCAGGTTGTGCTAGTATCGGGGTCCAAAAAGTCGACCATGTTTTGCTGAATGAGTCTAGGCTGTTGGTTGGAAAAGCAGCACCGTTGGTCGGAAAGACCTGCATGATGGACTGGTCCAGATTCGGGCCGGGCCCCTGAGCAAGATAAAACAAATTGCTATCCCAGTTTGCAGCTAAAAATGCACTCTGAAAGAATGCTCTTCCCAAAAATGCTGTGGAACCGTTATACGAGTGGCACGGAAAATACGGAGTTGGAGTTGCGACGATTGGAGGCTCAAGCGTTAGATTCAGCAGCGGAAAAGGCACCTTGATTGTAATATTCTTTGCAAATCGGTCGGCAAAGACAAAGCCCAAGTAGCCGGGAGAGGTGGTGATGCGCTGGTAGCTTGGATGCGAGGTGTTCCAAGTGTAGTACCCGATGTTTGGTTGCCAGATTACAGGAAGCATCGTTGCAATAGCTGCGCAGACTTCCTGAGGCAGGTAGATTCCGGGATATTCAGGAGCCATATACACTGCTGCAGCTCCAAATGGTGCGCCAATGTTGCTATTTACTGACCCGAGACTGCGCCACATGCTTTTTGAGATGTCCTTGGTTATACCCAGATCCGGGTTGAATGGCGATGCTCCGTTATCGACCCCAAGAGTTACATCCACCAAGAATGTCCGTAGATCGGTAGACTTAACAATGTCAAAACTTGCAACAGGGCCCAGGGCGCGGTTTTGCTCATAGCCACCAAAGACAAAAGATCCCAATAGACTCAGTGAAGCGCTGCCATAATGCATAGACCAGGATCGAGAAGTGAAGCCATTGGTAGGGTCAAAGGCGGCAGCATTCATGAATCTTTTCCCTACAGCCAAGTAGCCGACCTGTGGGCTGTATTGTGACCCGTTTAGTAGACCAATTTTCCACTGCTGGACAAGGAAAGTAAAGGTCTTGTCGAGAATGAGCGTCGACTGTGGATATGCAGGTATTAACGACAGACTGGCATTGATGGCGAAGGCGCTAACAGACTGATTGATAAGAAGGTCTCCGAACTGGTACAAGTGTCCATCGTCATTGGTACCACTTGGCACATATGACGGATAAAATACTTCGACCTCGTCAGACAGGGAAGGATATAAAGGGACGGAGTTTGGCAGGAAACGAAAATCGACGACAGGAGCGTGCCACGGCCCATCAGGACCAGACGGGCCACAGCGGCCGTTAGTGCTGCAGAGGATATTGTTGGAAGAAGACCAAGTCAATGCATATGGTGATGTTATGTTGGCGATGCATGAGGTGGCGAAGAATAGCGACCAGATCGTGCTGACGCCGTTGATAAGCATAGCAGCTTTCGGATGGCCAAGCTGTGGTTCACACAGCTCGGATTTAGAAGTTGGCTCGTGGGCTCAAAGCTGGGTGCGAATTGTGCTCGGAATATATACCAAGTTGCGACAAATGAGCTGGCTGCGCGGGCAGCCCACTTATGCAGAGACATGTCACACGTGCATATCAACAAGGGCCGTGCATCATGGCGCACAAGCCGGAGATTGTAGCCATCGTGAGGCTTGCAGCAACGCAGCGGCTGCAAGAGAGATATGTATTAAAGGCAACAGCGGCCTTGTTATTTTGCTTGAGCCCTTTAATAATACTGACGGAGGATCTAAGTGTAAAGAGTTAGAGCTACTATTCTTGCTCCTTGCGATAACGAGGGCCTACGAATAGAACCCGCATGCAAGAGATAGATATTATTTTCAGAAAATGCAAAATCACATCTCCCCTCATATACTCCTCCCAAAAAATTCAACACAGGCCTACAGATAGCTCCCGGCTCACAACGGCGCCCAGGCTGGCTTACAACAGCAAAGCTACTTTTCTTACTGAGCAAAGCCAGTTTCCCATGCGTTGAAGCAAATCTCTTGCCGCTAAAGCCAAGTTAGTGGCTTCGCGGCCCGGGTCTGGCCAGCGCCACCGTGCCTGACGATGCCTTTCAACGCGGGCTGTTTACTCGCTTGGCCAACGATGGCGAATTCACAGTTGCAGATGCAGTGACAAGTTTTTTGAAGTTTGAATCGGAAGAGACAAATTTCCGTACTCATAGCGACAAGCACATCTGGCCTTGGCAATCATGTTATGCCCTACTTCGGATTGTCAGGGAAATATCAGCAATAGAAGGACTAGACAAGTTGGTAGCCTTTGTCCTGCAGCTAAAAAAGAGGGAAGTGCATAATCCTGAAACAAGAAAGCAAATCATGTATGAAGATTGCCGCGTGTGGACCGATTTGCCGTACTTTGGATGGACTGTTAGCGACGAGCTGAATACTGGTAAGCAGCTAATATCACGATTACATATTCCAGGGGCATTAACAAACTAATCTCTGCATGACTATAGGCATTTATGGTCTTAATGGAAAGTTGGTTCCACCTGAAGAGCTCAAATGCATGGAAAATCTCGTCATTTATATGGCACGCCTTAGCAATGCGACCGATATTCCTTATTCTAGCCTAACCCCGCCAATCACCGACTTTACTGGTTGGGCCATGCATGATTTTCGCAATGCATTTAAAGAACCAAATGAAAGCTTCGAGCTCAAGAAACATACTACTAGATGCTGGTGCCTCTGGTTGATTCATGCAGGCTAGCGATTGTTAACGAACTGCCAACATGCGCCTGGCTGGTCCGGTGGTGACCCCGATGATATTACCCGGATGTCCCAAAAGGACTGGGGGATTTGGAAGATGACAACTAGAACGGCGCGCGAGAAATATGATAAGGATACGACTCGGCTGGTTGATGATGCACTGAAGAGTATGCGCGACGCGGAGGACAAGCATGGAGGGCCGTACGCGAAAAGCGAAGCTAGAAATCACTGATCCAAGCATATAATAGGTGGAAATATCTCCTCAGATACCAATTAGCATTCACTTAAATACAGATTCCAGCCACATCGCCTGGATAATACATTAACTACAAGTATACACGTCACATGGGATGCGCGAGAGTATCATATTTGCCGCGATGTTCTGTGTACTAGCCACCCCTTTAGCTTTACCAATAGACCAGCAGCTCGAGGCAAGAGACATTTCTTCGCTGTCGGGGTGGATTATATGTCTGAACAGTCCCCTGCGGCTAGGCTCTCCCTGAATCGGCGAGCTTTTGAGCGATTATTTATCAACACTACAGGTGTGAGCTTAATAACCACAGCCGGTATCGGTCTCAAACGTAATCGTACCGTTATAAACGGCTTTATAAAGAGAAGCAGTCACATAATTCTTATATCTCCATATTTGTTAAAATTAATAACTAAAAAAAACGGCGGCAATTCCTCCGTTTTTATCTACCACCTCCTCCGTTTTAAGATATCTTGTCCTCCATTTTGGCCATATATTGCACTGATGACAAGAGCTGGACGGGATCCCGAGTTCTCCTGTATCTATGGTCGTATGTATTTGTTTAATAGCTAATAGAATATATAAGATATAATATCTAAGTCGAGGTTATATAGATAGGTAATAAGAATAATAATATTAATCTTCTACTCTTCTTTATCTTCTCTACCACCTGAGGTTAGGGTTAACCCTGGCTAACTGGTAATATTTTAATATTAACAATACTACGTGTAAAGATTTGGGCTGAGACCTATTTGTAACGAAGTGGCTTTGCACTACGTAGGGGTCTGTCCAATTTTGTTGTGTCGGCGGAGGATTGTACGATCGGAGACGTTGTAGATTCGAGCAGCTTCTCGAATAGATAATTTTGGATCTTGCTCTAAAGCTTGTAGAGCTGAAATAACATCAGCTTCATTTAAGGCCTTTCCCATTATTGCTGGTTGTGGAATTACGGGTTGAAGTTGATCAATTAAAGAATGACGCGAAGTGCAGCGCTCGCCCGTGAACCACGTTATATAAAATCTTAGTAATAGTAAGATTAACTTACACTATCTAAGCAATTCATCCGCCTCATATCTCCGGCGGGCTCCCATAAGTTCGCGTTCTTGAATCCACCGACTTGATATCGCCTCGGGTGCCTCGCGCGCATAACGCCTGAGCGCAGCTATAATTAGCTTATACCCACGAGAGTTCCTAGACGCAAATTTGCAAATGTCTTGGTGGTTGCTTTGCAGGCCGGCGCGCTCTGTATCTGGGAGAATCGGCGCAGCCGATTCGTGGGAGACTACCTAGAGTTGGACACGAATAGATTAGCCGCCACCGTCTTGTCAGCTTTTAAATTACTCACATAGTCATAAGTAACACCCATATGAGTTTTTAGCTGCTCCCAAAAGAAGAAGATGCGAAATCTCTGCATGATTGGTGCAAAGCCGTCGGTGATCTCTTGTAATGTCTCCGAACCTTCCTGTAGAGCCTCTAAGAGCTTTGGGGTTGTATCAGTAACCAGAGATGGGACGCAAATTGCTACTAAACGCTGGCCATATTTAAGGAGGTTGGCTTTGTCACTACCCTGGTGTGGTGTACCGAGGAATATGATACCATATGTGCAAATGTAAATCGAGTGTAGATGTTGAAGCTTGTGGCTAGTTCTACTACTGGAGTAGATAAGTGCCTTTTTCAAGGCAAAATATCAGTAAAAATATACTACAAAGCGGAATAGCTTACTCTTTTAACGATAATGCCACCTAGTGAGTGGCAGAGGAAGAGAATAGGACGGTCCGTGGCGTCATTGGCCTGTAACTCTGTATTAATATTTTAACAGAAAACGTGTCTAGCCTTTCGCACTTCTCTATCCGCAACGAGCTCAGCGACCAAGGTGTGAGCGATATGCATTATTGTGTCAGAGCACGACGGCCCGAATAGAGTCGTGACATTGGCCGGGTAGCTGTACGTCAAAACGCGACTGTTTGTAATATCACTTGGTAGCATGCCATGGTCCCCTAGCCAAAAGCATTTCTTGTCTTGAGTCGTAAATGTCTTAAACGCGTCACCATTAATGCCATGGACGGCTACAATACTACCAGCGTATATTTTAGCTTCATCGACGTACGGGGCACTGGGGTTGTTTTTCGGCTGGCTACTCACTCTACTGTAGGATTTTCGCTGCGGTACACCTCAGAGAGAGCTGGATGCTCGGAAAGCTCAGAAACATTGTTCTTGGGCATCAAGCTTGCATCGCTCAGCGTAGCGGGCGGTTGCCTACGCAGTTTTAAAGCTCGATTCATCTTACACATTCAAGAACGTAAACAAACCAGAAGCCTGGGGATGAAGAGAGGGCCGTGTCTACTTACGGTTGAATTATTGGAGCTGAAAAAAGCATGTAATAAATTGCAATACCTGCTAGGTTTAGGTGGCCGTTGCATCGTTTTTCCCACCATGTGCGAGCCGCAGGCGCTTGCACTATATACAACGCCACAGCTCCACTGCTTCCGTAGAAGATACTTTCCCATTCGCTATTTTGTCCAATGGCAGGACAGGGCTGGGTTACAACGTTTTACAATCCGCCGCAAGCCAATGCATGCATGCCATCCGGCGGTTAGCGACTTGCATTAGGGTGGTTTCAAGAGCAGCCACCTCCTCTCGGCTGAAAAAAAGTTCTAAATATACTACCAATTCCCGCTAGTTTCCTGCATTACAAATAGTACTCACCGATTCGCTAATTGATCTAAATTCACACACCTTTCATCCTTATTTAGACACAATGCAGATTCTACAGTATCTAATTGTCGGTACGCCACTCTTGGCAGGATGGTGGTTAGTAACTAAGTACTATGATCGGAAGCAAAAACATGAGGTATGTAAGGTTTGATTTAATTTATTTGGGCACTTGGAGCTTTAGCGCTAATACCTACCTAAAAGTTGCTGCTGCAGATGGCTAATGCCCACGGGTGCCGCTTGCCTCCGTTATTGGAGAATCAGAGGCCCTTTGGCATTGATCGCCTGGAGCAAATCTTCCGTGCAGACGCAGAATCCAGGCTCATGGAGCTTTTTCTCTTCCACTTTCGACAAACAGGATACACTCTGCAGCAAAACTTTTTATGCACCCCAGCGTACGGTACAGTTGAGCCTGCTAATCTCGAGGCGATCTTCTCTACCAAATTTGCAGGTAAGCGTGTGTTTAACCATATACGCAAGCGTCAAATATGGCTAATATAGCAGTAGATTGGACATTTGGTCCGCGGAGAGCCATAACATTCCCAATGTTTGGGGATGGAATCTTTACTCAGGAGGGTCCAGCGTGGAAGCGTTCCAGGGAACTCCTCCGCCCACAGCTCGTACATCGGCAGTACGAAGACCTCAATCTCTTTCAAGAACCAATGGATGACTTGCTAGAGGCACTGTCTGTTAAGGGCGGAGTAGTCGATCTTCAACCGCTCTTCTTTCGGTATACCTTGGACGTGACAACTGCATTCCTATTTGGGGAGTCTGTCCGCAGCCTCAGAACAGCAGGGAGCAAAGAAGATAACGGGTTTGCAGCAGCATTTGACGTTGCGCAGAAGTACATTATCAAACGATTTCGCTTGCTAGACCTCTACTGGCTTATAGGTGGAAGCGATTTTCGCGAGGCCTGCCGAAAAGTTCACGAGTTTGCGGATCAAATTATTGATCGTAATCTTTCTAGAGATAAGATGGAAGCTGATGAAGACACACGATATGTGTTCTTGAGATCCATTGCCCAATCCCACCCAGAGCGAGAGGCGCTCCGAGGTCAAATCATTAACATTTTGGTTGCTGGCCGGGATACAACAGCATGCCTACTCTCATGGACCTTGTAAGCTTAAAATCTGCAATCAGCGTGATAGAGCTATGCTGACGATCTCCCTTTTCTTGGTTTAGCTTCCTCTTGATTCGACATCCACATGTGATGGCGAAGCTGCGCACAGAAGTATCGCTTCTCAATGAAGGCCAGGTGAACAGAACGGACCTAAAGAACCTAACCTATCTGCAAAACGTTTTGAAAGAGAGTAAGTAGACTATGAATATTCAGATTATAGGCTAACAGTAATCACTAGCGCTCCGGCTCTATCCATCTGTTCCAGTCAATACTCGAACCGCGAAAGTCAACACAGTCCTTCCTACAGGTGGTGGCCCTGATCGTCAATCGCCTGTCCTCATCCCCGCAGGTACACCGGTGGCATTCAGTGTCTACACGATGCACCGCCGACCGGACCTCTACGGCATGGATGCTGAGTGCTTCCGCCCCGAGCGGTGGGAAGAAGATCTACCTCTGTTCCGAGACCGGACAACCCAGAATTACGGCTATCTCCCGTTCAGCGGCGGGCCGCGCGTCTGTCTTGGCAGTTAGTTGGCCTCGGAGTCCATCCTAGTAAAGTATGCGCGCTAATTGCTGTTTCATTCTAGTGGATTTTGCACTTACCGAGGCAGCCTTTGCGGTTGTGCGTATTCTACAGCGCTACCCTGTCATCCAGCTGCCAGCCGGTGAAAAGGTGGAACTAACTGGGGTTGAGAAGCAGACGATGACTCTTGTCTTGCAAATTGCGGAAGGGTGCAAGGTGATGGTTGCCTAGCCCAACATATCACAAGTATACGGTAGCGTCTGCACTGTGTCGGGGCTTGATCTCCCGCCCCGGCCCGCATTCTGCAGATCAATGGACCAATCCTCTGTGTCCAACATGTCATTCCGCGCCACCACTTTGCCTTCATATTAATTAAATGCCATGCCTTCGTTGACGCGACCATTGATAATCGTTTGACCCCCTCTCCTTACCACGAGCTCACGTGCATTGCCCTGGATGCTCAATATGTAAATGCTTCCTATATTATTCCCGAATATTGTTGTATCATTGATGGATACATTGTACCTTTATGCCAACTTGGCGTCATGAGCCTTCTCGATATTAACGACTGCGATGGGGATGATTTTCATCCAAGTTCCTTTAATATTGAGTAAGTAAGGTTTCTATCATTGTAGTACTATGACGCCACAGTATCTAACAGCTCTCCACAAGTATCGTCTTCGTGCACGGATTACGTGAAGCCGGACTCGACGCGTGGAAAGACGTACATACAGGCAGCTTGTGGATGACTAGTATCTTCCCGCATGCTAGACACAAGGCGCGAACGCTCGTATACGAATATGATGTCAACAGAATGGTTACTCCGGGTGGTCCGGCCGCGACAGGAATCTACGACGAAGCTGTATCGCTAGCTAATGTCCTTGTCGCTAACCGGGAGCTGCAAAATGCTGAGCGGAGACCCATAATATTCTTTTGCCATGAATTGGGTGGGTTGATTGTTAAGCGTGCCCTTGCTTTTTCACACTCGCGCAAGCACGCGAAACTTACACACATCCGGTCAATCTATCGTTCTACTGTGGCCGTCATGTTCATGGCAACACCGCATCAAGGTCTTCGGAAAGATGCTATTATCCGCTGGAATCATGATAAGAAGCGCGATCCGAGCCAGTTTGAGCTAAGCCTATTAGAAGGATCTGACACGATACAGGAAGTTACAGACCATTTTACGCCGATAATGAAGGATTTTCAATTGTATAATTTTTGGGAACAGAAAAAAACAGATTTTGAACAGACTTCAGCTTATATTGTGGAAAGAAACTCGGCGGCACCGAGCTGGCCGGACGTGGATCAATGCGGAATCAACGCAACGCACTCTGCCATGGTGAAGTTTAGCTCAACGAAGTCGCCCGGTTATACTCTAGTTTTGGGGTCAATCGAGAAATATATTCGATCAGCACCACAAACAGTGAGGATTCGCTGGGAACAAGATTCCGCGCTCTTGAATAGTGAGCGAGCATTCGATATAGGAGGCCTCTTGGAGGCTAGCGTTGCCGGAAAGACGCTTATCACGGCGGCTGAGCCGGATCGTTGGAAGTCTGAACCTAATATCTCGACCATTCCCAACAACACGTCCACAAGTGAGAATGTATATTACCACGTCGGCCTACATTCGGACTATTTTGTTGGCCGCGAATCACAAGCTGAGTTACTTTTGCATGCATTCAAACCAACTGAGGACACTGGAAGCGAAAAACCGAAGGTGTTTGTTGTTTATGGACTTCCTGGTTCTGGAAAAACACAATTTTCTCTGAGATACTTAGAAGATCATCAGCGGCATTACTGGGGAGTCTTTTGGATAGATTGCAGCACGAAAGAAACTGCAGAATCTGGGTTTGGTCGGCTAGGTCAGCTAGCAGGAAAGGGAAACGAACGCGGTGCTGGTATAGCTTGGTTAGCACAAACCTACAAACCGTGGTTTGTTGTCCTAGACAATGCAAATGACCCCCAAATGACACTCTCCGAGTTCATTCCTTCAACTGGCAATGGCAATATTTTAATAACAACTAGGAACCCAGGAGCACGCCTATACAACACAGTGGGTTATCTCGAATTTCGAGGCCTGAACCCCGAAGATGCTATTACGCTTCTGCTACGCTTAGCATATCCGGACAAAGAGTTGCAGGACACAAAACAACTCTATAGCATAGGTGCTAAATCTATTGTGTCAGAGCTCGGATATCTAGCACTGGCTGTAAAGCACGCCGCTTTCACTATCCGCTCTCGCATGCGCCCGCTTGAGTTTTATCTCAAATCCCTATTGACCTGCCGAACAACACTATTGAGTCGCCCAATAGTCGAAAGTGCCGCAGATGCCAACATCATTGCGACCTGGGAGCTGCCGTTTGGAGAAATCTCAAGCCATCGCTCTACCGATTATCGCGACGCTGTTGACTTGATCCACATATTCGCCTTTCTGCACTTCGCAACAATACCGTGCGCTATACTCTCACTCTGTTCAGACGGTATCAAGTCGTCCACAGGACTGGCAGCGTGCCCTTCGTTTTTGATTGACCCCGTAGCGAAGTATCAAGTGGAGGAGAGAATCCTGGTTGCAGCCCGCGTGCTCTATAATCACTCAATTATTTCCATCCATGACGTGGACGCAGGCACATGCAATACAGCGCTTTTGTCCGGTAAATACTTTACCCTTCATCCAGCAATTCACGAATGGGCACGGGGCCGGCTTCGAAAATGCGACCAGCTGAAGTGGCTTTGCTGCACGGCCGCGATACTTGAGCATGCTATCTCTTCAAACATGGAGCCGTCAGGCAGGATGTTCCGCCGCCTCCTGCTTCCACATATTGAGTCCTGTCGGTCTTTACTCAAGAGCGCTTATCCAAACCTACCAGAAACCGCGGAACAGGCTTCCCAGCTAGAAAAGTTCGGCCTTGTATACAGTGAGGCGGGGCATTGGGAAACAGCACGCATATTACAGAAACAAGTTCTAGCATATCGTCTCAGAACGCTAAAACAGTATCATCCATTAACGATACAAGCGGGAAGAAACCTAGCGCACACGTATTGGAATCTCTTTGAAATCGAACACTGCCTAAACCTTTTGAACGACATCCGGAAAAGCCAAGTTATATATAGGCCCTCATTCTTTGACTACTTTGTATGGCCGCCGCTGAAGCCGTGTTATTTTGAGTATTATCTTACTCTAGATGATTTGCATAAATCGTTGTGGCTCTCTGGGGAGCGAGACTTATCTCTGACAGTTGGTTTACGAGCAACAAATGGCCTGAAAGAGCTGCTAGGACCGGAAGACCCAGTCACTGTAAACGCCATGTTCAATCTAGCTCGGACTTTTTTGCACCTGGGTCGATACGAAGAGAGTTTTGAGCTATTAGAGCATGTTATCAAGGTTAGGAAGCGATTTTGGGGTCCAGAACATCCCGATACATTAATGGCTCGCAATGAACTTGGCATGAATCTGTATGCGCAAGGAAAAGATCTGCTAAAAGCGGAGCAACTCGTGCATTCGGTACTTCAATCACGGAATCGCATATTGGGGGCTGAACATGCCTATACGCTGTGGTCAGTGAATGACCTTTCCAAGATATGGACGCAGTTGGAACGCTATGATGGTGCTATTCAAATATTGGAAGAAATCTTGCCCATTGTAGCGCGGACATTGGGGCAGCATCATATCGGGATGGTGATGACAAGATCGAATCTCTCGCGGGCCTACATTCGTTCCGGTAGGCTGGAAAAGGCCAAAAAAGAAATTATTTATATACGTGAGCAGGTTCCACAGAACCACCCCGACTCTATATATGCCGACTACGGATGGGCGTATCTTCTCTTCCATCACGACAAGAATCCGGAGCTAGCTGTAAAATGTTGCTATGAAGCTCTTGATAGGGGCTTAGAAAGCCTTTTGTTAAGACCGGAACACGGCACAATCGCATCTCTTACAACGCTACTGCTTCAAATATACGAATTTCAAGGTCATGAAGACGCTAACGAGTCATTGAGGCTGAAGTTTCCTCAGTTGAAAGGATCTCGAGATCCAGAATCTATTGACTTTAATCTACTACAGCCACCGAGATCTACTAATCCGCCGGCAGCGGTCGAACAAGAATCCCTGCCACCAGTTAACCATCAGCCGCTACAGGAAGAACAGCCCAGGCTGAATCGGGCACCAAGAACTTGGTAGCTTGGATACAGGGTAGCTGGTGTATGCAGAATTTATGTATTCATATTGATTATTCTTTACCTTTTATGAAACATTCCATAAGCCGTGCCTAAGTAAACTACCCTAACAGCCTGCGACTGCCGTAATACAGTGCACAAATATGCTGCGGAAGCTAACGGTTAGGTACCTTTGAGGTACAAGACAAGCGTACGAGCCGAACAGGTAGGTAGTGTCTAAATATTTAAGAAGTAACATCAGAGATACGTAACGAAGTGTAATGACGTGGTGTGGCACCGTATAGAGTATATGTCTTATCGTATTCTCACATACAGCTACAATGCATATGTGACAAAGGAGTGGGCTGCGCCGCCCACAAATAGACTGCATGGCCACGCCAGGAACCTTGAAGGGACGTTAGCAACGACCGCGCAAGAACCAGAGCTGCCTCGCGCTCGCTAATCTTTGTCGCCCACAGCTTCAGTGGCCTCATATACAAGCAGACCGTTATCTTGTCGCGCGCGACAATATCGAGACTCGCTTTTGCGACGTCTTCGACTCCTCGCGGGAATTATCTTTATGGGAATACCTTACAAGGGTTCGTGGATGGCCAATTGGGGACACATCCCAGCATCTGCCGTAGCCAAGATCGCTCCCATAAACACGAGCATTGTGGATGTTCTGTCGACGGGGCATCAGCTCCATGACGTTATATAAGATAGGTTTCTATCCATACTGAGGGAGCAACCGTAGAAGAATCGAAGAATCGAAGAGCTCTGCTTCTCCGAAGAGCTGGAGCTGGCTAGCCCTAAAAGATGTAGGTGGTGGAAAAGGAGTCGGCGACTCTTCAAGGATACGTCGTGGCAAGTATTCACGCCAGCCAGTCGAGTATGGTCAAGTTTACGCCCAAGGAGGACATAAGCTTCACAAGACTATCTGCAGCACTAGAGCAAGGGTGTCTGGGCATTGGTAGGTTAAGTCAAGTCAAGGCATCTGATGCGGAGATTTCCGAAGCTTACATGTTCCTGGTTAGAAGGAAGAGAGATGAGACGCACCCCAAGATGTTGGCAGCAGCGTCCCCGCGCTCTGCAAGGTCGACCCGCGAGAGCAGTTCCGCCATCACGGAGGTTGGCACGTCCGCGGGGGCCAATGTGAAGCAAGTCGTGTACACAGCTAGCAGCGCTGTGACCGTGACAAATATGAAAGCCGGCGACAGTGCTTTTCAGAGCGTCAGCTGTGGTTGGGTGCCCGTGTCATTGCAAATTCCCCGACCGGCTCCGGAGCAGCGCAGTAGCAGCAAGATGGGACAGGTAATGGTCAGTTCTTCGCGCAGTGCAGATATGGAAGTGGACACAAGCGGTAATAAAAGCTGCACGCGTATATATGGATGTACAACGATGCACGAGTGAGCCACAGAGAATGTGCAGAAATGCACAAGTGATTATTGCAGTATATAAGAAACCCAAGAATACATTACATAGCCCGTTTATAAATCTTTAATAGCCAGCTAATCCGAAAATAACAGAGCATACAAACCATGCCCTAGCTGCTCCCGCTGAGCAGTCACGTGCCTAATCAGGCCGGTTGCATATCATTATGAAGCCACTAACTTACCAGATACGCCGCGCCTAGTCTATCTATAACAACCATCAACATTCTCCCCTGAAATGTCCAGCTTTACAATTGGCTTAGTTACAATATTCACTTCCAATACCGGTCCCCTGTAGTTCGCCTGGCATATTAACCGTTATAAAAGCTACGTGATTTAAGAGTAGACACGTGATGAAACTCCATGTCTTGTTTTTAAAATTAAGTACTTAAAATCAATGGTGGTATGTCCTCCAAAAACGTTTCTCTTTGAGGTAATGATGGAGGACATCTCCTCTGGTTTGTGAGGCTATTGCACTGATGACAAGAGCTGGACGGGATCCCGAGTTCTCCTGTATCTATGGTCGTATGTGTTAGACATCTCACTGTAACGGTCTCAACTGAGTACATTGACAACTAGCTGAGCGACTACTACGAGTATCCGAAGATGAAGAAGAAGAGATCGAAAAGGGGCTATTCCAGCTGGCTGGAGTAGCCTCTTATATGACTTACATGGATCCCTGGTCGAGAGCTACCCGAGACCTCCACAAGCCTAGCCCGTTACACTCACTTATTATTCATATATACAATAATGCAGCTGGATACTACTAAACCGCTCTTCATCCATCATATACAATTTCAAGTAGATAGTAAAGACGTGCAGTTTAGTAACTGAGCTGAAAAGCATTGTTTCAATAGGAACTTGACTATAGAATTTAAACATCGCGATTAAAACTCAGCTAACCTATAGCCCTTCACACGATCAAAGCCGAGCAAGGATATATACTGAAATTGAAAATACTTGTTTTATTACTAATTAAGTATAAAATCAATCACGGTATATTAACTATCATCATGGACTTATGTTGAGCTGATTTTGCTTCCACAAGTCTCTAGGTTAGGGAGTTGTGATCTTTGTCTCTACACATTCACACGTCAAACACGACACTATATAATACTATTATTCCACAAATAAGGGCAACTAATTATATTACATTAAAAAAATATCATGTACACTATGAAAACGAATTTATTTGTTAGTGTTAGCAAAACCAATGCGAGGGTTTGCGTTGTTTGCACTACGGTCAAACACGGCAAAGACGGCGCTCAAGAAAGTGATACCAAAAACGGCGTGGTCACCGGTGCTAATCAGATTGAATGAGCATGTCTTGTCCTTGTTGGTTGCTCGTAGATGGTTGCCGGGGATCTTGACAGTACCCTGGCCCACTCCGATGAATAGATCAGGAAGAACAGTCGTGCAGTTGACCTTGGCGGCTGTGGTGTTGGCACTCAGGAGATAGTCTTGGAACGCTTTGTAAGGAAGACCAAACGTTGTGTAGCCTGTGTCAACAAAGGCGTTCATGGAGTAGCTGACAAACTTGCCCGAGCCAACTGAGTAGCCGGAGCTAGTCCAGCTCCAAGCGGCGCCCTTCTGCTTGTTGACGTCGGCGTAGTTGATGGAACCGGTGTATTTTGTCTTGTCGATGGATCCGAAGCCGTAGGTTCCCGCTAGTGATGTATTAGCCATGTCCATAAGTACAAGTCTCAGATATTACTTACTGCTATCGTATTTGAGATCCGCCGTCATGACGGACTCCTTCAGCTGGGACATGGCGTTGGTCATCCACGTGGTCTGCTTGGGCGTTGCGTCATTGTTATAGTCAAACGCAAAGCCAATTTGACCAGAAACCGGCACGGCTAGGTTGCCTGCACTGACTTTGGTAGCCACCTGCACGCCTTGGCTTTTGACTGTGACGCCGCCAATGGTCACCGTGTCAGTGTAGATAGCTCCCTCGGCGCTTGTATCGTCCACGTAGCTCATCGACCATGTGCCCTTCTGGACAACAACAGCCAACTTACTATTAGCAGGGATGTACTTGGGTGTCTTCTTGTCAAATGTTTGTCCAGTAGTGATGTTCGTAATGACCCAGAGGTCAGCAGACCCAGTGACAAGGAGAAGGTTGACTTTCTGGGCAGGCGTACCAATAGAAGCCTCGACGTAAATGTCGCCCTCTGTATCTTTGTAGGCAGTGGTAGAACCGCTAGCGCCGTACCAGCGCGCTTGACTTCCAGGTTGAAGGAGCCAGCATTGACATTGAGAGGAGACGCAGCAACCATAGTGTGAACGCCCATGTATGTACATAATTTATGAATTTAAACTGTATATAACTTAACTGAAAAAAAAAACAAAATCTATGAAAAATCACTACAACAACTCAATGTTTTCTTGCTCGTTCTGCCCCGTATGCTCCGTGCTAGATTCCCTACTATACTTCGGCGCGGTCATCGCAAAGGATTCCATTAAGAGATTATCAAGTTCTTCCTCATCTCTTCTTTTCCTCCACTTGATGTAAACATCTTCTGGTGTGACAGTCATCATCTTGTCCTCGGGGAGAATAACGCCTCCATAGTCCAGAGGTGTTCGTCCCAGCCGGTCAACAATGTCGATTTCTGCTTTGTTTTGTAGAAGAAGTTTTACGGTTTCGGGGTGCCTTCCCTTGTAGGCGAAGAACATTGGCGTCCAATGATCGCCGTCCCTTGCGTGAGGGTCCGCGCCATATTTGATCAGAGTGCTTACAGTTTCTGTCGCACCATGCTCTGCAGCGTAGCTCAGGGATGTCCGCATTTTAGAGTCTATAACATCCACTGATGCACCATATTCGAGCAGTACCATTGCCAGACGATGTCTAGACTGTGAATTGTTTTGAACGGCGTGAATAAGCGGTGTTCGGCCGCTGTTGTCCTTCGAGTTGACATCGGCGCCATAATCAAGCAATGTTTGACTCATGTCAACATTGACAGCCTCGCATGCCCAACTTAGGGCTGTTCGTCCGTCAATATCTCTTAGGTCAGTCCCAATTCCAGTCTTATCCAGAATCTCTATCAATGATACCCTGAATTCGTCACATGGATCTATACCGCTAGGGATAGAAACTGGCATGGGCATCCCCATCCTGTAATGCTTTGGCAGACTTGGTACTGGGATCCTCTGAAAGGGTGACTGAGGATATAATCGCCTTGTGGAATGGTAATGATCAGGCATGTTTTGCCGTTTTGGAGTATCTACAGTCGGCCATTGAAGGCCTGCCGGTTCTCCACGGAAGCAATGTCGAGCGGCAATATTCGACATGATTGTGCGACCCCATTCATCGTAGATGTTGATATTGACCCCACGTTCCATTAGAAGTAATGCTATTTGTAAGGATGTATGAGGAACTTGCTGAATCGGCATTTCCATTTCTGTTGCTGCATGGCCAAGTTCTGCACCGTGATCAAGAAGTAGACGTGTAGCATCCAAGTGACGATTTAAAATGGAATTTGATAACGGAAGTCGGCCGTTTCGATCCGTCGAATTGCACGAGAAGCCGTGTTCAAGCAAGAACCCCAAAATTCTGGTATTGCCACTTTCGGCAGCCCATGATACTGGCGTGGAGCCAAGATGGTCCCAAGTTGTAGTTTGGCTTGTCTTTGAGACTACACCGACGAGCGTCTGCACAACTTCAAACTCCCCATACACGATTGCTGCTAACAGTGGGCAGTAACCTTTGTCATTTTGCAGGGTAATCGACGCTCCGAACTTGATCAGGATGTCCACTATATGTGCATATCCATTTGCTGCAGCTATTATCAATGGTGTACAGCCTGAGCCTATCTGATAGTCGTTGCATTTGGAATTTACATCCACATCATTGGTCTCCAACAACCAGAGAACAATCTTACCGAATCCATGCCGGGCCGCATTCGACAATGGGGTTTGACCATTGGTTTCAGAACTGTCAGGGTTAGCTTTATGAGTGTCCAGCAGAGTTTTGAAAACTATTTCTCGGCCATATGTAGCGGTATATGACAGGGGTGTCATTCCTCCATCGTCTGCCAAATCAATCTCCAAGTTATCTTCCTTTAAAAGTTCGCGTACTACATCGTCATGTCCCCTCCAAGAAGCGTAAATCAGTGGGGTTTGCCCGTAGCCGTTATGAGAATTTGGGTTGACTTTCTTTGAGGCGAGCAGACGTTTGACAACATGAGTATGACCACGTTCTGCTGCGTAGGACAGTGGCGTGCGTCTTGATTCTTCCATCTCCACTTGATGAACAGATATGTCGCATGGACCGTCCACTGATTCATCTTGTCAATATTAGTTACTTGTTTGCTGCTTTTAAATTTGGTATGGAGATGGTCAATGCTTACCGATGAAGTCAGCAAAACAGTTTGTGTGCCGGCGACAGAAACCTTCGTCTACCGTTGTTACCTCACGGCTGATATCGACCTCTATCATAGGCATATCCAAAAACAGATCAACCAGCTTAATGTGCCCATGCATAGCGGCAAATGTCAGTGCTGAATTTCCATCTTCATCCGTACCGTTTAGATCACCCTCGCCACTTGCCAAAAGTAGTTTGATGATATCGATATGGCCTCGAGTTGCAGCGGATGATAACGGCGAAATATCGGGAGTTGTATCATGAACTCCTAACTGCTGCATACTTTCCAGCAATATCGAAACTACATTGACATGTCCCATTTCGGCGGCATAGGAAAGCGGTGTTCGGTCATTTCGATCCAATGAATGCAAGTGGCCATCTTCGAGCAAGGCCGACACCGCGTAAGCAAGCCCGAAATGTGCGGCAAGATGCATTGCAAACATTGTATCGCTGGGAAATGTATGAGGGTACTTAAATAAGTCATAACAGAATGCCTGGCTTGCGGCTTCGACATGGCCCACAGACTTTAAGAAGCGCAGAACCTCTCTATTCTCAGCCGAATTGAAAGCGTGGAATCCCCAGTTTCGCGCAGCATATTTATACAGAGGATTTTCCTGTAGACGACATTCAAAGTCATTAGGAAGAGCTATGAAGCTGTCAGTTTTTGTACAAACTTTTAAGACTCCGTTTCGAAATCTTTTGAAAGACAAATAGGTACAGCAAGTTGATGTGACGTAATCGTTCGACATCGGAAGCCATTGGGTTTGCGTTTCCTCCAGGTATTCTTGAGTAGTATAGTGAGCCAGCCTAATGATCCCTGTTTCGTCATCGAAAGTTACAAGTCCGATGCATACGGCTAGCACATCTTGAATATCAGGTATGTTGTCTTGGTCAAACTCGTCGTCGCCGACTTCTACAGCCAGAGCGTGTTGGAGCTGGACTGTTGTGAGCGGCTCTCTCGTACATACGAGCCAAGATAAGGTGCTCTGTGCCAATTTTCGGTGGCGAGGCGGTTGAGCAACAATCCTTTCCATTTGATCGACGTACAATTTCGCGAGTGCCGCGGACTTGTCCTCGTCTGTCAATGGTGGATTTTGAAATTGTCTAATAACATCCCGAATACCTCTTGGTGTGAGTTGATATTTTAGTGCGTTGAAATAAAATCGAGCTAGGAGAAACCTAGGCTCTGTTAGTTGTTGTATTCATAGCTGTATGGTATGGCTACTCACATTCCACCAGCAGCAGCTGAGATTCCGTTAATAATATCGGTCTGGAGAGATGGGTGTTTGAGTACGCATGCATGTAGCTCCGAAATATGACCTTCGATGTATGTGCGAATATCATCCTCATTGGTTCGAATTTCCAGTTTTAGGCCACTTGAGAACATCTCTATGATTTCCGGTATATGTCGCGAGGTTGCCAAAAGATTCGCTCTGCATCGGTTTTGAATGGCAAATATGTCAGTGAGGAACGTCTTGCATTGATGTAGATCGCATTCGTCCAGGCCATCGATTACCCAGAAGACGCGGGAGAAGAGGGCAGCAACAGCTTCAAGAGTGGCGACGAGGTCTTCATTCATCGGGCGCTTCTGATGAGACTCCCAATTCTCATAGAGAACTGATACACAAGGTGGCAATGAATCGCACTTTGTAACAAGCTGCTTCACAAACGAAGAAAGCAGATCATTGTGCCGCTGCTCGTGGTGCCGTTTCCAATCGCAGTAGATGTACGCCACCACAACTGACGTGTCATCATGGAACAGCTGCTGGAGGTGCTCGATGATAGTTGAAGTTATAATTGTTTTCCCGGCGCCAGGAATACCTGTGCAAAACAGGGTTGCCTTCTTTTCCTGTAGCCAACTTTGGAACTCCGCTGAATCTAAAATCCATTGCCCAGTGTTTTCCTGACATTGATTGGCGAATGCAGCGTGGTTCAGGCTATAATCAACAGGTGTAATCCAGCTGATTACCTTTTGACGGTGTTGCTGTTCTTGGCTCTCTTCCCATTTTTGTATACCACTCTTGACATTGGCTAGAATAGCTTGGGACAGCGCAAAGTGGTCGTTTTCAATGGCTAGGACAATGAGGCTCTTCTGTCTTTGGATAGCCTTAAGCGCTTTATCAATGCTACTCTTCTGGAATGGAAATAATAGGCTGCTGACTGCTGCTTTCGAGCCCTTATCGTTTGAAGAGGGGCCTAGAATCTTTTGTAGTGTTTGAAGCGCTTCCTTGAGCTGCTGCAGAGGTCCATCGTCGCGGTTAAGGACACTCAAGCATGCTGACCATTCTTTGTGTCTATCTGAGTTAACCCCTTCGACTGTATCCTTGAGCTCCTCGAGAATTCCCCTCAGGGAGATGAGCTCCTGCCGCAACTGTCTGCGATCGCCAGATGCATGCTGGACGTTTCGAAGGTACCCTAGTATAGTTTTAGATAGGTCGAGGACTGTTACAACGCCGGATGTTGTCTCCAGAACGTCCACCATGACGATGCGCTGCAAATATGTTATGAAGAGAACTGTTTGTAGAGTTCAGAAGCATTGCGCTACTATCGAGGCGCTGTGGCATGTCAGCCGCAGTCCAAACGTATGAGGCGGGACACAGCCACAGTTGAGCTCGCGACAGCTTCACCAACGCTGGCACTTATTTCTTTGCCGGGAAGGCAATGGTAGTAACATAATGGGAGAGTTGACTGTTATACAGGCATCAAAACATCTCGCATAGTGGGAAATTTAAGACTTCTATGAACATTGTTGGCCTCTACTCTAGATTGACACACCTACTGCCAAACCATCTGTTGTTAGACTAACCATTGTGGCAGACTATAGGCCTACGATGCTACCTGGAGCCAAAATAAAATGCCACCTTTTGGCGCACCGTATTACCAGTGGCTCGCATGATGATAACTGAGGTTGAGGGAATTATTTCGGCATAGAATTTGACGTAAAAGTAGTGGCAAAGTTGGACATGGCTTCATAGTACAGCATGGCGCTCTAGCGGCTGTGGACTTGTAGAGTTACATCTAAGACTGGACAGGTGTCAACGCGCCGCGTTTTGTGCCAGAGAGTCGACGATCTGATCTATGAACGTCAAGGAAATTATTTCTTACAACGTATCTACGTTACTTGGTTTATATATGCGCCCCATCTATTCCCGTAGACAGCACTGGCTTCACCCATACCACCAAGGATGCGTGAAACGCTATTTATTTAAAGTGTACTGTCATGTCCCTCTGGTAGCTACTCAGCCATCTCAAATGTAATCCTATCCCAGATTAAACTCCGCGTGAATATGTGTATATAATAATAAAACCTGTCACTACAAACGTGCAGACTTATATAGATTCACACCATGTATGATTCGTAGATAACATACGTGATACCCATAGCCGTACAGCTATCACCAACATACAATAACGAAAAGAAACCACTTGGCGATGTGAGCGAGGGTACAAAATCGACTATTGTTCCGGTTAGCGAAATTTTACGAACCCGCATCAAGCGTGGACTGTCCGCCCGCCATGCGCAGTTCATCGCGTGGAGCGCATCCATCGGCACCGGCATCCTTATTACCATTGACAAAACTCTCGCTATCGGTGGTCCTGCATTTCTTGTAGGCAGCTACTGTCTCATGTCGCTACTCACATACTTTGTTTTGACGTCTATTACAGAAATGGCCGCATTTATGCCTGTCCGAGGCGCATCCATGAGCTACGAGGCGCAGCGCTTTGTCTCTCCGAGTCTAGGCTTCGCCATGGGCTGGTTATATGTTTACGCCTATGCTATTATCATCCCCTTTGAGCTGACTGCAGTGACTCTACAAATTCAGTTCTGGAATACTAGCGTCAACATGGGCGTATGGAATACTCTTGCGCTAGTTGTGGTTGTGGTGATCAACGTGCTCTCTGTCCGTGTGTATGGCGACTCTGAGACTGTCTTTGCCGGTATGAAGCAGTTGACCATCTTTGGCCTCCTTATCCTGTCTGTGGTACTCTTCTGGGGCGGCGGCCCTACCCACGACCGGATCGCGTTTCGATACTGGGAGACGCCTGGTGCAACCAAGACCATGTTGGCCGACGGTGACTCGGGCCGCTTCATAGCCGCGCTGTCGTCACTTATCGCAAGCGTGTTGCCTTTTACATTTACCGCCGAGATGATGGCAACAACAGCGGGTGAGGTTCAAACGCCCCGCAAGACGATTCCTAAAATGCAGTTGCATTTCGTACTTCGACTGTTTCTCTTTTTTATCGGATCAGCGTTGAGCACGTCGATTATTTGCCCTCATGATAATGAAAACCTTCTCGGTGGTGGTGTTGCTGCATCGCCGTGGATCATCGGCCTGAGGCTAGCTGGCACCAACACACTCGATGTTGTGCTGAGTGTTGCATTCATCTTAGCTACTATCTCCGCGGCCAATACTGTCGACTTCTTATCGAGCCGGTGCCTGCAGGCTTTGGCCATGGAAGGCAATGCACCAAGCATTTTTAAGCGATGCAATGCCCAAGGAACCCCCATCTATGCCGTCGCTGCCGTATCGATGGTTGGGCTGCTAGTATATCTTAATCTCAGCGCCGGAGGAGAAAACGTGTTTAACTGGCTGATCAATCTCGTCAATATGGGTGGCTTTCTTTCCTGGTGCGGTTCATCGATTGTATACCTACGTTTCGATAAAGCTTGCAACATACAAAGCGTCGTAACCACAAAACTAGCCAAGCGATCTTTTCTTCAGCCATATGCGTCATGGTTTGCTCTTGTTACATTTGCCCTGCTCGGTCTGCTAAACGGATTTACGGTCTTTTTCCCCTCGGAGGGGTCCGCTACCAACTTTTTGTCGGCCTATCTTGGCCTCCCAGTATTTTTGGCCTGCTATTTTATACATTAATTCAAAAATCGCGCCGATCCGTGGGCAATTCCACTGGAGTGCGTAGATCTATCGGCAGATCCAATGGAGATCGAAGAGGATGATATAAAAGACGAATAAAAACGCATGGTATTCCAACTCCACCGTAGCTTGTATATAATTTTACATATATATCATGAATATAAAGCGTATAATCAATCAAAAATTAGTAACGTTGCATAAATCCTGGACAACCGCACGTATAAAATAAACACATCACTCTACAAGCTCTACTTTTAAGTCACAAGATTGATCATAAAGGTCGGATTGTAATTCAAGAGGATTTTAAGCCATCCAGCCAGGTGAGCGGTTCTTCACGTTGACACACCACTTGCTGTGCCCGACTGTTTTCTATTTCCTATGTCCGGCTCCTAAGCGAGCGAACCTTGATGTGCTTGAGCATGCACGGAACAAGTCCGCTGAGTTCTCTGTCGCTAAGGTCTACCATGCAGCGGCGATATGACAATGCACCTCGGTAATAACAAACCAAAAAGTACTTACCTGATTAGGTAGGTGGCTATAGATGTCGACTTTTCGTGGCGTGTGACGTTTGCCTGCTTTGTAGCCTTGTTCTGTTACATCGTGTGCCGCTGTTTCCACATCCCCCACTCACTCGGCCACATGTCGCTATCTGCTATTCTGCACAAGGTCGTAAGTTCTCGCCAAATTCAGTAAAGAACTTTTGCTATTGGGCATGAGGTCCATCCAAGTATGACTAAATAATTGCATTCGTATATCGTCGGAGAGTGCTCGGCAGTTAGGATCAACGGCGGGCGTCGTCAGCCAGCTCAACGCCCATTGATCAACATGTATTTAAGAGGGCACATCTGCTCGCTTTCCATCTGGTGATCAATTGGTGATAAGAAACTTTCTACTTCCCATAGAAATTCATCTAGTTTGCTTACTATGCATTGGGCAGTCCTTGCAGCCTTTGTGGGCGCAACCCACGCTTACCAAAGACCATACAACCCTATTCACGATGTCCTGCGCCCTAGGGAGCCTGGTTCCACGGCGCCTGGTCTCGGCAAGCTTGAATACTTTGATCAGCTCATCGACCACGCCAACCCGTCTCTGGGAACCTTTAAACAGCGCTACTGGTGGAACAGTGACCACTACGCCGGCCCGCACTCCCCCATTGTGCTCGAATCACCCAGCGAATCCGCTATTGGTGTTGACGGCGATCTAGACGGCTTAAACAACCGTACATTGCCTGGCCTTCTGGCTCAGGATAACCAGGGCGCGCAAATCACCATTGAACATCGCTACTTCGGCCCCAGCTCGCCCTACCAGAACCTTGACACCGAGACATTTCAGTATTTGACTCTGGACAACTCCATTCAGGACCTCATCTACTTTGCCAAGAACGTCGTTCTTCCATTCGATAAGACTAATGGCACTGCAACCAAGCCGGACCAGGCACCATGGTTGTTGGCAGGATGCTCATACTCTGGAGCCCTCGCTGCATGGACAGAGGCCCTAGCACCAGGCACGTTTTGGGCATATGAGGCAGGCAGTGCCGTCGTCGAGACACAGGAGCAGTTCTGGGACTACTTTGCGCCTATCAAGAACGCCATGCCCCAAAACTGCACTACTGATTTCCAGCGTGTCGTCAAGCACGTTGATGACGTCCTGCTGCACGGCTCTGACAGCGATAAAAAGGCGCTCAAGCAAAAGTTTGGCGCAAGCCAAGCAAGTGACAAGGACTTTGGTAGCTTCATCTCGAACTGGCTCACGGTTCAGCAAGGCCAACAGGTCTCTGACAAGACCAGCACTCTACACTATCTTTGCGATTTTGTCGAGGTATGTATACTCATCACTATTACTAAAGCTGACATTCACTGACTTGATCGGAATTTCTTGTTAAATAGAACCAACGCCCAAAGCAGCTTGTACCTCTTCCCGGTCCTGATGGCGTGGGTCTCGACCGAGCACTTGATGGTCTTGCTAGAATCTACACTCAAAACAAAGATGAACTGAAGAGCCTGTTGAACGTTGGCAATGATATTAATGTCGACTTCAAATCCTTGGCTTTCCAAAACACCCGCGACGCTGAATCAGTCGATCCTTGGTTCTGGTTCCTCTGCAATGAGCCGTAAGCTACATTTCTTTCCGTTTCTCTATTAACAACCGCTTTACTAACTACATGTAGTTTTGAGTGGTGGCAAGCTTGGAGTCGATTCGATACTACCGGCTTCCTGTCTAGCCTTTGGTCCTGGAAGGACGATATCCAAGAGATTTGCGTCAACAGCTTCCCCGACAAGAACGGACACCAGTATGGTCTCAAGGCTGGACGTACTTACCATACCGTAAACAAGCACACCGGCGGCTGGCGCCACGTCAACACGACTCGTCTGGTCTGGATCAATGGTGAGTTTGACCCTTGGAGAGGCGCTACTGTGTCTTGGGAAGGCCGCCCCGGAGGCGCTCTGCAAAGCACAGATGAGGTTCCTGTCTACGTCATCAAGAATGCCGGACATTGCAACGACTACTTTTCGGCCAATGGTGCTACTCCGGAAGGCAAGGCCGCTTTTGATGGCACCTTGGGATACTTCCGCAAGTGGGTGGCCGAGTTTTACAAGGAGCACCCCCATGCGGCCCAGTAAATACACAGCCTTTGGCTGCAGTTTTATCAAATGTGAACAGACTTGTACATAGTTGGCTTTATATATTCAATTTCTCAAATAAACATGTCGGTAGCACAACCAATTCTTCTCTAATGTAAACCTCCGTCCCCATCCTCTCGACATGTTGCCAATTTACGTTGCGCGCTACACTGGAATCATGGCTACCTTGACTCCAGTGTCGATGGACAGCGTGAGTCCAATCTTCTCCGTCCAGGGTAACTCATCTCGATTTTCAACTTTGCCAAACTCCTGGACCATTCTCACAATAGTGTAACTAGCTTCAACGAGGGCAAACTGCTGCCCTACGCAAATACGAGGTCCCCCGTTGAATGGAAGATATGCCCAACCAGGTTTCAGTCCTTCCTCAGCATTCCACCGCTCTGGTCGGAACTCAGTTGCGTCAGGACCGTAAATATCCGGGCGAATATGCATCGCAGATACACTATAGTTGACAATTCCACCTTTGGGGATATATATAGGTGAGAGCCCATCGGGTCCGCCGCCATGAGGCAGAGTAGTGTCCTTGTTGGCGAACCGGGCATTACCAGGAACGACGGGATAAAGGCGGAGAGACTCTCGCAGAAGGTTCTTCAAATATCCCATGGATTTGATATCTTCGTAGGTAGGAATCTTCCCATCCAAGTCGCTCACCTCTGTGACAAGTTTCTTGTACAAGTCCGGCCGACGAGACAAGACATGAAATGTATGACTTAGAAGACTGGCGGTCGTGTCTCTCCCGGCCACAAGGATATTGAGTAGTTCATCTCTAAGCTGCTTTTTGTCCTGTGTGAGCCTGATCAGCTCCTCAAGAAAGATATACCTCTCTTGTGTGTCAAATGTCGCCGTCTTTTCCAGATCTGCCGGTGTCTTCTTGGCCAGCTCGTTGTCAATGATGCGATCGACAAATTCATGGACAAATTTACAAGCTTTGGTAAACTCCGAGTCAACAAACAAGGACGTGAGTTTGTCAATCCAACCTTGGCGGCCCAAATTTGCCTGGGCATAGTCAAACGCGGCTCCAAACCGATGCTGAGGAGACCCTTCTGTGCTCCCAAGAGAGTTGACAGACTCGCCAAATAAAAACTCGGTGGCCGCGTCGAGCGTGAACTGAAAGAAGAGTGGCTGAAGATCAATGGTGGAGCCATCGCGCGGGATTTTGGAGATGAGATGCTTCACATGGGTCTCAAAGATTTCGAGATCTGCTACTTGGCTGCGAGTGAAGCTTGGTCGGATAAGCGCCTAATGAGGGTTAGTTACTGTGTATGTGGACACCATCAAGTAAATAGACAAAGGTTACGTACCCGTGAATGTTTCCACTCGGCGCCGTCTGTAGAGAAAATGCCCTTTCCAAGCAGAGGGCCGAACGTGCGCAGTCTCTGGCCGATACCAAAATCGCTAAAGTTTGTCGCAAGAACCGCCTTGATATTTTCAGGGTCCATGGTGCTGTGCACTTTGACTCCCATCATCACGGTGGAGAATGTTGGACCATTGTCGGCAAACCGTTTTCTTCCCGCCGCAATGCGAGTCTTCTCGCGTACTGTTTTATGGAAAGTGAAGTAGAAACCAAGGCCCAGGATGCGCTCTGATTGAGGGAGCTTGTGTTCGGGTTGGCAGCCGTGCGCCCGTTTAAAGCGATACGCTACGACAGAAGAACATATAGCTTTGGCGACATAATAGCTGACCAGCAGAATCGCTACAACTGCAAGGTAGGAAATCATATTGACAAAGCCTTCCAAGTTGGCTAGAGTGAATAACAAAACAAAATTGTATGAAGCGACGATGCGGAAGGCTGCCACGCGTCTGGTATTTTCTCGTATTTGAGGCTCAGTCCATGCCAGCTTACCAGGCTGCGCGACGTGTACTTATACGCAAATCACATATACAATGACGTGGACTGGCTGGTTGACTCTGCGCCACGATTTTCGGTGGCTACGGGCGGCACAGAGCAGCGGAGCGGCCTTGATTAAACCCGTCCCGGTGTTGCGGAAAACCAACCAGTAAGTTGGATCGATAAAATCTTTAGTGTAGTGTATTTGATAGTATTTGACATTTCATAACCTCTATGGTCGTGGCTGCTCTGGTAGCAGCTCAGTAACAACGCCTTGCAGCCAACGCTCTCCAGGCTGCAGTGATTCGCTATTCTGGGCCGGATTTCGTCCGATGTTTCGCTATACAAGTGAAAGCTCGGGGAATTAACTGGTCGCCTGCTTACAAATATGTCTTATCGTTGGGAGTGGCAGGATACTCGTCCTGGCCGTAGGTTGCGTTTAGCGAAATAGCACCAACAACCTTACCAGACTCAAGCCGGATATGCGACTCTACAACAAGGTCCTTGAGCTTCTCGCGAGACACAATCAACTCCCGGGAGCCTCGCACCCAGTCGCCGTACCCACCATACCCGCTGTGCTGGCCAAAGCAAAGATTGACGCCGTTACCCTGCACCGTCATGTCAGGCAGCTTGCCGTCCCATTTGTAGCACCATGAGTTTGCGTGATCGTGGCCGGAGAACAAGCCCATGATACCCGGCGTCTTCGCAATGGCCTGCATAAAAGGGACATCCTGCATGCCGTACTTGCAGTTGGTTTCCCAGGTGCGCGTTCCATCGATACACCAACCCTGTGCCTGCGGGCTGACGGTCTCGTCGTTGATTCCGGGCTGTCTGTTGGGGTGGATACCGCCTTCTTGTTGCTTGACCATGGCGTACAGAGGAATGTGTACAAAGCCTAGTGAGGGGATTACCGTCTTGTACTTTTTGCGCAGCTTCTCATTGGTCTTTTCAAACCACTCCACGACACTGTCATCGACCCAGTTGGGGTGGTGTACTGCGCGTCCTTTGCTGTCGCGCTTCTGGAAATAGTAGCCGCCACGGCTGTCAAAGAACCAAAGCAGTAGGAGAGGCTTGCACTTGCAAACATTGGTGCACTCGGCCGGATACACCGGGAGGTAGTAGTTAGTCGTGCCAGCATTCTCACCATGCACCATCTTGGTTGTGCGAGCACCAGGCCACGTCTGCTCGCGGTCCAACAGTAAATCGCCACTGAGGTTAGGCTGGTGGTCGTGGTTGCCGTAGGACGAGCCCCAGGTGATGCCACGGTCAACAAAGGGCTTAACTACCCTATCAACCCATTCCGTGCTATTGTGTAGCTTTGTGTCATCGCCGTTGATAAGGTCGCCGTTGAGGACCGCAAAATCTGGCTTCTCAATATCGAGCACAGTCTCCATTACCTTGGCGGTTTTTGCATCCTGCTTGGGGCCTCGGGCACTGTTTGCATCTGTCCAGGGTTGAGTAATTTGCCTTGGTCATAGACGTTGAATGATTTCTGTTTACTTACACATGGCAACATGAGTGTCAGAAAATACGGATATATGGAACGTGCCATCTGGTTTGAACTGTAACGGCTTGAGATCCTTTATTTTACTCTCGGGTAGTGCTAGCTGGGTCGATAGACCAGCAGCAAGGGAGATGGCCAAGGGAGTGAAACGCATGTTGGCTCAATCGATTGGGATGAATATGCACAATCTAGCTAAACTATGCCAATTGATTTGTAGAGATGAAGGGCCGAGTACCGGCTTTATAGAGTTCATCCAGTGTGCCACCATCCATGCTTGAGCCTCTGGCTCTTGGCCTGGGAAACTCGATAGTCTTGGCTAGAAGTGGCGGCGAACGAAAACGTTTTAAATGTACGTCCAATCCGGGGCACTTTCTTCGCAACGTGGGACAAATTTATCTCCCGGTTATTAATTAAGCCTTTCTAAGCGGGCTTGGCTCCTCGTCTTGGCGCAATCTGGGCTGGGCTTGGGCTTCGAGCTCGCCACCTATCCACCAAACGAATACACTGACGAACACTTAGAAATAGATTGAAAAGATTGAAAAGAGTGATTTTCAAAGCGTCACGTAATTCTTTCCAACTATGTCCACGTGTGATGTCCCCTACTGTAAGTCTTAGTTGTTGAGAACCTGGTGGCGGAGGCTCCATAGCTCAGCTGTGTGTAATTACGGATGCCTATATTTTGTATGAATTATTGAAAACAAATTGTTATTATGATTTCTAGTTACTATATTAAATCAATACAGCTCGCAATGGTATCATTTCTCATTGTTCCTTGGCATAGTTTACCACTGAAGAGGGTAGTCCTCCGGAGCAAGACCAAAGTATCCCTCTGCTGGTAAGGGGCTCAGAGCAGCTTTGTTGTTATAGAGTTTCCAATCAACACCTGCCGCAGATACGGTATTTCCCCACCAGTTAAATTCAACCCCCTTGCCCGCTCCGAAGCTGAACACCAAGGTGACAATCAGTCCGGAGATGGCAACGCCAACGCTTAGACCGGCGAAGATCAGGTAGGCATACTTGCCCCACCAAGCAGTGTATCGGCGCTTGAGATAGAACTGGAATAACCAAGCGAGGTAGATACCAAGTGTTGCGTAGGTGAGGTTGTTGTTTCCTGCCCATTGAATGGCGCCAGACAGGGCAATGGCTGGATGCAATGTACTGAAAACAGCCTCGAGAGGCTTCCAGAGATAGCGATCAAAGCTGGCAAATGCAGTGGGCTGACTGCGCTTTTGGATATACAGACGGAGGCGCGGAAGAACAGATTCGCTAACAACCCAAGCGAGTCCAAGCACAGCGCCAATGAGGAAACACCAAGGAAGAACAGGGTACAGCTTGAACATGTTGTTGGTTCCAAAGGCGCCGAAGAAGATGACGGAGGAGTAAATGTTGTTGGCATATGCGCATACCATGTGCTCCTTGTTATCCCAGCGGCAGAGGGTATCATCTGCGTTGAAGTAGACGACCATGACTTCAATAATGGCACAGTATATGATGCAGTTGATAATGCATGCAAGTACATGGCCACGGAAGACAGCACGAGGGGGAAGCTTAGCGTAGTGGGCGTACTTGAGGTCAGCAGTGAAGCCACCTGCCATTTGCTCAAAAGCACCGCCAAGCATGAGAATCACAAGCTGAGGCAGTGGTTGACCAGGCCACCAAAGGCCAGGGAGGAGCTGCCAGATGACGTTGGTGGATATACCCGTGTTTGCAATCGATTCCACAATAACCCAGGGAATCGTGAGAAGGGCTCCAATACCCGTGACGGCCAAGATGGAATACCAGGGTGTTTGTGTTGGCCAGGCGGTCACTGAAACCATCGATACGACGAATCCAAAAGAAAACAGGATAGCGTACTATTCGCGTAATACATGTTAGCGGCGAGTCATTGCGTTTATTATGTGTAATTGGTCTTTCACTTACCCACCACTCTGGCACCTCCTTGTATCGTCGCATGAGACGTGTAGTGCCGTCTTCGAAGCCGGTGTAGATGGATCGTCTCTTGAGGGTGTTGACTACCATGCCGACAAATGCCTTTTTGAGGGCGGCCCGGTACTTGATGAAGATGTATACCACGGAGAAGGCGTAGTACACGAAGTTGGCGCCAGTAACAAACAGGTTCGCAATCGCGTAATAGGGTGGTCCATACTCCTTGTACTTGGGGATGTCGACGACATTATCCTTGGTCAAGACGAGACTGACATTGTACTCCTTGCCATGATTGTTGAAAGCGGAGTTGGAGTTGATGGGCAAGAAGGCTGACCACATCGCATTCGAATAGTACATGATGAGAATAACAATGCCGGCAACGACACGCATGACATACTGTTGGAGTTGACTGTGCATCGTCAAAGTTAGCAACGGGACTAACCATCACATGGCCATTTATTCAAGGGTTGACTTACGCAAAGAAAGGAGCCTTCATGATGTCACCTCCAGAAACATTGGGGTCAAAGGTGGAAATCGGGTTGAAGCCCATGCCACCATACGAGCCCGTGACAGTGGCCAGGTTGAAGTTGTTGGGCGAAATCCAAGTCATCCAATTGAAAAGACGCAAGGCCGCGAAGAACTGGTTAGGAATCCAGTAGTATATCAGAAAGACAATGCTAGCAATAACGAAACAAGCGTAACGGGTCATCTTCCATCCATTGACGTTCTCACGCTTGTTGTCGCTGTGGATGAGGGTTCTGTTGAGAGCCAATAATGGCAGATTGCCAGGCCAGACAGCTTCGATCGGATACACGGTCAGTCTGCGTAGGATGCCAGCCATACCGAGGCCGTAAATCTGGTTAGCCCAAGCCAGCATGATGGCAAAGCCGTACGTGGCCCAGCGCTGGTTGAAAAAGATGGGCAGGCGCATCACCAGCAGGCCAGTGAAGTTACCGATTGTCGTAGCACCAGAGAAAATGATTGTCGCAAACAGTTGCTCTTTGGATGTCCAAGGCCCAGGGTTTATGGTATATCGTGTACCTCGGATAGAAAAGCCCCAATCTGGCAGCGCCCACGCCATGAAGTTGCCCATTGGCACAAGCAGCAGTTGTACACTTAGAGGCGTATGATATTAACCAATTTTTGTAATGAACGTGAGATTTAGGGTGAGACTTACACCGGGTTTGGGATGGAAATTCCTGGCTGGCGGGGATTGAAGACTAATATTTGGTTAGTTCCTTTAGCTCCTGCTGTCCACAGAATTTGGCAAAAATGAGTTCTAACTCACATGTGTTCACAGCTGTAACGACACAGACCCAAAAGAAGCCCAGTAAATATGCGCGGAAACTCTCGCAAGCTTCGTCCACATCGTCATATGGGAGCGTCACGGCGCGGACCTCAGCGTAAGGGGACCAGTTGTGGACGGTTCCAGCGGCCTTACACACCGTGTAAGCCCACTCACCCTGCTCCATGTTGCAATGCTCATGTCCCTGTACAAGCTCATCGAATCTTTGTAGCAACTTTTGGTCAATTGTATAGTCATTGCGCTGGCTTTGTCGCAGCGCCAGAAGAGTCTTGACCGAGTCCTCCTCATTGAGCGTGAGGATGGCTTGGGCAACACGCATAGGTTCAGACCCAGGAGGAAGGGCCTCACCTTCGTGCTTGTCCGTGTACTCGGCGACCAAGCGATCAAGCCACTCGGGCGGTGGCGCCCAGCCGGGAGACACATGCTCTGTCTTTTCGACAGAGACGCCGCCCTTGGCCGTCGTAGGGCTTGGTGTTTCTTCCGCACTGGCGGAGTCTGGGCTGGCCGGTGTGCCCATGGCTGGATTGAAATCTTCAGTAGCAGACTTGAAAATTTTGGATCATGAGGGGGTCACGTAGATCGATTACTTTTTTGAGGGGTAGAATGCGGGGGAAGGCTCTGTATTTACACGACCCGAGCTGCAGCGTAAGGCCTGATATCGGTCTCTTTCTGTCTTTTACCCTACGCGGGGGCCCAATTCTGTAACGTAGCAGCATTACCTAACTAAGCATTGCTTAATTGAACGAGCTAGCTAGAGTATGAGGTCTCGGGGAACATAGGGAATCGAAGTAAGTCACACGTAGGCAAGGCGCGCGACGCCACAATACAAAAGTTCCGCTAAAAAACTATGTGGAGAGCAAACAAAGCAGTGAACTGCACACACGCTTATTGATATGTCGCGTCGGCGATTGGCAGTTTTGATGCAAACCCTAAGGTATAATCTTGTTATCTTATTACTTTATTAGAAAATTCTGTGGTTGGCTGTGCTAAACATGTCTTTTAACCGTGTTACAAGTGTGTTGATGGATGCAATTGTATTCTCCAACTGGACGTGGTCTGATTCTTCGTCGAAGCGAATAGCGTGGTGTCGGAGAGCGACCTGCCGAATTCGGCTGGGATAGTGCTAGGCGAGCCTTGCAAATGAAAACGCCACGAAACAAAAAAAGAGCTCTCTGAGCTTGTGTTCTTCTTTCCAGCAAACAGTTGCCTGGGCAAGCTGGTATGAATCGTTTCTCGCGTGTTATCCCATGAGATAATCTCCAAAGTTTATAGCGGTGATAAAGACTACAAAGTCAAGATGAAACAGGGATAAGTAACAAGTACAACTCTGTTTTTTCTATTCATAAGATCCAGTTCGCCAAACGGTGCTTTGGGGGACCCCAGATGTGAAATATCGGCGCGTGACCAGCGCCACCAGCTAAGGTGGCCTGCAGTTTCCCCTCATCCCTTCACCACTACACCCGCTAAGCTGCTCGTTGCTAGCCCGCCGTGAATTTTCTCCCGAAACCGACCGAAAGCCATGGTACGGCTTGGCTAGTTATTCCCAGTGTCTTTTCTTCTCCCCACGGTGGCTGACCGCCACGCCCGTCGGAGGTTTCTCAATGGGAACAAGAAAAGCAAGCCTCGGCGGTACAGCCACCTTTGATGGGGAGCATCCGTCGGCTAGAGTGAGAGAACGGCTATGTAAGGAGATATAAGACCCCGGAGACAATTGGAGCTTCAATATTGGGCTGCCAAGAGCGCATGGGGGCACGACATATCAGCTGTGCAGCGTCTGCTAAATTATGCGGGAGCCGCATACAACATGTGCCCGCATAAAACGAAGGGGTTGATCCCTAGCGAGCATCGCATGATTTCGGCTGGGGAGTCGAGAGGGACTGTGTTGATGGCAGTAGCCGCGCATATTAGAAGAATATCATCCATCAAACGAATTTCCCAAAGCGCGTACTTTTAAGTATCTTTTTTGTCGATTGTTATTTACTAGGAAATAGTTTATACTTATTGCTCAACATGTCGTGCTGTTCTTGTTTCGCTGCCCCATTCACTACACACAAACGAAGCGCTAATCCAGAGAGCACAGTACTTTGAAGGTCATCGCCGACCGGTTAATGATTGTTCTTTGAAAACTTCTGATGAAATTCAAAAGTTGTAGCTCATCAATTCGTAGCAATATCAGCTGAATGTCCAGACAGGCTATTCGGGCGGGCGTTGATTCGGAGTTTCGGTCGCGTATTCAGTCGGGTAATCGATCGGGTATTCAATGCGCGCTCTTACAATCTCTCGTATACCACCAACTCTATCCGCGATCGGCTCTTTGTGAGGACACAGATGGTCGAGGAGATGGGTTTTTACTGCCGTTAAAACGCACCTCAGGGCTATAAAAGGCGGAGGGGCCGTCACCATCCTGAGTGAAGAATCAAGAGCTCATTAAGCAATACTGCAACATGTTGACCACCGACCAAGTCCAATCTTTCCACGACAACGGCTTTCTGCACATCAAGGGGCTGCTCTCCAAAGAAGAAGCATCTAAGTATCGACAAGGGATACATTCACTCTTCGACAGAATTGACAGCAAATCCTATGATGCAACTTGGGGCAGTGCCGGAGAACGAGGCGCGACTCAGCTTCAACATTGCCACGATGTACAGTTCTACGATGCCGTGTTTGGTGCGTTGATCATGGATGAGCGCTTGACCGGCGCAGCATCTGATCTTATCGGATCTCCCAACGTGCAGCTGCACCATACCAAGGCATTTGTCAAGCCACCGGAAAAAGGTTCCCCATTCCCTTTACACCAAGATGCGCCATTCTTCCCTCACGAACGCGAGTCCATGATTGCTGCCATTATTCACTTCGACGACGCATATGAGAAGAAAGGTTGCGTCCGTGTCATTCCTGGCACCCACAAGCAGGGTATTCTACCACACATTAGCGAAGGCAACTTTCACCTGGATAAGCGAGTATACCCAATCGAGAATGCTATTCCTGTCCCCGCTGAAGCTGGCGATGTCCTGTTCTTATCATACTTGGTTATTCATGGCTCCGGAGTCAATGAGAGCAATGAACCCCGGACGACACTGCTAATTCAGATGAGAGATCCAGAGGACCTGCCTACTGTAGAAACTCATCTTTCCAAGGGTCAAGGCACGATGCTGAGAGGTATCGATCCTTACGCTGGCAAACCCAAGACGAAACCTGCGGCGCCGTCGAACTCTATGGGTGGCTCAATGGGAGGTATGATGGGAGGTTCAATGGGGAATTAATTCTAACAAATCTATGAAATAAATATATTTAATTAGTCGCATAAATATGTATGGCATTTTTCTATGATTATCAGGCCACAGACTTGATCCGCATTCACCGTCCTGTTATACCCACTCCTAAATCTACATATTCCAGCGTGGCGCGCACTTGTAGCTGGTAAACCCCGCCTGCCACTTCTCTCTTACACACACCATAAAGTCGATTTTTTCTTTATTTTATTTTTCGATTGTGATCCCCTACAATTTGGATATAATGTCCGCCCACTCAGAGGAGCTTGCAAAGAGAAGCAAGATTGCGTGCGACGAGTGCCACTCTCGGAGGGTTAAATGCAACGGGCAGGCCGTTTGTATAGGATGCTCTGAAACCGGTATAGATTGCACCTATACGCGGCCACAGCAAAGGCGCGGCGGTGCTTCAATTAAACAAAAGAATAATTTCATCCACCGAAGACGAAAGAAGGCCTCAGAACGGAATGCAAAGCTTGCTGTTTGCTCTGCTGATGTATCTCTGTCACCAACAATAGAACAATCAGGCACATTGCGCTGTCACAACCAACCATCAACCCAACCATCTACTCGTATATCTAACTCGGGTTCTCTGGATTTATTAAGCTGCAGATACCCAATACTTTCACCAATACTGCCGTCGCTACGTGGCATATTGTCAGCCTCGGCTGCGTGTGACATACTCGATACATACTTTCGTATGTCCGCTTGGGGAAACAGTTACCTAGTGAGAAAGGCATCCTGCTTGTCGACAGACACAACTAAGCATAGAAATACTAAGCCAACTTTGATCTATGCCATGTTGTGCTTTGCTTCCCAATATCATGCCCAAGACCGCCTGGAAGCTCTCGACGTTGGTCGTGGAAACGTAACCGATCGGCTGTTCGGGTTGGCTTCCACATCTGTGGTCTCTTTTCACGATCTTGAGCAAGAGGCCACAATTGATGACGTTATAAGTCACATACAACTGGCATCCATTCTTAGCTCAAGCAAATACCAGAAAAAGTCCATCGAATGGTGGAGCGCAACTTACCAATTGGCAAGACAGCTACGGCTAAACGAAGAAATCCCCATCCATGACAGTTCAATATCTGCCGAAGCGCGGGAGGAACGGCGACGTACTTGGTGGCTTTTATACTGCGTGGATCGGCATCAAGCACTCTCTGTGAGGAAGTCGCTCGTTTTTAGGGACGCTGAGAGACACAATCTCTGGCAACCCTGTGATGACTACATTTGGAACAGTAGCGGTGACTTTGAGCAACCCGATTCACATGCAGCAGGCGTAGTCTACGAAGTTACAGACTGTAGTTTCTTTGGCTTTTTTATACCACTCATGAGCATCTTGGGAGAAATTATTGAGCTATACAACTTTCAGGAGCTGGGCCGAGATGCCCATGTTGAATATCAAAGGAAATTGATCGAGGGGTCCATGAATTCCTACGATGAGTCTCTGAGCAAATATCCGTACACCTCCCATGCAGCCCGGCTATACGGATGCTACGCGAGGCACACTTTAAGCACACTCTACATCATATCGGCCGGGAAATGGGACCCTTGTGATGCGCTCGACGCCGTACAAGAGAGTGGGCTGTCAGAACAGCTGATTTATTCAGCTGCCATGGCTACAATCGCTGCAAGCAACATCAAGAGTATTCAACAGATCGACGGCGACTTCCAGTTTATTCCGCTATTCTTTGGTACCTTTGTCCTCCACTGTTCCTTTCCATTGCTATTGTTGGTTAAGACATTTGGTACACAATCTGACGACAACATCATTGGCGCGTGTGAGACTATCATTGAAGCTTCAAAGACCTTCTCGCGCTACGGCGAGCAACTCACCCAGCGTTCCGAGCATCCAAATCGTTACCTGTCTAACTTTATATCGATTATCGATGGTATTAAAGCAGCCAAGATAACATCCCTAACAACTCCGGAGGTCTCAGTCCAGATGATGCAAGACATCAATACCAAAACGGAAGAAATCTTGCGCCTATATCGGTGGAATAAAACGGGTCATGGAGTAAATACATAAGATTACCTACTATCACTTCATTGGAAGCTCGATACCCAGATCATACTTTTTTTTCATCTGCCAATTGCGACGACAACGAATTCAAGACCACGGTCGTTCCATAGTCGACTGGCGGATCCCACACCTTTGACATAGTGGCGCCTACATCAAGGCAAACAAGCTTTTGAGCTCGGGCAATAAATGTAATTTCTCCTCATTCTAGTCTTGACAAACCTGCTCGTTGAAGAATTGGTCACTCATAGTGGCATGGGTACTCGCAAGCAGTTAGAAACTGCACGAGTAAGCGGGATAAACCCACCTGACTGTGGAAGCAACACGTATAAGACAAGGCAATCCACCAAATATATTGCATTATAATTTTCCTTTACCTAATTGGCAATGAAATTTATCGCTGTTTTATTCTCAGCAGCAGCAGCTACTGCTGCTGCCCTTCCCAACCTCAGCAACATGCATTCGCGAAATGCGATGGAGCAGTAGGAAGGTCCTCCATCACTCGCTGCGCCGCAGAAGCTCCGCGTATCAAACGATGCCCGCGACTGCAGCAGTGTCACTGTTGGCTGGGACAATCCTAAGGTCATTGCCAATTACGTCCGCAGCCAGTTCCGCGTGGGATCTGGGAATCCTTACAGGTAGACCCAGATGACCATTGATAACGACTTTCGCGCATTTACTTGGGACATCCAGGGAGGTGTCGACTATACCTTCAAGGTGCAAGGCGGATGGCTTGGCCCTACCTGGTCAGAATGGTCTGAGATTCGTTGGAGATGTAACCCGCCTTGGATTATTACCATACCTCCACTACAATGCCCTCCTCCTACGCATTAAATCGAATGGGCCCGGATTTGGGCATGATCAGTGAGCGAAGGCAGAACGTCAATGGTGGTATCATATGCGACACTTCTTGGGGACTTTTGCTGCTCTCCATTACCCCTTCTTTTTTGGGACTTGTGGTGGTGGTTGTGGTGGCGTTTAGAGCGAAATACATTATTAGTAAAGCGTAATTGTATTTTTTATATGGAAATATATGATTGTAAGGGGTTTCTAATATGTCTACGTATTTTCGTGTCCTTGTGCGGTTCCCGGTGCAACGCCTCCAACGTGAGTAAGAATATCGGTACTCCTGATCATATCAAGCCATGTGATAGATCCTTGTCTCACAAATTGGTGGCTGAGATTAACTGCTGTGGATCTGAGTCTAGTACACTGGAAGATCCAGCCTTGTACTAGTGGCGGAGCACACAACCCACCATAGATGGAAAGATTGAATAGCCCGCGCCGACCCCATCGGACATATCCCACCAAGCCCTATGCGAGCCGAATTAGGTTCGGGCTATTCAGCTTTGGAAGTGGGTTGCGCGTAAGCTGGTCATCATTTAAGGTCTTTATTGCTTTTCGGTGCAGCCTGATACACTCTAGCGGCGGCTGGCTTATTTTTCAGCGCCGATGGGTCTTCGGGATGTAGCTGGCGCTTACAAGCCATCGCAACTTGGACCAATCCAGAGCGAGGATGTTGGACATTTTTGGTAGATTTATACTTTCACTCCGCAGATCGTTGCGCCATGGGTCATCTCGGGGTCACCCACATCGATGCGAATGATACTCTGTATCCTTGAACCCGGTCGCTATTGGCTGGTGCTGAACTACCGAACGGTCTCTCTACATTTTATACATTGCTGCGGCTGTGTAGCTCAACACTATACAAGGCTACAAGTATTGCTTCTAAAAAATCAACTCAATGTTCTAGACCGGCCGAAAGCCTTTAGCTATTCGCCGGTGGAGGCAATCGGCCTGTTGACATCCACTTGTTTGTACCATAGCGAGTAGCAGACCCCAAGACTTCACGCTTAGAACTATATAAACCCTCCTCTCCCCTCGATCTATACAAAACATTCCTAAAAGCAAACTCAGCAACATCAAGATATTCACACAATACTTAACAGTTTATAATTTCCATTTCAATCACTATGAAGTTCCTCGCAACCGTCTTACTCAGCGTGGCCTCCATCGCCCTGGCCTCGCCAGTGGAAAACCAATCCCTTGACCAGCGCGCTGTACGTATTTACATTCACAAAGAAGCATAGAATAATAAAAAGGCTAACATGATAAATAATTTGCAGGGAGTGAGTGTTTATTTCAGAGCTGATTAGATACAAAGATAAGCTAACACAAAACACAGCCTCAGTTGCGCAACTCTCACATTAGCTTCCACACCAACAACGAGGACAAAGACAGCGACACCCATGTCACAGTCACCCTCACTGATGGTAACGGCGTGGTTGCAGCCCGCATTAGCAACGACTTCGGTCATTTTGATGACAACAGTGATGAAGGACCTTATGCTCTGCAGATCTTCAACGCCAGCCAGAAGGATATTCTCCAGAATGGTACTCTGGCCATCCGTATCGACCCTAACGGCCACGATACCTGGCGATTTAACTTCCTTCTCGACATGAGCTTTAGCGATGGTAGCAAGCTCACCGGTGGTGCTAACGGTCTCGAGCTGACCCAGAACAGACGCACTCAGACCTTCGGTGTTGATGGCATTGTCCGATAAGCATCTCACAGAATTGGGGGCTATCTCTGAATTGCTAACGGCATCCAACAACCACCTGTGATAATGATGCGTACGAGGACATCGGGCCATTATACAAAGATATAATCGAGTGTGCAAATCAATTGGACTAGCCTTGGCTACAGTAGTTCTAATACTTGACCAACAAATGTAACAATTTCCGATTACCATACCTTTCCCGTGGTGATACGCTTAGAAACTCTTTCTTGTCACATTAATCCGTATATTACCTCCCTGCTGCCAGTTCCAAACCCCTGCCAGCCCATGTAGCAAAGACTATCACCTCCTATCTCTAAATTTCCACTAGATGTGAATCCCTCTGGTGGTGTTGTTGACTGATACTCTTATGAGGGCAGTTGATGGGCCTGGTGCCAGATTATCCCCAGTGACGTGATTTGGAATAACGGTGGCATAGCCGCTGTTTCATGTGCAAAGGATGCCATGGAGCTCTTCGTCACGCACGAGGATGGCAGTATTCACAATCGCTATTTTAACGAAGAGTCTGGCTGGAAAGATCAGCGAGTTGCGGGCCCGTGTATTCGACCTAGGGTCGGTAAAGGTACAACCTTCTTCCTTTCAAGCGTTTCGCAAAGGGTGATACTAACCAGATTTCAGGATGCTGATAGGTTAGATTTCTCGCCTTTCCACGTATCTACGGGCGCTTCTAGATTTCATTTTCTGCATTCTGGTTGCGACTCCGTTACTATTGACTGGCTCAGCCCAGCAGCTGGCATGATAGATGGTTTACTGACACGCGATATAGTTGCCCATTGCCACTCAGGATCGACATGCAGCAAGTAACGTTACAGATATCAATATATATTCTATGCCACGAGTTATTCTAATCTCTCTATTTTCTCAAAAGTCTCATGTACAGCATCTCTGTCGTGATTATGTGTATTGAAATAGTGATCTATGACCTGTGTTGTGCGAAAGGGTTGTGCAATACTTTATATTACTGGTCAAAAGATAACAGGTTAAACGACGAAAAAGAGGATGATATTAATAATTATAAGCGGTTAGATACAGTTATATCTTACGACGTCCAGAATTGCACATTGGTCCAGGTAACATCGATAGGCCCAGTGCCGCTGTTGGTGGTGTAGGCGCCATACTTGTCATAAAAGTTTCCGTCTGGTGCCCCGTTATCGGTATAGCTCAGCTGGCCATTGACGTAGACCTGGTAGAGGTTGTTGGCAGTATCATGCACCGTGTTAATGGTTACTGTTTGACCAACGCCAGCAACGCCGCTCGCAATTGTCTTGCCTCCCTCAACACTGTACAGCGAGCCGTCGTTCTTGACGGCCATAATGAAGTACGGGCTACCACTGCCGCCGTTAAAGGTCTGCTTGAGCGCAACCTTGTTACCACCAAAAGAATTGATGACAAACTGGCCACCGAATTGGTGCACGCCGCTGTCGTAGTCGTTCTTGTAGCGACGCTCAGCACGCAAATGGCCGTTGGAGCAGCCTGGGCCGTCGGTGCTGCCGTCTGGAGCAGCGGGAAGCTGGAATTCTGTGTCTGTGGCAGTGCCACCACCGCATCTTTGTACGTTAAAGCTGGGGTTGACAGACGTCCAAGGACCGTTACCAACAGGGTCTACGGCGAGAACTCCGACCGCAGCAGTAGCAAGGCTAAGGAAGAGAGATCTCGCAACCATGGTGAGAGCGTTAGTGGCGGCGATAGAGTTGAGATAAAATAATGGGAGAGGAGCTTGATAGGAGAAAGCAGTGAAATACAGAAGCACGACCCGGATTTTCTACTACTTTTATATAGAGCTAGGTTACATACAGTCACCTTTGCTTGATACAGTTACGTCCAGCTGAATGTTGACGATGGTAGCTCGCGCGTGAAGAAATTCCACCAATCGTAACATCGCAAATAGAGTAGCTTACAAACTAGGAAACAAGTCGGCGATCCGTTCCAAAGCGCCAAACCTATATGGGGGCGAAAAAAATAATAAGAATATTTATTTTAATATCAATGATATTGATAAAACTCTTAATAATCTAGTTTGTTGTTGGTTGATACTAATGCGACGTTGCAGTCGGCGGTGGGATGATTGATTATAACGTTGGATTAGACCAGTACCAAATGACATCGGTGAAATCAAAATTGAGATTTTACGCAAGTGCAGACTCATTAAATCGCGAAGAGTCTACGGAAAACTTCATTATTCATACTTCAAAAAGCAAAATAAGACAATTGTCTGTATCAAAGGTAATTATAAATTAAATCTAAAGGTATAGGGTATGCCAAAGCAATCATCACCCGTCTCTATATATATGCATTGTAAACTCATCCAGTAAAGAGAATCATTATCGAAAGACAGACAATTAAGCAATGCCGAAAACGGAAGTGGTCTTGATCTTGCCAGAGTAAGGGCCACAGACCTCAGTCTTGATGTCGTAGCTGGTCTTGGAGTCGCCGTTGTAGTTCTCGTTGGGCATGTCCTTGCTGACGCAGGTAGAGGTGAACTCAGATGGGAGCGTCAGAGCACCAGTAGCCTTGAAGTACTCGCTTGGATCAGCACCAGGGCATCGGAAGTTCTGCTCAACGGTGATGCTGAACTGCTCGCCAGTCTTGTACTTGCCCCAGTAGGGTGCCTGGAACTTGAACGTGGTGTCTTTGTCGACGGTGCCGTCCTCGGCAGTGCAAGTGAATCGGTCATCGGGGCGAGTAAAGGGTGCATCGAAGGTCGCAGTGGGCACGCCGTCGCCCTTGCAAGATACAGTCTTCTTGGTGATGGGGTTGACGAGATCAAAGGTGACAATGGCCTCGGCGAAGCCGTGGGAAGGAGTCATCTGGTCAATCTTGTAGTTGTAGTTGGCGTTGAGAAAGTCCCAGCTCTCCATCTTGAGGGCATCCTTCTCGCAAGATGAAGGAGGGGGGGGAGGAGGAGCAGCGCAGCCGGGTCCAGTGGGGGCGGCGATGGCGGCGCCAAAGAGAGCAGCAGCGACAATGGGAAGCATTTTGATGATGTAATGATGTAATGTAGTTTGAGTTTTTGTGAGTGACTGAAGAAGGAGGAGAAGGTGAAGGAGATGATGTTGATAGATGATGAGGAATGTGGTTGGGAGGAGGTGATCTTGGGCAAGTTTTATACCTGGTAAAGCGGGGGGCGATGATGCATCACCACGCTGGTAGCATCGTATAGCATAGCCGCGATGCATAATTTGTGATGATGATGATTTCTTTTGTTTTTCCAATTCTTTTCGTATTCTACTCCAGCCTTGCGCTTTTTTGGTAGCATTGGGCCGTCTTTTGCATGTCGCTGGGCGCTCACTAAGGCCACCCGCAGCCTCGTTTGCTGAGTTTGGCCAGTGGCGTCGATCCTCCGCCCCTCTGTCGTATTTTTTAGGCTAAAAATAACATCTCGATCGGTGAGGGCGAAAAATGTGACGTCAAACTTGGAGCGAATGTGACGACGAGGCTGTGGACTGCGCCGCATTGCACCCCAGATTTTCGTTAGGCAAGCCAAGAGCATGGACTAGCCGTGTTTATGCCTGCATGGATTGTGAAATGCGCTGGCATAACCGGACTGGATTACTGTTGTGTCTCTTGCTACTCTTGGTACGGATATTGCGTGATTGTTCATAAGCTGAGAAGAACCAGTGTGAGCCTATACAGACATATGGATGATGGGTGAACTTAATGTCGAAAGCATGGTGCTCTATTTTAACGGGTTATTGGTAAACGTTCACTTATGAATATAAAGGTAATTTTTTTTTAAGAATATGAGAGTAGTATCTACGATGTTGCAAGACTAATATCCACCCATTGTGGCTTCTGTTATATACAGCAGCAGCCCCATCATACACATTTATAGACTCATAAAGTACTTGGACATCTCAGGGTAGTTGGGCGTTCCCATACCCGTTGCCGCATCCCAACCGGGTGTCGCATCAAAACTGTTGCCCTTGCAGGCATATTCCTTGTCCTTGCGCATGCCACCGAGGGTAATATCGTTGAACATAGCTGGGTTCTGGTAGAGGGCCGGGTTCACGAAACCAACCGGCTTCCTGCCAGCTGCAAGGCGGTTCTCGTTGATAAGGTTAAATATGGCCGCCACAATCGGTGTAGACATGGATGTGCCGCCAGTTCGGTGCGATTTGCCATTGAAAACTATCAGGCTCTCCGAGCTGACGGCCGAGATGTCGGGATAGGCGCGACCGCCACGATTAAAGACACCACCGGAGCCATCCGCAGGGAAGGTGCCATCTGTTTGGTTGTATGAGGAGAAAGCAGGCGCATGGTCCTTGAGGAAGGATGACACAGCTGCGTCCTGATATGCCGGGCGGGGGAAGACGTTAGAGAAACCGCCGCCTCCAGAGAAACGGAGTGAGGCGACCTGCTCAGCGTCACCGGCAGTTTTGCCAGTAGGTAGCTCGGTGCCACCGACGGCAGTGACATATGGGCAAGATGCAGTGGTGAGGGCGTTAAAGATGGACTTGTCCGTACCCTTGCAGTTCTGGAACAGAGGGCCTTTGACTCCGGAATCGGCCGTGGCGTGGAAGACAGAGGTGCCCCGCAGACCAAGCTTCATCCACTCGTTGCACTGGCGCTCGACATAGTTTTCTCTTCAGCGCCCTCAATGTAACCGTATGAGATAGACAAAACGTTGGGGCATCGGTAGCCGCCGCACGCGTGTGAGCCCGGAGCGCCATCGTGGGATGGGTCGTCACTCTCGCAAAAGGAGCCATCAATGGCGTCGAGGAAGGGTGTATAGAGGTTGAACTCGAGGCCATCATACATTTGGTAGACCTCGGCATTTTGAGGGTAGATGATGGGGTACGCCATGTCGAGATCAAGCTGCATCTCAGCCGAACGGAATTGCTTGGCTTTATCGAGTGCGTCGGGCTTGAAGTTGATGAAGTTGACCTTCGGGCCGAAGCCTGCGGGTATGCTCAGATTTGCGGCGGTGAAGAACTGGTCCAGATCGTCCTGGTGCGGGCTGTTTGTGCCATACTCAAACAGGCCAAAGAAATTGTCAGGATTGGCTGTCTTGATCTAATGACGATGCAATAGCACGTAAAATTGATTCGTTGTAAAAATGACATTTCTTTTAAAAAAAAAGAATGAACAAACAAGCGTACACTGCGTCGGCCAACTCCGGGGCAAATACCTAACCGTCGGGTATTTAAAAGTCCCTACAATGCTTTTCCTGTTTTTCATATGTTGTTTGCCAGGACAGGCGAATTAACATTTTCTATGTTGTAAAAGAGAAATACAATATCCCAATTTAGTGGCCAAGTAATCTATATGCAAAAAATCTCAAGTCCAGTTATAAATACATGAGTATCCCCACGCTACTATAGAACGCGGTACCCTGCTCTGCCCGCTCTGCGGCCACCTGGATGCTCGGCCTGTGTCGGGTCTCATCGTTGCGTCGCAGGCTTTTCGACAATCAAAAGACCCTTCTTGTCGTATCTTGGTGGAGATGTAGGCTTAGCACTGGCTGCGGGCGTGGGTTTGGCTGCTGGTCGAGGCGCTGCGCCTGGGCGCCGAGGAGGAGGAGAGGCGACCTTGGCTTCCACGAATCTGTGCTCGCTGGTTGATACCGGCTGATAGTGTGTCGACCTGCCATGCATTGCTGGACCTAGGCTGGCAGCAGCAACCTTCGGTGGTAGAGTGTTCTTTCTGGATTTTTTGCTACACCAGCCTCTCTTTCTTGCGCAAAAGATTAACAGGACGGCAATGGCAATGAGGGCAGCACCACCCACAGCGCCGCCAATCACAGGTCCAAGGGGAACAGACGAGCCCGAAGATGACGACGATGATGACGAGCCACTGGATGAAGCTCCTTCAGAAGAGCCTCCTGGCTGGTCAGCCGGAGCTGAAGACCCTGTTGATGGTGCACCAGCAGAGGAGGCTACAGCCGCTCGTGTGCTAGAAGCGCCCACTGGAGAAGGACGAGGGGAATCCGAGACAGACTGCACGGAAAAGCCACCTTGTGTTTTGCCTGCCTCTATCGGATTCTCGCTAGCATCTACGCTAAAGATGGCAAGCGACTCGGCTGCCGCCATTCCAGGGTAGGTCGTTTCTAAATTAAGCACCGTATAGTATGGTGCTGAGATACACGCCCATTCGGTAAAGCTCTGGGGGTAGACATGTTGAACACATGTATAATCGTTGTAACTATTATCCGCCTCTGTTAGCTGTACAGTATACATAGTCGAAAAAGGACAAGTGCGTGACGTACCAGTGCATGACGCGGCTATTCGGTGACTCTCTGCTATTGACGCAGCCTGTGACGATGCCACAGCCCTGTGTGCCGGGGCAGCATTTGACATTCTTATAGAAAGTATTGTAGACAACGTGGTTTTCTGCGGGGTCGCATGTTCGTGAGATAAAGGTGGACTCGTAAGGCCTAAGAAGCGAAGGAGAATATTAGTTTGGCTGGTGATGTTGCGCCTGCCGTAACAGCAGGCAGCAAGCAAGGGAGGCTGGGTCTACTTACCACCAGCCCAGTGTTCCAAGATTTTGACCCCGGCCCTCTAGGTGATGTTGAGGGGCATTGGTAGGCGCGGGAGACCAGCCATCGTCGGACCATGAAGACGCCTGTGTAGGAGCAGGCGCCGTAGCTTGCCATGGAAGAGCAGTGCTAAGCTGAACAAAAGCTGCCAGCGCAGCGAGATGCGTGAGAGCCATTGTATGCCTATGTTTCTATGACAAAGTTGAAGTTGGACGAGAAACAGGAGAACAAAAAGGGGTGTATATGTTAGAATCAACGTAAACTGTTTGCCTTGCTTCAGAACATGGAAAGTGAACAGCGGCGCAGTATACTACTTAATATCTGAGTATAAGTGTTAGGGCCATAGTTGATTCCACGCCACAGATCTAGCCAGCCTGCTTTGCTTCTGGCGCAAAATCCCTGCCAGCTATACAGAATTCCCTTGGCTACTCCTTTCTGTTCTACTGATGCAAATTTTACACACTGCATCGGCTACGTCTTACACGTTGCCGGTGCCGGTGCCGCACTTGCATACAGCTCGCATGACATGGGGGTGTGCTTGTCCGTTCTCCAAAAGCTGAAAGGCGAGCAAGCAACACCCGGCCGGGGTTGTGTGTGTTTGCAGCGGACGCCTTTCAAGGCACAGCCGGGCGTCGTCAAGTTTAGCATCCTATTGGCCAACCCCCAAGTAACAATAGAGATTAGAATGGGCAGCTGGGCTACCATACAGCCCGCCGCCCCGTCCCGCGGCATAAGGTGGTACTGTAAATCAGGCTGCGGGCTTACAGGGCCCGCCTGCAGATGAACCACCAGCCCCTGGAAGCGAGGGGGGCGTGTGCAGAGGTACTTTTTCAGCCCGTCAAGTTTCTCCGGGTTTGGAGAAAATACAGGGAGTGAGATAGTGGGTGTTAGGCACCGCATCGGCCCATGGCACACGTTGCTAGCGGGCGTAGGCTGCTAGGGCAGAGGGCATAGACACGGGCAGGATCGCGAACGCTGCGATGACAACCAGGTCTATTTATGGTACCCTCTGTGGAGATATCTGTCTGCCACGTGTGGTGGGTGATGGCGCTGGAGAAATTGCGACTCTAGGGGGACTCTTGGGTGTTGTGCTGTAGTTGTTGAGAATACTAAGGATTATGATGCTATCTACTACACTTTGCTGTACTGGTACCATTTTTTGGTGGCTAGAGAATAGAACACAAAGAATATCTGATACAATTCCTATACGTACATATATATAAATGGACAGCTTAGTTGCTTCAATAATCGTCCCCGTCGCCGCCATCGTCTCCATCGTCTCCATCGCCTCCATCGCCATCTCCATTGTCTCCATCATCACCATCCACCTCTTCACCAGCAGGGTAGTTATCTTGATTGTCGTATTCATCTCCTTGGTAGCCGTTGTGATTGTCATCTTCATCGCCATTGTAACCATTCTGATTGCCATCTTCATCGCCAGGGTAATCGTGGTACTGATTATCATACCCGCCTTGATTGTGGTCGTAATATTGGTCATTGGAGTAGCCGCCGTTGTTGAAAGCATCATTGTAGCTGCCTCCCTGATTGTTTTCAAATCCTTCGTCATCATTGTTATGATTAATGTCCTGATCAGGATCATAGCCACCATTGTAGTAGTCAGGGTCTTGGTCATTACCGGGATTGTAGTCTTCGTGACCATTATTGTAGTCTTCGTGACCATTATTGTAGTCTTCGTGACCATTATTGTAGTCTTCGTGACCATTATTGTAGTCTTCGTGACCATTATTGTAGCCGTCGTGACTGTTGTCATAGCCTTGATGACTGTTTTCATAGTCTTGTTGATCGTTATCATAGTCTTCTTGACCGTTATCATGGTCTTGTTGAGTGTTGTTTCCAAAGCCATCATAGCTGGCTTGGCTTGCTGCATCATCATGATTATAGCCGGGACCATAGCCATCACCATTGTACTCATTGTCTTGACCATAGTCGTTCTGTGCAGCCTGATAGTCATCGTAGCTTCCTCCTCCCTGCATTTGCTGCGATGACTGGTACTCCTGACCCTGTTGATACTCTTCCTGCTCCGCATACATATCGCTCGTATGGTGGTCAATTTGATTCTCATCGAAGGAAGATGTGCCACCCCATTGATTGCTGTACGACTGGTCAGCTGCTGCAAAATCATCATCGTTGTCGTTGTAGACATCTGTCGACGATGTGTGGTTGAACCCGTCGTCGAAATCGTTAAACCCGTGACTTGGATCTCGAACTTCGTCGTCATCATCAGCTTCAGACCCGCGGCTTGGGTCTTGAACATCACCATCGTCGCCCATGTCAATCTCCCGACTTGGGTCTTGAGCAAAGTCGTCGTCGTCATCATCAGGCGGTTGCCATCGAGTCTGATCATCGTTATCCTCGTCATCCAACGGCTGTTCAACATCTTGATCATTGTCATCATCGCCTGACTGCCAATCTCCAGTTTCGCCTTGTGATCCAAATGCGTCTGGGTCATCGCTAGGATCATGATTTACACTCATGCCCGACCCGTCATCGGTACCCTCTGGATCAAAATCGTCCCCGTCAGCGCTGAGGAATGCTTTCCTGCCAGCATAATGCAGAGCATCGTCAAAATCGGAAGGGCATTCTGCGGTGGAGCCCCAGTCATTATTCGTCACATTTGTATTCGTATACGTATTGTACGTATTGACCTGATAATGCTGGACAATATTCTCCTGGTGGTGGCTTTCGGATGCACCTTTGGGCTGGACGTGATGTTGATGGCCTTTCTGGTGGTGGGATTGGTCGTGAGCAGCTTTGTTTCCGTGGGTTGACTTCTTCTTTGCTGCTGAGTGAGGATTGTGGTGCTTCTCTTTTTGTGCATGTGATGATGTTTTCGATACTGGATTCGTTGCAGATTTTGACGCAGGCTTGGGCTTGGGCTTAGGTTTAGATTCAGGCTGAGGCTTAGGTTTAGAGCCGAGTTTTGGCTCAGGCTTAGACGATGGCGTAGGTTGTGTTGTCTTACTCGAGGCAGCCTTCTTCTTTGATGGTTGCGGTGGATGGGCTGCATGCTTGTGATGACTAGCTTTAGCGCTGTCTGGCTTCCCAGTAATCGTATGATGATCACCATGTTGCTTGGGCACTGGCTTCTTGTTTGATGACTGTGGCTTTGTTTGAGAAGCCGGTGAAGGATTAGGGGCAGGCGTGGTGGCTGTATACTGTTGTGGTTTCGGGGCAATGCCTGCAACAGTCTTTTGAGACGTAATACCAGACGACCCGGAATAGCTTGACTGGGCAGCATGGGTATACTGGGATTTGTTCGGCAGCGGCTTGGATTCGGCCATGGCTCTCTGGGTAAACGAAGACTGCTGCCCGGGATAAGCGGCATGAGTAGAGGCGGCAGGAGGCGGCATAGATTTGGCAGTCTTTTGGGGAACCGTGCTTTGTTGTGATATCGGCTGTTGTGACTGGGGTGGTGACCAAGCAGTGACCGTCGAAGGAGTCGGGCCACTTGCTTGTGAAGCAGACGATGGGTGGGTGGAAAAGGAAGAGTAGGAAGGCATACGGTTCGCAAATGACCTCGGAGACGCCGCATTGTATGCAGTAGCAGATCCTGCCATCGGTCCGGGGTTGGGAGATGGTGCCACTGTTGAGCCAGAGAATCTGGAAGATAAACTGGACGAGCTAGCCATGGGAGCAATGGCTTGTGATGGATGTGTAGCTGTTGTTGTAGTAGTAACAGCAGCAGTCGTAGCAGCCGCACTAGCTAGAACACTATGCCACTGATTATCACCCATAATGGGTCCAGAACGGAAAAACTTTTGAAACACAAGTTTGTCTGGCCCTGCGATGGGTGATGCAATTCCTCCATTGTTCGTGGAGCGAGCAAAGCTCTCGGGACTGCCAAGGGGAATAGGTGGCACCATAGCATAGGCTGCGATAGGCGCACTTTGCTTGCTGGAAAAATGCGATGGCGCGCTAGCGGTAGAAGGAGACGAGGAAAGTTCAGCAATGGTATGGATGGATGAGGATGCCATGTGCCTGTTCTGCTGCAATAAGCTGCCTCTACTTTCCTTGCCTGACAAAGAACGTGGCTTGTCTGCCAGGGTCTCCGGAAGGCTATTGTGTCGATCCAGCGGTAGCACCTCTTCTCCAAGACCAAAACCATCAAAGCCAAAACTGAACGGGCCGCTTAGTGTCGCAGAGAGTGTGTGCTTGAGAGCCCGACCTGGTGGAGGGCCTGATGTTACTGTTGCAGGCTCTACCGTGTTTGAAATTGAGCCAGCAGCTGCAATATTCGCGGTAGTACTATTAGTAGATGGAGCAGGTCCTGAATCAGTTACTGGCATAGAAGCTGCTCTTGAAGGCACGGGACGTCGTCGGATAGATCCCATACTGCTCTGGTGCTGGATTCCTTGAGCTAGCGAGGCTTGTGAAGGGGCTCTAGTTGGTCCAGGTGTTGAAGTAGGCGTTGAATTATGGCTACTAACTCCGTCCCACGCAGGTGCAGGCTTGTACGGAGGTGGTGCGGTATAGCTCGTAGCAGTAGAGGTAGTAGAGGCGTTTGTGTTGTTGGTTGCCTGTGAGCTCAGGGTATAGTTGACCATGAACGAGCTGGATGTGCTCACAGCCGGAGAAGGGATGCGCGGTGCCTCTGTAGTACTCTGGCTGCTCCTACTCTCAACGTTGCGCGTTGCGGGCGCGGGCATGTCTGTACGGCCATGCTCTTTAGCGGTCTTGACATCGCGGCGAGCGACGCTTTCACTCCATGGAGTTGGCAGCTTTGTCGCATTCAGCTGCTCAATAAAGAAGGGACGTTTGTCTCTTCTCAACCATGAGAAGGCGCCTTGTGTTGCTGTATCGGCCGGGATTCGGACTGTTGTAGGCAGCTTGAACAGGCCCCAATTCGTTCGCTTCGTGGTTGCTGTCCTTGGTGTTGCGTTCGTTGCTAGTGAAGATGCGCTGTGCGCAGGAAGAGTGGTTCCTGCTTGCACAAGCTGCCATTCTATCGTCTTTTGAACTGGACGATTGGTGTTTGCTTGTGGTGCAGCAGCATTTGCTGGCATAGGCTTTGGTAGAGGTTCTGGCTTTCCTCGCCATGCGAGAGGGTGTGTATTGGGATGGATCCAGACATTGAATCCACGCGGAGCAACTTTGCTGCAGCAGCTGCTGCATAGTTTGTTGGTCTCAAAGTATACGATTTTACGCTTATCCTGAGTGTCAAAGAAGGCGAGACAGCTAGGAAAAGACGACGTCGCGGCATTGAGCTTTGGGAAGTGCGGACAAGCAAAACCGTGGCTTATGAGGAGCGACTGCAAGTGATCAATCTGGGTCATGCTTGGCTTTGGCTTTGCTGGACCTGTTGTTGCCGAGGCCATGGCCGTGGTCTTCTTTGCAGTTGTTGTTGTAGTAGAAGCTGCGGTTGCGGTTTTCTTTACAGGTGCCGCAGCAGTTCCTGTCGCGGTTTTCACTGTAGTTGAAGACATGTTTGGGGATCCAAAAGAAAGAGCATGAGGATCATGAGGATAGGATTGGGGGATTTGTTGAAGGGGTTCTGCGTGCAACATGTGTTTTTGATATGTTGTTAGGTAGGATGGGGAGATGGTAGTTGTGATGTTGATGTTGATGGTGATGATGGGGGCTCTAGCCTCGCCTCCTGTCTTTCGCTTTTTTTCTTGGTTTGAACCGATCAACAAGACACTAGTAGCCTCGCACGGATTTCAAAGTCCAATCCTGGCCGCAACAATAAGATGGGGTGGAGAGGCGTCTGTCCACGAGGGGCTGATGACGGATGGGCCAGTCGCTGGGGCGCCAAGCAGGCCAGACCACATGCGGCTGTGTATTTTGCAGCAGTACAGAGGTATCCAGAGCAGAAGATGGAGCTGATGATTGGAAGAGGGGATATTGGCCAGGGTATGAGAAGAAACGAAGAGAAGCCGGCTCTTGGTGGTCCTGGCTGCCCAGATGGTGGTCAAGGCGCGGATCCAGATGTGCGAATGCGAGAGGTACGATAGCAAGGCAGAAGGAGGGCATGAAGCAACATGGGTTAGTGGCCTGGCCAGCCTGCCCAGCATTGGAGAGCCTGGGCTGGAAATAGCGTCGAGGTCGAGCTCGAAGATGGGGGAGGAGTGGAGATGTATTGGTTGCAAACCCCAGCAGCCTTCTTCTCAGTGGCCGGATTGCCGATGTCTTGTGCCCCTTTCTCTCTCTTGTGGAACAATGCAGTGGGAGTAAAGCCATCAATTTGTCAAGCAACAAAACAGTCAGGGAGTAGGGCAGGGGCCATAAGCCGTGAACGAACATCTTGGCCCCCGAGGAAGGCTCTCGAATGCATCCATACTAACCGGCACAGCGTTTACCGGCGTCGCCACTTTGACTGTTACTGTATGGTCACTGCGCTCAGATACAGTATCCTTGCGAACCACGCGGTGCATCTCATCGTCCGTGCCGTCTTGTGCCGTGGCGTGCGCTCCCTAGTCTCGGTGTGCAGCCTCGACCAATTCCAACGCGCATTAGCGCTGACATATCCCCTTGGCAGCCCTACTGTGGGGTTTGTATTCTTTAGAAGGGGCGCTAGAAGGCGGGACGGGCCTAACATCAGTGAGGCTGAATGGGGGCCAGCGGCTGCCTTTTTGTCTGTGTGTGAGTGTGAGTGGAGAAGACTATCATGGAGGCGATTGTAGAGAGACGCTGCCTAACTAACATAAGGCAGAAAAAAGTTTATCAAAGTATTTCTTTTCTTTCATTTTTTTCAAAAACAACTACATGTTTCTCTCTGTATACAGAACAGTCAAGGTTGGAAAGTAACAGAAAAGAGGACAAGAATGGGGCAAACAAAATAGGGGCAAGAGGTCAGTCACTTGCCCTTTTCGGTTAAAGTCCGATATGGGAATACTGAGCGACGAGGCAAGAGCAGGGGGGGCGTGTGCATCTGGTATACATACATGGAGTACATGTACTTGGTAGACTTACAGCTTTCAGTGATTCTATTTTTATTATGATTTGCATTACCCCAAAAGAGTGGCGGATGGGGGAGTTGGTGAGAAGGTCTCCAATGTGAACCAAAGCGCGACTTGCTCTTGCTTATGCTCTCTTTTCTGCCATCGTCACCAGAGCCTCGCGGAGTGTAATGACATCCTCACCACTAACAACATCATGAATGCCCTCAAACACAAGAGCATGAGCTTTTACAGCTTGGGAACGAATGCCAAGAACAATAGCAGCAGCTCCCAAGGTTCGCTAGAATTCACGCGATCCAATACTCGACTTAGCTTCGCTGCACCAACGAGCAGCACCCTCTTCAGTGGCAATGGCACTGTCCAAGATCGCGACAAAGCCACAGCCATGGCACTACTCCAGAAATACAGCGATGGCATCTTTGGCAAGCGTAAAACAGATGGATTTACTGCTGAACAAGCCAATCCCGCTCTCATAGAGTACTTAGCTGCGCCGCAAAAAGCATCAAGCGGCGTTGTCTCAATCCTACTCTCCGCTTCTGAAGACATCAACTATTCTACACACAGAAAGAACATGCTCCAGAAAGAGCGGCTTCCCACAAACATTGTGCAGAATGCCACAGCGGACCGCCTCTGTCCATGGAATATCTGGACACTGGTCATTGGTCACGCCGACACAGCATCTCTATATGATGCCTTTGCGATTTCTGTCGAGAACAACATGGTGGCTCGCGTAGAGAAGTGTCTGCAGGTTGCCGCCCAAAGGCGAACTGTATTCACACCCGCCCTGACTGATGCACTGCGGGCAACTATGCAACTTGTGGCACGAGACAGATCCGAGTCTCGATATCTCAGCCTAGTGCTTCTTCTGTTGAAGAACAGCTCCAGTGCTCATTATCCCATCATTGCCCAAGCAAAGGCAGATGCAGATGCAGCAGGATATGCCGTACTCTATCAGATGCTTCACAGTTTCTTACCTGGGCGGGGATCTATCTCTTCTACATCTGCTTCCGCAACAGAAAAAAGTCGCTCGCCGTCACAATCACTGACGGCGGAAGATGCGAAGCGCCTCGAAATGATGGTGTCGCCAGCTGCTCTGGAGCAGATCTCTCTCGGCTATGACCAGGCTTGCGATGGCTTCCTAGCAGCATTCAAAGAACCATCTGTGCAGGAAAATACAGTCAAAAATGCGGCCATATTAGGAGACTTGCTCCAGCATTGTGCCAAACATCCGCCCTGGCTGCTCCCCAAGAGCCTTCAGGTCATCGCCACTTTACTTTCCTCTAGTAGCTTTTGTCCCAATGTGGATGCTGCTCTCTACCGATCACTTACCTCGCCAGACCTAGATTCTTTCGACAGCTATCGAGATGCGGCCGAACTACTCGCACACTCAGCACAGCCATACACAGTGAACCTCATACTGGATACTATCCCCTTGGGGTTGCACTTTAAGGAGTTTGATCTCTGGAGACTGCATTCGCTTCTAGAATGGGGAGCTACGGCCGAACATATACAAATGGCCCTGTGTCTTGGCCTCCATGCCCGTGTCAACGCAAAGGATGCACAGCCAGACGCCCTTATACAGACGTTGGTTGGCGCCGTGGTAGATTTGGAGCCAGGTGATGGAGGTGTACCAGACGCTCACACCAGAGACTTGTGTAGAGCGATATCGCAATGTGGAAACAGTGAAATAATGGGCAAACTTCAACAACGTTGGGATAACCAAACCAAGTCGCTTGCGCTGGCAGAGGCCATCGTGGCAAAACACGATGAAAGAGTGCTACTGGCAATGGTGGCCGAGCTGAAGAACAAGAAGATGCTGCCACCATTTGGCCTAAGCCTTCCCGAGGGCCATCATCCACATCTGTTTTTGAGTCTGCTGCTCTATCCCAAGTCACAGGTGTTATTGGAGGCTCTCCTTAAAAAGGGGTGTTCTCCTGATGCCGAGATGGAGTATTACCCGTCCGCCGATTTTTCTAGTGGCGTGGAGCGTATCACGCCGCTCATTCTTGCGCTGTGCCAGCTGAACCAAGTACCATCTAATGAACAGATTAGCCCTGGTGTGATAGATCTCCTGGTGGAAAAGAGCAACGTCAACTACCAGACGGAGCGGTCCATGGTTACGCCACTTATACTTGCTGCTAAGCACAGATTCACTCAGGTCGCCATCAATCTCCTACGGAGGGGCGCAAAGCCATCTCCCAAAGACTGCAGCGAGCGCTCTGCTCTCTTTTATGCGTCTAGAAACGGCGATGTCGCCTTCGTGAAGGCGCTATTGGCGGCTGGTGCGCCAGTGGATGACGGTAGCCTCCACGAGGCAGCGAGAGAACTTCATGACGAGGTCGCCTTCTACCTAATGAAGAAGGGAGCCTCTATCCAGCTACGAAGCACAATAAAAGATCACAACCACCGCACGGCGTGGGAGGAATTTTTGTTGCAGTGCAACGGCAACGCCGGCCTCGGACGGATAGAGGCCACTATCCGCGTACTCAAAAGCCGACAGCCACTACGAGACGATGAAGACTTTTTTATGGCTCTTGATAACCCGGCGCCTCAGCAACTTCTACGCGCCCTGTTGAATCTCGGTCTCATGCGGCTCCTACGACAAGCCGAGATGATTAAGAAGGTGCAGACTCAGGTGCACGGCATCGTCTACTACTACTCCCCGACAAAGTATATTGAGCATGACATCTCGCAGCTTTCAGCTGCACTCAAAACGCAAGTCCTTGGCGAGCTGCGCGCCATGGGCTGTCGCGACGAGTTCTACGCACAGCAGAACAACGATCGGAACCCGACGCAGCATGACGAGTACTACAGTGTGCAGCCCAAGAACTTTGTACCACCTCCGCCGATCCTGGCATCTGAGAAGAACAGAGTAGAGGCAGAGCGCAGGGCGATTGGGGCGATACGCAGCAAGACTGAAAAGGAGCGTGCAAATAGGGCTTTTACCGAGCGTGAGGCCATGTGGCAAGCGCGCCATACAGCCGCACAGGCCCAGCTCAAAGAGCGCGCCAAACAGGAAGGCAAGGTGGCGGCTCAGCAGGCTGATAATAAGCGCCAGAAGCAGGCGCACGGCTTTGAAATGGTGGCCATGGCACAGAGCTCGCTGAATGCAGCTATCCAGAAGGCTGGAGAGCGCGAGCAGCAACAGCGGCTGGCGTGGGTGCAGAGGTTGCGGGCGAGAAGGGAGCAGTTGGTTTCTGAGGCGATGGATACATTTTGCCTGGGTGCAAGAGAAATTTTGGGCAAATAGATTTGTATTTTTAGGCTGTCAATCGTTTCAGTTTAGCTGTGATATCTACGGTTAGTTGTAGTGTAAGTAAGTGTAAGTTGGTGGTTGTCTAGGCCCCCGCTATGAATCAAAAATACCCTGAAAATTTAACAATACATCCTCCAGCTGTGAATTTTACTACAAAAATAGAAAAAGGAAGATTACCTAGAAACCAAGTGCCCCTAAAAATAATATTATGGCTGAATGGATTCTCACAAGGAGAATCAGCCCTCCTTAGTCGGGCAAAGTCCGACATGTACAGGGCGTGCATCTAACAACATCTTGCAGCCTGGTGACCAGGATCCATGCATGAAACAGACGACAGTGCGACCCATGTCAAAGGCTGCAGTCGGATACAACCTTGTCTGCCTTTTCTTGGAGGTCACAGCAGAAGTGTGGCGTATTGGGGGAGAGGGGAAAAGGAGTTGGAGAATCGATTCTGGGTGGTCAGTTCGTTTAATGACATGCTGACGGTACATCGATGCCTGCAGATTGTATTTGTAGTCTTGGAGCAGCCTCTCAAGGCGTCCGTTCAGTGGCAAGGCGTCCTTGTCTATGTACTTGTTTTTTTGGCGTGCAATACTCATTTTACTTTGTAAAGCGATCCAATAGAGACAAAGTTTCAATTTTGACTTTATTTCTTTATTTCTTTATTTGTTTTTTTCTATTTGCCACCACGCAGTATTGGTGAGGCGAGCTAAGCTACCCATAGAGTGCGCAAGATACCCCGAAAACCAGCAGACAAGCAACGACGCAAACGAAGAACTCTTTTCTTTTTAGAACCAAAAAAGGACAAGAAGAAGAGAAATACAAAAGCAAAAACGAAATATATAGATCAAGATGGCGGATAAGAAAGAAGCCGTGCCATCAAACGCGGAACCCGAACCGGTTCGAGCTGCGCTCAAGAGGTTCAATGAACCTATGGCCCGCGATGTAGTTGGACTTATTGTTACCGCACAGCCGCCAAAGGAGGTGAAAGTTGAAGTTGAGTATGTCCTGACCCCCCCCCGAATCTATCTTGTTTGTTATTAACCTGTACCGTCTACAGCATCGTTTGTGTCCATGGCTTAGGCGCGCACCCGCACTGGTCTTGGATCGGCAAGAATCAGAAAACTAAAGAGGAAGTCAATTGGATCAAAGATGCAAATATGCTACCCGCTGCTATTCCTAAGGCACGTATTCTTCGTTATGGCTACGATTCGCAATGGGTTGGCGAAGGAACTGCAAGCAAAAACAGCGTCGAAGCAAGGGCCCACGATCTTTTACTCAAGCTTGGCAGTGATGCTGACAGAAAGGTTTGCCATTTACACTGGTGAGGCATAATAGCTGCTAATTATATGTCTAGATAAACCCGAAGCGGCCACTCATCTTTATTTGCCACTGTTATGGCGGCCTAGTTGTGGAACAGGTATGCATTGTCTCCGTCGTCCAAGTGCTGGTATAAATTCTATACTAACGAACCCTGAACGCAGGCCATCTGCTTAGCAAAGGAAACGGAGGGACAGTATCCGAATATATTCAATGCCTGCTATGGTTTAATCCTACTGGGAACGCCGCACCATGGAACAGGCGATTTTCTCGTCGAGGAGCTCGTATTGCGCCTGGTCAATGCAGCTAAGCACATGGAATCCGATACAATTCAGATTCTGAAGCCAAACGATGGAGTGCGCAAACAGCTCTGTGAGAGGTTCCTCCGCATTGCGAAAGATACAGAAGCAGTTCGAAGGCGACTGAAGGTCCACTGCTTTTTCGAAACGGTGAGAACGCGTACGTCCGATGTTATCAAGGGCATGGACAGTACCAATATGAACAAGGACGAAGTTTGGGTAAGTACTATTACTATGGCCAGTATCAACAACGTAAAAAGTTGACAACAGGCAGGAATTTGTGGTCAGCGAAGAGTCAGCCAGTCTTCCGGATTATACCAACCAATGTATGGACGTCAATCACTTTCAACTCAATAAGTTCACGGGCCCCGACGATGGCTACTATAAAAGCGTGAAGGATGCGCTTATTCCCATGGTAGATAATGCAAGGTTATTGATGGCTGAAGGTACGTACGAGTCCATTATCTGATCTTTAAGAAAGGGCTGTAGAGAATTAACCTTCTTTTGTGGACCGTCTAGCCACAATAACACCAATCGAGCCAACACGCACACTACAAGGGGCTTCCACGACAGCGCCGCCGCCGTTTCCTTGTGATAAGCACTTTCAAGGACGCAAAGAAATTCTGGATCAGCTGGGGAAGAAACTCAAGCGCCATAACCAGGGCAGAGCCTTCCTTGTTGGTGAATCAGGCACTGGGTGAGTCTTCACACATGTCTTCTTATGTTGGGCTATTTTGGCTAATTATATTATAAAGTAAAACGCATATTGCCATTCAATATGCATACATGCACCATGACTTGGATACAAATAACGGGTTTACACGCTGGATTCCAGCGAAAACCTGGATTGAATTCAAACGCCAATATATTGAGACTATTGAGGACAGCTACTCCCTACCCACCGACCCAAATGCGAGCGAGGAGCAGCTTCTCATGGCCGCCAAGATCTATCTCGAGAACGAAGAATCTGACAAGTCTTGGTTACTGATCCTCGATGGTATCGATCACTGGGAGGACGAGGACTTGAAGAGCCTTAAAGAGTACCTGCCCACAAAAGACTGTGTCGATATCCTTGTGACCACAAGCAACCTCGCCCTGGCCAAGAAGCTAGCTCGCGAGAGTGAGGATTTGATTCTGGGCGTCAACAAATTCACGAAAGAAGAATCATTGTCACTATTCCGCGCAATTTCTAAAAACTATCGCATTTCCGATAACGACGTGAGCAAGCTGTGTGAGGCAGTCGACTTTCTTCCTCAAGCTGTGGCGCAGGCCGGCGCCTATTTCAAAGATGGACTTCCTGATGCGCTCAGTCTACCAGACTACATGAAGAGACTATCAGAGCTATCCATACTCAACAGCTCGAAGAATCTGGCGACAGCACAGATTGCGCTCCAGCACATTCGCAAATTCAACATTACTATCCTAGAAACTGCACGCATGGCGTCCATGTACGACAACCACACAATGCTGATGACAGTCTTCAAGGAATACGAAAAGAACGACATTGTCCGTGGCGAGTTCTTCCAGGTCATGAAGTATTTTGGCCTGCTGCAAAAGTGTCGAGCGAGCCTCAGCTTTAATTGGACGCGGCGGACGCTGGACGCCATTCAGCTATTCATCAATCCCACTGAGCAGCAACCCGCCACAGAAATCATGTTAAAGGCCATTCCGTTTTTGACCGAGGAGGAGAGGCATAGCCTAACATACATCACACGCTGTAGACGATGGTTGCCGTATACGTTGGATGTGCTGGACACAGAGGGCCGTCTGCTTCAACCTGAAGCTCGATACGCCAAAACGCACGCCAAGCTCTATGCAAAGATAGCTCGTTATCATTTATTCCTTCGAAACTTTGACAAAACGGAGTATTATCTGAACCGGTCTCGTGTATTGACGAAACAACACGAAATACCTGAGCTACTGGAAGAGCTTGATGGGCTTGCAGAAATGATAAAGAATGCCCGTTGTAGTCCAAGTGGGATAAGTGCTGCTGCTTCTGCTGCACCTGCTGCACAGTCGGCGCCAGTCGAGGCAAAGCCTACGAACTTTACACCACCTCCTATACCGCCGATACCAGAAACCACCCAACCAGTACCATCAGATGTGCCCGGCCAAGATAAGCCACTTGACGGCTATATCCAACGCTCTCGGTCCATCTTCCACAAGCGAGACGTTGACGATGTGACAAACAAGCTCAAAACATTGGTTGGCAACGAGAATGATAAGATACGCGCCCAAGATGCCCTGGCCTTGATCTACGCCGGCACGCAGCGCCACAAATTAGCCGCTGCTCATTATCAGCAGACGTATACGTGGTGCGTGCAGACCCATGGCGAGGGTAGCTTCCATACACATCGCCAAGTCTTCAAGATGGCGCAGAACGATGAGCTTCAAGGCAAGCTGGCCCAGGCAGAGCTCAAGTATCACGATGCGCACCGTGGCATTCAAAAGTCTCTCGGCAGTTTCCATCCGGAAGCTTCACGTATCTTGTCGGCTCTTGCTGCCCTCTATGCCAAACAGGGCAAACGGCATGAGGCCGCGGAGGCCTTTCAGCAGGCCATGCGCTTGCAGCACCAGGACCCGGGCCCCGATCACCCGGATTCGCTGCTGACGGCGCACAACTATGCTGTATTCTTGCAGGGCGAGAGCCCCGAGGCCGCGGGAATGCTGCTGGAAAAGGTGCTGCGGGAGCAGTCCGTCAGTCCAGTACTAGGGTCTGACCATCCGGATACTCTCAAGACGGCAAGCAGTCTGTTGCGCAACTACGAAGTTAGAGGAAGACTGACTGACGCGTTGGCGTTGTATTCTTTGTTGGCACCGAAGCAGAGACAAGTCTTTGGCGATAATCATGCAGAGACAATGGCTATAGGCCGTTTGATGGATAACCGTGTGTTGTAATAGCTGTATATTGTAGTTGGTGGCATAGTATATGTTGTTAGCTGTAGCAAAATGCAGAAAAAGTTTTTCTGTAAAGTAGAGGGTATATGAGTAGCTAGAAATATCATCATGAATCATTCAATTCGTATCTTGAGGTAAAAGCTTCCGCCGCTCAGCGACAATCCTCATTCTGTCGCTTATTGCAAACTTCCATTCCTTTGCAATCTTGTAAATCAGTAGCAATACTAACCCTAGCAGAATCGCTACAAACACCACCATAATCACCACAGACACCCAGAGCGCCACGCCCAGAAGCGTCTCGCTATCCGGCAGCGGACGCACCTGCTCGATGCCCACGACAATCTGCAGCCCGTTGAGTAGAATCGACACGACAGCAATGACAAACAGCACATGCACGTAGATCCGCGCGAAGTAGGCGCCGTACTGGTGCTCCACGCGGTGGAACTGGCTCTTGCGTAGCAGAATCGGAGCGTACAGGTTCAGCCGAGTCAGCCTGATTTCGCCGTAGCAGTACCGCCCCGAGACCTGCCTATCTGTAATGTCGCCCAGTGGCGTGGCAAAGTCGCAGAACTGCTCCCATGATATTCCCTGAGGAATAAGGCACAGCTTAGGGTCTTGTGCGATACGGAAGTCAGCCTCGGACTGGATGAGATGGTAGTAGGTCCGCAGGTAGCCGAGGGCAGCCCGGCGGGTGCGGACAAAGTCGTCGTGAGAACTGGAGGGCGGTGCTTCTGCGAAATAGTCGCGCCAAAAGGCATAGGAGACAATGTACCGTGGTAGCGGCTTGATAAAAATCCGGTCGTTGATCCAGACAAGGTGTAGCTTGGGGCTGTCTGTGACGATGATGTTGCGCCGCTTAACAATCTGTTTGTGCAGTGGCGAGATGTTACCGCTATTCTGTGTCGTCATCCACCACAGTCGCTCCGAGATGCTCTCGAGATCCGAGCAGTAAAACTCCTTGGCTAGGAAATTAAGAATCTTGGTGCCGTCGTGCAGCGGCACGCGAGGGTGGCCTGGTAAATGCGGTGGTTTTCCGCTTGCTTTGGCCTCTAGGTCGGGATCAATGTCCAGCTCAGTGTTGAGCTGGTCCATTTCGAAAAATGGCGGATGGGAGGGGACCATGGCTATTGGCAAATTATAAAAATAAAAATAAAATAAATAAATTGGTGGTGCTGGTGATGCTGGAGTGTGTGTGTTAAGCGGTGGGCGAGCACTAAGCTCTCAGTTCTCAAGATTCTCCGGGCGAAAAAGTGAGGCTTTGGCGACACATTTTTTTCCTGGCCATCTTGAAAAGTATTTCATCGGCAGAGAATATGGAAACTAAATGGCGGGGGAGCTTTCAGAGCCTCTTACTGTCCATGCAGGCGCACCGGTAGGCGGCCTGTAAGCTGCATATTGCAGGGGCAGGCGGGCGGGCAGCGTTGGTACAGCGGGGAGACTTGTAGTGGACTGGGCCAGCTAACTTAGACTCTGCATTAGCGTGGTGTTGAATGATCCACGGAGGAGGGATGTGCTGGTGGCTGGTGGTTGCAGGGTTGCAGGAGGGGATGACGATGATACGCGAGGGCGACACGGCTGTAAGTCAGCTGCTTCATTGCATGGCGAGTAGTAGCCTTAGGAATCCATCTGAAACCCTTTAATTGCGTTTTTTTTTTTTTGCACGATCGGTGCGTTGGTATTGAAAGGGGAAGTTGATTGTGCTGCTGCCCGCGTGGGAGAGCCTCATCTAGACAAGGCTGCAGCCGTTGGCGCAGGAATGTGTTCAAACAGGGCAACTAGTTGGTAGAGAGGCGCTAGAATAGTCACCGTAACTACAGCACCAGAGGAATGTATCCGGACAATGACGAGATATCCAGACCAATACCCTAACCGATCCTTCAAGTTAGCGAGCTTCGACGTCCGTACAACACCGTTCGGGCGAGTCTTGTAAGTCACAGGAGCCAGCCACTATACAAGAGTCATTTCTCTACTATACAGAGTCATTTCTCATCACAACTTGGCTGTCCGAGCACCTGAGATGATTGACCAATGAATGTTCAGTCTGTTGCTACAGGTTGTCGTTATATTCACTTCGCCACCACAAACTAAGGACAAAGCCACTCAAGCTGTCATTTTCCATTCCATAGAAATCCGGTCATTGCCTCCTTCGGGCGGGATAGGCTTGCGTGTCGTTATGCTCGGAAACTTTCAGCCCTGTCTCTGTAAGTGTGGGTTTTGTCCGAGCCTCGTAAACGGAATGGTATTAAAGCGCACGATGGACTTGCTCATATTTATCAATTTTAAAATAGCTTGCCAATTAAATATTCATTCTTTGAATACAAAAACATGTCAACAACTACGGATTTCAAGGCCATCATCGTGGGTGGAGGTCTAAGCGGGCTTCTGGCCGCCATCTCGCTGCGCTCTGCTGGTTTTGACTTTATTCTTTTGGAACAAAGAGACCACATTGTCGTCAATGAAGGCGCCAGTATTGGTTTGAATGCTGCCACTTTCCGTATTCTATACCAGCTAGGCTTGCTAGAAGCATGTCGCAAGGCTGGCCACCCATTGAGTCGCAAATGCACATTCTTCCTCGACGGACATGTTTGGGATAGTGCACTATTTGATCTTATGGTAGAAAGGTTTGTGTAGAATGTCCCTAAACGCGTAACTCAACAAGTATTAATTTTTTCACAGCCACGGCTTCCCAATGATTCTGTATGATCGTGTTGACCTTATCCGCGTCTTATACGACGCCCTGTACAAAGACCACCACAAGCTCCTCACCTCCAAAAAATTAGATACCATCACTACAGATGATACTGGAGTAACGGTTACCTGCAACGATGGTTCCAAATATTCGGGCTCGATTGTTATTGGCGCAGACGGTGTGCACAGCAAGACGCGGCAAGCTATGCGCAAGCTAGCTCTCGCAGCAAACGTGGACAAGGAAATCTGGGAAGCAGAGAAGCCCTTCCCGGCTTTATATAGAAGCGTTTATTTCAGTTTCCCGCGAACCACACCGCAGGGCGTCATGGCCGAGACACACAGCGAGGGAAAATCGATCTTCTATGTGACGGGCACCGACCACGCGTCTGTATTTCTGTGCGAGAATTTGCCCGAGCCGACAACAGAACGATCAAATTATACCGAAGATGACAAAAAAGCCATCATCAAGCGATTCTGGGACTTTCCTATTATCGAATCACTTACAGTGGGTGATGTGGCGGAGCAGGAGTACATTGCATCAGGCATGATTGATCTTGAAGAAGGTGTGGCCAAAAAGGCCAGCTACGAGCGAATTGTGATTATCGGTGATGCGTACCACAAAGTCACGCCACATTGCGGCCTGGGCTTCAACATGGGCGCTCAAGATATCGCAGTGCTGGTCAATCTACTCAAGGATGCAGTGGACACGAGCAAAACAGGAGAACCCACCACAGAAGCATTGAACACCGCGTTCCAAACATATCAAACCAGTCGGGACAAGAATGTTAGCAAAGACATGGTTGTAGGAAACCTTCTGGTGCGGATGAGCATGTGGATGAATTGGAGCTTGTGGCTACTGGGCAGATACGTCTTCACGACGAAGCTGTGGGAATGGCTCTTCCTTAAAAGGCTGCTATCGGACGGAATCAAGTGCGGTTATGTGTTGAATCATATTCCTGGAGAGGAGCCGTTCGTGGGCAAGATACCTTGGGATAACAGGATACCTGCACAGCTGTGAGTAAGACGGATATATATGGCGAGACGTAAAGGTATATCACCACTCAATTTGTGTGTACAAATATAATATCAATTCTACACCGAGAATTTTTATTTCAGAATATGTACATATTTTATGTTGTTGCTATTCCATTCATTCGTCCTGTACAACATTTGTAAAGTGTGCGGGGTAGGAGTGCATCAATACGGATGAATAATGTCCGGCAGATGGAGACACAGTGAGGCTGAATACTTGCAGTGAATATACATGAATAGTATAAATAACACGCACATCCCATAATCAGACGCATCCTTTCCACTTTGTTCATATCAAATCTCCACTCGCAAACATGTCCGCCACCAAGGCCCATCTATCACCAAACAACATCACGCAGCTAAATGTGCTGCTTCAGCCAGCAAACCATGCTCTCATCACCAAGACATCTGACCCAGACAAATATAAATCATGCATCGCGCGATGGTCCTCCGCTGCCATAAAGGAGGCCGGTGCCGTTCTTGTGCCTGAGACTATGGAAGCAGTCCAAATTGCCGTCAAGTTTGCCTCCCAGAACAACATTGATCTTGCTGTCCGCGGCGGCGGCCACTCAACATCGGCATCCAGTTCCACCGATGGCGGCCTACTCATTGACTTGGGGCGATCATCCAAGTTCACCCAAGTCACTGTTGACCAGTCCAAGAAGCATCTTCACGTAGGTGGCGGTGCGATCTGGGGTCAAGTTGACGATGCTGGCTTTGCTGCTGGCCTTGCAACAGTAGGCGGCACAGTTGCAGATACGGGTGTAGGTGGACTCACTCTTGGCGGAGGCTATGGCTTCTTAAGTGGTAAACTAGGTTTGACTATTGACAACCTAGTGTCTGTCACATTAGTCACGGCAAACGGAGATTCCCTTACCGTGAACAAGGACGAGAATGCAGAGTTGTTCTGGGCCCTGCGCGGTGCTGGCCACAACTTTGGCGTTGCCGTCGAGTTTGTTCTACAGGGTCATGCTTATGGTACAGGACCAGCAGAAGAGCGCGAAGCAGGCGGTGCGGATGGAGGACAGGCATATGCGGGAATGCTCATATTTTCCCCGGACAAGCTTGATCCCGTCATTACGCTCATGAACAAGATGTATGGTGTTGGTGGAACAGTAGGAACAAGCGGCGCTGGTGGCTTTGCTTTTGCGCGTCCCCCGCCAATGGGTGGTGCTGTGGTCATCATTTGTCCTGTGATTTGGCATGGTGATGAAGCATCTGGACGTGCAGCATTCCAAGAGCTTATTGATCTCGGGCCTATCGTTGAGGACGTCAAGATGATAGATTACCCCGGTATCAACAGACTCTTCCAGTTCGCGCCTCAGATTCGCGCCAGCATGAAGGGACTTACATTTACTCTACCCATGCGCAATGAGTTTGCACAGCAAGTGTTGGCCTCGTATACCAAATTCACCGACTCGGTTCAGGATGCCAGCGACAGTCTGGTCCTATTTGAACTGTTCGATCCGACTGTTGTCGACGCCAAGGCCACCAACACAGACATGGCGTTTAGCAACCGCGGGCATCACTTCAACGGTATGGCTGGTTCTGTCTGGCAAAAGGAAGAAAATGATCAAACGTGTCGACTTTGGGGTCGCGAGGTGGCTGCTTTGTTCCAGCAGGAGCTGGAGCAGAACAGGGGAGCAGCGTCAACCACGGTGGTGCCCAACAACACTGATGCAGTGATGATGTATGGCAACTATGAGCGTAAGTGACGGAATGAATTGCTACTTAACGAATAGTGCTACGCTAATGCAGACACAGAATCACACGACAGGGCTCGCTCCGTCTTTGGCGCCAACTATGAACGCCTGCAGAAGCTCAAGGCGCAGTATGATCCAACCAATGTGTTTAACAAGCAGTTTAGAATTGAGCCGCAGGCCTAGTCATTTGGACATAAAGACAAAAGTCTCTCGGAATGTTCTGGATATGGTCAAGCCACGCAACTTGGACAAGGCTGTAGAAAAGGGGAGCGCCAAAACAACGTACAATGCATGGTCTGCGCGAGGCTACACGCCTATATGTTAGTGGAAAATCACTGTGATGTGCAGCCCAAAATACACCCAAAACAGAAAGTGGCCGTGGCTACGGAGTTGGGTCGATGCTCATGGGGGGTAGTAAAATTAGTATAAATTCTGCTTAAACCCACAACATTTATTTTTATTGTTTGAAGAGATCAATCTATTCAGCTTTACTTCATTTTTATAACAGAAATTCGCATCTACTCTTTTTGCCAATTTTATTCCACTTATTTTGGTCTACGAAATCAGCCAATTGATAACCAAGATAGCCGTTGAGAGCAGCCCAGAGAACATTGCAGCCATGGAGAACATCAAAGCGCTCGTCAAGACCAATTTTAGGTTTGAAGAGGGTACAGTAACGGTAAAACCTATGGCAAGCACCAGCAACAACTAAGTATACCTCATTGAATTATCCTTTCCAACGACATCGCCGGTCCAATCCTTGATTCCCCGCCCACTTGCACACCCTATCCCCCCAGGCACTTCGCAGCTCGTCGTCCGCATGCCCAAGACCAACGTGAGTATGGAAGATTCGGTCCGCGTACGCAACGAAGTCGTTTTTCTGGCCCAGGCTCGCAAGGCTCTTGGTGCGGTAGATGGCCACGCTGCACTGTGCCCGCGCGCCTATGCCTGGGACGATACGAACCTTGAAACTCAATTTATTGTCGAAGAGTTTAAAAACGGAGAGCACATCTTGGCTGAAGAATTTTCTGTGCTTTCCCCCGCGGACCAAACCCATATTTTTACGCAAATTGCCAAGTTCGTCAAAGCCCTCCAAACCATCAAGCTGCCCGAGGGAGTTGTCTACGGAGGTCTTACATTTGATGGCGAAGGCGTCATATCGAGCACAAAATGTCCCATTCCTTGCGGTGGCCCCTTTAAGACGTACGCCGAATTTGTCAAGGATATGTGTACTTGACAGCTCGAAGCAAGTGAGAGGAGCAAGCACCTAAATGGGTGGAAGGGCACGCCAAAGCTTCGAGAGCGATTGGAAGTCTTTTTCGCCAATGGCCGAGACAAAGTGTTACAGACCATTGGGGAAGATAGACCGACCCTAACACATGCAGATCTTGGTATGTTGCAATGTTTCTAAAGATAAGGTAGAAAGCTAACTCAGACGCCAGGCATGGGCAATCTGCTCTTTGATCGCGAGACAAAAACATTAACCGCCGTTATCGATTTTGACTTTTCCCACGCCGGGTCCCCGGTCTCGGAATATCTCTTCTCGTTCTACGACGTTGATTATCTCCTAACTAGTAGTGTTGAGCCGAATGGTCCTATGCGCGGGTTCCTCCTGGACGGTTTCCCCGAAGGAGACGAGCACAAAGGTATTGATTCGGAAAATGTAGGTGAACTACAGAAGGCTCGACGCTTTGATACTGCTTTTGCCAGTCAGGGCGTCCCGCGGCCCAGCACTATTGGCTATGCAGCAGCAGCGTCTGATATATGGTGGTTTTAACAGGAGTTGTGCCAAGCGTACTGGTTCATAGATGGGTTTTTGGCACGCAAGACGCCAGAACAGCTAGAGAGTATGCAGAGCAGTGCCGCTGCTAACCTAGAGAAGTATCTTGATGGTTGGGGATACTGAGGAGGGACATACTTATCGTAGCTTTAATTAACAATAGTATATTGTAAGTGGGAATCTTGCCTTCTAGTATTAAGTAGTGCTTGAATTGGCTTTTCTATTGCATCATTCGACTTTATCGTGCGAGTATGCCCTCACTTACAACTCTTAAGTTGTTGCCAGAGAAGGATGGCTTCGGGGCAGAGTCGAACTATTTAACTAAGATATCAAAAAACTATATTTCAATTTCGATGCGCTCCTAATACTCTTTTTAACCTTTTGGCTTATTCTAACTTTCCAGGTATGACGTTTTCAATGGCATCTCGGCTACGGATATAACTGCGATGCTAAGCGGCCCTTAAGCCGAGCCTTACCCCAGATTATCCCCGGCTTAACACAAGGCTACCTCCCGTCTCTCGCTCCTTTGACTATTTTGTTTTTATCTTTTATCTATAATTGAATAATTAAATACAAAATGATTTATGCGGATACGCAGACACTAGATGAGGAGCAGTTGTCTACGCCGAGAAACGGGGATATTGGCGTACCGCAACGCCACGGACAAGATGCCGAAAAGGAAACATCGAGGGAGCCTCCCGATGGCGGATCGAGAGCTTGGCTGGCACTACTTGGGTCGTTTTGCATCTTGTTCTGCACTTTTGGTCTAATAAATGGTACGCATTAACCAAATTTTATCCACATTTCCTCCATTGAGCCTTCAAACGTATCCTAACCATGGCCAGGTATTGGTGTATTCCAAGGATATTATCAGGAAGTCCTGCTTCGGGACTATCCTGCCAGCACTGTTGCGTGGATCCCATCACTGCAAATCTTCTTTGCCTATCTTACTGCATGTCCCCTTACCAGAACTTTTTGTACGAACTGTCCTATTAACACGCGGTAGAATCCGTTTACCGGTCGCTTATATGACTTATACGGACCCCGGTATTTGGTCCTCGGCGGCTCGATGCTCCAAGTCGTTGGCATGATGATGACGTCGCTATCGACGCAGTATTATCAGATTCTGCTAGCACAGGGCATCTGCACCTCCCTAGGCATGTCTGCGATATACGTACCAGGTATTTCACATCATCTTATGCAAAACATTATTTGTAGATCTAATTTATGAGCAGCTACCGCACTAATAGCGGGCTGGTTTAGCAAACGGCGCGGCATGGCATATGGCATCGCGACGAGCGGTTCGAGTTTTGGCGGCGTGGTTCTACCCATTATGATCCGTGAGCTTATTCCAAGAGTTGGTTTCGCGTGGGCAATGCGTGCCTCTGCATTTCTTGTGCTTGGGATGCTTGTCGTCGCAAACTTGACAGCTGCTGCTTGCCAGCCCCCCAACCCGAGTCCTCTATCACGAAAGGCCTTGCTTGGTCCTTTTATTGATCTCAAATTGATGCTTGTGAATTTGGGGTTTCTGATATTGACCTTTGGCGTCTTTATCCCGATTAATTATATTACGGTCGAGGCTGTGACACATGGTATCGATCCCGACCTGGCGCATTATCTGGTTGCGACGATGAATGCCGGCAGCCTCTTTGGCCGTGTTTTCGCAGGCCTGATTGCTGATATTGCTGGCGTTTACAATACATTTACTTCTGTTTCCGCGGTGGCCGGCATCTTGGTGCTTGCATTTTACATTCCCGCCTCGAGCACTGCTGCCATCTTTGTGTTTTCCGTCTTGTTTGGGTTCACGTCGGGGGCGTACATTGCTCTGATTGCTCCGCTAATTGTCAAGATATCACCGCTGTCTGAGTCTGGCTATCGCATTGGGCTTCTCTTCTTTCTCTCGTCTGTGAGCGCTCTCGTCACGAATCCGATTGGCGGTGCGATTGTAGAGAGATGGCATGGAGACTACACGGGTATGAAGATCTATTCTGGCATTATGATGCTTGTTGGTGCGGCTGTTATTTTCTTGTCTCGGCTGATAGCGACAAATTGGGAAGTTTTTGTCGTGTTTTAAGGGTTGAACCTCTGTTGACGGCAATTGTTGTATGGTTTTGAAGACAGAAGTCTGGGTTTGCGTTCATATTTATAATCTGTATACTGATACACCCCATCCAAACGGCGCAACTTCCTGGTTTTCCGCCAGCGGCCAGTAATCAATATAGCTAAGAATCATCTGCACAAGTTCTACTGGCAGCTTGCGTCCAGGCCATCTGCCTCGGGAAAACATCGCTTCGAGCCATTGCTTGCCATGCTGCTGTGGCGGCACGTTCCTGGTCGAGCAGATGCGAACGTGCGGATCCACGAGGTGCATGGCAATCATTCTTCGGTGGTAGGGTCGGCCTCTCTCGTGTAGGAATATTGATGCATTACTTCGATGCAGTGCGTTGGGATAAGCAACCAGGCGGCCGTCGGGCATCACAATTGGGCCAACGCTCTGCATGGTGCGATATTCAGCAGGCGGATTACCAGGAGGAAGAGTTCGAGTGCCCTCTGTGATGCCGTATTGCTCGACAAAGAAACTGGAGTAGAGATCGGGCTGGTACAGTCGCGGGTATAGTACAGTCGGGGCTCTCAGGCTCATAGGGGCCATTGTGGCATTTGTGTTGACCGAGTCAAAGTACATGACGCTCGTGGCCACAATATGCTCATTGCGATAGCCGTTGATTCCGGACGGAAACATTGGGCTAAGTTAGAATCAATTAGCATGCATCTAGTAACGCGACAATGGTATGAGTCGATCTTACAGATATGTGGCTCTTTGATCTGGCTCAATCTGCTGTACCTCAATAATAACTTGTAGACCCTCGTCTTTGAATTGCTCTTGTAGTTTAATCGGCTTGTAAGGCTGATGCTTCTCTGGCTTTGGACTCTCAACCCATGCTGTTGCTTCCGTCACAGGTGGTATAATGGGTGTATATGCGTCGCCTCGCTTCCAGTCCTCGTAGGTGAACGATATACCCGGATCAGGGTGAACATGCTCAGGGAGATACTCCGAATGCTGTTCGATGGCGTCGGCCAGCGTGCCACGGATAACATCAGGCTCGTCGCGGGTCATAATCTGTGCCCTTAGGTCATCCTGTCTAAAAACGGGGTGGGGAAGACGTCGCAGGTACTCTTTCACAAGCGGTAGCATTGCAGTGTACAGAGGTCCAGTAGGGTCTTTATCTGCCTCGGGTAGCTTCGAGGCCCATGGCGGCAACTTCGTTGCCCACTCCGCACCGTAGGTAAGAATGCGCGGCGGGTGGCGCGGTTTGTCCTTCCAGAGGAGAACCTCGTTCCACATGGGCACGGAGATGGAGATGAGCTCTTCGATGCTCTCGTACAAGTCTTGGTGGCCATGGTATGGGATACCGTTGATATAAGATGTGATTTTGACTTTTGGTGCCACGTCTTTCTCACCAGCCTCTATAAAGGACACTTCGCATGGGAGCCATTGATGATCTGTTTTCGTTTGCGCTTTAGCGGCCTCGTCAGAAAAGACAATGTGGTTCTGTGCAGGAAATGTGGCAAGACTGCTCATATTTGGAATGGTGGGCTCGTCATCCAACTCAGTAGTTTTACTGCCGTCCACCAAAATCGGCGACGTGCCGTAGACCAATGGATAGGCAGACGGGTTTACAAGCAGGCGCATAAATCGCCAGCCGCCAAATGGTATGTCCTCTGTGGCTACCAGATGCTTGATGCCCTGTGTGAAGCGGGTGAGAAGACTCGGTGAGACTGCTTTGTCAGTCTTGCAAACCTGCGAAGCGGATTCATACACAGTGACATATCCCGTTTCTTCATCAAAGGCGCGGGCCTTGTCACGCAGCTCCAGCAAGCACCAGTCTTTGGCTTTTTGACTAAGTGGCATAAAGGTGTGCTGCTTATCAATCATGGCCCGGGCGCTGTCATCGTCCATGATCTTCTTGTGCCAGCCAGGCCCGTCCGTAACGAGGTTCATGCAGATCATCATGGACAGCTCCATACCCGTGAGTCTGTCTTGGCACCAGTCCCCGAAAGGGTGGGCAAAGCGATGATCCGACGGCGGCTCTGCATTCAACGGCAGGCCGAGGCCGGGGACCATTAAAGGTTGCGTTCCGGCATGATTGTCAAAGACCGGCGTTGTCGGTATTGGTCTGTCGTTCTCTTCGCTCCGAGACGAGGGTACAGACGAGCCAGGAGTACCGTGTCGCGGAGACAAAGGAGATGATGCCGCCGCTAATCTCGTCATTATCGTCAAGTTTTGATTATTGGCATAGTGAGGACGAAAGAGGCGGCGGCCGAACGAGGTTTACAATGTCGTGTATATCAGGGCTCTGGCGTGTTTGGCGAAGCTAGTGAATAGGTAGTGGAGAAGGTAGCTGAGCAGAACCGGTGTGAAAGCGAGCAGGCCAGCCCGATTGCTTACATCTAGTGAACTTAGTGTGGATTTGCAGGGGCAAGCAGTAAGCCAGTACAGTAGGAGTACTGTAACGGCGGATACATGCCGTTGTCACTCACTTCCAAATCTAGTAGTCCAGGGGAAAATAAAGCCCCTACGTCTATTGTAATGGTTCCCTATGTAGAGTACCGGTACCTATATTTTTCTATCCACCCCACGGATGGTCGTTTGCTGGTGCTCGCTCTTGCGTAGCCTCCTTGGAAGCCTAGGTCGCGGCAGTTGCCCGTCGCATGAGCATCACAGCCTCGCATAGAAGGTTCTGCGATGGAAAGAAAAAATTTGAAAAAATGAATTACGGCTTACTGAGGAAGACTTGAATCATGGTGACAGTAAATATGCGCAATTACTATATAGGGCGCTCTGTTTCTCGTGTTGTTGAACTATTAGCTCTTTATTCACTACATGCTACCCTATACATAAACAAGATCCCAAGATCTTCATTCTTTTTTCTTCTTCTTCACATATTTTTTATTTTATATATGTTTCAAAAACGATCTTCCCCAAGACTCTTGTTATTCTTGCGGCTAGCCTTGCTGCCGCGTCCTCCCCCGATGTCCGTGGTACTTGTGCTGAAGGCATAACAAGGTCTGTTACGGTGGCAGCGTGCTCGCCGTGGCCAAGCACGTCAACGCCCGCGTCAAGTCTTCTATTCTCTACGAGGACGTCGCCACAGCCATTGACGGCGGCAGAGATGCCAAAGACGCCGGTGCTAATGAGCTCCTCGGCTGCGGCAAGAATGGTGGCCAGATGGGCGTCGCTGCCAACCTGACCAACCCGCTGTACAGCACCAAGGCTCACAAGGACAGTGGTGCAAAGCCCGAGGGTATTATTATCAAGTTGGTCAAGGCTCCTCCTCCTTCTGCTTAGGCTTAACTTTATCTATATATTATGTAAAGAAACAAAAAATGGAACGGTTAAAACTTACATTCCGTGGCTCTTCATATGCTCGTGCCATTCTCTCTCCCCCAGTCCGCAATCACGTGGGTCTCACTTACACCGAGCTTTTTACAGAGACATTCTAGCTTCCCATTAGAAAACGAGGCGGAAATCCCAGAGTACCTGACAATGTGGAGCAAACCGAGTCAACCACCGCGTGGCCGGCTCAAGGTGGATTCTCCGATCGGGCTCAAGCCCGCACTGGAGCGCTTAATTCAACGTTGTTTGCAATGCTTTTATTGCTTTGGGCGAGGCTTCGAGACATCCGGGTGGAAGGGGATAATGCAATTATTGAAGGAGGACTGCTGGAGGAGGGTTGACTCATGATGTTGAACTATGCGAATGCTTGACTTCCAGTAGCATGCTGAAAAAATATAAAATAAAAATATATATAACTATCCCACGATATACAGTAAATAATAAATCTTCTCTTTTTGTTTAATAAATTACTCTAATTCTATTCATCTCATGTCTGGCGATATATCTCCAACATCACACACTATAGTGGCTGCGCTAACAAAGAATGGCGGAATTTAAAAAAAAAAATAAAAAAGAAAGAGAGTGAAAAAACTTTACGGCGCTAAACCAGATTGGGACTGCCGACTGCCAGGGGCCCTGTAAGGCGTATTGCCGCTTTAGGAAGTCGGGCTTTATGCTGCAGGCTTCCACGCAGCAACCATTTGCTGGAAAATGAGAGAATCTGATAAGAAAACAGGTCATGCGACTATAAGACATGCCTGAAATTTAGTGGATATTTTCACACCATTTTCTACTTGACGTTGCGTTGAGGTCGGCGTTATCCACTCCGAATCCGGGCCCTCCGTGAACCACCTCCCTCTCCCAGCTTTAATTGCTCCATGCTACTCTACAACTTAAGCGAGAAAATGCCCTGTATACTTCTAAGTAGTAAAGGGAATGAACATGTCTCGGACACCGACACGCTGATCGATCTAAAGGCGCGGTTGACCTCGCCGGTGTGATAGTCACGCCACACATACACACACCTCGGCAAGGGAGCAAACACTCAGTGACATGGTAAGAGAAAAAGCAACATTCCACTATTACACCATCTGCCTAAGCCGCCCATACACGAGGGCGTTCTGGGGTGGTCCCAGCGTTTTTTGCGTATGAGTGGGCGATGTCGGGCCCCGGCGGGCAGTGGAGACGAGGCCGGATCGAAAGCCGGCCTCGTGAGATGAGGGCCGGAACTTGGAGCGGGGAGCACAGATTTTTCTTCCATTGTGGTCTGAATGGCGGCATGGGTGGAACTATGCATTAATCAGAGGGGTAAGAGAGGGGGAAGTATATGAACGAGCTTGAGGCCCGCCCTCTCGATTCAAGAGCATGTCAAAGAGCTACGCTTGCTAGCACAACTTCTCTACTCTATACAAGATCCGATCCTTACATAGACTATATACAAAGCATACGCAGACTGCTGTCTAGTATAGCTATGAGCAGCAGCACAACCACCACCCGTCCCCCCACGCCAACCGAGAAGCTCAAGCCCCCCACGACAATCCTTACAGACGATGTCGAGGCGGCAGCAAACTCCAAGGACGATGACGAGATAGACTACCCCGACGGTGGATGGACTGCCTGGTCTCAGGTCCTTGTTGGCCACCTCATCAACGCCATGACATGGGGATACGCTGCCAGCTTTGGCGTGTACCAGCTACACTACGTGCAGACCCTGAAGCTCCCTTCGTCACAGGTCTCATGGATCGGCTCCGTCCAGATCTTTCTGTGCTTCGGAACATGCGTCGTATCTGGTCGTCTCTCAGACGCAGGGTATGCCCGTGAAACCGTCCTAGTCGGCTGCATGCTAGCCGTCTTTGGTACCTTTATGACCAGCCTGTGCCATACCTACTGGCAGATCCTGCTAGCCCAGGGTGTCTGCGTCGGTCTTGGACTCGGAATTGCCTTTATGCCAGCCATTTCGGTCTGCAGCTCGTACTTTGACAAGAACCGACCACTTGCGCTGTCTATCAGTGCTGTTGGCACGTCCGTCGGCAGCGTCGTCTTCCCGGCGACCGTGCAGTATCTTACACCGCAGATTGGCTTCCCCTGGGCGGTCCGGTGCTCGGCATTCATTGCGCTCTTATTTAGCGTCACGGCGCTATTGCTGCTCAAGCCGAGAATTGCTGGGCGCAAGTCTGGTCCTATTGTTGAGTGGTCGGCCTTCCGCGAGCTGCCGTATGTCTTGTTTGCGCTGGGCTCGTTTTTGAACTTTTACGCCATGTACTTTGCTTTTTTCTATGTAAGTCCTCTCCCAAAAAGTCGGAAAGAATGGCATACTAACCGATAGATGAATAGATTAATAGTTTCTCACGCAACATTATTGGCTTTTCGACTGTCGAGTCCGTCAACCTGCTGCTCGTCACAAACGGCGTGGGCATCCTTGCTCGTCCAGCGACCGGTTTGATTGCCAATAACTATCTCGGATCGATCAACACTTTCATTATTGGCACGGGCATCGTCAGCGTCATGCTATTTAGCTGGACTGCCGTGGCTACCAGGGCGGGCATGTACGCCTTTGCCGTGCTCTACGGTGTTGGTATCGCCGCGAACCAGAGCACCTTTGTCGCTTCGTTGGCAAGCTTGACCAAGGATCCGTCCAAGATGGGCACCCGGTTTGGCATGGTCGAGGCCATGTGTGCATTTGCTGCGCTGGCTGGTACACCCACAGCTGGTGTCATTCTCGACAAGATGCATGGCCAGTACATGGTTGCCCAGCTCTGGGCTGGCGGCGTAATGCTTGCAGCAGGCATCGTCTTTGTAGCATGCCGCATCTCGTGCACTGGATGGAAGTGGGCGGCCAAGATTTAAAAAAAAAATAAAACAGGTGATGGGCGGGAAAAACTAATGACTGAAAAGATTGAGATACCAAAAGCATTTTGCCTGCATTGCATTTAGCGAGGAGGGTTTGTGTGTTCATGCACAGACCCATGCTCGTTTAGTTGTTTATATTTACGTACAAATAATTTACATACAGTTAATGTTTCTTTTTATACTTTGGGCAGCTTGGGTAGCAGCTCGGCCACAAGCTGGGCAATCTGTGAGCCTTCCTCCCAGACAAAGTCATGCTTGCCGGTCAAGTTGCGAACGTCGTGGACGGGGATGTCCTCCATCTTGAGCCTAGCCAGCATACTATCCATCTCGCCAACATCCAAGTACTGGTCTTCCGTAGAATGCGCCAGCACCACCCATCGGTCGCCGGGCCACTGTTTGCGGTATTGCCCCTTGAACTTGGCAGGCGATGCGTTCTGCCAGTCGCGCTGGTTGGGGCCAAACGCAGCGGTGATGTACTTTGCATATTCGCCCTTGGCATGGTCGTTGAGTCGCACTAGGTCATAGAGGCCCGAAACACCAATAATGGCAGTTGGCAGCGGAGGGCGCGGAATGGCCTCGGATGCCATGCCCATGAGCAGCTGGAAGGCGAGCGCGGCACCGGCGGACTGGCCGATCAGGATGTAGTTGTCGTTAGTAAGGCCAACCTTGTCAGCGACCATAGACAGGCCGGCAACCACATCGTTGAGGGGCTCGGGGTACTTGACGCTGCCGCTCTCCTCAGGGTTGGTGATGCGGTAGTCGAGTGAGATGAAGCCGCGGATGGACGAGCGGGCAGGATATCCCGGAGCAGTCATGTGCTTCATCGACGCCGTAAAGTCACCAAAGCTCTGGTGTGGAAACCACCAGAAGCCGCCGTGGATATAACTAGAGATGTGTGTTAGTTGAAACGCACTATGACGTAGGAAGAGGGGGAGGGGGATGTGTGCTTGCATGAGCCAATATCCGTCGCTTTTTGCTTCTTTCCATTCCCAGACGGCGACTTCTTGACGCTCGTGGTCGCCGAATGCATGGCTGGAAAAGACGAGCCCGGCGGAAGCCATTGTGAGTGACGATGTGGGAGTGATGGTTGTGGTGATGTCGACAGAAAATGGTGAGGTTCTGCTAGTGCGGAAGTTCGGGTGTGTGGGCAGCGAGTGGTGGAGCTTTGCTTCCGGACAGCCAGAACCGACTGCTCCATGTTAGATGTCCAGTGAGTAGCTAAATATGGCAAAAGTAAATTATCGGATAAATTTAACAAGAAATATAATAGGATAGAGATTCATCAGATGAATTTAGTATTTTTTTTGTTTCCGTTGCTGAACTGGCCCGCCGACGACTACGACGGACATGATATTCTAACCACTACCCCAAGAGATCTATTCGCTATATACGCCCGTCTTGATACAAAATGCATTGCATAAAAGAAATCCAAAACAAAATGCTTAATTGGAGGGAATCTGCAACTCCTCTTCACCAACAACCCACTCGTCCTCGTCTTCCCAGACCGGCGCCACCGTGAAGCGGCCCATGATCTTGCCCATGCCTACACATTCGCCACCAGACGGACCAGGCGTTGTAGACGTGCCGTTTGTTGGCTTGACATCGCTCTCCTCGACAATCACGGCCGTTGTCAGAAAGTTCATGCTGGCTGCAGGGCTCATCTCCATGACGCGCCCGCCCCAGACAAGCTCGACCTTGCCCGACTTGCGCACGTTGAGCTTGCCAATCATGCCGCCCTGTGAGAGGAATTGTGATCGGAAGCCGTCCTTTTCAATCTTCTTCTCCATTTGCTCTTTTTCATCTTCCTCATCAGAGGAGTCGTCGTCGTCGTCATTATCCTTTGCTTCGTCCTCGGCTGTGAGGTCTACCATACCGGAATCACCTCCCGCAGCTTCCGACGGCTCGTCCTTAACTTTGGATTTTGGCGCGGCGTCGTCCTGCTTTAGTGGTGGCATGACAGGCGGGAATTGGAAGAGGTATAGACGGCCGTCCTTGTTGGCCACTTCTGTGATGGACTCGCCTTCCTTGTCCATGGTGACGGCTCCCAGCTCTCTGGCAAGCATATCCAGATCTTGCTGAATGACAGCATCCTCTGGGTCTCTTGGTACTGTCTTTTTGAATTGGACCGTCTTTTCCTTCTTGGGCGCAGGCTTGATGCTGGCATCAATCTCCATGGCGTCCTCGTCGCCAGGCTCTGCCTTGACCACCACGGGATGCTTCGACTCGGTCTCCCACACGCCCACTTCGGGCTTGTCTTCTGGCGTAATGGTTCCGCTGTCCACCCATAGACTTTCTTCCACTGCGTCTTCCGTAGCGTTTTCAGCGGCTTCCAACTCGGCTGTTGTTCTCACAACCACCTCAGCTTCCTTGTGCTTCTGTCTAAAGACACCCATTGGCAGCAACGACGGTTCTCGGTTGTTCAAAGCAGCAATCATGTCTTCGTCGTCGCTGTTGAGCTCTTCGTCGGGCGCTACTCCGTATAGTCGGTCGGCATTGATTCGCATTTCTCGTGATTCGCGCGCTACACCAAATCCAGGACCACCCTCGGACTTGTATCCAGGACGGCCGCCTCCACCGCCGCCTCCACCACTAGATCCAAACCATCCACCTGATTTCATACCACCTGGAGTAAATACATGTTAGTTGACGTATATCACTCAGGAAAATCATATACAAACCTGCGCCTGCCTGGCCGCTTGCAAATGGACCACTCGCTGTAGTAATGGGCCGCCCAAATGTACCGCCTCTGCTTCCCATTGCATCACCACGACTGCGCTTGCTGCGGAACCGTGAACGACCCAATGCTTTTCTCTCTGCTGCAGCTCGATCGCTGGCCTTCTTTTCTTCCTGCTTGGCTAGGGTGTCTCGATCGGCCTCCTCTCGACGGACGGCCTTTGGTCTGAACCGCGCTGTACCACCTCCTCGTGTGGCCCTGGCAGATGCTCCTCCTCTCATTCTGGGGGCCGGTGAAGCTTCTGTTGAATCAGCAGCCGCAGCAGCAGGCTGTTCTGAGGTTGTGGCGACCGGTTCTCCGGCTTCTGGTTGTGGTCTGTCGGTTGCAGCGGCGGTTCTCCGCGTGCCGCGGGCGGTGGCCCTGCCTCGAACCATGATGATTGGAGGCGCACCAGATATTGAAAGCAAATTGAATTGTTCGAAGTAAAATCAGGCGCTGTTAAGGTGGGTGTCCTGGATCGTCGCTTTTGCTGTTTAAAAAAGAGTCAGAATTCCAGTTGGAGCTTTGGGAAAATTCGGGCGGTGGAGGGGCAGAATGGTGGGTCACAGGCGAGGCGCCGGCGAGGCGGCCGGCCCCACGCCGTTGAGATTCTGTGTTGGAAGGTAAGGGCCGTAGATGTTGGTAATAAAAAGATATAAATTATTTAGTTTATATATTGGGAATCGACTATACAGTAAAACAACATAATAGAACTGAAGTGTAGCGTTGGTTGTTGTAGATATGGATTCCTGTTGTGAAGCTTTCTCTATGTATACAATACGCATGCAGAACGCCCATAAACATCAAGTAATAATTACCTTATTCTATACACATTAATGCTCCTTTTCCAAAAAGCTCTTCAAGACTTCCTTCCTGTGCAATCATATTTCCTATCCACTCTCGTCCCGCCTCAACGGCTGGTGCGCCAAACTTGACAATAACACAGCCTCGGACATTGGCAGCGGACCACAGGATCCCATCTCGTTTTTCTCCTTCTAATCTTTCTGATCGCCAAAGTTCAAGTTCCGTCTTGTTTTTGTCTTCTTGTTGTCGATCTTCTGCTGTTCTGAAATCTCGAGAGCCTAGTCGTGGAAGAACAGCAAATTCTGATAGAAAGAAGTCGCCCAGCGGCTTCATCATATCGCCGCGCAGAATTAGAGTTCCAACCAATCCCATTTTATTCATAGTGTCACGCAAAGGTCCCTCTCCGGAATGCCCTCCACCACCGTCCAGGATGACTGTGTCTCGCACGAGCAAACGATCAGCAGCCGTTGCGTCACTGGCTGCCAACCACACTTCGTTCCGCCCTGTCCAACTGACAAAACTCCAGTTTTCTCCTCTAGCACCTCGTCCTTGAGTAACCCAGTCCAACAAACAAAGAGACGATCCCTCTTCGGCATGGAATTTCTGCGTTTGTGTATAGACACTGTCCTCAAACGGCTGGACAGGATCAGGCAGCAGACACAAAGCTCCGCCTTTTTCAATTCTGTAGTTCATCACTTGACTAGTGATGACATCTGGCGACGGGGATTTGAAAATCTTGGTATGACCTTGTGTGACTAAGCTGAGTCGTGAGCCAGCAAGAACAGTTACCTCAAGCACAACTTTGTCACCACCAACAAGCCCGCCGCCGTAAGAGAGTAAGAATACAAGTACACTTTTATGCGTACTCGAAGGGGACGGAGAAATCAGTTTCAACGGGTATTGAAATGTCATTGTGCGCAGTGAGCTGCCTCCCGCCGGCAACGGAGCTGAGACGATGATGCCGCCGCCAGCAGAGGAGGATGATTTCGGAAACGGAGATTCCATGGCTGAGAGAATATTAAATAAAGACTGAATTCATGACGTTTTGCAAACACAAAAACCAAAAAAGAACGAGAAAGGAACAGTAAGAAGAAAACAAAACTGAATTTTCCGTAATGCAAGGTGCGCAGAGGTAGATAGTGGTTTATACACAGACGGACGGTGCCGCCCAAAGCCCGTACAGCGGCCCCCATTTAGCCGTCTATTACCCGAGTAGCCAACCGTTCCGGCCAAACGCAGCGATCCACCTGCTGAAACCGACAGCCTGAAGCTTTCCCCCAACACCCACCCGGCTGCGACCGCAATTTAGCAGTGGAGAAGCGAGACACGGACGCGCCAGAAACAAGCACAAGCGGGTGTCACGACAGCTTGCAAGAGTGAATAGGCGCCGCCTGCAAAAGAAAAAGCGTGTCTCTGTCAATGTTACCTATTTAAATCGCTTCCTTTCTACACCTGTATTTTATTTCTCCAACTCCGTCCTCGCAATGGACAGCGAAGCCACGTCGGTTGTCGATGGCGATGGTGCCGCGCCACGTCGCTCCGGACGCGTCGTGAAGCCAACCACCAAGTACCAGGCCAGCAAACGCAAGCGCGGTGATGGCCAAGGCGACGACGATGATGACGATCTGGATTCTGACGAGGAGAGCGAAGAAGAGGACGATGACGACGAAGAAGAGCACCCCGCGCCGCGAAGCAGAGCCAAGGGAAACCGCAAGAAGCCTTCCATCAAGAAGCCCAAGATTAACGGATCGGGCCATGTGGCGCGTATCCCCAGTAGGCCGAAGAAGACGGTTCGCATTGAGGCCGGCAACAAGGGCACTGGTTTGTTTGGTAAGTGGTTTAGTTGATGATGTGGTTATAACCGCGTGGGGGTATTGTTGCATGGTACTAATGACTTGTTCTCGCGTAGCCGACATATTCGGATCTGGCGATTCCTCACAGACTGTCGCGCAGCAGTGGCTGGACAAGTACAGAGCAGATGACGCTGCTGCAATGGCGGATTTGGTCAATTGCATCCTGCAGTGCGCGGGATGCGACTTGGCGGTTACCGTCGACGACATTCGCGACCCTGAAAACATTCCCAACAGACTGATAGATCTTCAAAACGAATACCAAGAGGTAGGGCCATTATATTGTACACCGATTTGAGGTGACTGGCTAACAATTCTACAGCAAAGCATCACCGATTACCCGCTGGTATCCCGCGCCAAAGGAACCAGATCGTTCCGCGATATGCTTGTTTCATTCTTCGAATTGCTCGTCGCGCTCATCCATGAGACAGACGTCATGTACGAAGATGTCAATCTGATGGAAAATTTGCATGCTTGGCTAGCCAGTATGTCCTCTTCGGCGCTTCGACCTTTCCGACACACCGCCACCACCATCTCTCTAGCCACACAGTCCGGCCTTATTGACGTAGCCGGCATCCTCGACCGAAGAATAGCAAACATTGAACAGCAAGCGGCTGCTGCTAAGCGCGGAAAGACTAACAAGACCAAGTCTGCGGAAATTCAGCGCAACTTGACCGAGGCCAACAGCCATCGCCAAATTTGCAACCACTCGATCCAGTCCTTTTTCGACACCGTGTTTGTGCACAGATACCGCGATGTCGACGCCAAAATCAGAACCGAATGTGTCGAGGCGCTTGGATCCTGGATCTGGAACCTGCCTACAGTGTTCATGGAGCCCAGCTACCTACGCTATCTGGGATGGATGCTGTCTGATACCAATGCTCCTACGCGTCACGAAGTACTCAAGCAGCTGGGCAAGGTTTTCAGACGAGATGCAGAGAAGCTTGGCCATTTCATCGACAGATTCCGTCCTCGCCTCATAGAGATGGCAACCATTGACTCGGAAATCTCTGTTAGAGTGGCGGCCATCTCCGTTATTGATGCCTTGCGCGAAGCTGCGTTACTCGACCCTAGCGAAATTGATGCCATTGGCAAGCTCGTTTTCGACAATGAAATTAGAATCCGCAAGGCTGTCGTCAACTTCTTCGTCGCCTGTCTTGAGGATGTCAAGGAAGGCAAGCTGGAGGCCATGGGCGGTTCGGATGTTTTGGAGGAGATTGACGCCGGCGAGGACGACGAGTTCGACTCTCCTCGCCGTGAGTGGCTCGACATTAAGTGTCTTACCGAGACGCTGGCGATTTACAACTCACAAGTCGATGAAACTCAGTCTGGTGCTGGAGCTGCTGGTCAAACCATCGCCCTAGATATGTTGGAGGCTGCTGTCCCAGACACACGTGTCGCCCTTGCCGCACAAGTCCTGTACGACAAGATTACTGAGATTAGCAACTGGGAGGTTTTGGCTGGATATCTCCTGTTTGATCACACCACAAGCACCAAAGCCAGAGCCACTAAGGGTCGCTCGAAAAATGCGTCGCCAGAAGCCGTCTTCAAGCAAACGGTAGCCCCGACAAGCGAAGAAGAAACCATTCTGCTCGAGGTTCTCGGCGCCGGCGTCAAGATGAGCATCTCACACATTGGAGACCCCGACAAAGCCAGAAGCCGTGGTCGCGCAGACTTGGTTGAGTCTCAGGAGGACGTCGCCGTTGAGCTTGCGTCCATCATCCCCAAGTTGTTGAACAAATTCGGAGCCGAGGCCGAGACTGCAGCCATTGTCCTCCGCCTCGAACACTATCTCAACCTCGATGTCTTCCAGCAGCTGCGACAGGATGCCACCAAGTACGAGCGCCTTCTCAACGAGATTAGCACACAATTCATGCGACACGATGACAAACAAGTACTTGCAGAGGCCACAGCCGCGCTGCTTCACGCCAGACAATACGATGAGCTTGAGGAGCTGACGGACAGCAAAATCTCCGTGCTATGGGAGAATGTTGTCGCATCTCTCAAGAGCATTGAAAAGACTTGCGAGCCTAGCGTCCGCGGTAACCTCTCTGAAGACCAATTGCAGCAGCTCATCACGCTGCTGCTCAAGATTAGCAAGCTGGCTAGTATCTCAGATTGCATCGAGGTCCTCGAGGGAACCGGCAAGTCCAAGAAAAACGAATCAACACCCATCCAGATCCTAGTCAACCTCGTCCACCGCGGTAAGTATGTGCCGCAGGATGGCGAGATTGACGACTTGGAAGACGAGCTGGTGGCTCTGGCCATCAAGTCGTGCCAGTTCTACTTTATGTGGAAGATCCTAGCGCTTGCCAAGCGCCTCTCTGCCGGTGCTGCTGTCTCGGACGGCGAAATCGACAGCCTCTCCATCCTCCGCCAGACATACCGCCGCTACATCATCGAAACATTCTCATCACGGGCTGTCATTGACTCCCTCCGCCTCTTTGCCACAGGTTCGCTCTGCGATCTGCATCTTTCCTTTGCTACTCTCCGTCCCAAGATCAACGCCCTGAGCGCCTCATCAGCGCGCGCCGAGAAGTTCAAGGTGCTTGTCCAGGAAATCGAGCCTGGCTTGATTCCCGAGCTGACATCCATCTTTGACGGCGCCGAGAAGCAGTTTGCCAAGAAGGCCAAGAAGGACAGAATCCTCAACGAGCCCGCTGAGGACGAAGACCCTATTGACGACGATGAGGATGACGAGGACGAGGACGACGAGGACGAAGATTTGCCCAAGGAGGAGCGCTTTGCCGCCGAGCTCCAGGCCGAAAAGGCCCTCTGCGAACTCACGGCCAAATATGTCCTCGCCATTGCTGGCCAACTCATTGACAACCGCGGCTCGCACGCCGACAAGCTGCGCCGTCGTCTCCTGCGCAACCAGACCAAGCTGGGCAACAACTTCAAAGAAGTTGTGGCCTATCTCGATGAGAGTAAGCTCGCACGCAAAGAGAAGAAGGCAGCGCCGAAGCCCGCCGTGCAGCTCAGCAAGGCCACTGTCGACGACGAGGACATGTTTGACGAGGTGCACATTGAAGAGGGCTCCAGAGAAGACCTCATCAGACGGGAGCTTCTTGAGGAGGACCCCATCGACGACGCTGAGGACGACTAAGTTTCTTTGTTTTTGGGTTTGGGTTTTTGGGCTGGGCAGACTTTCGTTGAAAATATTGGGCATTGAGAACCTTGGGTTCCGGGACGACCTGCGTTTTGTTTCTCATCTTTTTTGTATTGCTTTGGACGGCCTTGTTTACATGTACGGAGTCAAATGTACACCAGGGTCTTTTTTGCACAAAATAGCAGCGGCGTCTACGTAGTCGTTTTGATGGATGGACTTGAAGGGTTTCGCGCTTTTGTTTCTTATTGTTCTAATGATTCTCATGGGCGTGTTTATATCTTGACGAAATTGAAAGTATTTCATATTTACATGCTGACTCTCTATGACACGGGGTGAATTAACTATATACAGAAGAGATGTTGCTCATTGTAGATCGAAGCCAAGGTGGATGGGATATTAAGTACAGGGATAAGTGTGTAGTCTAGTCGCAGATGCGAGTGCCAAAGAGCGCAAACATGCGTTGCCAGCGCTTATTCTCGCCAGCATCTGCTTTAGTTTCGTCATCTTCGGTCACACGCACGCCGTATTGGCAGATGCAACAGGGGAACGGCTTGTTCTTTACAGCCAAGAGAGCCTGTGAGGGTGCCGGTTTGACTGGCGAGCTGTCGGGCGGCGCGTTGTTGCGTGCAGCTGCGGCTAAGGCTTGTTCTTCTGCCTCTTCCTGCTCGGTGACGAGTTCTTCAAGGTCGCCCCAGAGGGTAAAAAGCTTTTCGCGCATTGATTGGACCTTGTTCTCGTTGACGTGGAGGTTGGATGCGTCAAGGTTGAGCAGGCATTGGCCAGAAGGGTTGTCGACAGCAGCCCAGATAGCTCGCTTGTCTTGGCCGTCAGGCACGTCGGCGTCTTCGAGTTTGAGATAGAAGCACCATTCCCAGTTCTTGGTAGCGCTGAACGAGGAGGGTACGTCAGAGTCGTAGTCGGAGGATGGAGCAGAATCCTCGTCGAGGAGGTGAGATTCTGGACGCTGTGCACTGGCCTTTTTCGGGCGTGCGAATTTGGCGAGAGTGTGTGGGTAGAAGTCGACGACGCGCACATAGGTGCGGTAGTTGCGGTTGGCGAAGGGAAGAGGGATGGACATGGTGGTGTCGCCATCAATGACTGGATGGTACTCGGGGACAAACATGTCTGCGATTATGCTGCTGTGGGCTGCCAGATTATCTGCTTTGACTAGAGAATGTTAGCATTGGCAGTGGCTTGGGATCATGATGATGGAAAACTGACTTTGTTTATTGACATCATCCGGCTCGGATATGCTATCATAGGCGACTTGTGTGCTGGGTCTGGTTTCCGGTGCGTTTAAGTTTGCTTCATCTTGAGTCAAAGACTGCGTAGTGTTTGTAGTGTCTGGTGTATTTGAATTGGCTGCTTCATATGCAGCAGCTTTGCCTTTGCGCGCAGCTTCACGCTTAGCTTTGGCATTCGATTTCCGTTTGCCCTTGGTCTCTTCTTCCTGCGTAGCCGCTGCTTTTCGCTTCTTGCCAGCCTCTGCGGCGCCTGAGATTTCAGCGAGCTGTTCTTTCTTCATCTTTTCGTACTGTTGCATCCGGCGGAGTGCATCTAGCAGCCGGGGATCGGCTTCATCGCGCTCCATGGAGCTCAGGTCATACGGTATGATGTTGATCTTGCTCGGGTACTGCTGGTCGCCACGCAGGTAGCCTTCCAGATTGGCCCCATTCCGACCAACTTTGATTTGCAGATTTTTTAAATACACCCATGACCCTTCATCGAGCTCGAGAGTGCGAATTGCGGTGGCATGCGGCTCGTAGCACGTAAGTTGCAGGCTTCGCTTGCCAAATGGGCCGGTCCAAGATTCCTCATCAGTGGCCGTGCTGGGTTCTGAGAAGCGTGTTGTGTAGCCGTAGCTGTCGCCTTTGTTTAAAGCGGTTAGTCCTTTCATAGTATGCTGATAGAAGTCGAGGTTCTCTGAGTAGTCGGATATCCAAAGTGAGTACATGCTGGAGAGGTCGTATGGCTTGCGAACAATCTGAGCGATTGTGTCGATAAACTTGCCGTCAGCGGCTTTGGAAAGTGGCACATATTTGTCTTTAACAACAAGTGCTCTGGTTGACCGTTCTTGAAACTCGGCTTCGGTTGGCAGGTTGTCCTTGCTTGAGCTATGGAAAAACTTGGAAACATAGCCGTCTTCCTCGGCTGTCGGTTTACGGCGTTGGGGCTTGTTGCTCGGTACCATCGCCACTGTAGCAGTTTTAGGGGGTCTAGGTATCGTCTTCGAGTCGTATATGTAGAAAGAGGTGGTCACATGTGTAATGAGGGAATGGAGGCCGAGCTGGAATTGCTGGACCTATATTGTGTAAGTGGATTGTTGAACATATTGGCAGTGTTACCGGGACGAACCTTGCCAGCAAAAATGAGCATTACATCGCCGCATTTGGCCTGCGGCATGGATGCTTGGTCTCGGAAAATGTTGACGTGCAATTGAGCACTATCGTGTTCGGTGGACGGATCAGTGAGCTTAAGTTGACATTTCCAGTCTATGCTTATATTAGCCAATGAACCTGTACAGCAGCTTAGAGATCACACCTTTGCCTCGAGTAGCCACGGGTGGCATAAAATCCGCAACAAACCCAATGACATTTACAAAAGTATTATTATCATGTTTTCCGTCCAGGATGTCTCGCAGGGGCGAGAATTGAGACGGCAAGCCAGCCATGGCGAAGAGCGGCTTCAAGGTGTGTCAATCATGGATTAAGAGTAAAGATTCGACTGTGTTAATTATGAGGGTGCATCTAAAACACCAAATAGAGTAGCGCTTTATCAATGCATTATCTGACAGATCTGCGATTTGGTGGTGAACAATTGTAGCAATAGTTTCGCAGTCGTTTTGTTTGCGTGACGCGCTGCTACGCCCATGAACAAAGGCCAGGCGCGTTGAGTGGTGCGTGCGATCTGCAGCGCTTGCTGCACTGTCCAACGCGGGAGCACGTGAGAAAGGTGGACGATGGCGTAGGTACTGGGTTGGGCAAAGCGACATGCAGTTCCAGTGCGGATACTATTACTTTGACATGTACCACTGGCACAACGAATACTTTCTTGTCGATGAGAAAACCTTAGTGGCGATATTTTAATGCCTCAGGACGCAAGCGCTGCAAGCCAATCCCCCCCTCTGCGCTCCCCCCTCCTCTCCACCGCCCCTCTACGCGCTGGCAACCCCTCCCAGACGCCCGCCCACCGCCCTGTGTTTTGGCCGCTTACAGCGCATTCGTAGCACCCACGGGGCCTAGAACAGCCCCCCATCAGCACGGCTTCAGCGGCAAAGAGGCGCACTTTTTTTTCTCACAGCAGCCCCGCCAGCTGCCCGCACTTCTCTCTGGCAACCAAAGAGACCCTTTCACAGGCCGTCCTGTTTTTTCTTTTCCTTCCCCCCTCTTCTCACTTCTTACATTCTCTTCTTCACCTTTTGTCCTCCCCTCCGCCCTCCCAACTTTTCACCTTCTCGCTGGCAGCTTGCATATTTTTTGGTTTTCTCTTCCAAAAGCTTGCCACTTGATTTTCCCGGAACCGAATACGCCGTCAAATCGATTCCACCGGATTCTCTAGCAATCAGCACCCCTCATTTTATAGTCAGAGCTACGCGTCTATCAACCGCCCAACATGTCTGAGCGATACATCCCCGAGCATCGCCGCACCCAGTTCAAGGCCAAGAACACCTTCAAGCCCGATGAGCTTCGTCGCCGCCGCGAGGAGCAGCAGGTCGAAATCCGAAAGGCCAAGCGCGAGGAGAACTTGGCCAAGCGCCGTGGTCTGGCCACTGGAGCTGACCGCCCTGGAGCTTCCCTTGGTGCCGCCCCCGACAGCGACGATGAGTCCACTCCCACAGAGTCCCAGGTACGTTTTTTCTTGTTTGTTTGTTTGATGCCCAGCCCGATATATTTCTCGGTTCTTTTTTCTCTACTCTCGTCTTCCTCTTTGTTGCGGCACCCCGCTGGAATGCCTGGCGGCCATTGTTTTGTTTGTTGATGTGGGGGATCATTTCCACACCGCAGGAACCCCACATTCATATGCTTGCGAGATTGCTTTCTTGCTGTACTGCAGATGGTGGGCCAGCGGGATGACGAAAGAGGCGAGAGAAAAGAAATTTTGAGTCAGAAATGCATTGCTGCTCATGCTACTGCTATTGCTGCGTTTAGTGAGTTGCCATGGCTAACATGTTTTGTGCGCCGTATAGCTCAGCGAGGACCTCCCCCAGATGGTCCAGGGTGTCTTCTCCGACCAGATTGAGGAGCAGATCCAGTCCACAACCAAGTTCCGCAAGCTTCTCTCCAAGGAGCGCAACCCCCCGATCGAAGAAGTCATCAAGACTGGTGTCGTCAGCCGTTTCGTCGAATTCCTCCGATCCCCTCACACCCTTGTCCAGTTTGAGGCTGCTTGGGCCCTGACCAACATTGCCTCTGGCTCTGCCACCCAGACTCAGGTCGTCATTGAGGCCGGTGCCGTCCCCATCTTCGTCGAGCTCCTCGCCAGCCCCGAGCCCGATGTCCGCGAGCAGGCCGTCTGGGCCCTCGGTAACATTGCCGGTGACAGCCCTCACTGCCGTGACTACGTCCTGAGCTGCGGTGCCCTCAAGCCCCTCCTCGACCTCCTCGGCGACAGCCGCAAGCTCTCCATGCTCCGCAACGCCACATGGACTCTTAGCAACTTCTGCCGTGGCAAGACCCCTCAGCCTGACTGGACCACCGTAAGTCGTGGATATTCAATTCAAAGTGCGTGCACCAAGCTAACACATGCCATAGATTGCCCCCGCCCTCCCCGTTCTCTCCAAGCTCGTCTACTCTCTAGATGACGAAGTCTTGATTGACGCCTGCTGGGCCATTTCTTACCTCTCAGACGGTACCAACGAGAAGATCCAGGCTGTTATTGAGGCCGGTATCCCCCGCAGACTTGTCGAGCTCCTCCTCCACTCCTCGACCTCTGTTCAGACACCCGCCCTCCGATCCGTTGGTAACATTGTTACTGGTGACGACCTCCAGACTCAGGTCATCATTAACTGCAGTGCCCTCTCCTGCCTGTTGTCTCTTTTGAGCTCCACCAAGGATGGCATCCGCAAGGAGGCCTGCTGGACCATCTCCAACATTACCGCCGGTAACTCTTCTCAGATCCAGGCCGTCATTGACGCCAACATCATTCCTCCTTTGATCCACCTTCTCCAGAACGGTGATCTCAAGACCCGTAAGGAGGCCTGCTGGGCCATCAGCAACGCTACCAGCGGTGGTCTCCAGAAGCCTGAGCAGATCCGCTACCTCGTCACCCAGGGTTGCATCAAGCCCCTCTGCGACCTCCTTGTCTGCCCTGACAACAAGATCATCCAGGTCGCTCTTGACGGTCTTGAGAACATTCTCAAGATTGGTGACCTCGACAAGCAGGCTGCCGGCGAGGGTGCTGAGCCTCTCAACCAGTTCGCCCTCTTTATTGAAGAGTGCGGTGGCATGGAGAAGATTCACGACTGCCAGAACAACGCCAACGAGGATATCTACATGAAGGCTTACAACATCATCGAGAAGTACTTCTCTGATGAAGAGGAGGCTGCCGAGGATGCCACTGCCCCTGCTGCCGGTCCTAACGGCACCTTTGGCTTTGGCACCAACGCCCCGGCCCAGTCTGGCGGATTCAACTTCGCTAACGGTGGTGACTCCATGGACATGTAAGAGGGCAGCGCAACTGTTTGTTGCCGTGCTTGCTCTGATTGTTCCGAGCAACCCCCTCTCCTCTCCCCCCATCCCTCCACAAAACTCGCCAAATTTGCTTCGCCTCCGTCAACAAGCCACGACACACAACACACCCTCCCTCTCTCACCAAATACCTCGACACAACCATTTATCATTTCACGGAGTTTCTGATTCCCTAAATACACAATGCGGCACCATCCCCTCGGACACTACACAAAAATTTACCACACCCGGACATTATTCACAGCACTAGCATATTCCCCCCCTTTTGGCCGTTCTCAGTGAGTCGGCAATTCTGTTTTCTACAGTTTTGATGTTTTTTCCTTCCTGTTACATTCAGTGACCAAAACACTGTCTTTTAATTGATTTTTGGAGCATGTGGGAAGGAAAATGAAGTGTAACAGGATATAGAGGCCCTTTGAGAGCTTGAAAGCTCCAGCCTAAGCGATGATTTTATGACATTACACACCACGGAGGCGGTTTCCTCATTCCCCGATCGACCCCTATAATCAAAAAAGTTTCCCCAATTTTGATTTTTGCTGTAGGCGTGACTGTAACTTGTGAATTTTCCCATTCATGTAGCACTGTACCGTGCGTAGAAGAGCGAAGAGTGTCCATTTTGTGGTAAATACAGTGTTATTTGCAATGCTGGACCTAAGATGCTAGCGGGATATGTGAAGATGGCTTGAATATGCAAGATACTGCGCTTGTGATAAAAGACAAAAAACCAATGAGGGAAATGGCAAATAAGATAGCAAAAGTAAAGTCTACTCAGTCTCAACTGGAAGACGACCCTCGCGGTCAAGCTTAACAGAAGCTTGATGGTAGTATACAACTCGTCATGAAACTATTCCAAGTTAGTAATATAATAGTCAAAGGAGCAGGAAGTAGTTACTTGGTCATCGCCAGCAGCACGGGCATCAACAACAAGGTTACCTAGATGGGTGACCATCTTGGGGCTATAGTATTATCAGCAATCAGAACCCAATTCGGTTCAGACGCACTTACACAGTCCTGCACCGGTGCCCGCCACGGATGCAATAAAGACACCTGCCAGCGGAGAGCTCCCCCCGGGCAGTCCAACATTGTCCATCTCCTTCGTTGGAGGCTGCCGAGAGGATGCAGCTTGCGCAGCGGTCTGGCCTAAGCTTGCCTGCCACAGCAGCAGGATATTTTCTGATCTGGCTAGGTGGTCTAGTACGCTTAGCAATGCCGGTGACAGGGTCAACCCTCTCCAAGTCGCCAGACGCCCCGAATCGAACAAGCTGACGAGGACCACCATCCGGTCCGCCCATTCGTGCGCGCCATATGGCCATCGAAAGCTGCTTTTCTATGTTTATGGGCGTCGACCTTCATGTTTGCTAGCAAAGATGCAAAAAGTACAATTGTAAAGGGCAATTAAAATGCTGAAGGTACGCGTGTGCTCTTGTACAAGAACGGTATGAACTACGCGGTGTGTTGTCTGGGGGTGGCTCCACGGTTGACAGTTCAAAGGCCGGCGGGCGCTGTGGCCGCTGCTCAAAATTTGCGGGACACTTTTTGACTGCAGGGACATACACTGCCCGTTTTATCACCACCCATATCCTGGAAATCACGTGGGAATTTGCTTAGTTTTGTAGGCATATTCTTGTTATAACGCTTACAGAACGTGTTTTTAAGCTTCTTTCGATAAGCTACTGCCCTTGTTACTTGCAATCTTGGGAGCTCGCTCTATGCCTACATACTGAACCCAACATAGGCGCGCGGGGTGAATTGGTGATTGCGGCCGCAACAATGCCCAAGAAGGCAAAGGCAAAGGAGCCTTCTCCTCCTGTGGCAGCAAAGGAAACGGGAAAGGGCAAAAAGGGGGCCAAAGGAGATGCTGCAGCCGCAGATCTGCCCGCAGCTGGGCCGCCTAAGCCGACAGTGAAGCAAATTATTGGCGGCTCATCATGGACAGGCAAGCTTCCCGTGAACCTGCTTAGCGAGTACTGCCAGAAGCAAAAATGGGATAAGCCCGTCTTTGATACCAAGAAGACGCCGGAGGGCTTCTCGGTCTGGATCACCCTCAGTGCAAAGGACGCAAAGACGCAGCAAACAGTCAAGCTCGACCCATTCAAGATTACACCGACGCATAAACATCTACTCATGAGGGATACAGCACTCGAAGCAAAACACGCAGCAGCGACATATGCCCTCTTTAGAGTCTGCAGCATGCAGAATAAGCACACGGTCCTGCCGCCAGACCACAAGGCCCTGTGGAAGGACTTTCAGGCCCTCAAGGTACAGGATGTCAAGGACGGCAAGGCCTGGATGTACGAAGCAGATCCATTCAAGGCATTAATCGAACGACAAGAAGCCAAGGCCGCAGCAGAGAAGAAGCGCAAGGAACTGGAGGCCCAAAAGGCCAAGGCTAAAGAGTTGCCTGGAGCGGCTGGTCTTGTGCTGCTGAGCAATTCTGGAAGTGGTAGCCAAGGTATATCCAATATGATGAAGGGATGGACAACAGCACCCAATGTGGAGATGGGCAGACAAACAAGAGCACAGCTGGAAGGACTTCTTCGCAGCGGTATCTCTTGGAACCCGCACGGAGTGTCCATGTCGCGCTCCCAAAAGGACAGCGCCATTGCTGAGTTGGCCAAAATTGGGTTCAGAAAAAGTCACGTTACGGAGGCAGTGGAATACTGCAAGGATAGAGAAGAGACCCTCGAATGGCTGCTTATCCATGTTCCTGAAGACGATCTTCCTAGGTGGGCGCTGCCTGAAAAGTATGCTGCTGGTGTATCTATTGCGCAAAACGATTTGCGTAGAGACGGTATGATCCAGAGACTGTCGCAGACTGGATATTCGCTAGAGCTCTGTGCCCGTGTTCTTGACGACTCTGGCAGCAATGAGCTTGCTGCTGCAGAAGCACTGCAGCATATCCTCGCTCCTGTGCCCAAAGATGAAGCTGCAGGCGACGACAATGACATGGACTTTTTGGATATGGGCTCGCCGGAAGAGCAGTGGATACAAGAGGTAGAGAGCCTCGAGGCCATGTATGCTGGTAGCTTCCAGCGTGATGGTGACGATACTGTGCAGATTACGCTCGACGATGTCAAGAATGGTGGCCAAAAGGTCGTTACTGCGCTGCAGATTCGCAAGTCTTCAAGCTACCCCAAGACACTTATCCTTGGTATCGTGGCAACACTGCCGTCGTACATTAAGCTGAGCATTGTCCGAAAGGCGCTCGAGTATATGAATGAATCCCTCCGCGACGAGCCAATGAAGATGTATCTAGTTATGGACTGGATTCAGCAAAACATCAACGACATTATTGAGAACCCGGGCAAACTGGTCGACATTGCGTCGGTTTCATCTGCCGCGGTCGAGTCCCAGCCAGCAGCGTCTCTTGGTAAAAGCAAAAAGACCAGATCCCATGCCAAAGCCATTAAATGGAATGTCGATGCCCGCAACAAAGAACTTTGGGAGAAGAGACAGCAAGAAGCTGCGTATCAAGACATGCTGTCCAAGAGACAAAAGCTGCCTGCCTGGAAGATGCGCGTGCAAATCGTTGAGACGGTCACTAACAACCACGTCACGATTATTAGTGGTGAGACTGGTTCGGGTAAATCTACACAGTCGGTCCAATTTCTATTGGATGATTTATATCAGCGCGGTCTAGGCGGGTGCGCAAACATGCTTGTTACGCAGCCTCGCCGTATTTCAGCGCTTGGTCTGGCGGACCGTGTTTCTGAAGAGCGCTGTTCCAAGGTCGGACAGGAGGTTGGCTACGTGATCCGAGGCGAGTCTCGCTCCGGACGAGATACTAGAATCACGTTTATGACGACGGGTATTCTGCTCCGCCGTCTGCAGACATCTGGTGGCAAGGTTTCGGACGTTATCGCGTCCCTAGCAGACGTCAGTCATATTATTATTGATGAAGTCCACGAGCGAAGCTTGGATACTGATTTCCTGCTCAACTTGCTGCGCGAGGTGATGAAGAGCAAGAAGGACATGATTAAGCTGATTCTCATGTCTGCTACTCTCGACGCTGCCACGTTCAAAAACTACTTTACCTCGGAGGGATTGAGCGTTGGCACAGTGGAGATTGCCGGCAGAACATTCCCTGTGGATGAATACTATCTCGATGATGTGATCCGCATGACTGGTTTCAACGCGGAGAACCCTGAAGGCGGGTTCATTGGTGACGAGATGATGGGCAAGATTATCCAAAAGATTGGGCACAGAATCAACTACCAGCTGCTGACGGAGACGGTCAAGGCCGTTGACTACGAGCTGGCTTACGAGAAGAAGTCGGGCGGCATTCTCATCTTTTTGCCTGGTGTTGGCGAGATTAACCAGACGTGCAATGCTCTACGATCCATCTCGTCGCTACACGTCCTCCCGCTACATGCGTCACTCGAAACAAAGGAGCAGAAGCGTGTATTTGCCAGCCCGCCACCAGGCAAACGCAAGGTTGTGGTCGCAACCAACGTTGCCGAAACATCCATTACCATTGATGATATCCTCGTCGTCATTGACAGTGGCAAGGTCAAGGAGACGAGCTTCGACCCGGCCAACAACATGCGCAAGCTCGAGGAGACGTGGGCGTCCAAGGCGGCCTGTAAGCAGCGCAAGGGTCGTGCGGGTCGTGTCCAGGAAGGCCGCTGCTACAAGCTCTTCACGCGCAACCTAGAAGACCAGATGCCGGATCGTCCTGATCCCGAGATTCGCCGCGTGCCTTTGGAACAGCTGTGTCTGTCTGTTCGAGCAATGGGTATGCGTGAAGTAGCTCAGTTCTTGGGCAGATCACCCACACCACCCGAGGCATTGGCCGTTGAGGGCGCCATCAAGCTGCTCCAGCGCATGGGTGCACTAGATAGTGATGAATTGACAGCCCTTGGGCAGCAGCTGGCAATGCTGCCTACCGATCTCCGCTGCGGCAAGCTCATGGTGTTTGGCGCCATCCTCGGCTGTCTCGACGACTGCGTCTCGATTGCTGCCATCCTCAGCACCAAGAGCCCCTTCCTGTCGCCCCAGGAACGTCGAGAAGAAGCTAGGGCTGCAAGAATACAGTTTTGCCATGGTCACGGTGACTTGTTGACGGATCTCGAGGCCGTGCAGGCGTGGGAGGGCATGCAAGCCGATCGACTGCCGCAGAGACAGATGCGCAACTTTTGCGAAGACAACTTCTTGTCGTACAACACGCTGTCAGACATTGTCAATACAAAGGCCCAGTACTATACGGCGCTGTTGGAGATTGGACTTGCTTCGTACGCAGAAGCATCGCGAGAGGGTCGTCGAAGTACCAGTGAACAGGGCAACCCGCAACTGCTACGGGCGTTGATTGCTGCTGCATTTACGCCGCAGATTGCGCGCATCCAGTACCCCGATAAGAAGTTTGCCAGTTCCATGTCTGGCGCGGTCGAACTGGATCCCGAGGCCAAGGCTATCAAGTACTTTAACCAGGAGAATGGGCGCGTGTTTGTGCATCCGAGTAGTACGGTATTTGACAGCCAGGGCTTCACGGGACATGCCGCGTACATGGCGTACTTTTCCATTATTTCCACGTCCAAGGTGTTTATCCGTGACTTGACGCGTAAGTTGCTGTTTGGTTTGTAATGTGAAGACAGGTGCTGACTGACTGTTATAGCTTTCAACGCGTACACGCTGCTCATGTTCTCCGGCCCGATTGAGCTCGACACACTGGGTAGAGGCCTTCTTGTCGATGGATGGCTCAAGTTGAGAGGCTGGGCCAGAATCGGTGTCTTGGTTGCGAGACTGAGAGGCATGGTGGATGATTTGATTGCCGAAAAGGTGGAAAACCCGAGTCTTGATCTCAAGGCAAGTGAGGTGGTGAAGATGGTGGTGAAGCTGATTGAACTGAATGGTCTTGATTCGTAATTATTTACGGTTACGGATGGGTTATTGGGTACATATTTTATGATTTACTGAAAAGCAATGATTTAATTACGATTTATTTTGTATTGTTTGGTTCAGCGGCGTGGGTTGATAGTGTCAGCCTCACGTATTTCGCGGCGGGGCACAGATTTTGAACATCTTCCCATCAACACCAACATCACCGGCAGAGCAGCAAAGATGGCGGAGGAAATAAAGGTACATTCAGAGGAAGCTCTGACGGAGGAAGAGATTTTTAACCAAGATGCCCCGAGAAAAAAACTCAAGGTCACAAATGCCTGTGAGTCATGCGCTGGTGTGCCTTGATGACGAGTGCTAACCTATAGCAGTTCAGCAACTCATGAATCCGAATAAACCAAAGCCAAAGCAGCAGCAAAAGCCAGAAAGATCAACAGGAGGAAATCCATTCAAGAATCGAATGGGGCTGGGGGCGTATCTGGACGATCCAGCCTCGTTTCCCGCCTCCATTGTCATTGCACACGATAACGAGTTTGTGGTGATTCACGACAAGTTTCCCAAGGCTACCGTGCATACTCTGATACTACCTCGCTCGTCTAAATGTAATCTTAAACATCCTTTTGACGCGTTTGATGACCCTGAGCTTCTCGTCAAGGTCAAGGTGCAGGTTGAAAAGGTCAAGAGCCTCGTAGCGGCGGAGCTGCAGCGCAAGCTAGGCACCTATTCAGAGGCAGAACGCGACAGACAGGCCGTTCTTGATGGGAAGGTTGATTTGAAACCGGGTCAGGATTTGCCCAAGGGACGAGACTGGGCTAAAGAGATCAAGGTTGGTGTGCACGCGGTGCCGAGCATGACGCATCTGCACGTGCACATCTTGTCGCGAGATATGCACTCTGAGTCGCTGAAGCACCGCAAGCATTACAATTCATTTGTGACTGAGTTCCTTGTCGACATTGACGATTTTCCATTACCAAAAGATGACCCGAGGAGACGGACAAAAGAGGAGGGGTATCTGGCGAGGGATCTTTGCTGTTGGCGGTGCGGCAAGAATTTTGGAGCACAGTTTAAGCAACTAAAAGAGCATTTGGACGGGGAGTTTGACAAATGGAAGCGTGAATAAAGGTGTTTAATACGATTGTTTACTCTGAGGATGATACAGTTTATGTGGTGACGAGAGCATGATTTGCAGCATTTGTGAAATTGAAGAAGGGCGTTTGAACATGGAAGATGATAACTACATTTACGCTCCATTTCTTTAGAGATGGAAATAAAAAGTAAACATTGCGAAAACAAAGTGAAAAACGAGAAATAAAAAGAAAAAGACAATAAATATAGCCGCCGTGTGCGGTTGATTCCCTAGACAACACCCTTCATAATCATAATTTCCATACTGTAACTGGTGTCGTCGATGCGCCTCGCTCACATATCCTCCATACATAACATCTTGGTACAACAAGAAGAGCAATCAATCAAAGAAAAACAAAACAAAAGTAAGGCATCCTCCTCCCAAAGCAAAAAGGGTACAGAATGCAAAAAGACAGTATTCCACGCTGGCGGAGAGACCTCGCATGTAGGTGTTGCTCAGCCATTCCATCTTTTAGCTAAAGATCTTCTTGAGCCCTGCCGACATCCACCCGGACTGGTCGCCCTTGTCATCGTCAAAGGCATTCACTGTGATTAAAGCAAACAAGGTCAAAAACACTGCTGGTTGCACCGCGGGCTGACGAGACGGGGAGGGGAAAAGAGGCAGTAGAACGAGTACAATGCTATACACATACAACGCGTGCGCAACATGTACTCGAACCGTCCTGCTTCTCCCCCGTCTCGGAGGGGGCAAGGCGAGGCTCTCACTCACCATCGGCATCGGCATCGGCGTCCCCAAAGACGACATCCACAGCGTCATCGACAGGCTTCTCCTCCTCTTCTTCATCCTTCTTAGCAGCTTCAGCTTCATCAGCAGCAGCCTTCTTCTTGGGGCGGCCACGGCTCTTGGGCAGATTGGCAGCAGCGTCGGCCGCAATACGTTCCTCGGCTAGCTTGCGCGCAGGTCTGCCGCGGCGCGGCCCAGCAATGATGCCCTCGGTCATAGCGACGGGCTCGAGCACCGAGCGCTTGGTGCTGCCCTTGGGGCGACCACGCGGCTTGCCCGTGGGCACATATGTCTTGGGGTTGTCGCTCTTGGGGCGTCCGCGAGGCTTGCCCGTGGGGACATAGGCCTTCTTGACGCCGCCGGTGGAAGGGCGGCCGCGCTTGCGCGGGGTAGCGGCGGGCTCGTCGACGAGGCCGGCGGCAATGTTGGCCTCGGCGGCAGCAGCAGCAGCTTGAACGGAGTCCATGTTGTGTGAATTGAAAGTTGAGTAGCTTGGCTGGGTGGTTGGGTTGTTTACACGAGAGGCGTGGGGGACGAAGCTGGGCGACGTTTCGGCGCAACGGGGGCGGCGAGAATGAAAAATACCAGAAAAAATCTAGACGGCGTCGCGTGCGCAAATGTGATTTTCTGGGTATTTTTCAGCGGCGGTGCTCGTGTTGGGCGGCGCTGGGCGTTGCGAGATTTTTGTTGCAAAGGTGAGGAGAGCAACCAAGGCGGCTGGGGGGGCGTGGGTGGTGGCAGGCAGCGCGAAAAAGCAACACACGCCCTTGTCCGCGATTTCTTGCTGTAGAAATTTGGGCGCTGACAAAATAGTATGGGTAGTGAGTGCTAGTGGATTTGCAGAGATATGTCTGGTTTATTTTGTCAGCGTGGCTTTTGTCGTTGTTTGCTAGTCGTCGGTGCTGGTAATTTACTAGGCCCTTTTGATTTGTGGTGTGGGAGCGAGCCGCATGGGAGGCGCGGGTCGGGTAAACTCCACGCCGGAGTTTAGTGGTGGCCAGCCACTAACACGATCCAGATTACAGCGCACGGCCAAGCAAGCTACAGGGCCAGCCTGTGGTGGTGGTGATGATGCCAGGTCATCAGCCAGCAACAAGGCTATTACCGTTACAGTGGGTTACAGTGGGTTACAGTGGCCACAGTGTGTGTGCTAACAGAAATCTGCACCAGTAAATTTAGCTGTTGTGGGTACTGCCCTGCTGAGCTACGCTGTAATGCAGCGCTTTCACTGTGCGGTGGGCGGACGGCGTGGCAGAAGAGCGGGGAAATCGGCCGCCCACACCGCGTTTCCTCTTTGGGACGCGCGCCCACCGTTGCCTCGGTGCCCTGGCTGCACGTCAAGTAAACAAACGCTGGCCAAGGCAAACCAGACGCCAGGGCATTCCAGCCAAACCTCCTCCCCAGCATCCCGCCGATGGAGCCTCTCAATTTACGCGACAATACCCTGTCTGCTTACTAACTTTACCCAGAATAGCTGTAATTAACTTAGTACTGCTGCTGGATGTACATTCTCCTCCGTCAACGCCAACAATATTGCTTACTCCAACTCATCGCCATCCTGCAAACAATGGCGCTGGACCCCAGACTCTTGCCTGCTCACCACTCTTCCTCTCGGCCTCAGACCCCAGAGGCTCGCATCGTCACGTCCACAGCTTCTACGCCTTCGCTGCGGTCGCGGGATGGCACATTGCCTCCGCTAGCTAGGATGGACGGCGGCGGCAATGTGCGAGTTGTGGTGCGCGTGCGCGCCTTTTTACAAAGAGGTAGGTAGACAAATCATGATGATTCTTTCTATAGGGCTTATTTTGCAATTGGAGAACATACTAACAGACGACGGGCTGTAGAACTCGACCGACGCACACGATGCCTCATCAAAATGGACCCCATCACACAGCAAACAACACTGCTTGCTCCCGACGAAAAAGAAGCCGCGGACCCGAAAGCAAAGACTCGCCGTATAATTGACGACAAAAACTTCATCTTTGACAACTCCTTTTGGAGCCACGACACCAAAGACCGCCACTATGCCGAGCAAGACGACGTCTACAACTCTCTGGGTGAAGAATTCCTCGACCACAACTTCGAAGGTTACCACACATGTATCTTTGCCTACGGCCAGACGGGCTCTGGAAAAAGTTACACCATGATGGGCACGCCCGACAAGCCCGGCCTGATCCCCAGAACTTGTGAGGATTTGTTTGAGCGCATCCAGGCTGCCCAAAACGAAAACACAAACATTGCCTACAACGTCCGCGTCTCGTACTTTGAAGTCTACAACGAGCATGTCCGCGATCTACTGGTGCCCACACACTCGGGCACGACACCAAACTACCTCAAGATTCGCGAGTCCCCCACCGAGGGGCCCTACGTCAAGGATCTTACCGAGGTGCCTGTCCGCAACATCAAGGAAATCATGCGCTACATGAAGTCGGGCGATGCCTCCCGAACCACCGCCAGCACAAAGATGAACGACACTAGTAGTCGAAGTCACGCCGTATTTACCATTATGCTGCGCCAGATTCACCATGACATGGAGACGGACGAGACGACGGAACGCAGTTCGCGTATTCGGTTGGTCGATTTGGCTGGCAGTGAGCGTGCCAAGTCTACGGAAGCCACGGGCCAGCGTCTGCGCGAAGGCAGCAACATCAACAAGTCACTCACCACACTAGGCCGTGTCATTGCGGCGCTGGCCGATCCCAAGCAGATGCGGCCGGGCAAGCGCAAGGACGTTGTGCCCTACCGAGATTCTATCTTGACATGGCTTCTCAAGGATTCGCTTGGCGGCAACAGTAAAACAGCCATGATTGCATGCATTGCGCCTTCAGACTATGACGAGACCCTGTCGACACTGCGCTATGCCGACCAGGCCAAGCGTATCCGTACACGCGCCGTTGTCAACCAGGACCACATTTCCACTGCCGAAAGAGACGCCCAGATTGCCGCCATGGCCGAGGAGATTCGCGTGCTGCAGCTTTCCGTATCAGACTCGCGCCAGCGCGAAAAGAACGCAAAGGAGGCCGAGGAGCGCCTGGAGGAGTACCAGAATCGCGTGGCCACGATGCAGCGCCTCATGGAGGAGCGCACCATGGTTGCCGAGAGCAAGATCAAGAAGCTGCAGACCGAAAACGAGGCCCTCAAGCTGCATCTCAAGCTTGCTATTGAGAGTCTGAAGAACCCGATCCCCGCTGTCTACTTGCCGTCCAACAAGGATGGCATGGAGGCGGGCGAGGCTGACAAGGAGAATGACGATGCTGATTTCGACTCGGGCAGTGAGGATGAGGTGCTCGATGCGGGATACGAGTCGGATAGCACGGTTAGCAGGGGCGAGGAGCTACAGGAAGAAATGACGAGGTATCTGATGGACATGGGTAATTTGCGGAAGCTGATTGGTGGTGATTTGACGAGATTCAAGGACGCCAATACCATTCGAAGGCCCCTGGGGGTTCGGGAGAACTTTTGAGGGATGTCTTGATGAGGGAATGAATGGGTGGTCTTTTTTGGAACTTGCACAGCGTGGTGTTTTTTGTATTTTTTTTTGGACGAGATATGGAGGAGCCACTCTACTTATCACATATTTATTTTGTCTAGGGCTAGACGGCACATTTATTACATTTTTTTTTTCAATCACGGTAGTCTTGATTAATGAACGGGGTGAATAGATGTGTAAAACATGGTCAATTGAACTCGCTGGGTACGTTGGAATAGAATAACTAAAAGTACAAGGGTATTTTGATGGCTAACAAAGCGAGTAACATAAAGGGTATCGTGTACGTCTAACAAAACCAAAAAAAAATACAAAGGGCTTGTCATGGGTGGTTTACAAAAAGAAATAAAGTCCAAGTAGGGTACATCCAAACAATTTTTAGCAGAATAAACAGACATTCGAGCAGGCAAACTCATTCAAGACGGCAAACTACTCGTTTCACAGTAGTGTCGGTATCATCTCCCGTCTCCATGGTAAAGTCCATGTCGTCTGAAGGAGTCATGACTTCATCAGTAGTGTAAGCCACTTCGCCGTCGACGCTCATCTCTTCATCTGTGTACTCTACCACAGCTTCCTTTTCAGGCTCAGACTCGTAGTCTAATATGGCCTTGTTCACAAGAGAGTGTCTTGTGATCCAGCTCCTTGGGGCGAATTCGGTAGCCAGTTTGGTCAATGAAGACGCCAACGCTGGCCACATGCCCGGTGAGTAAGACTTGGCAGGTGTCCCGTCGGGTTTGGTTTGTTCGGTAGCCGATTCAACAACTTGTCCTGAAGATGCTGTGGATGCAGTGTTGTTGCTGGATATCGATGACGAGAGGAAACCGTCATCAGTGCCATCGTCTGAAGGCATATCGTCGAGTGGTGACAGGTCCATGGTGGCAATGTTGGCAATCACACAGGGCAAGTAGAGTGCAATAGGCGATCCACGGAGATCCATGGCCTTGAGATGCACAGGGAAGCATCCTCCTGTTGTGGTAGCATCGTGGTGAGCATCAGCGGGGTACTCATCCTGGAGTTGTTCGTCGCAGAGCTCGAGGATGCGGAAGAGAAAGACATCGTCAAAGAGCACGGGCTCGCAGTATGCGGGGAACGGGTGCTTCGTGTCATCATCTTCTTCGTCGACTTCGTCGAGTGGAGGATTAATCTCGCAGCCAGGGTCGAGACGGAGAAGAGATGGGATGGATAGGTTGAATAGGCGTGGGTGGTGCTCGAGGACGACGTCGGCGCGTTGGGGCTGCAACTGCTTGACGTCAAAGTACTCGAGGGCCCAGAGGTTGGCGCGAGATTGGAGGAGCAGAAGCTTCTCGTATTCGTTTCCGTCGTTGAGGTAGTCAAGAACGATTTCTAGACCGCTGCACAGGTGCTCGGAGTCAAAGTCGGGGCCGAGGGTGTCGGCAATGTCGTCCATGGTGAACATGGCGATGTCGGTGTAAGCGTCCATTGTGCAAGGACAGATACTGAAGGATACGTATACAGATTGACAGAATAGAGAAGAGAGGGAGGGGGAGTGTTGAGTCAGTTCATTATAAGGACATTATTTTTAAGATTTTGTGTATTTTGATTTTTAACGAAGGAAAGGTTGTTGGTGCGCGACGAACATAAACTTTTGGGATTTGGTGTATACTTTTCGCGTTTGGTGGCGGCGAGGGAACTCGCATGGTATCGAGATGGCTATGGGATGACATGATAAGGGAGATAATGGAGATGTGCTTTGGTTTATTTTTTAAGTTTTGGAAAATTGGCACGGGTTGAAGTTGGCTGGTGATGTTGGCGTCTCTGGCTGTGGTGAAGTGGCAAGGGGTGGTCAGTGGGTTGATTGGCGATGACAAGGTTTATTGCGAGGTAGTGGAGAGGTAGAGAGTGTAGTGGACATTGTACAAAAAAGTGTATAGACGAGAAAGAAAAGCGTGAAGACTGACTTTGATACCAGCTGCAGTACGGCCACTACCCATCACAACCGGTATCTGTCTATACACGATCATGACATCATTCTTTGACATTAGGGGCAGTTATCTCAACCCGTTGACATTCTGTATGTACATCTTATCGTCTTTCTTTATTTGTATGGAAACTTTCGTGTCGCGAATGCCGACATCGTCCCTATTGTTCACTGCTATTCCAATTGTTGCGCGTGCATCATCTAGCCCTGTTATACGCTATCATTTTCACGCCAATGCTATTGCGACTATTACGGCTTACTGTCAGCTCCCCCAGTCGTATTTCCTATTTATTTATTTTTAATCCACTTGTTTCGAGCTCACGGCCCTTGCACAGAGGACCAGGCTGTGTTTCGGGCTGCGTGCTAGTGTTGCAACTTGCCCAGCAGCCGGCTATCGGAGAGTTTTTTCTTCTTTTCTAGCTTTCTATAAATATGCTCTCTTGGAAATTTTGTTTCTATATTTTCCCATATTTCTTTTTTATTTTACTTTATGCCCTTTGCATAGAAATTTTAGTAGCCTCCTCCTCCCTCCCTCCCTCCACGGCATAAGCCCGCCCCTCTCCGCTGCTACAGCGGGAAAACAAAAAAAGCCACTCCACTGTGAAGCACCGTGAAACAGCCCGTGATAGGCGCTAAGCTGCCCTGTGACAAGCTTCCCCTGCCCAGCCCCGCCAACGACTCTCCTCCAACCAAAGCCCGACATCGCCATCGTTGCATTTCAGCCTGCGTGTCTCCTTTTTTTGTCGTGTTCCTCGGTTTGCAGGCTACGTACAGTTTCTTTACCTTTCCTGGCCAACATCACCATCATCTGCAGCAGCAGCAGTAGCAACAGCAGCACGAAACCTCCCCTCACAACCAAACAGGCATCATCATCGTCATGGACCGTCCGCAGCTCTTCACTCGAGGACTCTCGGGCCTCAGCCAATCCACGGAGACAAACTCGCCCGCCGAGCAGCGCGACGACGCCAAGCGCAATTTTCTCAAGACGATGCGGCCGCTGCCCACCCAGCACTACTGGAACGTCTTCTTTGACCGGTAACGTCATGCCCCTCCTCCTCGTTCCAGCCACAAGAGCTAACTAGAACCCAATTCGACAGGCAAACAAAGGAACAAAGCCCCGACAACAAGGAAGAATACAGCGTCGAGCTCGAGCAGGTCGGGACCCAGATCGAATCTGTGCAGGACTTTTGGCGCTACAACAACAATATGCCCGTCGCCAACATCAAGATGCGCGAGTCGCTGTACCTCTTCAAGTCGGGCTTCAAGCCTGTCTGGGAGGACCGCCGCAACATCAAGGGCGGTAGCTGGACGTTTCGCGTGCCAAAGACGTCGGGGCCTGACTTTTGGACGCATGTCCAGATGCTGGCTATTGGCGAGCAGCTCGAGGAGTCGCTAGCTGAAGGTACGTGTGCTCTCGGTGAAAATTCAAAAGACCTGCGGAGCGGTTGGAAGATTGACTTCGCCCGGATTCTAATTGTTCGTTTACTAACTCTTTTTATCTTTTTCTAGGCGACCAGCTCTGTGGCGTGGGACTCTCGGTCCGCTTCAACTCGCACCTCATTACAATCTGGCACCGCGATGCCTCGAAACAGGCTTCCATTGACGGAATGCTCGCCTGTGTCCTCGCTGATATCCCTGCCGAGCTGCGTCCGCGACCAGACAATTACTTTTACAAGAAGCACTCGGAGCACGCTGGCTTCAAGGTGCCTCCTGAGCTGCAGCACCTGGTCGATGGCGGCGTCAAGACGGCCGATGCCTCGCCGACTGCGTAGGTAGACAGACAGCTTTGGTTATACATGTGTGAGAAATATATGGATATGGGGAAATACGAGGATGATACGGGATATATTTGGCAAGGAACGCGTGTTCCACCAAAAATTGGGTTGCATGCAGGCGTACGGTGTTTTTCTTTTTTATAGGCCATTTAACCTTCTCATCAGGTTATATACATAGATACTTTATGACATTCAATGGACCTCTTTTTTTTCGACAATCTTATCAGTATTTCTTTTCTCGTCTCTCTGTTCATACATAGAAACGGTACCTGACGCCCTCTCCGAAATAGCAATCCAACGCCAAAGCCCAAAACAGGGCAGACCCAAACTCCATCAACATGCAAATAGAAAAACAGGGGGTATTATCACAGCAAGTCGTCACCGCCACACGCCAGCCCGCTGCATGACATCGTCAAACTCGTCCATCTTGACGCCGCGCACCACCCCCGACCCGCCATTCGCCTCGAGAATCATATCCTTCAGCACCTCCTCATCCACATCCTCCTTAAGAACAGCCGCCACGCGCTTCAGATGCGCCAGCGTAATGGGCCCGTCGGTATCGTTAGTAAACAGCCGAAACGCCTCGTCGAGCTCGGCATCGTGGGCGGTCGTGCCGCGGTCCTGGGCGTGGAATTTGAGCGCGCAGATGGCGAAGAACGGCTCGTATGTGGCGTAGCCGTCTTCATCAGGGTCGAGGATCGCTGTGAATTCGGCTAGTTCGGACGGTGACGACGGCGGGATACCTAAAGCGCTGGTCATCGACAAATGTTAGCCTTGGCTAAGGCACTTGTTTGAATTGAAGCAACACACATGAGGGCGGATTTGATATCGGCTCTGGGGAGGACGCCCATCTTCTCGCCGTCCATGGGCTCGGCAAAGAGTGTAAAGGCCTCTTTGATCTCGACTTCTTCTTGCGCCGAGACGTTGTGCTCCTTGGCGAGCTTGGAGAGCCGTGGTGCCGCGGGGCCGGCAGACTTGCGCGGGGGCTGCCGTTCGGTGTTAGTATGAGTGGTCTGTGAATTGTAGTGGTAAAGTTACCATCTTGAGGCTGCCCGCGGTGTGGTGCTAAGCAAAATGTTGGCAGATTCGCGAAGCTTTGCAGTGCAAGCAAGCTACGATGTTGGTGGACCACCGTGAATTGGGTTGTCATGTACAGTGCGGAGCCGTGCTGTTCTACCAGCCCACACTGTCGGGACACACGGTGCTCACAGACCCGCCCATAAAATTTCCCTCGTTACTGTTTTTTTTCCTTTCGCTTTCTTCCTCTTTCAACTGATGCAACGAGATGCAGAGACGGCGGCCGCTTTGCGTGGGCAGATCGTTCTTTGGGTACAGACAAAGAAGCTCAGCCTATTCATTTAGCAAACGGCCGTTCAAACAGGTTTGTTTCATCGGCGCATCTTTCTTTTATGTTTGTTCGTGACGTGACATGTTTTCCGCTTCTAAAATAGCTAGAGCTTACCGCCTCAATTACAACCCCAGGGCGAGCAAGTGTGGACAGTGAAGCAAAAGTGAAAAACGGAAAAGACAGTTCCTTCAAACTCGTCTTCTCTTCCGGGCTGTCGCAAACGGTGCCTCGCACGAGGTGTCTAGCGGCTCACGGAGACATACCCTTTTCTTTTCGACGTGTATCAAATGTGAATATGATGGATGAGTTGTAAGCACAATATTTTATTTTATATTCATTCTACTTTTCATGAATGCCGCAACTCCAGTAACTCCCCGTGGCATACAATAATCTACATCTTGGAGACGGGTTCCCTGCGCCCCGTTAACTAGGAACGTACGTCTGTTTGCCTCGCGGCTGGAGCGCTCACTTGAAGTTGTTCTTCATCTCGCGCAGCTTGGCCATGACGCTGACGGGATCTGTCTCGCCAGTGGCCTTTTGCACGATGGGGTCCTATGGACGTTAGCAAACGGACGTTGATGTTGGCTGGGTAAACTTACGTCTACACGCATAAAGACATTGTGTTGCTACATCGTTGCTGTTAGTAAAACATGTTACTTATAAAGCCGTTTTCTGTTATTTACCTTTTCATCGCCAATGGTAAACTTGCCAGTCGTCACCTCATTGGCGTCGGCAAAGGCCTGCAGCTTCTGGATGGGCTCGGACTGCGAGACGGAAATGGTAAACTTGACATTCGCCTTGGTATACTCGTGGCCAGGCTGCACAAGTTAGCTATTTTCCAGTGCATTCTAGAAAAGCAACCTACGTAGACAACGGTATCATCCGGAAGAGAGGCCAGGCGCTTGTTCAGAGCCTCGTGCATCTGCTCGGCGGTGCCTTCGAAGAAACGGCCGCAACCTATCTGGTTAGCCGTTGTTTTGATAGCCACTACAACAGAACCTACCGCTAATGAAGAGTGTGTCGCCGGTAAATACGGCTTTGCCAGTGCTATCCTCCATGTAGTAGCAAATGCTGTCCTGTGTATGGCAAGGCGTGTGCACGGCACGGACGTTGATGTCGCCAATCTTGAAAGTCTCTGTGTGACCAGGTGTCTTTGTGACGCCCTCGCAATCCTTGCCGCCGATGATTTCTACCTTTGGGTCTCCCAGCTCAGCCAGCTATATTCACATTAGAAAGACGCATCACATCGCGAGTTTGTTCAACATACAAGCTTCTTGTTGCCGCCAGCATGGTCCCAATGACTGCATTTGTCCATTTGTCAGCGAAGCGTTACTCAAACACAAAGAACGGAGGTCATACTAATGTGTGTTGACAATGCTGGTAAAGTTGATTTTGCCAGACTCTACAGCTTCTCTGATAATGGGAGCAACTCTGTACAATGGTTATTAGTGATGCTTCATCCGCTGCGCCGAGTTAACATACTCTGGTGGGTTGGCGGGGTCGATGATAACGGCCTCCTTGGACTTGTCGTCAACAACCAGGTAGGCATAGTTGTTGCTGGTACCAACCCCTGTTTCTGTTAGAATTTAATTGAGAAAAGATTATAGTAGATAACCTACACATGGGGATGGATTGGATATGCATCTTGCGGGTTGCCTGCTGAGTCCATTAGTCTAGCTCTATGACGCAGCATGCCACACAAACTAACCGAAGCGAGAAGACGATTCAAGGAGTTTCGGAGAATAAAGGGACGAATAAATTTTCTAGTCACAGACATTGATAGCACAATTGGTGCGTGGATGGGTTGGCGGGTAGTTCGGAGCTGTGATGTTGAGAGGGGAGCTGTAAGCTGCTTGAGATGATGCCTGATTGGTCAGCACGTGACGTCAATCGGCAACCTCCAGATATAGACGAGAGAAAATTAGAGTATAAATATTTTAATATTCAAAATAATGCTAATGCTAATGGGGTATCTCTAATAAAAGCAAATCATGAGTAGAAGCGAATCGTGCAGCATGCTGTATGTTGTGTGCCTGGCGAGATCATACCATGCCAATGGGCTTGGGCTTCCACGGGCCGGGATGCCGACTCCAGCCTATATCAGCGGCATCTGCATCTTTTGTAGTTTCTGGTCCTCCCGGCGTGCCAATTGGAGTTGGGTCAGCAGATTTCTGCTCGTGTCCTTCCTCCTTGGCTGCCGTCTTGACCCCTCCGGCCACGATGTCCTTGGACAGCTTCAAACACTTGAGATAGACTTGGTTGCCAGGCAAAGTCTCTTGCAGTTCTGAGACGGCTTTTAGGAGTGCATCTGCATCCCAAGCCACCATTTCGTCTACAATAGCTTGTCGTTTAGCTTCGTCGTCCTCCTTGAGGTAGCGTAGCACCGTATCACGGCACACATCCTTTCTATGGCGTCTCTCCTCAGTCAGGTGCTTCCAGTAGTAATCCCATATCCAGGCCAGCGCCTTCTTGGCAGCTGTTCGAAGCTTAGCCAGTGACGGTAGCTGTTCATGGGTAGCTTGGTGGCGGAGCTCGACAAACGTCGCAGGCAGTCCAATAGCCTTGGCCAGTGAGTACATGCTCTGTTTGCGCAGCTTGTCCTGGTGACCGTCGAGCAGGCCTGTTACAAAGCTAGCCAAACCATAAACGTTAGCGTTGATGGTCTTCCAAACTAACTTGAAGGGGTCTCGAAACCGAACTCCCCGCTCCTCCAATGACTGACGAGCCATATGTAATAGCTGGAGGGGAGGGGGTGTAAAGCGCACAACCGCGCCACGGCCCAGCATGTACAATTACCACAATAGGCAATGGAAGGCCGAGATGCAGCAGGTAGATCAACAATTGACAAGAAAGCAAGAAAAACTCACCGACTAAACGCAGCCGAGTAAGCAGCGCGGGCAGCATAGGTAGCGGACCCAGCGCTGTCCGTGTGGGCGGCCTCGTCGCTCTGGACGGCGGCCGTAAGAATGGCCGTGGATTCGACCATGTGCGGGCAATTTCCTCGCTGCATCCACATGGAGACTCTAGCGACGGCATTGTGCTGATCATGGTCGTTGGCGGGCGAGTAGAACTGCTGGCGCACAAGCAGTAGCTCGGCGCGGTCTCGCCACGGCGTGAAGACGTACTGGACCATTTCTTTTCCTTTTCCTTTTAAGCGAGTCGTGCCATTGGACAGTGAGTAAGATGCTAGCAGGGGGAGTTGTGGGTGGCCGGAGATGTTTGTAGATGCCAATACGAAAAAGAGAAGAAAAGAAAAAAAGAAGGCGTTTGCGGAGCGAAAGAAGCTAGCGTGGTTTAGTGGAGGCCCAGGCGTGGACAAAGCTTGGTTAGTGGATGCGCTGTAGCGTGAACTCCAGGGTCCTGCTCAGTGGGGTTCCAGTGGGCTTTTTTTTTTCTTTGTTCTCTTTTTTTACAGGGGATTTTAGTGGGTGCAAACACCCTTGTGGGCTCGCCGCGAGTAAGTGGTAGAGGGGCTGCGACAGGAACGGGTACCCGGGGAGCGGGCTTGGCGGGCGGGAGAATTGGAAGGAAGAAAGTTCTTTTGTTCAGGTAATTTCGGTTCTAGAAGAATTGGAAAGAAAAGCGGCTAGTGGATCGGGCGAGTTTTGGGCTTAGAGGGTGTATATAGTGATGATGGTGGGATATGAAATGGAGAGCTTATACGTGTATAAGAGTATAGCACTGGGAGACAGACACTGGGGGCTGTGATAGGCAGCCTACTAAGTAGTATTGTCTCTCTGAGTATTGCACTGCTACTTAATTGGCTATATCCTTATAACTTGCATGATTGGATCGCAATGCTGGCTGATAATTCCATGTAATTGGGGGATATGTTGACAGCTGGTGCCACGTGATGTCGTCACCAACTCAGATCTGTTTAGCCACGGCCAGGCATCAACAGCATTCTCATCTGCTACCGTCTACAAGATTCTATCCATCAGGACACAAAAATATACATATATATTATGGCTGGAGCGCAAACCAGTATACTCTCGCTTCCCATTGAACTACTCAAACGGATTGTGGACGAGCTTACCAACCCAAAAATCCCCGCTCTCAACGGGAAACCTAACTTGTACTGGAGTAGCTTGAAAAGTCGCGATGCAATACCATGCCAAGATATATATAACCTCAGGCTCGTAAACAAGACACTAAACAAGGCCGCCAGCTATGCCCTTGTCCCTGTTCTTTCTATTCAGCTTGGCCAGAGATCACTTGCCAAAGCTACCACACTCGTCTGTAATCCGTTCATTGCAGAAGGCATTCGATGGGTGGAAGTTGGCCTAGGACATTTTCCAGAGACTCTCGCAAACGATTGGCGGGCTTTTACTTCCTTTCAACAAGGCCGGCTCCGTCAATATCGATGCGACTGCGAGAAGGCGTTACGTGCTCTAAAGCGCTTTCTCCGTTCTGAAGACCGCGACGATACTATCGAAGACAGTCTAGACCTTTGGTTATGTTACAATAACAGATACAATGAACGCTCGGCATACAAACTAGCATCACGCCAAGAGCGCCGTCGGATATGTGAAGAGGATATAGCAGTGCTACAACTGGCTATCACACGCTTGCTTGATGCGGAGGACTTCATAAGAGACAATCCGCATCTGCCAACAGATACGGGTTGTACCGCTTTTGAAATCATTTTTGGGACTGCTTTTAGCCGATTTCAACAAATGCATGCGGAACAGATGTCTTTGATTGATTCGGGAACATTCGCAACCACACTAAGCAACATATTGGCGAGCCTGCCAGGGCTCGAGGTCCTTCGGATGACAGATATGGCTAATGATACAAAATCCGAGTTAAGGGGAAATACTGTCCAAACAGCTAAAATGGTCATGGATGACGGCCGGCTTCAGCTCCACCTAGCAACGTCGCTATCGTGGGGGACTGAGCGGTTGTACCAGGCCAGATGGGAACGCAACGAACAGACAGCACCAGTGACGTTGCTCTACGATATTCCCGTAGCGCTAACACGCGGTGGTGTACGTCTTCGCGGTCTGTCCGTTCGCTGCGAGGCGACAGCCAATAGCTCGGAGCAGCTTATCACCCAGCGGTCTGCATTAAGAGGCACAGCTTGCGAGATACAGCGAGGCCTTTCCTCTCTCGAAATGTTGCATTACAACCTCACACGATTGACGGAGCCGAACGATGCAGTCGTTCTACGTCGGTGCCGTCTCAACGCGGCTGAATATATCAAGCTCGCAATTACTAGTGAATATCTTGCCGAGTTGATTATTGAGCTTCCAGGATTACACAAGTCTTCGAAAGATATAGGCGAGGCGTATGGCAGTCTCGAGAAAGCGCTCGGTCGCATGGCAAACACCAGTCTTAGCCAGCTTCAACTAGGCCACGTGTCTTTAACTGCGGATGAACTAAGGGATATCATTGAACGATACGGAGACAAAGCATTATTGTGCAAATTGTACTCGGTGTATCTCAACAATGGGAGTTGGGCTAGTGTCTTGGATACTGTACGTGCAAAGATTGGCTTACGCGTGAGAGATGGTAGCTGCTCATTCCAAACTGAAGAGCTAAACAGCTTGGAAATGTGGAATCATTACCATGATAAATATCAGAAAGGGCTCACGGAAGCCACCATTCAAGGCGTCCTATGGATCAACGAGGTTCAAAAGGCTATTAAGCAATACGTTGCTGGGCAGGAATTCGTAAATCCCATGATGACATGCAACCTACCGTTTGAACCGCTTCTGTAGAGGCAAGAAACCTGTCTGCGTATTACAATACAAACTTGGGCTACTAAATTATACTATGACTTTATTCAAAGAGCTCAGAATTTGTCAAAAGTAGTTCGTCTCGTCCCGTCCCTTCAACCGCACAGGGCCCACAGCACGCGCGCCGAATCCTTCAGTTAGCTTCACTTATAGCGTGCTTTAACGCGGAAACCAGACAGAAGCAAAACAAAGTCGTCATTTATTTTTATGTACATGATAATATACTAGGAATACGGGCTATATGCTATGTACATACAATCATTATAGAACAAGAGCGGCGGCTGCCATACCTATAGCAGCTACCGCAACAACGGGTCCACGCTGAGCTACAGCTGCAGCAGAGCTACTAGCCGCAGCCGGTGCTGAAGACGAAGCAGCGGCAGATGAACCTCCCGCTCCGTTCGATGACGCCGCAGGCTTGGTGTTGGTAGGCATCGTAGTCTGGACAACAAAGCTGCCCGGCTCGCTGGTCTGAGGGGCACCGCCAGGGTTGGTTCTAGTGTCTGAGCTGAGCTTGGGGAGAGTAGGTAGAGGTCCCTCGCCTGCTGGCGTGCCCGTCACAGGAAGCGCGCTGGTAATTGAGACGGGCGATGCCAGAGGCCCGCGGCTGTAGGCGGTGGTATCGGTAGACACGAGGACGCCGCTCTGGCCGCGGTTCTTGCCCTGGGGATCCTGCCAGGCACTGTCGTCGTGTTGAGGGGCGCGATCGACGATGGCGATGGGGGCGGCGTTGCGCTGGGGGAGGAGAATGTTGGCGTTGGCGATGGCGGCGAGGGCCAGCGGTGCAAAGAGGGGTGTGGCCTTCATTGCGATGATGTTTGTCTTTACTGTTTAGTCGCGACGTGCGTATAGACACTAAACAATGATGGAGAAGATGAAGATGATGAAGAAAGAAGGGCCGAGGAAAGTGGTGGCGATGAGAAACGAGGCTAGCTGCCAATTTCATCTTAGCGTGCCGTCTCCCCCTCACCACCTGCATATAGAAATACGATGCAAGCTGCAGCCAATAGCATGAGCCGGACAAATTACTATACATGATGAACAACAAGAAACTGTTTGAATATACATTGTATATATTGGATGAAAAAGTGGTAATGCAAGTGTAATAAAAAGAGCGCCTCCGCTGTCTACCGTTAACCTCATTAAAAAAACAATGACCACCAACTCCCCTTGTCCCGTTCTTCTTTCTAACTATTAAAACGTTTAGATGCCAATTCAGTCATTCCACTGCCGCGACAGCTCCTTTTGCTTCTGACGCGTATTCCAGCCCAACTTGCCACTAATACTATTCACCCAGTCCTCGCTGCGCCGGCCCTCCGCCTGCACCGAGGCAAACGGGTATCGACTCGCACTAATCGTCACGTAGTCGCCCGGCTGCAGCTCCACGCGCTCGCGGCCATCAAACGACGCCCAGGACGACGTGCGCGCATCATACGGCACACCGACGCGCAGTACAATTGTGTCCGGCAGGATGATGGGCCGGAAGGACAGCGTGTGTGCGCAGATGGACGTCACCAACATCACGGGGTTCTCGGGGTGGCAGAGCGAGCCGCCAGCCGCAAGGTTGTATGCCGTAGAGCCCGTGGGCGTCGATACGCAGATGCCGTCTGCAAGGACGGATGTAAAATGTTCGTCGTCGCCAAATACTTCAGTGTATGACATGGCTGTCTCTCGGTTAGCATACCGACATCATCTCATGTAAGTGTGATCAAGAAGAACGTACTTGGATTCGGCCCGCGGTCTACCACGACTTCATTCAGAATCTCAAACGTCCCATCAGGTCGGTGCGTATGAAAGTCTTCTTTCTCCTCGCCAATCAACTCCTCCACCAGATCCCGCTTCCTATGAACCTCCTCGTCGTCTTCTTCAGACGACTCCTTGTCGTTGTCGCTGTCGGCAACCACTTTACGCCGTATGCTCCGCATGACTGTACTTTCAAACCGCAGCCGCAAGCTCACCGTGACACCTTTATCAAACGCCGACTGCAGCGTCTCCTCGTAATCCTCAAAGTCAAACTTGGTCAGAAAGCCTAGACTTCCCAGCGCAAAGCTCAGAATCGGCGGCACAATCCGCTGGAAGAGCCAGCTGGCATACAGCACCGTGCCGTCGCCACCCAGCGTAATTTTTTATTTATACGTTTTTTTCCGTGATCTACACATATCCTCCGACCAGTACCGCAGCCGCTGCTGAGCATCGTCCCGCACTTTCTCTTTATCTGAGGAAGCGCTCATCTCTACAAGTTCGTCCACGAGCCCGCTCGCGTCAAACTTCTTGCTATCCTTGAGTTTGTCTTGCACATAGACGGTATACCGCACATGCCGCCCTTCTTCCAGCAGCCACTTGGCCAGCTCGCGCGTCTTGGGGATAAGTTCCAAGTCGTAAATCTTAGTTAGGATCAGAATCGACTTGACGCGGAACTTGATGCGCATGCTGCTCAGCCGCCTGCTCAGCTCCCGCACGCCCCATGCCATATCGCTGAGCTGCCGCTTCGTGAGCATCCGGCTGTGCAGTTCCTCGTGCGGACCCTGTGCCAGAAACTGACTGCCGTGCCTCGAAAGATTGACATCTGATTCTGTGCGTGTCATTTCGTGCGCCCATCGCTGCTGGTCGCTCTGGCCCATGGTCTTGTCGTGTGGTAGACTGGCCAGGTCGATCTGCGCTCTCGATTCGCGGCGCTTACGGGGTGTTCCCGAGACGGGCATTGTCAGCGCGTCAGTGGATGCGGAAGATTCGGCCTCGGTCTCGTAGATGGGATGTGTTCGGAATCGCCTCTCGGCGGCGTCAAGATTATTGGAGGATCCTGAGCCTCCGCCGCGACGCTGTGCTTCGATGAGTTGGTGCACGATGCATTCGCTGCTTCGGATGGAGGAGAGCGGGACGTTGTTGATGTCGGAGGAGACAAGCGAGCTCTTTCTTCGGTACGGGTTTGCCGGATCAAACGTCACCTATTTGTTTCAGTTCGTTTTCTTTCTTCTTCGGCGACTGGACTAGTTGAGCGCGTGCTTGCGGGCTTGCTTACCTCCACGGCCTTGCCGTCGTCATCGCTGCCGTCGAGGCTGTCTTCGACCGCATTTGGGAACGGGAGATTTCTCTCCTCATCCTCCTTGCCCGACATCCTCGTCTTGCAGTTTTATTTCTCTTTGTCCAGTCGAGTCGCTGTCTGTGTTCGTCGCTTGGCCGCCGATCGCGGGGTAGCTGGCGAGCTGCTGCTGTCGGTGCTTGCGTGATCACGGATTCCAGCGCCAGTGATCGAGTCCAGGAGACAAAAGATATTCGGAATAATTGCAGCGACAATCTTTCAATTGCTTCAATTGCCCGCTGCCTGTCGCTTGCGGTGTTGGGCAGTGAGGATAAACAACTGTTGTGGTGTGTGTTTCGAGAAACCTTCTTTTTTGCCCGCCGAGCAGTAGCCGCCGCCCCACCAGTGACGACGCCATCACCAGCTTCACACACAACATTGTTACTTTTTCAACAGCAGCATATATTTGCATTTATATAATCACTTTTACAATCTAGCAGCAATCCAATTAACAATTAGATCCTCATTACATCTCTCTTCCATTACAGGTTGCCAGCTGTAAACTACACCGCCACTATGAAGCACCTCATTCTAGTCGGCGCATGCTACCTCGACACCATTCTCACGTACAACTCCCCCTCTCCTTTCTACTATTATCTCCCTATCATAACTTGACTAACTTCATACCCAGTGTCCCTCACTACCCCGAAGAAGACGCCAAACTCCGCGCTACAAATCTCAGCGTCCGCCGCGGCGGCAACTGTCCCAACAGTCTTCAAGTCCTTCTAGACCTCATCCCTGCCGCCGATACCAATACAAAGCTCCATCTCGTCTCCTGTCTACCCCGAAAAGATAGCCTCGCCAGCCAGCGTATCCTCTCGTCCTTTGGTAACAACTCATCCCGGTTACACTTTGGCCACTGTATATACCGCGAGGACTATGAGGAGGCAGCGAGCAGCTATATTATCCGCAGCGACCAAACAGGTAGCAGAACGCTCGTCAATTACAATAATTTACCGGAAATTACAGTAGATGAGTTTTCCCAGATTGCGAGTAGCTTTAGTCCTGACGACCAAACCTGGTGGCACTTTGAGGTATGAAAACACAATACTTTCTGTATAGCTCGTCGTCTAACATCGCCGTCTAGGGCCGTATACCGGAAACCACGCTCGAGTGTATACGTCTGCTTAGAGGAAAGCTTCCAAACACAACTATCAGTGTAGAGGTGGAAAAGCCTGGCCGTGAAGGCCTGGTACAACTAGCAGCGAGTGCTGATGTCGTCTTTTACTCGCGAACATGGGCCGAGGTTTGTATCATGGGGCTGGATCTATAACCAATCATAGAGAAGCTGACAACCGTGTGATAGCATCGCGGATACAAATCTGCCGAGCAGTGCCTACAAACTGAAAAGCCGTACGTATATACAACCCTCACCACCATACATACACCACTAACACGGCCAAGGAAACGAGGTTTCTGCCCTTGGGGCGCGCTGGGAGCAGGTGCAGTCACCCACGACGCAAAGTACACATTTGCACCAGTCCCAAATGAACCCATTACCGTGATAGAGTAAGCATATCCTTACTAGATACCCACCATATCAGCTTGTCGGCATTGCTAACGCAACGCAGCGCTGTCGGAGCCGGAGACACCTTCATTGCCGGCATCCTGTACAACGTCGCTGTCAACGATAGCAAAAACCAGGATATATCACAGGCGCTCCAGTATGCCGTCACTCTCGCCACGCTCAAGGTCCAGCGCGAGGGCTTTGACGGTCTAGGCTCCGCCATGAACAAATGAGCCTATCCGAGACGGCCCCTCGCGAGCCAAGCATCACATCGCCTTACATGCCAATTTGCAAGCAAGTAGCAGAATAAGCAGAAGCAGATAGAGTGGCACAGGTTGTACAAACAAGTCACTGTCTGTCAGCCAGTCACTTGGACCTTATCCCGTTTACGCCACTTCTCCAACACCAGAGACACCTCCTCCAACTCTCGCATGTCTCACCAAACACCCCCATCTCAGATCCCTCCCACACCCACGCAGGCCAGAAATGAGGCGGCGCGGCGAACAAGAGGAAAAAGGAAAACGGCTCGCTGGGTGTGCCCAACTGCGACATGCAGGACATTGTGCATACCGAACTCGCCCTTTCCCGCGACAAGGCCCTCGCCCCGAGACAGCCTGTAGAAACCCCGGCTCTTCCCCTCCTCAAACAAACGGGCGGCTTGATCATTACCCTTTTTTTTCCTTTTTGAACCACCGTATCTCCCCCCCATGGCCTGCTAGGAATTCTCATGCCCATGTTACTCCAAAAAAGAAACATGGAGAACACTAGCTTCGCCGATCGGGTTACGGTGCGACATTGACTGTGAGCTGCAGCCTGTTTGCTGTAAGGTCGCCGAGCACTACTCTATGTACTTTATCAACAAAGCCATGTATGTCCTTTTGCTTCACGCATGGCATGCATGGGCTATGACAGCATACCACTTATGTTTTGAGCCGTGGTTGTACATGCGATTTGATAGTTGTAGTAGTTGCTCCCCATCTCAGCACGGCATCTCTTTATGCCGGGACACGCAAGTTTGAATATCCTTGGCTCTTCTAGTAATCCACCCCCCAGCTTGTACGTCCAATATAGCCTTTTCGTCGCCCCTTACCAAAGGACTCTGGAACTAGAACAGGCCGTAGTAACTGCAGGTAGTATTTGCTGTCTTTGCGCGTCAGACGCCGGCGCACGTTGCGTCGCTGCAACTACCCGGTCTAATCGTGAATGGAGGATTTGCTTTTTCACCATCCCGTATCTAATTACAACTGTCGAGCGGTGAAATGTCCCAGTTGGCAGCGGGCCAACCGCCATCCATCAAGAAAGAAGAAAAAAGGCAACTTTGCCTGCAAGCCCGCTCGGCCTCGCTTGCTCGCTGCTCTTAGTTAGTCTGCGTGTCTCTTGTTGAAGGGGCGTCGTTCAGCACTCACCTCTGTGGTGGGTAAGATAGCGCAGGCAATTAGCGCCGTTGTAGGTAGAGTTTGCATTTACATGCCAGCCAGCACAGATGCACTTCCCGGCGGACCTGGCGGTGAAACAAGACGCCAAACGTTTCTGGGCGTCGGAGGCGAAAGATACACCAGCTCAAGCTTAAGTGGATGGGTGTTTACTTTTACGATCAGAGAGGTGCAACCCTTGGCTCGGAGAAAATCGTTTGCCTGTGTTTCGCAAGCTCCCAGGGCAACTTTATCAGCTTTGCCAGGCAGCAGTACGTAGATGCGTAGTCGTCAGTTCGTAAAGGGTCCCCTTCCTTTTCCTCCTTGGCCAAGCAATTTATTTGAACCTGGCAGAGAGAGAGACTCAAAAAACAAAAAGTAACTCATTCTAGTGGCGCGAGCACCATTGCCACACCAGGCTTGCTCTGCACAACTGATGCAGCAGACAGCCACAGCCATTACAGGAATCTAGCCTAGCCTTCCGTTTGCGCCATGGGCAAAAAAACAAAACCCGATGTCAAGTGTGTCAGTGTGTGTGTGTGTGTGTGTGTGTGTGTGTGTGAGCGAGTGCATGTGTGCGTGTGTGTGGCCCGCTGCACACCAGTACATCCAGCTGAATCCACGTTGCAGCGCATACTTCGGTCTTGGGCAGCGCGGCATTTCACAAGTGACAGGTCCCATCAGACACTTCGCCTGTGGTGTGGCGCTCTCCCTCTGACGCAGTTGCTAGGTTTTAGGGGACGGGGACTGGGCGGTGGCTCCAAATCTAAGCCCGCCCATCTGGGTCGTGGAGATCGGCGGCGAGAGGGATCGGAGAGAACTCCCTCGCAACTTCGTTTGCGCTCCGCTGGTCCACTGCCTGGGCCTGGAGCCCGTACGCGAAATGCCGGAAAAGGGAAGTCGTCTTTTTTACGTTCTTATTTGCCGGTCTCATAAAGCAATACATGTACACGCGGGCAAATGCATTGCTTGCCTTGCCTCGCTTGCTCCCTCTTTGCCACGCCAGGCTCGTCAAAGGAGAGAGGCGCCCTGGCTCGCCCAGTCCGCGTGGCTCGGCGTTGAATGACATGCTGGAGGCGAGTGACGTCGGCGAGGTGCGACTCGCTCCCGCCAAACAAGCACCAGTAACTTGCTCCAGGCGGCGGCGGCGCGGGATGCAGGGCTCGGGGCAGTGGGGTCAACCCCTAAAGATAGAGTTTCCACTTCGAGAAATACCAGCCGGGGTGGTGAGGTGTGCGTGTGTCTGTGGTGGGCAGCTGTGTAGACAGACAGGGTGGATAGTGCATGCTTCGGCTTACAAGGCAAAAAGGGCTGGTATTGAGCGATTGCGAAGGTTCCGTATGCCGTAAATCACCAGACTTGCAAAGGTCGCTCGCTTGAGAAGAGGGGAGAAGCGCAGCAGCAAGCATCCGCCTTGTGGCTCTCCTCTACCTCATGTATGCTCTTGGAAGCCTTAGTAGCACATGTGTCAAAGGAGGGTCAACTGGGCAGCCGGTGATATTACCACGATACGATATTGAAGGCATCCCATTTGTTTGCTGCACCCTGTCTGTGGTCGCAGTCGTCACATGGCGCTGCGTCTACCGTTTGCGTGGGGTTTCTGTGGGAAATATAGCAGCCTGGGCTAGGGGGGGCGCTACAACGTAACGCCATAGGTAATTTGAGTGCCTTGCACCAACAGCAGCAGCGGCGTGCCGCATTGGCTGGTATGTTCACCCGGTAAGCCTAGTCCCGGGAAGTAATTATAGTGCCTGACCTGTTTTTGGTACAGCCCGTTCCTAAAGCCTGGCCGCCGTACTTTGTAACAGATTTTTGTCTTGGGGCGCTTACTCTTCCAACATTACGCATGGGCATGGCCCCGTTGGCCATTCCGTCGTTGCGTTGAAGTCGCAGAGGGCGGCACGAGCCAGCCAGTACGCAGGTGCATTGCCCCTTCGTCGTTGAGACGGTTCCAGTAGCCTGCATTGCCAACTGGGGGCGAAGTGAAAATAGTACATCAAGCGGCGCGGCCTGGCTTCTTTCAAGACTGTTCCCTCGTCAGCCAGGGCGTTTTGACCGGACAAGGTCCCGAGGGGCGGCCTAGGCAGTGAGTGAATGAGTGGCTGTCGCACCGACATTGTTGGGCGACTAACGAAACACGGCTTAGCACAGCATCATGCCGTTGCAGACGTTGTGGTGATTTATTCTGTCGCCTGAAGCATATAGTCACACGCATGTATGTACGTATACACCACCCCTTTGCTGGAGCAGGCACCTAGCCACTGTACGTGGAACCCTTGGGTTTCGCGGCTATTGAACTTTGCGTCTCATCTCCGGCACCGCATAAACTACGTGCATCTGCGTCGGGTTGGCTGGCTGGTTGGGCTTCCAGGCACCACCAAGCCCGCCGACGGTTTACTACCAGGGAGCGGTTGTTTGTGATCCCTCCAATCAGAGCCCTGGGGCAATGGTTGAGCAAATGGTACAATATAATGGTTGACGGACATTGAACCCCGCCGGCTGCCAGGGAGCGTCTCAAGCCACGACCGGTGCAGTGCCGTGATACCATCAAAGTAGCCAAACGCCGATCCGCGACTGTCCTTACCGCTTCAGAGGTGCTCCGGCTCGGACTTGGTATCGGCTGATCCCTCGCAGAAGCGAAGAGAGAAACGAGAGTGACTTTGCATTCACACAGCAAGGCTGGAGGAGGGGGCACGGGCGGTCATTGATACGTACGGTCGGTGCATGACCAACAGAGACTTAACTTGGCGCGGATACACAAGACGTGCATCTGCCCAGCGGGTGTTGGAGAAAAAAGGCGGAACTGCAAGGCCGAGCCTCTGTATTAGGCTCAACAGCTCGTGTTGCCATTACATCAGGGCAGATGTTGCGGCAAACAGTGTCGGTAGGAAACTCCGTGCAGTGCAGCGCCGGTTGTGGCGCACGTTGTGTGTGGCGTGTGTTCCATTGAAGCCTCGTTCTTCTTGGTTGTGGGAGCAAGTAGTGGCGACCAATACGTATTCGCCCCTGGAGCAATGTAGAAAGGCGATCCCTTTGTCGCCAGTTTTGACCGCTACATGGGGTCATAGAACATTGACGGTGGTGTGTGGCCGACGACTGCCTCTTTGGGAATGTGAGTCAGTGGATTCGCCGTGGGTCTCATTAAAATAAAAAATGTAGAAAGAACAAAAAAAAAAGCCAAGTCAATTCTCGATGGGCTGCCTGCAGGTATCATGATACCATCGGGCTGCTTTGGGGTTAATGCGCTGGCTGGGTTAGTTGAGCTGGCAAAGAGGAGGGGGGGCGTAGTTATGAAGGAGCAGGAATTGGCGTTTGGTGGACGACAGGCCTAAGAAAGAAAGGACAAAAAAAGCAAAAACTGGCTGCTGCCGGCTGGCGGGCACCTGGCAGCCAGTTCTGGCCACTGTCTCTTTAGTTTTTAGTGGGTGGCGGTGATGGTGGTGGCGTGTGGCGGGGCAGGCCGTTGCCCCACGTTAGCTATGCTTCACTTTTGTTGGCTGCCAGTGAAGAGTGTCTGTGCAGGATCAGAATTTGTGCTAAAAATGTCTGCAGGCAATAGTCGCAAAGGTGATATTTTTAGATGTTGTATCATGAGACTATCCTCGGTTAGACTTTGATCTTTGTTTTTTTAACCTCAGCATAGGCTCGTGTCCCAGCAGTAAGAGAGCCAAATACAGCTGCTGACCAAGCCATATGCCTAGCTGGAGGTGTATTGAGGGACGGTTTATAGGGGGCGTGGGTCCACTAAAGGAGCCATTTCTGGCCCCAAAAATTATGGCTGTCAGAAGGGCAGGCGTTGGGAGAGGGGGCTTGTCAGCGTCAAGGGAATGGTCAGCCTATTCATGATGAAATGGCACGTCGGAGCGATGCCGGCTATTGCTGTTGCCGCCGTTTGTATCTTTTTGTGCCTTAATATGGCTCCCTATTCATATGAATTACAGTTCAAGCCGATGCACAGACACTGTTGTGGCTTTTTGGGTAGATTTTATTGGCTTCCGACGTTATGCCGTGTGCCTGTAAGTTCCGATACTCGGTACCCAATACTTCAAAAAACATGGTTCCGGCCGTAATAGTCCAAGTGGCATCTCCGGCTAAACTTGATGATGACCCTCTTACCATTCGCTTCAAACACCACAAATCGCACATCTCACCGACATGAGTTAACCATAAAGGAAAAAAAAAACACACTGTCAGCAGATGACGAAAAAATATGAATAAAAAAAACTTACATCTCTCGCAAGCATGTACACCATCTCGCTTGGCTCCGTCACCCACACTTTTTCTCCATTAGTGGCGCCGTTACCCTGCAGCTGCCAAATCCAGTAAAACTCCCTGTGCCCCATCGCTGTGGATTGGATGACATCCGCCAAAAACGTGCTGCGCGGTGGTGGAGCTGGCCCCCAACGCAGAAAACAGCTCTTCCGCGCATGCACGCTGTGACGGTTCCGCCGGAAGCAAGCTGGCTGGCTGTGCCGTGTTCTACAAAAAAAAGAGAGCTACTTCCTGCTCCTCCAATGAGATAGTACGTATGCACAGTACATCCTGTATTAGCTCCGTGTATCCTTGGATGGCTTTTCCGGGTACGGTACAATCCAGGGGCCCTACCCGGCGTTTCCCTGCGTGAACCCTTTTTTTCACTTCTGCTTCTGGATCGGCAAGGCGATCAACAGCGAAGAAACGTAACAAGAGAACAAAGAGTCCGACGATTAAACGAAAGGGGATTGGCCGCTTGCCTGACACGGCGGCTTGCTTCATATGCCTGGCATTTACAACGCCGTGGACGTCCGTTCGCCAGCCGCTTGACCCCCCCTATAAGAGGAACGTACCACCGGCCTAATACTGGCGGCGGTAGCAGCACCAGCAGGGATTATAGTGCTATAATTACGTGGGGTGTTCTGGAAAGGCAATCGCCTGCAGCGTGGCCAGCAGACCAAGCGAGCGATGCATCGAGCCTCTCTCTTATCCGGGACGGGGGTTAGTAGCAGAAAAGCCAGCCCTTCCGGGGGGTGTGGTGGTAATGGCGGCGGCAAGCCCTGGCTGGCAACAAAGAAACGGAGTCATGCCCGTTCCATCCATCTCAATACAAATGACCAGCCTGTTTCTCTCCATTAAGAAGGGTAATTACTCACGTATAGACAAATCCATCGACAGCGGAGACGTTGATATCTGTCGTCTCCTCCTCGGTCAACACCGAACAGCGTCGGTTTTGACTTGGAACGGCCGCGCGTGCCGAATACGCCTCTTGGCAAAGAATGATTCGACAAAACTGGCTGGATGAATGAATTACTCGCCCATGGCTAAAGAGGGCCAGAGCCAATTTTGGCTGCTTAGCCAGCTATTAGCTCCAAAACAGGCTCCTGGTGCTTGCTCCTCTGCACTTCGGCCCCTTGCCCAGCATCTTGCCCAGCCTGCCAAAGCCACCACCGCCGAACGTAAGCCCAAGCAAGCCAAGCTACAGGGCCACCACACTGTTGGGAAAGCCTTGCAAAAAAAAAAACGACACAGCCCTGCCGACGACCCACGCCCCTCCTCCAAGGCGTGCTTGCAAGAAAACAGAGGGATTGTGGGCGTCTATTGCAAACCGTGGCGCACTTTGGCGTCGGTCCACGGGGCTGGGAAACGCTCAACCGGTTCCGCAGAAGGGAGCTGAGCACGGCTGTACATTGGGCCGCCGGGACCTTCCAGCTTGAGAAACGATGCGGTAGTCGTATGGCATGGGTCGAACGAAGCTGGCGTCAAACTCACTTTTTTATTTTCGTTTCTCCATGGGCATAGCATTTGCACCGTGATCATGACGCGCAAGTGGTGGAGTAGTACGGTGTGCTGTGCTAGCCTGTAGTGGTGCCATCGGAAATCCAGAAGGGCCAAAAAGTTAAAACACTACGCGATGGCGGAAAGCAAAGCAAAGGCCTAGGCCAAAAAGTCGTCACTTGCAGAAGCGGCCGCCGCTACTGTACAGCATGCAACCCGCTTCGAACGTAGATGTGTGGTGTGGCAGCGATGGTTGGCTGGTGCAGCAGCATCCATGATTGGCATCGACCAAGGTCTCACGCAGGTGCAGCTAGCTAGCAGCAGTTGGTGGTGTTGTGGTGCCGCCGATACTTGCTGCTGCTCACACGGACACACAGCCAAGCTAAGAAAAGAACGCAAACGAACAGTACATCGCCCATTCACTGCCCAAACGAGAAGAGCCGAGACTGCTCTTGGGTGGCCCTTGCTAGCGAGTCGGGCGTGGTGTGGTGCCTTATCCACTACGGCCGAGCCTATTCCAGCTCCGCGCTTGCGCAACAGAGAGACAGGTAGAGTTTCACTGCGTGGAGGTGACTTTTTTCGCTAGCGTCATGCTTGTTCTGCCGTTTGCCCTGAGCTCTCAGCTAGTAGCTTAGCTTTGGGATGATACGTGTTGCGCCGCCTGAGCCGCGCCAAATATGCCGTTCCCGTGGGCCGCCTTTTTTTGCTCTTCATTGTGCCCACCCCATGCGACATGGCTGGCTCATCTCGCCCAGTAAGACCGAGAAAGCAAATACGATGGTCTTTTTATTATTATTATTTTAAACCGTGACAGCAGAGCTCCGCCCAAAAGGACGCTCCACCGGCCACCGTATTGCCAAAGCAGGGCCCCGTTTGTTCAGGGACTGGCACACGGCAGACCATTCCATTTCCGATTACGTCTCACGTCTCTTGCCCGCCGCTTTGCATGCTTGAATAGGGAGTTGGCAAGCGAGACAGCGTCAGTTCACTAAGCAGATGATTATGCGTGAGCAAGCAAGCAGCAGAAACGAGGCGTGAGGCACGACACTATTGAATTCCCCTTGGGTTTGTTTTGTTCTCCGCCCCCGTTGAAACAAACAAGGCCTGGAGATCGAATTGCTGCTTAGGGATAGTTCGGCCGGCGTAGTGATTTCGTTTAAATAATTTGCCGTCAACTTGGCTAGAGGCCCTGTACAGTTAAAGATGATCAGGCTGGTGGTGGTGCAGTGCTACTACAGGTCTTTGTAGCGTTGCATTCATCGCTGATAGTTGGCGGCGGCGAGGTACCTGGAGCCAGTTGACTAGTGGCGTTCGTCGTTAAAGATCGTCCAGGCTGTGGTTCTTTGGGGCTTGCGTTAAACGGGGGTACAAGGGAGACGATGCCAGACAAAATAATACTACTCTTAATGGCAGCGGCAGTAATAATGCTCGGTTTAATTAAGTTTAATCAGGCGTTTTATTTCTTCTTGTTCTGTCTAGGGGACTGACTGTCTGCTCACCTGAATCAGGAATGCACATGGCCAGGCTCCTCTTCTCCGCCCTCCCCGCTACGCGCACCCGCTATTGCAGGCCACTGGATTGTTTGCCCGCTCGTCACTTTGAGATGAGCTCTGCTGACCGCCTTGCCTCACCTGCCAATACCTTTTTTTTTTTTTTTTTTTTTTTTTTTTTTTTTTTTTTTACTTTTTTTTTCTTTGCCCCAGGCAATAGACCCCCTTCTCTTGTTTTCTGCATGCTCTGGCCGATCCACAAAAGCAAAGAGAAACACCAGCCAACAAGCAAAAGGAGAGGCAAAATTGGCGCCAGACGAAATTCTATTCGCCTCATTCAAGTACAGCATCGTGCCATCAAATTCCATTACCGAAAAGCCCGCTTTCCCGAGCACTCCACTTGGGATGCAAGTTAGCAAGCCTTGTTCCATCCAAGCCAGCCAGCCAGCCAGCTAGCCCGGCCCATCAGCAGGCACGAAGCAATGTTTGCCCGCTGGCTATGCATCGATTACGGCACTATGTGGAATACCGAAAAAAAAATAATAATAATCAAATAGACTGAAGCACAGAGTCAGCCGCCGAATCGCGAGCTCCGCTTGCTGCTTGCTTGCACGCACCACCAAACCTAGCGGTCCACGGCACAATCCGTAGCATGAATCTGGTAGCGAAAACGGGGGGCTGCCCTTCGGAACTTGCCAAAATTATCCAGATCCAAGGCCACGCATGGCACAGTCGCAACCGGTCAGACGCTGGCCGTCGGCCTCAGGTCGCGATGTTGGGTAAGATTTGTTTTGCCTCGCAAGGGGCGAAACCAACCAGACAGCCAGCGGTATGAGACATGTGAAGCATCGTATCACTGTGACAGCAAGCGATGCCGCCGCCGCCTCCCTCTTTCCGCAAAAAAAGAAGGTTTGGCAAAGGCTGCAGAAAAAAAGAAAATTAAAAAAAGAGAGGATCAAACATCAATTCTCGTTACGGTGGCCTAGCCTCCCGCTGTTACCTTCCGACTTGTACGCACCCTGCCCTTGTTACCAAACTCAGTTGATTAGATCTAGTGCTAATAAATAGTGTCTCTAATATTTGCACACCCATGGGTCCATACCCCGAGCGCAGCCTTGGCTTTCAGCGGCACCGCGCTCAGACCCTTGGGCGTGACGCTAGCCGCTTCCTTTTTTTCGTTGACGGAAGCTCGCATGCCAATCAGTTCCACTAGGTGGGTGACTACTCTGATGTGCATCCCACTGGTTACAGGGATCATCGCCAAACTTTGCCTGATGGCATTGGGAAACCGAAGCGCATGATACGTAACCGCCATGACCCGACCCTTGCTGCGAATCTCCGCCAAACAAAAGAGAGAGAGAGATGTGAGAGAGGCAGAGTTCTGGGCGCCTACATGAAACGCGGCATTGGCCTCTTTTCTGCTGCATGTCTGCTTGTTTGCTTGCTCCTCTTTGGCAGAACGAGCCCGGCGGGTTCGGCCTGGGGCAGAGGGGCCTCTAACATCGGTGCAAGATCCATTATTGGCTTCTGCATGAATTCCCTTCCTTCCACAGAGTGGAGCTGCTTAAAAAAGCTACCAATGCAGAGGGTGACGGACCCGTGGGTTTTGGAGCCTCCTCGGTGCCGCGCCCATCGATGAAGCCAAGTCTAATCTGTGGACGCCACTGCTTACGCACCCCCGTCGAGACCTGTACCGCCGGTTTGGAGGCATCTGCACGCCAAAAGCAGAGCGGTCCGACCTGTTACCTGTACGCCCAAGCGTCCCCCTAGCGCTCGACCCTCCCTTCTTTGGCTGTTGTTGCTGGCGCCGCTTGGTGGGGTTGACTGCTGGGCTCAGCAAAGCCCGACAAAGTCCCCTGGGTGCCTCGCTCGCAGGCTTTGACTTTTCAGTTTGATCCAGTCCTGCAGCCACCACCACCACCGCATCAAGGTCGGGGCGGCTGTTGCTCGCGCTGGATGCTGGGAGCAGCATTCTTGGAGGGGCTGTGGAAGCCAAGCGGTTGCGTGCCCCGGTTCCATGACCATAAGGTACCACACCAGGAGCTGGCACTTTCGGTCACATTCGTTTCGAGACCCCATGGCTGTCACCTTTTTTGATATTTGTGAAGCGAGCGGCAGCACCAGCAGTAACCCAAGCGAGACATTTTGGTTATTGGCGTGCCCAGAATACCGCCGTAATATGACAAGCAAGCTGACCCTCATTTTTGACAACTAGCCAGCCAGTCTGAATGAAACTACCAAAGAGATGTTCAATATAACAGACGACCGGTGGTGTTCTCGACTTGGCGGCGTTCGCAGCGTGAGAAAATAGAAAAGCCCCGGCGGCCGGCATCCGCTAGGCCGCAAAGCTAGGAACTCGCTGATCAAACGCGTCATGACCAACAGCTTTCTTAGGGATTCCTACCAAGCGCTAGAGCCGGTGTTTCTGGTTTCCTTAGACCTTGACATCCTGTTTGGAAGCAGCCGTACCACAGACCCTTTTTTTCTTATTTTTATTTCTCGTTCCTAGGCTGCCAATCTGCTATTCCGGGAAACCCCCAAGTGTGGTCCAAAGGTCCAAATGTATCAGCCGGCACGCCAAAGCGTCGCCTCAGGGGTCCGCTCTTCCACCGCAAGAGCCACAATGCACACGGGCAAAGCACACAGTGAGCGTCATGGAGGGAATGCGTGGTAGCAGAAACAAACTTTGGTCACTTTTGTCATGCCCTTGTTACGCTTTTTGAGCTACATACAGGTGCACCGTCCCTAGACCTGCCTGAGGCTGGTCAGCTCCGTCCTAAACACGGGAAAACAGGCCATATTCAATTTGGCAAACCCTCTTTTGGGCCTATTCAGATTGTTTCTCCGTACGTGGAATCCATCCGATGAGACATCCTTGCTCTCCACCAGGCACACTCACACACCACCTGGGCCACCAGCTGGGCAGGCACGTCGACGACGCTAAGCACCGCGCAGTATGACGAAGCCAGCCAGTGAGCCCACCCGCCCCCGTTAGGTAGGCCGCCCACTTGACGAGACAAGCCAGCGAGTGAGCAGCGCAGAGGTACCAAAAATGGGCAGCGGTGGGAGGGTACGGTGGGATGGAGGGGGAGACAAGAGTGATGGAGGGATACGTACCCCTGCAGCGACTCAGTGATTCGAACTTCCCCATGCAGCCCGCACGTTTGTAGGCTGCCTCGGACGCCCCCTGCAACATACTATTGCCGTGCCAAACGCCCTTAGTGTCCAATGTCCACAGCGTTCTTTCGGCGGACCCACAGCTTTAGATCCATCTCATGGGGTGTGTGGTGGTGTGTGAGTTTGATCGTAGCGCTAGCCATCCTTTCGGCCCCATGCGCGGTACAGAACATGCTTTTGCATGGATCCGGGCAATACACTAATACACGGGTCGATATATCTCTGCGAGCCAGCCCATCTCTCTCCTGCTTCCTCCCTCCACATCCTAATCAACACCACTCTCCCTTTCAACAAACACACGCAACGACTGGCTCGATACCTTTCCTCATATAATCTACAGACTCGCTCTCTATCTCTCTCTCGCCTTTTTCTTTTCTCTTCACCAATCAACTCGTCCTTACTCGACCACCTCAGCTCCGCCACACTAAAGAAGTACTCGAGATACAACGAAAGCCTTTCACCTCAAACGTTTGCTCACAAATATCAACTGCATACAACAACACACTCTTCACATCACAATGCAGGCCCCGTTTGGCATGCTCAACGCCGGTTATCCAGCACCGGCGTTCCAGCAGTCATACTTTGACGACCTCTCCATCCCTTCGTCCACACAATACGCCAGCCGCAGACCATCGAGAAGCTCCCATGGACAACAATCACGAGCAGGATTCCCTATGCGTATTTCCAAGCCTAACAGTGCCAACAACAGCCCCAAGTCTGCCATTATGCAGTCAAGACGGCGAAGCTTCGTCCCCGAGGGACAAGCTGTCCGCAGACAGCAGCAGGTTCTCGACTACATCAACACTCACTACAGCCCTGCTCAGGTCCGACCCGCCCGCCCTGTGAGCTGGCATCCTGCCTCTCACATGCAGCTCATGCAACCTGCCTACCAGCAGTCAGCATACCCTCTTTTCACTCCCAACATGTTCGACTACCAGGACATGTACATGATGGGTGGTCCTCAGTTCTCTCCAATGATTGAGTCCTATTCCAACGACACCTCGCCCTCGTCTACCTTCTCGCCTCTTCCTCTCTTCCCCAACGACAACATGAACTACGTGCCCTCTACTGGCATGGAAGTTTCCCAAAAGGCCAACCCCCAGTATGCCCTTCCTGACCAGAGCTACAATGCCCTCGGCAACCAACCTTCTGGAGACTGGAACAACTTCATCATGACCGGCTTCAACAGCACTTCGCCACCAACGCCCGAGGCGTTCCCTCAGTCTCAGCAGCAGCAGCCTCACTTTGCCGCCGTCCCCGACGTGTCGGTTGTGCAGGAGCCTGCCGAGGAAGAGGAAGAAGGCGAGGTTCTTGTCGGCATGGGCCTCTACGATACCCCTGACAAGACTGACGAGGACACGCAGCTCAACAGCTACCACTCTACTGTGTCTTCTCTTCTTGGTTCTGGCTTCCGCCCTGCCGAACCTACCGGCAAGGGTCTCAAGCTCGAGGAGACCTGGGAGCCTCCCCAGTCCAGCGAAGATGGCGAAGACGACGAGGATGACGAGTGAGCGGGCCTCATTCCAAAACACCCTTCTACTTCTTGGATGTTTATTTTTCACCATATTGTTTTTATTTCCACTAGCAAAGACGGCGCTTCTCACTGCTACAAACTTTTCCTTTTTTTTATCATTGGGCATACATATCAGCGAGCACAAGGTGTTTTTTTCTCTGGGTTTCTTGGGATAGCATTAGCATATACATTTGGGCCCCGAACTTTCGAAAAGAAGAAAGCGGGATACACTTTGGCGTACAGCGACTCATAAATTGAGTCTTTTACATTTTGGGTACTTGATAGCATTTAGGTAGCATAGATAAAGGGTTACCCCTGGATGAACAGAACATTAGTTGCCTGGTTTCTACATCATTTTCTTTCTTCTCTGACTGCTTGAATTTTCCGGCGGCGTAACTTTTGAACACTGCTAATGCTCTCATATTGTTGATGGAGTTTTTGGCTGGAATGGGTCTGGACTGAGTTGAGTATTTAGCGTGTCACGCATGTGATTGGCTGAGCGCCACAGCTGGAAATAAGACGGGCAAAAGAAAACCACTGCATTCCAGCCCAACAGGCTCTCAGTGGTTGGTGTAATACAGTATTCGAGTCTATCTGCATTGTAAATTTGACTAATATATTTCAAAAAGAGGCCACATGGATACAGTTGCAATCCGTGGATACATGCAACGCACCCAGGTCTACATCTATCTGCCCCTGCCTGGTACAAGCGGGCGCTTAGGGGCGCAGCGGGCCACGTACGTGGTTGGCCATTAGAAGAACCAATTTAACATTCTCTCCATTTTATCCTTGGGTGGATTCTCTTCTTCCGCATCCGAAATAGTCATGGCGTCTGTGTCAAGGTCCATGGTGGAAATCCTGGCTGCCCTGGTCTTCTTCCATACCTTGCGAATCACAAACAACAGGAGCATGACAGGCAGCTGGATGTAGAAGCTGACAAAGTTGACGGCATCGAATTTAGGCGTGAAGCATGTCCAGCCCTGGACCAGCAGAATAAAAGTGTTGAGGACCACGCAGATCCACGGACCGACGGGGTACGTCCAGTTGCGGAAGGGCAACAGATGCGTCTTCTTTTGCACTTTGAGAGCGGCGCGGAAGCGGATCGACAAGACGCCAATGACGACCCAGTTGATCTGGCCTGATACTCCGAGAAGACTGGGTGGAAGAGTTAGCTTGCTTGGTGTATACGAGAGATGGTAGAGGAACGTACTTTTGTAGCCAGATCCAGAGCTGGCCGGATCCGACAAAACTAGAGGCAAAGCAGAGGCATGATACAAAGGCCGTTGCTAGAAGAGACGCCCACGGGACTTTATTCTTGGTCAACTTGGCAAAGACGCAGGGTGCCTCGCCCTTGATGGCGAGTGTGTAGAGCAGTCGGCCGCCAATGTAGATGGAGTGGTTGCCAGCCGAGACGGCGCTGGTGAAGATGACGGCGTTGATAAAGCTGCCTGCGGCGCGGGCACCGGCCATTTCGAGAATAATGGTAAACGGCGAGCGGAGGATCTTTTCCTTGTTGAGCAGCCGCGAGTCCAGGTACGATATATTGAGGCCAATCAGCAACACTGACACGACACTATTTCCATCCCGTCTGTTAGCACCCATCACTCGTTGATAAAGGTTGTGTATTTCCTTACTAGAACAGCAGCACGCGCCAAAACACATTCTTAATGGCCCGTGGGATCGTCTTTGTCGGATTCTTCGTCTCGCCCGCCGTAAACGTAATACTCTCGGTGCCGCTATACGCCAGCGACGCCGACACAAACACCGATGCAAGCCCACCTGCGCCGCCGACAAACGGTCCTCCCGGAACACGCCAGTTCTCGCCGCCAATATAGTGATGGTCAGTATTTGCGCCGGCATTGACAACGATGCCGACAATCATGAAGATAACCACCGTGACAACCTTGAGCAGACCAAGCCAGTACTCGATCTCGCCGTACAGCCGGACCGAGATCAAATTGGCCGCAACAAGCGCCACAAGGACAGCAAGACTGACAGGCCAGCCGGGGAAGTCGAGCGTCCAGTACTTGATGAGGATCTGCAGTGCAACGAGATCGGCAGCCATGGACACGGGAGCGGCGAACCAGCTGATCCACGTCATGGTGAAGCCAAAGGCGTCGTCGATGAAGCGGCTCGAGAAGGTGCAGAAGCTGCCGGAGATGGGCATGTAGGCGGCCATTTCGCCGAGCGAGAGCATGGTGAGGTAGACAATGGCGCCGACGACGGTGTAGCAGACGAGCAGGGAGCCGGGGCCGCCTGTCTCGAGGGCCTTGCCGGTGCCGATGAAGAGCCCGGTGCCGATGACGCCGGCAAACGAGAACATTTGGACTTGGCGAGCGGAGAGGGCGCGGCGGAGAGTGTCTTCGGGACGCTCTGGGAGCGGGTGTTGTTCTTCTGTAGTGGTGATGGCATTGTGTTTGTGTGTGGGGGATGATGGTGGCCGGGCGTCGATGGCTGTGGAGGATGCCATGGTGAGGCGAAGAAGGATTGAGGAATTGGAAGAAGGTTTATGACATTGGAGGAAGAGAGAAAGAGAGAGGATAGAGGGGTAAGGTAGTTGGGACTGGTATCTCAAACTGATGGTGGGGGGTTAAGTCAGATACACTAGCGATGCCGGAGGAGGGGAGGGGAGCGCCAGCGGCTGTCGGTGAGATTGACTGGTGTGGTCTGGCCAGCTTTAAATAAAACGTGCTTGTAATTTGTATAGTATTATTTCGAAATTTACTGGGTTATGAAGGAAGTTTGTAAATTTGTGTGGTGAAGTTGATTTGTTGGAGCACTTTTCACAAACAAGAGAATACAGCACAAGTTAGGATCTTACAGCGGGCGTCGGCTCCCCCCACGCAGCAAACACCACCACTGATGCTCTTCGGCCGCACTCGCAGCCTCGTCCCATCTGAAAACTTCACCCACGATATGCACACCAATCAATTCCATCGCCATGACGCCCGAAGGAAGCGGCCGACGTCGCAACGGCATGCAGGCGTCGTGTGAACGGTGCCGCAAAAAGAAAGTGAAATGCGATCATCGTCGGCCTGTCTGCAGCCCGTGTCTGCGCCGTGGCCTTGAGTCACAGTGCTTCTATCATCCTGCACCACTCTCCAAGAAACACTCTCTCGCTCCTACCAATCGAGTATCTAAACCAACTGCTCCTACATTATCAGGCTCAGCTTCGTCTAGCGTCAGAGATATGACTAGTGCTATTCAATCCCCCGAAAGACTCACCGCCAGCAACACGAGTACCAGCAGCATCAGTACAGGCAATACTGGCAACAACACAGCAAGCCACTCAAAATATGTGCAGAATATCGACACGCCTGACCGCCATCTTGATACAGTAAAGGCCATTCTTCAGCAGATCAAGTATGCCGACGACATTCACGACATTACAACACAGTACCTCAGTCCTCGAAGATTGACGCACATCCCAAAGATTCTGTACCTTACCATGATTGATAGTTTGCGCTGCAACCCTACTGCGAGCAGCTATAACAGTGAAGACTATGCCCGGACTGTTCTCAAGTCGTCCACGCTGCCCTTGACCATCACCCCCGACATGGACTTGGACGAGTTTTGCCGCCTCGCGACAGGACCGAACCTACGGATCGAGGTGTTGGGCATCTTGTTTTCAACCACCGCCTCGTCTATCCTCTACGGTACGCGACGAGACGAGCTCATGAATAGCAGGTTACTCGCGGATATGATTTACCACTGCAATCTAAGCCTGCAGCTCGCAAGAAGCCTGTCAAAAACGCCGTCCGACATTACCATATGGCTCGGGTACATGAATGTACATCTTATGAGCCTGATCAGCGGCGACGAAAGTAAGCAAATCTAAAATGTATATGCGAAGTTTAGAAACTAAAACAAGAGACAGGCTTGGACGTTTGGCGACGGATGAGCAATCTTGCCGTCGACCTGTTTGCCTTGCATGTGCACCGCGAGGCCACACATTCGCTGGACAAGGTGCCGCTATTTATAGCCGAAATTCGAAAACGCATCTTTGCTACGAGCAATTATATTGATAAACTCACCAGTCTCATGTTTGACCGGCCGCCTCGGCTACATCTCTCGTACTCGGATTGCAAACCGCCGCTGGATATATCCGACGAGGCGCTCTTCTCGCCAGAGCTCTTTGCGCAAGAGTGTCAGCGACTAACACTCGACGGATGGAATTTGGATGTAGCATTTCGACTGACGTCTGGAGCACGGGCGCGATTTCTAATTGCCGGGTTTATCGAGCAAATCAAAGATATGCAGCTGAACCCTTCTCATCCCTTTGACGAGGCGCGCTTGAGGTAAATCTTTTTTGTTGGTCGCCTTCACAAAAGAACATGTCGACTAATGACAGAAATAGGGATATTTCTGCTCGGTCTAAAATTGCCTGGGCAAACATTCCACAGTATCTGCAATATTCAGAGGAGTCATGGAAGCTCAATTTCTCGGCCGAGGCGTCGCTCATGCTGGCCAAGCTCTATGTGTTTTACTGCGCCATCGACTATGAAATCTTCACCATGATTTCCAAGGCCGCCGGCTCGACAGTCATAGAGTTATTGCAAGTAGCGTGGAACGTGCTAGAAGTCATGCTGCAGGTTGCCAAGGCGCGGTATACGTTCAAGTTTCCATCGCAGGATCTTCCTGCCACGGTATGTAACCCCTTTGTCTGCTGGGGTGTGTAGCCTTCTAACTGTATTGTAGTTTCTCTACTATGGTGCACCGAGCGCGAATATTTTGCTTTCTGCTCTAGAAGAGCTTTACCAAGGACGGCGCAAGGAGCTTCTGCCTACGCTGAGCAAATCGGCTCTTGTGCGCGGGCTGTCGGTGCTGGTCTCGCAGCTGGAGATCAACGACCATGCTACCGAATCGAGCTACGCGGCTGGTCTACGAGCAGCCAGGGCCATTTCTGCCAAACTTGACAGCATTCTTGATGGCGATATTGTCGCTGTGCCTGCGGTGAATCCTACGGATACTAATGGCGACTTGCTGCAACAACAACAACAACAACCACAGCAGCCTCTCCTCGGGTTGGACGATGCGCTTGCACTGCCTAACCTGATGAATTTTGGGTATGATGGTATTAACTGGGGTCTATTTACTGACTGGAGTATTATGGATATGGAAGGATAGGAGTTACGGCGTGTATTTTCTGTATATTTTACTCTTTTTTGTTGTTTAGACGGCACGGCGTTTGATGAATAGTGGGAGGACACAAGGCAGCACCAGCACTGTCCTATTTATTCCATTGCATTATAGATTTTGTTTCATTCGTATAAGTTATACATATATTTTCACCACAATTCTCGCCTATTTTCCTTTTCCTTCTCTGGGCTACTACTGCCACATGACGATCCTAATCCAATGTTTACATTTCTCCCCTCCAGCAATGTTTACAGGCGCTACTCACCCACTGTTTACAGCGCCCATCAGCCAAAAAAAGGGATCCCGCGGGGCCGCCACTTTAGTTTGTTTTGCGGGGATGGGAAGGCTTCGTCCCGCGTGCACGGGCCAACCACCAGCCCAACCCGGCGAACCACTCGCCGGGCCCAGCGAAGCTCCCCTGAAGAAGAGCTAATCTCCCGTCATTTGCGACGCTTCCTTCCTTTTCGGCTTCTTTTTTTCTTCCTGGTTTCTGCAACAGCAATCTACACACTTCAATTCGCTACACAGCAAACAAATCACACACACACACACAATGGACTTCTTCTCCTCGAAACCGGCCGCCCCTGCGGTCACCACCCTCCCCCCCGACTTGTTCGACACCACCACGCTCGTCTCGCTCGCGGCGACTGTCGCCATTGTCGCCGTCGCATACGGAGCTTCGTGCCTTGCGCTCAAGAAGGGAACCTCAACTGCCTTGCGCTTCCTCTTCATCTGGCACCTGAGCGACGCGCTCTGCCACTTCATCCTCGAGGGCAGCTTCCTCTACCACTGCTTCTTCAGCTTCGTCCCCGCCAGAAGCAGAGAGGCAAAGGGTCTCTTCCCCTCGGCGCACAACTACCTGGGCTACGGCGCAACACGCATCTACGGCCCCCAGTCTGCACCCGAGAACCCCTTTGCTGCTCTGTGGATGGTCTATGCCCGCGCCGATAAGCGCTGGGCTGGTGCCGATCTTGTAAGTCCTGTCCTCTGGTTCTAGTAACCGCTGTTGCTGTCGCAAATGCGGATGCGCGACTTTCTAAATAGTCTGTGTTGTTCTCTTTTGCTAACCACTGTTTGTTTGTTTAGGGCGTCATTAGCTTGGAACTCCTCACCGTCTTCTTCGATGGTCCCGTTGCCCTCTACGTCGCCTACCTCATCTCCAAGGGCAGCCCGAAGGCTAGCTTCTGGATGATCATCCTGGCCACTTGCGAGCTCTACGGCGGCTTCATGACCTTTTGCCCCGAGTGGCTCGTCGGCAACGTCAACTTGGACGGCAGCAACTTCATGTACATGTGGGTGTACCTCGTCTTCTTCAACATGCTCTGGGTCTTCATCCCTCTGTACGCCGTCTACTACTCGTACAACGACATCACCCACGCCTTCACTGTCCGCGACAGCAAGAAGAAGAACTAAAGGGCTTATGTCCCCGAGCATGGTGAATGAATGGAAATAAGAGATGGAATTTACTGGTTTAATAGGGAGGCAGGCGCACAGGACAGTCACGAGGAAACCAATGTTGGGATTGTTCAACTAATTCTTTATTTTTGACGGGTTTATTGATAGTACAAGGTTATTAATGCTAATTCCACTGGCGTCAACAATTGTTGTTGAGGAGTATCAGAGGAAAAGATGCGCTTCGTGTATCGTGAACAGCGTCTTTAGATCTGCTGCTTGTGGGCCTCACCCTTGGCGTCGTGCTTGCTCTCGTCAATCTTGTCACCGACGGCATCCTTGGCAGCGTTGAGACTGTAAAGTGTTAGAATAAGCAAGCGGCCTTGGGGATATTTCTGAGAGCTTACCGGGTGCCGACAGAGGCGTTGGAGTCCTTGGCGACCTCCTTGTTGGTTTCCTTGCTGACACCAGAGGTGGCCTTCTGAACCTGCTCAGAGGCGTAGTTGGCGGCTTGCTTGATAGACTCCATTGTGATTGGTGTTGAGAAGAAAGATTGATGGATGAGAATATGTAGTATGAGTAGAAGAGATGAGGATGAAAGAAGGTCAAGATGAAAAAACACTGGTGAGCTATGATGGCTTTTATAGTGACCAGTGCGGCAAACTGTTGAGAATCGGTCTACCCCTCCTTTGACATCATCGACATCCAAACAGGCAATGGACTACACATCACATGCTGCAGAATCTAGCTGTATCCATATCAGCTCCTTCCCAAATCACGATTCGCAGACGGACACTGGTACGAACCGATGTCATCGAAATGCAAACGCATCATCGATAAAGCCACAGCTCGAGTCTACGCCACGCCGTTGGGTGGGGCTGTGCAACGTACACAGAAATGTCCATGACGTAGCAGAGCCGCCATGCGATTCGCTACTTTGTGGCGATTTTCTGCTGGGGCGGGGCATTGTCTCCGGGGGCAGAAAAATAGACGGTGTACCGATTATGATGGGTTTGGGAGCGGATTTTGTCTGGAGATGTGTTTGGCTGCAGTTAGTTGTTGGGAGTTATTGGCTGCCAGGTGGCAGTTGCCGGGCCGTGACACCTGGCAGACCAGGCGAACAGTACAAAACAAAAATGCTAGCAAAAACCACCACCACCTGTCATCACCATAATTTGCCGAATTAATTTCCCGGCACTTATTCTCGAAAAAAAGCAAACAAAAAAACAAGCATTGAGGTGTCTGTTGCTCAAACAGTGCTCATATATTTGCTGTATGGCGCAACAGCCAAGTGCAAGCTGACTACTGCCCATCGACACCGTGGGGTAGGCAAACAACGCCTGAGACAAGTACCGCCGCATAACCTAGCTAATCTCGTTGCTCTACGTTCCCTGATGGACAGCATAGACCCGTGGACTCGGATGTGGCTCTGCCGATAATGCCATCTCCCGCCAAAGTTTGGCGTTTCTCATGTTTCCCCAACGCAAGCGAAAGCGACGCCCCGGATGCGCTTCCTCCGTGGAACAAGGGCATCCGTTCTCGACGCTGTATTGCAGGACCTGTGGCTTACACACACACTGAACCAAGATGTTGGGGGCGATGCCTCATCCCACACTGGCTGTGTGTACCTTTTTTTATTCTACAGTCAGATTTTTTTTGTCTTCCAGCCTGTTCCACGATTAGAAATAACAACCATGCCCGCTGCCCCAACACTTCGCTCGGATGCTCTTTTGTTGCTATTCATGGACGAGGCTGCCCGCTTGGACGCTCACAGTGGGCCATCGCTAACTCAATCTATATGTCGCCGACGTCAAACAGACTCGGCGTAGATGGCGGCCTCTATCGAAAACACAAGTAATCAGGGAACCTAGAAGCCGGGAAATCTCGAAGGGTTCGTCTGGACAAGAAAGCAGGGCGCATTGTGTATGCCGTCCGCCACCAGGAACAGCACGCAAACCAGGCGGCCCCTTAGCTTTTTCCAGCGATGCATCGAAACAGGCACGACAGAAAGGTGAAGCTTCCAGTGGAGTCGCTCTACACCCGTTTGGGGTTCCTGGGGGGCTGCTGTCCGTCGCCGCTAAACCCTTCCGGGCCACCCTCCAACTCCTCGCCGTTTCAACGTGCTGTAACAGTTGTGCTTCATCTTTACACCTCCTCGTTTTTTTGCTTCTGCCCCAAAGGCAGACTGGTGTGCAAATCCGCCGTTGCCGGTTGCCGGTCTCTATAGTTGATGAGCGCAAAGCAATATCACGAGGCCACAACGGATGAATACACTATAGGCAGCACAGCACATTTCCGCTCTGTCATGCGGATGCTCCAAGCGAGGTTCGTTGGGTCTGGGGCCGAAATGAGTCCCGCCGCCTTGACGGGCACAGAGTATTCGACTTGAGCAGCCAACGTCAAAGCGCAACGTCTTTCGCCCGCAAAACCCTTTCTTCTTGACGCAGCTAACGCATCCACTGCATGGAGGGGCCCCATTTGTCAGTGCGTCAGTCGCTGCCTCTCTGCTCAATTAGTTTTCGCCCTCTCCACTGCTGCTGCTACTAGTGCTACCGCTGCATCTATCTGCATAGTCTTGTCCTCAACGCCATGCTACCGCCGGCGGCGGGCACCAGCAGGTAAAGCGGATATGAGCTGTTCATGCGACCAAGCCTCGCCCTACAGCCTTTCCTTGGCCGGCCCTTGTCAACTTGTGCCTGTTTTCACTAGGCTGCCGAGTTCCTCTGGGCTGGGCCTGTTCATGGGTTGTAGTCCCCACCCCGCGCAGACTTCTGTGACTATTCTTGTTTCGTCCCGCACCTTGGAATGGCGTTTGCGAGATCCCACCGTGGCAGTCCCACCCCCAAGGCGGGCAAACCACCCCTTGCTGAGCGGGAGATGTCCAAGAGAGGAGCCTTGCTTGTCGGAAACGTTTTGCCTGTCTGACAGGGTCGCCCTGTTCCCTGCGCTGCTGCCCGCGTTCGGCCTGCGCAAAGCCGCCTGCTTGTCCATGCTCGACCCTCTGGCCCCGTCCGCATATTCATCTACTCGCGCTGGCCCGTTTCCATGCTCGTCCCTTCTCTTTTCCCTTCTTTAGTCTGTAGAAACATTTTCACACATCAACAACAGTATCCGTATTTGTTTATTCGACGCAGCCAATTTGGCTTTCGCAACGTGAACTTAGTGGACGCTCTTTAACAACATCAACAATACCGATACCACCAACAGCGATATTGTCGCCGGCGACAAGCCTTCGCTCTCTCTCTCGCAACCCGACTGTCCCTTCCGAAAGAAGCCATCTTTGCTGGACGAAGCAATATACACGAAAACGTTGGGCTGCTTGTGAAAAGGGCCATCCCGATCCCAATACCTCAACTATACCATTTGCCAACTTGGATGGTTACCTTCGCATGCTAGCGACTGGCTTTGCCAGCAAGCAGTTTTGCCACTCGACGCAACGAACTACATTATAAATAGCCAACATGGATAAAGTTTGGCAGTTCTTGGACCAGAGTGATGCCACGCAACAGCAGATGGTCGCTACTGCTGGCTCCGGCTTTGCATTTCAGACAAATTCTACGTATGACGTGATAAACCACCTCAAATTCAATAATGCAAAGTCGGTTCGCACATCTGGCATTATTCTGGCCAGCTTTAACGCTGCTATTGGCCTTGCCATGGCCATCGGCATCTTCTGGGACTGCTATCTGGCCTCAAGGCGGGCCGTCTCCAGATTTCGTTTATAGTACGCTTCACACAAAAGCCAGTCGCATGACCCTAGCTAACATCTTGTTCACAGCGCCTCGATATTTAAAATTGTCGGACCTGCCGACATGTTCCCTTTTGTGCTTTCTATTGGCATTCTTACACAAGGCGTCATCTTTGCCATTGCACAGGCTAGAGGTCTTGAAGGACTCCTAATCCTTGGATGCCAACCCATCTCACAAGTCATCTTACCAGGTATGTCCACCCATCTACTTTTGCCGACTCCTCGCTTATGCTAACCTTTACAGCCACCTTCATCGTCACATATGTACAACTTGTCTTTGGCATGGAGACACTGATACGCGCGCTGCGACCAGGCCCATTTCCTAAAATGTCAACCTGGACTTTTGTTGCCTGCATAACCGTCACCATTGCCGGCCTCCTTGGCACCTATGCCGTTTCCATCGTATATAAGGCTCCCAACTTTTGCTTCGGCAGCCTTTTCTTCTTTATCCAGCGGTGGTCGTTCCAGGTCTTTGTTGTCCTGCTTGTCATTACAGTATTCCTGCTTCTTGGCGCAGTGGCTATCCACTTGCGACTCGGTAAGAATAGAGAAATCGCAACCATCGAGCGCAAGGCAGTGTCTTCCATGGTTTTATATATGCTTCTCGGTGTCTTGACCAATGTTAGTATCCTCGAGGTTTATTTGACTGGTCACCAAATACTAACATGACTTACAGGCACTCGTCATGCCGTTCTTTGGCTTGATTGCTTTGGGCGATGCCGAAGCAAACCAAAAGACTCGTCTCAAGTTATCCATGGTTGCCATGGTGTCTGCCAACTTAACCGGACTTCTCAACGGCGGTCTCTATCTCTTTCTCCGAACATGCCATCACGGCAGCCTTGGTCGCAAGGGATACCACGAGTTTGAAAAGACAACCAGCAAAGACGGCAAACGCCGAAGATGGCCTCCTCCAAGACTTTCACTCTTCCCCCGTCGCCAGCCATCCAACAGCAGCACAAACTCATCGCTCGATAACGTCAGCGAAGTCGATGAGATTGTCTGCAGCCCCTCTGGCTTCACGCCGCGCAACGCTCTTACCTATATAACCACAGTGGCCAGCACTCTCAGTCCTATGCGCCCACGACGCTCGCATACAGGCTCCATTGCTACTCTCAACAGCATTCCCATCGAGTTGCCGACAGATTATGAGATTACAGCAGCAGAGGAAGAAATGCTCCGAGACGACGAGAATGTTCCTATCCTCGGCGCACCACGACCACCTCCCGCCACTCGCGGATTCTACAGCCCATTCCCTAATAAACGATCCATCCAAGGGCTACCGTCCGCTCGCCATGAGCCATTCCGTCCTCAAGCACCACCACCTCCACCGCCACCTCCTCCTATGGCTCAAACTATCTCACGACCCAACTCCCCCCAGGCCAAGCCGCGACTCCCCCGGCAGTTCTGGTCGCCGGACAGCTTCAACAACGTCTCCTCTGCCCGAAGCTCGGTTGCCACCCCATCGCAGCCATGGATTCCCGGCCATACTCGCCAGTCGTCGCTTGCATCGGCGCGGACTGTACAAATCGGCCTACGAGTGTCGCACCTCCGCATGCTGAGGGCCAACCGATCCGAAGACCTAGGATATCCTCCCCCAGTTATCCCTCCTCATCCCCTCACCGCAGCTGATGCTGGCTCGCCCATTACCATGAGACCAAGGATGCTGTTCCCCTCGGCATCATCCTCGGTTAGCAAGCGCTCCAACACTTCGTCTGTCAACATCGACAAGAAGCTACCTCCTGTTCCTGTTGAGCCAGCACCCGAGCCTCCCAAGCCAGTCCCGCAGCTTGCTAAGAAAGTCGAAGAGGGTGACGAGGAGGAACTTATATTTCTTACCCCCGCCGTCTATGTTCCAGAACCGAAGAAGAAGGCATCCCCAGGAAAGGCTTCACCAGGGAAGCCCTCTCCAGGGAAAGCATCGCCAGGGAAAGCATCGCCAGGGAAAGCATCGCCAGGGAAAGCGGCGCAGACAACCAACTGGAGTCGACCAGTGCCTGCACCATCTCCCGCGGCTTCGGACGATTCCTGGATCTAGACAGTAGTTTATTGTTTTTTTCTTTTTTTATCACGATTCAGTGAATGATATATAGAGGCGGCGCAAAGTGACCCTTTCTATTTCGGGCGGCTCTTTGTTTCTTTTTTTCCCCTGTCACATTATCTTTCTTGGAGCAGAAATTCCCACCACATTAGTTGTTTTCAGTCTTCTTCAGCGTGTTCTTTTCTTAGATAGGATATATTACGAGTTTCCTTTTTATTGTGTCAATAGTACAGTACAAGTCCCTGTAAACGCCTATTTCGTCTTGTTCTTCTTCGTAGCAGCTCGCTTGGCCTCCCACTTATCCCAACCAGCCTGCGAAATATCCTCCGTGACAGCTAAATCACGTACGCGGAATGCTCTAACAATCGGCAACTCAAGAGCCCAGTCCAGCAGGCCAATCTGCCTCACGACGCCTACCACAACAAACCAGACCACCGCAAACACCGTGCCAGCCGCGCTGCCCACAAGCACCTGCTTCGTAGTATGATAGTTGAGGTATACTCTGCTCCAGGCCACCGCGGCGGCAACCCCCACGGCGGCTAAACTCGCGAGACTGCGCTCGGCCACGGACCAAGCGCGTTTGGCGGGCTTGTGGCGCACGAGCAGGAACAGCGCTACATAGACGCACCAGAAGAACACAAACTGCGCATGGGACGATGGCATGCCGTAGCCCTTGCCGTGGATGCGGCGCGGGCGCTCTTCCTTGATAAGACGCTTCAGGACAAAGTTGAGGGCTTCGCAGGCGAGTTGGCCCGCAAAGGTGAGCCCGATCTCGGCTTCACGCGTGGTGAGGACAAGCGTGGCGTAGACGACGACGAGGCCCTGTGGAATCAGGGCGAGGTAGGCACATAGTAGCGAGACTGGGTCTGTAGGGTCCTAAAGAGGGGAGAGGTGGTCAGCTGGGGAGGAGGAGGAGGATGGTCAGGGCGGACAAACGTAGAAGACGTGGGTGATGGAGAGGGAGGCCAGAGGGGCCGTGTAGTCCGCCATGGTGAACTGATTTATGGGGGATTTAGATGCCGGTTTACGGATTCATGCTATGAGGGGCGGGTGGGGGCGCGGTTGGTGAGCGCGTAAAGGGCGTCTGGTATGTGCTTTTTGGCTGGTGAGGTTGGTGATGTGGAGTTGGTGAGTGTGTAGGAGATGGTGAGTTGGCGGTGTTTGGGCAGCGCAAAGTGATGCACTAATGTAGATAATTAATTCTAGAAAAATATGGTTTGTGTTTAAAACCGAGCTTTAATGTATGAGAATTTAATATATTGCAGTTTGTAAAACTGATGTAGTTTGGGTAATTACCTATGGTGTGGACAATGTACAACTATTTATGTGGACAGTGTACAAATAATGATTATAAACAAACAAAAGAAGAAATTAGTAGGTAAGTCTGGAAGAATTTCCACTAATACATAATCATTAGAATAACGTTATTTTCCAAAGAATATATATATCGATTCTACTACCATTAATCGACTGACAACGCAGAGAGTGCAGTCCTACCCGGGACCTCCTCACATGACGTGGATGACACCATCGACGTGAAATGATCGTCAGAAAAGCAATGGAAGGCCTTGCAATAGAAGAAAAAGACGCAATAATCCTCTTTTCTATTTATAATAACAAATATCATTTTACATGGAATTTACGCGTGATATTTCTACCCTGGCAGCTTCATTTCCCGCCGCGTCCTGCTGACTGATCACACAGATCCCGCAAGAGTCACTCGGGCCGTTCAAGACTCACTCGGTGCGCACCGCACATCGGACAACAGCTCGCCCAGCATCAACGACGCCAAAAAGCATATAGAATTCACGCGTTACGACAGCTTACGATTCACGACAAAATACATTCTTAAAAACTCATTTGCAATTAGATCAAAGATACTCACCCAGGCTTACCATTTGCCACCACAGTCGAAGTCTGCTTCTCGTGCTCAAATCTTCACATTTGCCACTGCAGACTGTTTTTGCCTCGCATAGACTCGCTTCTCATTTCCATATTGCTTCTACTCATAAAATACCAGCACGGCAATGTCTTGCTGACCGTTTTAATCTACGTGATGACCCTTCCATACACCACACACAATGGACGATAGCGACGACGACCTTCGCGCCACCGAGCTGGAAACGCTTGAGGCCATCTACCCAGAGCTTATTCGCCTTGATGGCCCTGGCGAGGACTCGTCATCATCGTCTCGATATGTATTCGAGCTGCAAATCCCCGTGGTGCCAGAAACGCCAGCCAAGATCCTGTTTGCCCATGCTGAAGGAACGGCCTCCAACGGCCAACAACTACAGCAACAGCAGCGGGTAGCAGATCCGTCAGAACTATCGCATCTGCCATCCATCACTCTTCAAGTTGAACTCCCTGAAGGATATCCAGAGGCGGTCCCGCCAAAGGTGTCTGTCAGCACATCCCCAGCGTGGCTTCCCTACCACAAGATCCGAGAGCTTCAGCAGGACGGAGTAAATCTTTGGGAAGAAATGGGCAGAGATCTCGTCGCATTTGCCTACGTCGATCATGTTCAGCGTGCTGCGGAGGATGCTTTCGACCTCGTCGGCACCGACGGTCTCATAACTGTTGATCCAGAGCACAAGCTTACAATGCTCGACTACGACATCGAGGCCAAGAAGGCCGCCTTTGACCGAGAGACATTTGAATGTGGCGTGTGTTTAGGTATGTGAAACAAACCTGCATCATACGGCATCATACGGCGTTATTATCCATTGTTCTTTCGTAGTTGATATCAAGAGGTTGACGTTCGTTGCTAACTCGCTGTTCGTTTTCCAGATCCGAAAAAAGGCTCGCAGTGCCACAAGATGATTGACTGTGGACACATCTTTTGCCTAGAATGCCTGCAAGAATTTTATAATACTGCCATTACGAGCGGAGATCTAACAGTAGTCCGCTGTCTCGAGCCCAACTGTGCCAAAGAGAGAAGTCAGGTAGCAAAACAGCCTGAGACATCCGAAGGTTCTGCAAAGGCGCCGAAAAAAGTCAAGACATTCATCAGCCCTAGCGAGCTGTTAACAATGGGTCTCTCCGAAGACGCGGTGAAACGCTTCGTCATGCTCAAGTATAAGACACAGCTGGAATCGGACAAGAACACCATCTACTGCCCACGAAGCTGGTGCAATGGCGCTGCCCGGTCCAAGAAGCACAAGAAGCCAGCCGGGCTTGAGTTTCAGGAAGCCTCGGATTGTGAATCAGACGACGAAGACGGCGAGACCGCGGATTCTGTAGATGAAAAGGGTACAATCAAAAAGAAGCCCGCCAAGTTTGACCCCGCGGATCTCTTGGCGGTGTGTGAAGACTGTCATCTTGCGTTTTGCAGTAGATGCCTTCAATCCTGGCACGGAGAATTCGTCCGTTGTACGGGCAAGAAGACCAAAGAGGCTATCAGCGCCGAAGAGCAAGCATCGCTGGAATACCTCAAGCTGCACACCAGTCCATGCCCGACATGCGGCGCTCCTGCGCAAAAGACCCACGGTTGCAATCATATGTTGTGCTCGCGATGCGAGACGCACTTTTGCTACCTGTGCTCGGCGTGGCTGGAACCTGGAAACCCTTACAAACACTACAACACCCTGGGCAACGGAAAGGTCACATCGTGCTACATGCGTCTCTGGGAGCTCGAAGGTGGCGATGGAGATGATGTCGGGTTGGGGTATCAGGGTGGCGATGCAGTAGCTGGTGCTGCTGGCAACCACCCCCCGCCGAATATTGACCCAGACCTTGTCGCCCAAGACGTGCTGTTAGAGGCGGATGATGTTGCAGCCGAGCTGGGTGAGCTTCGCGCCGAAGACGAAGGCCCCATGCCGGACGACAATCCGGCTGATCGCCGTCCTAGACAGATCGGACAGGCCGGGGCGGTGGCGCGAGAAGCTCCCCTCGTCCTGCGGATATTCGACAACCCTGCTGCTGATGCTGACGCACCGCCGCCTCGTCCGGATGGGCCCGGTGGTGCCATGCATAATCAGCAGCAGAATCACCGTCAGCATCAAGGCCAAGGTCAAGATCCTAGGAATAGACGAGGTGCGCAAGGACCACTACCGGTGCGCGGACTCGGAGCGCGCGGCCGTAATCGCCTACCAAATGCGGCGGGTGGCCGCGGTGGTAACATCAATAATAGACGAGGTCGTGGTGGGCGTGGCGGCCAAGCCCAGCAGCAGCAACAGCAGCAGCAGCAGCAAATGAATCAACAACAAAACGCACGCGGCCAAGTACACTTGGCGAATGTGCCCCTGGAAGGCGACGAGGCAGCATGGGTGCGCAGGTTCGTTGAGATGGCGCTGGCGGATAGGGAACACTTGCACGAGGACATTGACTTTGGTGACGACGACGACTGGGACTTTCGGTGAATGGGAATAAGAAAAGGCATTGCTCTGCATGCATTGACCACTCTTTTGACAGGTGTCCAAGAATAGATGCCTGCATGCAGCTCGGGTATGCAGCAGCGCGCATATGCAATGCTACAGACCGAATGCGGCAGGACCACTGTGTTGGGACCACACTGTGAATCAAACGCAGTATGAGAAAAGACATATACCGCAAATGGGGCAAAGTTTGTGAATGCCGAGGCCTGCAGCAGCAGTAGCAGCATCCGCGGATCTCGTTTCCAGAACGAATGAGAGACAGTCGTGAGCAAACGGAGAACTCATCCGAGCGGTACGGCGTCCATTACACCCCTTTACGCGGACGAGCGTATGCCCAGACTGGACCTGAGGTTATTGTTACCTAACAACATCACGATGTGTGTGACAATGAAGAATTTTCCCAATACACAAAAGACGTCTTTTATGGGTCTTGAGCAAGCTTCTGTCGTGGCGAAAAGGACTTGGAAGTGAGGCGGGCGAGATGAGACAACCTGAAGCCGAGTACGACGAGTGTGTCCATTCTTCCCACGAGCTCAGGTAGACTCATTTCAACATCTTGGTATAGACAAACAGAACAAGCGAATGGACATGGAAGGGGTTCATGGGACAGGAAAGCGCAAGACGAAGAGATTTGACGGCGCACCCGTCATGTTACGCCTGCTCGTGACTGCGTCCATTGATTGTGTCTCTGACGGTCAAACAAATTTTACGAGGCGGGGTCGGAGAATTATGGACAAAGAAAGAAGGGTATTCCCAAACCGTCTGGCAGGTCCCCTCAAAAAGAGTCAATCTCTTTGGGCTGAAGGAGAGATAGATCCGGTTTCCTATTTGGACCGACGCCCTGTCTGCTGTGCTGGCCCATGATGCCAAAAATACGAACAGGACACCAAGGCGAAATCAAATCGCACGCCACTTCCTAATTTAGGGTGTCGGCTTCCGAATGACTGATATTCTATAACATCTCACATTTGTTTCATCGACCGAGACCCGCGCTTGACAACCTTTGTCCCTCCCCTGAAGACAGATTTGGATCAGGCGAGTGGACGGGCGTGTAGGTAAGGATGAGTTCCTTGGAGGCCGGTGGCCGAGGTGGTTGGGGGAGACTCCAGGTGAGAGAGAGGGTCATTCATACCGATGAGATTTGACAAGGAGAGGTGTGGACCAGAAGAGGAAACAGGAGATTCCGAAAAAGGCCACATCAGAGATTGAACCCCGACGGTGAATTGGAGAAGGTTGCAATTTCCAAAAGGAGATAGGATGGCGGGGGATGGACGGTCAAGGCCAGCAAGCCAGAGATGGGCTGGAAAAGGGAAGACTGGCGGTAGCCTTACGATAGGCGAGCTTTACTGCTACGGTAGCAGAAGCCGAAAGGGAAGAGTAGGCAGAGCAAAACCAGAAAAGAGAGTGGTATTTCGACGAGCAGGGCCGGAATGGGACGAGCCGGGAGGGGACACCAGGACCAAGATGCAAGCACTTTACGAGCAGTCCACACACCGTCGCTGTCAGAAATCGAAAGAGAGGTGTGGGAGAGAGAAAAGCCTCTGGTTCCTTTTGCCCAGTCCAGTACATCCAAGTGGTCTGGGGTAAGATTGCGACGCCATGGATGGACCTCTGGGCGAATCTGGGGAACCCCCTCCTCTGTCTGGCAGCTGCTCTCCGAATCCTCAAACAGCTTCAAAACACTACACGCCACACCTAATTTTGGATGGCAGCCTGCCATTGCATCTTGATCCTCCTTTTACTGTTGCTCCCAACACCGTCGGTGGATGGGATGCCCACACATACACCCCCTCCCCTCTTCCTTCAATTGCGTTGGTCCCTTTCATCTCGTTGTCTCCAACAGCTCGGCGACTGAGCCGAGGTCAAATCTGCTTTCATATCCACACCCTGGCGCCTTTACTTTGGGGCGGTGCGTTTCATCCACAGTGTCGCCTCGCGATCTCGCCGCCAACGTCGCGCTAGGACTGGAAACCTACGCCTCTCCCCTTCCTCCAAGGTGGCACCCCCCTCTCTTTGCTGTTTAGTCGTAGCTTAGCCTTGTCCTATTTTCTCTTCTTTCTTATTTTGCCCCAATTTTAGATTGGCCTTGCTCTGTTTTGGATACAACCACTTAATGCAAAAAGCTGCTGCACCCCTTCGCCACCATTCTGACTGCTGCCCAAAGAGTATCTCCACATCATATAGCCTGTACGGACATTTCAAAATCTGGATGGACCCTTTGCCCTGGGTCGGCCTCATCGCGCCAACGCACCGCTACTGTTGCATTGAGGCGATGTCCCCATTCCCCTTTGGGAACAAGAGTACGCCAGGAGTTTGCTGGCACAGGCTGACTGTCTGCCTCCTTGCAAGCCGACATTGTACTGCGTTTTGACAGGTCCCAGCTCTCTGTTTCCCATCGGCCACTTGTCTCGCAGCTAGCAAGGACGGCGATTCATCCATCTGCGCTAAGCTGGCACTAAGCTAGCCTGCATCGAACGAAACAACTTATCCAATGGAAACTGCCGGTTTCATCCCGTACCGAGCCAGCGGTCCGCTATACAATAGCTCCGTTTCTATTTACATCTCTCGTGCCAAATTGTTTTGGCATGCTAGAACCACAGCCAGACCACAAATAGTGAGAATGCATGCACATAACGTGATGAAGGCGGCTCTTCTCGACTCCCTGTAAATCACCGGAGTTAACTCGCTGTTCAACGTGGTAATTCCCTGAGGAGTGCGTGACTAACATGGGATGAACCCAATGTGTGTGCCACCGTACAAGGATTTTGCAAATCTCCCGCATAACACCTTGCTTCCCGCAACCTTAAAACGAAGCCGGGCAAAATACGAAACAGAAAAATCTTCACTGCCAGGATCCAAAACATGGCTCATTCATCGATGCCTCGGCCATCTCGTGCCAAATTGAGCAATGAGCGCGGCGGGCCCTAGTACACCGTCGCTTGACGTTCTTCCCGGGACAAGGGCTCAAAGGCCAGCCCAGGGAATATAGATTTGCGCCCACTGCCGATGCTACTCCCCAACGCCCTGTTTTTTTCTCCTCACCTTAAGCCTGTGTGGTGCGTCCAAATGCCAGGTTGATGAAAAGGGCAGAGCTAAGAAGGCCGCTCTCCACCTTCAACGTAGCCCTAGTGGTCTACATCTAATTGCTTGCATTGGCGTTAGACCGCATTGGGCTTACGCATGGCCTAGTCGCGCGTATAAGTGCAGACGTAACAATGTAGAAACGCCGAGGCTGGCCAACTAGACCTATGCAACACAAAACGTATTGCATACGCCTCTGTGCGCCTCAATATACTTTTGCCAGCTCGGCTATTCGCACCCTTGGTGGAGCTATTCAATATTTTGATTTATTGAACAGTCTGGACTGTGTCGAGTATGATGTGGCCCCATTGGGCGCGGCTAATATCCAGAATTGCAGGCTAGTGACCAGAAAGAGCAGGGTACACAACCTGGCGCAACTCGACGCCGTTGAGGCCGGCGAAGTCGGAAGGTTGGGCCGTCGGAGAATTTTTTCTTCTTAATCTTTTTCTCTTGATTGGGGTTTCCGGTCTACCCTATATTCGATATTATCTTTTTCCATACCGACTGTGTAATAGCCTAGTGAATAGCCTCGCTGTTTTGCCACTGCTACGTTGGTTCATATTCGTGACTCAATGCCGTGCCGATAAATTGCGCTCGCCACTGCCTTTCAAAGTGCGTGTTTGCACACCTCCGCGGCTGTTCACACTGATTCGAATGCGGTATACAGCTGCTTTTTCTCCCGAATTCAGGCGCTGAGGCTCTAGACCCCTTTCAAGCTTAATGTTGCTCGACATACGTCGGAGTTACCCGCATTTGATGTGCCCAAATATTACTATTCGTGTATGTGACCAGGTCTGGATCATCGATCGACCTCATCCGGTATCAACCTCCTCCTCATACATGCCTTTTTGGGGTTCGATGCCAAGAAAATAGAGGCTGTCCCGACTGCATTGAGCTAGACTCACTTTGCTGAGTTGGCAAGCGTGCCGACAAGGCACGCAGAATCCCATTCGGGAATAGGCGATTGCAACGTCAAATGGCCAGGGTTCTCATTATCCGAGCCTCGACAAGGCATGTTACATCTGGCGCTCGCCCTGGTGGATTGCCTCGATAGAAGTGATGCCCAAAAAATTGAACCAAAGTTCACCGACAAAGGTACACCGAAATACCAAAGTCATTTACAGCACAATGATCTTTCGAAGAAGTACTGTAACTACGGAGAGGCTGTGTGCAACCCCGGCTTGCATGCCATGGATGTTAGTCACCAGATTAGCTTTGAAGCGAGAACAGGGTTCTAGGGCTAGAGGCTTGCGTCAGTAGAGGCTGGATCGAGTCTGAGCTTTGTGCATTGCCATGGGCGGTGTCTGATGGAGCTGCATATATCAAACTTTATGCATTGACCTGGGCTATGCAGAGCTGGTTTTGGGAGGTCCGTTACGTTTTTACCATGCTTTGGTGTAAAAGCGATGAACATAAAGTATACCCTCCCTAAGAATATTGTAATCTAGCGTAGGAGCTAGCATGCTCGCAAATCCTCGCGATTTGAGTATACGCCCAGCGACCAGCTTTGGCGGCGACGCTGGTAGATTCTCTCTATGTACACCGCGTTAAATGACAATTATGGAGAACCAGACTCTGGTAGATATTGGTAGTAGAATTGAGCCCATGCACGGCGTGTATGACCAAGCATGAATAGTGTAAATGCCCCGTTCGGGGACCTCGAGGGGGCTGTGGTGGGCATCCCGCTGGGACGAGACGAGCCGAGATGCCAACTTGAGCACGACGGGGTGCAAGCAAGCGCCGTCAGACAGATATCTCAACCAAGTTTGTAGCAAAGAGAGTTGATGCTTAGGAGAAAGCTGGTAAGCAGAGCGCGGTTGAAAAGTACGGCATTCCAAATTAGAGTAGTATCCCGAGAAGCAACATCCACTCAACGCCCCAGGTGCCATTTAAAAAAAAGGCCATTTTCAGCCCATCAGAGAGTATGATCGGCCCCACGATTGGCTTCTTTGGGAGAGCGTCATAAATATCCAGCTTGGCGTTCAGCAGGGGTCTCCTAACCTCTTCGGGATTGAGGCTCAACCTTTGCTTGTCGGTTCGTGTATCATCCTTGAGATGCGCCTGTGACATCGCAAATACAATGTTACTTTGCAGCTTTGAAATGGAGAGAGCAAGCAAAGTAACCCTGTGAGATTTTGACAGTGGCCAGGATTCCATCACAGCCTCGCAATTTCTACTCTAGGCCAACGTTGGCGTCGCATGCACACCTTTGAGTCGTTAATGCACCCTCAACTCTACTTTCTCGTCCTCAATTAGGATGTCGCATCCTAAAAGATATGTGGGCTACGTGTAACAGCCCAAGATCAATCTGCTGAAGAGTTCTTCGTACGCCACCAGGGGTGACTACTACCCAGCTGAAAATAGCGGCGGGATGCGATGGTGACAGCAATGAAACGCTAACGATGAACAGTATTTGACCCTGTCGTTAAACCATCTGACAGCAGGTCCTCATACGTGTAATTGATCTTAATCTGATATATCTTGCTTTGCAGACAAGATGGATACCGTTGCTTTGTCATGATAGCTGCAATGACAGCTCTCATGTATTCTCGCAAGCTAGGTGATGAGCAGGCAGCACCGTAACAGGATGTACTTGACAACCAGCAGCCCTGACTGCTATACACTATGGCGAACTAAGCAAGTGCAAATATAAGATGTCAATAAAAACCACGAGAAGCAGCGGTAATACAGTTGTTGATGCTGCGTTTGTCTCAGCGACATGTGGTGGGAAGCCGAAATACTGCTCTCGTTGTATCTGATACCTCGCCCAATTACCTTCTGTCGTGGTCATTGGTTGAAAGTACCCGATTCGCAATTCGAGATCTTGTTTATTCCCGTCCATTTCGGTCGAAATTAAATGCGGTTTGTCCAAAAGCGAAACCCGCCCCCGTTGTCGATGGCCGGTACGAATCCTAGAATGAGGTTACAGAGACGTCGTTTTCAGCAAGTGGAGATATCAAATCCAACCCTATGTTGTACACATCTGGAAATAGGATGGTGGGCCAAGCTCAATTCTGGTGAAACACTGCCCTATTTGGCCACCATGCCAAGACGTACATCCTGAGTCTCGACTGCACCCTTGACGGCGTTTGGTGCTGTTACAGTCGTAGAACGGTGGTGAATAGTACACTGTTCTGCCAGGCTGTTACCAGCCTCTTCAGTTGTCCCTGGAATACACGCGCTGAAATATTTGGTACGTGTAATTACCTTGAACCAAAAGAGATTGAATAAAAAAGGTGTGTTTTGATATGTTTTGCTACGTTGCAAGGTAAGAACAGCAAATTGAATATGTGGCAAGCTCTGATGTCAGTTTTCGCTAGCTATGGCGTCGATGTTATGCGGAAAACTGTACTTCAAATCCAATAAAAGAGGTAAAATGCAAATAAAACCATAGTTATAGCAATTGGGATTTCGCATCACCACGGTTGCTTTGCTGCACATGTTCGTTGGCTGACTGGATATCTCCCACAGCGGAGGTGTAGTCTTGTCTTCTCAATACACTGGGACTCTGGTAACAAGAATCAGGGTAACATGTAATTTGACGCCAATGATAACTCGAAGACATTGAGTTATGGGTGTGCAAATCCTAAGATCCCTGGATGGGCCAGAGCACTGCTCGATTGTTGGTGCAAACGTGCGTTCCAACACCCCTCCGCTCTAGAATAGCGGTCATATTTAGCCATTGCTGTAAACAAATTAAATGAGGAGTCATATTTGAGTTGAACTTGAACAGTCTTTTTCCTGGGATAAGCTTGAATGAAGAGTGATTGAATAGTGTACCAGGCAAAGCGCCCAGTAGCGCGGTCTTACGCGGCTGGTGTGGTGCCTCTGGAGATACAACTTAAACCAAATGCGAATGCGAATGCGTTTTCATCTTTAAGAAATATCAGAAATGGATGTTGCATTATCCATGATGCACCGGCTATAACTTCACAATTTTATGCACGGATTCCCATATCAGTATCCATGGGTGTGGCCGATTGCCCAAGAAGACCGCTAAGCGAACGCAGCATCCAGGAAAAACGATAGGACACCACAAACGTATTAAATTTCATGCTTGCGGCAAGTCCCTAGAATACGCTCTAATCTGAGGTTGGGAACCAATCCTCAGCAACTTACACACATATTCTGGTGTCAGATGCAATATACTACAGCTCGCGATGTCTCGTAGGAGTGTTGAAGCGCTCCGCGGCCCCACACAGGGCGTATCAATTTCGCTGCTGTTGATCCGCCTGAACCCGACGGCAACTGGGAATTAGTGTCGGGCGGTGGCAGGTGTACTTGGGGGAGAGCCCTAGGCCCCATGTGGCGATTCGTAGGCTGGATCTAGCTCATAGTAACTCGTCATCGACAGCGATGTAACTTTGATTCTCGGCAGCCTCCAGCAGCCTGGTCCGCTATAACGTATTCCGGGATCCAGGGTCAAACGCGATGGTCAGCAAGGCCAGCGAGTGTTGTATTAGGCGATGGCGGCGATGGGAGGCGATACAAGCATAGCAGAGCAGCGCTGTTTGGGCCCCGTAAAAGCAGATTTGTTGTCATGCGTCAAATCACGAAGAAAGAGGCATTTTACGGCACGCGGTCGCTCTCGCTCATGGAAATTCACTTTCGCCGCAGCAAGCGCGGTGTACAAGTCGCCATGCACTCAGATGCAAGTGCCGTGAAATGCGCGAGACCAAACTCTGGAGCCCCTGGTCTCTAGGCCCGCACCAAACTCACTAGCCACTGTCGACCCCCCAAGGCAGCAGCAAATAGCAGAGCTCTTAGCGGCCCGCTTCTGTGCTGGTGGTGCGGTGAGACTGACTGTATTGTGGAGATTGGAGGCCAAGTGTGGAAGCTAATCCGCATAGTGCGTTTTGCCTGCTCTGCTAGCGGAGACCATCATTTCGTTTCAACCATGGAACCTTTGAGGCGCACATGAGCACCTCGCCGTGATTGACATCACCTGTCTTAGAATTTGGAAGCTTCGACCGTTGACGCGCTTCTACCTTTTGGGTAGGCCCCAATCTCTCGTGCTTCTATGGTGACGAGCGCAGGCAATGATCGACAGAGATACCTACTTGCAGGTCGCGGTGAGCACGAGGATGCCTTACACGTCCACGACTCGGGTCATGTTGTTGTCATGCGAATGCCCCAAGACGCAACTTCCCAACGCTATCGTCCTGGCCCCCATGTCGATAGAGGTGTTGCTCTCTGAGATCAACACTTTGACCGTTTCATTTTAATACCGCAATCGCTCAATGCGCCTTTTTTTCCCACAAGTCTTGTGTATGGCGTGCACTCACACACGCGAGACACATGCTTCTGCTTAGTATGGAGACGCAGCGAATAACCAAAAGTCTCGCACACTCACTAGCGTTGTGCTATTCTTAGCCATTGCGTTTTGGGCAGGTAAAGCCGTAGTCTGTGATTGGACAGCGAGCGGACACCCGCAAGCTCATAAATGCCGACGCCATGATTAACTTTTTCCACCTCATGGGTTTTCGAGGGTAATATATTGCACCTAGTGCTTGATCGACACCAGCTTGGGATTCGTAGAAGAGTGCGAAAGCCATGTGCAAAAAGGGTGGCGAACGTGGTGAAACATGAACCAGTGTGTCTGGGGGGAAATGCCGTAGCACTCTTCATTGACCAAAAACGTGGAAGGTATTGTTTGAATATGCAGCCTTGGGCGATCCGGGGAAAGGAGTAGCAACACAGTTGTAGGCTGATTTTACTGGTGCTGCTGTGCAATGCAAATATTGAGAACCATGGCTTGCTGGATGCAAGGCCACCTAGCGCCGCAAATGCGGGAAGTAACCTCATCCACGCCCACCGATGGGTGGGTAAAAGCCTGTGTGCATGCACCATCAGATCTTGGAGCGGCTCTGTACAGTTGTATTACGTCTTGAAAAGCGCAAAAGATTGTCTTGATAGCGTGTTCATGGCTAATCGCTGGCTGGCGATCAACAAGAATTGTTCCCTAACGGGATGGCCATGAACGTTGAGGAGATGTTTCGAGTTTCAAGTCGACGGTGTGGCGTCCATGCCGCCAGGCGTTTTCCCTCTTTGGGAGAAGCATCGCTAGGAGCACACCAATTGATCGCACTCAGATTAGGCGGAAAAGGCCGGCCAGCAACAGATTGCACACCCAAGACTGTGTGGACGGGGAATTATCGACTGGGAGCGCTGTCCGAGGGCGCCCCCGCCCACGGGTCCTTTTGCAGCCGGGCCTTTTCTCCTGGGCAATATCTGAAACACGACGTCTGCGGGGTTGATTTGCGGTGGCGTAGGAAAAAAACAGCCACTCGGTCAAGTCATAATGGAGACCGTGCACAGCCGCCGATTGGAGCTGGCGATCATGACGGCGACCGTTCCGGATGCTACAGCAGGTTACTGGCCCCGATAGAGTTTGGCTGGCTGCTGGTCGGCGTGCTAGTAGCGTACCCTCTGGACCGCATTGGCTGGCTTCTGTAACAAACCTTCTCGCCACGAGAGCTTGTTAACGGCGCATTTTTCTGGTGGCGGTCACGCCACGGTTCCAGCGCCGTTGGCAACGCTCGTAGCTTCCTCATGGCAAACACAAAGAAAAGTTTAAACCCCGTGGCCTGGGATCGACATGCTGCAACCACGTACCGAGGTCAGTTCCAAGTGACCTGTCTCTACTGCTGGCCCAAGCATCCGCAGAATTTTCAGTGCCTTGCTGCTGAGCGCTGGGACGGGGTCGGACATGCCAAACATGGGTTAGGGCGACGGTGGATGCAGCAAAATATGATATACGATGATTTGTCCATTAATACGCCGGGCTATGGACAGGGCAATGATCCTGCTGAGTGCTGGGCGCCTGTGCGAGCAGGCAAAGAAGACGCTGAGAGGAGGGCGGGAGGGGGGCAAACACTGAGAGGAGTCGGCAGCGGCGGGACTTATTGAGCAGCGTGGAGCCTGACCCCCCCGCTGCAAGATTATCAGGCCGCAACGATTGGGCGGCCGGTTTGCTCACAACCAGCACCAGCTGGCACAGCTGGCACAGCTGTAGTGTACTGTACACCAGGTATTTTCATTTAGCGCTGTAAACCACACACCATCACCGCATGACGGCTCGTGGTGTTCTACGGAAAACAATGCCATCTCAGAGACTGTACACGAGGAAGACACGTCCGAACAGGGCCGTTCGCAGCAACATGAGGCCAACTCTCAACTGGGTAAACCAAAGCGCCTGGTCAAATGCTAGCCAGAGAAGGAAGCTGGCTGAACAACGGAGGGGATCTACGCACTGCTTTAGGAGCAGCTTTCGACGCCATAATTCGGTGCAGGCGGCGCCTATAGCGTACGTAAGGGGGCGCTGGAGAGTGCATTTAGTTCTGTAAGCTCTGGGGAAATCGCACATTATGTGGGTGACTACTATATCTGCCCCGCGCTGGTTCGGGAATAGCTTCAGTCGTGCTAATGACAATATTCCACTAGGCGCTGACTCGGTCACTGAACTCTGAAACCCGCTCTAGTCTACGTCCTATACTTGCTCACCGGACGCTAGTGAGATGGGCCTTGGTTAGTCCCAGGCATAACTAAGATGCAGCCTGCTAGGCCTGGAGCTAACTGGTTTCGACCATCTTTTTTTTTCTGGCGGCTCCTTCGTCTGATGGAGGCACATGATCACAGCAACCTGCTGGACGTTTATACTGGAGTTCCTACTCGATTTGGCTACGTCCGCTAGCGCCTCGGCCTCGCGTTCGCTGTGCTTTGCTCAACCGGGCAGCCGTCGTAAGCACATGCAGCATGGCTTTGCGCGGGGGCTGCTTCGCGATTAGAATGTTCAATGCCGACCGCCCAGCAAACTGTAGTGCATGATGCGTCATGCTGTGCATGCCTGAACAGCTTGTGCAGCCAATACGCGCAGTCATTACAACGCTTTACGTACTCGCAGCCTTTCCCCGAGACCCTGGGAACTATCCAAGCCCACAGTCCTACATTGTAACAGAGGCTTGTTGGGGGCCGGTAAGCGGATCCTCCGGGCAATTTTCAGTGCAAAGACGCCACTCCACCCAGGGGCCAATCCCCGCTGTAATTTTGGGAGTTTGTGTATTTTCGAATCACTGCATCTTGGCCACAGCTCGAGGTTTCGCGAGCCCAGGCAAATTGGACGTGTCTCAAGCCCACCGGAGACCAATTTCGTGATGCGCTGCCTTGCGCTTCAACTTAGCGTCGGCGCCATTAATCGCGTCGTCTTAATTGAATTCGCGATCTCTTGCTAAAGCGCAAAACTATGTTGGCGAGAGAATCGCTGCCAGCTGCCAGCTGCCACCTGGCGGGCGAGGGCGGTGACCAAAAAATCCCGACAAATTCCCTCTGGGCTGCAGCAAACACATCACTGTAGACGACTCAAGATTGCGTTTTTCTGCATTATTCAACGCCATAGTTTGGCTACCTTTGCTACAGCCAGCAGCGACTTTCTTAGAACGTATCGGCACATCCGTCTGGGAATATCTGGCTGGGCCCTTTTTCCTCCCGATGATCCACCCGTAAAACCCGGCCATCTTCGGACATCTAGATCTCTTCAATCTATGTATCAGGTGAGTTTGAAGATTTGATGTAATAACCGATTCGTGAATGGCCGTCCTACTCATTTCGACCCTCTTCTCAACAAGGATTTACATGGCAATCGAGTAAGCGCCCACGATTCAAGAGCCCGGCACTCCCATCTAGCTCCAAACCTTATGTCGCACGCGGCTACAATATGAGCCCGAGGTGATGACAATGGTACGGGGGTTTCTTGCCAAGCATGATTTCGGAGGCTCTATCTTTGCCCTCCAAAAAAAAGGACCTACGCAAAGCGCTGGCGTGCTACTTTTGGAGCACGACCTTCCAGACTTGGCACACTCTGCGCGGTGCAACATACTTTGCGAGTTGGCCACTTACTACTTGCGGCAATGGGTGTCTTGCCATGGTTACTGATCCATATCCAAACTCTGGGCCAGCGTATGCCCAGAGCCGTTTGTCCAGGTCACCGGTAAAGAACGCCACATACTACGTTGTCACACAGAGAGCAAATATAGCACCTACACTGCAAGAGGTCCCTGGACAGGCTCAGACAACCTATACGCTCCACAGAGCGAAATAGAGAGACCCAAACTTGGGCACCTGCTACAAAGTCATCTAGATGAAGGACTGGAGAGCAGAATTGGAGCAGAATCGGCATATTGAGGCTCCGCTTTGCCTGCGTCGAGAATACATCTTGTCATCCCCAATCTGCCCTAGATCGGATGAAGCACCAGAGAGTATGGAGACGCTACGATACAAGCCCACTCTTGCTGATGCCTGCCTGCTGCACGAGTAGCTGCTGGACAGCTGTTCAAATCTCCCAGCAGAAAGTCATGCAAACGTGGGAGCAATGCCCTATCCCCACTGCCAAAAGACCGCCGTACACACCCATACACCTACTGTAGAGTTGCGTTTTTACACACGCCTGCAGCCCACTATGGCTGGCCCTGGAACGTCCAACATTGGCAGGACGCAGTTACCTCCGATCGTCTCGATGCACGGCGCTGGCCAGCCCCAACTTGTTTGGGGGATTTCGATGAACAATGGCTATCACCAAGATTGCTAAATATGCCAATGTGACTACTCTGTCCAGATCGGGTCCCTGCAACCTAGGCTATGCGGCTCCCACGAGAAATCAGCATCCAGTATTGTATGGGCGACTGCAAAGCATCGTGGCACTAGCTGCCATTCTATCCACGTGCAAAGCAGCGCATTTGGCCGAGACACAATGATGGCCAAGATTCTCCATGCTTTACAGTGGCTCTCAAGGGCACCGCAGCGCAGTGGCCGCTATCTTAACAATGCTGTTAGACCTACTATAGGGGCCTTTTACGAGGAAATGGCGGATAGGTTTGGCCCCGTATTAGGCCAATTTGGCCGACTGCGGCCCTCTAGCTCGCCAGGCCCGCGCTGGCTACTGGTTGAGAGCAGGCCCCGCCACTGGCTGAGGTCCACCCACACTATCTTCGCCGCCTGGGCTCGCCGTCCGCCGCATCTCCTGGCCCTGGTTTAGTGCATCGAGTCTGTTTGTACCCGCTACTACCCTTCGACCTGATTGCACTCTCTCCCCGACGCCACTTCGCGGCAGTCGCCAGCCCCACCCCCGTCTATGGTACATAGGATGTGACCAGAGCTTGTCAAGTCTTCGGCAGACACAAGAGGCACTGTACAGTGAGGGCGTGCCAGTAGCACCCTCACCAAACTTTGCAGCGCCCCCCCCAGCCTTGGGGATTCATGATTATGCGGTGGACCCGATCGTGGATGGTCTCTGCCACTGGAAAGACACCCTCAGGTGGCCATTGCTCTCACCGAAGAGAGCCGGTCGAGTCGGCCCTTCGCAAAGCTTTTTTAACTTTTGGTCCTTATTCAGGGCCACGACTAGGAAGGTTTTTACGCGGTAGGATGCCGTTTAACTAACCGAAATGGTTAGGAACCCCGGAAGGCTATCTTGAAAATGTGAGCGCCATCTGCAGCGCTCGCTGGCGCTGCAGGCTTGTCTCGCCGTCTGCTTGGTGAACAAAATACCTAATTATACGACTGCGAAGATCCACCCCACCCCCCTGCCCAAGAAGACAAGAGAGAATAGTCTTGCTAGACGCACGGGGACATCAGAGGTTCTGCTTCCAGCCCAGTGCCAGATTTCAGTGGTCTTGCGCATACCCTCCTCCATTCTGGTAGAGTCGCAACAGAAAGGAGACCCTGATTCACTGCTTAGAGGCAACACTGGGCGTCTTGCTTAGCTCCCGCCGCCGCATGGGCGTCTAACAACCATCGCTCGCCTTTCTCCACCCTCCGGCGAGACTGCCGGCCACTTGAATGCACCCCCCCATTCCCAGTATCTGCCGTTTCCTTGTGCCCATGGCTTTTAAGAGGGCCCATCGAGGATCCATTCATCACCATTCGCGCCAAGTACAAGTATACCCGGGCCTCCTCCTCCTTCAACACATCTGTCTCTCAGATCTCAAGCCTCTCTTCTACAATCAACATAGTTTGACTGTGAACAAACAAACAACTTTGCAATCTCGACAAAGGTCTTCTTTCTACTTTCTACTTGATTTATATCCCGTCTTTTCAGACAGTACTTGGTGACGGTACTGCCTCTTGGGAAGTTTTTGGGATCCCATTCACAGCTTGGATATCCGCCTACTTATCTTCCACCAGGGCATGCGTTCATGATGACCGCTACTGCCTATCCTCCAACAATGACTGACCTTCGCGGAGACTCTCACTCGAACATGTGGTCCTACGGACCTGCTCATCTTTCCAGCCGCATGGGCAGCTCCATCGACGCTGCCTTCCACTCTGGTGCTCCTCAGGCCCGCCCCAGAACCGGCCAGGAAACGCTCGACACCACGGGCTACTCTTACAACAGATACTCGCAAACTGAATCTTCTCCTTACGACCGCACGCAGTCTGTTTCTAGCCTTTCTTCGCACCAGAGCTACCCCGGCATCAAGAGATCCTTCTCCCAGTCGGAAACACCGTACCAAGAGATTGTCCAGGACCTTCGGGATGACGGATCACGCCTCACTGTCAACCAGGACCACAAGCTCCTCTCCTTCCGCCGTGCCCAGGAAAAGAACACCGTCGTTGACCAGCATGGCCGCATCCAGCAACTCGAACTCTCTGCTCAGCTTCACGGCATGTTCTTCCTCTCTGAGATGCCCGCCGCTGGCCCCGAAGGCTCCCCTCTCCAGCCTGAGTTGACTTGCTACCGCCGCAACTTGTTCCAAGTTAGTGGCTCCTTTGTTACTCCTCGTGGCCCCATCTCCATTGTCAACGACGCCAACGAAACCGTCCCTGTCCAGAGCATGGAAGTGACTATCTCCGCTATTGAATCTGTCGACGGCAATGCCGTTCGCCTCATCGTCATTCCCTGGAAGACACCCCCACCCAACTCTCCCGAAGTGAACAACGCCCCTGACCAGGAGCCTCCTTCGCTTCCTCTCATTCCTTTCCAGGACAACAACCCCGAGGCAGAGGGCGACTACGCTGTCTACCCCATTGGATGGCGCCGTCTCCAGTTCAGAATTGCTACCGCCAACAATGGCCGCCGCAAGGAACTCCAGCAGCACTTTGTTCTCCACCTCAAGGTTATGGGAACTCTTGCCGACAATACCAAGGTTGTCCTCACAGAATCCACCACCGCTCCTATTGTCGTTCGTGGACGCAGCCCTCGCAACTTCCAGGCTCGCAAGGAGATTCCTCTTTTGGGCTCCAGCGCCGGATCTCGTGGACAGGCTCTTGTTGAGACTGGTGTGGGTGTTATTGCTGGTGCCCTCAGCAAGCGCCCCGACGGAAAGCCCAGAGGAAGCATCGACATGCAGGTCCCTCGCTCTTCCTTCACCTTCAGCCCTCCTAAGCCTGTTGGTCAGCTCAGCGCCATGCGCTCAAACTCTTACCCTACTTGGAACGCTCAGATTCCTACCACAGGTGCCACTACTTACGGTGCCACGGCTCTTAGCGAGCCCTACCCCAAGCTCGGTCTCCAGAGCAGCTCTAGCTTTACAGAGGGCCAAGACCCTCTCTCCAGCTCCATGACCCCTTCTATGCCTCTGTCTCTAGTTTCTATGGATGGTGGTCGCGCCACAAAGAGCCCGCGCCATAACAGCCAGCAGTCTGTCCATGGCCCTATCACTCCTGCTGATACTCCATCTGAATATCGCTACAACGGTGCTGGCGGTGCTGGTCGCGACTACTACCCTTCATCTGCTACCGGCTGGACTACCACCGCTGGAGAGCAAGCTTCGAGCCTTGCCTACGCTGGCAACGATGCCAGAACTTACTCTTTCTCCCAGGAGCAGTACAAGGCGGGTCCCTCGCCTCTCTCCTCCAAGCAGGATGCTGCACTCTCTGGATCTACTCCCGTTTACGGTGCTGCCCCTCGCGGATCTTTCGAATCCATGAACAACTACTCTTGGAGCACCAACTAAGGATACCCCAATTTCGGCGTTTTTGTACACGGCTAGCCTTCCGGTTCCGGTGGGCTCTTATTCCCCTCACGCTGCTTGCTTTTGGTTTGGAAATCTTTGTTTTATACGTTTTGGGCAGGGCTCTTTTGGTTTCACGTTTACGATTGCACCAACGACACTTTTGGGAGGTTCTTTCGTCAACTTTTGTTTTCACAATTCTTTTTCTCGCAAAGGGGACGGCGCTTATCTGCTTTTGTGCTAATACACCAATCTATACCGACCGCTCTGCTTTTTCTTTTTGGGCACGGTTTTTTGAACAAAAAAAGGACTGCAGACGCAGTCGAGGAACTTTTTACGACGAGCATGAGAAACGCTTTCTATTCACAAAGAGATACGATTATCTAAGGAGCGAGGAGTTGTCGACATACTTTTCCCTGGCCTTTAGCCGTTTTCTCGAGGACTTGCTGTGGATTATAGATGTCATCACGTTTTATATATAGTTTTTAACCATCACGTTTTAATAATATCTTTTTAATCAGAATCTCGGCAGCAGCCAGCAGTGTACGCGACTAGATCTAACTTTGAGCGTTTCCATCTGCCGTGTAAATCTAGATTGAATCGGCCAGTCCCGTAGCCCCGAAATCTTGGATCTGGCATCACGATGGAGGCGGATGACCCAAAATGCAAGGAGCACTTGCGTCGTTTAGCGTAAGCCACAAACCTTGGTCACAAAGAGAATCTCAGATATGCAAATCTTGGGGGCCAAATACCTGGCGCAGGCAATCTACAGCGGGGGTGGAACCTGCTGTGGGCGGCGATAAGATAAGGCCTGCACTGGGCATTTTTTTTCCGGCCCCCAAGACATTCTGGCTCGTGACCATCCACCACAAAAGCACAAACAGCTGTATAACGTCAATCGATAGCGGTTGCTGTAGTCGATGGTTCTCGCAAGATGCTCAAGGATTGATCTGTGCTAGCCTAGCAACACCCCTCATCTGTGGCCGCAGCGTGGCAGCACAATCGACTATGTCTGAAGTAGCCGAAACAAAAAAGTATGCGCCGACTCACGATAGACAGCGATACACGTCGCTAATCTGATACCTAGGGTGCGGCGCGAAGATTTACGAGATTCCGATGAATCTGATGTCAACAGTGATAGCGATTCAAGCTACGGCAGCGACTTTGAAGATACACTGAATGCCCATATTGCGAAAGCCCTCGGAATTGATCATGATGCGATCGGTGCCACGTTTCAAGTCGACTCTCTAGAAATCGAATCTGCATATGAAGCCAATGCCACAGACCAAGCGATGCAGACAAGCGATGATGGATACGAATTCAATCTATTCAGTACCAGTGGTGGTCCAACGACAAAGGTGGTGTTGGTAGACCCCAACGAGCAAGGCGATGGCGCTCTTGTCCGGCCTCGTCCTGCATCGTACTACAAAATTTTGCCGCTTTCTTCGGAGCAGCGGGAGCAATTTGCCTTTGCAGCTTTGAGTGGCGATGACATCTATATGCTCTCACGGCAGCGTAATTGGGGCCTCGAGATGCCGTGGCGAGTAACAACGATCAAAGTTACGCGGAGAGCCACGGCCAAAGAAAAGAAGGATTCTACTTCTGATACAGCAATGGATGCCGCAAAAAGAAAGCGCCCTGGAAAGAAGACACGAATCACGAGGCGGCAGAAAGACAGAGAGCTAAAAGCAAAGGCCGAAGAGGCGGCAAAGAAGCTACTAGAAAAGGAGGAGCATGTGAGGGATAAGAAGAAGAGGATGAACAGAATAAAGAAGCTAAGGAAGAGAGCAAAGGAAAAGGAAATAAAAGCGGCTGCCGGCGGTGGTGGCCCAGATGGCGGCGATGACGATGACGACGAATCTGACGATTAAGCAGGCATACATTTTGCAAACAATTCTCGTTTAAATATCTTGTAAATAGCATCATTATATGTACATAGATGCAAACTTACAAACCTATATTTTACCAAATTATTGGAACCCCCCCCCCCNCCCCCCTCCAAAAATGCCCGCCTTTTCGTGACGACCGTCGTGGCGCGGCTGAAGCAAAGGCTGAAGCCCACTGGCCAATTAAGCGCCGAGTAGGTCGAGAGTGGGCGACTCCCGGCACCGCCAGATTCGGACAGCTCCTCTCCCAAACACTGCACCGCCGCCATCATCACCAGCAGACTCGACAACACAACGCTGGCAGCATTGAAATAACACATTAAACAAATTCAACACAGTACAGACGACACAGTTAAAGCTAGCGACCGGGTATTTGCACCACATTCAGCCACGTTTTCGCCTGCACCGACGATGCGCACGACCTCGTGATCCCGGACGATCCCATCACAAATGAGCAGCCTCTGGTCCTCCAAGCCGCTCGAGAAAGAGTCAGAGCCCGAGATGGAGCAGGAGTCTGTGGAATTCGAAGATCCGGTGCCTGTAGCCGAGCCAGTCGAGATGACGGAGGCGGAAGAGAATGCTGAGCTTGCCCCCTCCGCCCCTCAGAGACCGCTCCTACGCCGCGACGTTGCGCAGCCTCTGCCTGAAAACGATGCCTCCCAAGAAGAACCGCCCTTGCAGCGATTACCAGCACTAGCGATGCAACTTCCCAACGACCCCGGTTCCGACTCTCTGTCGCTGGCGCAGCTGCGACAGATTGTGGGCCAGGTGAACAAGGTCGAGCCGCTGATTTACGACTTCGACTACGCCGACACGGGGCCGCACGCCGAGGAGATTGATGAGTGGTTTGCATACCAGTTTTGGCAGTGGGTGAGGCTTAATGCTGCCCAAAAGGCGTTTGAGTGGCACTGGACGCACGACTCTGGCGCTGGACCCGACGCTACCTGGGACGATGCTGACCACGAGACACGCGCACGCTTCGTCAAGACGGCTATTGCAGGCGTCCAGTCGAGTGATACAACGAAACGGTCGGCATCGATTGGAATAATCGTGTATCTTGTTCTTGGCCGGTGGGGCGATACGGCTATGCCCAATGCTACAGACGGTGAGAGCCGGTCGATAGCTAGCATTCCGCAACTACAGGCAATTAAGGCTGGTGTGGAGTGTTTGACATCGCTTGAAGGTCTGCCTGTTATTTGGGCCGCCTTGCGAGCAGCCTTTGAGCTGCAGTGGTAGGTGGAACTGGTAATGATGTTGATAGAAGGACTGTGCTAACAATAATGGATGGTAGGACTGGCGATACCCAGCAGGGGACGGCGCAGGAGACACAAGACGAATTGATGAACCTCATGACTATTATGTATATCACACTGCAAGAAACCCTAAACGACCCTGAGGACATGTCTTCATCCTATGGCATCCTATGTAAGTCTCAAGAGACGCGGTAGAAATGGAAATCGATGCTAACGGGGTGTAGTAAACTTGAAGCCGTCGTTGGTGGATTATATGATGCTGACAACTTCGAAACTGCGATGGGACGAGCAAAATGTCATGCCTCAGACACAAATTCTTCTCTTATTCTGGAAGTCTGTCCTCTTGGTATTTGGCGGCAGCGAGGACCTCGAGAGAGTCAAGGAAGCAACCAGCGAAATCACCGACGACAACCAAAATAAGGAAACCATTACGGCGTCACCGCTTGATTACCATGTCTTTCGTCAGGAAATCACATCGAAATACCCAGCCTACGTTCCACCCCAGCCCGCCCTCCCCATCGAACCCGAAAACGCATCCATCTTGCCGCCTCGTCCTAACCAACACACCCGCAGTAATGGAGCAAACGGTGTTCTGCCTCCAGCCCCAAACACACAGGGAGGTGGTGCATCGATTCTTACACAGCCTGTCCACATCGCAACGCCGGCTCCGTCACCACCACCATCACCAGGCGTCGGTGGAAAGGGAGGCAAGAAACAGAACTACCAGACCAACCAAAACTTCCCCTTCATGTATCCGCCCTTGGATGCCACTAGTAACAGCGCTGGCGGAAAGGGTATGGCGGCTTTACAAGAAACTCTAGTGAATCGCCGCTGGGAGGGAAGCGACATTCCCGCGTCCATTCTCGAGGCGGGTCAGCTATTCTCTACCCGAGTAAGAATGACTCGATCGTTGCGGCAACTCTGGGACGAGAGAGAAAAGTTTCTCAAATATGAGCGAGGCTGGGAGGATGAAGACGACGACGATATTATCCCTGAGCTTGACTTGAGCGAACTAAGCATTGAAGAGCAACAGATTCTCAAGTCGTTCAAATCCGAGGAACTCCGGAAGCCAGATGTTCCTGTTACAGCCGAGGAAGCTGTCGATTACGGACCAAAGCCCGAGTGTCTCTCTGACAGAGACAAGCAGCGACTGCTGGCGATTGAAGACTTCTATGTATGTGCCTAACATGCTCTAACACGCTGAATATAAACTAACCTTTTCCAGCGCGAGGCTCTGCCCCATTTGCAATCCCTCGTGATAGTCCTGCTACGACCCATATTTGTCAATGTAACTGCCCTAGTAACCGCCCAACAGGCAGCACAAAGCCAGAGTGGACGGCCAAACAGCGGCCCTAACGGAGGTCTGCGGTCTCAACACGATAGCCAGAATAGCCAGCAAGACGTTCCCGAACCATCCCCAGAAGAGGTTGACGCAGCACGAACACGAGAAATTACAGCCAAGGCTATGAGCGGCACGTTGATTCTTCTATTGAAATGGCTGCGCCTTTCTCGTAAGTCCTTGTGGTATTACCAAGAATTAACCCTGTACTAACAGATACATAGACATCTTGAAGTTTGAGTACATGACTCAGCTCCTGCTGGATTCTAATTACATCCCGCTCGTGCTGAAACTGTTTGCCCACCAGGATATCCAGCAGGTTGTGGACAGCAAGATGGATCGCGTCGAAAACAGCTTCTTTCAGTTTTGCAATCTGCGGTCCAAGTTTAAGGATCGGACCGACAGTGACAACGAGAATGAAGACGATGACGACGATGCGGATGAAGACTTGGAGAAGCAGCAAAACGAGGATAATTCGGCAGCTGATGCAGAGGCTGCTGAAGAGAGCGAGGATGATGCCGCCCCTCCTCCCATCAAGCGCCGCCGCTCTCCGCCACCAGCCGATGAGGACATGCCTGATACCGATGCTGAGGCCGACACAGACACAGCCAGCGAAGCACCAGCGCGACCTGAGGTTGACGAGCTAGGCTACCCGCTGACATCGCAGCCCATTGACCCCATCACCGACTTTTCATGGCGCAACTTTTTCTCCCTGATCAACTACCTGCGCGTAATGCAAAAAGTGTGCAAAAACAAGGCGCACCGCAACCTGCTTCTAGTGCAGTACAAGTCGTCCACGATTCTGCGCAAATCCCTACGTGTTCCACAGCCCGAACTGCGTCTCTACACCCTGAAGCTGTTCAAGAACCAGGTACCATACTGCGGCCGCAAGTGGCGCCAGTCCAACATGCGCGTCATCACCGCCGTGTACCTGCACTGCCGCCCAGAACTTCGCGACGAGTGGCTCGCGGGTAGTGACATTGATGCCGAGGTGGACTCGGCGCTGCCGCTTGAGCAGGCGCTGCGTGGACTGACGCACTGGCTCAATGCGAGACGGTACCCGGATAAGGTTGCTGGCGAGGAGGTGCGTGCTGCGCTCAAGGTCGAGCATGATTTCTTCACGAGGGAGCTGGAGAAGATGGATATGGACTGGGCAGATCTTGCGGGCGATGAGATGAGTGAGGCAGATGGTATGGATGGGTGGTAGAGAGAGAGTACATATAGGCATGGAAGGAGTATGTTTCTTTTTTTTTTTATTATCACAGACAGAAAAGACGTGTTTTATTTTCATCATTATGCGTTCATTATGTACTATGTGCAGGTTTGGTCCCAAAGCGATGTCTGGCTTCACCGCGGGGTATCTATCGTTTATGTGGCAAAATATTCAACTCCAATCTAAATGCGCAACCAAAAAAACAATCAAAATCAAGAGAGATTATCCAACATGATGGACATTTACTGGCGGTCGTAGATGCCGTCTGTGTAGTGGTAGTTTCGAGGCGGCGTAGCCGATGTGTTAGGCACTGGTGTGTGTGCTATGGGCATATAGGGTTGCTGGTAGGCGGATGTCGGTGAACGTGGGTAGGGCAGAGGAGTAGGTGTATTTTGGGGGTAAGTCTCGCCAACGGGAGAGTGGCGTATCTGGGAGAGCGGTGAGATGACCGGCGAAGGTGGGCGGTTGATGTGGTAGGTAGGGCTGGACGTCGAGACGCCTAGATCGCTGTGATACGGTCTCATGTGTGCATCTTCGGCGTTGTTGTATGGTCGTTGAGAGGTGCCCAGGTCACTATCATACGGCCGGACTGGCGAGGTGCCATGGTACGGGCTTGTAGTGGTGCCCAAGTCGCTGTCAGAGGGTCTGATTGGGGAGTTGTTGTCATATGCTCTGACGGGAGAACTGCTATGATACGGCGAGGAAGCCATGACAACGTCGCCGTGGTACGGGCTCGACGCTATAGGGCTCGAAGTGTTCATGTTGAGGGCGTCGGGGCTGTGGTAAGCGCTGCCGTAGCCCGTCTCAATCTTGTTGTACGGCGACTCCATGCCCACAGCCGTTGTATCTGTGTTGTGGCTTGCACGGTTGTTGGGCTCATTGACTTGCAGCTGGTCCGGGTGCGTGTGCTCGGGGAGCATGTTGGCCGGGTTGACTGCCATGGGGCTATGACGGGCGCCAAAGAGGCGAGCAAAGAAGCCCGGCTTGCGGCCAGACTCGTCCGGGCCGTAGTACTGGTCGGGATCGCCACGGGGGAAGCGGCGGCTGCGGTAGCGGCCACGGGCTAGGGCGAGCTCGGCGGCAATGGAGAAGATGAAGAAGAAGATGGAGAGGATGGACACGGCAAGACAGGCGGTTTCCATCTTGCACGCATTGTGGTCGCTTGGCAGACTGCTAATGGTGCGGGTGGTTTTGTTAGGCGTGGTGTATGGTGTAGTGACATCGCCAGTGCAAGAGCCGGAGCCGTTCTTGTTGGCGACGGCGACAAAGATGAAGGCGCATGCAAACGCAAGATCGAAGAGCATGGCGAAGAAGGACATCAATGGTAGGCCGGCAACACAGCACGTCACGAGCAGCCCAATGATGGTGTATAAGACTGCGGCACCAGCGATACCTTCGACTGCTCGCATGTTTTGTGAAATGTCCATCTTGTGGTCAGCCAGAGTGACGAGGAAGTACGAGTATAGAGAGAGGACGATGACGGCACAGCAGAGCTGGAGCCCGCGGATGAGCCATAATAGCGTTTTGAGCCCGGCAGACATGGCGGCAAAGTTTCGAGAAAGTCTGGGATATTGGTCGAAAGTTTTGGGGGCGGTAAAATGGTACTGGAGTATATTTATATTGGCGATTAGAGTTTGGCGAAGAAGTAGCAGCACATGACTAGACGGGTGTGCGTGCGTGTATGTGTGTGTCTTGGAGAAGAGAGAAACACAGATGATCGAAACAAGAACAGAAGGAAAAGAAGAGAGGATGCAAGATGCAGAAGCAACGCAACCCGGCAAAGTCAGGACGAGTCGTCATCACATCCGCCAGCTGGTGGGCCGCACTGCGAGGTGCGGCAGTGCAAAAAAGCGTAGCGCCTGAACGATTTCCGAATTGGGAGTCTTGTAGCGGCACTGTGAGTGGCCAGAGGGGCTGGTGGCGCCCCACTAATTGCCAGGCTTGGCTTGCTGCACATCCAACGATTGTATTTTTATATGCGGATTCTTTTCTATACGAACGAGTAAGAAGGATCACTGCGGTACCAAGCGCTCTCTTTTTTTTTCTCATTGTCTCGGAGGCTGTGTTGGCAATGTTTCACCTTGCTTGTCCTCTTTTTTCTCTGTTTTTTTTGCTGGCCCAAGTCGTCAGCGCTACTACGGTGAAACAAGGAAACAATGGAGCGAGATGACGTCTAGGGTGTGGCTGGGCTCGGCGCTGGCTGACAGGGGGCGGTGCGAGTGGTTGGTACGGACAGTTACCTGGGCTGGCGCGCGGGAAGTGATTGGCGGAGACGGGACGGGAGTGACAGCACCGCCACGGTGTGGCGAGTTTCGTTATACTTATCGCGTGAATGGTGCCAAATATAGAAGAAGTGAGGCTAGAAAGTGGTAATAAAGAGACTATCCTCTGCATGTATCTTCAATTTTAGGAGACGTACATGAGCTTTCCATTTTCTGCTTCCTGTTGAAAGACGGAGAAGTTGAGGAGCCCGTCGAGTCAGAAGAGACCGCCAGCACATTGCTTTTGCCACTACAATGCACTCACTACAGCGGGCTACAGCGCATCGCTGCGTGGGTAGACAGCAAAAGCCAAGACGTCGCAATGGACTGGGAGTCTTCGGTGGCCACGAGACAGACGGTCCAGAGCATCCAAGAAAATTCTGAGCGATCTAGAAAAAATGTGCAAAAGTCAATACAAAGCGCTGTTGTCAACCTGTATATTTACAAACCGTACAAAAATCAGGGCGCAGTGATGGGTGGTTGACTAGAGTCCTACAGTATGGCATGCCAAACAGGTGCACAATCTGTGGGATGTCAGTGATACATCTGCCTATACTACGTTCGCGCACATATATCAGTAAACTAGATATACGGGTAGCCTATCATCGCATAGCTCAGACCATGTGCTGGCTCAGATTTCCCCAATTCGATATTGGCCATGGTCCAAGGCCCGGGCCATCGGCCCCCAACACGTCAAAACCCCCAATGGCTCGCCACCAGGACTTCCCACCGGCAACGCGGAAGCAAAAACAACAAACGGCCTGAGTAATTTCCTGTTCGTGCAACGTAACTAATAACTTAGTACTCTGTATGCCGCATCAATAGCGTGTTTGACCCTCTTGGCCTGCAGAACCGCGGCGCAGTTCGCCTACAGCCGGTTCCACCACCATCCTTCTGTAGTGTATCACTTGCATGCAGCCAGCACCAAAAAACCGAGACCGGCTCCGGAAACATACATACCCAGAACATACACACACATTTCCCTCAACAACAACAACGGAAGCATGCACCTGGATGCGGCGCCAACGCGGCCTGCATAGCATGTGGCGTGGCGGGCTGAGGTGGCGTTCGTATCGGAGCGCAGGTGCAGGACCTACTGCCGTAATGGGCCTTGTGCTATTGGGCGAGCGATTTGTTCAGGTCTACCATAATTTTCCCTATCTCTCGGCATGGTTTTTTTTCTGTTGACAGCTGAAGCTTGGCTCTCTTGCCGATCAAAAAGAGGCCACCGGCTCAATGCTTCCGAGAGAGACTCGGCGTAGCAAGAAGATAGTATAGTTTCCGCAACGGTTTTCTATGTGGCCAATGATTTACTTCGCTAAACCGAAACAAGGCTAATGGCCCGAAAACCCGGGTAGAACGGCCGACTGCAGATCGCCAGGGAGGGAGGGCGCAAGCAAAAATGTTACCACACCTCGTGCGTAGCGTAGAAGTTCTGCAATCAGCAGCAACAGCGGGTGGCTTGATGAAGAGTTCTGGATTCAGCAAACGCACAGCTCTCTTTGGTAATGGAAAATTGGCCGTCGAAGCCTTTTGCGGCCAGTTCTGGGCTTGTGCATTGCATCTCACCAGCAGCGTTACATTGGCGCTATTTGGCGTGGGTGGTGGTTTCCGGGCGGTTGGGCGGAGACTCCTATGCCCGATCCTATTTTCGATAGTTTCGATAGTTTCCGGGACCGTGCGATTCTTTCTGCCTATGGGTAGTTCAGTGGACGAGTTGTATTAATGCCTTTTTGTTTGTCTTTTTGTGAAGCAATATTTTCGTTTTAGTAATTGGTATCGTCTGCTTTGTGAGTCCGTCGATGCGGGTATAGGGGAGTTGGCTGCAAGGGTAACCGCAGTGTAGGACAAACTATCGACGCTTGGCAGGCCTAGTAAAGTGACAAGTGAACCGGAAGGATCTGGGGTTCTGCTGCTACTATCCAATAAGCACAGATGCATTACATTTGTCCTGCGTCTTTGCTGACGACTTATGTGTGGAGAGAACGGACAGGCTGCACGTTGTATAGTGTGTGCTGATTGCAGTGCAGTGCAGTGCAGTGCAGGCAGCACAATGCTGTGCAGTGGTTTACGCGCCGGACCACCACCACCACCCGCTGCTCCACGACTCACCTGTAACTTGGGGCGTCAACCTTTTCGGTGAAAAAGCTGCGCGTGCAGCAGGTGCCCAATCGATTGGCCATGGTGCTGATGGAAGCGTCAGTTTGTTTGCTTGTTTAGTCTAATTAGCGCTCTGTGCACATACAATCACAATCAATAAAACTCTCGCCATCTGGCTGGTGGTGGTGGTGCAATGCAGACAGGCGGACGACCCTGTCGGCACTCGTAGCCGTGCGCCGCAAGCGAAGCCTCCTCCGTACATTGTTTAGTGCGCCCCTCTCCCCTGTGGACCTGAACCATTGTCCGATGAAAATCACCTAGACCCGCCCCGAAAGAGCGCTAAACGGCTCCCCGCCAAGCCCGCTGGCCAAAAAAAAAAAAAGAATTGGTTCCATTTTCCGCTGCAGAACCATGGCGCTGGTTCCCTATTATGGCGGCGGCGTCACTAATCGAAGACCTGTTAGTGGCCCAGGCACCCGCTAGTAAATTTGGGTCCGCCCACCCATGGCGCTGTTTATAGTGCAGTACGAGCTGCCCGCTGAGTGGTCTGCTGTAATTTTATACGAGGTCATGTCTTGTCTATCCTCGGGGCTGGCCTGGGCTGCTGATAGGCGGCGCCGGCGCGTAGCTGAACATAAGGATTGTTGCGCAAAAACAGTGTTTGTAGAACAAAATAAAAATACTAGAAATTGCATGGCATTGCAAACAAATAATTGGAAAAAAAGGGAAAGAGTTCATTTCATGCAGCTACGCAGCCTCGCTTCTCTTTTTTCAGCCCCGCCACATGCATCTTTCGGCCGCCTGCATGCACCTACAGGAGTACCACCACCTACAGGAGCAGTTGTTGCTTTTGCAGCTGGCAACCACCTGGCAGCCGCAGCAAGCCCTCCACTTTGCACGGCTTGGGCCACCCACACCACCACACCCCCGTTCGCCTTGCTCGCCCACCTTGACACGCCGACCCGACTCTCGCTGTTTTCTTTTTCAATTTCTCACCTGCATCCGGCCCTTTTGTCCCTCGTTGTATTCTTACCCTCGCTAGTATTCTTTTTTTCTGCTCTGGGGCCGAGCTGCGTTCTTTTTCGAGTCTCTCGCTTTGCGGTATAAGACCCGCCGACTACACCACACCACCCCTTCTCACCAAGCAGGTCTGCCTCACATTTACTTGGTTCTTCAACAGCAGCTTTTTGTTACGGAGCTGTGTGTTTAACAGACCAATTTCAATTCGCTTCTATTCCTGTTTCTTACAATGAAATACAACGCCGCTCTTGCTGCGGCCCTGGCCACCGCCGTCGCTGCGGACCCGACATGGCCATCCTCCATTGACGAACTCGAGGGCATCATGTACCAGCTCACCTCGTTCCGCGCTCGCCACTTTGCCGATACCGTCAGCCCTTGCTCCAACGAAGCCTCTGGCCCGGGCCGCCAGAATGCCGCCGAATGGCTCCGAACCGCTTTCCACGACATGTCTACCGCCAACACCTTCTTTGGCATTGGCGGCCTCGACGCCTCGCTTCAGTATGAACTCAACAATGGCGAGAACACCGGTACTGGCCACCGCACCACCATCCAGTTCATGGCTCCTTATCTTTCTCCCCGATCCAGCTTGGCCGACCTTATTGCTATGGGTGTCTACACCTCGGTGCGCTCTTGCGGTGGGCCTGCTGTGCCTATTCGCGCTGGCCGTGTCGATGCCACCACCTCTGGCAACACTGGTGTTCCCCAGCCCCAGAACTCTGTTGGCACTTTCCAGCAGCAGTTTGAGCGCATGGGCTTCTCTGCCACCGAGATGATCCAGGTCACTGCCTGCGGTCACACTCTTGGTGGTGTTCACTCTGCCGACTTCCCCGATCTCGTCCCTGATGGCTCCGCCCCCAACGGCGAGGCTGTCCTCGACTCTACTGTTGCCGTCTTTGACAACAAGGTAGTCACTGAATACCTTGCTGGAACCACCAAGAACCCTCTTGTTGTCGGCCCCTCCGTCAAGCTCGACAAGCACTCTGACTTCAAGGTTTTCAACTCGGACGGTAACAAGACCATGAATGCTCTGGCTGACGCCCAGGCTTTCCAGAACACCTGCAAGACTGTTCTCCAGAAGATGATTGATGTTGTCCCCAAGGGTGTCACTCTGACTGACCCCATTCAGCCCTACAAGGTCAAGCCCGTTGACCTTCAGCTTACTTTGGCCGATGCTGGTGCCAACTTGGCTTTCTCCGGCTACATCCGTGTCCGCACCACTGGTCTTGCCAAGGACAGCATCAAGGGCATCACCATTAGCTACAAGAACCGCAACGGCGCCGCTGGCAGCGACATCAGCGCCACTGTCCAGGGTGTTACTCAGGGCTTTGACGACACCTTTGCTTGGTTCCCTATCCAGGCCAAGGTTCCTGTTGGCACTGGTATCTCGTCCTTTGTCGTTACCGTCAACAACGCCGACGGCACTAGCACCAAGTACGACAACAACGGCAAGGAGTACCCCCTCCAGGATACTGTCTTGTTCCAGAAGCCCCAGTCCTGCCTTCTGCCCTCCACTGGTGCCCTTACTCTCGTCGCTGCCGTCCGCAACGATGCTCTCGCCAACGGCGCCAAGGCTACCGTCTCTTACAAGGTTGCTCAGGATGGCAGCCCCGCTCCTGCTATCAAGACTGCTCAAGTCGACCTGACCAAGGGCCAGTGCATCGGCTCTTACACTCTCTTCACCACCCAGTACACCGTTCCTGGCGGCAAGTCCCAGGAGGCCTACGTCGACATTGCCAACGGCGACAAGGTCGACAGCTTCAAGGCCATGACTGATGTTGGCGGTTCCTGCAACGACTTTGGCAACGCCATCCAGTGCGGCGCTGTCGACCCTCCTGCTAACTCCACCACCGTTAGCAGCACCAGCATGCCCATCACCACCAGCAGCAGCGTTCCTGCATCGACCACCTCTGCTTCTTCCACCGCCATTCCCACTCCCACCCACATTGCCACTCTCGGCGGCTACAAGATGGTTTCCTGCTGGACCGAGGGTGTTGGTGCCCGCGCTCTCAGCGGCGCCGCCTTTGCCAACGACACCATGACCAACGAAAAGTGCATGGATCTCTGCAAGGGCTACGTCTACTGGGGTACCGAATATGGCCGCGAATGCTACTGCGGTAACTCTCTGGCCTCGTCCTCTGGTGCTGCCCCCATCGACCAGTGCAACATGGTTTGCGGCGGCAACCCTGCCGAATACTGTGGTGCTGGTTCTCGTCTTGAGCTGTACTCTACCACCGCTGTTCAACCCACCACCACTGGCACTCTCGCCCACAAGCCCACTGTCGCTCCCTACACCATGGTCGGCTGCTGGACCGAAGGTGCTGGCGTTCGCGCCCTCGACAAGGCTGCCACCAGTGCCGCCAACATGACCAACGAGGCCTGCGCGACCTTCTGCAAGAACTACCGCTACTTTGGTACCGAGTACGGCAGCGAATGCTACTGCGGTAGCTACCTTGCCGACTCCTCGAAGGCCGCCCCCATTGCCGAGTGCAACATGCCCTGCGGTGGTGATCAGTTTGAGTACTGCGGTGCTGCCAACCGCCTCGAGCTGTACATGGACAAGGACATCAACGGTGGTGTGCCTGAGCAGCCTGCTGCCATAGGCAATTTCGTGCTTGTTGGCTGCCAGACCGAAGGCAACGGTACTCGTGCTCTGGCTGATGCCTCTATTGCTCAGGACAACATGACCAACGAGGGCTGCGGCAACTACTGCAAGGACTACACATACTTTGGCACCGAGTACGGTCGCGAGTGCTACTGCGGTAACTTCCTTGCCAACTCGTCGCTTGTTGCCGATAAGTCTGAGTGTAAGATTACTTGCGCCGGCAGCAACCTCGAGTACTGCGGTGGCTCTAGCAGACTGTCGCTGTACAAGAAGAAGCCTGCTGTTCCTCCTCCTGCCAGCACCTCTTCGTCGACGCCTCCCGCTGGCACTCCCACCACCAAGCCTCCTGCTCGCCGTAGACGCAACTAGATTTTAGTATATATGTAAATAGGTTGGCCCATTTGGCATAATAAAAGTCACTGTGTATAGACATTTCTGTTCCTTTCAATATGTACTATGACATGACCGAGTAAACCAGTTATATATACTACACAGGAGCATATTCCCTCCGCGTACAGACGTAAATGTAGATCTTCCAGAGTAGTTGATGTGGTAACGTGTATCAGACAGCTGCTGCCAGCTGGCGAAGCTAAGGTGACGCAACGGTGACAACGAAGATGCACGACGTGCTCACTTCCGCCTGGCTAGAATGCTGTGCTGAACAAACACAACCGACCTCAGTTGAGCTTACACTGTATGACTTCCACTTGGAGACAATACTAGAACAAGGGAACGACCTGTTGATTCTATTAAACAAAGCATCTATTGAGATACAGAAGCCCACGGAAGCAATCTCTTCCACGCGACACGAGCCGCCGCTTAAAGAGACAGAGCTTAGCGAATAGGAACCCGAAGTGAATCCACTCGAAGTACGGAGATTCATTGATGGCATGACCACAGTGAACACCAAACCATAGAACTGGAAGAAACTGCCGTGGTGTGAAACAATGAACCCAGAGGAGATAAACAGGTCGTTGTGGGATTTGGAGCCAGCCAAAATTACCGTCGAGCACCACAAGGCTTCACTCCCTGTGGCCAAATCTATCACGGCATGCACTCCAGGAGCCAGTGGCAAACCGACAACTAGCCATGAGAGCTTAACGAAGAAACGTCGGCACAATAGTGACTCGGCGGAGGACAGTGCTCCTCTCGCCACACCCTCTAAGCCAACCAAATCTACAGCGGCAGAGACGATCGAAGTCCTTCACGAAACAAGAGAAATGATACACACAATGGCTGACCAGCGCCTACTGGAACGACACGGGGTAACCCAGCTCACTGATATTCCCATGTATGCATCAGCACACAGTGACGAGCTAGTACAAATGGTTATTGAGCGAGGCGAGGAGATGCGAGACATTTGGAATGCCTTTCCCCAACGGCTTAAACAGGCATGTAGCCATGGAGCTGCAAAATACTAGCTACAATTATAAAAGAAACAATCGAAACAAGAGATTCGGGGACAAAGACTACCAATATAGGCAGAACAATATATCAACAAGACCACTAGTCTTTCCATTCGGCAGCAATATCATAAAGTGCCCACAGGCGTGTCATTGCAATCATATAGTGAAGAGATTTGGGACCTATTCGTTTCAATTAGCTAGATGAATCAACTGCATTTACCCCGAATGGCTCTCTCTTATTTGTAATTATCTAATAGTTGGCCAACCCTGCCCTCCGCCCAGACTGCAGTCTATAGCTCAGTCGCAAGGTCAGTTGTGTTTTAATTACTCGATATTAATGTAGCTGTAGCAGTCATAATAAATTAAAATATACATATTAATGGTAAAATTAATAGGCAAACGAAACAGCCGTGAGCGGCTATTCCAGATATTCCGGCTACGCACCGCGGGCCTCACCACCAAAAATATCCATCTACAAAGTGGAACGCGTCGCGCGCCGCATTCACTTACCTCACCACATATCACACCTGCAACCATTTCTGTCTCTTCCTTCACTGCGACTAGTCCTAAAATTCGTTCAAAGGCGCTAAACAGAAATTAGACACACGAACCCCTTATCGGCACCATGTCCACCGAAGAGGACACCAAAGAAGTAAGCGTTCTCATCCTCATACAGCATCTGACCCCTCCATCACCACATCGCATCACTAACGTCCCGCCTGCTCTGTTCAGCGTCTCAAATCAGCCCTCTGGTATTATGTCGGCAAAACCGTCGACGAAAAATGTCTTACGTCCAACCGCAACGCTACGCCCCAGTTCATCGGCGCCCTAACAGAGCTCGTCTGGGCACAGATTGGTACGTGCCCCCGTCAACCTTGCCTTATGATTTGATCTTACTGATGAATCTTTATGGGGGAAACAGAAAACGTCGCGATTGATCTGGAATCCTTTGCTCACCATGCGCGCCGCGAGACAGTCACCACAGACGACGTGTTCCTGCTTGCCCGTAAGAACCCTGACCTTCAACAGCTCATGCGTGACTTCATCGCCGAGCTGCCGAGACAAGACGGTCGGCAGAGACTCCCTGGAGCTGCGAAGAAGAGTAAAGGAAAAGACGTGGCTACGCGAATCAGCCAGCGCTGAAGAATGGTCATGGATCTCAAAACTCTACGTATGTATATATATATATATCTTCGAGGTCATTGTCCTAGGCTTCAGAGACAACAGGGAAGGCATATCTACGACAGGACAATGCATATCTAAGGGGAAATCAGGCGTTTGGCGTAATCAACCATTTCTTAGTTTTAGTAACAAATGAAACAAAACCATACATAATCTAACTGGACCATTGTAGCTGACCATCATCCATACGGCTGACTACCTACCTTACTACACCGACTTGCTTGGCACACCAACTCTGCCCTCCGGCATATATTGCAGCCAGCCCTGCGTGCCGCCACAGACTGCAACCCACCCCTGGCTTGGCCTAGTCTACTTTGCTTCCCTAGCCTCCACGGCGATGACGGCTTGACTAACCCCAACAAATTAACATTGGGATGCCAGCGTGGCTGTACCCCGTGGGGGAAAGGGGTGAATCTGGCGTCGTATCTAGAGTGAGGGTACCCCCAAAGGTCACCCCCAACCTTAAATACGGCTTATCATCCTTGTTGTTAGGCTGGGATGTCTACAACATATGCATTTGCACGGTTTCACAGATTATAAGAACAGTAAAGATAGCGTGCTGATAGACGCCGGGGAATGAACCCGCGCGCCGAGAGGTTGCACAGTTCCTCTCAGTCATTTCGCTGAGCACGTCTCCAGCTCGCCTAGTCTCTCGTTGTCTAAGAGGGCTGTTGCTTACCTTGGCTATGACTCCAACTCTGTGCACCGCATGCCTGGGCAAGCGACCGTAACCATCCCCCCAAAGCCCCAGTCTCTCAGTCATGTCGTGCGACATGACGCAGGGACGGGACAAACATGCTTTCGGGTGACCATGACAACAACAACAATAACGTTGATAGTAGATAGTCAACCCGGGCATGTCGTCGTGGGGGGTTGGTTTTGTCGTTAAGCCCATGCAGCGGCGGCAGCAGCAGGGTTTGTAAGTCATTTTGCTCGTCTGATATTGCTGCGTGGCGGGTGCCACAAACAGTCAAGACGGCAGAGGCGGTTTTGACATGTCCCTTATATTCATACCATGGCAACCATGGCGTCAACATGAATACAGTAAAAGATGGAATTAATAACACTGAGCCCAATCCTCTCTTCCTCCCATCGATGAAGGCGCCGACGCCAGCATCGTTTCTGCAATCATGTTAGGGGTACGACAACACCAGCGCAACTTGCTCGGAAGCAGAATACACTGGTGTTGTCGTGAGTTCGGAGCCGGGGCCATACCAATGAAATAAAACGTCGCTGACGAAAATGTCAGCTTAGTCCGACGCACCCAGGCATTGGCCTGGCCAGGGTGCGCTGCTTCAAATCGGGATGAGGCGCCGGGGGTGGTGGTGTGTCGCTAGGAAGCAATACAAAAAAGTAGTCTTTGATATGCGGTGTAAAATGTTTTATTAAAAACCCGTATGATCAAAACTCTTTTTGAGTGCGGTCGTGATATCATGAAATTAAACGCCAGAAAAAAGCATCGCAATGGTGTTCCACAAAGAAAGGCCGGCTGGCCATCCTTTTCTCTTTCTTATACCTTGATGGAGGTGTGAGCAGCGTATTCCTCGACGTAGCGGTCGAGGAGCTGGAGGGAGACGCCCGAGCCGCCGCAGACAATGAGAACAATGTTCTTCTGAGCCCACTCGGCGTCGGACAAGCCCTTGCCAACAGTCGCGCGGAGGTCACCCTTGTACGCGGCAGCGAGAGCAGCACCGCAGGAGACCTCGACGAGAAGGCGGGCATCGTCAGCGAAGCGAACGCAGCTAATGGCAGCGTCGGCATCGGAAACGACAAGGCTGTGAGTGTTGGGATAATGAGCCCACTTCCATGTCTGCTCAGAGACACGGGAGCAGCCCAGGGAGACGGCAATGGAGGTGATTTCGGGGAGGGTGATGTGTTGGCCGGCACGGAGGCAGGCGTTGAGGGAGTCGGCGCCGTCAGTCTCAACAGCAACAACTTCGGGCTTGGGGCCGTCCCAGGGAAGGGCTTCGATACCCTGCATGAGGCCGTTGAAGAGGCCACCGCCACCAACGCTGCAGACGATGCCGTCGATGGGGACCTCCATCTGGTCGCGGAGCTCGGGGAGGATAGTAGCGGCGCCATCCCAGACGTCGGGGTGGTCGAAAGGAGGAACGAAGACACCGTTGGGGTCCTTGGCGACGAGCTCATCGACAACGTACTGGGTGGCGGTGTAAAGGTTCTTGCCAACCTGCTGGACCTCAGCACCGAGCTGGATAAGCTTGTTCTTCATAAAGGGAGATGTGGTGACGGGCACAACGACGGTGCAAGGGCGCTTGAGGGCGAGAGCAGAGGTGGCACAGGCGAGGCCGGCGTTGCCTCCGGAGGCGCAGTAAAAGTGAATATCGGGATTGCCACGGGCGGCAGCACGGGTCATGAGGTTACCAATACCTCGCGACTTAAAGGAGCCGCTGGGCTGGAGGTTGTCCAACTTCAGGTAGATGTTGCTGTGAGAGCGAGTTAGCCAGTGTATTGAATGAGATGAGACTGTTTGTCTGTGACTCACCATCCGACAGCGCGAGAGACTTGAGGGCTGAAGACGCAAGGCGTCTTGACCCAGGGAAGGGTGGCATCAGCAGAGAGAGATCCCATTGTAAAAGTTATGAGTATAAAATGTGAAAATATGTGCGAAATGCAAAAAAAGAGCCACACAAGACTTGTGTGAAAAGGAACCTAGATGTGTTGAAGTGGTCCTAGAGTGTTGAAGAGGTATGTGCAAGAGGGAATCCCTCGAGAGCAGTAGAAGCAGGCAGGTATATGCTGGGAAGGAAAATGTTGATATGATGAGAAAAGGAGAGTCAGGACGAGAGAGGAGGCGGGAGGAGGATAGATTTATTACGAATCCGAAGGCGGAGGGCCGCGGGGGGGTCTAGGCCACGGAAAGTTTGGTGTCCTTGTTGGGTAGTGTGTACCAAAAGCCTTGCCTGTCCGGGGGCGTGGATACAGGCGTGGGTCATGGATACTTTCGTGGAGACTGCAAAATGCGTGTGCCGCGCCTGTACTTCCGTGGCAAGCCGCCTTCGTCGTTGATGGTATGCGGCACCCGGTGGAGAAGTTTTCCATGGCGTAGGGGCGGCCCCCGAAGGCGAGAGCAGAGGCCACGGGGGGATGATGGATGGCTGGAGACGGTCAGCGCCGTTGTGTCGTTGGACCATGTTGGGCTGGGGTATGATGCATCGAGTGTGGCAAGGTTGCAGCCTGTGTGGCAGAAGATGACGATGATAATTTTTCCATATTTTTCTCGTTTTTGTTCGTTATCTTGTTGCCTCTTTTCGTTTTGCACCAAAATAAACAACAACAGCCGTTCTTTGACGGATGCGAATATTTTTTGGGGGGGAAGAGGGGAGAGGGGCACGAAGCAGCGCCATGAGCAGATGTGGGGGGCACCAGTACCTCGATGACACACACAAACTGGCTGCAGCCCCAGGTACCGTCGCACCGCCAAAAAGGAAGGCACGGAAGAATTTTCCCCTTCGATCTCGCTGGGCAACCCCTCGCTGCCGCTGCAATGCACCCACTAAACAACCACCTAAACACTAATTTTAGGCGGCTTGGCTCCCCTAGCTGCTCACTGTAATTTACTGCTAGCAAGCATTCCCCAGAGGCACTGCAGAGCCCCCCCGCGTGACTCGAAAAAAATTCACTGGTTGCGCACAGTCAGGCCACCGTACCCCAAGACCGAAAGCCCCCCAAACACAAACGAGGGCACCCCCAAAAACAACAACACAAAGATAGCATAAGCTTCGGTTTCCGTTCAATGCAATCCGTAGTTTCATGTGTAATGGAAGAAAGAGATATTTGGTCATTTCTCATCTTCTGTTACAAAAGTCAGGCCATGCATCTGCACCGGTGTCTGCATAGACAAAAAAAACATATCAGGCTTCTCCGAAACAGAAGGAAAACTTTTTCATCGAAGGCTCGTAGCCGCGCTCGTACTCCAAAAAAAAGTACGTACAAGCTGGGCTACCCATGCTCGCTAGCCACATTTTCCACGTTGGAGGTGGGTGGTGCCCAGGCCATGTACCTTGATGCTTGATCTGCCATAGATGATCTACTTGCTGCTGTGTTCCTTGTTCCTAGACGCCTCCCCTTGCCGTTCTATTCTCGTTCCAAGGGCGATGTCGGCCGTTAATCCCAAGCCATTGCTGCAACTGTTGCCATCACGGCGCCGGGAGCCGAGCGAAGTCAAGGCGTCACGCTGGGGTACTCTCAATATTACAGTACCCATCCCCCTCTTTTGAGCAACGAGAGCCCAGGCCTCCCGGCGCCGTTGTTCTCGTAGCTCATCGGCGCAGGGGGTGGGGATCATATGGGGTAATAGAATCTCAAAGGGCCCCAACGCGCGCTGCGAACTGACAAACCCACAAACTCATACTGACTGGCCCTGTAATTTCACTTGCTTAACGGGCAGGCAGCTAGCTTATGGCCTGCCTCTTCGGTGTTCCCCGACTAGTGTGCAGCCAAGGAACACATTACTATTGAATGCTGATTCATGCCTGCTGGCCGAGCATGGGTTTGCGCTGCGGGTCGAGTCAACTTTAGATCCTATCCACAGATGACAACAACCTTGATAGATCGAAGCTTCTTCCATGCTGCCCAATCAAGCAGACCAAAGGGTTCTTTCGCAAGTTTCAGCTGCATAATGGAACCCAAGTGCCGAAAAAACAGGGAACACGGTTCCTCTTCATTGGACAGCTGAAATCTGAAGGGCCTCTTTGGATGGCTCAACATGTGTTCCTAATTTCAAGCTTATTTCATCCCGTTCTGGAACACTTAAGCATATCCGCCCTGCCAGCGGGAGAGTATGCATCAGGCTGCCATTCCGCTGCTTTTGACAGCGTGACGTAAAACAGTGTGATATTGGTGAAACGAAAGCCAGGTGTTGGTATTTGATGCGTGATATGGCGAATATCGAGCGGCGTGTTGCGAGATGGCTCACGGGAGTGAACCCGTTTGCAGGGACGATCAATCCGCTGTGCAGTAGCTAACCACAGCAAATTACAGCTTGCTGCCCGCCCAAGCCCCATCTACTACTCCAATTTAACCGGACCAGTGACGAAACGCAGCTCAAAGAGGGCTCCTAGCGCCGATACCCCGTCTTGGCCATCAATGGCTGCAATGGCTGCTTTTGTCTCGGTGCGCGTTTCGTCGAATGGCTTGGTTTGTGTAGGTCACCGCTCGTATAATGTTGGAAGCTTCAAGCCGTCATCGGAGAGATGTGCAACTCGGTACACACGGTGGTGTGTGTGTGTGTGTGTTCCATTGCATCCGGCCATTGCATCCGCCCACTGCAGTGGTCGAGTAGATGGGTAGCTAATCGCCATGCACAGATTCAGTTTCTCGCTAGCGGCACTTCTGTCGCACATGTTGGCTCATTGGACCCAGCCCCAACTTTCGCTTCTATTATGTTATATTGTTCTAAATAACAACTGCCATTAATCTGCCGATGAAGCGAGCGCGGTTACTGTTTTGTCTAGACAGGGCAGGTCGGTTAGAAGTGGATGGTAGTGGACTGGACCCATCAGCTGATTGATAAACTTTCCGAGTTAGCTCCGGGTGTGAATGCTACGCACGCATATTTGCTCAATTGGAGCTGAAACACCAAAAGTCAATGGCGGTGATAGGAATGTACTGGGATTGAACAAGTTGTGCATAATTGTTGACACGGATGGTAGTTAGAGGGGGAGGCTGTTGTTGGTGGTTGCCAGCTGACAGGCGCTGCGGCAGTGCCACGGCACTTCTGGAGTGCCAACGCAAACACAACTCTCTGCCATAGCCAGTCATCCTCACTTTGCCTTCAGGCTTTTTGCAAATAACATCAACAGTCATCTACATAAACGACTCTTCTCAACACAATGTCACTTCCATCTTACATCATCACCATCAACACGGCCAGCTTGGCTATGCCCGCAACCCATCTTACAAGCACAGCGCATTGCTCTAACTGCAGTTAACGGCACGTAGTCGGTCTCTTTTTGCATATTTAAATTCAATCTCTGGTATTAATCTTCCAATGGAATCATCCCAGTCTATATCAGGGATGGAGTTTGCGCCGGATGATCAGGGGGCATACCTTGACGATCTCATTGCTGAACTTAGAACGGCCTCCGACAATGGCACAGCCGTGGTAACTGCCGTAGAAAATATACCTATACCAACAACTGAAATCATTACCTTTTCTGAGGCCCCCAATTACGACATCCCACCAACACCGATCCCAGTTTATGATCCGCCCACACTGGATGTCGACAGCAGCTACATTGACATGTTTACCCGCGAAGAACAGACACCAGGGCATAGTCGAGCGTCCTCTCCAATTCAGGATCGCGAAGACCAAGGTGGCGAATATCAAGATGACAAAGACCAAGATAAAAATGGGGAAGAGGCTCCCAAAAGGTGGCTTGCAATCGCAGTGGTAAAGAAAATGGACATCACCTTTTCCAACAACATTAGATTGCTCGATCTTGTATCCTTGAACGGAATCAAAATCGAGAATGAGGCAGCCTTTAGAAAGGCACAATACTTTGAATTACAGAGCGCCCGAAGATGGAATGTCCCCTTTCGTAACAAGCCACTCAGTCGAAGCGCAAAGTCGTACCAGTTGCCGGACGAGATCACACTGATAGATCCCATGGACAATTCAAAGGACGAAGTCGACGTCGTAGTTTTTCAATCAGCGGCAAGGCTGAATAAGCTCAAAGGACGTAAGAAGAAGATTAGTGACAAAGAAAGTGATGAAAGCCAAGAGGAAATCGCTGAGAAACCCGTTGTTCCAGTGTTCAAAAAACAACGTCCTCCAACCAAGAAGGCGGCACCAACGCAGCGGTCAAAGAAGACCAGGTCCGGTTCCAAGCCGACAGGAAACATCCTATACTTTCTCAAATTCCCTGGCCATGTCATCAAGGAAATCCTCTGGCACATTCTGGTTGTCCAAACTCCAATCCAAGTGCGCGAAGATTAGGAAGTCGTTGCGTCACGAAGAACAGAGTTCCCAGATCTCAGCATTTTACGGGTTTGTAAAGCTTTAAACAGATTCGGAAACCCTATTTTATACGGCCAAAACCAGTTTCGATGCGTGGTACGTTCTTCTATTAAGCCCATCGCGACAGTGTACCCTGTAGAACTCGGTGTGCAGGCGTCAAACGACACTGAGATGATGGACGAAGAGGATGGGGAACCCAAACGACGCAGAAAGAAGCGTAAGATTGAGACTGAAGTTCCGCGAAAATCAAATCGTATTTTGATAGCCAAGTTTAACGTCTACATCCGCTATCTAATTCTGGAAGTAGACCAGAACAGCAACAACCCACATACCGTGATGCGAATGGCCAACATCATTCAAATGTTTCGATATGCTCAAGACCGAATTTACTCTTGTGTGGACGCCAAAGATGACGAAGACGACATGGAAAATGTTAAACAAAGCTGCCTCTTGTACACCATCAACTTCCGCATCACCGTCCCCGGTCCAGAGACGGGAAAGCGACAGAACGACACTTGCTTCGACATGTTTAAGGAAGAATCTTGCGTCCAGGCAGCCATTCACCAGACCCCTTGTCAACGACTACGTTTCACACTGCTTAAACCAAGCAAGAATACAACGGCTCGAACAGTAGTGCTGAACCCGCGCGAACGCAAAAGCTACCTACTCAACATGGCGTTCTACTACGCCCACATTCCTGATTGGTTCCGCAGAAAGGGCAAAGATCCTTGGGGTGATGACGAGCCCATGGTTATATACCGGAAGAAGAAGAATGCCATTGTCCACGAGCTGCTTCGAAACTTAAAGGCAGAACTATGGGCATATCTTGCATGGGTCGAGGGCGGCATGATTGGTCCACTGCACGGCGGTGATGAAAAGGGCAAAAAGCCTCCCCAGGAAAGCCAATGGGTTTTCGCAGCACATGGAATAGACAATGAATCAGCACTGCAGCAGGAGGAGCCCGACTGGGCCGACGACGAGGACTTTGAGCTAGCAGTGGACGATGACAATGACGATGATGGCGATGGCTACGAAGTGGATGAAGAGGAAGTTGAAGACGATGACGAAGACGAGTACCATGAGTAACCAGGAGATGTGAAGAAAATACGCTTAGTTTAGCTCCTATGAATTCATAACCCAACTATGCCAATGAAACACAATGCTTTTTTAAATCTCCCGTTATGCAACTTGAATCTTGACCGTTCTAACTTCCAGTGTCTCCGTGTCCACCAGCACAATCTCCTTGCTCTCTGAGAACGACGGCACGGCCACCAAGCGGACAGTCTGGCCCTCGGGGCCGCCAATCAACTTTGTTCCAAAACGCGGCTGGCATCCCACAAAGTACAAGTGCGGTGTCGTCTTCATGACGAATGGATCGTCTTCCTGGAAAGGATAGCTCCCTGTAATTATATCAGTACCACCTACACCATCCTCACAACATCATTTGAACTTACACAGTGTATCAGGTGCAGTAGGGGCACAGCAGCGCCAGCGGCACATGGCCTCCATCATACCAAGGCGGTCCTCGCTATCCACATACTTGAAGATATCATCAACGTTCTGGCCACCCGTGCCCAGCACACGCCACCCTTCAATCTCAGCCTCAAATGGATTTGTCACGGCATCAAACCAGCCCGGCTGCTTACCGGCACCCGGTTCCGGTCCGTACACCCTCGAGCGCGGGAACATGGCCGTGTGAATAGGCTGCTGCGGGTAGCTTGCATTGGCGGGGTCCTCGGCGCCAGGGAGCAGCGTGACGGGCATGGAAGGGAGCAAGTCCGATACAAACTCATCAAAGAGCTGCGACGGGAGCGGGTTGTATGCGCTAGCGTCGTAGCCGTACTTTTTCTTGTCGTCCTGCGCGGCATCTTCAGCTGTTGCGGTCGTCGAGGTGGATATCGAGTTGCCCGCAATGATGAGGCGGCTAATGTGCGAGACGTCGGCTTGGGCGGGTGGTCCAAGACTTTCGCCGAGTAGGTACTCGAGGAGGAGGTTGAGTTCGAGGGCATATGAGGCGTCGGTGCCAGAAAAGGCGAGGCCAGACACAATAGCAATCTGCTTGTTAGTGATGCCGCCGGTCGTGCCGCTCATGCTGGCGTCTTCGTCCTTGGTAGCTTTGCCGTTGGCTTTGGCGGCCGATAGGGCCCAGCGGTCAACTTGCGGCGCGAGGTCGGGGAACTTGATGTCGAGGACTTCGAATTCGCCGGATGCATTTTCTGTGCCCATGACGGCGACGATGCAGCCTGTGACGAGGGGCACATTGGCAAGCGCATCACCAACAAGGCGGATGCGGCCAGAGTCGTCTTCCAGCATGACTTGGTCGGTTTCTTTGTCGGTGTAGTATTTTTTGCTCGACATGGGGGCGGAGATCCAGCGCTAGAAGACTGTTAGTGAATGGCCTTCAATTGGACATTTGGCAGCAATAGTGAGAGGGGACTTACATCCTTGGAGACGTCGTCGAGAATGTTAGGCTTGAGGGGCATATCCATGTACATTGTCCCCGCCACCCAGCAGAGCTCTCCCTGGCGCACATCCAGTACACGGTCAACTTTTTTGGCGGGCTCGTCGCCGACAACAGTATCCTGCCAGGCCTCTGTGGCTACTCGCTCAACTTCGGGCTTGATTTTTGTCAAACGCAAAAAGTACATATCACCATACTGCTGCTGGTAGGAACGCTGCTTGTCGAGGGCAAAGCTGTTCAATGGTACATATGCGCTGTCGTCTCTTGGTGCTGTGGCATGAGGGTCATCTCTAGAAGCGTGAAAGGCCAGGTGTTAGCTAGGGGAATTGATTGAGGAAATTTTGCCATGTGGAGGACAAGATGCACTCACGATGGCTTTTGGAGGAGGTTGCCGCTGGCTTCCTCAAGGGTTACCATCTTGGGCAAACAGAGGGTAATGGAAGCTCAGTTCAAATATTTCTGCTGGTATAGAATCGTCCGTACCCTGGTGTTACGACAAGATTTCTGTAATAACGTGACAAAAAAAGCTGTTGGTGATGCTGGTAGGCGGCGATAGTGCGGCGTGGCGCGTTGGGAAAGGTGGGATGGTCGGGAGACGCGACAGGCGTTAAGTGGGTGGAGAAATTGCCCACGACGTGATTGGTGCGCGTGCGTGTAAGGGGAACGACAGAACAATTGGAAATAAAGGGCACTGTATTTCTTTTGTTACAAATATCTAAGCAAATCTATCATGCGTCTATTTTTAAAAAGTTAAAAAAAAGAGAAAATGACAAGGTCTAGCCTTTCTCTGATTAGTAGCCCTTGCTAAACCACTTGCAGAAAATAGTGCTGCCGTTGTTATCACAAGCACTCTTCTTGACCTTGCCATCATTGGTGACAAGAATCTCATCGTCGCCGCCAGTGGCATCTACATTGCCCTTGGAGCTCTTGACCTTGACATCGGTAAAGGTAAAGTTGCCATAGTTGAGGAAGGGTACCTGCTTCCCGTTAAGGAGCTGGTCCTCGACGATCCAAGCCGCCTCGCTCAAGCATAGAGCCGCGGGGTCCTTCTTGTAGGCGTGTTTGGCCTGCTTCTTTGTGGTAAGGTTCTCGATGAGGGCATAGCCAGAGGTGGCATTGGTGGCATTGACGGACATGCGGATCTTGTTGCCCGCGGCAATGGGCAGATCAGTTTCAAAGTCGGAGGCATAGTCGGGTCGCCACCGGTACCAGGCCTTGTAGGTGCCATCGCCAAAGAGGTAGAAGCCGGTCTGGAGCAAGGCGTTTGTGCAGTTGGAGCCGTCAATGCCAACCCAGATGGTGGCAGATTCGTTGGCGTGAGACGCAGTCTTGTTGATGGCAGGGACAACGACGGTGCCGGAGACGTAGTTAGTGTTGACCATGGCATTGACGACACCAGACCAGACAGCGGAGTCCTGGACCTCGGCGTTGGCACCGGCAACGAGGCCGGCGGCAGCAGCAACAAGAGAGAACTTCATGGTGGTGATTTTGATAGTAGTGGTAGTGGTAGCGATGTAGAATGAGATCGAACAAGATTTTCATTGAGTGAGTGCCAACCAGAGCAGATGGGAATCATGTCTCCGGCATTTGTTTAAGTTTATAGGGCTACATTGTACCTTAATGGGTCAGGGGGAGGGACTGTAGAGAGACTACGTAACGATCGCCATAATACCGCTACGCCATCTAGCAAAAGATTAGGCATGACTCTACTTTGAGCAGTTAATGTATGGCGTATTTAGGCCTATAACTTAGCTTGTAACTCATTACAAACTGTAGGAGGACTGTAGGGTAGGTGATGTGATCTGTGTATAAGATATTGCATCGCAGTCAGCACTACGTAAATAATATTGTTGGTAGATGATTTAGTTATCATCTAATTTGTACTAAAGATTCAGTAGCCTCTAATTTACATTCAGAGTGTGAATCAATTCATTCTCATTAATAAACATTACTTCGTTGATTACAATTCCATTATTCGGTAGCTCCCGCACAAAAGTCCCCCACTAAACCACGCGACAGAAAGAAAAAGGGCCCCCCCACTCTCCTAGTGATGACTCCCCCGCACAAACTCCGTCGGCAGCCTTTCCTTTGACAACCTTCCAACCATCACCATTAAACCCTCTTTTCTCTTTTCTAAGCCCGCCAATAATCTGCCTGCCATGCCGTCCAAGCAACAGCTCCCGCCCTCTGTCGAGGTCAAGAATCTCTCCTACACATTCCCCGACTACTCGACCGGTGTCCACAACATCTCGCTCGATCTTCCTCCCCGCTCGCGAACGCTGCTCATTGGAGCCAATGGTGCTGGCAAGACGACTCTTCTGCGTCTTCTTGCCGGTAAGCGTCTTGCTCCCAGTGACACAATCTCCATTTGCGGCGTCGACCCCTTCAAGGTCGGCCTGGAGGGCGTGACATACCTCGGTCTCGAGTGGGTGCTGAACCCCATTGTCCGCAACGACATTGGTGTCACGGACTTGCTGTCCTCCGTCGGCGGCGACGCATACCCCGAGCGCCGAGATGAGCTTGTCGAGATGCTGGACATTGACATTAACTGGCGCATGCACGCCGTGTCTGACGGTGAGCGCCGCCGTGTGCAGCTCGCCATGGGACTGCTTCGCCCATGGACCGTGCTCTTCCTCGACGAAATCACTGTCGACTTGGATGTCCTGTCGCGCGCCGAGTTCCTTAACTGGCTCAAGCGTGAGACGGAGAACCGCGAGTGCACCATTGTCTACGCCACGCACATTCTCGACAACTTGGCAGGCTGGCCCACCCATCTTGTGCACATGCATCTTGGTACCGTAAAGGAGTGGGATACCGCCGATAAGATGCTCGCCACCATTGACGGCACCGTCGGTCCTACCGGCAACTCTCGTCTCGGTGAACTCGTCATGGCTTGGCTCAAGAGTGACCTCAAGGAGCGTGGCCCGCGCAGCAAGATGAACCGTGGTCCCGAGGGCAAGACATATGGCTTTGGCGGCATCAAGATTGGCGGCTACGGCGATGAGTCCAAGCCCAAAGCCAACTAGACTGGACTTTTTCCGAGGCTGATGATTTCCTTTGTTTCGTTCTTGACACGCCTTTTCTTTAGGGGCGTTGCGTCGATTGGTCTCATTTGTTCGGAGGGGGAGTACGTCCAAAGTAGTTGGCACAGAACCCAACAGCTTGCATCTTCATTCGGCGTTCGATGCTTTAACATTCATAGCTGGCAAACTGGTTTTGTGCAGCGACGCACCATTCAACGATCCGGTGCTCATTTGGCGTTTTTGGTTTTGTTGTTTTTGCATTCCTCTTCCATTCTTGTTCCCGCGGCAGCGGTGGCTGCAGACATTGGCAGTCTCAACTCTGCATCGTCTTGCTCTTGAGGCCATCCGGCGCGGATGTCTTTATGCTTGGGTTTTCAACATTAAAAGCGCGGCTTCTTTTTTTTATTCTTCGATACCCTGTATTTCAACCAATGGGCATAGCAGATATGTTCGAGTCCATCTCAACGGGACAACACCACGGTACCACTAGCTGCCGTCAATCAATATATTCTTGACACCAGCCCCTGTGCGGGCAGAAAACTTGCGTTCCTTTCATTTGTGATGATTCTAATTTCAGATCTCAGCCATTTTTGTTTCTGAATGTCGCTAGGACTCCGCGGAGTAGTTCGCCAATGCCCGTGAACCCCTGCTTGTCAAGTGCCTCAATGACACTGGTCTGGTACTTTTCCCAATCGAGCTTGATGCCACCGCCACGAGCGAGGCGTGTCAAGCCGGCTGCGGTAACTGGACCTGGGTGTCTAGTTTCGATATCCGGGTTATTCGCAATCTCTTTGTCTTCGAGCCGTCGCATGCAATCTATGCTGATTTTGCAAAGAATAGGCGAGTAGGAGAACGATGCAATCGAAGCCAAAGTGAATGTATTATCGACGGTTCGGATATATCGCTGTAGCGCTTCGACTGTTTCAGTAGGTACGGAAGCTCCCTTGGCGCCGCCGGCGGTGTTGAATGCTCGCCAGCGCCAGAGAAAGTTGCAAGCATCAGCCACATGGCTGTTGAGTCGAGCCACGTATGTTTTGGGATAGGATGCTGTTGATACCATCATTGAGCTGTTCGCTGATGATGCCCGTGTTGATTCAACATTTTTCTTTATCGTCTGACGAGCCTGAAACAGGTAGGAGCATGTTCGTGATAGGATGGCGACAGAGTTGGAAAAGAGAAGCTGGTTGATGATGACAGTTGGGGGCAACTCGACTCGGATATACTGTCCCGTTGTAAGATCGCGAGCCAGACAGATCGCCTGCTCGTACAGAGCCAATACTACCGACTGTGTGGCAATGGTTGGCGAGTTTTGCAAAAGGGTGACGGCTAAGCGGGAGGCAGATTCTATCAGCTCAGTAATGCTCCTGCCGCCATTTGCTGGAAAGGGCCTGGCAGCTTTGAGTACGCTGGCCCAGTGGTGTAGGATGTTGGTGTACAGCTTCACGAGGTCTATTTGGGTCTCGACCTTGCCGTTGAGCATTGCTGTCTGTAAGGGCTCCAGCACATTTTTGTGCAATTCTGCGGCTTCTAGTCAGTAATCATTCAATCTGTCTGTAAGCATAGGGCGAAGTTACCTCGGAATTCGACAAAAGGGGTAAAGGACAGGATAGCCAGTATACACTGACGGTCTCCTGTTCCATCCCAGAGCTGGAGGAATCTAGAAAAAAAGTTGAGAACCAGCAGAGGCAGAGACTACAGCAGATTAGCAAGACAACCTTATCATTCAGCCAGCTACAGTCCAACTCACCTTGGTTTGAACGACAAAATCCCTAACGACGCTCAATACCTCCCACAGCGTAGCATAGTCAGCCTCGCCTTCGATGATGTCCTGCATAACGGCATTCAGCCAATTCGCAATACGCTGATTAGCCTCTGCACTGGGTCTCAATATCAGCAGTTTTTGCAGCAGCGGATCAGCCAGGACCGCAACAAGCTGATTCGGCATCTCGAGCTTATCCATCTTCTGAACAAAGCTGCTCACATTCTCAACTTCTTCCAGTGTCACAGAGTCCTCGTTGGCGTGCGACGTGTGCACTATGGGGACGGCTTTGTTTCGCGACACGCGACCAATCTGCTTGTTAATCCGAAAACCGTCGCGCGGTCCTGTCATCTGCTCTTGGGTCGCTTGTAGATGCGCCTCCTGCAGCTCGTCCAAGTGTTGCCTCCATGCTGGGTCGGGATGTTTAAAGGCAGACGCTTTACCGCGAACTGCTTCGCCAACGATAATTTCGGGGTAATAATCTTTATACACTCGTAGTAGGCCGACCAGGCAGGGGTCGTTTCCGGTCTGTCTCGTCAAATTTAATCTACAAAAGGTTGTTAGCTGCTTGTCCTTTCGCCTGGCACTGGCTCCTTACAAATACTGAATGCGAAACGGCCGCACATGCTTTCTCCTGGTTATCAGCGCAAGAACATGCGTCAGCTGCGGTCGGAATGCACCCGTGTCGAGCAGGTTGAACAAAACGGGATATGCCTGGCCCAGGACGCCCGGCGCATCCAACACGTGGTACACCATGACCAGCCAGCGCAGCAGCGCAGCCTGCAACGTGAGCGATGGTTTCGCTTTTCCGTTTCCCAGCGCGGAAATTACAAGCAAGACATCGTCTCGCGAGACTTTGGCAACGGGATATAGTGTGCGCATGATGCCGTTGAGGCTGGCCTGGTCGAGGTAGTTTTCGCTGCAAACAACAAGCAGCACCTCGCGGAGAGCGTCTGGCGTGAGGCCATATTCGTAGGATAGCGATGTGAGTTTGTCGACGGTAGGTTTGATGCTCGTTCCGCGACTCTTTGGTGTCAGGTTAGCCGCTAAAAAGGGAGATTATTAGCCATCGATAGGGTTTCGTAGAGAGGGATGATACGTACCAGCTGCAACGTCGAGGGCTAGTTGGAGGATTTCCGTCTCCATGCTGCGGGAAGCCATGATTGGCAGATGGCCTGGACCATGGGCTGTACTTCAAACAATGACGATAATTCTGTGACTTGAAAACCGGAAAAAGAAAAAAGAAAATCGTTGGCGTTGAAGAAAGACGTCACTGGTCGACGGGCACCGTTTGGAGTCGCGCCGCTGGGGACGCGTCGGGCCAAGTGGGGGCCAAAGCTCCGGGCCCGGCTCCGACGGCCACAAAATAAAAATGGGACAAAATGGTGCCGCATAGTGCAAAATGAAAACTTTGACTAGCAAAAACATACAACAGCCGGTGTTCGCTGGTCGTCACCGACCCAACTACTAATCTGCCGATTACAGGCTTATCTATGGGAGAGCGGACGGGATCCCGAGTTCTCCTGTATCTATGGTCGTATGTATCAGTTGTTGAGCGAATTTAGTACAAGAGCTTTGAGCAAGAGTAGAATTAGACGCTTTTACCACAGACCAGACCATTGCGTGGACAATAGCTATATAGCAGTAGAGCAAACGTAGTACTGTTCAGATCAACATTGCTGGGGCTGCCATGGAATATACTTTAATGGTCTCGTCTCCCCAATTTCGACATCTACAACATAGTAAAATTTACTGACGAGATTCTTTAGGGAGAAGTTCGACTGACGTTGGGTTGTTAATGGTCACCAGATAAGCATAAGATAGCCGATCGATGAAGAGGATATTTTATTCGTGCAAATGCGGTACTGTGAGATTCAAAACCTGTCAGTGCAGTCTTATTAAATTATACTGATTGAAGCATACAAGCAATCTTGAGGTGTAGGATTTATATAATAGATATCTCTTGTACTCACAGACCAACGCTGCGCTGCCTGCGAAAGTCAGAGCTAACTATGAACTAGTCTCTACTAATGTTATAAGCTAGTGACAGCCCGGTCGAGTCAGATCTACTTTGCAAACTGCTGGGGCACGATAGAATCCCTGTTTAATCCCTATTGTAGCTTGTGTAACGGACTAGGCCCGTGTAGATCTCGGTGGTCTCTTTATCATTTATTTATTTAAGTCATATAAGAGGCTACTCCAGTCAGCTGGAATAGCCCCTTTTCGATCTCTTCTTCTTTATCTTCGGATACTCGTAGTAGTCGCTCAGCTAGTTGTCAATATACTCAGTTGAGACCGTTACACTTGGAGTTGATTTACAGGGTTGTACTCTTCATTTGTGGCTTCAAGTCAGCTGAGACACATCTGTATATCTACAGACGCAGTAGCAAACCCACGGCCCCAATTCACGATTTGCTCTAGGGGCCAATGATGCAGGCCAACAGACGTACCTCCAATGAGCTGCTGCCAGCGACATAGTGCGCATTCTGTGCAGCCACCATGCATGCAAGTTCGTGTTTATAGAATACCTCCTACGAATACTTCGCGGCGATAAGAGAGTATAGAAATCGCCCAGAAATACCTATAAGACTTTGTGCTGGACGCCAAGATGGATTGAATGATTCAATAATTTCAATGTTTTATGAGTACACATTCCGGGACTCAACCCGGCAGATGGGCCGTCCCGTGTTTATAATAACGTGGCATAACGGGTCGCGAGTTTCACCAACGCCACACGTGAGCGGCACAACCTGACTCACCTATAAGTAGCTTCAATTCTCCCCTAAAGTTTACTCTAGTGCTCCTTACGTTTTACAAAATACAACAGATCTTGCCTCATGCTCTCATACTCCACCGGTACTGTCACCACCCCAAGGCCAGGTTAGGCTATTTTGTACATAATCAACTAACTAAGATACATGTCAGAAATCTCTCTTTCTTCCGCAATTTCCGATAAGGGTGGTGATATATTTGTATTGCTACTTCTCATTCTTCTATTGTTCATAATTTACACTGGCTCTGTCAAGGTACCACGAACTAGCGCACGTATAACGAGGACTTGAGAACTTATGCTGTGTTCATAGCTACTTTGCGATACATATGGTCTTGGCGACATTCCCGGACCGTCATTCTCGTCATACGTCAATATTTGGGCTTTCATACAAGCAAGGAAGCATAGATATTCTAGGGCGGTTCACGAGCAACACGAAAAGTATGGTGCATTTGTGAGAGTCTCGCCAAACCATGTGAGCGTGGGCGACCCAAAATTTATCAAGGCAAGTTCCCATGCCTGTTCACGTTTAGTGTATGTTTTAGCCATTAACACTGACGCAGGATGTCATGGGTCACGGAAACGGCTTCACTAAATCTCGATTCTATGAAATTTTTGACTGGAAGTCTCAGAGCATCTTCACGACCAGAAGCCGGGAAATCCATGGTCGCAAAAGAAAATGGCTCTCTGCGACATTTTCATCACGATCCATCAAAGATTTTGAACGCTTCATCACTGATGCATTGTCTATATATGGCAGACAAATGGAGAGGCTAATCGACGGGAAACCAGCTGGGCGTTATACATTTACTATGAATGAAGATGTGGCAAAGCGCCAGAGACATGATGAAGGAGTTATAAACGCTGTATCATGGAACGCATTCCTTGCATTTGATATAATTGGGGACCTCGTGGGTTGAATATGGTGTTTTGATACGTGTCACTTTCTTGGCTAATACTGTATTGTTTAGGCATTTGGTGGATCATTCGGATATACACAGGATGGATATGACGGAAACAATGGCATTCGAATTCTAAAAGAACGCGGAGAATGGTGCGTTGTGGTTGGTCAAGCTCTCTGGCTCCGTCGCTTGACTCCCTACATGTACTTTGATACCTTCTTCACCAAGGGCGCCAAGGCTGTCTCTGATCTTGGATCCATCTGTACAGCAGCTGTAAAGCGGAGACGGACGTCCAAAATCGACCATCGCAACGACATCTTGAGCTACCTACTTAAAGCTCGCGACCCGGACACCAACCAACCCCTTGCGGAAGAGGAGTTGGTTATGGAGGCACTCTCTATCTTTATCGGCGGATCTGATACGACAAGTAACACAATAACACACGGGATAGACCTGCTCTCTAGAAATCGAGACAAGTTGGCCAAGTTGCAGCTCGAGCTTGATTTGGCATTTCCGCAGCCGCACCTCGAGGCATTTGTTCCGGAATATTCCAAGATCGTTGCGCTGCCTTACCTTGAAGCTGTCATTCTTGAGACATTACGGCTTCGACCTACGATCTCCTTTGGCCTACCGCGTGTCGTCCCCCCTGGCCCAGGAGTAACAATCGGTGGCAAGCTCTTTAAACCTGGCACGGTGCTCTCCGTGTCTACCTACACCGTGCATCGAGATGAAGAAATCTTTGGCGCCAATGTGTTGGATTTTAATCCGGACCGCTGGTTAACTAACGCCAGGAGCAACATGGATAAGCACTTCATGAGTTTCAGCTACGGCCCACGGGCCTGCATTGGACGTAATGTGAGTGTTCACGCAGCTATCAGAGGGCTGTACCACACTGGCTTATTCTGCCCAAAGCAATTCACCGCTAACATGTGTCAAATAGATTGCCTTGATGGAGTTGAAGAAGACGTTTGCCACTCTCTTTCGCCGCTTTGACTATCGGCCAGTCTATCCAGAGCGAGAAACCACCATTCGCGAAGGATTCCACCTAAAATGCACAGAGTTACCGATATTTATCTCGCGGCGTCGCAATTAAACTTGCCCTCCAGTTCAGCTAGGGCTACGGAACGCTATAACTGTTAAATAATTTGTCAAGATTTAGTAGCGGGTATATGTTTAAATATGGTTATTTGGCGACCTGTAACCGTAACTATAGATAACTATGAACTCAGAAAAATAAGGTATTATAACTATAGATCTACATTATAGCCATCCAAGTAAATAGAATGGGGCTAGTTACATCAAGTGAAACACACCTACAAGAACAAATGTCGCGCTCCCCTAAAACCACTCACAGAAGGAATAGCTTACAATATTTAATGAAGCAAAAACAAAAATAAAAAACATATTCACTATCTGGTATCTATCATACTACCTCAGACTTTTGCTGACCCTAATACAGCTGAAATTGATTTTGTTAAAAGAACTCTTTTTGTCTCTAATTTGAGCTAGTTAGACGCGAAGAACCCTCTGACAATATCATCCTAACCTAAACCTTGCCCTTGTTAGATAGAAGCGCTGTACAAGCTAGGGCTTGGCATCGGTTGCGTAAGTTCAACCATACAGTACTCTACCTCTTCGCCACCACTTTTTATAAACTGACTTACTGGTCCGGAGTCTCGATTAGAAAATGTCAGCCCGCCAGATTGGCCACATCCATAGCTTGAGTATCCCAAAATCGATATGCAGGGTTTGCCAGCAAGCGCCATGAGGCTGTTACTACACATATGAAATCGGTTTGGGCTAGTCACACCTCCAACTCTCCTATCCCATAGTACTGTAGCGGCGCTACGCTCAACGTCGTGCCAATGCTTAACCGCGTCATAGAGAAAGCCCATACGTAAACCGCTTGGACAAGGTATTACAGCTCGGAACTGCTCAGTTCCGTGGCCACGCACGTCAACTTCCTGAATAAGCTCTAGGGCCTCGATAGGCGGTTGGGAAACGAGGAGTTGTCGCCATTGCTGCCTGTAAGGGGACATGACTTCATCTTCTTCCTGTTGCTGCGGTTGGTCCCAGTTCGTGCGCTCGCGACGTGCGTCTAGTATTTCGGCAGGTCTGTCGATCCCGTTCTTAACATGGAAAGGCTTCCTCGTTGAACTGTTGGAGAACAGTGATAGGCCTCGGTTGCCGTTCGGCCAAAAAAGAGAGAATATGTTCATCAATATATCTGATTGAGCTTCAGCATATAATGCATATCCTTTAGGCCGCGCAACTTGAAACAATGCTGCCCGAATCTCCACATGTTCAAAGAGGATTGCCTATGTTCTATTGACGCCCTTGGCCTTGAGTAGAGAGGAGTGTGGAAGCTGCGATAGAATGATGATGAGGAGATCCGGGGAAGATAACACCCTCATTTGAGCCGGTGAGCTAGTATTTTGACGAGCCCTTGACCTGGTATTATGAACCCTGCTGGCTTTTAAGCGAACTTGTCGCTGTGACGAACGCTTTTTATCATTTAAATATCGTCTTGGCTCTCTGTTAACATTGGCGAGTTGTCGCCGAGGCGTATGCCCGCCAGTCGGTTGCGAGTACTCTGCCTTATGCGGGCCATTTGAAATTAAAAATCAGCACTGGGTAGTCAGACAGATATATGTAAGTACGTAGAAGGCGCACACACGGTGTAGAGCTAGTGAGGTTCTGTGCAATTTGAAGATGTGTGGTGTTCATTCACTGCCTTTTTCTGGAAATGAATTAGTTCGCGAGTAAATGATCCAAGGCTATATATGGGTAGAGAAGTAGCAGATGCTGAATAGTCGACACGTGAGCGCACAGTGCTGAGCGAGAGCCTTGCTACGTTAGCGCCCTTATTGGCTAGGCTATAGCCTCATAGCATGGGGAGTGCTGAAAGCAACTATTGCTGGCAGACGCCTAGCAAGACCCAAGAATGTCGGGCGAGGCACCATCTCGCGTCTTGTTGGACTTTTACCACCACCTGACGGCATCATCTCCCAAAACAGGCCCGACTAGGTTTTTGTTCCTTTTGGATACACAATATATCGCACAGACTATAGCGATAATACAGAAGCTCGTTGGTTGGCTCTCATAGCCACTCTAGAATACGTAATAAAGGAGGAAACGTCTCTTGCTATTGAAGAGGTCAAAGGTATACTTGAAGAAGATGCCGCCCTCGACAAGCTGCTCTCTCTTGTTCGTGTTGATGCGCGGTCTGCTGAATTCATCCTGGCCAGCTTGATTGCTACATACTTTGTAGCTATAATATTAAACTTACAAAGAACTAACTTATGTAAATTCGCTAATCTGCGCCCTGTCTAGTTGTAATGAAGTGGATCGGTACTACATCGGGGTTCTGCCTACTTCGGTAGTCGGGCAGTTATAATGTAAGTGGACTAAGTCCAATACAGTAATAGTAGCGAAGACTGGTTCAAGAATAGTCTTTAACAAGGTAATTACTTAGATTAGCCACTGGCGATCTATTCTATTCTAACCAGCTATCCACTTATATATACCTTTCTATCTCTTGGTATTTGCTTGAGTCGCTAGTCTCGCCGGGTCTAACCGCCCACCCATTTATCTATTAATACCTGCTGCTAAAATCCTCGCTAAAATCAGTATGCCTATACCTCAATTTAGTATCTCATAAAAGTTCAATGCATCCTAACCAGTTTAAGAAGTACCTTTTAGAGACTCAGCCACATTGGGCTAGGATCGCGAAAAACATGGTAGCCAGCTCCACCGGCTTCATCGTATAGATCCACAAAATGTTAAATTCAACGGTAGTCTTCGGAGATGCCGGTACGCAGGTCATCCCCCTTTCGCCCGCATTTTCATCGGCTTTAGTTGAGCAAATCAAAACCAATATATCATTCTCTTTGCACAGCCATGACCAGAATAGAAAGTTTTGCACATCACTAAGAGAATACAAAGTATCGCTTGCCATTTTCTTTTCCCTCAAGGAGACACAACGCTCCGTGACTTGTTCCTTTTATTATAAATAGCAAAGACTATACCATAGGTGGTTTACACCTACAACCTTAGCATCCTTCCAACTTTTACTCCCACCCTGCCCCTTACTATTATCTTTTCAAGTCAAAAACACTATTGCTATGCAAGGACCACTCCTTCTCGTTGCCGGCCTCGCTGCCTTGCCTTGGGCATACAGCATGAAGACCCTTGCACCTCCAGCTAACTGGTTATATACCAGCGAGCTTCACGACACGGCTGTCAAGCTACTCAATCGGTCCGATATTGCTGGCGCCCAGGTTCTATACAGCTGGAAATCGCTAGAGAGGGGCAAGGATCAGTATGACTTCTCACGGATCCAGGGCGACATAGCAACAGCCAAAGCAAGAGGCAAAAAGCTCTGGGTTCAACTTCAAGACCGCTCCTTTGACAAGTCAATCGACCCGGTACCAAGGTATCTCAAGGTGCCGTACTACAACAACGGCAGCGCGCAGACTTGCGACGGCAACAACTGCACCGCAAACTTTGTCGTTGGAGGACACGTCGCGCAGCACTGGAACCCGCGCGTCCGTGAGAGATTCCAGGCGCTGCTAACAGCCATGGCCAGAGAGCTCGATGGGTCTCTGTACGGCATCAACCTGGCTGAGACGGCTATTGAGGTTGACAGCAAGAAGGACAACTACACCGATGCCGGGTATTTCTATGGCGAGCTGGAAAATGCCAGACATGCCGCCAGCGTCTTCAACAAGACGTTTGTGGTGCAGTACGTCAATTTTTGGCCAGACGGCTGGGCAAACGCCAAAGGACGTCTTGACGAGTCGTTTGACTTCTATGCAAAGCATGGCATCGGTGCCGGTGGGCCAGACCTGATTCCTGAAGCCGAGAATCAGCTCAAGAACTCGTACCCGTTTCTGAGACGCTATCGCACAAAGTTGCCAATTTCTGTTGTTGCTGTTCAAGAACCAGATCTGAAGGCTACCAACCCTCACACCAACGCTCCCTTTACAAAAAAGGAGTTTGTTGATTACGCGACCAATTATTTGGGAGTAAAAATCATCTTCTGGGCGACGTCATCTCCATGGCTCAAATCCAATGCTGCTTAAGTTGGGCTTTTCAATGTGATTTGGTCTCTTTGCCATTCACAGTATACTAGAATTTAGATTAATAAGTGTCCAAGTCTACATCTTGGGAATAATAATAGTTTGACAAGGTGGAGAGCGTTGCGAACTAGGCGTGGCTATGTATCGAGTGTAACAGTACTGGATGTCTTTATACTTGTATCCTGAACACTACACAACGCTCTAATACTGCTATCGGTAGAGGACTACGGACTTGAATTGTGCTACTGAAGAGGTGCCTTGAAGATCGATGATGTCAAAGGTGCTAGCCAGCGCGGGGTAGTGAGGCTGTGATGCTGATCTGCATGGGCGGTGAAAAGAAGCAAATCATCCCAATTATAGGCTAATATGTATTGTATAGTTGTAAGCTTTATATTAGTTGTCGAGAACTGCACTATTCGTTTATGATACACGTACTTGTATACATTTTCTCCCATTTTGTTTCAGTTCGCTTACAACCTACGAAACACAACTCGAGAGCCACTATGCGCTTACACGTTCTTTCTCTCTTGCCGCTGCTCGGGTCGTCTTCTGGACAGCTTGAACCCAATTTTACGTCTTCTTCAGGCGTTAATATATACAACCCTTCCAACTTCTTCAATACCACCGGGCCATGGAGCTTAATGTCCAAGGCTGGAGATACTCTCTACGTTTCTGGTTCGTCACCGCTTATCTCCTAACTCGAGACCCTTATATTGTAACAGCCGGTTTCTTACTCCGCTGTGAGCATAGGCATGCGTGGAATTTATCAATCAAACAGTACGCTGGCACCGACTGGTATGCCACGTGTTCGTCTGGCCTTTGAGAACATGGCGACGCTCGTCAAGATGCAGGGAGGCGATTTGTACTCGTGCGTCCGACTGGTCGTCTTTGTAACCGACATGTATAGGTACAGACCAATGTGCAATGAGGTGCAGATTGCGCTCTGGGGCAATGACCCGTCCAAGTATCCGCCCCGAACAATCATTGAGGTCGGTCGGTTAAATGATGACGATATCGTCGAGGTCGAGGGAACCTTCTACGTTCCCGAGAGGAAGGAGAGCTCAGTAACACCGATTTAGTTTGAATTGCAGAATGTAGAGTCGGCTCTATTGCCCGCTCTGTTAGTTGCGCCAGTAGGTAGGTAAACTATTAACTTTTGGCACTTAACACGCCATTAATACGTTCCAAATATACCTTTAGAGCATCGGATACATAGGTGTATGGTTGTAAATTGTTGATTCAGTTATAGCAAGTATCTAAGGATATTTGTACAGCCCACTTCCGTCGCCCAGAAACTATTTACTTGGGCTGCATCACCAAAGGATAGTGTATCAAGCTGACGCTTTCTGGCAACAATTTGCAAATCTTTGCGTATAGTGGGGGATTCGACGTTTTCAACTGAGCACAAATCGCAGCCAGGCACTGTAGTGTAACGGGCTAGGCCCGTGGAGGTCTTGGGTAGCCCTCGACCATCTAGGCAAGGGACCCATATAAGTCATATAAAAGGCTATTCCAGCTAGCTGGAATAGCCCCTTTTCGATCCCTTCTTCTTCATCTTCGGATACTCGTAGTAGTCGCTCAGCTAGTTGTCAATATACTCAGTTGAGACCGTTACACTGGAGGACCATGTTCCCGGCGGTGCCGGTCGGGTGCTTTGGGTCGCTCGCAACATCGTCCCATGGCTCGCATTGGCGCACACACTGGAGAGTGCCTTCTTTGACTAGCTACGAATGCGCAAATACGGCGTACCGCGGTGGTCGCTTCTTTGGTGGAAATGGGAACTTAGCTGCTTTATCGAGGGCGTTGGCGTGTGGAGGAGGATTGGATCTGTTATTAGTCGGCTAGACTCGCAGTCGCTCAAGTGCAATAATTGAATAGATAATATTCTATAGCCGTTGTGGGGATCTCGAGTTCTCCTGTATCTATGGTTGTATGTACCAGGGCACAAGCACCTATAATATATATCTGTACTATTTCTGTCTTTTATGTCGGCTCACCACTCGCTACGAAAGTTCCGACGTCAAAGAAAGCACATATTACCTAGACCGACGCAAGAAAGCATGCCACGGATTTGAACGTGAGCTCCTCAATCTCGTGGAGGCCCTCCAAAAAGCCGGTGCCAGCGCCTTCACACTTGCGGTTGCTATGTTGTTCATTAGGTCATCTCTACTCACTATTGTGGGCTTTAGATGTACTTACTCGAAAAGAGCGCAAGTGTATGTCTCCTTTACGTCCATACTAACATAGATGGGCCTTTCACAGAGTGTTAGACAGTAATTTGAAGCTTCTCACAGGCTCGATACTTACTGTGTTGGCCTAAAGTTTGTGCACACACCTCCAACCACGTCGAATGTGCCTCGCGTAGAGATAAAGGTGGCCTTTATATAATAATTAGCATAGCCATTGTCAACCAAGAGTGCTGGGTGTCTTACAGCTCTGGCGTTTTGAGCAACGCCAAGTTGGGCAGATGCGAGGAGAAGAATAGGAGTTAGAACAGAGTACTGCATGGTGCTCGAGTTGTCAACTTTAGTCAACGTAATAAAATGGATGGATATATCGATGAAGAGTTCGCTAATTGTAAAAAAAGAAAAGAGACGGAAATTGACGGCAGCTCTTGCGGATTTATATTCATTCGGCTGTCGCATGTCTCAGTGCGGCAGGCGTTGACGGCAGATCTGCCCGCTTTTGTCGATTGAAGCACCTTGGTCAATGAGAAAAGAAGAAGAAAAGCAAACATTTACAGTAGCTACCCACACGGCACCGCTACTAGCGGAACGGCTAGCCCCTCTTTCGACAGTCAACTTCACTCCAGCGTCTCTCTGCCGCTCGCCAAATCCGTACTTGGACTTGGTGTTACAGTGTATCTGCACTTCGGTGGCTGGCCTGTATCAGCGCCTGCATTGTGCCGCTGCATGTCGTAAACATTGTGCGACACAAACCAGGATGCACCGGCATAGTACGCTGGCGGAAGCAACATTTTGAGACCTGCTTGTATGTAGACCGGCAATTTTCGACGACCCTCGCTTTAGTTTGATAAAACTTGTCCATACTGAATTTGTAGTATAGTATGTTTACTGGCAGATATAGATAAAAGAATAGCTAGAATTAATGTAGTCGCCTTGTCGTCTTTTGTAAAAGTTGTTCAGCCTATGCTAATGTATTGTGGCTGGTCTACCCAGGCCCAGTTGATGCAGGTATGGAGACCGCTTTATATCCTGAATTCCAATCAAACGCACTAAAAGCGTCCAATACTAAGCTTTCATAACTGATGGAAGGCAACTCGTGCTTGGGCTTACCAGAAAAAGAGCAGCTGTGGCGCAGTAAAACCTCTTCAGGCAACAAGGTCAACCCAAGACAATGAGGCTGACACAACATCACGTGGGATGTATGCAGTTCAATTTTCCAGGAAAGCCTTGATGGAAGATATCGTTTGCTTCTTTGTTGTTCTATTCTCCATCATTTTTTGAGACATCGAAATGGACGTACAGATGGTGCTAAACGTTGCTGTAAGCACGACGAAGCTCATGGGCTTGTCCATCGATATAATCCGTGACTTGTCACGCCTGTGCGACCGATACCGCGACGCCCAACTCATTCTGGAGAGCATCTCAGGGCAAGTCAACGTTTTGAAAGTTGCTTTGATGAGGATCAATGAGTTGGCCATGGGTGGCACCTCGATGCGGCACCACCAGTTAACTCTTGATTTGGGAAGCTCCCTACAATGCTGCGACCTACTTCTCACGAGGCTTGGAGCCGATGTGGTGGACTTGAATACCGAGAAAAATGGCGTGCATCAATCGGCATTCGCAGCACGTCTCAAAACAGCTTTCAACGGCGGGCCTGCAACTGAAATTCAGGCTATGCTTGATCGGCAAGCCAATGCACTAACATTACTCCTAACCATCTATAATTGGTAAGTAATTCTACCTTAATTATTATGTAATATAATTAGATATCATCTAAGACTCTCAAATATCAAGTCAATCAACATTGGACCAAGGTAGCATGCTTGAAGATCCACAGAAGCGGGAGCTACTCAACCAAATTGAAGAGGATGGACAATCTCTCAGAGTACACCGAGACACTGCGTCGTTCGTCACTCAGGACACTGACCAACTCTCTCTGTTATCCCACGAGTTTACATTTGATGAGATACTACTATCTACCAAGTTATATTCGGATAAATCACGACTACTCTTTCAACTGTTGAGAAAGCGAGTACAGCAAGCCAAGGCTCTGCTCTCTGAAGACGAGCTTCGCGCCAGAGCAGAGCAAACAACTTCGCAAGAAATTGACCGCCAAATCAAACGTGAAGACGAGTTTAGGAAGAACCATATTTTCCTGACTTTCACATATCCCGATACACATGACGACTTGATGCATCAACTCCGTAATAGTGGCGTTGTCTACCGTTCCCATCGGCCCAACCAAAACCGAAAGCGAATTGAGCAGCGATACGGCGGTGTTAAACGCTTTGGATGGTTGTACCCGATCATACGCATGATGATATGGGAGCCGGGAAATTGTCTTCCAGGTGTGGAAGACGTCACTATTCACACCGCAGGAGGGCTTTCTGGGGGAGAGGAATGGTTAACACCAGCAGCGGACTGTTCAATGATAATTCTTGTTACGGACATGACAAACTCTCTCGGAACTTCTAAAAGTCCTTATCAACTTCTGTCAGATGCCAAGAGGTTTTTCGACTCAATGAATGCTCGTTTTGGCTGTTGGAGTATTAGATCCTGGGTTGTTCTTACCAACGGGGAGGATGAAGAGCGTGAACATCAGCTGCGCCAGCTAACCAGTGACCTGTGGTCCAGTGAAGATTTGTACTCGGCTATTGAATCTTACTGGTATACTAAGACAGAATTCTACAACTCACCAGTCAAGGCACTCGTATACATAATATTAGATAGCTTTCGCCTAGCATCGCTAGGGAAAATAGAGACGTAAGTGGCCGTGCTAAATCCAAAATTTAATATTTCCCTCAGCTAAAAAGGAATATACCTAGTATTTCAGCAAGTGGATCTAAAATAAACGCGATACGTAGGTCTGTCTAACATTTATCGGCTAAAAGACCACCATCACAGCGGCTATAGTAATGCACCATATTCGCTACTAACGAGCACTATGAACTCTTCCCAATAGATGCTACTGCTATCTTATTTTCGAATGTACCATATTCCAAGTTAGCGTCGAGCGACATCTTTAGCATTGGCTTCTAGTATCGGTTTGTGGACTGGGCATATGATTTCCTGTATCTGCGCGATTGATATCCGAAGAGCGATTAATATTGATTTATTACTCAAAGGAGCTCCAAGTCTTCAATTTCTACCCTGATCATTTTCAGATTTATCTTTAGATTCTTGGTACCACTATGTTAGTGGCAAAACGTAGAGATTACATGGCTTGTTAAGGCGCCGGCGGTGTAACAACCCACTGTAGAGGTAACAAACCTTGGGTTAAGCGGCTGTTAAGCAGTTATTATTAATTAGCAAGTATTGACTTACATTTATTAAAAGCATCTGAGCTCCTCTAGCGGGATTATCTAAAGACATTTCTTTTTTGGATTTTATCTTCGTGATCGAACGGATTACACGTGACCCCTGCGATCCTCTTACACGGTAGTCGATGAGATCGAAAACAACCCCATTCGATTCACCCTACCTTGAGTCATGTGATCTGAGCCGTATGTAATGAAAGAACTGTTCAGGTTCTCATGGAAGTTGCATACCTAGGTGGCAGTGGCTTAGTTCGTAACAGTCAGGTGGGGGATCTTTGTTCGCCGTTTCGTAAGAGATCTAAGGTGAGATGGTGTAGCGAGATGCTCTGCGATAGGTCAAGGACGCTAGCGCCAGTATGTTCACGACCCTGGATCAACATGGACCCCTGTTTCGTTACATTGATGACGCTGGCATACTAGGTTACATTTAAAGCGCAGCCTCAGCTGTGGCTTGCATACAATCGTGTTCTAGGCCAGCTATAAAGAACCTTGTTATCAACCTTATGGTATAAATATAGTACCATCCCTTTGTTCATGTAATTAAAATAACATAAGATCTACAAGTAATGCCTTAATCTGATGAGTGTGGGGTTGTGCGTCGCCGCATTGGCGTTGCTCTGGGCCTCGCCGGCAGTCGCTAACTTTTCCTGCAGCTTCCCTTTTTACGGCTGAATTGATATAAACTAACCGGCAGTTGGAAACGATGTTCATCGGAATTCCGCAAAAGAGGCTACCGATGGTCCGAGATGGCAAGTATAAAAGGACTGGTATAAATCAGTCAGACATCACATGTAGATGTCTTGGAACAACCGATTTTGCACCAACTCTTTTCTTTACTTTCACCCAATCTTTTCAAAATGCAGTTTGTGAAACTCCTAACCCATCTTGGCTTGCTGGCGGCCGTTCAGGCACGTACTTTGACCCCGATCCCCGTGCGTCAAATAAGCACTCCGGGTCCAGCGCAGGATCCCCAGTATGTCAAGGTGAAAGGAATCAGCGTTCTTGGCAGCGGTTGCCCCCCTGGCTCCGCTGATGTGCAAATCGATGCCACCGGAACACTCTTTGAAGTCACCTTCTCGGCGTATGAGGTGCAGACTGGGCCTGACACCAAGCCAGCTGATTGGCGCAAGAACTGCAAGTTGACCATTAACATGGAGTTTACCTCTGGATTCCAGTCAGTAACCACTCTTATTTGAACCCCATTTTATCTTAAGTCTTTATACTGACATTATAGATTCTCCGTCATTGACACTGACATGATCGGCTTTGCCGAGATCCCGGCGGGAGTCAGTGGCCAGTGTATCAACACGTACTCCTTCACCGGCAACGGCGCGGAGCACGTCGACTACAAGATTCCTCTTGATGGGCCCTATAGCGGTAACTTTGACTTGCAGTCGCGACCTGGCATTTACTCGTGGTCGCCTTGCGGCGGCAGCACTGCCATCCTCAACATGAACACTGCCTGCAACATCTCCCCCACCGGCAAACCGGCACTCATTGCTGTAAGTCGATTTCTCACGATACTGAAGCGTCGTAATATTAATAAATAAACAGGTTGATCACATCAGTGGCAAGCTTACTGTAGAGTTCCATATTGAGTGGCGACCTTGCCCCAAGGTTTGAGAAGATGACGTTTCTCCTGCTCTCAAGGAAACTCGTTTGCGCAACAGTGCCACTATTTAGCCGAATGGTAACTATACTAGATAGAAGAATATATTTCCTTGAGGGCATTATCGAAGTAAACAGAGTGACTAGTTGTACCCAGTCTTTCTGCAGGTTACCAAAAACTACTCTACAGAAACTGTGTTTGAGAGTAGTTTTACACGTCATAGCCGGGATTGAGCCTACCTGCGACTGTCATGGTACGCCGTTTTTCACAGCAATTAATTGCATTATTTTAAATGGCTCTTAAAATTAGACAGGAAAATTAACAGCGAGATAGAATAGTAAAATAAGCAGTTCAAAAATTACTTGTTAACTAAGGATAAACTTTTGATTACTCGTACTTTTAGACTTGGCTAACCTACACTGGAGTTGTTCTATACAGGACAGACAATCTACCTAGTGCAAACCACGCCGTCACATTGTCAAGGAAAAAAAAACTTTTTTTAATTGTATCTAGCTTTTATGGGAGAATTCGTAAATATATTCATAGAATAACCTATTCCACCGACTCTGTCTTGGCAGCCTACATGCTCCAGCCAGCCTTCCAGTCGTTGCTTGCAAAGGGCCACCCAACAAGCGTGAGGTCGAATGTGGCGCCGAGGTCCTTCTCTCGTGACTTGAGCTCATCCACATCCCAGTTTGCCCACAGGAACTTTCTATTCAAGAAGCGTGCCTCGGGGCTCGCTAGCCAGACGCTAAAGGTCGCAGGTAGAGATACTAAAAAAATTACTTGCGTTAGCTTTTATGTGCAGGTCGGACGGCAGGCTGGGCGCATTGTCTTCTTACCATGATCTTCAAAGCCAACTGCTTTGACACCGCCCGCTTCCCTGTTCATCTCGGTGTCGACCACGCCGGGTTGAACGTGGAATACGCTGAGTTCGGGGTTGGCAAATGCAAGGGAGTCCCATAGGCGAAAGGCGGAGATCTTGGAGCAGTTGTATGAAGCGAAGCCTGGACCAAAGTTCAAGTGCGCGGCAGACGAAGAAACGTTGACAGCGACGGCGTTTTTGGAGGCATGGCGAAGGAAGGCCTGCGCCGTGAAGAGGGCGCCCTTTAGGTTGACATTGACAGCCTCAATGAACTCGTCACCGTCTGCGTCCTGGACAGAAGCCGTAGGTCCGGTCTTGGCCGCCGCACTGATGACCACGTCGAGTTTGGAGTCACCAAGGAAGCTGGCAAACGCAGCGTCCACCTGCTCCTTGTTGGTTACGTCGGTAGAGGCCGTAAACACCTCGACGCCGGGGAAGCGCTTCTCAATGGAGGCCTTTGTGGCAAGCAGGGGCTGTTCTCTGCGGCCAAAGATGCCAATGCGGGCGGCACCAGCAGCGGCGAACTGAGCAGCTGTCTCGGCGCCAATTCCTGTGCCGCCACCTGTAATAGCAATGGTCTTACCCTTGGCAGAGAGCTCGGGGCGTGTTGGTGAGAGGGATGGGTAGGTGTTGTCGTGCCACTTTTGCGTTGGCGATGGGAAGGGAGCCTTGAGCATTGTAGTTTGGTTGATGGAGCCCATGATGACTGTGATGATTCGACTCTGGGAAAATACTAATCAATTGGATTTTTTTTCAGAGGGGTTGAATGGAAAGGAGGTTCTGTAGAAAGGACCGGCCATGATGTAGATTTATGGCGCTGGATCGGGCATAGGCCAGCCATAAGTCGATGCAGATGCAGATCTGCTCCGGTCGGAAGGCGCGATCATTGCGAGCAAAAGATACGCAAATTGATGGATGCACTGTAATTACTCCGTCCGGTGCCTACAGAAACCAAAACGGAAAAGGTTCTTTGGATGCGGCGATTAATGATGCAAGCTGTTGGTTCAGCTGCACCGGCTGGTGGACACCTGCCACACAGTGCCGTGACAGCTGTCACAGCTGTCACAACAGTGCGAACACTGTACCATCGCCAAGTTACACTTTGTTCCGTCCGACAACTCGGCGCTTTTGCAGCTGACAAACACCAAACACATTACAAATGCTCCGACTTGACAACCTTGCCTGCTACCTGCACTGCCAAAATACATGCCAACAGGCTGCTGCACGAAGCCGGAAATCAAAGAATGACGATGCAACAAGACACTGACAATTTGGAAATGGCCGCTGCTACTGCTGCTGCTGCTGCTACTGCAGGAGATCAGTCGCCTGTGCTGCGTTGCGGGCTCTGCAATAAGCCCTTTGCCAAGCGTAAGTCCACTAACCAAAGCATTCACACAAGGGAACCCTGCATTAGAGAACCCTAGACAGACAGGGACAGTGCATTAATTGACACATCTTGTTTTGCTTAGAATCCACGCTCAAGCGCCACGGCTACTATTGCAGGTCTCGACCAGGCGGCAGCGCCCCTCGTGCCAGATCGTGCGTCTTCTGCGTTAAAACCAAAGCACGATGCGACGGCGAGCGGCCGTCATGCTCGAGATGCATTAGCAGAGGCAAGAGCTGCGAGTACCCCGCAAACGCTGCCCGCGCTACTACTACGCAATTGGGGGCTCAGGCTCCGCGCACTACTAACGGCGTCTCCACCAAGCAAACAACGGCTGCTACTACTGCTTCTGCTGCAGATCCCTCTCCCCCAATGCCCAGTTTCATCACCATAGACAATGACACCAGCAGCCTCAACGACACTCTTCTCTACAATGCCTTTTTCCCGCTTGAATACGGAATCCAACAAGTCGATGTTGGCGCTGATGGCAGGGACGACGACGATTGGGACGGACACGGCTGGTCGAATTTTGTGCAATCGCAGATGCAGCAGGCTGCTTCCTTGACACCGAACACGTTGATTAACAGCGAACCTTCTCTATCCGATGAACCATTTACTACTATGCTGCAGCAAGCCATGTCTTCTCCCAAATCGCAGATCCCAAGAATGCCGACTTACACCATGCGCTCACTTTTCCACAGACCGCAGACGGACAGCGGCAACCAACGCATATCGCAACTCATGCTGCAGACACTCAAATCGTACCCGCTAATGATGCTGCGACAGAAGACGCCGCCGCCGTTTATCCATCTTCGACTCATGTTGTCTGATACTGGAAGCGACGACGCGGAGCCATGGCATAACTGCGTCAGCTTGATGCACATGCTTGACGGTGGCATCCAGGGCAGTCGAAAATTGTTCTGGAGAAACGTACGGACAGAGTGCGAACGCTTCTGTCAGGAGGTATATTGCTAGCTAACCTTGGACGATGGCGATGCGTGTGCTAACATGACGGTAATAGCATCTTACAATGAGCAAATGGGAACTGCTCGCTGGCATGCAAGCCCTCGCCATTTATGTTATTATGAGGTTGGATGAAGGCGCCAAGGACTACAACAATTTTGACATGCTCTTGCTCAAATCCGTCACGGTAAGCAGCTGCAGCACTGTGCCATGCCAAAAATGCAATCAACGCCCCTAACGAAATTCTAGGTCATAGCTACAAGCCTCATGTCCGTCGATACCACCTCCTGCCCCTCGTCGCCATCTGATAAATCAACTCTCGATGTGGTCTGGAAAAATTGGATTCTAGAGGAATCCAGGCGAAGGTATGCCTCCCACCCCACCCCCTCTTACTACTCCAACCTGACAATCGTCTTGGGTTGCTAAAGAAAGATGCTAACTTGACCCTCGCAGACTATGCGTTTTGTTTCAAATAGTCAACATGCTCATAGAATTTGAGCCTGCTGCCATGTGTGATAGCGACGGAGAAATTGTCCTGGCTCCGTTGCCGGCTCAAAAGCTGCTGTGGGAAGCGTCGGATGAAGTTTCGTGGAAAGTGACTGGCCAAACGGACTCCGAGGCGCTGACCGAGTTTGGGTTGGCGAGAAATGGGCATCTGGTAAAGTTGAAGCAGCAAGACAACGACAACTTCTACGGCATGTTGACGGGGTCAGATGGCCTGCCGCTGTCCAGAAGGACGGCAAAGTGGGATGACTGGTGCTCAGGGATGGATGGAATCGGCGGGCTTGTCATGCTTGCTGCGTCTCTTTTACAATAGTGCCACAGTAAGTTTTTCCATATTTCTGGCTAGGCGTTGGTAGCGTTTTATAGAGATTCAAAGACTGTATTGTATTATATCCGAGCTTGTCCATCATATCGGTTTCTATGTCATCCTTCTTAGCCTCTAACGGTTGGCCTGAACAAACACATACGTTGCATTCTAAGGAAAAGCAGTCATGGAAAGCTTGTCAAATTCGCCATTCACACCGACCAATACAAACTATAACACTACATTTACATGATGTTGCCATGTTTCTCTTTGTCACTATTCTACAATTTCCACTCGTCCGTGGACCCTATCAAACACGGCACAAGGCGCCATCGGGATTGTCAACAAACGACTCAGACCCAACGCAAGAGCGGCAATAGAAGACTCTCTTTGGATCGTACTTGTTCTTTACGGCTAAATGGCTCTTGTAGTTGGCGCCGTAAAAAGTCGCTTGGAACTCAGGGTCATTGACGTCTCCCTCGTTCATGTAGCCACCCGTGTTCGGCGCAAGCTTCTTGCCCGCGCCGCCCTTGACAAACGTCATGTCATGGTTGAGCGCCTGGCGGTCCGCATTGGAAATGGTCTTTTCCGGGTTCCGGAACGTGACAATAAGCAGCGGCGACGTGCGCCACGCCGGGTGCAGCCCCGAGTTTTTGTCCACCGCGTCCTTGAACACTTGGCCACCAGACACCACAAGGACCGAATTTCCGACATACTCTTCCGGCTTGCCGCTGATGACTTCGACGTACTCTCGAACGCCGGCCGCGTTTTCGAGAGCAGGACGGTCGAACAAGCGCGACGACATGGCCCAGGTGATGCCCGCAGGGTCGTATAGCCCCAGCTCCTTGTCGTAGAAGCTCCAGTAGTCTGTGTAGGACGCGTACTGGATATCAACAATAAGGTCATCTTCAAACTTGGCCAGCGCCTTTTGCAGAGGCGCAAAGGCAGCTTTGGCCTCGTCAAGAGACTTATCCATGATCCAGAAGTTATGGCGGTAGCCCGACGTGGCGTTGAAGTAAAGCACGGTCTTTGAGCTGCGGTACCAGTTGCCGTAGCCAGCGTACCCGGCGTTGTTGAGCTGCGGGATCGACTGCAGCACCACGGCGACAGCGTCAAGAAGCTGCGCGTTCTTGGGCGTCGTCTTCTTGGGCGCTATCGTCAGCCTGTTGACCTGGACGGTCTTTACGTTGGGATGCGCCTTGATAGTCGTGCCGAGAACGACACCGTAGCCGGGCCCGCCGCCACGCAGAGCACGGTACAAGTCGGTGTTTTCGCAGGCATTGGCCGTCACGACGCGGCCATCGGCAAGCATCACGTCCGCCTCGAGGATCTGGTCGGCGCCAAGCCCGTAGGTGCGCGTAGCCGGGCCGTGACCGCCACCTGACGGCCATCCGCCCGTCGCGCCGGGGGAGATGGAGCCACCCGAGACGACAACCACGTTGTTCTTCTTGGCGATGACATGGACATCGCGCCACTGCCAGGCACCGTCGATGCGGATGGCGTTGCCGGTCCAGTTGGCCTTGGCGGGCGTGCAGGCCGACGCCGAGACAAACTGCGGCTGGAAGGTGATGTTGTGGCGGTAGTAGCGCAGCCAGATCTCGAGGCTGCCGTAGCCGTCGGAGCGGCCGAGCATGTCGTGCCCGGTGCTCGCGACGGTGAGGCGGAGGTTGTTGCGTTGTGCAAAGGCGAGTGTATCAGCAATGTGGCGGCGAGTCGTCACGTTGACGGCGTATGTTGGGGACTGGCCCATGAGGCATCTCGTGGGGGACTGGCCTGCCTCAACCGGTGGGCAAGTAATGTTGTAGGGAAGAGGGCGGCCAATGGGATTTTCTGTCTGGAAGTCCTGGTCTGGCCACATCTTGTCGACGTAGGCGCACTCGGTGGGATTCTTGTGCGGGCCATCGTAGCAGGATTCCGCGATGGGATGGTTCTTGATCAGGCGGCCGCCAAGGCGGTCGTCGAAGGATTTCCACTGGGCATCTGAAGGCCAGCACTTGTCTCCGGGAACCTACATATGTACAGATGTTAGTGTTGGCAAAGAGAGAAGAGAAACAGTGAGAACTGGTATAGACTTACACATCGGCACTTGGCCAAAGCAGCATTATCCGCTCCATCAGCCACTTCTTGGCCTTGGACACCGGCGAACAAGAGGGCAATAGCCACAAGCGGAGTCTTGGGGAACATCATGGTGTATGAGACGCCAAGATAGATAGAAAGCAATGCAATGCAACTTCAGACGATAACGTGATGGAGCCGATTCTTGAGCAAATAGATTTGATTTTTTTTATATTACCTTCGTATTAAATGACCTTGGACACGAATTTTCAGCTTCGCAAATTGCTACTCAGGTCCCGAAAATGGTCATAGGTAGTGGTTGGCAATGCCCCGAAGGAAGCCAAAGAGCCGACATTCAGCATTGCAAACAGCTGGGAAGCACAAATCGCCGGTTTACACTAATTACATGCTCGTAAATATTCTAGTATAGCTGAAAACCCCGGTGCCTTTTCCTTTGTATAGTAACTCTCGGAGTTGATGATTTACTAGAGGCGGAATTATCCATGACGAGAACAGGTTGCATTTTTGGACTTGATACTTTGCAACCCAGTCATGGTAAACTATGTAGATAATCGAAACCAACCTTATGGGTAATTTTATCGATTGAAAACTCTGCACATAAGCTAGTAACGCCCAAAAATGTCGGGTAGCTTTGCCGCTGTAGAAATCGCCGACATCTAGGGTAGCGCGGTGCGTGGCTGTATATCTCCGACTTTTTTGCACCGGTTGCCATACTGAAGGGTTTCGACGTAATTTTACTATGATAAGAGAGCTACAAGGCTGGATACAGTTTTGGTTATGTTGAGTTACTTCGTAAGCACTCAAGTTGCATCACAATGCTCTCCCACCCTGCGCCTATCCTTTACGATATGCGAGGCCGTCGGCATATTCTGTCCTTTCCAAGTTCCTGCTGGCGAACTCAGCAACTTGGCATTTGAAATCCCGGCCGTAACAAATATGCGTAGTTTCAGCCGCGAATATCGGCCTTGTCGGGTACATAATAGGGTCTATATGTCGGTGACATACCAACAATAGGTGGCAAGCAAGCACACGAGCGGCGGATGAAACGCCGGCCCTCCGTAGGCTTGCACTGCCTGCTTGCAGGATTCGCAAGAATGTAGAGGGCGTTCTTGTAAAGTTGTGACCTGAAGTAGTAGTGCCGAGCATTAGCATCGCCGGTAACCAACCAGCGGCTGAACAGAGTAGATATCTGACCACCCGCTTGTTAATATACAGCTTTCATATTAAACTTGGAATGCATAGACTTTTGTCTTCTCAACGCTTTTGCTTCCACACTAGATTCTGCCATTTCCGCTAACAAGGAGGCTATTCAACACCACCGCATTATCGGGAGGCTCTTCAACACTACCACATTTATACGCCGCTCTCCAAAAGAAAAGAGATATTCTGTCAAGTATAGCCTTTATTTTCTTTTGGGTAGAAAGGAATATCATTCCTTCCACAGATACAGGTATAGGCAGACACGATGAAAAAACCGACACCTTCACCCTTAGAGCCTATTGCCATCGTGGGCAGCGGCTTGCGCTTCCCAGGCGGCGCCAACTCGCCATCTTCCTTGTGGAATCTGCTGCAGAAACCCCGTGATCTGCGTCAAGAGATTGGCCCAAACCGATTTAGCACAGAGGGCTTTTATCACCATGACGGCACCCGGCTGGGAAAGTCGAATGTCCGCCATTCGTACTTGTTGGATGAGGACGTGCGAGTGTTTGACGCGCCTTTCTTCAACATTAGCCCCAACGAGGCCGAGGCCATTGACCCCCAGCAGCGGATGCTTTTGGAAACTGTTTATGAAGCCCTCGAGGCTGGTGGGCATCCTCTTGAAAAGCTTCGCGGGTCGGATACTTCGGTCTATGTAGGAACTATGAGTAAGTAAACCCCCGTCGGTTTGATTCCAAGGCCAAGCTTGTCTGTCTGTTTGTCCTGAGCAGCGTAGTATTCAAAAAGAAATGCTTTTGTTTCGTTTCTATAAAGAATTGTTTGCTAATCTTTGCTTTCTCAGCTGTCGACTATCATGACACTCTTGTACGGGACCACAACACCATCCCCAAATACTTTGCCACGGGCATCAATAGAGCTATTATTTCCAACAGAGTGTCCTACTTTTTCGACTGGCATGGCCCCAGCATGACAATAGACACGGCGTGCTCGTCGAGCCTGATTGCTGTGCACCAGGGTGTCCAGTCGCTACGCAGCGGCGAGTCTCAGGTCTCCGTGGCGTGCGGCACGCAGGTGCTCCTCGGATACGACATGTACATTGGCGAAAGTAATCTGAAGATGCTCTCGCCCAACGGCCGCTCTCGCATGTGGGACGCCGACGCCGATGGCTACGCGCGAGGTGAGGGTGTGGCGGCGATTGTCATGAAGCGCCTCAGCGACGCCATTGCAGACGGCGACAATATCGAATGCATCATCCGTGAGACAGGCGCTAACCAGGACGGCTTCTCCAACGGCATCACCGTGCCCAGCTCGCAAGCCCAGGCCGCCCTCATTCGCCAGACGTACAACAAGGCCGGGCTGGATCCTGAGAAGAACGAGGAGGATCGCCCACAGTATTTTGAGGCTCACGGCACAGGTACTCAAGCGGGAGATCCAAGAGAGGCCGCAGCCATCTCCGAGTTATTTGGCCGACACAACAATGACAGTACGCCGCCTCTGTATGTGGGCTCTATCAAGACCATCATCGGTCACCTGGAGGGTGCTGCAGGCCTCGCAGGCTTGTTGAAAGCTTCGAGCAGTCTTCAGCAAGGCATGATTGCCCCTAACCTGTCCTTTGGGCGCTTGAACCCCAAGATTGAGCCATTCTACCACGGGCTGGAAGTGCCCACGAGTCTGAAGTCATGGCCGACGCTTCCAGAGGGCGTGCCTCGACGTGCCAGCGTTAACAGTTTTGGTATGTCTTTGTTCTCTATGCATTAATATTCAAGAAGCCTTTGAACAGAAAAAAAACTAATGTTACATTGCAGGTTTCGGAGGTGCCAACGCTCATGCTATCTTGGAGCAGTACATTGCTCCTCCTACTGCTACTACTACAAACTATAGCCAAGATACAACATTACCATGCTTTGTTCCGTTTGTCTTTTCAGCGCTTTCGGAAACATCTCTGGTTGCCCTGCTTAAGCGATATTCGCAATATCTCGCCAAAGACTCTCAAGATATCAACCTCTCTAGCTTGGCCTGGACTCTTCACTCGCGCAAGAGTCAGCTGTCTACTAGAGTTGCCTTCTCTGCTACTACCGCAGAGCAGCTGAAGGCCAAGATTGACAGCAACCTTGCCACTACCAAGCAAAGCAATGCGGCTCCCATTGGCACCCGCCACAGGGGCAAGTCAGCCGCCCCCAACGTCCTTGGTGTCTTCACCGGCCAAGGCGCACAGTGGCCAGCCATGGGAGCCGAGCTGATTCGATCTTCGAGCTTTGCTAGCCAGCGCATACAAGAGCTGGAAGACTCTCTGGCAGCGCTACCGCCTGCAGACCGCCCGACATGGAGCCTGCGAGAAGAGCTTCTAGCTGGCGCAGACACGTCTCGCCTCTCTGAAGCCGCGCTCTCGCAGCCCCTGTGCACCGCTGTGCAGATTGTCCTGGTTGATCTGCTAAAGACGGCTGGTGTCACATTTACAGCAGTCGTTGGCCACTCTTCTGGTGAAATTGCGGCTGCGTACGCCGCAGGCTTCCTTTCCGCTACGGATGCCGTCCGTGTAGCTTACTACCGCGGCCTGTATGCGCGCCTATCTGGCAACGCAAGCAACAATCAAAAGGGCGCCATGATGGCCGTCGGAGCATCGTGGGAGGAGGCGCAGGAACTCGTCTCTTCTCCCGCGTTCCAAGGACGCATCGCCATTGCTGCGCACAATTCGTCAGCCAGCGTGACGCTGTCGGGAGACGCAGATGCCATTGGCGAGTTGAAGCAGCTACTTGACGAACAGAAGAAGTTTGCTCGTCTGCTAAAAGTAGACACGGCATATCACTCTCACCATATGCTTAGCTGTGGTGATGCCTACGTTGCTGCGCTGCGACGCTGCGGCGTCCGTGTCAACAACCCTAACCCTGGCGCATGCAAGTGGTATTCCAGCGTGCGTCCCAGCGGGAAGCCAGTAGTGGCTGACGAGGAAGAGCTACAGGATGAGTACTGGCGTGACAATATGACGAGCGCCGTCTTGTTTGCAGATGCCGTCAAGAATGCCACATCGAGCCACGAGCAGCTCGACATCGCCCTCGAGGTTGGACCGCACCCTGCACTTAAAGGTCCGGCTACTCAGAACATAAGAGATGTTCGCCCAACACCGCTCCCCTATGCGGGATTGCTGAGTCGTGGAAGTAATGATGTTGAAGCGTTTGCAGAGGCGCTGGGATTCATTTGGACGCTGCTAGGAGCCAAGGCGTTAGATCTGGCCGCGTTTGGGAAAGCAGTCAGCAGCAGCGAGGCACAGCAGGATTGTAAGTTGATTGTTGGCCTACCGTCGTATCCATGGGACCATGAACGGGTTCACTGGGTGGAATCTCGTCGGTCCAAGAAAGTCAGAAGCATGAAGCAGGTTCCCCATGAGCTACTTGGTACGCTGTCTCCTGAGTCGAATGCCCTGGACATGCGATGGACCAACATCCTCCGAGCGTCGGAGATTTCATGGATGCAGCATCACCAGCTTCAGGGCATCACCGTGTTCCCAGCCGCGGGCTATGTTGCTATGGCTGTTGAAACCTGTCGCAGCCTTGCCAGGGATAAACAGGTGGAACTCTATGAGCTGCACAATCTTGCCATCCCTAGAGCTATTACGTTTGAAGAGGGAGACACGTCAGGCGTAGAGATCATGGTATCGCTTACAGGCATTAAGAATGATGAAGAACAAGACACTATTACAGCCAACGTCTCCATCTACTCTACTCCCATTGTCAACAACACCAAGTCGTCTAATCACGACATGGAGCTGGTGGCCAGCGCAAGCGTCAAGATACTGCTGGGCCAGCCTCACGTTGCTGCTCTTCCTGGTGTTGAAGCTGCTGCACCTCAAAACAATTTGACAGAGGTGGACTCGGACCGCGTCTATTCCATGTTTGCCGAGCTTGGGTACGGATACACTGGTCCGTTCCGGGGCCTATCTTCGACGCGGCGCAAGCTCGGCCATGCTGCTGCGCTGGTCGACGCATACGCTTATTCAAATGATGAGTCTACTTTCTATCTGGTGCATCCCAGCATGCTCGATGTCGCCATCCAGTCATCGATGCTGGCGTATGCGTCTCCCAACGACCAGCGTCTGTGGTCGCTGCATGTGCCGACCAAGATTGGCATGATTCGCGTCAATCCCGAGATATGCCATGCACTTTCGACTGGTGGCGCTACTGTGCCCATTTATACCACGCTCAGTAACGATGCAGACGACTTCTCTGCAAGCATTGACATCTTTGGCCAAGATGGCCAGCACGGCATGATTCAGGTGCAAGATTTGGTCTTGAAGCCATTTGCGCCGGCTACAGAGGGCGAAGACCGCTGGATGTATTCGTCTACTCACCTGGGCGTTGCTACCCCCGACGCTGCTGCCTTGGTGAAGAATGCAGTGCCAGCAGAGTCCGACGAGGTTCTGACAAGATGCCGAGCAGTGCTGGCAGGACTTGTCAAGCAAATCACGTATAGGTATCCGCATGCTAGGATTCTAGAGATTGACGCTGCTGCTGGCGGTGTTACTGACCTTATTCTTGACGCCGTATCTTCCCATGGTGGCACTGTGCCTGCGTACACGTACACGGGGCCATCCGCAGATACATTACAGACGGCAGAAGAGCAATTCAAAGCATACAGAGACAACCTGATATTCAAAGTGTTGGATCTGGAGCAAGACCTATCAACCCAAGGCTTCGAACGCCAGTCATATGACATTATTGTGGCATCCAATGCTCAGGATACAGCTCAAGCAACCATTCAAACAGCTTTGGAAGACATTAGAACCCTCGTTAAGCCGGGAGGCTATCTTGTCTTGCTTGCCCCGACGAACAGTCCATCCACTGACACTCCCAACACCATGTCACCCGTTGTATGGCACTCAAAGCTTCGACAAGCTGGTTTCAGTGGCATTGATACTATGGCTCCTCCTCCCAAGGCCAACAAGCCCTTTACCGTCATGGCTACTCAAGCAGTAGACGACCAAATCCGCTTCCTCCAGCGCCCACTGTCATCTCCTTGGTCTCACGTCCATATCGAAAGCCTCGTCATCCTTGGAACCGGAAGCCTCGAGAGCGTCCGCATTGCCGAGCAAGTTTCCGAGATGCTGCACCGCTTCTGTGGCAAAATCACCATCCTGGACACTCTTCCCACCGAAGAGGACGCGTCTACTCTGGACCCATCAAGCACCTTTGTGAACTTTGTGGATTTGGATGCGCCCATTTTCAAGGACATGACGCAGGACAAGATGCAGGGACTCAAGCAGGTCTTTGAGCTGGCCAGACATGTTCTCTGGCTCACGTGTGGCGCGCACGTTGGCCATGAGCCGTATCAAGCTGCCAGTCTTGCCTTTTGCCGCTCTCTAGCCCATGAAGTGACACATGCTAGTGTGGCCACGCTTGACGTCTTGGAGATGGATGATGGTCTCCCCAAGATTATCGCGGAGCAGCTTCTGCGCCAGTGCGCGCTCGACGAGTGGGACGGCGATGGCCAGCAGCGTTTGTGGTCCAAGGAGCCCGAGATGTGCCTGCGTGATGGCAAGCTTCATATTCTGCGCATTCTGCCCAACCTCGACAAGAATGCGAGACTGAATGCTGGTCGACGTGCCATTTCCAAGATTTTGCCGGCACTGGCATCGGACGTTTCCATTGTTTGTGACGCAGCTGATGCTTCCATGCCGTACCTTGTACAAGATGTTTTGCCTCCAACTGTACGCGGTGACAATAAGGAACTTGTCACGATGACATCCTCCAGCTTGGCAGCCATTGCTGTGGCGCCGGATACGGCCCTCTTTGTGGGCATTGGCAGCAGTACAGACGCAGAAGACACGCTGAGAGTTACTTTGTCACCCGCCAATTCTCGCACAACAGCTACTATCGCGTCTGTTGTAGTACCAAACAATATCACGAACAAGGATGCGTTCCTGGCCGCCGTCGTCAGCGAGCTACTGGCCACATCTACAGTGGAGGCATTGACACCGCGAAGCAGTCTCCTAGTCCACTGCACCACGAGAGACCGTTTCTTCGCTGAGGCCTTGTCTCGACGTGCTGCCAGCATGAATGTTTCTGTTACATTTTTCTGCACAGCTGCTGCTGAAGATCAAAAAGAACAGATTGCCGCTTTACCCTCGTGGATTATGCTGAGCCCGCGTGCCCCGAGATATATAATTCGGCGAAAGCTACAGCTAGTGAAGCCAACGCACTTTCTGGACATGACGCCAACATTACATGCACAAGAGGCAGCAGCAATATCTGGTGTCAGCCTGAATATTGTCCAGGTTCTACCCCAGGAGTGCAAGCTGATTCCATGTGGTCATCTCGCGCAGCCCCAGGCGTCACTTTCTCAATCCCTCGATCCAACAGCTATTTCGAAAAGGCTGCAGGATGCTGTCAGCTCCGCAACTGCGTCAACCATGGAATTGGCAATGGCACAAAGCCAAGGAAATGTTCTCCAGCTGGACCAAATTCATGAGCCGTCCGTGCCTCACCATGCAACAAGTGTCGTTCATTGGCCAGCAGCTGGAACTGTTGAAGTGCGCGTCCGTCCCATGACTGGCAAGATGCTCTTTGCCAAAGGCAAGACTTACATTCTCTTTGGTCTGAGTGGCCAAGTTGGCCAATCCCTGTGCGAGTGGATGGTGGCCAATGGTGCTGGATGCGTGTGCTTGACAAGTCGCCGTCCCAACGTCGACCAAGCGTGGCTCGATGGATTTCGTGGGCCAGCAGCCAGCGTCAAGGTCATGGCCGCAGACATTACAGACAAGCTAAGCTTGGAAAACGTCATTAGCACTATCCGAGAAACTTGCCCGCCCATTGCAGGTATTGTCAACGGCGCCAACGTGTTGAGTGATGCGCCGTTTAGCAGCATGTCGGTAGAAATGATGCGGCAAGCGCTGGGCCCGAAGATTGACGGGTCCCTACACTTGGACCAGGCGTTTTACAATGATGACCTCGACTTTTTCATCATGCTGTCTTCCATCTCATGTGTCATTGGCACCGCAGGCCAGTCCAACTATGTCGCCGCCAACGGCTTCATGAATGGTCTGGCAAGGCAAAGACGCCGACGCGGCCTGGCAGCCTCTGCCTTTGACATTGGTCTGATCTTGGGCATCGGCCTCGCTGAAATCGCGGGACAGGGCGTTGTCGACTCGCTGCAAAAGTATGGCATCACACCACTCTCCGAGCCTGATCTGCGCCTTGCATTTGCAGAGAGCATCTACACCGGCTACGCGAGGCCTGAAGACGATGCACATGCAAACGCGGTGCCGTCCGCCGTCATGACAACCGGCCTGCGCACCATTACTTCAGAAGAGACCAACATTGTTTGGTACAATGATCCGATATTTTCTCACCTCATTCTGGAGACCAAGGCTGCTGATGGCGCAGATCAAAGCAAGAGCAAGGCTGTTGTGCTGCCCATTAAGGAGCAGATTGCGAATGCCGCCACCGGAGACGATGCGTTCCTGGCGTTAAAAGGTATGTTTACAGCCACCCCTCAAGAGAGACAATAGAAAGAAAAAGGTTAAGGGCAATAAAAGACCAGATACTAACAACAAGTAAACAGAATCTTTTGCAGCCAAGCTCGGCATGCTCCTTCAGAGCGCGGGCCAGGCCATTGCGCACGACACGCCGCTCGTGGAACTTGGCGTCGACTCTCTTGTCGCAGTCGAAGTGCGTTCCTGGTTCCTCAAGGCTCTGAAAGTCGACGTGCCCGTTTTGAAAGTCGTCGGCGGCTCGTCTCTGCACGACATTTGCCAACTCGCCATGAAGAAGCTGCCTGAGGACCTGCTTGCCCAGATAGGAAATGCCCAATCGGGAAATGCCTCTTTGGGAAGGGGCCCGAGCGTTCCCCGGATTTCGGCCCCCACGCCGAACAAGCTGACGGCAAATCCCACTGGTACGGCCCTGCCTCCTCGCCAGACGCAGCGGGAGAGTCGTTCGTCGTCTGGTTCTAGCTCCAGCTCTTCATCCACATCTGCCAAGTCGAGCGCAGGCATCCAGACTCCAACTTCGCCCGTGGAAACGCCTGCTGAAACGCCCGCGTCAACAGTCAAGGGCGTGTCTCTGCAATCGCATGCACACCTGAAAACAAACAAGTCTAGCGCCCCCCTGGCCAATGTCACATCGTCTAGAGCATTTGTTAAAACGGAACCCATCTCCGTGGGACAGGCGCGCTTCTGGTTCCTACGCCTCTTGGTCGAGGATCCCACCACGTTCAACGTAGCCCTACGCTTCCGCATGCAAGGCACGGTGCGCGTCGGCGATCTCGAGCGAGCCCTCCGCCTTGTCACTGCAAGACATGACTCGCTGCGCACCTGTTTTGTCGGAGACGTTGACGAGGCCGATCAAGCTACTCAGAGGGTCCTGGCTCGCTCCCAGATTAAGCTGGAGCGCGTCTCTGTCAGCTCAGAGCAAGAAGCGGTGACGCAGTATGAAAAGCTGCTGGCGCACGAATTTGACTTGGCTATTGGCCCTCTGCTGCGCCTTGTGCTCGTTACACAATCTCCAACCTGCCACTACCTGTTGGTCAACTATCACCACATCATCATGGACATGGCCAGTTTTCAGGTCTTGACATCGGAACTCGAAAATGCCTACAACGGCCAGCCTCTGGGTCCGCCACCGCGACAGTACCCCGACTTTTCGGCAGCGCAGCACCGGGCCCTGGAAAGCGGAGTCTTGGACGATGAACTCAAGTTCTGGCAGGGTGTCTTCCCTGCTGGCCAGCAGCCGCCCGTGTTGTCGCTGCTTCCCATGGCTCGATCAAGTTCTCGAGTGGCACTCACAAACTACGGCATTCACCAGGTAGGCATCCGACTTGATCCCGCTGTGGTAGCTCGCGTCAAGGCTGTATCAAAGGCGCAGCGAGCAACACCTTTCCACTTTTACTTGGCTGCGTTCAAAGCAATGCTTTTCTCCTTCGTAGAGGACCGGGAGCTCACCATTGGCATTGCCGATGCCAACCGTCACGACAGCGATGTCCTGGGCAGCATTGGTTTCTTCCTCAACTTGCTCACCCTTCGCTTCCGCCGCCAACCGCAGCAAGTCTTTAGTGATGCCATTGTAGAAGCACAAAAGACTGCATATGCAGCACTAGAGCATTCGCGCTTACCGTTTGATGTTCTCTTGAAAGAACTTGGTGTTGCACGGTCGCCGGCGTACAGCCCATTTTTCCAGACATTCTTTGATTATCGACAGCAGACTAGCGACAAGGAGCGCTGGCTCAATTGTTCATTTGACCTGGTTTTTTTTTTCTTTTTTATTACGGCATACGATATTTCTCTCGACGTGGCGGACCTCGGATCCCAAGTCCACGTTACGCTCCGCGCGCAGCAGCAGCTCTACGACTTGACTGCTGTCAACTTGCTCCTGGAGACGTATACGCACTTTGTCACAACTCTTTCCCAAGACGTGTCCCTAACCTTAGAGGCCACGCCACCATTCAGCGAGAAGCAGCTGGCGCGCGCCGTGCAAGTGGGCGTTGGCCCTGACATGACGTCGAGCTGGCCAGCCACTCTGCCTCATCGTATTGACCAAGTCGCGCATCAGAACCCTGACGAGATTGCACTGGCCGATGGACTTGGCAGCCGACTAACGTACAGGGCAATGATACAGCGGATCGAGGCCATCGCCGAAGCACTGCTGCAGCGTACGAAGAAAGAAGCAGGAGCCGTAGCAGGTCCTGGCTCTCGCGTGCTCGTCTTCCAGCAAGCGTCCACGGACTGGATCTGCTCTTTGCTCGCTATTATGCGCATCGGATGGGTCTATGTGCCGCTTGACCTGCGCAACCCCATCTCCCGCCTCGCTGCCCAGTCTCACCACTGCCAGCCCGTTGCTGTTCTTGCGGATACCACAACGGCGACTGACGCACCGCAGCTTCATGCTTCTTCTGTTGTTATTGACGTGTCCCGAGTAGGTACAAACCCCACTACTCCCGTTGCGAACACGGCCGATCCCGATTCGCCCGCGGCTATTCTGTACACGAGCGGCTCTACAGGCACACCCAAGGGTATCATGATTCGACACGCGGGCATGCAGAACCAAATGGAGGGCTACACCAAGACGTACAAGCTTGGTGCCGAACGTGTCCTACAGCAGAGTGCCTTTACCTTTGACTTTTCCATCGACCAAATCTTTACAGCACTTGTCAATGGCGGTATGCTCTACATTGTTCCCTCAAGCAAGCGTGGTGATCCGCTCTCCATTACGGAAATCATGCGCGAACAGGCCATCACGTACACCAAGGTCACGCCCTCGGAGTACTCTATGTGGATGCAGTATGGCAGCGATAATCTCCGCCACGCGTCTGACTGGCGGTTTGCCTTTGGCGGTGGTGAGCCTCTTACGCACAACATCTTGAGGCAGTTTGCGGATCTTGGGCTGCCCAACCTCGCCCTACACAACTCGTACGGACCTGCTGAGATTTCCATTGCCTCACATAAAGGCTTAGTGGATTACATGGCTATTACCACTGGTAGCAGTAGCAATACCTCTCGAGACAGCGGGCAAGTCCCGTGTGGCACTTCGCTGCCCAACTATGCCACGTATATCATGGACAAGGACTTAAACCCGCTACCTGCTGGCATGCCTGGCGAGGTTGTTATTGGTGGTCCTGGCGTGTCCTTGGGGTATCTAGCGAACAAGGACCTCACACAGCGGGTCTACGTCCCCAATCCACACGCCACGCCTAGACAGCGTGCCAACGGCTGGACACAAATGCATCGTACAGGCGACGTGGGACGCCTGCAAGACGATGGAACGTTGATTTTCCACAACCGCATTGCTGGTGATACGCAAGTCAAACTGCGCGGACTTCGAATCGATCTACAGGACATAGAAAGCAACATCATCGCGACAGCAGGCGGCGTTCTTAAGGAGGCAGTTGTGACACTGCGGGACGGTGACCCTGATTACCTTGTTGTGCACGTCGTCTTTGCGTCACAGCACAACAAGACAATGACTGAGAACCAGCAGCACACATTCTTGGAGCATTTACTAGGCCGCCTTCCTATCCCCCAGTACATGATTCCCGTGCTGGCTGTACCTCTGGACAAGCTGCCGCTCAGTAGCCACTCCAAGGTGGACCGTAAAGCCATTAAGAACTTGGACTTGCCTGCTAGACTTGTCAACGATACTGCAGACAAGGACAACGATAACGCCTATGACGGGGAGGAACTGCGCGAAACAATGAACCGCCTGAGGCAGCTATGGCACGAGGTTCTCCCCAACATCGAGAAGCTCGGGCTTGCCGTGACGCCCGCCACAAGCTTCTTTCTCATCGGCGGCAACTCGCTGCTGATTGTGCGTCTACAGGCCAAGATCCGCCGCGTCTTCAACGTTGTAGTTCGTCTCGCTGACCTGCTTGGCGCGCACACCTTGCGCGGCATGGCACACAAGATTGAGGAGAGCTCCGGTGTCGACATGATTGACTGGTCTCTCGAGACTATGCCGCCGCTCATGCCCAGGTTCCTCAAAGACTTGCCTCCCAAGCAAGAGTCGCAAGCCAAGACGGTGCTGCTCACAGGAGCCACGGGCAACATGGCCAAGCACGTGCTGCCGCTTCTGCTTGCCGACGACCGCGTCTGCAAAGTGCACTGCGTTGTGCGCGACAAGCCCGAGCGCGGAGAACATTTTATTCATCCTAAGGTGGTTCATCACTTTGGCGACTTGACGCTGCATATTCTTGGTCTGGGCGTGGATGAGTTCCGCGACCTCGCCGAGCACGTGGATGTTATTTTGCACATGGGCGCTGTCCGCTCGTTCTGGGACAACTATCATATGCTCCGCACTGCCAACGTCCACCCAGCCAAAGAGCTGGTCAAGTTGGCTGCGGCAAGAAAGATCCCTATCCACTTCATCTCGACGTCTGGTGTTCTCCCGCGAGACGTTCTGAAGACGGGCGAAGCATCGTCGGCTGCTACGTACGAGCCTAGCGTCGACGGATCCAACGGCTATATTGCATCCAAATGGGCGAGCGAGGCTCTTTTGGAACATGCTGCCGCGGGGCCTCTGGCCGTGCCCTCTTACATCTACCGCATGCTCCCGGCCGTGGCACAGACACAGGGACAGACGGATGGCGCGAAGCGACGCGTTATCGACGAGTTTCTTCGCTGCATTGACCTTGCCAAGGCCGCGCCGGACACCACTGGATGGAAAGGCCGCATCGACTTGATCCCTGCCAATTTGGTAGCGGAATGGCTATGCGGCTCTGTTCTTGCGTCTGTATCGGAATCTAATGCTGGCAAGGACGCTACAGCGCAGTTCTTGCACTATGAGAGTCCTATCTCGGTGGACGTGGAAGAGTTGACAGCGCTTATAGAGCAAAGGAAGTCGGATGCTTCTCTCGAAAGGCTGCCGATTCTTAAATGGATGGGCCGAATCAAGGCCCTTGGCTTCTCCTACATCCTAGCATCACAGGATGCAACTGTCGAGAGCGAGACAGGGGATACCAAGCTCGCATCACGAAGATGAAGACGAAGAGTATATTTAAAAACGAAAGAGTGAAAGAGCTAAGGGGGGTACTATATTAGATTGTTCATATTTGGTTTTGGATTTAATGATGTACAAGAATATTTCTTTTCAATAAATTATCCCGTTTAGGCGATAAGTTCATGATTTATACTACTAAGAAGCGTTAGAAGTAGAACTCTCTAAGCTTCAGTTTCGACTACCGACGACGTAATTCCACTACCTTAGCTATTTATAAATTCACTATTCATATTTATATTCTACGCATAATTAATTAATTATTATTGAGCTACGCCCGGCTTCCTGGCGGTGTGATTGTTGCTTGTTTGAGCTCTAGGGTAGTGTGCACTGGTTCACGCGTACTGGGTATTAGACATAGCTTGCTATTTATTAAGCTTTTCTTATTAAATCCTCACTTAAAATAAAGCGATTTGTACTACAATATAAAATACATAGCGTAAATTTAGTTCATTATATATAGGGCGAGGGGGGTACCCATCACTTAGCAAACGTATTCCGCATATTAAAATTTATAGTAGCGTATAAGACCATAGATCATACTAGGTGGAATGATCTCTTGCTATGGCAATTCGATTCCGTTTACGAGGACTTTCCTTTCTCCCGGGTATTACAGGGGCCATGGTTGTCGTAATAGTTGCATCATTAAACCAACAATCCGATTTGTGACGCGTCCGCTCCCCACGTCTCATGTACTCTATTATCTTGCCCTGAGTGGGTGCAAAATGAATGTTAATACTGTACTGAAGAAGAAGGGTCCCCGGACTGCAACAAGATCACCGATCCTAGCTTGCGCAGCGAATGACGGTGTGGTGTTTCACCAACTTTTCAGCTGCAGCCGTCGATCAGCGGCGCAGCGACCCAATAAGGAAACAAGCCGAGGCAGATCTCACTAACCCCATCGTTTAGACTTGCTCAGCCACGGCATCAGCGCCCTACACGTCTTGAATCTACTCAGTGCCGGGCGGGAATATCACTACACTATACTCACCGCTAAACGAACCCGCCGCTATGATCTCGACATCAAATGACGCCAAGAACGGAACGAGCTGCCGCTAAGAGCTGCCGTTACAAGCTGTGCAAAGATGTGTCTCTTTGTTCCATAGATATATCAACAAGGTTGTATCCGAGCACAGATAGTTGTTTTGCCCGATATACCTTGCTGCTCCTCTACTTCATCTAAACCGCAACCACTAGGTTCAACACCTATCGATGCGATTACTGAGTGTTTCACAGTCTGGCACGTGTGCATCTTGGTCGACAGATCTGATCCACATCACGCATCTGCGCCAAGATACAGACCAGATCATCGGCCTCCAAGCTTAAATCTTTGGGTTCCCTTGCTATAGCATCTTACACGCTATACCATGACCGACTTGTCCCCTCTAACGGGCGAACCGAAGGTCCATAGGCAGATACGCCAGTCCTGCGACCGCTGCCACAGCCAAAAGGTCCGCTGTACTCGTTCAGACAACTGTAAGACAGGCGACTGCGACCGTTGTCTTCGCAAGGGCTCGCAGTGCGTCTACAGCTCGTCTCTACCCAAAGGTCGTCCTTCACTCTACCGGTTACCTGTCATGCCCTCAACGGCTTCATCCGATACCTCCATACAACCATACCCCCGCGACCAGCAGCTCCCGGACTCGTTGGAAAGCCCTCCTGTCGTTTTCCTTGGCGAGGCTGACGCCGAAAGTACTATCGATATCGAAATGGGCACGTATGACGATACCTTTGATACCATGTGCCCAGTAGGCAACATTGCCGATTTCTACGCCAATTGGTGGGAGCAAGATCATTTGAGCGACAATATACCATCAAGCACGGCTCGCGTGCCCTTTCACCTCGATCCAGCTCTAGAGACTTTGCTGCCTCCATCTAGTCAGAGTAGCTCAGGGAATCATCGATCTAGCCTCTCAAGTGGCGTCTCAACAGGGACAAGTAGCGCCACCAGCGTTGGGGGCTCTAAGCTCCTCGACTGCAACCGAAGCCGTCAAAGCAGCAAAAGCAGTCGAAGCAGCCGTACAGATAAAATTAGTTGCGACAATCTTATGGCTAATCTATCAGAGTTAAGCATACGCTCGTCACAGCTGCTATGCTTTTCGCGTACGTTTCTCGTCGAGGCTCTCGATCCGTCGCATTCAGCCAAGAGCCAGAACCCTTCTATACGAGTACAGCAGAGCATTGCAGTAGTATTCAAGTCTATAAACTCATGGTTGATTCATGGATCTGCCAAGACAGATATTACGGATAGCACATCGCGCCTCAACTTGTGCGCTGCAAACTCTCCCGAGCTGCTACAGCACATCTTCTCAGCCTCTAATCACTTGATAGAGATACTTTGTCAATTACGTTCTACCGCAGAACAGGAGTCTACGTCAATTTCTGTCACTGGAGCCTTTCCTAGCTCTAGACTTGGCCAAGCTGGATCACGCGCCAATAGGTCCGAGACAACTACGCCGAATGTTGCCCAGGACTATTCCATCGTCCTCCACCTTGCTCTTGTTTGCGCGACATTACTATTGAATAAGTACATGGCAGTTCTAACAGCATTTCAACGCAGTGCGTATATTCTTCACGCCGCTCTACCTGGTGGTGCGTCAGAGAGCATTGTTGAGCCCAAAGAGCACATGGATGCCGCTTCGCGAGCGCATATGCAGCTGGTATCTGTGGTGCAGCTGTGCTCATACTACATTGGCCGTCAGAATCAAGCATTGGGAGCCATGATGGCAATCTGCAGGGACAACGACTCGCATCGTACGCCAATGTCGCAAGAGGATGATCCCTGGCAGTCAGTCTCCTTTAGTGCTATACGCGAGCTGAAGTCAGAGGTGGAGCAACATTTGAAACAGCTTCAGCAGTGTTTGCAAATACCGTTTTAATAATCTGCGTTTGGATTTTGGATTCGTTTAGTTTAGTTTAGTTTTACTTTTGGTTGCTTGCGTATCGCTATAGAATAGAGGGTGCTGAAAAGCCAATAGAATTACGACGATTACTTACGACGGAAGGGAATCCACGAAAAGCTTAATGCCCATAGTTAAGATAGCCCTTCTTATTATTATTTTTGGGTGTATTCTAGTAAACAATTGTCGCCGCCGTCCAGGGCCGGAAACATCACGAACAGAAAACGGAGCGTAGCGTACTCAAGCTTCACACCCTGCTGCAGGCCATTATTGCGCCATCGAGTGTTCTATGCGTGTTGTGATGGGTAACTGCACGACAGTTTTAGCTTACTTTTCGTAGCGATGGCGTTATGCGAGGGCGCTATGCGAGGGCGCTATGCGAGGGCGCTATGCGAGGGCGCTTTTATCATTCCCTGTCAACCTCATGTTCGGGGATAGACGGGTCGAAGCCAGGATACAGAGTAAGCGTATTTATGTTGAATAGAGTACGATGGGGGCTGGATATGTCAGGCGTGACTGATTTCTAAGCCATACTGTGGGAGATCTGGAGATGCGGCCCAACGGGCGGAGGAATTACATCAGAGGCACAATGTTTGCCTGACATAGATCCATCTACGTGTACTTACATGTGCCGCAATCTTTGTCGGCGATTAATCGCACCTGAGTGAACCCCCCGAAGAGTGTAGGACCCCGCAAACTTCCAAGATGTACACTAGTTATACACGTTACTACTGCAGCTCCGGCAGGCAACGCTTCGTAGTCTGGCATCTGATCGTAGAGTGACCCCCCAGCTAGTGCAGTTTTAAGTAATTTACGAGTACTTCACAAGTACCATGCGCCGTCTTCGCGGAAGTCCGTGGCGGCCTTGATCGACTGCCACATCTCATCATCCCTGCGGCAATCGCTCAGCTAGCAGGTGGAGCTCGCGGTGCTTGCTCTACCCGGGGTTCAGCTACTGCTGAATGCTAGCTAGTGCTACTCTTTGAACCATCTTCGAATTTCACCGAACTCCCGTGCCGTCCGTTGACTTCGCAAGAACCCACCAAAATCGCCGATCATGCAAGAAGACATGTAGTTACATTGTAACTAGAAGCGCATCTAGAGCTGGAAGCACGGCCCGTAAAACCATGCAAAGGTTGGCTTAGCTCTCTCTTGTGCTTGTTAGCGACATGTTATAGTCCCTGGCTAAAACCGCAGAATACGCTGCATGCTCCCAGCATCTAGACCGCAGCGGCAAATTCAATCTACTTACACTGTCACATCAGGATTCGTACCATCCGAAGGAATAATTGGTGGAAGAATTATAGCACTTTGCCAAACTTAACAACCACTCCCATCATGGAATCAGTAACGGCGAAATGCATGCTGATTGTGCTGGGTGCCCTGGCCCTTCGGCGATGGTTTCGACGGAGGGCTCTTGGAAGGCTTCCCCCAGGGCCGGCAGGATACCCAATTGTTGGCAACGCCTACGACCTTCCCCCAAAAGGGATACCGGAATTTCAACATTGGCAAAAGCACAGGGAATCATATGGCCCAATTAGCTCTGTCTCCGTTATGGGTCTAACGATCATCCTCATCCATGACAGAGAAGTGGCTCACGAGCTCATGGGAAAACAGTCTCTAAAAACAGCGGGAAGGCCCCAAACAGAGTTTGGCACAGGCATGTGTGGCTTTGGAGAGCTGCTGCCCATCCAGCAGTACAACCATGACTTTCGACTGGCGCGCAAGTTGATGCAGCAGCAGCTGGGAACAAAAGGCGTGGTGAGCCAATTTGACGAGCTTCAGACAAGCGAGGTGCGCAAGTTTCTTGGTCGAGTCGCAAAGGATCCAGAGACGATATTTGAAGAGTTTGAAACGTAAGTCTTGTCCACCGCCTTCCCTTAGCCAAGCGCGGACATCTTTAGTTGCCCCATGGGGTTGATCGGTTGAATTAACTATGGCTGATTGACCTTTTTGCAGTCTCATCGCAGCTACTGTGCTCAAGATGACCTATGGCTACTCCATGACGCCCTCTAAGACTGATCCGCTGGTAGAGCTTGCAAGACGCATGATAGCCAACATGGACCGATCCCTTCAGCCGGGAGCGTGGCCGGTGGATATGATGCCCATCCTCAAATACCTGCCTGAATGGTTTCCCGGCGCCGGATTCAAGCAAACTGCGGTGCAGTGGAAAGCGTTGAAAGAGGAGACACTAAACATCCCTTACTCGTTTGTTCGGCAGCTCATGTCCAAGGGTGACTACTATCCATCGTACGTATCCAAACTGGTTCAACAATGCAGCGACGGCAAATTTGGATCGAAACTTGGCGACAGCGACGAAAATGCAATCAAATCATCGGCAGCAGTCATGTTCCTGGGCGCCAGCGATACCGTCCCATCCAGCCTCCGGAGCTTTGTGAACGCCATGATCATGTTCCCAGAAGTGCAACACAAGGCACAAGCCGAACTCGACCGTGTCGTTGGCAAGGGTCGGCTTCCTCAGTTTGAGGACCGGGACCAGCTTCCGTATATTGACGCCCTAGTGAAGGAAGTCCATCGATGGTCGCCCGTTGCACCCATGGGCCTTCCCCACACTGCGGTAGTTGATATTTACTGGAACGGTTACCGCATTCCACAAGGATCGTTTGTGATGCCATCGATATGGTGGTTTTGCCATGACCCCGACGTGTATACGGATCCCGATGCATTCTGCCCAGACCGCTTCATGGAGCCGCGAAACGAGCCTGACCCCAAGACGGTTGTCTTTGGTTACGGCCGCAGACTATGCCCCGGCCGGCATTTTGCTGATTCGAGCATGTTCCTTGTTATTGTACAAATGCTTGCTGTCTTTAACATTGGAAAAAAGGGCGACGAGAATACTGCCGCTGGCGACTGTGCTACAGGAAATGAGATTCGTGTTGACCATGGCTCTGGAGCCATCAACATTAACCATCTCGTTGGGTGCAAAGTGGACATTACGTTGAGAGACGCAAAGGCCGAGGATCTTTTGATTGATATGAATAATGCCGATAATAAGGAAGAGGAGGACCATTCTAGGCTGCTCGCGAGTGCCATCAACGCAATGCACAACTGAATGAAAGAACTATACGTATTGAGTATTCACCAAGCAACTTTGGGTTTAATTCTTGCCTATTATCCGTGTTGTTCTTCTGCGTATAGTTGAGGCACGAATACGGCTGCTCGGTCCACATCGTATTTACTACCAAAACTTGTCGCCGACAAATATCGCCGACGTTGGCGCTGAAAATGTGAGAATATCGGCCCCTTTCATTCAGCGCCATTGCATAGGTAAATAAAACCAAATAGGGCCGTAGAGAGGCGTAAGACGAAATACAAATAAATACGATGAATTCCTAGAGCGCCCTGAATATGACCCCATGACAGGCACCACTTCCACTTGCTTCCATTCTCTACCCACAACTCGCAGGCATTCACCATGAAGTCTCCAGCATCATCACTATTGCTTCTTCTTGCTACTACGGGTGCAGCCAAATGCGGCCCTGCAGACCCCGCGACACCCAAATTGACTCATCTGCTAACTGCAAAAGTCACTGCTTCGGAAGGAGTACCAATTGGTGACTCTATTATCGGGAACCGCACTGCGTTCCCTATTACTGGCGGAACCTTTACTGGCCTGATTAGTGGCAAGCTACTACCTGTAGGCGCCGACTTCAGCATAATTCGGCCCAACGGCAAGTTTAGCCCCGACGGTATCGCCGTGCTGCAGACGGACGACGGCGCCAATATTTTATTCCGGGACCAAGGCTACGAGTCCAAAGATGGGTACATTTACGGAGCTGTGACCTTTGAGACGGGCGCAGAAAAGTACCAGTGGCTCAATTACGTGGTCGCTGTTAGCAGCGCCAAGGTGTCGACTGGTGCCAGTGGTGCCGATGTAGGCCTGGAAATCTACTTTGTAAGTTGTATATCCACGGAAAATGGCGAATGTGAAAATGAATTGAAGGCTAACATGAGGATAGCTTGGTCCCGCGGGTCCCTAAATTGCTGCGATATAATACACTCTTGATCGGGGCTCAAGGTTCACCAGATGGATAGAGGAGCTATGCTTATAGACAGTAAAGATGAAGTAGAAGACGATGATGTTGATAGTAGACTAAGAATTCGTATAACTTTAGTAAATGGACTTGACAGATATTGACCCTATCATTGATGTCTGCCTTTTCTAATAGCTCTTTTGTTACTCTTAAGATAATGAAGAAATAAAGTTGACAAGATATCAAACACGTTCTTGAAAAACTCAAAACAAAATGACACGCAGCTGATAGCCGACATGGCTACGTACCTAACAACAACAGCTTTCTATTGCTTGTAGACCAAAAATCAGGAAAATTCGCTCGTGGGTCTCAAACCCAAACCGCTCTTTGCATAGGCCATATCCACCATTCTCATTTGTTTGACCGAGTCTTGCCCATCGATCCAGTAGTTTGTCGGCCGCCCCTTGATACGATTCACAAACTCCTCCAGCTGGTAGCGGTACGACATCCACCAGTCCTCACCTGGAATGTCCGCCAGCTTGTTGCCGGCGTCCTCCTGGAAGCTGTAGGCCTTGTGGCTTGCCTTTTCTGTCCACTTCTTAATCGGCTGACCGTCAGCCTTGTTGCGGATAACAAACAAGTCCTCGACATCGATGCGATGCCACAAAACGGCGTGCATGTAGCCGTGAAGAGTCACCTTGCGCGTCTTGACCTTTTCTTGCGTATCCGGCAGGGATGCATCAGGAACCACGACGTCCTTGTGCGTGACTCGAGCCTCAGATGGCTTCCACAAGATAGGTCCTTGGAGGGTCGCCGTAGCCTCAGCGATTCCGCCATTGGGGAACCGGAACGTGGACTTGAAGTGATAGTCGCACTTATCGTGGACGCCATCCGCCCAAACGGTGGGATCGCAAGAGAGACACTCTTCAGGCTCGTCGTCAAAAATCATGCGCAGCATGGCAAAGTTGTACGTGCCGAGAGCCATGATGCTGCCACCGCCAAGCTTGTAATTGAACTCGATTCTGTCCTTGTTGATAAAAAGCCATGGGACCATGACATCGGTGTAGACATGCACAACGTCGCCGGGGGTAATAAACGATAGGAATTTGTGCACAGCAGGATGAAAGCGGCTGTGGCAGGCTTCCAGTAAAACAGGCGCATTGGGTTGTGAGAGCTCCGGCATGTTGAACAGTTTTGCAGCCTCTTCCTCATTGTTGACAGACGGCTTCTCTAACAGGACATGCTTGCCGGCTCGGATGGCGCGAACGGCCCATTCGTAATGCAGGCCATTGGGCAAGGGAATCAAGACTGCATCAATGTTTGCATCTTGGAGGATTTCTAGGGTTGGGGTTAGTATCGAGACAATCGTTGTAAAAGCGCAAACCGTCGAACAAACCTTCATACGTGTCCCTTACATCTGAGATTCCATGTTTCTTGGCGAATGCCTCTGCGCGAGCACGATCTCTGGCTGAAATTGCCTGGACTACGACTTCGGCGTGCGAGACGGCGGGCGTGATGATCGTCATGGGCCTACAAAGGAGGCGAAGTTAGTATATGGGGCGTGGTGGCCAACGTTTCAAATGCAAGCCTGCATAGCTAGTCTCGAGTACCCCGCGGTACAGTGACATTCAGCCGCCTTCCAACTTACGCAATAGTAGCAGCGCCCAAAATGCCGAAGCGGATGGGCTTGTCGTGCTTTTCGGCCGAGGGCGGGTCGAACGCCTTGTACACTCTGCTGAGAAGAGAAATCATTGTTCGCAAAACCAAAAGTTGTTGAAGTTTTGGGTTTGATTTGCGCTGGTCCCTTTTCCGTTTCTTTCTCGTTTTTTTTCAAGTTTTTATTCCAAACAATAAAAAAGCAACGTTGCTTTGCTGGTGTCTTGATCCCCTCGTTCACGGCTAGCGTAGAGGCGTAGGATAAAATGAACAAAAAACAGAGCTAATTACACCGTACAGAGCCCGAAGCGGGGATCCTGCAGAATTTAGTATGTGAAAGCATCTTGACGGTAGTGGCTGTCCAATGCCGGCGAGGCGCTGTCGGCGTCGATAGCGGCACTCACAACACCGGCGTCGTTGGCTTAGTAGGGGGCGAAACGGAACGGAACGCGTGGGCTCCAGATCCAAGCATTGTTCAAGCCAACCAGGCCCTGGAGAAATCGCCGGCTGTGGCTTGATGGCGACAGAACTCGTTTCTCGTTTCCTCGTTGCGAATCCGGGCTAAGGCGGGCAATCTGCGCATGGAGCGTTTCAGCCGCAGAAAATAAATGTAAAGCTGAGGTCCCAGCCCTGCTTTTAGTTATGCAAGGCCATGACAAGAAAGGATTCTCCATGTTGGAGGGGCGTGCGTGTAAGGCGCGACCACGATAAGTACTGCATATATGCATATCAGAGGGCGTACAACGTATACGAGACGAGAGAAACGCTCGAGGCGTACGCAGTTGTCCTTCGCTGCGTGGGGTCTAACTTTTTGCATCGCCTACTTGTCATTCAGCCGTAGAGGAGTCGTTTCTTAGCGCCATGGGGTGGCCTGCTGAATACCCAGCATCCAGGCATGCATAGTTGAAATACGCAGCATTAAGGCGTGCAGAGTTGAAATACAAAGCGGTTTACCTTGGTCTACGGTGCCTTTTTTCCCACGATCAACTTCACGACTTGTTGCTGTTCAACCAACTGGCTTTTGCACAACCAAATCACCGCTTCAACGCGCGTATAAGCCAGCCACTGATTCTCTGAGGGTGGTATTGTCAATGCGATCTTGATTGTTCCCGCGCAAACTCTGGTCCAAGTTGTGGTGCGTGTGGTATTGCAGGATACATCTTTCATCGATCGTTGCCAGCATACACATACACATGCATACCCAGATTTACTGCCTCTCATATACAAATCCATCCCTAAACATCATCCTCTAACTCCCAAAGAACCACCACTACTACCGCCACCCACCGCCACCATCACCAATACGCCATGGCTGGTACATCAACCGACGCCAGCGACTCAACCACGCAGCGACCCAAGCGCCAGTCTTGCGATCGCTGCCACAGCCAAAAGGTCCGCTGTACTCGTTCAGGAAGCCGAAAGACAGGGAACTGCGACCGCTGCCTTCGCAAGGGCTCTAAATGTATCTACAGCTCATGTTTACCCAAAGGCCGCCCCGCGCTCTACCGCGCAAGCGACGCACCCGCCACTGCTTCTTCGCCTAACACATCCACGGCCAAGCTGCCAGATCCTCTCGACTGGCAACCCGGCGATGGTACGTCAGGCTCTCCTGGTGATGCAGACGGCGAGATTGACGTTGATGTGGACATGGACATGCAAAGCGATGCGTTTGCTATTCCACCGTACCCTATGGGCAGCATGGCCGACTTATACCGCACCTGGTGGCCAGAGTATCACTTTGGGGATGGTCTGCCACCCATCATGCCGCCTGTCATGCCGCCCTCAGACTTCCATTTGCATCAGAGTCTGGAGCCATCGCATCCTCTATCTAGCCTCAAGCTCTCAGATTCTCTGTCCGGCATCGTAGACAACGCGTCCACCGGAAGAAGCAGCAGCAGCGCCACGCATGTAAACTCTCGCCAGCGGAGTCTCGACTTGGAACCAGACCTGTGCGATAGTAGCAGCGAGACAAGCATCAGCAGCAAAAGCAGTGGTCGTGTGAAAAAAGACAATCTCGACCACAACATAGCCAACTTGTCGCGTCTAAGTATGCACTTGTCTCAACTCTTGTGCTTTTCGCGTACATTTTTGGCCGAGGCCTTACATCCGCCGCGCTCCGCCAAGAATCAAGACTCCATGTTACAGATACAGCAAGGCATCAAGCTTGTATTCAAGTCTGTCAACTCATGGCTGGTGCACGGGTCTAGCAGCACCGAGCCCACACCGAGCCTAAACTTGGGCTCGATAAACTCATCAGAGTTACTGCAGCACTTATTCTCAGCGTCCAATTATCTGCTGGAAATCCTACGGCAGGTGCGGGCTGGCATTGATAAAGCCATCCATGCAGCATCGACTATGGACTTGTCCAAACGCCCTCAGTCTCGCAGTGGAAGCATCCTCCAGAGCAAACCGGGGGGCTTGTCCTCGACTGATGACGACCAACGCTATTCCATCGTCCGGCATCTTGTGCTCGTCTGCGCAACACTACTCTTGAATATGTATATAGCTATTCTCGTCTCACTGCAGCACAGCGCAGATATTCTTCGCTCGTCGATACGAAAGCACCAGGAAAGCTTGCATGAACCAGCTGAGCACATGGACGCCGCCTCACGAGCCCACATGCAGCTGGTCTCGATTGTACAGCTCACCTCGTACCATATCAAACGTCAGAATCAGACGCTAGACGCCACCGTGTCCAGTTGTCGAGCGTGGTCGGAGGGGGAGACATCGCGAGAGCAATTTGATACCATGAGTGAGCTCAAGATGGAAGTGGAGCAACACCTTAGACAATTGGAGCAAATTCTGTATATAATTTCATAGAATTTACGGTACATATAGTATACAGCCACATATATGAACCGTTCCTATAGGCTATTACGGAATATGTGCATCTGCAAATGGTGAACTGGTCCAGCCCGGTGGCACTTGCTTCACCTGCAGTAGCCCTTTGTCGGAGCAGAGCGGCAAAAATGATTGCATAGCCTGTAAAAGGTCCCTTTTCCACTCGTTCAAGATACCGCCTAGCGCTCCGGGCATATACATGAGCGAGCTCATGCAAGAATCAAGCTCCATGATGCAAGTGATGGATTTGAGTCCAGCTTTGGCTGAAAGATATTCATCAAGTTCCGTCCATATCGGTTCTCCGTCACTAGGATGCATCTCTTTTTTAATCATACCTGTTCCACAGCTGATGAACAGGTGGCCTATCGTTGACGTCCTGCAGACAGTCTGCACCATGCTCTTTAATATGTGTTCTTTCCTTGGATACGTTGAAAAGTCGAAGCTGAGGTTCTGTAGGGACATCTCACCAAGTTCATAGTGGACATCTTCCAGATGTGTTAGCAAAGGGTATTGAATGTAGAGTGAGTATCTCGTACTGTCTTCGGGCAAGATGGCTAATGAACATAGCGTGGATCTGGACTTTTGCAAGACATCAGGCACAATTCTGTTGTTGGAGCCGTTCAAAACTAGCGTCATCAGGTTCTCAAGATTCGTATGCTCTACGATATATGGCAGCAAAGTCTCCCACAGCGTTGCGTTGGTACCGAAGAGAGCAAGGTGGCGCAGTCTGTTGAGGCAGTGTTTTGGTAGCGAGGGCAGCAGAATCTCTCCAATGTCCTGAGTTGGCACCTCTAGATTGCCTAGTCCTAGAAACTTGACCGACGAAGCTTCGAGAATGAAGGGCAGGATCTCGTTGAGGCTATCGGCTTTCAAGTGCTGAATGATGAGGGATGAGATGCTTAACTTTGGCTTCAGCAAAGCCTGTCGTTCCTCCAGCGTCCAAGTAGTGAGATCGAGACTGCCAATCGTTACCATATCAATGCAATCGAAGTGATTCATAATGGTCAAAAGCGTCTTGCGCCATTCCGCTGCGTCTTCATCGTCCACTTCGTAATCAACGATCAACAGCTTACCCAGGCGCCTAGGGATCGAGCTATCAGTTTGGAGCAGGAGTGGCAAGTTGTTTTCAGAAATGTACTCGGCGCATTCTAGGGTCAACCTGCTCCAGAAGAGCTCTCGGCATACTGCTACCCAGGCACGGCAAACCAGCGCTAGCTCCTCCAGCTCATGCTGAGGAAGATATGCGAGGACTTGTCGTAGGATACTTCCAGGGAGCGATTCGATAGGCATTATGCTCTCCAGAGTGCTTTCTTTTCAATACAATAGTAGGATACGCCGACTAAACTTTTTCTCACCATGAGCCTGGCAAGGCTAGGGGCGAATATATTATGCGGGCTCGGCTGAGTCATATTCGAGTGGGCTAGTTGATGGACCGCGTGGGCAGATATTTGCGATAATTATAAGCAAGGAGTCTTTTTGCATTATTTCAAAGCATGTCACAAAGTGGCTGAATGGGAACGGAAACCAGGAGTCGTTTGCAGTGGCGGGTTTCGCCCAATTTATAGCACTTCCATGATGAGGAACAAGTTATGCGCGCGAGCAGATTTATCTCGGTCGTTCTGTTCCGTATCTCTGTCATGGCATGACCGTCCTTTACGATACCCTATTTGTGGCTCGATTGCATCTACACAGAGGCTGCTCAACGAGAGACTGATAGCAGCAACATCGACAAAGAGAACCTGCCTGGAACGAACACACTACCCACAAAGCCACAGCCATTAATAGTAACAGCCCGTTACTACAACAAGAGTAAACACACCCCCTAAAGGCACACATTCTCGATGAATCAGTGCCTCTACTAAGTAGAGTTTCCTCCAAGTATTTTCTACACCGGAAAATCCCAATTCTGCACGTCACTGTCGGGTCGGCCTGTCGCCTAAAGAGAAACCTCTGACTCTCCCTCTCCTAAGAAGAGTCAACTTAGTTGGTGTTTATATTTAGTCTACATAGGAAATTAGTTAGGGCTACCTATGTGATTTACAGGGGTTGCTTAGAGCTCATTGTCCCCTATACATCCCCTGTACGCTTCCTCAGGCACTAAACCTCAGGTAACTAAGCGCTTCTCAAGCACTTTAAATTTAGTTAATAAGTTATTAAAATAGTAAAATTTGTAAGTTAGCTTTACACCACTGTACTTGGAAGTGGGGAACTGAGATTCTTTGTTGTATTCTCGGCTGAACTGTACACAGCCTCCGCCTTGACAGGTATTGCGTGCACATGGTAACACTAACAGCATTATAGTATGTACTTGAAGGCCACGATTCAAACAGCCCAGCGCACACGGTCATTGGGTAGCTCCATGTGCCGCTCGGCAGGCAAAATGGGGGGGATGGAGGAGGGGTGTGTGCAAAAGCTGGTGCCTGCTTACAAGCATCTGAGATCGACGAGGCCGTTTTGTTTCTCTTAGACGCATATCTTCAGACCCATATGGTTCGCGCCATCTTTTGTGTCATCTACTTTAAATTTATTAAATGCTTATGTTTTTTACGACACCCCTATTCGTCAGTGGCGCTGAGAAATAAACCCCCGATGCCGAGGCCGACGAGCAACGTAATAATACCCGCTAGCGGCATAGCTGATGTGGGAAGTGCGAGCTGAAGCTCCCGTACAGGCAGGGCGCATGGACGATATTCCCGATAATGTCGCCGACTCAATGAGACGTAGGGCTACCCATGCAGATTGTAACTGCAATGTAGGATGGGATTTGGGGTACTCGGCTCCATTGGGCAGTGAATTGGAGCTATCGTGTAAGGTAAAAATAAAGAAATCTGTATTAGAACAAGGAGAAACAAAGCAACAACAAAGTCCACTGAATATTTCTCTTCGGCCGTCTCATAATCGCATCATAATCATCATCGTAGCGCTCTTACACCATGACTGCTTCTCACTCAGACGCCATCGCCGCAGCAGAGCAGCTTCTACTGGACCTGAAGAACCATACAGGCTCACCCGCTGACCAGGCGAAAGCAGTGAGACAGCTCGACAAGCTTCGATGCCTCGTCCACACGGGCTTCGATGCCCTCATGTTCCAGGCGTATCCGGTATGAATACTATTGGTTTGGCTTGCTTTAGCACAGCTCGTGGCATTTGAGCTATTCTGATGATACCCTCACAGTTCCAAATGTTGCCTGCAATTAAGGTGCTGGCCGACTTTCGCGTTTTTGACGTGGTGCCTCTCGAGGGTTCTATCACGGTAAACGAGCTCGCTGCAGCAGTAAAGCTCGATGCCACATTCCTAGGTTTGCAAAAGCTGAGGCCCCGAACTCTACTTTACAGGCAGCTTACATATATCTCTCAGACCGCTTCCTTCGCATTGTGTTAACGCAGGGCATCTTCAACGAGACTGCCCCAGGTGTTTATGAGCACACTGCTGCGTCCAAAACTTTCCGGACCGACGAAGCTGCAAGCTTCTATAACCTAGGGTAAGCAGTCCACTAGACTACTGTATACAAGAGCACGGCTGATGACCAGCTTGTAGTTTAATGCAGTTCCCCCAGTGGTGGAAGGTCTCGGAGTACCTGTCAACGCACTCGGCGCCGGATGCCAAAGAGGCTACCAAAGTACCTTTTGTATGGGCAATGGGCAAGGAGGGCATGTCATACTATGACGCCATCGAGGAAGACCCAGTAGTGTCCGACATCTGGCATAAGGGTATGATTATGATTGAGGCGACACAGCCCATTTCGGGAATGTTCCCCTTTGTATCGATGCAGGCGGCCGTCGAAGCAGAGCCCGAGCGAGCTTTCGTCGTGGATGTCGGCGGCGGCCGAGGCAATGCACTGATTGCTATGATGAAGGAATGTGGCGGCAGCTACGGCGCCAAGATGGTGCTCCAGGATCAGGCAGAGGTTCTGCAGGGCAAGGATCCTGTCAAGCTTGACGGTGTTGACAACATGCCGCACAACTTCTACGATCCTCAACCTGTCAACAGTAAGTTTTTGTTCTTGGCTACCGATTAGTGTAGACGTCAAAACACAAAAAAGATAATGCTAATTCACCGTCTTTAGATGCACACATCTACTTTCTCCGCAACATCCTGCACAACCACTATGACGAGCGCAGTCTCGTCATCCTGCGTCGCGTTGTGGACGCCATGGGCCCGACCTCACGCGTTCTAATCGGCGAGATGATCCTCCCTGCCACAGCCACCGCCGGCTCAGATCCCTTTCCTTTCTTCATGGACCTTAATATGTTTATGCAGGGCGGCATCGAACGCACCGAGCAGCAGTTTGGAGAATTGCTGGGCAAGGTGGGCCTCGAGATTAAAAGGGTTTGGCGACATCCTGACAATCCTGTCCAAAGTACCATCGAGGCCGTATTGAAAAAGTAGGTATGTCTGTTTGGAATAGGTTATAGGGTAGTAGAGACGCAGGTGATTTGGGACGTGGACTGAGATGACTTGCAAAATGAGATTGTCAATTTAGACGAACGCTTCACTTTTATTCTGCTGAAATTTACCCTATATAAGTGCAATACTTACCACCTCTACACCCGCCTGTAAAATTGCTGTATCTATCACTAGTACGACATGATCGGGCAGAATGGACGCAAATGTAAGCCACAATGCTGCTCACTAGCTGGTAGCCTAGATGGTCGTATTACGACTATTTAGCCCATAGCTTCAAGAAATCTCTGTATATATTGGAATGTTCTTCACAAAACTTCCAATCTTATTACTATCTCACTGATATAGCAACTAATAAGTATAACCCACAAGCAATGCCACTCAATTTACATCGGCATAATGACTGTTCTTTTTTCACCTCTTTCATCGCCGTCCTCCGCGGCCGGCGCATGCGTCGCAAGTCGTCTCCAGGGGGTAAACCAAGTAGCTGCAAAGGCAATGAAACAGAAAGCAATGGAGACGGCAAAGGCCGCCTTGAGTCCGTGCATGTACGCGATAATGACACCGGGTAATTCTTCAGCAGAAAATACATTTCGGAGGTCCGAGGCGCCTGTGTCAATGACCTTTTGGCCAGGGACACCGGGGGCGGACTCTGCAAGCTTGGAAAGCATCTGGTTGACAAAGGCCGCTTGAGCAGAAGAAATGGTAAAGGCACCACCTACTGTCTGGAAGACTGTTATTCTGGTAAGTAAAGTCATTTTTATGTAAAAAGGAATTCAATATGAAAACTTACAGTAGAGACAAGCTGTCACGGCTGGAAGATCTTCAGCGTCCACGCTGGATTGCACAATATTCAGTCCATTTTGGACGGAAAAGGCAATGACGGATCCTGCGAGAATTTGGTAGCCAATCCACTTGGCAGGTTCAGTGTCTATATCGAGCGTATAGAATAAGCCGCAGGTAATCGTGCCAATCAAGCCGCCGAAAAACATGGGGGGCGTTGGATATCCAGTCTTGGCTACAAAGAGGCCACCTAGGACGCAGAAGATGGCGACAGCTATAACGATTGGTAGATTGTTGATGCCAGATTCGATAGGGGTCGCACCCTTGATAGACTGAAAGTATATAGGAAGATAGTAGAGGAGCAGGAGAAGATCGCCGAGGAAAAAGAACTGATACGGGCAGACACTCCAGAGTTCCCGCTTTTTGAAGAGCCGGGGAATCATCATGGCATATTCGCCCATCCAGAGAGACCACAGGATTAGGGCAATGATGAGAAGACCAAAGCCGACCAATAGACCTATAACCTCCTTGCTCTTCCAGGGATACAGGGTGCCACCGTACTGAAGGCCCAGCACAAAGCAGATGATGGCTGCCATTGTGAGACAAATGCCGACGGGGTCCAGGTGCAGAAGTTTCTTCGAAATGCTGATTGGTGGCGGCCTGGCTGCTGCTGGAAGGTGGAAGAAGATGAGGACGATGGCTGCGCCGAGCGCTCCAATGGGCAGGTTGATGTAGAAGCACCAGCGCCAGGTAACGCGATCCGTAAACGCGCCGCCAATCAGAGGACCTAGAACCGAGGCCAGACCATATGTTAAACCAATGAACCCCATAAGAATCGGCCGTTTCTTAGGAGGCGCGCTGAATGCGACAATGCTGGTGCCGCCCACCGAGATGCCTGCAGCGCCCACGCCGGCAATGGCTCGCCCAATAATCAGTGCAGCGGAAGTCGGTGCAATGCCGCAGATTAAACTACCAATCTCGAAGATGACCAAGGATGCGATAAACGTCCACTTGATGTCAAAGTATTTGAAGGCTTTGCCCCAAGAGGCCTCGAGGCCGCCAAACGTCATGAAGTACGCCGCGCTGTACCAGGATACGTCTTTGAGGCCATTGAACTCGGAGGTGATTTTGGGAATCGCGGTTCCGACGACGGTCTAGTCGTAAACATTAGTGCTGAAACAGGATGAAATATAAAAGGCACTCACCTGATCTAGAGATATTAAAAAGACACCCATGATAGACGCGCCAGCAAGAAGAACGAGGCGGAAGCCCTTTGGGTATTCGTCGACAGGGCCACCATCTATAATTACATCGCTAGGCGACTGGTTACCGTCAAGAGACGACGGGTCATGGAGATGTGATGGTGGCTTCTCCTGCTCAGAGGAGGACGAGTTGGATGTTGCCATTGTTGGACTGCCGCTATGTGCATCCGCCATGAGATGCGTAACTTAGAGTGTGAATGTGTATTGGTGTGCTAAGGAGAGGATTCAGCGGGCTTGGTGTGATCTTGTCAGTTTCAATCGAAGCCTTAGTGGCGCGAAGCAAATCGATTTACGATCGCGAATGCACCCCGTGCGAGATACCTTGAGCTGCACTCCCCTAGGTAGGCCATCGGCGGCCGACAGGGAAGGCAACACCATTGGAAGCCATCCTGATTGCATAAGCAATGGCATAGGTCCTTTATCGGCGATTAATTACCAATAGCTATGGAGGTTAGCGACAGCCTCCCACAGCGCCCTCCGATGCGAGCGCCCTGTTTTCCCTCCACACCCAAATCCAAGCCACCACGGACGCTAAACTAGCGTTCCGATAAATGTACACTTTCAGCCCCCGAGGTGTATGCTAAAAACCATCATAGGCACTTTTCGGGGGAGTTCACGCCACCTTCACGGACGTCCGTGTAGAGCTGAGGTTAAGCATTTTCTAGCAGCCACCAGGCACTATCGGCGTGGGGCTGCTGTAGATCTTCCAGTGGAAGGCGTTGGATTAGTATTACAACGATAACCACGGTGGCTCTGCTTACCCGGCCGATCCCCGTATCCTTTCGTACTTTGTTTAGCTGTGGTAAAATTTCAAGGAACCCCGCCCACCTGAAGAATGGTCCTTCATCTTTCCCGTTTTCGCTTCACAGTACTCCGGAAACGAAATCATTATGATTTGTAAACCAATTCATGCAGCCTTGGGGGGTGAAAGGCTAAATATTTTGGCACCAAGTTGCGGTTTGTCTTTTTCACACATTCTAAACACCCTGACGCGGGTAAACGAAAAAAAAGGCTTGTTACTTTGATCGTATATGCAACATGCTATACGGGGAACTAACTAGTTGGCTATGTCCCCTGCTGGCGATTTATCCTATCCCCGCTGGTATAGCCAAAAGATGTAAGCCACGCTGGCTGTTCAGCCTCAACTCTCACAACCACGCCCCCGGGGGACGGCGGCTCGGCATCTTGTATGACCGCACAATCTCGCCGTGGTCCGGTGTCCGATATGTGGCTACTGACCGGTACGGAACTTGGCCGAACTTTGTTGTTTGTAGATGCGCTGGTGACAGACGAATAAACACGCCGGCTACTGATTGGATAGCCATCAGGTACAAGGCTGTCTTAATGCCACTGCATTGCTAAGCAGTTTCATTTTGTCGAGCTGTAAATGCTGCATAAGCTAGAATTGACGAATTGGTCCTAACCTTGTCCGGACTCTCTCAGTCGCGCCCGTTACAATGCAAGTCCGCGGTATGCTGTCTGTCGTGCTAGCTGGCGCTCTCAACTACATTTTTGTCAACTCCGTTTCTGCGTCTGCTGTTCCGTCAGCCAATTCTGCTAGTAGAAACTGCTGCAGGCATATTCCGGGAGATGCTGGATGGCCTAGCCGCCGCGACTGGGCACGACTCAACAGCACAGTTGGTGGCAGGCTGGTAGCGACGATTCCTCTGGCACATGTCTGCCACGAAACTGGACCATTTGCCGCCTATGACGCAGCTGCATGTGATGGACTGCGCCAGGACTTTCTGCAAACTGGGCCTGCAACGATGTTAGTGATTCCTGCTGTGCTGCTAGCAACCCTGTTACGCGCTAACGTTGATTCTCGTTAGATGCCCCGCGCCTGGAGAGATTTTGAACCCGTACTGGCAAAACAATACTTGTTCGCCGTTTACAGCGTCCGTGGCGTCCTGCGAGCTTGGAAATCGACCTGTATACTCTATCAACGTCACCGGGCACCGAGATGTCCAGGCAGGCTTGTCTTTTGCCAAGAAGAGAAATGTCCGTCTAGTCATCAGGAATACTGGCATTGAGTGAGTTTTAATTTTTCCAAAGTAATATTCTGCGCTTTTACTAACCGGGTCGGCAAGCTATTTGGGCAAATCCGCGGGTCAGGGTTCATTGGCATTGTGGACGTACCACCTCAAAGACATACACATCACCAAGGATTATGAGAGCCCGTCTTACACTGGACCGGCGGTCAAACTCGGCGCGGGTGTGATTGCTGGCGAGGCGTATGCCGCTGTGCAAAAGGCCGGATATCGCATCGTGGCCCCAGAGTGTGGCCTCGTGGGCTTCGCAGGCGGCTACATCCAAAGCGGCGGGCAGTCGCAGCTTGTGACCGCCTACGGACTTGCCGCTGACCAAGCCCTTGAATGGGAGGTGGTTACGCCAGAAGGCGAACTTCTGATTGCTACACCTGAGAAGAATACCGACTTGTACTGGGCCCTCGCTGGAGGCGGCGGCGGCACCTTTGGCGTCGTGCTAAGCGTTACCGTTAAGGCTTTCCTAGAAGGACCAGTAGCCGGCGGCCAAATGGTTGTAAAGACCAGCAACAAAACAGCGCTTTGGGAAGCCGTTGAGACTTGGTATCACAAAGGGCCTTCTTTTGTCAACAACTCTCGCAATAACATCCAGTTCTTCGTCACCAACGATTCACTCACGATCCTCTCCTTCACTATGCCCGACGAGAACGACGCGGCCATTGATACGATTTTGTCGACGTATATTCCCGAGCTGAAGCGACTCAATCTCACATACAACCTGACAAAGGCCAACTTTCCTAGCTATGCGGAGAGCTTTGTGGACGCCTACGGCCCTCTACCATACGGCGACCTCTGCCCCAGCTTCCCGATTATATCGAGCCGCCTTATCCCGAGATCCACCGTATTGAATAAGACAAGCAACAAGCACCTGATGGATGTGTATCGCAACATTGTCGACGACGGCACGTGGTGGATTGGGTGCTCATTTTTGAACGTGGACGACAAACCAGGCTCGGCCCGCCCACCGCATCCGCCAAATTCGATTCATCCGGCTTGGCGCGAGGCTGTTGCCTACTGTAATCCTCAGACGCATCAGCCATATGATTGGGTCAATGAGGTGACGAATACACTGCTCCGACAGAAGCTTGTGAACGACATCTTTCCATCGCTCGAGGCAGCAACTCCGGGCGCTGGTATCTTGCCCGAGGTTGATCCCACCTACAAGGGTAACTGGAAAGACACGTTTTACGGACCATATTACAACCAGTTGTTGAAAATCAAGCATAAATACGATCCACACAAGCTCATGTATGGACTTTTTGCAGTAGGATCCGACGAGTTTAGGATTGATCCTGCGGGGAGACTCTGTACAGTTTGAAGATGTGGCAATGAGAATCAATTGGTATAGAGATAGATAGACGGAATTTCTTATTTCTTGAAAATGTTAAAGGCAAGATAGCTTTCAATCGGATTTTCTTTCGGTACCCATGCTGCCCGCTATATATTTGATATAAAGTTACTTCGTTTGCCAAAGTGCTTATGGTAGACTTGACTTCTCTCACCGTCATTTATAATATGCAATGACGCGAGGTAAAAGTTTTGTAACAAAAATTGATAACCATTTATTTTCGTGAATTGAAGACATCATATTCAGAATCTTAGTCTATGGTCATAACGCAGCTACCATTGCTCCCGTGGCAACCATTTTCGCAAAATACAAGAACGAAAAGTCCCATTCAAACCACTGATCCGTCTCTCTTAGTCAGACGCAATGGGGAATCAGCCTTTGGAGTCCAGTTGGACTTGTCGACGTTCTGAGCTGGATCCTTTTTGCCTGCGTCCATGACCTGCACCTCGTACTGATCGAACAGGTGAAGCGCCAGTGACTTCACAATGTGGCCAGCAACGTACTGGCCCATGCATTTACGGCTACCAATGCCGAACGAGTGAAGATTGTATCGTAGCTACAGAAAAGGTCAGCAAAACCCCCACAAAACAAGACATAGGGCGTTGCCCGGTACGATGATAGATCTTCACTTACATCTGATGGTTTGATCCCGATAAGTCTCGACGGATTGAAGGATTCGCTATCCTTGCCCCAGAAAGGATTGCGAACATTGATAGCGAGGACATCGACGAGTATTTGTGTCTATATGAGGCAAGCAAGTTGTTAGCAAATATGTACATGTTTTGTTTTCGTGGTTGTGCTTTTTTTTTAGTTACGTTTGGCTTAACCAGGACACCGTGGAAGTTCTTGACTGCGGCCGACGACTCTCCAATGGTAAAGACTGCGACTCAAGGTCAGATATCTATTCGTGTTTTATACTTTCCAATTTCAAGAGATAAATATTCCAAGTAGTCTCTTGGAGAAGAGCGTACCTGCAAAGGGCTGAACACGCATAGACTCAATAAAGCATCGATGCAAATGAGAGTCTGTTTTTGCCAGGTATTCAGTGAGACAATCTTTGTTTGCGGTAATCTCGGCGCGTAATTCCTGCTTGACTTGCTCGTGGCTGGCGATGAGCGTGATGAACCACGTTATGACGTGTGTAATGACATCGAGATTAAGCATAAGGAGCTCATCAAGCGTCTGTAGCAGCTGCATTTCATGTCCATGATTAGCGACGTCAAATAGCACAGAGTAGATGGCTATCGGATCGAGAAAAATGAGGTTTTACTTACCTCCGTCATGGACATGTTTCCGTTTTCAGTTTCCTCCCAGTAGGTGATGATGGGCGCCGTTTCTCCTCGCTCACGGCGCACATTCACCATACGTTCGTTGTAAGCGCGCCAATCCTTGTTGAACTCGTGGAGTCTGTTGACGGCAGCGGGATCAAAGAACTTGGCGGTTGCTTTCAAGCGATAAGGACCACCACCAATCCAGTACTTGTTGAGAGCGACTCTCTTTTCCGTCACGGACCACAGATCGTTCTCTTCTTCCGTTGTCATGGGTCCATATATGGCGCTAGCCGTGAGGAAGTACGGGAACTTGGTAAATGCTTTGACCACGGGCAGGCCGAAAGACATTTGCTTTTCTGTGTTGCCACTATCAGCCAGCAGCGGCAATTCCGCGACGTACTTTCTAGCTGCGCGGTCGACAATGTCGATGCGGGTGACCGCCGCGCTGTGCGTAAATGCCGGGTCGAAAATCTTGCGAAGACGTCGCCAATCCTGGCCGTACACAAGGCCCATAGCCTGGCCAAGCAGCTCTCCTACGAACCAGCCGAGGTTGACGTTGGGCGTCTTTGGATGGTCATTGGCGTCTGAACTGAAGTGTTTGAGGTCTTTTGGCGTGGTGATGACACTATGAATGTGTTAACATGTAAAGTCTTCCAGTAAGTGGACGAAGCAACTGACATCTCGGGGTGCGGCCCAGACCATACACGATACACAGGGCCGTACTTTTGCCACTTTTCTGAGTTTTCTCGTCCATTGAGGAATCTTTCAATGACTGTGCCGTTGGGATACTGCCATCTGGGGCCTGATACTTGCTTGCCGCTGCTCAGAACACCGGGATTTAGGACCCTCAGAATAACCGTCGTTACTGCCTGTTATTGCGGTTAGCCTTCATCTTTTCCGAGTGAACGTAGTGATAGCAGAAGAACAAACCTCAAAGAGCCATAATCCAGAAAATCGAAACACAAGGTACAGTACAGCCGCGGGTAAAGCCACAGCCGCGAAGTATAAGAGGACCATGGTGTTTGAAAGAATGTAGAGTGGGTGGTTTCAAAGGTGACTAGGGTTGACAGTGTCTCTTAACGGGCGTCAAAAACTAGAAGAATATAAATAAATTCTACCCTAAGACCGGTTCGTATTTGAGGTCAAGATGTATGTTTATAAAGCCCTGTCTAGGTTGTGCAGGCCATTTGCGTGTCAGAGTTGTGAGGTGATGTTTCTGATGGAGGCACGCAATGGTATGCATCTATTCATCATGATACGAACAGTTGTAGGGTATCGGTGATTTTTCCAGTAATCCAGCACTGTCCGCCTCGTCATTTAGCACGCATACGCTTTCTGTCGGTGAGTACGGCGGTTGGATGTCAACCCATCGGCGCTTATAGAATAACCGCCGGTGCCCTGAACCAAGCCTCGCAAAGACTGTCGGCAGTCGCATTTTTGTGTGGTGACAGACTTCCGAGCTGAATTGTGCAAAATATTTTATCGAATTATTTCATAGAGAAAAATTAGACCTGTACTGTTTCATGTTTAGAACTCTCATTCTATAATCCAATTGATCATCATGAAGTCATCACTGCAGGCATTGGCACTGGCCCTGGCCTCGATCCTCTTGCCTGTAGCAAACAGTTCTACTCCGGACAATACAAATACCAAATCTTGCAAATGCTTCCCAGGCGATGAGTGTTGGCCTTCCGAAGCGGATTGGAGCGCCTTCAATACCACCGTTGGCGGTCGTCTGATCAAGACGGTGCCTCTTGGGTCGCCGTGCCATGATCCTCACTACGACGAGGCGAAGTGCAAGGAGCTCCGAGATGGATGGCTGCGCGTCTCTGTTCAGTAAGTATATAATGGAATCTATAGAATTTACAGAAAATTATTTGCTAATTCTTTCGCGTCTAGTCTTGACTCGTCGTCCTCCATTCAGGATCCCATCTTTGCCAACGCAAGCTGCGACCCCTTCACCCCGCGCAGTTCGCCCTGCTTGATGGGCAATTACGTGCAGTATGCCGTGAATGTGTCGAGTCCCGCAGACATTGCAGCCACCGTCCGCTTCAGCGAGCAGCGGAACATCCGCCTGGTGATTCGTAACACTGGGCACGACTACGTTGGGCGGTCGACGGGCGCTGGAGCCCTGGCCATCTGGACGCACTACTTGAAAGGCATTGAGATCAAAGACTGGGCCAGCAAAGAGCACCGCGGCAAAGCACTCAAAATTGCGGCGGGCACCATGGGCTACGAAGTCTTACAGAGTGCTGCTGCTGCCAAGCTGGTCGCCACGACGGGAGAATGCCCGACTGTGGGTGTCGCGGGAGGCTACGTGCAGAGTGGTGGCCATTCACCTCTTTCGACAGCATTTGGACTTGGCGCCGACCAAACGCTAGAGTTTGAGGTGGTCACGGCGGACGGGAAGCTGGTCACCGCGAACCCATCGCGCAATGCGGACCTGTTCTGGGCGCTGAGCGGCTCTGGGTCTGGCACCTTTGGCGTTGTAGTCTCACTGACTATGAAGGCACATCCGGATGCTGTGACAAGTGGCGTCTCTCTAACCATCCAGGACCCGGGCCACGACTATGCCGACATTCTGAACGTTTGGCATGACAATCTCCCTGCCGTCCTCGACAGTGGATTCATGGCCACATATTTGGCTAACAAGGCCACTCTGTCCTTTATGCCCATTACTGGCTTCAATCGCACAAAGGCAGATTTGGAGAAAGGGCTGGCTCCTTTTCTTACCGCCATGGCGGCTCGGGGCATCACGGTGAAGCCTTTATACACCCAGTTTGACTCGTACCATGACCATTACGTCCACTACTTTGGGCCGCTCCCTGCTGGCGCCTTTGGCACCGCTGGTGAGTATCTGATTGGCGGCCGCCTGTTATCACGACATGCCCTTCCTGGTGTGGCATCGGCCATCAACGAGACGTTTCAACTTGGAGCTGGCTTTATAGGACAAGCTGTCAACGTGTCTCGCTTCGACAGCCCAGCCAGGGCTGTTTTGCCGCAGTGGCGAAACACAGTCATCATGTCGTCCTACTACGTGCCGTATAACTTTAACGTGCCATTTGCAGACATGGAGGCTCGCCAAAACTTTATTACAGACGAGATCATGCCCAAAATCGAGGCAATGACCCCAGATGCTGGTGCTTACATCAACGAGGCGGATTTTCAGCAGCGGGATTGGCAGAAGACTTTTTTTGGGAGCAATTATAGAAAGCTTCTTGAGGTAAAGAGAAAGTATGATCCAAAAGGCCTATTTTACAACTCCCTTGCTGTTGGTAGTGAGAAGTGGAAAGTGTTAGATGATGGCCGCCTGTGCGTGGCGAAATGCGCAAAATAATAAAGCGATGTGCCGATTGCGGACATAGATAGAAAAATTATATTATAAAGCTCTCGCGGAATACGTCCATATTTAGATGAAATTTCTCTGTACGAGATTTTCTGTACAAGTCTTCTGTATGTACGCTATAGCTCACTCCATATCGTCTCTATACCACCACTACCACTGTAGTCCACGCGAAATCTTGGGAATGTATCTTCATATTTCATTTTATAGTATTGCATTCTATCTGTGAAGTACCAAATTTCGACTATCTAATCTCATTGAAGGTCAATCTCATGCCATCTCATCATTCATGCGGCACCAACTTCTGCAAGAAACTCTTTGGTGAAAGAATACTGGTTCCGGAACCGCTTGGCCAGCAACGAGCCAACCGTCTCGTTGCTACCGTCATCCGGCCTCAGCGGATTCGTCGCATAGACATCGCCATGCCAAAAAGTCGCGCAGGACATCCTCTCTCCGTCCGCCTTGTTAATCACACGATGTCTGGCGCTCTTGTAAACGCCAGCTGACCACCGTTGCACCATGTCGCCGCAGTTAATGACGTACACATCCTCCAAAGCCGGCACCTGAATCCACTCCTCTCGAATATCGTGCCACACCTCGAGCCCGTCTTTGCCAGGCTGCTGGAAGAGGATAGTGACACCACCAAAGTCAGTGTGCGCGCCGATGCCAAACTGGCCCTCGCGCGCTTGGCTGTGCGGAGGATAGCGGATCATCTTCATGGGCACAATGGGCCGCTTGGCAAACTTGTCGACAGTGGCGGCTGGCTGGCCGAGTCCCTCCAACAGAATAGACCATATGTTCTTACCTAGCTCGCTAGTCTTTTGGTAGTACTCCGAGACGGGACCACGGAAGTCCTCGTGAGGCAAATCTGGCCACACGTTGGGTCCGTAGAAGCCAGAGAGTTCTACGACAGGATCCTCGCGGCCTACAAAGAAACACTGTAGTCTAAAAGTTAGCGGGAAGAAGCTTTCAGGATTCAGGCTAGCCTTGAATGCAGGAGCACAACACTACATGACATACCTCTTTGGCATCGGGCAGGGCATCTCCCTCGCGATGCGACATGCCAGAAGCTTCGTAGCCGCGGCGGCAGGGGTTCTCGAGAAAGGACATTTTGAGTTTCTCCTCTTTGGGCAAGTCAAAGACGTTGCCCATGCACCGAATCAGTTCTCTTTGCAGAGTCAAGGGCAACCCATGTCCCTTAATCTGAAAGAAGCCAAACTGACGGGCAGCATCGCAAACTTCTTTCACGACTCGTTCTTTATCTTGAGGTGACGACGGGTTGAGGTAACCACTCAAGTCAATGATAGGCAACGCAACACTGCCAGATGACATGATTGTTTCTTGTTCTTTCAGTTATTTTTTTGATTTTTGAGTATATAAAGGCTAGCCGCTATAGTGACTGCTTATAGACAAAGACTAGAGCAGTTGGAGATCCTGTTTGGTGGCAAGGTGCTTTTCAAGGGCCTGTGCCGGCAAGGCTCAGCTGACTGCAAGCCTACTCCTCTTTCAAGTACGCGTAGGACGCATTACCTCGTTATTCCCTGTGCTGTGTGTAACACTGAAAACACATTGAATACATCATACGTCGGGCCTGGAGAGTTTGGGTTGGCAAGTCGGCGATTTTATATCGCCGGTGCCTCCGCCTCCGGAGCATTCGGTCCTCCGCTTGTACAAGTCGGTGCAGCTCCTCGATGCTATGCTGGAAATATTGCCGAATACAGAGAGCCAAGCAAAACCAAAACAAGAATAACAAAAAAAGAAGAAATCAGGCGGCCCTTTTTACTCGGTCGTGACACCAACGACCACGGCGAATCGGCGTATTGGCTATGCGATGCGCCTGGCGATGCACTGTCGGCGCGTTGGAAACAGGCTGTAGCAGCTGGTCCTGGTTTGAATTTCTCTTAGCTTAGAAAGATGCTATCAGAAGCTACAACTACAGATCTTTTCAGCAGCGGAAGACTTGAAAGCCCAGTACAGAGGAAGCACGTACACACCACTCTACGCAATTATCTAGCGCACCCTTACTTTTCATATCCATCTTCCAGAAACTAAAATATTTGCATTTCAAATTTCAACGCAACAGAACCGCCATGCATGTCTTAATCATTGGGGCTGGCGTCGGGGGCCTGAGCCTAGCGCAGAGCTTGCGAAAGCAAGGTATTTCGTTTGAGATATTCGAGCGCGACACAGATCCCGAAGCCCGCTTTCAAGGCTGGGCTATTGCAATGCATTCGTACGTTTGAAACTCATCCGCCTTCTAAGAGCTACTCTGATATGTTCTCCATATAGCATTGTTCACGATTTAGTCGCCACGTTTCCAGACGATATGCCCGATCTTAGAGAAGCCACTAACCATCTAGCTCCTTTGACACTGCCTGCACAGCTGGCTATGTACATTCCTGGAAGGGAACGTCGCTTTGGATTTCAGGTGAGTTGAGAAAAGACCTTCTAGAGTAGTGTGGTGTTTCCCCTTTCTGTTACTGGATGGCGTCAAGCTTACACCATCTCCCTCGTACCACACAGGACTCTAGCACGTTTCCATTTATCCGTTCGGAGCGTCGCCGTCTCCGAAACTGGCTGACTACAAACATTCCTATCCAATGGGGCAAGAGGGTAAAGGCTATTGATCAAGGCAGCGATATTGTCACCGTCCACTTCGAAGACGGTGGCCGCGCAAAGGGCGACATTGTGGTTGGTGCTGACGGTATCAACAGCGTGGGTGAGTCTTTTTTTTCTTTGAGTCCCGCAATAACAGCTCGCAGTTATTTTCATCTACTCCATGTAACCTTCTTACTAACGACCACTGCCTAACCCATAGTACGTCACCAGCTTCTCAACCGCCCTGCGTCGGAACTGCTCAACGTGGTACCGCTGTCCACGATTGTCGGGCAGCTGGAGCTGTCGGGTGACAACTTCAAACGCCAGTTGGCGCTCGGCCACAGCGGCTACATGATGATCCGCCCTGATCTCGGCTTCATTGCCTTCGCCGGGCTGCACTACGTACACCCCGATGGTCTCTCTGCTCGGTACTACTGGAACTTTATGCAGACAGATCACGATGTGGACAAGCCGGACCACTGGCTGCAAAGTTCTACCCAGCAGGAGAAGTTGGACCATGTGCTCAAGTCTATCCAGGGACTATCACCCAAGTTCCGTGACATTTTCGAAATGACGTCGGCCGAGCACATCAAGCAGGAGACGCACGTATGGCGTGACCTGGAGCTGGACGCGATTCCTGCTGGCCGGGTCATCTTAATGGGCGACGCTGCGCACGCCATGACACCTTTCCGCGGCGAGGGCGGATATCACACGCTTGTCGATACGCTTGTGCTTGGCAAGATGCTAGGCGAGCTGAACAACAGCGGCAAGTTCAACGACACAGAGGCTGTCAAGGAGACTGTGGGCAGCTACAACACGGCGATGCTCAAGAGAAGCGGCCAAGCAGTGAGGGATTCGAGGAACTTGCACGCTGATGCGCAGCGATTTGGGCCCGATGGAAAGCCATTGGTTCTTACGATGGTAGATTTGCCGGACATGGATATTGTGCTTGGGAAGGAAGAGGGCCAAAGCAAGCCAGACACCCAAGTCAAGCCAGGGGCGATAGCAGCGCACTGAGAGGGGTTGGTAGTTTATCAAGTAGACTTGCGATGAAATTTTGCCGTGTGTAGTTTCAAATTTTCGTTAATATATACAAGTTTTTCAATTGGATGGCAGCACCGTGAGATATACAAGCGAAGCTACGTCGTCAAAAGATGAATTTTAAAAAAAAATCTTGTAAAAGTACTATAGACTTTATACTAAGTTAAACTTATATAATCTCTATTTTATTAAAGTTATTTGCTGAGAGTGTTCTTAAATTGCTACAAAACCATGCGTCTATGCCAACTCAGACCGCTGTTGGTAGCTAGGTAGCTCGACCAGTGGTACTTTAGACGTGGAAGCGGTCATCGACGTGGTGTGATGTGCAGGTCCCGGTAGTATAACAGAGGGTTGCCATGCTTTAGCCGATGCGTCGCTTATAGTTGATGCGTCGGCCATGGCTGATGCGTGGCTCATGGGCGACTGTTTGGTAATGCTGTTTGGCGGGTAGCGTGACTCACCACTCATCTCCTGAGGTACCGCATTCTTGGAGCCCTTACGTCTACGCAGGAAAAAGAAGATAAGCCCCGCGATGAGGAGGACGGCCGCTGCCACGCCAACACCAAGGCCCGCCTTCGCGCCTGTCCCCAGGCCGCCTGAAGAAGATGATGAGTCACTGGAGGTTGCGGCAGCTGTAGAAGATCTGGTGGTAGGCAGATCCTGCGTACTGGAACCTCGTGTTGACGCCGCGGATGACGTTGCAGATGAGGAAGATGTGCTGGGGAGATCCGACGGTTGGTGATTCAGCTGGATCAACGGCGCCCACCGTTCATACAGTTCACCACCCAGCGTCACCGTCACGTCCGCGAGGCTAACCGTAGAGCCTCCTTTGCACGTTGCTGTCGGAAACACAACTGATGTCGAGGTTGCCTTCATGATACAGGTCTGGCCGTTTCCTCCCATACCGCAGGTAAAACCGCTGTTGTTTTCTCAATATTAGTATGTAGCCTCTCCTGCGCCATTAAACAAGCGAAGGGGTCGATGGAACTAGACGAAACTCACGTAGGGCAGCATCCGGTCGCAGTCTCGCCTGAGAGCAGCGTAAACTGCTCGGCCATGTTGGCAGTATCGTCCCCTGCGGTCGCTGAGCACGCCGCTGTGTAGCCTCCCGGGCATTCTAGCCCAGGAGAGTAGAATCCCCAATTGCTGAGGGGTAACTTTGTAGAAACGCTAGCAGCCCGCGGCGGCCAGCAGTCAACGTTATCCGAGTAACCCACGCTGTTGCCGCACGCTTGGGCAAGGAAGCCGAACTGGCAATCGTCGCATTGTCGAATGGCTGCGAGGCATTCTGTTGGGACCGGCCAGGCCGTCGTCAGTGGGCCGAGGTTTGTGCGTTTTACGGCGCCAGTAACAACTTTAGTAGTGGTCATGTTTTCTATTTCGTGCCGTATATATAACAGTTGCAGCAGAAGAAAGGGGGAAGCTGGAGGAGGGCGGACGAGTGAGAAATTTCGCCAAATGTTCAACAGATCAGGCTGAGCTGGCGGCGGGTATTTCAGGAGTCGGCGACTACTGGATCTAGGCTGAGCTGCGCTGATCATACAGTTGTACTGGGCCTTGCCCAATCAGCGCAGGTGACGAACCGCCTTTTCGACAACTTGTAGCTTGATTTATATTAATAACCGACGCTGTATGGTTTGTCGGCCGACGCCACGTTACCCCTTTTCAGCTCAGTCTCTGTTATACCAGAATACAGACCTAAGGCACAAGGAATTTGTTTATCAGTATTTTCATTATTAATTAAGTTACAGCATTTTTTAATGGTTTATTGCTCTTCTAGCGGTGACAATTCTCTCCTAGATGGGCGAATCGAGTCGTAATCACATGATGGTACATCTCACAATATAATGGTTAATATATTAAGTTTGGCGTTTTATTTTCATCAGACAAACTAACTGCAATTTCCATTTAGCCTATGATTTATAACCCAAATATGGATTTAAAGTATAATACAAGCTTTAGATCTTGCGGGTATTACCGCAGGGTAGCAACATAGTGTGATATTACCATAACGTGGTTTACGGGCGAGCGCCGCACCCAAAAACACATACAAATCAATACAATTTTAATTCCGCCAATAAATCCAGTTTAAATATATTAATACTAAAAGAATATTTCATAATAAAGAAAAATTAACTTTCTTAATCAATTTTAATCCTAAAAAATAAGTTATAGCTAATTTAGAATATAGTTAGTTATGAAAAGTGAGAATTTTTGGACCTATTTTTTCTATCTAACTATATTTTATATATCTAGAAGATCTAAAATTTAAAATTAATTGACAAATCTATTTATTCTTTATTACTTAATATCTTAGTAGTATTTATATATTTTAGTTGGAATTTATAGTAGAATTAAAATTGTATTAATTTGTATGTGTTTTTGGGTGCAGCGCTCGCCCGTGTGCGGCGCTCGCCCGTGAACCACGTTATATATAATTGCACGTGCTTCAAATAATTCTCATAAAATATAAATAAAGATCAAGATGATTTAAAAATAATAGTATTACAATGGTAAATAATATCAAATTTACGTTCCATAATCTCTCACTTTGTAGAGCGTATAGTCTCTACAACTTCTGACGCAGCACGCATGCCAGACTGAATGGCTCCTTCAATATAACCAGGGTGTTCCTGTGCCGTTTCCGTTCCAGCCCAGTGTAGGTTTCCAATTGGCTCATGAGGCAAAGGCAACTGACAAGCAGTAGTGCCGGCAAGTGGGAACGCCATATAACCACCACCGCAGAACTCGTCCGTTTGCCAGGATTTCTCGAGCCAGTCAGCAGGCTTAAGCACCTGGTGACCGAGGTATGGCTCGAGTCGCGAAAGCAAGAGATCACGCCTATCATTAACTTCTAGCGAATCAAGCTGGCGTGCTGGTGGTCCCGTAACGAGGAAGCATAGGTGGCCTGGTCCATCAGGCGGCGACGTGTCGAACACGCCACAAGCAGGGTCATCCAGCACGATAATCTCCCCTCCAAACCCATCGCGCCAGAACGGCTGCTCAAACACGGCGATTGACTTATAAACGATGCCCATTTGCAGATTATCTTGCAGGGCAATGCGGTCATCTGGCAAGGCTGGCTCGAACGTGACAGACTTCAGCATGGGCGGTGGGATAGTGATGATGGCCTTTGATGCTGTGAAGGTCTGTCCTGATGCTACCTTGACAAGAACTGCCTTGTCCTCTTGAAAAATGTTTGAAACCGCCATATCTGTTAGGATTCTGCCGGAAAGTTGGTTTTCTATCATGGATGTCGAAATACCGATGGATTCTGTTACCAGGCTGTCTTGCGCGCCACCATTGGTTTCCATCATCGTCATGAGACCACCGGACAGAGACATCATTTTCCCGAGACTGTACATTGAGAACCGCTTCAAATCCGCTGTGGTTGTGACGGTCGCGAGGATGGACAGCAAGAGACGAGCAGTCTCGAAGGGGACACAATAATTGATGGCTGTGTCTACCGTGACATGGGCCCATCTCTTGGGAATGTGAATCTTTACCAGAATCTCAATGAAGGCAAGATAGATCAAAGAGAGAAGCGCAGATGGAGAGTATATGGGGATGACTCTCTTGGCGTGAACAATCTTGGGCAAGCCTCGAGTAAAAGTCTTGTATATTGTGCCACCCGCCTTTTCGATCAACGCTGTGAGATGGTGGTGATCATGGCCAATCCAGTGGCCACCCAGGTCCAGCTTTGAGCCGAGTTTGCTTGTCGTTGAATATACTCTGCCGCCCACTCTGGATGATGCTTCCAGGACAATAACGTCGATGCCCTTTTGGTGTAGTTCTGACGCGGCTGTCAGGCCGGAGAGACCGGCGCCAATGACAATGACATCAGCTCTTCGTGAGGATTCCATAATAGTGCGTGGCTTAATGCTAGAGTCAAGGCGAAAGGACAAGAGAAAGGAGGGCGATTTCCGAGATATTTATGATGGTGGTGGCGACAACGAGCGACGGATTCGTCAGTCTTGGCGCAAGAGCTGAACTATCTCGGCTCAAGCACACTGCCTTCTCTCGTCAGCTGCCGCGCTAATGTCAGTGTGTGAAATGGGACTGGCTGCAGTTCATCTACCTGCATACTCAATGCCCCTTTCTGCTCATACCTCTTGTTGCGATGCGCGATATGACGTTACTCCACAGCCCAACAAAACACGCGATGGGGCCTTGCTTTGGCAACTTACTGGCGCTAGTGAGCGGAATGCAGCTGAGCAGCATGGGCGTAGCCCAATTCGGTAATTTTTTGAGAAGCATGGCTTTCAGGTGGGGGGTTATAGTATTCATGCGTACGAGATGCACTCTAACCGAATACAGTAATTTTGTGAGAATTCGCACTCATGCACATGTACTTCTCTGAAAATTGCCGTTCGGGGATAAACAGTTACTCGGCAAGTGATTCGATAGATAGAACAGTATCGTATATTTATATGCTAGCTACTGGCTTCGACTTCTTTGTTTCATTTCGCTTCCTTCTCTCATCGTCAAGTACACAAAAATGACTTCTAAAGACGGCTTTTCTTGGACCAAGGCGGACGGTCTGCGCCCTGGTGTCCCTTGCATTGGTGTAATCGAACCACCCACCAATTACCATGACACGAACAGCAAGTTTGATGTAATCGTTGTCGGTGCAGGATACAGCGGGCTCACCGCAGCACGCGATGCTAGTGTCGCAGGTATGTGGCGGGGATCTGACTATGTACGACGTAGTCTAACCATTATTTAGGCCTCAAAGTCTTGCTCCTTGAAGCACGAGACCGCATTGGTGGCCGCTCCTGGTCTTCTAATATTGAAGGATACCCATATGAGATGGGCGGCACATGGGTATACTGGGGCCAGGCTATTGTGTGGCGCGAGATTGCTCGCTACGGTATGCAGGACGAACTCGAAATTTCTTACGACTTCTCAAGAGGAATTAATAAGTTTTTACTTGCCTCCACGGATAAGACGCAGAGTTTCACTCATGAAGAAGAGGTAAGTCAGGTCGGGATGCTTACCCAGGAATGAAATAAAGGGCTAACAAAAAAAGGACGCTCTGATTACCTCCGCCATCTCCAAATTTGTCAACGTTGATGGTGAGCATGGCCGCAAAGCAATTCCATTCCCACACAGCACCAAACTCAACGAGCTGGAGGAGAAGTACGACTGTATGTCAGTGGCCGATCGTCTAAAGGAAATCGAGCATGATTTGACGCCGAATGAGAGACTCTGCGTCGAAGGTTGGGTGCTGCTTTGCAGCGGAGCCACGCTAGAAACAACCAGCTTTTATGAATTTCTTCACTGGTGGGCGCTAAGTGGCTACAGCTATGAGGGCTGCATCAACCATCTCGTCAGGTACAAGTTCCGCGGAGGCCAGTCATCCTTCGCAATCCGGTTCTTCAACGAGGCATTGGCGTCTGGAAATCTAACATATGTCTTCAACGAGCCTATTTGTGCCATTTCGGATGAGGCAGGTAGCGGTGTTCATGTGACGACGGAGAGTGGTAAGACGTTTGTTGCAGCGAAGATGATTAGTTGCATGCCGTTGAACGTGTTGAACGACATAACATTTTCACCGCCCCTGCCCGAGGGAAAGCAACAAGCTGCAAAAATCGGCCACGTCAATCAAACAGTTAAAGTACACGCCGAAATAAGCGACAGAGACCTCCGATCGTTCACAGGCATCAGCTATCCGCACAATGGACTCATATTTGGCTTCGGCGATGGCGAGACACCTGTTGGAAACACTCATGTCGTGGCGTTTGGTGGCAAGCACAATCATTTTCACCCCGAGGATGACATCAATCACACTATGGAGTGCTTCAAGCGGTTTGTTCCCATGGACATCAAGCGAGTGGTTAGTATTGAGTGAAGGTTCCACCCAATCTAGCTCCCCGACTCTAACCATTGAAAAGGTCTTCCATAACTGGTCGAGAGACAGGTTTGCAAAAGGAGCTTGGTATGTCGACTAGTAAACAATCAACAGGAAAGTGTAAAAATGCTGACAATATTTAGGTTCTTCTCTGGTCCCAAGTTACTCTCTGATCACTTGCAGGATATGCGAGGACGCCATGGAAACATCTTTTTCGCTTGCTCAGATTGGGCCACAGGTTGGCGAAGCTTCATAGATGGAGCTATTGAAGAAGGCACCAGAGCAGCTGTGGCGGTTCGGGCTGATTTGGCGGGTTCGGAAAAAATATAGTTTCCGTCTATTGATTGTCTGAGACTAAAGGTTAATCGGCTAAGTTGCATCAATTTGTATGTAGTATAACATAACTAAATTTTGCAAACAGCTTCGCATTACATTATAAGGACGGGGCGTTGTCGTGTTACAACATCTATCCAGTGCTGGGAGCTGTCTGTCTCCCAGATATGCTTGAGTGTTTCTAGAGCAATAGGAATGCTTCCAAACCGAGTGCACTGATAGAGATCTTTCAAGCGACTGTAGAAGAACTCTCGATGTACTGGTAGAACACTCTCCGCTGCAGCGACAAAGCAAGTCCAGACGAGCGCATGCCGCCCTTCTGCCTCCGGTTCAATGTTTGCCAGGATTTGACGAAGGCTCTCCACTGATGCTATAGACACATCGCAAGAGACAGTATTTTGGACACGATTGCGATATATCTGGCAAGCTTGTCGAGTGGCATCCTTTATCCTGACGATGGTAGGGTAGATTTCTGACTCTTCGATAAGTGGTGGAATGGATACCATGAAATCGAGGTAATATTCTGGATGTTGGCGCAATGTCTCCAAGCCTTTTGACCTACTAGACAATGGAAACCCAAAGAACTCAAACCTGAATAAAGACTTGTTAGCGCGGTGGCCGGTGGTGGCATTTGTAATATACTAAAATTAATACTAACATCCGCGTTTGTTGGGAGATGAATAGTCTTGTGCTTTCGGGCAGTGTCTTATCTGATGCGAGTGACGGTGCCATATGTGACAGTAACTGGAGCAGAATGGTATAGTTGGCAGAGCCTGTGATTGTGTCGCCAACCAATAATACCAGAGTCGTTATCCATGCGGATAGACCTAACGCCTCAATGTCGTTGTGCATCAGTGCGACCTGCCGAAGCTGGCTGATGACTCTTTGCTGACGTATTTCTGCTTCCAATCGAACAGATGGCATCTCTTGAGAAAGATGAAACATGGCCACAACCGACACAGCCTCACCGACGAGATCGTCATGGCAAGCCATGGGCAAGATCAGGTTGCGATAGCCATTGCCAGCAAAGTCGAGAATGACCATCTTAGACGCAATAAATGTTGAAACTATTTTCATGATTAGCTGAAGTGAAATTTGTCCAAATTGGTAGACGACATACAGTGATTAAACAGCATTCTAGGTTGGGCAGGCACAAGTTCTATGGCCTCACGCAGACTCCAGTTTGCGCTGCATTGCATTTTGTCTGACGCAATAATTTTGTCAGTTGATAATGAGGGAGTTGCTACTTCCAAGCTGTGTTTATCAGTAACGCCCCGTTGATAGTCCCCCGTATTGCGACTCGCTCTTGAGGCCCGTGGTTGGCCATCGCTACTGAGGGCGGATTTAACGGTAGAGAGCTCTGACGAAGTAGGTGTACGGGTAGACTTGGATTTGCGCATATAATTGCTGAACCTGTACTCCCTACCTTGACCAGAGCATTCAATGCCCCTTTTCTGGCATTTCGAGCACGTAGGAAGCTTCATATCGCAGCAGACGCGCCGCCTACGACACTCCAAGCAGCCTGTGAAATATGTCAGCTTGGGTGACTATTTGATGATGGCGATTTAAATACCGTTATTTCTTTTAGCGACGGGCATAGTGCATACGACTAGGTAAGACAGTTTTTGGTGCGGGTATCGTTGTGCGTGTTGAAGATGCGACCGTATGCCACGAGGATAGAAGCATAACGGCTCAGCCCCCAAAAATATACCCCGCATTTAATTGATTGATCTAACAGAAGGCATTGTGCCACTTCCAAATACTGACTTCCAATCCGGCGCTGGAAGCGGAAAAACGTCTTTACATATAGTATTTCGTTCCTTATTAGAGTTGAAAGAACGCATTGGATAAATAAAAAATACCGACCAAAACACTGCTATGGTTTATTGTAACAATGAAGACGATACGCCTCATCCACCCTACAGTACCAGTTGACCCATTCCTTGCAAAATACGCGATTGTCAGCGGCGGCAATTAGACGACCCCCAAACCAGGGAACAGACTCAAGGCGATTCACTTCTGGGATTCTAGTAGTGAAAAAAAAACGTGTATTAATAACACTTTTTTCCCCAGAGGACTTTTACTTGTAATAAAATTTTCACATCAACTTCACGGTTGCTGTATTTACCAACACACTCAGCAATACTTCATAGTGAAACCAACACAACATGCGTTTTATTGACACCAATATTCTGTTGTATTGCTTGTCAGGCACCTAACTTTAAATGCCGTGAGATATTCGCACTTTTAAGCGGTGCGACAATGTCCTGGTATATAAGTTTTCTATTATTTTCGCCCTCGATCGCCCATACCAGACTACAAGCCAGCTGAGAGATGGATCTATTGTCTCGTATTCCTTGGATACTGCTACTGAGCTCCTATAATTACCCGTAATCGCTCGGCCAATGGAGACGCAGTCCTGTATCAAACCGGTCGGATAATCTCAAGCCAAGATATAGTAAGACACGGCATAGCAAGACATACCACCGAAGAAGCTCTCAATCTAGCAGCGTTTTTATTAGTTGGATCTACACCCAAAACGAGGATAATCCGGCCGGGAGCGCTTTATTTTACCATTGTAATAACAGGGGGTGACTATATGTACCTACTACCGATAGCCGAACCTCATCTATAGACAATTCAGCCCACGCTAAACACCACCGTCATCGAGCACCACACTAACTAAACATACTTTTTTACATTGTAAGTAAGATCACCAACTTAGATATCTTCACTGTATGCTATACTCTATAATTGATATTGCCTAACACAGCGCCTGTAGCCACCCGCATAACTGGGTTAACGCCATGGTCCAACTTACTTGGTTAATGCTCGCTGGTGCAGCATCTGTTACAGTATTCGCCGACAGGTCCGATTCTTCCATGGCTAGCAAACTTGCAGTCCCTCGTGAAGCCGCTGCGCTCTGCCCTAAGGCTTGCATGCCCAGCCTGTACAAGGTCGCCAAGGGCTTCAAATGCAAATATTCATGCGATAAAGGATGTAATGACAGTGGACTTAACAACGAGTTTAGCTTGATCAAAGAGTTGAAGAACATGGGCGAGGACTGTGTACATCCTCGCTCCAGTGCCATTCGTTGTGAGAGACTGGCCACGGATGCTAAACAGTGTCCCTTCCCCAAATAAACTCTATTTTGTACCTTAATAGGGAGCGTCTGTTTATCATTCTTTCCTCTGACTTTTTTTCTGTGCTCTCTGTCAACCAAGTATTTAACAGTAGACGTTGCAGCTCACTCGAGGTATGCATAGAGTAGCAGGAAATATGACAATCCAGAACCCCAGTATCAATGCCGCTAGATTAAAACCAGCCATGTCTGACTCTATTTGCGAAGCGTTTTCTGTTTCTTACTACCCAAATCTTCACCATTTCACTATCAATAGTATTATCTAGTCTAGGCTAGAGGGCCGTTTTGTATTAGGGATACCTAGCTCCCCAACTGCCCTTATAACCAGAACTAGCAGTCAAAGCTTTGATAGAAGCAACGTTACGTTTCTAATCTACACCAGTAGATAGAAAAGGGTGAGGCTCAACACTAAATTTGTAGCCATAATGGCTAAAAGAAGAGTGGTTGAGGAACGACGCCAGCAGCATCTATGGCCAGTACCACATCAACCCCGACCTGGCACATCTGTCAAAAACCTCATACTGTCTTTAGAAGCAGCTGTTCCTAGCACAGAAACACCCATAGTAATAATAACCTATTCTAATGAAAAGCATGAATCTGACAATAGCATTTAGGGGCTGTAAGTCGACCTCCTCCGCTCTGGATGGGTTTCAAGCCAATGAGGGTCAACTCCCGCGATCGTATCGTTATAGATATTGATCCCGTTCTTCGCAGTTTCTTTTCCTGTTGTGCCTCTTCTGGCTTGAGGGGTCCTCGCACGCGACCAGTCGACGATATCATCGAACCTCCTGCGACAGAAGCGCGTCGAGGCGAAGTCGGGCCCGTAGCGCTGGGCGCTAGCATGCCATTTGAATGTCATTGGGCTCGTGTCGCCATGGCACATGATAGCCTGACGCAAATAATCAACGCAATGGTCTATGTGGAGGTGCCAGTGATCCGGTGTGCCCTCATGCTCATAGAATTCAGGGTAGGTGGCCCTGCGGAGGGAGTCCTATGACGTGAAGGTTAGATGCATGGCCGTAATAAACGACTTGAAGGTTTGCAGCTTAACTTACCAGGCAGTGCAGTTGGTGGAATACGTCGAGTCCGGTAACCCAGTATCCATTTTGCAAGAGGGTCTGGTCGCGGACATTGTCCGCTTCATCGCCTTCGAGGAGCACGGTCCAGACTGTGGTTTAGATGTGAGTAACGTGATTGTTGAAAACATATGTACCACGCATACAGACATAGAGAGATATAACTTACATTCTTCCAAGCCATCCCAAGCTTCGTCCATGTTTGGGGTTGGAGGGCCCGACCAGCGCCTCTGGCCGGGTACGTAGTCGTTGATCAAATCGCCACTCGAGTTCCAGGTGAGAGCGCCCGTGAAGGTCATGTCTATGCCTCGGTAGTTTTCCTCTTCGCAATTGTTAGCCATGTTCAAGTACCTATATGTGAAAAACAAAAATGCTATACATACCTGGTCCGAGAGGTAGCCCTCGGGGATTGTCAACACACAACTGCTTATTGGCATAACTTCCCGTCCCTGTGTGCAACCGGAAGAGCAATACGGCAGTGCTAAAAGCAAAGAAGGCCGTAGAAAAGATCAATGGCCAGGTTCTTGCTCTCGCCGCAGCCCTTTGTTTCGCCTGGGAAGGGGAATAGTCAGGCAATGAGTTGAACTCTGTGTCGACTTCATTTTTGAGAAACGGGTCTCGAGGTGAGGCTTCGTCTTCAAAACTAGACATGATTTGGATGATTTTCTTTTCTCGTCTTGGAAATTTTTGAAGAAGACAAACTCTCCAGTTGAGCGTAGTAGGGTGGGGAGGAAAGATTGTGGTTCTTTCGTTCAGTCTTGGAAATGCGCTTTGTAAGTCGCCACCTACGTCCCTGTCACATAAATTGGAGCGATAAGAGAAGCAATGCAATCATACGGGGCCTGAGCCTACCTGTAACTATTGTTACAAAGGTACCTCGTTTATTCACTCGTATGATCCTGCCAACTACGTAACATACCGCTTGGCACACATGTCGGCCTTCGGCCACTCCCGTGCTAAGGCATCATCCGTCGTTCAAAGTACTACAAGGTTAGATGTTCCGCCCGAATTCCTAATAAGGAAGGAGTAGGGGGCTGATTTACGGCCAATTGGCGCTGGATAAAGCCTTACAAACGTCGAGCCTGATTCCCGGTAAAAGCCCCAGCCTGATACCCGGCAGAAGCCCCAGCCCGATCTGCAACTCTCCGGCAAGGAGTTTATAATAATGATGCAGAGTGGTCACACGACAGGAAACCCCGCCTTTCTTTTTCGCAAGGTCTGACCGTATCAAGTTAAAGCCCGAGTTACACAGTGACATGCCGTAGATTGAAGACGAGGTCCGGAGATCCGCCCCGCCAACCTCACAGCCTGCCATCATGGTGTGTGTCGATCGCCCGGGATTGGACAACTCCCAACAGATAGGCATTGGGGACATCAGATACTACGATACACACACCCCTTTGCCACTAAAGACTAACGCCCCAAGACCTCTCGGACACATTTTGGCCAACCGCCACCAGAGAGGACATGGGTTTGGTATAGTCAACGTAGGGTAACTGATGGAAGTTCAAACTCATTATCTGTTTCAAATTATGGAATATGCATAGAAACTTCCTTCAAGGAGGATCGATATAGTAGTATAGCAGAATACTCTAAAACCATATCGATAGGTCCTAACTGAGCCTTAACCACCGTGGCTACCGCCGTGAAATCCATGGCCTATGTCTCCATCAAAATGTATGTTGCCATCACCTTCACTTCCATCGTCTAAAACATAGAGTGTTTCGTTAATCGGGTATTGGTGAGCCCAGTCCAAGATCTTTTCGAAATTTCTACACGTATGCTCCTTGGCAACGAAGGCAGGTCGCCCCGTGCGATACTTGGTATTGAACTCCATAGGAATGAAGGTCAGTTCCGCTCTGCACATGATGGACTCTCGTAGAGCGTCTATGCAGTGCTCAATGTGCATCTTGTGGGGATGAGGATCCTCCTCATTGATGCCATAGTAATCAACATGCAGCGCCTTGCGGACCATGTTCTACACCGGACAGTAAGTATGGCTGTTGTGATACTTTGCACAATCGGAATTGGGGGATTACTTACGAGACAATGTAGTTGATGGAAAGCTTCGATGCCCACGTACCATGATCCATCTGGCTTTTGGTACGTCTTTCCTATGACCGTCTGGGCGTCTTTGCCTTTGAGGTCGATGACCACACCTTCGCGATCGCATTAGAATCACTTGGCCGTTAACTATCACATAAGAGAGGCACTTACCGTTTGTGATGTGCTCCCAATTCGCATCGATTTCAGGGCTTGGGTCACCCACGAACTGCTTTGATCCGGGCCGAGAGACGCGCTGGAGTATCCCATTCTCGTCCCAGTCCAAATCACTGGAGAAGGTTGTTGTGTACATTTCAATTTGTGACTTGAGAGGTTCTGCGTGGAGGTTAGCAAAATATATCTAATATTCCAGGCAAGCTGCCGTAATCAACCCATGTTGCTCACCTAGTTCTGTATCTAGCCCACGCGATATGTCGTAGGGCGATTTTGTGGCAGCTGAGGCGATCGTCCAGGTAACGACGAGGGAGAGAAGCCAGAGGAAAGGGCCAACGAGCCACCAGGTGCGCTTTGCTACATGGAAGAGTCTAGTCGCGAGACTTCTTGGCTGCTGGCTCAAGGGCAGACCGCTCTCATTGTCGGAGAAGCTGTCATCTTGGCTTCCTCGTTTCGATGAGTCGCTCGACTCTTGTTCCACCTTGGAGTATTTAGTGTAGTTCATGCTTTCAAGAATTTTCGACGACTATAGAATGAAGAAGGAAGGTAAGAGGACAAGTCTTGTGAAAGAAATCGGGGTGTTGTCGTTATACCCTTTTCTGTTACAAGTAAGTGGAACTCACGTACCGTAGAGATGGAGTGGATGAAGAAATCATCGGCTCACACCTCGCAACCCGGCTGCATAGAACCAATTGTATCTCTTGCCATTGCTCTTGCAAAGCGGATAATTCAATTACTCCACTCGGGCTCCTTCCTTATTAGGGCTCAGGCGCTACGTCTAACCTCGTTGTCTCCCACCTCACCGGCAGTTCAGATCCAGAGCCTCGCCTTCGTCACACAAACGTCAACTCCGCCATTAATTGCACCTTTGTTCAGTGAGTATGAAGCGATCCGGAGATACATATCCTTGGATATGATGCAGGATCATATGTCATATGTCGCCGAGGTAGCGTCAGTAATGCCGTGTTCCACAGCGCAGGACGTCGCCACAGAGGCCGGCTATGATAGACAGTTGAATTGCCGGGCTGTCAGTTATGCTTGGTTTGAAAACGTGAGTGGGTGATTAGAGATGAAGAATTGGGAGGCTCTGTCAATCGAGACAAGCAAAACGCTTAGGTAAGAGAGGGACTACAAAGAGCTGGCAACTGCCGGACCTCTGCCTGAGATCCTACTTGAATCTGACGTAGCATTGATAAGCTATAAGAATCCCTTGTCTTACAAGCCCATATCCCGCTTCCACCTGACCAAGCCAAAGAATCACCAACTACAATGAAGTCTTCTATCTGCCTCGTAATCGCAAGCTCTGCACTTGCACTTGCAGCCCCAACCTCCAACGAGGGTGAGTGATCAGTAGCAGTCATCTGCTAAACTTTGAGGGACAACCAAGCTAAAGCCAAGTTTACAGCCCGAACCATTTACACTTATGGTGTCAAGGACTATGAGAATCAGAATGAGAATGACAAGCGCACCATTTACACTTACGGTGTGAAGGACTATGAAAATGACAAGGACAAGAGAACCATATACACCTACGGTGTTAAAGACTATGAGAATGATAAGGACAAGCGTACTATCTACACCTACGGGGTCAAGGACTACGAGAATGAGAAGGAGAACGACAAGCGCACCATCTACACCTATGGTGTGAAGGATTACGAGAATGAAGCCGACAAGGACAAGCGTACCATCTACACTTATGGAGTCAAGGACTACGAAAATGACAAGGACAAGCGTACCATTTACACCTACGGTGTCAAGGACTATGAGAACGACAAGGACAAGCGCACCATCTACACGTATGGTGTCAAGGACTACGAGAATGAGAAGGAGGCAGAGAAATAAATGATGAAATATGTCTGAGAGGCGTGTTTACTCTGTAGTGTAGGGCATATCCTATCTCTTCATTCATAGAACACATTCACTTAGTCAGTCCGTATTTTGCTACTCACGAAACACATTCATTTAGTTGGATACATACCCAAGTAACAATAGCATCAGGTCTTGTATCATAGTTGGTCCAAAACTGACCATTGGAGAAGTCGTTTTAGATAGGGCACGTGCGATGTCCCCAAAAACGGTTAGAGCATGGGGCATGATGCCACTCTGCACCGGCCGCGGTTAGTCTCCGGGGAAGTAGGCTGACACGACCAGTGATCCGACTGGCCGCCTCTGCATCACCAACCAAGTGTTATCTCCAGATAAGCCAAGATGCATCCCGAAGAGACCCGGTGTAGTGGCGTCCATGCATGCTGTAATTACATATTACAGTATGTATACAAAAGTACTAGTTTACTAGGTTTTTTTCTAAGTGCTGCGCTTTATTTTTCTTTAAAAAATACTCTTCTTTATCTATATTTGCAGTATATTCTTATGCGGTACATTAAAACGGTAGAAAATGTACCTTTGAAATAACGACACCTTACTATTGGAATGGAAAGTACTATATCTGGAACCTTTTGTCGATCCACTGTGACAGCATGGATGCCACTATCGAGCGCTGTATCACACCAACATTGGAGTCGCGTCATAGCCTGATTTGTGCAGGATACCGTTTTGACTCATAAACGACAGCGGTGCTATAGGCCCAATAGTTGCCGCAGAGTCACACTGAGTAACTTCCAACACGGAAATAGTCACTGTAAATCAGTGGGGGCGGGCTGTGAGTTTGCAGGTTGTGGTGAGTTTAGGCAGAGTCACCGTACTATACGGTGGCTTGCTACAGTGGATATCGCCGCCTGTGGAACTGGAGATTAGTGACATTTGCGCCCGCCGCCACGCGTCAAACTTAGGTAATAATTCGGTTGGCATTTTTGCGAGGCTCTGAAATCAGGCTCTGGGTGCTGCAGCCAAGCCGCTGCAAACATTTTTTGTACTGCTGAATTGCGAATTGCTAGAATCCCATCTCATCGCCAGGGGATCTGGCACTCCCCCTCCCCCAGAATTTTAGCTGCGTTCGAAAGTCAGATCCAACTGACTCTGACCTTCTCCCCCACCAACCGCTTTGCACGTGTGACTGACAGCTTACACAACGTCTGTCACCCTGCCTCGTCGCTCGTTTTCTGAGCGCTTGTTAAATCATCGATAATTTGTTTCAGCTGTTTGCTTGTTACATTGGCGATAATTCATCTCGCCTACGACGCGTGGTCAATGGCTTCCAGCAATGCCGTCTGTAATGATGGCAGCTTCTCGCCGCCCGTCATCTCGTCCAACTGCCGCGGAGGATTCGACTTTACAGGTATTTATTCTTTGTTCATCGTGTTGGCCCTATCTACTAAACTATTACTTCAATAAACTAGTACTTTTCGAAGAAGTTATACTGTGTATCCTCCCTGCCGCTCTCTACTTGATGGGCGGTTCGCTCGAGAGCGCCTTCATGCTCGGAAAGCACCGCTCCCTTGTCTCGAAATCGCCTCTGCGCTTTGTCAAGCTTACATTCATCTTCATATTTGCTGCATTGCAGATATCTCTCGTCGCGCTATGGGCCACGAAACCGTTTCCCTCTACTGTAACGCCGCTCGTCTCGGCCATCCTCGCGCTTGTCGTTGCTGCTGTTCTCGCTGTCAATTCCACCATCGCTCACCGAGCTAGTCCACGCCCTTCTCTAACAATATCCGTCTATCTATTTCTCTCGTCTCTTACCGATGTACCTAGAGTCAGAACCTTGTGGCTCTTGGGAACATACACCAACGTTGCCGCCGTCCTTTCGTCTTCGCTTGCCGTCAAGCTCATTTTACTATGCCTGGAAAATATTGGCAAGCGTCCGTTGCTGCTCGAGAAACATGCCGACATATCTCACGAGGAGACAGCAGGTCTGTTCTCCAGAGGATTCTTTTTCTGGCTAAATAGGCTCATGATTACCGGCTCGCGTCAGGTTCTCAACCTGCACACGCTCTTCTCGATCCACCAAAGAATCAACTCTTCTGCAACTTTCTCCCAGCTGAAAAAAGCAATTGGAAACAGTAAATATATATTTCATCTCAATCGTCATGCATGCTTTCGCTAACAAAAGTATCAGCCAACATGTCACACAAATACGGCCTCGTCTTTGCAACCCTCAAGGCGTGGCCGTGTGAAGCTGCCAAAATCATCTTCCCTAGATTGGTGGTTCTTGCTTGCAGTCTTATCCAGCCGTTTTTAGTAGAAGCAGTCATTGACAATGTCCTGGCCCCGGACACGCAGGCCATTCGCAACAGTGGCTACGGGCTTATTGGTGCCATCGCGCTAACCTACTTCACCTCAACGGTATATAGTATTCCCATCTAAGCTCTATAGCATGATTTGCTAATAGGATATAGGTCATGACGGGCATTTACGAACAGCTTACATATCGGTACCTGGCTCTTATTCGTGGCGGACTCATTACCAACATCTTCGACAAATTAAACAACATCCGCACCAAGGCCGCCACGGATCGCGATTCACCCATCATGACGCTGATTGGAACCGATGTAGAAAGAATATGTGAGACGTGGAACTTCCTTATTGCCGAACTATGGTCTGCTGTTCTACAGCTTGTAATCGGTGTTTGGCTTTTAGAGCGACAGCTCGGCGCCGTTTGTATCGCACCAATCATTCTGGCGGGTGTCTCAACATTCATTTGCGGAAAGGTTAGCGCTCTTATGGGCCCTCGTCAAGGTATGTGGCTCAAGGCAGTCCAAAGACGCGTCAACTTCACATCTCATGCCGTGGGACATATTAAGAGCATCAAAATGCTCGGGTACACGCCTTCAATTCAAAACATGATCCAGTCACAGCGAGATGAGGAACTCGAAATCTCCAAGAAGTTTCGACGAGTGTTGAGCTTCATAGTCTGTCTTGTCAACGTGCCCAACATTATTAGCCAGCTGATTACATTCGCTGCGTATGCTATAGTATCTCAGGTGCAAGGCAAGGACGACTTTGACACCACCAAGGCGATTACGTCGCTGGCACTTCTTTCTATCATCATGCAACCACTAGGCCAACTACTTTTCGCTGTACCACAGGCATTTGCTGCCATCGGCTGTTTTGAGCGAATCCAAGCCTTCTTGAACGAAAAGGAAACGCAAGATGATCGTGTTATTGGCCAGAAAAATGTCACGCTGGAAAATTCGGAGGCAGGTATTGCTCTTCAGGAGATGAAGCCAGTTCTTGGCTCAGATAATGTGCCTGCTATCAGTGTGCAGAATGCCACCATTGGATGGGAAAACCCCGTGGTACACAATGTATCTTTCTCATCGTCAAACGATTCAAGATTTATTGCGTTGGTTGGACCTGTTGGTTCGGGAAAATCAACAATTATCAGCGCGTTGTTAGGAGAAGCTCAAATCTTGAGTGGCATTGTTCAACTCGCTACAAACAACATCGCCTTCTGCCAACAGACACCATGGCTACCCTCCGGGACTATACGGGATCAAATTATTGGCGATGATTGCTTTTCCAAGGAGTGGTACGATGAAATAGTCAGGGCATGTGCTCTAGACCATGATATTGCGACGCTGGAAGATGGCGATCGATCCCAAGCTGGAGCGCAAGGTGTATCGCTAAGCGGCGGACAACGCCAGCGTTTAGCAATCGCTCGTGCGCTGTATGCCAGGAAGCCAATTGCCATTTTCGACGATGTCCTGAGCGCGCTAGACTCCTCTACCCAAGACATTATTGCCGACAAGGTGTTTGGTCGTGATGGTCTACTGCGCCGGATGAACGCTACTGTCGTACTTGCCACCCACTCGATGCGCCATTTACACGTGGCAGACATGATAGTAGCCTTGACATCAGACGGAAAGTATACAACACATGCAGTCGATCGCTCTCGCACCGAACTCATCGTACAAGTTGTAATCCCGGATGATCAGCCTGGCCAAGCTGCCTCTATTTCCGGTGTCACTGCCAAAACAGTCGTTGCGGACAAGGACTTCAGAAAAGAAGCCGAAAATTTAGCCAATGCGAGTAAGAGCATCGGCGATCTTGAGGTTTACAAGTACTACTTTGCGTCTCTGGGGTGGTCTAGTCTCTGCATCTTTTTAGGTTTCATTCTCACCGAGGCTGGCTTCTCCGCGGTACAACTTGTGTGGGTCAAACTTTGGTCATCCAGCGATGATAGAAACAATTCAAAGTATTGGCTTAGTCTGTACGCATTGTGGGCTGTCATTCGTGCTGGTTGCCTCATTGCCGCTGTCTACTACCTCTACGTGGGCATTGTGCCCAAGTCAGGAAAGCGGCTCCATCGGTCTGTTCTGAATGCCGCGTTCAAAGCACCCATGTCTTTCCATTCAAAAACAGAGGTTGGAACTTTGGTGAACCGATTCAGTCAAGATATGCAGCTCATTGATATGATTCTGCCTGGTGCATTGATCACGGCCTCATTCCACGCAGCAAGTTGCATATCGGTTTCAGCACTCACCATTGTGGCAACGCCGTATTTTGCGGCGGTTCTGCCTTTCATCTTGCTAGCATTGGGCACAGTCCACCGATTTTACCTTCGGACCTCCAAGCAGCTTCGACTTCTTGAGTAAGTAACACACCAACGAAAGAAATTTTTATACGACGCTGACAATAAATACAGGCTGGAAAGCAAAGCGCCGCTATATTCACACATCATTGACACTATCAATGGCATTGTGTCCGTTCGAGCATTTGGGTGGTTCGCGTCATACAAAGATCAATACTTCCAACTTCTGGACGAATGCCAGAAGCCATTCTACCTGTTGCTCTGCATCCAACGGTGGCTATCTGTTGTTCTTGGACTTGCAGTCACATGCATGGCAACCATCCTTGTTGCTATTGCGGTCACGGTACGAGGATCCAATGTCAGTGCCGGATTTACTGGCGTAGCCCTCGTGAACATGATGAGTTTGAGTCAAAGTCTTGCTTCTCTCATTATCTCTTGGACGTCGTTGGAAACATCGCTTGGTGCAGTATCTCGAGTCAAGTCATTCTCTGAGGACACCCCTGCTGAAGAAAGCCCAGACGTACCTGTTACCGACAATTGGCCAACATCAGGATGCCTCCAATTCAATGATGTTACAGCTGCCCATGGTGACTCTGTCGCGCTTCGCAATATATCACTTGAAATTGCATCTGGTGAAAGAATTGCTGTTTGTGGTCGGACTGGTAGCGGCAAGAGTTCGCTTATTTCCTCTGCCCTAGGCATGACGGATATTCGCTCAGGCATCATCAAGCTTGATGGCCAAGACCTTAGTCAAATTGACCGAGAAACGGTTCGCAGCAGGGCAACCTACATTACGCAGGACCCATTCTTATTCACTGGGACATTGCGCCAGAACTTGGGTCTCGGAGGTGACAGTACCGATGCAGAGCTCGAAGAATGTTTGACAGAGGTCGGTCTGTGGGAGCAGGCGAAAGAATCATCCGGTGAGACAAGCACGAAGGCTGTTCTGGATATGGACATGGAGCAGATGCATCTGTCTCACGGTCAGAAGCAGTTGCTATGCCTTGCTCGTGCGCTTTTACGCAAGAGCAAATTGGTACTTCTGGATGAGCCGACGGCTAGGTATTTTATATTTACGGTTTTTCATGATTAAAAGCTAACGTCTGTCTTCTAGCGTTGATACAGTCACTGAAACAAAGATGGCTGAAGTTATTGCCCGCAAATTCAAAGACGCCACCGTCATCATGGTCACACATCGACTTTCGTCAATTCATTCATTCGACAAAGTCGTCGTCTTGAATACAGGCGAAATAGTAGAGTACGGACCGCCAGATGAACTGTTATCGGATCCTTCAAGCGCCCTTCACCAGCTTTACCGTGTACAGGCTGACTCTTTGCCGACTGCGGCAGATTAGTAACTTGGGCATGCATGTAGACATGAGCCTATCAACAGAGAGTCATTACTCCCATGTATATTCGGATTTTCTTTTACATCACAAAAGTATTGTAATTTCGTCGCTCCTGTTTTAGAAACTATTCTCGCCATTCTATGTGACATGTGACGTGCCGTCGTCTCGTGTAAACAAGCTCAATTCGGCAGCTCGCTCCTGGGTAAATGTAATGGATAGGGCTGATGGTGGCTTGCGATTGCTGTGATCTCAGGTGTGCGTTGCTCGTACCGTCGCTGGAAAGGTACCAGCATCAACTTGGATAAGGATACAACGGCACATATATTAATAAATATTCTCACGCAAGGATAACAATTCAAATTAATTTTATATTTTTAAAATATTTATTAAATAGCATAGTTCTTGGTAAAACATACTTGTCGCGTGGAAACGATAGATGTATAAGTGGCGACCGAACCAACACAGCTGCCCGCCACTGGCTTGCGCCAAAACCTCAGCTCGAATTTTATGCGACTTACCGAATCTTGTCGACTATGTGGAAGAAGAAAGTTTGGGAAAGTATATATGGCCACATGACATCTTTTCCATATTTCTACCGTTTCTCTACTCACCGGGCAGTCGGACTTCTTCAACCCATTTCTACTGTCCTTGTTCGAGTCTCACGTTAACATAGTTACATACAGTTTTCCACATTGAACACAATCCCAATGGATAAAGTTGGACGTGTATTCAACGGCCCGGACAGAGAGGTACCCATGCGGGTAGTTGTCTGTGGCCTGCCACGAACTGGAACCATGAGTACGTATAGCTAACAGTCTCAGAAATCCATGTATACTAACCAACCTAGGCATGCGACTGGCTCTACACCAGCTAGGAATTTACCAATGCTATCATATGCTGAGTGTCCTGGGTGACTTGGACAATCAGCCGAACATGTGGATTAGTGCTTTTGATGCCAAGTATGGCTCCAAGGGTAAATGGCCCTGGAGTAGGGAAGATTGGGACAAGATTCTGGGCCTCTCACAAGCCTGTTGTGATATGCCTGCGGCGGTCTTTAGCGTCGAAATTGCAAATGCATACCCCGAAGCGAAAGTCGTCATACTGAACCGAGACGCCGATGCATGGTATGAAAGCGTGCAATCCACCATTACCAACGCAATGAAACCAAAGACAGTGTGGGGAATGATTAGCACTCTTTACATGGCTGCCCTTGACTCTCGGCAGCGCAACTGGATGCGAATGGGGATGACCATGGGCAAATATCTCATCACATTGGACGATCCAAAGAAAAAGGGAGAAACAATTGCATGGTTTCATGAGCAGTACAAGGGATTTCGCGACGGCATCTTAGAAGAGCGACGCATTGAATTCTCGGTCAAGGACGGATGGGCGCCACTCTGCGAACATCTCGGCTTGCCTATCCCTCTAGTCTTGGATAAGGCATCAGGAGAAATGGTTGAGGCGCCGTTCCCGCATGTCAATGATCGAGAGACATGGTTGAAGAACTTTAAAGAAATGAGGGCAAAGATGGCAATTGTTTGCCATAAAACCTTGTTCAATATACTTTGCCCGCTCGCTGCCGTAGTTCTTCTCGGCTGTCTAATTTGGAAGGTAGCTAGGTAGAGCTGAAAATTACATGTCTATTTACTTTCCTTCTATGAAGACCCTTTGCACTGGCTTCCCCACACTAAACGAGCGGCTAAACGGGGATCGAGCCATGGCTCATCACACCACCGCTAAGCGACAGGTCCGTTAAGCGACGGGGCCGAACTCTTCTTTCCCTACTCGTATATTGCGCGGGAATTTAGATTGATGATGCAACTCGCATCAGTAACTATAAAGTATAAGATATCATCGCCTCCCATTCATATAGTACATAGATATCATGTGAATTCTACTCAACTATTCACTTTATTACCCAATACCTCGGCCAATTGCACACAAACGTGGAACATTGCTACTTCACCTTTATCTATATCATTATCATCATGAAGTTTACTCTTGTTCAATATGTGCCCTTTTTAGTGCCACTCGCTAGCGCTACTTCATTTTACTTTGACGGGTCACTATCCAGCAACGGCGACGGCTCACAGTCAAAGCCGTTCAACACGCTCACTGGCATCCCCTCCCTTGCTCTGCAGCCGGGAGATAATATTCTGCTTAAGAAGGGGACAAAATTTGGACAAACCCTTCATCTGACCAAAAGTGGCACAGCCCAATCACCTATCACGATTGGCTCCTATGGAAGCGATACTGCTAGTGCCCCAGTGGTTCAATGTCCGGCCACTGGCATTAACAGTATATTGCTGGAAGGGGTTGAATATGTCACATTGCAGGACTTGGAGATCACAAACCCAGGTGACAACACCACTGTTCGACGCGGTGTCTATGTCTATGCCAAGGACAAAGGTGCAGTGGCTGGAATCACTCTCCAGCGCCTGTACATTCACGATGTGACGGGCCGCACACCATCCACTGTGACCGGCTATTCCACAGGCAAATACGCTAATGCCACTGGTGGCATAGTCATTGAAGCACAGGGAAACACCACTGGCACATACTTTACGGGATTGACCATCGCCGACAACCTGTTGGTCAATGTAGCCCGCCAGGGTATTTATACATGGTCCAACTGGTGCCGTCGACCAGAGCTCGCCTCGTTCTGGAACTCGCTTTGCAGTGCTACTTGGTACGCATCTACGGGATTCACTGTGAAGAACAATCGTTTGGTAAATGTTGCTGGTGATGGAATTGTTATCACCGGCAACGAAGACGCCAAGACAGTGAACAATCTTATCCAGGGTTTTCATTATGGAGGCGGTGGTAACAGCGCTGGCATTTGGACTGCAAACAGCGTGGGCAGCTACTTTGCATACAATGATGTCTCTGGAGGCCAAACCACAGGTGACGGTAAGCTTTATTTATTTGAGTTTTCTATGTAGATCAAAGTAAAAACTAACCCACTGACTAGGAATGTCGTATGATGTTGATCACTCTACATCTGGTACCGTTTTTGAGTATAATCTCTCTCATGACAACGAGGGTGGATTCTTTCTCTTGTGTCCCTACGACAAACCAACTACCAATTTCACCATCAGGTACAACCTATCTGTCAATGACCGCGCACGCATTTTCCAGGTCTGTCCCGGAGACCTCGTCGGCGGTGAGATATACAAAAACACTATCCTCATTGGCAACGGAATATCGCAGCAAGTGGTGACGGCTCCAACGGGCAAAAACCTGAGTCTTGACGTCCAATTCACCGACAACATTGTCAAGACTGTAGGCAGTGGCACTGGACACTGGAATCTCGATAGCCCTGAGTTCCTTCTTAACAACAATGTTTTCCACGGGGCAATCGATAGCTTCCCTGGTGCCACAGACAGCATCACCAATCCACCTGGTCTCGCTGCTCCGGGTCTGCGTGATCCCTATGCATACAAGTTGCTAAGCGCTAGCGCTTCTGCCCTCGACTCTGCAGTAGCCATTGCTGGGGATGCCACAGAGGACTTTTTTGGGAACAGAGTTACTCATAAAAATATTGGATTCTATGGTGGCGCAGGGACCAAAGTTCCTCAATGGATCAGCTCGTTTGATGCCGGCACACTTTCCCCATGGACTACTAATAGCGCCTCGATTGTTACCGACCCTTCTGGAAATTTGGGCAAGTCCGTGTTGCTCGGAGCAGGAGGCTCTCTATCACGCAGCTTTAGCGTATCTTCAAGCGGTCTACGCTTCAATGTGAGGTTGTGGTTCGGTGGCGCGTCCGACACGGCTGCTACAGTGCAGGTTGGAGGCATCAAAGTCACGTTCAGCAATCTCAAAACGACCCAAGTGGGCTGGTGGCAGATTTTAGTTGTTGAGATTGCAGCCGATGGAACTTCTACAGCCAAACTCGGCTCCCAGGCTGGTACCAGCTCCTGGCCTGTGTCAAGCGTCACCAGCTCTGGTGATGTTGTCATTAGCGCAGGGGGTAGCTCTCTGTATTTAGACGACGCTTTCATCACTTCATTATAGGCGGTAATATATTTGTTGTCTTATTATATGATTTCACACTGCAATAGTACCCTAGGCTCGACTATGGCCTGCTTCGCCGCTTCCAAACGCACCGGTGTCATATTGTGGCTCAGTATAATACGGACCTAGCATATCGGCACCGTAGCTCTCTGGAGCATATGTGGGTAGCAAATCTGTCAACCCCATGTACACCTGCAGTTCATCAAAGCTCGTTGGTAGATACATGGCCATCGCATCGAGCGAGACTGCAGCGTTTGGATCTCTGGCTGGCTCGCCACTGAGGTGTATTTGACCATGATCGAAATAGGGTGGTGTTTCTATCACCTCCTCGCTGTCCTTGTCGCCGTTGTCTTGAGTCATAGCATGCTTCCGGGCCATCCTGTAGATGGCGAGCGGGTTGAGAACGTCCTCTGCAGACTTGGACGCACCTGAATTGCGACTACCACTATGTACCACAGGCTCGCCCACAGAGGCCGCTGCTACCAGATTCAAAGTCGCGTCAAGAAGCGGCTTTGCCAAAGCAATCAGTGGCACCAGTCTGGTTAGCATTTCCGCGTTGGTCTTTAGAGCAGCATCTACATCTGTAACCAACGTTTCGCGCGCTGCAGCTGAGCCGAGTTGCTTGCTGCGGTAGTGCACTTGTACTCTTGATACATCATGCGCAACCACACATAACCAGGTGTCGCTGTATGCTTCTGGACCGTGCGTTAATGCATCACGAAAGATGGCGGAGACGGACATGGAGTTGTCGAAGCAGTCGTCCTGGACGTCGATCAAAAATTGGCGTTGTTCTGCAGGAAAGACGAGGGGATTCTTGATGCGGAAGAGGTCACTCATCCCAATGCGTGTGAGATCACACACGGTCTGGTGGTAGCAGAGATGTAGGAACAGCAAACCGCCGTGTTGATTGGTGATTTTTCTTTTCTGGATGGCGGACCTGGTGAAGCGCAAGCTTGCTGGGAGTCCGCTGTTCCACCTCTTGAGGTCTTGATAAAGCTTGCTCCATTCCGACTGTGCTTCCCATGGGGGTTGTATAACGTCTAAATGCTTGACGATTCTTAACACGGCTTTGCGAAGAGTAAGTAGTAGCACAAATTGCGCCTCCAAGTCTAGGTGCTGCGATTGCTCCAAGCTCTGCCAGTATTGTGACGTGTGTACCTGAGAAGATGGTTCCATCTCCATGATAAAATCGGTTTCTGCCATGGGTAGCGGCACGTGGATGTTTCTTTCGTGGAGCATGGTTAGCTCATCGACACCACTGCCTACCCATGCATCGAGAATAAACGTACTCCACATAGTTCGGCGGCAGGATTCGTAGAAACAAGGCGGTTTGAGACTATGCTCGTCCTGCTTGTCAACGTTCAAGCCAAGGGCCTGCGAAAGACGGACCGCAAGGCCTGTAAGCATAAAGGCAGAGACATAGTTTCCCACACGCAGCTCATGCTCATGAAGTAAGATGTATGTCTATACAGTGTTTAGTTTAAATGACTACACCACAGTATGGTTTGAGCCTATAGGCTTACCATTAGCGTCTCACAGGTAGGCCGGTTAATATGGCTCAATAGCAGCGACTGCGCTTTTCGTGCCCACTGGCTACCTGATTGTAGGGCGTGCAGCGTGGTTGACTCACTAATTGACTGTTGGTTATGTACAAATCTATACATCGTCAGCCTTGTCACCCTCGCCGCTGGGATATGCTATCAATCTCATACTTGGCTGCAATGGCACACACTGCCAGTAGTAAAGGGTTGTGATTCCGATCTTGTTCTGATTGATCCTCAATCTTCTGCATAAAGCTCGGTCTGTGGATAAATCCAAAACATCTCACAGGGTGCATCACTTTGAAATAGGTATCGATGAGCAGAGACAGCTCCGGCTGTTGTGGCAAAGCCGATCGACTCAACCTAATTACTTAGTTAGCTATTACCATCAACGCTGGAGACTAGCCGTCAACTTTACCATTGTAAACCGCCATCCTGCTGTGCTACTTCCTGCGGCAGCGGCTGTTCGTCTTCTTCCGGAGCGGTCGGCTCGGCATCGCTCCCGCCGTTGGTGAGGCGTCGATGTGCCATCCACCGCGGCTTGGCCTTTAAAGTATACTCGCAATCTATAGTGCGCGCCTCGCAGCGAGGACAAGGGTGGCCACCAGTACATCGCACCTTCGCTGCGCGGCATGGCTTACACGACTTGAGGGCGCGGTGATGACTCAAGGAGTCCAGGAATGTCTCTGGGGTGCCGTCGCCGGAGCGAATGCATGGTAAAGATAGCTTCTCGCAATTGCCGCAGGTGTCTGCTCGTTCATCGCATTTGACCTAGCTGGAATTAGCAGACGAGGCAATAGGGAATGGGAATGAGAATAGGAGCATACCTTTCTTGCGCGGCAGGTAGCGCATCCTACTCTATTAGCTCTCTCCTAATAGGTTCTATACCGGTAATTAGCACAACTCACCTATTCTGGATCGCTTTCGTTTCTCTGGCTTGGATGACATTAGGGTTGCTCGGCGCTATCGGCTAGCATCACGGCAGACTCCGCATCGACCAGTCACCGATTTATGTTGAATAAAACAGGTCGTAAGGGTTATAAAGACTTTTCCTTGCTCGTTTTGATTAATTGTGAATTTCTTGACTACTTTTTAGCAATTGTTGGCACACTCAGCGTGGTAATGGCTTCAGTGGCTAACCTCTGCAAGTGTACTAAACTAAGCGACGGCGCCGGGGACCCTCACCGTTATATTGTCTATTTAGCGTCATCAGGTGCGCTGGTGGTGCGATTTAGGGGGCGCAACAGTCATCAGCCGACCGGAGACATCGCGAGGCATCGTCGGCTATGTGGAGAATCGTGGGGTATTGGGGGCGGCACGTCTTAGGCGTTTATTATTTCGTAAACTGACAGCCCTTGCCTGGGTTTATGAGCCGCCGGTTCTATCAGCCGCTGAATTGTGCAGCTTCTGCGTCTGTGTATATAAATCATGGCCGGGGCCGCCTGAGTCGCAATGCTTCTTGTAGTTTGCTGTTGCTCAAATCATTCCTCATCGAAAAGAAGACATGGCTCCTCGAATCACCAATGCCTATGTCGTCGCCGTACTAGCCACCATTGGTGGTCTGCTTCAAGGCTTTGATGTCAGCTCGCTCTCCGCCATCCTCGCAAGTCCTCAGTACAAGGCGTACTTTGGAACACCCAATGCCGTCGCCCAGGGAGCCATTACAGCGTCCATGGCGGGCGGATCACTACTTGGTTCCCTCTTTGCATCGTGGACTGGTGACCGTATTGGAAGACGCGACACTATCGGTGCTGCTTGCATCGTTTTCATCTGCGGCTCTGCACTCATGTCTGCCGCACAGAACAGGGCCATGCTCGTTGTATCCAGAGTCATCAACGGCTGGGCGGTGGGCATGCTCACAAGCCAGGGGTAAGTCTTTACTGCGTTTGCGTGCACACCTCCAACTCTTACTAACAGAAAATAGTCCGATCTACATTGCTGAAATCAGTCCGACGCACCGCCGTGGCCAGCTTATCTCGCTTCAACAGTGGATGATTACCTGGGGTGTGAGTAGTAGTGAATGCTCCAGACTAAGAGAGTTGACTTGGCTAACTCCTCTTACAGATTCTCATCATGTATTACATCTCCTACGGTACATCCTTCATCGGCTCCAATGCATCGTTCCGCATCCCGTGGGGCATCCAGATGATTCCCGCCATGATTCTCCTCTCATGTGCACCACTAATGCCACGATCGCCACGCTGGTTAGCCAACAAGGACCGATGGGAGGAAGCCCACGCATCACTTGCCGCGTTGCGCTCTGGCGATGATCTGCAGGATCCTGTGGTCCTCCACGAAATGCAGCTAATTCGAGAGAGGGTCGCTGAGGAGCGCAAGCATGGCTCCGCGTCTTGGGCTGAGGTGTTTTCGCGCCGAAACATTATACGCGTCCATGTAGCAGTCTTCTCGCACATCTGGGCTCAGTATAGCGGCACTAATGCGCTTCTATACTACATCGTTTACATCTTCCAGATGGCGGGTTTATCTGGCACCACTAACCTAACGATTGCCTCTATTCAGTATGTCATCAACACCGTCATGACCCTGCCAGCACTCTTCTTCATCGACAAGTTGCCACGCCGCCGCGTCATGATGTCCGGTAGCATGGTCATGGCGATACTCTTATTTGCGACAGGCGCCATCATGGCAACACAGGGACACGCTGTTCCTGGCGGCCTAGCTGGGAGTCCCAACATTACCTGGGTTGTAGAGAACAGCGCAGCTAGCAAGGCTATTATTGTGTGCAGTTATCTTTTCATCGCAACATTTGCCTGCACATGGGGGTGAGTTTATATCTTGTGATATTATTGTTATCCTCTAACGAGAGTATAGGCCTATGGGCTGGGTCTATCCATCTGAAGTCATCCCCCTTTACATCCGATCCAAGGCCGTTTCTCTGGCTACGGTTTTCAATTGGTAGGTTGAACTTCTTAAAACTTTTTTCGTTTTATCCTTGCTAATATTGTAGGCTCTGCAACTTTTCGCTCACTTTCATGACTCCTGTTGCCTTTCAAAACATACAGTGGCGCGTGTACATGATCTTCGGCACGCTGTGCGCCTGTGCTTTTATTCATGTATATTTATTCTTCCAAGAGACGCGTGGTGTCGCTCTTGAAGAGGTAAACGCCATATTTGACAACAACACTTTTGCTTTTGGCAAGACAAAGCGGTCAGAGCTGGGAGGGCTGGAGGAAAGTGTTGAGATTGCACTATCAAAGGAAAAGAACAACCCTCTCTAAGGTAGACTTTAAGCAATTTCTCAATGGACAATTTTTATTAATTTAATATTCTGTCTAATTTAATATCGCCTTCTATTCTCCACTCCAACTCGTTTAGTAACAGTGAAACTCTGCGCCAGCCTACCTTCCAGGGTAGCAGTGTTCGACCTTGAGCAACGTCACTTCTGAGCAAGATCCTTCATATTAATTTAATGAACTCTGCTTGTCATATTCGTAAAACCCAATATTGATTTTTCTATTACCCGTAACCGATGATGCAAGCCTGTGGCGTGTCGCGCAATATAGCTTCGGCGCCGTCGCTAACGGTGCTGTCGGCTAGCGTGTTCTCCAGGCGGAGAGGTAAAGCAGCTCGTGGCAAGCGCTGTATTTAAAAAGGCTATATAATAGTTTTGCCATATTCATCTCACCTTATTCGTCATTCAACAATTCTCATAGCTATACGCGCTGTGAACAATGGCACCGCGCAATATTCTGCTACTCATCGCGGATGACCTCGGCCGCGACCAGATCGCGTGCTATGGGAATGATCGCATCGCAACACCCAACCTAGATGGGCTTGCGGCATCAGGGTCGCGATTCAACATGGCCTTTGCTAGCACGGCTTCATGCAGTGGTAGCCGCACTACAGTCTACACAGGCTTGCACACACACGAGAATGGCAGCTACGGGCTTGTCGGTGAGCGCAATGGCTTCCAAACATGGCCATACGTCGAAACAGCTCCACAGCTCTTCAACCGGCTAGAGTACAAGACTGGCATCTTGGGAAAGATTCATGTTGCTCCAGAGTCAAGTTATCCGTGGCAGGTTAAGAGTGAGAGCGAGTCGCGAAACGTGGCGAAGACAGCCGATGAGGCAGAGACATTCTTCCAGCAGGCCAAGAAGGAGGACAAGAGCTTCTTCCTGACAATTGGTTATGTTGATCCGCATAGACAGCTCGCAACCCGCGGTGGATTTGGCAACATGGATGGAAACTACGATGCACGCCTCAAAGACAGAATCTACAGTCCAGACGAAGTGGCTGTTCCACCGTTCCTCCAGGATCTACCGGCTATAAGGCAAGAGCTGGCTGAGTACTACCGGTCAATCAACAGACTAGACCAAGGTGTCGGCATGGTCCTCGATGCGCTGGAGCGTGAGGGTCTTGACAAAGACACACTCGTCGTGTTTATGAGCGACAATGGTCCTCCCTTTGTCAACTCAAAAACTACGCTCTATGATGCCGGTATTCGGCTACCGCTGCTCATGCGTGTACCGGGCAAAACAGCAGGCATCATCAACGAAAATATGGTTTCGTGGCTCGACATCCTGCCAACGTTCCTCGACTGGGCTGGCCACCCTGACCTTCCACCCGCCTCAACTTCAGCCATACCTCGGCGAGGCCGCTCCATGCTACCAATTATGGATGCTGCTGAGATATCCTCGTTGTGGAAGCAGCACGTCTTTGGATCTCACACGTTCCATGAAATTACCAATTACTGGCCTACCCGATATGCGCGTACCAGGCGATACAAGTATCACCGTAACGTGTGCTGGAAACTAGACTTTCCTTTTGCCATGGATCTGTATGCGAGCCTGTCCTTTGAGGCCATGCGCAATTCCCAGCCGCCCATGATTGGTAGACGATCGCTGCAGAGCTACATCTGCCGACCAGCCGAAGAGCTCTACGATCTGGAAAGCGATCCAGATGAAGTGAAAAATCTGGCAGAGGGCTCTGAGCACCGGGAGATATTACTTGAGCTGCGCAAGGCAACAGAGAGCTGGCAGATGGAAACAAAAGACCTCTGGTTGTGGAAAGATGGTGTTGCGTTGCAGAGATTCAAGGAGTTCAACTATGAGCGCGAGGGACTTAAAATTCCCGACAAGCTGGATTTTGACGTTGAGAATCCTGGGACTGTCGGCGTTGATACAGTGACGCTGCATGGCGATGGTGTGAGTCGGAGTGAGTAATTTCTACTGGAGATTGAACTGCCGTGTTTGGCTCATAGAATAGATCAATCAACCGGATTGCATATAACATGCCCGAAGCAAATGCATTTAGCAGTTAAAAATGCGCTGATCTATGTAAAGGCTGCTGAGACTCACATCAGGTCGTTACACAGACTTCCCAAAACAAACATGCTGCATATTCAGCTACGGTAAAAGCAAGACACGGGAAGAAGCGACACAGTAGCACAGTGAGGCGACTTTGGATGATGGGGAAATTGTTTCCGTTAGTGGAAAGTCGTCCATCTCACCGAATTGTGATACCACCGCCGTCGCCGTGTCTCAGTATGCCGTGTCTGGGCCGTTCGACACCATCTCTAATGCAGCTCAACAGGGCTATGAATGAATACAGATGCGGCACCCCCTTCGGTTACCTCGATGGATAATTGGCTTTCTTAAGCTTGTTTCGGAGGCTGTATGGGTTACACAGCATTGATAAAATGCCCGATGGCTGCCAGAGATGCATCATCTCACTGCGCGGGATGGGCGGCACACTCCTGCACTCCGGTGAGAATACGCCCAATTCTTCTAGTAGAACCCGAAAGCAGGACACGAGTCTGATCGACGAAATATGAAAAAGGCATTTCAAAAACGGGAACTCCGAGTCCCGGCACTTCGAGGCTTGCATGGCATATCGAGGCTTGCATAACACACCAAGACTCAGCGAATCGATACTCGACACATAGCGAAAGGCTGCATCGAGATATGTCATCTAGAGACAGGTTACACAGTAGTCCGGAGAGAGGCGCAGGAATATCTGTCATTACATGGACAAATTCGTGTTTGTATATATATCGACTCTAGTCGGGGTCCAGAGACTGACTCCAGAACAATCCAGCTAGCCCACTGTCAGCATCCCCCAAATACATCAATACCCAATCATAGAATATTCATTTATTCAAAGTCCTTCTTCTCTTTAAAAATGCTTCCAAATTTTATTGCCGGCCTTGGTCTTGGCCTATCTCTCATTCATGGAGTTACGGCTTCGCCAACCAGCCATGTTAATATCCCCCGCGATCCCTCGTTCGATATTAGCCGTATCGAACACCATGAAGATAAGGAGCTGCTGGCAGCAATTAGCAAATACTTCATCTCCTTCACTACTGGAGATTATGATGGAATGAGCGCTCTACAAGCAGAGGACTTCCACATCACGGATATTCGTAAGTACTTGCTCCATCTTTCTACAAAGACACTATAACTAATGTCATTTAGCTCTTGAGATTGTGAGGGCGAACAAGCAACAGTGGAATAAAGCAAACTCGGGTTTCAGTTCTCTCATGACAAATGTCACTGTTGAAGCCATTTCTATTGCTGGCAGTTCTGAGCCTGGCTCATTCGCTGCTATGGAGAATGTTGTTCGGTTTACCTTGGCGGTTGATCCTCCACCTGATGCCGCGAAAAATCTGCCACCCGGTATCAAGAAGGGTGATAGATCGGGCATGATTATGTTGTCTACCATCTGGTGGAATGAGGATGGGTTGGTGTATCGTGACTTGGAGTACGGCAGACTGATCTGGGATCATTTTGATATTGATGCTTTCAAGACCTCAGAGGAAGCAGAACTCTAGTTTTGTTGTTATTGTTCTTCAACAGAACTCGCTTTAGTTTTATTCTTAGTTATATGTTTTAATGCATAGTTGATACAACATCAAAGCCTTTCGGATCCTATTTAACAAAACCCGAAACTCTGGCCTGATGGTAAGCAATTTGTGACTCGACTAGACACTCGTCTCATAGGGCATATCCGCCAGGTGCGATCATGGTGATTTTATTTCCCGTCTACAACTCACACAAAAATTAATACTTGCATAAATTGCGCGAACTATTCACAAGTTAATACCTGACTACCAAGAGCAGGTGGAGATGAAACTATCTCGATAGACAATTTGTTTCAAGCGCATTTATTAATAGCGCTGGGCATTTATTGCGTTAACAATACAACACTACGCTCGCCGCCACAGCCCTTAACCTGGGGGATAAAAAAACAGCGTACGAACTAATGCGTTCGCTTTATGTTGGGTTATTATAAATATTGCCTCATTTTTCCACATGCAAAAGGTTATAAGATTGCAGCGCCTGTGCGCGAATGGTGAATCTGCATCATCATGTTGCTCAACAAGCTGCTCGTAGTTTTCGCCGCCACGGCGGCGGCATTGATTCCCATAGAAGGGGGCAAGCCGTGCGGAACAGAACTTACTGACGAGGATAGGCAGATGTCGGCATGGCTTAGTATACTACCTCCCGTGACTTCTCAAGAGAATATTGTTATCGACACATACATGCATATTATAGCAGAGTCCAACTCTACTGAAGGAGGCTATGTTCCTGTAAATAGGCGCCAATATACACCGGTGTTCAAATCTGCTCATTCGCTCTATAGAAAGAAGAAATGGAAATTCAATTCAAAAATTTGGTCAAAGACTACGAAAAAACCGGTTTCACGTTCGCTCTCAAGGACATCACCTGGACAGTCAACGAGGAGTGGTCCAACCTGAATGAGCGGTCATTTACGCCACAAGTAAAGGCTCTGCGCAAGGGCTCTTACAAGACGCTTAATCTGTTCTATGTCAAGTTTATCAAAGGTGCTGGTGGCTTCTGTGGGTATCCGAAACGAAATCCAAGCCAGAACGAAATTCTGCACAATGTGTGCTTCAACCGTCTGTTCATCTTACCGAATGGAAGACCGGGTTCCCTGGGAAAAACGACGACGCACGAGGTCGGTCATTAGATGAACCTGATACATCTACACGAGGGTGGGTGCGCGAATCCAAATGATTATGTTGACGACACCCCAGCCGAGAAGCTTGGAGACTTTAAGCTCCATCCCTGTGACAATAAGGACAAGGACCCTTGTCCCAACATGCCCGGCAAGGATCCCATTCATAATAACATGGCCTATGTCATTGAGTGGGTTCTCTACAAGCCCCAATGTGGACATCTGAGTGACAGAATAACAAGTTGAAATAGCAAATGTTGTGAAGAGTTTACGCCGGGTCAGATTGAAAGAATGAAGAAAAGCTGGGATGCATTTCGCAAAAATTCCTGATATTAGCCACGAATCTGGAGCCGGAAAACCTTGGGTTCACAGCTCAACCGCACAAGCCTATTGTTCATTAGATTGACAGAATATACGTCGTGTTTTTTTTTATTTAAATAAAGTACTTCTGTGATCAACCCTTGTCCGCAAAGTTAAATTTTGTCTTAGCCCATAGTTCCACAAGCGTCGAGGGCCGCACCTCGGCTTCTTCATGTTTTAGGAAAAACAAAATGCTTTTTATTCAACTCACGTGTCCATGAACTCTAATTTATTCCGTCAAGTGTTCTACAAACAAGAATTTCGTATTAGAGGTGGAGTATTGGTAGAAGGCGCGCCAAGAGCTGGCAGGGAGACAGAAAATAATGGATGATCGTAGGAGATTGCCAAGCAACATGGAATAGCGGCAGATCGCCATATGAAACGCCACAGAATATCAAGAGATATCAAAATAAATGCCACCTCTTGCTCTCGATATAATATGTAAATCCTTGTATATAGTATACACCAATAGTTGAACTACTGTAGCGAATCCGGAGACCGTACTGGACTAGCGTACTAATCACGAAACCCCAGTTCTTCGTTAAACCCATCACACGACCACACGAAGCTTACTACCCCGGATTGTTGACCTGCGCTATCAGCGGGAATACGTCATGTAAGGCGCGGGGACGATTGAAATATGTAATGGCTACTACTACGTATAAGCGACTTCCATGATTGTTCGTAAGCCTCGGCATTTATTTGACGTTTCTAACCGTTAGCGACGACAGCTAGCTAGCACTAGCGCGTTTGATCGCCCCATGCCCATTGCCTCTTTAGGCAGGTGAGCGTGCTAATTGTGCCGATTCTTCCGCCCGAATGTTAATTATTAGCTAACATCTTCAACGGAGCTTGGCCTTCAGTCAGCACCGGGGTAGCCGCGGTGAGATTCCGATTAGGCGCGAGATGGAAGCGAACCACAATCTGGGTCTGGTGAAGGGGTTTCGCCCATTATCTGCCGAGTAAACGTAACCGATCGGCTGCACATGACATGGGCGGACCGTTCTCTTACCTAACTCCATGTTCTCAGAGGTGAAAAGGATGCCTGATACGGGGAGAATGGAAATCGGTTTATGGGGTCCGGCAGATAAGGCATAGCTCGTACGTTGCTCATGGTATACTACTTGAACAACTAATATAAAGAGGATCTGTGTTCCTGTCTACATTGAGACCAGCCACCTCAACAAACGCTTGGCACGCTTCTCACTATCCTCTTTTCAGCATAGTCTACTACACCAAAATGAAGTCCAACATTTTTCTTACCTTTGCTGCAGCCCTTAGCAACGCTTTGGGAGTGGCCGCGGCACCATCCCGCGCGTCTACACGAGCTCGCTTGAGCAGCCTTGGTCAATCTTCCGCTGCCGGACCTAACACTCTCACCAACACCCATTGGTCTGGTGGTCTTTTGAAGACACGAGGCGTAACCAACGTCCAAGGAAGCTTTGTCATTCCCAGTGTCTCTGGACAGGATCCCAATGACTCTGTGGCCGTGTGGGTTGGTATTGACGGTGCTGGTGGTGGCAACTGTGGCAACACACTCATGCAGGCCGGTATTCTCATCTTTGGTGACGGCAGCATCCAGCGTAAGTGGCTTCAAGAGATTCTAGCAAATAGAAAACGGCATAAAACTTACACCCCCCGCTAATAGCATGGTACGAGTGGTGGCCTGAGGAGAGCATCCAATACTTCAACGAGAACTGGGATGTCGCGGCCGGCGATAACATCTTCATGCAGATCACAGCAAACTCCACAACCAGCGGTGTTGCGACTCTCACAAACCAGAGAACTAACCAATCTCTGACTCACTACTTTACGCCCCGCGAGTCCCCGGGAGCTCTTTGCGAGGTCTACGCCGACTGGATCGTCGAGGCCATCTCCTTTGGCAACAGCTTTGCAACTCTGCCCGACTTTGGCACCATCACCTTTACAGACACTCTTGCCAACACGGCTTCAGGTACAGTTACAGCCGACAGCGGTGACATTATCAACATGTCTGGCTACCAGAACAACAATGTCAACTGCAGACATGCTGGCAGCGGCTCTGTGTCCTGCACTCGTGTTTAGAGTGGGTTCACGGTGGAGGTAGCCGTAAGAACAGTCAATATCTTGTCTATAAAATATTGTAAATACACATGTGTCTGTCATTGAGATTTATCAGATGAACGTCAAAATTGTTATGGACTGGACAACCATGCTAATTCGGGCGCCCGGTGCATATTACCTGTTTCCTTTGCGGAGTGGTTCTCTCAGGCTGGGTAAGGTGACAGGACACTAAAATCTCACTACATCGGCTTTAGACACCTATGGAGTGATCAACTGTCGACCGTTGGACACGTTACGAGTACAAGCGCATAATTAACGATTCTAGCACAGAGCCAGACCTCGAAACAACTTGACAACAGTTGTGCTAACCCCACACCAAATATGCCGCTGCCATCCTTTCCGGATCCTACATGCAGAGCTGCAAACAGGATGGCTGGCGGCTGTGGTGTCATATGCAGCAGGATGGACGACAGAGCCAACTACAGCTCGCCAAGTCGTATCTGAAGGATCTGAATCCACAGTCGTGATGCAGCACAGACGGGAAGGTTTCTGCAGTGATGATACCGCAACCATGAAAGAGAAAAACGAATGGAGAGGAAGGATTTGGGACAGGAGTTGAAATGGTTACTTGAGACTATAAAGGTGACTATTTCTCGCCTTTATTCCCTATCCAAAGAGGCTTCTTCTTCAACAGCTTAGCATCCAACGTTTACATCTTATCAACTGAAACATCATGGCATGCCATTGTAGGTTCCTGACGATAGCTTTACCTGCTGATTCCCACTCTCCTTTTCTGATCAATCTCTACTCTTCCCAATGATCTACAGACACACTTTAGCTTTCTTTGCTAATACATATTGGCTAAATTTTAGGGAATGCGACCGTAGAAGATTTGGAGGGGATCCCTTCCATAAACCTCAGTGGCTGGTGTGTCGCTCTCGTAAACGACCATCTGATTATGATGCACACCGAACGATACTCCACTGACTACCTCCTTAAGCACCCCAGCCCAGCGGGCACACTTTTCCACTCCGGCATCTCAGTCAAATCCAAGGAGTTTGATGCCAAGTTTATGGTGCTCCGCCGGATCGGCCAACTTGACGTCGCCGAGGACACTGTTAAAGCGGAGCTACTGGAGAAGTACGCCAAGAGCTGGGGAGGCTACCTTGTCAAGGGAGAGGAAAAGGATTTCTATATGAAGGAGATTGAGGAAGCAAGAGCTGAGCATGAGCCTGGGCCTGATGAGCAAGAAGCTGGTGAGAGGTCGACTACTTCTTCTACACTGACAATAACCACGCGATTCACGTCCATTGCAGGTCTGCAAGTTATTAGTACGTCCACTATTCTATGTCTTGCTATTTATTTGTATTATTGCAGCAAATAGCTTTTTTCTTTTGTAGTAGGCTAATGGGAATGAATTCAACTACAGCCGGCTCACCGAAATGTCGGTGGTCTACGGGGCTGGCCATGTTTTCCTGATTAATACTGAGGGGGGTTATTCGTCACATCTGTCAAACATTGACTGCCACCTTGGGAAGCTTCGCATGGAGCTGTTCGGCTTGGGTCTCCATAAGGCGTCTCTTTGCACAGTCCTGGCCTACTACGAAGAGTCTGGGTATGCCGAGCCAGAAGATCCTTCTGCCGAGACCATGGCAAGCTGGGCCAAGAAGTGCCATGGAGAGCTGGTGGATGGCGAAACCAAGGAGATTCTGCAGGAGTGTATTATGATGGGCGTTTTGGATACACAGCAGTGGCGCCGACAAGAGCACATGCGGGAAGGCTCGTTGCACTGGTCTCCTCTATTGCGGAACGGCGGTCGGGACGATAACCTCATCCGCTACGTTCCCGAGTATTATAAGAGCAGAAGTAACGCAGTCGACTACAATGCAGAGGCGATCATTTACCACGGGGGCTACGGGGAATGGGGAAGCGGTCGAGACGTCAGCCTCGCCGACATCCAGAAAACCCCACGGGCTGTGGTGGGCACTGCCAATTACGCATATAAACACCTCTTCTAATGGCTACTGGAGTGTCAATTGCCAGCAATATGAGGAGTTCTTAGTCTCTTTCTTATTTATTTACATTGAGTTTGTTTTCAGTTCCATTAGTTTGCCACCGAGTATCCCGCTCTTTGTAGTTGTAAAGCCTACCAGTCGCACACCACAGTGACACGTTGGTTGATACTCAAATTCAGCATCATTTCCAGAGATTTACAAGGCCAAATTATTTATTTTTAGTCTATATCACAAATTAATTAACTAAAATTAAAATTGAATTTTAATTTACACACATCTATGTACATGCCGCGAGGGGTATATTTGGAAGGGCTTGAAGTTATTGTACAAAACGAATTTCCGCTGATTGTAACGCCTTTACCTATCTGCCCATATCATGGGGGTGATGCCAACTACCAACACAAGAATGGTAATAATGGCAGCCCCAGCCTTGTCTGCTGTTGTGATTGGACTGAACACTATCGGTGAGTTTTGTTTGTAAATGTCGTTCGTCGAGTTGGAGATGCCGCCACTTGATAGAGTGATCGGCGCCGGAGCATTGTCATACAGCATACTAATGACAGCGCCAAAAACGCTCATTGTTTCGCATGCTCCTGTCGTTGGGGCGGCCATCTTTTGAGGATCAACATAAATGCCGTCGCGCCACATGAAACCGCATTTGCGCCCTGTCGGGCCGCCTGTGCACTGGTTCACAGCGGCCTCGACAGATTTCTGTAGCACGGGCGCAATCTTCGTCTTTGTATGCGGTGCCAATTGTGTCGTTACCGAGAGAAATCGATGAGTGTAGCCTAGATGAAGACAGGAGTTAGCGTGGTGCTTTATATCGGAGTGACTGTTAGCAGGCACATACCCTTCATGCACTTTTGATCTGTCTTGCATTTGTCCCATGGCTCGCAGTTGGGCTCATAAGCAATGGAGTTGTTGAAATTGTTGACGAGGAACTTGTCCAGCAGGTTGTCCAGCCGGCCACCCCATTTCTGGCGATCTGCGCCTTGTGTCTAGAATGTAGTTTGTCAGTATACGAGGTTTCGATGGTATAATGATGTACGTACGTAGTTGTAGAGATAGGCCACAGCTTCAATCAAGACAGCACCATTGGCGCTATAGGTAGCCTTGTTCACCTCTTTGCAATTATCGTCCGTGTAGGCGCCATCATAGATAGCCCATGTTTGGTGATCAATGTAGTTCAATCCCCACATCCAGTCCCAAATGTCATCAGCAGACTGGATAAAGGTATCGTTTCCAGTGTACCTGGCAAGGCGGACACCCATGTTGATGAAACAGGCGTTTGCAATGACGTTTTTATAGTTGTAGCCTTTGTTTTGCGGTGTTGTCTGCCAGTGCAGCCCGTCGCCGCACAAATTGTCAAGGCGGCTGTGCTGGCTGTTCCAGACACTATGCGCGAGATCAATCCACGTCGGCTGGTCTATAGGCGGGTTTGGGAACTTGCTTTCTGCAGCAGAGAGAGCAGCCATGCCCCAGAATGCCTGGTCGTCATTTCCGAGCGATATTGTCCAGTTGGTGGGCTCGTAGTTCTTTCGCTCGCCAATTTGCGCAATCATTCCATCAATGACCATCTTGTTGTAGCTGTCGTCTCCCGTGAGGTGCCAGTAGTCGATAAAGGTACCGAACATGGCGCCTGCCACGTACCAGAAGTAATCGCCCGCGTTTGGATTACCCGGGTCGGGAGGGCCAGGCAAGATGCCAACGGTCTGGCCACTCTGGTTGCCCTTGTAGTAGCTGGACATGTCGTATGCCAATGTCCGCGCCGATTCTTTAATCTCTGCAGTGTTGCCGATTTTGTAAAAGACCGCCTGGGCTGGGCTAGCCAGTGTGGCCGCCAGTGTCAATATTGTTGGCCGCATGGCAAGTTGGAGTTATGTGAGCTCTGCAGACTAGACTATAGCAAATGTATGAGGGGAAGTTGGGTGCCGCTTTCTTCAAGTATAAGGGATGTCGTACAAGGGAGGAGAATAAGAACTAGAAAATATTTTAATAAAAGAAAAGGTGCGTTGTTATGCTTATTGAGATTATACGATGCGCCGTGATACGGGTACGGGAACAACGTAAAGGTAGGGCGGGGATGACAACAGCATGAGATTAAATGGCCCACGAGGCTTAGAGGCGTCGTCATGGTCTATTTTTATTCGTCGTTAGAGGATCCAAACTCTCTGGGAAATAACAACATGCAGCCAACAAGCCGGCTGCAGCCTCCGCACGGTGAATACGAGGCCCGTGTCGCTGGATACGGTTAGCAGACCCAACGAGGCTGTGCTGGTGGGCGGCTTACATCCTACGCTATTGGTGGGATTAGTGCTCGAAGTGGGCGGTTAGTCCGAGCCTAACTCGAAGTAAATAAAACGTTACCTTGCCAAGACCATGGAGCACCAGGTCATATTGTGAACATGCGCCTGCGCCTCTTTGCATCTGGGGAAGCCTTGTTGTTTGCTACATCCTTCTCATCTCTTGTCCCTGTGTTTCTCTACATATTCTTTCTACTTCCCAAAAAGAGACAATTTCATTTTCATTTTCTTTTTCTTTTAGCGTCCTCAGATAATAGTCCGTCGTTTCAAATTCCACACGCTCGTTTCGCACGGTTGTTACAGTTCACTCGCTAAAACGTATATACACCGTCCGAGTCACTCCGAGCCCGTCTCAACCGCGCACGGCTTCTCCAACTGTTTCTCGCGACTTCAACCAACTTTCGATTCAAAATTAATTCTTTCGCTCAGTTTTCTTTTTCTCAGTAAACAACTCTAATTCAACCATGCGCTTCACTCCGACGTGGCAGCGGTGCCTGCTTGCCGTCGGCGCCTTTCTCCTCTCGCCCGTGGCTGGCGAGGACGTATTATACTCATCATCCCTCAACAGCTGCCAGAAATCATCTCTCTTTTCTGCAAGCGTCTTTGACGTCGTCTATACTCCGAAAAACGACTCGGTCGCGATCAAAATTGACGCCAAGTCTGCCATAACGGGCTACGTCAACGTCACAATTCAGGTTTATGCGTATGGCCATCCAGTCATCACCAAAATCATCAACCCTTGTGGCCTGGATGTCAAAGGCTTCTGCCCTATGGAAGCAAGCAAGTTTCCCGATGCGCCCTTCAATATCAATCTAGGCAAGGACAGCCGCGACCAAATCCCTGGTATCGCATTTACCATGCCCGACTTGGATTTGACAGCCCGAGTCTACATCACCGATAGTAAAACCAAAGACTCGTTAGCCTGTCTGGAAGCGACTATTTCTAATGGAAAAACTGTCGACTTGGTCGGTGTCAAGTGGGCAACAGCCATCTGCGCTGGTTTAATTCTTCTGGCTTCCGTGATAATCCATGCCATGGGCCATCACAATGCCGCTACGCACATCGCCGCCAACTTCCTCGCTCTCTTTAGCTATTTCCAAAGCCAGCTCTTTGTCGGTCTGTCCAGTGTTCATCTGCCTCCTATGGCAGCATCATGGGCACAAAACTTCCAGTGGTCCATGGGCATCATCCGAGTCGACTTCTTGCAGAACATCATTACCTGGTACCAGCGCGCCACAGGTGGCTCACCTGCCACTCTCTTTGACCCGGGACGATCACTGTCTATCCAAGTTCAAAAGCGCAGTCTTGACTCATTCACCAGCTCCTCTACCGACGGCCTCATCAGACGCGACAACATTCTTGTGACCCCCGGCAAGTATTTGGTCTATGGTATCCAGCGAGTTGCCTACCGCGCCAAAATTGAGACAACCAACGTCTTTTTAACGGGCTTGGTCTTTTTTGTCCTGGCCATGGTTTTCGCCATGCTCCTGGTTGCGATTTGCAAGGGCATCTACGAGCTTCTCGTATCCAGAAAGGTTATCGGTGCTAATGACCATCTTGGCCTCAGCAAAGACTGGACTGTTGTTCTCAAGGGCATAGTGTATCGCACATGTCTTTTGGGTTTCCCTGCTGTTTGCACTCTTGGACTCTGGGAGTTTACCCAGCGCGACTCTCCTGCTGCTGTCGTGCTTGCAGCCTTCTTTCTTGTCGGCATCCTGGGCCTACTCGGTAAAGCCGCTGTCAACATCATCTCCCTTGGTTCGAAATCCGTCGCTGAATATAACAACCCAGCCTTCATCCTCTTCTCCGACCCGCAGATCCTCAACAAGCTAGGGTTTCTGTATATCCCATTCAAGGCTTCCGCTTACTATTTTATTGCCCCGGCGTTGATCTACATATTTATCAAATCTCTGCTCATCGCTGTTGCGCAACCAGCCCCCGTCGCTCAAGCTATCGGCTTCGTTGTTGTTGAGATCATTGCCATTATTGGTGCTGCCATCATTCGCCCGTGGATGGATAAGCCAACCAACTCGTTCAACATTGCAATCTTGGTCGTCAGCTTTCTCAATGCTGTGTTCATGCTGATCTTTTCTGATATCTTTGGCGCTCCTCCTATTGTTGCTGGTGTCGTTGGTGTCGTCTTCTTCTGTCTCAACGCGGGATTTTCTTTGGTTCTTTTGATCATGCTCATTGTTTCCGCTACTCTGTGCTTCTTCCGCAAGAACCCCGACGCTCGCTATCCCTATATGGCTGATGACCGTGTTTCTTTCATCAGATCACAGACTCAAGTCGACAAGGCCAACGAACTTAGCCTCTTAGCCGCCACTGCCCGTGGTAACGCACCTTCCAGATATATGCAGCTTAATGGTAGCGATATTTCATTGAGGCCGGAGACAAAGTATTGAATGAACAAATGGTTTTTGTCTTCGTTTTCTTTTCTTGTTACATAGCATCGTAAATTGGCAGCGCATACAGGGACGGCGTTTGGCGTGGGTTAGAATAAATGGGATTATTGCCTCAAGAGGAATATTTTAGAATCCAGTCAAGGCATAATAAACTGATTCAATCGTAAAACAACAAAGTGTCTGTATTTATCGGTTTATGTCTCTTTATTCTCCAGCAACGCGAACACTTGCTTTATTCCATCTCTGTCATGCCGCCCACCGCATCTTAGCCTATGAGTTGCTCTACTATTTCCCCTGACGATATGCTTCCCAGGAGCGCTGCATGCGGGTAATCTGGCCCCTAGTAAACTCAGTGCGGCATGAGCTATAAAGAATCTGTTAGCTACCATATTTCCGATGGTTTTTGTTGTCCAACGTACTCATCGGTGTAATCCATGTGGTTGTGGATTGGGTCTACACCAGGTGCTGAGCAGGTATCACGGCCCTCTGGGCAACCAGAAGCGGGAGAGGCTTCAGCAGGAGTATCATCTACTTGGTCGCCGCCATTGCAGCCACCCTCAAACGTGTGGATAAGAAACAACCAGTGACCGACTTCGTGAGTTGTGATGCGGCCCAAGCTAAAACGGGTTCCACGACCGGGCACCGTCCAAGCGCCTTGGACGCAGCCGTCCCTATAAAACGTTGCTGGGTCTCGACTTACTTGGACGGGGTACGTGCAAAATCCAGAAAATTTCGATGCGACGTTTCCGAGGTAGTAGAGGTTCAGTGTGCTATACTGACCTTTGCGCAGGCTTTGCTTCATACCCAGGTCATCATTGCCAGCTGCCCAGTTACTATTTATAGTGTAGTCGGTGTCGATGAGACGAAAAGAGAACCCCGTGGACGAAAAGTCGTCGCTTAAAACTTTCATTTGCTGCTCAATAGTCTGCGCCTATAATAATATTAGGCTATGTCGGGATTATTAGCCTTGTGATAAGGGTTTTACTGAAAGATAACCACCACGCTCCGAGTTGTCAGAGGCAACAATATGAACATATGTGTCGATAACAACGCTGGATGTGATATTTTTGTAATCTTGCGCGAATATGAGGTTGTCGAAAGATTGCAGCTGCTGAGAACTTGGACGGTGACTGAGGCAAGGCATACCTCCTGAGGTTGAGGGAGTGGTAGCTGCTCCAGCCGCCGTCACCCATGCACCAAGTAATAATAAAGAAAGGTTTCCCATGGTGTATGAATATATGTGCTATATCAATCGAATTTGCTGTCACAGTATTAAAAATTTACATTTGACAAGATGAACATTCGCGGCACTTATATGCTCGATCGAAGGGAGCGAGTTACGTGTGAGTGAACAAGTTTTATCCAATTGGCACATTACCATTCTACAGCCTCGTGGAAGTGTTGATAAGTTCTACCGATGAACGCAGACAAGTTTCCATACTTTATTTAGTAACAAAAATTATCCTAACTTTCGCAAATTACCTCTTCTGTGACGTACAAGAGACCTGGCTAGGAGCTACCCGATACCTCCGCGGCCCTAGCCGGATATGCGATACAGGCGCCGTCATTTGTTCTTTATCGCGACCGATAACGCGGCGAATCTAGCTTTAGCATTGAAATTTTAGCTGGAAGCTATCATTATTATGAATGCATCTCTTTTTAACCATCTTAGCCACTGGAGGCGACACTTCGATGCCGCGTTCTGGTGACGTAAAAGCAGCCTGGGTGGTCGTGGCTAGAGCAGGCATTTGTCTGGATCAAGTCATAAAGAGAAACCCATCAAGCAATCTCTTGGCATATTTGACGATCATGTGCTTAATGCCGGATGTTACCCGCCACTTGATGCCGGTGATCTGCCCAGAGCGGCAGATGTCCTTGTCGGTAGAAGATCTTGGCTGCTCTTGGCAGGGTAGTAGTCTCAGTTGCAGTTGTCAGCATGAACAGCGGTGGTGGTACGACGGTCTCGATGTAACTCTAGTCATTGCCGAAATAGGTAGAGTTGTACAAACCGTAAACTGATTCACTATTGGATATGTCGATGCGGGCTCTCTCATGAATCGATCCATGGTGTCTAAGCTGTGGAAATTAATACGAGAGCTTTTCGAAGAGACCAATGCGCGATATTATCTGTCGCAAATTATTTTACAAAGTTGAGGGTTGTATATACCAAGACATATCTAGGCTTAATGAAAAAGTACTTTAACCATATGAAATATCCGTCTTTATTAAAGACAGCAATAGCCTGGTGAAGCGAGGTGATACAGCCGTTAGTATCAATTCCTCGGAAGCTGACACTAGAACCCTATCTTTTGGAGGGTTGTACCTGGAGATCCGAAAGGTAAACAATGAACGGGGCCCCGACTTTGCCTGTATGTATAGCTGTATACATCAGTATACTTTTTTTTAAAAAAAATTAAATTAAGTAATCTCAGAGTCGCTGCTTCCGCCTCCGGAAATGGCGGCACCCCGATTGGGGAAAGCGCCCTCGCCGCTTTAAGGGCGACCCCTGCTCCTGGCCTTAACGCGGCGTGCCTTTAGCACCAAAAGTATATAAACCGCCACACCCGCCCTCGCCCTCGACGTGTACCTTTGACCTTCCACCTCCCTATTACTCAATTTCCCAAGCTTACGCGGCCGCCATTCTGCACCCACAATCATGCGTCAAATTCCACCCCTTTCGCCGCTGCCAAGCATGAATACACCTACGCTTGCCTTAGAAATGTTCCACTGAATTGGCCGAGAGTGTTGAGCCAGGTCCTGCCTCATTGTTGCCTCTTCAAAGTATTCCCACGGTCTACGACGATGTAGCCTAATGCAGTCCGAGGAAACTCAGGCTATATCTTGCAAGAGCGGCATTCCTCGCTCCCGGCGCGATGCATGACACCCAGGCGCTGTCCTGATTCTTGCCCAGTCACGCCAACCAACTACAACCAACCAAAAAATGCCTCATGTCGATCCACCAAAAGCGGCGTTGCTGATACAGGTTGCGCAGTGTGCAACGGTCTAGACCACCACTCAAAACTGGCGTCAACACCTCCGGACCAATAAAATATGGACATGAGACCGGTGGTATTTCGGCCAGACCGGGCACTTGTCAGACGGTTGCATGAGTCTTGACATGTGTCAGCTTGTTATTGGCGTTCAGCGGCTCCCAGCTACTTTGCAGCTTGTCTGAGGCTGAGTTGATAGCAATGCGATGGCGCATGTTCAACGATGCTTGCACGGTACAACTCTTGCCGATCTTGGGCGTATGGTGCAGCGACCGTAACACTCGCGAGGCCTCCAAGACAGTAGTTGTGTGGCTCGGCAATGGCTTGATTGGTGGAATGAGGGCTATTGTGGTCAGACAAATGGCGGTCTCTTTCAAGCTGGAAGGCGCTTTCGACGAAAGTGCTCACTGCGCGAAGGGAAGAACGGCGTCCCAAGTTGCCGAGCCGCATTTTAAGTGCAGGGGCAGTATCTTGACGTATTTAAGGAGCTCGTCTCGCCACCCGCAGACCTTGATTGGAGTCTCTTTCCAAGCCGTCCACGCAAAGCCATTCTAATTTTTTGAGGTAGAATGTCTCGGGCAATTACACTCGAATCCCAGGCATTCTGGGCGCCTCCCACGCAGATTAGGCCCATACGAGGCTCCGAAGCTGCCCTCTCGCAATGCGCATCTCAGACCACATGCACACAACGATCGGCCTTCGACGAGCCGATAACAATATTGTCCGATACGGATTCAGATTGTGAATCAGAGAGTATGAACGGCGATGACAGTGAGCAAGTCCATGTCCGTCATGCGCGAGACGAGCTATCAGGAAACAGTGGCTACCAGCCAAGTATTATGATATCTTTGTCAACTGCGAAATTAATACAGGGTCGACCGAAAGACTCTAAGAACCAAGGCATACTGTGCCCCTGAAGTAGAAGAGGGCAGGACTCGCGGACGCTCAGCCGACATATTTTCTTTAGGGGCGGTTTTTCTGGAGATGTGGGTAGCCTGTGCCAGTCCTGCAGATCGTCAACCTCTTAAAGACATTTTGAAATGCGAGAATACGTTATCGTATGCTGAGAATGTGGACGGAGTACAAGGGTGGATGAAGCAAAAGGCGTTAAGCTTGGAGAATGCAACATGGCAGTCTGAGGTTCTCGGCCTTTGCCGGGCGATGCTCTCCGCCGATCGCACCTTGCGCCCCCGATCCCAAGCCGTAGAGTTGCAGCTCCTGCCAATATGTAACTGCCCACGAAGTATGCAGGTGACAAAAGCAGACGAGCTGATTGAGGCATGCGTGCAAGAGTTAGAAGATGATTTTCGGCGAGCTTTGAACGAAGGCGCAGACGCAAATACGCCAGGAGCCATCCACCTCGCGTCTGCGCGTGGTTCGATCAGTATCGTTCAGGTTCTACTAGACGCTAAGGTTAATATCGACCTCCCTAGCCCAGCTGGGCAGACAGCAATACACTGTGCGGCTCGGACTGGGTCAACTTCTTTGGTTGAATTGTTGTTGCGGTCACGCGCCAATGTCAATGCCAGAGACGACAACAAGCAGACAGCGCTACATGGGGCTGCTGTACATAGACATATTACCATTGTGAAAATGCTGATAGATAGTGGGGCTGATAAGGATCTAGAAGACATTGAAGGGGACACTCCATAGAACCTTGCAGGAAGAAAAGGGCGGGTCGCTGTATTAGAAACCTTGGCTAACGAGTGACCAGTAATTCAATTAGCAAGAGCCACTGCTCCCTTAATACAACAAACAGCAAAATTCCGACTATCGCGCACTCCGGCTTTGGAAATCATTACGCTAGGGAGGCAATCCCCACTCATACTGACACCCTCTTCAATTCCTGAACAACGAGCTCATTGAATACCTGTTGAAGCCTTATCTCAGCTGCCACACACGCTTCTTGGCCCGTCGTCTCCTCAACACCAAGGCCCTCATCACCATGCGCGACTATACAGCGCCTCACGGCTCTCAATATCTGTCACCTGCAACTTCCCGCAAGTCAGGCAGAGGGTTAGACTTGAACAGTGGAAAATCTTCGCCCAGTAGCCACATTCGAGTCCTTGCGTCTTGGTTGGACGGTATCGGCCACCTCCGAAGACAGAGCAATTCGTTAAGAGGCTTCCAGTGAGCCACCTCAAGTAGAACTAACCCTAAACTGTATATATCGTATGTCTTTCGGGAGGTTTCTGCTTTCGGCGCTTCATTTTGGATGCCCGGCCATCGATATAGGTCCCATTTTGGCTCAAGACTGCGACCTGTGGTTCTGTTGCTCTGTGGTCGCGAAAAGTCGAAGCCAGATAGGATAGGCTGGCTAGTCTTGAATTCATCACCGTTGAACACGAAGACAACATTGCCGCTGTGTATTCCCTTGTGCAACCAGTCAACGGTGTGCAGGTATAGCAGTGAGGATGCTAGTTTCCATGCAATGGTTATCCGCTCCCCTAGGGTAGGCTTATACTTCGCCTGACCCAGAAGGCTGTGCAAGGTTCTCAGGTTATCCTTTTTTTCAGATCCTCTGGGCATTGCGAATATCCATCCATATCGGTCATTATGAGCAGCGTCATCAATAAAGCCAATACAATTTGGCGCGCAGAGGTCGTTTGGTTTTGTGTTATGAAGCATCTGTGCTAGAGTCATAACCCTTAATCTCGATGCTTTGCTATGAACAACTTCCACGGTCGCCTTCTCATTATATCTCCATTCAATCCATGCTTCGAGTTAAGACTCATCGCGGATCAAGGCTCCCCTTGCGCGGGTCACCTTCGATGTGGTCTTATTATCATTTTCATCGGTGTGGATAAAATAGTCCGGCAATGTTGCTCCGTTGTACTCCGGAACGTTGATGAGACCGTTCCAGGCGATATGAATGTCAATACTGTCGTCACTTTCGAGGTTTGCAAGGATCATATCCGCGGTGCGATTTATTTCTTTCAGTCGCAACAGATCCCTAAAAGTTTTGTCATTAACAGTGTCGCAATCTGCTCTGAGGTTGTACGGGTTGTTCATCAGGCTATTCATCGCTTCAAGCATAGCCTTGAGCTCTTCGACGTTCGTACGGGTAAGAACCAGCTCTCGATATGTTTCGGCAGTTATATCTGCGACCCGCTTCTGGCGATGGTCAACCAACAGCTGATGGAGCCGTCCGGTAAGGAAGCGTAAATCTTCCAGGAGCTCCTCAAAGGCCTTCTTGTCCACGACGGCCCATCGAATGCGTGACGGATGGGCACTGATATCCCTGGCATCCGCCACTAGCTTCGACATCCACTGTTTGACGCGGCTTTGTTTTCGTACGCGTTTGTGTATTTCCTTTGACTTCGTCTCTTCGTAGGCGATTTCTAAGTGCGAGACCATCTCTGACACATCAGACGCTTCAAGGGAATCGTAGTCTGGGGATTGGTTCGTGATTTCGGTCTTCCAGCGGTTATTAATCTCCCTAAATTCTTCCAGAAGCCACCTTATTCGAGAAAGCACGCTGCAAAGTTCAACCGCGTTGGTCCCCAAGCTTTTAGCCACATCAGAGTCTTCAGTAGCATCGATCAAGCCAACTGCTTTGCCCCAGGCAAGCAGGCGGTTATACTCAATCACGAGCTTGAGTTGACAGTGTTTGTAGTCTTTAGGCATATCCACCATGAGGGAAAGAAATTTGAAAACTAACCATTCATCAGTTTGTACTCGCATGTATTGAAAATAGCACTGACCCTTAACAGAGCTGTCAAACACCTCAAAAACCAGAGACGCCACACCAATGGCGAGACCGGCGGCTGACGCGGGATCCATGTCGACAGACTGGACAAACTCAGGACAAGGGAGCGCTCACTACCTTGCCGTATATACCGACTACCTACTATGGCAAGTTGTGTTGGCTTGAAACTTACCAGAACATGTTTCGAGAGGCATTGGAGGCTAATCCCTCACCACCCACTTGAATGCATACGCACGTGATAGCCGTTGACGATCTTATGCATATTCTCTAGAAATGCTCCGTGTCGCTTGTTGAGCGCTGTTGGGAAATATATTCTAAACCGGCTAATGTCTCCGTCATTGTTAGTGTGAGCTAGCATCCTCAAGTGGTGGCGGTAGTAGTGCAAGCGCCAGTGGTTCAAGTGCTTGCAAGGCCTCGCCTGGGACCGACAGCCATTCTACCGAAGGCCGACACTATACTTGTGCAGCACTTCGGCATTATGGACGTAGGACTTCTCGTAATAGGTTACTATCCTACTGGGAGTTATAAACCCACACGGACACTCAGCGAAGTATTATTAACGCTACCATGCGTTCTGCACCTGGCTCCACGGGCACGAATATTCAGTATTATTTTATAGCTGCAATACTAGTTGCTAGAATTCTTCAATAAATTCGCAATACGGTAACTTCCAACCTAAGCTTGCCATGGATGCGAGCATCCCCTTGCTCGATATGGACTCCAAGTAGAGTGTGCGAAAGTCAACGTCCTTGGCGCCTTGCCAGCGCTTCATGATTAGAGCTGCCTGCGAATTTTGCGATGAAAACGATCCGACGTATATTTGTCTATCCTTGAGCATGCTTCGGCTTGGGGCACAAGTTGCTGATTCATCCGTCCACAAGAAACACGGCAACTTGGCCGCTTGAGCGAGAGGAACAATTGCCGCAAATCCCCAGTCAATAATACTGCAATTGTTTTAGCCTATAGCTATGGAATAGTGTGGCTGAGTGGCGAAGTATTAAACGACTTTCGCTTACCATTTTACATTATACTCTTCGTCAACAATGATGTTCGCTGGCTTCATATCGCCATGGTCCATGGCAAAGAGTCTACTATTGCCATCTTGGCCGAGAACCTTGGGAAGCAGTGCTAGCTGGTCGAGACAGTCCTTCGCGGTGAGACCAGGGAGTTTACCATCATGTGCGCGATTAAGCTGATTTCTGATCCGTCGTTCGAAGAAAGTCGACGCAGTTATAGATCCTAGGAAGCTTAGATTAGTGATGTCTTAAAATTTATCATCCCTTCGGATCGTTCGATGTCCATACGCGTTTCTAAGGTACTCGATATCAATGAAAGTTGAATCTCAGCTATTTGGGCAAGCAAGGCGCCACGAATAGGCTGCGATGGGGTATCGTCATCCCATCTCAAAGGGGAGCCTTCAATCCATTCTAGCACCATGAATGGATACTTGATTGGGTTGTCAAATGTGAGGCTGGCGCCACGGTAGTGAGGGAACCAAGTGAAGCCTTTTTCCTCCAGTGTCCGAAAAATATGCCTTTCCATATCAACGCTATCAATAATGTCTTGTCGATTCCCATCAGTAGGATGGCCGACACGCAATGACAGGCTTGGGTGATCCTTGAAGCTCACCCTGAAGATGCGACACTCGCCGCCTTGGAATTCTCCGTTCACAAAGGGGTCACTGCCACCTAGTTGGAGGTGAGAGATTGCGGCACAAATGGCTCCTGGGTTAAGATTTTGAGCTTCGTGAGAGGCCATACTTGCAGTGTTTGGCAGAGCCTGGGCGGCCGGCTCTAGAGCGTACCCTAACGGTATCAGGGAGGGGCAAAGTATTTGAGAACACTGCCAGTCGTAACGTGGCGCAATCCCGGCAGCAAAGCTCAGCCACAGTGCTGCCTAAGTGCGCTCAACATCATAACTTGGCGTGAAGACTGTAATGATAAGTGAAATAGATACTGTAGGTCTAATAAGCCTCATGCTGAAGCCAGACCTAGTTTCAATTCCCAATCTTTTGCTAGGTCTAGTGGTATGAGGCGCCACTACCAAAACGACCTGACTATAGGGTATCGAAGTATTACACCGAATTTACAATGAAGCAGGATACGAGTTGCACAAGTTTATCAATGTTTATCGTCTCGTAATATCTAAACTACGGGACAAAGGTACACCAGGTCTGCCTCCAGCCTTGCAGCTATTCGTTTCTCTCTAGCGTGGGCCTGTAAATGTTTCCAGCACGTCGGAGTCGGGAGTGTTACGCTTACAAACTAGACCTATGGCTGTGACTGTGATCATCAGATACTTCGTTGCACTTGCAGTTGCATTTAAGCTCCCAAAGTGGAGGGGAGAAAAACCAGATAGTAGAAAACGCTTTCAGGTCAGCAGGATACTATTGACTGTCAGCTACCGTTTAGCATTATTTGGTGAAATAAACAGCATTCCCGTACATCTTTGGGCTGTAGGTTAATATTAGCCCTTCCCTGGGTGAATTCACAGGAACCCCTAAAGTTGTCTCCTGGATATCGGGCTACGCCAAAGAGGTTGGCCAGCCCGCGCATGTCGAGCTCAGGTTTGAGCTTAGCCAAAAATTCAAGCTCCTTCTGGTCAAATCCATCAACAATTATGGCCGAATAGTGGTATTCAGTCGGTCTCAATAGCCCGTCCTCGTCAAACGCCCACATGGATGGCTGTGGTTCGTTCATTCCAACTGATGAGCCTGACCAAGGAGTTGAGGTACCCAAATACTCGACTAGTCTCTCGCCAGGAGCTAAGTCAAAATGGCGGTGCATCATGGCCAACCCAAACCTTCTTTCCATGCCGTATTTCACAAAGAAGTCTTTGAACCATTCGACATGATTCTGACCATCAAGAAGTATGAAGCTGTCGTGTGCATCCTTGACTGTCGGAAGACTTTGGAAATGCTCGTGCGAGTAAGGGGCAAGGACTTCGGCCATTGTAACAGTATGTGTAGATGAATATGTAAAGGAGTAGATGAAGAAATGTAATGCTATGTCAAGTGCTTGATGAGATCAGCTCAGCACAATAGAACAATGTGGGAGTTGGTTAGGCTATTTATATCGTTTCTATTAGCAACATGCTGAAGCGTCTCGGAAGCACCTTCATATGTTTATAGCGCCACATTTGGTGAAGTTGCAACATGGTTTATCTGTCAGCCAATCGTATCTGAGGATCAAAGCAAGCGCTGGCACTATTATTTAATCCCTGCACCTGTAACGTGGTGGATAAGCGAGCGGACCACATAGGCGAGCGGACCATTTTTGAAGATACCACGAATTTAAAATTTAGTTAGAATGCCATGGTAAATAAATATATATATCAAAATATAGAAGATAATATCTCAGAGCTATCTAAGTAACTGTACATGTTCTTGAATTATGCCCAGTATTCTTACATACTGTACAATGCCGAATAGGTCTAGTTTGTTGTCTTGTGATTCGATTGTTTGCCTGTATTTCCATCTGTAGCTGTAAATCTATCTCTATTTGGGCTCGAATTGTATGTGCATCTGTTGTTGTAAGAGATCCGCCATCTTGTAGATGTTTCTTTGATGCTTTGCGGCGTCGGGAAAGATGTATATTTGCCTTTCGGAGTTGTTCGACCTCATTCTGGATTAATGCAGTTTCATGCATTATTCGGCTAGCACTCTTTGTAATCTGCTGTAGACTATTTAAGATTGGTGTTGGTGAGCTATCTTGATGTTTAAGAATCCGATCTTGTAAATATTCGGTCTGCGATTGCAATTCAATTGGATTGTTTGGTGTTTTTGGGTTCCAGATTTGCGGTAGAGTTGGCTTTAATTGAGGCGATGGTGTTCGTAGCTGTATATCCAATTGCGAAATCACATAATTCGGATTAAAAGGAACAATACCAGCTGCTCTAAAAGCTGATTGTGCATTTGTTGATGTCATTGATTTGTTGTGTGCAGTGTGAAATAATGTAAAGAAATCTTCCTTCGTAATATGTGTGATATACATACGCACCAAACTCTCAATTTCATTATGATATGCCCGTTTTAATGCATTAAAACAGACGATATCAAGAGGTTGAAGCTGATGAGATGTATGAGCTGTCATGCAAAGAGTAATAATATAGTTCTCTTTGCAAAACATTTCGAATTCGGCTGAATGATGGCTCTCATGGCCATCCATAATCAAGAGCCGATATTGTCCTTTCGTACGTAATTTGGTATGCTCATTGAAGTGTTTAAGCCATTCTATGCCTTTTTCATTTGTATTCCATCCATTAGAAGTGACTGTAATACGCCAATTAGACGGCAATACACAATCACTATACCATGATTCAAGATGCATCTTGCCAGCAACAATGATATATGGCGGTACAATAAATCCATCTGAACCAATACTCTCAATTACCGTAGTCCATTCTCGGTTGCCTGGCTGTGTTATTCGAGGCTTTCCATGCCTATCAGCTCGTGTAACCACCATTTCTGACGTAATAATTCCCATCATAAAGCCAGTTTCGTCGAAGTTGTAGATATCGGATTCAGTAATGCCATACTGGCCAATCGTTCGTTGAACGAGTTTGAACCAGGACTGATAGACTACTGGATCTTCGCAAAGTACTCGTTGATGGTCAATTGGTCTTGATAGCCGTGTTTGGAGCTGTGGCTGACGCCGAATGAAGTTTGTTACCCAGCACTTGCCAACAACTCCGCCATCTCGCTGCTTGAGTAATAGATTCGCCATTTGCTCAACCTGGCTCTTTCTTGGCGGAAATGATCTTGAATCAAGATCAAATATATGATGAATAATAGTTTCTTCTTCGAGATCCGTTAATTTGCGTGAATTCGGTAGTGAATTAGCTCGCGCTGGGCGGCCAGAATGCCGAGCTCTGAGTGTACTATATGGCACATTGTAGATACCAGCGCACTTCCGAATGCTTAATTTCGGATTCTTTTTAAGTGCCGATAAGGCCAGAATAATATCCCGTTCATCAGACATTACGGAAATGTTAATATGGTATTACAAAAGAATTTTTATTTGCAGCTACCTAGCTAAATGCCGCAAAGTGGTCCGCTCGCTTATCCACCACGTTATTGTGTATTTTTTATAATCATTTTCACAAGAGCTGGCGCTAGAGCGGGCACACACACATTCCGTGGAAACTATGACACAAAAGCACATGGGTTAATTTAAACAATTTAAACAACAACTCGCGTCCCGTCAAAATCAGGCTCCAGTGTAACATTCTGACCTGCCTAGTTCAGCCCGGACTCGAGACGCCACCAATTATAGCGCAGCCATTGTCCGGCTTTTGCAGACACGAGCCATGCAGCTAGCTGTAAAATGTCAGCAAAAGATCCAAAAACACCCCAGAAAAATTCCCCATGCAGTTAGGTCGTCCTGCCAAAGTTGGGGAACTTCCCCAGCTGGTTACTCAACCCCGCTGCGCTGAGCTCCCTCATCTGGCCAGGGACCTTTTGCTATCCGGATAATGGTATCGCTTCGACAAAGGGCCCAATCTCTCTTAAATAGAGCTGGTTCCCCTCCTCGGCCACTTTCGCTGGCTCTTCTGTACTTGAGTTCTTTCTGTAATCAGAGCAATTGACCCTCCTGTTGTTCTCAAGATGTCTCTCTCTTCCCTTCTTCTCCCCGTCTTGGTGGCTACCTTGGCTGCTGGCTCCCCATTGGGCCAATTCGTTACCAAGGACGCCTTGGCTGATGTCCCGTCCGGGTGGCAGGCGGAGGCTGCCGCCCCTGCGGATCATCAGCTGAGCATTCACATTCGTCTCAGAGAGCAGAACATGGACAAGCTCGCCGAGCGAACTCTGCAGGCCAGCGATCCCACACACGCCAACTACGGCCAGCACTTGTCCAAGGCTGAGGTTGATGCTCTTACTGCCCCCAGCAAGGAGACCATTGATGCTGTTACCCAATGGCTGAAGTCCCAGGGCGTCGAGGTTGGCGAGGTCAACAGCGGTTACATCAACCCTACCATCTCCGTGTCCCAGGCCAAGAAGCTCTTCGATGCCGACTACAAGGTCTACAAGCACGCCGAGACTGGCCGCTCTACTGTCCGCACGACCAAGTACAGCGTCCCCCGCGCTGTTGCTGATTCCATTGCCATGATTCAGCCCACCACCCTTTTCTCTGACCTTGGTCTGGGTCAACAGCCCGTTGGCCAGGCCATCATCTCCAACCCCCATGAGAATGTCGCAAACGCTGCTGCTGCCAGCGCCGACGGCTCCAACGATGACCCCAAGACCATTTGCAATGCCCAGAACAGCACCCTTACCTGCCTCCGCGCCAACTACAACATCAAGGGCTGGACCCCCAAGCCCGGCACCACGGAGATGGGCGTCTGCGGCTTCTTGGAGGAGGTTCCCAGCATGCCTGACCTGAGCAAGTACCTCCAAAGATTCACAACCATTCCTCCTTCCACCACCATGAAGATTGTCTCCGTAAACGGCGGTGGCCTCGAGGCTTCTGGTCAGGGCGAGGCCAACCTCGACAGTCAAATCACTGTCCCCGTCACTTACCCAATGAACAACGTCTTCTACTCTGTTGGCGGCCGCCCTCCTTGGATCCCCATTGACGGCGCCACGAACAACACCAACGAGCCTTACCTCGACTGGCTCAAGTACACTATCGCCATGGACAAGCCTGCCCAGACCTACTCCATCTCGTACGGTGATGATGAGCGCTCTGTGCCTGCTGACTACATGGACGCTGTTTGCTCCCAGTTCATGAAGCTCGGTGCTCGTGGTGTCAGTGTTCTCGTCTCTTCTGGCGACAATGGTGTTGGCGATACGAGCGCTTGCAAGAAAGGCACGACCGAGTATGACCAGTTCCGCCCTTCTTTCCCTGCTACTTGCCCCTGGGTTACCGTCGTCGGCGGTACTAACCACTACGCTGACGATGAAGAGGCTGATGTTGAGTCTGGCGGTGGTTTCTCCAACCACTTTGACCAGCCTCAATACCAGCGCGATGTTGTCCACACCTACGTTCGTCGCATTCAAGGCGAGTTCAAGGGTCACTTCAACACCTCTGGCCGTGCTTACCCCGATGTTTCTGCCTCTTACCGTTACTACCCTGCCTACTTCCACGGCCAGGCTTACCTCTTCCGCGGAACCTCGGCTTCTGCTCCCCTCGTTGCCTCTGTCATTTCTCTGCTCAACGATGAGCTCGTTGCCAAGGGCAAGCCTCCTCTGGGTTTCCTCAACCCATGGTTGTACAAGCGCGGCAACCGTGGTTTCAGAGATATCGCCAAGGGCCACAGCAACGGTTGCAATACCGTCCCTGGCTTCCGTGCTATTCAGGGCTGGGATCCCGTCACCGGCTATGGTGTTCCCAACTATGAGAAGCTTAGAGGCTTGATCTACTTGTAAATAAGTGTAAAAGCGACTACATTTACATACGACTTTATATAAGAAGATAAAAACTATTTTTCATACACCATCTCTATCCATGTATGCTAATTATGACTGCGTGTTTGTGTGTGTGTATATGTATCAGTGATAGACTACTAACGAGTAGCTGGCTCTCTAGAAAGATGACTAAATATCACGTAAATAAATGTGATCCAGGTCCTATAAGCTATCACTAGAGCTTACTTATATATTTGGTGGTAGTCTTTGGGTTGCATTGCAGACAGCCTCGGTCCGCCATCACAGCGTAGACGGCGCGACGGCCCGCGAATCCGTGGCTACGGAGAAACACCAAGAAAATAAACGCTTACAATTCTTACTTACCGTGTTACAAGTCCTATGTTATTCCCCGCATTATCTGCGACGCATTATAATGCGGCGCCGGCATGAACCCGCATCGGCTTTAAGGTTTGCATTATTTTGACAGTATGGAGCATATATCTTTTGAACAACGCTTATCACAAGCAACAAGCATCATCGTCACTTCCATCCATTGCCTAAAATACGAGCATCTTTATCATCATGATTTAGGCCAAAATCGGCAAATCAGGCCAAGGCCGCCGCCGAGGTGTGGCCGCAGAAGCACCGCGACGTGAAGTTATATGATCTGATGCACACTTTACCCGCTGTTTCTCGTAACATTTGCAAACGGTTCGACCACTAGGACATCATAATGCTCCTCCTATGCTTGTATCGGCAATCGTTTACGAGCGAGGTGCCGTCAATCGGCCCGAACTACATAGAGACTGCTCACGTTATCGACATGGTCGACATACCCTCAATGTAAGTGGTCAGTCCATTAGATTTGGTGGAGAAGATGGGGCAGTGGTGCTAAATTTGAGGAAAGTAGAGTATGCCATTGTACTCTATGGATGGAATCTTTGTTATAGATGGCTTGACGTGGGAAGAAGATGAAGTATAAAGCCCAGCGACATTCCTTACCCACCTCGAGTATAACAGGACAAAGGAGCATCTTGTTTGCCAACACTTCATCCACTTTACAATGAGTCGCGCTATTCTTCTATCTGCTCTTCTCTCCGCCATCAAGGCACAGCAAGTCTGCACCTCCAAGGCCGAGACTCACCCTCCCTTGACTTGGTCTCAATGTTCCACTGGCGGCTGCTCTCCTGTGCAGGGCTCGGTTGTGGTTGATGCCAACTGGCGCTGGGTTCATGCTGTCGATGGCTACACCAACTGCTACACTGGCAATTCTTGGAACACTACCGCTTGCAGCTCTGGAGCCACCTGTGCCAAGAACTGCTGTGTCGATGGCGCTGACTACCAGGGCACTTATGGCGTGACTACCTCGAGCGACAGTCTCTCCCTACAATTTGTGACACAGTCACAGGGAAAGAATGTCGGAAGCCGCCTGTACTTGATGCAGGATGAGAACAAGTACCAGATGTTCACACTCCTGGGTAACGAGTTCTCTTTTGACGTGGACGTATCGCAACTGGGATGTGGCCTCAACGGCGCCCTCTACTTCGTGTCCATGGACGAAGATGGTGGCAAGGCTCGCTTCCCTGGGAACGCTGCTGGTGCCAAGTATGGCACTGGTTACTGTGATGCACAGTGCCCTCGCGATGTCAAGTTTATTGACGGCGTTGTAAGTAAACTCGAACTATCTGGTCATTCCCGGTCTATAATTGAGTTACACGCTGACGTTTAACTACTCTCACAGGCAAACTCGGAGGGCTGGGTCCCTAACCCAAATGACCCCAACTCGGGCACTGGTAGCTTGGGAACGTGCTGCGCAGAGATGGATATCTGGGAGGCTAACAGTATCTCTACTGCGTTCACGGCTCACCCTTGTACCACCAATGCTCAGCACTCTTGTACTGGGGATGCCTGTGGCGGTGCTGGTTCTTCTTCGCGATATGGCGGCACCTGTGACCCCGATGGCTGTGACTTCAACGCGTTCCGCCAGGGCAACGAGACCTTCTACGGCCCTGGAGGTTCTTTCACCATCGACACGACCAAGAAGGTGACAGTCACGACTCGCTTTATCAAGGGTGCTGACGGTAGTTTGTCCGATATCAAACGCTTCTACAGCCAGGGCGGCAAGGTCTTTGCTAACCCTGCCTCTGACATTGCTGGCGTAGCCGGAAATTCTCTGACCAAGGACTACTGCACTGCACAGAAGTCTGTCTTTGGTGATACCGACGATTTTGCTAAGAAGGGTGGTCTGGCACAGATGGGTGCGGCTGTTGCGAAGCCAATGGTTCTTGTAATGAGTCTGTGGGATGATGTAAGTTTCGGCATGCTTTTCCTTTCTCTTCTTTGAGCCGTTAGACTAACACGTATCTGTATCAGCACTCGGTCAACATGCTCTGGCTGGACTCTACCTATCCCACCACATCGACAGCCCCTGGCGCCAAGAGAGGAAGCTGTTCAACAGACTCGGGCAAGCCCTCCGACGTCGAGAATAGCCAAGCGAACTCCAAGGTCATCTTTTCGGCTATCAAGTTTGGTCCTATTGGGTCTACCTTGGCCGGAGTTGCAGTTTAAATGACGGGGTTATTTAACCGGGTGGCTTCACGTTTTATTGGTAAAGGTATCATGCCTACGGACCTTTGGACGAAATGAATGTGGTACACTCGGAGAGGGCGCTGGGTACAAATTGCTTTGTTGAACGTGTATAGTTTGGCTGTAAAGTTTTGAATGCCTTTTTAACCTTCAATGACAAAGTATTTGCTTTTGTGACATTAAATACACTAGAAAAAGTATTGACAGTAATATATCTGATGTAGTGATAACCATAAATAATACCACTTTTAAGCTCAGTCTAGTGCACCACATGTGAGCTTTGCGTCCGCCACGGCCGAGGTACAGTTTCAACCTATTTTACTAAGCGATTATCTCATCAATAGCCGCTGTTTCATTTTGCAGATAGAGTAAATTAAGACCGTTCTTGCCGATGGGGTTTTAGCCGCAGGGGGTGTTTCATCGCCTCGCATCGCCCGCAGCACGTTATGCACGCGTCTTGAAACCAGTGTATGGTGTTGAATAAATTACATATAAGCCCGCCCAATTTCATTTCTGGCGCTAAACAATATGATTCCATTCGGCGCAACATGAGACGAGACTATGCCAAGTGTCGGTGATATTTACAACGAAGGCCATCTTGGTCGGCCGTACTTGGAATCAGGTCCGTGGTGGCGGCAATGCGGCCGACAGAAGCCAGCAGCGATTTACTTTATAAACAGTGTAAAATGTATAAATAAAAGCCTTGTCTCAACTATCAATCCTATTGTTTTCCTCATTATTCTTTCCTTTGTCGCTCTCCCTTTTGTCCTTTCCCTTCACGCTAGTTCCGGTACGCGCAGCTGGTCTGCCTCGGGCTTGTTTATTTCGTTCATTTCTGGCATATACCTGTATTTCTATCACTTTTGTTCTTGAAGAAACACGAATCATACCAGCATGAAGACCAGCATCGTCAACGTTCTTAGCGTGTCGGTGGCTTTTGCCTCGCCGCTGTCTTACACCGGCAACCGCGCATCGTTGGTCAGCCGTGAAGTGCCCCAGGAGCACTCTCACGAGATATTCCTCACACTTACACGCGAGGCACTTGCTAAGAATAACCCCAAGAATATCAAGGATGTTGTCTTTGGTCTCTTGGGAAATGGTGCTGCGGCTGCTGGTGCTGGCAGTGTCTCCAACCTTGACTGTCTGCACCAGGAGACTGCCGACCAAGCTTTCACCAATGCGAAGGCCGCGGGTGATGTTCGCTTGATGTCTGCGGCGCTTGTGTTTCAAACTTTGGAGCGAAATACTCTCAAAGTCGGACTTGCTAGCGCTGCATGCAAAGAGACTGCTGTCAATCCCGAAATTGCTGCATTGACTCAGCATCAGGATCCTTCTTCTGCCAATGCTGCGTCGGTCAATAAGGAAATCACTCTTGAACTGGCTAGGCAGCTTAAGAGCATTGGAGGTGACCCTAACCTTGCTCTTATGAGTGGAACTTTCACCCCTGGCGATGTAAGTAATATTCTTATCCTCCATTTTCCACTACATGCTAACAGACTGTCAAGACAAAGGACTCTACTGGCAAGGGTAACGCGTGCGATGATGGTGACAACAACGGCTGCATCTTTGAATCGGGTCGTCTTGTTTTAGATGCTAGCCAAGATGAGATTGCTGCAGCTGTGGCCAATATCAACGTCTCGTTCCAGGGTACCGGCAGTTTGACAGCTGCCGATGTGGCTGACCTCTCCCAGTTTAAGCTGGCCGATGGTAGTTCCCAGGTTGGTAATGGCAGTGGAAACAATGGCGGAAATGATAACACCCCTAGCACCGGAAATCCTGGCAATGGTAATGGGACCACCAAGGACGGCAACGGCTCCAACAACGGCAACGGCGGTAACGACAATGGAAACACTACCGGCGGCAACGGTTCCAATACTGGAAACACTGGTAATGACAACGGAGGCATGGGTGGTGGCAACAACACGTCTAATGGCGATACTGGCAACAACGGTACCAACCAGAATGGCAACAATGGAAACAATCAGAACGGAGATAATGGAAACAACATTCAGACTTTCACCGGTAACTTGGGTGGCTCCCCGCCTCCCGTCACCAAGTCCTCTGGTGCGCGGCCCTTTTCAGTCAATGGCAACACATTTGTCAACGCTGGTGCTGCGTTGACCCGGTCTTGCGATATTCAGCACAATGCCTGTGCCGACGCTGCCAACTCAGGCGAGATCTCTGGCGGTGTTGGGCAGTGTGACACCCAAAATGAGGCATGCAAGGCAGCTGCCCAGACGAATACAGCAGCAGCGGGAAACAATAACGCTAGTAACGGTGCAAACACGAACGCAGACAAGAAGACCAAGAAAAAGAACAAGAAAAACAAAAATAAAAACAAAAACAAGACTCCTGACAACGCCAATCCTGACCCAGCCCCCGCAAACCAGGGGGCGGCTACCGGTGGTGATGCTGGAACAACCACTGGAAATGGCAATAACAACAACAACAACAACAACAACAACAATGGCTCCAATGGCAACACTTCCAATGGTGCTACTGGCAAAACTGGAAACAACACTGGATCTGGAAACGAGCCCACCGGGCAAACAAACGCCGGTGCAAACACTGGTTTCGGCTCGTGCTCCGATCCCTCGATCAAGTTTGCTCAAGGCCTCGACGGGCGCAAAGAGGCAGCCTTCGCACCCAACAACACCAATGACTTTACCCATGGTTCTGCTCTCAATATTAAGATTATTTCCGAATTTATCTGTGACCGCCTCGGTGACAGATGCAAGGCAGGCAGTGCCACTGTTGCTCGATGCAGAGCTGCTTCCACCGCTGCCCAGCAAGCAACTGGCCAGGCTGCTGCAGATGCTTTTAACAAGGGACTAGGTGCATAGGCTGAAGAGATTTCAGTATCAAGATAGTGTTTCATAGCTTGATGAGTCAGTCGGCTAGTTCTATTCAAGCTATACCAAATACTTCGGATCCTCATAGTCATGCTTCTCATATTTTGGAAACAGTAGCTCTTCTAAGAATTCTACCCGTACTAGAACGCTAGTTTCTTGAAATTCCTCCAGGATAGGTGGACGTATTTCTAGGACCAATGCATCGAGTATTTCCGTCCACTGTTCTGTAGGCTACCATGGAGCAAGTATTGCGAGTCAAACAAGTGCTCATTCTGATGCCAGTGGAAGTATAGCTCTCCCAAGTCGTTCAAGACATAGATTTGCAATTTCGCAAGGCAAGGAAAATTTCCGCTCCTGGTTTCTCCTCCAAGTCGAATGATATCAGGTACTGCCTTGTACTTGTCGTGCCGTCGTACGGTCAAGTCAGTGACTGTCTGAGGGAGTACATCAACCAAGCATGTGTCGGGGCAGTCTCCAGCTGTGGATGTCCAATGATGGCAAAACAATTGCTCATCTAATACGAGTCGTGTCAAGTTGATAAACTGTTTGATCGTCTTGTCTAGTAACGTGATGTCTAATTGATGCGGTATCTTAGCAATGCTACAGAATAGTTCCAAGGAAACAAGGGTTTTCTCAGCCGGTAAAATGGCCCTCACTAAATCTACCGGCGAGAAGAGGTCGGGTTTATCTGGGTATTTGAATCGGAACATGAGCCGAGAAAGACTTTTGCACTTTTGAACTAAGTCTTGGATGCCGATGTATGGAATAGGGCCGTTGTGACGGGCGCAAGTATGAAAGGAAAGATTATCAAGGCTTTGTAAGGCTGTCCAATCCAGCTCAGGTCGTAATCGTATGCCCTCGCATTTATCAGCAACGTAGTACTGCGGTCGGTCGCCAGCTAAGTGTTGAAACAGTACGTGGCGTACATTGGGCAAAGCTGGAAAAATAAAGGCTAGCCGATATAACCCGAGGTTGTCCGGCATATAATGATATGGATTGCGGAAGATGATTGCACGAATTGAATCAAAGCTCGTTTTCTTTTGAGTGAGATAGCGGGGTAAATAAGGGAAAGGCTGTATGAACTGTCCATCAAAGGGTTCCCAATTCTTTCGACGATACAACCCATCATCAACATCTATGGCAGCTACTTGAATCTGTGTAGCCAAGATCAATACAATGGATGTGATCAGACTATTAAATGTAGCATGGGCCTTGAACATGTCGTAACCAAAGAGGTCATCTTCAAGGTTTCCAAAGATCCAGCGGAAAGAGCCATGAAATTCGGGGTCCCCATCGTCGCCTAGTCTCAGTTGGCGGGCTACCAGTTTTAGATAGTTAAAATCTTCTCTTTCTGGATGGTTTGTATTCAGTCTCCAACCAGGGTCCTCTTCCAGCGACTCATACATTCTTGAAAAGACGCGGACGCTGGAGCGCAGGTCTGGCCGGGCAAGCAGCGTTCGGAATAAGAGCCCATAGACCTTGATATCGGGATGATGGTACATAATAGGCTTTGCTATATCTCTCAAAGACCGACAGGTTTCGGATAGTGCTTTCAAAGCTCGAAAATCATGCCCTGCTGTGTAAGAGAGTAGTGCGACTACATCTCTCGTCGCGTATCTGCAGTGGCCACATAAACTGCTGCATATTTTGTATTGAATGTCAACTGGGAGGCGCAGGAAAGGAAACACTGGTGGGAGTTGTCTATCGCCCGTTTTTTGTGTTAAGTGGCGAAATACTGAAAACCAAAGTGATCACTAAGAGATTTGGCCTCGAGGTGATATCTTTATAGCTGGAAGAAAGAAGGCTGACGTGTTGCCCTGCACAGCGCTTCAAGCAGACCTCATGCGACGAACGACTTTAACAAAGGACAAGGTCGGCTTCACATCCTCTCGCTGCATGGAACTACACAAAGACACAGACCTAGTCACATTCTGCAAGGCCTGGGATATAGTAGTGTCTCGAGCTTCCATTTTGCGAACAAGAATCGTCCAACTTGACGGCAATGGCTGGTTACAAGTTGTTCTCGGTAGCCGTATGGAATGGTCTCGTTACCAGACGATCAATGAACAAAAGAACTATGCTCAAACGTCCGATATGGGAGCTGGCACTGCTTTGCTTCGACTGAGTATTATTGATCCGGGCAACGGTGAGCCCAGACACTTTGTTATACAGCTACACTGGGCCGCATATGATGGATGGGCGATTCGCATGATGTTTGCGGAGGCCGAGCGATTATACAGAGACTCGACATGGAACGGTGTGCTGCGGGATATGTCGACCTTTATCAAGCATATTGAACAAATTGACAAAACGCAAGCAATGTCGTTTTGGAAGCAGCAATTTTCAGGTTGCGGTCAGGGTGCCATATTTCCCCAATACAAGCCGGTTTCAAAGGGAACGAACCTGTGCTATGAGAGGTACGAGGAGGTTGATGTGCCTATCAAGGAGGCCCTCGTACAACAGCGTGATTTCACCCTAGCAATAGTTGTGAGAGCAGCCTTGGGATTGGTCATTGCCAACACCAATCGCTCCGACGATGCCGTATTTGGAGCAACAGTGATTGGACGCCAGGCATCTGTGCCAGAGATGGACCGCATGGCTGGGCCGGCTTTCGTCACATTGCCAATCCGAATTCGTGTCGATCACAATATCAGTGTCAAGGAACTTTTTAATATGGTCCAAGCCCAAGCGATATCTATGATTCCCTACGAGCAGGTTAGTCTAACAGAAATCCGACAAGCCAGCAAAGAGGCTGCGCTGGCGTGCGGCTTCCGGACACTGCTTGTCATTCAGTCAAGCATCAAGAAAGGAGACCCAAGACATAGAGGAGGTGCTGAGGTAGATGGTGTATGTCAGAGTATGTACGCGCACGAGTTGGTCGCAGGTCCACATGCCATTATAGAGCTGGGACAAAGGACAGGAGATTACGCGATCTATGTCGAGTGCAAGCTAGGGGCAGTCGCAAGCGATCCCGTTAGCCTAAGAGTCTGTATTGACTCCGAAGTAGTGTCTGATAAAGAAGCAGAAACGTTTATGCAAGAGTTGGTTGCGGCTGTTCAGTGGCTGGGCAATCCTGAAAATGCGAATCCCAGGGTACCGAATGACGGCTTTCGAACCCGATAATCTTCCGGCGAAATCGCTTTCCCTATGATTGCGTCCATTATATAGCTTTATGTATATTTTTCTATCGCTAGCTATATACGAGTTGCGTGCAACAAATAGTGTGTTTAGGGACTCAGTTTAGAGGAAATACGATGGAGTTGGACTAGAACGCGGAGCTCTCTTTCCAACAGTGTTTCGTGGTAGTACGCATACATAAGACAATTATATACTCCATCAATAACATTATATTAGGCTGATTAGCTAAAAACGAACTTAATTACCTGCAATTAAATTATTTCTTCATTTGTTATACTAATACTATTAACAGCAATAGTTGTGCCCTAGCTCATCAGTCTGCCGAAAGTGTACTCCAGATCTAGCTTCGGTTCCGACAAACGCTACAGTACTGAATGTTCAATTGATGCAAATTAAGCAAATAACGTAAAACTATTATCCGTGTGAATGCAGCATACTTCTCCTTTTGTCTGTAGTAGCGGGAAGTCTATGGAATTGAACTCGTAAGGCTATTTCTATACTCAACATACTTCGGCCACCATTCATCCCTACTAAGCTCCTCCAGCCCAGGCAAATCACACTCAAGCATCTCTCTTGCTACATGTACAACTTCCCTCTTTGCCCAGTCTTCTGTCAAAACGTCTTCACCTTCAAACTGTTCCCACGTAATCGACTCAATAGTAGCATTTTCGCCATCCTCTTTTATCGCAATGGTGTAGAGGGGCGCCGGTGACCAGAAGCGAGCAAAGTGTACGACCAAGGTGTGGGAGCCTTTGTCGCGAGGCATGGATTTGACGTACCATCTGTCACCCAAGTCCCGAGGGTGGAAGCCGGCTTCGATCAAGTTAAAATCGTTTGAGCTGATTGTTATCTTCCATGGTACTGTGATTGGATCCTCCATAGGCTTCTGCCAATCCGGTCCGTAGGGATGTGCATCCTCATCGTAAATCTCCCATTCTTCTTCGTTCAGATCCCCTCTGGCTTCAAAGGCCATGGCAAACGGTGGGTTATTTTGTCTCAACTATGGTAATTTTCAAGTGACGTTGGATAGAGCTAAGCACTGTTGATGCTCGGAGGTGAGAAGACAAGGTTTGAAAGAAAATAGAGTGTGCTGTTGTAATGGGTGAATGTTGGTGCAGTGGAAGCGTCGTCCTGCTCGTACTTTTACTGTCGGTGACTTCAGCAACGCTCAGAAAAGAAATAAAGAAAATTGCAACGCAATTCTCCCACCAAGTTTTACGTTAAGCTTCACGGGAGATATGCCGCCCCTCTTGCAACCTTTCGGCGACCGTTGCTCAGCCTCGTTTGCCGCTGCGACGTTACAGCTGCATCTGAAACCCAGCGACTTTCGCGAACCGCCTTGACACACATGTCACGCATCAGACTAAAATGATCCGATGTCAGGTTTGAGGCTTTCGGTGGATATTATTGATGTCTGAAATATATCTCCGAGCCACTGAAAATTCTATACCAAGCGTCTCATCCGCCTGAGCAACAGTGTTGCTTATACAGCCCTACTCCTCGTTTCGAATGTTATGATGACGCCTTTTTGCAAAGATTCCGTTAGGGAATATTGGTATTCCATTTCCTTTTCGACAAGTGCGCGCGCCCTTTGTTCCATGACCGTTTTATGTGCTCTGATACCGTATTCTCTTGTCTCGGGGATAGTTTGACGGGTAATTTAGGCTAGTTGTCTGCACCAGATGCCATCGTTGAACGAGAACTTTAGGATATTGCCAGCCAGATACACCCAATAATATATGATATTTAATCAAGGAAGAAAGAATATAAAAAATGATATCTCTGCCTCCTCTACAGCCCAGCTGATAACCAACAATATCCAACGACCACCTCTATTAATATTCTATCGTTCCAGTTCTTTTCCACTTTGGCTTTACTAGCTGGTACATCTTTTATACAATAACCATCATCCTAGTTTAAGTACTAATAGTGGATTCAGTCCTAGCATGATGCTTAAGCCTACCCTGCTTGTCCTGTTTGGGTTCCTGCTGTCCCTCATCAGCGCCAATGACGGCCTCACTCCGCTTCCTGGAACCGTTGTGCCGCCCATTCTCTTTCGAGGTGATAGTCGTGGGCCGGATATCATCGACAAAGCTGGCGGCTTGAAAGGCTTTGGCTTTAGCAGAACCACAGAGAAGGGCGCGTCGACCATCACCGTCTTCGACCACGTCAACAAGAAGTACACTCCTCCTGCTAGGTTAGCCCTAGACCCATTCGTTTCCACAACACCCGATGCTGTCAAAGCTCGAGAGTTTGGCAAGTTTATATATACCATCAACAGAGCCGCTGTGAGCAGCCCGATCTTTGATGCGAAGGCCGAGTTTGAGACGGCCAAGAAGATTTATCCCCATCCCACGGAATTGGAGTACTCTGTCAAGGGCGAAATCCCCCTCAAGGCCATCACAAAGGTGCATATGATTGTCAACGGAGTGCCACGAGAGATGGTAAAAGGCACTGATGGCAAATGGCGCATCGCAGGGTCTAAGCTTGCACAGCCTGCACAACCAGCACAGCCCGGCAAACCAACAACGGGTGGAGGTTCGACTTCTTCTGTTCCATCTACAGGAAAGCCTGCTGGAGGTTCCAAGATCCCAGTGAAGACCCCTGGCCATACATTCGCCCCGCCCAATGAAAGCGCACCAACAAAGCAGACATCGCCGTCAAAGGACAATGGAAACTCCAAGATTCCAGTCAAGACGCCAAAGACATCTTCGCCCGGCAAAACAAAGAAGAAGGGTGGAAAGGGTAAGAGATGGAGAATTCAACAAACGGAGGAAGTCTACCAGACAGAATAATCATGAGTAATTGGGAGCTGTGTGGTGATACTGTCATTCAGTCCTAGGAGCTTGTTAGCGCAAATATGATTGGGCGTCTCTTAAACGTTATGTCTATCGAGTTGAAGCAACGCATCATACTTGACAATAATTGAAATAATTTACAGTATATTTTCAATGGCATCCTCTGTACTTAGTTCCATAGTTTAGATGAGACCATTCCCTTTACTACTTGCTCAGTAATACAACGCCAAGGTACATGCTCACCCTATACACAATCGGCGCAAGACATCTATCTGTGAGCAACTCTAACCGTAATATGAAGCAACATAACATATCATCAAATTAAAATAAAAGATTTATATTTGTTAATCGTAAATTTAAGAAATAAAAATTTGTCTTGCCGCTTGGTACACTACAGCTTTAAATCACATTTGTATATCTCGTGGGCGATCATAAGGACCCTGAGCTAAACTGCAGTAAAAACAAAAAGACTCGGTTTTCGTTGCCGCTGCTAACCGACTGCAAATGCAAAAGAAGAAACGGCTGACAGAATACAAGGTCATTGTCATCTGTGTAGCCTATAATAAAGGGGAGATATATCTCGTTCCTGAAAACCAACCGTGCATATTGCTCATACCCAGTAAATTTCCATGCTGCATGTTGAACGATGTCTTAAGCCGAGCCGCGCTTACAGGCACTTTGACCAGTTCTTCTCTAAGCCGAGCCGTCTTTTGTAAAAACTCTTTCCTGACGGACCTTTTTTTCCTCTCGTGTTTTTTTTTTAGCCGAGCCGCTAGCAAGCTACCTGCATGCATGTCATCGGAGCTCATATCTGCAATGGAGCCTAGAATCGAAGCCGCCCATCGGATGATATTCCCAATGTGGGACTAGCGGCTGTCAAGATCCAGGCCCTGCTTTAACACAAAAAAGATTTGCATTATATGGCCTGTGCTTAGCTTTCTTTGTTCCCTTTGTCTGCTATTTCTGCTATTTCTGGGTAAGAGGGAGTTGAAAAATAAGATATGTGATCTGGCAAAGTGTGGTATACATTCTTATCGTAAAATACAATTCAATTAAACGCAGAGTAATTTGGATGAATGCAGCGCAAGCATCGGTAAGCCGGCTCATCGTGGTATGCGACTCCCATCGATTCTCACATGTTGCTTGGCGATGGATCAACCGTGTGGCGCCGTTGCACTAGCCTAGCATCCTAGCATCGAAGAGATTTTCCAGGGTTCATGCCGTCTGAACTACAGCCGGACTATCCGGCAACATACATGCGGCTGCGAATTAACACACCACCAGCGCCAAGTCTGGACAGGGTACGGAGACCAGCCTGGGTTGCATACCCGCAGACGGCCGACGAGCCGCAATATACAGGGAACTGGCCATTTGCGGTTCATGAAGGTCGTAGACTTCCACGCTGTGCTTAATATGGACGGAATTGAGGATTAGGCCGAGAGTACTCAAAGGTCCTTCGTGAAAAGTCTTTCGCTCGTCGGTCCAAGTATAAAGTCGGCCCTCTCGTCTGCTCCTTTCCAGTTATCGAAGCAATTCAGACACTCATCTCTCTCTTCAATCATTATCTATACTCCTCTCCTACTACACTTCTTACTTCAATACACCCAAGCAAGATGTATACCACTATTGCAACTGTTGCTGTCCTCGCTGCCTCTGTTATGGCTGGCCCCATCCCCTCCTCTACTGGTCCCATGCCCTGCCCCGAGGGCAACTGGCCCAAGATGGCCGGCCATGGTCCCGTCTGTGTCCCCAAGTCCACTGTTGAGGAATCTCCCATCCTCTTCACTTGCCCTGAGACCGCTTGGCCCGCCATCTTTGGCATCGGCCCTGCCTGTGTCCCCAAGACATCTTCTACCAACGTCGCCAGATCCGATGATGACAAGGGTATTGTCTTTACCTGCCCTGGCAATGCCTGGCCTGCGCTCTTCGGTCACGGCCCGGCGTGTATCCCCAAGGCATCTGGCGTCAACGCTAGAGATGCCGAGGGTGATCAGAACACCTTCACCTGCCCCGAGAGCTCTTGGCCTTCTATCTTCGGCCACGGCCCCGTCTGCATCCCCAAGGATTCCAAGATCGTCCCCAAGTCTATTGAGGATAACAGCGCAACCTTTACTTGCCCTGGAGGCTCCTGGCCCGCAATTTTTGGTCACGGCCCTGTCTGCCTTCCCAAGGCTTAGGGGTTGTCTGTTACAAACCTCAAACTTGGGCTTGATCGGGTAATGAAATGAATAATGAGCTAAAAGTTTTGCTTGGAGCGAGTATTAAAGGAGTAATACAATCGACGTGGGAAAGAAGGAGACTATTGAGTCGACGGTATGCATCCAAATACTGTATTTAATATTATAATTAATACTTTGAACACACCTTTATATTTGATAGTAATTTTTGAACTATTTTGTAAAATAAAACGAAAATTGTACTGGAACGCTATTGACTTTATGAACTGGGAAGAGGTGGACGAGTTGCAGCCAAGCACTCGAATTTGAGTAGTCAACTAATCAGCACAAGAATGAAAGCTATCAAGTTACACACTGAAGTTACACAAAGGTACAAATACGCTAAGCCCGGATCCTATCTTCAACACCTGACATGATATCTTGTGCAATTCCCACCGCCTCTTCAACTCGCCGGCGGAAAGCAGGATCTCGTCCACTCTCTGAAGCAACATTCTGGTCGCGAATAATGTTGAGACTTCTACCTACCTTCGCCACGTAGTCATCCATTGACGAGGCTGTCGCAATACCTACTGCTTCCGCTAGGGCGATGAAACCAGCTCTTGACTCTCGAATAATGCCAGTGAATAGCTGCCTGTTGGTGACTGCGCCCTCAATGATGGCCTTTCGGCGGCGATCGCTTCCAGTTCCTAAATACGAATCAATACGGTATGCTCATCTTGCTGCTTCGGTTATAATTTCGCTCACCTCCTTCATTTTGGCAAGCTCGGTAAGACCCTTCCATCGCACTGCCTACAAACGAAGTCCGAATACCAGAAAGAGTATTTACACGTAATTGGCTGAGAATCCATGTCAGTACGAAGCATCAAAAGCAAATCTTAGGACTTTTCCATGCTTACAAAAGATCCGTGTTAAATGTCCTAAAGGCCTGACTAATCTCATTGAGCAAGATGCTCCTTTCGGTTTGCAGGACACGCCGCAAAAGGACCACTTCGTTTGCGGCAACACCGAGCTCGGTCTCTATGCTAGTGTTAGCAATACGTATATATGTGCGAATGGCTGCCAGATTAGGCATTGAACCTTTCCCTTACCCAAGTACTCGATCAAGTCGTCCAATAGTATATTAACACTAAGAGACAAGTTGTCATACTCGCCATTGGCGGAATTGTGCACACTCTCCCAGGGAGTGGAGAGGTCATTTACCATACGGTGAATAATTTGCTCATTCCAATTGCGTCCAGGTTGGACACCTGAGCAATAATGCCCAAAGTGACGACAGTACGCCGCATACGTCGCTAGAAGACTGGTGTGAGTGAATGCTAACGCTACATTTTAAGCAAGATCCGGTTTTGCTTACCATGATGCCACTATAGATTAACATTTTGAATTAGCCATACAGTATTTCTTAGTTGCAATGCGTCTAGCGGATTGGTGGCTGATGTTCATGATAGAAATGAGTACTTACACCATGCCATACAGACGCCATGTCTTTAGCGCCGTCCGCCCATTGCGCCGTATTTCGGGCTATAGAAACATAATGTTAGCTTCTGTATCCTTTTATTGGTGTATATGATATTTCTAATCAATACAAAAGAGGATGCATTTGTTAGTATGACTTACTGGACCATATGTTGTCGGTAAATTGCTGCTGCAACGTTCTTGAGAGGCGTACCGCAGGCGCAGATCCGCTTTGAAAAGCCTTCAAACAAACTGTCAGCCCAAGGGTTTAAGTCTTCGGTACCAGATTATTACTCACTCCGACTAATTGCTGTTCCAGTACCCCGCAGACGCGGCGGATGGATTCTTTGCGTTCGTCATCCATGGTTGCGGCACCAGACTCAACCCAAAGACCAACATTTGCAATGAGAGCAGGAATATCGTTTTGCATGAAGCTAGTCGCTGCCTCGTGCTGTGCATTGGAGACAATCGAGATGCACCGTTTCCGAAGCTGTATAATTCCGCTCAGGTTCAGATATGGCTGCGACTCTTCCCTGTCAGCATCTCGATTGTCCCAGTAAAAGTCATTGCTGATACAATAGACCTGCAGGTTATTTTCTGGAATGAATTCTTCATAATGGGCAGTCAGCTTCTCAATTACATCCTCGCTACGAGTGGTAATGAGGAATTCTAGAAGCCTGGCATGGGGATGTTAGCCTTCGATTTCTTTTTCTTTTCAACACCAGGTCATTAGTGCCGTATTTCCTAGATTTGTGAACCTACTCAAATTCTCTTTGCTTCATAGTGATTCTAGCGGTGTCATGGTTAGCTTCATGAGATTGGGTTGAGGTTGAAGAAACTTACTTTGTCAGTTTTTTTTGATCCTTGTGTCTTGATATTTCTTCGCTATTCCTTTCATCCTCCGAGTCCAAATCATCCAATTGATCTTTGATTCGTCGCAATTCTCGCTTCTTTCTTTCGATTTCACGTTGGAGCTGCCTTATACGCTCGACCGTTGGCCCGGTCCAGTCATTTCTGGCCTCATCCGGCTTAATTTCCTATATATAAAGAATAAATTAGTCCTTACTCGACTGAGGCATGAAGAGTATGATTGGGCTGAGCTTACATCAGACCTGGTGCAAACTATGCCAACATTGCGGAGATTCTCTTGTTTCGCTTGCATAGCAAGCTTGAATACATCCTCTACGCCAATATCAGTGACAGCGCGGCCGATATTGCACACAACAAATATCTCATGGCATTCGCGAAGAAACCTTTCGGTCACGTTTCGCCGGGCGGAATTGAGATCACCGAGGCCTAAGGAAGCATTGTTAGTAGAAGTACATCATGAGGTAGGTTAGGCAGCCTACCTGGGAGGTCAGCAAGAATCAATCCTTTGCTTAGAATTTGTGCGTTGCAATACACTCTATGACATGTTAGTGGTGCCAGAAACTCTATTATAGTGCTTTAAAATGAGAACGTACTTGATCTTTCGCAAATAAGGCCATACTGGAGGCTCTTTGCCCGCAGTCTTGTCGGAAGCAAGATGCACCAAGGCATTGGAGCACTCTTCCAGTGTTCCAATTTCCATGCGATTGAGAAGCCTGACAGGTCTAATTTCGTTAATCCAAGTTTGAAATGTTTGCAAGATATCCTCTGGTGTATGTTCGACCAAGAAGGCGTCGTTTTCGAGACGCTCGCCGAACATGGCTTGGAAAGTGTCCGCAGCCATTTTCGCACGGTTCTCGCAATCCTGCCTCGCAGCTTCACTGCTTTCATCATAAGATCGGCTCTGAAATTGGCGGTATGACTGAAGCAGGTCGCTCAACTGGCCCATCAGTTCATTTTCGGTCCAGAGATCAGCTTCTATGATAAAGCCGCAGCTAGCATGATAGTGGTACTCGGTTGCCACGCATGTACAGGCTTGTCCGCTATTACTCTGAGATGAAGAATATTACTGTCAGTCCCATTTCTGTTCTTAATCGGGATTATGGAGAACATACCGCTCTGCCAAGATTCTTCGCGTCGAGAAGAGAATTTAGCAAACTGCTCTTTCCTATATTAACCTAATCAGCATATTTCCATTCTCTCGCCCGTTTCAGCATAGGAGTTTTGGATTCATGTCTTACCAGAGCCAGATGCACCGACAAAACCAACAGTGCGTGTGGCAGGATGTTGAAACTCGGCAAGCTTCGTAGCTTTCAGCTTAAGCTCGAGAATGGTTGAGCCTGTATCTGCCTGCTGAGAACTGGAGCCAAGAACATTGGCTAGCTTTTTCATGGCTTCTTTGGCCTCTTGGAAAGCTGACTGGAAGCTTCGCGAATTGAACAGGTCTTCAGGTGCCTCTTCATCCTCAACACGATGAGGAGGGCCAGGTTGACGAGATGTTGATCTTCGGCCACGTCGATGCGCCCTGGCTGGCGTCAGACCGAGGGTTGGATCATCGACAGGAGATGGTGTGCGCTGCGGGGGATCTTCGACTGCTGCCTCGTCGAGGGCATCAGCAACTTCCACCAAGGTCGGGAATGACGTTGGAGCCTCATATTCAGGGGAAACTTGTTGATTGACGGCTTCAATCGACGGCAAAGGAACATCTTCCAGGGGATGTTCAGGATCCGGGGTGCTCCCCGGCGTGGCGTGATGGACGCTGGATGTAACTGAGTGTTCCTCATGATGAGGGCTGTTTATAATAATCTACCAAAACATGAGCAAGAGCAATTTTGAAAGTGATAAAAGTGAGGGAAACAAATAAAGTCCATTTTTGCTTTATAGACTTACAGTTGCCATGATATTGAATAAAAGCCTGCTTTACATGGAAAATTACCAAAGCTGGGGAGTGCGTGGGAAGTACGCTTGATTTGATGTATGCAATATATACTCAACAAACTCTTCTAGAAGCAGCTCAATTCTAATAATAGAGATGTCCAACACGGCTATAACCGTGTAGCTGAACCATCCACACGTAAAACATGGGTAAGAGTGAACCCAGCCCGTGGCTGAAACGAGGCGCACACGTTGCTGGAAATCCGTAGCCACTCAGATGCATACAACATGACACTCACGCATACGTACTGGGTATAGCTGCAGCCCGTATTTCCGGCCGAGCAGATATCGCGCCCTTTCTCCTGCATCCAACCAATAGGTCAGGAGGCCACCAATATAATGGTGGGGGGCTACTTCATATGGCCTCCTCGTCCGGTCCACGCTCAATTTTGCGGTAGGCAGCGTTGGTTCCTTTGCTTCAGCGGCTATCGGCGGAAATAGTGACTCTAGGCACAAGCCATAAGAGTATAAACCACAATAACTAGAGAATGAAAATTTCATGGGATACAAATAAAGCTAAATCGGCCAACTGTATATCGAGACACTCATAACAGCGTACAGGGTGATACACCATATGGTTGACCACGCGACTCATAAGTGGGTGTAGATGAGCAGCGGCTAGAGCCGCCGTGCTAGTGTTGAATACGATCTGAAACGGTCAATCAGTTCCAACGGGTCGCTCCCGTCCCGCTGCCTGCAGATTCTAAGGAGGCGCAGCAGGCTGCGAGCTCTTGCTGGCGCCAACTCCGCCTCTTTTGCACACAGTCATAGCAGCGACCACAAATGTTGGCCAGGGACGGCTGCTGTGGCCGGCGCCAAAAAGCAGTGCAAGGTGTATCATGTGCCTGAAGGGCGGTACTTTGCGCCCAAGGCTGCATACTGCGTCAAGTCAGCCGCAATCGTTATTGCGAGCCAAGGGCTTCCTTCAGTTGTATCCCGTCGAGTGACAATTCAAGTGGTCAGGTGTGTCAAGATATTCATATTCTCTATGGTACTGGTGTTGGAGGTATTCTATCATAGCTAAACTATATGTTCTTATATGGAATAATTGGCCTCACGAATATTATTCCTTCTTCACACGCGCAAGCGGGCTTCCCTTACCACCAAATTCGTAGCGCAGCCAGAACAAAATAAGAGCAAGCACGCCAATATTCACCAAAGCAAATACCTCATGCTCCGCTTCTGCCAAGGAAGCAATGGTGTCCTCGTAGCCTAGAATCTCGCGCAGATCAATCTTCGCATACAGAGCAGCAACCCAGCCAAGCGGATAAGTTCCAAGCAGAAGAAGTCGCTCTAGGCCAATCGCGTATCCAAATATAGTGTGGACGGTGGCCCAGTATCTATGCAGTTCATACTGCTTCGACGTACCCGCCATGGCAGCGCGATACAGGCTGTAGAGAAAGGGGACCGCCAACAAGGCAGTCGTCAGACGAAATGTTGGCCATGGAATTGGCGAGTTGCCATTCAGCGTATGAAGAGAGAAGAAGGGTGGATGCGGGCTGTCCTTATAGTCGCTGAGCAGACCAAGGCCAGTGAGAGCAAGCAGAAGGGATGTGGCCATGATGATGTAGCCGCTAGTGCGGTGAAAAGCAGGCACGTTGCGGCGAATCCAAGCAACATGCTGCAGTGGCATCAGCACGCTCCATGCCATGGATGGGCCTGCGTGTAGGGTGAGGTAGAGCCATGACGGGGTATTCTTGACTCTGTTATGCAAAAAGTGTTCTCCAGTCTATTACAAAATCTGTTAGCGGGACAAGCAGGAGGTGAAGGAAAAGACTATATACCTTGAAGTGTCGGCTGGTGCCGAAAATGGGAATTTTGACGTGATTTGGTGGGTGTGGTATGGGAGCAAAGGCAAGGATGGCAGCAACAACTAGAATGAAGCTCAGAGGGACGGCAATGGCTTGTGATACGGACGGTTTCCGAGTAGCTGCTGGCTTCATCGTAGGCTTCGGAGTCTGCCTGGACGCGTGTGCCAGAGTTGTCTTGGACTGAGTTCGAGCCATGGCTCAACTGGAGAGTAACGGGGAATAGCAACGATGTAGGATGAGGGATAAATGAGGATGCTTCTTGATACAATTGATGAGCTAGTTGACTAGTTTTCAATGTTGAGGGGGTGCAATCGTCATTTATGTTGTTTGGGCCGTCTATTACTTAGCCGGCTCTTGTTAAAGCAGAGACGTGTATTGGTTCTGTTGGGAACTTGAATCGTACGATTAGCATGTGCTGTTAGTTACTTCAGGCTACGGGAAGCCACGCGTACGCTTAATTTGTAGGGAGTTCCTCTTTTTTAGCTTCATATGTAGAATGATGGACGTTGAGTGATGTCAGCTTTTTTCTGCGGGGGAAAATAGCTAACCTCGGCCACATCTCGATCAAGCAACTCCGTAAATGCTTGGACGCGGCGTAATTTATGGAGCGCGCCTTCCGTGCCTATCACGGTCGGGCAATTACATTACAGTATCTAGCGAAAACAGAAATTATATATTAATCATGCTAAAAATTATCGAAAAAAATGAAATGACCAGAAAACATGTACTTAAGTTATTTAGAGTTATAATAATATAGTAGAACCAACAAGCAATTACTGATGAAGCCGCTATTGTATGTACAAGATGCATAAGTTATAGATAAAAGTACATGTTCAGGCTTGCGTGTACACACATGCGCGCAACCAGACTTCAGGTATACGGACAACCGGTATCGTCTATACTAAATTTACACGGATTTTATCATGTAAAGATATATATAGGCGATTTTATCGCATAAGTTTTAAAATATAAATTAAATAGCTAACTTATCTCTAGTATGACATTTGATATTATTGTATGTATAAATGTGTTGGGATCCCAGCCAGAAATGAAACCAACAGACCCGATAGCCCTCTCCAACAAGACTAGCACTATAAAATAGATGGTATTAGATGGTATTCATGTAATAATAAAACCATATATTTTCCATGTAAGCACATCAGCCTATAGGGGACATTCTAGGGCCACGTAGAACAGGGGTCTACGGCACGCACAATCCCAACAGCCGAGACAATACACCTTCAGCACAGGTTGGCTGACTTGGCTAACTCAGTCTGTGCTACACATTCTCCCGTTTCTTTTATGCAAGACTTTCGTCTCCTTGTATCTGCATAAGCCCACAGTATATAAAATGCATTCATCCAGTCCATCATACTTCTTACACATTCTTCCGGGCCGCCTGACAATTCTCGCTCACAAGTTGAACAAACCCCTCCCAAACTACTAACGTCCTTCTCTCTAACGGTAACAATGTCTAATACACCATCTTACCAGCAGTTGCCCAATGAGCCAATCTTTGTTCAACTTCTCGGAATTGCTCAAAAGGTACAGCACACCATCGTCTACGATGCCAACAAAAATGTCGACACAGGTTACGCTCAGTTGCTGGCGGATCTGCTCCAAACACGTCGCCGCCTCCAAGAGTCTTTGGCAGACACTTTGCTAGATTCCACTTTGATGATCAAGGATACAGCTCCTTATATGTTTCTGTTGCCAGACGGAACTTACGACTTTCTCGTTGGTGCCTATTCGATCCTTTCTGTTGGCGGAGCCTTCATTCCATTGTGTAAGTGGACTATTCTGTACAGCCAACTGCTGTCTACATCACCTTTTCATAACAAAATCACTAACAATAGCGGTCAAAGCATCTTCAACGCTTCCAGACGAAGCTCTTTGGCTTTTCCGAAAATGCCAGTCGTTTACCATTGTCGCCAGCCGCATTAATCTCCCCAAGCTGGATAGTCTTCGACAACACGCTCTTTCCAACGGCCACGACCTGACGATTATCATAATTCAGGACTTTACACCACCTCTGCCCGAAATTTCTGCACCTTCCATTGCAATCAGCCCAACACTGCAAGTGCCAGCACAGTCCCCCGGTATGCTACTCTTTACCTCTGGTACAAGTGGCCCACCCAAAGGCGTGGTGCATAAGCGGACATTCTTTTACCAAATTCACGCCCGCAGTGAGCCTAGCGACGTCATCCTACACTCTCAGCACTACATGTGGATAGGAGGAATCCGTTCACTGTTTAGAAGCTCTCTGTCTGGCGCACGGCTCGAGGTGACTCGCAATGATCCTGAAGTACTGTGGGAGCGCGTTCGCCAAGGCGATGTGACGCATGTAGGTGGCAATCCGCCCCTATGGCAGAAGATGATGGTATATTACAAACAGAACCTTGAGAATCTATCGTCCAATGAAATCAAGCCGTATCTCACAGGGGTGCGAAAGCTGCGATTAGCCCATGTTGCAGGCGCCATGGCCCACCGCTCCCTACTCCAGTTTTGGCGAGACCTGGGTCGGCCATTGACTGTCTTTTATGGAATCACAGAAACTGCTGGAAGGCTAACATTTGGTTTGGCCGATGACCGCATGTTAGAGGTATGCTCTTGCTCTCGTTGTGTTTTCTGTAGTGCTAATGAGATTCTCAGGGTAGCATCGGGCGGCCGCTACCCAATGTTATACTACGACTATCAAAAGGAGATCATGGAGAGATTGAAGCGAAACTCGACGACATGTTTGCCGGGTACGAACCAAATTTGAATTGCTAGCACTGGATAAACTCTAATACTAACTAAACCTCAGGTATATCGGCGACGAGGCTGCTACAGCGGCAGCCATGACGGACGATGGCTTCTACCGCACTGGTGATGCAGCTCGCTGTATTGATGGAGAGTATGTCTTGGAAGGCCGTGAGTCCTCAGACTGTAAGACAACCTCTTTTTCTCTCGTCCACTCGCCAAATGCTAACCTTGCTCCATAACCAGTCATGAAATTCAGGGGGCACAAGATTTCCATTCTCGAGATTGAAATGAGCCTCCTAGAGCTCCCGTTTGTTCTCGAGGGATGCATCGTGGCTGCTCCCTATCCCAACTACGGCTCCGTGGTAGCCGCTGTCGTGCGAGTAGCCCCCTCAACCGGCGGTGACGAAAGCAAAACTTCAATCAAGCTCTCGTTGGGAGAGCTCCGAGACAGTCTAGCCGCCACTTTACCCACTTACATGCTCCCCATGGCATTGCGCGTGCTACAGGACGGCGAGGAGCTGCCCCGGACAATGTCGGACAAAGTGATCAAACGAGACGTTGTCGCACGGTACTTTAAAGTGGCGGAGACGCTGAAATTCGCCGACAAGGATGTTGAGCTCTGGACCTTTGACGACCATGAGCGTGTGGGATCAGCGAAAGCTTGGGATTGGGCCGCGCTGTAGGGAATCAGTGGGAGTGTGTTTTTACGGATGTATACAGCTGCAGTTCTTTCTTACGCAAACAAGCACAACCCAATTACCGTTGAGTCCAGACCGCACCATAAAAAACACAGCCACACGCGCTATGCAAGGTTATCTTCCGAGCCGCGTCTCGACCCGGAGCGCTGCCGATCGCCAAGTGATGATAGAGTTGCCGTGTCTCAGCCTTCTTTTGTGCTGCTTTCATGCTCGTTTGCGGAGCTGCCAAACAAGCAAAATTGTCTCAATCAAGAAATCCCGATGAGTAATTCTCTCTCGTGTGTTACTCTCAATGCTCAATCATGTACCTGTGAGCTAGTTTCCTCATGCAAAATCCCGGTTACCGGTTGCGTGATCCTCAATCGACGTAGTGTTGATCTTTGGGCTATGCATGCCTAACAAGATCATCCTACACATCACCAACCTGGCACCTGCATACTGGTATTAGTGACATACAATATATCTCTGCGTCTTTGTTTCACCACTGCCCTGCATGTGTAACGTCGTAAATTGTATAAGCCACGCTAATACCTAGGCAGCCAATGGAATATTGGGAACCCGTTGAGCACGGCTTAGAGAATCGTGTCTTTCAACTTTGACGGTCCAGCCTCCGAATCAAGTGGCGTCCCTATAATATAGGGTTGAACAATCAATTCTCTATATGCAGTTCAGACAACGAACCAGTCATGCCTCCTTCGAAAATAGAGCCCGTCGAAGACGACGTCAACCGTCATCCGCAACTAGGCACATCCGGGGCCCTCAAGCTATTCATATCCAATCGTCCCAAGATTCAATTTCTCCGACTCTTATGGCAGGATCACTCTGGGCTTCTACGAGCCCGTATAGTCCCAATTGAACAAGGGCTTGCCATCGCCAACGGAAACAAGGTCATTCACGTCCCGCCGATTGCTTTCCACTGCATTGTTGACAACAACTTGCTGCCTGATCTCGATCCTACTGGCAATCACTGGCTAGTTCCGGACTGGAAGTCACTCTCTTCGCGTCAAAAGCTGGACTCTTCCTACGCAAACGTCTTTTGCAAAGTCGTCGAGTATGCTCCAGTTCGCCCTGGCCCCAATTGGAACTTTTGCCCTCGCCATGCCCTGGACAACGTCATGCAGAAGGCGGCCGATATCTTTCATGTACACTTCTTAGTCGGATTCGAGGTGGAGTTTGAAATCATGAAGACGACTGAAACTGGAGATTTAGTGTCCTTCAGTCAGGGTCTTGGCCGGTTCGCTGCCGATGGTCTTCGAGATCCGTGCTACCAATACGTGGAAGAGACCGTTACTACGCTGCTCGAAGCAGGTGTGAAGATTGATGCCTTTCAGACAGAAGGTCGACGTGGCCAGTATGAAATCACACTAGGGTGTCTACCACCACTGGCCGCCGTCGATCAGCTCGTGTTAGTCCATGACACCCTCAAGCGTGTATTTGGCAGCCATGGCCTGGTAGCTACCATGTCACCGCGGCCGGTGCAATCGCGTCGACAGTCTACCGGGCAACACATGCATATATCGCTGAATCCACCCTTCATGCAGGATCACTTCCTCGCAGGTATACTACAGCGACTCCCAGCGCTATGTGCGTTTTGCCTTCCCTACGACCTATCGTACGAGAGAGTACAGCCGTATTTGGCAGGTCATTTAGTCGGCTGGGGCACGGAGAATCGCGTAGTCCCTGTGCGCAAGATCAAAGCTGGTCATTGGGAAATACGATGCATCGATGCCACAACCAACATGTACCTTGCGTTGGCGGCTGTAATCAGCGCTGGTCTGCTGGGTTGCAGCAATAAGGAGCCTCTGGTGTGGCCAGACACGGGAATCGTGGCTGATCCGTGGCCAAAGGATGCACAAAGCCTCCCATCAAAATTGGATGAGGCGCTGGATATTCTTGAAGGATCGTATGCAGATCTAGAGGGCATTATGGAAAGCACCATTATTCAACACTATCTGCGAGTGAAGAGAACGGAGAGTGCAAAACTGAAAGAAGTCTATCAGGAAGAAGTGCGGCGATTGATCAATGAGTTATTCTAGCACAGCACAGTGTATTATAGAATGGCAAAGTTACATGGCGCCGAACCAATTCACATCAGTATGGGATTCATCCAAGTATTGGGAGTTTGTATATTCTATGGCTGTAATGCTAGCTAATGCTGTCCTGCTAGCAACCTTCTTCTACCCAGCACTCTCCTCATCCGGAAGAATTGCAACCAATTAGCAAAGTACTGCTAACCAATGAATTAATCCCAAAAAATCGTCATCCCTTTTACTTTCTGTTGTCTTTTCCGTATCAAACATACCACTCCAATTTTTCCTTATTTTCTTATAAATAGTAGGTAGAATACCTCACATTCTCCCCCAATATCATATCTTGACAAAAGATGTACAGGTTGTCTTTGTTAAAAGGTTTAGTGATACACATGCAGTGCATCATGACAGCAAATGGAATACAAAAATGACATGAAAAAAATGCGAGCAACGCCAAACTTTTTCCCAAAAATAGTTGCAATGGTAACAAATTGGCCGCATCAACGTAGAATGCTGTGTCAGCGATAGCAAAATTTTGTTACAAGTCGTTTTGTTTTGTTTTGCTCTGTATAAAAACAGAAACAAAATAGTACTGCCGCATCATGCCCACTTGGCAAAGTCGACAGAATCGACTAGAGCAGCGCCTGTAGCGCCTGCGAATGGCTCGGTGTCGTGGGTAGTGGTTGGTGTAGACACCGTCGAGGATCGATGGGACGCCGGTTCGGCATTGTGGTTGCTGCTTCCCGTGAAGAAATTGGCTACACTGGTTCTTCTGAAGCTGCTAAGACTCTCACGGACGGTACTCGTCGGCCTGGAATCCACTGCCTGGCCTGTCATGCCGCTGTTGCTTCCCGGTGTTGGCGATGGCGAGTTGCTGGCAAGCTTGGGATCGTACTTGTTGCGCAGGGCTACAATTGCTTTCAGTCGGTTACTCCAAGACGAGACGTGCTCGCCGCCTTCTCTCGCGCTCCAGACTGTTGAGAATAGCGCTGCGTTGAGAGCGACCAGGCGGATAAATTCAGGCAGTGCCTTCAAGGAGATGATCTTAGTTTCTGAAGCAGGAGAGATTGCTGGGAATCCTGGCTTGCCAATAACTTGGACCATGTAGAAAGGTGCAGCACCCTTACCATCTGACTCGGATGCAGCTTCAGCTTCTCGGGCAGCAATGAACGAAGCTCTTGATGCTGGCGAGATGACAATGTATACCAGATTGAACTGGCTAGGAAAGGTGTCAAATTTAAACGGCAAGCCAGAATCGTTGAAGACAATGTTGACAAAGTCGTTGCCAATATGTCGCTTCTTTAGCGTGCACTGAGGATCGCGCTCAAGGTTGGTGGGCATTTGGGTAATAACATGGAAAACGATTTCAGTGACTCTATCACGCCAGCAAAAGGTATACTGGCCATCTGAACCGTATTCTCTGTCCAAACCCTGTGTGTTAAAGGTCGCACCCTTGAGTTTTGTGAGAGTACCCAGGCCGTTTAGAAAGGTTGTATAATCTGCGCAGCCGGAAACGTTGGCGAGAATGTCTGCCTCCTTGGTCTGTCCTTCACCAATGTAAATGACACCGACCTTGTGACCATCAACGGTTGAATTGAGATCAAACACGCGAACTGCTCGATCTACAGTGTCATCGTCTGGAAGAGGAATAGGTCTTGACGGGTCAAAACTCTGTGGAACAGGAGAAAGGATTTGGATAAGAAGATGGCTCGGCAAGATGGCATTGGTGTTCTCTTGGCCTTCTCGGGTAATATCCACATGATTTTCTACCTGGTGAGGAGGAGGAGGGCGGTATGTCTCTCGGACAGCATAGGCTGATGTTCCAGAGGGCTGACGTTTTGTAATCTGTGCCCATCCGGTGTAGACACCTTGACGGACAGTTACAATGCTATTTCCAATTACCCATCTCTTCTTACGAACTTCACCGAACCGCTCCGAGGTGAAGTAAGGATCCTCAGTAGATTCGTCAACGTCTGCGAAAGTCACTCTTTGCATAAAGTCCAGTGTCGTCACAGCTTGGTCGTCTGGAGGTTGCCCAGATGCCTCGGCGTCGGAAAACAGCTTCTTTGTAATCCACGACACGTGGGCAGCGCGGTCGGGGAGCTTCAACGCCAAGAACCAGAAGATAATTACATGGTAGGCAATGGCGTGCACGTATTGCGGTAAATCGTCCGCACCCGTAGACTCAGGCACGTTGGTGAGAGGCGTGGATGGTTCGCTAGCCCGGCTGCTTCTGTTTGACTGCCGCTTGTCTCGAGCGTATTCAAGATAGCGGAAGCAAATAGCGAAAACAGTCCTGTAGTCATCTTCTCTAAAGTTGACATAGACATGGTGCAGCCGACTCAATGAAGCAAGGAACTCCAGAATATGGATTGAGACATGTGATTGGGTAATGATGGCCTGCATGGCAGTAAGAATCTGGCTCAAGGACTTGCTGGTGGAAAGAGGCAATTCATGGCAGCAGATTGACAGAGCGTGGATGCATGGTCTCGCACATCTCTCCCAGCTAATCAGACCTGTGACAAACGTCGTCACAATATCGTCTTCATCAGATTTCGCAAAATGATGGTGGTAGCTCAGAAGCATTGTCAAGCTTTGGTATAGGGCAATAGCCACATCCGCTCTCCGGAGACCAAAAACGTTGGGGGGTTCTTGGAAGCAGTTGTTGCGGATTTGTTCACACACTAACCGCCGAACCTCTTGTATGCTGCGGGTTGCTCCTCGGAATATAGAGTGGTTGCTGAGCTGGGCAGGAAGATGTACAATAGCAAAGCTGTACACTTCCCATGGCGCACCTCTGAGGATACTCAGAACAGCCTCCATCCAACCGCCTACATCCAGAACGCGGTTATGAGCACCAGCAGTGTCCAGTTCTCTCTTTTCTTCATCGTCGTCGTCGTCACAGGAAACTAGCACTGAGCTGATTGTGTTTGGGACATGGTCAGGTAGTGTGCCCGTAGGTGAATACATCCACTGTTGCTGGTAGGAGGATATGGGGTTACTAGCTCCGCTCATGGATCGCATCGGCGTAGGTGCATTGCTCTGACCAATAGACATTCCTCTCGAGGTCCTCGATTGCATTCCGTGGTCATTTCTTGACACCCGCAAAGCCTGTGCGGCTTCCTGGTTACGGCGCTTTGCGAGTGACGCTTCGGTACGACGCAATGCAACGGCAAGAAACTCAACATCCAGGTTGTTTGTGATGAAAATTCGATTAGCCCAATCCGCTCGAATACGGAAGAGGAGCTGCATTGCAGATAAGCGAGCATCAACATCGCAGGTAGTAGATCTGGCGACCTTAACCAGAGCGTTAAATAGAGTTGTGCTCTTGCCACAATGAGAGCTCATCAACCTTAAAAACATTGCCACGAAGCCACCAGTGACAATGTTAGCCAGGGATGACTCAGTAGTCTTTGCACTTGCGTCGGCTTGAATCGTAGAGTCGGATGTTGAGCTAGCTGATGAGCCAACCTTTGGTGAAGCGGCGGCTGACGCTCTATCGGCATGCAAAACACTGGTGAGTGCTTGGACAATGTCGTCAAAGAGTTCCATATCGCACGATTCAACCACAGATTCTGTAAAGGCTATGATGGCACTTAAAATATTAGTGTCATGTTCTTGGCCAATGTCCTGCAAGACATGGCGAGTGAATCGGGGGATAAAGTTTTGCTCAGCACCGTCTCCCACAAGATCAACGATATGATAAGCGTCCATAACTGTTGCCAATGCCCGGAGTCTGGTATTTGACGGCCTGGAACGGTTCAAGAAGAATGCATCCAACACCAGCGTAATATTTTCTTCCCATTCCAGATCAGACGGTGAGCAGCAGTGGAATTCTTGAAAGTAATCCAACACAGCGAGCACAGTAGAGTCTGGTAAAAGCTCATGGACATCGGTGAAGAACTTCATTACCCTCTGACGAGGGACAAAGTCTTTGGATTTTGTGCTCACAAGGGTGCTAAGGCGATTAACCAAAGTTAGTAGTCCCTGGCGCACTTCACTCCAAGATGAGTCCTCTCGTTTGTTCTCAGCAGCTCTGGCAGCAACGGCTTGCATCAGTCTCTTAAAGCTCTCCGTTGAAACTTCCAAAGCGATGGACCAATCTTCATCTATCAGAATACGGTGCAGATTGCCGTCTCCGTCATCAAACATGGAGTTTAGAAGCTTCAAGATTGAGCTGCACACTGAAATAGACTTTGTCATCTGCAGCGTACTAGCCATACCGTCGACTAATAAAGCAAATGGGACTGGTGGGTATCCTTTCTCGGCCGTCTTTGAAAGTAGCTTCTGCAAGGCGGCAAGTGCTCCACGAATTTCTCGGTTTCGTGTGCTTTCATCCAATGAGTGTGTCGATGGGTCTCTAAGGGCATCAAGCAATATGCGAACTGTGGCTTGTCCGTTGTGAGATTTGCATAGGTTAGACAGCGTGTGCCAAGATTGCTTTTGAAGTGTAGTGACAACACAATAGATGGATGCCAAAGTTATAACACAGTCTTTGAGTTTGTCGTTTGGGATCGATCCGAAGGTAACAATTGCGTCCAAGGTTGTTATGCAGGACTGCAAGTCGCTCTCGTCGAGTGTGCTGGAGCATATGTAGACGATGTTGTCAATCAAGGCATCCAGAGCTACGCCATCAATGCTGTTGAAGCTGAACTTGACAACGTCATGGATGAAGGTAAACAACTGCTGCAGATTTTTACACTCTTCTAGCTCCTCATCAGGAACCGTGTTCTTAGGAGCGGTTTGATTATTAGATTCGGTGCTTTGTCGAACGCCGCTGGCCGCTTCGTAGCTTGTTCGGAGAAAAGTGGTAAGAAGCGGCATCAATTCGTAGTCGAAGCCTGAAACGGTTCGGCCGCCCTTTGTCAGCTCCATGAGTGACTCGAGCTGAAGTCGAAAGTCGTCGGGGTTGGCTGGCGCGCTCAGCGTTTGGAAGTATTCCTTGCGCTCCAAGTCGGACGACGCTTTGTGTTTGACACATTCTGTAAGCAGCTTCCAACCAGCTGTTCGCAGCTCCTTATTGTTGGATCTCGATATAGTATCCTTGCCAGCATACCATATTTCAAGGACAGGGTTGAGAGGATAATCAGCGACAGCAGTGCGCAGTGTCGTTGCTGCCGCTATACGCTCTTTGGTCGAGCCATGCTTAAGCTTGTCGTAAGCGTTGAAGTGCGTGCTGGAGAAGCCATGTCTATCAACAGCCCGAGCGTGTATAAAGTCTGTGCTAGCAAATGCCGTCGCTGGGGTCATCAACGGTGTGTATCGGGTCGGTCTCGAGGATGATGACGTTGTCGTTAGCCCGCGGAAGACATTGGAAAAGCTAGTCTGTCGTGTGGTCTCGGGCGTAGAGGATCCGTCGGCGTTTGGTCGAGACATGATCGGAGCATACGTCGTGCAGGACGAAGAGGAAGATGTGACCTATTCGGAGCTAATACAGCACGATGTTGGCCAACGAGTCCAAGGAAGTGGCCTCGCGAGGCGCAGTGACGAGCAGAGGGGGAGCTGGATGGCTGAAAAGCTTGCACTATAGCCGTTTGCGGTGATCGCAGTCCCCATGCAAAGTCAGTGAATGGGACAGGGAGTCTTACCGGCCAATGACCTAGAAACAAAAGACAAACATTAAATCATACACAGGCGACCAGGTTCAAAGAATGGCGAAGATCTGGCTTGTCCCCATGAGCGGATCTGGAGGAACAAGAGCTGGTGGGGAGGATGCTCGGCCGAAGGTCAGGTGTGGAGGCTAGGCTGTCTTAGGTACCAATGAGCAGCGTGCAACGACGGGAAGCCACTATGAGCAAATGCGGCCTCGTGATTTGTGGCGCCCAAAAAATAACTACTGAGAAGAATGAGGCGTAGACATCGAGCAGAAGGGATGGAGGTGGAGGATGGAGGATGGTTTAAGTAGAAGTCGAACAAAAAAGAGTGTAGGAGAGAAGACACTGCCAGCTGTACAGAGATTCTGGGTTGCCAGGTGTGGTGAATTGCATGCAGGACAAAGGCTTCTTCAACGCGTCGTCCACGTCGCAGCAGTGGCGCGGGCGGCACTTTACAGGGCCGATCCTGCAGGTTACAGCGGTCCGACAGCACTAAACTCAACGGTCACAGCCGACACAGTGAGACAGACACGTTGAGGATGCAAGACACGCGATGCTAGCACTGTGACGTTTGACAGGGGCCTTGGGGAACAAAGAGAGAACAATTCTGGCAAACTTGACATGGTTGAGTTTTTCCACTTTGTTTCTGGACACTCATTGGATACGCTTTTTAAAGAAGAGGCGTTGTGGTGTGTCATTGTTTTTCTACTTTGCAAAGTGGAAAAAGTCCTGAAAGTGGCTGCATACAGCGTAGATGGCATGCATCAGCTTGAGCAAAGTGGAAAACACCCCCAACACGCACACTGGGAAAGTGGAAAAACCAAAAGACTTTTTCCACTTTGAAATATATGTCCTAATTAGGAAAGTGGAAAAACTAAATTTGTTTTTCCACTTTGCTTCCACCTCATGCAATTATCAAAGTGGAAAAACTGTCTAGGGTACCTATTCACACGTTCCAACTGAGCCACACTTTGTCGGGGCACTAGCCACGCTCGCCACAACTGAGGTGGGCGGCCCGCAACGGTAACCCGGTAACTATTGTTTGCACAGGGACCTCTGCTGGAAGCTCCCCACAAACAACTCCTCCACGGTGAACACGACTGAGAAAAAAACTTGGCTTCACCAGCTTCATCACCACCCATCTTCTTTTGTCCCTTTCAAGCCTTCATTTCCCATAATTCAATATGTCGGCCGACATTGGCCAGATTTCACAGTTGCTTAACGCAACGCTGGACCCAGCCCAGCACCGTAAAGGTTCGTCCACCGCCACCTTGGCTGCCCCGCGTTTGCACGCGCTGCTTTGCTAACCATCAGCGCTTTTCATCCTATAGCTGAGGCCGCCCTTAAGCAAGAAGCTACCAAACCCCAATACTCCCTGACGCTCCTCAACATCGTTAGCTCCGATTCTACGCCCTCCAACACCAGACTCTCTGCCGCCCTCGCCTTCAAGAACTTTGTCCGCACCAACTATGTCGTATGTCGATCCTATCTGTGCCGCACATGCACGCCCGAACAAACAAGCTAACAGCTGTAGGACGAGGAAGGAAACTACAAGATCCCGGCCGATGAGGTCCAGACCATCAAGCAGCAGCTCGTTGGCCTGATGATCTCATGCCCCGCCAACGTTCAGAGCCAGCTCGGCGAAGCCATCAGCGTTATCGCCGATTCTGACTTCTGGAGACGCTGGGATACATTGACACAAGTATGCAAACAAAGCGGTGTACTGAAACACAGTTTAGAGGCTAATGCAAAGCTTTACAGGAACTCGTCAGCCGATTCAGTGCCACGGACCCCAAGATCAACGCTGGTGTTTTGGAAGTCGCCCACTCCATCTTTGCCCGATGGAGACCCCTCACCAGAACTGACGAATTGTATATTGAAATCAACCACGTCGTCCAGACCTTTGGTAACGCTTTCTTCCAGCTCTTGGTGGTGAGTTTAGTTCACAGGGGATAATTCTTTTGGTCAATAAGCTAATGACGCCGCCTTTTAGACCACCGATACCCGTATCCAGGAGAATGCTAGCAACCAGGACGCCCTCAAGGCTTGGTTCGAAACATTGAGCCTCCAGATTAAGATTATCCACGACATGTCGTGCCACGATCTGCCTTCGATTTTTGAAGATAACCTTGGCAGCATTGCCGAGTTGTTGCTTAAATACCTTCAGTACAAGAATCCGCTCCTCGATACTGATGACGAAGCCGAAGTTAGCATCCTCGACACCGTCAAGGCCGATATTTGCGAAATTCTCGTTCTCTACACATTTAAGTACGACAAGGAATTCTCGGATCTTTGCCAACCTTTCATCACCAGCGCCTGGGAACTCTTGTCCACTATCGGCCCCGAGAGCAAATATGATACCCTTGTCGCCAAGGCCCTCCACTTCCTTACTATTATTGCCGGAACTTCACAGCATTCCGGTTCCTTCAACGATGAAGGCGTCTTGACACAGATTGTTGAAAAGGTCATCTTGCCAAACGTGTCCCTCCGCGAGGTTGATATTGAACTGTTCGAGGATGAGCCCATTGAGTTTATCCGCAGAGATCTCGAAGGATCGGACAATGACTCTCGTAGACGATCAGCCACGGAGTTTTTGCGCCAACTCCAAGAAAAGTTCGAGGCAACCGTCACAAACACAGTCTCCAAGTACATCAACCACTATCTCACACAAGGCAAGACTGACTGGAAGGCCAAGGACACGGCTGTATACCTGTTCCTGTCCATTGCTGCCAAGGGCGCCGTCACTGCCGCTAAGGGTGTAACACAAATCAACCCCCTAGTCAACATTTTCGAATTTTTCGAGCAACACGTTGCCTCTGATCTGACAACAGCAGATGGTAGCGAGCCCATCCCCAAGGTTGACGCCATCAAGTTCCTGTACACTTTCCGTAGCCAGCTGTCCGCTGAGCAGTGGAAGCAGGCCTTGAGCCCTCTTATCCAAAACCTCAACTCGTCCAACTACGTCGTCTACACATACGCGGCTATTGCTGTTGAGCGCGTCTTGTTCCTTTCTGACGAGTCTGGCAAGCCTCTTTTCACACGCCAGGATGTTGAGCCCTTCGCCAAGGATCTACTTGACCACCTATTTAAGCTCATTGAGAAAGACGCTGATCCCGCTAAGCTCCAGGAGAACGAATTCCTCATGCGTTGTGTTATGCGTATTTTGATTGTCATCAAGGATGGCGCTGCTCCTATGCTTGATAACGCTCTCACACACTTGGTCGCCATTACCAACATCATGAAGCAGAATCCTAGCAACCCTCGCTTCTACTACTACCATTTCGAATCGATTGGCGCCCTTGTTCGCTACTGCGGCGCTACGAACGCACCGAAGCTCAATGAGAAGCTCTGGGAGCCATTTAACCAGATTTTGGCAGAAGATATTACTGGTAAGCCTGCGTTGCACCTAATTAATCATGCAACTTGTGCTAACATGGTGTAGAATTCATGCCCTACGTCTTCCAGATTCTCGCACAGCTGCTCGAGTCCAGCCCCTCTGATACCCTCTCTGACAACTACAAGTCTCTCCTGGACCCCATCTTGGCCGCTCCCCTCTGGGAAACCCGCGGTAACATCCCCGCCTGCACCCGCCTGCTCGCTGCCGTCATGCCTAGAGTGCACAAGGAAATTGTGGCGGCGAACAAGGTCGAGGCTGTCCTCGGTATCTTCCAAAAGCTCCTGGCTGGTAAGAAGTCTGAACTTCACGCTTTCGACATTATCGATTCCGTGGTTCGCTCCTTTGAGCCGTAAGTATTGCCATTGCTAGACTCGTTTCTGAACTAAGTTAACATCTCTTTAGTGCTGTCGTTGACCAATACTTTGGCACCATTCTCCAGCTCATCTACACAAAGCTGCAGAGTAACCCTGCGGATTCGTTCAAGGTCCGCTTCGCTCGATTCTTCCACCTCGTCGGTGCCCGTCTTGAGGCTGGCTACGGCGCCGATTTCTTCATTAAGCACTCCGACAAGCTCGACGAGCGTGCCTTTGCACAGGTCTACCCTCCCTTTGTCCTCGCTGAGACTGAGAAGCTTGCTCGACCTGTCGACCGTAAGGCTGCTTGCGTTTCACTGACCAAGACTCTGTGTGACTCGCAAATCTTTGCTCAAAAGTTCGCCAAGGGCTGGGGCAACACCTGCCGCATCCTTCTATCGCTTCTTGCCAACGCCCCTGTTGTCGCTGCTGGTGTCGGCGACGACATTGTGAGCGAGCAGTCTCTGGACGACATTGGCTTCGGCATGTCCTTCACAGCTCTCAACACCTGCAAGGCTGTTGCCAGAGACGACTTCCCCGAGGTCCAGAACGTGCCAGACTGGGTTAAGCAGTATATGGCTGCTGCCAACACTCGTCACAACGGCGCTATTGCCGGCTTCATTTCGGAGCGTTTGCCTGCGGACCAGCAGCAGGCCATTGCTCAATACCTTTCATAAAAGAACAGTAGCGATGCCTATAGGATGACACGTGTGTTTGGCGTGTCAATGGGTGACTTTTGAAAATCTGAACCATATTGCATATTTTGATTTTTTTTGTTTGTTTTTGAGGCTGATGGGAGGAAAAAAAGGGGAAATTAAACGATAAAAAGCGATAGACTGTTTAACTAGCATATTCAGGTAGGTACAGCAGAATGGCATAATGTTTGTGTTTTTTTTTACAGATTCACGGAACTTCTCAAGTGACTTGCAAATTGTTTTCATAGGTGAACAAATCTTACATTTTCGATTCTTTGCATCCTCAAAGAATGCTGCTATCAACTAAGAAGAGATACATGTACAAGGAGAAGATATATAGCCAAAAAAGAGGTCGACGTCTAAAATGTAACCATTGTAAAACAGGATGGAATCGCTAAAATGCAAAGCTTTCTCATCAAGACGTTCAGAAGGTGGAAAGAAACAATGACAAGGAAACAAAAGGCAAATAAGTAATGAAGCGTCGCTTGGTATTTGGAGGGGGGCCGTGTCGTAAGCGTCGTAAGAGAAGTGGAAGGAGAAGAGCGGGGGGTCATATTATGGTATAGAGCCCTCGGAACCAGAGACAAATTGGTATCATATGGGGGGAGTGTGGTTTTGAGATAAGGCGTAAATGAGGAAGAGATGTTGTATCGTACGAGAGCGTGTCTGTGCTTTAGAGGAAGCCACCTTCAGTGCCGACCACACCAACGACGCTACCACGCCAGCCAGCGCATTTTCGCTGCTGCTCGTCACGTCGGTTGGGTGATGGGCGGACAGCAAGGTTGGTTCGGTGCGTAGCGGCATTGTTGGGTTCGATCTCCATGCTGGCGCGACTGCTGCCCCCGCTAACATTGGTCTGAACGAGTAGTAGGCTGCTGCTGCTTGAGAGGCGTTTTGTGATGTCGCTCACGCTCAGGCGGTTGCTGTTGTGAGAGTGTCGCTTCTCGGTGTTGACTCTGCGTGGTAGCGTAGATGCATCTGGGGCTGCGAGAGGAACCAGCTGAGGAGTGCTTTGCGTACGGCCATTAATAGGTCTGGCCTTGGCATGTGATGTATGAGGACGGGCCGGAGCAAGCTGGCTGATGCTGCTGGAGCTGGCATGGAAGCTTAGGTGGTTGCGAGAGGCGGAGGGCCGATGCTTGGATGCGGGTTGTTCTTCTCCATGGCGGCTAGCGATGAACGCCAAAGCTCTTTCAGCACTAGGGGACATGAGGGGCTTGGAAGTATCCAGCTCTTCATCGTCACTCGAGATTTCCGAGTCCTCCGAGGCGGATTCGTCCGAACTATCGTCATCGTCGAATGCACTACGCATCGCCATTTGCTCTCGTCGTTCCTCTGCCTCTCGCTGTTTGCGCTTGTCTTCTGCCTCACGCATGAGTGCATCGAAACGCGCGATGGAGCTGAGCTTTTCTTGGCCTGGAATATGCTCCTCGGCAAAAGGAATATGGCCCAACTTAAAGGCTCTGTCCAAGATAGTCTCGCCGGGGGCTGGTGGTGCGTTGACATCAGCTGCAGTAGGAGGCGGCATTTCTAACTGGCGTGTAGGAGAAGTCACGCCGGCTCGGCCTTGTGCGGATGTCCATCCTTCGATAAACTCGCCGTTGTATTCTGCCGCAGGACGGCCTGGTGTGGGGTATTTCATGCCATGGTTGTGGCTGCTTGAAGGGGATGAGACGTCGCTTCGTTTGGAACGCAGGCTTGGAGATTCGGAGCTAAATGTCGTCTGACGATCTCTTGGGCCGGTAGAGTAGGTCGCTGTCGAACTCTTGTGCTGCAATGCACGGTCAGATGGCTTGCCTGTGTTACTGCCGCTACCAGGACGGTGGTAGGAGTCGGAGCCCTCTCGGGGTCTAGTAGCAAAGGGTGATGTAAATGCTGGCGAAATAGGACTAGGAGCGTCTATCGATGCCTTTGACATAATAAATCGAGCCCATTCGTGAAGACTGGGGTGCGGCTCATCCTGTGCCATTCTGAACCACAATGTATTGGCACCGGATTCCTTGTTGGTCGAGACGAGACCGGCTGCTCTGCTGGATCGTCTTTTGCGTTCTTTGTCGGATATATTAATGACTAGAGTCGGCAAGAGAGGTCCCTGCTTTTTATACGCCAGTAGCTGCACTTGACAGTCGGAGACAGTTCGGACTGGCCATTGCTGTATGGGCTCATAGTCGTCCTGCAGGGGCAGTGGTTAGTTTATGGCTCTATTTTCTAGAGATTTGGGGGCTACTCACTTTGAACTTGAAGACTGACAGGAATATATCATCTGTAGCAATAGAAGCTGTCGGGCGGTGACCAGAAGCCAGGATGCGAGAAGAGCTAGCTGGGATCCGATCTCTGCCTGGGAACAGCGGGCGTCGACCAACAGTTATGTAACGCTCCTATAAGGCATATAGAGTTAGAGAGAATGGCAACCCAAATTTCAGTTAAAGGCTGCATACCTTCCAACTGGAGCGGTTGATGAGCTGCCCTCGCTCTGGAGGCACCAGCAAGTAACCGTCGAGAAAGTTCATGGTGAAGGGGAGCTTGCCGCAGCTGTTGAACAATGGGCGGAGGATTCAGAACAAGCGGGAAAAGGATGAATAATTATAGCGTCATGCTGGTGAGGTAGCTCGAACTTGGCTGCGCGAGGTTAGAGCTGGTGATTGCGGCGAAGCGGCAGTTGGTGTCGATCAGAGGGCGGGCGATGGGCGGCTACCCGATCGATGATGCTGGATGTCCACGAAGATGAATGGTTGTGTTGCGTTGTCTTAGGTGTTTCGGCTCATTAGGCAGTAATTATAAAAAAGAAAAGATTATATGCCAAGAGCGAAGAAGAGACGAGCGAAGGCCTTTGAAAGCGTGCTGGGCAAGAAGAGGAAGAGGGAAGAGGAGATTTGGGGCGGCGGATATTTGGCGATGGGGTCTCCAGCGAAGGGAGGCGGGGGGCGTAATAGAACTTAGAGAGGAAGGCTTCTAGTCGCCTTTTGCGATCGTGGGCGTAGGCGGCGGGCCAGTAATAAATCCCCGAGTCAAATAGTGGACAGTGGATAACGAGCGGCGCTAGAGCGAGGCGTGGTGGTGGTAGTGGTGGTGCAGTGCTGGAGGGAGTACAGTGTACAGTGCAGCAAATGTAGAAAAGCAGGTGACAACGAAGGGAGGCATACGGAAAATTAGGGACGATTAAAGTGAACAAAAAAAATAGTAAAAATAATAAGGGACAGGTACCGGTGCAGGAGGAGACAAGCTAATGCAGGCCCAGCCAGGGCCATGCAAAGACATGACCTCGCAGGTTAAAAATATTGAAAAACAAGTACCTCTTCCATACAACGTGCCCACGGGAGAGCTACCAGGACAAGGGAGGGGGCAGCTAAAAACAACCAGCGCACGCGCCAGCTGGGGGAGGGGAGGGGCGAGCTAGGGACGGGGAGCCTGATTCAGGTACGCTGCAACAGAGCCCACCCACTAGAAAAATACGCTAAACAACGACCAGGCCTGGTTTTCTGGCGGATATTAGCCCGAGAACATGCTGTACGTACTGTAGCCAACCGCCCGGTGGCGCTGCTCCTGGCTTTTACAGTAAGGCACAGGCCTCTTCCGGCACTGTAAAGGGCCGTGGCAGGGAAAGGCACTTTATAGTGTAGCGGTGTTTGCTGGACGCCGCCAACCGAGATGAATGCTCACATGGAAGCAGAAACGGACGTTGGCCGTCTGCAAAAGGATCACCTTCTACAAAAATTGAGGTTTACGTTTTGCTTTGATTGGATTGACATTTTGACAATAGCCCTATTTCTCTAACTTATGTCCAAAATGCCCTGTTCCAAATACCCACTCCATCGAACACCCGCGCCGAGCTGTCCAACACAACAAAAAAAGCCACACAAACGCCCGGCAAAACGCAATGAGAAACGCCAACAATGAACAGACGCCACCTCGCCCTATCTTTGTCACGCCCCTCTTAAGAAAACCGCTTCGAAAGAAGCCCTCCTATGCCCACTACGGCGCGTCTTTAGCGTTAGGGGTTAAGGCTGCCCTGCTCATCACTTACCATAACGAGTGAGTGGAAGAGACGGTGACGAGACCGGGTGGGCACTTTGGTTGGACGTTTGCAATGCGTGGACGGCGATGTGACAACTACTACGGCAGAAGTCAATGATGGCCAGTGCAGCTTTTTGAGGGGTAAATGCGGTCAAAACCATGACCCTTTGACTAGTAATCAGGCCGAGATGTCCGGCCCATAATGGCTTGCGGTGTTTGTCAACCCGAGGCGATGTCCCGTTGTCAGTGTAAATTGGGATATACCTTACATGAAGCCACACCTGTGGAAAGTCCCTATCAGAGTGACTGGATAAAGGTGTATAAGAATAGCTCTGCATATTCGCTTGGCTATATTCTGGGAGTTTATAACGGGCTAATATCAAAAATATGGTTTTAATTCTGCCAGCTGGCGATTGGCACTCCTGCCAGCTGGCGTGTCTGGCAAACAACCAACACCACTGCTACACTGCCTGTCCGCTGCTTCAACATCTCGCTGCCACCAAAAATGCCCAACCTCCAGACCGCAAGTAATCACAAACGCCACCCAGACAAGCTGCTGCAAGTTCGCTATGCAACCCAAACCAACCCTCTGGGCCGTAAGTTTCAGCCACGGCCACACTTGTCACTGATGCTGGCCAACAGCAGAGCGACCATGGCCGTTGTTCACACACACGCACGCACACGTACGCCAACCCGGTAAATGCTTCCTCCTGTTGGCGGTTCCAATGGACTCCTTAGCTGTCGTGTGAAAGCGGAACCCTGGCCACGACGTGCTGGGGTGGCTATGGGACAACACATCACCAAAGGAACCCACTGCGGCCCTGAACCAGAAAGCCATACCAGAGGCTGAAGGACTAGGCTCGCTTCAACGTCCCCCGCCAAGATCAAGACCAGGCACCGCCACTGCTGCAGCTCGCTTGTCTATTTGAGTGTCCCCGTGGCCAACTAAATTTGCCCTGACCCTTATTACCAAGCCCCAGCACGTCACGCAGACTACCCTCTAAGTTACATTACCAGCAGCCCACATCTCGGGTCATCAGCAGCCACACCGGAGCCAGGTCCCCTCTATCATCATCATCTTGCAGGCTGTAAGAACAGAACAAATGACGGAGTCGCCACCTTCGCTTGCATCCAGCAACCCTGGCCTATAAGACGACCCGAGACGCGGCGTCTGACCAGGGGGGCAACGGATACAAGACGGAAAAAAATGCCCCGAGACTCACTGTATCAGGTCATTCTAGTAGTTGTCTCACACAATACAGCTTCTTGGCGGGATGGGGAAAAGAGAATAGACTGTGTTCCCCAGACACGCTACAGAACCAGAGCGGGAACACAACAGGCGCTAGACCGATTACTGGCCAATCCAAGGCCGTGTTTGGCCTTGTTTCAGACACTAAAGCTGCAATGCACAAGCTTCCACGCTAGTGCCAGTATCCAGCGCCAATAGTCAGGCTATAGGCGCATATTCCATCAGAACTACACTAGAAGCTTTTTCCAGAGCTGGTGCCTTACGCCTCTTTCTCCATAGTCTGGTATTCTCGGACCAACAAAGTCCACAGGGCGCAATGGCGGCTGCTAATGGGCGGAATAACGCCGGGGCTGAGGTTGCCGTGTTCTGGGCTCGCAAAATGGACAAAGGTGAACCCCATCAAAATCGCCACATTGTCAATGTTGTCCCGTTCGCTACACCACGCAACCCTTTTCCAAGACCATCTATCGAGTGCCCTTGACGCCGCCTGTTATTGATCCTTGTCAGAACAACCGCTCCAGACAGGTCACCTCAGCGCCAATTGGCCCATCATACCCACCCTCCTCATTATGCAGGCCAACCATCAGAGCGCAGCACATCTCCACAACGGGGTTGACTGCGTCTCCTGTGGGTCGAAATAGAAAAAGGCAAATGGGATGGAATAGAGCCTTCAAAAAGCAAAAAAATGGGGTGACGGCTGGCTGTCAATATCACTTGAGACATTCCGCCTAGAGTGGCGTTAGCTGGCGAGCAAACGAAGCTGTGTTAGAAGACGACCGTCGCCGAAAAGGTGCGCCGAGCCTTGAGCCACCCCGGCTACTCCGTCTGAATGGCCAGTTTGGCTTGGATTACTCTGATACCAAAGGGCAGGCTGATATGTGCTGTAGCAGCAGTCTACAACTTCATCGTACAACGTAGCCAGGCACTGTGTCAAGGCGATCAAAACGCGAAAAGGGGGATGCTACGGCGTTGTACGTGGCTGGCTGAAGAACATCCACCCATTTCACCGCCCTTTACAGATGGGTGCTCTAAACAGATACAGAGTTAAGTGGATTTTTTGGCTACTGATATCGTCAGAGGAGGAGTAAAGCCCGGAGCAGTGCCGCGAGCCTCGAGCCACGGAGATTGGAAGCCGTGTCATTCGAACTACGCAAGAACGTTATTGAAAAGCTAGGGCCTCTTTTGGCGTGGGAAGCCTCTTAGGTTGGTGTGGAACCCACCACTTGCATGTTCCCCTGTGCTAGTACTATTGCAGCTAACCCGACCGCTACGACGGCTTTGCCCGGCTCCATGCCATTTGTTCCGATCACACTTGAGGTGCCATGGGGAGAAAAGCCAACCGCCAATCGGGCCAAGGTACAGGAGTGGAAAGAGGAGTGACTTGGTGGGCGGTAGTGTTGGTGGTGGTGTCGATGTGCCAACGCACGCACCTCGAAAACCTTACTGTGACTCCTTGAAGCCTGCCAGGGCAGAGGCAAAGGGATGAGAATTCGCAGTGTAGAACACGGCGGGCGCCGTACGGGCTTTTGAAGACAGTGTGTGGATTCATTTGTGACGCATACGAATCGGGTACAAATTGGCCATCGTTGGGGACCTGGTCGTGGTATTCTGGCTAACCACCTTGTTCTCTGCCAGGCTGTGCGTCTGGCAGGTGTTTGACGTGGGCGTCTTAGCGTGTTCTTGAGGCGGCACGGTTGGACAGTGGCATGATTGATGGGGCCTCTGTCTTCGGAGTCTCAGACTGGCCTCGTACCCGATATTTGTCCTAAACTGCGTTCTATGCATTGTCAGATTTTGGGTGATTGGAGTGCAGTTTCATTCTGCAACATGGTGGATCGACCTATTTGCTGTGCCCGCTCTCGATGCATCAATCTGCCGTCTGGCTGCTGCACGCACCCCTGCCCAATCGCGCCTTTTTGATATAGGTCTTGGTGTTTGTTATGGGCCTGGGCTGCGTGAGTTCCTGCAGCATCCAAGAATCCCTGGTCTCTCTGCCCAGGAATTGGGGCCAACAACTAAACAAGGGCAGCAGCAAATCAAAAAAAGCCCCCGATGAATGCGCATGGCAGTTTCCACTGTGACGCAAACGTGCTTGCGACTACCGCCAAGACCCGGCATAGATGTCTCGTCGTAGACTAAGCCACCAGAAAGTGACAACACGGCACCTGTCTATCGGGCTTGATGATGAGGTGCATGATGCTATTGATACCGAAGCCAATAGTAGAAGTAGCCCTTGGAAAGGCTGGCTGCTGGCCAGGCTACAAACTCTTAGCGTATCGGAACCCGGTGCTGTCAAGTATCCTTGTGGCAGGCGGTGCTGCAGGCTTGGTCACTACAGTGAGCCTGGTTCTATGATCAACCCCTGCTATAGCACGCGCGGCATCGGCTGCAAATCTTTCGCTCTGAGTTTGTCGCGCGTACTAACCGTACTGAGACCACGGCCGGCCTTATTATTGTACCGATACGAAAGCAGGCGTTGATGGGCAAAAAAAGGACCGTTGGCCTCGCCAAAAGAACCATTGTATTCAAGGTTTGGTGTGTGCAACAAACATGTGAAGTAAAGGTTCTCAGCACGGGCGTTTTTGGTTTTAGCACACTGCCTTTTTGAGCCAACGGAACCGGCCGATAGTGGTCAGTGATCCCCCAAGGCTAAAGTTAGCGTCTAGCGCGTGCAGGAACAGCTTATCCCAAAGTAGACGCTCGGTAAGACCGCGGGCGTTTAGCCAAAGGGCACGTTACAGCACAACAAGGCTTGTTCGTCTGAAGGTGGCCAGTGCTTGTTTACGCTTTTTGTCCATTTGCAGATGCACATTACCGATCGGTGAGCAACAGGGGCAGGAGTTGGCCCGACCGATGCAGGGGCACACCAGGAACGAGAATGCAGAGGGTCACGGCGTAACTTTGTGTGTGGTGGCGTCTGGGGGAGTGAGCGCCATCACAACCGACGTATGGCCGTATCATCGTCGTACGACAGCAAAGGTACATTTGCATCAGATCTTTCGGACGTCGGTCAGGTACCAAAAGGGGAAAGGGGAGGCGTGTGTGTGGTGTGAAGGACGTGGTTCATCTTGGGCGGCATTCTGAGGCGGCGATCCCATCCCAGCTCCAGCGGATTTAGAGTTTGGTTGTGTAATTCAGCCGAAGCTCAATTCAACGGTGGTGGCGATCAGCCTCACAAGCAGCCGTTCTTGGTTACATGAGGAAAACACAGCGAGGAGTTTGGATTCTGCGTAGCCACGAGCACACGGGCCATACGCCGTGTCGTGTGTCTGTAATGTTGTAGTTTGGTGAAGTGTCTATCATGACTTGTCTAGGAAACCTAGCACAGTATGTACACCGAAGAATGAGAGTTTAAACGAGGAAAGATGTATCTCAGGCTAAATGAAGCTAATGCAATGTGATGAGCAACCAAGATTCTGTACTCCACAGGAACGGCACAGTCCCAGCCTCGCTGATCACTACGCGGGGAGTTTGTTTGCACATTGCGGTTGATTGAGCGAGCCTGCCCAGTTGGCCAGGCGGTACTGAATGTGCATTTCACTCAGCGTGGTTTGAACTATTCCTCTAGTTAATATTGGGAGTCTTTGGCCTCTACGGAGGGCACGTCTATGCAATGTAAAAAGAGTTATCGTAGGGGTTTACAAAGGTAAATCCAAATCATAGAATCATAGACAAATCTTAAAAAACATCTCTTGCTAGGGTTCATTTCTGTTCAAAGATACTTGTGGCATGAATTAACTAAGAGACCTCTATTGGCCGTAGAGATGTAACCTGCCAATGGAATAGAATAGCATAGCCATCAATACAAAACAGAGTGCCACAAGTCAAGAAAACAAAACCGGGATTAAATAATAATCAACATTCGCTTCTACTACAAAGAATAGTGTTTTCTGGCTTAAACAAAGTCCTCTACAAAATATGGGGGCAGAATAAGAGTATAGACACCCGCCAGAATCCGCGCACACATCCATAAAGATAAATACAAAAAGGGGATACAAGACGTGAGGCCACCGTCCTCGGGTGGCATGATTATCAAACCTCTAAAGCATCAAGGCTTTCGTTTATGGTTTCTACAGTTGTAAAATCGCCTTCCAACTTGTTGATAAGGTTAATCAGTGCTTGCCCGCGTTGCGACTGATCCTCATCAGCATGTTGCTAGCCATGATGCGTAATGTTTGATGAGTGCGCTTGAGCGTAGCTAAGACGCAGTTCATGGCACCGAGCCTTATTCGTCCAACTATCCACTTTTGTCAGTCTATGCCTCTCAGGATAAAGTAGTCTGGAAAACTTACATCTTTACTCGCTGGTCATCGCCACACGAAGCAAGCATACACGGGTCAGCTGGATTCCAAGCAACAGCATTGCATCGGGGGACATGGCCGTGCAGACGTTCCACAGCCGCACCAATGTTCTTGTGCCAAATCAAAATGTTGCCGTCTTCACTACCGCAGGCAACGAAGCTTTCATTGGCACCTCCAAACGTGCTGCGAATCAGATAGTCGCCGCCGGTGTGACCAAGGTATTTCTGCATTGGCGTCCTGGTCTGCAGATCTATCAGGATCGCCTCGCCATCCCTCTTGTTAACCAGCAGGTGTTTCGAGTCGCGGCTGATGCTGACGGACGTAGGGAGCGCCTTGAGCTCCATGTTATACTCCAGCTGCCTTGTGGCAGCATTGTAAATGTGTAACGTCTTTTGATCGTCCGCAGCAACAAGCCACTTGCCATCAGGAGAGCCGCAGAGGTCCTGAACTCGGTGCGTCTTCTTCCATTCAATCACTTCGTCGCTGTCCACATAAAAGGTAGTAATACCATTAGCGGAAAGTGTACCAATAACAAATGAGTCGTTGCCAGACGCCCAGACGCAGCCACTGACAGGCTCATCAAATCGTCTAAGTCGTTTGAGCATCAGGCCAGTCTATTATTCATGTTAGTCTTTGATTGTATAGAGCGGATATAGATATTGGCTTACCTTTGCATCCCATAACCTCGCATATCTATCTTGTGAGCATGTCACAATCATGGTGTCGTCAGGACTCCAAGAAATATTTCCTACGCCCTTGTCGTGACCGGGCAGCTCTTGTACCATGTGGAACGTCTTTGTTTCCCAAATGACGACCGAATCACCACCACCACATGCTGCCAGAAAAGCACCATTGTGAGAGAACTGAACCTGCCACACCTCTCCGTCAACATTGTCGAGATCGAGGGCAACCTCGCAGGGGAAGTGACGGCGATCACACATGTGATCCGAATATAATGACGGCGATGCGGCTTCTGTATGATACACGCAGTTGTCGATTTGGCTCTGCTTCACATGTTGTAAGAGGACTGCGAGACGGTTTTCTGGAAGCATTACAGACGGCGATATACATCCTGGACATGGTTAGCTTTGCCCGTTTATCGTTTGGTACTTCTATGTCTTGAGCGGTATTGCTTACTGGAAAGATCTGAGAGAAGCTCCCGCCTCGATTCACCTTGGGCACCATCCCAGTGTGCCTTGGCCATAAGATCTTGTGTTGAAGGGCACATTAGCAAGCTGGAGAGAAAGTGCAGCTTTGCCGTGTCCTGATATAGCGGTGTCAACTCTCCTCGGAGAACCACTAATGCTCGTGTAGCATCCTTCTTCTCGAGCAGCTCGAGATACTTTTGCTGCCTAAGCCAAAACCGCATTAGATCCCGATCCGCCCCAGCAGCCAGCACCAGCCCATTCCCTGTACCTGCCGTCGCCTCCGACAACGCAGCACCGCTTAATAACTTTTCAGCCTCCGCCCAGTCGCCAGTCAGGACGGTTGTTCGGAAAGCAGCCACGGTTGGGCTCTCCAACTTGTATCCGCTGTCCTTGCTGACCATCTCGGCGGCTGCCTGATAGCCCATGCCTGATAATGCTTGTATCAAGATTCTAGTAACTTCTTCTCTATTGTGTCCAAAATACGTCGAGCTCCGATCTGGTTGGTGGGTGCCATTTGTAGCTCCATTTACTGTAAACGCCTTTTTAAGGCCATTGACAGCATCTGGTTGGCTTGTATTTGTAGAGCCGTTGGAGTGAGCTGCTGCCACTCCATTTGACGGAGGTGGCATTTCTGTGGTGGCCAACATGTCGGCAACTTGTTGAAGTCGTTGACGTTTAGCGGTCCTTTGAAGTTCGTCGAAGAGAGCGAGTTGGTCTTGTTGTTGAGGAGCAGCCGCTTCGTCGTCAGGTTGGTTTCTAGACGAGCGTCTTCTGCGGCGGCCAAGGATTTGCTGAGGAACGGAGCCGGGGTGAGAAGAAGGCGGAGGCGGGAGCTGGGGCGTCGGGGTAGGGTCGGTAGTTTGAGGTGTCGTCGTTATCGTTGCTGGATGGGTCAAAGGGACTTGAGCTGGTGGGAGCTGGGAGGAAGCGGCCTGTGCAGCCGAGCGAGTGTTTCGTATGATGGGAGGGGTAGATTCGGTAGCGGCAGTGATGTTGGTGCTGGTGTCGGAGGGATCGGGGTGGGAGCGGGAAGACGAGGATTGGTCCAGATCGACCTCACCGCGGCTGCTGGCCGCGGTTGTGTTCGTCGAAGCTATTGAAGGACTTTCCTGCGGCCTGCGGTCGACAGCATCCGTGTCGGCCCGCAGTTAGAGGCCGGACGCAGGACGCGGAGCTGCTCCGGCAGATGATGAGGTCGAGGATGAACGGACAGATGCGTCGAAGGCGCGATGACGATGCTACACAGTTGTTCGCTTTGCGGGCAAAGGAAGGCAAGCAGCGAAATGAAACGAAGGCCGAAAGAAATGCCGATGCCTGTATGATGCTGATTGTCGGCTGGACAAGGTGGCCGTGAATGTAGAATGAACAAAAAAGGGTGATGATGATGATGACGGTTCCAGAGCTCTGGGTCTGTCAAGAACGAGACACTTAGGGCGGCGGGTCAGGCTGGAGGAGGGGGCTTTGCTCGCTACGGCACTGGTTCAGGACTGTCACAGCGCCTCTACAGCAGGTACTTTAGCGGGCAGCCTGCAACCGCTACGGTGTGTTTTTTAGCGGATCGACCCGCCCAACGCAATCAGGTGACGCTGCATGGCTAGTGGCTCCGATATGCGCCTCAGGCCCGCTGTTAGGGAGCGGAAGACGCTGTAAATGGGCAGCTACAGGAGGCTCGCTGGATTCGGAAGGATGCCAGTGTGGGGAAGTTTGGGCGGACTGCCGGAAACAAAAGAAAGGGAAACAAAGGCAGATTTGTGACAGCGACGGTTTGATAGAGTTTTGGATTTAATGAGAGGGATTTTTCAGAATAATTTTTTGGGGGGAAGAACACTTCACACGTAGAGTCACAGAATGCAAAACCTACATGCAGCGCAGTAGCGGCAAAAAGCAAAAGGGAAAAATGAAAGGGCAAGGTTACGATGCGTGCATCTGCCTTGGAAGCCCGCCCTACAGCAGACAGGATGGTGTGCTGGCTAGCCTGTAATGCAAAGCGTAGCCCTGTAAATGCAAACACTGGTCGGTTGTTTGCTGCTACTGCTGCTGGTGGTGCTGCTACTCTGCCCGCTCTTGGGGCACGGCTCGGCAATTTCTCAGCTGCTTAACTGGAAATCTCACGCCCCGTATGCATCAGAAGACCATTTTCAGGCTCTGTTATCACAGGTTGGGTGCCTTGGAATCCTTGGAAGCTGAGAAACATGGCTTGGGTCTAAGTTGGGGGGACCCTCAGCGTTGACTGCCGTTAAGGCTTTCAGGTGCTGATCACGCCAAACAGACACATGCTCTCGTCGAGGTGGTCTGGGATTCACGATAAGAGTCTGCTACCGCTTATATCAGCATATTGTACCGAATTTGACGAAAGTATTATTCTTTCATATTTATCCAATGTACGATTTTATAACAATAAAATTATAAAAAAAAAAAAAATACAGGCGGGCTGGTGATTGGCCAGCTGCGACATCAGCGTCTCATGTCATGGGCACATGTCACTAAAGTTACCGCTCTACTTGACCCTGGACCATGCCAAAAACGATACGTATCCTATACATCTTTTCCTAGCTATGGGCTGCACTATCACGGTTAAAAAAAATAAAATAAAAAGCACCCTAAAATAGAAATGGAATCTGCTACATGAATCTTAGTTTGTCCAAAATTTCATGGCCTGCAATCTCGCCGCACGTCATTGGTCGAGCGGTGACGACGCAAGTATGAGCGTCACGTGCCCTGTTATCTGGCCATCCATCTCCCCCCAGCAACCACTGAGCCACACTTTGGGCGCTCGTCCCACGCTAGCGTGCCCTGAGCAAGGGCCCAGCCCACTAATTCCCCCTTGGTTAGGTACTGTACCGCTGTACCGCCCGCTAATACAGCGCAATATTGTTACTGACACCGCCGCTTTGTACCTTGCGTCGTTGCAAAGGGACACGCGTCAGCCACACTTCAGGTAGCCGTCGTCACCAAAACGGGCCACGCACTGCCAAACCCCTTCGTCGCCGCCACCACACCGACGTCGTCACTGCTTTTTCTCCTTGCCCTTCTGTTGGCTTCTCCTACCTTTTTCTCTCTCTTCCTCCGCTATTCTCACCAACACAGCTGCTCTCTGTTGCTTTTCCTTGCTGCTTAGAGACGGTTAGCTTGCGTTGCTCTAACAAGTCTATCGAACCCCCCCCTTTATTTACAAATCCCGACTCCAAATACACCACCGTCCACGAAACCCTCACCCCCCGCCTCGAGCTCCGAATCCTCTTCCAAACAAGCGGCCTGCGCTCTATCCAACCCTGTCTTGCTTCGCGAGAGCTTCCAGCAACGGTAGCAAATAGAAATTCACAAATCATGAGCGGCTCTCTCGTCACACCGGGTGGTATCTCGGACCCCGCTCTCATCACGTACGCACAGCCAGCTTAACCCCTCCATGACCACAGCAGCAATATAGCTCGCTGGGCCTTTAAATATCATACTAACAACTTTGTGTTGCTCTTTAGCCTCGTCAACAAGCTTCAGGATGTCTTTTCTACTGTTGGCGTAAACAACCCCATCGACTTGCCCCAGATCGTCGTCGTCGGCTCCCAGTCGTCAGGAAAGAGTTCCGTCCTAGAAAACATTGTCGGCCGTGACTTGTAAGTAATGAGCTTGGCTGCTTGCGCTTTAGCGCTCCTCTATTAACTCTTTCAACTAGCTTGCCGCGAGGTTCTGGCATCGTTACTCGTCGTCCCCTTGTTCTCCAGCTCATTAACCGACCTGCCGGCTCCGAAGGCGCCGCCCCCGATGACTTCCAGGCTGGCAACGACAAGGCCGCCAACGCCGACGAATGGGGAGAGTTCCTGCACATCCCCGGCAAGAAGTTCTACGACTTTACAAAAATCAGAGAGGAGATTGCCAACGAGACCGAGGCCAAGGTTGGCAAGAATGCCGGCATCTCCGCCTCGCCCATCAACCTGCGAATCTACTCCCCCAACGTCCTCACCCTGACATTGGTCGATTTGCCCGGTCTGACAAAGGTTCCCGTTGGAGACCAGCCTAGAGATATCGAGCGACAGATTCGCGAGATGGTTCTCAAGTACATTGGCAAGTCCAACGCCATCTGCCTTGCCGTCACCGCCGCCAACATTGATTTGGCCAACTCGGATGGTCTGAAGCTCGCGCGCGAAGTTGATCCCGAGGGTCAGCGCACGATCGGTGTCTTGACCAAGGTCGATCTCATGGACGAGGGTACCGATGTCATTGATATTCTCTCCAACCGCGTCATTCCCCTGCGCCTGGGCTACGTCCCCGTCGTCAACCGTGGCCAGCGTGATATTGATAACAAAAAGGCCATCAACGTTGCCCTCGAGGCCGAGAAGGCCTTTTTCGATAACCACAAGGCTTACCGCAACAAGAGCTCCTACTGCGGTACGCCCTACCTTGCTCGCAAGCTCAACCTCATCCTGATGATGCACATTAAGCAAACCCTCCCCGACATCAAGGCCCGTATTGCCAGCTCCTTGACCAAGTACACCTCCGAACTCGAGAGCCTGGGCCCTTCTATGCTCGGAAACAGCGCCAACATTGTCCTCAACATCATTACTGAATTCACCAACGAATGGCGCACCGTTCTCGATGGCAACAACACCGAACTCTCCAGCACCGAGCTGTCTGGTGGTGCCAGAATCAGCTTCGTTTTCCACGAGCTCTACTCGGGCGGTGTCAAGGCTATCGATCCGTTTGACGTTGTCAAGGATGTTGACATTCGCACTATTCTTTACAACTCGTCCGGTTCTTCACCCGCGCTGTTTGTTGGCACGACTGCTTTTGAGCTTATTGTTAAGCAGCAGATTAAGCGCCTCGAGGACCCCAGCTTGAAGTGTGTGTCCCTTGTCTACGACGAGTTGGTGCGCATCCTATCTCAGCTCCTCAATAAAGCCCTGTACCGCCGCTACCCTCAGCTCAAGGAGAAGCTTCACGGCGTCGTCATTGGATTCTTCAAGAAGGCCATGGACCCGACCAACAAGCTTGTCCGCGATCTCGTCAACATGGAGGCTTGCTACGTCAACACTGGCCACCCCGACTTCCTTAACGGCCACCGTGCCATGGCGATTGTCAACGAAAAGTACAACCCCTCCAAGCCCGTCCCGACCGACCCCAAGACGGGTAAGCCTCTGCCCGCTGGTACTCCTGCCAGAGCAGCCAGCCCCACGCCGGCTGAAGATGGCAACGCCAACGGAGGCTTCTTTGGAAGTTTCTTTGCTGCCAAGAACAAGAAGAAGGCCGCTGCTATGGAGGCTCCTCCTCCCATGCTCAAGGCCTCGGGCACGCTCTCTGAGCGTGAGAACATTGAAGTCGAAGTCATTAGTACGTTTTTACATCCAGCATATGCAACTACACCTACAGAACCAGAAACACTGACAAGATTTATAGAGCTGCTCATCTCCTCTTACTACAACATTGTCAAACGCACCATGATTGACATGGTTCCCAAGGCCATTATGCTCAACCTTGTCCAGTACGATAACCAATTCTTAGATGGCGGATCACATTTGCTAACCATTCTGCAGGCTTACCAAGGATGAGATGCAGCGCGAGCTCCTCGAGAACATGTACAAGACCGACAGCATCGACGAGCTTCTCAAGGAAAGCGACTTTACGATCCGCAGAAGAAAGGAATGCCAGCAGATGGTCGAGTCTCTGGGCCGTGCCAGCGAGATTGTCAGCCAAGTACAGTAGAGAGAAGACAAGTACCACGGAAAACAACAATTTTCTTAGGGAACGCGCTTCTCCTACGACTGGCTGGGTCCTTTTTTCCTTGCGACAACGACGACAACTCCCCCAACGGCTCATCTAATGAATTAAAGTTGATTTACGGTTTCTTTTGTTTTTTGCGGAGTGCTGTAGTTTCGATACCATGGATTTTTTTTGTTTGCTTTGGACGACTAGAGTAGAAAGAGAAAAGAAATCGGGAACCTTTTTTTTAATAATTTGGGAGAAAAACAAAACCGTCGTTGATGGGCAAGCATTGCAGACTGCTGCTACTTGAGGGTCGGCATATACCGTTTGCTATTATCAGCTGTTGGAGAGAAGAAGAAGTACCATGTGTTGCCATGCAAATTAGAATACCACTCCGTTTTTATAATTATCATTTATCATGTGTATATTATTTTTGCTATCGTGAAATAACGCTAACTTATGTGAACATGTACAATAGACCGTAAATGCTTCCCAGGCATGTCTATAGAAAGAGAAGGGCTTGCTTATAGCTTGGACTTGTCGGCTAGAACAGCACCATTATCACCCAATATGTACTGATTGCCTTCTTTCCAGCCTAGCCACGACTGTAGAGTCTCTTCACCACCTTCGCCAGGCATCACGAATACAGGATCATAGCCGCCTCCTTCTACACCAGCGCCCTGCCCTCTCGCAGCGGCCTCTGTGCCCTTTGCGGCAGGTCGTTCAACATCGAGAGCCAAGCACGGCGTTGAGCGCAGCGTAACAGCCGGTCTCAAGTCACCCTCCAGCGCCGAATTCGTCTCGAGCTCGTCATAGTCAATCACTGGCGCACAGCACGCATCCGTGCCATCAAAGACGGCCTCCCACTCCGCGCGCGTCTTGGAAAAGAAGATACTTGTAAAGAGATGATGCAGTTCCGGCCACGTGCTCTCGTCATGGCGCTTCTCGTTCCATCCCTGGTCACCAATGCCCAGCAACCTGACCAGCTCGTCAAAGAACTGCGGCTCTATCGCGCCAACAGACATGTACTTGCCGTCCTTTGTCTCGTACGTGTCGTACCACGGACTACCGCCGTCCAGCGCATTGTTCCCCCGCGGCTTATTGCCCATGGGCGTCTTCTTAATCATGCGCGGAAACGTAGCGAGATATGATGCGCCATCGACCATGTTGGCCTCGACCACTTGGCCCCTTCCTGTCGTCTGTCGCGCGAGTAAAGCCAGCAGGACGCCCTGGTAGAGCGTGGCGCCGCCGCCCGCAAAGTCAGCAAGGATGTTGATGGGCGGGAAGGGCTTCTGGCCCGCGCGGCCAAGCAGCCCGAGCGTGCCGGATACAGCGAGGTAGTTGATGTCGTGGCCGGCCATGTCGGCGTACTTGCCGTCACGGCGGAAGCCAGTCATGCGGCCAAAGATGAGTCGCGGGTTGATGGCGAGCAGGACATCGGGGCCGAGGCCGAGCTTCTCGAGGACGCCGGGGCGGAAGGGGTCGATGATGACGTCGATGGGGGCGGTGGCGACGACTTTCTTAATGAGTGCGATGCCGGCGGGGTCTTTGAGGTCGACGACGAGGGAGGTTTTGCGGCGCGCGAGGACGTCTTGGCCCCCGGTGGCGCGGTCGATGCGGAGGACGGAGGCGCCGGCGTCGGCTAGGAGCATGCCGGCAAAGGGGCCTATCATCAAGGTTTTGTTAGAGGGTTTGATAAGAAAAGGGAAGAAGTGTGTGGCCACGTACCTGGGGCTAGGCCGGCAAACTCGAGGACCTTGATACCCTGAAGAGGAGGAGGGCCGGCCATTGTGTGCGGAGGGGAATGTGAGTCGTGGTGGTGGTGAATGATATTAGGGGTTTAGATGATGGAGTAAATATAATTGGTGTGTTTTTGTTTGGAGATATCAATATTGGTGATGTTGAAGATGTGTGGTTGTAGAGAAGTGTTGATGGTGGTTGTAAAAAGTAAAAGCATGTACAAGTAGCCGACAAGCCTAAGTGGGCGATAGCCGAGGCTGCTGTAGCGGGCGGGCAGCCGATGGCGGGGTCTCCACACGGGGGAGATGCCCCGGATGCAGAACCGCAGGGCTGGTAGCGTGGAATAGTTGTGCCAAAATATTGTAAGAATTGTTTTACTTACGAATTTGGTTATCAGTATAAGTTAGTTTATACTGACAGGAAATTGTAGGAGAAATGACGGACACGGAGGAGGTAGACGACACCACAGCTAACAACAGGCAGTTCAATGAGATTTGCGCACATGCTATAAACAAAGTAATGCTTCATAAAGCAAGTAAAATGAATCATCAGAAAGCAATTTGGTATACAAAGGAAACAGTTAAAACGCCAGGTATATCCCATAGAAATCAATCAACCAACCACTCAGCCAGCTAGCAGCCAGTCATCTCTCTCTCAAGGCCACCAGTCGCCCTGGTCAAACATGGCCTGCGCAACCTTGACAAAGCCAGCAATGTTGCTGCCGGCGACCAAACTGGGAAGCTCGCCCTCCTTGACGGGGACAAACTTGTTGGCCGTCTCAAGAGCGACGGTGAAGGCGTTCTTCATGATGCCCTTGAGCTTCTCGTCAACCTCCTCGGAAGTCCACGAAAGACGCTATCACCACGTTAGCCTTTGTCATTTTTCTTGAAAATCATCACTAGACTCAAAACATACCTGGCTGTTCTGTGCCATCTCGAGGCCTGAGACCGCCACTCCACCACAGTTGGCAGCCTTGCCTGGCGCATACCAGATGGCATCGGCGCCCTTGGCAGCACGCTCAGCCTCAAAGATGTCAATGGCCTCCTGTGTGCAGCCCATGTTGGATCCCTCGGCTACAGCAAGGACGCCATTGGCAACAATGTGTTCGGCCTCCTCCTTGCTGACTTCGTTCTGGGTCGCGCAGGGCAGAACAACATCCACCTTGCCCACGTGAACCCAGGGTCTCGCTCCCTCAATATACTTGAAGCCGCTGCCGGGCTGGAACTCGGATAGAGCCGCGCGTTTGACCTTGAGGGCAGCAATATCGTCGACGTGCTGGGGCGTAAAGAAGGCCGCATCTTCAGCAACAAGCGTGCCCTTGGAGTCGGAGAGCGAGACAACAGTAGCACCGAGCTCGATGCACTTGAGCGCAGCGTACTGCGCAACATTACCGGAGCCAGAAATGGCCACGCGCTTACCTGCAAACGAGCCCTTGCCGGCATGTTGCAGCATGTGTTCAACGTAGTAGACGAGTCCGTAGCCAGTAGCCTCTGTGTACAGCGTTAGTTTCTTTCTTGGGTGTCATTGTAAATGAAAACATACCAGGACGAATCAAGCTGCCACCCCAAGTGAGGCCCTTGCCAGTCAAGACGCCCTCCCACTTGTTTCGTGCGTGGCGGTACGCGCCAAACATCCAGCCAATCTCGCGGCCCGAGACGCCAATATCGCCAGCAGGCACATCGGTGTCGGCGCCAATGTGCTTGGACAGCTCGCGCATAAAGGCCTGGCAGAAGCGGCGGATCTCGCCGTCGCTTTTGCCCTTGGGGTCAAAGTCGGCGCCGCCCTTGCCGCCGCCCATGTTGACTAGCAACGTATGTTAGAGTAGACGTTAAAAGTGATGGTGGCGGTGGTTATACGTACGGCCAGTCAAGGCATTCTTAAAGATTTGCTCAAAGCCAAGGAACTTGAGACTGGAGGACTGTTAGTTAAGGCAAACCAAGTAAATAATGGTAAAGAACGTACATGGAGAGGTTCACAGTAGGATGGAAGCGCAGACCACCCTTGTAAGGACCAAGCGCAGAGTTGAATTGCACACGGTAGCCACGGTTGACTTTGATCTGGCCGAGGTCGTCTTCCCAGGTGACGCGGAACTGGATGACGCGCTCGGGGATAGAGGCGACTTCTAAGGCAGTGCGGTATTCCGGGTGTTGCTGGAAGAGGGTGCTGTTTTCAAGTGTGCTAGCAAGCTCTGTGTGTAAGTTGTGTTAGTGGTGATGTCGACTGAAACCAGTACTCATAGCTCTGTGGTGTATTGCTTGCTTGCATACCTTTGAAGGCCTGCTCAAACTCGGGCTCAGAAGGAAGGTTTGCCATTGTATATAGTATCGTATCGTTCTTCTTTGTGTATAATCTAGAACTGGTGATGAACAGGTCAAGCTACCATTCTCCGATAAGAGCTGGGTACGGGCATCTCTTATACTTGCTTCCCCCTCCATCTCATCTTATCGCCAGACGTAAAACCGCCTCACTCTTATCCGACAACGGAACAGTTCATTATCGCTTGTTACACGTCAATCCCTCTGAACAATTTCCATCGAGTAATCGATAGCCTCCTCTTCCCTTATCTCTCGCCACGGCCCGCGTAGGCTGGCCCTCCAACTTCTCCCGACGTCATTCCCCGCTCCTCCTTCTCCAAAGAAAGCTCTCCAATTAAAAAAAAGTGTACTTGCAATAAGATAGCATCTGTGAATTCTCCGAAGGTCGCTCCGGCGCGCCGCGCGTGCAATGCACCTGGTCCTCTATTGCGTATTTGCTCTGCGTGAATTATGCGCTCTGCAGCCAATCTCAGCGTCCTTATTTCATATTACGCTTCCTCTCTCTCAACTATATCCTCTATATATGCCACCTGCTTCCCCCGTAACGTTAACCTACCAAAAAAAACATAAAACACACTGCAAGTCAACGTCTCATCGCTAACCTCCGGCCACCAACCACCGGACGCCGCCGCCCGCAACTGCATCCCACGTAGCCGCTCGCTTTTCCCCAAATTTTACCCCAGAGATAAGACGCACGATAAATAAAACCCATTGCCTTGTTAGACAGCCCGTCGCGGTTTATTTTCGACAGCTGATAAGCAACTCCCAAGCAATACGTTACATGGCCGCCCACCCGCTTAAGCCGAGTCGCACCACGTAACTCTGTGCCCTGGGCGATAAGCTAACCCGTCCACAGAGCCGCTCTTGTTATTCCCAGGGCGGTATTCCGAATCCGGAAGACTGCGCGCTTCTAGATTACTGCTCCCGGAGAACCGTTGCGTGGGGATTGGCGCGTGCTACCGTGATGGGCTTGGGAGATCTGATAAGCGGCCGCCGGTAACGGAGCTCGGAGGGCCGGCGGTACGACGGCGGCTGGTCGGCGGTACGAGTCGGGAATGGCGAAGAGAATAGATACTGATATATTGCTAGCTTGTATAATGGCACACGAGAACATTCTTGACGCCAATTCACATGTAAAATTGGCATCTTTAAGATTATACCAGAACAGGATACACTCTACAGTCTGCTCTCGGCATGACAAGCACCCTCTCCAACAGCGGCACGCGACACACAATGAAAGAAAGCGTTGGCATTCATAAAATTAACTACTAATACGATGCAAAATGCACATGCTAATTAACCCAACACATTGTCCTAAATAAACGCCAGTCATTACAAAATGATTTTTCTTCAACCGTTTGCGTCCCGTCTTTACCACAGGGCAGCCTGGTCCGCATCGAATCTGGACAACTCCTTGCCCGCATCCTCCAGATCCTTCTTGGCCTTCATGCGCATGTAGAAAATCGGACAATCTTTACTACTGCAAATCACCTCGCAGTGCATGCTGCCCTGGCATCGCTGGCACTGCGTCCACAGACGGCCGAAGCGAACCTCGAGATCCGACACCTTGTCCAGCGTCTTCTTGTACAGCTCGCCTACACGCGGCGCGCAGTCTGAGCATACAGCACCGTCGCTTTCAAGCTTGCCTCTGAGCGGCTTCTTGCAGCCCATGCACGTCTGTGTCTTTTTTGTAAACTTCATCAGACCGCCAACCGACGGCGCAGCAACCGAAATGATTCTTGTGTGGTCACCAGTAAGCAGCGACTGTGCCTTGGTCTCGCCTAAGATGGGCTCGAAGATACGGGTCAGAGGCTTCGCCAGCTGGTTGTCCAAGTAGTACTTGGTGTCAATGGGCACATTGTTCTCCAGCACGTAGAGGGGGTCTTCTGACTTTTCATAGTTTTTGGCGCCGGCTGCACCTCGAACCATGACGTACGCGACACGGTCTCCTAGACCTGGCGCCGAACCGGCATCACGCTTCTTCATACGCGCGGCAAGTTCCACGTGCGCCTGCTTGGCGCTGTAGTCGTCTTTGGTGAGTGCCTTGGTAATGACTAGCTTGGACATGTCAACCTTGTTCTGGAGCAGATCGGCAATGGTGTTCTTGACATAGTCCTGAGCACCTTGGACATCTCGGTGAATCAAGATTAGACGCAGCACCTTTTCGATAACCGTCTGGGCCAGCAAGCAGTTATCACGACGCACAGTCTCGAGACCCTTGGTGTCCATTTTGTCGTACTTTTCCGTCTTGGTCCAGTACAGACCGGCATAGCGCTTCTTGTTGATGAGCAAGTAGGGGAAGTAGACCTTTTCGAATTCCAGCTTGATGGGCTTGATAAACTTGGACGACACATAAGCTGCCGCTTCCTCACCCAGTGCCATGGCTTCTGCAAGCTCCTTGGTACCAAACTTGACCATGACGGAATCGGTATCACCATAAATGACTTGCGCGTCGTGCGAGTAGCCGTTGGCAATGTTGTACTTTGCTTCTACTTCCGACTTTGTCTTTTCAATCATTTGACGACCGAAACTGGTGGTAGAACTGGCAATAGCAAGACACGGCAGCTTACCGGTAGTGGCACCAGTCAAACCGTAGACGGAGTTGGCGCTAATCTTCAAAGCAAGCTGTCGACCGTTCAACACGGCCTTCTTGAACGGATCCGTCTCGACGGCAAGTTCGCGTTTGGCCTGCTTACGGGCACCAAGCAATTCTTCAAGAATCTGTGCGAGGAGTCCCTTGCGCTGCTTCGCAGTGACAAAGGTATCGCCGTTAGGCGTAACAATGTAATCCTCGTCCTTCTTGAGGTTGAACTGTGTGATCTTGTTCTTGTCCGTGACTAGCGTCGTGTAGCAAAGGTTGTGAGCCTGGATAATACTGGGGTACAGCGAAGCGAAATCCAGCGTGGCTACAGGAACATCGTAGTAACCTCTGGTAGGTTCAATAACCGTGGCACCTTCATATTGTTCATCTGAACCCTCGGATCGCAGGTTAGGAATAACCAGGTCCTGTTCAAGAGCCTTTCGGAAAAGCTGACTGATAAACTTGATCTGCTGTCCTCTGGAGAGCAAGAAGTTAAAGGGAACACCTGTGACTCTGGCCATTTCGGTATAGTTTTCCAGACAAGACAGTTTATCCATCAGTCTCTGAGGCAGATAGGCATCCTTCAAACAGTAGAGCGCCAGACGTCTGCGAGACTCTGCGGTACCGTTGAACAGTTCCGTAATCATGGTGTGGTGCACATCTTCCTTTTGTTCGCCCAAAAACTGCGCCGACACAGAGTTGAGTGTATAACTACGAAGGTGGTGATCTCTTTGAATCAGCTGCAGCAAATCAAGCTGCAAACGACCGTTGGTATTGGTCGTCTTGGTGTCGCGGCTGCCAACCTGCTTGCTGGAGAAGTTGGACGTTGTCCACTTGGAGGGTGTGCTTGGAATACGGCTCCAGTATTCAAAGCCATTGACCTTTAGGTGCTTGGCACGGTCCAAGAGATATGGGAAATCGAAATTGCTAGTGTTATAACCGATAATGATGTCGGGGTCAACAGTAACCAGAAACTTTTGCCAGTCGCTCAACATCTTGGTTTCCTTTTCAAACTCGAGAATCTGTGTAGCGACAATAGAACTCGTAGTGTCCAAGCAAAAGACGTTTCGAATAAAGGGCTTCTTTTCTCCGTATCTCGTCACGACGTTGGCAATCTGAATAACCGGATCCATCTCGGGCTCGGGGAAGATACCCTTGCGACCAGCGCATTCGATATCAAACGACAGAATTCGGAGGGGTGCCATCTTGGCCCAGTCGCCAGTGGGTGCATGGGCAATAAGGTCAAGGTAGTGAACTTCGGCCTCGATCTGGCAGTTGGACTGCTTACTGTGTTCGGGAATGAGCTTAAACGTCGTGGCGGGGGCCTCTACCCAAGCCATGCCTTGAATCTGCGCCGTGTTAGTTTCATTCCGCCGCATTTATGCGCCATCCTACATACCTTGCAGTCGACCATGAATCGCAGCACATACTGGATATTGTCATAGGTCTTGAGGCCGCCATCAGTAGCCCCCCACATGCCCTTCCAGTTACCGCCACCATTTTCAATAGTCGTTCGAACCTTGTTGATGACTTTAGGATCTGTGACAGTGATCTTGATATACGGGCTGCGAACATTGCCCTGGAATCCGTAAATATCCTCCTTGAGCGCCAAGCTCACGGAGTGGATAGCCGGCTGGTGCTGGGCAATTTGTGTCTCGAGAAATGCCTTGTACCCGGGGCAATCCTGCTGCTGGAAGGATATCGGGGCAGCGACATACAAGTAATGTCTGAAGCCAGTGACATGGAGCATCGCCGAGTGACCCTCCTCTGTGACACCAAAGAGCTTCACAGTGGCGCTACCACCGTGCAGCGTGCCCTCTTCCGCCTCGATGGACTGGAAGCAGAGGCTGTTCTTTTGTGGCGAAAAGTCGACAACAGGAGGTCGCTCCCAAGCCTGGTCCTTTTCTGTGTTGTTCTTCTTCGCATCGGAAATGTCCTGGCTGAGCTTCTCGAGAACCTCGGACTCGAAGGCACTCTTGGGCTGGCTGGAGCCTAGGAGTTTCGAGCGAGGGCCTTTGGTAGCACTAGATAACTGGACAGTTGGTGACGACTCAAAGAGCTCCGTCTTTCTTCTCTTTGTCCCCGAGGGTGTCGTGGGCGGGAGGTTCTGTCCCGTGCGGGACTCGGCGAGAGCCCGCTTGTGCGGGAGGACCGCGGCGGTCATGTTGAAAGCAGGATTTTGATTGATTTTATTTTATTTTCGAGGGGCATTCAATCCAATCATCGACATAAACCGGCGCCTGGCTTTTTAACAATCAAGGGGAATTGTCTCTGTGGTGATGTGGTGAACGCAGCGGCACGGATGAAGTTGAATGGCAAAGTTCAGACACGCCACTGCCCACTGTAGAAGACGCGCCCTGCGAAGCGTGGACGTGACGGGGTCCACCAACCACTTAAGCGCTGCACGTGAGAGCGTGTTGCTCCTGCAGCAGGAAAAAAAATACAGTGAGCACAAAAGGAGAGACTATGAGCAGCAAGGAGGTTTGTAAGGGCAAAATTTAAATTTCATGGAAATTACTATATTAAATGGCATATTTTCATTATCATAATCATGTCTCGTAAGAAATCCATCATCCAATTGCAGTCTATTTCGTTGGTTAGCAGGCCGTTCAGCAGAAACAAAGCCAGCAAAGATGACGAAACAAAAGAGACTAATGGGAAGAAACGAGAGTAGTTCTCGAATCCATACCCATTGCTCTATAAAGAATAAAAGAGGTAAAGCTCAGACAGTCAATTCGATAAAGTGGCATCAAAGACAGCCGGTCAAGGCACTCAGCAAGCCATGCATGATTGAAAGTTCATCATCGAAGAAGGCGAGGGTATAAAAAAAAGAATACGGAAAGAAGAATAAGAATATGCTTACCTGATGGTCTTGATGAATTGCCGCCCACATGAATGCAGAGCAAGAGCTACACATGAGCTCTGCTCCCATGGGTAGCAATTCCGGTGATGAAGAGGAAAACGAAGCAAAGCTAACTGTGAGCATGGCGTGGATAAAATAGAGCAGTGCGCTCTCTGAGTAGTAGGGGTAGTGGGTACTTGATTCTGTGTGGAATTCACCGCAAAGTACGTGTACCATGTACTTAGCATTCCCTGCTGCTTAGCTAATATTCCAACAGCATCGTCCATGGTATTGTCTGCTTCATGCTCTCATATTGACAATAAAGGGTCAAATTTTCTTGATAAAAATGTATATATATTCTAGTATCTAGTAGTAAAAGACTATCAAGTTGAGTCGTAAAGAAATCTCCAAAAACGCCGACGCTTTGCATAGAGTCCGTTCCTCAGGCGCACCGCTTCTTCGAGTGACTGCCGTAGAACGTTTGAAATCAAGATGGTTAAAAGCTAGGCATGCGAGTCGCTCCCGGGGGAGCAGCCGTGGCTGGGGTAAGACCCGACGTGGCAGTAGTTGTTCTAATGGTTCCTTGTTCGCACCAATCCAAGACGGGCTAGGCAGGTTAGTAGAGATTCGAGAGTGTTCCAGAGGTAAAACTTACAAGACAACTGAGATACTTGCACCATTCACACTTGGACTGGGCATGGTAGAAGTTGTTGAGCAGGACAATAAAGACAACGATGATTCCAACGAGCACAGCAGCGCGCACTATCCACCAACCCCACCAGAGCGGCTTGCGGTTTTGGAAGAATCCAACGGGGCTTTTGAGGAAAGGCGGCGAGACAGCTCCGCTGCGGCCGTCGACAGCGGAATACGACGCTCCCTCGCCCAGCCGTTTGCGTAGAGCGTTGGGAGAGTGTAAAACGCAGATACCCAGGGCAAGACCCATGAGGAAGCCACCAATGTGCGAAAAGTTGTCGAGACCAGGAAGAAGACCAAGGACAAAAGCAATGACGACATCCAAAATGATAAACATGAGCTCCTTGACGGGGTTGCGTCTCTCCTTCCAAGAGTAGAGCAGATCCAAAAGCGTCAGAGCAATGATGCCAAAGAGAGAGCCAGATGCTCCAGTAGACGCAATGGCAGGGGCAGCAAAGTTACCACCCATGACGAAGCCAAAGATACCAGCGCTCATGTAGACAATGAAGAATCGGATAGAGCCAATGGCCATTTCCATTTCCTTGGCAAGAGTGAGCTGGAGCAAAAGGTTGAAGCCAATGTGAATTAGACCGGCGTGCATGAAGATGGGCGTGATGAATCGGAACCACTGGTTGGGGGCCGGGTCCTGGTAAAAGTCGCCGTTGAACTTGGGGTCCGGAACGCCGCCAAAGCCGCAGACGGTGGAGAGGGGGCAAAAGTTGTTGGGGTTGTTGTCATTGGAGGTGGCATTGGGGCAGAGGAACTGGACAGGAGTGGTCTGTCCCTGAACGGATCGGTCGTTGTGCATGCAGAGCGTGTATCGAGCGCCCATGTTGATGAGAACCTGCGGTGACGGGCCAATCATGGGGTTGAACTGAGGCTTGATCATGATGGGGGAGCCGGTGAGGATGCCATTCTTTACGATTTCGCCAATGAAGACGGCGGCCTGGACAGCGCTAAAGAAGTAGACGACCCAGGGGATTCGCTTCTTACTGGCGCCAATCATGCCCAGCTCACCCGATTGAATCTTGGCCTGGTCTTTGGGGTTCCTCGGCGGAGGCATACCGCTGGCATCGTAGATATGGTCGTTGGTGTTGTCAGGGTGTCCGCCTGGGCGGTCGTTCATCTGAATACCGTCCTGCATCGGGCCACCAGGAGAGCTGGGTCCGCCGTAGCCGTAGCCTCCGGTATTTTGGTAGTTCTTGTCGTAAGGGTCGTTGGGCCGTTCGTTGCGAGTGCTCCAGGCCGGGTCGTCGAAGACGGTGTCAAACGGTGAAGGGCCTTGGCCTGGGCGCTGCGGAGTAGCGTGCTGGTTATTCGAGGAAGAGTAGGACGTGTCGTAGTTGTGCTGCTGTTGGTGTTGCTGTCCGTAGGATTGAGGCTCCGGGTTGAAGCGTGCAGGCTGAGGGTCGTTGTAGGACGGTTGGTTGCCGTATTGGCGCTGAGCCTGAGCGGCAGCATCGTAGTAAGCCATGATGGGCTGCCAGGCTGCTGCGAGCGTGCGGGTCTTGTTGAGATGAAGTCGCGACTGGAGGCAGGCTGAAATGAACGACGGGGGGAAGCAACAAAAGGGCGATGCGACGCTGCGTATTCCCGGGGCGGGTGGTGGAGTGGACGACGATGGCGATGTTGAAAGATGGAGGTGGGAGGGTGTAGAAGACAAAAGAGAAAGAGACGGGAGTCGCAGCAATCAAATGAACAAAAAGCAAACGGAGAAGGGACAAAGCGAGAAAACGACGCTCGGGCGGATTGTCCGTTGGTGCACTTGGTTGGTTGGCTGGGGCGGCGGGAATGGAGCAGCGAGCAGGGGCGGGCCAGGCAGGGGACGCCAGAAAAAAAAGGTACGAGCGTCGGCAGAGGCAGTGCGCAGTAACTGTTGTACTGTAGCAGTACCTGTAGCGGGAGTGGCAGTGGCAGTGGTGGCCAGTTTAGTGTGGGCTTGTTTTTTTTAGTGGGCAAGATGAGGCTGGGGCAACCCGTTTCAGACGCAGCGCGGCGGAGTACCGTACCAGCTGCGAGCAAGCAACACCACCACCGAAAAGAACAGGTAGACGGATGGGACGGTAGCAGTAAAAAGAAGCAAACACACGAGAAAAATAGAAACCAAAAAATAGTAGCGATATCTCCAAGACGCACAGATGCCATCTGTAATTTTATTGGTATCAAAAAGGCTGCACCCAGGCACCCAGACCGCCGGCGATTCGGTACAGTCTGGTTCTGGTTCTTCTTGTCTCTTCAGCGCCTGTGTGCCTGGATTACAGCGCTTCCCGCTCCTAGCCCCCGCTCCCTCCAAAAAGTTAAAAAAAGCAACAGGCGCTAACTTTACTTGGCCACGTTCACAGCCTGACTTTTGCTTTGCCACGTCTGTCTGCTGCTACAGTACGGTTAAGTTACCTGCGGAAACAAGCACACAAGGTTCAGATTGTGCTGTTCCGTTATCGCCACGGCGCTCTTGGAAAAATACGGAGCAGCAGCAGCAATGCCCTCTTTGCTTACGCCAGCACCTCCTTGGCTAAATTGGCATAATATACGCTCATTTGTCCACCCAAGTACCAGGCAGGTTCCACTGTTCAAGCGAACAAGTCCACTGGGCTGGCGCTGCGCCTTGAAAGCGAAGAGCCCAATGACCTCCGATCGGCACGCGGTACGAGGCCTTGTTTGAGAAACGCTGCGCCGCGTACCAGCGATCTATAACCCAATTCGTAGCTGTCACCCAGCATGGCGTACTCACTCCTGAAATATAAGGTATGCGCCGGCATACCGTGCGTGCGTCGCAGCTGGACACACTCAGCCGGCGAGGGCCTGACTACGTCACATTATCCCTAGGCTTAGCTCGATCGGCGCGATGATCGGGACGGGTTAATCAAACTCACTGCCTTGGTTGGATGCACGACTGTTTGACACAGAAGCGTAACAATGGGCTTCTATTCAGGGTCCAGACTAGTCACAGATGCATCGACGAAACAGCACTTGTACAACAACCCTCCGTAAAGCATACCCTCTACTCTAGGTCTGAGACGCACGGCCAGACCTTGATACAGCCAGCAGCACAAGACAACACTCCATTCACAACAGGCATCAAAGGAAGACGAGCATAAAAGTTTCGGTCTTGTCTATTCGTAATAATATACCGGGCGTGGTTTTTGTTTTACATCGTCGCCGTGTGTCGCTTTTGTACATGCTAATAATACATTTGAAATGGTCCGTCATCTGCCATCCAAAAAACACCTGCTTGTGTATCCGTACATCTTTTTAGTCCTTCTTAGATTCGGTCGAGTTGTCATCCGACTTTTTCGAACTGCTTCCCGTTCCTCGCCACACCTCAGCAACCTGCTCAAAAATGAGATCGCTCAGGCCCTTTCCCTCATCAAACGCCTGCTGATGCTCTGCGGCGCGCTTCTCTCGCCAGTTCTCGCCCTCGCCGCCCATCCAGATATCCTTGACGATATTAGAGTCCTTCTCGTTCGTCTTTTTGCCCGCAGAGTCGCGCTCACGCTGCTCCTTGAGCAGTTGTTGTGTTCGCTTCGCACCCTCGGGGAGACCGTCACCAAAGACACCGGAGACGCGGCTGCCAAAGCGGCTGTAGATGGACTGGCCGGTATATTCGTATGCCAGCTGGTTGGTCGAGAGGGAGAATGCACCGACAAGGACAAAGAAGCGAATGTCGACCTTGCGGGGGGGCAGCATCATGGCCAACGGCGCAAGAATGGCACCAGCAACGGCGGCATTGTGGACGACGGGGATGCGCGGAGGCAGCTGGTCCGTCTCGGGTTTGGGCGAATCGGACATTGTAGTTTACCGAAGTGCGAGGCCCTTTTGTGTGCGTGGATCGGTCGACTGGCGATATTGTTCGTGGGGTTTGGCGCGCGTGCGATGGGAAAGGCGATGCGAAGTTTTGCAAAATGTCGCCCGCACGCCCCTTTGTGCCGGAATCCTGTCGTCCAACTTTTTAGCGGGGCATTCCGCACGCCGGGTACATCGCGCCGGATAGCCCTCAGCTGGTTGTGGGGAGCTTGATTTTGCTCGACTAACAAAAAGCCGTATGACGAAGTGATGAGAAAGAAAGGGAAAAAGCGCAAAGTACAATAATACTCTATGGTTGATTACTAACCAAAAAATAGGGAATACACAGGATCAACTGTGGGTGCTTATTTCCGTAGTTGAAGCCGGGCCTCTGTAGGAGCCTGGGAGGACCCTACAACGCCGCTTACACGGCAACAAATGGTACGATGCCTTTTCCTCCCATCATGCTTTACCTAAAACGTGCCAAGCACGTGGCGAACCCAAAAGTTGGGAAACCGAACCCAATTACTGATCGGGGGTCCAATACTTGCTCATCTTGTATATGATAGTAGAGTTTCGAAGTAGCTGGGCACTTGGGGATAGAGAAGCAATGGTATGGTTACATTGGAGTACCAGGAATACGAGTCGAATTGCCTCGGTTCCTGCAGTAGTAGCCCAACACAAGTCCAACAGCATCCAAGATTTTGATAGCGTGAATTTGGTTGGCGGCTTGGCACTCTACAGTCACCAGTGATCGATCATCTAGGGCTGCTGTTGACGCTGGTGTTATTGCCGAGCCGGCGCCGACTAACACAACCAAAATCTAGTAATGGCAGTGGTACAGTTTAGAGTTTGGTAGTCGGGAAACGGCACCACCCCCCCCCCCAACCAACCAACCAACCAACCACGTTTTCTGGAAAAGACGATGAGACGTTGGTAGGCGGCAAATAGTGATCCGCAATATCCGAATGACCTATATTTTCGGTTGACTTTTGTGGCTAACCCGCAGCGTCGGCGCATGGAGATGTCGGCAATAAGCACCACGCTTGTCTGCATACGCTGCTACACGCACCAACACGATGTATACTTTTGTCTTGGGTAAAGTACTTGCCGTTAACTATCCCGCTCAGCTACATTGGCAAGACATACATACATACGGCATATATGATATATTGCATGCATAGTATAGTGGCTGCATCGGGACGTGAGACGGCCGTTGAGTTGTGGCAGACTTGTCTCCAGCGATCTACGCGCCTCATTCTATTCTGCAGCAAGCACAGCTGAGGTAGGCTTACGGAAAATTGGTAGGCGCTGTCTTTTGACTCTTATATATGCATTCTATTATGCCTATTTATAATTCAGACTAAACTCGCCTCTACAGGCTAAATATGCCAAGTGGCAGCGCCATAAAACAGCCCAGGGGCGCCCTGACAGCGGTTCAACAGGCAAGGCGCTGTCCGCTGAAGCACGCCATGTGCCTGTCAAAAGTCCGCTGAAGGTGGTCGCCCACCCGCCCGCCCACCTGCACTGCGGGGAGCCCGCTGAATCAAACCAGTGGACGATACCGATGCTGGTCGGCAGGGGGAATGCTGCATATTGGCCGAGATGACCTGTAATATTTTCTTGCACAAAGAGGAAACAAAAAAGGAGAGAGGATAAGAATTTCCGGTGATAAGAGAGATCTCGTTTCCTTCCATTTCTGTTCCTTTCGTCTTCCGGCGATTGTAGGCTAAATAAAAATCTCCGCCCTACACCTCTTCCTCGTCTTTCTACTTCTACCGCACTTTGTTCCTCCACTAAACACGCTAAAGACGAAACTCCAGCAATAGCCCGTTTCTTCTACAGCGCCATCTTTTCAGCGGGCCATCACGCCAGATGACTCGTCGCTCTGCCGCCAACTAGCGAAGAAAAAAAATACGCTAAACCCGCTGGAGAAAACAACGCCGTCAGGGCCCTCTCCGCCACCAGTCCACGCCCGCCGCGGGGAGACGGACGGACCAGCCAGCCAAATAGCTTTTGCTTACCTTGGCAAATCCCAGACTCTTCTCTACCCAATTCTCTCTTCTTTTTCCAGCATAAGAACACGGGGACATGCTCTAATTCAACATCGCCGCCATCATCGCCCCTTGTACCTACCACTGGCTACAATGGCGGGCGAGGAACCACCACAACCACAACAGCAGCGTCCTGCGTCAGCCGTCACTCCTCCAACATCACCTACCGACACACAATCCTCGGGTTCGCCGCCCAAGACAGCCTCACCAACAATAAAGACCGACGAACAAGATGCTCCTGCTCCTCCTGTGAAGCGTGGACGCCGCAGTAATCCCAAGGTCAAGACTGGATGCGCCAACTGCAAGTATGTCAGCCAGTAAAGGCGACGACCCGGGATCGCCGTTCCATGGTCCTTTCTTCCTGCTAACAAAAGCCCTTTGTCCAGACTCCGACGTATCAAGTGCGACGAAAAGAGACCCGAATGCTCACAATGCGTAAAGAGTAGAAAAGTATGCAGCGGCTACCCCGTGCCCAGTCGCCGCGACGGCCCAATCCCAGATGTGCCCATTGCTCCTCGGCCGATGCTGGCATCCCGACCGCAACCCGCACCTCTTCTTGCACCGGCCGCTGATCCCCGCGGCGGTGCTTCACTTCTTCGAAATCCCGTCGTTCTTCCGCCTCGGCGGCCAAATCACCGCCGCCGTATGCAGGAGCTGGCAGCCCAGCGCCGCCAGAAGCAGGACCAGCTCCGTGTCATCCCGTCCCCGGCCGTCGTCCAGCCTGCGTCTACACTGGCCCTAAACCCGCACGATGCACAATACTTTGACCTTTTCCGAATACAAACAGCTGCCCAGCTCTCCGGATACTTCAACTCCAACTTTTGGACCCAGCGTGTTCTCCAAGGATGCCATGCCGAGCCGGCTATTCGGCATGCCGTTGTGGCGCTTGGTGCGCTATACAAAACTCTGGAACTCTCAACAGACCCCGTCACGCCTACAGATGGGGCAATTACACAGTATAACCATGTCATGATGCACTGGCAGGTTGCTGTGAAGCAGTATTCCGAGGCTTGTAAAGCCATAGTCTCTCTTTCGGGCGACACCATCAGTCAGCACCGCACCCGCCTCATGGCCATTATCCTCCTCGCATGCTTCGACTCTTTTATAGGCGACCATAAACAAGGTATTGTCCAAATACAAACAGGCCTTGGCATTCTGCAGAAAATCAAGACGATGCACTCAGCCCGGCCTGGTGAGGGCGCCATTGAAGAAGACCTCGTCATGCTCTTCACACGCCTCGCCATCCAGGCCAAATCCTACGACATGGCCTTCCACTTCCCTCCTCCCTATGTCATCATGCTATCCTCATCACACGCTGGCGGCGAGCCATCATCCCCCGTCTCCGACCACAGCGCACCAGACGAAAGTGCCAGCCAACCCCCCAACCGCCCCTTTGAAAGCCTGTTTGAAGCCCGCTCCGTCTCCGACGAGCTATGTAAAGCCCTCCTCACATTCATTGAGAAGTTGCAGCTCGCCAAGAGCGATCCCTCCTATGTCCTCCCCGCCGCATGGAAGATCTACGGCATAGGCCTCAAGGACCGTCTCAGCGCATGGGCTGAAGCCTACGAGCCCATCTTTAGCTCACGCTTCGACCCGCGCATCTCGCACCTCGAGCGCTCCGGCATTGCCGCACTCAAAATGTTCCAGATCAACACCAACATCCTCTTCCTCATGATGTTCTGCGACAACGAGGTCCAATTCGACTCCTTCATGCCGCACTTTAAGACCATTGTCGATCTCGGCTGGGAAGTCGTTGGCGAGGATGAGCGCCGCGCTGCCGCCGCCGGACACAGCACTACCAAGGGCGGCTTCCGCTCGGGCAAGTATGCCCCGAGCCACCTGAAGCCCAGCTTTGCCGCTGATCTTGGCATCGTCCCGCCGCTCTTTGTCGTCGCCACAAAGTGCAGAGACCCCAGGCTTCGAAGGCAAGCTATCCAGCTGCTCCGGAGCAGCGCCCGCCGCGAGGGCATGTGGGACAGCGAGCTGACTGCCAAGATTGGCGAGTGGTGCATGCAAGTCGAAGAGTACGATGCGCTGAACCCAATGGGTGCTACAATCGGGCCGGGTGGTGAGTACGTGTTTGCAGGCGCTGACGGTGTCTTGCAAAAGACGATACCCGAGGAGCGCCGCATCATGGTCAAGTCAGTCGACTTTGACTTGAGGGCGCGGTATGCCGATGTAAAGCTCGGCACAAGGGCTGTTGGACGAGGCGGCCAGGACGTCCGCGAGAAGTTTACCCGGATTACATGGTAAATGAATAGGAAATACAGTACCTTATAGGGCGGGCATTGGGAAACGGCGTATCAAGATGTTTTTTTTCTTATCTTTTTGGAGTATATACCCACAATGTAAATGACCGGAATAACAACAGCTTTAACACAGCATATACATATACATACATATGAATGCCATCAGTATTGAGAAACATAATGGCCAGCTCCATGTTTTTGCAATGTGTATTTTGTACAAAAGTGGTATCTATAATTTTCCAACTACATGCAGTTTTGTTTCTAATTTACAAAAAAAGGCTATTGATTTTATAGTGGTGGCAAGTCCTCTCTGCAAATCGGACACTGTAATCTAAACTTCATCCAACTCTCGAGACACGCCGAATGGAAGATATGTCGGCACGGCGTAACCATATACATTCTCCTGGCTAACACGCCTGCGACACTCATATCCGCATCCCCTTCCTTGATGACAGGAACGTCCAGGTTCTCGCGGCAAATAGAGCAGTCAATCTTGCGTACACTCCCACAAGCGCCAGCCTCCTTGTCCTGGATGCTAGGTCGCCGGCCGACCGGTTGGTCTTCGTTAATGAGGCCAATTGGCAGCCCGCCTGCTTCCAAGCCATCCTCGCGCAGAATGGGATGGTATTCCCAAGCTTCAGGCGCCCAGCCAGCGGGTATAATGAACCGCGGGCCGACAATGTCCTGCGCGCCTAGAATGAAGAGCTGGATCCAGACCCATGCGCATAGAAAGGCAAAGGTCGTGCGGTCTGTAATGGCAAACATAAAGTTGTCCTCTCGGAGCCAAAAGTAGGCGATGGGGAGAAGTCGCAGTACAGATTGGCCAATGACAAAGGACCATGTAAGGGCGCGGCGGCAGTTGCGCATGGCGTTGCGGTAGATTTGTGGAATCCATAGCGATAAGTAAATGAATGCGCAGAGGTTCAAGTAGAAGCTGCGGGCGCCGGGATACCATGTAGACGAAGAGAGTGAAACAAACCCCAAAATGAGGCCAACGAGGACGAAGCGGCCCATGATGGTTTGAAATGTGAGTGCTGGAGCTGCTCCTGCTGTTCTTCCCAGACCAGGTACGGCAGAGGCGCCGTTGACTTCAGCGTCAACATCGCCATCCAGAGCAACAATAGTAGGCGCGCCGCCAAACACATTTGAAGACACAGGTACAGGGAGCAGGGTGCCTGTTTGAGGTGCTGGTGTTTGCTGGCCCGTGCCAGCACCGCTGTTCGTGTTGGTCCCTGGACGGCGTGCTGGGACGTGTACGTCAAAGATTCGCGATAGAAAGCTTCCTCCTATAGACATTGATAAGAAGGCAACAAACATGAGCGCCAGTGTTGGGAGGAACGTCGCTCCAGCAGAGGACACCCATGTTGCCGCGGCTGTAAAAGTCATGCCGTCGACGAGAACCATGGCGCTAATGGTCCAGAAGCTGACCCTTCCAACAGTCGAAGGAGTAAACGTTTCTCCTATCTGGTTTTTTAATAGATATACCTGGCCCAACATAACGCAGGCAAATAATAACATCCACGACTTGATTTCGTGGGTATGCACCTCCACCTTCATACCTGACAGGTGGTTGAACTCACCAGCTGCAAAATCTGGCGGGCCCTTGCTTTCCAGAAAGTAGCCACAGTCTGGTGAATATAAAATAGTCGACATGCGAAGTGTCGGTACGCGACCAATCGGAGCTCCGCGTGGAAATGCAAGCTCTTCTTCAATGGCGCGGATGACAGCTGCCATGTCTACATCCTCTAACTTGTGGTGTCGGCTCAGTAGCGTATCCGGATCTGGTGGGTGAATCTGCGCATAAAGAACATATTCACACTGCGGCATAGGATTAATCATATCGCCTGCCACAATGTCCGAGTTGAACGGCAACACTTGGTCGTAACGGATTGTCCTTTCCTTTCTCGCAAGCACCTTGGCTAGCCTCTGGCTTAGGAACGTCTGGCCAGACTTGAAATAGTCTGCGCTCGGTGTTAGATGCGGTAGGCCAAATATGCCTTGGAACTTTTCGCTAGTCGTTGTCATCATGATAACGCCCTGTCTGGGCCAGTGTAGGCCCCAAAGTCGCATATCCCATGTATGACCGGATCCAGCCGAGTCTTCAATCGTCATGGTCGCCTTGACGTTACGAATCACCCCTCCAGATGATAATTCGGATTCTTCTTGCGTCATTGGCAGATACGTCGACATGGTTCTGTTTCCGGTTATTCGGATGAGCATCTTGCCCTCTGGCCCCGTCACGTTGCGGCCCCATTCCACGCCTTCCTCCAGCCAGGCCATGGCGGGCGCAGTACGGCTTAGGTTATAGCTGGCGACAGTTCTTGGAGAAGATCCTGCGCGAAATACCCAGTCGCCATGTAGGGTTCCTGACGTATTCATCCATACATGAGCTCCTTGGCCACGGTCCCACGGGTATTTGCCGTCAACTTCCGTAAAGGCATGGTGGCTCATCCGCAGCGTTCGTTCTCTGAATCGGCCAAGGTCGTCCCAATTGAATCCATCAATATGCCTGAACCCAGTGAGATTCAAAAACCCTGGGCCCACGTCGTCGGATGTGTCATTTATACTCGAAGCAACTGGCTTGAAGTCGCCCCAGCTCGTCCGGTTAAGCAGGTCGAGGGCAGCATTATAGCCTCGTAATTTCGCCGCTGCAATGTCGGAAAATATCAATCCCGGTGATCCTGAATAGTTTCCCGCTGGAAACAACAACCAAAACAGGAGCATCACCATCAAGAAGACGGCGCCGGTCTGCTGACGTTGCGGCATAGCGTCGTGTGCCGACTCGGAAGTCGATGGTTGGCGGCGATTCGCGGTTATCGGGCGTCCATTAGAAGATATATTATAGTTGTAATAAAATTCAATACCAAATCAGAGTGCAAATCCAGGCGTCAAGAAAAGCAACAGCAAATCGCAGTCGATGCATTCAAAGTAGAGGCGGATGCAGGAAGCAGGAGCATGGCTGCAGCGGTGGCGCCACTTGGAAATTTAGCGCCTGATGACGCTACAAGGTCCTGAAGAGGCACCGTGGGGGGCGCCAATGCAAGCAGCCAAAGTGGCAAGCGCAGGGGCTCCACTGGCCAGCGAAGCCGTGGAGGCGAGGCGCGTGGAGAAGCCCGTGCGACTACAAAACACAAAGACAACTATTCATCGACGGAATTCGCTTGAGGAAAGGAAATTGAAACGGATTCTGTTGTTGCTTCTACTACGCTCGTTTATACATTTCTCTCTGCCACATCATGTCGTCAAGTAACCGCGAGTCGGTGGCGTCAGTCCAAAATGTACGTCAACCGCTGGACTTCCTCTAACCAAACCCCTCGAGATATCTCTCACTGTCGATCTTCCCTATACAGGAGTAGCCCTTCAAAGAAAGAATATATACTAATACCTTCCATTTTAGACTAGCGAAGATGCCCACGCAGATGTTGCTGTAGCTGTGGAGGAGCTCGTCAACTCACTATCACACCGCTTTGCTGGCGTCTCATCGGAAATCTTTGCCAAACGTAGGCACACTTACCCATCACATGCCACTCAAAATCATTTGCTAACTGCTCCCTAGTTGACGAAATGTCTAGAAGACTGGACAAGTTGGAGGCAGATCTCAAAGATGGCGGCAAAAAGGACGCCGCGTCGAAATGAGGGGATTCTACTTGCAGCAGCATATTTCGTTTTTGGAACATTCTCGTGGGGCACACACATCCATTGAGCAGCATTCTTGTTTGTTAATGAGTCATGATCAAATGATATATATCTACTTTGGTAGCTGTCTGGAAATAAACACAATCCAAGTAGCCCATCTGTCACATGGAAACTTTTACACACATGCTAGTCATGGCGGGTAACATGGACGACTTGTTTTTACAACTCGTCCTTGACCTTCTCGACAACCTCCTCGACCTTAGCAACGAACTGCTTCAGGACGTTGACCTTGGACTGGATCTCGTCGCGCTTGGTGGGAGCAAGACCACCACGGGTCAGGATGCCGTCAAGGCGAGAGAGCTCCTTGGAGACGTAGTCGTCGTTCTTGCTGAGCTTGTCAAAGACGCGGACGTAGTACTCGGCGTACTTGGTCTGGGCAGCATCAGTGATCTTGGCAGCCTCCTTCTGGACCTGAGCAGAAATGTCGGACAGGGTAGCGCCGCCAGTGAACTTGGTGACGAGGCCGTTGAGAGCAGCAATAGTTCCAGCAACGGTGTCGAGACCGCCACCAGCAACACGGTGGGTGCCAGCCTTCTCGTTAATGTACTGGATAAAGTCCTCCTCGCGGCGGCCGCCCTCATAGGCAACGGGCTCCTTGCTGCCAGCAGGGAAGAACTTGATGGTGGGGTAAGAAGTAACACCAAACTTCTCAGCGGTAGCCTTGCTCTTGGGCGACTCGGCGTCGATCTTGGCAATAACAACGTTTTTCTCGTTGATGAAGTCGGTGGCGAGGGTCTCCCAGATAGGGGCGAGGGTTTTGCAGTCTGTAAAGAGCACATGTTAGCTATCAATGGTTTCATTATATCAATTGAGCTTCAAATCAACTTACGTCCGCACCAGGGGGCGGTAAAGGCAACCAAAACGTGCTGGTCACCGCCAATGAGGTCGTTGAAGCCCTTGTCGCTCAACATCTGCACCTCGCTGGGGAGCTCGAGCTTCTTCTTAGCCTTGACGCCGGTCTTGTCGGTGATGAAGTCAACGAGGCTCTCGAGGTCACGGCCAGAGTTGTACTCGGTGGGCTTGTCACTCTTGCCATCGAAGAACTTGAGGGTAGGGAAACCCTGGACACCGAAGCGCTTGCCGAGCTCACGCTCGGCATCGGCATCAACCTTTGCGATCTGGACCTTGTCCTTGGCGTGCTCGAAAACACCAGCGAGATCCTCGTAGATGGGGGCGAGTGTCTTGCAGTGGCCGCACCACGGGGCGAAGAATTCGACTAGCGTGGGCTTGCCGGACTTGAGGACGACATCGTCAAAGTTGGAAGGGATCAAGTCGATAACGGCGGACTTGGCGGCGACGACAGCGGTCAAGGCCGCGAAAGCAATGGTTTTGATCAAAACCATTTTATGTGATATTCAGATTGGTTCTCTGTAAACCCAATCGATCGATCGAAGAATCAAAAATATCGAGTTGGAGGAGGTTGAAGAAGCAAAGACAAACACACTCCCTGCTTACAAAACAGCGGCAGATCTGATCAGTACAGTACAAGTGGCCACAGTGATGTAACGGGTCCTCCCCCCCAAAAAGCTCCAACCAAGCTCCAACCAACGTGCCCCACCAGCAGTTTGGGCGGCTGGCTGCTGTTGTCCATCACGTGTCGATAAGATAGCATGGCCTGCCTCCGGGTCACGTGCAAGGGACAATGGAAACTAGAGCGAAAAATGGGTCGGGGTTGCCAACCCTGCACTGTGATTGGCGGCAGACTGGCGAGGAAATCACACAAAAATTACTACGAGCGACCCGCGAAAGTGCTTGCGAAATCTCCTTCTCTTCTCCCGCCCAGTGAACCCCGTTTTCTTTCGACAACACACATCACCGCAATCATGTCTCACGAAAGTGTCTGGAACTCTCGCCCCAAGACCTACGGCAAGGGCTCCCGCGCCTGGTACGATTTATCCTATATTCGACGTTTGGTCCCAAAGTTTCCTCGGCCGCCGTGATGAACCCCCGAGCATCGCGAATCGAACGCAAATTTCCTTTCGGCCCTGCGTGCATGGGCAAGCGATACAAAGGGAACACGGTTAACGAGGGAACTATGGCTCTGTAACGAACCAATTGTCTTCTGGAGACAATGCCCAAAATTCCCGAGAACCACGTCGTAACTAACTCGTGTTGTCTAATAGCCGCGTTTGCAAGCACAAGGCCGGTCTCATCCGCAAGTACGACCTCAACCTCTGCCGTCAGTGCTTCCGTGAGAAGGCTAAGGATATCGGCTTCAACAAGGTACGCTTATTCGAAATAACGACTCGACTATTTTTCCGGCGACGTCAAATTCCATGGAGAAAGATCGTTTCGAACCTGGACCACCTGTATGTACTAACATATTGCCTGACAGTACCGTTAAATCGAAACAACAAAAAGTCTTTTTTGCTTTCTTTTTTTCGATGTTACGATAGATGGGATTAGGGGACGGGTTGGATGGAAAGGGAGGTTGATGCATTCTTGTCGGTAATGATCTCACAAGATGCAAAAGGGCAGCTGCTTGGAACGGGAGTTTAATGGCATGCTTTGCTTTCTACATTGATTATCGTCCCTCTTGGGCCGTACCCAGGACGGATAACAACGATATCGCACACCGATGAAACACCAAATTTCATCAAAACCAAATAAAAACAACTTACAACTTCATATCTCTGTCCCTCCTATGCACGATCGACTGAGACCATGCTTCTCATTGTATCCTTGTAATGATTACACATTTAGTGACTTTCACGAAATACTAATTCAAGTTTTGTATTGCAAGACATATTCGTATTATATTTTAATCTATCATTGCCTCCATCCAGTCTAAAAGTACACAATAGCAAGACAGGTGAGAGAAGCAGAGTGGAGATCCAAGGCTAACCCTTGGGAATTTTACAACAGACCACCATCTTCCAATGGATAGCTGTGGAACATGTCTGGCGCTGCAGACACCTTCTTTTTTGGTGTGTGAGGTGCCTAAGCAGCCTTCCTCAACTTTTTGTCACTCGACAACGGCTCCCACGAGCGACAGGCGCCTCCTAATTTGGCATTCATCCGTACAAGTTGAGCTAGTAAGTAAGTAGCTTACTTGATGATACGGGTAATGAGACCAGTGGCGACGGTCTTGCCACCCTCACGGATGTTGAAGCGCTGGCCGTTCTCAACAGCGTTGGGATGGGTCATGGTGACGACCATCTCGACGTTGTCACCGGGCATGACCATCTTGGAGTGAGGGTCCTCAGTGCCCTCGGGGAAGGTCAAGTCAATAGACTCGTCAGAGGTACGGAGGTAGAGCTGGGGGCGGTAGTGCTCGTGGAAGCCAGTCTTGCGGCCACCTTCCTCAGCAGTGAGGACGTAGAGCGAGGCAAGGAACTGAGTGTGAGACTTGACGGTGCCGGGCTTGCAGACAACCATACCACGGCGGACATCCTCACGGCGGACACCACGGATGAGGAGACCAGAGTTGTCACCAGCCTGGGACTGCTCGCAGGACTTCTTGAAGGTCTCGATATCGGTGACCTTGGTCTTGATGGGCTCGCTGCCCTTGCCGACAAGCTCAATGTCCTCATCACGCTTGAGAACACCACGCTCGACACGGCCAGAAACGACGGTACCACGGCCGGCAATGGAGAAGACGTCCTCGACAGACATGAGGAAGGGCTTGTCAAGGTCACGCTCGGGGGTAGGGATCCAGGTATCAACAGCAGCAAGGAGCTCGTCAATCTTCTCAGAGCCAATCTCGGGGCGCTGGTTGTTCATGGCCATCAGAGCAGAGCCCATGATGACGGGGGTGTCGTCACCCTCGAAGCCGTAGCTGCTGAGGAGCTCACGCATCTCCATCTCGACAAGCTCCAACATCTCAGGGTCATCAATGGCGTCGACCTTGTTGACGAAGACAACCAGTCTCTGGACACCGACCTGACGGGCAAGGAGCAAGTGCTCACGGGTCTGGGGCATCTGGCCGTCAGAGGCGGCGACGACAATGATGGCGCCGTCCATGTTGGCGGCACCGGTAATCATGTTCTTGATGTAATCGGCGTGACCGGGGCAGTCGACGTGGGAGTAGTGGCGGTTCTCGGTAGAGTACTCGATGTGGGCAGTGGAAATGGTGATGCCACGCTTGCGCTCTTCGGGGGCCTTATCGATGGAGCCATAGTCGAGGAAGTTGGCGAAGCCCTTCTCAGCCTGGCGCTTGGTGATGGCAGCAGAGAGAGTAGTCTATTGTTTAGTATCGTATGTTAGCCAATGTATTCGTGGTTTTGGCCAGAGAAACAGCCAAAAATGTTGAGAGGGGGAAGGGCGGTAACAACCTTGCCGTGATCGACGTGACCAATGGTACCTGTAGCGCAGCTGTTGTTAGCGAGATGGTGACGGCTCCTGGAGAACGAATCTCATACCAATGTTGACGTGGGGCTTGGAGCGCTCGTAGACGGCGTAGTTACGGCAAGCATTGTACATGCTGGTGACGTTCTGGGACTTGAGGGCAGCACGCAGGGGGGAAGCGTTGCCGTTGCGAAGGCCCTGGCGCGCCGTGCGCATAAACGGCGCAATTGATCGGAAGGCGACCGACATTGTGAAAGAAGGGTATAAGTTACAGGGAATACAATACAATTGCCGAAAGGGAAAAAAGAGAAGAGAAGGGGAGGGCGGCGAGTTGATGAAGTGGTGAAGGAGAGAGGATTCGCCTAAGCTCGTTGTGGTTTTGGGAGGGAAATTTTTTGAGGCAGCAAATGCAGCTGGTCTGGTTGGCTCAGGTGGTGCCAGGGGCAGGTCCAGGGGCGGTTGTAATGGCGTCACGTGACCCTTTTCATGGCTAAGGAATGAGAGTTGGGGTGCTGAAATAAATGGTTGTATTATTATTGATATTAATAAATAGGTTGAAATAGACTAAGGCTTCTGTATTCAAATATACAGGCATTATTTTGATAGTATGTGGTTGAGGAGCGGATAATATGAAGTAAACTTGTGTACTCACCTTTAGACCTGTTGTTGCATAAGAAAAGATGCACAAATATATTGATTGTTCTAGTGGATAGGAAGGAATTTTTAAAGGTTGAGCAGAGTTAATGAATATTCTTAATCACTAATATTCGAAATATATTTTATTTCTAGCATATTCGAACTATAAATGCCTCTACAAGCGGCCGCCTACACCTGCACCGTTCGCCTACCCGGCAGCTCCGGGGCGTCGACCCGTAAAATAAATAAAAAGCTACACGACGCCCGACGTCGTCGTGCTCACTGTAACCACATCCGAAATAAAACCAGCGCATCATCCGCGTCGACAGGACTCGTTTGCATCTCCAATCCACTGGAAAAGAGGTGAATTGACTCATTACCACCTGTAATTGCGTGCCAAGAACACAATTGCAGCTGCAGCGCACTCGGCAGCCAAGTTGCCACCGTTGCTTATTCTCTCAGTCTCAACTCTCACCTCACTTCACTCATCCCTTATCATCAGAACCTCGACCCTAAACAACACACAATGGACTCAGACCCTGTATTTCAGTCCACAGATGGCCCCCAGCTTAACCTGTTTGGCAAAATAGTCCAACAGTTTGCCAGCTATGGACAAAACGCCTCCAACAACGTCTCCAACGCCATTTCCAACCTGTCCCCGGAAGGTTGGCTGCGCCTCATCGCCATTGCCGGTGGCTACATGCTGATGCGTCCCTACTTGATGAAATGGGCCGGCAAGAGAGCTGTGGAGAACATGGAGGAGCGTGATGAACAGGAACAGGCGGCGGAGATGTCCGCCAATGAGTTCCGTGGTATCAAGCAGCAGCTTGACGAGCACGACTACGAGCAGACGGATGAGAATGACTGGGGCCAAAAGGCCAGAGTCCGCCAAAGAAAGATCCTCAAGTCCATGCTTGAAGAGCAGGAGCGCAAGCTTCAGGAAGATGCCGAAGACGACGAGGACATTAAGGAGTTCCTCATTGATTAAAAAGCTACGATGGCAGGGCTTGCGGAGTTTTTCTAGCGTTTTTCCCTTGGCGAAATGGATTAGACAGGATAGGATGTATGCAAACAGCACAAAAAGGGGGGCATTGGGACGAAGTCGGAGCAAATACGTGTACTAGTAGTATTTTATATACCCGGAATATGATGCCGTGTGAAATGGCGAAATGCGTATCGTGTCGTTGTTATGCACCATCGTGGAGTTTGTAGTGGGCAGTGCCAGTGGTGCATTGGCTTGGCCATGCACGCCAGTGAACAACGCATTGTATTGGAGACTGTGATGGACAAGAAAAATGGACATGAGGAAATAAGAGTAAAATGGACGTAATTCGGAGAAACCCTTTGCCAAGGAAAAGCAACAAGAGCCGAGTCCTTAGCCGCTTATGTCCCGTTGTCTGCATGTTTGCATCGGACGATGGCAGTCTGCACAAGTCTGTCGTGCTTCCACTGCGGTGCCGTAAGTTCAGTTACAGTATGCCACAGGGTTCGGGGAACGCCTATGAGGGGAGCCTTCTAGAAAGCCCACAGGGGCCATTTCAGTGGACCATGCGCGTCTGACAGCGGGTGGCAATGCGCTGGGCGAACAGCTCGCCGCTGGCGTGCTTCTCAGTTTTTTTGTGGTCGGGCAACGCGGGCAAGGCTGGGGCACGCGCCGCTGTGGGGCAGACGGCAACGCCCTGGCATTTGTTGCTTGCTGGCTGCCCTGGGCTCCGGCGGGCACGATGCGCTAAACAAGGCCCAAGCAAGCCACTGACGGGGACTGGTTTCAGAGGCTCTGCCGCTGGAACTTGGACGAACGCAGGGGATTTACAGCGGCAGATGGTGTCGTCTACGCGCTGATGTCATTGGTCTCGGACACGAAGTAGGCCCCTCTCCTCTGGATGGTTGCCTTGATTGCTTTGCCTCTCTTTACCGGCAACTGGCGTTTTCTCACTAATTTATTTTTACTGGTAAATTTTATTCTTTCATTTTATTATTAGCGGTCACACGCCATCAACCCTCGCCGCCTTCTCAAGTAACACACACAAAGCGCCGCCTTGCTTGGCTTCTTCCCTAGCGTCGCAGCCTTCTCTGCTACTGTACTTACAGTACTCCAGATAACCCCATCCAGCAATTCAGCTCCCCGCAGCACCTAGGCGGGCTTACTCTGCAGACGCCTCGTGCCACCCTGCCCAGTCAAAGCGACTCCTCTTCTGCGGATTTTCGCAGCCTGCCTTTCCTTTTCTATTTCCAACGTTGCTGCAAGCAGAAGCTTCCCCCAAGACACCGCCAAGATATCTTTTTAATTGTGTTTGGCGCTATCTGTGCCCCAACTTTGACAACAACTCCAAGACGCCGCCCGCCTCCGAGCTTTCGCCACACGTCACCGCCGACGAGTCTCGTACCCCCCCAACAAGCGCTTGCACCCCCTCGCGGCTGAAAAATACTACAGCTGCTGGTGCAGACTAGGCTTCCTCGAGGTTCGCCAAACTTCTCCTGTTTCTGGCAAACTTGTCCAACAGCAGCAAACTCTGCAGAAACTCGTACTCTACAAGCACGACGTGCTGTGTCGCCCACTCCGTTATTGGCCATGTATTCAGACAGCGGTGACAGGTATACAAAATGAGCGATCCTATTGATATCCACGACGTCCTCCGAAACGGCTACTTTACTACCACACGGCACAGAAACCAGGATAGGTTCGCAAATACACGTCCCTGCTACCAGCTGGTAAACTGACCGCCATTTTTAGACTATCTACAGAAGTGCCCGACTATAACAGCTTGTCTCGATCTGCACCTTCTGATTATGACGGCGCCTATGTGATCCGACAGCCAGAGCAGCACTACCAGCCACAGTACGAGCAGCAGTATCAGCAACGGAGGGAAGAGAGAAGAGAAAGCCGACCGGTTTCCAAAAAGCGACAACCACCACCTCCTAAACCGAGAGTCGACGATGAAGACGACATTCTTTCCCAAGAGCTCGGCTCCTGCAAGCTTGTCGTGGCAGAAGAAGAGCCAGGATCTCGAGGTGACATAGATCAGCCGACTCTGATTGAGGATGTGCACGAGTTCAACCCCGAAAGACGCTTTGTTTTTGTCAGCGGCGATGATCCCAACGCTACCGAAAATAAAGAGCAACCGGCAGAACCTAAGAAAGAGAAGGAGGCTGAAGTTAGGCCCGACAAGAAGCCTGCAGACAGAGTAGACCCCGTCACAAAGACGCCACCAAGCGTGGACCGAGACCGAGGCAGCGACAAACCTCGAAGTGACCGCAGCTCGCCAAGACCGAAAGACGAGTCCCGGCCCCGACGTGATTCATCTCCGAAGCGCCCTCGGGAGAAAGAACCGTCCTCGAGGCGCTACCCAGACAGCTCACCACGAAACTCGGACGATGAACGACTCAACCCACGACTAAACACAGAGAGACGAAGAAGCCGACAAGACTTGCCCGTCATCGACACAACCTTATTAGATGACCAACGTCAACCCGAACACCATCGAAGCCGCTCTGCCGTCAGTGCTACTCGCCCCGACTACTTTTCTCCTAAACAGGCACGTTTTGGAGAGCAGATGCTCTCGCCCGATGTTATCAAGCATGGTGCAAATGGCAGAGAGCAAGTCTTCTACAGCTACTTGTCGTCATCAGGGAATTACAGAAGCGGGTCTCGTGATGAGGCTCCCGAGAGCCGGTCAAAATCAAGCCGAAGCGTGTCAAATAACCGCCGAAGTGAAACGCTGGACGAACATGACTCTCGTAGACGATACTCCAAAGACCGCGACCGAGACCGAGACCAGCGTGAGTCCGCATCCTCCTCACGCAGGTACGAAACTCGGGGAAGCTCCATGCAAGGCTCCAGCCGCGGCCCATCTGGGCAATCCACCAGTTACAACTCACGAGACCCTAGCCGTGGTAACGACGAATATTCGAAAAGCCAGCGCTCCAATGACTACCAGTTCCAGAAGCCAGTCATCACACAAGGTGAACCTCGGTCAGATAGACTTCGTGTCGAAAGAGACGATGTGCGCCGCGATCGTTCCCCTTCTCGCCGACAGACTCTACCTATAGAGCATCCATCCGCCTCTGCAGACGTCAAGGCACCGACCCCTCCTCTGAAGTCTGCCGCTACCTTTGCTGCAAGTGCAGGTGCAGCAGCAGTCGCTGGAGCTATGGCATCGGCCGCGTCGTCATCAACACCAGCTGCCTCCAAGGTAGCCCCTCCCTACCCCGAAGGCGACTCAATGAAGGAAATTGGAGGCCCAACCAAACGAGAACCTAACAGTGCCCCGTACCCCGAACTTGACCTGGTAACAGTAGAGATGCCTGATTTACCACCGGATGTGGCGTCCTACGTTATCGAGGTGTCGGACAAGGACAGCGACGAGGATCGCAGTGTGCAGAGAAACTCATGGCAGCCTGGAAAATTCGACCCCGAAAAGGGTTCACTGCCTGTTGAGCGACCTGGCGCTTACCGAAGGTACTCGGAGAGCCAGGATAGCCAAGCAATGAACAAGCTTCCCGAGTGCAAGAGAATCAACCCAGTGGCCGGAAAGATTGACTGGTTGACGTTGCCTCGATCACACTTCAACATATGCCCCGATTGCTATGGCTCTGTGTTTGCCAACAGCGAATATCGAACGCTGTTCCAGCCATTCTTTTATCCCAACACGACTCTTGTATCGTGTGATTTTGGATCGTCTCCGTGGTACCGCATAGCCTGGCTGCTGATCCAAAAGAACAAAGATGCCGACCTGGGCCTCTTTTTGCATTTGGCGGAGGCGATGCACCCAGACAACACTTCGCCTTGCCCGGAAGACAAGCGCTGCACCCGTAACTGGCTAACGATACGCGACCCCAACACTGGACGTTCAGTCCCAGAATTTACTGTTTGCAGGCGCTGCGCCTCTATGGTTGAGACGCTGCTACCAAACATGGAGCGCATATTTGACGACCGATCCTCAGCAAGTAAGAGCAAGTGCTCGATGCATTTCTCGTCGGCAAGCAAAGATTTTGTTCTTTATTTCGACGCCTTTGAGACTACAGCGGAGCGAGCAATGACCAAACGGTCAGAGCCCAATGTTTCCGACTTGGCCAGGAAGCTGCGGAAGGTGTCGACACATAACCCATGTCGAGAGGACAAACCAGTGACCGACGGCTACTGGTACTACGCCAAGTTTCTCCCCGACTTGACAGTCTGCAGTGATTGCTACCACTCTGCAGTCATCCCTAGGATAGACGAAAAGTCGACTATTGCGCGAAACTTTTATAGCAAGTCCCAGAGGGTCTCGCAAGCGACCTGCCAGCTCTACTCTGCGAGAATGCGCGACATTTTCAAGACAGCATGCAGACAAGAAGACCCAGATTATCTTCGCGAAAAGGTTCTTCGACGCCGACGGGCAGAAGATGTTATCAATGGAAAGCTGCGCCAGCTAGAGCAATATGGACGAAACGATAGCCGGACCGAGTTGGAGATTGACCGACTCATTCGAGAGTGGAGGGAATGGGAGTGATCATTTTTACAGTAGCGATTGTGTAACTATGATGACGATGAGATGATTGCATTTTGATTTAGGCAGGATATTTGCATAATTATTTTGAGCACGGGTGGATTATCTTTTCTTTTTTTGTTACTGGGAGAAGTTGAGGGTGTACTTCGTAGGGATGCAAAATATACCTCTACACCGAATAACTAGAAGCACTGGCGGTTAGACGAGACAAAATAGACCCACCGCGAAATTACCCAAAGAGGAAGTCCAGACTATCGATAGACTCTCGTGGTTAGATCACGTGAGCCACACACACTGGCGCCCACCAAACCATGTCCACCCCACCATTTAGGGCCCGCCCACCAAAATTGCGCCTGGCTGTGTGCAAAATTCTGGTGAAATTCGTCAGGCCGCCCCGACTCCACGAAATTTCCGCTCTGCATCACCAACCCGCCCAACGAGGTACGACTTTTTTCTCCCCCCCAACTCGCGAATCCCCGAGACGATTTAGGAAAGCAGAATATTAACGAAGTTATCTTCAGACAGGTCCAGATCTATCACAATGTCTTCCAGACCTACCGTCACCATCATCGGCAAGAACGGTGCTCCTTCTGGAGCTACCCACGCCATCCCTGCTGTCTTCTCCAGCCCTATCCGTCCCGATATTGTCCAGCAGGTTCACACTGGCATGGCCAAGAACAAGCGCCAGCCTTACTGTGTCTCCGAGAAGGCCGGTCACCAGACCTCTGCTGAGTCTTGGGGTACTGGTACGTAGCGAAAACGAAAGTCTTGAATCGAGATGGGCGAATGCTGGTTGGATTGGGAAGTGAATGAAAGTGTGTGGAGAAATTTTCGACAAGCAGACGCAGCAGAAGCAACGACAAAACGAAACAGACAGGGAGACGAAATGTTGAATTGCTGGGACGTCGTCGTGCTGCTGTCTGTCCGAAATTTCTCTATGCCAGTGGTGTATATCAAAACGCCTTTTCTTTTTTGCTTCCCTCCAGCCATTGCCTCCTTTCTTGAAAAAGGCACCCTCACACACCACAAAAATTGCGAATTGCTAATATTTAAACGTCTATAGGTCGTGCTGTTGCCCGTATTCCCCGTGTCTCTGGTTCCGGTACTCACCGTGCTGGTCAGGCCGCCTTCGGTAACATGTGCCGTTCCGGCCGCATGTTCGCCCCTACCAAGACCTGGCGCAAGTGGCACGTCAAGATCAACCAGGGCCAGAAGCGCTACGCTACCTGCTCTGCCGTTGCTGCCTCCGCTGTCGCTCCCCTCCTCTTGGCCCGTGGTCACCAGATCATGACCGTCCCCGAGGTCCCCCTCGTTGTCGATTCCGAGCTCGTTGCTGCTGATGCCGTTGCCAAGACCGCTGCCGCCATCGCCCTCCTCAAGGCCGTCGGTGCCGGTGCTGACCTCGAGAAGGTTGCTGGCTCCAAGAAGCTCCGCGCTGGCAAGGGCAAGCTCCGTGGCCGCCGCCACCGCCAGCGCCGCGGTCCCCTCGTCGTCTACTCTGCTGAGGCTGACGGCAAGGACCTCGTCAAGGGTTTCCGCAACATCCCCGGTGTCGAGACCAGCCCCGTCACCGCCCTCAACCTCCTCCAGCTCGCCCCTGGTGGCCACCTCGGCCGCTTCGTCATCTGGACCTCTGAGGCCTTCAAGGCCCTTGACGAGATCTACGGCTCCACCACCGAGGCCTCTGCCCACAAGCGCGACTTCGTCCTCCCCTCCAACGTTGTCTCTCAGGCTGATCTCACCCGTCTGATCAACTCTTCTGAAATCCAGAGCTCCATCAACGCCCCCAAGGGCGATGCCATCACCCGCCGCGCTGGTGTCCAGAAGAAGAACCCTCTCAAGAACAAGCAGGTCATGCTCCGCCTGAACCCCTACGCCAAGGTCTTCTCTCAGGAGGCTCAGAAGAAGCAGAACTAAGTTCTTTTTCCTCTCTAGCTGTTGAATGTGAAAGCTCAGCTTGCTGGGTGCGCAGCAGGCTGGGAAAGTGGTTGATATGACAAATGTTTCATGGTTTTGATATTGAGGCGTCCTGGCTTCAGGAACCGTCGAGCTCTTGAATGAGAATATAAAAAAAGCTTTTCAATTGTTTTAAAATTGACGATTCTATTATACTTATTTTGAGCTCTCGTGATTGTGACTATTTCGTTTTAAATGTAAAATGTTTTACTGGACTGATCATGCAGTAAGATCGCTGTAAGTCTGTCGACTCCCCCTAAAAATAAGCACTGTTAGCCGCTGTGGCTGCTGTAGCCGTGCCCAGTAGCATCTAAACACATTGGGTGAATCTGTTTGTGGTGGACGGAGAGCAAGTGGAGCTGTTGCTAATGACAAGCTCCCAGCCAGCTCCACGGTCAACGCTGCAGCTGTAATTCTCGCGACACAACCGCGGCAATCCAGCCCAAGGGCCATAATTAACCCACTGAATACGTGCAGAATGCGATTACAGTAACAAAATCCCACCGATTTAATTTCCAACAACGAACTGAGCGAGCGACACGCCGCGGGATGACGACGTCCCCACGGGACATTCGACAGCACACACCATGGCCGAAATCAACGTGATGGCGCCGCCAGACCTCGAGGCAGCTGCTCCGACGCCTATTGCGCAGCTGGAGAATAGTCTAGACGACCAGAATTCGCGCGTTGTTGACGGTGTCGTGACCATTACGTGGCCGTACAGCATCGTCACCAAGTCGATAGCCTTTGTCCTCGCCGAGAAGGATTACCTTCTGCGCCGCAACAAGGGCCAGGTTCGCGTCGAATTCCACGGCGCTGCAGGAAAAGCCCTGCAAGCTGCAGGTGTTGGAGGCGGTGATGAAGTGCGAATCAGCCTCAACGGCGTGCAATGGGAGCCGTGCAGCACGACGACGCGCTTACCTGGCACGCCCCTGGATACACAGCTCAAGTTTACAAATCGAGTGTCGCTGCGCATTCGACGAGCAGAGACGGAAGAAACGAGCGTTATATCTATCGACCAACCTGCAGACGAAAAAGAAGAGGGACCAATAGAGGAGCCCGCACCGCTTATTAGTTCGCCGCCCCTCGATCTCTCCAGCGTCTTTGCGACACCGAGACCTGCGTCGCCACCGCTTCGAGCAAAGAGAACGGCCGCGACGGCTTTGGAACCAGATGAATATGCATCGCCGGCATATCTAAAGCGTGCTAGAGTGTCGTATGGGTCGCTCTTTGAAGGCGGCCTTGATATTTTTGATGATGAAGCGACCAAGAAGAGCAAGAAGTCGAGGAGAAAGTCGAGGTTCAGCATGGGCGCTACTGGCTGGAGATATAGTAGCAAGTCACCGTCGCCTGAACCCGAACCGACAGGGAAAGAAGATGAGCTGGGGGTATCAGAGTCTGATGAGGACGACGAGATCCCAATCCCTCCTCTGTCGATACCAAAGAGCAGTATGGTGGACGAAGGATCGCAGACACAAGGGTTGTCTGTTGAATCCTTTGGATCACTAAGAGCGTCGCAAACTGCGTTTCTACCCAATACGCCTACGCCAGCCGCAAATCCTGTCCAGACAAAGTCGAACATGGCAAATCTCGAAGAAGCTGCCATCCTACAAGGCATGGCTGGGGACCGTGGTGTTGGTTTCGTCACGGACTCTCAAACGTCAACATATGGAGCCACCAATAATCTTTTTGCTTCACAGGCGCCATTGCCAAAGCTCGATGTTGAAGCCGGTGCTAGCGCAGCTGCAAATGACCCGATGACTGATTCTGCCATCGATCAGCTCTTGGGCTTGGAGCCGGGCTCTTCTGAGGCAAGTAAGGCGTTACCAGTTTCAGAGGGCGGCTTTGGGTCGTCACTATTTGGTTCTGCGCCAACACATGGATTCGGCTGGGGCGTGCCACCACCTCCCACGGCGTTCCCTACGACGACTGTAGCTGCCGAGCCTCAACAGTCTGCTATGGTCATCATTGATAGCTCACCTGTATTGGATGTCACAGCAAATGAAGGAAGATCCACGTTTACGGATATTACCAAGGAGCCTGCTGCCCCAGAGCCTAATGTGGACGATGATCAAGACGCAGAAGGGGAACGAGAAGCTTCTGAACACGAGTCTATTGATTCTACTGCTCTCATTATTCGAGAAGACGCCTCTGCCGAGGAAGAGGCGGAACATGACGTCGCCGAATATGACGAAGATGAGGAGCAGGATGAAGATGAAGACGAGCGCCCCGAAGAGCGCCCCGAAGAGCGCCCCGAAGAAGAGGATGATGCTACAGAGTACGAGATCAGGGAACGCGCTAGACAACAGCGTCTTCGAGATGGCGAATCTGAAGGAGAGGATGTAGATGATCAGTCTGATGATGGTCAATCTGACGACGGCCACTACGATGACGAAGACGTCGAAGATGAAGACGTCGAAGACGAAGACGATGAAGAGCAGTCACATAGCTACCACAGGCGGCGCGAGCATTATCAAGATGATGATGATGAGGAGGAGGAGCATGATGAAGACGAAGAAGAGCAAGAAGAGGAGGGAGACTACGACGAGGAAGAAGAAGAGGAGGAGGAGGAACCCCCAGCGCCTCCCCCACAACCCAAAGCACCCGTCTTTATCGATCTATTATCGGATTCGGACGATGACGAGCCGGTAAAACCTACACCGCTACCGGCCCCTGTTGCTCCTAAAGTAGAGCCCGCGGTTTCAGAGCCTGAACAGGCGGAAGAGCTTGAGGAGCCAGAAGAATCAGAACACGAAGAAAGCCCCGAACCAGAAGAAGAGCTAGAGGCTGATGAAGAGGATGCCGAAGAAGAGAATCCCGAAAGTCCAGCTGAATCCCCTCGCTCTCAAGCCTCACTGGTTGAAGGAGATGAATCTGAAGCAGAAGTTGAACAAGATGAAGCTGAAGCAGAGGTTGAACAAGATGGTGATGAAGAGATGGAATCCGAGGGCAGTGCACATGTCGAAGAGGAACCAGTCGCTGATTCTCCTCAGGTTGAATCTCCCGAACCTGAACCTGCCAAAGTAGAAGCTGTCGAACTCGAACTAGTTGAGCCTGAGACTGAACCTGAGGCAGTCGAGGAACAAATAGAAGAAAAAGAAGAAGAAGAGCAGCCGCTAGAAGAGGAAGAGGAACTGGTCCAGATTGTTGAACCCGAGTCTATGGATGTCGATGAAGAAGAGCCAGTAGCCGAAGAAGAGCCAGTAGCCGAAGAAGAGCGCCCACTTGAAACTACAGAGGCCATGGACGAAGATGTCAAGGAAGACGTCGCGGAACCAGAACCTGTCGAGGCTGTCAAGTCTATCGAGACCGAGGAACCTGTCGTGGAACCGGAGGAGCTTGAAGCAGCCGTTGAACACTTGAAGCCTCAAGAGCAGGTGGAGGTTGTAGAAGTCCTCACGTCAAAGCGCGTAACTAGAAGCGCAGCAGCTTTGTCTCCGCCGCCGACACAGGTGCAGCTTGCTGATGATGGCCAGATCCATCCTGTGGAAGAACCGAATCAAGACGAGGTAATCCCAGTAGAGGAGGTGATTGAGTCCCAGATGGTGACTCGAAGCGCCGCAGCAATTTCACCACCGCCGGCACAGGTGCAACTAGCTGATGACGGTATCATTGAAGCAGTTGAAGAGTCTATTCAAATTATCCCCGAAGAAGCTGCCGAAGAAGAACAACCCAAGGAAGGATCAAAAGAGCAGGAGGATGAAGTTACTGCAGAGGACCAGATTATGGAAGAGTTCCTCCAGCACTCTGCCGAGCAGAGCTTCCTGTCGTCTTCAGACGCGCAACCAGAAGATGCCGATAGGAAAGTCGATCCCAATATCAGCTCTCGATCACTTCGAAGCCACAGGCGGACAAGATCGGCTCAGAGTGAGCAGCCGTCCATTGATGCTGTTTTGGCCGAAGCCGCAGAATCAACCAAGACTGCTTCAAAGCGGACGAGAAAGGCACCTACACCAGTTCCTGCGCCAGCAGAGCCGGCGCCGCGTCTTACACGGAGCATGATTGGCAGAGCTGATCCTAGCGTGGCACTGGCTAAAGCTGGTATCTCATCGTCACCAAGCTCGCAAGAAGCTACCCCCAGGCGTCGATTGCATAGAACGAGAACGATGCTAGATATTGCAGGCTCTGGTAGAGAACATATCCTTGACAGCCCGTACTCGCCGCGAACGACGAGAAGCCATGACTCCCCGGCATCTACTCCTGCTCAGGGCACACCAGAGCCATCTACATCGCAGATCCACGAGGCTGAGCAGTCTGTGCCTGAGACTGTTGAACCAGCTGTGGAAGAAGCCCCTGCTTCTGAAGAGAAGCCTGCAGAAGCCGATGAAGATGAAACAGAAACAGAAGCCAAGGCTGAGAGCGGTTCTGCGCTACGGTTCAAACTGCGTAAGAGTCTGTCTACCATGCTACCAGATAACTTCCCGCTCGACTCACTTAGGCACTCACTCAACAAGGTTGGCGACATTATGGCCGTGGCGGCAGCTAAGCCAGAGCCATCGCATCGCCCTAGGAACGGCCCTCGCGATTACATGCTGGAGCTCTTCCTGACTGATCCGTCATCCCCATCATCCAGCGTACACGTTGCGCAGCTCTACCGGCCACATCAGTCTGCCCTTCCCATTGTGGAAGAGGGCGACGTGGTGCTGCTACGACGCATGCAAGTCCATGCCGTCAAGGGCCGCGGATTCGGCGTCCGAGTGACGGATTCTTCGTCATGGGCTGTCTTTGAACAGAGCAGTGACGAGATGCTGCCGCAGATTCGTGGCCCGCCGGTAGAAGTCACGGACAAGGAGATTGAATACGCAGAAAGCCTCCAGCGATGGTGGAAGGGCTTGGACAAGAGAGCAAGGACGAACCTGGCAAAGGCGAGCAGGAAGGCGGCGTCAGCTGGGAAAGGGTAGTTTGCGGACGAAGGGGAAGTAGAATGAAGAATGTTATAGCTAGCACATGTGCCTCGGGCACGAGAGAATCTCGCTGTACAAGAAAGAGGCCATGCTATGATGCCGTGTTTACAAGACTACAACATATGTTTTTTTTTCAGCTGGATGACGTTTATGAGTAATATACCCCAAATACCAAGACTTGCTGATGCTGATGTGATGTGATGGCGCCAGGCCACCCGCAGAATAACCTCGGGCCAACGCAGATGTAGATTATGATGATCTCGGCAGTGGTCTGAGATGTGAAGCAACCAACCATACAATGGATGGATAGATGTAAATGGAGAGGGTAGGCAGAGTAATTTGGAGAAGGGAGGCGTGAGGATAGCAAGCCGTCTGAGTAATAGCGGGCTTGTAAGTATCTGGTACTTGAGCCATCTTTGGGCATCAAAGATGAGTCTTTGCGTGTGCGTAGAGTAATAGAGCAACGAAAGGCCGTCGGGGTATTCCGGTATAAGCTCGTGGGACGACGCCGAGCTGCTGGCGCCGGGCCTGAGCGGGCCAAGCGAGAACGGGGGCGGGCGAAGGTTAGCTACGGCGCCAATCATCGGGTCATGTAGGACGGACAAGCACATGGTAATTCATCGAGGCGCATTGGTTTGATATTTGGAAACAAGGGGGGGTGGCCGTCTAGACAGAAAGCACGAGTGATGATTGGCAAGAAAGAAAAGCAGACTACTGCACGTTCGGGGTCGTGGCACGAGCATCGTAGCTTTCCCCGGAAAGATACGCTATGCAAGCATGTGAAAGGTGAAGGAAGGGCCAGATGCGTGTGTGCGGCTATTGGTGGTGGTTTGGGATCTAAGGGGAAATGGCGGGGCGGGATGAGACAGGTAACGGGCGAGGCGAGAAGCTCTGAGAGCTCGACGGCCAGCGTTTTGACTCATTTTGCGGGGGAAAGCGTGGTGGTGGGAGGCGGGGATCTCAGATGGCGGAAGTGTGGAGGAGCGAGATCGGAAGGCGGGTGGTTGAGAAGCAGGCGGTAGAAGTGGTTGTGGTTGTATGAGGTGTTGATGATGATGATGAGTCACTTTTTGTGAAAGACGGGAGCGACTATTGAATGATGTGGTACTGGAGTTGGTGGTTGATCATGAGTGTTAGTGGAAATTATTGTGGTTATCGTTGTGATGGTGGTTATAAGTGGTTTTGAGGTTTCAGTGTTGTTGGGTCCGTTTGTCTCTAGGTGGATCGGTACCTGTCAAGCACTACAGCCTGTATAAACACTGCAGAGTGCGAGAGGGGTATTAGCACAACTGACCGAATTAATGATTTTTTTAAAATAAAAAAGACCAACATGAACTCCTACAGTGAATTGGATGCTCAATGCTCAACAGGAATTCAAAACCCTTGAGCTCAGGGGATGCCCGCGGCAGCCGCTTGGGAGGGGGAGGGTCGGGTCAAGCCGGAAGACGAAGGGGAGGCTTTCTCCAACTCGGGCGGCGGCCGGGGTGGGGAAATTGAAAATGAATTTTCCAATAAAGCGGCTGCCTAGCGAAGATGGGGAGAGAGAAGTGAGAAAAAAAATTGCTGATAATGGTACTTGCTGTCAAGATTATGATGAAAATGAAAGAAAAAGTATGAGAGAAGAAAGAGAAAGAGAAGTAAAAAGGAGACGTGGTGTTGTTGCGTGTAATTACTTACAGCTGGCAGCTGGCGGCACCTGGCGATGGGCACCTGGCGATTCTTGGCGGCAGTGGTTGAGGTGAGGCGTCCCAATGGGGAAATGGCCCACGAGCTGAGAGAGAGCTTGAGTGCGCAGGCTAGTAAGCTGTCAACTGGCAGCCAGCCAATTACTGCTTTGTGTAATGTATCATTCAATGGATAAACATGTGCATAGGCTGATGACGGTACGGACAGGTCTAGCCCAGCCCAGTCCAGCCTGGCGCAGCCCGTTTAACTTTACAAAGGCGCAGCCATATATGCTCTTGTAGAGTGGTGAGGTTATGCGCCGTGTAAGCACTCTTGGAGAAACAGCACAGCAAATGAAGAACTTTAATTTTCTCTGTTTTCTTTTGGAAACTCATAAGATGAAAGACAACTTGCTTGTTGTACCACTCACTCACACTCTACATGCGGCTCTTGTCTCCCCTGCCCAGCTCTCGCAAAAGACGGCTGCATGTTTCACCCCCAGCGCAACACAACCAAACGCCGCAATGCATCCCGAAAACGAGCCTCATAACTTGTTTTTGTAGCTATCCAATCACATCCTAGCCAGTCTCTTATTCTTTTTCTGGTCTTTACTTTTGTAGCAGAGACATCCTGTATTCTTTTTTTTCATCTATTCTTTTCGCTCATCTCCGCGTGCTCCCACTTACCCACCCCCTTTCTCCAAATTCAACAATTTTTGTCATCTTTGCTACCCAATCCAGCTTACTTACTCGAGTCCCCAAAAGCCTGATTACAGTGGACTCTCTGAATCGCAGTCCATAGCGCAGTACCTGAGAGCTCCCTAGCTTACTCCAACTGCTTTTGTGTGCTGCTGCCCCTCCTTGCATCGCGACTTTCTCCGGCGCGGCTCCTCTTTTTCTCCAACTCTTTTACTTGCACGCCCCCCCTCCAATTCAAACTTCCCAGCTTCCATCTATGCCTTTGTTCGTGTTTCCTTTTCTTCCTGTAGTAAATTGATGCCCGGAATAATTTGGCACAGACCCGGCCCAGCTACCCCAACACACAACTCCCTTGTCTGTGCCCCAATGTATCCTGTACTTTGGCTGCCGTGTATGAAAGTGTCCGTACAGAGAGTACAGTGGCCTGTAGTTCCACCACTGGCTACCTCTGGAAGTGCCCAACAGCGCTCTACGCGCCCTGTAAGATGGCTACCGCACCACGCTTGCAATAAAGGCCCTTTTATTCCCAGAATCCTCCTCCTCCAACTTTTCTACCTTTTCCGGTTCACCTTTTCTCTCTCCTCCCCTTTTCTTCTTTTTCCAGAATAAAACACGTCCGTCTCGTCTTGTTTCTTACAGGATATTCGTCGCCTGTTTCTGCTGTACTTCTCTTACAAAACGCCTCGACTCCTGCATTTCTACTCGGCATTTCGCGGGACCCCTGCCTAGCTTTTTCAGCGCCCGTTCACTGTCCACTACCACAACACCTCGCTACGTAAGGTACGTTTGAAAAGCAGTGTCTTTTTCGAGGAAATCGCTGTTTATTACTATTTTCGACTACATCTCTACGAGATGGCTTTTCAATTTACAAAATTTTACAAAATCTACTGCATGCACACATTCACATTCACACTCACTGAACTCTTTTTCTCACTTACCTCCTGCAAACACCCGCTTTGTTGGGACCACAGGGCCCATCTCCAGCGGACACACCCCCCCACCAAAAAAAAGAGACCAGCAGCGTAGCGCTGCCCTCCGGTTTACCACCGATGAGTGAGAGAAGTCCTCCTCCACGGGCACAAACCTGGCTACCGCTCTGCTTCTCTTTTTTTTCTGCCTCATTTTCCTTTCCCCAGGCCTCGTCCATCATCAAAAAGGCAACTCATTTGCCTATTGCCCCTTTATTCATCACATTCCCTGCCCTCCATTTCTGCCCAATCCCCCTTCTCCATCCGGCGCTCCCGTTTCGAAAACTGCCCGCGCATTGCCCACGTTTCGCCTCGGCGGCCCGCTGCATTGCCGTCCCTGTATCGGATTTTGCTGCGCTAGAACATCGACGCCCCTACCTCATTCACGCGAAACATATACAGCGCTGCGCTCTGCTATATCTCCAAGCATAGTTGCTCGCAATGTATAAAGCGTCTCTGTCCCCCGCACCCCGGATCATGGCCTTTGCTGCCAGACCGTCAAGACTCCCTACTTCCGTCGTCTCTCCTGCGCTGGCGCATCACCTCTCATCCACCTGCTGCTGCTCGTCAACACCACGTCACCTCACCACAACCGCCGTCGCTTCTGCTGCTGCACAAGCAACAACAACCATGTCGGCTCATTACCCCATCGACTCGTCGGCCTCCGACGCCTCCACCCAACGCTCCATGTCACCTTCTCCTGTCCCCTCCACCCACACATCTCGCACATCCCTTTCCCTCTCCTCATCCAGACGCTCTCGTTCTCCTACCCACAGGTTTACTAACCGTAATCCCATGGCTGCAGTCAACGTAGCTGCCATTCAAGAAGCAATGAAGATGGCCGCTCTCGATCAACATAGGGGCTATGCCCAAGACCACTACGGTGAGGTCAAGCAGGACCAGGCCACCGAGTACGTCGACCAAGGCCACGCCGCTGGCTACCAGGTCCTCCGTGAGCCTCTCTGGAACAAGGGTCTGTCCTTTACGCCCGAGGAGCGCATCGCCAAGAACCTCACTGGCCTCATCCCCCACGCCATGGAGTCTCTCCAGACACAGTCTCTCCGCGCCATGAAGATGATTGAGTCTCGTCAAACAAATATCGACAAGTACCTCTACCTCTCTGGCGTCAAGAGCCAAAATGTCGATCTCTTCTACCGCCTCCTCATGGACAACATCCGCGACCTCATGCCTCTTGTATACACCCCCACCATTGGTGATGTCTGCCTCCAATACTCCACCCTCTACACTCGCCCCGAGGCTCTCTACATCTCCATCAAGCAGCGCCGCTCTATTCGCACCATGCTCCGTAACTGGCCCTGCAACAACCCGGAGATTTGCGTCGTCACTGATGGATCTCGTATTCTCGGTCTCGGCGATCTCGGTGTAAATGGTGTTGGTATTTCTGTAAGTTTGACTCGTTCGGTTTCGATCGTAATCTGTCCGCTCTGCTAACCCCGTTGAAGATTGGCAAGCTGTCTCTGTACACTGCTGCCGCTGGTATCCACCCAGACAAGACCCTTCCTATTGTCCTTGACTGCGGTACTGACAACGAGACCAACCTCAAGGATCCCCTGTACCTCGGTCTCCGTCAGAAGCGTGTCCCCGTAAGCGTCCAGCAAGAGTTCATGGATGAGTTCATGGAAGCCGTCAAGGAGGTCTATCCCAACATGGTTGTCCAATTTGAGGACTTTGAGAGTGAAAAGGCGTTCCGCTACCTTGACCGTTACCGCAACACACACCGTTGCTTCAACGATGACATCCAGGGAACTGGTGCTGTCGTCCTTGGTGGCTACATTGGCGCCGTCAACCTGTCCGGTGTCCCTCTTGACGAGCAGCGTCTCGTCTTCATGGGTGCTGGCTCTGCTGGTGTCGGTGTCGCCAAGCAGCTCGTAGAGTACTATACCAAGCGTGGACTTAGCGAGGCTGAGGCCCGCGACAAGTTCTGGCTCGTTGATACCAAGGGTCTTGTCACTGCTGACCGTGGTGACAACCTGGCTGACCACAAGAAGTACTTTGCTCGTACCGACAACGACGGCAAGCAGTACAAGTCTCTTGAGGAGGTCATTGCCTACGTCAAGCCCAGTGCTCTCGTTGGCTTGACCGCCACTTTTGGTGTCTTCACTGAGCCCGTCATCCGCGCTCTCAAGTACTCCGTTGATGCTGGCGGTCCTAACCGTCGCCCCATCCTCTTCCCCCTCAGCAACCCTCTAACCAAGGCCGAATGCACATTTGAGCAGGCTGTCAAGTGGACTGAGGGTACCGTCATCTTTGCTTCTGGTTCTCCCTTCAGCCAGCTCACCATTGACGACGTCACCTACTTCCCCAACCAGGGTAACAACGTGTACGTTTTCCCTGGTCTGGGTCTCGGTGCCATCTTGGCCAAGGCTACTCGCGTCACCGACGAGATGGTCTACACCTCTGCCTCTGCCCTTGCCGGCTCTCTCAACGCTGATGAGATTGCTAAGGGCCTCATCTACCCCCGCATTGAGCGTGTTCGCGAGGCCAGCATCATTGTTGCTCGCGAAGTCATGAAGACAGCTCGTCGTGAAGGTGTCTCAACCCTGCCCGAGTCCCTGTGGAACGAGTGGGAGGAGTGGGGTGACGTTGCCCTGACCTCATATATCAACAAGCAGATCTATGATCCCAAGAGCTTCAGTGATATCGTTGCCAGCCATCTGTAATTGCATACCCTGTTTGGGTTGCACCCATGCCTCATAAGGCATCTGGGATCATAAAAAAAACCATCAATCCTGATGCGGCGTTGGAATTTTGCGTTGTCTGCATATTTAGCCTTTTGTTGGAAGCATTCATCTGGTTGATGCCAGCCAGAGAGATGGAGCTTGACATTCTTTTCTCTTCTTTGTCGTCATGTCGTTGTGCCGTTTCTGAATGGCGTATAGTTGTTTTCCAGAGTAGATCTCAAAGCATGAGCCCTGAGTGGCCTTAATATTTTCAAGCTGCCTCTTTTCATGAAAGCGTGACTTTGTTTCATCTTGATGCTCTAAAGGCCATTGCTGAACATAATGAGTCTGGTGTGATTTCAATGAGAGAACTCATTCAGTAGCCAGCCATTGTGGTGACGAGCAAGCGTGTCGCTCCCGTGACAAGGTGGATATGTCGTCTCTCAAGCAGTCCGTAGGTAGGCAGGGTGTTGGGAAAATAAGTCCCAAGCGAATATCAACACGCTTTTATAACTGAAATTGGCGCAGAGGAACAAAAGAACTGCTGGAAATGGTGAAGATGAGAGAAATGAAGGGGTTGCAAGAAATGTTGAGGAGTAGAAGTGAGGAGGGGGAAGCCATCGGCACAGGCTACCTGCGGCTTCTCGGAAAACGAGAGGACATGGTCGGCTCTCCGCCTCCAGCCGAGATTGCGTGTACCGAGCCAAGGCTAGTGTAACAAAACAGTATTCACTTGCGAAAAGAGTTTATAAAGCGAGGATTAGAAACTTGGATCATTTTCTAAAAATCAATTTTGTAGTAATGGGGCGCAAGGTCACTGATGGCTCGATGGTCGGCAGAGCCGCACGGTGAGATCTAGCAGCCCTCCAATTGCGCGTGGAGATCTATGTTGCCTCACTAGCCTGCTCCGCTTACAGAGACCCGCTATACAGCGTTAGCCAAGCTTAATAGCGCCGGTATAGGACATCGGAGTGAATATATACATGTCTAAGAGCCGAGTTGGGCTGTGAATAAGACCTAAGCTAAAGCTTAGGTCGCTGTTGCTAAGCCTGAGCGTGGCATTGAGCTGAACTACTGCTGCTTCACCCACACTCATGTTTCAGTTACTATTTCTGCCACAGTTTCTTCTCGTCGTAAGGGGAGACGATGTTTCTGGACATTTGACATTCCAAGAGATGATTTAAGTTAAAAGAGGAACAACTTCAATCTCTTGGTCTTGGCAATCCCTATGCGAACTTGCTGTAGGCGATGTAGTGATGGCGTCGATGGGGCAAAGTGGGCGATATAGGGTGGGCAAACAAGCTGTGCTAGCTTTCAGACAACCTGGATATTAATAAATCATGAGCAGAATATATGGCAACGGAATGTACAGAGGCTCATAACGCTCAGAGGATCGCATCATGGCAAATTGTAACAGGGGCTGACATCGTCCACTTAACTTCGAGGGAAAGGTATCACAATGTCTCTAGCCGCATCTCACTTCTTGATAGAAGTACACCTACTTTGAGAGATGAAATTTATTTCCCCAAACGTGATGTGAGGAATCTACCGTACCAACCATCTTCCCTTTACCCAATATATTCATCCTTGTTTTTATTGGCTGCCAGGTTCAGGAGATTTGCCAAAAGGCCGGCAGCAGCGGACCGTTGTAGCCGCACCTCTCCGCAAGAGTCGGGATATGCCGCCCCAGGCTCATAAAGTCCGATAGGCGGGGGAGGGGCGATGTTGTTTGTCTGCAGTTGGTGTGGGAGGGGTGTAATAATATTGTTGGGCTAAAGTTTGAGCCTTTTAACTACCGTGATGTGCAAAAACGCCTATATGCACGAAAGGGATAACTAGGATTGATTCTCCGAGAGCGGCATAGACAACTCTTCGTCGTCTGATATGTTGTGCGGATCCGCGGCGTTAGGCAGGTAATAAGAACAAAGCACCTTTGACACCAAATAGCAGGAATTGTATACCACGGTGAATGCTCTTACAAAATCGACCCACCCTCCACAAAGCGAGTCCTCAAGAAACAAAAAAAAGACGCAAAATCAAAACAAGTAAAATGCGGCTCTTGATCGCACGACCAAGTAGTTCAGCGTAGCGTTGCGCTGCAGCTGCCAACATCCACTGCCGCTAGCGATGCCGCAGACCTGCCGGGGTGGAGCCCCAGTCTTGCAACGCACCATGCAACCAACCAGCAGCTCGGCGCGCCGGGGACCGGTTCGGAGCGTGCGGCGTTAATACCGAGCATGCATAACAGACAGCGGGCGTAGGGCACGAGGTCTTCTGGAATATTTCTAGACGCAGAAAAGGGATGCTTAACAGCGATGTAATAATGCCCAAAGAAAGAAAGCCTGCATTTCTTAAGAGCGGGCGGGCCTATAGCATATTGCAGCAGCACGGTCCCTGCCCCAACATCACGGTGACCAGTTAAACGTCCGGCGGGATGATCGGGGATTGCGGGCTCCACAGCGCTGCCGTTAAAGCTCGCCGCCTCTTGTGCGGTACCGCAGAAACAGGAGGGAGGGACCCAATGCGTTCGGAAGCGAAAGCCCGGATTTGCTTGTCACGGGTCAGTTTGCGTGGTTTTCCGGACCACCCTCGCCTACGCCTTATTTTGGTCGGCTTTGTTATTGGTTGTTGTTGCGCTGGCAGGCAGGTCACAGGGAGTGCGGTGCATTTGCCTGATGATGCAGACAGAAACGCCAGGCAGGTAAGAAAAATTCAATACATGCACACGACCAAAACCAATGCTTTAGCGTGCTACGGATGGCGTATGAAGCTAGCCAGAAAACAACAACGCCAGGGCTTTTATAGTATGCGTGATCGGTGTATGCTACAGTAGCTTGCCCCCCTCCTCCTGGGTCCCGCATCAGATGAACAATCAGAACAGAAAATTTGCACCTTGGTACGCAACGCATGAGCGTGATGGTGGCTCTAGCGTCCGTTTCACAGACAGACACCTTGGCCCTGTAAGATTAGGCATGGCGACGCACAGGGCGGAGATGTGCTCTGATCGTCTCACGGCAGCTACCAAACTGTGGGCGTCCTATCCACAATCACAAGCCAAACCACCTCCCGCTGTCAGAGGAGCGCTGCCCCAACAAAGAGAGGAGTAATGCCCAGCCCCAGGCGAAACGAGGTGGGTATTAGGATAACTAAAAATAAGAATAGAAAAAAGGAGAAAAAAGAGGTGGAGGATCGTCATTGACTAAATGCAAAGCGTGGATTGGCTGCAGGCAGGCTGGGTTGGTGGTTGGTGTACGATGCACGCTGGTAGATGGACAGCGTGCAGACGCTGTCAGGAACATGGTCCAGGGATTAGAATGATACTAGCGATGCTAGTACTGTAGAAGGAGGTCTAGGCGCGGAATGGACGCCGCATTATGCTGCCGTCTATGACGAAAGCGAATTGGGTTTATAGTGTGGCTCGCTAGTTTGTTAGCTAGGTAGCTGCAGACAGCGGCAAGTCTAGGTCGAGGGAGGTAGTCGAGTGAATGTCGTCACACGCACACTCTTTTTTGTTTTTGTCAAGTAGATGGCTTTTCAGGTTCCACGTCTTCTCGACTAAATAGCTACTTCATAATGTAGACTACATGTGCACGCATGCTTGGACGCACCGGCACCGGAGTGCTCGCTCTCATGTCCCCATCCAGACAACTTTTTTTTTTGGTGCTTTCCGTCCCTCAGCGCCCTTCCAGCGGGGGATTTAGCGCCGTTCTCCAGCTTTTTCACTTGCGGTGGCTTTTTCCCCACCATTCCATGGCCCCGGAAAGACAGAGCGCTAGCTAGTTTTTGCGCCACTGTCCGCTACTGTACTCCCCTAAAAGGCTAACCACGCCAGGCGAGCGATATGCTTGCCATCCCGCGTAGCACCAAGTCAGGCAATGGTGTGGTGGTGGTGTTGGTGTGCGGACGATGCGCTAAACTAAACAGGAAATTCCATTCCCATGGGGCGTAGCGGCGCTGGAGCACCGCCGTCCGCGGGCTTTCCGCTGACAAAAACCACAGCACCCACTGCGTGTCCAGCTTCGTTCCGCTGGCTTTGCTCCCCTGTAATTACTGTAGCGCGCTCTGAGGACTTTGCCCCTCCGCAGCAGTGGCCGCCCGCCCACCCCCCCTGTAGCCCCAGCGAGCGGGCTGCTGGCTGCCCAGCCCCAGTTGGCATGAAAGAGGGACATGACCATCGTCTGGGGGAGGTTTGTGTGTAGAATCCGTTTTTTTTATTTTGTTTGAAGCCCATTGGTTGTAGTGCATGTGGAGGCTACTTCTTTTTTATTTATTTTATTTCTCTATTTCTTTTTCTTCCCCCTTGTAGTTTCCCCAGAATAAAACAGCACGTCCCCCCCGTCATCTACCAGCCAGCACCTTTGCGGCCAAACCATCGAATCCCTACTCTGAACTCCGGCTTCCTTTTTGCTTCTTTGCAAGCTTCCTTGGAATTTTCCCCTGCCATTGTTTGGTAGCATCGCAACGATACACAGACGCAATCATCATCATCAGCGTGTGTCCTTGTCAGACTGGGCTCTACTGCTGCGCTTACTTCCATCATCTTACATCCTGCCGCTCAACCGCACCCTGGCCGCATCCAGCTTACAAGCGAAGAGCCACTTTTTAGTCAGTTGACAGCTTTGCCCGCCAAATTGCTCGTCGACTTGCCCTCTTTCTTCTGCAACGAGCAAAAAACAAAAAAGACGATTTGTGTCTCTTACTGCTGCGGCTGCTCGCGAATCGCCCTAGAGAATTTTACAGCTCGAACCATTTAGACCTGAAACACCATTCCAGCACACAACGGCGGCGCACGTCACAGGGCATCACACAGATCGGGGACGAGGGAGAAACAACAAGCCCTCTGTCCATTCTTTAACAGGACCCAATCCATACCCCGCGAAGGGTTCAACACATACACACACAACTGAGCATCTCTGCAAGTTCAACAGCAGCGACAGACCAAAATGTCCGAATCATCGGCTTCGTCCCCCAACATGGACGATCTGGGCATGTCGCCCTCACCACCTCCCGACGCCCACGACGGCACAAAGAACGACTCCAAGAAACGACCCTCACCATCTGGCGAATCGGGCCAGCCACAGAAAATCACAAAGCGCAGAGCTGCCAGAGCTTGCGTCTCGTGTCGAGCGCGAAAGGTCCGCTGCGACGTGGTCGAGGGAGCTCCCTGCGGAAACTGCCGCTGGGATAATGTCGAGGTATGTGTTCTACATCTTTTCAGTTGGATCATGACCATATGATTGGCTTGTCTTTTTTGGGGACGCGAAATTGCCCTTTGTGGTTTTTTTTGTGTCGCCCTTACAAAAAAAAAGAAGAGACAAGCTATGTCGATTTGGCATGTGAAGTACCCCAACTACACCAGGTCCCCCCGCCTTGTGAGGAGAAGCGCAAGCTAACGATGACGCGTATCACAGTGCATTGTGCAAGAGAGCCGACGGCGCAAGTAAGTCTTATTGTTGAACCGCTTCCGTTTCGATCTTTCCAGATTCCCACTTTCCCAGAAACCCGCTTGGCCAACCCAACCCCCTCATGGGATATGCTCCAAGGGGGCATGGCGCATGTGTGTGGGTTGGGATACCTTGCCTTCCCCGTGGGCCTGCAGGCAGAGCATCTGGCTCTAGCCCCAAAACGGGCAAGCCTGATTTTTTTATTCGTTGTCTTTTTTTCTTTCTCCAGTCTCCCCTTATTGGCCCATGTTTATATTGGCTTAATGTTGGGGGAATCGAGGGGAACGGGACACGGGGAAATCGGGCGGTCCTGGAAAGTCCGGCGAGTGCTGGGCAAGTTCCGTGACCACCGTTGAGCAGCAACTGCAGCAGCTATAGCAGCGGTGTGTCGATTTACCCAATGCTACGTCACTACAACTGTCTTACACTGTCGAGTTTGACAGCGGCAGCGACGACCGCATATTCTACGATTTTGAGTTTCTGGCCATGACGTTTTCTCGAGCCCAGTTCCGCTGACACGCATTCTTTTCCGTCTTCCAGAAAGAACCCTCCCACAACCAATGGTGTGGGACCCACTTCACAAGCCGAGGCCCAGATCCGCTGCAAGACCACCTCTGCGGCCAGCAGCAGCAGCATCAATGCCAATTCCGGGGCCCCGATGCCAAACAGAACAAGCAGTGTGTCGAGCAGCATTATCGATCCGCGCAGGACGAGCAGCGGCTCTGTCTTGTCGTCTGCGACAACAATGGTGGATGCAGACGGCCGTCGTGCTAGTGTGCTCCCCAATGCCAACTGCGTCACCGATTCTCACGTCCCGCACATGATTTGTAAGTATTACTTTATTTTAGTTTTTTCTGCTTCACTTTCAGTGGCTCCCCTTTTCTCCTATACCCCTCTTTTGACTTTCTCCCTGGCTTTATGGAGCGCGTGGTCCGCCATCAGCCCATGGCCAATTTGTTTGATATTTCTTCATTCCCCCGTTGCTCCGCGTCCCGATTTGGCAGGTCGCCCCACATTCACAAGTCACGAGCACCAGCGCTCTCATTCACATGTGAAAAGATGGTTTCACTGGGCTTGTCACATCTCGACTCAGCGCCAGAAACAGAAAAAAAAAAATAGGGACTAGGGTGTCATGGCAAGCGAATTAGCGACCCCGCCGATCAGCTTGTCATTTCGCAGTCTTGAATCATTGGCTATTTTGTTGGGGAGAAAGAAGCATGGATCCATACGAATGAATGCAGACGTCAGCCCTCACTAACACGATGATGATGCCTGTTTAGATCAACGGACTTCCACCCGCCCCGAACCACCCGCCGCTCCGACGCTCAAGACGGCCACCAAGGCAACTAACATTACCGCCACTAACACGGCCACATGGCTCGATGCCACATCTACCGTCAACCCTACGCGCCTCTTTGGCGGCGACGCACGCACACTGCAGTTCCTCAATGGCCTCGACGATGCGCATGACGACACGCCGGCAGCCTTACCTGGCTTTTTGAGACCGCTGCCAACAAAGATTGCGTCCGAGGATGTCTCGTACTTGCATGCAAAGGGCTCGCTCACGCTACCCTCCTTTACGCTGCAGAATGCGCTCATCCAAGCCTACATTGAATATGTGCACCCTTACATGCCACTGATGGACCTTCATCCGTTCCTCACCATTGTCAACAACCGCGATGGCTTTAGTGGGCAGATCAGCCTGCTGCTCTACCATGCCGTCATGTTCTCGGCAACCGCCTTTGTGGACATGAAGCATCTCCGCGAAGCTGGTTACACGACCCGCAAGGCCGCCAGAAAGGCATTCTTCCAAAAGACTAGAGTACGTATTCCTTTTTTATTATTATTCCGGCATTTCTTTTTTGGCTTGCCTTCCAATCGGCACATAGCAAGCTCATTCCCGCGTCTTGGCTCTCTTCAGCCCCCATCGATGCTCCACTAGCTTTTGCTATGCAGCACCCCACGTTGCCAGCCTACAAGCAAGGCTCCATTTTCTCAACCAGTTTCACATGCTAACGCCGCGCCCACTTACAGCTGCTCTATGATTTTGACTACGAATCCGACCGCCTGGTCCTGGTCCAGTCGCTTATGCTGATGACGTACTGGTACGAGACCCCTGATGACCAGAAAGACACCTGGCACTGGATGGGCGTCGCCATCTCGCTGGCACACACTATTGGCCTGCACCGGAACCCCGGGGCAACTGGCATGGCCCCTGCCAAGCAGAAGCTCTGGAAGCGTATTTGGTGGTCGTGCTTTATGCGAGATCGCCTCATCGCTCTGGGCATGCGCCGCCCTACGCGTATCAAGGATGAGGACTTTGATGTGCCTATGCTTGTTGAGTCCGACTTTGAGATTTTGCCGCTGTCGGACAGCAACTCGGTTGTACCACCAGAATGCATTGTTATGCGAGATGTCGCCATGCAGCGCGAGCTGGCCGTCATGTGTATCGCCAAGGCTAAGCTCTGCGTGTGCATCAGCCATATGCTCAAGACGCAGTACTCGGTGCTCATCCGCGACAACATGAAGCCTGAAAACACTACAAACAGCACCATGATGCTCTTCCCCAACAAGACCATGGAAAATGCTGGAGCCGTAGGCACCATTGATGGTGAACTCCGCGAGTGGTCCGAGACACTCCCTGCCTTGTGCCACTACAGCCCTATTACACAAGCCGAGATCAACGCCGGTCGCTCGACGCTGGCCGTGCAGCGAACGCTGTTGCACATGGTGTACCAGACCACTGTTTCGGCGCTGCACCGTCCTCAGTTCCTCCCATCATCGCCGATGCAGACCCCCGTTGCATCGAGACAGGTCCAAGACGTTTCACGCACCAAGGTCCGCAACGCTGCCATGCAAATCACACGCATGGCATCCGACTTGCACAACCACCGCCTGGAGAGATATCTGCCCACGACTGGTGTTACTGTCATTCTGCCAGCAATGATTATCCACCTTTTGGAAATGAAGAACCCCGAGTCGGATGCCCGCGAGCGTGCCACTTTCGGTTTCCGCCAGTGCATGCGTGTCATGGAGAAGCTCCGCGAGATTTACTCTGCCGCTGACTACGCCACGGGCTTTTTGGACGCTGCCCTCCGCAAGGCCGCTATTGATGTGCAAAACGCCAACGCGCCGGCTGCCATGAAGAACAGCCCCTTGACTTTTGTGCAGACGCCGCCTCCCGAGATGAACATCTCTGGTATTAGTGGCACGGATGCCATGCTCACAGACAAGACACAGGGCCTAATGTCATTTTCCAAGGCTACTCCTCGCCAGACTATTTCTGCCCCGGCCCTCAGCCTGGCCACAGCCACCACTACCACACCTCCCCAAGCCGACGAGCTCACGCCTAGCGCTAGCGGTGCATCCGAGTCTACTCCTATGGAAGCCGAGCCCATGGATATGGACTTTATGCAGGGCCATGACGAGTTTGATTGGAACGCCGTTGCTGGTACTGACTTTGACGTGGACCAGTTCCTCCAGTTCCCTGCTGAAGGTGTGACCAATGTCGAAGATGACTTGATGGCTGGTCTTGACCCCGCGATGCTCGCTGTCGACGAGCCCGCGTTGACTGTCACAGTGTAAACGTCAGTTAACACTATGAATTTGTTTTGAATTTTTAATATTGTAGGATTGCAAAATGGGATACATGGGATTTTTTATCGGCGTTTTCTTGGAGTTTTTGCTGGAAAAATACCCACGAATGATGGGAAAATGGGATGCTTTGGTTGAAATGACGACGATATATATTGGATAGCCGTGACGAGAATGGACGAGCATAACAGATGACTTTTTTTTATTATTCTTTAAAAGAAAATACATTCTTACCATTTACATACCTTTTTTTTGGTGGTGACGTGCTTTGTACTTTTCTTCGTTTAATTGGTGCAGGGTCCTGATATGCATGTAATTAGACGTCTCGACGCACCACAGCCAATCCCGCTGGTGGCAAGCCCCCTTGCGTGGTGCGGTTATGCAAGATGCATCGTTCCGCAGCGCAAGATTTTATGCACGACAGCGCCAAACAAAAGAAGAAGAAAAAGAGCGATCGACCACTGCGGAACGAGGATATCTCCGATCTGTTCTTTTGCGTAGCGAAATAGAGTAGAGTCGCACTGGCAGATGGCTGACAGCGCAAGCACTACAAGGACGTAAAGTACTGTACAGTACACCTGTAGAGTAGCAGCCGCTGGAAGCGCACCTGGAAAATGGAAGAAGAGAAAGGCTGGGAACAGGGGCCACCGTTGTGAAAATGGTGCTGTAGCGCTGGGTGGTGCGACTGCGACTCGACTTCGGGAACAGCGAAGGGGACGCTGGTAAAGGTAAAGGAAAAGCAGAGTGAGTGGACAGGGGGGTTTGAGAAGGCCACTATAAGTTTGGGAATTAACGCATGATGATGCTGATGATGATGCCCACAAGGGTGCTGCTCTTGGCCTGAGTAAGAGTAAGTAAACAAAAGAAGTCATCCACTGTCACAGCTTACACACAGCTTAGAAGCGAGAAATGATACAAACGGTGTTTCAGATGGAATCGGGAAGTTTGGTTCCTTTGTGCTATTTTTTTTTTTCCTCCCTTTGAATATCGCAACGCGGGGTGTGTATGCACTGACCACTACGAAATAATGTAGGAAGAAGAAGATCCTGGAGAGAGAGATGCGTTCGCTGGGTTACGTCCTTGTTTGGGCCCGTAGCATCCCCCGCGTGTCCGTGTTGCTTTAATGCCTACACTGCACTGCACCACAAGTCACGCCGCCACCTGATTTCGCGGTAGCAGTGACATGTTGGCCCGGCCTCCCCTCTTTCTTGACCCCTGGCCCAAGCGTTATTGGCCGCCACGACGCGTCTTTTGATGCTTCTTCTTTCGACAGCAGCAGCCTGCTTTTATTTACTTTTTCGCTTTTCCAAACAACCGCCTTTCCAACCACTCGTTTTTTAATTTGGTCAAGGAGGACACGGTTTGGAAGACTGTTACTTTCGTTACTTTTGTTTCATTTATTGCTGCATTCATTTCATCTAATTTTCCTTTTCTTGTCCTTTTTTTCACACTTCTCATTCTTTTGCATCTCTTCTTTGCTCGCATTTTGCAGTTAACAGCTCACACTCAGATCGAATAACCCGAGACATCCTGTCTGACCAACAACATCATACAAAAAATCAAACCGTTTTTTTTAATTCGTTCCCGCAAGACACCAATCCACACACGCGAGACATTTTAGTTTGCTCAAACTTTCCGAAAATTTACAAACAACGGGGACGTGTCTCACTTTGCCCACCCACTCGCCCACCAAGACGCTAGACAATACCCGCCAAAAGGCTGCGTCTGTAGCTTCCGCTTCAGCTTTTCGACCGGGATTTGCTTTGTTGGCCTTCTCAGACACGCCTCTCTGCTCTCATTTGCGCCATAATCGAGACGTCCGGTTGCGCGACGAGCTCACTCCAGCGCCTATCGGTTGCTCAGGAGGCTTTCACGCGCACGGCACACCAGCAACCCCCCCTTTTGGGCTTCCCCTCTTTTGAAAGCGCGATTTGATCAGGACAACTTGTGGTTAGTCTCTTTTTTTGTTGTTATTGGCAGATAGAGCTCGGAAACCCGACTTGTTGCGCGAGTTTGGCACTGCAACAGCGACACTACGGAAAAAAAGGTATAGCAGACTATGCCTTCGGTCGAAAGCGTATATACATTCACGTTCGGATTCCAAAGATAGAATCTTTGCTTCAACATATCTTTATACACAGCAGCCATGGAGAACAGGCCGACATTACTCAAGCCCCAGCGACATTCGCTCGGGCACTCACCTACACGACAGAAGCACTTGTCCATGTCGGATGACTTGCTTGGCCAGCTGGGCCCGGCTTCCGCCATGGAGCTGCTTCTTGCGCCGTCGGGTGCTGTTAAAGGCTGCATGGATGGAGCGTCGCAGGCAGAGCGCGAGTTTGCCATGCGCACAGCTGTGGCATCACAGCGAATAAGCGAATGGTTGGAGGAACTACAAAGTTGGAACTGGCCGGAAGAAGGCGGCGAAGAGGGGTTCCAACCAGGAGCAGCACACTCAGAGACAAGCCGCAAGCTGTTTGCTTCGGGGACACAGACTGCTACAGAGGGGCAAGGACAGCAGTACATGGGCAGCTTGCTTGCTCAAGACGTTGCTCGATACCTATGGAGGATAGACGAGATCCAGCATGGTCTCAACGATTTGGAGTTGGAGGACATTAAGGCGCATATTCTTACACACCACATTGTTCCAGTACCAAGACCAGGAACGCCAGGATCAGATCGGAGCCGCCACTACACGAGGATGGACGATTTGTCGGCAATTGTTACCGCCATTGTCGTACAGTCGCTCCCCAACTTGGCCAAATTGACGGCGTTGATTCACGCCTGGACAATGAGACTGGCCGTCCTTCCCCAGATCCCAGCTATGCTTACATCTCTTCAAGAAGCCGAAACGACCCTCGAAGCGGCTTGGGAGGCGGTCATGGCCTTTTCAGAGGAGCTTGCCAAGTATAATGAAGCAAATGGACAGCTTGACTGGGAGCAGTCACTAACACGCGAGTCGTTTGCGGTCATGAAGAAGAGCCTCTCTAAGAAGGTGGCTAAGCCCGGAAAGGCCCTGGACTACATGCTGGATTGCTTGGAGGGTCTGGATGACACTGTGCCAGAGGAGTGGCTTGATCGTATGGAGTCTGCAGAACACAGCTATGGCGATTGGGTGGTTGTAGGCGAGCGCAAGCTTCGCGAGGCGGAGTGGGCAAGAAACCTGCAGCGCACAGAGAAGCCCGCCATTGACCAATCACAACAGCAGCAGGACGACCTAGCAAACAGACATAGCTTGGAGGCAATCGACAACGCTGCCAAGAATGCACACCAGATTCTACAGCAGCAGCAAGAAGAGCTTACAAGGAGGTCATCATTTGTTGAGGCAGGATCGGCCGTGGATGCGCTGGGTATCGAGCAGCCTGCCACGCCTAGCATGTCCAAGGCATGGTTGCTTGACGAGGATACCTTTGATGGCACCATGAGTCCCGTTCACGAAGCAGACGACGAAGAGGAGCCTGGTCTGCCTCCCCTCAACGATACCGAACGACTCGACAGCGACGACCTTCTCAACGACACCGTTCTCCATGGAGCCTCCAGTCATTTTGGCGGTCTTTCCAGCGACATGCCCGAAGTGTCGGGTTCGCCAGCTGCTCGCGGACCTGTCCGGGAGCTTCAGTACGTTAGCCAAAGCCCGCCCAGTTCACCCCCCACGCTTGACCACGGCATCGACGATGACTCGCCCATGATGCTTCTCGACAGTCCATCCTTTTCCTCGGCACCCGACTACGACGACACTGTCTTTACCAAGAGCATAGCCGATGGCGCCGACGGCTCCTTCACCGAGGACTTTGACGACTCCTACTCTGTTTCCGAACTCAGCACCACCAAGCTGCGCCGTGAAAGCGTTGGTGAGCAGCACCTGCGCCAGCAAATCAGTAACATCATCTCTTCCATCCCCGCCAAAATCAAGCTCTCTTCCGAACCCACCAAGGAAATCAACCTCAACCCACCAGACTTGCAGCTTCCGCGACTCAAGAAGAAATCCTCCAAGGAACCCTTCCGCCGTAACGCCTCTGGCCTCTCTTCCCGCACCGTCACTCCCTCATTCACCCTCTCACCCGCCAAGACCACACGCCCTCGCCAGTCACGGGGCCAGCAGGAGATCAAGGTTTACCATCTCTCTCGATCTACTGGCGAAGCCCCCATTAAGCTGTTTATCCGCTGCGTAGGCGAAAACGGAGAACGTGTCATGGTTCGTGTCGGTGGAGGTTGGGCCGATCTTAGCGAGTATCTGAAGGAGTATGCTACCCACCACGGCCGCCGCTCTGGACGCGGTGACGAAACCACAGTCGAGATCCGTGATCTGCCCCAGAACGGTCTACTCCGCCTTGCTTCCAAGGAGCCCGAATCAGCACCAACCAGCAGACCAGGTTCGGCTGCCTCACAAGCCGTTGCCCCCAGCACGCCTCTCCAAGTCCGCAAGCTGCGCAAGGGCATGGGTGTTCTGGGCAATGATATCCCACGCCTTCAACCTAGAACACCTGCTCTCCGCGAGCGCGAAGGAACCCCAGCTTCCGAAGACTCTACACGTTCCAGATCAAGCTCACGCCTGAGCTGGACGGAAGAAGATAGCTCCTTTTTGGGGCTTGCCGGTCCCTCTGGCCGCAGGCTCGAGATGAGCGAGGAGAGTAAAGCGTGGGTCGAGACCGTCAAGCAAAAGGTGCGCATTGCCAGCGGCGAGCATAAGCCACCAACGGAAGAAAAGGGCCGCTTTGGCGACCTGGGCAAAGTTGGCGGCACGAAGCGCCTCTTTCGCAAGGCTGGTGAGGCAAGTGCCAGAAGGTCGTAGACCTTTGAGTGATGATGACAAGTTACGGATTTAGAAGCAGCGGTAGCAGAATTATTATTCTTACTTATTATGGATGGGAGCCAATGCTTTGGGTCGGTGTCATTCTTATTGTTTTAGGAGGGGGACTGCTAGGGATGCCCTCTGTTTATTATACCTTTGGAACATACGGTACATTAGTTGGTCTATGCATAGCATATTATGAATGCACATTCTTATTCACTCTTTTGAACAAGCACTTTTCTGAATGTCATGTAGCTTGTTTTGTTATTTTTTGGATTGCGTCGTAAAATCATGTCTGTTATGCATGCAGAACCCCCCAACCAATACTCGTCTCTTTTTTGTTTCCCAGCCCCATGCAACAAAACTACTTGTATATACATGCCATGTATTCATTCATCCCAATGCATAAAACAAAATCACATTTTCTTTTTAGTCCTCGTGCAAGTCGACCTTGGCGCGGTTAAGCTTCTTGCTCTTGCCGTGTGTCGAGTTGCCCTTGAAGTGCTTCTTGCTCGACACAACAGCCGCGTCCTTGGGATCGATGCCGTTCTCAATTGCGCGGACAGTGCGTGCCTTGCGGCCCGTCAGGAGACGGCCACCTTCAGAGGCAACAGCAGCTTCGGCGGCAGCGTCGATTTGGCCCTGTTGGGTGTACTTGTAGTTGAAGGGGCGTGAGACGTGGCCGGCAACGTTCTTCGGTGTGAAGAAGGTCTTGTCGAGCTTGGCGGACTTGGCGGACTTGGGACCAGTGGGAAGTGGGATGAAGTCGGTAGAGGCAGAGGCCGAGGCGCCCGCCTCGTTCTCAGCAAGAGTGAGGTTCTCGAGCGCCAGGCGGCGCTTCTCGGGGAGGTGGGCGCTGTCGTAGAGTTCGACGTTGAAGCCGTTGGTGTCTTCGATGCCAGGGGGCGGCGCGACGTACAGCAGTTTGCCGTTGACGTAGTCCTTGAGGATGTAGCGGGCAGCACGGGCTTGGTCGGGCTGGCCGAGACCTTGGGTCTTGTAGCCACGGGCGTTGGCGTAGGCGCGGAGGACTTCTTCGGCGGTGGGTGTGCCGGTGCCGCCTTCTTCCAGAGGGCGCACCTTGATCTGAATACCGTAGATGGCCTCGAGGAAGCGCTGGGGGATGCGGGCGGCGACGAGCCCGACGGGGCCGGTGTGCTCGCGCATCTGGTCAATGGGCAGCACACCGTTGCAGACGAGGTCGGCCTTGGTTGTGGCAAAGTTGGGGAACACGAGACCGGGGCAATCGCAGAGAATCACGCGCTCGGAGAGGTGGATGGTCTGGAAGTGCTTCGTCTTACCGGGCGTGGAGGAGACGGAGACCTTGGTGGCGCCGATGAGGGCGTTGATGGTGGATGATTTACCGACGTTGGGGTAGCCGACGAGACCGACTTGCAGCTTCTCGGAGGAGCCGCCGCGGGGGACTTGGCGCAGGAAGATGCCCTCGAGTTCTTCGACGGTGAGGATTTCGGTGTCATCGCGGGTGAGTTCGGCGCCGCCAGACTCTTCGGGCTCGGAGTCATCCTCGGACTCGTCCTCTTCTTCTTCGTCTTCTTCAGAGTCGTACTCGTCAGAGACTTGCTGCTTGGCCTTCTTGCCCTTCTTCTTCTGTGATGGTGGAGGCTGGAAAGCGTCTTGCTGGGCTGCCTCTTCTTCTTCACGGTCGCGTGCCTCGTTCATCTCCTTGGCGATTTGTGCGGAGAAGAACTTGAAGGCAATACCGGCCTTCTTGAGGTAGTCGGCCCAGGCACGGCGCTGCTTTGTCGTCATCATATCGGCCTTGTTAATGAGGAGCAGGTTCTCCTTCTTGGGATCGAGCTCCTTGACGTAGCTGTCCAGATCGGCAGAGCGGAAGAGGAGGGGATTACGGGCGTCGACAATCTGGACAATGAGGTCGGAACGCTCGATAACTCGCCACAGCTGGCGCCAGACTTCGAGGTTGCGTTCGAACGGGGTCATGAGGAGATCGTTATCTTCTTGCAGCTCGGCCAGCGAACGGCGCCACGCCATAAAGGCTTCACGCTCGCGCATGTCAAGCTGCTCTGCGGTTGTGGTGGCATCCCACTTTGGTCTGCGGGGTACGGCGAGGCGGTCCTTGTGCATCTTGTGCTTGCCAATGATGGCCTGCTCCTCTTGGAATGACAGAAGGTAGGGGTTCTTCTGGTCGGTGTGAATAATCTTGACGTTGTTCATCTTCTCGGCTGTGAAATCGGTACCGGCCAACTCGGCTGTGGACAAAAACTCGTCGAGGGCGCCCTGCTCTGTGACGGAGCGCATCTTGACCCAGGCCGCATCCTGTTTCTCGTTGATGAGATACTGCTCGCCGGTCTCGTGATGGGTTCTGGTGACGGCCTTCTTGCGGTCTTGTCCTTTGCCCTTGCCGAAGCGATCGTTCATGAGCGTGTTGCCCAAGCCGACGCTCTTCTTTGACTTTGCGAGAACCATGGTGGGCGGTCTCTTTTGGGTGCTGTTCTTTGGTGTTTTTGTATCGTCTCTAGTTGCAAGTGTTGTTTAACAAAATCGTATGGAGTAGGAAATATGTTAAGGCGTATGAATTTCGGTCGAGCTATGCAAAAGCAAATGGGAAAAAAGCTGGTGATGGCTGATTAATGCGTTTTGGCGATGGAGGGGCAAATTTTCTAGATTAGCACCAAAAATAAAATTCGCACAGTGGGTACAAGCTTTTCACCCTACAGGACACAGTGCTATCGAGCAGCCACACTGTAGAGCCCGACTGGAAATTTTGTCCACGTCGCGTGAGGACCGTTTTGGCTTCAACATTTTCTTCTATTTCTTTGCGCAGTTGCCTTCGAGAAAAGAAATCGAAAAAATGCCCAAGGGAAAGTGGATGTAAGTGATTTAGCGTGCAAAAAGAAAAGAAGCGTCTGCTAACGGCTTCCAGTGACAAGAAGACTGCCCAGCACTTTACGCTGGTGCATCGCCCGCAAAATGATCCCCTCATCCACGACGAAGATGCGCCGTCCATGGTGCTGAACCCGACACAGACGCCTGCTGGAACGAAAGGAAAGAACCTGGGCGATCTGGCTTCCGAATTTGGTGGCTCCGAGGCTGGCTATATCCGCGACAATGAAGGTGAAGCCGCCACATATGGTGTGTACTTTGACGACTCCGAGTACGATTATATGCAGCATTTGCGAGACCTCAACACTGGCGGTGGTGATGCCGTCTTTGTCGAAGCCGACCCTGGCAACAAGAACAAGAACAAGCAGTCGCTAGAGCAGGCTCTTCAGCAGCTTGACCTTGAGCAAAAGTCGTCAGATGTGCTTGACGAGCAAATCCTCCCCTCCAAGAACCTCACATACCAGTCATACCAAGTACAGCAGGATGTGCCTGATGCTATTGCTGGATTTCAGCCCGACATGGATCCCCGTTTGCGCGAGGTCCTCGAGGCCCTCGACGACGACGCATACGTTGAAGACGACGACGAAATCTTCCAGGAGCTCGCCAAGGACGGCCACGAGCTCGACGACTATGAGTTTGAGGAAAACTATTATGAGGACGAGGACGACGGTTGGGAGTCTGATGACACCGCCAAACCGAACAAGGAATACCAGAACGACGACGAGGTCCCACAGCTAGTTAAGACAACAGAAGAGCCGGAAGAAGGCCCGTCGCAGGACTGGTTGAACGACTTCAAACAGTTCAAAAAGGAGCAAAAGGGCGGTCGTGTTCCTGTTGCGCCATCACAATCTGAGCTTCAGTCCACATGGACAACCACAACAAACGGTGGTCGCCGCAAGAAGAGAAAGGGAGCTTTGACGGAAGCGTCAAACTACTCCATGACTTCGTCGTCGCTAGTCCGCACAGAGCAGCTAGGTCTGCTTGATGAGCGATTCGACGTCTTGGAGCGCAAGTACAACGAGGACATGGATGATATGGGCTCCGTATCGGGTATCTCGACAGCGTCTAGCGTTCAGGGCCCTATTCGTGGCGACTTTGACAACATCTTGGATGACTTCCTGGGCAACTTTACCAAGCCTGGCAAGAGAACATCGAAGAAAACCAAGGCTCAGACTGGACTCGAGCAATTGGAAGAAATTCGAAGAGAGTTGGGTCCCGCAAGAATAAAGGGTCGCAAGTGAGCAGTGGGAAAAAAAAAGAGGTTGGCAGACCAGGGGGTGGAAATGATAACTGCATGATTAATGTCCTTTGTTTTACCGGAGCATATTGTTTATAGAAGCCAAAATATAAAAGTAATTTTCTTTTGTGGAAAAGTTCCAACGATATATTTCAATCTCAGTTCTTGTGTATTTTATCACTTTTTATTGGTTTGGCAATGGGTTGACTTGTAGTTGAACCTAGTCACCCTGGACTGAGGTCATCTAGAGCATCGTGCTAGTTATGAAATGGGTTGCCCCCTGCGTAAACGACGAGATTTACAACAAATACTTATATTTAGAAAATTGGTGTGTTCTCCAATCAATATTATTTCTCAGTAAATAAAAACTAATTTTTAATCTGCATGCGAGAATTGAGGCTCTGCTTGCCGCCAGATGTTGCAGATGCAGTCACGTGATAGATCTAAGCTTCGCGATCTCCATACAGCATAGCTTCCTAGGCCCATGACCAGCCTCCGGGGCCAACATCCTTTCCTACACATACCACGCCCAATCATTTGCTTGCGACGCGAGGCGTTCTGGCTGCCAACATCGCGTCTTCTCCGGTGATTCTCCATGTGCACAACAGCACGTAGATGAATGCGACGGCTGTTGCATCGCCAGGCCAAATGTTTTCCTCGTTTGGGCAGCCGACGCAAAGCTCATCGAAGCCCGTCGCCAACCCCTTCGCCACAACAACTCCTGCCACAACAACGGCCAATCCGTTTGGCTTTGGAAGCGCATCGAGTACCAGCACAGTGAATACAGCGAAACGTGATAATCCCTTTGCCGACGCTGGGCCAGCCCAAAAGACGAGCGCGTTTGGCGGATTCGGCGCGCCTTCAAACGACGGAAGCGCTGCCGCCAAAAAACCCATCTTTGGCTCCAACGACAAGCCGACCCTAGCAAATAATGGCGCCAATCCATTTGGCGGCCCGAGTAAGCCGCCGTCGACGGGCTTTGGTGGTTTCAGCAACAAGCCGCCAAGCGCCTTTCCATCCTCGATAGCGTCCGTCATCCAGGATGCAGGAACCGACGACAGCTCGCCCTTTAAATACGACCAAAACGACCCTCATGCTGTAAAGGTATACACACAGCTCCGAAAAGATGGCCTCGCACCACCAGCGTGGCCGTCACAACCAGGCAATCCTAGCAGCAAGGCCCAAATGGCCAAGTTTAGAGAGCAGTACGAGGAGTATCGCAGCAAAGTCCGCGCTTCTCTCACTCGTGCTGGGCTCATTGACGACCCTACAAAGCGAAAAGCATTAACAGAAGCCATTGAGTTCCGAGGCATTTGCCAGGATATGTGCCCAGAGTACGAAAAGATCCAGCGCATTACCGAACACGACATTCCTCAACCCGAACGCGACCCGGCCACGACTTTTGCGGACAAGAAGCGAATGGTCAAGAAGCTGGCTCGATCGGCTGCTGGACAGGAGGCACCGCTGCCCATGGACGTTCTCTCAATCAAGACACTGCGAAAAACGTTAAACTACTTAATCGACGACCTCCTTAGCGTTGACGAAAATCTACCCACATTGCACGGATATCTTTGGGACAGAACGCGTGCTATTCGAAGAGATTTCAGCTTCTTCTCCAGCCTTGCCGCCGACGATGTCAAGATGCAAGCCAATGTCCTTGAGGATATTGCCAGATTCCACGTTACGTCGCTGCACTTGCTCTGCCGAGAAGGCAAGGCACCAGAAAGCTTTGTGGAACAGCAAGAGCTTGAACAACTGGGAAAGGCGCTGCTGTCCCTGCGAGATATTTATGATGACTGCAATGCTCAGGACATTGTCTGCGAGAATGAAGCCGAGTTCCGAGCATACTTTCTCATCTTCCACGCCAATGATCCCAATATAATGGATGTGCTGCAGAGGCAATGGAGACGAAGCCTGTGGACCGATTCGGAGGAAATTCAAACCGCTGTCTCTCTGGTGGAGGCTCTGCAGAATACCCAAGATTTCCATGGACCCCTTAAAGAAGGACCGTCACTAGCAGCCTCTGGCGCACACCAGGCATTCTTTAGAATTGTCGAAGACCGCAAGGTATCATATACCATGGCCTGCTTTGCTGAATGCCATTTCCCCCAGCTGCGCCGTTCCATCTTACGAAATGTTAAGCGAGCTCTCTCCCGACCAAAAGAATCTGCAAATGATGTTACAGCCGAAACATTAAACAGGTTCCTGCGCTTCGATACTGTACAGGAGGCAATCGACTTTGCCGAGCTTCATGATCTTGAATTCGGCGCGTCACCAACATTTGGCGATGTTTCTCAACGACCACTTATCCTCAACAACAAGACGCCTCTACCACACCATCGCCTCAAGCATCAATTCTCTCAGTCAATGGTAGAACGCAAACGTGGAAACCGACCTCTGCCCGATATTATCCATAGCTCCATCTTTGAGAGCAAATCGAGCTCTGCGCCTGCACCAGCTGCAGAGGAGAGCTTATTCGTCCCTGAGTCATCGAACACAGCTTCATCAGTAAAGGCTCCAACTGCACAACCTGCAAAGAGCCCATTTGCTGCGGCTCCCTCTACCACAGCCCCGACCCCTACAACCACACCAGGTAGGAAACACATACAATTTCGCATTCACCTTGTCAAACTAACCCACAGTAACAGCCTCCCCATTCACTACGACAACGTCATCAACCCCACCAACTGCAGCCACATCTGCTTTGTTTGCGCCAAAGGCTGGCTCAGCTACAAATCCTTCACCCTTCCCTGCTACTACGCCTTCACCATTCCAGGGGTTTGGAAAGCCTAGTGACGCTACCTCAGTAACGAAGCCTGAAGTGCCTACTGCCAAACCTAGCAGCGGCCTTTCCGACAAGCCAGCCGCATCTCCGTTTGCTGGCTTCTCAAGCGGCATACCGGCGCCAACACCATCCCTGATACCTTCCACGACAGCTACCAGTGGTACTACCACAACGTCTACTACTCCGGTCAAGAGTCCCTTTAGTGGGGTTGAATCTACGACTCCAAAGGCACCACCCAAGTTCAATATCGGTAGCCTGGCTTTGTCGCAAGGTTCCTCACCAAAGACATCTGCTCTCGGTGGCCAACAGCCGCTGCCGGGGCTTTCACTGGGCTCCGTGGATGTGCCCAAATCAACACCTCCCTTATCACCGTTGTCGAAAGACGACATTCAACCTAAACAGGGCTCACTACTACCAACTACAACGGCACCCCCCGCCAGCACCTCTCCATTCAGTACAGCCACTAATCCATGTAATCCGGCACCATCAGCACCGGCTGCACAAAAGCCTGCCCATCCATCCCCGCCCCCAGCACCGCCACGGGATCGTATGAAAGATTTCGCGGAATGGTTTGCGCTTGGTGATAGTGGTCTTTTGGAAGATTTTCAGACATACCTTGTGGAAGACATGCTCAAGAAGGTGTATGTGAAGTACCAGCACGACACGGAGGAGAAGCGAAGAAAGGAAGAGGAAGAGAGGGATAGGCAAACGGCAGATAACTTTCGCCGACGGACTCTATCGGTCACATACTTTTACCGATGGAAAGCTAACGCGAGAGAGAAGCGTCTCCGCTACTTGCGAAGGACTGGTAGAGATAAGCTTCGCCAGTTTCACAAGCGGCAGCACAGCAGCTCTCATAGAGGAGGCTCCGAGACTCCACGACGGGTTTCCAGCCAGGAGCTGCCATCTACCAGACTTCAACGACAACAGGAACTTATTGATGGCTTGAAGCAGAGTGCAAACCAGCAACGAGCCTCTGGGTCCATCCGCGCATCCAGCGTTATTGTGCCCGCCTCAACCGCTGGCAACGCCATCGCAGAGTCTATTAACCGTCACTTCCGTCTGCCGATGAGTGTAGCAGCAACCCCTTCGCGCTCTCGATCGTCGTCGTTCTCCAAGGGAGGCGCTAAGACGAGAGCACTGCGAGAGGAGCTCTTGGGCAGCAGTCAGTCCCGCTTTGGCCGCTCTGGCTCGTCGGTAGCATCAAGCGATCGATCTAGCCCAGACAACGCAAGCCGCGTTAGCAACGTATCGGAGCGTTGGCGACTCAAGGCAATGGGTATTGTCCAGCTGCCTGATGGTACGGCGATTCCCGAAAGCTTGGCCCACAGCCAGCATGGTCAATACAGCCACTACAGCCAGAACCAGCGGCCTAGCACGGCAGGGTACCTACGAAGAACGCCTTCGTTCTCTGGACTCTCTTCCCGCCGTGAGTCGTTTGGAGCTACCTCTGGATCTCGATTTGTTGTACCGTCTATCGAGCAGTCGATTCCCGGAGTGGCTGCCTTTGAGAACGCCGTTGCTAGCAACAAACGAAAGCGCATGACCAACGAAAGCATCATGCTGGATAGTGACGAAGGCGCCAGCTCTCACAAGAGAGTCATGAGCGACGCCGAAACCTTGATCCAAGAACTCCGCGCCATGCGAGAGGAGATGGAAGAGGGAACTGTGTGGTTTAAAGAGCAAAACGACAAGCTCCACGACATATCCCGCGGTGCAACACCGCTATAATCATATTTTATCAACAGAAACGATACACCCCGAATTTCGACGAAACAGCTAGAATAGTGAGAAAGAGAGGGAGGGAGAGAATTGGTGGATAATGGTGTAATTTCTTTGTGATTTTTCTCATGTATATAAAGCATGGCAAGGCAAACGGCATTTTGATATTTTACTTGTACATTCCCAGGCTAGGAAAGACGACGGATGGATGGCAAGGCATTTTACGATTGAGATTGACGAAAGAGACTACTTTTCCTTCTTTCGGGTTGTCGCATCGACGCCCCATGCTCTACTTTTTTACGTTCTTTTCACTCTTGATGTGTGTGTATGTGTGTGCATGAATATGTGACTTTGAGATATGAAAAGGATGTATTTCCAACATGAATAACTATAACCGCCAGCTTTGCAGCAAAAACATTTTTGGCCGTGAATAATAGGCAAGAGAATATACAAGAAATATAGAATTTGTTTACATTTGTTTTTCGTTTTTACTTCTTTGGGGGAGGAGGGAACGACGTCTGGAGCGTCTGCGTCTCTACCGGCCCGCCGGTAGCAGCACGTCCCTTGTTCTTGGCTCCCTTTCCTTCAACAGGCGCCGATTCCCAAATAGGCGACTGCTGCTGTGTCCATACCTCTTGTCTAGCGAGGGGCGAGCTAGTCTGTGGGTGAGGTGAGTATGCCATCTGTGGCGATGACAGGAAGGGGGCATTGGAGTGCATCGATGTGGTAGACACAGGCGTTGTGTAGTAATCGTCAATTACGCTGCCTTCATGTCGTTGTGTAATGACAGCGGCTTCAGGTGATGACACAGCTGCGCCAATGTTTTCCTGGGAGGCAGCAAAGCCTTCCTGGGTAGGGACGCCATGAGTGAAGTGAATACCTAGGGCAGGGTTCTGCATGCCCTCGGGAGGGTTCTGGCCGAGAGGAGACATGTCCGTGTACGGCTGCTTCTCGTTCCAGTACATGGCGTGCTCGGTGTAAGGGCTTCCAGTGTTGTGGTCGAAGCCGGGGCTGTACGGGTCAAGGTGAGTCTGGCAGCGGAAGTCGTAGGAGGCGCTGGACTCGTGGGCAGCCTGGAGGCGGGCCTTTTCCTTGTTGCGGCGGCGGCGGATGCACATGATGACGGAGCCGATGGCAAGGAAGACGACGACAAAGCCGCCAATGGCGATGCCGACAATGGCACCAGTAGAAAGACCGCCGCTGGGAGCTGGGTGAGCGCTGCCGGTTGGGTCGACGATGGACACGACGTGGTTGGCAAAGATGGTGTCGTTGATCATGAGCGGAGTGCTGGGTAGTGGTCTGTATTTGCAGCCTGCTTGGAGAGCGACAATGTCTGTAGAGGCATTTGTTAGTGGGAGCTTTGTGTGTGTGAGGCTTTAGAGACGGTGACTTACAGCTGGCGAGCTTCGTCTGAGACGAGTCGGCGCGGACACAGTCGACACAGGGACCAAAGGGCTCGTCATTTTTGCCGCAGTATGCGAATTCCTCTGAGCGGGAACCATTCTTGACATCGCTGGTCCAGGGATTAAACATCTTGCCGCAGGCTTCGCTGGTGGCACAGACGTTGGAGCCGATTTCAGGCGAGGCTGGGACTCCAAAGATGCAGAAATCCACTGACAGTCTCATGTTGTCTGCAAGTATAGTTATTAGTGGCAAGTTTTAATGCGTTTCAGACGGTCTGTCTACTTACACAGAAAGGCTGTCTGGTCGTTGGCGTCTCCGTTGGAATACGTGCTTGTTTGCAGACATGTCATGCACTGCTTGTACTTCTTGCCGGCGTCTGTGGTAGTGTATTGCTCGTCATGACATACAATATCCGCCGTTGAAGTGTTATTATTTCCTTTGGAGCTGCTGCTGCCACCGCAAGATGCTTCGCATGGCGATCCTGGAGACACACGCAGGGCAGACGTGGCTGTGGTGGTGAGAGCCAAGGCCGCAGCAACGGCCGCCTTTAGTGAGACGGCAACCATGTTTGAGAGAACCGGAAACGGATATTAAAAGCCAGAGAGTTGAATACTGAGAAACGGGAATCGACTGAGGCCAGTCTTTGTTCCCTACGACAGTGATGGACAAAGAAAGCGAAAAGGTGCTGCTGTTGCTGAAGAATGCAGAAGCCCGACCCAACAAGACAGAATATCGGATATATAGCCCAGGCGAGTCAACACAAGGGTAAGCAAGAGCAAGAAAAAAAGAGGAGAAGCCCGCGAGCTAGCTAGGGGACTAACGCTAGGCCGGGCGGCTGGAGGGCAGATGTACCAGCAAGCTATAGTACATACACACACACACATTCATGCAGGCCGTGGTGGAGAATTAGAGGTAGCGTTGCAGCCGGTCAGTTCCACTCACACTTGATTTCTGCATCTGGTGCCTTTTGCCGTTGAAGGAAAGCAAAAAGAGGGCTCTGTGCCGCCTCTTTTTTGTCCAAGTGATATGGGCACGGTGTGCAATTGCCGTCCGCCCCCATATTGGAAACGCCATGAAGGATAAAAGCCATTCCCGATGGGACGCCCAAAGAGCAGCAAAAGTAGAATAAACAGAGAAATGCAAACCGCCGGTGGCCGCTGCAGGTGACGATGGCGTGCGTTGGGGCGGGGGAGCAAAGAGAGGAGGGCCTGAGCGTGGACGGCGCTTAGAGCAGCGTTGTGTTTGGTCGGCTGCCATGCGGGCGCTGCGGGCGGTTGTAGTGGCGTTGGGGGGAGGCTGACCAATCAGCGGGCCGGACGGGGGAGGGGAGGCCCTGCTGGACGGGCGCTTAGAAGGAAATTGTCTGGAAATTCTAAGAAATTTGGAAGCGACATCAATATTGGTGAACATGGATTAAGGTGAAGAATGGGATTCAAACGAGGTACACATGATGCTGGTTTTGACTCTGTTGGTTGTGATACGGTAACCCAAGATGAACAACACCACGTCTTGTGTAAACGAGATAACCACCACCAGACATTTTTCCCCGTCACAAATTCCCAGTAAATCCCGCTCTTGACAAACACAAAACACAGAAGCCCCCGTTTCACAATTCAGCCTACAGAAAATGGCTAGCCTCCACGTTTTTCTTCCTTCTGCACAGCAGAGCTCGTGCCATCTCGGGAATCAAACACTAGCCCCAAAGATCGGGCCCCCCTGGGGAGCCAATCTCGGCAATATCACAGAGGCGTTTGCCAGGGCGTTTGTAAGCTGGCGCTTAATGTAGTTCACCCCTCTGATAGGATCATCACATATCACACATACACACACACCGGCGTCGTGGGAAAGGGGTGCTGGTTGGTTACAATACAAGAGACCAACTTGCAAACTACCGGTCAAGCACGCGACAGAGACAGAGAACATATGTTTTAACAGGTGAATTTTTTTCTCGTAGACATATGAAACAAAGACTACAGCAGAAACAGTAACAAAAGAAAAAAGGTAAAAACAAAAGTGTCCCAAATAACGCCAGGTTTTGCCAAAAGCCAGAGAGACTGCTACAGTTGCAGCGCAGACACCGTAGTAGTATAGTAGCCGCAGCAGCAACAGTTTGTAGCACCCCTCTCTCAATAGTATAGACATCATCGTCCCCTTGCACAACCACCAACGACAATTCTCTATTCCGAGCTTAGTCGCTGTCCTCGTCAGAGTCGTCGCCCTTGGCCGCCTTCTTAGCAGCCTTGGCAGCCTTCTTCTCGGCTTTTCTGCGCTTGCGCTCGGCCTTCTCGTCGGGGGTCTCGCCCTCGTGCTTCTTGCGCTTCTTCTTCTCGCCGTCCTCGGCAGGAGTCTCGGGAGCGCTGACGGGAGCAGCAGCAACAGGCTTGACGGGGGTAGCAGCAGCAGAAGCGGCGGCAGCAGTGTCATCAGTGGGAGCGCTGTAGTCCTTGTACTCGGCAGTCCACTTGGCAGGGGTAGCGTCGTTGGCGCGGCCAAACTTGTCGAGCTTGCCGTCCGCCTTGAGCTTCTTCTTCTCGGCGGCGACGGGGCCAAGACCCCAGCGGCGGGGGTACAGGTCGCGCTCCATGATGCAGCGCTTGACCTTGGCAACGACACCGTGGTCGCAGGTGGACATCTCGACAGTAGACATTTGCGCGTAGGCAAGGGCAATGGCCTCACCCTTGGTGGTCATGAGGACGACTTCCTCGTGGTGCTCAATGTTGGCTTCGTAGCGCAGGAGACCGGGAAGCATCAGCTTGGCACCGTAGCATACGGCGTTGACAGCGCTGTCCTTGACGACAATACGCTTGTAAGACACAAGAAGGGTTTCGAGGGGAGAAATGACCTTGCGGAGGTACGACTCGTCGCGGGTGTTGTCCATGGTCCACTGGGCATCGAGGACGTCGTGGAGGGTGACGAGACCCTTGGACTCGTCCATGGCTCCGGAGCGGACACGGCGCAGCTCCTGCATGTGGCCACCGACACCGAGGAGGAGACCCAAGTGCACGCAGAGGGTACGGATGTAGGTACCAGCCTCGCAGCTGACCCAGAAGACACCAAGGTGGCGGTCGTTGTCGAACTCAATCAGCTTGCTCTCGTGGATGGTACGGATACGCAGCTGACGCTTGACGGCGGAAATCAGAGGAGGACGCTGGAAGAGAGCACCGGTCAGGGTCTCGAGGGCACGGGCAAACTGGGCCTGGCCGCCGGGCAGCTTGTCGTGGAGGCGGACAATGGCAACGTATTCCTTTCCGGCGCCCTGCTGGGATTTGACGAGGCGGGTGGCGCGGTCAATGCAGACAATCAGGCAGCCAGTGACCTTGGGATCGAGAGTACCGCTGTGGCCGGTCTTTTCGCAGCTAATTGGACACAAAAAAGGTTAGCAAATTGATCTTGCTGGGTGTCTCGCGTGCTCTGTTCCCGCTTGGGGTGTTTGCAGTACACACCCGAGGCTTAAACTTACCGAAGAATGCGCTTGACCCAGGCGACAACTTCGTGGGAGGAAGGGTTGGAGGGCTTATCGAGGTTGATGACACCAGAGCTAACGTAGGACTTGATGTCACGCTTCAAAGGCGAGCAGCCGTTGGGGATGGGGGTGAAGTGACCGGTTCGGACGAGGACTGCACAATCACGACAAGTTAGCGAAAATCGGGCTTCACAAGACAGCTAAGTAAGCTTAATCAGATCACAACATACGCTTGTCGTAGTTCTTAAGGAGCAATGGCCAGTCGGAAGTGTTGAGGGCAGGCGTAACAGCCTGGGGCTTTATTGTGTATTCATCTTCGCCCTTCTGGGCCGCGACGTCCTTGGCCATGGCGACTGGAGATCGAGGGGTATGAAAAAAATTATATCCGGTCGATGAGGAGGAGTGTATAATCGTAGTTTGGTGCTTGCGGCTGCAATTAGGCGTTGTTTGAGATTGCAATGTCGCAGGCTGTCTCTGGTAGAGAAGTCAAAATCATCACGACTGGGCCGGGAAAAAAAAAATCTGGTGGAAGCTCTGAATTTTTCGAATGTGGCGCACCGCCACGCTAAACCCGTTTGGGGGTCATTGGTGCTCCAGCCACAGTATTTTCAGCCACACCAGCAAGATTTATTAGTAGTATGATTAAGAGGCAGTTAATATGTTTTATAATAGAGGGTATAAATTGTTGGGAAATAATAAATTAATTTTTCATATACACACATGCCGTCGAGGCTATCTTTTAGTAAAATCAAGAGGCCGTCTCAATCCGTTGGTATGATAAAACGCCGTGTCATCGCATAGTACAAAACAGCATCAAGCTGCAAAAAAAGAGGAAAATAATTTTAAATGGCGTGTACCTCCATGTGATGTCCCTGAGGAGTCCCATTAGAAGTCAATGGAGGTGTTGTAGAGTTGCGGCCGAAGCCTGGGTGTCCAAGGACTGGTGCTTCTCGAGAGGCGGGCTCAACATAGTTCATCTCGTAGGATTCTGCCACACTTTTGCCCTTATCCTCTGGCGATGCAGGAGTTTGCCAAAGGCCAACAGCCTGTTCTTGAGGAGAGATGGGAGAGAAGGAATGTCCCTTGGGAAGTGCAGACTCTGGCCACGCCATGTCAAAGTGTTGCCCCGGAGTGGCAGGGCTGTTGAGCTGGGAGCTGTACGGCGAGAAATAACGAGGAAACTGTCTGTTGGGAGTCTCAGCCATGGGTGAATCTTGCCAGCCGTTCAAAGGTCTCTGGCTAATAGGGGTTCCAAAGGCATCACCTTGGCCACCAGGCGAGGGCCAGCCTCGAGCAGCATACTTGGCTTCCAGCTGGCGTAGATAAGCTCGTCGTCGTCGCTTACCGATGCAGACGATGAGAAAGCCGGCCACCACGAGTAGGAAGACAAATCCACCAATGCCAATACCAACTTTACCGGGGAGTGAAAGGGGTCCTTGGTCGTACCAAGACGGGTCAATAGTAATGCGTGGGTGCGGAGTACTGACGTTGGCTCTGGTTTCCGAAAAGATATCACCACTGACAGCCACCTGAACACCGGGCGCTGGCCGTTGCTCACAGCCAGCTTGTAGCATAGTGACAAAGTTTGACAAGTAGCGTGTCTCAGGTACAACCTGGAGGCAGTCGACACACCCAGCAAAGTCGGGGCCGTCAGTCGTCGGCCACAAGTCGCAGTATTCATATCCATGCGTCTTGACGGAGGCATTGTTATATGTCATGGCAGCCTGGAAGACACCACAAGCCTTGCTTGTTGTACATGGGTTGCTTCCCAGGCGGTGATCGACTGTTGGGACGCTCCAGAGACATGTTGAAAGTGTGTAGCGCAGATTGTAAAGGCTTGCTTTAGCATCGGTTTGGTTGCCGTTGGCAAAAGTGCTATTCATCTGGCACTTTACACACGATTCAAAAATCTGTCCCGTATTGCCGTTGAATTCGCTGTCTAAGCAGGCAATGTCATCGTATGGCGTGGCGTCAAGTACATTGCCACACTGGCTAGCGCACTGAGAATTGGGCGTCGAGTACACGGCTGAGGCGACGGGCAAAGCCGCAAGGGCCAAGGCAACTCCCGTCTTTAGTCTCAGCATGATCGTGATTGTAGAGTAGTCTACTCTTTCAGACTGTAAATTTTCCTGTATTGCTTTCCGAATTTTCGCAAGTAGATGCCGGTGCGTCTTGTGCGCAGACCAAGCGAGAAAAGGTGCGACGAATGTTGCGGTAGTGCTACAGCGCACTGCCGTTTAGTGGCTGAGAAGTATGCCGACCACAAGAGGACGAAGGGGTCCAGCAGAGCCCTGCCTTTTTGACAAATGACGTGAACTTCAGGGGGGCTCTTGTATTCGGCAGCAGTGCTTCACCGTCGGTGATCTAGCAGGATGAAGAATCGTGCATGATGTGCTTGTCGGGATCGAGGTCAATGCGAACTGATATACAGGCTACTATGACTGGGGCAACCGGCATGGACGTGAGTAGCGAGGGCCCCAGTTCCCCGGGGTTAATTGGATATGTGATGAGAGAAAAAAGGCCGTAGCGTCACATTCTGGGGCTTCAGTTGGGTCGTCAGAGTCGTGCATGGGAGAGACCTGCAGGCAGCGTCCCAACATCCAGGTTACTTACGTAGCTAGCTTGCCAAGAGCTAGTTCTAGTTTAGCCGACCCCGTCTCTTTGTTTTCCGCGGCCCTCTTCGCGTACCAAAGGAACCATACCATACCTGATAAGGACACAACTTGTGATGGCGTGCCGCAACTATAGGCGAGCAGATTGGCCTGGCCGTGCCATGAGCCGCATATGCCCAATAGCGCGGGGTATCGCTGCAACTACAAAAAGCCTCTTTTCTTGGAATGGGTGTGAAGCCCATGTCTGCTGAAAAGCAAACAATTCAATCACATCTCCCTCTCCGGCTCCGGTGGCTGGGGGGGGGCGGACACTTGCAAATAGTAGGTGAGAATACTGCATTGCAAAGAAAGAGGGGGTCCTAAAAGCAGTAGATCATGTACTAAAGAGGCCGCTAACACTAACGGGCAGCAGGGCCCCAGCCACTAAAATCTCAAGTTCCACCGTGGTCGCAGAATAGGTAGGGCCTGTTTATCCACTGTATCTTCATGTGGTCTCCACTGTGGCTTTTCATGCTCCCCCATCACCTGGTTTTCACAGCTGCTATTGGCTGCACTAACAAAAGTTGGGCGCTTAAATCCCTGCTGTGAGCACGCTGCGAGTCGAGGTGCGACGGCTTTGTTCCGTTGTGCACTCGACGCGGGAGAGAGAGAAAGTCCCTCACCAGCTTTGCATACGGCTGGCCATACGAGGCTTTAGTTAGTATTATGAAACTGTTACGGCAAGCTTGGCCTCTGTTGATTATCTAAGTTAGAGAGCCATGTTACGGGCTCCCTCATACACGTGTTGAACCTCTCAGCTTGAGTAGTGGCTCCATACCATCGCCTAGCTATACACCTATATGTCATCTAAACATTATACTTGCTTAATACTGTAAAATTTTCCAATTATATACCACTGAATTTCTTGAAAAGAAATCTTATGACTCCTGCTCTCCAACCTCAGCCTCCTCGTCATTAGCAGGAGAACTACCGGGGCTATCCACCTTCTCCTTGGCTACGAAACGTAGCTTTGCATATGCAGGCAGATCGGTATCGACAACAAGCAACCGTTCTTCTCCACGGCCAACCATACCATATACGCGAATATCGTTACCTTGGATTCCAACGACTGCACTCGTTCCTGCATATGTGGCATCCCCCTCTCTGCCGGCTCTATTGGCAAACACCACAATGGTTTCACGTCGCGCATCCGCTCCAAGCAAAGGTTGTAGACGCGATAGCCAATATGAGAGGGTTTCCATGTCTGGTTCATCTGGCTGTTCCAAAAAGGTTTCTGCGGGTTCCATTGTATTCCACGCCATCGTCAGAATTACCACTTGCGCTTCGGTGTCTTTAGCATGACTTGCAAATTCGTATGCTGTCCATGGTGCTTCAAATTTGTAAGGGCTAAGACAATGCATCGTTAGTAAAAGTGAGTATATGAATGTCTCAAGCCTGTCATAACTTACTTCAAGTCCATGCATATACCCAGTGCTGATTGTCCAATGCCGGGTAAATGGCCACTATAGAAGCCTCCCTTGCCTTCTTCAGCCCAGGTTTCATCGGTATAATAGAGGTGGTTTTTTCTATAGTTACCAACTATTTCACCATCTCCATCGACTATAATTGCTGAGTTGAACAGATCAGCAGATCCGTCCTTTTTTGTTGTAGAAACAGCTTGCTCAGGATAGCCAACAATGACTATGCAATCGTATTTCAAAGCTGCCTTTTTCGCCCATGCAACACTAAGGCTGGCATTAGAGGGCTCTACGTAGCGTAGAATTTCGGAGCGAGACTTAAAATTATATCCTGTAAATTGTTAACAGCTATAACAACCGCGGCTATCCGCTTCCCAGCGATAGCTTCGGGATCTACAGGAGATACATACCTGTAAGCGCCAACTCAGGCAAGACTAGAAGATCCAAGGTATCGACATCCTTTTTGTCCAGAATTCTCTCAATTAAGTCAATGTTGTCTTCAATTTCAGCAACCTTTGGCGCGTGCTGAAGACACGCGATCTTCATGGTTGCGCTTTGCGCTGGTACTCGCCGTCAGCGTCGTATGATACTAAGAAAGTCTGCAACGTTGGTTCTCGTCTTAGCGAAGTCGCGTCTTTTATACAAAAGAATGAGATGAGCGCATACACACAGCTTCTAAAGAGTCTAGATTTGTCAGAAGAGATGGTTGTTCTGGGAAAGTCGCGCTCAGCGTAGTCGATGAGCTTGCCCCGCATGGGGGCGACCCGACAGTTTGGTTCTGCACCAGAGCTTAGCAAGGAGAGAGAGAACTTTGTAGTGAAAAGTATGACTATATAGACTGAACTATAAAATACTCTTAAATCTTAACTCGTAAATATCTTTGAAAATTTGTAAATTCGGATTCAAAACAAACTATAGATCTCTGAGCTTGCTATGCTATAAAAAAAAGAGATGCCCGCTGATGAACGCCAGTCCCGTAGGTACAGGTAATGTAGCGTAAGCTTGTGAAATATACAAATAGCACCGAGCTATTTGACGAAAAAAAAATATGGAAATGCAAATGCCAAAAAGGTGCCATAATACAGTTTGGCAGAAAAGAATGTAATCCAAAAGTTCGTAAAGCACCTCTTATTGTGCTACTGTCTCACTACGACTCTCCACTTGGTAGATGTTGGGGCGCTCGCTATATCCGGCTCTCTGTAATTCCACTGCAACAGCTTCTTCCAGCATTAAGTCACAGTCAACGTCGTCGCGATCAAATATCATGGCCTTTGGAGTTGAAGGGTTGAATAGTGGTGGCGCTGTCATAGATCGTCCGGGTACGCTTGTTGGTGTCTTCTGGCTCACAGCTTGTGAATCACTCTTTGATGTGGCAGGTCCAGAATCCTCAGTCGAGTATTCTGCTTTGTTTTCTGGCCGCTTTTCACTAGCTCCTGACTGTGAGAGAAGAATATTATGAATCAGCCCTTGGTCCCGTACAGTATGGGCTGACTCGGGTCGATGGCCATGAACAGGGCAATTTGGGCACAGGACTGCCTCAACTCGTTCAAAAACTTGAACTTGGTCTCTAGAAGCACCGCGAGGCTTTCTGTTTTGGTGACTTTTAGACGATATTCTGCCTTTCTGGTTGCTTGCAGAGCGTTCACCACGTTTCGAGGCCCTTCGATGAAGCACATCGTTCCTCGTTGAGTCAGCCGAGGTAGGACGCTCCTTCCGTCGAGGCTCCTCAAGGCTTGACGATGGATGCGTTGGGCCAGGTTGTCTGCCACGGCTGGGGGGACGAGGCACTGCTCCGGGGCGATCAGGAGTAGATGGAAATACCTGTCCACCAATTGTGGTTGAGAATGAGTTGCTACGTTGTGGCTTAACAAGAGGAACCGCTTGTCTATAATAGTCAAATGCAGCTGGTGTTGGGACGATAGGGGCACCTCGCTCATCAACTCTTGTTCCTGGAGTCGTTGCTCGCTGTCGGCCTGGGGTTGGGGCTCGACTGCTGTTTCGCGAGACACTCTGTTGTCTTGTTTGATGTACTGATGTGGTGGCGTTTTCTCGACTTGCACTAGCCGATCTAACTCTATAGGCAATATCATCGAGGTGCTGAGTGACAGCAGCGGTGATATCGCGCTGTTCTAGCGAAGAGTCTGACCTCTCATGCTTTCGAGAGCGGCTGGCATTACGTGATTTCGGAGATGATGGCCTCGCCGGGAGTGGTGTACCGTTTTCTGTTACTCGTGGAGCTTCCACAGCCGTCATAATATTATCATCCTCAATAGCTGTCAGTGGTACATCGATTGGCGTCTTTGCTGTAATACGGCTTGGCGCTTCTGAAGCCTTTCCTGTGACATCAATCGATCCAGATCGACTATGAGGAGCTGCTTTCCCGGTAATGATTGGCCAAGGGAAAGGCTCGGGTTGACGACCAACAGGTGTTCCTGGACCCCAGCCTCCGGCTGAAAGTGGCGTGCGCAAGGCGCTATCTGGTTGCTTCCACTGCCACTGTGGTGAGATTGGCGAAATATCAGTAAATGGAGTTGTTGGGCTAAATGTGTCAATAGATACATGGCCGCCGTAAATCCTGCGTTTCATAGGATAGCCGCTTAGTGGCATACCACTATGGGGGTATGGTGTGCTATCTTCTGGGGGGCGTGGATTTGAGCGAACAGTTTGGGTGGAATCATCGGATTTGACAGACTGCAGTGATCGAACAGAGTGGATAGATTGCTCAGACTGCTGCGAGAGTGCACTTATGGGCATATCAGAAATGAACTGCTGAGGATCGATCGGCGGTGATTGGGGGATGATGAGTTTTGGTCGGAGCATCATTGGAACAGGGCTTGGAGCAGAAGGAGTAAGAACCCCAACACTACCTGGTGACTGCATACCGTCACCAGAGACTTGTGATGATTTCGGGATGATAATAGGTACTGCTGGTTTCCTTTTCGGCTTCTCATGACCATCGTTGTTTGCTGATGGTGGAGAGAGTGGGAGAGGAACAGCAGAGGGAATGACAGGCCGTGTAGGTGATCGTCCACGGGAAATATCCCGTGACGATGTTTCGTTACCGAATGACTTGGGTTTGGGGTCCTCTTCAGGAAGTCCATTGTTCTTCCGTTCGTAAGTATGTTCAAGCTCGCCAGCTTGAATCGCAGTACCTTCCGGAATGATTGGTTTTTGTACTGGTACTACGCCGCCATTGCTAATGAGAGATGGTCTATGAACCAGCTTTGCGTAGGGGGCATCATTGGTATCAACGACGAGAAGCTCTTTAGATCCACGGCCGAGGAGACCATAAACCTTGACCTCACCCTCATGAATACCAATAACGGCACTGGTTCCAGCGTAGGTTGCATCATCTTCAATACCAGTACGGTTGCAGAAGACAACAATAATCTCCTCGTCAGATTCTGCCCGGATCAGAGGCTCAAGGCGGGTGACCCAGTAGGTTAACGTATCCATATCGGGTTCGTTAGGCATACGAGAGAATCGCCGTGGCTCCTCTCTTGTCATCCATGCCATAGAGATAATAACCAGATTCGACTTGACCTCTAAAATATGAAAGGCAAACTCAAAGGCATTCCATGGAGCCTCGAATTTGTAAGGGCTAGAAGTTAAATGTTAGATGGGACACACTGATGTAAAAACAGTCGGGACTTACTTGATATCCATGCCTACGAAAGTGTTAGCCAGAGTTTTAGATTTTAATTTTCGATAGCATATAGTTTGACTTACAAATACCGATGGTTGTGCTTCCTAGGCCTGGGATCATCCCGTCGAAAAAGCCTCGTGGGCCTTCAAGTGCCCATGTCTCGTCTGTGTGGTACAAGAACGACTTGCGATAATTGGCAATAGTCTCGCCGTCGCCGTTGACGACTATTGTGGAATTATAAAACTCGGGACCGGTTGGCCATTTGGGGGAGACGTCGACTTTTTCTGGGTATCCGACAGTAACTGTGCAGTTGTACTTCAACGCCATGGTTCGTGCCCATAGTGAAGAAATGCCAGAGCCAGAGGGCTCGAGGAAAGGCGAAATATCTTGCAACGATTTGAAGTTGTAGCCTATAATATCACTAAGTGTTAGCGTAAAGAAAAAGGAATGTTGCTAAAGAGGTGTCGATATATTCTGAGCGGCACCGTGTTCGAGACAAGATGTGCTCGACAAGATGCAACGATTGTGCAACATACCAGTGAATGCGAGCTCGGGTAGTACTAGTAAATCCAGATCTTCGGTATTGGCCTTTTGCAATACAGCATCTGCTCTATTCAGATTGTTTTCGATGTCCCCTACTTGGGGAGCGAACTGCAAACACGCGATGCGCATTGCGGCGGCTGGGTAGCGACCTCGCTACAGGTGTCGAGCTCGAGCTGGTTCTCAGACGCAAAGGCCAAATAGGCACAGGACAAAACAAATCAGAGGCCGAGATCGAGAGCCAGCTCTAGGATATAATCGACATGCGCTCGGTAGCTTCCGGGAAAGCAAAACAATAATAAAAACGAGACTGGAAAAGGCGAGAAAATCGGAAGCCAAAAGAGGAGTTCCAAAGAGCGCAGTATTAAGAGAGGGGACAGCGCACACTGGTCATGGTCGCGCATCATTTTGCACCCTGCTGCTGCTATAATGGGAAGAGGCGGCGGGGGTACCAGACGAGCACAGCGCTTAGAACGGTTGGCACGCACAGCACACAGGGGGGCAGGAAGAGAGTATGGCCGGGCGGCGGGCAGGCGGATGGCAATGGCGGAACAGGACGGCCCTGAAAGTCACCCATAGTAGCAATGCTCTGTCGACCCATGCAGCCAGTTCAACAAAGGGTGGGGAGTAATGAGGAGCTGTGGCCAACCACATCGCTCTGTTAGCCGCTGGCTCAGAACTGGCGTCGCGGGGCTTGCAGGGTCCCTAAGCCTATAGCAGCGCTCGCTGACCCTGCCTAGTGCAGAGCACTAACTGGGGACAACCAAGCTACTGGGAGAGTTTGCTCAACGCTCGACCGCCTTGGGCCGCCTTATTCTCGCGGCGGAAAGCCACAGAAATCATTGAGCGCTTGCCTTCTGAGACTACACTGGTCCCAGTTTGTATTGCTTTGCTGTTTTTTATGGCGTTGGAACCGTTGCCGCTAACCAAGCTGGCTTGTGACTGGCCAGCCTGTAGCCGCTGGGGAGGAGATCACTGGAAAAGTCGCCAAAGTTTTGGGCTGAACTACAGTCTTTTGACGCGACTTGTTGAAAATAAGTGGAAATTGCTATCTCCGTGGTAGCCAGACGCTGCAAAGTGAGGCGTATTCTTACCGCCCATCACCACATTGGGTGGTCCGTCATGACTTGCATAAGCGCTTATGAAGGCATCGCGTAAATTTCTCGACCGTTTATGCAACGCTTAGCCGCTCGAGGCAGGGTTGCAGAATACAGCCTGAACATCTAGTAGTATATAACTATTTCATGTCTTCTGTCGCGTTCGGCCCTGCATCGTGTAGCTTCTCGTTGTCATTCACATGGTTCCATCCAAACCAGGCATTTCTCTTCGACCCCGAACTATACATTGTTAGCCAGCGAGCTTATCACGACAGCATGGCTCGCCTCATACCTTATTAGAGTCAAGATTCCAGCGTCATTCTCTTTTTCGTACCCCCAGGACACCGTGTAATTACTACCTGCGCATGGTTGATTCGCAAAGGAGGCTGTCTTGGGGTCGGCATCCGTGTGAACGAGCAGGTAGCAAAACGATGTATCGTAGCCCTCACTCTTGATATGAAAACCCATCCAGACACGGTTCTCCGTTGTAGTTCCTTTTTTAATAAGTAAACATCAAATTTTTTCTATCGTCACATTTTATAACTTACTTCGCGTTATATTTGCCAAGGTCCAGAATGACGCATCCTGTAGCAGCTTTTTCGGTGCAGGTGTCGGGGTTTCAGTCGGCTTGGGTGCTAGCGGTGGTGTAGACAGAGGCTCTCCTTCAATGGTGATGCTCTCAAGAGCCGGGCCTGGCTTGACCTTCGGGAGCTCATTAATTAAGCTATTTAGACTCAACGCATTTGAAAATGTTAGTCCAGCTAGTAGAGCTAATTCAAGGTAGAGCTTCATATTGAATTTTTTATCGGTCACGACCAAAGCCCTGTAGTTGGAGTGTCATCTCAATCTACACTGGTAGCTAATGACATGTGCTTTATAAGACGTACCGAGTTAAATACTGATCATATCTTTAATTAGATGGATTGCTTTATCTGTTACATGGTGTAATCAAACGTCGGAATTTATATGTAATTTTCCGATGTTTTATCATGGCAAGCAATCGTGGAACAAGAGCAACGCAAACACTAGGTGAACCTCTCTAGCCACTCAGAACGTCGACAACACAAAGTCTACCAGTATACCACAAAGGTCGGATTTTTTACAAGCAGAATACAAACAACCTCGGATTCCGAGCAAATACACCACACTGAAAGAGCCTCGCCAGTCTGGGGGCGACTTGATCGGCCTGCCTACGATGACTCCATCCATCATCCCCCACGCATCCCGCCTTGGCTTGCCGCCATCAAGAGAAAAAAAAAGTGTAAAAACTACATGGTCACCTCTATGGTCTTAGATTGTTTGTCTACTCGGGGATAATCCAAAATGTCATTCCTGCAGCCTGCAGCAGCACGCTTTTTTGCCCCCTCCCCCCTCCTCCACCGGCTGGTAGTGGCGTGAGGCAACGTCTCGCAGCAACTCCGCCTTTGTGGTGTAGTTTGCCATGAAAAGCTGAGGGTGTACAAGAGCACATGACACGTTACCAGGATGTTTCAAGATGAGGAGCAGATGGGCAAAGTGCAGAGAATGAGACTATCCGCGATGGCGTCTGTTCGGCTGAAGCATCCGGATGCTACCAGATGGCAAGAGGTCTTGTGTGTGCTCTCGTGATCATGGCGGTTTCATATTCCGCTGGCGAAAGCTTAATAGATTGTTTTTTTGCTTTCTCGTGTCTTTTGTCCTGTTTAGTCGCAGAGTGGGCGTTTGGTCTTTGTGTCATTTTCTCTCCGTCGTAGCACCTTTGCGCAACCAACCCAAGTACGTACGAAGAGTACACCATTCCATCTCTCTGTGGTATCGCAATACTATACTCAATGCAGATACTCCGACCCCAGCAAGCCACCCACCTTCGTTTTTTTTCCTTTCCCTGTATGGACTGGGGTGGCAAGCAAACAAAAACAAAAGGTCCCTTGTTACTAACAGTACTGTACAACATTCGGAGCCGCAACGGGCGAGCGAGCCGTGTCCCCTACACCCTCGCTTCTAGGACTTGTAGCGTCACATCCAGGCGGAGCCAGGTGGGCAGAAGCTGGGCGCTTAGCTTCGTCCAACCAGATGGCTCGTCACCTCATCACGCACACAAGGCAAACCCGCTAGAGATGCGCTAGATGCATTGTGGCGGCGGGGCTGTTGCAGCGCGAGATGCTAGCGTCTTCCACCACCACAGCGAGGCCCGGCTGCCTGAAGAGTGTGCTGATTGGCCCGGATGCCAACGGCTTGCAGTGGCCAGCAGGGGTTTGGGCGTTTACAGCGAAGGAAGAGACTCACTGAAGGACCGCGGAAGTAGTGGACTTCGGGCTCCATTGCAGTGTAAATCGTTGCGCCCCTCCCCTCCCCCCACTGCTGCTCGTCTACAGAGTACTCTATGCCCTTTACAGACTAGTCGACACGGCCTCCATCCATCCCTCCCTCCCTCCCTCCCACATCCTTGCATGAGAGGCTGAATCGGATGCACGCATTGGGGGACAATTTTTGTACAGAGGCAAAAAAAAGGAGAAGGAAAGCTAGCTTATGCAGTCTAGTTCAGTTGGGGTAGCACAGCAGCCAAGGACGAAAACGACTGGCGCACACGTAAAGTACAAGGCTCAGCAAGCAATAACCAGCAACACCCAACTGTGAGTGACATTTATCTGCACACCATCTTTTCCCTCCCAAGCCTAGCGCAGCAAACCAGATGGCAGAAGACGGTTCCATCCAGCTCGTCTATGACCACATTAAACTTTTTTTGCTCCCCCCCCCCCCCCCTTGTCAGCCTACGTAGAACGACGCCTCACTCTTTGGCGCCAGGTCGTCAGTGGTTTGGGCCTTTTTGGGGGCGGATGGCTTCCCGCAAAGCCACGGATGGACCTGAGAGAGTGAGAGAGAGGCGTCGTAAGTCTTGTCGACAAGAAGAGTAAACACCCGGGGCCAGCGCTAAAGACTAGAAGAGCTATAGCTGACGAGAGAATAAGAATTAATAATTAAAAAAATAGAAGATGCAGCAAAAGCGGGCAGCAGATTGCAGCGCCACCCTGCAAATGTACAACCGACCTGCCCAACAAGCGCGACCCGCAGCAAACACCAACAGTCTAATGCAACCCTTCTCGCGCAACCACGACTCATCTGCAGCCAGCGGCTAGCCTCTCTCTCGCTCCCCACTCCGGCCTAAACTAAACTAGCCCACCTTTTTACTTGTCTAGCTAGCTCTTATTCCCTTGGGACCATGCTTTTCCGCGCTTCTCGACACCTCGCCCACCTTCTTCTACACCTTCCCATCCTACCCTCCTCCACCACCCTCGTCGTCTCTTCCCCTCACTTTGCGCGGTTGGATCGTCTGCCCATCATCCATGTTTGTTTGCTGCTGTTAGGCCGGACCATACGGATCGACTCTTCAGTGTTGGGTCGCTTGCAGCTTTACTTATAATCTTTGTTGCTTCCCTTTTACTTACATTGGCGCTGGCAGCCCAGCCCAACTCAACACCCCCCACCTACTTCAGCGCGCCAACAGAACATTCTTCTGCTGCTGCTGCCTGGACTCTTATTACTCCAACTACTACGAGGGCTTTCATTCTTCTCTTTCTCTTTTTCAACCTAAAGACGAATCACCTACTATGAATACTCTTCGTCTAGTATTCCCATTCTAATCCTACTTCTGCTTGTCGCCAAACCATCGCATCGCCCAAGCGCCTCATCGGTGGACACGGAAAGCCCCAAACCCAACCCACAGACATCGCCAACAATGCATCGAGGCTTGGCGGCTCTCGGCTTTTTGGTCGCGCCAGTTGCCCTCGCTTTACAAGTTGCTCCTGGTTCACCTTGCGCTGGCTATTGTCTCGAAGACCAGGAGCACAACCCTTGGTCTGCCGCCGACTCCAACACAAACTCGAGCGACATCACCTGCTCAGACGCCTCCTACTCCTCCACCAAAGTAGGAATCCACTACAAGACATGTCTCGACTGTTTAAGAACAAGCAGTCGTGGAAACATGGGCGAGACAGATGCCAAATGGTTCGTCTGTAAGTTGCTTTAATCTATCTGCTTGGCGCCCACCCTTGGCGATCCCACTAACACAAGGAACAGACAATCTTCGCTACACTCTCGACGTATGCCTCTTCTCCAAACCCGCAGCCGCAGATAACACGAAATCAATATCATGCGCCTCAAATGACGCGTGCAAGAGGTTAGAAAAGTCGTTGACGTCGGACAACCTCACTGCGGACCAGTCTACCAGCTGGGACTACTGCTTTGCCGACGACGGAAAGTTCATGGGCAAAGACAGAGCTACCTGTGCTCAATGCCTGCGACAATCCGACGATCAAAAGTATTTAGCCAACTGTAAGCTATACAACCCTTTGTCCTTTATTCTACTATATACTAACGACTAGTAGTCCTCGTCGGTCTCGAGGCTGGCTGCCGACAAACGCCCGAAAAGGGAACTGCCATGGGCCTGAATAGTACCCTCTTCACTACAGACCCTGTAGCTATAGTTGATCCTGAATCTCTTGGCTACCATGCTAATGGTCCATCACTGCCGGTCCCAGCAATCGCTGGCATTGCAGTGGGTGTTTTTGTCCTCATCCTGATCGCCATCGGGCTCTTCATCACCTACTTCCAGAAGGAAAAGAAGAGACCAAGATGGGAGGATGAATGGTACTATGGCCAAGCAGATGTCCCTCGCGTGCCTGCGGTATCTCCTCTGAGGAAGCGCCGCTCCCATGTTGCGTATCCCCTTGAAAAGGCCGCACCTCCTGGCTCCAATGGCAATTATTATGATACCATGGAGAGCAGACTGCGATCAGAAGACAAGGCCGCCGAGTTGTTTGAGATTACAAACCTCTCCTCCAAGCGGACAAGCAGCAATGTCACTTCCGAGGTAGCGCTGCCAGCTCATCCCGCGTACAACCCTTACACGGCGTCTTCACGCAATACAGCCAAGGCCCGCGACATCTCGTCCCCAGATATGTCTCTGCAGCGACCTATTCGCAGTAACACGCCGGACTCCTTTGCGGAACAGGCGTACATGGCCGCAGCAGAAGACTCAGCTCGCCTAGCCATCTCCAAGAAGTCACCAACCTCATCTCATCACCCATCCCAAGCCTCTCACTCCCCAACCTCCGTCCGCCGCACCTCTGGCTTCCTCTCCATCCTCCCAAAGTCCCTCTCTCCCAAGTTCTCCCGCACCACGCAAGACGACGGCCCTGGCCTCGTTGCCAAGTCTCCTCAGGGAGATCCTCAAATCTCGGGGCCCATGCTTCACTTGGGCAATACCCGTCGTTTTGAAGAAACCCCCCAGCACGGCCCTGTCACTGGCCCAGTAGTCTATGCTATGCACGCTCCTCCCCGCCCTCCTTCTGACTACGAGGCCGAGTACCGTGAGGTGCCTCTCAAGAGCGGCAAGAATGATTTATACGGCATCTAAGTTGCATCTTGTCACATATGCATGTGTATCAACAAAGCACATTGCTTGAAAGCCATCGACTGCCCAGATGGCTCAGTTTCTGTTTATACCTTTTTTGATACGGTTCTTTTGTTTTATTCTTCTTGTGGTGCTTGGGAATCACGGCGTTTTATGCGAGGTGCATTCGGAGGATCTAGAGCTTTTTTTGGAAAGATTTTTAACATATCTTATTCAATATAACATTGATATATTCATTCCTATTCTTACGATGCACCTCCCTAATATTACATTGGACTGTCGTGGCTGCAATCTACGAGCCAAGGCGGCGACCAGCTCCTCTGGTTCTCCAAGAATCAGGGAGAGGACCGACATTGGCACCAGAAGTGGTGGCAGACGAGTCACTGTCGGCTCTAGGGCTAAACATGGTACCCCAGGATCGGTTGTTCATGCGACCATTGCCGTCGAACCACTGGACGATGGATTCAATGATGGGTGGCGTGGGAATAGGGTTGAAGCCGCCGCCAGCACGAGGCCAGACCTTGGTCAGGAACTCATACAAATGGCCGGCAAGCAGGCCATATAGATCAAAAAATAGGCCATTCATATCGTTATAGAACAAGTTCATGGCAATCATGCCATAGGGCATCAAGGGAGCCGGAACTTCAAAGATAACAAAGTGGCCCTTCATGCCCTGCTGCTGCTGGGTGACGGTGTAGCACAAGGCAACAGTGAGGGGTTTAATATATCGATATTCGAACGCCAAGGCAAGGAAATAGTCTAGGGCCTGAAGCAGGAATGTTAGCTTCGGTTTTATACACACAATTGGGATATGCTAAATATATCACGCGAGGGGCAAGGTTGAAGAAATGTAGGGAGCAAATAAAACCACCCGAGTGAATAAAGGATCACACGAGCCATCCATAAAGACATCCCACCATGCCCGTACCGCAAGCCAGCCCTAATGCGAATGTGTGGGCCGACTCGAAGCACGGGGGTGATCTTCCTCATTTCCAGGAACCGTGACAGCTGTAGAGGCAAAGCGCTGTCCGGGCAGATATTATGAGGTGTTGTTGGTGTTGAACATGCACGGGATAATGACACACGAAAAAGGAAAAAGCATGGTACAAGAGGACCTACCAGGATAGTTGCCCCCACGAACATGAGATACCAAATGACATCGGCTCGGCGGGGCAGGCGAGGGTGACCTGTTTCCAGGGCCCGAAGCCAGACGTAAAGGAAATACGTGTCAAAGATGAGCGGCAGCCCTTTGCTCGCCCAGAGGAAGCCTGTAACCAGGCGCCATATCTGAGGCGGGAAGCTGAAGACATAGGGTGTATAGTACACAAAGTAGCCGAGGTCGATGAAGCCGATCCACGCTCCAAGCGACACGACGACGGTCCAAGTCACTGCGAACCTGTAGACAAATGACGGTTAGTAGATGCAATAGGCAGAAGAAGAGTAGAGAAGAAAACATACCGAGTGATGGGCGGGATCCGCCAGTAGCCATCAACTGAGAGCTGAACCATGATTTACGAAAAGAAAAGAAAAAAGAGAGAAAATCCCCAATTGCTCAGGTCAGTCACCCCTTTTTGTGCCTCTAAAAAATGAAAAAGAACGAGTCGTGATTCCAGACTTCTTTTATCGATTTTTGATGCTAGGGAATGAGTGATTGAGCGAACCAGGCAGCAGAAGGCGGCGCGTTTCAGAGCTTTGTAGGTAAAGCTATCGTGTCATCTTCGCTGGTGGTTGGTCGAAAGGAAAAGAAAGAAATTTCTCAGCAGGAGCTCGGCGGGCCTAAAAAAACCAGGCTGCGACCCAGGCACAGAAAGTCCCCACAGGCAGGAAACCGAAAATGCCATTAGGCGGGTTTGGTTCGCTGTAGCGGGGTGGTGGATTGTGGGGCGGGTTTGTTTGCTGTAGGCAAGCTTCGGCTCAGGCAGAGAGAGCTTAGCTACCCTGAACGGAGAACGTGATTTGTTTATGAATCGTTGAATTGGCGTACAAACGATTCTTACAGGTTTATATTTCCCCCAAGTCAATGTGACATGAGTCGCACTGATTGAAAGGTGCACCCTAATCATATAACTTTGTATTCTATTCGATTTACTGCCGCGGTTACGGGAGTGATTTTATATCAACAAACAACACTCCATCCAATGACGTCGGCGATATCGGCACAATGGGCTTTCGCGACAAGGTATTAAACGAGGAAGCGGACCGGGCTTCAAAGGAAGCCGTCAAGGGCGGCTTCATTGGAGCTTTGAAATGGGGAGCCGGTGCTGCCATTCTAGGCGCAATCGGATACACAATGTCTCCTGTCTACCGAGCAACGACGGTCCAGTTCAAAGTGTAAGATTGGCGAATCTCGGCGATCACAAAGGGAGATTGCTAACGCGGCTAGGTATCTCCAAATGTCGGGCATGGTACTCGGGGGCATGATTGAGGCAGACTGGCGACTGCGGCAGTTTGAGCAGCAGATGAGACTGCAACGACGAGTCCAGCGTGAAAAAGACCGATGGGCACGCTACGAGGAAGAGTACGGCAAGGGAGACAAATAAGAAGGATGAAATATGCATGTATATAGGAGTTATTTTTATTTTTAAATTTTGTATTCCAAATAAATCATAATGTAAGAAAGCTATGCATCTATGCGGACAGTCTTGTGCCCACAACGTGATACATGGAGCTTTTCCCTTAGACCCAACGCCAAACAAATGCAACTAGGCTACACAATCACTTTCTCTTCTATTTTGTCGAGACCTTGAACCGCTTGGGATCCATGTTAATCTTGCACAGGCGGACAACGCAGCCACTTAACTGCAGCAGCGTCTGCACGCCCTCGAGCACCTTCATGTGCGTGAAGCCAATCTCCTTGATAAACTCCAGCTTGGAGTGCTCGCTCAGCGTAGGAATCGTCTTAGTGACGCGGAACATGGTGCTAATGATGTCATGGCTCGAGTAGCCCAGGTCCCAGAGCTCGCGGAGCGTGTCGAGCGCCGAGTCGACATTGCCCTCGTAGCACGCCTTGAGCATGGCCTGCACCTTGATTGGGTGCGGCGAGTCGACCACCTTGAAGACATTGTCGCCCGAGACGAAGCCGAAACCGGCATGTGTAGATTGCAAGTTGTTGATGGCTTGACGCATGTCGCCTTCGGCCGTGAAGACGAGGGCGGCCAGGCCGTCGTCGCTGTATTCAACCTTTTCGGCCTCGATAATCTGCATCAGGCGCTTGACGACCTGCGCGTCGGTCAGTTTGGCGTAGCGCAGGATGGCGCATCTCGACTGCAGCGGCTCGATGATCTTGTTGGACTGGTTGCAGGCAAAGGCGAAGCGGGTCGTGTTGGAGTAGATTTCCATGGTACGGCGGAGGGCCTGCTGCGCGCCCGAGGTCATGCTGTCGGCTTCGTCGAGAATGACGAGCTTGTGGCGGCCAGCAGGGAGTGTGACTTTCTTCTGGGCAAAGCCCTTGATTCGGTTGCGCACGACGTCGATACCGCGCTCGTCACTGGCGTTGAGCTCGAGAACGGCCTCCTTGTACGTGTCGCCGAGCAGTTCGCGGGCCAGGCAGAGGACACTGCTGGTCTTTCCGATACCAGGCATGCCGGAGATGATGACGTGCGGCATGTTCCCTTCCTTGGCGATGATCTTGAGGCGCTCAATGGTTTCGACGTTGCCGACTACATCATCGAGGAAGACGGGTCGGTATTTCTCAACCCTATGGGAATTGTTAACGGACACGGTGCAAAGGCAGACCAAGCACGAGGGGCAGATGAACGCACCATGGGAGTTCGTAGTTGGGAGCGCTGCTTGTTGAGGCAGAGAGAGCGGCTTTTGAAGCGGCAGTCGAAGACTCGCCCGTCTCCTCCACGACCTTTGCAGCAGGCATTTTTAGAACGGTGAATTGTGTGAATTGGGGTTGGTGGTGGTGATGATTGCCAGTACAAAAATGGTGGTGCGGTGCAGCAGCCACTTAACGCGCCAGTGAGACGCGTTGAGCACCAGCAGTAGCAGCAGCACCACTCAAAAGGGTCGGGTGGTCCGTGCACGCAAAGCTTCCCCCAAAGAAGGCCACTAGCCTCAAACAGGTGGTCGCCATACAACCAGAGCGACAAACTCAAAACTTTTTTTTCTAGACATTATCCTGTTTCCATCTTCACGAGACCAACTACACCACCACGCACAGCGGCTGCACCACAATCCTGACAGTCACAAAATACGCACCACTGAACCTACAACTTATTAATTCACAAATAACCGACCGCAACCATGGGTGTGGCCAAGAAGACGAGAAAATTCGGCCTGGTACGTGTTATCGATAAGCTCCAATGCCAACCACCTTGACGACTTGTTGCAAACTAACCGCAGAAAAACTCTTCAGGTCAAGCGAGTAATTGGCCAGCGCGATGCCCGCCTTAAGGAAAACAAGGCCAAGGCCGAGGCCATCCAAAAGATGAAGGAGAAGAAGACAGCATCCGGCGAGCTGATCCGCGAGGCGCCGCAGATGCCCTCCAACATGTTCTTCCAGCACAACACCGCCCTCGTCCCGCCCTACAACGTCCTCGTCGATACCAACTTTCTCAGTCACACGATCCAGCGCAAGCTGTCGATGCTCGAGTCGATGATGGACTGCCTGTACGCCAAGTGTAACCCAATTATCACCTCGTGCGTCATGGCCGAGTTGGAGAAGCTGGGACCCAAGTACCGTCTTGCGCTGCGAGTGGCCCGTGACGAGCGTTGGACGCGACTGACTTGCGACCACAAGGGCGTCTATGCCGATGACTGCATTGTCGACCGAGTCAGTAAGAACAGAATATACATTGTTGGCACCAACGACAAGGCCCTCAAGCAACGCTTGCGCAAGATTCCTGGTGTGCCTCTGATGAGTGTGGCTCGCGGAAAGTACGTTATCGAGAGATTGCCGGATGCCCCTGGATCATAAGTTTATGCGGGATCTTGGTTTATGACTACTGGTTTGCATTTTGTCTGGCGTTTAAAGGTTTACGTTGCACATAGATTTTCAAATGGATGTCTTGTTTTGTGATTCAATTTGGTATGTTGCCACGAAAATGAAAGAGTTGATGTAATGGTGAGAAACGGGACTATTCGGTGAACACTTTCCCTGAAGCAATGGTATCAAGAGCATTCATGGTGTGACTGTACATGAGCTTCTCGAGAGCATCCTTAGCCTTGTCGGCGTACCTTTCTGGCTTGAAGACGTCTTCACCATCCCAACCCAAGGCGTAGCTACCGCCACCAAGCTTGCCGTTTGTGGATTTGATCGCATCTTGGACGGGCTCGCTGTCAGAGGCTGCTGGATACTTGGCCGAGAGCAAGCTCAGCATTCGGGCGCCGCACTCTGCATGCGGGACGCAAACGAAACCCGACAGGAGAGGCACGAAAAGGTAGCGCCAAAAGAGGCGAAAGACGAGTGGTAGTTGCGGGTTGTAAAAGCCAGGGCCCGTGACTAGTCCTGGGAAGACGTGATTGAGTGACAGTCTACCAGGATTCTCCCTGGCCAAATGTTCAAAGAAGAGCGTGTACATGTAGACCACATGGGAACGCGCTTGGGTGTATTTGTAATTTTCTGGCTTTCGGAGAGAAACATCGTCAGCGATGAGCTTTTCTTCATAGCCACCGGCAAAAACAGATACAACCGTTGCCGGAAACGAAGACTGCAAGAGGAGCTGTTTGAGCCGCAGGATCATTCTGATGCGGGCATAGTACATGAGGGCCATTGTTCTGTCGAGACCTTCGGGAGTATCTGGGGAGGATTAGTAACGACCAAATTGGGCAGAAGAAAAATAAAAAGACATACCGTCTCTGGCCTGGAAAATGACTGCACCCGGCGAGAGCAAGAGGTAATCAATTCTGCCATCTTGATGCATGGCCTCGGCCTCTTGGATCTTTGCGCATACCTCGTCAACATTCTTCATCAGCGCTAAATCATTTACTTGAACAAATATGACGCTGCTCTCTGGGCTCAATTTGTTGCATTCCGCGATGACATCTTTTGCTGCATCTGGCTTTCTGCCCACGAGATAGGCTCTAAACGGCTTGCCCTTGTTTTCCGATACTGTTGTCGCCAAAGCTGAAAGGGCATATTGGCTGATGCCGCTGCCGCCAACAAAGACGGCGACAATGGGCTTCTGGACGCTCTCGGCGTTGAGCTGATGCACAGTGGTTAATTTTACCATGCTGAATACGAAAGGAGAATGGATGAAAAGAGATGCGCAAGGGTGATGATTGGAATTGAAATGCTGGTGGCGACGTCTGTCTCAGCTCTTATAAGATGCGCAGCCTGATCGGCGATGGCGGCGAACCAACGCCGACGAACTACAAAAAGGAAGATCTCCAGTAAACAAGTCGCTGAAGAAATCTTAAGAAATCCGAATAAAGTGCCAACGACCGACTCATCATGATGTATATGGACTAGTGGCAGCAAATAGATCGGATGAACTTTTGCGATGGGCCGGACGACGCTGTACGTAGCCTGGAATATTCTAATAAAATACATGCTGAATGACCCCTTGCAAGTTCAGGCTGCATATGCTAGTGTTAAGTAATTAAATGCCACGCCTGTTTCTGCACCTGGGCTATCGCGTCGGGAGCAGCCGTACTTGGCAAGCATCTTCAGGGCCACTCCCCTTGTTTTCTTTACATCAGACTCGGAAAGGATTCTTTAACAACGAAGAGTCCCGCGTATTTTTGGAGCTTACACATCGCCCAGAAAGACTGTGAGTGAGTCAGGATCAGGCTGGTAGAAGCAAGGGTCATGCTGCACACCTGACTGCAGGTACAGGAAATTAAGGTCCTCCCCGTCTAAAAAAAATACATCAAGGCTGTTTTAATAAAAGTATTTATTTCCCCATGAATCCTACCTTCAATTGCGCAGAGTAGTGACATTTCCGTCATCGCGACTTTCTCTATATACCACCACCCACAGCTTCTCACGATGCCTACCGCCAGCATCCACGGTTATGACACATTGGTTAATATTGGTCCCGTTACTACCACCTTCACCGCGGGCCCAGCATGTTCTACCATCCCAACATTTCCCGTAATTGGCGCGATTGAATCTGATCGTAGCATGGAGCCTCGTGCTAATGTCTTTTGCGACCACGTGAATCGAACACCATGCTTCCCATCCGGCACTGCATACATGGAGGCAGCCAAGAGCGGTACTGCATGGAAGGGGATGATACCATACTATTCACAAGCAGCACACTGCCCGTCCGGATGGACCACGATAGGCACAAAAGCTCCAAAAAATGGCCGGCTCTGGCCTCTTCAGCGAGGTCTATGGCGCCGATGATCCCAACGTCTAGGCAGACATGGTGGATGCTATTCTGGCACCCGAGGAGACCATGTTGCTATGTTGTTCAAGGTGAGTAAACGACTATGGTCTTTACTACGGACTTATATGATCAGTCACGATTAACAATGCCTTCTTGTAGTGGCTACACGCAGCAACGGATTGGATGCATGTCCACAATGGGTCCGCTGAGCTCCTTTCCACAAAGCTACAGCTCGGTCTGTACGCCGCTCCATGGTTATGTTGACGCATACAATGCGCTCAAAATGTAAAAGAGTCCATGATTCTTAGTTTATAATAACAAGAACACCGTTTAATACTCTGGAAGAACTGTTACCCGCAGTTTGCTCTCTACTGGCCGCACAGAAACGGCACGGTTCACTACCAGCTTGGCTTCGTCGGCCTGCTCAGGGTTAACCAGATCAAAGCTCAATCTGCTTACCCAGCCAGCGAGGATAGTAGCAAATTCGCCCTTTGCAAAGCCTTTGCCAATACAGTCTCGAGGTCCGTGGCCAAACGTCAGTGAGGAAAAGTTGGTCCTAGCACCACCGTTGCCCACGCGCTGGGTATCGTCCGCAGCAGGTGTAAGCCATCTCTCTGGATCAAATGCATCGGCATCGCCCTCCCAAGCGCTGGGATCAAAATTGGTTGCCCAAGGCACAAATATCACAACAGTCCCCTTTGGGATGCGCTGGCCCTGCAACGAAGAGTCGATCAGCGCGTTACGCGTTATCATGGGTATCGGCGAGAAGTAGCGTAGCGTCTCGTTGCAAAACGCTTGAAGGTACGGCATCTGGTTCACCCTGGCGGCAATAATGGGATCTCCAGAGGTGACAGAAGGCAAGACTGCTCGAACCTCGTCGCGGAGGCGCTTCTGCATGCCCTGGTGACGGGCAAGCAGATACACCGCCCAGATCAGGGCAGATGAAGTCGTCTCGTGGCCAGCAAGCAAAAATGTCATCAGTTGGTTTTCCATGACCTCTTGACTCATTTCCTCTTTGCTTTGCAATACGAGCGTCAAGATGTCTTTGCCGAGCTCCTTCTTTTCAGCAATCTGCTTCTTGCGAGTCTCGATGAGGTTACTGCAAACCGAGCGGATGTAGCTGCTCGACTGGTCGACATAGCGGGTGCGAGGCAGAGGAATCTTGACAATCCAACGGGCAGGCAAGAAGCGAGCGATGAAACTGAGAGTTTTGTCATGCTCATGTGGGATAATGAGTGAGTTGTAAGTTGAAAGTAGCTTCGAATTAGGGTTCTGGATAGCGCCAAAGTCCACGCCCATACCGGCCAGGAAGATGAGATCGAGCGTTGTTCGGCTAGCAATGGAGTCTAGGGTCAAGACACTCTCACCTTTTTTGCCACACGCTTTGATCATGTCCTCAGCTGACTCGGCTGCCTTGGCCCAGAAGGTGGGATACAGATCCTTTACATGGCCGAAGCTGAAAGCCGGCATCAGGATGCGACGGTGAGTTCTGTGTTCCTCGCCATGGGATAGAATAAGGCCACGTCCGAGGATGCGGCCAAAGGTATGTGTCAAGTTTTGGCTACGCACGAATTCGGTTGGTTTTGTAACAAGCAATTCGGAGAGAGCTTTTGGGCCGTTGACGATGATGCGTTCCTGATTAAAGTATCCAAAGTACCGGATGAGTCCGTCGTTAGGGACATCCCGTACCCTATATAACAACAAAAGAATTGTTAGCATAAACCTTACTTTAGAAGCCTGAAAGACGAGCAAAAGCACTTACCATTGTCTCATGGGCATGCCCAGATGCGCGGCATCAATCTCTCTGCCGTGGCCGTATAGCCAGTGAGCACCAGGAGCCGTGGGGACATGGCGTAGTGGTGATACGTAATGAGGATAGATGGTAACGCGATACACGCAATAAAAGACTAGAAGAAGGACCCAAATACTCGCAAAAGAAGCCCAGAACAACACTCGTGAGCTGCTTTCTTGGACAAAGACAGTCAAAAAAGCCCCAGTAAGCGCCGAGAGCGTTACTCCAGCGAGTGGAAACCCCATTTTTGCACTTTCGTGGGAGCCAGGCTTGATTTCTGCTTCTCTTCGGCTGGTCTTTAGAAGCTTGTGGTGCTGCTATGCTTTTATTCGCCAATATCGAAAACGGGAGTATTGCTTTAGGCAGAAGAAAGGAAGGGCAAGATATTCGGTGCAAAATTAAGCAAGAAGAACAGCCATCGTCTTTGAAAACCTTCCTCAGTTTTCTATCGGCCTATGAGCTCGACTTAGTACGTTTCCTAGAGAGGTAAAGCATGCGAACATTCATGGCTGTGCTCTTAGCTCCCAAAGGGAGTCTTTGAAACAAGCTGGAGCAGCACTAAGCTGTCTGGTTTTGCTTGTGCCATGATCCACTTCTCGAGCTATGATCTTATTGCTCTCGTATAGTTCATCCATTTCAGCTGGCCACCAAGCTCTCGGCGATTTCTAACTTCGAGGCTAGTCTATGCAGCCGAGTTCTATAGACACGTCACCTAGACTGTTCGGTTATAGCAGGCTCTGTGTTATCGTGAGGGGATATGGGTATGGTTTATCGTCCTACAAGACTTCCAAGCCACTATACTTAGTTGGTGTCGGTTTCTAATGACGTGGAGACAAAGGTTGGTACAGGCAAGTGGCGTTGCTAGTAGGTTAGGCCAGATCCTACACCTGTTTAGCTATACCGTCGATGACGTTCGTCTTTGTGGGCGAAGGCCCTTTCACTAAAAGCACCAGGGCGGGAGTCTTTTCATGATGCAGGGCCGAGTATTGCTATCCCTTGCTCTGTACCCTTGTCTGTCAATGGCCTGTCTGACAAGATTGGATCTTGTATGTATGAGGCGTTTCTGATCCTTGCATTATGCAGGCCAGACTGACGTAAACAAGGCTCTCTCGCGTTACCTCAATCCCAGCGCACTACTCAAGATAACTAATTGCCCGATTAGTACATTCTTGCGAAGTTGCAGCGCGCTAAAAGCCCCCACCCCCCTGAGACATACCAGATAATTGGGCGCTGGTGGCCGATCGATGGGCCGCAGCGCCTAGATCCCGCGTCATACAAGGTTGGTAGCAGCAGAGCTTTCTTGGAAGGGGCCTGTGCTAATAGCCATCATGGTCTCGGTGTCAGTCCGAGATGCAGCTACGCGAGCAAACGCCAAGCTGCTCCAGCAAGTTGCCCCGCCAGTGTTTGTCGTCTGTAGTTCTATGATCGACATCGAAATCTTGGCGTCGTAAGCCCCCGATAGGATTAAGTGGCGTTCGCCGGCGGCGGGTAACGCCATCTCACGGCAAAGGAAGCCGTCGCCGAATTACAGATGAGCTTTGAGCTTGCGTCTGATCTTGAGCTCATTGTAGTGCATCTCCTTTCCACCAAGTTGCCTCTCTCCTTCGCCTGAGTGTTACTCTGTGAAGCGGACCAATCACAAGAGCTATGTATAGCGCTAAGTAGACCGAAAACACAAAACATAAAATAAAAAGGGGCACAACCCAAAAAAAGTAACGAGAGGACGAGGTGGGCATAATGGGTCTAGAAAAGCTGGAGGCGAGAGGCATGTCGCTTAGCGCCATGCAAGTGTATCTATATCAGCGACTTAGCTCCAATGCAAGCTTTCCACTGCACACTAAAAAGTCGCAACTTTGGCCCAAGGTAGCTTAGCCTCCAAGCAGAGCTTAGTTGAGCGTCAAAAGAAAATCTTTGCGTCCAAAGGGAGCTAATGTGATGCGGAGCCAACAGAGGTAGGCCTCACTCCACTGGCCATGGCCTTTGTTGAGAGTGAATGGTAATGGCAAGGCTGTGTGTATAAAGCAAGCTCGTGTTGCTGTCCGTAAACGTTTGTTGTGTCGTCCATCCACCAACTTACAATCTTTCCACGTTCCAACTACTCTTCTCCTTATACCACCAATTTCACAATGGTCAACGCCAAGTTCCTCTTTGCTGCCGTTGCTGGTCTTGCCTCTGCTGCCCCTGCTGCTGAGAAGCGCACCGACAACGGTGTTCATGTCGTCCATAGCGTAAGTTTCCTCTGCTGTACTGACCTGTGTTATAACTGTATACACTCCAACTAACACCAATGCTTAGTTCGAAGACGCCAGCAAGCTCCCCCTTGTCACCTTGACCACGGCTGACAAGTACAAGGGCCTTCACTACAAGGGCTTCTTCTACGTTGATGCTGGTGTTGGTGGCCTTCTTCTCACTGGTATCCGCCCCCACAGCCCCAACACTGTCGTCACCACTGGTGATCTCCAGACTCTTGTTGCTGGCTCCCCCGAGATCAACATTGACGGCACCGACACCAAGTCCTTCGACTTTGAGTCCTTCTGGTTCGGCTGCAGTGCCAACACTGCTGCTGTTGCCGTCACTGGTGTCCCCCAGGGCTGCACTGTCACCGTCACTGGTTATGACACCGATGGCCAGGTTGCCGGCGTCCAGTCTTTCGACTACGTCCCTACCGGCCTTAAGGATGACATGACTCAGGCTGTCCTCGGCGACGGCTTCTGTGGTCTTAGCCGTGTTGAGTTCAACACCAAGAGCGCCCTCCGCCCTGTCATTGCCAACCTCATGGATGATCTCAGCTTCACCCTCTACAACTAAACACCAGTTGTGTTTTCCTTTGGCTTCAGAGGTGAATAACCCAAACAGTACAGACATTGGACTGGCTACGACTGTATATGAGACGAACCTTGATTAAAATGGAAGAGAAAATCGGCAAACTTGGCGTTCCTTTGAGCATACATGCCGCTTTTGCTTTGGAGTGTACACAGTTTCTGTTTATATAGACAATTAGATAATGTTAAGAATATTGAAAACAAACGTATTCGTTTTTCTCACCATCTTTCATTCTCACCATCGCACCAGTTCCGCTATTTTACTTTGAGCTCTTCGAGTTGAATTGGCTGAAGAGCCGGAGCTCACACTATCTGGGAGCCGCACTGGACAACGGCTGCGCCGAGGATGTGGCGTCGCGTCGACGGGCTCGTGCAGTATTGCCACACTGACATCTGCATGTATGCAGTAGTCTGCTTATAGAACGATGCAAAGTATGTAGGCTCTAATTTCTAACCGCGCTATTTTCTTCAGCTAGTGAAATGATAAGGGGCCAGTGCATCTCGCGCGGCTACCTGGTCTGGAAGCAGAGCTTCGTGCCTTTGGTGGTACGTTGAGGTGTCCATGATATTGTGTTGCCTGCACGTGTTTTGGCGTTGAGTGGCGTATGTTTTGGTAATCCCCAGGGGAAAGAAATTCCATATCTGGACAGGTTTGGTGTGGCTGGCTGCGACGGATACTGTGACTCGGCGAGTATTACGGCGAGGCTGCGTATCAGAGTATTTAGAAACGCATATGAATCCGCATCACTTCCATATTTTCTTCCTTTTAAGCATCATATTATCCGCCTGACATCCTGTGAATAGTCTGCAGATATTTTCAAAACTCACCATCTCACTTATCTCTCCGGTTGTGCCTGTCAGCATGGCGAATGCGTCTCGCCTCGTTTCGCCACAGCCGCTGTTGCTGTAAGGGCAATGCATGCACGCGCCATGCAGCCCGGATTCGAGACCCAATGCAGCCTAGTCAGTAGCAGGAAGAAGCAAGATATCGAAAAATGTAGAAGCAGCCCTTTCATCCTGGTTCCTCGGCTAAAACAAATAATGATGAAGCGACTGCAACTCTGCTCAGCACAGCTCTGAGCTGGCCCAGCCTCCCGCCGCCATCGGACCGCGGTCTTTGCTTGGTGTACTTGTCAATTCTTTTGCGCTTTGTTGCGAATTTGTAAATTCTCGCTTCCGTGCGCATCCATCGCCCCATCTCTGGCCCCGGCGCTGTATCCTGAAAAGGCGGGCGCCATGCAAATCATTTGGTGCGTGGGTGGTCATGCGTGGATGCACGTTGTTGAGGGTGGCCTCTGCGTCTGGCGGTGGCTGGCACCTGGCGTCGATAGTCGCACCTGGCAGCCTAGCGGTTTCAATGCGCTGGGGAGGGGAAACACTGCAACAAAATAGTGCCCTTTCCTGGTGTTGCATTGTTTCGCATGAGCAGCTCAGGCCAGACGTCGGTCTGATGTACAAGAAGGGAAAAAGCAAGGACAAGGAAATATATGGCGTGCTTCTTCCCCCGCGTCGTGGGTTAGGATTTCAATTTGCTCCCCACGATATGTCTACTTGAACCCCGCAAGCTTCCTCTTTTCATTTTGCTTCGAAAGCCTCTTTAATCGATCTTATTCTTTCTTCATTTTGCATATAATCGGCTTCTATTACTACAGCAATGTCAGACGATCGTGGGCCCCAGATTGCGGGTGTCGTCATTGCCCTGTATGTTGCGTCGGTGATTACAGGCGGCCTGCGCTTCTACACGCATGCCGTAATCACGAAGCGCTTTTATATCGAAGATTATTTAACCATGGTTGCTCTGGTACGTTTTATTGACACCAATTGCATGTCATGATTTCTAACCAGCGGCACAGCTTCTTTACACGGTATACACAGTCTTTGGCATCATGGCCGTGGGCTACGGCCTTGGCAAGCACACCGACATGGTTGAACCCGACCATCACCCTACAGCCATCATGTTCCGGTGGCTCGCTTCCATCATCTACATCTTTATTTCTGTTCTCACCAAATGGATCATTGGTCTGTTCTTGCTGCACATTTGCCCGGGAAAGCGATGGCGTCAAATCACCATCTGGGTCATCATGGTGTCCGTCAGCGTCTTTACCGGCATCTACATTGTCCTCGACATCATCAGCTGTCAACCCATCCGATTTGAGTGGACACGCCACGCCGAGAACCCGGAGCCGGGGACGTGCCATGCGCCAAAGTTTGCTACAATTAGCACCTATATTGCTGCTGGACTCAACATTATTGCCGACTGGATTCTGCCAATTTTACCCGCAACACTCGTCTGGAAGGCCCAGTTAGACAGACGGGTCAAGATCTCCGTCATTGTGCTCCTCTGCCTCGGATCCATGTAAGTCGATCACGGTGTGCTGTACCCCTGCAAACAACCCCTGCTAACAAACTTACCCACAGCGCCTCCATTGCTACCATTGTCCGCATTCCCTATGCCAAGGGCTACCTCAACAACCCGGATTATTTGTATACATCTACAGATATCTGCATCTGGAGCACCGTAGAAATCGGAATAGCCCTGACAGCCGCTTCACTCGCCACACTTAAGCCGCTGCTGCGTAAGATGAACCTGTTCAACATGTCCGAGATCGCCAGCTACGGCGCCAACAGCCAGCGCCATACTACAGACGGCGGCAACTTTTCCAAGAACCGTGTTTCGCACATAAGTAACAAAGGTTTGCGCCAAAGTCCCGTCGGCGCACAAGAACCCTGGACCCCAAACACCATCAAAGAGTTGGTAGAACTAGAATATGTTGCGACTGGCGACAGCGCAAGTAACAAGTCGACAGAGAAGCACCCGTGGACGCACGTTTGAAGGAGCCAATGGCCGGTTCTTTTTTGCCTTTTCATTTTTACGTGATTTATGAGATATACCCCCAACATTATTTGTTATTTATTTTTATTTTTAACGGCGCAACATGGTTTACGTCTAGAAACACAGGATAGCCACCAGGACGGATCAATCGGCACAGGAGCGCCTTTCGCATCTTCCCATAGAAACAATAAACCACACTAGCATAATGGCTCCAGGCACCTCTTTGCGCTCACTTTCCTTTATTCTGCGCCCCATCAACGTTGTCAGATTATTGGCTGCCAGCAAATCGAGCAGGCCATGGGCAGCTCTGGAACGTCAACACATAGCATTGTTTGGGAATAGCGCCGGCACTTTGCGTCCCCAGGGGTACCTCGCAAGGCGCCATTGGTGGAATTTGAGGAGCGTCTTACATGGTGTTGTAGGGCTAGTGATGCTAGCGCAGATCGCTTCACCGTGTTAGTCGCGGCGGCCATGCATAAGAAGGACCGCAAACCACCCATTGTTGTCCATTCTGTTGCCTTTGTTTATCAGTCTTTTACTAAACACCGAATTCCTCATACGATCAAAATGAAGTCCTTCTACACCGCCGCCGTTACTGTCCTGGCCTCCACTCAGACCGTTCTGGCCAACAACCCCATCCAGGAGTCCGACTTCACCAATAACAATGGTCTTGCTGCTGCCCAGGCTGCCGCCCCCATGTGGTACATGCCTTCTGGTACTTGCATGCCTTCTGCTGCTGAAGACGGCAACGGTAAGCAGACTGACGGTGTTGATCCCGATAACTGCAACATCGACAAGCTGAGCCACGGATGCCCCGAGCAGCCCAAGTACCAGGGCGACAACACGTTCTACGGCAACGTTGCTGGCGAGCCCTTTGGCACTATTCCCACATACTGGGCTTCCAAGAAGTGCGGTGACACCTGGAAGATCATCTACTACGTCTACTTCAAGAAGGATACCGGCCACAAGAGCGACTGGGAGGGCGTTGTCATCAACTTCAAGAACGGCACCAACGGCTGGACTCGCGACAGCGTCAAGTTTGAGCAGGACGGCAAGCATCCCCAGACAAACTGGGGTGACATTAACGATACTTTTGACGGGTCAGTAGTTCCCCACATATTGTTTTCTTTCCACCCCCAACATCGCCAAATCCCCGCAAAACGTTCTGCATCACAGCGCAACCACCATCCACGCGGCTGACATGATTTTTAGCAACGACGATTACCAGAAGTTCCAACAAAAGAATAAAGATCATCCCAAGATCTACTTCGGTAAGTGGCATCACTCAGCTCACTCAGAATGGCATACAAATACTTTCAAAAACACGTGCCCTCCTACGTCTGGTGATGACTTCCGAAATGCGGATTATCAATTCTGGGCTAGAAACAACCTTCGTCACACTTCTGTCCTCGATCCTAACTGGAAGTGGGGCAAGGCTACTTCTCCTGCCAACATTGACATTTGCAGCTTCTAAATTGCTTAACAAATGTCTATAATGGCAACGGATGAGTGTCTGGTGGACGAATGAAGGTACAGCTACTGGTGCTGTATATACTTTGCTCGAGGCCGCACATATCGCAAGCAGCAAACTCATGTATACAAAATATGTCATATTTATGTATATAGAACGCTTTTCAATAAGCCGTATATACAAACTAAACCACGTTACCTATCATATGCCGTCCTCCGTTCCCAACACAACATGTTCAGGACCATCTAGTGGGTAATGGCAATGCAGTCCTTGAGAAGAGGCTCGGATCTCTGATAGATGGGGTTCTTGTGAGGAAGATCTCCGGGCTTACCAAAGCCGTAGAAAGAATCGAGCTCAATGCCAACATCGACCTCGTAGTGCAGAGAAGAGGTTCCGTTGTCGCAAGTGTTAGGAGCGTTGACGTCGGCACCAGCCTTGAGATCAAGGTAAGGCGCAGCAAGAGCCAGACCACCGGTAACATCCTTGCCCAGGATATCACCAGAAATGTCAAGCGTCAAGAGAGGGTTCACACGAGCAGTGAGGCTAACCTGGGCGCTGACCGTAGGGTTGATGCGCTGGAACGTGGGGTTGAAGGCGGTGATGCCCTTGCCAAAGGCTACAGTCTGGCCATCAGGAACAACAAGCTTGGCTCCAAAGACGGTGCCAACGCTGCCAGAGATGTCACTGACAGTAAGCTGACCCTGAAGAGTGATTTCAGGCTCGAGCTTGACAATGCCGCCAATCTTGAACTTGCCAAGAGAGAACTTCTCAATGACAATAGAGTCAGTAAGGAGCGAGGTCTTGATGGCTGCCGAGACGGTCACGCCAATAGCAAGCTGGAAGTACACGCCGTCCGTGGTGAGAGCCGAAGCGGAGAAGCCAGACTTGGTGGAGATGGTGATGTCGGTGTCCAGACTACCGTGGCTGCCGCAGTCCTTGCACTCAACAACGAGATGGGCAGGGCCAACGTCGGTTTGGTAAAAGACCTTGTTGTATGTATGCTCCAGGCTGAGCTTGACCTTCTTGGTGACGCTCTCGCGCTTGCGGATAAGCTCGGAGCCGGTGATGTGCACATCAGCGTCCTCGACAAAGTCGTTCCAGTTGTCGGTAGCAACGACAGAAAGAGTGGCAGCATTGCCATTGTACGCAACACTGTTGACGTGGTAGGGCGTGCGGCCCTCGACGCCACCGCAGCCAACAGCATCTGTGAGGAAGATGAGAGTGTTGGCAGCATCCTGCTTGACCCACGACCAAGCAGCCTCGGCCTTGTCAACGGAGGAGGGGGAGTTGAATGTGATGACGACATTCTTGGGGTTGGAGCAGTCTACGGACTTGACGAGGTCAGCAAAGAGATGCTCATTCAGAAGACGGTACTGAGGAAGTGCCGTGACAGTGACATTGGCAAGGAGGCCTGGTGTATTGTTAGTCCAGACGACAAAATGTGGAAAGTGAAAGAGATGAAGTACCTTGGTCTTCGTGGGACCAGTAGAAGTTGTCCTCAGTGGTCAGATCAAGGCTCTGCTTAGAGTTGAAGAGATAGTCTTCATGAAGAGGATGGGTAGGGGCAAAGACGACATCACGGGCCTTTTCTTCTGGAGCAGCGTCGCGACGACCGCGAGCCTTCTCCTCAGGCGCGGCATCACGGCGGCCACGGGCCTTGTCCTCGGGGGCAGCGTCGAGACGGGCAATGGAAGCACCAGAGACGACACTGGTAAGGAGAGCGCCCACAAGGGCAGAAGAGAGAAGGGATTTGGCAAACATGGTGAGAGTATGCTATGTAATGACAAAAGAGTGCTGATACTGATCTGGTACGGGCATATAACCTTCTTTTATACTTGGACTCTGTCCTAGAGCAAGGCCATGGCTCCTGCAGCTGAGCTGGAGCCGCGGAGTCTCCCTCTAAGGCTCAGTCTTTGCTTAACTGAATCAAGGAATATTGCGAAAAAGAGGAGCGTAGTTCATGGTAACGTCGCAGTGGAACGGTCAGCCCAAAAGTTTCACGCGTATGAGAACGGGCTGAGGCAGATTTGCTTGTTCGGCCCGATATGATCGGCAGACGCTGTTAATTGTGTGGGCAAGCCTATAACGTTGCTAGGGTCTGATTATCCTGCAGAAAATATGGGCATTGGCTAACATATGCTATGCTTTTCTTTGTATCTACACTATATCATTGCTTGCCTCACCACTCACACCAATCTATACACATCCTCAACGCCCACCATTTCAACCACAACACCACTGCGATTTGAATATATCCGGTGATATCCGCATCTACAACGACGTCATTTTGCGCCCCATTTGGTGATCAGATGCTTGTTTAGGGACGAAACGCGCCAGAGCTGAAGCAAAGCCCGCAAACTCTGCATAGCGGCCCTGAGTGGCCTCCGCAGGGGCTGACCGTTATGGGTAACCCTTTGCAAACGCCCCTAATTAGTTCCCGCGCCAAATCCAGCGCCGGTGCCTTGGAAGAGCAACAGTTTAGTTAGTTCCTGCATGCATGGCGCGATGACCGCAGCGGCACAGCGCGCAAAGTCGCTGTAAGTGGCTTAGCGCAGTGCGGTGTGGCTTGCGAATCAGCGCCGTACCGAAAGCCCTCAGGGATTGAAAGAGCTAAGCGATCTTTTATTATGATTGGTTGGAGACAAACTATATTACGGCGATGAATCGGGGCCTTTTGTCTGTAGTCGGTCTTGTTCCGTTCTGTATTGTTGTTGCTGGTGTGAGTGGCTGTTCACGTGTTACGTGTGAGAATAGAGACGCTGCGATGGTCTGAGTTTTCTATTCTCAAAAATATCACTAGTAGAGGACCGCCGAGGAAATAACAGGCGAGATATGCCATTGGTAGGCACAGAGTCCGTAGGGTCAGCACATAAGGCTCTCGCTCCCGATGGGCCGTTGCTCACTAGGCTAATGCAAACCTGGCGCCGATGCGATTCAGCCGTGATCCGATATTCTTAAAAAGGCAGTTTGTGTAGGATGGGAGACCATCCTTCAGCGGGTTCCTTTTCATTTCGCGGCTTGTCGGAGATGCCTCGGCGATGTAAGTGGGCAAACTTCATGAAACAATCCCACCGGACAGTTCCGATTGGCTATGGACCATGTTAGATAGGTGTTCGAAAAAACAGACATCTCTTTAAGGCATTATGCCAAATATTTCTTAGTTATTGTATATTAAGTATTGGCCTTGCTGTTGTTTGATATATGTTTGCGTATATGTCTATGTGTTTATGTACTTGTGTGTTTTTGAGCTCAGGCATTTTTATATGATACGTAGAGATGATAGCGGCCCTGGATGGAATATCTCGTACTTGCCGGAAACTTGCTAGAGCAGGCGGATGTTGCGTGCTGGTGATCCAGTTCTGTATCTGTGCACCTTCGATTCGGTACGCATTCGGATAAGACTCAGGCGCTGTTAGATGCAACAAGGTGTCTTCTGACAATTTCTCTGGCTCTTCAGAGTCAGGTCCCATGTAAAAGTCATCCTTCATAGACCAATTATAAGCATCGATGCGCCTAAGCATGCCATATTCAAACTCACTGCCGTCCAGTAGAGGTAAATAATTCATATCTAGAAATCGATAAAAATTAGTGACGTTCCAGATAATATAGCAATAAACTTAACGGAGCTATTCGCAACGGGCTCTACCGAACACGCTACGAAAGCGGGCCTAGAGCTGCATGAAAACTTACCCGACAAGACTAAACGATCCATGGATCACGAACATAAGGATTCTCAGTTCCCATTCTCTTGTGACATCAATAACCCAACAAGACACGACGACTGGGACGCCATGAAATATCACCACATCTACAGAGACCTATGGGAGCGGAAACTTCCTCAGGAAAAGTTTATCGGCTGTACGAGAAACAGTTTTGACTATCTAGAGTTGCAAGCCTGGGCAGAAAGCATCATTAATCACCCAGGCCCTTCGTATGATGTCATACCAACGAGCTTCGAAGAGAACCCATATGGGGTCAAGGTCAAGAAGAGTCGCGATGCAGCCGACCAAAACAGTGACCATGAAGAAGAATATATACCTTTGCCATAGCTACGTTGAGAAATAGAATGTGGCTTTCCAGGCCCTAGAACCGACACGGTCTACTTTACAAGTGCTGTCGACTCTGTGATGGATGCTGAGACGGGAGACTCAACGGACCACAGCAGACGGGTTTCAAACGCGCTTGAAAAACTCCTCTCGTCTCATGGTAACGGAGAAACCAGGGTTACTAATTTTAGACAATACATGGGCCTACTATTGCGGCTACGACTAGGCTGTGCACCAGTTAGCGCGGCCAGGCTGTTCCATCGAGGTCAAAGCGCAGTTCCTCAGATTGCCGCACAGTCGGTAACATGTTTATTTTAAAAGTCTTTGTGTTTCCGAGCAGATTTCTTTTCAAGGTTTTCGATGCGGTGATTACATTAAACATCATAAATCAGCCTCACTCACATTCAGCATGGAAAACCAATCACCGTGGCCAAAACCCGAAGGCGAAACCGCCCGGCCTTACACAGGATGGCAGCAGCCAGCGAGCTGGCAGCAACAGCAGCCCTACCAAAACATGGGCGGACCAAATCAACAGTATGCGCCGTTGACGTCGGGGGCTCCAATGGCCCCGACATATCCCCAAAAGAAAAAGACCATCATGGGCCTGCGCAAACCCATCTTCTTGATCGTTGTGGTTGTTGGCGTCGTGATTCTACTCGCCATTGTTGGCGGCGTGGCTGGTGCACTGGCTATCAAGGCGAAAAAGTATGTTTTAAAACCTGACCTGTTGATTACTATACAATTATGATAGTGTGATGCTAACAGCGTAAAGGAACAGTCAGAACAACAGCAACAACAAATCATCCACACCGTCAGGCTCAAACAATAACAGCAACATTGACAAGAATAACTTTGTTGCTCCCACCGATGTCGCTATTTCCACTACTTGCAAAAAGGGCGACAAGCGCACGCTGAAGCTGAGCGACAAGTCCGACGCGGTCTTCAACCTCGAGTGCGATGCCAATAGCGACGGCGACGACTTGACTCGCGTCATCTCGTACTCGCTAGACGACTGTATGATTGCATGTGCGAAGTACAATGCCATTGCTAAGAAGCGAGTGTGCGCTGGCGTCTCGTTTTCGCCTGATCTCAAGGGTTTACGGACGAGCCAGGACGGCAACTGTGCGCTGAAGACGAAGAAGGGCACGACCAAGACGGCCAAGGGAGTCATTAGTGCTTACTTTTAAGGGATTTATAGATATATTGTGTCTCCTTTTCTTCTAAAAAACAATAGAGAGAAAAGAAAAAGAAGAACAAACGGTGATGGGCAGCGGAACTATGTGCTAGTAGTAGTGGTCCTCTATTTTATGCTTTTATGTCGCAAAATGCATCATTATTCTTAATTATCACAGAGTAAAGATTCGTTGTATATGTACAAAATATAGGCTATATTGAACCTCCCAGTTGTTTGTTTTGCTTAGCACGACCAGGCATGGTCATCGTTAAAGTCAAAGGATACAATTCCCTCATGCTCCTGGGAATAGATGGTGGTCATGCAGGAGCAGAATCCACGGCGGCAAAACTTGAGCGTATCATGCGGATAGACAAAGATGTCGCTATCGTTGGGGCCATCGGCAGAGCACTTGAAGTGGACAGAGGCAATGTTGCCTTCGCCGTTGTTGACGCAGTACTCGGAGATGCCGCATTGCATGGGGCCATGGATTTGGTCGTCGACGGGCTGAATCATGGCAGAATTGCAGGCGCCGTCGCGAATGTAGACGTCAAGGCGGCCAAAAAATCTAGCGGAGACGGCACCAGCGAGGAGAGGGATGGCGGCGAGGTAGAACTTCATGATAGCGGAGGAGAGGGGCGTGTAAGTGGTGATGATGGGCGTAGCTGGTTATCCCATGGAGGGAGGACCATCAGAACTCGGACCTTTTATACTTATCCCACGAGGGTAAAATTTGTATTCTAGTGTTAATTATTTACTCACTCCATATATTTCAATAGTCTGTTTTCACCATTCACCGAGTCTTGACGCAAAAGGCTTACCAGCCGGAAGACAGGACCTCGCCTGGCCTTTCCAGATTGGGCAATCCGCCAACGAGGGCAGAAATAGGCAAGCCGCTATATAATGACAGCAAAAGAGCAGTAAAGGGGGAATTTAGATTGAATGAATTATAATAGTGATAGCTGTTCTCTCCATTGATGCCAATTTCTTTCTTTTTAAATTGGTCGTCTTTAATATAGTGTATATACAGCTCTCATTGCTGCGACGCGGCGCGTCTGGTTGCTGTAATCTTTCGCCGTTGAAGAATCACGGTTGCATTACTAGCCCAACTAGAAACAGTAATCCGATTGGCTGCGTCTGGCGTTAAGACTAGCCCTCTATGCTATTAATTGCGCATCCGTGGAATTTTAGTTCATCTTGTACGTCCAGCACTGCCTTCGCCCCGACGCTGAGGAACAGGTACAGAGAATGACAGATCATATCCGTCCAACCAACACTCGCACCAACAGAATGTAGCAAACAAGCAAACAGGGCAAACGAAGCAAACAAATTGCAGGTCCATGCTTTTTTGGCTGCTGCAGCAAATCCGCCTCTTTTTGCAAACACGTGGGCAAACGGTGCAGCCAACCAGCCAACAGCGGGCACCAACAGCAGCAAAGACCATCCACCACAACCGAGGCTCTGCTGCAGGCAGCACCTGCGGATGTAAAGATTTAGTGGCTTTTGCATTGTTCTGCGGGGGCGGCGTGCTTTGCAGTGGCGGTTTCCGTCCACTGGGGAAGCCGATCATCTCCGGAGGCGCCTCCGATTTAGCGCTTGCCTGCCAGCACTGTCAGTGGGTTGGTTGCGCACAGTGGTGGCATCAGATAAAACTAAAGAGAAGAATACAAATACTTTGCCTTGTATAAAATATTTATTTTGGCAGCTGCTCAGTTCCAATTCTACACTGCACCACGTAACATTCCCGCTAATACTACAATATCCCTCACCGGCAATTCTGCTATAGCCCAACCCAACACCCAAAGCGTAGCATCCGACAGCCTCGTTTTGCGCTGCCAAAAGCCAGAAATCGCCGAGTCAAGCCACGGTCAAAGCGCCACCTCCCCCACTAAAGACACTGAACCAGGTTGCTGTGATTGTAAGCACCAGCCGAGCCGAGCCAAGCCAGACCAAGCCAGCTTTTCTGTATTTTCTTCCCTTTTTCTCTCTCGTATTCATTGTTTTCATCCCATCACCAGTTTCACCACATCTCTCCTCTCTTCCATCCATCCATCCCTCCGACATCACCAAAATCCTTTGTCGCCCATCATGCTCGCCCCGTACAAGGAACGCATGGCCATCAAGCAGACGGCCCCCGACACCTACGAGGTCCAATTCCACGATGACTGGACCGTCGGCATGGGTGAGTTGAAACCTGCCCAATCCATCCTTTCGATATTCTAACCATTGCCTCTTTCGCAGTCGTCCTCGGCACCGCCCAGGCCGCCCAGCTCTACCACGCCGCCGAAACACACCTCGCCCTCGACCCCAAACTCAAGGCCATCAACCAGCCCGACATCCACAGCATCCACGTCGAATTCCTCCGCCCCGGCGCCGCCGCCGAATGCACAATCAAGGTCCAGACGCTCAAGATCGGCCCGCTCTCCTCCACGCTGCAGCTACACCTCATCCAGGACGACAAGCTGCGCGCCCTCGCCATCGTCACCACCACCAACTTCGACAAGGACGTCGGCCCCTCAGCCTCGGCAGGATGGAACCTGTGCCCGCCAGCCCAGCCCAAGCCAGACTTCCAAGCCATGCGCGCCGGCAAAGTCGATGCCAACGGCTACCTGCCCATTCTCTCGGACAATGGCTTTGCGCCACAGCTCGCGACGTACCTGTACACACATACCAGCGACGTACGCCACCCCAAGAACATCTACGAGGCGTGGATGGCCAAGAAGACAGGCGACCATTTCGACAATCTGGCCGTGATGCTGCTGCCGGACTCGGTGCCCGCTATGCACGACGGCCTGATGCAGGAGGGCGCGCCGTACGAGCTCGCCAACTTTATGAAGAATGCGCGTGCCTCCTACGAGGCCAATGGAGGCCCCGCGGTCGTCAAGACCACCATGAAGCAGCTCATGAAGATCCGCTACTCGCACTACCACTTGTCCATGAGCTACATCTTTAAGAAGAGATTGCCTGCGCAAGGTCTGGAATGGGTTTTGGTCCGCTCGCACACAAAGGGCCTCGATAAGGGCCGGATGGAGGTCGATCTGGAGATGTTTGATGAGAACATGGACTTGCTCTGCGTCAACAGGCAAAACATTATTGTCAACGATATGGCACGCAAGTTTAAGAAGCAAAAGGCGTCGTTGTAGAGCAAATGACAACTCAATTGCATTGTGTATAAAAAACCAGCCGAAACAACAAGGGTAGAGATGGATCCATAATACTAAAAACAACTTTCATAATGCCAGCGGCTTCTTTTGGTGTCATGTCATGATTGCTTTCTCAGTTCTTGACCACTTCTTCTCCCTGCTTCTTCATAGCACCCAGCACAATGTTCTTCAAATCAGGCCGCGTGTAATTAGGCCCCTTGGCCACCTTGCCGTCACCCTCACGGTAAATAGGCTTGCCGTCAGCGCCCAGCTTGGTCATGTTGCTTCTGTGAATCTCGGCAAACACATCCTCAATCACATTCTGCATCCCGTGCTCGAGCATTGTTCCGCACAAGACATAGAGCTGGTCGCCCAGGGCATCTGCAATCTCCACGACGTCGCCCTTTTCGCACGCGTCCAGGTACTCTTGGTTCTCTTCACGCATCAGCTCGTGACGCAGACGGGCCTTTTCAATGCCAATGTCGGCCGTGGGCTCTTCCTTGATGCCCAGCTTGAATGCTGTGTGGAATTGCTTGACGCAGGAAATCTGCTTCTGAATAGAGTCTTCGTTGGCCATTGTAGTAGAAGTAGTGGTGGTGGTGGCTGTGGCTGTAGATAATTGGTGGTGGCTGTCTTGGGATAATCTGGGTGTGAACGTGAAAAGTCCTGCAGCTGCTGCAGCCGGTTGTCGGAGAATTATCCGAGCAGTTGATCCACTATATGCAGATACAAGCCGTTGCATAACGAGAATAGATACAAATAAGAACGCGTAAATTAGTCGCCTGTGGGCTGCCGCGTCCAATTACTGAGAATTCGAATGCAAGTTGTCACCTCACTAGGCCTTCAACATTACGCCTTTCACTCCACCCCCTCCTCAGATGAGTCACATCGACACTGGGTCACTATACATCTCACAACAAGAGAACAGATTGAAAGAATAAAAGATTTGTATTAGAAATGCATATATGTTTAATATGGGTGCAAAAGCTGCCCATTCTGCCTCCACGGCCCAAATTCGCTTCGCATACAAACACTGTGAGTACCATCACTTTGGCTCCTCACCAGACACATTGCTCGCTGGCAAACGCATTCTACGAATGCCTAGCTGCTCGCGCCCTGGCAATAGCCTCCCTCTCATTATGTAAAGGTCTGAAGTCTTATAAACAGACATATACCCAATTGTCATGTCAAAATAGAATGCCGCCTGCGTCAATGCAAATGCGCAGGTCTCCCAGCAAGACTCCGTCAAAAAGCAAATCTACAAGTGTCTGAGAATAAAAGAAAACAAGAAAATGTACCAAAACGCCTCTATATCCTTGTGAGAGTTCGGTTCTCGAAATGCATAAGTGGCCAACGTCCTGTTCCTATCTTCTCGTCGGGGCTATGCCATGTGATCCTTGTCCTGACGGCATAGGAGGCACGCCGTTGGGGTCGTCGGCAAGTAGGTCCTCCAGGTATGCACTAGGAGCACGCTGCCCAGGTGCAAGAGGCATGGAGAGACTGGCAGTGCTTTGGTTGAGGTCACCACGGCTGGCCGACATGGCAGGGGAACCTGGCGGCGATGGTCGTGTCGCTACGTAGTGGCCGCGGGAGTCAGGGCGCAGGTTGGACATGCTAATACCGTTGTTGGCAGACTGGCTACCAGGTGTCGCACTTCCAGCAGCGTAGAAGCCAGAAGGCAGGAAGCCAGATGCGCGGTTGTTTGCACCAGCGTTGCCAGTAACGGCGGTAGGAGAGAAGAAGAGGTTTCCTTGGCTGAGATTGGCCGACGGGATGGGGCCACGATTCGTGCGGCGAGTGCCACGGCCGGTAGAGGAACCAGCAGGACCAAAGGAAGGAGAAGAATCACGATCGGAGTACTTGTAAAACGGCGCAGGAGGAGCGGGAAAGCCGCTCTTGGTGTCTCTATCATGCTGGGCCATGGTTGCACGCTCCACAGAGCGGTGCAGCAGCAAGCTGACAATGGCACGCCAAAGGAGAATGGCCACACCAAATGCTCCAAGAACTGCACCAACGGCGATGAAGACGGTTCCTTCGGGGGCGCTAGACTGTTGCATGAACGGCGCGTTCTTCGTAGGCGGTACAGAGGCGGGAGGGTAGGTCGGTGCTGCAGCCCCGATACCAGTCAATGCGGGTAGACCCAGACTGTTGGTGACGGCGGAAGCAACGCTGTTTGTTGCAGGCAAAGATAAAGCGGACGTAGGAGAAGGAGCAGGGTCAGGCTTCTTATCAGCAGACGAAGACGAAGGTGAAGGAGCAGGTGACGGCGCGTCCTTGTTGGTATTGGGGGACGGGCTGGGGTTCGGTTTGGCATCTGCTGGCTTGTTCGTAGGGTTGTCCGCTGGCTTGGGAGAAGGCTTATCCGTGTTTTTGTTATCCTGGGCCATGGCGATGGGCACAAAGGCCATGAGGAGGAGCGCGGGGCTCGGGATGTATCTGTCGGGGCGCATCTCGAATCTGCTGCGCGATGTTCCTAAATCTGGAAATAACAGTCTAGAAGAACGGGCTCTATTTGCTGGCTTGATGGACGCTAACGCTTCGTGGGAGTTGCGTATTCAAAAGCCGTCGTTCGATGTTGTCGACTCTGGCGTGATCGGTTGCCGGGCCAAGATTGAGTTAAGCGTCGCTCGCAGAGGCGGCAACTCAAAGCGATCGGCTGGTCGTGCAAGAAATGGAATCAAAAAGTCGAAGAAACCAGAAAGGAAAAATCGTCGGTAATGAAAGTCTGGGCTAAATATGGATGATGAAGATGGCAGTCGTTGGGAAAACTGGTGGCCCGTGGAAAGGAAGGATTGAAAGGGGAAGGGCAAAAAGGAAAAAGCAGGGACACGAGATTAGCCCAGGGCGAGCCAGCCAATCCGGGTACGTACCAACCAGAGCCTGCTACAGTGGTAAAATGGTGAAGAGAATAGACGGAAAAGTGGGTCACGGCCAGCTGCTGGCACTGTCAACACGGGGCTTGGCGCCGGCTGGCAGTGCAAAGACAGCCCAAATGAGGAAGGAACACGGTGCAGCCGCACCTGCTGCCCTCGTGTTTTGGTGGCCCCAGGCAACGGAGCGTTCCTATTTTTACGAGACACCATGACGTCGTAGCGTTTGCCTCTGCTACGCTTTTTGCGGCACGAGGGAATAGGACACAATGTTTATTGTATCGTGATGCTAGAAATAAATTATCGCAGCCAAGAGATCGACTCTCCAGCCAAACAACCACAGCCTTCCCATTGACTGTCGAAAGCTTGGCGACAAACGCAGACCCCCAATATTCACCAACCCACATCTACGAGACATTGTCTGCACACAAACAAGATCTCGGTTCTCAAACACAGGCACGCACGGGGGACACATTCAATCTAGGCCGAACAAGTCAGACTAGCTTAAATCAGGAATGCCACTAACCTCAAATCTACATCATAACACCGTGCCATGTCGCCTACTATACACCCAACCAACATCTCCCAGTTTTAGCAACTTGCACATGCGCTAAGCGCCGTTTCTGCGGCACATCGTTTACTGCTTGGCACGCTCGATATCCTCAAGCCAGTCCTTTTTGACATCTGCTGCAAATGCATCATCGCTCAAGACCTTCCATCCCACGATAGCCATGCCTTTGCCCCAAGAAACAGCCGACTCTAGAGACTTCTTGGTGCCTGACGCTGCAGCAAATGGTCTCGTGTGATTTCCAAAGCCATTTTCCACGTCAATGCCAAAGGCTCCGTGGAATCCTGGGCACTCGTAGGTTACATTGCCCATGTCAGTTGAGCCGGCGAGGAAATCAGACGGCTCCTCTAGTGCAACGGCGTCTGGTCCTCCCAATGCTGCGACAAATTCTCGGCAGATTGGCATCGATGATCGTACATCCGCGTATGAATTGATGGGCGTGTATTCAACTTGGCAGCCAGTTGCAAGCGCCGCACCTTCAAAGCAGTTCTTCACACGTGCCCAAAGTCGTTCGGCAGCGGCAAGCGTGACGCTTCGTACTGTGCACATGTTAGTGAAACATTCAGAATAACCGCAAGTGTTCCCTCACCATAATATTGGACTGAGCAGCGATCGGGAACAACATTTGGTCTATCACCGCCTTGGACAATGACACCGTGTATTCTCTCAAATGGCCTGATTTGCTGTCTCAGCATTGACACGGCATTGTATGACAAGCAAACAGCATCAAGGGCATTGAGGCCGTTCCAAGGCTCCATAGCAGCATGGGCGGTTCGTCCGGTGAAAGAGACGGTCCATTTTATATTGGCAAGCATCTTGATAGCTGCCACGCCCTGGATAGATCCTGGCAGCAGGTACTGGGGCCCTGGGTGAATCATTAGACAGGCAGCTGTATCTTTGTATGCGCCTGCATCGATGAGCTTTAATTTGCCGCCGCCTCCTTCTTCTGCTGGCGTACCGAGCAGACGAACTCGTCCTGGGCTTCCTGATTCTTTCAGAGCAGCTACGACGCCAAGGAATCCAGCAAAACTGGCACTCGCAATGAGGTTGTGTCCGCAAGCATGGCCGATTCCCGGGAGCGCATCGTACTCGGCGTTGAATGTGACGAGTCGGCCGCCAGAGCCATATTCCGCAATAAAGGCGGTTTCAACACCATATGCGTGAGGTGTTACTTCAATTCCAAGAGACTTTAAAGTCTTGACAAAGTTGTCATGGGCCTTGAACTCTTCATAGGCAAGCTCCGGCTCAGAGTGAATCTTTGATTTTGTTAGCGCGCGTCACGGCAGAGACATCGACTGCCCACTTTATAGTTGATTGACTGGATGACCTCAGCCTGGTTATCAATTGATTTTCTGATGAGCGATGCCCATTCTTCACTAGATTTTGTTCCCATGGCCTCTTTTGCTGTTAATGCTTTGTTAAATCGGACCGTTGAGCTGCGGGGAACCTGCCCAACTGGTGGTGCCCTGAAAATGGTTGCGCGCCGGCTCCGGTTACGGCCCGCAGGTACTTGGAACTAAAACAAAATACTACGGCTTTGATATGTGAAGAGCTACATCTCATGTAACACAATATGTTCTTGTATCATGAATTTTTATCCTTGATTCTCTTCTTTTTCCTTTTTTTTTGTTTCTATTCCTTATTTTCCTCCTCTTCATCCACTTCCTCGTCGCTATCCGCGATGACCCGCATACCAAACACATCTACAATAGAAACATTGCTAATAATGCCCTGTTTCTCTACGTCTTTCATATGATGAAGCGCCTGACGAGCTGCTTCTCGAGCCTCGTTGCCGTAGCGGTTATCAGCCGCTGCTGCCCTGGTGAATACAGCCGCCCAGCTCTTCCAAATATGAGGTCCGTACGAATAATAGTTCCACACTCTCTTCTCGCATATTTCCCAAAGAACCATACCTGCATTGAAAGTCCACTGTGATGCCGCCAGTACCCGATCATCATCTCCCGGGCCGGCCTTGTCGCGTGTAATCGCGTAACCAAAGGACCCAAAAGGGCAGAGGTCCAGGACGTTGGCGATACACGCGCCGACGAGCCTAGCGTGGACAGAGGAGAAGCGGACATAGCGAGTAGCCAAAGAATCGTCGCTGTCTATTTGATTTTCTTCCAAAACTTGTACCAAAGGGGAGAGGAGTTATTGATTAGCATGGATCGTTTTGTGAATGGTTCACTATGGACCAACTGGTGAGAGAAAACATGAGGGAAGGAAGGTCTCCAAAGCAATTTTCATAATTCACCGTCCACAGTTCCAATTGGTGCTCTTCACCATAGTAGTTAATCCAAAGGAGACTATGTTTCGGTAGCAGCATAAGCTCCTGGACTAGGTGGATGAGGACATCTTGACCTAGGTAGCCGGGGGTAAGGGCCATGGCTGCCTCAGCTAGCAAGCGCCATAGATAGCGTTGCCAGTTGGTCACATCTCGCACGCCGTCATCGCGCTCCTCACTTTCTTTGTATTTGGTATATGCTTCGAGACTTTGCTCTCTAACGAGGATATCGATTGCACTGGCGCCCACCGCAGGCTCTACAATACCGTTGACGGCAGCGCAAAGAGTAGCTATAAAGCGCTCCTCGCCCTCAGTATCAATATCCCTAAACGCGTTGGGAGACAAGACGACACGAGACATGGTGTCTGTTAGATTTTAGGGATACATGATGTAAATTCAGGTTTTGTTGTCAAGGCGAGAGTAGTAACGCTATGACACTGCTCGTCCGCGAGGCTGGCAAGTCGTGCCTCACAAGTTGACACTAATTCGAAGAATGACTAGAATGGAACGAGTAAAACCCTAGTAAATTACGCTAAAGATCCGAAATTTAACTAAATTAGGAAGTCGTACGATTCTGTACCAGGTTGTTTGATCACGTAAAGGACACCCCCATGAATAACCCTTAATATATGCATGGAGCTGGATTAAGAAGAACGAGGAAGGGCGGCACGGTATCTTATACTAAGAGCTTTCTAATTTGAAATAAACTGCAGATAAACGCATAATTATTCTTTTCACAGTCTTTGGGAATATATCATTATGTCCTTGCCTGCCTTCTTCGGTTAAAGGTGGTATAGGGTAGTAATGAGAGCTAGGGAGTGCGCTGCAGTGCGCATAGCTGGAAACAACTTGGTTATAAAAAATAAATAAATAAGTATTATAAAATCAAATGTGAAGAAATATTAAAGTATAATGACGTAGATGTCATGATTTGACAACAAGTCCAACATCCTCAAATCCACGATGAAGAATCTCGCGTATAACACAACCCTTTCTCTCTGTATACTCTGACATTTTGCCACCAGCCATAATAGTTGCCTCCGAAGCCCTGATTTTCGCCATGGCATATAGATCTCTATCTGACAGAGATTTCCGGAGTCTGTCTCGAAAAATGCGATGGCGAATCACTTCTGCACTCTCGGTGCAGTACACATGTAGATTGGCGTGTGGGCTGTAAGATAAAAAAAGCCGGTGCTCGTAGTAATGTGGTTCGCGACTGAAAAACTGGAACCCTATAGCCTCAAGAGCAGGAACATATGTAGATTCATCTGCGGCGTCTGTCACTGTCACGTCAATATCAATAATGTTCTTTGCTGGTAGTCCGGGAACACTGGTAGAGCCCACGTGGGCAATATATTGACAGACAGGCCCTAAAGCATATTGGATTTGCATTTCGAGCTCTTTATATATATTTGCCCAGTCTGGGTTAGGGGCACAGATTGTAAGGGAGGCTGGTGATTTGCGCTGAGCAACCTTTTCAATGAGCTCGCGTTGATAGACGTAGTCCTGGAGTATCTTCTCCACAGGTACATTCATTTTGAAGGATGCCAGCTTTGTTCAGATAGAGAAAGTAAGTTATGTAGTGGAACTAGTAAATAAAATATTTCTAGAGTTTTTGCACTGTGAAGGCAACAAGAACGTGAATTGCTGGCGATGTCTATAAATAGGCGCCTAATTGGGTAAGCGTGACTCCTCCCCGACATCAACGCCATAACCCAGCCTCACGATGATTGCCACGCAGACTGAATACAAGCGAGAAAAATAACATACGAGGATATTCGGTGTCTTTCCGATTTGATAACCAAGGGTTGAATGTACCACTTCGGGGTAACTCTTTACCGGCCGATCCTCATCGTGGCTCCGTTTTGCGACATCCGCGCTGCTGAGCCTTCATATTGCGTTGTAATTTCGGTTATGGCTATATTTAAGTCTTATAATCTGGATGCAATTTTCAAACAGATATAATTCTTTATACAATAGCTAAATGTTGCTGCATCATCCTCTGTTCTTCAACATCGGCACGTGACCACGCAGGTGTCTCAGTGACAGCGTTGTCGTCAGCTGCCGCCAAACGTCCCCAGCCTCCGGAGGCGGCCAATGCAGCTCGCTCGCGGAAAAGCTAACGTCGTCATTCAACTACCAGCTATACAACCACGCTCTCTCGGCCACCGCGCTTTTACCAGAACAGCCCTCGAGCATCTAGGCGAAAGAATCTTCAAAATCCAACGGATATTCTTTAATTCGGTGCAACCCACTCGATCGCTAAACGGACAGAAGCCGCCGCAGTGCGATAACCCCGAATCTCTCTCCCGACCTCTTCCGCAACCACCGCAACACATATATCACCCGAAACACATAATGGAGGAGGAACGTCTCTGGAAGTTTACCCGCCCCGAGTGGCTTAACAGCATATGGGCTCGTAACGCTGGTGTCTACGGCTCTGGCGCTATTGTACGTGATGGATGCGCCGAATCCCCAGCTACGGTTGGGCAAATGGTCTCGTGGCAACTTAACTAACCAGTATTTGTGTCTATAGTACTCGCTAGCATTTTACCTCATGCTTGACGCCGCCATCTGGTCAAGCCACAAGAATGCCGCAAATGTGCATGTCAAATTCATCGACTGGCTGCCGCTCATCTTCTCCAGCTTGGGCATGATCATTATCAACTCGGTCGAGAAGCAGCGCCTTAGTGCAGATTCGTTTAGCTACAGCGGATCAGGCGTCGCCTGGAAGGCCCGTGTTGTTTTGTTCCTTGGGTTTGCGGCACTGGCTGGCGGCATGGCTGGCGGAGTTACTGTCTTCGTCCTCAAGTACGTCGTTGCCGGTGTTAGCATGCCTTCCCTATTTATGGGTGTCGAGACGCTTCTGTCCAATGCACTCGTTGGTCTAAGGTAAGATCATTTACTATCCCAAAGGCGTTTTCCATCGTAAGCTAACATATTACAGCTCTGTCGTTCTCTGGGTCAGCCAGAACATGGAAGACGAATACTCTTATCAACTGTCTCTCTAAGCGAACCAAACATCTGCATCGCATTATGAAACGAACGATATTATCGCATACATATTCTGCTTGCTTTGCAAGCTTAGCACCCTTAGCAACCCGTCCTGGCGGCTCGCATGGACGCCATGTTTGAGGCCGCCACGCGGGAGGGCCTGGAGTGGAAAGGGAGATTGAAGCGTACGGAATTGTACTTTGCTAGTTTTATTTATCACTGTAGCCATTATGAATCGACTTTTTTTTTCAGCGTTAATTCTACGTCGCATCTTTTAGATCCATGAACGTTCCTAAGCGTGAGCCTTAGCGCCGACCTAGCTCCCCACCTAAGCGCCGCCAGCAACCACTAATCATTGGTAAACAACAGCCAAACACTCCCACATCATCAGACGCCAGCACGTCGCAGAGTCCACACAACATGCCCCCAATGAACGAGCGAAGCCGGCCGATGCCGCCGCCGATATCCTCAAGACAACGAGTCCCAGCAGGAACTGTACCTGCAGGCGATGCCCGCACGCAAATGTTTCGCGGACACATGATGCGACGTCAAGCAGCCGCCGCGCCTGCGGTTCCTCTGGCCGATTCCATGCGCTTGGACGCAACCGTGCAAACAGAAGTACTCGATATTGTTGTCAGAGACCAGCACGGAGAGATTGAACTGGGGGATCCACCATCTCTCATCTTTGACGACCTCGATGACGTGGTGCTGGACGATGGGCAGGAGACCGAGAGTACGTGCTTTCGTCCATCAAAAAAGTGTGTGATAATATTTGCTAACCAATTTAATAGAAGAGAGACAGAGACTCACAGATGCGGTGAATACGCACCGTATCAATCAGCATACAACGACGGATCAGGCAGAAGGTTTGTAAGGTTTACGCATGGCGGTGGTACCTGCTAACTCTATTACAGAAGTGCTCGAGGCGTTAAAGTCTAGTTTACGAGCCAAAGTCAGCGCTCTGGCTGAGGATAACTGGATGTTTGAACCTGAAGATCAAACAAGAGTATGATTGATGACGCGACGACAATGTCTAAAAAGGACGCTATACATTGGTTTTATGCTGGACTACCTCAAGATACCCCATTATTCCTTTCTTAAAAATATCAATTCTTTTTCTGCTTCCATATATGCATCTAATCGAGGCCCTCGGCAACGGGACCATCCTGTGCAGAGCGAATGGCCGCTCGTCGCTGGGGCTGTTGCTGGGCGCCAGCACCGCCGCCAAAGAAGCCGTTCATCATATCCATGAGCGGGTTGCTCTGTCTCGGTCTGGCAATGTTGAAGTACATCTCGCCAATCATCTCCAGGGGCTCCAGCCACGAGTCGTTCTCGTTAATCTGGGTAGCATATCTGGACAGCAAGCCCTTGTAGACCTCGGGAGCGCCGCGCTGGATGGCGAGAAGCAGCAGGCCCAGGAAGTTCAGCAACGGCAGACTGGGGAACACGCGGATATCGGATTGTGATGTTGAAACGTCTTGAACACCCAGGGATGCATTATCTGTGTTGAGAGCGCTGGTAAAGGCTCGGTAGCAAGAGTTGGCGGCGCTGACGTTGCCGACAAGCAGGTACGGCAAGACGGCACGGCCTGCGTACAATGGCGCAGTATGGGCTTCGGATTCCTTGTACCAGGCATACTCCATCTTGAAGAGAATATCGGGCGAATCGCGGGTACCGAGAATCAGGTGTCGCTCAGCTTCGTAGGTATCGTGCTCTTCGGCGTAGATGGAGCCTGCGACGTGGTGCATCTCGGGATCGCCAGCGGGGTATTCGCCAAACTGGGAGGACCAGCTATAGATTGTTAGTTACGGGATGTATCGGGTTGTTAAGGAGACGGAAGCTACGTACGCCATCATCTCGGTTATAAATCGCTTCCTTGTCGGCTCCTCAGCGCTAAAGAGTCGAAGACATGTCAAGAGTCTTCCCTTGGCCGTCGAGTCGGGCTTGAGCTCGGCTTGCTTGTAGACATCGACCAACATCAGGCACAGGTCACCTCCGCTGCCACCCTGACCAGCCTTTAGCAGTGATTGAGAAACGCTGGCCAGGATGTCAATCGCAGCAGGCCAGTTTTGTGTCTTGATGTATCTCGAGGCAGCAACTCGGGTCTGCTGCTGAGCTTCGTAGTAGTCGCCATCAGCGATCTTTTCTTGTAGCCGTGCCACGATGCGGTCGACTTTGCTGGCCATGGTGACGTTGCGCTGCACAAATTCGTTTCTCGCACCGGCAAATTCTGTGACGTTTGTGGAAGCTTTCCCCTCGTTAGCTCACGGGTTAGAGCTTGAACGACTGCTGGCGGGGTGCAGTGGGGGGCGAACATAAGGCTTGTTAACGTCAACAAAAGTTACATAAGCGAAGGCTGGCCGTGTTACACGGCCAGCTGCCGCAACTGCGTGAGTGGTGTACCGGTTTAGCATATACGCCTCCCAAGCGTATGGATCGGGTTCGACTCCCGGCTCTCGCGAGTATTTTGATATTATTTTTTGCGTCGTTTTTGATATGCTGTTGTTGGTTGTTGTCGGGGTCAGTTGGTTGACATCTGCGCCAGATTGCTATATTACTGGGCCAAACGCTTGTCTATTTGGACATGGATTAAGCATCAGTTGAACCAAAATGGAGAGAAAAAACCTAAAACGGGGGCTTAATGGGGCATATATGAAACAAAAAGCACTTTTAATTGAATATATTTATGCAAAATAAGCTTCATTAAAACTCCTGCCTGATATCGTGATGCTATCCAAATACAACCATTGCCTATAAGGTATCCCACGCATGCATGCTATATGTACTTTTATACCAAACCATGCTACACATCATAAAATTACTATTTAATGAACCCAAGCGCTGCCTGACGACCGGCGGCCCTTTTCGTAGAGCCACTTGCTGTTTAAGCCGACGCTTGTTCGCTTTGCTCCGGCGGGGGTTGGCGAGGCCGGCTCACCAAACAAGCTGGTGGCGGTGCTAGCGCCAAATGGGCTACCAGAGTTGAATGAAGAGCGACGGCTGGTGCTGAATGATGGCTTTTGCTGCAAGGGGCTGTCGATGGGACTGTATTGCGAGCCACTGGCGCCAAAGACGCTTCCCATCACAGGGCTACCCCGTCCCGAAAGAGGCGAGTTGTTATAGCTGCCACGGCTTCCAACAGAGCCAGCAATCGACGGCGTTCGAGAATAACGAGGCGGTGTGCTGTATTTAACTTCGGTCTTGGGAACTGTCGCGATGGGTGGCAGGCCAAGCAGCTTGCGCTGAGCTGGAGTCAACGGGATATCGGCAAGATCGTCCTTGGCTCGAATAAGAGGCAGACAGGCTGTAAAGATCTGAATAAAGGGGAGTATCTGGAAGATTGTCCATGCCCAGCTGAGATAGAGGCGGAAGCCAGCAGGTACTCTGCGATTGGCGTTAGCTTAGGCGCGGTCTAATGGTTGGGAGGCTGGTAGAACTGTACATTTTAGGATCGATATATGCCTTGGTAAGAAGCTGCACTAGGCCCATGACAATGATTGTGCCAATATTGTATGCGATTTTGCGGACATTCTTCTCAGAAAAGGTCGATGCTTCTCGACGTCGCGTGATTTCGTTAAGGCGCGGATGGCGCCATGTGCCTGGGCTATCGACCTCGGGGGCCTTTTTGGTAGGTGTTGCCTTGACAGGAGTAGATACAGCCATTGTGACTAGGATTGTGACGCGTAACTGCTGTATTTGGTGGTGATTGTAGCAAACAGAGTGGTTGGACAGCTGCAATCACAAAGGATGGATTGTGTGTTGGATGTGGTGCGGCTGTGACGCGCCGGAGATTGTCGTAGTGAATTTGCCGTTCTGCTATGGGTTAGTAAAAGCTATCGTCGTGGCCGAAGCCGTTGGTGCGTCGACGGTGTCGGTGTCGTGCAATGCGCTGATGCGAGGCGAATGTGTTGATGCTGCTTTTTCCCAGCTCTGTTTGGGAAGAGGGTCTCCAGAGTAGCCAGGAAAAACAGCCACTCCGGGGGCCTGAGGTACCTGCAGCCTGGGAGCCCCACTGGCGCTGAGGGAACGAGCTACAGTGAGTGCTACGCCAGCAAACAGCGCTAAAAGGCTGCCGGGGTGCGCTGTAGCGGGCCAGTCAGCGGTGCATCGGCCGCAGCTGCACCGCGTCTCCCTTTTCTGGCGGCCGTGATTTGGCACACGCCTTCGTTTGCTTCTGTGAACACCTGCCCATCATCACCACGTCCCCAGAAAAAGACGCTGGTCTTGCCACGACGCCCCTTTCCTCCCGCATCACAGCACCCTTTCCGCCATCATCGCCGCATTGTCGAATCCAGCGTCAATTGCTGCTCTACATCATCTCAGCATCTGCAAGAGCATGTTTCTGAGATCGCAGCCGCTTTACTAGACACTTTTCGTCCACTGTCAACTAGCTTTCGCGAAGCCTCGCGATCTTTGTGCGCGCCATGGCTGCTTCTCCCACATCCGTTGCTGCCATGTCAGAAATGGAACCCCCGAGCTCTCCGGGCATTAGAGATGGTAAATCCTTTGTTTCTCACGTTGGCAGCGATGACGAGGATGTCGGCAACACGACTGTCGAGCCGCGCGAGAAGCCTGCTCGAGGCAAAGCCAAAGTCCCAGGCAAGGACAACAATCAGCATCAGATTGGCAAAATCCGCCATTTGAAAAAGGAGGATGGCGAGCCGTTGTGGCGATCCGATATCCAGTACGATTTCCTCAAGGCCATCTTTGACAACGAGCAGGCCGTCTTCACCAACTCCTACGACCCGAGTCTACCGAAGCAAAACTTTGCCGATCTCTATATTGATACCATGGCTCGAAGCTCTAAGACTAGCAAAGTTCTGCGCGATAAACTTCTTAGCGAGCGAGATGCCGCTAAGGGCATGGCGATGGTCTGTCTGTTGGTCAATGTTGGTCGTATGAATACCACCCTCAACTGTAAGTACAATCTGACAAACACTTTGCTGTAATTTGGAATACGTTACGCTTACACACTGACACAGTCTTTCCCGAAATGCGCGCGCAGCTACGAACATATCATGCCATTCCTTCGCTGCAGGCTCAGCAGGATGCTCATGCCTACAAACAACTACAAGATGCTCCGCGTTTGAAATCCATCCTCAAAGGCGGTGCTGAGGATCGCACAGAGCCCAACACGCTTATGGGTATTAAAACCGGCCCTGTACCCCGTACAAATCCCGTCAACTTGATCTTTGTCATGTGCCATGGGGCGGGAAAGATTGCAGAGCTCCATTTCCCGCTTGACCAAGAGTTCCATGATCTGATCATGAAGACTGAATTCAGCAGTGCATCAAGAGCCAGAGCCTTTTTATGGCTCATCTGGCTGTACCTCGAGTCGGACTTCACTGAAGAGGGCTGTGATGAGAATCCCTTTTCGCCTGGCGTTGACTACGGTCTAGGCGTGGCGAACCAAGGAGTACCCAGGCTGGTTACCATGACCCGCGAGGAGGAAGCGATGGAGAATGTTGATACAGAAGCCGAAATAGAATTTGGCCGTGAGAAGCAACAAACGCGCGCCAAAATCTTGGAGATGGACCAGGTATATCTCAATGAACGAGACACAAAGCGTAAATCGCGTGCATCCTATGCAGAGGATGGGCCAGCTGTTTTGCCCCGAATTCGCCCGTCAAAGCACGATTCCGATATGGATAGCATGCGTTCTACGCCGCCGCCTCGGGCGCTTGGCAAAGGACGTGGAGGTCGTAAGATGATGCATCTCATGTCCGAAGCTGACTCCTCCCCTGCGCGCGGAGAAGGTAATCGCAAACCGCGCCCACCCACCGCCCACCAGATGGCAGTTGAGAGAAATAGGCTTGAGCGGGTCGAACACATTTTGGATAGGGGTCTACGCAAGCAATATCACAAGGTCCGCAAGGTCCGCCGCCAAGATGGTGCTATCTTTAGAGCGTACAAGCGACTCCGCGCCCAAGTCGACCCATTCGCCGATAGCGATGGAGAGGATGCGAGCGCAAAGGCTCCAGACGAGAAGCCGTCTACTCTGTTCCGTCGTACCAAGAACCTTCTTGGTCTGACTCGACTTCCTACCGAGGCCGATGACTATGGTGAGGAGCTGAGTGCATACGCCGCTGCCATCCGACGCTCGTCGCGCAGATTGATCCGATGGAAAGGAAAACACACTGGAGTTGTTGCGCCGATCAAGAAGAAGAAGGTCAAGGTTGATGCTCCCGCCACAGCTGAGGCAGAGGCTGAAGGTGACGACGACGGTGACGATCTCGCCATGGACGATCTCGACGGAGATCAGACGATAATGGCTGAAGACGAGCTAGATCAAACTGCCATGATGGCTGACGATGAGGATCGTGACGACGACGATGACGGCGACCTAGACCGCACGGAACTCATGATCGACTCTGACGGAGAGTAATCAGATAGACAAGGGGAGTAGGGGCTGATGCGCAGCCTATTGTGTCAGAACGAGTGTACTTATTAAGCGAAGAAGAAGAATTGCGGAGAATCAAACCGCAACAAATGATTTACTGGCTGGCGTTGGGGATATTGTTATGTAGATGAACAAATGGATTTTGAATCGTATTCGGAACGACCTTTTTTCTCGCGCTGTCTCAAGGTCGTTTATAACTCAGCGCCCACAGCTTGCTAAACTTTCAATCCGTCTAACAGTTTCGCTTACACTTTATATCCGCGTATCGTAGCCCACTATATTCTTATTTCCAAAGTTTACAGTTGCGCATGCTCGCATTGGCGTGGATCATCCATCATCCAATGCGAAAACGAAATCGAAGCGCCAATCGCATCGCTTCCCCTGGGCGGATCCGCGGAGCCGCAGCCGCATGGCCTCATCCGGAAACCAGCTCTCCGGGCGGTGGACCCAGGCAATTGGGAAAACGACCCCCCAAAAAAGAGAATCCCCTTCTCACTCACTCCCTTTTCCTCTCCCTCTCTCTCCAATCATCACGCAGCAACAATGCCCAGATCCAACAACAAGAAATCGTCGACATCCAAGGCCGACGGCGCCGCGCCCTCGCTCTTTGGCATCCTCGCGATGCTCACGGCGCTGCTGGCCGCCGTCTTCTACGTTGCCGAGCAGAACCTCGACAAGTTCTACATCTTCGACCTCGACCATCTGCAGGATCTGTCGAAGCGCAGCATTGCCGCGCACGGCGACGACACAAAGGCCATTGTCAAGTACATTGTCGACGAGCTGAGCGAGAAGCTGCCCAACAACATCAACGTCCAGGAGGAATGGGTCTTTAACAATGCTGGTGGTGCAATGGGCGCCATGTACATTATCCATGCCAGTGCGTTTTTTATCTCCCATCTTATATCAAATAACATGATACAGAATGTGTGATTTTGCTAACGTCCCTTTGTCGCAGGTATCACTGAGTACCTCATCATCTTTGGCACCGCCGTCGGCACCGAGGGCCACACTGGCCGCCACACGGCCGACGACTACTTCCACATCCTCACGGGTGTCCAGCAGGCCTACGTCCCCGGCGAATATGCGCCCGAGGTCTACCCTCCCGGCTCTGTGCACCACTTGCGCCGCGGCGTTGTCAAGCAGTACAAGATGCCCGAGTCCTGCTTCGCCCTCGAGTACGCGCGTGGCTGGATCCCCCCTATGCTCTTCTTTGGCTTTGCCGACGGCCTTTCCAGCACCCTCGATGTCCAGACTCTCTGGCACACTACCCGCATCACTGGTAGAGAGATGATTGGCAACTTGCTGCGTCTCAAGATCTAAGCTGGTTACAAGGGATGAGCTGTTGTGCTAGTACAAAAAGAATTTGGGGTTTGGGTTCACGTTGCGCTGCCACTTCGGCACAGACGTTCACAAAAGGGATATTCTTTATAGACTTAATGTTTTAATCTTCAAGGCAATATTACATTTCCAAATATTAATCGGCTTGAATATAAGAAGCCTCGGCTTATAGTACGTAACAAGGCCACATGGCCAGTATATTCATAATCCGTTTTGTCCGCTGTACGCCAGTAAAAAAAAATGATGACAAAACAAGGCCCATTTTGGTATACAATGAGCATGCAGAAATGAGCCCTCCCATAAAAACCCGCGGGTGCAAATCCGTGATGCACTCCGCCATTCGATTCCCTTTGCTTTTTGCGTAAAAACAAGATAACCAACACGTATGTTCACATCAAACAGGTCGTAATATGTGCGCTCCCACCAGGAGACGAATAGAAGCAGCAATACAAGGCACAATCATGCCAGCCAATGCTCTGCTGTTCGCTTCAGTCCTCCCATAACCAGTCCGTCATCATCGTCCGAGTCCGAGTCGTCCGAGTCGTCATTCAAGCGTAGCTGCTCGACAATCGTAGCAGCAATGTTCAGTTTCTCGTCATTAATATCCACTTCTTCATCATCAAACATCCAAGTCAATCCATTCTCCTCTTCTTCAAGCGGAAACACCTCGCGGGCGTACTCTTCCAAACCTCGAGGACCTTCCCACAGCTCAAGCGCTTCAGTCGGGCAGTTTCGCTCTAGTTTTGCGTCGCCAAAGTAAGGCGGCTGCTTCTTGGGATCTCGCTCGTCCAGTTTAAAGAGCTGCTCCAGTCCTTCAAGCTGCTGGCGGTATCCGGCAGGGATGCGTACTTTGATGTCGATTGGGCCGCGAACATATCGAACGGGGCGGCCAACGCCACGAGAGAAGAGATCACAAGCCTCCGTAGGTGTGAGATACTCATAGGCTAGCGCAATTCGCTCATTGCGCCACTTTGCGACACCGTCTTTGAACAGCTGAAGAATGGCAGGGCCAACGTCGTGCTCAGCATCTAGCCATGGGAGCTTGGCGTGCTCGTGGAAAGGCGCTTGCCATACAAACGACCCATCATCTTGCAATTCCATGCAGAAGAGGGGGTATGAGAGTGACGTAAAATTATTATTATAGATTCCGGTGTAGACAAAAGTGGCGGGTAGGTTCAGCTGGCGAATGTAGGTTTCGACCTTGTGTTTGACAGCCCATAGCGGGAGCGATGGCCAATCCTTGTTGTAAGCCGCATGATCGGCCATTGATGAGTAAATAAAGTGTTGAATGTTGGCCTTTTTGGCGGCATCGGCAAGCGCCTTGCCAATGGAAAGCTCGTCTCCGTAAAAAGTAGTATTAATAAAGGCAAGCTGGGCGCCACGGAAGAGATTTGAGATGAGCTCGTGATTGACTCCGACACCGGAAAGAGGGCCATTTTGCGTAACATCTCTGTTCTCAGCTGTCGGCTTATGCCTAACATAGAGATCACCAACAATAACAGTGACGTTTGGATTTGTTGAAACTTCGGTCGCAACGACGCCCTCGAGATTTCGCAACTGTGCGCGGACATGGTATCCGACAGCGGTGGCAACCCGAATGAGCGACGCTGCTTGGCGACCACTGGCGTTGATGATGGCGATCGTCTTATCTGGTGCGGACATGAGGCGCTTGGGAGGGCGGAAGGTAAGAGAATTATTCCGCGAGTTGGCAAGGGGGGATGATTCCGAGTATGACGAGCGCGAGTGCTTGTGTTGCTTGCGGTAGTATCCGTTTTGATCAGTCGGCATGCGGATTGGGAGACCAGTCATGATGGAGGTGTTGAGTTGGGCCGGCATGGTCGCAGCGGACGTCGGCGCACTAGCTGCTGGCCACGGCTTGTACAACCCAATTGACAAGCCACAGGAAAGTCAGGATTCCTGCAATGAGACAGAATTTCCAAATCGTGGAGTCGAGCACGAGACCTTTTTTGCCCCAGCCTATGCTTTCCTTGGGTGGAATTTCAAGAGTTGTTGTTCCCCCTCCTTTGGGGCACACGATCGGCTCGTCGCTGTTTAAACGGCTGTCGATGGGGGTGGTGACTAGCAGCGGTTACCGGCTCGGTTCAACAGCAAACACACAAGGCCTCAAACCTGCCGCTTTGCGCTGAAAAGAGATGTGTAAATTGCCAACCGCAAATCGAGGCACAAGCTCGACGACGTCAACGACACAACAAGTGTGGTGGGCGTCGTCTGGACTTTTTGACCTGGCGGGGGCCACAGTCCGAACGATGGCCGGTGCAAGGCGGCCAGTCGCGGAATTGCACAAAGACTTTTTTCTTCGCCGTGGTTCTGGCTGCAGAGGGCGGGGCCGTAGGTGGATGTGCTTGGTGCGTCGTGTAACGGCCCAGACGCAAGGATTTGGAGGTGAGGCGTGTGGGAATGGTCGATTGCTGTTGGATGGTTTATATGCAGTGTTGGAAGTGAAAATGCCAAACGTATGGTAGTCAAAAGTCTTGCGTAGTGTCGACAGACTTAGGTGCAATAACGAATGCGTCACTGGCGATCCAGTCTTTCGCTTATCAGTGAGAATGGAGGGGGGTTCCCAAAACCAGTGTGTATAAGTGAGCGAATGAGTGAGTGTATCGATTCGGGATTGGTAGAGCGAATGCGATTGGCTTCGATGGCCACGAAAGTTAAACCCTTAAACAGGACACGCGACCTCGAGCAATAGCGTTCTTCTGGTGATTGCGGCTGTCCTTGTTTTTAGGCTTTGGACCGATAAGACGCAAAGGTTGGCCGACCGCGGGGTTGGTGGCCTGGGAGTGGATTGGTGGATAGCAAGCTTTTCTGTACGCTTGATGGCGCTGGGCGATAAGGGGAAACTAGCAGGACTTGCGACGGGCGACGCCGATCTGAAGACCCAAGACGACGATGGGAATCTGCAACGCGGTTCGAGTTTGGCAGTGGTGACGAAGCAGGGGAAGAAGCAAGCAGGCAAATAATGGCTTTGTAAAGATGTCCAATATTTAAGAGAAAAATACAAAGAGACACAATCACGAATCTGTCTTTCTTTGCTTAGGACGAAAGGAGAAGGAGGGGAAAAGAGTGCGGGCGTGACCACAACCCGACTCGCGGGGGGCAGGCCAGGAAGTTTCCTTCCAGTGCAGCACCTCACGATAATTTCCTGCCAGGTGCCCGACGGGGTTTGACGGGCCGTCAACCAGCTGGCAGAAACCGAAACCCACCTACGCGCTGAATTGCCAGGTGGTAGGCGTTGCACAAGGGACAAAAGGCCTGCCAACTGGGAGGGGGTGGCTAAACTTACTATAGGCCAGCATTGGCACCGGCATATATGGCGTCCATATTGGAGTATATGGCGTCTGCCAATTCCTATTGAATAATAGAAAAGTGACCATCGCAGAATCACAGAGGCCAACACGATGGACGACAGGCCAAGGCGTCAAGCCACTGGGCTTGCGGCGAGCAAGACGAGGCAAACCAAGGTACGGGATGCATGGGTTGGGGGTCAATTGCGCTAGCTACAGTACCCGAAAACCTTGTACTGTAAGCTGGCGGCAACAAGTTACTGTACAGGAGATACTGTGCCCGAGCAGATTTACACAGGTACAGGGTGTTGCCGTATTAGCGCCCGCTGGCACTGTCCAGTATCTGTAGGCAGCGTAATACGCCCATCATGATCGGTCCAGTGCTGCAGGCGGGGGTGGCAGCATGGGCGCCGACTCCGCTACCATGGTCAGTTGTACAATGCGTACTGTACAATGCGCGCGCCGACTCGGCTACGATGGATGGGCTTACTCTCTATCGAAGAACCACAAAATACAGCGCTCGTGACCTGCGTCGTTTTTTTTTTCTCGCGCCGTGTGGGCGCCCATCGGCACCGCGGGCTGCATGAACGATAGCGGTTCTAGGCGATGGAGCCCCTCCCCGCGGCTGCTACAGCGCTCCATTTTAGTGGGTTTCCGGCGTCGCTCCCCCGCTATCATCAACCCATGCTGGCAGCGAGCGAGCGCTATCAATACCGGAGCAAAACTGTACAAATACAGTCCTGCACGTACTGTGCGTATGCAGATGCAGGTGCTGTAGCGCACTAAAAGTAGCGCCGACTACAGGCTGCAGACAGACCCTGAAGAGGTAAACGGGCCAATCACAGCGCCCCGAATGTTATCAGCGTGGGCTCCTTGCAACGGCCAGAAGCGGCTGCCCATATTGGGAAGTCAAAGCGCAATGCTGCGATTTTAGCGCCTCTTCAGGCTATTGTATGATTTTGCTATAACTCACTACCGGTATTTGACAAACTGGTCAGTGCTTTTTGGTTAATTTTTATTTATGTATTTTTTGGGGGGGAAACTTGGGTTCCTATCTGATATTCCACGCAGAGGCATTTGCTGCCCATCCGTCGTCGGCCATGCTTAGGTTCATCTCGGCTTGGTTTGTCCCGAATATGTCGACTTGACGCTGTAAGCAATAGCAGTTAGTATGTTAAACGACAAAAGCCAAAAAAAAAAGAGTGCACTCACCCAGTCCATTTCATCGGCCACGGCCATCCACGCTGTGTCCATCTGAGAAGCATCAAACAGCCCATCACCGGTGGCGTACACAGATGAGAGTAACGGATCGGTGTCAGATAGCCCGAATGATAGAGGTGGCTGCTGATGTTGCAGCAGTTGCCCCAGACCTGTGCTTGAGGCGACGTCGACTGATGTCGGTCCGGTATTCCATGACGTCGCGGTCGATGCGCCACGGCTGCGAGACAGCTCCGAGATAAGATCTGGGGGGCTGTTTGTGGAGGCATCTGGGCTGGGGACGGGGGAGCCTAACTTGGTGAGCATCACACGTAGCGTATCTGATGTCTTTCTCAATTCCGTCACCGACGATGATACATGTGTCCAAATCTCATAGGACCGCCGGAGCATGTCGACTAGGGCAGCGCGACTAGGAAGTGTCTTATCCGTCTTCGCCCATTCCATGTCCTTTCCAGAGTCGGAATATTGTTCGCACTTGACGACAATGTAGATGATTGTAGCCGCCAGCATATAGTCGTGGACAGCGAGAGACGACACAAACCACCCAACCTCGCTCAGACTATTGCCGGGTCTAGTAGCCGTCCACATGGTGGATTGGAAGTGCAAAAGTGTGACTGCTGCATCTAAACACTGTATCCGAGAGTAGTCATGCTCGCGTTTCAAAATAGGTTCCGCAAGATATCTTCGGTGTAAAACGCATCTAGCCTTGCTATATAACGAGGCAAGACCTATGCGTTGAATAATGAGTGATGGGGCGTCGCCGACGCTCTCCTCGAGCGGGCGGAATTTGACTATGGCTGGTACCGAATCCCACACGCCGTTTAGCATGGAATCCAGTCGCATTGTTTCTGCGTACATCGGTGGTGTCAGTGCATGGGCTTGTCGAGCAATCTTGCCAAACACTGTCATAAGCTTGGTCTTTATGATGGGATACGTCATGTGCGTGTGGTCCATCAACGACCGTTCTTGGGGCATTTGCTTCATATCCTCATCAAAATCATCATCTTTGTAGTTCTTTGGAAATTCTGTGTCCGATTCTATGCCCGCCATGATGCTAGGCAAGCCCATATGAAACGACACCAGTAGCTCAACCTGTACAGCCATGTACCAGTATCGTCTGCGCATTTCTCCTTCAAATGCTGAAATATTGAGAAGCTTGCTAGGGTCGCGGTGTAACCCCATCTTTAGCATCAGTCGAACGCAAACGCCTGATAAGATGTAGCAGTTCATCTGTGCCGCGCGGTTGAAGAGGAAGTATGCCTCCACATACAGGATAAATGCAGGAAGAGTCTCATGCGTTGGCTGCGTATATTTGCCCCATGTTAGTGCCCAGGCGGCACAGGACCGAAAGTTTCGAATTTGTTCCATGACAGGCACTGAAGAATCAGCCTCTAGCTCGTGAGGCGCTGTGAAATGGTTAAAGACTAGGCCGAGCGCAACAACCATGAAGAGCTGAGCGATCCAGTGGAGTGAAACACTCTCTGGGTCCTGGCAGAATTTGGCATACTAAGAAGCAATCAGCAATGCAATTAGTCAGTAATTTCAGTCCAACTCACATTCCGTGTAAACATTGGCTTATGGATAACATCTGTTCTTGTCTTAGCGGGCAGTGTCGTGCAGCTCTTAGCCTGGTACCTAATGCTTACGTTGGGAAGGGCTTGACGAAGCAAAATATCGCATAATAAGCCTATCCATGACATGTTTCTCAGGTAACTGAGCAAGAAGTTCGTGGCGGTCACCTGGAGCATTGCTCGTTTGCAACAGCATCTCCGCGCCGTCTAGTTCGTCTGAGGGCAGAGCGCCTTCATCTTCATCACCATCCTCGTCAAAGTAGGCCTTCATATCTTCAATCTGGTGGATAGTAAGTATATATTCTATTTCATTGAAATACTGGTTTTTTTGTACTTACGTCTTCCAGCATTGCCATACAGTGAGTTGCTCCAACATACGTCGGAACACTTCCACTCTGCACGACATGGCCCTTGGGTGTCTTGGAAGCACCATTGCGGTCCCCAGATTCAGAGCCCGCCAGAATATGCTTCATGAGCTCCTCATTCCCCTCAACGTCCATAATATTCCGAACCATGCCTTCCAACCTCTTCAACCGGGCCGACATTCCCTTTGGTGGCGGCTTCTTCTTGATAGGCTTTGGCGCGTAAACGCAAGCATCAGGCCGCTGCTTCTTTTCACACTGGCTACAGGGATCTCCTCTGTCGCATTTGAGCTTAGAATTTCGGCATGGTGCACACGATAGCAGCACGCGATTGCGCTTTTGAGGCGCCGCCTGTGCTGCGCTGTGTGAGACCGCGAGATCCATCGCCGTGTCGCTGCGTTTATATCTGCAGCTGAGTAGCGAACTTTATCTATTAGTCCGTATACTGAGTAGCTGTAATTTTGAATACTGTAAATAGTTGGTGATGCTCTATGCAGAGCTGTTGAAAGTCGCCGGTGTTGTTGATTGTGCTGATGTGACGTCTGCAAGCGTGCCTGTGGCCTGTCTGGCGCTAAGCCCATTTTATCCACCACTGGAAGTATAAGTCCGAGACTTCAACGCAAACTCCGGTAACGCCCAATCAAGCATAATATTTCTCCTTGTTAGTGCTTTTGCCGTTTATCCATCATATAATACAAATCACTCTTCAAAAAGTGATAGTGAGACCGTGGTTAAATATATCATTCCAATTTCGTTCTATATATTACCAGGTGTGCTGTAGCTTTTGTATGTTCGATGCAATCGCATCATGTTCTGGGCCCACGGGCCTATCTGTAACTATATAAGAAAAAGTCAAATCACTCTATGTACATGAAATAAGCGGCCCAAAATGGCCCAAAGCACTATTTAGGAGCTGGCAACAGGAGCTACGCTGTCCAAGCTTGCCATCTCGTCCCTGGCGCGCTCAATATCTTCAAGTCGGATGCCACTGCGATCGCACATGCCGCGGAAGATGCCCCCTTCGATATGCCAGAGGTTGGCAGGGCTATCAAGCTGAGCAATTTCACCAGCATCCATGACGCAAATGCGGTCGTAGCCAATAATAGTGCGCAGGCGATGGGCAATGCAGAGCAGCGTCTTGCCACGGAAACCGGTTGCCATTGTTCGCTGAATCTTGTCATCAGTCTCCATGTCGACAGACGAAGTAGCTTCGTCACAGATGATGATTTGAGAACCGCGGACCAGAGCACGGGCAAGAGCCATCAGCTGACGCTGGCCCAGGGAGAAGTTCAGACCCTCATCCTCAACAACACTGTCCAGTTGAATACGAGGTGCGTCGCCAGTCGCATTGCCTTCGTTGCCAGGTTCGCCTGATACAAGATCTGCTTGGCGCAGAGCAGACCAGAGCGCGAGGTCATCATGCTCATTAAACGGATCCAGGTTACTACGGACAGTGCCATGGAACAATGTCGGATCTTGAGGGATAATGGCAAGGCGTGATCGCAAGTCCGAAAGTCCAAGAGTAGAGATGTTAAGGCCATCAATAGAGATGGAGCCACCAGAAATCTCCACCAGTCGGAAAAGTGTACTCATAATAGACGACTTTCCTGCACCGGTACGGCCAACAACACCCACTCTCTCGCCACCACGAATGTGCATAGACAATCCCTTCAAGACTAGGGGCAGGTTGGGGCGGTACCGCATCTCCACTTTGTCAAACACAATCTCTCCTTTCTCTGGCCAGCTGGGTCGGACGTCAACAGTATGCAAAGGCGCCTCTTCCTCCAGCTCGTGGCCGTAGTACCTTAGGCGCTCGACGGCGTTCATACCATTTTCCACTTCAGCAAGCTGCCGAACCGAGAACTGCATCATCTGAACAATTGACAAGATATAGCTGAGAACGAGACCACCAATAGATGGGTTGACGCTGAAGCGCGAGGTCACCACTAGGATTCCGACAGTGAACACTAGCAGGTTTCCGACCAAGTCGACTCGCAAAGAGAGCCATCTCTGATTGGCAAAGGTTAGGAAGTAGGCACCATCCATACTATCAATAGACTCTCTCAGTTCCTTGACAAAGCGGTCCTTGAGGCCATACGCGCGGATAGAAGCAACTCCGGTTAGACCCTCGCTAAACTTGGCAAACATGCCAGATCGAAGCACTGACTCATATCGCTTTACCTCGCGGGCTGAGGCACGGTAGTAGGCAGCGGCCAGGACGAAGATGCAGTACAATGGTACCAGAGCAATGACGAAATAGTAGAAGTAGGCAATGACGAGAATGAAGACAGAAGTCACCATCGCCATTGTAAGGAAGAACATGCGGACAGCATCACTCAAATTGTTATCCATGACATCAACATCGCGTGAGAATCTGTTGGTGATGCGTCCCAGAGGAGTGGTATCGAAGAAGGACATGGGAGCACGTAGAACCCGTGTCACAGCTTCGCTGAGCATGACCTTGCTGGAAATGGTGCCAAACATTGTCAACGAGACTGAGAAGGCGAACATCAGAGCAGCCTGTGCGACACCAAGCGCGGCATAGATACCAATGTACTTTCCGGTGGAGTATCCAAATTTATCAGAAGTCCACCAAGAAAGCCACAGACCTGTGACAATATTGGTGCCTTGGGAAAGGATAAGTAGAATCATCACCAGCGGTGCATTAAGAAGAGATCCTGAAGCGCGAATGTAAGCAGTGTACACAGACCAAGGAACAGCTGCCTCTGCTCGCTCTTCCTTTTGCATTAAAGCCACAGCCTTTTTGTTCTTCTTTCGTTCTTCAGCGGTATCAATCTTTTTCAGTGCTGTAGCAGCGCCGGCGGAGCCTTCACCTTCCTCGCCCGCTTGATCTTTGTCTACCTCTGCCTCTTCTTGTTCCTCCTTCTCCTTCTCAACAGATGTCGTTTCCATCAGGGTGCGGAACTCTTGATGATCTCGGAGCAGGTTATCCAACGTATCAATGGCGCGAATTTTACCGGCATCCATCCAGATGATGCGGTCGCAGCGGTTGAGCACCCAGAGTTGATGCGTGGCCAAAATACGGCACTTGTCTTTCAGAAGGCCAAGGATGGCATTATCAAAGATGTGGCGACCAACGTGGGCATCGACAGCGCTCAGAGGATCATCCATGAGAACAATGTCTGCATCAAAATAAATTGCTCGGGCAATGTTGAGACGTTGCTTTTGGCCACCAGAAATGGTGATACCACGTTCGCCGATCTCGGTCTGGTCGCCATTAGGAAGCATATCCAGATCAGACTGAAGAGCGCATGCACTGATGACCTGTCTGTACCAATCCCGGTCCATATCTTTGCCAAACGTAATGTTGTTTTGAAGGGAGGTGTTCTGAATCCAAGCATACTGTGGACAAAAGGCTCGGGAAGCGCCAAAGATGACTTCGCCATCTGTTTTTCTCATGTCGCCCGCCAAAGCCGCCAGCAACGAACTTTTACCACAGCCGACAGAACCAATAACAGCAACAAGTTCATTTCGAGCGACACTGAAATTGAGATCCTTGATTTTGAATGGCTCTTGTTCCACAGCATCAGGTTTTGCTGCTGATGCTTCATTGTTTTCGGATTTCTCATTTGAGGCGGCTGGAGACTTGGGTTTCTTTGCTGCATCAGCAGGAGCGTCATCCTCTTCCTTGGCAACTGTCTTTTCCCAGGTGAAGGCTGCATTTTGCATCTCAACAGCACTCATAGCAGAAGAATCAAATAAAGCTTCGTCTTCCTGCTCCTCCTCTAGAAGAAATTCTTCAATGCGCTTAAGCGAAGACCAAGCGTCAATCACCTGGCCTAGGACAAGCGGCAGCAGATTAAGAGGGATTCTGAGGCCGTTGAACAGGGCCAGAGAAGAAAACACCTTGGCGGGATCCAGGCTATGATCAGTCAAGGAGTAAGTGATGAAGGAAAGCATAGATGCGAAGATGGGAAGCGACATGCTGACTGCGTTGATGGCATTTCGAATGGCAAGGAGGACCTGAATAGCAGAGATTTCCTGGGACCTGATTTCTGCGAGCCTATTCAGAAATGAAGTTTCCCAACCAAAGTACTTGACAAATCGAACAGACTGGACAATCTCCTGGGTCAGAGACACTCTCTTGTCGGTGATTTTGTTGATTTCTTTGCGGCGACGGAATAAGCTCTGAATGGCCTTGGTAAGAAGAGGAACACCAAAAACCAGCAAAGCAAAGCCAGCCAATGCACTATAGGTAAGGTTGACCAGGAGAAGAACCAATGTGATGACACAAGAGGCGGGAGCAGTCCAAATCATATGCAGCAAAGCACAAGCTTGGTCAACACGGTAAGTATCAACACTCATCAGGTTAACAATTCGTCCGTTGGCCCAACCAGATGGCTTGCTTTCGTCACCAGGCTTGCTCTTTTTGGCTTTCTTTTTTGGTTTTTTCTCATCCTTGGGTGCCTTGGTTTCACCATTGTCTGCAGTCTTGTCATCCGAGTCGGATGTATCGCGGAGGAGCAGCGAGTCCTTTGATGTACCAGCTCTTGCGCGGCCAGAGAGTACCATGGCTTTTTCATAGATGAGACCAATCATGACTGCACGGGATTGTCCTCCCAGCATCATACCTCTGTAGATGAAGTGGCCAGTTGTCAAGCTCTGTGTCATGGTCATAAGAGCAATACCAATGGCAAGACCAATACCGTTGGCAATTGGTGGAGGAGCCTCCCCAAGCTCCTTGTTGTAGAATGCTTGCGTGGCGAAACTGATAAGAAATCGGAGAGTAAATGGCGACATAGTCTGTAGAATGATGGCAATAAAGGCACAGACAGCGCCCAGCCAAAACTCAAACTTGAATGTGTCATACAGGGCTCCCAATAGTGGTCGTTTTGTGCCAGCCTTGACCCGGCGACGAAAAGATTCTCTAACTTTTTCGGAGAGTGGCTCGACGGCCCTGTTTGGATTTACTTTCCAAAGGTCGCGCTCGTGAAGCTGTCTCTTATAACCCGTCTAAATCTCTCAATTAGTTACCTTCCAATGCCATTTGAACAATGATACTTACAGTCATGAGAGGAGACATCCAATTGAAGGTAAGGTGGCTGAAAAAGCTAGCACCGTATTCACGAGAGATGCCGCGCTCAGCAGGGACCGGCGGGATAGCACCCCATCGCAAAGGATTAAGCTTCTTGTACCACGGTCGGTCTGTCGGTCTAGCGGCTAGAGCTTCCACGTTAACGCTGGCATCGGTGGCGACACTTCGGGTTGCAGCAAGAGCATTGCGACGCTCCTCGGCATCGACGGTGTCAGTTTCGCTTGTACCATGGTCGTCTTCATGGCTGCTTTCGATTTCTGCCTTCGGTTTCGCTTCCACTTCTGCTGGGGGAGCGTGTAAAGGGGCTGTCTCTACTGGGGCAGAAACAGCGGCAGCCGTCTGCGGATCCGGAGCTTGCAGCTCCTTCTTGGGGTCTGCCATGACTTTTGCGCCAGGAGAGGTGCCGGGTTGGCAAGTTGATGAAATGTAGGAACACGAGTAGTTAGTGCCCAATCGTCTTGGTTTGAACGGTAACAATCGACTATGAGTCCATCAAGCGCGAATCAAAGTTGGTAGGAGTGTCTCAGATGTTGGTGACAACAATGACGGCTTAGCTATGTGTCAGGTGACGGGCTCTTCGACAACGAATTGAACTCGCAGGTTGACAATAGGCGAGTTGAAAGGGAGTAGATGAGCGAATGTAAAGGTGAGAAAACGCAGCACGCCACAAAGATGGGAGGAAGAAGAACAAGAAAATGTCGGAGGTGTGACGGACTTAAGTGACGGCAGCTGGCCGGTCCGGCAACTTAGTCCGATTTGGGCACCTTGCAAACGCGAAAGCGAGAGAAGGAGCGACCCGCTGTGGGCAGCCTTGGGCCCATGATTGGTAATGCGCCCGCGCTTTCGTATGTTCCGAGCGGAGTTTTGGAGGGGCTACTATTAGTGAACGCTAGACTGTAATAGCTGGTAACTAGGGGCTGGACACTACGGTGGGAAGAATTGCAGGTGGTATTATTTGGCTGACTACAGTAAGTCTTGCGAGAAATAAACAAAGCAAAAACACTGATAATAAGCGTAAGCGAAGATGTTTCCTGTGCAACAGCTATTTTCATTGTATGCAAACACAATGCATCGTCTGAAAAACCAAAGGCTAAATCAAAAACAGACTTTTCTGCCCGTCGTGGATTCACAACGGGCTACTGTACGTACCAGCATTCTGGTGGCTTGCAAAGGCTTGGCTCCCCGCAAATCGCTAAGATTTTGCCGGCCAGTGGGTGCAGTACAGCACTGGCAAGCGCCGTAAGCTTGCTAAATTGGTTTTGTGGTCTTAGTATCATGGGGCCGGGGAAGAAGTTTCTACGCTGTATACTATTCATACTGAGTCGACAACCGTTTGTAATTGTTTTCTATCCTTAATATAGTAGAGTTACAATCATAACCTATTGGACTCAAGTTTAGTCCTGTCCCGAGAGCTGCTTAGTCCGAAAAGACCAGCATTAAGTTGATTTTAATCCGGCCGCTACCCCGAGCATCAGCATACGGGTTTGGGGCTGACCGACCCCGACCACAGGGGCGAACCCACCATAAGGAAGTTGTCCATATAGAATGCAGATCCGTTGGCTCCGGACTGGACCTCACAATGGGTACCAGAATTAAACATTAGTATATTTTACGATGTATAGAGCCCTGTAGAAATAGGTCCATATTAAATTGGATTTATAATACCCATGATTACGCCTCTGGGGACGTAAGATAAAAATGTTGTAGGGTATAGAGTCGGACCATCGGCACCTACAAGGCCCGGAACTTTCGCAAGACGTACGTACCATTCGAGGCCTACGACGGTGTGACTAATTTCCATCTCATTCAGACAAGCCACTGGAAATCCATTCGAGCCTTTTGCAGAAACAAGCCTTTTGGAAGTACGCCACGCTTGCCTACGCCCGCGGATGGTGCCGATTTATCCATGGACTCCGGCAGGCTCGTCACGTGCGCCGGTGTGCATGGCAGCTCCGCCGACGGAGCTCCGAAAATCTAACAGCGCCATCGAATTTTTGACAGCCTTGTCACCACCTCTCAAGCCGATTCGCGGGCATTCAACACAGAAAAGAATTGCTGGTTGCTTGTTTAATTGGCACTTCTGGTGTGTACTAGCAGAGAACCCAACTTTCAAATCCACCATGGCTGTCGACGGTAACACCACGTTGGCTCTGCCTGGTAAAATTCTTGCCCCAGCTTCGAAATATGCTGCTGGCTCAGGCACACATGTCCACGAAGGCAACATTGTCTCATCATTAATGGGCGTTGTTACGATTACTGCACCAGCTAAAGCACCGGGACCGGCAAAACGACTCAACAAGATCACGGCCCTATTCGCCGACGAACTGTCCACAATCAGCGTGGCTCGTCACGGCCGCAAGCGAGAAATCCTGCCAGATGTCAACAATATTGTGCTCGCCCGCGTTGTGCGATTGATGCCGAAACAAGCCATTGTCGTCATTCAGCAGGTCGGCGATACTGTGCTGCAAACAGAATGGCAAGGTGTTATCCGTGTACAAGATGTTCGAGCAACCGAAAAGGACAAGGTCAAAATTTACGAATCTTTCAAGCCTGGCGATATTGTACGCGCCCAAGTTGTGAGTGTAACCTGCTTTGGACATTTAATGCATCATTGCTAATGTGATTGCTTAGATCTCTCTCGGTGACCAAGCCAACTATTACCTCTCGACAGCGTCAAATGAGCTGGGTGTCATCATGGCTACCAGCGAGGCCGGCAACGACATGGTGCCCATCAGCTGGAAGGAGTTCCAAGATCCCGATACCAACGCAAAAGAGCTGCGCAAGGTGGCCAAGCCCAGCTGAACGACTTAGCCAAAGTACCACTACAATCCTGAAGTATGACGTGGGCCAACTTGTGCACACATAACTTGCGCCTCGCAAAGATTTCATCAGGTTCGCTACAACGCTCGCCGCTAGCCTTGCCGCGTGGCTTTCTTATGCAGCCAATCGGATTCCCGGTAGAAAAGACGAGAAAGTCCCCCTGAAAGGAAGGCAGAATCAAGCTCTTTTCTGATTCTGAGCAAATCATGGGCGACAATTGGATTGATCGTCACATCTGAAACGAGGCTACGAGCATCTCTAACATGGTGTGGGCGAACCTGATACAGTAGTCCAGCGGCGCATGTGACGAGCATCTTCATGCACTGATCGCCTGTGCTCGGACTGATGCACAGGCAGAATCCATAGAAAATACCGGTAGTTTACCAAAGAAGATGCTACCAAAGAACACAGTTTTCTCCATTCAAGAAGTATTGACACCCCTTAATCAACGCGTTTTTTATGAATCTGTTCATCTTGGCCCGTTTTGTGGCTGCTGCCAATACCGCTGTAATTTCCACTGTGGGTGTTGATTGACATACCAGAGTGGGTACAAGTTGGCAGTCGTTCGCTGTAAGAGTGCTGAAGCCTGAAACTAGCCCCTGTGGAAGCCTGCTGGCCGCCTAGAAGGTAACTGAGCGCCATGGAATCCTCAGCGGGGGGATGCAAGCGGTGCGTGCCAGTGGTCCGAGTCAATAACACGGTTGTTAAATGGTGTTGGGAACAAAGTGGTGAAAAGAGGACAGCAGATGTTGTACAATGAAGAAAACATTTAGGTAGAGTAGAATCATGAAAAGCACACAATTACTATATATGGCAGCATCCTATGATAAATCTACCACATCAGATACGGTAGCATCAGGCCCCTAAGCGGTACACTTTACCAACGGTTTATGCCACTCTTTCAGGGGGGGCCGCCTGCTAAAAAAGTGGCTCGCCGCGCTGTGCCGTACCGCTGTGGCTGCTGGCTTCTCCACTCTTCCAGCTGGCCTTCCACCTGGCAGCTTAGCCGCGCAGTGACCGCCTCCCAGTAAAGTTCCTGCCGAGCGCCAATCGTCATCGTTCTTTTTCCTTTCTCCTGCTTCTTCTTCATGAGGCTGCCCGCCCACCCCTTTGCACGCTTCAGTTACAGACTGTATGATCTCTTATGATCTCGCAGCTTCACCAACACACGCTATAAAGGTGCCTTCTTTGCTCTTTTGCAACCTAAAATCTTTCTGCACATGCCGAGGAACCCCGCAGCCACCATCAAATCGAACCACCCAAGCTTCTCACAGCGCCAACACCGACGGAGCTGGCTAGATAATGGCTTCCACTATGGTCTATACCATGGCACAAGCACAACCACACACCCAGATGGCGACTTGCTGCCCGGGCTGCGGCTACGACCTCCCGCCTCCCCTGCCTGAAAAATCCTCCTCGTACGCTGACAAGGACCTCGCAGCCGCACAAGCACGCATTGTTGAGCTGGAGCAGCAGGTTCGACAGCTCAACGAAAAGGCATCCGAAGCCGTCAGTCGTTGGGCAGACTACGAGGCAGAGCTGGCCAAACTCAAGGGATCGCATCCATCCGTCATCTCACCACCGGCCTCGGCGCATTCTGCAGTATCACCGCCTGCAGACCCTAGCCCTACACGGTCATCCTTTCTACCTTCTACAGCGTCTTTGTCTTCGCTTCTATATCGCAAGTCGACGCCGAATTTACGAGCTACCAACAAGCCACCGGCTTTAAAGACGACCACACTGGCTCCCATGCCGGCCCCAGGACTCCCAGCAACTCCAGCAACTGGAGTGTCAATGGCAGAAGATCTCCTGGAAGCACTGGGTCGCGAACAAACACTTAGGCAGGAGGCGGAGGGCCGTTTAAGTGCTACGAGCAAAGAAATGGAGGAACTCAGCGCAGCGCTGTTTGAACAAGCAAACGAGATGGTGGCTGATGAGCGCCGTGCCAGAGCGAAGCTGGAGGAGCGGGTAGACGAACTAGAACGCCGCGATTGGGAAAAACGACAACGCCTGGAACGACTCGAAAACGCCATGAATCGCATTGAACGTGTCAAAAACATCTTGCGAGACGATAATATAAGCCAGTTTTCAACACCAGCACAGACACCAGCAAAACAGCCCGCGGGTTTGGGAATAGGGCGGGCTTAGGAATAGGGCGGGCTTAGGTGCGCGGGCTTTTGAATAACTGAGACACTTGACTCTCCGACCCGTAACGCGCGCACTGGGCTATGGTGCAGAAATTATATGAAGACCTAGACAAGATTGCAATGACAAAACAGGGTCAAGCAATGGAAGGACTCAGCTAGGTCGGGACTGTCTACCGCGGTACCAGCACAGTTGCGTATGGTGGAAAACACGCTGAAACCAACACACACTCATGATTTATGATATTGGTTTATCGCATTCTTGGCGTATTGAAAAATTAGTTGTTTGCTTTGGGATTCTTGCATGCTAATTGCGATGGATGGCCCGGTGGTGTCCATGACGGCCATGATGGGAAGGGAACAAAGCATAGCATAACATAGGGAGAAGATGACGATTGATATACAGTGAATTATCCCAACATGAAGAGCAGACGAGCTTTTAAGCTCTCCCAAGACTTGCTTATTAACCTAAGTTAAACACTTTTGGACTATTGCAGGATTGGGTGGGTTGTGAATTGCCATGTATTCCCAGAAAATGAAGTTATATATCGACAAAACCGAGCAAAACGCCGAAGCTTCCATCCTAATGCAAAGTCTTATTCTGTAAATGTCCAAATTTGTTCTAGCCAGTTATTTCTCGTACCCCATCCGGCTCTCTTAATCATCAAAACCGTTCCATGATTTTTCATCCTCGGATGCGCCATTGGCAGCAGCAGGCTTCAGCCCATCCTTGTCGCTAGATCTCGTGACAGCCTTGCGAGGTCTGTCCTTGGTATCGGGCGATTCAGAACGGCGGCGCTTGTTATTTTGTGAAGAAGTCTTGGAGTCTCCGTCTGCCTTGGCCTCCTTCTTGCCCGCATCCCATGTGCCTTCCGGCTCGCCGTTCCAGCGCGCAAGCATGTCTGCCACCTGGGGAGCCCAGACATCCTCACCCTTGAGCAGGTCGTCGTACTCCAGGCAGTTGACGCCGCCGACGGTGAAGTCGCTCTGGCGCGTGCGGCAGAGCTCGGCCATGAGGGCAGCAGAGTCCAGCTTGGCACCGAGATCGTGGCAGAAGCTGCGCACGTAGAAGCCGGATGTGACCTTGAGGCGGATCTTGCAGGCAGCAGGGCCCTCATCGCTCCATGGAGGAGGAGTGCTCACATCAGGTGAGGGCGGGATCAGGTCCTTGCCTTTGTTTGAGTAGGTTGATTGAGGCAGTGAGCCAAGAGCACCAGACATCATGGCAGCGCTGTCCTTCTTGCCATTACCCTTGGGGCGGGGGCTGCCTATGGGCGAGTCTTTGATGAGCTGGTCCTGGCGCTCTTCAAACTTCTTCTTGAAGGATTCGTGGGCAGCAATGGCCTGGTCATCCTCCTCCTTTTCCTCCTCAGTCAGCTTCTTGCCAGTTTCTTGCTGCTTCTTCAGTCGCCAGACCTGCTCGGCGAGGTTGCGCTCGGATGCCTCGGCCTCCTCTTGCGGCCAGCGGTGGTTGTGCTTGCCAGGCTCGTACCAATCTACAAGCTCGATTTCGAGTACTTCGATCTCGCGGCCCTCAATTTCGCGAGGGATTGGTTTGCCTTCACGGGCATACTCGTATAGTGGCTTGCCGTTCATCTTGAGAGCAGAGTACAGGGGCGGGATCTGCATCTGCTTGCCCTTGAAGGTTTCCAGCGCAGCCTCTACCTTTTCCTTTGTGATGTGGTCGTATGGGCGTTTTGTGAGAATTCGGCCGACTCTGTCGTATGTATCGGAGCTGGCGCCAAATACAACAACCGTTTCGTACGTCTTGGTGCAGTCAAGGAACTGCGACAGCGTCTTGGTGCCCGACCCGATGCCGAGGATCAGCACGCCCGTCGCCAGAGGATCCAGTGTTCCGCCGTGTCCCATCTTGACTTGCGATGCTTTTCTCTCTTGCTTGCGTCCAAGCGATCGTGATCCGGATTCTCGCAGTAGTCGCGCTTTTTCGGCATCAAGCATTGGCTTGAAGTAGCTGGAAGGGTTGAAGCGCTGTTGACATTCTCGAATAACTTGCGCCGAACTGTGGCCGCAAGGCTTGTTGATGGCTGCGTGGGCATGGTTAGCTATGTAGTCCAGATATGTATTTCAGTCAAGATCTATGGGTTCGTACCAAAGACGCCCTCGCGGACGACCTCTGAGGCCATCTTGATGCTCGATCCTGCGCGGCGCATACGATCTGGGTATAGGCGCTGGTTGTGTTTGCTCGACGCACGAGAGCACGAGGAATTCGGCTGGAGATCTCCTTTGGCTGCAAATAATACAATCCGCTCTGACCCCAAGTCCAATTGAAACACGGAAACCCCGAGAGCGTGCTGCAGAGAAATAAATATGCAAAAAAGTCTCCCACTTATGTTGGCAGCCAAAAGGTAAAAAAAAATAGGGAACCTAAAAAAAATAGAGCTTGGGGCGGGCCCCTGTTTGGCGGGCACTTGGCGGCAGCCGCAAGTGTGGACCAGCAGCTGCCCACCACCTGTTACAGCTGGCAAACTGGCAGCGTACAGTGGTACCCTATAAGGTCAGACAGTACCTGTGCCACCAGCAAAACTGCCACCCAATCGAAGTCACGGGTGACCTGCTGCTTGCCCCGCGTGCCTGCTCTCTAGCAGCGCCGCCGCGTTTTCTGGCTGGCACCGTCAGTGTACCGTTGTCCAACTTTGCCTCCATCGCTATTTCTTCATTTACTCTCTTCCACGCCTTATATTAATTGCCTACGCTCCTCTACTACATACTCATTAACATCAGGGCCAATTTGGCGTATTTGTACTCAGTTCCACAGACGCTCTGGTCGATCTCTATCGCCGCGACTCACATGAGCTGTTGGTCTTGCGATTGATCGGGATGCCTCGCCACACCTCGACATCAAGCGACGATGAAGATGACTCGGCCAATAATACTTGGCTTCAAGAAACTTCCGTCGTCAAGTCTGTGCGTAAGAACCTTAATACCGATGATTGGCCCGTCTTCGATCTACGAGATGCAGTCATTCTTGATGCAGACGGAGAAGAGCTAGTCAACGGCCTGGAAGCAGAAACAAGAGGACCATTCATCGTCCGAGGCACTCTTGCGATAGAGAGCAACGAGGACAAGACACATCGTTAGTTAACATATTCTATGCCATTCGTTTGCTATATCTGGCGTTGACCATTATTTTAGTCTTGATGCGACGAAAGCGGTCGTTTCCTATTGAGATCAGACAGTGTATAATGCACTCGATTGGAGAGACAGGAGATGGCGGACCTCTGATTTGGGTCTCTGGCCGCGGTGGTTGGTATGAGGTTACGCCATCTGAAGAATACCGCTCGACTTTTATGAAGATGTGCGAGGCTGTCACATTGTACTATACCATGTTGGATGTGTATGCAGAACTGAGCAGCAAGCCCAAGTCGAAAGCCAAGGCCAAGGCCAAATCCAAGAAAGCAGATGGCAGTCTAGACTCTGTCTTATTCAAGGTGAGTCGCTACCACTCCCCTAAGAGGACCATGCTAACAGTAGGCGTGCAGTACGTAACAAAGATTGGCGATGCAAGCACATTACAGGACGCAAAGCTTCGCTGTCACGAGCATGCCCGATTTCTCCTTTTCAAATTTCTTTCCAATGGTGATGAGGTATCTGAGATCCAAAATACTCCATTTTACGAATGGCTTATCGAAGAGCATCAGGTAAGCGTGTGTACCTTTCCCAAACATAGCAGGAAGCTCTAATGCCAGTGTAGGATCTTTCACAAGAAATCGAAGACAGAATCAAGAATCCGCTAGTGTTATCAAGACACGCAATATCAGCCCATGCCGAAGCCTCGGGTGAGACCTCAAGACGATCATCAGCCATGCGTGGCTCTACTAGTAAAGGATCGGACGGAAAAGAATTTCCCATCAGACAACGACGTTCGGAATCAAGGGCTGCTAAACAAAAAGATGATGCAGAGTCAGAGAGTTCCGCGAATGAATCGGCAGGCACAGACGGAATTCTGCTTCCTGTTGGATCCCCTGCCGAGGAAGATGTTGCGTTCCAGAGTGTCCTCCAAGCTGTCAAGGACTCATACGCGAAGCTTGAAGCTACAGCCTATGGGCCTTCATTCCCAAAACTACTGAATACCTTCTATTTTGGCTACACACTTCCTACATACAAAGGCCCAAATCCTGGCTCGCACAAAGAGCCAGCTCGAGAGGTGCTTCATTACAATGCGTCGAGATTACTCGATGCTCTCGATAAAAACGCGTATTCTGGTATATATCCTCAGTTGAAAGAGCTCTCGAAACAGAAGTTCAAACTGCTGGCTCTAAGATCAGTTCCCTTTACTGTGGTACCAAGAAAGCGCAAAGATGAGCCATCGACCAAGCCTCAGGACGTAACGGTCCAGACCCCAGTTCGATCACATCATGGGTCGAAAACACCTGGACGACGGCCCGCGTCTACACTTCGCCCGGTGAAAACAATTAGGAAGCGTCCCCTTGCGAGTGTGGACACCGATGAGGAGATGACGGATGTGAGCCGCCGCCGTTCCACATTCATTACTGACGAAGATGAGTCCATGGCCGGTGTTGAATCTTCAGACGACTCTGACGGAAGCCCTTGCCCTCCTACAACAGAGATCCCTAGCCTGAGCATCGAGACTAGTTTATTGCCTTCTACGGAGAAGAAGGGTCTTGATAATACATGGGTCTGCGCACAAGATGGATGCGACGACGTTATACGTGGCGAAGACGACTTGGAAAGCCAAGAAAAGATCCAGCAGCATTTGAGAAAACACGAAAATGAAGATGCTCGAGTCGATCTAGCTATTGCTGAGAGCCGTAGCTACTTACCAGTTCAGTATGACTCCCTATTGCAGCCCCCCTCCCTGCCACAACCTTCACTCTCAGCTCCAGGACCACAGTTATGGTCTATGAGTAGCTGTCCACTCACTGGCATTGCCTATCCAGTGATATCGCTCCAATCGTCAAGCGACGTGGAGCGCGGCAATTTTAGTCGTTTTGTGAATCAGTTTTGGCGCCAAGCACGGCCCGTTTCCGATAAGCTTTCTAATCTAACATCGACACAGTAACCTACTCGAAAAGATTCGCAGATTGGGCGAGCGAAATGGAGCGACGGGTGACCAGGACGGGGATTCAGCACAACCCATCAAACGGAAGTTGGTTGTTTAGCATCAGTCTCAGGCTGGTATGTGTATTTGTATGTTTAAAAGAAACAGCGGGAATGGTAGGAAACCAAGCGCCATGATGGGTTATTTGATAGTATGTATTAAGACATGTTGTTTCGTTGTATGTTATATGAATAGAGTGACAAGTTGTCATCCACGCATAATTGTAGTTAATCCTGCATTGTTATCCATAGATCTATCTCAATTAGCAATTGAGTAACGCGAAGAGGGTTTAGATCACGACATGTGCAAAATGAGAAGGATGTTATCCATACGTATGTAACTTGTCCTGTTAAAACCTAGCCAAATAAACTCCTGGGGATATTAAATATAGAGCAATTATCCCCTCAAATCTTGATCTCTTTTTTTTTATATTATTACATGTTTCCCTGTGCACCTATGCAGACTCTCCGTTGCCCTCCATGCTTACATCTGCCTGCTTAGCACGCGACTCTGTGATAAACGCCTCCTCAATAGTAGCATGGCGCTGGAACATGCGCAGCCAGCGCTGACCCCAGCGGTGAATGAGCGCCGCATCTGCCTCGCTGACGGTGATTTGCTCCTTGGAGCCGTCGGCCCAGGCCGAAAGGGCCTCACTAATAGTGCTGAAGAGCTCTCTCATCTGTGTGATTTCTGCATCGACATCGCCAGCTTCGGGGTTTGCCAGCAGCTGGCGCACGCGGGATGACACCTTGGAAACTGTGCGGAACACGAATTCCAGAATGTGCGGCTCGCCAAGGGCAGCGCCGCCGTCTACCCCGTTAGGAGAGACGGTGCCGCCAATGGTCCAGTCCACAACAGAAAGCGGCGTGAGGATGGAGTAGTTGAGAAGCTTCTCCAGAATAGACAAAGCAATGCCAGGATGAGCATGCCAGTAGGCAATGACAGAAGAGAGGATTTGGGCACGAGCTGGAGCGGAAGCAACGCTAGCATCCAGCAGGCGTGTCTTGGAGCGGTCGATGCATGCGAGCACGTGGCTGAGAGACTTGGAGCCGACCCAGCAGATAGCTGTGACAAAGGCATCCATGGCGGTGGCGGTGGGATCAAGACCGCGCTCAGCGGCCTGGGACTCGATGCTATCAATAACAGGCTGGATGTCTTCGTCGGTGGCCTTGCGGCGCAGGAGGTTGGCGAGCTCTTGGCCTTCTGACGAGAACGGGGTGTCTGGGTTCTTGTATTTGAAAGGAGGCTCGTCCTGCTCCTTCTCAGGGCCAATGAGATGCTGGTACGGCTCAGGCAGTGTCTTCTGGATGCGCTGCGCAAAGCTGAGACGGATCTCCTTGTCGAGAGAACCCTTGATAAACCACTTGTTAGGGTGGAGGTCGGGAAGGCTTGCGTCCTCTGACCATTCTGTCCATTTCCAAGTGAAGCCAAAGTTGCTCAGATGGTGGGCGAACCAGTCAATGAAGCGATATGATAGCTCAACGTCTAGGCGCGGGCTGTTGCGGTACATGTATCGGATGGCTCTGCCGAGACTGGGCGCAATAGCGGCGGGGGCGAGCTTGCAGGCTTCGGTAAGCACGGAGTGGTAGTAGACTACCTTGCGTTCTGAAGCGGGCAGCTGGAAGAGCTGGGAGAAGACGGCGTCGACAGCGACATCCTCAGGCTTCCAAGTCGTGCGGCCTTCCTCAATGTTGCGAAGATCATCAAAGGGCGTGGCACGCTTGACAAACGTGTTATCAGCAAAGTATGAGTCAATATCCATGAGGAAGCGGGCTGTGACGTTTCGGTTGAAGTCGAGAATGTTGATGGTGTCGGTGAGAGTATCGCGAATCAAGCACGACGCCAGTGTGTGCGTTCCGGGAACCGAGTCGACCTCCTGGCCGGCATAGACGGAGAAGTACACCTCGGGGAACAGCGCACGAGGTCCGGTGACAACAGTGTCGGGAATCTTGATGGCAGGCAGTTCATGCTTCTGAGAGTTGGCGATCTTATCTTGAAGCTCAACATGGTCAAGTGGCATCTCCCACGGGCGAGGTAAGAAAGACAGCTTCCAGTCATTGTCTGCTTCTGCCTGCAGTTGTTTCTGCAGCAGCATGCACAGATTGGGGGAAGCTTCCATCTCATCTCCAGCCTCGGGATTGTATGGCTCCACCATTTCTTGTAGGGCATGAGGTTCGGAGGCGATGATTTCTGTCTTGCCCATCAAATCGGCCGCTTTCTCCTTGTGGTCGGTTGGCGAGGACGTCATGGCGTATGGGATCGTGAGGAGGATAATTTTGACGATTTCAGTACCGATTGTCTATGTCAAGAGCTTGTGAGTGCCCTTCTATTGAAGTACAGCCATTGTATACCAAACTTACGTCTTCTGAGGAGGCAGTCTGCAGATCTGCAGCGCGGCTGAAGAGCTCGTCAAGCAGAGGGAACAGTCCGTCGCCTTCAAACATGCCCTGCAGACAGGCCAGGAATTTGAGGTAGTTTTTGACATCGCGCCACTCTCCAGCGCCAATGCTCTTCTCAACACCGCCAGTGACGGCCCGGAGAACAATGGGTGTCATTTCCGGCTTCAGAGCGTTCAACACTCGGACAACGGCCGCAACAAAGGGCGTCTTCAGCGGCTGCTCAATCAGGAGCTGCATTAAGAGGTTGACAAACGTGTCTCGCAGTTGCTCGTCGTCATAGTTGTCGGCCATGAGGTTCGCCACGCCTTGTACTTCTTCTGCCCATCGTCGCAAGGGCGAATCGGCAATGCTCACGAGCTGGCGGCGCAATCGCACTGGTGCTGGCGCTGTATCTACTCTTCTTCGCTGGTGGTTGTTTCGGCGATCGTATCCATCATCGTCATCTAAAAATGGCAGAAAATCAGCGTTAGTACATCAATAGCTCGAAAATAGGTAGCTAAGCCATCTGCCTGCCTAGACAACAGGGAGGCATTGCGGCACGGCCACACACCTCTATATCTTCTCTTGCGGTTATGATATCCGCCGGACTGTCTTCTATCGTAATCAGCCATTTTATCGTCGCACTTATCGCAAGCGTTGCGGTTTGGTGACGTTGAGAAGGCTGCGCGTGCGAGTTTGGTGTGGCCTCAAACTTGTCAACCAAGCTGCCAACGTCGAAGCTGCCCCAGCGCCGAAAGCATTGTCTCGGTGCCTCAGGCACACACACTTGGAAACGCATTGTGCCAGTTGCTCTCCAGTAAAACAAGATGACATCACTGAAATAAGAAGCATGCGTAAAATAATTATGAAAAATCAATTTCTCTTTCTTTTATCTGCTGGTGGTATAAGCTCCGTCACTACAAACAGCCAAAAAATAGAATAAAATTGTATGGCTGCCCCGTCGCACAAAGGAAACAACTGAGCAGTTGGAATACAATTTGCTCCTCAGTGTCTAACTTGGCGCCTCCTCCCATCATCATCGTGAAATCGTGCAAAAGCCATCGCTGATTAATGCTTGGCCAGAAAGCTCCGCCAGGTGGAAAAGCACTCCAATTCTCCAAACATGCCGTCAATGGCTCGCGTTTGCCTCGCAAAGAAAGCCATAAGAAATCACCCAAATGTTGCTCACACCCAGACGGCCAAATCTCTGCCCAACTTAGCGCCAGCCGCTATCTCTAAAACAGGCAAGGTACATTGCTGTCTGTGGTCTCCACTGCCGAATACCGGTCAGGATTGCCAAACCACCTAGGCATGTCGCCATTTATAGGCTGTGCATGCTTCCAGGTTGAACATCACCAATGCAGCAGTTCCAATCCCAACAATAACGCAGTAGATAGCCATCTCGTGAGAGTATAATAGAGAAACAAAAGTACGACCGTTGGTAGTTGATGGTACCGTTCAAACAACTCTGAGATCCAATCAAGAAAAAAAGGACAACAACGAGCTGTCCCTTTGCACTGAAAAACTAGTCTCATGGCAGAGTGAACAGCAACGCAAACACCCTGTCAGCCAGATCTGGAGGTCATCTCCACAACTGCCATCATCAAGGGCTCCAAAAACGCCAATATCCGTGGGGAAGCAGACATGTATCTCACATCAAGCTATCAGGCTCCTCAACTCCTCAATCCAGTTTCGCCATCATCTCCTGCTTCGTAAGCGGGGTGAAGTTGTCGATATCCAGTCCGCGAGAGGCCAAGACGGAACGTATGTGAGGGGGAACAAGCTCCTTGTTTAGGTTGGGTGCGATTGACAGCTCGTGTCTAGAGAAGTCGAACAGATCGGGGAGGTCACGCAACTGGCCAGTTCCGTGTCGAGAATCAGGCAGCTTCGTGTTCGGATCGCGAAGTTCGTCAAAGAAGGGGTGAATCATAGCATCAACAGCAGCCTGTCTCTCTGTCGGGGTGTACTCGAGGAGGCGAGAAATGAGGTCGATGGCATTGGCATCAGCCTTGCGGAAGACTTTGCTGAAGGGATGAGGCTTAATCTGAGGGAACTTGTGCTCCATGTAGTTGGGGTTCATCGTGCGAATCTGCTCACGAGTAGGTGTTCCCAAAACCTTGATGATTTCAACGAGCTGGTCAATGCCTGATTCACCTGGGAAAAGGGGCTGGCCAAGCATGAGTTCGGCCATGACGCAACCAGTGGACCACACATCTGTACATTAAATCAGTATATACGTCGACATGGTCATAGTACCTCAAAAAACACTTACCAATCTTTGTGGTGTAGTTTGTGGCGCCAAAGATGAGCTCTGGGGCGCGGTAGTATCTAGAGCAAATGTATGAAACATTGGGTTCATTTTCCACGAGAATCTTGGCGCTGCCGAAATCGCAAAGCTTCAGGATGCCGCTGTTAGGGTCAAGCAACAAGTTCTGGGGCTTGATGTCTCGATGGCAAATGCCTTGCGAATGAATGTATGCGAGAGCTCGGAAAAGCTGGTAGGTGTACAACTTAATCTCAAGAATAGGCATCGTTGTCTTCATCTTGTTGAAAAAGCGGGATGCACGATACACAGTCTCAGGTACAAACTCCTGTACAAGATTGAGATAGACTTCATCTCTCTGGTAACATCGGATTAGCTCAAGGTTCAAGCGTGGCTGCTATGAACGTACCTTTTCACCGTTGGAGTAGTAAAACGCCTTCAGTTGAACAATGTTGGGATGTCTGACAATGCGCATGATCTGAAGTTCACGGTTCTGAAATACCGCATTAGTACAAAAAATCGTTATTTAGTCGTTAATCATGTTCACATACCTTGAAGCGCTTGTCTTGCAAAACTCGCTTGATAGCAGCATCCTCACCCGATGGGGACAGTTTTGTCTGGAAAACGACACCAAATGATCCATTTCCGACAATTTTGCTCTGGGTATACTGCAAATCTCTGGTTTCGCCGGTAACACCGTCCTGTACTCGTTCTCGGATGACTTCTGCAAAAATGTATGAGTAAATGATAGTAGAGCTAGACTAAGTCTTTACTTACCGCCCATTCTCAGACTGTTAAAGGCGTTCGGTCTTTGAGATGACATGGTAGTCTATGGCGCAGTGTAGAGTAAATTTGCTGGCGGTGTTTGCAATCCGTGCAATAGCAGTTTGGTTGAAGGATATTGGGTATCTTTGGGGAGCCGTGGTGGGCGATTGAACAGAGAGCACGAAGACGAAGTATGTCGTATCACTATTTTTATCCCAAGTTGAAAGGTTGGGATTGTCTGTGCGTAGCGTCGGAGGTGTCGTTAGAATTCCTGAACGTCGACGTCAATATGGTATCGTAAGACTGTAGAATGTTGTATTAGCATGTCTGCTGCGGGGTTGGAGCGGTATAGATGTCAGTTCGAAGCACCAGCCCGAATGACGTGGAGATGGTAGGCATTTCCAAAGACAAGGTATCAGCTTTCCCAGCTGTAGCTTGGTCCATGAAAAACGTATTGAGAGGCAGAGTGGCGGTTACAGAGCGGATTGGCCGCGTGACTAGGCCTGCGTGAGAAAGGTAGGCAACACCCGCCGCACAGTTGGGCGACACGGCGCAATCCATGCAGCACTGGAACAAAAGCTATCAGGGATATTGAGACCATGACCATGCTTTTGATCCATCATGCACACTGATGCAACACGGAGACAGGGTACTAGGCAAAGCTGCTCATGATGCGCCACGGGAGGACGAGTTGGCAACATGCGCAAAGCACCACCAGCCAGGGCATGTCGAATTACAACTTGCACCAAAGAGAACTTTCAATTTGTGCATCAGGAGAACCAACTTGTTACTCAGAAAACAAGGAATCGATATAGTTTTGGGGTTTCCGTAGATGGCTTTTTCAGGAAAGGTGGCGGGCGTATGACCAGTGAGGGGAAGCTGGAGGCTCCGAGAGCAGCGTTAAACGCTCACTTACCGAATGGATAAAAATGGATTAATAAATAAATCCGGGGTTGATTCGCTCAAATAAGACGGTTCACAGCGGTGAATGCTGTAGGATATAGAGTGCTGAAACAACAGGTTAGAATACTCAAAGCTGGCGTGGGTTTGTTGACTTGGCAGGTTGATGAGAGTACGAAATGCGCTGACAGAGAAGAGGGAAAAGAGGTGGGAGGGGAGAAGGAAGAGGGGTTTTGTTTAGTTTAGTTTTGGGGCGGGCTTCGCAGTAGTAGCAGACCTTGGCTGGGACCAATAGCACTAGGGGGCGAGGCGAGACAGCGGGAGGCCCAGCAGCGTGCAGCGCTAGAGTTTGGGCTGGTGGACGTTGGGAGGCGCTGAGGAGGGACGGCCCAAGCAGCCAACAGCAGAACGTGTCTGTGGTAGTAAAGCCTGATGCTCGAAAAATAGGAGCAGTTCTGATTGTGTCTATTCCAGTTTTCCGGCTTTTTTCAGCGGTTTTGTCACCACAATTCACCGTCATCCCGCTGGCATCACAGCAGCTTTCTCCAGCGGTCTCCTAGGGAAAATTACAGGCGACTGGGACGGAGAGGAGAGTGGAGGAGGGTCGGGAGGGGGCGTGTGTCTCAGTGGGGGAGAAGTGGGCGTCGGCCAAGAGCGAGTGTGGCAGATCAGCTCGTGGTAGAGCGTCAAGAGCAGACGAACGTCGCCTTGTCCGGCGCTAGTCTTTGCAGGCTACCAGCCAGGAATAATTTCCTCGTTAATTGTTATGAATATGGGCCTGGCAAAAAGGAACATAGCCTTGCTATTTCCTCACTGCTCCCTATGGAATGGGGGATAAAAATAAGCGGCGCCACGGACACCTGAGCTCACTAAAACAGAAAATAGGTGTGGGTACTTGGTAACTGTAGGCGTCGCTGGGGGGCGTGAGCGTGAGCTCTTTTGGGGGGCCCAGCACAAGAGGGGGCAAAGAAGCCAAAACCAGCGTGCTGGTTGGCCATTGACGACCAAGATGACGGAGGTAGTGGTCATGCTGTCGGCGAGGTAGAAGGGCTCGCCAGCGGGGCAGAACAGAAAACGCGGCGCAGGTACAAAGTAAATAGAAGGCTCTAATATTAGAACCAGACGACAATGTCCAATTGACACAAAAGGAAATAGACTAGCCTACCTTGTAGATGCGAAAAGCTGGCTTGGCTGCCGTTGGGTAGCCGCTGTAGAAGATATGCGTGAACGTATATGCTTGGTGACGATGTTGCGCCGGAATCGGATGGGCAAACAAACAACTGTGTTCTGCGTAACAGTGACGGAAATATATTTGCCAGCTGTCAATTGCTCTGCCAGGTGTAAGGAATTGGTCCAAATATCAAGTGGAATCGTCCGTTATCGGTCTATGAGGAAAGTAAACAAACTGGCAGGAGAGGTTGCCAGCTGTGCCAGTTGGTGATAATACCGCACGTGTTGCTGCCGTGTACAAAGTCGGGGGCGGTTGGGTGACAAGTGTCAGATCTTTGCAAAGAAGCAATGACCAAAAGGCAATATGAAAGTATGCGAACAAAGCGGTATATACTATTTGCTGGATTCCTTGTAAATTGTAGACAGTTGCGAGAGATACTGCTTCAGTAGGGGGTATGCTGGTTTCTAAAAGCGTCCCAGGGGCAAGACGCCTGTTTTATTTCCACTAAGACACCATCCGCGCTTGATTCAAATCTACAGGCTAACAATAGCAGATGTGCTCAGCTGAGCAGCTTAACCACGACATCCTAATTTCCATCCTGCAACCACGGCTTGGGGCCATGCCAACGGTATTTCGGCCTGCTGCAACCACAATTGTTTGCTGAGCCACGGCCCCATCCCCTGTCAAAGCATGCCTGTCTACCGTGTCGCTTGCTTGCCCAGCAGGGTTGATGCACCCAAGAGAGGAAAAAGAAACAAGTGGGCTTTCATGGGTGGCTCATGTGCTCATGTGCTCACCTGGCTTTTCCCGCTGGAGACGTTCAGCGGGCTGGCTCTCGCGCTAAGAGTCGGCAAGCGGAAAGCCAATCCAGTCGGACAGGGAGGTAAGCTCCGCTAATGACTACTTGCGGCAACAGCGAGCACTACAGTACAGCCAGAACAGGCCACGGCGGCGAAACGCCCACCTGGGCACCAAGAGATCAGTTGGTGATTGTCTGAGCTTCGACCTTCGCTAACGTCCATCCAGGGAAACAGAGCACGCCACAATGAAGTGGCTTGCGCCGCTGTGTGCTGCACAAAGCGATGGAGGGTGGGAAAAACAACAGGCCCGTACCAGAATAGAGGCACTGATGGAATGAGATCAACAAATAAAACAATCCATCTGACAGGGGCGGAAACTAAACGTCCGCGTCGCCAATGAGAAGCGTCTCATAACCAAGCCCGAGATCCAGAAGTGTGTGAAAAGAGTTTTCGTAAATCACTTCAGCATTTCCAAACTACTAAATGCATGTATGATACTAAAATGTTGAAGAAGAGTCACGACAGACCCCTAACTAATCTTTATAAAGATTGTTTGGAAACTCTTCTGCGTCCTCGTCCCAAGCTCAATTCGAGTCGTGTGGCTTCACAACAAGAACATCTTACCTGGCGGAATCTCCACTAGGCTATCATATTCAGGAGGACTTAACCCTGCTACAGCGGAGACTCGGAGCTAAGCTACAGTACACAAGCCTAATGGTCCCGGAGTTGGCGATAGCCCACTGAGCGCAGAGCAATCAGAATGGGCTAAGCTTGCGCCTGGGAGTTTTAGGGGTCCAGACCTCTGCAGGCTACTGGTTGGGCCCCATATATGGCAGTTGTTTACGTCGTGCATGATGAGATCTGAGTCTGAGACTCTTCTAGCCCTCGGCAGAAGAAATATGGAAGCCCAAGGTCGGACCAGACGCTGCTATCGATGTCCAAGACGATGACGGTCGAAATGGAAAAACTCCAATTGACGCGGCCTTTCGACTAGCCTCAGCCTCCAGTTCAGAACGCACCTCCTCTACATTCTTATAGGCTCATGCATCAAAGCCAAACGCCATCAACAGGAAGGACTCTCTGAGATGGACGCGGCGTCGTGGTGCAACAAAACTTCAGCACAAGCAATCTAGCCTACTAAATTCTGCATTGTCCATGGCTGTGTGGCAGCCCAACAGACGGCCGCAACAGATTTGGCCTTTGTGCCCTAACGTATGTATCCACCATCTGCTTCACTCCGTATCGGCGACTCGCTTGGGTACCAGAACCCAACAAGTTGGGAGCAGGGATCGGCTGCATAACAGTGTTTTCAAAAGACATGGGCTACCTACCTAATCCTTTGTATTCACAGCTCATACAGCCGCTATGCTAGGCCTGCGATGTAAATCATGAAGATCGGCACGTCGTTCAGTTGTCAACTTTACTCAAGTTGATCTGGCAGAGCCCATCTCTCCTACGGCGCTAGCCTGAGCATGGCTTGTGGTGCCTGGCGCAACCACTAATAAATTATTTACCGCGCCGGCCGGGCGCCAAAGAAGCAGATATTAAGCAGTGGATGCAACGGCGCCGCGACAGGCGGCCCTGGTCCACACAGTGGTCACACTGAAGTGACTCGACGTCATGGCTTGCAGGTAGCGAACGCTAGTCCATTTAAGTTCGCCAAACCTGGTTCGATCCAGGTCGTTGAGCACAGCTGGCCGCATAATGGGCCGCATTGAAAGGAGCCAATCTTGCATCCAAAGCTAACCAGCAATGCAATTGCAGTATTTAGGCGAAAGCTACCTATGGTTCGCAGCTCTCCGAGAGAGAAACCGCCTCCAAGAAAAGCACGCAGTCACTACGCCTCTCCCACTGAGTTTTAGTGGACTCAATGGAGGGGGTGGAATGCGTTGTGGTGGTCTCATGACCCAACCCATGCGGCGCTAGCGCTCGATTTTCCGGGTTCTAGGTCGCCAGGTCCGCTTGCTTTAGAGCCCATCTGATCAGCCGGCACAAGTCAAAACCTTGCCCATAGTTTCGAGATTGCTGAGCAGTGAGATTACGCTACCCAAAGAGTCTCGTGGCACGGTCCGTAACAGATCTGGCCCTCTACCACAACCCATTGATCAGCACTGTATCTACTGAGGTAGTTGCTGCATTTCGGTAAGCGCCAAGCTGGCCACAAACTCCAAGCTCCGAAGCCGGGGCAGGCTCAATGGCACCAAAAAAAGATGCGCTGTATGCATTTTCGCACACTAGGCGCAGGATGCTCTGCATCGCGCATCGCTAGGTAAGGGTGGCCTCCGTCCGCCAACAGTGGCCAACTACATGCGCCGCCGGCGCTGCGCATCACCAGACCCACGCGTGGCAGCCATCCTTGCATCTTTCCCGTATGCCAGTCGCCGGATTAAGCAGTGAGGCGTGCTGTATATTATCTTGTTTAGTGTGACAGCGCGGATGCACGAAGCGAGTTGCCAATACGGTGCGGCTGTACTTGGGCTTGAGCTTCCGTCAACTTTAGCTGCAGAGCTAGCGCTGGCGAACCGCCATGATCTGCCGTGGTTGTGCATACGCTGTCTTGTCAACTGCGACCTGACATGCTGAAAGCTCCACTTACGACTACATCGGCGCTATGCACCTGTCAAAACGAGGCTCTGGCGTGAATTGGCGCAGAAAGTCAGATGCAAGTTGCTTTTGCCCACGGATATTGAGCCTGGGAATAGTGTATTTCAATGTTCAATATCTGTTCTTCAGCCATGTGCCACAATCGGGCAAACTCAACGGACTACAGAAGCGTACCTGGCTATCCTAGCAGGGCCATCACGTCGCACATGAGACAGCCAACAACGGTGCCTCGCCAATCTAAGTATAATTGGTCACGCCACCAACGCCCCTATTTCTGTTCCCGTCCAAATGCATGAATGGCACGAGGTGTAGCACGGGTCCGTGCATGACGTGGACAGTGGATGCTGCGACCAGTTCGCTTTGTTGTTGCCGTTGTCCATGGGTTTGACCAGAACTTCACTATTATGATCGAAATGAACAGAGCCAGGGTATTGAAATTATCATGCCAAATGTGTTCTATGCATATCTATATCAAGTTATGCAGTCTATAATCATGACTGACACGCTATTCTATCAATCTTCATCATCCACCTTGTCAGCTACCATCTCTTTTGCCAGGTTCACCACTCGTTCAGGCGGCCTCTCAGAATCCAACAAAGCCCCTGCCAACGGAGTCAGCTGCCCACTAGCAGGCAAGCTCTCTGGTCGGCTTGCTGCAGCACCACTCTGAGGCAGACTACCTCCAGCTGCAAGCAGTTTCATACCATCCGGCGAGTTTGGCAGAACAGGGTCAAGTCCAGGAATATGGATGCGTTTCGCCTCGTTTTGATATGCAGCAGGGATGATTTCTATGATCTCATCACGCGGGAAGCTGAGGGCTGGGATCTCGGTAGTAGAGCAGTGCATGAGATATGCGTATAAGACGCGAAGAACAGACTCATGAGCAATGATCAAGAGATCGCTTTGTTCGCGCTCAAGCTCAAGAATAATGGGCTCCAAACGAACCGCAAGATCGTGATAAGACTATGGCAGGTTATTAACTCTAGTTCCCATAGCATTGGCTTTGTAACTTACTTCCGCACGGGGGTACCGATGATGGTATGGGTCCAACTCGTGCTTTTCTACCTCATCGGGGTAGAGTTGTCGAATGACTCGCTCAGACATTCTTTCGCAGATGCCGGGATTCAGTTGGCTCATTTGTGATCGCTGTTTGACCTTGTAACCCTTTTCTTTCAAGACATCGGCTGTCTGAATGGTGCGCAAACGTGTTGATGTCCAGACTGACAGAGGTCGCAACGCTTCCTGAGAGCCAGTCTTTTCGACTAGTTCACGATGTTCTTGCTCACGATGTTTCAATAGAGTATCAGCCATCTTCTGAGCATATGTTTTCCCGCTCTCTGAAAGAGGTGCATCAGCTCTAAGAGAATCTTCATCGGTAGTGATGCCAGCTCGGACAAAGTACGTCGTGCGGGCCTTGATGTGAAGATTGGTGAGGTAAAAGACAATTCGGTGGGAGAGGTAGTTGAAGCTGACGTTGTTGTAAAAGAACTTTTCGCCGGCGTTGATCATTTTGATGTAGTTGAGTTCGGGCTCTTCCATGGTCTCAAAAGAAGGAATCCGTACTTCAATACGCTTGAGATACAATTTTGCAGCTTCATCAGGGTCCATGCCAGCAAACTGATGGTTAATTAGTATTGCTTTAGCTTCGCTCAGGAATGATTACTCACATCTGGGGAAGAAATCTTGACATTCCGGGCATTTTCTTGAAGAATTCGCTCATTGTCTACGAATGATTCGATGAATAGGGTCTGTTACAGTGTAAGAAGTTGTTCATCTGAGCATCGTAGTCGTAAAACAAACCTGAACGTCGTGTTTGGCAAACTCCTTTGCCAATGATCTTCTCCCACTAGCGCTGGGGTTGACGGCATCATAAATAGCGACTTGGCCATTCTCATGGTTTAACCACGCATAGATGTCTTCGCGGCATTTCTTCAGAATCTTTTGTCGGAGAATGACTGATGAAGGCGAGGCATCCTGGAAGAAATAGTCCTCTGGAACAGCACTTTCTGGTCCAATAGTGGCGCGACGATAGTCTCCGAGGTGAAAAATGCGAGTCTTGACACCGAGCCACTGAAGATAGCGAGCAAGAGAAACGCAAATATGACTTTGTTATGAAGTTAGCGCCTGTGGTAGATGATTTGCTATTCGTGGATAACTCACGTTTTGCCGCGAGCAGGTGGGCCAACCATGGCAATAGCTATTCTTCCAGAATGGAAAAGGCGGCCAGACATGGTGGAATATAGCTGCGCAGGCGCCATAGCCTGTCCATCAGTCACATCATGAATGCCATCAATAAAGGTCGAGCTCTTTCGACGGTAGCGCGGGGCATTCGCTGCGATCTCCGCGGTTCTATAGAAAGTCAGTCATACGATCAAAGGCTATAATATTGCACGGGTCATACAGTAGTGTATCCATTTTGAATCGTTGTCTCTCTCTCTTTGTATTTCTCTAAGGCTGGGAAAACTTCGTCGCGAGGGGTAGCTCCCAAGTTCTGATAGCACACCGAATGAACGTGCGTTGAGCAAACGCCAGTATATTACAAGCTTATGCTATTGGTAGACGAGAAACACAGTCTAGAAGAGAATTTTCGTGTTTTACTGTCCCTGTTTAATGAGAGAGGACGCTGTGAAATTCGTATTCCGAATTAGTATTGTATGGCTGCTCAAACTGAGGAAGCAAGATAAGGTGTCGGGTAAGACGAAGGGCAGTTGAGCACACCGGATGGAGTTCAGAGCACGTAGCGGGGTTCCGTGTACAACCGATGTAGCTGGCACGTGTTGTTGCGCAGGGTATGGTTAGAGCGTAGGAGAAATTATAAAATAGGCAAAAGAAGAGGCGAAATAGTTAGGGCATAAATTTCAATAAAACTCATAAAATTCAGAATCAATTTTCACTTGTCTAGCTGTGAGCGGCGAATATACTCTGCCCTGCCCAAGTACCATCTACCCACCCTCACCAAAACGGGCCAACGGGAAAGGTCCGGCACGGAACAATCTTCGCTTCCGAGCACGGCCAAGGGCAGCAAAGGGGAAGGAGCCACCACGCAACAGGCCCGCCAGGTGCCTGTCCTCTGCGGTGTCTGGCGCTGAGCTGGGGGCGCAACTGAAAATTATTCTCCTAAAACCTCTCCCCAGCATCTCGCCGACTGCATCACGTTTTTCTGGCGTCGCATCTCATATCTCTCTTTCCGCGGGAGTTTCTTTTCATCTGTATCACCAATTCTTTTCTTAATCGGTTCATTGCCGCAGCCCTTCCTGGATTGTTTATTTTTAATTGATCCCTCACTAACGCGCAACGGACACATCGGTTGTTGATATTTCCACCTTAATTCCTCCCCTTTCGACAACCTTCGAAGCCAGCCTTCGCACAACAGCACCATGGCTACCATGACCGACTCCCTCCGATCGGCCGTCTTCAGCAACCCCCTTGCCGCTGCGCTCGGTGATGCCCTCAACTCCTTCTCGGAGCGCAGAGCCAAGCTTGGCCTTTCCAACCCCGGAACGATAGAGACTCTTGCCAGAGAGGTCCAGCGCGATGTCTCCCTCAACAACTTCATGTTCACTGGCATCCGTGCCGACCTGACCAAGGTCTTCAGCATGGCTCCTCTCTTCCAGGTTTCTCACCAGTTTGCCATGGGTGAGCGCATTAACCCCTATACCTTTGCCGCCATGTACGGCACCTCATCTGTGAGTATTCCCCTGTCTAACGAGGCACTTTGCATGCGCAATACTAACTTTTGCATCAATAGGTCTTCTGCCAGGGCAACGTCGACAACGAAGGCTCCCTTTCCGGCCGCTTCAACTTCCGATGGACCGATAAGCTTGTTTCCAAGGCGCAGCTCTCCATTTCTCCCGGCGGCCAGGACATGGCTCAGTTCGAGCACGAATACACAGGCGACGACTTCTCCTCTTCTCTTAAGATGCTTAACCCCTCTTTCTTGGAGGGTGGCATGACCGGTATCTACATTGGCAGCTACCTCCAGTCGGTTACCCCCAAGCTTGCTCTTGGTATGGAGACTCTCTGGCAACGTCCTTCGCTGTCCCAGGGTCCTGAGTGTGCTGTTTCCTACTGCGCTCGCTACAAGTCTGCTGACTGGGTCGCTACTGCTCAGCTCCAGGCTGCCATGGGTACCTTGAACACCACTTTCTGGCGCCGCCTCTCCGACAAGGTCCAGGCTGGTGTTGATATGAGCCTTGGACTTGTCCCCACTGCTGGTGGCATGATGGGTGGCGGTCTCCAGAAGGAGGGTGTTACTACCATTGGTGCCAAGTACGACTTCCGCATGTCTACTTTCCGCGCTCAGGTTGACTCCAAGGGCAAGATCAGCTGTCTGCTCGAGAAGCGTGTTGCTCCTCCCGTCATGATGACCTTCGCCGCCGACATTGATCACTTCACGCAGCAGGCCAAGCTCGGCCTTGGTGTCTCTATTGAGGCTGCCCCTGAGGAGCTTCAGGACCAAACTGAGGCTATGGGCCCCCCTACCCCCCCTAACATTCCCTTCTAAGCTTGCACGACATGTGTAAAATTAGGAGATGCTGATAGCTTTGGAGTGTTTTTGGCTTAAACAGCCGATGTAATAGGCTAGCTGCTACTGGGGTGAACGTGAAAACCGCGTGACCTTTCCGCCTCAGTTGGCAGCCTACGCCTTTGTATATTAAAAATTCGCCTACTCTTTTTTTATTTGTTTTAACAAAGCCCTAGCTCTTTGTTGGCTGGAGAATATTTTGCATCTACCGGTCTACAAGGAAACGGAGGAAGGGAAATTGCACTTTGGTTTCTGTAAGAAGTGGAGGAGACTTGTACAAGATGATTGTCAAGAATAGTTGGATGGAGAAAAAAGTGTACGAAGGCAATATAACGGTCTGTGTCGACGGGGTCTTAAAAACGCTTGGTGCAATATAGAAAAGGCTCAATGATCTACGCATTTTGTTCTACGATCTTACAAACACGTGTGGTTTTGGAAAATCTAGTATGATATTTACCAGCAGAGACAACTGGTACTCTGCTTGTTGTAGAATTTCTATGTAAAGTAATGCATTTCATGGTATCTAACGCCAGTATCAAATGTGTAGCCCAGGATACCCAAGCTTATAACGATTAGTGCCATTTACATGACGACACACTCTCGCTCGGGCTGGGTACCGGTCTGTTTCTGTTTTGTCTTCTCCTTGCTACGATCCTTCTCTTTGGCCTTGCCAGTCTTGGTTGTACTACTCTTTGTTTGATCCACCTGAGTTTCCTGCGAATGTGTCGATGGTGCTTCGCTAGGAGCAGTGTTGATACTGGTTGCCACAGACTCGCTCTGATCCGGGACCGGGTCTTTACTAACTTTCCTCAGTCCTGAAAAGCGGCCCATCGAGAGACTCAAGCGTCCTTCGCCAGACTGGCTGGTTGGTCGACTGCTTCGGCCGAGAGTGAAGCGGGATGCCGCGCGCGAGAGACGTGACGGCGTGGCGTCGTCAGACGGCAGGATGACAGGAGAGTGGCCCTCTGGTGTTGCCGGGATGGAATCGTTGACAGCAACACTCTGGCGACGAGAAGAGGATGGATTGGACCCGCCAAAGGTGGTGTAGCTGTTGCTCTCGTGGAAGGGCTTTACTGGAACTGGCTCGTTCTCAAAGGACAGGCGAATACTAGGTGGTTTGCTTTGTGTTGAGAGGCTACCTTCCGTTATGTATGATGTTTGTAGCTCCATACTTTGCTTCGACTCTTGGTATGAAGGAGGACCCGTGGCTGTGCCATCCGTCGAAGGGCAGGCAACGTCGACCATGGGCACGACCTGGTAAAATAGAAGATACGGCATCTCGGCTTTTAGGGCTTCTTTGAAGTTATCAACGTAGGTCACACGTGTCTCTTCGAGGTCGTCGAAGAGTACCCATTGGGCTTCTTCATAGTCAGGTGGAGGATCGAAGTTGTGCCGTCTGTTGTCGATGAGCAGCTTGGGTGCTACCCTCGCAAATGTGATGTAATGGCCACTCTGTAAGGAGTCGCCGCGATGACAAACAACAGATTGAAGGACGAGCTTGTACTCGGTGCTCAAACCATTGCTGTCAGCTTCCAGGTTTGGTCCGTTGCCAAGCATGAAATGAGGCAATCTCAAGCTATCAGGAATATCAATGAAGGTATTATGTCGCTGTGGCTGTCCTGATTCTGTCATGGCGTAGCGCTTGAGGCAAATCCCAACAACTGGACGTTGTTGGAACTTTCTCGCTACGTCAACGTCATTTTGCGGTTCATTGCTCGAGACAGCGTTCCATGCTAAGTATATCATGTTAGTTAATCAGCAATATTTGAACTTAAACAGATACTCACGAATTAATCTGAAGAATTGCCAAGCAGGAATTGTGATTGCTTTAACCACAATAGAGCCCTTGCGCTTGTGAGACTTGCCATCTACTACCGCCTCGTCAGTTGGTTTGCCATTTTCGTCCAGGACTACCCGTTGGATCACGCTCCCGGAACGGTTCCGTGACGAATATTTTCGGGTTATAGTATCTGCACCACCGGCTTCATCTGAGGCTGGCTCTCCCTCAATCACAGGAAACGCTGAGTGAGAAGAAACACTGGCGATGGAAGACTTTGTAGGAAAGGGTTGTAGCGGGTACATGTCCACTGGTGATGAAGAAAGCATGCTTGTCGCCCCTGTCTCCTCGTCACGCAGGAGCCGGAGCGTATTTCTGTGAACCAAACCAGGTCTGTCTTCGGTTGAAGGGTCTTCGGAGAGTGACTTCTTCATTTCTTCGCTATCGCGCAGGACGTCAACTTTGGCATTGAAGTATTCCTCCAAGCAGTCTTCCAGCTTAATACCTTTCCCTTCGGGATCAGGTGGAACAGCTAGGTTTAGTAGCCTTTCATACACGACTTTATGATCGTCGTCGTCTCGTCGGCCTTGATGGAAGAGGTCAACCTGTAGGGATAGGAGCGGTAGTTGAAGTGTTTCTGTGAGGAAGGCGAATGCCTCGGAGGTATCTTGTTGTTCGAGAAGTCTGGCATCAGGCCACCCGCAATCTCCCAATGTATCTTGTATTAATTTTGTCTGATAGTGTTAGTTTCATGATGAGGACAGTCTGGCTCGCGACAGTGCTCACCAAATCAGTGTGAATGAGCTTTCCGCTGCGAAGCATATTAACCCAGACACGCAAAAGCTTTACTAGTTTGGCTTTTGGATCATCTGTAGAGAATGATGTATTGAGCATACACTCGAATGCATCAAGTTTGCAAAACATGGCAAATAATAGAGAATCGATATAGCAAGTGACGCCGCCACGGTTCTCGGCCCCAAGCAGCGTGGTGTTGGGATTGTAGGGAACAATAACACCAGAAGCGGCTTTCTGCTCTATGTCGATAAATTCGGTAGTCCGCTCAGGATCGCCGGAGGCGAAGTTGCTCGACATGATGTCTTTTATATGTTCGGGGGTTATGTTGGAAATGTTGAGCTCATCCAGTCGTCGTTGAATAGCAGCAATCTGATGTAGAATTAGCATGGCGCTATACAGTGTAGAGGACAAGAAAATTACCTTGTCTTCGATATTTTTTGACTTTTCAGTGTCTTCCTTAGCCTTTTGCTCATCCTTTTTGAAAAACGATAAAAATACGTCGGGCTTTAAAGGCCGAGTCTAGCGACAAAGTTAGCTTAGCAAACCTCGAAACCCTATGCGCGGCATACCTTGTCTGTCGGCGGTGGTTGTGATTTGCTGCGAAAGTGGGAGCCATTCTTATCCCTACGACTAAGGAATTTCTTAGGGAATTCCTTCATGATGAACTGGTATACAAGTGTAGTATCCTCTCGTCCCTCCAGCGGTCAAGGTATGGTAGGCTAATCGCGCGGGGCGACTTTCAGCGGGGAAGCAACAAAGTAGCTATCTTCATTATCTTATTCGTATGTAGGATTCCGGAGAAGTGATACGCGCAAGATAGATAGCTATCAGAGCGTCCTTTTTGGCGGCAGGGCGTTTGAGGGACGAACCAACAGTTAGAGGAGCTTTGGAGCAACGGTGACGGTATCGAGAAGGGAGGGACGTCACTAGAGGTTAGAGGTTGAAGGGGTATCGAAGTTGGTGGTGTTAGGAGGTTTGAGGGCTATGCGATAAGATTGGAGTGATGAAGGAGCAGGATGTTGCAGGAGAGTAGTAGTAAGGTTGGCGAGTTGTTGGTGCTTGACTTGAGTGTGTCTGGCTGCGCGTGGTGGGGTCGTGGTCACAGGCGGGGGGACAGAGCACTATGGTCCGGTTTATAGTGGAGAGTCGTAGGGAGGTGGTGAGGTGCTATCCCCGCTGGAGTGCTGAAAAAGATGGCTGCTGACGCGGGAAGCATGGCCTACGGCAACATCATTGTCCCCAGCGCGTGATGGCCTTTGGAGCAAATTTGGCAGCAGAGAGAAGAGTCATACGTGCGTCCATATAATCTGAAGAGTAGGTTCATCAGGGTGTAGGGTCCATGTGAAAATTTTGCTAGTTATAGTCTTGCACGCACCAACATATGTGGTAATCGTAACACGGACGTCGTCCGATTTAGGCCTGTTTAAGGGTGTCTATGCGCTACAACGCTCTATTTTCAGAGGGAAATGTCGCTTGATCATGCCACTACGAGAGCGTTACATCCCGACGGTCCTACCAAAAGCAAATGCAGATCCGCGATGCGTCATAATTCATTGTAAAGACTTTGTAGCCTCCAGACTTTCTTTTCCTCAACAAATTGAGAGGGATGCCATTGGACTGGCCAGCAAATGCGCATCATCTGACCATGCATCTATCAACAATCTGGTAGCCTAGCAGCTAAGCCGTCTCTGCTGGAGGGGCCAAGAGCATAAGGGCGCTGTATAATAGCACTTGAGAATACACACACATATCTATAAATCTTTCATAATTTGCCTCTCTTCGTTAATATCTCATGTTTATTAGCTGTATAATTTTGCCTCTATTTTTAAGTCTTGAAAGTCAGATCTCCAACCCACCACCAATGGTACTCTACAAGCTACTCTGGACGCCACACGTGGCTCAGGATCCACCAGCCACACCAAGTTCCCCTAGTCGAAATTTCCCAACTTTGCGCGCTCACACGACAAGCAGCTCTTTGTTCATCAGTCTCTCCTACCACCATCATCACGCCCGGAATCACAATGGTTGGCGCCCGACAAGGATCTCGCTTGGCGAGAGCCCTTTCTGCGAGACAATTGCCCTTACAGCCTCAGTCTCTGTGCGCGACGAGACTTGCGTCGACAAAGGCAGCCCCTGCAGCTTCAGGAGCAGCAAAAACATCACAATCGTCGGCCGGGTCTCCCCTGGATCAGATTGAAGGTGTCTCTTCATTCGGTACACCTGCGCCTGATGCTGCCACTCTGAAAAAATTTGAGGGCGCTCAGGGCACACGGACAAAGGACCAGCAGTTGCCAGGTAGCCGGTAAGCAGGGCGAACCTGTATCAAAAATTGAACACCCACGCTGACATTGTCTTTTCCTTGGCTAGATACCAATACCATCCTCCCAAGTACAACCGCGGACCTCTGCACCCGGTGCAGTCTCCTCCATCTTCGGACCCAATTGCCAGAGATTTCGTTCCCGGCCCGTTCAGTGTCCCTCGACTTATGCACACCTACGACAGTACCATCGCTCCCGACTTGGCGACTCTCACATACCAACACACACCACCTGGAACAAAGAAATCAGACGCACCTAAGGCGCGTCTTCGTGAATGGGATGACTCCTCACCATACCACAAGAACCGTCCCTTGCGCGGACCTCGTGGTGGCTCGTCTTCCCGTCTTGGCCTGCTGGAGCGTGACTTGAGCTGGTTTGAGATTCCCCGCATCGAGGCCGTTACTATCAACATGTTTACTCCCAAGGCTGTTTCTGATAAGGAGTACTTGAACGCTGCTCGTGCTGTCTTGCAGGCTATCAGCGGTAACTTCGCCGATACTACCACCATCAAGAAGCACGTCGTTCAGTGGGGCCTCCGTAAGGGTGCCAACGGTGGTGTTAAGACTACGTTGCGCGGTGCCGCTGCGCTAGAGTTCATTGATAAGCTGGTGACTCTGGTCTTGCCCAAGATCAAAGACTGGCCCGGCCTTGATGCTAGCACTGGCGACAGAGCTGGCAACATTGCCCTCGGCTTGAAGCCTGATTGGATGGCTTACTTCCCTGAACTCGAGACCAACTACGATGTACGTTTATTTTGTGTAATGTTCTCCAACTTAACCAAACTAACAATTCTGTAGATGTACCCTGCCAAGCTTATGCCTGGTTGCCACATCTTTATCCAGACGACAGGAACCTCTGATCGACACGGTCGACTCTTGATGCAAGCTTTGGGTTTCCCTTTCCACGGCAAGATCACATACTAAATGTTGTCACATCACATCCCGGATGCATTAAAATCATGTATAATACAAAAACTTTCCATTGTATGATAGATATATTATAGCCCGCGCAGGAGGCAGCGGGAAATCAAACTCATTGTTTAACCCTTTAGAATACTATGTCTACTCAAAATCTTTTGTTGAACCCCAAAAAATAAAAGACGCCAGCAACTCCGATGTATGCCCTCATGTAATTTCTTCCACCCATTTATTCCTTGTAGCATTTATTCCGTATTTTCTTTTTGCTTAAGCAGAAGCAGATGCCTTGGCCTTTTCTCTCAGAGGAAGGATGATTGTGTCGACGGCATCCATATCGGTAGCGTCCACCTTTTCAATCGAGTGACCCTTGGTGTTGAGCTCTGCAACAGCAGCATCAAGAGAAGGCTGGTAGTTGCGAATGGCAGAGCTAAGGGCGTAGATAGCCTTGCGACGAACCTGCTCGGATTCGGCCTCAGAAACTGCCAAGCTTACAAGCGGTGCAACACCACCGGCAGCCAGCAGACGTTCCTGGGTCTTCTCGTTGTTCTGGACCGCAGTACCAATGCACCAAGCAGCCATCTTGCGGATCTCGGCCTCCTTGTTGCTCAGCTGCTCCAGAAGAGGGGTCCAGAGGTTGAGGTTGGCCATGTTGTTTGCGTTGTCGAGACTTTCGATGAGCTGCTCAAAGTTGTCGAAGGCGATGAGCTTGTTTTCCAGGCTAACTTCTTCATCGGGAGAAGTGATAATCTCCATGGAAGCCTTCATAAGGTCGGCCTCGGACGGTCCGCCCATTAGAGCCTCGAGAACCTCTGGGGTAAGGTTGGACTGTTGCTGGGCGCCAGACTGGGCAGCCTCGGCGAGCGCCCCTTCGTCGGAGTTTTGAATGCCCCAGCGGAGCAGTTCGTTGAGTTTCTTGTTGTCATCCATATTGTCAGGTAGCTGAAAATAATGTTGGAAACAGTTGAATTGCGCGGGGAAAAGCTGTTGCTGTCGAATGGTGGGGTGACTTTTTTTATGTAGCTGCTCATGATTTTTTGTCCTTCTTCTGGAACCTTCAAGAATAGTCTAACCGCATTGGGTTTAGCGCCACGTCTCAATCGACTTGCCAGCATTCATGCGTAGATTCGATTCCGCTAATTATGCTTAGAAGTAGATCTACTAATGAACTATATGTCTTTTTCGGGTATATGAGCATTTATATAGAAGCAGTTTGTATGTTATTGTCAGTTTCAATTAGGAGGGCTTGGTTGAAAGGCTCCATAGCTACACCTCTTCACGCTTGCTCATACCGACACCGTCTACCCTATGGAGCAAACAGGTGCAGTATGTATTATGAAACAATTTACCAGTAAGGTGGTTTGAAAACTCAAGCATGAAACGCCATGTCTGTGTTTATCCCTCAGTAGCGGTGCTGGATGAGGGAGCCTGTTGATGTTGCCTCTGTACACACTGTGCGATCCAAGCTGTAATGCAGTGACGGAAAGTTTAATTTCCCTAAGCCGAGTTAAGGAGGCTGGTGCCTGCCACTAGGCAACTATAATCATATTACTACGGATATAGGGGGGAAATACACGGTTGGTTCGGGTGCTGAGATGGAGCAAGGCAACCTGCGTTTCTGTGAGTGGCTGGGGAGGCCAGCAGAGCGCATACTCGTCATAACCTCAGTATATCAGCTATACTATGAGTGTTATTTTCTTTTTCTTTGGCCTTCATTCTGCACCTCAACGCACAGCCCTTCTTGGTGGGATGAACGCGATTCAGTTCCGGGATGCATGATGGCGGCAACGGCGGGACTGGGCGCTCGCTGCATCTGACGTGCATCCAAAGCTAGGAGATGCCCAGGTTTCTGCTCGTCGTAAACGTCATCGGATAAATTACGCAAGGCAACAATATATCATGTACAGAGCACTAGGGAACGAACCGCTCCATGTAGCTCATGTAGCTCATGTGGTTGGAAAGATCAAAAGTGCATCAGGCTGCCATTTAGCGGAATCAGACGAGGCTTGGACGTTGACGCAAGCTGACGACTTGTCCGCCGCCCGCCACCGAAGAACACCCCCGGAGCCGCCCCCAAGAGGACGGACGCTGGCGCAGTGCTAACGGGGCGAGCAGGAGCTAAAATTAGGGCCTGGGCAACGCTGCAACACAGGATGAGACGCCGTCAATTCCTCAGCGAAAGCACCGACTGGACTGTTTCTGCTCCACTATTGGTGTACAACCCGTAAGGGCAGCTCAAGAGCAGCTCCAGTTTGTTGCGTATGTCTCTCACCGGAACTATTTTGCTGTTCTGTTTCACCCGAGTAGGAGCGTGGTGGTGCTTTGACTCAGCTGTCGGGTTTTTGACCGCCTGGACGGATGCTGGGCATAGGTATGCAGCTGCCTGCGAGATAGGCATCTATAATTTTTTTTGCCAATTTTTACATCACAGGGGACTATTTTCTGTGCCGCAACGGTTAATGACGTGTGATTTTGTGTGTGCGTTGCCCTCGTCGCTCGCTCCCTTGGCCTTGAACGTGCGCTGAGCAGTGTTGCCGTGGCGCAGAAGACGCCAGCCAGCTCAGGAGTTGCCCCGCTGCTACACACCTTCAGCGCTCTTCTGCCGCCCGTTACTGGCTGGATAACACCCCACTTAGCCATAGCTCGCAGGCCAATCACGATGCCCCGCCCGCTCACCAAGACGAGGGAAAAGGAGGGCTTCCCTGGTAGGGGAAAAAAGGTCTGTCCGCGCCTGCCCCGCCGTGATATTGCTGCCCCCGCCGCTAGCTACAGCGCCGTCGACGTCTGATAGCGATACTCAGCCCCTGAAGATTCAACGGAAATACAGTGCAGAGGACTATCTACTCACACCGTTCCACAACCCTGATCCTGCCGCCTCTAGGCTGCCAAATAACGACCCCCGGCTCCCCCGCTTCCCAGGCTCGAGGCCATTCTCACACTGTATTCCCGCCCAGACCCAGACGAGGCCCCCGCCACATCCAATCCTCGCCGCCTCACAAAAACAAACTAATCCGCCCCGACTTTCTTCTCTTCCACTCTCAACCCCCCCTTTGGAACTTGTTCTCCATACATCTTCTCTCCGCGCCCATAGCTCTTGCAGGTTTTCCATCAATCTCAAGAGTATCTCCTTTTCAATTCTTCTTAATTTCTTCATCTTCTTTTTTCTTTCTCATCTCTAATCAGTCACAATGGAGGGTACGTATTCTGTCTAGTCCCAGTGTCTTCACCGCAACGGCCACCTAGGCTGGTTGGGTCCAACAGCACACGCGGCTTTCCGGCTCCATGACGACGCCAGATACCCCCATCGCCGTCATCCATTTCAAGTCCAAATTGCTAACGTCTTATCCTTCAATATAGAGGAAGTTGCTGCTCTCGTCATCGACAACGGGTAAGGATAATTTGCCATGTTGTGCAGCTTCACCGACATCTTTCAGATCCTGCTTTCCCCCTCTCTCACTTTGACAGGAGAGCAACGGCGTCACCGACGGCCGATCGCTGCACATTGCTGCCACGCCCGCGACCTCCGCTCGAACAGAAAGGGGCAAAATTACAGGTCACTGAAAGATGATGGGCTGAATTTTCGCACAATGCTATTTTTTGATTGGAAAAGTGAAGCTGACTATAGTATAGTTCGGGTATGTGCAAGGCCGGCTTTGCTGGTGATGATGCACCCCGAGCTGTTTTCCGTGAGTACCCCACTTCGCCTCCTGAGACTTTGCGCCATTGTACAGCTCTGCTTTTGCGCAGTGCTGTCGGCGGATGCAAGGCTTTGGCTGTCTTTGCCAGGACGAATCTGCTGACTTTTTTGCGATAGCTTCCATCGTTGGTCGTCCCCGCCACCATGGGTAAGTACCAGAATTTACGCTCTGCAGTCGCTGGCCAACGTGCGCTGCCCCGCGCAGCCTGCTCTCACTGGCTCTGTCGGAGCACGGGTGAGATGCAACAACGTTGGCTTCACAGCGACGATGCTCTACGATTCCCCATTCGGTTCGGTTGCTGACCATGTTGCTAGTATCATGATCGGTATGGGTCAGAAGGACTCCTACGTCGGTGATGAGGCTCAGTCCAAGCGTGGTATCCTTACCCTCCGCTACCCCATTGAGCACGGTGTTGTCACCAACTGGGACGACATGGAGAAGATCTGGCACCACACTTTCTACAACGAGTTGCGTGTTGCCCCCGAGGAGCACCCCGTCCTGCTCACCGAGGCCCCCATCAACCCCAAGTCCAACCGTGAGAAGATGACCCAGATTGTCTTCGAGACCTTCAACGCCCCCGCCTTCTACGTCTCTATCCAGGCCGTCCTTTCTCTGTACGCCTCTGGTCGTACCACTGGTATCGTTCTTGACTCTGGTGATGGTGTCACTCACGTTGTCCCCATCTACGAGGGTTTCGCTCTCCCCCACGCCATTGCCCGTGTCGACATGGCTGGTCGTGATCTTACCGACTACCTCATGAAGATCCTTGCCGAGCGTGGTTACGCTTTCTCCACCACTGCCGAGCGTGAAATCGTTCGTGATATCAAGGAGAAGCTTTGCTACGTTGCTCTTGACTTCGAGCAGGAGATCCAGACTGCCGCTCAGAGCTCTTCTCTTGAGAAGTCCTACGAGCTTCCCGACGGTCAGGTCATCACCATTGGCAACGAGCGTTTCCGTACCCCCGAAGCCCTCTTCCAGCCCTCTGTCCTCGGTCTCGAATCCGGCGGTATCCACGTCACCACCTTCAGCTCTATCATCAAGTGCGATGTCGATGTTCGCAAGGATCTGTACGGCAACATTGTCATGGTGAGTTGAAGCATCTTTTGCGTCCTGTAAGGTTTCAATTGCTAACCACAACTTTAGTCTGGTGGTACCACCATGTACCCTGGTCTCTCCGACCGTATGCAGAAGGAGATCACCACTCTTGCTCCTTCGTCCATGAAGGTCAAGATCATTGCTCCTCCCGAGCGCAAGTACTCCGTCTGGATCGGTGGTTCCATTCTCGCCTCCCTGTCTACCTTCCAGCAGATGTGGGTTTCCAAGCAGGAGTACGACGAGAGCGGTCCCTCCATTGTCCACCGCAAGTGCTTCTAAGGTATGCACAGCTCATGGCCCATTATTTTGTTACCTCGAAAAAACTAACAGCATGTCCAGCGTCGTAACAGAAATGAACCCTCGTCGTCTTCATACACTAATGTCGATATCAAAGAGACGGCGAACGACGCGGAGTTCTGCAGGATGCCCGGCTGGTTTCGTCGAAACTCATATTTATGGAAAGTTTATGAAAGTGTTAAGAGGGCTAAGTTTGGCGACGTGGTTCCAACCAGGATTTGCTAGCCACCGTATTTTAGCCTGATACAGGTTTTGTGAAGCAAAAGGGATTAGAAACTGAAGTTGAGATACAAAAATTCTTTTGTTTTTTACTTTGCTCGCGAGTCTAGAATTATGGGATAAAGAGACTGACGATTATGCCCGTATCGATGACCTTTGTGTATTTGTGCTTATTTTTGTATGGCGAGTAAGTCTTCAGTCACATAGCGTTGAACGATTGACTACTTGTAAACGGAGATGCCTGCTCTTCCGATATGTTCATTTACTTTGTACATTCTGCATCGTTTTATTGACTTGAGCTGGCGCTACTTTTACTATTATTTGTCTGGTCTGTAGCAAGAGGCTCCAGTCCTGCATCGCCATTGTCAGCTCTCGGCGCCGATGTAGCCGCAGTCTTTTCTTCCTCGAGCTTTCGGTATTTCCGCCTGCTCTTCTTGGAGGCGCTATCTGATCTTTTCTTCTTAATGTTGCCGACAATCGTTGAGCGGCTTTGTTCGCCATTATTTAAATCGTCCAGTCGCTGGGCTAGGAGTTCGCGGGCATGTTTTCGGTTTTGTTCTCGAGACCGAGTCGCCTGCGATTTGACAACAATGCCTGTAGGAGTATGTTTCAACTGTACAGCCGAGTTTGTTTTATTCTAGTACTATTTGTTAGAGAATTAAAAGTGACAAGAAGAGGAGCAGGTCGACATACAATCTTTTGGCCACCAGGACCACTGCCTTTGAGAAATGATTCCTCAATTTCCTCCTCAGGCGGGGGCCGGGGACGAGGCGGCAGCTGTTTGATATTATGAGGAGACGAGAAGGATAGAGAAGCTGAAGCTGTTGAAGAAAGCCAGCGCTGTGATAACGGGCTATGTGGTTGACAGGAAGTTTGTATGGAGGGGATGGTGCGCCGTAACGCGATGCACCGGAGGAAGTGCATCTTAATTGGACGCTATAGTATGGATGTTGATGTACAGTAGAGTTATGATATTTCCATGTCTTGTTAATTTTGGTCGTAGCGGTCTTGCGTGGAGAGCGTGTGAATGTATGTTGTCCAACACGTTTGAAAAGAGAAGCGAAACTTAACTTGTGGTCGCGACGTCACCAGCCCATGGGTCGCTGGTACCTGAGCTGTAGCGGGTAAAGTGCCCACAACGCCAGGTACCAATCAGCCTGTCAACCCCTGGACGCTGGCCGACACTCCACCTTTTCCAGTCCGCGAATGCCGCGACCCTTTTTTTCCCTTTTGCATTTTCAGCTTGTTCATCGACGCCGCGAATCCAAACAGCGCTTCTTGCGATTCATAAAAAAGGAATTCTTACGACGGAACAAATATCTGTACCGGATCTATACTTGTTAACAGCATCTTGCCAACCCTCCCTCGCTGCGGAACTACGAAGCAACAGACCAGAGTAACGAGATCGCGTGTCGGTGCTCGAACGATTGACTCTTCTATCCTCACGAATACGCATTCCATACACGAATCCTTACTGTGACGACTTTTCTACTCGACATCATGTCTACCATTGCATCTTTCAGAGAGTGGCTGCGCCGCAAGCAGCTGCAGATCGAAGTCACCTTTGCTGTGTACATGTTCACGCCTACGGAGAAGTTTGCCTTTTGTATGTCTTGCCCAGCTGCCCTGATTCGATTGTATTCAGTCAGTTTACTAACCCGCATTGATTGCAGACTCCATCGTCTTCCTCCTCGTTAGTCTCACCTTCATCGCCGCCATCCTCTACCTCCCCCACCACATCTCGATCCTCTCGGGCCGCGTCTGGTACTACATCAATGGCGATCATATCGATGTTATGGCCTCGGCGAGATCGGCTGTTGGCAGTATTATGACGTCTGCAGTGGCGGATAATGTCAAGAACAATGTCATGCCGGAAGTGACCAAGATTGTGGCCGATGCTGCTCGGGTTAAGAGCGAGCTGTAAAGCATGGGCTCTTTACGTGCATGGTGGAATGCTTTGTTTTTGTTCGTGGCGTTGAACTTGATTGCTGGGAAGCATATACATTTGGGAATCATACATATACATTAATACCGCTACTCGGCGTAATGATAATACTACATCCAACAAGATACACCGGATACAGGGGCATGTGTGATAATGGGTCATGAATCAATTATATTTTGAAGTAAGATAGAGCCGTTTAGGCAGAGGCTGGCTCTATTTGGAAATGGGAATTCCGGAAGGCGTACAATCGTAGAGAACCGTCATCGCCTGCAATAGCGAGCTCGTTTGTTGAAGCTGATGGACTCCACGCAAGCTGCAGAACCGTTTTGGGTAGACATAACCTAGGAGGAATGCGTTAGCTTCGATGTTTACTTAATATAATGGGCGTATACACTTACTCTGCAGCCATAGGGAGCTGAGTTACTTGGGAGCCATCAGCGGAAACAACGCAGATGTTAATACGTCCATCCTCGGTACCCACGGCAAGGGCATCGTTGCCACCATGCGTACGACATTGGAAATCTATAGCGGTAACGGGGACAGACGTTGGTATTGTCGCGGTTTGTGTAAACTGCAGCTTTCCAGCAGCATCCGCCATGCCGGTCCATATTCTGACCTGCTTGTCTCGGCCTGCTGTAGCAAATAGAGGCGCTTTGCCGTCTGCTGCAGGTGCCCACGCGCAATCCAGGATCATACGAGTGTGCCCCTTGGGATTGGCTTGCAGTAGGCTGTATTCTTCATCCCCAGAACCAGTTTGACGTACAAACACAGCCCACTGTCGGTCTCTGCCAACACTGAGAAGGTACTTGTCGTCGGTGGAGAATCGAAGTCTTGTTGCTGTGAGAGTGTGAGCTGCCAATGGAGGGCGAAGCTCCGTCCATCGCTCTGTCTCAAAAAGGCGGATGACGGCATGGTTCAGAGACGAGGCCTTGCAAGCACTGGCGATGAGCTTACCGTCGTGACTAGCTGCAAGGCAGGAGATTTCGTATCCATGGCCGTAAAGCTTTTCTGTCTCGGGCCAAAGCGTATGCCGCGAAAGGGTCTCTTCAAACGGCGGGTGCTGGATGTCAAGGTATGACTTCTTCACCATGGTGGCAGGGTCCATGGCATCTCTGTCACGGTCATCGACAGATTGAATCTCAGCGTCCTCATCGACGGCGTCAATAGCCTTGTTTGATAGACCAAGGACAGGCATATTGGCAGCGTCCGGCATGGATTCCATGGAGGCGTTATCGCCAATAGCAGCTAGCTGATGGAGCATGCTGGCTACGGCCTTGGGTGTTGAAAATACTCGCATGAGCTTTTCATCGGCACCAGAGACAAATTGTGCTGCACCGAGGGAGTCGATACAGTTCAAGTCGTAACCATGAATCTGAGGTCGTGACATTTCATGCCATGTACCTGTCGACGTCCACTTGGCGTGCAGACGAGTTGTCTGATCCGAGCTAGTAGACAAAAGATATTCTCCATTCTTGGACCATGAAATGCCAGTAACAGCTTTTGTGTGTCCAGAGATGGAAACGCATGGCTTCCATCTATCCTCTGAGTTGTCATACTCCCATCGTCTCCAGCTACCAGTGCGGCCAAGGCATGCGACTGACGTGCCGTCTGGTGACCAAAGACCAGTCCAGAAACCGCCTGTGCTACCGGTGGCAGTTGTGGCACCCTTTTCTCTACTAATCTCACCCAATCTGACCATGCTAACCCAGATGCCAGAACTAGGATCTGCTTCCCAGATAGCTAGGGAGTTATCTGCGGATGTAGAGAGGAGTTGGAGCTTTCCCTCGGGATGCATATGCCACCTGACACTATAAATCCAGTCTTCGTGTCCAAGCAGCAAAGCCTCAAATGTGACAGAAAAGTCCTTTCCCGCTGCGTTCAGCCAATGTGCCTTGTTAGCAGGCGAACGGCCAGGGAGGTAGGCTTCGCTTGAGGGATCAGCGCCAGTGGCAGCGGCTGCTGGGAGTTCCTTGCCCTGGTGAAGCCTCCAGATACGGACATATTTGTCTTGACTGGCTGAAGCGAGGAGAAGATCGCTCTTGGGATCTGATGTTTCTTTCGCAAAGCTGAGAGATCGTATCCAACCTTCGTGTCCGCGGAGGGTGGCCTGGACAGTGAATTGTATTGTTTCGCTATTGAGTTCAGAAGTCAAGATCTGAATACTGTCCTTGGTTCCGGCACAGGCCAAGACCAAAACATCTTGGCTGTCGTCCAGGAATGTGAGAGATATGCATAGAGCGAAGTATTTAGGTGTCGTCTTGATGGATTGTACAAGCTGGAGCGTGCTGCCATCAAATGTCCAGATCTTGATGGTAGCGTCTGCAGCACCTGATGCGATGATCCACTTGTCAGTCTGTGTCTGGAGTGTTGTGATACAGTTTATAGGGCCAGTATGCTCTGCTGAGCTTTGCACAATGGTGAAATCTCCATCCGAAGCTGCTGACTTCCAGACTTTGAGCGTCTTGTCATCGCTGCCACTGACGAGATATTGAGTTGAATCTGCGTCCGAGGATGGCAGAAACGCCAACGTTTTGACGGTCTCGGTATGTCCACCGAGAAGCCTTGAGATACCTCTTGCAGAGGGGTCCTGGTTTATTGTTAGTTGGTAATATGAAATTTCGTAGGCTTGAGTATCTTACTGAAGGCTTCCAAATAGCAATGTTAGAGTCAGCGCCAAAGGCCAGGATCCCACCAACTGCCCAATCCGCAACAGCGGTTTGGCGGTTAGCACCTGCAGACAGATACTCAACGCCTACTTTATCAGCTGCCATTCTAAAATTGCACGCAATTTTACCGGCTTTTTTTCTTTCCTCGCGTGGTGAGGTGTAGGCGTGGGCTACGAAAAAAAAGTCCAGCAGCACCTCTGATTGGCTGTTGCACCTTTGCTTGCGGCGACTCTCTGCTTACGTCATCAACTTTTTGAAAGCGCATACTGAAGACGCACTGTCTACAACCACAAGTATCAATTACAACTCCGTGTGCCTGGACAACGTACGATCAGGTGCAAAATAAAATTAAAGGAAAGATTGGATAGGCCAAATCCACTGCTGATATATTTAATTACGGCGTACATATAAAAATGACGGATACTTCAGACGCTGGGACCATTTCCATATCTGTCGAGTTCAGGTATGCCATTAGCCCACCATTTCGTTCAACATCCGAGATTCAATACGCTAACAAGTAGCAAATGCACAGTGGCGGTCTGGAAATGCTCTTTGAAGACCAAAGACAGCACTCATTGACCGTACCATCCAAGGACAAAGACGGCAAACCCAGCACTATAGCGTTTCTGATACATCACCTCGTACACAATGTCATGAAAGACACGCGACAGGAGCTTTTTGTCCTTGACAACCACTTGTGAGTTGCCCATCGCACCCACTTGCGTCCGGATTCGGCCCTTACCCCTCGGTCTGTTCATCGGCTTGTCTCTCTACTACCCCTCAATCCCGTGCCTGTACACCACAAGGCCCCTCACCATTGTCACGCTTGACACCCCGAAGCAGCAAAAATGTCTGTCCCTCCTTCTTAGCTTCTGAGATTTTGGCGCTATGATGGCACATTAAGTTCAGCGAGGGGTTAGCGAGGCGGGGTATCCAGGTTTTAGTCTCTACGGTGGTGGTGTGGATGGCCTTGGTTGGCCGGGACTTATCGTTGGATGGCATCTCTGTTTCACCAGACCGTACGTCGTATGAGCAAGAAGGCTAACTAAAACGCACTAGGCGCCCGGGAATCTTGGTCCTAATCAACGACGCAGACTGGGAGCTGGAGGGCGAGGAGGAGTATGAGCTCCAGAACAAAGACAACATTCTATTTGTGTCAACATTGCATGGAGGCTAGAGATGTCGATCTAACCAAAAGCAAAATCCCATTCCTGTCCAATCGTTGCATCTATTTTCGTTTTACTAGATCGAGAACACCAGCCGAGAAAAAAGCAAGAGGCAGCCGGCAAACACTGCCTCCCATGTCTCAGAAATCCTCTGTCGAACTTGGCTCACGCCCCCCACACGACACGCTCTACACTCGACGCTTGCCTCAGTGTCTTAGATCTGTACACTTTTCACCCACCAAACGAGTTAGTACGCGGCCTGTTCAGCTGGACTCGCCGCACACACCCCTCCGAAATCCAGACTTGTTTGTCCAGTCGCCTGGCCCAGGCACCACCAAGCGCGCCTCGCCAAAGTTCGTCCCAAACAGCTATTACACTCCCCTCCAATAGGAGCAAACACTAGAGAGAAAGATAGAGAGAGAGAAGTTGCCGCTCTGAAACAGCTCTTCTGGAATATGGGCAATTAACTTCTACCCACTGTAGAAGCGGTAGGAGAATTAATGAACTCGGACGAAATTTCCCCACGAATAGTACTACAGACATGTATAATGAATCCAATGACTATACACATATGTACTATATTGATAAAATTATTAGAAATATACTATACCTACAGTCCTCCACACTGTGCCTACTTATCATGGGTATAGTCTGCCATTGGGGCTGTGACATTCAGTACATGCAAGGAAACGCACACAAAAAGGAGTGGAAGTTGCCGATTTCAGAAACAATGTTACCACGATCAATGGCTGCATCTGGACCCCGGAGCTTCCCGTCTGGACACAAAAAGGCCAGGAGGGTGAGGTCCATGTCTGGGCCGTCTCAAACGGCTGCTGGTGTCTAAGCCAGGCCGAACAATGACGGGCGAAAAGGACTATGCACAGTTCCCGCAACTAGACAATGTCAGAGGAAATCTCAGAAAACTCGGGCATGTCGTAGACACGAACTGCTTTCCGCATTGGTGCCAATATATCCTCCGCGAGCAAACATGCACGCAATATCCGGAACCGCAAGCCGTAGCCTTGACCGACCACTCTATCTACGACAGGGCTTCTGCTTCGGCTGTCGACATCACCCCCTCCCCCTCCCACCTTCGTCGGTTTTTTGTTTTCGCTGAGACACACACTCGGCCGCATAATCCTTGCCTGGTGACCAAAGTCCCGACGAAGCGGAACAGCCTATCATGCACATCGCAAGCTGCATTGCCTCATCACACGCCATACATGCGGTGCGTCACGAAGAGTTGTCTCCCGCCCCTGGCGCAGCAAACAACAACAAAAAAAGACACCGGTCCCTATAGTAAACTCATTGCTTTCTTACTTCCCCCACCGGAACTGCCACGGTTTCTTGCTATCAATGCCGAGCGGGCCAGGCACCGACCATGCGGGCGTGCAGAGCAAACATCATCCGATAGCAAATTCCCACCAATAGCTTCTATCGAGCATGTCAAACAAGCAAGCAAGCCGCCCATACTCATTCAACGGCTGACATGGCAAACACCATGATTTTTTTTTAAATATAGAAAAGTTGCAGAGACGTTTTCTTCCCGCCGTAAACAACACCCGTATAGGCCGATATTCAGCGCTCCGGCCCGTAGAAAATGTCACTTTGTAATCTCCCGGCAGTCATTTTTCTGGGCAAACAAACGGCGCCGCAACATCACTTAGCTGACTATATTCCCTGTCAACGGCCGAGCGCAGTGACCCATTTACACGGGCTGCGGCTCTCGGTCAGAGACACGCCCCTTAACAAACACAGACGGCATGTCTTCTTCTTCTCTTCTACTGTCTTCGACGGGAAGTCCGCGCGGCATGAAGTAGGAAAAATGGACAAACATTGTCACAAAGTAGCAGCAATATGTCATCAAATAATAATACCTGTGCGTTAAGCCGCTTCAGCCCCCAAGTGTCCCTGTTGTCCCCCGTAAGCCACAAGAGGGGCTACTTTATACACTTTGAAAGTGTTTGTTGGCAGCGCGGAAAGAGACAAGATGGAGAGCGAGGTGCATGAGATCATAATTCATATTTCGTATATCGACATAGTAACAAGTACAAGAGCAACAACAAAAAATAGACAAAATGCCAATCCGTAAAATCATAAGAATATTTCCCCAATATTCGCCTTCCAATCCTTTTTGTGTTTTGCCTTCCAAAGCGGTGCTGTTCAATCCAGGCTTTTGAAAGGGTGGCCACCCAACCCAATAAAATAAAATGAGCTCCAAAAAAAAGTGTGTATGTGTAAAATCGTTAATCATGCTTGGTAGAAGTGAATGGGGGTAGAAGACAGTGTTCAGACATCCGATCCAGTAGTAAACTTTTTTGTATCTTTTGAGGGGAAATTGCAACAAGAAGCCACCCGACCTCGCAGAGAGGATGCAGTGCAGAAAAGGGAATAAAAGCAAAAGCTCATCAAGAGTTCATCATAGCGTGTAAATCATAAATATGTTTCGGTGTAGGGGCAAGTGGTATTAGTACAGGCGATCAGTGAAGCTCATGTGGCGAGCCTGGTCGTCGTACAGCATAGCGCCGTTGTGCTGGGGCTCAAACATGACATAGCCAGCGTGGCTCATGTCGTAGCCAGGGTGAGCGGGAAGAGGCTGCTGGGGAATCTGGGCAACGGCAGCAGCGGCGGCCTGGGCCTTTTGTGATCTGGGCTTGCGGGCAGCAACAGTGCGTGCCTTGCCACGGCCCTTGACACCTTTGTTGCTGTTCTTGTAGTGCTGCTTGAAGTAGTCAAAGAGCTCACGCTGGTCCTCGGGGATCTCGCCACTGCGGGCAAACTCGACAAAGAGCACGGTCAGGCTCTTAAGGGTGTCCTTGTGGAAGTTGTTCTGGTGAGTCTTCATGTTGCCAAGCTGAGAGAAGGTCTTGTTGCAGCCATCAAGAATGCAGACAAAGGGCTTGTCACCGTTGTGAGTCTCCTCATGAGAGCGGACATTGCCACGCTGAGCGAAGAGCTTGCCACAGATGCGGCAAGGGAAGGGCTTCTCACCAGTGTGGCGGCGCATGTGAGTCTTGAGGTTGCCGCGCTGGGAAAAGGTGAGACCACAGCCTTCCTTGGAGCAGACGTAGGGCTTAGCACCAGTGTGCGTGCGGCGGTGGATATCAAGGTGAGTCTTCTGGATGAAGCTCTTGTTGCAGTTGGGGCCATCGCACACCCACTTCTTCTTGGGCTTGTTGTCTGTGGGTGTAGAGGGACAAGCGTCGTGCATGGAGGCAGGGCTCATGGCGCCCTCGCCGTTGGGAGTAGCAGCAGGAGTAGGTCCTTGTGTAGCGTTCTCCTTCTCAGAGGAAGTTTGGATAGCCTTCATGAGCTCGTCGACATCCGTCTCAAAGTTGACCCTGTCGGCAGGGTTGATAGACTCGTTGTAGGTAATGTTCTTGGCGTTGACAGAAGGGTTGGAGCAGGTAGAGCGAACGGAGGCAAGAGAGCCTCTTCTTGTCGAGGCAGGAGACTGAAGAAGATCGCGCTTGAATGGTAGAATAGGGCCCTCGGGCATCATGGGGCGCTCCTGGTACTCGGGGCGGAAAGGAGATCCAACGGGAGTTGTAGGAGGAGGGCTCTGGTATGGGACGTAGGAGAAAGCAGGCTGCTGGAACTGAGGAGCGGCAATGGTGTTTATGGGAGCACCGGTGTAGGGAGCGCCTACAACGTACTGAGGCTGCATGGGGCGCTGCATCTCAGGAGCAGGAGCAGCGCGAGTGTCGTATGGCATAAAGTTGGGCGATTCCATCATGGAGGTGAAGTCGCCAGGAACCGGCTGAGGCCATCGACCCCAATTCGCGTGAGTAGCGGGCTGAGCTGTTAGAGCCATTGGATCAGACTGGTAAGTTATCCGGCTTGCGTAAGGAGCAAGACCTGGAGAGTTTGTGATGATTGTTCTGTAAAGAAGAAGAAGAGAAGCGAAGAGTGTTCGACAGGTATGGAGATATAATTGCTTCTAGCAAAGAAATGTTTGAGAGTGATGTGAAATGAGATTGAAGATGGGGAGGAAGATGGGATATATATGCAAAAGTGATGTTAGACAAGAAGAAGCCGGATGAGGAAGTGAGGTGGATGAGGGGGGTTATGTATTCGAAGGCAGATGCATTTACACCAGAGAGTAACTGAGGCTTGGAGTCGTTCAGCGGTTGTGAAGTGTGAGTGGGAACGGGCCCAATTGTCCGGGATAGCGGGAGAGATCTTGGCTCGGGCCTGCATGAGAAAAGCTCATAGGATTCTATCTTCTCCCACGCCCTCCCTTGAACGGCCACAGCGAGTCCCCGCGAGATAGAGAGAGCAAAAGGCTCACTCCCCCACCTAGCTGCGAAAGCCCGATAGAGGGGACGAGCTAGCTGAGCGAGATGGATGCAGCCCCAGCAATCCGGGTGAGGATGGAGGGGGCGTGGCATCTCGCTGGATCCAAGGTGCTGCACAATGCTTGTTTGTCAGTTTGAATACTCGAGGATTTGCAGTTCTTGTCTCTGACAGACGCCCCCCCCTGGTTCGGGGAATCCCACCAGGGGGGTGGATAGCCCGAGGAGGGGTCCAGTTTCTGATGTGGACGGCTGGCGTTGAAAACGGAGAACGATGCGTTTGTTATTTCGACCTGTCATTTGGCTAATCGCACGAGCTGGACCCTGCCTAACATGCGGCTACGCTGGGCTACCTCTTTTGGCGCTGTTTCGGCGTTTGCTAGGCGTGTCTCTGGCTGCCGCTGGTCGTCGCCGCAAAGAGCTAAGGGCATGTCTCGCCCAGAGCAGCGTATTATTAGCCTGCGCCGTCTAAGCAGTGGTGTCCTAACTGCTAGCCGTGGCTCGTCTGGGCCTCGACGAGTGGGTTTAAGACATTTTCTTGCAGTTATGGTCCCCAATAGTGCCGAATCCTCCAAGGTAGTCGTCAGAAGCAGTAGCAGCATGCGGCCTACGTGTTTTGCTTTGTTTGTGTTTTTTTACAACACTAGCAGTGTACGCTACACTAAGCAATAGCATTAGCATCCTATAGACGGCAAGGCTCCGCTCGCCAACTCGGCCAAGGCACTGTACGCTACTCACTAACCTGTCTCGCAACAATAGCTAGCCTGGGGCGCAGCTATTGTGGGTTCTGCTGGTGGCTGGGCGGCGCTGTCACCACTGGGTTAGTGGTTAGAAATATGACAGTAAGAGTCAGGGCCAGTTGCGAGTGAGGGGAAGCTGCCATGGATGGGCTTGGTGCCGAGGCAGAGGATGCCAAAAGGATGAAATATTGGATATAATCGAATGCGTGCAGAGATTGTGCGCAATCGGGACGGACCGTGGAGACAGCCAATGCTCCATACGTGTCATTCAGAAAGATAGAGAATAGACAAACACTACAATTGACAGATACACGTAGTTGCGTGCGGTTTGATGATGAGCACTGTGCTTAAGTGATGGCACGGAATGATGTGCGGCGTACGTGTATGTGCGTCCAGGCAAGTAGATGTTGTGTGGTGTTTTTTTATTTTGGGCGGCCGGTGTATGCAGCGTACCTTCCTCGTACTGTGCTGCAGGCTGCTGGAAGACGCGGGGACATGCCCTGGAAGCCCCTCTAAGCTACTGTAAGCAGCAGGCAGCGGCAGTAACAGCAGTTCGAGAGCGTAGGTATGTGTGTGTGCTGCTGCAGCGGGAGGGCTCGCCATGCCCGCTGGGAAAGCCCGCTACAGCCAGCCACTCCGCAAGGAAACAAGAGAACCCGGTGGAAGGCTTGGGATCGAGGTCCCCTGAAAAAAAATAGTGAAAAATTGGTCCAGAAGGCTGCCGCCACCACCACAGCGCAAGCACAACTGCGGGGAACAACAAGGGCGAGAAGCTCACCCGTGTATGCGTGTGTGTGCTGGAGGGGGGGGGGTGCGCAGCGGTATGCCGCTAAAATACAGTACGCAAAGCGCTGAAGTGCCCTGTGGCTCCAGCACGTTACCCACTGAGCCTGTAGCGCCTTTTTACACTTTTGGGCGCGGGCCGGCCTATCTCCTCCACTTGCACCACAGCGTACACTAGCGCATCCAGCCTCGCCTACAGTAGCTTGTCGGTCCTTGATAAGTTCTCCTCTTGGCCTACAGGCTAGTGCCCTAAACCAGATGGTTAGGGCCAGATCAACTGCAGTAGAGCGTGGCAGCACGCCGGGACCGCCGTTAGCGAGGCGGTTCGGCTGTTCTGCGAGGGCGACAAGTCACCTAACAGAATGCACTAAGCTATTCAGCCAAAACAAGTTGTGTAGCATGGCCAAACATCGTGGAATCATGGTGGCCTCGTCCGCATGCGGTTCTCCATCTCCAATTCCCGCTTCGCCTGCTTCTATATTTACAATGGGCAATCAGGAACTTGCCGCCGCTAATCAAGGGAGAAAGGGGCCAACCTGACACCTTTTGCGGCAGCACCGCGCGTTGCTGTCTCTCATTTCAGCGCGAGGCAAGGGATCAGAGTGTCTTAGATGCCCATTGTGCGTCTGTCCCCATTCAGCGTAGCCCAAAAAGCCGGCCTACCTGTACGTCCATAGCCAATGCCATCTCACATCTCACTTGGGGCGTCCACGCCTGGGCGCCGGCGGGCTGGCTCTTTTGCAGGTACACACCAGAAGCCTGGACTCTGGTACGTGGCGGCTCAGCTTTTGCATTTGGCCATCGGATCGCCTGCAAGCAAAGCAATATATCACGCAGACGCAGGTGTCTGTATCTGCAGGGCCTGCATATGACGACGGCGCGAGCATTTCAAAAATGACAGACCTGCGAGCGGCGTGTCCCCGCTAGATGCTTCTAATGCAAAGGCTCCGGTGCCCTGAAAAAGAAGCAACAACGGCCCCGTAGGCGGGCCAGGCTCGGCACGACGCACCGCAGTGTACCTCACGAGAGGAAGGGATACTCCGTAGCGTCGTCTAGCTCCTCCGAATCCATCCCTTTGCCATCGCCGTCAAAGCGTCCGAGAAGGCCGGTCGGCCAGCTCTCCGTAGTATGTCTCCATCCTCCCAGTATCCTACTGTAGCCTCGCTCATCTACGAAGCCTTTGCAAGGCAGTTTTGCTCGTACTCAATTCCCAACCGTTTGCGCATTGTTGGAGTTGAGATGATGTGCGCCTCAATTCGTCACCTGCAATGCCTGGCGTTAATAATCATCCGGCAGACAAAACATTTATGACACCTAGCAGAACGCCAAAATATGCTCAAACAGCACGCTGTACAGTGCCTGGAGGCACCAGACAAAGGGCACATTTCCCAAAACGGCATGGTTCTCTTCTCTCACGCAGCCAATTCGAGAAAACGCCCGTAACCGAGAAACGGCGCGTATCGTTTTTCGAGCGAACAATTGCCGCGCCTAACCAGAATAGGCAATTCTACCACACATCCTAACCACTCACGTCCAAGCTAGCCAGCTTCTGGATTAGCCCTTCGCCACGAGCACAAGCTAAAGCCCAAGTTGACCTGAATATTGCGCTCGAGCCTCAAGATCAAGATCGTTACATCGTCGATGCTCAAGTCCGTTTTAAATCCCATATTTGTAACATTTCATACTTTGTCTCGCAACTTTTACCCCTCAAAATTGCAAATGCCACTGTTGGTCCTGATGTGTCGTGAGGGAGGACCTTTTTCGAGAGGTGCTTATCCATTTTCATGCAGCTAAGTTGTTACGTCCTGTTCGCCACAGTGCAGCATCGTAAGGACCCTGGATCCTCCTGGTCCAAGGTTGCCAATGCGTGTGGCTGCGCACTTGGAAACCAAGGCGCAGCGAGCGAGAGGCGTACAGTGTTAATTAACACCTGAAGTCTTATTGCTCACATCTGCATGACAGAGACAATTTCAGTTGAGCATGGATTTAATCTCACTGGGTGCATGGTGTGGTGCAAAGCTTTTTGCCGTGAGCTGGAAGATGACGGCAGTTGTTGAACCTATCACGTTTCGTTGCAAACCTGTGAGGAATTGATATCAACTGAAGATCTTTTCCCGTAAGTCGTCCTGTCCATGAAATATCGGGCGCGGCAAATCCAGCAACAAGAGTCGGTTGCGCCTCACAGAGGTCCGAACTCACCATCGTGAGACACACTTCGTCCTCATTGTCCGTGGCGGGGTACAACATCAAATACAGTATACCAGACTTCATGTATTGTTGGCTCTCTCATATCCACCCAATATGCACGGTAATGTTTAGGATATTGCGACTTTGACACTGAATGACTTTCCGCGTGGAGCATGGCCAAAACAAAAGCAAAGCCCACAGGGGAAACGGTAGTCGTTGGATTCTTGCCATGCTACTTATCGAGACACCCCAGGGCAGAGAAAAACTTCTAGTAGCACCGAAAGAATATTTCTGTGTTTCTGTATGTCATACCTCAGTGGCGAGCCATTGTAAAACCACGTTGCATTGCTCGGATACTCTCCTCGCTTCACCCCTGCTTGTCCCAGACCTAAAGCGGCAATGGGCACGAGGGCGCCTTGAAATCAGATTCAGTACCACGTCGTACCGATGCTGGTTTTTTTTCTTGTTCTTGAATTCAATTCTCATGTTAGTAGCTACTGGAAATCATTCGATGGTGAGGAGATAGCTATTTGCCATTGGTAACATAGGTGCTGCTTGGAAGCCGTTGGACTGGTGCAAGCCGAAAATCATCGGATTCTAGATATTGTTATTAATACAGGCAATAATACAGTTAGTTTAATCCTTGCAAAGCATTAAACGGCCGTCTCAAGTGCGCCATGACCACAGTCTAATTAACCAAGCACAAACGGGTTAACTGCGAGCCGTGTTAGAAGCATGTCTATCGGGTAAAATCCTGGGACGGAGCATCCCAGGGAGAGAAAACACAAGCTTAGCCTAGAATGAGAGGATTGTCGTCATCTAGTGGATGCATCTTGCCTGTAACAACGGCTCGTGGCCCTCCTGATTGGTACGTTTACTGATACTATGCCCCAGAATGTGATATGTCGCGCGCATGGGCCAGGGGGCGCCGCGCCCACCACCACCACCACCCAACAGGCTGGGGCGGGCTGCTCTCATGTAAATTTTGGGTGGCTAAGACACAAAGTCGTATCTGTGGCATTGTTTTACTTGACAAGACGAAGTAGAGCGGCGCTGCAGCTGTTGGTGGGCACTGGACAATAAACAATGTTTTGCGGGCGAGGCTACCGCGTAGCAGTGGGTAATAGGCGGGTATGCGTATGTTCATAGAGTGTTATCTGAATAGCGGCATCAACGGGATTCGAAACGCAATAAGAGCCGATGGCGTCAGCTTTTTAACGTAGATTAATTATTTCGGGAGCCATGCTGATGTGCCGCTCAGGGGACCACTCCTTTGGCTCGGGCTGATCGCTGAAGTGGTGTGGACGACCAAGCTGCTGGGACAGTGTGAGATGCGCGTCACATGACGGCGAACAGGCCGGGCAATTTTTCATTCGCCAAACGCGTGCTTGATGGAAATCATGTCATGTCGGGGATGTGGTCCGCTCGGCTTGCCCCGACCACGGCTGCAGGCGCCGGTTTTGACGCTTTTGGGAAGACTGACGTGTCCTGCTCGAGTCATCATTGTCTGCTTAGAGGTGCAGTGCAGTAAGGAACAGATCCGCAAAGACAGTGTGGTGCCTTTTGCTAGGTGGAACTGAATCCTGCGTAATTGCAGCGATTCAGAACATGCAGCCGCCGCTGGAACATTGGCCCTCCGAAACCCCATCGAAACCTCTGGTCGTTGAATAGCAGTGGACCTGAATCCGTGTTTTGGAACAACAAAGAGGCTGCCAAACTAACTATTGGGCTTGTCTGAGCTGGAGCCACAGCGGGAAAGGCTACAGGCACCTGCAGCTGAGCATCGCCCCCCCGCAGCTGGATGCAGGCGAGATGTGATGGACAAAGAGAAAACAACAAAGCCCTAATCAAGGACACAGCAGCCTCGCGCAAAAAATGAGCCTACTATCCAACGATCTAAGTCTGTCCTATTAGCTCAACAAATGCGGAGTCAAACTAGAGCAGCTAAGTTGTGTGTGCCCTAGCTGCCTGCACTAACGAGCACCCGGCAGGACAAGTGCACATTTATCATAGAATCTTAGCTCTACGCTAGCTAGTTCGAATAAAAGGCGAAGTGACGGAACTGCCCGTGGATGCTTCAGCCAGTCCCCGCTAGCGTCTATTACAACCATCGAGCTCATCATCGAAGACCAGTTTAAACAACGGCTGGGTCACGGATGGGTTTGTTCCCGTCGGCTCAAACGTAAAATAGTACCAAGCTTGCGAAGAATATTGGCAGAGGCGTCGCTATTACCAATAGCTAATACCCACTACTTCAGCCGAAACGGCGTCGCTGGAAAGTCTGGGTCTCCCGAGTTCCCCGCTACATAGAGTGTCCATAACCGGATCGCTGGGCGCTCCATGCGAGACAGACGTGGCCAACTATGGCGCCCTCGACTGCATCAGATTGCATACTGCGAGGTTTTCTCTCGTATGATGCGGCGTGGCGATGACACCAGAAGTTTCTAGCTTAGATTTTGGGCTCTTCGTTGGAAACGCTTCCCTCACTCTGTAGACGAGCAACTGAGGCCACAGACTGCTACCGAAGTGTCTTGTAGAGACTGGACTCGCATCAATGGTAACATCCGAGACACTGAGTGGCAACATACGATTCATCAGGTCATGGTTTACAACCCAACAAAGCTTTGCAACGGGTTTATCATGGTCCAGCATTTCCCCGCGCGGCACATGCCGCTCTTAGTGCATGCTAGACGGACTGGGCCACATTGCTGAGCCTGCAACCTGGAAGTTCGGGTAACATTCTCTGGCATTCGGCCTCTAATACTATCAGTGGGCCTTGGGCAATGCAAAATACTGTAGCCTAAATCGATGGGTTCAAGCGGGAAGAACGGTCCGTTCCACATGCCCTACGCTCGCAACAATGTCGCCCAGCCCGCTGCCCCAACAGAGTGTAGATGGGCCGCATCCGCGATGGGATCTCTCTTGGTCGACGTCCTAGCTCTCTAGGTGAATCGTGCTCAGCCACAGCTTACTGACTCGCCAAATGATTAGTGAAAACTTTTGAGCATGTGATATGGACCTTCGACGCAAGCTGGCATGGCCCTTTCTCAAATGTCGTCAGGTGGTTTGCAATTGGCAGATATCCAAAATCTCTTTTCGAATTTCAGGAGTCCCTATAGAACGATGAACGGATTTCAAACTCAGTAAAGTGTTAGGAGACGGTCCGACTTGGCCGGGGCGTTGTTCGGCGACCTCCAAGCCACGCCAACCTCTCCCTCCAGCAATTGTGGCGTAATTTGCCCTGGATGAGGTGTGGCACCATTCGGACCCCTCTTGTGCAAAACACTTGCCGTGGTGCATCAAGCCATTACGGCCCTCCCAAGGCCTTGGGTCAGAGGTTCCAAAAGGGGACATGATCCGGACCCCGACAGCCACCCGCGGCGCTGACACATATAACTTTAAGGAAAGATCTACGAGAATCAACGCGACAACCCGAAGGAGCTCGGAGAGACAACACAGCGGCATTGTTGTTCATTATTGTTGTATTAAAACTGCGTTCAAATCAATTTCTGCTCGATTGAAAACCGGTTAGAGAATCGAATGGAATCGAAATATCCAGCTGGTCGGGAGCTGGTCGGGAGCTGGACGGGAGTTGGACGGTAGCTAACGGGGCTAACTCGGACCGCGTAGCATGCATTGGTGGCACGCCCAGCTTGAAAATATCTGTTCTAGCGGCAGATGGGAAATATGCCTACGAAAATTCTGAAAAAGGAGATATTTTATTTTCCCTAAAATCCCCCTCATACCGTGGGAAAGAGGCGATGCTTTGTGTCGTCATAAATGACTAACTGCAAGTCTTGAGGTTAGAGCCTTGCGCTCCACTCGGTGAATCCTTCGATGGAACCGCTGCAACACAATTGAGGCTAATTCCATGCTGGTTGCACAAGCGAAAGGATCACTAGTAAATTAAGGGTGTTAATTATCGGCGTTTCTTAATATTATTCGTAGGTTCTAGTCGTATTTTACGATCGAAGGATTCAAGTGTGGCCGACGTCGCTCCTTCGTCCAACACGCGAGACGCACTGATGTCGTGCGAGTATCCATCTGAGATCCCGGCCGTTTAGCGTTACCTTTTCTTTGAATAAGGGCATACCATCTTTGCCCACTCCCTGAGTTGAAAGAGGATATAAAAAATGACAGTGTTTGTCGGGTTCTGGAGCAAAATCCCTACCGTTCTGGCGGCATACCAATGCAAGTTGGAACACTGTTGCATGATAAAAACGAGAAGCCTTTCGAATCTAGCCGAATTGAACACGCCCAGTACGTTTGAAAGGTGCTGATTTAGGTAATGGATGGTCCACTAGCCTCTGAAAGAAGAAATACTCGTCTGACCATCTGGACGTCCAGTTTATCTAGGTCTAGGCCAAGCGGAGCTGCCCAGTAACACTGCTACTCTGGGAGGTTGGTAAGGTGCCACTTCTGGCATCCGAAGTTGAGAGAATCCAACGAGTCGATTTTCTAATGCACTCGTTCAAACGCTGACTAGCTGTGGGGAAGACCCGCGGTATCCATAGTCGTAGGATCGCAACCCAACCCGTTTATAGAAGGCATCCCAGAAACGGGCAAGCTAGTCGGCGAAGTGGCCCTGTTAGAATGGGATTTTGAGACGCATCATGGCAGAGTTGGAAGAAGTCCGACGTATGCTTTTTGCAGCCCAAGGGGGTCGTTGGTAGAGATCATCGGCCATCGTCTAGGCAAACTGGTTGCACGTGGGTGTTTGGGGCTCGGCCGGGCACCCCCACGGCCTTGTCGTTTTTTTATTGTCGCCGTGGATTCCTTTTTGCACCTTGCCTTAGCATAGCCCTTAGGCTGCACGCCTGGTTACTAAACGTAAAGCCCAGCTTGAGAGGAGATGGACTGATGCGTCTTTCGACTGCAGGATGCAATCTTGGATAGCGTGCGATGTTTCCCACGAGACTCGCCCAACGTCCGCAAATTTCTAGCACGCATTGAATCGAATTGCTGGTAAATTCAGCGACATTAATGTCTGAGGTTTGTTGTTACTTATGAATGATCTACTTGGCAGAGCATAATTTAACCAAGTACATAACCCCGCGCAGATCTAGCAAACGAAACAACAAAGGCCAAAAATACACTCTTGCCGGAAACCCGAGATCGGCCACGAACACCCCCTTCGCTTCGCATCTGTCATTTTCAGGGCATTGACCACAGGCTGGCCCCGCACAACTGCAGCTTAGCTCGACGCTTATGTACGATCCGTTCCGCCGTCCGTGCAGTGGCCCAATTATCTCTCAAGGCACACGCCCCAAATCGCGCCGTTTGTTGCGTAGCGTATCCCTAAAAAAAGCTTAGGCCTGTGGACTGGGGACCACTTGGTGCTCAGAGGCGTCTGGTTGGTCTTGTAACTCATCACTTTTTTCTTCCATTATGCTTCTCCAAGGTTGGCCGAACAGCGACCCTGAATGGAAGGTAGCAAGGTAGCAGACCAAGGTGAGGGAAAAGCATATACTAAGCTATCTACTATCAAGCGGCAGAAAATTTGTACCGTTTGGTGTACAGTGCGTGTGAATACGTAATTAGTGGCTGCAATGAGCGACGTCAACGGTATCTGCGCCCACGACTGGTTTGCTTCTTACTGTGCTGAAGAAAACAGCAAAAAGAATTCAGCAAAAAAGACAAAAATTCAATCCCTGTTTACGCCGGAGCTATTCTACCGTTGGATAAGGGACTCTCCCCACAGCAGCATCCATGCTGTATGCACAGCTTTTCCGGCGAGGATAATTTTTTTCAGGCTGCATATGATGGCGTACGCCGGACGGGACGGTGGCTGGCGCATGCTGTCAGTTTTCACACAGTCTTGCGCATCTGGAGCTCCGTTTCCACCATCTTGGGTGACAAGGCTCCCCAACACAATGGCTCGGTGGCTGTAGCTTAACACCTAGCTGGGACGCTCAGCTTTCGTGTGGAGGGGCGCCTTGCAGGCGGCGTGGCTGCAAGCACTTGGACGGCGCAGGCCGAGTCAGTGGCCTTGAGCTCCCGCTTTCAGTTGGCGATCGTTACATTGCATTCAAGATTTCTCACTCATCGAGTCAGTCTCGAGAGAGAAAACATGACAGCTTACATCGCAGTAAGCGAGCGTTTTTTGGTTTCGACAACGGCGGCAACGGTCTAATGTATTATCAACGTTCGATACGCTGCTGGTGTTGTTGCTGCTACCAAACAGTTCGTTGGCTTAATCACTACAGCCGGCGATGCACTGAGCACGCAAGGCTCAACTCAAGACTGAGCTCCAGGGAAATCCTTCCACCCCCAGACATCACCCAATGGCACAGAGTTAGCTGTCTGTGTTGGCGTTGGCGTTTTCCCGCGGCGCGCCAGCTTGCGTCGGCAAAAAAGGGCCAGGTGAAGGCGGCCGGAAAATCGATTTAATCCGCTGTTTATAGCCTGACGCCCTCCAGCATTAACAAGTTTCCCCTCCCACCACTCGCCCACTGCATGTCCCATCTTCCCTCCTCCAGCCACCACAAGCGTCCGGTATCTATTTTCCCTGCTACTACCGTACGGCGGGCCTTCTTCTTGTTCCCTCTCCACTAGGGCCTTTTCTTACAGTCATCATATTCCTCGCATCGCCTGCCGCAACTATGGCCGGCGCAGCCGTTTGCCCCTCCGTCCCCCCCACCCGGGTATGAACTCGCATCGGCCCAGAACTGTTTGCTCGGCACTACAACGGATTGGTCAATCGACCACCAATATACCACACAGCTGAAATAACCCCGCGCGCTCTCGCAACGGCTGGGCTTCGCTTCGCGGGTAACAAGTGGGCTACGCCGGCCGGGCCAGCTAAGGTAACCAACAGCACGACTCTAAGCTTCGGACGGGTTCCCTGGACACCCACCCGGAGCTAGTGCATTTGCCGAGCCTGCATCATATTGATAGAAGGGCTCTAAGTTTACTACCCTATGCTTTGTGGTACAATGGCTGTCGTTTGTCAAAGACTTCCATCATTGTTCGTCACAAGTTCAAGACGCCACTTCGACGCTCCAGCTATGGCTTTGGATCGCATGCTCGTCAACCTGGGGTACTTGCTCCCTCAATCTGCTCAGGGACTCCCGTACCTTGCGTCCAAATTCTCTCCCTGCTTAACTTGGGCAGCCTTCAGATCATTTTTTGCTTTGGGCCGCCGCAGGAACAATGCACTGTCTCTTGGCCGTACCCACAAGATACGAGACATGCTGTCTCAGGCTTCAGCAAGCCCCAAGCAAGGAAGAATAAACAAATTACTCATTCTCTCTACAAAGACGCAACGCCTCTCGTTGTACTTAACCTCTCGGCCGTCTTCGATCCGTCGCCAAACGCCCCGGTGGGGTAGGGTGGTTGCAGGAAAGCGTACCCTCTCGTTTTACACACACACCCATGCAGGGCTTCTCATGCAAGTCATACTATACCACTCTTGAACTACTCCATCTGGAACCGCTACAAAGATGAACTAAGGTGCCCGCCAGCCTGCAGGACGGGATCATTTGCGCACAGTACTTGGCTACGGCACTAGTATTTGCACTTGGGTACCTCTGATGGCCGGCGATTACCAACAAAATGCAAAGTCGTCGGGTACATCCCCCAATGTGCCATCCTGTCTACGCAGCCTCCAGAGGCACACCAATGCAGCCAGAAAGACTTTGCTCCCCGCGGCCCTGCAGTCTTGCTGCACACGCTTCTCGGGGACCACCAACAGGCTGGTGCCATGGATCTCTCTGAAAGGATTTTACAGGCAGCCACAGTGCGGTGCTGACCAGAGCTGTGGGTTATACCCGAATAACTGGAATTATCTATCGATGCGTTCGGACTGCATAGGACTTCCCACAGGTCTGGTACCAGCATAGCCATTGCCCCCAACAGGCTGGACTGCGGTCTTTTCTCCTGCTTGACCTCGTTCAAACCCGGACATCTCGGCAATATTCAGGTCTTGCTAAGGCATCTCTATCCTCACACTTTTAACTTTCAGAGGACAGCTACATCGTTCGAGCCACGGCATGCAGCTGCTGATCTGTCAGTTTTGCTATCAGTTTTGCTGTATCTAGACTACTTGACTTCGGCAATCCCCTTTTGATGCTACATTTGGATAACTATCTGCCAACTCAGTCACTTAGCCGCCTCTTACGCCGTGCAAGCCTGCTGCCCCAATCCTTTCTCACACCCTGCTACACAGCCAAGGTGGATGAGGACCCCTTGGCTTTATTTTCTTCTTTCAGTCCTGCAGATGGCTTGCGTATCACAACCAGTATTTGCACTCGGTATCAGTAATTTTTCTCTACGCACTCAGGTACCGGGCAATTACTGCATATGCCACACCAGACTATCATATCTCAGTTTCAAATGCATCGACCCGACTGGTACCCCCCATTCGGGGCTCCCCTGCCGCGAGTGTACCTTCTCATCGGTTAGAATGACGAGGCAAAACTTTTCAGAGTACTTGCCGTCCATCAACCCGCATGGCTGCGTACTCTGCGAGGTACCTGGCTTTTTTCAGGGACTGTCCCAAAGCCACGAAATTTCTCAGGGTCATCGTTGAGGCGCACCTGATACGCAACCCATTGGAGGCTGAGACCTTCCCACCTCGGGCAACCTGTGCATAATTGCCAAAGGATGACCTTTCCAGTGATTCTCAACAATGTGTGGCATTCAACACAAGATAGGGAGTCATGCGAGCAACTTGTTTGCCACCACTAGCCCATATGCCGCCCGATTAAACACCATTTGTCATGTTCCTGTAACCCGCAGTAAATCCAACTGGCTGTGGTGGCAACTTGTCCCGTTCTACGTCAGTCTAGACTATTCCACGCTCTGGTGCCCATGGGCCAGGTTTTGGCTGTATCCCAGGCCTCGAAGTGTAAGGTGAAACTGCTTTCATTTCCCAGGATTGAAAGGTAGAGATTTGGATCACTTTCAAAAGACTCAATGATTAAGCCGTAGATGGTCTGATATTGCAATTCACCCCATGTAGTCCGAATGTAATTTGTAACAGCCACTCGTCGGACTGAGGCAATGGGTAGCTTGAACGGAGCGCCAGATCCGATAGAGGTTGTTTATGAGTCCTCGCTATCATTCGTCCCAACTACGAGATACAAGAAAGGCTGAACGGTTTAGAAACTAATGCATTTTGTGTGTATTTGACTATATGTACAGATATACAGGCGTTGATGTGTTCCATCATGTAGCCGTAGTTGAAATCTCGCTACGGGTGAGCGTCTATCAAATCTATATTAACATAACATGACTATAAAAACTGTCCCAATTCCATTTGTACCGTTTCGCCGTATGTATATTACCATTGAAGAACCCAAATAGCTGTATTCCAAAGTCGTAGACAGCTCTTCTTGCCATCTCACAGCAAACTCAAACACCTTTTCCTCTGATATCATTGTCAGTTTACGAAGCCAACATTCTAGGTAAATGGAACTTGACGTTTTCATATACCAAGAATGTTACCCATGTCGCAGGCATGACTCTCGCAACGCCGGGAACGATGCCTCTGTAGAATCCTTTTGCGCCCTCTTCTCGCCAAATGCGTTGTACAACCGCCCGCAAGCCACGACCAAACTGCTCATCAGCATGGTAGTTTTGCAGCCGGCTTCGAACAACCTGGTACGGGTATGTGACTGCACCAGCAATCAGCTTGGCGCAGCTTGATATCACCACGGTTGCTTCTGGTGTGATTGGGGCCGACGAGTCGATGCCGCGCACCGATTCCCGATGGGCATAGTACATGCGCTTTGCAGGCTCGTACACTGCAAACTGGACTGCACCGTGAGAAACACCAACAAGCGAGACAGCAAGGCCGCGGTAGAAGCCACGGATGCCCTCTGTCGCGTATATCGACTTGGCGCCGGCCATCATGGACGGATAGGCTCCGCGAGTACCTCTATCCGACGACAGCATGCGCGTCTTGAGCACCCAAATAGGATTTGTGAGCAGCGACGTCGACGCTCCAGCTAGAGCACTGGCAGCAAAATAATCACTGGCAGACAGCCGGCCGCCGTGACCGCGGAACATGGATATAGCGCTCTCAAAGCGGGATTTGAAGAAGAAGAAAGACGCCCAGCTGACGGCATTTCCAAGTAAATTCGGCGTCAGGCCTCGGTATAATGTCGCAACCGGTCGAGGATTTGCGTAGAGGGAACGGAGGAGAGCAACGGTCGTAGGGGGAGAAGAGAGAGATGCTTTGCCGATGCTTCGATACACTAGTCGTTCGCAGGTTAGCACCAGAGGAACAGTAGCTGTGGGAGATCAATTGGAGATTGCTCTTACACTGCATACGAGTCTTTACAATGTCGAGGGGATGTACGACGAGGGTCGAAACAATGCCGGCGCTGAGGCCGGCAACAGACTCGACCGTTGCGGGAGAGATGCCCGCATGGCGCGTTTGGGACATAAACGACGCTCTGTGTGGCAATCTTGCGGCTTCTTGGGTAATTGGCAAGGTCGCTGGATTATCTTTTAACCATGTCGCCTCATTGCGCGATGTGAAAATGGTGAATGGCGATGTTGGTGAGGAGCAGTTTTTTTTTCGTCAGTGATGTGAGGTTGACGATGGCTTCCGCAATAGGCGGGTGGTCCGGCTTAAAGCGGATCAAGGAGCTACTTCAGCGTACATAGTGGCAAGGCTTACCAATAATTATATAGCAATTTAATAATATTTCTAATCAGCAAATGTTCACTTTGAGTGGTTTGCAGGGGATTATTTTATAGTTTTAACGATTCAATTGTATTCGTTTGTCTTTTGTAATGATACAACAGGCGTCGCGTGAGACGCTGGCTAATTCGCGAGCTTTATCCCAGTGCTGATGCCATAGATTACTTTTTTCGTCCAGTTTCCGACCAGCATATCATTGCTTACGCTCATCTGCGGTTTTTTTTCCTTTTAATCCAAACAAGTCGTGGTCGTGTCTAGCAGTAATGTACAAGGGGGTGGTTGAGGGGGGTTTGGGTTCGTGTCCTCAGTTGCTGGTGTCGCCATTTAGGAGAGGGGAGAAAGGAGGCTATTATACCTTGTTAGCTGACAAGAGTTTAGTACGTATGATATATGTTTTATTCATACCGGATCAAAGACGGGCGAGGGTCGCTGCGGGTGTAGCCTGGAGAGACATAAGTTAGTTGGAGATGGTCGCGACTGGCGATGGTATCCGTTCGTTTCATACCGAGGTAGAGGATCAGGGGAAGGTAGCCACTAATGAACAGGTTAGCAATGCTCTTGAGCAATTATAGTGATGGATGCAGCACGTACTAGTGAATGGCGACGCGGGAGACATCGATGAGCTTGGCGATGCGCTCCTACAGATTTCTCATGTCAGTATTTTGCAGCGCAGATGCGGAACAAGATGATGATTGATGCGAACCTTGGTTTCCTCGGACAGGTTGAACATTTTGACAGACTGGGATTTCCAAACGAGACAGAAATGGGATTGGCTGTTGAAAGGAGATGTAAAAAGGATGACCTCCTTTGCGCTGCTGTGAAAAAGATTCCCCACGGAAGAACTCCGGCTCAAAAAAGACAACCGCCCAACGTCGCGTGTGCCAGTTAGCCCGCGACGCCTGTAAAATTTCCCAGCAGCAGAACAAATATCTTGATAAATTATCAACACTCAATTTTACAGCGCCAGCATATTCAATCGCTTAGCTTGCGTATCCTCCATCCGAATATTTCAGCACATCGGTCATCCTCCATCCGTCACTACCACCAAGCGCCTGGCTGCATCTTCGTAGCTTCACGCCCGACAGCGTCTACAACCCTCTATTCAACCTATATCCTAACCCTTTTTGCTGCCCAACATGGCGCAAAACAGGCATTGGTATGTACCAATAGCCCCTTCCCCTACCCACCCACTACCCCGGACTAACCACCCGCTTCTTTCTACAGGGAGCAAGACAAGGAGGCCACCGTCTACATTGGCAACATCGATGAGCGAGCAACACCAGCCATGGTCTACGAAGTCATGCTTCAAATGGGCCCGATTCACAACATACATATTCCCCGCGACCGCGTCACCCAAGTCCACCAGGGTTTCGGCTTTGTCGAGTTCCGCACCGTCGCCGATGCTGAGTACGCTGCCAACGTGATGAACGGCGTCAAGCTCTACGGAAAGTCGCTCCGCGTCAACAAGGCCAGCGCCGACAAGCAGAAGACGGCCGACATTGGCGCCGAGCTCTTTGTGGGCAACCTCGATCCCATGGTCGATGAAAAGCTCCTCTACGACACATTCAGCCGCTTCGGTCCGCTACTGTCCGCCCCCAAGGTGGCCCGCGAGGACAGCTTTGCCAGCAAGGGTTTCGGCTTCGTCAGCTTTGCCGATTTCGAAAGCAGCGATGCTGCCATTGCCAACCTCAACGGCCAGTATATTCTCAGCAAGGAGGTGTCCGTACAATATGCGTTCAAGAAGGACGGCAAGGGCGAGAGACACGGTGACGACGCCGAACGAGCACTCGCAGCAGAAGCCAAGAAGCGCAACATTGTTCCCGAAGCACAGGCTATTCCTCAGGCCTTCCTTGCCAGCAACACTCCTGGCGCTGTACCGACTCCTCCTCCTGCTGCTCCCAATGGCTTCGCCCCTCCTCCGTCACTCGGTGGCCAAATGCCCGGTGGTGCTGCTCCTCCCGGCTTCGCTCCTATGCCAGGTTATGGTGCTCCTGGTGCACCTCCCGGCCTCGGAAGAGCAGCCGCTCCTCTGCAACCACCACCCGTTGGCTTGCCCGCGCGACCTCCGCCAGGCCAGCCTGGATATCACGGACAAGACTACAACGCTGGGGCTTACCGCGGGCCTCCTGGATCGCAACCTCCGCCTGGCTTCCCCAGCGCGCCTCCTGGGTTCGCTCCGCCTCCTGGTTTTGCACCTCCTCCGGGTGGTCCGCCTGGATTTATGCCACCGGCTGGCTTCCAACCGCCACCTAACTTCCCCCAAAGGTGATAAGTTCGCTTTTCTCTAATATGTAACAACACAAAATTTACCCATCAATCACCCGAGCAAACAGATGTTCCGACGTTGGCGTCGCAAAGAGGCCTTGTGCATATATAAAAGTTGAAAATCTTCTATTATTCACATTGATACATATGGCCCGCAGAGCCTAGAGCTACAGCTGATGTACTTTACATATAAATCGACGCTGACTCCTCCTACCTCCGGCCAGCGTCTCAAAAACACAAAACTTTGCAATCGGAGCCCTCTCCTGCAAAATATTCCTCAAACAACGCTTTTTAATCAAACCACATACACATCAGGGGTAACGAATAACGCCTCCGGTTGAAAGAAGATAGAATTTATGAACAGGATATGCGCTTGGGGGTAAATGGGGAATGTAGACTGGTGAACGATCATGTACACAGTAAAACGCATGTGCCGTTTGAGGGCGGTGATATACAAATCAATCAGTCGAGAATGCCTGCCGAGTTTCCTGTGTCGCTTTTTCCATTTCGCTTATTGACTGTTCGCGCTCGCCAGCCATTTCGTATGAATGCGCGAGCATGCCGTCTGCAACACTTTGCCAGAGCATGTTGCCGCTGCGCTGAGCTTGCTTAGATGCTGCGAGGGCACTCTTGAGAGCCTGGTCTCCAATGACATTCTCAAAGAACCGACTGCGCATAATACACAGGGTCACAGCCGCACCAAGGATGTTGGATGTGTTCTTGGATCCGCCCATAGCAACATGCATATGCTGCTTCTGCTGATTCAGCTGCTGAGGAGGCTCCGTCACAAGCGCTGCGGCCACGTTGTGCCATGCCGTGCGTAGATCGACGTTCCAGTGGTTGTTGCAAATGGGTTGCAACAGCTCCAGCAGCTCCTGCGTCTCGTAGTCGTTTCGGCAGCTGGGGTGTTGCATAAGCCAGAGTTTGTTCAAACCCGCGAGTAACGCAACTTCTCTCTGGCCAACCTTGGCTCCAGCCGTAGTGCCTTGAGGAATAGTAAACTGCTCGTCAAGGAAAGTCTCCAACGCGGCCTTGACATCGCCAGTACCTTGTTGGTAGACGCCTCTCAGATAGACAGATAGTAGTCGCAGTGTTGGCTGTGTAGACTCAGAAATCAGACCCTTCAACTTTTTCAACTGTGTGTTGACCTTTGCCCATTGACAGTGACTAGCAGCCAAAAGGCCCAGCATTACGCGCAGGTAGATTTGGCCTTCTGTTCGCCATTCTCTTTGAGAAATCGCCGTGTTGAGCGGTACAGGTGGCCCGTAGGGGATACCTGCTGTAGATTTGTCCCAGGTGTCAAGAATCTTTAGGCCTTCACTCCAAAGCTCCGCCGCTCTCCTACCTTGCGACGATGGCTTATGGAAACTAGCCAGTCCACTAAAGGTGAACACCAGCGAACGGAGTTCCATCTTGGTCATGAAGGACATGATCAAATAGTCGGATTGGGCGTCAGCGTTCCCAGGGCGAATAATGCCAGCCGTGTCCTCGCTGACTGTCCTAGCACCTGATGACTGCTTTTTGACTGGCACCTCAAAGTCAGACCGCACGTTGTTCCAACCATCCGCATCGTCAAGAGCCTTTTGCAGTCGGCGAAGCTTCTGTGTTGTCACATCCGGGCTGTGGTGTTGCAGACTGGAGGCAAAGTCCAGAACCATGGTGAGCACGTCCAATTCCACAATCTGCACACTTGGGTCGAGTTGATATTTCGCAGCCTGTGCCAGGCATCCGTGGACTTTCTCGAGATTGCCATCCTTTTCTGTTTTCAGAAGCGCAAGTCCTTCCAACAGAGACGCAAGCACACCCATAGCGACATCGCCACGGACATTTGCAATGTTTTGGATAGCGCGTAGGTTTTCCAAGGCACTTAGATCGGATGAGTGATCCATTTCATGGTAGAACGTCGCTTTCAGGAGACGAAACGCGTAATACCAGTGAACGTGCTTGAAGGCTTCGCAGTTGGCAATATATCCATCCACCGCTTTCAGCGCTGCCTTTTGGTTTCTTTGAAACAATGTCTTGAGCATGGAGTGCTGTAGACAGTATTTAAGGTCAAACAGGCGATGCTTGTCGCAGAGTGTTACTCCCTTGGTCAAAGTGGTCTCGGCTTCCATCAGGTTTTCAGTCTCTTCCTGTAGAACAGTAGCGTATCGTAATCGCAACCTTGCCTCCTCTCGCGGCGTCAGTTTGCTATTATCAAGGGAAGTCTCAAAGCAAGTCAGTGCAGTAGTGATGAGCTGCTGGTATTCATCCACTGCGTCATCCGTGAGGGACATAGCGACGTCATGCGAAATCCCCTGTGCCTTTTCCAAACATTCTTCAGCAATAGCTACCATAATTGGTCCGGTCTGAAAAGGACGCGGCTTCGATGATACCGATGGCGATCGTTTCGTGATGCTTGGTGAGCGTGCAGTAATTAACGGAGAGTTGTTAAGAGAAGCATGAGGGCTGGACTTGATCTTGGTAGCGCTCGGTTTCGGTGGAGGGGCAATAGGAGCACAGTCGCTCATAGGCATATCTGGCTCTTGTTTGACTTCCGTCTTGATGGATATAGGCTCGAGTAACGATGGTGCTATGGAGCCAGACAAGCTCAGATCGCGTGGGTCGATGCTCATAAAGCTATCCATAGCAGCTGGTGTAATGGTAGACGGCATTTGAATATCCTGCAAATTCACAAAATTCATTTGTTCATTCTGGATCTGATTCTCAACCAGCACATCGTCGTCTTGCGAGGTCTCGGGCATCGGCTCTGGATCTGGCAACTGAGGCGCGGGCTCGTGCCGCAGGGCTACCGGCTGTTGCGGGGTATGCGGTGCTGTATTTGTGTTTACAGGATGCTGTATGGATTGAGATGACAGCTGCGGCGGCTGTGGAATGGGTACGGGAGTTTGGTGTGGAGGGATATGCGAAGGAGGTTGAGACGTTCGGCGTTGCTGAGGTGGTTGAGGTGGCTGTGAAGGCTGCCTAGCTGGCATAGTCTGAATTTGAGGCGACTGTGAATGACTGGGCAGGCGTTGATGCGGTGATTGCGGCATCTGCTGTTGATTCAACGACTGATTGGGTATAGATGGGTGTCGTATCATCGGCGATGGATTCTGGCTGTGCTGCAGCTGCGGTGAAGGCGACGCATTGTGGTAGAACGCCTGTTGATTCGGTTGTGGAGAGGGGCGAGCGTGCTGCTGAAATTGGGACTGAAGCTGCGGTTGCGGCGATGGCTGCGGTGACTGTTGGTGCATCTGCTGCTGATAGTGGTTTTGTGTTTGCTGCTGCGAATATTGGGTGGCTTGCTGCTGCAGGGATTGGCGGCGCATCTGCTGTTGCTGCTGCTGCTGCTGTTTCTCTATACGAAGTCGCATTTCATCGTCCGTTCGAGCCTGCTCGTCTATCGACTGCTGGGGTAATCTTTGCATGTATGGAGAACTCGGCTGTTGGTTGTGCAGTTGGTATTGTTGGTGTTGTTGATGCTGCTGCTGCTGCTGCTGCTGCCAACTTTCGGCAGAAGGGCTCGGCTGTTGATGGTGATGCTGTTGATGCATTTGACTGGGAGAAGCAGTTGGTAGCGAACCGCTCATACTCCGATTATATTGAGCTTGAGCCTGGCGCATAGCCTGCGCCTGTTGTTGTTGTTGCTGCTCCCAGTGTTGTTGATTCATATTCATCGAGTATCCAGCTTGACCTTGTCCGTACATATTAGACTGTTGATGCAACTGAGGAGACGGCGCCAGATATCCATTATGTTGCTGCTGCTGCTGCTGTTGCGGATGTTGCGGCTGTTGATACTGAAACTGTGCCTGTTGCTGCGGCGGCGGCTGTTGCCTTTGCTGCATCTCAGGATGTTGGTTCGGGTTCTGTTGATAACCATATCCTGGGTGCTGCTGCTGCTGTTGCTGTTGCTGCTGCTGTTGTTGACTATACATCTGCTGGCCAGGATATCCCTGCCCGGGAGGCATAGCGCCGTGGTACGACATGGTCACAAGCGGACAACGTCCGAGGCACGTCGGCAGCCAACAAGGGCTTCGATATATCTATTCAAGATATGTCCCAGACCTCATTCGCTGCTTTCCATTACCAGGCAAGGGGTTGGGTCAGTCCGCGAGTGTCCGTGTCGTGCGCTCTGTCGCGTCGCGATCGGGAAACGAGGGGAGTCAGACGTCCTAAAGCGGCATTGGCTGGTTGAAATAGTCGCAGATATGGGCTCCGTCACTATTTTTTCGCCGTCGGAAGCCGATCGATGTTTGGCGAGATGTCGTTGGTCGTCGCAAGTTGTCGGGGATTCGTGCTTGGACGTCAGCGACGGGAAACGTGCCATGCCAAATGCGGCCAGTGCTGGAGAGATCGTGCACTGTGTGATGCACTGTCGCACTACAACGCAGGGGACGTGTTAACTCCACGTAACATCAGAACGCTGTGGTGTCTTAATTATAGATTACAATATAGAAAATAATATCAGAAAAAAGAACAGATGGTATTAAAATGCATAACCAGAACTAACCCCTCCAAACAAAGTCATTTTTTGCGTTGAAATCCACAATGTGCATCGCACCCGTTTGAAAGGACTATCGTACTGTACAATACACCCAAAGCCTGTAAACCTAGAATGGTGTGGGAAATATGAAACAAAAAAAAAGAAGAAGGAGGGCTGCTATTTGCAATCTTCTTCAGACCATGCTGTGTCATCATCATTATTCGCATGTATATGTTCGCAAAAAGCAGATCATTAACCAACACAAACCCATTCAGCAAAGACGCACCATCTCGCCGTCCTGTCTGCAAGGACGAGACCGCGCCAGACACCTCGCTCCGAGCACTTGATAATGGTTTCCCACGTGCCTCCATCACTGGCATCTTCATCGTCCATGTTTCGGCCAGTGACAGTGATACCCTTGCGTTCTTCTTTCCGAGTAAGACGGAGAATCTTTCCGCCAGGTGTTTGAATAGCAAGCTTAGCCGGCTTCTTACCAGCGACTGTGCCACTTGCAGAACTGGGCTGTGATCCGTTCGTGCTGGATGCTGCAACACTCATCGCCGAGCCGGGTCTCATGAATGGGATCGGGCTGGTCCCGCCTGGGTTGGACGATGGTGTTAAAGCCGATGACGGTCCGCTACCTGTGGAGCTGGGATGTTGACGAATAGCAAAGACAAAGGTGTTGTTAAGAGCCAGGCGCTGGCATTGTGGTTGTACCACGTAGATATCGTTGCGCTGGGCATGCGGAGTCGGGTGACGAGTTACAAACTCATATGGCGGGTTCTCACCGCTGTGAACTAGGGGAACCGAGAAAGCCAGAGGATGGGGGATGTCCTTGATGCTATGCATCAGACCTCGAGTACCAGCGTAGATCTTGAGTGTTCCGTGGCCCTCGTCTCCTGGAAGGAGTGCCTTGATTGTGTACCGCTTGACTCCGTTATACCATTCAGCCTGTGCAAGTGCTCGCTTCTTGACAATATCTCCACTTTCAAAGACATCGCCGTCAAAATCTCGAGAGTATGAGCGAGCTTCAACTTCTGCAATGATCTCAATCTCTCCAGGCACATTGATCTTGATATGAGCCATCTCCAGATCTTCGATGCGAGTCTGCGAAGTGTTGTAATCCACCATCTCGATGCCATCCTTGAAGAAGGCTGGGCAGGCGCAGGGCAGACTCAATAGCACTTCGTGAGCGACCGGAGGCACTATATGCTGCTGATCGTGATGCTCAGGTACGTGAGTCCAGCAAATTTCCGTTGGTCTAGCAAGGAACCACCAGAAGTCGGCTGTCGAGTGACCCGCACTAGAATAATGAGGTCGCTTGGGGTTGGAAGGGCTAGCCAAGCAGCAATCTATCATTCTCCATTCATTGTCAATGAGTACAGCATTCCACCAGTGATTGGACTTGGGCATGATGCTAGTGTCAGGGACATCACCAGGAGGCTTGAGATAACCACGGACCACTTCACACGGAATGCCGACAGCAGTGCACATTTCCATAACTAGCACAGCGTATTCCTCTGCGCAACCACGCTTGGATTCAATAACGTCGCGAGTATTGATTTCTCCTTCAAATTCATCTTCCCATGAAATCTTTTCACTAACCCAAGTGAAAATAGCACGGAGTCTCTGCACGTCGCTGCGATATGGGCGGCATACATAGGTTGTCGCCAGTGAAATCGCTGTTGTCATTGGAGGCGGCTCGCTGATAAATCTAGAGTTCTTGTCGACTTGTGCAAAGTTAATAGATTGATAGTTGATAGCATCCATAATTGGCTGACCATCAGCACCCTCATCGCCTTCGATACCCTCGTAGAGTTCATCTACAGGATTCAATGCTGAGTGATCCTGTATCTGGCAACGATCTCGTCGTTCAGCTCGTTCTATTTTGCTCAATGAGTTCGATCGGTTGACGTCGCGTCGGACTTGGACCCAATCCACGGCTCCATTGGCACCGCCCTCTCTAGTGGGAGACGGTTGGTTACCAAAACCCGTCATGACATTGCCATTGGCGCCAGCACGGTTGAAAGGAGAAGATCGCACTGCGTCCGTATTCGCAATACTTCCTGCTGCAATATGACCACGGTTGCTGGCTACTCCAGTCTTGGCTGAGTCGAAGATCTTCTTGAAAATGTTGCGCTTTGGTGCTTTTGGTTGTACAAGCCCACCCAAACCAGTACCGGACTCGTCGAACACGGCCTGCGACATTGGGCGAACTGCACCGCTTGAATTGCTTGCGTGGCTGCTATGGTATGTCACTCCGGTAAAGGGCGAATCCGGGCGCTCAATATCGGCTTCCCTAATGCCAATAGCACTTTGAGCACGCATATGATGAGTCCTAGCCATACTACCCGCGCTCGTTGAACTAAATCCACCAGCAGACACACCACTCCACAAAGTATGCCCACTACTTTGCGTAGAGTGGCTGGTATTGCTCTGATTACCAGTGGACGCATTTGTGACCGTCGTTTTGGTAGTACCAGATCGGCCAATTGGTCTATTGCCACGCATCTCAAAGGCAGATTGCTGATGTCTCAGGATTCTATCCTGGGCAGATCCGGGTCCAGACGATGTGGTTGGTCGGGTATACATCTGGTTCTTTGGGGGTGGAGCTGGGGGTGCGTTCGTACTGGCGGTCGGGGTGCTAGCTGAGTGTTGATGCATTTTCTGGAATCTCTTTTCCATGCGTTCGACATAGTTACTCAACTGCGGTAAGGCCTGAGGCTCTTGGCTGTCTTGCCGGTACGACGTTGTTTGAGATGAGTCGCCACTCCAAGTCTCGTAGCCTTCGTCTGATGCGCTCGCAGTCTTTGGCCTGGTATTGCTATTCTGATATCGGCGAGACTTGTTTCGCGAGGGAGAGTGGTCTACCATGTCAAATGATTCGGGTGCCCAGGGATCTGCTTCTACTTCTTCTTCTGGTGTGGGAGACCTTTGTCCACCGCCAAGTCCTTCGAGTTGATCGAGCTGTTCCATTACGCCGTCCATGGCCTCACGTAGTGGAGATGGTGTCATTTGGCTGGGAGAAGCGTTGTAGCCATTGGATCGTTGAGGTGTTGTATCATAATCACCATAATCGTCCTCATGATAAGAATCATCATTGTAGGAGGTGTGAGAGACCTGTCTCAACATGTCGTGTGGTTCCTGGAACGAGCCGTTGGATGAGTGGCGGGGCAATGCTTGTTGAGGGTTATACGAAGCATTGGATCCTTGGCGAGAAACGTTGTGATGACCGTTGTGTCCATTTTCAGCCGCCAACCTTTGAACGTGTTTATGTGGAGGTGGAGGTGGAGGGGGCGAATCGCTGCGTTCTAGGCTTTGGCGCTGATCGTACTGTTCACTGTCATACGTATTCTCGCGATAGCGGAAGGAGCCAGATGGTGACGGGGTATCATAATCATAATCAGCTCGAGGATTTGGGGAGATTGGTCGAGAAACATAGCCACGGTTTGGCGGCGGTGAAGGGCTATGAGAACCAGTAGCCGCAGCACTCTTTGTCCTTGACACTGGGTTGGCTTGCACCGGCTTCTCCTTTGCCGCGGGGGAATCTTTGAATGTAATAGGCGTCTTGGCGCTTGTGTAGTGTGGTGCCTTGCTGTACGCCTCGAATGGCCGTCGGAATGGCTTTGCTTTGGCGCCTGTGGGAGCGATGGTTGGCGGTAGAGGGCTCACTGATCTGGCAGTGGAGGGTCTGAAGTCTTCTGGCAAAACTTGAACAAAGTTGGAAGGGAAGGATCCTACTGTTCGTCGGTCACGGAAGAGTCTTCCAACCCACCATGAGCCATCGCCAGCGTTGAGGCATTCGATCAGATCGCCTTCGATAAATCCGAGATCACGTTTTGACTGTCACACACATTAGCTGTTTGCTGTACCACGGATAACTTGCAAATTGTCATGGCATACCTCTCCTCCCCATGAATAGACAGCTCTGCACCAGCAAGGGAAGCGCTCTGGCAGCGTCGACGGTGTTGGGACCATTGTTATTGCAGTTGTGGTGAATGCGACTTTGAATGTTGCAGGGCGACTGGGACAAATTTAACAGCGACCCAGAGCAATTCAAAAAAAAATGTCCGAAATTGAGTAATTGGTGAGTAGTAATAAATAATAAAAATAATTCCACTCTCGCCTTGGTGAGTCCAGCACAATGGAAAGGCGCGGTTGTGATGCTGTTGTGGCGTGATCGTCCTGGCGATACGCAGCTTTGGTGATGGAAGCGAAAGAAAACAAACGACTAACAGCGACTTAGGCACAGCAAGAGCTAGGCATCTACTGTCCCATGGCGTGGAGTCCTTTGTAAGAAACAGGATTGGACAAGTGACAAATCGTCTGGTAATAGCTCGATCTGAATCTTTTCGGACCTATTCCCTTTCCAGATGAATATTGTAGAAGGAGGTGAGAGGAAGAGGCGGACAGGAATGGAACACAAGGCGTTGGCATAGGTGATGTCGAGTGTGGTGTGCTGGCTCACTGGGTGGGCAGCTGGCGAACACCTGGCGGCGCCTGGCAGAGAGCCTCCAGCACCTGGCAGCGGGCTGGCAAACAACAGCGGCCGCGCACTTGCAGGCGGGCTCAGGTTGCTAGGGCGACGGCATCAGATTTGAGCATCGCCCTCCCTACAAAGGTCAGGCGTCGGTGCGGCGCCCCACTGTAACCGCTAAAGCGATGCGCTGGAGCCAATAACAAGCCAGGACCTGGCACAAGGGAACGCTACAGGCCGCTGTAACTCGCCTCCGTAGCGACCGTTTAGGGGCCAGCTTAGCACGGCGGACTGGCATGCTGCGCTAACAAAGCCTTGGTTTGGGGGCGTCTGGTCAGCGTCATAGGCCAGCTGGTACCGCCGAAGCTAAGAGGCACCGGCATGCAAAGTCTGGGGTTGGATGCAGCACGCGCTCATGACTTGAAAGTGATAAACTCCAAAGAATTCTCGTTCGATATCCATTCGCATTGTTTCCCCCAGCTTCACTTTTTTTCCATTTTCCCAAATGTACCTTTCTTGCTTTGTACTGTATTACTCGTACTCTGCCAGGTTGGACAGCGCTATCGTCCCTGCTAATTTACTACCCCCCGTTAATCAACGTCACAGCTGTCCCAAAGCGGAAAATTGTAAACAAATCGCCCCCGGTCCAAGTTAGACGGGTCCCCTGCACCGGGCGACGTCCTTTGTCCCAGACAACCGACGAGACCTGCGCAAAGACGCCAGCCAGATTAATCTCCCTTCAATCAGCTAAATACAATACCCAGGCTCAACCCTTTGTCATTCTCCGAACCTCGTCACGATCATCCCGCACATCGGTTCCAAGACGGCCAAACGCTCCCCTGTACTGTGATTCCTTGAGCAGCAGCAACTTCACGACCAGTCCAACATTCAGTGGTCGACTCCTGCGCCTCATAAAATCAATCACATACACATCGAAGCCTTGGAACCGGTGCACATCACCAATACAGCCGCAATGGCCGACGAAGGGCTTGCCGAGCACTACCAGGTGCTCGAGGAACTTGGTCGTACGTGATACAATCTCTGCGGCTTATTTATACTGTTTAGGATCTTGCTGCTAACAATTCGAATACAGGTGGTAGCTTCGGCGTCGTTTACAAAGGCATCGAGAAGGCAACCGGCGAAATAGTAGCCATTAAACATGTACGTGACTACTGATAAACGCTCCAGTGGCCGTTAACTGACTTACCATTACTTAGATTGATCTCGAATCCAACGACGACGACATTCAAGATATCCAAGCAGAAATTGCCGTGCTTTCGACTTGCGCCAGCCCATATGTCACACAATACAAGGGCAGCTTTTTGCGCGGACACAAGCTATGGATTGTAATGGAATATCTCGGTGGAGGCTCGTGCCTCGATTTGGTAAGTGGTCCAGCGCATTGTCTGAAACATGAGCTCTCAAAATGCTAACATTCGGGGATACAGCTGAAACCAGCCAGCTTTAGTGAAACCCACATCGCGGTTATTTGCCGTGAGCTTCTTCTCGGCATTCAATACCTACACGACGAAGGCAAAATTCACCGCGATATCAAAGCAGCAAATGTCTTGTTGTCCGACTCTGGAAAAGTCAAGCTCGCCGACTTCGGTGTTGCGGCGCAACTTACAAACATCAAGTCACAGCGCAACACTTTCGTTGGTACACCATTCTGGATGGCTCCAGAAGTTATCCAGCAAGACGGCTACAGCTTCAAGGCCGACATTTGGTCCTTGGGTATCACCGCTATGGAGATGGCCAATGGAGAACCTCCTCTGTGCCACATTCATCCTATGAAGGTGCTTTTCCATATCCCCAAGAACCCTCCTCCAAAATTGGAGGGCAACTTCAGCAGAGACTTCAAGGACTTTGTCGCACAGTGCCTCACAAAAGACTATGAGCGTCGCCCTTCAGCTCGTGAGCTGCTACGACATCGCTTTATCCGCTCTGCGGGAAAAATTGACTTGTTGCAAGAGCTCATTGCAAACAGGCACTCCTTCGATGCGGACCAAACACGTCCCAAGCACCCCATCTATTACCAAGAGACTCTACAGACTATTTCTCCCAAGGACGACGATGAGTGGAACTTTGACACTGTCAAGTCTGTTGTCCTTCCCAAGCGTCCAACTATCAGACAGCACCGCAAACCATCATCCATGTTGGCCGCAGAAGACGGCCTGCGCAAACTCAACATCAACGATGGACCACTGGGTCCTTCGTCTCCCGCCACAGCGGTAGGAACTATTCGCAAGGCGACTGTCCGCCGCACTCCATCGCTCGCCCAAGTTTCGGCCATGCACGGCGGTGGTTCTCCCAAGAGAACCGTCTCTATGAAGAAGCCACTGCAGACAGACATGTCGTTTGGTAACTCGGGATCGACAATGAGATTGTTCCGCCGCGTTCCTTCCGACAGTTCAACAAACGGTCAGTTAGGCCGTCCAGCCTCGCCTGACGATGTATTCTGCGACGAAAATATTCCTCCTCCCTCAGTTACATCGCCTATTGCCCCGTACGGTAAAGAGGCTGTCCTCGGTCGACGCTTGTACAACAAGGCAATTGAACCTGGCATGGCTGAGCTTCATGCCCAGACATCCGCAATGCAGAAGCGTGAGGCACTCGCCAAGCTTTCTGATGCATTCGCTGCTTTGGATGCCGTCGATCCTGAGGGTGCTTATCATCTTATGAGCAACCTCGTCACCGCCATGGCCAGAGACAACAAGCTGGATGCTGCGTTCCTTCGTACGACCAGCTCCAAGACTCCCGACGACGGAACTCCTCAAGGAACTGTAGTCATTAAGGGTACTCCTCAAGGAACCCCAATGCAGAGTCCCACAAAGCTTATTCTGAGCTCCAACAACCCACATCTACGAAGCCATCGCCGCCGACAGGCTGATTCTCCAGTATCTAAGATTACAGAGAAGGAGAACGACGATGACGAGCGTTACCCTGGTCAGGAGGCTGAACAGGGAATGGAACACAACAAGCAACTCTCCGATGTGCTCTACAAGCGATGGGCCGATGGTCTGCGCATTCGCTGGCCGGCAGTTTAAGCTCTGTCCGGTTCTAGGCACTATGTACGAAGACAACGAGATAACGGCAGATTGGCATTCCACTACGAATCTTAAACTGCACTGGATTTAATGTTTCGCACTGACGAAATATGTACGAATTTATTGTATGAGAACATGTACTATTCACAAACCCCAGCCCAGGATCCCTTAGGGGAACACCAAAAAAAACACAAAGGAAAGACAAAAGCAAGCAAATAACGGCATCTCAAACAAACTATTGATGAGTCGCTATTTGGCACTCTATTCCACCCTTCACTGGCGATTTCCCTCGCGGAAGACATCTTACGAAACTACACCTCACGCACCCTTCGACCACAAGGCCTCGCGTCTGGTTACCCATCATGTACAATATGTCTCAAATGATATACGCCCACGTATCTTGCGAGTCAACGATTGCGCAATTTTGATGTTTCGACTTTTTTTGCAAAATTTTTATTGATTTTCTTTTCTTTGGTAAATGCAGGCGTTTCTTGGCCACTTTGACTGGCTGCTTTTTTGAGTCGTTTATTCTTTTTTATCGTTATTTTCTTGTCCAAATTATTATTACACATGGTAGATAGACTGATATACAAATGAAGTACTTTAACAACACATCCATGGGTACTTGAAGTGAGATTATGTGAAAATGCAGTATCTTGAATGAGATACTATGATACTGTACTCGGTCCCAACGCGAGCTTGATTCTCCAATCCTTAAATTCATCCGAGAGTATATTTCCATGGCCAGTCTCTTCCACTCTGAAGATTTCAATTGTAGGTGATTGCGGGCGTCGACGTATCTTCCAAACCCCTTCGTCAGTTATAGTTTGGCGTAAGACTGTAGCATATTAGCAAGATACTTTCTCAGTCACTTTCCGTTAAACTTACAGTCTAGAAACTCGCCAGCGAAATTGACACACATATCAGCGTTCCACTTGGGGTTCGGCCCAGCGTTGACAATCTCAGGGATGCGGTGCGTCTCCATCTCTTTGACCTCTACCAAGATACCGTCTCTGGTGCGGAAGCCAACCATGATTTTCGGTACGCCTAGAAGAAACGACTGTATCCAATATTTCATAAACTTCCGGTGCAGGTTCTCAACATCATGAGGTCCGCGGATCTCGCCGGTAGTCTTGAGTTCAACCCAGTTAATAGGACTGCCCTTGGTCGCTGGTTTAATATCCCATACTAGTCAAGTTAGCAATGAATTAATGACATGGGGCATTATCATCACTTACTAGCGTCCACTTCGCCGCCTAAACATAGAACCGTTTTACCAATTCCCGTTCTAACAACCGAACAATACTGTTCCTTGTTGTTGACGACTTCTGTTTCGCGACCTTCGATTTCATCTCGTGTCATTTGGCCCCAAGTCCGTGGCATTGTCGCTAGTGTTTCGAATTTATAACCTGGTACTTGTTAGTTTCTAGCGGTTGTCTGAAGATGATGCGGCATACCCCAGAATTGCATAACATCAAGTGGTGGCCCTCGTCGTGGTTTACCACCACCTTCATTTCGCCGCGAGGTCATCTTATATTCGTGGCTTTCTTCTACAAATATGCACTCCTGGTACAAAGTGGCGTTCATTTCAAATCTGTGAGTATGTTAGAAGCGATGCGTCGAGCTTCCGATCTGTATTTCATACCCATCCATATGCTCAAACGGAGCAGCCAAGATCTGTTACTGGTTAGCCCATAGTTTTCATGGTTGAGAATGGTACATACTTTTGTCATCATCCCTCTCCAGGTCACTAGATTAGCATCTATTCGTGCACCTGTCTCCTTTTCGTGTGCCATGACAGTTTTGAGCAGGCTATCGAGATGCTCGTCGGCTGTGTCATCTTGTTTCTGAAATGTATCAAATCCCCTAGACAAATCTGCTCCTATCTGCGGGTTGTAGTAATACTTTAAAGACGAATCATCGAGATGGAACTGATGGTCTTTATCGTATGAGAAACAGGCAAACTCCTTTGGACGCTTAACCGGTTGGCTGACACCGGCAAATCTGCCAATGGGCTGCACAGGGAATTCCACTGACATTGCCCTGTCTGCGCAATGAATTCTTGTTGGGTCAGTTGTCTCTTGTTATCGCAGGAGATCATAGATGTCTGCCAGTATCGCAATGCTACTGAGACTGCGCCTGCAACGACGCGACGAGAGACGACGAGCGTGGTAGGCGTATTCGCAATACTGGTGATCTTATAAATAGTTATGAATATGTTTGCTTTTTAAAATCCAAAAAAAACTCATGGCAGTACATAAGCGATGGCTGGTCTAGCAAACTGGATGGTGAAGTGATCGTTCGTGATTTGCAGTTGGCGTTGGTCCACTGCAAGCAACGTGGGAATGCGCTGCCAGACTGGCGCCACGCTGGGGCGACAAAGTTGCGGATCATCAGACTGGCGCCATAAACATTCTCTTTTTATTGAAAATTGTAACGGGATTATTAATGGCATTGGATGATATGTTCTTTTTATTTGATCATTCTTTCCATTCATTTTAGAGATAATGAAACTGGCTGGTTGTCCATTTGACAGCTGCAGCGCTGCTGGCGTGTTCTATACATAGACCAGCAGTCTCAATGAGAAACCCACATTGGACTTTCACAAACGCCAAATCCTCTCAATTTTACTGCAAAATAAAATTTATTGACAATAGGAAATTGTCAAAATGATATTTTATATTTTATACTTTACAACCAACCGTACATGGGCTATTTATGTCGCCTGTAGAACAGTGACCTGCCGCACCTGCCACGTGATACCCTACAGCGCAATTCCGCCACAGTTACGTATTGTAGCGTACCCAGAAGCTCCGCACCAGTCCGCTTTCAGATTCACGCGCCGCCAGCCTCGATCCTCTTTGATCAACCGACAGCTTCCGTGGCGATTTGCTACACTGTGCAATTCCAGCTCACGAAGCGTCTACTGGGCCTGATATCTCGACAAATAACGCCGCGCCGGGTGACCAAATACTTACGGTTGCTATTTGGCGTGCGCGCCCCGTCAATGCCAGTATCTCGACGACCAGGCCAAAGCCGCAGCTCACACTCTCGCAAGCGTGCGACGACACAACAGAATCAAGAAGACGACTGGTATTCTATCAAGCGTATACTCGATCAGCGCGAACAGGACGGATATACGGAGTACCTGGTGGACTGGGACGACAATCATATAACTGGCGAATCTTATTCCCCGTCTTGGGTACGATGTCTGCGCGCGCGATGCGCCAAAGTCCATTTTGCTAACCTCTCCCTCAAATAGAGCCGATTTGTTACAGACGCAGCTAAATCTGAATGGGCAGCTCGCAATAGCGATCCGCATACAGTAGAGTCACAACTACAAGGGTCAACCGAGAGCGCTGCTGCCGAAGAGAGCCAAGAGAGCCAACCTCCACGACCTTCGAATTTCAGGAGCCTTAAGAGGGCTTTTGCGAATCGATTGAGCTCTCACCGTATTCTATCATCTTCAAATATAGAAGAGAGCCCCAGAAAGATACAAAAGACGCACCGGCGCATTTCGACACGCTCAAACAACAGCCAATCCAACAGTTCCTCGGTATCCTTGACTGGCATACTGTGCTCTGATAACATCGCCGAATCCAATCAAACGATATTTGTTGGCTTGCAAGGAAACCCGGACTTTGATCCAAACGATTTCTATAGCGTACCCAACAGTCAAGCAACCGCACTTCCTTCGTCCCAGCTAGTTGCCTCCATCGACGACGAGCTGGTTCTCGCTGCTCGAGTTTCTCAAAACACCATACCGGACTCGCAAGATTCGTCAGGACAATCTTTAAACCAACAGGATAGCCTCGCTTTTACTACATTATCGAGCCCTAGCCAGAACGTGGAGACTGACTCCTTTTCTGGTCAAAGCGAGTTGCCATCTCGACAATTCTATTCCCACGTTTTGGCCAGCCCAGACCTGGAATCTCTGAGAACTGAACAGGATTCTGTTTCTAGGACATCACTCTCGATCAATCGTCCGCAATCCTCTATTACTGGGTTTCAATCCCAGGCGCCTCTGTTCCAACCCTTCAACAACGAACTTAACTCCTCCCCACATCCACCAACACAGGAGAGTCCTTCGGTGATCAAAGAGACACAGGATTCTGAATTCGGCAGTCTTCCGACCGAACAAACACTTGACAACGACGATCACACAAATTTACAAGCAGCCCAGGCTCTACATAGCGATTTCTACCCATCGCCGGCCAAGATCACCGATAGTAACTCCGCCAGCACAGAACCCAGAGCCAGTGGGTTCCAGTCTCAAATACAGTTTTCGCTTGCTGATTTGACAGAATCATCAATACACTCTAGCGCTTCTAACTACACAAACACAGCCGCCGAAATGGCAGACAATACAGACACCAGCGCCGTACCAAACTCGGGCGCAGCAGCGGACGAACTAAGTGAATTGATAAACTTGGACTCCATAGTGGACGCTGGATCAACAGTTCCTGACCCCAACGCTACTGATTTTGTAGTTACATCTGCACTTCCGAGTACTGTGGAGGAAACTATTATGTCTAATGAGCTGGTTACAACAACAGTTGACGACACGCTATTGCAGCCTGATACCGTAACTGCACCTGTTCCAACCGGGTTGGATGATATCCTAAGTTCGGGATTTGGAGTACCGCCGGAAAAACAACTTGTGGATTCCCTATTAGCCCCTCCAGCGGAAGATATGGGAACAATCTCACCGTCGGATATTTTGGCATCTGGAAGTCTTCAACCCCCAATTTCGTTTGGTACCGATGACCAAGTGCTTTCTATGGAGCAACAGTTCACCGGAGATCCTTTCTCCAAGGCAGATTCGACTCCAGGCAGCCCACTCCCTCTACAATCGCGGCATGTCGTCACATTACCATTCCAAGCCAACATTCGACCCCAATATGACGATGCATTATTGGCATCGCGCCAGTATATTTCAAAATTTGCTGGCTTCTTTGCAGCAGAGACATTTGTTGAACCAGACCAAGAGCTGGTGCAAAAGATTGACACCGTCTTCTCCACGCTTTACGACTTTTGCGACTACCCACAAGATTCTGTGGGCACATCCATCGAGAGTCTTTCTGTAGCCGATCAAGTGAAATACGCTTGTGATGCCAATTCGAAATTCGATTTCGTGTGCGGCTTCCTCAAGGATATCCGTGTCGATACGAGGATACTGATCGTAGCTCGTTCGGTGGAGCTTATTCGGCTGCTTCATCATATCACAGTCTCCCTTAATATTGGATGCTCAGCGTCTGCTCTGGGGATATCAAGTGATGCTCTCGCATCGTCAGCGGCGTCTGTGACGTTGGCCTTGCCAAACGAGGCGTTTAACCCTTCTGCATTTAACGTGATTATTGGGTTTGATCATGCCTTTGGCCAATCCGCTGTAGGTCTCGCACTCTCTGATGACTCGGAACCTGAGCACTCGCCATTGGTGTTGCTTCTCGTTGCCATGTACTCGGTTGAGCATATTGATGCTGAGCTTCACGAAAATCTTACGCCATTGGAGCGCAAAAACGCATTCCTTTCGTGTATAGTAAACGCACGCAGATTGATGGCGGACAGCAATGACTCATTTTTGGAACCTCGCGAAGTTGCTCTCAAGTTTAGCGACTACGTCAATGGTGCAACGTCTGTTGTAATGTGGAAACCCGTTTCTCTACCAAATGATGTCTTGGATATCTTCATGAGCAGCCAGGCTCGGCCGCAAGGTCAAGATAACGAAGAGGAAGACCAGAGCCGCAAGCGCAAATTGGAAGATGATTCGGATGACGAAACTTCCGATGAAGCGAAACGAATGCGAATTCTCCCACGGGCTGACCCTGCTGACGACAAGTATGACCAGCCATTGTCAGATGAGATTCAAAGCATGCTCAGCAGCGTTTCTCCTGCGGACGAGGCCGCGCAAATGACAGATGCACGCATTCGAGTTTCTTTGGGCGTCTTACAGGTTCTTGCGGAAAAGTTTGCTGAATTAGACCGCCAAGTAAAGGCCAAAGATCTTAGCAATGAATTCAAAGCGACCATCGATGGGTTAGAGAAGCGAGTCAAGGAGTATGAGAACAGCAGCGGCAAGACGTATAAGCGCTTGAGAACGGCCGTTGAAGACCGTACAAAGTTCAACATGGAGAAGCGGAAGGCGGAAGAGAGCCTAGAAAAGGCCAAGGCAGCCGCTGAAAAACAGGAGAAAAAGGCACAGGCCAAAATAGCTGATCTCGAAGCCACCATTGCTCGACTCACGGGTGCTGGCGGCGAGGGTAGCGAGAAGACTGCGCTTGCAGAGTCGGAAGAGCTGCTCAAGAAAGCCCAAGAAAATGTTGAATCCCTGACCAAGCGGGTTAAGGCGACTCAGACAGAAGGCGAATATGCCCGTAAGATGTACCAGGATGCATCTACTACAGCAGCATCGCTCCGTTCCGAGAACGTTGATCTGACGGCACAGATTGACGAGTTGCGCCGCAAGGCATCAGACAACTTGGCAGCCATCCAGAAGACACAGGCGGAATCAGAAACCAAGACATATCTACGCCGTATTCGCGCCTTGCAAATCGAGTTGCGTGAGCGGGAAATGGACTTGGACCGAACCAAGGACGAGCTGCGCCAGATTCGTAGTGCTCGCCGAGATACACGTGGCGGAAGCGTGCCTCGTAGCCCCCGTATGGGTATGATGAGCCCTCGACCGGGTCGAGCTTATGGAGCGAGTGCAAGTCGGGGCACTAGTCCTGCACCGGTGCCTGGCGTTGAGGGAGCCGTGGCTAGCAATGGCCGTTTCAACCATTTGCGAGAGTAAAAGGCTGACATCCTAGAGTTGGTTGAATTTTAAGAGGCGTTAATGGATTAAAGGATATGATATATTATGAACTATTCTTTTTTGTTTGCTTATTTTTTTGGCGCTTGGATGGCTTGATAGTATTGCTTCCTGGTACAATGTTATAGATCACCAGCAATGGGACGTCACTACCATGTATACCACAAACCCCCCAAAAACAGTCTTATATGCGTGTGTATATGTTCTAATCTGTTTAGTGATATCCGAAGATGTGAGGTCACAAGTGTAACAGAACGGATAGTAACGAGAACCGCCAATTGGGTGCTAACAAATGAAATGAAATATTGATTTTTGACGTGGAGATGGCAATATGACCACCTGAACTTAATGGCTAACCTGACACGAGAGGAATTGCGTCTGGAAAGTGCACCTTGCCCAAAGAAAATCTATGCCCAGCTGTCTTGGCCCAGTCCCTTGACTCTTCCAATCAACTCCTTCTAATATCATATACAAAGGGCATTCTTCAGCAACCTCCTTCTAAAGCCTTTACAAGATTCCTCCTCCGCGGCGCTCTTTTCAGTTCCCGTTCATGGGACAACGAAAAAACAAGTTTTCAAAAAAATATCAAGGTCCTTTCGCAATGCGTTTACTTCTCCTCGGGGTAGAGGTCCTCCTTCAAGGGGACACCGAGCTCTTCCCGCAGAGACTTGAGCTCGTGGAGATATTGGTCGTACTGGGTCTTGTTCTCGACCTTGGCCTTGACACCTATCATTGGAAAAATATAATGTTAGCAACTGGCTTCTTCATCACCCGCCCAGCATCGTTTAATGCTTCAAGCTTCGGAAAAACGCGGCAAAGTATAGCGTACCCTCGAAAACGCGGACGGCGGTAGCAAAGTCGTTAACACGGCGAGCAGCCTTGAGAGCGGCAGCGACGACAGAGACGGAGGGGACAAGATCGTAAGCGAAAGCGTTGTTGAGGTTGCGCTATAAAAGGACAACTGGGTTAGCGACTGGTTGGTGCAGATTGCCGCGGTCGGCCGGGACTGGGTGGATACACATACCTGGAGCTCGAAGACATCCTGAACGCTGTCGAATTCCTTCTCGAATCTATTGATGGGGGGAAAAGACGCTGGTTAGCGATATATTCATGATTGGCAGTTTGATTTTCGACCAGGCAATGGGGATTGGTGGTGGTTGACGACGCCGGGCGATGTGCAAGCTGACTAGGAAAAAACACGCGAAAAATAGAGCGACTGGCCAGTTGGTGATGTCGTTGCCGGAACAGGTCGACCGGGGACCATTGCGTCGAATTGCCTGCTTTGCCTGTACGAATTTATTCTCCTTACCTGGCAGTGAACTCCTCGAAGGTCTCCTCGGCGTGCTCAGCGCGGCGATGCATGGAGGTGCTGAAAGAAACGCGGGCCATTAGGGGCATGGCGGCAGGGCGGACGGCAGCAGCGCGAGCAAAGGTGGCGGGGCCGCGAGCGGCGAGGCGGAAGAGAGAGGCGGGCATCTTGAAGATGATATTTGCGATTAAATCGGGGAGGATTGAGAGGTGTCGGGGGTGGATTGAGACTCGGCGATGTTGGCTTTTGGCTATGGGAAGAGGTGTTTTGGCAAGTGAACGAAAATGATTGGGGCAGATTGGGTGACTAAGCCAGCAAAAATATGACTGACTGTGCGAATTGAGTGACGGGACGGTACATTTGGTGGGTGACTCCACCAAATGTAACAGTGAACTTTGGAGCAGGCACTGTACGTGGTTTACACGGCGTGGTCAAGCTTGGTTTTAGTCCGGCTCTAATTCGTCGGTTTCGGGAGGCACCAAGGCATCATTTTGCTGTGCGCGGTGCAGTGCAATTGAAAGCGTAGTACAACATTTACACTTAATCTAAATATGTCATTGAAATACTGTGTATTTCAACATATCACCACAATTTTTAATTGAATTTTCGGCTCTTTGCTTTGTGTTGTTCCCGGGTAGACTTAAAGTTGGTGACTTGAACGCAATAGAGGGCGACAGCGTCTTGACCAACTCTGTACTGCATTGAGTATGGTAGTGTAGACAGCTATGCTATAGCCTACTACAATTGGTTCTAGGCCACAGTTAGTGAAACAACTGTCCTAACCAATATTACATCACTACCTCAGGAACATCAAGGTGCTGGGAGCCCAGAGTTATATACAGCCGAAAAGGCAACTGGCGAGGCGTGCGTATGACGGACGTGCCATGAGGAAAAGTCCGCACGGAATACCGCTTCGTATTATACCAATCGCGGAATTGGATTAAAATAAGCCATCTCTTGCAGGCAGCCAATACTAGCCTGTGCAACAAAGATACCCAAGCTGACGGCGGCAATCGAGAAAAAAACGAGCAAGCCAGTCGGGCTGTCCGAGGTAATTTCAAAGGGGAGCTGATCTGGAGTAGGCCTACGCTAAACGCAACCTGTCCTTGCGGCCACAAGCCTTGTGCCCCATATGTGATAACCGTCTCTATACGGGCTTGCTAGTACTCTGGAATGCACAAAGCAACACTTTAACCGTTTATTTCCTGTTGAATGCAGCCTCAATTTCAGGTAAGACCTGGAGAGCAAGCCGAGGAACCATCACGTGAGACAGAGGCCAAGTCGCCTGGAAGCTGGGCAAAGGGCCGCTGGGGAGCGAGGGCAGGGCCCCAATTTCACATGCAGAAACGATGGCCATCGAATCTTGGTCCCGAGATGGGCCAGTTGGTAACAGCAAATAGGCAATTGGGACATCAAAAAGAGAAAACAGGGCCCTGCAAGGCACCGATACATGTATGGCTGGCCGGGGACGGGTTAGTGGCCTTGCATGAAAGATAACAGCACTGCTAACACCAGCCTCTTGCCCCTTTTGGGCGGCGCAGCCGGCTGTAATAATCTTGGTTGCAGGGCGCTAGAAGCCCACTAGCCCGCCTAAATAGCCCAGCCCAGTGTGCAATGAGTGCGGCCCCGCCTGCCCCTGGTTTTTTTCGGGCTGCCTTTTTGGCTTTTTTGCGTTGCTTGGGGCGCGACGCAGACACGCACCGTCGGCCCTTTCGGAGCCCCCCTTCAAAGCCGTCTCTCTCCTTTAATCTTTTTCTCCCCTTGTCCCCCATCACGGAATTTTCTTTTCTTTCTTTCGACCTTCTTACTCTCCTTCATTCAACTCTTTCTTCGTCGTTGTGATCGGACTGAATTGGACTCCATCTTCTTGCCAATTCTTTTTGAAGCAGCTTTTGTTCTTCATTCTCTCCTTTTTTTGCCTCGGTGTCGTCATCTTGCGTCGTCGCGTCGCGTCTCGTCCTCCGATCAACCCGAAAACCCATAATCCGTTCACCATCTCGATTTCTGTTGGTCTGATTAGCCCATCATGTCGTTCCTCGAACATTTCCCCATTCCCACGGTCGATCGCCCATTCGGCATCCACCTGTGGCCCATCTTCAGCAAGGGCTGGGAGCTCGTTGTTGGCTATCCTGCTGAGGAGTTCAAGTTTGTGCCTTTCGAGACACCGATGTCTACCCTCAAGTCGACATCCATCTTCATCGTCATCTACTACACCATCATTCTCGGTGGTCGCGAGCTCATGCGCAACCGTGAGCCCTTCCAGCTTAAGACCCTCTTCTTGATCCACAACTTCTACCTCACGGCCATCTCCCTCATCCTCCTGGTTCTCTTCATTGAGCAGCTCGTGCCTACTGTCGTTCGCGGTGGTGTCTTCCACGCTATTTGCGACCACAGCGGTGGTTGGACTCAGCCCCTCGTTGTTCTCTACTACGTATGTTGTTTCGGCAGAGTAATTACTGCAAGTGTCAAATTTACTAACTGTGTGTGCAGCTGAACTACCTGACCAAGTACCTTGAGCTCCTCGACACCTGCTTCCTTTTCCTCAAGAAGAAGCCCCTCAGTAAGTTTCTTTTCGAATGGCCTTATCATGCGCTTGTTGCTAACTTTGTCAAATAGCCTTCCTCCACACCTACCACCATGGTGCTACCGCCCTTCTCTGCTACACTCAGCTCATTGGTTCTACCGCCGTCTCTTGGGTCCCCATTACCCTTAACTTGACTGTGCACGTTGTCATGTACTGGTACTACTTCCAGAGCGCCCGTGGTATCCGCATTTGGTGGAAGGAGTGGGTTACCCGTCTCCAGATCATCCAGTTCATCATCGATCTTGGTAAGTGATACCATTATTTTCAATTGTGGATGACACCAGCTAACCTGGGCGTAATACAGGCTTCGTCTACTTCGCCTCTTACACTTACTTCACCTCGACCTACTTCCAATGGATGCCCAACGCCGGCACTTGCGCTGGTGAGGAATTCGCCGCTTTCTCTGGCATGGCTATCCTCAGCTCCTACTTGGTTCTCTTCATCTCTTTCTACTTTGCCACTTACAAGAAGGGCAGCAAGTCTACTACTCGCAAGTCTCTTCGCCGCATGAGCCAGGCCCCCATTCCTGACTTCATTGGCGCCTCTCCCGCTGGCAAGACCAACGGCACCACCAACGGCGCCACCACCACCGGTGCCAAGACCAACGGTGCTACCACTCGCTCTCGCAAGGCCTAAATGCATCAAATACAAGCTAATGCGAGCTTGGTTCCGTACCACGTCTCGTCATAGCAGTGTTTAATGCGGCTGAAGCAACGAAGGAAGAAAACCAAACAGGACGATACACGGAGTCAAAGAGAACGGGTTGGTATTTCTGGGACACCAATTTTGGATTGCGGAGTTTTTGTTTGATGAACCAAGGCATCGGCAACCACAGGAGCTACCTTCCCACAACCCCCCGGTTTTTAACATCTCGAATTTTGTTCTTTTACACCTTTTAATATTCGCTTCTTCGGGTTGGAAGGTGGCAGCATGGGATATATGTATAATCTTGTTATTTGACAGACAGGGGGGGGTAGAGGGCTGGCTTGTCGTACTTTGTGAATTGTGTTACTACTTTACTAGGGATAGGAGAGGCTAGACAGCATCGTACCATTTGGGGTGCGATGGAAAAGGAACCGGACAGGAATTCAAAATGACATGCTCTTTTTTTTTATAAATAATAATCATGCTCTATGGTTGCTGTAGTTGTTTCAATACACGACTTGTTGATAGTATATCTACGAGAAGCTTGCCAATAAGCTTAATTGGCTTGGGGTGACGCTAAGTTGTATGGCTTTTCAGCTTCGTAGCTAATGTACGTTCTAGCTGCTTATGGGTAGCATTGCATACTGTTCTCGGGGAACAGTATAGCTACAGTAACTACAACGGCAGTATTCCTACAGCCGACCAAAGGTTTGAAGCGATTGCGCATCCTAGAAGCCGTACCCGGCTGAGTCGGCCCCCTGGAAGCTGGGGCGTTGAGCGCTGATCAGCCCCAGCTCGTCGTCATTGGCAGGGTAGAGGACCAGGCATGCCTTGTTGAGTATTACAGGGTGTTTGACCAGCGGCTTCTGGACTGGGCTTATGCTCTATTTTTGTGGCCGCCGTATTTATTAACTGGTTTTCAGCTAGGGAACCATGTAGCCGACAACGTGCAATGTGATTGTTCCTCGGTGGCCCTTCGCTCCTTCCCCGCGCTCGAATGCTCCTTCCCTTTACTCTTGTCTCTGCCATCCACACCCCCAAAAAGCTGGCGACTCTCCTCTAGCGCCAGGTCAAGTTAGCGTTATTGGCTGCCATTCAAAGCGTGTTACCGTCCCGCTCCACTTTAGCTGTCTCTCGTCGGCTTGCTTTTCTCCTTGCCCAGCTGATTTCCTCTCTCTGCATATTCCCTTTTGCCTTTATTTCCGCATCTGCCAGCGCGTGTTGAGTTTATTATTGCACGGTTTTGGCTATTGCCCGTGGTTTTTTGCCTTGACGCATCTGCTTAGCGAGCATACATCCGTTCACTATATCGCCGTGAGGCCCTGCTTGTTGCCCGCGCTTGGCGGCAGGCGTCCCATGCAATTCGCACGAAACGACGATAGCTTAGTTCATCAACATTCGCATTCCAACATCCCACGCCACGGCCTCTGCTCCTCGGCCTGCCGAAATCGGTCTCTTACCACATAATGAGACTCCCATTTAGGAAAAAGGAGAAGAAGGGCGACGGCCCAAACGAGATTCCCGTTGAATTTCGCCCTGAAGGCTATGGCGTCCTTCCCCTCTTCCCCCCGACCCCTCAGAGCGCATGGCTCGCTTCTCGCCTCCCTCCATCTGTCCTCGAGCGTATATTTGCGGCCTTGTGTCCCCATGCACGAGACGATACCTATGAGCCTTGCGAAGAAAGCGGTAACGACAAGGGATGCACACTTTGCGACTTGCGCAACCTTGCACATTGCGTCGCGGTTTCCCGCACGTGGCGGGTAAGCGCCGTTAAGGTTTTGTGAGTATATCAAGAAACAATGCAACAATTTATCCGCTGACAGTGTTATTTGTAGATACCATAGCGTTAGAATTGACCCAGTCCACTATTGCAAACTAGAGGCATGGCTTGCCGAGCGCCGCAAAAAGGGCCGTTTCGAGAAGAATGCCATCCCCGAGGACCCCGCCCAAGCTCGACTTCGCCTGTTTCGCCGCACAGTCCGCGATGACCCTACAAGAATTGGTAAACTTGTTCAGTTTCTCAAGATACCATATATGCTCCGCGAGTACTGTCACGTGGAATTGGCTCAGACAATTGCCGTCTTGCCAAACCTGCACTATGTTGACCTTCCAGAGGGCATGTTTGCAGATGAGCCATCATTTGCAACACTCCGCCTGGAAGTACAAGCGCGTTGCCCGAATATAAGAAAGACATCGTATTTGGCTGGCTCAGAAAGGAGTTTCGCCTCTTTAGCAACTGGCCAAGTATGGCCCAGGCTTCAAGTATTAGAGATCACCCGACTGAATATTGATCCTATGACGATGCGGCAAGCACTTGGGTCTCTCGGAAATTTACGAGCTCTCAAAATATCAGAAACAGACAGTTTCTCTGACGAGGTACTTCTTTCAGGCGAAGGACTCCCCGCGCTTCCTCCGCTTGAAGAACTCGTTCTCAAGGATACCCCCAACGTCACTGCGGCAGGCTTGGTTGAATATCTAGCTTGGATCGAAACGCAGCAGACCTTGAAGGTGCTAACGCTTAAGGAAACGGGTGTACATCCAGCTCAGCTGCGAGATGTGCTCATCATGGCTACATCACTCAAGACGTTGGCGCTACAATGCCGCATCGCAGAGGCGTTCCCCCAGCAAGTTGGTATTGAGCCTTTGACATCACAATCACTGCGAACACTACGCTTTGAGATATCAGGCAAGTCATCGTCTGCACAGCAAGTCAGCGCTGCCTCCAGCTACTACTCCTACCTCTCCTCCTCAATTCTCTCTGGCAATCTTCCCAAGTTGCGCCGCTTGTATGTACATGATGAATCGTTTCCGGAGAAGCTACAAGTCCTCCCGCCTCCCACTGCTGGATTTGCCGCCGGTCACGGTCAATCCAAGTCTCTTTCGTCGCATCGTGGCGCCCCTGGACTGCGGATATCTCCTTCACCCAGTGTTGGTGGCGCGCCACTGTCACCAGGACTGCAAGGTGCCAACTACAGATCGCCTCACTCACCTCGATTTAATTCCCTCTCTCATAATCGATATAGCTCAAACAACCCATTCACACCTGCAGCGGCAGGAGGGCCACCGCCACCGATGCAAACTCTTGAAATCTTTACAAAAAGTGATGAGTTTGGCCAGTGGAACTTTGCTCGGGTTGATGCTGTCAATAACATAGCGCCACCAGCTGCCAATCGGCCTATTAGCAGCTACGGGCTCGCGACAGATGTCAAGGGCCAAGGGTGGGACAGAGGCACTGCAAGACGCAGCATCATGGTTGGAAATGGTACTGGTGGTTTTTTGACACTCCCAGGTGCTTCGCCAGGTGAGGTTGCTGTCGCTGGTGACGAGTTCCCGCTGCCATTGCCTAGCATCCATGTTGATGATGGCGATGTGATGAGACCACGGAGTTACAGTAACAACTCACTACGTGCGGGACGAAGATGATGGAGTACGCTGTGCTTCGGCCGGGTTGGTTAAAGTTGGAAGATTAATGTGGACGCAAGTAATGGTAGATGACGGGACACTATTTTGAATGCGATGTAGGATATGCATCGGAAATTGATACAAATTTGTGCAACATGTACGAAAGGGTTTTCTTATCCAAGTGATTCTGTGATGGATGACAGTCTGCCAATTGTCAACCTGCTTGCAAACCTCTTTGGATTGAACTGTAAATGCGGACGCCTATCCAATGACCCAACTCCGGCCTATCAGATAACAGGTCCCTAATTGTGTTTATTGATCTGCGTTTACATTTACGCGCTTTGAATACCAGCTTCTCTGCCCGAAACTCGGGGTCAAAACGGCAAATTCTCCGATGATTGCAGAACCAAACTGTCTTGCTTGTGAAGAGGGTGTCTTACTTGACCGCAATGCAGATCGAACGATGACCAAGTTTTACACTGGGTGTGCGTACAATAGACACAAAGGGAGGGCAGCGCAGAAGAATTTTCCCCATCAGCTACTAAGAGAGGCTGGAATGCGCAAGACCTTCGCTTTCAGCTGCATGGACAGAGTGGCTATGCTGGCATCACACAATGCCATTTGGAAGATTAGGATAAATGGATAGTTGCGGTTGCTAGCAAATTATACTTTCTAGAAAATTGAGGTGGTCGGTTAACTGATAGTGAATATAAGCTGCATGATGCACAGCTTCACAGAGTGGTGTGCGTGTAAGACAGCGAAAAGGGCTTTATTTAGTGACGAAAAAGAAGACATGCAGAAAGCTTGTCTTGAGTATTCAAAGCACTGTGCTGTCAGATGATTGCTGGCAGAAAGGGCGTGGGAGGTTGGCCGGCAACCACGCCACCAGGCAAAAGGCTGCATTCCAGCCAATGCATTTTTTTTTATGGTCGCAAGTTTGGCTGGTGTAAGTCGGCCTCTCGCCTCACAGTGGGCGCCACAGTGCCGCGGCGGGTGAAAGTGGGGGGAGAGGCTGGGTCCCCTGTGGCTGGAGCCCGCAGAAAAGAAAAAAGGCTATTTCTATCTCTGGGGGAGCAGCACTGCTGTGGCTTGCATTGTGGGAAGAGCTGCCAGATTTCAGCCCCACCTACAGCAAGTAGCAGCGTACGGAGGAGTGACGCCATTGCCAATGCTTTTGCGGTGGGTGTTCGTAGCCGCCCGTTACAGGGCGAGGCCCAGCGGAGAGGCTGCATGAGAGCCAGTGGATTTGGCGACAACAGCTCAACACCAATCACTATATGATATGCTAACCGCCCGTAGTTGGCGTACGCGCCGAGCTCAAAAACAAAGGAAGAATTTTCTAATTTGACTGGGCATTGCATTGTTCCGTTCACGTACAAAACAAGCTAAATGGGTTCGCAGTTGGGCTTGCGTGGAATGTGGTCGTTCATTGTGCGCGAACGAACGAACGAACGAACCAGCCGGGCCTCGGACGTCAAGACCCAACAGAAAGGCGCTTCGCACTAGGGGCTTGAGACACATGCAGGATTGATACTTTTCGAGGACTTACGAACGTTTTGACGGCACTGTGCTTGCGAGTACCCTCTTGCTTTGCTTGCTTACCGGATAGACCCAAGGGAAGAATGAAACAGAAAAAGGGCAGAAGCCAAAGGCGGTGATGGAGGAAGTGTGTGCGTTATCGTAACGAATGCAAAACGGTAGTAACAAAAAGCAAAGAAAAAATCTTCGCTTTTGCGCAAAGCCCATTCCTCAGACGAGGGAGACGCGGCTCGAGGGCGGTGCCCAATGCAAGGGCTGCTTTGTTAAACTGGTGTTGGTGGCGGCTTTGTTCGCAGCCGCACGTCAATCAATCGCTCGTCGGATGGACAGCCCTTTGGTTTCGGTCTCAAAGCAACAGAACAGGTGTTGGGTGCTTTGTAGCCAATGCCATACAGAATACGTCTCAGTGACGTTTGAACCGTGCGCCGGGCGTTCGAGGCCAAGGCCGACTGTTGGACGACCCGCACGTTGTCATCCGTGCTCAGACGTTTTCTTTCTTAGACAATGACGTGCATATTGTAAAGTTGCATTTTTTCCCTCTAACCGTCTTAAAAATAACTATAGCCTTTTTTTTTTTTCGTTGTGAATAAGGCGCAATCGGTGACAAAAGGCAACAGCCCACCGTGATGGCCGCCACAAATCGCACAGTAAAAAGCAAATCGTCCCTCGTGGACCAAGCTAAAGTAAAAGGGTTGAAGTGCCCTGCAAGGACGATCAGGCACGGATACCACCCTCTGCAAAAGCCCCACGTGCCTGGTGCAGCGAACAGGTTGCACAAACTGCAGTAGTTCGTCCACTGTAAAAAGAAAAGAAATAGGCCCTGTATTAACCGCCTACAAAGTTCAGCGCAGGCTCCCATTTCTGCTACGAATTGTTACCAATTCTACAGTACTGCCGCACACCTTGGAACCAGGTGGGACACACAATGTAGATTTTGTATGTCACAGGTAGCTACTAATCCATTTGCACTGTACAAAAGGTGGGATCCTTTGACCGAAGGATCATGGTATTTTTTCTCGCTCTCTCGCCGCACAGCAGTGGTATTAGGACTCGCATGGGTGTAAGAAACAGGCTAAGCGTGGAGGATGGTGGAGTCCGCCATTGCTGGGCAGCGCGGCACTAAGTGCAGAGGATGACGCTAAAATCAGGGGCAGCAGAGATAGCGACTTGCAAAGCCGGAATCCAGCAGTCTCTTTTGCCGCTTAACGCCTTGGATTCGTCGGTGCTTTGCCGAATGTCGACGGCCGACTGCTACTCTTGAGAGTTACGCTCTTGATGGCAAGCTAGTCTCACTCTTCCCACTTCCCCCCGCCAAAGACATCTCGTGAGCATCGGCTGGACCGCCATGATTTATGCGTACCTTCCTATGACGATGATGCCAATTCATGCACTGTCGAAGAAACCACAGTTTGTAATCTTACTAGATCTCGTCATCTACAATGCCGATGGAGACAAGTAGACTACGAGCATATTATGCTCTGCAACGTATCACGCCAATAGAGGTTCGGTGACTGGGGTTTTATGGCTCGTCACAAAACTCGTCAGAGGGGCGAAAAGAACTCGGCCCAATGAGATGGCGTCGATCTGTCCCATCCACAGTTCTTGCTTAGTTAGGTTGCTGGCCAAAGCTCGACGGGCTGGGTTTTTGGTAGTCATCTGCCATGACGAAAGGTGACGGCGGGGCATCACGCACCAAGAAAAATTGGCGACTGCAGGCGGAAAGCTGAGAGTGCAACAGTGAGAAGCAGCTTGCTATTGGCTGTTTTTAACCCAGCCGATCTCTTGACCAGAGGGGCTGCTGCAGCCAGCAGTATGCCAGCAATAGCACACCTGGAGCGGACCAATCCAGGTGGCGCTCGTCTCGTATTGGCACCGCAGGCAGAAGCACACTGTATGAAAGGCTTTCGTATTCAAAGGAAGATAGGAACACCGACGTGAGGAGAGTTGAAAATTGAGTCAAGGACCTGTCCCCTTTGGAGGCGCAGCTCGTAGTGCATCACGCGTTTTGGACCAAGCAAGGGAGCGTTGAACAAAGGGCATTGTTCAGAGGCGTCACAGGAGGAAAAAAAGGAAAACCATGTAGCCGCCTTGATGGGCCACATGGCAGCAGCGGCTGTCAAAAACGATACGCCAGCTTTGGCGAAGAGCACTTTGTAAAGAGTAATTTCCAGCGCATCTTTCTTTTCTATGGCTTTCCTTTCAGCTGTAAGAGCTGCAGCGGCGTTAGCGCAGGCGAAAAAAATTGACCGACGCGGTGGTCTCGACGAATGCTTGGTTGTCTGAAACAGGTGCAGTTGCAAGAAAAACGGTGAGTGTGGTTGTTGGTGTGGCAGGCCGCCGGCCAACCAGGGTGCTTGGTTGGCGGCTTGGCCAGCAGCTCTGCCAGTAGCATGGCAGTGGCATGGCAGTGCGAGCAGACAATAGGCGGCGCAAGGGTGGATCTGAAGAAAGGAAAGAGCATGGGTGGAGAATCCCATAAGCCCCACATGGTCTCCTGGATGGGACTATGTGTACAGTGTGGATCGGGAAGGCTTTCGCACTGCTCTCCAAGTACCAGGCGCCGCCCCCAGTAACTGGCATGCCGCTCTGATAAACCTCCCGCCTCGCTTGTCCCACCATCCCATGCCATTCTCTCCATGCTCTTTTTCTTCCACGGGCATGCTTTCAGTGGTTTTCTTTTTTAATTATTTTGGAAAAAGAGAATAGCATCCTTTTAATTACCATCTGGTTGCCGTCTTTCGCTTATTCAACTAGTCTTTTTTCCCTTCTCTTCTATACCTTCCTTTTCACTCGTTTCATCCTTCCGCTCCCTCTGATACAAGTCTGCGACTCATTCTGTCTCGCCGCATTCCTCGCACCAACCGCACCCTCGACCATCGCCCTTGTTTGAACCACTCGCTACTTGTCTCGTCTACGAGGCCCCGGCTCCTCTTGAAATCTTTATTCTACCCGCCGTCGCTGCATACCTCCCACACCAGTCGTCATCATGGCGTCCCAAGTCGTCTCGCAGCACCAGGCAGATTCCATTCCAAACGCCTACCACACAGACCTGGAACAACCCGATCCAGCATCTGCCTCGTCTCCGTCTTATAACTCGGCTGGCGCCTCCGAGCTCCTCCACAACCAGCCTACAACCGTCCTACATAACTCCACAACCACCTCCCACCAGAAGCTAGACGGAAAGGTGGACATTGTCAACGACAGCGACGACATGCTTTCCGTAACCTCAACCCCAAGTGACTCGCCAGTCATGGATTCTACAACACCCAACGTCCCAGCTCTCCCAGCAAAGAGCAGAAGACGAGCTTCCCGCCTCTTGGCCACCCTGCCTGCCAAGTCCGAGATCGAGGACTGCCCTATCCTCACACACGCCGCACCCCATATCGTCTACCTCTCTTCCGAAGAGGATGCTTCCTCCTCTGCCGACGACTTCTCCGACTTTGAAGACCTCTCCGACAGCGAAGCCGCGAATAACTCTGGACGCCGTACAAGCCACGAAGACGTCGCCAGAGTCGTCAACGTCGTCTTTTCAGGAAAGCCCTCCATTGTCAACCTTCCTCCTCGATCCACATCACCCTCTACCGCCTCAACTTCCTCAACTACCTCTGAAGTCCGCCGCCCCAAGACATCCGCTGGCCCAGCTGATATGGGCTCTGCCCCTTCCCTGGCACGCACATTATCGATCAACTCGACAACCTCTGCCAGCACTGTTCGCCCAGTAAGCAGGCTTGGGTCTTTCGATATGCGTCGCCCTACCTTCCTCAAGCTCGACCCCTTTGCTGTCAAGCCCCATGCAGATGACTCTGAGCGCCCCAAGACGCCCAAGACACCTACTACCATGATCAAGCGCACTCTCAGCCTCGTTAGAAAGCGCAGCAAGCCATCCTTGAACCAAAGCTTCCGTGAGGGGGACTTCTCTCCCATGGAGCAGCTTGGCGAGGAAGAAGAGGACAAAGTCCCTACCCTCGAGAACCCCAGCATCAAGAGAAAGGCCACATCATCACCCGCCCCTGTTTCTCCATCTTCGCCAAAGAACTTCTTTGGAGGTCTATCCAAGGGCAGAAGAATGAGCATCAAGGCATAAGCTGTTCTCACTGGGATTTGATTTTATTCCGTGTCTTTTTTGTTTTGGTTTAGCGACGGCGTCTTCCTTTTGATTTTACAACTATCGAACCGGCACATACACTCGTTTATACACAACCACACTCATTCACATACCACCATCGCCACACTCATTTACACACTGCATCACTGCTTTCATATCGCGCAATAGGCGGCGCGACTCTGGACTTTACGTGGCCAACGAGCTACGGGATTGATGAACGAAGATTCTGTTCATGGCGTTTTTTTAAAGAATTCTCTCAGAGATTGTTTTGTTTCCTTCTGTTGCATTTTAACACCCAACCATTTTTAGTTGGGATGGCCTGGCATGGCAGTCCAGGCGGCTACGGGGCGTTTGTATAGGGACCTATTTTTAACTTGGGACTCGGGCTAAGAGTCGAAATTGTATAACTTTTTAGTTTTAGTATCATATTCAATGCAAGAATGTGCCTCTCTTCATTTTCTCAGTCCTTTCTGCCCGTTGTGTGATCTTGCCCTGTGCACGTGCGTCATCGTGAGGGACACCAGGTCCAAGCTGTCTGTGCGGTATCGCCTATCGTTGCTTTTTTACCTTTCTTGTTTTTTTTTTTTTTATTTTGTTTCTATTGTTATCACAGTAGCCCCGTCAAAGCGACGCAGAGCGCCTCATAGTGGCTAAAACTACTGCCAAAACAATGCACGGATTTGCTTTTGCGCTCTGCATGTTTCGTCGCCTCCAAGCCTCCGCGACATGCTTCATATCGTGATGATCGCACTTGGACAATGTCCATGCTAGCAGCATCCCTGTCGGCCTTGTTTGCACACAACTCAATTCTCATTTTAACTCTCCATACAGTACAGCTTTACAGTATGGAGCCGCCGCTGCACCTTACTGGACCCCTCCGCCGCCTCTGCTGAATATATTGGGCAAGCCGACGGCGAGGCTGCCACATATGGGTAGTGGCTTGAGAGTGTAATATCCGCCGTCGAACTAGTGCCTAGCCTCTCTACAGAAGACCGCTAGAAAGCGGCCTATACGGTGGCGCACAGGCACGAGGCCACTTTTGGTGCAGGCGAGGCTTGCTTTTACCCCTGATTGACATCTCCACCAGGTACGAGAAGAATAAAAGAAGAGCCCACTAGAAACCGACATGGGGTCCGAATAAATGACTAGAACCAATATAACATAGGGAGAGACAAAGTAAACAACAAAGACGATAAAAAAAGAAGACGATGAAGACGTGACGCGTCGACGTGATAGATTAACAAGAAGACGCGCAGAGAAACAGCGTAACGGTAGCAGCAGCCCTTCTTTTTTTATTAGAGATGACGATGCATCACCAACAGAACGACATCCTGCACTTTTAATTGGGAGTGGCAGCCGTTGCTACCGTCACATAGCTACGGGGGTAAGCGAGAAAGAACCTCAGACATATACTGTACAGTGGTACAGCAGCCTCCAGGAAGCCGTCGTTGATGGGTAGCAGTATGAGGCTGCCGCCCCAAGGTGTCATTGTTTCAATTACCCAGACTGACGTGCTTGTTTGCTTGCAACAGAACAGGTGCCCATTGTCATTACCACGGTGGCATGCCTAGCCCTTGCAACCGTTTCCCTCGAAGCAAATTAAACCCTGGATGGCAGCTCTCTCTTGTATCGCGCACAGTGTACCGTTTTGTGTGGCAAAGTACCTACCAGCTTCTGGAATCAAACAAAAATCCAATTTCCATGGGTGAGATTGCAAACATGTTGGGCTTCTAGCTTCTTGTCCGCCTCCGACGCAATGTGACCCTACGTACGGCCTCTCTTCTTTGCCACGGCCCGTCCTAATTACTCGCTTTTGCTCTGATATTACGCGGGGCGATTTCCTATCATCTTTTCTTACTGCAGCGGACTGCTGAATACAGCTAGCGGACCCGGCGAAACAGGGCGCAGAGGCCACCCAGCGCACAGCGACCCCTGCTTGTTGCGATTCGCCCCAGGCTGCGAATTGCGCCGGCAAATCCTCCACACATTACAGCCGCTGCTGCAAGAACCGCTTCCCGTTCTGGGACGGGCAGATGACGAGAAAGAGAGGTACACAGTGCATGCTGGACGCAGGCTTGATCTGCGCTGGGCTGGTGGGACGACGCTCAAGGTGTATGTGATTTAAACTTTGGGATGACGGAAGGGTCAGCCCATCAACGAGGTTAACTTGGGACACTAGGCAATAAGGTGTCAAGATGGCGGCACAAACTCAATCGTGCCGTAAAATCCCCCATAATTTAATGTTTGGATTGAGTCAGCGAAACGGTAAGATATGCGAACTTGACGACATGTGAATACCATATATCGTGACCCTGGCCCTGGTTTTGATGCCACCAGCAGATCACTAAGTTTTTAATCGTATCATCCGAGATCAAGCCACGGCCTACGATTACAGGGGATATGGCGATAAGATGGTAGCAAAAGGAGGAGTAGTTCAGATAACGCAGTCAACAAATACAAAACTCAATCCTCCACTAAGCGCAGTGTAAGACTGGCGGCACCCTCTCCAGACAGAATACTATAGCAATGAGCGCGGCAGTATAGCGAGCTAGACACGTATGGCGACTGTGAAAAGTTGAGGAAATAAAATAGATTCCAAAAGAGGACGATCAAAAAGATATGGACAACGCAAAAAACCAGCAGCAAAGAGTACAAGACATATGAAATAGTATATACCAGGCTAGCCCGTGCAGCCGCTGGTTTACTCAGTCGCAGGAGCTTGGGGCGAAGCGGCTGCCTTGTTGCGCAGGGTCAAGGGGAACGGGTACTCGTCGGGGTCTTCTTCGGCACTGTAGTTTGCTTAGAGTTAGCATTTGTTATAGAAAAAAAAGACTAGTGGGTTGTAACTTACGGGAGCTTCCAGGCAACGTAGTCCTCGGTGTCAAGACCTTCACGGCCTTCTTGGAGGCTGGCAAAGTCACCAGGCGTCATCATGCCAGAACGATCTCTGGGCGAGCCGGGCACCGAGAAGGGGCGCGAGATCTTCTGATCAGGTCCAGGAATGTAATCCTCCTCCTCTTCTTCGCCGCCAAATGAGTTGGGATAGGCGCGGCGGAGAGCGAGCTGGCGAGCCTTGACGTACTCCATGCCCATGCGCTTCCAGTCAAGCAGGTCACTCAGACGCTCAGTTCGGTTACGCTGGTTGATACGCTGGCGACGGCTCTTGCCGCAAAAGTCAAACATGTGCGAGGTTAGCTGGTTGACAGAGTCGTCGACACCCTTGGTTCTGCGGTCGACAATGTAGATACCATAGTCGCTCGAGTTCTCAATTAGCTCCTCCATGTAGCAACCAAAGCCCGAAAGGTTGGTCGTGATGCTGGGAACACCCATAACAGTGCACTCAGCAGGCGTGTAGCCCCACGGTTCGTAGTAAGAGGCAAAGATACCCATGTGGCAGCCGCGAACAAAGTCGTCATAATCCAGAGGCAGGACAGGGTTGGATGAGTTGAGGAATTCAGGGTGGAATACGACCTTGACTCTGTCACTGGGGTGGTTGAAGAGCTGAACACGGCGGATTTGGTTCAGGACAGGGTCCTCGTGGTCGTTGACCATGTTGTGGGTGACAATGGGAGGAAGACCGTGGCGCTTCATGGCGAAGAGACGGCGGCGCAAAAGCACGCGGTCCTGGCCAGAGATGAGCTCCTTCTCGTCAGGCATGGGGTCTCCATCCTTCCACTTCAGGGAGCGCTCAAACAAACGGCGGCCAATACCTTGCTCAATGACGTTGGTCGTATCGCGAAGAGACTTGATCACAGCCTGACCCTTGAGAGCTTCGACAGTAAGCGAGGTTGTCTTGGCGGGCATAATGATGAATGCGACAACGGTAATCTTGCTGCCAGCCGCCTTCAAGCGGTGGTTCAGACGGGCGAGAGACTCGATGAACATGTCGACACCCTTATTGCGGAACTCGTATCGACCGGCGGTAAAGAAGTAGAGAGTGTTGTCGGGTTCGAAGTCGTAGTGGCCGTAGAAGTGGCCGCGGACAAAGTCGTGGATCTTCTCCTTCGAGACCTGGTGCAAGTTTTGGAACTCGTGCATGGCCGAGAACTTGGTCACGTTGAGACCGTTGGGGAGAACGCCATCGGGCTTGCGCTTGAGTAGATGCTCAGACTCGAAAGCAGTAATGTGCGAAACGGTAGTGAAGACGTCACACGAGTGGGCAGCAGCACGCTCAATGCAGTAACGGTGGTAGATGCCTCGCTTGCCGGCCTCAGCGTCGACATCGAAATTCTGGAGGTTGTTGTAGAAGTCGACAGAGCCGGCGCAGAGGTATCGGCCGAGAAGAGTAGCGTGCGTGGTGAAAATGGTCGTCACATCGATACGGCGCTTCTTGCAGAGGGGCAAGCCAACACCAGCGAGCCACTCGTGGAAGTGGGCAATGACCGCTCTCTTCTTCTCGTGGCACATGAACTAGTTGCACAAATGTTAGAAAAGGGTACTACACTTGTACACAAAGTACCAAAATGGAAAACTCACTTCGCCAAGGAACCAGGCAACCAGGTAGCCAAAGACGATAGTCTCATTGGTCTCCTCGTCACCAGGGGGGGAGGGGATGCTCGCGACGTTCCACAAGTCGGCCTTCCACTCATCCATGTATCCATAGGCAGTCTTGGTATCAATGAGAAGGACACGAGGAGCTCCTTCTATGAGCCAGCGTCCATACATGATGCCAATGCCTCTCTCCTTCATGGAGTTTATCGTGGCAATGAGCTCGGGGCTAGTCGGCTCAATCTCTTCCACTTCGACTGCAGCCTGTTCATCTGTTAGCGGAAATGTATTCTAATTAGACTCTTTATAGCTTTCAACATACCGATTCGTGGTTTAGAGGGCCAATCAAGGTATATCTGTCACCATACTCGGCGGTCGTGACGGGGGCCTTGGACTTGATGACGGAGTAGATACCACCAACTGGGGAGGGAGGGAGCTAATTAGCACGACTGAAAATAGACATGTTTTTGAAAGGGGAGAAAAGAATGTACCTCGATGGGCTACCTCAGTGGCAATTTCAAAGAGGAGGTGGTTCTTGACATCGCGAACAGGCTTGGGCTCATCGGATGACGACATGGCTGCGACGATCGGAGTTTGTTTGCTTAGAACAGCACGGGTGCGCACGGCTCAGCTAGATTCTTGGGTGAAAATCGAACTGTCAATGCGTGCCAATTCGCAATTGAGATATTCCGGAGCTTCTCAGAGTGCTGATGGCGATGGTACTGTCGTAAGCTAAAAACAGGATTTGCCGCCGGCAAAGCTGTGTCGTTGGACGAAGGCGGAGGATGTCGCTAGAGGCAAGGAAATAGCCAGCTAGGAAGAAAGCCACAGAATATTCAGACAAATAAACAGCAGCCCGACTCGATGTGCAAGAAAAAAGAGAAACGGACAAGTTTGCGTTGTGGGAGCGAAGAAGTCCTGACGACGTCAGACGGAGAAGAGGAGACGGAGGGGAGGGGTTGGGACGGGACTCTTTTAGTTTCCAACGAGGCTTTGACACACAGCTTCCCAGCGGACTCGAGGTTGGTTTTTTTAGGCGACAGTGGCAGCTGTAACAAGAGCAACACGGCTGCAGCGCAGTGGAACCCGCCTGGAGATGGTGGGTCTGGGGCAGCGACAGCACCGAGCAGGGCCGCCAGTGGCCCAGAAGGCCTTGGCTAGTGCAGTCGCTAAGGGCAATTAGCGCTGTAAGCGTATGTGGCGCATGAGCTGGGTGGTGGTTGCGACCCTGGAAAAAGAGAAAGGGTATGGGTTTATTCAGGCAGGGCTGTGATTTTGCCAGCATTCTTTTTACTCTTCTTTTTTTTTGGTAGTCACATCAACACACACAAACTCTTCGCATGCGTCGCCAGCCCGACACCATCACCAGGTCGCGAGACCACCTGCAGCCAGGCCGACGCAGCGTGTGGCCCCCAGAAAATCCACTAAAACACCGCCTAGCAGACGCCAACAAATGGCTGGGGGGGGCCACACTGAGCCTTCATTGGCTCCCCCAACAAACCCCAGTTTGGCTCTGGTCCCCTTTCCCCTCACTTGTTGTCCTCAGGGTTCGTCATTCTGCAGCACGTACGTTAGTAACTTATTTCGCATTAGTGCATTGCTGTTGTAGCTTTGGTACGAACTGAGCTGCTGTTTGACTCGCCCGGGACATGGCCGGTAAACTGGTTTGCCTTGGTCAATACCCAGCCACAGAACTATCACCGCTGAGACAGCTACGGGACCCGGACATGGCGTCATGTCTAATGCAAGCCATGGGTACTGGTTAATCTTATCTTCTCTTGGAAGAATTTTCATTCTCGCCTCGCAGGTCTCTTGCCACAGCTTGCCTCTCACTCGTGCCGCGTCTTCGGTATTCCCGCATGGCTGGCTTCAACAGACTGAATGGTGGCGCTGATCTTGCCCCGCTACTATGACAGGTCTGGACTACACGGACCGGGTAAGCCGCTATCTGTTATCAGATAACGTTAAAGGAGACGGAGTGTGTGGCTAAAAAAGTATTTGTTTCACGTAGTTTGAAAATATGTCCAAAGGCAGAAACGGCATCAATCAGAGGACTGGGCTTGCTTCACATCGTGTAGGTCTCGCTACACACTGAAGCAACCCTTTCACTTCAGAAACATACATCGGGACATTTTTCATGGGATTCAGACTGCCGTTTTCCATCATGAAATTTCCATCTAGACTCAGATATTTATGAATATTTTTTTTTTCATATTATTTCCTATCTGAATTACATCTTGAGTTCTAGTAGACTCATAAAGCTGCGTAAAAATCCTTCAGCCTCGTCCCTGCCCACCGCTCATTGGCCACCGAGCTCACTGCGTCCCCCGCTGCGGAGCAAAACTTCGCAAGGCTGATGGTAGCGTTTGGCGGAAGCGAAAAAAAAAATTCGGTACTCAAACCTCAGCGAGCGCCATCACCGGAAACAGCCCGCCAGCACTTTCCCACGCGTTGACGAAACATCCGGGTCTGCATTATCCAATCAATAGACGCGGCCTCTACAGACTCGATAGTTTTGCACAAAACCTCTACAATGGATTCGTCGTCGGGTCAGGTGAAGGTCATTTTCACCACGAACGAGCCGGACCTCGTCCTGCCCGAGTCCAAGCAGCAGTTGCTCGTGCCCGCAGGTTCGTAACTCATTAGGTAAAATAATACACCGTATCTCTAACAGCAAACAGATATCAAGCGCTATGGCCTCTCTCGTATCCTCAACTCCGAGTCTATGCTCGACACCAGCTCCGCCGTCCCCCTCGACTTTCTCGCCAACGGAACCTTCCTCACCACGTCCATCGAAGACTACCTCTCACTCAATGGCCTGTCATCCGAATCTACTCTCACCCTGACCTACGTCCGGAGCTTGCTGCCTCCTGTTTACGAGGCAAGCTTCGAGCACGACGACTGGGTCGGCTCTGTTGACGTGCTTTCTGCCACCGCCCCGGCCGCAAAGGTCGCCGGCGACAAAGCCGTCAACGAGAGAGTCGCCAGTGCCTCGTACGATGGCCTCGTCAGAATATGGAACCCTTCAGGAGATGTTATTGCTACTTCTAGCTCTGCTCACTCTCTTCGCCTCAACGCAGTTAAGTGGCTTTCGCCCACCGCCCTAGCCTCCGCTGGCATGGACCGCAAGGTTGTTGTTTGGGACTATTCCGAGGCCGACGATGGCTTTTCTGGCTCTCTGAAGCCCAACATGGAGCTCTGGGGACACAAGAAAATCATTCACACAGTCGATGCCAACGTATCGACAAAGCGCATCTTGACTGCTTCTTCAGATGGCCAGATTGGTCTCTGGTCTACCTCGAAACGCACCGCTCCCCAGGCCGACCCTGAGAGCTTGCCCTCTGCTTATACTACAAAGAAGGCCAAGATCGCCGCATCTGCTTCGACTGCCCAGCGTGGCCCTCTTACCATGATCCCCGTTCACGACGACGTCGTCTCCGCTGCTATTTTCCACCCGAACGACTCTACAGTTGCGTATACAGCTTCGCAAGATCACACTGTCAAGACGGTGGACTTGACCACCCAGCGCGAGGTTTCCCGTTTAACCACAATGCATCCTCTTCTGTGCGCGGCGGCCTTGCCTGGACGTAACATTATTGCGGCTGGTTCCTCTGCGCGACACATTACCATTCTCGATCCTCGCGAGTCGGCCGCCTCCACCGCCGCCATGACCCTCCGTGGACACGTCAACATGGTCGTCTCAGTGGCCGCATCGCCGGAAAATGACTACTCCCTTGTGTCTGGTTCGCATGACAGCACTTGCCGCGTGTGGGATCTCCGCAGCGTCCGCCCTGCTACTGCTGAAGAGGGCGGCGGCAGCGTCTCCAGCGCCGTCTATACCATTGGCCGCGAGTGGCTTAAGAACAAGAAGCTTCCCGCTGCTGGTGACGGTGCCAAGGTTCTCAGCGTCGTCTGGGACAAGACTTGGGGTATTGTCAGTGGTGGTGAGGACAAGAAGGTACAGGTCAACAGAGGAAGAGGACTGCTTGCACAATAGATACTTTTTTTATTTGCATGTTCAGGAGTAAAACTTGTATATATACCATTAGATCTAACATTGAGTTGCAAACGTTGTGTGCTCCATCAGGACATTTGTCTGTTCGTGTGTTACTGTTCATCATCTTGTTGGCACGCTGCCAGTAGTTTTGCATACTTGGGCCCATCTGCAACACCGTCGTCCAACAAACTCAAAACTTCATCTCGAAGACGGGTTGGGTCGTAGGGCAACTCCTCCGTCAAGATAGAATCCAAAATATACCTAGTAACAGTGTTGAGTTTTAGCGGAGGGTCCCTCAAAAGCTCTGCCATTTCTTCCGGAGTTAGATTTTTGTTATGATACCACATGTAATAGGATCGCAGCGCCGCTCGCGGTGTCCGTACTTCCTTATTCGTTTTGTCTGCTCTGTACCCAATAGCTAGGTCATCTGCTGCAATTATTCTAGAATCACGATCATCGGGAGCAGACAAGCTGTTTGCTTTCGGCCGTTTTGGAGGCCGCTGTGGTGTTAATAGCATAGTAGAAGTATCCAAGCCAGCGTCTGTCGCAAGTTCATCGTCAGAAAGTTCGAGAAAATCATCGTCTGAGCTTGTTGCAAGATCCGGTAGCGGGATAGGACGGTTTAATTCTAAATGGAACGGCCTGTCAGGACAAGGATCAAGTCTGCGACGCTTGTCCTCCAACACATGATACAGCTGAATCCCAGCATATGCATCAGATGCAGAGTCTGTAATATACAACATTAGCTAGTATCAATAATTTGAGCCGCATACACTTACACTTGATCTGCTTTTCGTTTAATGCACGCGTCCAGTTACTTTCTCGCACTGACGGTCCTTTGTACATTGGCAACCGCAGTACTTCTTTGACCAGCGTTGCCAATGCAACAGGAACCTTATTGATTAGGTGCCGTTTCCCTTCTGGAAGGTACTTCACAACCTTATACAGGTGACCCAATTCAAATATGCCCCGTGTGGTGACGCCTAGCTTGTTTTTCATCCGGGTGCAGTCGCCAGCAATGTTGACGCCAACTTTGGATACTTCGGGATTTTCCATGATGGACCGAAATATTGGGCCAATGAAGTCATCTTTCTTGAAGAGGGCAATGTGGAAAAGACCAATCCGACTGGGGCTAGCCACTTGAATGAGAGACACAGTTTCTCGCGGCCCAGCACTGCGGGGTGCGTAGGCCATCCATTCCAGATCAAATCCCAGAACAGGCTCATTGAGGAAGTACTTTTGACACACTTGCTCCATTGTGTGCTTGCTGGTACAATAGTGTACTTTAACCTTCTCAAGCGCGCCGTCGTCGTTCAGCCTCTCATACATTGTATGAGACCAGAAAGATGCCGGTGATCCTGGCTCACATACACTTGCAAGATGAAATAGTCGATCCGACATATGAAATTGCAAATCGTGAGCTTTCTCAGCTGCGTTGTTCTCCTCTTTATCAACAGAACTCGTATTTTGGTCAACATTGGAGCTCGACACGGAGTCATTTAGAAGCTGTTGCTCAGAGAATGCTGCAGTTCTTTTCTGCTCTGGTAGGTTTCCACCTGCCTTGCTCAAGTCGTTGGCATACTTTGTTTCAGTGGATTGATGAAAATAACGAGACATGTCCAGAGTCGGGTAGAGCGTCGGTTCCTTTGGTTTGGGAGAGAATCTTATGCCATTTTGCGGGCTCCATAGTTGATTTGTAGGACTTTTGTTCATACTGCCACACGAAGTCAAAGGCCGCGATAATATCGAGAACGGAGCTCTAGGTCGTGAGTCTAGATGATTTACAGCAAACGTCCTGGTGCACGCAGCTTGACGATGCCGGAGCTTGGTCATGAATCTCAGGTCGTTTGTTGACACTGCAAGAACATACCCATGGCTGAGGCGACGTGCCAGCCAATGGATATACCCTTGAATCACGGTGTCTTGCTTTTAGGCATCAACCAAGCTAAAAGGCAGGCCGCAATAATTGGCCGGTGATGTAATACCAATCGTTGCGACGCGCCCATCGCGGCGCTGCGCTCTAAAAATCCTTAGTCATCATCGCGTGGGCACGTGCCTGGCAGCCAGCTAGTGGCCGCCGCTTTCGAGACTTCGACAGGCGCAAGCAGGGATCCTCTGGCGAATCAGTGAAATCCGACAGCTTAGAATTAACTCACAAAAATTCTTCTCAATACCTTTCCGAAATTCTATCGCCCCTTTTGCATTTCATTCCAACCGGTCCTCTGGCTGGTGTAATCATATAGCCCAGAATGGCCTCACAATTACTTCCTCTCGGTGCCGGTCTACCACATCACCTACTTTATCAAACTTGTTGCTAACATTGTCGCAGAGCTTATTGACAAGTGCGTCGGCTCAAAAATTTGGGTTGTTATGAAGGGAGAAAAAGGTTCGTTTCCTCGCTTTTCGTTTTGCTCTATTCGACTAACAGAATGTAGAATTCAGTGGCACTCTCGTCGGCTTCGACGACTATGTCAGTAAGTATATACACTCAGCTGGGATGAAACGTTTCAAGAGATTAACCCAATAATTTAGACATGGTATTAGAAGACGTTACCGAATTGTACGTTTCATCGTCTCTTGTCAAGAAGGCGCAACGCTAACTGATTTGTAGTGACTACTCCGGTAACCACACAAATCTCTCCAAGATCCTGCTGAACGGCAACAATATCTGCATGGTAAGGCAATGGAAGATATCCCAAGTACGTTTTGCTAACGATAGTTTAGTTGATTCCTGGTGGCGAAGGCCCTGGTGAAGCGACTGCATAATGACTTTATGAAACTCCAAAATAAAAGTAAAATAGAAAGGCAACATCAGGTGTGGAAGACTACAATGTATCAGGCTAGATTCAATTCGAGATGGCTGTCACTTAAATCAAGAGCAATGGGCATTCCAAATTGCGAGATACTAAACTTCTTTTGTCTGTGCAAGTCGAAGTATTATGTCATTTAAATTCATGTACGCTGGAAAATAGAGATCTAGCCTACTTTTCCATGAACCCTGGGTCTCCTAAAACGCCGAAAACATGATAACCGAACCCCGTCATTGATGCAATCAGTCCTACTTTTTCTTTACATACCACCGTTCTGCATATTTCCTTGGTCACCGGTATTGGTGATACGACGGAGTTCCCATTCGCGAGTAAAGTCCTGGTGGAGGGTCTCGAGTTGGTTGATGAGTTTCTCGCAGACAGAGATAAAGACGTCTCGTGGAGAGATGGTGCCATCGGTCTGTACACGAATGAACAAGTCAGGGACGTTGGGGTGAGCAACTGCAAAGGTTGGGTTAGTGGAAGTCTTGCAAACTGCATCTAGCAACAGAATCAACTTACTCTTGTAACCAGCCATGTAGACGTTGGGGTGCATCTTGATGTGTTCCGACAGCAAGTTTCCAAGCGTGTGGTCTTCCTTCTTCAAGATGAAGTCAGAGGTGTTTGACATCCCCGAGTAGACCTTCTCCTCAATCTTCTTGTCTCCATCGCCCAGCAAGAAAAGTTCGAAACTGTGTCTCAGTCAGCATAATGGCTCCAACCAGGGTCTTTGGTGGCATCACGGGTCATCTTGGAGGTTAAAGTGCTTTGGATTGCCGCCAGCCATTTTCGGTAAGTGCAGGTGTAGTAGGCTTTGGGGATTTGTAGGTATTCTTCAGCTGATTTAGGGTTGCTTGATGCCAAGTTGCTCTGGGGACTAGTGAGGGAGGTTGGCATGGCCAGATTCACTGGCTGCCAGCTCAATACGTTGCCAGCTGGCAGCTGAGCGGCAACAGTAACTGGTTCAGCACGGCAGCGAGATGTGTCAAATTGGCCTTTGGCGTTGGCATATCCTTCCAGCGGCCAATGCTGCCATCCCTCAGTTTGCGCACGTGGACTTCCAGGTGAAGCGTGGCTCGTGAATCTCAAACCAGTTGGGGCCTCCAACTAGACCAAGTCTTCGTCCAATGGCCTTGCATTCGCGAAGTACAGACGGCTTCGAACAAGAAGAAATAAAATATCAGGAATACTAACCGATCGGGCGCGTTCATGGTGAGAAATGGGCGAAGCTAAGATTTCTAGGTAGCAGGTGGTTGGAAGCTGACGAAGCAAGCGAATGTTGAAAGCAACTGAGTTGACTGCAGATGACCGCGATTGTAACCAGAAAGAAACCGAGTGTTGTAAAAAGCAAAATTTAAAGTGGAAGCAAAATATTTTAAATAGCCAAGGCTGAGGGGCGTGTGAGTAGGTGAGTTTGAAGTGATGCGAGTTGAAGTCGTAGTGAGGGTATCGCGCGAAAGGCTAATGGTCGGAAAAATTGCCACCTACTAAAGCGCGGGATAGGGGACCTAATATCGCGAAAGTTTAGAGCCGCGCCAGCGCCTTCAGGTCCCAAATGGGGAACTGCCAAACCACCATCTTCTTAAATCTCTATAAATTATGTAAATTTATTCCCGAAGCAGGCAATGCCTCGAATACCACCATGTCTATTTCGAAAGGCATCCCGAATCTCTCCCCACGCTGCCACACTCCTCCCGATTTGCAGGGACTTGCCCTCAGCGCTCGCTGAGTTGAGATGGATCAGGCAACATGTGCACCAGCTTGCACCGGGAAATGATACTGCAAAATCAAATCTCTTAATTTCAAAACTCTGTCACCGGCGAGGTCGAGGTGTGCCGTTACAATACGTACTGCAAACGCAGGAGTTTGGTCCCCTACTGATTAAGTGTCGGCCTGGTGTCTTGGTTCCGAGACCCGAAACAGAAGCATACAGCTTCTATTTATCCAATCTTATTTCACGCCAAATACGAAAGGATACCAGAGAATACGGAGGCTCCGGTTCTTGCAATATACTTGACCTGTGTACCGGCACTGGCTGTATCCCGCTTCTCTTGTTCGCCCTGTTACAAAGGCGCACCTCATCTCTCAAAGTCCATGGCGTCGACATATCTCCAGTGGCTACGGCATTGTCCAATAAAAACATGCTGTTTAACCAAACCCTTGGGCATCTTCCAATACCAGCGCACGGACAATCTATAAGCTTTTCTCAGGACGACATCTTTGACGACGAACAAATGTCCCACAGTCTCGCTCAGCGCTGGGACGTGCTGGTTTCAAATCCACCATATATATCCCGAGACGTTTGGAATCATGGGAAGGGTCAATTGGGTTATTCGGTGCGCAAGTATGAACCACGACTGGCGTTGGTTCCCAGAGATGATATACCAGTGCCATCCGGATGGCGTCACGAGGACGCGTTCTATGCTCGGCTCTTTGATATAGCTAACATCATCCAACCAAAAATCGTGGTTTTGGAAATTGGTGATGCTGATCAAGCTTGGAGAGTCATTCAACAAATCTTATTACACCCTACCTCTAGCAATTGGGTTGTCGAAGCGTGGAGAGATCAACCAGACTTTCACTCTGTACCTGATGAGGAAAACGAAATGATGTTTCATAGACTTGACGGAGAACCAGCTACGATTCGAATAAGGGGAACGGGCAATATTCGGTCCGTAGTGTTGACAGCAGCCTGAAATGTTGCTTTGTATCATATATTGTATATTATGCATAACGAATTGTGTATCCTAGGTTCTTAGTTGATTGTGTCAGAAATTCATCCTAATGTCTACCGCCACCAGCCAGCAGGTCCAGGAATAACCAAAAGATTATAAAATATCTAATATGGAATATTACCAAAGGAAAATACCAATCAAATTGATAGAATGATAATCGATGAAAAATAATAATAATAACAATATTATTTATTTTATAGAAGCTGTAGGCACTTGAGCTGACGACCACCTACCTGATACCCGCCACCCTATAACCCGCGTCACGTGCACCGGCCACCCAGAACGGCGCCGCTAGGAGTTGCGCCCGGAAGCTTCCAGCTTTTCGAATATCCGCATGTCGACTTAACTCCGTACACGCTCACTCCGTCGCGGCAATTCCTTTACCACCAAAGGCTGCGTACGCCAATCGAAGAACGGAACTGACTCTGAGTTGCGTAACTGCTAATTCATTGCAGCTCATGAGATAAGCACTCGCTGCTCTTCGCTCATCGTCCAGTCTTCCTTGCCTGACGAGGTGCCGTGAGTTCCGCCAACTCCGCATCATCACCCATCATGTCAAGACTTCTCCGACAAACGGGCCAGCTCTCGAGGCTGGTTCGGATCACCCAAACTACAACTATACAACGCAGCTTAAAGGCCGCCGTCGCCGCGCGAGCTGCAGCACCCTATTTTGCAATCCCTGCCAGACCCAACCAAGTGCTCTTCTATTCTTCGAATACGCCCAAGCCCGAAGACGATCGAAAGGCAGAGAGCAAGACACCCGAAGAAAGCAAACCCAAGTCCACAGAAGCAGAGACACCGGCAACTGAAGAGTCCAAGGTCAAACTAGCGCCCCTTCTCCCTGGCTGGGTACGCTTAACCAAGGATGAGATTGATCAACTGGCTGCATACCAAGATCGCCTGCCTGATGGCCAAAAAGAGTTTCTTACGGATGCCTTGAGTGCGCTGAGCGAAATTGGTGCCCCAGAAGATCTGCGTTCTTTCCTCCAGAAGCTGAAGAAGGGTCCGGGCCATATCGGTATTCTGGACAGAGGCCGCCTCCTTCGATCTGTCTTCCAAGTAGCCGAGCGAATGGCTTGGTGGGAAGTAGAGAAGAAGAAGACCAGTGGTGAAATGTTTACACAAAACGATCAGCCAACCGACCAAAATGCCAACGCTGAGAACAGCAGTAGTGCCAACAACAACTCCGGAAACAACCAGGGCCAACAGTCCTCTGGACAAAATTCGAACCAAACGCCACCCCCCAACCCGCCAAAGAACCCGATCATGGATATCATTCAAACTACAATTGTCCTCGGTATCACGCTATGGGCCTTCAACAGCTTGACTAGCCCTGCCAGCCAGACTGAGATTACTTGGCAGGAGATGCGCAAGAACTTCTTGGACAAGGGTCTGGTTAAGAAATTTGTTGTTATCAACGGTACTAAGGTTCAGGTCGAGCTGCGATCCAGCAGTGAAGGTGTCTCTGACTCAGGCGAGAGAAAGTCGTACACATTTACCATTGGCTCTGTGGAGTCGTTCGAGCGCAAGCTTGATCAGGCACAGAGCGAACTCGGTATTCCTTCGGCAGAGAGAATCCCTGTCAGCTATGAAAGCGGTGGCAGCACCCTCGGTAATATCCTGCTCGCCTTTGGTCCCACGCTTCTTATTGTTGGCTTGATTCTCTACAGCCAGCGCAGCATGGGAGGTCGCGGTGGCGCAGGTGGTATGTTCAACTTTGGCAAGAGCCGTGCGAAGAAGTTCAACGCCGAAAACTCTGTTAAGGTCAAGTTTGCCGACGTTGCTGGCATGGAGGAGGCAAAGACAGAAATCATGGAGTTTGTCAGCTTCCTGAAGCAGCCGGAGAAGTTTGAGAAACTCGGAGCCAAGATTCCTCGAGGTGCTATTCTTGCAGGACCCCCTGGTACTGGTAAGACCCTCCTGGCTAAGGCTACTGCCGGCGAGTCTGGTGTTCCTTTCTTCAGTGTCAGCGGTTCGGAGTTTGTGGAAATGTTTGTTGGTGTTGGTCCGTCCCGAGTGCGTGACCTCTTTGCCGAAGGCCGCAAGAACGCGCCTTGCATTATTTTCATTGATGAAATCGACGCCATTGGCCGAGCTCGTCAGGAGAGCCGTGGTTTTGGCGGCAACGACGAACGTGAAGCTACTCTGAACCAGATTTTGACTGAAATGGATGGCTTCAACACTAGAGAGCAAGTCGTTGTTCTTGCTGGTACCAATAGAGCCGATATTCTTGACAAGGCTCTGATGCGTCCTGGCCGTTTTGACAGACACATCTACATTGACCGTCCCACAATGAGCGGACGTAAGGAGATCTTCAAGGTCTACTTGAACAAGATTGTCACCAACGAGGACCATGAACATCTGGTTGGACGCCTGGCCACGCTTACTCCCGGCTTCTCTGGTGCGGATATTGCTAACGTGGTGAATGAGGCTGCCCTCATTGCTGCCCGTGGTAATGCCGACGACGTGAAGATGGAGCACTTTGAGCGCGCCATCGAAAGAGTGATTGGTGGCCTTGAACGCAAGTCGCTGGTGCTTAAGCCTGAGGAGAAGAAGACTGTCGCCTACCATGAGGCTGGCCACGCCATCTGCGGTTGGTTCCTCCAACACGCTGACCCTCTTCTCAAGGTGTCCATCATTCCCCGTGGCCAGGGTGCCCTTGGCTATGCCCAATATCTACCCCAGGATGCCTATCTGATGAACGTCAACCAGCTCATGGACCGCATGGCCATGACAATGGGTGGCCGTGTTTCTGAAGAGATGCACTTCCCTACCGTTACAACTGGCGCTAGCGATGATTTCAAGAAGGTATCCGACATGGCGCGCAACATGGTTACTCAATGGGGCATGTCCGAAAAGGTTGGCCCTATTCACTTTGAAAACGACCCCAACCGCGTTCAGAAGCCGTTCGCAGAGTCTACAGCCCAGCAGATTGACCAAGAAGTACACCGTATTGTGGACGAAGCATACAAGCGATGCAAAGATCTTCTCATGGAGAAGAAGAAGGAAGTTGGCATTATTGCCCAGGAGCTGTTGAAGAAGGAAGTCCTTGTCCGTGATGACATGGTCCGCCTTCTTGGTAAGCGTCCTTTCGACGATAATGCGGAATTCGAAAAGTACTTTGGCGGCAGCAAGGAGGAGAGCTCACCACCTCCCTTCCCTCACGATCCCCCAACCACACCCCCTGCCCCTGCTTTCAAGGACCTGTCTTGAAGCTGCGGCTATGCGCTTGATGCGTAATATACATACAGCAAAACCTTGTAAATCAAAAAGGTGCGCCGATATACAAAACAAACAAAAAGGAAGAAGACAATGGGGGACGTGGAGAGTGGGATGAAAGCGAGGGAACCATAGCCGTATGCCCCTCCGTGTATTATGTACAGTATTTTGAGCAAATTCCTGGTGTTGGATGGTATCATCAGGGGTTATTTTTCTTATTTATGTCCTTTTCTTTGTTATAGACCTGCGGATTATCAACATCTGAGTAGCGAATGAAAACACTCGACTTATCCAGAATATAAAATAGAACAATGATTAACTATAGTTATTTCCTTATAATAAAACTATGATGTCATATTGCGCCTGTTGCGCCTGTTATAGCCGCCATCATTAGGGTCTCTGTACTGCAAGTTAGTTGCCTGTCTACCGACGCTCTAAATTAGTGATCACGTTTTGTGGATCGTCATCACTATCAGCAAAACGCGGGCTGGTAAACTTTGTCTGCGACGCGAACGTCAATCATACCGTCACTGCGTTTCTACGTTAAAAATTGAATGCGGGACGAGTCAATCCTAACTATTATCTATTCAATGAGCCTATGATAAATATAGCAAATAACCCTCAGCGTTGCGATGGAAGGGTCTAACGAGGAGGCAATCCTCCCTGTCTCGCAGCACCAATCCAGTGCTGTGAGGAAGCGTCGCTTATCATCCAGGAAAAATGAAACAGAAACATGTCAAAATTCGGGATCAAGAGACATGAAACCTCAGAGACAAGACGCCTGGTGGAACGTTCACCTCTTTCGCGGAATGATTGACGACGTTCGCCGACGCGCGCCGTACTATGTCAGCGACTGGCTCGATGCCTGGGATTATCGAATCATTCCTGCTACAGTATACATGTACTTTGCAAAGTGAGTCCTTAAAACTTGTTCAATGGCTTCCACAGCAGTTATCTGGAGTAAAATACTAACAACGCCTGCTGAATAGCATCTTGCCGGCACTTGCTTTCTCTCTTGACATGTTTCAGAATACAGGGTCAAATTACGGAGTGAATGAAGTCCTCTTAGCATCTGTACTCGGTTCTGTCGTCTTTTCGATATTTGCGGCCCAGCCGCTTGTTATCGTGGGCGTCACGGGCCCTATCACTGTTTTTAACTACACCGTCTATGACATCATGAAGCCAACCGGAGTTAATTACATTGGATTCATGGCATGGATTGGAATGTAAGATGAAGATTTCTGAAATTCAAACCACTTTATTAACGGCTTGCAGATGGTCACTTATACTCCATTGGATTCTCGCCGCTACAAACTCGTGCAACTGGCTCCGCTGGGTTACTCGATTCCCTTGTGACATCTTTGGCTTCTACGTCGCCTTTATCTACTTGCAAAAAGGAGTTCAAGTTTTGGAGCGGTTGGGTGATGAACGGGCATTCTATCTATCAATTGTTGCGGCGCTGTTGGTTTTCATGGCGGCCTATATCTGTGGCGAGCTAGGCACCGGCAGTCTTTTCCGACATCCCATACGAGTTTTCCTGAAAGATTACGGCACGCCTCTTACGATCGTATTCTTTACCGGTTTTGTGCATATCGGTCGTATGCGGGATGTCCAGTTGGAAGTTCTCCCCACAAGCACAGCATTCTTCCCAACGAGTGATCGGAACTGGCTCGTTGACTTTTGGAATCTTAGCGTTGGCGAAGTTTTTATGGCGCTTCCATTCGCTATTCTATTAACAATCCTTTTCTGGTTTGATCACAACGGTCTGTAATCTATTGCGTCTATTTATCTCCCATTTACTAACAAATGACGTAGTGTCTTCTCTTATCGCTCAAGGTAGTGAATTTCCACTACGGAAGCCGGCGGGTTTCCACTGGGACCTCTTCCTTCTTGGCGTTACTACAGGAGTTGCAGGCATATTGGGACTACCGTATCCGAATGGGCTCATACCACAGGCCCCATTCCACACGGAATCACTTTGTGTTACAAAGCCTGTCAAGGAGGTCGACGAGAAGGGGGAGCATAAAGGCGGTTATTCTTTCGAAGCAACTCATGTGGTTGAGCAACGAGTGTCTAATCTCGCCCAAGGTCTTCTTACTCTTGGAACAATGACTAGACCATTGCTAACCGTTCTTCATCTTGTGCCTCATGGCGTCCTTGCTGGCCTGTTCTTCATCATGGGAATACAGGCGCTTGAGGCCAATGGCATCACGTCTAAGCTCATTTTCCTTTTCCGCGACCATAATCTAACACCACCGAATGCACCGTTGCTACAGATCAAAAGACACTTCGCCATATGGTGGTTTGTCTTGATTGAAATCGTTGGCTTCGCAGCTACTTTTGCCATTACTCAAACCATCGCCGCTGTCGGCTTCCCGGTATTTATCTTGGCTCTTATACCGATTCGCGCCCTGCTGCTACCGAAGTTATTCACTTCGGAAGAGCTTGCCCTGCTCGACGCGCCTACAGCATCAGACTTTACTATGGAGGGCATTGGAGGTGCCTGGGGCGGCGACAAGGATGGTCTTCAAGAAGGGGGCCAAATGGATATCGGTATGGCACCTTTAAGCAGATCAGCATCTCAGGCAACGTCGCGCTCAAATGCTCTCTCTCGACCCCAGCATCGAGATAGTGTTTTTGCTTCACCAGGAAGCCCTCGCAAGAGTCAGGAAGATTTGGCAGAGCTTGGCCAGATTCCCAGTGGCCAAAGCACAACTACAAGACGAAGGACTGCTAGCAATGCTACCAGCCGACGTGGCTCCCTACCATGTTAAATAATCAGTCGAGTTACGCAGTACATTAATGGTTATACTGTGCTATACAGTGAGTAAACAAAAGTTACAAGTAGTCTATATTTCAACAAACGTATTCCAAATCTATATTTACACAACCTTTATATGTAACAATCATCTAAAAACTCGATACATATTACGTATTTTTATCGTACACAATATTCTACAAAGATTGATAAAACCTGTAATTTTACAATATAATCAAAGAATACTTGAAACATTGACCAAAAACAAGTTTACCTGTAACTGTTGCTTACTCACTGTAGAACATATTCTACGTAAGTTAGCGTGGGTCACGGGTGAGTGACACACCCTTCCCGACCCTAGCCTATAAAAAATAGTGCATCAACTCCAAATACAATTAAAAATAGAAAATCTAATCTAAGCTATCTGAAGAAATAGAATCCACTTCATTTTCACATGTTCTAGAATTATGTCCTATTTCGCCGCATTTTCCACAGCGTCTACGCCGTGTTTCCACCCGCTTCCGTCGACCCGTACTTTCAACTTCATCGCGTTCTCTTTTTACCCTAGAAGGGGTTTGAGAGGCTAGATTTTTGCCAGAATCTACTGTAAGTGTTCTTCCACTCTGTAGTTGTCTTTTTGTGACGCGTTTCCGGCGTGAGAGTCGGTTGTTAGCCTCTCGTAGCATGCGGTTTTCACCTTGTAAAAGCGCATTCTTCCGCATCATACTAGTAGTACACTTTACAATTTGATTCAAATTCTCGATAATTTCAGCTGGGGAGCTGGCTCGATGGTTTCGGATCCTTTTTTCAATATATTCTGTTTGCGATAGAGCTTCGGTTGTGTTGCTAGGTGTTTTGGGAAGCCAAGGTAGCTCGAGCCCAGCTGATGATCCGGGAGGCGAAGGTGTTAAGAACTTCGTATCTAATTGTGAAATCACATATTCTGGGTCGAATGGAACAAGCTCAGCTTCTCTGAAACCTCCTAGAATATTCGATTCAGTCATAGCAGCCTTGTGTGCTGCGTAAAGAGCTGGGAAGAATTCTTCTTTAGTAATATGGGTAATGTATGCGCGCATAAGATCACTAATTGTATCACCATATGCTTGTTTTAGAGGTCCAAAACAGGCTACATCGAGCGGCTGAAGCTTATGTGACGTATGGGACGGCATACATAATGTAATTATATCGTTTTGCTGGCAATATAGCTGAAAATCCGTCGATTGATGACTTTCGTGTCCATCAAGAATTAGAAGCCGATATTTGCCTTTTTTTTGCTTAATTGTATACTTTTGAAAATGATAGAGCCAATATAAGCATCTCTCATTCGTATTCCAGCCATTTTCAGTAACACCAATCGCCCGATTGCTGGGCAATGGGCTATTTTCGTACCAAGACGAGAGGTGGGTTTTGCCTGCGACGATGACGAAAGGCGGAACGGAATCACATAGCCACCTGCACTGATGCATTCAAGCAAAGTCACCCATTGTTTATTTCCTTGTTATGCTTTGCGCCCCTTTTGAGATCTTTCTGAGCTCGTTACAACCATTTCCGATGAAATCACGCCCATTGCAAAGCTAGTCTCGTCAAAGTTGTAAATATCCGCTTCGTATATGCTATATTTCGCGATTGTGTTCTTTACAAGCTCAAACCAGGCTCGATATTTATCTGGATCTTCGCATTGGACTCTTTGATAGTCGATTTGACGTGATAAACGCATGACGACTTCGGGGTGTCGTCTAATGAAGCTTGTAACCCAGTTCCGTCCAACTGGAATGTCGTGACTTAGCTCCAACAAGCGATTAGCCATAGCTTCAACGTCACGCAAGCGAGGAGGCTGATCTCGGGAATGGAGGTCAAAAATATATTCTATTATTGTATTTTCTTCTTCATCTGACAATTTTCGACAATTTGGGGTTGTATCAGCTCGGCAAGGGGTTTTGTTGCGTCGGCGTCGTAGCGTTGCTTCCGACACGCTACAGACTCGAGCAGCTTCTCGGACAGATAATTTTGGATCTGTTGCTAAAGCTTGTATAGCAGAGATAACATTAGCTTCAATTGACGACTATCGCATTTTCTATTGTTGTGGTATGATGATTTAAAGATGATCAATTAAAAAATGACGCGAGGTGCGTCACTCGCCCGTGACCCACGTTATACCATATTATATATATATATATATATATATATATATATACTTATATTGGCTCCTATAGTGTAAATGCTAATTTCCCAATGCTAAATCCTCAAACGCCAACCCTCTCAACCCGAAGTGAACACTTATTCATCATCATCACTATCAATTACGAAACCACCACGTACTCTTGGACGTCTTGCCGTTAAGGGAGCTTCATCATCATCTTCTCCTGCATTCTTAGAGATGTCGTCTGCGTCCTGCATCGTTGCATCTGCATCTACAGCGGCGTCATCTTCGTCTGGGCTTAGTCGCCTGCGCTTCCGGCTCTCATCTTCACTTTGCTCGACTGGAGTGTTGTCGGTTTCACTCGCATCCACCGATTCTTGGCTGCTCAATGCCTTGTGCCCGGAGCTCTCTTGGCCGTCTCTATCATCCAGATCGTCGTCTGATTCAGAATCATTTGTCTCTTGTGTCAAAGCCATCGACTTGCGCTTCTTAGTTGCTGTGGCGGTCGTTGGGATATCCATGTAATTCGTATGAGCAGATTGGGCAGCTGCTTCAGCACGAGCTTTAATAGCCCGTTCCCTTGCAAAGAATTCTTCATCTTCTTCCGAATCAAACTCATCATCACCGTCTTTGACAAACAGAGCAGACTTGATTTTGGAGGCCTTTTCGCGTTCGCGTTCGCGACGCTTTTGAGCCCTCTCTTCCAAGACACTGTCATCGATTTCTTGGCTACCACGACGCTTGCGTCTCGTCTTCTTGGTAGCCGGTCTGTCCTCGTCGATCGCCTTGCGTGCAGTAGGACCACCGGGGGCAAAGATACCATCATCGAGAAAGTCACCCATGTCATCTCCATTATCATCGTCAAAGTCGGCCTTTTTGCGCGGTGCTGATTTGCGTTTGAGTTGCTGCTCGGCGGAACTGCCATCTTCAAAAGTGGGAGGAGAGAATTCCGCCTGGCTAATGAAGTGTAGGGAATCCTTCAAGTGGTCGGCAGTAATATCGGACGGAATAATCCATACCGTTTCTGGGCTCTCTTCGATTTGGTCTCGTTCACAACCACAGAGAGTCATAAGTAGACGCAAGTGCGAGTTTTTGAAAATGGCGGTCTTGCGCTCCGCGGTATCGGATTGCACGTCTGCAATCCACGTTAGCTACAGGCTATTTATCAGTCATACCATGAAACTTACATATTAATGGCGACTTCTTCGGCTCAGCCGCGTTAGCACCTTCGTCATCTTCAACAAACGAATCAGCCAAAGCATCGTTGGCTGCAGCCCATGAACGCCTCTCTGATTCGGCGTCGGCTACAATGTTCTTCATCCACCCGATGTGGTCTGTTTGGTTTTTATCAATCATGGCACCGATGACAATGGCTATCTGGCGATCACGCTCCTCCGTATTCTTGAACACCAGTTCAGTGGCAGGCTTCGCTTGAGCTTTGGTTGAAGTAGTTTGCTTCTCGAAGCCATACTCGAGGAAGAATGCAGTGCTACTACTTTTGCTGAAGAGCATTTCCACGAGTGTTTCGGGACGTTCCTCTATCTTTTTGACACAGCGGCGCAGGATTTGCTTCACAAGCTCTTCCCAATCTTTGAACATTGGGTTCGACTTGTCTAGCGCATCAGTCCCCTTTATCATGGTGTAAAATAGACGAATCAGGTCCACACGAAACAACATGACAACCATATCCTGCTTGAAAGCAAGACGATAGAAGTATCTGTGCGCACGTTTCAGTTGCACGCTGTTGAGCTCTTGATAGTATTTCAAGAAAGTCGCGAAAGTGTCAACTGCGCCCTGAGGAGTAAACTTCACAGCAAATCGCTTGAAGTCGAACGTTCGCTCTTTGGATATGCGCTCCACACTAGGTTCATCCTCACCAGAGTCATCATTGGCGGCACCATTGTCATCAGCAGCCTGATCCTTTGTCTTTTGCCGAGCCCGTCTGCGAGATCGAATTTGCATTTCGGCGTTTTGTTTTGAGTACTGCTCCAATGTTCGCAAGAAATGGTGGCAAAGTTCAGTGGCAGCATCTAGATACTCGAAGCTTTGGTCTTTATAAGTCCTTACAATGTTGGCTACCATATCCTGTGTTGCTTCTTCATAAAACAGTCGGCTCAAGACGTTTTCAGCGATGTCCTTATCGTCATCCGTCCCTTGTTCTGACATCTCTTGAACAGTTTGAAGAATCTGTGTAAAGCAGCGCATGACAGCTGCAAGCTCCGCCCAGTCTTTGAATTCATACGAATCATGCAAAGCTTTATTCAGAGTAATAAACATTTCTTGGTTCAACACACCCGCCACCAGGTTGAAACTACCGACCTCTTCGCTTGGCTTTTGTTTATTGGCGGCTGCATTCTTCCTTCTATAACGCTCGGCTTCGAGGAACCAGGCGACCAGGTAGAAGAATTGGCGACGGTTCTGCTGCATCAAATGCGATGCTTCACGGTCTATTGTACGACGAACGTGCGAAAAAAGAGGATTGAAACCAGAATCAAGAAATTCTTCAACAAATTGGCGAAGCTGTTTTCTCGCGCTAGCTGTCAGAGGCGCTGGAAGGCCCAGATCGCGTTCGTCCTTGTTGTCTTTTCTTTGGCGTTTTGGAGGTCTGTATGTTTTTGATTCATCCATCTTCTTGTTTCTGACGGAAGCATCGGCGAGAGCATCTTGGCCCGATAGCGAGCTCATTTTGCCGTCTTCGCGCTGAACCCAGATCATGGTACCAAAACGGTTGTGTCGTGTCGGGCCTTTGCGGTTATATGCTTTGAGCATTGAGTCTTCCTTGTGCATCATTGATGATAGTTCGGTCGCCTTGGCCTTGCTTAGCTGCTGCTCATCCATAAAAAAGCGTTCGATGTCAACTTGTTTTACCAAATGGTATATGATTTCCATGACGATGGTGTCTTCAGTACGGAAATCATCGCCCATGTTGGATGACAAGGTAAGGAGGAACATAAGGATATCTTGGTAGGAGAATGCATCAATGGTAGCAGATCGAGAGACTTGCGACTCATCTCCTTCAAACTGCATGTCTGCCGCAGGGTTAATCAAGGCGATATTGCGGAGGAAGAAGAGGACTAGTTTAATAACACCCTGATCACGAGTCGATCTGTCGCCACTGGGTATGGCTATTGCTGGCAACGCAGCTCTAACAGCAGCATGTAGGATTCTGGAGCCATCAAAGTTTATAATAGCTCTCTTGTATTGGACTTGAGCCAGCTCAAGCACAGGTGTATGGCGATGGTGGTTGATAGTCATTGTCTCGCGATCCTTTTCGATAGGCCATGTCAAGGGTACCATCAGCTCGAAACAGGAGAGGGCTATGCGTGATCGGAATTTATTTTCTGTCGAATTCTCTCCCCATGTCGCCAGTATGGGAAGTAGATCGCCTTCGATTAAGTTTGCTTCAAGGATGCAGCGGGCAACGTCCATACGGTTCGTTTTTTCGTCGTAGAAGCGAATCCATCGTTTGAGATCGCGAAGAACCTCTAACGCATCGTCACCTAATTGGTATTTTCCGTCGTCATCTGGATTGATACCACCGAGCTGGTCTTGTTAGCACGGCGTAGGCATGAAGTAACAAATTGTCTGGACTTACAGCAGATACTAAGCTTGTAATATGTGCCCGGACTTCGGGATGGACAATGTCCACAGTACCATCAGCCAACTCCATGATGGGCGAATTTCTCACAATAAGCAATGTGCCTGGATGGCGCTCCAATGGTGTTTTTAGGCGGACGCTGGCAAACAATGTTGCTGCTTTGATACTGTACAATGTGAATGTATGCTAGATGGGGCATCTGGTACGCGACGGAGACGCGTCGGCGCAGCTGCTTTCACTCGGAGTGGCGCGTTAAGTGATTTGAGCCACAGTGGTGTGTGGCGGTCCGGCTTAGCGTGGCTCGTTACGCTCCAAGACCGAGGTTACCCGCAATTGACCTTACCCATCACGACGCCTGGCGAGCTAACCAGCGACATTTTCCATTTCGCATCGCCAATCGCCAATTGCGAACAAAAAATTAGACACAATGACATCAGCACTCCTCCGTATGCACGCATTGAATGCTGCGCGCCAGGCGCGCTCCTTCAGCTCGTCACCTCGCATGTACGCTGCCCAAGTCAACAAGGTCGGCGTTATCGGCGCTGGCCAGATGGTACGAATCCGCAGACTAAACCGCACGTGGCTACTGCTAATCTCGAGCTGATAGGGTCTCGGTATTGCTCTCGTAGTGGCCCAGAAGGCTGGTGTGCCCGTCACCTTGGTTGATACTTCCGACAAGGCTTTGGCCAAGGGTATTGCCTTTGCAGGTAAATCGGAAAGTAGTGATATGCTGGCGGATTGACTAGCTGACATGTCAATATAGAGAAGCTTCTGGCGAAGGATGTGACAAAGCAGAGAATTACACAGGAGCAGGCTGATACGGCTCGGTCTATGTTGAGCACAACAACGGCAATGGAAGACCTGTCGACTGTTGACTTTGTCATTGAGGCTGTCCCCGAGATTCCTCAGCTCAAGTTCGACATCTTCGCAAAGTTGGCCAAGATTTGCGCCCCTCATGCTATCCTTGCAACCAACACCTCGTCGATTTCCATTACACGCATTGCTGCTGCTACCACGACCGACCCTACCGATACCTCTGCGTCTTCTCGCGTTGTCTCAACGCATTTCATGAACCCTGTTCCTGTGCAGAAGGGCGTTGAGATCATCAGCGGTCTTCAAACTAGCAAGGAAACTCTCGACACAGCCGTAGAGTTTTGCAAGAAGATGGGCAAGATCACCTCCGTATCCGCTGATTCTCCCGGATTCTTGGCCAACCGTATCTTGATGCCTTACATCAACGAAGCAGTCATCTGCCTCGAAACAGGCGTCGGTGACCGCGACTCCATTGATGCCATTATGAAAAATGGAACCAACGTTCCCATGGGTCCCCTGCAGCTGGCGGACTTCATCGGCCTAGACACTTGTTTGGCCATCATGAAGGTTCTTTATACCGAGACTGGAGACTCAAAGTATCGTCCCAGCGTCTTGCTTGGCAAGATGGTGGATGCGGGATGGCTTGGCAAGAAGAGCGGAAAGGGCTTCTACGATTACTGATTTATGCGAGGATATTATCGAGTTTATTAATGTTAGACGGTCAACTGCATATTTCATGAGGAAATTGCAGGTGAGCCACCGTGGTAGCAAAAAAAGTTATTGTGCTGGCTTTAGTAGAACCCGGATATCGTAAGCGACCAAAATAGACTTAAATATTCCCCGAGATGCGAATCTTAGTTCACAGCTGACATAAGACTCCGCCAGTTCTGTCATTTCTGACAGCCGGCAAATTGGCACGGCAGGTGCGGCAGCTGGCAGGCAATCTTGATCGGAGGGGGAACGAGCGCGCCATATCAGCAACGGCCGTGCATCGGGTCCGTTCAGCAGCACGGAATCTTGCCCAAAGCATCAACTGAGTCATGCGGACACTACTCTAGACCGGTGAGGAAGCAGAAAACGGTGACAGCGCCGAGCAAAAGGGCAGGAAATTGGCCGATGCCTGAAGCTCATTTCGCTACCAAATATCATTACCCAATGGATAGGACTCCTCAAGCAAGATTGGCAAGATGACGCTAGAGGTCTAGGCATCTGTGCGGCCCTTCACCGCGCGGAAATCTCATGGCTTGGAAACCGAAGGTAGCCTTCTTTCGTTCCGCAGGGCTTCGTTGGAGATGGTTACATTCTGGAACAGGCAATCAAAGCCACGGATCCGGTGACGCCTAGGCCTCCTCACCTTCGCCGTGCATGGCCATCCTTGGAGGTGCGGGTAGCTTGGCGAACCACTGTTCCCCTACAACCTAAACCTTAGTTGCAGTGGATTCGGACTAAGCCCGTCGGCAGCCACTCTAGTCCATGTTCCATCGGCAAGGCAGCGCTGACCTGTGATACAAGGCTGCGGTCCATCTCCAGGAATTGTCCGCGGCGCATTCGGATCTGACAAAAAAGCGGCTACCTGCTGAATTGCCTTTGGAGGTTTGTTTGCTAGGGCTTGCCTGTTGTATTCGTTCTTACTGATGCCTGACGGAACACATGCAGGCAGCTTGTCGCCTCGGGTAAAAAAAAGCCACACACCCTAACAAGCGTACTTTGTGTCTCCTATTTTTGGGCACCGTTTGCCACCGCTCTTGACTCAGGCTGCATGGTTAGCCTACGCCTTTCTCGACGGTACACCGATTCTTCTGTACGTCACCAATCACCGAAACACGCTAATCTGGGAACCGTGGAATGCGCGCCAGGGATGTAGAGGTTGGTTGTATTTTTGTTTAGTCGTGCACATACGCATGAGCAAGGCCCTAGAGCGATGTAACATTTCGTGATGGGCTCTAAACTTCGCCCAGCTCGAAAGCCACGCGATGAAAAGGGAAGTTGTGCCGGTGATCCATTTTGGGAAGAGACCGTTGAAACGGAGTGGCTTGTTCTCGATCGCGAGGCAACAAAAGGGTTAGCGTGTTGACTGGGGGGGCCTTTTTTCGTCAAACTTACACAACGCAGTCCCCACCCATCCATCAAAAGACCCTTGTTCGAAGGGGGCGACTGGCGAAATGAAGGATCATGCTCGCCACGAGGCAAAGCACGCCAACAAGAAGGTTGTCCCCGAGGCAGATGTGACGTTCGGCGCCAATGTACGCTTGCCGCCCAGGTTGAAACAAACTCCATTGCGGAAATGTTTCACTCTCGGCGTACGGTTGACACTAGTCGTTAAACTAAGTCCCTTGATCCAGAAGCCAGCCAGTAGGAGGCCTCGGTCTACAGCGACACGGAAACATGTTGGCCTACTTTGGGGGTGCAGTGCGGCAAGTCCCATGAATGGCCACCACCACACTGTGACCTACCAGCCGCCAGCAAGGCAGGCTCACCCAATTTGAGCAACAACAGCGGCTATCCCTAGTTGATTCCTCGTCGGTATGCCGAAGGTACATACAGAAATCAGAGCCACACGCCCCACTGGCTAAGGGAAGAAGGCATTGTTACACTGGGTTCCACTGACATTCTCCGACTTCTCAACGCCCATGCAAGGCGGAGCTGGTGCCGAGCATCCACATTGGAACGCTGAGAAGCGGAACTTGTGGGAAATTTCGTGGCTTGCTCGCCGAGAGATTTAGGGAAAAATGCCTCTACAGTAGGCTATCAGGCCACTTTTTCCCACCGGGCGTTGGCACGCGGTCTTTCTACCGCGCTTTCTTTGGAGCTAGAACAACCATGGAAGCGCTGAAACGTGCTTCCCCTGGCGCGTGGGAAAGGAGAGCAAGCCCATAACGGACACCCCAATCAGGATGGCAGGCCAGGGCGGGCGGTTGGCTGGCTTCTACGCGGTCTCGTTCAATAGTGTATTGGGCTGACAGATGGCTTTGATTCACATCAGTGTTTGTGCACCTCAACCAGCGTGACTCAGACAGCCAATGGGTTAAGATTCTTCTTTGGCTTACACAGCCAACGGCTACGTAAACGACTAGTTGGTGACTTGAAAGAAAGCAACTGCCGCAACGGGCATAGGGGACCAGGACTTTCAAGTCTCGCACACGCTACTCGATCAAGCTGTTACCCGCTTGCGTGTGGCTGGCGTCACCCCCACCAAGAGCCGGTACAGTTTTTTATTTGGATGCCGAAAGAACCCCTGCCACATGAAGGAGACCATGCGGCCTGTTTCTGACGGTTGGCCTTGGCTAGGAGACGAGTCTCCGCTGGCCGAGCAATCTTAGGCGTGTTCTGCGGCCCTCATCACCTAGTTCGGCAAAGGGTTGAAGGAAGAAACAAGGGAACAATGTTATCATTGGTCAGGATCTGATGCTGCCTCAACACGCATCCAGCCCACATGCTGCGTTTCTCTGCTTTGGCCACAACTGGGGCCAAAGGCAGCACTGCCTTATTAGTCCGTGATTGCTAGCCTACTCAGCCAACAAGGACCGTTGCCCCGATTCGCTCTCAATATACCCGCAGCCTTCTTTTACAGTTCCTTGTCCTTATTGCATATTCTATTCGATAGGTGTTTGCCCTCCTCTCAAGCCTTCATAGCCAATTCCGAAGTTGACGGAAAAGCCCGAGGCTGTTTGGAGTTAAGCGAGCTCGCGCTACTTGCCAAACTGTTGCTACAAACTGAAGATTACGGATCCTTTGGTTGTGCCCAAACCGGAAATGATTCTAGGCTAATCATAGTCTGGGAAGAGAGACCTAATTTAATCGACTGCCAAGTTTATCTTCTCAGCAACAACACGACGAAAGTCGACTTATTCGGAGCAAACAGTCAGTCGCGTCCAGCCGCTGCTGTGTTTTTATTTCGCAGACAGGACGCAATTGAGAAGCAAAGTATTACTACGAGCACCTACAGACGCCTGCATCGATATATCTGTCTTCAGGTTACGCATTACCACTGTTGCCCGTGCCGCACGTCACCTAGAAAACGCCACTGCATGCACCCTCTCCACTGCAACTTGCCATCCTAGAGAGGAGAAACCTTTGTTAGGTCAACGCTTTTCTTGTTCCCTCTTTTGTTCTTCTAGTGTGGTAGTCGGCATAGCTTCCAGCCTCACGGAAGGCTAATCAAAAGGACAATCTTCATCGTTGTGCTCCGCCACCTTCAAGTCTGGCATTCCAACAACTTGCCAGTTTTGGAAGTACTGAAAGAGGAAGGATTTGGTCGGTATCTGTTCTCAAAACACTTTGCCCTGCGGCGGCTGCGCCCGTGGTAACTTGCGGAACACCGCCGTGCCGGATCTAACCATCACACTTGGATAGCATCTTGAGATCTATTAGACTTGGTAAGTATCATCCCCTAGTTTCTTTTTACCACTTTTGGCGTTACAAAACATTCTGATATACTCGGAAAGCGGCCTGAAAACAATTCTGTCGCGAAGGCTAATCAAGTCGGTAGCAATAGAGCTCCCGACACTCCAGATGCTGACACAATCGTTGCACCATTTCGAGAATCATTCTGCGGCTTTGACTGAACCCTACAGTTCACCTCTGTATAGGTTTAGAGCTGTACGTATGCAGGGGTATCAACATTCGGTTGACGAACCAGAGCCGACATGGCAAAGTCAGCTCATCGACCAAGGACAACCTCAGTACTACGCTCAGCAATCCGATAACAAGTCGGCTGAAGGGAGGCAAAGTGCTTCCCATGAGAGTCGCGGTGCAGCAGCTCAGTTGCCAGATTACCAGGTTATTAGCCAAAGCTTTACCGATGGATCAACAGAGACGCCTGCCACCGCTAGATCTGCTCATACGCCCTCAGATGGCAACGAGGGAACCGAGCATCTCGTCCGGCAGTATTCTGCCCCAAGCTCTTCAATCAATGCTGCATTTGGCAACTATAACTATTCGACAGGACCACTCCGAGCCGGCATGGGTTTTTCATCGCCCCATACTCAGCTTGGACCCTCCGTGCAGAGTTTTGGCGCACAGTACCAGTCTATGCCAACAGAGTCGAAACTTCATCTAGATGACGATTTGGAAGATGACGGAATCGTTGAAGATGATGATGCTCCTTCCGACCAGACAGCTGCTGAGCGGCTTGCGACTAAGAGGAAAATGAAGCGTTTCCGGTAAGTCCGCATGGTAGCCCCAAGGTTACACATGATCTGAACCCCAAAACAGAGTCTAACGTTGAAAAGTTTAACACACCAACAAACGAGATTCTTGATGAGCGAATTTGCCAAGCAGCCACATCCCGATGCTGCTCTTAGAGACCGACTATCGAGAGAAATCCCGGGGTTGACACCACGACAAGTCCAAGTGTGGTTCCAAAATAGGTAATGCGCTACGAAATCCCGCAGAAAAATCCGAGATTAATATGCTAACATGCTTGAAATTTAGACGCGCCAAGATGAAACGCCTCAATACCGATGATCGAGAACGGATGCTACAGATGAGAACAGTTCCGGAAGATTTCGATAATGTTCGGGCTCTGCATTCTCCATATGGCGCAATCCATGCGGGTAGAATGCTACCGAGAGACTCGATATCACCTGGAGAAGCGCGGAGCTATCCCATGATGGGGCTTCAGAACATTCGAGACGGAGGAAGCGGCTCCTACGGTTCAGTACAACCTCCTCACATGCTTACGACCGTTGGATTTGGCCACGATGGGCGGACCATCACTGGAGATGGGTCTCGGCCACCAAGAATGCCGTCTACCAATGACATGTCATTTTCACCGGACGGCCTTTCTACACCAACATATACCTTCTCGCAATACCAGCGGGATACCTCAAGTCCACAAACACTAAACAGTGCTCAAAGCACTGAACATATCCCATATTACGACACAAACACTGCATCGCTGGCGACAGAGCAGGGATGGAAAGGAGCACAGGCTGGCGAAGGTTCAATTCCTGCTCAAAATAGACCCAGGCCAAGGACCTCGTCTGCTACACTTCCTCTGCCTGTCCAAGTACGAAGTAGACTTGGTGGTGAGCACCCGCTGGTATCGCCGGTTCGAGGTCCAGCACCCCATGAAGAGAACTTCTCAAGCTCCTGGCACACCTCATCTCCATATGGTACCGAGGATCCCCGTGATCCATTTGGATTTGGCTTTAATACCATGCCACCCACAAGCTCGGCGACAGATGCTAAGGGCGGTACTTCGTACTTTCCCTTTGCTGTTGGAGGTACGATGCCAGCTGTAACAGAGTCACTCTTCCCAAACACACAAGCCATTTATGCGCCTGGAAGCGCTGGCCTTTCAATTAGCACGGAGACGGAAGGAGTAAGAGCGGCTCAGTTGACATCTGGATCTCGCGAGTTTGGAGACGGTCCGCCTGGTCTAGGTTCGGCCGAGAGCCAGCAGGGAGAATTTACAGGGGCGGGGAACGTAGAAAACCAGGGTCGGCAGAGCTAGATCTCTTGCGTCCCTCTTATACAACACATCTGTAGCATACTTTTTTGTACTCAATTCCATACAATATTTAGCCACGTATAGTCGTGCCAAAGACAGAACTAATTCATAGAGAAGGCGAAATAAAGGTTTACTAAGTAGGAAGTATTAGCACAAAGCTCTAGTGATAATTTCAAATGGTCTTCAATGCAGCGAGCTGAGGACTTGGGTCAGAGAGTGCCGAGGTTCCACATTCAACTGATCGGTTGTTACATGTCCTCATCTACTAGATATGTAGCGGAACGTAACAACTACTGATACAGCATTGGTTTACCAGATGCAAGATCTTCATCATTCACCAGCTGTGATCTGTATTTCTGGGCAGGCAGAGCAGTGGAAGGCTTACCAAAATGCACACAAGCGTGGACAGTAGGCCATCTCATTGCACATGTTGCACGACGAGGACGCTACGTTAGGTGAGGTATAATTTCATACCCATAATCTACGATGGACGTCTTCATACACATAAAGGCACATGACGAAGATATGTTACTTGCGACAGGTCATCACCGCATCATGGCAGCCGCACGAGGGGCCCTCGTGATGATGGTTTTTGGCAAGGTTATCTCTTTGGAATTTGTCTCGACCTAGATAATCGGATTCGACAGTGGCGCAGAGTATTGAGTCCGGCTGACGAGATTATATCGATTCGGTGGTCTGGGGTTTTTAGATGAGAAGAAAAGAAGAAAAAGAAGCAAAGGAGCTCCGCAGTCGACGTCTACTTAAAATTCTACGGTGGTGCATGCTGTCACGTGATTTATTAACTGGCTGTGGCCTGAGGGCGAGAGACTGTCGGGCACTGGCCCCCACACTTTGGCAGGACCACGGCTAACGTTCGGCTCGATTTAGAAACGTGGCAAACGTGCGCTGTCATTTTTGTTTGCCAACTTATCGTTCGCAGGTAGTGAAAGATAAATATATTAAATTCGCTTACTAGGAGTGGGACAAAGGGGTTAGAAGATATATCAATTATCGTGAGACTTGTATGTTGTTTATTAGTATTGGGGGATTGGGCAATGTTTAAGGTTTGTCTCATAGAAAGTCCGAGTTGCAACGGAGCCTGAAGCACATGCCACCAGTCTTTCGCCGTAATAGTTATTTATTTTATATAATAATATTAAAGAATTGTATAAAGGGATATTGAGCAACTCTAATTGCTCCTTTATTAAAACAATGCCAGTGCATGTGTAGTGGTGGTGATAATGTTTGGCAGCACAATTTCTTGATGCCTGAAATATGGGGCACCGATACCACAACAGCCCATGCTCCCGCCACTGCCTCGCCGACCACATTCTCACCTCCACGCTCCTCATCAACCACGTCGCGACTTCGACACTCTCTTCGACGCGGCCGACATACGACTTGGTGATATATACGATCGCTTAACGATCTGTTGCCGATACCCTCCTTTTTATTTCGACTCGTCGCGCTTCCCACCCAAGGCGTCACCGCTGACCGTCATCGACGATCACCCCAGCGTTCTGATTCACGCCTTTTCCATCAACTTTTCCTAGCCAAGCGACGACTTGGAATCCAGAACGGGTACACAACAGAATAAATTTCGTGTATGCATCACAGTCTTTAAAGCAGCAGAGGCGCAGCCAAAGCCTAGCGACATTTTCGTCGGTGGCCCGGCGCCCACACACGCCGCACCATTTCGCCCTCGGCATCACCGCCCTGCCATCATGGCGTTCCATCCGCAGACTCCCCAGAGCCCTTCGCAATTCTCACCGGCAACCTCGTCGGATCCCATGTCTTCGAGCCTCTCATCAGCCGCCGCTACAGCCGCTACTTTGCCTACGCCAGCGCATAGTGTTACTGGCAGCATGTCGCAGGCCGATGTTTTGATGGCGGATGACTCGCCTCACAAGCGAAAGCGTACGCTTGACGATATTGGCGATCGCGACCAGAAGAAGCTACACTTGGACGATTTTGGCGTCGGTATCGGCGAGTTGCACATTGACGTCGGCGAGAAATACTTGCTTTGTGGACTTTGTAAGCACTCCCATTTTCTTTCCATCCCGCGCGGTTGTTGGAAACACTATACCACTGTGTGCTATTCACTAGTGAACTTTTTAAAACGTTACTTGATGAACTGTTTGTTGACCGTACTGCTCACATTTAGCCCATTCCGAATCCCTGCCTCGAACCTCCGACGACTTGTACGAAATGTACAACCTGACTGATTTGGCCACCGAAGTCGCCAGAGAAAAACCTAATGGCGAGAAGAATGCACTGAGGAAAACGTACAAGGGTCACATCAAACGCCTAGGAGTGGCTGGCCATTTTGATGTGCAGAAGAAGAAGGAGGATGCACCATCAGACTTTATGGCGCTGCTTCAAGTCCCTGAGTTGGAGTGGAATGTGCACCAGGTCAAAGGCCGTGAGATTAATGACGGACTCTCCGAAGCTACGATCTCTTCACTGGGTCGTGCTCTGACAATGTCCAAGGGGCCCATTCCAAAGTCTATCTGGGACACATCGGTCCTGGGCGATCTGGCACCCTCACATGGAGAGGGTGCTAAGCCAGGCGCCTCCGCCAAAGCCACTGCCGTCAGTACGCCGCCTGTCGGAACCCACAGTGGATCAACGATGAAGGGCCAGCTGCCGCCTGGTCACGATCCCAACCGCCCACGCCGGAACATCAAGAAGCGCAGCTACGGAGACAGTAGCTACGAGGGGTATGGCGAGGGTTTCCCTGATGATGATGCGGGTTACTCCACAGGAGACGGCGAAGGCGGTCAAAAGCGTCGTAAGAAGGTTAGTGGACTACTTGACACAGGCTCGGCTACACGCAAAACAAGTGTACTAACTGAATCCCAGAATGGTAACACGCCACCATATCCCACCGTTCGCCAGCACAGCTATGGCCCAGGCATGGTTGGCGCGTAGCGTTGCGCGACACTTAACCCTATGGCGACCTGCTACGTGATTGGATCATGATTCGATATGACGGCACTTGCATTCGGCGCTCACTCACCACTTGATTTCGAATTTCTTTTTTTCCTTCTTGTTTATTTTGTCCACATACTTATAGCACGGCGTTCAGGAGACTTCTTGGTTTCTTAATTTTGGGACCTCAAAAATTATGCTTTTTATGCGCTTGCTTTGTCGCTTGGTTTTGGATTGGGTCATATGCCTTGAGCTTGAGCCCTGTTGTCTTTTTTATTGGTCTTCTATTTGCGCGATTGATAAGAGAGTAGCCCTCTCTTGTTTCTTTTTGTTTCTTTTTTTGTTTTGTTCCTGGGATGGTACAAATTCCCACCCAAGATCGTGTATTTTCACGTTTATTTGCTTTACGACTTGTCGTACTCTGGCTGCCCTTTGCCATGAAGCCTTGACATTCTTCTACTTCCTCTGCAGATCCAAGTTGCAGTGGTTAGTACCAGGAACAAGTTGTGTCAATGAGTCGATGGTATGGCGCATGGTCGAGAGACGCTTTATAAAAGGAGGATTGAGTGCAGTTGGGAGATGGGGAACTTGAACACTTGATAGAAGAGCAACAGAGACTGGGTGAGAGAATCCCACTTTCATCTCTCTCGAAATTGGTATCTGGTCATTTTATTGTTAATGCCCTTTGCTTTCTTTTTGGTCCCCCGGGGGGGGGGGGGGGGGTTGATTTATTTTCTGACACAGACGGTTAAACTTTTGCGTTGTTTGTTTGAATGCTCTCAGTAATCGCAGCCGGGAACTAGCTACCGCTGCTATCTAGAGCTGGTTTCTAAGATAAAAAAAATCAAAAGAAATTACAAAAACAAAGATCACCTACTACGGATGAGATACAAAACGTATAATATGGTTGATGCAACGGGGTTTCAAGAATAGAAAAGTACATTTTCGGTTCGTTAAACCGCGCTGTATATAAGTTATCATTATCAATCAAGTGCTAGAAGCCGAGTTCCCCTCATTATTACCCAAGATATGTACGCCGTTCATTTTTCATTTCGAGCCATATTACAGCCATCCCAAATATTCTATGTTCTTCAATCGTGCTGTGGCCGCCAAGAGAACTGCGATAACAAGACCAAGGCAAAGGAAACAGTATAAGAATGTTTGTTTACTGTGGGGGATATTGCTGATTCAAGTTGATGTTCCCAAAGTTGCCATTTTCAACACTGGGGTATGCACCACCACTCATCTCTGCCCAGTTCCAATCAAGAGTCATTGGCAACGAGAAGAGGTCTGGCGGTAACAACGGCTGCTGGAAGGGATTAATCATTGCGGACGGCGACGGGTTATTGCCTTGCATGAACTCTTGCATGTTGCCGAAAGAATCATAGTCGCCATTTTGTGGCATGCCTTGCGTCGATTGCTCTGGCATCCAGTCAGATCGGGGATTCGATGCTGGGGATGCTCGTTCACGTGGTGGAGGTGTAGTGGCTGCAAGAGGACCAAATGATGACGAGAGGCCGCCTTTCAATGGCGGCGATAGTTCGTCCATGGTTGTAGGGATGGGAACCTCACTGTCATAAACAGTACCTTCGCCAGACTTGGTGTTAGCCTTGCTACCGACGGGTTTGCCATCAACCTTGCGCTTGCGACGAGACGCCTGCTCCTTTTCAGCGCGTTCAATGACAACCTTGGCAATTCTTCCGAACTCTGAGCAGATGCCGAGCATTCGGTGTACACCACCTTGCTCTGCTTCCTGGCCAAGCATGGACAAGAAGGTGACGACTAGGTCCATGAGACGGTTGTCGGATTTGGCGCGTGCATCTAGCGGGTTTTGTAGAATATTTCCAAACAGAGTGACGAGAGCTGAAACAGGGAAGTAGAGAATCATCCTAGATAATATTAGAGATGAACTTTGCATGGTCAATAAATAGCAATAGCAACATACCAGACACAAGCAAAGTCGCCTTGTGGGACATATTTCAAAAGAGAGATAGAGGCTCGCGCGGCGGCGGTGGAGAGGGTGGCGGATGAGAAAACACGAGGGTTGAGAGGCTTGGAGTTGAGACCCTGGATGGCGTAGTTGGCAAGTCTACTTGTCCAGTATCCGTGATGAACAGACATGCGATGGATAGTCATAAGGCAGTTGTAATATGCGAGGTGAAGCATGACGACATGTAGAATAAGAGGCGTATGTGATGCTTTAATCTCGTGCTCGGGTCGGAACTCAATAGGAATCATATCCTTCCATTCCTCAAGTTCCTGATCGAGCTCTCCAATAGAGTTGAGTAGCTCGCCATCTGATTGTTTCGTCGCCTTGGTCGAATATAGTCGTCGATATACCTTGCTTTCGATTACAGCAAACTCGCACATGGTTCGGAATAGATTCAGTTTTCCCTTGCCATCAGCCAAAGGAATATTGCCGATATTGTCCGACGGGTCAGCTTCAGGCAGCTCAACATTCATATCGTCGTCATCTTGGGCTGGCGGGCGGCCCGAGCGAAGGCAAAGGTCCTTGTCTAGCATATAAGCAATCCAAAATACGCGTTTGCGCTGTTCGATTTCAATAGGGTTCAGGTCAAATCCAGTTCCTTTTCTGTGTAAGCCAATGCTGTGGGAAAGGCGGATGGCCGCAGCGACCAAGAGGAAAGATGGCTGAGGGTTTGGTGTGCCTTGCATAAAGAGCGCCATACCTAGCAGTCCTTGTACACTGAGTAGGTCGGTGTTGCGCATAGTCAGTTCTGGAAAGACACCCATGGCGTTCTTGAGATAATCCCACGCCTTCTCATCCTCATCCTGAGAAACAAGGTTGCTCATAACTCGCAAGCGATGCGCAATGGCGAGAGCGCAGTTGAGACTGGCCCACCAGCCGGAGCCTTGGTAAGGGTCTGACGAATATTGGCGTTCGACAAGATGCATAAATGTCGGCTGGTGGAAAAGTGGCAACATGCAATTGAAGTTTTCGAAAAAGTCAACGAGTAAAGAAAGAGCCTCCTGTTTTGGGGGGAGTGGTCGGAAGATGGGTCGTTGGAAGACATCGCCAAAGACTTCAGGCTTCCAATTTGTCCACTTATGGTCATCCACCGACACCTCGGATATCATGGATTGAAACGAATCGTCGCCCATCTTCCCGTTGACCCATTGCACACCCTTGGGGGAAAAGATGGAAAAGCCGGATGAAGAGCCAAAGAATCGAGTTTCGCCGCGCTGGTTGGTAACTAGAGAGCACATCATTTCAGACAGTGCCTCGACCGGCTCTTCCTGAGAGTTCTCGTCGCCGTCCGCTTCTTGTTTTATCTCGTCCAAGCTTCCAGCAGCGCGAACATCGCGGTCTGTGGGTGATGTGATGGAGCTTTGTGGCGTACCGGTAGTGCCGTCATTTTGAGCAGGAGAGACCGGGAGAGATCCTGTTGCTATTGATGCTTGGCGGGACTTTTCAGTCAGTTTCTTTTCGAGCACACCGAGATCCATGGTGCTGTCGCCATCGTCGAGAACACCTAGTAACAAATAGTTAGAATCCTCATATGTACGTACTCAGCACTAATCAAGAATGCCTTACCAGAGAGTCTAAGCAGATGCTCCATTCGCGCGAGTCGGTTTTCCAAACTTTCAATGTATTTGGCACTACTTCCATTAGCGTGAGGACCCGGGTACATTGTGCGTAGCATTCATACCCTTTCGGCGGCGCTCGCTTTTTCTCGACTTGAGTGAATGCGCAGTCAGTTTTATAAGTTGTGCAGTTTGTACAGGCAGGTAGTTTGCCGTCGCATTTAATCTTCTTCTTTCGACACATATCACAAGCCTAGAGAGCGTCAGCGTTGTATCGCAAGATGGCATATAGCCGAGTGTGCATACTCTTGCGATTCGGCGTCGTTTGGCATCGGCAGAATCATCCATTAGCAAATGCGAATCTCCAAACATGTGCGCAGCGAGATCAGGAGGCATGTTGGCCATGTTTGACATGCCATCTTGGCCATAGCCTCCAAAGATTTGCGGGGGTTGATTCATGAGAGGCGGCGGAGCATTGCCGCTCATTTGGAAGCTGCCGATGTTTTCCATAATTTAGTAGACTGTGCTGCTTTGTATTTATATACTTTGCGGGTTCTGGGGAGGTCTCGAGAAGAACGATTGGCGCTGCGACGAGAGGCAGACAGCCGGCTCAGCTGCGTCCGAAGGCGGCGATGGCGAGTGTTGGCCGAATCGCAGCGCGAGAAGAACGGAAGAAAAAGGCGAAAGGCTTAGTCGGTAGCAATGTAGCACAGTTTTAAGTGATGCTATCTCCGGCTAAGAGCCATTCGAAAATGTAGCAAGGTGCGTGCGGGATGGGAGAAGAGAAGCTGAGATGGCGTGCACTGTTGAACGCGGGGCGGCGAGTTGGAGAACGAGGTCGGGTTGGGTAGCGTGGGTGAGGGACAACAAGCTGTGCGGTTCTGTCGGATGCTAGCGTTGCAAGCTCTGGGCCTGTTTTAGTTGCTTTAGGGCCGGAGGCGGAGTTTGCCAGCGACCGTTAGCAGGCTGGATGTCCGCTGAGAGGGCGGCCCTAGTGGGTGTGTGTGGGCTGGAGGGCGCCTGGAACTGTTACGGGGCCCAATGCAGACAGCAGGCAAAGTTCTGGACCAGGCCGCGGCGCTATGCTGCAGCAGCGAATGGTTACTGTACCAGCTTGACTCGACGCGAAAACAACAGACAATAATACAAATGGAGAGTAGAAGAAGGGGAAATAGAAGTTGGTGGAGTGCTAACAATAAATGAGGCGCAGGAAAAAAGAAGAAGCGGTAAAACGAAGAGCAAAGGGAAAAAAGAAAAAGTTTAAAAGCTGTAGCAAGTTCCAGTGGGCAACTCCGTACTCAGCTCTGCAGGGCGCTGCGCAACATGGACAGCCGGGAACATTGGTGCATAGCGGATCGCCCTCCCCGCTGGAAACCCGCTACAGCTCTGGACTGTAGTGCCGTCCAACGTTCAGTGCAGATCGACGCCTCATGGCCCTTGTCTTGGTCTTGGTGGCACATATTACAAGCTATGTTGTGCTGTTCTATAGGGACAACAGTGGTAACAACAGCAGCAAAGCAGCGGCCAGCCAGCCAGCCTTTGCATGTGGCACTCGGAGACAGCTTCAAAGAGCTATACTAATCATCTCCGCACCTGGCACCTGGCACCTGGCACCAGCTGGCGAGCACGACAATTCGCATGCACTCCAATGCAATCTATGACGCAGACCTTCCATTTCAGCATAAAACAACTAACCGATACCTGCTACTCGATTCCGTGATTTGAAAGACAACTGCTGCAAAGCCGCTAAGGTAAGGGTCCTTCCTGCACAAGTTGAGACACACGCGGCACTGACACAGACAGCCAAAAAGAAAAAGCAAAACGCCTGCGTGGCACCGCACCAGGGCGTTGGTTAGCCTGGCCGTTTCACGATGACCACGTTGTGAATCCCCTCGACATAAGCGTTTGGAGTAATATCGCAGACGATATGCTTTTACGCTAAGCCTTTGTTTCATGCCACAGGGTCAACCCGGCATGACGCCGCCGTCTAACGTTGATGATGGCTGGGGTGTGCCACTTGGGTTTCCGTTAAACACGGCAGCCAATCTCCAACCACCAGAGATGCCACTTACTGGGTGCGTGCCCACGCAACCCCACGGATAACCAACAAAAAAGGGCCGCTGTCTACCTATACAGCCTCGTAGTCGCATACCACCCTGTCCCGTGTCCAGGATCATCTCCCGCCCGTCGGCATCCAATCTTTTTCTAGGCTCACCAAGATGTATCAATCCGCAGTATTGTCCTTCAATAACACCCTCTTAAAGTGCTTGGCGCTGGATTGAATATATCGCGGCAGCCGCCAATGCTGCTACGGTAATGTGGATTTGCAATCCAGATTCGCAATGATTCCAAAGAAAACAGGGGCTCTGCTGCAGATGGGTGGGTGGGCGCATCCTTTCTGCTGTGCTGCTGATACGAGTACGAAACGGTGCTGCTACTGGCTTAACGCTAGCGCCACCAACAGACGAAGGCTCCCGTTCGACTAATCCAAATAGAGACAACGTCTTGCTATGACAGCTATAGCTTTGCTGCATCCCAACGGATTCGACGGAACAATCCCCTGGACGGTCCCAAATAAGATACATCTAGCGGGACAGTCATGATGTAGAGCCAATGGCGTCAGGTCCATTACAAAACCATTTCTATGCTAGTCTCATCTAATCGCGAGCACTCCCCCTCCTTCCTGGACCTGTTTCATTCGGCGGGATAGTAGCTGGTAAACCAAGTGTCTAGCTCCAGCTGCTGATTCACAAGCATCCATGACGGCGAGAGCCCGTAGTCGATGTCTGGTAGCAGCTGTCCCGAATTTCCAGACTCGCTTATTGTCTCATTGTCTACGCCAACTGCGTTGCTCAACCCGCGGCTTGTCGCTGATCCTTTTGCACCAAGACCGAGTATTTCCCTTGCAATTGCCTGGATTTCTTCGACAGTCTTGGCGCCTCTGGTCCAAATGCTACCCAAAGCTCTGAGGCATCCAATGCCGAGCCGGATTTGTTGTCGCGCCACAGCTAGCTCCTTACCCGTCAACAAACACCTGCAGGCTGAGAGGTAGGGCAGCATCCCAGTCACCACCATGCAGCTGACAAACGGGCTATGACAAAAGGGACGCTTCGGAAGCGTCAATAGCTTGATTTGCGATTGTATCGAAGCCAAGCATCGCGTAGTATGGATCGACTTTAAATCATCAGGCAGGTTGCTGGTATGGGCTCTAGACGCGCAACTAGACAAGCTCTCTAGAGGATCGAACAAGATCTCTGAAAATGGTCGGTGAAACCCTACCAGGGCACTGCAACAGCGGTTAACCACAGCACTTGCTACACTGCCTACATCAGCACTTACGCGTTAATCGACATGTTTGCATAAAACATGAGTTCATCAATTGCGCCGCCGCTGCCCATGACGGATCGCTTACAGTCCGGTAACAGAAGCAGCCATCCATCAACAGCGGCATCAACGGCGTCCACTGCTTCCATGTTTGGGGCCCCATCAATATGAGCTGGAACAAACGTTGTTGTCTCGGCAATGGCTCGAATGACGCCGATAAGATAGGCGAATGACGAATATACAGTATTGTCAGACGAAAATTCGCGCGACTCGAAGTCTTCCAAAGTAGACGGGGTTGGGATGATCTGTGATTTGTTAATGATAGAGCTTGGCATACTAACAAGCCAAACTTACACCAAGTTCAAAGTCAGCTTCTTCACATGGGAGATCAACGTCAGATGCAATACTCTTGGCTTTGAACAGCGAAACATGCTTGATAGCCGCAAAACCCGAGTCCACAATATAGAGCTGCCACCAGGTCCTGCGCCATGCTTCCTCCAGGACGGGATCTTGGTGCCCATGTTTGGTGGCAAAGGATTGACGATGCATGCCAATATTGAATGCAAAATCAATTGCTAAATCCATATACTCGCGGGATCTAATTTCCTCGCGTGACCAGAAGAGGGCGACTGAATAGAACAGGAGTGATTGCGACAAGAATCCATTGGGCTCAGAGTTTCGTCGAGCTTCTGCAATCGCCGTTTCCGCCCGATCTTTCAGCTCGGATGTGTTCATGGCTTTTAGATATATTGATCCAATATATCGCATTACAGCCACCACTGGCAGCAGATGCCTTTGCCATGTAGGGCTGTTCCAATACCGTTTCAGGTGCGGTAGAGGCAATGCACATGGATGGTATCTATGAAAACACTTAAAGTACGGAACCAAAAATGGGTCGGCACCTATGTCGACATCGTTTATCTCAAGCAATTCTTGTGGACTCGGTATGACCTGAATGGTCTGCGGTGTGTCGACTCCTGTTCTCGGTAACCAAACTGGCGTTGGGATTTGTGTTGGCGAAGGACCACTTGGTGTCAGCGGTTGCGTAGCGCCATCGCGCAGCTTCTTTGCTCGCAGTGCCGCTAATGCCTCTCTGTCAAGGCCGCCTCGACGGGATTGCGCATAGTCACAGGTTTTTGCGTCTTCGACACACCTCTTACACGACGGTTTGGCGGCGTCACAGCGCAGGTGACGGGTTCGGCAGGCAAGACACGCAAGGGATGCCCGCTTTGCGCCTCTTCGAGCTTTGTCGGCGGGAGTAGAGTCGGCCATACTATCCCGATTACCCGAGAAAAATAAAGGTAATTCTTGAGTGACGATGACAGAGCTGAGTGAATGTGAGCAGGATGTACCGAGAAGACGTGCTGATCCGCTCCGGGATCCGTCCGGGCCAAAAGAGGAAAGCCACGGATAGCCTATTCGCGCAAACGGATACCCGACCCGACCCGGGCAACGACAAGCATGCTATACCTGGGTGTAGGAAATGTCGAATAGCCGGCTCGGAGAAGACGATCTCAAAATCGCCCAGTTAATGTATAGATGCGCTCTTTCTTCTATAATCTATAAATATTGCGACAATGACCTACATTATTCGTCCCAAGGCTGCATCAATTTGTACATCAATCCACCATGTCTAAACAAATCATCATTATCGGCTCCGGCTTTGCTGGACTTTACAGCGCCTTGGGCGCAAAACGTCTTATAAACCAAACAAATCCATCAAACCCTCCCCAGGTGACCGTGATTTCACCAGCACCTACATTGGACATCCGCCCGCGCCTCTACGAGGCAAATGCGGCGTCCCTCACGGCGCCGCTCGGCAAGCTTTTCAAAGAAGCCGGCATCGCCCATGTTGCTGGGCTGGTTACGTCTATTGATCACGCTGGCCAATCAGTCACTATTGAAAATGCCGGTGTCGTGTCGACAATGACATACGATCGCCTGGTACTTGCCATGGGGAGCCAGCTCATCCGTCCGACGATCCCTGGCCTCGGCGCCTTTGCGTTTGACATTGACCAAGTTTCAACAGCCGCCAAATTAGAGGCCCATCTCGAATCCCTACCATCACAGCCACCATCCGATGCGCGCAACACAATTGTTGTTGCCGGCGCCGGCTTCACGGGTCTGGAGATCGCCACAGAACTTCCATCGCGGCTTCGCTCCATCTTTACAGACGGCTCCAAGTCTCGAATCATCCTCATCGATCGCAACGCCGAGCTTGGTCACCAGATCGGTTCAAACCCGCTTCCAGAAATCAAAAAGGTACTGGATGATTTGGCAATTGAAGTTCTCCTGAGCACCACCATAGACTCCGTTTCTGCCACCGGGCTCGAGCTTTCCGATGGCCGCACCATACCCGCCAGTACAGTTATTTGGACAGCTGGCATGGTGGCCAATTCATTGACTGCTCAGGTGCCCGGGGATAAGGATGCTATGGGCCGATTGATTGTTGGAACAGACCTGCGGGCGCCCAGCTCTCCAAACGTCTTTGCAACAGGCGACACAGCACATGTCCTCACTGATGATGAGGGCCATGTTGCCCTCATGTCATGCCAACATGCTCTGATGCTTGGTCGAGCATCTGGACACAATGCAGCAGCTGGCCTGCTTGGCCTGCCTCTGTATAGTTACAGCCAGCCATCCTATGGAACCTGCCTGTCCTTGGGGGAGGGCCGTGCTGTTGTTACTGGCGGATGGGATCGCCAAGTCATATTCACCGGGGCTCAGGCCAAGGCTGTAAAGGAATTCATCAACACTAAACTGATCTACCCTCCCACTAATTCAGAGGAGGCCTTTGTGGTAGCTGACCCTGCATACCAGATTCCCCCATTGCAACCGCCACAACCTGCTGCTGTATAAGTTGGCAAGACGACAGCTCTGATACCACTAGTAGATAGATAGATTATAACACAACTCACTACATTCGCTACATCGCTCATTCTTATTACTGGGGCCATTAGATTGAAAATTGTCTTCTTTTTACTGCTTCTAGCTAACCATAGTAACTATACTGCGCAACGTTGACATATAAACAATAGGAAATCAGGACTGTTGTCGTGGTAGATATACCACGAGATATTCCAACGCTGTGAATGGAAAAACTGGCGCGAGAAGTGAAGAAAAAATATACATTAGAATAACCACAGATTTTTTATGTGCCATTGACTAAACGCCTGTGCTGTTGTAAATAATGGCCCTTGCAGGGCTGGAAATTGGTATAACGCCGGCCCGAGTTTCACAGGCATATGTAGATAGATGTTGTCCGAGAACGATTTGGATGATTTACATACGCTCCTGGAAGCGAGAGCCCCGGTTGCTACTGTTCGAGTCGACGCTGCGTGGCGGCGAATCTTGGTAGGGAAGGGGGTCTGCGAATGGGTTTCTTTCGGCAGTTGGGGTCTTTGCTGGTCCAGAGCGCATGATAGGGATACCGCTAATAGGACGCATAGGCGTACCAAGGGTAAACTTGGAGGATGATGGATGAAATGGGTCAGATGCGTCAGAGTGTTGTGAGTAGTCAGAATGTCCACTCATAACGCTGGCGCGGGGATCCGTATAGCCATCACCACCAGCAACAAGTACAGAGGGCAGCTTGCGGCCAGACACTCTGTAGAAACTTTTCTCGCCAGCCATGGGTTGGGGAGGGGGTCGCTTCGAGCCTACCAAGTTGGACATAGCACCCATGACAGCGGCAGACGCCATACTGCGCTCAGCCATAGGTTGCGTAGCTCCTGAGCCAGAGTTGGATGCCGATGATGGCAGGGCACGAAGGTTATCAGTTCTATCCTCTCCAAGGGTAATAGATCCATCGCGCTTCTTCTTGTATCGTAGGAGTAGCATGACGAACAAAGCCAAGAAGGCAAAACCTGCAACACCGCCAACAATACCACCAACCATCTGTTTTTGGGTGGGAGTCAAGTTGACGCCCCCACCACTGCCACCGTCGTTGTCGCCACTAGAGGATGTACTTTCGTCAGAGTTCGTCGCACCTGGTACATTGAGAAGAGTAAGGGTGGGCGTTCGGGTCGGATGGAGCGATGACGATGTAAAGAGTAGGTATTGACGTGTCGAGGTGTTTGTCGAGCTAGGGGCCCGGAAGGAATAAGTACTGTTACCAAGCGCCGATGAATTTCCATGGAAACCAGTTCCGTTTAGAGAGGGTACATTTGTAGCAAGGCTGATGGGTGCACTGGAGGCTGACGTGGAGAGTATGAGCTTGGTGGAAGTGATTGTGTTGGACGGATCCAGTCGTGAGCTGGTGGCACCAGGAAGAGCGGCGTTCAAAGTCATGTCAGGATTTGACATGCTGATGGTAACACCAGATTTGGGGTCGATAACGATAGTGTTGCGAACACCGGGCTGCGTTGAAACTTCGAGGGGCGAACCATGACCATCAATATACTGAATGAGCGACACCGTTTCAACGACGCGGGTGATTAACTTTTCTACAGGCTTGATATCGGCGCGCAGCTCTAATGAGGGGGGTGAATCCTGATCCTGGGCTACTGCTTCAGGTTGGGCGTCGACAAGGATGAAGTCATCAGCGTCGTCACCTGTAGTCTTGCCAACGGTTTCCTCTGGTCTTTCCTTCTGATTAGGTTCGGTCGCAGCTAGGTGTCGGTTGGAGTGGTGAGCACGGTGGCGTCGAAGGTGGTTGTAAGCGTGTTTGTGTGCGATATTTGTATCGTCGGAATTTTGGGTTAAACGAGCGTCGGAGTTGGATGGTGAAGTAGAAGAAGGAGGATCGGGGAAAAGCTGGTGTATTAAGGTAGCAGGGGACCCGTGACGTGGGCCAGTCATGATGATGTAGGCGGCGGACGGACCGCGGGCGAAGCAAGGCAGTGCGGCGTCAGTAGCGTGGCAAGGCAGTGCCAAAAGATCGTATTCGTCCGGGGTGGAGAATCTTGGCTGACGGAATAGTGGTTTCTATTTTTCGACACTCGCAAGGGGCATGACGGCTATAAAAAAAATCCGGCGTCCTTTATTCCTGTAGGAGGCAAATACAACGTCGGGTAGACGTATTTAAGCGGACGGAAAATGTCGTGTTGATGTGTTGACCTCTTTGCGTGCGCGAAAATAAACGAAACAGAAGCACGGGCTTCTACAAGATAACTGAGCGCGGTGTAGGCTTTCGAGACTGCAATCTTGTTGGAGAAATAGCTTTTTCATAAATCGACCAAATAAAATAGATGCTGGTCGCAGGTCTTCGTCGATAGAAAGGTGTATCAAGTTTGGCGTCTTGGTCGGCTGGAAAAGCGTGTATTCAAGATCGCGCAGGTCGGAAAAGGAGTGGACGGTTGTCTTTGTCTGCGCAAAGAGACCTGGCTTAACGAAAATAATGATGAATGAGACGAAGAAGAAGAAAAAAGAGTGACTAAAAGAGTGAGTTGCTAAGAGAACGACGGGCGAAACGGCGAAGCCAACGCAGCGACGGGCTTGACGAAGAGACGAAGAAGAGGAAGAAGAAAGACGAGAACGAAACGAGTCGAGAAACGAACGGCGGGCAGCGCAGCGAGCGTTGCGTGCCTGGGGAGAGAGCGAAAAGGAAGGCGCCACCAGCACCCGCACCTGCCTGAACAGCACTGTAACGTGCAGAAGGACGAGCAAATTAGCCAGGCCAGCGTCCGTGCAGGCTTCAACGCGCACCAGTTAGCGGCTCGTTAGCGGTGCCAGACGCAGTAATTAGTGGCCCCCTGTGCCTGGATGCACGCCTAGAAGGGGCATGAGTGGGGCACTGGCTTTCCTGTCTCATTTCGTTTTCTCGGGCCTGTGGGCCAATTAGCGGGTGTGAAGGCGGGCCGGGGTCCTGCTGCGGCGTCCCCTAGGGCCTTTTTAGTGGGAGAACAAAAAGGTACTATCTATTTGATATATTGGACACACAGCCTGATTGCTAGGAGCACGACGGGACATGAATGAAAAAAAAAATTAAGCAGGCCGAACCAGCATGTAGATTACAATAGCGCTGATACGATGGACGAGGCAGAATGTGCATTACTGCAAGAAAATCGTAATTAAAAAATGATTCGGCCAGCGATGATGCCATCGTCAACAATGACGCGAATCACTGTGACCTGGCGGCATTCCAGCGCCGAGAGGTGGTAGCCCACCCACTGCAGAGGATGCCGAGCCTCTAAGTGCCGTGCCACCCGGAGCAGACCAGTAATTTACAGTACAGTGTATGCTTTGTAGCAAGGCTACAGTACCACCTCATATGTTGTAAGAAAAAGACAAGAACAAGAAAATACAAAGATCGTATCTTACTGATCCGAAATATCTCGCCAGCGCAGTACCCCCATGCTATCTTCACTCGTATCGGTACTTTCTGCTTCAAAACAGCCCACTAACGCCCATGACGAAGATTGTGTCGCTTTCCTCGGCCGCACTGGGCGTGTCTGAGTCAAACCACCAGCAAGATAATTTCCTTTTTGCCTATTTTTAAATCTTCCTTCTACCAGAAACAGACAGCGTGGATCAATTGACCCTCTGCAGAGACCAGTGAATACATTGATACTCTAAAATGGTTATACAGGCACACTATTACTGTGGTATACTCTATCTCTGGTGTATCTTAATACGAGGGAGCACGTCCCGCGTCTCGCCTGGAGCACCGACCAAAAGAAAATCCACCCGCCACAAGATGCCTGTCGGTGACGTCTCAGTCCCCTGTTCGCCCGTTAAATGCTGCGCCACATGACAAAAGCTCGCTTTCCAAGATTTTTGGGCTTCAACAGCTGTCAGCCACACTTGGTGACACGTTCTGAATTATGAGGCCACTTGCTGGGCACCTGGTGCAGCTTTCTTGTCACTTTTCCTTCTTCCCCGCTTCCTTGTAATTTGTTCATCCGTCTCAGTGAATCCTGCTTATTCACATAAATAGCACCAAATATACATCAGTTATTGTTGGCCGTCATCCCGCCTTGTCACCGTTGAAACTCTGGCCCCCTATTGTACCACCACTTTACTCAACACTAGTGGAGGTGCACGCCACATCATCTCCCCCAGCAGTCTACTAATCCCATCATCCCCCAGCCCAGGCCAGCCTTCTTCATCAAACCAGCTAGCCACTGTACTTAATACGAGGAAAATAAGCTCCAGCCTCGTTTATGCTCGATTTACTCAGCTTCTAGCTAGCTGCTTGTTCTAGAGCTACTGCAACTCTGTGCCTCATGCCCCTGGCAACCAATCGCCATTAGTCTGCTACAGCTATACCCATCAAGGCCAGTCCAATGGCGGCAAGCAAGGCACCGCCGCCCCTACCACCGAGGAATTCCGTCTCGGAAGAGTCCAAGCTTCGTCCGATACAGCTGATCGACTCGTCGGCATCGTCTACCACTTCACCCGGCGACGCTCAACACCCTCTTGACCCGCCGCCGGCATACTCCCAAACAACCACTGGATGGACAGCCCCAATTCATGCAAATGACCCCCGCGCCTCTTCGACACAGTCCCTATCACCGGATGTCAATCAAGATGGCACCAAACGCAAGTTACTCCTGATCTACATGCACGGCTTCTACGGCAATGATCAATCCTTTCGTTCATTTCCCGCCCACTTACACGCCCTCCTCACCACTCTCTTGGCGGACTCACACGTTATTCACTCCAAGATTTACCCGCGATATAAAACATATCGTGCCATTTCCGTTGCCCGAGATAACTTCAGTGCTTGGCTTGAGCCACATGAATGCCCTAATACTGATGTTATCCTAGTTGGCCACTCGATGGGCGGGCTCCTGGCAGCAGAAGTCGTCCTTCTTGTAAGTCATTCTTTGCTACAACGTCATTGGAATGAACGTCTTTAACCGGCCTCCGTTCTATATTACAGCCAAATCATGATCCTCATCGTCAAAGTCCTTTCAAGCACCGCATTTTAGGCACAATTTCCCTCGACTCGCCCTTTCTCGGCTTGCATCCTGGTATTGTAGTTTCAGGCATTGCGTCTCTGTTTGCGCCAGCACCCAGTGCACCCGCAGGCAACCCACAGGAGACAGACCCTACCTTGGCATCTACTCCCTCCTCCTTAACCCTTGATTCATCCTCGGCTATTTCCCAGCCTAGCCCGTCCATCTCTAGCCAGTCATCTGTTCGCCCAGACGACCCCTACTATGATCCGCCTTATTTCAATGACCGACCGTTTCGTGAGCAACCGCTTATCAAGCGTATCCAAAATTTTGCTACCAAGCACAAGGCTGATGGCTTATTTAATGCCATGGGCAATCATGTCATGTCTCACTTGGAATTTGGTGGCTGTTTAGCGGACTACCCGGGCATGTCTGCTCGATACAACAAGATCAGGACACTCGAGGATGTGGACGAGCTTAAAAAGCTAGTAGAAGGTCATCCCGCTGGTGCATTTGCCCAAGTTCGCTTTGTTAACTACTACACGCTGTCTCCTGGCAAGCCTAAGCCTCCAGTAGCAGAGGAAGACAAAGACGAATTGGATGTTGCCAAGCTAGCTATTGAGGACACCGCCACCCAAGAAGAAACTCCAGAGATAACAGAGAATCAGCAAGCCATTCTCGTAACCAACATCAAAATTGATGAAAATGAGGATCAAGACACTGCTGAACATGATTTAGCTCCCCTAGAAACTCTTGATCCGCAACCCCTCGAGGCAGACGAATTGGAAGACACTCCAGACACGCAACCTCTGGAACTCGCCCCTTCATCGGCATCAGCATCACTTCCACCCATTCCTGACGCCGCAGTAGAACCAGTTCTTCCTGATTTGGATGCTATATCAGACAAGGATCTCCGCAAGCAAGCAGAAAAGGAATCTAAGCGTCTGCAAAAGGCGTATGATCAGGCCGTCAAGAACCGCGAAAAGGCCATTGCCGAACGCAACAAGCTGATTGAAAAGAAACGCAAAAAGGATCTCAAAGAATCCACAAAGCTCGACAAGCTAGCTGAAAAGGAGTTCCTCTCTCAACAAAAGAAAGCGGCAAAGGAAGCCGCTGCGCAGGAAAAAGCTGTCCGCAAGCAGTCCGCTGCCGACGACAAGGCTGCTCGCAAGGATGCTCAACCACCCAAGCTACGCAAGTTCTGTACACTGCCTGACAAGGTCAACGGTGTCCGCGACGCTACCTGGGTCAATGTATTCATGGCTGACATGGACGAAATCGAGGCCCATTGCGCATTATTCGCCCCAGGGCCGCATTATGATCCTCTGGTCACGGGCGTAGGCGAACGTATTCTTGGTTGGGTTCATGACGATATGTCCAAGAGAACTGCACTTACTATGATGAATGAATGATAATGAAAACTTGGTTAATGATTTGAATTTGCATTTTCAAACTTAAATAGTCTAATATCGTTTCCTATGTTGAAACGGAGATTGGTATATATATGCGCATCATAAAAAGAAATGCATCGCTTTTCATAAATACTGTGTCTTGTTTTGTACAAAATGTTATGCGACAAAGATGGATGGTAACGTCTGCTCGGGAACCACAGCTTCTATTGCCGATTCCCATAGTCTTTGCTCCTAGTAGAGATCAACTTGGTTTAAGCTGACAAAGATATCGCCCTTATGCATACCCATTCCGCTATCGACGCCGCGGAGCATGGCTTGGCCATCACCAGTAGATGCTGCAACGGAGTGTGCGTTACTGCCCGTATCAGATGGCGTCGGTTCTCGCTCAACAAATTCTGTAAAGCTAAGGGAGATGGCGCCAATACGGATGAGCGGCTTGCTCGTGTCCCAGTTGCGGTGAGCACAGATTAGTGCCGTTGCTAAGCTCTTCTCGCTGCGCTTAGGCGATGGCTTACCCAGCTCGTCTGGTTGCGGGCGGCGCCAGTGTTTGCCAGACACAAGGACAGCTTTCAGAACAATCTCCTCACAATCTGGTAAGACGTTGCCGTCAGCACATGCGGATCGGACGCCTTCAAGGACGATCAGCGAGGTTGCATGACCCATTGCCGTAGCAATCTGTTTCTCTAGTCCCATCTGGCCAGACTCTGCACGAACAAGGCGTATATCGAAACAGTATGTAGTGATGTGTAAGAAGTCAATCTTGAGTGCTCGTCGGGCAATTGCTTCGCCATCAATCTCCCAAGATAGCAGCATACCGTCCTCAAACCCAACTGAGATTTCCATTCGTCGTGGTGCTGTAATGCCATCTATCGCAGGTTCACTCTTTCCATTCACATAGTTGAAAAGAAACCCGCGAGCACATGGTCCGGCTGGAGATAGCGGTGCATTCTCGCGCAACCTCCATGCCAACCAAGACCATGAGGGAAACGGAAGCCCTGGGTCCATGACATATGCACCGGTTGGGTTCTCAACGTCAGCAAAGGGCTTCAGATCCGTCATGAGCGTTTCAAGAGCTGCTGATGAGGTCTTATTGCCAACGGTCATCCAACCAAGCCCAACAGCTAGCCTATCTGTCTGGCTCACAACCTTGACGTTTTCAAAATGGTCTGGGTGGAATAGTGGGAGGCCAATGAGGTTTTCAGTGCCCTTTTCGGCTTTGGCAAAGGTATCGAGGGTGCTTCGAAATAGATCCAGCCTTTGGGAGGGGCGATAATGTCTCCTTCCTAGAAATAGAGAAACTTGATGTCTGTAATCTTCTGGTCCAAATTTTGTATCCACTTCAAATACTCTCCCCTTTGATACTGTAGCGGTTAGGCGCAAGGGCATGGACACACTCTCATGACAATGGACCTTGCCACTTTGGAAGTATACTTGGGATGGCGTCAGTACGAGCTGTCGTTGTGCGAATGCACCATCTTGCATTGTCCAGGCATGCGATGCCCATGCTGATGCTCCGATTTCGAGATCTGAGCGTAACAGAGTTGTTGTGAAGAACCCAACCTCGGTTTGGAGGGATAGTGGTTCTTCACGAGGTACGCTGACTCCATGGATGCCCACAGCATTGCTCTCGCCATTGGCGGCAATGATGGTAAGAATTGAATTGGAAAAGATCTTAGCTTTTGCGCTGAGGTTTTTCTGAAGTTCCGCGGCACTAGCCGGCTCAGGCTGGCAGAACTTCTCAATCCAGAGATATTGATATCCAAGAGACGACGTTAAGCCGATGGCGTCTGCAAAGAGCGCTGTCGTCAAATCTACCGCAGGAGATTCCCCTTCGGCATCATCTCCAGCAGGATCATCTGGTACATAGCTCAAGGTAACGTATTTCAAATCCTTGGCCAGTTCGTCATCGGCCTCAATTATTTTGCCATCATGACAGTCGACTAATTTCAGTCCAACTGGTGAGACCATCTCGATCTTGGGCTTTGCAGATTCAGTCGGGTTGTCGTCGCAAAATTTGATCCAACTTTTGACAAGTAACGGGTCTAATAAGGGTGTGACAGCTCGTCCGTGGACCACAGGCAATGCATCCACAGATGTGGCTTTGGAGCTAAGGCTATTAGTTGAGCCTGTTGCGCCATTCTCGACATCGCTAGTATAAACACTGCTAGCAGTCTCGTCTTCAGTTGCGCGGATAATATATCCTCTCGGAAGAGTCTTACTCCTCGTGGTGACTTCAAACAAGACAGCTCCTCCAAGCTCATGCTTATGAGTAGCGGCGACTTTTTCGAATGCTTGGCGTATGCGAAAATAGGGTGTGAATGTGCCGGTGTTTTCTGCAATAGGGCTCTGCGTTGAATCTGTAGCAGCTCTTGAGATATCACCAATCATTGCTTGAAAAAATGTGCAATAAGGGCAGGATGATGTGTCGCTGAGAACGTGTGATAGAGGAATCCATGGCCGTGGCTGTCCAACTTTCCAATCAAGCAGCCTTGGGAAATCAATCATGGAGCAGAATTCGCAAATAACGCCTGGTTCGTCAAGTAGTGAGTCAATATGTTGTGGCTCCTCGCCATCGACAGATGATGGCAATGCTGGGCTGGAAGGCTGGGCCGGTGATGAGGTTGCAATGATACGATTTTTACCCGTTCTGGTGCCCTTCTTCGCTTGAACACTCACGCCCAGACTTCTCTTAGAGTTTAACTGATGGAAGTCGGCAGAATCCTGCAGTGGCGGGCCATCCTTAGCCCAGCGTCGAGTCCATTCGGCTTCCTCGTCGTCTGCCTTTCCCCAACGGCGCCTCGGCAGAATCCTCGAGAAGCGGCCCATTAGGCAGGTTTAGGGAAGCGCCTTGTGAAGCGCCAGGACTGTTGCTGCAAGGTTAAAATGTCGCTTATCTCGAATTAGGATGACTCCTCAACGGGTCTCATGAGTGAGATGCGTCGCCCGTTTGCTCCGGTGAGGCAAAGTATGTGATTTGGAGCAGATGGCGTCGTTCCCCTGTCCTCAAACCCCCTGATTCATTAGAGCAGAGCACGGCCCATGGGAAGCAGAGTGTGGTTGACGGGTGGTGTGTCTGGGGTTGCGTTGGGCTAGGGGGTACCCCGGATATCTGCGAATGCCGGGACAAACGGAGGCCGCAGATATTTTTTTTAGGTTAGCGATGACTATATGTCAGCCGCTACCGAAACAGAGAACCAACGGCCTACTTAAACCTAAGCAAAGCACCGCGGAAATACGCCCACCGAGCAAAGAGGAAACGCAGGTGAGATAGTGAAAATGGGAAAGGAGGCCAATGGACAGCAAACGAGGCGGAAAAAAAGAGGCGACGCCCCTCCACACAGGCAATCTACTGGCAAAGCGGCCCCAAGCTTTTTTAGTCCTTCTTTGCTCTTCTTCGTCTGTTCCCCAGAGAGCGGAGCAAGGCACGGGAAGGCTAAAAGCTGCGTGTGTCAGGTACCCGAGCGTCCGAAACTTTGGGAAAGTTTTAGTGTGTCCATCCCCTGGGAACGGAGGCGTCACGTGGCAGCCTCCGCGTGGGAAGGTACATCTGGCAGCTGGCAAACTGGCTGCTTTTTTTATTTTGGCATTGAATATTGTATTTTAAAATATGAACTTATACAACCGATGGAATTAGACTGTTTTCAAGAGCCTGAAATGCTCCATAGTCGGTACCGCAGATCAAATGGCCGTGCGCATATAAACCATTCGCTAGACCCTGTAAGCCGTGGCTGATCGGGCCATGCAGTAGAGTGTCATTGCAGCACGTCGGCCGCAGCAAGGTTTCCCAAATAAGCATGCCTTACCCATATAATTTTTTGCTGATTGATATACTAAAGTTTACGCGTTTTAAAGGAGTTCACTCACTATCAGCACTTATGCAAGATTTATCAATACCTTCATAGGACGTTTGGCAAGGTGTATCCAGGGTGACATAGCTAATCACAGCCGTTTAGACGATACCGATATAAATTTCAACCGTGGGAATAATAATAATGATAATACGACTACAAAATTCGAACTACATCTGGTTTCTTTTTCGTTTGATTACTTTTTTTTAAAGGTAGGCTAAGGTGTTATCGTCCAACATAACACCAGCAACACCAAGACCAGCCTCTCCTTCGGCTACGCAAGGGCCACGAACGTAAATCTAGTCATTTGGTTAGTCAAGATTGCGCATGCAAAGTCAGAATAAACTTACTTCTCCTTCCACTTTATCATCAGTCGTCACATGAGATCCCATATCCTTAAGGAAAATCTCAGTGCTAGTCGTTGGTGCACCAAAATGTCCCTTGCCTTCCTTGAGACGGTAGTCGAAAAATGCAGTTTGGGAGACGGCACCAGCAACCTTAGATGCCGAAAGAGCATACATCAGTCTAGAGCCAGTGAGGGCGCGCAGGTCGGATAGAACCTTGGGTGAGAGGTGAGGCGTGGCAGCACCAACACGCTCGGCTGTGTAGATGAGACGTAGCTTGCTGGAGTCCTTGCCAATAGACGGCTTAGCAGCCGCAGCGAAGCCAGACAGGCTGTTAGAGGTTGTAAGAATACCCTTTCTAGTGAGAGATGAAGTAGCAAGATAGTGAGAGGCTGCACCCAGAGATCCAAGCTTCTTCATCGCCTGGTCGTGGACGCGGAGGAGGGTAGCAGGGCCGGCAATGACAATGGTAGGGGAAACGCCTTGGGTAGCAAGACCGAGATCCGACGTCTGCCCGGCAACAGAGTTAAGGGCAATAGACGCGTTTGAGTAGAGCGCTGCAAGGGTGACGATAAGTGTGTGGATGTTGGTAAGCGAGTCTGCTGGGCAGACGAGGTCGTTAGGCCCAAGGCGGTCCTTGGTAGGAAGACCAGCAATTTGACCAGCCATACCTGCGACAATGTTACCTTGGGTGAAGCGTGTCATGTCCTCGGGCTGTCCAGCCTTTGCTAGCCAGAAAGTGACAATGTCTGCTGGGGTACTCTCGATGTCAATAGCGGGCAGCTCGGCGCCAGCACTCTCAGGCGCATCTCTCACAATGTCCTGCCATGTGGCCACACTCACGCTGCTTCCGATTCCTTGAGGAACCTCGTTCCAGTCCATGTGGGCGCTTCCTTGGTCAACAACCCAGATGAGCTGGCGGAGGGCAGGGTACGCCTTGACAATGTCATCGAAGGGGAACGATCCCGTGGCGGTGATGACGGTGTCGACGGCGGCACGGCGGAGCATAGAAACGAGCTCATCATCCGGTACATCGAATGGAAGAAGAACAATAGTGATATTTTTCTGGAAGGCGCAAGCAAAAAGCGTCACCAGAAGCTCGATCGAGTTGGGGAGATAGACACCAACGCGGATGCCGCCTTGTTCGGTAATGTGCTGGCCGATGAGGTTGATTTGTCTAGTGAGATCGGCTAATTAATGTTAATTTGATTTGTTCTTTCATATGAGAGATATCCATAAAACGGCGCGCCAACTTACCAAGCTTATGGTCGACGACATTCTCTGAACCCAGGACGGTGAGCAAGCGACCCTTTGCGCCGCCGTCGCCGCCACTGACAACCTTTCGCCAAACATCGCGAAGGTCACCATCTCTTCCGCGGGCCCATTTGGAAGCTCCAGCGTCCTTTACATTGAGTCCCGGGTTGAGGGGCATGCTGTGAGGCGCCGCGATCGATCGATAAACGGCGCTCTGGCCTTCAGAGCGGACGTTGGCGGCATTGGCCTGTCGGGCGAGGAGCATGGGGTGAACATCGGGATCGCGGGATGTGACAAGCTGGTAAGAAACAATGGCAACAAGAACAGTCACCAGTCCAGTCGAGTAACCGTTCCACTGGCCGACGAGGCCGGTCAAGCCAGAATCAAGACTTTCGAGAACGCCCATGGTCAAGGTCGAGCGCTGTGCGGGTGGATTGCAACGTTGAAGCCAGGAGTAATCGGGTCGAGGTACCCAGTGGTATTTTAACTTCTCCTCTACGTTTGCACAGAGGGCTGCTTTTTCGTCGGTGTTGAAAAAGCAAAAGGTGAAACAGCACAAAAGTGGTTGGGCACGGTTCAAAGCTGACATTCACACCAGGAGGAGCGGGCCTTACGCTGAGCCTGCCTGGCCACTCAAGTCGGTCGGGCCGTGCCAGCTGGCCGCCCCCGGCGCCAGCAAATGCTGACTCAATCTCCGTTTGCCACGCCCCAAGCGCAGCCTGCTTATAACTCGATCACAACGTCATCACCTCTCTTATACCACACACAGACTAAGTATGATAGACAAGGCTGGCAAGGTTCACAACATTCACAAGGATTTGTAAGACACATTATTTTAACAGGTACAAAATCATTCAGCTTTATTTTAATATTGGACAGCTCAGTCCACTCTGGTTCCCTTTCGTTCTTCCATGCACTCAAATAAAACGCGGCCTCAAGCCCCGAGCCCTCTCTTATTGGTAAAAAGGAATAGACTCATAGCTCAAGCCTCGTTTGCTTCTCTCTTTCTCTCTGCTCCATTTGCGCGTAAGGCCCGGCCAACTCGCTCGCGTGAGGACTCATAATCCTTCTTGCGTGCTGCGTGCCGTCTCAAGCCCTCTAACGCTAATCCAAATGAATTATAATAAACAAGAGAAAGGGGAAATTGAAAAAATGCCGACCAATAATTCATCATCATTATTCCATCCTCCGCAGTGTGCTGACCGAATGCTCATATGCTCGCCTCGTCTGTTGGGCGTCGTCAACTGTTCCAGGCCGTTTGGCAAGCAAAACAAGCAAATACAAATTCCAAACCAGAGAACTGAGAAATCCACTTTTGTCTATGTGTAAAAAAACGGCGATACCAAGACCCTCTATGGTGAATGCGAATAAAATGCCCTCTGAAGGGGGGAGTCCCTGATGCAAGACAGTAGCAGAAAAACATCAAAAAGAAATTCGTGATGGCCCAGTCCAGATCCAGCTTTGACTAGATCCATTATCGCACCACGTTTCTGCCGAACCGTCTTCGTAAAAAGTCCCCCAAGTCTCGGTCTAAGGGTATCAATCGAGTAGGGTCTCATGTAAAAGCAAAATGCATTCTATCGCATGCGATGTCGTCAATGCCCCCCTGACCGTGCTGCCGGAGTAGCAGCGTGATAAGAAAATGAAATGAAAGGCACAAGTCCGTCTTCGCAGGTCGTATTACCGCCGTATCCGAGGTAAAGCAGGTACAAAAAACATTCGAGGTCCGAAATCAGACCAGCAAAACAACAAAATTAAACAATGTCCAGTCTAGAGGTGACTAGACCACGAATCTCATCGACTGAAGCGATGGAATCCGTAAGAATGGATTGGTGGTGCGTATTTACCACCAGGACTGGCTACCAGGGCCGCTGGGGTTACCATAACTACCGCCATAGCTGCCGCCAGAGTTGCCGCCATAACCTCCAGAGTTACCACCGTAGCCGCCGCCAGAGCTGCCACCGTAGCCACCACCAGAGCTGAAACCGCCACCATAGCCGCCAGACTGCTGGCCACCGAAGCTGCCGCCGCCGCCGCCGCCGCCGAACTTGCGGAAATCGCGGTTGGCAGCACCACGGCCACCGCCGCCACGAGAGCGACCACCACGGCCACCACCGTAGGAAGACTCGCGAGCGATAGACTCAAGGAAAGAAGGAACCTCCTGGTTAGCTTCCTTAAGAAGATCCATGAGCTCGCGGACAATACCACGGTTGCCACGGTTGAAGAAAGCAGTGGCAATACCAGTGTTGCCAGCACGGCCAGTACGACCAATACGGTGAACATAATCATCAACATCGGTAGGAAGATCGTAGTTGATGACGTGGGTAACGTTGGGAATATCGAGACCACGAGCAGCGACAGCTGTAGCAACCATCAGAGGGCAGCGACCGTTTCTGAAGAACTCCAGAGCACGCTCACGCTCACGCTGAGTACGGTCACCATGGATAGAGGTGGCGGGGAAGTTCTGGTTAATCAAGAAATCAGAGAGAGAGTCGGCCATGCGCTTAGTTTCGACGAAAATGAGGGTCAAACCGGTAGCGTTGGACTGGAGAATGTCCAAGAGCATAGAGCGCTTGTCAACATCCTCGACGTATTCAACACGCTGGGTAATGTTCTCAGAGGTAGAACCGACACGTCCGACGGACAGGAAGATGTAGTCCTTGAGGAAATCTCTGGCAAGCATCTGGATGTCGCGGGGGAAAGTAGCGGAAAACATGAGGGTCTGACGGTCAGCGACAAGAGGCATGTCCTCGCCTTCAACAATGCGGCGAATTTGGGGCTCGAAACCCATGTCCAACATGCGATCGGCCTCATCAAGAACAAGGTACTTGATGTTGCAGAGAGAGATACGTCCACGCTCAATGAGATCGACGAGACGACCAGGAGTAGCGACGAGAAGATCGCAACCACGCTCAATCTGGCGGAGCTGAGATCCAATATCGGCACCACCGTAGACAACGCAAGGGCGAACCCAAGAGCGGTAGGCAAACTTACGGGCCTCGTCGTAGATCTGAGAGACGAGTTCTCTAGTGGGTGCAAGAATCAAGGCAGTGGGGTAGGCCTTGCGCTGGCGACCAAACTGGCCAGCAGCGTTGGCAGGGATGGGAGAAGGTCCGTTAATGAAGGACTGAGACAGGATGGGGAAAAGGAAACCACCAGTCTTGCCGGAACCAGTCTGGGCACAAGCCATCAGATCACGTCCACCCATGACGATGGGGATGGAGTACTTCTGAACGGGGGTGGGAACCTTGTAGCGAGCAAGCTCAATGTTGCGGCAGAGATGCTCCTCCAGAGGAGGTGTAGTGAACTGAAGGACAGGCTCAGGGACATCGTGACCGGAAGCCTCAACAGGGATATCATCGTACTTCTCAAAGTTGATACCAGTGTGCTGCTTGGAAGGGTCATCCGGAGTACCAAAGAGCTCACGCTCAACGCGGGGGTTAGCCGGGCCAGGGATGTGCTTGCCATCGCGCCACTGTCCATCGCCAGAGCCGCGAGTGGCATAGCCGCCACCGTGACCACCTTCGTGACCACCAGAGTAGCCACCACGACCGCCGCTCCAGCCGCCTCGGCGGTTGTTGTGCTGGCCGTCATGGCCGTTCCAGTTGCCACGACCGCCACCATAGCCACCTTGGTTGCTATTTAATCATTGTTAGCAGATGCGAGAAGAATTTAGAGGTCGAGCAGACAAAAGAACTTACCCAGACCAGTTGCCATTGTTCATAGCACCATTGGCAGCCGCAGCGGCGCCGGCGGGGGTAGGGTCGAGATCAGCGCCGGGAGGAGGACCGCCAGCAGCAGGACCAGGAGCAGGGCCGGCATTTTGGCGGCCTCGCATGTGAGGAGGGATGTACGAGCGCTGCTGTCCACCTTGCTGGCCATCGTTGATGGCAAGGCCGTTCATGTTGAGTTGGTCAGCCATGTTGAATCGGGTCGGTTGGCTGATTGGGTTCGGAGTGTTATCGAGTCGCGAGACGAAAATCAGAGTATTCCTTCGCTGTATATATGCGTAGGAATCAAAGGAATCTGTCTATTAAAACAGAGACAGAAAAAATGAAGGGAAAGAGAAGCGGAGGGTACTCTTTCAAATTAGGTCGTGAACTTTTCGAAATCGTTGGGCACAGCAAATTTCCACTGTGACAAGTACGATTTTTCCCCTAAAAAAACAAACACAAGGAGCCTTCGAAGGAAAGACCAAAGAAAGATGACGCGTGTAGAGAGACGGGGGGGATAGGTTGGGAGAGAGGGGAGATGATATGTGGGAGAAAAGAGGATGAAGAAGTTTGTGTGAGGGAAGAAATTGTGAGAACAGGGAAGAAGGCGGCGGGAGAAAAAGGGACAAGTGCAGGCAGAAAAAAAAGTCGGGAGGCAAAAGTCGAAAAAAAAAGCCTTGGTTACTGCGAGGAGTGGCCCAAAGAGGTTTAGCGCGGCTAGGGGCCCCCGAGGCAGGTGAAAAAGTCGACTGAAAAAAATTAAACGGCGGCCATTGGTTGGTGTCTGGTAGGCGGCCACTGGCGCTGTAGAGGCGCTGAAGGCCACTGTAGCACAGTGGTTTTGGCGCGACACAGGGCGGTGAACGCCATAAGGTTTACAGACTGACGGTCAGGCCGAAGTACCTGACCCGCCAATTTCGGTGCGCAAGGTACTTGGTACCTGGATGACTTCACTAGGCGAGTACAAACAAGAATGGCTCTGTTTGCGCTGCTCTGCCGCGATGTATTAGTGTTCGTCGACATCGATGAGTCTCCGTAGATGCGCACCGCAAGTAGGGTACATTTACAACAATGGTTTGTTCACATTGTGATGCGTTAACAGGTTTCTAGTCCTACATGCGCGTACTACTATTCAGAGCAGAGAGAATCACAGATAGACACCAACAACGTCGATTCAATTTCGTTCCACGTAATAGTACAGACGTTTTTTTTACGTCATTGTTGTAAGTTCATGTTTCCTCAATTGGTATTTTATCCCAGTTAAGCACACTTGACGATCTTGTCGTCGTCGAATTCTATATCCACAATGCCATCCGCCTTGATAGCCTTAACTATCATACCCTTGAAATCAATGGGTAAACGTCGCTTAAGCTCATCTGTGCAAAGGTTCAAAAGCTTAATTCCTTGGCCAAGAGTGATATCGGGATGGTGGTGCTTGTCTAGGATAGACAAGCAATAGTACCTAGGGAAGGAGAGTCAGCATGTCGTCCGCCATCATTCCGGACAGAGTGTCACCCAAGATAGGATGACTAGAAATAGATTTAACATACTGAGCGTATCCATGAGCAGCATATGGAACTTCGGCCATTGATGCAAGGTAATCCATCCAGTACAGATGGGGCTTGCCTGTGATGGGGTCAACACCGCCCATCAGCAGGTTGACAGTGTATGGCTTTCGTGATCGAAGGCTGGATGCAAGTTCGCCGCGAACGTAGTGTGCAAGACCCGATGGTGAGAGGTCGGTTTCATTTCGCATCGAGTAAAGCTGCGCATTTCTTTGGATGTATTCGGCAAATTGGACTGTAGAGATATTGGTTAGCCATGGCAGCGCCATTATTATATCGGTAGCTCAGCATGTAGCATACTTGTATCACCAGCTTCGCCTGAGAAGGCCATCAATGTGTTCTTGTTCAACTCTCTTGTCTTGTCGTCGGAAGCTTTGAGGACTGTTGCCCCTCTCATGGCAGCTTTCGATGCTGCAATGAGGGTAAAGTCTTTGCCTGTAATGCCAAGTAAAACCTCCCTGCGCAACGTTAATTAAGCTGGCCCTAGCTTTACATCGGTATTCCACGTCAACCTACATGATGTGTATGTCGCTATAGCGTTGTCGTGGTGATTCAATGTGCGATGCTTGGAGATGGCCTTGGGGTGATGTGGTCGCCCTCTTCGCAAGCTGTGCTGGCGCCTGGCGTACTAGGCTGTAGCAACTGCGCGTCAACTCACTGGGCGGAGCCACAGTGGCTGGTAAGCATTTTGGTGCAGGGCGCCACGTTCGCCTGGCCCGGAACCACTATAACCCGATCAAGCGTTATCATTCGCCAGCGCTGACCTTCAGGTGGAGACCCTTGTTCTTTCCTACTGTGGACCATACTGAACTTTTTTTTTTTGGCAGCGACTACTTTGGCGGGACAAGAAAAAAATTGACTGCAACGGGCGATTAAGAAAAACGACATCAACACACCATCATGTCGTCATTCTTTGCCGTCCCTGGCGCTCAGAAAAAGCGAAAGAGAGATACCGCAGCCCCATCAACAACCCCTCAGAAAAGGGTCGCTGCTGGCAAGCTTAACGGCCGCGCAGCAGGCAAGCCCGGAACATCCAAGAAACCTGTCGAGGATGACGACGAATCGATTTCTGGTAGCGATTCGGACGATGACTTGAGCATGGGTGACGCTGGTGATGCCGATGATCGCTCCGAGGGCAGTAGCTCTGGAGATGAAGAGGAAGAAACCGCTGCAGAACGAAGACTTCGACTTGCGGAACGATATCTCGAGAATGTCAAGGAGCACGTGGACGAAGCTGGATTCGATGCTGCCGATATCGACAGAGATATGATTGCCGAGCGTCTTCAAGAAGATGTTGCCGAGTCTAAAGGTCGAGTTTATCGCCAATTGGCTCCCGAGCTGGCCCTGTCCAAAGCTTCGCAAACATTCTTCCGAACCAATACCAACGCAGTCACCTCTGTATCCGCATGCGCCCCCTACTTCTACACTACCTCAAAAGATATTTTCCTACACAAATGGAAAACTCAGGATCTTCCGAAAGACCAATTCCCCCAGACGACTCGCAGAAAATCGAAGAAAGCCCCCGCGCCACCTAAAAAGAAGCCCGAGCTCGAACAATGGATCAAGGGCAACTCAGCAAAGTCGAAAGAGAAATACTACAAAAGACATACTGGCCGTATTCTAGCGGTAGCAGCCTCGCCTGATGGCAAATACGTTGTCACTGGCGGCGAGGATAAGAAGATTATTACATACGATGCGGAAACGCTCAAGCCTATCAAGGTACTAACACACCACCGTGATGCTGTTACCGGTTTGGCCTTTCGAAGAGGCACCAATCAGCTCTATTCGTGCTCCAAGGACCGAACGGTTAAAGTCTGGAGCTTGGACGAGATGGCTTACGTGGAAACTCTGTTTGGTCACCAGGATGAGATTGTCGACATTGATGCCCTCGCGCAAGAGCGATGTGTGAGTGTCGGTGCTCGTGATCGCACTGCCCGTTTATGGAAGGTTATCGAGGAAACACAGCTTGTCTTCCGTGGCGGTGCTGGAGATAAAAAAAATCGTCCTGGTGTCGATCCACGATCGTTGCTCCGCGAGGGAAGCATGGACCGCATTGCCATGATCGACGAGGACCTCTTTGTTACAGGAAGCGACAACGGATCGATATCCTTGTGGAGCGCTCAGAAGAAGAAGCCCGTGTATATCGAACATCTCGCACATGGTATTGACGAGCCCTTGGACCCTCATTCTGCATCTGCCGAGCAAAACCCCTCCGATTCCGCTGTACCAGCCCCAACCCCGCGCTGGATCACAGCGCTCAAAACAATACCCTACTCGGACATCATCCTTAGTGGCAGCTGGGATGGCCACGTGCGAGTCTGGCAACTCTCGGAAGACAAGCGTAAGATTGAACCACTTGGCGTTCTCGGTGGCCACTTGTCTGGTGACGAGACTAGTAACGCTGACGAAGACTTCGAGAGAGAAAGCAGCACCAAGCCAATTTCTGGAGTTATTAACGACATTGCTGTATTTGAACGCGGCGAACGTGGAAAGGATGGTATTTGCGTTATTGCCGCAATGGCCAAAGAGCACCGTTTTGGCCGCTGGAAGGTTGGCAATGGCGTTCGCAATGGAGGTGTTATTTTTGAAGTTCCGCGCTTGGATAAACGCGCACAAAATGGTGTTCATACAAAGGAGGAGGACGACGAGGCTGACGAGTAGGGCATCTGGTATCATAATTTTGTACATATATCACAATGACGCACATGTCGTGACCATACCCATTAGCATTGGCGTTCAAAAGACAATTTTGTTTCAAAGACTGAATATCCGTAACGCTTTCAACTAGAGACTATTACTATCGGGTCTCGAAATTCTCCCATTTCTATTCTAATCTAACCCCGACTCGGGCAAAATCTTGTGATGTAGTGGGAGCATACCATCACAGCAAGAGTCGATGGCAGTTGTGACAGGATTATATAGAGCAAATATGGGTGTAGCTTGACAGACGAAGTTTAAATTGGCAGAAAGAAATAAAACAGAATTTCTTTGTATAGATTAAACCTCACGGGTATCAGCTACCTTGCTCCTGCCGATATACATATAATGTATCAAAATAAACAAAGCACCGTAAGGCACGTTGGCCGTATAATGCCGCTAAATGAACAATGAAATACAAAACCAATCTGACGTACAGTTGAAGAATTCAAAAGGCAGGTAGCTGCATCCCATGTCAAAATACGAAACAGAGTTGATATGTTACCATCCATTCATAGAATCAGAGAATGTAATCATTATTCGTAAAGGTTGGTGGGCTGTCGGCTTCATTGTCGCCGGCGCACTTGCTTTTCCGCCAAATATACATGCCTGCGGCTCGCTTTCGTGTCGATACTCTCCACTTTTCGATCGTGGTGAGGTCTCAGTGGCCATGAGAGGCGTTTCGCACTCGAATCAGTGGTAGACTTTGGTCTTTTAACAGTCGAGTGATATTTCATGCTAGGCTCCTCGTCAGATTCAATTCTCGCCTTTCGCTTTTCTCCAACAAGCCCAGGTGTAGGAGAGCTTGCAAGCTGTTTTATCAGTGGGTATTGCGAGCGCGATGCTTCAGAAGCACGGGCCCCCATAGTGTTGTCCTCTTTGGTGGGAGAGCTGCGCGCCGAGTAGAACTTTTCATCAGCCAACTGCTCATCATCAAGTCGAGCCGCGAAGCGGTAGGCTTCTGCCGATGCAGGCCTCTTTTCAAGTACATCGGTCTCTATAGCCTTCAGAGTTTGAGGTACAGGTGACGAAATTGCCGCTGCTCTAGCTGCCTTTCGTGCTAGCTTTGCCTGCCGTTCCTGATCATCCTGTTCTTCGTGTAGTTTGAATATGAGATCACGCAGATCCGCTCGTAGTTTTGACGGATTAATCGACCACTCAACGCTCTCCCGGTTGCTCATCTTTTCGAAGGCATACTCTGGGTCCTGGAGAAAAAGCTCCATATAGGCAATCAAGAAGATTCCACAATCACAATAATTATCTTGCTGTGGCAGGCCATACTTGGCCGTCAAGCCAATCGCCGATGTACCAACAATTCCCTTCTTATCTTTAGCTTCATCCACAAGGTATGACTTGAGTACCCTAATTGTCGTGGGGTGATTATTACCCAGGGAATCTAGCGTAATGATCCTTGGCGCCTTGATCGCTCTCTTATCAATTCCGTGTTCTGATTTAAACTGGCCATGTTTGGACGCTGGTGACAGATCCTGGCCAGGGCGCTGTCTTGTTTGCCGCTGTACATTGTGGTCATCGATATTAATTCCTGATATGTCTTTTTCAACTTCTGCTAGCGGAGACCGAGGAGTCAATTCGTCGCCTCGGCTCATATCACCATCGTCAAGGTTGTTGGCGGGAAGTGTGTGGCCAGGATTTGCAATTATAACCAAGTACCAATGCATGTATTCGTTGACTGGTAGAAAGACATAATCGAAATCGAAAAGATCAATTTTGGAAGTCCAAGATCGAACACCATCGAAGGCAGAGGAACCATTTGTGGGTTTCTGGCGTAGCTTATCATAGAAGAAGGAATTGAAAAAGTGAACTTTTCGAGCTAGTTCAGGTTGGAACTCCTTTAATCGCTCCTGGAAATAACGAAAATAAAACGTTATGAGGTTGTCGTTGAGATACTCGCCTTCGTCTAACCGTGCGATATCCTCTAGATCAACAGTTGCCCTGTTCTTTCCAACCATTGGATAAGTCAGGGGGGTGGACCAAAGCTCCCTCCAACCAGGATTTAGTTCCGTCCATGTCTCTAATGGTTTTTCCCGGCGAGGTGCTGGAGAGGATTTGGTAGAGCTTCTTGTTTCCCGTATATTGCGTGTTTCCGGCCAGTCGGTAACACGTGAATCAGTAATTGATTTTCCAAGTTCAGGTGCTCCCGGCTGGTTGTTGAGCTTTGAAGACGTCTTTTTAATCGAAACAGGTATACTGCTATGGCTTTTAGAGGAGGCAGTAGCATCTGGTTTTGGAGGCTTTGTAACAGTGATCTGAACCGTCACAATCTGCTTCTTCCCTGATTCCCCATGTTGCGGTAACTCTTTGTCAAGTTGCGTGGATTTGGTGGCTTTTTGTCGGTAAATGTCGGTAGTCCTCCATGCTTCCTCCATCGTCTTCTTAAGACGGGTTCTAATACAATTGTCAGTATGGTATTCAACCACTGGGCATGTATGCTCTTACTGATCCATAATCTTTGCTTTTGTACCCATCTGTTCGACTATATAGTCAACGGACGTCAGGTTTTCAAATTCGAGGAGCAACGTGGCCGGTGCATCGGCACTTCTCGGTCTGTTGACCAAGATAATAGAGCATCCAGGCGCATATCGAACATTCGTCAGCATCTCAAAGGTTAGGCGAAGCCATTTGAAGTCTTTTCCGTCCCCAGTACTGGCAAATGGTCGGCCTATACCAGGCGTAGTTGAATGACAACGAATAGATAAGTTCCTGGCTGACTCATCACCGTTCTCATACATAAATCGACCTGATAATGCTCTTCGAAGCTTCATGACTACATAGTTTGCTTTCTTTAATGGCTGTGAGTGTTCTTGGGTCGGTTTCTTTGTTAAACTGGCTGTTTTTAACCGGGAAACATCATCATCGGAATCTTCAATACTATCGAGTCCATCACCCAGAACCGGGCTTGGCATACGATATGGTGACTGTTGCTGTTGTGTTTTTTTGCGAGATGTGGTTATATCTGATTCAATTCGACTCGGCGATGGCGACGGAGTCGATATTCGATCTCTCAGCGTCGATTCGCTTACATCCGAATCATTTGTCAAGTCCATATGCCCACGAGAACGACGACCACGAGATCGTTTTTGTGACCCTGACGGCACTGACGGCACACGGAATGCAGGGGCTGCTCCAACATCGCGAATCGTTTTGGTTTTGGTAGCACTTGATACACTGATCATATCATCTTGTGAATCGTACATTGAATCATCGAATGATTCTTGCGTTGTGGCGCTTTTGGGTGGTCGCTGTGTGGGGAAGTATGGACTATGTCGGTGGCCAGTTGGCTTATCAGTATCATCTCGTCGTCGTTGCTTGAGTGGTTGACTATCGGCCATTCTAGTGACACCGAGGGTCTTTCGATTAGGACTGTCAAGCGTGTTTATCGGAATCGGCGCCCCGATTCTATTTATCTTCCTCTATGGCAGTAAAAGTTAATGTCGTCCTGGGTAACTCAAACGAACGGCGTAGCTCACCACGAACTGCGATCCCATTGTGCCTCTAGACGCCCTTTGCGGCGAATCAGCAATCTAGATTCTTGTTGTTTTGGGACCGTGGCTGTGCGGCTTACCCATAGTCCGGGAATGAGTTGGCTTCAGATCGATATCTTGCGAAAGGACTATGTAGCAGGGTCAGTCTTGCAGCTCTTGCTCGCAGGCTTAGGCGACCATACTCATACGGGGCTCTCTGGGTTTTCTTATTCGTCTCGGACTTTGGCGACTGTGTCTTACTTTTACCGTCCAGCTTGTCGACTGGGTCACGAGCGGCTCGTGAACGCTCCTGTGTCGTGATCAAACGTGTTCGAAGATGCGGAGCTTCTTGGGCTCATACAAGAGCGCCAGCAGCTGTAGTAGGTGGTGTCGGTTTGGCAGGTCCTTTAGTTTCTCTAGAAGCAAAAGCTTTCTTACAAGACCCGAAAAATAGAAGTTATAAGCACTCGGAACAAAGACACTGGCGGGGCTGGAGATGCGACCAAGATATTTTTTAGTGGAGCGCGAGCTCACGCGTGCAGGTGCCAGGCAGCTGTGAGGGAAAGTGCGACTTCGGTCGTGACTGCCCATAGTAGCTTGTCACTGCCTGCTGCTACCCGGCAAGGCAGTATGAGCCAGCACGATTCGCGTATGCTACACCAAGACACTCTTAAATATTTTTTAAAATGCAGGTACATTGATTTTGAGAATTTAATTAATTTAATCCTTTCTTATTACTGTCTTCAGTTATCCATTTTTGCCTAATATGATCATATATCGCTCTCAAGCATGTTTTATATGTCGTACGCTGGCCACCAACATAAGACGCATAGTAACCAAAGTAAATTAAAATAAGTTCACTTTCTAAGTTGGCGGTACAGAAATTTTAAAACATATAATTAGCATATCCAAACGCATAAAATATTTAAATTATATTTTCCTGTAAGCCAAAAGATATCCAATCCGCCGTCCTTAAGCATGGGCCCGTTGGTAGCGAACGCCAAACTTGAGCTCCCCACTCTAAACGTGTCCTGATTCGCGACTTCATGGCTATGGGAGACATGCGCATTGCAACAAGCATCAGCCACTTGCTCCAATCCGCATCAACAATACGTGCGCCGCCGTCATAAATACGGTGTCCCACCCGTATATCACTCGCTCAACATGTACAACAGCTTCACCAGAATTCAGAATGTCTTCGGCTTCTTCACAACAGTAGCCTGCTTCTTTGGCGCCTTCATCGCTGCCACGGACCTCTTCGCTGCCAGAACGCCATCCGGCGTCATCAAGGCCGACAGCCTTCAAGTGTACGTCCCCCGAATGAACAATTGACCACACAGAGTGACCAAATGCTAATCAGAGCGGGTAAAATATAGTGTCAAGGGCCGCCCGCACTACTACAGCTCCAAGAAGGAGGAGTACGCCATCATCCGATTCTCCCTCGACGCCGATCTCTCGAGCCTCTTCCACTGGAACACGAAAGAAGTCTTCGTATACGTAACAGCAGAATGGCCTGGCCCTAGGAACACAACAAACTCTGCCGTCATTTGGGATAGCATTATCACGAATCCTAGTGCCGACCATCTCCAGAACATTGGCCCCGTCGCCATGAAGAAGCTCAAGCGTAGTGCTGAGGGCAAGACTGTTGACCCTAGCCGGTATGTTGACAGGCAGAACTTCAAAAAACCTAATCCAATAGCAATTACTAACTGTATATAGTGGCATCCTGAAGCTCAAGAACCAGAAGCCCAAGTACCAGATCACACACCCCAGCGGCAAGATCGCGAGCACAGAAGACGTTACCCTGAAACTCAACTACAACGTCCAGCCTTGGGTAGGCCTACTTACCTGGAACATGAACCAGAAAGTCGGGCTTTGGAATACCATTGAGGGTGGTGAAAGTGAAAAGGTCCAACTCCCAGCCTTGAAAGTGAAGGATGCTAAGAGCACCAAGGACACAAAGAAGAGCAAGGGAAAGAAGAAGACGGCATAATAAGAGCTAGACCTGATTGGGGAACATGATACAGAAATAAAAAACAAAATTTCACAAACCACAATGACGTGTATTATACTTGGATAGGATTGTGTGTATTGATGCTAAGCATATAAGCGATTGACAGATTTGGGAGCTATATACTATGTAATATCTTCGCAACTGGACAGCGTACCAAACAAGGCGGCCAAAGCAATGCAGAGTATAGCACTGACAGTGACAGTGTCCTATAACCTCCAAATTATTCGTGCTTGGCTTGACCACCATTGCCGTTGTTACCACCACGGCTTCTGTTGGGACCACCGCGGCCTCTGCCACCTCTGCCACGACCACGGTTTGATCCGCGAGGGGCATCCAGAGCCGCAGGTGGAGGCACATTGCCGTACATCTGGGCTGGTTCACCAGAGGCTGCGTTGCCGTGGCTATTGCCTGTTGCTTGACCGCCACGGCCACGGCCACGGCCACCTCGTCCGCGGGATCCGTTTCCGTTTGTGTCCTTGTTACCATTGGGACCATCACGATAAACTAGATTACTGTGGAGAAGGTTAGGAGCTTTACCTCCACGGCCATTGACAGCACTGCTCCATCCACCTTGGAGAGCCGCTGGCGCATCGGCATCTTTGTACTGGGCTACACCAACAGAGCCATAAGATCCAGTTGTAGACTTCTTCGTTTCGGCGTCCTTTCGCTGCTGGGACTTGCTCGAGGCAGAAATGATCTGCTTATTGGTGGTATTCAGCACGCTGGATGCTGCGACGGTTTGTCCACGGAACATGGGTGCACGTTCGCCCAATGTGGTGCCGCTCATGAAAGAGTTGTCCCAGACCACATCTAAGAGTAGAGCGGTCGCGGTTCGGCTGATGCCGACAACTGTGCCTCTGGTAGCAAGGGGAACCTTGCCGCGGTCAGCAACAAAGGTGACACGGTCACCCAGTTTGAATGATTGACTACCAAGGACCATCTCAGCATCACTAGGCTTCAAAATGGCGGTTCGGGGCACACCACGAAGCTTGCGAACATCAACCTCCTGAGCGGCCTTACCGGCAGCCTCGCCAGCCTGAGCAAGAGTCATGACAATCTCGGAGTCTAGCTGCTCGGCTTCCAAGGGAACCTTCTCAAACTTGCTAGTCTCCTGCTTCTTCAACCATGATGAAATTTCTTTGACACGCTGAGAGGCAACAGCGGGATCTTTCCACAAATCTGATTCGTGAACATCACTCTTTTGTGCTTCTCGCTGAATAGCAGCGAAGAAATCAGGGAAAGTAACCATGTAATCAGCAATGAGTTGTAAGGCAAGGTTGCTAAACTCCCAACCAGTGTTGGATTTGCGAGAATAGCCCAAGACCTTCATCTTGCGGCCCTCAAATTTAAGGTTGAGACCAAGATTAAGTTTCAGGCCAGCAGAGCTGAGGACCTGGTACGAAGAGGTAATCTTGCTCAGAATCAACGGATGAACGCCGAGCTGTTTGGCGACAGCAAACGAAGGGGTGTACTTATTGTTGCGTTCCGCTTGCTGAATAACTTGTTTGGCAAATTCAGGCTCCTTATTCTTGTTCAGAGAAAGAACGAGCTCCGTCTTGCCATTGATATGGCCGGTGATTTCTAGGGGGCGACCATAGGCGTAATCACCCAAGAAGAATGCTCTCGTGCCAACAGGGAACTCTTCCTCAATAGGCAAAGCAGCCCGCTCAATGAATCGCTGATCTTCGTTGGTGACGCTATCAACAATAGTTTGTGAAGCATATGTCTTTCTGATGCTGGGATTCTCGGCATATTCTTTGATCAGCGCGCCATCATCGGTCTTCAAGAGGCCCTTGAGCATTTCCACCGTCACGAGCGTATCCACTTGGCCAATGGTGATACCAAGGCGCTTAGCATGCCAGTTTTCAAGGTGCTCAGACTCTTTGGCAAAGTCAGATGCCTCTCGGTTGCTGTGATCTTTCATAGCAATTGTCTTGCCATCGTCTTGCAGCACATAAGAGAATAGCTCATCCTCAATCTTGACAATTTTGGCCTCTTGAAGGAATGGGTATCCAACAAAGCATTTCTGTCCTAGCTTAGCCTTCCATCCCTCAGTGTTTGTTCGACTGGCAGTGTCTGTAAGTGTTACGACAACACTAGGGTTGCGGCTGTCTGCTTGGAAAACGTTGATGCCTGCTCCCTCTACGAGCTGGGCAGTGAAGGGCAGGGTATAGAGAGAGGGGAAACCAGACAACGCATTGGCACTCAAGAGAGCCCCCTCAGTCAAACCTGACAGGTATTTGCGTCCCTCCATGTTAGGCAGCTCAAAGATGTTCTCAATGCAGCGACATCCTTGGATTTCGGGGAAGATACCAGGGAGGGGCGAGGGATAGACAAAGTTAACTTCCGACGAATACGTAAACTTCAATGGCACACCGAAGCCGTTGCGGCTTTTCTCTGCCGGAGTCAATGCGTCATTCTTTGTGGCCATTGCATCCAGGAGACGCTTCTCATCAATGAACGGGATCTTCACAACAGCTTCCCATTCCATCTTCTTCCCATTCATATCCAACTCGAAGTCTCGGGGGTAGAAGTCAATGATAGGCGAGGCAGGATTGGTCATGAGATCGTGGTATGCGACGGGAACAATCTTTTTACTTCGGTCAGGAAGCACACCCATGAGTTGTTCGTAGGGCTTAAACGGTTGACCCTTCTTGAAGTTCATATCCGCACCAATGCCTTTGGATACATCTATTCTGTCTGTTAGTGATATCCCCCTTTAAAGTCATGCGAATTATAAACCTACCAGTGATCAATGGGGCGTAGTGGAAAGCGTAGAACCAAGGCCACGAAACAATGCCCTTGTAGTAGTAGTAGAGAACCCATTGCAAGCCTTGAACATAGTTTTCACAGAGTCGAATCTGCTCGTATGCGTACTTGTCTTCTGGCCATTCCTCGAACTTGCCCAAGTAGTATTTGGTTTTCCATGCCTTGTAGCTCTTCTGATACTGTTCCTCATACTTTTCGTCCGAGTTGGCGTCCACGACGATGGCCTTGTCATAAGACTTCATGACGCGATAGGCAGCGAGGTTGCCCTCTTCTTCGTCGTCATCATCGTCACCGTCACTGTCCAATCTGGGAGGGAAAGAGATGATCAAGTGTCTGAAACCACTGTCGTCTTCCTTGGTGGACCAATCTAGATGCATCGCGTCTGCGATCTCTTGCGCAAACTTGCGATCTTCCGATTCGAGGCTCGTTCCGAGATCGAGTACGTCGTTGGATCGTTGCGCAACGTAGGGACGAATCTTCTGCTTCCAGAGGTCTCTCTGGGTAGCAGTGATAATGCGCTGCCCCCCTTTGGAGACAGGCTTTTGGTTGGCCATGGCCTTTTCTTGCATCTTAAGCTCCATTTGCTTTGTCGCGAACCACTTTTCATCTGCCACATCGGATTCGAATTGACGGAACTCAAACTTGCCCAACTCTCCAAGCAACATTTCGAGCCGAGGAAGATTGATTTCACCATCTTCGTGCAAATAGCCCTCTACCTTGGGGAGGACACGTTTGTAGATTTCAAACATGGCGGCTAAAGCGCCTTCATTAATATGCAGCCCCGGCAGGTTCGGTAAGAAATCGTTACCGACGAAAAAGCCCATGAGAATAAAATCATCAATAATTCGTTCAAGATCGTAAGGGAAGCTGAGGACGCCGGGTTTCTGCAATTCTTGGAATTCCATGGCCAGATATTCTCGAACAATGCAGAGATGGAGCAGATAGAAATTCTGGTGCTCCAGTTCCTTGGATTTGTTTTTGGATGTGCGTCCAAATGTGACTTCTTCACGCAAGAGACAGAAGTGAGGATCGTGGCTGAGGAGACCCAGCATGATCAAATCAGCGTCCAGTCCATACAGACAGTGACGGATATTGGGGTTATATCCTGGCTGCGCCTTTGCATTGCGGATATACTCCATAATTTTGTGTTCACCTTCACCAGGAACTTCATGTCCTGACAAGACGATTTCACAGCCTTGCCAGTCAGTATCCTCAGTTACCTTTTTATTGACAAAGTATCGCAATTGTTGAGAGAGCTTGGCCATAAACTCGGTACCTGGAGTAATACAGTTACTGTCGAAAGGTTCCTCCTTGGGCATTTCAACGCCCTCTTTGATTGCCTTTTCGCGCGCAACTTCGGCGTCGAGGGCGGTTCGGAAACGACGGGCACGTTGTTGGTTCATTTTCGCTCTAGGAGCGACACCATCAATGGCCATAAAGAAGAGTTGTTTTGGTTTGATTTTGCCGAAGAGATGTTCGATATAATTGAATATCCGAATGAACATTTCTTCTTCGCTTAAACGAAATGTAGTGTCTTCGCCCGCATCCTTATGGGTGCAGTTGTGAATAATACCGTTCATATCAAGATATAAGCAGTCAAATTCGGGTATACGGTTCTCGGCAATGAGTTGAGAAATCGAAGGATAGCGCTCAGAGAGCCATCTGAAGAACTTGGGGACACCCATGGTGACTAGAGGAGGCGATTGAGCAGCCTAGAGATTGGCCACAAGCAGCGGTAGTGGTAGTTGGTAGTTTGTAGTGGTGGTTAAAGTAGGACGCTTAGAATGGCGAACTACTGCCTGATTGCAGTGTAGTATGCTTTTGTTGCGTAACTGTGCAGGATGCGACGGAGAGTAATCGACGTGACGAAATGCGCTCTTGAAAAATAACGAGCTCGTTAGTCGAACAAGGCGAAAAAAGAACAGCAGAAAGGATAAGATAAACAATCGACGTTACGCCGCAAATAGCCTGCGCTCCCCAAAAAGCAAACAAATCTTGCCGCGGAAAGGAGGAGGTGATGGTTTGTTGTGTCGTAAGGAAGCCAAGCTGTGACTCGTCTGCGTGCAGTGGACTGAATCTCGCTGGTGTTGGCGGGGCAGATTCGCTGGTGCCACGGCGCTGTGTGTGCGTTGTCCGAGCCTCAGGCGCATCTTTTTTGACCCGCCACCCGCAAACGACCCTGTAGCAAATCCTGACTAAGCTTTTGGCAGGCATCAAGCAAGAGCCTGTCCCACTAACCTCCAAGCTACTGCTGGGTGCTTCACTTTACGCGCGACGCGTGCTAACTGTGCCGCCCGCCTTTCCTTCCTACCAGTCACCGCCATTATTGCACTGCAATTGTGACGCCAGACCAACAAGGCGCATTCCTAAATCGATCTAATTTGACGCTGCGAGTCTGATTTATTTAACTTCCAACCTTTGAGACAACTCCCGAACTGAAAGCGCCGACGAGGATTTTATTTCAGAATGGCACCCCCTCCCGTCGCCGAACCCGACGTTGATGGTAAGAAGGCAACATGCCGTAGTGGATTGTGTTTCTAGCTCTCTACTAACAAGTTGTAAATCAACAGTCGATATGACCCGCGAGGAAGATGACGATCAGGGCGAGAGACTCATCAATGAAGGTAACAAAACCTAGCTATGCTGTGTCCAATCGCAAGCGCTAACTTGGTCTCAGAGTACAAGACTTGGAAGAAGAACAGTCCTTTCCTCTACGACATGATTCTTGGGTATGTATTTGGAGATTGGATTGTCATTCTTTTCTCTTCGCTAACCTCTCTAGCACCGCATTGACTTGGCCAACACTTACCGTTCAATGGTTTCCCGATGTCAAAGATCCTGCCAATGAAAACTACCGATTGCATAGACTGCTACTCGGCACACACACTTCTGATGCCAGCACAAACTATCTCCAAATTGCTGATGTCCAAATCCCCAAGACTGTCTCCCCCGATCCCGACAACTATGACGAAGAACGAGGCGAGATTGGTGGATACGGCAAGCCTGGCAATGTCGCTGCTATCAAGTGCGACATCGTCCAGAAGATTGAGCACCCCGGCGAGGTGAACAAGGCTAGATACCAGCCACAAAACCCTGACATCATCGCTACATTCTGTGTTGATGGCCGAATTCTCATCTTTGACCGCACGAAGCATCCCCTTCAGCCTACTGCTCTCGGAAAGGTCAACCCTCAAATCGAACTCAGCGGCCACAAGTCTGAAGGCTATGGCCTAAGCTGGAACCCCCATGAAGAAGGCTGCCTGGCTTCTGGCAGTGAAGATAAGACTATGTGTCTTTGGTATGATGCTTAACAGCGACCATTTATGATGTATTTGCTAACGAACTGGATACAGGGATCTTAAGACTGTCGAAGCTGATGTCAAGGTGCTGAAGCCCGACAGACGATACACGCATCACAGCCAGGTCGTCAACGATGTCCAGTACCACCCGTTCTCCAAGCACTTCATCGGCACCGTCTCCGACGATCTTACTCTTCAGATCGTCGACGTTCGAAGCAGCGACTACAGCAAGGCCGCTCTGGTGGCCAAGAATGGACACTCGGACGCTATCAACGCCTTGGCCTTTAACCCTAACTCGGAAGTCCTGGTCGCTACTGGCTCTGCCGACAAGACCATAGCTATCTGGGATTTGCGAAATGTCAAGGAGAAGGTCCACACCTTGGAAGGCCACACAGACGCTGTGACGTCGCTATCGTGGCACCCTTCAGAGGCTGGCATCCTCGGCAGTGGCAGCTACGACAGAAGAATCATCTTCTGGGATCTTGCCAGAGTCGGAGAGGAGCAGCTCCCCGACGACCAGGAGGATGGCGTTCCTGAACTGTAAGTATCATCGTTGGCACGATTTCAAAGAGCCAAACGCTAATTCTACATCTTTAGTCTTTTCATGCACGGTGGCCATACAAATCACTTGGCTGACTTTAGCTGGAACCCCAATGAGCCATGGCTCGTCGCCAGTGCTGCTGAAGACAACTTGCTTCAGATTTGGAAGGTTGCCGACTCTATTGTGAGCAAAGATGATGGTGAACTTCCCATTGATGAGCTCGACCGATGAATGTGATTGCACCAGAATTTATGGCGGCGTTAAAAGCAGGACCTGGACCGCGTAACTTACGTAGCCACATCCGGAAAACGATGTTGATCCTGATGTTTTTGTATTTTCAGACTCGTAAACGGTCTCGGGATTATTAAGTATAGGGTGTTTTTATTTTTACAATTCCTTTTTACAACTTCCTATATAAGTGTATCTAATCTGTCTGTTTGTGAATAAGCCATCGTTTGTCAGTCTGTGTGAATGACTGGGTTGCTAGACGGGATTCACCTTGCGTTCACATCCCAACACGCCCAACTCGAGGTTCCACCTCTCTCAGTTCCCGACAACGTCTGCTTATCACCTGCCATTAACCAACGAAAACGATCAAATTAAGATGGCTCCGAGTCCGGGTTCAAGTCAACAGCAGCGATCTCCATGTTCTTCCAACGACAGCGTAAAACGAAAATACCAAGGTGACGGCGAAGCAGCTTCTCCAAAGCGACGTAAATCGGGCGATAGCGAATTGGGACGATACTTTGACAATGATGATACGCAAGCAGAGGCCGACAAAAAAACAAAGCATGCTATTGAATCTGCCAAGTTCACCAACATTTTGACCGCCATGTGCGAGAACACCATCTTGGTGACAGAACTTGGGAAACATCTTCCCGTAAGGGACATATTGACACTATATTCTACTGTTCGCACTTTCCATCAATCAGTCAATGCCTATTTATTGTCTAATATTCGAAGCTGGGTGGAATATAAAGCCCCAGATGCAGGTCGAATATTCCCCTTCCAGTTCTATCGGCGTCACCTCGTCCCCGATCCTGCTGGCAGAAGCTGGGAGCAGCAATACGAATCTGGGCAGCCAGTTCAAGCCATAGATGACGATCAAATAAAGGAAGTCCGCAACGTACCTGGGCTGAAGTATCTACAGCTCGTTCTTGGCCGGGATCAACGATGTCGAGAGATGAAGGCAATCCTGGCTCGCAATGGTCACCGGTTCCCCCCGTCTATACACTCAACACTGTTGAAATTGTGGCTGCTAATGGACATCGCGACAACTGCCCAGCGAGGAGCTCTGCTTCGAAATAGGAATGTTTGGACAGACATCGATCTGTACAATGCGCAAATGTTCTTTGTCAAACTGGGATTGCACTTCAACGATCCTATATACGGGCCGCGATCTTACGAACTGCTCCATCTTATGATGGGCCAAAAGGGCCTCTTTCCACTATGGCAGCTGCTCTTGCGCAAACGGTTCACAACGGTGATTGAAATCCTGGAGCTGAAAGTGCGATATGACTTTCAAACACCGCCGGACCATTGGGCTCACGAATACTATGGGGAAACCATTTACGGTGTCCCATTTGACGAGATTGGTGTAATGCACTTGGAAGGATGGGGCAAAGGAACGAAGCATCTACTACGACCAGACGAACTCGTACCTATCGAAGCAACTTCTCGTGGTCTTCAGCTACAGCATCATATAGTACACATGATGATTTGGGGGTATATAAATCGAGAGACTGGTGATAACTTGGTACCTAGCCTAGAGGAGCTCCATTTGTCTGATGAAGAGACACTGTTGAAGAATGTCGACACAAGCCACCACTGGAAGCCCAAACATGCCCTGAAGAAAAAGTGGCATAAGCTCAGCCCGGAACAACAGCAAGAGATTATGGACGACGACGAGGATGAGCGTCTGCGAGCAATGGCATGGTGCGGTGATGACAGTGATGCATCGTCGAGTTCCAGTGGCGACGATTCGAACATGGCATTCCCTTATGACCCCAACGACGAAATTGAACGAGGGTTTATTGTACAGACACAGGATAAAGACCACCAGTCGGATGTACCAGCGCTGGATGACCAAGCGGCCTGGCGAGACTTTATCAGCGAGGCAATGGAAGGGCTCGCTCTGGAAGTGGATGATGATCAGCTATTACGAGCTCAACCGTTTCTACAGTATACAACAGAAGACGAGGCAGATGAATGGGACTGGGAAGAGATGCTTAGACAATCAAGAGAAGTACCTGAAGAGTATGGTACCATTGACGCGACACACGACACCTCTGGTGATGAAGGCGATACGACGCTGGATGCTAATGACGGAGATGATGAGTTTCCATATCACGAGATAAATAGCACATTGTAGACGGTCAAGCTGACGCAAATGGTTGAATATAATAACAGACAACAAAAATACACAAAAGAAAACATGTCCTATCCGTCCCTGTCTAAAATTCCAAAGACAACAACCAAAAGCGCACCCACCAGGGCCAAGAAGTAGAGCACTGAATGCCAACATAAAATCCTTGAGGGGCGGCATGCTCCCAGTTCGCTTTTCTCTCGTCCCCTTCTATTCTGGGTGAGAAGTTTTTGCTTTTGTCCAACACACCTTTCGCTATGCATTCCGTCCGTAACCCCGAGGCCAAAAGTCCTTTGTGCAAGCAAAATAAAGAAAATAAAGAGACAGGGAAAAGTAGCAGCATCACAAGCCGTGACGAGAAAGGAAAAGAAAACAAGATGAAAGAAAACAAAGAGACCCCCAAACTATCCAGTTTCCGATTCCTTGGTGAAAGACAGTGGCGAGAAGAGCGCGGTTAAAGCAGGCTGCTAGCCCAACCGTCACATCTTTCGCTTCCCTTTCGTGATGAACAAACCAACACCTCGCTTTCCCACTCCGGCCACTTCTGTTCTGTGATCGAGCCCAGTTGTCACAACCGGCCCGAGTAGAACAAGAAGTAAAAAAAACAGAATGATTTTTGAACAACAGGCACTTCCTCTCCCATGAAGACACTCCGCCAACTTCCCTTTCTAAATCCTCAATGCCTTCCCGTTAAATGTACTGATAAGAGGAATAGTCCACCAGACAGAGGGCTTGGAAGGAGATATCGTGATGGAAAGCGGTGCCATGTCCATAGCAAGAAGAAGGCTGTGAAAACGAACGAAATCAAACAATGAATTTTGACGACATCCCGCCTGAAACAAAACGTCCGACACTCCAGCCTGAACCCTCCCGAAAATGAAATGAAACTGTAAGCAGAAATGTCAAAATCTCTGAAAATGAAAGATTACACACCAAATCCCCCCTGGTACCTTTTGTTTTCCGAATGAAATGAAAGAAAAAATAAGTAAGAACATTGAGCCGTAAGCACAAGATGTGTTCGAGATCTCACGTATTTACCGACATTCCCAATGCAAGCGTAGCCGTGGCTCGCTGAGGTAGGGAGCCGTGGGCAACCGAACCTCAAGCCGTCTAAGCAGACGACTTGTTGGTTGGTGCATTGTTGCCATTCTGACGAGGATCACTGCCGCTAACGGATAGGTTACCAATGTTGGTAGACAGGAAGGCAAAAGGGTCGCTATCAGGGCCTTGGCCGTTTCCAGAGCCGTTGTTGCCACCGTTGTAGAAGTTGTTTGAAGGACCACCAGGGGCAGGACCATTGGTAGCAGACTGGAAAGCAGCCTCAGCAGCACGGCTATCAAAAGGGCCGGATCCGTGCGAGCCTGGGCCAGAGTTGAAGCCGCCGGAGCCTGGGTAGCCACCAGCGCCGGTGCCGCCTAGGCCAGAGGGAAGGAAGTGGCTAGGGGGGCCACCGAAATGTTGGTTATAGCCAGCAGCAGCACCTCCACCAAAAGCATTACCAGAAGCAAAGGGCCCAGGACCGGGAGTTCCAGCCATGGAACCACTGTACTGGGAGGAGTTATCCATTGGCGAGGGGTAACCAGAGTCAGCAACAACCGCAGCACCAGCGCGGCTGGCGCCACATCGAAGACAGCAGACATTCTTTGCGAAGTTGTGGTAGCCGCAGACTTCGTTGCCGCACTTCCAATCACCAGCGCGGAAGGGAACTACGCCGCCGCCACCGCCGCCGCCTCCTCCCATGCGACCACCATGTCCCATGGGGCCACCGTGGTGACCACCATGAGGAGGGGGAGGCATCATGTTGGGTGGTCCATAACCATATCCAAAGTTGTTGCCGCCTTGGTTGTTGTTCATGTCGCCACCACCGGCATGACCGTTAGCTGGGAACGAGCATCGGAAGCAAGCAGTACGGCGCTGGAAGTTGGAAAAGCCGCAAGAGGGACATGTCCAGTCACCAGGGCGAGGGCGGTTCTTGCTAGGAGGGAATGGAGTCAAGATGTCCTGAGCACGATCAAGGACTCTACTAGACGATGGGGAAACTTCGATCGCTTTTTCGTTTAAGGCTCGACCGTTCATGCACAAGCTTTCAGCAGCCTACATCAAATGTTAGCAAATGGGGTCTTCTTTCGAGGGCGTACGCGGTGCATGCATACCTCTTCGTGGGATGAGAACACAGCAAAGCCAGTACCGGTGGGCTTGTGCTGCTCGGGAGTTCGTAGGGTCCAGAACGCAATAGGGCGGCCGCCGAATTGAGTGAACCAGCTTTCCAGTTCAGACTGTGTAGTATCGTGAGGAAGGCCAGACATGTGCAGAACCTTGCTTCGCTCCGAAAGGAAGGCTCGAACATCAGCACGGGCGTCCATGGGTCGGGTCAAGACATCGGGGTGTTCGGAAGCAGGCTGCGACTTGCGAATCAGGCCACGCAGGACGCGGGTAAGAGTAATAGCCTCATCCATTGCACGTCGGGGGGATGACGGTGCAAGGGCCTGCAAGTGGAACGGCAAGTTGTGCTTAATTGGGGCGCTAGATTGAACAGGCTCGACCTCGAGGGCGGCGCAAATGTTGGACAACATAGAAGGGCCAAATGGCAGCGACTCGGGGTGATGCTGTTGCCAGCGCTGGTACTCGGTTCGGAGGTCGAATGTACGGGAGTGTTGCAGGTATGGTGGGAGAACAACAGCCTTATCACGAGCCTCTCTGGGCAACTGAACGCGGAGGTCCCAAGCGTCTAGAGTTACAAAGACAAAGTCAAGGTTCTTTGATGTGAGGTGCTCGGTGGCGAACGCATCGAATCGCGAGATAGCGTCTCTAAAGGTACCTGCATTTCGAACGTGCTCCCATGTCAAGGTAGTCAAGCTAGCTGCAAAGCCGAGTGATGTTAGTCTTGATTGTTGCCCGCATAGCGATGGAGATCTCTTGCACCCCCTACGTTCGGGACGAGGATAGAGTCATGTTTGAGGCAACTTACTGCACAAGGGGGTAATTGGTGTGTTGACAGGCTTGACAAGAACATTTTCGTGCGTAATCTAATTAACGGGCTAGTTAGTTTATGCTTTACGAACCACCGCCGAGTTGATTGTTAGATGCTGCTTACCTCTTCGAGAGTATTGGCATCAAGAAGAAGCCAACCGAGTTCAATAACTTCGGCTGAGTCCTTGGTGACGTAAACGCCGTGTTCATCACAGGTAGTTGCAACATGAATTACGACATAGCGGTCGACGCTGAAGGGCGTGGGTGATTGTGTAGCCATTCTGAGCGGTTGGTGAGAAGGGTCTGTGAATTGTCGCTCAGTCGAGAACAGGCGTCGAGTCGGTGCGAGTATGTGCAAAGCCAGGGACCAATGGGGTCAATTAAAGGTCTTTCTCGGCCGAATATAAGGTTCCTCAAGACGCAGGAACGGAATTGACAAAGATCGTAGACAGATCGGGGGCGTTGCAAAGGCGCAAGTTGTGAGCGGGCGAAACTTCAGGAGGTTTTGCAGCAACGACTTGCGAAAGCTACAGCACAGCGAGGACGCGAAGGAGAGAGACTTCCGGCGGAAACCTCGAATTAATAAAGGACGAAAAAGAAAAAAAAAGTAGAAAGAAGAGAGAGGGGATAAAAAGAGGTAAAGGCAAGAAATAATTAAAAGCAAGCCTTTAGTATAGACAACCTCTCAGTATAAACCTCTTCTTGAACGTTTTCGAAGGCTCGACAATGGGGGGAGGAAAAAAAAAGAGGAGGAGAAAGCGCGCGAGAATTGGTTAGGAGGGTAAAGCGAAAAGTCCAGGGCTCCTCTTTTCGGGCTCCTTCCCTGCACCTGCACACCACTGCGCGAAAAAGAACGGGTCGGCCAGCTGCCAGGCCCGGCGGGGTGCGTCTGCCTTGGTGTGCACCGCAGTGATTGATGCCTGGGGAGGCGACGTACAGCGTTGGCAGGGACACTGTACAGTGAGCTGGCTGCGCTGTACAGCGCAAGGAGTTGGATGGGGAAACAGGCTGCTGCTCAGACGCTGTACAAAGCTGAATGAGACATTGAGGCGAAGTTTTGGAGGTACCCAAAAAACAAGCTTGGCGCACAGATTCCCAATTCTTTCCATATTGCCCGTTTTATATAGAAAACATTCACTTGATTAGCAGCGCAGCGTCTATAGCCTGGCTCTGCTTCACTCTTTACTCTCCTTTCCGCACTGTGGCCATCTTTGACCCCAGTTCCCCCCCGTACTGTTACCTGGCGTCCAGCGCACACAGGGTGGGGTTGCCAAAGCCCAGCGCCCAGACTTGCCCGCTGTGAGCAAGGCGCTGAACAACCCCTAAAGCGCCAGTCGGATGGGCGATGCCACAGCGCTAGCTGGCACCATTTGCAGGGTCAACGACGCGGCGCCCATCCCTTGATGCCGCCTGCAGGGATTGTGATCCATATCCGTGGAATTACGAAAACGAGCCGCTGGGATATGCTTTTTGTAAGAGAAGTGGTGCAGATGAGGCCCAAAGAAAGTGAGTATGGACAACATTGGCTCTATTCCTTTTGCAATTCGCGCTATGAAAGAACCGCAGCGGAGACTACAGCGGAACCGGTTGTCCCATCTATTGTCTCCACTGCCCATGGGAAGCTGCCTACTAAACCGAAAAAACGTAAAATTCAATGGTTGCAGCCGTTGGCCACACTAGAGCCTTTAAAAAAGCCATGCTTTGGGTGGATGGCCTTTAAATAGGGCACCCAATATAGGGGCCGCATGCCTGCTGGTCTCCGCCACCGGCCCACTCACAGAGACGCAAAGACGACAGAAAAGATGTAGGTTAAATTATTCTAGAGAGACAGAGAACTGTTTGGTTTCTGATCAGGAGGAGCCCTTATATATTGCTCTGTTCCTGTAGCAGCGGCACAATGGCATGTGCGTCTTGCAGAGTGAACAAGTCGCTAATTACAGATCTCAGGCAGATGCTCTCTGTTACGGTCAGTTGCCGTTAGCTGTGTTTGCTCCTATACCGGCCCGTGGTTGAGGCCATCTCGGGGCGCTTGTTTAGCGAAGCTCCCGGCTAGTCCCTAAGCAAACACTTGGCATGGCGTGAAACTTGGTCCCTCCTAGAAAAAGCTCTCGTTATGCCATCAAGATCGATTGGCCCCTAACCGTATTTCGACTCCGAGGGGAATGCAGGAATAAGCGTGCCGGTGCCCGTGTCTTACATGTGCGCTTATTTTTAGTGCCAGCCTAGTACGTCCTCGGTTGGGAAACTGGTTGCAATGTTAAATTTTCGTCGGCCCGCTCGGGAGCGCCTCGGATCAAAATTGTCGTTAGCATAGATGTTACTAAAGCGACATGCACCTGCGAGGTCCTGTCCACGTAGCAGCTCAATTGAAGCTGTTTTTCGGAGCATCGTAGCGCAGCCTGCTGCTCCAAGGCTGGCTGTCGCGTCATGGCTTGTTGCGACGCGGCCGCGCGTTGATCGGTGACGTCCCCGCTGATTGGGCCTAGGCGAGCCGCTAAATTACAGTTGGAGGGGATCGCAAAACAGGGCGGCGAATCGGCCAGTTACGTCACCTGACCGCCGTCGCAAGCTACCCGGGCCTCAAATTCGGCCCTTGACCCCTCGCAAAGAAATTCTTCTTGAGCGTTAATTCCAGCTGCTGTATTCATCCTCATTTACCTACTTTGTGAGCTCCTCTGTAAAACCACGATTTTTCTATACCTGATCGGGCCGACTGTATTTTTTACAATCAGCAACAACACCTAACCTTGCGTCGAACGACATCAAAACAACAGCTATAATGGGTGCTGCATCTGCCATTCTCCTCGTTCTCATCACCATCATCTGTAAGACGTCCTCCGCATATACTGCACCAGTCATGACATGATTGTTAACGTATTTTTAGTCCCGCCTGCCGGTGTATGGGCTGTTTCGGGATGTGGAATGGGTAAGTTGGCACCACTGTCGCTGCCATTGTAAAGCTTCCGCTCTGACACACAGCACCAGATCTGTTTATCAACATTTGCTTGACTATTCTCGGTTACATCCCTGGTCATATCCACGCCTTCTATCTCGAGTACATCTACTACGACCGTCGCGAGCAAGCCAACGAGGGCCGCTACCCTACTTCCAGAGCTCCTGGTGTCTACTCTGACAATGTTCAGACCGGAGGACAGGGCTACGGAACTGTCAGCCACGCATAATTACCGCGACAAGTGTACGATGGACTGTTTATTGGTTTTTTGAAGGACCAACGGGTTATATGGTGCCGAGGTGGTTGCGTGGGACGGTTTGGACTGGAACGTTGTACTGATACCAAAGTTTAAAGAGATTATATAGTGCAGAATGGTCCCGCGGCGCGCAGTGGATCTATAGTCAATACTATTCTCCTTTTACCTGCGATGGTATCCATGCTTTGTGGCGTTTGGAGAGAGAGACCAGTGGTAGATCGATCATGCTACAGCCGCGCTTGGTTCGAGACCGTCGCATGCGTTGGATCGCTCTGGTTGGCTCATCTGGCGTAAATAATACGTACCTACGTTAGTCTGACAAACTGGAACGAAGCCAGCGCATCGTTGAATCATACACACAAACACACGAAGGCAGTCGAATTGCCGAGCAAGTTATTGGTCGTCTGTCTGTGCTTAAGCAGACGCTAGTGGCAACAACCGTTTTGGCCGCCTCTATCGTCTGTGAGGAAGCGTTGGCAGCGGAGGCGCTCTCGACGCAGCCAATGGAGAGAGCCCACGGCAGCAAGCATGGCATCGTCAGCCGGCGCTGTCGACGTGGTGTTGGCCAGTGGCGAGGCGAGAAAATGGACCTGGCGATGGAACAGCACAACGGGGCTAGCAAGGATTGGTTTACGAATCCGTCCTTTACAGTGCCCCAAAATGGAATCGACATGTTTGTTTTCTGACGATGGCCGGAAGATTCTTTTAGCATGGACCCTTTTGGGTGTTCAGCCCCCTCAGGTTTCATCGCGACTCGGTACAGGCTATCCAGCTCAGGAGAAGACAATTTTGCTTCTGTCGTGGCGTGGCAGGGGTTTTAAGTCAAATGTCTGTGAATAATTAAGCGTCATTTCATAAATGTTTTTTTCTTTTCCTTTTCAATAAAGCATCCGCAGCGTGGCGTCGTACCGGCATTCAATACTTCTTCTTTGTACACTGCGGTACGCTGCTGGCAATCCACTGTCCCACCTTTTTTTTACAGTGCAGTTGGCTAGTGCCCGCCTTTTCCCCCGCCATCTGCTTCCCGAACACGCCTTCCTTCCTTCTCGTCCCACCGCCCACCCACTTTGTTGAACCAGACGTTAGCGCACTGTCACTCGTTCCCCTCAGCGGCTTGCCTCACTTAATTTGGCATCCTTTGTAGGCGTGGCTCACCAGCATTCCTCTCCTGACACCTGTTTTGGCACCGCACATCTCGTTTCACCCGACATTTTAACTGCTCTTCTGACAACTATCTGCCACGCTGCCTATCACCCGCAGCGCTCGGACGGTCTCTTCCGTATCCTGCAAGCCCGGCTTTTAAATACCCTGCGTCGAGAGCGTTGCGCATATCCGTCGACCACGTCTTGTGCGCCACGTCTTCTGCTGCTCGGCATCCCCTTTCATGCAGAGAACCTGCGCGATTCACCAAAGTTGATTAGTCGCTCTTATTAGTCTATTTAAGCATCGCATTCGCCCTCTACGAAATAAAGATGGGCTCGCCCACACTCCCGCCTCCCGGTGCTGTTAAACCGTCAGATCCCCCGCACTCTGCAACTTCAGTAACGAACAACCGCATCTCATTCCCCTTCTCCTTCCGACTCCCATTTCAATCCGAAGCTTCTGCAACAAGTTTAGTAGAATCTACCGCAGAAGGACGAGCGATACAAGTCGATGACTCAACAGCCGAGCATCGAACTTCTGCTCTCCGCCAAATTAACCATAACTACCCCAGCAAACATCGATATGCAAAGTCAACTGGTGCCCAAAATAGCACATACTCAGAACCCGTGATCGTCAGAAGCTATTATCAAGCACCGTTACCACCTAGTCGATCCACCAGCATTGGCGGCGGCGGTATAGTCGTCCACGCAGTGTCAGCAATGACATCTCGAGCGGGATCCGTTGCGACTGGCACCAAAGCGCCACGGCCGCGGAAGACTTCACCAAAACATGGCAGTGTGCTGGGATTCATGGCAAAAGTTCGAGGCAAGACGATGTCGTCACATAATAGCACCCATCAGGAGGCAAAGCTGCCACCTGTTGATGCATTCACGTTTAGGAGCTTTCTTGATAAGATGGAAGAAGAAGGCCAGGCCACGGATATCAATGCGGACCTGGACAGAATAGCCGAAATATGCGCTCGCTCGAGATACTCATTGAGCAACCAGTACGAAGTTCACCACGCACCTCACGGGTCCGGGGCCGAGTTTTTAGCAACAGCTCGACAAAGGCAAAGCCAAGGTCCTACTTTGCAAGTTATCACGTCGGAAGATGAGGGCTAAATGAAGAGGTTAAGAAGGATACGAGCCACAAAAAGAAATAGCCAGGCCATGGGAACGCTCGAGACTATCATGTCGACGAGTCGATCTTCGGAGGAGGACAAGTCAGCTAAAAGGTCAGCGGCTGAGTTGTCAGAGGAAGTACAAGGCAGAGCGGCTAGAAAACGCTCCGATTCTGCTTCCGTATCACATCCATCAGCACCAGGAACACCCGATGCACAAGCGTCAGGTGAAGAGGTCTACGCCAACGATCGTAATACCTTGGCAAGGAGATCGTCTACAACTTTGGCACTGCTGGAGGGAGCGAAGCCAGCCCCCCAAGATGAAAGCAGGAAAGCGAGTGTAGTCCCCGTTGGTGAACCTGCTATCCCACAGCCGTCAACAAGTCTCCTGGAAATCACTACATCCCCCAGCAAGCGACCAGCTGAGCGCGAAACTCCCATTACGGGCCTCCCCAGATCAGACGTTTTCAAGGACCTACTACTTCAGCAACATACACAAACAGATGGGTTTGCGTCTACGAATGGAGCCGCCGCGCCTGGACTACTGTCCTCACTAACAGGATGGATACCATGGACCTCTTCGGAGCCCGATGGTCTGGGCAAGGCAGAGCTTTCTCTTCGAGACCTTCTTAAAAGCTCCGACAGTAAGAATAAGTTAGCCGAGTAGGGAAGGTTATAGGTGGATATTACAGGACGGATTGAACGGTGGCATTGGCGCCACCTTGTATGAATAAGACATTGATAGATACCCCCACGATGGCTTGGCTTAACCATGCCTCTACTTGTACGAACCAAGAAACACGAGTTTGATTTGCAATGTGACGTACCGCTGTATTTGGAGAGATTATATTCATACAATATCCCGTTAATCAGCACGAAACGATGCTACTGCTACTACTGCTGCCTTATGTACGAGCATTAAAACAAAGGGTGCCGCAGCCATCAAAAACTGGATGAGCTGAATTTTCCTTTCCCCACGCCAAACACCTCCCATAGAAGTCCATTCCAGAATTACACCCCTTTGTCTATACATGTGCAACTGTATCCTTCGGCACCAATTTCGCCTCTTGGCCTGCTGCACCAAGGGCAACGTTTTTCTCAACATTAGGCGCACCATTCTTTGCTGCGGCCGCGGCTTTTCGAGCTGCATCACGCTCCCTACGCTCTTTTTCTTTGCGCAGCGCCTTGGATTCAAATTCATGCCACTCGCCAATTGTCGCTAACCTGCAGTCAAGGGTTAGTATATGCGGTGCTAAACAATCAACGAACAACTTACTCAACGGCCGGTTTTGCTACAGGTTCCTCAGTCGTAAAGTATGCATGCTGCAATATCTGCCCAGCTGAAGGGCGCTTCTCCGGATCATAGTGGAACATGGTTTCCATTAGCTCAAAAGCAGCTGGTGTTAGAAGCGCCTTGAACTTTTCCGTGAAGATGCTTTTCTTCTTTACCGTCGGTCGTAGTAGTTCGAACCAAGCGAGGTCTACTAGGCCAGGCCACTCGTGACGGTTAGGCGTGCCGAGGATACTGTAGATTTTGTCTAGCTGACTGAGTTCTGTTCCGTCACCGGGAAATGTGGCGCTGCCAGTAAAGATTTCCATCATGACACAGGCTGCGCTCCATACGTCAACGGCAGCAGTATACTTGGTCTCACCGAGGAGAAGCTCGGGTGAGCGATACCAGATCGTAATGACTCGGTTGGTGTACTCCAGTTGGTGGCGTTTGGCGTAAAATCGAGCGAGACCGAAATCGGCAATCTTGAGAATACCATCCTTACTGACGAGGATGTTGGCCGCTTTAATGTCGCGGTGCAGAACACCACGTACATGGAGATAGTCTAGGCCTTCAAAGAGCTGCCTAGCTAAGTCCTTTTTCTGTGGTGCTTCCAGCTTGAAGGATGGGTGATTGAGGATACCTGTAAGATCGTGGGATAGATATTCAAAGACCATGAAACAATCATTCTTCTCAACCATGACTTCTTGAAGGTTGACAATGTTGACGTGTCGAAGAGATTGCAGCAACTTGATCTCGCGAATGGCTGTAACTGGAAACCCGTCCTTTTCACCTTCCATTCGAATGCGTTTCAGAGCAACTTGATCCTTTGTGTAAACGTTAAGAGCTTTGAAGACTTTGCCATATGTACCGGAACCAACAACAGATTCGTTACCGGGTTTTCTGTGAAATACTGAATTTGCATTGACAAGCTCTACCGGGAGTGTTGGACGTGGCTTGAGCTTTTTCATAATCTTTTTCACTTTGCGCATCCTAGGCGCCATTCTCGGTCCTTCAGGCGGTCTTGTGTGATCTTGTTTGTGTGATGCCGGTTGTGTGGGTGCATCGCGCGGCGGTCTCTGATTGAACTGGTCGTCCCGTCGCTGCGGTAAAGCATTGAACCTTTGCGAAATCTCTGGTTTTGGTGGTGTTCCAGTTGGCTTGGATGTGGCCTTGAAAGCGAAGCTAAATTTAGAACTGGCTGGTCCGGATGGTGCATTCTTCGGGGGATCAGGCTTTGGTGTGGCCGGCGGGCGGTTGTCCAAGTCCATGGGCTCTCCAGGAGCACCAGACCCTCTAGAGGGCGACTGCCTCTGGCTATTAAAATGTCCTCCATCGCGATATGCTCCACGAGATGAGATGGGAACGCCTCGGAAACCTCCACGCGACTCATTTCTATTCGAACTAGGCGTTTGTTTTGACGGGGAAGGGGGTCCGAGAGAATTACCATTTGAATGCTCTTTGTTCTCATCATCGTAGTGGGTGCCTGGCTTCTGATTGTTCCGGCTAGGATGCAACATCCCTTGTCCGGAGGATGGCGAAGCACCGCGCGAACGATGTTGGCTATCTCTAGAGGCCCTGTCGTCATCCACATCAGACTTTGAGGTGGCTCTCGGGGCACCGTCATCGTGCTTTGGTTGAGAGTACCCTCTGTCCGACCGGTTACGAGAATGACGTCCGCCTGTATTCTCTAGCCCCCTTTCAGGTGACCGTGAACGACTATGGCTCCGTCTCTCACGTCGAGAGTGCGTTGTATCTTCCGAATCACGCCGCGGCCGGCGTGAAGAGTCGTGCGGGGATCGATTCGAGTCTTTCTGATATCGGGATCTGGATCTGGAGCGCGGTCGGTCAGATCTTCCGGAAGATTTATATGAGCGACCATGGCGGTGCGAAGAAGAATCGCCATGATGAGGCGAGCGTGGCCGGCGATGTTTGGAGGCAGAATTTGGCACTCTGTCACGGTTGTGTCTCGATGAGCTGCGATCCCGGCGCGATCGCTTCCTATGCGATGACGGGGAATAGGACCGGCTGCGGTGGCGTTTATAAGATGAAGGAGTTCCATGTCTTTCACGCTCACGACTACGGCTACGTCGAGACGACGAGCGATGTTCTGCCTCGGACTCTCGAGCCTGTTGTTCACGGAATCGTGGGATAAGATCAAGGGGCTGTCCTGGTCCGCTTGGCACATCCATGGGGCCTTTGTGGCTGTCGTGATGATGTCGTTCGCGTGATTTACGGCGATGGTTAGACGAAGAGGGCTGGGAAGGGTTGCGATGATTGGTTCTGTATTCGGGGCTGCGGTCTGAATAGCGTGCGGGAGATCTGGGACGCCCTGACGATGTCAATACATTATTGGAATTAGCGCCGCCCACACGATCACTGCTTTCTGACCTGTCAGCCATGGTGACAGAACCGAACGCCGCAATTAATCAGGTGGTCGAGAGGTGGCTAAGCGCGGAGGAAGTCGTTGGTGACGGAGGATGGTGCTGGCGGGCTCTGAAGTTTCGGCACCAGTCACGCCAAACACTGGATGCAACCCGCACCTTAGCCGGGCGCTGAGCGCTCCGCAGGCAGCCTGCATCCCCGCGCAGCCAACCAAGCGCCAGCGTGAAGAGCAGCTCTCCCCTAAATCCCACAAAAGGTTAAAAATAAACCACCAAGTAATTTTATTCGGTGGCTCTTTTTCCCCCCTTTCCAGAAGGCGAGAAACTCTTGTCCTCCTGCTCAAACGGCTAGGACGCCAACGCTGGCCATCATAACACCACAAAGGTCCTGTGTGCCTTGGGAACGCCGCCGGCGCTCCCGTCGCCAAAGTTCCTGAGTCGAGATAATAAAAATCTCGTGGAAGAATCTCGAGCATCTAAGAGTAGATGCCAGTGTCCAATCAGAGCCAGTGCACATAATCCTGTGTTAGTCAGACCATGGACAGCTCAACCGCCCCTCCACTATGGAAGAGTGGTAGCCGTCGCAGCAACAAGCCGCCTCGAATGCTATATACGTATTCCTCCCAGAAGATAGATTACTACATCTTCCTGATACCTCGTAACAAACACCGTCGTACTTTCAGTACTTGCAGCATTGTGCATCAACGCTGTGGCGTGACCTACCATCAGCATCAGGCGTTGGATGTCCTGCCGCTTGTCGCTGCCTGTTGCTAGCGTTTGGATCACTGACCCTCCCGTGATATCCAACAAATTAAACGTAGACATGCTTTACAATTTGGCCATTTCGAACAGCCCTGTTGCTCCTTGCGCTGGCGTCCTGTTGAGCAAGCAAGGTGATAGGCGTTGCCACTATTCCATCGTTGACCTCAGCGCAGAAGTTGCGTCTTTGATATCATAGAAAGCCCAACATACTCGGAATGTTTGAAGGGTCTGCTCATCCGGTTGAACAAAAAAAAATTCCAGCCATCACTGTATGCTGTGTATGTCCCGCAACGTCATGTTATGTGAGCGTGCATTTTTGGGGGGTTGAGATTCGCTCTGCGTCGGCGAGACATCTGAGGGGTCGTGCTAGAGTTGTATGTGTGGCTGCTGTCAAGTATCCTGAATATCCATCATTGTAAATTTAAACCATGTCCGCTGCTCCTCATCTCCTGTTCTGTGAGGTTGATACGCTGTATTGGTTAGGAAGCTCGTGAGAGGTGTGATGGACAGATAAAAGCAACCGTAGTCGCGCAGTGGACGTATGGCATCGCCCTGTGGATCACGTGGGTCGGTCGGCGTCGGGCGTTTAATGTAGCGCCGATCTTGCGTAGTCTTGCTTTGGCCAAATCCCCGTTCCACGCCTGGCGGGTCTGAGCCAATGGGCACGAACGGAACGATAGTGACGGCCGAGGCGAGTAATATGGGCGGACATTTTTCCTGAATGGTTTGAGTCGCCTTGTTTAAATAGTCCCCATTCCCGTTCGCCGGCCTTGCGACTTGCTGGAGCACCCTCAGCACATTCTCCGGATTGCATACTATTTTGCAAAGTACACAGGCGACAATGGAGTGGCTCGGACACGCAAAGATTGAATTTACACACGCTGCCAACCCTCGGGTTATTCTCAACAAGGATGGCAGCGAGACGGACTTGTTGAAGATTGTCGAAAAGTCGACCCCTCCATGCCATCTGAACCCGTTGCTGTTCAACGGCCATGTACAGACCATGTGGACGGCAACAAAGCCTGAAGGCCCTAAAATTTGGTACCGCCGTCGCATGTTTGAGGCCGAGCTCGAAGCCTACAAGGGTACATTCGCAGTCGACTTTGCTGTCGAGCCATTCGAAGGAAGCGAAGAGGGCCTTCCCAGACGCACGACAAGTTATACCGACGAGGAGTTTAAGAACATTGCTTCGGATGATAATAAGCCCATGCTCGTTGTCTTGCACGGCCTTTCTGGTGGCTCGCATGAGGTATACCTGCGCCACGCCATGGCACCTCTTCTGGGCGAAGGTGGATGGGAGGCTTGCGTCGTCAACTCGCGAGGATGCGCGCGTACCAAACTTACATCTGGTATGCTCTACAACGCTAGAGCGACTTGGGATATTCGCCAGACGGTCAAGTGGCTACGCAAGACCTTTCCCAACCGACCTCTGTTCGGCATTGGCTTTTCTCTCGGCGCAAACATTTTGACCAACGTAAGTTACACTATGTACTGTAAGTTGTGTGCGCAAGACTAACAAAAGTCCAATAGTACTGCGGCGAAGAGGGCGAAGATTGCGAGTTCAAGGCCGCCATTGCGGTCGCCAGTCCCTTCAACCTCGAGGTTGCCAGCAAAATGCACCACAGCAGCTACATTGGTATGGAGTTGTACCAGAGAGTGATGGGCTCCGCCATGAAGGCCATGATCAACAGCCACAGAAAAGAGCTTGAAGAATACACTGATCTCGATCTTGAGGCCATTGACAAGATCACCTATCTGAGGGAGTTTGACGAGCTTGTCCAGTACGTCGATGCGAAATACAGTAACTTTTATACCCGTTCTAACATAGACTTAGGTGCAAGCTGTTTGGCTATCCTACTGCCTGGTCCTACTACCGAGATTCGACTTCGACAGATGCCATCTTGAACATCAAGATTCCATTCCTCGCCATCTCTTCAACAGACGACCCTGTAAGTCCAAACTCTGCTACCCGTTACGCAGCCTGCCAACTAACTCTCGCCAAGATTGCTGTTAAAGAGGCCCTGCCATATGCTGAAATTAAGGCCAACCCCAACACCGTCTTGTTGACCACATCTCTCGGAGGCCATCTCTGCTGGTTCGAAATGGGAGGCTCTCGCTGGCACACCAAACCTGTAAGTGGATTTCCAAACCTTCATAATACGAAGAAATTACTGACATGTGAAAGATTTGCAACTTTTTGAACGCCATTGCTTTCGAGGCTGATACCAAGGCTATCAAGCCGCTCAGCAAGAGCAATGGAACCAAGCCCATTGGCGGCCTCAACTACGCCCCCATGCGACGCAAGCTCCAGTACCCTGGCAGTGATTAGATGATATTACTTAATTTCTCTTTTGTTATTAGATGGTTAAATTAATATAGATAGACGGCACATGTACGCGTAGACAAAATGTATAGATATCTTTTATTGTCATCATACAAGAATTGTCGGGGGATATGGCATAAATAGTCCCATACGGTACATGTCATCCCATCCTTGCTCCAAAACGCCAAACAAATGCAAATAATTGACACACCCTTTTTGTATCGGCCACACAAAACTTAAGCAAAGGAGACACGCTTCTTAGAAGACTTGGCCTTGGTTGCTTTGCTGCCGGTCGAAGCGTAGCTCTTGACGGTGTCGCCATCCTCGTCGTCTTCACCCTTTCTCTTGCGCTTCTTGCGCAAAGACTGTTTTGTGTCTTCAAGTCGGTCTTTCTTTTCCTGTTCCTTCTTCTCGGTTTCGACGCGACGGGCTTCACGGATCTCTTCCATCTGACGGGCCTTGATCATCTTGGACTCAATCTGACCATCCTTTTCGGCTTGGACAATGGATAGAATCGTACTCATGCTCTCCTAAACAAAGAATTAGTATAAACAGAACAGAGAAGAGCCATATACTTCTGGCCGAGGTCAAATTCAGAGTAATGCATACCTTATCGTCGACAAAAATCTTGCCCTTCTTCTTGCCCTTGGGCTTGACAACTCCAACAGGTGTAATCATGTTCAAGGTAGGGATTCCGAGTTCGGCATCCGTGTATGTCTTCTTCTTGGGCTTCTTGAACATGGCAAGAATGTTCTTTTCCTTGACCTGCTGTGCCTTGGAAGGGCCCTTGGGCTTGGATGGCTTGGACACGCCGGCCGAGGCCGACCTGCCACCAGATCCGGACTTGCCTCCAGCTCCGGACTTGGAGGAAGAGCCCTTTCCTTTTGACGACTTTGAGTTGCTTGGCGCCATTATTGCTGGTTCGAATTCACAATTGCTGCGACTTGGGGCTAGTAGGACTGGAGATTTGGAGCCTAGAGCTGCTGGAAATTTTTTTGGGGCATGCGCTGCGATAAGCGATAAGGAAATGCGAGGGGCCAGATGTAGGCTGTGTTCTAAGCGCGGAAGCTGGATTATAGAGTAGAAGGTATGGATTGATATATTATTGATAGGAATGGGTTTATATAACCTTTGGATCACAAATGGTAATTCTAAGAATTTCTCTTTATTTTATTTTAATGTTTCTGGGTCTTGGTGTGGCTTGCAAGTCGATCATTCGCAGTTGGTAGCATTGTGGCGTGTACCGGGGATTCTAGGGCAATTCATAACGCTCGCCATTTTCCCGCTATAGCAGATTCTTAGCTGATCTTTATCACCATTTCGAGGCAGCGGGAGAGGCTTGCATCATGCGGGTTGGGTGAGCTGCAGCAGTGCGCGTAGCTACATATAGCGGTATGTTGCTGCGCTTCCTGATCATGCGACAGCTTGGGCTTCTCTCAGCATGTCAAAGTTTTTAGTGGGACAAACGTACCTTAATGATGCGTCCAGCACCTGGCTGCCTGCTGAAAAATCCAGGTTTCCCCACTATGCGGCAAGTTTTCTCGCTATAGCCCGCCTGTAACTGCGCGCTGTGCCATTTGCATTCAGCGGGCTGGTAGCGCCCCTGCTGCCTGCTGGAGGCAAGGCTTCCCCATTTTTTTACTGCTCTGCTGGCTTCTTCGTCCCCCGAAGCGCCGCTCCCAGCAGCACCCTGAACGCCTGGCGCACAGCACCTCCACCACAACCACAACCACACAGAGGAAACAAATCTTTCGCCCCCTCCTCTTCCCTTCATCATCCTGCATCTAAACATCTCCAACTTCCCCAACGCAAAAAGCCATCGCCGCCTCGACATCTCAATCATCACCGCCCTTCCAATCTCATATATACCTCAGCATACTCTTCGTTTTCCGACTCGCAACAAATTCCGCATCGCCATCTGTTGTAGTTTTTTACCCGCCCTTGTCCTCTATCCGCCTCCATCACCGCCCTGCTCTCGGCCGCCACACCACCACTTTGCGCCCCCAAAAAACGCTCTCCCTCGACTACCAACTTGCAGGCGCATATTCTACCTCTGGCGACTTGATACTACGGAGACGCATTCTATCGAGAGAACGAGATACGACCAGTGAAGAGCCTCATATTTAGTCACGCTTGGCCACAACCATCCAGCAAATCACCTCCGCCTTCTCACTTGGCTTCCTGCCTGCCCTCCCCTCCTCGCTTCGACTAAGCCTTGCGACCGCTTGCTGGTAGGAAACGATAGCCGCTGGCCTGCTCGAGTCTACATACCGTCCCGATGGATAACCTATGGACTCGCCGAACAAAGTAAGCGTTTTGCGTGCGCACATTTGCGTACTGATGTTGTCTCGTACCGCCATAGTTACTTACCATACACCTCTCTAGCACGAGCAAGCTATCCCTCACGACACCGGCGAACGGGCATACCGGTGGCTTAGGCGACTCTAGCTCTCGACACCAGTTCTCTCGTCGCCATGGCGGCGACATGTCGGCCACAGCCAAGACACCCGGCGGTAGTGTAGCTTCACCAACGGGTGCCTCGAGCGCTTTCGGACTGGGATCTGGCGCCTTTGCCTCCTTTGGTTCGGCCAAGACTCCCAAGACGCCAGGCAACCCCTTCGACTCTGCTATGGGATCCGCCATCTCTAAACAGAATACTGGAAAGCAGGGCAAGGGAGTCGACTCCAAGGTTACCGCTGGCCAGATTTACCCGCTGAAAGATACGTGGTGTTTCTGGTACCGCCCACCTATCTCCAAGGCTCACGGCTACATCCAGTACGAGAACACTCTCCATGGCATTGCCAGTGTACAGACTGCTCAAGAGTTTTGGGAGATCTACGCACACCTCAAGCGCCCGTCAATGCTGCCTGTTGTTTCCGACTACCATCTCTTCAAAAAGGACATCCGTCCCATTTGGGAAGATGAGGTGAACCGCAAAGGTGGCAAGTGGATTGTGCGCTTGAAGAAGGGCGTTGCTGACCGCCTTTGGGAGGATTTACTTCTTTCCCTTATTGGCAATCAGTTTGGTGATGCCGGCGAGGAAGTTTGCGGTGCGGTCCTTAGCATGCGCAATGGCGAAGACATTTTGAGCATCTGGACAAGAACCGATGGTGGTCGCGTGCTCAAGATTCGGTGAGACGAAGCACCCATATAAGCTCCAATTTATCAATCGCTAACATAATCATAGTGAAACCATGAAGCGTGTCCTCAACTTCCCCGCCAACACTCGCGTCGAGTTCAAAACCCACGACTCTAGCATTCAACAACGAACGGCGATCGACGAGCAACGACGTGAAAAGGCCGGTCAGCAACACACAGACAAGCGTCAGCAGACGGGTGCTACGAGGCAGAACAATGATTAGAGAAGCATTGCGCTATGCGTCCCCCGTTCTCCTCTTGTATATCATCTCTGATGGTTTGCTTTTGCGTGGTGCTCGATTAAAATCTTTTCTTGCTCCTGTATACTATGTGCTCCTTGTTACTGCACAGCTGATTCTTTGCAAGACGGTGGACGGAGCGGTTAGCTTTTTTCTTTGTTGACTAGACCGGACGATAGACTCACGTCTGTATCTGGGATCCTCTAGTATCCTCTGTTTTGTATTCTCCTTTCCTTTCTGTTCTTTTTTCTTTACCTTGATTTGTATTCTGGTTCTGGTTCTTGCCCACGTTTAGGAGTATGGGAACGGGGAATGCAGGGAAATGCGGATTGAGACGGATGAGCATTGATCTTACTGTTGGTTGTTTTTGAATGCTCCGGTCTGGAAGAATGGCCGGGCATAGAGCCTGTAGCAACAGTCTGTTTTGAAGGCAATCAGGCGGCGGAAAGGAATGGGCAACAAGCGACAACGAGATAATGTTTGTATTACTACCAAGCATACAAAATAAGTAAAATATCCAATCCTCGATTGATCTCGAATTAAAGCGTGGCCAGACTACATTCTGTGCTATTTATACGTCACATCTTTTTACTGATAATGGTGATGACGATGTAAAACTGTTCTAATTAAGCCTTTCTAGGCTCTCGTCTCCTTTCCCACACTTGCAGATACGACTCTCCCAAATAGAGCAGCTCGCTCTGAACCTTATCTACGTACAAATCTTGGCAAATCACCCACTCGCCGGTTGCCTTGTCCTTGACTTGAACTTTCCACGTCTTCCTCTCCTCTCCCGTGTCTGCAACGTCCTCCTTGGAGCGAACAGCTTCGTGCACTACGTTTGCCACAAGATCGTACCAGATAGGTTCGCTAGGTGGCCACTCGGCAGGATTAGGCTCGACATAAGGAGAGACATCGAGATTTCGTGCGTCAAAGGTGACAATGGTGGGATTTCGTTCTGATACAAACTTGTTCTGTGAGAAGCGCTTGATATGCAGAATGAGATAGGGGGGCAAGGGATGCAGCAAACGGTAACGTTTGCGTTGTGAGTGGTGTTCTTGTGACTGCTGGCCGTCATATTTGCTGAGAATGGTGGCGAGGGGGACTTGTGGGATGATGTTCTTCTCCAGTTCGTCCTGGAAGAGCGGCGCTGACGGGAGATCAAGCGTCAACATGAGGAACCGTACAATATCAACCTTGACGTCGGCTGCTTCTTCAAAACGCAATCGGTCTCCTGCATCTGCGCGGGCCGTGATGGCTTGCGATTCTACCTTAAGCTTGCCCTGGAACGTGCGTTGGATCATGGAGCTCCCCGGTTTTGTCTTGCTCCCTCCCAGACCAAGATGCAGATTGTTTAAAAACCACGAGAGGAACTCGACAGGATCAGACTGCGCAGTTAGCGTGAAGCGCTTGTTAGACCGCAGAGAAATCTCCTGCAGCAACTCGTGAGGAGAGACGTGAGCTCGGAAAGCGCGTGGGTTCCAGATCTTGCGAAACAGTGTGCTGCAGCGGCGCACGAGCTCCGTCTTGGTTGAGAAATCCTCGAGAAGCAGAAAGTTTCTCAAGGGAACAACATGTGAGAGAGCTTGCACAATAACATTGAGATAATCGTTCTCCTTGATGTTGTTCATGCCAACAAAACCTGGCCGGTATTCCTTCTTTGCCAATGTCCAGCTCTTTCGATCTACCCGATCGAGCTCCATGACTTCTCTTTTTGTGTATCGTGGATCAGACACGTATTTGATATCGTCGAGCGACTTGCTTGTGACTTCATAGCCCTCGGGCAGGACGTAGACCTTTTGTGTTTCAAGATTGATGAAGACGTGGTGCTCGTCTTCGAGAGCGTGAAAGTAGGCGTGTGACTTGGGGCCGCGGCCCTGGAAGTATCGTCCGCAAACAAGGCATGCGTAGACGTTGATGTTTGACAGTGATATCGAGCAGAGCTTTTCAAAATCGAAATCCAGGATGCTGCGATCTATCGTATCCAGGTACAGGTCGTCATAACCTTCTGTCGGCGCGCTCTGGCGGATGGGCGCTGTATCGGCCATCGCATCTTCGAAGTCGTCAACTTCTTCGTCATTTGTTTTGTTTCCATTGCTGTTGATGTGCTGCGCAATGCTGTGGTTGCCTGGAGGCGTTTCGAAATCGACCGTCCGCGATCTCTTCGACGAGGGTGAGGCGACGCCAGCTAGCTCATCAAGAGCCTCTGAAGCTTGGCGCTTGCTCATTTTCGGCGCTTTTTATTCTACCGAGAATGTGATTGCTCCTCAGACCGGTAACAATTTCGTAGAAAGTGGTTGTGCAGTACGGCCGGTCACGCCGTTGTCGGAAGCCTGCGTTTACAGGTGAAGGAAAAACGAAGGTTGTCGCGATGCACTAAAACGGCGATGCCCCCACTAGAGGTTGACTTTGCTACAGAACGCACGTATTTTGGGGTGAGCATTATGAGAGCTGGCATTGTTTTAATACTTTTTAAAAATTCTACAATATACAGAAATATAGATTCAATAATAAAAATGGTATTGCTTTTTCTAAGGCATCCTGTTTCATGCGCCGCTAAAAGACTGTAAATACACTATATGCTCCAACTCCGTCGCCCTATATACACACGCAAGCCAGTTTTACTCGGCCATGATAACATCAGCACCATTTTCAGTGAGTAGATTGTCGTCGTTCGACACCGAAGGCGCAAAACTATCCATCTCCTGCAAAGTATACTCTACCAAGAACGATTCGTCGACCAATTCTTCCATACGGCGGTAGTGGCGTTCGGTATAAGCCTTGATGGCGAGCAAAACGTCCTTTAAGCTCTGTTGTCCACGTGCTCCCTTGACCGAGAGGTTTGAAAACTTGGAAGCTGGGTAACTGCGGACAAGAGTTCCTAGAATACGCTGCGCAACGGGAGCTGTACGGGCGTTTGTGTTCCAGTCGCGAAGGCGGAGGAGAAGTAGGAAGATCTGGTCGTCAGAGAGATTGCCCAATACCTCATCTACGGCGCGAAGACCGGATAAACTTCCCTCTTCCTGTTTCTCACCCGTCACCACAGACGTAAATAGAGCAAGGAGGCGGCCAGGGTGGTTAAGTTGCAGAGCAAGAGTAATCGCTTCACGATAAGATCCAGCGTGAATGTGATTTTGGAGCTCTTGCTCTTTTTCAATGAGCTCCAGAGCAACCTTGGATGCTGCAGCTTGGGTCTGGACTGTGGTGTCCTTCCAGAATGACACAGTCGAATCACCACTACCCGAGACAATCATGTTTGTTTTGCGGTTGACTGCCAAGGCCCAAACACGGTCTTCGTGGTTATCAAGCGTAGATTCAACTTCGCCCGAGTTGGCATCCCAGACTTTAACAAGACCATCGCCGGCAGCGGTGGCAAAGAGAACGGGTTTCTTGGACTGCTCCGACTTCTCTGGCATATTCAGCCAAATCACCTTGAGGACGCTGTTGGAGTGGCCCTCGAATGTACGGATGCAGGTGTAGTCCGACAGGCTCCAAAGTTTGATGCTCTTGTCACCACTGCCAGTCAAGATCACTCCTTTGCCAGTAACAGGGCCATCGTCACCCTTCAAAGCAGGAATGTCGGCAGGGGAGAATTGCACAGACCAAACACCACGCTTGTGGCCACGCAGGATACCTTGAACTTCACCCTCAGCAACGGAGAAGATCTTTACCAACTTATCTTGTGATGCTGAAGCAAAGAGCTTACCGCTTGGCTGGATATCAATGGCGTTGATATCTTTGTCATGGGCTTTGCGCGTGAAAACCGCTTTGGTAGCAGATTTCTTGCCCGATGCGCTAGACTCGCGCGGGATATCCCACTTCTTGACGGTTTGATCTTGTGAGCCCGTGATGAGAAAGGGTGGCGGGTTGTTAAACGGATCCTTGTAAGCGGGTGTGTCTTCAGCAGGAATTGCTTTAGGTAGAGCAACAGCGCCAAGAGATTCAGCGTGACCCGAGAAGGTTGCCCAGCATTCATATGTGTTTGTCTTGCGGTCAACACGCCACAGCTTGGCCATGTTATCCTTGGCACCAGTTGCGATCCAGTACCCAGACCAATCAATATCCAGAGAGATGATAATATCGTCGTGGCCTTTGAGGAGAGCGACATCCTGACCAAAGTATTGTCCGTTGTCCTGGTTCCATACATCTGCAGTGTTATCCGATGACTGCTCAACAGAGACCAATCGGATATCCTCTGAGTTGGTTGCAAGGGCAAGTAAAGACTGATCCGGCATCATAAAGCCTAAATCAATAATATCATCGTGTGTTCCAGAGATTCGACGGAAAGGTTCAAACTCGGAGATGGTGGTGGAGCCGGCCTTTGAAGGGACCTTGAACAAGGATATGGTATGGTCAACTTGAACTGCAAGAATGAATGGCAACCCCGGCATGTAAATACCAGAGACAAATGCTTCTTCTTCGCCCTTTACAGCCACGCTTTGTGTGACTTCTCGTCCCGTGTCCGTATCCCAGATGCGCAGACGACCAGTGGAGCCGGCAGAGTAAGTGAGATCACCGTTGTCCAGGAAGCCAACGGCCTCGAGCTGCTCTAGACAAGGCACAATTTTGCGAATCTTCCAAGATTTGGCATCCCACCAGATTAGAGTCTTGTCTCTGCTAACAGAGACAATGGCGCGCTGCTCAGGAGAGTAATCAAGGCCACGGACATCTGATACATGGGAGTCCAAGTTGGCAATGCATGCCCGCTTGTTCAGATCCCAAACTTTGACTTTTCCGTCTTGACTGCCCGAAACGAGTCGGAAACTTGCCTTGGCTTCAGCCTCCATATCCTCATCCTCATCATTGTCTGCATTTTTGCTACCCTTTCCTTTGCTCTTTGATTTCTTGTCAGATGAACTGCCAGTCACTTCGAAGAAATGAAGTGCAGAAACAAGGACTGATGGGCCACGGAATGTATGCGTAACATAGCCAGCCACAATGTCCCAGACTTTGATTGTACCATCGGTTCCACCGGTAGCAACAAGTGTGCTCGTTCGGTCGACAGCTAGCACGAGCACCGGTGTGCCGTGCGGTTTGACTGTGCGTAGGAGGGTGTATTCAATCGAATCACCTTCCAAAGAATGTCGAAGCTCGAAGATGCGCATGGAAAGAGATCGAGAGCAGATGATAAGATGGGAGCCAGAAGGTGTTACTGTAACGAGGTTAGCATTACTTCCGATGTCGATGAACTGAGCACCACAAACGTGATAGTGTGGAAATGGATTCGCCATCCTATTTATATTGTTAGCAATCAATTAATATCTTGAAGAAGAAATGAAAAAACTCTTACGCCTTCAATTTGAGCAAGGTGCTTGCCAGTGGTGGGGTTGGTTAAAACGGCATCGTACCCAAGGGTTGTCGCCAGAATTTGAGCATTGTTATCAATTGCTACCGATCCGCCGGTAAAGACCGGACGGATGACGTGTTCGACGTCAAAAGTCGTCTTCAAAGGCTGCTTTGTCGCCATCTTCGCCGCCGTTGATGCTGGTTGAATGCCTGTGCTACCAGCCTGGAGTTTGCTTGACTTTTTTTTTCTGGCCTACAGCGGCCTGATAAGATAAGGAATTTAGGTGGTTGCGCTGCTGAGTCAGGTCGCTTTTGCAGGTTGGTTCGCTACACTCAGTCGCTAGCGACCCACTGAAGCTCATCCCCATACACCTACAGTGCCCTTTCAATTACAGGATGACTACTGCGCATTAGTTGATACAATTTTTATTCAAATACTTTAAATGTTGCAAGTATAAATTAATGCGATTCATTTCTCGCGCGGCTATAGAGATGCTTCGTTCATAACGCGGCAGATACCTATAAACTACAATGGGAATCCAGGGACCACTAACCGCCCAATCACTGGTACGTCAGGCACAAACAATGATGCATCACGTTAGTGGTTTATTTTATACTCATACTTTATAGGGACGCTCTCCATACGATGACGTTGTTGCTGGAGAAGGTGTAGCTGATACAAGGCAACCAGAGTTGACATACGATCACCGTGGCCGCCCTGTCAACCCAACCTCCAAGACCATCAATCGCGATTTGATTCGTTCCCATAATGAAGTCATGGTCGTGATTGGTGTTGCTGAACCAGACGTACCAAAGCAGAATTCCGAAAGTGAGTCGCAGAGACGACATGACTTATACGAGGAGACATTAGGGATACGTATAGACAGTGTTGCTCGCCATTGTATGGAGCTCGTGGGCATCGTGGGTATTGCTGGTCTGCGCCAGCGGATTCTGGTAAGCTTTCCATCTTGTTTAATCACCCTGTCATGTGCTAACCGTGTCAGATTTATCGACGTTATTCAGAAATACCATTCGCCCATTTGCTTCACAATGCCCGACGCGAAATGTCCTTCAGGCAGGAAGTTCTCCCTGGCGTGCCCTTGGCTGTCGCAACAAACTGGCTGGATCGAGCCGTCGTCCGCATGTGGCTTGAGGATCGCAAAGCTTCCATGAAGTATAGTAGGAAGCTGTAAGTTTCTCCCCCCAATCACCCACATACCGTGATGCTAATACCAAAGATAGACTTCACGAAGCATGGGCATACATTAGAGTACACCTAAAACTCTTTTCATCTCTTCAACGAGTGGGTTTGATGCCAGGCAGGTGGTATCCGAGTCCCAAGTTCTTCATACCCTTTACTAGCGAATCACCTATACCGCCACCTCCGCCATTTCCTGGCCTGAAGCCTGCAGCCCTCTTACAATGGACATGTGTCGTTGTAATCTCAACCATCCCCTTCTTCAGCTGGGTAACCATGTCTCGAATAGCCAGAGATCTGAAACCTGAACTGTGGAGAGAGGTCTTCAGGTTGATTCCAAACACAGCATTCAGAGCACAGAGGCTACCGCCACTTCCACCTACACCTAGCTCGCCGATACCAGGCCCTATGGAGACGGATGAGATCCCCCAACCAGTGGATAGCGCCGCAGATGACTGGTATGTGGATGAGCCAGCCGCTGCCATCGAACCAGTTCGCCGAGCGCCAAGCGTACACTCCACGCGAGGTGACGGCTATGAGACTGAGGATGATGGAAATGATGAAGTTGGCCCAACATTCATTAGTTTTGAGGTGGAGGCGACTGAATCAACAGATGCACCACCAGGCCATTGGTCAGCAGAGCTCCAGCCTAGCCATCCTTTTGATGGCCGGCTTGTTGAAGAGCGAGCTCCGGTTTACTTCGACACCATACTCACCCAGCTCCCCGCCACGTTTGCCACAAATATATTCACCAATGCACTGATAAGAATCTGCATGGCACCCTATGAGTCGTTCTCGCTTCGCATGCTTGCAAGAACGTTACGATATCGCCGTGGCATGCCTATGGATGATATATACGAGCTGGATATGTTGGACGGGTTCAACACCACATCAGTAGTTAACTTTCTAGCTGCTGAATTACTCCATCTGGTTATTTCAGGCGAACTTTGGGCTGTTTTTGCCGGCCTCACTCAATTCTTCCATCGTTCAGAGGAGGAATGGAAAGAGGATGAGCTTGAGCTGCAGAGGTTAGAGCAGCAGGAAGAGGAGGAGCAGCAACGCGAGACTGTTGTTAGCTTGTAATGTTGTATCTAATATCGGCGTTTGGAGTATCACAGCAGATTCATGAGACAGGTAGCTTCTTTGGTCATTAAATTCTTTTGAAATACAGGATATAAAAAAGTTCTACCAACTACCAAACTCCCTTACCATTTCAACATATTATATGCAACCACCCCATATCATACATTCATTATCAGATTTCAAGTGTTTATGCGCCCTTGCGATATACCTGCGCTCCTTGGTTTCTGAACATGATTGTGTCTCTACGTTGCATAAACATGAGCGCTCGGTTGAGGCCCTGTTCTGAGAAGCCTTTGCCTTCTACCATTTCGCGACGCAGCGTGGCCAGGCTGGTGCTCCAACCAATGGGCAGACGGCGCTTCAGCTCAAGTTCGATTCTGGTGACTTCTTCGTTGAGCTCTCTGCTGCCCTGGTTGCTGCCCTGGTTGACGGCATCCATGGTAGAGCAGAGGAAGAGGCGGATGGCCTCGTCCACGTGAGCCTCAGTAGCAACAGGCGAAAGTGTGAGCTTTGCCAAGGACTCGGTGATACGGATAATAGCCTCTAGCTGACGAACAGTAATAGGGATGGATGAGCGAGTGTTGGCTTCGATTTCAGCGGCATGGACTTGTCGTCGGATGGACACGAAATGTGACGAGAGCTTTTCAGAAGCCTCTGCGCTGAGTCGTGGAGCGCATCGCCTAAAGATGTGGGATTAGTGAATATTCTTGGAGGTTCGTTTACCAAAGACTTACGTTCGGCAGTAAGAAATGTAGCGACGCATTTTGTCGACGGGAATCTCGGACTCTGTGACCTCTTCCTGTCCGCGGTTGTCCATATGGATACCCATGACGTGCTTTGCGATTCTCTCATCCTTCTCACGTGTGTGCTCGTCCTTGACAATGAAAATCATGTCAAAACGGGACAAGATAGTGGTTTGGAAATCAATGTTTTCTCCAGGAGTCTTCATGTCGTCGTACCGACCGAAGATTGGGTTAGCAGCAGCAAGAACAGATGTTCTGGCGTTGAGGATGGTTGTGATACCAGCCTTGGCAATAGAGATGGTTTGCTGTTCCATGGCTTCGTGGATGGCAACACGATCTTCGTCACGCATCTTGTCGAACTCATCAATACAAACGACACCACCGTCAGCCAGGACCATGGCACCGCCTTCGAGATAGAATTCTCTGGTAGATTGATCACGCTGGACCGAGGCTGTCAGACCTGCTGCAGAGGAACCCTTTCCTGATGTGTAAATGGAAATGGGCGCGGCACCAACCACAAATTTGAGCAGTTGCGATTTCGCAGTACCAGGATCACCAAGTAACAAGACGTTAATGTCACCTCTCAGCTTCATACCATCGGGCAGGATTTTCTTGGAACCACCAAGAAGGAGACAGAGAATGGCCTTCTTAATGTCCTGGTTTCCATAAATGGAGGGGGCAATGCATTCTGCCATGACGTTGTAAAGGTCGGGTCTGCGGCTCATCTCGAGGAATTCCTGCTCCTCTTCTTCAGTGTAGACGGTAATGCCTTTGAGCTGATCCGCACTCGTCTGAATACCAACGGCACGGAGATAGGGTGTTCTGATAGCAACAGCTCCGCCGGTGGACGAGTTCTTTGAACCCTTGTTCTGGTAGATAGAGAAAATACCAGTGACGGTGCATCGAGAGCCTGGAACAACACGGTTCGTAAGGTAACGGTCGGCAGAGATAAGAACATGGCGAGGCAATTCTCCAACCGGGACTTGATCCGGGGCTTCTTGCAATTTGATGACTTGCTGATCGACAAACTTGGACTTTTCGTGGAGGACAAAGTATGGGTCTAGAGGACATTTCTCGGTGTCATCGCCAGGCACTTTCTTACGGCTGCATTGTCGGGGAAGGGTAACTCCAGTAAATCCACCAAGAACTGGTATAGATTCTTGCTGTTTGCAGTTTCGGCATTCGATTCTGAGAGAGATGGCCTTAGACGACATAACAGAGGCACCAATAACAATTCCAGGAACGCGCACGAGACGGGCGATTGTCATCGAGTCCAAGTTTCGGATAGATACATCTTCGGCGTCGGAGTGCAGGAGGAGCTGGTGGTCGGGCAATTCGACTTTCTTCTCGTGAGGGAACAGGATTCTGTGTGTGCATTTGCGCAGAGCGTTTTCGAACTGGCAGATGACTGTTAGCGCACATCATCGGCACATTTTCGACGAGGCTTACGAGAGGAATGATTTCTGCAGGTTCAGAAACCAACTTGTGTGCAAGTTCTTCGTTGAAGCTAATCAAATCATTGATGTTGATGTCGCAAAAGTATTTTTTGAGGAGCGCATTTTCTCGCAGTTGATCACTGACGATAGGTTAGCAAGGGTCGTGGTGAGAGCTGTATATATGCATCTTACCGGTAAACAAAGTTGTTATCGAGACGGAAATCAAGAATGAAAGTTTCAAGCTGTTGCTGGAGCTGCAATCTGGTATCGTTGGCCTCTGTAGCAGAGGGCTCATACACGCGAGTCGAGTACACCGACTGGGAATCCATGACGGCGAGTTGAGCGGGTGTGAAGTAGTGAGAACGAAATCAAATCAATAGGTTGCAAAGAGTAGAAAAAAAAAAGAAAAAGGGAAACCTGGGGAAGAAGGGGCTCTACTCTGCCAATGCGGGTGGGCGAAGAGAGGGGTTGCTACAATGTAGTGGCGGGTAGACAAGCAAAGGGACAAGCACTTAACGCGTCCCGACGCGTTTGAAGGGCTAAACGCGACGCGAAAAGTATAGTGGTCGCAGGCCACTAGCAACAGTGCAGTAGTGGTCCCATCACGTGCACCACAGCCTCGACGCCGGTGAATTGTCGGCTCAAACAGACGCTTCCCAAAGGCGACTAGGCCGCTTAAGGCAAGCTCTCGGACATGCTTGGCTTCTAAGCTGCAACGTAATGCAACAACAGGTGTTGTTATGCCGCCAACCTTTTCGTTCCAATTCACGCCTCTTTTCTTTTAGAAAATATTTGTGTTCCCTTTGTTGTTTATTTTAGAGCGCTTTATTCAGCTGTTTTGATTAATCCTCGATTTTACGCCGCCGACATTCCGCCCAGCAATGATACCCAACTGACCAAGCTCCTTATCACCCCTCGATGACATTAGCCTCCGACCTCCCATAACATCACCACTGCGCGCAAATCAATTGCGACTTGCCTTTGAATATAATCAAGCATGCTTTCGAGCCCTATGGCGGGCAAATCGGTCGATAGCTTGTCGCCATTGGCGTCGCGCAGCCGCAATGACCTACCTCAGCACAGGTTGGTTGGCTTTCCCGCCGAGTTCATACACACAAAGAATACTAAGATGATTGTAGCAATCGGCCAGGCACATCGCATGGCCCGCATTCGCGAAGGGGGTCAGCTGCTAGCTCGATAGGCGGTGCCCTGCAAAAGACCTCGAGCAGCTGGAACCTCGACGAACATCAAACTGGCAATAACGGTACGTCACTCGCTGTCGCTGTAACCTGTCGCAGTTTCTGGTCTAACAATCGCACCCTCAGCTATCTCTACTCTTCTCTCTACGCCAATTATCCGAACTGGTCTCCAAGCATATACTTCTGGATCCTCGAGCGCACACAGAATACCCACGGCGCGAGACATCCCTCCCGTAACCCTGACCAACATCCCGAAAATCGACGCCGCCGAATTTAACGACTACTTGTCACAAGTTGGCGCATTGTATGAACAGTTGCGACGTGTTCAAGAAAATGACGAAGAATCGTCCAATACTTATCAAAGACAAGAGGAACTCAACGACCCCTCCAACGACGGGCTGCTGAGTGTGTCGAAGAACAGAAGTTCACGCCGAGGGTCAACTGCTTCCCTTTCCTCTCTTGGGTCACTAGAAGCTGGTAGCCGAAGCCGACGCTCGAGTATATCATATAACAAAAAGGGCGCACAAGGCCCACCACCACTGTCGACAATTCCCAATGTCTACTTTGACGACGATTTCCACCTTGAGAACCCGCGCACGTTTGACGTCGTTAGTGAACGGTCTGAAGTCATTCGAACAAACGACAGTAAAGAACGAGCAGATGCAAGTGCCCCGCGAAAGGCGCTCGCAACAAATGCTATTCTTCAAGAAAAGTTGTCATGGTATATGGATACTATTGAAGTTCACCTGGTCAGCTCTATTTCTACGGCATCAACAACATTCTTTTCAGCCTTAGGATCGCTCAAGGAGCTCCATTCAGAGGCAAGCGACTCGGTGGAGAGGATAAAGGCCCTCCGGCTAGAACTTGAAGCGTTGGATGCAGAAATCGCGACCACTGGGCTTGAGATTGTTCAAAAGAGCCGCCGACAAGAAAACCTGCGACAACTCAACGATGCTGTCGCACAGCTTAAGCGTGTTGTGGATGGTATTGCAACGTGCGAATCTCTAGTGGATGGAGGAGAAGTTGACAAGGCGTTAATTCATATCAATGCCGTGGAAAACTTAATAGCCGGTGAAGCGGATGCCAACAGTGGTGTCCAGCAAGGCACCCTTCGAGATCTTCGAGGGGCGATTGCCCTCCAAGGAGTGACTACTGACTTGGCCTCACTACGCTTCCGCATTGGCAAAGCGTATGAGCTGCAGTTTGGCAATATTTTAATGGCTGACCTGCGCCGGCACGTCGAGTCAGTAACTGTTCCTGATGTCCTCTTGCGATGGAGCAATGCGGCGTCCCGTGCTCGCGGAGGCCACTCAAGAACCCCTTCGATGTTTCCTACATATCTATCTGCCACCGAAGAACTAAAGGCTCAACTAGAACCTGTGATGGCGGGTTTGGAGAGCGCGCACCATGTAAGTGTCGCTGCTATGGCTTACAAGGATGCTGTGCTTCGCGAAGTTCGAAACATCATCCGACGGCCGCTACCTAGCTCGAGCGATGATGACAACATGTCAATGATGTCAGTATCTACCGCAGGTGGTGGTAGAAATCTATCGGGTCAAGAGAAGTCGGTCAACCTGGCCCGGAACTTGCGAGCGTTGGACCCTGAAGATGCTGAAGAGCTTCTGGTGAAGATTTATATTGGCGTGACGGAGACATTACGACGACTTTCAACGCAGGTGAAGGTTTTACTCGATATTGCGGCCTCGCTTTCCAATGATGTTCCCGACGGTATGAAGTCACCACCATTCCGATCACCGCTATCCAGCCCCAGACCAGAGAGATTTATAGGTGGCATGCCTCAGCCTGCTATTGAACTGCAAGAAGAGCTTCACAAAACGCTTGATGTCTCCAATCTGTCGGCGCAAGCTGTTGACGTGGCAAATGATAAAATTGTCAAGATTCTCAAAGTGCGGTCTGAGCAGTCAACAACGCTACCTCTTGTTATGTTTCTGCGCTACTTTACTCTCAATCTCTATTTTGCCAATGAGTGTGAGGCTATCTCTGGTAGAGTAGGCTCGTCATTAAAGACTGTGGTGAACAATCACATCAAGGAGTTTGTCCAACAGAACCGCGACCTTGAGATGCAGAAGCTGGCCCAGGCAATGGAGTCTGATCAATGGGGCGCCAAAGACTTTGACGAAGCAAGCACAAAGTTACTCAATGAAATTCTTGAATGCAGCACTCAAGACGCGGAGTCCTGGTTAGAGGGATCGAAGCTCTGGATACCTACAACGGAGCTTGGTCAAGAGAACCTTGGCGCAGCGGCGGCCGAGACAAATGGCACAGAAAAGGAAAAGAGCCGACCTGCAGTCATTGAGTCAGAGAAGTTCCTGCTGCCAAACTCTGCCATTCTCTGCCTAAAGGGCATTGGCAACTTTTTGCATCTGGTCGCCGGTATCCCGTCCATGACAAACGATGTCGCAACGTCACTGCTCGCCTACTTGCAGCTTTTCAACTCACGATGCACCCAGCTCATCCTGGGAGCTGGTGCCACACGATCTGCTGGCCTTAAGAATATTACCACCAAGCACCTTGCGTTGGCATCATTGGCGCTTTCGTTTATTGCGACACTCGTCCCTCATATTCGAGAGTTTATGCGCCGTCATGCCGGCTCCAGCGGTGTGTCTACGCTCATGGGCGAATTTGACAAGATCCGACGTGTCTTGCAGGAACACCAAGATAGCATCCACCAGAAACTTGTTGAGATTATGAGCGGGCGCGCCGCAGTACACTCCAAGAGTATTCGGGCAACCAAATGGGACGAGGCCGAGGCCACTGCTGCGCATGCCTACATGGAGACGCTGGCCAAGGAGACCACTACTCTACATCGCGTTCTAACCAAGCATCTTCCCGAGACTTCGATTCATATGATTATGCTACCTGTCTTTGCCAGCTACAAGGAGCAGCTGGGCGGAGCCTTCACGGAGTCCGAAGTCAAGACAAAGGCCGGCAAGGACAGCATGCTACGCGACATTGAACTCTTCTGCTCCAAGCTCGGCAAGCTGGACGGCTTTGCTGACGCAGGCGAGCACCTCAAGGACATTGTTGACGCCAAAGACGTGGCGGCGCCCCCTCCACCACCGCCTGCCAAAGAAGAACCCAAGGAAGACAAGGACGCGGTGTCAAGCGATGCTGCGGGCGAGCAGCCCAGCAAAGACGAAGAAGCGAGCGCCGAAACAGCGAAGGAGACTACATCGTCCGACTAACTCGTTTGTTCTTCTTCCGCATAATAAGTGACGACGCATCACCGCAAAAGGTCGGGTCCGTGTATATGATTAAAGAAGCATAGTACCACCAACTACAAAGTCTCATGTTGCATTTAGCGATTCAGTTTGAATAGAACAAGTCCCCAGAAAGTACACATCCCGATCTCCTTTGTATTATTATCCATGTTCAACCACATAGAGAGATGGAAACCTTAAAATCACGTGGTCGCCCGAGAGTCGCCGGAAACCCGACACCGAGCGGTAAACCCAAAAGGCCCGTACGACTCGGTTCATGACTTTCTGCTAGTAGCGAAGTACGCGATGTCATTGGCGGTACCTTGGCGCCCACAACCACACCACACTCAGTGCTTGAGGCCTGCTACGACCTACCTCACTGGGTGTAGCAGCGCGCAAGCCACAGAGGGGGGGCTTCTGAAGGCCAAACCTACCAGCGGGCGTGTTGCTATCTCACCCCCTTCCCCTTCTATGGTGTGCTGGCCCGGTCCACTGTACAGGTCGAGTTACAGCACAGTGCAAGTGCCTGAGCGTGGCGCCTCTTTTCTCGCTGTGCCCTCTTCATTGGGCACATGCGAGACGACACACCACCACACACCACCAGTGACAGTGACCAATGGTGGCCCACACCGATGAAGAAGGGACAGTCAATCAGGCTAAAGCAATCGGCACGTCTCCTTCTGTTTGCGCGGTCTGTGTGCTTCGCGTACCTGGACTGATCCAGATGCGGGCTGATTTTTTTGTCTTTTTTCGGTGCGGCGCCCTTCTGCAGAGCAGCGCCTTCCCCTGTGGCTCAGTCCTGAATTTTGGTAGAAGAGGGCCGCGCAAGCCCATGGTTAGACGTATGTGAGGGTACAAGGGCAGGACTATTATCGGATCAAGAGGATCAATGGTTAAAATAAAATCATTAGTAAAAGTTTAGCCGTTTTCTTCTCATCACTGTTTCATGTGAAAGGGTCATGTTATTTGAGTGAGTAATATCATTTGTATATACGGCTATCCAAAAGAGATGACATAGGCCAATTCCAAGTCTCCCTATAAACGAAGGAAGGGTGACTTGCTCTCAGCGAATGACGTGAAGTGAAGGGGGTATCAATTGCTTTTTGTTGTATCTCGACTTGTAAAAGAGTGCCAGGACAGTGCCTGTAGTTGAGAGCGAGAGGGGCGCAAAGTGTAAAGACACTATGCTAGAAAAGCGAAAAGACAAGGTGAAAAGAGAAAAAGTCCAAAGCAAAACAGTGTCCGTCTAGTGGTGTTGCGCCCAATTTGTGTCCGTGGTATAAATCCGTCTAAAAGTAATCATGATCTTGGTTCATAACTGCATCCGATGCAAGACATGTCTTTATAAGAGATGCTGCTAGGAAGCATATTCATCAGCCGCTCCTGGCGTTCTGTGGGATGCTGAAAAATCAAAAGAGGCACAAGTGCAAGTCGCGGACGATCGGCTCGCCGACCAGACTCTGCGACCGTGCATGTGCAGTCATGAAGAAGTGACCCCATTTAGTGGAAGAGGGCGAGGCCAGTGCTGCCCTCACCAAGGGTGGTGATGAGGTGGGTGGCCTTGGTGGTCTTGGTCTGGACGTCATCGGGAAGGACGTACTCGTGGCCGCAGGGGAAGGCCTCGCAGCCAGAGGCAGGACCAAGCTCGCCAGCAGGGAAGATCTGGTGAACACCAGTCTTGTCGGTGGGGTCAACGATAGCAGAGACGTCGTAGAAGGTGATGTCGTTCCAGCCGTTGAAGGTGACCTCACCAAGCATGCCCGGAGTGTTGGGGGCGCCAACGGGTCTGGCGTACCAGTTGCCGATCCACTGGAGAGGGAAGTCAACGGTGATGTTCTTGGTGTTGTCAACGTTGACGCTGGGAATCTGGGCGTGTCCGGCGCTGGGTGTGAAGTAGATGGTGCGCTGGGTGTTGTCAAGGGTCCAGAAGGTGACCTGGTTGTCGGCTGCGACGGCAGCGGCAGCGGCAATGAGAGAGGCAACGGCGGTAGAGAACTGCATCTTAAATGATTTTCAAATGAGAAGGAATGTGGTTTGGTAAGTCTTTTGCTTGCTTAGAGAGTGAGGAAGCAGAAAGAAGTAGTTGGTTGCTGAAGGAGCGTTGGTATAAGTCGCGATGACTATAGAGTAAGGAATGGCAAGATGCTGAAGAGCGAACAAGGAGTGTCGTTATTTGGATTTACGATGAGACGGAACACGGTAGGGGTGGGAGGGGTGAAGAGGTTTTATAGAACATGGTGGCTTCCCGAGTCGTGTGTAAAAACTATCCTGATAAGGCGGACCGCGTGTCAATAGCCAGCGCCATTGTGGTGTGTGTTCTGGTGGTAAACCCGGACTACGGGTCCACGGGTCGTGGGGCGGCCCCAGAGAATTCGAGATTCTAGGCCCTGGGGCGTAGACAAAAGTAGCAGCGAAGTACCTGTTTGGGGCACTGGGACAGCGGCAACGGAAGATTCTGAAGCCTTCGGTCGTCGGGTTCCTGACGTTGGCGCCACCCAGGGCCATCAAGGGGGGAGGGGCGCATCCACTGGTTCCGCTCTGTGGTGGTGTAGTGGGCGGGGGAGGGGTCCTAGTTTGTTGTCATCGAGAGACGAAAGAAGAAAACGGGCTTTTGCTATTTCGTTGGCTTTGCGACGAGATGCTGATAGGTGGGAAAGAAGGGGGGATAAGTCGGAGAAAAAAATAGAAACAAGTAAAAAACGCGGCCAACTATTACAGGGAGGAGGAAAGAATATAGGAAGAAGAAGGTGCAAGAAGAGGTGAGGGAAGGGCAGAGACCTCTCTGGAAGGTGCGACTCTGCCAAGTGGCACGGTGCATTTGCCGCTTTGCAACAGAACAGAGCGCGCGTCAAGCGACAAACCCAACCAAAGCCTACCGTTTACAAAAGGGATACTTTGACAGTACATTGTCAAATACATCCAGACTAGCCCAGCTGTATGGGAAAAAATTGCTACTGATAAAAACGCATATTATAAAATTTAAAATAAAAATAGAAACGCTTTGTGTGGTTCACAACATACTTTGCTTTCACCGGCTGCACCGCCCGCAGTGTAAAAGAAGGGGCCGACGGTACCATACAGTATAATACTGTGCAGAGACGGTACAGGGCAAACGGCGGCACCGAACACTCACAACGGAGGAGTAAAAGGCTAAATGGAACCAACGCACTCCACGTGGGCCGGGATACAAGCTTTGTGCTTTGAATTAGAAGTATTTTTTAGTAAATTTTCTTTTCTTTGTATGTAAAAATAACAATGGGTAGATACTTGCAAGCCGAAAAAAAAACCCTTCTACTTTGTTCGCGTTGTACTCTTTGTCTACTTGTGTGCAGCCAGCCAGCCAGCCCTCTTCAGTGCAATGGCTGCTGCACTGGCCCAATCGGGCAAGTCGCTCCCCTAGAAAACAAGCCTCTGTCACAGCAGGCGCTGCCTGTTCCTGGTGGGCTGCAGCACAAGCATCCCTGGTGCCGTGGTCAACCCCTGTAACTTCGGCTGAGCTGCGCTGTAACGCTGGCTGTTAGTTGCCGAAGCAGCCCAAAACCATGGCTGCCCTGCAGGTAGTGATGGTGATGGTGGGTGTTGCACTGGACGGGGGGTGTTTGTATTGTTGGAAAAGCCCGAGTGGTGCAAACTTGCGCTTTTTAGAGTCAATTGCGTAATATCGTTTACTTGATGTTCTTTTCCGTCTCAACCCCGAGAAGCAAAAATATTTCTGAAGAAATCTGGGACGCGTACCGCCTTCATCGCATCCGTCTCTTCCTATCATCCGTACTTGGGGCATGCTTAGCGCTCGGGAATCCTACGGGCCATCCAACGTGCCCTATCCATTTTTTTTTCGTTCTGGTGCGTGCGGGAGAAGAAAAGCTTAGACATTACTTGTCCGGCAAGACTTACATTTTTGACTCGAATGGCTGCGGGTTCCTTTCTTTGTCTGTCTGTGCTCGACAGCACACCATGAGTTAGTGGCTATACACAGTGTTGCCGAAGCACTGTAGGCCACTATGTGGCTAGCCACAACAACAAAGACTGCCATGACGATGCGATATTTTTTTTCTTGCTGTGGCTGCCCAAGCTACTACTACATGTGTTGTTTGCCAATGGACAACACACTCGTCCGCTGATCCTTTACGTTTGCTCTGTGGTCGCCCAGCACATAAGAGAAGTAGCCAACCTTTGACTAACATGGGCGCCCAATGCCCACCGCCCGCTATCGGGAAGCAAACACAAGAGGCAGGTCAGCTTAGCTCAAATTGGATAAGCAGTCATCCGTAGTAGTAGAACTGTACCTGTGGATGATTCCTCACGGGGCAGAAAGGGTACTGTTCAGTGAGACAACAGGTCTACCTCCAGTACACAGCATCCACCTCTATCAGCGTGTCTAAAGCTTGGTCCGTGGGCGAACCACACCGCGCAAAGAGCTGTCATTCGCTGAAAGTCCCCTCCAAGCCCTGCATATACCCACATTCAGCAGCATAAACCACCTTCAAAGGGCAAAAAGACAGCTGAAAACATGCAACTCCGGGGGGCTGGGTGCCTTGCCAGACCGCTAACTGGTTGCCTCTGGAGCACCTGCACCCAGCCCTGAACGGAGCACTGTATTGTCCACTCTAGCCCACTGTAAAAGTCCCTCAGTGGACTCGTTACAGCGGGCTTTGGCCAGTGTGGCTGGCTTGCGCGTCACCAGCAGCGAGCCAATCACCGTTTTGCTCCGTTGGCGAAAACGTTCTCGACTCAGCATAAAGTGGGTCCGCTCGAAAAACTCAGACAATCAACATGGACAGAGGCAAGGTACACGCCATTTGTATGGCATTTCTATGTAAGTCTCATGTACCTCTGCCTCCGCCACTCAGATAACGGAGCCCAGTTCCGCCCTGCCAGGCACCAGCCAGTGGCCTTTGCTTTTCCTAACGGAGGGCTGACGGTGGCGATCACACGTGTAAACCCTGCACCAACCGAACTGACAGTCAACGTTGCTTCCGGTGATCGGCTGCCTTTTTGGTCATTGTTCCTGCATTTCGTTCTTCTTCTCAGGCGGCAGCCAGGCACGCGGCACTGATACGGTTACGGCAAGTATCTACATTGTACCTCTGCTAACACAACGGTGAACCGTAGAACGTATCCGATCCTATGCGAACACCAGCCAGCCAAGCTTTTGAATAAATATGGATTCGATTGCGATTCGCTGTCAGTTCCAGCCAATCACAGAAAAGCATTATATAACATGTATTCACCACAAATCAGAGCCATAGTGTTGTCTACGGCCCAATAGTAAGCACGGTTGATATACGTCAAGAGTTGAACAGAACATTGTGATGATTGGTTATATTTCACGAGAATCATCTTTTCTTATAGCTCATCGCATTGCAGTAGTAGCAGCATCGTAATTCCAAACGCTTTCGTACTCGATAAACACAACGAAGAAAAAACCACCACAGAGTACGAAAGCTAAGGTGGCGGTGATTAGCAGCGGCGCCACTTGATGGCAAACTTGACGACAAGCTTGCCGCTGATGTGATCAACCTATTTGTTTTCATCTCGAGTTAGCGTCTCAATTCATAATGGACAATTCGACGGTCCACTTACAGCAATCAAGGCAGGCAAGTTGGTAGGGCTGATGTTGCAGGCCGTGTTCATGTTGAGGATGGCCGTGCTGCCACCACAGGCAGACCAGGACGTGATGCTGGGATGACTCTGCAGGTCAAAGTTGCCGCTGTAATGGCCAGGCAGGCTCAAGGCATAGTTGACCTGGTCAGCAGCGTTGCCGGTAAAGGAGAAGGTGTTGGTGCATTGACCCTTGGCGCCCTTGGGGATCTCAGCAAAGCCAATCATGTCGGTATCAAGAAGAGAGAACCTAGGTGACATTTCATATTAGCCCTGACCGTATACCTACTACAAATATATCAATACTTACTGGAAGCCGCGGTCAAACTCCATGTTGAGGGTGAGCTTGCAGTTCTTGCGCCAGTCGATTGCCTTGGTACCAGGGCCGGTCTGCACCTCATACTGGGAAAAGGTGGCCTCAAACAGGGTACCAGTAGCGTCGACCTGAATGTCGGCAGATCCTGGGGGACAACCACTGCCGAGGAGGCTAACACCCCGAATCTTGACGGCCGAGGGACCGTCGCTTCTTGCGGAGGGCATAGCAGCAGCAGCAGCAAGGCCGAGCAGAGAAGAGAGGAGAACAAGAGGAGAGTGCATGATGAATGAATATTGTTATAGTGAGTGAAGATTGATTTGGTTTAAGCAACTTGGTGTAGCGAGTGTTAAGGAGCATTCCATCGATTCTTACGGCGGCATCTGAGGACCTTTTTATACTTGAGTGTTCATCAGCCTCACTCAATCAGAGGATATACGAGACCGACATATCAAGAGAGAACTTGTTTTTATCCAAGTATACGAGACTTTACCCGCTTGAATTCGTAAACTCAAATAGGCCAGTCGACCAGTAGGCGGCCACAATATCACCACTTCAAGAAGCGCGGCTTTCATGGCGTCCGTATGCATACACCGCTCCTGCAGGGCGAGCCAATAGGGAAATTTTTACCTCATCCAATGTCTCACCCAATCTGCCGGGAGACAACCACGAGTTCAGCCCAACTCAACGTGGGTGTACAGAGTACACGATCGACTATTGGGTGTTCAGCCTTGTGTCTCTCCCCTCCAGCTCGCAAAAGGCGTATTCGGACTGTCTCTCGTCTTTGCACCAGAAATAGCAAGGCATCATGATGGGTTCAGACCTAATTCTACAGCAAGGACCCAATGATAATCGCCGTTCGTCCCAGAAGAGCGGTCGAGAAACGTGGGACACAAGAGGACAGGAATGCAAGGCCCTCGCACGAGACGAACCGACGAGGTCATCCCTGAATATCAAGACGGCCGATTGGTCCTCTGATGTCGGGGCTTGATTGAGTTTGGACTATACAGCAAGACAGCAGGGATAACCTTTGCGCGGCTGAAAGTATAAGCTGCACAAGCTTATTCCTTGTGTTCTTGTCTGGTTTGTCTTCATGCGGTTACTTTTGCTTCCGTTCCTTCTTGTCGGTTTATTTTTAACCCAGCACAAAGGTCATGTGTTGCGCTGGCGAAACTCTATACGGCTATCGCTGAGCCTTCGGATACTTTGGGCAGCTCTACTCGCGATGGTTGAGAGCCAGTGGTTCTGTATTGCTATTGTGCACTGTGTGTCTTGTTGTCATGATCATCAGCCTGATATGTTGTGTAAATTTAGAGACAATTTCATGGGGAAAGGGGAAAGGGGCTGTCGGGTCATCGCCATATACGAGCCAGGCATCACACAGCGTATGTCGCCCGCCATGTCTTTGATATCAGCCTCAGAGAGCCACGAGAAGCCACATCGGCGTCTAGACTTTTGGGCAACATTAATATAGGCCCTCAGCTCTATGCCACTTCATCCAATATACGAGCAGCCTGAGGCAATGCCACTGCCACGAGGCGTGTTCGCCAATCATCATCATCGTTACCACCACCATCACCACCTGGCTCAAGGCGCACGCTGCCAGCCCTAGCGCTAGGATCCCTACAGACGAGTTGTCGGGAATTTAATGGCAGCCCCCAATATATGCCATCCCGAAAATAGCCTTGGACGAAAAGCCACGCCGACGGAGTCAGGGGCGTCCATTTGCCGAGTGTGACAACTCTCCATGCTCTGCCACAAGTGCCGCCAGAGCTAGATCGCCGGAAACGCACTGAGAGTGAGGCTTCAGCAAGCTGAGTGAGAAGAAGCAAAGTATTTCTGTCGCCCTGATTTGCGGGGATCGTGACTTGAGGCGTCCCAAGGTTAAACTTACAAGGTTTGAGAAGGCGCCTTGGCGGAGACCCCGGTTGGTGTAGGCTGTGCTGTACTGTACCGTGCGGTTATGGTATACACTGTAGGTATTGACACTGTACGGCCTCAGCGCCATGAAGCAGGTTTCACAAACCCGTTGATCATCAAATTAGCCGTGACGGGAGGTTTGTTAAGAAGGAATAGCAGCAAGTATTACAATAAATTCAAGTTTATCTTGTATGCTTGCTTCGGTGAGCGGGGAGCTACATGATGGCCAGAGTCAGTGACACTCACGCCGTGATCCGTGTGTAGATGATATAAAGGTTCACAAATTCTGCCAATAAAGGCACCATTTTTATTCAGCTAGCTAATTCCCACTAATATACAGGCGTCTCAATCTGACTGATGAGCCCAGCCATGCGAATGTGCTAACCTGAGGGCGGGCCCGTAAAATCCAACCAGTTGTTGATAACCACTATCAATCAGGAATATGAACCTGTATTGCCAATTCCTCAGTCCTACTACAATTGAGCAACAAACAATACCAGATATACGCAAAAATAAACAGCATTCAAGTCGGAAACGGGCGCTAACAGAACAAAAACAAGCGATAGTGCAACAAAATATATCAAAACAGTCGCAGTTTCTCATCGGGGGCGACGATCTCGGCCTCGAGTAAAGGGATTATTGACGGGTGCGGCCATGTAAGAATCAGCTGGCATAGTAGGAACAGGGGGCCTTTCCACTTGGGCAGGGCGAGCGCGCATGGCGCCGGCTGCGCCTGGAGGTACGTTGGCAGCCGACTTGCTACGCTGTCTCATTCCCATTGGCGAGGAAACGGCATGAGGTTCTTGAGCAGTGGCATAATTTCCATTGGGATGAGCCCCTTGAACATGGCGCTGCTGCTGAGCTTGGTGATGCGCATGATGCTGTTGCGCATGGGGATGTTGCGGGTGAGGCTGATGTGCGTGCTGTGGGTGTTGTGGATGAGGTTGGGGGGCTCGAGGGTGAGAGTAATTGCCTCGGTGTTGATTGGTCTGTGCTTGGTAGTCTCTTCCACCTTGTTGTGGCATAGGAGAGGAGTTGTAGTGGTCTTGGGCTGGACTATGCCGACGGTTTTGAATGGGGCTGTTGTAATCATACGCCATGTGCTGATTATACGGAGTGGTTGGCGGTGCCGACGCTGGCGATTGGGCATCTAAGATGGATGTGAACTCGGAAACAGCCGGACGAACCGGTGGGTCGTCAGCGAGCAACTCGTCAAAGTTGATCCATGCGCCCGCGGCTACTTCCGCTGGTGTATCACTGATGATGACCTTGTGTGCAACATGAATGACTGGTTGTGCAGATTGGCTGCGTGTGGAAGCCGAGTGTGCGGTTGCCGAAGGAAACCATGATTCGGGCTCTGGAGGAGGTGGTGGTGGCAATTCAATAACAGGAGGAGGAGGCGGTACATGGACGACAAAGGAGCTTTCTTCAATCTCCTCCTCTTCATCTTCCTGTTGCTTCTTCGACTTTGAGCCTAGCAGTCCACCAAGCGAGAATCCAGCGCTCTTCTTGCTCTTTGCGTTGGAGTTGGCCTTTTCAATTCTGTGCACTACCCCAGGCTGTATATCAGCGTATCGCACGCCTACAGCATGGCCATTTGCCTGGCCTGATCCAGCACCATGGGCGTCGGTATCATAACTTGGAGCGCTACTGGGAGCTGGGGGTACAAGTGGTGAATACCTTTGACCCATGGCGTTGTAATTCATGGCACTGAGGAGTTCCTCCTTAGGAGGTTCCTTCTTTGGTGCAAAAATGTCGATTCCGCTAAGATCCAGGTTTCCGACATCAAAATTCTTTTCTTCGATAACAGGCTCGTGGTTGCGAGGTGCACTACCGTAGGCATTCATGGGCTTGGACGCCATGGGACTGTTTGTCGTCGAAGTAGAAGGCTTATGTTCCAGTTTTAGATGCTGATTAACCAAATACCAGCTTCTCCAACCATGGAGAACTTCGTGGAAACGGCGTGCCGTAGCTTCGTCATCAGTGCAAATGAAATGGATGTAGTTGCCACCGGATTCGGGAAACTGAGATCGCCTTTGTTGACTTTTAACCACATAGCAATAATGCTTTGGGGGCCTGATTTGCCGAAGCTCTGACTCTTTAGGATAGTAAATGTCAAAATCAGATAGTGTGCACAGAGGGACTGTATCTCGATCCGAAGCATTAAAGTCTTCTCGTTTGCCTGCAACGAGGGTACCATTTCGTCGCAGCGACAGCCAGCGCTTGTTCCACTTAGTTGGGTTTGTCGCATGGTAAAATTGCAAGTTGAACCCATTAGGACCCTCACTAGACCTAGACACGGCAGCAATATCAAGATCGAAATCGCTCTGGCCTGATCCAGACGGCTTGATGAGTAGTGAGTTCTCAGAGTCGCGTTCCCAGCTGTTCATGATGTCACTGATGCGCTCATATCGCCGAACACGCCTTTCGATACCTAGGCTAACAAAACACTCCATCAAAAGACATGTTGCCGGGCTGACATGTTGGCGAAACCCCTTGGCGGCGGCCCAAAGAATATCAGTGGATGTTGTCTCAGCAGTAACGGGCAGGGTAATACTAGAAGTCATGCACTTGACAGTAACATACTATTTATGCGTTAGAATGATCGTAATAGGCTACTAATCAGCAACTTACTCGTTTAGCAGCGCTCGCGGATGCATACGCAGCATCGCTAACGGTGGCATTGGTTATTGGCAGTTCATCGGAACCGTTTGGGAGGATATCGGGAGGTGAGGTCTCCACGCTACTACCACGGCTCATGGTAGGAGAAAACACAGTGGTGTTCACCGTACTAGGCGTGTTTGGTTGGCTAGGCATAGGCTTCTTCGCTTTGGCGCCAAATATGGCCAGTTTTTCTAGCACAGGCTTCTTCGCCTTCGGAGGAAGTGTCTCGAGCTGCTTTTGAAGCCGCTCCAAATCTAGCTTCTTTTGCTCCTGTAGCATGCGCTGGGTATCAGCTTCAGAGCGGACCACTGGACTCTGGCCTTCCTCTTGTTGTGGCTGGGTCTGCTCATTCTGCTCTGCCCCCTGCTTCACGGTCAAGGTTGAGCTACCTGTGGAAATGACCTTGGCGCTGCCCTGTGAATACACTTGTGCAGTTGCAGTAGCGGTACCTTCATAATAATCATTTGATTCATTTCCATACGGTGAACTGACTTGCGCCGTGTATGCGTTGGAGTTGTTCGTCCGATTATGTTGAGGCGTTGAAGGATTTGGGGCACCGTACGGTTGTGAATCAGAGCCGTTCCCACCGTGCGGAGAGCCATATTGTCCATTTTGCGAGTATTGTGTTGTAGAAGGTGAATCAGCCGTCGCTTGGTTTGGTTTGGGCACATCTTGTCTATACATTGATGAGTAATTACCCTCAGAGGTATGGGCTTGGTCCTTGCCATAGTCTTTCGCGGTGGACGTATATGGTGCATTATATGCAGGCTTGTTCATCTCCCCGTAGCCCCTGCCACCGTAACTGTTTGTGGGATAGTCGTTACCATACCCAGTCCCTGGTGCCTTGTTCTGGTTCGACGTATAGTCGCCGCCATGGTCGCCATAGTCATTGGAAGTATTGTACTCAGAATAGTAGTCCGCATTGTACTTGGTGTTGGCCGCGGCGTTGTCAGTGTTGGCGTTATAGCCATAGTCGTTACCATTTCTAGAGCCGTATCCTTGATAATCAACAGCTCCATATCCAGCATTTCCCTTGGATCCGTAATCTGACTTGTTTTGCGAAGCATAATCATCACTGCCACTGCCATTGTACCTAGGTTCCGAGGACGCCCCGTACTCAGCATAGTAATCAGCGTCATATCTGTTACCATTGTCTTGTTGTGCCGCCGCATTGTATCGGGCATCATATTGCCCATTGGCATTTGGCCGGTGACCTCCATTCATACCAGGATTGGCATTGTTGGCTTGGTGGTTCATTCTTGGGTGGGTACCCGGGCTGCCATTGGTATGCATTCTCGAGGAGGCGCTAGGGCTACCATTGTTCATCATACCATTGGGATTCATTTTCGGATTCATTCTTTGTTGTCCGTTTTGATTTCGCTGGTAAGCATCTGGAGGTGCGCCCGGCCTTTGTTGGTTCATGTGAGGGCTGCCGTTGCGCGCCATGTTGGGGTTGCCTGGTCCTAGGTTTGCTTGCCTTGGGTCATATGGAGGTCGTGGCCTGGAATCATATCCATTAGGCATGTTTGGATATGCAGGTTGCTGTTCCCTATACTTGAATGCGGGGGGTACTGGTATATTGGCTGTTTTTCCAGGCGCACCATAGCCGCCACCTTGCATGTTGGCAGACCGCTCAACCAGAGGAGCATCTCCATAGTCGCTGGAGACACTGCTTGTTCGTGACCGCATGGCAAGTCGCCGAGACAAGTTGAGAGTTGAATCGAAAATTCGGTTGCTAATTGGATTATCGGTAGGGTTGTGTTGTCGGAGGCGTGCAGCGGTTTCGTGTAAAGGCGGGTTCAGACGATATCAATAGACTGGTGTGCCAGCACAAAAGTCTGTATAGGCTGATTCCATACCCCCGTTTCCCGGTTATTTTGGTGTTGCAACCAAGGCAAATTGCCTTTTGATCACCGATCGAGGCTAAGGCAACGGCGACAAAGTGCGTGATGAGTTTGAATAGTGTCGGCCCTTGCCTATACTCTAGCCCGAACGAAGTTTTCGATACCCTGTTCCAGAAGTCGATAGAGAGACTCCGTATTAGCCGTCACTGAAGTGTGTATATATATCGTTCAAAATATGTGATGTCAATAGTTGTAAAACCAAAGTCGTAAAATTGTGACAGGAGGAAGGGAAGAAAGGAGCAACGGAAACGCGGCGTAGAAAAGAACGTCTCAAGGAGGAGGCTGGTCTGCTGGACAAGGAATTCATCGGTCTCAATCGCGAGCCGAAAAAAGGCTATTCCATGGTGGTTGAGTGGCAGCCGGTAACAAGGCGCGTAGTTGGGGCAAGGTCTCAGAGGTGCCGCCCTTGACTGGGAAAGCCGCGCATCCTCCATTCCTAGGGCCGAGTGGCCTTCCTTCAGCGTGCTTTAGAGCATGAACGTTTCACTAACGGTAAATTCATTATGCTCAGGATCCGATCTTCCTCTTCAACTGCATTATGATGCTGTCACGGTTGCAGTGAAGCCATCGCCATTTCCAGAAATTTCATTCTTTGAGCCGCCTTTTGCTACATATACCTTCCGCGTTGCAAACGTCAATAAATGCCGTGTCGTTTAAATTTCCCTATCGATTTACTTAGGGTTAAGCAACTTTTTTTGTTGACAATTATTTCGTTCGCCTAGCAGGGTCCTGTCGATCGGGAGAGGTGTATGCAACCCTGGGAATCAAGGCCGGAGAGCTTCCGGCTCGGTGCCATGGCAGTGGCCTCTGTTGAATAGGCTAAGTCAAAGGCATACGCATCACAATTGGTCAAATATGATAGACTTACTGTCTAAAGCGGCAAACGTGGCGAATGTCCCCAGCATTGGAATGGAACGTGTGGTGTCTTTGTCGTGTAAGTCCCCCCAGCTTGCATTCCCGAGATCATTGATCCACCAATAGGTCGGCGTTCAAGAGGTGAGACCCCAAGTCCACAGTTACGAGGTTTGTGGCCCTTGTTCTTGACCAGGATTTGGCGGCCGGGAGATTGGCTTAGCGGGCGGGTGGGAATGTGACAAGAGAGAGCTTTGCAGCTGCGAGACCGGCCAGTGCACAGGCCGGCAGTGACAACAACAGCTGGCGAGTCTGTTTTAGGCAACCACACAATCCATTGTTGACGGGGCATTGCATAGATTGCATATTAGTTGGTAAAATTACAACAAAGATGCTGAGAAATTTAGACGAATCAATGGAAAGCTTTCTAACAATAGCATCGAATGACTATGCATTGTATTCCATTGCGGTGGTTGATCTGGTGATGCAGATGAACAGAATGTCCACGGGACCACTACATGAGCAGCTTTGGATGATTAAGTTTACCCATAACTGCACAATGAGAGGGAAGCAAAATGCAACAATTCAGCCTGTCAAAAACAAAACAGGCTCACTGTGGGCCAACTCATGAGCGGTTGCCCTGGAGTCGCCAGAGACCTAGCAGCTCTGCCACGGCGGAGTGTTGGGCGACGTCGACGAGTTCCAGTAGATGGGTGCTGACAAGTACAGCAAGTGGTCATGATGTTGTCACAATGGCGGTGCATTAGCAGTGTTCTAGTCCTTCGATATAGAGTAAGCTCATCGACGCCGAGTCGGCGTACACATTGAACGTCTGTATAGGACTATACCAGTGGACGCTACCGTGCTCATATAAAAAAGGTATTGTTTGCTGCAGTGCGTAGGCTTATCTCGAACATCCCAAAGTACACCGACATTTTTGCCCATACAAGAAGACGTCTTTATCCCTTTATCTCTCGGAAAATCATTATCTCCCCACCAAGCTCAGAGGTCCTAAGGCCAACGGCTGCACGGAGCACATAATGCTGCAAGGTAATGTCGTACGGGCCTATAAAGACTTTGGGATGCATATTACATCAGCATGCGTGACATTGCTTTTTTTATATATATCATATCCCTTATCGGTACATATTATAGTCTCTTGGACGTAGCGAAATTAGTCTATTTTTATGCTGTGTTCCATTCACCTTTTGTTCACATTTCTCATCTCCTTCCATTATTTAGAGCGCTTGTAGATCTTCTCCAAGAAGATGGTGAAGATCTCCTTCTTCAATCCCTCGCTCTCGTCGACCTGGTCGATCTTGCTTCGGATTTCGTTGGCACGCTTCTCCTCAAATTCTTCGTAGCGCTCCTTGAGCTTCATGTCATCGTAAAGCTTCTTGATAACGGCCTCCTTGGCATCATCCTTCTGGCCGTAGTTCTCCTCGAGGATCTTGCGCTGCTCGGGGGTGGCAATCTCGAGAGCCTGGTTGACGAGCCACGAGCACTTGTTATCCTTGATATCGGTACCGATCTTGCCAATATGCTCGGGAAGACCGAAGTTGTCGAGGTAGTCATCCTGGATCTGGAAGTATTCGCCAAGGGGAATGAGGATATCCTCGGCCTGCTTGAGGTTCTTGGGGGTGGCAAGGTTGAGCTGGTAGAGGGCAAGGGCGACGGGGAGGTAGAAGGAGTAGTAAGCGGTCTTGTAGATGACAATGAACTTGTACTTCTCCATGGAGAAGTTGTCAAGGTTGACCTTGTCCTCCGGGGCGGTCAGCAAGTCGCAGAGCTGGCCCATCTCGGTCTGGAAGGTAGTCTCGTGGAAGAGCTCAAGAAGGTCAACATAGGCGGGGTGGGTGCGGAAGAACTTCTTGAGGAGAGTGTAGATGACGGACTCGAGCATGAAAGCATCGTTGATGGCAATCATGCCAACACCATCCTGGCGGTACCAGCAGGGCTTGCCACGGCGGGTGATGCTGCCGTCCATGATGTCGTCGGAGACGAGGAAAAAGGCTTGAAGGAGCTCAGTCATCCAGCCAAGAGTGGCAGAAGCAAAGTATTGTTCCTCGGTGAGCGGTTTGTCGAGCAGGAGAGAGACGGAGTCGGGAACAGACATGCCGCGGTTGCATTTTCCGCCGAGAGGGTTGACCTCGAGGTTCTATTTGGTGAGCAGTAATTAGTATAAGCTCTGTAGATGATGCACACGACGGATTGGGGAATCATTCTTGCTTACCGCCTTGAACCAGTCAAGCTCGGTCTGAGGAAGCTTGTAGGATCTAGCATGGTCGAGGATGGCCTCTTCCAGCTTAGGGTAGACGGACTCGAACTCCTTGAGAGTGGTCTTCTGAGCAGGCATTGTGGAAGACTTGGTGTTAGAAATGAATTGACAATCTACTGAGAAGAAGAAACAAAGGAAGAAATCAGGAGGACGCACCGCTACTCAGATTGGCGGGGTGGACAAGCCCAGGATAAATGAGGGGCCGCTTTGAACCGGGCCCGTTGTCAGAGGGCTATCTTTTTACTGCAGAATAAAGTCCGCCGTCTACACAGCACCCGCATAAAAGTTCAATGTTTACTATGTAAACACTATTGGAAAATACTATATAAAATATTAACTAAAATTTTCAAACGCTGTTTAACGATAAACCGTTTGACTTTTGATAATGCAACGTAGACATAGTTTTATGAGATGTTTAATAGGTTTCTGTATGATTGAAGTCCTGCGCCATAAGCGCTTTGCTAATAATTTTTTTATATATCTAGAGAGACTAGATATTATTCTATAACGGAAGCATTCGAATTATCTTTTCTCATATCTGCTGTTACTAGTCTTTGTTGGGGAATATAATAGTCGAGTTTGAAAGCGAGGCGAGGCTATTCTTGTTCGTACTCGCTTAGTGAAATTATTCAGGTACCAAGTACCCGTTGCGCCTAAATTGGTAGGCCATGTACTTGGGCCTGACCAGTGAACGTTATGGCGCTCACCGCCCTGCATGCGCGCCAAGACTTCCGATGGGTTTCTGTGATACTGTATGGATATAGTACACACTGTCGGAATCGACACTGTAACGTCTCAACACTACTTATTAAGCCTCGCAATCCGTTGGCGAGCGAAAAATAGCCGTCGTAGGGATTTTTTTTTCTTTCTTAAAAAAATGATATCAATTATTGTAATGAATTCACATTACTTTACATACTCACGCACTTTAGTGAGTCAAGGAGCTAAATGGTGACCGTAGTCGGCGTCACTCAGCTGCAGTGACTCCTCTTTAGCCTCGTGAGTAAGACGGGCCAACTCAGTATTAAACCTGCTTCACCATCAACTTCTCTCCTCTCTTCTAGTGAGCATCATAGGCAAATCCAAGACAATGTTGGATCCAATCACACCCAAGGCGCTGCGGAAAGGCGACACCATCGCCTTCGTCGCACCCTCCTCCCGCATCAACCACATCTTCCCGCTCCGCATACAGCGCGCAAAGCAGTTCCTCGAGAGCCAAGGGTTCCAAGTCAAGGACATCTTCTCGCCCTCGCTTCCCAGCACATCCCTCCGCGCCTCCGTCGAAGCCAGGGCCGAAGAAGTACACTCCGCCTTTCGCGATGACACCATCCACGCCATCGTCTGCTGCATTGGTGGCCTGACAGCCAACGAACTGTTGCCGTACCTTGACTACGACTTGATCCGCGCGCATCCCAAAATCTTTGTTGGCTCGTCCGACATTACGTTGATACACTATGCACTCCGCGCAGGCGCTGGTCTTAGGACCTTCTACGGCCCTTCTGCCATCACCCAGCTGGCGGAGTACCCTGCGCCGCTGGACTTTACGTGGACCAACTTTGTGGCTACCTTGATGGCTGATCCGTCAGACGGGTCAAGTCAGCGGAGTCTCCCACGGGCCTTGGAGTACACGGATGAATTTCTAGATTTTGGATGCGAACCAGATAACTTGCGTCCTCGGGTTCTCCAGCCAGCGCCTGGGTGGAAGTGGTTGCGTGGCGGCCAATGCGAGGGCAATATTGTCGGCGGCTGTCTCCCTAGTATACTTCAGCTCTTCGGTACGGCGTGGGAGCTCTCGTATAAAGGAAAAGTCTTGCTTCTCGAGCTGCCTGATGGACCAACACTAAAGTCGGCGTGGCCGCTGAGCTTGGTGCGCTGGAACCTGGGCGACTTGGCCACGCGAGGTGTATGGCGAGACGTTGTTGGTGTGGTGCTCGGCCGCACATATCTCTACAGTGCGGAGGAGACGGCAGAATGGGAGAGCATGGTGCTTGAATTCGCCGAAGAGTTCGAATTTCCCATTCTCTCTGGCGTTGATGTTGGCCACACAGATCCCATGCTGACGCTGCCTCTGGATACGCTCTGCCGTCTAGACAGCGACAAGGACGAGTGGCGTATTTTGGAAGATGTGGTGCTTAGCTAGCCGGTCATTTTCTGACCAAACCCATTTGAATAGCTTTATTTCTTCAATTTTCCCTTGAATTTACCACGCCATATTCACCATGATGCTATCATCGCCGTATTTCTCTCTACATGCAAATCGGTTGTCGGCCCCGGATCACGCCCGGCCCCACTCCCGCCGATGCGGATGCCGAATGGAGCAACCACTGCAAACAAAAACATGGCTGGGAAGAATTTCTGGTCGAAAAGTAGAACCAGACGAAAATATCGTGAAAATAGATAAATAAATATTATCCAATTCCAGTGGATAGTCTGTCTTACCCGACACGATGTAAGGCATAACAAGATGCATGTTCATCACAGTTGTGCGATCGTGCTGGTCTCTGGAACGCAAGAGAAGCCCTATGATGCAGTCAAGTCTCACCATGACACCATCATCACCGCCACTGCAACACATCGCACAACTCTACTAATCTTATGCCGCTTGCGTGTCGTGGACGCGTTAATTGAAATCGCGACCGTGTTGAAGGAGGAAGACTTCCTTGCCACAGTTCGATGCTCTGTGGCTCGCCCTTGCGCAGCAGCCCAAGACATTATGCATCCCTTCTCACTCACCAACAGAGGAGCGATCAGTACATAGCACGAGCTGTCCTTCTGCGAAACAAAAACAACTGGTTATCCAGTACTACTCTGCTGCAGCTGCTGCAGCAAAATAACAACACACACCACGACCACCCCACCCGACCATTCAACCGTCCCAGTCCTGACACTAAGAAATCTGCCCTATGGTAACCGCTGCAGGCATGACCCAGCCTGCACTAATTCCAAAGCTTCAGGTACTAGAGTCACTGGTTCCAACCCTTTTTCCTCACGCGCGTTACTTGTCTGTCTGATTACACCTTACTTCTCGTTCAGCATCGTTGTCTTGTAGTGGAAGGGCAATGTTGTGGCTGCTGCTCGAGGCTGTCCGTTTGCGGCGTCCGCCCAAGAAGCAGGCTAGATAAGGCAGTACAAGACTTTGGTAAAGAAGCCTTCTTAGTCGTCTAACTGTTTCCTCGCCGCCGTTTTCCGGAACTTCAGCGAGAGAAGAAGCCCCCCAAACGGTGAAAAAAAGTTAGCACGGCAGGGCTTGCGCTTCTCGTATCCCGATGAGCCACAGCATCCTGAGCCAGCAGTAGAAGAACCGGAGACTAATCCGCTCTGGTCACAGAGCATCCCAAATCAGGCAAAAGGCGGGTCGAGCTGCCGGTATGGCAGATTGCATCAGCTGCATTCCAGCGAGCTGAGCATGCGAATTAGGTTTACGGAGGGGACGCTAGACTCCCCGACGCAGCCACACTGGTCGCAAACAGCACATGAGGAGAAAAAAGATGGTGGTGCGATGTCGTTCTGCCGTGTTTCGAATCATGTTAAATGTGGTGAAAATGGCTCATTTTTTGCAGCTTGTTTATGGCGCCCAGAAATTGGTGTGAATCGTCCGTTTTGTCGCATGTTGTTGATTGATATGGTATATCTTGCGCCTGAGCCATTGTCAAACAAGCTACTTACTTGCTTCGACGGATCATGGCTGCGCTTTGTTGTAAAATGTCATGACGACAGGTGCCCATAGATGGCATTCTCTCGAAATCAGGCTTTGTTCGCATGCTGATGATCATTTGCCCTTGTTCTTGGCAGTTCCTTCTCCACTGCTTTCAAGCCCTACGTTCGTCAAGCTGGGCCAGCTCCATGTCCCAACGGGTTCAGGGCGCAACACTGGCATGCAGCGAAATCCAATGTCTTTTTTTAGCCCTAACAGTTCTTCTTGGCAGGTTGTGAAGAACCATTGATATTTGCTTTTCTCTTAGATCTTTGCACTATCATCGTAGAACACAAGTAGACCCAAGACTCATGATAACTTGCCTAGGCTGAGAGGCGGGCTCGCTGGAGGATGTAACGTCATACCGGGCTACAGCCCATCCTTCGTCGTTTGTAAACCTTAATCGCAGCCGTCTTCCGCTATCGCCGCCGTTTGGCCAATGACATGATGGCATTCCCCGTATTCCCAGCCCCAACCCCCCAGAGTTCTTGGGCATCATGGCTCCGCATTGATCATGGCTAACATTCCGTATCCGGCGCATGCCAGCCCGCATCGGCCGGATCTAAGCACACAAGGCGCTTGGCTTATACACGGCAATGGCCGAATGCAGGTCAGTAGCCCTCCGCCGTTTTGGTGCAAAAGCTTCCAAAGTACAAAGGCTCCTCACCTCTCCATCCCCTCCCTTTCCCAAACTTCTCCTTCTCTTTTACCTATTCTTAGATACAGCCTCAGCACATACCTTGCCATCTTTCATCCAGTCCCTCACGTCCCATCAACGTTCGCTACAGTCAATATGCGCTTCACTCAACTCGCTTCCATCGCCGCTCTGGCCTCCACCTCTGCTGCTCAGGTCGTCGTTATCGGCGGTGAGGGTGGTCTCTGTCTCGACCTTGACTCTCCCGGCTGCGGTCAGGGTGGCAAGCCCAGCTCGGACGGCCATATTGGCGGCAGCAAGACCAGCTCGGCTCCCGCTAGCTCTGCTAAGCCCTCTAGCTCCGACGGTTGGGGTCACTCCAGCGCTAAGCCCAGTTCTTCTGCTCCCGTCAGCCACACCACGGTCATTACCACTGCTTACACCACCTACTGCCCTGTTCGTACCAAGCAACCTCCTTCTCACAGTAGACATCCTGCTAACATGACATTCAGGGTCCCACCACCATCTCCATGAACAACCACACCTACACTGCTACCGGCCCCACCACTCTTACCATTACCAGTGAGTCCTATGCCCATCTTGAGGGTCTCAACCAAGTTACACTCGCTAACAAGTTCACCACCAGACTGCCCCTGCACCTTCACTCACCCCGGACCTCCTCCTGTCAAGACCAACCCCCCTGTGCCCACTGTCCCTGTCGTCCCTCCTGCCGTCGTTCCCACTGCTGGTGCCGAAAAGATCGGTGCTGGTATTGGCGCCCTCGTCGTCGCTGGCGTCGCTGCTCTCGCTCTGTAAACTACTGGTCACTTAAATAGCCCTTGATGGGCTTTGGTGCAGGCGCTCTTTCACAAAATTTGCTTTTTGTTGGTTGGTAATACCCCGTTTCACGCTCCTTAGCAGGTTCTCTGGATATGCGAGCCTGTCAATTCTTTTGTGAAGTGCAGGCTGCTTTAGTTAGACTTTCTACCTCACGGTTGTAGTTTTGGCACATATTGCTACGTGGGTAATAGGAGTCTTTTCGAAGGCTGTAATAAAATTGGTTAATAATAAAAAAAAGTTGAAAATTAAACTTGTACTTCCCCCTTGACTGTGTGTGCGTCTTCGAATGGTGGTAATGGTGTTAGTCTCACTTGAATCAAGCTGCGTTGAAGGCGGACACGAGTTTCGACAAGACTTTGGTTTATTAAATTTCATATCATCATACAGGTTTTGCTTGTTATCAGGTTGGTCCTAGCATGCCGGGCGTTTCGATCCTGGATCGTACTTCTCGTACAAGAGCTTTCGCCTCTTCCACCTCAATGCCATCTTCACAAAGCTCGGTTGCAAGTCGTTGAGCAGTGTGGTAGTCAGCAGTGCGCATAGCGAATCTGGCAAGCCACAGTCGAGCTTTGCTAGTGGCTGCTGTTACACCTGTACCTTCGTTTCGCTGCTCTTCTTCCTTCTCCACGCCATCGTCGGACGGCGCCGGTGAATCCGTGTGAATTTTAACAGAATCTGCCGGATTCAGTTCCGCATCAGGGTTGCTTCCACTTTCCTGGGCAACGCATAGTTCCATATATGACTTTGCTTCCTCTTCGTCGCCGAGTTGGTCATACATGGCTGCAATTTGCAATAGAATCTCTGGATCCATGTGGCCAGCAACCCCTCGGCTATCCAGCATTTCGCCAGTACCAAAACTGCTTCCAGAGTCGTAATATGCATCAGCGAGAAGCGCACGTTTCAAAGCCTTGATACCATCGTGTTCGCGGCCCATTTTTTGTAGACATGATCCAACTGCCATCCACATCTTTCCATCCCATGGTCGGAGACCAGCTGCTTTCTTATAATACCATAATGAATACGTATGCATCTCAAGCATTTCGTACGTTTGGCCAAGACCATACCACGCTCTGTAATCTCGACGGTTGACGTCGACAGCTCGTCGATAGGATTCAATGGCCGCATGAGTATTCTTCAACTCGACATACTCATGGCCCATAAGTGTCCACGCGGATAGACATGATCGATCCAAGGTTAGTGCTCGTCGGAAATATTGAACAGCCTTTTCATGTAGCGACAGCAACGAATAGTAGTTGCCAATGACCACGCAAGACTCTGGTCGGAATTTGTCCACTGCAGAGCATAAATGGGCTAAAAACGCTAGCTTGGGTCGCAAGTTCAAAACATATAGAATGTTCGAATAGTGGTCTAGTGAATCCAGACGGTGTGGATGCAGCGACAGCAGTCTGCTAAAGTGTTGTTCTGCCGCCATCAGATCCTTGGCGTGGTATGATAGAAGGGCGTTACAGGTAAGGAGAAAAGAGGATGTCGGGAATATCCCTAATAGCTGTTCAAGGGAGTTTGCGAGACTTGGTGTTTGCTGATATAGTTCCAGGGAGGTGTGAAGATGAAACATGAAAGCAACAATGTTGTGAGGAAGGTGGGCGGACATTCGATCAAGCTAAACCTATTATTAGTATAATGAAAGTCGTTGGGTTTACCTGCTCACTTACATCTTCGACTCTTGTAATCAAAGAAGTCATCTCAAGCCAACATCCCCAGTTCATTGGGTACTTGTGAACGCTTCGAATAAAACATTCCAGAGCCTCGTCGTCATTCTTTTCTTTTGCCAAGACGATTCCATGCCTGTGAATGTTTGTCAGCCAAATGAAAGCTGTGCCGCATAAAACTATCAACTTACAAGTACTCAAGCCAGCCTTGGCTGCCAGTAACTTCGCCGTCTTCAGTCGTTCGTTGTTGGAACCACGCCCTAAGATATCTACCAACCACTACCAACTGCTTGTTGACGATAGTACCAAGATCCTGTGGGCCCATAACCATTTCGGATTCCTCGTCCTTGCGCTTTTCGCCAGACATAAACTTGGCGTAGAGTGCGAGGAACAGACTCTTCTGGCTAATGTTGGGGAGAGGTATACCGGCCAATGACGCGTCTATACTAGATGTTGATTTTCCTTTTCCTTTGCCTTTTATTTTTGTAACTTTGCTTTCTGGTTGGGATACGAGGACAGCAGTAAGAACCGAGTCTGTGAGGAAGACAGCCGCACATCTGTCGTATTCTTTGGTGTCAAACAGCGCCTTTGCTAACAAGAACTTGCTAATTTCCTTTGCTTCTAGCGCGGCTTCTTCTGCATCTGCATTAGGAGAAAAGATTGGAGAAATAAATTCTTCCTGTTCGCCCTCATTTTGCCGAGTGCTGTCAACTTCGGGTAGAGAATTGAGAAGCTCTGCGGCCCTGTAGCAATCATCTTAGCTATGCATACATACGGTATCTTGTGACGGAAGAAATTACCATTTTGCTGACTGATATAAACATCTCTCTGAGCATTTCACAACGGCATCCTGCAGTGCAGCTTTGAGCTGGGCCACTTCCTGCACGCTAAGCGGCATGGCGTGGACAGATGGTTGCCCGGCTGCGCGAAGTGCTGGGAACGCAGCTTCGAGGTCGGTTACTGTTTTAGTATCGTGGAGCTTTGTAAATGAAAATAAGCCGCAGGCCGTTTAGGAATCAAGTTCGCACCGAGCTGGATTCACTGTGTAGTCGCAAGTCGTTGGCAAACCTTGACCCCACCACCCGCGACTGAACTCGCGTCTCACAGTGTGATATGACAATTAGATATTTCTGGCACTGTACGTGTCGCACAGATACTGCACCGAATCTGTGCTCTGTACCGTGTATATAGCACTGTATGTCATAATTATTAAGTTCCTACTAGAAGTCGTATTAATTTTTGTTTCTTTGAATAAAAATAATTGTGTGATTTCAAGACTATACCATCTCAAAGATTGCCAGCTTCGTATTCTCTAAATCCCTTTTACTATCTACTTCTGGAAAGCGCCAAGCTCTCCCCTCCACCACTCTATAAAGTTAACAGTAGAGATATCAATGCCTAGGCCTTGAAGTCCTTTAGTGCTTAGATGACAATCAAATGGACGCTGGACAGTAGCATTGGGATCATTTCCCTCTGTATTGGGTTCAATGTTGTCGGTGGATAGTCCCATGATGTTGCCAAAGTGCTGGCAAATCTCATACTTTGTCATTTTGTCTTCGCTAGAAAACTGTAGAATCTTGGGGAGATTCTTCTTGTCTTCAGTCGCAAGATACTTAGTCGCAATATCTATAGCTCAGGGTTAGAAAGTGTATGTCCTTGGGAGAACGTAACGTACCTTTGCAGACTCGGCCAATATCCTCTGTGCAGGTGGGATATCGAAGAGCCCAGTGATCCATCTTGATCTTAACTTTTTCAGTCTCCGCTTTCCAGACGGAATCCATCAACACATTGACAGCGCTCTCGCTAGGGGTCTCTGCCTTTCCATATAGCACTGGAACACGCAGGACAATGCCAGATCCTTCCTTTGCGCTCTTGGCATACTCTTCAAGAATCACCTTTTCTCCGTCAAATTTGGTTTGTCCATACAAGTTTGTCGGTCCGGGAACGGCATTGGCTTCGTAGGGCGCATCGCCAGGTCGCCCAGGAAAGACATAGTCCGTGGAGATGTAGATGAGGAATACATTTCTGGCTGCTGCTTCTTGGGCTAGTATCTTGCTCGCTGTAATGTTTAGTGCACAGGCGTCTTCGGGGTCCTTGTCGACTTTATCAGGGAATCGCTGAGCAGCACCTGGGCATGTTAGTGCTGTGATAGATTACCGCCGTGAGGCTCTTACAGTGTACTATAACGTCTGGCCTATGAGACGTCAGATTTGTTAGAATTTCAATTTCATAGGTTTTTATTGATTTCGTTCTTGTTACGTACTTGGAATCATCCAGCAGCTTGACGATTTGTTCTTGGCTCTGCAAGTCGACCTTGATGACATCGACACCATCTGCGCGTGAGTAACCGGTGCCTTTAACGTTCCAATTGTCCTCTTTGAATTTCCTGGTAACCTGGCGGCCCAAAAGGCCAGTAGCTCCGGTGACGATAACCGTACGTTGTGTCATGATGAATCGTGGTGTTGTTATGTTTAAGTCAGACCTTGAAGGCCAAGTTGCCCCTCACTGAGTTCTAGTTTCAAGAGCTCAAGGAGTAGTGCAGCATTCGGACTCGAACACAACACAGCTGTATGTAAAGTACAATATTTAGATTAAGTGAAGAAATACGCTGAAGGTATGTATTATAATGTTTCAAATAAGAAATTAATAAGTTTAGAGGGAAATATCTGGTTTGGAAGACTACAGGGTAGGTGCTGTTGCGCGGACCGATAAGACTCTTATCAGCCCCAAAAAGGCAACAGCTTGTTTTTCGACGACAACCGACTCTCTTTGCCTTGTCTCTACAAACTACACCACATCAACAAAATGCCACCGAAACGTATGACAGCGAACCCGATAAAGCCATCGCGCCATCGCGCCGGAAAAAATACGGGCGCAGATTCGTCATCAGATTCTGACGACAGCGGAACTGAAGAGCCCTCTGTCCCGCCTCCCCCAAAGGCCCCAAGCGCTACGAAGATTGCCAACAATCTGAGGCAGGTCGATCTTAATGCGCATAGAAAAGAGGGCGAAGCAGCAGAGGCGCGAAGGTTGGCGGCACAGAAGGCCGAGAAACTCGCAGCCGAAGAAGGCTTTGTGACCGACGAAGAAGACGAGGAGGATGAGGAGGAAGATGATGACGAAGAAGAGGAGTCTTCAGAAGAAGAAAGTAGCGAGGAGGAAGCGCCGAGGCGACTAATGATGCGACCGAAATTCGTACCGAAAAGCCAGCGCGGCAAACCCACAAATGAAGTAAACGAAGAAACAGCGAGACTCGCCGAAGAAGCTGCGAAGAAGAAAGCCGCGGACGAGCTTGTCGAGGAGCAAATAAAGAAGGATCTTGCAGCCAGAGCCGCAGGCAAGAAACACTGGGATGACGACGAAAACGAAGACTCAGATGTCGACACTACAGATGGCCTTGACCCTGAAGCCGAAGAAGCTGCCTGGCGTGTACGCGAACTCAAGCGCATTCGACGAGCCCGTGTCGAGATAGAGGAGCGCGAAGCCGAGCTTGCTGAGGTGGAACGACGCCGCAACCTCACCGAGGAGGAGCGCAAGGCCGAAGACGAGGAATATTTGGCTAAGCAACAAGAAGAGAAGGACAGCAAAGGCAAGATGGCGTTCATGCAAAAGTACTATCACAAGGGTGCCTTTTTCCAAGAGGAAGCGGAAGCAGCTGGTCTGCTTCAACGCGACATCATGGGCAGCCGTATTGCTGATGACGTCCGCAATCGCGAAGCACTTCCCGAGTATCTACAGCGACGAGACATGACCAAGCTGGGCCGCAAAGGTGCCACAAAGTACAGAGACATGCGCACCGAAGACACGGGCAGCTGGGGCGCACTGCATGACGGCCCGCGCCGGGACAGAGGTCGCTTTGAGGATGATAGATTCAAACCAGACGATGACCGCTTCCAACCCGACGAGAGAGATGCCAAGGGTGCAAACAGAATACCCCTTGGTGACAGGCGTGACCGGCGTCCGCGAGACGATAGCCGTGGCCGTGATAGATCGAGATCACGGTCACCAAGGCGAGAGCGGGATGATGATCGAGGTACGCGAAAGCGAAGCACCTCGCGAGAAGGTGATCGATACGACAGCGATAAAAGAAGGCGCCTTGATGCCGAATCATGAAATATGTTAAAGCAGGTGTAGGGTTAATGTAAAAATATATAGTGTCATTATACGCATTCTGTGTGCGGCAGCAAATAGTCTGCCGTTTTTATTTTAAAATACCCCAAAACAGACACCAACTCGCTTAACCCATGTGCCATGTGCGAAAGCATAATCCAGTCTCCAGCCCGTAGTCTCTTTTTATATTTTTACAATCTCTACTCTTGCTCTCGAGAACACACTGTGGCCCTGCAAATGAGAAGGGTCCGAACTCTCAGCCTTTGGCGGGTAGAGCGTCATGCGAGCATAAGTGCCTGCGGCGCGGCGGTTAGAGAGATAGCCTGGGTTAATGACGACAACACTGTCTACAACCTAGAGCGAAACATGTTAACATACATAGGTTTTTACATTGGACACTGGTAAACTTACTCTGGCAAACGGAGTGACGGCACTCGGTGTCAGAAGAATATCTGGTCGAACACTACCCATCTCACCGAGCTTAAGATAGCCGACATCGAGCATGGCTCCCGTTGCAAGCTTTTCTTCGGTGCCAGTTGGGCGAAGCTTCTTGCGATCCGCCGGTGGATAGACGGGATAATAATGTCTCTGCTCAATGAGATAGCGGCAGAGCCTGTCCTTGTGGTCGCCAGTCGGGCCATGGGCGACCGCCTCAGCCTGCAGCTCGAACAAGGCGTCTTGGCTTGAGATGCCGAGGATCGACTCATTCAAAAAGAGAGTCATGGGGTTTGTAACAAGACGAATCTGCTTGGCCAGGCCGAGCTCCTTGCGTGAGAGCGCTTCTTGGGGCCAAGAGACGTGCTTGTCGACGATGTCGCGGACAGAGGGCACAAGGATGACAGTCATGCTGGGGTTGGCGCTGACGAGACGGTTCAGCGCAGGCGCAACAAGGAACTTGAACACGGTAGACATGGTGGCTGTATCGGGATTGTAGTCGGCTTCTTCGGGCAAGTCAAAGTCGCCCATGGCGAGCATGGGGTGGTCAACGTCAAGGAAGGGACCAGTGAGGATCACACCGTCAACGAGGGTATCCGCAGCTTTTTCACAAAGCTCCTTGAGAGGCTCAAAATCCAGGTTGTCGTCGGCTGTGTAAGGCCCAGAGGCATAGATGATGTTCAGAGGGGCAGGGTCAGCGTCCGAGTCCATTGCATCAGGGCCGCCCTTGAGGCGCTCGACATGTGTCCCGATCGCAGCCGATGTTGAGGCGGCGTTGGGGAGCAGCGGGATCTCCATAATCTCTCTAACCACGAATTCTCGGCCAGTCGCGTTGCGGCCCTTGAGGGCAACAATTTGGCCAGGGAAGAAGCTCCAGCTCTTGATGCTGTCCATCTTGAGGGGCACACGGACACCACGGCCCCTGCGTCGCGATGTTTCCAGCACAAGCGACGCCGAGTTCAATCGACCATCGGGGGTATCTGAGGCTATACGACCGACGGCAATGATTTCGGTAGTTCCCTGAGCCGCAGCACTGCTAAAAGCAGACTCGTCTATTGAGTGATGCTCTTGCACAATCGTTGTAAACTCGTCGATTCGGTCGTCCAGGATCTCACTCGCCTCGGACAGCTTCATGGCCATTGGCTTATATCCCATCTTCTTCTGGTCGGAGACGGCTGTGAGCTTGATTCGGGGTTCGGCAAACGGAGCCATGGGAGGCTCAGCGGCTGTAATGTCCTTGTTGAGGACTTCGAGAACTTGCCCGGCATTGGAGCGATCGACAAAGGACGAGGGCCTGCAAGAAAGTTAGTTATGGAGAGCTACAGCAGCGTAAATATAGATGGAGGAACGTACGCCAGGTTGTCAATTCCCTTCAGTTGGCTGGACATATTTGAAGCTGGCGAGCTGGCTGGCCCATTGCGAGCCGCCTGACTCTTCTTCAATGTGCTTCCACCGGCTCGGCTCAGCTTTCCACCAGAACCCGGAGTGCTGGGGAGGAGTCCATCAATCATTCCAAAGACATCAGAGTTGCCTCGAGAGACAGCCCCAGGCTTTGTTCGAGGGGTACCACTGGCGATCTTTCTCTCGGCTTTGATGTGTGTTTCTCGTTGCGACTTCTCCAGCTCGTCTAGGAGAAGCTGCTTCAGGTTGCGGACAGAGTCCAGGTTCAGTGCTGTCCGCACATCCATCTCCATTTTGAAGCAGTACGAGTCCCATTTCAGGAACAAGTCCTCCACAGACAGCTCGTGGAGGCGCATGATGGATTCGAGCTCGGCGACGACATCCGCCTCCAACGGTTCCGTCGGCGAAAAGCGATTTTTGATTTCTGTTTGAGCCATGTTGGGCTATTAGCGCAGCTGTAACTGAAAGAGAGCAGACAATTATTCAAACAGTAACAGCCAGGCGCATAAAAGAAAAACCAATGGCAGCTTGCAGAAGCACGAGGTTGAACAATGGTGGGGGTAGCGCCAACGCGGTGGGACGCGTCGCTCTAAGTGGCACCTCGCGTAAAGTGTTGCGCCAGGCCTGTGGGCCAGACATTGGACCAGTCATATTGGACGTGTTTAACATGTATATAAAATGAACAGAAGATGATGTTATAATAATTCAGTATTTCCTAGAAAAAGCTAAATAAAACAAAGCGCTACCGTGATATCGTAAACCGTAAAATGCAAAGTTTTGAGTGTATCCAAAAAACGCCAATGTCCTGTTCCTTCTGATGATCGCAATGAACGCGCATCAAGGACCGTAAATACTCGGATTGTTCCGCTCTGCTATACTAAAAGAACTATTTAAAAAAACCGTGCAGTGAATGAAGAAACGTGTTTATGCAAAAGAATGAGGGTATCATGGGGCTGTGCCTATTCTTCAAGAGAGTTGACGCCATCAACTCCCCAAGTTGCCCAGACATCAGAGTCTTCGTAGTCAAAGGCAAGAGATCCGGCCTTTGGTGGCGAGCTGGGCATGATTCCATCGGTGCTCAGGAAGTTTCCAAAGTCCATGAAACTCTGATGGTTGTCAAGCGTTGGCAAGTTGCCCAAATCAAGGTCGTTGGTATCTAAACCAAAGCCATTAGGCTCGGAAAGCATTTGGTTAATGGTTCGCGTGATGGGCGTGTCAAAAACCTCAAATGTAGCCTGGTGGTTGCGAGGGCTGCGTCTTCTTGAAGCGCTGTCGGGAACTGCCAAAGTAGGTCGGGGAGTCTTGGTGGGAGTTCGCTGCAACAGAGCCAAATGGCTGGGGGACGCAAGAATGGATCGAACCGAGCGAATAGAGCGCGACACGCTTCTGGTGATAGGCCGGTGGCTGGGAGTAGGCTGGGTCGGTGTCTTGAAGTTGGCCGAAGAGGCAGACTTGGCGTTGGGTGGAGGGGTAGACGGTCTGGCTGGTCCTGGACTACGAAAGAGAGCCTCGAGTTCGTCCTGGCTTTTGCTTTCCTTGAGGCTACCCATGTTCTCTTTGCCGTCCGCGGTGAGCTTATCCTGATGCTGATCCACCATTGTCTGCACCAAGTTCACTTTCAGGTCGCCAAGAATTTTGGGCGAGCCATCCTTGCGAGGTGAGGGAAAGAGGAGTCGCTTTGTTACTCCCATTGCCGCATCTAGCTCGGGGTTCACAGGACTCTTAGCTGTCACAGTCGAGTGTGTCGAGCCTGGCTGTGCAAGAGGCGCAGCCTTGAACGACTGGTCTTCCAAAGACTCAGCCAACTTTGGCGACGATGGCTCGACAGGACCAATGGCATCGGTGTGAAGGTATGCTTCTGAGGTAGGGTTAGCCACAGCATCAGTCTTGCGGCCCTTCTTGGCTCTGGAGGTGCTGCGGCCAGTGTTGCGTCTCTTGCGCTCTTGACCAAGTCTGGAGGCATCTCTGTCCCATCGATCACGAGGACGATGAGCCTTGCACTTGGTCAACCAGATACCACATGGGTTGCAAAGCAGCAACTCTTGCCAATCTCTCTTGTCATCAGTAGGTCCGAGACCCTTCTTAGTGACACGATATTTGGTGGGCTCCTCGTCATCACCGCGTTCGGTGATTTCAATGGCCGTGATTTTGCCCGGCTTTTCAGAAAACTGGACAGGTTCTGGGATACCCTCGCGCTCCTGAACCCAAATTTTGCGCCAGGTAGGTGTTTCAATGGCACCGCAGTTGTTGCAAAAAGGTGGCATCTCGCCATTCATGATGGCTTCTTCCAGTCTCGCTCGAATGGCGTGCTTCTTCACAACATTCTTGTTCGACTTGGCGCCTTGAGGAGATGACGGGGGCGGCAGGACTGACTCGCTTGGAGGGCAGGGTGCCTCAGAAAAGCTAACGTTGGGCGGTTGGACAGCAGACGGCGCAGGTCCGGCCGGATCACTGGCGGGCACGGGGACAGAGATGGGTCCATGGCAAGACTCACGGCGCAGAGGGGCGGCAGTGTCTGGCCTTCGTTGTGCCTGCTCGGGCATAAACGACTGGGACAATGACGAGGGACCAATAGGTTCACTAGCTGGAATTGCTGGTAGCAAAAGGGGACCAGCTGATTGGGAACGAGCGAGCGGGCGTCTTGGCTTTGAGGCGAGGCTAGGCATCTGAGATGATGGCTTGGCAGCCTCAGCAGAGGAAGGTCGTTGAACTTTAGCTGCTTTAGCCGACTCATCTGGTAGTGTGCTTGGACCTGCCTGTGCAGCTTCGGCTGCTAGCACAGGACTGGGAGCCTTATCCACAGCATCGGTAGTGGGAGGAGGAGTGGGCTCTTGAATTGGAGGTGAGGTAGCGGCGGAAGCCTTTGGCCTTGAGGACGGCTTCTGTTGCTTTAGCGGAGGCAGTGAAGGTTGTTCGTGGGATACTGTTTGCGTAGGAGGAGGAGCAGGGGCAAGAGGTCGGGAAGTCGAAGGCGGGTTGAGAGGTGGGCTGTTATAGCTGCAAATGTGAACCAAGTCTTGGCCACCAGGGCCATCCTGCATTTGAAAGACAGATACGGGAATGCCAGTGGGTTGCTTGGCTGGCCGTGGCTTGCGAGGGGGTTGTTGTGTAAAAACGGCCCTGGATTCTACTCTTGGAGGCGGCAAGGCGGCTTCGTCGCCGAATAAATCGTCCATATTCTCCGACAGGAAACTTGCGTCACGCTTTGCTGTCGGCATAGGAGGCAGCATTGGGCTTGACGGTGGTGGACTAGATCGCAGATATGGTGTTGCTCTTGCAACAGGCGGCGATGAGCCAATGTCACCGGGGCTATCCTCTGAATAGTTTGGGGTGGGCTCAGCAGATTCAGGTGATCGACCATCCTCTTGACTCGGCGAGAGCGGTCTCTGAGGCCCCGGGTATGGCGCAATGGTCATTGGCTTTTGGCTCAGTGTCGACTCTCTTCGTACTTTGCCACGCTGCCCGGGAAATACCGGTCCATTTGGGACAGGTGTCGGTGCTCGTGGCACTTCCTGAAGGTGGTTGGCAGCAGAGCCTTCTGCGCTGCCCTCAGTGTTGAGAGGGCGAAAGTTGCGGATTGAGCCGGAAGTACTAGCTGCTACACGCAGAGATTCAGATCCTGCGGTAAAAGGGTTGACGACACGCTCGACTTTTGTGGTTTTTACACGCTTTTTGGCGGGACCATCCTCTCCTTCGGTACCGTCCTCATAGCCAGATGTGTTTCCCTCCACAGGCTTCTTTCGTGGACGACCGCGAGGTCTACCTGTCGGTTGTCGTTTGCGTGGGGCTCTATTTGAAGTTCTGCTAGAAGGGCGAGATGAGCCGCCGGGAAGGTTGGGCATGGTACTGGCGTCAACAGGCACAGGGGCAATTCTCTGGACGCCCATGCCATCAGCGTTATGAAGAACACCAGGTCCAAACGAATCTCTTCGAGCAAGCGACGCGGGGGGCCCTTGTGACATGGCGGGAGAGGCGACTCTGGAAATATGAGCCTGGTCTCCGATTTGCGGGTTAGATTGGAGGAATGAGTTCCATTCGGAGGCACCGGTAGGAGTCATGGCAGCCTGCATGTCGAAGCTATCGGCAGCCCACTGCATCGTCTTGTTTGCACCAGCCGTCAAACGAAGCGTGACTTCAAGGGTTTCCTTGTTACCACCAGAAAAGACGCCGAGGAGGTTCTTGGTGACACGTCCAGTGACGAGCTTTGGCTGAGCAGACATGTCTCCTCGTAGCAGGGTATCGAGAGCCCAGGAGAGCATACCCTGGCCAACGAGAGGGGTATTGGGCTCCGAGAAGTCGACAGCATAGATGGTGTAATCGCAATCTTGGCCGGCAAGTTCAGGACTACAGTCTGTTACAGCCTGGATACAGGCTCGAAGGTCCACAACGCCTATTGACGAGCCATCGTCAAGTTGGATGGTCTGAATTCGGAGCGTTTGCTGCAGCCTCGCCAGGCAGTTGACTTGAGCTTCCTTGTCGAAGGTGTAGTGTACTTTGACTAAACACCAGAATAGTTAGTATCTAGTAACAATATGATTGTTAGACATGAAGCAAGGTGGCATACGGCTCATTGGTCTCGTCTGGACGCCATTCTCGTCCGTCTCGGCAACAGGCATGGGCTGAGCAGGGGCGTTCCAGCCGCCCATCATGGACGCAGGAGCCGGTGAAGTCATGGTCGAGAATGTCTATGTACTATTTCGAGGGCGGTTTTGGAGAGAGCGTTGTGCTGCTCGCCTGGTCAATGGACCACCAAAAGCGCGTCGTGATGTGGAAGCAATGGTGGGCAACGGTTTGCTCGGAGGGCTGTTGGTGTAGTAAGATGACTTGATTGCAAGAAAGCCAGCAGTGAAGAGGCGGTAGAAATGACGAGCCGGTGACGCTTTGTTGAAGGGAAAAGAACAAAAAAACGCTTGAGTAGAAGGGAGAATGCAAAGATTCGGCAACAAGGCGTCAATGGCGTCTGTAAGAAAGGTGTGTGTGGTGTGTGTGTATGTAAAAGGCTTGCCTGTCAATGGCTGAAATTAGAGAGGCTAAGGACCGTCCGTGACGCGCCCGCGACCAAGCTTCCAGCGCGCGTGTCTGGCGGACTGGGAAAAGCGGGGCAGGTTTCGGCGGCAGAAGCTTAGCGGAGGAATCTGTCTGATCCACGCGACAATGGAGAAGAAGGCGTTCAAGGGAGAGGGACGGGAAGAGGAGGCTGGCTTGTTCTTTCTTCTAGAACTAAAAAATTGGGTGGTTAGAAAGGAGAGTTAATTAGGAGGTTGAATTTTTTGAAAAAGAAGGAAAATAAAAAAGTAAATCACAGGGAGGAGTAGATAGGAGGCTGCAAGGACAAGCTGGGACTGAGGTGCTGCTGACAGTCTGCTGCAGGGCGAAGGAGGCGCCTGTAAGTAACCGCTGAAAGTCGACAGCTTCAGCGCCGTTCCAGCGGGCCAGAGGGCGGGTGAGGTGAGGAGGCTGGTTCGGTGCTTTTAGCGCCGGCAGTAAACGCTACAGTGAAAGGGGAGGCGAGGTGGAATGCTTCTTGTCACCGGGCCAGCGAAATTAGCTGGGCAGGGTACCTGCAGCAGAAGCCAGTGCGTGCAGCGTTGCGTAAGCCCACAATGAGTGGAGGGAGGGGGGAAAAGCCAAAGAGCGTGCATGCAGCCAGCCAGCCCGGTAGCACTAGCCACTCACTGTCTAACAGCCACTCGGCACAGCCACGCCGTCCCCATTCGGACTTAATAGCAGCGCCCCGGCGAGGCACAAGGTGTGGGTGCCTTCAAGTGTGGAAAAAGCTCATATAAATCACATACCTGTAACGGCAATTCAACGCAAGCCCAAGCCGGACCTGAAAAGTTGGTCGACTGGGCCACCCTCTTTTCTACTTTTTCTATGGGCTCAAGTCACCCCTTCTCTGTTTGTGCTGTGTTCTCACTGGGACGGTGAATGGGGGACGGCCGCAGTTAGGCTACTGGTTGTGTGTAAGTGGCAAGTTGTCGCCATTCTTGGCCGTGCGCGCGCGGGGGGACCGGCTTCCCTTTTATATCTTGTCATTGTGAAGCCATCTCCAACTCTCCCAAGTGAGCGGTTTGCCCGCCTCTTTCTCATGGCGCCATTCAGGCCAAGGTTGCCTCGCCTCGTTCTTCTGACGCCCGTGACGCTGCGTGAACCCGCCGTTTCCAGTGCTCCCGGGCCGTGACTTGGCCGCCCACCCTCCCTTGCGGCACACCTTTGTACCTCGCACTACTCCTCCCGCCCGTCGCCACATAATGCGACCCGTGATTGACCACAATAATTGAAGTTCTCCACCGCAGCCTTTTTTGCAGCATTTGCATCACCACCTTGGATCCTCTGGTGTTTTCACCGCCGCGCACACACTGCATCCGCCTGCCCTGCTTCCACTGCAACGAACCCCTCACATTTTCGTCTCCCTGCAGCTTCACAGACTACTGCGTGACCACCATACATCGTCTGCATACGGTAAATCCATATCTATTTATTTTTAACTTCCATCACTTGTGGTTTCTATTATGTTAGTGAAACGTTGGATTATATTTTATTGCAGTAATATTTTTATTATTTTACACTAGCGACCGGAGTCGCTTCAAACGCTTTCCGTGCGCACATCGGGCCTCTGCCTCTATTTTACAGCTTACTTCCTGTTGCCTGCTCATCAACCCATTTAGCCTTGCCCGCCGCGTCTGTTGTTACCTTGCGGTCAAGGATTTCTTGCACGATGGTGGCGATACCCTGGCGGCCGTTTCTGGAGGCAACAATGGTGTTGGCCAGTTCCTTGGGGGTATAGTGGTTCTTGGCCAAGACCTGTTGGATTTCCTTTTCTGAAGGAACTCCGAAGCGAGCAAAGGGGTATTCGGCGTAGTCGGTCTCGCTGAAAAGGTCGAGCTTGTGGTTCTGGTCAAACTCGAAGAAGGGGGCAGCAACATCTTCCGTAGCGGAGATGGCGTCGAGCGAGGCAGGCTGCCACTTGGGCTTCTCCTTGCGGACGAGCAGTGCTGTCACACCCTCGCTGAAATCGTGGTGTTGCATGAACTTGGATGCAATCTGGTGCTCCTTCTTGAATGTTTCAGCAATTGTCCACTTGCCAGCAACACGCATCTGCTGGAGCGTCACATGGACGGCCGTCGGCGAGCGCTTCTGCAGTGTGTCGAGCTGCTTCTTGGCCCACTCTTCCGTGGCACCAGTTTCTTGCTTGAGAGCCTTGATAATGTCGGCAACGCTGTTCTTGCTGAAACAGCGATCGATGGCCTTGCGAACGTCGCCGCTGAGCTGCATCGGCTGCTCGTGGGGAAGACCGGTGGAGAATTCCTCGAGAGTGTCGTTGATAATAGAAAGGCGGCTTTCCTGGCTATCGCTATCCTGGAATCGCAGCTCAGCCAGACGAGCCTCAAGGTCAGGCAAGCTAGTGGAGTGCAGGTAGTGGGTGGCAATGCCCGAGTAGAAGACGTTGGCACCAGTCAGTCTGTCGCTGGTGAGAGCAAGGTATGTTCCGACGGAGCCATTCATGCGAGGCAAGAAGAATGAAGCTCCAACATCGGGGAAGAAACCGATTGTTGTTTCGGGCATGGCGAAGACGGTCTTCTCGGTCGCAATACGGAAGGGTGCGTGAATGCTGAGACCGACGCCGCCACCCATGGTGATGCCGTCCATGAAGGAAATGTAGGGCTTCTTGTACGTTGAAATGTAGTGATCGAGCTTGTATTCAAGGCCAAAGTAGTCGGCCGACTTCTTCCAGCCGTCCTTGCTCTCTAAGTTGTCCTTGGCCAGGGCAGCGACGTCACCACCAGCGCAGAGAGCCTTTTCGCCAGCGCCCTTGAGGACAATGACGTTGGCCATGTCAGATTTTTCCCACTCAACCATGCGGGGGACGATCTTGCGAATCATGGAGCCGTTGAGAGAATTGAGTTTCTTGGGTCTGTTGAGAAGAATTGTTCGTAGGCCATATCGGCTTTCGAAGGAGACGTCGTTGGCCTCATCGCCAGGGAGCTCCTTGATCTTTGTCGCCTCGGTAGAGAGCTGCGTAGCAAACAATGTGTTAGTAGAGATCTTGAAGAAGCCATTTACTCGTATAGTGATATGCGCTTACGGCACGGTAGGTGATTTGCGGCATGTTGAGAGGAGTGCGAAGGCTTCGGGAGGTGGTTGTAGTAGCGGCCGAACCGGCTCGCAATGCAAGCGATCTGAAAGACATTAGACTTCTAATATGATTATCCAATGCGCGCTAGGAGGAAAAGGCGCATCGAATGACAGGAACGGAGGTCAGCCTCGGTTAATGATAAGGCGGGCGAGTTGCTGAAGGAGGAGAAGGGGAGTCGGCGTCCAGGCTGGTCTGAAATGGCCGATGCACTTTTCCCTCCCCCCAAAAAATTGGCCCGAGGATAGCAGCAGCTTTCCGCCTGGGCGAGTGGAGCTGGGCGCTGCTTGAGCCGCTGTAGCAGGCGCTGTAGCAAGCGCTGTAACTTGCTCCGTTAGCGGCCGTCTTGCTCCTGAGCTGCACCAGCAGCGGCCCACAATTACTGAGCTTCCGGCCAATTAGACAACGCGATCGGTGTAGGCAGTGAGTTTTCAAGACCCAGCATGCGACCACACCTTCAACCTCTTCTGCTTTGTGCTTGTCGCTATTCCAACCCAATCCAACAACCACGCAAACAAACATGTCGGACCCTAAGATCCAGTATGAAGAATAAATTGTCAGGATTCTTGTGAACGCTTTAGCTGACCCCATTTCTCTAGGGAGCTCCTCACCAAGGCGCGCTCCGAGTTGACGTACGCGAATCCCATACCCCAATATCACAGCCTTCGTATTGCACATTGTCTCTATATATAGAGACTCTGCACTGTGTAGATGGCTTCTCAGTTCTGTTTGAATGAAGATAAGCTAACCCCTGCATCTGCCCAACAGCGAGTACGAAATCGCCCAGCTCGAGGAGCACGAGTTCTCCGCCGGCCCCCTCTCGATTCTCCAGACCGCCGTCCGATCACACACCCAGGTTCTCATTTCGATCCGCAACAACAGAAAACTCCTTGCTCGTGTCAAGGCCTTTGACCGTCATTGCAACATGGTCCTCGAGAACGTCAAGGAGATGTGGACAGAGACACCCCGCCTGGCTGATGGCAAGAAGGGTCGTCCCGTAAACAAGGATCGCTTTATCAGCAAGATGTGAGTTTCGACACGCGCGACACTTGACATATCAAGATATAAGTGGTGCATTGGATACTAATTTGAATCTTTCTAGGTTCCTGAGAGGTGACAGTGTCATCCTCGTCTTGCTGAGCTAAACGAACGAAAACAAAAGCAACGGCGGCTTCACATTCCGTGAAGCCAACCCTTTTTTCTACCACAAAAAATACCGCGGCGCAGCTGTGACACACTCTTGTGTATCTTCTGGTACAATTTCACGATTTCAAGTCATTTTTTCAGTTTTTGGTTCTTTACTAGAACATGGTTGGTTGCATGTATGGTCTCTGATAAGCTGGGACGTTTTTCTTCATGGGTTGAAAACTAGGCGTTTGCAAGATACACAAGAAGATTAAAAAAAATGAATAACAGTACAAAATACCCCTCATCCCTCTAACAGTTACTTGCTGGTTTACTCTAGCCCGGCAAGGCCCTTGAAGAAGCAAGCCAAGCCCCAAGCTCCGGGGTCGGGAACCTCTTCATAACCACTGCCACCAACATAAACTGATCTTCCTAAGCTGGCCTTCATACCCTTTGTTGCATCTGCAGCCTTAAGAGAAGCTTCTGCCGCAGCAGCCACGTTCCCAGAGCGACCGAGCTCTTCAACAAAGGGATACAGAGCATCAACAAGGGTGCGATCTCCAGGACGAGCTGGTGTGTAAGCGGAGAGAGCGTCACAGCTTTGCTTCAAAGCAGCAGCCCAAACCTTTGGTGTGGCATCACCGACGGGCTGGCTTCGGAGAGCAGCCACGAGAGCATTGAGGAAAATGGCATAGAGTGCACCGGACGTGCCATCCATGTTGTTCTCGACAACCGGTACAATGGACGCAACGTCTACGACTGCATCACCGGTTAATGGTTTGCTCTTGAGGTTCTCCAGAATTGCTGTTAACATTGTTAGTCATCGATTTATAGACGAATAATTGTCAGGTTCGCTTACCTTCACCACCACGCTTCAAGCCAATGCCACAGTCACCATCTCCAACCACCGTGTCATATCGAGTAACATCAGGTTCGGCGGCAATGACGTTTTCAAGAGCATTGGTAAGTGCAGCAGTTGCGGAAGATGGTTCTAGCTTGAGTTCGCTAGGCTTGACTTCTTGGTTAACTGCTGAAGTATCGGTTCGAGTAGCCGTGCTTCTGTTTTCCCAGGTATTCTTTTGAACAGCAGCCGCCCAGCCGGTGACTTCACTTGGGGAATCCAAAAGCTCAATTATGGCAGGATCAACAACGTTAAGGAGCGAGATGCTAAAACCCTGGCCGTTGAGACTGGTCATAAATGTGCCGCTAATGATACGGGCAGGACGGATGGAATGCTTCTGTTCAAGCTGGGACACGACTTCAGCCGTGATGCCGCCCATTTCAAGAACACTGACGCCGCCAAGGTTGTTGATCAAGAGAACAACCTCCTTAGAGTTGACCTCGAGGAATGCGCGATCCTTATCAGACGTATCAAGGAGCTGCGTAAGCATAGTGCTAACCATCTGAGGAAGATCCATCTTTCCAGAGCCGGAGCCAGGCTCATTATGGATTCCCATACCAATTTCAACTTGGCCAAGTGCTAATCCCTCGCCAGTGTTGACCTCGCGGCCAGGGACATGGACATGCTCCAGACTCGCACCAACGGAGACAATATTGGCAGCGGTCAGGCGAGCCATTGCAGCCACCTTATCAAGCGGTGCACCGGTAGCAGCAAGGGCACCAGCAATCTTGAGAACAAGGACGGTGCCAGCAATACCACGGCGACCAACCTTGCCAGCCTGCGCGCGGCCGACGCCGACATCATCGCCAACGACGACCATCTCGACACCGAGGCCGGCAGCCTTGGCCTTCTCCACGGCCATGCCAAAGTTGAGGATATCGCCAGTGTAGTTCATGACAACGACAAGGACACCGTTGCCGGTATCGACACGGGACATGATACCAGTACGGACCTGTTCGGCCGAGGGACTGGCAAAGATGGTTCCGGCTACAGCTGCGGCGAGCATGCCGGGGCCAACCATGCCAGCAAAGGAGGGCTCATGGCCCGAACCGCCACCGGAAATGATGGAGACCTGAGAGGCTGTCTGCTCTGAGGGACGGCGGTAGATGATCTTGTGTTCAGCATCTAGGGCGACATTTGGGTTGGTGAGCGTCAGACTGTGCAGCGCCGTGTTAACCAGCAGTGTGGGGTCGTTGATGAAGTGCTTTGACGACATGATGACCAGAGCAGCTTCAAGCTTGAGATGTTTTGGTATTCAATTGGGCTCGGGTGCAGCAATGAATGTTTTGAAAAACAAAAGGAATTGGGAATACGAAATGTGCGAGAAATAGAGGAGCTTGGCTATAAATGAGGCGTGAGGAGAAGAGGAGGGGTGGTGGTGATGGATTTATTGGTGGCAGGTTGGGGGTGCAAGGTGGGGGTGGGGGTTCTGCAACGGCCAACGCGGGGGTCGTGGACACTGAGATGTTGCATAGACGAGGCCAGTATTTGAATATGAAGGGATTACTATTTGGAAATGTGTCTTTAGGTACGTGGATACAAGTCAGACCAAGAATATGATCACTCATTGGAGAAAAGGAGCACGGTACAAAGCGTTGCGTATGTGAGAGAAAGCCAATTCTGTTTATTTGGCCAAGCACTAACTTTTGTATTGTGTAAAATAGCCCAATTACTCCGTATAACCCATATAAAGCAAGATGAAAAGAAAATTTAAGTAGTGCTAGTTCTTACTGCTTAGAAGTTGTCGCTGGCCAGGAAGAAGACGAAGCCGCCGAGCATCGCAAGAATAATGGCTGTTAGGATACCAGCACCAGCCTTGTCTGCCGTTGTGATGGGCTTGATTCTGGCCTTGAGACGGTCCTCTTCTGAAATACCGCCAGTCTTGTCGCCTTTCGAGTTACCACCACTGTTGCCCGTCACAGGACCCTTCCAGTTTCGCGCCAAGTTGTACATGACGGCAGACAGAGCATTCATCTGATGGCCGACGCCGTTCGTCCCGTCATATCCTGTCGGAACCCATTTGAAGCCGCAGCCAGTACCGTCAATGCCCTTGAACGCCGCAGACGCTGGTCCGGAGCATGCAGCTGCGGCTGCAACGCCGCTGTCGGACAAGATCTTTTGGATATCCGTCGCTGTATGAGGGGCGAGTCGTGATGTAGAAGCCAAAAAGCGGGCAAGGTATCCCTTGAAACTCGACTGATCGTTGTTGCAGGTTTTGTATGGTTCGCAAAGCTGTTCGTACAGCACGTTGTCTTTCAGAAACTTGCCTTGCACTTGTTTCAAGAAGCCGTCAACACGAGTCTTCCACTTGTCGTCGTTGGTCAGATTGTACATCGCCGCAGCGCCATGCATGTAGATTCCCACATTGTACGACCACTGAATAGTATCGATTTTGGTACATGCTTGCTGCTTCACGTCAAAGTCGATACCGTCAAGCACTTCGTTTTTGCTCGTAATTAAGCCAACCTTGAGCACCCAGTCGAAAATCTTGCCTGCCCAGTTCGCGTACTCCTTGTCGCCGGTATACCGGGCCAGCCGGGCGGCGATGTTGAAGAAGCAGCCGTTTGAGATTGTGTTTTTATAGTTCCATCCGACGTTGAAGTTGAACACCTGCCATCGAAGACCGCCTCCACACTCTTGATCGTTCCATCTTGAGACGTATTCGTTGAATACGGCTTGGGTAGCCGCCAGCCACTGGACCTTGTCCTTTGGCGGGTTTGGAAAGACGTTCTCGGCAGCACTCATAGCCGCGAGCGCCCAAAATCCTTGATCATCATTTCCCAGAGTTCTTGTTTGGTTTTCTGGCATGTAGTCGCCCTTGGGAGCGGCTTGATGCACCATGGCCTGCATGATGGCATCGTTGTTTGAAGTGTCACCAGTCAGTGCCCAATAGTCAATGAGCGTGCCAAACATGGCTCCGGCCTCCCACCAGTAGTACGGATCGGGTAAGTTGCCCGGAGTATCGCCTGTATGATTCCCGGTATAGTATTTCAGCAAACCGTAGGTGATTACGCTGGCTGCGTCCTTCACGGACTTGTCGTCCTTTATGTTGATTTGGATACCGAGGGCTGCATCGCTAAAGAAGCCTAGCGTTAAGGCAATTACTGAGGTATTGAATAGCTTCATGATTGCTATGTTTATAAAGAGCGTCGTTGTCGAAGTTTAAGGTCAGAGTAGAGTTTATCGCATATAAATGGTAAAAATGAGTGTGAGAAGAATCGAGGGCGTGTAGCCGTTACGTTGAGAACTACTGTTCCATTCGATACCGCGGTGCTGCTAGGTAAATGAAAGTAAAAGATCGATCACAAAGAGAAAAGAGCGACTGTGATGAATCAGGTGATTGCAACCCAAACTCGAACAAGAGATGTCATCGGACGACTGCTTCCGATGTTAAGGAGAGGGGATGAAGAGTAAAGTGCGGGAGGAGGAGAGTGACATCCCGCGAAGCGAACTACTACCGGTATAATGCCAAGCAGACTGAACATTTACGAAAATTGAGCCCCCCTTAGCGACCAGCTTCCCTATTTTCCAGTGCCCCGGTCAAAAGAGTTGGGTCCGTCGCGAGACAGGAGATAGACCAGGATGCGAGATCCACCACCAAACAGGGCCGGAAATTGTGGTACTCTATTGTTGCCGTGATTCATGTTTTGAAGACCAGTGCTACTGTAATTAGCACGCACTTGGTAGTTCGGAACTGATTTTCCAAAGGTATCATCATCGGAGAAGAAATCAATGGACCTCACCCCGTCGTAGGGCGTTGCTTTCAACAAGGGTGCCATGCTGCTATTTTTGTCGCATCCGTCTTGCTCAGGCTCTCTCAGGCAATCAATAAATTATAGCCAACATGGGATGCATATTGATTCATAGTACAGTATTACCCGGATTCCAGCATACAGTGAAAACACCGCTGTGTCTCCTCGTATGGGTTACGCTGATATGGTGGCTGTGCTGGACCTAGTAAAATTAACCCCTGGTTAAGCCTCTCCTGAAAGGAATTCCGCCAAGGCTACAGGACGTCGGCCCAGAGGGAGAACACCATTTTGCTTGCGTTCTCATGTTTTCAATGATACGAGAGTCATTTTGGGTTGTCCTTAGCCAATTCCAATGGAGGCCTTGAGGGGTGACCAGGAGACGACGCCACAACTTTGTTCTTCATGCAGATGCCGCAAGATCTGTGGCATCGTGTCAGACACCAGCATGCATTTCCAGTGGTACGCCATCAGAAAATGAATAGCAAGTTCACAATATGACCGGTGCTGTCTTCTCTCGATATAGTTATAGTTCTCTTCGTACCTTCACACCCTCGTTGTGGCTTCAGCATTGCTGTCTTGTCGTACGCCACCCAGATTGGCACCAAGACGCGGGTTCCTCTCCCATTGGTGCTGTAGTCGCTTATCGTGTGTCCATCATCGACACTAGTAGATTGAAAGCCAAGATGATCGCAAGAATAAGATGGCCTCTGCTCTGCTGAGCCAGCAAAAAGAAAAACAATTCTTCACTGCTGGGTTGGGGGCAAATTAGCCGACGGGCTTGATCGTCATCTGCGGGGGAATTTGAGAACCTACCTAAATAGGTAAAGAGCTGTATGCGATCCCACGTTACAGCAGCGCGCAGCGAGGTATGTAATCCCCTCACGCGCAGATTTCGAATAATTCAGAGCGACTATTGACTTTCTTCGGGCGTGAAACGCGTAAAAGAGAAATCACCACCAACTTCAGTCACGGGATCCGACAGCTGTCAGTTGCCAGCTGCCAACTATGAAGCTTCTAGCCTTGGTCGTGTCTCTGATTGGGCTCGCCCAAACCCAGGACACGGGTGTGCACCCCGAATGGCCGCGATGGTGCGGAAAAGTCTACAAGCCCGAGTAAGGATGAATTATCAATACTACATAACATACAGGTGATTGACCGTTTACAGATACCCCAGCTTCAACCCAGGTGGCCAGACTGTTGAGCCTGCTCGTCTTGCCGACGGTCCCGCACTTCACATTCAATTCAAGCCGCGTTATAGTGTCTATATCGAGAGCGAGAATGAAGCCGAATTCATCGTCAATGCTGCCGTTTCAGAATGGTTCGGGTCCAAGTGGCCCGGGCTGGCGAACCCTGCCACCGCGCCGCCAGTTGTCTTTACAGTCAATATGGTTTCCAACAACAATGTTTTGGTATCCAATCATGTCCAGCCCGGAACAACTGGTAACCTATTCAAGTTTAACTTGACGTCTGTTCAACCCAGTCTGGAACCGTATCAGGTCGTCTTATTTGGTGCTCCCGAAGCAGGCAGCCCCAACATCACTGTGTCCAGCGAGTTCTTCTATCTCCCTGAGAAGAAATCGGGCAGCGTAACTAAAATTGACAACCTCCACGGTGGTATGCTATTCCGAAACAGTGCCACCAAGGGCCAGTTCCAGCCAATCCTTCCCTACGGGTTTTATGCTCAATGCGTGGGGCTCTTCTGCGAGGACGACTACCAAGCCAGGATTAAGGCATACTCTGATCTCGGGCTCAATGGCATGGTCCCCTTGACACCCATCACCAGGAATCCTGCTGCATTTGCCTACATGAATACTCTACCAGACATGCATTACATGTACGACCTGCGGGATTATTTCCGTAATCTCAGCTTAGTTGAAAGCCAAGTGACAGCTGTCAAGGACCACGAAAACATCTACTCGTACTGGGGTACAGATGAGCCCGACGGCTGGCAGTACCCATTCAACACGACTATCGCGGTAACAGATTTGATCCACAAACTTGACCCGTACCATCCTGTTGCTGTTACTCTCAACTGCCAAAACTACTATTTTGGCCCTTACACTCGCGGTTTTGATTTCATCATGGAAGACGCATACCCCATTGCCATCAACTCCACTTTTTCGAAATGGGGTACCGCTTGCAATGCAACTTACGGTGACTGCGGATGTGACAACTGTCACGGAAATGTACAGGACGTGCCCTCCCGTTTGGATGACCTTATCCAATATGAGAAGTGGCTCGGGCTGTGGCCCAAGACAAAGGTGCATAACCCTCAGAGCTTCCACGGAGAGGACTATTGGTTCCGGGACCCAACCCCTGCCGAAGAAGTCGTCATGAATGCTCTGGCTTTCAACCACCATGCCAAGTCCATCATCTCTTGGGTTTGGCCTACCAGTGATGCTCTTGCTCAAATTCATGGAAAGTACGCCAAGGTTGTAGCTCAGGTGCCAGTCCGTGATTTCATCGTTCTCAGTGAGGCGCAGCCTCTTCCCACCAAGTGCAACAAGGTGGTTGATGCAGCTTACTGGAAATACGAAAACCAAGTGTTGCTAAACGTGGTTAACGGTGGGTATGAGCCCATCAACAGAACCGTAAGAGTTCCTCTACCAGATTCAATCAAGCCCTCAAGCATCAAGAGTGTTGAATGGGGCAACGGAACCTGGGCTTTGAAGGACGGTACACTGCGCCTGGGGTCTATTGACGCCATGTCAGCCAACATGATAATCTTAGATCTGTAGGGCTATTTGACTGAGGAGAGAATGCATTATTATTATATGTTGCCTGTAAAGAAAATATTTCTATGCTCAAACTTGCGCCATTGAAATGCGTGACCCATGTAGTTTTCGTCCGTAAACAAACTTAGTATCCTTCTTTCTGCTCGCCGTTCTGCTGGCGGCCCATCCTTGACCACATAGACTTCAGAACTGGGTTTCTTGAAGAGACCAGTACATTTGCCCACCTCTTAGAGCCATCTACGGGATCCTCGATAGGAACTGTCGCAGCACCGAGCGACACTGGCTGGCAGTTAAGATATGTACTCTCCCAGTTTCCAGCAGGAACCTCAAACAGCTCGTGAAAGACGCCAACGTAAGGCTTCTTGAGAGCCACAAATGCATCCCAGTAGCGGCGATGGATAGGATCGTGGGCAAATTTATTTAGAGCTTCCAGGTCACGGAAATAATACACCGCCATGGAAGTTTGTCCATTCGACGGAGCCGGCTGCCAATGCGACGCACTGAGAAGGCCATACTCCTCACGTTTTGACATCAGATCATGATGCATCTCCATAAACCAGTCTGACGTTTCTTTGAACCCGGGAGCCGCAAAACCGTTGGGATGGTTTGACTGCACTCCAAGATGGAGCACCACCAAGCTGCGACTGGAAGGCTTGTTCGAGTATGTTCCATCAGCCTCGGGAAACTGCGCAGAAGTGCCTGTAGGAGGGATGTAACTGGGAGGTGCACTTGGCTTTGGTGCTGCGAGATGGCCAATGGCGGCGATGGCGACACAAATACCAAGGGGTACAAACGCCCATTCGCCTGGGAGATATCTGCTAAGGAGCAACTGAGCGACGCCGCCTAGAATGGCTTTACTGGGGAGCTGGAGTTTATTCCATATCGAAGGTTTCTATAAATATTAGGCTTTATTTCATAAAAATTACAGCATATGATTAGGCATACCGGTCCGAAGCGATTAAATGAAATCGGTGATGCAGACTGTGGCATGAGTGGTGAAAAGGCGGCAACCATTGTGCAAGGCGATGAGGAAGGTTGAAATAAGATTTCTGCAAGTTGGTTGTAGTATTCTATGAAGAAGGAATTGGTTTTTATTGTTGATGAGGATTCAAAAACCACACTTTCGGGGATGTGCTGTCGTCGGATACTTATGCAAATGTTAATGCTGAAGGCTGATTTACATCCCCAAGACCTGGACCGGCTTAGACGGAATAAACTGCGGTGCTTAACGCAGATGGGTGGGTGGTACCATACAAACGGGATAGTGTGATTTACCTCTATCCCGGTTGTGGCTTGTTAGCTTGTTAGTGACCCGGCTTGTAGATCCCGGACGGGTCGAAGTCTGGCAGGCTGACACCGGCTTCAATTCCGTAACACAACACGTAATCAAAGGAAAGGCCGGAATAATGAAATTATTAATAGGAAAATCTCTGGTATGACGTGAACACTCTTGTGAAGGGTTGTAGCTCATATGATTAAATGGCCATGCCTATTGCCGTGTTCTGTTGGCTACCTCCGTGAATACCCTGCCAGCAACAAATCCAACGCAGCGTATTAGTGATGATGACCACCCTACGGTACATGCTTTAATTGGACGGAATATTCCCAACCGTTGAGAATCTGTATATATACTCCGGTCTTTAAAGGTAACACAGGATGAAGATAGACAATTGGTGAGTGTAAATTTACTAGCATTCGTTCAAATATAGCGTTCAATCTCCAACAAGCGTACAAAACTGCAAAAGTTCTGCGCCTCATCCAGAAAGCAAATATACATATATGTCGTTGTCATTTACATGTGCTTCGTGTTAACCTCATATCATGCTAGCAGTCTGACAAAAGACAATGCTAGCCAACCACAGTGGCTAACGGTTCCATATGTTCCAATCTGTTCCAACAACGCTGTAAATAACAAGTGTGTATGCGTTTATAAATCAAGTGTAGTGTCCCAATCCGTGTTCTCTGTTGTGGTGTATGCAACTTCGCCACAAAGGTTCATTCAACGCCGATCCGGCATCTACTAAAGGGATCAGAAATTGTCGTTTCAAAGTAATCATTTAAGTCTCGATACTCTTTGGTGTGTTTTCTTTGTTTCGCTCTTCGGGTGGGATCAACGACTTCTCCCATTCATCCATTAGGTGGCTTGTAGCTCGCTTAATGTTGCTCGGAGAGAGCTTGTTTACCATGCTAGGAAGCAATTCTTCAAACTTTGGCGGCAGTAGCGGATTAGATGTAGTCTTTCTAGCCTTAAGAGGTGTTTCCGCGTCTTCTGCAGCTTCCGCGTTGTATATTTCCTCAGTCGCACCTCCATGGGCTGTTGAACCACTCCATCGGGTAGACTTATTGGACATTGGAGAATCCCAATTTGACCAATCATCGTCATCGAGAGCGTCAAAGCCGAGAGGCGTCCATGAAAACTGCTTTTGCTTGACCGTCTTGGCTTTTGCAGGGGCAGCGATTACGCCGTGTACTTGCTCGCTGCTCAGGGTTGCCGAGCGTCTCTTCGCCCGTTCCGCTTCAGCGCTGGGTTCCCGTTGGCTGGTGCTCAGCGGTTCTTGCGAACTCGCCGTTTTGGAGGATTGGCTGATTGATGGCTCATCACCAACTGTAATCTGCCGAATATCCTCGACAAATGCGCGTAGGCCAAGCTTAAAGTCTTCCACGAGCTGCGGCACGCCAGTAGGGACAGGCTGTGTTCGAGGCTGCCAACTTGTTCGCTTTACGAGCGGCGGGCCCTGGAGGGATTCGGGCCGCTGGCGAGGCTCCTGCTGAGTCGGCGGTGGGACGTCGATGCTATTATCTTCGTGAACCGTAAATGATGGTGCATTTCGGACTGGTGACAGGAGAGAAAGAGTACGGGTATGACCGCCGCGCAGAACACGGCGTCTGTTCTGAGTAGGTGTAGCAGGCACGGATGTCTGATTCTGTAATAGCATCTTTCTTCGGTCGATATCAACGCTCTGTCGCGTGGGGGATGCCGCCTCGTCGGGTATCGGCGTTGCTAACGGTGACTCCATAGGTAAGGTTTCGGCTCGTTTACTAAAGGCCTCCTTTGAAGCCCATTTTCGCTTGAGAGCAACTAAGTCCGCTTCGGCTCGAGAGAGTTCCTCGCGTAGCTCCAGTACTTTGCGTTCTTGCGCCGCGATGGCTATTATAAAATCGTTAGGATCAGACAAGTCAGGCTTATCAGGAGTGTCGACGGGGCTTTGTGGAATAGACGTGATGCTAGAAGCAGAAAACGAGGTGGGCAATCGGCCAGAATCGGACTGAGGGATGACGATAGGCAACGTCAACGACAATCTGTTGGCATGGCGAGACGCAGACGTAGTCGAGTGACCACGGACATGTCCAAACTGCCTACGTGTGCGTGATGAAGAACCATCCATAGGTGCTGGCGGTGGCGGCATAGCTTCGGAGCCATGTCTGCCGTGTCTGATGACTCTGGCAGGACGGGCAGCGAGCTGGTTTATCGTGGGAGCATTTGGTGAAGATTTATCAGGAGTCGGGGAGAAGAGCGTTGTTGTTGTGGCGGTGGAAATAGGAGAACTCGAGTCGATAGGGGATGACTTGTCAGCGACCGAGGGTCTGCGCCTAAATTCCTGATTTGAGGCCATGTCCAGCTCAATACGACACCGATCCAGCGAGTCGATTGAAGCTGCAATTTTTGTCAACGAATTGTTGCGGTGGTGTTTGGAGCGTCGCCGGGGATGGCGGTGTTGTATTGGCGAGTGAACCGATGGGGCTGCCCTGACAGTGGTGTTGCGGAGCCACGGGCGGGCTAATATAGCGGCTGTGGACGCTGCGCCAGCCGAGGATAGTGGGCGAGCAAGGCGGCGGTGGTCATGAAAGAAGTGCAGGGAACAGTCGGCAGCACAGGTTCGAAGCAGTGAGGCCGTCATGAAGGCGGCCCAGGTGCCTTTTCCTATCAAGTATAAGAGTTTGTAGGCACGCCGGAAGAAGGTGAGGATAAAGGGGAGAGAAAGTCCTGAACCAGAAGATTTCAGGAACGGAGATAGTCAGCTGCTGCTGCTGCCCTGAATCATTGCCCGCAGCAAAAAGAAACCAAGCAGGTCCAGCTGTACGCAGGTCGGTTGGACAGGGGATTGCAAGGGGGAGGCTTAGTGGAGGGTCCTGTCGATGGTGGCGCTAGGTACCAGTAGGCACTAAGCCAGGGGTGCGTGGTGTTTGTTGTTTTCTTGTTTTCTTGGTGTTTTTGGCTGGATAGTTAGTTGGCCGAGGCGGGGGCGGAGGCTGAGTCGGTGGAGGACAACAAGAGAAACAAATAAATAAAAAGAGAGACAATGAGCTAGTCGGAGGCGGGTTTGAATAGAGAAAAGAAAAGAAGAAAAGAAGAAAAGAAAAAAACGTTAAAAATGAATGGTTGATGGGACAAGCAAGGGAGCGAACGTGGTGCAAAGTAATAGCTCTGCTAGTGTGTTGTGATGTGCTGCAGGTACAGTGCTACCCCACGAAAAGCCTGGCAAGGTGAGAAAAAGAGTGTGTCTCAGATATGCTGGGGTGGTCTCACTGCCGCGGGTGGGTTGGGGGCCTAACAGCACTATAAACTATAGTGGTTCACAGTGGACTGACAATGTTTTGTTTTGGTTTCCAGGTCGCTGCGCAAGATCTGGCGTCATGACACGACGTCTCCCCCGCCCAGAATCCGGATCCAAGCTACAGTCGTCTTGGACCAAACCCTGAAATGACGTCCATGTAGTCGTGATTGGCATGCTGATCGCTAAACAGCGCTGTGGTTACAGCTGTGTACCTTTGAGCGTCCCAAGTCAGCTCTCTGTCGTAGCGGACAATGGAGCTCCAAAAATATCCGCCGGCACGATCCGCCGCCAACCAAGCTTGTAATTTGCACTGCTGATTGGCCACCGCTAAAAACACTACCGCAATTAGAGTGCGGCACAGGTGCCCTACACTGCCCTCGTCGCATTATTCCCCTTTCGAAGCTACAAAAGAACATCTGGTGGTTCCCATTTTGGCTATCACGCTTATCATGGTTTGTTTTGGTAGCAAAATTGTAGTAACAGTGTGAGGCATTGGCGCGCGACCGCGAACTCATCGGCATCACCAAACACATATAACAGAATACAGGTGTAGTTTGAAAAGCTTTGCGCAGTCTCTTATTTCTTCTTATCATCTGGTAGAATGCCATACGATGCTCTAAGTCGCATTTGCAAATGCTCGTCTGCCGTCATCACCGATTTGACCGCGTGAGGATTGTCAACGACACCTGTTGGCGCAAAGTTGGCAACTCTCTCACTCGGGACAGCCTCAAGCTGAGTAGAGCCTGCGGGATGGCAGAAAAATGCAATAGAGTAACGGGGTCCGGTGTTTACTTCCCCTGCAATGGTTTGTCCAGCCTCGTTGGCAAACACGACACGATGCACGGTGCTTCGGAAGAGCCCATTTGTCCAGTACGAAAGCAAGTCGCCAATATTAATAAGAATAGGCGGGCTCGGGTCGTTCTCTGTGCCTGGAGGGTTTACAGGCACTGGTGCCCAAGTGTTGTCCTGTTTTTGAATCTCGAGTCCAGCTTGGCCCTTCAAGCGGAAGAGCAATGTTATGGAGCCGTAGTCGGAGTGTGCACCAGCTCGCACATCGTCAGTGGAGTGTGAGGTTGAGTCTGGTGCAGGATATCGTAGCAGGCGCAGAATGGTGGCCGAGCCTCCAGGTGTAGTAACATGGGCTTTGGAAAAGAACTCTCCAATCTGCAGACCCTGTCCAAGCAGGCCAAGAAGCTTCATGCAAAGCGCCTGGCAGGACTCTCTAAAGGTGTACAGGTCGTCCTCGTCTGGTTGAATTGTTGGGGGCAGAGGCTGATCAGCTTTTCCGTTAATAAATTCGCCAAAGTTAAATGCCCTATTAACCCATTAGCATTTGCGGTATCTTGGTAACCAACTGTAACCTACTCTTTAAAGTCCCCCCGCTGACAGATATAAGTCAGCATTAGATAGTTCCTCGTAGTATTTGTTTTACATACCTTTTGATTACTTGGGTCCAAGGTTTCTGAATGCATGCCTGACCATCCTCTGTTATTTGCCTGGATGGTACATGTCGTCTTTTCCTCTATAGAAGCACCAAATAGCTTTGCCGACTGGGAAGAGCCATTAGCAAACGCCACGTCTTCTTCTGTATTTGTTGAGTGAAATAACTCACAATTTCAAATGTCCTGTTAATCTGTCCCACCGGTATATCTTTTCCAAGATTACGAATGTAAATGAATCCATGCTTTTCGGCGCCTTCTACGAGCTGCCTCGCCACTGTCGCCTGGTCAGAGGCGTTAATGTCGATAAGAGGAATGTCGGCAGAAACAGCTGTCATGGTGAATAAAGAAATATGATTTGAAGAGTCAAGGAGATAATAGGATGGCCGTTGAGGCATTTTAGGAGTCTCTTCCAAGGATAACAATGCTCCGCAATCCCTCGTCAGGTTGGTCCGATCTTAAAAAAAAGTAGCAGCTCTCTTTAGTAGTGGATAGTCGGCGGGCTCTGATCAAGGCCTAGAAAGTGCGCTAAAAGGCGGAGTAGTAGCGCTGGGGCGCCCTACAACATTGGGGTGCCTTAAGGAATGGAGGGGCACGGCAGAGAGGTGGAGGGGCTCTCTCTTTGCACCGCCACAGATATGCAACGTGTGGCGTCGTTCCCACCGCCCACCGCCTACGGCACCCGCAAACACACCAGCCACACGGGCACAAATGGAAGGAGGGTCGGCCCTGGCCTCTCTCTATCTCGTGGAGCTTCTTTCACCCTCTCCTTCTGCCATCTTTCAGCTCTCCTCGTCTCGTTTTCTGCATTGCGCGTGGCAAGTCTTCTTCTTTTACAGAGGGCTACGCCTGCTTGATCTCTTTCTTCTCTTGTTTTGTGCTCCTTGCCAGCGGCCATCTCTTGTTGTGTTGACCCGACTGTCTCCTTTGTCTTGTGCCACCTTGCCCGATCATCGCGCAAACCGAATCAACAACGTCTCGACTCAGCGACTGCGGCCGACTCCCCCATCGATAACGCTATATTTAGTGTAGTTTCATCTTGACTGTCTTCTAGCCAAGGCAATTCAACAAGCTCTACGACGCAGCGCTGTCGAAAAAAAGCTAGACTCCAAACTAGCTTTGTATCTGTGAAACCCAATTATCCAGTCGAAAGCTTCTACAGAATACGTTTATCAACCCCCATTGCCGCTCAATCTGCTGTACAACCATCTCAATCAATCATCAGTTTTGATTTGCAAAGATGCCTTGTAAGTACCGACACTACCTCCCGCCCAGATCGTCTACAGAACACAGCTTGTATTTCATTTTTGGAATTGCTCTTCTTAAGTATCCAAGGATGGCTTGGCTCGCCTTTGGAATGGAGCTATAATAGACGACCAAGTTATGCATATCATTTTGACAGCATCTTCTAACATACCATAGTCATTACAGACGATCACTGGATTTCCGCCCAGGCCACGTAAGTAGACCGACATCAACCGCTATCAGCTAACAATACTAACAGTAGGATACAGGAACTTCGATTTATCCGAACTCGAAGACTGCGCCATCGGTGTCGATGCGGCCTACTACCTCGCAAGCCTTTTGGATCATGCACCAGCTCACGAACCCCTCCTTTCTGCCCTCGGCGGCCTCACTAGCATTGAAGCTCGTATCAATGAGAATCTTGACTTGTGGAAAGAAAACAAAATTGTTCCATTCTTCATCTTTGATGGACAATCAGTGGCCGGTCAGGATGAAGTGGCCATGAAGCGTGGTCGCAACGCCAACAAAAAGACAGACGAGGCGTGGAAGCTCTACTCGCAAAACTCTGGCGAAGAGGCCGTTGCTACATTTGGTGCCAACCCAGGTTCGTTTCGATATGCCAGCACGTAAATACTATACTAACAATTATAAATAGGAGCTTTCAGACTGCAAAATATCTTCCCTTTGCTTCAGGCCATTCTCAAGAAGCGGTCTCTGCACTTCTTGGTAGCGCCTTACAACGCTTGTGCACAGGTTAGTTGTTGTCCGCTTTCTTCATCCAGTACCATGACTGACAGCTAATTTCAATAGCTTGCCTACTTTGAGATAATTGACTCAGACCAATGTGCGGCCGTTATGGGCCCCCAAGAGCTTCTACTCTACCCCATCAAAGATTGTGTCATTCGCAGCTTCGATTGGAAGGCCAAGACCGTTTCCGCAATCTCGAAGAAGCGAGCGTTGCGAACACTTGGTGTGAGCGAGTCCACTTTTACCGATGCTCTGCTCATGTCTGGTACATCCTTCTTGCCTACATTCCCAGCACTTTTGGACGGCGGTCTCTACCCTCAGGGCTTCAGCATCAACGAAGCCGTCAATCTGCTCCGCATGTTTGAAAAGTCTGTCGCAAACGTGTGCTCCAACTTTAGTGACTTGTTGAAACAAGACCCGACCTGGTTGGAAAAGTACCAAAAGGCCAGACTTGCAGTTCATCATTTCATTCACATTTCAGAGACTGGCGAAATTTGCGTTAACGACTACGATCACTTGACTCAGGATAACCACGAATATCTGGGCCTGCAACTTCCTGAGGAGCTGTTCCACTACCAGAACACTGGCTTGATCGGATCCAGAATTCTGAACTGTATAACACACAGTCAAATCCTGATTCAACCAACGCTTGAAGGTAGTGCCTCGGATGAGTATAAGAAGCTCGTTACAGAAAAGATTGTGCCCATCAAGGAACAAGCCCTCGGTTTGATTATCCCTCGGGTTCATCGTGGCATTGGTCACAAAAACATCGTCATGAAGGCCTGGTTCGATCCCAAGTTTTCGTACACAATCAACCACAGAGCTCTCCAACCCCAGCCGTCTGTTGTTGTTGGCTCCTGGGATGTCAAGGAAGATGACCTGCGAGAGGTTTTCCCTGCTGACTTTGCGGGACCTATTTACCTGGAGGTCCTAGCCTTGGCCAACTCTGATTTTGTTGCCAAAACATTGACAAAGAGCAAGCTTATCAAAGGAATCGATAGTGCCGAAATGGTTGTCTCTGTTGCCATCTGGAGATTCCTCCATCTCCGAGGCTACGTAAACGACGAGCATAAGCTTACTAAATGGGGCAATGCTCTGGCGACAACGCTGCTGGCTCTCAAGGATGCCAGTGAGGCTCACCCTGACACTCCTGCCCTTGATGAAGCAGCCCTCCTCGCATTTGAGCTGGTTAGACTGGATGCGCTTCACGGTAAGCTTGCCGCCGATGCCACAAGCGCCCCTCGCAAGGGTAGTGAGGAGGATAAGGAGAGCCTCGCGCTTATTAGCCGATGTGCATCGCTGCTCAAGCTCCGCCACCTTGTCTCTGGCTACACCGGCCCATTGAACAAGACTCTCCTCAATTTCCGTTCCATGTCCACCGCGGTCCGCGAGGCCGATCGCGATCTTCTTGAGGCTATTATTGCGTCGATGTTCTTGTACGGCCAATGCCAACGTGAACGCGACGACTATCTCGAGATTGGCCAGAAGATTCCTTTCCTTCAGGAGCCGGATATTGGCATGGGCATTGCTATTTGGACGTTCTTGGATGAAGACGATGCTAGCCACTCCAAGGAAGAACGAGCCAAGCGACTTACTGATTTCCCTCCCAACTTCCTTCCCCATGCCGAGGCTTTAACAGAAGATGTGCAAATCTGCATGGAATTCTTCAATGCGCTGAACCAAGGCCTACAGACGCTAGATAACAAGGAGCTTCCTGCCACAACCAAGAAGGCGTGGGCGACGGCGCAGACATATCTGGATGCACGCCCATTCTAGGCCATCCCACTCCCGAGACTAATGCATATTTTTGGCAATGTTTATTATTGTTTGGCGTATGGCGAATGACAAATTTGACGCTTTGTATTAAAAAGAAAAGAAAGTCGGATGCAGCATATCAGCAATGTTGGGAAGTAGGCTGTTTGACAAAGATACATATTAATGTACCTGTTTGTTTTACAGCCATAATACTCGTGTTGGAGAGAGGCGGTTTGAAGCGTGGACGAACACCGGTACAGGGCCAAGTTGGTGCGCATATTCTCGTCTCCATACTTTACTTGGAGACAGCTACAGACAAAACAGATAGCAGCATCTAGAATACCAGATAAACACATACCCTCACTTTGAATGATGGAAAATAACCCTTTGGTATTGATAATCATGTCCTGAATCTACTGTGGCAATGCCCGAGTGTGATGTATGCTAAACGAGAATAAACAAGAGGAAATTTTGTGACTTGGAATTAGAATGAAACGAGAAGTGAAGAAACGCCTGGTCCCAGCCCCAGCTTATATATAATATAACCTTGGTCCTTTTACCTCATCACGACACAGTGACAATGGTAGGGCCAGCAACCGTGATCTCGTCCGTCAAGGCACCCGTTAACGGCGCACTGTTTGTCAAGGACAAGTACGTGATGCCCGCAACGCCCTCTGGGATCGGACATCCCTCACCAGCCTTGAACGGCGTGAAGATTGTACCGCCCGGCGCAACACCGCCCGACGTGAAGCCGCAATGCGTGGCGCTGCCGGCAGCGTCCGATGTAAGCTTGATCTGCGTGCCGACATTCATGGCCGCCGCTGCCTGGGCAGGATCCATAGCGAGCTTAGGGAACGCCTGGATAGCCAAGTTGGAGCCCTGGGGGCATTCCTTGATGAAGGGGGCCGCGAGGGAGAAGATGGCCTTGGGCCCGAGCGGTGCATCAAAGGCTTGTGGGACAGCCACTTGCTTGGAGAAGACGCGGATGGCGCTCTGATGGCGCGACTCGATGGTCAAGATGGAGCCTGCGGTGCCGAGGATGGCCGGGTCCGAGAGCAGCGGCGCGGCGCCGAGGTAGGCTGATACACCGACATTCTCGAGTACGGCCGCCGTCTTGACCATGCCGGCGGCGTCGGTGAAGCCGAATTCATACGTGCATGGCTGGACGGGCTTCTGGTTCGCCTGGGCGAGCGCGGACTGTAGCAGGATGACGTGCTCTTGCTCCGTCTTGCCGATTTGCTTGAGGTCTGCTATTTGCTGGGTGTTGAGGCCGAGGGCGGCAAAGTCGGATTCGGGAAACTTGGCGAAACCCTGGCGATAGAAGGTCTCTTCGAGGTTTTCTAATGTCAAGGCACTTGTAAGACGTGTTAGTTAAGTCAAGTGAGAGCAAGTACACAGACGGTGACGTACAATTGGAGAATGTCCAAGTCGGTAAGGCCAGCCTTTGCCGCAGCAGCATTCTGTCGAGTAGCCAAGCTATGATAGCCCAATTGTCTCGGTGTTAGTCGCGGTGCTGCAGGCGAGGCAGTGGTGGTAGTAGCGGCCAGAAGGGCCAGAGCGAAGAGCTTAATGTTTGTCATGTCGAGCGATTGAAGATGTAAAAGGTCAAAAGAGAGTGTAAGTCTCAGACGTCAAGCCTGGGCTGGTTGGTATTAAGAAGAAGTAATTTTGCTGTAAAAGAAGAAATGAAAAAGAAGAGAAAGGAGAGGGTATAAGCGAGAGTCGGAGGGGAAATGCCAAAACACAGCTCTTATCCAGGAGCAAGCAGCACAGACACTGATCTACAGTTTCTCACAGAAAGACGGTCGAACAGAAAGAAAAAGAAGAAACATGGAAAATCATCTGCTCTTATCGAAAACCTAGGGACCCGGTTGTGCCTCCGTGACGATGAAACGGAAAAGGCTGCATCGACGCACCTCCAATTTTAAAAATAAATAAATAAATAAATAAAAATAAAAAAAAATACAATTAAATCCAGACATCTCAACTACCCGTCATCCCTCCCTGATCAAACATGCCCAGGCAAGTTCCCGTTCCAGGTGCACCCACGGACGCTGGGCATCCCGTGCCGGCGCCGCACACCAAAATCCACCGGCCGGCGAGACGGCCGAAACGGCCGAAACACACTTGACACGCCAAATCGCCCAATTAGGAAAGCCGGGGAGCCACCACCCAGCCAAACGTCTTATATGCAGGTGATGATGCACACAATGCAAAACGCTGCAGAAGGGGAGAAAGAAATGAACAAGGCCCATCTTGCGCACATCAAAGCCTTTCTATATCGCAGACCTCCCTCAAACACTAACCCTTCCTGCGCACGTGGCGCTGCGCTGCGCTGCCCAATGCCTTCATCTCCCCTACCAACGCGGTCGCTTGGCTTCCGGTTTCAAGCTTTTGCCAATATTAAAGGGGTGTCCAGCCTCTTGCATCTCGTTGCAGTTTCGGGTTTCTTGAAGCCCGGTTCCTGAATAACAAGAGCTCTTATCATGGCGTTGCCTTGCAAATTGCCGACCTTCCCTCTTCGGCTTGCTTTTCATCCCATCCCCTTGACCTAAAACACCAAGAAACATGCATTCAACTTGTTAAAAAAAAGATTAGGTATTTTTTCTGCGCTAGGGCTAGTTTGTTCAACTTTAGACAATAAATATTTGCAAATACAGCGCCATGCTAACTCTGTTGCGCTGCCCTGCGATTGCCCTTTGCGCCACTTCGCCTTCTATAGGCTATGTTTTGCTAATGGCCATTTACTCGCTGCAACTTTGCATTCTCATTCCTCCACTTCTTCCCATCAAAACAATACTCCAGCGTATATATGCAACTAGTCGCTGCTCATATGTTCTTCCATCACTGCCTCGCGTCTTTCAACGCACCTGGCATATTACATGCGCAACATTTCTGCGTCATTCATGTTACCTCCATGCTATTCCACTTTCAAGCGTTTCGTCCTACGCTTTTACAGGGCATAAGGGTTGACAGAGCGGATGGTCAAGCAACTGTAGTCAATGTTAGCATGCATTCGTTTCTTCTTTTCGTCAAGTCGTCACTTACGGTGGGCTCTTGCTCAAGTCCGTCTTGAGAATAATGGGCACTCTTGTCATCTCAGTAACATCCTGAATGTATTCGCCGTCCTCCTCACGCAGAGAAAACATTTTCATGTACTTCTCCTTGTTGTTCATGCGAGCCTCAACAGCCTCGGGGGCAGGCACACGGGAATCCGAACGAGCACGCTGCAGGTCACCGGCAGCAGTGCCAGAGCGAGCTGGTGAGCTAGGAACGCTCTGGGTAGGACGCTCTGCCAGGGATGCGCCAGCCATGGCTTCAGTAAGCTCAGAGGCGTTGTCCTCGTCGTCGTCGTCAAACAGAGCATCAACGTCGTCAGTGGACATGGTGCCAGTTTCAGTCTGCTTGCGAGCAGCCTCCTCGCGGTCCTTCTTGGCCTTATCGGCAGCCTCAGCTTGCTTGGCAGCAGCCATGGCGTTGGTCATGCGCTGGGAAGCAGCAGGCTTAGGACGCTCATCCTCGGGCACGTATGCACTGCTGGGAACACCCTTCTCCCAGTACAATTCGAGGACGCGCTTCTCCTTTCTGAATTCAGCCTTCTTCAGAGGAAGCTGGTCGCAGTGGACTCTCTTCTCAAAGCCCCACTCGGGAATCAAGACATCAAAGGCAGACTCGTAGACGCACAAGACAATACCTTCGGTGATGAGGTCGCCGTTAGATTCCTGGCGCTTCTTGTCCATGGTGCGGCAAGACTCGATGTGGACGCTCTGCTCCTGGGCGTTTTGGGCACATTCCTTCTTCGTGTTGAGAGCTTCCACAGCCTTGACCAAGTTCTCCATGTCCTCAGTGTACTCAATCTTGCCCTCAGAGAGGACAGCTTCGAGCTGACGATGGACAACAATGTCCGCGTAGCGACGGGTCGGGCTGGTAAAGTGAGTGTAGACGGGAGCGTTCAAGCAGTAGTGAGTCCAAATCGACTTGGGAGTCTTGGAAGCAACAAAGTACTTGGCACGCTGCATCGACTTGAGCACCACAGTTTCCATACCCTTGCGGAGATCAGTGTCATCAACCTTGAAGAGACTGTTCTGGAGAGCGCCGCTGCTAGAAGCATCGACATCGTAGCCAAGAGCGTTCATGCGGTCAACAAAGGTCTGCAGACGGCGAGGGTTGGGTGCAGCTTGGCGACGGAGCAAGGCCTTTTCGGGGAGACCCTCGACAAGGCGCTGGGCAACGTACGAGTTTGCACGGTGGCAAAGCTCCTCAACCATCTCCAGAGCAGGAGTAGAATCAAAGATGTTGTCAAGAACAGGGTTGTTCTCTTCATCCAGCTGCTGGAAGAGACGAAGAGGAGCAATGGGTTCGCCGCCAGCACCAACGCGGGCCTCGCGGAACTTCTGGGCAACACCCTGAATAAGCTGCAGAGTAGTGACAGGGACAGGGCCGTCCTTGAAGGATGATGGGTCCTCAAGCGCGGCGTCAATGTCCTTGAGGGAAACCTTGCCATTGCTCTTGATAATACTCTTTCCAACCCAGGTGTCACCTTCGAGCACAGCGCCGTTCTGGGGGTTAACAGTAAAGACAACACTGACAGTAAGGCGCTCCTCATCAGGAACCAGGGAGCAAACTTCGTCAGAGAGCTTGGGTGGCAAGAGAGCACAGAATCTATCAACAAGTTGAACAGAGGTTCCGCGCTTCTTAGCCTCACGATCGACCAGGGAGTTGGGTTTGACAAAGTGGGTAACATCGGGAACGTGAATACCAATGTCGATCTTTCCATCAGAGCGAGGTGTGAAATGAATAGCATTACCCAGTTCAGCACCACCGTTGAAGTCAATGGTGAAGATCTTCTCCTCACGGTAATCACGGCGAGCGTCAATGGAGCCCTCCTCTTCCTTGGCGAGAGACCATTCCTGAAGGCCAACACTGCGCAAAACAGCGTCAGAGAACTCATCAGAAGAAAAGTTGTTGTCGCGCAGCAGGGCATCAGTCTCGACCTTGAGATCGCCCATGCGGCCGAGCTGCTCAACAAGAGTACCAAAGGGGTGGAGGGAGGTAATCGGCCAGCGCTTGATGCAAGCAACAAAGATGCGGTCAGCATAGTCTTGGTGCTTCTCAACAAAGTCGCGTGGTGCCTGCTCAGTAGGAATAGCAATCAGAGGAACACGCTTGTCAGTAGGCTTGAACCACACAATCTTGGGCTTCTCCTGCTGGCGGTTGTCGTTGCGAGAGTTACCGCCATCGCGAGCAGCTCTCTCGGCCTCCTGCTTTTCCTTGGTAGCCTGACTGCTGGGGCGCAACAATCCGAGGGTACCAGAAAACATTTGTCCGGCGACACGCTCAACAACAGCGACAATGTGGCCAGCGTAAAGCGGCTTTTGTTCGTCATTGATTTCCTCTTCCTCAACAAGAAGCAAGCTCTGTCCTTCGACTTCAACATCGTCGTTCTTCTTCTGGGTAGGTCGCTGGCGTAGGGAACCGCGACGGCGGATACCGCCTTCGGAGGCACCGTTGTCGTCACCACGGCCTCCGTTTTGGCTGCCTTGGTTAGTCGATCCGGATCGGGTATCAGTAATATCCTTGCGCTTCTTCTTCTCTTCCTTCTCGCGCTTCTGAGACCAGACCTCATCGACATCAAGAAGCTCAACAGCAACCAAATCGCCCTCAAGAGCACGGTTACGGTCCTTGCTACCGCAAATAAAGATGTCAGCATCGAGAAGTCCGTCAACAGTGGTAACATAGGCGTCACTTCGGTTCTTCTTGTTCACGCGGAGGATACCAGAAACGAGCTGGCCATCGCCAAGCAGGGCGGGGAGCGAAGCCTGGGGAAGGTATGGGGTGAAGAGAGTCTTGCGCTGCTGTTGCTGCTGACCACCAGGTTGCTGCTGGTTTTGCATGCCAGGGAACTGTTGCCCACCGAGCTGAGCAGCCTGGAGAGCTTGAAGCTGGCCAATCTGGACAGGGTTGAGCTGCTGGCCATACATTTGTGGAATCATCATTTGGCCGGGCATCTGGAGGCCTTGGCCCTGGCCAGGGTTATATTGGAAGGAACCAATCGAGGAAATAGACTGGTTCATAGAAGCGCGCGAGCGATGGCCGGGCTGGAATGACTGGCTCTGGCCACCGGTGGCAGGTTGGTCCTGGTTTTGGGGGTTGCGCCAGTTACCCTCGAAGCTGCGGGAACCAGTACGGTTGTGGCCGCTGCCGCGTCGCTGGAAGTCGTTTCCATCATTGAAACCCAAACCACTTCCGCGACCAGCACCACGTCCGTTGACGGCCATGCTTTGACTGCGGCCATGAGCGCCGCGGCCGCGACCTGCAGTCGGAACAGCAAGGGTATCGCCAGACGATGGGGTATTTTCTTCGTCCGTCTTTTCGGTCGTGGCGTTCGGTCCGGGGAACTGGAAGCCGGCGGTTGTTCTTTTCTGCTGCGCAAGTTCGGCAGCCTTCTTGGCGTCGGCTAGAGCAAGAGAGTGTCGGCGCTGATGGCCAGCGCCAGGAGGTGCACCACGTCCACGTCCACCGGCATTGTCGCGGCCATGGGGAGGAGGGGCTTCGAAGTTTCCAAAGGCAGAGCCGGAGGCACCAGAGGAGGGTGCGGGAGGAGGGCCCATACCAATGTTGGGCATTGCCGACTGATTACGGCGATGTGAAGGGACCTGGGCAGGGGGGCCCATGTTGACGTTTTGTTGCGGGAACTGGAAGGCATTTTGCGACATGTTTCCCATGGGCTGCAAAGGATTGAATGCGGCGTTAGGCGCAATGGGCTGACCGGGAGGTAGCATGCCCATGTTGACATATTGCTGGTGGGTGGCTTGGATCTGTTGCTGCTGGTGCTGCAAGAGTTCAATCTGCTGCTGGATAGCCAATTGTTCCACTATTAGGGCGATGATGTCAGTACACAGACCGTAGGTATTGATACGGCGGGTAAGAGCTCGTGTGACGGGTTTATCCAATGCACAGCTTCCAATCAAGGCGCCGTAGTCCAGCGACTTACAGCATCTAACATCCAAGCTGTACAATTGAGACCAAACCGTGCCAGTAACGGCCAGGGGGGGACGGGGGAGGATTGTTCAAACTTACTTCCAGGATTGGCGAACATGCTCATCAAAGGAGTCAACTCGGAAGGGCTCCTTCGGTGAGCAATGTGAAGTCTCCGTCCAGCCGGACCATGCACACCACCAGTTTGGCCCTGAGGGGGGCCTTGCTGATTAGCAGGCTGCTGTTGCTGCTGCTGTTGCTCCATGGTGGGCTATGGGCAGACGAAAGCGAGACAGCGGAACAAGCGGGCACGTCGTGTGCTAGTTATAATCGACAGAAGGTCGGGCTTTTCTAGACTGTGGCAGTCCGGGTGTGGTGATGTAAAGACGGTGGCGTACACGCGAAAGTGACGGGGAGCCGTGGGGTCTAGACGAGAAAGGAGGGTGGGTTGGGTTGTGTGGCCTTGATTCAGCGAGCTCGATATTGGAGCCAAGGAGCGTCGAATGCAAAGGAAGGTGGTTGTTGTTTGTACGATAATTTGTTTCCTTTGTGGAAAAAAACGATGGAACAGGTTCGAGAGGGCGGAAAAGAGGATGGAGAGAGTGAGAGGGATGAGGGGAAGGAGGAGGAAGAATGGTGATGGTGTTGATGACGGAGCAGAGTGCGGGTGCGTGAGAAGGAGAAGGAGGGGGAAACGGGACTGCGAGGCAGGCAAAGCCACCAAGCAAGCTTTGGGCACTGGACTGGCTTTTTTTGTTGACAGCGGTTAGGCACGCTGCAAAGTATGGCTACCTCAGGCGCTGGGGCAGGGCCGCTCACTGCTAGGCTATGTGTGGGGAGCTCTACAGGCGGACGCAGCCACTGAAGCTTTCCCTAGCGTGGCGGGGGGAGCGAGCCAAGCAGCCCAGTTGCTGGAGAAGGGGCAGCGGACGGCGAGGGCGGGGAGCTAATTCCACCTGGACAGGGGGCATGGCCCAGCTCCCAGGCCAAACAGCCCCAATTGGCGTGGGTCTACAGGAAATTGTGAGAATTTCAGAGCAAAAAGCAGAGAAAACAAGATGATTTTGGGCCGACACTGCGTTATGATCTGGATTTTCTCATGAATTTTGTATGTTTTACGCAGCTGCGTGGAAAAAGGCGCGTCGATGATACGATTGCGTGGCATATACCCTGTAGAGTCGCAAAGCCCTCGGCCAGTGAGGCGTCTACAGCTGTCACTTCCGCGGGCCGCCCGCCCTTGTGGCTGCTAGCTACTACAGTGCATTTACAGTATGGTGGCGACTTACAACAAACAGCAACGGGCGAATGCCTCTATGTAAGCGCCCCTTCGCATCCGCTAGTTAGTTCCAGGCTAGCGATTTGGGGCGGAGGCCCGCCTATCGAGCATCTGGCCTTTCTCCGCATGACGCCGCTGCACGAAGCAATCTTCATGGCAACCGGTAGCGAGACGAGAAAAAAAGGAAAGAAAAATCCAAAAAAGGGCAGCAACGATACATTACGACGCACCTACGGAAATAAAAACTGTCCCAACGACACTGCACAAAAAAAGAAATACTGTACACCAAAGGGAACAAGTTGCTGGAGCAGCAAAGCAAGGGCGAGCAGACGGATGGGTACAAGCTGGACAAGGGGGAGGTACCTAATATTTGGCAGCCGGTCCAGTACGAGGACGGTGTAATCAAACAGCGGCAAAGCATGTACTCATTTTGCGTAGTGGGGATTTATGAACGGTAACCAAATAGCAATCGTCCAATGCCCTTGTTGAACGTCTCGGATACGTGCATGTCGTGTCTTGGCTGTGTGTGTGTGTGTGTGTGGTGTCTACGTCGACAAAAAAAATCCGTCGCCATCTCTCCACGCAATTGAACTTTATTCCCTTTTTATTTTGTGTGTGAAAAGATTTGAGACACCCCTCCGCCGACGGCATCTTCTTTTCACCCGATTTACTGTATGAGCGCGTACTGTACTCTGCATGGTCGCGTGCTGGTGTTGCTCCAGGTCGTCCTTGGCGGCCCGTTCAGGGGTCTTTGCAGGTGCTTGCTTCTCCAGACGTTCGCGACCAGCCTAAGCTCCCGCCCGCCCGTCGGTCCAGGGGTCTTCTTCCTCTCCGCTGTGTTTGTAGCAACGCTGTCGTCATCGTCGGCGCGCGCCACAGGGGATCGTTAAGTATCAAACCACAACAAAACATATGACATGGTGCACATTCATTGGCAGGAATTCCACTCCTTTTGAAAAAAAAAAGTGAAATGCGCCATAAAACGGCAATGGGAATAAAAAAGGATACGTTTCATTTGTCGAATTTATTTTTATCAGCCGCGGCGCATACGACACAAGCCTCCACATGCCAGTGTGCTGTACCCCTTCTTTGTAGTGGATGGTGGCTGCTGTGACGATCATCAAGATCCGTCAATTAACTTTGTAAGGGCACGGAAATAGATGGACAGGTAAGGTTTATTATTTGCAAAGTAGACACGTTTAGTACTTTTAAGAAGTTTAGAAAATATTATACGATAAAATAAAATTGCAAATGGCGTGACAACAAGAGAAGTAGCACCGGCATGACGACCACTACCCTATATCGCGTACAAAGACGCCATGCGGGGCGCTTGACGACGCAGGGTTGGAAAATTAACGAAATAGTCTAACTTGGTAACGCGGTTCTAACTTAATCGAATACTCTATTGCGTCAAGACGAAATTTGTAATCGAGTGGACGCAACTCGAAATTGCCAAAAAATATTGCCAAATAAAGAAGAAGAAACTATAATTTAACCTTCTAATAGAATATATTAGTTTGTATTTTGTCGAGGTAAATTTGGGAATTGTGCCTTTAGTCTACTCCTTCACTTTGAGGTAGGCAACCTTCAAGTGTAGTTACTTAGAGTAGGCAACTCGACTACTAAAATATACATATTATCACTATAGTCGCTTCCTCGGTTTGATACATTCAGCGCACCTCTATTAAGTCTATCTTGTAGAACACGTACAAGATCAACTAGAAACGCAAGCCCTGTAAAATTCCCACTTACACAAGAGTAGAGTCTGTTGTCGTCTTCACTCTAAGACGATCGATCTCTCACTAGGCAACAATACAACCCAGCTTACCAACTTGGAACAAACGCTCCCCTTTTCTACACACTATAAAATAGACGTTCACGTGAGATATTCTTATATATTTTCGACATAAGTTTAGAAGTAGTAGAGTAATAACCATACCGTCGCTCCAGCTTTATATATCCGTTAAAGGCAAAAGGTGTATGGCGTTCGCACTATTAGGAGCCCTGGTTGGAAGCTTTACTTGCTTTTATAACTCACAAGATACACCATCATTTGTGTTCTTTATTTAAAGCCAGCTTAATTACAGTTGGTGCCATTTCAAGCTCCAAAGCTTAATACTATTGAAAAATTTGTCAATTTGATATGTTGAATAACTTATGTAATAATATGGCCAATTTAAGAATCTAATGCACAATAATTTTATAGTGAAGGGTTAGAAGAGATACGCAACTCACCCGCAAACCAAGTTAGTTCATCTTCATGTATAACCCGTTCCCCGAGTCCACCACTTTGCCCGTAACTACGCCGCTTTCCATAGCCAAACGAGCAACACTCGCTTTAACTAGGAAAAGATGGCTATATTCGTCTACTTCAATGACACAGTTGTGCCACGGTGTAGGCACATGTAGCTTGTCGCAGCTATCAACGCCCTTTCCGTCAGGTGGAAGGACATGTGTCGTCCTCACGCCTGGGCCAAGCATTTGTATACCATATTTCGGGCCCGCATTATCGTGGCTTTTATTGTCAGCTGAAGAAAATCTTAGAAAAATCGGGCGATTTACTTACGCATGAATAGAGAGTCGTACATGGTGAGGAAACAGTGTCTGTACGAGATTCGAGTATGCTTGGTTTCTCTGGACCCAAGTCAGAATCTTATTAATGATTTGTAAAAAAGCGTGTTTTACATACCTCTATCATCTCATAGGCTACTTTTGAAGCCATCTTTCGAAGCTGGGACCGGCTCAGGTGACTCGTATACTTGTTCATTGTCAAGTCCTCCAACATAAACCGCGAGAAGCCACGATACAAGGAGGTTGTGCTGGTGTCTCCAGCATCTAGTTGGGTTCTAAGGTCATTATCATCTTGCCTGAAACCAGCCATTAGGATTTTTCGGCACGCCTCGGCCTCATCAGTGACTCTGGTGCCTATAAGCTTGCGTAGGTGCCGGTCATCGCAGAGACGGCTAAGACTGCTGCAAGTTCCAGAGAACATATCTGGTAGCGACATGAAAGTGATACGCCCTTGGCCATTTGTGCTATTGGCTATGTCCTGCTCCATGTGTTGGAGGCTGGCGCTATAAGAATCAACAACATCGTCGTCCACACCAACTAACATGACATTAGCCGCCAAGACTACGTACTGTGTAATGAATAGGAATACTTACTACAGTCACTGAAAACGTGGCCGTCGCTGATGATCCATAATCTCGCTCCAGGGCTGTATATTGCTTCAATATCCTGCAGAAACGCATGCAGGCCTTTCAGCGCCAAGTGCTCTGCGCGATCTGGATGCTCAGAGAGGACCTTTTCCTTGTTAGATGATTTGCAAGGAAACGCAGGTAGACAGAATTCCACAGGTCTCCCACTACTCGTAAACTTGGCCACTTGTGCACGAAAGCCTTCCCGCCCTCTTGCACGCCACTTATCGTGCTTGGCTTCGTGGCGGAGCGTACGATCAAACAAGTCTGCGATAAAATCCGCCACGGCATCTTCTGCGATGGACTTTTGGTGAGTTTCTGCGCTTAGCTGCAATGAAGATAGGATTGTTGCTGCCAAGAGCCTATCAAAAGCGTCGCCTTCGACTGTTTGCTTGGCTGGCGCATGCAAAACGTGGCCAAGGATGTGATCTGCTTCGGGCCGCACTGTCTCATAAACTATATAGTCCCTTCCAGATTGGCATTCTGGAATCTTTGGATCTACTTTGATTGCAGTTTGTGAGACATGATGAATGCCTGTGGGTGCAGGTGCCTGCATGAGTTGCGCTGATATCTGCGGCCACGAAGCAGTGACTTCAGCTTGGCGAGGTCCAAAGCAGTCGATAAGAGTGCCGTCATGGTTCCTAATAAACCCAGCTGCGTATCTTGTAAATGGTGCAGGTGGTGAAGCGAATGCTACTCTAACATGCATCTTGGATGGGATGTTTGCCGTGTCATGGGCATCAGGTAGGTACCACACAACGGGTGAAATAAAAACTTTTTTGCCGGAGACATTTCATCACCATACCTGCTCATTCCACGCACTGCAGCCCTACGCTCGTCTATAAACTGCGGGCTGTATGCTCCTCGGAATTCGGCCCTTCTGGAACTTGTTGATATGGCACGCTTTGACATGAGGGTAAGGCGCCGGCTGAGGCACTTCGTTTGAGCTGAAAGAATAAAAGCCGGCAATTTGCGGAACAATAGAAAGCCACATTTTCAGGTAAACCTCGTTCTCTGTCATTCTATTGAGTTGTTGGATGGGATGATGTGAGCAAGTTTTCGTCGGCTGTAGCCCCGTCTGCCTGTGCGGACCAACGATTAAACTTGCTCACTGCATTGCAGGGAGTCGGCTGTAGCTGCGAATACGATGACACATGATGAAAGCCTTGCGCCTTGCGTAAATAACCTTGCTTACAAGAAGAGACGAACCCGGGTTGTGTATTTGGTAACATGATATATCAACGTGACACTGCAGCCCAGTTTTGCGACAGGCTAGGCTTTGGGCGTCCTTACACGCCAAACACTATACCTGCGATGTTTTGGTTGTTAACAGCTGCCGCTGCTTCAGTAGCAGCCTTGGCTTACGCCGTTGAATTGCTCTTCTATCCTCTGCCTCATGTCAGGGGCATACCGACGGTACCCTTCTGGGTCGCGTTGTTGCCGCTTGTCAAGGATATCGACCAAATGGATGTCTTCAAAGCATACATAGAAGGGCCCTTGAGGAAATACGGGGCTGTTAAAATATTCTTTGCGTCTCAGTGGAATATTATCATTCATCATCCAAGATATCTTGCGGAGGTACTCAAGCACACCAACATCTATGAGAAGAGCGGCAACGATGAGAAAATTCCGCATAGCGTGCTTGCCTCTCTGTTAGGAAACAATATTATTTCTGGCAGGGGAGATACATGGAAGACCTACCAGCGCATCATAAAGCCAGGACTGCAAGCCAGGCAAGATCTTGGTCGTCTTCAAGAAAATGCTACTAAGCTGCGCAACATGATACTTGCCCAGCTTGAAGAGTCTGGCGGTGCAAAGCTCCATTCAATCATCCAGAAACACACTATCAATAACTTTACAGCTATCTTCTATAACACTGATACCAAGGCAAGTCTATCATTTATAGTTCTCTTTACATACATGCTAATGTCGTAGACATCTGGAGTGCCTTTAGATCAGATGCAAACGCAATTGAAGCGTGAAATATTCAAGCCTCTCTTCATGAGTTTCCCTGTCCTTGACAGACTTGGGTTATCAAGTCGAGAAAATGCGCGTCGGCTTGCATCGCAATTCACAGACACCTTGATATCCTTGCTACGCACCGGCCCTGGTACGAGACTGACTCAAGACCTTTTGGAAGCAAGAGGCAATGGCACTTTGACAGAGAAACAATTTCGAGATAATGTTACAGTGCTGTTTGTAGCAGGACAGGAGAATCCGCAGCTTGCCACGATATCCACGCTATATCTGCTCGCCAAGCACCCAGTACGCCGCATTTCGTTTTGATCGCGCCACCAGATGCTTACAAGACCATAGGACATACAACAGCAGCTGTACAAAGAAATCGTAAACAACGACACGTTAAATGGAGGAACGGAGATTACAGAAGAAACTCTCCAAGCAATGCCCTTGCTCACGGCGGTCGTATTAGAGAGTATCCGCCTCTTTCCCCCCATCGGCCAGCTCATTAACCGAAGGACAACGACATCAGTATGTCTCGGGGGTGACATCTTTATCCCTAAGGGTACATATATCGGATACAACTGCGTCTCGACAAATCGCGACCTAGAGGCGTGGGGTGCTAATGCAAACGACTTTGTTCCAAGCAGATGGGGGCTTTCGTCAGAGGAGATACGTCGAGAGTACAGGCAGCGCAAGGCGCGCGCAGAATTCTTGTCGTTTCATGGAGGACAAAGAGCTTGTCTTGGAGAAAAGTTTGCCTTGTCGCAGCTCAAGATTACGCTCTGTGTGCTGGTGCGCAGTGTGCAGTGGGCGCTTGATCCAGCTTGGCCAGAGAGGATGACGCCGGTTCGTTTTTATACTCAAGCGACTCAAGAAGGTTACTAACAGTGCGATTAATAGGCTGGACCCCTTTGTCCAAGCAATTTGCAGTTGAAGTTTACAGCGCGGGCCTCAGGTAGTTAAGTCTAATATATGCGAACGCTTGCAATTTATAACATAAAATTTTAATAAGACAAACTTTTATCAAACAAATTTGTATTAGACACTCTATACAAGATTACTCGGAATCAGCAGCTGCAGTCAGTGTAGTGTCGGCGTCGCGCATGCCCTTGTCAACATCCGTCCAAATGTACAAACCCAGCGCAACAAGCATGAGAAGCAGGTTTGGAAGCATGGGGAACCGCAAGTTATGCGTATTGTTCTGGATAACGCCCTGCACAAGCGGGTTGATCCAACCGGTGGCAAGACCCAGCGTAATCTCAAGACCAAAGAAGGCAGCTTCGGAGCCCTTTGGGATGATGGAGGCATAGAGAACACGATTGAGGGCGCGAAGGGCGCTACTGGTGCTCATGAACAAGAAATCAGCGACCCAAAACTCTGCCTGGTGCTTGTATCCAATGGGAATGTTGGCAATACCAAGGCATCCCCAGAAAATGCAGAGGATGTTGACGCCAAAGAAAATATACGCCCAGCTCTTGATGTGTAGGCGAGAGCGGCGGAAGCTAAACATCCAAGACAATGAGCCGACACACGCAAAGATGACCATCATGAAGGAGTAGACGGTGTAAATGTTGCTTCCGCGCTGGATGCCAGACGATTCAAGAAAGAGGGCGCCAAGAAGTTGGATAAAGTTGCTGTAGGCAGTGTTCCAGAGGACCCAGCCGATGCAGATCTTGAAGGCGTTGGGGTATTGTCGAATGGAGCCGAGGATTTGAAACCCTGTTTGATGTGAGCTGATGTTTATATGTTCATGTGTAAAAATGTTGCCTACAGGTTCGGATAGGTAGTAGAAAGATGCTTTTACCTACGGGGCGTTTGGCACCCTGAATGCTCGGCAGCATGATGTGCCCAGCGATAGCGCAGACAACTATTGTATTTGTTAGCTGAGTAAACCACCCGAGCATCGAGAGATACGTACTGGTGAGACATCCTCCAACGGTAATGGCGAGAAGAAAGCTGTGTAAAACGTCAGAAAGCTGTGCTTTGAAGGAAATCAGCAGGCAGCACATCGGTACTCACTTGAAGTATCCCTCTGTTACGTAGCTACCCCGCGAGTACGTGATAATAACGCCAATCAGAAGCGCAAGAATGGCACCAAGGTTGCCCGATACAAGGCCCAGCACACTAACACGACTGCCCTGCTGCCAAGTCTTGCGCGCATACTCGGTTCTCTCCTCCTCCTGTTCGTCTTGGAGGCGGATTCGCTTTCTGGAAAAGCCCACCGAGCGCATAAAGATGGGGATATACGATGCTTCAATGACGGTGTACACGCCAGACACAACTTCGAGCACCACGTAGAGCGTAGAGAGGGCGTTGAGGCTGTTGTACGTATTACCGGTGAGACCGGCGAAGGGCAAGGCGAGGATACCAAAGAGGTAGATGGAGCACATCATCATGGTCTTGCGGTTGTTGGAGTAGTCCGCTACGCCGGAGACTAAAATGGAAACGACACCTTCGCATGCGCGGCTGATGGCTCGAAGGTACAGGCTGTGAAATCGCCGAGTTTTAGTCACTGGTACTCAGAAAGGATAAGAGAAACAACGTGGAGCGAGCTTACAGGTAGCTGAGATAGTCGACATCGTAGCCGCCCATCTTGACAACGCAGTGGATGGCGCCGCGACGAGCACATGGTTTGTTGGAGCCGGGAACGTGACCAACGGCGTTTGCAGCGGATTGGATGCTTGCTGTGACGTAGCTGTTAACCATGCCTGCTGTTGGGCCAGTCTATGCGTTGTTAGCAGTCATTACATCGTATACGTCGTATACGTCGTATACATCGTCTGCAATAGGCAAAAAACCGAACATACTGAGAAGCAGAGAATCAGCCATGCCCAAAGAGCCTTGCGTGTAGCCAAAGGCTCCAGCTGAAGAGGACCATTCTCGCTTGCCTCGCCGTCGTCTAAATTCTTGTTGGCAGTAGAGGCAGTGGGCGAGTCGACTGCTTGTACAGATTCGAATGTTTGCTGTTTCTGGCCCTTGGACATATCGTTTATTGTATCGACCATGGTGTACTTTGCTGCGATGTTGTCGTCAAATGCCGGTAAGATCAACCAGACAGTTGGCCTCTGTGAATGTTATATAGGCCGACACTCTTTGGGCATCGGGCCCTTGCCTGCGCGCGTTGGTTCGAATGTATTCTGCTCATTATTGCTATGTCCAGCCCGTTCCACATGTATGCGAGCCTTTCTCATGCAAGCCGCCCAAAGTGGTTTGATTTGGTGGTGGTGGAGTGGAAGCAACTTGCTCAAACTAACGCAAGTCTGAGCGCAGCCTTGCTGGTGGCAGAAAAGTGTCCAGAACGTGACCCAGCCTCCGTCCTCATTGTATTTCTTTTTTATTTTAAATTATGAATAATATAATGGGTTTCAAAATGTAATCAGCAAGTCACGGGTTTCCATATATATTACCAATAAGTAAAAAAGTAAAGTAGAACGTGGACTTGGCAGCACATACTCTTGTTCACCTTGTTTATCACGTACATACATTGTAATTAGCCATGGCAGAGACAACTGATCCTGCAAAGGGTTCTGATGTACAATCTTCGTTTTCTACTCAATCACCAAACAACTTGGAACAGGGCTCTACGCTCTCCGACACTACAAACAACGCTACTACACCAGCATCTGCACCGCCAAAATACTCTGCCATCTCTTCCTCTCGCCAAACATGCATCTTGATTCTAGTTACGCTTGCAGGATCAATTGGTCCTCTCTCCGGTACAATGTACCTCCCCGTGCTACCTCTTCTGGCTCATGAGTTCGACGTGAGCAGCACGAGCATCAACGCAAGCGTCTCTGTATTCATGATGACATTTGCCTTTGCAGTGAGTAGCTTAATATCTATCTAGACATTTACTTTATTGTTAAGGTAGCGCATCAGCACTTTGACCGATTGATTAACAGTCATTTCGCAGCCGCTCTTCTGGGCTTCTTTCTCCGACTACCGCGGCCGACGACCGATTTACATAATGTCGCTAGCAGTCTTCGTCATATCCAACTTGATACTCGCTGCTATACCACCAAACTTCCCGGCATTCATGGTCCTGCGTTTTGTACACGCCTTCGGCGCCGGCGCTGTCGTCTCCATGGGTGCTGGCACAGTCGCAGATGTGTGTTGATCCAGTATTTTGTATGACAGTACAGGCAACTAACAAAACACCTAGATAACGGAGCCTAAAAAGAGAGGAAGCAAAATGTCCATCTTTCTTCTTGGCCCTCAATGTGGCCCTGTTTTTGGTCCTGTGGTGGGCTCGGCTTTGGGCGGTGGTGTCAATTGGCGATGGATTCCGGGATTTCTCAGTACGTACAAATCTCTACTATAATGGAAGCCTCTTACTGATCTTGAATAGCTCTGTTCAGCTTCACCATCTGGCTGTTGATTATCTTCCTGCTCCCAGAGACGCTTCGATTCCGCGTTGGAAACGGCATGCGATACCAAAGCACAGGCTGGCTTCTATGGCCTCCTCGCTTTGCTGCTACGCCGGTGGATGAAACAGAACGTGGCCCACGTCCGCCGAAACCAACTCTGCTTGGCTACTGGAAACTCTTTTCCTATCCGCCAATTGGTATAGTATCAGTCAATACTGCCATCTTGTACTCAACCTACTTTGCCATCACGATTGCTTTACCGTATGCACTCGATCAGACATATCACTGGTCATCTACAACTACAGGACTCGGCTTCTTGGCTGTCGGAATTGCTCTCATGGTGGGTACACTGGTTGGTGGCCGAGTCAACGATTGGAACCGTGCGAGGCGAATCAAGGCTGCACCTGATGTCCCATTTCCTCCAGAAAGCAGACTAAATGATCAGTTCTGGGGTGTCTTGGTGTGTGTCGCAGGTACTGTCATGTTTGGATGGTTTATCCAAAACTCAGTCCATGTAGCTGCTGCTATAGTGGCCACCTTTCTTGGTATGTAGACGATTATCTGCGACCATTGGTAGTTAACTAACATCCCCAACTGCAGCTGGGTTTGGAATGAGCTGGGTATTTGTTGCCACCACGGCATTTCTCGGCGAGTGTGTCCCCTTGCAAGCAGCTGGAGCGTTTGCTCTAGGCAATATGCTTCGCAACCCTGCTGCAGCTATTGCAGCAGTCATTTACCCGTCGCTGAAAAGCAATATGGGAATAGGCTGGTTCTTTACAGGGTTTGCGATATTGGACCTAGTTGTTGTGGGTGGTACTGTTTTGAGTAAGTGCCATTTACCATGTCGGTTTATAATGTCTATTCTAACTATAAGTCTAGTTCTGCGCTGTTACGGTCCTTATTGGCGAAAGAAGAAGGATGCCGCCAGAGAGTCAGCGAAATAGAAACCAAGTAGCTAGCACATTTCTTTTCATTATGTTACATTTCTTTTACGAAAAGTTCTTGTTAAGAAATTAATTTTGAATACTTCTCTTTTCTACTCTGTATATTTCTGAGCGGCTGTTTGCGCTGTTGTTGCTACCGTAGCCAAGTGAAGTAGACGCGCAGAATAGTGTCTCAATTTCTTGACGGCTTTCAATACATGCTTTTCTCCTATAAAAAGTAACAATAGTAACCTCACAATCGTAATGATGGCTAACATTATAATCAAACTTAACAAGTATGAGAACCATGAGTTGCCTTTATCTTGAAGAAGCCCACAGCAAATACAAAAGACGGGATATATCGGTTCACGGTTCACCTGAAAAATGTCACCGCCAAAGACTACGGGCCCGCATTCCGGGGTGGCTTGCTTATTGAGTCATTACGTTATACCCAAGGATGCTCTCTTTTGAGCAAGTTTTGCGGTTCGTTTAGATGGGAGCAAAAGGATTCCGGTTTGGGGGCGTGTGGCCCGCGCCGCTCTCAGATCAGGCTGTAAGACGGAAGCATAGTTAAATATCTCAATTCGGGGGCTTCGACGTCCAATGGACATACATTTCAACACTCATTAAGACAGAATGCTCTCTCTACGACAAATTTTCCCGCTAATAGCAAGCTTCGCAGCTACAGCATCAGCTTGTACACCATGCACCTCTCTGACTCTCTCGAATCCGCCGCCTGGCACATCCCTGATCAACATCACATCTATTGAACGACACGATGTAACTGTAACAGGCACACGCTTCAACGGCACGGGCACTGTATCCAACATCTCCTTTTGTGATGTGGAAATCTATCTCACCCACGGCTCATCCCACGACGCCGTACGCATTGCGGTCTGGCTCCCTCTTCCCATACAGAAATGGACCGGTCGCTTCATGGGCACCGGAGGCTCCGGCTTTCGCGCAGGAATATTCGATCCTGCCCTAGCAGAAGGTGTCGCGGACGGGTTCGCTGCTACTTCGACGGACGCAGGAGTTGGGAACGCAGGCGATGATCCTTCTTCCTGGGCGCAAAACCGCCAATTGGTGAACAATTTTGTGTACCTGAGTATCCATGAGATGACCGTCGTCGGAAAACAAGTTGCTGAGCAGTTTTATGGCAAGAAACCTACATACAGCTATTTCAATGGATGCAGTCAGGGTGGAAGACAAGGATACAGGGCGGCATTGGAGTATCCAGACGACTATCATGGCATTTCTGCGCATTCACCTGGGATCAACTGGGATAGGCTGCTGCCTGGGTTCTTATGGCCATATTTGCAAAAGCTGCAGACTCCAGGCTTGACTACTTGCAAAATTGCCGGCATCACAGCAGCTTCCATTGCCGCGTGTGATCCGGACGACGGCGCCGTGGACGGGTTGATTAGTTATCCACCGAGTTGCAAGTTTGACGCGACAAGTCTAGTTGGCAAGGAAATTGCAGGCTGTGATGTCGATAAGACAATCACAAAAGCAGAAGCGGACGCGTGGAACAGCATACGGGATGGACCCAAGTATAAGTCTGGCAAGTCGATTTGGTACGGCATGCAGCCTGGATCGGACATTTCGTTTGTCACATTGGCGCCGTTTGCACCGGGAGAAAGTTGGTTAAAAGACTTTATCCTACGCTCCCCAAACTATAATACTTCAACTCTGACTTACGATGACTATCTCGCAGACTTTGCCAAGTCGGTAAAGACGTTTGGTCAGTCATGGGGATCACCGTCCGCTGATCTCTCGGCGTTCAAGAAGAGGGGAGGCAAACTGCTCACCTTTCACGGATGGTCCGACCAGTCTGTTCCAGGTGAGAGCACAATTGAGTACTGGAACCGAGTCTCGCAGACGGTTGGTGGCGTGGACGACTTTTATCGCCTGTTTATGGCTCCTGGAGTAGGTCATTGTGCAAGCTTCGGATATGGTCCTGGTCCGTGGTCTTTGATGGATACACTGGTGGATTGGGTAGAGCATGGTAAAGCACCCGATACCCTGTTTGCTGCTGGGTTTGGTAAGACGCGGAACTTGTGTCGGTATCCGAAGAGATTGATGTATAAAGGTAGTAGTAGCGTCGAGAATGCCTCGAGCTGGACGTGTATTTAATATGAGGCTACTAGAGAAAGGCTGCGCGAACATATACATATACATATACATGCATACATATATATAACTTATATATATACTATAATATATTTCACCAGAGAATAAGCCACACCCTGCAAATTAGACTCATAGCAACAAGCTATATTCCATAGAACTCATGCAGGTCTCGCGTAGCTCTCAACTAGAAACCTATATAGGCTATATAAGAGGTTATTCCAGCATACTAGTACCCTTTTCTTGCTGAACTTCTCTTCTTTATCCTCGAGTACTTACAAGTTAAGTCGGTAGTTACTTAGGTAGTTAGTAATATACCTAGTTGAACTCATTACGGTGAGCGGCTGCCACCCCAAAAAAACGCCGGGCGCGTTTCAGAAGGCTTGCGGCCAGCGAAATAATGCAGCCCTCAGCGACTCGACTGCCAACGCCCCACTTAAATATTGCGCCCGGCTCTTTATTTTCGCGGTACCGTGTGTCTTTTTGGTTGACTGCAGAAAGGGCAATTAAAGATTGCATCGTGATATACTCCCGAATCACCTGTGCAAGCACAATCAACGCGGAGAAGCGTGTTTCCTCTCCCCAGGTGTGCACCGGACCAAACAGGCAATACGGAATGATCGCATCCTCTGCGCTTTAGGTTCAGAATCTCGGTCAATCTTACGTCTAATGCGACGCGAATAGCCCACGACATCCCACTACTCACCAAGCTTCCGTCTACATCTACGATGTCGCGTTCGTCACCGGTTCGCAGGAGCCAATCTCGGGCTAGCCCTGAGAGAGGCTACATGTCCCCGTTTCTCTACGAACGGCGCAACCATGAAGCCTCCCATCTCGATGCATTGGCGGCAGCACAGCAAGAACACGAGCGAGTCCGCCAAGCGGCCATCCGCGTCTACGAACTCCATGAATTGAAGGAGGAGCACGAGCGAATCATGCAACAAGAACGAAAAGAACAAGAAAGATTAAAAGCTGAAGCCAAGATTGCTGAAGAAGCAAAGAGGCTGCAAGAGCTCCAGGCCAAGTCGATACCGAAGCCTGCGCCGCTACCACCAGCGCCGGAACCAGCTCCTAAAGCTGCACCAAAGCAAACGCAATCGCCCGAGAGGCCTGCCGCCACAAACACATTACAGCTCGGATCTCCATTCGCGCCGAAGAAGGTGGAACCAACCAAGGTGGAAGACGACTCGCCTCTCAAGCCCCAGTCTAATGGCCTGTTTTCAACAACGCCCAAAGGCGAGCCTACATCTTCTCTTTTCAAACCCGCATTGAATCAAAACACCGCTACTCCCACATCGAATGCATTCGCACCAAAACCTGTACAAACTCCAGCCCAACTACCCCCAGCCGCCGCACCGCCGAAACCACAAGCACCTAGCGCACCAGCCGCACCTAAAGACCCGCTGCTGGACAAGTATGTGCAGATACATCAGGAGCTGAAGAAGCTTCGAAAGGAACTCATGGCACAGTCCAAGGTTCCTGGATCACCTCTTAAGGGCCAAATGGGCACTTTTAGAAGAGAGATTAGAGTGTCCATTGGCCAACTGACAGCCGGCAAAGGCGCCAACACGCAACCAGTAAGTATAAACCCATCATACCTTCGTTTTAGCGATAGCAACTAACAAAATACCTCTAGATTAGCAAAATAACAACTGCTCTAAAGGCGGCGTTGGAAGGCCAAGTGCCAAGCCCACCCATTGACGTATCCGCGTTTGTTGCAGACAACCGACAACCGGAGCAAGGCGCAGCGAACAACGAGCCCACTATGCCCTCGCTCTTTATTTACCTAATGAACATTTGCGCCAAGGGCATCATCAGCCAATTTATCAATGAGTGCGGTGCAAACCCCAAGGCAGCAGACCCTATTGGAGTCTTTGCTGCCCACATCTTTTCTCACAAGGAGTTTCAATGGCGCGGAAAGCCTCTCATTGACATCATGATGGCCAAGTTCCGCGTCGTCTGTCCCGTGCTATTCGGCCTGCGAGGTAACGACAAGACTGAGCGAGGCCGCCTGAACCTGGGATGGAGAAAAGACGGGCCCTCGTGGATCACCGAACAGAGCCATAACGACCGAATGGCTGGCCTAGGCGCTGGTTTCGCATCAATTGCGCTCCGTGATTTCAGCAAGTCGTCCAAGTCGAATCCGTACCCCCCTACTCATTACTGGAGAGCGCTGGCGGACATCGTCAACAGTCCTGCTGGCGAAACCTCTAATACGCAGTACGTTGTCGCACGTGCCATGATTGATGGACACGAAAACCGCTTCATCACATTCTACGGCAACGCTGCTGTCGCTGCACTTCGTTTTGCTCTGATGGATTTCCCGAAAAAGGCCCCCGAAGGCTCATCTGCTGCCGGCTCGCTAACTGCGTTGGCGGAGGTGCTCAAGACGGAGGTTGGACTTGCCCTCGCATAGAGTGCATCTGTTAGACACTGATTGGCCACGGCGTTGAAAATTATACAGGTCCTTTTTTACGAGTTGGATTGGGTATAGCATCTGGAACTATAAATGGCGTCACATGTACATATTATATAACATCATTAGCCTCGAAGTAGGCATCATCTTGAACGAGTACTGTTGAAAACAATTGACAAAAGTGAAAGTAGAAGAGCATACACAAGCGCAAGTGATGGAAACCATAATTCGTTGTAATTTAAACTGTGTAAGTGTCGTCTCTATAAATGACATCCAATATAGTGTACATCTCTTTGTGTATATCCCTTCATCGTACCGCTCCTATGCTTTGAATCGGGGCCTAAAGTGGAAAAAAGAAAACTAAACGCCGTATGCAAGGCTATGTTGAAAAAAACCATAAAGGGCGCCTCGCAAAAGGAAAAAACCAAATGAACAAAATTATGTGCAGCCGCGTAGACGAATGGTGTGGCTCTAAACCATCAAAAGCAGCACGAGCATGACAATGAGAACAAAGATCAGGACGGCGATGAAGCAGCTGCTCCACCGATCCTCATTGGCCCTGACAATGTGCGTCAGCTTGCTCATGCCTGTCTGTAGTCTGCCACCCACACGGTCGGCGATATTGTCCACCACCTCGAGCATTTCGCGCTGCTCCTCCAGCTCTCTGCCCATGTCGTCTGCTTGTCTGCGCAGGTTGCCGACTGTGTGGAAGACACCGTCGAGGTGTGTATCTTGATCGCGCATGATTTCCATTTGCTGCTGCTGCTCGAATTGTGCGTAGCCATCCTCTTCGCCCTCGACAGCAAAACTGCTCGGATCCGGCAGGTCACTACCACCACCGCCGCCGGCATTGTCGATCTTCTTTTGCAGCTCATCGCGCATGTCCTCGACCTCGCCGCCGACTTCTTGCACCAGGCGTTTGCGCCGAATGACCTCATCAGTAGAGAGACCATACTGGGCAGGATTGGATTCAACGGCCTGGACCGACGCTACAAGGTCGGCAAGGTCTTCGGCGAGTGTAGAGAGTGCAGCTTCGAGGTCGGTGCGCGCGGAGGCGAGCTCGGGCGATACGGAGCTTGTGAGAGATCGGATACGAAGGTAGGAGGCAAATAACGGGCGTGTTGATGATAGCTGTGCTAATACATCTCTGAAATGCGCGCAATGTGGGTTAGCTCTGGGCATTAAAGTGTTGCGACCGTGGCACGCCTTACTGTTGGACTTGGAGGAAGGGGTCCTCCTCATTCGTCGAGGACATCATCCTGGCGAGGTTATGATGATGTTGGAATCATGGATTGTTTATAATTTCCGCTGTGCATAGACTGTGCGAAGTCAGAGACGGAGATTTGAGCGTTGGCGAGCCTGAATTGCAGCGAAGATGCAGAAGCCAAAGATACCAGGAGAGGCGTCGCGGCGAATGACGTTGCAGCTTGCCGCTCACCGAAAAGGTACGTACCACTTGCGGGCAGCCAGAAGTGGGCTGGAGCGAAGGACTAATGTCTTGTAAATTCTGCCACAGCAAAATTTCAAAGGCATAAAAAAATGCAAGCGTAATTGTACGGAAAAATAAAAGAACAAGATCATAGAGGAGGTATTGATTGGCGTTTATCACCTGATATATTGTACGGAAAAGAATCTCAATAATATAAAAGTATAGAAACCACCAGCAGTAAGACAGCCAACTACCCCTCCCCCTCATCGTATGCTCATCACTAACAAGGATACCAGAATTTGCATATTCAAGATGCCGCGCCAAAAGCCGCTGCCTTTTAGCGATGAGTTCTCATCCCCTGAGGAATACACAGAGGCTCTGTTAGAGTTCACACAGACGTCACGGATGTTCCAGATGCTTTGCGGCGGCGTCCATATTCTTGACTTCTTCACCACAAACCCTGGCCTCTTCTATGCGGCCATGCCTGAGGAATGGCACGAGTTTCTATTGTCACAGGATATTATGAGACTTCTCAATTACTTTGTAAGAGAAGATCTTGACTCTACAACCTTTGAGAATGGCATCAAACCACCGTCCACCTTGCTCGATTACTTAAAGACAATCCGACGTTTGACGTTGCGGAGAGAATACACATCCAATGACTCCAAGCTGCCTGCGCTGGCAAGACCTGTGTCGGCTGGCATGAATATTAAAAAGGTCCACGAGGTCAAAAACTTTGCAGACTACGTGGATCGTCTCTCAACCGAGGTGTCTGATACTACGGGCCAGACCATTTCACATTTCGTTGATTTCGGCAGTGGCCAGAACTATCTTGGTCGAGCACTCGCTAGCGAACCGTACAACAAAAACGTCGTTGCTGTGGAAGGAAGGGAGAACAACGTCGACGCTGCTAAGCAGTATGATATGAAGGCTGGTCTGGCCATCAAGCCCAAAATTTACAGAAATAAGAAGCTGTGGAACAAGATTTGCGAAGTCCGCGGTAACGACAAAAAGGACGATCCAGAAGCCACAGCCGCCGCCATCAAACAGGTCTTGGGTGAAGATGACGGCGAAAAGTTTCGCAAGATTGGTCAGGATGAGGTCAAGTATAGCATGGAAGTGGGTAAAGGACACATCCAGTATGTCTACGGACGTTTGGAGCACGGAGATCTATCAGAAATCGTCAACAAAATCGAGAGTCTCGATATTGGCGACGAAAAGAAGAAAAACTTACAACTCATGGCTATTTCTATCCACTCTTGCGGAAACCTGTCGCACTTTGGCATCCGGTCGCTTCTGCTCAACGATGACATCCGCGCAGTTGCCATTGTTGGCTGCTGCTACAACCTGCTGACTGAGAAGCTTGGTCCTCCTACTTACAAGCATCCTTTCTTGCGGCCAAGCCTACAGCCGGTCAACGGTCGAGTTAAGCGTGAATCAGAGCGCCATGACCCCCAAGGCTTTCCGATGAGCAACAAGCTCAGCACATACAAGGACGAAGGTGTCCGCCTTAACATCACAGCTCGTATGATGGCGTGCCAGGCACCACAGAACTGGTCCGACGCGGACAGCCACCGCTTCTTTACAAGGCACTTTTATCGTGCGGTGCTCCAGAAGATCTTCATCGACCGTGGCGTTACCAAGCAGGTTAGGCACATTGGCGGTGATGCCACCGAAGAGGACAGTCCCTTTGAAAAGAGCACCAACCCCGTCACCATTGGCACCCTTCGCAAGAGCTGTTACGCCTCTTTCACCGCATACGTTCGTGGTGTGATTGAAAAGCTGACGACAAGCACTGAGTATAAGCAACATGCTGATGTGATGCGAGAAAAGATGGGCGACATTACAGACGAGGAGATTAACGAATACGAGCAGCGATACGCACCGCGGCAGAAGGAGCTGTCCATTGTATGGAGTTTGATGGCGTACAGCGCTACTATTGTAGAAGCACTTATTGTTACGGATCGTTGGACGTTCCTCAAGGAACATAGCGATGTGGTCGAAGACGCATGGGTTGAAACGGTGTTTGATTTCCACCTGAGCCCACGCAACCTGGTTGTTGTTGGCGTGAAAAAGGCAAACGCTTAGAAGAAGTTGATATAAAATATATACATTTCTGCATTAGACTTAGTGATTGTAGCCACGGCTATATGTTGACTGGTTTTGAATCGGTTCATTTTTGCTTCGCTAGCAAACATTCGCGTCGAAGCACACCCAGACGTTCAGGTTGTGAGACGTATAAGCCAGACTGGACGACGACCATTGAGACTGGTTGCTAAGTGATTCGATGTATGCACACTCTGCTTTCACTACTTGAGCTATACAGTACGATCGATCCTAGCCCAAAGTTAGCATCAGCAAGCTCAGTAGCCCACCAAGGTTGCCAGAAAGTTACCACCGGACTCTGATCCACCGAACCGAGCCGTTGTGCGCCCCCAGGACCCTGAAATATCCAATATTGGGCCGTAAGTACGAGCGGGGGGCATACGTGCATTGCATTGGCGCCCAAGGTAACAAACCACGCTAAAGTAACACGTTAGTGGCTGCAACTCTGCGCAACTCTGCTGGATAGTTATCGCCGGAACAGTGGACGAGGCAACAGTCACTTAGCATTTTCGTAGGGGGTCCCCCCACGCGGGGCAAGTCACCCCCAAAGAGAACATATGGGGGAGAAGTGAAGTGAAATGTATATGAACGCAGAACACGAACTGGAAAAATAGAGTGAAAGAAGCAAAGCGTGAATCTGTCCCGTTACTCAGTGAGAATAACTACCACGTTCTTTCCCCCCTATTCACTGGCCACCTGGCACAGCTGGCGCATATAAAGCCTGGCACAACACCCCGCTAAATTTACAGCGCCTCTTGCATCACTGGCGCCCCTCCGCACGTTTTTTTTCTTTCTCATTTCCTTATCAACCACCACCCACTTCAGCTTTAGAGCCGCCTCCCTTCCTCCGCCACAGACTCTCTCTCTTATTCTTTTTTATTTACTTCATCATTTATTTTACCTGTGACCTTTCAACTACTCTACGAGGCCATCATTATTCGCTACGTAGTGCGCTTACCTCGCCCTATTCACGAACTCACTACGGTCGATTGCACCGGCGCCGATAACCGAACCCGATTTCCTACAGCGCTCTTCAGCGTACCCTGGCGCCGCTCCCACAGTGGTCACCTGGTCCATCAGCTGTGCACTTGTCCAGTTACGAGCCAGCTGCAATTGATTGCGGCTCGCCATGCACGCTCAGTTGTCTTTTCTGGTAAGTTTTCATATTTTACATTCTCTATAGCTTCACTCCCTTCTTGCTCTTCCCTTTTTTTCTTTTTTTTCGTCCGGTGCCGTCACCAGCTACTCTCCTTTGACCCACTGCATCGCGCCGGGCTCCGACAACGGCCCGCCTATGATGACCATGGCGGACATGAGTCGGAGTCAAGCTCGGAAACCTGCGGGTGTAGCTTGCTGCAGTCAGAACGCTAGTTTGATGTCCTAATCTCTGCTGGGACCCAGAAAATTAGTCAATTGAGCTAACAATAGACTCTCAATTAGGATGGCACCTTTAGCTTGATCCACATACCACTCGACTTATACCCGACTCTGTTACAGCCTATACTCCGCGTCCTACTCCCACAGAAACAGTCTCTCGACACACCAAAGACCTGCCCGGAGGATGAAATTGGAGGTCTGACGGCAGACGAATTCCAGCATGTCTTTCTCAACATCAGTATCACGCCAATCGAATGCTCCGTAGTCTGCCACAGTTCTTGGGCGACACATGTTTTCCAGCCCTTGATCGATAAGCTACCTAAAGATCAGGCCGAGTCTATATCGATATCTACAGACACATACATGGTTCTTAGCGTCATTAGTGCTGGGCTGGATGCTGCTGGGCGTGTTATGGAGTTGAGCTCTCCGCTGGCGCTGGCTGGTGTGCCCATCTTCTTCATCACCACCTATTATTCCGACTTCATCCTCGTTCCTACAAAGGAGCGTGAGACAGTCGTGGAAGCTCTATCAACCAAGGGATTTCAATTGTCAGATCAGAACAACTTCATCAACCCTTCCGCGTATTCTTACGGAAGCACTCCCGCGGACACATCCCCTCCAGGTACGCCTCGACCGTCCAACGTCACCGAGCTCCAAGACCGAGCTTTTGAGCTGTTGCAAAAACGCAACGTAAAACCATATGTTGCAGAGGGCCTTGAACTGGTACAATGTTCAGGCCGCGAGATCAGCCAACTTGCGGAATCCTTCATGCACCGCGCTTCCATAGGCCGCAAGAGCTCCGTTACCGAGACAGAGAAACCCACATGGATCGACGGTGTAGATCCAAAACTGTACACCAGACTAGTCTCTGCGCTTGTATCACAACCTCGATTTCTCTCCATAACGCTGGCTCAGGATGATCCTCCATCCATTTTGCTCGACAAAACCCTTCTACCCATGTTCGGCGATTCATTGATAGGAGACATGGATTCTAAACTAACGCCAATCTTCCTCGATCTAGTCAGTCTACCATTCGAAGTAACAGGCATCGTCTGCGGCGTGGCTGGTAGATTGGTCAACGAAATGCAAATGACAGAGACAGCCGAGCTTTGCTATCTCTCTACAGCTCGCGCTAGCGCGGTTATTTTGCCTGAGGAGCAGGCTATTAGAGCGAGAGGCATCTTGGAACCAATCTTCAACCAAAGCGCTGAAGTCACAGAAACAACACCTGCCACTGAATAAGAGCTGAGAATAATGGGAGTTTTAAGATGATGGACGTTGGATTTTCGGAAAAGTATTGCGAGACAGGACACTGGAACGGGTTTTACTTATGATAAGACGTCTGCATTTTTTTGTGTCTGCATTTCTTCTTGTGTACTTTTATGCATCTGAGCATCTCCCTTAACTTTTATGTTATGCGATTCGTATGAACAAGATTTATTTACATATTTTTAATCTTTCGTAACCTCTCCTCATTTGCCCTTCTTCTTCTCCTCCACCATCCCGGCATGAACAAATGCGTCTCTCGCAACTGTATTAATGACTGCAAATCTCTTCGGTCCCAGCTTCACACCGCCATACCATCGTGTAACTACCACCATCGCATCCCAAATATCCATAAGCTGCATTAAGTGAAGTAGCCGGCCGCCTGCGGCATCCTCTCCATCGTCATCGCAGTCCTGGTAACTCGAACTGCCGTCCCCACGAATGCGCCATGCCGTAATGTTATGGGTAGCAGTGCGTATTCGCTTATCTGAATGGAGGAGCTGTTCAACGTATAATTTGGCTTGCGCAGGTGATGTTACTGGCGCAACGTGTGCTATGAATGTTGACTTCATATCGACCAAGACTTCAGATAGCGTCCACGGCGGCGCAGGAAGAGACGACAGGTCAACGGCGTGTTCTTGCTCTTCGTTACTATTTGAAGAAATATGCTGCTCAGGTTCTTCTTGTTCTTTTTCGTCCTCCAATTTTCTGTTGAACTCCTCGACAGCATCGAACAGACAGACAAGCCCAGGCGAGAAGACTTCAGCCAGTGCTTCGCGAAATATCCGTAGGTCTCTGGCGCCAGCACCCCGTTCTCCCTTAGAGCTGTGATGTGTAGCGAGGGCCTCTGGAGGCTCCGAAGCCGGATATGTGTCCGGGAAACGTAGTTTTAGCGAAGAAGCCTCATCGCCAGGCAGCTGCAACACATAGATGGTATCGACGTCATCCTCGCTGCGCACCAGGCTCGAGTCGCCATAAATTGAATTGATGGCTTCTATCTCATCGAGAAGTTCATCCGCCATCCTGCCATGCCAGAGCGCGCGCGTGAGAAACTAAAATGTTTTCGTTGCGCCAGGATGGATGTAGGTTGCAATCTCTCGTCTCCAGTTTCTGGTAAAGTAATGATGCACGGTGGGGTCAACTTGTTCCGGTGACAAGCAGTCTCCATGGTTTACAGCAATAAACTAGTTTTAAAGTTATAAACTTAAAATTTGACGTTTAGAAGCAAAATATATTGATTTGACTTAGACGCACTGGAATATGCGCAAAATAAAAAACACCAACCGAATAACACGGCTTGTCATAAAATAACATGAAACGACAAAACGTCTATAGTCCGTTACAGTGTCTACACTTGTCGTCTCGAACCCACGCCGACTTCTTACATCTTACTCGTCCATAACAGCGGCGAACTTGTCCGTCATGGCTTGCTGGATAGCCTCGTACTGTGAAATAATTGTTAGCAAACTTGTATTGCAAAGGAGGACTGCAGGTGATCTTACCTTCTTGCTGACAACCTCTTGTCCATCTGATGGCAGCTCAAACTTCAACTGACGGAGCTGGTTTTGCAGATCAGCGGTAGTTTCGCGAACCTTGGACCAGCTTTGGCCTTGGGAAATAGCCTTTTGTGCCTCGTCATAGAATCCAACCATGAGCTTCATCATCCATTCAGTCTTCCAGATAGGACAGAACTGATCGTAGTCTGAGTAACCGTTTTGCTGCAAGAAGTCTTCCTTGATAAGAGCAGCAATGTCAAGGGTAATCTTGTCGGGGTCAGACAAGGCACTCTTACCCACGAGCTGGACGACCTGGTCAAGCTCGTCGGAGTCGGAAAGGAGCTGCTTGATACGATCACGCAACTTGGGGAAGTCGGCGTATTCCTTCTCGTAGTACTTGTCCAGGATGGTGGTATACTTGCTGTAGGAGATGTTGGTGTTAATCGATGGGAAATGCTTTCGCTGGGCAAGCTTCTTGTCCAAACCCCAGAATACCTGGACAATACCAAGAGTAGCCGTGCAAACAGGGTCAGAGAAATCACCGCCAGCAGGACTGACAGCGCCGACGATGCTGACACTGCCACGGCGGTCGGGGGAACCAAGAGCCTGGACGCGACCGGCTCGCTCGTAGAAAGAGGCGAGCTTGGCACCAAGGTAAGCAGGGAAACCTTGATCAGCGGGCATTTCTCCCAAGCGTCCAGACAATTCACGAAGAGCTTCGGCCCATCGAGAAGACGAGTCAGCCATCATAGCAACATCAAGACCCTGGTCACGGAAATATTCGGCAACAGTAATTCCGGTGTAGATGGAAGCCTCTCTGGCAGCGACGGGCATGTTCGAGGTATTGGCGATAAGGGTAGTTCGCTTCATGATGGGCTCCTTACGGCCGTCGACATCAATTGTAAGTTCGGGGAAATCCTTCAAGACTTCGGCCATTTCGTTACCGCGTTCACCACCTATACAATATTAGTATCTCGATATCTCTTTATCAAATATTGACAGTATACTTACAGCCGACGTAGACAATGACATCACTGTTGGAGAATTTGGAGACGGACTGGGAAATGACGGTCTTGCCGCAACCGAAAGCACCAGGAATGGCAATGGTACCGCCCTGAACACCAGGGAAGAGGGCATCCAAAACACGCTGACCGACGATGAAAGGCTCTTCAGCGACGAGCTTTTCGGTAGAAGGTCTAGGCACACGGACGGGCCAGCTCTGCATCATGGGGTATTCAGTCTTCTTGCCGTCGAATTCGACCTCAAGGATCTTTTCGGCCACAGTGTATTCACCCTTGGAGGCGATCTTTGTAATGGTACCGCGAGCGCGAGGAGGGAAGAGAATCTTGTGAACGGCAAGGAAGGAGTTTTCGAAAACGGTACCCCAAACGTCACCACCAGAAACATGGTCGCCAACCTTCATCGTGGGGGTAAAGTCCCATTTCTTGTTGCGATCGAGGGCAGGGACGGATATGCCGCGGGGAATGTAGATGCTCTGAGAAACGTTGCGGATATCTTCAAGAGGTCGCTGGATACCATCGTAAATACCGCTGAGAAGACCGGGGCCAAGCTCGACGGACAAAGGCTTGCCGGTTCGGCGGACAGGATCGCCAATTTTAACACCGGCTTTGCTTCAAGTTAGCCACGAATTTATAGACAGAAATGGATGCGTTCGTACCGGTTTCTTCGTAAACCTGGATGGTTGCATGGTCGCCGCTGATTCGAATGACCTCACCGCTGAGGTTGTCGTGGCCTACTGCGACCTGTTGGGCTGTTAGAGCTAGTCCGTCGGCAGTATCAGCGTATTTGCGTAGAAGGCACCTACCAATTCGTACATGGCAACACCAAGCATATCTTCGGCCACAATGACGGGACTATAGCGATGCTGTTAGTAAAATATCGCTTTCGCGGTTGGTTGTGCCATAGGCGCTGCCGCAGCCTTGGCGTCGAGGTGAACGAACCCAGAGATGGAGTAGATCTTGCCTGCAGCGTCAAATATTAGCAATTATTCATCGTTTCCATTATTAGCGATCGACTCGTTCTTACCATAGTGAACGGCATTGCCATCGGTATCGACAGCTGGCTATTTGTTGCATGCGGGTTAGCTCAACTGGCCTGTGGGGCACGGCGAAAAGAGGGCAGTTTTGCGTCGTCACCAGCTGAGAGACGCAGGGGTTCAGGACGTACAGGAGCCATCTTGGATCGTGAAGCAGCCGTAGGAGATGAGTTCGACGAAGCAGGAGGAGGTGTAGAAGCTGACGTCGGAGCCCGAGGAGGATGGTTGGAAGCGGGCGTTGAGGGTTGAGGTGGTGATGCGGGTGGAGAGTTGGGAGGAGGACCAGCTGCAGACGAGAGCTGGCTGGCAGTACCAAAAGGTGGGGCCGATGATGTAGCAGCTACAGCAGCACTGGCAACAGCTGCCTGGTCAGCTTTGTCGAAGGTGTCTTTTTCTTCTTCGCTCTGAATTTCTGCCGCGGAATTCGGCAATGAAACCGGCAACTTAGAGGCTGCAGGTGAGTTGAAGTAATCGACAGAGATTGGTGTAGGTGATGAAGATGGACCAGCAGACGTAGCGACGGATGCTGCGGCTAACGGGCTGGATGGCCTTGATGGGCTGGCAGAAGCTACCGAAGAGGATGCTGAAGATGAACTGGACAAGGATTTCGATCCGACCTGCAACCCGTCGCCTCTGCTTCGTACCAGATCTAAAAGAGACGAACGAGACCGGAGCCGAGGCCGCAGACCGACTTGCATACAAAAAGCTGTGGAGGCAAGGAATGAGAGAGGGCTTCTGCTATCAGAGGCCACACACTCAATCTTTGAAATGCAGAAAGGAGTTGTTCAATTGAGGCCTATACGAACTGAAACAGCGAACGGACAATGAAATGGCAGAAAATGAGACGATGCAAGCTATATGACGGAGTCAAAAATGGGGACGGTGGGATCGGTGAGGCTGGAGCACCCGTTGCTACTGTGCTGTACAGGGGTAACTCCAGTACTTAAAAGCGATTCGTCGCCTCCCACACAGGTATTCAATCGGCCCTTATCAAGTTAAACAAGCTCCGACGCATTGGCAAGCGATCTGTGCTATGGTAATAAAGGTAGGATATATCTTTGAGTTTCCTCTTCCATTGGTCAATTGCTGTGGCAAAGCAAAGTCCTCATATGTTGAATCGCGCTGCTTGCTCGAAACCTCTTCTTTGCACAGCAAGACATGCCATAGCCAAATGGCATGCTTTCCGAGTTGGCTGATCGCGCCGCCTGCTGCATTCACATGTCTGTTCAATTCATTTTCGAAAAAGAAAAAAAAATATTACCCGAGGTGATCTTTAAAATACGCTAGGCACAGGTGGCCCCCAGATAGACAGTGCCTCCAGTCCGGCCTGCACCTCAGCAACCTCCGTGTCACAGTTCACCAAGTCGCCGTCAGCGTAATGTTCCTACACGATTGCTAGTTCAGTCAAGCTTGGATTTGATCTATTGCTGTGAGTATTACGCACCACAATAAATTTGCTTGGATCAAGCCAGTAGTCATACACCTGGCTGCCCAAAACATGCTGTACAGAATTTACTCCGTTAGCCACGTTATGCGACATCTGGACATTGGATGGAATCACTCACCCAGCCGACTCCCCAACACAGCTCATACCCCACTCAACACGTCCTTGTCGCGCACAGCGCTGGAAGGGTCGTTGTCTCGCTCCATGGGTTTCCCATCTGCGCTGGAATCGCTGCGTTGGTGCGCTTTCAGCCACCTCGCGAGTGCGCTCTTGGCTGTCTGGTCCATGTCATTACCGTCCTGTCGGAGCTGGTGTCATTTGCGGGACCCGAAGAGTCTCACAGCCAAGTCGGTTCCATAGATGAAGCTCTTGGTTGCGTTCCAGGTGCTAAAGGCATGGAACCGGCGCAAGAAAACGTTCATGCTAGCCTCGCTGCTGGTGTTGCTGTCGCCGTCGCTCTGGCGCGCTCGCAACAGCCTGTCCTGCTCGCCCCAGAGAACGTCGGTGACGATGTCAAGGGCTAGCAGACGGAAGATAACGACGCCGTCAACAAGCAATGAATCGTTACGCTCCAGGAGAGCCACAAAGTCGTCAATGTGCGACTCGAAACTTCCAATCAACGTCTCGAGGTTGCGATTCTGGAATATCAGAATCAGGTTGTTGCGCGAGGGCGACGCTGACTTGTAGTCGACAAATCCCAGCGTTGATGTCACGCCCTTCCAGCTGCCCATGGAGCTGTAAAATGACGTCTTGATGGATGTCCTATCGTATATCACTTTCATAGCTGCCTCGTCGGTCGTGTGAATCTGATCAGGAGCAATCACGACGACCCTGCCATACCGTTCAAGCAGGTCCGTCACAAATTCCGTCCGCCGCCGCTTGAAAGTTGCATACTTTAGCGGAAGGCTGGTGATACGAGCACACCATGGACCAGGAATGCGGCGAATGGGTGAAAGAATAAACGGGTAAATTATCTAAACGGCAGATTAGCAATCTTTCATCATGTCGTCAAGCAAGCAGATGGGTCGCAGCCTAAAAAGAAAATCACACACGGACTTACAACTTTGTGCAGAATAATGATCCCAGCTAATACAGCCACGATGCTGGATACATTGTATCTTGATCAATTGGTGATGAGAGCCATCCTTCTTGCAATCAGGGTTGGCGCAAACGAAGTATAATAAACAGACGTCGAGGAGCAGGAGTAATGGAGTTGCTGATTATGTGTTGCGTCTCTACTGGAGCTAGTGACACAGCTGTTGAAGCGTCATATTTATTCAAACCATAACTGCAAGGAAATAGGCGGAGGAGGGCTGGACCCCAGATGTCTAATGCGTACATCCCGAAATCCTGGGGAATTAGCTTCTTTTTGCAAACCACCAATATCCCAGTCTTTCTGATGTGTGTGGAGGGCGATGCCTACGGCTAAAGTGGTTCCGACGTGTGCTACGGCGGAATATACTGTAGTAGACCTAAACGACAAGGAATATACTGTACGATCTCAATGGATATTGTAATACAATACAGCAATCCACTAGCAGTTCAACTATGCCCTTGGGACAAAGCTACTAGACACCCAAGCACTATCCTGTAGAAATCGAGGCAGACATGTTGGATATTCCTGTGCTTGTGATTTGGGCTGGTCCATCTGGCGCCACGACAGCCCTGCTCTTAGGCAACGAAGGAATACCTTGCTTGGTGATATCCAATCATAGATCGCCAGCCAACACGCCGAGAGCGCACATCTTCAACCAGCGAGCGATGGAAGTGCTGCGCGACGCTGGTATACAGCCCGCTATAGTGGACATCGCTACTCCAGCATCAGGTATGCCTCTCACGCACTACTAGATTAAATACACGCCATGACATACATAGTATCCGTCTCTGTACAACAGAAGCATCTCTAACGCGGCATGTAGAAATGCAGCATACTTCTTGGCTCGATAAGCTCAACGGCAACGAATTTGGCCGAGTATGGGCGTGGGGGAACAACCTCGACCAGCTAGGAGACTATGTCAAAGCCAGCCCTTGTGAGATGTCTGACATTCCGCAGAGTCGGCCGGAGCCCGTGCTCATCGCTGAGGCTACTCGAAGAGGAGCAGAATTTCGCTTCTATACCGAGTTTGTGAGCTTGGTACACGACGACCTAGGCGTCAGCGTGACTCTCAGGAGCAGGGAGACGCATGAAGAGTATGTCGTTAGGTGCCGATACCTGATTGGTGCCGATGGAGCACGCAGGGCAGTGCTCGATGCTTGTGGTATACACGTCGTGGGCAAGCAGATCAATACTGCCTTCAACGTGCACATCAAAGCCGAGCTTGATAAATACATTGCGCATCGGCCAGGAAGTCTAAACTGGTTCTTAACACAGAGGCGCCGAGCTGGTCGGCGGTGGGAAACTTTCGCATGGCGCACCGGTGGGATGAGTTTGTCGTGTCCATGCACCCGGCCAGCAAAGATTCGACTACCTTTTCCCCCAGCCGGGCCGAGCTGCTCGAGAGGCTTCACCAGATGATTGGCGACGCTACCGTACCGGTAGAGATCCTTTCCCACTTTACGTGGACCATTAATGATCAAGTTGCCGAGACGTGGCAGCAAGGCCGGGTTCTGTGCATTGGCGACGCGACGCATCGCCATCCGCCCATCAATGGGCTGGGAAGCAACACGTGCATATCGGATGCTTTAAACCTGGCCTGGAAGCTTGCGTACGTGCTCCAAGGCTGCGCAAGTCCATCGCTGCTGGATTCACTGACGCCGGAGCGCAAGCCGGTAGGGGATGGCGTCGTGCGGCGCGTAAACGAGGGCATGGAAGCGCACCGCAGGCTCTGGGACATCCTTGGAACGACGAAAGCGTCATGCGAGGAAGCCGAGCTTCTGCTGCGCCAGCATAGCGCTCAGGGAAGAATGAAGCGCCAGGAGCTGAAGAGAGCGCTAGAGGCTACCGAGGACGAAGTTCAGGCCTTGGGCATCCAGATGAACCACGTGTACTTGGGCATACCTGGGGCCGTGTGCTTGGTCGAGCCCGGCGACGCCAGACCCGACTTCTCCTCGATCAACACTCTCTGCCGGCAGCTCATTACTACATTCCCGGGCTACCACGTTCCGCACGTTTGGATCGCCAAGGAAGCGCTGTCCACCAGAGTTTCCGTGCTAGATCTATGGCAAGGGCAACTTTACACTCCTGACCGGCATCGGAGGCAAACCGTGGAGGGAAGCTGTCAACGCCGTCTTGCGTGAGAGAGGGGATGTGATCAATATTCATTCCATCGGTATCAGATGTGACTACATTGACTGCTACGGCGACTGGGGTTCTCTACGAGAGGTCGACGATGATGGCGCCATTCTTGTTCGCCCAGATCACTCTGTGGCTTGGAGAAGTATCAAAGCTAGCCCCAAAGCCGAGGAGAAGCTATTTGATGCATTCAAGCGTTTACTCGGAAAATAACAATAGATTGTTCAGCTGTGCTACTTCTTCATGGAGTAAAGCCTTGTACATCCAAGAATTCAAAGTGGAGCATGATTATGTTCATCATGGTCTGTTCCAGTGTGTTTTCCCTACCGATGGAAATGACTGGTTATTTTGTTACTACTCTTTTTTTACATGTTCTTCCTCTTTTTGTGCCAATGGTTGGGGGCGAGCGTTTCGTCGGCTAAGGTGGTTGTATCTTCGACTAGTGTCTGGGGGTGGCGATGAACCCCGGATTTTACATCTTTAATCTAGCGCTCGGTTGGAAGCTGCAGGACGCTATCCATGGTTACCGATGGAAAAGTACATCGGAAGTTGTGTATTTAAGCTACACTATACGCCATCACCGTGGCATGCAGCTCTTTCATTTGAATGCACCACCTCTCCGGGTAGCTTCTGCACCTCTTAGGCTGTCTCTCACTCCTCAAGCTATATAATTACCTGTTGTTGTTTTTTATTACCTTTATTTCAGATCCACCACGTTATGGGAAAAGTTGCCTTTGTTGCCGGCGCCAACGGCATTACAGGCCCTTATATCTTGGAGCACCTGTGCAAGAACTCAGATGCCTCCGACTGGAGCGAGTTCATCGCGACGTCCTTCTCCTTGCTCAACATACTTGTCAAGGATGATCGCATCAAGTTCATCCTGCTCGACTTCACCAAGCCAGCGTCTGAGCTGATCGACGCTATGCGACCCGTGTGCGGCCGCGTGACGCACGCCTTCTTCTCGTCGTACCTGCATAATGACGACTTTGCAGAGCTCAACGTGGCCAACGCGCGTCTGTTTCAAAACTTCATCGATGCGCTGCTGGCTGTGGCACCCAACCTCGAGGCCTGCGTGCTACAGACGGGCGGCAAGCACTACAACGTGCACCTGGGACCGGTGCCTTCGCCGGCGCGTGAGGAAGATCCGCGCATCGAGACGTCCATGGGCAACTTTTACTTTGCGCAGGAGGACTACCTCATGGCCAAGCACAAGGAGTCGGGTGGTAAGTGGGGTTGGAACGTTATCCGGCCCGAGGCCATCATCGGTTGCACGGCAAAGCCCAGCGGCATGAACGAGGCCCTCACCGTCGCGCTGTACCTCTTAATCAGCAAGCACCTAGGCGCCGAAGCCGTTATGCCCACCAACCGATCTACTGGGAAGGGTACGACGACGTGTCCGACGCGCGCCTGGTCGCCGACATATCCGTCTGGGCGGCCACCACGCCGTCGGCTGGAAACGAGGCCTTCAATGTTGCCAACGGCGACACCATCTGCTGGCAGCACCTCTGGCCGCGTTTGGCCGCCTACGTTGGCGCCAAGGCTAGCTCTAACCAGGCCTTCACGAAGCCGCGCCCGAGCGTTGGCCAGACGCAGCTGGAAAAGAGCTTATACGAGTAGTCGGCCGATAAGAAGGCTGTCTGGGATCGCATATGCGACGACGCTGGCCTCCCCGGCGCCAAGGCCACCTTCAACGCCGTGAAGTGGCAGTTTCAAGATTGGGTCTTTCAGAGAGGCTGGTGTGCAACTGTTAGTATTAACAAGGCCCGCAAGTTTGGCTGGACGGGCCACATGGATTCGTTTGATTCCTTACTCAGAGCTTCGACAGGCTTGTGGAGTTGGGCCAGATTCCCCCGTTCAAATAATAGCAACGCATACTCTTTTTCATTTTACTACTTTTCACTTTGGTTAATCAACGCAAAAATTTCAAGACATACAGAACTAGAACGCTTTCCGGACAGTGAAAATAGTATAAAACAAAAAGCTGTCCTAGCGCCGCCTGCGGGACATCTCAATCGTATGCCTCGGGAGCAAGCTTGTAGCTAAAGTGAACCTCCTTATCATGTCCAATATGAGCTTCGCGTTGGTGAGCTTCTGCAAGTTGTGAATGAACTGGTTCGACTTTGACCACGAGATGTGGTCTCGTGTCAGCCATCCCTGCGGTGTTAGAGTGTCGTAATCCTCCTGCGTGATATACTGGTCCGATGTAAAGATCCAGGTTCCGCTCTTCTCCAAATTTACCTGCAAGACGCAGAGGCCCGGCGTGTGTCCTGGGCAATGATGAATGGTAAGGCTGCGGGCAAATTCGAGGTTGGCGCTGTGGAAAGGCTGCCAGTTGATATCAAACTGGAGGTACGTGGGCAAGTATAGGCCTGTGATGGAGGTTAAATGCCAATCCTTGCACATGACAAATCATCTGCAGCCCGGGTTTGTACATTTCTCACATACCAAGGTCTGTTTTGGTAGCTACGCTGTAGAATGCGTTCTTGATTTCCAGCTCGTGACAATACACGGGCTCGCCCGTGTTGCGAAAGTGCTCCAAGCCACCGGCGTGATCAAGATGAAGATGGCCGATGATGACGGCTTTGACGTCTGTAATGCTATTGCCTGTCTTGGCAATGGCCGCATAGAGCTCTTGATCCTCGGCATAGTCCCCACGAGCAAAGAGATCGACAAGCGGGTGTCCCCATACCTCGGGATCGTCCTTGCCTGCTCCCACCTCGAAGAGGATCAAGCCCTCGTCGGGATGGCTGATGAGAGCTGCCAGCATAGCCATGGAACGCCGCTTATTTCCGTCCTGTGGGTTGCTTGCTGTTGCTGCATTAGCTTAATCCGTCCCTCTTTCTGTTAGCATAGTGGGTGCTTACAAGGCTAGTATCATGTTGCCAAGTTAGACAATGCAATGCGCACTTACACCGGTGATGAAGAAAGCCTCGTCAGCGACAGGGTTACCAATATGCAAGAGCCACATCTTGGTCTCCTATCGTTTTCGTATATTAGCTACCCACATAGCATATTCGTTTCCTTTCGGTCATTGCACAAACTGAGCCACGATAGAGTGCTTACCGGTGGTACCCGGTTAACTAAATGGATCGACATTTTGTACGGATGGGGCAGGGTTTGCTATGATGGCGATTGTATGTGAAATGCTTGGTTCGTAGTGGTAGTAGCAATTGCACCTTTATTTATTACCCCAATGACACGCTATTCTTCCGGGGGCGGCACCGGGAGCGGCACCGGGAGCTGCACCGGGAGCTCTCATTTCTATTCATTCGGATAGTCTGGTTTTGCCACCAAGCCGCCCAAATGGTAGTGTACGTTGCCCTGAGGAGCCGCCCAAGTTGCCGTTGCCCAAGTTTCTAATGTTCATTGAGTTGGGCTCTATAGCGGGAGCCATTGCCCATTTTGCTCAGTTTTCTTTGGGATTTTATTCTGTCCATCTATTGCCGCCACGGGCACAGATCTTTTAGACTCTCATGTAATGGGACATGCATTGCACTAACCAGCATCAAGAAAAACAGACTTGCCTCAAACCACGCATAGTGCTATGTATTGCTAGCTGCACTGCAAATATAGTCTGCTAACAAGACCGTTACTTTTTCAAACCACCCAACAACTCTGTGCTCGTCAACACCAAACCCGCTCTACTCTACATGCACGCCAATTATGCAACGCATAAAATACATCATCCCATCTATATACATCAAGTATTTCGTCAACTCACTGTTCGACTCACTCGTCCATCTGAAGATCATCAAGGCTGTTGATATCGTCCTCGAGGGTCGCACCAAGCTCGTTGAACTTGGCTTGCAAATAATCAAGCACGCTCTTGTCTTGAACCAAGCTGGCAAAGGCAGCCATACCAACCGAGGTGCCACACTCGTCATGCTTGCCGCTGTCGTCAGTCTCAGCGCCGCGTTTCGCAATATTGAAACCAGGCTTAGCAACAAAGCAGTTGTCTTGGCCGCGACCAGCACGAAGCTGGCAGATTTCGTTAGTTTTGCAGTCGCCAGTGCAGGAACCCGGCTGCCATCCACGGCTCTTGTGCGCAATGTAGGTGTCAAAGAGGGTTTGGTCTTGCTCAAACGCTACAGTGACATTGTGCCAAAAAGCGGGAGTCAGCTCGGCGTTGGCGTCAGTCACAGGAGGCTGCAGAACAGCACCGTAGGCCTCTTTAGCAGAGTAGTACTTCTTCCAAACAGGCCCTGTGGTCTGGAAGGCTGCGTCTGTCATGTCGGCAATGTAAGTAGTGCTGTCGAGGACACCAAACGTCACAGGATCAACGTCGTAAACGCGGAAAGAAGGCATGCCGGAAGTAGGTGTCAGCGAAGGGCAGATGTACGACATGGCCTTTGCATTGAAAAAGGTACGCTTGGAATAATCAGAGTACGAGATCTCGAAGTGATCGACATGAGTGTGTCCGAAAAACAGGGCGGCGATGGTGTTGGAATATCTGTTTACGATCTGGTCAAAGTAGTTGGAACCGTCACGGAAAGCGTCGCTGTCGCCCATGGGCATGTGGCCGATGATGTAGACGTTCTCACCAGCCTTTTCAGCGGCGTCAAGTTCCTTAACCAACCATGCGAGTTGGCCGTTGGGGTCCTGCTCCATGTTCTTTTGGTACAAGAAAAAGTTCAGCTTATAGTACATGTTGGTGTTTAGGGAAATGACCCGGATGTTGCGCTCAGGGTGTTTGACGGAGTATGCGCCAATCTTCTTGACGTTATCCGTCGCACTTGGACCCGTCCAACCAGACCAAAGGCCGGCAGCTAAGTTGTACAGCCATTGAGCGTTGTTTCCCATGGCATTGGTCATGAAGCCATTGACAGGGCTCTGCTCATGGTTACCGATTGTGCCATAGACAGTGCCCAGGTGGGTTTCCATCAAACCGTACGCATTGTTGACTGCCTTTGTTAGCTCTAGCTGTGGAGCATGAGGATATGGATGGCTTACTAGCTTCTGTGTTCGCAGGAATGGATGTATTCCAAATGGTGTGATCAACAATGTCACCAGTGAAGACATTGAAAGCAGCATCAGGAACGAGATCAGCAATCGCCTTGTACATGCTCTCCTCAAGGCTGAGGGGAGAGTCGCATTTGTGGTCACCGTTGGGGCCGGCGGGATTCTTAGTCACGCCTGGTGCATCATCCTTGGTGTAAGCTCTGCAGCAGATGGGCTTGTTGCACTGAGTATTGGATCCAGGTGTGTAGTGTTCATCAATGTGAATATCAGAGAAGTGAACAATCTTCAGTGGAGGCTGACCGCTTGGAGATGGCCTTCCGCCTGCAGGTTTGGGGGATGGGAAAGGAACCGACCACTGCGCAATACCGGGATCTGCGCAAAGTCCCAAAAGGGAGTTGCAGAAAAGCTTAGAGGTTCTGGAACCGAGCTTCATGTCTCTGATGGCCCTGGCAATGATTGGTCCTTCTAGGGCAACGGCACCGGTACAAATATCGGCGTCTTGTACCTGTGGAACAAATCAGTATATAATTCGTTGATTACAACCCTCACCATACCTTGGCAAGCTTGCAGATGTCTTGAACAACGCCCACGAAAGCACCATCGCCTAGGGCAGCGAGGCCTTTGAGAAGCAGGAGGATGCCCTGACAGCCTGTACAGGTGGCAGCATTCTTAATCTTGTTCCAAATATCATTGGCGAGCCCACGAGCCTGGATAGATCTCTCAATGGCCACCAAGTCGCGGGAAGTAAGCTGGTTTTCGTCAACATTCAAGGTAGCAGTTGCAACAGGCGTCACAGCCAGAAGAGGCAAAAGGCTAGCGACGCGCATTGTGGTAGAAGAAAAGAAGGTTGGCTACTTTGACTAACTCAATTGAACATTCACGTAGACTAGATTTCAACAGAGGCATCATCTGCTCTTATACAAACCGGCTGTAATCCTGGGGTCAAGCCACACCGGCAGGCTGCGACGCTACTGCAGCCAGTTCGGTCGCCCTTCGGGTCACTTGTCTCCCACCGCCAATACGGCGTAAACCGATTTTAGTTGACGTTAGTGCCGAGACAACTCTCCACTAGTGACAAGGGAACGGCTCTAGACAGCTGCTTACAGGGCACTGCCAGCTTTAGACCGAGAGATGTGGCTCTCTCAGATCGCTCGATTGCCTACTCTGGACACAATCAATGTACATGAAGGCAAACGCTTCCAGTATCCCAGCATACTAGTATCAGCCACGTGTGCAGACTATTGGATTCGCCATACGCAGACCGGGGCGCCCAGAAGCAAGACTCGACGAAATTAATCAACTCACTGTAGAGTACAGTACAAGCGAGGCGGGGAAAACGTCCCTAGAGGCACGAGTTCCGCTACAACTCGGAACGCGGTGGGCCTCCTGTCAGTACACCGGAAACCAACTGAAGTCAACTGAATCAGTGGCGATCCCTACCAAGATAAGGTGAGCGTGGCCAATGGCTTGCGAGCTATCCCCGCCCGTTGGCCTAATAAGATGAAGACGGGCTATAACAGCAGAGTTAGCTCCGAGAAACATGCAAACATTGCATGAACCCATCTGCACTAGCAATTTACAACCACTGCTTCACACGCTTGGCACTATGCGTGTTGACAAACTGCTGACTCCGGCAATTGACTTTTGACGAAGCATGCCACAAGGAAACGCCTCTAGATTGGTTGATCTAAGCCGCCTGGGCCACGATGCGGCAATTGCACGGCTGGGCCTATTGCGCGGTCCCCCACTAATCAAGCTCACTTTATTGAAGTCTTGGCTGCTGACAACTGTTTCGTGATCCGAGAAAAACAAACAAAACATTACATCTCTGGTAGGTCACCGACGAAAAGCGGGTTAGCAGGCTGGGGCTATGTAAACGAGATCCCAAAAGGCCCTCCGATCCTACTTTGTGACGCGGTGGGTGTTCAGCCGCAGCACCGGAGCATCGGCTCGCTCCGCAAAGCTGCAGTGCAGTCCCGAGGTCCCCTTTCCCATCTTAAGCACGTGGGGTTGGGCGTTTACGCGGAAATGAATGAAAAGTAAAGTTTTGATAGTATACATGGTTGTGCGGAGCTGCCTATGTACGTGAGAACTGTATATCCCCTGCCCAAACGTAGTCAGGGAACCAACAGACTTACACCGTTTTGCTAATAATACAATGTGGATCAACGCTAGATTGCACTCTATTGTGCTTGGTCCTCTACAGCCTTACTCTGGTCACTTGATTCCTGGGTATCTTTCTTCTTGTTAGACGGTGCGTTGGTAAGCGCCCACGGCTCATCTAGCCAAGCAACTTGCACCATCTTTTTGCCTTCTTCCTTGCGTCTTGCTTCACGGAACTTTCGTCCCTCGCGGGTTCTCGCCGGTAATTGGCCACGGAACATACGGTACCACTCGCGAGACTTTTGAGGGTTCTCATCGAGGATTGAGCGCCGTCGCTTGTTTACCTGCTTGTAGATTCTTTGTGCGCTTTCGTCTGCAAGCTCTGTAATGGCGTACTCAATGGCCCATCTGACGTTGTCGCCTCCCTCTGCACGTTCGACATATTTGCCATTGACCTTATTTCGAATCGTCACGTACATGCCCAAGATTTCCTTGTTCTCCTCTGTATTCTCAGCGCTCGCGGCTTCTTCACTGGCGTCCTCCACAGCTGTCTTGTCAGACGTTTCCTGTTCTTGGGGAACCTCTGTAGAAGATGACTGTCCCGTAAAGATGCGCTGTAGCTTATCCAAGTCGGCCTCCTTGTCGCTCATCGATTCGGCAACCTTGAGAATCAAAGTTGCCAGGGACTTATCAGCTTCAGACTGGCTCTCAGCTTGGGTCTCTTCAACCTTCTCGTTCTCAGTGGCCTCTTCTAGGTCTTGGCGTGCTGCATCGCGAAGATCTCGCGATTCTAGCGAGTACTTAGCCAGCGAGGTGGCAAGGTCATCTGAATACTTCTCGCGCTCCAGTTCCGTTTTCCCCTGGAAGAGGCCGCTCTTCTCGAGGGCATCCTGTACAGCCTCGCGTACTGATTTGATACCGAGCGATTCGCTTTCGACAGTTTCATCGACCTTGGCCATCATGTCTCCCCATGCGGCTTCATTTTGAATATCTTCCAGTAATTCGAACTCAGCATCAGAGACAGGCTCAGCCTGTTCTGTTTCTGTGGCTGATTCACTCTCCGCGCTCTCCGCTTCGTCGGATTCGACCGTTAGCTCAGCATTTTGTTGCTCCTCATTAATACTCTGAATGTCCTTGACTACATTCTCGGCAGACTCATTGCTCTTTTCTTGCATGCTTCTCATTTCTTCATCCGTGACGGGTTCGGCAAAGAAATACGTCAGGGGCACCTTTGTAGGTCTAGTTTCAACGCAAATTCGGAGTGTCTTGCCGGGGAAGCGCTCGGTTGCCTTGTCCATGAGTTCATTAAGAAGTTTTATACTTGCTTTGAACTCTTGGTCGCCTAGTCTTGTGTCTGCTGTGCCATGGAGGGCATAATCCATTTCCGCCAGGCTAATGTATTGGAAGCCGAATATCCTATGGGTGTCATGGAACGCCACAAAGACACCATCCATGCTACCCATGCGTACTTGTAACGAGTATTTTAAAAAGGCTGCACGGATAAGATCGTAGTATTCTCTTTCAAAAGAATCCCATTGACCATATCGCTCTCGGATCTCATATCCAACGCCCTTCTTATAGCCTTTGACGTCCATACGAATAGAAACAACAGCGCGGGTTTTCAGATCAAAAACGCCAGTGCCGGGAAGTCTGGGGTCGTAGGCATCTAGCTGGGATCGCATCATGAAGTCTCCTAATGTGCTGTAGTAGTATGGCTCTTCAGCATTCTTCTCCTCTTCTGTAAGCTGGTGTGATTTGCTTCTGCGATACTTTTCAAAGTCGTCTCGAGGCAGTGTAAGTAACTTTTCGAGGGATTTGCCTAATGTACTTAGAATGTTGGCCGAATCATGCTGCTTGTCTGCGTCAATGGCATAGACGCCGTTGTCCAAGTGAGCAAAAACTGCAGCAGGTGCTCGAAGGATTTGAGTGAAGTTTTTTGATTCAATCTCCAGCATTTTAGATAAGTTGTCCATGCGAGGCATGCGCCAGGCCGAAAAGAGGAAGTGAAAATGGCCAAGGACCGCAGTCAAACTCGATGTTGAACCACAGTACTTTTTGTTATGCGCTGCGGCCAGGTCCCTCAACTTGGTATCTTTGGATGATGTAATGTATTCCTTTAAAGCGTCGTAATCGAATTCTTCGACTGGCATGATTGTCGCGAGATACGGGTCGAAATTGTACACACGGGATCGGGGGTCTTGCATATGGTAGGCTCCTCCAGGGTTGAATAGCGTGCGGTCAAGCTTATGGCAGAGTCGGGGTGGTAGCTTTTTGTCGTCGGTAGGGACATGCTTGAGCTCAAGCTTTGCTGGCAAGATTTTGTGTACATGCAAGCCATCCGAGCCTTCAGACGCTTTGGCGCCCTTGGACTTGGATCGGGTGCCCTTTCCTTTGCCATTTTTGCCCCGTGTTCTTGTTGATGCTTTTGTATTCGCTTGGTTGCTGTCTGTACTTTTCGAGTTCGGCGACTCTACAGATTTGGGAGGTCGTGTAGTTCGATCGGAGGACGAGAGTGCGTCAGACAGGCTCTTCCATACCACGCCACCCTGCGGTTTGTTTTGGACATCGACCGACTCGTTCTCAGCTGCTTTCGAGTTTCCATTCGAAGAACCATTGTTCTCTCTAAGACATCGGGCTGTTTGTGCAAATTGTCGGCATTGGTGACGGGCAAGGGGACTCGGCGAGCCGCCTCGCAAACAAAGTGAAATGCGCTGCGACGGCGGCAGAGCCCAGTGACGAAACATGGCAAACGCAAGAGACTCGTTAACACAAGCCTTAATCACGCGTGCGTTTCCCGAAAAATGCCAATTGACTGGTTGATGGTGACCCTTTTTGGCGATTCAATCAAAGGTGGCGTCTAGCGGGCGCGTTTCATTTTAGGTACAATCGATAACGTTTTTCAATGGGCGGGCAGTGCAGCACGTGGTTTAGAGCTACCACTTCAACGAACGACATCTCCTCTTCCGACTTTAACATTCTCCCATATTCCTAAATTGTCCAACTCTGCGCCATTTTATCTAATAGCTTTATCGCAAGGGCTTATTGTTCACCGGTAAACTATGGGAGCCAGCGACTCCAAAATCGTCTTCAAGAGAGGCATCTTTCGCCTCTCTGAAGATCGCCACATAGCTGCAGACGACCCATACTGGACTTCAGTACGTAAGCTGCCAAATATCTCTACCTACGCGATATTAACACAGTTCTATAGTTTTGGGAGCTTCCAGAATCGTCTGAAGATGTATTTAGTCTTTTCTCTCCCGCCGATATCCGCCGAACTCGCGACCAGGCGATAGAGAACGTCGAGACGCTCATCTTGGCCATCACCTCTCGCCTCTTCAATCTCCGCCATCATCCTTCCTTCCCTGACGACGTGCTTGCCCCTGAACGAGACGCACTCAACTGTATTCGAATTCTTACAAGATTATTGCCATATCTATATGAAAAAGAACCCCTTGCTGCTTGGGAGGAGCGCTTCTTCTGGAGTGCTAGGCGACAGCGAACGCGCAAGTCAGCCATCGCAAGCGAAGTCCTCTTTGATGAGGGGCAGACAAAAGAAGATCTCGAAGCAAACAGCAAAGAGGAATTCGAGGATGCCCGTCCTCTTGCAGAAGAGCTGATTGATACACTCATCGACCTTTTGTTCTTCTCGGACTTCACATTGCCCAAACAACCGAGCGACAAACCAAAAGTGACGTATGCTATTTGGCAAAGTGGCGTAGGATGCCACACTGCTGTTGCTACGACGAAAGAGTTTGAGAGCAACAGATCTGAGATTATGCGGCTTTTGCTCACGCTTACTGGCCAGAGCATGTACATGGCACCAACTGTGCTACCATCCCGTGGCGTACGGAGTCTCACATACTTGTGTGCCAGTGCAGACAAGCAAGTTGTTCTATCGGTTCTGTGCTCTCTTCTGAATACTGTACGCCACTACATCACTATTAGACGTGAATGAACAATTGCTAACGTTGCTACAGACTCTCAAATTCCATCCAGCGACATGGCGAGTTCCCTACAACAGCCTTATTATCAAAGACACTAAGCAGCTTCTGGTGACACACTCGGCGCAACTACTTCTTTCCATGTTGCTTTATCCTATACCAGAGAGCACATCTGGAGCTACGCCAAAGAATGCCTATCGCCATTTCCTTGGTCGACTACATCGACCGCAAGACTTTCAGTTTATTTTGGAGGGCATGTCTAGAATTTTGACACAGCCTCTGCAAGACAAATCCTCGTACATACCTGGAACGCAAACCAATGCCATACTCGCTCCAGAAATGCTGATGCTCTTCTGGGAGACGGTACAATGTAATAAGCGATTTCGGTCGTTCATCATCGACACCGACAGAGCACATGACTTTGTCATCTTGGCATTATTCTATGCTTTGGAATATAAAAATGACGCTGCAAAGCAAGGCATAGTGCGCATGTGTGCCTTTATTCTCCAGACGTTGAGCGTGGAGAAGACGTTTGGCATCCATCTCAATAAGCAATTTCAACGCCAGGATAACCTACCAGCTTGCATTCGGATCAACGGTTTCACGGGTTCCTATGCTGATTTCCTGTTGCACTCCATTTACAATCTCATTACTACCAGCCAAGGAAGCGTTTCGTCAATATACCCGGCTTTGCTTGCAGTAATCAACAACATTGCGCCATATATCGAGGGACTCGGCGCTTCTGGTAGCTCGCAGTTGATGCACTTATTCTCGCGCATGTCCTCGCCTTCGTTTTTACTCGCAAACGATACCAACCACGCACTACTCAAGTCGCTCCTAGAGTCAATCAACGCGATTGTCGAACACAAGTACAAGGAAAACCCCCAACTTGTCCTTGCAATTCTTAAATCAAAGAAGAAGATTGAGGGTCTACGCCACTTTACACTAGAATCAGGTCTAGAAGAAATGGAGCGCCGCAACCGTCAGCGCAAAGAAGCAGGGAATGCCGATTCTACCGGGAATGATTCTACGAGAAGCTCCATTGAGCAGCGACGCAGCCCTACAACGGCAACCTCTGTCAGCGAAACTGCTCCAGATGATGAAACATTCGCTATTGGTGATGATGACGACAGCGATGATGAACCTCAACCTACACCAACAGCTTCCAGTACTGCTGACTCTGCGTCTCGCGCATCTTCAGCGACAGCAGGTGATGATGGCATGCCAGTACAGCTCCCAGGAATGTCTGAAAAGGCACGTGGCAAGATGCCTGCTGGAGCTCGAGCATTTTCTAGACAAAATAGCACAAGCAGCATAGGGTCGCATTCAGTTGGAGGCCAGAGTCAAGGTGGCGCCTTTCAACCCACTCCTCAGTGGCTTGATAGTTGGCTCCCAGAGCTTCCACTACACACACTCTTGAGTTTAACACAGCAGATTACGAGTCTTTTACCGAAACAAGCACAGGGCCGCGAACTGTCGCTATCAGAAACGCTCAAAAAGGTTGGCGAAATGGACATCGTCGGTATCGAGCGCACAACCATACGTGTGCAATCTTTTGAATGGACATCGCTCTCCCTAGCTTGGTACGAATCCTTGCTTTGGGCTGTTGTGTTTGCAGGAGAAATGCAAGTGTCTAAGGGAAGTCTCGGTATTTGGAACGGCACCGCTATCAAACTATTCCGTGTGCAAGAGACTGCTGCTGCCGGGCCCTCCTTGGCATCACCTCGTGGTGCTGTTGATGCTGTTGGAAGCAATATCGTCTCACGTATCGGCCAAATCAATCTTCGAGGCGGTCCACTCAATGCAGCCGGCGGTGCGAGACCCGGGCCAGGCTCACCATTAAGCGATCAATGAACAAGACTCTTATTTGCGTGTACAAACCGACAGTCAATACTTGCCTAGTAATTATTAGCATATGAGATAATGAATAACATAATGAATGAAAAACTGTTTCGTATTTCTCTTTTTTGTTACTTTATATTTTTCTCCATGTTTATTTCCATGCAATAATAGATCATTATACTCATCCATTGAATATAAGTTAGACGCAGCACGCTAGTTAGCGTGGGTGTAAGGTGGCCTGTGCGTCAACTTAACATGCCATCTGCCGCGCGCCACGCTAAGCTGCAACGACTCCCCTCAACCAAACCTAATTACTCCGGAGTTGCGAGTCTTCCCATCACCACCACATAGCCAGGCTTCGGCAAGAAGATGAGCTGAGCGGCTTGATATTTCTCTTTGTTGAATGAACGCGACAATTTGGACGACAGCAGCAATCGGCCGACCGGAATAACGGACATGGCGAACCGATACGGCGCACCCCCCGAGAGACAGGGCAACGGCTACGGCAATTTTGGCGCCCCCGCGGCCCAGGGCGACAGTCGTGATGCATTCAAAAAGGATGGCCTGAAGATAGACAAGTATGGTTCGCTTGGCGCAGGCCAAAGCAGGAACATGGTGCCGTCGGGTCGAGCACCACCACCAGCTCAGGCACGCGCAGGCGGGTCGGAGAGCAACGCAGAACGACAAATCACACAGGTCCTCGAGCATATCCGTGCTGATTGGCCGTCAATGTGCAACGATGAGGGTATTCCTGTGCAGTTGGCCCTGCAGCTTCTCGATACTAGCTCTGTTGGCCGTGCCCATGACTACCGCAAGTTTCAAAGCACGCATACGTACCTGCAAGACTCTCTCAAGAATATTGTACATGAACATCATCAGGGCTTCAACAGTTCTATAGGAACGTTCCACAAAATCCAAAGCAGCATCAACGTATCTCAGCGCCGAGTGCGTGCTTTGAAAGAGTCTCTTGCAGGGACAACGGCAAGCCTTTGCTCGACAGACCCCGAGCTGAAGAAGCTCTCTGAAACCTCCGAGGAATATGATGAGCTGCTCCAGACTCTACAAGAATTGGACGACCTGCGCGCGGTTCCTGATCAGCTTGAAGCACGCATTTCAGAAAAGCGGTTCTTGACAGCAGTCGAGGTTTTACAGACGGCTTTGCGAAAACTACGTAAACCTGAACTCGACGATATTGGTGCCTTAAACGACCTCCGAAACTACTTAACTAACCAAGAGACAGCACTAATGGATATCTTGGTCGAAGAGTTGCACGAACATCTATATCTCAAGTCACCATATTGTCAGGACAGATGGCAGAGCCTCTCTAAGACACAAGGAGCATACACTGAGATGTTTAGCGAAAACACTCTAGTTCCTTTTCACGAGATATTAGGATCTATGGACCTTGATAGATCAGTCACGGAAGATCCGATGAAGAATCCAGAGGCTGACACGTTCTACTACGTGAGCCTGTTGGTGGAGGCATTGAACAAGCTCGGACGATTGCAAAATGCAGTGGAAAACTTGAAGCAAAGAATGCCAGTTGAGCTGTTTGCAATTGTAAACGAAACAATCAATGAGATGGATCAAAAGCACCCTAGCTCGCTGCGTGGTGGGCTCACAAATACCGAGGGTCTAAACATTTACAGCACGCGAGAAACCCAGATGCGAACAGAAGTTATACATGACCTTCTTTGGACATTATACGGCAAATTCGAGGCCATTGGAGAAGGACACCGCGTCTTCCACGAGTCAATCAAAGCCCTCATTCGACGTGAGGGTGCAGGCAACAACAGTGCCTTGCTGGGCAGCTTTAAAGAACTTTGGAACCTGTACCAGAACGAAATCAGGTCCCTCTTGCACAATTACGTCACGACAGATGCAGATGTTTATCAATTCGATTCACCAAACCCTGGCTCTACGTTCAACGGGAAAAAAGACATGGTTCGCGAGAATCTTTTCAAGTTTGCGGAAGTGGACACACGTTCAGTTGACATTGTGACCGAGTACGATGCCTTGGAAGGTATCGTCCAGGCTACTGTGCCAGGCTTAACCAACGGTTCACGGAAGCCAAATGCCGATAGCAAGCGAAACAGGCTGGCACTGGAAGAGTCAAACATGAGACGCAATACAATGCTGGGTCTCCCAGGCTCGCGCTCAAATACAGGTTCCTATAAGAGCCTTGTTGAGCCTTCTGTATTCAACATGAGCTTGCTGCTCCCTCCTACACTTGTATTTCTCCAGCGATTAAAGGCCATTGTCCCCCCTGGATCCGACCTTGCAACCAGCACATTGACGACGTTCTTGGACAATTTCCTAGTAAACGTGTTCCAACCCCAACTGGACGAGACTTTGGCTAAGCTGAGCGATACCGTGCTGAGTGAGATGGACGCCTTTTCCGAGGATCCCAACTGGACACAGTTCTCTCGCCGACCTGTATTCAAAGGTACAACTGCATTTTTCCAAGTTGTGACAGCGTTCTGTCGCATGTTGGGTACAATTCCTCCAGATCAGGCACTCAGTGCGCTTATTGTAACGCAAATGACGCGGTACTATGACCGTTGTTTCTCGTGGTACAAGCTACTTGTGACAAAGACCCAAGAACAGACTTCAGACTCTAGCAATCTTCGCGCGTCATCACGGTTTGCCCTCCAGCCTGATGAGCTGCACGAGACTATGAAGCAGCTATGGCTCGCTGAGGAGACCGATTTCGATCTCCTGGAGAAGGAAGCACATCTGCTTATTGAGCATACCAGCACTTCTCGTCTAGAACCCAACGACATCATCCAAGATCGTGAGACAATATCATCCCTGTGTCTACTCTACACGAGTATGAAGTGGCTCTCGGCCAAGATTACTGAATTGCGATACATCACGCTCCATGAGACGGATTCGTCGCGACAGAGCTTGCCTAAGCAGAGCAACCGCCGATGGACATTTATGAATGACTTTACCAAGACAACCACGGAAGATGGGCCAGTGCGCCTGCCTCTTACCCAGGAAACAGTTCAGACATTTGATACCATTGTTACGTCGTACGAGGAGCTTGCCGGAACAGCTCTACTCAACTTACACATGGAGGTGCGCTGCCGTATAGTACACTCACTGCATAACTCGCTGTCACCCAACATTGCGCCATACCTTTTGGATCAAGAGGTGCGCCAACCTGACCCGCCAATTCTGGCTCTCAACCAGGAGCTTGTTGTCTTTGACGAGACAGCGGCTACATATCTGCGAGGCAAAGAAATCACGTTTATCCGTACTGGTCTGGGCATGTTGATCAACAACTATCTAATTGGCAAGGCTACCATGGCATCTCCCATGAACCAGAACGGTAGCGGGCGTATGCAGCTCAACATTCTTGTACTGCAGCAAAATCTCAAGAATGTCGAGGAGGGCGTGGATTTGGCACGAGCTGCAAACTACTTTGCGCTGTTTGACAATGGTGCTGATGCAGTCATTCTCAAAGCCAAGGCGGATCAAGGCAAGAGCATTGGCTCAGCGCAGCGAGAGTCGAATGTGTTTTCGTTTGAGGAGCTCAAGGGCCTGATTGAGCTGTGCTACAGCGAGCAGATGGCTGACTCGGAGCGCGGTATCGCGTCGGCAGCCAAGAAACAAATGGCTGGTAAGGTTGCCGAGCTACAAGAGCAAATGTCGTGAGTTGGGGGCTAGGCATCGGAGTTTCTGGTCATGTACGAGAGGTTATGAATGGATTTGTATGCTTAGATGATATCATGGTATAGCAATAGATGAGTCAATTATAAATATTGTGCTGAATAATTCGAATGTGTCTGTTGTTCGTTATTGAAGGTTGTTGGTTGTTTCTCCACGGGCTGAGCGGCAATCACGGGAACGACGGGAATGAATCGGGAATTGGCGCCCTACCCCAGATCGCAGGACCAGGCCGGCGGATGCCGCAAGTCTAGTTACCATACTACGTAATCTAAAGATGGACCTTATTTGGGGCTAGTTTTAGGGTATACTTTCCAGAATTGGTAACGCACGGAATAATTACTAATAAATCCATGTCGTGGATGTGGAATCGCGCGAGTCTTCGCTTCTTCGCTGTTTCGCGCTAAGACTTGCAGCGCGCCAACCACGAGCCCCATTCTGTAGGTGGACTCCGATTGCTCGAAAACTTGGATTTGTCAGTATCCAGCATTCAACCGCGTGGAGGAAGGATCTATTTTATATTCTAGTGGTCCAGCGTTGTCTGTTGCGATTTGTATCCATGTCGCAAAGGCTCTCTGTCAACTACCACTGAACCTATTCTTTCTACCGCTTGTCGTCATTACATCATACCACTACACAATCACCCTTGATAAGGATATGACTGAGCCCAACGTGCCCCCAGCAATGGCACATGAGGAGACAGACTTATCTCCAAGCGCTACAGAAGATATGGCTACACAAACACCGCCGAATTCGAAGAACCCTGCGAAGGGAAGCAGGGTTGAGCTGAGCCAATGGCTTGACGAAAAGTTCGACTGGTCGTGGTTTACCGCCACGCAGTCTACAGGAGGATTTGCTATTGCTCTGGCGGAATGTCCGAAGCAGTTTCACGGCTTACAGACTATTGGAACCATTGTCTTTGTGGCAAATCTCATTGTATTTCTATCTTTCAATGCACTGATGATTATACGGTTCTCGACTAATCCTGGGAGACTGCGGAGAAGCCTTACAGTAGCGCCAGAGTGTTTCTTCTTTGGGTCATACTGGTTGACGATTGCGGGCATCATAATGTGCATGCAGCGATATGGTGCGCCGCACGTTGGAGACTGGCTTTTGGTGGTTGTGAGGATTCTCTTTTGGACATATGCTGCAGTCACCTTTGTGTCGACATCGCTACATTTCGTTGTTGTTTTCGAGTACACCACGGTTTCAGCCATCGACATGAGCCCGGCGTGGTTTTTCCTTATCTTCAACTCGATGCTTACGGGTACAGTCGCCGCAAATATTGCACCAGCGCAACCGCCAGATCAGCGGTGGCCGATTATCATTGCTGGTGTTGCATACCAGGGGCTTGGCTGGCTAGTGAGCATGCTTATACTCAGCTGGTTCTTTGGAAGAATGATGGAAAAGGGCTGGCCCGAGCCAAGCATGACGCCCAGTCTGTTTATTACCATTGGAACGGCAGGCTACACAATTGTCGCTCTTATAGGGTTGGCGCAAGCCATTCCTAATAATCATGGCTACTTTGAAAAACATCCCATGGCACCGGAGATTCTCCGTATTGTTGCCACCTGGACTGGTATATTTATGTGGCTTTTCAACTTTTGGCTGTTTAGCATCGCGTTTCTGATAACAGTCGCCGGCTCTATAAGGCGCCAGGAAGGACGATGGGTATTTCCCATGTCATTTAATAATGGTTGGTGGGGTGAGTCAAATCAATCAAGATGTTATAGCTATCGTATGAAAATTAATCTTGCTGACTTTCTGTTGCAGCCATGATCTTCCCAAATGTTGGGTTTACGCTGGGTACCATATATATTGGAGAGGAGCTGGAAAGCAACGCCATTAAATGGGTTGGCGTTGGAATGATTTTAGTTCTAGCAGTCTTTTGGATGATGGATGTGTTCTTGATGTGCCGGGTAATGGCAAGAGCGGTGTTTCAGAAGTCACGGGTCGGGCCTTGATAGATTATCATTTCAGAATGCGTTGAGCTGTTCATAGTCGTATGTTGTTCGTGGATTGAGTGCACGGCCTGTTGTTTCAAGTCTCTGAACGCACCAACGCAGGTTAGCGCGGTCAGACGAACAGCAGCCTTGCCAGTAGGCCGGCGAATAGCACGGGCCCTAAAATTAGACACGGAGTATCGTTTCATCTGCACCACGCAAATCACCTGTGTTTGAAGCCAAGCGATAAAGTAGCGGCCGATGTCCTTAGTGCCGGAGCGTGTTCATGCGGCGACGATTCTACGCTGGGTGGCGTGTGGAGGGAGGGAGCTTTGTGCTGGCTGCCTCGTAAAACTCGCTTCGTCAACCTGTTTATTAAATGAAGCTGCACCGCCCTGTTAGAAGGCTTGGAGCATGTTGAAATTTCAACAGTGGGCTAAACGAACCAAAATTCTAGAGAGTCTGCCTCGTACTCCCTCTCCGGGCTTCAATCAGCGAGAGCCTGGTATGGCGTTCCCGTATGTAGGCCACCAGAGGCCTTTCCACAGGAACTCGATGCTGTGGCATCATGGGGTTGGAATGGGCAGCTGCACCAGCAATAGCATACGCCCAAAGCGCAGCTATTGGTGGTTGAACGTGGTCCATGCATGCAAGTGTTAGCGCCGTCCCCCCTCCGCACCGTCGAGACAATGCGCCGTTTTTTTTTGGTCGACGTCACCAAGAGTCGGGGCTTGATTGGCGATCCATGCAGCTAGCCTTGTTGTTTGCTTGGCTGGTTGCCTTTGGTTACTGGTGATGTGGCTGCATGAGATGCACGTCGTTTGACCACTGCCACGCCTGCTGCCATGGTTTTGGAGTGTTATTGTTTTTAGATTTTTTATTTCCCTGTATTTGTGTCGATTTGATGCTAGTCTGGTTTTTCCACTATTCATGAGCCACCCAACGAGCAGGACGTTAAAATAATCATGATTCACAAATCTGAGTCAAGATTGAATTTCCAATTGTCAGGCGTCAAGTGGCCGTGCGGTCGAGAGGGCACTGTACAGGTTGGCACGGTGCGATTCTCCGCTGCCGCCGGCCTGGCATTCTTGGACGCGCCAGCAGAATTGCCCCGCTCTTCCAAGGATATAGTGGACGGCAAGCACTAAAGCCACCTGCCACAGCAGGTATTGCACAGTGCCACATGGATGCTGCAGCGCACGGCGCCTACGCACTTGGCTTTTACTACACGGCCACCACGGGGCCCTCTCCGATGGTCTCTTGTAAGCAAAATAACGACGGAAGAAATAGAAGCATTAAAAATAAAGACAAAAAATCACAGTGTTACTACGGCTTACAGTGCTCATTGTCAAAACTCTAGCATTTTACTCATCCCTCAGAGACAATAGCCGAGGCGTCCACCGATTGTCCCGAGCAAAGACCCCCCTTCGGCCATGCCATTGTTTCGGGTGGCAGCGCCCTGTGCCTAGGCCCTGTGCAGCGGCGCTTCCCCCCTAACGTGGGTACCTGTACAGTGCCAGCCAGTGCCCGCTCTGGTGGCTGCCGCCTTCTGTAGCCAAGGAAAAACGTCTGACCTGACGCGACCGCGAAAGCCCCTTATTTCTCCCTCCCACCCAAGTAAACCCCCATCTTCTCTATCAACATCGTCAACGAATCCCCCTTCCCACAACTCGCCGGACGGAATCAACGATCTGCGTCGCCTTGCTGCCTCGCAGTCCCCTTTCTTCAAAATGGCGAATCCGTACGTCTTGGTCCGGTGTCTCGATGCTGCCAATGCGGCTAATGCGCATTCTGCGTCTGGCACACACCCTACGCCGCTGTTCCATCTTTGCTGACAGTTCTCCTTCTCCTTTATAGATTCAGTACTGCGTTCAAGTCATTTTGGCATACTATGACTAGCTATGATAGACGTGAGTGGTGTTGCCGAGTCGCCTGTGCTGCACTGGCCGAGACTCGTTGCTCTCTAGTTTGCTGGCGGCCTCTAACCCCGTTATCTACAGATTCTTCATTCGACTCTCCCCAACGATCAGGACGCCACGTCCCCCTTCGCAACGATAGAGATGGCATGTTAACCGGCGTTGCCACCGCCTCTGATTCGCGTGCAGATGTTAGCAACCCTTACTTTGACGAGAGCGGCCGAGCTTCCCCGATCCGACGAAACCACGGTACTGCAAGCCCCAACCCTGGCACATACTCGCCCGGCTCACGGTCGCTCTCGGCGCAGAGAGGCGACGGGTTCGAGACGCAAACTCCCGGAGATGTTCCCATGCAAGCGTTCCAAGATGGCCTGCCACCCCCACCGCCAATCCAACACTCGTGGGGAAGAATAGACAAATGGGCCGAGGAGAACTACCCCGAGCTTTTCGACCAGCTCGGTGAAGGAGCCACAGCCAACGATATGAACGAACTCGAGCATCAGCTTGATTGCACTCTCCCGCAAGATGTGCGCGATTCGCTGATGATTCACGATGGTCAGGAGCGAGGAGGCACGCCAACTGGTATCATTTTCGGATCAATGCTGATGGACTGTGAGGAAATCGTACAGGAGTGGGAGCAATGGAGACGGGTCAACGAGCAGTATCTCCTTGACGCCGCTGCCAATCGCCCTCCTCCACCTCCAGTTCGTGCCTCAACAAACGGCGCCGGCAGCAGCGAAGCGTCCTCCTCGAAGCAGCGACCTTCCTCTTCGTCTTCTTCGCAACACGACGAATGGCGACAGAACCTCCTCTCCAAACAGCAATGCGTTCCCCCAAATGCCGTAAAGAAGGCGTACGCCCACAACGCTTGGATTCCTCTCGTTCGTGATTGGGGAGGCAACAACCTTGCAGTAGACTTGTCCCCCGGTCCTGGTGGCAAATGGGGTCAGATTATCCTTTTTGGCCGCGACTACGACACAAAATACGTCATTGCGCGCTCCTGGTCTGCTTTCCTTGCCCTTGTTGCGGACGATCTGAACAGCGGCAAATGGTTTGTGGACGAAGAGACAAGCGAACTGAAGCTGCGTGAATTCAGAGACTCCCGCGTAGAGCCGCCCTACTTCAGCATTTTGAGATGGAGAATGGATCAAAAGTATGGCCGCCGTGGCCCGTCGAACAAGCGCAAGTCCGTAATGTCACCCAAGGCCGGTTCCCCCTTGGGATCTCGCTCGGCCTCGCCATACACGAAACCAGCCGATGCCAACGGTGACGCTCGCGGCCGCTCCATGCAGCGTCTCAGTCAATCATCGCCTCTGACGAGCCCCATGCGCCGCGGCTATAACAAAGCCCCTCTCAGTAAGGTTGCCGAAGAGGGTCTGTTGCCAGAGCTGCGCTCAGCAATCATTGAGCCCTCGAAGTTAGTCGAAGTCGAAACCCCGCGCGTCAGCGAAGATGACAAGGATGCGTCCCGTATTAGCTTATCCAGCCCCGGGGAGAACGATTTGCTCCGAAACGACAAGGAAAACGTCACCCCTAGGCCGAATGGAAAGAAGATTGGCAACGACGACGCCATGAAGACCATTGAAATCTAGGAGACCTCCAACGGCAACGGATACATTACCGATCCGCGGAACCCCTCGCCTCATGTACGCGGCTCGCGCGACTTACGCTACCCTCTATGACGGCATGACTTATTACTTGTTCTATTATTACTTTATCACGCTGGGTTGTTGTCTTTTTTATGCTTTTTTATGTTGCCATTGATTACAGGCACAGAGTATACATACATATCAAAATTCGGGCGTTTGGGGCGTCATGCAGACCATTTCTATGGAGATATGGGCTGCAGGAAATTAGAGCAGCATGAGAGTAGGATTGCTGGTATTTGCTTATGAATTTTTTGTTTCTTGTCTTCTTTTCCTCTTTTTGCAGCGACTCGAATAATATTTAGGAGAAGAATAGCCACTATTATTAGGTTGGAGCTGCCAGTTCTGGCGCGTCGAACTGAGAAGGTCTTTGCATCATCAGCTTGGATGCTATACTGGAACGGAGAGACTAGCTAGGCTCAACTAGTTCGCTTTGAAATCATAGAAACCAAGCAATCAGCCTTGTACCACCAATATATTTGTCCTCTACATATCACTGTGTTCAATATCTCAGGCTTGCCGCGACACAGGTCTTACACTTGGCTTGTCTGTGAAGGCCTCCAAAAGTATAAAGGGAGAAAGACACACATATCACCTAGATCCTCCAATTCTCATGAACGCATTTATAATAAACTGGTATAAATATATTGACTGAAAATTCACTGCATAAATATGCGTCCAAGATTAGACGCCATCATAAGTTATATATCGCACACCTGTGGGACTAAGTATATATATATATATACACCTGTAACACCGTTCCATTTACGCCGAAAAAGAAATAGAAAGCCATTTACTGGCGCTCGAGTCTCGCGCGGCGCATAGCACCAGGCTTACTAGCCAAGGGAAAGACGGGGAAGTCGCTAGAAAGGCCTTTGGTGCAGCCAACGCCGGTAGCGAGGGCCTGGACGACTGACCACTGGCCGCTGGCGCAGCGTTGGAAAGAGAGTCCGTCGACACAGTTCCACTGGCCTTCGTCAGTGCACTTTTGAGCCGCTGGAAAGCCAGCAGCAGGAGAATCGCCGGAGATGGGAGTTGGGGTAGGGGTGCTTGTGGGAGTGCCAGCTGCATCGTTGACGCTGTTCATTTCCATGTCTGATTCAGCAGTAGGAGCAGCTGGGGCGTCGGTAGCAAAGACGGCATCAGAGCCTTGAGTAGAGTCGTCAAGTTGAGGGGCAGCGGTAGCAACAGCAGCGTGGTGGCCGTCATCGGCAAAGAGCTCCTTGGGGCCACGGAGGGCAGCAGGGCCCTGGGTGCAAACAGCCTTGCTTGGGCTCCAGAACTTGGCAGTGACGCCGTTGAACTGGTCCACAAACTTGCCGGGGTTGGGGAACTTGACGTCGACGTTGGGAGGGACGCTGCACATCTCGTCGGCGGTGTCTTTGGCGTCCATCTTGATGTTGGCGATGAACATGTCGGGCAGAGACTGCCAGTAGGAATCAACGCCAGTGTTGCCGGTGACGGTGACGGGCGCGCAGTTCATGTACATCTCACGGTTGCCGACCTTGTTGAACCAGGTCCACGCGAGAGTGTAGTTGCCAGCAGCCAGCTTCTCGGGGATGTCAAAGTCGTAGGTGAATGGGACGGCCATGGTGGCGTCGCTTCCAAGGTTGCCCTTGGTGTTCTTGGCAGGGCACCCACCCTCGATGGACTTGATGACCTTCCAGACAGAGTTCTTGTCGGGGTGCAGGTCGGTCGTGACGGAGACTTGGCACGAGCCGCCGCCGTGGACGGAGCTGCCTTCAAAGGCGAGGTGCTGGGTGCTGCCTTGGGCGTAGATGTTGGAGGCGCCTTCAAGATCGTAGACGTCGGCTCTCTGCTTGCAGGGGAAGTCGGCGCCGTTGGCATCGAGGGGAGAGTTGTTCAGGGAAGCTTTGCCGTAGGGGACGGGGTTGGTCATGAGAACATGGGCGCTGGCCAGAGCGGCCATGCTAGAGACGGCGAGGATGTGGGAGAGCATGGTGGTAGTCTTTCCAGAAAACTTGGGGTATATGGAGTATCTTGTAGTGTATTCTTCGATCGTGCCAGACGACGAAGGGTTTGTAGAGTATGTGCAGCTAGCTTAACCAGGGGACTAAGCAGCGTAGATGGAGATTCAACTTGGCTATTCGCGTAGGTGTTAGATATTGCGTTGGGATACAGTTTCGTCACAGAGCTTTGGCTGCTATCCAACTGGAACTGGTTTGGTTCGTCCTCAAAAAACGATATTCCCAGTGATTGCAGTCCGAGATGGATGTAGGCAGCGTGCGAAGCAGATATATAGAAGATATGCTCTGCTACACCAGCTCGTTTGCATTTGATTCAACTTACAAGTCAAAGCTGTCAAGTGACCGTTTTTTCGTGTTCGTAGTATTCAACCGTTGAAGAAGAGAATCAGTTGATGTTGAGACTTGCAGGAGACGCTTGTCTAAGCAATGGTCTCATGAAGGGGAGGTGCGGGACAGATAAAGATATTTGGCAAATGCGCTAAGTGTACTATGTGCGTACAGAAAACAACGTCAGAGATGGGAGACTGGAAACCAAGAGGTTGGGAAACCGAGTAGGAAGCACATGGAGTCTTATGGTTCTCGTTCCAACCAGTGGCGACCTCACCAAGTTCTTGGGTGGGTGCGAGTCACGAAGAGAGCTGGCGAGTAACTGCGCCCATTGAGACCAGCTTTTTCGCATGTAAGTCAAAGGGCTGTGTTTCGGCACTTTGGCGGGGAGGCCGTCGGTGCCTTTGGAACGGAGCTATGGGCCTTGTCCATGGTTTGAGCGTAGAACAAATGGGCCTAGAGACATGCTGTGTGGCTCCTCTTCTCGCTGAAGGTGTTCGGATATGCCCTTGGAGCTAGTGGGTGGTGCGGATTCCTCGTCAGGCACGTAGGAATGTCTCACACCTTGTGCATGGGCAAAACGACCCGAGGCGGCGAACAGTAGGGCCACATCTTTTGCTAGAGAAGGGGGGGTCACGGTCCAGGTGGTGTTTGACCGCTGCCATCTTCAAGAATGCTTGAGCCCCAAGTCGCCTGCAGGCTTCAGGCCAACACTGCAGAACATATGCAGCCCTTGCAGTAGCGGGATCGATCGTACTCAAGCACAAGCCACACAGCGCGGGTGGAAGTTGAAAAACTTGCGGTTTTGTCGCAATAGCCAATTATGTGTAGAATCTATTTGATGGATAATCGATGGTCAGGTGCTGCCGAATAACCTTCCACAGAGCTTAATCGTATATTTTTTTTCTTAGCTCGTTCGGTAACAGCGCATCAAGGCTACCAGCATGTTGGTCTCCCTTAATCCTAGCGAGCATCCACCATCGCGCGCCCCCAGTCGCAGCAGGCTGGTAACATTCCAACGCCAGACTCGCCAGCTTGCCTCAGTAGTGGTCCGGTCGGAGGCGAGTGTCTTACGCTTTGTGAAAGGGGCCCATTCAGCTTGCTTTGTATCTTCTGCCAGGGCATTTCGCGCATGTGTTTGTCATTCAGGCCCGATTGTTCCTGGCGCTCCATTGCGCATCCAAGTTTGGCGGTTGAAAACGATCCTTACATGCCATATGCGTCAGACAAACCCGCCATGCTTGAAGCAAGCGCCGAGTTCCGAATGGACGAGATGACATCAGTCGCTGAGCGTCGAGTTGTGCCGCGTTGCCGCGCTGCCAGCCGCCTCTTTGTGACCGAGCACATACATCGTAGCTACCATCCAAATGCAACATGGTGTCGCACCGTCCCTTGCTTGTAAAAATCTAAGATCGGGTTGGTCAAGCCGCCTTGGTTTGCGCCGCTACGGCTGGCTGCCCCTCCCGCTCCAAGGCGGTTTGCTAACCCGCCAACTGACATTTTTTGTAGATTCCCAGCACCATGGGAGATTGACAAAGAAATAAAAGTCCGATATCTCACTCTGTCTTGGCGATCTATGAATCCCCATGTTATTTGCGGAGTAGCGTGACTTTTTACCATAAATAACACTATACTCTGCTTCAAGCAACTGCCGTTGTGTCCCGTCTTCTGTAGAGATGGTCTTGCGACATGTAGCTGGCCTGAGTCTAGTGTCTGTCTCCCAGTGACAGACAGTCTCAGAGCCGTGTCTATGTTGGCGCTGAAACGCCGTGATTCAGACTTTGTCGTGACTTTGAGAGGCCAACCCTTATTCTTTGGCCTTAGGCAGACGTGTACCGACCTTGGAAAATACTCTAGTGGATTTGTAGCGAAGCGAATTATTCGGCCAGATTTTTCAACACATCTACAGGCGGACCACGCTTCTGCCAATAGCGGCGTTTGACCAACCCCATTACCCTACATGCGTTTGACGCATCATGATCCAACACAGCTGCAAAGGTTTTTGTACTAAAATATTTGTCGTAACGTGAATAATATATTTGTTGTTATTATTTGCGCAATTGCTTTTTGGCATTTGTTGGTTACAGAGGCGTGAGTACTGAACCGTAGTATCACGACTAAACGTTGTGTAGAGTGTCTAGCATCCTGCAGACCAGTTCATGCGGCGCTGATATTGCTCCTATCAGTTAAGCTGAGACTGCGACATTTTCCCCTATAATAATGGTTATTACAAGTTTTTTCCCCAGTAAAATGCCATCTCAAAGTCCAGTCAAGCCATTGTAGTTACTTACGGTCGTTGAAAGTTAACTCATTGCGAGTCCAGAGCTTCAGTCTTTGCTCTCTAAACTCCTGGTAATCCCACTCTCTCTTCTCCAGATCCTTATGATTTAAGAAAATGTATACTGAAGTATCGCGAACCTCAGCTGCTGCGCTAGTGCTATTGTCATCAGATGCCAAAGTGACTTGCGCGGGCAAGCGTTCATATTCCGAGCCTTCAAACTCATCCAGCTTTTGCATGTTGGCGTCGGTGAGGCCGGTAGCATAGATACCAAGAACGGATTTGCCCGCTTCTGCTACTACGGCAGGGTAGTCCGCATACTTGACTCGATGACGGCAGTGCTCATAGAGGGTAGCAGGGGTGAAGGTATGCAAGTCCTTGATTGCCTGCGGCGGGTTGGTTACACCATAGCAAACGGTATAGAAGACCTCAGGGGCCATCTAAACCAGTTAAAACACATATGTAAGTTTAAACTTGTTAAGGAAGGGAATATAAGGGATTAGAAGTGCCATACCAGTGTGCCGTAGAAAAACGCTGTATGCTCGCCACTCATCGTGTTTAAATGCTAGCACTTGAACAGTTCGTATGCGTTGAAGAAGAGAATATAAATGACGGAAAGAGAATTGAGACACGAAGCCAATTATAAATTCGAGAAAATGGCAGCGAGTGGGAAAGTGTATATTAACGGTCCACGTGGTTTCGGTGTTGGTCTTCCGTTTTCCGATCACGCTGCGGGGGTTCAAGGTTGAAGTGTGGGGGGCACAAAATGTGGCTGTAGTCTTATGATGAATGGAGACAGTGTCGATGAATTATACAAAATCGGTAGAAGAAGCAAAGCTGTAAAAGTACGATATCCCAGTATTGTTCATCTGGTTAAGAAAGGTTGAACCATAATGAGCCGCCTGCAGGGTCGAGTCCGCGGCTACCAATCAGGGCGGAGCCTATGGCCACCGTACGGTGACTTTGCTTAACGCCACCACCCCGCTGCGTATGCAAACTTGATTTGGTAGTATAAAACGATTCGTTGGAGTACTTTATTTGAAATAGATACATAAATAATTTCAAAAAATCCTTTCAAAATACTTTACAGGTCTTCAACATAATCATATAATTTATGAATAATTTTTTTATATTTTCAAACTATATTCTATTTGTTGGAAAATAACGTGTCAATTCATGATTTGTAACATTACCTGGGGTGTTATAACAAATGCTGGATATTTATACAAATCCCCCCCTATTATCCCATTAGCTTTATAGCTTTCCAATGTAACCGATATTTACCGATTTGTAGTTTCCTTATAAACATACATAACACTCGATTAGGAGACTTCTGTTGTGGGATTGCCGTATTAGGAAACCGGTTCTTCATTGCTGGACAACCCCCGGCCGTTGCATGAAGAATATATATTCCGGTCAATTTGGAAAATATATACCTAGTAGATAACATCCGTCATTTGAATGATTCTAATAGCGAGTACAGTGAGCGAGTCGGAGGGGGACGAGGAGGTGGTGGTATTCAGCTGTGGCGGTTGTGCACGCTTGCTAGCTTTTCACGTTCTGCGATTCACGCCTTCCCCCGCAATATATATTACATCATATTATATTTCACCTTTCTTTTCTTTTTGTTCCTGTAAAACCTTTTATTAGCATCCACGTTACAGATCTAGCGATTCATTTTCATCTTGTGTGAAACAGCGGCATGACGACCCCTCTTCTTGGCTCATGCCACTGCGGCGCTACTAAATATGTGGTCTGGCTCACGCTTCCCAATACATTTGATGAATCCAACCCACCATCCGCAAACGACCAGCGCTTCTCGCGTTGCAACTGTACTACTTGTCACAAAACAGGCGCCTTTCATATCCGACCTGCCAATGTCAAGACAGACTTTCTCCTGCTCGCCCCTGCGGATCCGTACCTTGACCTAGGCGACTACCTCACCAGCGACAGGGAAATTCACTTTTTCTTTTGCAAAACTTGCGGTGTGAGATGTTTTTCATTTTGTGGCAAGTCAGAAACGACGGAGCTTGATCTGTGTGAGCTCAAGGTGCCAGGATATGACGTTCCCAACTTCCTGACCAAAGTCTGGAAGAGTACGGGTGAGAGTTACAACCCGGTATTTGGAGCATACGTATCTGTAAATGCGTATACCATCAATACAGATCAACCCGAATTTGACATGAGAGTGTTGACAGAGAAGAAGCAAGTTCGGTATATAGACATGCTACCTGAACCCGAGAAGGATGGGAAGCCCATCCGGTGGGATCGTCCTCACGCAGGAGGCTCGTATTGATTGCATTTAATCAAATTTTGAAAGTTTGAAGTCATAATTGTATTTGAATCCTATTCGCCATGTGACTATTACGTATTTTGCAATTTTTCTTATTGTCGAGATCATGCTCTATGTTTAACAAGTCGGTGAGTTCAGTTAAAGCTATTGTACAGCTCCTCCGCCTGCCAATCATTATCTAATCGCGTACTATCCACACACCCATTTTGGCGGGCGTGCCTGACTTAGCGCCGGAAAAAAGTTGTTACACCGCCTAGCGCCATTGGTTTTGGCGGCTCGAGGCCCCAGATTCGATCTTTCCTGCAATTTTCAACGCGAGAGCGTAGTAGCAGTCTGCTTAAGCTGCCAATATACACAACCACCAACACCACGGCCATCGATTCCTTTAGCGATACGACCCCCGACACGAGTATCGCGGCGCGTGACATCTTCTTCTTGTACTTGTTACTGCGTCTGTATTTTTCTTATCAGCGAATCGCCCGTTTTTTTTTTCTTTTCACGACGCTCGTCGCATTCGAGTCCCGACATCCCTTAACACGGCCCCTCGCGTGCGCCGTCGAATCATCACAGCACTCTCGCCCCCGAATGGAAGCAGTTTAGGCGTCTCTTTGACGCAGATAATGCAACAATGTCGGGAAACACGCTAGATGATGTCGTGAAGCGGCTTGGCGCTGCTGATACCGGTACGAAGGCTTCCCCCTCCATGGACACGTCTCGCTCCCACCAAGTGGGCAGACGCTTTGCTGTGCTTGTCGCAACCAATTGACGAAGCACGAGACTAACAAACAATTCATAGACCCCAAAATCAAAGCTGATACCGCAGCGACTTTGCGCGATAGCTTGGACCACTACACAACCGGTCCCACCTATGTGCCCTTTCTTAAGAAGGTAATGCCAGTCTTTATTGGCATCCTCAAAGGCCCATGCATCTTCCAGAGCAACTCGCAAGAACAGGTTCGTGAATAATTGTCAATTAGGTGATGAAGTGTTTTTTTATTCTAATACCATCAATCTAGCGATTGCGCAACTCCATCCTAGAGATTTTGCACCGTCTGCCGACCGCGCCAGCGCCCGCCGAACCTTTCGAGTCCTACGCCGACGAGACGGTCGATTTGTTGATGCAACTAGTTCGCAACGACAACGAAGACAATGCTACGCTATGCGTCAAGATCACTTCAGATATAATGCGCCATCAGCACAAAGTTCTGCAGCCCAAGGTACAGGCATTCCTGACGCTGATCCAAGAGCTCTTTGAGCAGATGGAGAAGATGGTCCGCGACCAATTGGATAATGGAGCCGCGACAGGCGCTGCACAGGCTGGAACACCATCAACACCAGCGAATTTGCAATCTCCCAGACCTGCCTCGCCCGTGGCGTCTGTCCCGGAACTCGGCGCCGAGCCCCAGCAACAGAACCGTGTCCTCCTCAAGGGCATGCAGTCGTTCAAGGTGCTTTCAGAATGTCCCATTATAGTCGTATCTATTTTCCAAGTATACCGACAATCCGTTCAAGAAAATGTGCGGTCCTTTGTACCTCTTATTAAGAGTGCCTTGGCCCTGCAAGCGAGCGCCCAGAAGCAGGCCCACGCTGATGCCGCAGCAAAGGGCAAGATTCATTCCGGCGTCAGCCCTGCTATCAAGAACAGAGCTGCCTTTGGCGAATTTATCACCGCTCAAGTTAAGACTATGAGCTTTCTCGCCTACTTGCTGCGCCAGTACAACTCTCAGCTTGCCGATTTCTTGACCCTTGTCCCAGACATTGTCGTCCGAATGTTACAAGACTGCCCCAAGGAAAAGTCTTCTACTCGAAAGGAACTTCTCATCGCCATGCGACACATGATCACCTATGGATGTAGAAAACACTTTTTGCCCAAGATTGACGAACTTCTCGACGAACGAACACTTATGGGCGACGGCCTCACCGTGCAAGAAACGATGCGACCCTTGGCATACAGCATGCTCGCCGATTTGATTCATCACGTCAGAGATTCTCTTAGTCCGGAACAGATCCGAAAGACGGTCGAGGTATACACAAAGAACCTGCAGGACAACTTTCCTGGCACAAGTTTCCAGACAATGAGCGCTAAGCTTCTGCTCAACATGGCAGAATGCATCGCCAAGTTGCCTAACAAGGTCGACGCAAGACACTATCTCATGATGATCCTGAATGCTATCGGTGATAAATTTGCAGCAATGAACCGCCAATACCCTAATGCGGTCAAGCTGTCCAAGATTTACCACCAGCAGCTCGAATCTGCTTCTACTGATGCCACTGCCGCAAACGCGGAACAGAAGCCAGATTGGGACGATACAGACATCTTCTCTGCAGTTCCGATAAAGACATCAAGCCCCCGTGACCGCGGGTCTGATCCTGTTGCCGACAACAAATTCTTATTTAGAAATCTGATGAACGGTCTTAAAAACACCTTTTATCAGCTCAGAACCTGCAACACAGGCACACCTGTCGATCCCCAAAACGCACCAGCTCACTGGCAAGATGTGTCATACGGATTCTCGGCTGAAGAAGTCAACATTATTATTAAGCTGTTCCGCGAAGGCGCTTACGTCTTCCGATACTACGAGATTGAAAAGCCGACGACCGAATCACCGTACCAGTCTCCTGTAGAATACATGGCCAACTTCTACATGGTATCAAGCAGCAAAGAGGAAAAGGACTTGCTCGAGACGTTTGCTACCGTCTTTCACTGCGTCGACCCCGCCACATTCCACGAAGTCTTCCAACAAGAAATCCCAAAGCTTTATGACATGATTTTTGAACACACTACACTCTTACACATCCCCCAATTCTTCTTAGCTAGCGAAGCGACATCCCCGAGCTTCTGCGGCATGCTCTTGGAATTTCTCATGGAACACATTCACGAGGTTGGCTCTGCTGACATCAAGAAGTCATCAATTTTGATTAGACTCTTCAAGCTGGCATTCATGGCCGTGACACTTTTTTCTAACCAGAACGAGCAGGTTTTGCTGCCACATGTTGTCAATATCGTCACGAAGTCTATTGAACTATCGACAAAAGCGGAAGAGCCAATCAACTACTTCCTGCTCCTTCGAGCCCTCTTCCGCAGCATTGGAGGTGGCAAGTTTGAGCAGCTCTACAAACAGATTTTGCCTCTGCTTGAGATGCTCCTCGATGTACTCAACAATTTGCTGCTGGCGGCACGAAAGCCCTCGGATCGTGACTTATACGTCGAACTCTGCTTGACAGTCCCAGCACGTCTAAGCCATCTTCTTCCTCACCTCAACTTCCTCATGCGACCTCTTGTCGTTGCTTTACGAGCCGGAACAGACTTGGTCGGCCAAGGCCTGCGCACACTAGAGCTTTGCGTTGATAACTTGACCGCCGATTATCTTGATCCTATCATGGCTCCTGTAATCGACGAGCTAATGACTGCCTTGTTCGACCATCTCCGCCCACATCCATACAACCACTTCCATGCGCATACAACCATGCGAATCCTTGGCAAACTTGGTGGCAGAAACCGCAAATTTATGACCGGCGCAGTCCCGCTTACATATCAGAGCTTTGCTGACGACCCTTCAAGCTTCGATATGCGGTTGATAGGATCGAGAAGAGACAGAGCATTCCCCGCTGATCTCGGTATTGACATGTCTGTTCAGAAGCTCATGGAAGGCCCTCCAAAGTCAGGCAAGAATGGACAGTTGAAGCACAGCGAAGATTATTATAAAAAGCAGGCTCTGCATTTCATCAAGACACAGCTTAAGCTTCGCATTGGCTACGATCAACTACCCGACGACTTTGCTAGAGTCGTCAGGCTCCAAGCTGAAGATCTCTTAACTCGCAAGGCTGATATCAATATCGCGCCGTTTGAGGTTTCCAGCCGAGACAAGTCTATCCCGAAGAAGGATGAGCAGGACCAAATCACGAAGAAACTCCTGAAAGCCATTATGTTTGCTCATTCGATCCCAGATTTCAAGGATGAGGCCTCAAAGTTTATGCAAGATGTTGCGAGACATTTTGCCCTCATTGAGGTTGGACGCTCTCTTGTGGACTTGAAGCGCAACACCAGTCCTTTTGACCCCAATGCTGGTGAAGGTCCGCTATACATTGACACTCGTATCCTCCCGGATGCTATTGTTGAATCACTAGCGTCAGACCACCCGGACGTTCGAGAGGCGGCTCAAGCTGTGATCTTGCAACTGTTCCAGAGCACTACTACCATATTTGGGTCAAACGCAAACGTTGGGCGTCTGCCACTGTTCAACCATCTCTCTAGCACATTCTGCCATAGCTGCTATGAAGAAGAGTGGTTCACTAAGCGTGGCGGAAGTCTCGGAATTAATTTCCTGTTGACGGAGCTCGATTTTGGCGACGCTTGGGTGTCGTCGAAACAGATTGAATTTGTTCGCGCTCTTATGTATGTCATCAAAGACATGCCCGAAGATCTGCCTGAGAAGACACGCTCCCTGGCCCAGTCAAGTCTTGAGGTGCTGCTTAACCGCGTTACTAAGAGTATTAAGAAGGAGGATGCTCTGCCTCCTCAGCCTCAACAGCAAGGCCAGCCTCCTGCAAAGCCCAATCGACTGGCTCAAATCTGCATGGCTTTGAACAGTGAGCTTTTCCACATGAATAAGTTTGTGCGTGAGACTGCGCGAACCTCGCTCGAGCTCATCGCCAAGCGTGCTACATGTGAGGTTTGGGAACTGGTTGAGCCGTATAAGGACAGATTTTTGCAGCCGATCTACGCTAAGCCGCTCCGTGCTCTGCCCTTCGCTATCCAGATTGGCTACATCAATGCCATGACATACTACATGACGCTCAAGACTGACTGGGTCAAGTTTGATGACAACCTCCACCGTCTTTTGATGGAGTCACTTGCTCTTGCAGATGCTAGCGATGAATCTCTCGCCAATAAGCCAGCCGAATATCGCACTCACGAATACATTGTCAACTTGCGAGTCTCGTGTATCAAACTGCTCAGCACGGCAATGTCATTCGAGGAATTTTCCAACGCACAAACAAAGGCCAAGATTTTGACCGTTTTCTTCAAGTGCCTGTACTCCGAGTCCAAGCCCATTGTGGAAGCCGCCAACGATGCCCTGAAGCAAGTCCTCGCCGTTGATAAGAGACTGCCTAAGGATCTTCTACAAAGCGGGCTGCGACCAGTACTGTCTAGTCTTTCTGACCCTAAACGCTTGAGCGTCCATGGCTTGGATAACCTTTCAAGACTGTTGAAGCTACTTACGAGTTACTTCAAGGTGGAGATTGGTGTACGATTGCTTGACCAGATTGAGTCTATCGTTGAACCTAACGGCTGGCAACAAATCTCCTTCACTTTCTTCGAGCAGAACCCGCAGATGAAGGTCATCGCTGCCATTTTCAATATTTTCCATCTCCTCCCTACACCCGCCGAAGCCTTCAAAGATCGCCTGATTGATTGCTTTTTGGGCTTGGAAGAACGCCTTCGTCGCACACAGCGCAGCCCCTTCAGAGCTCCCATGTACCTGTTTTTGAACCGATATCCCAAGGAAGTATGGACTTTCTTGCTAAGCAAATTGGATGAGCTCAAGTACGGCCGATTGCTGGCGCAAGTGCTTGATGATTCTGAGAGCGGCCCTCTCCGCGAAGTTGCAATCGAGGATCTAGAGGCACTCAAGACGAAATGCAATGAACTTGTTGCTCAGAACAACGAGAAGAAGTTCATTGCGATTATCAACACAGTTTCAGTTCTGCGCTCGTTGAGCCACTACCAGGAGTCGTGCAGTTGGCTGGACAAGAAGGAGAATATTTCTTGGCTCAAGGGCGTCGGCAAAGAACTCGAGGGTCATCTACGCAACTACACGTGCCCTGCGAACCTGCGCCTCGCCGCATTCCAGGCTGCTGAGCAGCTGATGGATATTTTGATCAAGTCCTTAGAAAGATCACCCAAGGATCTCGACGCTCTTTGGAGCTTGGTCGAATCTGTTACGGCGGATGAGCTTCGCACGACACACTCCTTGTTCACCTTCCTCTACAAGCATGTCATTAGCAGCGACTCTGTGGAGTTCTGCAAGCAAGCCTTCTTGAAATGTCTTGATTCGTACTCTCTGCGAACAGTGTCCAACAAGACCAAACATTTCCTGCTTCATTATATCCTGAACCCCATTGTGGCAATGGATGTTATGCGCAATTGGGATAACTTGTCCAAGCCCAAGACCCCTACACTCATGGACAAGGCATCAATTGACGCCGTCAGCAGCAAGATCTGGCGCCATCAGTTTGACCTCTCTCATGATGATGCGTCACAAATCGGTATTGATCAAGTTCGTTTCGAAGTGCTGCAGCTTTCCGCCATGGTTGTGAAATACTACCATGCGTCAGTGCAAGACTCGCGCAAGGATATCATCAAGTTTGGTTGGACGTTTATCCGATTGGATGATATTATCAACAAGAACGCGGCCTATGTTGTAATCGGCCACTTCATCGTCCACTTCGACACTCCAGCCAAGATTGTTTCCCAAGTCTATTTGTCGTTGCTCAAATCCAGCCAGACCGAGGGTCGCGCTCTGGTTACGCAGGCATTAGAACTGATTGCCCCTCTGCTTCCGTTGAGATGCACTGGCGGAGTCATCGAACGAAACGCAGGTTGGGTCCTGGCACCTCGCCGTGTGCTCTCCGAAGAAGGTCAGAACGTCCAACAGATTACCGCCATCTTCCAGTTCCTGGTCAAGCATCCGGATCTGTTCTTCGACTCCAGAGATAAATACGCGGCATTCACAATCACAGCTCTTCGCAAAGTTGCAGCGCCACCCAGCTCGTCGTATGACAGTAAGAAGCTGGCCCTTAACATGATGTGGATGATCTGGACTTGGGAAGAGTGGCGAGTCGCTGGTACGAACCCTTGGGGCAGCAAAGAAGTCACAGCCGACTCACCAGCTTCTAAAAAGAGAAAGCTCGATGCAGAGCAGTCTGTCGATTCGTCACCAGCAGCGAAGCCTTCCGAGAGAAACGAGTACCAGATTCCCGCTGTATTCAAGCAAAAGATGCTCAAGTATCTCGTGGAATTCATTGCGCAACTGAACGAACGATACCAGCTTCCATCCGCAAAGCCAAAGGAAACAACTGTAGCAGCGTTGCCTGTCGCCACACAGAGTACGGAGCTTTGCAAGAAGGCAATGTCTCTACTCTACAACTTGATCCAACCAGAGTACTGGGGAGATTTGGGCTTGGAGTTGTTCCCCAACGTGACTGATGTCATTTTGGCAAGTGAGAAGACTCAGAACCATCTCGGCACCGATCCCAACGACAAGGAGAAGTTCGACGAGAAATTCTTGACAAATATCATTAACACACTCCAAGTTGTGCGTATTTTGCTCAACTTCAAGTCCGACGACTGGATTCAGAAGAACACAGCTGCTGTTCAAAAGGTCATCGAGAAGTGTCTTAAATCCGAAAATCCAGAGATCCAAGACTGCCTGCACCTCGCTGACAAGAGCTTTGACGATGGCCGTGAGTTGCGATCTATCATTGGTCGTGTTCTTGATGCTGTTCCAGAAGATCTTCCAATGGAAGATGCTGACGCTGATGGAGAAGTTGAGGCTCAGACCTCAGAGATTGTTGCATACTTGTCCCAAATCGCATCGGAAGCTATGAACAGTAGCGCTTATGTGTCTGGTGTCAACATCTTGTGGTCGCTTGGTAACCGAAAGCCAGCCATCATTGACCAGCACATTCCAGCCCTTATGAAGGCGCTTCAGAGCAAGCATGCTCGTGAACACGTACAGCACTATAATGCAGTAACTAACGCTGCTGCTGCTGCGACCGCACGCGCCCAGGACCCCAGCGCTTCCACTGGAGAGCTCTCCGCCCATGAGCTTGAGCTGCAAACGAAACTGATGATCAAAGAGATCCAGGTCGTTGCGCTCCGAATGGAGTCTCTCGGAGACAATCGTCGCCCCTTCTTGAGTGTCTTGGCTACGCTAGTTGAAAAGTCAATGCACATCGATCTCTGCACAGAAATCCTCTATATGGTTGAGGGTTGGGTCTTCCGATCGGAGGGCACATGGCCTACACTGAAGGAGAAGACTGCTGTGTTGCATAAAATGCTCTGTTTCGAACACCGCACCGACACCACCATGCTCTCCAAGTTTTTGGAACTGGTTATACGAATCTACGAAGACCCCAACATCACAAGAACAGAACTTACCGTTCGCATGGAACATGCTTTCCTGATAGGTACACGGGCTGCAGATGTTGACATGCGAAATCGCTTCATGGCCATCTTTGACAAGAGTTTGTCCAAGACTGCCAGTGTTCGTCTCTCGTATGTTCTCACTGCGCAAAACTGGGATACCATGGCAGACTCCTATTGGCTGGCTCAAGCGTCCCATCTCTTGCTAGGCGCCGTCGAACTCAACACCAACATCCAGCTTCATTCCGAAGACTTCCGAATTGTCCCAGCATCCCAGCTGGCAACAATCTATTCCAAGGACAAGGAGCAACGGGAGCCTAACCAGATGCCTGACGACAAATTCGAGGAGCTGATTTCACAGCATCGTCGCTTCATGACAGAGCTGGGCGACGTCAAGGTTCGCGATGTCATCGAGCCCTTGATGCAGCTTCAGCATGTCGACAACCAACTCTCACATCAACTATGGCTTACTCTGTTCCCGATGTTCTGGTCTGCAACTCTACGAGATGAGCGACCCGATCTGGAGCGGGGCATGGTAACACTCCTTACTAAGGACTATCATAACCGCCAAATCGACAAGCGTCCTAATGTGATCCAGTCGCTGATAGAAGGCGCAACAAAGACATGGCCCGAATGCAAACTGCCACCGCACGTCTTGAAGTTCGAGGCAAAGACATACGATGCCTGGTACGCGGCTTTGGTACAGCTAGAGAACAATGCTATGCAGCCTGTCACCAACTCTGCCACCGTTAGAGAGAGCAATCTTGACGCTTTGGTAGAGCTCTACGCATCGCTCCAGGAAGATGATCTCTTCTACGGTACTTGGCGAAGACGATGCCAGTTTGTTGAGACCAACGCTGGTCTTTCATACGAACAGAATGGTATGTGGGATAAGGCACAGAAGCTATACGAAGGTGCTCAGATTAAGGCAAGAACCGGTGTCATTCCTTTCTCGCAAGCAGAGTACATGCTTTGGGAAGATCATTGGGTCCTCTGTGCCCAGAAGCTACAGCAGTGGGAGATCCTGCAGGAGTTTGCTAAGCACGAGAACTTCCAGGACTTGCTCCTTGAATGCGCTTGGCGCAACACTGACATGTGGCAAGACGAGCAGCATCGGGATGCTCTGGATAATGTCATTAAGGGCGTCATGGATGCTCCCACTCCTCGCCGAGCTTTCTTCCAGGCGTTTATGGCTCTTCTTAAATTCCACAACCAGCAAGATACTGCCAACGAGTTTGCCCGCATTTGCGACGAAGCTATCCAGCTTTCCATTCGCAAGTGGCACCAGCTGCCGACAAGATTAACAAACGCTCACATCCCCTTGCTGCAGAACTTCCAACAGCTGGTTGAAATGCACGATGCTAGCGTCATCTGCCAAAGCCTTGCTAATACCACTGCGTCAAACTTGGATGTCAAGTCTGGTGAGCTTAAGCTCCTGCTTGGTGCCTGGCGAGACCGCCTACCCAACATTTGGGATGATATCAACGCCTGGCAGGATCTTGTTACTTGGAGACAGCACATTTTCGGCCTTATCAACCAAACTTACCTCCAGCTTCTTCCCCCACAAGGTCAACAGAATGCAAGCGGGGCGTCTTCATTCGCCTACCGTGGTTACCACGAAACTGCTTGGATCATCAACCGCTTTGCCCACGTGGCTCGCAAGCACAGCCTTCCTGAGGTGTGCATCAACCAACTGAGCCGCATTTATACTCTACCAAACATTGAGATCCAGGAAGCCTTCCTCAAGCTTCGTGAACAAGCAAAGTGCCACTACGAGAATCCCGAGGAACTGTCCAGCGGATTGGAGGTCATCAACAACACCAACTTGAACTACTTCAACCCTCAGCAAAAGGCTGAATTCTACACTCTCAAGGGAATGTTCTTGGAGAAGCTTGATCAGAAGGACGAAGCCGATGTTGCCTATGGTACTGCGTTGTATTTCGACATTGGTGCAGCAAAGGCATGGGCTGAATGGGGCTACTTCAACGACCGCAAGTTCAAGGCGGACCCCAACGATCTTACTGCAGCCCGACAAGCGCTGACGTCCTACTTGCAAGCCGCCGGTAGCTACAAGAATGCCAAATCACGCAAGCTTCTTGCCCGAATTCTGTGGCTGCTCAGCTTGGATGACGCCAAGGGAAGCATCGCCGCCGGTTTTGATGACTTCAAGGGCGAGACTCCTGTCTGGTACTGGATCACCTTCATTCCCCAGCTCCTGACTGGTCTTGGCCACAAGGAAGCGTCTCGCGTCTACGATATTCTGCTTGCGATTGCTAAGTCCTATCCTCAAGCTTTATACTTCCAGCTACGGACGAACCGTGAGGATATGTTGGTCATCAAGAAGAACCAGGAAGCAAAGGAGAAGGCTAGAAAGGGCAGCACCGCAACTCCTGCTAACGGCAAACCGAACGCATCGCCCTCTGTGACCAAACAAGAAACACCCAAGACAGAGGACGGCGCCGCTCGCCCTGCTACCGCCAATGGTGATGCTGTAGCCGCAGTCAAGGCTGAAGCTGGTGAAACTAACGGAACACCAGCAGCAGCATCGACTCCAGCTCCAGCTAGCACCCCCGCTGCAGCATCTACGACTGCAACTCCCGCTCCTGCAGCCGCAGTAGCGGCTGCCACACCTGCCACTAAGGACGGCGCACAAGACGATAAGAGCGCGGTGGGCCAGAAGAAGCCTCCATGGGAGCTCACTGAAGAGATTATGTCAGTGCTCAAGACTGCTTTCCCCCTCTTGGCACTGTCAATGGAGACCATGGTCGATCAGATCCAAAAGCACTTCAAGTGTCCACCAGACGAGGATGCTTACCGATTGATTGTTGCCCTGCTTAACGACGCCTTGACATATGTCAGCCGAACCCCTGCCTCATTTGCCAAGAGCGTCAAGTTGCCATCTGCTACAGAGACCAACATCACTCGATTTGCGCACACCATCTTGCCAAGCCACATCAAGAAGTCATTTGAAGCTGACTTTGTCGATGTAAAACCCACTATGTACGAGTACATTCACAAGTTGCGCAAGTGGCGAACAAAGTTTGAAGAGAAGTTGGATCGCCGCGTTCTTCAAACTCCTTTGGAGGCCTACTCACCTCACTTGAGCGAATTCAAGTACCAGAAGTTTGACGAAGTTGAGGTGCCCGGCCAGTACTTGCAGCACAAGGACAAGAACCAGGACTTTATTCGCATTGAGCGATTCTTGCCTGATGTGGATTTGGTCCGCTCCATCAGCGCATCCTACCGCCGACTGAAGATGCGCGGTCATGATGGTAGTGTCCACTCTTGGGCTGTCCAGCACCCAGCTGCACGCCACTGTCGCCGTGAAGAACGCATTCTACAGTTGTTCCGACAGCTGAACCAGACTCTGAGCCGTAAGAAGGAGAGCAGAAGACGTGACTTGCAGTTCACACTGCCGCTCATGGTCCCTCTTGCTCCCCACATCAGAATCGTTCAGGACGACACCTCGTACGTTACTCTGCATGGAGTATACGAGGACCACTGCCGCAGAATGGGCATGCAAAAGGACGAACCGGTGTTGTTCACACTGGAGAAGCTACGCGGTGTTCTTGAAAACAAGGGACAGGTAAGCAGCAACAGTCTTAGTTTATTACAAACTGGCAATGATACTAACGATACCTCTCAGAACAAGGAAACATTAGCATCCAATGCTCGCCTAGAGGTCTTCAATGCCATCCAAGAGAAGTGGGTGCCATCAACTGTTGCGCTGGAATACTTCCAAAAGACATTCCCTCAATTTGCCGACTTTTGGTTGTTCCGTCGCCAGTTCTCTTACCAGCTTTCGGCGCTTACATTTATGACGTACACATTGTTCATGCACAACAGATATCCTATGAAGATGAACATTGCGCGCGGATCAGGCAACATCTGGGGCTCTGAGCTCATGTCGTTTATGAACGCCAACAAGCCTTACTTCCACAACCCGGAGCCTGTGCCATTCCGTCTCACGCCCAACTTGCAAACCTTGATGGGTCCCTTGGCCACAGAAGGTATCTTTGCTTGCTCCCTCATGGCAATTGCACGATGCCTCACCGAACCTGACCATGAGCTTGAGCACGCACTCACGCTCTTTGTGCGCGACGAGATGATCTTCTGGCTCACAAGTAGCCACCGTACTGGCATCAGCGAGAACCAGCTGAGAGAGTCTGTTAAGGTCAACAGCCAGTCGATTGTCAAGAGAGCCATCAGCTTGGCACAAAACCCTTCGGGCAACCTGCCTGCGAACCAAACGGCGATTGACCTAATAGCATCTGCTGTCAACCCCATGAACTTGGCGCAATGCGATATTCTTTGGATGCCATACCTGTAAAACGGGTTTAGTTATGAGATTTATCATGGATAATTATGAATTGGAGAGAACGGGAAGCTGCTGGCTATAGATTATATCTTTAGCTTTGCATTTATTATAGGGGATACGAAAGTAATGGGGTGTCTTGATTGTATTGCATGTTTTTTTTCCTTTCTTCTTCTTTTTCTGTTTTTATGCGGGTTTGCGGTTTGTTACTCTTGGTTACTGGTATGGGATACATTTTAAATATGAAAAGCGTTCTCATTTTATTTTATAATTCGTTCTTGCCTATTTTGTGAATGTGACAATAAGTTCTTCTTACTGCAACAAATTTACCAAATTCATCTATCGAGATTTCTTGGTTATGTGCATTTCCCAGCTGGCGCACCTGGCCGTAGTAAACCGGCGTTGTATAAAAACCCCGTCGACGCCATCTTCGTCCTCCACTTCCCTCGGCTATATTCCTCTTAACCTTTTTGGCAATCCCCACCACCCGCTACCCCACGCTCAACCCCGGCTATTCAGCCATCGGCGGGTTCGGGTTTGTCTGCAATGGGTACGGATGGCTAAGCTCGGATGGGGACGTTACGCCGATTGTCGGACGGGCGAGGGGATTTAGCTAGCCCCAGCTCCTTCTTCCCTCGTTCACATTGATCAATTGACATATCACGAAACTTGGACTGTGCTCGTTAGAATCCAAGCACTTGCAAACACGCCCCAGTACGAATCTTCCAAGTGTCCGTTGCTTTCACCACGCGACCAAGACTTTCCTTGCAGCAACTAGCCAACCTTCCACTAGACCGCCCACCATGGAGGTTGACAGATCTCAGCGCAAGCTCTGGGAGCACCCAAACCCCAAAAGCACACAGATTTGGGAGTTTATGCAAAAGGCCAATGCCAAATTTGGCCTAAATATGCAGGTTTGTTTCTGTCCCCAAAGCCGATCGAGTATTGTTGTACGGTGCTAATACAGCTTGTGTGCATAGGACTTTGATTCCCTTAACGACTGGTCTTGCAAGAACAGAGCAACATTCAACGGATTTTTGTGGGAAGAGCTGCGTTTGATCCAGGAGGGATCGTACACACAAGTGGTTGACGAGTCTATCCCTGTAAACGAACTACCCAGGTGGTTTGAAGGCCTTCGAGTAAACTGGGCGGAGAACCTTCTTTGGAGCCGCGGCCCCAACGATGCGCCTGGTACCAAGGGCACTTTTAACAAAGAAGATGATCGTATTGCATTGACGGAAATCCGCGAGGGCATTTCTTCGGTTCGAAGCGTTACCTGGAAGCAACTGAGACATAGTGTCGGCCAAGTGGCCGCAGCGCTGAAGCACCATGGTCTAAAGCCTGGTGACCGTGTTGTTGTGGTCGGAGCGAACTCGTTTGATACTCTTGTTATCTTCGTTGCAACTATTTGGCTTGGTGGTATTATGAGCTTGAGTTCGACAGATATGGGTGTCAATGGTATTCTACAGCGAACCGTGCAGATTAACCCCAAGGTACGTGTCAGCGTCCGGATGTGCCTTTTGGAAACGAATCATTTCTTATTAAAGTTGGGTTCCAGTTCCTCTTTTTCGATGATGGCGCACTGTACAACGGCCATATTCTCGACTTGCGTGGGAAGATCAAGGGCGTCACCGAGGGTCTGCGTGAATGCGACCAGTTCCAGAAGAGCATTGTTATCAGACGATTTGACAAGCCATACGACACCTCTTCTATTAACAAGACACAGAGACTGGAAGATTTCATCTCCTCAACGCCGGACCTCACTCCGCCCCCAGTCGTCCGACTTGGATTCCAAGACCCCATGGCTATCTTTTACTCTTCTGGCACAACAGGAATACCCAAGGCCATTGTTCATGGTGGTGGCACCACACTGATTTCCTCTCTTAAGCAATCAAAACTCCACCGAAACCAAACATGCAAGGAGATTGCCTTGCAGTACACTACAACCGGGTGGATTATGTATATGAGCAACCTGGCGTCAATGCTGCTCGGTGCACAATGTGTCCTCTACGATGGTTCTCCGTTTATGCCCGACCACAAAGTTCTACTAAAGATCATCGAGATGCAGAAAGTCACCATGCTCGGAATTAGTCCTAGATACTTGAGCGAGATGATCAAGAATAACATTGTGCCGCGCGAGGTGGCTGATTTATCCAGCTTGGAAGTCGTCGTATCGACGGGTATGGTACTGCCCGAAGTCATGTTTGACTGGTTCTACGACGTCGGCTTCCCACCTACAGCACTACTGGCCAACATTGCTGGCGGAACAGATATCGCTGGTTGCTTTGTTATGGATAACCCCCTCAAGCCGCTTTACCGTGGCGGCTTTATGGGCCCTGTTCTCGGCACCCCAATTGCTATTTACGATCACGACATGGACGAAGGAAGTGTTGGAAAAGAAGTCCCAGTCGGCATGCCTGGTGATCTGGTTGCCATTGCGGCCTTTCCCAATGTTCCCTTGTTCCTCTGGAATGACGGCCCAGTGGCGCCTGGTAAGAAATACAACAATGCCTACTTTGGCCGTTTCCAGGGCGTGTGGACGCAAGGCGACTTTTGCCAGATTGATCCCAAGACTGGAGGTCTGCATATGCTCGGACGTTCAGATGGTGTTCTAAACCCTAGCGGCATCCGATTCGGCAGTTCTGATATTTACTCGGTCATTGAACACTCGTTCCCGAAGGAGGTGGCGGAGAGCTTGTGTGTTGGGCAGCGCCGGCCACAGGACCACGACGAGACTGTTGTCTTGTTCCTCATCATGAAGCCTGGCCACAAGCTGGACAAGAAGATGGTGCTGCGCGTTAAAGATACTATTGCTAAGGCGTTGACAAAGCGCCATGTCCCCAAATACATCTTTGAGACGCCAGAGATTCCCACCACTGTCAACGGGAAGAAGGTCGAGTTGCCTGTCAAGAAGATTATCTCGGGTGAAACGATCAAGCCTAGTGGTACGCTTCTTAACCCACAGAGTCTTGATTTCTACTACCGGTTCCAGAAGATTGAAGAGCTCCAGAGCCCTCAGGCGAAGCTATAAGCGAGCACGGCTGGAGTGGATAATGGAGACTTTGCTACTACTAAAGTAAATAGATAAACGAATGAAGAAATGAATACATTGAGTTGCACAATTTGGTATGCCGGTTTGTCCCAGAAAATAAGAAAATGCCTTGGTCGCCTCCTCCTTAAAATACAACATCTCACATAGATGGCCGTTCCGACTTTCTTGTCGCCTCTGTAGCGAACTTTCCACCATGTATACCATATCGCCAGACCATGTATCCAGCCATACCACCCACGCTACCTAATCCCGCCGCTCCAAGAACGCCCTTCCATCCCATCGTGGCCATTGCCGGCCTGTTGCTGCCCTTGTTCAGCATCGACACCAATGCAGCCGTCGCACCCGCACCCATTCCCGCATATGTCCAGTCGTCCGTCTCAACCTGGCCTCTATTCTCGAGCAGACGCCAGCTTCTATCCTGCCATTCAATAGTTTCACGCCCCCACATGCGACCAACCAACCCGACGCCCGTGATGCCCAGTGTGATGAGGATGGAGCTGGACGCTGATTTGAGCAGTCTTGCGCCAAAGGACGCCGTGGATGCGCCGCGCAGAGCAGGGATTAGCGTGCGAGTAGTCGTGATGCCGATTCCGATGATGGATCCAAGCGTTACGGCTCGAGTAGCGACGTGGACTGTGAGAATGGCATGGCCGAGAGGCTGGTCTTCGGCATAGGCGGAATGTGGCCAGTATCGTGACATGGCGGGCGTGGCAATGTATGCCGTAGGTTTGTTTGTGCTTGTTTTGTTTAATTGATTAAAACACAGGGTTTCGTTGTGAAGTACCAGTGAGAAGAGAAGAAGTGCGGATTTATAGGTTTATAAAGAAGTTATGAAATACGAAAAGCGCTTGCGTGGGCGGGCGGCACGGGATAACGCTGTCAGCTTCCGGCAGACGAGTGGGCATCTTTGGGGATGTCACTTGGGCTGGGGGGAGCTTCCGCCAATGGCTGGGCTCGGTTTGTCATGCGACTCCACCATAGCTTCAAGTGGTAAACGAACGCGAGGTAATGCGAGAGCTCGATATAAATGCACAAACGATGCAGTTTGGTAAGATAAATCATATATTTCGTTATATAACAAATACAAATCAAGATACATGGTAATGGTACGATGAATGAAGCGTCGGGGGCAACAGAAATCAAGCATAGCGATTTATAAAGGTCCCGTCATTACAACATGAGAGTGCTACCAAAAAGGGTACAAAATGCAGATTTACATTTACTCGTCGTCAGTCATATCCATCATACTATCCACAGGATCTCGCTCATCGTCATCCAACAGAGTCCGTCTCCGCGTTGTTCCAATAAGCCGTCCCTTGCCCTTGTCCATCATGCCTCGCCCAACCCGCCGGCCGTTGATTTTCTGCGACGCATATGCCTTTTTGCCGTCGAGATGTTGCTCAAACTCTGCCAAATCTCCTGCCTCCTCATCTGCAGCCATGTCAAGCAGCATGCTCTCGTCCAGCGCCTTGTTGAGCAACTCCGTCGCGATGCTATCTTGCGGATTGATTGCCAGGGCTTCGTGCAGTACAACCACGGCTTCCTGAGGGCGGTTCTGCTCCAGCAGAATAAGACCCTTTGCACTGAATATCGCAGCATCCTTACCGCCGAGGCTCAGGACTTCGTCAAATACAAGGATGGCTTGGTTATAGTTGCGCAGTCGGCGGTATGCATGCCCCAGGTTCGTCCGTGCTGCCAACCATGCTGAAGGCTCACTGTCGTTATCGCTGGCAATCTTAATAGCAGCCATAAAGTACTGTGCGGCTTCTTTCGGCTTGTCCTGGTGGTATTTGACGATGCCCATTTCGTTCAACAACAGCGGGTCTGTTTTGCAGAGCCCATATGCCGTCTTGAGAAACTCTTCTGCGAGGGTCATGTTGTTGAGAGCATGGTTTTGCATACCCAAGAAGACTTGGGGTAAATGCGTTCCCATGAATAGTCTTGCAGCTGTAGAGTATGCAGATATCGCCTGGTCATGTTCGCCCTCAGCCGCGAATGTATGTGCAAATCCAATCCACGCAGGGCCAAAGTGTGCATCCATCATACTTGCTTTGGAAAAGTACCGTCTGGCTTCGGCAATTCGGTCAATGGAGAAGTAATAGATTCCTACTGCTAGCCATGTACATGGTTCTTCTGGATGTGTATCGGCCAAATCGTGAGAGACGAGAAATAGGACATTCTTCATCTTCAGTTCGTATAAGCAAGCCAGATGGACGGGGTATATGCTAAAGTTGTATTTGTCGTCTTGGAGGATGCTATTCGTAATGTCAAGCGCGTCCTGGTATCTGCATTGGGTGTACAGCAAGTCGGCACGAGCGAGCTGCAGATCTGGGTTTGCTTCTAAATTGTAGTGTGTCGATAAGGATTCGTAAGCCGTCTCGAAGGATGCAGGGTTTCTATATTTCGACAATCGTGTCGTGTAGAGCATTTTTGTAAACTCGGCAGCTTCTTCTGACGCTGCTGTGTCGTTACCCGTCTGAATAGAGTCAAAGTCGAGACTCTCTACAAACTGCCACTCTTCATCAGGAGATAGCAGCGAGTTGGTCATTAGCTGTTGGAAGGCTTCAAAGCATTGGACATCGATTCGCACGGCATCTTTGTAGCACTCCTTTGCCCGATCGAATGCGTTCAACTTGGCGTAGCAGATGCCTCTCAGAAAGCACATGGCGGCTTCGAAGCGTCTGTTAGCCGCTTCAGCCTCTTCCATCTGCTCATCCTCTCGCTTGCGAACCTGCCGCGACTGCGACTTGCGCTTGTTGCTTCCACTGTTTGTAATGAGGTGTGTCGGATTTCGCTCTCCGAGAACGGCCAATGCTTCGTCGAATCGAGACTGTTTTATGAGGCAGTGGCCTGCAAGATAGCGACAAGATGGGTTCCTAGCGATGAGATCCTGCCTCGTCAAGAAGCCATGCGCTCTAGTATAGTTGCCGGTGGCGAAGTGAACCTGGGCGAGCCAGAAGGCATCGGTGTCATCGTCTGAATAGCGGGTTAGTCTTGAGGGCTAGCCAAAGTGGTTGGCCTAAACAGCCGTGGTTTTTCTAAAGCGGAAATCTCTTACTCGTCATTGCCAGCAATTTATCGCCGATGAAAATGGCCGAATCGTACTGCGCCTTGTTGAGAGCATCTTGCCGCCAGTCTCGTAGGAACTGCTCCATGGCAACGGAGGGGTACTGTATATTCCGGGTTATTTACAGCGGATCTGTTTTAATGCTGAACAAGCTGAGACGGTGGTGTATTGAAAAGGCTGCACTCTTCGAAATAGGCGTGCATAGGCACAAAGATGGCTGTTGTGTGGTGGTGGTTGTAGCTGTGATACTTAAGCGGCGGCTTGGGGGAGACGCGCCAGGCTGGGACTACGTCGCGTGGGCGGCTCAGAAAAGTAGGTGGTGTTTTTTTGGCGGGGTATTTTGTAGCTGGCTTGCTAACAATAGATTGACGGCATCTGCATTACGCACTCTACGTATAGGTATATGCAGTAGAGTATGGCAGATATTATTGTAAACAATTTAGTAAATCGGATTCATCATTAATAAACGTAGTTGCCAACGATAAGCAGAATACGCAATTTTCCTGTTACTTCACCATAAACAAGAAATATACATAATTGAAAAGTCTTGATGCGTTTTTAAGTACACTTTAAATGCAATACATATTTTAATAATATTTTCCAGTATTAAATGGGTATGTTGTAAGTACACCTTACTGGCGCCGATACAGGAACGCAGCGTCCATCACCGAGTCAAACAAACAAAAAGTAGAGCCCCGAATGCGGGAGCATCTTATCCGCCCGCAGAAACAGCCCACGTTGATTTGCCCGCCACCGCCTCCCATCCCTCACCAACCTTTGTTCTTTCTGCATCCTCCGCCTCAAAACACCCCAATTGCAATCAAAATGGCTGCTGCTGCTACTCACGCCCCCCGATGGGCCGCCATGGCCCGCGACACAAACGAGACCAAGATCCAGCTTGCCATCAACCTCGACGGCGGCACATTCCCTCCCGACACCGACTCCCGCCTCTTGAGTGAGGATGCGGCTCACGCCTCGCAAAACTCCAAGTCGCAGACCATAGCCGTCAATACGGGCATCGGTTTCCTCGACCACATGCTCCACGCTCTTGCCAAGCACGCCGGCTGGAGTCTCGCCATTAACTGTGTTGGCGATCTTCACAGTCCGTTGCCACCCACCTACCGCCACCTGCGCATTTGACGATAGTTCTTTGGTTAGCTGACATATCTTGATTCTTCCTTAGTTGACGACCACCACACTGCCGAAGATGTTTGCATCGCCCTTGGCTACGCCTTCGCCAAGGCTCTCGGAGCACCCACCGGTCTCGCTCGTTTCGGTTACGCCTACGCTCCCCTCGACGAAGCGCTGTCCCGCGCCGTCATCGATCTTTCCAACAGACCCTACAGTGTTGTTGACCTTGGTCTTAAGCGCGAGTGGCTCGGCAAGCTTAGCTGCGAGATGGTCCCTCACTGCCTTCAGAGCTTTGCGCAGGGTGCCCGTGTGACTCTTCATGTCCACTGCCTGCACGGCGATAACGACCACCACCGCGCAGAGAGTGCCTTCAAGGCTCTTGCTATTGCTGTTCGCCAAGCTACGTCACGAGTTGCAGGCAAGGAGGGCGAGGTTCCCAGCACAAAGGGTACCTTGACTGCGTAAAGAGATACAGATGAGATCAGGTGCAAGAGCGTCACTGTGTACTATAGGAGCGAGGAAACGAAGAGTTGCGCGTGTCATTTTGAGATACATGCACGTACGTACGTTGATGGTTAGATTTATTATTGATAGACTCCCAAGTAATATATATGATTACGAAATGATAACGCCATGCTCCTGATTTCCAATCTATGTTCGGTAGTCGCCGTTGATGGTGACATAGTCGTGACTGAAGTCGCAGGTCCAATGCGTTGTGCTCTTATCACCAGTTCCAAGGCGGACGAGGATTTCAAGGTCCTCCATGTTGAGAATCTCGCTAGCACGAGCTTCATCCACCTGCTCCGGCTCACCATTGACAAGGAGCTTGAGCTCGGCAGAGCCGTCGGTAGGAATAAACGAGACGCTGGTGCGTTCTGGAGTGATGTCCTCTACCTCATTCACAGGCGCAGTTGGGGGAGAGATTAATGCATACCCAGCCGCACACAGAATGCGGCCCCAGTTGGCGTCCTTGCCGTAGAGGGCCGTCTTCACCAGCGGAGACAGGGCAATGGATCGAGCAACCTGACGAGCACCATCTTCAGTGGCGGCGTCAACGACGCGGATAGTGACAAATTTCGTAGCACCCTCTCCATCACGAACAATGTATTTGGCGAGGTCGGCTGAGAAATCGGTCAAGACGTCACGGAATGCAGCGTAGTCGGGGGACAACTCAGAAGCCACCTCCTTACCACCTGCAGCGCCATTGGCAAGTAATGCCACGGTATCATTGGTCGAAGTATCACCGTCAATGGTTAGCGAATTGAAAGAACGATCAACAGCGTACTTGAGGAGCGGGTTCATGATTTTCGGTGAGATGGGGGCGTCGGTGGCGAGGACACCAAGCAGCGTTGCCATGTTGGGGGCAATCATGCCGGCGCCCTTGGTGACGCCAGCAATGCGGTATTCTACGCCAGGCGACGAGGGAAGCTCGAATGATCGGGACATGAGCTTTGGAAACGTGTCGGTTGTGCAAATTGCCGTAGCGCAGCTGAGCCAGTGCTTGTGTGATTCGCCAGCCTGGTGGTAGGCCATGGGGATATGGTCGACAATCTTCTGAATCGGCAGTCTAGCATGTCGCGTGTCAGCTCCAATTGGCGGGTTACAAGTTAACAATGGCTTTCTTACCTCTGGCCGATAACTCCCGTGCTCATGACAATGGACGAATCATCCTCTCCGGCACGCTGGTCGGCTGTTTTGGCCATACTGGCTGCATCTTGCAGACCGCCGGTGCCGGTAACGGCGTTGGCATTACCAGAGTTGATAATGACGCTTCTGATGCCGGCATTGGCCTTGTTCTGGAGTAGCTTGCGGCTGAAGCTCACAGGTGCAGCCTGGAATTTGTTCTTTGTAAAAACAGCAGCCGCAGCGCAGGGACGGTCCGACGTGACGAGAGCAAGGTCCGGTTTGCTGGTGTTGCCAGGCTTTACGCCAACGTAGACACCAGACGCAGCGAAGCCCTTGGGATACGTTCCAGACGACGGGATGTATTTCAATTTGGCCTGAGGAATGGCTCCGCTAATGCTAGCAGAGTATGATCGGGTAAACTTCATCATAGTGGCCTGCACGGATCAATTGATGCGATGAATGTAGGTGAGAGGTTAGAAAAGCTGGGGAAGCGGTCTTTGCAAAGATTCAACAAGTGCCGCTCTCGGTGAGTCAGGGTTTGGGTGAGCGATAAGCCGCAGAGCGTTGTTAGAAGAAAAAGGCGCCGTAGTAGTCTGGCAAAAGTTGAGCTTGGAAAATAGGTTTAAAATACTTAATTAAAATGGGATTCTATAATTTAATAAGAATATAAATCAATTGTATTATTCAAGTGTATTTTGAATCAGTACATTTTACTCAAAATTTGGTTTTGTCTAATCAGATGCGGCTCTTGTTATAAGTGTCAAACCAAGATATAGTGGAGATGGCCACTACAGCTTGCAACGCGATCGGAGGGTACATCGCTGTCGGCTTGTGCTCGTGCTTGTGCTTTTGGGTTCAGAAGTGGCAACAACAGGTTATGCTATACAAACCGTACAAACTTTCACATTTATGCAATCCATGCATATCTTTGTATATCTGCTATTCTGAGCTCCGTGATTTTATTCATGATATTTTTCTCTTGCATAAAATTTCGTGGCACCTTTGCCACCTGGCAGAGGCATATTGCCAGCTGTTTCCTGGCGCGTGCCAGGTGCCAAAACCACTGCCATGAAGCGCCACGCAACCATTCACCAGGCCTTCAGCCCCCAGGCACCAACGCGCTGAGTGAGCGCTGTAACTATACCACCTACTGTAAGACCCGCTGTAAATAAAATTAAAGAGCCGCACAAGCAACTGGCCAGCAAGGGAGGACCCACCTGCCCTGATTGCCGCCTGGGCCTCTGCAGGTATAAAATTCTCCTGCGCCCGCCTCCATTGTCAACTCTTTTTTTCTTCTTTCCTCTCCATCCCAGTGCAAGGGCGTCTTCCTTCTCCGTGAAGCGATAAGCTGAGAGAGGAATTTTGCTAGTTGAAAACTATAATTGAACCACTCCTAATTGGATTTATTCTGGTTTGGGAATTTTTGAAACCCCTCCTGTTTTGGAAAATGGGCTATATTGTCTTCCATTCTCGCCAACAAAACAAACCCTTTCTTTCATCTTCTTTCATTGCGTTTTGCTGGCTCCATGAGGGCCGCCGCGAAGAAGGAGTACCAGATGATATCAAATAATACTAGTTTAGTATCCTAGAATAAAGAAATGGGCTACGTCGCTTGAAGCGCATTGTAAAGACCACTTGCAGATTAATGATGGTAGTAGCCAACGTGATGCGCGGCGCATCATCCCTAGGTTGAACTCCGATTCTGTGACTCCTCCAGTGTGTGTGTGTGTCGTCGGTGCTTTTTCCTAGCGCGGGGCAGGGCGGCCCAAAATCTTTTGGTGGATGCACCCAGCTTCCGTGACTCAAACCTCACGCTCCGAACCGCATCGCGCGCAGCTCACCACTCTCGTCGTCCTGCCGATATTTGATAGTTGGATGCTGGAATTAGCGTAAAGATATTGTACAAAGGCTATTAATATCGCTCGATTACAGACCCGGTGTCCCTGCTACAGCGCAGACAACCGCCGTTCCCCTCCCCCGCCTCGCACTCTCATCGAACCGCAAAATCTCGAAAATATACTCGTTCGCAGAGTCATAGCATTCACCGTCCATGTCGACAGAACCCGAAAAGGCTGCACCGGCAGCTGCCCCTGCGCCTGCTGCTGATGGCAAAGCAAAGGCTGCTCCCGCCGCCGCAAAGCCCGCCGCCGATGGCGAAAAGGCCCTGAGCGGCGCTGCCCTCAAACAAAAGAAAAAGGAAGAGAAGGCTGCCAAAAGAGCGCAGGCCAAGATGACTCAAGGTGGCCCGACCGGACCACCTGCTGCCGACGCAAAAGGAGGCAAGCCCGCGCAAAACAAGAACAACTTCCAGCCCGGCGCTCACCAGGGCCATGTCCGCTCCGGCTCTCGCTCGACTCTCCCCGTACCTCAGATTAAGGATACCAAGCCCAAGGTCCCCGAATGCTTCAGTCATTTATCGATGGCTAAACGCATAAGCATCACGCACGCCAACAAGGATGTCAACCCTATCATCCTGCTTCTCGGCCAACAGATGAGCAAGTTTGCCATCCGTGATAGCATCACCCGCTTGGAAACGACTCTGCTTGCCTTCAAGAAGCTCATCGAGGCCTACACCACCCCCCACGGCACCACTCTCTCTAGACACTTTGTCACGCACGTTCTCAACCCCCAGATCGAATATCTCACCGCCTGTCGCCCCATATGCTTCTCCATGGGCAATGCCATTCGCTGGCTCAAGCTCCAAATCTCCAAGATTGACATTGACCTTCCCGACGCTGCGGCCAAGCAGATATTGTGCCAGGCTATTGACAGCTTTGTCCACGAGCGTGTGACTCTTGCAGACTACGTCATTGTCAGCACTGCTGCGCAGATGGTGTCTGATGGTGATGTCGTCGTCTCCTATGCTCACCACCATCTAGTCGAGCGCGTGTTGCTGCAGGCCAAGAAGGACGGCAAGGACTTCAAGGTCATCCTCATTGACGACCCCTTTGAGCGTGTTGGTCTTGAACATGCCAAGCGACTCTCTGCTGCTGGTATCTCCGTAGCATACACTGCCGACCTCGGCGCACTGCGAACCAACCTCCAGCAAGCTACCTCGGTCTTTGTGGCCGCCGAAGCCATGTTCAGTAACGGTGCCATGTATGCCCGTGCTGGTACTTGTGATATTGCCACCACTGCTAGAGATCTGGGCCTACGTGTTGTTGCCCTTTGCGAAACCATCAACTTCACTGAGCGCGTCTCCATTGACTCATTGACGTACAACGAGATCGACCCTGATAGAAACACAGACGAGGCGTTTAGACTGCTTTTCGACACCACAACAGACAAATTCATCTCGGTAGTAGTGACGGAGCTGGGCAACAGTTCGCCAAAGTCTGTGCCGGCCATTCTGAAAAAGTTGGAGGAGCTGTAATACACTAGATACTTACGATATAAACAACAATAAAACCAAATGCCATGTACCCCATTACACTACATCTCACGCATGTCTCCGATTGCAGTTCAAATGATTGTAGTTAAAAGATTTATTGGCTTAAAAAATGGTTTACATCTTGGTCCAATTTCCAGCCCAAGATATTATATGTATGTACAAGAGGCCTGCCCGCCACGTTCTGCAGCAGCAGTGATTCCCGTTTCCTCCTCGTCCTTCGACTTTTGTTTCAACAAGGGAAAAAAATCTTCAACAAATAGCGGCTAACAAAAAGAGTTTACAAAGGTATGGTGAGAATGCGTCGGGTGTAACAAAAAAGAGAAAACAACAAAGCTTCGTCATGCCCTGAGATCCTCTTATTGCGCCGCAGTAGCGGCCTCGGCATCACGCTCAGCCTTCTTCGCTCTCTTCTCCAGCAAGATGGACTTGCGCTCAGCCAGTGTAGCGCTCTGACGGTCGTCGACACCCTGCAGCCAGTAGCCGAAGCTGGCGCCGCCGGCGGCGTAGACGGGGTACGCCCAGAGCGACTGCTTGTTGAAGAACGGGCGCATCTCAATGCCGACCTGCCAGAAGCGGACGGCAACACCTATAACAAAGAAATCACGACCACCGGTTAGTAACTATAAATATTTCGGCATGGTTTCAGGGCCCATTTGTTGTCCTGATTGAGGGTTAAGGCGTACCGAAGAAGCTCCAGAACGCGATGCGGTGGACCATGATGAGCGGTTGGGGTCGACGTAATCGATCGAGTTTGTGGTATAGAAACGAAAAGATCGTCTTCAGGCGTCGGATTGACCTGTTTGTATACTGATTGCTAGTGCTGGCGGGCGGATTAGGCTTCGCGATATCCGATGGAGGACGAAAGTGTCGTGCCGTCAGGATAGTGGAGGCAAGCTTTCCGCTCACCAAACAGGTCACGCGTTCTATCACGTGACTCTATATATCAACCTCCAAGGCCTTGAACCATCGCCTTGCGTTTAAATACTGTATTTATTATATTCATGATAAATTTATTCATATAAAGAATGATTATACAATTATGATTTATAACTTCATTTCACAGAAAATCGTGTCCAGATGTTTCAATGCGCAATCATTCGTTCTTTATTTCTACTGCAATGCTTTAAAGGACATGGTTCTAAAAACAGCTATTGTACATTGATCCTAAAAATGGATCCGCTTAAATCTATTCGTTGAGAGTTTCATAAGGAGGGGGTGCGTTCGATGTTGGAGCAGAGGGAGCAGAGGTCCATTCAGCAACCTTTGCAAACATCTTGCCCATGTACTGTTGGATAAAGGACTCACTAGTTGACCTTGTTAGTTATTTGTTGTTCATGTCAAAGAGTCAATGCACTTACGTATAGTAACTGTGATCCGAATTATGAGCTGTAACAAGGTTATGTGCCAGCTCATGTGCGATAACAACCCACCACCAGGTACCTGCATCTGCCCTCGCAATGGCACCTTTGTTCTGCACATTGGCGGCATGGAGCTGCAAGAAAAATCGGAAATTGCAAAAGATGCTGCCTCCAGTGTTGAAAGCAATGGTACCACCAGTTTGGTCGTAGTAGATGTGAAGGACGCTGGGTGAGAGCGAATAAATGTTTCCAATTTCAATAAGCAGCCCTGCGAACAAGTTGAGATAGGCAGTGTTGGCAGTCAAAAACGCCGGAATAGAGTCACTGAGGTCTTTTGCAACGTAAATCTTCATTCCGTTCGAGGCAGAAGCAGCAAATATAATGTTCTGGGAATGATTCTTGTCGCAGTATGTTGCTTGCTCCTTAATTTGATTGACCCGGGGCTCGGAGAAGACCGAGTTGGATCCATGAGCTCGTGTAGAGTTGATGGCATTCAGCAGATTTTGCTGCACCATAGCTGGGTTCGTGACACGACCGTCGTCGTTCTGAGATTGACTGCCATTTCCTGCAGACGAGGTTCCCATCTGTTGCTGTTGCTGCTGTTGTTGTCCGGAGGACTGGTCTCCCATAAACTTGTCTAGCTGCTTCTTTGCTTCGCTGTCGTCATCATTGGTCTCAAACCCTAGGCGTCTGGTCAGATTAGAAAAGAGCCCCTTGCCCTTTTTGGAAATATTTCTGTCGATTTCAGATTCATCTGGCGAAGACCATGCACCAGGCATTGCGTTCTTGGTCTGTTCAGGGGTCTGTGCAATATGGCGAGCGGCTTCTGCGGCCCTGGGCTCAGCAATGTGCTCTTGATCGGCCCATTCTCGCTGGCGTTCATCAATTCGCTTTCTCTCCTCTTCCAGTGCCTTCTGTCTCTCTTCCTCAGCAATTCTTGCTTCGGCAGCCTTCGCGCGCAGAATACGGTCCACGTTGTATCCTCTGGCTCGCAAGCCATATAGATCCAAAGTCAAGAAGGGTTCGAAGAAAAGATATGCTTGCTGGTTGGGCCTGTTTAAGAGCACTTGGCACACTGCTTGACCAACTTGATACATGTCAGGGCGGCCCTCGTCGGCTACATATAGCGTCCAGTTGCCATTGGTAACTGCGCCGGCTGCAGAACGCTTCTCTGTATGTGACTGTCGATGGCCAGTTAGAGTTCTCCGGAGCGCAACAGAGTGAACAATCTGTATCTTAAGATTCTTTTCGAGCCATTTGGCGTCGTGTTTGATAGCATCTCGCCGATAATTGCTGTATTCGTGTAAAAAGATCTTGGATCGTTCAATAATATGCTTTTGTAGCTTCTCGGCCTTTTTGTCGCTGAATGCCTGTCCACCAATGCGAATGTCTTCTTTCACAATGCTGCTTAGTTTCTGGGCGCCAAGCGCCAGGTAGAACGTTTCCAGGACGTCTTCCTCTGGGGCACAGACAAGTTCATCCTTGAACAGTCGGTAGCTGATAATATCGTCCAGAACGACGATCTGGTTTGCCGGCGCAAGCTGATACTGCCTAATAGGAGCTTCGTCATCTTCCAGATCTACCAACTTGGAGCTAGGGCTGGAGATTTCTTTGTACGCAAGAAGAAAGGGGGCAGTTTTCATCTTCCTCCAGAGCTCTTTATCTCGGTGGAGGATAACTGAGGCCTCCGCCAGGGATTTGAGCAGGTCCAGATATTTCTCTGGGCTTTGCATTGCACTTAGAAGACGCGCCGGCTCGCTACACGCCATTTGAGCAACTTCAGCCTTAGTAGGCTCGTTCTTTGCACCACATCGGAACAAAAACGCATTTGCATCGTTGCCAAAGTCAACAAAGTCAAAGATTTCACCATACGTCTCAGACGTTCCCAGATATGCTCGGGATGGGCTAATATATGACGGTGCTTTGGACGACTTTAGCAGGCCTCCCTTGGGTACAATAGGTACGATGGGTGCATGGCGTAGCTTGACAAGGTAATTCTCGCCAAGCTCACTTATTCTAGTAGCAAAATATCCAAAGAGCGCTGTAGCACCTTGGTTGTCCTTGGGTGGACGTGCTAGCAGACGGCTAACACATTCTGCCATTGGAGGATCACGGGAGACTCCAAATTTCTATCATCATATTAGTAAGGCGTGGGAGCAGCTATCAGCAAGAAACTTACGTTGGCATGATCATGTAAGTCGCGGCGAAGAATTCTGAAATCCAAGATGCTTGCTTTCGGGTTGGTAAAACATTCACCTGGGCACACAAGGTCATTGCTTCCCTCGATTGGCAAGATAGCCTTCTTGCTGGCAGCATAGTCGAAGCTTGAATAAGTATTTGTATGGTGGTTAGCAATGAAGTACGTCATCGCGGATGTTCGGAGAGCAGTATCCTTGGAAGCCATCATATCCACGAGCTCTTGCACACTGGGGAACGACCTCAGGCCAAGGGACCTTAGAAAATGGGCTTCGCCACTATTGGGTCGGAAACTACCTGGTGGGCCTGGCCATTGGATAATCGGCAAATTCAGTGTTCTCAAGGATTCCTTGGGTTCAAAGAGTTCTGAAATGCGATACATTTTCTCGGATGCTTTCGTTGGCTCCATACCTCGAGGCCCTGCTTCAGCTGGACAAAATCTTGTTTGTCTGAGCTTAACCAGGTCACCTTCAGGGATATCCTTCTGTACAGACGTCAAGTACTTGATGAGCTCCATATGACTCCATTTTGTTTGCCCGCTAGAGCCAGGCTGCAATAGTCGACTGAAAATAGTCTCTAGATCGACTGTTTTGCGTACACCTATAGCAACTAGAAACTTCTCTTTGACTTTATCACACCCCTGAAGAGTTGGCAAATCGTCAAACAGCTTAACAGTTGGGAAAAAAGAATCGCTTGGCTGCTTCATGCCAGCCTTTGTCGGTACAACTGCTTGGCCGTCTAGAAGACCAACTATCGTGGTACGATCCCTAGGAGGCAACGTATCCCAGTTCTTGGACAAAATGGTCAAAACCTGGACAGCAAACTTGGACGATCGAGTAAGACTTTCATCTTCTTTGCAGCTCTTTGTCGTTTCCAACAAGAAACGTAGCCATGTCACCACTTCCAGAGATTCCCAGCCAAGAGCCTGCAGCTCTTGTGGTGTACAGTGCATGGTGAATGCAAATGGAATCGTTGTCGGAGGCAACGGCATATTGGCTGGGATTCGAGAAAGGCTGAGAAACGTTCGAATATCACCAAGTGCAATAATTGCGCCGTGATCACCCTCATCAGAGGCGGTAGCCACCGCTACTTCCAGAAGAGCAGCACGGCTAGCGTGGTCAAGCTCGCCGGTGATGGTCTTCTTGCTTAGCCAGGAAATAAAGCTGATCACTTGTGCTTTTGTCAATGCCTTTGCTTCAAGTTCTTTCTTCACATCGGCAACCATGATATGAGAAATCAGTCCAAAGTCAATCAGCTTCTTGACAAATGTACAGTCTTCCAACTCCTTGGGTACGATTGGAACAGTATCAACAAATGCAGATAGCTCTTGGATCCCTAAGCGGACAGATGATGTTTGCATAATACCGCGGCTTGAGTACATCTCAATGGATGCCTTTTTGAAACAGGTCCAAAAGGCTTCTTCAATAATCTGACCAACTTGTGCGCTAGGAGTTGAGTCGGAGAAGGTGAATGTCTTGAAGATATGCATTGCCTCTGGCATAAACTTCTGTATCACCTCATCACTGATTCGCTTGTTCTTTTCTGCTGTTTCCCGGAGGCGCTTATCTAAGTCTGCCATTTCGTGGACAAAAGCCAGTCGCGTAATAATACCGGCAGCTCGCAGAAGTTCAACGTTCCAGGTTCGAACCCATCTTGCGTTGAGATCGATTGCTTCACGCTCCACCGTCGGGATTACAGAGGGAGCTGAGACGTGAAGGCCGCCACCGGTAGTTTGCATAGTCGGGAAGCCAATGAAAACACGGCCACCAGGCTTTTTATTGGGCAAGACCGAGGCGAAGATGTCTGTAGCTCCGCCAACAGCACCTTGAACTGCCAATGATTCGGTAGCAGCAGATTCATCATATGACGAAGTAAGAATAGCAAGTTTTGTTGTTTTGGGAGGAGGCTTCTTCGTTGCTCGTTCCAATTCGGCGGCGAAGTTGGATGATACGCTCGTCTGTACAGATGCAGACGTGGCGCGGAGAAAGATTGTTGAGTTATTCAGTTTCGTAATATTGTCAGAAATCTCCTTCTGGGCGAGGGACTCTTGTGCAGCTGCTTTAGACTTGGCCGTTGATGCTGATGTTGCCGAAAATCTGGCAAAGAAAGATCGTAACGAGGAGGGCTCTGAGGAACCAAACGTGTCCGAGCTTTTGGCAGCGCTTGCAGCTTGAGGCTTCCACCCAATGACGCTCATATACTTTGCATCAATCTGCGTACTGGTTCGCTCTACGCTTACGACTTTCATCAAGCCATCTTTTGTTCGGGCTTCCAAGTCTCTGGGAAGACCGAGCTGAGCAGGGGGTGATGTCTTCTTGTTCAGCGAAAGTAGTTCGTAGTCGTCAATTTTGAATGTAATATTTTGGAGAGCCACAAAAGTCAAACTTGTTGCGAGGAACTGGGCAACAGAAAGAAGGTTGGGCAACGGTGTTGTGTTATTGCGGTAGTCCAAGACAAACGTGGTGTATTTCGTTGTTTGGTCTTCGGGTAGCTGCGACTTCCTGGTGAAGAGGGAGTTTCCTTTCCAGTAAAATGCCATGGCTTCTGCACCAGAGCTAACAAAAGGCTCCTCGCAGTCGGCAAATACGCTGTAGAAGCCGACACCAAACGCACCAATCTTGGTTTCGTCTGGGTTGCCCTCAGCGATTCGCTTGAGGCGTCCCCAATCTGTCTTTGTAAATGGCTGACCATCATTCTGAACGACTAAGCGGCGTAGCGTGTGGTTTGACAGCGTATGTTTCAAAAGTTCGGATCGATCGGTTGTGCTCGGAAGGGGAACTTGTATCGAAGGTAGAGTTTCCCACGTAATTGTGACAGATGTTGCCTGGGCATCGGCGGCATTCTGAATCAGCTCTCTCAGAGTCGTCCACTCTCCTGAATATCGGGCCAGAACTTTGTCGATGAGGGCTCGGGTATCGACAGTGACGGCTTCTTCGTCTTCGCCGTGGCGCATAGCCGCCGCCCGCAGGCTCGAATAATCCATGATGAAGCCGAATAATAAGGTGGTTTCTGATCAATAGATGGTTATTTGAGGGATCTAAATTGCTAAAAGCACATGGTAAAACGACGTCTAGCGATATTGTACTGATGACACTAGGCAATAGCAACGTGCGTGGCGTTGGTTCGCAGCTGGCGCGGCTTCGGTGGCGAGGCTGTAGGGATGCAGTGAGGCAATGAACTGCGGGCCAAGTGAAATGGTTCGTCTACCAGCTTCGTTTGTATTCTAGTGTGTCAACGGCCCTGGAGGAATCTGGCGTTGGGGAGGTGAGGAGTGGGAGTGAAGTCGGCTTGTTGTCCAGAAACGCAGGTACGTCGTCGCCTATAACGGTCCGCCCTGACCTAGTGCTGGCGCAGTGGCACGTCACCGCCCCACGGGCCGCCTCACAATGGGGTGGCTGTTTGTGTAGGGTACATCAAAGCACCGCCTAGCATGAATAATAATTACCGGATACGAACAAACAGAAATACAACAAATGCGACATTGTAAGTTTGATATAATCTTTTATCCTTTTACCAGCTATAGACATGGTATACATTTAAAGGGTGTTATACACACAAAGATCTTTGTAGTCGTTGTATTTATGGGGTATCGTAATGTGAATGTTCCAAGCGCAACTCCAACAGTGAACATTTATTCTTTCGTTCCTCTTTGTCTTGGGCTGCGTTCCCGGTTTCTGCCCTCTCTTGAACGTGACCTTCTACGCTCTCTGCTACCATCTCGTCGATGCCTATCTCTTCTCCCAGGACTTCGACTTCGCTTTCGGCGTGATCTTTCATGGTGAGGACGAAGATCTCTGCTGCGCTCTCCGTCTCGTGAGCGACTGCGACGTCTGGATCGATGTTCACGACCACTGTCTCTACCTCTGCTTCTGCTCCTATGCCTTCTGTGATGTCTTCTGCTAGATTCGCCGTGGTGATGTGATCGATCTCGGTCTCGGTTCGACGATTTGTCTTTTGATTCTGGTGCGTCGTCTGGGTTTGCAGTAGGTCCAATAGGCCGCTTATTTTGAATCTCGATATCGTTTGCGCCTGTAGTATTCCGTTGCTTTACTGGGAGACCAAGCGCAACCGCCATGGCGTCTTCTTCAGCTTCTTTGATCTTGCGCATCTCTTCCTTGCGTTCGCGTGCAATACGCTCTTCATCTGTCTCATCGGCGTTCGCAGCCGTGGCACCCGAATTCGCATACCAGTTAAGATCCCTTCCTTGTTGCCATCTGCCCACAGGCGCCTTCAGACTGTGTCCGAGATAGTTTTCGCGTCGGGATGAACTGGCGACCTCGTCCCAACTGAAGTTGACGCCGCCGCGCGAGCCGGTTTTACGAACTGTTTGAAGCAGATCCATAGTCTATAGAATTACTTATGATCTTTGATGCGGTTAATCAACAGAGAAAATTGAAGTAGGGCTGTTTACTGCTGTGATGGTGCTCTGTGGTTGGCAGCAACTACCATGAAGTTGTTTGCAAAACTGTCAGCTGACCCTAGCGCTGTCGAAAACCGCTGGAGCCACTAAATCACCCCCGGAGTTGGGCGATTAGGCGCTGAACCAACTTTGCGCTAGCAGAGTATTTCGATTGAGCTCCAGGCTCCACCCAACTCCACTGAGACGCCTGTGGCCAGCATCGCCGCGCGCAGCTTCACCAACTTCACTTCGCAGCTCCAGGTTCGACAATTCCACCCGATCACAGCGCAAGCCAGACACAATGGACAGCCCGAACGAGCCTCCTCTCGACGAGATTCAATGGCGCTCACCGCAAATCCTCGCGGGCATGGGTGGCCTTCACTCCAACACGATCCTCTTCTACTTTGCCGAGTCGCCCTTCTTCGAGCGAACATCGAACAATGCCGTCGTCATGAGCCAGGCTATGAGCAACATGTCAATGTACCACTTTATACAAACAAGAGAAGCCTTTGAGGGTCGCTTAAAGACCATGTCTGGCCTCGAATTCACCGTGGCAGAGGAGCCCGCTGAGTCTGGGCCTGGCATGGGCACCGGTGTCTGGGTTATTCGCAAGCAAACGAGGCGAAAGCGATACCAAGAAGATGACGAAATTGTTGTGCATTCAACATATTTTGTGGTCGGAGAGAACATCTACATGGCGCCGACACTTGCCGACATTTTGGCATCTAGAATTGTAAGCTTATCGAGTTCACGTGCGTCGCCTATTTGCTAACCTTGGAGCTAGATGACGATATCGTCCGCTATTGCAAAGGCCTTACCCGCTGCTGAGGCAGCACGAAAATGGCGACCATCTCTGGGCCATGTATATAACCTTCCTGGTAGCCAACCTGCGACTACAACAACGCGAAACTTGGAATCAACAGTTGCGACACCGGCCCCGGCCCCCGCTACCGAGGCTGCACCGCCTCCTGCAGTCACCCAAAAGGCAGACGAATTGTCCCTCGAACGAGCAGCAGAAGAGGCATTCATGGTTCATATGCGTCATGGTGGTGAATATCTCGACGAGAACCCCATTACTGGACGGCCGGGCGAGTTCCATCTCACATCAACCGGACGAAAGCCTGTGCTACCCCCGCAGGATAAGCAGACTCCTGGTATTGGTACAATGAACGGGCCATCACTGCCTGGAAAGGATGAATCCAAGAAAGAAGGCAGAGCAGATAAGCCCTCGAAATCACCTGGCATACCGAAGCCGAAACGCAAGAAGAGCAGGCTGGGCGGAGGCAGAACGCCAGCGGCCAGCTAATTCGAAACGAGCAGCTAGCCGACATGTGCTTTGTATTTTTATATATGAAATAAACGATACCCCTTTCCTGGCGACCCATTTGTCTATGAAACTGTGATGCCGCCATCAACAAGCGTAACAGAGCCGAGCATGTACGATGCCTTGGAACTTGACACAAAGGTAATCACATCGGCAATCTCTTGGGGTGTTGCCTTTCTCTTTAACAATATTGGCTCCACCGTTGGACCATCATTAGGAATGGCTGCTGCGAGCGGTGTACTGTGATGTCATTAGTAAAAACGATAGTGTTGAGCAATAGTTTGGTGTTCGTACTCGACAAGTCCGGGTGCGACGCAATTGACACGGATGTTGTGTTTGGAATACTGCAACTGTTAACGACATGCGCATACAATAACAAGTAGATAATTTGACTTACATCCACAGCATCGCTCTTCGTCATATGCATGACGGCCGCCTTAGTAGAGCAATATGTCGCTAGGTACGAATCAATATCAGTAGCTGAACTTCCACCCATATCGACGAATACTTACTTCTTCCAGGCTGCGTGTTCAACCCAAGATCACTGGCAATATTAATGATAGAGCCACGACATCCAGGACGCCCATCATGTGTTGGTAGAGGTTCCTGGTTTCTCATATGCTTTGCCTCCTCTCGCGAACAAAGCCACACGCCACGATAGTTCACAGCGGCAACGTTATCAAAGTCTGCAAGTGGCATATCGATGGAAACAGCCCCGGGTCCAAAAATGCCTATTCCAATAAGAAGAACTGTTAGTCTTTCTCATCCTAATTTGGGGTTATTAGTGAATGTACGTGCCAGCACAGTTGACAGCGTAGTCTATACGGTGAAAGTGTTCAATAGTAAGCGCCAGCCCCGAAACAACATTCGCCTCATTGCGCACATCAACCACCACTGGCAGAATATCTGCATCAGGCGCAATGTTGAGAACCAGATCCCTAGTCTCGTTAATAGCGGCTTGATCGCGATCCGCCACGGCAATCTTGCGGCATCCTTCAGCCACAAAAGTGATGGCGGTTTGCCTGCCAATACCCGATCCCGCGCCTGTGATAAAAGCAACACCAGGGAATAGCGTCATTTCGTCGTCAAAATGAACAAGATAGAATAACAATTAAGAGAATAGAGAGATTGCCCAAGATGAGGAGACAAACCGGCTCGGCTCAGTACGACCACCGTCAATACTCTCCAACCTTGGGAATCCACTTGATCCACATCGACTGTTACTCACGGAACTCGGCAGGTGTTTGTGCAGAATGTAACCCTACGGCGACCATTTGCCTGCCGGACTCTACTATGTACAAGTATATATGATGCCCTAACAATAATAACGCCACTGATACTATATGATTTCTCTCCCCGAACCTGTGTTCTTAGTCAGCAAGAACCCAACCCCTACCGGCCACCTTTTTCTCCTTCAATATCTTATGCGGGAGCGGCCAGCCCATGCCACCCGTGCCTTCTGCCCGCAGGCTAGGCTCAAATAATGACTGTCGTGTTAAGCCATCGTCTGATACCTTGACAATCTTCTTGGGCTTTCCGTACGATAGTAATGGCGTACCCTTGGCCAGATTAGCCAATACCTCTTCCCCAACGTCTGTAAGTGCGTGCATGCGAGTTTTGCCCTTGTTCTCTGATTCTATTCCTGACGATGATGCCCGCTGGAGGTAAGAGTAGACAATGTACTTGGGGCACTCTTGAACACTTGTGTGTGCTAGTGGAGAGGATGGGTGGATGTAGACGAAGCCCTCTTCCACTTGGTGTGGTCGACTCTGTGTTGGAATCAGCGGTACGTACGGGACGTCGATAGGGCGGCTTGGCTTGCGGATCTGCCCGGTACCAGTAGGTAGAAGATCAGCCCTCTTGGCGATGCGGTCGACAAACCCGGCAGCAACCATTTGCTTCAATGCGCGGACTTGAGTTGGGGATGGCGGATCAAGCTTGTCCTTGTGCTTCAAGTTCGCAAAGGCAGGGATGTTGGTACGGAGGAGCTCTGTAATTTGCTTACGTAGCTGCTGGATTTCTTTGAGCACCTTGAAACGAACAAAGTGACGATCACACCAATCCTCCGTGGGCTCGTGGGCGAATTCACCAACGACCTGCAGAAGCTTGATCGCGTCGGATCTGTCGTCGAGGAAGCAGAAGTTGTGCTGGACTTGGTTATATAATCTTCGGACGTTGGCTTGGCGGTCTTCCGCAATAACATCCGCGTTGGTGCGGAACCCAACATTCTCCTTGGCAGTAAGCGCAGGAATAGCCTGGTTTTCCGGTAGGAAAACCTCTGCGGCCGATAAACCAGCTACCAGGGCCACGGCGTACGGTAGGCAGCCTTGACTGTGTCCAACCAACAAGATTCTCGCAAAGCGAGGGGCGAGCGGGAAGACTGACATTGTCTTACCAATACGTGTAACCTGGCCTTCAGAGTCGATGGCGGATAGATATGTAAGCAGTTTCTCTGCCATGGCCAAACTGTCGCGGTCTGGAGGTGTAGGGAAGGGGAAGTTGACAACGTGTTGAAGATTCATGGCCTTGAGCTGCAGAACAACACCTTCAATAGGCATACGCAACAGCTCTGGGTCAGCAAACTCGGCAAAGTCTCGCTCAAACACAGCAGACGAATATAATCTGTAACAGTGACCGGGGCCCGTTCTGCCTGCACGACCAGAGCGCTGACTAGCGCTAGCTTTGCTGATCCAGCCAATGTCGTAGCTCTGAACACCGCTCTGGCGATCGTACTGGCGTTCCTTGGAACGTCCACAGTCAAAGACAAATCTTGTGCCCGGAATTGTCAAACTTGTTTCGGCAACGTTGGTGGCGAGAATAACTTGGCGGACACCTTCTGGAGCAGGATCAAACACCCTCATCTGCTCTCGTGTAGGAAGCAACGAGTACAAGGGTAGAACTTGCATCTTTAGAGGTGCCATTTCCTGATCATCCTCAATTTGGAACTCGTCCTCATCCTCTTCCTCATTATCAGGAATCTCATCCTCATCTTCATCACCTCCCACGCCATCGAGATCTCCCAGTTCCAAGTCTTCCACTTCCATTGGAGCATCTGCTGTTGAGATTTGTACTTTGTGGCTATCAACAGTCTTGGGTCCACCAAAGCTCGCCTTGAGGCGCTTGCTTAGCTGCAAGATCTCGTTGCGGCCAGTCAAGAAGACCAAGAATCCACCTGGCGGTAGCTTCCGGTGACCACGGCTAATCTTCTTGAACGCTTCTTCGACATAATCGACATTTGTACGTCTTGAAAAGTGAATTGTGACAGGGTGTTGGCGACCTTCGACTTCTACAACAGGAGGCGGCTTGGGGAATAAGTTTGGGTTCATGGTCATGTCCTCTATCCTCAGCGTGGCTGACATGATAATAAGCTTAAGAGGTTTTAATGTCTTTTCTTCCTTGGCAAGATCAGAGCGGAGCTTAATGATTCTGCTGAGCATACCGATGAGGATATCAGTATTGACACTGCGCTCGTGAGCTTCATCGATGATAATGGCGGAATATTTGCGGAGGGTAATATCATTTGCGATTTCTCGGAGCAACACACCATCAGTCATAAACTTGATGGAAGTGTTGGCGTCAACCGTACCCTCAAATCGGATTTGATAGCCCACGGCTTTGCCATGGTCCCCAAGCTCCTGTCCAACACGTTTTGACATACTGACGGCGGCGACACGTCTCGGTTGTGTTACTGCTACCATGCCGGGAGTTTCAGAGCCAGGGCAGCCGAAACCAGCTTCGTAGAGAAACTGTGGAACTTGTGTAGTTTTACCAGAACCAGTAGAACCGCAGATGACAACGATGTCGTGGTTATGAATCGCTTCCATTAGGCGCTGTTCTTCTGATACCACAGGTAGCTTCATTCTGGCTTCTTCGATTTCAGGTGTTCTTGTAACTGTGACACTGAAAGCTTTGCGGTCCTCACGAGCAGTACCTTGCAGCTCCATAGGTAGAGGATCTTGCTCAGGAGCACGTGGGACAAAGTTTTCAAGCTTGGGGATATCCAGAATGGATGGTGTGCCGTCTGCTGCTTTGTAGCCAAGGGCTTCGTTTCGTTGCTGATGTGCCCACGCTTTGAACGCTGAAGATCTCGCAGATTTGTCCATCGCTTCATTCTCATCCTCATCTTCTTCAGATTCTTCGTCCTCCTCATCATCATCGTCGTCATCATCGTCATCGCCTTCCTCGTCAGAATCCTCCTCGGAGGTTTGGTCGTCGTCTTCCTTGTCGTTATCGCTATCGAAACCGTTCCATGAATTGTCGTCGTCATCCTCATCATTGTCGTCCTCGTCGGATTCTTCTGGGACAGGTGCAGCAGCCTGTAAAGATATCTTGGACTTGACACCGCCGCGCTTTTGACGCTTCTTCAGTACGGGTCGACCGTCCTCGTTAACCTCCAATGGGCGCTTGAGTCCAGAGCCAATTGCTGGTGCTTCTGTCTTTGTTTCGGTTTCAAGGATTGTTGGTTGGATATTTGTAGGTACTGGCTTCGCAGTAACCTCGGCGACTTGTGGTGCATCCTCCTCCTCGTCACTATCGTCCTCTGCATCTTGTTGATCAATCTCCCGAAGCTTTTGGAATAAGATGTTGTTATTTTCTTCACCACCATCGATACCAGCCTTATGATCTCTAAACGCCTTTGCAAGCGCCTGCTTCTTTGTTTGCTGTCCTTGGCCAATTGTCTTGCTGCTGCTGAACAGCGTTGTGTCGATTTTTCGCGAGGCGAGCTTGGCTAGAAGCTCACGATTTTCGTCTTTCTTGAGCTTGTTATCAATGTATTTTTCAAGTCGCTTGGCCTTCTTGGAGCTCATTTTCTCGCCATCCTTTCTTAATTGTTCTTTTAGACGCGCTCGTTTCTCGGCGTGTATCTGCTTGTCGCTGGCAAGAATCTCTTCTTGGTTGGTGTCTTGGACTTCATGTTTGCTGTTTTCGTTGGCACGCTCTCGGGCGAGCACTTTGTGCTTTCGCTGCCTCGGAACAAACTTGGGCATGGTGATAATATTTTGAGAATTTTAAAACATGCCGTTAAATTGCCAATCAAAAAGTGTCACGGACAAGCAAAATTCAAATCGACAGGTCTCGGCTGGCAGGACTTCTAGAAATTTTGGTGGAGCAGGCACTATTGCCACCAGTGACCGCCAAAACATCGAACCAGAACGGGTCTAGCGCGGGGCGGTGTGGTGCCGCGATAATGCATGTTGCCCGCACTGCGAGTTCAAGCTGGCACTAAAGTTGCAATAAATCTCCGAGAAATTTACTAAATATATCGAAATATAATGGAAGAAGCTGACCTTCGATTCGAGCCGTTTCCTGCAAAGGCTCGCAGCGTCTCTGGCGCAGTCAATGGCGTCGAGACGGAGATTACACTCACCAACTTCTCCGACAAGATCCTTGTCACCATCAGCCAAGGTGGCCGTCTTTCACAATGGGTATGATGATCTGTCTAGGAAGAAGTGATGTGGTATGCAAATATTAACTGGAGTACAGGTTCAGGTGCCGTTGACTGGATCCGCAGCTAGAGCCGTCGATATGAGCCTGCCTGGCGCCCCAAAGAGTCTCCTCCCATCGACGCATCTTACACCGACAACTCTTTTCGGTGGCGGTGGTGATGATAGAGAAACAGTTGGTCAACTATACGCGGCTCAGCTTGCTAGCCAGATTGAAATGCGAAACGGTGACGACAAGAGAACGCTGGTAGTTGGGCTGGGGCTGGAGAGCGTCGACAAGTCACGAGAAACGTTTTTCGACTTTATTGAGTTGGCACAACAAGTTCTTTGAATTGGAATGGTCGAGTTAACTTCACTATCGTGGCATCGGCGTTTGGGATTTGCTGGTTTCACAGTTATGAGCGCATCTATAACTTCCAAGGCTTGTACATATGCGTATTGTTTGTATATATTTAGAACGTAGCAACTTTCAACGGTTTAAGCTACGTAGTCGATTCAAAGGGGATAATAGAATAATATCTAGTATGTTCTTCTCCTAACTTTGCCTGATTCTGGTACCAACTACACCAGATGTCCTTCTAGCCATGCCTCGTTTAAAACTCTATAGCTACACTAGTAGCCTTGTAGGGCGCTGATCGAACTACGAGACCGTTGATCGCACAAAGGCGAAGGGACCCATAACCCGTATGTAGACACAATAGAAATTACAAACACCTTTCTGGAAGAATTCATAGGGCGATGCTGTTCAGCTTCCATCACGGCACCTCCGACACCTCTTACCGCATTTAGGCCTCTACAGCGAGCAAAAACACTTCTACACCTAAATTTATTCCACTGGGTCCTTCCAGTGGATTTCAGCGTCGTCACACTTTTTCTTTCAGCGGACACTAGCGCCAGTGTTGACACCGAGGCGGAGCCTCTGACCTCGCGCCAGCTGTCCTAATCAGGTAAGGCGACCGTCAGTCGGGCCTGGGCTTCACCTCGGAGGGCTCGTCGCGGTCGCCGTGATGAATCTCGCTTATGCCGATTTTACTTTTTGCGCTGCTTGAAATCTTCCGTTGACGATAGCCTTTGCGTGTTGATGGTGGCTTAGCATGCTACTTTGGATTCGCGAGATCGGGTTCTAGGGCTGTGGCTGGCGGAGGATAAATAGCAGGCAGATCCATGCCCTGCCTTTGTAGTTCAGCTCGCTTCAGCTCTAACCTTCGCCATTGGACTACCCAAGACTATCAATTTTATTACTTCTCTGTTAAAACTCTTTGTTCTACCTTTACCGCCAAAGATATACGGGAATCCAGATACCATTATAATGGCCACAACTACAACCACCGCCGATGCTGGCATCTACACTGGCGCCGTGCCAGAAGACCACATCAAGGCTGTCGCAGCATCGCCCAACCCTCCCTCCAAGCCAGCCAAGCCTGATTTTGGTCTCGATTCGCTTTTTGGGCTTGTTGCCTCTGCCATTGCGGCCCCTCTATACCTTTATGCAACCCTCAAGGGCAAATTCGAAGTATGGGACGATGTTCTCAACGCACTGCCCGACTCGACCTTCGCAGACCACCCAGCCATTGACGTCGGCTGCGGCCGCGGCATGGTTCTTCTTAAACTTGCGCAACGTAAGAAGCGCATCGCTGAGGCAGCAGGAAAGGGTTCTGATTCTATTCCCTTGGCTTACGGTATCGACATCTTTAGCACTGCTGACCAGACTGGCAATGCGCCAGAGGCCACCTACAAGAATGCGCTAGCCATGGATGTAGTACCGTACACCGTGTTGCATACTGCAAGTTTCACCGAAACATTTCCCTTCGAAGACAACACATTTTCTTTGTTGACATCCAACCTGGCTATTCACAATGCCAAGCGAGAGGGCCGTCTGGATGCGGTTCGCGAAATGGCTCGCGTGTGCATGCCTGGCGGTACTATGATCATTATCGATCTCTATGGCTTCTTCAAGGACCACAAGTCCGTCCTTGTTGATGAGCTTGGCTGGAAGGATGTCGATGTCTCTGTTGTGAGCTGGAAAATGCTCTACGGCGTATTACCATGCCAGATTCTCAAGGCTACTAAGCCAACCCAATAGAACATCTACCACGATTCATGTACAATCAGACACACATTATACTGTATTAAGGCGTTGAAGGATATGAAAGCAGCAACTTCTTTAGTTTTTTGTATTTTTAACGATTGATTAGCGATATATATATACCACCGTTTCCGTTTCTTTTGCACTGGTCCATATTATCCTCCTAAATAAAATCATGAGTCGTACATCGTCGAGTTTGTTCTCTGTCGATTGTGATGCGAGTCTACAACAATCGCCTACATCCCCAGCTAGTTCCTTGCTCGGCAAGGCCTGCGTCTATCAGTGTCCTGTGTATCTCGCGTACGGCCAGCCAGGGCCGTTGCGTATTCGACACGGGTCGAAGAATGCTCGACATTATTCTCGACCCCGCAATTTGTCCAGTGCGGCGATTTAAACCGTTGTCTGTCGTTTTTGTTATCCAAGATGCAACGAATGGATACGGAACCAGCTTATGAGGAACGGTTCTTGCGGTCTGTGCTAAGTCTTCTGGAAAGCTGTTGAAGCTGCTTGTCATTAGCAGCCTCCTCAGCAGCCTTTTGCAGAGCTGTAGCACGCTCCTCCTCTTGGTGTCGGACGACCTCTTCGTGGCTAGGGGGCAGGTGCTCGTTCTGGATATCAACCTTCTTCGCATCTTCGAATGTGCTGATGGCATTCTTGATACCCTCAGCACCAAGCATGAGGGTACCTGCGGGAAGTCGTCCACCAGCAACTGTCTTGAGCTCGGTGACACGCTCGGATTCTTCTCGCAAAACCTGGAACACACGGGACATGCGGCCAATGGCGAGAATCTTGTTCTTGATAGCGCGTCTCTTGAATTCAATAGATTCGGGGTCTTCGCTGGCGGACGCTGGGGGCGAGCTGGGGAGCGGCGAGTTGTTGGCTTCCTCCTTGAGCTCTTCTTCAGAGCAAGTGCTAAGGATGGCGATAAGCATATCGGTAATTTTCTCACCAACAAAAGGTAGAGACCATGTGAAGACGTCCATAAAGTTGGGAAGCCAGTATGGGTGAGGAGTGCAGTTGAACTGTCGAATGTTCATCACATTGTTTTCGTATTTGAGCACAGCAGCCTTGTTGTTGTAAACGTCGAGATAATTGGGGGCGGAGAAGATCGTCATGACACTAGGGAAGCCCGTCGTTCTGGTCTTGCGGTACATTCTATAACCGGCATCTTGAGCTTCGTGGGCGCGGATAATCGAGAGGAGATTGTTCTTTTCGAGGAATGCGCAGGCAGCAGGGTAGGAGAAGAAGTATGAACAGCCACGGACGTGGTTGTGCAGGAAGAAGTCGCTCGTCTTTTCCTGGCCAAAGTCCTCGAGAGGATCAGCCCAGAGAATGTCACACATGAGGCCTTGCGTCGGTGGCTCTCTGAATCGGTCAATCTATAAATTCCGTTAGTTTGCTGAGTCTGTTTGTTGCACACTGGCATTCATCTGCTTACGCTTCTCAAATCATCCAAGGTATGGAGTTCGGGGCTAAGACCGCCGTGAATGCACAGAAATTGCTTGTTCATGACAGCGGCGAGGGGCAAGCTGCAGAAGGACTCCATGCAGGCATCATAGACTGTCTCAGAGTACTTGTGCTTGCACTCCAACTTGAACGTGAAGTAATCGGTCAAATGACGGCATTCGTGGTTTCCGCGGAGAAGCCACAGAGTCTTGGGGTAGTGGATCTTCAAAGACCAAAGATACAGCACACATTCGATACTGAAATAACCACGGTCGACGTAATCACCAAGGAAGAGGTAGCGAGTCTCGGCAGGGTCTCCACCGACTTCGAATAACTTCATCAAATCATAGTACTGTCCGTGAACATCACCACAGACGGTGATGGGGGCGTCCATCTCGAGCAAGTTGGGCTCAGATCGTAGAATCTCAGTTCCCTTCTTCAAGATGAAGAGAGCCTGTTCTTCAGTCAAACGTCCCTCACGGTAAAAGTGCTGCTTGAGGAAGTTGATGTCGGGCATTGAGCGAGAAGAGTCTGTGTAGAACTGTTCATCGGTAGGTTTGCTCATGGCGGGAGCTTGGACATCTAAATGGATAGCTCGTTAGAATCGTTGTTAAAGCGCGTGTGCGAGCACCGATCTTGGGGTTCCCTCTCCGCCGTCGTTCGTTTTCCGACCACTAACCTTTGCAAACACGCTCCATAGTGTTAACCTGGGTACCATCTTCCATTGTGTGAATAGTAAAGTCAATCTCAGGGCGAGGCTTCTTCTCTTGAATGGCACGAATAGCGTTGTCAACCTGCTGGTTGCGGCGCTCGCCAGCAGACACTGGAGCTGATTCGGAGTCCATTGTGACAGCTTTGGGGTTTTGTGAGGTGGCGAGATTGGTAGCAACGATTGACCTGTCGTATGCTCTATCGGGCCGTACTCGTCAGGATCAAAGGGTAAAAATTGCGACAAGCTGCTGGGCTTGCTGTGTTTGGTTGGCGGTGAGGGGGCGGGGAGACGGTTCGAGCAGAGAAGCTTCGTGACCAGCCGTGGTGGCTTATTCGTCTGCAGAGATCGGAGGAGCTCTTATATTCGGGAAATGAGCAACGGAAATTCTCTCTCGCAGCCAGGGATCAGACTCGGATTTTGGCGAGATGCGGCTGGGGTAATATGGCAGTGCAGGCAGTGCTTGAGTAGAGCACAGGAGAGGGTTAGTCGAAGCGGAGCGCACGCTGGCGGGGAGGGGGGAGGTGAACGTCTGTGCCTTGATTGGACCAGCGCTAAACGAACAGCTTTTTTTGCCCTGTGCTTGGCTGGGCTGGGGTGCCTGGGCCATACAACTTTACCCCTCCTGGGAGGGCCCAGCACCACCATTTTCTACAGCCATCGCGTGAGACACGCCATTAACAGCTGCAGGGGGTCAGGGAAACATATCTACAAAATGTAAGCGAAAAATAATTCTATATTTGTTCACAGAACCGCTTCCTCAAATATTTGATTTCCCATCCTTCACCACAAAATCCTCACGCCCGCCAGCTTTATCGCGCACCCGCGGACAGTCCCAGCCTCTTCAAGTAAACAAACATCCCGTCAGCGGGCTGCCGCTTCCCCAGCCCCGCTACGGCACAGCTACAGCAGCTACGGGTGCACAGCAGCCCCGGCATAAAACTGCCCCGCACAAACAACCACCACCGCCCACTGACGGCTCAGGCTAGACGATTAGACTCACACTGATCTCGATTACGTCACTTTGCCATGCAGCCATATGCAAAATACCATGTTCTAGTGATACCGTTTCCTCTATGTCTACTGTCTCTGAATGTTAGAAGCAATCACTTCGTCTCGGGGATAGTTACTGAGCTTCCACTGGGAAACGAAGTCGTCTCGGCTGACTGTAAATCTGATTAGTGGCGGGATTCCCTATGTTTGACTGACGGAAGAGAATTCTTACTATATCCTCCACATATACGGCGCGTGCCTTCAAAAGCGCTTCTCCCGTGTAAAACTCTCCAATTATCAAATACTATGCCACGTTAGAAGATTGCTGACTTCGCACACCTGCGGGCTCTGAAACTTACTGAGTAGGCGGCCAGGCTGCAGCTGAAACCAGTACTCGGTCTCCTTTCGCGTCAAAATCTCGTGCCATTTACGCGCTGCTCTATACCATACTGAGGCATCAGAGGTCATGGGAACTACGCCACGATCGTCGTTATTCCATCGGATTCGACGGAGGGGTGAATCCCCCTCAATGACCGGATAGGTTTCGTCAGGTGAGATGGCGACCCCTTCGTTGCCGCTCGCATGCCATGGTAATCGAACAGTCCGTAAGCAATCATAGTCTTCTGGAGATTCTGCTTTCAACACTGCAGCTGCGTGAAAACCATCTACTAGCAGAGATTGCCCGCCAAGAGCTTCGTTGTTGGCTGACGTGGATGGTGCGGTATGAGAGAGAAGATGAAACGATTGTAATCCTGCTGGTTCGCTGAAGTAGGTAGTATCCGTATGTGCTGATAGTGCCAGATTAGTATAGGCTGTATCTGCCAGTGCCAAATCTGGAATAAAATCATAAAATCCGCCGTAGTGCGTATTTCGAATTGGTCCAATAGTTGACAGCAGCTTTTCCGACGCTTCTGGGGTAGGCGGTGTCCCGGTGACAAAGCACAGCCCGTATAAACGCTAAAGCCAAATCGTTTTAGCAATTATATAAACTTAAGCTTGTCGCAATACAGGACTCTTACCAGATTGTTGGTTAGCTTAGCCATGCCATCGCTACCCGCACTCATCACATCGTTATAGACCACCTCTGGTGGGTTAGCCGTTATTTCGGAGCCCCAAAGCTTTTTATTGCTATAAGCGTTTAGAATATACTTTAAAATCATCATGTTTGCCAAAAGTGCTTACTCTTTCTCCGATATGGTAGTTTTGGTTGCCTTTGGTAGAGTACTCTCTAGCCATTTCCATGTGTAGCTACTAGAGTGCAAGTCGGACCCTGTGTTTGATGTTACGGTTAGAGTTTTTTATTGCAGTGACTTCATCTTCTGAAATTCTCTTACATGTTACATGGGCCGCATCATCTGTCATCTCGATGGTTTTGAGATCGATGTTTTCCGGGATCTAAGCTTGTTAGAAACACGTGCTTTTGGAATGTTCCACACAGCTTACTTCGAAGGTATTGAAATTACGCTGCATAGTGTCTTGGTTAACACAGCTTGTGCAGCGGCAATTATCGCTAAAAATAAATGAATTGTATTAGCTTCGTTTGGTGGTCCATAGCAATTAGCATCGCAAACGGCGTACCGGAGCCAGATCTTCGGTCTATACAGTTGTTAGTAGAGAGGTCGGCATATCTCGCCAACTTTTAATACTTACAAAATTGCCTCCTCGGATTTGTTTTCCAAATTTTTCAAAACTGCGCCGCTCTTACTGTTCTCTAACGCCATTGAAAAAGATCGCGTTTGTCGAGAGGTTACCGAAACCATAGCCGAGCGGCCGCCGACTACCGAGCGAGACGGCCTGCATCATGCAGTTAGTTTCGACGAGCTATAGATGGTTTGAGAGCAACATACCGCAACACACTATTCCATAGTCTAATCGAATGCATCGTGTATTCTAAGGTACTGAGTAAACTCTTAGCACTGAGCTTTCCCAGGTTCAACTAACATGACAGGTGCCAGCACTAATGGAGCTCCAAATCCCCCAGCACGTGAGGGGAGCTTGGCCCGCGCCCAGGCGCTGGAGTGGCGCTGGCGGGCACAAGAAACCACCAATCGTAGCAAGCAGAAAAAGGACACTCGCGCCAACACCAACGCCAGGCTGACGTCGTCTAAAGATTTCCATCTCTACTTATTTTTACTGCCACGACAATAACGAGTTTCTCAACCGTGGCACTATCACGCAGCTGCCTGCGCACTGTCACAACTCTTTAGTATCTAGTATACTACTATTCACGCTAAACAGGCTCGGATACTCGCCGTGGCCGATACTACAAACAGGAAACAGCAAAACCAACCCTCGCCACGCCATGGCCTCCCCCTAGACACAACCATTTTCGCTCTCAACAGCCACGACCGCCAGCGCATCTCGACGGAGAAGCCTGCACTATGTCGATCTCTCAAGACGAACTAGAGACCTTTTATCAACAACGCGTTACCGCTCGTCGGCAGCTTGTATCGCAAGGGTCTCTTCGCGACAAGTTTAACAACGTCGCCGCCTACACAGCCGCTCTAGTTCTTCTAGCGACACTTTTCACCAGCATAAATCAGCGCTACGAGTTGGTGCCACGATTTCTCAACTTTATATGGAAGATCATCGTTTTTCTCATACCGTCCAGTCTTATATTCGCCATTGACGACTGGAGGGATCCTACTGCTTCGCCAAGGATGGAATCGCTGAGCCTGCATTCCGCCAAGACAGCAGCTATCAAACGAATCATAGGCTTGGATAGTACCTCAGGCATGATGGCCTCGGTGTATCAGGCCAGAAAACGAGCTTTTTCAGTGACAGGAAACGCTTTGGGGCTAAAGCTGGACAGCGACAGCCCACCTGGCTTGGGCAATCATGATAACTCTTGCTACCAGAACAGCATATTGCAGGGCCTGTCTTCTCTAGAAGCATTCCCTAAATATCTCTCGGATTGCGTTAGCATACCGAGCAGCAAAAAGAACGAAACAACCGTCGCGCAGTCTCTGAAGACGCTTTTATCGGACTTGAATGACGAATCAAATAGAGGAAGCACATTATGGACACCACGAATCCTAAAGTCTATGAGCAGTTGGACACAGCAAGATGCGCAAGAATACTATTCAAAAATTCTTGACGATATTGACAAGGGTGTGTCACAAGCAATCCGCGAGAGCAAGGCAACAAGCGGCCTCGAAGGACACGACACCGAATCGGAAAGCCATATAAAGGGAGACACTGAAGACGACACCCGTGCACCATCTCTTAGGAATCCACTTGAAGGTCTTTTGGCTCAGCGCGTTGCTTGCGTGCAATGTGGCCATTCGGATGGCTTGTCATTTATACCTTTCAATTGTCTCACACTCAGTCTTGGGCTAGACAAGAACCGCCACGATATATTTGAGCGAATGGATGCATATACGAAAATGGAGACGATTGACGGCGTGGAATGCCCCAAGTGCACTCTGCTCAAAGCACAGCGCCTTCTTACAAAGCTGCTAGAAAAGATGCGTGACAACGGTACTGCCGAAGAGCAGCTCTCAGAGCCTGTAAGGCGCCTGGCAGCTGTAGAGCTTGCCCTAGAAGAGGATGACTTTGATGAGGCGACACTACGAGACGAATGCAAAATTACAGCCCAGAGCAAAGTATCGTCAACTAAGACGAAACAAATTGTTATTGGTCGACCGCCAACGAATTTGGTTATTCACCTCAACCGGTCCGTCTTTGACCCATCGACCTTCAATATGATGAAGAATTCGGCACCGGTAGCGTTCCCTACGATATTTGAGCTCGGCCCCTGGTGCCTAGGTAGCTCTGGCGTTGTTCGACGCACTTTCGACTCTGCATTGACCGTTTCCAAGGACAACGAGGAATACTGGCAAATGGATCCGTCAGCACCAATGGCAGCTAGCGACTTTACGCCATCCAAGATTGCCGGCCCTACATACGAGCTTCGCGCGGCGGTTACCCATTATGGCCGACACGAAAATGGCCACTACATCTGCTACCGTAGACAACCGGGTGGGGAAATTTCACTGTCAACTAAGGATGCTGCGGACAGCCAAACTGAAGAGACAACTACTGAAGAGAATATTACTACAAAAGAGGTAACCACGCCTGAGGATATTACCGAAGGAACGAAACTGGACGCCGATAGCTCCCCTCTTGAACAAACTGTTAGCGCCAAAAGTGCTGAGAAAACAGCTGACACAAATCACGTCTCCCCGGAGCATCACGAAGAAGCTGAGGGAAGCGACCAGCCTGCCACCGATGCGGAGGCTGACGTCGAAGAGGGAACAAAAGGAAGATGGTGGCGCCTGAGTGACCATAATGTCAGCGAAGTCGAGGAAGCTTCCCTCGCTGATTTGGCCCCAGGCGTCTTCATGCTCTTCTATGAGTGCGTCGAGCCAGGTATGGTCTTTGGTGACGAAGAAAGCAAAGAACAGGCGGAACCACCCGTTTCTAAAGCAGAAGCTTCTGTGTTGGAAAAGTCAGACGATGAATGTGCACTCACAGAGCGCAGCTCTATTGTCTCCGAAGATGACGACGCAACACTGAGAACCATTGATACAGCCACCGACGATGGAACAGTGACGACAGTGACGTCTATTGGCGACGACAGCGACATGGAGCAATTCAAAATTGCACCAGAACCAGTCAAGATGCCTCTGGCGAACGGGCACATACTATAATATTTATTTTTATTGCAGAAAGAACACGGCGTTAATGTAGGGGACGGCGTTGAAGGGGATCACGGCGGAGCAAACAGAGCGTCGGTGCGCCGCCAAAATTGGAGCATTATTACATTACCATACATGGCATATTATACAATACATTATTTTACATTTACATTCACCTTTACTACCTGCGCTCCTGTTGCTAAATGTACGAATTGCTGTTTTCGCTCATCCTGCGCATGGGCATATTGTTTGCTGGTCCTCTGCGTAATTCATCATATGGCATCATAGCGCAGGCAGCCAGGCGCAGGCTCACTCAGCCTTGGTGAAGGGGGCCGCAGCGCCGCACCGCCTCGTATTCCCCATGCAGACGGGGGAGATGCAATTTCCCTGCTGCGAGCCAGTGATCCAATGGGGAAACTTGAAGGCTAGCGTAGAAAGTACATGTGTGTTTAAGCTAAAAAGCCCAAGCAAAGCCTGATTGTAGAAGCTGCAGGGCTGGGGGCAGCCAATCGTAGCGTCCGTTTTACTGTGCTGTAACTGTGACCAGTGCGCTGACAACGTGGCGTCCAGCAGCAATTTAGCTCTGTAAATGAAGTATTTTTAGGGGTCAGCCCCGCCTGGAGAGCAGTCAAGCCTTTTCATGGTTTGCAGTATCCTCCGATACCCAAGGAAGCATTGAATAAGCTTATAGCAGATAGATAGTGAGACAATATTGTCAGGTAAGGGACAGGATAGTGTAATAATTCGGGATACAAATCAAAGTGCAAACAACTTGCATCATAGCGTAGAACCACAGAGAACCACAGCCTGGTTTTATCTAGTCTGTTTTGTTTTCGGTAGCGCTGAGCGAGTAAAAACACAGCACATGCTTTTTGGGCCTAACCCCACTGGGGCCACCTGGAGATCACTAAAAATGACCCCTAACGCCGTGTTGGCACTGCTTTTAGCGGCTGGCGGCGGGCTGAATGGGCGCCAGAGACACCAGGCTCCAGGGGAAACCACAGTGGGCGTCCGTCCATCCACTCTCCTTTTCTTCTTCCCAACGCGGCCCGCGATCTTGATTCTCTTCTGCTTCCAACGTCCTTTTTTGCCTTCAACCTCAACCTCCCAACCCGGCTGGCTTCCTCCCATCGGCCGCGATCTTCGCACCTCCCACGTCCCCTTTGCGCCCTCGCCCTCTCCGAAATACAATGGGAGCCTCGTCTTCTCCCGAGCGGCAGCAGGGGAGTTCGGTGCTGCCAACGACGAATTCACCAGTGTCGAAGTCGGGCATCCATCCCTCCATCTATATCTTGTATGCTTGGCAGGCTTGGTCAATTCGTGTTACAGTGCTAATTTCAGTTGCAGGAACTGGGTTTTCTTCTCAAATGCCACCATCCTGTTCAACAAGTGGCTTCTCGATACCGCTGGCTTCAGTATGTTTTTTCTGATCTCCCCCCCCCCCCCGCCGCCGCGCTGTCACTGCGAAATAGAATGCTAACCCAACTTGTCTCTCTGTAGAATACCGTATGTCTTCTCGAAAGCAGTCAATACTTTGCCTCGTCGATTCCCGTCTTACGTCGTCCGTACTAACTCTGCCGTTCTAGCCATCCTCCTAACAGCATGGCACCTCATCTTTGCGACGATCGCGACACAGATCCTCGCCCGCACAACGACTCTCCTCGATAGCCGCGCCGACATCCCCCTTAATGGCCGCTTCTACCTCCGAACCATCATGCCCATTGGCATCCTCTACACGGGCTCCCTCGTCTGCTCGAACCTCGTCTACATGTACCTCTCTGTCGCCTTCATCCAGATGCTCAAGTCTGCCTCGCCGGTAGCTGTTCTCTTCACATCATGGGCTTGGGGCGTCGCCGACCCAGATATGGCTAAGCTGATCAACATTGTCGTCATCGTCATTGGCGTCGGTATTGCCAGTTTCGGTGAAGTCAGGTTCTCCTTCATCGGCTTCTTCTATCAGGTCGGAGGCATTGTGTTTGAGTCCATGCGCATCGTCATGATCCAGGTCATGTTGGCTGGTGAGGGCCTCCGAATGGACCCCTTGGTTGGGCTGTACTACTACGCTCCCGTTTGCGCCGTCTTCAACACGCTGGTTGCTCTGTTCACAGAAGTGCCCACGTTTGAATACGAGGACCTGCAGAGAACAGGCTTCTTCATGCTCTTCCTGAACGCTGCGGTTGCGTTCATCCTCAACATTGCTAGTGTCTCTCTGGTACGTTTTGCCACTCCATTAGAGGTTCAAATCCTTGCTAATTATTGCTCTCTAGATCGGCAAAACCTCTGGTCTAGTTCTGACTCTCACCGGCATCCTGAAATCGATCCTCCTCGTCATCATCTCCGTCGTCATTTGGCGAACCCCGATTACACTTGTGCAGAGCCTGGGATACACAATAGCTGTCCTGGGTCTTGCCTATTACTCTTTGGGCTACGACCAGGTCGTGGCTCTCTACGACATAGTGACGGCTTGGCTGGCCAGCTCCTACAACCAGTACTCACAGCTGCAAGGCTCACCCGGTAGCCAAGGCTACCTCACAAAACGCTACATCATGGTTGGCAGCTTGGGTATCATCACGATAGTCATGCTTGCCATGGTCACGCTTTCTACATACGGCACTCCGGTCACTGGCGATGCCCAGGTCCCCTCAAGCTAGCCAGGGTCCTTACTAGACTCCTAACGATGGTGTTTTTGGCTTCGATTCTTGCTTTCTTCGCTGTGAATTTTTTATCTGGGTACCTCTTTTTAATGGATATAAAAGCTCTATATTGCGGTTGGCGCATTCGCATGACATGGTCCGCTTACAGTAGAACCAATATAATGAAAACGAATAGAAGAACTCTTTTTAAATACACAATAAGGCTCGCTGGGCCCATTCATATTATAGCTTAAAGTGCACATGTTGATACAAGTTTCAATTATCCACTTAGATTCCAGTCTAGGGGCTTCTTGATCGCCTCCTATTACGGCTTCCATCTCGCCTGTCCCGACGAAGAGATGAGCTTCGATCACGGCGACGGTCATGTCTGTCTCGGTCCCGGTCTCTGTCGTCTCGTTCACGCTCTCGTTCCCTGTCCCTATCCCTATCTCTGCGCTCTCGACTTCGATCCCGCTCCCTATCACGACGATCTCTACTACGATCTCGGTCTCGGTCGCGGTCGCGGTCGCGGTCTCTGTCACGATCTCTCTCTCTATCACGATCTCTCTCCCGGTCTGCGTCGCGGTAACGATCGCGACTCCTGCTGCGAGACCGACTGCGACGACGGTCATCCCATCCTACAATAGCAGTTAATACAATACATTCGTGAAAGTCATTGACAGCGCGACTACTTACCAGGACGTTTATCATCAACTCCAGGGATGGGGAGGCCCTTTTCGCGGGCATCCTTTTGTGCAGCAAGGTAGGCTTTAGCCTCCTTTTCACGTTTCTTGACCTCTTCCAACTTGCGCTCCTCCAATTCTTCTTTTGTGGCGGAGATGGGACCACGAGACCGTGATCGGCTTCGCCTGTCTCTATCGCGCGGTTCGTAGCGATCAGCTCCCCTGCTTCGGGACCTGGTACGCTCTCGTCTCGTGCGCGAGCGACTATCTCTGCGCCGTCGTGACCGAGAGCGATCTCTCCTGTCCCGGCTATCACGCCTTGTTCTAGAACGAGTGCGGTCTCTGCGAACAGACCGGCTCCGTCTTCTGGATCGGCTGCGATCGCGACGTGTCCTTGATCTGCTGCGGTCATCACGGCGCAGACGAGATCGGCTTCTGTCGCGCCTGGTTCTAGATCGTGAGCGGTCACGCACAAACTTGCCTCTAGAACGGCTACGATCGCGTCTCGGGGACCGTGATCTTCTCTCGTATCTCCTATCATCATCTCCACGACTTCTATCACGCCGTCTGTCGTGATCTCTGTCCCTATCCCAATCTCGGTCTCGTTCGCGAGCTCGCGATATACTTCTACTAGATCGTCGATCATCGCGTAACTCGGACCCTTTGCGGGAGTCCCGCCGGATGGGATCAATTGCTGAAGCCGGTGCAATCTTTCTGGGTGGCGGCGCCAGAGCAGAGTCAACCTCCATCTCTTGCTTCGGAGCGGAACGGCTGCTTTCTCGAAGCAGGTCTTCCAAGGCTTCCTGCTCGAGTCGTTCGAGCTCTTCTTTGGACAAGTCTTTCGTAGCCGCTTTGCTATCCCCCGCTGGGCGATCCGATGTACGAGGTTTGTCTCTATCTCTGTCACGATCACGGTCTCTGTCGCGGTCTCGGTCTCGGTCACGATCTCTGTCTCGGTCGCGATCACGATCACGGGCTCCGCCGTCGTCGCGTTCTCTGCGTTCCCGTTCCTTGTGGCGCTTCTCCCTCTCCAGGTCACGCTGCCTCTCGCGCTCCTTTTGCTCGTCTTCACGTTTCCGTCTTCGCTCGTCACGCTCAGCCTTGCGTTTGATTTCAGCAAGCTCAGCTTCTCTTTCTTCGCGCTTTCGTTCCTCGTCCTCGATTCGCTTCTTTTCTTCCTCGATGGCGGCTTCTTTTTGTCGTAGCTCCTCTCGTATACGTTCGCGTTCGTCTCGCCTTGCTTGTGTATCTGCTTCGTACTCAAGGTCGGTCTTTGCACCGCGAGAGCGTTCGCCCTCCGCGACTTCCTCGCCTACTTCATTCCGCCTAATTTCTCGAATGCTCCGCTCGATTGCATCAACATCAATCAGTTGTGCAATGACATCTTCAGCCTTCTGATATACTCCAGATCGCTCTAGAGCACCGTCAATCAGTGCAGCCGCCTTGCGACGGTCCAGAGTTAACAGTTGCTGCGGGTTGCGTTCAACCTCTTGTTCGGCCACTTCGAGGATCGCTTTAGTGACTTGTGCTTCGTAGTCCTATCATGTGTCAATAATGCTGTCTTGTCAACGATAAATAGGGATAGGAGCATACGCTAGCCTCAAACTTTTCCCAGACTTGCTTTCTTATAGTGTCGTAGGCGCCTTCCTTTTTGAAGCTTCGCGCAAGGGATTCGATCGCTGAACGGGTCGCTGAAGGTAGAGGGAGGTCGGAAGCTTTAAACTTCTTGGCAGGTATCGGCATTCTGGTCTCTTCCACTGTCGAGGGCGTTGGCAGACCAGTTGCTGAACCAGGCGCGTCTGGGGAAGCCTCCATAGTTGATAAGAAGCAGTGCGCCGGGGGCGTTTATCGCCTGCGCTGTGATTCTTTATCGACTATGTATTCTATACCATTCCAGCTGTGCAACTACATGCGCATTCGAGGTGTTTTGCCGAAATCGAGGGACAATGGCAAGGTGTGGTGTTGAAGGAGGTTCACGAGGGAGATCGACTTTGGCCCACACGTGATGCTTTCACAGGCTACCCGGCAAGTCTAAGTGACAAAAAGCGACTGGACACAGACAGAAGCGTGTATGAATTAAAAAAAGATTTCAAAATATCAGGAATATTAATTGTATACATTTAAATTAAAAGCATTATTTAAAATTCGAAACTCGCTGTTTTTGCATCAGAACTGGTAGTACCTTGAGGTCTTGTAGATCTGCATGTACCCCCGCCCTAAACTAAAGAGCCTTGTTTTCGACGTAACTTCAGCAAAACAACTCATTCTATTCATCATAGACTAGACAATAACGACTACCTCATATAGACCACTACAATGTCAGCTAAATCGCCTGATGGAAAGCCAATTGATGTCGCGGAGAACCGCCGACGCATGGAAAACGGCGAGTACTACTACGCCTTCACTCCGGATCTTCTCAAGGACCGAAAGCGCTGTACTATTGCCATGAAGAAGTTTAATCGAACAGACCACCCTACTAGACGGGAGATGATCACAATGTGGAATGAGTGAGTAGCCTTTACTTATAGTTTTACCTGTGCACCGCTAACTGGGTTCAGCATCGTTGGTGACACTTCTGCCTTGCCCGAGCAGAAACCAGTGGAAGAAGAGGACGATGCTCAGTTGGAGGATTACCCATGGGTGGAAGCTCCAGTCAGGATGGACTTTGGCTATAATATTAAGTATGTACACCGTATTTCTGGCTGATGTTCATCTAGCTAACCAATTACTACTCCCAGGCTGGGCAAGAATGTCTTCATCAACGCCAACAGCACATGGATCGATACCTGTACGATCACCATTGGCGACCGCGTCATGTTTGGCCCTGGAGTATCGCTCTACTCGGGAGGACATCCTGTAGATTACAGGGTGAGAAATGGTATTAGCGGACCTGAATTTGGCGGCAAGATCACTATTGGTGAGGACTGCTGGATTGGAGGCAATGTGATTATCCTTCCGGGCATCACTATTGGACGCGGTACTACCATTGGCGCAGGTAGTGTTGTCACGAAAGATATTCCGGAAGAGTGTGTGGCAGTCGGCAATCCTTGCCGAGTGATCAAGAAAATCGATACTAGCAAGCCGCCTATGACGATTTAATGCTGGCGAAAACATGAGGTACCACTTAAAATAGAAAACGTTCGGTGTGAAGAATATGATATATAGTATCTGTAGACTCATGAAGAAGTACTATGAATAGGTGAATAGAGATATAAAAAGAGTATGGTAGATATCATGCCCATCGTAAAAAGGTGAAAAAATCAAAGAGTAGAGATCTCGAACTGAGAATGATCCAGCAACGCCTCGCCACATTGGTTACAAAAGATAAGATACAGCATCTCCAGCCATATACCCCCTATTGGAGACGTACGACTGTAGATGGTCATAGACGTTACATGCGTCTAGAACTCGCCATCGCCGCCACTTCCCACGGCGCTGGCGGTCCAGAGGCCAACAAGACCCCACCAGTTGACCTTCCAGCCTCTCCAGAGGCCTTCCAGGCCTTGCCCACGGCGCTCAATTGGGAGCACCGAGCGAACCTTGGTCTTGCCCTTGCGCGAAGCAGGGCGCTGAGCAACTGTGCTTGTTCCCTCGACGGATGAGATGTGGTACATGGTGCCAAAGACACCCTTGTATTGTCCAATGGGAACAATGGTGTCCAACTTGGGCTCCTTCCCACCTAAAGCCCAGACGTACTCGGGGAGGGCTAGCACCGACATCTGTCCGCGGCGCAAGACAGTCTCAAGTGGCAGCTTAATCAGAATGGCAGCCGACGAAGTCACAAACTTGGTGATGGAATGCGTAAGAGGCGAGGATTGGCTATCCAGTCGGAACTGCGTGCGGAGCATGAGGGGTATCGATAGTGTCAAAACAGGGTTCACTAGAGAGTGCAGAACCGTTGGGAGGGCCAAAACCGAGTGGCAGACGTAGGAAGGCAATGCTCTTAGTGTAGCTAGAGTGCGGCGCTGACCCTTGCTAGTCGGGGTCATGATGAGTCTTGTGCGCACCAGATCCAGAGGGGCGAGGGCCAAGCCGGTGATGACGGCAGCAGATGCTGCCACAAAAAGCGAGGCCCATGGGTACGGAGTGGCAATATCGATTAAGCGGTCGATATCGTCCTTTACGCCAAGATCGGGCACGTTGAAGACGGCGCTGAAGAAGCTTCGCGACCAGTTCTCCAGCAGTGACTGTAGGACAGTGTAGAGGAATGTGGCGTTGGAGCCTTTCCATACACCCCATGCGCCGTCTCGCTGCCAGAGCTGGCTGATGACTTCGAGGACAGAGTCTGGTCGCTTTAACTGCAGAATGTGCTCGGACACTTGGGGTTTCTTGGGGAGGCGCGGCGATAGCATGGGTGGCGACATGGGGGCTCTTCGGTTCGTCAAGGTTCGTGCATTGTAGGTTGATGTCGGCGTATCGGGTCCGTTGTATGTGAAGAAAGCCGACTCTTCGCCTTCTGAGTCGGAGCCATCATTCTATATTGAAATAATTAGTAAGGAATTCCGCGTTTCCCAGTTCACTGTATAAGACGTACATCGCGAATGGCCAGCCCATGCTTCGCAAGCTGCGACTTGAAAGGGTCGTCGTCCACGCCGCCGAGGCCGGCTGTTGGGTCCTGATCTCGAACTTGGAGGATCATCTTGGCCACCTCGAAAGGCTGGGCCATGATGACCGACGTGTACTTCCAAACCAGGTTGTTAATGAGATCGCGCGCACTCTGGCTGATGGTGGGCACGTCGTCGCCGATGTAGCTCTTGTAGTCCAGGTCGCTTAGCAGATCGCGAGACTTGCCGCCGCCATACTTGATAACAGAGCTGCTGCCTGCACCGGCACGAGGCGCCTGGCTACCGAAAATATTGCTTGTCGGTTCGGAAACATGGCCGGGACGGTCTCCGATGGACGGGGGAATGTAATATGGTCGCAGCGGATTGACCCCGTCTCTGTGATGCGTGGCCATCCTGTTGGATTCTGTATGCGTGATAATTCAGATATTTCGTAGCACCAACGATGCGCCGAACAAAAGAATCAAATCATCGACGATGCAACGCGGTACGTGAGTGAAGGAAGAGAAGGAAGCTCTTAGCTCGGGAGATGAGGGCGGGAAAACTCCTGACTGGACTAAAATGAAATCATCGATAGCAGAAAAAAAAAAGGCCGGCAATCAAGGAACGGCCGGGCCTGCAAGATAGCGGGACCCCCGCCTGGAAGACATGTGGTTACAGCGCATGTATAAGCGACAGGTCCGCTGTAAACCTTCTGTAAATCCACCGCTCGAGGCCGCCGTAAAGTCTCGGCTTAGTGCACGAGAAGCGCCCTCCCAGCCAATGAGGTGGCGTCCAATTGGACAATTGCGCCCTTTGAGCCTTAAAATCCGACCTCCTCCGCAAACATCGCCGAGCCTAATTTTTTTGCGAGACTTCCGAACAGACGGCCTCGATCCTCCAATCACACGCAGCATAAACACAGCATCTCACAGCATCAGCCATGTCGACGGCGAGAATATTCACACGCAGCCTGATGGCCATGCGACCGGCCGTTCGCCAATTGCCCATCTGCAGATCCTCCTTCTCCTCGTCCCTGACATCAACTCCCCAGAGCTGGTCGCGCGCTGCTCGCCTTGCACAGTCCACACGATCCTTCACAACGACATTGCACCGTCAGCATGGTCATATTGAGCCTCCCAAGGCTGGAGAAGAGTGAGTGGCAGACCCTGAAGACCCAGCTCACCACATCCCTTTGCTAACTGTGTCTCGTGCCCAGGCTGTACATTACATTCATCGACAAGGACGGAGAGGAATATAAGTTTGCTGTCAAGGCTGGCGACAACCTGCTGGATATTGCGCAGGCTAACGACCTCGAAATGGAGGGCGCTTGCGGCGGCTCTTGCGCCTGCTCGACCTGCCATGTTATCGTCACCGACGAGGGCCTTTACGACCAGATGCCCGAGCCCGACGACGACGAGAACGATATGCTGGATCTTGCCTTTGGCCTGACTGAGACGAGTCGTCTGGGATGCCAGGTCAAGATGACCAAGGAATTGGACGGCCTTGTTGTCAAGCTGCCCTCCATGACCCGAAACCTGCAGGCCAGCGACTTCCAGTAACAGCCTACACTGAGGCGTAGCCCCAAATTAAAACACCACGGAAGCTCCAGCTACATAATTGGAGACTACCCCCTTGTACAATTACATGATAATAGAGATGACAGGTTGGGATCTATAGGCACACAGTGGCCTGGCGACAGCATTTGGACGTCGTTTTTGTTATTTATTAGCGCGCAGAAACCTGGCCCGCGCTGCTTCTACACTTGAAAGGAAACAAAAAGTTCTTTTTAACAATTATTCATAAAGTAAAACAAGAAAACGCCATTCTCACTGCTATTTATGTACAAACGTCATGTGTCCATGTATTTTTCACAAAAAGTATGCCAGCTCCGTCGTTTATGCTTCTTCCAAGCCGCTCTTCTTAAGACCGCCGCCTCCTGATGCAATGAGATCCAAGAAGCCCTTCTTGGTCATCTCGTTGACCTTTTCTGTTCTTGTGCCCATGCCGAGAACACCGTCTCGCTTTGTGTTCTTCTCCGCCTCGGCGCTCTTGACCTGTGCCGCACGCACGGCGTTAAACATCTTGACAACACCACGTTGGGCAACTTTGCGTAGTCTGCCCTCCAAAGCAAGGATGTCTCCTGTTGTCATGTCGGGTTCGCCAGTGGTTTCTGAGTTGGATGCAACGAGCACATCCTTGACGCGGCCCTTCTCCATGGCTTTGCGCTTCATGTCGCGAAGGTGACGCTTGGCCTTGGCTTCGAGAGCGCTGTCAACAGCAGCCTTGGAAGCCTCGTGTGCTTCCGCATTTCTCGCCAACACGGGATCTGATCGCTTCGAGTTTGACAGTTTGGTCGACAAAATCTTGGAAAGCGAGGTGGCAAAAGCAGTAGGGTCGTTGCGCTTCTTGGGTTTTCTGTCGTCATCACCGACACCATATTCGTCGTCGCCAACAGATTCATCGGTGTCATCGTTTATGTCGAATTCATCTCCCTCCATATCCTCATCATCATCGTCCTCCTCTTCGTCGTCTTCATCGTCGTCCTCGTCTTTGGCAGCTTCCTTGGCAGGCTTCTTGGTCAACTTCATTGTCATCTTTGCCTTTGCGGGAGCTTTCGATTTGCTGGTGGGTTTGGTTTCGGGCTCGGAATCAGAATCCGAAAAGCTATCGCCATCCTCATCTGCACCAACATCATCTACTCGCGCATTGTGAATATCATCGTCTGAGTCGAGTAGGTTGACGCCTTCAAAGTCTTCGGCCTGCTCTTCCTGCTGCGGCTCCTCCTCTGAGTCGCTGTTGTAAACTTGTTGCTTTTTTTGCTTTTTGTACGGAACTTTGCTGCGTCCGGTATGAGATCTCTTTTTGTTTCCAGGGCCAGCCATTGTAAAAAATTGTCAATGCGCTGTGTAATGCTGTGGTTCTTGCTGTTGATGGGCTGGAGTACAAAAAAATGTAAAAAGTTTCGATTTTGCCGCCTTTGGGTGAGTCTGGGCGGGGCAAAACGGAAGGCGGTGAAGGGGCAGTGCAACGAGCCTGTGCTGGCCTTTGGACCTTTATTATTGCTATAAAATACATTTGAATTTGAAAATAAAATAATTAAAAGTCAATTTAAGATTGTAAACGATACGAATTTAACCTAATAACTCAAAGAGGGATCACTTGATAATGGAGAGTGCTTGATGGTGCCCTGGCTGAGAAAGGCTGGTGTAAGTGTAAGTTGGATTAAAGGTAATACTATAAACGAGTAATGCGACAGACGTAACAAGCAAGAATACGAAGTAGCCGCTAAGAATAATAACAGTAATAATGAGCTCGCAAGAAATAGGCTTCATTAAAAACGCCCCAAACACCTTGAAGATGGCAGACACAGCTCAGTTCATGACCACAGCTTGTCCCAGAACGACCCTGTTGTTGGCTCTTTGGGTGTTGTATGCAGAGTCATATTCCACGTGGGCTTGCCATCGATGTACAGTTGGTAGGACAGGCTGCTTTCACCATCTTCATCTTCAATGGTAAACGAGCCAAACTTGGAAGTTCCAGAGGGGATGTATTTGATTTTGACATCCTCACCATCAACTTGCTTGTACGTAGGCAAGGGAGACGCGAATTGGTTTAGAGGACTCGTGGAGATCTCATGGGGTGCCGCAGATTGAGGCCACTTGGAGTCAGCTGGGGGCGGAAACTTTGTGACTGCAAACTCATGACGATCGCCAGACAGAATGATCACACCTTGGCCACGAGAGCTAGCATCCCACATAGCCTCGAGGATCTTTCGCCTTTCGAATAAAAAGCCACCCCAGGTATCACGAACATTGACAGGCCAGTTCTTGGTAAAGGGAACGGACGAGGCAATAATCTTCCACTTGACACCCTTGGGCTCCGGGCGAGCCAACCATGCTAAGAAGTCCTCGAGCTGGTCCCCGCCAAGCATTGTCTTGTTTTCGTTGTTGAAGGGCTCGCCGTTGTCAGATCGGAAGCTACGCGTGTCAAGCATGAAAAAGCTAGCAGGCCCTTGCACAAACTCAAACCAAGTGGCATGCTTGCGGCGAAGAGCAGAAGATCCAGCCTGGATAGCTTGGGGAGGATTGACGCTAGCCTGGTACAGGTTGAAGGGCTCCATTGCGTTATTGTAAACACCGGCATTTTTGGAAGACCAGTCATTGGAGATCTCATGATCATCTAAAACATGAATCCAGCTGAGGTTCTGACCCACTGATGCCCATTCTGGTGAGGCATAGACTTGGCGATATTGCATGCGATATTGGTCAATAGATTTGCCAAATCTTTGCGGCACGTCAACATAGATAAAATCACCCAGGAAGAGCATGAATTGAGCTCCGATATTGGGAAGCCGTTTGGCAAGATGACGAAGTCCAGGAATGGCAAGCGGGTGGTCCAAAGGATTGTAAGGAAATCGAGGAAGAATGCAGGAGGTGGATAGGAATGTGAATTTGCCATTATTCTGGGTAGGCATGCTTCCAGGTCTCGGGGCCGAAACAAATTGTCCCGTCAAGTTGTTAGAAGTACGCCATTGGTAGACCATTTGCTGAGAAGATCTGAGGGGAATGGTAATGGCTGTGGTAAAGTCGGATTCTTCCACTGTGCCAGCAATGCTGTCAATCGTGTTCCAAGCCGCATCCTCAATAGCCGTGTCCGAAGCGGCGGACCGTACCTGGATGTTGAGGGGGAAAACTGCTTGATTCGGCTCTCGAATAAACAATCTGGCTTCTGCATGAGATACATAGCCCAGACGGGCGAATGATAAGTCCTGGGCTGGATAAAAGAATCTTGCCCTGTACAAGGCGTCGGCAGTAAGGGTGACGAAGATGAGGTTAATGATAAAGCCTACCAGAGAGGCGATGGGGTATCGGGTGTTTGGCGTGCCATAGAAGATGATTTTCCACAATGGAACAATAGGCTCTCCGTATGTTACCGTCTCTTGGATGTCGAGTTCTTTGGCGTCGGTGGTGATGTCACCATTCGTAGCCTCTTCTGTGACGACAGTTTCCTTGACGACAACATTGATTTCGTCATCAATTATCACAAGCTCAGGCTTGAAGAAGTAAGTGTAGATAAATACAGGAGCATAGATGGCGAAAAGAGTGAAAACAATGGAGGGCAGATGTGCCTGAGAGTGTCATGGTGAGCTTTGTTATATGTCATCAGTGTAATGCAGCGCGTACAGGAAACTGTATATTTATTAGCTTGGGCTCATTAATGGAGAGCGTACAACACTTACAAAGCGAAAGAAGAGAATTGCCGATATCCTCAATCCAATGGAGGATATCTGCGTCGTCCGGAGCTGGGAGCCCATTGCGACAAGGTATGTGATGTTAGGGGCTGGCGTAGCAGCAAGTAGTGTGAAGGTTTGTATCAATGTTTGTGTAAAGGAGAGTGAGTGAAGAGTAAGGAAGAGAGCGTCTGAAATTAGGAATAAAAAGCTCAGAGCATCATGGCCGAGATGATAGTTCTCCTTAGAAAAGTACTGCAATAGGGCCTGCAGAAAAAAAAGCCTGTATAGTGGGAGAAGAAGGAATGTTATGAAGACCAAGATCGAGAACAGTGATGTAATTACACAGCGGCCCACTCTGCCTACAGGCTAGACTTCTGTGGCAGGAAGGAAATGCTTGTGATTAGGCGATTGCTTTTAGCGGGCTTTTAGTGGCTGCTGCTCTGTAGCTGGGGCACTGGCTACAGCGGGCACCACAGCGCCTTGCCCCCTATCTGGGCCAGCCATCAGGAGGTGCCAAAGAAAAGTGGAGACACAGCCGAAGTTCATCCAAGCACCAAGCACGGGCGAAATCCACGCGACCCCCTGGAGCGAGGAGCCAGCTTGTCCTATCTGGCGGCCCTGCTTTCTGAACATCTTCCTTAAATCAACAACGGAAACCACCACGGCCGATATCCCTCAACAAAAGGCGCCAATTAATAAATAGGATACGAGTCGCATTATCTTCGCCATGAAGTTTGCGCTACTTGCCGGGCCTCTGGCCCTCGCCGCCAATGTCTTGGCCACGTCCCTCACCTACCGTCTCGACGCCCATGAGAAGGCTTGCTTCTACGCCAACACAAACCACAAGAACGAGAAGATTGCATTTTACTTTGCTGTACGTTGATGCTGAGTCTTTTGTGGAATGCTATGCAATGGAGGGAACCCAGCGAGCTAACTGCCCCTTGTCCAGGTCCAATCCGGTGGTTCTTTCGATATCGACTACATTGTTGAGGGCCCTAACGGCAAGATTGTCCTTGAGGGTGAAAAGGAACGCCAGGGTGACTTTGCTTTCACTGCTCAGGAGGCTGGTGACTACTCGTTTTGCTTCAGCAACCAGATGAGCACCTTTGCCGAGAAATACGTCGACTTTGAGATCAATGTACGTTACAGGCCGATCGTCTTCAATGCCCCGTCTTCCATAACTAACCAATTTTTCCCCTACAGGTCGAGAACGAGTCGCGCGCCGAGTTACCGTCCAAGCAGGGCTCTTCTAACGAGCAGACAACCGTGCTTGAGGAGTCCATCTACAAGATTTCCGGCCAGCTTTCCGCCATCTCGCGCAACCAAAAGTACTTCCGCACCAGAGAAAACCGCAACTTTGCGACCGTTATCAGCACCGAAAACAGAATTATCAACTTCAGTATGATCCAGAGCTTCCTTGTTGTTGCTATGGGTGCCCTGCAAGTCTTTGTTGTGCGCTTCTTCTTCCAGGGCGCTCGCAAGGGTTACGTTTGAACATTTTGCTTTTTGCCAGTCATTTACCATCAAGCATCGAAAATTTCTTCTTTTTACAAGGTCTATAATGGTTTAATTGTTTCCAACGGCGCTGGTTTCAAAAATGATGCGGGTGGGGGGTCATGTATAATAGAGTGCTTGGGCGCTCGATAAAAGACACCCGCGAGCAATTGATTTAGGCTCAGGGGTCTTCCAGAGAAATAATGGGTGATGCATACGATGAATATAAATCAATATTATAAAATATACGTCTTGTCATGCAAATTTTATTGTGTAAAGAAACGCTCGTGTGCAGCTTCGTGTTTGCCAGCTCAAGGACCATCAACCCCATTTTGGCGCTAAGCCGCTTTGGGTAAACCTCCCATTGAAATTCTTATCGCCGCGCCTCGCGACGTCAACCTCTTCGTTTCTCTCGTCGTGAACCATCGCCCGCCGCCACAGCATCTACGAAAAATGGCGTCCATCGCCGCGTCCTTGCAGGATTCGCTACCGAAGCCGAAATACTCAGAAGATGAAGAGTCTTCATCCAGAACACAGCAACGTGGTCCTCGCATTGTCGGCCCTGGCCAACTGGACGAGACGCAAATTGTCCTGAAGCGCTCCGGACCGCCAGCCTACGGACAACGCTCAGGATGGCGCCCAAGAGGCCAGGAAGACTTTGGAGACGGTGGTGCGTTCCCCGAAGTACCTGTAGCGCAGTATCCTCTCGATATGGGCAAGAAGGGTTCAACAACAAGCAACGCCCTCGCCATCCAGGTCGACTCTGAAGGCAAAGTCAAATACGACGCGATCGCAAGACAAGGCCATGGCGAAGGCCGCATTGTACATACCTCATTTAAAGATTTAATTCCTCTTCGACAGCGTGCGGATGCTGGCGAGATCGACCTGTCTCGCCCGGACAGGGAGACCGTTGAGGCTACGGCAGAGAAGACCAGAAATGCTCTAGCGGCTCTTGTGAGCGGCGCTGTGGCAGCTCAGAAACCGAAGAACGTCAACATTGGTCAGCGCAAGGATGCATCGTTTGTTCGCTACACACCAGCCAACCAAATGGGCGACACGTCGAAGAAGCAAGATAGAATTATGAAGATTGTCGAACGACAGCGCGATCCTATGGAGCCGCCCAAGTTCAAGCACAAGAAGATCCCTCGTGGACCTCCTTCGCCTCCCCCGCCCGTCATGCACTCACCACCTCGAAAACTCACTGCCGAAGATCAAGAAATGTGGAAGATCCCACCACCCGTGTCGAATTGGAAGAACCCCAAAGGGTTTACAGTTCCCTTGGACAAGCGCTTGGCTGCCGATGGACGAGGACTACAGGAGATTACTATTAGCGACAAGCATGCGCAGTTTGCAGAAGCGCTCAAGATGGGCGAACGCCACGCTCGTGAAGAGGTCCAGCAGCGTGCTCTGATGCAACAGCGACTTGCGGAGAAGGAGAAGGCACAAAAGGAAGATAACCTGCGTATGCTTGCTCAAAAGGCTCGCGAGGATAGAGCCGGTGCTCAAAGACAGCGCCGAGACTCCGTTGACTCGCGCGACTCAAGGTACTCGCGAGACTCACGAGACTCCCGATCTCGATCCCGATCCCGTTCACGATCTTCATACAGCGACTCACGTTCTGAGAGATCATACAGTGACGACTCGGAAGCAGAGCGTATACGAGCTAGAAAACAACGTATGAAGGACGAAGAACGCAAGATGAAGCAGAGCCATATGGGTACAGAGAGGAGAATGAAGGCCATGGCGCGCGAACAAGGCCGTGATATTAGTGAGAAGATCCAGCTCGGTCTTGCCAAGGCTACGCAATCAAAGGAGACCATGTACGACTCCAGACTCTTTAACCAATCGAGCGGTTTCGACAGTGGAATCAATGAGGACAACTTTTACGACAAGCCGCTGTTTGCAGCCCAAGACGCCATTAGCAGCATCTACCGACCACGAGCCAATGCTGATGAGGATGACGCTGAAGAGGGAGACCGAGAAATGGCCAAGATTCAAAAGTCCAGCCGATTCGGCGAAGCACTTGGCCGAGGCACATTCAAGGGAGCCAAGGAGGTGGAAGCTAGAGAGGGCCCTGTTCAATTCGAAAAGGATGCTACGGATCCCTTCAACGTGGACAAGTTCCTGTCTGAGGTTGATCAGAACTCTTCCAGTAAGCGCGGATATGGCCTGAATGAGACGGATAGCAGGCAATCTAAGCGTCCACGCGTGGAGAATGAAGACGAAGATTAAGTAGTTTGCTGTTTACAATCAAAATCATGGCTGGCGCACTGGTTTATTTCGATAGTTTTTTTTGGAGGCTCATATAGATGAGATTTTGTACATGGTAATAATAGAAACCAATACCGAAAGTATACCGAATCGCACGTGTCTCTATCTTTTTTTTGAAAGCTCCTTGACCGATTCTTTGCGATAAGAGTAGGCGAGCTTGCGCAAGGATTTCGTTTTTATCACCGTAATCTGATGTATAGGGAGCTGCCTGCTGGCCAATCAAATGAGAAAACAGGGTCATGGCAGAGAAAATCCCATTTCGCACGTTGCTATCACCATACAACGTTGTATCCAGTTTACCGCGCTGTCTAATCAATGCAAGTTTTTTTCTGTTAAAAAAAAAGTGCTTTCCGCCCAATTGCTAGGGTGGCTTATCAGGCTACACATTGAAAAAAGAGACGACAAAGGAAACAGCCGCCGGAAGCCGATACGGTCCAAGAAATTTAGCGGCCTTCGGGCTGATCCGGGATGCCAGTACTGTAAATCGCCGAGAGCCTTGCTGCGGTGAGTCCTGTGATGCTTACTGATGCCAATAATCAAGTGCTGCAGCTCTTGGCTTAACAAGTTCACCGCATAAATATAAAGTGCTTCCTTTGTTCAGAGTAAAAGGAAACTGAAACTTTTCAAATAACACGCCACCTTGATAATCTTCTGCGCCACCTGTACTGTATCTAAGGAAAAAAAAAACTAGCATCCTGATTGTATCAGCGAAGGGATTGACTCACGTGGCGTGATAAGGGCGAAGCTAACATCGATCCCATCCCTGCCGCGCCGGCGCTGTGACCGTTGCGCTTTTGCCGCCTGCCAGGACCCGCCCTACAGTGACAGTGCTCAGCATAACAAAGTAGAAAAAGGCAAACGAACCCCTCGCACCGACGTCACTTGCAACGAGCTCTCTCTGCAAAAGCACACAAAACACAAACACACATCGACAAGCTTCTTGTCAACAGAAACCGCGCAAATGGCGTCGAGATCCTTCATTGACGGCAAGACTGCCCTTCTTCTGACACCGCTCGTGTCATCGACATGCACGCTCCTCTTCGCACACGACCAAGACTACTTCCTGCGCATGCTCACTGTCCCCGCGACATCAGATCTCTGCAACCGCATGCTGCCGCCGTACATGCGAAGCTTCTTCCCTATCGGCCTTAGGCGCGTCATTACCTTTATCGGCGTCACCACCTGGGCGTCCATTGGATCGCTGTACGTTGCTAGCCCGCTGCTGCGCGCGCGGGGTTCGCTAGGCTGGTATAGAGCTACAGCCGCACTGGCAACGGCTCATTTGATCTTCATACCGTGGGTTGCGCCCAAGATTAAGGCGTTGTTCCATGGCGATGAGACGGCGATTGAAGACGAGGACGACGATACGATAAAGCCCAATATCAAGGTTATGAAGGAGTGGTTGAGCGTCAATCTTGTTCGAAGCTTGACGACAGATTTGGGCGCATTTGTATGTGCTTTTATTGCTGTGGCCAAGACATTTTCGCTGGACCAGTAGCCTGTGGCTGTTGGGACAGCTGCTACAGCTACAGCTTTGTCTGGTTAAACATGCTAAGCTAAGCTACTTATGATTTATGATTGGCGAATTTGGCGTTATTTTTCTTTTCTATCCGATAGATTGGTTTTGGGAATGGGGTGTTGGTGATGGTGCATAGCGACTCTCTGCTCACTTATATTGACGATGGATGTTGTATATCCACATTCATACAATTTAATAGTCACGAACTTATATAACGTTAATGAAATCCATACCATTTGTATATGTTAACCACATTAGTCCGTGACTAATCACTAATCGTTCCACTGACAGCCCAAGCTGCAGCCAGCCAAGTGATCCGCCTGTCTAGACGAGTGGTGAGCCGCATGGTCCACTGTAAAGTGGTGCTGGACTTGCTTAGCGGCAGAATTTGACAGTGGCGATGTTCCCTTGTGGCGACAAGATCAGCGTGAAGAGCGTGTACGATCAACAGGGGCACAGAACAGAGTCTTGCTTCGAGCTGTGCTCTGAAATCAGGAACATAAAAAAAGACGCATTTAGCATTTAAAACGCATGATTAAAAACAACCTCCTTTTCAAACGATTCAAGCATCAGCAAAGCAAAGCAAAGTCATTCAGACAGCCGGATGACGCGCGTTCACCTGAATACGAGAATTTCTTCCTAGCCTTCTATTCTTAGTGCCATTGTTCTGCATCCCTCAGGGGGTAAGCGCCCCTGTAAAAGCCAGTTAGTGGTGCACTGTGGCGGAGCAACGGGCTCCCCCTGGCTCGCTAATCCTGGACGAATCGTTCGCGCACCACAACGCCGACGGAGCGATCCACGGTGTTTTAGTGTGTGCATGGCGCAGCCTTGTTTGTTCGGCAGACCTCGTTTTTCTTTCGCCATCCCCCCAGAAACTGTTTCTTGTTCTTTTTAAACTCATCAGATCCCCCGTCCCGGAACTCAGATCTGTATAGAGCCTTGCTGCTACATATAGATCAAAATTGTCGAACATGGCTACTCTACACGACGACTTCGGCAACCCTACTCGCAGAGACGTATCCAAGCCTCCGTTGTGGAACCCTCGCTTCTGGTCAAGACGGGTCTGGATCTTTAGCGGCTTCATTGTCATTGTAATCATTGTTGTGGCCGTGGTTGCTGGTGTTCTTGCCAGCAAGAACTCCTCTGGCTCTTCTTCAGGCGCATATCCCAACTACTCTCCTCTATCCTACCAGCTTCAGGACACTAGTACGTATCAGTCGGCATTGTTCATATCTTGAATAAGTGTGGGTGCTAACTTGCCATTTTAGTTGGCGTAGCAAATTTCTTTGATAACTTCAACTATCGTGAAGGCTACGACCCTGGTAAGTGCCTGTGCTTCTACAGGATAACCCTATAAAAGCTAACATCTGTCCAGCCTTAGGCTTTGTCCACTACAACCCAGAGCCAGCCGCCAAGCAGAGAGTGAGTATTTGTCCCAAGTAATTGACAGTTTATCTTGCTAATAGCTTCCTTCACAGAATCTGACTGGTACTTCTTCTGATGGCAAGTCTGTCTATCTCCGTGTCGACACCACTGGCAACAATGAGACAACTGGCCGCCACTCTGTCCGTATCGAATCCAAGAAGCAGTACGACAAGGGCCTTTTCATCTTTGATATTCAGCACACCCCTTACGGCTGCGGAACATGGCCGGCTCTCTGGCTTACCGACCCTGAGACTTCCCACTGGCCTTCCAATGGCGAGATCGACATCATGGAAGCCACCAACAACGGCGTCGATGGAAATGCCATGACCCTCCACACTTCTAGCCAATGCTCCATGGATGTCCGCAGAAACATGACGGGAAGTGCTGGAAAGACAAACTGCGATGTCACGGCAGACGGTAACTCTAACGCTGGATGTGGCGTCTCCGCCAACAAGGCCTCGTACGGAGAAGAGTTCAATAAGCAGGGTGGCGGTATCATGGCTGTCGAATGGCGTGACGCCGGCATCCGCATGTGGCAATTTGCTCGCGGTGCCATCCCCAGCGATATCACCAACAAGACTCCCAAGCCCGAAACCTGGGGAGTGGCAGTTTCCGACTTCCCCAGCACAAGTTGCAACATCGGCTCCCACTTTAAGAACAACTCCATTGTTGCCAACATCGACCTCTGTGGCCAGTTGCTGAATGGCAAGCAAGGAGCATATGCTACATCTGGATGCCCCCTGACTTGCGAGAAGATGGTTGCTGAACATCCCGAAGCATTTGACAATGCCTACTGGAAGTTTGGTGACTTTTTGGTTTACCAAGCATCGTAGAGCTCTGCAGCAGGTCTACATGATTTTATATAAAAGAAGTATCAGTTAGGGTGCGTAATGGTTGGATGACGGTCAGAATGAAATGAAATAGCTTTTGTACAATTATATCCAGAGACACCAGTCTCTTCTATCTATTTTTCTTTAAAACGTTCCCAAAACAATCATTTTTATACACGGCAGTGCATCTGCTGCAAGCAGCTTGCCAACATGATAAATGCAATAGTGGAGAGGGAGTCCTAACAGGGCTCCAGAAACGCCATACCAAAAATGCCCAAATGGTGAAATCAATGCGCCCAAACACCAGTCGTCGGCTCGAGACCGCCGGTTGTACAATGTATAGAGTATTCGCCGTTATGACTCCCAGCATATTCAGGAGTACATTCGGCCGCGTTTAGTTGTCACCAGGCTGGCGCATGTATGCGTCGATGGCGGCACTGAACGCAGCAAAAGCCGCGCAACCACCGGCCATGGCGGTAGGACCAGCGTTCTTGGCCAAGATGCCACCGGTCAAGCAGCCTGCAGCAACGCCATTTGTAAGATCGTTCTTGGCTCGGAGGCCCTCGATGCCGCATTCGATACCGGAGAACAGCGCGCCGACCTTGCCGAAGTTCTTGGCCATGGAGAAAGAGCGCGTTCCCATGTCCTTGAAGCCGACCTTGAGCTGTTGGCGAAGAGGGAGCGATGTAATAGGAGTCTGGCCATTGGCGCCGCCCATCACTGGGCTACCGTAAGGCGTATCGTAGGACATCTGTGTGTAGACTGCGAGTTAGATACAAATACTATTGCGGCCGATAAAGACAAGGGACGTACCGAGGCCATGAAAAGACCAAACAGACCGCCCATGCCGAAACCCATGACACCGGACATGACAGACTTGCCGAAGCATGATTCCATAGCAGCTTGCATCTAGAAGAAGGGCATAATATGTTAGTTTCGGTGCGGTGCAAGGGGGGTTGCCGATGCCGTTTGGCAAAGGAGAGGCTCAACGTACGGCTTTGACATTGGGATCTTGGGGGCTGCCAGGGATGGGCGCAGGCGCCGGAGCTCCGCTCGAAGGAAAGTTCATTGTGTATGGGGTTTTATTAGTATAATATTATGATGTTTGCAGTTGTATCGATGGAGGTCGCAGGTTGTCGCAAGATTCGCTTGTCGTTGCGGGAGTGGAAGTTTACGGGGGGAAATATTTCTGCCGCAGGCGACCGCTTGAGACTTTGGCTGCGTCGGTGGCTCCGGTACAGCAGGCAGGTGCGCCAGTGGAAGCTACCACTTACAAGCCTTTTTAAGTAATAGTAAGTAAATGTAACAAAAGTTAGGCCATAAAGATTAGGAAGAAAAGGCTAGGGCTTTGATTAAGATATACTGAATATTTTGTCTATAAATATATCGCAAATATTGTACACTTTTTTAATGCTTGTCGCTACTCTGCTGTGCATCGGAACGGTATATAGTCCACAGCGATCAAAAAGGGCTATTTATCGATAAATTATACATATATACAGGTGCTGGGTCTAATATACATGTTAATACAAGGTGTTCCTTTATCCGTTTAAACCAAGAGCGGATGCAGGTTGTTGGGCTGTTTCTCATCTCAACGATGTGTCTATTGGGGCGATGGTGGCTTTATGCCACGGGCTTGTAGTACATCGGCAAGATTGCGCTCGATTCGGGAAAACTGAAACTTTTAGTCATGACCTAACCGGTTCCTTAATGGCGACTTACTATGCTCTTCTGGCTCATAGGCACAACGCCGTCGCGAATCCAGAAGCCGTACGCCCCCATCAGATTGGCAAGCATCATGTCGGTTGTAAGTCTGTCACCAACAACGGCAATTTGTGACGGGTCTATGACTTCCGTCTCTGGGTGCTGTTTAAAATAAGCCATGATTTCAGGCCCGCATCCCGGCTTCTTGACTGAGTGAGGAAGAACGTGAACGCCGGTAGACTTCTCAACTTCGGCAGCCTGCTTCAAGTCTTTATCCCATGTCGTTGCTCCTGAAGTATTTGATACGACGAGTAGTTTTCGCCCTGGATAGGCGGCTCTTAATCTCTCGAAATGTTTCTGTGGTATTTGGTTAGTTGAGGGTGGTATGAAAGGTATCGAGCAGAAATACCTTGTATGGTTCGTAGACCTCCTTGGCGTCTGGATATGCGAAGCAATCATCTTTATCAAGGACTACTGCTTTAATATTTGTCGCTCTCCCGCTCTTCTCAAACGCTTTGTCCAACGGGATAGGAAGATCGTTAAAGTTGGACACTGTATGGTGAGGCAGACAGAGGTTGGGTTTGAATAACAGCCGGGTGACATTTAACGATGCCGAGAGATTGAGATTCATGGTTTCCTTCCAGTAACACGAAATGAAATCCTAACAGACCAAGAAGCGGGGACGGCGATGTCTGTCTATGAGGATACAAAGGGAGATTTTGTCCATGCACAGCTGCCTTGAGACGTTGGAGTTGCCCTGCACCAGCGCCAGCCCCACCACAGCTTCCCGCTAAACTTTGGCCAATTAAGCGCTGGACGCGTCCTGTCGCGTCCCCCAGACAAGATCCCCTCCACCATATTAAATTGATTTCCAACACTTCGACGCTCGAATGCTTCTCTGGCTGTGATTGAGATTGTAGGAAAGTAGCAGCATGGACGAAGCGATGGACTCCGACATTACGGGTAGAAATACCCCAGATACCGACACAATGGACACCGATTCCCCCTCAAGACAATTCGCATCCAACGGAGCCACAGAGTCAAATCACGAACTGTCGATGAATGGTGCAAACGGTGTATCGCATGAGGTACCAGATGAGCCTGTAATGACAACTCCAACACCGAAACGACGTGGGAGACCACCAAAGAATGCAAGCCGCCAGTCGATCCCTTCCAAGGCAAAGAAGCTTGCGCTGTTCGAGACGCCTACAAAACCCAACGGCGCTGGCATGGCAACTCCTCAAAAGCAAGCTGCTGATCGATCTGCCATGCGAAAGACAGTCCGGACTCTAATTGAACAGGCAACACTGGACGGCGCCAGCGATGACGAACAGGACGATGACCTCGTAGCCCGTGAGCTCTATGGCGATAGCGACGGGGACGACACAGAGATGATGGATGACGGTACGAGCGTTGGCGATGGTCGATCAGATATTGGAACGGCAGACGAGCTAGCTACGCCTTCAAAAGCTCCTCAAAGACGGAAGCGACGCCAACGGGCGAGATCGCCAACACCGCCTCGGGATCTTCCAGCACACGAAATGTACTTTCTGCACAACAAGCCTGGCAGACCAAAGACCTCTGACAACACGCTCGCATCTCTGACACTTCTTGCTCACGATGAATACTTTGAAATTATGAAAACATATCAAGATCCCCATGGTGCCGATATCGAATATCTCGAGACACTTCACGCCGAGTCGTTTCCACAATGGCTATTCGAACTTACCCAAGGATATAGTCTGTGCCTATATGGGTTTGGATCGAAGCGGAAGCTGCTCAAGAAGTTTGCGACACATATATACGAACGAAACAAGATCTCTGGCAATGGTGATATTGTCATGGTCAACGGTTACGCCCCAACCACCACCATCCGTGACATTCTTACTTGCGTTTCTACGGCTGTTGATCCGTCGCGCAAAGCGTCGACTGCTCAGCCATCTATCATGGCCCAGTCCATACTATCGCACCTTTCTGAAACACCAAATAAAACAGTGACCATTGTAGTCAACTCAATCGACGGCGCGCCGCTTCGAAAGGGCACAACACAAGGTGTACTGGCCAAACTGGCAGCGCACCCGCAGATTCACTTCATCTGCTCTGCAGACTCGCCGGACTTCACACTCTTATGGGATATCGGCCACCGCTCAGCTTTTAACTTTACATTCCACGACTGCACAACGTTTGCTCCGATGCTAGCGGAAATCGACGCCGTTGACGAGGTACATGAGCTGCTTGGTAGACAGGCACGCCGTATCAATGGCCGTGAAGGTGTTGCATTTGTCCTTAAGAGTTTGCCAGACAACGCCAAGAACCTCTTCCAGCTCCTGGTTGGCGAAGTGTTGGTGGTTATGGGAGATACTGGCGAAACAAATGGCGAAGAGGGAGCTGGCGTCGAATACCGAGCCATGTACAACAAGTCTGTGGAGGAGTTTATTTGTACATCCGAAATGGCCTTTCGTACACTTCTCAAAGAGTATGTATCTCCACTAAGCTTTGCTTTGCTACTGCTGCTAATAGCGTTTACAGATTTCACGACCATCAAATCATTACGAGCAAGAAGGACGCCGTGGGCACAGAAATGCTCAGCTTACCATTCTCTATGGAAGATTTGGAAGCAATCTACGAGGATCTAGCTGGATGAGAGATCTCCAAGGGGACAGTCCCTTCATCGAATATATCTATAAATATATACATAGAAACAAAAAGGCAGAGATGGTATTATTTAGCGGGAGTTTTATATGAAATAAAATTAACATTATTTATTCAATGACCAGAATGGCTCTATATTTTTCATGATGGATTGAGATGTTTTCCATCTCTATGCATTACTATATGTACAAGGTAGTGAACGCCTTTGTGTAGGCTTTTGTCAAGTTAAATGGCAAGACTCTTTACGCAAGTCCAGAGAATGACGGGAACAACAACATTATCGTTTCCGCCGGTAAGCACAGCTTCAGTCAAGCTGGCAATCGTTGCGCAGACGCCAGCGTTACGGCTCGTCGCCAGTATGCTCGCGGGCTCTTCGCTCACTGGCCATCCGCCTATTCTCAGCCATGCTACAGATACCATTAGGCCAATAAACACGGCGACGGCAAAAGCAACACTGCCTTCAAGGCTCTTTCCGCCTCCCCAAATCCATTTGCGGTGACCCCAGCGGCGACCTATCAGCGACGCAGCTGCATCACCGAGCCCAACGCATATCACACCAGCAAGCATGCTGACATCCCTTGTTGGTACCTCCCAGCCAGTGGCAATGCCCGAACCTGTTCTTGGCAGCGATCCAAGTGCAAGCCAAAGCGGTATCGCGCATCCAATAAGCAGAAATATATGGGAGATGACCACTGGTCCACGAAAGTCACGGCCATCCACATATGGGGCCAGGAATGCTGCAAGTGGTTTTGATAGAGGTGGAAGTTGACTTGCTCGAAGGAGATCAAGAATGAGGAAGACGGCTAGGATAAGTGCCAATGCAAGCGCAGCATATGCCGGATCAACGAATGTGGCTGGGATGAACATGCCTACCATCATAAAGTGAAATACCTTACGACGAGTGTCGACTTCGTAAGTGTCCTTAAGCTGGAAGACAATGAGGAGACCAAAGATGAGAATGGTGAGCCAGTAGCCGCTTAGCAGAAGTCGAGTGTTGGCTTCACCAAAGTCATTGGCTCGAATGTGCTGAACCCAGCCCATGGTGCATGCGCGGTCTGTGGAATCCAGTAGAGGAGGTAGGCAAACCCAGTGGTCAAAGTTTGAATGAACAACTTGGAACCGGAACCATGATATACCACCTAATAGGTAACCCAGGGCCCAGCCGATAGGTTCATTCCCGTTCAAGGCATAGATTTGAACAAATGTCCGTACGCCAACGAAGATTACAAGCACAATGGTAGTATACACATATGCTGCATATGCCCACTTTCGTATTCCAGCTTCTTCGTACGTCAGTTTGAGGAATGGTTTTGCAGACACCGATGTCCCTCTCTTCTTCCTACCAGAGGATGTGTGAGTAGTACTAGTAGGAATTGGCTTTTCTGGAGTTGCTAATGTGTGTCGACGGACTAGGTCGGCATCTGGGGACTCGGGTGTAGCTGTGGTTGTATTTCGGTGTCCGTTACCAAAGGTCTGTGTTCTTGCAGGTTGTTTCAGCAACAAAACATCGTCGTCAGAATCGCCTGATTCTGGGGTTTCATATAGAATGTCTTCCAAAGAGGGAGACCTTGCATCGCCGCGAGTTTTGGCCCATGACAATGCCTTAGCAACGCTCTTCCAAAGGGGCCGCTTCTGTGACGTTATTGACGGGCGTCTAAATCTCCATCGCGGAACTCTAGCGAGAGTAATGCCCCAGCGAATAACAGTTCCGCAGAGCAACAGTACGGCAACGCCACCTATCCAGAGCAAGCCCTTTAGAATTTGGATTTGTGGAGACACGGCTAGGATTAATACGTCGACAAGGGCTACTCCTAAGAGTTGAAGTTCGGCGCTTAGTAAACTTGTTGTCGTAAGGTGGTGTAGCACGATGCTTGTTGTTCTCTGCAAGGGATACAGCAATACAGCAGCCTCTAGCGGCAGGGCTCCTAGCTGAGCGGCGAGTGCCACATCTCCCTTTGTTCCCCGACACCATAATAACGGAAGGCATGTTAATACCCAATGTAATGTATCGTAGTGCGCGAAGATCTCTAGTTTTGGAATGACCTGCTGTGGCAGTGCGCAGAGGCCGAGGATAAGGTTCGGTAGCATCACACCTCTGTTTTTCGGTGACACGAGAAGTGATACCAGAATCGTGATTGCAGGGGGGTATAATAGAGGTGCAGGATCGAAATTATGTGGTAATCGGATCGGAAGCCATTGTTTCGGAGATCTGTTCCAATAAGTCCAGCGTATGATTCGTAACGGGTATAAGACAGCTAGTGTGGCGCAAAGGATAGCACAGTTGAGCAGTTCTAAGCCCTGTTAGTATGGAAATAGGATAGTAATATTGCTGCGACATACCATTACGCCAATATCTTGCGACAGGGAGGACTTGGCTGTTTCTAATAACCATGGTGCTCAGGGCGAGCACGATGAAGACCTCAGTAACACGCCGCACCAGGTTCTTATTACGTCTGGCAATATCAATGGCTGGGTTTTCATGCTGAATTGGGCGAACTGGCTTCACTTTGGCCGATTCCGGAGAGAAGGTGAGTTCAAAGAGCTGCGACTGGTTTGGCGTCGACGCGCCAGAGAAGACCTCATTGCGCCCTCGCAATCCCTTGTGTAGCTTAACTTTGGGCGCTGGAAGCCCTTTTAGAATGTGTTCGTCGTCTGCTTCTGTCCCACTTTCGCTTCCGGGGCTTGATTCTTTCGAGAAACCTGCTGGTCGAGGGACGCCGAGGCGATGCGAGGGGTCGGGCAGGTCGGCGCTTTGGTGATGATACGGATGAGGAGATCTGCTCATAGCGCGCATCCTATCTTGCTGACCGGGTTCCGGCGCCTGACTAGGCCCAGAGCTAGGCATCTTCGGTAATGTGTGTCGTAGAGCTAATATGCATACGTGATCATAGGGGGTAAGCTCGGCCAGCAACCTGATGATTCGATGACGTTGCGACGACAGGCGTTGCGACAGACCATGTGATAAATCTCACGGGCTGGGACGGATCGCCAATTGCCTCGAAAGCTGGGTCTTTAAGAGATCAATGACAACATTATTAGGAGAAAGTCTGATATGAAAAAGAATCGGGTGTCGGAAAATTTGCGTGTGGTGAATTTCACATGGAAATGTAGCAACACCTCCGATGGACCCATTCAGGAGGACAGCGCGGCTCCAACGGCCAAGCCATCACGTGCAGAGATACGGAAGTTGCTCAACTTGTACGCTTGTCGATGCGTTTTCAGAAGATTTTGAAGCTATAAAATCTATTAATAAATAGTTTACGATAAAAACGATTATTTTGTATTTCGCTGTAAAATCCACCAATGGCTGCTGTCCTGGTTAGATATTATAAGAAGATTTGGCGAGACCGACTCATAGCGTCACCAATCTGCACGCCAGAGCTATAGTAGCATGGATTACGACATATCAGAGGTCAGTATAAACTATATAATATTGAATAGATAACTCTGAAGGATATATATGGTATTGTCTTTTTACATGTCCAATTGGCAAACACCGATAATGGCTCGCGATTAGTTCCGGGCAGTTGTCTAATATATCCAAGCCTCAGTGGAGGTCAGAACGGGCCGTCGAAGGAGCTTTCAGTTTAGCTCCATGATCGAGTTTAGGTGAAATGCAAGAGGTCCACAGACGATCGGAGAGGTTGGCCTAAGCAGAATTGCTGCAGAGCGCGTAGACTTGCATGTTGTACGCCGTTCTTCACAATATTACAGGTGCCATTCTTTACCGGTCTTCTCTCGTGTTTGTAGTAGCATGACTATGGCAGGGCTGACATGCCCCAAATTCACTTTTTTTGGCGGTATGAGGCGTTCAGGTCGCGAGAGGGGCTAGGCAATATTGAGGTCCCATTCGCTAAGCCTGTCCGCATGGCGGGCTGGGATTCCGTGGATGATCCCAGCTCGGGCATCGGTTGGCCACTAACGCTCGTATCGCGACACACACCCTTTCGCTTCAGCCCTTTTCTACCGGATAGCCGTATTTTCAATTGCGCGAGAAATATTGTGTCTGTCTCAAGAAGCGAAGGGTTTGTCTCATAACGTAGCCTAGAAAAAAAAAGACAGACTGACAAGACCACGAGGCTCGGGACACCGCTCTCTCAGAATTGAGGCTCGCGCTAGCGTCTGAATAAGAGCCAGCGCCTGCGTCGCAGCCCGACAATGCAGCTTTGCATTACCATGCAGAATGTAAAAAAAAAAATACGGTGGCAGGCGGAGAACCTGACTATGGCGTGCCTCAGAACGGTGGTCCGGAGCCCACAGCGATTGGCTGTCCTTAGTTGCGAGCTTCGTCGGCGCAGCGATCTGAGACAACCAGCTGGGCGGAAAGAAAGCACGACGTGGCTGTGAATCGGCTGGGGGGAATTCTGTGTTTCTATTTTCGGGCTAGCCGCAGCCGCCTCCAGGTAGACGTGGATAGCGGTTGCTGATTGATAGCCATTGCTGCGTTAGGGGGATACCTTGGGAGTGGTGTCTGGTCGATATTGGACTATCACGACAGTTAGACAAACACAAGGAAAAACGCAATGTTTTCTTCGTCGGCCTGTTCCGCTTCAAGCACGGACACCCGAAACTCTCTTGGCTCATGGAAACAACGGTACGATGGAGGTGGAGGAGCTTTTTGAACAAGCTCGTATTGTTCCAAGGTGTGGTGGTGGCTTGGCTGACGCTGTTGCACCACCTTAGCGGGCGGGCTGCCCCCCATTTAGCGTCGAAGCCCGTAGGCCTTTGTGTTTGGGCTCCGCTGGCTGGGAGCCCGTTTCCTGTATTTGTGTGTCTTTTTTGCTTTCTTTTTTCTTTTTCCTTGTTAGTGCACCTCGTATTCTTTTTTCTTTTACAGATACACGCTTTCCCTGGCCTTTCTTAGTTGCATTACGCAGCATCGCCACCTCCCTACAGCTTAGCCAGACACACACACCTGCAACACCACAGACGCACAGCACACACCCGCAGTGGACCCAGCGCCATCGTTCTCCGACGTCACTGCTGCTCCACCAACCACCGTCCAAATCCTCTTAACCCACTGCAGCCTCTTTCCCACCCAGCCGTTCCCCGTCTCTTGGTTGGATGATTGCATGCGATTTGATGTCATTCTAGACTCTTTCTGTTACATTTATTTTATTTTCTTTACCATTGGAAAATAATAAGCCCATTGATCTGTTGCTTTGGTGGAGCCTTCTGCCTACCTCTTCCACACACCTCCATATATACGCCTCCTGTCCTCCCAGTCAAGGTTGCTTCTTCATTGTTGCACATACCGCCATCCCATCATGTCGACAACCACTCGAAATGAAGATGCCTATCTCGAAGAAGGACTACTGAGGAATATGGAAGAAGAAAAGGTCAATCTACTCCACGAGCACCGAAACGAAACCACGAACGAAGGACAACTGCCGTTGGACAAGCCGAGACGCAATGGCCCGTCTCTGTGCACACTCATGGCATTAACCTGCCTTGGGTTTATTGCCGGAGTCACCGTCTTTGCACCTCCCACAATGATGTGTCGTCACAGTCATCAGGCCCAGGCGAACGACGAACTTGTGGCGAGCAACAACTTGACGCCCGCACAGAAAATCTATATTCAGGTTATTGAAGAGCACGCGGATATGGGTTATGATGAGCAATTTCAAACTTTTGAGAAGAGAGCTCAAGGTCAGTCCGCTAGTTACACAGTTGTGCGGCACTTGAATCCACCATACTAACTCCAGCCTAGACCCAGCCGCCAACGGCATTTTGAACCGCAGTGTCGCAGGAACAGGTGCTAATCCCCAGCCTGGAGGCACATCACCAGGCCAAATCCCTGGAGTGCCTGGAAATCCGGGAGCTGAGAGAACAACAGAGATTACCACTCAGACAACAACATCGACTTCATATACTACCGTCACTCCTGGCTCACCTTCCTCCTCGCCACCTGTTATCAGCTCTTCACACCCACCATCAAGTGTGATCCCATCATCTTCGATCCCACACTCTTCTGCGCCAATCAGCTCAAGCAGCCCTATAATTTCATCATCCTCGATTCCATCCTCGTCTTCAACCCCTACTTCTTCCTCTACTTCCTCCAGTACGTCTATCCCTTCCACTTCTTCTTCCTCGTCCTTGCCCCCGCCTGTATCAAGCACATCAAGTACGTTTGTGGAGTGTTTATTTGCGGCTGCGTAATCCCCTTGTCCTGTTTCTGCCGCACTACCTATGCCCCATCTAAGATCATATGCCATGAATTTGTGTAGGGCCTCCGTTTCATGTTTACACGGCCACTTACATTCCCATGGTTTGGAAGTGAAACTAACGGCAGCTCATTAATCGACTGGCATAAAGGAGTGCAGAAACCTAAGGCTGCGCTACTTGGGCCTTTGAATATATCTTTGCTGGCCTGTAACAAATATACTAACCATAATTCTTTCTAGCCCCCATTCCCTCATCCAGCCAAGAAACGGAGTCTGTGATTACCAGCGGCGATATCACAACTTCGCGACCTGTTACGCACACAAGGACAACAGTCCTTGACGGTATTGGAACCGTCGTGACTGTTCAAACGACTTGGGTTCCTGTGAAGCCCTCTGTCCCTCCTCCCAAGGACCCCAATCTGCAGAACGGCGCTCCCGCCTCAAACGCCAATGGATTCCTAGCCATTGTTGCCGGTGCCTTGGCATTGATTCTTGCCTAAGCTGCATTATCTTTGCTTGAGCTCAGCTACAAATTCTTACAAGGTTATTTTATCAGTTGCATGGCAACCATGTTTTCATCATCGGCCATAGAGCCCAACGACTTTAGATAGATTGCATGACCCGCACTTTTACGATTTAGATTCATGAATGTAAAATATAGTATAACGTACACGATATTCAGACGCAATAAAAGTACATTTAGTAAAAATATGAAGTCCCCAACCAGAATAAGAAAAATCAAGTAACTCCGTAGATCCAAGTTGCCGCTGCACAATTGCTAGCCAGGACCAATCTTGGGCATGTCGTGGTGCTCGCTCAGCTTGGACAAGTATGTGTTTAGCTCTTCCACACGCTCCTTGTGAGTCTTGAGCAGTTCCGGTCTTGAGCCAGACTGCTTTGCCATTTCCATCAGCTACAATGAGAAAACCGTTAGCAGGGTGCGCGCCATCTGCCCTCGCGTGGTGGGTGGCGAGTTAGAGTGACAGAACCTACCTTGCGCTTTCGAACTTCGTCGTGACGTCTCTCAGATTCTGTTTTTCTGGAGACGGTTTCGGATTCTTCATGTTTGGTTTCTTCATTGGCTACATCCTCGGCCTTGCTGTCACGGTTTGCTAATGCCTTTCCGCTTTGGCTCTCTGTTGACAGGCTCTTGTGGACGTCAGCATTGACCTTGGACTTCTTCTTCTTTTTGCCCACTTTGGCCCCTTTTAATTTTAGGGCACCGCCGCCGGCTAGGCCGTAGTCTTCAGAAGGCATCCTTGCCAACGACTGCGACGGGTTGACGATCGGATCGGGATGCCAAGTGCAAGTTTGTTCAATCCGAGCATGGCCGTCGTCGGGTCTTGGGCGGGGCGCCGCCCGCTATTTTACCTAAGCAAACCAGTGGCTCGCTCGCTGGGGATCGGTAATTGTAGCCAAAACAGCAGCCAATTATGGCGCCTGCACCAGATGACCCGCCGCCATTTCGCGCGCTGAAGCTTGATTTTGCATCGTCACCCCTTCTTGCGCATCCACGCCAATTTCCACGAAGCCTCCCTTCGCTTGTTCGCCAGCTATTTCTATCATTACGCATTCGCTGCCTGTTTCTTTCTTCTTCATCTCTTACCAGCATAGGGCATCCATCATTTCGTCTCATCCTCAGGCCGCATCGATCGTGCTTCTTCAGGTCATCGTGTGAGTGCCCCTCGAACATCAGATCGAATCGCACATATCATCAATCCCAAACGTACACAGCATATTCTATGACACCGCTATGAACACTACGCTTTAAACAAATCTCTTGCAACGATTACATCACTGTCATTGTACAGCCCGACCCTACCGCCCCGACGCGCCGTCTGTGCGCTTCCCCTCCGATACTCCGTCATCATGCTCTCCCACGCCGGGCAATCACAATCGCGCGACTCGCTGGAGCTGGCATCTCTTGCAAGCTCAAGCGTTATGCACGATGGCACAGCCGCCTCTGAAGTTTCTTCAAGACCAAGCATCTCATCGTCCCGCCGACTATCACTCGTCGAGGAAGACCCCCTGGAAGACTCGAACCCAGCGGGCAGACACGGCCGATCATACTCTGTCTCTTCTACATTTGACTTCTCTGCCAACCTATTTCCTCTAAGCTCTACTGCCGGTGCCGGTGGATACGCCCCTATAGGTGCGCCAACCTCTGCATCACGGGCTACTGGCGGTTTAGGGGGCGGTTCCCTAGAGAAGCACAAGACTCTTACATATCTGAATGGCCTTTCCCTCATCGTCAGTCTCATTATTGGCTCGGGTATCTTCTCGTCCCCCAGTCAGGTTAGCTCACGAGTCGGATCTACTGGCGCTGCTCTGATTGTCTGGGTTGTTGCGGGCCTGTTAGCTTGGACTGGCGCTGCATCGTATGCTGAGCTGGGCGGTGCTATTCCGTTAAACGGTGGTGCACAGGTATACCTGGCCAAAACATTTGGAGAGCTGGCCGGCTTTCTTTTCACATGGGTGGCCGTGCTTGTCCTGAAGCCTGGTAGTGCGGCCATTGTCGCCATCATCATGGGCGAGTACTTTGTCAGAGCCATTATTGGCGCTGAAGCAGAAACGATTAATCCTTGGATAAATAAAGGCGTTGCCTTTGTGGGTATTATTGCCGTCACGTTGCTAAACTGCGTATCAACTCGTGTGGGAACTCGTGTCAACGATTTGCTCATGTTCCTCAAGTTCGTCGCACTCTTGTTTGTTACAATCGTCGGCGTGGTGGTCGCCATTACAGGCCGCACATTTACTGGCCCTGCCAATCTGGAATGGAAAACGCATGATTGGTTTGCAGACACCTCGTCTGATCTCTCCAACTGGGCTTTGGCACTATATGCCGGCCTCTGGGCCTTTGACGGCTGGGACAACGTAAGTCAACGCGCACGCCGTCGATCACCTATGATACTAACACAATTAGACAAACTACGTCGTCGGAGAGTTTCGTAACCCAAGTCGTGACCTCCCTCGTGTAATTCACACGGCTATGCCCCTCGTCATCGTCTCTTACATTCTAGCCAACATTGCGTACTTCCTCGTTCTCCCGCTGGAAACCATCAACGACACCAACACCGTGGCCGTCATGTTTGGGTCAAAAGTGTTTGGATCTGCTGGCGCATTTGTTCTTGCGCTCATTGTCAGTGCCAGCTGTTTTGGGGCCCTAAACTCGTCTCAATTCACAGCCAGCCGTCTTGTGTACGTGGCCGGTAAAGAGGGTTATATCCCCGCCATATTTGGTCGTATTGGCTTTGGCGATCGGCCTCTGGAAGACAGCTTATCGACACAACGTACGCGAAGCTGGCTCATCAAAAAGCTCAGAAGATACTGTGGCGATGAGGAAGTCGGCCTCTTCTTTACACCCATGTACGCACTCCTCCTTAACTGCGTCTTGGCCCTAGCGTATTGCGCAGTCGGCGAATTCGGCACGCTTGTTACGTTTTACGGCGTCGCTGGCTACACGTTTTACTTTGTTACGGTGCTGGGCCTCATCATCCTCAGAGTCCGTGAACCGAATCTTGAACGGCCATACAAGACTTGGATAGTAACACCCATCATCTTCTGCTGCGTTAGTCTATTCCTTCTTAGCCGTGCAGTGTTTGCACAGCCCCTTCAGACCCTCATAGTCGTTGGGTTTGTCCTTGCTGGCATTCCCGTCTACTTCTGGCGTATCCGCGGCAGAGACCGTGTCGCACCTCGCAAGTTTGGTGACCTCAGCCGTGATGATGGAGATGACAAGTCTTGGTGGCAGTTTTGGAAATGATGTTTTTATTTTGAAAGCAAGCGTGTACTTTTATCCAGTATTTTCAAGTATAAATAGAGGCCCAGCATGGGAAAGGATGGACTGGGCTGTGTTAAGCATCAAGTTTGGTTAGTTAGCAGGTCATCCTTTTCTACACAGCGTGGTAGTGTTTAACAATCAACAAATCATACACACTTCATTGCTCTTGTCCAAATACAGTGATGACCAGAATGTTTTAATATGTGTTTATATTATTCATATCAAAAACAATATTCATAAGCTTGCTATCATAACAAAAAAAGAAACTATAACTTTGTTTTAATTTACACCTTTATAAGCCGCGGACCACTACTTGCGCTGGCCGTAGGCCTTGGTAGCGTAGTCACCCTTGTGGACGATGAGATCCTCGGGACGGTAGTCTTCCTTGCCGGAGAAGTAGCTGGTAAGGATGTTCTTGACACCGTCAGCGTAACGCTTTTGGGCATCGAGAGAAGTACCAGACATGTGGGGAACCATGGCGTTGCCGCCACCGAAGGGGTTCTTAGCAGTGCGCAGAGGGTGGTCGGCAGGAGCAGGCTGGGGGAACCAGACATCACCACCGTAGCCAGCAAGGTGGCCGGACTTGAGAGCCTCAGCAACATCCTCCTTGACGACAATGGCGCCACGGGCAGTGTTGACAAGGTAAGAACCCTTCTTCATCTTAGCGATGAGCTCCTTGTTGAAGAGACCCTTAGTCTTCTCGTGGAGAGGGCAGTTGATGGTGACAACATCACACTGGGCGAGAAGCTCCTCGAGAGTGTCGACGCGGCGGCAGCCAATCTCGGCTTCCTTCTCGGCGGACAGGGGCTGGTAGTCGAAGTAGAGAAGCTCCTTGCAGTCGAAGGGCTTGAGGCGGCGGAGAACACGCTCACCAATGCGGCCGACAGCAACGGTACCGACAACCTTGTTCTCAAGATCATACTCTTGCTTGGCAACAGCGGCGACATCCCAGTCACCACGCTCGACCTGCTCGTGGGCGGGGACAAAGTTGCGGATGAGGACAAGGATGGTCATGACGACGTGCTCAGCAACCGAGACGACGTTGGAGCCAGTCACTTCGGCGACGGTGATACCGCCGTTGGTGGTGTTGGCAGCATTCAGGTCGACGTGGTCAGAACCAATACCGGCAGTGATGGCAATCTTGAGGTTCTTGGCCTTGGCAAGACGCTCAGCAGTTAAGTAGCCAGGGTGGAAGCTGAGAGGAGCATTAGAGATATGGTATGGGAAGAGTAGATCGCATTATAACATACGGAGTGGTGATGATGACTTCAGCATCGACAAGCTCTTGGTCGAACTTGGAGTTCTCGCCCTCCTTGTCAGAGGTGGTGACAAGAGTGTGGCCCTGGTCCTCGAGCCACTTGCGGATGCCGAGCTCATTCTCGGTTGTACCGAGAAGCTCAGGAACCTATAAAAACAAGCGGTGTTAGTTGCAATTCTAGGTGACATGAACCCCCGAGAGACCCGGGCTTGGGCACTGAGCAGCAAGCAGAGACAAGCAGCGCACCCCTGCTATGGGTAGTGCTTCAGCAGTCGTTAGCGGGTTTGCTTCCCCGCACTTCCAGGCAACTGGGCTGGGGTGGGAGGGGCTGATCGTGATGGAGGGTGGCGCTAATGCAACCGCTTTCTCCCCATGCAACCCTGGTGGCCAATTGCCTGGCTTTGGGCTATTGGTTGCCCATTTGTTTCCGACCTGTCGAAGGCTGCAGCTGTTTCGTTCGGCTAACGAAGGCTGAATCTATTGCTGCTGCTGTTGCTGCTTTTTGATGGTGCTCTGGCTCGCGACACGCCAGGAAATCTCGGTTGGGGTACAACAAGAGGAGAATTCAACTTACTTCCTCGGCGTGCTTACCGCCGTCGTAGAGAACGAGAAGAACTTTAACCTTTTCGCGGGCAGTTGTCAGCGCACGAAACGAAGAGGGCACACGGCCAATCTGGCTGCCAGAAAATAGCTTGGATGTATGGGAGACGGAGGAGATTGAAGAAGAGGAAAGGAGCTTAGACGCCCGGGAAGTAGAGAGGTAACGCGAAGTCAAAGAGGGCACAAGACCAACTCTAGAGGCAAGGGGAAGGCAGCGGGAGATGGGGCGAGAAAGTACCATTTTGAATAAGTGTAAGAAGAGTTTCTTGCTAGATGTAAGATCGCAAGAGCGTGGCTGGCGGATGAGGCGGATCAGAACCCTTTATAGACGAAAGAGGAGTATGGATGAATTGATTGTATGTGTCAACAAAACACAACCTTATGCAAGAGACAAAAGACGGCCAAAAACCGAGGAGGGGAAGGGGAGGGGGCATCATCATATATCCTTTTTGGCAGTCAGCTTGCTCCAACCCAAGCATCCGTACCCAATGCTTTCTCCAACCCCTCTTTGCGCACAGGTCGTCCCTCTCATCGACTGTGGCACACACCCTCAAACCTGCCTCCGCAGCTTGAAAGCATGAATGCCGAAGGATACGCGAGGCTAGGTAAAAGAGGGGAAGCCAATGGCAAACGAGGGGTGGGCTTGGCTTCGTCGGGTCAAGGCAAAGCGACGCGTGGTACCTTGGGGCTCGCAGATGTCTCGCGCAGCTCTCGGCGTTTGCATGTCCACTGTGGATTGGACGGATGTATCGATTCCAATTAGGCTTTGTCACTGTGCGCCTGAGCTAACGCCTCGTCTGGGAAAGGGGAGGCACAACGCTGCGGGAGGGCGGGGTGTCCAGGTGGGCGTCATTGGATGAGAGCGATCGATGCAGCTTGGCTTGAGCGGGGACAAATGAGCAGGTACACATACCAGGCTGCGCAAATATTGCCTCCTGCAGGTCTAGTTCTAGGTTCCAAGCCGCCCAAAGAGGTGCATTCTTGGCCCGGTGATGGGCGAAGCTAATGACCACCATGCAACCATGTTTTGGCTGCAGCCAAGTTTACTATAGCGTGGGAGCTAGCACTGCAACAGGTATAGTGGGCAGCTGGCGGGCGGCTGGCAGCGTCATGGAGACTGCGGGGGGAAGGAGCAAACGGCTGGCGGGAGTATTCTCGGTGTTCGGTGTTGGTGGGACATGCCGCACTGTGGGTGCGCAGCTGCACGCGAATCAACAGCATGCAAACAGCAACGCCGACATAGCAAGTATGGATACAAATGGCTCATCATTACACTGTGTATGCAGGTGTATTTATCGGAGCTTCCCCTGTTTTTATCACATCTGACCCCAATTGACATACGTCAGGCTCCATTGCCAATGGAGACTTTACCATGCCAACTGACTTCCGTGATGCCGAAATGTTCGGGAAACGTCCCAGTCGTCCGGCGCCTCAGCCTTTGCTGTTGGAGTAAGTAGTCTTTATCTCGGAGATGAGCGGAGAACGATTGCAATGTATTATATTTGGCCCCATAGCCCGCAGCTGTGGTTGCTACATTGGGGAATACTACGGATGCTGCTGCGGCTGACGCTGTGCGTGCAGCACGCGACAATTTTGTTTCTACCGGTTTCTACCTCAACCGAAGCTAAACGTTCTTCTTGTCTGCCTCCTGCTTTTGCACTGCCTGCTTCAAAATGTTCAAGCCAGATCGATTGGCCATGATGTTGAGGCGCAACCAACGGGGCAAAATATAGTACAGGATTCGGACAACAAACGCCTTATTGCCGGCCCAAAACCACAACGGCTTGTTATTCTTTACGATCATTCTGACAACGCGAGCCGCATACTCGTCAGTGTTCATGGCGCCGTCTTGGGATTGGACAACACGCTGTTGCCAAAATTTCTCTACAGGAAGAAACAAAGAATCTGTGGGCAATCTAGGTGTGTCTTCTCGTACTGCGATAATAGTGAGCGCTGCTTTCACGTTGGTGCCTTGAATGGGGTTCACTTACCAAAGTTGCTCTTAACTCCACCAGTGACGATAGTCACAACCGACACGCTGAGAGCAGTTAGCTAAAGCCATTGCGTTTCGAGAGCGTTGCGATCAAACTTACCCGAATGGCTTCATCTCCATGGATAGCGAGTCGCCATATGCGTGCAACGCTGCCTTGGTTGCATTATAAGCCGACGAAAACACTAGCGGCGCAATCGGGGCAATGCTGCCAATATTGACGATGCAGCCCTTGGCCTCGATAAGGAGGTTGCTGAGCGATTTCGTGGCGCGCATAACGCCCAGAACGTTGACATTGAACATGTCTGTCACCATTCCGTCAATGTCGAGCTCGAGAACTGGGCGATGAGCGGCAACACCAGCATTGTTGACCAAGACATCGAGGCGACCACCTGTGATGAAAGAAACCAGATGCGCAGCCTTCTCCACGGATTCGGTCGACGCTACATCCATTTCAACAATGATAATTCCTGGGCGCACAAGAGGCTCGGCAGTTACTCGACGGCGAACGGCGCAAATAACAAAGTAGCCCGCCTCGTGCAGTTTTGTGGCAAGAGAGCCGCCAATGCCGCCCACGCCGGCACCAGTAACGAGCGCCGTCTTCTGGCCACTTTTGGGTCTGTCGGTGGGAGTGTCTGCCATGTTGTGATGATTCAATTTCTTCTTGTCTTGATCGTGTAGTTGCAAGATGTCTGAGTTGAAGAAAGTTGGGGGTCCACAAACCAAGTCTGCCGAGGTCCACCAACGAAGGCTAAGTCCGTTTGCGCACCAATAAACCCCGATCCACTGTCTATTGCGGCGGAATAACGTGATGGTATTGCGATGACAAATATGCGACACATTGCAAGCCACCCTCTTGCATACTCTACCTTTAAATGTGCTATATCGGTACGAGCGCGGGTTATTGGTTGGTCCATGCTTCCGCTCATTCCGCCGAACAGTGGCATGGTATCATCGCCCAGTGATCGTGTTTCCTGGTTTATTGGTCCATGTCCTTAGACGCTAACCCCGCCTTGGCCCCGTAGAAGCCAGTGTATGATCGGCGTCTGCCGCACTAAGAAGAGCCGCCTCGCGATTGGGCCTCTTCAGTAAGAAGCCATTTCAATGCAGTAGTAGTTGCTGCAGCAGCAGCAATGAGTGCAAGGCGCATTTTGGTGCGTTCAGGAGTTAATATTTGTGCCTCTTATAGTTGCAACGTGCTGTAATATACGTAATGTTCATCCCATTGTAGATTCCTTCGTTTTCCGCTCAACCCCGAGCTCGCATAGCCATGTCACATCCTGCACGTGCGCCCCCTCGCTTAGGATAAGTAGGAATACCGCCGTGCTAGCTCCGATCTCTCGAAGTATTGCAACTCTGTAATCTCGTACAAACTCCAAAAATGACTTCTGCCGACACTGCCGTGAGCAAGGAAGGACTTACTATTCCGGTACAGTGCACAGCCAACTTTTATCAACATTGATTATAGTACTGACAGAGTTGGCCACAGCTTATTGATTTCTCCAAGTTTGCCGCGGGGTCGCCCGAGGAACGCAAGGAAACCGCGGATGCCATCCTCCACGGCTTCCAGGATGCAGGCTTCATTTATTTGAAGAACCATCCCGTCTCAGCCGATGCTTTGAAGCACACTTTTGCTCGCTCAGCCGACTTCTTCGCCCAGCCGTTGGAAGATAAGCTGGCGCTAGGATGGACCACACCAGAGGCCAACCGTGGTTACTCTTCGCCGGGTAGAGAAAAAGTCAGTCATCATTTCAACAGCGATGACGTCGAAAAGGAACGTGCTGCTGCCCCCGATCTGAAGGAGAGTTTTGAAATCGGCCGCGAAGGAGAACCCGATCATCCCAACCACTGGCCTGCGGAGAATGGCTCGCTGGCCAACTGGAAGGCTGATATGCTTGACTTTTATGCTCAGTGCAAGGCACTTCATGTGGAGGTGATGCGGGCTATCGGTATCGGCATGGGTCTAGGGGATTCTTTCTTTGATAACTTTGTCGATGTTGGTGACAACACCCTTCGTCTGCTACATTACCCTGAGGTCAAGTCAGAGGTTTTCAAAATCAACGCTGGTCAAGTCCGTGCTGGTGCACACAGCGACTACGGTTCAATTACCCTTCTATTCCAAGACCAACGCGGCGGCTTGCAGGTACAGAGCCCTTCCGGGCAGTTTGTGGACGCAACCCCCATTCCTGGAACAGTTGTCGTAAACGCAGGAGATCTCCTTTCTCGATGGAGCAACGATACTATCAAGAGTACGGTCCACCGTGTCGTTGAGCCCCCAAGCCAAGACAGCACGCATCCTCCGCGATATAGCATTGCATACTTTTGCAATCCCAATTTCACTAGCCAGATTGAGGTCTTGCCTGGCACATACAAGACGGAGGCTGACAAAAAGTATGGTGGTATCAATAGCGGTGATTATCTTGTGCAGCGACTCAAGGCCACATACTAGCATGGTTTAAATCTATTGTAGTACAGTTGTTCATATTTCGAAACGAAAAATTGTATTCCATTAGTTTCTTAGCCGTATCGAATGTTACCAGTTCCCACCCTGAACCAGTCATCAGCCGCCAATGATTCCCCAGTCGATGCGTAGTTAATGATTGTGCTCTTTGCCGTTGTATATGCGTGGTATGCGTCAAGGCCGTTCTCACTGCCCACGCCACTCGAAGTCGATGCACCACCCCAGGGACTACTTGGGTCATTTCGGTGATGTGTATTAACCCAAACGATACCAGCATCAATCTCCTCCGAAATACGAAAGGCTTTGCTTAAATCGGTCGTCCAAAGTGCAGCACCGAGGCCGTACTCAGAATCGTTTGCCAGCTGCACAGCCTCTTCATCGCTATCAAAGCTTACCAACACAATAGCCGGGCCAAACGCCTCTTCTTTCCAGACTCGTGTAGTTAGAACATTACAGTCTTTGCTAGACGTGATTATAGTCGGCGAGTAGAAGTATCCTTTCGAAAAGTCGGTTCCATCGACAGGCGACGTTCCCGTCATACGTTGCCCACCGCAGAGAATATTAGCGCCGCTCTGACCAGCGTCGTTGACAAGGGCTTCAACGTTGGCGAGTTGTTTAGCGGAAATCAGCGGACCCATCGTCGACTCTGGATGTGTAGGAGCAGCCATGCGCTCATATATAGATTCCGCTTTGGCCTTCAGCGCGGCTGTTACTTGGCCAATGATGTCTTTGTGGACAATGATTCTCGTAGCTGCAACACATGTCTGGCCGCTAGCAATAAAAGAGCCAAATGCCACGCCGTTGACAGCAGCATCTATGCTCGCGTCCTTGAATATTACCAGAGGGGCTTTTCCTCCAAGTTCAGCAGTATAACGAGTAAGATTTCCTCCGACGATGGATCCAATTGCTCGTCCAGCGTTGGTACCACCTGTGACGTCGACCTTGCGCACTAAGCGGTGGCTGACAAGTGCCTTGCCAGTTGTTGCGCCCAGGCCAGGCAATACGGTAAATGCACCGTCGGGAAGACCGGCTTTGCTGAGGATAGGGCCAAGTAGTAGACTGGTAATCGGAGTAAGCTCGCTTGGCTTCAGGATAACAGAGTTTCCAGCAGCTAGCGCCGGGGCTAGTTTCTTGACTGCAATGAGTAACGGGTGGTTGAACGGAGTTATTTGGACTACGACACCCAATGCCACCCGATCGATCCAGTTGTGAAGCTTTCCAGAGGTAGGCAGCACGCTACACTCCTCGGTACGGAGGACCGAGGCGTAGTACCGGAACCAGCGGACGAGAGACGGTACTTGAGCCTTCATTTCACGGATGGCACGTCCAGTCTGATCCACCTCCAGAGCAATTAAGCTAGGCAGGCTCTCAGTTAAAAGCTCAGCCACTTTGTCAAGAACATCGGCCCGGACGTGTCGTGAGGCCTTTGACCAAACACCAGACTTGTAGACTTTGTGAGCATGCTGGACGGCGGCCTCGACATCTTCATCGGAAGCGGAATGGCACCTGTAGAGACGCTACGTTAGTGGGTTTATCACTTGAGTGTACCTCGTTCAAGGATTTACTGGGCAATGATTTCCCCTGTCGCCGGGTTTTCTACCTGTATACTATATGTTCCGATTAGCGTTGTCGACTCACGCAAAGCGTGGACTTACATTTCACCGTTGCCTGCCGTCTCTTTGCCTTCCACCCAGAGCTGATACACGGTCTTCATTCTAATTTGATACTTTTCCGATGTCTGTTTTATACGAGGTCTCTGTAATTGTTTGGGTTTGATAGTACTTGGTTGAGTATGGGCTTGTTGCGTTGGGTGTGTATCTGCGGGGTTGTGAAATCCAGCAGCGATGGTCGACGGTCACCCGTGGAGACACCCTCTACAGTTAGTGTTCAAACAGAGTGTAGCAAATTGTACTCTATACAATACGGAGTTGTCCCTGTATTTGAATCAAAGTTGAAATTATAACATATATTAGTCTTTTATTTGACAACATTTTTTATTTCTCCTCATTTTAGCTGGGTGGTGTCCGGCCAACTCACTACCCTATATGAGCATGCCCGAGCATGGTTCATCAAGGCACCTATTGAACTTCAAAATTCAGTATATCCCTAAAGTATGCATATAACAGTCATTCAAAATGCCGTGCAAGCAGCTTCAGGGGTGGTTAAAGGCTAGCGGATATTCTTACATTGTGACATCATGGCTCCCTTATTCTCCGTTGGGGTTCTTCGATATCGCGCTAGAGATGGCAGCGCTAAGCCCGGGAGCTATGGCCACTGGGAATCTGGGTCTAAAAAAAGAACAGCAAAGAACGTCCAGAGGCAAAGCCTGAAGAATCAGAGGCAGTGTTAGTGGCAAGCTGATGTACGCGCAGCTTTTCTTACAACCTCTTCAGCTACAGGTTTCGTTTGCGGACAAAATATCGACGGTTGATTATTAGCCAGTGTTTACACGGGATGAAAACATAGTTCAAAGAAGCTGGGTTCTGCATTTCTCGTATTGATTGTCCCCATTCATTTTCTCACCGCCAGCCACCAGATCCTCCTGTGGAGGAACCAGAAATATCGATCATGGGTAAGTCTCGTATAGCAACAGGGCATGAAGAGATAAAACGTCAAAAAGCAAAATATACCTCTGTTGACAGAAAACCAAAGAATTGAACTGAATTTTGTTTACAGTTTGCGTTGATCGATTAGAAATAGCAGTTTCACTCAGCAGGCATACCTTGCTCGCGCTTGATTACTCGATGTGGCTATGTGGCGATGTCGCTGACGTAGAAAACTCTAAACCGTCATGTTGTTTTTGCGTAGTGCAGCTTATCCCAAATAAAAATATCACGCCGGCATAATTTATTCCGTCCACAATTCAGATGAACTTTTATTGCTACCATGCCGCTTCTTCCGCCCCCAATGGCGTATGACGACACTGATGCTCCAGCATTGCCTCTGAAAATCTCGTATAGACCCTCGCTAGCGTGCTTCGGTAGCCCCCACCACAGGGTCCCGTTTCGCCCTTGCCGACTCACTGCAGCACCTTTTGCTGGTTTGTGACGATATTCCAAGGCTGACGGAAGATCGACAGTGGTCAAGGTTTCTGGAGGTCCGCTGGGTGGTCCGGTGATACAGTCGAGTATAAGAAGTCGCCTCTCCGACCACTCTAATCACCAATTTTTCATCAAGCCTCACATTCAAAACATTATCTTCACATCAACCTAAGCCACCTCTTACCTCTTCCATTCCCACAATGTTTGCTACTGCTCTCACTCTCGCCCTGGCTGGCGCTGCCGTCGCGTCGCCCGTCATCGTCCCTAACTACCCTCCCAAGGCCACTTCTGATGGTTTCAGACTTGTTGTCAACGTCACCGACCCTTCTCGTGACTTGAGCCCTTCCATTCAAAACACCTACGTTACCAGCATTCACACTGGTGCCGGCCTCAACTACATCGGCCAGTCTGCGGACCAGAAAGCCGCCCGCACGTTCTTTGTCAACGGAACCGCCGGTGAAGTTCACTACGGCCAAAGCCATGTCCTTTCCAACGCTGGCTACATTATCGAAGGCCTTGGCCGCGCTCCCGATGCCAAGTCTGACAAGAACGCTACCTACATCACTCTCAACGGCGGCAGTGGCGGCCCTGGCATCGGCCTCACTCACTTCCCCGACCCTTACACCTACCTGTACCCTGATAGCTACTACGCCTGCAAAGAGCCTTTGGCCTACTATGGCGGCAAGGAGTTTGTCGTTATCAAGAACGTTCCCGTTACCATCACTAGCGATGGCCAAATCGAGTACAACATCCCAGAGGGCTGCGCTCCCGTCAACCTGGTTTCCGAGTGTGCCGAGCTCACCGAGATCCCCGACGGCTTCCACATTGACCACCAGTTTGTTTCCAAGGCTGAGTGCTACAAGGATGTCAGTAGCCTCGACTGGACCAAGTACGGCCCTTAAACGGCTGCAAACCGGCGCAGAGGCGTGTCGTACTTGTTGGCAATGAATCAATGAGTGTGTATTACTATATTAATAATTAATACGAATGATATTTATTATATGAAAAATTGGTTCTGTACCTATATGCTCTCCTCATATGCACTCTATTTCTTTGTAAACATTTGCGGGTATTGATATTGTTTGTGACAGGGTCTCTGATATCGCGTGTAAGTTTCGGTAAAACCAGCTGGCAGATTTCTTGCACTGCCCACAGCTGGCAAGCCCGTCAAGAGCCTACAGAATGGCGCGTGCTTCGGTGCCTCTCCGACGGCAGCGGCTCCTTCCGTTCGGGGCGCTGGGCATCCCAATTCGGCGGTCGGCTGTGGGGCCTTGACCACCGTCATAACGTTTCATTGGGCCGTAAATTAGTGGCGGGGGAGCACCTGCGCCTTTCGCAACCTCTCTCCACACTTCCCCCACGAAAGACCAGCTCACCCGACTCCCGCAAAGGTCCCTTCGTCTTTTCCTTCAACCTCGCAACCCACCGAAGAAGAGCCACTGGCTACCGCCAATTACAACATATTCCGTACACAGAAACGACCAGCAAAATGACTAGACGTACACCTGCCGAGGTTCTGAGCAATTACGCTGCAGGCCTCTCGATCAACGATCATGCCTCACCGACCGCCTCCGAAAAGAAGCCAGCACCTTTGTCGCCCGTAATTACATACAAGCCTACGTATCCCCGAGCAGCGAGCACCTCTTTCTCGTCTACATCATCGGATATGACTCAAGCAACTACCGAATCCGACGATAGCATCTCTACTGCTTGCAAGCCCGAAGATTACATCAAACCTTTCTGCGATTTCTTGACCGAGAACCCTACCGTCTTCCACGCTGTAGACTACTTCAAGAAGAAGCTTAGCTCCGCTGGTTACAAAGAAGTGAGTTTCAGTTTACGTTACACATTTGAGTCAACGAAATATTGGAGCTAACCGTCTGCCTCATCTAGCTTTCTGCTCGCGACAACTGGAATGGAGTCGTTCGACCTGGAGGCAAATACTTTATTACCAGGAACGGAAGCTCGCTTATTGCATTCAAGGTTGGCAAGGCATACAAGCCTGGCAATGGTATTGGCATGGTCTGTGGTCACGTCGATGCCGTGACAGCTAAGCTTAAGCCTTGCAGCAGAAAGCCTGCCAAGGCTGGCTACAACCAGCTTGGTGTTGCTCCATACTCTAGCTCTCTCAACGAGACCTGGTGGGATCGTGATCTCAGCATTGGTGGCCGTGTTGTAGTCACGGATACCGAAACCGGAGTCACATCCACCAAGCTTGTTAAGATTGACTGGCCGGTTGCCAAAATCCCTACCCTCGCTGTCCACTTTGGCAAAGGCTTGCTAGGTCAACAAAACAAGGAAACACAGGCCGTACCAATTGTCGGCCTCGATACTACCCACACCGCTGAGGCGGAGGAAGCCCTCGGCTTTGAGGGTTCCTTCATCAACGGTCAACCAGCTAAGCTTGTCAGGCTTATCGCCAAGCAGCTTGGCATCGCCGACTTCAACGCCATCAAGGACTGGGAACTTGAGCTCTACGACTCCCAGCCTGCTCAGCTCATTGGCTTCGACAGAGATATGATTTCTGCTGGCCGAATTGACGACAAGCTCTGCTCCTGGCCCGCCATCATCTCCCTCATTGCTAGTGAGGACAAGCCCGAGGACAGCTACATCAAGTTGGTCGGCGTCTTTGACGACGAAGAAGTTGGCTCCAGACTCCGCCAAGGTGCTGCCAGTAACTTCATCCCTACCGTCGTTGAGCGATCCCTCGAAGCCCTCTCCGGTGGCCCTCCTGGTGCCGGTGTTCTTGGCCAGACCTATGCTCGCTCGTTTGTGGTCTCTGCCGATGTCTCTCACGCTGGTAACCCCAACTTCCTTGAACAGTATCTCCCTGACCATATCCCCAAGCTCAACACCGGTATCGTCATTGCCGCCGACCCCAACGGCCACTTCATCACCGATTCCGTATCCACAACCATTCTTAAGCGTGTTGCGGAGATTACAAGCTCCAAGACACAGCCTTTCATGATCCGCAATGATTCTCGCAGCGGTGGAACTATCGGTCCTTACCTTGCTTGCTTGATGGGCATTCGTGGTGCTGACGCTGGTATGCCCCAGCTCAGCATGCACTCCATCCGCGCTACAACCGGATCTCAAGATCCTGGTCTGGCAGTTCAGTTCTTCAAGGGCTTCCTTGACAACTGGGAGAAGCTCGACAACGAGTGGGAATACTAAGCTGTAATAGAACTATTTCATTTTGTCTCTTTTGGATCTTAAGGCTAGGCTGGCGTGTATATAGCACGGCGTGGATACTTGATTACGGGTTAGACAGGAGTAAATAGTAAGCAAAGAAACCGTCTCAATCATCTTCAAATTTCATTCTACAAATTCTTGACATAATCTACCAAGTAAACATGACAATTAATGCTATTGCGTGGAGAAGTCTCGATGCCAAGGAGCATCTCTAGGCGTCATCTGTCTCCTGGCCACGACGGCTGAGCGTCGCTGCTTCATCAATAGCCATCAAATCGCTCTCATCTTCTGAAGCGTCGTCTTCATCGTCATCAAAGTCACTGTTGAGTGCACGACGCTCGTCTTCCACGGAGTCCTCCTCTGGTTTGCGCTTCTTCTCGAAATCTTGCTTGTGTGCTTCGGCGATGATTCTTGAAAGAGCTCGCGCACCAACAGAGTCGGCCCTGCGCCTAAAGGTAGCTGCACCGGTAGCTGGAGCGGCCGAAGCACCTGTAGAAGTAGCGCCGTCCTGGCGGCCAGCATTCTGATCCGGCAGCTTAGACATATTGAGCTGTGGCGCCTGTTCGTCGGTAGGCGATATCGCAGGGCTGGTGGTAGCGCTCGAGTGAACCAGGAGGGGTTCAATACGGTATGGCAGCGGTACATCTCGCGAGGCTTTGTACTGGGAGACGTTGGCGCAATGCTCGTTTTCAACGCGCAAAAGTGCCCAGAGTCCACGACGCAGAATCTCAGCTAAAGCGACGAGGAAAGACACAAAGGTTGAATGTTGTGTATCGTGGGTGAATATGGCGTAGAAAATCCATGAGAATCGGAAGATAACATCAATGGTCATGATGGTATAGTATGGCCATTTACTCTTTAGCGCCAAAATGTCACGTAGTCCAAAATTCTTTGAGTGGAACTGCATCAAGGAGAAGTCCATGAAGAGATCCCAGAAGCCTGTAAATGGTTAGCAAATGACTGTATGTTGAGACATGTAGAAAAAGAAGACTTACAGCAGTAAACGCTGTTGACGGCAGAAGCAGCAATAAATAGAGATAGATTGACCCATGTGCCGTCGATGCGATAGCATGACAATGTGACATAAGATAGGATAGTCATCATATATTTTCCGCAGTTGACTAAATGCGGGAAAACGTTGCGGGTGTCTCGATATCGCCTTATGCACTGCAGACTACGCCAGATGGCAGGCAGTGTTGTGAAGAAGCCAAGTAATCTCGAGTGACTAGAATTGCACTGGACTGGGTTGTTCCAACCATTGGTGTAGAGGCAAAAGAATAGCTCAACATTCTACCGAATATTAGTTACCAAAGTCAAGCAGGGGTCAAATAGGGAACGTACAGCCATAACGTAGGTAAGTGAACAATACATGTCGCCAAGGAAAAAGTCCCTGAACTCGACAGGATATATACCGGCCAGGAGAAGGCGCCACTGAAGCAAGATAAGTTAGGTAAGGTGTTCGATAATCAATAATGGCTCTGCAATGGAGCTGTCACTTACATGAGAATATGCAAACCACCTTCTGCTCTTGTATGTTAGAAAGGGTGCAGGGAAGAAAATAATCAGCACAGATAGTGCTAATAATACTACAGGATAATACAAATAGAATTGTTCGGAACCATATCGGCTGAAGTTCGCCCACATAAAGAGTCCAAGTAGCAAACTGAAGAAGCTGGGGAACTCGGCTAGCCTGCGCCAGTCAATTAGGCTGCGTTGGTCGAATTCGAAGATGAAGGGGTAGTTGACTTTGCATTTTATCCAAACCCAGCAGTTTAGGCAGAGAAGCCAGAACAAGAGAAGCATGAGGAAGTAACCACCGTATATTTGCATCAAGTAGCTGGTGTGGACGCGTACGACGGGGTTTTCGTGAAAGAGCAGCTGGCCGCCGTAAATGACGCCCTGGATTCCAAATACCAATCCGGTTCCGATGAGAAATCCGTTCATAAAGGAGCTGCCAGATTCATCCGACTTCTTCCTGGACAAGCTGCGTAGCTTATTTACCGCCAGTTTGTGATTGCCCTTTTCAAAATATCGGGCGTAAAGATCTTCCACCGCTTTGATATGGCCATCAAGGACATCGCTCATAACGAACCAGGCACAGTTGACTTTCTCGTTAACATAACGAAGTGCTGGTCTAGCATTGGCAGCCTTGTCAAACTTTTTATTGATTTTGCGGAACGCGGTTCTGTTCAACATAGCGTAAGACTTGAGAAGCTCCAGGCTTCGGTAGAATTCTTGGAGGGCAAGCTTAAGCTTTCGTTTTGCAGTTCGGTAGGGAACATCGCGCTGATCAATCCGTCTGATATAGTCTCGTTGTTCGTCAATCTCAGTGTCGGCACCCATGTGTGATATGGAAGGCGTCTGTGTCATATTCTTAAACCCTTTCGAGTTGGGACCGGGTGGGAAGAACTTCGTCTTAAGAGGGCGAACCCACGCGTTGCTTCGATCAGATGAGCTTTGTGAAGTGCCTTTATTATGCCCTTGCGGCTGTCCAAGGCTTTCGTCAATCATTTCTTGGATGCGGCGATTTCTCATGACGTGCAGTTGCTCTCGCAGCACAGCCAGCCGTTCACCTGCTTGGCGTTCTTTAAGACTGTAAAACTTCTCCACTTTGTCAAGTTCATGATCCATGAAGTCGTAAAAGACAGCCTCTCTCTCTCTCACCAGGTTAAGGGGCTGCAGGTTTGCAGCAGACTGATCGCGAGAGAAGCCTCCGTTGTAAGAAAAGATGCGGCGGACGTGGGACGCGCCGTCTGTGCCATCCTTCTTACTTTTGTTAGGCCACTTCAACGACGAAATAGTATTTTGACTGTCGGATTGCGGAAGAAGCCCCATGGAGTTCTTTAGACGCTTCAGGTGTTCCGCAGGAGGGATTTGTTGCAGTGATTCTTCGTCTATTCGCGGCGGGGAGGATTCGTTTGGCGATCGAAGCGCTGGGCCCGGCAGAGAGAAATCATTCTGCGAGTCGGCTTGTGAAATTGGACTAATAAGCGGTGGAGTGGCAACAAAGCTGCCATACTGGAGCTTGTTCTTGTAGGAGCCGTGGCCGTCGTATCCTGCAGATTTGCTAAAGGGGATACCTTTGCCAAAGCTCTTGGAGCCTGACTGGGACTGGTAGTTGGCGGTTAATGTTCTGTCGGAGTAGCTAGTGTCGAGTTGCTCGGATCTGCTGATTTGGGTCGGGAGGAAGGATGGCGAAGGATTACCGAGTCCGCGAGGAGTCTGGTTGGCTCTGTTGACAGCTCTTGCTACGGCCTTGACATGCTTCTTGCCCGCCTTGTAGTTGAGATACTTGACGCGCCATTCGGGCACGGCATCTCTCTCAAGCTCTTTGGCGAACTTCATGACGGCCGTCAAGGTCCCTCAAAGAAGCAACCAAGCACGAGACGTGTCTCCCAGCAAGGCGAACTAGCAGATCTCTCTTGGGGTGGTGGATCGAGATTGGTTTTGATGTTTCGCTCGTCGGCCGTAGGGTGCGCATGCCCAGGTCGAGGCAAATATCTGCGACCAAGGATTCAGTGGTCGGAAGATTTGATGCCACGGACTGGTATGCGGCGAGAGATGAGATGGAGGTCAACCAGCCTGTAAGAAGTGAGGACAGGGAAACGTGCTGTGCCAGTGTCTTGGATTTTTCTCTACAGCGGGCGTGCTTCCCCACTCTCATGTCTCCCCGTTGGTTGACGTCAGGCTCTCGCCCCCCAAATTCTCCCCTAACGACTGTCTTGTGGCGCTAAGACCTACATAGCTACGCTAGCCAGTAACAGCCGTTGCAATGGAAAGCTTACCCAGTGCACGCGCGCACTTTTTAGGAAATCGGATGAGTCTTGTAAGTGCACCGGGGGAATTTCAAGTGAGGCAAATATGAAAGGTGATAAGAACAGATGAATCGTCGTTAGAAATGGCTAGACACCGTGCCCGGCTTGGTGTTCAAAGGACAGACGACCCAGCGGCCTGGCATGGTTCGTCTCCGAAATCGAATTCACAATCTGCGGTACCGGGAAAAAAAAGAGGAACGCCACAAGATTCCTTGCTATTTGTCGTCACGAGAGCAAGATGCTCCTCACGCCGGGAATACAGTTTTGCTTGATAGAGCCGGAAGGACAGTTCATTGAACTGCTGGGAGCGAGCACTTGAAGTTGAACTGGCACGACTCTTACTTTGGCTTGTGAATGGTCTAGAATTAGGCTCCAATACGGCAAAGGTAACTTCCGCAAGATTCGCCGATGCCCAGACAGCTATCGCTCGGATGACCAAGCCTGAGGCTGAACAGTCGGCCGCATATTGCTGCAAAGTTGAGTAACCCGGCTGAAAAGGAAAGCTTCGCTTCCAGAAGTCTGCTTGCCTAATTGGGGTGCCCGACGATCCCTGGGCTATGGGGGTTCCGTCGCCAATAAGCCAATGCAACGTCCCGGGAAGCCCTAAAAGGCATTATCGGGCCGAGTCCACTACTCCCAATTCGCTCAACCGTTTACCGGCTGAATTCTATTGGATAGCAAGCTGCATAAACATGTATTTCGGCAGAGTGCTGAATTCAATGTAGTTATTGCGACCGACCCGGCGCCCACGAAGCTGCTGATAGGTGAGCGTGATGGCGTCAGGGTAGACTGCCTGCCATCTCTCAAGGGACACGGACGGCTCCAGCACGAGTGGGCTGCTGCCCAAGCCTGTTGTGGACAGGTAAATTCTTCTTGCCATTCAGAAGGGGATTCTATCCGCTACTCTATTGGTGTATTTACTACGCTGTAGCAATGGGTACGCCATATCATAGGGCAATCATAGTGCGAGGCAAGGTAAGCGATCTAGGGTGAGTAAGTCGAATTGCTTCCAGAGCCAAATTCTGGGCACCTATGCTGGGGCTAATTAACTAATATATCTTATATTATAGACAATATACAGTCTATCTGCATGTGTCGATCTATCTGCGAAGAAAATATACCTAACAAAACCATCATCAACACCAACCAGTAGCAATACAACCACACCATGTGTTGCTTTGGCTTCCGGCCGAAACATTCTAGGCATGGTCCACCGCTCCACAACCAACACCACGTCCAATATGCGCTTACCGTCGTGGGTAAAATGTCCATTTGCACCAATCAAGACTGCGGTCCAGTTGCAGACGGATGTCCCCTTTCTACTCACCGTCAGTAACGAACGCGACAATTGCAGAACAAAAGCCTGGTATGAGGTGGAGATACCAACGCGGTAGGGGAGCCAGCGGCAGGTAAAAAAATCCACGTGTCTTTAAAGGCGCCGTGTAATAAGCAGTCGGATAACCTAAAATCAATAGGAACAAGTCTTAACGTGCGATTGAAGGTCGCAGGGGCTGTTCTCCGTGGATAATCCCGACGCCGGGAGGTGGCCCTCCACAGGATGTAAGCGCTTATGCTTGGCCATGGCCGGACAAGGTTATTTCCACCATTGTGTTTGAGGCTACATTGTCTTCTACCCCTGTTTTATTCTTCCGAGATACTTCTTCCAGCGAATAACCAATCGCATGCATCTCACGATGCATCCATGTGATCCACCTTCGCCTTGGGCTCGGCACCATCACGGTCTAAGTGATCATTTCGCAGCTTAACAGCGTTGCTATATTTCCGGAAGCGCAGAATATGGGCCCGGCTGTCCTGAAGAGGTAACATGGACAAGGAACCATGGAGCTGCCGAACATGACTGCTTTGCTATATAATCCCCTTCACCGTCCTCGGTTTCTGACAATGGATTCTGTATCAGCAGTCACCACCTCCTAGACATCCCTTTACTCACTTATTCCTCAACATTTCTAAATACATCTCATTCATACAAGATGCTTTCCAAGATCGCTGTTGTCTCCATGCTGGCTGGAGCCTCTTTGGCCTCCCCCGCTCCCTTCGTTACCACCCCCGTCCCTGACCACGTCAAGCTTCACCACACCAAGCCTGTCAACGGTGGCAACTTCATGCCTGGACACACATCCGCTGTTGAGCGCCGTGATACCGGAGAGTGGGTGAACAATGCCAACATTGCCACCTGGAACTCCACCGTCATCCAAGATGGCGTTGGTGACGGTGTTGACTCTTACACCATGTACTGGGGCTCTGGCAGCACCGCCGATGGCTGGCCCGACAAGAGTAAGTGGGTTTCTTTCGAGAACATGTTCAACAACTACAAGAACCAGATGTTCCAGTCCTGCGGCTGGGAGAACCCTCCTCAGCCCAACAACAGCGGCCCCGAGGTTGGCGCCATCTGGGACGGTATCCAGAAGGCTGCTGCTGCCACCGGTGTTGACCACCGCTTCATTCTTGCCGTTCTCATGCAGGAGTCTGGCGGCTGTGTCCGCGTCCACACCACCAACTATGGTGTTCGCAACCCCGGTCTGATGCAGGACCACAACGGTGATGCTACCTGCAACGAGAACGGCTGGGTCCAGAACCCCTGCCCCAACGACACCATCTACAAGATGATCAGCGAGGGTGTTGCTGGCACTGCCTCTGGCGATGGTCTTGCCAACTGCCTTAACCAGGCCGGCACCAACGATGTCTCTGCATTCTACCGCGCCGCCCGCATCTACAACTCCGGCTCCATCTCTTCCACCGGTGCTCTCCAGAACAACATTGCCACGCACTGCTACTCTTCCGATATTGCCAACCGTCTGACTGGCTGGGTCAACGCTGCTTCTCAGTGCAACTGCGATAACGACCCCAATAGCTGCGGTGTCGTTCTTTACTAATGGCACAAATGACGCCTTTGTGAAGACTCCTCTTGTTTATTACTTGTATATACACACTTTCGGTATTTATTTTGCCACGTCTTTTATTTTCTTTGTATATTGGGGGTTGGAAAAAGAGAGATGTATATAAGATCTACAGCACATAGTTATGAATATCCAACTTTTCACAAGACCGTTGATCCATTTGCGTTGAAGCTCCTCTGGCTCGGTATCTTGTTGCAAAATGGTATTCTTATATTCGGATACCTCTATTTTGGGCTCCTGCATGTCGGAATCACTATCTATCGGCTATCCGTGGATCCTTCGTTCAGGATAAAGTTTGGCTAGTCTCCGAGGCCCCAGCTAGGCAAGACATTGACTAACCCAAGCACCAGGGACTGGAATGTTTGGCTTCTCTTTTGAGCCATAGCTCACGCGATAACAGTGGCCCTGGTAAAGTGACTGCGTATATGCACGTCTTAGAAAAAAAGGGACTCACATGCTGAGCTACAGATGATGATTGGCGGTCATGCAAGGCTATCTCTCTCTACATTCACCTCTTTTGGCCTCAGAGCTGGATATGCTATCCCACGGGGCGCCCAGTCATGCTCCCGTTTACAATCCACAGAGGGCATAACAATCCTTTTGCCTAAGCGTGGTATCTGACAAAGAACTGACCACACAAGTAAGCCATAGGCGGCGCTACATCTGGATCCCAGACCGAGCTGCGCCAGACTGTCGCTATTTTCAGACCGCTGAAGGCTTACTGATGATAAAGACCATGCACGGTGGCCAGTAGTGACATGCAGCCTCGCGTTGGCAATCATTTTCTCCGCCTCCTACTGGTGTTTTTGGGGGCCAAGCCTCATGGTGTGTTGCAAAGTAAGAAAATCCGTGGCTGGCGCACCATGGGCCTTTCAGGTCATCGGCTGTTCGCCAGACTAGTAACGGATTTGTAAAAATGGCGTATTAGCCCAGAAATCCATCCACTAGCAGCAGCCACTGGAAAGTATTGTCATCTCTTTACTGATATGAGTTGGGGTCATGGTCGTGTCGCATAAATGGGGGAACGAAGCGACGCCGCTTGAACGAAGCCGCTATGCTACGAGCGGCTTAATGCAGGACACACCACGAGGCTAGAATGCGATGTGCGATTTGCAAAAGCAGCTCGGAAGCGGTGTTGCAAATTCTAGATGGCCATCGTTTCCTTCAGCCGCTCTAAAAGCTTGTTTTGGGCTTAATTGCGCCTGTTGCTGTTCAGCTCGGGTACTGATAGCGGCCGGGCTTGGGGCTGTAGCCTGCGAGGAGGCGTCTCCATTTCAGGCTCAGGCTACGGGAGCTTGTCTGCGCTAGTGCCACCGTTACTGTGCATTTGCATTTGCATGCAGCACTAGGACGATGACTATGAGGCTGGTGACGGTACCGCCGGTCGGGGCAGCCTTGAGTGGGATGGTGGCTTGTTGTTGTCGTCTAGCCGCGGTGGGGGGTTATGTGCTGTAACTCGACTGGATGCACTGTGCAGAGGGCGTAGCATCGAATTAAAAGAAAAAAGGAAAACAGCGAAACGAAGAAACCCAATTCTGTCGGCGAAGCATTCGTGCGGGAATGATCAAGGCGATGACTAGTGCAGAACGTCTCTGCAGCACTGGCCCTAGCATGAGCCATTACATCACCGGCCCTCTTCCTGCCAAGGAGCGGAGCTGTGATTGGCTGGTCCGATGGCCTTACTCTCGGAGCCATTTCTTGTTCAGGCTGCCGCTCGCTACAGAATCCAGCGCTAGACCGAGCTTTAGGCGGGTCAGCCCCCCAAAACTGGCACTCAATCGCCTGCAAACGAGCAAAGGGGGCCTGCAAACCTTGGTCTTGCGCCATGCTTCCCCCGAAAACCTTGGCCCGCTCGCTGGAAACGCCCGCTAAAAGCGAAGTAAGCCTGCTGGGGCTACCGCACAACACCTGCGCACTGGTCCCTAGCCACTGTAGCGCACATCACTGAGCAGCGCTAAATAGCCTACAACAACAAAGGCCGCAGCAGGCCTGAGCTGAAAAGAGGCCACCCAAAGCCGGGCTCAGCCAGCACGCACCAGCACCAAGCAGTCTCCCCTCTTCCCCCCAACGTACCAGGTGGGCCGACACCCAAATCGCTCGCCCAACAAGCGCTTGTCCCGCCCGCCTTTCCCTCGCTGACTGCCTGTCCTGCCGCCAAAAAGCAAAAACCCAAAAGCCCACATCGTCACCAAACTCTCTCCTGCTCCCTCCAACCAACCCCCCCAAAGGGCAGCTTTCGCCGTCCTCACCCTCTTGCTCGCCTTTTATTATCGCTCGACCAATCTCTTGCCTGCAGACTAGAATATTCATTCTGCGGCGGGAGATTCTATCCAACTGCGCTCCTTGGCCCGGCTCAGCACCGCTACGGCCTCGATTCTTGCTCGTCTGCCTTGGAAGCGTCTGACCCCAGCACAAACGGCTGTCTGACCCCAACACGCCCTCGTAACAGCGCATTGCTGTGTGGCAGAGGCTGCTTGACCTCATTACTCGCTCTTACAGCCATCCATCACCGTGCCTGGGCTGTCAGCGCCAAACACCGCCGAAATGGAGCAACCCGGTGTCTATGGACACTCGCGGTCCCGAACCACGTCGTCCAATGTCATCCCTGGCCCACCGCTTGCTCAGCAACCCATGATGCCTCAGCAGTATGCGCACCAGCGCCAGTATCAGCACATGCCTCAACAACAACAGCTGCAGCAGAACCAGCAGCAGCAACAGCACCAACAACAACAACCACAGCAAGGCAGCGCTCAGCATTGGCGTAGATCGCCGTCGATCAACACATTTAGCACGTCATCTACCTTCCAACCACCAGCAGCCTACCGCAACTCGTCTTCGACCGATCTGCGACGCTCCACCTCGAGCCGCTCTGTTAATACAGCTTCGCAGGGCGCAAGCTATGTCGCTCTTTTGCGCAAGCAAAAGGCCACCGTCTGGTGTGAGCGAGCCCAATACGAAGACCCTCATCTTCAAGACCAGCAGCGTTTAGCCAAGATGCGTGCAAACCTTGAAATGCATTCTGGTTATGGCAACGGCCGCACGAGGACCGGCCTCAGCGCTACAGGCAAGGTGGCGGCCAAGATTCGACATGGCAAAACGCCCATGATTGGATATGCCCCCGGAGAAACACATGTCGGTGTCGGCGGTGTTCCTAAAAGACTTCTCGAATCCGATGGCGACCAAGAAAGTGACGAAGAAGACGACAGCACTTACAAACATCAGCGACCACAGCATAACCGTGCAGGAAGCAGTGGTAGAAGCAGCACAGGCAGCGGCCAGCGGGGGCTGACATATCGAACATCAAGCGGGCCCATTCCGCCCCAAGCAGCTCGTCAAAGCTCTGGCAGCACCCCCGAACGAACCGGAAGCTTAGCCAAGGACGCTGCGGCGGCAGCGACTATGAGCGACAGTATCAGCGGACGTGCGCCGAGCTCTGGGAGCGGCGGTAGTGCTGCTGAGCGACTTGATAACTTGACCGATCTCGGAAAGGCTCCCTCTGCTGCTGTCAACTCTATGTTGAATTCTGTCTTGACGCGCGAAAAAAGTGTCAAGACAGCAGACGAGCTTAAACGCCGTGGTAGCATTGACGAACGCTCCGGAACACTGACGGGTGGCCGCCTGTTCATTGCCAACCCTGATTAAATCTGCTCTAGATGTACAATCAACACATGTTGGGACAGCAGGACTGGCCCATAATCGGGCGACAACACCACTCATCCACTTGGCCGCTTGAGCTCATGGTTCAGCAAGAGTAGATGAGGGTTTATATTTTACATTATACTTTTGGCGTTATGCGGGGAACAAACATTACAGGGGTGGACACAATCGTTTCAAAAAGACTTTTACTTCCAAAACGTTATCTTCATTCGTTTATAGCACGAACACGGCGCGGATTGCGCACAGCAAGGGATCATGACTAACCAGCATCTGCAAATGAGGAGGACAGATAGCAACAGCGACATACATTCGTTTAATAATTGATTAAGGATTTACATCTTTCTGCCTCGCGGTTTACACTGACATCGTGGTAATATATGGCATCCTTGAAAAAAACCTTCAGCCCTAGGCTCGCGTGACCGACTGGCGCCTCTCGTATTCTACTGGTTGCGCATCACCGAGGGGCCTCCAATCAGGCCGCTTATGGACAGCCATGTGGGAAGATTCTGTGCTATCATACGAGTTGTTCCAATTGATAATTGATGACTCTAATTCATATCATGCGGCGATTACTTAAACAAGCCAACGATTTTGGCCTTCAATGGCTGTCTAATAGACGTCGAATGCAGGCGCTCTGACGACATCATCGCAGGCAAACGCTGGCTGTGACGAGCGCCAAGCCGCTAAATAGGCAGTGGCTACTGGCATACTGCTGTAGCCCTGTAAAGAGAGAGAGGTAGCCTCGTGAAGCTGAGTCAGCGAAAATCACTACCGGTAATTTTCCGTGACAGCGACCGACGGGCGCCTGCCACGCGCTGTTCTCCCTGGTCAGGCTGGAACGCGTCCCTTTCAACGCGTCTCCAGGAAATGCCCCACAGGCGTTAATAGGGACTTGCAACCTGGGCAGCATGGATTGCCGCCTTCAATCACTTTGTTTCAATCATTTCCACCGTCATTTTCACATTTCCAAGAAGCCAACGGAGTAATTGAACCTGTAAATATTCGCTACATTCACTATACATCTCCAACAACTTTGATTCACGACCCAGCGCTTCACTAGCTGTCACGTCACCCCCAACCCGTTAACGATCGTTCACTTACCTCACCGAAAGAGACTTATTACTCCCTGGGAACGGGTTGGCAATGCCCAGCTTTTGAGATTCCAGAACTATCTATATCCACCTCCCGTGCAGATGCCTCTTTTTGAAATGTCACCAAACGTCCAGGAGCGAGAGACTCTTGGGCGTAAACGCAGCCACGATGAATATGCCGACGACGCTATCAAGGCTGAACAGACAGGAACGGATGATGGCCTCGCAAAGCCTACTCTTCAGCCTGCTGGAAACTCCTGTAAGGATAGACTCGGTTGTACTAGCAACTATTGTGAAGCTAACATCCTGCTAGTATTGCCACCGATAACACATAGCATCATACAATCTTCACCGAGTGGTTCGCCATGTCTGACTGAGGGTGGAAGCAGCACACCTGCTCAGAATTCTCCTTCGCCACAAACACCTACCAAATCTACAACAGATTCCACATCACAAGCAACAGCGGCGAACACTGAACCTCCAAAATCAGCGAACCCAGCAGCAAAGCGAAAGAAACTCACTGCAGATGAAAAGGAAGCAAAAGAAAAGGAGTTGCTTGAAAAGAAGGAAGCCAAGGAAAAGGAACTAGCAGAAAGGAAAAGAGAGCGTGAGGAAAAGGCCGCTCAGAAGGCTGCTGAAAAGGCAAAGCTAGAAGAAGAAAAAGCCGTAAAAGCCAAAGAACGCGAAGAGAAGCGAAAGAAGAAAGAAGAAGAAGAACGCAAAAAGGCCGGTGAGCGAGAAGAGAAGAAGCGACAGAAGGAAGAAGAACAGCAACGAATCCAAGACGAGAAGGACAAGAAGCTTCGAAGCCAGCCAAAACTTAGTTCTTTCTTTGCAACCCCCAAAACACCGAAGAAGGCGACGCAAGAGACAACATCCAAATCAGAGAGCCCCCTCAAGACAGAGGTCTTGACGACGACTGAACCAGCAGGCGATGCTGCCTACAGAAAGCGCTTCCAGGAGTTCTTCATTCGCGATAATGTCACAGTAGCGAAGCTTGGCCCACAGATGGACGATGAAACACGGTTGGCCAAGGCAGCCATTGTTGATGAATGTATCGCAGGCCATCGAAGCGACATTGCATCACTATTTAGTCCCTGTCAACTGCTTGCCCTCCCTCATCCATCAAGACGAAGAGGCAAGTTACACCAGTCAGTCAAACACATCATGGAGGTCGCTACAAACAGCACCGCTCAAAGAAACGGACACCAAGACTTGCAAGCCGCGCGGAAACAACTCGAAAAAGTACCTCTGAAGATTATTGCATTTTCTAGAGATGTGCGACCGCCGTACTACGGTACCCTCACATCTCGCCTCGCTGCGGTGGGACAAGCAGCGATGGTGAAACAGTGCAAGAACTCCGCGGCACGTGTACTGCCTCTGGATTATGACTATGACTCGGAAGCCGAATGGCAGGAAGATGAAGGTGAAGATCTTGAGCTGGATGATGAAGAGGAGGAGCTGGATGATGAAGATGATTTGGACGGCTTCCTCGACGACTCAGAAGATTCTGGCCTATCACGCAGCAATTTTGCTAACACGATGGAACCGGATTGTACGGGTGTCTGTTTTGAGGATGAGAACCGCACGACGCCGGAATATTCTTTGCAAGCTTTCAAGATGGAATTGATCAATAGTAAGTAGACTCCAGCGGTTTATTGGTGGTGATGGCATTTACTAACATTTACTAGAATTATCGCCCTCAGGAAGTATTGATCCGTTTAGCACGGTTTATTGGGAGCCTGAAGTAAAACTTAGCATGGCGACAGCTTCTGACAAGATGCCACCACCCCCGGCTCCTGCGAATGCTTTTGCCGCTATCAGCGGGAACATGACAGCCACAGCTACGGAACAAGTCAAGCTGGTCAAGAAGGAGCTCCTCAATGATGTCAAGAAGGCAATCCTTGACAACAAGGCGCTCTCTAAAGTAGGCATCATTGACTACATTTTCCAGCAGTTCCGAGATAACGTCTCGAGGACCGAAGTGAAGAATACCTTGGAACTGGTGGCGGAGAAGAAGGGCACAGGTCGCTCTAAGGAGTGGGATCTTAAGCCAGGGCATGAAATTGTCTCTTAAAACGAGACGTGGGATCCAAGAATTGGAGTTTACGTATATCATTTTTCTATTGCTTAGCGAGGAGCACGGCGGGCATTGTATTTCATCCATTTATTGCTTCTTACTATGGGCATGACTTGCTGTTAATTTATACGGGAATAATGACAACATATTGGTATCATGGAAAACAGAACTGTGTCATGGAACAGTTAAATGTGCAATATAATACTTTAGAGTTGTTGTTGGTGGTGGTGGCGGCTTACACGGAGCAATGACGTTGCGCTGGTGGGACCCAGGGGCTCGCGTTTTCTAGAGGGGCGCCACCATGAAGAAAAGACGACACCAACGAAGCTACAACCTCACGAGACCCCGCTACGAAGCCTCCCTTTCGATTCAAACCGATTTAGGAACGGCCGCGGACTTTATCTTTGAGATATGAGCACGGTTCGAAAATAGTCACGGCAATAATTGGAGAGATCAGCGCGCCTGTGCCAGCATGCGCCACGGATTCCGACCGTCATGGACGATCCCTGGAGCTCGCCATGGGCGACTGATGCGCCAGCAAGCGAAGCACATATAATACAAGACGAGGCACATACATCAGTTTCTTCAGTGCTAAAAATCTCTCCCACGGAAACAAGCAATAAGCCCGCTACCTCGCCGTGGGGCACCGATGACAATGGTTGGGGCGACTGGACAACACAGCAAAGACATGCTGATGATACCTGGACTGCACCAGGAGCTGATCTCGATCCCTGGTCGCAAACATCTCATGTTGATGTAAACGCTGAAATTGACAGGAATGAGGTGTCGAATAACAAATATGTGGACTTGCCTTTTGACAGCGATGATCGAATTGACCATGGACCAGCATCAACAAGCTCTACCAGCAGCAGTCAGGCAACCAAAGAGATGGACAAAGTCTCTCCAAGTATAAAGGATTCTATACCAAAGATAGAACATCCATATCCAGCAAGCGATAGCGAAACCGCGAAGACCGAAACAAGCACACCGGCTAAGCCATCCAAGGTGCAGGACTTGGTGGTTATGTATAACGGCATGGCCAAAAAGGCACGTTCGGCAACGAAGCTATCAGCAGTAGAAGACTATTTAGCCACTGAGGGCACATCGAAGCTACATGAAGAGTTTACGAGCGTCGCAAATAGCGCGCCCCAGGAAACGAACACCACCATCGCTGTCGATGCCCAGCTCAAGAAAGACGAGCTGGACACCGCCAAGGATGAAACCTGCTCGTCTGCGTCGGAATCAGGCGACGAAGCAACGGATGATAACACGACTATTCTATCTGATGTAGAGGGCTCGGCTTCATCTGATGCGGAACATACCACCACTGCCAAACCGCCGCAAAAGGTGGCATATCCTGTGGATTTGGCGCTCCTAGAGACACTGTTTCCGTCCACCCCTGCTGTAAACACAACAGCAGAGATCATTCCCGATATGATCATTGATGATAGCTTCACGCAAGTGTCCCAACGCAAGCTGTGGTATCGCATCTCTCGATTTGGCTCTGTCCAAAAGCACGACCTGGGCAATGATGACAACTACAAGTATATTACATGGCAGGGATCCGAGACGCGGCAAAAGACGATTCAAATCGTCCGTCGGTGGATGGAGGAAGACTCTATTGCGGGTAGAGTCGTACTGGGCAAGAAAGCGGCTGCAATTGGCGCCAGCATGTTCAACTGGGACTCGTCCGAACCAGCTGTGGAAATCGGAACACTGCTTCGCCAACACAGGGCAGAGGTAGAACCCGCATTGCCTCGCCTAGATATCGCACCAAAGCCAGTTGTCAAGATTGAAGCAAGCGACGACTCTTCAGCCTTTGCATGGGCCACAAACGCACCCATGACTCCCACGGATGTTGTCCCCGTCAGCTTACCTCCAACCTTGGCTCCTGAATCACCCATCGCTAGCGATGTTGCGTCGTCAGTTTCGCCTCCATCGTCAATATGGGACGAGGATTCAAGACCTGCCACAGCGCATCGACTGTCCTCAACCATTCCAGCTGTGCCGTCTGGTCTACACATATCCGAGACGGTTGGCGATCTTGAGGATGAGGATGACGATGACTGGGGTGAAATGATGTCTTCGCCCACACAACCTGCCGATCCATTATTCACATCCTTCGAATCGTCTCTGAAACCGGACCCGTTCGCCGACGACTTCACCTCAAGCCCTCCAATCCCGCAACAAGGCTGGGGTTTCGACGATCCAGAACCATTCAAGACGGCGGAGAAGCCAGCACCAACACAGAAAATAACTACAACAGTTGAAGTAACAGACTCATCACCTTGGTCTAGCGATATAATCGCCGCATCAACAACCACAACCAACATACACACCTCAATTAAGCCCCAATCTCCAACATCCCACACTACACCCGCGTTACTTGAAGACCGCGAGTTGACGAATATACTAGCAGCAATACCCGACTTTTCGTATATGCTACGCTAGAACCCATATCCTCTTTGTACTTGTACTGTACAACAGTCCACTGTAAAAAGACATCTTTGCATTGCATCATTGGCGTTACTGCTTATCACGAGCTGGCTTTATACATTTAATAGCATGAATCATTAAATAATTTCCAATATTATGAACTAATCAAAGAATACTACCCATGCGCAGAAAATAAAAACGTGTGAATAGACGCCGCCTGTATAACCCCAAGTGTTTCCTTTTACATATTCTGCTCCTTGAAGAGCTTCGTGATAAAATCTCCCATTGTATCCCTCTTTTTCTCCGCCCTGTACAGAGCGAAAAAGTAGCCATTTGGCTTCTTCAATAGATTTCGAGGCGAATCAAATTCGACTAGAGAGCCCTGGTCCAGCATGGCAATCTTGTCAAAGTCGAGCAGCGTATCGAGCCTGTGAGCAATCATGATGATGGTGCGGTCCTTGAACTGTGAGCGGATTACTTGCTGAATCATGGCATCTGTTTGGCGATCGACACTATAGAATAATGTTAGAATATATGTAGAGTGAGACGGAACAAGGATAAGAACGTACCTGCTGGTGGGCTCGTCCAAGATCAGCATCGCCGTCTTCTTGAGCAGCGCGCGTCCTAAACAGAATAGCTGTCTCTGGCCATGTGACAGCATACTCTCAGTCATCATTACATCCAGAGGGTCACTTCCGTTGGTGGCCTTTTCGACGAAAATGTACCACAGCCCAACACGTTTCAGCGAATTCATAATCTCTTGGTCGCCATGCTCGCCTAGCGGATCCGCGTTGAACCGGACCGTATTGCTGAATAGAAAAGGCTCCTGCGTCAAGCAGCTTAGTCTTGCTCTCAGCATATTTCTGGGAACTTCAGAAATATTCTCTCCTCCAAGATAAATGGAACCTTCGGATATATCTGCCATACGCAAGAGAGCTTGGATGAGAGACGTCTTGCCGCTGCCGCTGCGGCCGCAGATGCCAATCTTTTCGCCGTGGTTTACAGAGAAAGATATATTCCGAAGGACTGGGAGAGAAAAGTTGCTAGAGAGAGTTAGACTGATGTCAGTATAATACGAGCCTGACGCTACTTACTTGTATCGAACAGCAACATTGCGCAGCTCAAGCGTCCCGCGCAAGAGCCAGTCAGGTGGAGGAACACGGATCTCCGTGGGAAGGTTTTCAGATGGCGTTCGGTCAACAAAGCTCTTGATTCGAGAAACAGCGCCCAGCGATGTTTCAAGCGTCGACCACTGAATAATTAGTTCCTTAAGATTCATTCCAAGTGTCATCATATGGACAAGGGCAACGCCTAGCAAAGGGGGATCAATCCTTCCACGCAATGACACGGCAAGGGCGACTAGAATAGTGACCAGCATTGCAATCGTCAAGTCCAATGCCAGCGTGAGCCATCTTTGAATTGCATTCAGCAAGTAGAATGGTTTCTGGGAAGCATCCAGATACTGGATTGTCTTATCCATGTACTCGTTAAGCCAATTATAAGCTCGGATAGTGGATAAACCACTGATAGTTTCCGCAAAGTGGCCGTAAAGGGGTGCCTTGCTCTCGATTCTATACAATGGGGTTAGTAAATGTATATTGCTCTTCCCTACATGGACTTACTCAAGTAAGCGAAGCTGCTTTGAAGTTCGCACGTAAAATCTCTGAATGAGAATCAATACCACGAGGATGCCTGGCACCGTGATTGCAATCCAGTTGACAGCTGCAATGGCAAGACCAAGACTGCCTATGCTGCTGCATATCTCGAACATGAGAACAACCAGAGATATGGGGAGAACAAAGTCAATGAACCGCATATCTTGGCTAAATCGGTTCAACAAAGAGCCACTGGGGCAGTTTGCTAGGACACTCATGGGAGCATTCATGACGGCGTTAAGGATCTTTTCATGGAGCTCTTGTCCGCTATGCGGAGCAACCTTGATTAGTGCGATTCTGTACATGTTAGTCGAAGTCCAGTGATTTCATTAGTAGATTGACTCACGTAATGGCAGATATTACGAAGGAGGTGTCGAGCGTGGCTAGCAGCGTAAAGATACTCATCCAGTAGCCCAGGTCGGATGCATCATGGCCTTTTCCATTACCCCACCAGGTAAGCCAGACGGATCTAAAACTGCTGAAGAACGCTGGTGCCGAGACACATATGGTCAGTGAAATAGCATTGACCGTTCCCAAGGACGCAAAGTAGTATTTGAAAGCACTTCTGTCGCTAACAACTGGCCGGTCCTCATAATCAGTCTTCTCATTGGCGTGGGCTAAAGAATGATCCTCAACAATCGAGCTGCGTAGATCAGTTATAGTTTCTGCATCATTGTCTCTAAGAGGTTCGGCAATATTCAGCTCCTTGACATAGTTCCCATGCCTGCGGAGGGCATTGAATGTGCCTTGCTCAATGACATAACCAGCCTGGCTAAGGACAATAATGTGATCGGCAAAGAGCATTCGGTGCACTGCATGAGTTGCTAACACAACGGCCGTCGAGTTTTGTTTAAGAAGACCTTGTTCGCCAAACACCTGCATAAACACGGCCTTTTCTGTTGCTCGATCAAGTCCGCTAAATGGGTCATCAAAGATGGCAATTGGCTTTCGCGAATAAACGGCGCGTGCAATAGCAATCCTCGATCGTTGACCGCCGCTCAGCTTCAGACCTTGATCTCCAACAATTGTTGCATCACCATCCTCTAGCTGCTTCAGGTCGAATTCGAGCTCACACGCACCAACTACACTGGCATACCACTTCTCGTCAAATCCCTGAGACTCAGCAACAATGTTGTTACGTATGCTCGTATTCAGAATCCACGGCGTTTGATCACAAAATGCAATTTCAGAGGCAGACAGACAAACGAGTCCTGCGCTGCCGTCTGTTTCTCCTAGCATGGCTCTGACCAGAGTGGATTTACCAGAACCCACAGGGCCAATAATCATGGTAAGGGAACCCTCTCCTGTATTTGGTGTTGCAATATTAATATCGGTAAGAACCTCGCCTTCAGATCCTTTCCAATTGAATGTGCCGTCAACGATAGAGATGTCTGCAGGGCTTCGTCCAAAGGGGCTCCCTAACGTTCTGAGAGCCATGTTATCTGGTGCCAGCTCGTCTTCGTAAGTAACAGAGAGACTGTTTCTTGTGGATTCAATTGTACGAGCGTCGGCTCTATCAGGTAGAAGTAGGAATGCTTGTATACGTTTAAAGCACGCAATCGAGTTGAATGCCAGTCGAATGTCGCTCATGAGTTGAGTGAGCGGTCCTGTGAGTACCGTCAGGATAGACAGTGTTGTGATTGCTTGTGTATACGTGAATTGACCAGATCCGCTACTTTTGGTTGCAACTGCAAATGCACCAAATGTAGCAACCTGTGTCAATGAAACGTTGGCATTACCTGGAATCCACGTTAATGATGAACTTTCGGACGAGTATATCCGGGCATAACTTACTTATTCCATTAGACCACACTGTAATCCATCTGAATGCCTTGCCTTCATCAATATCTTGAGTACGTTTCCGTCTGATAAATTCAGTGAACTTATCCGTGTATCCGAGCATCTTTACGGATTTGCACGAGCCAACAACCTCGGCAGTGAAGTTTATTCTGTCTTCGGTGGCCTTTTGATAATCGAGTTGTCTCTTAATTCCAGCTTTTCCAAGACTCCCTGTACCAGCCAAGGATACTAAATTCCATTAGTTAGCTGAAGACGATCCTCTAGAAGCAGGCAGTATGGCTACTTACTTATAGCTGTTACAATGGGGACGGCACAGACGGCCCCAAGCTGTTGTGCTAGAAGATAGATGGCAAATATGACAGTAATTCCATTTGCCCAGCACTCAATAAAGAGACAATTCACTCGTTCTACGAGTGTCTCGACATCGTTGCCCATTAGTGTAACGGCAGCTGAGTCTACAACATCAGTGCAGGAGAGCCGCAGTACTTTGCGATATATGAGCATAATGAAACCTCCTCGCATCATGCTTGACGCTCTGTAAGAAAGGTGTTCGTAACATGCAGTAGAAATCTACCGATAAAAATTAGCAACGCCCTAATTTGGCACGCTAGTGGCCAACATACTGCCGATCCAAAGTAAACGAGTGCGAAAGCGCCAACAAGGCCATAACCATGTTCTGCTGGAAGAGATGAAGAGGACAGCAACTTCAACGCGCCATTGATCAAGAAAGGCTGCGATAACGTCAGGGCGATTGAAATTGCTCTTGGAAAAGCAATTATTAGAAAATTCCGTCTTAGAACTTTGCAAGTTGTCCAGACCAACGATGCATTCTTTTTTCGAGAGTCTGTGTATTGTTAGAATTAGCCACAGATCTTCTGGTTTCCTGAAAGAGTTCTTACCTTTATCCCACTTTCTGCTAAACCTATCCATTAGGTCCTCAGAAGAGAGTTCTTCGTAGATAGCTGGGAGGCCGTTGAGGGTCAAGACCGTCCTCCACCCGACTGCCAGCAGAGAGTTGATCCATATGAAGAGACCTTTGCTGAATGGGCCACTGGTGGCTTCTATTGAGTGTACCACCTTTTGGTTCAACAGAACATTTCGCTTCTCCACGGTTTCTAGACCAAGGAGAAAGATCTTAACAACTATCGATTCCGACAGCAGCGTCGCATAGGATGTCTGATCCGCCAGCATCCATTCTGTGCGAACGCGTGCTATGTCGAAAATTACGGTTAGTAATAAATAGCAGGACAGTAGAAAAGATGGTCTGATTGTCTTGAGATGTTCCGCGTGGACGAGAAGCGTTGCCAAACAGGCTGCAAGAAAGTTCATTATCGCAGCAGCGATCGAGAATCGGGTTCTGAACTCAGTTCTTGAGACGGCCAGCGTCATAAGAACTAGTTGTAACGTTGCTAACAGCGCTATCACGGCCTATAAAAGCGTTGTTAGAGCGGTAGTCAGCTTTGGAGGTTCCTCTTCGGTTCTTACCAGCTTCAATGTATATGACTGTTTCCGGACAACCTGGTCTCTCCTTCGCAACAGATACAGTATTCGAGGCGCTGAAAGAACGATGAAAATACATGCTGGTACTAAAGTCAAGATACATTCTTGGAAAGCAACTAAGAAGAGAAGTTGTTAGCCAACATCCAAGCACCACCTATATTCAATGTCGGTAGAGATCCTTACGAGTGAAATCGAATCCTCGACGACAATCTTCATTCTGTATTACAGGACCAAAAAGGTCATCAACGCATCGAGATGCCATCTTCCATGCACGAGAATGTCGTTGGATCGCTTTCGTTTTTGATGTCAAGTCGATTCACCAACTTCGGCAGCGAGTTGTCAGGTGCGCTGATGACTTTTTGGAAAGCTAGAAGAAAAGGGAAACAGAAGCCCCAAACTTTGTTAAGTCCGGCGAGGATCCGTACCATGCTTTTAATGAAAGGTCTTGCACATGTAGAGTGGGCAATGCGCTTCGGATAAGGCCTCTTGCAGTAGCATCGAGTTGTCAACCCGCCCCAATAGCAGTACCATTAACCCTTATTTACTAACCGTTTTGCATCACTTTTAAGGCGCCTGTGTCTCTCATTATCCTGGGCAGCATGTCGTGGTGTGTTCAGTTCAAGGTAACATGCGATGCGACGTGGCGGCCGCATTCAGCACCAACCGGTTTGGAAAGCTGGTCCTTATGGCGTAGCGGTGACCACAACCACTCGTAAAGTGAACACATGAGGCTCTGTTATTAATAGAATACACTGTGTCGCGGATCTTTTGCAGCGCAAGTGCGAGGCTTCGACTGTTTTACTCTTAAACATTCGGGGCTGTTGTTTCACAGTGAGTCTGTATTTCGGGTATATACAAGAAAATGAAGCAAATCTATCACAAAAGATAACACCCCAGATTAGGTGGACGAATTTACGCACCATTTAAATCACAATATCGTCTTCGTCGCCGACTGGAGCTTCGTCGTCGCCACCTGCCACTGGTCGTGTTCTTGGGAGACGAACAAAGAAGAGGGCCGCTAGCGCAAGAGAACAGAGAGCAGCGACGTAGAACCAGGGTAATCCAATCCATCCTTCCCTCTTCTGGAGTCCGATGTCAAACAGGATGGCCAATATGGGGCCACCAATAAAGGAGCCTAGAATCTCAGCCATGCCAAGCAAGGCGTACATTCTCGAGGTATAGACGGGATCAAAGTAGTGGACCAAGGTCGCACGGGCAAGCGGGCTATCTGCCGCTCCAAGAGTTTGTACAAACAATCCGAATAAAAATAGTACACTTGTCTGGCTGAAGCCTTCGATAATGGCACCAACAACCAACAAAATGGATGAAATTTGTGTGAGGAACAAGTCTTTGCGAGCAATGGAGTAGCCAAACCTTGGTGAAATGAGAACATCACCAGCAACTGGCAAAAGCGCCAAAATAAGCAAGTTCAACAAGCCATATGGCGACAAGAGCACGCTGGTTTGGGCCAGTGTCCAGCCAAAGTGTGTGCTAATATGCTGTTGTAAGGTGGAGGTGTAGGCAGCGAATCGCGGCGTTTGTACAAAAAATGTAACCAGAATCAGAGGAACATTGACGTCTTTGAGCATCCGAAACGACTCCTTGAGATCTTTTAAACCTTTGAAGACATGTGTGCGGATGGATTCTAGGCCGGATGATTCGTCGTCGTCGGTAGTAGCCTTTGCTACAATGTGCATAGTCTCCGGGATAAGGAGAACGGCGAAGAGCATGACCGGGGTAGATGCAATTGCGAGATACACGGGAATCCAAGGGTTGAATGTCTCCATGAGTATACCCGCCAAAAGAGGTCCAAGCAAGCCGCCAGCTGTTGCGCCGAATGTTAGATACAGAAAGTTGCGGGCCCTATTGTTGGTGGGTGGTTAGCTTTGGCCGGTGAGGTTTATAATCTTTGTATGCGTTACGTTTCTTACTTTTCTTTTTGAGGGCTGACATCTGTCACAATAGCATAGAGCATCGAAATTAAGACAGGTACGCCGCCTCCAATCAGTAGGAAGATATAACCTAGCATCAGAATGTAGGGGTTGCGACGAACAACATGGTTCAATGCCCCAAGGAGCAAAGGGCTAAACCCGAATGAAGAGTACACTCCGATTGCTGCTAATAGAAGCGTAGGTTTCCGGCCGATTTTGTCAGCCAGAGTCCCGTACGGGAAAGCAACCACCAAAGCTGAAATATGTCAGTTCATTTCCGTCATGCATAAGAGTCTAGGGAGTAGAGGGCGTACAAATTACCGAAGACACCAGACCAAACCAGCCAAGAAGATAAGCGAGACGAGCCTGGACTTCTTTGACTTTACACTTCTTTTCTTCGATAAAGTCGCTGGAATCATCATTGTAGTGGACATGACAAATTGTATCTTCAATGATTCTAAACAGTGGGACCAGTAACAGCATGCCGCTTGCGACAGTAAAGAACTTGATGAGGATAGCCAGGTACACAATAGTACGCGGTGAGCTAACCTGCCATCTTGCTGCAGTGATACGGCAATGGGGATCTAGCTCTGACTGGCGCTGCTGCTGATCCGATGGGAGAAGAGGCGCGTCTTCTTCGCCATTGAGTTCGAGATCGGACATGGTGACGGTGGCTTAATGAAGGACGGTATAGTAAGTGATTAATTAATTGGCAGTGTAAATATGGATAAATGAAAAGGGGAGCCGGGTTACGGCAAAGATTGATAACGAAAATGAGGAGAAAAGAAAAAATTGGTTGAGAGGCGGCAGTGCGGATGGTGAAATTAGAGCTGCCAGTTGGAAATCAGCTCCAGGGCGTATGGGGAAATAAAGACGCAGGGAATCCGCCTTTGGGTGGTCTTGGCAGCGAAAGATGTAATTGCAGATTACCACTTCGGAGTGTCTTGAGAGATGTATATTAAAATGTTGTATTAATAAGACTGCTTTCGGTCGAGCTATAAACTTTTGTAAATAAAGCATAGATTATTTTCGGTTAGGAATAACCATCAATTTAAATGACTGCAACTAACAGCCCATAGCACGTACACGCGTCCGCTGAGCCGCCCGTTGAAACTACAGTAGGGGGCTAAAAAGCGAGGAATACGCCGCCGTGCTAGTACGTCATAAGATACTATAGAGTGAGTGAGGCTTGTTGTAAGACAACGCCAAGCTAGGAGATTTCGTCATACAGCTACAATTTTCTCTTTTTTTTTGCACTTACAACTGTTAGAAGACGGAGCCTAGGAAATGTATTCTACGTTCACTTTGTTAGCGGCCGTTACCAAAGCTTGCAGTCTTAGAGCGTCAAGTACCCTAGAAGGAGGCACCGTTTTTGTCCATTGCCCAGGGTACATTGTCACAGAATGAGAATGACTAAATAGATATGATTTATGTATATAAACTTTTTTAATGAAATAATACCCGAGTAGTTTACCTTCGAAGTCCATCTGCGACAGTCCTTACAGCCGTTCAGTGGTAGTTTTGACCCCGCCAAACACACGGCAGGGCACCCCACCTTGGCCATTAAGCCGCTAGCTGCTTTTGCTCAACATCTTGTAAACATCACAGCTGTCATTACCAACGACTGTATTTATCTCTGAGGCTACAGAGTCCAGTTTTACTGACAAAAAAAAAAATGTCCGGCGAACGTCTCCGCATTGGCTATGTGCCCGAACACTTCTCTACCCCCCTCCACTTTGCACTGACGCATTATGGCCTCGATGCGGAAGCTATTCCCTTCCCCTCCGGCACAGGTCACATGGTCACAGCCTTGAGAGCTGGCGAGATAGACATTGGAATTGGTTTGACTGAAGGATGGATTGCCGGTCTGGGCAAAGAAGAGGTCGAAGGCGATGGAGGATACCGCTTGGTTGGCACATATGTTGACACACCACTTTGTGAGTACCCTGGTCCTGTTGATGACTACAAGTCCTGTTGATGACTACAAGATATCATGAAGAGCACGATACTAATGTTGTGTAGGCTGGGCGATTTCAACTGGCGCCCAACGTCCTGAAATCACCTCTATTGAGTCTCTCAAAGGAGGAAAGATTGGCGTCTCGCGTATCGGCTCTGGCAGCTATGTGATGGGCTTTGTGCTGGCCGACAAGCACGGCTGGCTCGTGCCCAACGCCTCGACACAAAAGCCGTTTAGCGACAATGTGGTTCTTAACACATTCGCAAACCTCCGTAATGCTGTCAATTCGGGCGAGGCCGACTTTTTCATGTGGGAGCACTTCACATCCAAGAAGTTCTACGACTTGGGTGAGATCCGTCGCGTAGGCGAAATCTACACTCCATGGAGCAGCTGGAAGATTGTTGCCTCTACCAAGCTTGCCAAGCAAGGTGAACCTCTCGATGCTCGCATCAAAGATTTGTTCGCCAAACTAGACAAGGGCGTGACACACTTCAACGAAAACCCCGAGGAGGCTATCACATACATCTCCACCAACTTGGACTACACCGAAGCTGATGCCAGAGAATGGATGAAGACTGTTAAGTTCCCATCTGCTACGGAAGGTGTCAAGCCTGAGGTTGTCTCAGACTGCATCGGCATTCTTCAGAAAGCTGGCGTCTTGGCAAAGGATAAAGGGATGCAAGCTGATGCCATGGTTGTGCGGGACTAGAAGGGTGGCTTAAGCAGTATAGTCTACCCAATGAAAATAAACCTTTAAATCTCTGAAAATCTGCTCTTTCCCGTGATGAAACAATTCTGCTTGTCTCAGTTGCTTACCACATTGACATTCAGCGTGTAGATGTTGTTTGATAGCTAATGCTGCATGTGGCGTCTGCACCCGCTGCCAGCGAAGCCTAAATCTGCCGACCGCCAGCATCCGTAGCCCCCGGACGCAGCGGACGTCGCACCTGAAACCCACTTTTGCAAAGCGACCATACTTTCGAAACGAAACACCTGGTTTTTTCACTTTTCTCTGTTGTTGCAACCTCACGCCGACACGTTGAAGAATTGCCAGTTTCTTTGCGGCTAATTTAACGCATCCTTCTTGGACTATAGTTCTACATCGACTCTGCATATCGGTTCCCCTCTAGACGCTGCTCGCATTTTGCTGGAATACATGGGTAGCTCTCGCTTCGTCACGCGCCTCCTTTACGACCGCCATTTGCAGTCTCCCGACCGAACAACTGCGATTGCAAAGCTCTATTAGACGACTTTCTCGATACATGCATAGAATATAATATGACAAACCCTACCGGACCGGCCGAGCAGGAGCCGCGGCGTCTGTCTGAGGACGCCGTCGAGCTGGCCATCTCCCTGACATCCTCGCATGGAACTCGATCGATGCCCGCATCGCCAGCCCTCCAGCCGCAAGGGCTCACCGCACGACTAGGACTAGCAGGAATGGCTAGACGAACTTTGGGCATATCACTGCTATTGGTGACTGTGTTTCTATGGACGCTGTCCAACTTCCTTGCCAGTGTGGGTAGCCCAGTCTAGTCCTGTTGCTCTCTCAAGCACTAACCATTCGTTTTACAGTTCATCTTTTCAGGCCATATTTACGACAAACCTTTCTTTTTAGTATATGTCAACTCGTCCGTTTTCGCGGTATCCCTTCTACCCATGTTTGTCAACTATCTGGTGCGACGGCGCTTTCGCGGCGCATACAGAGACGCTATTCGAGAATGGCACGAATATCGCGGCCGATTTCCCGTCGCAAAGAACGAAGAGGAAGGCTCTGACGACGAACGTCTTCTGGTGGACGACGAAGATGCAGTGGAGAGTGTTCGTGGAGACGAGAAGATGGGCTTTGGCGAAACCGCCTCCCTCAGTCTTGAATTTAGTATGCTGTGGTTTGCAGCAAACTATCTTGCATCGGCCTGTTTGGAATACACAAGCGTTGCAAGCGTCACGATCCTCACATCTACGAGTAGCATATGGACGCTCATCTTTTGCGCCCTCTTTCGTGTAGAGACATTTTCTCTACGAAAGCTGCTTGGTGTCCTTGCTTCGCTAGTTGGTGTTGTGCTAATCTCCTCTGTGGACCTCAGTGGAGAGAGCGATGACAATCGTGGTTCTTTTCCGCACAAGTCGGCTACTCAGATTGCCATTGGTGACTCTATGGCATTTGTGAGCGCCATTGTATACGGTCTGTACGTCACAGTCATGAAGAGGAAGGTGGGCGACGAGAGCAAAGTCAATATGCGACTCTTCTTTGGACTGGTTGGCGTGTTCAACTTAGCTCTTCTATGGCCACTGTTTTTTGTTTTGCATTGGACGGGCATGGAGCCTGTAAGTAGTTGTCATTCGGACCGTGCATCATGCTCTAGTTGCTAACCTCATACAGTTTGAAATGCCACCTACGGGTATGGTCTGGACAGTCATTATTGTAAGCCTTACGAAATATATTTGAGCGTAGCAAGGTACATATACTAACGGGTTTGCAGATCAACTCTCTAGCGTCCTTTGTCAGCGACATGTGCTGGGCTTTCGCCATGCTTCTCACCACACCACTTGTGGTGACTGTCGGCATATCGCTGACAATCCCCCTCTCTTTGATCGGAGAGATGATCCAGTACAACCAATACGCAGGCGTCATTTACTGGGTCGGGGCAGCAATTGTTCTTGTATCATTTGTATTTGTAAATCAAGAAAGCAGCGATGCGGAAGAGCCAGAGACCAAGCCTGCGTCGAGCGCACAGCGACGAAGACGCTCTACAAACAGCGTCGGTACGACAGAATTATAGATAATCCTCAATGTCATATAGCGCATTGATTTATGCATATAACGTAAAATGTTCCTTTCTGTAATATAAAACTCCATCGCTCCGTGGTATTAGCCGACCGTCATCATGTTGCCCTTTGTAGAAACTGTCGCGGAAGCTTTGCTCCACACCACAAGCTACGCTCCGAAAGGGAGAGCGACAGAGGGATCTCGATCCCGCTGACCATTCGTGGCGTTGGCACCAGGCACCACTAACGCACTTTTGCCAACAAAAAAAACACATGCCGCTAGCAAAAATGGCTTTTGGCCGGGAACATAACAGGAGGACCAGCGCCACCTCACCGCGTCTTAATTTAGAGAGTGGAAAATCATCTGTTTGAGCTACGCTGCCTGTTCTAGAGCAAAACGACCTGCTGTCACACCACACCCATCGAGCATCTAACCAACCACAAGAAGCACTGGCCTCCCGTTGGCTGCCACAACAGACTAACTACTAGCCGCCGCCTCATTGCTGAGAGGCTGCTGCGCCAGTCAGTCTGTGCGACTATTCCCGCATCACTCTTGGTCTCTCGCCACCTGACCATACCGCGTGTACTGGATCTGTGCGTTGCCGGCTGCTCCTTCATTGGGTGAGCGTGCAGGCTCGGTGGCGTCTGCCTTGGCTCCCTTCCAAAGAGACACAGCGCCAGTTCTAGTTGGGAAAGAAGAGGAAGGGTCTCCGAACCCAGGTCATCGCCATGTATGCTTAAATGCAAGCCTCGCCAGTCGTTACAACAGTAACCCTGTGCCAACTCCTACCTACCATCCACCACCACGCTCCTAAAGCTGTGCATCTTTAGCTCCTAGATCGCTACACACACCTTTTCTTTGCCGTTATGGATTCTACTACAAGTACTCGACATGAGGGCATGCCTTTACCTCAGGCCATCAACACAGCCACTCGCTCGATTCACACCAAGCTTAACAAGAAGATTCTTGCTCTCTTGCCTCAGGCCCTACCGCCTGCATGTCCAAGTCCTACGAAATATGCTTCTGGCTTACTACATATTGCCGCTATCTATGTCACGTTTGAAACAGCCTGGAGGGATATTTTAACAGCGGCACCAGGGTCGCCTAATGACACGGTTGAACAGCTTGGACAAGACCGCGAAGCAGAGCTATCGACTCCGAGAAACATTACGAATGTTGGAGAAAGAATACATACAGTACTATCACGACTCCATATTTCAAAGCTTCTGCGATCCGAAAGCCTAAAGTCTGATCTTCGGTCAGTCACTGGTTGGGACGAGCAAACTGTTGATGAACAGCTTCAGGCCGTGGGCAAGTCACTAGCACTAGCTGACTTCTTGACACATGTCAGAAGGTCAATATCTCTAAAGCCGCATGTTCTCATTGCATATACATACATTTTATACATGGCACTCTTTGCTGGGGGTCGATTTATTCGCGCTACACTAGAGGGCGCAGGCGAGGATTTTTGGGCCACAGACGACGATGTCTCCCGCCGCGTTACCATTGGCTCTCTAGTGGACTTAGCTGTAGCTGAGGAAGACACCACTGCAGTCGATGCCCCAAACCATATCCCTATCTCGTTCCTACGTTTTGACACCCCCACCGATGGCGAGGACCTCAAGGGCGAGTTCAAGCAACAGCTACTCGACTCCGAATACGAATTGACTGGCCCCGAAAGAGATGACATTGTTCGGGAATCAATATGTATTTTTGAGCATATGATCTTCTTGGTGGAGCAGCTAGACAGTATTCACAGCCAACCTGCTGAAGCCGTCCGACGTCCATCGCTGTTCGCTCTGGGTCAAATATTGAATCCGTTGGTCTCAAGAATGCGTGACAGTCTATCCGTCGCGAAGGAGAGGAATAGAAGAGACGGGTCAGCCGATTCTTCGTCTACGACTTCCAACTCAAATCCTGGCAATCCCCAGCAGATTAGCTCTTCCATGGGTAACTCCCTATCACACAGTCGCCAGTCAAGCGGCAAGGGGGAAGTAGAGCAGCCTGTAACGACCATTCGGCTGATACCGAGCGCCAAAGGCGTACGGTTTCAAACATCCAAGAGTCCTGCTGATGAGCCTCTTGAAGCAAATATGGCAACGGCTGTACACAAATCGTCAGGCTGGCCCGTTGCAGACGGTAGTCTTCGAACGTACGCTGTAGCCGGAACCGCGACTGCTGTGATTGTTGCCATTTACGTTGGAAGCGTCATGGCATCATAGCCTCTACGACACTATAACAGTCGTCTTGCTCTTGAAGAGAGATTATTCCGCGACGGCACCCTTTATACCTTCAGGAAGCCCGCTCCTATAAATACGAATCACGACCAGAAGTATGTAGTAACATGCATTAGCTACAATTGTAATTGAAAGATTTAAAACTACTATATCCATGTAAAATAACGCCGGCCATGCAAATCGTAAGGTAATTGCAACGTGTGAAGCAAAATGTAAATGCTCTCCAATGAGACCCCATTGTCTCTAATAGTAGTATGGAATAACAAAATTAAATGCGCAAGGTATTGTATCGTCGTCATGGTTCATTCATTCATCATCAGCAACGTCCCAGTTGGCCTCAACATCTGCCCATCCAGCCATGTGTCGCTCGCCGCCAAACTCGCCAACCGTGCGAAGATGCTTAGCCTCTTCCTCGTCTTGCTGCCACTGGCGGACAATGTAGTCATCCGATGCAGTGACAAGCTTGCCTTCATAGCTCCAACTCAACGTTGTTACTTCGCGAGAGTGGCCCCGGATAAGTGCAGTGCCACCGCGATATATCGGGACAAGACTGCTCGCGGTTGGGTTTGCTGCAGATGGCGTTGTGCAGGACATTGGAAAGAAGGAACCTCCGGAAGGTGTTCCTGGCGTCAGCGGCGGAATGGAAGAGTTAAATGATGTTTGGGAGTTTGCGTGACAAGATTGGGACCATGAAGATCGCATGTAGCGCTCGTCTGTAGGGAAGAGCACGGCACAGCTGTCTGAGCTACCCACAGCGAGAAGCTCGGGACTCCGATCCGTAGCAGGGCGAATGGCACATTTGACATAGAATGACTGTGCGCGAAACATATCGTGCTTGAAGCCGAACAGCGGGCCAAGGCCTTGTTCACCATGTGGTTTGCGTTTTGTTGCGTCGTCTTTGAGCTCTGGTGCATGGCCGAGCATTAGATGGGCTGTGGAATACGCATAGACTGTGCTATCCTTGCACACAGCGTAGAGTCGGGCAGCATCAGTGCTTAGTGCAAGGGAAGTAAGGCCGTACGATCGCCATGCATGACCGCGGGGCTCAGGAGTAATAGCCAGTGGTGTTTCTTCCGCTTGCCGTCGCGGCTTGATATATCTGGTATCCCATAGCTTGATGACGGCATTGGCCTCCGAAGCCGACAGGAGAAGGTGTTCGCGGCCTGGTGGCAGCCATTGCAGAGCAGTGACAGACGCTGAGGAAGTGCTACCATGAACGGTTCGTTCATGTGCATTGTCGATTGTGTTGATTGTTTTCGCATAAAGGTAGTCGAGAGCAGTGTCACGGTGGTTGATTCCTTGGGGACCCCGCGAAGAGAATGTGTTGATAGGGATAGGCGAGCAGCGGAGATCCCATATTTGAATGCGACCAGTGCGATCTGACGTGGCTAGTGTGTAACCGTTGGCTTGTCCAGGTTGGAACCTGATTTGGCGTAGCGAATCGTGGTGACCGCCTGACAGTTCGGCCGCTACAGTTTGCGTAGCAACGTCTAATATTCTGCTTGCACGGTCACCGCATGCAGTAGCAAGTCGAAGATCATCGTCTGAAAAGTCGAGGCCCATGATGGCGTTATCGTGGACTTTGACATGCGCGTCAACCTTACTCTCAACGGGAGGGTCGGTGGTGGTTGTGTTGAAGAGTCGAACATAGCCCTGTTCATCACCGATAGCCGTCACGGGCGCATTGTGACAGCTTGCTAGACTAAAGGGAATGGTGTTTCCCTGTCCTGTATAAGCAGTGCAAGTTGTGACATCGGAACTGCGGCTGTAAAAGGATGCTGTGAGTGATCTGGGATCTGCTGCTGGCGAAGCGACATATTGTTCATTAGATATTAAGGAGTGACCGTGCTCTCTATTCAAAAGCTGTGCTTCAAAGCCGCGGTTTCGAAATTTTCGAATGGGGTTGGGTGTGTAGCCTTCGAGAGCTTGGGAAGCGCGACGACCAGTGGTAAGCAGGTCTGTAGATATGGGCGATGATTTTTCCTGCAAGTTATGCAAACCGCCTCGGCTAGCTTTGAAAAACAGATTCTTTGTCATGTTAGTAGTGCCTCTGGTGACCAGGATACCATGGATAAACCTACAAGAGTGGCTTTTCGCCTATCGCCAAGTCCATCAGGAGTGTCGTCCAAGCTGGATCTAGGCGTATCAGATGACATGCCCGGAATAATGAGCTGAGGAAGCGGCATATCGGCATATGATAGGCCACGGTGTCGCTTTATCGGCCCTCGTGATGAGCCTCCCATACGTCGCTTGCCAGGAGAAGCCAATCTCTCGGTTGGAGAGGAGCAAATTGGGTCGCTCTCCAGGGCGTCTCCTGGTGCTGATCGACTGGTAAAGGCATGTCTGTTTACTGAGCCTGAGCCCAAGGTTGATAGAGGCACCCTATCAAGGCCAACCAAGGATGATCGAGGTGTAAAGAATCGGCCAAACCGCCTTGGCGTGACGGATGGGTTTCGTCGCTCCTTGTTTCGTACGGACCGCGTTGGAGAGAGGAACGCATTGTTGGGTACAGATCGAGTAGGCGAGCGAAAGGAATTAGCCGGCGAAGAAGTCAATGCAATTGGCGGGCTAGAGGGGACTTCGTCCGTCGACGGGCCAAAATGGTAATGCATCTTGGGCGGCGAAGAGGCCTGTGGCCTTTACTCGTGTGCTCGAATATCAAGCGAATATCGGCGACGGGCAGGTGGATCAAGAGATGTACATGTCAGACACGGAGGAGAGGCAGGCAAGAATATTTAAGAGAGGAATCGACAAGAAAAGACAAAAGAAGGTGCAATTTAGACGAGGCATGCAAAGAGAAGGAGAAAGGAATTCAAGGCGGCTGGAAAGTGGGGAGAGTCAAGGAGCAGGGACAAGGAATCATGAGGGCCAAAAAACGCGACTCTTTTGGTGGTGACGCGCGACACCGTGTAAACCGTGTAAATGGGTTGCGGTTGGCGGAGCCGTAGCGCCTCACCCGCGCGTTGACAGCGCTGTCAGCCACAGGCTATGGGGGCAACCCCGTCTCACCCGCCACAGGCTGAGGCTGTCACTGTAGCGGGCGATCCACCCACTGCAACGCTCTGCCAACAGTACAGTACTGTACGTCTATCGGAGAGGCCGCTTAACTGTTGGCGCTCTTGAATCAGGCTGTTCACAATGAGTCGCCGCACAGCCTCGTCTGCCTGCGCTTGGAGCAACAGGTCAGGTTGGTGGCGTTTTCGCGGGGTTTAGAGTCGGTAGTTGAGAAATTCACGGTGCAATTTATTTCGCAAGTTTCTTTTCCTTACAACTACTCAACGTCGGTGGTTCACCTTCAACTACCCCCCAGTCCTCTAGTTGGTTAGCCATCTCAACTCACCATGGCGCTGCTGATGCTCCCACAAGAGGTGATACTCCATATTATGGAGTGCCTCGGATCAGACTATCTGAGGCAAGACATCAATCGGCTTTTCATATCAAAGAAATGGTTTCAAGCCGCACAATTCACCATGCTCCAGCATCTCACCGTCACATCCACATTGCTCCGAACTCTTGTCGCCGCATCAGAGCAAGGTAAAGTTGCTTTGGATCTTGAAAAACACCTCCAAAGCATGTATCTTTCCTTTAATGGAATGAATAAAGCGCCGCTCCCCCGGAAACGGCGTAAGCTGAGCCACTGCTCTATCGGTGATGGTCTACAACATGAGGAGAACCACTCCGATGAACCTATGGATGACTATCTATGGACGTATACCTTCAACGAACGCATCATAAGGCTGAGAGGGATTTTAGAGCGCTGTGAAAAATTCAAGACGCTGCGAATTGAGGCCAGAGAAGAGCAACCAAATCTGCCTAGAGATATGCACAACAGACCATATTTGGTGGGCTCTGCGTTGCTTTCATTACTGGATCTGGCCGCGTTGCAAAATCTTACTCTTGACCTCCATGGATCCGACGTAATTGAGGACGTGTATTACCGGGAAAGGGTGCATTTCTGTACTAATATACGCCGACTCTTCTCTCGGCTGAAAAGCTTTGAATGTCGCATGTCGACCATCTGCCCAGACCTGCTCAGCGCTGGCACATCTAGCGAGAAGCTTCAGTTGGAAGTCGTGATTGTGAATCTCTGCATTGGGACCGCCCACAGTCCCAAGATTCCTTATCGCTATCCTACCAGATGCAATGCTGGCAGACAACGCAGTTTTGGACAGCTCCGAAACGACATGGAAATGCAGGCCGAGTTACTCTGTGACTCGATGAGGCAGCCCCGGATCGTCAGAGTTATATCCCATGAAGCAGCCACATTGCAGCATCAGACCTTTGACGCGGTCACGAAGAAGCTATATGAATTTGATCCATCTGGGCCATGGAGTGGTCAAGGAAAGCTCATTGAAGACGAAAGCTCGGGCGTGGACGAGTAAACCTGACGTTGTTGTTACTGTTAATAATAGGGAAGGGAGCGAGTTGGCAAGGCTTCGTGCCGCCAAGGTGTATTGAATCGAGCTGATTCAGGAGGGATTTTGATAAAAAAAAACCTTGTGTATTTATACAATTTATATTTTTGTGTCAAAAAGCCGAATAAACTTGTATAATTTTGATTTTTGACAGGCTATTACTTTGTGTATTTCAATATGAACTGTTCAAAGGTCACCTATTGTCACTGGTATTTCCCGGAGGGCACGTGCCGCATCACCACACACTTTTGGCAACCGTTGCATTTGGGTTGCAGCGCGGTCCAACGCCACCAACCACCATCCACCTCATGCATCTTGATTAGCCCTCCATTACCTTGCTATCCTATGCGCCCTCGCCTTCGTCCTATAACCCATCAAATTTGAATATATCTCGTATTTCGGCTTCTTTTACCTTTTTAGAGCGGTCTCTACATGCCCACCGAATCCTTGTCAACTGCCCCCAGCACGAGTGACTCCATCGATGGTGTCATCGGCCGCTACGATTCACAATCTTCCAGCTGCGACGTCTTCTTGATTCTGCAACACGAGCCGGCAACGAAGCTGCACCCTTTGCATACATTGATCCACCACTGATACCAATTGTACACTATTACAATCTTTTTTCTTTTTGGCGTCAACGAGCTCCATCGCTGCATAATCTGTCTCCGCCATGTGCCGTTTCTTGGTAGGTTGCTCCGAAGTCGGCAGAAGCAGACGTATCCAGCTTCCTACGAATACACTGCTAATCCAACGCTTCCTCGAAGGTCTATAAAGGCAGCGATGACATTTTATTGTCAAAATTAATTCTCGACCCTACGCACTCTATTTTGAAGCAGTCGTTCGACTCCCGTTTACGATTGGTACGCCATTGCCTATTTGACGAACAAATAACATACGCTAACCTACGATGGCGGATTTTAGGATACGAGAAGAGGTCAAAATAATGCCGATGGCTTTGGCATAGGCTTTTACACCGATCCCAAGCTTGGTTCAGCTCCTTGCTTGTTCACATCGACTATCCCAGCTTGGAACTGCACCAACCTCCAACGCATAGCATCCAAGACGGCATCCCGATTAATCTTTGCTCACGTCCGTGCTACAACTGAAGGCTCTCTAAGCGAAGACAATTGCCACCCATTCACACATGGCAGCCTTATGTGGATGCACAATGGCGGGCTAGGAGGCTGGAAACACATCAAACGTCGTCTGGGCGACAAGCTAGCAGATAAATGGTTCTTGAGTGTGCAGGGCGGTACCGACAGTGAATGGGCATTTGCGCTATTCCTGGACACACTAGAGAGAATGGGGCATGATCCTAGCTCGTGCCCGGAAAAGGGTTTTGGGCCAACTGTGCTACGAAAGGCAGTTTCTGAAACCATCCGACAGATCAACGAACTCACTGATTCCATCCCCAGTGACATTGTTCAGAATGAGGATGTGGATACTCGAAGCCTGTTAAACTTTGCCCTGACAGATGGTCATAGCGTAATCTGCACCAGATATATCAGCAGTTCACGAGACGAAGCTGCCAGTTTATACTATTCGTCGGGGACCCAGTGGGCTACCAAAACCGGAGCTGCAGACGATAGACAATACCAGATGGAGAGAAGAGACAAAGGTGCAGACATTGTGTTAGTGGCAAGCGAGCCATTAACCTTTGAGCGAGGTGAGTACGCTTTCATACTAACTTTCCATTCAACTGCTAATGCGCAACGTATCAGAGAACTGGGTCAATGTTCCAACAAACTCGATTCTTACAATTCACCGGCAAACCGTAATGGTGCATCCCATCTTGGATAAGTACTACGAACGAGACCCATACCATGTTCGATCTAGCGCGTTCGTTCAAGCCAAGGGCTTGGTATCCAACGAAAAGGTCCCAAGCGGTTCACTCAGTCCGGCAATCGATGAGGGCCGGCACGGATTCGATGCAGCAGCGGCCAAGACTATAAACCAGCCTGGAATATCACGAAGCATCAGCCCAGATTTCGTGAGACGGTCATTAACGCCGGCATGCTCTCGAGAGTCACGTCTATTCCATGCTTCCGGCAAACATTGAGAAGGCACGATGCATCGTGCCACACACACAAGCGCATACTTGCAGACATGTACCAACCTTATTCATATTTCATATTAGCTTTGCGGGGAAACCCATTCATTATTTGTGCCCTCTTTTAAGCGTTGTTTGAGGGCTTTGTGAGTGAAGCATAGCCCTAAATGCCGCCATACGACCACATCAAACCTCATTTAGATTCATTGATAATAATAGACCATACTTTCAATACTAGTTACGTTACGAGTGCGAATTAACTGCCAATTCCTGAATTCTTAAGGATGAATGACGCTTTCATATCCTACAGCAACTTAGAACCTTAACTATGCGGCTAAGTTTATCACTGTGGCAAGGATGGAAGTAAAAAGCCAACGCGATTCGCACCTTCCGTCTCGAAAAGCTATTAAACAACAAAGAAGACCATTGAACAAGTAACCTAAGGCGTTAACGCTTCAACTTTGCCCATCACTATACATCTTGAGAGTCGCGCGACCAACTACGTAGTCGACCTGACTGCGCGAGCAATGCCCTGCTGTATCGCCATCATCCAGTACCGCCAATGCCATCATAACACATTATTCAAAATAGGATGCACCCTGAAAATACCATGCGAATCCCTGTGCGATCCTTCGGAACAAGAAACGCTGCTAGTGACACAATATCAGTGGTCTTGCGAAGAATGCCACACTCGGCTATGGTCAGAGCAGGAGGAAAAGAGAGCATCAGCCTGGGACGAGCGTGTACAAAAGATGGAAGATGAAGAAGACGACTCTACAGAGCTAGCACAGCACCGAGAACGCATCATTGATGGAATCCGGGGTAGAGAAGCCTTTGAAGAGAAGCATGTCTATGAGCCTACACGACTGAAGCAAGTGGAAGAGATCCAATGGGTAGAGGATTGGACGGTACAATATGGAAAACTACTCTGGGAAGTAAAACACAATCGTGAAAAGGACGGAATCTACACGGCCAGACGAGCAAAGTATCTCTTGGATGCCAAACTTTGGGATCTGACTGTGGTCAGAGATGTTACAAGAGACGGCGATGCCAGGAAACAAGTGAACTACAAGATGGAGGATAGACCCAGCTAGCCGGCAGCAGTACCCCTTTCAAAGTACTAACAAACCGTTGTAATTAGCTACTGGAGCCCTCTCCATATCCTTACCATAGCCTTGGGTACAATGTACATCTTTTTGACAGACAGGAGTATAGAAACAGTTGGTGGCTTGATAGTGATCGACCATTAATGACAACGATTGACACGCTGTGCGGCGCTTCCAGAAGCATGCCATGTGACGAGACCGCCTGGGAGGCTCAAACGGAATGATATTCATAAGGCATACGCCGTTTTGGGGTTTGTCTTGGGTTGGCGTTACGAAAGTCCTAAGCCTCAACATGGCGCGTTGGGGTAAAGGAAGTGGCACGGCGATCGGCATCACAGCCTGGATAGCCATTAGGTAATTCGATACGTTTTAGGGACAGTCTCCCTTCCATCTGCCGAGTGGGCTTCCGTCGATTTGAGTGCTAGCTCCGATTCAAAATTTTCGCTATTTGGTATTTCATGCATGCCGAAAACGAGAAAAGGGTTGGACCTTACGTTTTGGGAGCATTCAAGATCGCAGCTAATCCCCTCGAAATCGCCATCCCGATGCAAGCCTGCGTAGCATTACTACCGTCTGGAATTGGTGGTGGCTACAGTGCCTTAGCGTCACTTTTTGGTGCAAGCGACTGCAACACCGTACACTTCATTCCGGCGGGCGCTAAAATCGCTGGGCGGTAGTTTGCAGGTAGAAAATTTGCACGCCCTCACCGTCGCCATACGAAACGGAAGATTTCGGGGGCTCGGTATCTGATAAAAAAAAAGTGAAAGGGATCGCGCAATTGCAGGGCTCGTATCTCTTCATAAGAAAAAAACTTGGTGATAATGCACCCGCACCGCTCTTATCACGGGCATGGGTGTACGCATAGATACTGTGAACGGGGGAGGGTGAGGGGCCCTTTGCTTCCTCGGTGTAAGCTGGCGGTGGTGCCAGCGTGATAAGGAGCAACAGGTGCGATTTGGGGGTAGCCCATCGACACACCAGGCAAAAGCCACCAGGGGGACTTTTGTAGGCAATGCGACAACGGTGTGTGCATGTGTGAGGATATGCGTAAACCCAAGGTTTTAATTAATATCATCGACTTGAGAGGCGTTCTAGTTGGGCGCCTCCAAGTCGACAGGGCGGCCCTTCAGCTGCCCCTAACAAACAGCCGGGCCCTTGTCCGTCCCTGAACTAACACAACCACTACAGGACGTTAGCGCCGGAAGCAGCACCACCACCACACGAAACCGACGAAAAAAAAAGGTTCCTCGCTCGTTCGCCGTGTGATCAGTGCCACCCACGGCAACTTGTGAGCCAGCCAGTCAGCCAGCCAGCCAAACTTCTACAGAGTACGTACTGTACATACTGTTAGGTACAAGGGGCGTGCGGGGAACCGTAACGTAGAGGCACCAGCCACAGCACAGGTCTGTCTCCGGAGACCACGCTGAATCGTGTACAGCCTCAGCGCTGCGCGACTCGCGAACGCGGCACTTGTTGGTAAGCGGACTCCTCTATCCATCGTAATGTCACTTTCCGGGTCCTCGGGGCCAGTTTTGACAGGCGTTTGTGGGCAATTTGACAAAGCAAGGGACTGCCAGAAATCCAGGTACCGGTTTGCGGGACGTGACAGGCATTTGGGTGGAAAGCAGGTTGTCATCAGCAGCACGGAGATGATATTAAAGAAGATCCATGGAAGGCCTTCACGGGAAAACTTACACAGGGGAAAGCAAATACGCTGTGAGCGAGTCCCTGCGTTCTGAGCCAGTGGCACGGCAGCGCTGTAGAACCATGTCTGCTCATCTCCGCCACCACGCCCGTAGACCTTCTAGAAGATGGGCCTGGTTTCATCCCAAGACAAATAGAAGAGTCCCTGGAGGTGCCTTTCGGATAAACGGTAGCTGGTGATCTTGGGGACGCAATTTCGATAGGGAGGAAATAGCCCATCCAGGGGCCCTACGTCACTTTGTTGCTTTGCTCTGCGTTGGCAGTAATTTTATACGATGACAGACAACTACGCCAGGGGTTTGCATGTTGTTGTTGTTGTTGCTGCTGCAGGAGAAGATAGAGCTAATGGTTAGAGTTATTACAGCGCGTGCAAAGCCCCTGCCTAGCCGCTGTGTGCATGCTCTGTGCACTGCTGTAGACAAACGGGAGCTCCAGGCACTAAGAAGCGCTAGAGGCCGCTTGAACAACTATCCGGGCGCTGTAGAGGGCCTCTAGCGCCCGTCGTCTAACCCCTTAGCGTAGTTGGCACTGTAGTCGAAGGGGAGAACAACATCAGGTCCTTGGAGACTGTGGCTTAGCTTCACACCCCTTTCAGCCATCGGCGATTGGCTGCAGCCCTCACAGACGAAACAACCCTGGGGGCAGGCGAAGAAAAGGCGTCGGATGAGAAGCTTGGCTCAACCGCTGGCTACTGTACAAGGCGTGCAGCGCCTCCAACGGGGGCGCAAATCACTTCTTTGCGCGAGCACCCACAGGTAGCGAAATACGTCGGGCCGTTGGCCATTGTATCATCCCAACTGGTATAGGAGGCTTTACGCCTCTACTGTAGTAGCAAGATAAACCCATTGTGCATACTAGAATCCTACTTTGATGGTATCTCTTGAGATACATGCTCCGGCAACGGAGAGACTCGCGGTGACTGAACGAGCCCCGGCCATCCAGGCCGGATGGATGCCTAAGCTGCATATAAAAACAATCAAGGTTATTCGCACACACAAGGAAACTCGAGCCGGCGCTTGAACCCCAGACATTGTTCTGTCACCCCAGTTCTTCAACGGGGCGGCGCGCGCTGACAATGCCTGTCTGCCTTCCTTGCCTGGCAGGAAATGGCGGAGAACTGCGCTGTGGGAATTTCCGTTTTCTCATCACCTGTCGTATTCCGTAAGTGGTCATGTGCTATAATATACGTGGAAAGCTTTTTTGGATAATATTCAACAATGAACGATGGCCGGGTATGGGCCGAAAAGCGGGATCGAAGTTGTGTTTAGCGGGCATGATATATTAGGTCAGTGATGCGTGTTATTAAATCGCCAGCCCTGTGTGAGCAAAGCCGGACGAGGCTTGGGCTGGGTGGCCGCCGCCGCCGCCGCCGCTAAAGGGGAGTGTGTGCTCATCCTGGGTAAGCCAGTCGAATGGCGCATCTTGGTACGTCATGGGGCGAATAGCTCTGGTCCAGGCCGGCCTTTTGCTGGTGCTGCGGAGGAGTTGACTACGCAAAACGGACAAAAAAGCAAACACCACAGGCGTCGAGCAAAAAGGCATAAACCGAAGACCGCTAATGGGTAACATCGCCGTGGCGGGTGATGCCGTTGGAGACGCGTCCTTTTGGAGTAGGGGATGATGATCCTTCCGGCTGTGTTTCCCAGTTCGGACAGGCGCATAGAACAAGTACCCAGGAATATGATTGATTTCTTTTGCGGCGATCTTGGATGGCGGCCGCGGTTGGTGCCCTTGTTTCTCGCCGAAAAGCACGATCCTCAGGTCGGCTCCGACTTGGCTTTGGCAAGGCGTTTGCTGGGGCCAGAAATTGCGTGCTCGCGCACCGCACCAGGCAGTAGCATCAGCAAGCAGCGGTGGTGTCCGTCGTCAATGTTGTGGCATAGCATTACATGTGGGGTTATTACTTCTTTGTCCGGTAGAGTCTCCAGGGGCAGGGTTCAGCGCATAGGGAATCTGGATTCTGCGTGGTGCGCCCATAGCAGTGGATCTAAGGGGGGCGTGTGGTGTGGGTGAGTTGGAGAAAGGCAACGTTGTGTCTTGTCTGCCGCTCGCACTCCAACTTCTTGCCTGCACGTGACGTATCGACGGCGCGTCGCCAGTTGTGGCAGCGCAGCGCAGGGCGCTGAGTACGCTCCAAGTTTACAGCGGGTGGAAGCCCTGTAAAATAAAAACAGGTAGCGTCAGTGGCGGCAGCCCCCCGACTGCCGAACAAGGCGCTGGCTGGAGCGGCTCTCGGGTGGTGCGGTGTGCTGACCAGTCAATGAAGCGCAGCTTACACTCTGGAAGACAAACACAATGTGATCTTCGCCCGTCTTTTTTTTGTGTTGCGTTGTGCGGATTATCGATTTGATGGACGCTAGATTTAACAGCGACAATCTTTGCAGCCGTTGCACATCAGGGTCGACAATCGTTGCCCAACACGACAATGACCAGCGTTGCTTGGTGAGTGGTGCCATGCTGGTGGTGTCGCTGGAGCTCCCCCGCAAGGAGCAGTGCGATTGGGTCGCAGCATCGTGCATGAACCATGCGTGGGCTAGGTACGCGGGACTCTCGCTCTCTCGTTCACTCGCTAAAGCAGTTGGTGATGGCGGTGGTGATGCCCACTAGTTTGCTGGCGGGTAATTCTACAGTTGTTTAGTAGTGTTGTCATTACTGGTTCTGCTCCTGTTGCTATTGGTGAGAGTCAGTCATCAGCAACGCCTCCTTCTGCACCAGCGTACTAAGCCTGTTGTAAGATGCCCCGTCGTGGCTGGCTTGGGAGAGGGTCCTGCTAGGTTCAGCTGGTCCAAAGAATAGGACAAAAACCTTGGACAAAATCGGGGGCGTGCAAAGAAACAAGGAAAAGGCTAAAGTGCTGACTGACTAGGGAAACGAAACAATAATGATTTGCAAGCCAACATAGCGATCGTGAGGAGTCGCCGCGCAAAAGGCGTCGACAAGCTCACGCTGTCTGGGCGGGCCTGCAACATCATTGGTTGCGATGGGTTGCGCCACAACCGGCAGTGCGGCGACTTGAAACAATGGCCTGAAGGTTATTCTGGAAGCACCAAAAGTATGTGGTACACCATGGTTTGTCTTCTTTTTTGTCTTTGCACCGCGTGGGAACAATAGTGAGTAGTACGCGCACGCCCACCGGGACCAGACACATGTCTTTTTGTTTTTTGTTTAAACTTTACCGGCCTCCGTCGGTCGGCCGATGAACGAACGCATTGATCCTTTGTCGCCGTGTTATTTCTTTGCTTTTTTTTTTTGGCACTTTCTCTTTCGGCCTCGGCATGATGGCCGCCAGCGTTTCGAATTGGTTCTTGCAGGGCCTTGCGGTGGTTCGAAAAGCACGCAAGAGCGCCACCCTGCCTGAGTACGTCCACCAATGAGACGGCCAGGCTAGCGGCGTGAGTCGTTCACGCAAAAACCCCGCCCAATAGCAGAAAAAAAAGCCGGTCTCGCGTGCTCTATAGTCAGGATCGGGCACCGTACCCATGGGGTTTCTGGGGCTCTTGGCCAGCGCTCTCCCGTTGTTCCTATACTCTTGTGGGCAGGTGAGGGTGCCCGTCAAGCACCAAAGAGGGAGGTCAGAAGCGGGAGAGCCGTTGCCACGATTTGGCAGGTCGTTTGGCGATGACTGATGGGGTTCCTGTATTATGCCTAGACATTTAGACACGTGTTGTGTTGTATCAATAAGAAGGCTGCACTTAACAGTACAATAGCCGTCGCATAAGTTTCGGCTGGAAGGGGGGAGGAGAAAGCAGCAATACGGCCGTCGCGCTATAGCCGGCTTGCATCCGCCAAACTCTCTCGGTGAAGTCAGCGCCGGCCCCAATTCCTCCAGCGCTGGCCCGCCCCTCCTTTTCGGCGGTTAGAGTGTTAATTAGTGCGGATAGACACCACCACCACCACCACCATCAGGCGCTTCACTCGGTGAAAATCACGTCGCAGCCACCCATCTCTTTGGCTGATAATCGCCGCAGATACTCCTTTCTCACGACAATCCGATGGCCATGTGCTGCCTTGCATCAATCACATGTGCTGGAAGCGGGATGAGTCTTACGCTGGACGTGCTTGATGAATTTGCCCGCTTATCTCCCTTGCCGCCGGTCTCGCTGCACAGGAAGGAGCATTTCCCTGCACAATTGTGAATTGCGCTGTCTGCACCCCAATGCAAAGGCGCTGGAAGCAGGCTGGCAGGTTGGCAGGCAAGTAAAGCGCCCTGGGGGACGTGGGGCCCGCGCTGGTCCACTCTGCCCACTGAGAAGAAGCCCCCCACGTCTGCAATTCTTGCATCTACGCTACGGTGACTGCTGTGATGCCCACTTTCCTCCGTGTTTGTGTTAATTCCGTGAGCCAAGAAAGAGTCAGATGAACAAATACAAGGCAAATAAAGGGAAGAAAAAAAGAAAACAAGCACAAAAGGTCTAGATGCTACCACGCCCTCGACTAGCCGGATGACCTGGATGAGCCATTTTGTCCCTGTTCCGTCTTCCGTTACAACGTGGATTTACCGGGAGCCAATTCCTTTAAACTTTTGTTCTGCCTCGTTTTTTTTCTTCTCTGGCCTTCTCTTCAGCGCCTGCCTACCTTCTGTGTGTTCCCCGTAGCACTTCGGCGCCTTCTGTTCCCCGCTCTTCATCAGCGCACCCCCTTCAGGCTCTTTCTAGCTTAGCGTTCAAAACCCCACATGGTGTGGAACCCCGCGTTTTTCATCAGCCACACCACACACCTCAACTTTTCTGTACATTCGCGCAATGTTTGGAGATGGAGATGACTGTTCTGCTGCCTGGTAGGTAATCCGCTGGCGAGCGCAAGTAACCCAACCACGCGCCCGAGACGCGGCCACGGCTACTACTGCCCACATATGACTCTTTTGGCTTTTACTTTTCGGCTTTCTTCAACGCCTGCACCGCAAGTCTCCAGAGTCTCTAGCCTATCTCTACGGGCAATATTTGCTTGTGCTTTGTCTCTCCCAATGGATATCCAAGTAATGCAGGCAACCTCTCATGTAGCAAGAAAATGTCCAACGTATCATAGATTAAGTCCCTAACAAGAGCAATGCCCAATCCACGGCCTTCATTCGTCCATTGACGCAGCCGCTGGCTCGTGCAGTGTCTTACTTTGCGTGGTCTCCGGCTCACGGCAAAGGCACCAACGGAGTCCACTGCAAGGTCCATGCCACCCGAACGGTGAGCTCCCTGACAGCTCTACAAATCTGCTCAACTACCGCGCAAGGCCAAAATAATATCAAAATATATCATATGTTTTGCATTTTCCAATCCTAATCCTATGTCTATATGCTTCAAAATATTTTACCCAGTAAATCTTTAGGGTTTTTTTGTCCCTGCTCGCTATGCCGTATAATCGTAAATGTGTTAGTTCATACAAAAAGTCGGGGAAAACACCGCTGCTCAAGCAGTTTTTGGTGACGAATGAACAAATCCGTATATAAAAGTAGCAGATAGAATGACGCCAACATTAAATAGTAGAGTGTAGCCAGGTCCCAGCACTCAATTACATTGAAATATAACAAGAAAAAAAAGCAGAACCTTTGCGCCTTTGGTTTTTTGTTTTGGAAATACCATCATTAAAACATGATCCATTCAACACCGACTCCGGGTCCTCCGAAGCATTTGCCCCAGTTGAAGGGGCCTCTGCTTCCACCATGTTTTGTTCCGTCTTGGCCATAAAGGCCAAGTTCAGGGTTGTTGCGGAAGTCTCCAGACCAGAGACGCTCCAAGACATCCAAAGCAGCCAGGTTATTCATGTAGCCAGAGCGGCCCATGATATCCTTACACTTGGATCGAATAATATTTTGTTGAAGTTCGTTGACACACTCGGAGCCAACGACAAATAGTGGCCAGAGCAGGAACTTCTCGGCGGCACTGTCTTGTTCAAGACTGGTGGCGTAGAAGACAACCTGGCTGACCAAGTTTTGGAAGTTTGTGTTGCTAGAGGGGGTGCTTGGGCTGGCGAGTCTCTCTGTGTAAAGTAGGGCGGCATATCGGAAGGCTTCGGAGAGATTCTCGAGATCCCGCAGATGGCCCACCTTGGAACCGCGAATAGTAATTGCTGCAGAGGCGGCGTCAAAGTGCCAGTTCTGCAGTTCTTGTCGGGCCTCCTTCCATTCCTTCCAGAAGAGGGCACGTCTGTCATCATACTCTGCCGAGGTAGACATGCTGGAAATTAAAAGCTCGTCTTCGCTCAGAGTGCTGCCGAATCCATTACCGTCGAAGCGAGCAGCGGGTGGCATCGGTGACTTCATGACTGGACTCTGCTCGTCATTCAGAGAGTCTGCCATATTTTCCACTGGTCTATGCTGAGACAGCATGTTAAGACGGCCCAACTTGCTAACGGTTTTGAACAACACACGGTCGCATCCCACGAGGCTCTCCGAACCAGGGGGTAGAAGTTGTGATTCTCCAGAGGGCGTGAGTTGGGCTTCACGGTCATTGATAGTAGCAGAGATGGCGTCGAAGTAAACAAACAGGGCTTCCATCCAAGCAACATCTTCGGAGGAACCACCAAAGTGTTGAGGACGTCTCATAGCGAGGATCTTTTTGACTCCAGCAAATTGAGTGTGGAACTTGGCGATGCCAGACTCGGCCATCCGGTAGTGGCACAAGATGAGAATAGTAGCCAACACTGAGTCATGGCTAGACTTGACGGGATCGTTGAGCTGCTGGTTGAGAAGGTGAACAGCCAAGTTGCGGTGCTGGATTTCTTCAGCCAAGGACTGATCCTGGGGAAGGGATTCGCCTAGAGTCTCCATCGATTGCTTCTCAGCGATGAGCTTGTTATACAGCTCTCTGGTATCCTGACCGAGGCTAAGCTTTCTCTTCATGCGCAAGTTGCAAGCAGAAAGTGCACAAATAGCATGCTGGAGACTCTGGCTGTCACCAGCAAGGCGCATGATGTGATCTCTGAATGGGTTGTAGTGGTCGTCAAGATAAACCATGGCGGGGGCGATAGTCATCTTGTAGTAGTCCATGAAGAAGGGCATTTTGGCGATTAGCTCTTGGTTCAGGCGGATCTGACGAGGCTCTCTGATGAGATTCCAGGGGCTTTGGCCATTCTCTGACAGGGGAGACTGGATGTCTTCTTCCTTGCAGTGGTTAGGACCCCATGCTGGGTTAGTGGTGTTCAAGCTGTGGCTAAAACCAGTAACCTCTGGGATACCTTATTAATGTTAGCAAATAGTATGAAATGCGTCTCTTGTTAAAACTTACTCAAAGAGTCACATTCCCGCATGCCCTTTGGCTGGAGCATCTGGGTGTCAAATGCATCCATGTGAGATGGCAGACTGGAGCTGTGTTCAGACGGTGCGTACACCATGGATGGGCTGGTCTCAAGCACCAACGTAGGGGGAGGACTGCGACCAACGGGCGACATTTGCGGTCCATGATAGTGCTCAAACATGTGCGATGAGTGGTGGTGGCTGAAAGGAGGAATGTCGTCGCGGGAGTAGCCCTGGCTAAGGGGAGACAAGTAGTCGACCTCGCTGACGGAGTCAACCGATGATGAGAGGCCATCTGTGATAATAGGGAGAGGGAACTTGGAGAATCTGGGAGTTGTTTCAATAGGGGAATGGGCCATGTTGGAAGAGTAGCTCATGCCGCCCCAGCTGTTGGGGGCCATGGATGGGGCGCCATGTGTAGGCTGAGACATGGAAAGATAGTCGTACCCTTGTGTCTGATATGGCGACGGCGTGGTGTGGGTGAGAGATGGGATATCAATGCCATTTCGAGGGCTCAGTCTGAGTTGGTCGCGATCATTCCAAGTTGTGGTGATGGCAGGGAGGGAAGAATTTGCTCGAGGTCTTCGTGCTGCTGGCTTCTTAGGTTCCTTGGGAACGGGAGGCGCTTTGGCGACAGGAAGAGAGAGGCCGCGCAGCTTGCCACGGCTGGCGACACCGACACCCCAAGTTAGTTGGGTTTTATAACCAGAGCATTCGTTTCCTAGCTCAAGACATTGCGAGCAGTAAGGTCGTCGTCGATCACACTTGACGTTGCGTTTTGAGCATGTGAAGCAGTCATCGGCAGCACCGCCCACTCCGGGTGCTCTCTTTCTTCGGCGGCGAATAGCTGTAGCGTCTTTAACTGCTACTGTTTGCTGTGATGCGGCGGCAGTCATGATTGGTTCTGTTCTATTATTCTGTTTTCGTTTGCTGTAGTATTGGATATAAGATCGTCAGGGTTGCGCTGGTGGCTGATGGATTGCTGTCGATGCCGGCGGGTACAGTGCCGGTATGAGACAATGGGTAGATTGCTGGCTAGGTGATTGTGAAAAGGTAGCGAGCGTATGTATAACAAAGACCGTGATAGAGAGTAAAAGAAATAGAAAAAGAGGAAGAAGAATTGTGCGTAGTTGCTCTCCTTCTCCAAGACGGTCAGTTGCAGAGTCGGGGGGATAGGCGTGTGAAGAGCACGAGATGGGCGCCGGGGCAGTTTTGTACATCGGGGTGGGCGGACCCAGCGACAGAGGCCTGGCTGTAGCGCTCTGAGCTAGTCTAGCGGTCGCCTCTAGCGGTAGCGTCGTGAGCGAGTCCAGCTGGGGGGTGTCCTGTGGCGCAGGACGACGGACGAACAGGGGTAGCGGGTTTGTGATAACAGGGGCAGGGTGTGCGCCCATCAGCATGTGGGTTTTCCCACGCTAGCACCTAGGGGTGCGTTCTGCAGTCGTCCCCCAAAGATCGACGACGGGACTATCACTGAAGAGGGTCATCTTGTTGGCGGAGAAAGACTTTCTTCTTGTCGCCATACTACCTTTCAGTGGAAATCAGAGCCACCCCCATCTCCCGTCGGCGCCTACGCTCAACCCTTTGCGTGTGTAGCTGCCTTGTGAGCTCCGGCGGGAAGGGGGCTGTCTTCCATGCCACCAGTCACCCATGAACATCTTTAAAGTTCTCCTGAATTGCCATACATTGGTTGTGAATGCGACCCCCCAGAGTAAGATTTTGATGTAGCTGCAATACCCGTTCTGTATAGGAGGGCACTGCACACTCCATTGACAACAGTCTGGCAGAACTTTGCTCGTGAAGTGCCTAGCCCAAAGGAATCTCACTACAGAGCAAATCCAGCGCCGCCGACGAAAAAAAGGCACCAAGACGGGCTCAGCGCCAACAAAAGTTGAAAGTGGGGTGTATCCGGTTTCTCGAAAAGCAGCACTAGGATCACTGACAAAAGGTTCTGTGTCTGCTGTGGGCCGCCCATCCCAGTTGTCGTGAGCTGGCTGCTGTGGCCAAGATTTGGAGGTTGGGGTAACGAAAAGAATTGGGGCAGCACCACTGACTCGAAGGGCTCCCCAGCGGGGGCACATGTTGTTAACCTCCTGTACACTGCATCCCCACGCTCCAGGTTCGGCGAATCAGTCTTCTTCTTTTAGGCCATGTTACGCGCTGGAGTAAATGGCAGCCAGTATGGCATAAATTGACCTGACAGGAGTAGCGGCAACATGGGTTTCTATGTCTAACTCCAATCCCAGCTGTTTCTGGGGAGCTGCTCAGCGCGAATGGGGCTTGTTCATGACTAGAAGCTTTGAGGCTTGCACAGCACAGCATCTTCCCTAGGCACTCGACGCGTTCGTACCCTAGGCCGGTCGGCCGGTGCATTGCTGCTGCCGCGACCGCTCTTCGCATTGCCGGCAGCTGGAGGCTGCTGTAACTGCACGCCGTTGTCCCTAGTCAGAAATTACGCTGTCGGAGAGGAATACCCATTGGCGACTAGCGTCACAGCCCAAGGTCCTTTTGCAAAATACCCACCCAGAACAAAACCCACCAGGCACTGAAGAGCACCAGTCAATACGACGGGAACTAGCCAGTGGCTGCGTTGCCTCTCCAGCTTGCGTGCGAGAGATTCCGAAGCATTGTCGTGTGCGTCAAATTGGTACCTTTCGGGCAACAGTTATTGGGCTCGTAAATTGTCGAGCGTTTGCGATATAGTATGCTTGTGGCTGTCCATTAAGTCGTCAGCAGCTCTTCAGCGCAATCGTAAATTGCACCTCTCACCCACTCGGCAAGCTGAGCAAGAATAGATAAGGACGTCAGTGGTATTGCACCCTTATGAATAAAACGTGTCTTCGCATGCAGACAGTTTCGCGGGGGGATGCACCTGCGCTGCCTTCCCATCCGTGGCTGAGGATGCTCTCCACCAGCCTCTTGACTGACCAGTTAGCTTGAAGTGTACGGTCATAAATCCTGCAGACCAGGACATTAAGACAGGCTGCAGCTGCATGCCTTAGACTCGGGCAACTTATATGAGAAACAGGAAGTTAGTACAGCATGGTCGTGCATGGCACATGATCCGGAGTGCATGAACTACACTTGCCACATCACCCGCCCATTTACATTTTCTTATTTACCTGTAGCGCGTACCGTGCTAGTGAGAACTGGTATTAGCTATAACAGTTGACAATGGTGTTCTGCGACTGGATATAACAAACGGTACCTGACGAACTGCGCCACAGGCTGCACCGTCTCTAAGTTTTTAGTCAATTCCAATGTGTACATCTGGGTGGACTGTTAATACTCGCAATAACCTCTGTTTGTACTACAGCTGGTGGAGTCGTGTCTGAAGTTGGCAAGTTATTGTTTCTGTAATGATGAAATATTTCTCCTGTTCAACTGGCAGAAATAGAGGAGTAAGGAACAGGCCAGAGAGGTGCGAGCTGCCAGGTATCACATCACAGAAGTCCCTTGAAATCATGAAGGAGCTGCACCCCCTTTCCGCAAAGACCCTTTGATGCGGTCACCGTACTCTAACAGGTTACAAAAGAAACGAAAGAAATAATGGAACTTAGGAGAGACCTAAGCCTCCCAAACACGATGGTGATCTGTATGCAGTTAGCGGGTGGCGCTCTCAGCTGCAGCCACCAAAGACTGCCGGTCAGTTAGAGCGTTTGGAACAGTGCTGCAGAACGCCTATGGAAGGCCTTTGCTCCAACGGAATGGGAGCATATGAGCTACAGTCCAATACATGCGGCCTTCGTTCGTTCATCTGCAAAATGGCCAACGTGTGACTGCTTTGCTGATCGGCAGCCGATGCAATCAGAGCCTCTCTGCACGAGCCCAAACGCATTCACAACTCCTCTCTTGTTGTCGTGAAGGCACCTGAGCCCTCCATGATCACCGCCTTCTACCCGTGGTGAACCCTGAGCAGCGATCGGCCAGTTGATTCGGGCGGCTTCATCCGCGATACTACGTTGCACACCGACCGTGAGTTTGCGACGATGCTCGATGCAAATATGGATGACTTAAAAGTCGATGAGAGTCCCCGAGGTTTATGAGGGAAAATACAATACACGTATATGATCGAGGGCATATTCAATACCCGATAAAGCCTCATCGAACAGAAAGAGTCTACAGGTGCAGAGTTTGACGCCACTGGAGGACGTCAAGGTGCGCTACATGGCGCGGCAGTGGACGCTCGAGTCTTACTACTAACGGCAACGCAGACTACTAAACGATCATTGGTTTCTGCCCTGACAAGAACAAGCTTGATAAATATGCTCAAACCTTTTTTGCGAGCAGAGTTCCAACCTCCCCAGCGGTGTACCTGTTTCCCCAGAGAAACCGGTTCTTTGAGAACAAGCGTTGAGTTCCCCGCAAAACTGGGGGCTCCTGTGAAGCCACACACACCCTAGCGCTCACACACCGCGAGTCACTCGGTAAACTGAATTTTCACGTAATAGTGCTTGCCACCACTAGAGCCACACAGTTCTTAGGCTTTACGCCTGTGAGGCAGTGTTGCAGAGGATAGCCGTGGCGCCAGGCTCACGCTGGGCCTTTCCCACTAACGGCAATTGAAGGCATAGTCAAACTGTGCTGTAGCTTCGATCCACCGTTTCGACCTCGAGGAGGCTGACCCGCCAAAGGATGGCAATATTGTTATGCGTGTATTTTTCAGTCAGAAGAGCTTCCCGTATGGTTCGCTCCAGTTCTTCAACACGTGGGCACACGCGCTCCCCATGGGGTGCGCAGGATGATTTATTGTACGGTAATAGCAGACTATTACTATGCTACACAATGCTGAGCTGCGACGCGTCCCCGCGATTTCCACCCCACAATACCACTCAGCGATGACAAAAGTTCCCGGCCGGCCGTACTGTAGAATGCTTGGAAGCGAGTACTACTGTATTAAATCATGAAACTCTCTGCAGGCATTTCCCTCTCAAACTCTGCTTCTAAACATTCTAGAAATCCTAGGTTCGCCTTCCCTCAATCTGCCTACTTGCGATATCATGTTTGCCACCAGCATAAGAGGTAGCCGGGTTGGAGATTGCGGATCGACTTCAGTGGGCTTGGCAACTCTGCCACGGCGGTTTCACACTTGGGCAAAGTACCTGACGCTGGTAGAGGGCGTTCAGCGCCTCGGTCACTGCCTAAGCAGAGGCCCACGGGTGTGACCCCGGGTCCCAAACGGTGGGCCGAAACTACCCAACCGACTTGATCACCTAGGCTGGATTAGGAATCTCCACTACCTCGTGCAGCTGAGGAACCTTACTCCTCAGCTCGAGCTTGAATGTTGTTTGCCGTCAAATGGGCATCGTTGTAATATCCGGAATTGGCTAACAAAGTCTTCACGTACTCTCAAATCAACTACATGCCAAACTATGGGTCTGGTGCGTAGCATGTCAACCATGGCCGCAGGGGAGATAGGATAGCAAAGAAGCCATCATAGGTACTCCAAACAGAGCACCTTTCAAGAGATCATCCTCGGCATAATCCTTCAGGGTGGTGTAAGAGCAATACTGCAGAAGGCTGTAGGCCAAGGAGGCAATACCCCAGGTCTCGAAGCAGCAACTCATATTCATAATCCAACGCAAAAGGTAAGGCTCCTTTTTCACACCACCTCCTTTTTGTCTGATTTTGGACTCACCCACGAGATCATGTACAATGAGTGGGGTAATATGCGCGTTTGTACATCTCTGCACGTAAGTATGCACCAGACACCTTCCTCAACCCGTCATGGGCGTGTCGTTGGGCAAAGTCAGCCATGGAAAGCAAGAGTATGTCTTTTGAAAGCTTAGTCGTATGTCATCTCATGAACCACACTCGGGCACTATGAGGCTTTCAAGTCACATTCAGACCAGCCTCATACGTACCTGGGAGGTTAGAGGAGGCTTTGTTTCAACTCTCACAGCCGAAATCCGGCACCATGCCTTGCATTAGCGCCGACAGTCCCGGCATACTGTAAGCTGGCCAATAGCGAGACGTTATTCAGTTCGCCGCAATGTAACCAACTTCAGGGTTGGGTCGTTTAAACTAAGACTTGGCTTTATGCTGAGATAGGCAGTCAATGCGGTGGTGGGATCATTTCAAATTGAAAAACATTCCACGGCTAAGCATTGCGTTGTATAGAACCTGATGCCGGTTGTCTTTTGAGCCAAATGTACGCGTTGAGCCGAGAGGCGAAATCTCTCATATGAACAAGTTTCCGGAAGCAATACAGTTACGCAGACTAGCCAAGGGTATTCACATGCCCACAATCCCATCCAAAATGTGCTGGCGCAAGTACGGGCCTTAGTCACTTACAACGGGGAGTGGTCAAGCTTTACTGGCTTTACCTCTGCCTCGCCGCGTAGACCATTATAGTAACATCTGAGAGGGAGACTGTGCCAACACTGGTCATACACACTATAAGCGGTCCTGCTTTATACCACTTATACAGGGGACTAGTCCACCAACAATGTTGATGTGATGCCTGCAAACAAAGATACTATGAGAGAAACAGTTACTTGTGTGATAATAAAACTTGGTACTATCGAGTTCAACGTTGCTATTATAAACTGCCTCTCTAGAATAATAATTATACACACGTGCTCATCCGTAAGCTTGGAGATATTTACAGAGCAGCAATGATTGCAGCAGCGGCAATGGCAGCTGCACCAGGCAAGAACTTGCCAGCACCGGCAGTCAAAGGTGGCTGCGAGGCAACAACACAGGTCGTGCAAGGAACAACAGGAGCCTGGGTCTCCATGGTGGTTAGAACGGGAGGAGACGTGATAGCTGGAGCAGGGTTGGTGGGCTGGACAGGAGCCGAGGCAGTAGAGCTAGGAGCAGCGCAGTTCGTGCAGCCTGGGATCTGAGTAGCGGAAGCACCAGGAGTAATGGGCTGGATAGTCGCGGGGCACGAAGTGACAACGGGCTGTCCTGGCTTGCAGTTGGCATCACCCTTCTGGCAGTAGATGGTCTTGGGGAGGACAATAGTGGCGGTGACCTGAGAGCAAGACTCGCGGCTAGTGCTGGTGGTGGCAGGGTAGGTCTGGTTGGCAAGAGGGCAGAAGGTGGTGTATCTGGTGACAACCTGTGTAGTGCGGTGCCCAACGGGGCAGTTGGTGATGGTAGGAGCGCAAGAAGTGACGGTGTAAACGCGAGTCTCACGGATAGTCGAGGTGACGACGGGGAGAGCAGTCGTAGCGTTGTGGAAGCCAGTCGCCTTGGGGTGCTTTCCAGTGGCATTGGCGTGGGTAGGCATGCTGGAAGCAGTGGCATTGGCGGGATGAGTGCCATTCAAAGAGTCCTTGTTCTTCTCTCCCTTGGCTCCGGGTCCTTCGGGGATAGGGTGAGGAAGAGGAAGAGCAGGTTCGGGCTTGCCACAATCACCCTCGACGTTGGGGACGGCGTTGCGGCCGCTGCCGATGGGGATCAAGCTAGAACCGCAGTCTGCGCTCTTACCAATGTGAATCTCCTCATTGTCCCAATCGAAGACAGCGTAAGCAGCGCGCAAGAAGGTGTCGCCAAGAACGGGCTCAGCATCGTCCTCAATAACGCCCAAGATGCAGATGCCCTGGTCAGGCTGCTGCCAGACAAAGTCGGAGTAGGGAACCTTAATGACAGTCTCACCAAACTTGTAGTTGACGCTGCCCTTGACGGACTTGACAATGGAGCAGTCAACAGTGTATTGGCCGTGAGAATCAAGCTTGGCAGAGGGGAAAGCCTTGAGGATCTTCTGGAAGTGAACGGAGGGGAGGGCGCTGACAGTATAGCCGGTATCAAGGAAGACAGCTTGGCCGTTGGGCTTGTTGAAGATCTCAGTCTCAGATCCGTCATCCTTGGTAACGGTGATACCATCGAGGTAGATCCAGTAACGGGTCTGACCGTCGGGGCTCTGGGCAGCAGGGATGATGGAACGCTTCTCGAGGCGGCCGGAGAACTTCTTGGTGTCCATACCACCAAAGACAACAGCACCGCGGTCGCTGCCGATGTGGCGGAGATCAAGAGAGAAAGTACGGCTCTTGATGTAGTTTTGCTTGAAGAGGTTGTCAATAACGTAAGGGTAAGGGCTGTCGAAACCGCTCAGAGAAGGTCCGGCACCAAGGATACCGGTGGTGTGGAAGCTGGAGTCCTGGGCAACACCAAAGACCTGCTGGTTGATCTTGGCAGATCCGACAGTGACAAAGTCGTAACCGTACTCGATGTTGGCATCGCCGCGGCCGTACTTGAGAGTGTTGTTTTGCTCAAGATCCTTGAAGGAAGAGCTCTCGCCAAAGAGACCGAAGCTTCTGCAGTAGTCGGGGTCCTGCGCCTTGGCACAGTTGGGGTTAACCCAGAGCTCAGCAGAGCCAGTGTCGAAGTTCACGTTGACCGGGCGGCCGGGGGTACCCATGATAAGTTCGATGGTGTAGAAGAAGCCGGTCTGACGGTTGGCGAGATCAGCTGTAGCCTGACGCTTGTGGTGCTTGGAGATGGCACCCTTGGCAACAGTGATGGGGAATTTAAGAAGGCCATCCTGCTCGACGAAGGTGTTCTGGTCGAGAATGTCGCCAACGTTGTCATTGAGAATGTCGAGGGTGTCGTCGAGGAACTCAAGAGCCTGTGCCGCTAGGGGCAAGGCAGCGAGCGAAAGAAGTGAGAAGCGCATAGTGTTTGGACTCGTATGATAGTCTAAGTGCGTAGTGTAAATCCAATATAGTGGCGTGTGCCTGGTGAGGCAAGTCGTAGAAGGAGAAAGCGAAGGACTGTTGTATTAGTTGGTAAGTAAAAGCAATATCAAACAAGTTAACGAGTGAATGAATGACAGTGGTTGGACAAGAGAAACAAGAAGAAAAGAATGATGAAGTAGAAAGGAGGCAAAAGCAGCGCAGCGTCAGATGGCGATGCGCATCTCAAGTATATATTAGACTAAGCTGGGAGTCGCCAGGGGCCTACAAACTAAACATGGGTACCCATTGCGGCTTTGCTTGGCGCGAGGAAGTCATCCGCAGCAAAGCTATGGCCCGCCGCCAGAAGCAAAAGTAAGAAGTGGTATCGGTGAAGCGGTGATGTGGGTTGCAACGCTGCGGCGTCGTTATGGCCGGGCACTGGCAGCTGGCGACCTCCTGTGTAGTGCCAGGCCCACCTGGCAGGCGTGGAAATTGGGAGCGGCAGTGGGATTGTCATCCTTGCGGGTTTTGGCTGCTTTTCTTCACAGTCGTCGAATAATTGTGGTGAAAATGGGGGCTATCGTGACTCGCATCTGCGACATGAAGACATTGTTCGTCTATCGATTGATTCTTTGTTCACGAGGTGAGACTTTAGTTCTACATTCACATTCCGCATACCAACTGGCTCAGTGTCTTCTCTCCAGCAAAAGGGTAGCCGCCTGGCCTGGCCCCAACCGTCCAAGGAACGATCGCTCCTAAATCTTAAAAAAGCCACCAGGACCCCCGAATGTACTGCGCTAGCCGCTGCGCCCCTGGCCCTTCTGTGGAGAAACTGCGTCACTGGTGGAGGAAGCTCTGGTTCTGCCGTGGATGCCCTGCTTTGTTGACCTCGTGTTAATATGCTGATCCCAGGCTTCTCCTAATTCAACCTTGGTTGAACGTGATAAGCCCTTGACCATGAAGAAGATTTGTTTAGCATCTTAAGCCAGAGCTCTTCTTTTTCGGGTTGTTTCTAGAGAATGGATAGATGCCAGTGGCGCGCAGGTCAGCCCAAACAGCAAGCATCTGTGCTCATGCAGCCAGGAACCTGAAACTGGTCTAGCAAACACACGGGCAGATTTAACACCACGGACCAGACGCTGTCGTTGGTTCGCTGCAATGCATTGAGCAGTATTTGTGGTTTAAAATATGCAATGGGCTACGAGCAACTAGTCACGGAGGGACTACCAAGAATAATCAGGGGCATCGACAGGAATCGAACGGTTCGCCAGTGTTGGACAATCCCTCCACCGCTTCAGAAAGCAATCAGGCAAATTCACAATAACCTTATCCACGGCTACGCTACTGTAAACAACCGCTATTCGGAAGGTTCCGACCGCAATTGGTATCCAGAAGCTGGGACTGAATAAAGACTTCGGCATCTGTAAAGTGATGCAGGGGTTCATTGGCGCCGTTTCTCAAACTTGGCTCCACTACTTCTGTTTGGTTGTGGCAAAAAGATCAGCGGTTCATGAGGGCCGTGCCTAGAGCGATTGGCTAGTACTGACCGATTCCCTTGCTCAAATACTACAAAACTTTACAGAGTTAACCAGATCTACAGGGGCAAACCGTTCGGATAGCAGTCTTGGTCGCCTGATTCTTACAGACAGCTTTAGACGCTTGTTATCCAACAGCTACCGAGACACAGCTGTGTCTTTCTGCTCTGACGTCACAATACAACAGGTCATGATAGAGAAGGGGTTCACAAACATCAGCAGATAGCTGACGTTAAACACACGACGGTTCGCTTAACGAGAATGGTATCATTCCTTTAGGATTAAAGTCGTATTATTGCACTGCCACGCTCTAACCCTATACCATGATATTAGGTCTAATACAAGCTACCTACCGCTCGAAACAAGCCTTGGGCGAAACCCTTGGTGCCAATTTCCCAGTCGAACCCAATCTTAGACAACCTCGCAGCGAGCCCCCCCGCCATGGATCCCCAGAACCGGTCTAACTAGATTGAACACATGCGAAATCAGGTTAAGGTGACCCTGTTAAGTGCATAAATTATGATTGTATGTATCGGTTCGATTGAGGTCATTGGTTACCGTCTACGTAAAGCTGTTGCCCCAGCTGATGAAGCTTTGACACAGCAAGGCTGAACTTGGCGGCAACGAGGCTGCTATTTAGTAACAACACAATCACGGAAGCAAGAATAAGAGAAAAAGAAGCTATAATTAAGCCATAGTATTGATTTTGATTCTTGTATAATAATAGAATCGATCAAGGGTATTTTATCAAGTCATAAGCAGCATTACATCCACCTCCTCTTAGCGCACTGAGCATATAACTAATCAAGCAATAATGAGCCGTATGGTATCACAGTTTCGCACCATCATGTGCCTGGGCTCTTATTCCTCCATCATTTTTTGATCAGGAAATCTATTCGGCCTTTTTCTCGAGCTCGGCAACAATGTCCTTCTCAAGGGACTCAGGCTTCGTGGTGGAGGCCCAGCGGCCCTTGACCTGGCCGTCGCGGCCGATGAGGAACTTCTCAAAGTTCCACTTGATGAACTTCAAGCCAAGAAGACCAGACTTCTCGCTCTTGAGCCACTGGTAGAGAGGAGCAGCGCCATCGCCGTTGACGTCGATCTTCTGCATGATGGGGAAGCTGACGCCGTAGTTGATCTGGCAGAAGTTCTGGATCTCGTCATCGGTGCCGGGCTCCTGGGCACCGAACTGGTTGCAAGGGAAGCCAAGGATCGTGAAGTCGTCGCCGTACTTCTCCTTGAGGCCCTTGTAAAGGGTCTCGAGACCAGCGTACTGGGGAGTGAAGCCGCACTTGGAGGCGGTGTTGACAATCAAGACAACCTTGCCCTTGAAGTCGGAAAGAGGGACCTCTTGGCCGCGCTCTGTGAGAAAAGATGTGTTAGAACGAAGCTCAACTCCGGTTCGCGGTGCGGGGTTCGCCACAATATTTCGCAATGGCCATATGGCAGGGCAGTATACTTACTGTCATTGGGCTTGAAATCGTAGAAGCTTGTAGCGGAAGCCATTGTTGCTACGGATCGGGTATCGAAAGACGAAAAGGTTGGTTTGTGTGTGAAGCAAAGCGGATGGTGAAGGCGGGAAGAAGAAGAAAACGAAGAGCTAGCAAGTCGGGTCGCAAGAGGTGAGGTGCGGGACACACAGGTATAAAAACGGACGCTGGAGGAAGCTCCACGGCAACACGTGCGGCCGACGGAGGGAATGCGGTGGTGGTGCATGGTGCGCCGGCTGACAAACGGAGAATTTTCGAGCAGTGGCAGCCGTTGGAAAGGACAAGAAAAAAGAAAGTAGTTAGCGTTCTTGCTGTATGGCAATGCCTTCTTTGAGCTTCTAGCTCCGATGTGGATGCACGCCTTGTTGCATCAGCAACAAAAGAGGCGCCGCGAGAATTTGGAATACCTGCCTTCGGTCGCCTGGGCCTCGGCTTTTGGTGGTCCCGTAGAGGTGCTTTTAGTGGATCGGATGCACTGAAAGATTCCGTAATTCAGTGGTCGTTTTAGCGATGCTAGGTCTCCATCGTCCTGCCGCTGGCCGGAGCCATGCCATCGGAACGGTCGGGGGCGGGCAAATAGATGACGGTGAACGAACGTATTTGGAATTCCTGTGGCGTTTACTATGGGGGATGTGTATTTTCTCAATATATTATGCGTTTTTGTTATGTGAGATTTTATCTCTATTTACGTGTGCGCTACTTACAGCAGCTGTAGTCTTCAAAACCTGCCACAGAGCTTGCTTCTGGTGAGCTGCGCTGCCGCGGGGCAAAGGACCTGCAGGGAGCGTTGCCCCGCTGACACAATCGATGGCGGGAACCACTTCAACTGAACGAATCTGTCCAGTCTCTTAGATCACCTCCGTAAGCAACATGGAAGAAAAGCGTAGAATATACATTATAGGTATGTGTCATAAGGCGCAACCCGATATCTAGATCCTAGGAAGCTAACGGCTTCAGGTGGCGGTATCATTGGATGCACCTCTGCCTACTATCTCACTCGCCACCCCAAGTTCGGCGCTACGAAACACAGTATTACAGTTTTAGAAGCTGCTCCAAGTATAGCATCTGGTGCTTCAGGTAAAGCGGGAGGGCTTTTAGGTCTCTGGGCCTACCCTGCTTGTATCGTGCCACTGTCATTCAAGCTCCACGCTGAGCTTGCTGCTGAACATGGCGGTGCTGAGAAATGGGGATACAGAGCACTGAAGTGCGGTACAATATCCGCAACGGTTCCAAGCGAGAAGATAGAGAGTCTCAAAAGTTCCAGTAATGATGGGAAGGCCTGGGAGAAGCTTCCGAAACAGGACGAAGCAGCACAAACCTTGTTCAAGGACGCCGAGCTGCCGCCGGGACTGGACTGGGTAGATGCCAGTGTTATTGATGGATGGCGGGAAATGGGTTCCCCAGGAGCTACAGATACAGCACAAGTGCATCCGTTTCATTTCACAACATCGATTGCAAAGCTTGCTGAAGATGCCGGTGTTCTCTTCAGAACCAATGCCAAGGTAACGGCACTTGACACAACGAAGGCAGGAATCCAAAGCCTCAGCTATTTGGACAGAGCGACGGGCGAAACCATTACTATTTCAGACGCTACAGATGTCCTCGTTTCAGCCGGTCCTTGGTCTGGTAGAGTATTGCCAAAATGCAAAGTAGATGGCCTCCGAGCGCACAGCGTGGTCTACGAAGCAGACGTTTCGCCGTTTGCTGTTTTCACCGACATCGAGCTACCAGAGGGTTTTGTTCCTGAGCATCGTCTCAAGTCAGGCCAAGGCAAACGTCATCGCGGAACTGTCGATCCCGAGATTTATGCTCGTCCTTTTGGTGAAGTGTATGCTTGTGGTAAGTTGGCGTTGAGCGTTCTCGTAACGATAACATATCTAATACAATCTGCCAGGCGAGCCGGATAGCGCTATACCGCTCCCAGAGACTGCCGATCTCGTCGAGTTCGATGAGATGCAGTGCGATGACATGATATCATACATTTCAACCGTTAGCCCAGTTTTGGCAGCCGCGCCTCTTAAAGCAAAGCAGGCTTGCTATCTTCCACAGCACTCTAATGGTCCGTTAATTGGGAAAACAAGTATCCCTGGTGTTTTTCTCGCATCTGGACACACATGCTGGGGTATTCAGAATGGGCCTGCGACAGGAAAATTGATTGCGGAATATATTCTGGATGGGCAGGCTACGAGTGCAAGAGCTGATCAACTAGATCCTCGACGTTACAAAATCTAAGGACATATGGACCATGTCATATAACCATAACTTTGTAGTAAATATCAGTGTAAATATCTATCACCCCAAATTGATGGTACCTGCTTTTAGTAATACCGGAAATATTTATTTCAATGACGGTAATGTATCTTACTTCATTGTCTGAAGGCCATCTCGGGTAGCACGCAGCGACGCCCACCCAAATAGTGGAGTGCCTCATCGGGACTAGTGCACCGTCGAAAAGTCTTTATCGATAGAGCCGCTGCCAAAAAATTTGGACAGAAGCGACACCAGCCTCAAGAACATCACTTTAACCACACATTTGCAGCCGTAATAATGGGTAGAGAATTACAGAAAAAGAAGCGCCGCTCCGGCCGCCAGACCGTCAAGACCAACAATAGAAACAAAAAGATCCTCAACCCCAGAGGAAGCTCGGTCGTCGCCAAGAACTGGTAAGTCGACGCAGATGGTTCTCGCTACTGGTAAAGGCCAACACGCTAATGTTCAACTAGGGATAAGAAAGAAACTCTCGCACAAAACTACCGCCGTCTTGGTCTCCTTTCGCGCCTCAAGGCACCCACCGGTGGTGTCGAGAAGAAGCTCAAGGGCGAACGAATCAATGCCGAGCCCCAAGCCAACCCTTTCGCCATTGATACCATCGAGAAGGCGACACTGAGCGAGGCGACGGTTGAACGTGATGCGGACGGCAAGATTATCCGTGTAATTTCGCACTCCAACAACCCCCTCAACGACCCTCTCAACGAGCTCGACTCCGATAACGAAGACAATGAGGTCAACCAACACTATCCCGAGTGGAGCGGCATCATTCACGACGAGGCTGATACCGACGTTGTGCGCTCGCTTGTCGAACAGGCACAGAACCCAGCACCCAAGAAGGTCAGACATATGAGCGAGCGAGAGGTGGAGTGGCTTCAGACCCTGGTGGACAAGTATGGCGACGACACGAGAGCCATGGCCAAGGACCGCAAGCTGAACCCCATGCAGCAGACTGCTGCCGACATTGCGAGACGCTTGAAGAAGTTCAATGCGTAAAATCATGGAGCATGACAAAAAAGACTACTGGGCGTTTATGTGGCGTTTATTTCTTGTTTGTGGCATTGCGAATTCTTTGCAACTCGTACATTCGCATATACTAGCTCGGCTTAGAAGTTACATTTGACGAATGAATGGACCATTTCGTTGCATATAAGTATTGCATGCTACGTTTGATATTACAAATGAAGTACCATGTTCAAGCTTGAAAAGAGCAAACGCGAAGTTGTATTTATGGCCAGACTAATTGGTGTCTTTGACACCAATTGTGCAAGGGCAAGGAATCTATCATGTGCCAAGAAGCGAAACAAAAATATCATGCGAGAAAAATGCCCAAAACGCCAGCATAATGAGTACATCTATCCAGAGTCCAAACGTTGATATCTGATTGCTGCGACAGTGCTGTGGACCGTAAAGTGCAACAAAATCAGAAGTCTAGAGAGCATCATCGGTCCACGCGGTCGTAGTGCGCATTAGGGAACTTGACAGGCTCGTCTGTATATGTGCCACCAACCTGAGATGGCTCGTAAGGCATAGACGTCGCACCGTGGTACGCTGTCTTGGTCGCATCAAACATCTCTTCGCCGCGGGGAGGGAGAGAGCCATAGCGGCTGGGGTCGTCCTGGTCGTAGTGACTACCACCGTAGCCGCCAGCCTGCTGCTCGTGGTCCTCCATGTGAACTCGCTCGTAAGCTTCGTCACCATGGGGCGCCATCGAGAAGGCTTCCTTATCCGGATCGATGCTGTTGTCGCCGCCGGTTCGAATCTTGCGGTTATCGTAGCCAGGCAGGCTTCCGTGGAAGTTGGAATATGTCATCGTGTATCCACTGACAAAGGCGGAGCCGGCCCAGAGGAGACTGTTGTTGATTAGTTTTGCTGTCGCTGTTTGAATCGAGAACACTACTTACGTGACAAGAACGCCAATGGCAACAATGGACTTGGAGATGCCGCACCGTGTGCCGCAGAGGTCCTTGGAGTTGTATGAAGCTTGTGACGCGAATGCGGAGAGCGCCAGGATCGTGCATACGACGTCGACTGCGAACATGGCAATGGGATTGGCGTATTTACGGGTTCGTTCGAATCGCGGAGTTCCGATTAGATAGATCCAAGCCGGGACATAGAGGAAGAACTACAAGCCAAGCAAGTTAGCAGGGGGCGTCGTCGCAATGCACTAGGTTGGGAGATGTTGGGGGAAACGTACCACGGCGAAGGTCCATCCATTGTCGCCTACAATGGTAGCCTTGGAGTCGTTGAAGACGGCAATCTCGAGACACCAAGCCACAAAGGCGAGGAGGATCTGCGAGCAGTGCAGAATAAGTTTAGCAAGAGGAACATTGTCGGGATCCCACTCAAAGTCAACCATGATTGCGGCGGAGGTGCAGTCGTGCTTGTGGTGCTAGCGAGGATATTTTTTTGTTTACTCGGTGCTGGCGTCTGCGAAAGCTGAAAGGGGAGGTCGAGGCGCAAAGGATGTTGTGAAATTAGGAATCGAAGTCGTCGTAGTAGCTGGTCGAATGCGAACCGTTGCGTAGTTACAGTCCTGGAGCGAGACTTTGGGAAGGGATGAAACCCTGGTAGAGCAAGGGTCTTTGTTCCTTTGTTTTTTCGAGGAGGCAATCTAAAACAATGCGGGCTGAGGCACGATTCGTGTAAGCCGGGTTGTCTGAGGCGTAAGATTTTGGAAAGTCCAAAAAAAAAGAGGAAGAAGAAAAAGAAGACAAGGTGACGATGACGAGGATAAAAGGAAAAGAAAAGCCAGGAATACAAAAATGGAAACGGCTGAGAACGAGGATGAAGCGGGAGACGCAGGCTTTCCTTGTCAACGAGGCGGAGCGAGCTTGTGGTGGGACAAGGTGACGACAGAGCAACGCTTACAGTGGGCGATGTGCTGTAAGAGCGGCTGTGATTGGCTGTCACGCACACGTCGGGCTGGGCGGCAGTCGCTGTAAACACCAAAAAAACCACGCTGTCAGCCGTGCTTGTAGCGGGTTGGAGCGCCGCACAGGCGCCCCGCTGCGTTGGCTGGGCCACTGCGTTAGCGTCCCTCTGTGCGTGGTTAGGGCGCTAAAGCGGGAGGACTAGAGAGGAGCACTGCTGGTTTGGCAGTTGGGGGCCTAAAACGGGACGCTTGATTTTCTCTTGTATGGTTGATTATTGTTTCCTCTTTCTACCACCGTATAGCGATTATAAGGATATTTCATTTTATTTCAATTTAATTGGTAAACTAAGTTACATGCGCCTCTCTCATCTAACAAAATATCAGCTGTTGTGAGGCTGACCCAGCTCATCAGCCAGAGCCCGCCCCTTCCCTCATTTTGCGTGTGCACGGCGCTCCTGTCTGCCTTCCGAGCGCCGCAATGGCTTTTAAAAATAGAGCCAGGCTGCGCCACCAACAAACGTCAGCCCGTGATTTTCCTGCAGCCATGAAGCATCAGATCGTCGACGGACAGAGGCGACATAGCCGACTGAATTGAATTATATCTATTGTGATTTTTATACGTTCTTGATAAGTACAAGATGCAAAGACGCCGCCTTGTATGCACACACCCGAAAATACATCGCCGACCCCAAGGAAACCGCCTCCGTGTTTTTGATACATTTACTCTTCCGTTCTCGAAAGGGTGGAGTGCAGTTTGTGCTCTTTCATCATCGAGATGCTAAGCAGACCCAAAACAGCAATAGTAGACCCCGTGAGGAATAAAGCACGGAACGCGTCCATGTAGGACGCCATTACACCGTCCTTCCAACCGGGTGGTAGATCCTTGAGCGAATCCAGACTCTTGAGGATGTGCTCAATAATCTTCTCGGCGCGGGGTTCATCTCCGAATCGACTCCACAGACGTAGTCTGAGCACATTTTGATAGACTGCGCCGCCAATGGTGACGCCGATGGATGAGCCAAGACTTCTGGCCAGATCTGTAGTTGTGTTAGTTAAAGTGGACAGAGGCTTGGATGATGCGTAAGACTTACAAGTTCCTGACGTCACAACAGCCTGCTGCGAGTGATCCACGGCCGCAATACATGCCAACAGTGTGATTGTCAACATGCCACCATATCCGCCGCCGACCAAGAAGAAACCAACACTTGCAACCCACATGGGTGATGTCAACGACTGCGATATGTAGACAATAGTACCGGCAACAAAGAGGCAGAGGCAGGTTACTCCTGCTGCCCAGTAACGACCTGTGCGCTTCATCACAAATCCAGACAAGATAGAGCCCAGCGATGCTCCAAAAGGCGATGGCAAGAGGTACAAGCCGGCAGTAGTGGGCGTAGCGCCGCGAACCTGCAAGAAAAGAGGGACGTAGAAAAGGCCCATCATGATAACCATGGTTGTTAGGAAGTTGGCTAGGCATGCAGCCAGTACAGTGCGTTGGGCGAGTAGCTTGACGGGAATGATAGGCTGGCGCGCCTTGCTCTCCCACCACAGGAAGGCACCAAACGCAACAAAAGACAGAGGGATAGTCGTCAAGGGGATAGGTGAAAGCCAATTTACACTCTCTCCGCCAGAGTTGATGCCAACGAGCAGCAGGACAAGGAAACTGACAGTCAGGAAGACTCCGGCAAAGTCAATACGAGCGAGGTAGGACTTGTTTGATTGCTTTGGGGGCACTCTGATAAGAAAGAAGGCGGCCACTGCTGACAGCAGAACGAGAGGCACTTGTATCAGAAAGGCCAATCGCCATCCCGTCTTGGTGTGGTCGTTGATATAACCGCCAAAGATACCGCCCAGCATAGCACCACCGCTGTAGAACAGGTTGCCCATGCCTTGCACGATGCCTCTTTTGCGGAGAGGAATTAGGTCGGATCCGATGAAGGTGGAAATGCTCATCAGGCCTCCGCCGCCAATACCGGCAATTACGCGGCCGAAAATCATGGTGCGCTGGTCCGTTGCCACACCGCAGAGATAATTGCCGAGGGCGAAGAAGACGTTACTAAAGACGAGGCCGGGGCCACGACCGAAAATATCTGTCAAACGACCGGAAATAGGCTGGCACGCTGCATTGGCGATGAAGTAAGCCGAGGCAAGCCAGGACATGAGGCCAAGCGAGTTGAATTCGCTCGAGATTGGGCCGGAGAGCGTGGCAATGATGGTGGAATCGACAGCGCCTAGGAACACACCGACCCAGGCCGTGACCATGATCATAGCGAGACGAACCATCGGCAGCTCTTCTCCGATGACCGTGGTTTCTTCATCATCGCCTGCGTGGGTTGTTTGTTCGCTTTGCTGGTGGTTCGCCGCTACACCATTTTCTTCGTGCTGCTCGCGGAGCAGCGGCGTCTGCTCGGACGGCTTCAATTTCCTAGCCATGATGCTGAGTCGTACACGATGAAACTTGCAGAGAATAAATATCCAAAAAAAAAAACAATCGACCAGCTGCACGGCTTTATACCGATAAAAAAAGGGTCCCTAGTAGAAAAATGCAAGCGAGTCGCGCGATGGCGTTACGTGCGAGGTTGGTGACAAATCGGCCTAGCTCGCACACAGTCCGGAGAAGAAGTTGGGGCTTGCTTGGGGAAGGGCAGGCTGCGGCCGGAAACCGGCGACCGGCACTGTGACAAAGCCGAGCCTGGTGCGGCGGCGGCGATAACGTGGGGGAGCTGAGCTCTGTTTTTGTAAGCAGGTCCTTTTTTTAATATATTTAAAAGGAACGAATACAGAGATATTGTGGATAATTCAAAATTTTCTGATCATTATATTCATCTTCTTATTGTGTTTTCTTAAAACGGTAGCTAGCATGAAAATTTCAATTCTATTTAAAGAGACTTTTCAACCTCCATGGCCTCCTTGATACCCTCTGCAATAGCGGCCACTCTGGCTTCATCAAGACGCTTTAAGGGACGGCGAGGGTATCCACCGTAGCCGTAGTATGTCTGAATGGCCTGCTTGGTGCCAGCAATGGCAGATTTTGTAAGAGGCCAATCGCCCTTGCTGAGAACCTTCTGCAGCGCCTCGGCCTCATCCTTCTTGCCCTCCACGTACAAGTTCCAGACCTTGGTGCATAGCTTAGGCATGACATTGGCACCACCGGCAATGATGCCAGCACCACCACTGATGATTGTCTGCAGCTCAAAATCGCACATACCGCCAAAGGCCATGTATCCCGAGCCCTCGTGGAAGGGGTTCTTGGCATTGGTGCCGAGAGCAACGCGGGTAAGCTTGCCGGTGTTGCCACAGGTGAACTTAGTGCCGACAATGTTGGCGTGCTGGCCAAGCTTGATGATCAAGTCACTGTCCATGTCGACGCCAGCAACGGCACCAGGGTAGTTGTAGAGGATGATGGGGATCGGACTGCTGTCGGCAACAGCTGTGAAGTAGTTGTAGATGGATTCCTCGTCGACTTGAGCGCGGTAGTAAGAGGGGGGCAGAACGAGAGCGTAGTCGGCACCAGATTCGCTAGCGAGCTTGCAGAGCTCAATGGTGCCCTTGACACTGCCTTCCGTAGCACCAATGATGATGGGTGTAGACTGGAAGCCGGCTTCGTCGAGGGCCTCGCGAGTGGCCTTTGTGACGGCACACTTTTCTTCGCGTGTGCAATGGACAGCCTCGCCGTTGGAGCCCATGGTAACAAGACCAACGAGGCCGGCACGGACGAGGTTGGCCGCGTGCTTCTTGATTGTGGCAATGTCGAGCTCCTCCGTCTCAGCGTCGAAGAAGGTCATGGTGGGGGCGTAGATGCCGCAGGAGAGCGGACGACGAGTGGCAGCCATTGTGAGTATATTGTTGAGTATCGAGTTTCAAGAGAGAGATATTGTTCGAGAGGGACTTTACAACCAAGTCCTAGAAAGAGGGGAGAGGGAACGGCTGGATAGAAGTACAGTCGGGAAAGCGGGCGATGGGGTTGTGAAAAAAAGACCCGACGGGTTAATTCGCTCTGCCGAGCTGCAAGTTGATTCAGTGTGCTGAAGAATGGATTCTGTGCAACACGATTTATCAACGCCAACGCAAGTATATGGTTTGATATAGAGATGAATTCAACTCAGAGAGGCATTTCAACCAGTTTTTGTATAAATAATACTGTTGCAACATAATACTACTGCTGAGAGGGATGGCCTGTGTTAAAGAAGGAAGAACTTATTCCACCAATAGAAGCGCCGTGCTAGGGGAGCTCCAGTGAGCCGATCGCCTAAAATACAGTGGTTGGAAGCTATAGCCGACATCGTGTCGATGGCTGCGACGGGATGCTGTGGAGCGATGTTCTGGGCTAAAAACAATGAAAAAGATTGGAAAACGGGTGAATGAGATAATTTATATTGCCTAAATTACTTGTTTGATTATATTGATTTCATATAGCAGACGGTCACTGTGTTCTGCAAGTTGTCCTCCTTCAATTGCCGATGGCAGTGACATACAGCAAGGTACAGCGCCTTCGTGGGGTTACTTGTTCCCCCGCGCTGCCCCTCAATTCTTCCGGCGCAGCATCTTTCACCAGCTGCCAGCCCCCAAACAAAAAAGTAGCTCTCGCCGCTCTTCTTGTGCAGCATCTGTTTTTATTCTTCCCATCCTCATCCCATCTTTGCTTCTTTTGCAATTGGTTACTGTGCATCTCTTGATCTCTATTAAGCGAATACTCTACCAGATACCCCCCCATCATCCTCAATCATGGCTGCCCTTAACGTTTTGATGGTAAGTAGCTTCTTCAAAACCGCTGTATCCCCTCTTTACAAACTAACAGCTTCTATTTAGATTGGTACCGGCGAGTACACCACTGGCTTTGTCGGAACCGGTGCCTCTGGCTCTGACAAGAAGGTCGGTGTCGTTGGCCTCACTCTCTTCGATCTCCGCCGCCGCGGCAAGGTTGAGAAGCTCGGCATGGTTGGCGTCAACGGAACCAAATTCCCTGCCATCCGTACGCATCCCCCACGACTGTCTACTATGATATCTTAACTGACCATTTTGCCAGGCGAGCACTTGGATAAGAACATTACCCAGGTCTACAACGGCCTCGACACATCTTTCGACTCATTCCCCGCCAATGACCAGACGAACCCCGAGGCTTACAAAGCCGCCATCGACGGCCTCAAGCCCGGCGATGCCATTACCATCTTCACTCCTGATCCTACTCACTTCCCCATTGCCCTCTACGCCATTGAGCGTGGCATCCACGTTCTAATCACAAAGCCTGCCGTCAAGCTTCTTGAGCACCACCAGGAGCTCATTCGCAAGGCTGAGGAGAAGGGCGTCTACGTCTTCATTGAGCACCACAAGCGATTCGACCCTGCCTACTCGGACGCTAGATTCAAGGCCAAGAACCTTGGCGACTTCAACTACTGGTACTCTTACATGTCCCAGCCCAAGTACCAGCTCGACACCTTCAAGGGCTGGGCTGGCAAGGAATCCGACATTTCTTACTACCTCAACAGCCACCACGTCGACATTTGCGACTCCATGGTCCAGGACCGCTACCTTCCTGTCAAGGTCTCTGCCTCATCCTCCAAGGGTGTTGCCGTCGAGCGCGGATGTTTCGAAGAGACCGAGGATACCATTTCCGTCTTGGTAACCTGGGCCAAGAAGGACGACCCCTCCAAGCGCGCCATTGGTGTCTACACCTCGTCCTGGACTGCTCCTGAGCGTGCCGGTGTCCACACCAACCAGTACTTCCACTACCTTGCTGCCAATGGTGAGATCCGCGTTGACCAGGCTCACCGTGGTTACGATGTTGCCGACGACTCTGCTGGCCAGATTGCTTGGTTCAACCCTTTCTACATGCGTTACGCTCCCGACGAGGACGGCAACTTCAACGGCCAGACTGGCTACGGCTACATCTCTATTGAGAAGTTTGTCGACGGCTGCCGTGCTGTCAATGAGGGTCGCATGAAGCCCCAGGACCTTGATGCCAAGGGCCTCCCTACCCTTCGCAACACTATTGCCACCACGGCCATTCTTGAGGCAGGCCGCCGAAGCATCGACGAGAGCCGTGAGATTGGCATCGTTATTGAGGATGGTGTCTGGAAGTTGGTTTAAGAACTTAGATTTTATTTGTTTTACGGCCGGCGTCTTGTTATTTAGTTTAAAAACATTAAATTGAAATATTACGTTTTTCCAATATGTGTTGAAGTATATGGAACAGTCGTTGTTAGTACCATGTGGGGCAGTCGCCTAACTCTCTCGATGTCGAAAATCTTAACCACATACTCATCACTACATTTATATCCACCCTTAATGCACCTTTTGCTAAACCAAGGCCCCCCACGACTCTACTTTATGGCTTAAGAATACACCGGATATATTTTGTATAGCTATATTGCGCCGAACGTGCCGTCATGTCCAACGACGCAAAACCTGTCGCCGATACTGCGACACCCATTCGTCATGAAGACATCATCTTCTCCTCTCAGCAGACATCCATGTCTACGCTCCTATCTGGACTTCGTCGCAAAACCCTCACGATTCATAACAGACTCAAGTCCATCCAAGAAGACGCAGACTTTGTGAAAAGCGTGGCACAATCATACGGTGCCTCCATTAAGAATGGAGAGCCGAGAAAGCGACCACTTGTTGCCAACGAGAGATGCGGCAGCTGGTACATTCGACCTGCTTTGAAAGACGGCAGTGCCTACTTTAAAAGCACAGACGGCCATGAGAGAGCTTGGAAGTTTAGTACCAGGAGACTAAACTTTCATATCGCCGAAATGGCTGATGCAAACGACGGGTACGAAACTGTCCGCTTCTGAGTGTAACTATCACGGCAGCTAACAATATCCTAGAGTAATCATTGTTGACTCAACAAGACGAGGAAAACGTACATCCGCCCATGAATCTGCCACAAATCATACAAAAGGCTAACAGTCATACAGGTATGCCTGACGCATTATCCACGACTATACCCATCTGGTGCGCCGTTGTCAACAGCGTATTGCTTCCAGATCATACATTATCCAAAGAATTATTCCTACCGCCCTACATGTCACAATCTATCCACGCTCAAATATCCGCTCTTATTCCTTCATTTGTCAGGTCGCTATCTGATCTTCAGATTAGCTTACCCATTGGCACACTGTCCAAACCGCTTCGGCCATTCTGGGTCACGCAAGATTCGCACTCGAAGAGTGACGAATCCGACCACCAAGTTATTTTTGAAGATTATACTCCTGTTATATGCTGCACGTCAAGCCGGCGGGTAGTCGGCAGCGAAATGGATGAGGGCGGATACATTCAAGGCGCCGGCGACGACACGGAGAACTGGGCCCATGGATTGGTACCCGTCGTCTTTTGGTCGAATGTTGAAGCGTTACTCTCAGCCGCGGAAGCTGATCTGCCAGATACTATTAGTAAACTAGTGGACGAGCACGAAGCTAACAGCCCGTCGTCTGCTGCATTTGTGGCCCTAACGCCACATCTCTCTGTCGGCACGCTCAGTCAAGTCTCAGAGACTGATACTTCAGCATGCTATATACTTCTCACCACTCAGACATCACCAAAAGACACTTGGGTTAAATCGGCTACTCGTATGGAAGTTGGTGTTGGAAAACACAAAACGGCGAGCCGCAACATTCGCCTAGCCCTAGGCGACATTTGCAACTTTGCAGCCAAGTATCTCCGGAGCAATCCAAGCGGGCAATGTGTTGTTTGCTGCGAGTCTGGTAAGGACCTGTCTATCGCGACAAGTCTTGCTATTTCATGTTTTGTATTTGACGACAATGGCAACATTCGATCAGATGCTGAAGCTCCAGTCTTCAATAAGACACTGATTAAAAGTCGGTTGGCAGGCTTCATGACGACGTATCCTGGTGCAAATCCTAGTCGAACAACACTGCAAAGCGTAAATAGCTTCCTCATGGACTGGAGACCCTAGAGAAATCTTGTATATATAATCTATTGACAGAATAAAAATCTATCTTTCCATCGCTCATTCATCGCTCGTATATTTGTATGCTATATAAAAATGCGTCATTGTATTTTTTGGCCTTAAATAGAGCCGGCTTCAATCTTGGCCAGAATTTCAGGGAACTCAAACCAGTTCTTCATGATGACAACAGCGCCAGCATCGCTCAGAACCTTGGCCATCTCGTCTTGCTTATCGGTTTCATAAGGGCCAACGTAGCCGACGACCTTGATACCAGCACGCGTGCCGCTTAGAGTACCGCTCTTGCTGTCTTCAATCGCTACGCTCTGCTCGGCAGCAGCACCAAGCTGCTTAAGAGCGTGCAAGTAAATGGCAGGGTCAGGCTTGCTGGTAGGGGGATCCAGGCTGGTCGCCGCAGAGAAGATGACATTGCTCTGGAAGTATCTGTCCATGCCGACCTTTTCAACGGAAGCCTTGAGCCGACGACCCGCCGACGACGACACGACAGCCATGTTGTATTTGCCCGAAGCAGCTAGCTTCTCGAGTTGCTCGTCGACGCCGACACAGGGGCGAAGCGAAGCCTTGAGCTTGGCAATGACGGCGTCCTCCTCACGCGTCACATATGTCTCGATGTCCGCGGGGGAGAGGTCAATGTTGTAGCGAGATTGCAGTGACATGAGCATGCCACGGAAGTTTTGCCCGACAAACTCCTGGATCAGCGTCTCGCCGGTAAATCGGACGTCGACATTTCGAGCGGCGGCGATTTCGTTGATGAGGTCGGCACAGGCCTCAAAGGCAAGCTCCTCGGACAGGACAAGGGTGTTGTCGCAGTCGAAGAGAAGAGTCTTGATCTGTTTGGGTTGAAGTTAGCAATGTCATAGACTGGAGTGGATTTAGGTGCGAATTGCGTACTTCGGGCATTTTGAAGATGTCTGGGGTTATAGTGTTGATGGTTTGAAGAAGTCAAGTTTGGCGGGGTGATAGAGGGGCACGATAAGGCGTTTGGCTGTGATGACGTAGGTTCTGGGTAGGGTTAACAAGGGGCGTTTTGTATAGATGGTGCGGCTTGGCTATTGACAGTACGAATCAAGCGAGTAAAAATAGACAAATAGAAACAAGATGAAGTAAATTGATTTAAGTTTCAAAATGATCTTTATTTCCAGACTAAACAAAGTGGAAACAATCGCTGGCAAGGTTCATTGCTCGTCTTTATAGTCCGCTGATAAGACCCAAACACCAGCATCGTTATAGCGGCGTTTTTCACCTGCCACAGCGTCATAGCCTCGGGGCGCCGCCCAATCACACGCCTGCCCAGCGCCATTGGGCCGATTCCGATGCTGCAGGAGAAAACATTGTAAACGGCGCAAGGTAATAGGCCGGAAGACAGAAAACAGATATGACAAGAAAATTTGCTGGGATCTTATTGGACGGACAATTTTTATTATTAATTTACTTTCATTTTATAACAAGTCACAAAACGAACAGCAGACAGGCATGCACCAATTTATTCCCGTTACACTGTTCCCGTATAAACAAACACAAAGGTTTCAAAGAAGAAATATACATTTATTTTTATGTATGGATATATACAATAATATATATGTGTATGTATAGAGTTTTGTATGTACAACAATATCGTCCTATACAAATATGTACTTCAAAGACACAGCATATACACCCGCTTCCCGCATTTCACAACATTATAGAGCCAGCTCAACATCAGTCACTTAGAAGTTGGAGTAGAGGGTCTCGTCAACAATCTCGTAGGAGATGGAGATGTGGCCCTTGGCACAGGCCTCGCTGGAGAGAGCAGCAAGCTGGGAGTAGGAGAAGTCGAGGCCAGCAGCACCGTTGGCGTTCCAGGTGCTGTCGGAGCCGTGAGCGCAGCGCTCGCAGCCGTCACCGATGAAGAAGGGGATGTTGGACTTCTTGCCGTTGACAGTGACAATGACACGCTTGCCGCAGTACTTGGAGCGGCCTTCGGCAGTCTTAAGAGCAGTGTTGGCCATGGCGACAAGGTTGTTGGAGTTGATGTCGTTGAGGGTGCGGCCCTTGGTCCACGAGCACATGACAGAGCCCTTGTTCTGGTTGGAGAAGTCGGCACCGCAGGCCTTGGTCTGCTTGATGTCGTAGTAGTAGGTACCGAATCCCTTGCCAGATAGAAGGGTGTTGGCGGCAGAGGCGCCGCTGGCAAGGACCAGGGCAAAGAGGGTAGCAAGAGAGTACTGCATTGTGTAGAGTAAGAGGAAGTAGACAGGTAAGGGTCTTGGTGTTATAAAAGGATGACCGGCAAAGGTATGCAGTGCAAGGAATGATAATAGAGATGTGAGACAGCGCGGGAACAGTCAGGAGATGGGGTCCCCCGTGTGTCTCTGGAGGATCTCAGCTTTATATAGACAGAATCACACATATCACGATGACTGCCGAAGAGCAGACCCCAATCCCAGGGGGAGGGGACCCAAGTTCGGCGTGGCTCGGCGAAAGACTAACGTACCATCAAGGGCCTCTTCTTCCCACGTTCCCGAAGCGAGGCCAGCACATTGGCCGGCGACAATGCCATTGAAGGAAATCTGCTGCAGGAACCGCCCGATATTGTGGAGGATGGAGTTCTCGACTTACCCGCAATGGAGACTCTCCAAGCCCCAAACGGTAAAGCCGCAACCCCTGTAGAGGGTAAGCCGCCAACGCTAATTTCGCTAGCTCGACGGTGCCTAATTTCTCCGTGTCAGCAGGCAGCGCGACGCTCCATGGCCAACCAGTTTAGCGCCCGCCAATAGGGCGATAGGCTGGGGAGGGCCCCCTCAGGTTAGCTGTGCTCTCTGGATGGTAGTGGTGGGTGGGTGGCCGTCCCATTGTGGTGGAGGGAATGCTGAAAAGGGCATAGCATGGGCTTTTTCTCCCAAAGAAGCTTTTGTCTTTTGGCGCCGGCGTGTTTCTGCGATTGGTTGGGTCGTGCCGACAAGGGACCTGAAAATCCCCCAAAAGCAGAGAACCCTCTTCTGTTGGATTGTTGCGTCCGGCTGAATACTACCTTGTAGTCATCGGCGCAAAGGCACGGCGGTTACCTGAGTCTCGACACTAGGCAGCGTTTTTTATGCATTTCTGACTGACTTATTGGCCCGGTCGTTATCTTTGCGTCTAGACCATTTCACTCCTTGGGGGCTGCATATGTCTCCGATGCGTAAGTGCGAGATGATGTATCACGCGCTGCGATTACGTGGTTTGTGCTCAAAACTATATTGTATTGAAGCTATTACTATCTATCTTGGCATTGGCGTTGGCGAACCACGTCCAAGTCGCCCAATTTGGAAAAAGACGAAACAGACGGAGTCAAGAAACAAATGGCACACATGATTGGATGGCTGCTGGTGTAAAATGGAACAACGTTCATTATGTGATTCCCAACCTATGTATCTTCCTCTTTTCAAGCAATAAGTGCTGCTCTTTCAATCAAAACGCCCCAAAACGCCCGCGCTTTAAGCGCTTCCTCTGCAAGGGTCGTCCCTTACAACTGGACTACTGCTGCCCTTGTCTGGGACACAAAAACTGGAAAAAATAAATCACTCGCTATGCATTTACAAAATCGTGCGCAGCTGCTCCTTTTGGCTCGTTGTCAGTGACGTCGGAAAGTTGACCTTGTAGCGGATGATAAAGTCGCCCCTCTTGCCTGGTGTCTTCGAGATGGGCATGCCAAGGCCGGGGTAGCGGTCTTCGCTGTCTGGTCTAGTCGGGCCACCCTTGTCAAGGTTGATCTGCTTGCCGTCAATCGTGGTGACAGAACGCTTCCAGCCTGTGAGTGCCTCTTTGAGCTCTAGCGTAAGTGTGTATGAGATGTCGTTGTCCTCACGCTTGAATAGTGCGTGCGGTTTCTAGATAAAATGTTAGTATTCGGCTGTTACTTTACAATCGGAAGTTTTGACCCACGTACCTCTTCAACAATAAAGTGCAAATCCTGGCGGCCCATGCCGTCCACTTGGTCACCAACGCCGGGGAACTTGAACTTGGAGCCCTTCTTCAATCCAGGCTTGATCGGCAACTCCAAGATCTTCTCCGTTGGGATGATTTTGCCGGTTTCGTCAAAAGTCTTGCTCTTGATCTTCATCTTCTTTTTGGCGCCGTTGAACATCTCTTCCAGAGTCAGTGCTAATGGCCGTTCAACAGTTGAAATGTCGGGGGTGTGCGATCGAGGGTGATGCCCCCCAGATTGTCTGGCTCTTGGGCGACCAGATCGAGGCATACCGCCGTCAAAGAAGTCATCGAAATTGCCGCCACCCATTCCGCCGCTCATGCTGCCGCCCATGCCACCTCCGCGCAGAAATTCGTCAAAGATATCTTGGGGATTGTTGAACGAAAAGCCTCCAGGGCCACTTCCACCAGCGCTACTGAAGTGGAAGCTTCGCGCACCGCCGGGCATACCGCCGCCACCAAAATCAAAGCCTCCAGGCATGCCACCGCCGGCAAACGGGTTGCCGCCGTCGGCACCGGGTGGAGGGGCCTGACTTCCGCCGCGAAGCAGGAACTCAAGGCCATACTGATCGTATACTTGGCGCTTCTCGGGATCGGACAGAATTTCGTATGCTTGTGAGCATTCCTTAAACTTCTCAGCAGCTGCTGGATCGTCCTTGTTTTTATCGGGATGGAACTTCAAAGCTGCTTTCCTGTAGATCTTGTTAGTATAGTACGTGATGCAGTTATTTGGGGGACGGAACATACCTGTAGCCCTTTTTTATTTCGTCTTGAGTGGCGGTGGGCTTGATGCTGAGCGTATCGTAAAGTTTGGTTTCCTTCACCATCTTGTAGGTTGGTTGAGGGTATCCTCAGACTTTTTAGTATGAAAGTACTGATATCGTCCAAATGCAAATCTGGGAATGAATTGTGTTGAATGTAATGGTTCTCACGTAGTGCGAGTGAATTGGGCACCACGTAGTGTAATCGGGCGCAGTCTCGCTTGTCGCGATACACTGGGCTGCAAAGTGTCGTGAGGGGTCTGAACCGTTATATGGTGGATGGATGAATTGTCTCGTGTCGTGTAAAGGAAAAGTGAAACGACAGGAGAAGTGAAGAAGGTTTGAGGAGGAAGAAAGTAGAAGAGAGTTGACCGAATGACGAACGCAGCGCATTTGGGCAGAGGGGTTGGCCACTGGCAGGAGCCAATTTTAGTGGGGCGACAGTCTATGGTTGGTGGTGGGCGCTTGTAGAAGCTTCGCCCGCCAAACCAGTGGCTGCCCGCTAAGAAACGCCTATGATGCAGTGGCAGCAACAGGCTGTGTACTTCCAACAGACAGCTCTTCACGGCAAGGTTGACGTTGTATGCATATGAGAAGACTCAATACTAGCCGTGATATCGTGAGCCTGTACTTTTTTTTTCATTAGTACTTCTTCGCTTCGTCTTCTTCTTTGTGTTCATCGATGCCCTACACTCAGTGCGCTCGGATCGTGACAGTGGGCCGCTGAGGGCCTGTGACCGCGGGGTAGTTTAGCAGCCTGCCCAGCGACTGTCTGTCCTGCTCCTTGCCATCATGAGAAATTGGGATAATGCTCCTTTAATCACATATTAAGCATCTTTGCCGAAAAAATGTAATCGGATTGTCCATATTCTGCTGCGGAAAACGGTACGACATGCATTGTTGAACTTGTTATTCCCGGTCTTGAAGGCCGAACCTTCTCGAAGATTCGGGGCGATCGACCCACTGTTTCCCGTCCGGTACGGCGCCCATGAGTCTGTCATCAGAGCCCGGGTCGGGCAGTAGCTCTCGTGGTTGAGACGGAGGGTGTGGCATTGTTCACCCTTTTATATTTATGGAGTGCAGCGGGAAGGGGATGGCGTGCTGGTGTGATGGTTTTGCCACTATATTCTATTTACAGACGTCTATCACCTCCACTGACTAATATACATGTGTGTCCCCCACTCGCCCTCGTCTCTCAAGGTTTGCTTAAATCCATATCCAGTGTCGCCTCGGCAATTCCCCCGATGCCGGGCTGAGACGGTCGAGAGCTGAATATGGAAGCACCTTCTCTGACTTGCATCTCAGGTGCTGCTGGTACACTGCTACTAGTCGGTTCAGACCCGTTCTGCTCAGCATGTGGTTCGTCAAAGAATCCATCTGGTCGAGGTGGTAGAGCTGGAGGTGGCGTCAACGGTTCCTCAGGTGTTCTATCCAACGTTGGACCCTGTGCTTCCGAGTAGTTTGGGGGCAGTTCGCCAGCTGCAATTCCAGGGCCCTGTGTTTGGTCTGCAAATGGATCCTCAAAAGCGTTGACACCGTCAGTGCCTATTGATGCTCGGTTTGTGTCTAACGAATCGGCACTGTCATCGCGGTGCTTGCGCTTTGACGGCGAGATCGGGTCGACCATCATGCCTCTCGTTGTTTCCATCTCTTGCTCCGTCTCCATCATGACTTCTTGGTTCAATTCCTGGCGGAATGCTTTGTTATCCGCCCGCGCAAATCTGTCCAGAGGCGCTGAGAGCGGCTTTGGTGTAGCCGAAAGGGCCGCTTCCGTAGCGTAAATAAGAGTCGGTGTCTTTGTAAGCTTCCAAACATGCGTCAATACCTGTTGTATATCTAGTTTCTATTTCCAATATTAGTATATCAATTTAGACAAGCTCCGATACAATCGTACCTCAGCGTTGACTGTTCCCACAGTGTCGCCTGAATATGAGAGCTTCCACCACTGGTCGCCAGTTGATCCTTCGCCTTCAAGATCAATAAGGTCGATTTCAGCGCGCTGGCAAACAAAAACAACATTGACATCAGTAGCAATACCTCGCAACGAGTATTGCTTGCATGTCATTGGCTTCGCACGTCCAGTCTTGTTGGGGTTCGTCAATAGTTGCCCCAAGAAGCGCTGCTTGGCCTGCAATGCCTCCATTTGCTTCGTATAGTGCTCAATGTGCTCGTCAAGCTCAGACATTGATTTCTCTGCAGCCTTCAAGACTTCGTCAACCTTCTTGCGCTTGACTGTACAATCAATATTCATTGTTGCTGGTGCAGCGTGGTAGTCAGGAAAACGGTCCGTGTCAAACTGACAAGCCCGCATAGTCTCAAGGCGGCCAGCTCCTTCTAGGTATTCTCCATACACGTTCCACTGAGCAATACCTTGCTCCAAGGTGTCTCGTCTCGTATGTTTAAGCTGGCCCCAGTCGTTAAGCCATTGATTCTCAGCCTTGCCCTTCAGCGCCACTGCTGCCATCTGACGCTTAGTCAAAACACATGCAGCTTGAATCCGTCTTGCTTCGTCCTTTCTACTCGCCAGCCATCTTTCTGGATAGAAGTTTGCTGGAATTTCAATGCTCTCCGCTGGTCCGTCTCCTCCAATCTTGATAGCCATAACATCTCCTGTGCTTGTTATAACGGCCATTTTGGTTGTGTCATCAAAGTTATCCCACGATAGCGCGTCATTCCACATAAGATGATCAATCGCTTCGTACAAGGTGGTGACGTCGTGGTACGCGTCTCGCCGAAGATCGAATTCCAAAAGCCCAAACCTGGCTATTTCGTCCTCAATTTCGTCGCTGTGGACGTGAGCGGGCGAAGCCGTCTGAAATAATGGATCCAGCTTTTCCGAGTTTCGTTGGTCCAAATATTCATAAAACTGCTTCTCTGTGTCGAACGAAGCGTACGGTATAAGGCTATGTAGCACGCTAACAGTGCCATAGCTTCGTTCCGTAGAGTCAAGAAACGCCATTAATCGATGAAGTTCCTCCTCAAAAACAGCTTTCTGTGGCATATCCTGCCAGGCGGCCTCGCTATTTTGCAATGGAGTTTCCGCTGGCAAAATCTCACGACCATTCCACCAGTCGGAAGCGAATCCATACGTTTCAGCAGGTGAGCCGCAATCCAAAAGTGTGTTGCGTGCTAAAGGGATTTCGTGCAATATTGTCAGTAATCCGCCTAACGCATGATTTCCATGAACACCATTCCCTTGTACAAGAACGGCTGGGGCACCCTCGGCACGTTTTCTTGCGGATGCCTTGTGCTCAGCGGCTGCCCATGTATTGCTAGTACCTACTGGAACCATGGACCAGTCAGCCTTGTCATAATCGGTTCGCGTCGCGGGTCCGAAGAACGGTTCCTGTTGCGTTGATTGTGTCGCAGTGCTGTCGTGGTGCTCCAAGGTTATACCAGCTTGCTGGGCGGATTCCCTCAGGGCTCGTTGCATTTCATCCTCCTCAGGGCCCTGGAAATTCGGTGCTGCTGGATAATAGTTAGGATCGCAATATATTGTACGCAGGTTATAGATGAAAGGTTCATACGTCCGATATCACCAGCTTGCCATTCTACAATGCGCCCCAGCGGTGACTTGTCATTCGATCTAGACGGGGGCCGTGAAGGTGCGCCTGATGCGTATGCTTCTCTCGGCGGCGTGGCTGAAGGCACGCTTTCACTGTGTTCAAGGGACTCCAGGTGGAATGCTGCCATCACTGTGTTAGCAGGGTTCCGCTACATACAGAACTGCGCCAACTTACAGATGCCCGTGCGATTGTCAACAGTTTCCCTGTCTCCTTGGAAGAAACCCTCGTTCCATTTGTTATTATATTTCTGTCGAAACTGTTGTATTTTATGTTAGCTTGATCGTGCCACGGAGGGGGCATTCTACGTACCGCAGCAGCGTCGTCGAAATATTCCATCACCACAGCTTCTACATTCCTGGAGCAATTCTATCCACTCTTATTAGCAATTATAATGGTAAAATTCGGTTCTAGGATGGGCTTAGCCAACCTTTAAGGCCTGGATAACCAAGGTCCGATCTTGGTGAGGATCGAGATTCGCAAAGTCAATGACCTGCGAGATCTCATCGTCCGTTGGATCCATGGTGGCCATGCTTATTTATTCTCTTTCAGCATCGGTATTGGCGCTATTTATTAGGAGTATAGACGGCTGTTATCTCGCTAACTCCGTGGTTGTTGCTGGAGAAGCTCGATAGGAGTTGGGTCGGAAGTGGGCGAGTCGTCGACAAACAGTTTCCGGGGGCGAGGACAGCAGTCGAATCGATCACGGAGGGGATGACCACTGATTAACTGCGATGCGCGGTCCCAAAGCAAGTCAATATACAGCGATGTTGTGAGAAGCTCCTTCAGCGTGGTTGCCAAATGGTCGACGCTAATGGAAGCAGGTCGTCCGGAATGACGCGCGGAGCTTGGAGCTACCGGGGCGGGTGGGCGCTACGTTTGTATGGAGCCCTGGCGATTGGGCCTTCCAATTTCTACGTAGCACTTTGGCAATGTGCTAAGAGTTATACGCAAATGACACCCTTGAGGAAAAAAGGAAAATAGCAGTTCAAGCTATGGAATATTCCATATCGATGAATATAATTTCAAATAGTTATCTTATATTTTATTCTATAAGTATGCCGTATATTCCACGACGAAATCGTGCTACGGATGACGTTGACAATCATCAGAATCCACGTCAGCGTCATGATCAGGTACAGGAGTAACGGCAGATGCAAAGCTCGACAGATCGAAACTAAGTCATATATAAATAAGATGAGGTATATTGCTAAGTAAAAACAAATATAAATGCGAAAAACAAGCGAAATTCTTTATGCTTTGCCCAATTGTATACCATATGTGAAACCCAAGTTGAGCCAACCGCTTTGTGACGCATGCGATGCTTCCTTCAAACGCCGCTCTATGTAAATAATAGTGGGAGGAGGTTACCAGAAGTATTCTTTCCCATATGAACTCCTATTCCGTAAAGACACAAACATCGCCTCCCGTAGAGCCTATGCTGTATCTGGTATTCTCTTCAACATCTTATTTGGTGTCTTCGTCGTCATCATCGTCGTCTTCGAAGTCGTCCATACCAGCATCGCTATCGCTACCGCCGAAATCATCATCCTCGTCTGAAATATTCCAGAAATCATCGTCTTCCTCTTCGACAACCTTAACAGGCGCCGGCATGAGCTCCTCAGAGGTCGGCATAGTTATTCCTTCTGGTACGTCGCTTTGCGTTTGTTCAACCAGAGCCTTGGCAGATTTGTTATATTCGTCGCGGTGGTCTCGGTAGAGGACACTGGCATCCACGTTTGCCGGCGAGTTGATCTCGGGGTCGTCCATGAGAAGCAAAACGGAACGCAACACTGACTCAACGCCATGAAGAACGTTCCATCTCTCGCTGGCAAGTTCTCCGGAGCGGTCGTCATCGCCTGGTTTATGAAGAATGGAGATACATAAGGTTCCATCAGGATAAACGTTCGGGTGGCATATATTGGGGGTATTAAAGCGGAAGGTCGGTGGCTGGTACGGGTAATCGTCAGGGAAGCGCATCTCGGCCTTCAAATGCAGATGTTAGTATTGATACAAATTAACATCATGTTTTTCATGACATAGACTGGAGATCATCATACCTTGAGGTAGGCTCCGTGCCAAACGCTGTCTGGGTTGACTACCCAGAGACCCATCCGCCACTTGCGAATGTTTGTCTCGTCTGTCTGTGGAGAGAATATTAGTTCCATGCCATTATGCGTAAACATAACTGTTCAATATAACCTCAATATTGACCCATCGCTCTTTTTGGAGCGGCTTCAGCTCCTGCATGAGTCGTTTTTGCGCCATGACTAGTGACGTTTGGTGAAGATTGTGCCTCGGACCAAAACGCAGACGATACTTCGGATTAATGCAAAGGCCCTGGTGTTCCCAACTCTGTTTCAACCCAACTCGATATCTTCTAGCAGACTTTCGAAGGCTATGGAGGACGCTGGCGGAAGGGCGGTGACTGGCCTGGTGAACGATGGAGGGGTCGCTGAGGGCGGGCAGGTGAGAGCGGCGGATGAAATCGAGGAGAAAGAAGCGTAGCAGGTGGGTAAAATATATTTGTACAGAAGATTCAAGGTTGTAGCAGTCCGTCTCAAGCGGCTCAGTCGATGGTGATGGTGATTTGAGCAAATGGTGACCTGCTGGTGAAGAGGAAGAGTGTCATCTCGGCATCCGCGACAGGCCTTGCCGCGTGCGGTCGGCGGCGGACAGCGCAAGAACCACCCAGTGTGACGGCATCAGGCGGGACAGCGCCTCTGGCGGCCGATTTGGCAAGGCTCGCACAGTCGTGGTTTTGGCGGCTCCACTTTAATGGCCGACGCCGCTGCACTGTGCCGGTTTTGCCACAACCTTTATGGAAGAATGTTGCCATACCAGCCATGATTGTTAAGCATAAAAAAGAGAGACGAAAAAGGCTGGAAGATTCGGGGAAATTATATGGCGTTGCAATTTGCGCAGTTTATGCCTTTGCTTGTATACACTTGGCTGATTCTGTCGAGCATCTCCGCTGGGCCAAGACAATAGCTCAACATACACTCACTTAACAAGCTAACTTACTACACTAACAGCATCGTTCTCAATTCATCATTCATCTATCATCTTTTCTATATCATTTTTATATAAAAACCCCCTACAGTTCCAATCATCGGCTCAAATCGTAGTATAGACACGTCCCTGTCCTGAAATTGTACAAGAAGGAGTGTCGCGTGCCTCCCTTCTTCTCATAGGTGTGCCGCCAAGTATCCAACTCATCATGAATCTCGCGCACGTACTTCTTCTCTGAATTATTCACAGCCTGTTCTGCTTTCTTCCAGCTTTCATGGTCCGATAAAAAGGTATCCCGAATCAGGTCCATAACAATGTCTGAAGTCTCAACAGCCAGGATGGGGCCATCCAGGAAGCCCTTGACGAGTGACGACGCATTTGCTACAGCTTGTGCAACAACCGTTCGCTTATTGAATTTCTTGCTCTTTGTCCCTGCTACCAGGATCTTCACATCAGAGTCAGATTCTTTGCCGCCAGGCGCAGAGCTGCCAGTATCTGAGTGAGTGCCACTTGCACGCAACTTGCTCAACAGCTTGCCTTCCCTCTCCCGGATTTGTGGCCGGAGCCAAGATAGAAGCTGTGAAAGAGGTATATCCACATCTGCGACATCTTTGTTGCCGACAGTTTTGATCTTGAGTATAGACTCTGGCTTGATAATAACAAACCAGTGGTGGTTTTCATCTCGATATTTCTGCGTCAGATCTTCGGGAGATCGACTATCTCGAGCAAGTTCGGCACTTATATCATGAGACCACAACAACTGTAAAATCTCAACTCCCTGTGAGCGTAGCAAGGCACTATCAAAACTCGCCACGAGGATGTCACACTACGGTCTCGTCAGCATACAGTTCCATGATTTTCATAAGTCACTTACCCTTCTGGTTGGCTGGACAAGTGGATCGTCTTCAGCTTTCTTCAAAAAGGCTTTGCTAGACGCCTTGGGAATTCGGGCCAAACGCTCCCAGGCGAGACTGAAGCCAACCGCATGTTTCTCATCGACATTCCCGCCGATCTTAGGTCGTTGTTCTTTAATAAGAGAATCATAGCGCCCTCCCGCGGCAAAGATATCTTTGACTTTCTTCACGTAAAGGCAGGAAAACAAGATTCCTCCAACGTAGAAACTCTCTTTCAAACTGTTGAGTGGGTTGATGTACAGCTTTGTCGAGACGCCAAATCGCTTTACATACTCAGCAACTTCCTTCAAGTGGGCAATAGTGGGTGCTGCTCGCTGGTACATGTCAGTACCCTCAAAAATCTTTTTCAGTCTTGCAAAAGCCTTGTTTGGAGTATCTAAAAGACGGTAAGTATATGTATTCAGAGGGGCATGTGCAACACGCTTACCTCGGAAATCGAACTGCTGCAGCTCATCAACGCTAGTTTGCGAAATACCAACTGTTGGCGACCGAAGTTCCATCCTAATCTTCTGCCAAGTATGATTATGGATATTAAGCTTGCTGAGAACATCAGAAGCTGCTCTTCTGCAGGCTGTCTCAATTCCACAATATTCGTAGATCAGGTTGAGCAGATCAGAATGGCCAACGTGGAAGCACATAGGCGTGACCGTCAGCGATGGAAATGCGTTGATAATCTCATCCAATACTTTGAGGACTTCGGCTTCTTTCAGGGCAAGATCAAGTGTGTCGGTGCTTACGATGTCGAAGTCAACTTCGCCAAACATCTGGGGCTGTCCAGTATCCTGTTTGTCTCGGAACACGCTGCCAAAGCTGAACGTTCGCGGAATAATAGGACCCTGTGTGTTCTTGGCCAGCGCCCTTGCATGACCCAGTGTGAGATCAAATGGCAACTGAAGTGCTGTGCCATTCGCGTCAAGAAGACGGAACACATTGTCCCCATAGTGAGTAGATCGAGGGTAGATGAAGCTCCGCGTGGTTTCTACCGCACCATGGCGACGGAAAATGGCCGTCAATTCATCTTTGACAAACGTGCGATACATTAGCTCAGTCGACGTTGCATTGGCTCCGAACATATCCCACGCATAGTCCTTGGTGGCCTCTACAGGCTGTGCGAACAGTGTCGATAACATTTTCCCGTAATAGGGTGATGCGGGATCTGCAAGTCCTGCTAGGGTTCTGCGAATTGTCTCACTCTCCATTTGGACAGGAAGTTTTCCGCTCTTCAACAGATCTGCACTGTATGGTCTGTCTTTCGGATTATGTTGAATGAGTGACAGGACAATATCTGTCTGCGACTTTTCAGCTGGTTTGAAATCGTTTGGAAGAATTGGTTTTGTATGTCGCAACTTGCCAATGACATCGGCTTTTTGCATTCCGATCATCGGAAGATAGCACATTTCGAAAAATATGATACCCAGAGAATACATCTATAGTCTGTTAATCGAAGCCATTGATCATAGAGGGGCAAAAGTGCTTACATCAACCTTGGTGCTATACATGCCGTGGGCAGCAGAACGCACTTCTGGGGCAGAATAGTAGGCCGTTCCAATGCTACGGGTCATATCATCAGTATCCATGATATTTCCTGGAACCTTGTCCAAAGAAAATTGACCGCTCGTGGCTAGTCCGAAGTCACCAATTTTGACATTGTCGACCCCGTCGGCACTGCTACTTATGAAGATGTTTTCTGGCTTCAAGTCTCGATGAACAATGCTCAGACTGTGGATATGAGCTAGTCCTTCGAGGATTTGTCGGAACAGCCGCCAAATCTCCGGAGTATTCTGATATAAGTTTCGCGATATAAGATCACGAAGTGTCTATACACGTTAGCATTCAACCTTTTGTTATGATTTGGTAAGCTTACTCGTTTTTCGCAATATTCCATAGAGATATATAGCACAGTGCGATATGGTCGTTGAAATCTCGCTCGGCGGGCTAGATTCAAATGGCGTCCTTTTCCGGGAGATATCACCACACCTGGAACGATATCATCGTCTCCAAAGGAGCTATCATCATCTGATTCTGATTCGGAATCAGCCTCATCATCCTCAGAATCATATCCAAACTCAATTGGAGCATTAGATGACATGAAATCAAGACCGCCAGTGCTGGTAGCGAATTGAATATCGATGCCCGCAGAACTCGTGTCCCTAGTTTCCTCCGTATAGTCTTCAGTAGAGGTTTCGCCTTCTGTATCGGTGAGGATCGGAACTTCCTCTACCCAGGTGTTATAATACCGAACGACAGCTGGATGACTGAGCTGTGACAAAAGCCGCACTTCCTTCAATATTTCGGTAAGACTTGCATGAGAGCGTTGAGTGATCTTTTTAATCGCATAGATCTGGCCATCAAGCTTTTTGCGAGCTTTGACAACCTCACCAAAGCCACCTTTGCCGAGTCGTCCCTCTTCAACGAAGTCTTCTGTATAACGAGAGACTACTGTACCTCTCATGTTAGAATCTCTTCGCAATCGAACGGCTGGAGATTGAAGCGAGGTAACTGATGGAACAGTTGACAACACCGCAGAAGTATCCTCAAACAGAACCGGTGCATCAGTAGCAAGAAACTCACTTGAGCCCAGCTCGAAGGCCCTTGGTCGCTTTTGTTTGTCCTCTTTGAAAAATCTGCCAACTAGCTCCAACAGCGGCTGTGACAGGGACAACGACTCCATCAGATTCTTTGGAGAGGCGTATCTTCTTAGGACATCTAAGCCGAAGATCATCTGCAAGAAAACGATACCAAATTCCCAAATATCCGTCTTGTAGGTATATTGAGGTTTCGAGAGGCCAGCAATTTCTGGCGGTAGCCAATACGCCGACTTGGCAGAGTTTATGCCGGGCAGGGTCTGCTTTTGAGCACTCAAATTGTGCAACTCTCGTTGATACCAGGCATCAGATATCTTAGGCACGATTTCGCCGGTGGATTCGCGGAATAATAAAACGTTTCCGGCATGAAAGTCCTGGTGAGCAATGTTCTTGTTATGTAAAAAGTTCAAGGCATCGAGCAGGTCTCGTGTCCAAGAGCGAACCTTGCTTATTTCAATCTGACCAGCAAGTTCAAGCAACTCTTCCAGCGAACCTTTATCAGATAAAGGACTTAATACTCGAACAGTCCAGGTATTTGCCGCGCTAAGGTCCATAGGAGTCCCAGCTTCAACTTTGAAGTCAAGCACATCTACGATATGTCTGTGATGTACCTTCTTCGATACTTTCAGATCTTGCAGACGAGATTCGAGAGACTGGAGGAGCTTCTTGAAATCTTTTGCATCTTTTCCAGTTGCTTTCAACGTGGACTCTTTCAAAGCCAGCGTTTTATTGCAAAGCGCAGGTCCAAGGACTGGCCGGACAGAAAACACGACGGCAACCTGACCCTCTCTGGGCTCGCATTTGCCAGCGACGGATCTGAAAGCAACTTCGTTACCATCTCCATCTACTATAGTGCACATCTGATCGAACTCGATTTTCTCCATAGACTGTTCACTATTATGGGCCAATTTTGCTTGTGCAGTTCCAGTCGTGTTTTTGCCTTGTCGCGACTCTTTGGCCTTTTGACGTTGTCGATCAATTTGCTGCTGGAGCATCTCGGCAACCATGCGTTCTTCCTCCTTGCTTTCCTCTAGTCTTCTCTTTTCGTCTTGTTCTTTCTGTTCTCGAGCGAGTGCAGCTAAGGCTTCCTCGTGGCGCTCGCGTTCCTCCTCTAGCGATGGCAAGTGTTTTCCAGCCGCCTTTGTCAACGCTGCATCTTCCAGAATATCACGGACGCCTTCCACGATTTGATCAACCATTTCTTGTTCGTCTTTGGCAAAGATCTTTGGTTGTGTTTCGAGGAAAGTTTGCACTTTGAACTGCGTGACCTCGCGAAGCACTCCTTTGCTTTTGATGGTGATCAAAGGCGGTGTCCGGGGATATGTTGCATTGAGTACAAATCCCAAGGTAACTGAGAAGTCGTTGTCGGTCGGTGCTTTTATATGGATGTCGAAGCTAGGTTCCGTCTTCTGTAGATAGGAGTCCTAGGTCAGCGCAAGCCTAGTCAGACCGGTTGCAGTTAACATACCTTCCAGGCACTTTGCCCATCACTACTTTGGTTGACAAAGTCCTCGCCATAGATAGCTTCGAGTGCCAACAACTCATTTTGCTGCAATTCTTCGTATTCTATCTTGGGTGCTGCTTCTGTCACCGTAGGCTTCAGGCCAGGGAAAGTTGAGTCATCGTTGTTGGGTTTGGAGAGTTTATGGTTCTTCCACGTATTATGCGAATTCCACGCCATGGTTGCGTAAATCCAAAGAAAGTGTCACAGCAAGAGCCGTGAGCCTTTATGAGGAAAAATCCATATTGGGTATATTTGTATAGGAAAAATTAGGAGGAAAAGTTAGTTGCAGAGCAAAAACGAAGATAGAGGAGAGCCGCCGTTGAAGGCTAGTCATATGGCAAGCTGCCAGTGGCGGGGTCCAGGTGGGGTAGCTGACTGACGTTCTTGGGCGGCTTGCAAGCGGCCAGCAGGGCTGAGCAGCCACTGTAGAGTTTGGCGGCGCTTGAGGCGACACTACAACCAGACGCCAGCCGAAACAGGCAGTGAGTAAACAAAAAGTCTCCATCAACACGAAATTGCAGCCCAACGACATCTGAAGCTTCCCACTTGGATGGCGCGTTGATATTATTGCATAGTTTCCTGCAGTGAAATTATTGCTATCAGATACTTAAATCTATCATCGCCTAGTTCACCTGCAACCGCTCCCCAAAATGCTAGGTTGGATGATAAACCGTGGCGAGAACGCGTCAAACGCGACGGGCGACCAAGGTTTGCAACCACAATTACCAGTAACATGCTAGGCCTGCTAATGTGTATTTCTAGAGGATACTACTCAAATTGATCAACCAGATACTCCCGCTCCTGTTTTTGCGGCAAGAGCGTTCAAAGCCGCCTTATTTGGCAGTCCCTCCCGTCGACATCCGGCCGGCAACCCACGACATCCAAGACGAAGCGCGATGGATCGTGAGACTGGTACGCCTTCTAAACCACCCGGTATTCTCCTGACACCCGGAACTGGTACCTCGAAACGTAAACGAGTCACTTTCGGACATGGCCTCGAATCAAACGCGCCAAGTGCAACCGCAGGGCCAGCACCCAACTCGGACGACGATTGGGAGGAAGAAGAGAGCGACCACGTCAACACAGACGTCACACTGGATTTAAATGAGCCTCATTCGAACTCGGGACGATATTGGAAAGAGGAATATCAAAAATATCACGATGGCGCCAAGGCTGAAATGGAGAAACTGCTCAAGTATAAGCAACTAGCAAAAACCTATGCACAGCAAAAGGATACACAGGTCACACGACTGGCTGAGAGATTGAGAGAGGAGCAAGCAAAGGTCGCTAAACTCCAGCAAATGTTAGCCCAGACCTCACAAGAAACACCTGTTGATGGAGCTGAGAACGACGCCAATAGTGGCACCGCGGCTGCGATTGTCGATCTGACCAAGGAACTCGAAAAGCAGACTGTACTTGCCACTGAATACCGCGATCGTGCCGAAGATCTAGAGGACAAACTTGAAGATGCTCTCGCATCCCACAAGGCGTTGCAGGATCGTAGATCCAGACCCGTGTCAGACTCGCCTGGCTCTCAAAAGGCGTTGATCGAAGTGCAGCGCGAACTACGCAAGGCTCGAAGCGAGGTGACCGAAATGAGTTCCCTCCGCGAGCAGCTCGCTACGTTGAAAGCACAACTACAATTGGCCAAGTCTGCCGACGCACATACTGCGAGTGAAGCACCCAGTGGTCCCAGAGCTCGGGACCTTCGAACACAGCTCCGAACAGCGCAAGCAGATCTGAGCACGAAAGCAAAAGAAGTCGAACAATTGAAAGAAGATATGACGGTATTAAAAACTGAAGCGGATAAACGCGACGACGAGATGCGCGATATTCTACAACGAGCACAGTCTAAAATCACAGAACTAAAGAGGGAAAACAAGTCTCTGAAATCGATCGAGGCCGAGCACGCGAAACTAAAGAGTCTACACGCCGAAACTTTAGAAACTATGGCTGCAATCGAGAAAAGGGCCAACGAAATGTCTAGTCGTCCTCAACGTCGCCACCGGACAGACGATAAAGCTTCGAAGACGGCGAAATCCACTACTCTTCGTGAAAAATACCAACAAGATTCTGCTACAGAAGACAACGACATCGGCCTGGTTTCAGGCCGAAAGCATCGCCGGGTTTCATCGCTTCCTGCCGAGTCTGATGCACGTGGTTGGCAGCCATTTGTTCCTCGCACACCTCGTGATAGACACTTCCTGCGCGATGACATCGCCAATCACCTACAGGATATAAGCACAACACCTGCTGGGGAACCGTTAGCGCGCCATATGAACCTGGGTCGTGAACGAAATGGCTCCAAAGCCAAATCGTCCCGAAGCAAACAGAACGATACCGGTGACGACGATATCGACTTGTTGCAGCATCGATTCGCGAAGCTTGGCGGCCCCGAAGTAGGCGCTAAGACGAGCAACGTAGCACGTTCTGCGCTTTCAAGAAGTGCTCTCGGAGCGGAGAGGCATGCCGCAGTGTTAGCCAGAATTGACAAGAGGGTTGCTGAGAAAAAGAAGGCGCGGGCTCGCTATCTCATTGGAAAAGAGAACTTGCGTCCTTGAGGCGACAGTATGACATTTTTGTTTTGGATACATACGTAGCGTAATTTGGGCAAAGCGTGGAGTTTTTAGGATTGCATTAAATTATTTTATTATCGAACCTGGAATGATCTTTCTTTATTTTATTGTTTGTACTATTACTTATTCCGTATCCGTGGCCATCAAGCAACCTTCGGCGCCGTGATAGATGCTTATCACCCTTGACTGAGATAACGTGGGGACATCCGTCGGGATCCGGCGTCGGCAACCTGCGACTTGCATACACACCACACAGTACACGCGATGGAATGGACGAGGAGATGATTGACCCCGAAATCCAAGGGATTGAAGATGAGATTGCCGAATTAGAAACGCGCTTAGCTGCCGCGAAGGCACGACTGCTCTCCAATGGCGGCAGCGTAAAGCGGCCAATAGAGCCCACACCGATGGTCACCGATTGTAAGCAGTTGATACAATGAATCTCTACTGATCGCTAATAAATCTCTAGCAACGTCTAATATCGCTAATCATTTTATATTGCTCCTCTCCGACTCTGCCCTTCCTGTTGGATCATTCGCCTTCAGCAGCGGCTTGGAGTCCTATCTAGTTCATAACCCGCGCACGTCCAACTTTACAACTTTCCTCCCGTTATCCATCTCCTCCTTCGCTTCTACTACTCTTCCATTTGTTCTCGCAGCATGTAGGGATCCCATCAATTTAGCGTCTCTAGACGATCAATTGGATGCGGCCATCATTTGCACCGTCGGAAGGCGAGCGAGCACTTCCCAGGGGCGAGCGCTCCTAAGCATTTGGGAGAGGTCATTTCGGTCTACAGTACCGCCTGGCTCTACCGCTGCTGATGCGCAGATTCTCCGACATTTCTCAGATTTACTAAGAAAAAGCAACGGGATGGAGATTCCCCTGGTTTCTGCTCACTTCGGGCCTCTGTTTGGTGCCCTCTGTGCTATTGTTGGACTCAGTCTACGCCAGACCGCATATGTCTTCATGCTCAGTCATGTCAAGGCTTTGCTATCGGCAGCAGTGCGTGCAAGTGTGTTTGGGCCCTACCAAGCTCAAAAGGTCTTGGCTAGTGAAAGGGTTCAGCGATTGATCAACGCTGCAATTGATAAAGAATGGCATACGACGGTTGAAGATGCTGGTCAAAGTGTTCCCATCATGGACCTTTGGATTGGTCGTCATGAAGTTTTATATTCCCGAATATTCAACAGTTAATCTATAACGCCATACTTGAAAATCAATGCGCCAGGTGGTATTTGTTATTACACTCCAGATATATGCAAATGCGTATCCCTCAATCGTCTTCCTCACTGTCACTGTCATAAGCTACCAAAGGTCCTGCCGCTGCCGCCTTAGGTTTTGATTGAACCGACACCCTGGCTTTGCTAAGCGCAGCAAGGGTGCTACCAGAAAAGATGCCAGTCTTCTCTGGTTCAGACGTAGCCGGTGCGCTGTCCGCTTCGGCTGGTGCACCATCTTCAATCATAAGATGTTCTTGATATTCGATTTCGGCTCCTTCTCTTCCGCGGGGGTTGACAGCATTAGCGCCGCGAGCAAAATGAATGTCGTCTGGCGCTTCGTAACCTTCTAAGCCGTAGTTACTTTCAATCTTTCTTCGTTTCCTTGCTTCAGGATCCTTTCCTTCGATTTCTGCGACAAATTCAGCCGGCAGAGCTCGGCGGATGGCTTCAGCGGCCTGTTCCTCCACCCTTCTAGCCTCTCTAGCTTGCGCCAGAGGATTGGGGTCTGCAGTTGCCCATCGAACATTCAAGACTTCGTCGTGGTCTAGTGATTGATGCGCCATGGCTTCCTTCGCAAACTGTGCATTCGCTTCGTTCGTATACGTCACAAAACCGACACCTCGTGTGTTAAGAACGCGAACTTCACAGGAGTTAGCATAAAGTCTATCATCGGTCGGGAGTTGATACTTACCTCGCTCAACTTGGCCCCATTCCGCAAAATGGCGAGCCACTATTTCTTCGATATCATCCGTAACATGTATGCGACCAATGTATATAGTACGATTGATTCTCATGAAACTTCCAACACCACCCATATCATCTCTATAATCGGAAAACTTGTCACGACCAAAGCAGTCGACATTCGGGCTGAACAGGTCGTACGCGGCTGGCAGACGATGTAAGAAATCGCAATCTATGCCCTTAGGACACAGACCACGGGCAAAAGAGAGGCAAAAGTAGCTCCCAGGCTTGTTATCGGCTTTTGTGTATCCGCTGTCTTTGGCGACGTTGCATCGACCCTTCGCCTTTGTTTGCATATCGCTGTCATGATCACCGCCCGACCACTTATTATACCAGATATTAAAGATTGTTCCAGTCTGAGGTGGTCCCTCTGCAGCAGCGAAGTCTGGCTCGACCTGTGCGCGTGCTGGGCGACGCTTTTTGCGAATGACCTTTTTCGTTTTCTTCTCGACAGGCGCTGAGATTTCGGAGCTCGTAGTCGCAAGGGCCATAGCATTATCTTGCTGGTCGGCGACCAGCGCCGCAGTTTCGTGCGTATCTACGTCAGCCATTGTTAAATATGTGTGCGTGGCTGCGTAAAAAGAGGTGATGGTAGATGCGATGGAAAGTCGGCACGCCAATGTCTGCAGGAAAAGTACTGTGACGGGTGGCGCGACGATGAAGGTTGAAAGCGGTAGGCGGTGAGTCAACATCCCAGCTTAATAGAGTCGCCGCTACGATTCTGCCACCATCCCCCACCTCAGATTCTGGAGCTCGTCACGAAACACATTAGATTTTACATCTCGGCTTGTACCTTGGAATTGAACGACTATCGCATTTGGTTTTAGACGGTATTTCCGTCTTTAAAAAAAACATAAGCCAAAATGGTCAACATTACGGAGAAGATCAAGGAGTATGTGGTGGAAATGTAGATGCTCCGAGTGAACAAAACTGACAGAGTCTAGGATTGAGGAGGAAATGAGAAAGACTCAGAGTGAGTGACCTATCGTCATTGAAAACATATATACTAGATATCTAACAACTTTATAGAAAACAAAGCCACCGGTCCGCACTATCTGTCGAACCTTTACTTAACACAGCTAACAACTTCGCACAGAATACCATCTTGGTCTTTTAAAAGGGTAAATTATATACCGATGGAACTATCAATCGACAAAACTGACTGTAAATAGTAAACTTGCTCGTCTGCGTGCACAGCTTCTTGAACCGGGCCCTGGTAGTGGCGGCGGTCCAGGTGCAGGCTTCGATGTTAGCAAGAGTGGTGATGCGCGTATAGCACTGGTTGGCTTTCCATCAGTCGGTAAATCGACATTCTTATCCAAGGTCACAAAAACAAAATCCGAAGCTGCTTCGTATGCTTTCACGACATTGACGGCCATTCCCGGTGTCCTCGAATACGGCGGTGCTGAGATTCAACTCCTCGATTTGCCTGGTATTATTGAAGGTGCCTCCGAAGGCAAAGGTCGTGGTCGACAGGTTATTTCGGCAGCTAAGACAAGTGATTTGATTCTCATGATCTTGGATGCTACCAAGAAGGCTGAGCAGCGCGCCCTGCTCGAGGCCGAATTAGAGGCTGTCGGCATCCGTCTGAACCGCGATCCTCCGTGAGTTGACCCGAGTCAATACATCACTCTCGATATACTAATTAGTCATAGCAACATTTATCTTAAAGCCAAGACCGCCGGTGGCATGAAGATTACGTTCCAGACACCGCCTAAATACCTCGACGAAAAGATGTTGTACAACATTCTTCGCGACTACAAGATTCTCAACTGCGAGGTCCTCGTTCGCGACGAAAACGCTACAGTAGATGACTTCATCGACGTCATCATGAAGGACCATCGCAAATACATCAAATGCCTCTACGTATACAACAAGATTGACAGCGTTTCCCTCGACTTCCTCGACAATCTGGCTCGTGAACCCCAAACTGTGGTGATGAGCTGTGAGCTGGATCTTGGTGTGCAAGACGTTATTGACCGCTGCTGGGACGAATTACGCCTGATTCGAATCTACACGAAGAGAAAGGGTATCGAGCCTGACTTCAGTGAGGCGCTCATTGTGCGAAGCAATAGCACCATTGAGGATGTGTGTGATCGCATTCACAGAACATTAAAGGACACCTTCAAGTATGCACTTGTATGGGGAGCCAGCGCACGACACGTTCCGCAAAGAGTTGGTCTAGGACATCCTGTTGCTGATGAGGATGTTGTGTATATCATGAGCGCATGGCGAGCATAGACAGATACGAAGGAGAACACAGAAGATATGCATCGATTTAATATTTATTGAACAAAAAAAACAAAGGCATCAAGTCCTTCTCGTCTCATGTCATAAGAAGTTCTCTGCGTTATTAAACCATCTGGAGTATAGTGTATGTCATCCTCAACGCCAATATTGTAGTAGTTATTTGCGAGCCCCCTGTGAAGCATGTGCCCAAGCCGCCAAGTGCAGCTCTGGTTCACGGTACCAGCTATCCAAGTTTCAGTGCGTCAATCAAAAAAAGTCAAATCCCAAAAGGAAACCCCAAGCCAAAGAAAACAGCCGACAACGGCTTATGTACAAGAATAGACAGAAAGCGTCGGCAAGGTTGTTTATGGCTTGGGGATGGACTTTGCGCCAAAGATGTTATCGCCGGCTAGTCTCTTAGCGCTGGCCTGGGCGAAAAGAGACTTGGGCTTGGCCCTAAGGAAAACAAGACGGTCAGTACTTGGAATTTCACCTGAAACGCGCATCTATACGTACTTGGTGACCTGCTTGTTGCGCAGGGCGTTGATCTTGGCAGAACATGGGCTCATGATGTTGTCCGAGGGAGAGATGTACTGCTTTGCACTGAACGCAAAGCGCGGGTTAGCCAGCGGGACCAGGGGAGGAGCATCACGGAGCACGGTGAAGGTAGGCGACGGAGACGAGAAGGTAGAGGAAGCGGAGGAGGTATTTGTTGTTGTGGCAGTGGTGGTGGTGGTGTTCACGGTAGTGGAAGTAGTGTTGGTGCTTGGAGGAGTTGGCTTGTTCACAGCTGCGGATGCGACTGTTGATTTGCCGATAACGTACGGTTCCTGGGCCATCTTGGATTGGAAGACCTGGCGGTGGTAGTCCATGCTCTTCACATCTTTGACGAGAGTAGACTGCTGCTCAATGGCGGCGTTGACATCCTTGTCACCGAGAATTCTGGCAGACATGGTTGCTGTGTGGGAGATCCTGTGTATGTTTTTGGCGGAGCCGTGAAGGAGCAGCGAAGGACTGATAAATAGCGAAAAGGACTATTTAACTTGTGGATGTAAAGAGATTGTTGGGTTTCTTGTTTATGCCGTAGAAGCAAAGTTCGTTGCTGAATGGAGATGCAGGGAACGAAAAACAAATGTCTGATGGTGTATGTGCAGAAGGTTATTGGGGTGGGATGGACGGATGGGAATATTTATTCCACAGACTCAATGACACAACTATGGCTGGCACTTGTCTCGCTGGCAACTTGGCCCGTTTCACAGCGTCCGATCCTCTGCGCCTTTGGCTGGCTCAGCGCTGTACCAAGCAAAAAAAAAAAGTAAACTGTAGGTACCTGTTGGCAGAGCAACGCGTCGGCATGGGAATGCTGGCGCGGGTGAAGACTTTAGTGGAGACCCTGACGGTTTGATACCGGCGCCGTACCCTATAAAAACATGCAAGGGTCCAGGAAGGTGTTGTGACGTTTTATTTTATTGCAGGGTGTGTTTGGCTGGCATAAATGTAAATATTAATGTTAATATATTTTAACATCATAGCTTTACACGCGTGTCGATTGCCTATTGGGTGTTATGAGTCCTCGTTGCAAGGCAATGATGACTCGTCAGCACGTACCACTGGCTGGTGCAGGGACCATCACATAGGCTCAGCTTAAGTTAGCCTTGGTTTCTATGGCAAATAATAGGCTGCGAATTGTCGAGACAGATGGGTTGCATTAGCTCTGTCTCACATATTGTTTGCCATGCTCTGTACATCGCGATGCACGGGTGGTGTGGCCACGCGCGTCTCAGCGTGCCGAACCGCAAATAGATGGGAATCGACATTGGCCAATCACTTCAGTCACAGGAGGATGTAAACCAAACGATAGGACAAGTTTGTAGCCATATGAATTGTCATTGCATCATGCTATATATAACGTAGTGAAAAAAGGGAAAGAAACAAATAAACTGGTTCGTGATAATTCCTTTTTCTACAATTTATTATTATACTGTGTTTTTGTCATTTCTTTTTTTAGATCTTGGAGGCGTGCTGGATTCTGGTGCCAGGCTCGGCCTTCTTGACGTTGAATCTGGCCATCAGCTCAGCAGTCTTGGCTTGCTGCCACTTGATCTTGTCAGTGACCTCCTTACCCTTCTTGTTCTCGTTGCGGCCCATCTGCTGCAAGTGAACCTCATCCGGGCCGTCGGCAAGACGCAGGGTACGGATACCAGCCCACATGTTGGCCAGGGGAGTGTCCTGGCAAACACCAGCACCACCAAACGACTGAACGGCACGGTCAATGATGGTAAGGGCGGTCTGGGGAACGAGAATCTTGGCCTCGGCAATCTCAGTGAGAGCCTTCTTGGGGCCTTGCTCGTCCATCTTGATGGCGGCGTTGAGGACGACCATACGGGCAGCATCAATCTCAAGTCTAGACTTGGCGATCCACTCAAGGATAACACCGTGCTCGCGGAGGAGCTTGCCGAAGGGCTTCTTGCGCTCATCGTTGACGCGCATCAACATCCACTCAAGAGCAACCTCGGAGGCACCAATGGTGCGCATGGCGTGGTGGATACGGCCAGGTCCAAGACGGCCCTGGATAATCTCGAAGCCGCGGCCCTCACCGAGAACCATGTTGCTGACGGGGACGCGAACGTTGTTGAAGGTCAGGTGGCCGTGACCGTGGGGGGCATCGTCGTAGCCGTAGACGCGCAGCATTCTCTTAATGGTGATTCCCGGAGTGTTGGCAGGGACGAGGACGACGGACTGCTGGCGGTACGGGTCCTTGTTGTTGGGGTCGGTCTTGCCCATGACAATGTAGATCTGGCAGCGGGGGTCGCCAGCACCGCTGGACCACCACTTGGAGCCGTTGAGGACATACTCGTTGCCCTCACGGCGGATGCTAAGCTCAATGTTGGTAGCGTCGGAAGAGGCGACATCGGGCTCAGTCATGAGGAAAGCAGAGCGGATCTTGCCTTCCATCAGAGGACGAAGCCACTCCTGCTTCTGAGCGTCGTTGCCGTACTTGGCGAGCACCTCCATGTTGCCAGTGTCGGGAGCGGCGCAGTTGCAAGCCTCAGAGGCACTGCGGGAGCGGCCGAGCCACTCAGCCATGAGACCGTATTCGAGGTTGGTCCATCCGGGGGACTCCTTGTAGTGGCCCTTGGGAAGGAACATGTTCCAGAGACCAAGCTTGCGAGCCTTCTCCTTGAGCTCTTCAATGATAGCGGGGTGGTTCTCCCAGCGGTCATCACCCTCACCGACTTGTGCTTCGAGAACGGGATCGGCACTAGTAGTAAGAAAAGAAGAGCGAAGCGTTAGTCGTCAATTGCCCGAGCTAGACGACAGAATGAAGCAGGTTCAACTTACGGAATACATTCTTCCTCGACAAACTTGGCGACAACGTCAAGCATGCGCTTAGCCTCAGGGCTAACCTTGTGAGCCGCCTGTAGACATTGGTTAGTGACGTGGTTCGATGGTGACAGTGAGGAGCAAGCAAGCTTACAATGGCGGGGATCTTATATGACATGATGGGCAGAAATGCGGCGTACGAGACTGTGTGGGAAGATGAAAGTAAATGGAGCAAAAGGGGGACAGAAGCTCTTGCAAAGCGTAAGACGATTGATGTGCAAAAGGATGGGAATACCCCAGGTTCTTATGGAGCAATCGGGGAAATGGGGGGAAGGAGGACAGAGATGTTCTCCGCTCAAAATGTTCGGACCAGGCACTGGAGCTACTGCAAACGCTCCGTCGGAGGGAAAGGCAAGACCGAGGCTCTGGGGTAACTTTGGAGTGCTGTGATTTGCTGGATTCTGACAACCGAGGATGGATTTGCGGGGCGTAGGTTGTCACTGCGTCGACATTGGTTGAGCTGTCTGGTTCCCATGCAACACTTCCATTTATTCTTTAATAAATGCGATTAATTTTTAATACCCATGTTATATTTAATTCATGTTTTTTCAGAGCTTATTTCATATTAACATTTGGTGATGTTGTGGTCTTGCTTAGTCGAACCCTAGAGCTTCCAAGAGCTTTCTACCCATATCGGCGTTTTCCGTGCCGCCTCCAAACTCCGGTCCCTGTGGCTGTCAATCCGCATATCGGATTCACATCAAGCTAATACGGCAGCCGCTAGCAGCATCAATAGCGATTTACTGGGTTGCGTGTGGGAACGGTTTTTTTTTCGTAGATCAGCAGTAGATGCACGTTACAAGTGGGTTAGAGACAAAGATATTGACCATCACGCCAAAGTCGTGCAAGGCTATAACACCAACAAGACATCGGGCACCTTGATGTCTAAGCTGATACACTGTTGTCAACCGAATTCAAATAATGCGACGAAAAAAAAAGAGAAATAAATAACTACATATACGTCTTTCTACCCAGCACGTCTTTATTTGATATCATGGCCTAGGCGTGTACTCGCGTGAAATCCCCCTCTTTCAACAAAAGGTATACATACTCTGCTGCCAACCGACCATTGCTTCGCACGAATCCATTAAGTCCTCCTGGTTTATCGTATTGAAGACAGTCTAGCAGGCGCAACCATCTCTATCGTTGTCGATGTGGATGTTAATGGGGTCGTCAAAGTCGCCGCTAAAGTCCTCGGACTCTTCCTGGGCTAAAGCGTTGCGGGCAATGACTAGAACCATATTAGCTAATTGAACGTCGACAACAAACGAGACACTGGATACTAACCGTCAAAAGCTTGGTCAATGTTAATAGCTTCCTTTGCACTCGTCTCGTAGTAGGGAATGTCGCCCTTGGACTGGCAGAAGGTAATGGCACGCTTGTTGGAAATCTAGAACCCACGAATTAGCCCGTTTGTAGCTTTTCTATCATGATAGAATCTCTTACGACGCGTTTGGACTCGTCAACATCGATCTTGTTGCCAAGGACGACCTAGGAATAGTTAGCAACAGAAAGAGTGCCGTAATCAACGAGCGAGCCACGTACGAATGGGAAGTTATCGGGGTCGCGAGGCGAAGCCTGAATTAAAAATTCGTCTCTCCAGCTATCCAGAGCCTCGAAGCTCTTGGCGTTGTTGACATCGTATACCAAAACACAGCAGTCGGCGCCACGGTAAAAGGCGACACCGAGAGACTGGAAACGTTCTTGACCGGCGGTATCCCAAATCTACCACAGTTAGCATACCATAATATTCACTTTGCACATAATTTCCAAGTACAAACCTGCATGGTAACCTGTCTATCATCTACTAGGACCTCCTTCGTGGAGAAATCGGCACCGATTGTGGCCTTGTAGCTGGCGCTGAACTCTTTGTTGACCTATTATCCGCGGCGTTAGTATCTTCAGGATGTTCTATATTGACAACATCTCTTGTGTATCATGCATACATATTGCTTCATCAAACTCGTCTTGCCAACACCGCTATCGCCAAGGATAATGACCTACACAAAAGTTTTGTTAGCAGGGTTCTCTCTCACCGACCCATGTCGAGCACCATCTCGACAAATCCAAGCTTGTTCCGTACCTTAAGGAGCACCTTCTTTCTGGAAGCCATGTTTATAGTGTTTGATGGGTTTTATCGCGGTGTTTTTTGTACAGTGTTGTTAGAGTATCGATGACGTGATGAAATTAGGGCCGACCGCCAGACCGTTGGAAGTGCCGCGTGCTGTTGCTGGCTGGAAAGTGCCGCAAGAGAGAGGGATGGTGTGGTCGAGTAAATTGAACAGTATCGTATGCCAAACGCGGCTTTGTTTCGTCGCCTGGGAGTCTCGCTACAGCAAGTCGGGGCCTGTTGCGTGCGATATGGTGTTGACAATGGACAGTGACAAAGAGTGGCTAGCCTTTCCGTTGGAGAGGTGAGAGCTGTTTCGGCGTGTCCCACCCTCCCTCCCTGCTTGCAGCGTACGCAGGGCGCTAAACCGGAGCCTGGGCCGCCTGGAGCTGGAGGTGGTGGGGGGCACCTGGCAGCCTGCGTACAGCACACGTGATGGGCCAATTCGACGTCACCTGGCGTTTGTCAATGCTTCTGTCACCGTAATCTGTGTTAGGCTTCGGCGACGTTGACGGACGGTGCCAAGAGTCCGTCGCGCCGTTAGCGATGGTTGATCAATCCCTGCTTACAAAAGTCCATGAGCTGAGCGATTTGGAGCTCGCTGTTCTGCTTTGCCTCGTGAGCCGCGAGCACTGCTTGATTAGCACACCGTCACATGTTGTAGATGACCTAGTTCTTGAACTACAGCTGGTATGACTTGGCCTCGCGTGTCAATAAGTATAAAGGCTAACAGTTCTATCTAAAGGTCGCAGAGCGTACGTTTGGGCTCGAATGGACTGTAATTGATTGCAACCCGTCGACAACGCTTGACGACTTTGTGAGCGCTCTACTGGGAAACCCTTCTATAACAAGCCATGATCCGTCAGACCTCAGCCGTATCTCGGCCGAGAATTCTCATAGCAGGCCTTCTACTAGGCTAACGGGAACACAACAAGAGGGAAAGATTGTCAACTTTGTTATTGCCAAGAATCTCGACCAAGCATCTCAAACTGTACAGATTCAAGCACTGGAACTCCTTCGGACGAGGAGGGTCTTTACGCACAGGTCGGTACAAGTTGCCCCAAAGCAATTTGTTTTTATGCCTGTCATCCAAGCAGTCAAAGGCGGGTATGCCCATGTCACGCAGCATCTAAACGACTTTCTGGCCATGGCGCATTGGCACGACCCAGAGCATGGGTTTGTGAACCTTGAAGATAGTGGTAAAGATGAGGCGCAATCCAATGCCAGCAATGCAAAGAATGAACCCTTGATTTCAGAAGATGTAAGAAGCTAATATTCCTTACTTGAAGAAAGGCACATGCTAATCTCGTCCATAGAATCTGACAAGCCTACGTGAGGCTGCTCAACAAGTGCAAGTCGACATCGACGTTATTCGCTACCAGATGAACATTGTTTCCTTTTTGCGTATGCACCGCGCCGTTGCCCAAGGAATCACACCAATGGCAACAAAACACTTTGACCAGCTGATGCGCAATCTCGCGCCATTACATAAACTCGAATATGTAACACCAGCGTTGGTAGATTTGGCCGCCAAGAAAATCTACTTGCACAGAATACAAATCACCGAACCCGAGAACGAAAGGAGTATGCAATGGGGAAGCACTCTTGAAGCAGTGACCTCGCTGCTAGATGATATTGGTCCGGAAGAGGTCATTGAGGAGACATTGGAAATGGTCACCGCACCAGTGTAATGAGTATTATGAAGCAAGTGAATTAAAAGTCTATGATTGATTAATGAGGAATATGGTGGCTACAAGAGCCAAAAGCGCCGTGAAGTCTTTTGTGATGCCACATCACATCCCTTCGTGTTTAGTACATGCAATGCTCGTTTCCGTTATCAACGCCTATGTAATGATTTTTTTTTCCAAACAATGTTTTCAAGGAACCGGTTTATCTAGCCTTGCACTTCCAGCCAGAGTTGGGTTCAAGAAGCGGCAAGCTGGCGCCGAGGCACCAACCCAACTCATTGCCCTTGATCTTCTTGGCGATTCTGACCTCACGGTCGATGGGCATATCGTATCCGGTGTGCAGCAGGGCCATCATGAAGTTCAGATCGAGGCAGTGATCCGGGCGATCTTCGAGCTCAGCAACGGCGTCCTTGAAACTGCCAAAGACTCCCCAAGCGCTCTTACCCTTGCAAACAGTCTGGGTAAGGTCGTGGAGCTCGCGCAGGGTGAAGGAATCGGGCATGCCAAGAATCTTGGTACGATCATAGAAGAAGGAAAAGATGTACAAGGGGGCGTTGGCAAAGGTCTTGGTCAGAAGGGGTTGGTAGATGCCGTTGAAGGAGCAAGAGCTGTGAGCGCAGTCGGTCTTGTTGAGGTACTGCTCAGCAATGTTACGGCATTGGGCTGGAGCTGGCTCCTTGGGGCCATCGAATTGCAGTTCGTACTGCTTGTTGGAGATTGTCACGTTAACCTTCTTGGACATACCAGGGGCGATGCAAGGGTGAACGACAGGCTTGTCCATCCAGCTTGAGCCCTTTTGAGACTCCGCAAGGTCGGAAACAAACTTGTTGTGAATACCTTCACGAGCGGCCATGAGGCCGTAACCGAGATGGGAGTGCTGGTACAGTTCAAACTTGCGGCCTCCAAAGGCGAGGCTAAACTTGTTGTCACCTTCCTGGAGCCTCTCAGGGACAGCACCACCGACGCTCTTAAAGGTGGGCTCAAAAACGATTTGGGTAGAACCGCCACCAAGATCGAAAATGGCAGCAGTCTCAGACTTTTCGGAAGAGCCAATGTTGCCAAGGAGATAGTTAGTGGTGATCCAGGCGTATACACCTTCGTCGGAGCCGTCCATGACTTGCACACCACCCTTTTCATCGGAAACGAGAGGGAAAGGGTAGGCAGTCTCGAGATAGGTTCGAACCTGAGCAAGGATTGCATCAGCCTTTTCCTTGCCAACCTTGCGCAGGCCAGCTGTAGCCTTGACGGCAATCGGTGTGCAGCCCCTCAGCTTCTCAGGGACTTTGTCCATGGCGAGGGCAAGAAGAGGGTCAAGGGTCTTAGCAGCGCCAACAGGGTCGTCGGGGTATGCGCTCAGACCACCAATCTTCTTATCGTTCATCATGAAGTCTTCGCTTTCAAGCTCAGGTGTAGGGCCGCAATTGTTGAACTTGTAGACATGGATACGGGAGCCGGTACTGCCGGCATCGACCATCAAGACATACTGAATGATGGGCTTGTCGCGCGAGTAGGACTTGGTGCACTTGGCAGGTGCATGGACGGTATCGGAGCCAACCTGGATGTTACCGTTTGTGCTCTTGACGCTTTCGCGCTGAATCGATACGCCGGCAGGGGAGAACCAGTAGAAGATGCAGACAAAGAAGAAGAGAATGGCGCCTGTTTTAAAGTAGCGCGTCTTCTGCGACGGGGACATGTATGCTTCCTTCATTTTGGACCAGAGAGAGTTGTTCTTTTGTTTGGGTCGGTAGCGGCCGGGTTTTTCGTGAAGGTCGAGGTTTGATTTTCTTGAATCGGAGCCAAGGTTTGCCTGCATCAGGCTATTGCGGCGATGCACGGATGACGACTGTGACGACAGCTTGAAAAGTTGTCGCGACAGGCGATCTGAGCAAGTTGGGCTGAATAAAAAAAAAGAGAAAAGAAACGAAACAGCGGAGGCAGTCAGAATTAACGAGAGTCGAGAAGAAATGGAAATCGAAGCCGGCTTGGGGAGGAAGAAGGAGAGAAATGAAAAGGAGGTAAATCTGGACAGTCCAAGGTTTTGGCGGGATGAACACCTAACAGCAAAGGCAAGGGAAAAAAAATGCACGATTCCAGGGGCCAGCGAATCAAAGCGGGAGGAACAGGGAAAAGGAGGCTGTAGAAAGGTACTTGCAATTATATGGGGCATTGGTGGTGGCGCTATGTACATGCCGGGATCCCCGCGAATGCCAACGAAGTGATGAGTGTGGTACTAATTATAGAAGGTTGGCACCAAGACTGTTGAAACCAAGTTAATTAAGTATCTACATCTATGTTCTATATTTCTTTTCTTTTTTTATAATGACATTGTGCAACATGGAGAATCGTTATAGAGTGAGCGTAGACTAACAAGGTGATGTTTGAGCATGCGGAACGCGTACAGTGGGTAAGTAAAAGTAACAAGTAGTCTATATTTCAACCAACGCATTCCAAATACTTATTTACACACACTTTATATGTAATATTCATCTAAAAACTCGATAAATATAATGTATTTATGCCATACATAATATTCTACTCAAATATTGATTAAAAGCATAATGTTAAAATTTTTAAAAGATTATTTGAAAGATTGACTACAAACGAGTCTACGAGTAACTTTTGCCTACCCACTGTAACTGATTCCGCCACTCCGCCCTGGAAGCTGTGGCTGTTGGTACGCTAAAACAGCGCCAGGCAGCCCTGCAACGTGTGCTTGGCTGTCCTCCGCAACCGCCGCAAACTCAAAAGGCTTAAGACGAGACATCTCCCTTGCTCTACACCGCACCGAATTATTCTCACAAAGTCTACTTTTGAAGCTATAAAACTCAGACAATGGACGTCAACTTACTCGTTTATGATCTCTCCCGAGGTCTTGCCAAACAAATGTCCATGGGCATGCTTGGCTTCCAGCTAGACGCCATATATCATACATCTATTGAGCTGCAAGGCCGTGAATACGTATACGACGGAGGAATCATGGATATTATACCGGGTTCATCCCACCATGGGCAGCCGATGGAGCGCCTTCTTCTTGGCCAAACGAATTTGCCCATGGATGTCATACACGAATACTTGGACTCTCTTCGACCCATCTTTACAGCCGAGGTATGCCAACTCAGACTACAGCAGTGCATAAATATTGACAATTCTAGGCATACGATCTTTTCAGGCACAACTGCAACAACTTTACTGATACCTTTTCCAACTTTCTAACAGGCAAAGGCATTCCCAGCCACATCTCAAGCATGCCTCAAGCGGTTATGGACTCGCCACTAGGACGGATGCTGCTTCCACAACTCACCCAGGGTGCTAACTCGAGCTGGCAAAACGGCTCTGCTGGTCAAAATTCGTATACCGCAGCCAAAACGCAATCCTCTCGTGGTGTCATCAATGCTGCTCAGTCATCTCAGTTTACCCAGGCATTGAAAGACGCTAAACAGTCGGCGGCCATCATCTTCTTTACATCGGCGACATGCCCGCCCTGCAAAATGTTATATCCTGTATTCGACCAACTGGCCGAAGAATTGGCAGGTGAAGTTATCTTTATCAAAGTCGATATATCAAACCACGGAGTTGCCGATGTTGCCGCCAAGTACTCCATTAGTACAACTCCCACCTTTGTGACATATTTCAAGGGCGAGGAGTTGGAACGGTGGTCTGGCGCGGATTCTGCAAAGTTGCAAGGAAATGCGCGGTTATTGGTAGAAATGGCATCACCCTCTCACTTACACGATAAACTACGACTTCCAACATTCGCCAATCCCAATGCGCGCCCAAGCCTGTATAACAAAACGCCTCCATTGTCGAAGGTAGTGGCTAAGATGGACCCTACTATTGCCACACATGATACGACAAAGGCCTTGCTGAAATTCTTGGAGCAGAGAGAAGAGTCGCCGCAAGACGCAGTTATGCCGACTCTGGGCGAGCTCGCAGCCTATCTATATTCAGTCACACAGTCGACGCCTCCGGCGCAACTATTTGGTCTTGTCGATCTCTTCCGAGCCTCACTAGCTGATCCTCGAGTCAGTGGGTATTTTGCAGAGGAGAAGAGTCACAAGACACTTAAACAAATAGTGGATGTAGTGGTTAAGACTTCTGACTGCCCTTATGCCTTTCGCCTTGTTTCGTTGCAAATGATGTGCAACATGTTCTCGACACCACTATTTATGAGCGCCTTCCTTGGAGACGATATTCTGCGCCAAAACGTCACTGCATTAATATCATCCAGTTTCTTAGACGACAACCATAGCAATACTCGAGTTGCAGCATCGTCGTTACTATTCAACGTATCCCTTTGCCAGCGACGATCAAGACTGAACAAGAGTCCGGGCCTGCCAGAAGCCGAAGAAGTCGAATTGGCAGCTTCTGTAGTGGAAGCCATAGATCAGGAGAAAGAATCCCCGGAAGCCCTGCACGGAATGTTGCTGGCTCTCGGTAATCTGGTCTATGGTAGTGATCTTGAAGGCGAATTGGCCGACTTGCTACGAGCACTCGCTGCTGAAGATACGATATCGGCCAAGAGAAAGGCGTTCCCTAAGGAGCCACTAATCCAGGAAGTTGGCTTAGAATTACTAGGAAAAGGCCTACGCAAACCATAACTAATATATGAATTAGACATATTATAGAGAAAATAAATTAAACAATTTTACGTATTGTTCACTCTGAAGTATTGGGAGCTCTAGCGAGTCGTCTCTGTTTGGCAGCCAATATAAAATTTTGTTAGTCAGCCATCCCAATTAGGGTTAGCGCCAACCGGGCCGACGCCTTGAAAAGCGCACCACAGCCAACTTTTTACTAGTTTTTCTCTTTTTCTTCTCTTCATCAAAAAGCACCTGAGCAGCCACGACCTTCACCTAGTTTATCCCACGGTGTCGAGTTGCCAGCTCCTTCACAGGAGCTCGCTCAGAAGAGTAAAACCCTTGGATATAGGAAATTTCTCGCAAGATCGCCATCCTTTGACGGGGACGGCGAAATCCTGTAGGCGAGATAATGCCAAGAAGGGGGGACATCTCTTTGTCTATGATGAAGTGTATTTATGTTTTAATTTTTGCCTACGTGATAGTCTATGTGCTCTCGAGACTCTGGTCGCACGATTACCGTTAGCTGCCAAATGGCATCGTCGCCGTCACGTTCCTGCATGGTATCGCGTCGGCCATCACCACATCAGTGAAACCAGGGTTGAAAGAAAGTCCAATTGTTAAGCATTAAGTCGCTAATCTCAAAACGCAAATCTATCCGGCCTGCTGCCCAGAAAAGCAGAATTCAACCTTTTGCTGCTTTTAGCAACTGGGCTCCGTTCTTATTGCGGTGTTGCTCCCGTAGGAACTCCTCGATCTGCACGTCGTGCAGTGGCCGTTCGATTGATCTTGTGGAAATTGACGACGCCGAGTCTGGTGTTGTTTCGTCCTTGCCCAGCTCTTGAGCATTGCTGCTTGTTGCTGTCCATTCTTTCAATTTGCTAGATACGGCGGGGACATATTCCCCTACTGGGATTCGTTAGTGCTCTGTGTATGAAGCCGAGTAGTGGTTTCAAGACGTACCCGTTTCAACAACACGATCCAACACTCCTTGTGCACTGTAACTGCTTTGGTTCATGCCCGTAGCTGCTCTGTCAAGCTGGGCCTTGAAGCTATCCTGCTTCTCAGGAGCGGTGTCTTTCGATGCCATGATGCTTGTTGGAGGTGATTTGTATTGGTTAATCACCATGCAGATTGGGTTAAGAAAAGGTCAGCCACATTGGTTGTGCGAAGATGAAGACAAAAAAAAGAAGGCACGGCTACGCGGCAGCTCGGTGGAATCCGCGACGATCGGCTGAGTAAACCGAGCCGAGAAAGCCAAGATATTTCTTAGTCTTGTTTGCTGTCAGAATTTCGAATCTCAATATGCAGGCAGACACGGTCAGTGGGGGTACCCAAACACGTAGATCCCCTTGATTTCATACAAAGACTACAATATCAAATACGTAAAACTGTGAAATTAAACTATACAAACCATTAGTATAGACAAATACGATTCTAACCACTATAATATTTTATATATTTCTTCCGTTTCCCTTCATGAGTTGTATACCACACAAAAGGTTGTTAATGGAGTGACGTCAAAGGAAGCCAATGATCTCCCCCGCCAGTGGTGCGTTGCGCGTTTAGGCGGGGTGGCCGCTGTGCTTCGCCACCTTTCAGTGCACTTGGCGCTAACACTTGGGAGTGGGTTGGAAGCTGTGTGTCTGCTGCAGTAACAAGAAAAAACGCTTATCAGTTATGCACTGATAGCGAAAGTTGACGATTGCGAGTTGCCCCTCCAAATCATTTGCGCCGTGGTCCTTCTTTCGACAACACCACCCGCCTAGTTGTATATATTGACGCAAAGATGGCGCCAATCCCTATAACCATCGTTACCGGCTTTCTCGGCTCCGGTAAAACCACATTAATTCTCAACCTTATCCCCCAGCTGCGCAAGCAAAATCCCGACTACAAACTAGCTCTGCTCAAGAACGAATTCGGCGACCTCGCTGTCGACTCCCAGCTCGCCTCCAACTCTGCCATTTCAGGCGTCCAAGAGCTTCTTAATGGCTGCATCTGCTGCAACTTGGTCGGCCAGCTCGGCCCGGCGCTCCAGGAACTCGAGACCACCGTCAAACCCGATCGCATCATCATCGAGACGTCTGGATCTGCGTTCCCAGCAACATTGGCGCTCGAAGTGAATAGATTAGCGAGAGATTCCGGCAACTACACTTTAGATGGTGTTGTGAGCGTCATTGACGTGGAAAATTGGGAGGGATACGAAGACACAAGCTACACAGCCAAGATTCAGGCGCGATATACCGATTTGATCGTCTTTAACAAGTGGGAGTCTGCTGGCGACGATCGATATGAAGAGTGTGTTGACAGAGTAGGGGATCTTGAGGTTGACGTCGCAAAGGTCAAAAGCAAAAAGGGCTGGGTTGGCATGGACCTCGTATTTGGTGTCGACGGTGGCCTTGCCAGCCAATTGAGTGAGGACGATCTCAAGATGGCCAACGGCCACAACGGCCACACGCACGAAAATGGCCATGAGCACGAACACGATCATCAAAGTGAGGTGGAAGTTTTGTCGATTGAAGTTAAAGGAGACTCTGCCACAAGAATCTCCACTCCCGCTCTTCTTAAGCTCCTCCGCTCCGCGCCAAAAGACGAAGCATACCGCATAAAAGCGCTAGTGACACTCTCAGAAACACCTGAAAACTCAGACGAAGACGTTCCTCCCCCAGAACCCAACAAAAGCGGTCGATATATCCTGAATTGGGCGTTTGGCCGCTGGCTTTTCACGCCCGTCACGCAGTCATTGCAAGAACATGCTTCTAGCGATGCTGCCGCGTTACGAATGACGATCATTTTCGCACGATATGAGAGTAGAAAATGGAATAAGAAAATTACAGCGGGTGGCTATATAGATGTGGTAGGGAACGGTGACATGAAGATTACGAAGATTTTATAAACGTTCCTATTAACGATAGAGTTCATATTGATATCTGCAATATAGAATATAGAACAAGAAATAAAAGTAATATGATGATTTGAAACATATATGCTATATTGTGCTGCACAATCTATTCGCTTAAAGACTGACCGTCACCGTCATGCTATTACTCAACACCATCAGCACGGGCGGAAGCTCGCTACACAACAGCTCCACGTTAGAAAGGTATTGAATAGTCGCAGCCTCATCTTTGCAAGTGCCTTCTGTTGGGATCGGAAGGGTGCTTAGTAGAACAGCGGTGTCCTTTGAATGCTGCTTCATTAGCTCATTGAGAATTACGTGCTGCGCTCTGCTTGGCAAATCATTAAACGATAATGCCACACTCTGTGTTGAATATGTTGAACCAGCCTCCTCATCAGGTAGACATCTGTACGCGTCTTCCAACTCTGGGATTCTTATCCGAAGGTCCCCTGTCGTGCTTCCAGTGTTAGAGTATTGGGAGCCTTGGCGCGAGTGATGCCGAGAATGGGGGGCTGGGCCGGACCGTACGGTTGGATGTTCTGCAAATTGGATAGAACGTGAGCCACCTTCCCCAGTACTGGCAAGCGAATCCAATGCTGGCCGACTCAGACTCTTTACAATGCCTAAAGAGGACTGTCTCGATTGAGTGGGACGTTCTGCGCGAGGTGTCACTGGAGATGCGATAGCCGGAGCAACAAAACTGATTCGAGAATCTTCTCCAATAATTCGTGTCTCGGGGACCGGTCGGCTAGAAAACTTCACAGCGGAAGATTGTCTAGACATTGCAGGCCGCGAAGGAGTTATTGCACCGCTACGAGGAGAGGTTGTACCCGTTCGCCTAGTAGGACTTAAAGACCTGGACCTGCGAGTGACCAAGGGCGGCGGCAGGCCTGGCGGGTCATAAGCAGGGAATACTTCTGTTGTTTTTGGTGCATCGAGGCTTGCGTTTGCTTTGTGAGATGTGGCAGGTTTCGGAAGAGGAGGAGGAGGCATAGATATCTTAGGTGTAAGCAATGACGAGGCTGTGGTTTCTTGTGAGATCGGTAGCGTTTGTGAGGTGGACATGGTTCCATAGGAAGGTATGCCAATATCTGCCGATTCAGAAGTCGAACCGTGGGCTTCTGAAGCATGCAAGGATGATGCCCCAGAACTCTTCTTCCCGTCTCTCCTTCCCCTCCTCCTCACTGTATTTTCTCGTGGAAGCAAAGATTCCCTTATTTGATCGCCCTCGCCATACCCAGGTTGTCTGGCCGTTTCCATAGATCCCCACGGGATGTCGCTCTCTGAGGATTCTGCTTCCGAGTCTGAAAGATAGTCGGTCGTTGAATCATCTTCAAAAACTTCATTTAGACGATGTGTATGTATGCCCATGCTTACACCCATCTTAGAGAGGGTCGTGATATCCGGTCGCTTAGGCATATCCGAGAACGCGGCTACACTAGCCCTGCGTCGGTCGAAAAGCCCCTCTTCGTGCGGGTTATAGACTCCCATCCTGCCAGCTGTTGAATCTAGAATCGAATTGATTTTGATAAGCTCCTGGCTGGCAGACATCTGCGCAGAGACACCCCTAAAAGACTGGAGGTCGTCCCACCAATTCTCATCTTTCAGTGCTTCGTTCACAATCAGCTCAAAGTCTAAATCGTTACTGACACCGTTGATGATTAGCTCATAAGTGTTCAAATGGCCGGATGCCAACCAAAAGACGCAAACTTCAGCATCGATACGGAGTTTTTCCAATAGTGCCTTAACACGAGCATGCTCCTCTTCTACCTCGCTTTCATATTCGACGAATACCATGACGCGTAACTTATAAACTCGTCTCCAAGTCTGTACGGAGTGCAGTATGTGGCCCAATTGAAGAATCAGGGTATCTATAATCCCGTTAATACGTGATACAAGTTTTACTATTCATACACTTACAAGTGTCAAAATTCGTCGTGACTAGATTTTTGCCTTCGGCCGTCACTTCTGCAGACATTTGAATCGGCCAGAGGTCAATGTATTTCTTGGTGTTGTCACCGTCTTTTCGTGGAGTCTGTAGTTCATTAAACCCATGGGCGACGCCTACGTTTAGACGATACTGAAGCGCTACATCCTCAAGCATTGTCATATAGTCCATCGGGGACATCGAGCCTTCAGTTCGAATAATATCAGTGGGCAGGAACCCTTCCAGTAGGCGAGCCGATGTGTCTCCTCTTCTTCTTTTTGACTTTGCCTTTGTTTCAGGCTTCACTGGGCGCCTCATCTTCGAAGCTGTTGAGAGTGGAACATCAGGCACGTTGAGATGTGTGTTAGACCGCCGCAGGTCTTCCATATTATAGAATCCCATGATGGCAATATTTGGACGCATGCCGCCGAGGCCAGCTGAAAGGACCAAGTTTCGAATACCCCAGGTAAGAGAAGGTGACATTGTTAATTGTACGAATGCCTTGATGCGAGAAAATTCCGAAATATAGTTGGTCCATGCTTGTTGTTGCAACCTGGCTTCATGTACACCAGCATTGAAGTCATCTGTGACAATAACGTGCCCAAGAATGTACAGGGATCCTTTCTTGAGGGAATTGCAAAATTGGATAAGACGAGCCTGTCTGCGTGGGTCATTGACAAGTAAAATGATATGTGGCCTCCAGAATTTGATGTGTTCTGGCTTCAGTCGTAAGAGATATTTTCGGACTTGATGATAGATAAGGTTCTGTGAGACATCGCCCCAGCGTTTGGGCGGACTAAGGTAGTGAATCAACAGAAACACAGCTACCAAAGCGCAGATTGCGAGGGCAGCATAGGTCTCGTCAATAAAGAACATTGCGGCGGCAGATGACAAGCTACCGAGGAACGCCGTTTGCCAGCTGAAGAACTGGAAGCTAGGTCTAAAATTTGGTGCAGACCCAATCTTTAGAAGAAAACAGGCTAGATTCATAACAAAGAACGTCATCTTCATTCATTAGTAGTTTTACATGTACTGTTAAAGTATAGCCACATACCTGATAGCCCATGGATATGAGTGTTGCAATCTGATTTAGATCCGCGAAGAGTGCAACTTGTGCAATAGCATATGTGAGCAAAATGGCAAGTACAGGTTCATCTGCTTTCTTTGTACCCTTGCCAAAAATGGATAATCCTGGAAGCAGCCTGTCTTTAGCAAGAGCTTGAAAGAGTTTGGCTGACCCAATGATGCCCATCAGTGCAGAGAATATGGTAACGGCGCATTCACCAGCCAAGACCAGAGGTGCTGAAAGATTAATGACGGAAACAACATTGGGATTGGCAAGGAATGTGTTGTGTGTTGTGGTGGCTGCCATCGATGCAATAACAACAAAATAAATAATGAAAGTCGTCAACATTGCCCAGAGTGTGCCTTTGGGGATCGCCTTGCTCGGATTTTTCAGGTCGCCAGACATTGATGCGCCAGCAAAAATACCAGATGTAGCACTATACAGCATTAATTCATATTCGCTTCAGTTGTATATGAATTCGCAGACTTACGGAAAGAGGATTCCAAACAAATCCCTAAAGGTTGCAAGACCTTTGAATTGTTCATTGTGAACGTCTGGCAAAAAGTTGCCACTCAGTGTTGCCCATGAAATGCCAGTAAATTCTACATCAGCAAGCTCGTCTCTAAACGGCGACTTGAATATAGCCGATATGGGAATGCTGAGTATGGCAATAGACAAAATAATAAGGAGAGCATTTGAAGCTTTTGAGAAGATGGCAGAGCCCAAAAGGCAAAGGCCTGTGCATGCAATGAGAGCAGCAGTCTCCAAGCTGTAGCCTATCCAGTAACCACTGGGGAATGATGGTCCAACGTTGAGTCTTATGCAGTCAATGAGACCAACCACATTCATAGCAGTGTTGAGGACTTGGGCCAGGTAAAACAGTAACCCGATGGAGCCGCCAAACTCTGGGCCGAGAGATCTAGATATAAGATAATAAGCACCACCGCCCTTTACTTCACCGTTAGAGGCAATAGCTGATAGCGAGAGTGTCGTAAGAAGATCGACAGCGTAGGCACAAACCATAAGACCTAAGACTTTCAGTTAGAATGTAACTTTATGAGGCTTTTGTACAATGTTTATTACCAAGAATCCCAACAAGACCGATCTGCCCAACAATCAGCCCAAATCTAAGGAACATGAGAATGCTCAAGATGTTGAGAAAGACAGGGATGTACACGCCGGATACAAGACCCAGGCGTCCTGCCTTCTTGGGCTCCTGATGGAGCTGGTTATCGTCCAAGTGGCGTTCTGGGGACATCGCCATGGTGAGGTTGTCGTAGCGTGATGTCGGGCGAGGCACAGTGGTAGAGGGTGGACGGTATGACGTCGGTTTCACGATAGCTCTAGCTTAGCCCCGCGCGTAACTAGCGGTTGGTACTGAAGCTTAGAGGGGATCCGACGACAGACATATGGGCGGATATGTTGTAGAAAATAGCAAAGCAAAGGAGTGACCCGGCGTCAGATGAAGAAATTTTGTATCTAGCGGTGATGTTGAAGACGTTGAAAAAGACAGGATGACGAAGAGAAAACGAGATGGACTGGTATTGGCGGTCTTGGCAGCTGCACCAACTGGCAAGGAAGCTCGGAGAAATGAGGGCCGCGGTGAGTCGCTATTGTGTCACTGTAGCCACACGGGTTACAGCGCGTTTCGCCACTACGCCCCCGCGTTTTTGGATCTACGACATGCACTACACTTTCATCATATGACCACCAGGATGCGAGACAGCAAGCATGGAATCCAAAAATTTAGATCAATGAAAAGCCCGTATTTGTTTTTCTAAAGGAAATAATAACAAAGAATAAGTCGCTCCGTTGTCGAAATGCGAGTGAGTCCACCGTAAATAATAACTGTCCCTCATCCTCATGCAAATGCCAATATAACACACCATGTGGCGCCGCCATCAAATGCTGGGTGACGTTGGCCCAGTGCGGCGGTGATCCACAAAGAAACACCACATCCAATGACAAGTATCGGATGCCAGGAAGATCACTAGAAAAGAAAATCATGCACGCTAACGTTGACCGCCCGACCAGCCAAGACGGAAAAGTCGGAACGGCGATGGCTTCCACCTCACCATTGATTATGTGCAGAAGGGAATGGGAGAGTGAAGCATAGGCACAGGCTCAACCATTTAGTTTAAATGGGAAGCTTGAAGTGCATGCTGGTGGGATCAGAGCAGAGAGCACCGTCTTGACCCTATTCAACAGTTAGGGAAAATCGCCATGTTTGACGCGTCAGCAACATCAACTTACCAGTGTGCCGGCACAGCAAGCTGCCTTCTTCTTGATTGCGGAGCAGAAGCTGATCAACTCCTTATTGTTGGCGACGCGAAGTGGAACTAAATGAACAGAAAGACGTTGGTTAGAGTCTGATCGACTACCGGGTTCTCAACTCGACTATATGAACTTACGGGCAGCGCAGTTAATACCCTTCTTTCCGGACTGAAGCTGATCACAGCACAGAGGCTGGCTCAAAATACCAAGATTGCAAGTTTCCGGAGCAAGATCCACGTCGGGGATGGGAGGAGGAGGCGCCGAGTTGGTGAGCGAAGCAAGGCTTTGCAGAAATGGAGCAGTCAAACCGTTAAGATCCGACAGTGGCAGCGAGGGGCGAGCCACTGCAGCGGTGCTGAACGCAGCAACAATTGTGAAGAGCTGAATGTTGACCATGATTGCTACGGGTTGGTGCTGTGAATGTAGATGGGTTAGTAGAGACGTCGATTGTCCGTTGATGGATGAAGCCGAACAAAAAGGGATCCCAGGAAAGTGGGAAGATCCAACGAAAAGGGGCAGAAGGGGAAATGATTTTATATTATCTTGTCGTAAACAAGTCATGTTTTGCAGCTCCTTGGTTGGTCAGAGACACTTGTTGTGGTGCAGATTCCTAGCAACCATGATATATTGCATTCCTCCCGGTACTGGTAGCCAATGAGAGCTTTCGGACGGGCTAGAATAGATAAACTTGGGGCCCCACTAGTGTAGTTTACAGGGACACGATAACATTAATTATCTTAACAAGCTTACCCAGTCCTAGGTTCTGCCAATGTTGGGTAATGCGGCATTGGATTGGGGAGGCAGGGCCCAGACTTGTGCCGCTTGTTAATGTCAGTAGAATGCTAACTACCGTATCTACTAGTTCAGGACGGGACGAAGACGGTTCCTTAGCGTGTTTATCCTGTTGATAATTCAGCTACGACAATCTGTAACAGAAGTGGCGGGAATTCTGGAGCAAGGCCTGTCATCGTGGAAGTGATAGACTGCGTGGTTGGTGACGCGATTCAGAAGGCTGTCATAGATGACGTCTTACTATTTATCTGGAGGCGGCCGCACACTCACAGAAGCAGACTTTTCCAAGGCGACTGATTTTTATTTCTAGAGGGAAGGAGGCTGGCGGTAGAACTAAGTCGAGGCCAAACCAGAATGGTGGGCACGAGCAGTGGCACCATGCGTGTTTAGCATTCCAACGCGACTCAGCTTGGGATAGTCGCCACTTCAGGTCGTATGATCGGGCTCTACTCGCTAAATCATAGCGAGTATATGTGTTATCTCTTATTGCTATAATGATATTTTAAAATAGTACAAAAAAAGCATAGTATTATAATGCTAAACAGAAGAGGTAAAATAGTATGGTGCATCAAGTGCTCGATTTACTGGGGTTCTGCCTTATACGTCCCAATCTGGTAATTTGTTGCGGTGGAGATCGGTGATTGACCACTCCACGCAATTTCAATATCTGGGGTAGAAGCAAGTTTAGTAGCCAGAAAGAAAGTATCTAAAGGTTAGAAAAGAAGAAAAATGGAATAGATATTAAAATATGTGTAAGAAATACATATACAGCAACTTCCATGCTTGCCACTCCACAAGGTAGTCTTTTTAACCATTGCTTCAAGTGAGATATACGCGCTGTAGGGTATTATTGTTGGTTAGTAAGAATCGGAGGAATGTGTCTAGAAGACTCCGATGGGCTTGGAGCAAAGAAGAGCTTGGCCAGCCTGGAATAATTGTTAGTTCACCATTGGGTCTATTGATTAACAGAAATAGGGTGGCTTACCAGACTGGGACCGCAGCACTGGGCTTGCTGGCCGACGCTAGCGCAGTAGTTGACGAGGCTCTTGCCATCAGTGACAGGCTTGGAGGCTGTTGTAAAGATTGGTTAGCAAGTTGGGAAATTAAAACTGTTGCAGGAAAATCCAAATACTCACGGACGTCACAGTTGAGGCCGACGAGGCCGAGAACAACGGTAGCACAGCAGTTGGGGGTGCCCATCAAGCCGGGAAGGCAAGCCATGGGAGGCATCTGGCGGGCTTCCAGGGTATTGGGAGCAGATTCACCCTTGGGGACAGTGTTGGGGATGGCTGAGGCAGCAGCAGTGGCGGCGAAAGCGGCGACAATGGTGAAGAACTGCATTTTGAAGGTGAGGGTGTTGGACTGAGTCTAAGTTGTTGTGGGAGTGTGTGTGTGAGAGAGGTTGTTTGAGAATGAGGCTTTGGAGTGTAAGTGTAAGTGTGAGTGTGAGTGTGAGTGTGAGTGTGAGTGTGTGAGTGATGATGATAAAAAGAGTTGATGATGAAGCCGTCCAAGTCGCTTCATTTATAATAATTCGTTGCGTTACGAAGTAGCTGTATAGCAACCCGATCTTCCTCTACACAATATGGTATCTCTTCATGACAACCGGCTTGGCTAATGCCACTGGAACTTGATCGATGGCCACCAACTGTCGGAAAATTCTGCCTAGATTACAGCCATTTGAGTTCGTCACCACGTTTGCCGGCGCACTTGTCTCAGTTGATGAACACCAAGGCCATGGCGACGGCTCTTGAACATATCTGCAGCACACCTAAACACAACTGCCTGGTTTCTAAAATAAGACAAGTTCTTGGAGTGATCAGGCTAGTGTTCTCGAAGAAAACGTGCCCCCCATTAGATCTGCCCCACGCTGCAAGGCCTACAGCGGCAACGCTCTCTCATTGCAAAGTGAACCGTCTTAGTGGTGGTTGTCCGGGCACCGTGTAAGACATCCACCGAACTATGGCGCAGCACCGCTTTAAAATTTCGATAAATACTCCGATTTGCTGATAGGTTATTCTTCCGTAAGCGAAAAAGACAGAAGTCTTTGCGTCATGTTCGAGATAAATGTTGCATCATGGACTCATGTGCCGGGTTGTTCGACGCAGAGCGTTGCCTAATGCGGTGGTTCGGCCTACTGCTAACACATTTTACCGGTGCCGATCATGGAAATGTATGCGAATTGTAGAAACAAAAGACGATGCTCGAGGATGGCTGTCTTGCTGGCACCGTCAGTTTAGGGCTCGTGTGTTCGCACGCTGCCACCCAAAGGGCTGAAGTGAGGGCATCGCCGAAACACCAGCGGCCTGGTTTGCCGATGGGGCCGTTTTGACTAAATAAAATAGAAAAAGAAAAAAAAAAAATTTCCGGCAAAAGCTGCGCTTACATGCCAGGTGACGTTCATTACGGTGAGAGGCACCAGTAATTACCAGGTTGCCCAGCGTTCATCAGGCGGACAGAGGAATGATGGCCATGGCGACGGCGGAGAGCTCATGGGATTATCGGAGCCGTTCAGGTCCGCTGTTCATGTGGTCCAACCCGGCCTATCGTATTGGTTCTCATGGGGCCGATGCGGCTGTGGCAAGTGGACACGCTGAGACGCCAACAGCCGAGCTAGTGTGTGTTGTGCGTGTGTGTGCACATCTGGTCTGGGCCTTGTGAGACTTGGTATGTGATCAACAACATGAGATGGATGGCGGATGATAGTTCTTGTCCCAGTGTATTCTGCTACTGTTTGCTAGACAATTAATGCAAATACAGCCCATGTGGTCTGTCTATCGGCTCGATGCCATGTTTTGGGCACAAAGAGACGGCTTGTTTTGCGAGAGTCATGTTTTGGGCTCTGTTGTGAGGACAGACACCCAAGATCAAAGACTTTGATTTGCAAGGCTAGACTGCCTGTGCAGAAGATGGTGTAGGACTTGGGCAGCCTGTGTTGCTCAGCCCTGAACGTGGATTCTGATGATCACTGTGTGGTGTGATGGTGATGGTTTGTGGTGGAAAGTAACTGATCCTTCGCTGTCGGCGGAGAGTGGAGTGCCCAAAGCGAGCTTCCGTTTTGAGTTTCCAGGCCGCTTTCTCGCTATGGTGGTAGCTCTCCCAGCGGTTGTGGCAGGTTACGGCCGGCATTGGCGGGGGGCTTCTTGCCTGCGGGCCATTCATTTTTCTTTTTGCGGGCAATGGCCGCTGTACTGTGACTGGTTCCGCGCTGCAGCGCTTGATTTCCACTGTGGGGGTCGCCTGTGCGCGGTTGAGGACCAGTGAGTGGTGCAGGTGGGCCGTGATGACCCAGTCACCACTGCTGGCCTGCACCGCCCCAAGCTCGGCGTGCATTCTCCATCTAAAACCTTCCCTCACCAACCGCCTCAAAGCCAAAACTCCAACGACTTGGTGCAATTTCCCATACCGCCCGCGCTTGTATCGGCTCCGTCACCAGCCCGTTCCTGCGGCGACATGCTCACGGTCTAACCGCGCTTATCTTCATCATCTAGCTTAGTGTCTAACCCGCATTCTGGCCCGCCCCAATGGCCTCACCACCGAGAAGCCGGTCAGGCTCCAACGCCTCGCCCTTCGCCGTCCCTCTCTCCTCATCGCCTGGAAACCGATTGTTCTCGTCATCTCTGCCCCGTGATGAGCTCACCGCCCGCCTCGCCGAGCCGCTTCCTTCTGAGGGCCTGGGCACTCCAGTTATGCCGCGAAGTAGCTCACCGCGGCCCAACGACAACGAACCGCTAGCTGCTGGCCAATCTTTCACACAAGGACCTGGCGTTTCTGCCCTGGCTGCTGCGCTATCAGATTCCTTTGGCCAGCCACCGCGTCACGGCACTCCTCCTGTCCGTGCTGCTACTCCTCCACAACGATCTCTCTCCCCGGGCGTGTTCCCAGGCCGATCAGCTACACCGACGCAATATGGCTCCTTCGAATCGAGAGGCCGATTTGGCGGTGGACCAGGCAGCACTGGGCCGTATGAAGACCCAGAGATTGTCAGACGACACCTGGTCCAGCCTGACGAAGTCGAGTCGGAAGAGTCGTCCATGTACGGCACCATCAAGGGCAAGCAGCCTGCTGATGCTGCACCAACCGGTCTGAACGAAGATGAATTTTCCAGCTTGAAGCTCCAAGGCGGTGACATCACACGCGGTATCTACAAATGGACCGAACAGGCAGAAGCTAAAGGCAAGCTCACCCGTAGCCAGAGTTTCCACCAATCGCGACCTGAACCCGAAACCCAAGTTGAGGACATCAACTCAATCAAGGTTCCTGGTGGCTTCCGTCGTGACCATCTGCGCCGCAACGCTAAGAGCCCACCCGGGATTGACGAGGCTGAAAATGGAATGGCCTCACCAAACGGCAACTCAGAGAGACTCTTCACTTCCAGCTTCCTGGAGTTCCTTACCATTTACGGCCACTTTGCTGGTGAAGAACTGGAGGAAGACGACGAAGCCCTTGGACCGGACGAGTACTTTGCCTCTGGTGGAGAAGCTGATGACGAGGAGCCTACGGAAGATAGCGCGCTCCTGGGTCCCTCCAAGAAGAAGCGAACCAGAAAGCCTCGTGGTGGTAGCGGACAGAACAGCGAATTCAACGCCGTCTTGCTGCTCCTCAAGTCTTTTGTCGGTACTGGTGTGCTTTTCCTGCCCCGTGCCTATCTTAACGGTGGTATGCTCTTCAGTAACCTAGTGCTCCTGGGTGTTGCTATCCTCAGTTACTACTGCTTCGTTCTCCTCGTCACCACTCGCCTAAAGATTGAAGGATCCTTCGGTGACATGGGTGGCATCCTTTACGGAAAATGGATGAGAAACGTCATCCTGGCTTCCATCGTTATCAGCCAGATTGGTTTTGTGGCTGCCTACATCGTCTTCACCTCGGAAAATCTGCAAGCCTTTATCAAGGCTGTTACAGACTGCAAAACCACCATGAGCATCCCATCACTTATCTTTCTCCAGATGCTCATCTTCCTACCCTTCTCTCTCCTTCGCGATATTGGCAAGCTTGGATTTACCGCTCTCATTGCCGATGCCTTTATCCTTATTGGCCTCGCCTACCTCTTCTACTACGACGTCTTTACTCTCTCTACGGAGGGCCTCGCTGACATTGTCATGTTCAACAAGCGAGACTGGACCCTGTTTATCGGAACCGCCATCTTTACCTTTGAAGGAGTTGGTCTCATTATCCCGATTCAAGAGTCCATGAAGCAGCCCGAAAAGTTTCCCCGAGCTCTCCTTCTCGTCATGGTTATCATTACCGTCCTCTTTACCGTCATGGGCGCCATCTCCTATGCCGCCTTTGGTTCCAAGACGGAGACCGTTGTCCTTTTGAACTTGCCCCAGGACAACAAGTTTGTCAACACCGTTCAGCTACTCTATTCTTGCGCCATCTTACTCTCCACCCCTCTGCAAATCTTCCCTGCCATCCGTATTATCGAGACGGGCTTCTTCAGACGCAGTGGCAAGTACAACCCCATGATCAAGTGGCAGAAGAACCTCTTCCGCTTCTTCATGGTCATGATGTGTGCTGCTATTGCTTGGGGTGGTGCCGATAACCTCGACAAATTCGTGGCCCTGGTTGGTAACTTTGCCTGCATCCCCCTTGTGTATATTTACCCAGTAAGTTCTTGTCCGTGTTACTGCGAAGAGATGCGCCTCGCTAACATGTCTCACCTCAGCCCATGCTACACTACAAAGCGGTCGCCCGCACCAAGCTTTGGAAATACGGCGATATTATCCTCTGCATTTTCGGGTTCGTCGCCATGGCCTACACTACCAGTCAGACCATCATGAGCTGGGCTACTCCCACGCCCAAGAACCCAGGATACTGCGAGCGAAGAGGCCTTTAGAAAGCACTGTACATCGTATTGATGGGTTTTACACCTAGACACCGCATATTAGAACTATTTCGTTGTCGGAACGCTCTGGCGTGCCGTTCTTTTGTCTGACCGAGAGCACATAATTTGAAAACGTTTTATTGATAGCATTGTTGCATAACGCTGGAGGATTTCTTTACTGTTTTGGGGCATCTTTTATTACATTGTAGACTTGAATATACAGTTTGGCAATAAACAATCCATTGGAAAATATTATTTGCATGGAATACAATTACATGTAGTCTCGTTTTCCCCGTTGTAAGGTGTCGTCATGAAAGATCGGCACCATGCTGAATCGAACCACCACGTTCGAAAATTGTATGGGGCGGTCGGCTCGGTCTCCGAGGCCCAGCGAACCACGACGCAGCCATTATAAATCTCTCGAGGCCGGCTACTTCCCACCTGTACTACCGCGATGACATTCGCAAATTAATATTCTGCATTTCATAGCGACACTATGATACCTATACGGCGCTTTGTAGGCCTCAGAACAGCGGCCCGTATTCAATTGCCGCCTGTATCTGCGTCGTGGTCACGTCAGAGCTATGCGACGCGCGCACCACCACCACCACCGTTTCAGACGGTAGAGACATGTCCTTCGCCGACGTGCCGCTGCGCTGCGATGCCAGAATTCCCCGATGGACTGGATATCGACCAGAAGAGCAACTTGAATGGTGTGATATCGGGATACGCAGAGCAAGTTCTCATCTGCACTGGCAAGGACGACTGGACTTCCAAGATTGAAGATGAGAACAGCGGCGACAATCTCGCAGCGGACCTGAAGGAGCTCTTTGGTAGAGGAGGCAAATACACCGATGTAAGAAACTAGCAGCTGATATTTTTGACCGTTTTGCTAACATTTATTTTGCAGCCCTTTCACAATGTCTCCGTCCTAAACGCCTCAATGCCTAGCACGCCATCACCCAGAGAAGGGCTGCAATCATCTTCAGCATATCTATTCCCGAGCTTCAAGTATATTCCACATCTTCCAAGAGTTTCATTCGAGCATGTGGACGCTCTAGCAAAAGCCTACATCCTTCCGGAAAAGCTGCATTCGGCCCACGACGGTCTATCGCCAATCCATCGCGATCGATTGACTCGCTCAGAGGCCTATCAGAACTTACTTGTCGGTGTACAAGATGTACAAGATGTCCTCGTCCTAATCTGTGGTCACGGGGGCCGAGACGCCCGATGCGGTATCATTGGCCCAGTTCTGCGTGACGAATTTGAGGCTAAGCTAGCATCTCAAGGTTTCGACGTTCTTCTAGGCCCAGTTCAAGTTGGCAACGACGGACTTCATAAAATAGAGGGAGAAGAGAGCCATACAGAAAGGAAACCAGCAGCACGTGTTGGTCTGATTAGCCATATTGGCGGCCACAAGTTTGCTGGCAACGTCATTGTCTATATACCCCCAACCATGAAGACACCAGCGGGCGAGAAGCACCCGCTTGCTGGCCATGGTATTTGGTACGGAAGAGTCGAGCCACAGAATGTAGAGGGACTTGTGGCAGAGACGGTTATGAAAGGGAATGTCGTGGCAGAAAAGTTTCGAGGCGGCATTGATAGCCAACGACGCATTTTAAGGATATAACGGCACATGTGGGAACTTCCTGTATATTATCATATTACCAAAGTAAACTGTACTATATAAATAGACATTCACAATTTATCCTCATTTGAATTAACAAGTCTGGCGGTGAATTTACTGGGATGATGTTGAACATTGGCTACCCCTACACGTGACCTGGCGATTATTTTACTTTGACGAGTGACAGCTACAAGCACGACATATCAACACCATCCCTTTGTACCCAACGCTTGTATAACAGTCTAAAATATTCGGCCAGTTATCTCAAATGTTATTAATGTTATAAAATTGTGTGAAATAGAGCGATTAAGCGGCAAAGATGCGCTCAACAGTCCGTTTCCAGGCGCTGTCCCGACTACCAGGATCTGTCTTATCCAAACCACCGTCGCCATCAGTCTGTCGCTCAATACTCTCTTTGAATCCGTGCTCGCCTAGTCTTGCTACAAAGGCTAGAAAGTACTCATATGGAACCATAAACTCTCAACCACCTAGAGAGTCTCGAGCATTCGCACCCTCCGCCGCGGCTCTCCTTGCTCTCGGCGGACTGACCTACTACCTTTTCACGCCATCAACACCTCAGTCTGCCACATTGAACAAGGAAACATTTGTTCCATATACTATCACATCACGTGAAAATATCTCACCCACCACATTCATCGTCACCGCCGAGACGCAGAATCCACAGAATGCATCGACGTACCTAAAGCCAGGGTCAGGGGAGTGGATGTTCCCTCAGTGGTCTGTCGAGTTTAAGCAACCGGAAGTGCAGATTGCACGCCACTACACACCACTGCCTCCATTAGATGGTGAAGACACAAAGGCAGGCGATCTAAGGTTCTATGTCCGGGCCGTGCCAGGCGGCGAAATGTCGAGCTATCTCGGCAAACTAGGGGTTGGCCGACAGATGTGGCTCCGCGGCCCCCATTCCGGGTTCAACATTGCAGACAGACTAGGAGATCAAAAACATGTCGTGTTTCTAGCAGGTGGTACAGGCATTGCCCCCGGCATGCAGGTTACCAAAGCAGTACTTGATGCAGACTCGACAGCGACGGTCAACCTACTCTGGGCTATCCGTAAGAACGAGGAGCTACAGAGTACAACCCCTCAGAAACAAAGATCATGGTGGCAGTTTCTCTCCGGATCAACGTCTGGCTTGCGCAATGTGGATATTGATATTCAGTCCCCTAGCCCAATAGGCCGTGAGCTTGTTGCGCTTAAAGCTCGATACGGCAACAGACTCGCTATCAAAGTCGCAGTGGATGAAGACAAGACTTTTATTCAGGAGCGAGATATCCGAGATGCAGTCAACAGTGTACTCACGACACATACAAGTCTCGCTAATGAGAGCTGCAGGCTGCACAGCCAACTCATGCATACAGTGTCCTCGGAATTTGAAGAGCAAGGAGAGACGTGCGTATGCAACGCAACTCCTGGGGGCGCTGGAAAAAGCTTGATTCTAGTCTCAGGGCCAGAAGGGTTTGTCTCGCACTTCTCAGGGCCTAAAGCTTGGGTTCAAGGTGTCGAGACTCAGGGCGCAGTTGGAGGCATCATTGCCAAGATGCAGCGCGGTGACCAGTCATTCAAGAACGACTGGATCGTTCTAAAGTTGTAGAAACACATGTATCATAAACTAAATGTATTATATTACGAAAAATAAACGCTTCGCAAGAAAAGCAATGTTTATCCAGTACATCTAGCGCCTTGCCAAAAATAAAATAACGCTTTTCTACAAAATGCTTTCAAGACGTAACGTGAAATCCAACATTCAGGCATGCGACTGCCTTCATCTATCGATTTTGTACCTTTCTATAAGAAGGAGGTCGCATGGTGCGGCGGATTAGCTTCGCCGCGTAAGGAGGAATTAGAGCAATGGCCAAAATAGCCACGCACCGCCAGACAAAGCCACTGTCAAATGGGTTAGCTCAGTTCGTGTGGTCAGTGCATGTCAGTAACTTACATAGTGATAACAAATTGCAAGTCGTAATATTCGCCAAGGAAAGGGATAGAACCAATGTAGGCCAAGAATGTGCCGAGGATGCTAATAATCATGACTGGATGCCATGTTGTGATTTCCATGGCGACCATGATGAGTTCATTGAGGATAAGAACCGTGTAGCTGACGGCAACCATCTTTTTGCCTTCCACTTTTGTGAGGATCTGCGACAGACCTTGGATGATACCACCTTGGTAGATGGAAACCAGGACCCAAACAAAGAACGTGCGGTAGGAGAGCGATCGACCAGAAGTAAGTTCCTTGTAGAGCTCGGGGTACAAGTTTGCCAAGTCTTCGTCCACATCCTTGTCTAATACGAGCGACAGGACGGGTGCGGCAGTATAGATTGTTGCGTAGCCAACAAGAAGCCAGTCTTTGTACAAGCCTTCAGGCTCGAATTTAAGTGCAATGCTGTACATTGTCTGGCAGACAGCGATGATCAGTCCACGATGGATAACGAACTGTGCCAATTTGGCACTTCGCTTGTAGCTGTTACGGCCATGCCAAACAAGAAGCTTTACTAAGTGATGGAATTGCTCAATGGAGAAGTCAGCCGCCAAACTAGCTTGGCGACCTTCTTTGCCAACAATACCGACACCAACATCCGCAGCTTGAATCATAGAGACGTCGTTGCCACCGTCGCCGATGCAGCACACTCTCTTCTTGGTATACTCCTTAATCAGAGTTGCAACTTCGGCCTTTTGTGTAGGCGAGCATCGACAGGCGACAACCGTAGGGAGGAGAACGGCAACGGAAATGAACTCGGTTCTGAAATGTCTCAAGAAGAGGGCAAGGCTTTCGCCATCAATCAGCAAGCACGCATCGGTTTTGCTTCGTAGAAATTCGAGATGCTCTTGTGCGCCATCTTTTCTCTTGAGTTGCGAAACAGTATAGATGTATTGGCCTCTGGCCACAAGCTTAGAACTGACAGCAACACAGCGAGCTGTCTCAACCTTGTCACCCGTGAGCATCCAGATCTTGATGCCGGCGTTGCGAAGGAGTTCAAGAGATGGTTTGACATCACGCTGCAGTTTATCTTCAACACCGGTTACGCCGAGTAGCTCCAGGTCTTTCTCGAGATGCTGTGACACAACATTCTGCATCCCAACATCTCGAGCGTGGATAGACAGTGATGCCGACTGATACGCAGAGTGGAATTCGTTGTACTGCTGGAACGAGAGCTTTTTGCGGCCAACAACCAAAGTACGCAGTCCTTCACGGGCCATGTTTGCCGTTTCTTCGTCAAGCCAGTCGTTCGAAGCAACAATAGGGCCCATCACGGTATCGGCACCCTTTTGGTAAAACCAAATCTCTCCAGAAGACAGATCTGAGTTTTCGACATGAAGGTTATCCTGGAAATGCACAATGATACCCATTCGCTTGCCTTCAGACGTGAACGGGAACACATCTAGAATGCGCACACGGACAGCGATGCGACCTGTATCTGTAGATTCAAGGGACATTGACTTGCGGTCACGAGACGCCAGCTTTAAACCAACCGACTCGGCCCATTTGACAATGGCAATTTCATCAGGAGATGAAGCTTGATATGATGTCACCTCGACCCCATCCTCAACCTCTGTGGTTGGAGTGACATTATGACAGATTGCTAGCGCCAAAACCACATCTCGAACGCGGGTACCAATCTCACGCCTCGTTCTTGTGGCACCGACGTTAACAGCATTCGAGTAGGTTGATGCCGGGGTAATGAGCATAGTTTGCGAGGCTGGATCAACCGTGGGCTGCACGGCAAATCCTTGACGCACATAAGTTGACACTTCATCCATGGCTTCATTCGCATACGAGACTGTGCCGATGTGGATCTTCTTCATCTCCATATCATTCTGGGTTAGCGTTCCGGTTTTATCACTGAGCAGATATTCAATTCGGCCTAAATCTTCTGGGATGGTGCTGGTTCGTACGACAGCTCCGGGGATTCCTGAGTCGTGCTGTATGAAGCGAGAGTATGCACTCTTTCCCATGTCAAGATTGACACGCAAGCTGATGGGCACAATGGTTGAGAAGAGCACGAGGAAGCGCATAATCTTGATATACCAGGCGCCATTGTCATTCTTGAAGCCTTCTAGGGCAACTAGAAGAATGGATAATCCTAGCGTGAGGGCACATAGAATCTTGGTGAGAGAGTTGATTTCGTACTCGAGAAGGCCGCTCTTGGAGCGTGAGGGAGCGGTTGAAAGGGCAGAGCGAGTATGAGGCCCAGTGTATAAAACAACAGCCAGCGTAGTACCTTGAGACGCAATGACTGTATTGGCCCAAGCGGTATTGTCAATGGAGAGAGCAAAAGTTTTGGGGGTATCATCGTCGTGATCAAGGGCGGCATGGTGTTCCATAGCTTCCTGTCGGGACTTGAGCAACTCAACAGTTCCAATGAACTCGTTCACCTTTCTGTCTGGTTTGCCTCCAGTCACACGGAGACGAACAAATTCCTCTGGGCGAATGTTTTGCGTCAACGGCGACGCAAGTCGAAGCTTCCAATCTGTTTCACCGTCAAGCTGGTCCGTTCGAATAAAGGCTTCGCCAACTGTCTGCGCTTGCGCACTTGATTGCACTGCTGTAGATTTTCGCTGTGCATTTGCCGCCGAGCTTTCACCTTCATTGTCGTCCAAAGCCAACAAGTTCTCCTCCACAGCTGGAGGTGCTGGCTCGGCTTCCACCACTTCAGTATTGGAGCATTGCAGGATAACCACATCAGCTGGAACTCGCTGACCCTTGGTAAGCTGTAAGACATCACCAACGGCCAGATCTCTTGATTTGCGGCTAATCTCTATAATTGAAGAAGATGCCTCTGGCGCACCCTGGTCTTCCTCTTGAATATCGGTAAGTTCTGAGCGGTCATTACGAGACTTCTTAGATCCTCGCCGTAATGTCTCTGACTTGAGTGCTCGTTTTGATCGACTGCGGTTTATATTTGAGTTCGCATCGACAAAATTTAAAACGGTGTAGAGCTCGGAGTTTGCTTCGTTGTCACGGCGGCGACGCTCGATATCATCGTAGGCTTCCTTACCCATCGTGATAACTAAAACAAACGCCAACGGCGCAATATATGTTGACAAATAACCAATTCGCAAGGCCGGTATTACTTGAGAAAGCGCAACAAGCAAAAAGTACATGTTGAAGAAGAAGGAGAATTCGTTGTAGAGGGTTACGGGGAGAAACGACCAAGGGGTGTATTTGGCGTTGGAGACCATGTTTGTCGGGAAGCGGACAGACTGCGTTGAACCGACAGCAATGAGACGGGATGTCGATGGGTCATCCTCCTCGCGCATGTCTTCGTCATCATCACCAGGGTTCTTGTTGCCAGACATGAAGCTGGGCAAGCGAAGCACCGAGCTTATGGACCGTCGACGGTCCGCCCCAAAAGAGCGACGGCCTTGGCGGCCTTGAGAGCCAAGAAGCGGCGCATCATCGTCGCCCTTGCGGATGCCGCTCTCTTCGTCTGCCAGGAGGCCCTGAAGGTCTTCGTCGGTGTCGTCTCGATCACGTCCAAGCTCGCCGTAGCCTCGGCCGCGCTTGCCGGCGCGTCGAAGCCCGCCCATACGCAGATTCCGCAGAGCTATGCGCGACGGCTGCGGCGATGCCGTATCTTGAGCTTTGCGGGCCTCTCGGGTGGGCTGCGTGGAGATGGGATCAAGCTCTTGGATGTCGAGGTCGAGGTCGGAGTCGGAGTCATGGGTCGGGGAGTCGGGGGGCTTGTGCAACGACGAGGACGACATTCCGGCCGATGCTTTGCGGGATCAAAGGAGAAAACAAGTGATAGGCAAAGGGAAATACGGGCGCAAGCTATGTCGAGAAGGGCGTGACAGCCATGCTGCAGCTAGGAGGTTGATGGCGTTGAAGGTGGCGAGGACACGAGGTTAGCGTCAGATCACACGTCGCTAGAGCTGGTTCGGGAGAGACGGAGGCGCGGACTTGGCGAAGGCAATGCAGCAGACCGACGTAATCAGCGTGAATCGTAACTTTTGTAGAATCAAATGCTTGCTTTGTGAATTATTTTCATGCAAGGGATTTTTTTTTTTGTTGTAGAGTTTGGTGCTGGCGGAAACAATGGCAGCTCCCAGTTTGTCTTGCAACGCAACCAGGAGTCCGGCCCCCACACGTGTCGTCAGAAGTGGCTACGTAGTCAAACGGCCGCAGCAGTAGCCAGGCACCACCATTCTGTTTTAGGTCCTCCTCGCCTCTCCTCAGCATGTACAGCCAGCAACGCGTGGCAATGGGTTGCATTGGCAGTCTTGCAGCGTCATGCTACAGCTTTTAAACCAAAATTATAAGAAAGAATTATTCTTTTAATATATTCAACCAAGGTCCTACATTTTCAAAACAGGGAAACCCTCCAATGATGACAGTGCTGCGATAGGCATGCACATTGCGCCGGGGCTACGCAAGGTCGTCCAAGCTCAACCAAGCAAATGGCTCTGTGCAGCAGCCTTAAGAGGTTTCAGAGTTTACGGCAGAAATGGAGGCTAGCATAGGAAATGTATCTCTGCTGATGACGACGACAACAGCTCAACATGTGCTATTGGCCCACGACTAAGCACTCTACTCCTTCGATGCTGTACCTATTTTCCCTTCACCTCTCAAGGTATAGGTCCAATCCTGTCAATCGCTTACCAAAACTAAATTACTCTACAATGCTCTTCACCTGCGCATCTCCACGCAGCTCATGATGATGATACACTCGGTTTAGACCGCTAAACATCTTACTCATGCCTCCGTCAACGACATCTATCCGCAGGCCAGGTTGTATTTACCGCTGCGTATACTATTGAAACAAAAACCGATCACAAACCCGATGTGGCTTTACTACAATACTTTCATTTTTAACTTCGAATCGCCGATATCTGCGGGTCATGCCTTGATCGCGGCGCTAACCAAGGCATTGGGGAATTGCCACTTTCACCCAGGGCCTCCCCGCAAAAATCGGCCCCGTGTCGCCGCATGAAGGCGGGAGTGGCTGGCTGGTGTAGATCAGGATTATGGACAATACACGACCGTGATGGTGGAATTGAACGGTTTAAAGAAGAATTCTTAGAGTGAATCCATTCATCGGCTTAATCACAAGAAGAAAAAAGCCGAACTTCCGGTGGAGAGAGAATCTATGATCAGCTCCCTCCCCACCCCAAGTGCTATCATACACTATAACCTGAGTTGTCGCGTCTCCGCCGCAACCAAATCCATGCTGAATGGATGAGATCTACGGGGGTTTGCAGCGTAGGTTCTAGCCACCTTACTATCTAGGGGGGCGCTACCCCAACTGCCCAAGTCGGCCAAGATCCAATAACCTTACTATTTGGGTTTGGCGTTGATCATTTCCTAGCGCCGTCGCCCCTCTCCAAGTCGCCCTACGTTTCAAGGTGCGGCGTGCTTATCCCTATGGCCGACTGCGCAGCTTCTATTCTTGACTTAGAACAGGGCTTCTGATGCAACACTACAAAGTGAATTGGCCCAGCGGATCATCGCCCTCCAAGCCCAACCACCCTCTGCGCTATCCGCGCCGCCTGCTGTTGCGGCTTAGGATCGGAGACGAACCTAAGAATACCTGCCCATTCAAGATATGAGGTAGGCCAACCCCAATACGATGGATTCTTCAGATATAAGTACTGTCAAGGCGACCTCGACGTTGCTGGATAGTTCATCCCATCATCACCACTCTTTACCTACACTCTTCTCCCACCAGCTCCCTCTCTTCACTCCATTTTCATCATGAAGGCTACAATGGTCCTCGGCCTCGCCTCTCAGGCTCTGGCTGCTTCTGTTCCCCGTGCAGCTGATGTCTACGGCGGAACCGATGCCGACATCAAGAGCGTCCCTTACCAGATTGAGTACGATAACAACGGCCGCTTTGACTGAGGTGGTACCATCGTCAGCAACCGCTACATCATCACCGCTGGTCACTGCACCCGCAATCTTACTGCCAGCGATCTCTCCATCCGAGTCGGCAGCGCCAAGCTCGGTGCTGGTACCAAGTACAACGTTACCGAGATTCACAATCACCCCAAGTTTGTCCTTACAGACGACTTTCAGATCGACTACGACATTGCCATCCTAAAGTTGTCCTCCGACATCAAGTTCAGCGACTCTGTCAAGGCTATCGGCCTCGCCAGCTCCCCTGCCGTCGCTGGTGCCACTGGCCACCTCTCCGGCTAGGGTTATACTGAGAACGGCAAGACCCAGAAGCGCCAGGAGGTTGACCTGCCCGTCATCACCCACGATGACTGTGACAAGAAGAACGATACGAACGGTATCCACGTCTCGGATCGCTTCCTTTGCGTCCTGCAGCCTGGTGGCGGTAAGGGTTCTTGCCACGGCGACAGTGGCGGCCCCCTTGTCATTAACGGCAAACTTGCCGGTGTCGTCTCTGGTGTGCCGAGTGCGCCGGTGCCTCTGCCCCTGGCACCTACACTGATATTGGCAACTCTGAGATCCGTCAGTTCATAAAGGATGTCACTGGCCTCTAAAATACTTTAAAACATAATGAAGAACGAAAGGAGATGAATGTATATAAAAATGTAACATAGCGACGTATTATTGAAGTACATGTATAAATCAATGAATCTCATAATGAACCAAATATTTTGTCCACCTCTCCTGCTGTTTCTCTTTATTGGGTATAGCAGTGCTGGCCTTTAAATCATGCTATGAGGCTACCACAAAGCTATCTGGCCTCGGCTGTATGGCTTATCTTCCTTGGCGATAGAAACAATGGCAGTTAATAGTTTGCCTTGCAATACAACCAGGAGGTTTGTGGTTACTACACGTTTTGTGAGAAGTGGCTATTACATAGTTAAAACGGCCTGCAGCAGGTAGGCACCTGTGACCACGGAATGTATCCGACTGAAGATCGACGGGCATAAGTGAAGCAGCTGCCACTAGCGTCAGCAGCTGCCCGATCTACGTTCGTTATGTAGCCGAAGCTCATCCATTTGGATATTATTTTACGTACATGATTTGATACTGCATATGATATAGGAACCAGAATCGACTACAAAGCCGACGCGAGGGTGCTACACTACGCAATTTCAGCAACCCTGCCCGCAATATCGAACGGCGGGCTGGCTCGAGTAGATGTGATTTTATGCCCAATGGCATGACGAATTTGAACAGCCTGAAGAATTATCTCCATAAGAAGATGCGTTGTGTGGTAAAAACACACAAGATAAGAGCTGAACCTTGCGCGGAGAAAAAGGCGGTCCACGATCATCTCCCACACCACCACACCACCACGCATGATATCATATACGCAGTACTGTAACCTTTATTTATTCACGTCTCCTCCTCCGCATCAAACATGGTGGTGATACTACCCATTATTTGGTCTTTGCCTATTTGGGTAGTTGTGGTAGGTTGCTTGATGAGAAGACTGCTCGGAGCAAGACCGCAAACTTTGCAAATCACGAGAAGTCGGGTCTTGGTGAATTAACTGTGGCAGGTCGTCTCGTTCCAGGTCGAACTGCCGAAGCCGTGCTGTCTGTTGTTCAAGCTTAGAAGCGGAGGAGAACCGAAGAATACCGGCATCTTCGAGAGAGATGGCAGTCCAATGCTATTGTGATGTATTCATATTCTCCGGTAGAAATACAGCCGAAGCATCCCCCGATGTTGCTAAATGTTCCATCTTCTCATTATTACATTATGTACATTCTTCTTCTACCAGTTCCCTCTCTTCAATCTATTTCCAGCATGAAGTCTTCCCTTGCCCTTGGCCTCGTCTCACGAGCTCTGGCTGCCACTATCCCCCGCGGTGCTGATGTCTTTGGTGGAACCGAAGCTGATATCAAGAACGTCCCATACCAGGCTGAATTCAATGTTGTAGAGGCCGGAGTTTTCTGCGGTGGTAGTATTATCAGCAAACGCCATATTCTCACTGCTGGCCACTGCTCCAGGCTGGCGGACAACCCCAGCGAGATTGTCATCAGAGCCGGCAGCGCCAAGCTCCCTGCTGGTACCGAGCACGCTGTCGCCTCGATTCACCAGCACCCCAAGTTTAATACAGCGAATGGCCATATCGATTACGACGTCTCCATCTTAGAGCTGGCTTCTGGTCTCGAGTTCAGCGACTCCGTCAAGGCAATTGCCGTTGTCGACTCGCCCGCTGTCGCCAACTCTACTGGCCTTCTCTCTAGCTGGGGTGATTCACAGGACGGTGATGTCACACAGCCCATGGAGGTTGACCTGGCAGTCATCGCCCTCGACGAGTGCATCAAGCTGCTCGCCAAGTACGGCATCGTCCCCTCGGACCGCTTCTTTTGCACCCTGTACCGTGCCGGCGGTAAGGCCGCTTGCCATGGAGACAGTGGCGGTCCCATTGTCATTGACGGCAAGCTTGCTGGTTCCGTTTCTGGTGGTCCAGACACGTACGTGTGCCCTCGCCGATAGCCCCGGCACATACGCCGATCTTGGCCACCCTGAGATCCGCAAGTTTATCAAGGACGTCGCTGGCGTCTAAGCGAGTCAAGATAGTATACAGAAATCGAGAGATGAACGTATATAAATGTAACGAAACCTCAGTCAAGACGCGTACCGAACATTGAAGCTTATTAAACGAACAAAAGTTGTCTTCTACCTCTCGTGAATCGGTCACTCTCGTGATATTTTTCTTTATTTGGTAGAGCAGTACTGCGCTTCAAACCATGTTATAAGCTTACCACCAAGCCACAGTCTCCCATTTTCTGTTTTCGACTGCAAGCGTTGTAAATTAGTGCCAAAGATTTCTCGATTGTACTGTCCTTCTAGCCAAGCGTTCTAATCGCTTCGTGTTGCAGTCGGCTTTCCTTGCCGTGGCCACATCAATCTTGGCATCTCTTAGACCACAGACTCGATGGCCTGGGTTGTATGGTAGATCATCCTTGGCGACGGGCCGACATATCGGTAAAGCGAATACACGTCATCTCGCAGCATTGTACCGTGTTCTTCCTTTCAATCATGGAGCGCGGCATTAGGTGATCGCGTGCTCACCTAGGCCGGCGTTGATCCATCATGGGCTCTGCGGCTATACCCGAGACTCGCCATGAAAACAATGGGTTCTGTATTATCGAATGGTTCGAGACTCGGTCTAATCCATGTTAACAAGCCGTAACAAAATGACGGTGGCTTGTCACTGATGTCGCCAAATGGCGTCGAAGAAGCGAAAGCCGCGGCGTTGGCTTGCACAATGGCGTGCTTGGCCTCAGCAATGATGGGATGGGATACGGCACCGCCGCCTGAGCAAGCAGCGCTAAAGAGCGACCTACAGGCGCTAGAGGCGCAGCACAAGGGCCGTAATATGCACCATGTATTTTTTCCCCCTTTACTCCAGGCCCTGTTGTGTTGTTTTATTGGTGCTGATGCCAGCGACCTCTTTACTCTTTTAGTTCCCATCCATTTAATACGTTCTTTCGTTGTCGCAGTAGTAGAACTATACTAGATTCGGACCACCGTCTCACTCCATCCTCCACCGTTACGCTCCGCCGTTTGCCCCCCAAAACGGACCGCTCCAGCGCAAGGCATGCCCTGTAAATGTCCGAACGGCTTCTCCCCCCAGCGAGGGCCCGGCCCACCAAACTCGCACCCACCCACACCGTTTCCCGCGTTCCGTTTCCTGCTGCCTGGCACCTGCAGCTGGCATTGGTCCAAAGCGGCAGGTTTTACGGGGGGTGCCACAGCGCCACTTTGCTGACACGGGCTGGCTGCAGCACTCTTCAGTGGGCGCAGAGGCGCTATTTTAGTGGGCTGCTGCTTGCTGGCAGCAAGGAAGATCCCAGATTCGCACCCAGATCCTCCGAGCGCAGCCTGGCGGGCAACTTTATTTATTTCCAGCGAAGAGGCCGGGGCACCAGAGCTGTCGGAGATGGATATGTATTTGTAACATACAGAGCAGTAGGATGTTTTCTTTATTGTATCTTATTAGTCGTTATAATTTTATCTATTATTCAAAGTGGCCTCTATAGTACTGGATTTCGTCTTTTTCCCGCCGCTCCCAAAACGCCCCATGTTCTCTGCCCCAGTGGAAGAGAGGGGGGCGCCCCACTGACGATAGCGTCGTTCCAACAATCCCAGCGGCTTGAGGTGCAAGACGTCATGAGCGCAAAGTAAGGGAAAAAAGCCCAGCCTACTTTTGACACAATTGTGGATAGGTGAAATTCGCAATCCCATCTTTTTGGCCGTCCTGCTATTCGCTCCTTTGCGAGCCTAGCCGCAGCCTTAAACAGTCTTCATCCTCACACTTTGCCCATTCTCGCACATCTCCAGTTTTCTTCCGTTCTCATCAACACCACTTCGATTGTGTAGTTTCTTCTCTCTTCTTTACACTCGCATGCATCCTCACTGTCAATTGCATCTTGGCTCGTGTACTGTCCAGCCTTGATCTCTTCAATCTGCACATTATACCTAGCATCTTGTCGCCGCAGTTCCCGGCCGAACCTACCTCGACCTAGCCACCCACGCTGCACAGCAAATGTCAAGATAAGCAGACGCAATCGAACCCAAGCCCCCCTTACCACATTTTGTCTTCTACTCTCTTCTCCTCCACAATTACAGTCCATCATGTCGGAAAAGTCGAAAGAGCGCGACTACAACTCGTCAAATGACTTGCCTCCCATCTACGCCCGGACCACCAACGGCTCAGCCAAGTCGGCACGAATGGCTGCCATGTTTGGTGGCAAGGGTGTTGAGATTGGCCCTCGCATAATTCCCGTTCCCGATTATCTCAAATCAGACGACGACGATTCAGAGGAAACCAGCTCGGCCATCTTGGACCGCCAGCTTGCTGCGGAAGACGGCGCCTCCATTCAGTACAGAACCTGCTCTTGGCAAAAGACTGCCGCGCTACTCTTCAGTGAATACATTTGCCTCGCCATTATGAGTTTCCCTTGGTCATATAGCATCCTCGGACTCGTGCCTGGCATCATCCTCACCGTCGTTGTTGCTGGTCTTGTCTTGTACACCAGCTTGATTCTCTGGCAATTCTGCTTGCGCCACCCCGAAGTGCGCGATGTTTGTGATATTGGACAGACCCTTTTTACGTTCAAGCAATTTCCATGGCTTGGCGTATTTGCCTGGTGGGCTACAGCTGTCATGTTCATCCTGAACAACACATTCATTCAGGCCTTGCATGTTCTTGTTGGCGCAGAGTATCTCAACACTATGACCGCCTCTGACTTCATTGGTGGCTGCCGTACCGTCGAGTTTTCCGTCATTGTCACCGTCATTTGCTGGCTAGCATCGCTTCCTCGTACGTTTAGCATGATGTCGAAACTTGGTACGGCATCTGCCATCTTCACCTTTATCTCTGTGGTCCTCGCAACCATCTTTGTCGCAATCCAAGGACCCCCTGCGCATTTCGATCTCGAAGGCAAAGGTCCCGATCCTTACGGTGCTGTCATCTTCAACATCATTCCCGAAAAGGGTACAACATGGGTCAATGGCATGGCGGCCTTCCTCAACATCAGCTACACTTTCATCGGTCAGATTACGCTGCCCAGCTTTATCGCTGAGATGCGCGATCCTCGGTAAGCAGCCTCACCAGGTTCTCTGGCTACGCTTTTTACTAACATGTCTCCTTTGAACAGAGAATTCCCCAAGGCCCTCTGGGCTTGTACCATTGCCGAAATTGCCGTCTTCAGCGTCGTTGGAGGAGTCATGTACGCATACACTGGTCAATATGTTACAGCCCCAGCATTTGGATCCCTTCATGAGGGCTACAAGAAGATCTCCTTTTCTTTCATGATCCCAACACTGATTTTCTTGGGCTGCCTCTACGCCTCAGTGACGGCGCGATTCGTCTTCTTCCGCATGTTCCGCAACTCCCGCCATCTCAGCGACCACACTGTCGTTGGGTGGAGCGCATGGACCGGCATCTTGCTTGTCACCTGGATTGTTGCGTTTGTAATCTCGCAAGTCATTCCTTTTTTCAACTCTCGTAAGTAAACATGCATTTAGTCTCTGGAGTTGTGTAGTACGCTAACACACATCAGTTCTCGCCGTCATGTCATCTCTCTTCGACAGCTGGTTCGGCTTCATCTTTTGGGGCGTCGCCTTCTTCCGCATGCGCTCTGCAGATGAGAAGGCTAAACGCCGGCGCAACGCGGCTTTGGACATCCTCTCTGTCTCTCTCAATGTGATCATCATTCTTACTGGCGTTATGTTTTTGACTTTGGGCACCGCAGCGAGTGTTATCGGTATTATTGACGAGTTCAAGTCGGGCGTGAAGAAGGTTTTCTCGTGCGCCAGCAACGCCATCTAGTTTTTCTTTTTTTCTTTTTGCTTGTCTGCATATTCAAGTATATCCCAGTATATGATTAGGTTTGGGGCCATTTATGAAAATATGAGGTGTATATTCTTTTGCGTTACGAAAACGATGGCCAAGCTATTGTTACAGTGTGAATGCCAGCAAAACGTGGCGCTTCTGCAAGGACATTTTTAGTGTCTGCACGACACGTGGGGCGCCCTCAAGCTAGTAAAAGGTGGGCAAGTTTAGCGAGGCAGTTTTGTATGAAGGTTTCAAGTGTCCTGGGTATGAAAAATTACACAACTAAGAACATGGGGAACTTTGGAGTCTATTGCATTCATGCTTAAATCTGATAATGCTACGGACTCTGCTACCGCCTGTTCCTGGTTAACGTCACCACCTTATTTGGCCGGGCCGTTCGCTTCCGTGTGGCCCCATCTCCACTACCAACACAGCCCACTTTACCACTTCCATTGTGCGCTCAGGGGATTCGGGTCCTCTGTAACGGTCCCCCAGCCCGCTACGCACCCCTCTTAGCTTGTGCCTCAACATTTAACCACGCCGCGCAACCCCTTCCTGAATGCTGGCATTTTCCTTTGTTCTGCACATAGAAGCCGGGGAAGACATCTATCTCGACTAAAACAAGCATTCTCGAACGAAATTCTTCATCATCTGCGATATATCTCGTTCCGAGATCGGAGCTGGCCAAGCTAGAACTTAAAACAATTTGTGACTAGCCAACGAAGTATCAACCAACCATGGCTCGACAATCTGCGACTACGGCCACAAAAGCCGATGTTTCTAGCGAAAAGCCAGCCAACAATACATATGAGAATGCTGATGGCAAGAAGGATTTCTTCTGGACTTATACTGAGGAGCCTCACCGCACACGCCGCATGGCAATTATCAAGAAACATCCCGAGGTCAGTTGCTACTACAATCAATCATCATCCATTGTTACCCTCTAACCGTTATGTTATATCATTTTAGATCCTGAAACTTTGCGGACCCGAGCCCCTTACAAAATACGTCGTAGCATTCGTTGTTCTGCTGCAAGTAAGCATCGCCATTACGCTTCGAGACACTCCATTTTGGTCATTGAAGTTTTGGTTCTTCGCCTACGTTTTTGGTGCGACTGCCAACCAGAACCTCTTCCTCGCCATCCATGAAATCTCGCATAATCTTGCTTTCAAGAGCGGACTTGCAAACAGACTCCTCGCAATTTTTGCAAACCTGCCCATTGCAATTCCTTACAGCGCCTCCTTTCGCGTATGTACAACAAACGTCCTAGAACAGAACATTGCTGACCCTTGACTAGCCATATCATCTTACTCACCACAAATCGCTCGGTGTCGATGGACTGGATGTAGACTTGCCCACTGCTTTTGAGGCGATTTTCCTCGACTCCATTCTCGGCAAGGCCTTCTTCTGCACCTTTCAGATCTTCTTCTATGCTCTCCGGCCTATGGCCATCTATCAGATCCCTCTTACCGGGATACATGCACTCAATATTGCCGTCCAGGTTGCGTTCGATTTCGTCTTAGCACGCTACGCTGGTGGCCATGCCGTTCTCTACCTGCTACTGTCGTCCTTCCTTGCTGGCAGTCTGCATCCTGTCGCCGGTCACTTCATTGCTGAGCACTATGTATACGAGAATATCACACCGACTCAGAAGAACCCCGAAAACAAGGTTCCTATTCCCGAGACCTTTTCTTACTATGGTCCTCTGAACGTGCTTCTCTACAATGTCGGTCTGCACAACGAGCATCATGACTTTCCTGCTATTCCCTGGACTCGCTTGCCAGCTGTCTACAACATCGCTCGCGAATTCTACGAGGACCTTCCTCGTCATGAAAGCTGGACATATGTAATCTGGAGATTTATTTGGGATGAGAACGTCGGTCTTAATTGCCGTGTCAAGCGCCAGGAGGGTGGCCGCCGTGTTGGAGGCACTGCCAGCTGGAACGAGTCTGAAGTCCAAGCTTAATCTTCAGACTGCATATTTGCGAATTCTTCATCTTTCAAGGCGTTTCTCGGCGTATCGGTTCTTATTCTACTTTATTTGAACTCTTGACTTCTGCTGTCAGTTTGCAAGAAAAAAAGCATTGACATTGTGTTGCTCAATACGAGAGGATGGTAGACAATGTACGTGTTTATAGGCAGTCGTAAAATAGAACTCAATACTGAAATCAATGCTTAGTTACACAGATTACAAACAAAACATTACCAGAGGTCTCCGTCTCCCAACTGAAAAGCCAAGTTACTTCACCGTCGCAGCACCAGCTTACCTCCATTTTCTACGCCTCTTCCCAAATTCGCTGCCGCCGCATTGCCAACGCAACTTGATATGGTTACCAGGAGGGGCGACTTTTGTGTTAAGAATATTCGCCGCATCCAGTACGATCTCACCCACACTAGTAAAACCATCATTGAGCCGCTGAATCCATTCTCAATAGAGTATATCAGGTTACTAGAAGAAAAAGTATGCCAGTAAGAAGCTCAGCAAACATAGGATAGCCACCATCTGAACAGATACACCATCAGGCGCCTTTGTAGCCTGTGTCACCTCGCCGGCGGCACTTGGCTTCTCGGAGGTAGTAGTCTTGACCGCGCGTTGACGTAGGCCAGTGTCTCCAGACGCAGAGAGATCCGCAGGAGCGGCCTTGGCTCTCGATTCGGTAGGGAACAGCGCAGCACCGCTGGCAGAAGCCTTTGTAGAGCGAGGAGTATCGTTGGAATCGTCTTCAAAGGCGGAAACTTCTTCGGTGTATGGGGGTGGTACGGCACCGCCACTGGGGGATGAGTACGTGCGTGAAATATCGGGGGTATCAGCCTGCAAAGCGCACAAGTTAGTAAGATATCGTAGCTTTCATGAGTATCATGTCTTACTCCATTGACCGCAGCGTGCTTGCTAGGAGTAAGTCCGGCGAGTGTCGAGCCAGTCGAGACCTCGAAGTCGTTGGAGGCGGCAAGCCAGTTCACTCGAATCTTGCGTTCTTGGAGGTGGCTCTTGTCTGTCGAGTCAAGCTGTATAACGGTTAGCTGATGAACTTAGGTTACCAATGAAGTAACGTACAACTGTGGCGATGTTGGCAAAGTCCTTGTCGGCAGTAATGGCAGCAGACTGGACGAGGAACTTGTCACGGCATCGAGAGTCCAGAGGGGGGTCGGCCTTCATGGCCTGGAGCAGGACTAGAAGCTTGTTGTTAGAAATCATGTATTTTATTCGAATGGCAGGCATTGCTCACCTGTAACATCGAAATCTTGGCCAGGTTCGATGCGGCCGGCGTTGGGTCGGACACAGTATCTATTGTAAAGTTAGGTCGTCGTTCAAGGAGAATGGGCGAGATCGGTGCATACTGTTTGGGGGCTGTGGTCTTGACCTAGAAGCGTCATTGTTAGCTACACATTAACTCTAGTGGAATAATTGCGTCCAAGCAAGACTAGGATATAGCAACGTACCTTGAAGGCAAGAGGTGTAGAGCTGGTGTTTCGCAGCGTAAGGGTCTGCGACACCTCGACCGTGAAGGGTCCTGTAACAGAGCGTCAGCGGGACAGTTGTCTAATGATGCTACATGACAAGTATCATACGGCGGAAATTCAGCTCCGAGGGCTCAATATCAATCGACATGGCTGCTGGGTAGGTTTTGAACACTGTTGGCTATCGCAAGTGTTGATCGTCGCGAAAAGGAGATTGTTGTGTTTAGGCGCGTTCAGGTTAGCAGCACTGGCAGCGTTGTAGTGCACAAGGTCAGTAAAGCGCGTATATCGAACAATGATTGGGATTAAAAGGGCCCCAAGTTGCAAAACAGGTCAATAGAAAGTTGGAGTTTAATGCTTGTTGCCACGGTGCGACGGCGGGCTGTTGGGGGGTGCTATGTGGCTGCGGATGAGCCTCGGGAGCAAGCTTGGGGCTATGTGGCTTGACATATGCTCGCCAGCATGACGTTTGTGAATGACCAAAGCGCATGACTAATCACCTTAGAACTGCACAGATAGCAGAAATACAGTGCGTTTTTAGTTAGTATGGCTTGTGTTCTGAACAGTAGGCTTTTTAGAAGTGATTCTTGATATTACATATTAATATTAAAAGAATACTTGTACTACGCGCCTCTCAATGGCAGAGCGAGCCTTTGCCACATTAACGCATGAGCAGTGTAAGAGATAGTGCTGGCCCAAGTAGAGACAGAACTCGTGGCTCTATTAGTAAAATTAAAAATAAATCTATGTAAAGCTACAAACTCTGGCCTTGATCTTAGCCAACTTATGGATTTTCTCATATCATCATCGGTTCCAAGACTAAGCTAACATCGTGCGTCATGTACGCCACACTTGGTTGCCTGTCACTCACCACGGTCCCCTCAGAACCCCAGCTCTGGTTACCCCACTACGTTTCCAGAAGCTCCTCCGCCAGTTGGCATTCAACTCTCCCCCAACAAGCTTACTTGTATTAACAAATTTGCCTAATCTACACAATGCCGTCCGATCTAGAAGCTCTGCTTGATATGGGCTTCGACAAGGAGCGCGCAGAAATCGCCGTCAAGAAGAGCGGCGGACGTAAGTGATCGTTTGCATTTGGGCCTTGTACCGCCACTAACAACACGTTTCAGTGCAAGGAGCCTTACAATGGCTGGAGGATAACCAGGATAAGCCTCTGGATGAGATCACGGCCGCCGAGGCGGAAGCCGCAGCAGACGATGACGATGAGGCCGCGACAAAAGCGAAAATTGCAGAGCTCGAATCAGGTCAAGCCAAGTCTTTAGTGTGTAACGACTGTGGCAAGCTATTCAAGAATGAAGCCATGGCAAGCTTCCACGCTTCCAAAACGTTTGTTACTCTACAATTCAGCTTCTGTGCCTTGCCTCGTTAAACTAACATTCGATAGCGAGCACACCGACTTCTCCGAGTCAACAGAGGAGATTGCGCCACTGACTGAAGAAGAAAAGAAGGCAAAGCTTGAGGAACTCCGAGAACGACTCAAAACCAAGCGCGATGCCCAAGCCATCGCAGATAAGGAAACGGCTCGTCAAAACGAGGTAAGCACATGTGGTGTCAAACTGAAGCACCCATACTGACATTAGGCAGAAAATTCGAATGAAGTCCACCAAAGAAACACAAGAATTAAAGGAAGAGCTACAACGCAAAGAACAAATTAAGGAAGCCCAGAAAAAGAAGCAAGAAAAGCTTGACGATATGGAAGCAAAACGACGCATCAAGGAAAAGATTGAAGCCGACAAAGCCGAACGGCGACGAAAGGCAGAGGAGGCCAAGGCTGCTCGCGAGGGCAAAGTGTTGGAGCAACAGGCTCCAGCAGCTGCTGCTGCCCCTCCTAAACCAAAGGCAAATCACTCTGAAGCCCGTCTAAGACTACAAACAGATTCGGGTAACATTCTCAAAACACTACCGGCCGACACGACCTTGTTTGAAGTTGCCCAAATTGTCCAGACCGAAACTGGAAAGCCTGTGACCAGCTTTGCTACAACGTTCCCCCGCAAGGTATTCCAGGGAGACATGGACATGTCCAAGACTTTGAAGGAAGCTGGTATGGTTCCATCATCAGTCTTGATTGTTAAATAACGAACATATGGGTTTCCATGATTGTACGGCGTATATTGGGTGTCAAGGTGTTGTAATGGCATACCAGAGGTGTTGATAGACCAGAAAGGTTGTTGCAAATGGCCAGTGAAGTGGCCCGGGGGCGTTGAGGCGCCTGGGCGTTGTTGCGGTTGTTGTTAGAGTTACACATACATTCACGATTGGAAAATCACATAGTTCATGGTGAAGGCTCTTTGTTTCCAAGTTCTTACTGCGCCAACTTTTTTTAAGTAACTGATCCAAACTTCAGTTTCCGTCCTCTCCAGCACGTAGAAACGCCGATAAAAACAGATTTGTTTTTGAGTTGCATTTTTCGTCATATTATCGTATGAGTAAAAGCTACTCTGTCCAAGGCAAGCATGATATATTGCGCCTTCTCCATCCTGTATGATCGATCGATTTATACGTTAACCCTGTTAACCCCCGAAGCCATGCAGTCGAAGTACAAAGAAGCAAGAAAACAGTCGTCGTCGTGGTTTTTAATATGGGTTCTTTAGTCGAAGAGACCGAAGCCCATGTCCTCATCAGACTCCTCCTTCTCTGTAGATGCGCAAAGCAAGTCAGTCAACATATTCCGTTTTATAATTGGTGTCGTGCAATTGTACGTACCCTCAACCTTCTCCTCAGCGGCGGCCTCAGTAGCAGCACCACCGGCAGCGGCGGCACCACCAGCAGCGGCAGCAGGGGCGGCAGCGCCACCAGAGCCAACGTTGGTCAACAGCTCCTTGACATCCTTGCCCTCAAGAGCCTGTATAATTGTTTGTTAGTTCAACTTGTTCTGCGGGATTCTCGTCTTCCGTCTCGGGCTATGCGGCGATTCGGAAAGTTGGCGGATTCGTTCGTACCTTGGCGAAGAGAGAGGTCCAGATGGGCTCAACCTCGACACCAGCAGCCTTGATCAAGGTCTGGAGCTTGTCGGCCTGTAAAGAAAAATGTGATATTAGCCAAATGTGTCTAACAACCAATGACACATGTCGAAATCGCAAGTCCAAACGGAAGCCCTGGGCACGGAAAGTTTGTCAAACAAAGGGTGATGGCGTAAAAGTTACGGCAAGTAGGGGCGCATATAGTCTTCCCCTCAAGATCCGTCTTTAGTAGCCGTTTTGTATCGTCGAAGCCTTCCGGTACAGTGCATTCCGCGGGGGTTGTCGAATTCGTGAATTTCGAAGACATACGGTGATCTCAATGCCGTCATCAGCAAGGATGAGAGCGGCGTAGGAAGAAGCGAGCTCGGCGGTAGACATTGTGAATGTGTGGTTATGTGTGGTGAACTGGGAAGAATTGACGACGTCTTCTCTAGATCGATTGGTGGGTTGGAGTTCAATAAGCACCAAAGCGGGCTGGCACACAGAAAATTGCCCTACGCCGAAATTTCGCTTTGGAGGGCTTGAAGACCTAAAAGTGGGCAGGGCCAATATTTTTTCCGTGCTCCGGCCTTGACTGTGCGTGGGTTTTGGCTGCCCTGGCTCTAGCCAATCAGCGGCCGTTATTCTGGGGCCTTGCATTAACTAGCCCAAATGCAACCTCGACGCAGCCAATGCGTAACCCCACCTTTGCAGTTCCCCACCATGGCCAACGCCTTCACTTCATAGGTTGGAAGCTACTGGTCGGTTCGTCACTCGACTGCATCATTGACTAACGGACTGACACTTGAAGTTGGAGCCTGCAGAGTCATTTTCCACAGCTCCTTCTTTTCTGTTGCATCCCATTTATAGCACTGCGACAAGTTTTATCGCGCTATTTCCAACGACCGTCGCATCCGACTTCCCGTCTCCCCGACATCGCCCGCATTCGTTACGAGCAGAGACATCCATCTCAGACTGGGATATTTCCGCACAAGGCCTTTGTATCCGCAGAATACTCCTTGCGAAACAAGCAACGGGGATCGATAATTACATATCAACCAGCCTGCTCTACTCTTATGTTCAACTGAGCATCCTCTTCGACACCCAGCAATGGATACACCCGCAGTACCTGCTCCTCAAGACTCGCGGGAGCAGGCGATTCTCGACCGCCTAACTGTTGTTCGAGATAAGCTTCTCCTTCTGAAGCAAGATCGTACGACGTATATTCGTAGCCAGGACGTCATCCCTCTCTATGACGAAACAATTACACAAGTCAAAGAGCTCGTCACTATTCGCGCTGAAACTGGCAATAAAGACGAAAACAGACGTACGGTCTTTCACTATCAGTCTTCTTGTTTCTTCCCTTGCTGACATATCCATAGTGGACAAGGTTCTCGACAGCTGCTTCCAACTGCTTTCACTCTTCTACCTCACAATCGGCCGCAATAACGAAGCGCCTGCGGCTTATGCGCTTACCGCAACGATCAAGCGCTTGCTCGACCACGTCAAGGAAGTCGATCTATACTCCGGTAAAGATTTGGATAGCTTGAGCGCTAGACTGGACGACCTTGCCAAGGGCATCAAGCATGCGGCTGAGGATCCCTCTGCCGATACGAAGCATTCACCGTACCTTTTGGAACTTCTTGAGAAGCGCGTGCAGAGATGCCAGGAAACGGTTCGCCAGCTACATGAACGTCTTGAGCGCATTGCAGCCCCACTCCATCCTACTTACGAAAAGATCATTTCCATTCTCCGACAAACCTCGTACGCAAATACGAAGTCAAAGGTGAGCCATAGAGCTGAATGCTCGAGATAATGCCATGCTAACTGATTACCGCAATAGTTCAACCCGATAGAAGTGGAGAAATTGCGCAAGCAGCTCGCCGAAATTGACGCTCAGCGTAAAGATGGCAAGTTTGTAGGCGAGGATGGCCAGGAGCTGGCCGGCAGTGCTGAATTAGGAGATGTCTTCTTCCGCTGTTCCAAGTGGTCCGAAATCGTTCTCGACAGGTATGTCCTTGAACCCCGAGTCAGATGGGATGCTTCCATACTAACAAGATTGCAGAAAAGGCAGTGTTCCGGACGCATTCCGCCCCACGTACGATACTCTTGTGGGTGTTCGAAACGACCTAGAGAAGCTCTCCTTAACACAGGCCTGGTCTTTACGTGAGACCGATCTGTACGATTTCCAGCGCCAGTTGGACAAGATTGATGAAAGTCGCCAGGGTGGCAATTTTTATGACGAACGCGGCCGTGCAGCTGACCTATGGACACAACGCACGCTACTCTACCTCCTCCGACGCAGCTATGCCTACATCTATTCTTTCATGATTGCCTCTGAACCTGTATCGGAGGCTCTTTTGCCTATCTATAACCAGCTCCAAACGCTCAAGAGATGCCTGATTGAGGTTAAGAAGAGTGGTGGAGTCTCAACAGTTCGCGAGCTCTACCCGTACAGCATGAAGCTAAACTCGTTGGACAACATGAGAGTGGATGGCAAGTTCGTGGTCAATAACGACATCCCCGAAGGCCAGGGCAGTGTCTCTGAGCTTTTGGCCGAATGCTTCGAATTGAACTACGACTTGCGCGTCGAGGCAGAGGAGAAGGAGAAGGGTGACGCGTAATGGAAGACAAGCAACGTTTGAAACAATGAAGAATCAATCGATGATGACAGACAAGTCGTCAATCGAAAGACACGCAGCAATTGAAGAACTGACGGTATCTCTTTTTTTGGTTTAAGCAGCACATATATCGTCGGGCAGTGTTTATTCTTACAGTTGAATTGATTAATATCGCACCATCTTATGGGTTTCTAAATGCGTTCAAGTAGGGGAAGATTTGCGCCTGTTGCTGAGTTAGTCAATTTGTAAGGCAGAGAGGTGAACTGGATACTAACATTGTCAACGTCCCAGACACCCTCCTTGTAATAGATGTCCTCCTTCAACTGCTCAATGACTTGCTCCTTAGTCTCAGCGACGGCCACAACAGCGCTGCCAGCAAAGTCAAACTTGGTGGGGTCGGTGCCTTCGGGAACCGAGTTGAATATGGCGCCTAGAGATGTTAGGCAAGCCGTAAAACAAGACAAGAGTTGAGAGTCACTTACCGCCCATGTTCCATGTACGACTTTCTTTTCTGGGAACAGCACCTTCCAAGTGTTTTCTAACGAGCATATTAGCATCGGTGCGATGGTATCGCTTCATAATGGGTTCGATATGCTCTTACGGTCTAATCTCAAGTCTCTTAGCCTTTGCACCGGGTTTGTCAGGAACGACACAGAGGAATTCAAACTTGCGGGGAGCGTCAGAAGACATGTTGCGGCGTAATGGTGTAGTCAATCGAATAGATTGCAGGAGCTTTTGAGTCGTTACTCTGGCAGCCATTATAACAAAGCAGGTCGTAGCAATACTTAGGCGTCGGGGTCGAGGGTTTTTTAAGGGACTCGGCTCAGCTATAGGCGGGTACAGGGGCGTCGTTGCTTTGTTCAGCTGCAGCTCTGCCGTTACTCATCTATGGGTTACTGGTGGAGAAATGCGCTTGTTGGGCGCGCCTTGCACGATTCCGCCGGGGGAGGGGGGGCAGCCCGCATTTGGTGGTACAGGGTAGCGACGACCTCGTGCCAGCTGTGCCAATTACACTGGATTTAATCCTCATTTATTATTGCTAGTCAAAATACGGGACCTATTTCGAGTGTATGAGGTAAAAAGAAGGTGTAAAACGACCGATCAGTAATCGTATTGGGACCTACAGAACTAAACGTTACACCCACGTCATCCCCGGATCACTAGCTTTGAACCCGCATCGGCTCTAATGTAGACTCCCGTTGAGCAAGATATCTCCATTATTTGTATGTAGGAATTAATAATTTATCATATGCTGTAGAATATAAAAATGGCGTTAAATATAAACGATTTTTTATTCATGTGACCTAAAAACTAGGCCGCAGAGCCGTCACACACCGCAACGGTGTGCTCCTAACGGTCTATGACGATGATAGTGGCGACCAATTGCTTTAAGAAGAGCGGCCCCCAACGTAGCGACATTTTAGACGGTTCGAAGCTTACAAAACAAGTAATCAACTTTTTGAATCGAGCAAAACAACGATGCTCTAACGATCAATATCCTTTATTCTCCTGTGCCATATGCTTCGCCATTCCGCTCGGCGTGGAAGGCAAGCAACAAAACACGGAAACGACCAAAACGAGCACTATGACCAACAACAGCGTCTATGTCACAATCTACCAAGGCGGAGCTGCAACCGCCGTTATACTGGGCGTATTTGATAAACTAGTCGACGCAAATGATGAATGTCTACACCGAGCGGCACAGCTAGGCGTAACTCTTTCTGGAGAGAAGCAGGCCCAGCTAAGGGAAGCTGAGCTCATGCGCTGGGACAATCCTGAAGGCTTGTCGTGCTGGGTGGAAGCACATCTGGTTCGGGATAACTGTGTATTCACAGTACATCGGACTGGTGATCAAGAAACATCAATAGATTGCAGTGCTTGGATCCAAGATACGTAGGGCGGAGGGGAATTTTTGCCTGTCGAACACTGTGAGCGTGGAGGTGTTGTTTTGTTTTGTTTTATTTTTACTGTTAATGAGATCGTCTATAATAGGGAACATGCAAGCTTAGAAATATATTGATTCTGCAGATTTTTGCTACTTTTAAACCGGATTTTAGCAGTGCTCTTTATCACCAGCTTAGACGCATCATGGTGACTTTTTACGATTACTGACAGGGGCAGACTCTGTTAGGCGTTGGCCGTCGTCTGTTGTTTTGCCTCCTGTTTGGCTACCATGGCGGGGTACTGACAGTGCTTCGACGCTGTTTGTGTGAGAAGGCGCAGGCCTGCCGGATGCGTGGCGCCGCTGTAGAAGGCACCGAACACTGCTGAAGAGGTGGGGGACAGCCCAGTGGCCCACAGGCGCAGAAGGCCCTGGAACAGCACCTTAAGCCCGCTGTCAGCCACCGGGCTCCGCTTGCTATGGCGCCTAAAAGCAGTAGCTCCAACGCAGCCCCTCCTTTTGCCTCGTCTCCTTTCCCGGACTTCCCCAAATAAAACCAGAGGTGGTGTCATCAACAACGCCCAGGCTCTGAAGCCAAGCACCGCTGCGCCTCGCCCCGTCCAGCCTTTCTCCTCACTTTGTTTCTTGCCGTCCAATTCCTTACAGTCTCTTCTGCGACTGCGACGCTGCGCATTTACTTATCATTGCGAAGCTATCGTATTCTGTAACGCCAGCACCCACCAACACAGGCACACGACTCGACATTGCCACCAGCATCAAAGCGTAGGCTTTACCAGCAAAGGCGTACCAGCCCAAGTGTCACTGGCTACAGCCGATGTCCCGAGTCGCTCTGTAGCCATCCCTCTCCATATTCACCATGGCAGACGTCGACACAGTGCCGACTTTTGGCGCCGAGCTTAAGGTAATGCGATCACTAGACAAGGCCTCGTACCGGGGTGCTAACCGTTTGGATAGGATGGCTTCAAAAGCGCAAATGCGTGGGTTGGCCATGGAGTTGCGTGGCTGGAAGACATTCAACAGTTCTACCGAGAACGGGCTGTGATAGAAAAAGACTATAGCGCCAGACTCTCCGCATTGGCTAAGAAGTACTTTGAAAAGAAGAACAAGAAGATTGCCCAGCTAAGCGTAGGCGACACGCCCACAATGACACCGGGGTCGCTCGAGAGGTACCTACAACACTGCGACTGCCATATTACCAGCAATTCCGGCTAATATTTGATCATAGCGCTTCACTTACAACCTGGGCCACCCAGCTCACCACCCTCGAGGCTCGCGCCGCAGAGCACGACCAGTACGCAAACCATCTAGTTGGCCAGGTTGCGGAACCACTGAAATACTATGGCGGCCGGTTCGAAGAGCTCCGAAAGCGACACGCCGATTATGCCGAAAAACTAGCTTCTGAGCGGGACGCCTCATACGAACACTTGCGCAAAATCAAAGGCAAGTATGACACCATCTGCCAGGAGGTTGAGGCTCGTCGCAAGAAATCAGAGTCATCTTACGACAAGGCCAAGGCGCAGAGCGCGTATCAGCAACAGATTATCGAAATGAACAACGCCAAGAACACTTATCTGATCACCATCAACGTCACGAATAAGCAAAAGCAGATGTACTACCACGAGTATGTTCCCGAAGTCATGGACAGTCTCCAAGACCTCAATGAATTCCGCACGGAACGATTGAACGCAGTATGGACCACCGCAAGCAAGCTTGAAAGTGAAATGCTTCAGCAAAGCAAAGACAAAATGGACAATCTGGCACAGGAGATTAGCCGCAACGCCCCGCACCTCGATTCAATGATGTATATGCAACATAATCTCGGTTCCTTCCAAGAGCCTCCGGAAAAGGAGTTTGAGCCAAGCCCCATTTGGCACGATGATAAGGCGATGGTAGTGGACGAGACAGCCAAGATTTTCCTGCGCAACGTATTGAGCAAGTCCAAGTCCCAGCTTGGAGAGCTTCGCCGCGAAGTCGACAAGAAGCGTCGGGAAGTAGATTCCGTCAAGGCTACCAAGCAGAGGGTACGTGAAGGCACCGAGAAGATGGACGAAGTTGAGCTTGTACGGCAGCTTTTTGCTCTCCAAGAGGAGCTGCATGCAGTCGATCGCCAACGCCTTACAGCGGAAATCGAAACTTTTACCATTACATCTGTTGTTGGTGATGTAACTCTCGGCGCGAACAACCATAACTTCAAGAGCCAAACCTTCAAGATCCCGACAAACTGCGACCTGTGCGGCGAACGTATCTGGGGGTTAAGCGCGAAGGGATTCGACTGCCGCGACTGTGGCTATACCTGCCATAGCAAATGTCAAATGAAAGTACCAGCGGATTGCCCTGGCGAAAAGAACAAGGAGGAGCGGAAGAAGCTAAAGGCTGAGCGCCAAGAGGCTGCGAATAAGCTGCTCGCGCCGGAGTCGACCTTGAGCCCGTATGTCAACGAAGGTTCAGATCTCAGCCGTTCAAACACGATGAATTCACTCAGCTCTCATTCTGCACGCGTGTCCCCCTCTGGGCAGCAAACACCGACCACAGAAGATGGACCTCCGGAACCAGCTCGACCAGTTGTAGCCGTTCCAGCACCAGGTAGAAAGAATAGAATGATGGCACCGCCACCTGCGGCGTATGTCCACGAAGCTGGCAATGGCACAAATGGTAACGCGGACAAGGATGAGAAGCGCGGAAAGATGCTATACGCCTTTGAGGCCAACGGCGACGGCGAACTATCGGTTGGCGAAGGTCGAGAAGTGGTATTGGTAGAGCCTGATGGTAAGCAACATCTTTAACCTTCACTATGAATCAAGAATTACTAACGTATGCAGACGGTTCCGGATGGGTCAAGGTCAAGGCTGGCTACAAAGAAGGAATTGTTCCTGCCAGCTACGTTGACTTTTCGTCACCACTTCCAACAACTCCAGCACGCCCGTCATCAACGTTGTCGACATCTACGACCTCCTCGGCTGCGCACTCTACCAATGCTCGCAAAAAGGGTCCTGCTGTTGCACCTCGCCGTGGTGCGAAGAAGTTGCGTTATGTCGAGGCCCTATACGAATATACTGCACAGGGCAGCACGGAGCACTCCATGTCGGAAGGCGAGCGCTTTGTGCTTGTAAAGGACGATCCTGGCGATGGCTGGGTCGAGGTTGAGAAGGCCGGCGTGACAGCTAGTGTCCCTGCTAGCTATGTCCAAAACGTTTAATGGCCGCTAAGAGTGTTTGTTTGTATTTTTCTTCTTCATTTTTTGGATTGTAGGGGTCAAAGCCTGGGCTTTCATTGTATGACTTGTCAACGGAGCAACAAAGCCCGTGAATGTGTCATACTGGGAGAAGCATTGGGGGAACGGGAACACCAAAGGAAGCATTGCGAGGAGTAGATTAGAAAGGCTGCAATTCCGTATATACTAGCGAGCGCAATGATTCACAAGTTTTATGATACTAAGTACGACCGAGGGTTATGTGAAAAGAGACCGATTCGTCTCCAGCGCAAACCGCGCCTGTCAAAAATAAATTGGAGATGTCTAAAATACTGCTACCGAGCAAGAAAAAAAGGTAGCAAAGCCACAGACCCTAAAAGTACAAGTTCCAGATACCCAATAAACCAAGAAAAGGAGATTTGTTGTGTTTCCATGCATGCTTTCTATTTTACATACTGCATCAAACTGCGGTATTACGTGGGTATCATCAAAACCGTCCCCGTTTTCTTTTTTTGTTGTCCCCCGACAACACCGTTGCGTAAATTCCAAATAAAACCAAAGGCAAAGCGAGAAAAAAAAGAGTACACGTCAAGACAATAAATGTGAGAGAGGCAGGTCTCCAGCAAACAAGTGGAGATGGGGGTGCTCGCCAAAAAGACACCGGACAATGCTCAATGATGCGGTTGATGCTTGCTATGCTGAAAAAGAACAGGAGATTTGTTGGATGAATCAGAGCAAGAGATCAAACAGGGACTTGAACATGATGCGGCGCTTCGCAAGCAGGCGACGAAGCATATCGAGGAGAAGTGTACATGCGACTGGAGTACCGCTATGCCGGACCAGATGCCGAGAATGCGTTGCTCCAGCGCAAAAAAAAGATGAAAAAGTTCGTGAGAGTGGTGAGGGTGGAATGGTTGCGAGTGCAGCGGGTGGTGCAAAAGCAGAAATCCGAGTATTAAGTAAGGACCAGTTTCCAGGCCTTGGCATAAAAAATAATAGTTAAAGTACAATGTCGAATGCTGCAGAGAAGAGTGTATCCGAGTCTATAAGCTGATTGTGACCGTTAGAGTGGGGGTATGATGGCATAAAGAGATGTCATAAAGTGTTTTTGCTCGTGGAATAACGTTCCCACGAGGTTCTGCCCAATTTTTGAGTATTGGGATTTCCTTGCGATTTGATCGTAGTGGCTCGACAAAGCTGAGTGACGGAGCAAGAGCGCTGGATCAGATGAGCTGCGGCGTAGGGCCAAGGGCGTGGTGTCCGAGGCCGTGGCGAAGAGTTTCTTGGAGCTCCGCGATTTGCGCCATCATGGCGAGAGAGTGCTGCGTTTGCTGCTCCATGTCGTTCTTGAGTTTGTCGTTTTCCTCACGAACGCGCTTAATCTCCTCGCGGAGCTCTGTTAGCTCGTCTGCGCCGTGGCCGCTGTTGCGACGCTTGCGCTTCATGCCGGATCGCTCGCTGTCGTTATCGTCCGGAGAGGCAATCGAGTCGCCTGGCGGTGTTGTGCCGTCGGGATTGGTATGCACTCGGCGGAGATGCTCGTTGAGGTTCTCTTGGCGAGAGAAGCCCTTGCCGGTATGGCGTTTGCAGTTGGGATGAGGGCAGTTGACCGTGTTCTTGGGACCGCCGTGCTTGCCGTGGACCTCGCGTTCGTGGCGCAAGAGACCACCCGAATACGTAAAGCCTGGGAGATTTTCACAACCTTCCGCAGGGCAACGGTATGGGCGCTCGTGCTTATCCATGTGCTTGCTATTGGCATGTCGTTAGTACGTTGGTGTGGCAGGGTGTGTAGTTAGGGGGTTGCGACTAACTTCCATTCGCATTTGCGTGCAAACGCGCGAACTTCCTCTTTACAGTCTTCAAGAGGGCAGTGGAACTTTCCATCGGCTTGTTTCGAGACTTGTCGTGATGGCTTCGGGATCGTCTTGATCTTGGCAGACAAGGGAGGCGAAGGCACGGCAGACACCATGGCGCTCGGCGATTGATCATTGCTGTCGGGAACAGCGTCGGACATCGCAGGCGGGGTATCCATGGTAATGGGAAGCGGCGACGAGAATCCGGTAGGATGCAGGTCGAGCCTGCTCGAATCGTCCGCTACGGTGGCATCGTCGTCGATAATGCTGCGATCATCGTGGAGGATGTCGTTGTCGTTTGTGTAGCGGCTAAGGTGCTCGGCAACGTCGGCGTCGGTAAGTTCGTTGTCCTCTCCTATCGGCGGATAGGCGCCCTCATGAATGAAGGATCTGTGCTCGTACGCTACGCTCATATTCCAAAGCGCAACAGCTATATCCCTTTGTCACAAAAAGTTGAAGGTGGCGACGGGGGATATCGGCAATGGTAAGGCTTGGTCGCGTCGTGCTGCAACGCTGATAAACAAAACTACCGTGACCGGGAAATGGTCTAATATACAACGGCAAAAGAGTCCGTGAAGTTGTTGTAATAAAAGTTGACAGGTCCTTCAAGGACTTTGCTTTGGTAAGCTATTGTAGAGTGGGTGCAAAACGATGCGTCTGAAATCGCGACTTGCGAAGAAGTGGCCTGAAAATTCTGGCTGAAGAGTTCTTTTTTCCAGGCAGTGAAGGGGCGGCTTCAACGGCTGACGCAGAAAGGGGATCGGGTGATGACTAAGGATTGCTCACGTGATGGCAAGCGGCGATGTGCTTGAATAGTCAAGATGGGAGAGGGTGATGGGGAGTATAAAAAGTGAAGTAAGGAAGATTGGGTCTTGTGATTGGGATTTTTGTGACTCTTGTTAACGAGAAGCTCTTCTCGTTAAAATTTCTCGAGAAAATCAGACCATTATATGCTGCGTCGGGAAATCTAGGCATCAAGCGCTGCGGGATGACTCCACAGCCACTAACAGGCAAGCTGCAGCGCTGTCTACAGGTGACTCATTTAGCAGCCTCAAGCAGTCTCGTGGTCTACGGGGGCGAAAATAAGGCTACAGTCGGGGTTTGTCACCGTGCAGGCTAACTGCTGTACGTAATATGCGTACTGTTTCGCCTTTTGCTAGTGAATCTTACGCCGTGAAGAAGGTGATCGAAGCGAAGGGGGCTGGGGAGCCTTGCAGGCAGGGCTGTGGATATAATGCTAGGCAACTGGTCATGCGCTTATCACTAACATACAACGGTCTAGTTCAAACAATTCAATTCACGGGATGATTTAAACATGAACATGAACATGAATGGGAATATGGTTTGTGTTATTATTTAGAGAAATGCAGCATAGCTCTGAAGCGCACCGATGGCAGTGACGGCCACAGCGTTGCTGGTCACGCCGTTCTTTGCGTACCAGAGCGAGCTGGCTCCCATAATGGCAACCATAACGCCAGCGATAGCTTTTTGGATGGGGTCCGTAAGCGCCTCGGGGTTCTTGGACCACCAATAGTTGATAAGAGCTGCAAAGTTCACGGTTAGCGTGCTATGACTGGAGACAGGGTTCTGTGTTTGTTCACGACTAACCATTCATGATGAAGAAGCCGCTACCTTGCAACCATCCAGCCTTGGCACAGGTGGTAGCCAGCTGAGGCAGACTGTTGAATTTGGCAGTGTTTTGCCAGTCCTTACGGCTGACCTGTATGAACCGTCAGTAATGATCTGGAGTTTGGGGTTTTCTGATTGGCATCGCATACGGTGTGGCCTAGGGAGACAAAGAGCCACGCGACGGCGGTAACCTGAAGAGCGCTAGGCATTGTGAGTTTGATGTTTGTTAAGGTGGAGAATATGCGAGGGTAAAAGCCTGTGAAAAGTCAATCGCGCAGCAAAATGATGCTTTGATGTTTGATATGGATGGGAATCGACAGGTTGCAAAGGTCACTGTTGTTCCTTGGGGTAGCTATCCTTAAGCCTCGGCTAGTAGTGTGGCGCCCCGCCAAAGTATAAGGCGACTTTAGGTCCGGCGGCGCTGGAACTGGCCCGATCCGTTCGAGGCCAAAAAGGTAGAGAGTGTATGACAAAGGTTCAACGACGAGAAATCCTTGAGTTTTTGTTTTAAAAGAAAAATTGCGATTTTATTTGGTAACTGTACGAAACAATAATCACCCATTCTAAGGATAATATATAATTGAATAGGCTCTGATACTGCAATGCATAAAGTCGTCGATCTGATTAGAACTGCGTTCCACCTAATTACAGTTTATAGAGGGGCCCACAGCGCTCGTTTGGTGCCCGCTGTACGCGTTACACCAGATGATTTATACTCCAGTTCAGTGAGTGCAAGAGGCAAACTACTATTTGTAAATCGGGTAGCAGCTAATATATCTAAAATAAAATCACACCATATATCTAACTCGGAATACAACCGCCATTCTCCGCCCACCGCGGATTCTGATTGGACAGGACTACCTCTCTCTGACTTACAGCGTTTCCTCCGTTTTTATAGCGCATCTTCGGCTTAACATGCGCCACCACAACACTAGGCCCACCGAAACCGGCTCAACACCTCTAACTTTTTTTGGGCTCAGTTTCTTTCTTTTACTTCGTCATCCCATCTTTGGGCTCGCCGCCGGTTTTACTATTTTTCACAATCAAGTCAGTATAGAGTATACTGTATATTTAGTATCTATATATTGTACGGACCATAGTCGACAATAATTGGCTCCAAAGGTGTCACCACGCTGGCGGAGGGAAGAGTGTTCGCAATGAGTCGTCCTTCGCAGTCAACCACCGCTGAGGACGTGGGAAAGGCGAATCCTTCATCATCCGGTGCCCAAGATGCCAACGATATCGAAGCATCAAGTGGTGCGGCTGTTCAAGATTACGATGTTGAGACAGTCGAAAAGGTGTATCGGTATGGATTTGCTTCACTACCCCGAAATGAGACAAAGAGCTAACAGCTTTGCAGAAAGATAGATCGCCGCATCATTCCGGGTAATATTAAATGTCTGAACCGACGTTGACATAGACTAATATTGTGCACAGCGTTCTGGATTCTCTACTTCCTCTGCTCAGCGATTCGATCCAACATTGGCATTGCGCAGACAATGAACAGCGACAAAGGCCACGATCTGGGCACTGTCTTACATCTCACACCCAAAGACATTTCTCTTGCTCTGGCGCTCTTCTACGTTTCCTACGTCATATTCGACTTTCCGTCCAATCTCATCATGAGCAAGCTCAGCCCCCGGCTCTGGATGGCGCGAATCGTCTTTGCAACTAGCTTGGTCGGGACCTGTTTCGCTGCTGTACAGAGCGCATGGAGCTTGAAATTGCTTCGATTTCTTCTTGGTTTAGTGATTGCAGGCATGTGGCCAGGCATGGCTTTCTATCTGACTCTCTTCTACCCCCCATCGCGATGTGCCAAGCGTATTGGCATGTACTTTACAGCGTCGCAGGTCTCAGCCGCGGTCGTTGGCCTCGTGTCTGCAGGTTTCCAGCTCATGGATGGCACAGCAGGCATTGTTGGATTCCGCTGGATGTTTCTTCTCTACGGATTGGTCGGTATCGTCCTTAGTGTGGCCTTGCTTTGGTGGCTGCCTGATCGACCACTGCCACCAGGCGCAATGAGACCCAACACTGGCCTTTTCAAGTGGCTTCCAGCTACCCCAGAAGTCCTCACTGGGCAGGATGCGGTTGTCCACTATCATGACCTGAAACGTGTCTACCACTCTCGCGCCTGGGGCCTTAGAGACTTGGCCTATGTTCTGCTTGACTGGCGTCTTTGGCCATTGACGTTGATGTACTTTGGAGTCGTCGGCGTTGGTATTGGCACGCAGTTGTACGGCTCCGTCATCATCAAAGCTATCCGACCAGCTGCTGGAGGCATTGAAATTAGTCTTCTCTTCGCCCCGATCTGGATTGTAAGTTAAACAACAAAGCAAAATTGCCTAGTGGTCTTGTGTACTAACTTCTACAGATGGATCTCATTGCTATTCTCATGGTGACCCCAGTCTCTGATCGCTTCCATCGTCTCCGGGCTTTCTTCTTCTCTGCAGCAGTATGTGTTCAGATTGCTGGCTTGCTTATTACTACCTTTGCAGGCGGCTGGGCTCGATACGTTGGTCTCTTGCTTGTAGGTTATGGACTGGGCCCTACTGTGCCTATCTGCATGGCATGGACGTCTGAAATATTTCAACGCCGTCATGGAGAAGTTGGCGTTGCAGCGGCGACAGCCCTCGTTTCGGGACTGGGTAATCTCGGTAGTGTCACGACGACCTATGCTCTCTACACTGGATGGCCCGCAGATGCCAAACCCGGCCCGAAGCAGTTTCGCAATAGCAATCTGACAATGATTGGTATCTTGTGTCTCAGCATACTCAGTGCTATGGCTATGGTCCTTTTGTTGAAAGTGTTTGGCAACCCGCCCAGCACCAAGCTTTATGATCTCGACTCAAGCAGCGAAATCGAGGATGGAGCTGCTCGACGAGAGACACACCAGCGTGGGTTCAGCAGATTCGGCCGTAAGAAGCCCAATCAGCATTAATCAGCTTGCTGATGCATTCTTCATATCAATGGACCCAGTGCAAATACTTCAACAGTAGATTGGGTCCAGCGATACATCTCTACTCTACTTCTCCCTTGGGCAGCCCAACCTGCCATTTGAACCTACGGCAATAGCAACTTTGGATCATTCGAGGACTGGGTATCTTGCTACTACCCACGTCGTTGACCACTGGACTGTTGCCTATTTCTTCATCTGTTCTCTTGCTTTTTTATATGATACCCCATCAGCGTTTGTACCCGCTGTCATACGAGCTTAGTTTTTGTGATTTCTCGACGGTAACAGTGCTTCTACGCCATTACCGGGACGGTGTGTTTGGACCGAGACTCAATGCTGGCGACAATGCCGGAGCGCTATCGTCGGCGAGTTTCGTGGGCGGCTGGAATTACAATGTTTACTTTATAGACTATACTATAACACTGAAGGATAGGTCCAAGTTCGCAGCGGCTTTGAAGCAACTGTGGGCATGTGAATCAATTCAACCTTGTCCCCAAACTAACACTATGCCGTGTTGTGAATGCAACTCCAAAGCGCCCAAGAGGGCTAAGCCGTTCATGAATGTAAGACCCCATTGCAACCCAAAGATCTGTCTGAGTGTCGATCGTGCGGGGAATCGCGACCCATGGGTTCCGTCAAAGTCACCTCTCGATCGACATTAGCTTTGTCTTGTGGTACCTGAGCCTTCTTTCCAGAATCTGTTCCAAGGGCGGTAGGGTTGTTTGGCAAGGCCAATACTTCAACCACAAGCCAAAATGCCCTATTTGAAAGGCAGTGCACCTTCCACTTGCGATAAAGCAAAGTACTCTGTAACAGTCATAGTCTCGGGAGTGACAATATGGTAGTTACAGCCCAGATACAGGAACAGAGCAAAAAGGTCTGATGGCCAAACCAGTGGCTTGAAACCACCAGTAGTAGAAGCGTCATATGCCTGGCCGGAGCCGAACGGGGATTGCTCCGCTCCTCAACGTAGCATCTGACAAACGAAAAACTTTTCAACCGCCATGGTATGCAACGGGATGGAGTAGAACTCGGTGGTTTCTTGTGGCGAGCTAAAGCCGAGAATTAAATTTACTGCCCATGTGATTAGCAAACGAAAAGACCTTTGTTTGCGCACGCCCATCGAAGCGCGGCATGCCTAGCGAATCCATATACATCGGGAACCTTTGACAACGCCAACAACCATGTTATTGCCCATACGTTTGGTCGTTTGGAGAGGCCTAGCTGGTATCACAACTCAACAGGACATAACCGTCGCCGGCTTTTGACAGCTAAGTAATGTCCATTATTGTTCTCAGTACAACAATGACCCATGGTACCCCCAATAGCACCGCGTTGTCGCCGACGTGCACCCATATGCGAACTTTTTTTGGGCCTAGTCACATTAACTTTTACATGTCCACACTATAACGCTGTTGTACGCGCTCAGAAGACGTGAAATTACTAGAGGGTTACATTGCATGTTTGCTGCAGCCGACCGCCACCTTAGCGTGTAATCCGCGTCGAGCAAGTTGCTTCTACAGCCCGGAACGCCAAGTGCAATGCTCAAAAGATCAGTAGGAGGGAAGCTTTTCAACCGGCATTGTAATTTTATGGTGCCACTAATGACTAAAAGTATGTCAGCGATGTCTGCGTCGGATCTGCTTTGGTTGGCTCCATCCAGGCTTATACAGCGCGAGCAGCGCGCGCACCCCGCGATGATCGGCGTGCCCAGTGGGGGATAGTGGTTCGGCTGGCAGCCAAGCAGACCAGGCGCGCCGGCATCTAGATCACAAGACCGCAATGATGCATGTCGCGGTGAGACGACGGTGAAGTAACACTGGATGCTGAAGCCTGTACAAGGAAATGGTGAGGAAGAGAGGAAAGGTACAAAGAAGCAATATGATAAAGCGAACTCGGCCATCGCCAGGTGCGGCACCTGTGCCAGCCGTGCCAGCTGCCAGCAAGACGAGTGTTTGCCAATGCCGATTCACAACATTGAAAATACGCCACTTGCGACTCTATTTCTGACTGCTTCGTAAACATACACCTATACAGCAATGTTGCATCACGCACCAACTACGAGCTGCTTTCCTAAAGCGAGCCAAACGGGTCGCAGCCAAACCTCGCACGTCCTGTTCATGTCGGCCAAATGTATCTGCATCCCAGATATAGTCTACATGCAAGCGACGCTACCAATCTCTTTGTCTGCTGCGTCTGCGTGTGTCCCCAATCAGGCTGTGCACCTGCATTACACTACCTGAAGTGAATGCACGACTGGGTGGGGAGGATTCCTTCTGCCCCTGATACTGAGCCTTGGAGGGTAAATTGGCGGTGTCTTTGACGAGAAACCAACGCGCGAAAACATGGCTAGCTAACCAGAGGAGCTAAACTGGGCCTTAGTTTGCAGAAAGATCGGCACCTGGGTTTTGCCCAAACGAGACTATGAAAAAAAAGAAAAGTTTCGCGCATTCTGAACACACCCTTGCCGGTCACAATTACAGATCAGGTCGACAAAACAAAAAACTTGGTTCATCACAGCAACAAACCGTTCATCATTCTTTACCCGGAATACGGAAGTCTCAAGCTCTTTGTATCATCATCAAAAATTAGTGGCTATTGGAAAGTGATGTTCCCCCCGCGGTGGTATGCTGGTGTTAAGACCCGCGCAGCCGAATTAAACGTTCCATTCAAACCGGACGGCATGAAGACAGGGGGTTTACCCGGTAGTCCATTTCGGAGAGGTGTGTGCCCAGCTGCAAAGACGAAAAGGCGCAACTTGTAACTTATAACATCTCACCGAATGAAAGCCGAGGACGACTCCATAGCAGGTTAGTCGGCAACGACACGGCCATATATCCGTCAAGCCCAAGACGCGGTTGCCCTTCCCAAATAGGTCGATGACCTAGATTAACTTGATGTGTGGGTGGGTAGTGTGCCTCGCCAGCGCCCACCCTTGCCATAGTTGGGGACCCCCCTGGCAGCTTACCCCAACTTTAGCTAGTGCTAGTCAATCACCCGGAGCCCTCAGGTGCGACGCCTTTCCCAGTTGGGGCTCCGAGATGGTGTGGCCCGCTTCCTCGGGGCAAGACGCGCCGGGTTTGGGAGCTCCCAGCAGGTCCGTTTACACGTCGCTCGCGCTTTGCCGCTGGGCAAGGTAGAGTCGAACGAGTGTTTTGTGCCTCAAAAGAGAGTGATTCTACAACGGCATTATTTTGTGTTTCATTTGGAAAGCTGCGTGAAACCTTGGCCAAGTTGGCAGCAGCGAATCCATCAGAGGGCTTATGGGTGACTCCACCCGACAGCTACGTTGGCCAAGGAGGGGGGGCGGCTTAGATTCATAGACAATGTGAAGGGGTATCAGACGACACTCTCTCCGCAGCCCGTTCACGCCCATCCCGCTCTGGCACGCGCGATGCCGGTATATAAGAAGCCGCCCCCTACGTTGTATCCCCAATAGGCGTACCCCAAGTTCTCCCCACAAGCACTCTTCAGTTCCTCTTTTAACTTGCACATCATGCAGTTTCTGAAGATTGCGGCCATGGCCGTGCTGGCCCTCGTCGGCCAAAGCGAAGCGAAATCCACCTTCAGTCCCGCAAGACCCCCGGCAGCGCCTCTAGCTGTCCGTTCCCCATACTTGAACGTCTGGCTTAATGGCCGAACCGACGGTGGCGATAGCGGCTATCTAGCTGGCCAGTGGCCACGCTTCTGGACGTGAGTTTTTCTCGGAGTGCTCGGTATCTGCACAAGCTGACTCTTGGAACTAGGCAAAACGTCAACGGCTGGCAAGGTATTGTCAAGGTCGATGGAAAGGCCTATTCTTGGATGGGTGGCCAGCCCGGCCTTGACTATGTCGACCAGGTCTCGTTGTCCTACACTTCTACAAACACAGAGTTCGTCATGAACGTCGCCGGCAAGGTGCAGATGCGCATTCGCTTCTTGTCCCCGGTCTTCGCAACCGACCTGCAGAGACAGTCAATCCCATTCTCGTACATGGACGTTTCAGTCAAGCCTTTGGACGGCCGCTCGCATACCGTCCAGGTTTATTCTGACGTCTCTGCCGAGTGGGCCTCTGGTGACAACGGCGCTATCATCCAGTGGGAATCTGCAAGCAATGACGGCATCCGCTCGCACAAGTTCTGGCGCCGCGACCAAGTCAAGTTTGATGAATTCAACGACCAAGCCTCTTGGGGCAACTGGTATTGGTCGACTGCTGATGTCGTAAGTTTATACCTTTGGGTCATATTGATTTGAAAGTGACTAATGTCGTATTAGCGAGGACTCACCTACCAGATCGGTGCCGATGTTGACGTTCGCAACCAGTTTGTCAACAACGGTATGCTCACCAACAACATCGACACACAGTTCCGTGCTGTTAGCGACAGATGGTAAGCAGAGTTGCATTTAATGGATGTTTTACATGCTAATAGAACTTGAATAGGCCCGTATTCGCCTACTCTCGCGACCTCGGACGAATCAACGGCGAAACCAGTACCCTCTTCACCATCGGTATTGCTCAAGAAGACGCCATTCTCTTCTCTGGTATCCAGAAGAACGTTGCCGAGCCCTCGCTCTGGAAGTCGTACTTTTCCAACGAAAGTGATTTGGTCAAGTTTTTCTTCAAGGACTACAGCTACGCCACTCAGGCATCCAACAAGCTTGACCAGCGCATTGCTGATGACTCGATTGCCAAGGGCGGAAAGGACTACCTCACCATCACCAGCTTGGCTCTGCGTCAGTCATTCGGTGGCCTTGGATATGCCGGTACTAAGGACGACGTCAAGGTATTCCTCAAGGAGATCAGCTCTGACAGTGATATCCAGACTGTCGACGTGATCTTCCCTGCGTTCCCCGTTATGCTCTACTTGAACCCCAACATCATCAAATGGACCCTTGAGCCGCTTCTACAATATCAGAAGAGCGGACGTTACCCCAACAAGTGGGCTGTTCACGATCTTGGACGCTACCCTCGCGCCCTTGGCTACGATGATGGCAACGATGAACCCATGCCTCTTGAGGAATGCGGAAACATGATCATCATGATGCTTGCATATGCCCAGCGTACCGGAGACAACCAGTTCCTGTCGGACAACTGGAAGCTAATGGACCAGTGGGCTGGTTACCTCATTGATGACGCCAAGATTCCTGCTCACCAGCTGTCAACCGATGACTTTGCTGGCCGTCTTGCTAACCAGACCAACCTGGCTATTAAGGGTATTATCGCATTGGAGGCTATGTCCGAAATTGCCAAGAGATCTGGCAACAAGGATAGCATTGACAAGTACTCCAAGGTCGCCCATGACTACTTGGACTTTTGGTCTACTCATGGTATCAACCACAACGCCAACCCTCCCCACACCACTCTCCAGTATGATGCCCCCGATACCTATGGTCTTCTCTACAACGTCTACGGTGACAAGGTTCTTGGCCTTGATTTTATCCCTCAGGAGGTTTACGACATGCAGAGCAAATGGTACCCTCATGTCAAGAACCAGTACGGCATGGTGCTCGACACCCGCGGCACTCTGACCAAGACTGATTGGGAAATGTTTGTTGCGGCCGTCTCTAGCAAGGAGGTCCGCGATGAATTCATCTCGCTCGTTGCCAAATGGATTAACGAGACCAAGACATGGCGTGCATTCACCGATTTGTATGACACTGTCGATGGCGGTTACCCTCGCGGCATCGAATTTGTATCGCGCCCTGTCGTCGGCGGCGTGTTCGCCCTGCTTGCTCTCCCGTAAAGAGTAGTAACGCAGACATACCAGTCGGAGGGGTTGAGCGAAGAAAGTCGGCAACGGTGAAAGCTGTATTTGGAACTGTCCCTATACAGGCAATGGTGCGCTGTGGCACCTAGCCTTGCGACGATATGACCAGAAGGGGTAATAGTAGGAGCGCATCACCTACATAGCCTGCGTACAGTGTGGGAGTTACGGTAGCATCAGGCCTGGCTCTATTGCGCGATCGAGAAAGTCAAACGAGCAATTCGATGCGGCTTTTTTCTCATTCGTTCTTACACATCATAGACTCCCGCTGTGGAGGTGTCTGTTCATTTTTTTTCTTTCGGCGTTTTGGGTATGTCTTGGCCGTGCCATTAGACACCTACGTACATATACGCATATACATGCAAAATTTACAGAGAAGCGGTATCGCCTTATACATAGCCAATATATACTGTTTACTGCAAGTGGAGAAGATGCACTCTATAGATGACGCACAACATCAACATGGAGAGCTCATTACCTGTCAACCAGCAGAAAAATGTCGCATACTTTGATAGTTCTCATCGTTTAACGCAACACTGTTGCACAGACACTCCACTGTGGCACAGCATAAACTCTACCCTTTCCCCAGGTTCCCATCGAGGTGTAAGACTCTCCACCGCCACTAACGGGATCTGGGCGTCCGCGTGCTCAGCAGAGGCTCTCGTAGTGATATGTGAGGGAAATATGTGGCATCAGCTAGTGCTGCAGGGTGCTACTTGTACATGTACTAACATTAATCGATTTCGTAGAAGACAGCAAAAGTCACAAATATCATTAGATTCAATCGGCCGTTTAGAATACTGGCATTCAGTCGTACAACGCATCGGGTGTCTGCACACGCAAGCAAATATGAAAGAGCCAAGACTTCACACTCGAAGCAAACAAGGACAAACCAAGGCTCGCGTGCTCTATAACACAATGAAACCAAGGAGTACACTTACACCAAGCAGGTTTTTAAGCCACCGCCTTGGTGGGCGAAACGAAAGTACCTGAAAAATACAAGCACCACCTAAAACCCGCCGCGGGGGTTGCAGACGCCTCCTAAAACTCTGCCGCCCACAGCGGCCTGGTGACCATTTTTAGCGGGCGTGGCCACTCCACCGCCTAATTTCTCAACGTAAAATGGCTGATGGGGGGTAACCAGCGTCCGCTAAAACTGGCCCCTACAGTGCGCGTCTCCAACGCGGCATTGGGGGGCGCTTTCAGCGGGCACAACGGCCGCTGACTCTGGCACTGTGTTAGAGGCGGTGGGTGGGTTTTTTTTCTGCTTGCTGCATGCACCACTGAGTCGGGCCCCGCGCGATCCCACGCTTAGTGCGGAAAAAAATTCGGAGGGGTAAGCCGGCAGTGGGCGGCTCTAGAATCTCCAGGTGTGCAGAAGCTAGTGCCTTTTTTTTCATTCTCTCTTACAGTGTGCACTGAACCAAACGTTAGTGTTGCGGTGCCTGATTCACACAATAGAGGGATCAGCAGTGACAACCACAGTGTGCAGACACTGTCCAGGAGCGGCACTGTACTGCCGGGGGTCTCGTGTCATGTAGTCGTTTTCTGGGGCCTTTTGAGCTTGTTTTTGTTGCCCAATTCAGGCCTTTTGTTTTAAAAACACCAAAAGCTCCTTTCTCCTCTTTTGATTTTGCTCTTCTGCATCCCTCGACAACGATCCCCTTGCGTGGCGGTCTCGTCGATCTTGCTTCTCAGCTCCCTTGAATGCAATGGCCGCCTCTATGATTGTTCCTCTTTAGCACCCAGCTTCTGTCGTCTCTTTGCCGCATTTCCCCCAACGCTTCGTCGGTGTTCAAGCCGAAAAACACGCACCGCTGTTTCTTTAATACCTGCGAGCACTTGCATGACTACCTGTCTTATCAAACCAACCGTCTTCAAGCTTCAAGTAACTGCCCGCGTCTAATCTGCATCTCGGCTTATCTGCGTCACCACCCCACGCCGACCCTGTCTTATCGAAACCCGGACGATCGCTTCTATCATTGTGAATAAATAATCATTTACAACCAAAACACTTGTCATTTCTCAATAGTAAATATGGCTCGTTTTGTCGATTTAGAAATGGAAGATGGGCCGGACGATGTGCCACCGGATTACGCTCAGGCACAGCCCGCTCAGGCCAGCGGTGTAAGCGAGCCTCTTCAAATCATGGCTCCTAAAAACGAGACCGCCATGGCCAGAGCCCTCCAGTGCTATCCGTAAGTAGCTTATTGTTCCTTATGTTATTCGTATCCTTGGCGGCTGTGAACCACCTGAATTTGTTGTTTGTTCAGTCGTATCTCTCGTATAGAATGCTGACCGTTTTGCTTACAGAATTGCCATTGCCATTGTATCCTCCATCGATCTCAACACGCTAGACTCCCTGGCTCGAACCAACCGATCGACATACACCACCCTCATCCAGTTTCGTGGTGCTCTTATTTCGTCAACGTTGCGCTGCACCAACGAGAATGTACCCCTAGACCCTGAGCAAACGCTGCGGTTTCGTGCTAGAGCCATTGAGGGCTCGACATTGACCAACATCTCCAAGGCTGGAGACTGTGCTAGGGATATGGTGTCCGAGTGTAGACGCTGCGCCACTGTGATTTGCAGAGTAGGCTGACCATACACTGTGCAACTTGCATACAACATGTCACTAACACTGCGCCTAGAACTGTGCCATCAAGCCACCCACAGCCGTGGCGCTGCGTGAGCGTCATCGCCGCATCTGCAAAACCTGCGCCAAAGCATCGCTCAACGCCGTTTCTAGCCCACCACTTGATGCTGATCTGCCTTGGAGTTCGGACATTTTCGGCCACGCGCTTTGCAATTGCTCCTCGGGCGGTGTTTGGCTCTGCCAACCATGTGGTCGCGCTGTACGAAGCGCCGACAATGACTACCAAGCGTGAGTCCAAATAGATGGTGATAAAACAAAACTAGTACTAATCCTTTTACAGCATTTGGCGTTGGAGAGTCCAATATGGTGAATCTCTCGGTGGCCTGGGTACTGGAATCGGTGATGGTGACCGCGGTGTCATCTGCGGCAAGGAGCGCGAGTGCCTAGCTGCCCGATACATAGAGCAGGAGATGGATTGCGACGCCGAAGATGCCAAGGGCAGTCCAATTGGATCTGCATGGTCACAATCTGACGCTACTGGAGGCTCATACGCATCCTCTTCTTCTGGCAGCGGTAGCCATTCGCCTAACTCATACTTCCCACGCGCTTCTTCCTCAGATAGGGCCGGGTCAAGATCTTCTCAGAACATCGAATCACTAATCGACGAGTTCAGAGCCCACGACCGCACCCCTTCGCCTCTCTATGGCCCTGGATATGAACGCCATGAGATTGAAGGTATTGGTGGTATCGTCAAACGCAAGATTGTGCGTATGGTTCGAGTCGGTGCTTGCGTGCCGGAGTGGCAAGACGAAAAGTCGCATTTTCCAGCTGTGCCCGGCTCCCGCGTCTTAGGCCATGAGGTTCGCGGTGAAGTTCGCAGCTGGTGTGGCTGGTGCTCCCGGGTTGTTCCTGGCAAGAAGGATCTCATTGAGATTGCAGCCCGCGATGCGGCCCGTCAGCCGAGTACTCCTATCTCGCATCCCATTGTCCCCATGCAGACAAGACATTCGACTCTGCCAGTCAGGCCAGCAATTCACAAGATGGTTGGTGTATCTGTTTAAATGCCAACCTCCCACCAACATAACACACTCTTTACACCATCCACGCCCTTTGTACCAAGCAACAGGGGCTCTAATGACTTTTTGATTTTGATAAATTTTACGATCATTTACGCATAGTTTACTGTATATTCTTTTACTGCACGTGTGCGGACGTATCCGGACTTACATGAGCCTCCGCGCCAGGAGTTAATACACCTGCCAGCATTCAGTGCTGTGATGCTTTGACAAACATTGAACATATTACGAGATGAAATGGAATAGTGATATATGAAAATTGGTAGTTTTAAATTCTAGTCTGGAGGAGTGTCCATAAACATAGCTATAGTTACAAGTAGCTCAGCTGGTGCGTCTGGCATTTGCATCTTGCCGAGACCGCAAGCCAAGACTGAGATGGAATTGTGTTAATGCATAAAAAAAGGAAACCGGATGATGAGTGTCTGCATATCCGCGTAGAAAGTGTAGGCTTCGTGGGCGTAGATCCAGCACTGCGACTGCAGCCAACCCTTTCCTTAGAAAACTTTTTGAAGAGTATAATAATACAACAAGGATATCAACAAGGTTTCTCCTCACATCAACTAAATCTCGCCACGGAGAAGCATATCCTGTCTCTGTCTGCGCTGTCTTCTAGCCTCCGTCTTCATCGGACCCCATCTCTCTTGCTGGCGCTCACTCTTGCCCTGTAGCCATGCGCGGTGCGATGCTGATGCGGGTGCCGCGATTCTAACAAAGTTGTCAGAGCACTTGAAGCGACGCGCAAGAGCGTTGATGCTCCATGTGAGCGGGTCCTCTTCGCGAAGCTTGCGCATCTCCTGAACATCGGCCTGTGTGAGGTGATAGGAGGGGGCGTTGCCGCGGTTCTTGGCCAGCGCACTCGGGGGGAGCACCCTCGTCTCGCTGACACCGGGGATATGAGAGTCTGTGGATTTAGCCTTGAGGCGCATGCGTTCAATGGCTGGGCGTCTGGGGTCGTTTTGAGGAAGGAAGATGAAGGGCGTGTGGTCGGGAGAGGCTTCGGACGCGGGCGGGTTGTAGACGATGGATGTGGCGGCAGGGAAGGCAGTAGAGCGGTCGGGCATAAAGGAGGAGTGAGGGGCGATTTTGAGAGATCGCTTCGTTCGTGCTGTTGTCTTATGGCCACGAGTCGTGATAAGAGGGCTGAGAGAGGTGGTTTGGCGAGTGGGAGCGAGTAGCTGGACGACCGGTCGCGTGAGAAGACGGGCCTCCATGGTGACGGTCAATTGGGTTATATATATGTGACAGATGGATAATTGTTGCTAATAGAGGATGAGGGGCCGCAAATGATCGTGTCTATTTGCTCGATTGTGATGAGAATTGAGGATGTCGGGGAAAAGGAGGTCGTCGAGCGATTGGGATCCGTTGCGCCTGGGGGGTGAAGAATGGGATTGTGAAGCGCTGAGGTATTGGAATTGCGCGACTTTTGAGAATTTGGAATTAGAAATTTATACAGGCAGAGAATTTGTAATCCGGCGAAATGCTACCGCTGTAAAACGGGTGATGAAACGACAACCGCCAAATAGCGAACGATCATTCGGTCGCCAGAAAATGGGTGGTGAAGTTTTTCCGCAACAAATTAGTGATTAGGTAAGGAGCTCGTCGACCTTGGGTGGCCGTCACGTGGGCGTGGTCCCTGAGCTCCCAAGGGTCCAAGGGTCTTCAACTACATCAACACTTAGATGAAGAGATGGCGTGGAATAAGGTACAGAATTGTAAAGAAAAATTATAAAATAGGTTTTGATATTTGATTTTAGTCTGGTTAAAGGGTTTACTGGATCGAAGACAAACATTCAGATACATACAGTTCCTGCGAGGCGAGTATCATGGCACGCGTTGATGCAGTTAATACGGAAGGACTACAATATAGCTTTACTTGGTTGTCTAGCAATTCTAGAAGCTCCAAATCTAGTGCAGTAATACATAGTTTTTTTTTTTTTTTTTGGTCTTTCGGTTCATACGGCCTGTACTAGGCGGATGCTGCCTTGCGTGGGCTTGTCCACAGGAGCTCTCTCGTGCTTGTTGCCTAGAAAGGGGGTGGCACAATTGTCAGGATTATCCTGTCGCCTTGGATAATGTGGAATGCAGTTAATTTGGATCTTCACATTGAGTCTCGTGCGCTGTCGTTTGAAGTTGCCGATCTAGAAGATCGAGAGCAGGGGATGCGAAACAAGAAGAGAACACAGCAGGGGCTAGGGTAATGGCACAGCCCCGACTTGATGTTTAGCCTAGATGGCAAAATGTGTAATTATTTTGCTGTATATCGTTTCTTCTGCCAGGATGTATACCCCTAGCTAACGAGCCGCAGGCTGCTGATCTGTCGTGGTAGTTGGTGCTAGTTTTGTGTGGTGCTGTTGTATGGTACAACGCTATGACGTAGGGATGAAGGCGATCGTGGCAACCAGTCTAGCAAAGCTAGAGGCAGAATAAAAGCAGAACTACTGAGTTAGAATAGCCTACTGGAATACATCGGAATTCAATGTAAAATATTCTTTACATCTTATCAGAACGGGAGAGCTAAGATACTGGGAGGCGCTATTTTGTGATTTCTCCGTGTGATGTACACACAGCACATGAGACCAGGCGTGACCAGCAAGTATCAGTTAAGCGCGCGGGGTTCGTGTGTCCTCCACGCTGTGTAAATATATGGAAATTACGCTTCGAGTTGATATCAGTCCTTTCAAAGATTATATACAATTTCAGAAAAGGGCATCTCCATAGCCATACCGAAAAGGATTAAATCCCAGTTGCTCCTTTTGTTGTTATGCCTAGCCTAAACCCCCCCTCCCCTCTCGCCCCTAACAAAGTTTTAGTGGCTCCAGTCCCCCGCCTCTCCCGCTCTTCAAGCGCTGTGGCTCCAGGAAAAGGAAGGCAGCCGAAAATCTAATGCTCCCGTGACGTCTGCCTTTTTCTATGCTTCTCCGCTTCTGCCGTCATTCCTCATCTTCTCTTGTCCGCATTGAAACGCAACCCAACCACTGCAGCGCTGCGACAACCGTTCAACTTGGAAAGCTTTGGATTTCTTGTACTGCCGCCGCCTGATTCCCTGCAGCTTTCCTTCAACCTCGCACAACACTACGCTGAGCACGCTGCCTGCTTATTATAGGTTCCACCACTGCAAACGTTCCACGCTCTCTCTGCGGGTCTCGACAAGCTTCTCACAGCTTTCTTCCGAGCTAATCCTGGATACGAATCCCCTTTAGACCCCTGCTTTCAACATCGATATTCTGTTTATTTGCCCAGAATAGAAGAGGAATACAGGCACTAGACAATCGGAATCTTTTGTCTGCTACTTGATCTTTTTTTTTTTTTTTGGTTAAAAGAACTGAACGAATAGATCGCGAAGCCCATATCGTAAGTTGGTTGCCGTCGCTTGTTTCATCCTTCAATGCTCTTGCATCGCAATACGCTGCCCCTTGTTTGACGGAACGGCAGCCACGAACTATAACCGAGAATCGTCCTCGCTTGTTCCGAAACCGTGTTGTCAAGGCTGGCTTCCTATCTTTCTCCTTCTACTTTGAAATACATCCTACGATATCTACTTATTAACCAGTGTGACTTGCAGTTTGTCGATTCCACTCTGACTTCCCCCATACAACGAGCCCAACTTTCCGACACATCAAAAGCGTCACAAATCGACAATATGACTGGATCAGACAGCACCGGTACTTCAACACCCAGAGCGAACCCTGACACTGCCGACATGACTGCTGCCGACAAGCACCTCAAGCCCAAGAAGCGCTTGTTTGGATTTGGAAAGAAAAAGTCATCATCAGGATTGTCAGCGGATGAGGAGCCAGCCTCAACAAAAGTCGCCCCTTTGACTGAAGATTTATCAAAGCTGTCCACTGGCAGTGTACCAACGACGCAGACGACACATGTCGACAGCTCGCTGAACTCGCCGTCAACGCCAAGTCGAGCTCTGTCCGCCTCGCCACGGATTGTATCACCTGCCGGATCTCAGATCTTTGAGCGTGATGTACAAGAAAGCACCTTGACCCCCGCATCACCAGCCATTCCAACACATATCCAAACCGAAAACTACATTCCTTCGGTTCTTGACGATGCATCGGAAGCCATTACAAACGACAACCTGGACCCTGATGCCGTTGAAATCGTAACACACACTTCTCACCAGCCCGCCTCGGTGACGGTTACTGGCGCTGGCGCCAACCAACCCGCGGGCGAACAGTCTTCTACAGAGTGGGCGGAGGAGCTTGCATCGTTTGCAAACAGAATTGGGCTTCCTGCCGATTCTGCCTCCAATTACGGCTCTCTTGATTCGGGCGACGTGCGCCGACTATCCTTTATCTCCTTTGCTGATGTTGTTCAGTCGGAGCACACTGCTACTAGTCCAGTAGCCCGCGATAACATGCATCTCGTCGGTCTCACGTCACTACCTTCTTCAAGAATGAATCGATCACCATCGCCTTTGCGATCTCCAGTCTCAAGTCAAGGCCCCGGTACTAGCCCACCAACAAGCAACCCTGGCAGCATTAAAGGACTTGACTTGAGCCCAACCCGCAAACACCTGAACAGCCCCGGCCATCTGAACATTGGCTCAGGCAGCGACCTCAACATTGAGACCATGCGCCAGGCACTACGTCGCACAGGCAGCCGGGACATGAGCACGGTCCGAAGCACACCAGCCAGCCCTATCGACGGCCCCGGATCCCGTTAACCACCCACGATACCCTTTCTACACAAAGTATTTTGATCCGTATTCGGAAGCTTTTGGACGCAATTTTCTTATTGCTCTATGTTGCTAGCTTTCGCAGCTATTCATCTGGTTTCTGTTATACTGGACATTCATTTGCCGTCTCTTTGTTGTTGTTATTCCTCTTTTTTTCTCTTTTGATATTGTACGCGGCGAACTAGGTTTCGATATTGCCAGGCCGGGTTGTTTGGAAGGACATTTATTATGATTACATTTCAGCCCCAGGACAATAAAAAGTAGCGTTGAGCGCTGAAGCAGCGCAGAGGTAGTTGTAAGCCGTTTTGAACGGCGTTGGCTGACTACCGCGCGTTGTTGGACCATGAATCAAGATTGGCAGGGCCTTTCCATCATTAAATACAGATTCTTTATTGTCAAGTGATATTTATCTAGAGTGAGAGTGATACTGCCTTCCTGTAAGAAGATGCGTTAGAGACGACAGCTTCGTTGCGGACTTGACGTCACAAATGGAAAGTGGAAGCGCACTTGGAGACGAGAGGCAGCCATCGGCTTCTCGGGGAACGGGTTCCACTTGAACGAGATGAGATGGAAGCCAAAAGGGCAGCCCTGTCGACTTGCATTAGCACTTGGGGGCCACAGGCCTGCTTGTGAGAGATTAACTTAGTTAGGGTCGGTCTAAAAGTGCCGTGCTGCCATCCACGACCGCTTAGAGCGGCTTTGGAAACGGAGCTTGTCTTTGGACAAATTGGACAGTATACTTCGAAGGCGCTGGATAGATGGAGGATCGCGGATGTTCGGGCCGCCCCCAGCAAAGGGTAACTTGGTGTATGGCCAAACAGGCAACACTATCGGACCTCGGTCTTTTGTGAATTCCTTCTCGGTCTTAATTGTCCCTGTAAATATCCAATACTGTGGGGTTCAAAGCGCCTGTCGGGTATCAAAATGGAGTGATTGTCAGGCAATCCGGCAAAAGAGAGCAAGCCTTTTTTTGGCCGTTGTTCCAGAAGGGCGCACAGCAGCTAGCGGGATTGGTGCAGGCGTTTTGGTGTGTGTAGTGGTTGCGCCGCGCATCGGCCTAGCTATAGGCGGCGTTTGATGGACTGAATTGTTAAGAGGCGAGATTTTGGTAGGGATTTGTGTCCTCCACCCGCGTCATTAATTTGGCTGTGCCCCAGAATGTTTAGCCGGGCCTCTATACACTGAAGCAGCTCTCCCAATCTCTATCCTTTTTTTTGTGTGTCTTCTGTACTGTATTTGGTCTCATTTCATACAATGGCCAGCGTCCCAATCTAGGCTCCCTCAATTTCGCCTACAGCGCACGCACCTAAATTAGGCCTTGGCTCGAGTGACCTTTGCGACAGCGGGGGGACCTACAGAAGGGCCCCCTGGTCTGTCAGCTAGCGGCGGCACTTGCAGCTAGCCAGCGCAAGCCAGGCGGGGACGCTGCAGGATTGGATTAGGGCCTGTTCACTAGCGGCTTTAGCTTTAGCCAGTGTACTGTACTATAGCCAGCCCAGCTAGCCAGCACCAGGACAAGGAGGAGCATGGAGAGGGCATTTGGGATTTTCTTCCCAAAAGGGTTTCAATAGCGCAGGAGTAGACGAGGGGTTGGTCTTACGTGGGTCGACAAATAGAAACGCTGCAGCAAATGGCTGCCAAGTCAATATAATACCAGAAGCAGCTGCTGGTTCTTCTTTGGCTAGCTACTCCGTGGCCAGGTGGCGAGGACGCCTGCGTCTCGGTTGGCCTGTGCTTGAGCTCTCTAAGGATGGCGATGCAGGTACAGTACGTAGGATTCAGGTGCGAGTCAAGCAGCGAGGCTACAAGCATACAGGTCAGTGTCATATCGAACCAAAACTCCTTGTTGTCTCCTGCCTGCTGCGCCATTAGTGGGCGGTGGCGGCATGGGGGAGAGCTGAAGGCTTGCAAGTTCTGTGGTGCGCCTCCCGACGGCGCCGTTGGCTGCTTTGTTACATTATTCAAGATAAGTTAGCTTGAGGACGGGACGGTACGGTAGCAATCTGGCCAACTGCAACGCTGGGCCAGGAAATACAAATTATTGCCCTTGTAGTAGACAATACAGTGAAAAGCGTGTCTTTCGCGAACTTTGTCCTTTTTCTTACATGCCAAGCGAACTATTGCATAGCTCCAAGGAGGCAATGGGGAGAGAGAAAAGAAAAGTGACGAGTCGTGCGTGCGTGCTTGCAGACGCCTTGCTTAGCTCGTTAATGGAGCGAGCGAAACCGCTGTGTTTTTTACAGCGCTGGTCCTGTACGACCGGTGTTGGTACTGTATTACAGCTAGTGCAGCGCTGTAGGGATCGACGCCGTACAGAACGGTGCCCGGCACTGCGGGTACTAGCCTCGGGCGCCTCCTTGAGCCTTGTGTTAATAACAGGAATGATGCTGCGGGTTCGGCTGCCTGACAATGCGACACGTAATGCCAGGCCGTCTTCCTTTTGCCTTCCTTGCGTCTTCTTTTGCGTCGTGCATGGGCATCGGATGAGGAAGATTGCTGTGTGGTACGTGCTTTTAAGATGCTGGCGCAGCACTTATTGTTGTGTTTTAACTGTTTTCAGCACAGCTTCATTTCCTAGCTCTACCTTTTTATTTCGCTTTTTCTTTTTTTTCTTGTTTTGGTAGGAATCTGTGATTAGTATCTCCCCTTTCACTTTTTTCCATTCTTCTTCTTCTTCTTTCCTCCTCCTCATCATCATCTCATCGCCTGTTCTCCTCGAAGAACAAACCACCCATCCACTACATCCACTCACCCATACCACCTCGTCTTCCCCTTCTTTCTTTTCCTGGCTCTGCGGACCGTCGCTCCTCCAGCTCTCTCTCCTCTCCCAGCGCTTTCGGACTACATCCCGCTGCACCGCCTCTGAACACCCGCTCGCAAATTGAAACGTCCACTAAAAAAATAGCGCTAAAACGTCGACAAGCCAGTGGGACCCATTGCTTTCTGCACTCTCCGGCAGTGGTCACCCACTATAAACATTCACTAGTCCAGAGACCCCCAAACTGCTACCCTCTTTTTTTTTGCCTCCCTCGCTCGCTGCCTGCCCCACCGCCCGATTCGTACACTCCGCAGTCCACTAGCCTACAGCAGCAGCAGCAAAGAGGCAGCAGCAGCGATTGAGCCAAAACCCGCCGCTTGCGAATTTCCCCTCCAAAAAGCTAAATCCTACCAAAAAAAACACCACCACCTCTGGGCCATACACTTTCTCGCTAACGGCTGAATTTTACACCGCACTCTCGACAAAGGTATCTTTTCCAGCAACACTTTTGCATCCGAATGTTTTAAGCCGCAAAAAACGAGCACGACGACAATCTTGATTCGCCCGTCACGCCGTCCCGACTTAGTTCACCTCTCCCTCAGCTTTCTCTCGAAATACCCCTCTCCAGCGCAGTCTTGGTGAATAGTAAGCCTGCCTCTGGCTGCTCATTTCTCCTCAAGGCCAAGCATCTCAACTGCCGCCAACAAATGTTTCGTCCTTTTCTTTAAATATCTCGCAAGCAATGGCATAGTTTATGCTTCGACACAGTAAACTATGAAAGGACAGCCGGCGCACCTGGAGCATGCCGACGGCGAGGGCGCTGGTCACGATTCACATCCCACCGCTCCCGCAGCTCCTCAAAGTCCTCGCACCGATCGCTCTCCCAATCCCAACCGAACCTCCCCTCCGCAATTCGATTCCCTCAATATAACATCCGAAATCTCCGAGGCCCTGAGTTTACCAACCGCCAACCTCTCACTAGACCCGGCCCTCTCCCCGGTACCCCGCGGGGTGTCTCCGCAACAGGCTTCCCCTCGAGCTGTCCCTGGTGGCATCGGCCGCCGCAGAGGCATCGTCTTTAACGACTCCTTCACCGATCCGACTGACGCCTTGCAAAATAGCACCTCCGCCCAGCAGCAACGGCAGGCAAGTACTGGCTCGCGGCCCCGCACGCGAACGCTGGATGCTGCCGCCGGAATACAACGAGCGGCAGGCGTGGGCAGCTCTGACCCCAGACATCGGGTTGGAAGCTTTAGCTCCTCTCCCCCTCAAAACTTTGGCGATGACAGACGCCCGCCGCCGATATCGATCGATGCTGCTGGCTACCAGGCCCCTTCACTGGGCTCCCGTCAGCTAGATACCCCGACCACCCCGAGCTCAGCAAAAGATCGAAAGGCAAGCAAGCGCCTACTACCAATAATGTCCTCCCGCCCCTCATCGCCGCTGTCACCAGCGTATCCAACTGCAGATTCACTATGCCCTCCAAAGGCGTCCGATGACCCAAATAACGTCATATCTTTAATGAAGACGGCATGTGGCAAGATGCGCGGCGAAATCGAGTACCAGTCAGAAGCGGGTGGTCCTTGGTATGCCGGCATTGCTTACATCGACGAGGATACGGGGTCGCTGATGTTCGACTCAGGTCAAAATGGCCAATTTTTAATCCCCATTATCTCGGATATTCGGGGATGTCGTGTTATCGCCGTGCAGCATACGGAGACTGGCAAGCGATGCCTGGAGCTATCTCCGATGCTCTCAACCCTGAACCTTCTACTCACCCCACCAAATCAGGATGAGTTTGACATGTGGTTCGCTGCCTTCTTGTGCTGGCAACAAACTCGCCCTACACCCCTAAAGCTTCTAAATGGAAAACCCTCTACTCCCATTGGGCCGGGTAGATCCGATGTCGTTACACACGGCAAGACGCTAGAAGCAGAGAAGCAGCCAAGCATTATCAAATTCGATAAGCTCATGGTCTGGGATAAGGGCCTAGCAGCTGTTCCAAGAACCAACTTCCTCCGCTCATCAGCCAAGGATGCCTGGTCACCGACAGCATCATGGAAGAACGTATCATGTATTCTACAAGACAATGGTGTGTTCACACTATTACTTGAGAATGATGTCATTGCTCTATGCATGATTGATCTCGCCCAGCTTTCCCGCCACGCCATCCAGCAGCTCGATCGAACCGTTTTGAACGAAGAGTTCTGTATCGCCGTCTTCCCCACATATTGCTCCAAAGCATCCAGAATCTCTATTTACCGCCCAGTTTACATTGCTTTAGAGAACCGAATGCAGTTCGAGGTCTGGTTTGTGCTGCTGCGAGCATTTGCAACTCCAGATATTTATCAGCTTAACAACCCAGACGACGACGAGTTGCTCGAAGTTCCAGACTTGTCAAATGAGACTTGTGGCGAAATCTTCCGCATGGAAAAGATTCTTAGCGTCCGAGTTATCGAGGCAAAAATAAAAGCCAAGGCAACTGGGCTAGAATTCTTCTTCCCCGAGAAGCATGGAAAGATTGAAAACGACCCGCTGGTTGGCAACTATTTGGCCGAGGTCATCGTTGATGGTGAGGTTCGTGCCCGAACAACGACCAAATTCAACACCAAAAATCCATTTTGGCGTGAAGACTGCGAAATCGTCGATCTGGCACCGTCGGTTCAAGAATTGTCTGTCTTGGTGAAGCGAGTCGACATGGAATATGTCTATCCAAAGACCACAGCAGCTCAACACAGAACCGCCGGAAACCAGGAGTTTGTCTGCGGAACAGTGAATATTGCTCTAGATCAGCTAGATCGAGGCAAAGATCATGAGGCGTGGCTTGAAATCCATGACGAGAAGCGCAAAGTCATTGGCTCAATGCTTATTAAAGTACGCCACGAGGAGCATGTTGCCCTTCTAGCAAAAGAATACGCGGACCTTTCAGAAATCCTTCACCGCTTTCCCACTGGGTTAACGACGCTGATTTCTACCGCGATGCCTGCCCAACTGCGCCACTTGGCGGAGATGTTCCTCAACATCTTCCAAGCATCCGGTTCTGCCAGCGACTGGCTCATGGCTTTGGTGGAAGATGAGATTGATGGAATAGGAAGCCAGACATCCATGAAGAAGTATCGCTTCAGCAGCAGGCTCAAGTCTAATGAATCTGTTGAGTCGGCAAGTGACCGTGAGCTGATTGTGCGCGATATGAGCAAGTCTCTTGCTGGTGAAGCAAACCTCCTCTTCCGCGGCAATACGCTCTTGACTCAATCCCTTGAATTCCATATGCGTCGTCTGGGTAAAGAGTATCTTGAGGAAACTCTCCAAAATAAGGTTTTCGAGATCAATGAGCTGAATCCCGACTGCGAGGTTGATCCCAGCAAAATCCATCAAGGCAATGGTGACATTGATCAGCATTGGACACTCCTTCTTCGACTCACTAATGAGATGTGGCGATGCATTGCTGACTCTGCACTTCATATCCCCGCAGAGCTCCGCCATATCCTCAAGTATATCCGAGCGGTGGCAGAAGACAGATACGGTGACTTCCACCGATCTGCGACATACACTGCCGTTTCTGGCTTTTTATTCCTTAGATTCATCTGTCCAGCAATTCTTTCGCCCAAGCTCTTTGGCTTGTTGCGCGACCACCCTAGGCAGAAGGCCCAGCGTACCTTGACGCTTATTGCCAAGGTGCTACAGAAGCTATCCAACCTGTCGACCTTTGGAAAGCGTGAGGAATACATGGAGCCGATGAACAGGTTTCTAACCACCAACAAAGCCGCCTTCCGCGACTACATCGATCAAGTATGCGGTATCCCTGCAGAGCGAGGCATCAAGGCCCAACCTGCCAACTACAGTACTCCGTTGGCAGTCATGAGCAGATTAAGCCCAACGGCAAAGGAGGGTTTCCCTACCCTTCCGTATCTAATCGATCATCCTAGAAGCTTTGCTGCTTTAGTAAAGCTCTGGTCCAACTATAGACCAGAAGATACTCTCCAAAAGGGCCAAGTGGATGGTGATTTGCTTATTTTCAACGATCTCTGTCTTGGTCTGCAGAAGCGGGCAGATGCCTGCCTGGCCAAAGTACGACGACTCCGTGCTGCCGAAGCTGCTGCACAGGGTATCTCTTGCGATGTAGTCACTTCTTTGGAAGATGCGACGATTGCCGACCCGGTCAACATACCCTTCACCAACCGAGAAGTTCCACACAACTACGACCAGTACCAGTCAGCAGGCAGTTCCGGTAGTGACGGGGCCGAAGACGCATCCAACAGGAACAGAGATCCTCGCCAAGCCAGTGATGGCCGTAAGGGAAGCTCCTCGCGCGGTATGCCCGGTGTGACGGGCACGCCAAAGAGCAAGAACGGCAAGGTGGGCAGGACGCTGCTCAGCGGCATCATGAAGATTGGCGGTCGATCTGAAAGCCCTGATGCCAAAAGCAGCCGCTAAATGCTCTGCCGTGACCAAACATATCGCTAGTCTGCCTGGCTGCTTGCTTCCCCTTTTCTTCCTACTTCGTTCAATATATTTTACCCACTACTACATACACACACACACCTTCATAGCGCGCGCATTTTGTCTGACGGTTTTATCCGGTCACGATTGTTTACTCTTTTTCTTTTGCTTTTCTATAAAACCAGCACGAGCTGAGGATGGCGGAGGGAGGGACTGGAGGAGTTGGTTGCGATTCAATACCACATTTTATAGCGTCTACAATACCATTACCCAAATACAATCTCCTGATCTTGACTCAAAACATTTTGTTCTGTAGTTCCATTCTCACTTAAATCGTCGCTGTATACAGCAAGCTATGTTATTTGTCTTTTTTTTGGTTCCTATTTTCTGTCTGTCGTGTCTGAGCCAACTACAGTTAATTCACATACCCGGCATGCAGCAGATACAAACAAACGCGTTTTCTCATCGTCTTTACGGATGTTCTACATATCGTCGTTCCAAACTTTTTCTCTCTTCTTTTCTTTTCTTTTCTTTTCGTTATACATAGGCAACTGCCGACTTACTGGAAGAACTTCTTGTAAGCAGCTTTTTCCTTAGCAAGGCGGGCAGTAGCCTTGGCCTTGACGGCATTGAGCTCATTGACAATGAGGCCATCAGCAGGGGCAAGCTTGTGAGCAGCCTCGAGATCGGCAACAGCGGCATCCTCATCCTTGACACGGACGTTGGCGAAGCCTCGGCGGTACAGGGCCTTGGCTCGGTCGGTGTCGGCGACGCCAGAGACAGCAAGAGCCGAGGTGGCGCTGCGAATGCAGTCTGTCCAGTTCTCGAGCTTCATGCTGAGAAGGGCAGAGTTGTTGTTGAGGGAGAATCGGAGGGCATCGAGGGCGGGCTTGGTGCTGGCAGGCTCGTCGTCGAGATCCGGGTCTTCGTTGAGGTATCGCAGGCCCTTCTCGTACTTTTCAAGGCCGAGGTTCAGATCGCCAGACTTGAAGGCCTTATTGCCAAAGTCCTTGCAGGCACCGGCGATCTCGAGGATCTTCTTGGCGGGTAGGGGCTGCTGCTCGGCGGGGAAGTCATCGGGGAAGTCCTCGTAAGGGTCGCCGGTGGCGTCGGGCTGCTTGGTGTCGGCGGCAAGGGCCTCGTCGCCGGTGAGCTCGCCGCAGTCGGCAATGAGGACCTCCTTCTCGGGCTTATCGCCGGCAGCGGTGCGCAGGTTCTCGATCTGGCGGACAACAGACTTGCCGTTGAGGACTTCGCCAAAGACAACGTGCTTGCCGTCGAGGTGGGGTGTGGGCACGGTGGTGATGAAGAATTGGGAGCCGTTGGTGTCTAAGGAAGAACAAGTTAGTTTGGGATCGTGACTGGTATTTGTGGCACGTACTGGCTCCGGCATTGGCCATGGACAAGAGGAACGGGCGGTCGTGCTTCTTGGGGAAAGCCTCGTCCTCAAACTTGGCGCCGTAGATGGATTCGCCACCAGTGCCATCACCAGCAGTGAAGTCACCACCCTAAATAGTAACGATTGTGAGTATGTTGCAAACTCTAGTTAGTCAGAAGACAAAGTAATACCTGAATCATGAACTGCTTAATCACACGATGGAAGATGGAGCCCTTGTAGTGGAGAGGCTTGCCCGACTTGCCGGTGCCCTTCTCGCCAGTGCAGAGGCTGCGGAAGTTCTCGGCAGTCTTGGGGACGAGATCAGAGTAGAGCTCCATGGCGATGCGGCCAGCAGGCTTGCCTCCCAGGCTGATGTCGAAGAAGACACGGGGGCGTGTAGGCTTGGAGTCTTCAGAAGTCATCTTTTCTTTCTTTTTCTTTGCTTATGTGTCTGTGAATTCGGCCGGTAAAGAAGTAGTATTGGGGAGGGTGGAGAGTGCTACTAAAGCAATTCTCTACGTCAATCAAGGCTGCTTTTGATTAAAAAAAAGACGAAAATGCAGGCTGATGATGACCACGTCTGCTGCTGAGGGGATTGCGTGTGTTTTGTTCGTGCAGAAAGGAAAACGGGCGGCGGCCGGGCCGTTCAGCAGGCGTCGTGATTGGGCGGGGAACTTTCTGGAAGCTGTAGCTTTTCGACGCGGGGTCAAAAAGCTGTTTGCGCCGCTGACAACGGCCTGGAATACGCCACAACGCCCGCTATCGATAGCGCTGTAGTACAATGTAACTTTGGTGGTAACCAGGACATTTAGATTGATGAGTGTTTTCTCTGTTACACTTTGAAATTATTCACTTTTAGTAGCAAAAGAGTTGTACAACAGTGTTACTTTCTTTTTTGTAATTTTTGTATATTTTATTTGTGTACAGTATATGTTCTAAATCATGTTCTAAGTAGAAAATGTGTACATTGGTTTGCCTTTATAGCCAGGCATCCCATCCAAAATCCAAATCTGATATCGCAATCTATAGTGCAAAATACTCAAGAAATTCATCGCTGAAATCAATCGCTAATGTGTCAAACACCCGCTTCATCTCGACATGGTTCGTACAAGACCCGTGTCGTCCCGCTTACAGGAGAGCGGCGGCGGCAAGCATAGCGGCACCAGCGAGCATGGGAGCAGCAGTCACAGCAGGGGCAGCAGCCTTGCTAGAGCTGGAGGAAGAAGAATCAGATCCCTTTCCGGTGGAATCAGCACCACCACCAACAGCGACAGTGACAGTGCTGGCAGGGGCGGTGGTCAAGGAAGTGGCAGTGACAGTCTTGACCTGGTTGTTCTCACTGGTGGTGTAAGTCCATGTCTTGACGTAGCTAGAAGGGGCGTAGGTCTTGACAGTAGAAGAGACGGCGGCAGCAGGGGCACCAGTCTCCTCAGCGGGTGCGATGGTACGGGTGAAGACAGGGGAAGGGTCAACGGCGCGGAACTTGGTGGCAAGGCCACCGCGTAGCTCACCATCTTGAACAATGTCTTCTTGCTTGACAGCCTTGGCGTTGGCAAGGAACTTCTCAAAGGTGTTGCCAGTGGTGGGGGCGTTGATGGAACCAACCATGCCAGAGCGGCAGTGATCAGCCTGGCCACAGTAGAACCAGATGGGCTTGGTGTTGTTGATTTCGAGGAAGAATTGGACACCGTTTTCGATCGATTGGAAAACAAAGCCAGAGTTGACACCGGCCTTCCCCTTCAAAGGCTTGCAAGGCTCCTCAAAGCTGGACTGGGTAACACTGTGGTTTCCAACGTGGAAAGAGAAAGAAACAGCATCGCCGGGGGCGGCATTGAAATGGTTGGGAAAATAGACCTTCTGCTTGTCTGCGCCAACAGAGACAACGTGCTGAGTGCCTGAGTGGGGGACATCGAAGGCAGAAACAGAAGTGGCAGCCAAGATGGCGGTAGCGAGAGCCTGAGTCATCTGCATTTTGAATGTGTATGGAGTTGTTGGTTTTGTTTTGGGTAGAGTAGAAGAGAGAAGCGAAGAAGTGAGGAGTGTAGAGGTGAGTGTTTGGTAGTAGATTGATGAGGTTGGTGGTGATGATGAGAATATTTCGTGAGAATGGAGGTGGCAGCCAGCTCATTATATATCCCAATTTCACATTTGCTCGTTTGCCTGCTCTCTATTAAAAGAAGTCATAGCCACGAACCATGGGAATTCGGCCGGTGCAAAGGCCAGGGCCAGGCTGTTAGTTGGGAGCTAAGGCTGGGATGCGGACTTGGGGGGATCGTGAACGAGGCTTGCAGAAGCTTAGCTTACACAAACCGAGGAGGTATCTTGGGATGCTCCGGCCCGCATAATTCGTTGCAATAGTACCCGGAGACTACCCCGACAACGTCGTAAATCCGCTTGGGAGTCCATGCGTCGAGATGTTGGCACGGCTTGGGATTGCATGCAAGGGCCACAGGGCCAGGCTGCGCGATGTGCAACGGTGTTTGCCTTCATCCCGCCTGTCCAGCGCCTCCATTGGCCGCAGCATCCTGGCTGCGCCTAGCACACCACCGCGGCCATGTCTCGATTTGGTGAAGCGCCGTGCAGGCCTGGCGCTGTTGCTTGGCTGTGTCCCGCATTCTCTCAACCCAGCCTTGTTGGCCGCCCATAAAAAGACAGCGGAGGAGGACCAAGCGCCTAGTCTGAAACGGGTGATATTCTGCATCTAGCCCATAGGCAGTACAGGGCTAAGCAGTACGCTCGCCAACATTTGTAGGAGGCGGGCCCTGCGCACAGACAGCAAGCCCGTCACCCGCAGCACAGGATCCTATTAATAGGACACTGTGTTGGGTGCAGTAGCCGATGGTTGGTCCTAAAACCCCATTTTGGCTGCTATTTGCTGCTGCTTCCCCTGTTAGCCATTCAACTAACCACAACAGCAACGGAAGCCGGCATGGCTTTGCTGGAACTGCGCCCCCCGCCACGCTGACCAACCAGTCCTCTTGATGTTGCCTAACTTGGAATAACTCCAGCCACCAGTAGCGCACAGGTGCTATGAATAGTAACCACAGATGATCCGCAACAGCCGCGATGGGTTGGCCACGCCTGCATGCTATAGGACCGTGTGTGCATTTGGCACTACCTGACGAGACGAACAACAAATAACATTGCAAATGACGGTCAAGAACCCTGTTCTGTGAGTAGCCGCGAGCTTTGTTGATTACCTGCCTCTGAAGGCTAGTGAGGGCTGTTGGCCTGTCAAGTGGCGCAAACGAGCCCTGTTCGAGAGCCAGTCAGCACAGTTAATTCCGACCATGTACGGCCCTGGTATTCGATCAAGGTTGTTCGCAGGACTGCGTATGCTTTGCTCGGTCGTCTGTCCTATGACCATGGATGGACTGGCGGCGTGCTAAGCGCGGAGCCGCGAAGATGTGACCTTGTCATCGTAGCCTGGTTATTGGAATAGCGTACACAGCCCGCAACCAGTAGACCCCGGTCACATTCCCCAAGTTCTAGTGTTGGACCAAAGCTGCCAGCATGGGTTTTTGAAGTTGACGCTTCTTACTATATGTCGTACCAATACTCACGAGCAGCAACATCATCCTGACTTGCAATATGCGGGAAGCACTGATAGTATAGTACAGTCCCGCCTATTCATAGTCTCCAAGTCCCGTTAATATACCAGCTTTGCATATTGTATGTTATTGAACAAAACAGGCTAGAATTTTCGACACTTGTGATTGGCAGATGAACGGTGAACCAGAAGGCTCCGAAAGCTTGTGCTCCTCCACGTTGCTTGCAAACTGACGAGGATGTGCTCTGTCCGAGCGCCACGCCACTTTGCGCCTTCTGCCAGGCCAATTTCCACAATATGTCCCTTTTTAGGAGAAAAGGAGATTGCCGCTGGCAGGAAGTGTCGGTTATCGTCTCATCGCCATGAAGGGCCGTAGGGTAGTACGTAAGTGTCAACTGGTGACGTCCTGAAATCGCGGAGCTTTAAAAAAAATAAAGTAAAAACGTATAAGAAGTTCGAAATAGGATATACGATTATATATGTACGTGCTTTTGATAGAAACTCGTGATTCCAGCGTCTAATGGGGGAGTGGTGTGCTGGAAGTGTATGCTATGTCGTAAGTCGTGAAGAGGCTAGTGTGCCGACGTCGTTGCAGGCTTGCCACCGGCTTCAAACTCCAACGTTACCTTAGACTTGTTAATAGACGAAAGCAAACCTGTTGAATTTTTTCCACTTACCGGGCCGTCGTTTACCAAAGCAACTTCCATCATGGCTTGGAATTTGCCATCCTTTACCCGGTCGGGGTGATAGCCGGCCTTGACCTTTTCTACAAAGTAATGATACAGCCTGCTGGCATCTTCGGGATTTGCGGCACCGTGAAAGTCTGGCTTGGTACCTTTCCTGGTTTTGGCGAGTAATGTAAACTGGGAGACTATAGAAATACTGTTAGTTGTGGTTGTCAATATGCAGCATAGAGACACCATACCACAGAGCACTTCGCCTTCAATGTCGGCCACGTTGCGCTTCCACTATTAAGAATTTTTAATACCCAACATAATGAGAACTTTTTGGTTAAATAACTTACTCTTCCCCCCATTTCATCATCCCACATCCTCATGTTCAAAACCTTGTTAGCCAACGTGTCCATCTCCTTCTCGGTATCTCCCGGGGCAACTGCGGCGAAAACCAAGACGCCTTTACCAATGGAGGATATCAGTTCCTTTTCCACCGTAACAGACGCTGACAAGACTCGCTGAAATATCGCTAGGGCGGTGGCTAATAAGTATACGACATTGCGTGGTGATATTGGGCTTGACAATTACCTTTCATAATGGGCAATGTGAAAAACTAAGCAATACAAATGAGTATTTATAAGATTTTTAATGCAAACAGACTCGGAATATGAAGAACTTAGCACCCGTTCCCCATATATATACACAGAGCCTCAACTCCAGTGCTGTGCAGCTTGTAGTTTCAAAATCTATCGCGGCGTATGACTGGACGCCGACCACTACGACGGCGACTCTCACTGTGCCTCGTCCATAGCGAACGCGCGCAAGCTCCAGGTCATGTGAATAGGTGGGTCAAGGGTTAACAGGAACCTCATCGTTGACGGGACGGCGAGATAGTGTCGGGCCAACTTATAAATCCGTAGAAAAAACAAAATAAAAAGTAAAATCTACTAGATAACACAATAAAAAACTATAAAAAATACCTTTAGGCGAGAACTTTGTTTTCTGGAAATGTGGAATCGTAGTACAAACTCAAACGCCAACCTATATACGGGAGCGCTAGCAGAATCATGTGGAATGTACCTCAATGCAGTTAGCCGGAAACAGCCAGAGTACTTGCAACAGGCCTGCAACACCAATCTCGTGCCTTTTCGCCCCAACTGGTAATTGCACCAACATCAAGCGCCGTCTTGGAATTGAAGCTGACAGCATTGTCGCCTAAGAGAGAGAATCTCAAGTATTAGTTTCTTGTATTTTTATTATCCGTGCGACCGCCACCCCTCGCAGCTGGCACGCGCGCGACGCTTCATCACTGAGCTGCAAACGCCACATCACCTCATCTGAACAAGCCTACGAATCGACGTCGCGACGAGCGAAAACGATCACCTGCGTCAATTAATAGCCTCGAAGAGTGTCCCTCTTTGTCCGATATCTATAATTCTACAGAATGGCGGCAAGGAAACTGCAACAAGAGGTCGACAAGACCTTTAAGAAGGTTGCAGAAGGAGTTGCCGAGTTCGAAAGCATCTACGACAAGATCGAGTTATCGAATAACCCAGCACAAAAGGAGAAGCTCGAGGACAATCTCAAGCGCGAAATCAAGAAGCTCCAGAGATTGCGCGATCAAATCAAGACATGGGCGTCCAGCAACGATATCAAGGACAAGGCTCCTTTATTGGAGCAGCGAAGGCTGATAGAAACGGTTCGTCGCGCACAGCATGGGTCCGCACGAGCGGCGTCCTTGCATGTATAGGTCCTAAATAATGGTACTAATGTTCTGAAAAATAGCAAATGGAGAAGTTCAAGGCGGTAGAAAAGGCCATGAAGACCAAGGCGTATTCGAAAGAAGGCTTATCCGCAACGCAACGGTTAGATCCAAAAGAGCAAGCAAAGGTGGAAGTCAGCGAATCGCTTAGTGGCATGGTTGACGAGCTGGAGCAACAAATCGAAACCCTCGAAGCCGAAAGCGAATCGATACAAGCGACTATGAAGAAGGGCAAGAACCAAAGCGCCAAGGCCGAACGAATGGCAGAGATCGACGAAATAATAGAGCGGCACAAGTGGCATCAGGGCAAGCTGGAGCTTATTCGTCGAGCGCTAGAGAATGGCGGTGTCGACGCTGACCAGGTCAAGGAAATCGAGGACAACATCAAGTACTACGTTTCCGACGGCATGACGGAAGACTACATCCACGACGAGGAGATGTACGATGAGCTGGCCTTGGAGGAAGAGGAAGGCGCGTTCGGCAACCAGGACAACGATGAAGCGTCATCGCAAGACAACCAGTCTTTGCCGGATACGGCTCCTGAACCGGAACCCATAAAACCGCCGCAGCCGAAGAAGGTGCAGAAGGAGGTGGAGACAGCGAAGAAGTCGACGGCACAAACCAAGTCACCGCTTCCTGCGCTCGCCACGCTGCACACCCCGCTGGCTACCATTAGCAGTTCTACAAGTTCATCTATGAAGCCGGCATCTATACCGACAAGACCAGCTGGTGAAGGATTGAAATATGCATCGGCCGCTGCAGCCGCTGCCGCGAGCGAAAAGAGCAATGCTGGTCTAGCTCCATTGCCTCCGCCCCCTGGCAGCGCCGTGCCTGGCATCTCACCGCTGCCAGCAGCAGCAACATCCAAGTCTAGCGCGACGAGCTCCCCCGCTGTTACATCTGCTCAGCCTGCTGCTGTTCAAGAGCCACGCCAAGTCCAGCCGCAGCCCACACCCGTTGCAGAGCCCGAACCTGCACCCGCACCTGTACCTGCTCGAGCATCCAAGAAGTCCAAGGCTGCTGCCGCTAAACAGGCGGCATTGGCCAGTGCTGCTCCGGCCAGCAGCTCGAAAACGGCGGCCAAGGCTGCTGTCGTGGAGAAGAAGGAGGAGGAATCCATCTACCACTTGCCAGCCTCGCTGCAGGACTTGGTTGAGTCCTATGAAATCGCCAAGAAGAACCCCCCTTCGCAAATGGCGCCTGCTACGATGCGTCTGATGGCCGCTAGTCAGGCTAACTGTCCCGACCAGCTCGACGCCGAGGTTCCTCGAACATATCGTCCCGACATGCCCGTGCCTCCCAGCAGCTCTGGCTTCCCACGCGACCCTCTTCCCATCTTCGACGACCCTCGACTGTACTCCCGAATCGACCCCGATACGCTGTTCTACGTCTTCTATTACAAGCAAGGAACAGCTCAGCAATATCTGGCCGCGAAGGCCCTGAAGGATCAAAGCTGGCGATTCCACAAGCAGTACCAGACATGGTTCCAGCGTCACGAGGAGCCCAAGAGTATCACGGAAGAGTTTGAACAAGGAACATATCGTTTCTTCGACTACGAGAGCACATGGTAAGCCAATTCGCTTCTGTTATTCTTTTTCTCTACAGTTTACTAATTATTTTCTTCTCTACAGGATGAACCGACGTAAGGCAGACTTTAAGTTTGCATATAAATTCTTGGAAGACGAAGTTTAAAGGCAGGGGTTGCGCGGAGACGGGCTTTTGTGTATATTAGACAAGGGAGTATTTTCTCCTGCGTTTCTCGTGCTGGGCATGGATATGAAATTTTATTACTTCTTGGTCACCGACCTTTGTCTCTTTCTTTTTTCTAAGCTTTGCTTCGCAATGCTTGTGATGTGTCGTTTATTCTGCGCGATATCCAATGCTGACCAGTCTGTGTCCTATCACTCGTTGTAAACAAGCATGCTCTGAGCTGGGATGTCGGTATCGCTTAGAAGCTTTTCGGACATGTCCGGAGTGACGCGTCTCTTTGCAATTGAAATTATGTGACGAAAATGCCTCAATTGTTTACCCCCAATCCAGAGCCGCATCGGTGCAGCCATCGGCTGGCCCAGATCGCCGGGAAGCCGGTTGATGAACCCCATGACGCCGCGATGGATTGTCCGCCCCCCAAAACGGGGGATCACGCTCGCCTCACTAAAACATTGCGCGCCAGGGCGTCAAGGACAGACCGAAGCAAAAATCAAGCCACTTGGGGAAATGAAGGGAAAAAAAAATGAGGGAATTTGCAAATAAACTTGCCCGTTTCAGGAAATGCGCCGCAGAAAGCGTCTGGCGCATTCAATTCCTCAATTTGATCCGCAGGTTGTTTTCCCTGGGGGAGACGCATCATGTGGCCCAGGTACCCCAAACTCTCCGCACTGCGCTGTACTAAAAAGCAGGGTTGTGTGAGTTAGGCGATAACTTTACGGGTGCTTTTTCTCCAACGGCCGCGCACAGCCAGTGGGAATGTTACTAGCCAGTGGGAAAACAGCGACCCGCACGCACTGTACGGCGCGCCGCACACAAACTTGGCAGCTAGTGCTGTTAAAGTGAGTGTGCCCTGTAGCAGCTCCGTGGCGCAGCGGTTCGGTGCTCGCTGTTAACTCACGGCGCGAGCTCTGTTTGCTGCTTGCTGGCTTCACTGCTGCCCACAACTCTAGTGGGGAGATGTGCCCAGTGCGGTCTTGGCCTTTGGACATTCCAAGTTGGCGGGGATATGTAACTTCGTAGTCAAACAAAGAGGCACTTGGTTTCGCCACGGACATTTCCCGGGAATAAAACTGGCCCTTTGGCTTTTTGCTAGGGGGTTAGGCCATATGACTCCCGCCACACAGGAATACCCTTGATGGTGATGGCGCGCGCCGGGCCATTCTCGTCGTCGGCGGCATTCTCCATCTGGGGGGGGGGGGCTGCTGCTGCACGCCCGTGGTGGTGCTCTCTGGAAAGACTCATTCTGGCAGTCGTCGCTCAGCATGCGTGTCTATTGGCCGTACTATACGATGCGGTCTTTTTTGCCTAATCTACGGAATGTCCTGTGCCGCAGCACCTAACAAAGACAGGCTCATCATCATCATAGATGTCCATCCCCGTGTTCTGCAAAGGCACTGTACGTGTTTGCCTTCCAGCCTTGTGTACGAGGCTCAACTGCACAAAATCCATTATGACGATGGTCTTTCTCTTCAGTGGGCATGATCGTCATGACTTTCCTTCTAGAAGACTTCGAAGAATTCGTCTGCCTGGTGCCACAGTCATCCACCACACCCACTCGCTAATGTAGCTGCGCCGCGCGTACCCATTCTCATGATGCACGACCCTGGACGCCACAAGCTAGGCTGTCTCTCAGGCGTCCTTAGGTTAAGCGTACAGTGCCAGCGTAGCGGTTGCTTAGTGCTGGGCCAAATCGGGCCGCTCGTCTGGAAAAGAGGGTGGCAGTGCACCCGGCGAATAAACTGGGGAATGCATGCACGCTTGCCCACTGTACCGTCCACTATCAAACATCGGCCGAGTCACTGTGTGCTATTGCAGTGCTTGCAAGTGCTGCGCCGCCTTTTGTTTGCAGGCAGGTTTCAAAGGGCTTGTTGAAACAAACTACAGGGCGGACCGATGTACATGCATGACTGGTGTGTTGTTTATTTGTTTCTGCGTGTTGCATATCGATTGGAAGCTACAGGACGGGCGGTTTCGAATATGGCTGCCATTGGAATAACCATTCGCTACAATTTCATCACAGACTCTATAAAGGAAAATGAAGAGGCAGGCGCTGGATGGCCAAGCTTGAAATGATGCTGCTTCCTGCTCACCCACCGTGTCATGAGATCAAAGAGCAGAAAAAGACTCAAAAGTGATTTGCGCCGACAAGTCATCGACAGCCTTGCTTGCCTGCCTGCCGGTTGTTGATTTATCCCCCTCGTTAATTGGGGGCCAGCTCTTTTGCTAGACCCTGGCGTCATAGCATGACATGAAAGAGGCTGCTAATGCAAACTTCAATACGATATGGGGACGATATGGAGACCGCTACGGGGCGGCTGGCTGCGCACTGCATAGCGGCGAGCAACGAGACGAGACGTTGCGACTTTGCCCGCTGCGCATTCTTCCCCACTACCACCACCACCTACCTGCCCTACGCAGCGAGACCGCGCTGCGAAAGACTGTGTGTGGCCCCCCATCCATCGGTGGATGCCGGCTCCTTTTTGGCAGGCAGTTACTTTGCGCTAACGCTAGCACTAAGCACACCCACTGACGACACCGGGCAACACTGCACTGCACCGGAGCCTGCTCTGGCTGTGGCTCAGAATGGGGCGGCACTGTACAGGTACCTTGCAACAAAAACCACAGGGGGGGGCAAGGCAAGCGCAGTTGGGAGGGGCGATCAGATCTCCGCTATGTAGCCTACGCCATCCAAACCTGTCGCGCAACGCTTTGTTTTACCGCACTGTCCAGCCTGCGACGGGTGCAGTACAGTAGGTACTGCCACTAAAGTGGCCACAAGCGAAAAAGCCAAAGCCCGCCCCCCCGTCCACACAGCAATATGGCGCTTATACTTTGTACCAGTAACCCGGCAGGCTCGCCAATCACAGCGAGGCACGGGTCTCAAATCGCCTACCGTCACACTCCCCAGTTATCCTTCTAGAAGTTCTCGCGCAAGGCCCGGCCTTCCCCGTCATATAAGGTCACGTATGGTCCCCTGAGCCTCACCTTTCTTTCTTCTTGTCCCCGAGTACCTCGTCCTTTTATTACAAAACACCTATATATCCCTCAGGACTATTACCTACTTATACCCATTCTATCCTACCTCACACTTTCTTCTTCCTTGACTACCACTACCTACTACCACTACCTCTACTACCTACTTACACCACATCCCATCTATTCCCCCAAACACCTTTATCACGTCCTGCAAAAACTTCTCGTGTGTGGTTTTTGCTATTTTGGTCGCAACGAACATGAATTCGCTCTTTGACGGGTACAACAACGCTCTTCCTGCTTACAACGCTTTCCTCGACCCTTCCTCCGCCGCCGGCGCATCAGGCAGAGTCTCGCTCGAGCACGACTCTTTGCGATACCTCAGCTCCGACGCAGACTCCTTTGCCTCTTCTTCACCCGAGTCCCCTCGACCCGGCGCCGTCTACTCCGGCATCTATGCTCTCGGATCGGCTCCCAACAGCCCGCTCTATTCCCAATTCGCAGACAACACCCTCTTTGCTGGTGGTTCCCCCTACAGCAGCACAAGCGTGAGCCCTGGACCCGACCCGAGCTCCCCGCGTGTCAGCCAAGACGAAGTCTATGGAGAATCGTAAGTCTGCCCCCTCGTGGAGTTTCTTTTCGTTTCTTGGTCAAATAGTTGCTTGTTTATTTTCTTTTGTCAAATAAAACCAATTTCTATCGTGATGTAACTCGCTTCAAAAAAGTGCCGTCTCTAACCAATATCTCCCACACCAGATCTGTTGGCGGCCGCGACTATCCAGTCTTCTGCCTCTCGCCAGGCTGCGATGCTAAGCCATTTAAGCGTCGCGCCGACCTCATCCGACACTACAAGCACAAGCACTCGCCCGATTCTGACAAGGAGTCGTATTTCTGCGACTACTCGAAATGCGTGCGTCGCCACGAGCCATTCCACCGCCGCGACCACTTCCGCGACCACCTCCGCGATTTCCACAAGGAGGACATTGAGCGCCGCGGCCGCTCTGTCAACGAGGAGTGGCTGGGCGACCGCAACACATCCGCCGCTTGGTGGCGATGCGCAAAGTGTCTGGTGCGCAACTACGTCGACAAGTCGGGCTACGAATGCCCAACGTGCAAGACAAAGTGCCAGCCGAAGCGCAAAGCTCTGCGCCAGAAGGACTAGAGGCAGCAGCAGCAGCGCAAGCTCAAGCTGTCGCGATCCTCCCTGAGCTCTCTGCTTTCCTCTTTTTTTTCCCCTTCTTCATTTAGCCGGGAATATCAACCTATGCAGGACTCCGCCCGCTGCAGCTCATCAAATGTAAGCTACAACAGCAGAGCAGTTAGCTCCATACCGCTTACGGTTCGCGCACCATGTTTGCTGCACGACCCAAAAGCTCGGCGCAATACAAGTCGATATTGGCCCCCAGCGCCAGCGATTCTCCACTGGGTGCAGTGCAGTGCAGCTGCTGCGCACAGCGGTCGCCAGTGGGGATCTGCAGCTAGCGGCCCCTGCAAGACGGAGGCTAAAGTCGCATCATGCGCCCCCAGCTGGTCCCCTGTTGGCAAGCAAGCCCACTGGGCTGTGCTACTCAGCGATGGCGTCGCTCGCTCGGTTGTCGCTACAGTGTGCACTGTTTTGTACCGTGCTCTGCGGTTTAGCCAATAGGCCTTTTTTTTTCTTTTCTTTTCTTTTTCTTGCATGTCATTTTCACTTTTTGCTTTTTGTCAGCCCTTTTTTTCTTGCATTTTTTTATGAAATTATGACGTTGTTACGATATACCCAAGTCAGTCGGAATCTTCCTGTTGGAATTCTGAGCAATAGCCATAGCATAAATCAAATCAAACCAGATTCAAAAAACACTCATTACATCGCTCTCTACTACCGACAAGTGCACTCGTCACACCGCCGCAATAAACATAGATCATGTGTCTTGCCCATTAATTAGCCTCTATATTAGGCAGGCGCATCAATGCCATCATCTGATTCATCTCAATTCGCAGCACTGTGTGTGTTCCGCAATGCCCTATTCGGGACGAGCAAGGCTGCGTGCTGGCCTGGAAGCACAAATCCTTCTGGAAGCATGTGGGGCCCTGTTTTGCTGGTGAGGTGTGATTCGCCAATCCGTGCGAGGCGCAGCAGCGAGACCGAAGTAAACACAGCCTCCACACCACCTAGCCAGCCCTGCCTGCCCGCCTCTTTGGGTCAGGAGATTGATTGATTGGGCCAGACTAGTGTTTTAGCGGATGTTCACTCTGGCTTTAATGTTTTTTGACTTTGTATGCATGTCTTGATGCGGGTTGGAATGCTACCACGGGGATGTCGGCATGCGCTCGGGACCTTACACTCAGCTCAAACACACTAACACGAATTTGGGAGCTGGCAAGCAACCACGAAGTACATGATGCAGCAACAGTTGCCCATGCTCGTATTTCCGCTCAAACTAATGCCTATCGTGTATTAAGACGTAAACATTATGCAGCCCTGTCTACGCCTCATCATCAATAGGATCGCCGTCAAAATTAGGCACCAAGCGAATGTTGACCTTGCCACAAGCCGCTGCAGTTGACCGCTCTGCTCTGCCTCCACCGCACAGTGATTTCCTTGCTATTGTATTTCGAATATCTTCTCCAGCTGTAAGACTTCCTTCAAGCCGTCCCATAAACGGCTGCGGCTGGCGGAATCGAAAGCTGGTATCATTCGGGCCTTTGTCTCTCTTGGGTGAATTCTGCGCCGCCTTCGGACGTGTTCCGCCAACATCTTCTTCCTTATCGTCATCTATTGCGCTGAGTGTATTACCCGTCATCGTATCTCGTAAATTAAGCTCCCTGCCCAGCGGCTGGCGGTCCGCGCTGGAAACCTGCGGCAACATCGGTGGCGGAGCCGTTAGTGTGGCGGGGCTGTTGGGGCAATTGAAAGTGCTATGTACCTCTGGAATTGGTGTGTTGGTGGGTTCACCTTCGGCACCGAATAATGTAACATCGCATCTCGCGCTCGGCGGTCGCCGTTCAGCCTCACTCGTAGTGTTTTCTTTGCTTTTTACAACAGCTGTTTTTACACAGATTGGGTTGGAATCTTTGTTTGTTGGAGCAATAGCCTGTGCCAAAGCCCCCCCGTTGACCGGTCTGGCGCTCCTGCAGCCACCGTTGGCGAAGCTGTCACCCAGATCGGCACCCTCTTCCTCCATTACTGGCTGCCTCCCTTGGTTTGATCGTTGTCTTTTGTCAGACTGTGTATTTTGTAGCCCGAGTAACAACTCTGTATCTGTACTCCCATAGTATGGGCCCCCGGGACATTGCTGGACAGGTGGAGCGGCTGTCTCATTCAAGCAGGCCGTCGCTGATTTCGTTGTCATGTTTTTGTCGACCAATAGGTTAATTGATTGAAGCCACTGCCTCCAATGATTATTTTCATAATCCGACACAGAAATAGGAGATGTTGGTTGGCTTGCCTGGCCCACCACACTGCTGGGTACTTCTGACGAAGTGCTCATGTCTGGCCTTACGATAAAGCGGCTTCTTGGTTTGGGGTAATAGAAGCGTTCCGGGTTTCTAAATACAGAATTTAGCGGTTCAGATGGAGTAATGGTATTCATTATTTTTGCCTTATGTAAATTCACTCGTGGAGAATCCGATGTTGATATGGAAAGGCCCCGTGAAAGTGAGGATGGAGTTTGCGATATCTTTCGGCGCTTTTTATGAGATCCAGAAGAAGTGATTCTACTTTCTTCATACTTTGTTCGAACAGAGTTGTTTGCAGAGCTCCATAGATAAAGCTTATCGCCTATTTGAATAGCCGTGTCTTTGCTCATTTCTGGCGTAGATGGGTTTCCTTTCGTTGCCCTTGGTCTTGACCGTTTGCTTTCGTGTAAAGCGGTCGGTGGAAACCGCTTCGGCGAAGGTTTGCGGTCCAGGTTGTTAACTGGCCGTTTTAAAGAACCCATACCGGACCAATCCGATTGTGCTAGTAACTCTTGCTTTTGTACATTCACTATGTCTTTCAGATTAGACAGCCCGTCAGCAGACACCCGTTGCACGCGCAGGGTGGGTGAAGCTGGTCGCAGACGTCGAAAACTAGCCGAGTGTAAATGCGTTATATCTTTCTGTGATATGTTTTCTTTAATTTTGAAAGTGCCCGGTGCTTCTTTGGTAAAGTTGGTATTGTTTGGGTTAAGAAAGCTAGGAATAAATTTCCCGTGTGCGGTAGGCTCGTCCGGTCTTTTGTTTGACGCACCCGCAATCTGTGTTCGGATGGATTTCTTCTCCCAAGTCGATGCCGCTGAATATCTCATTCCAGATTTGCGATAACTGCCCATATTGAATCATAACGGTGTATCTGAAAGGTATGTGTTTTGTCCTTGGAAACATGTACAAGAAAGATTGGAGGGGCACTCAGTGGGTGGGAGCAGAGCTGCCAGGTGGCCGGCAGGTGGGAGAAGGAAGGCACAGCAGGTCAAGAATTTCAACATGAAGTCGTTTTAGAAGTTGTATATAATTATTTTCGTTTTTCTACTGATCTTGCGTATTTTAAGTAGCTTTTGTCTATGCTGTCGTAAACGTTAGCCTGGCTGGGCTTTTAAGAATACAGTGCCTAATGCTATCGCTCACACAGTATGACATGCCCCTTGGTTGGACTGGACACATCACTAGCTTCCCACAGCTAAAGCTCCTGCTATCCACCACGCGGAGCAATTCTTGCACACCAAACCGCGCTATACCCGACAATCTTGCGCAATTCATCTACTTTATTATCAATTCTAGCCTGCGATATTAATCAACATGGCAGACGCGGAGGAAAAGGCGCGCCAGGAGAAGATTGCCGCCGCAAAGAAGCGCGTGCGTCCATCCCAGACCCCCACCATATTCCAGTAACTTACCAGTATCATTTAGGTTGAGCAACGCAAGAAGAAGAAGGAGAAGAAGACTACAGAGACCGCCAAAGATCAAGCAAAGCCCGAAGATTCTGATGCACCCGCCACCGAAGCTGTCGAAGACACCACTGAACCAACCAAGGAAGAGGAGAACACGACCGCTATCGAGGAAGATGATGCAGCCAAGGACGGTGATACTGGCTCTCCTGAATCCTCCACTCTCGCTGAGCAATCAAAAGCTCGTTCAACGTCATTCCGTGCCGCATCGATATCCGGCAAGCCAACTTCGCCGGGGCCACTGAACGCTGACGGTGACACGGCACCCGAGATCTACCGTAAACATGTCGCACGAATTGAAGAGCTTGAGAAGGAGAACAAACGACTTGCCAAAGAATCAAGCGATGCCGAGAAGCGATGGACAAAGGCCGAGAACGAGCTTGCCGATTTGCGCGAAACCGAAAGCGACGCAAAGAAGTCTGCTACAAGTGGCGAGGTCGACCAGCTGGTCAGTAATCCATGGCAGCACAGTATTTCAGTTTTTTCAATATGCTAACATATAGTACAGAAGGAACAGATTGCCTCGTTAGAACGTCAAAACACACAGCTACAGCAACAGGCGTCCCGTGGTAGCTCCGGCAGCCACCGCCCCTCGCTCTCTGTGGCCTCACCACCGTCCGACCTCCAAGCCGAGCTAGATGCGAAATCTGCTACGATCGAATCGATGGAAACAGAGCTCTCCAGACTACGTGCTCGAGTTGAGCGACAGGAGAGCGGCGCAGACTCTGAGAAAGAGCAAATCTCGGCCCTAGAAGAAAAGCTGGCACGTGCCGAGTCTGCTGCCGGGCAGGCTCAACGGGAAGTCATCGATATGAAGAAGAATCTGGAAAGAACATCAGAAAAGGCTGTACGAGAGGGCAGCGAAAGAACAAGTGCCGAAACCAAGGTGCGCAGTTTGGAAACGGAGCTTGCCAGCACTCAGAAGGCAAAAGACGAAGCAGAGGCTCGTGCTGATGCGTTGGAAAAGAAGATTGCAACGCTCACCATACTACACAAAGAGCAAGACTCGCGCATCCAATCGGTAAAGCGCGACAAGGAAACTGTTGAAAAGGATATGGTTGATCTTCAAGCCAAAGTAGAAAGGCTCGAGGCCGAAAACACGAAGCTGAAGAGTCGCCGCTCAGTAGATGGCTCAGGTGGCCTTGATGATGATGGTATGGATGAATTAGAAAATGAAGAGCGGGAGAAGCTCCAAAAGAAGATCCGTGGCCTGGAACAGGAAGTCCACGACCTTCGCAGCGGCGCATGGATTCAGCGACGACGCGAAATGGAGGGCGCTGGGTTCCAGGAAATTGATCTCTCTGGAGACGGTATTTCACCACCACCGCAGAAGAAGAACTCGACGGGAGGCTTTGGCGACTTTATCACAACCGGTCTCAACGCCTTGGCTGGCGGTGACGATGATGGATTCTTGTCCGATGACGACATGGAATTTGATGAAGAGGCATTCCGCAAAGCCCAAGAGGAGGAGGCCATGAAGCGTATAGAGAGAGTGCGCGAACTGAAGCGCGGCTTGAAGCACTGGCAAGGCTGGAGGCTAGATCTTGTAGACTTTCGTCGGGGCGGCGGCGAAGGCATTGGTGATATTTTTGAGGTTTAATTGTATACGAGTGTATCTATAGCCGGTTTAATTCTACACTTTGGCCAAAAAAATTGCAATCGTAGCAGAATTGAATGTTGTAAACACTGGTTCCGTTTGAGTAGACGGTGCTAGAACTGTGGAGCGAGTTGATGACATCAGTAGCCTAAACTATCTACAGCTACCGTACATACCTGCTCCTTCCATCCTACAGTCCATTGGTGCCTCATATATATTCGCCAAGCCAGCAATTTTTCTGCACTGTCCTCTATAATGTCTAACGCGGCGAAGAACTTCCTAATAACTGGCGCTGGAAGAGGCATTGGGCGAGGCTTGTCAAGAATTTTGCTCGAGGCTGGCCATCGGGTGTTTCTCATCGACAACGACAGAACAGAGCTTGACCACATTACCGGTGTTTTAGCAAAGTCGCACAAGCGCGGTGTCGCCTTTGATTCTGTACTCTGCGATTTACGGAAGCCAACAGACATCCAAGCCGCTGCTGCCGCCGCCCAGTCGCTGTTTGCCAATCGACTCGATTGTCTAGTTAACAATGCCGCCTATATCGGGGGTGTTGGCGGCTTATCGCTCGTCGAGATGACGCTTGAGGAATGGAACCGCAGCCTAGAAACCAATTTGACAGCTCCCATGCTCATGACACAGGCCTGTCTTCCCATGCTGCGCGAGGCCCGCGGCTGCGCGATCCACGTCTCGTCGACGAGGGCTCTGATGAGCGAACCCAACAACGAAGCATACTCCACCACAAAGGCCGGCCTAATAGGCATGACACAGAGTATGGCAGTATCGCTGGCCACGGAGGGCATTCGGGTCAATTGCATTCTGCCTGGGTGGATTCACGTAGGCAACGAGAGCAAAGCAGCCGATGAGAAGAACCAAGCTTGGCAAGATGGTCTTAGCGATGAGGATATGAAGTGGCAGCTCACCGGAAGGGTGGGCAAGGTGGAAGACATTGCAAAGGCGGTATTATATTTGGCTGAGAATGATGGTGTATCGGGAACAGAAATGGTTGTCGACGGAGGCGTGACGAGAAAGTTGGTATACCCAGAGTAGCCTCTTTTATACAAACTATTATATACTCGCATAAGATACATAATGTGTTTAATTATATACAGGGCGTATTTTGTATACTGTTATGAAATTAAACAAACAGAAAAACCTAAAAACCTTTTTGAAGAGGGAAAAACGTTATGACCGACGCGGGGCATATCGATCAGATCAAAATACGACATGTGGCTGTAAAGCCGCCCCCCGCAGCCATCGGACGAGCCGACAATAGCCACCAACCTGCGCCAATTCATATAACACTAGATATCCCATTGAATGCCATTCTACATTCCACGCGGTTTTATTTATTGGAAGAAAACGCAAAATCTTGCAGTCCCGTTATTTACTCTTTCCGAACCACCGTATACTGGCCATCCCATCCCGCTCTGCCTACACCATGGAACAAGCACAAGACATACACAAGTTTGAGATTGCAAATTTCGAGTTTCAGAATGGAACCGTTTTGCCTTCTGTTCAATTGTCATACTTGGACATTAATGCCGATCAAGCGAAAACAGCCCTTGTTGTGACTTGCTTCCGCGGCCGCCTACACACTACATTGAACTTCGCCCGAGGAGCACTTCGCAATCACCGAATTATTGTCGTGGCCTTGTTTGGCAACAGCGAGTCTTCCAGTCCGTCCAATACGGCTGGCTTTCCAGCTAGTCTTGATTACAGAGACTGTGTGCGGGCTCAACACGCCTTGCTGACGTCGCATCTTGGCATAAACACGATTGACATTGCTGTTGGCTTCTCCATGGGCGGACAGTGTGTCTATCACTGGCTGTGCATGTATCCCGATATGGTAGGCAAGGCCTCAATCATTTGTTCTTCTGCGCGGACCAGCAAACACAATTTCCAGTTCTTGGAGGGCCCAAAGTTTGCCCTGACAGAGTCTATTGATTACGCCAAGGACCAGACCTCAAGCAAGACAGTTCGAGGACTACGGGCTTTTGGTAAAGCATACTCTGCATGGTTAACGAGCCCCGAATGGTTCGACCAGGAACTATACAAGACGCAGGGATACACGTCCCTCGAGGCGTGGGACGAGGTGGTTGCTGGGACCAACTATGCTGGTTGGCATCCTGAAGATCTCCTGGTCAAGCTTGGAATGTGGCAAAAAAGCGACATTACCATTCATGGCACAGTTCAGAATAGCTCTTTGGAGACTGTACTTGGGGATATCAAGGCTCCTGTGTTGCTAATGCCCTGCCAGACGGACCAGTACTTTCGATGGGAAGCCTCAGAAAGAGAAGCTGCTCAAATGAAGCACGCAGTCTTGAAAGTTATCCCTTCTGTCTGGGGCCACCTAGCTGGCGCAGGCGTTGACTCAGAGGACCGAAATTGGTTGGATAGTACACTCTCTGAGTTTCTGTCAGAAAATGTATGAGTGATAACAACTAATTCATACTAAATAATCATTGATTACGTTACTTCAGTATTTGTCTACCATACTCAAATAAAGCTGCCGCCTTGAGAACGTCCTCATCCTTCCAGCGTCTACCGATAATTTGCATACCAACTGGTAACAGTGTTTCCGGTACATCCATAGCTGGTAGATATGCACACGGTGTACTCAGTGCCGGATGGCCTGTAATGTTAAATGGACAAGTGTTGTTCGTCAACCCAACGGCTGGCTTGAGCTTCTCCAAGATACTGCGATGCGTATCTGGCCCAGTGGGTTGGGTTTTAGGATGAGGCATAGCCACGCAAGGGGTACACGGAGCAATTAGTACATCAACACTTTCCAACGCTGTATCATATGCGTCTCGGAGCTCCAGGGCTTTGCGGTGCGCCTTGGCGGCTAAGCTGGCCTTAGTATGGCATTGAGCAAACTCTTCGCTCAGCATAATGTTTATAACAGCCGGATTCAAGTCTGTAAGTGAATCATAGGTCTCTTGAGAAGGCGGCCAAGCCAATTCCATATGCGGAACCTGATAGGATAACTGTCCTAATGGCTGACCTTGGCACAGGGTCGATGCCATTGACGGTCTTGTGGCGGCCGTCCATATGATTGGCCCTTGTGAATGCATAGGGACTGATACTTGGATGACTGAAACACCAACAGCTTCAAAATACTTGGTGCAACATGACAGAATGATATCTCTCACATCCTTGTCGACCCCCGGCATGTCAAACGCCTCTTTGAGCAGGCCGACTTTCATGCCATGTCCGGGGTGCGGTACTGCCATGTTTTGGCTGCGCTGCTGTGCCAGAATCTGGGAATATGTTTTCACTGCATCTGGTAGCGGGCTCTCGGGAGTCATACGGGGATCCAGTCCATCATAACCAGCCATGACCTCGAGCATTAGTGCAATGTCCTCTAAACTGGAAGCCAGAGGCCCGAGATGATCAATCATGGAGGACATGGAACCCGCCCCCGTATACGGTATCAATCCAAATGTTGGCTTGAGGCCATAAATGCCATTGAATGACGCAGGAACACGAACTGAGCCTGCTTGGTCGCTGCCAATGGCCATTTCCACCGTCTCACCCCAGTGGTCATCTTGGGCTTTTGCAAGTTGATGGGCAGCAACTAGACAGGCTGAGCCGCTGCTGCTACCGCCAGAAGTGTATCCATGAAGTCTTGGATTTTGTACAGGGCCAGTAATTGATGCCCATGATAAAGGCGATGCGCAGTAACTTTCGCAAGTAGAGGTTCCCTTTATAGTAGCGCCTGCGGCAAGGAGACGTGCCACTACAACAGCATCAATTTGTGAGACTGGGTAGGACGAAGCATTAGATCTGAACATGTTAGCTGGCAATCCCATTGTCGTCGGAAGAGATGCCACCGCAATATTATCTTTGATGGCCACTGTGTGTCCACTAAGCAGCGTGCTGATTGGTGATGAGGATTTCAGATCGCAGCGGTGACTCCAGGCATTGAAAGGATTACTTCCCTGCTCTGGCTTCCAAAATCGGCGAGGCTCGGTGGTTGGCTGAGGTTTCAGTGTTGGTGGAATATAATCTGAGGCTTCGTCAATGGAGTCCATGACGGCCTCGAAGGACCTCAAAATTGTCAAGTAGTCGTCTGCTTCATTTGGTGGCATATGATGGAAATTAAGCCTCGCTGCTAGTTCCTTTAGATGTTCTCTCCCGATAGCGGAACTAGTATTTCTGTTAGATCTATCAAATAATGTCGGTGAAATGGTTGTCACGGTTTCTACTTACCTACGGCCGTCGGGAATAGCTACAATCGACATTCTCACAATGATTATGACAAGACACGCCTGTTTTAATTGTTAGGAAGAATAAAGGTCAATAACAGAGGCACAATTTGGTTAATGGAGTGACAGAATACAGTTCCACAAGTGAATATATATCGAGCAGTAGCTGTTATAGATGGCATTGTTTGTTGTCGCCTCGCCCGACACAGGATGTCGGGACTCCCGAAAATAGTGTTCTGCAACGCTCGTTTTTATTATTTTACATCACTTACTACTATATAATTAAACAAAGTTTATATAATTAAACAAAGTTTCTTATTGTTTATTGATAAGTGTACAGGTGTAATTATGACGTTTATTCCTGTCCATTGGCGAGTAAGATACGGCCACCATCGACACACAGCGACACACCGTCTACATAGGCCTATAGATTCACACATTAATACGTTGAGAAGGGTGACGGCAGGGTTGAAACAACTAACTCCAGCACGACTCGCAGCATATAGCACAGTACCAGCCATGTCGCTTTCATTCCCTGCCCTTTTGGCGGGCACTTTGTCGAATAACGAAGAAAAGATGTTGTCCTCTTCTCCAATAGGATTCATCTTACTCGGTACAACTACGCTTTCGGTTAGTCATGCTGAATTCATATTGCGAATGGAGAACATGAGTGTCTTCTCGACTTACAGCCTGGATTAATACCAACGACTCGCACGTATTGATGACGGAACTTGGCAGCGAGCAATCGAACCAAATGATCTGTGCCAGCTTTACTCGTAGCGTAGCTAGTGAGATCAATGTTTGTAACATTGTGCATACTTGCACATGAACTCGTGATGACGACAACGCCGCGACCTTCTTCACTACCACGTCCTCCACCAATGTCTAGCTGGGATGCTGCAGCAAGCAGCGGCAGAAGCGCAACGGAGAGGAAGTAGTGAGCAGTGGTGTTGATGCAGAATGTGTCAGCCCAGTCAGAGTGATTAGAAGACCACATTGATTCCCTTAGCTCTTCAAGCGATGCCTCGATGACATTACACTGTATCGGGGGATCTCTGCGGATGCCGGCGTTGGATATGAGCATGTCGAGATGGTCTTCTCTCTTCTTCAGATAGCTGGCTAGCTCAGCAATGGCCTCTTTTGTAGAGAGATCACAGGCTACACTGCATTAATATACTATTAGTAGGTTGCCAAACCCGTCTTGGGTGTAGGAAAACAACTAACGCTTGTGCACTTCCGCCAGCACTCTGGCCAAACTCGTTTAGCTCGTCCACGGCAGCGGCAGTTGGTTCTGATGGCAATGCCACTACATATACTTTGACGCCATTGGCTACAAGCCCCTATAAAATGTAGTAAGTACATGCTGTGAAGAAATCCTATATCAGCACACACCTTACTGATCATGAAACCTATGCCGCTGCATCCTCCGGTCACAACTGCCACACGGCCTTTAACTCCAAAAAGTGAGGCAATATTCAATGAATCCATAGTTTTGAATAATGACTTAGGTGATCAATCTTACAGCATTAGGTCAGTTTCGGGAAACAATGGGATCCTGTCTTTATGGTATTGTAAGCGCTCCGCGGGCTGGCCGACCTGAGTATCGGCAGTGCCGACGCCAACAATTACCATTGTATTGTAGGGGGTTAGGCAAGTTTGACAACTTCAAGAATACCTCAGATCCTGCTTTCTAGCCTGTGGCACCTTGTCTTGAGATTTGATATAGACTTCGGATACGTCGTATGCGTTCCTGTGCGATGCAATGTCCAGGAAAACACAAACTTAAAGCGTATAATTCGACAAACTACCTAACATGCAAATAGATTTCCCTGCACTTTCATATCATAAAGCTAGACCCTTTCACTCTTTGTAATGCTCGCTTGTTCTCTCTTCAGCAGCAGCCAAACAATCAGCTGTGACATCAACATCTCTCGGAATCAGCTTAACCTTGAACTCGCGAGGGATCGCAACCAATGCTGTCTTGAACTGGTTATACTCCACGTAGTCCGTATTGGGTGGCGATTCTTCACTGGCTACGATTTTGTAGGATGAAAGTAGCCTGACGAGGGCACAGTACAAAAGGCGAGATGCGATAAATTGACCCGAGCAAGCACGAGACCCAGTGCCAAAGCTTAAATGGCTTAGACCAGTTATCTTGGCTTCTGCTGGTGGATCGATTGTCTCTAGCCACCTCTCGGGATCAAACTCTCCGCCATCAGAACCAAAATGGTCGACATCTATTAACAAGTTAGCCTTACACGCAATACGGAAAGGAAGAAACTACATACCGTGGTTTCCAGCTTGGGCGTTGATTAAAATCATTGTCTTGGCAGGAATAGTAACACCATTCCAGTTTACATCCGTCACAGTCTTTCTAGGAAGACTCATGGAGCTGACAGTGTAATATCTTCCGGCTTCCCTAACAATGGCATTGATGTAGGGAATAGTCTCTTCCATGAAGCATGCAGTCCATGCTGTTCTGATATCCGGATAGTGGCGCTTAATATCCGCATAGGCGCGATCCTGCCATTCTTGTCCTTCGGGAGTGGATAGTGAGCCAATACATGAGGTCAATGTTCCTGGAATCGTTTCAAATCCACCCGACACCAAAGAGAGACAGATAGATGACACTTCAACGCCTGTGAGCTTGGTTTCTGTGTCTTTAAGAATAGCGGCTGAGATGCAGGGCTTGTCTGTGCCTTTCTTAATCATTTCCCGAACTTTGTTCAAGAGTAAGTCCAGGTAAGCATCGCGGCGCTGACGAAGCTCTTTTGAGCGCTTCGTCTTCTCATTGTTAGGGAAGTACCTCATGAGTGGAATATAGTCTTGATAGTTCTCCGATGCACTGCGTAACAGCGAGATCGCGGACCCAACATGAAGAATCTCACGTAGCAACTCGTCATACACAGCGTCCATCCGAATGCCGTAACATAGCGTGAGCGTCGTGTTCAGAGCGTACCTCTGAATGTAGGGGCGCACATCAATCTCAACCTCTCCATTGCGGCTATCCTTTTCCATGTCTCGCAGGATGCAATAAGATTCCAGGTCAAACATGGGGTAGTAGTTTCTCAGAGCAGGTCTTCCTAATGCTGTACCGGCAGCCTTGCGCTTCCTTTTGCAGGAGTCGTCCCAGGGCGATGAGCCAATCGTGAAGCCCTGTGTACTGCTGATGACGCCGTGAAACGTGTACAGCTTGGGACGATCGATGACTGCGTTTTGGTGGCCAAGAAGCATAGTCTTGCAGTCTTCAAAGGAATTGACAACAACGGCGCGAGTATTGCCGAGCTTAATCTGGAAAACAGAGTGCTTGTATTGGCGCCACCACTTTTCGCAAGTACTGGCGTGATCTTCACCGAGTTTCAGTAAATGACCAAAGACCGGAATCGCACCAGGTATTTCAGGCAGTCCACGGATCTTTGGGATGTCCGTAGCATACAGAACCTGTGGACGATGGTCAGCGATACAGAGAAGTTTGGCAGTGAGTCTCAAAACTAGAACTACTAACATTATATAAAGTATAAGTGAGAAGAACAGCAATACCAGCGGTAAGAAGCTTGATCGAATATTCTTGATTCTGGGCATCTTCAAGGAGCTTTGAATATGACATGGTATTTGAAGGCCTAGTTTGGTGAATAGAGCTTTGAATGCTAGCTTAGGTTGTAGATTTGATAATACATAGTTTAAAGAGGCTCTTATAGCCCATCATCAATGGTATCACTTATATGTAAATAGATAATCTAAACGTTTTGACCAGGTCGGATGCGCCGACGATGCCGCAACCCCGCGTTGTCGAAAATCCAAGGAACCATCGGCCGTTCCGACAGAATACCACCATTGTGCAAATAATGCCAAATATTAATAAGTTTATTACTGAAATAGTATACAGTATTTATTCATCAAGTCTCAGTGCGGTATAATTAATAGCAGACGTTGTTTTTGCCTGCCTCTTTATTGAGACGCCGTAGCTGTAGCAACGGCTTGGTATCTTTGCAGAATCTGTTCGACCATGTGCTTAATATTTTTGGCCGGTGTAAACTTAACACCCAGAGCTTCAAATAACTGTAAAGCAAGCTTCAAATCTTCGACCACGTGAGATTGACTCACAGCAGCAGAGAGCTCATCAGCGCGAGCCGTGGTTGCATAGACAAGGGAAAGCGTCGCAGTGAAGATGGCGAGGAAATTAAGCCAGTTATACGCAAAGCGATGTTGTTGATGCATGGCTGCTGCTTGCCGCAATGACATGGATGCTGCCATGCCTAGAGTCTTTAGACTCTCTGCTGTCAATGTTGGAGACAAGGGCGACGGACGATATATCATGGCTAGGTGGGTGTAATAGTTAAAATCGTACCAGAGGGTATGTAAGTGAGGGACGGGCTTCGCGGACTCTGGGAATGGAAAGGGTATGCTTCGTCGCCAATCTAGCAGTTCTTGTTGTAGAGAGGTGAGAATTCGCTGACCGTCTTCTACACTTCGGTTCGCATTTTCTTTTGTTCCATATACCTGTCGCGCAATTTTGCTGCTTAACTGCCGCAGCTTTAAGATGTGAAGTGGGACAGACAAGAGGCTTGGTTGCAAGACTGTTCCGATAAATATGTCGTTTGAATCAGAGCCATGTGCATCATGGTCGGTAAATGGCTAGTCCCATATATAGTTAGCGCATAGCCCTCAGCGTTTGCAGAGTGTGTAGCAAGCGTATATCTTACCGAAACGTCGATATCGTCGTCGTGGATTGCGAAAGGCCGGCCAAGGGCGATAGACACAACTCTACTCAAATGACAATTCTTAGCATTCAAAGAGGATACCCAGCGATTGTTAGTTGTATACTAACCTATCCATCATATAAATGGAGAAGAACATCCTCTTACGCCGTTGTTGCTCGTCCAATGGCAGTTTTGCATAGGTTGACGATACATGAAGACCTAGCCCCAGAGCGAGTCGAGCCGATGTTCCCACCAAGAACCAGGTATCTGTCAATGCAAATGGTTAAACACTTCTATCTCTGTAAATTGAGTTGACCTCTATTAAACGTACTTGGTCCGAGCTGGTTAAAGAATGAATAAGAAACCTGGAGCATGAGGGTTTCCAGAGCAGACTTTGTGCGGTTGCATCAGTAAGGGTCCTTGTAGATGAAAAATTAAAAACAACGATTAAACATACCATTTCATTCTGTTCCAAGGCTTGATCAAAATAGAGAAGAGCCTTGCTATAATAAAGCATCGACTCAGACTCTTCGGTTAAAGAAAGGGACGCATATGCCGTCGAGCCGATAGCTAGCACCATCCAGAGTCTGAAATACTCCAACGCGGATTGCGAAGCTTGATTTTCTGGCTGGCCTTGAATTTTGTCTATAGATCGTAGAACTTCGTCTTTGTCAAGTATTGGGTACAGAGTGTGCGAATGTGCGAAATAGAATTCCACCAGGTCACGAACGTGCCCTTCGTCCGAGGGCCATGCCAAATCCACAATATCGCCATTGAACTCGGCAATATCCGTCAAAAACAAGTCCCCAAAGAGGATCGGGTGAATGGATATGCTTCCACTCAGCTCTTCGTACATTGTTTCATTAAATAGATCAGAGGGGCTGTCCATGTTGAAAAATGATGTGGTGGCTGTGTCGTCCTGGTTCAAGGTAAATACCAAATCGGCTTTATCAGGCGAGAGCCTCTTGAGCACTGTTTGAGTTAGTTTTGCAAACGAGAGACCGGAACTGGAGCCCAAGTGTCGCTCCGCTGTGGCTTCAAGCGTCAATGTCTTGAGCTCTTGAGCAAAGGTCGTATATTGATCCTTTGTGGTGGCGCAAAGTTGAACAGGAGCTGGCGCTGTGTTTTGCGAGTGAGATGACTGCCGTCTATCCACGTCCTGTTCACACCGTGCAGTCTCCAACGGGTGTAAAGATAGATCTAGGCAGCTTGGATCAAGTTGGTCAGGGTCCAAGTCAATACTCTCTGTCATCATTGAGTCGTTGTGCAGATGAGGAGAAGTGCTGATTACTGGTAGTTGTTCCGCTGGTACATAAGAAGCAAACCCAGGCTCCAACGGATTTCGCATGTTATGTAAGTGTGGTAATGGGTTATTGTTATCGTCATGCTCGACTGATTGTGCTTCTTGGTGTGATATCCGGCGTTCAAAGACAGCAGCTTGTTGAGTGGTACTTTGTGTAGGTGTTATATTTTCTAAATGCTGCTGATTTGAAGCAGCGCTCAATTGTCGGATTTGATCTTCCAGATGGTGTACATAGCTATTCTCGTCAGTATGGTTCTGTATGGGTTGGTTTTGCTGCGCAAGAGGCCCATGTTCATAGTGGTAACTGAAGGGAAGAGAAATCTCTTACGCTATTGGAAAAGATGCCATTTCACCACTATCATCCTGAAAACTACATCTCACGCCGGCCGCAAGGCAATCCCTACAGGCGGGCAATTGTCTACCACATCGTTTCTTCCGTTTGTGGCATCGAGAGCATGACGCATGCGCCAACGCGCCGGCGTAGGTCGATATCATGAACCAAGGGCTGAATAAATGGCCTTGTGTGTGCAGTTGCTAATTGTCAGGGGTGACTGACAAGTTTAAGAATCCATCAGCGCACTGGGGATGTAAGCGGATCGACGATTGACTTAGTGGACTAGCAGGCCAACCCCGCACTAATAAACATTGGGTATTAACGCGTCGCAGATTAGGCCCACTCTAGCTCTAGGGGAGCAGCCTGGGGCCTATTATAACATAGTTATTACAACCTCGTTAGTACACCTTATGGTATTACAAGAATGATTTTTGTTGATAAACATTTCACATAGCCATTTATTATCATATCCAACTGTAGCAACTGTTTACTTATCACAGTTTATCCATATTCCTTATAATATAGAGTTACTGATCTACATTTCCACCACTGCCACTGCCTTGACTTCAACAATCATGCGCGGGTCAGGCAATTCCTTGACGCCAATAGTAGCCCTAGCTGGAGCATTGGTCCGGGTGGTAAAGACCTTGTTCCACTCTTCATTCATGCCGGCGTAATCTCTCTTCATGTCCACGACGTAGACGACGGCATCAATGAGATTTTGAACACCGCCTTTGTTACCTGTAGCTCCTTTGATGACCCTATCAATGTTGTTGAGCACTGCTGCTGTCTGTGTGCGAATGTCCAAGGTTTGTGTTCCGTCTTCATTGTCCGTTACTCCTGGCCAAGTTCCATCAGGTTGAACGCAGGCCGTGCCAGAAATATATATGGTGTGATGGCTGTTGGTTGGAGCAAGGCGAGCTTGAGGGAAGCGCGTCATGCCCTCTGGCTCGTCCGGCCTTGCAAGGTATGCCTCTCCATTTGGTTCCATGCTGGAATAATGCGCAGAAAAAAGAAACTGGTCAAGATAAATAGAAATGGTAATTGTGTCAATAAAAAAACGTAGTAATTTGTTTCTTACTTTATGTCGACAGACCCCTTGCCCTAAATATTTCCAAGCGTTGTCGCGCTATGGAGTCATATAGCGGGAGCCGTGTAAGTTTGCCTGTCGGACCAGCCGACACGCCTTATTGCGGGTATAGATGCCTTAGAAAAGCCATTCCGATCGGTATAATCGGTCAAAGAGTGTTTCTTGATGCAAAAATTACATTATAAATATCTACGCCCCTGTCAAATATTGTCGAAATCAGCCAGCCGTACAACCGATACAGACTAGTGACCAAAGTCAATAGTTTGCTTATCCTTAATTTAATATTCCGCGTGTAGAGGACGTTCTTGTTTATTATTCAACCCATTCGCCTGTCTGAGTAAGTTAATTACACATAATAATATTGCCCGACATTCACCAGAACCGATATGGTGAGCCAGGTAAACAGTGGTCGGAGCATCCGAAGTAAAGATGCGCCGTTACGGTTTCTAGTAGTAGCGCCCGTGGCGAGGGCCCGGGTATAGCCCGACATGGTACAATAACCTTAGTTTCCTCTATCCTATTCTGTATAAGCCAAATTAAACGCAAATGCAATGACACGGTCTCATTAACTCCATTCATCACCGAGCTCCCCAATAAGCTCGCACAAGTCTACAACACAGCCCAGCTCTCTGATCCAAAGTAGCGTACCTTACTTACTTTGGCCATTTGTTAATTAATACTAGTATTAATTCTATTTTATAAAAGTTTCATCTAACGAATTATTGGCAGAAGGCGTCTAGTTCTTCCTTCTTGTAGCATACAAACATAAACTGTACTCGTATACCCGTACTTGCCAGGTACGTATATTGTATAAGAGACGGGAATACGTCGGTGGCTTGGTTCTTTATGCAAGGAGCACAAAGAGCCGCCTTACCCAGCGCAGGCAACGTAGGATTTGGCGTGTCTTTGGGTCAAAGGGTCATGCGCGCTGGGGTAACCAAAATACCGCCGAGAAATGCGATTGACCAGCCCATACTAGAACACGACCGCCTCCAACTCCTTTCACTTTCACTCCCACATCACTAGAACCTTATCCAACCGCGAAAAGCCTATCTTTCTCATATCGTAAGTCCCGCCCTGGCAATTCAATTGCGACTTCGGCGCCCCAGCATATCGCGCTTGATCCACAGGGGCATGGTCCCGCCCATACAGCGGCTCTGTCAAAGACACCGGAGCAGCGAGAGGCTCCCCGGCGCTGGGGAATTCTTGGCTGTATCGGCTTCATGACTCTATTTCTTGATGCGCTTCCCCTACTTCTTCTTTTTCTTCTGCTTCTGCTTTTTTATCTGCATCACCAGTCGTTGTTCTAATTTCGCTTCGTTGCCGTCCAATCGCTAACCAGTCCGCCGCTTCCGCCCTTGCTGCAGCAGCCCTGCTTTTCCCTCCGGCCCCCGGCTCTCCGATCAACTCCGTTCGGCTCGGCGCAACAAGCTCCTCATTTTCTGTTATTGCAACAGCTAAGCTTCCCCAAGCTACAGCACGCACACCATCAATCAACAAACACGCGCATCAGCCCCCAATTGCTTTGCGAAGACGAAAACAAGTGGCCAATCGCCTCATCGCAGGTAAGCTTACTCGGTTCCTTTTTGTTTTTGAGGTGTCAGCTTGCGGCTTCAACGGCTGTCAGAAAATTCCCTATCTCTCTTTTGCACCTCGGTCATGGGCTTCCAGGTCGTCCGCCGCCGGAGCTGTCCACCAGACAAGACACACCGGCGCAATGGATCCTGGCAATATCAATTTCCATCAATTGATATCCACAAAGCAAAAGACGAAGCAAGCACGCAAGGCAGTGCCGCCGGCTTCGCTATAAGCGGGTTCCTTTGGCTGGCCTCGGCTTTAAACACTCGTGGCCAACTTCCACTTCCACGCGCTCTCCCTTCCGCTCTTTCCCCTCCCTGCCTCCTCCACACTGCCCTCTTTTCCAGCGTTCTCCAGCGCTGCACCCACCCACTGTAAGCCGCAGATATTTCCCCCAGGCTGCCTGCTGCTCCAGTGCAACCCCGCATTCCGTATTATTTTCTTCCCGCACACAACCACAACAAACCACCAACAACCAAGCAAACGCCCCTGCTGACCAACTGCAAGCTCCGCATTGTCCTTTGTCCCCCCCCGCTATTCGGCTATACTCGTCCCCTCCATAGCACCCTGCTGTACCTGTCCGCTACGGTCCAGCGCATCAATCCACCCAGAGCCGCGTTACAGAGCCGCACGCACCACCACGCCCGCCTGCTGTAACCGCCCACGTCGTCCCGAGTCGCCTCTCCCGACTGCTGCATAGGCCGAAACCACCCACCCAGCGCCCAATTCGCTAAACTCCGTGTCTGATACCCTTACCTAACCCTCCTTTGCCCCTCCTCCTCTTCGCAAAGATGAACGCCGCCTTCTCCTCCAGACTCCTCTCCACCACTACCCGCACTGCTCCCGTTGCTGCTGCTCTGCGTTCCCGTCGTTTCCTCCCAAACTCCTTTGGCGCTGTAAAGACTGTATCTCTCTCTGCATACCGCACAATGGCTACCACCAAGATCAAGGTCAAGAACCCCGTCGTCGAGCTCGACGGCGACGAGATGACCCGCATCATCTGGCAGACCATCAAGGACAAGTTCATCCACCCTTACCTCGATATTGACCTCAAGTACTACGATCTCGGCCTCGAGTACCGTGACCAGACCAACGATCAGGTCACCATCGACGCTGCCGAGGCTATCAAGAAGTACTCTGTCGGTGTCAAGTGTGCCACCATCACTCCCGATGAGGCCCGTGTCGAAGAGTTCAAGCTCAAGCAGAGTAAGTTTGACATGAATGGCATATACTATCTTCCCCCGTCTTGCTAACACAATGTCCTCCCATCTAGTGTGGCTCTCTCCCAACGGTACCATCCGTAACGCTCTCGGCGGCACCGTCTTCCGTGAGCCCATCGTCATCCCCCGCATCCCCCGCCTCGTCCCCGGATGGAAGCAGCCCATCATCATCGGCCGTCACGCCTTCGGTGACCAGTACCGCGCCAAGGACCGTGTCATCCCCGGCCCTGGCAAGCTCACCATGGTCTACACTCCCGAGGGCGGCCAGCCCGAGGAGATCGAGGTCTTCCAGTTCAAGGAGGGCGGTGGTGTTGCCCAGACCCAGTACAACACCGACGAGTCTATCCGTGGCTTCGCCCACGCCTCCTTCAAGCTTGCTCTTGACAAGAACTACCCTCTGTACATGAGCACCAAGAACACCATCCTTAAGAAGTACGATGGCCGCTTCAAGGACATCTTCCAGGAGCTCTACGATACCCAGTACAAGAAGGAGTTCGAGGCCAAGAAGATCTGGTACGAGCACCGCCTCATCGACGACATGGTCGCCCAGATGATGAAGAGCAGCGGTGGCTACATCATGGCCCTTAAGAGTACGTTCCCCCTTTTTGCCTTTTATACACCTTCTTCTGTGTAAAGCTAACCCCTTTTAGACTACGATGGTGATGTCCAGTCCGACGTCGTTGCCCAGGGCTTCGGCTCCCTCGGCCTCATGACCTCGGTCCTCATCACCCCCGACGGCAAGACCTTCGAGTCCGAGGCCGCCCACGGCACCGTCACTCGCCACTACCGCGAACACCAGAAGGGCAACGAGACCTCCACCAACCCCATTGCCTCCATCTTCGCCTGGACCCGTGGTCTCATCCAGCGTGGCAAGCTCGACGACACCCCCGAGCTCGTCGCCTTTGCCGAGAGCCTTGAGAAGGCCTGCATTGACACCGTCGACATTGACGGCATCATGACCAAGGATCTTGCTCTCGCCTGCGGCAAGAACGGCCGCGAGGACTACGTCACCACCAACGAGTACCTCAACGCCGTTGAGCGCCGCATGAAGAACACCCTCAAGGAGAAGTTGTAAATCACTTCCTCTCCCCGGGCTGATTCTGCAAACGCACCAAATTAAGTAAAAGATGAATAAAACTTTTTTGATATAAAAATAAACAAAAGATGATGTTTTCTTGGTTACCAAAAATGGGAGGGCATATTTACAGATGATCCGGCATATATTTAGATAGTGTCATTTGTTACTACGATCTGGAGGCATGAAACACATGTCGAAGCAAAGCAACTAACTGTCTTTTCTCTTCCTTTTTTTTTCTTACAGCATATAGCAATATACCATCATTGTCTGCAAGTACAAGCTGGTCCTTTGGTTCTTAGAAACGTCACAGAGGGGGTAATGGAATGTAAGATAGAAATATGTATTCCGAAAACAAGAAATCCCTGAAATCTAGCAAAATGTATCCACGTTGTGCGCCAGATATTATAAAACTACACATGCACAAAGCCTCAGCCAATCCTCCTCGCCCATGTTACGCCGTCGGCACCGCCGCCACAGATCCTGAAATAGAAAAAAGAAAAGAAACAAAATACGCTTTTTCAACCGCAAGCTGGTGAATGTCTCTTCAAACTAGTACACATTTAGGCGCCTTCGCCCTCGCTCTTGCGCTTCTTTTTTGACGGGCGAGAGGCCCCGTTGCTGTGCTTGGATCCTTGGTCATCCTCTCTCTTGCGCTTGCCACGGGGTGCTGGGGTACCGTTCTCGCCGTCGTCATCCATACTGGCATCAGTGTCCTTGTCTGCAGCGAGGCTGGAGCGCTTGTTGGGTCGCGAGCCCTTGGGAGCGCGGCTCGTGTCGGCGTCCTCGTCCACGCTTGCATCGCCATCAGCCGGTCTCTCAGATGCTCTGCCTCTCTTGCCTGGCTTTCCAGATGCCGTCTTTCCAGAACGCTCGGATCTGCCGCCACGCGAGCGTTTCGAAGTGTCCTTATCGTCGTCGTTATCGCCGTCTTGGAGGAAGCTCTTGGGTGCATGTTTGCGGAGCCAGTTGCCAACGCTAGTAGGGTTCTTGGCATGTGCTTGTGCCTGCGACGAAATCCCGCCAGAGCGAGAAGCAGGGGCCAGCGTAGGGATGGGGCTGTCGGTTGGCGGCAAGACTTGGTCAAGGGCGTGGATGTAGTCGTCGATGTCGTCGGCGGAGAGAAAGCTGGCTGGGTGTATCTCGCCAGTTACGGCAGCGAGGTCTTGCACGAATGCAGCGTTGTTCTCTTTAGCTGTCGCGTATGATGTATGTGGTACGTCGTTAAGAAGCGTCTCCAGACGTCGGAGGGCTTCCTCCTTTTGGGTTGAGCATGCCTTGTCAATGGGCAGTATCGGCTGATCGGAATCTGATGGAGGTCGTAGAGCAATGTCTATTCGCTTTTCGAAGGGGATCTGGGCTGAGTTGTTGACCTCTAACAGCATGTCGAGGAGTTGGCTACAAATGAATCGCAGTTAGCAATGTACCTTAATGGTATTCAGATTGGGGCAGTCATACTCGTTCTCGACAGCCAAGCGCTTCACGATGGCTGCAGCCTTGGCTTCTTTCTTGTGCAGCTCCTCGCCACTTTGCATCTGCCTGTCAAAGACAATGCGCATCTTGCGATACTTCTTCTTCCATGATTTATAGATCGCACTAGGATGTAACGGCTTGGCTGGGGTAGCGTCGACTTTGGTCGAGGATGTGTCCTCCATGACTGCAGAGAATATAAATCCAATGGCTTGGAAATCGCTCGGTGTGGATGGATAGCGTAGGCTGCGTCGTGCAGATTCTGTTCCGCCAACCAACAAGTCTGGCGTTGGGTGGTTTGTCCGCAGCGCTTACGGCCCAGTTGGAGAAGATGATGCTGGCAAATAACTCGGGTAGTGTTGATGTAGCGGTCGTAGATTGAACGGCGTCGCAAAGTATTCTAAAATGGATGATGGCAGTAATGTAGTGCGATGGATGGAGATGGGGAAGGGGGATGGATGGGATGAGTGGTGGCCGAAGAAAAGGGCGCCCCGTGGTTTTGGGTTTGCTGTTCCTTTTTCGGGTCGCAGCGAAGCTGTGCACGCGCCGCCGTTGTCGCGCGCTCCCCCTTGGCGTAGCCTGTTTGCGACGCTCTTTTTGGCGGCTACCCGGCAGTGAATCCGCCGCAGGACTACACGGAGATTCACGCAGCAGTGATATAGAAATTAAACTGTTTCGAAATAATTTACAATGTTCGTGTATATTTTATAAGCTACTTACCGGGTTATATGTTTTCTAGCTTGTAGTTCGGTTGCGCCATTGAACTAGCTTTCCTCCTGTCGCACTAGATAGCCGTTGGTCACTGAATAGAGCCACACACTCTAGACTTCAATTTTTGGTATTCATATTAACAATAGTGAGAAAGACTTAAATCTACGAAGATAATTCCTTACCAAGTCTTTCCAACTCTTCTGAAATGAATTCACGCGCATTAACAAGTTCTGTGCTGCCATAAACCACTCTCTTCTTGGCACGGTCGCCACCTACGCGGGAAACCCATTCTTGCAGGTTGCCATACTCCTCCATACTACCTCCGCCAACAGTGAAAACAACGGCCTCGCTGAATCCTTGGCGACGTTGGCCAAAGCTGGCATTCTGGCCCACGTTTTGTGAGCCAGGCATACCACCAGGGGCATTGCCCGCTCCGGCGCGAATGGCACTTGGAGCAGGCATTGTGCCTCGCGCGTTGGCGGAGCGAGGGTCAAAGTACAGATAGTTTTCTGTCTTAGCAATCGCAGAGGATGATGCTGTGGCAGGGTCCATGATAGACTCTACAATCTTTGTAATCGTAAGATCGCGATCAGCAGGCAGGAAGTTCTTCACACCACTAATAAGTGATTCAAAGTTGGAAGACAGGCCAGACGGGACGCCAGTTTCCTTCAAACGATCGGTCAGGCGTGAAGAGATGGAAGAGAATCGACCAAAGAGATCGGAGGAAGCATTTTGGGTGGCGGCGCTGTTGTTGATGGTTGTAAGCTGGGTCATCTTCGTAGTGGCGCGAACTCTGTGATTTGGTTAGTATCAAAAGTCGGAAAACACAGCGTAGATCCCTCTTACTGTCGAATGTACGATAAAGATGAAATATCTGCCCCAGCAGCTTCTAAGGCCTTTTCAAATCCTTCGAATTCCTGGCGATTAACTTCCTGCTCCGTGCTGAGGTACCAAATCACAAAGAGTCGCAGTTTATCGGTAGGCTCCTTGCCGCTGTTTGCATCCTTGATAATATCCATAATCTGAACCTTGGTCTGCTTGGTCGCAGTTTCTTCAATCTGGAAGAAGTTGTCGAGCTGACGATCTTTGATACCAGATAGAAGGGCTGCCAGGATATTCATATGCATATCTAGAGTGGCCTTTCGCTCTCGCATCTCCGGTAGCAGTGTAATAGCTGCCTTTAAGTGCTGGGCGCTAGCACTTGTATCGTTCTGCAAATCTTCAAGGTCTGTTACGCCTGTCTTCTTAGTAATAGCTGCTGTATCCTCCTTGTATTTTGTCAACTCAGCATCGATGTCTTCGGCTACCTGAGGGAACGGTACACCGGCATTCTTTGCCCAAAAGAAGTCATTGGCATTCAAATCATACGCCTTCTTGGATGTGCCCTTGGCTGGGTTGCTTTCGTCGATTGGTGTCTCGATTGTGATGCGGTTCAACTTCATGTTAAGTACGTCGTGGACCAAAGATTGGTACGTCCAAGAATGCGATAGCATGGGAACGAGATCGACATTTCGATCGAGAAGGATAAGTACCGGCCGTGATTGAGGAGTTCCGGAAGATGATGTTGAGCGCGTATTAGAGAAGAGATTGTCCTTTGAGTTTAAGATGTGGTCTCGGAGCTTTCGATCGAGTCGTTGGGCGACCATTTCGGCGGCGGCACCCTTGGGGCATCGAATGATGGGAATTACACCTAAGGATATGTCAATCTACGCAGTGTCGTAAAAAAAGACGATTGTACACACCCATTGTGACAATCACGCTGAATAGGCCGCTCACTATACGGTCAATCACCGAGTCGAGCTGCTCATCACTGGTTTTGGCACTGTTGAGAGCCCAGTATGTGTGCTCTTTTTGCATACCAAGACTGAAAAGATCAGGTTCGGCAACAATAAAGTTCAGATATTGATCGAAGAGCTGTGAAATCTTGTCGGAAGTTCCTGATGTAGCCGTCTGCGTAGCGAAGTCCTCCAACAGGACTCGTGGGAGGGAAGAGAGCAGATTGATGTAAGCTGGAGAGTAGAGACCCTTTTGCAAATCGTTCGTGATATTTTGTAAGTTCTGTGCAGTTGGTTCGAGTAGATAGATTACGGGGACATCAGGGATCGCATGTCGCGTCGTTCCAATATGCCTGTATGTATCCTGCGATTAGTCGGGCTTGTCGTCCGTTTGAAGGCGGGGGAAACAAACATGTGCATGGTCACACCCATGGAGCGCAGGTCGCTCACTCGCATAACACTGCTGATTACATCTCGTCCAAGGTCATCGAATACCAGTACTTTCCAGATAGGATTTCCTTCTGAGTCGAGAATCGGAGCTACAGGCGCGAGTAGTCCATTTGCCAAAGCTTCTTCTGATTCGCTCGTCTCGACGGTTTCGTTGAGGTTCAGGATTTTTTTGAGAGACGCTGGAAAGAGTAAGAAACAATTCATTGCCAATAGTCATATTGTATATAGGCTGATGCATACCAATCTGGCGGTCACGTAGAGAATTCGTTTTCGTCGCCATTGTTGCCGGACCCCTCGATAGGCGGTGATGTTTGCTTGAGAGGTGGAGAGGGTCGGCCGGATGATTAGTGACTAGTAAATACGGCTTGCTTCCAGGTTCTTCTGAAGAAATTCCAGATAGAAGGTGAAGGTGAACAAAGTAGAGAGAGGACGAAGCTTTACAGGCAAGAAGTGCAATCAGGCCACCATGTCATAGCCCACACACTGACTGCCCGCACTGAAGCTTCAGTAGTGAAGCACCCCACTTAATACCGGCCTTGCCACTGAGACGAAGCGCTGGCTCCATGCTATTAGCGGGCCGACAGGTGTACCGAGCCACCGCCAGAAATCTTGCGGCCTTAAAATTATGGCTGCTGCGCAACTGCTGGCTACAGACCAGAAGTGTTTGCGACGCGCCCTCTCAACCTTTGCATCTCCCCTTGCGGCGGCCCAGCCATCTTCTCTAAATTCCCCGTCAACGACACCGATAATTCCGTCCTGGCGTCATAAGTGGTGGCATTGATATTATCTCGCAAGCGCGCTCTTTATGTTTTAATAGGAAGGAGAGTCTCGCGAGAATTGTTTCAAGCCGACTATCATCTCCAACGCTTCGGCTAAATCTGGTCGGTCGCAATCTGCTGGCACTGCTAAACAGCGCCTCGAGAGTATCGCAAGGCTTCGACCATAAATATTCTTCTATCACGAGAAGTAAAGTTGCATTAGCAGCATCGTGAACTTATTGGGTATGCATTCGTTCTCCGTCCCAGGCTCTCTGGGCTGTTTTTCTACCTCACCTTCCAATCTACACCTACCACTGTGTGATATAATGCGACTCAGCACAGTATTTCGTGATGGCATACCGCCTGGATAAACCAAGCCGTCCATTATACCGATGGAAAGTTAATGAGCTGTTTAACACCATAATAAGTGGGAAATCCCGATAAGCCACGGTCGACAGGTCGCAGTCTGGCCTTGCTAGAGGCTGTCAGCTATAGAACAACATCCGAGCAGTCGATAGGACGCCGTGATGATTCTATGCCGTGTATTAAACGGCGGCTGATACGCTATCTGGCAAGTGAATTCTGCTTTTGTCGGTTGCGGTATCGGATCACAGTGTTGCTCCTGTGGTGATACTCCTCGACGGAGACATAATATCAAAACCTGCCGTCACGCTGTTGTTGCCGGGCACAACAGCTACGAACTCAGCGGCAGTTTGCAAGAAAAGAAGATATGAATCTCACGTCTTTATTGGACACGGCTCTGCTTTTGACATCATCGCGGGTGGCTGCTGGCGATTTGCTGAGAAACGCCCGCCTTGACTACGGGCTGCATGCCGCATGCTGCACGTTCGATGGCGGATTGCTGTTTTGCGTCGCCCATCACCACGATGTCCCTATCATCTTTACTACCAATTTCACCAATCAATAACCAGACACGCACTCGCCAAAATTTCTCCAGAACAGCGCTAATTTTGTCACTTGTTTCTCCTGTTTAGACTATCTTGCCCTTCCCGTTCACGACCCGTCCCGATTCGGCTTAGCGTCGCTCTGTCACGCCCACCTACTCAGGTACCGACGCACAGTATTTCTTCGGGTGAGTACACTTTGGCGGATGCTCAGAACAACAAGTCAAACCATCTCTCCAAGCTTTTAACACTGCAATAAACGCCTTTGCACTCACTGCAAAATTGGCGGTGCGCTGAGATGCAAGGCATTTCCAGTGCTATTTTAACTAAACTAATTCGCCCTCTAGCAAACTTCTCGTTACTCTGGCCCATGATTGCTTGTTCCTAAATCCGTACTCCCTCGCTCTGCCAACATGCAGTCGTGGCCGAATCAAGGCCAAGACGACGGCAGCGGCCAGAATAACTGGCCGCAGCAGTTCGCCTACAATGGTCAAAACGCGCAATTTGACCAAGCACAGGCATGGTCGCAACAAGCCGGCGCATTGCCCTCGAATTTCTACGATACCGCGACGCAACAAAACACGATGCTAGGAACCGATCTCGAGCCGAATATTCATGGAGAGAGCCCTTTTGGCAATACTAGTAACAATGGTTATCCTGCTCAAGCGTTCTCCCATAACAAGCCAGCAACCAGTTCATCTGGCCAGACAATAACTCCCGAGCAGTTGGCATATATGCAACAGAATGGAACGGGGTTTGAGCAACAGGCGTATCAACAGCACGTGTTGCAGCGCCCAGATCAGATACAGCTCAATCAGATGGGTACACAGTACTCAACCGGGAGGCCAACGCCGCAGCATGAAGGCTCATTTGGACAGCAGCAAGGCTTTCCTCAAGACCAGGCTCAATTCCAAAACTTGTATCAGCAGCAGCAGCAGTTACAACAGCAACAGCAGCAGTTACAACAGCAACAGCAACAGCAACAGCAACAGCAACAGCAACAATTACAACAACAACAGCAACAACAGCAACAGCAGTCTACAGCAGCCATGCCACCTCAGGCAAACCAGGCACAACACTCGTCCCAGCATGTTTTCTCCCAGCAGACCCCTCAGCCTCAGCTTGCGCCGGCACCAAACGCGCCAAACCAGACTCAGTTCATCGCTATACCCCCACCAATTGCTGATCAGTCTTCTGTAAAGAAGCGCAAAAGATCAGTCGATGCCGCTTCGCCAAACTTGGCTACACCAGCCGCTACTACGTCAACATCCAAGAAGCCTACTGAAATTGACTCGTTTGCTCCGCCAGTGTCTAATAATGATGAAATGCAGCTTCTCTCTCAGGCAGATCTCCGACTTAGAACCGGACAAACTCGAACTGCACCGATAGCTGGCGTACCTCACCTTGCCTTCCAGGGGCTCATGACACTTCCTGCACCCAAGACCTACGATAAGCTGGCTCCTCTGGTAGCACTCCCTTCTCGCTCGGGCAACCACCTTATGCCGGGCATTGGCTATGAGCTCCCCTGCGAGATTCAAGGTCACTTTACTCACGACTTTCAGCCCTCACCGGAAAAGAGTGGATTAGAAGATCGAAAGACGGAGTCGAAATTGTTACTCGACAAGTTCGAAGCATCTATGAAAAGTCTTGGAAAGCGTCGACCGAAATATACCGAGTATCCACACTCTTTTAAGGAGCAGCTCAAATCTGATGAAGCCTTAAAGAATAAAGCCGGGAAGAAAGTTAAGAAGGGAAGTCAAAAGCCAGCACGCCCAGCGACGAGACCTACAGATATTGCCGATGCGGCCGAATGGGATGTAATTGGCATTGTCCAACTAGACGAATCTACAACCCGAACCAGTTCGCTCATCGCCACACGTGTGCAAGAAACGGCAGATTTGTTTATCAAACTCAGGGCAGAAATGAACAAGAGCAGAAATGAAGCCGACGAAGCAGTTAAAGACAAGAAGCCTGAACAAGAAGTCACAAGGCTTAAAGCAGAAGCTGAAGGACGAAAGAAGGCGTTCTATAAGGCTCTTGATGCCACTGTTGAATATGCTGATGACGCAATTATGGATAATCTTGGCGGCCATCAGAGGATGATCTCCAGTTTGATTAATGCCCTCATTGGCTGCATTAAACTGGGAGACTTTAGTGGCCAGCTGCCGAAAATAGTGCTCGAGCTCTTCACCCACTTCCGAATGACTCGAAAGATTGCTGAAACAACTAATTTTGACACGGTATTAAAGAGGCTGGAAGATAAGGGAGATAATGACGTTAAGGAGATGGTGCGCGAGATTTCAGCCAAAGCCAAGAAGTTCAAGGGCGAGCTTGACACGGCAACTGGTTATACAGGAACTTCTGCCGCAAGCAGAGCAAAGGCGCCACCCAAGGCTGCTGAGGCACAGCCTGCAAAGCGTAGCCGCGATGATGATGCGGATACTAGGACTGTGAAGAAGATAGCTGTCGAGTCTACTGGCAGCTCTTTGAGCAAGAAACTATCATCCAGACCATCTACAGCGCCAAAGGCCGCTGCCGCAGTGCCTGCGAAGACAAAGCCTCTGGCGAAACCGGCCGCAAAGGTTGAACCGGCGCCCCCTGTCACAGCCGAAAACAAAATCCAGGAAGAAGAGGCCAAAGCACCAGCCAAAGGAGACGTTGCACCGGTTACCAAGCCTGAAAAGGCAGCACCAACCAAGGCACCTTCATCGACAAGTACCTCAGTTGTTACGGGTATCGCATCACTGTTGGATTCCATTAATGCAAAAGCACCGGAACCGGCTGCCATTGCATCGACGAAAGATGTTACCGAATCCGAAGATTCTGGAACTCCTGAAGATAGCGCCCGTCGTGCTAGAAAGCTTGCTCGAAGCAAGTTAAGAGTCACATGGAAACCCGACGAAGACCTGGTACAAGTCAAGATCTTCCACAAGCATGACGCAGAAGATGAAGGTCGTGAGAGCAATATGATTCGCGATGCCGCCGATGATAAATCGGAGGGTATGGTTCTGAAGCAAAGAGTCGAGATGGAAGACGATGAAGACGATGACGACGTCCCATATCAACCTTGGGTTGAGCCCACGCTCGCCGACTTGTCACTGCTTCCAGATACTGCAAAGGAGAAGAATTATGTTACGCGTGGTGGCCAGGTGACATTTTCTACTGATGAACAAACGGTAATCGCGGAGAGGGAGCTGCGTGAGCTTATGGCTATCTATACCGATCCATCTGATATCCCCACTTCGCCGAGATCTCCTCTGTTGTCTGAAACCCGCACTCTCGAGCCTAAAGTATGCCAGCTTCCCAGCAATGACCCAAAGTTTACAGAAATTCAGCGCCGATGGGCGGACGAGCAACAGATGGGCAGAGACGGTGCCTTTTACTCAGCTATGGGCCGCCTAGACTCTACAAGTCAGTCATCGGCTGGGCTTGATACGATCTTGGGTCGCCTAAAGGAAGTTGCGGCGACATCCACACAGTCTGGTGCTAAAAATGGCGCGAGCGTTAATGTGCCACTTGTTACCGGCCGCGCTGTCGAGGAACAAGTGCTTGGTTGGTTACGTTCCGATAGAGTCAAAACGTGGACCGATCCGAACCCTATGCGACTCGACATGTCTAGACCCTATTCTTATAATGATGCTACATCTCAAGCTGCGGGTGTCGTGATTGAGGCATTGTGCAAGTATCTCGCCAGCAAGCCATATCCTCCCACCTCACCACCAGACTGGATGGCACATCTTGAAGAGAAAAGCAAGGAGTGGTGGTTTGGCTATAATAAGGAGATGGCATCGAAGCAAAGGAAAGCAAACGCCGAGATGCAAGGCAATGACCAACGTGCAACCGGCGTCCCGAACCAAGATTGGACATCATACTATGGGCAGCAGCCTGAGATGGCACCATACATGTCTATACTTCAGCAGATGATGGGCAACCAACCGCAGGCCGCCGCACCAACACAGTCGCAGATGGATGATTCACAGCTTCAGTCCATTTTGGCTGCCATTAATCAAGGCCCACAGCAACAGGGAGGTGCTGTGCCCCCACCACCACCAGTTCAGGCGGCGCTAGGAGGATATTCTGATCCGATGCAGCTCTTGTCCCAGATGGCGCAGAGCCAAGCGAATGCATCAAACCACTTGTCGCATAACTCGGACAGAGACAGAGACAACGACGGCGATCATGACCGTTACGATCGGTCGTCGTATAGAGACGACTACAAGGACGGGCGTAAAAAGAAGCCTACGCTGCCACCTCATAAGCCAGCCAACAAAGCTCTTATTGGTACCAAAGCGTGTACCTTCTGGCAGCAGGGTAAATGCGCCCGTGGTGACCAATGTACATTCCGACATGACTAAAAGAGTTCGTGGAGATGAAACGAAGATGTACAGTTCGGCACGCGATTGCATTAGTCAATCATCTATCAATGTGTTTTTTTACGATAAGAGCTGGAGAAGCAGCATGTCACTTGGGTGACATTTCATGATGTTCTATTTTACAAAGATATACCGAAATTCGGATGTGTATAACTATTGTTGATTCATTAGGCGTTGGCGAAAAGAAGGAGTAACAAAACTAGACGTTTGGTTTTGGATGGGCGTCGATAAAATTCGAATGCTAATACCCCGTATTGTATCAGTTCGGGTTTGCTAATTTCATTGACCACGCAATATAATTATACCAAAAACGAAATATAAAATTAATTCTTTTACTTGTATCCAGTGCTTTCACCTAATCATGTGCTCTTCATCTCAGCATCCGCAGTCGGCCGCTGGACTAAGCCTCGTAAGCTCAGGTCATAAACAATATCCTCAACACGCTTTACGTCGTATTTGACGGCATCGGCTCGTTTGCGCAGAATATCGTTCTTCAAGTTCAGTAGCTGGAAGCCGGCAAACAGGTCCTTGACGAAGGCACTAATGGTCATGGGTAGCTCAAAGTCGCCCAGAGTAACGGCGTTTGTAGCGAGACGACCCAGTTCTTGAGTAAGCTCTGTTAGTGATAACAGGTACTCTTCGATAGTGAAATGGAAGACGTCCCGATCCTTAACATTGGTAGGAACTATGGCACCATGTTAGGATTCATGTTCAGACACATTGAAGCCAGCGTAACTTACCTGAGAAAATGGAACCGACCTCTTCGAGCGTCAAAAGACGACCAAGAGACTCGGAGGTTTCGGGAGAGGCGAAACCTCCCAACCAACCGCAGTAGATGGTGGTGCCTATGGCATTTTGAATGGTGCGCGACCACTTGGAGTTGTACCTAGTGGGCGTTAGCAGCAGATAAATACACTCAGAGGCTTAAACTTACTTGTAGTAAGGATGCTTGGAGGCGACTTCGTTGAGCTCAGCCACAATTGAACTTTCCTCCTTGACGGCAGCTTCTACTTGTGATACCAGTGCGGGATCTGTCGTGTTCTTGTTAGCTATCAATCTAGGATGCACATGACAGAAGAGGATGCTTACAGTTTGCTCTGGGGGTAGAGTGGACTCGAGACAGAAGGCCTTGAGCAGCAGATACTGCTCGGTCGAGGCGCTGAATCAATTGCGTGAGGGCATCGCGCACTTGAGTCTCCTCTTCGAGCTTGCTTTCGAGATGGGTAAAGATGGCGGGGTCAAGCAGACTGGACTGGGGGTTTGCCATGTTGGGTTGCTAAAGTGAGAAAGAGGGGTTTAATTGAGTGGCGCAGAATGTCTTCCGGAAGAGGAGCCGAAAGCTGAGGCGGTGCTGGTGATGCGGTGACGTGGTGATCCGGAATGCTTGATAGAGCGAGTCGTGAAGGGATTTTTCTGGCCGCGCAGCTGTTGCAGGTGCGCCAGGTGCGGCGCCCGTCAGGCGTTTGGGTACAGTACAGCAGACCCTCTTGTGTTGGTGCGCTCTCGGTCTACATCCACAGCCACTGGTAACCACGCATATGCATTTCGAGACAAGCTGCATATGGGATGAAGCCCGACTAGATTCTAATTGGAATATTCGACTGCTTTTAAAAATGCGAGGAAAAGGGGCATTTAAAATCCAATCCGCCGACAGCGCGGGCGAGCCAGCACCTATCCAGGGACATATGATGCAGGAAAACAGCCAAACGGATTCAAGCCATTTATGGTCTCAAATAAGAACAAATCAAACACTGGAGTGACTTGAGTCATTCGTCATCCTTCAGCGTCCCGGTAGAGTGGTTCACCCGCACGTCTCATGCACTGCAACGCCCGCTGAAGGTGTAGCCACCAATAAAGTAGACTCCGTCACTTGAAGATGTTTGCTCTTCAGCAACAAGGGTGGCCACGTTATACTTCGGGAGTAACCGTTTTTGAAAAGCCACAATATATTTTACGGTGAAGAAGCATGTTCGGATCCAACCTGTGGACTAGGGCTACGACAATGCCATGTGTCACAGTATTGTTGTTCGTCTGGTGCCGCATCTTCGCGTTGCAAACCCGGCCTTTTGTAACATACCCCCGCATTCCGAAACTCTGAAACAAACAAACTGACTTATAGTTCAGCTGTGGGAAGTGGGGGCACACTTGACAAGCTCCCTACGCCAACCGTTACCAAACTGCTCTCAGCTAGCTCAGGGTGGCTATATAAATAATCGAGCAATGGTCAATCCATCAATGAAAGATCCAAAGGGTCCAAAAGCACTCGAAATTCGATAAAATGAAGATATCGACAGTTTCTAATGCCTTTATTTGGCCAGCCTTGGCTACCCATGCTCTCGCTGTCCCGTCAGACTTTCATAAGACACTCACTCGATACTCCATTGATATACTTGAAGACAATACACAGCACCTTGAACGCACTATTGCACAGATATCTGACCCAACAAGCTCTCAATATGGTCAATATTTGTCGAGAGAAGAGGCGTTTGCCTTAATCGAACCCGTTGAGAGTACCGTCGGTAAAGTGAAAAGATGGTTACGAGATTTGCGTATCCGCAGATATGATGTCGTGCCTTTTGATACGGATGTGCTCGACAGCTTGTTCCAGAATCAAGCCAGATCTGGAACAGTAGAGCTAGACTGTACCAGTCAAATGACTCCTGAATGCCTTCGAAAACTGTACCACATGGGAGACTACAAAGCAGACCCGAAAAAAAACACTCCTCTCGGAATAATAGGCTTCAATGTTAGTCCTTCACCTATTTCTTTCTCGTCATTGGTTAACCCTGTATTAGCAATCAGCTCAATACAAAGAGCTCGATATGTTTCTTCGAAAATATGTGCCCGAAGCCGTTGGGACGTCGTTTTCAATCGAGTCTGTAAATGGTGGAAAGACTGTTCAGAGCAATACCAGCCTTTCAGGCGAGGCCAATACCGATATGCAGTACGCCGTCGCTCTCGCTAAAAATATCGATTTTCGGTTTTATGCCGTCGGTGGAGGTTATCAAGGCTTTAATCCTGATCTTGAGTAAGTACACACTGGCACTCGGTGAACTGGTCGCTAACAGTCGTCGTAGTGCCCCAGATCACTCCCAAGCAATGGAGCCCTTCTTTGAAATGGCAATGTATTTCGCGTTGCTCCCTAACAATCGACTTCCGTCAGTTTTATCTATTTCCTACGGAGCCAACGAACAGCTTTGGCCCAAGAGTGAGGCGACAAAGATTTGCAACTTGTTCGGGTTGCTAGCCGTCCGAGGTGTCTCTGTGATTGTTGCCAGTGGCGATCAGGGTGCCGGAATATCCTGCCAAAGCAACGATGAGAGTAAAAGAGTCAGATTTCTGCCTAGCTTTCCAGGAACATGCCCATATGTCACAGCCGTTGGTGCGACGCAGCGTATCAACCCCGAGGAAGCTCTCGCTTACAGTTCAGGCGGATTCTCTGAATATTGGTCGACTCCCTTTTGGCAGAAAGCTCAAGTTGAGAAGTATCTAGACAAGCATGGCGCGGAATGGAAAGGATACTACAACCCAGCGGGTAGAGCAGTACCAGATCTTGCGACACAGGGCGACTGGAATCACCCGTTTTTCTACCACGGAGAGGAGATAATGACTGGAGGAACAAGGTGAGTATTTGATTGTGTGAGAAACCGATAATCTGTTCTAAAAACCTTTAGTGTATCTGCACCTCAGTTTGCAGCAATGATTGCTCTCATCAACAATGCTCGTGCACAAAAAGGCAAACCGCCGCTTGGATTTCTTAACCCATTGCTTTACTTGGGCGCTCGAGGGGCTTTCGCTGAGTATGTTTTTGTGTCGTTGATGACGGAACCAGGCTAACTTGAAGACAGTATAATTAAAGGAAACTCTACGGGATGTCCTGGAACATCCTTAGCCGGCTTACCGTCCCCGTTTGTCCCTAATGCTGGATGGGCCGCTGTAGAGGGCTGGGATCCTGTAACTGGTCTTGGGACGCCCCTGTTTGACCAGCTCTTGCGTCTGACAGGCCATTGAATAAAATCCACAGAAATTACTGAAAAGAAAACCTACAATGCTATACAAGTCAAAGGGAATAAAATATATAAATCAGCTATAATTGAGATTCTCCGACTGTATCCGTGGTCTTGTTTGTCGTGTAAGTGGTGCTCCGCTAAAGGTGTGGTCCACAAATCCGGCGCCGATGCCATCGTAAAAATTCCCAACGTTGCCCAAAGTGAGCGATTGCAACAATACAACTATCCACCATCCAACAACTGAGAGCGATATTCGTTAAATCTTAACTGCAAAATGGACGAAGACGATGGTGGCCTCGGGGCTATTGAATTCTCTGACTCGGAAATCGAGGCGGACCCCGTTAAGAAGAAGAATGCTCGCACGGATCAGACGGAGCAGGATTTTCAGCTCGTCAAGGATACCTATTCTGCCAAAGTCGAGAATGGAGAGGTACGTACGCCGTCGCTTTATTTTGAATTCTTTTCTAGATGCCTTTATACAGTCCAAAAGAGGAGAGGCTAGAGCTAACTCAAACTGCAGATCTACAAAACGCTTCAGCTGCCTTTGCAAGCCGGAGCAAACAAGCAGCATGTGCAAGAAGTGTTACACGCAGCAGAGGAACTCTACTTCTTCCAGAAGTTTGAAAGCTGTATTAAGTTCACAGAGGATGTGCTGCAAGGCTCGAAAGAGGCGCTAGGAGATGATACAGTTCGCTTGCTGGAAAGGTATTTGGGTAGATGTAAGGATAAGCTGGAGACTGCAAAGAACTGAGTGTATGGGTACTATAATGATTTACGAACTAATGGCAATAACTCTTAAATAATTCACCATTCATCTATTGTTAAACTCGTACAAGGAACAACTAATCTTCCTCCTATGCCCATTGAGACGATGCCAGACCCTTGCTCTGTTGCTTTCGGTCGGCGGGTTTGCGAAGCGGCTCCTTCTCAGAAGGATCAATATGGAGCTGACCAAAACCAATCTCTAATTCGGCCATCTTGGGACATTGACCATTCGCCTGAGGTTCGTTCGTTTCAGTGGTTGCAGACAAGACGGGTGATTGAGATGTGCTCGTGGGCCCGGTATAGGGGATACGCAGGCCACGAAGGTCATCTAAACTGTACTTGATCCCGTTGGAAGCCTTTGCAGTGGAAGTGCTGTCGAAAGACTGGGATTTGAGTCCAGCGGTAGAAGATGGTGAAACTCTGGTCTTGAGTCTGATCGTAGCGTCTAGTATGCAAGCCAGATCATTCACAACGTCGTCGGTCTCGTCAGAGATGACGCCTTTGGCGAGCCACTGGTCCAGCGCTAGGAGGCGTAACTCCTTTCTATCCAATGGTTGCTTGATAGATACAATAGAATAGTCAGAGAGTATCGATGTATACAGCTTCCCGACTGCATCAATGGCGGCGTCGAGTGTTAGGCCTGGAGCGGATGGACCCGTGGGTGCTTCATCAAGGTTTAACAAGTCCCCTAGCGGCGTAGGCGCGCATTCAACAGAGGGATCAAAGGGCGGTTTGATTTCTTTGGGTGTGCTGTCCTGTTCAGGTGCCGCTTTGACCGCGGGCGAAGCAATCGAGGCTGTTGGGGTAGACACGGGTTGAGACTGGAAGTCTTGCCGTTTTCGAATAGATGAAGAAAACATGCTGTGCGCATTGAACTTGGAAACAATGCTATGTAGTTTCAGTATGACGGTGAAGAGGGACTGAATGGTCTTTGGATCATCTGAAGATAGCAGGATGACGGAGTTGGCCCTGTTGCTTTTGCACGTCAACTTGCAGATGGACGCAGAGGCTACGACGGGTTCTTCCAAGTCGCGAAAGTCCAGTACAAGAAAGACTGAATTCTTGATTACAGGATCGCGCATCACTATATCGGCGGTATTGGTGTCGCTGTGAATTGTTGCTGTGACTTCTGCAGTGACTGGTGGCACCACTTCTGGAAACGTGATGGCCATGCGACAGACGGTTTGGAAGACGACCTTTGAAAAAGGGCTAGTATCTTGAGATGTAGGATTTGTTATTTGTACAGTTGTCTCTGGGGTATCAGTTTTGTCAGCTGGTGCTGTTGGAGTGGTGGTTTGCTTGGTTCCTTGTTGAGTGGCTGGTGCTTCGTCGGACGGCTTAGGTGGATCTGATTTGGCGGCATAGATGCTAGATTCAATTAATAAGAGAAAATGGCATTTGGGGTCCTATTTCTGACTTACTCTTGTTTCTTCTTTTCCATTCCGGGGCGGCGATCCCAGGGCCGAGCGTCTTCAATCTCCAGGCCATCCATCTGTCTGGCTTCCTCATCATCAATTGCGACTGAGATTGTCAGATTTAATTATTACAATGAATGTAAATGAGAGATAAGACCTTACCTGACCACTGGCGGTTCAGTGCCCGTTTGATCTTCTTGCCGTATCGTTTGGCATCGTTGAACTTGCTGGGTACAAATGAAGGACCGTGCTTCGTTCGGTCACTTAGAGGAAGCTCTTCTTGTCGAAGCCGGCCTAGATCAGCCTTGAGGGGAAGTTAGAATAGAAGAATAGAAGAAGAAATTAAATTACTTACCATGCAGGCCCGAGCAACAACTTCTGGATCGGGAGACATTGTTGAAGGCGGGCTGGAGACTGAGGCTTGTGAAGCGGTAGACATGATTGACGTAAGTCCAAGTGGTGATGCCAGTGATGTTAATGGGATTATTCTAAACATTAAACTGTTGCATCCAGTCATTTAATCACTCGACTACGTGTTTTGTTTACTTGACCACATCTGCCAGCTGGCAGCTGGCAGGTCGGTGTTTGCGGTAACGTGGCAACGCGCATCTTGAGCACTGTGAAAGCAGAGGCTGTATTTCGATGCCCCGAATAGTATTACCTCCGTGGCTAGGATGAGATGGAATAGCTATAAAAAGTGGTGATAGCGTAGAGTAACTGAGTATATATATGCAGGACTGTCGACGAAGGAGTATTGCTATCAGGACGGAGGCACAGCTTCAAATCTACACTGTACTCTATTATAATCGATACTCATAAACATAAGTGGTATTTATCTACTATTTTACAGCCTCATCATTATTATTGTTTCCTATTTTCTTTCTAATTTTTCTTGTCGTCTAATCTGTAACCATGGTACTGTTGTATTCGCTTGCAACTAAGACATTCACGCCCTGTGGGCTACATGCAGTAACGCCCGTGGCTGGTAACGGCAAATAGTATTAAAGCCGAAGAGGCAAAGCTACTAAATGCTAAATGTTGAAAACAACGCCACAAAGCTCGTAATTTGACAACGTGGAAGTAAAAAACGAAAAAAAGATTCCATCTGTCCGAATACGCTATTTCCAATCATCAGCGCTGCGCCGTCTATTCTCTTTGTGGCGCCAGCACAGCGTCTGGGGCAATCAGTAATCATTTTTCTCTGGTCAAGGACGGGTGGGTGGCCCCCAAAAAACCGTTCCCGATTTGTCAGGCTCGCCGCTCGCAGCCTCGGTCTCGCGCTCCGATGCCCCACTGGGCACCTGATTCAGGCCACTGCAAGGCCGCTGTCAGACACCGCTGCATGGGTGCTCACTGGCCGCTGACAGCACTAGCCGACCCTCCATTACAGCGCATGGCGCTATGCTCCAGGCCCTTGCAGCCCCTGCAACCCTTGCGTCCACTGCAGAACAAGAAGCACAGAAAACAATCACCGTCGTGTTTCCGCATCGGGCTTGCGGTGCGGACTACGGAGCTGACAATGCCCACAGCGTCCATTTTACTGCGAGTTGTCAATAGCGGGCGCACTGCCCCAGATCTTTGAGTCCCTTTTCTCCCCCAAAATGTACCAGGGGGCGTGAATTCTTTTTTCTTTCTCTCTTTCTCTTGCAAGCCAAAAAGGTGTTGTTTTGCCGGGCCCCTCTTCTTTTTTCCTCATTTCCCTCCCCAGTTTGTCTGGTGGATGGAGAAGGAATCGACAAGTCCCCTCTTTGCCCGCTCGATGAAATCTCTTGTTTTGTAATCATTTATTACCCGTGGCTGCCCACTTCTTTCTTCTACCCCAACTACTAACCACCATCATCACCAGCACCAACAAATTAAATAATCAACAGAACTGCAGAATACCATACGCTTCCCCAGAGACAAACCCTGTCAATATGGCTTCTGCCACGCCGGCACAACAGCAGCAGCCAGCCCTGGCGGTAGCAGATTCGTCTGAATTAATCCGCAACAACGCCAAAGAGGCGCCAGGGACACCAGACTCGCCAAACCAGCAATCAGAAAGTGGTGATAAGCGGGATCCCGAGTATCCTGACTGGGATCATGATCCCCAAAATCCATACAACTGGCCATCATGGAAGAAGGCATACATCATCATAATGTCCTCCGCCACGTCCTTTGTCTCGTATGTGTTTATCACTGCCCACCGCTTCCTAGCTCTTGTTTGGCTAACTCGTTTTGCTCTTCTCTTTCGTCGTTTAGTTCTGCAGGAACTTCCATTATCTCACCCGCCACGGAAGAAATCAAAGAACACTTTCAGGTTTCGCCTACCGTTGCCCTCTTGCCGCTCGCCCTCTACATCTTCGCCCTGGGCTTCGGTCCTCTGCTCGGCGGCCCGCTCTCAGAAACTGCTGGTCGCATGCCCATCTACTGGGTTCTGTTCCCACTCGGCGCCATCTTCACTCTTGGAGCTGGCTTCGCAGATAACTTTGTCGCCCTCTGCATTCTGAGATTTGCCGCTGGTTTTTGCTATGCCCCGACTCTTGCTGTTGGCGCTGGGATTGTGACTGACGTCTTCCTTCCCCAATCTAGGGGCCCGGTCATGGCCATTTGGATTCTCATGCCCTTCTTGGGCCCTGGTATTGCGTAAGTATTGTATCTAATAGGTGCTGATGCAACGTACTAACAATGCTGTCGATAGTCCCGTCATTGGTGCATACGCCAGCAACCGCCAAGGATGGAGATGGACGCAATGGACCATGCTCTTCTTCTCGCTTTTCTGCATTGGCCTCATCGTCTTCACGCGCGAATGCTTCCACCCGATTATCAAACGACGACTCGCAAAGCAGCGCGGCCAAGAGGTCCCTCCCAGTCCACCATTACTTGCTCGCCTTCGCCAATTTGCCGTCGTTGGCCTCGTCCGACCACTCGATATGATGGTGGCAGAACCCATCTCGACCTTTACTTGCCTTTACGTTGCCGTCAATTTCGGTGTTTTGTTCAGTCTGTTCGCCGCTGTTCCATTCATCTTCAAAATGGTGTATAACTTTGGCGTCGAAAACTCCGGCCTTGTCTTCCTATCGGTTGCAGCCGGTTGCTTTATTGGTCTTGCCACCATCATGTTTTGTAATAAGGTGCTCTATCTCGGGCAAAAGGGCAACTTTCCACCCAACAAGATTCCTCCAGAGTATCGTCTGTACCCGGCCATGTTTGGTAGCATCGGCTTGCCTATCGGCCTCTTCTGGTTCGCTTGGACTGCTCGCAGCGACATTTCCTGGGCAAGCCCTGTCTTTGCGATTGTACCATTTGCATGGGGCAACCTGTGTGTCTTTGTGAGTATGGTTCAGTACAATGCCGATACATACCACGGAAGCGTTGTTGCCAGTCAGGCAGCTGCCAATTCCATGGCGCGCTACACATTCGCCGGCGCATTCCCTCTTTTTGTTATTCAAAGTATGTTGATATCCTGACTCTTTAGTGAAGTCGAAACAATCTTAACTAACCCTCGTCATAGTGTACAAAGGTTTGACTATTCCTTGGGCAGCTAGCTTGCTCGGATTCGTCACCATTGCTCTTCTACCCATTCCATGGGTGCTGTTCAAGTACGGCGCCCGCATCCGAAAGCACAGCAGATACGAGACTGTAAATTACGACTAATGCTGTTGTATATGATTTGCGCATGAGGCATATAGAATTGTATTTCATTGGTTGGGATAAATTTATGACTGGACATTCGGCGTTTGTATACATCTATATATAATATTCAATCCTTCTTAAAATTGAGCCATCGATCATCAACTAAGGCTGTCCAATGACATTGAACTTGTCATCGAGATAGTACCAGTAGTCATACTCAATGGGTCGAGCGGCTGCCGGGAGGATGCTGGATGTCTTGGGAATCTTGAACTGGGCAGTTGTGTTTTCCGCGGGAACATAGCTCTTGCACCAACGAGGGTTGTGAGTCTGCGTCGTAGAGATCTTTTCCTTCTTCGTCTTGCCCTTGATGAGGTTCTGCCAGAAGACATGGGACTCGGCAACATGCTCAGCCATGACTTCGGCGTTTTGGAACTTGTTGCCAATAATGGTGTTGACACCATCGCCTTTGACAACCTTGTAGTACTGCAGCAGGGTTAGAAGCCGTCTTCAGATGTGTATACTATTGGTTGTACTTACGACAAACCAGTCATACATGGACTTCTTTAGACCAGGTCTGTACTTTTCCAAGTCGTCGACATCTGCTCGCATTAGCATCATTGTTGACAATCAGTGGGTGCTCCCCAAAAACTACTCACTGTTAACCACCTTGGAAAGGGGATCCTTCAAGTCAATAGCAATAACTTTCCAATCCGTTGTTCCGTCCTGTGCCCTCATGATTAGTATTATATAGCAAGACGATAAATGGGGGAGAATCCTTACGTCAATCATGGCAAGACCACCAAGAACCTTGACCTGCTTGACCTGGCCAACATGTCCAGGCCTAGTTTGTTAGCGTTTCCTGTTTTCCCATCACGGCACAGACAGATGACGCTTACTCGATGCTGGAGATGTCGAAAATATCCATGGGGTCATTATCGCCAGGGTAACCTGTGAAGTTGTGCTTGACGGTAGAATCCTCCCATGTCTGAACAATGGAGCCATAGTTGAAAGGGTATGTTCTGTGCGGCCACACGCTGAAAACAAATCTGGGTTTGCCCTTCTTGTCGTCGTGAAAGATAGGGTCTAACACGATCCAAAGTTAGCGTACTGTGGTCAATCGGAGCCGGGAATATCTTTAACGTACTCAGAGGCTCTTTGCGGCTTGTTTCAATCTTTGCGTCAGTCCAGCGAGGAATCTCAACGTACATGTTGATAATGGACGTGTCGTTCTCGTTGGGGTACAATGGGATGTCGTGCCAGAAGGAGATGGGATTGCCATTCTTCTCGAGCCAAATTCTCCAATCCTGCAGAATTGTCATACCATTAGCTGACTGACTGACATATGATTTTCATTTCCTTTTTTTCAGCTTACAAGAGTGTTGCGGGCACCGACTTCACGCAGGCTCAGGGCACTGTAATCGAAAGGCTGAGCAGCAGCAGCCGCGAGTGACAGGACAGAGAGAAAAGTGATACCGTGCATTGTGACAAGGCGCCAATGGAATCAAGGGCTTTCCTAATAATCTGAGGAAAGAAAAAGAAAGACGGCGTGCAACGGGGAAGCGAAGACCTTTTTGTCCAGGGCCCTGCCGCTAACGGCTCGGCATCTCCACGTGGATTACAGCGGATGTCCCGCACCTGTCCCCCATACTCTTCAGGGCAAGTTTTTTTAAGCTTGTTCTTTGTTTAGCGTGCATCCTATGGGGAAAGAGGCTGAAGGTTTGGACGGCTTACGGCGTTGGTGGCGCTGGAACTTTGGCTGGAAGACTAACCACCAGGGGCACGTGGGCTTGGCGTTTTCTAGGCGTGCATGCAGCTCGGTGAAGCGATAGAATGACGATTTTGCATGAGGGTGTATTAGCGAGAAGACCCTTTTTGTAGGAGTTGTGGCTGGTGGTACCTGCTGTATGGCATGTTGGTTATCATCAAGAGCTGGTGGTGGCTGACCTATTGCGATCTTATACTTGCTTCTGGTAGTAGTTTTAACCTTTGCACCTCGGAGGCTGTATTCACATAGTTACAAGTTTGTTGGCGATTATGTTTTAAAACATGAAGTATCACATGTTACTATCACTTAGCCTTCATAGAATACACTCAAATAAAAAACAGTCAAGTATGCAATAATCACTATGGTATCTACTCGTACAATCATTTCTTCTCAACCGTCATTTAAAACATAGCCTTCCCGTTAATTGCCGATCGTACACTAGCTGAAGACATGCCCTTGTCCTCGTTCGCAAGTGATTCTCTCTTGGCGACTATAAATATGTTAGCACTGCTATAGAGTCACCAGGAGAAATACCACTTACAGTATTCAGTGTCGAATGGTTTGCCTTCATACTCTCCCAACGCACGGAACTGCCAGATTAGAGCCACCCACGAGGCTATCAGTAGGTCAAAGTCGATACGGCGTATGCTCTCCTTTGTAATGAGTACTCGCGTGCCATCTTGTAGAACCATGCTCTCCGCAACCTCATTGCCGTGCTCGCCAGTCCAAAGAATCATGTCCTTGTCCCGCTTGAGAGCAAATGCAGGCGTCGCTAGCTTCTTGTATTTGCCTTCTTTGTTCAGAGGCTGGATGTTCCACTTGCCACGCAGGAGACTATCCTTGAGACCAAAGTTACCAAGACCTGGTGTCAGACTGAGCTGCTTCATCGTTGTCATAATCGTATTATGGGAGCTCCCCGAGGACCCCGCACAGGTTATACTGTAGACGCCTCGCTCGGCTGCGTTAATTTTGGAATCGTAGTAGGCAGCGTCGACGCCGTCCGGCTCTTCACGTGTAAGAGTAACGGCGCCTGTAAAATTGGGGTCTTCGAAAATGTTCCAGTCGACGCTAAAGTTCTCAGCTGGTTCTCCGTATTTCCTGGAGTTCATTTGCGTGATTGTAGTGGTTGAGAGGGTAAATGTTCTAGGCTTGACTCTCGCGTTGGCCTTGAATGGCTCGGCCACATCGTACTGGAGAGTCTCACATTCCGAGACTGAGTCTGACAGGTAATGCTCGTCGACGGCTGTCATGACGAAGAATAAAGTATTTGGTTATTTTGTATGATGGTAGGATAGATGTCAGTGGTAGAGAGGTGCTTTTGTGCAGCCGTGGAAGACGGCGGCTATGGCTCTCTTTAATACCCTGATCGTCGCCCCAGACCAAGCCTTCAACGGCCCCAGGGCGTCAGCTACAGATTAAACAAAGGGACCTGGCGTAAGCGCTGGGTAGTCAGGAGGACACTCTTCAGGCGCCCAACTTTGGTGGCCGTGATGCGGTGGCATGCAATTTGCTGGCCGTATTCGGTTAGTTGCAGCCTTGTTTAGGCCGGTGAACTCCGCATACTCCAATATTGACGCCAGCCTCTTATAAGTTAGTGCTAGGCTGACGATTATAGGGCAACTTCTGCGGGGGTTCTTTCTTGGTCAATGATGTAACAGCGGGGAACTGCCAAGAATATAGTGGTTTGTTCGTCTGAAGCAGCGCAACACATGCTCCTGCAGCCATCACCAGTCATAAACAGCAAACAATGTAATCCATATTCAGTCCAATTATTGCATGACTCTTGTTGCTCTAAAACTGCGCAAACTTTTGCTTGAAGGATTCCTCAACCTCCACAAGGTTCAGTCTTGGCAGCACTGCGTCCACCTTTTCCTGCACTGCCAATAACTCCCTGCCAACATCTCGCCAGCTTGACAAGCTTCCTTTTCTGGTAAAAGTTCCCTGTGTATCCCAATCCACAAGAGCTACATCAATCAGTTTTCCATCCCGCTTGCGGAATTCTCCATCTACAAGAACGGCATCTACATCGGCCACGCTGGAGTGAAGCACAATCGCCATGACAGGCGCCTTTTGAGCAGCAGCAAGCATGGCGGGCGTCAGGGTGTCAAAAATGACGAGATCAGCCTTCTTGCCGACAGCAATAGACCCAATGTCCTTCTCCATGTTCAGTGCGCGAGCGCCTTGAATGGTTCCCAAGTTGAACGCCTCGTCGCTTGTGTGGAATGACACATATGGCGTAGTGCCGTTTCTGCGATGTTCCGCCGAATCGAGTCCTCGGGCACTTTGCAGAGCTAAGCGCATTTCGTTGACAATGTTGCTGCTAGTGGCACAGTGGCAATCGATTCCTAGAGCAGAAACTCTGTCGCCGCCCACTAGGTCCTTGTTAAAGCAGACCGATGGGCCAACACACATGGCCTGTTCGGTATTCGGGGTAACGGCGACGTATGAGTCCGATTGAAGCAGTAAATCAATGTCCTCTTGAGACGCTCCGCCCGCATGGGAGAATATTAGACGGCGATCGAGCAAGCCGTAATCGTGCGCCTTCTTGACCAGACTTTCGGTCTTGTTAGACCAGCGCACATTGTGTGTTGTGACTGTCTCAATCCCCCAAGATCGGATTTTCTCAAACAATCCGACTACGAAGCCTTTAGGTAGAAACCAAAAGTCAAAGCCAAAGCCGAGTTTGACGCGAGAAGAAGGGTCTGAAAGGGCCGGTGTCTTGGACAATGATTCCAGCTCGTCCATAACCCACGCGGGGAAGAGCTCTTCGTCGATTTCAATTGGTTTGACAGACTTCATTCGGAAAACAGGGGAATAGGCAAAGATGGAGCGGATTCCAGAAGTCAAAGTGCCGCCAATCGCTGCTTTGCCTGCACGTTGTCTGTTAGTTAATGAGTCTGCGCATACGGGAGAGGAACATACTGTGTTTTGGTGTCCAGTTCAAATGTGCATGATCAAGAACCGTAGTTGTTCCTGCATCAAGAGCCTCCATGCAGCCTGATAAATTGCCCCAAAAGATATCTTGGGGTGTCAATTCCAAAGCCAATGCGTTGACTATGTCCATTAGCCTCTTTGCTCAGCTTCCGACAACGTACAAACGGTCGCTTACTTCCTGCAAGGTATTCTAGAAACTGAGAATCGCCATACATGCCCTTGAGCATAGTCTGCCAGAGGTGGTGATGCGCATCAACAAATCCAGGGCTGATGATTTTGCCAGTACAGTCGATGACCTCACAGTCTGGTGGAACGGAAATATCGTTGTCGAGGCTGACAATCCGGTCTCCTTGGATGAATACATCGGTCTTGGTAGGAGTGACTTTATCACCCTCTCCATGAATTAGGACGATACCGCCTTTAAGAAGCTTAGACATTGTGTTTGATGTATTTCTGTATGATTAATGGTGAGAGTGGAAACTCTCCGCAGCAGAGGATGCGAGCCTTTGTATTTAAAGGTGGCTCTGCATCAGTACGCCTCGGTTTTAACTTCGAAATTCCGGATGCGTGGCTTTCGGGAAACGGGACGTTCAGTGCATGTTGGTGATTTTAACCTTATCCTCCATCTGTACAACGGTAGCACGGCGATTCGGTTACCTTGCCCGTTTGGCAGCGGCCCCGTTCGGAGACCTCGTGCCCACTCACTCCGGGCGCTCGGGTACCAGTGCGGAAGTTGGGCCCGATGGCAGAGCCTCGCGCTTCGCGCTTAAGTCGGACTTAAATAGATTTGTTCGCGTAGGTCGCGGTGATGCCGCTTAAATTTTAAATGCGGATCTGAAATCATATATCGATTAGATATTATAGTACTCGATTTCCGTATAACTCCGAGCAGAGACAACTGCGTACATCCGGTCATCTTAATTATGTTATGTACAAGGTCGGCGTGCTGATTCGCCGTTGTCCGATCATGTCCAATGGGGAGCATTCAGCATGAAGGCCATAAGGCATCCCGAAATTATTGCTGTGACGGGCACCGTAATTACCCATCCTATATATATCCATCCGACAAGTTTAGGGTTAATACACCTCCAATCGCCATTGGCGAGGCCGACTCCGACTGTGGCGCCTGTGATACACTGTGTCGTCGAGACGGGAAGTCGCAGTCTGGTTGCCATAATGACGGTGATGGCACTAGCCAGCTCCATGCAGAATCCTCTGCTTGGAGAAATTAGAGTAAGTCTGTTTCCAAGTGTGCGCATGACGTGATATCCAAATGTAAGCAGTCCCAGGACAATGGCACCTCCACCGAAGCAGAGAATCCAGATTGGGACATCAACCTCGTCACTGACGACACCGTTTGACCAGACATCATAAGCTGTCGAAAATGGCCCGATAGCATTTGCAACATCATTTGCGCCGTGGGTGAATGATGCCGCAGCAGCAGTTAGAATTTGTAACGCGGAATACATGTACTCGGCTCGATTGTCGTATCGGGCTGCTCTGGAGTGCATGTCTTCCAAGTCCCAGCTAAGAACGGCATTGCGCCGTTGCATACTGATTACATCCTTTTCGATACCCCGTAGTAGGAACCTATTCACCTTCCAGGCGAGAACTGGTAGACTGTTCCATGCGCCATCCGGTCGAGGCGGTGTAAGATGGAATGAAGAGGCATTTGACGATCGATTTCGGAGAGGTGGTGCCGAGTGAGCTGGCGGTGGCAGCATGAGCTGGTCGTCTTTATCAAGCGCAGGTGCCTCAGATCCGAAGATTTGAACCGACTGTAGTAATTCTTCGGAAGCTCGTACATATGCTAGCTCTTCAGGTGTAAGATGACCACTGTAATAATCTTTAATGAGTGGCTTCAGATATCCCTGAGGGGTCGGAGGCGGCGGATGTCGTCGAAGTAGGAAAGGTCCCTGGAACGCGTGGTACCATCGAAGGGTCCAGTCTTCACGCATGATTCTGACCCAAAGATACGGCATGACGAGTAAGCCGTGTAACAGAGCGCCACCAGCCGCAGCAGCAAGGATCGTAGCTGCAAGTGTAGCCCCAGATAGCTCTGCTCCGGGAACACCTTTCCATACCAACAACACTGGTAAAATTAGTATACAGACATGCTAAAGAGCGATTTATACTTACTAATGATAGAACCGATTGTCAGAAAGCTATAAAAGGGAATCGAGTAGAATGCTCGCTTCACCGCGGAAGGTTTGACGAGTACCCATCGTTTCGTTATGTAAAATAGCACGGCTCCGAAGCACCCAGAAATAATGGGAGCAACCAGCCAGGCAACAAATATTTGGGTGACGCCGTGCCATCCCCAACTGACCTTGCCAATGCCGATAGATGCTGTTGCTGTTCCTATTAAACCACCAACAACAGCATGTGTCGTCGAGATGGGCATGCCGTAGCGGGTTGCGACAGTGAGAAATACTGAGCTTGATATGATGGTGCACATCATGGCAAGTAATAGAACCTGCGGTGATCCATCAAACTGGTGAGGATCTATGAGCTTGGTGCGGATAGTGTCGGCGACACGGGAGCCAACCGCAGTGCTACCTGTGAATTCCATAACAGAAGCAATCAGCATTGCTTGCTTGAGCGTAAGAGAGCGCGAAGAGACGGAGGAGGCGAAGGAGTTGGCGACATCGTTGGCGCCAATGTTCCAAGCATCGAGAAAGGCGAAGATGGCGGTAATGTAGAAGATGTAGTCGTAAGCGTGTAAGACGGCCATGGTGAAGGGTAAGAGCTGCAACGATGCAGCAGGTATCGTCTAGAAGAAATAATGGGATTGCTGGATAGCCGGACAAGAGATGAAAATGGTGGAGAGAGGTTCCTATATTGCCACAACCGAAGCCACGCGGCTTAGATGGAAGCGACGGAATCCATGATTATCGACAGCTGGGAGATGGGGGCGAATGGACGGTTTGCACAATTGATGAAGGAAAGAAAATATTGAAAGTGAAGAAGCAGCAGAGTAAGAGGCTATTGTTGATACGCCGAGGCACTAGGACTGTCCACTGGGGCCGTTATGAACGAGGCAATGAGTCGTTTAGCTGCTCCCGGCTGTTCTAGAGGGAGGGTCGGTCAGGCGGGACCTGTATAAGCCAAGAGTAGAGCCAAGCTTATGAGACTTGTAGCCGCAAGACCAAAGACTCGGGATATATTAAAATGAAGAAGAAGAAGTGTAGAAAAGAGCCAAGGCATGCGGGAGGGAGAAAACGTGCGTGGATAAACAGGCCAGGCGGTGCCAGGTGTGCCAGGTGGTGGTGGGCAGTTGGCGCAGCTCGGGGGGGAGGGAAGCGAGACAAGGCGGCCAAGTCTCGCAAATCAAAACGAAAAAGGCGTTTGTATGGAGCAAGGCCGACTTGTAGTTCCGTTTTAGTGCGTCTTTTAGGCGCAGGGTCTGCTTTTTTTGGTGGCGTTGGCTATTGAGCAGAGGATTCGTTTGCGTGGTAGCTGTCCATACACAACTCTTTTGTTTCCTTTTTATGCGTTCCCACAACCCACAACATTGGACTTCTGTAGCTGCTAATTTTTGTTTTTTTCTTTTGCATAATAAACGATGGTACGCATTGTTGCTTCGAAACCACGTTTCGAGCACGTTTCTCGCCAATGCGCTCCTCTTGAGCCCTTCTATCTACAAAGCATAAATGCCTAGAAACGTGCTATCCACAACAGTCTCGGTCGCCTTGGGGGCTTTGCCGACGCCGCCTTTGCCGCATCGAGCCAATAACAAGGGCTGCTTTTCCCACGGGCCTACGGTGCCCTGAGGCGAGTCAAGCCTCATTGTAGGCGTGGCTTGGATTATGTCTTTATCCCCAAGACCGTCATGAAGCCTTCAGCAAAAACAGTTACCGGAGCTGCATCGTGTTAATTGTTTTGTTTCTTCACAGCCAAGAAGGCGGATACAGGTGTCCTGGTCCCCTGGTTTGACATGGTAGCATTGCGGTTTGCTGCAACATGGGGCTTCGGCGTGCTGTTGCTGCGGAGCGTGTTGCATGAACCGAGCCAGCAGGGGGGCTGTATCTTGGCTAATGCAACGGTCAGATTTGTTTGACTTTCCTTTCAAACAAAGTTTTGCTATAGCGTAGGTTACGCCTTGAAACGCTACAGGAACTGGACACTTGGTATATGTGTAGGTATATCTGCGGCTCTCGGCAGCCAACGTCCAGCTCGACGGATACAGTAGAGCATCACAAAATATACCACAAGCTTACCTAAATAGCCATTGCCGATTCTAGAACCAATTAACTTTTGCTTATTATAATCCCTTAATTTTAATACAATTATCTATCATCATGACCACTCTCGTGAAAATACGCTGTTGCGCTTTTACACTACAGGGTAGCGGTGCTCGGCTTCTGCCCGGCCCATTCAAAGCTCCGATCCGAACCGCCGGCGTCCATCACAAGGCAAACAGCGGTACACCCTTTCAACTCAACACTGCGCAACCATCACCATCCACGACCAGCACACATTTATAAGCCATGTTTCGTCTTGCGAGAACAACGCGTCTTCTGACGCCAATTCACACCCGCCTCTCATCGTCCTTCTCGCGCCCCGGCCCGCCCAAGCTGCCCTCTGCTGAGCAGGCCGAATTCGAACGCCTCCAGAAAGAAGCCTCCGTTTCGTCCGCTTTCCAACCGGTCGACGGCGCCTCCGACACAACGACATCAACCACTACAAACGAAGACTCCGGTATCGAGAGCGGTGCTCTGTTCAAGGGCGCAAAGCCCGAGTTTGAAGGAGATACGAACCCGCGCACCGGCGAGGTCGGCGGCCCCAAGAACGAACCGCTCCGATGGGGTGGCGAGAGCGATTGGAGCTACAATGGCAAGGTTACCGACTTTTAAATATATGCAATGATGACAAAATACCTCTCGCGATGCGTAGAATACCACGATAGCGTGTGTAGGAGGAATGGACTGGCCGCGAGCGATAACGAGATGTCATGTCACGCGACACGAACGTCACTACGAAACAAGCAACAAAGACATAATGTACATTTAGGAAACATAGGGGTTCTCAGTGCTTTTATTTGTATTTTTAACAATACCCACAGACTAAAAGATATAATTCGCTGCAAAGGGGAAAAATACATCTTTTGTACAAATACACGCTTCATAAATCCATGCCCTGCATTAATTCTGTTCAGTCGCTGTTGTTGGCTTTTCTGCTTCGGCCGCGGCTTCTGGCGCAGTCGCCTCTTTAGGAGCCGGGTCCTCTGGCGCATCTCCCATTTCAACGTCCTGTTTTGCTCCTTTCTCATCATCATCCTTTGTATCTTTGGTGGCGGGTTCTTCCTTTGCATCTTCCTCCTTGGCGACAGTGGCCACCTTGTCATCACTGGCAGCTTCTTGAGGCTGTTCTGGCACTTGAGCATCAGAGTCGGCATTCTCCTTGTTTGCATCATCTGGTTTGGCGGGCTTGTCTAACCTTTCGCGCTTCTCAAGCTTCCAGGATACCGTTGCGTCAACGTTGCCGACGCTTTTGGCCTCTGTCATGGCTCGCCTCATGCGATCACGTCGCTCCTTTCCACGTAATCTTCCTTGTGACTGGCCGCCATTCTCTACCCATTGAATGCTTTGCACCAAGTAGCTTAGGCCGTCATGGACAACATGGCGAGTGCCAAATTCGCCGCCAAAGTCTCGGCTGGTGATGCCGTTGCGAGTCATACCTGTGTACTTGACCAATCGAGGGAGGATGAGAATGGTAACATGCAAGTCCTTGTTGCTAGGGACAGCCATAGGACCGGCTTCGGGAGGAGAGGCAATCGTGCCGTTGGTTTTGACGTCTGATTTTGCGACTTGGGAGCTGGGCTTCTTTTTAGCTCCATCATCCTCGAGCGCTAGCATAGCCATGTCAACCTCCTCCGGCCATTGTCCCTTAATCCAGCCTGCATGGACACAAGCCGCGACGATGTCTGAATCATCGCTGTAGATGTCGGTTCCCCACAGGAACGCCCGTGCTGTGATTTCCTCTCTAGCCACTCCAGTTAGGTGCACTTTGGGCACCTTGACAGTCAGTGTGCAGTTTTCCTTACCTCTGATCAAGTCAAAGGGAAGAGGTGTTGGGGTAGAGGAAAAGCCACGCTGTGATGGGACGTTTGGAAGTAACCGGCTAGTCTTCAAGTTGGGCTCGTAAACGACATCGCCCAAGTGCTCTCTGGGTAGGTCTGCAACAGCATCCAACACCGCCTTAGAATTGATGATTGTCTTGGTTTTGGGGGGTATCACTGGTGGTACAGTGACCTTGGACTGCTGGCTCAAGCTCTGCTGCATAGGCTTGGAGTGGTGGTGGTGGTGATGATGGTGGTGGCCGACTCTCTCGCCGTTCTCTCCGCTCCCGCTCTTGACGTTCTTAAGCGGCGTAATTCCAACAAGTGGGGACGAAACAGAGTCGGTGGTATGATGATGGTGGTGATGGTGATGGTGATGATGATGACCCTTTGGTCGTTTGGCATCTCGGCCGCCTACAGGTGTAGCACGACCGGAGCTGTCATCATCCCTCTCGCCATCTTTGCGTCGTCTGGCCTTGCCGTTTTTACCATCCATGCCAACATCAACGCCGTCGTCTTGTCTGCCACCAACAGGTGCAGCATTATACAAACCCGCCGCTGAAGCAACCGGGCTAGAGGGTCCAACACCGCTACCAATACCAGCAAACATGCGACCAAATTCACTCTTGATGCCTTGGTCAGTGGCAGGTCCTGGCTGTTGGGACTGTGCACCCTGCACGGCTTGCGGAAGCGGGGACATGCGGCCCTTGCGATTCATATCTTGAACGGCCATAATGTTTCGTTGGTGGATCGGCGTGTTGGGGTCATCGTTTCGATGGCGGGTGGGGTCGTACGGTGCGGACGCTGGATAACCTGTCGAAGCGGATGGCGTAGTGTGTTCTTCACCTACTCGAGGTCGAGGTGGCGGAGGCCCAGGATGCAGGCGTTCAAGCTGTGTTCGGTCCTGCTGCTCATATGAAGGTGGTCCGCCCGGATGCGAAGTGGGTGGATAGCGATCCGAACCAGTAACCCCGTAGCCGGAGGAGTGTGGGTACTGGTTAGACGATGAACCATAGTCATGAGTTGGAGGCCGTTGATGTTCCATTGGGGCTCTATACTCTTGACTCGGCCTCCCCCAATGCGACTCACGGGAGTCAGCGGGGCGGCTTCCGTAGGAGTTGCGTGGAGGATCACGTAGGCCAGTATCGTGATGTCGCGCAGGTTCGTTGGAGTAGCCGCGGTTCTCCTCTCGATCGCGTTGTTCGACGCTAGCTGGACGATCTCGTTCTAGCCTATAGCGATCGTCAAACGGATAGTGTCGAGGCGGTGCTGATCGATCAGGTCCGTAGTCGGTCGGGGGTCGGTCATCACGGCGAGCGTAGGGATCCTCAGGTCGGCCTAGGTCTCCCGGTCTCGGAAGCGACCCATATGATGGTTTTGACTGACTGCCAGGTGTCAATGGAGGTCCTGCAGAAGAACGACCCGCTTCTCGCTGATGTTCGGGGGGCGCGGATGGATGCCTGCTATGAAACGATTGGGGTGTTCCGTACCGTTGGACCTCTGGCGTAGAGGAGTATGGGCCATGTGGAGAAGGGCCAGCGCTGCCGCGGTGATCGTAAGATCGAGGGTGATCTGGTGTTTGCGGCCGTCTGAATGGGGCATATTCTGAGGATGCAGAGTGCATACGCGGCGAGGCTTGGACAGAGGAAGAGTATGGCGGCCCTGGTGTCGGCCCGGGGGGAGCTGAGTGCGGCGAATAGTGTCTTGGTGGAGGCTGCGGTTCGTGAGACGAGTGAGAAGGACCACCTAGCATGGACGATATCGACATGGAGCTGCCTGTGCTAGGAGCAGAGCGTGTGATGGAGCTCAAGGCAGGGAGATTGCGGCCAGATGGAAATGCTGATGGCGGTCCCACGCTGAGAGGCGGAGGACGTGGCGGTGGTGGACCATAGCTATGAGGCTTATTGTGCTGTTGGGAACTAGATCCCGGAGGCGAATTGGGTGGAGGCATTCTGTTCGTGACGGCGAGCTCCCGTGCCGATGGCAAAGACGAGGTAGTGCTTGTCGGTCGCGCAAACGGGGGCGGTCGCGATTGCGAGAGAGAGTCGGATTGGCGTCGCTGAGAAGGGTCGTGGGCGTGGCCGCTAGGCAAATAGTTGGTAGAGAAAGAGGGAGATGGAAATGGATTCCGCGCCGATGGTAAAAAGGATGCAGCGGCGCTGGGCGATGCTGGCGACTGGATCGCGGATGATGATGCTGATGAGATTTGCGTAGAAGCTCTGGCGTGTGGCGGCTGCTGGTGCGGCTGGTGCACATGTCTCGGATGGGGCCCCGGCTCCATGTTTTCTGTGGCTGGTGCTGGGCCAGCGGGCCTTCCGTTTTTGCTTTTTTTTTTCTCAGGTTGGGGAAATTCGATTCGATTCTCCTCGCAGATCCAACGCCTTAAGGGAAAGGTAATAGGGCAATATTTCAGCCGTAAAAAATAAGGAAAGCGAAATCAACAGAAATACGAAATGAAGAATAAAGGAAAATCGTTTTGATGAATCAAATCCGATGAAATAGTCAGCGGCTATTCGCACTCACGCCGTCATAGGCCGGGCAGAGTAGATGTAAAAATCAAAGATTGCAGACTACAAATTCACGAGAGAGCAACCCTATCAGAGAAAGCAGAAGGGCAATCCAGATCTAGTCGAAATCGGTATTAGCTTTACGCTCTATTTGCATTGGCACCAACCTTGAACTTGGCTGCAAATGGCTCAGTTCGTGGGTGCGGGATGCATCGGGCTAGGTGCCCACCACTAGAGTTGCACTGGTTTGCAACTGCTCTGTCATACCAGAAAATGTCAAAGCATTGGATCCTCGAGCCGTCCGGTTGACAGTTCTGCAGAATATGTGTTTATCGGACCTAATCGACTGATACGAAGGATTCTCGACACCACAACTTGAACTCTCTACTACCTCCAGGGCTTACACGTAGGCGCGCCATCCGTTAACTTTGATAATTGTTGACACGAGGCCGGCGTAGCGACTATGAGTTTGTCCTTCGAAGTAGATGTTATCTACATTCTTCTACGCCTTTCAGCAGACGCCATGTGAATGAGATTATGGTCGTACAGCATGCCTTGATAGAAGCTACGTGAAGTTGCGAGATTCCGGTTTATTGCACCAAGCAGACGTAGTACAGATGAAAGGAAGTAAGGTTCGGCAGTTCGTGCCCAAGCTCTCGAGGCTAGTGGCTCGCCTTTGCGCCAATCACCCGCCTTCTACGGGACGTCGCAGCACACGAAACAAAGCTCTAAGGGTTCTCCACAGTCACTACAGGTGAATCTGACGGCTCTTAAAAAAGGCCGCCAATGAGAGCTCGCGGGCAATATAGCTACAAGGTCGGCCCGAAGCTGGACTTATTCAACCGAACCGCAAAGCATAACTGACTGGTTATAATGCTATTATTGGTATAGGGAATATGCCATCTTTGGAAATATGCTGCACTAATCGATGCGCCAGGCGTTGCGTGAGAAAACCTGGGGAAGCGTGAGATAGCTAGACAGATTCAGCCTCATATCGAATACGATCGCCTGGATATCAAAACAAGGAATGCGCACCTTGCAAAGTCACGGAAATTTATTCAAATGGATTGTCTTTTGCACCAATGGCATCTAAGAATGCGATTTACCAATGCAGAAATTCGTGTCGAGTGTCAAACTGGCAGGCACCAGCGTCACATCCTATCCATACCCGTCCAGGCCCAATCGATCGTCATAAGCACTAAAAGCCACGCTGCCCAGACACAAGATTGGCTATGATCCACACGAATTTGACTGGTATATCCGCATCCACCGCTTGAAGCCGTCGTCCGGTTTAACCTTTTTGACCAATTTCGGCTTGGCGTGAACATGCCTACGTCAGTACAAGTCAGATTTGCCGTACACGTGGGGGAAGAGGAAGAATTTGCCCACCATACCTTGTTGAACCTTGTTTGGAAATATTCCGGCGCTAAGTAAAACGGCACGGGTGTCGTTGGTCAATCGGTTTGGCCGACTCCTCAATGCTACCAAACCAGGGCGGCAAGCCGCTGCCCCAGCAGGGACCTCGCCATTGTGAATATATATAAAGCTCATTCATGTCCCACCATGTTGGGCTAAATCATTGCGTTCTGAATAGCTTTGTCCCATCCCACAGTCACATACAACATATCCAAGATGCTTCTGTCCACGCTCTTCCTCGCCACTGGCGCTTCTGCCCACGTCGCTGCCTTTGTTAAGGGCATGTACTGCGAGGTATGTTTGAACCCCTCCTTGTGTTAAGATCTCCATTGACGCTGTATAAAACAGAACGGCCCCGACCCCAACAAGCCCAACCCTAACGCCAACGACCCCGTGAACCCCCTCTACAACCTCTCCAAGGACCAGTGGTGGATGCAGAAGGTCTCTGGCTGCCTGAACAACCCTCCCAAGGACGGCGCCTCTGTTGCTCTTCCCGCCGGTGGCCAGTTCACTGTCGAGCTGTCTCACAACCAGGCCCAGACCAGTCTCTCATACAACGGCCAGTACGCTGGCGAGTGGCCCGACGGCAAGGACCACCCCCAAGACTGGCGTGGTCCTGGTAACCCTCCTGACTGCATTCAGGTTAGTTGGAAAAAGTAAAAGTTGTTGCAAATCACATACTAATAACCATGTAGGATGACGGTGCCCTGCACACCCACGACCAATCTACCACTGCTGGTACTGCGTGGGCTATCTCCTACGAGTCGGACTTGAGCAAGGTCAACATGGAGAACCTCGTCGTCTTCAGTGTTCTTGAGCAGTAAGTTGATATTGGATCTTGTACTGGTCTTGTGATTGGATATTAACGTAACTTTACAGCACTCCCTGGAAGCGCCTCGCCACCTACGATGTCCCCAAGGATCTCCCAGCCTGCCCGCCTGGCGGCTGCTACTGCGCCTGGCTTTGGGTTCCCGATGGCTGTACGTATTGAATGATATATGATCAAATGACGCAAAACTAATTTCTCACAGGCGGTCAACCCAACATGTACATGGCCAACTACAAGTGCCATGTCACTGGCTCTACCTCGAACAAGAAGCTTGCAAAGGCCCAACCCCCCGTCTACTGCAAGGACGACCAGTCCAAGTGTGTTAAGGGTGCTAAGCAGATGGTTGCCTGGAACCGTAAGTACTACTCCGTGACTTTTTCGAGCACAGAAACAGTTACTGACATTGAGTACAGAGGCTGAAGGAAACAACGTTCAGACTCCCAACGGCGCTTCCCCCATGTACAACCGCGTCATGGGCTTTGCTCCTGGTGCTCAGAACGACATTTTCCAGTAAATGGAAACACCATTCAGCTCTGTAAATATATAGCTATGCAGTCCATGACTATAATGAAGAATTCACTGCTACACGTTTGTTCTAATGATGATGCATAGTTTGTGAGTTTGCTTATGAGTTTCTACAACAGGCAATTGAATTATTCGTGCTAATTGGCACACACACACCGGCGTCGTCGTTTGAATCATTGCTCGTGTGGCTAGATGCACCTGTAAAGATCGATGTATCTTACATGCGTTCGAAGCATGTGTTAAAGGTAGTATTGTTGTGTCGTGGATTATTCCAGAAACCATGCTAGGGGTCACGAAATGTATGGTAGATCCGGAAAAGCAATCGCCAATTCGATGCAGGACCAGGTTACAGGCGCCATATAGCGTTGCATGGCGCTATGGGGACACGGACAGCTCCATTGTCATGCATCCCACCCTTTAACGATTGCCAGTGCCCTGATGAGCGTGGCTAATGGCGGATTGGCGCTGAATCTTGACCGACATGAAGACATGACTTGAGGCGAAACGTTTCAAATGCTTTTCTTGTGATCTGTCAATCGCTATTCTTCCTGCGACTCGCGTGGTAATCGAGGCATTGCCGCATACACTACTACAACGAGGCAATCCCCTGTTGTGGTACGTCGCTCTGCTACCAGGACTGACAATCTCCGGATAGAGATGATTGGGATACTTCAAAGTAGCGAAAGGGTTCGTCGCTGAGTCAAGCCAAGAGCTCTCGGGGGGGGGACACGACTCTGGCAGCAGGACCTGGTAAGGCTGCGCACGCTACAAACATGTCAGGCTGTACGAGCGAACTGTCTCGTAACTCGTCACCCAGTACGGAATCGTTGGCCGGCAGGACCGGCAGGTATTTTCAACCCATGGCGCGCGATGCGAAAAGCGACCGCTCTGGTGACCAACCTCCCACACGGCGGGATGAAAACGAGGCAATGCCCATGACCACTACGCGGCGTGGTGATTCGACAGACACGCCCATGCATGACGCTAAGAATGCCGGATGGTGCAGCCGGGTCGAAGATATGCGGCTAGCACTGGGCCTGTTACGACGCTACTAGAAGTAGGCTGGCGCACCTGTGGCGTGTCTGGCTCGGTCTTGCACCCTCAATGGCGTGGCTGAGATTTGGTACAGATTGGGAGAAAGTGTTGTGATGTCGGTGCTCGGCTTTCCATATTTGGTGATTTCTATGTATGTATGTAATAAGTTGAAAAAAGCCGAGAGAAAAAGGGTTCTCGGTGCAGCAAAGCACACCCCTTCCAAGTGAAGCGAATCGCCAATCGCGGCGGAGAAAGGCTATGCGAGCAACTCATCACCCCTCCATTTCGTCTGATGCAAGCCCACAGGGGGCAAGGCATTCCCCTCAAGCATCTAGAAGTAATAGCTGGGACACAGGGAGAGGCTTCATTACATCTTGCATGATCTACAGTAGGGGCATGCTTCGCGAATTTCGAGCCATAACATTGTGGGTGATGATTGCCGAGTTGTATTCAGGCGCGGCATTTCTGGGGCTACGGTTCAATAGCTTGGAACCAACAGAATCCCGGTAGACTGGCCACTAGGCGGCGCAGACTATTGACGGCCATAATGCGCAGCGAATCCCATATACCCGCCATCGTGCATTCATAACAAACACAGTCGTATAAGCGATGTTATTTCTCCTGAAGGCGTCGTATAGGCCAATGTAATCAAAACAGCCAGCCTCTGGGCGTGCATAAACCTGTATCGCGGTAATGGTGGCTATTGGGCAGCACACACCCGTCGGCTAGCGCCGCAACCTGGTGTTCTCGGAGCCCGATTGCCTGGACGCTAGGCAGCTGTAAAAGGAAAACTAAGGAGAATGCACGGTGAGCTATTAGCGAGCAAGGGCAAGGACTGCATGCTAGTGCCACATTGTTTGATACAATAGCCATATGGAGACGACGATTGGAGAGAAAGCTTCTCTGCGTAATACGATCGGGTTGTATGGGCCCTGCTTAAGGCACACACGGTTGTCAGCTCAGCAAGTCAAGAAAAAAAAAGGCGCCCACTCCGCAAAAGCCGGCACGTTCCTTCGAGGCTAAAGGGCCGGGCCGCCGCAGGACGTCGGCGTTGGGTGCAGCTTCGGTGGAGTCGTAGAAGCCTACCTCCACGGAAAAAGAAGACTGAAACCAGCCCGCTGGGACCCCACGCCATGCTTTAATTCTGGGGCTTTGGGGCCAAATTGAGGGTGTGGCGCACTCAATTCTCTTTTGGTCACGTCACTGCCCTGGAACCAGGCGCCTGGGAATAGATGAGGCGAGGGTTTGGTGGCGATGGAATTCTTGAGTCACGAACAGTTGGTGCATGGATCAAGACTTGACCGTTTCGCGTATTGATTGGATGTGGCCTTACCGCCCAGCCGAGTAAGTTTTAATAACCAAAGTGGGCTGCAAGACACCGCAAACTGTTTGTCATCCAACGCATGTCCTGAGTAGCGAAACGAGGCAAAGGGCGTGCCGATTCGAGATGAACAGGCCCAGTGGCCATTACTCGGCGATTTTTTTTTGTCGTTGTCAGGTTTCTTCAGTGGCAAAGTGTTTACAGTTGGAGGGTTGAAGTCGAAAAAGGAAATGAATAAGCTCCTTTTGTCTGCACGACAAGCGTCATCAGTGCAGTACTCTGCATGCGCATGGTGGTAATAAGGCGACGGCGGTGAATCTCCGCATCAGCTTCTCCGGCTGGGCCATATCACACAGGCTGGCTTACCGGCGATATTGCGATGCAGCACTCATGGCGCATTCGAGAAGCGCGTGGCGGTTAGTCAACCTCGAACCGGTCAGGAATCTCCATTGCGTAACCCCCCCCCCCCTGCGGCGGCGGTGCATGCCTCACTCTGGTTAGCGCACTCTTCACCGGTTCGCTCTTCGGCTGAGGCGGGAGGTGGGCGACTATACACTGTGCTAGCTAGCTAGCCCGTTGCGAAGGGGTGGTTGTCCCCATTAGTCTGTTTCGTGTACCTGTTATTTCAGCGCGGCGGAGTTGGGCAAACACTGCTTGCCGAGTCTCTATGACGATCCGTTGTAAGCAGGCAAAGCGGCATTCCGTTAGCCAACACGCAGTCACAGCAAAAGCTCGGTAAACTGCTTCCGACTTGTGGCAGGGCATAGAACGGCATAAAACGCGTTGAATGCGGAAATGATTCAGCTAGACAGCCATGACGGGGGGTAGATCTGACAAAACGCCATGGCTGGTTCTGAGCCGTCGATATTCACCCACGAGCTGAAGCCGTCGGCGTATTTGTTGTTCTCTGGCATCGCTCCACGTGCCCGAAAATGTGAAGCTCAGCCAAACTAAGCCGAGGGATGTATTTTTTAAAGCAAATAAGCAAAATCGGGTATTGCGAACTCGGAACCCGTTGATTGGGTTTGGGTGTTGTGGTGGTGTGCTGTCAAAGAGTCACCTGGCTGTTGTTAGTTGGCACGCAGGCTACGCAATTGTCATCATCAGCAACGGCAACATTAGCTGGAACACACTAGATTGCACACAGTGTATTTCCTCATTGCCGATAGAGTTGCCGTTGCAAACATTACGAAAGGCTATCCCTAAGAGGGATGCATGGAGGCGAGCAAACGGCATGCAAGCGACCTTTATGCAAGACACGCAACTGGCGACAAAGGGAAGCGGGATGCAAGCATAAGACAACTGCTGCACGTAGCCTTCTTGGTCGTGTTGTTTTCTAAGATGTTTGGATGCATGCATAGTCGGTTGTTTGCCTGCAGCCAGGCGCTACGGCAGGTCCTATGGGTGCAGACAGGCTGTTTGTTGGCTTGGCTGAAAGCGATGCTGTCGTCTGATCATGATGGGCGTGCATTGAAAAACAAGCCAGCCGTTTGTTGTCATATTTTACTATTGCCGATGCGATGCGCGATACCTGGATAAAATGCGTCGTCTAGGCCCTGCTGAATGAGTTGACCGAGATGCAAGATCGTCAAGGCGAATGCTGAGGCTGTTGGCCGGCGCGTGGATGGTTTGATTGGCGTGCGCATGACGTGCCCTGCGTGCTTGCTGTCGGCTGTTGTAGTTGGTGGTGTGTCCCCTAAGGCTCCGCGGGAGGGAGGGGGAGGGGGGACAGCCAGATAGACAGACAATAGAGGTGGCTCCCCAAGCTGCCCCGGACCGCCGGATAGAAGAAGCAAACGCAATCACTGTAATTGCGGCTTGTCGGAGGTACCAGGGAATATTTCGGAGGTTTTTTTTTTCTTTCTCTTAGCTCGGCTTGGCTGAGTTTGTGCTTGATGCCCTCAATTCATTTACTTTGCTTGTAGCGTGTAGGTGGAGCGAAGCGGGCGGGCGGACGGGCACTCGGGGCGTCTTTGGCGCACTGCCACTTCGCACTGGCGACTGTATTTGGTAGCGAGGACTCGGCTGCTAAATTAACTTACAGTGGACGCGACAGTGGCAATGCCAGCACTGTACGGTACAGTACCAGCGAAATGGGCCACCACGAAATGGGCGGTGCTTGGCTCGCCTGCGGTACGGCGCGGTACCCGAGCTACAGGCTGCCCGCGGCCACCCGCTGGTGCGCTGCTGTGTAAACAGAGGTACCTAATTAGCCATGTTGCTACTGTACTGAAAGGAGTTCCCGTCTACTGCACTACTGCTGGGCGTATCCATCCCGCTGTCTGGTGCCGGTTTGCCTTGTCGTGCCCAGCGCTGTGTTGTGATGTCCCCCAGTGTTGCGCCGTCCTAGGCTTCCGTGCTTGGAGCGGTTAGCGTCCACACCCCCTGTAATTTAGCGGCATTTTGGAGTGCTCTCCGAGGTGGCCCCTGCTTTTTTGGAGACTTGACCCCCCTTGTCTTTTGCCCGCCAGTGCTATTTTTCATGGCGTTTGGCGGCCGTTGGTGCTCGTTACTCGTGTTAGGTGATTTCCTCTCTCTTTTCGTTTTCTTCTTTCTTTTTTGTTTTAACACAAAGGGGGGGGGGGGGGCTCGAGCTCAGTACCTGGACTAGTACCTCGTCTCTGGGCCTAGACAGCGCCCATAGCAGTTGTAGCTGCCCCGCAGAGTCCCTGTACCCAGGAACCTGGGCTGCTTCAGCGCCTGGTTAACCGAGAAGCTGGGAGCACTGCCTGCCGTTTGGGCCTGGCGATGGCCTATTTTTTTTTTTCTGTTCCGTCTTTTTACAGTGGTACTGTGCGCTGCTTGTCCACTGTTAACTGATACGCTGCCACCACCTGCTACCACACTCCCCTCCCCCGGTCACACTTTTTTTTTTCGCCCTGCTGCGGCACGCCCCCCCTCCCATTCTTCTTTCTCTGCGCAAAACAGAGAAGAGCATCTCCCACGGGGGCGTGTGAACCCGGAGAGCTGGGAACAAGGCCGGGCAGCATCTGCTCTACAGTCCCTTCGTGCGCCAAAACCGTCTAGCCTGGCGTATGTGCGTGCTTGTTAAATATAGAGTTGGGCCGCCTCCACCACATGGCCGCCATAGCCAGATACCTCTGCCCCAACTACTAAAACTATAGCACGCCACTTTACTCCCGCTTCTGCAGAAATCAGTACTATAGTGTGATAAAACGATTCTTACTGCTCGACTATTCAATCCAGAGTACAACTTTCAGTGTTTCGCTTGGACAATCTACGCCAGTTGGTTCTCTCGTCTGCCATATAATACAACGTCCAACCAACAAGCTCTCGCGATATACCTTCCCACTCAACGCAGCACAATAAATACCGTCAACATGTGTAATTACATCTACGTACGCTCAACTAATTCAACAAGATATTGTACAGAATAGCCTTTTATCTAACATCTATATAGAAGGAGCTTAGCTGCCAACACCACTACCACCTCGTTGAGTCGTGGTGCAGCAAGTACATTGCTACGGAGCGACGATGCCCTCCCAAGGTCATTAGCAAGCAGTACTGGGGCGATGATATCTGCTGTAAGTGTACACCGACCCTACTACTAGTCCAGACGAACAGCGGCTGACCTTTTCATTTAGCCGCCTGCAAAGAGCGCCAACAGCCAACACCAAAGCCTTGGGCCAGACTGATACAGAGATCTGGCCCTCGTCTGCCATCATACACATCCTTGACCTCCTATCCTTGCCAGATTCCCGTCTAAATTGACCTCGCAACACTTACAGCCTCTCTGGTTGCCACCAGATGGCTACACCACAGCACACACCAGACTACACATCTTCATCGGTCTTTACCACGGCGCAATTCGACACGGGATTATGGGACACAAGAATGCACTGATTGGACACGCAACAATGCAGCACGGAGTTTTGATTTTCCCCATCTTTTTCTTTCTCAGCATCGGCATCATCGTCTTAACAACAAGACGCCTCTTTTCTTCGACCACAAGGTCACGCAACATGTTTTATTTCAGTATGGTTATGGTTTAGGATTCGTTCGGTGTTTGCTTTACTTTTGAGTTAATATTGGGTTGTTTGATTCTTTAAGAGGAGGACATGGGAAACAGTACATGGACGCAGTTTTAGGAGCGCAAGCATCAGCATCTCGTCCAACATTTACGCTCGACAGGCAAAATTGTCAGATATACAAACACACGCAAGTGATTTAGGTACTTCTTTTTGGCTTTTTTTTTCTTTTCTTTTTTATTTCAAAAGACGAACAGTTTAGATAGTAGAATATTATTGAGTTCCTCCTTTTGCATCGTCATGTCTCACACTTTCACGAACTTGTGTCACATATGAACTAGTGTAAGTGGCGGTGAAAACACATCGTGGTCAACCACACAAACTTGTGTAACAAGACATATCTAATTCTTCATGCCTCCAACGGCCACGCGTGCGAACCGTTATTCTGTATCACGCAAACAAAGTCTCCGTAGGCGAGCGCAGGTGCTTGTCGTCCAGGGCCTGAGTGGTCGGACGAGCGGCCTCCAGTATCTCCAGATTCCGTATCTCCCGCCAAGGCAAAGCAATTATTATGCCTATTACCTAGAAAACAGGGAGAACCTACAGTGCATAGTACTCAGAGCATAACAGGGTGTAAAGCGCCTCAGGTGGCTGTGGAAACAGTCGCGCGGGATGCGGTCGCTCAGCCCAATGAGGCGTTGCAGCTTTATGTCGGGGGCGGCAGCACCACCACCACCAGCTTAAACCGGTGTGCTTAAAAGAAGGCGTAGAAGCGGGTTGCTTTGTTTCGATGCCCTATTTCCTATTCTCCCGCAAAAAAAAAAGGGCGTCACAGCAGCACAGTCGGCGTCAAGCCAGCAGCGACGATCGGCAAAAGCAAAGCTCTTGGTAGCCCGCCCATGAGCTCATCTTCTCTCTCTTCGCGGAAGAAACAAGGACGACATCGGAGGACTGTCTCTCTCATGTCACAGTGGCTTGTTTCCTCGCCTGATGTTACTGCTCGCTGCCTGACGGCTCCCTACTGTTGCAGCGCTAACCCGCGTCTCTCTGTCTATGTCTTTCTTTTTTTAACCTCTGGGTAGCGCGGTGTAAGCCAGGTGGTCAGTCTCGAGCACGGCGCAAGATACGACGAAACGCGAGAGCCGCCCAGCGCCTTGTAATTTAGATAATGTATCAGTTCTTTTGTGTCGCCTGGATGTGTAGTGTGCGTGCCTGCGCCCCAGCCAAGCACAATCTCTATCATTACACCCCTCTTGATACATTTAAAAAAGCTGTGTTGGTTCGCCCTCTAAATGACCCTTTGTACGGAGATGGCCTTGCGCAGGAAACGCCACGAAATTCCAACGCTTGACTCAAAGACCGGGCAGCTCCGTTTTGAGCCTGAGAGCAATACTTGGAACAAAGAATGGAGTCTGGCGACATTCTCTCATCTTTGGGCGTTCCACTGCGACCCGAGACTTCGGGACGACAGGGATGTCTCGACCCTCTGGTCTAATTGTGGTATTTTGGCGCACGCCCTGCCCTGCCAGACGCTCAGGCGGTACTGTACCTGGACTGGGTGGTGCCTGGATGCCTCTATTTCCTTTTCGCCTCTTTTTCGACCCTAGCATGGATATGGGTTTTGAATTTCGCGACGGTTGATACCGGGCGGCCTCTGCCCGTTGCGTTGCAGCGATTACTTACGCCCGTGCTTCTCTGGGGAAAGAGGAAACTAAAGGTCTTCGATGCTGGCTAGCGAGACGGGAACGGTACGCAGCAGCAGGGTCCCTTTTTCCTGTACGCGGACGGGTTAGCGGCAGCGGGAAAAGAGGCCCTGAGATGCAGACATCGCATCGGCAGTGAGTGCCTGTCCAGCATGCAGGTAACAGTGGGTGGTGGTGTGGCGGGACGGCACTGCTTGCTCTGGCATATTTTTTTTTAAAATAGTACAATAAACAGAACTTGATTACTTTTCCGGTATGCCGCAGCCTCATGCTACCGATCGCGGTGCGGCTGGCAATGCGGCTGCTGTTGCTGCTGGTTTGCTGCAGGTCATGCACACACGTACAGGAGAAGATTGCAGGGGTGCCAGTGCGTGTTCTTGCAGCAGCAGAATATTTCCCCTAAGCTGCCAGCTGCCAGTCTTCTCCCCTCGTAAACGTGGCTTGACCACTCAACTCCAACTCACCGTCGTCATTCCCGGATACGATTGCATCGCCGACAACACAATATCGGCAATCAGGTGACAGAGACCACCTGCAAAAGGGGAACCATGCATCTGAGACACGCACACCTTCCGCTGGTTTCTTTTTGATGATAAGACCTTGAGGTGAACGCGATGTTGCGGCACGAGGACAAGTACCGTACAGCACAGCACAGCACAAGTATTAGCTGCCTGCAGAATCGGTAGTTGTTTGGTATCCCTGCAATGTCGTGCAGGTTGCCTATTTCCTAATTACATCACGATGCACGATGATCCATTGACGCTCCTCGGCGTCTACCGCACGCCACTCAGGCGCTCTGTCGAGCCTGAAGCAAACAGCCACCAGAATGAATGCACCAGGCACGTTCAGCTTAAGGTGCTATGAATCAGCAACAAAAGTGTCGTTTGAGTTCGCCCCTGGTTCCTGGGTCATCGGTGATCAGGCAACCTACAGTCACCCCCCTGAAAGGACATTGCCAGTTTGCGCCCACCACCCAAAATGATAGCTCATAATGGCCCACCACTCAGAAGCCTCACAGAACCTTGAAAGAAGACGTCTCAGTCAAATTCCAGCCTAGCTTCACCTGTTGGACGCTTCAGGCGTTATTTAAGTTGCTACTAGGCGCATCCTAGGGCTCAACTGCTGCTAATTTAGTATGTATCGTGCTTGTAGGGCCGCGGAGGTAGCTGCAGCCAACCAGAGCAAAGTGTTAACGATGGTCCTCCCGCACCGCAATTACATTGCAGCTTGCATTGCGAATTATTCCTTTGTCTACGCCCTATACTTCGCAAACTTCTGCTCCGTCGTACATTCTTGTAGTCAAGACAGTCATAACTCCTCCCGCCGAATTTGTCCAGTTAGCTACAGGTGCATAGCACGGACAGTTCATGGGACAGCCTTAATTTGGGGAGTTGGGTTCGTCCCTTTTTTCTATGATTTTCGCTGCATAACACATCCCGCCACCATCGGAGCCACCCACGATCGACCAGAGCAACACAACATTATTGGACTGGACAGTGACAAATCAGTTACAGAAATGCCGTCTTTGGAAAAATAACACTTCACTTGGCATTTCTCCGTCAGAAAACCCTTACCAGGGGCCAATACAACCCCCACGTTTGACCAACTTTGGCAGTGATGCCCGCCTAGTAACTGTACGCCGCTTGGACCGACTCTTGTAATCCTTGGCAAGCGTTGCATCCCGCGGAGACCAGCAAGATCCAAACAACTGTGTCAAGGAGTCGAAGAGGTTCTAATCTGGCCAAGCTAGCCCAGCATGTTGGTTGGCAAAGTAATTTGAGAATGCAGGACCGGTATTACCAGGTTGATTTAGCCCCGAGCTACTTGTCTGTGCCTCCAACGTACGGCCCGCAGTTAGGCCCAAAAAGCAGAAGACGCTGTACGAGGTACGAGTCTATGCCGCAGGTTCAACGCAACCCATGGCTTGCCGTGCTATGACGTTAGCGAGACACCGTCGTGGGTCATTGCGGAAAGGCACGCCCGGCATGGCCCGCCTGTCAAGCGTCAGCGTTCCCGCCGGCTTTCGGACGTGCTTGGCTGGCTAGGCCTTTATTTTTGGGTTCTATCTGTCACCACTCGCCACAGTAGAATTACGCGGCTACATATTCACAGCTTCCAAAAAGAGCCGGTCCGTGGTCCAGCAACGGTGGCGTCGGCACATATTCAACTCTGACGCAACTTCAGACCCGCGTACCGTCACGTCGGTATCCCATGCATAAAACTGCAATACTATGCAGTCGCAGGGTTCCACTGGCCTGCGCAAGCATGCATGAGCTGCAGGCCATGTGACGCGCTGTGGTTTTTCCACTTTGTGCCGTTATCTTTGCGCTACTGCAAGATGCACTCTCCATCGTGATTCGCTCTGCATGTGCAGCACATGTTTGGCAGCTTGCATGAAACTGTTTGCTCCTCTCGTCACAGCGGGTCTACAAAGCGTCCCTGCACTACTCCAACAATAGGCTGGTAACGGCACTTGGCAGCCGTACAATACAATGCTTGCTCCACTGGTCTAGCCCCTCTTCCGCTCTGTCGCTTACAACCTCTTGGCTGTCAGAAATGGGAGTGTATAGTAGCGCGTAAGTGCAGCTTGCGGGACACCACCAACCTATCACCAAACTACTTGTGTGGCTGCTCACTTGTGTGAGTTTGTCGACGCTAGAGTGGCCAACCTTAGCTTCAAGCCATCGTACTTTAGCGCTACAGAGCTGTCGTGAGGCCTTTGTAATCAATTACTAAAGTGGTCTGGCCTTAACCGGATGTTACTTTCCAGGACAAGGTACAACATCCCCGCGATTACACGCAGGGCAACACCGGCAAGCCGGTAGGGGTTGCTTGTATAGTGCATCGAGACTATACAAATCGCGCTATCTCATCCCCGGCTTTTCCAACAGCACACGTTCTATTCCAAATATTGATCAAAGTCCAACCGGCCACCCGTATGGCACACCCTCCCCCTGTATACTGGACAGGCGTGTGTTTCAATATCGCCAACTAGGGCCGGGTAGTACACGATTACTAGAAAACTCGCACGCATAAAGCTATAACAGTAACAAAATTTTTTGATTTGAGTCCGCTCAAAAAGATTTAAGACTATGCTTCATTCAACTATTACCCGAATTATTTCCAGTAGTCGCTTCGCTGGATGAGAGATCTACCACATCGCTGCACAGCTCGGCGTCTTTGTATTAATCTGTGAAGCACTAGCAAACGACCACCAAGGTATAGATAGGGTGCTTTTTGTGTCAAAAATAAAGTGCCTCAGCCAGGATATTTATTCGTCTCCAAATTAGAATCCAAATTATACCGGTTAGATTCTTCTTGCTGCCTTCCTGTCTCGGATGTATTGCACCGCGCTTGGATGATGCCCGAGTAACGTGGTGAGGTCGTCTCGCAGGTCACAGAGAAATCGAACAAGGTCCGCTTCTTTACGCATCAAATTTTGGAAGTTTGTATCGACGACATCCGTCAGAGAAGACTTTGATCCGTTCATCTTCTCAGGTCCGCTGGCCGAGACTGCATCCAGAACTGCCGGACTGAACGACTTGGTTGCCGTGCGAAGAAGCGTGAGAATCGTCACCACGCTGTCGGTCAGGACTGCCATTTTCACAACTGGGAACTGTGGCAATGTTAGGGCGCCAACCTTAACACCTGGTTGCAACCAGCGTTTGAAAAGCACCTTGATGCCACGATCTTGCGCTTTGTCGTGTTCCTCACGGGCAAGGGCAAACAGCCGGCGCAGGATGTCAACGATTCTGTCGTAGACGGAAACAACTAGCCGGATGTTATTTTCATCATCCTTGTCAAACCAACATATCTGGTGATTTTGATCCCCATTTTCTTCCTGAGCTTCTCGTGCCCCTGCGAGCGAAGTCTCAATAGTGACATAAAATTCATTCATAGTGGTCAACAAAGCCTCAATGGGAAAATCGACGTGTTCTCTGTTCAACCAGTTTTTGGGCCCTTCACCTTCCAGTTCCCGTAAATGAACTGACATGCCTAGCATGCGCCGGCAGAGATCGTTGAGCTTAGACATCCAGTGGCTCGGTAAGGATATCTCCGCAACAATCTCTGTTAGCCTGTCTGGAACAGGAGGTGGATGTCCAAGCTCCACGAGCACTTGGAATAGAGGGTTGGAAGAAGCGATAGGTGATGAAACCCTCACACCCGACTCTGCAGTTGACGAAAGAAGGAGAGGTTCTGGATGACCAACGAGAAGTTCGGAAGACAATGTGTTCCAAATAGGAACATATGAGTTGGATGACGGTGTGCTAGACTCAGATGGGTTGACTCTAGCAGCGATGGATTGATCTAATATTGGGAAAGGAGCCGAGACTACCTGAGGATAGGCGTCTGAGGCGGAACCAGGTACAAGGTGCTGAGGTTCAGACTGAGGCTCAGAGAAGCTTTGATGTATTGTAACAGGATCTGCACCCCAGGATAACGGAAACTGGTTATTTGAACCCTGTAACTGACTGATTGTGTCAAGGGAAGACGGATGGGTTAAGTACTCAGGCCGCGGATCAGTAAAATAGGCGAGCGGCTCCATGCCGAACCCCAAAGGTATGTCTACTGCCAAGACAGACCATCATTGTTAGCAATTGCATGCCTTGGGCCTCTGGAACATCGCTTAAACCAGCTATTCGATAACTGCCGACATCCACGCGAGGTATTAGGGAGTGAGTACTTACACGGATCCGGTATTATTGGCACTGCCGGTGCTATTTTTCGGAGAACCCTGGAGTTAGCTTTGAATCGCCATGTTGCACGCGGTTGAAATCTAAAATAAGACAGGGATATATTCCCACAAATAGCAATATGGGCTAGCTATTGGGAGAACAAGGCAACCTACCCGGTTCAGGTTGTACCGCGCCGCCCAGCTCGCTTGCGGTTCGCCGTCGCTTCGGCGTGTGCCTCCCACGTTGATCGATCGAGTCGGCATCTGGTAAGAATGTTTGTGGCATGGGTATTCCGGGTTCCAATGATATGTTATTCGCAAGGGAATTCATATCAAATTGATCACCTGTGGGCTGAGAGACGGCTGGCGGATGGTGCTCTTGCTGGGCATGCCTATGATATCGGTGGTTTAGCTGAGGCATGCTTTGCTGACGAACCATATGCCGTTCGCCCTGATCGTTGATACGCCTTTGTGATTGAGCATGCGCTGAGCCAGCAGACGTAGGAAGCTTCAGCGCTTCCTGGCGTTTACCCTTCTTGTAGCGTAGAGAAGGACTGGATGTACAGGCGGTTCGGCCCCGGATGCATCGTTCGCAGGCCTCTTCGCCGACGCGATTGCAACTGAGTTTCTGCTTATGACACCGGTCACAGGCCTTTCGATTGACACCTTCGGGCATTGCTGCTGAGTATTGAGGCCGACTGGGACGAGGTTGTTTTTGGAAACGGGAGGAAAGAGGAGATTGGATCGGATGGTTTAAGAGTCAATTACAGTCTCTCCGACAAATAGTCGGGATATGCGAGTATCCGTGCTATTAGTGTCAATTTTTAGCAACAGTAGCGATTCACCAAGCTTGGGACTACGAACTAGCGTACCATACCAGCGGACCGGGTACGAGATCCAGCCTCTTTCAAGATGCTATTCAGCGGCCCGTTTTCTTCGACGGGCGGTTTCAAGAGGAGAAAGTAGGCAGCAGTCTGGTTTACAATGAGGGGGCTCTTGGGACCTGTAGTACGTGGAGGATACGTTACACTTGCTATGGCGGCCAGCATCTGTGACGCAGGGACAACAAAGTATTTTGACCTTGGTGGAATACTCTCTTTGGTCCTTCATTTTTTCCCTGTGTTTTTATTCTTTTTGCTTACTGCAACTTGCGTGTGTCATCAGAGTGAACGCATGACAGAGTGAAGGCATTGGTGGGAAAAGGTGGATAAGAACCAACGCTTGAATAATTCCGACCGCGGGTATATCGTGACGTTCTGGATAGGTGAGGACAATGCAAATGTAAGACGGTTATTCTTGTGTAAGGTATTAAGCACGCTTTCATAAGCGCCTGATTTGGTAAGAGGCTAACGGACCAGCAGTTTGGAAAGTAATCTACGTTGGTTGTCGCTTCAGAAACAAAGTAGACGCCACAATATTTCGCATCGACATCGGGTAGATCATAGAAAAATTACGCGTGCCGACCATGTGGCTGCGCGGCTAGGTCAATAAGGCGCATTGACTGTTCATTTGGTAATGGCTGGCTGCAGAGTCAGCTCCAGCACCTTCGCGGTTGCCAACGGTAAGAAAACATGACGAGAAGAACGTAAACGGAAGATGAATGAATATAGTCTATGAACTTTTGTATGCGAAATGAGCCGAAAGATCTCGGTGGACACAACCAACACTACCCAGAGAGGCGAGCTTCGCTTCTGCTTGCACATCGGCCCTAATAGCCCACGTAAGTTCAGCAGATGAACCTGTTTAGCGATTTAGGGCTACCATGGTGAGTTTTACGACGCAGAATCCAACGAGAAGCCTTCATGTAGCGAGCAATGAAACATTGTACACGGTCAGCTCTAGGTCCCCCCAGTTCTTTTGTGTTACTTGTGTCTTTGCTGACTCTATCAAGGCCACTTTGATAGGCCGAGCCCGTGCAACTTGGCAGCAACAGCCACATTATTCTTCAGGCTCCCAATAACCAAAACGTGCCGGTGTGCCCTCCAGCTGTCGGCACCCAGGAGAGTAGTAATCCTCTTTTGTACCCATTGGCCACATGACTGTCACCATCTCTTCCCCAATAGGGCACGGGTGAACCTTTTGCCAGGTCGTCCACGATAAGCGATCAGCTAGTTTCAGCATGTCTGCTCTAGACTCTGCCAATGCTGTCACCATCTTGGCATCCTTGTTATCGTATACGATGCGGCGGCCGTCTTCTAGCTTGCCTGTGGCGTCGATTAGGCGCTTGCGGCTGCGGAACAGGACTGTGCAAATATCATTGGCCACTCGTCGCAGCGCTAGATACAACAGGCGATCCGACGTTGACCATTTATCCTGCAGCGGCAGTACAGGGTGGAAGTAATGGAACAAACAGTCTCGGAGGCCCTCCTCCATGACATTTTCCACGGCTAGTGCCTTCAAGCGTGCCGTGGCGAGGCTTTTGTCACTGGGCAAAGATGCTGCATTGACATGGATCAGCACAGCCCATTCAATCTCGTTTATAAAGGTAATGTTGCTCGTGTGAGGGCTGACAATCATTTCGATACGCTTGGAGTACCGAGATACAATCATGTCCGCAATAGACTGCCAATCGATGAGAAATGATGTGCCATTTTTGACCACCCTCTCCAGGTAGTCCTTGATCTGCTTGAGATCGCTTAGTGGTGTAGCAGAGAGTCGGTGCAGGTCAGGGCGCCTTGGGTTTGGATTGGTCAAGTTGACGGGGAAGAAGAGACCCGAGACTACGGACGAGTAGTCGATTCGAAGACGGTGGTTACCAACGCCGTCGTATCTCTCGGCAATGGCTCGGATCAGTTGTCGTCGGTGCGAGGAGGCATCTCCAGCGGTATCTGGGGTCAGGAAGAGGCGCTTAGCGTGCTTAAGTTCAAAGTCTCGACCAAAATCGCAGTCAATCAATTCGAAACCAGCTTCACATCGAACGATACCATTGTACCCCCATTTCGTGGCGAGTTCACATAGACCCTCAGCGCGTGCCGTTTCTTTCCACCCTGAGCCCAATTTGTTTTCCAGCAAGATATAATCGGATGTGTCTAGTGTGCCATACCAAGTTTTGCCAGCTGACATGCCGTCCAGATATAGTACTTTGAGGTCACGGCGAGCTTGATAGGTGTGGAGATAGCCTCGTCTGACGCCATCGTCGTCGTCGTCATCGCCAGGGTTGGGGCCGCCGCGCTTTAAGATCTTTTGATTACCGTGTTGTTGTTGTGGGATAGAATATTGTGAAGAGTCAGCCATGTGCAGCCAGTCGGAAGCAAACTCTTCTGCATGTTCGGGCTCAAATGCAAGCCACTCTGGGCCTCTTGGTGGGTTGGGTGAAAGAGTTCCGTGATAGAGGAGCGTGCCAGAGGGGATCACGGCAGGGAAGATGGCGAAGCCGTTGTGCTTGAGCCCAGAACCCCATTGCCGACCGGCGGAGTGTATGGAGTTGAAGATGGCATGCGAATTCGCCAAGGCGTCGTGGTCGTTGGGTTCAAATGGACGGTCATCCGCTAGTGTGAATGGCACCGCGGCCAGGCTAACGAGTAGTGTGTACAGGAGCATGCCGGGCGTTGAGGGCTGCTCTGAGGGTTTCAGGCAAAGGCGGAGTGGGCATGAGGCAAATATATACTGGGATTACGGTATAGCAGTGCCTCAAAAGTACCGTACCAGGGGAGTCGCGGCTGTAACGGGGACCCGCTCCGTGTGGATGGTGATGGGGGCAGCGGAGCTGATTGATAAGATCGAGTCGGGCGATGGTAATGATAAGCGACGATAGGCAGAGTAGGAAAACTTTAATTTTAATTCTGGTGCTTAACCAAGAAGCACAGGAATCTTTACAGTTGACTTTAAGGACATATTTCGTGGAACAAGGAACAAACGGCAGCCTGATTCGATCCGCCGCACACGCAACGCAATCAACGGGGCCGCCTGATAACGTGACGGGGAGCCTCCGTTGCAGCTCGGCCCTGTTTGCGCCGATCCGATACTCCGAATACCGAACTGGGACAGTCACACGGTCTAAGCCTACGTATTATAAAAAAAAGACTGGATATTGTTTTGAGGTTTCTAAAGTTACAACATAAAAGCACAAATGGCCTAACGCTAAGAAATGCGCTTATTTCTCGAAGCGCTTGGCAACGGTGCTCCAGTTGATGACGTCCCAGATGGCGCCAAAGTACTCGGCCTTGCGGTTCTCGTACTGGAGGTAGTAAGCGTGCTCCCAAGCATCAATTCCCATCAAGGGCTCGAGGTTGCCGGAGACGGGGTCCTGGTTGGCGCGGGTGACGAGGCCAAGGGTGCCCGAGGTCTTGTCCTTGACGAGCCAGGCCCAGCCAGCGCCCTGGATGCCAGCGAGGGCAGCGTTGGTCTGCTTCTTGAGGTTGTCAAAGGAGCCAAAGTCCTCGTTGATGGCCGTGAGGAGCTTACCGGTGGGCTCGCCGCCGCCGCCCTTGCCGTTGGGGGCAAGGTTCTCCCAGAAGAGCGAGTGGTTGACGTGGCCGCCGCCGTGGAAGTTGAGCAGAGGAGCCTGGGACGCAGCAGCCTTGGCGTCGCCTTTGGCCTGGGCCTCGGCGAGGGCCTCGACGGCCGCGTTGAAGCCGGTGACGTAGGTCTGGTGGTGCTTGGAGTGGTGGAGCTCCATGATTTTGCCGGAGATTTGGGGTTCGAGCGCGCCGTAGTCATCTAAACCCCAAGTGTTAGGGATGGGGCTCTGCTAGAGGTTATAATATGTTGCAAAGGACGGCAACTTACAGGGAAGATCGGGCAGAGTAGCCTTGCCACGGACAAACGTGGTGGCCATGCCGGCAACGGGAGCGGCGGCGCGGGTGCGAAGACCGGCACGCAGGGCGGGGGTCGTGCGGAGAAGCGTAGAAGACATTGTTATGATGGTATCGAGGCTATTCGGCGATGGATTGTTAGCTTTCGAAGCTGCCAATGGGCGATGGTGGTGCTGTCAGTGGATGGTGGATGGGATGGGTTAGGATAGCTTTGCGGAGAACAGCTAGCTATGGTGGTGGTGATGCGGCCGAGAGGATCAATTGAGAAGAGAGGGGGCAATGTGAAGCAATTAAATAGAAGCGGTGATAAAACAATGACAGTGTGGCTTACCAATCGAGATGAAAAGCGTGGAGGTGTGTCGGAGCGGAGTTGGAGTCGGTCGACGAGCTAAAAAGCGATGATGCCAGCGCAGAGAGCGGATGATGTCAGGGAGGCAAACGGATAAAAAAAAAATACTGGTGTCGGAGAGCCGAGCTTGTGCTGTGGGGGAGCTACTGTAGCTGCCTTTTGGGGGGACGGAGAGCGCTGAAGGCCGCTGTAAAGTGTGTGCTGTTTTCGGCGCCGGGGCGGTTGTAGCAGGTTGCGGCTTTCGGTGCTCGCGGGGAGACGGGGAGCGACCGGAGAAAATAGTAGAAGGGCAAACTACGTCATGCTTCGAAGATTTAGACGGTTTAAAATTAATTTAACAGGTAATATGCTTTTAGAAGGGATGTAGTACCAATTTATGATTTTATTTTTATTTAAAAACTGTGTAGGTGACGTTTGTCATGACTTGGCCCTGATGCGCACAGCCAGCGACTCCAAACTACAATCCATAACATGTGAATTGGCTTCACTGTATTCTGCATAATTATAGCATCTATTTATGCTATTTACACCTATTTCATTAAAATGTATCCATTGACCCGCACAATATCCAATATTTGCAACACCTATAGCTCGCCTCCCTCTTCGCCCTTCATCCTACCTGGGAGCCGCCTGCGCGCCATCAACAGTGGCCTGCCGCCCGCTAAAGATGCCCACTAACACCCGCCAACGCCAACCCCACCATGGAAACCACACACGCGCCGCTACCCCACCACGTCTTTCAACATCACCACCACCACCACCACGACAGTCCTACCAGCGCGTCGACACGCGAATACAACCGGCAATCATGTCCTACTATGACGTGGACGCTATCCTGACGGATGCAGAGGTGCGTGGCTACCATCCTAAAAAATACGCGCTATTCTCATACTAACAAACTCTGCAGAAAGTCCCCTGCCAATTCGAGCTCGACGTCCCGTACCTAGGCCATCTCGACAACTCTACGCAAGGCCTCAAGCCAAACACACAACTCCAACTGCCGCTATGGCTTGCTGAGATGCTTGCCCTCGCCTCCTCTGGTAGTCCCGATTCGAAACCCCCGCTGACACTCAACCTCCCTCCCTGCCTGAGCGACCAGGTCGTCAGTGCCTTGAAGGCCGATCCGCGTGCCATTACAGTCCGCGACCAGAGCGCGCACTTTTACGGCATCGGCGTGCGTATGCTGGATCTCTTTGACGAGGCAGAGCTCGGCGCGGTCCTGAGACGGTCGTTTCTCATCCGCGCCAATGATATTGGTCTGCACGCACGCAAGGCCGACGAGGGCGTCACGGCTGGCCAGGGACAGGAGTTTCTGCGTGGCCTGGACGAGTGGGAGCGAAGCCTGTTTCGAAAGAGCCACGAGGCCGTCAAGGGAGCAAAAGAATGGACCGAACGGGTCAAGAAGAATTAAAAAATTGGTAGTGTGCAGCGTGCCGCAGGCAGCACATGCATCAGCAACGACGTTATGAATCACCACCTCTTGGAAAAGCCGACGCCGTCTGTCTACAGTGTACAGTACAACACGGCATTTCATTGCATATATATCATTAGCATTATAATATTATGAATTAGACATTAGAGTCAAAGAGTCCAGCGTTGTATGTGTCCCCATCATTCCAGCTTGCTTATAGCCTCGTCAAGCTCCGGCGTAGTGCCCATATACTTCCAGTACACAGCTGTCGCCGTCGCCACTGCCAACCACAACCACGTCAAGAGCATCTCGCGCATCTCCAGCGCGATAAAGTAGTAGTTGGAGTACCGGACCACGTTGTACGTCACGTAGCCAACACCCGCGCCGAACAAGTATACTGCCAGCGGCAGCCTGCCACCACGCGGCGCCAACAGACTCAAACCCCTGCTCACATTGTTCTGGAACAGAACAGAAACCAACAAAAGACGACTCATAGATCCCACGCTCTCCGTCACCAGATTCCACAGCATCCTCAGGCTCTCTGGCGCGCCGTACACAGCAACCTTGACCACCGACACCAGCAGCGCAGCCGCCCACGCCGCCTCGCCATACACATACTCAGCATGCATTACCGCCATACTCAGCAGCACCACCATGAGCACATCACTAACCATCTTCTCTTTAAGTATCCGCTTCATCGCGTCCCTCCGCACCACCATAATCTCATAACTCAAGAAAAACGACATCAAGCCCTGCCGGATCGACGCGTACGCCATCATGGTCACCGCCCACACGCCCACTCTACCAATCGGCACGCGCAGCATCTCCTCGAGCACAAAGTACGGCGACGACTTGGCCATCTTCATGAGCTCCAGCGAGCTGCTAAACAGCGGCTGCTGCCCCAGCCAGGGCACTGCAATCCGCCGCACATGGTTCACCAGCACTGCGGCCACCAGCTTGCCCCAGGCCGCGGCGTATCCGTCCGACAGCAGAAAGGCCCGCATGGCAGGGTAGACGCTCTTGGTGGTGAGTGTGCCCTGGTACAGTTCAAACAAGGGGCTGAGGAAGAGCGCAAGGCTGCTGCTGCTCTCGCGACGACGACCTGATTCTTCTGTTTCAGCAGGGCGAGAAGAAGCAGTTGCTGACCCCGCCTCGGGCATCTCTCGAGGAGCCATGTCTGGGCTTGCGGGCGGCGACATGCGGTCCATGGTGTGTGCTTTGCTTGCTACAGCAGGCCTCACGGGCAAGGTTGATTTTGTGGTTGGTTTGCAAAAAAGAGCAGCAGGCGCTGAGTTTCGGTCGTTTGCCGAAAGTTCAGCAGTTTAGCTTGATTGGGTGTTTGATGCGTGATGCACGATGGCTGGCTCTCCCCCACCACGCGGGACGTGTTCCGCTGCGGGCCGTAGCTTTTTGCCTGCAGCGGCGCTAATCTTAGGCTTACTTTTTTTTTCTACACGGCAGCTGGGCGAACGGAGAGTACAGGGCTTCGCCACGATATGTCGCAGGTACTTTACTGTACTGTTGCACTGGAAGCGGTGCGCGTACTTGAGCTGAAAAAGCAACGATGCGCGGGCTGCATTGACAGGCAGACATATAGCGGCATTGGGGAAATAAGTACTGCCGAGGTAGATATTTCCGAACGCTGCTTGGCAAAATGCCCATTCCATGGGCCTTTTTACGGTGTAAAAGAGGCTAGTCGGGCTGATGATGGACAACAAGGTACCTTTGGTTTCTCTGGTAATGTACCCGGGGCTGATGATGCATCCACGATGCAACGCTGGTATGTGTGGCATTGCTCTGGGGGACAGCTAGCTGCACTGATCGCTGAGAAATGGTGGCTTGCACAGCCTCCAAACCATCTTCCGGTCCAGCCAGCATTCAGCCCGTAACGAGACGAGGTTAGCGGCTTGGTATTATAGGGCATCTACTATTAACACGAGGCTCTGAAGCCGGTACTTTGGTTGCTGTTTGGTACTTTTTCTTTTAGCCTGGCACTGGATACGAGTGATGCAAAAGGACTATCAAATGGAAAATATCAAAAGTGTTGCTAGCCTAGCCTATTATAACACGGAGAATACTGTCTGGGTCAGTATTGAGAAATGCACCGGCCTGCGAATGTGCGCCAATCCAACCCGTCCAGTATAATAAGTAATAGTAATGAAAAGCCAGCAGACCCTCGAAAAACCGAGGAGTCTCTCATGCAGTAGATACAACAACAAAAATGATGGCAGTCGTGGTGGTATCAGTCTATAGTTGTCCATTGCAGAACAAGGAAACAAGTCGCGTGCGCAGTGAAAAGCAAGAATGGAAAACAGTAAATGCAGGCGGTATCTCGCTCAAAGCAAAGAAAAACAGAGCAAAAATGGTACATGTTCGTGCGTCGTCGCTTCATGAAACATGGGGGCATATCCACATCGCAGTCGGTCTCTGTTAAACAAATAGATAAACAAAAAAAGAGATAAAATGGATAATGTGAAAAAGGCCCATAAATGAGGCCTGATAAAAGAAAAAGAAATATGTAAATGAAGCGCCAAAAGTGTAAAAGATAAAAGTGTAAGGATCATAAACATCATCGCATGTTGCCGTCGCAGGCGGTATCACAGCTTGCAGACAGGCTCGTCATTATCCATTGTTAGGATACAGGTAGTCTTGTGGGCTGACAAAGCCAGTGGTATCGAGCTGCTGCTGCTGCTCGGAAAATTCAAAGTCTGCAAGGTCCATCTCAGTGAGGCCCTCGTTGCGCAGATCGAGCTCTTCGTCGGTAGGGAAGAAGGGCACTGTGTCGAGGTCGGGCATCATGTCCCCCTCGGCATCCTCTTCGCCTTCTTCAAGAATGGGGGTCTCAATAGTCTTAATGGTGTCTCTCAGAGGTACCGAAACCTCTCGGAACCAGACATTGGCAAGATCAGCCATGGGTGGCCAGTCACCGCCGCCATGGCCGCCTCTCTTTGGCTCCGAAGAGTCGTTGTTGCGGTTGCGAGGCTGGCGGGGCTTGAAGTGAATGCGCCGCAAATGTGCAGCCGCGTTATAGTTGGCCCTGTATGTCTTTCCAGCCATGCAGTAGGCGCACTTGGAGAAAGGCACCAGTGGTTGGTAGGGGCTCAGGATTCCCGCCTGGGCAGGATCCTGGCAAATGTACTGCGTTACCCTGCCCTCGTGTGTGGTATTGATATGGCGTCTCAGCTCGTGGACGCCGCGGAACTGCTTTGAGCATCTTCCGCAAGTCTTCTTTACCGGCTTGGGGCGTCTACGCGCCGCCTGTGTGCCACCGGCTCGCTCCAAGGTTGAGCTATCAGGAGCCGACTGGGCCCGAAGCAGTGGTACATCGTCGATAGAATCGGACAAACCCGCTTTAGGGATCGTAGGGTTAATGCAAGGGGAAAGGGAGACTGTGGAACAAGCTCTGGTAGATGCTTCTCCGTCGTTAACGCTAAAGCTGATGCCAAGAAGGTCGTGCTGTGAAGAAGTAGTTAGTGGACGTGTCTCACTTGTAGTAGAAGGAAGATAACCAACAGGGATGTCATAGTCTTCAAAGGCGCCAGATGCATAGCTTGTATCTGCCATAGGAGCGGCCTGAGCCAGTGCAGCCATACCTCCACCTCGGCTGTTCTGTCGCGTCAAGGGGACTATGTCGAGTGCGGAGGTGCCCGACTCCATAGAAGGGCAGGACGACGGCGCAACTCGGACTGGAGCTAGGTTAGGGGATGGTCCAGGTGAGAGGAAGATGCCGTTGGAAGGTGAGGCATGCTCGTGCCAGTCTGGTGGCAGAGACGGAGGGCCCTGGTCGTAGCTGGCAAACTCAGCTGCGCTAAAGTCGCCTCCAGCGTAAGACGCAGGACGGTTATATAGCATAGCGTAAACGCTATGGAGCGAAGCATCATCATCATGGTGCATGTTTGCTTCGAGAGGGTGCAAGTATTCTGCACCGTTGTCTAGACTGTTGTCTAGGTCGTTGATGTATTGCTGCTGTTGCCACCATGAGTGGATGGTCTCGCCGTTGGCGAGAGGGGAGGTGGTACTTACGGTCATGTTGAGCGAAATGTTGACTCGTTGGTTTTGCAGCAACCACTGCTGAGTTGGGTTTGCGCCAGGCATGGAGTTTGTGTCATCACTGGAACCCAGCAAAGCGTCAACCGACTGAAACTCGGCGGGCTGTCGTCGGTGGATGGGGATGGGCTGCACAAGCTTCTCGATTTCTGCAAGGTGAGCTTGGGCGAGAGCACCAGAGCCAGGAGACTTCAAATCGTTGATAAGCGATTGAATTCTTTCAATAACCTTGGGCTCCAAATGGGTCATAGTCACCAACCAAATAGAAGTGACTTGAGTCAAAGCAGAGGAGGAAAGTGGCAGTGCGGTTTGTTCACACGAAAAAAGGAATCAGAGTCCTGATGCGCGTTGTTTCTGTTGATTTGACGAAGCTTGATAGAATTGCCGTGGGGTGAAACCAACAAAGAGATGTTGGTTTGAGCTATCGCGCATTCGCCGGTGTAAAAGGTATAAGGCGGAAGTGGATAAAGTGTTCGGCGCAAGGCTCGAACTAAGTGATGTCTTGTACGTGGTATTCTTCTGTCTTGAAGAGAACCACGAATGGGAGACCAAAGGTATAAAAACTCTGTGGTCCAAGTGCAGATGAATGAAATGGGAGGAAGAGGGAAAGAAGAAGAAAGAGAGAAATAGAGAGCGAGGCGCCAGCTTGCATTTATGCCACACAGCTACGCCGGGGTTTTGCTGTTGCATGTACATCACGCAGTTCGCGCACCCTCTACCGAACCGCCCAGGGAGGTGCTGACAACAGACGTGGCTGGCCTCGGGCAGAGGGGCAGTCCCGGTGATTACAGAGCGCTATCATGGCCAGAGATCTCCTACCGCACGCCGGCGTCGACAAGTGAAACGTCACTTTTGATGGAGACGGGCTTACCTTTGCTGCCTTGCCGGCTCGAGTGACTTTGGCTTGTTCCGCGGCTCCATCACCCGTCCGCTATGGGTAAGTTACTGCTCAAGTGGACCACAGTGTGTCCTTTGGTTGTCGCCTGGTACCTCCTTCGGTAGCCCCTTAGGTCTAAGCTTGTACAGCCTCACCAAACGACGCCGGGCTTTAGCGGGGCTGTAGAGGCGCTCCTCTTGGTTGTCAGAGGCGCCATTGAGAATTGGGTTACCGACCTGCTGTAGAGGGGGGCCAACCGCCTGTTGCTGAGTTCCCACACCCAGCCGGGCTATCCAGTTGACCAACGTTTGCTATGACGCATCGTCATGAGCATTTGCCAAGCCCGCGTGCTCAAGCTGGCCAGCCAGGCTATCATTGTGCCCTGATCTTGCATTGGCTCGCTTGATACGCCCGCCGTTCAATTCAAACCAGGCCATTTGTGATGGGCAATATCTTCAACCATCAGACAGTTACAGTGACATTGTTTACCAAATCCCTGTAGTTTCTGTCGGGATGTTGGGCGAAAGCGGAAGGCATGCACGGGATGCTAGCGCACACATGTGCACTAAGGATGCTCAGGGAATGGGGGACTTGGCACTGAACGCTGGGTAGGTTACGCGCCAGCCGGACTGACCATGGAGCACAAGAACCGATTTTTGCGCACTTGGCCCCCGATTTCTCAATTGGCCAGTGAGTGGCAGCGCCTGCATGCATGTGCGCCTCAGGGACGTACATGAATGTAGCTTGGGGTGCGCTAGCGGTACTCTCCGCCCCAGTCGCTGCCGCGGCGCAGCAAGCCCGATGCTTCAAAGAAGCAATTCGAGTCCGGCTACCCATGGCTGTGGTCCAAGTTCCGCGTTCTCCTCATTTTCTCCATTGGGTAAAAGTCGAGCAAAGTATAGTTTTGTTATGTAGGAGCCTAGCGGGATTGTCGTTCCGTAGAAGAAGTCTCCGCTGTCACAAGCTTGCTTATCGTGATGCTCAAAATCCTACGTCATCGTACGAGAATGCCTTCCCTTTCAATTCGTTACGCTTGGTATAGCACATCAGATATTTTGCCCAGAGCGCGCTAGTGCCGTAAACATCAATTCGTAGCCTATAGCGTTAGAAGTCGTAATCCTATCTTTAGAAACAGCTCATACAAAAGACGTATCAAGCTTTCTTGGGCTGCCACTGGGTTCTGAGTGCTAGTAACGAGTGAACCCGGACACGTTCCCAAACTGGATCATTAACGAGCAGATGCAGTGCGCTGCAGGGAACGCGTTAGCTCCTTCAGCCAGGGCAGACAAGGCCACCGGCACTGTAGAAAAGCGCCCGTGGCTGGGTCGCGGCGTGCATATTGGATGCTGGGCCCCTCCTGGAGCCAATCCAGCGCTGGTACGGACGAGAAGCGCATGACCTGGTCCCCACGCCGCTAGGCTTGGTGGAAGGTTTTTGGAACAGCGAACGAACAAAGCACGGGCCCACGATCGTCGCGCCCCGGAATGGGGTATGGACAAAAGCGAGCTTGATTAGGCTGGTCATCGACGAGTTAAGTGCCTCAAAATCGTATCCTGCACGACGTAACTGATTCCGTTTGTTCCATGCATGCTTCGAAACCCACTTCAAGTGACCACGTATCCAGAACGATCCTGTTCTTCACGCCCGGCATGGTAATGGTGGTGTGCATTGATGTGCGCGGAGTCGAGTGTCCGTCTGGACTAGTGAGGCATCCGTGAAAGAGGCGCGCAAAAGCATCCTGCTGGCCAGTTTCGGCATACACAATTAACTTTTTGTTCTCATACCACTTAGCCAATGCAACCACCTCCATGTTGTCTCCTCAAAATTGAGAGGGTGTTGTCACCCCCAAACCTCAACCTGCCCCGCAAGGCAATGTTTGGCGTCTGGCGCAGATGGGGGCGTCTTGTCTGGCTCAGGGTAACCCAAGCAGGATGCCTTGGCTGCGTCCAGTCGAGATTTCTCGGTGTGTAATTTTGGGAAACAGTGGTCTAATCATTTACATTACCGCATGCACGCCGTGAAACAAGAGAACCTAGTTCCACTCTTTTCGATGAAACTCGGTGCCTATACCAAAATGACAACAAATGTTTCCACTACCGCCGTTTTGTATACTGAGCAAGCGGCTGAGTGAGGGTGGTGATCGTCAGACACCAAGGCCGCCCAGACGAAGGCGAGTCGCCAGTGGTAAGGTCACCAGAGCAAAGCCCCTTGAGGCTGTCGCTATCGCGCCGTCATCGGAGACCCCCGAGGGCCTTATCTCATAGCCCATGACATTCACATCGGTAACCGAGTTTTTGTGTTGCTTGCATCTCAATCATGCCGGCCTAGCAGGCGGCTCTAGCACCCACCTTTACCCAGATGACGGTGGAATAGTTGGCGTGACGTGCGATGAGATGCGGCTTTAGCCTGTCTCAAACTCTCGCTAAGCCGCATCCCATCTGTTTGGTAGAGCTGTCTCGTACACTGCCTCGCCCCCTTCGGTGCTCGGCCTTCTCGCTGGCTGGCTGTCGGCCGACAGTTTAGCGCACAAGAAAAAGTGAGGGGGAAACTGTGGAGTGAGTGAGCCCTCGGCATTAGTCACTGTTAAAGGATTCTAAGTTTTGCTCGTGATTGCATCCTGTGAGCTACGGACGAACGGCTGTTTTTTTTTTTTGATGGTGTTGATGGATTTGTTTTACAAATCGTGTCCAGTCGATTAGCTGTGACTGGTGTTGCATTGGTGTGCTTGCGTATGCTCAGATAGGCAACTGGGGGGATGATGGGCGGAGAAACGTCGGCCCCTGCCTGCGAACTTGACACTGTGACCTCTGCGCCGATTGCATCATGGTGTGCCCGCTACCGCGACCCCTTCTTAAAGAGAAAATAATCAAAAATCGTTTGCACCACCGTATAATGCAAATAGTGTCTTGACAGTGGAATGACTTAAGACGAAACAAAGTCTCGAAACACTAAACCGGCACAATGCGCCATTGCAATTTGGCCTTGTTGGTCCTGCTGCAGCTTGGCCACGCATCCTCCAAGAGCTTCAGCATCCACGAGGACATCTTTGCGTTCCCCCAAGTACGTCCCTCAGACCATACTTCGCCATCTTTCTATACAGAATTTACTAACGGTTTTCACAGTATGAAGTTGTTTTGGCCGATAGCACGATACCCGAAAGCGACGCGCAGTCCATCATCGCCAACAGCCAAGCCAGCTCGATACCGGATGCCTCCAAGCAATCTGTAGGAAATGACGGCAATGATGATACCGAATCCTTCACTTACGAAATAATGAACTTACCGCCGAACCGATACTTATGTTCGATACCCCATATTCCACCACCTGCGCCAGAAAATGAAACAGCAACAGAGGTCGCCATGGCGCAACAGGCTGAAGAATCCATTCGTGCTGCCGCAAGTGGCTGGGACTTGGTTGCTCAACCAAAGGGAGGTTGCCTCTACTTTGTGTCAGGTTGGTGGAGCTATAGCTTTTGCAATAACCGCAAGGTTGTGCAATACCATGCGATAGCAAGCGGCACACCTGGCCAGCCGCCAACACCTGACCCGTCAATGAAGGAGTACGTGCTCGGCAGCGAACGGACAATCCCAGATTCAGCAAAATCCGAGACAGCGGCTAGCCCTGAGACTGACGCTGTGCCCGCTGAGCTGCAAGTCAACGGCGACAAGCCGTATCTGACGCAAAAGCTTGTCGCTGGAACCATTTGTGATCTGACTTTGCGGCCTCGAACAATCGAGGTTCAGTATCACTGCGTTCCTGGGATGAAGGGCGATAAAATTAGTTGGGTGAAGGAGGTTACGATTTGCTCCTATGTGATGGTTGTCAATACTGGCCGACTTTGCGACGACGTCGCTTTTCGACCTCCCGCCGTATCAAAGCCAAACCCCATCAGCTGCCAGCTTATCGCCGAATCTAGCCCATCAAGCTTGCCAAGGATAGAGTATGGCAACTTTGACTTTGCAGCTCTAAAAGCCCAAGACAAGGCAATGGCAGAAACCGACAAGAAGCTCTTGGGCGAGAGGCGCCAAGTCGTTGGCGATGTCACGGTTGGTTCGAGAAACATCCTGGCGGACGGCGATGAGCCTGGCAAACCAAAGATCAAGGTTGCACCGTCACGAAACATAATCAATACCTACGCGTCTGGCGACTACGAAATTCTTGAGATTATTGCGCGAACAGCCACAGCAGAAGATGGCAAGGAACCAGTTATTGAGGTACTGGGCGATGAAGAGCTGCGAGAGTTGAATCTCAAGGGTTCACAGATTGAGGCCATGGTGCAACGACTAGAAGAAATATCCGGGGGTACGCCCTGGAAGCTTGTCTTGGTCCAAATGACAGAGACGGGAACCAGGGAGCTGAGAGTGTTTTATGGCACTGACGATGAGGAAGAACAAGATGTCGATGTTGAGACAACAAAGAAGAAGACCGATGCGGTGCCTAAACTGGGGAAGAAGAAGGAAAAGGAAACTACAGGGAAGACGCAGACTAAAACCACGAAGAAGGCCAAGACTAAGGCGAAGGATACCAAGGCGAAGGATACCAAGCCAAAGGCCGAAGAGGAAGAGGTCTTGGAGGAGGAACAAGGAAGCACAGAGGAATTCTTCAAAGATGAACTATAGAGTAAGCAGACTCTGGAGAGTCTGTTATTAATGTACATTGTCAAAACAAACTATAAACGGCGCCGCCAATCGAGGACCATCCCTTGTAGCTCTGGGGGTTCTGTGCATCCTGTCGCACCAGCTCCAATTGGGTCCCAGCCCAGCCTTGCGAGCATGTGTTGTGCGTGCGCTTTTCGAACTGGTTCGCAATGGCGCCCTATCATCTCCTAGTAAGCTCGGCACATCTAGCTGAGCGTATGTGTGTGTTTTGCATCACTTCTACCGAAGGCACTCAGGCGCTGCCATTGGCGAGCCGTAGCCCAGTTTTAGCGGCTTTGCCGGGCCGGCGCCGTGCCCCGGATGGTGGAACGAGGCTTGATTGGCTGCCTGGTGTGCTCAAAGTGCCAACAGTGGAGCGTCCAGGAACAAAGTGCCACTGGGAGCCAACGGCCAGGGGCAAATCCAGGAAGCTATTTGTTTGCGACAACAAGGGGGCAGCGCCGGCCGTTGTAAGGGCGGATGCGATTTCAACCATCTAAAACAGTTGTGCATTGAAACTAACCAGTGGATGCAGCGTTCAGATGGTTGACGTCGCTTTGCAGTAGGCCGCTTCTCCAAATGCTGTCCATCCGCACTGTCGGTGTGCGCGAACCAACATGCGGTCAGGGTGAATGTGCCAAAAGGGCAAACATGATTTTTTTTTTCCTCGTTACGCCACAAACTATGCAGAATGCGCATATATCGTACGGTTATCTCTACGCGGGCCTAGACTAGCCCCAAGAAACTCTGCACGAACCAAGTGTGCTGATCATTTGCTGAAAAAGACAAAGAAAGGCAAGCAAACCACAAACTGCCGGTCCAGCACGGCCTATGGCTCCTATTCTGCATTCTGCGTGACTATTTTTGGTTCTTTTCTCCCTTTAGCTTCTTTGCCCTTTTCTCATATTTTCTTTTTTTTTCTAATGTACTATATTCATGCAGCACATGGTGTTTGTCTTCAAGCTCTGCAGTGCTTTCTTTTTCTTGTTGGCACCTAAAGTGCTTTTCCCCCACCAAAAATCACTCCATCCCGCTGCACGGCCCGCACGCCAGTAGAGCCGACACCCGCTGGATGGCGCTGAGTGCCCACTAAACAACCCCTGACGGCCCGCCTAGCCTGCTCCACTGTCCCTGCTTGCTGGGTCGCCAGCCATCTTCTTTTTTTTTCGACACTGCTGCCAGCTGCGCCAGCTGGTGACCATTCGCTCGCTGCCAGGCTCCCTTTTTTTACTTTCCGGAAATCACCTGCATCATTCTTTTTCAATGCATGGTTGCATATCCGTATCCTTTCTATTTATTCTTTTATTCGGCTTTAGCTATTATTCTTTTCGTTCATTGGCTACCACACTCCCACGCACCACACAACTTTGTCCCCTTAAACTCCAGCACTCGTGCCATACTCAAGTCCTTGGCTCGAACTTTCAGCACGCACGCACGCAAAGACACACACCGACTACACAAATTCAACTACCCACCATTGTTATTCTTAAAAGTATCGATACTGCGAACTGATATGCTTAAATCTCGAACCTCGTCATCTTATTCGCCACAACCCCTCCATTGTGTCCTCCTGGTTTGAATCAAAACATCCGTGTGAGACATTCTGCCGAACTGCCCCTTCGAATGCAGTCAACAAATTGAATTCCTGTTACGCCGCCCTTGCATGCGAGAATTGTTTCCCCGATAGTCATCTGCGTTTCTATTATTATTGCGACTGTCCACAACACCCTCGGCGTCCATTTCATCATCGATGTGACGCAGGTTGTTGCTCAACCCACTGTCAAGCGAGGCGATACAACACTCGACTGATACAACCTAATCTCGCGAAATAGGAGACAATCACACCTCACTTGCGACGATAAACAAAAACACAAAGTATTCCTCATTGCTCTTGCAGCACGCAGAATATGCAATACAGACGTATTGCGAGGCCAAACTAGAACAAACACCGCTACACGACTGGCGAGAGTCTGCGGGCAGCTCTTCGCCTATACGCACCTATTCCAAACCATCGAACTTTACAACTCGCATAGAAACACTTTATTTCAGCTGTTGTCAATATGGAAGGCTTACAATCGCAGAGGCCCCGACAGTCGTACCAGCGCTCTCAGTCTCGAGGATCGCTGAACACTGTCAGCAGCAATACACGCAGTGTTAGTAGCTCGGCGTCTTATATTCCACCCTCACCCGGCCGATCGCATACTGCCCAACCATCACACCGACAATATAATATCGTTTCAAATGGCTCACCACGCCAACTTTCTAGAGAGACAAGTGCTGAGCTCAAGAAACAGGCTGTTGTTTCAAGCCTGCTCAACGAAAAACTGCAACGCGAACGCCGCGCCGAAAGTGAGAAGCTGGGATCTTCAGTCTCATCACGAACCAATTTTGATCTGAGCGCTTCAATGCATCTGGACCGCACTGATACGCGCTCTCCCTTTAAACAAAGCGATCTTGATCTGCCCAGACCACAGTCGAGCGCCGGTGTCGACATGGTTAAAAAGAGGGGAATGGCTGTGAAGGAGATGGAGCAAGTTGTATCAGGCTTGCATAAGCAAAATTTTGATCTCAAGTTGGAGCTCTACCATCGTCGCGAGCGACAGACAAAGATGGAGGAGCGCATGGAGCTGATGGAGCAAGAATTCAAAGAAGCCAAAGAAGCGCAAGAAATGAATACCCAGTTGCGAGAACAACTTGAGCAGCGCGACAAGGCTATTGAAGAGGCGGTTGCCATGATTGTGAATCTCGAAGCCAGAGTCGACCAATTGATCAATGAAAGGAACATGGTCAAGCAGATAGAGACAGATGGCATATACGGAGGCAATGCTCCCTACCAAAGCAACAACAACGAACATAGCTCCCTCGAGGACAAATCGACTCACAATGGCGCCACATTGAACCGCATGCCAAGCTTCCTGTCCGATCGCACAGCAACAACAGAGAACCTCCGCAACGTCTATCTTGGTGTCCGCGGCAGCGTTTTGAGCTTAAGAAGGATATCTGGTGGGCCATCTGAGGCCGATCCTGCATACCTGGCAGCACTCGGAAGCCCAGCCCTCAGTGTCTTGAGCGAGAGTTCCTTTATGAGTATATACGGCCAAAAGGGTGGCGATACGACTGTTATTCCGGAATTTGATGAGCCTCTTTCTCTAGATGGCTTCGCTGAGTCGCCACGCAAGTCTCATCGAGCCAACTCATTGACAAGTGGTGTCAGCTCGCCAACCAAGACTAATGCCAATGTCTACGAAACGAGTCACTATGACCAACGACCTGCTCCCCCAGCTCACGGTCGCTCTCGCTCTACTGTTGTTGTAACACAATCTTCGACACCTGCTTACACAACAGCTTCACCCCGTCAAGAGCGCAGCTGGACACCAGAAGGAGATGCACCACAACAAGGAGCCTCTTTGCATCCCGCTGAAGTACACAAAGTATACGCTCATCGCTCTAAGAGAGACGAACGACGCGCAGCATTGAGCAAAGTAATCACCGATCACCCGGGAGGCGTTCGATTGTCCGACCAGGGTCTGCCACCAACACCCGATACTATCGAGTCATCTACTCTGCGACGACTACGAGGCTCCAATGAAGCGCTACCTCAGACCCACGATGCTTCCAGAGAACGCAGTTCGGCATCCTCTTCGCGCCCAGGTTCAAACAGAATCACGGGACCCGAACCTAGACGGCGCCAGCCCACGGCTGAGTCCTCTCACACCAACCAAAGCTTTAGACGCTCAATCGTCGAGGCAAACACACATGGCGCGCAGTATGAACCCTTCGCGGGAGCCTCAGTTCGGCGCCCGAGATCCGCTGCCGAGACAACATCTACCACCCACAAGCGACGACAATCCTGGGAGAGCGATGCTTCCGATGCAGACTCTTTTCAATCTAGCCTCGACATCTGGATGCGCGAGAGCACACAGCCGACAGTAATTGGACGGGGCTCGCCTGATTTGTTTGGTTTCCCAACAAACGCTGCTAATGGCAGCTGGGCAACCCAAACGCTCCTCAGCCCTGAGAATAAGTATCTTACGGCTGCGTTTGGCTCCATGCCCGGTGGTGACCAAATGCATGATTTGCTCTCTCTTCGTGAGGCGCTCTTCTCACCTAACCTCCCTCCACCTCCTCCCCATCGTCGATCCAGCCTTCACGCGCCAACGGGAGACTTGCCAACTGAGGGCAAGACAGACTCTGTTGACGAAACATCAACACCTCGACCTTCTCGCCGAATGAGCGAGACGGCCGTTCACCATGACGAATCTCGAACCCCAGTTCAAAACAGAGGCGCACAAGGCCCAGGTAGCGAGAAGCGAGCTAATCACCCGCCCATCTCATGGCAGCCTGGTCCACGCGCGGGCATTAAAAGTCTATTCCGCCGTTCTGTAGGATCCACCCCGGGTACATCCGACTCTGCTACGGGAAGCTCGGAGCCAATCTACATGGATCAGCCGAAGAAGGGCGTGCCAGTCGACGCATCAACCATTGTTTCGTCTGAGGCGAGCAATGCGAGAGCAACGCCGCCACCTATTTTGCTCCAGTCTCGACACGGAAGACGCAATTCTATCAGCACGGGGGTTGCATCTCCTAGACATGTTGTAGAAAATGGGAAAGGGTTGGACAGTGACAGAGGCATGCCACAGCGACCTCAGAGCGTTGCACACACTGGCGTCACAGCGTCCAGCTCGGGAGCTAGGAGAAAGTGGCTGACAGGATTTGGAAAGCAGAGCAAGGTCAACTAAATTGGAGGAAAAGGGTATTTCTATTTATTGTATTACTACATAGCATGGCTTAAACACGGCACAGCCGTACATTGCAACGGAGTTTTTAGGGATTGTATAGGACAGTATATCTGGAACCAAGTGTTTATAACAGACATTAGCACAATAACATTACTATTTTTACTACAACATGCCTCATTCTCCATTGTAGATACGCATAGGCAAAGCTTATACCCGCTATAGAGGACGTTTCGCTAAGCCCACTAGCTATTTATACTTCTATCACATTGAATGCGAAGAGTGTTCCTCCTCGCTTACAACGGTCACGGTCAACCCATGAACATCCGCAATCGACTTCAGCTTTGCGAGGCGCTCTTCATGCTCTTCAACAGGGCAGCCCATGAAATCAACATGTCGAACACGCAGCTCAACACGCTCTAACAGCGGGAAGCACTTCTCTCGCTCGTCCTTGAACGCACTAAATAAGTCCTCCACGCACTCGTAATTCTCAGTAGAAATGTGCAGCACAAACACCCGCAATGACGGTGGTAGCAAGGAATGCAGCGCCGGCGCCGCTTCCTCCCAGTCCGGATTATGTCCGAAAAACACACCGTCTACCTCCAGGTGCTGCAGCGATTGGAAGCCATGCAGCGGCGAACGGATGGGGGAACCGTCGTCCCAGACCATGCCCGCTAGTATAGCTAGCTTCTCGAGCGATGGTGCAGCGGGAGTAGACGCGAGTGCCTGCAGGAACTCGTCGGCGTCCCATTCCTGGCCGAAGGATTCCATGGTGTGGTGCCGGTACTGCAGCACAGTCAGACGCTCCATGTTGGAGAAGAATGGCTGGCAGGCGCCAGGGCTGATGATGCAGTGGTCTAGTGCCATGAGTTCGACGGTTGCACCAAGAGCATCATATTGCCGAGGGCCATTCTCTGCGCTGCGCCATTCATCATCAACGTTGTCATCTTCCTCGTCCTCGTCGTCCTCCTGAGCTTCGTCTTCAGAGTCGGCTTCTTGCTCATTCTCTGATGCTCCATCATCGTCCTCCTCATTTGAAGCCTCATCATCGTCATCGCCCTCTTCCTCGCTTTCCTCGTCACTGTCGTTCTCATTGTCCTCTTCACTATCCTCTGACGAATCAACGTTATTTTCCGCTGATGGAAAGTCGCTCACGTCAAGAGTGCCAAAGTCGTGAAATACCCTGCGCAGTGACTTGAGCGTTAAGAACGGGAAGATGGATACAAGGTTATCTCCAAACTGCGTGTCCACACCGCGTATGGGACGCAATGTATGCAGCTTAGACAATGGCTGCCCAGTCAAATCCTCCCTATTGGCCTGTTCTACCATGTAATGTATAAACTTTCGAACCAGGGGTGCTGTCTTTTTGGCAAGTAACACCGCATTGATCTCGTCCTCGTCCTCATCCTCGTCTTCCTCCTCGCTGTAATAAACATCCTCGCCATCGGGGTCTGGCCTGACTGTCACCGCCAGCCAGTCGCGCGACAGTGCCAATGACTCTAAATTGGGCAGCAACGACAACAAAAAGGCCGCTGCAAAGTCTATAGACTGCCCATCCTCGAAATCGGCCGACTCCATGAGTATGCAATTGAACCAGTCCTTGATCTTGCTCTCCGGGATGTTCAGCTGTGCAAAGTACGGTGACTTGCACATCAGCTGCAAAAGCGCGTCCGAGTGTGCCTCCAGTTTGGCGCGAACGACTGCTTCCCAGTCACTCTCTTCCTCGTAGACGAGATTGAGCGATTCTCTGTTCTCCAAGTCTAGGTGAAGAATGTACTCGGCGATGATGGGGTCTACCGCGATGTCGCACAGCAGCTGCGGAAGTGTGTAGGGCTCAAGGGAGGTATTTCCGGTTAAGCCGTTCCTCTCTGGCAGACGAAAGCTGCGATACTGTTTGCGGAGCGCATTATGCCGTGGCAGCAGCGGCTTCGCGGTGGTGTAGAGGAACTTGCATGTTTTGGCGCACGCTTCGAAGTCGTAGGGCGAGACTAATTGCCAGATCTGATGAAGGACGTCAAAGGGCAGCTTCTGTAGGCTCATGATGGTTGCTTGATTCGTCCCCTATTATACTGACTACAGTAATATAGACACTAAAGATACGAAGGAAATGGCGGTACGGCTCAGGATTTATATCATCCTTCACGACTGTCACGTTAATATATGAGAGCGTGAATTCTGTGGCTCTATGATAAGAACTTTAGGCACCGCCACTTTTCACTGTGAACCCCAATTAATATCTGGGGCTCGGCAGTTTGTCTTATGGGGCTTTCAATCTCGAATTGCTACTGTAGACCAATCGATCACGACGTAACCCCCTTTTATGAACCCACTAATACGAGAACGTCCTAAAAAATGGCCAGATGTATCGCAAAAAGTACTACAGTAGAGCCTGGAGCACCCCACTGAGGCTGATCGTTCTATCGCCTAGGAAGTTCAAGCACAGGGCTGCGATTTTGCTTTGCTGCCTAAAACGGCGATGGAAACCGTCTAATACGGGATGCGTCAACAGCGCCTTCTCGATTTTATGAGTATAAATCTTCTAATGTTATCCTATTTTCAATCATATGATATCTTCGTATCTAAAACGCCCGTAGCTAATACTTTATGTAATACTTTTTTCTAGTAGCGATAGACTTCGCAACGACACATTCAAGGATTAATCACTGTGGGTAAAATACAGTATTGTTCAAAGATGTTCATGGTATTCTGGCCGAGCCACTGCTAAGCTTTCGTAACTTTATATACAAAAAATGTGCAATATGTGTTATTAATGTACAGCCCATCCATCATACCAGTGTAGCTGTAAACAGCTTAAGCAAACTCCCAGTCAGCCTGAACACGGCCAGGGCCGAGGGAGCCAACGAGCTTCTTGAAAGCGGAGGGGGAGAGGTCGAGGGAGTTGTCGTTGCAGCCACCGCAGCGGTCGACAACCTTGACGTTGACGGTCTTGCCCTTGTAGTGGACGTTGATGTGCTTGCCGCAAGGGTGCTGCTTGTCGTAGAGGTTGTGGCCAACGGCGGCAACCATCTCGTTGTCGTTGTTGGTCTTACCGCAGGCACCTAGACCGACCTGTAACCCAACGTCGTTAGCTCGTGTATTATTGATGGTTTGTATCATCTGTCAACTCACGCTGTAGTAAGTAATGTCACCGTGGTTGGCAACAACGCCGGTAGCGGCGGCGGCAATGAGGGCAACGGCCTTGAAGAGCATTTTGAAGAGATGGAAGAGATACTGAGGAAGATATGTCTTAGGATCAGAAGAAGAAAAGAGCAAAGGAACAGGATCTCGCGCGGCTTATATAGACAGCTGGGGTCTATGGGAAGGTCGACGGACAGATGCCGGCAAGGGACCTGCTGGGGACTAACACCCGGATCATTAGGACCTTGGTGGCTGAATTAGAGCCAACCATTGCGATCAGGTGGCAGGCTAAGTAGGTTCGACCTATGCTTGTTCAGTACTCGGGTCCATCTTACTTGCATGGGCGCTAATTGACCAGCTGCGACAGCTTGACTCGATGAGGGGATCAAACTGCGATGATCAGAGGGCCCTCAGCCCATGAGAGCCTCCCAATCCTCCAACGTGCTCACCAGGACCGTCGATAACCTTGAATTTGTTCCGCGGAACTTGGAGATATGGTAGCATCCGGAAATATATCGAGGACAACCCGTGAATCAGAAACAGCCTGTGTAAGGGGCGATGAGCCGAGTATAGCTCCATGGGGCTGAATATACACGGGCAGGCAAGCTTAGCTAGCTCGGCTCGGCTCCAGCTCTAGCCTCCGGCACTTTGTGGCTCGTTTGCCCAGGTGTGCTTCATGCTGACAATCCTTAACTCTACCGCCACAAAGGGCTAGGCCCAGCAAGAAGCTTTCGAATTGTCAAATAGCGCAAGAGTGGCTTCTTTGTTCCACCAATCGATGCTTGGGCAGGGATAAAGGACCCCGAAACAAGATGATAGCCTATACCACGTGCAGGAAAGACCATGGCTGGAATCACACCTCAGTGGGCGCAAATGTGGAAGGTCGATGGGATCGTACCCAGTTCCCCCACTCGCAAGGCGAGACCTTTTTGGCTCAGTTGGGCCAGGCTGGCTCTGGTGTTGGAGGCGGCTGGCGCATTACGAAATCTACGCGCCAGCGCCTATAATTGCATTGTTACTGGTCCAATTGTGTTGACTAGATGCCAAAGACGGCTCAATCTGCAGTGGTTTGAGATTATCAATTGGGCAATGAGATAGACAGTAGCATATGTGTCCATTTGCGAGCAATCTATTTGCCCCAGCGGACTGGAGCCGAAGGCTGGGGATACTCCATGTTTCGGGACTTCAGCTGGTCGGGACTAGTTTGCATTGCATCGTGGGCGGGCGGGTGTAAGCAAATAGCTCAGGTTAGTACCCCGTGGGTAGGCTATTATTGTTTACTGAGCCAAAGCAGCAAAAACCCTGCTGCTGCCTGGTCCATCGTCCCCAATGGCGCGAATAATGCCGCAGGTGTGGTTGCCAGCCTCCTATGGTTACTAAAACCAGGTGATGAACATTGTGTGATAACCCACATGTGCCTTGCCTACAGTATTTGTATAAATTCTTAGATGCTTCAATTGCCAATATTCATCCAATGGATAGCAGCGCCATATGCCAGGTGCAATAAAGGGCGGTCGATGGTCTGCTGACTCGCCAAGCGCCGCGCTTTGACTCAAGCACGATATTGGGAATAGCACGATGTTCAAAGTGTGAATAACGAACCACGAATACAAGTATGGGCGATATGAGCGGCTAAACTTGCTCTGTGCCGTTCGCACCGGACGAACGCCATTTCCGCTCAGCGCCCGGCACTCGCGGACGCTCAGAAGAAACAGGCTGAAAACAATTCGTGGCTGTTCGGCCTTCAAGGGGGTCCCGTAACTCGTGGCGTGCCTGGCCGATCGATCTCCTAGTATAGAAAATTGGTGCGCCATCGATGGGTACCGTGTCCCAGGCGAGGAATGTGGTTCGTTGGGGCCCTGCTGCAGCCAGCAAACGCGTCTTGATCATCATCTGTGCAGTGTAGTGCGCCCTGTAGATCTGATCTGCGACGATTTTATATCTTTCTCCATCATGTATTGAACCTGAGTCTACAGCGATTGATGGTCGATTTTCGTAGCGTTTCTCAGCAGATGAGTCGCCGATTTTTCTAGGCAAGGCTCTGGGCGTCACCATCAACCAGCAATAGTGTCGTCACTGGCCTCATATTCAATATAACTTGATAAAAAAAGAAAAAGGGTAGCCCGCCACGTACATTTGATATTGTATGCTTCAGCACCGTTTGTCTGGCACAGCGGAAACTTAAAGGGTCGCCTGGAGAATGGCAATTTGCGGATGGTGCAATTGGCAGGGTGGAGCAGGCGAATCAGGCTGCAAAAGGATACCCGCCGACTGTGTTTTTCCTTATCTCTTTTTTTCTTGGCGGCCGTGCAGCATCAAGGAAGGGAAAACGAGTAGTCATAATTTACGCTGCGGACGCTAGCCTCGCCGTTTGTCTTCTTCCTCCTTCACCAAAACCAGGTGCTGGGACACGAAAGTGAGAGAAAGCATCACGGCGCATTCATTCTGATTTTTTTTAATGCTCCTTTCTTTGCTATTTACTCCGCCTCGCTTCCATCTCAGCGTATCGCGACAGCAGTCTTGCCGCCCGCTCCGGAGGCTCCGCGTATTTTAGGGGCCCAGCACCCAGACCGACCATGAAACTCGAAAGTCATCAATAAAATTGCAAAAGAAAGCTAGCAGAAATTACGACAGACAATAACAAGAATACGAGGGATGCGGACCGTACTACGCGCAAACCTCGTCTTCTGGACCTTGTGGTCCGCAGCGCTGCTATGGAGCTACTTCAACTCCTATGACGACCCTTCCTCCATCTTCTACAACCGCGACCTAGCATACACCGAACGATATTCCAAGACCCGAAAGAAGCAAGTCGATGCGTTTCTCCACGATATAGAGAAAAACGACTACCTACACAAATACAAGGGATCGCACAATAGTACCCGAAGGGGCCAATATCTCTGCATAGGCATTCCCAGCGTCAACCGCGCCTCGGAAGCTTTCCTCACACATACGGTGGGCAGCTTAGTACATGGTCTGAAACCTGCGGAACGAAAATCTATACATATCAACGTCTTGCTGGCCGATAGAAATCCAGAAGAGCACTTTGCCTATGGTGAAGAGTGGCTGACAGATCTCGTGGACCAAGTGCTGGTCTACGGAGAGGCCAACTCCACCCATAATGAAGGCTACAAGACAATCCCTTATAAAGAGCGCACAGACCGCGTAGAAAGCATGCGAATGGACCATTCCGCGCTGGTCGCGGCTTGCCAAGAAACCGGTTCTCGTTACTTTGCGCTTATTGAAGACGACGTTATCGCATCGCCCGACTGGTTTCGCAAGATGAAAGCCGGCCTCGCCCAAGTGGAAGCCAAGTCGCGAGAGTCGGGTAGGGAGTGGGTATACCTCCGTTTATTCTACTCGGAAACATTCATGGGCTGGAACTCGGAAGAGGCACCGACGTATATGGGATATATTGCGCTGCTATACGCTGTCATCTTGGTTGTATGTATCCAGCTGTGGCGAAGGCGGCGAAGGCCTGGCTATCAAAGCCTGAAGCCAACGGCACAGTCGCCGCATACGTTCAACTATATTATCGCGCTAGTCATTGGGCTCTGGACACCTGCTGCCATTGCCCTGTTCTTCTTGACGGGTCGGGTCACCATAAATCGACTAAACCCCTTCCACGGCTCTGGTATCCGCGAGATGCCCCGGTACGGCTGCTGCGCACAGGGCCTTGTTTTCCCTCTGCGGCAGCTCCCTGGCTTCCACCACCTGCTCACCACGCCGCCGTTCGACTTTCCTGGCGACATGATTCTCGAGGGATGGGCTGGCAACCACGACTACAGCAAATGGGCACTAGACCCCAGCGTGCTGCAGCATGTAGGCCTGAAGCAGTCCTCAGAAGGGCCCAGGCTGGCCGAAATTTGGAACTTTAGCTTCGAACGACGACCATACGCACCCTCCTTCTGGTAACGATGCTCAATCTGCACCTTCTTTTCCTTCCTATATCATTGGCTAGGAATCCGACGTTTAATCACACGCCCTTTTATTCCCATCCTCTTCGTTGGCGTTTTTTACGACAGCATCAGTATCATAGCTTTTTTGGTTTTTGTTACTTGGTCACAAGCGTGGGCGTTAGTAGACCGGCACTTAATGAAATGACTTTTATTGTATCATTCACATCGGCATATCCCATTGTTAAATCCCGTCTCGCCATTGTCGCGTGCGAAGCTTGCCGTTGTTACATTCAGGTGGTGATAGTAGCACTGCTAACAAGCAGTAGACCGAAGATCAATGCTTCTAGAAAAGCGGTGGTGGAGGGGTGTGCATATTACATTGTAATAGTAAAAGCATTATTCGGGAATTTTCGGGCCGCTTTACCCCAGAAAACAACTGGCGGCAGGAAAGCAGGAATCCCCAGCAATGGCTTTTTACTGTACACGGCACAGACGACCGCCTTTTTCCTGCGATCGGCTAGCATTGCCGGCGTCCGGCGGTGGACGGTGGCCGGCAGAATTAAGGTTAGCGGATGGCAGGTGAGACAACAAAGAGCTGCGGACAAGGGCCAATAGTGTTGAGGCGATGAGACGTCTTGGCTCAGCTTGGTCTAGACCAGCCAAGGCGCTATGTTGTCTGCAATGGGTAGGGGGAAGAGGACTACTGTACAGTACAACACATGCATGCAATGTCCGCTTTCGCAAGCTTAAAGCGACTACTGCACCGCTAGCCGGGATCACGGGTGGCTGAGTATGCAAGGTGTCCGGGCGATGCATGTTGCGAGATTGATGGTTCAGCTTGGCGGTGGCGGTTCCCGGGGTGCAAGGTTTGGTAGGAAAATTGCAATGCAGTATTTTGTGATATGTTGGGACAGACGGCTGCTTGTTCCAAGGGGGGGCGGTATACACCACAAAGATCGACATGTGAATACTGGACTGAGTGGCTAAAACATAGGCTGAGTTGGCAGGCATGCATGTCACAGCTGATTGGAGATGGATAAATGGAAAAGATGTAAAAAGAGTCTCATATTTGGTTGTTCATTAACTGTCTCATTATAAGAGAGATCATCGCTATACAATTGATGTGTATCATGACAAAAGAAAAGAAAGAAAAAAATATATCCTGGGCCCGAAAATGTAATAGAAAATGTGAAAAAAGGATGCTCCGTATATGCCAAGTTAGTTTTTTACACGCCGTTGGCGAAGGAGAGACCACCGGCCTGCTGGTCAACAGTCATGGAGTGGTTGAGACCGCAAACCTCAAAGAGACGGACGGGGGTGAGATCCTTGGGGGTACCAACGATGCCCTTGTTCTTGAGGAGGGTGAGGGTCTCCTTGATGGCTCTGTAGGCAGGGGCAATGGTGGCAAAGGAGAAGATCATGATGCGGAAGCCCATCTCGCGGGCCTCGTCGACGGTGATGGTAGGGCTAGCGCCGTTCTCGACACTGTTGAGGAGGAGGGGCCAGCCCTCGAGGTCCTTGACGGCCTGGGCGGCCTGCTCCTTGGACTTGAAGCCCTCTAGGAGACCAACGTCGGCACCGAGGTCACGAGCAGTGCGGAGACGCTCGATGCACTCGTCGTAGCCGAGAGATTGGAGAGCGTCGGTGCGGGCAATCAGGACAAAGTCGGACTTGAGGCGGAGACGGGCAGCATGGGCAGCGCGGATGCGAGCGTAGTACTCCTCGCGGGGAACAACCTTCTTGCCGGAAAGGTGACCGCAGCGCTTGGTCAGGACCTGGTCCTCAAGATGAGCGCCGGCAACACCGGAGCGGATGTACTGCTCGACGGTGCGGGCAGCCATGATGGGGCCACCGTAGCCGGTGTCCATGTCGGCAATGAGAGGAGGGCCAAAGGGGTCGAGGTTGGCAATCATGTCGGCGTTTTCACGCATCTCGTGGAGCTGGGCGATGGCGAGATCAGGCTGGCCGAGGCGGGAAGCGGTGGTACCGGCACCAGTCTGTGGGAAGGTTAGTATGATGAATGGGTGTGTATATGTTTTTGTGGCAAAGACGAACCATGTACATGGCGTTGAAGCCAACTTCGATGGCAGTGCGGGCAGAGAGGCCATCGTAAACACCGGGGCAGACAATGAGCTCGTTGGTCTCGAAGATCATCTTGCGGAGCTTGGTGGCGCCAGAGACGGGCTCCTCAACAAGAGAGTCGAGGACATTGGTGATGGCTGTGTTGTGCTTGATGCCGTTGGTGGTGGCGGCGCGCTGCTCGGAGACGAGGCCGATCTCCTCAACGACGGGATCAGAAGGACCGTTCAACATTTTGAATAGATGGGTGAGGTGTAAAAGAAGAAGAGGATATAAGTATATAAAAGGTTGTAAAGAGGAGGATGGAAAGATGTATACAAAAGGGGAGATATCAAGTCGAAGCGAGACAGCGGGATCACCAACTTATATACTTTGATCGTACAAGTTGAATCCCGGTCATACTGTGTCTCTCTCTCCCCCAACGCATAAACGAATCTCTCAGCAAGAGAGTAATAGACGCGGCGGTCCTCGCTCGCTACCCTATGCCCAGAGCCGCCGCCCAGCCCCAACCCAGGACTCCATACTAAGCAACGTGCTGCTGAGAATCCACAGACACACTTGGGGGTACAAGGGAGGTGTGTGCGTAAGTCTGGTCGATAGGTGAGAGCAGCGTGGGGTGGAATGGCCAGAGCTAAGATGATCTCCATCAAGTGGTAGTCAGGCTTGGCACACTCCGTATCAGACGCTGCGGTCAGCCGTTTAGCTGGTGTCTCGGGTTCCTACGGGACCCAGGTCAGGGACGGGGGGTGGGTGGCCAGCATCTCAGCATGGTCTATCTGCGTAAGAAGAGCGTATGGAGGGAAAGGGGTATGAGAACGGGGGGTGTGCACATAAGCCGTTCCCAAGAAGAACTGAGCAGACAAACGGGGACGATGGATTGAATTGGATCTGAGTTTCTGGCTGGCGGCATCTCTGCAGCAAGCAGTGACCGATTTGGTATGTGTCGGGAGGGCAAGGGACCCGGCGGTTTACTTCGGTGTGGTGTGGGTGAGTGAGTGAGTGAGCACACCTTTGCCTAGCCAGCCCAGCCTATTGGAGTCCACTTATTGTATTACTCGTTGGATAAGACGGAGTTGATGGGCCGGCGGGCAGTCGTGGCCGGGATAGCCCTTGTATTGGCTGGTTTGGAACGCATGCTTATAGAAATATTATGCTGAATGGCGGTTCAATATGTCAATATCTGATGCCTTGCGTGCCAATATTATCAGCCTCTTTTGGGGTGGTGGGAGGGAACCGTCGCAGCCATGGAAGAAGAACAGGTGTGTGTTTTGGAAAAACATGATGCATGAACACTGTTTGCTACAGTTCATGTTTGCTTAGCGAAAATTAGAGCCTTATTCTGAGTCCCGGTCATTCTTGGCAGCGGTGGTGCAAGAGAAACCTTCTGGAAAGTCGCCAGGATGTCTGGCTGCGTACCCGGCGTAACATCTTGACCGGTGGAAGAGGGCCGGGTGCCGCTGACATGCACGACGGCGCCGGAGGAGGAGGGCGGGAAAGGATTAGCAAACAGGCCTATTGAAATCCCGAGACTCGGACTTGGCTTGGTGGTGTGTTCATGGGCATGGGGGCCGGATCGGACAAGGAGGGGGGGATGGATGGAAATGGCTGGGTGATTGCCGGGCCGGGTATTGGCAATCGGGTGTGTGTGCGTGTGTTGAGAGGTCCCCTTAGTGAGAATTAGAGTTAAGGATAAGCGTTTGGGCTTGGCGGAAGCGCGCCCAACAATCGGGAGGGGGTTCGTTTGGCCACAGGCAGTAAAGCAGAGAAGCGATGTGTTTGTGGTGGAGATGCATCGTGATGGGGCCCGCGCTGGGCGAAAGAGGGGCCGGCAGCATAAGACTTTAGTAATACGCTAAGCGCTATATTACTTGGCCCTGCGCCTAGTGGGCTGGCTGCTGGCTGTACTGTGAGGGGGGGAGGGGAGGGGGTTTTGCTATACAATGTACAAAATTGTAGTCAAATATGTATTTTAACGACTGTTTTATAGTGTATCATATTTTACAAATTATTTTCATCTGGATTTTTTTTTCTTCACCGTGGCTGTACATGTACACCTTGAGCCCGGCCTATGTGTCTGCAAATGACGCCTGTGGCTGCGGCTGCTGTGAAGTGGTGGTTTCCTCTTTGGGCGCTGTGCTGCTGGGCTCATTGGCCCGCCGGCTTCGGAGGGTGTGGGTGGTGGCGGGGCAGCGCAGCCTTTTCCTGATTGACAGCGGCCACTTGCCCTGTAGCCCGCTACAACTACAGCGCTGCAAGGGCCCGGAAAATGGCACTGTGCTTGCTCCCAACGGTGGGCGATTGCGTGATGAGTGTGAGGCAGGGCCGTAGAGGTGCACTGTGTGAGTCTGGGTATTAGTGTCGCTGCATCAAGGCTGCCACACTCCTTTTGCAACATAGCTTGGTTTTATAGCTGCAGAGAATTTGGTGGTATTTTTTTGGAGGTGAGGAGAAGCCTGAAGTGATTGCTAGCCAGGACAGACGGAATGTCGCAGGTTGTAATACTGTAACTTGGTAGACAACGGCCTGTTTATGCTGTCATGGGCAGCCATGGGTTTCCTCTTCTGTGCATTTGGTTTCATATCGTTTTTTGTATCATCTCAGCCCTCTTTTTTCTTCATGCCGGCCTATCGCTCTACTCGGTGCTGTCGCTACTACTACTGATGCTGATGCTGCTATTTGCTGGGATAAGCCATGATTCACACACAACATCACCGCCACACCACACCAACCCAACCGACCCTTCTCCTGCATGCAACAGGGACATACGCGATATCACGCTGCATATGCACGCTTGTTCATACCACACACTCCGCCCACCCAATCGTACAATTAGCTGGTTCAACCCTATTCCGACCCTCTCCGCCCGCTAAAACGCCAAGCTGTACGTTCTCTCATGCTCAGCCAAGCGCTAGTAGTCAGACTACATCCGGCAAATCCTCGTCTGCCTCTGATTATTAGTCCTCGCATCAGACTGTGAGTGTGCCCGGATCCTCTTTTTCTTACATTTCGCCGCTGCTCCTCTCACTTTGTCTTATCCTGTTGATCTTTTTTAGTGCTCTCTCGTACATTTTTTTATTCCTTTTTGGAATCTTCCATTTAGCATCCCCAAGCGTCTTGACTCTTACTAGTAAAATCCACACCCCCCAACTACATCACCTAATTATCGTGCGCCCCATCGCCCTGTAAACCTTATCAGCCACACCACCTTTTTCGGACCACGCCCCCCGAAAACTGGCACCCGGCTTACTCTGTCCGGCACATTCCCTCTGGCGCAATTTCCTGACAAGCGTCAACTCTCTTTCTTCTTTTTTTTTTCTTCTTCTTCTTCTTCTTCTTCTTCATTCTTGGTTTCTTCACCAACAATTCTAAGCCTCACCTGCAGCAGCCATGGCTACTCCCGTCGACCAGTCCAAAATGGACGTAAACAACACCTCCAACTCCAACTCAGACACCGAAAGCGCTGGTGGTCCTCAGATCAAGCCTGCTCGCACCATGACACAGCGCATCTCAGAGGAACTCGACACCACGCTCGCCTTTATTCCCATGCTGGTTTGCTGTTTTATTTCTGGTTTGACGGATGGTACCATCTACGGAGGTGAGTTTTTTACAGTCCTGGTCTCTCTTTTGTTTGTCGCCTGCTAACATTGACGCGTAGCCTACGGAACCTTCGTTTCCATGCAGACTGGTAAGCTGAAAAGGAAAAAAACACGGCGCTGTTCGCCGGTTTCGCGCGCAGCCACAAGCACGCAAGCCTCGCGGATAGCCGCGCGATAGTGCCTATTGGACGATGAAAAAAATAGGCGTCTAACCACACTCACAGGTAACACGATTTTCGTCGCCCTCGGTTCGTCTGGCTTCAACAACAAGCCCCTTGGTTGGGCACGATCTCTCCTTTCCATTGGTTGCTTCGCCATCGGATCCCTCTCCTTTGCTCGCCTCTATAAGTTCCTCGGTCCCAAGCGCCGCGGCACCCTCATGTTCTCCTTCTTCCTCCAGGCTGTTCTTGTAGCCATTGCCGCCGGTATCGTCCAGGGCGGCATTCTCGACGGAACCTACCCCTCGCATCGCCCCGCCGGATCGGTCGATTACAACGAGTTCATTCCTATTGCCCTGCTCAGCTTCCAGGCCGCTGGCCAGATTGTCAGCAGTCGCGCCCTCAGTGTCGGCGAGGTTCCCACCGTCGTCATCACATCCATGGTCTGCGATCTCATGTCCGACCCCAAGCTCTTCCACACCGACCGCAACGACAAGCGCGACCGCCGCGCCATCGCCTTTGTCCTGACTCTTACTGGTGCCATTGCTGGTGGCTGGATCTCCAAAGCGTCTGCCGCCGTCCAGCCCTCGCTGTGGACAGTCGTCGGCCTCAAGGTCGTCCTTGTTGCTGCCTTTGCTCTCTGGAAGTCCAAGCAGCCCGCCCCTGCTGAGAAGAAGGGTTCCGCGTAAACCCTCACCACACTACAAAAGAAAGATATATTCGGAGCATATTCAACCGGAGCCCGGTGTTTTGTTACTTCTTCATTGCATCTGTTTCTGTCTATTATTCGTTTTTAAAAGCGCCATAGGCTGCGCATCGCATATAGAGTCATACAGTATAATACCACACACAGTTACAGCTTTTTCAAATATATACGCATATATTGCTAAATTATAATATGTACAGATCATTATAACGTGAAAGTGTCTTTCTCATAATGAATGTGGATTCATTGGTCTGAGAATGTGTCCCGACTTCAAAGGTGCATTTTCACCGTTGGGCGCGAAAGTTCCATCCAGACTCAGGGAAAGCGGTGCTGTGAGATAGAGCAGGCCCCTCAGCTGGCACCATATTTTCCAAATCCATGGCAATTCTCATGGATGGGTCCCTAAATGTCAACTGCAAGACCTCGTTAGTGAACTCTTATGTAGCTATCCAACTTTGATACGTACCTCTGACTGTGTCCTGGCCTGATGCAGTCCGCATGTCTGGTAAATATGCCGTAGCCTCGCGCGGGCCCAGAGTCGCTGGGAATTCGTGCTAAAGTCGTTAAGCACAATGGCACCCAGCACCCAGCAGATGAGGTCGCCGCCGAGATACGTGGGATGCCTATCGTTACCGCACAGGAATCTAGGCAGCTGCATGTCAGCGGGTATGAACTTCTTTTGCTGCTGCTGCTGGAACCACCCCAACATGTAGGGCGTGGTCCCGATGATATCAACTATCATTTCGGCGCATTGCTGCGAGCTCGAAATGTACTCTGGCGTGGTACGGTAGTCGTTGGGGTAGCATAGCCAGGCGGTGCACCGGATGACATGGATGTGCAGCGTCAGAGCTACCACCCAGCCAGACTGGCGGGCTACTGCGCTGCTAAAGCAACTCACGGCGTATATCGGACCAGGGTACACAGGAGAGGTCTCCAGATCGACATCGGGTACCGTGTGCACCCAGGCCACGGGCTCCATCTTGAACAGCTCGGGGCTGTAGTCGCGGTCATTCCACTCCTTGAGCTTCCGCAGCGCTTCCTGGCACTCTCGCATCTTGTTCAGTACGAGGTGTGCATTATCTGCACTTCTTGGTGTGTGCTTAAGCACGTTGTTTACCCTGCTTTGTAGAAACATCGAATCCCACATAAGACTGTCAAAATCGTGCCGCCACCGGAGGACGCCTGGTTGGTCCCAGAATGCATGATCCGGCGGGGCCTCTCCGTTGGACATGCCCAAGAGGCGCAGCTGCAAGGTTAGCGTATTAGTAAAAGTCTACCTCTCGTGGGGGGAGGAATTGGGCGTACCATGGCAAGCTTCACCCGGTTAAACATGCTTCTGCCGCGCGCAGTCTGCAGCTGTGCATAACCACGCAAGCGAACTAAATCTACCGCCGCGAATATGTGCTTGGCCGGTTGATATATACTAGAGTCGGAGGGGATGAGGTTATCAATCAACCCAAAGAGCAGCACGGCGCCCAGCGTATCGTCTCTCTTATTCCGCTCCGGGTCCTGTATGTCCAAAGCAGCCATGGACAGAGCCTGACCATACAGCTCCATGACCTTGACCCTAAGCGAGTGCCCGCCGCCCACCTGAGCGCTGAGCGACGCCAGAGCGCAGGCCTCCATGGCCTTTTTAAATGTGCCAGAGGAGTCCTCGCGGATAAGCGAGCCAAAGTACTCGTTGATGCCGCTGCCAGCAGTCGGCGAGTCCCAGATGTAGTTGGCGATGAAGTGGCATTGTGCGCGTTCTTCAATGTGCTGGGCTAACGGCGGCGGCACCTTTACCACTATAGCGGTGCTGCTTGCATCCTGTTTTGCTGCTGCTGATTCTTGTGTCCGCGCTTGACGCTTGCTTGTACCGGGAATGCCCCTCGTCCCTCTTCGGTTCACAACAGAGGATGTCTGGTCGCGAAGGATGCGCTCGAAAGGATCTCTATAGCCGGGGCACACGCGGCCTGCTCTTTCGCATCGCGTGCAATTGGGCCGTTTGTCGTCGCACTGCATCGCCACACATCACGTTAACATTCACCGTGGTGAGAGAGGGGGGACGACGGCAGCAACACAGCAGTAGACCTACCTTGACCTTGCGTTGTCGGCATGCATAGCAGCCGGTAGAGGGTCGCCCATCAAAAACCATGGAGCACGTCACAAGTTGGTTGCAGCATCCGACAAGAGATGAAAAGAAGAAAGGGAAGCCATGGGATTAGGCGGGGGGGAATTAGCGCCGCCATCGAAAATTTGATTTACGATCTCCATGGTGGTTGCGGCGATTTCCCTTAGTGTAGAACAAACTCCGCTTGTCGTTAGGCCAATCAGCGGGGCCTACGGAGCAAACCGAGAGGACGGTACAGGCCTGTTCATAAAAAATATATTGGAATCCTTCGCGTGTTAAATTATGCAACGTCACAAGAAAAACAATATGACCCCCGCTATTCTGGAAGATATTTTACAGTGACATGTCAGATGAGAGACCTGGGCATCAAAAGGAGCCTGTAAGCTGTGTCACGACGGGAGGATGCGAACATCGGAGGAAACCCCGCTAGAGTGGCACGGCTACCCTATAACTTCTATCCCTTCAGAAGATGTGGCAAATCTACAGGCTAGAAAATCAGGAAATATAAAATAAAATTAATAAATAAAATATTGTAAAGCACAGCCAGAATTGTGTTAATTTGTGGATTCTCTTTATTTATAAGACAGCGTTTCGTATGATTCGTTATTCTTACTTGGAGAAGCTGCATCTCATCCTAGCCAAATTGTTTAACTGGAAAAGTCATACTAGCCGCTCGTCTAGTCATTACTATGCTTTAATTGATAATGCCAATTTTTTTTTCAAACAGCAAATTTCTCAACTGCTGCCTGGAGGGTGATAGGTTCAGGGCTGACCAGCTCATCCACTCTCTCGCCATCCTTGTCCACAATAAACGTAGGTATGGCGCGGACGTTGAGTTTGTTTGCTGAGTTCGCGGATTTTCTGGACGTTGAATTTAATAAAGTGGACAGCATTCTTAATATCATCGGTATCGGAGATCCTATAGACGAAATGGTATTCGTAATTAATTAATCACAATAGCGGGGCAAGGAAGAAAATCATTAGTATATGTTCTTGATCTTTCGGTGGTCTGTCCAGCTCGAAGTAGAGCATCTTGAAAGGCGCTCTAGTTTAGCGCTTGTTACTACTACTCCCTGAAGGCCATTCGTCCTCGAAATAAAATGTGGTTTAGCCGAGGCTACCAAATTCTACGCAGTTATTGCCTACATAAAATAATTCAACTATCCAAGCTGAAAGTTAGCAAGTCATACAGTCGAGTCAAAACTCGGCAACTAGCTGAAAAGGGGTATTTCCTTCTTTTCCGCCCAAGTGTTGAGCCATGTCTCAACTCTATGCCTCACATGACCCAGCGCCGTTAGACACGTTGGATCTGCCGATTTGACAGGACGGGTTGTCAATATCCGCTCCTGGGAGTTGTCTATTTCAGCATGTAACGCTGCAAGGTTTGCATTTTATGGGTTTATTTTTGTCTTCATCACGATTTCGGATTTCCGGGGCTGTGGATAGCATCAAACATAATCTCGGATATGGGCCGGTCCGATGCGGCAGTTGCCACTGCGCCCCAGACTTTTTTCGCCATGCGGGAGTAATGCAGGAGAAGAAAGAAAAAGTGTGCCAGCCACAGCACAGGTGGGAGAGGTGAGTGAGAAACACGTCGAATAGGATCTCACCTATTAGCCTTCGCCATGTAATGTAATGTCATGCAAAGATTTCGCGGGGAAAGGCAACAACAATCACAGGCCATTTGTCGATGGCGCAGCGCAAAGGAACACCAGCAACTGCCGCGGCTTGCCTTGGCGCAATATGTGCTGTTTTATGCATTTCCGTTGTATATTAACTATCACGGGCTGGATATGCCGGGCGTGCCGTGCATTAATTGCCGTTAAACTCTTTCGCCCAGGGGCACCGTTTGACTTTCCCCGCTCGCCAACGGGGGGACAAGACAGGAAACGCCGTTGGCGATCGTTGGCTAGATGTTTGTTTTTTCTGCTGACAGGGGGGGGGATGGGCTCAGCCGTTGCTTTTTACCCAGCCGACAGGGAGAGCAAACATGTCAGCATGGGACAAAAAGCAAAAGCACGGTCTGCTGGTTTTTCTCTCCTCCAGGCAGAGACATGTTTCTCCTCTTGCTCTCGTGGTCATTGACGCTATAAATCTATAGTACGACTCGTCCAACGCTGCATCTTTTACGATTCAAGTCTCTTTGTTCTTACTTAGTCTCGGAAGCGACCGAATAGCAAGCCAACAACAGAGCGCCAACGATCGCTGACTCCGTGGCTACTAAATTACCCCTGGTGTGCTCTCTCCTAGGCTCGTCTTACTGTACGGCCTATTGCTACGAATGGATGCTGCTGGCTTGTTGACGGATTGATACAGCACACTATCTGCTGTGATTGATTATTTTATTATATTTTGAACCGCTACCATCGTCCTTGTTCTGGTGGATAGTCGCGTGCCCACTCGTCAGCGGAAACCAATCCGCGATAGCCTGGTTAGCAGTCCCAAATGATCGATCTTACGACATTACCTTCTTGCGCAGTAAGTTGATTCCTTTTAAATCAAGGCAAAAAGAAACCACTGTTTTAACCCAACTTTTTGATAGTTACCATGTCTGACGGCACAATGCTCGTCCAACACCACATGTATATGTGACATAGGCTCCGCGGCAGATAGCTGCATCCTCTCGGCATGTTATCTTAGCGAGGCGCTCTGTTAGTATCCGTTGCATCAGTTCAATTATTTTTGTCATTTACTCATACCTCTATTTCTACAGCTACTCGAGTCCGGCTGGGTAAGGATTGCCAGACGCCCGCCAGAGACCGCACGATGGAATTCAATCTCTTAGTGTTTATTGCCGGCTCTATTACCGTCACCATTGTCATTGCACGCCTCATCTACAAGCAGTTCTTCACTCGCAAGAAGCGTCTTGAGATGCAAGACTGGGCCATCTTAATAGCAGCGATCCCCGCCATTGCCTGCATTGGACTTACATCGGGTGGACTGACAGCCCATGGCTTGGGCAGAGACATCTGGGCTGTGCCCGAAGCTGACCTCTTGTACTTTGGCAGCTACTTTTACGCAGCGCAGATCCTCTACGTCACCATTATCGCCATCCTGAAGCTGAGTCTCTGCTTCTTCTACCTCAACGTCTTTCCATGCAGAATTACACATAAAATCTTGTGGGCAACTGTCGTTTTCCACGTCCTCGGCGGTATTGCATTTGTTGTCGGCATCGTATTTGAGTGCCTGCCCATCAGTAATCAGTGGGCGAGATACGACTTATCAGCTACAACGCCACAGGAAGCTAAGTGCATCAGCATTAATGCTTTGGGGTGGGCCAATGCTATACTCAACGTCGCATCCGATCTTTGGCTTCTGCTTGTTCCGCTATACCAGATAAAACAGCTAGACCTGCATTGGAAAAAGAAGATTGGAGTTACCGTCATGTTTGGGACAGGAGCTTGGTAAGTACAAGTATCAATTTTGTTCGCGCTTTACAATAAACTAATGAAGCACTCTCTAGTATAACCGTCATCTCCTTCCTGCGACTCAAATCTCTGATACAGTTTGGAACAACAACCAATCCAACATGGGACCAGTGGGACTTGGTGTGGTGGTCTGCAGTCGAGATAATTGTCGGCTTTTTATGCACCAGTCTTCCCACTATGCGCTTAATATTAGTGCGCTTGGCTCCTCGGATCTTTAGCAACGCAAGGAATACACCAAGGTCAGTACATCCGCTTCTTTTTTTCTTCATGGACACGAGAAAAACGAAAATAAAACAATTAAAGCTTGACACTTTTGCTAACTAGCTATACTACTTTTTAGGCGCGAAGTATGGTCATCGGCACATGATATAGAAATAAGCTCGATATGCCCACCGTCGCCGGCAAAGTTGAGCAGCGCTATATACTACAAAGATAATCTTATTATTGATCCGGAAAGGTTTGAGATCCGGACGCAGCCTCTAGGAGATGTACCAAGTTTCAAAAAGATACATAGTTAGCTCAGTCAACTTCAGAATGGCAAATAAATACAAAACAGTTCAATTCGTTCAGGTCAATTAATTTGACGCTAGTAGAATGTCTGTGCATCGGTTGGCTAATCTAGTTGTTGACAGCACGGCCCTCGTAGAGAATGTTGAAATCGTTTTTGTTCTGTACCTCGACGCGCTGTTGTCTCTTTTGGTCCACGACTCTGTCCTGGATATCGCCACCGTCAAGGTTTATCTTGGTTCCTTTCGTGTTGGCTGCTGAGCAGCCTTTCATCCTGACAGTCTCCATCCATAGCCCAGGGTGGCCTTGCGATTCTTCCACAATCCACTCGGTCGTTGTGAAACAGAGGGGTCTGCCTTCCTCAGCGGTGGCTGAATATGTCTCATTCTTTCCCGTCGTCCTGTTCTCCATAAAAACGCCAGAAGTCTTGGAGGTAGCCGTAAGCTTGGCGTAGATCTCGTCTCCAGGGCCTACGTCGAGGTTCAGGGCCTGTGGATCCTTTGGGATAAACTCTAACCAAGAATAGTAGGTGACTTCGTTGTTACCATAGGTAGCACAGGCCATGCCAGCTTGCAACAGAGCGGTACAATCGGCCCCGCCATCAATGCCAACCCAATGCGAAACGGTGGAGGCGAGCTTGACATCTGTCTTGTGTATGGCACAGTGTGGGACATTCCACGTGGCTTCGATCGTTTTGGTGTTTGGGAAGTGTTGAATGACACCAGCCCAGGTGGTGCCGTTCCGTCTCTTGCCAGTAGCTCGCTCCACGAGACGGTCGACAGGCAGGACATGCGACGCCTGCGAGGCCTCTGCAAGCCCAGAGGCGAGTAGGACAAGAGCAGTGTATCTCATGGTGTAAGTTATTGGGTAGGTAGTTGCTTTCACAATTAACCAGCTAAGTCTGGCCTTCTAGAGGGTTGTCAATGCCTATCTGCTAGCTGCAACTGCTACCATCCCCGCATTTGCCCAGGCCACCAACATCTACGGCCGCCGGGGACTCATCTTGACCACTGTGGCGCTCTTCACCCTAGGCAGCGGCCTGTGCGGAGGCGCACGCGACATTGCAATGATGGTGGCCGGGCGTACCATCCAGGGAGTCGGCAGCGGAGGCATCTTGACCATGTCCGAGATCATCGTGTGCGATATTGTGTCCATTCGCGAGCGTGGTATGTACGCCGGTATCATCCGTGGCGTCTGGGCTATAGCGTCCGTCATAGACCCCATTGTCGGAGGTGCCATGGCTCAGAATGTCTCTTGGCGTTGGATCTTTTATATCAATCTACCTAGTGCGGGAGTCGCTGCCATTGCTCTCGCTCTCTTCCTTAAGCTGCACCGGCCACCCACCGGGACTTTCAAGGAGCAACTGGCCAGGATTGACTGGGGTGGTGGGTTTCTGCTTATTGCATCAATGACGGCTATCGTGCTGGCTTTCAGCTGCGGAGGCTCACCCGGATCGTCGTGGACGTCCTGGCGGGCCATTGTGCCCCTCATCATGGGGTTTGTCGGGCTGCTGCTATTCATCGCATACCAAGCGTTTGCTCCCTGGTTGAAGGAGCCCATGATGCCGCTGAGCCTATTTGGTAACCGTACGGCCGTTACAGTCTTCCTCATCAGCATCATCCACAGTATGCTTCTCTTCTGGGCGTGTTACTTCTTGCCAGTATACTTCCAAATCGCCAAAGACGCCAGCCCGTCGCGATCCTCTATCATGATGTTCCCGATGGCAACGACCAGCGCGGCAGCCGGAGTCCTCGTTGGAATATCCATTACCATTACGCGTCATTACCGCATCTGGCACTTTGTAGGGTTCAGCCTAATGGCCATGGGCTTCGGATTCTTTACTCTACTCGATGAGCTCTCGCCCACGGCTGAATGGGTGGGCTTTCGGATTCTGTTTGGACTCGGCACGGGTGTCGTCTTCACCAGCACTCTCCCTGCTATTCTGGCAAGCTTGCCTGAATCGGACGTTGCGGCGGCTACGGGCTGCTGGTTGTTTCTGCGCAACTTTGGCTCCATTTGGGGCATTGCGATCCCGGCGGCCGTGTTCTATACGTACGCTAAGAATGCTGTCTCGCGCATCTCCAGCCCTGAAGTTAGGGACATGATGACCAATGGCGGCGTATACCAACGAGCAACAACTGCATTTATTGCTTCTTTCAATCATCAGCACTTTCTCAGGGAAGAGATTGTGGACTTTTACATTGCGAGCCTCAAGCTTATATGGCTGGTGTCGGTTGTTTTTGCCGCCATTGGCTTTGTTATGGCTTTGCTTGTGCCGACAGTAGAGTTAGGAGACCAATTGAACACCGAGTATGGACTAGCCGAAGGCGGAAGAAGGGTTCTAGTAGCGATGTATAGGCTGGGTACAGAGGATGAGATTGTCCTCCGGCTTGTATACTTTAATAGTCAGATGTTGTCTCTAAAGTATAGGTTTGGTTTTAAGAAAATTTAAATTTAGCACAGTGGAAGTCGAGCTGATGAATAGAGTAGCATGGTGGAATGATATATCAGAATGTATTTGAAGTATTAAATTTAAATTTAAGTGATAATGGTGGCCAACCACAACACACCCGAAACCCCTTTGTAACTGAAAGATCATCTAGTAGCAATGGGTTGCTTCTTAGACGTTGCCATAGTTGATTGTCAATCCATTTGTCGTTGGGGAGGAAGATAGTGCGACCTGACCATTACCCTCACAAGGATAAGAGTGTCGAAGTCCACTCAGAGTACCTTGAACACCGGCAGCGATAGGTTTGCCAAACCAGACAGAGGTCTTGGGCTGTGCTGGGCAGTTGGCAACTTTTCCGTTCCAGGGATAGTATTCAACAAAGCCGATGTTGTAATTCTGAATCAGTCCAGACGTAGGTGGCATGGTATACTCACCAATGACCCGCTGAATTCCAGAAGTCGTGTCCGTAATAGTTCCACGCCATGTTGTTCCACCAATATTTTCCACCAAGATGTTGTATGTAGGTGCGTAGGATCCTGAAAAGCGCAGAGCGCAACTAACTCCGTCCCTGGCACCATCTGCACCACCACGACATTGAGGATGGCTGGTAGTCACGCCAGCGCCGAAATTGGAAAAGACGGCGTAGATGGTGCTGTTGCCGTCGATGTCCTCCCCAGGTTGTAGGCCAGTATACCCCAAGCCGCCGTTATTGGGATTGCTATCAACGATTTGAAATTGTTGCGCAAAGTAGTAGCCCGAAATACGAGGGGCATCGGCCTGATACATTGGAAATGTGATGCTTCTGATGCCTTGTGCGGGGGCATCAGGTATATACCAGTCGAAGTGTAGATTGGCAAAGACTGTAGCAGTGAAGGTAAAAGCCCCAAAAGCAGAAGCGGACCTCATGATTACTAGATGAATGGTGTGGAAATAAAAGTGCAGATAATGGTAGACAAAGCTGTTGACAGTGGCATAGGTGTCCCCTTTATAGTCTTTGATGTGCGACATCTACTCTGGCAATGTAGTTTCGGAGAAAGATGAATCAATATTGGATAGAAAGCCAATATCCCTTCTCAGAGTTACAGCAAATGTCTCCGTCCAGGCAGTACCCCCTACGCCCGGCGTGGTGTCCCTGTTCGTGGAGTGTTAGGACTACTGTACCTAGCAAGGTAATATTACACCACCATGTAGGCAGCTGAATGTGGCGTACACGGTGCGAAACTAAGTGTATGAACAGCTAGGCCACTATAAACAATAGTGTCTGAAATTCAGCTACAACTTACTCATAGTCTATAAGTCCTAGTTCACCTACAAATCACTATTCTCTTGCCTACTAGCTGTTATCGATTCCTAGAACTGAGACGTCAATACTAGAGTAAAAAGAGTTTAGGCCAGGATCTTGAGTCGATCCCATATTTCCTGAACAGGGCACATTAGTCCGTCCCAATCACAGCGCTGGCCATGTGGCTGTCGCCGCAACTACCCAAGCAAATGCACGCTGCGTCCTATTCTGTATTAAGCAATTTTATTCTGTCACTTTTATGCATGTAACCTAAACGGGGGTTTTGGTGCGAAACTTAACATAGGGGTGGCCTGCCTTGTACATCTGACAGATAAAAATTGCCTATTACGGACTAGCCAGTTTCCCCATATAATTATGCAATGGAACTTATAGAACCCACATTGGGAACTACTGTATTCAAGACAACGACTTACGTCAGACTTGTTAACGTTACTGATGAGTATCTCGGGATTTGCGCAGCGGAAATAAGAAATATGTGCCGGCCTGGGAAGAATGATCAATACGCAGACTGGTAAAGAGAAAGGCTGCTAACGGAAGTAGAATATCACTATCACTGGGTTGGTCTTTATGAACCTGGTATACAACACGGGTTTAAGAAATTAAGATAATTGCGTATCTTATTCATAGTATCGTAACGTACACTAATAAACTGATATAGCTACACAGACCAACAACTGGCCTACGCCCTATGTTCTAGCAACATCAGACGGGGTTAATAGACCCAGGCGGAGGTGGGCTTCCGTCGCTAGGGGGAGGATTTCCACAGCCGTCACACGGTGGTTCAGATCCATTACCCGGATAAGATCCAGGAAGGGGAGGGCTTCCATCGGTAGGAGGGGGGTTTCCGCAGCCATCGCAAGGAGTAATAGAAATGGCTTGGTGCCCGGATGATGGAACCATATTGATCGCAGCAGCGGCGGCTGAAAGGGCCATCATGCTAACGGTAAGAGGAGCAATGAGTTTCATTTTGATTGGCAAAGAAATTATGTAAAGACTTTTGTAGTGTTGAATATTTTACTGGAGGAACAAAAACAGACATTGGTCAAGATACTTGGTATTATATACGTACTTCTGTGCTTGAAGACGAAGTTGATACGAGTCGCGGTGGTTCTCCTTCACTGCCGCGTTGCCATAAATGTTCTCAACAATGCTACATTGACGGATAGTCGGCACTCGATTCTGTAGTCTGGAATATCACCATCTGTTTTTAGACGAGTCAGTGCGAACTGCCGTGGCATACTCGCAGTGACACCAGTGTCGTAGTTGCATTCTTGTAGATCACTCTCATGTACTAGTATTCTCATACTACGTTGCAAGCTTCAGATTCGTATGGAGTATAGTTGTATTTCTATCAATATTCGGTATTCGGATTTTATGTTACCTCAATTTACAGTATCAAGTTGTGCCAGTCTAACGATCGCTGCCTGGAGAAAGTAGTGCGAGAGCGAAAGACGGGCAGGATAGGTGATAGAGTCAAGACAGATATAATTAGATGACTAAATATACTGACTACTATATTATGTTGCTCGGATATAGCTCATTCAATTAACCTAATATTGTGCGTATGTCAAGACAATTATACTAGATCTAACAGCAACAGTACAGGTTACAAGTTTGTGACAGTTTGACGAAACTTGCCGAAATCCATACTACCAAGCCCGGTAACTGCATCCCATCCGGAGCCAGCAATGAAGCCTGCAACATTACATCCGGGGTTTGACCCGCGGGTGATATCTCGTAGAGCAGATTTTCCCTGCTTACTGTACAGAAGCGGGTTCAGGAAGCCCAGAGACGGCTTGTTGATGCTCTTGCGGTAGTCGTTGATCTGAGAAATCAGAGCCGCCCAGGCGGGAGCTGCGGCCGAAGTACCAGAAACAGGTGTTGCCCGACCATTAAGCACAATAGTGTACAGTTCACTAAGCAGAGAAATGTCCGGATATCCACGGCCCTGCTTGTTGTACCACCCATCCCAGCTCTGATCCAGAACACCAGAGATGTAACCATTGGTATCGTTGCGCTGGTAGTCTGGAGTCTTGAAGTACCAAGAGAAGCCGCCGCCGCTGTAGCCAGGGCCGCTTGTGAATTGATACTCGGCAGCAACCTCGTCGCCACCATTGCGATATCCTGTGCCACCAACGGCTGTGACATACGGGCAAGAGGCTGGGAACACGGCAATGTACTTGTTGTTGGAACAGCTTTCACCGGCACGGACGCCGCCAACGCCAAAGTCGGCGGATGAGAAAAAGGTTGAGATGCCTCGCGAGCCGGCTTTCATAAACTCATTGCAAACACGGGACAAGTAGTTGTTGTTAACTTCCTGCTCGTCAATGCCGTAGGAGGTGGAGATGGCCGTGGGCGGATTGTTGTTGTTGTTGAGATAGTTGGCAAGGTCGAGAAGCTGGTCGCCAAAGTCGTTGTTGTCATAGGGCATCTCGTACAGATTGACCTGGGCGGGGTATCCCAGTGCCAGGGCTACCTGAGTGTCGAGGTTGCCTTCAAGAAAGTCGTTGTAGTTGTTGCTTCCGCCTCTGATGCTAACTTCGGCAAAATCCGTGTTGGATGCCCATGGCGCATAGTTGCGCAGAAATGTTGAAGCGTCTCGGTGAGATGCAGCATAGCCAGCAATGGATGAAACGCCCAGCAAGGCTCGACCTTGGCCTGTATAGTCGACGTTGTAGAAGCTTTTGATGCAGTCGGGTGTGATGTTGCGCCCATCACAATTGCCTCGACGGTTGAGAGATGCGGTTTCGGGTGTTGCGGAGGTTGCATTCTGATAGATGGACTGGGCAAGATTGCTCAGAAATGCCGTGGTGGGCTGAATCAGGTCAACATGGTCGTGTAGTGCATGAGGAAGGGAGTATTCCGAGACTCGAGGGATGACAGTTCCGGTTCGCAAATCTTTGTAGAGAAGATACTTTGCATTGAGCATTTCCTCTGCTTTGTGAACTGGCACCTTGACCTCGATCCAGTCCACACTCTGGTGGCTGAAGTCATGAATGTCATGACTGTTTAGCCATGCCGTCACAGTGTCAAGACTCTTGCTGCTTGGCTTGGTAAATTTCTCGATTTGCTCCTGCGTCAACCAGTTGCCATACTCAGGGCTTTCGGGGTTGGAGATGTGCAATAGCTTCTCCTCTAGCCCTTTGATGTTGCCTTGTCTTATACCGATTTGCATCCTCAGCATGGTTGAGGATGCCGCATCACCGGCCTCTACCCACTGAGAGGGAATAGAGATTTTCTCCATCAACGCCATCGGACCAAGATTGACGGCGCGTTTGGTGGTGGGAGTGCCAGATGCAAAACTAGCAAGTCCAACAAGGACATTGAAAAGAGCAAAAGAAGCCATTTGGGAGATTCGGAAGTAAGACGTTGGAGAATATTTGACAGTATCGCAAGGTAGAATGTCTTGAATAGTGCATTATACCTATGACTTATATCATTCCATCACCTACACTGTTGCTGATTCCCAAATCATCTCTTCAACTACCGGATATAACGTTACTTTACAAAGAATGATATTACCAATGAGCTCCTCAACAAATTCTGTCCGCGGATAACTCGGATGCAATGTTTGATACACTCGGTCAGTCGACCTCCACAGCCAGCATCTGATGCTGAGCCTTTGACAACTCCGTATTCATGCATCAACCATGTGGGCAGCCGAAGAATACCGCCCGCCTAGCTACCAATCAATACAACGCTGTCTGACTCGGAGACGTACCTGTCACCCCGCTCCCTCCACGATCTGGACACCTTCCTAATTGGGTAATCGTTCGTGGGCACCTAACCTATTGCGAGGGAAAGGAAGAATTTAATTCCCTATTTTGTCGAACTGGTAGAATATTGAGGCAAGCGATATCTGTTACGTCATAGTGTATTAACATAGCTGGCTGACCAAGTCGGTGGTTTGATACAACAGGTGCGTATATACCAACTGCTGTTTATATGCGCACCAATGCTTCTTCTATTTGTTTCAACGCACCGTCATGAATTACAGTTACAACCCGTACAGGAACGTCGATACCATGCAACGTTACGGCATGCATTGCAATAAAAGTTCAAGACCAAGCTGCAAAGATGAGTAAACTTTTCCAAAAGAAACCGCTCGTCCGAAACTATCCTACTCTAGTGCATGGAGCCAGAATTTCTATCAAAGATTGGCTACTGCCGCCTGTGTGGGTTAGCGTGACATCGTGGCCACCTCGGCTAGGTGATAAGAGGGCGATGCACGCCGCTTTTTTTCAGGAGAAGAGCAATCCCTGCTGCTTCAACACCAAACTATGTGTCATACGGCAGTTGACCGAAGACGAGGAGAATAAGATGGGAAGCTCATTACCGGGAGTGTTGCATTCAGCTTGGGGCTACTATGGTGTCGGGCGGGCTATAAATCCCGTCAAGTTCATCGTTGTGTAATTCCATCTACTTGTAATTATTTTCAGATTCAAAATATTCTTGTACAAATTTCTACTTTCACATTTATACAATGCATCTTATAGCGACTCCTGCTGCCATCTTGTGTTTGCTGCTCGGCGCACATGCAAGCCCATTGGCACAACCCCTTGGTGCACCAACCACTTTTGCCAATGCGCAATTGCCATCGCAATGGAAACAGGGTGGAACTGTTGCGTCAGACACGTCTATCAAAATGTCTATTGGTCTGAAGCAAGGAGACATGGCAGGCCTCCAAGCCAAACTCCTCGATGTCTCCAACCCCAGCAGCCGCAACTACGGCAAGTGGCTGTCCAAGGATGAGCTTAACAGCTACACCAAGCCTTCTGAGCAAACATTACAGCTTGTGAAGCAGTGGCTATTTAGCCATGGCTTACACGATGCTGACATCTCCCAAACAACCCCTGATTGGATCGAGCTCACCATTCCTGTTGGAAAGGCCGAGGAAATGCTCAATGCACAGTACTCATACTTTACCGACAAGAGCGACAAGACGGCCATTGGCACTCTTAACTACTCGCTCCCCAGCTTGCTTCATCAACATATTGATGTCATTCAGCCCACTACGGCCTTCCACTCCACTCAGAACAAGGCACCTAAGGGTGCGCCTTCAACATTCACAAGCAGCGCCGATGCCTGCGCCAATGGCGTCACCGCAGCCTGCATCACCAGCGCTTACAATGTTGACTATGTTGGAAGTGGAAAGAGCAGTCTTGCAGTCACGGGCATGATTGGCTTTTCCGCTAGCCACAGTGATGCCAAAACGTACCTGTCTGAATACTTCCCCAAGGGCAAGGGAACGGACTTTAAGGACAAGGCTATTGGCCCCAACGTGCATCCCAATGACCCGAGCAACCCCGTTCTGGAGGGCAACCTTGATACCCAGATTGCTCTATCCGTCGGATACCCGGACCCGGTCACTTATCTTGCTGTCGGCCCCAACGACAACAACATGCAGTTTGGTGACGAACTCATTGCGCTTGGCCAGTATCTCAACTCTGCTGACCAGCCCCCGCTGTCCATCTCTTCTTCGTACTTGGGCAATGAGCCGGAATTCGACTCAGACTACAAGACGAGAATCTGCAACGAGTTTATGAAGGCTGGCTCACGCGGCATTTCTGTCTTCTTCTGCTCCGGTGACTACGGCGTCAATGGTCTTGACTACGAAAACTACTGCAGCAACGGATTCACTCCTGCTTTTCCTGCCTCCTGCCCGTGGGTGACTGCGGTTGGATCCACGGAATTTGCCAACGGCGGCGAGAAGTCGGCCGAGTTCTACTACATCAAGAATGGAACAAGTGGTGGTGGTTTCTCCTGGTTCTATGATGCTCCGAACTACCAGACAAACGACACACAAGCTTACGTCAAGAGCTTATCTGGAAAGTTCAAGGGACAGTATGCTCCTGGTGGCCGAGGTATCCCGGATGTTTCCCTTGTTGGTAAGAATTACAAGATTATTCTCAACAACCAGCACTACACGGCTGAGGGCACGTCTGCGTCTAGTCCTGCGTGGGCGTCTCTGATTTCCCAGATCAACGATTACCGCCAGAGCATTGGCAAGTCGTCGCTTGGGTTCATCAACCCCGCGCTGTACCAAAACAAGGCGGTTCGCGCAGCGCTGCGAGATGTAACAGCCGGTGCCAACAAGGGTTGTGGAGGTGATGCGTTCCCAGCAAAGGCTGGTTGGGATGCTGCTACTGGTCTTGGTTCGATGGACTTCGCCGCGCTTCGTAAGGCTTTGGGCGCCCTCTAGAATGGGGTTACCTTGCGTCTGTGTGAATAGTAGTGGTCGCTGAGATAGTGGTCAACATATTTGGTTGTTGCATTTAGAGTGTTGGCTCATTAGGGTTTCACCCTGAATTATAAACGTATTGTTTCGTATCGATCGCTGAAGATGCGAATAAATCAAGCCTGTCTGTTATATATACAGGAGATATATCGGGGTTTTGTCGATTAATGTTACATTTATGTACTCTCATAGGGCACCTCGTACTTTGCAAGACCCTCACACCACCAGACCCTCGCCAACACGTCGGCGCCCTTCCCACAAAGGTTGTATTCCTCCGGCATACCAGGATAAACCAATTTTTGTGATACAATTTCACTGAAACGACCAACTGTCGAACCGATGGTTGGCTTGTTCCATAAGCGTGACAACCGCCGTCGTTCTTGGCTCGGTTCATCAGGCGGCTCAAGCATTGTAAGAAAGAGGAGGGCAAACGCTAGCGGATAGGCACTAATAGCGTAGTGACACATGCCAGATTCAGACGTGTGCATCAGATGTATCGAGCGAGAAATCTTTTTGGCGTGTATCTTCGCATCTTCCAAGATTTGTGAACTCGTCTTGTTGATAAATGAGAGTATGACGGGCTCGGCATCCAATTCGTGAAGCAGCTGGCTCCAAACCCTCTCATTCAGTGCAGAATCGGATATTAAGAGGTCTGCTTCGAGAAGAACGTCTGAACAGCGGCTAACTGTAAAGGCTATCGTGCTGTGTGTAAGCAAGTACGCGGTGTAGTAAATGTTTGCGAGAAGAATGAGTGCCATATCGCGGTCGCTTGGTACATGTAGCTCCTGTAGCGTTGGCGACAAAGGGCGGTCCGGAGTTTCATATGGGGCCAGTTGTATCCTCATATCAGCGTACCAGCTATCCAACAATTTTGTCACCTCTATAGCTTTAGCAAACAATATCTTGCTGGCTTTTGCGGCGTCGGAGGTGGGCATGGCCCGTAGTTCGTCCAAGTCTGCGAGGAGAGCGGAAATTTTGATCAGAGCATCTGCCAAAAGATCTACCGGCGATTTTGTAGCAAATTTCCACGGGAAATCAGCCACTTGCGGTCCTCGAGAGGTGATCTGGCGCGTTTAAATATTGTCCATAGTGTCTAGTTCGGCAAACAAGGCTTAGTGTATCGTTGAAGCTGTAGGATAGGCAATGACGTACCTGGATAAAGCGGAAATCTGCAAACATTTGATGGTCTAAGCCATCCATAAAATGGGTTGGGCCAGACTGTAAAATTATGGCACACTGCCCGTCGACGTGTGTTGTGTAGCTAGCGACGAGCTGCGAGTTTGTGAGTTTATCGACACCTCCACCACCAAAGTAGGTCTGGATTGTTAGTTTTTATAAATTCGTAGGCATGGAGAGGCATAATTTCCATAAAAATGATACGTACTTCATAAAAGGCACACAGTCCGCTACAGCAAGCAGGCCGCCTGTTTCTGTATAGCGCGGCGACGATATAGCTATTTTAAGTTTGCGAATCGCATGGTTATAAACTTGGAGCCCTCGTACCGCGAGTTGAGTGTCATTATTCTGTTTTGCAGTCAGGGATATTCCCAGGACAGTGACGATTCCTTCAATGACTGGATCAACTGTTTGTAGATTCACAACTTTGTTTGTCCAGCTAAGAGCATCTAGGCCGATGGAAGACGCACCAAACATGCGGCTAAATGGAAGACAAGTTGACCATAAGTTGCCGACGTAGGTCTCTCTTTTGGCCGTTGTTGCGAGGCTGGGAGATAGTGTAATAGACGTAGTGTGGGAGCTGGTTCGTTTTGTCTTGTCAGATGCACGGCGGTGCTGCCATGGTGCTAAGAAGACGGGGTTTTTATTGTAGCCTTCACACTTTGCTTTTGCGGTAATGCATTGTATGCAAGCTGGGACTTGACGCCCGCACTATATGTATCCCTGTTAGTATTGATCTGCAGTGTCAAAGTAGAATCCACAAGTCTTGCTGTGGTGCAAACGTACACCTGTCTTTCGCCGCTGGCACGTGAGGCACCGGTTCGACTTTGCTGCGGTCTAGGCATAGTCGCAAGTATCTAGATCAATTGAAGGGAGGATTAGATATATATGATTTGACGTTTGATGGTTGTTGATGGCGTAGCGAGTCCCATATTCCAAGTTGCCAGGTGTTATAGTAGGACCCGTCACAGTCACGTGCTTCAACTAGAAGGTTTACGCCATTAGAAACGAATATGAATAATTTTCTAATTTAACCATCTACACTATTTTTTTGTTTCTGTTTAAAAGGGATTTCATGACCGAGTTTGTAGCTACTTGGGGGGGCGCTGTGGTGTACATGGTATGCATGCGTGTGTCCTTATCCAGCCTGCCTTGGGTGTTCTAATGCATGGAAGGCTTCTATGCGTCGGCCCACCATAACAATGTCGTTGTTTCCTCTTTTTTTCAATCTCGTAGAATTATCATTTATCAAACATAGGGGTCTTCTATGTCACCGTCTTGAGCATCCGGCATGCACTGTAATGTGATAAAAGTTGCAGTCACTAACTTAGGTGTTATTTATTCGCTATCAATGGTTAATTGCTCGTCTGACTCCGTCTCGTCCGACGCCCATTTGGCCATTTCCCAACTTCTCAGAAGCTCGGGGTCCAGTGAACACCCAAAATGGACATTGTAGCTTCCAAAGCGTTTCAATGCAACTTGATTGTCCAATCGTGACAGGGATATCGCTGCCGAAGCCGCAAACCGCTGCAGCGGCGGATTCGCCGTCGTTGTCGCAGGAAGCAGCGGGTGTGTCTCGGCCAGACAGATGCCGCCTCTCACTGCGAGTGCCGTCGCCCCAGACTCGCCTCTTTGATAGTCGATAGCTCTTAGAGAAAGCAGTGAATGTAAAAAGTCAAGCTCGAAGCGCTCTTCGTAGTCCGGGTCTGCAAACGCCAGCGGCAGCGATATGCTTACTCCGGTGTGCCACTGCTCTCGCAACCGGCGGTAGACCTGCTCGCTTGTAGCCCTGCTTAGCTCTCGAAGCATCGTTTCCAGGGGCGTATAGTTTCCAAATTCCGTTTGCTGTGTCGACTTGTATGTCGGGTAATCAATGGCAACACCGTTGTGCCAGGGGCCAGTCGTGACGTTGCGCATATATTCGCGGTATGCCTCGTCACCTGGGATCATGGCAACATTGCAGATCATTCCATCTCGCGCCGCGATGCTAGCTACCCTTTAGAAACTATTAGCTACTGCTATGACCACCACAGATGTTGCGAAAAAAAAATTCATTAGTTTACCCGTGGGTTTGGTCCAAGACGAACCCGACGCCAACTGATAGGCTAGGAACGGGCACCAATGACAAGGCTGCGATTTCGGATATGAAGAAAAGAAAGGTTGGGCGCATAATTCATAAGGCTCTAGTCACTTTATTGCTTTTTATAACTGCCTTAACCATTTTTTTTGGGTGAGTTGCTCTAATTTATACGAGGGTATGAGTACGTCAATAAGACCAGGTTGAGCCTCGTCGATGGCTTGCCAGGATAAGGCTGGATGACTCATGCCCTACTGAGAATCAAAAGGAATATAATTAACGTAGTTCACCGGTGAGTGGGCCACCTCGCGTCACTCTTTAATTGACTGAATTAAAACCTTTAACAAACAACACATCATGGTTCGAAATAAATCAAATGAAGCTGATGTAATCTCAGCTCTTCAAGCTATCCAAAAAGACTCTAAACTCTCTATTCGACAAGCTGCACGGGTCTACAACGTCTCTCGATCAACCCTCGAACGCCGTCGTAATAAAATCCCTTGCCGAGCCGATACAATATCAAAATCTCGAAAATTGTCAGATGAAGAAGAAAATACAATAATAGAACATATTCTTGACCTCGATTCCCGAGCTCAGCCTCCTCGCTTGCGTGACGTTGAAGCTATGGCCAATCGCTTATTGGAGCTACGTCACGACATTCCAGTTGGAAGGAACTGGGTTGCAAGCTTCATCAAACGACACCCCGAAATCGTCACGCGTTTATCACGTAGTTCGAATTAGAGTTTTTATTTTAAGTATTATTTAGTCATGTTGTATATGTTTTTATACACGAAGATCGAGGAAGGTGGCCCACTCACCCGTGAACTACGTTATACATGATGCCTGAATTAAATAGAGTATCACGAAAGACTAAATAACGAAAAAAAAAATACAGAGAAGGGCCTGGCATAGATGCGATCAACTATCAGTAGTCCCCGATAGTAGTGCAACGCAACGTTGAACAGTTCCGAGCAAAGCCTAGCTCTGCATAATTACCCAATATGGACTATGTGTGTGAATTGGACTTATGCCGTATAACACCTCCACTCCATGATAGATGCTTTTATTTTTTTATAGTTCAACTCCTATTTTTATTCCACTTTATTATACTGAGGGGGGCGTGTAAGACGCTGGTCAGTAGAAAAGGTAAATCGACAAGTTGTTAACTATTAATACAGATATTATAGTGCTTGGGTGAGGCCGCGGCGGGGCAGCTTGCAGAAGCTGGGGGGAGGCGAGGATCTGCTGTGGCTGACGGTGCCAGGCGAGTAGGTGACTTAGAGTTCAGTGGCTGGCAGGGCGACGGGGAGGCGCAGGGGTAGAGGGAGGGGAAGAGAGAAGTTGAGATGGTGGGAGTGGAAGCAATTAAATTATAAAGTAAAGAATAAAATAGGATTGAGAATATATATAGAATAATAATTGAGCACATATATATATCTTTATTTATTTATTTTATTTTTTATCTTCTCCTGCTCCATATGCCGCTGTCATCAATGACGTCTTCCCTTTTTAACAGCGCTATAATTTTTTTCCCCTACAGTAGTTCTAGGCCCCGATCGATGGAACCACCGCTCAGCTGGCGTCGTCCAACCAAGCCACAGCCACGGCCACGAGGAGGGAGATGAAAAGTGGATTTTCCCCAACCCAAGCTAACAAGCTGCCGCTCCTTCCTTCTCCGGGTACCCAAGGCCTTCTCTTTTCCTCTTCTTCCTCTTCTTCTTCTTCTTCTTCTTCTTCTTCTTCTTCTTCTTTTTCTTTTTCTTCTTCCCATTCAATCGCATCACCATCATCACCAACATCCTCATTTTACGACCCGTCACGTCTCCTAACGACAAACCCTAAATCAGCCCACAATGCAGTTCACCATCTCCGCCCTCCTCTCCCTCGTCGCTGTTGCCAGCGCTGCCTCTGGCGATGTCTCCGGCTCTTGCGCCAGCAACAGCTACTCGGCTAGCCAGGTCAGCCAGGCCGCTTCCGCTGCTTGCGACCTGAACAAGTCTGGAAAGACCGTCGGCAACAACAACTACCCCCACCAGTACAAGAACTTTGAGAAGATTGACTTCGACGCTCCCGGCCCCTGGTACGAGTTCCCCATCAAGAACAACGGCATCTTTGACGGAAGTAAGTGCACAATCGCCCAGCGCGGCAACCACTCCTAATTCAATATTAACCCTACTCCTGCAGACTCTGGCCCCGGCCCTGACCGCGTCATCATCAACGACAAGTGCGCTGTTGCCGGCCTCATCACTCACACCGGCGCCAGCAACCAGAACGGCTTCGTTGCCTGCAAGGGTGAGTCAAGTCCTAAACAGCCTCCAGTTACAAGCTAACAAATCAATTGCAGTCTCCGGCGGCGACAAGCCTTCCAGCTCCGCCTCCAGCTCCGCAAAGCCCACCGACAAGACCTCCAGCGAGAGAGCCAGCGCAACTGAGAAGCCTACCTCCTCTGGCAAGGCATCCGCCTCTCCCACCTCCTCCTCCGCCAAGCCTAGTGCCACTGACGGCAAGTCTGCTGGCTTCTCTATCCACGGCCAAAAGGACACCGCTGCTTGGGCTGTTGCTGCTGCCGCTCTCGTCGCCCGCATCCTGTAAACTATGCCGCGCAACCCTTTTTTGTATAGAATTCGATAGATACACACGTTAAATGAAAAGCAACGACACGGACAATTTGGTCCTCTACAACTCATACCCTCTTCTACTTTGCTACGGACATCACATCGAGTCTGGAACTGGATAGACACGAATTGACAAAACAAGCAAAAGTTTCTATTAGCGCTAGTCCATAGAGGACGAAATTCATCGACCGTCAATCATTACAAAATATCAATACAAAAGGTGGGACATGCTCAGCATGTACGAATGAAAATGGCCTACACCTGATAGTGCCAGCAATTTAGTAGATGTAACGGAAAAAGGTAGCGTTATCACCCTTGTCAGTCTCGCGGAGCTTCTCCTCCATGGTGTAATCTTCAGGTCTCTTGTATTCGCGGTCACGGCGCTTGTTTTCGCGGCGAAAATAGAACGTGAGGATGGCACTGAGGACAGCAGACATGGTGACAAAGCCAAGCAGAATGAGATGACCAGACAGGTAGCCGGGGGCTTCGTCAATGCGGAAAACAAAACCAGAAACCGCACCACCAAGGTTACCCATACCGATCTGCATGGCGATACCGACAGCACGCTTCAGAGAACCACCGACATTGTTGCCGTTCCACGCAACAGCCTGAGGGATGTTGGAGTATACACCAGCAACAACAAGGAAGCAGGAAAAGTACTTGACTTGATCGTTCTGGACAGTGGCGAGAAGGATGAAACCAATACCACTATATCAACGTTAGCTACTTTCGGTGCTTCTGTAAACAGGCTCTCAGCTTCACACTTACGCAAGAATGTTGAAACCAACAATAAAGACGCCGCGCTGCAGAGTGGCATCGGCGAAATAACCACCAAGAACTGCGAAAACGCAAGCAACGGCATATGGCGGGACAGACATGAGCTGCGCAGTTCCGTTGTCATATCCGAGGTTCTTCAGGATGGTGGGCATAAAGGAAGACACAGAGTATAACGGAGTGAAGATGCCAATAATGATGAACATTTGCATCCAGATCTTCCAGTCCTTGAAAGCATCAAATACAAACTGGAGCTTGAAGGCCTCGGAGAGAATGCCACGGTCATGCTTCAAGCGACGAAGGACTTCTGTCTTCTCCACAGGAGTAAGAAACTTGGCAGTGTCGGGGTAGTCGTGCATCGCAAAGTAAGCCACGATGGCGACCAGGACCGTGAGGATACCTTCAAGAATGAAAATCCAGTTCCAGCCACTGAGGCCGGCAACTCCGTCCATTTCCATAATACCACGGGCAATGACACCACCAAAAGCACCGGCGGCAGTGGCCGAAGCAAAGAAGATGGACATGCGGAGACCGCACTCCTGACGCTTGTACCACATCGTGATGCTTAGTTCTGATTAGCCGATCGTACAGGATTGGCCTGGCGGAGCAAAATATACGTACTAGTAAGTTAGGCCTGGGAACAAGCCACCTTCAGCAAGGCCAAGAGCGCAGCGAACAACAAGCAAGCTAGGGAAGTTCTTGACAGCACCGGTAATGATGGTACAGGTTCCCCAAGCGACCATGATGGAAGGAATCCAAATAGAAGGACGGAAACGCTTCATGGCAATGTTGGAGGGGATTTCAGCTACGACGTAAAAGGGAAAGAAGATGGCGACGGCGGTCTTCATAATCAACAGTTAGCATTTCTGGATTTTTTTGCCCCGTAAATTTTTTCACAGCTTACACTGTAGTCAAACTTGTTGACCATACCGAGATCCTCTTCCATGCCGGCCAGCTTAGCGTTTCCGATACTGGCACGATCAAGAAATGAAAGAAGGTAGAGCAAGGAGAGGAACGGGAGCAGCTTCTTATCGAGCTTGCGAATCAGCTTTCTCTCTTCCTGAGGAGCGAAGCCAATCGAGTCATCGATCGTTTCATAGTTGAGAAGGTCCTTGGAGCTGGTATTCGTCGAGATGCCAAGTGCAAAGGATTCGAAAGACTTGGATGGCGTGGCGGTCTTGTCGTGGAAGGAGTCCTCGGACTTCATGGGCATGATGGTACTTCTTCTGTTACCCGACATCTTGACGATGGTTGGTGGCTACCCGAGCAAAGATTGTGGCGTTTGCTTGGCGTTTTCTTGGTGTTCGATGTTCATGAACTTTTAAGATGAGAATTCTAGGAAGAAAGCCCAGAGTATAAGCCGGAGTTGCGCAGATCTATATATCAACGGGCCATAGTAAGCGTTGCGTCTGGCTACTGTTGGTTCACTTTCTTGCTGGCTGCTCATTTGCTACCTGACTTGCACAACACATCCAGCACAATGCTAGAGACAATGACACAATCAAGTACCTAACGTTAGGCGAGGCAGGCAATGAGACGCTGCGGGCTGTGAGCGTTGCTGTTTGCGCCCACCTCTACGGCTACGCTGAAAGTGTCCATCGCGACAGAGCTTTGTCGCAGAATCTGAACCAATGGACGACAGTACAAGCAGAGCTCACAACATCAAAGTGTCGCAAACCCTTGGGGCCTCATAGTGGAGAGCATCCTGCTGCGTTTAGCGAGAGCTGCGCCGGCCTGCGAACCGCCAGGGCATCAGAGTGTTATCGAATATGGGGTAGAGGGCTCCTTCAGTTTCACACTGGTCAGCACTTAACAGAAGGTGTCTGAGCATTTTTGATGGTAATGCGTACAACGTCGCAGCATGTGGGGGATGAATAAAAGTGTCTTACACGCAAGCGTCTGCGCGCGCGCACTACAAAGTATAAGCGCGAAGAGCCGACAGCGCTAAAGTGTGCAATCCTGTACTCAGACGACCGCCTCAGTATTGAAAGCAAAAACATGGGGAGGGGCACCAAAATAGCAGAGACGTGGTTTTTGGCGATGTTTAAGAATTTGCGTTGGTTGTCTTGAACAAAGATAGCAGCGATATCAACGTCGAGCTGCACGAGGCCGAGTACGGTGTTTGGTCCTACGCGGCGGCAGTTATTTTCATTCTGGGAATTGTACATTTCCGGAATGGAGCATTCGGGTGTTCGTTGTGCCATTTACTGGTCGATCCATACTCGACTGTGGTATACTTGTTCTCAATACTACGCTCTACGAATGACGCCAGCCGTACCTTGTTGCGACGATCCGCACGCTAACATGGAGCGAAGCATGCATATTGTTCCGTCGATTACCTGTCAGTTAATCTGCCGCGAGGTATCTACGAACTGGCCGTTGCGATAATTATTCTCCCTGTGTTGCATAGTCGCTGCAGATCCCTAGATTGCATCTACTTTGCCCCTCCAAGTGCTGCTACGGTGGAATTCAATATACACATCTACATTCTGCAATTACCCAGGGCTTTCCATGAGTCTAGAAATAGTTTTTAACCGAACGGGCTTTTCTATTCGGTGTAACCAATAGAGGCTTTTCTATCCATGGATCGGATGGAAAGGTAGCGTTGCTACGCTGCTCGGAAAACACGGCGCGAAGTAGTCACAGACGCAAAAGAATGGTATTTCAATAACAAATTTAGCCCGTCTTGAGGGGCCATTTCTACTGGTTGGTGGTGCTGGCTAAACGGTGCTACGACACTGCTGAGGACGTTCGAATAAGGCTGATTTGTTTCTGGGGACAGCATCTAAGGGCAATGACGGAATGACGGCAGTGGAATCGTTTCAGTGGTTTCACGTCAGTGGTTAGATATCGTGTCTCATGATGTAGCTGAGAGCACGTAACGGGGGAAACCGCCCGACGAATCTCTCAACACACTCGGAAGCATGCGCAGTGGCCCCAGGCATAGATCCCAAGTGTATCACTGGGTACTTACAGTGGTCTTGTGGCTGTGTGGCTTGAATTCTATGTCTTTTACCGTTTCTAGAATCCGCTGAAATATCTCTGGCTGTGGCATTCTTACTCCGGAGAGACTCGCCAAGTCTACAGTTCTGTGGCTTGCCCAGAGTGTAGGCACCGTCGATTTGGGTAAGATTGATGATGCTTATTTCCATGTACAACCGTTCATGACTTGGCCTTTAGATATCGTTGCTCGGAAATCTTTTTGCAAATCTCCGCTTCAGCATATAAAAATAGATGCTGGCGCTCGTAGGACACAAAGATCATCACCAGGCGACACTAAGCCACCCCAAAATGGAGTCCTCCGGCTATGATCAGCAGCTTATTTCGGGAAACACCACAGGCACAAGAATCATATGCCTGGTTAGTGCACCAGATCTTCATGACCCATCATTTTACTCTGAATTAGGTGACTCAATCGGTGGCATACTGCTGATGTACGCCCTACAGCGCCAGACATATTATGCCCTCGCGCTTACCATCTCTCGAAATGGTACTGGCTGTTCTCGCGTCCTGTACCTTGTCTTGATTATAGCTAACCCGACGTCATTACGATCCAGCTGCAAGCTTTGCCGAATACCCGTGTTTTTTTCGTCGAGGTTTCAAGTTTGCTTATTTCTCTAGCTGTGTCAGGCTATTTATATCGAACCTATTTTTGCTAATGGCCCCTTTGACAAACGTCCTGCACGGTGTAAGCAGCTAACTTGCCCATGTAGCGGGCAGACCGACTTTCAGCAATTCTTCGTCCTCTTTTTGACATGAGGCAAATATATCCGGTTGAATATCTAAAGAGTGACCTTTTTTCGGCACTGCATATGTTGCTTCACCAATACTAGTGTAGGAGTATTACAGAGTGCGACCTCCCTGGCGGCGAAGATTCGGCAGCACTGAAACTGCGACACTGTGGCCGTGAAGCCGAGTTGCTGTGGCAGCCGAAACGGAGACGTCATTTGCAGCTATTTCCATCTGTCATGATTACTAGAGAAGAGAATGGGTGTCACATTTTCCAACGCCGACATGCCGAAACTGTAGAGAGGCTCAGTTTGATACTGATGCGATTTCTATTTGTTAGGCACACAACGTAATATGTTGGTGAACTTACGGTAAGTGAAATTTAAATTTGCATTCTTGTCATTTTCACCAGTTACTCAGTGAAGTTTTTATTTCCGCTTTGAGATTGGAGGAAATGTGACAGTGGATGTTGCAAGGTAACAATCTTTTATCTAGCACTACCCTGCATAAGGCGCAGAGATTGGAGACAGAGTGGGAGATCGTCGTAAATACGGATACTACGTATAGGGTGTGTAAACTAGGCTAGAAGATATGTTATGAGGATAAAACTTACAGAGCGTCTTCTGTCCATTTGTACCATACAATTGGTACGCTTTCGAGATCAGTCACGGGGCTGTGGTCGTGACCATGATGGTGCAGAATAACAAGGCACTTTCGATTCTGTAGGCCGAAGCTATCTTGTACCGGACACCAGCGCTCTTGAGAGAACTCGGAATCTCTCTTCCAGTCTTGTTGACATATTATATCTTTCAGAAAGCTGTTTTTTTTTCAGCGTAATCCGCGCCAGGCACCAGATGCGTCACAGTCTGAAGTATCACTCGTAGTTTTGGACTAGAGTCTATTATAGCTGAAGGTTGTTGCTCTATAGAAGTTTCCATGGTTGCTTTGATAGCATTTTGGTAAGGAAAGAAGAAAATGGAAAAGAAAAAAAATACGAGTGAAAAAATAATAGTGAAAGAGAGAGAGCATATTTAAAGTTAACATAGATTCTAGGTTTGGCGAATCAATGATACATCTATTAAAGGGTATAAAGTTTAGCTCCATCTAACAACTAGTAATGAAGCATGGGCGACTTTGTATTGAAATATTCTGTCCAATTTAAGAGGTTTTAAACTGATATAAGAAGAGTTTATTGGCTAAGCTACTAGATTCTTGCTATTAGAACCAGACAGATCAAGAATAGACTCAGCCTTAATGGCCCTGTTAGCTAGTTTGACTGTTACCGAGCAACGGCCACCTTGTCCTACGACTGCCTATAGGCTTGCAAAACGGATAAAAACACCGAATAAAATAAGCCTCTATGAATTTATAATCCTGCAGATATTATACAATAAATTTCCACCTTTTTTTATGTTGCGACTCTCAAGTCATGCATCATTCTCCCTGCGTCTACCCCACGAAATGAGGCCCGACTCCTGATCCAGAAAGATCATCGCCTCCCCCACCCCACGCACTACTGGAATGTAACGTTGGGGGAATACAAACAAAAGGCGGAGCTAGAAGGGACGAGGCTCACCTTTTGCATCGTTGTTTGTCGTGCGGGGAAGAACAAAAGGACATCAATTGACTCCTCTGCTGCTGCTATCTCCGGCTTTAATCGCCTCTATCTACGCCAGACAAATAGCGCTCCTCCAGATCAGCGAAAATGCTGTCTCATTTGGTCGCAGCTACCACTGCTCTTGGCCTCTTTGCTGGCCTCAGCGATGCCTCGTCGTCGTGGATGAACCATACACATGTCCCTCGTGTCGCTCAGTCTTGTCCCAGCTATAATGACTACTCCAAGGTTCCTCATGCGCCTTATTCGGGCGGCAAGCTCAAGCTTCCCTTTATGCGCCCTAGCGAGGAGTGCAGGACGTTTACCAGTCCTGCTGTCGAGGTACGATGGCCATGTGCCGCTATCCGAAACCAGCTGGAATAGAGGTGCTAACGATTCACATTAGAAAGTTATTCGTGATATGAAGCAGCGCCTCAAGGATCCCGATCTGGCTCGACTCTTTGAAAACACTTTCCCCTCGACGCTCGACACTACGGTCAAGTACTTTGACCCTGATGTCAACTTGGCGTTCATCATCACCGGTGTATGTGCCTCAATTGAAAGCTCGGCCGTATTGTTGCTAACCCAGACTATAGGATATCACGTAGGCTAAGGCATACTAATTAATATCGACGTCTCAGTCTGCTGATCGATCTTAGCGCCCAATGGCTTCGCGACACTGGCAACCAATTTGCTCATCTCTACCGCCTGCTGCCCCATGATAAGAATCTTCAGAAGCTGGTCAAGGCCGTTATCAACACCGAGGCGCGATACATTTACCAGTTCCCCTACTGTGGTAGGTATCCGGCTGTTTTATTCGCTTCGTTTAAATTTACTGACACTCGGTGCTTTAGGATCATTCCAACCTCCCCCAGAAAGTGGCCTGGCGCCATCGCACAATGTAAGGGAACAGATCCAAAGTCTCTCATCTTCAATCGAAACTAACTGGATGCACAGGACTATGCTGACCATGTTCGAATCAACCCGTACGTTGTCCAACTTTTAGTGGCGCACTACCAGCACCAATCAACTAACACCATAACAGCCCCGTTGATGACAAGGTCGTGTTTGAGTGCAAGGTACTACTCCCCATGTACTTGCCTGAAAAGAATGCTAACAACTCATAGTACGAACTTGACTCGTTGGCTGGATTCCTAAAGATCTCTCGCTCCTACTACCAGTACACCAAGGACGACTCCTTTATCAACGACAACTGTAAGAAGGCCGTGTCATCTCGTTGTATCTTGATCAGAGCTAACTGTCTACTAGGGAAGCGAGCCATGAAGACTATTCTGCAGCTCATCAACGATCAATCACAGTCCTCTTGGTCCGACGATTTCAAGTTCATCAGCTACTACAACTGGACTGGCACCGCCGGCTCTCTGTCTCCTCCCGTCACCAACAGCGGCAACGGTGAACCCAAGCTGGCCAACGGTTTAGTCGGATCCAGCCATAGACCCTCAGATGATCTCTGCGTCTTCAACTACATCACTGCTGACAATGCCATGATGGCCGTTGAGCTCGGCCTCGTCGCTGATGTGCTGGACGAAGTGGAAACCTTGGGTGATGTTTCCGACCAAGCACGCAAGTACTCAGACATTATCAGAAAGGCTGTCCAGGATCATACCAAGACTTCCAATGGCATCTACGCCTATGAAACAAACGGCTACGGCGGCATGTACATCATGGACGATGCCAACGTCCCCAGCCTGCTCTCGCTTCCGTACTTGGGATTTGTCAACAGAGACGATGCGACATACGTCAAAACCAAGAATGCCATGTTTTCACGCATGAACCCATACTACGCCGAGGGAAAGAAGTTCAAGGGCATTGGGTAAGTTCTTATCAAAGGGGACAGAAATAGTATAGTGTACTAACCTGCCTGCAGCGGTCCTCACGTCAACGCAACATACCCGTGGCCCATGTCGCAGATCAGCGGCATCTACGGTACTGATGATGACGATGAGATTCGTGAGCGCCTTGCTCTCATCATGGAAAACACATCTGGTCTTGGTCTCATCCATGAAAGCATCAACATCTACGACGCTAACGACTATACCCGCCCTTGGTTTGCGTGGGCCAACTCGTACTTTGCTGAAATGGTGCTTGATCTCGCAGAGAGAAAGCCAGAGCTCATCTTCAAGGATAACACACACTATGTTGTAAACGACTCTTTCTAAGAACAACGTGTGTACAGAGTTGGCGATTGTTCAGGATATCAAACTATTTATATTTAATACAAGAAATTTACTAGCGCGTTTAAATTACAAAGGCTATACCGTACGGGAAAACTTCACTCATGAATTCGTCTTATCAGAATTCTTTGCCAGCGCTTCGCAATGTGCAATGACTTCTCTTGCCACGTTATCGGCACCATCGCCCTTCTTACGACACATTTCCGCTAGTGCTGTGGCTTTTTGCTTCATGGAAGCAGACTTCGGTCCTTGTAAAACCTCAAGAATAGCAACGGACAGTTCGGTGACGTCCCATCGCGGCTTGTTATGTCTACTACCGTGGATGCCGATGCCATGAAGCTCAGCACGCTCAGCGTAATCATAGCAATCTGTCCAAACGGGCAAGATTACCTGAGGTACGCCAGCCCTGTTCATTTAAGTTAGCTAAATACTATACAAACTCCATATGTGTCTCAATACTTACACAAGCACTTCATTGAAGGAGTTGGCACCTCCGTGATGCACAGCGCCAATGACATTACCGCTCCTTAGTACTGCGCTGGGCTCAGGTTTGAGCCATTTCACTATACGTAAGCGGTCATCGGCTTGAAAGTCATGAACAAGGCGGCCAATAGGACAGTCCTTGCCTGTCATCTCAAATTCCCCCAACTTTTTGATCTTCCACAGGATTTGCAGTGGACGACCCTTAGCATCAGTTATTCCATTCTCAAGAACCCGAACGAGCGCTTTGGCCATTTCAACAGCCCACTCCTGCGTAAACTGGAAAAGCGATCCCAGGTTGACATAGAGAGTTGGCCTCAGGGCAAGCCAGTCTGCCAATTCAGAGTCAACTGACTGAACTGGTGCGGCTTTACGAATAATTGGACCGCATGGAACAATGTAATCCGGTTTGACCAGTGGAAAGTCTATTTCTGGCCAGGTGCTAACAAGCATTTTCAGATTCTTGGGCTGATTGCGGACGTAATCCAGCGGCGTCTTCATTTCAGCACCGGTTTGCTTTTTAAAGTCTCGGGCTGTGTCGAAGCCGCGAGTGTAGTTGAGCCACCGGTGGACAAACAGGATGTTCCAGAAGATGTTGAGCGGGATCTGATACCATGGCACGGGGTATCTGTATCCAGAACACATGCTACAAGTGGTGGTTAGCGTCTATGGTATCATTTCGTAGTATTGTCTCAGTTAGACCGGGGACTCTCGCCGGTAGGGAACCAAGCCTCACCGTTGGATGGGAATAAAACGCTATGGTAATTTTCAGGATGATACGATAAAAGGAAAATAGATGTCACTTACGCGGGGAACTTCCAAAGGTTTGCCTGGCGAGGCTGCAATGGAGCAGCAAAGTCTTTGATAGCGTTGGGGGACAGGCATATGAAAGGCACGTCCAAGTAGCAACAGGCAGTAAGAGCCGCCGAGAAGAGACTATCAATGAGAACCACACCGGCATTAACAGAGTTGATGATTTGTACAATAGAGTCAAAGATCTGGATGAGACGGGGCGTTGTGTACGGCATGAAGACTCCAAGCAGTTCCCTGTTAAGCTGTTTCGTGACGCTAAAGCTCAGTTTCTTGCTTGTAGATGCTAGCATACTGCCCTGCATCTCTATCCCTTCCATGTCATAGACCTCGCGAATAGACTCCTCAGAGTTTGGGCCGTCGATAACGTGGTAAACGATGGGGAAACGAGCTTCTGGCACAGCCTCTTTGGAATCGTTCCAAACGGCCTTGACAGTAGACTCAAGGCCAGAAAAACAGGCAAAGTGAATCTGTACAAGAGGATCTTGAGCAATTAGAGCACTGCAGGTCGCAAGAAAGACGTTGGCCTCTCCACGTTCCACGTTGGTGAGCATGAGAATGCGCCGCGAGGGCTGCTCAACGGATGACTCTTCATCAACCATAGTTGTGAAGTCTGTACTGGTGATATTTTCTATTGCCAAGAAATACGCAAATAAAAAAAGAGGCAGAATAATAAAGAAGAATATCAAATTAATTAAAACGCTGGATTTTGATGTTCATGAGCGCGGCGACTGGGCGGCGCGCTACGACCTCTACAGCGTGTCGCAGGTACAAAGGGCAGCGCAGGATGAGACACATCCCTCAGCGCACACTGCTCAAAGCCAATTCCTCAGGGATCAGCGCGCCCCCTTTTTCGCACTCTCTGGCAAATACAGGGAGCTTTGATCGCTACAATTGCCGCGTCCGGTGTGTTTTGCCGGGAATACCGCCGCAGCTCAAGACGAGCCGTGAGCTCAGTTTGCCGTAGTTAGTCCCGTTGCGACTAGCGAGTCAGCTCGTCGCCCATGTTGCATGGTCTATTGGCGAAAGCCTTCTAGCGCTGCAGGGACCATTAAAGAACGTGCAGCGCCTGCAGGTGCTGGAGCTTCTTGGAGTAAATGCGTTAGTCTGGCACGGTAGTAATGGTGCCGACGTACGACTTGACTCGCTGACAGTTAATATGGGCACTAGAAAACTTCCCCTAGTGCGTGGCGTACAAGATCGTCCTGGCACTAGGCTATTTATCGCAGAGCCTAGATCACGCCATGCAGGTGACACTGATAGGCCGGCTTCAACACTAGCGCTAGCCGAAGGAGATACGCTCTTCCCATGTGAATAGGCAACCCGGTAGACAATTTCTAAATTGTTAATAATACGCTGCAAAGTAATATCCGGCCCTATGCAGGCCTGCAGGTAACAGGCCCTTGGGAAATACCTGGCTGTGTAATGGAGTTTCAGAGAGACGACGATGTAAGCCACGGCAAGTGTGGTGATGCCTTCACAAGCCGAGAGGATCTGCATGTGGTGTCGGGAATGGTTCGGCGAACACTCACTCCATCGCCGAAATCCGACCAAAGAATTAGCTTTGCCTTATGAAATCGGAGCGGCAGACATGTCTCTTCGTATCTCAACCAACGAATTGTGCTCTTCGCTGGGCCATCTCTTCCATTCCTCCTAAAAGCTGCTGTTAGTGCCTGTAAAGCCATACGGGTTGTCGGCATAACCATTAAGAGCCGACAAGATATAACCCCTCATGGATTCGGAGCCGATCACTTTTGGGCTAATTAGGGGTGATGCGCTGCAGCATGATGCTGCAGCCTTGCAAACAAAGGAGATAATATCTCCACGCCCTATGGAGTTTGGGGGGTTCCTCGGCTGCCATCGTCGTCTAACTACCGGCTTTTACCGTGGCAAACGGAGTTGCCCGGTAAGCATTTCCGAAGTGCACTAGCCCAATGCTCTATCTCGACATGGATAGAAAATCCTTCTAATAATAGTCTTCCCCAATGAGCGGCTTCGAGCCGTAACCGTGTTTCAGTTATCGTGCATCCTGCAGCAACATGGGCACCTTCGCTTCACCTAGCCCATATTGTGGCTGACTAGACTGGGGTTGTGCATAAGTTGGTTGCAAGACCAGCAATGCCAAAGGATGCAACCCTCTCGACAGCGCCGGAAACTGGGGAATTAACTTTCCAAGTTGATCAGCGGCTTCTAACTTGTCCCTTCGGCACCACATTGCCATTCTTGAAGCGAACACCACGTGCAGCTTACTGATTAGCGTGCCCTACCAAGGTGCCTGAACTCTAAATTGCCGGAAACAGGAGCGATTGTTGCGCTCCTTTTTCATCATTATCGTGTCATCCGCTCTAAATCACGCTAGTTTGTGAAATCGACATATCATAACTATTCTGGGATAGCGCCAAGACTAGTCGACGCCTGTCTATAGGTTGTTGCAACGATGTTACCTAGTTTTGATAAGGAAGTCGGTACCGTCCTGTAACTTAGATCGTCTGTACAAAGTTCGAATCCAGAGTACGGAGGGAGCCGAGGTTTGATTGAATTGATTAAACATGGGTCTAGAAGAATCAGGCTTTCTATGCGCGCTAAGAATGAAGGGGGTGTGATGTAGTAAGGCCCTATACTGCAACAACCCTGGCACGATCCAGAGTGCTATCAATGGCTTCTGCTAATTCCTGGACTGTTCGAGGGTCTCGTGGGACAGTGTGCCCTTTTCCGTGGTCAAACAAGACGGCAGTGTCCTCATCACACATGGCATAGAGAGCCATGGCTCCATGGATGTACGGGTCATTGCAACCAACAATGTGACAGGTAGGGATATCAATAATGTCCTCACACTCGTCAGCCAACAGGCATCTCACATGCTCGCCATCTACCTGCACTGGGGGCCAGCCAGCAAAGAAGATACCATACTTGATACGTCGGGGCTTACCGTCCAGCTCGCGGCGGCGGCGCTCTTCAAGGATCAAGGTGGCAGCTGTGGTTGCTCCCTCCGAGTACCCAAGGATTCCCTGTCAAGAATAGTTAGACTGCGTCAATGTACCGCGTCAAGTAGTCATGCACTTACGTCAATTTCAGGATCTTCGTCAATGATGGCAAAAAGGCGATCCATGGTGTCAATAATGGCACCAGATGTCCATAATTCCTCCTTTCCCATGAGAAGACGCATTGATTCTTCCGCAGAGAGCCCAGTAGGCATGTCGCGAATCTTCTCAATCACGTCATCAACAGCACTCACGCCATCAAAGTTGATGTGTCGGTACAGAGGAGGTGCACCAAAATAAGACTCAAAGCCTGTAGGAGGGTCGACTGCATGGCCGCCATTAATCCATTTGAAATCAACCGACCCAGGCTTTTCCACGGCGCTCACAAACGGCGCTAATTGGACTTGAAAGTTCTTGAATGGCTGGTTAGAAGCGGCCCATAGTAAAACTCGGCATCTTAGAGCACTTACTTTTTCGCTTCCAAAAGCACCGTGTAAACAGAGAACCTTCATCTTTGATGATGTGAATTTGTTACTTGTTTGTTGTTAAAACTGTGCGGGCTGTGGTAGAGAGCTGCGTTGATGAATGGCCAAGGGAGGGAGAGCGGATGTGGCTGGTATCCCTAGAGCGTACCCTCGAAATTTGCTGTTGAAAATTGTGTCCACTACCCTTTGAAGGCTTTTGGAAAATTGCAAAGGATTAGTTTTTGAATAATATAGGACAAACTTTTATATCTGCCCTTGTCACTGGCGTTGTAATATACAGGGTCCCCTCACGGCGTGGTAGGTAGCCTTCTCCAGCGAATCGACCCAGGATCCAGTACACGAGTCGGCGCACTGGCTTACTTTGGGTGAAGGCAACGAAACCGGCAAAAATGAAGCGGCAATGGAGGAACGATAATAGCCGAGGAGATAGTAGATTGTAATACGGAGACGATTAAGCCAGTCCCCAAGGTTCACCATGCCGCAATATCGCGAGAACGTGAGCTAGATAGATTTCGTATGCCATGGGCGCGTCCAATAACGTCACATCCAAGGGAGAGAGGGCGTGGCGTTAGCTTAGTTCACCTTGCGTGAGGTACACCACTCTACCGTTGTTGACCTGTGCGGCAACAGGGATTCCACATCCCAATTGGGGGGTTCCTAGAGAAGTTAGCGTCGCTCTAACACAAGTAGGGCTCTGAGAGTGCCCAAGATCTTAGATTGTGTCCAGTCACCTCCTCAAGAGTAGCATCCACAAGAACTCGCAAGTCGTATCGCGGCAACCAAAATGGAACCTCGTATCATTATACACGATACATGTAGTTGAACGGCATCAAACGTTATTCGGGGTAAACCGAAGCGCCCTGTTAATAGTGACCTTGACTGTTGCGCTGTTGCGCGACGGTTCTCCAGCTCCCTGCTCAGACGGGGGAGCATGGCGCTATAATCTGTTCTGGATGTTGCTGCTGTAGTACAATCTGAAATCCTGCCCTCGGCCAAATGGAATAGCCATCGTTGTCGTGTCCTGAGAATCGAGATGAGACCGTCCAACTGTTAGTTATCGATTTTTCTCCAAGACCTGCCAAGTGGCGCCCTTCCCTTCCTGTGCTTTGTTTGACGAAGCGCATCCGCATTCCGGCGCCTTTTACGCGCCGCACTAATTCCAGTCATTCGACTTACACACCCGGTGATCGCGTGTCGCCGTTAAAGAATTCCAGTGTCCAGCGCGTTTTTCGGCCAAATTGGTCGAAGAGCACAGCGAAGGAGATTTGGCTGGATGTAGGGCTATCGAGTTAACACTACCTGTACGATGATGGTGTTTGGCAAACATTCTTTGTGTATTTGGCCTATTATTAGGTACAGTGGCCATTTTCATATTCACAAAAAAGATTGAACCTGAGTTTGTCTCCGGCAAACCAGATGCCACATGATGCCACGTCGACGAGGAAGCATTTGCCATTGCCAGCTGGCGCAGGTGGCAACCCAACAGGTGTCTAGCCACTCTGCCTAACTTCTCTAGCTTCACAATTTATTTTTCTCATGTATATTAATCTTCACAATGTTACGCTCACTTTTCTATTCATCTCAATAAAACCATTGGGATGTTTGATTGGACCAATTCAATCTGCACCAAACAGAGCTCTCTTCTTCTCTCCTCGCATCCAGGCCCACGCCCCTCCAACTTGTCTTTGCACCCCTCTTCAAGCAAATGGCTAAGCTGCTGTTGTCCCTGAAGAAGCAGAGACCAATGGCCGTCAGGTCTCAGTCCTGTAGTCGCCACTGGCTATCGGTAACGCTTCTAAGACTAGAGTCCTCTAGCTGCAGCGCGTCCAGCATCCTTTACGCCTTGTGGATTTCAAGAGCATCTGCAACTGTATGATACTAGATCCATCTTAGCATACATCGTCGCCGAATCTCAAGTGTTAATTACTTCATGGTAGGAAATACAAGGCCATGTCAGGATTCCTAGACTAGCACTACTACTCAATTTTAAGACACACCCAATGACCTCGGTGGTATCCCTAGGCCAATCGTCCTCCCTGCGACGCCCTGGCTCAGGTACAATCACGAGCGGATCGCTAGCGAGATCCACCCTTTCAGTTACACCCCCCTCTACCCTTTGGAGGCAGCCCTGAAGTTAAAAAAAAAAAATGATGCTCATCAGGGCCATAGCGCCTACATGGGCCTACTGGGGGAAGAACTATGGTGGGAGCTGAGGAGAAGCCGGAATTATCGCCAATGCAACCATGTTTATTTGCCGTGACATAGCTCGGCAGACTGAAACGCGATACAGCGGACTGTCTTCCGTCTCCACCTGCCGATAGCTCACCAAACAACGGTGGCGAGGAGTAGTGGTGCTGAACTGGCCTGGGGCGGCAAAGATGAAGCCGGCTCGTGGGGGGGAGATCGTTACTCCTTATCGAAAATGAAATTCAAGGTATTTTCTTTATGAGAACTGGGTGCGAGGGATACAAGGCAACCTGAGTGAAGGGCGTGGGTGGGCACATTCGTTGGCGCCGCCCTCACGCCCCATATGTCTGGTAAAACAGGTCCACGAAACGTGCCTTTGGTTCATCTTGCGAGCTCTTTGGGCGAAGTGATATAGATTCCCTCCATTCCCTCACCTTGTCCTCTTCTTGTTCCGTTGTTCTTCATGTTTGACCACTCTTTTTCAGCGGCAGTCCAGTTGTCCTTCTTTAACCATCGCTTCAAGCTTACCACGACCTCTCTGAGCCTGCCGCACTGAGCTGCTTCTTTCTTTACTCGAAACATTCCAACCAATATCACAGTGATTTACGCGCCTACCACAGTCACAATATTTCGCCACTCGATCTTCTGAGAAGTTGCTTTGAGCAACTCGTCCTCCAGGACTAACCCATTCTACTTACATATCCATATCGTCTGTTTATAATCACGCCATTACAAAATCATGTCCACCGAACCTTCGCCATACACGGCCCCTATTGCCATTGTTGGCATGTCTTGTCGCCTCTCCGGAGACGTTGAGAACCCAGATGATCTCTGGACTTTACTTTCGCGTTCTCGAGATGGCTGGACACCGATCCCCAAAGATCGCTTCAATAGCGATGCCTACTACCATCCCAATCCGCAAAAGAAGGGTTGCTTCAACAACAAGGGTGGCTATTTTTTGAAGCGAGATTTGGCCAAATTCGACGCACCATTCTTTTCACTGACGAAACAGGAAGCTGAAGCAATGGGTAAGTATTTTCTTCTTACTCCCTTTCCCCCAGGTGGACTGTACTTGAGGGAGGCATTCAGAACAGGGGCCACGATGACAAAATAAACCATAAAGCTAACTGGAAATCCGCAGATCCTCAACAGAGACAAGTCCTTGAGTGTACATATGAAGCGCTGGAAAACGCGGGTTTTCCCAAGGAATACGTCTCTGGTAAGAAGATGGGTGTCTTTCTGGGTACCGCAACCTCTCAGTACCGCATGGGCTCTCTGAGGGATGTGTCTCAAATACCCATGTTTGATGTAACAGGTAACCATTCGGCGATCCAAGCCGGTCGCATTTCGCATTATTTCGATCTGCGTGGACCGTGTTTCTCTGTGGACACAGCGTGCTCGTCTGGTCTGCATGCCCTGCACTCGGCCGTCCAGAGCATCCGATCGGGCGAGTCCGACTCCGCCATCGTCGCAGCCAGCAGCCTCCACCTTCAGCCCGACGACATGATTTCTATGTCCATGTTGGGGTAAGTGGCACCACGAGCTTTCCTAAACGGGCCATTTGCTAACCATCCACTTTCGATCGATCGCAGTATTTTCAACGAGCACGGACGTACATTCGCATTTGACCACCGCGCAAAATCCGGATTTGCTCGCGGTGAAGGCACTGCAGCTTTGATTCTCAAGCCTCTCGACCAGGCCATCCGCGACAATGATAAAATTCGATCAGTGATTGTCAATTCTGGCATCAACCAGGATGGCAAGACTGTTGGTACGTAACGCTCCCTTTGGACAGGGGTGGACGACTCCCTGCAAGTCAGCCCAAAGCGCATACTAACCGTGATCACCAGGATTGTCCACACCAAGTGGAGAAGCGCAGGAGCAGCTCATGCGCGACGTTTACGCCCGCGTCAATATTTCCCCCACAGACACAGGCTATGTTGAAGCCCATGGCACTGGAACCAAAGTTGGAGACCCAATTGAGGCCACGGCGATTAAAAATGTGTTCAGTGAAGGACGCACGAAGCGATCCCCGCTGTACATGGGCTCAGTGAAGACGAATGTCGGCCACATGGAAAATGCCAGCGGTCTGGTCTCGATCATCAAGTCTGCTATGATGCTCGAGAAGGGATTTATCTTGCCCAATGTCAACTTTGAAAAGGCAAACCCTGCGATTCCCTTGGACAAGTGGAACATGAAAGTGCCGACTACCATCAGACTCTGGCCCCGGAACAAGCGCTACATCTCAGTAAACAACTTTGGCTTTGGTGGCTCCAATGCCCATGTTGTTCTGGAGCGTGCCCCAGTCAACATTCCCAAAGAAATTGAGATTGAGAGCCGAGCTGAGACTCATCGACTTATTGTCGTCTCTGGCCATGATGAGGAGGCTGCGAAGCGAGCGGGCAAGCAGCTCGGTGTTTATCTTGAACAGCATCCCGAGATCTTTCAGAAACGCCTTATGCGCGACGTTTCTTACACACTCGGTGAACGCCGCACCCACCATCCATACAGAATTGCAATTCCTGCAACTTCCTTTAGCGACTTGGCTACGTCGCTGAACGGTGTTGCAGCTCTGCCCACACGTGCCTCTACCATCACGCCTACTTTAGCCTTTGTTTTCACTGGACAGGGCGCTCAGTGGCCACAAATGGGCAAGGAGCTGATGGATTCTCACGAAATTTTCAACAAGACCGTGACTCAAGCTTCTGATTACCTGTTGTCCATCGGAGCCGAATTTTCTCTCGTGGATGAGCTTCTCAAGCCCAAAGATGTGTCGATTGTAGGGCAAGCTCATATCTCCCAGCCAATTTGCACTGCTGTACAGCTTGGTCTTATTGAACTGCTGGCCAGTTTTGGTATCAAGCCGTCCATGGTCATCGGCCATTCATCTGGTGAAATGGGTGCGGCCTACGCTGCGGGTGCACTGACTATGGAACACGCAATGGCCGCTGCATACTACAGAGGCCAAGCTGCTGTCCAGATTAAACAGAAGCACCCTAACCTTCGTGGTGCTATGTTGGCTGTTGGCGCTGGCCCCGATGAAGTGAAGACTATCATCAAGAGCCTCGGCCTCTCAGGCGTCACTGTCGCCTGCGAGAACTCGCCAAGCTCTATCACTGCTTCTGGAGAGGAAGAAGCCGTCGACGCATTGGCGGCAGAGCTGGAAAAGCGAAACATGTTTAACCGCAAGCTTCGAGTCGATGTTGCATACCATTCGTCTCATATGGAGCTTACAGCCAACGAATACATGGCCTCCATTCAGCATGTACATGCTAAACCTACGGATGGTGCCGTTAAGTTTTACTCATCTCTTCTGGGCCGAAAGATCCAGGACACTGGCATCGTTGGTGCACAGTACTGGGTGGATAACTTGACAAAGCCAGTTCTGTTCTCCTCTGCTCTGAAGCATTTGTACGAAGACAGCAAGCCAGATGTCATCGTTGAACTCGGACCTCATGCTGCTCTTGAAGGACCCATCAAGCAAATTCTCAAGGACATCAGCTCGCAAGCCGCTTCCAACACCAAGTATTTCTCTGCCCTGATGAGAAATCAGAATGCTGCGCAGACTGCTCTTAAGCTAGCCGGCAATCTTTTCTGCCGTGGTTTGTCTATCGACTTTGAATCTGTCAATCAGACTGTTCAGAATGGCCAGAAAGCGCATGTTATCGCTGATTTAGCCCCTTACCCATTTTCTGAGCATACCTACTGGTACGAGTCACGTACTAGCAAGCAGCATCGATTGAAGCCTTTTGGCCGCCACGATCTGCTTGGCCTCCTTGAGGACACTTACAATGAAGCTGAACCGACATGGCGCAACACAATCAACACAGACGATATCCCTTGGCTAAAGGATCACAGAATGCAGTCTCTCCCCACGTTCCCGCTCGCTGGTTACCTTTCTATGGCTGTTGAAGCCGTTTACCAGCGAAACGTTCTCCGTGGAGTCTCTAAGGATCAGATTTCTGGATACCGCCTTCGCGAGATCCAAGTTACCAAGGCTTTCATCCTCGAAGAAGGGGCCCAATACGAGACAAGTGTGTCTTTTAACTCTTTTGCAGAAGGCACTCGGTCTTACTCCAGTGATTGGGATGAATTCCGCATCTCTTCTTGGGCTCCAGGACGAGGATGGCTCGAGCACTGCCGTGGTCTTATTGGCATCAAGAAAACAGGTACACTTAACCCTGTTAGCGACCATCTTCTTCGGGCTGCAATGGATCGCCGCAGCGCTATGAATGAGGCTACTTCTACTACTCTTGACTATAAGATCTTCTATGAAGAGCTTGACGCGCGCGGAGCTGGTTATACTGGCCCTTTTGCAATGCAACCAAATGGAACTCTCAGAGTTCAAGGTCAATACTCCTCAGCCGATGTTATTGTTCCCGAGACAGTAAGCCAGATGCCTCATACCTTTGAAGCTGATGCCATTGTTCGCACCTCTTTCATCGACATCTTTTTCCAGCTTACCTACGCCATTCTGGGAGCTGGAAGTGGCGAGATGACGACCCTGTTCATGCCATCGGCCATCAAAGAGCTTGAAATCAGCAGTGCTGTTCCTAACGTTCCCGGAGACAAGGTTCAAGTCATCACTCATACCCGTCGCGGCGACGCTGTGTCTGGTCCAGTAGATTTCTTCATCGATGCTTGGCATGCAGACCATGCCGAACCCGTTGTCAAATTCACTGGATACCGTAAGACCCCTGTCAATGGCGATTCGTCTGACAGTCAAGGTGTCCGAGAACTTTGTTATCAGCTCAACTGGGTACCTCTCAAACCCAAAACCCAGGAGCCTCATGCCCAGGCCAATGGTCACATGAACGGAAACGGACAAACCAACGGTAGTGGGCACATCAATGGCAATGGACATACAAACGGCAGCACTCACATCAACGGCAATGGCTACACGAATGGCAATGGTCACGCCATTACTAACGGTGACAGCCACATAAATGGTAATTGCAACGTAACCACTAATGGAAATGGCCATGCTGCGAGCCATGTCAATGGAAACGGCCACATTAATGGCAATGGGTCCATAAATGGGACTTCTGACGCTAATGGCGATTCAAATGGAAAGGTACATGGCAATGGACATGTTGTCTCTAAGCCAGAAGCCAATGGCAACGTCCATGCTTTGAAGACCGTTGTGAGCGTCAAGACTCATGCCGAGGCCATCGATACTAAAGAGGCGGAAGTGTTGAATGATTTCGCACCAGCTTCAACGGCGGTTGACCTGAGTGAATCTCCCATTTCACTCATTACAGTCGGTGGAAAGTCAACCCCACTGGGTGATGCCCTCGCAGATCTTCTTGAACTACGAACTGGTGGCATGAAGCCTAGCTACGTGTCTCTTGAAAATGCCGACTTTGCGTCCAACACTCGCTTCGTCTGCCTGGCTGAGGTTGACACTCCAATCTTGCAAGGCATGAATGCTGCCACTTTTGAGCATACCAAGAGCCTTTTGCTTAACTCAATGTCCACTCTTTGGGTCTCCCGCGGTGCGTATCGCTTTGCTGAGAATCCCTGGAACAATATTGCGCAAGGTCTTCTTCGAACGGTTCGCTCCGAAGCCAACAAGGTAGCGGCAATGCTCGATCTGGACCCTAAATCTGAGCTGAAGCCAGAGGATCAAGCAGAACTGATAATCGATGCCATGAAAGCCTCGTTGGCTACGCCTGAGGATGGTTCACCAGTGCATTTTGAATTTGCCGAAGAGGATGGTGGGCTAGTTGTCCCCAGCGTCACCGAGCAGGACGACCTGAACCTAGCACTCTTCCGTGAAACTCAGACCTCTGAGCCTTACCTGCAAGATTTTATTCAGCCAGGTCGCCGCTTGGCGCTGTCTGTCGGCACATACGGTGCTCTTGATTCAATCTACTGGAAGGATGAACCTGAGCTTCCTCTTTCTGAGAACGAAGTGGAGATCAAGGTTGCCGCCACGGGAATGAACTTCAAGGATGTCGTTATTGCCATGGGCCAGGTTGCTAGTCCTTACATTGGCATTGAGTGTGCAGGTACCATTGGTCGTGTTGGCAGCGGCGTCACAACTCTCAAGGCCGGCGATCGTGTCTGTGCAATGACGCTGGGTGCTTATAGCACTTATGCTCGATGCCTCGCCACTAGTGCTGCAGTCATTCCTGATGATATGACTTTCGAGACAGCCGCTTCAATTCCTGTGGTATACTGCACCGCATACTATGGACTCATGGACCTTGCTCGTTTGGAGGCCGGTGAAAAGATTCTCATCCATGCTGCTTCTGGTGGTGTTGGTCAAGCCGCCATCCAGCTCGCTCAGATGGTTGGTGCCGAGATCTTTGCCACTGTAGGCAGTATGGACAAGAAACAGCACTTGATTGCCACGTACGGAATCCCCTCTGATCACATCTTCTACAGCCGTGACACCAGCTTTGGTCCGGAGGTTCGCGAGGCTACAGGCGGAAAGGGTGTTGACGTTGTCATCAACTCTCTTGCTGGAGACTTGCTCCGCGAGACCTGGGACTGCTTGGCTCCCTTTGGACGCTTTATCGAAATTGGAAAGCGAGACATCACGTCAAACACTCGTCTTGAGATGTCCAAGTTCGAATATAACTGCACTTTCAGCTCGGTCGACCTTACGCTGGTTGCTGCGGAGCGTCCCAAAATCATGGGTAGAAGTCTCAATGCCGTCTTGGATCTTCTATCCAAGAAGTCTGTCAATCCCATTGGCCCCATTACAAGTGTTAACATTGCCGAAGTAGAGTCTGCCCTACGCAAGCTTCAGAGTGGTAAGACTACTGGCAAGGTGGTTGTCAATCACGAGGCCAACCATCAAGTGAAGGCCGTCCACGCTCCTGCTCCTACCGATTTGCTCAAGAAAGATGCCACTTACATCATCATTGGCGGCACTGGTGGTCTGGGTCGCTCCATGGCCAAACGCATGGTGCAGCGTGGCGCTGGCAACATCGTATTATTATCACGAAGCGGCAAGATGACTCCGGAACTTGAGCAGTTGGCAAACGAGAGCGCCATTGCTGGTGCGGGTATCCACGTTCGTGCTTGCGATGTTGCTGTTGAATCACAAGTATTGAAGTTGATCGCTGACTTGCAGACGACTCTGCCTCCAGTCATGGGTGTCATCCACGCGGCCATGGTTTTGCGCGATGTTCTCTTTGAGAAAATGACGTTTGAAGATTACGACGCAGTTGTATGCTCCAAGATTGCAGGTGCTTGGAACTTCCACACTGCTCTCCTCTCTTCCCCTCTTGACTTCTTCATTGTCCTGTCATCCGTTGCTGGTATTATCGGTAATCGTGGTCAGGCAGCCTATGCTGCCGCCAATACGTACCTGGACGCGCTTACTCTGTATCGCAAATCCAAAGGTCTCAACTCTACGTCACTCAACCTGACTGCCGTTTCTGGCGTCGGATACCTTGCTGAAAATGCTGCCAAACAGGCCGAAGTTCTCAAGAATCTGTCGGGCAGCACTATTGGCGAGGCAGAGGTGCTCGCTCTCATGGAGGCCTCTATCAATGGCAAGACGGCCACCATGTGCAATGACCAAGTTATTACTGGTCTTGACTTTGGCGAGCCGTCCAACTTGCCTTACTATGCATCTGATGCCAAGTTTGCGCCTCTTCGCACTGCGGCCCTAGCCAAGCTGAGCGAATCTGAGGGCAGTGGCGCATCAGCTAATGTGTCCATCAGCCAGCAGATGCGTCGCAGTACTACTGTCGAGGAAGCGCAGGATCTGGTTAGTGTCGGACTCCGAGACAAACTCGGCGCTATTCTCATGCTGCCTGAGGAAGTGATGGTAGCCCAGCAGGGCTCTACTACCATTACCGCCTTTGGCCTGGACTCACTCAACGCTATTGAGCTTCGAAACTGGATCGGCAAGGAGCTTCAATGCCACTTGCAGGTTCTGGAATTGCTCACCAGTGGCAACCTTAAGGATCTTGCAGGCCTGGTGCTCCGCAAGACTCGCATTCAGGGTGTGTGGACGACGAAGGATGAGGAAAAGTGAAGATGCTCCTAGCCACGGCACCTTTATCTACTTTTCTATCCCGGTCTTTTTCCCGGTCTTTTTCCTTTTCTTTCCTCTGTTAGCATCTTCTTTCTATTTATGTTGTTTGTTTGAAAGATTGCAAGAATTTTTGGTTTTGCTGTTTGGAATTTGGTTGTTTTGCATCGTTCCTGTCATCCGCATTTGCATTTGTCTCATTACACTATACATATCCAGAACAAAGGTAGTATATTTTATTATAGCAAAGAGGTTTTGGTCGAATCTTTTTGAATATACATATCAATAGAAACACTAAATCTTTTCCTTAATTAAACTAAGCATTAATGGAGTGTATATGTAGGCTTGTTAATACTGCTGTTTGTATTTCATTAAATTAACCTCTAAGCCCTTGCCCAAAGATCTCTATAGATGACAATTGGCCACCTTCTAGCCCTTGAAAGCACAGAGAATCTTGGCTGGCACCAGTGCGCCCTGGACAGCCTCGTTGGGAACCAAGCTTCCAGCTTCAAGCCAGGGGTTAAGAATGTCGCAAAAGTTGAAGCCGCTAGTCTCCTTCTCGTAAAAGGCAAAGTCGAGGAAGCCCGACATGCCGTGGTCCTTGTTCATGCGCATGTGGTAGTTGGTAGGGGTGGTGGACTGTCTAATAGCGGCGATAACATCCTCAATGGCATCGAGAGCATTCTCTTCCTTGACGGTGTGGCCAAACACGACCCACAGGGCGTCGTACATCTGGAGGCCGAGCTCCTGGCCAGAGTAGTCACCGGTGATGGTGAGGCAGGCAGTGTTCTTGAAGTTCTCGTGGCAAGTGGGGGCAGATCCGCAAGAAGAGTCAAGGCATCCCTTTCTAGCATTGTTCTTGATCTCGGTCCAGGAGTTGACGGGGGGAGGGTCGTAGCCTTGAGCAACGATATCGTCGCCCCAGGCAGTGGCCTTTTCATCGGAGTGAACGTCGGTGTAAGTGGCGCACTCCTGACCGTTGCAATCATCGCGCCGGTGCAAAACACCAGTGGCATTGTAACGCTGGTGAGCGGCCTCGATAGCCTCGTAGTGGCGGACCCAGGCCCAATCGGGGATCTCGTTGACGGCGAGAATGCGAGCAGCGGCTGGGCAAGCAAGCACGGCGGCGAAGACAGCAGAAACACCAAACCTGACCATTGTGAAGAGTTGTTGATGGATCAATGTAGAATGTGGTGGGTGAAGACGGGTGATGTTTGTCTGGGCTGTATTTTATTATTTAGATACCGGATTGTAACGAGATTATATACTTTTTGCCCATGTTCAACACTTGCACCTCTCAACAATGTTCATCCCATAGCATGTCGTTCACGTTTTGCACGGATTTCATTGCCACGGTAGCAATGACGTCGTGGATAGCATCGTCAAACATAGAATATCTCCGGCAATTGTCCTATTTAGGTAGTGAGGCTGGCATAGTGGAATCTCTATTGAAAACGAGGCTGTAGATGCCCCATTGTTGCTTGGCGGCCCGTAGTATATTATATGCTTAGGCGACTAGCTTGCAGGGGATACCATGTCGATCAGGGCCGGAGCAGGACCCGGAAATACAAGTTTGCAGCGTTTAAGCCCATGCTAACTCCGTCATGTTAACCATCATGGTGCTCAGCTATTCCACTTGACGGCTCCATCTAAACGAGCAGACATCGCCAGAATAGGCAAGCTGATAGCTCGTCTGCCTAGCGAATGGGGTTGTTCAGAGAGATGTGACTGAGCGTAGCCTGCTCTGGGATGCCATGGTGGGAATTGGCAGTTGCGTGGTACAACGGTTAAGCTATATCGATTCCCCAGAGCTCGTTGATCTTGTCTACTGTGGAATTTAGTATCGGTCCAAGCTTGTTAATCCTAAATTTTGTGCTCGCTCCGTAAATGCAATATAGAGCTATAGCCATAGCCCAAGCTCCCTACAAGTGGATCACAAGTTGGAAAAGACCATTGAGCTTGTTTCCTGTTAGCTTTTGCAGAGACTCAGTTGGCCCCGCCAAATAGAAGTCTGCACTAAATAGGAAAACGGCCGAACGAACTTGTTGCAGCTGAACCGTTTCTTGGGAACGTGTAGCTTGGCTGGCACCAAGTTCATTGGCGTGCAGCATTCAAGCGGATCGGCGTAACGGCGGTGGCATCGATGCAATACGGTAAGCCATGTTATACCCGACGGTCATATATCGAGGGTACATACGCTTCGTTGCAGTGGTAGTAATTTCCATCCGTATGACATGCTTCCAATACATGCCAAATCGTGCCTGGTATATTGGTCGTCCTACCACAACCTGTCCACAGACACATTATCACCCACCAGTAATTCTGGAAATTTTCACCAAAATCTCCAATAGATGGTGATCATCCCGGCAAAAGGCTTGCAAATCCTATCCTCTCCAGCCGAACCAGATGTTCTGGTCATCTTTGAACTCCGACAGATGCTTTGCTGGCCAGCTTGCTCGCACAGCAACAACCAATAGAAAAGCGCCACTGCCACGCCGATGCCACTATCTCGACACGGCACAGCACTAATTGGTCTCAGCTCTCGCCTAAATTTAGGGGCTTGTGCGGCAACTCCGCCTAAATTCTTCAGCCCAGCATAATTTTCGGTGTGCCGGTGATTGGTGTGGGGTTTTAGTATGGCGCAATACCATTGAATATAGTAAACTCGGTCTCTCTTTTTTTTTTCTGCTGGCACCTGGCACCAGCTGGCACACCTGTCACCGCAAACATCTCAACACCGCTCCGCCTCACGGCCATGTCTTCGACTCCTGTCATGGACAAAGCAAAAGACGGACCTTCATTCGGGACATTTGCAGACGACAACAACTCCGAAGCCGGCGTAGCTCCTCCTCTCCACGACCATGCAGACCTCGTGACAACCACCGAGCAGCGGTCGCTCAAGCGCGGCCTCGAGCAGCGCCATTTGTCTATGCTGGGTATTGCCGGCGCCATTGGAACAGGTCTGTTTCTGGGCCTAGGTCGCGCTGTACAGACGGGCGGTCCGCTGGGCGCGCTGCTGGGATACGCCGTTGTTGGGCTTGTCGTGTGCGCTGTCCAGTTTGCGCTGGGAGAAGTGTCTGCGCTGCTGCCTGTCACGGGTTCCTTTGTTAGACATGCCGAGTTCTTTGTTGATCCGGCCTGGGGGTTTGCTATCGGTTGGAACTTGGTGTACGGCAATGCGCTGAGCATCCCGAGCGAAATCACGGCGATTTGCGTCCTCTTCCGATTCTGGACAGACATCAACCCGTCCGTATGGATCATTATATTCATCCTTCTTACTGTTGGCATTGGACTGTCTTTTGTCAAGGTCTTTGGTGAGGTAGAGTTTGGCTTTGCCATTCTCAAGATCCTCCTTGTGGTGTTTCTCATCATCCTGGGATTGGTGATTGACCTGGGGGGTATCAAGGGCACACCGGCTATTTACTTCAAATACTGGCACGATCCGGGACCGTTTGTCGAATACATTGCCACTGGAAACTGGGGCAAGTTTCTCGGATTCTGGAGTGTCATGACAAACGCCGTCTTTAGCTTTGCTGGCGTCGAGTCCATTGCCATGGCTGGTGCGGAAACAAGAAACCCGCGCAAGGCGATTCCAAAGGCTTGTCGTAACGTCTTTATCCGCATTATCCTCTTTTACATGCTTGCCATTCTTATTGTCGGTATGCTTGTATCCAGCAAGGACGACAGGCTCGGTAAGCCTGAAAACGAGGGAACTGCTGCTCAGAGCCCATTTGTCATTGCCGCCGCCGCTGCCGGCATCGAGTCGATTCCTCACATTGTCAACGCCATTGTTATCACGTCGGCATGGTCATCCTCGAACCAGAGTCTGCTATCCGGTACCAGAGCTCTCTACGCCCTTGCTTTGAAGAAGCAAGCCCCTAAAGTCTTCCTGCGCACCGCCTCGTGGGGTGTTCCGTATGTCTGTGTTGGTGCCTTTACCGTCGTCATGTTCCTGAGCTTCATGTCTCTGTCGGACGGTGCGCTTCAGGCATTCCAATGGCTCGTCAACTTGACCGCTGCCGGCGTTCTCATGTCCTGGATCGCCATTCTCATAAACCATATTCGCATGCGCCTTGCCTTCCGCAAACAGGGCATCCCTGAGAGCAGACTTCCTTGGTACAACTCTTGGACGCGTAAGTTCTTTTTTTTTGCTATGGAGCTGACTGTGATGGCTCATGCTAACACCTACTCAGTCTATTCTTCTTACTTCGCTCTCACCATGTGCATTATCATCATTTTCACCGGTGGTTTTGCCGTCTTTACGACCGGCAACTGGGATCCATTAACTTTTGTTTCCGCATATCTGTAAGTTTTCGTCGGTTTCAACGCAGGTGCGTTGTTGCTTGGTATACTGGCTGACACACACGGCAGAGATATACCACTCGTCTTGGTAGGATTTCTCGCATGGAAATACATCAACAAGACCTCCTTCATTCGCTTAGAGGATATCCCTCTCAAGAGCGCTCTCGAGCAAGCCGAGGCAAACGACGACGAATGATACAACTTTCTCACTCAACATGCAGATGTACAAAAAGCTATTTATGACTGAACGACTTCCAATATTTAAATTCCTTCTTAACTCAGCGAGAATGATTCAACATCCCGCTTTGATTACTAGTACAATTATAATAATAATAGATGTGGCGCACGTGGGCGCTTTCCGAATATTCTATGCAAGTAAAATAACAACTCCTCGCCATGCATGGCTCTATGTCGCAAAAAGAAAACACAAAAGAAGTGCTCAGAATTCGCTCGCAATGATACAAAAGAAACGTCCTATCCAAAATGAACGTTCGCTTAAAACCAAAAATGTCCCACATGAATTACCAAATTTTCTTCAGAAAACTCCCGTAAAGCTGGTGGTCTTGAAACCTCATGTCTAAGGTCGGATGCCCTGTCGCCATCGTTCAACGGCATCGAGCGAACCAGAAGATCCAGGAACCTGCATCTGCTGGTGCATCATTCCCCCGTTGGCGTGCATGTTGCCTGGGCGGTTTTGATACATGCCCAAGTTCATCTGCGAGTACGCGGCCATACCCGCATTGTAGCCGCCAAAGTTGGCGTACATGGGCTGTTGTTGATATCCCATCATCTGGCCACCCATCATCATGGGTGCCGACTGTGTGCTCATGTTGAAACTATTGCTGGCATAACCATTGTTGACATAGCTCGCTTGGTTGTAGCCAACTGGGCCTTGGCTGTTGCTAAACATGGTTGGCTGAGCGAAATTGGGTTGATACTGGTTAATGCTGGGAGGCTGTTGGGCAACGCCACCAGTTCCGTCATTGTACATGCCTCCACGAAAGCCGCCATTCGTGGCTTTGCCTGGGCCAACAAGGGTTTGGGGCATTTGCATGCGCATAGCTGCCATCTTAGCCTCTTGCTCACGGGCTATCATTTCCTCTTGTTCGCGTCGAAGGCGCTCTTCTTGAACGCGTAGATCTGGGCTCTTTCTTAAATGAGCACCCAGGACGGATGCCATACTGAGTCTGCGATCTGCATGTTGCACCGCACCACCAGCATAGACACCTCCAGAGGGGCCTTGTATTCCCATTTCTTCCTCTCGGGCCATCTTTTCGGCTTGGAGTCTTCGTCGTCTTTGACCCAGAGTCTCCTCTTCGCCTTCCTTGGGAGCTGCGGCCTCTTTCTTCGCCTTGCCCTCATCAAGATCACCAAATTGGCTAAGAACTTCGACGGAAAAGGCACCGCTCACAGGTCGCGCTGTTGGAAGAGCCAGTTCACCTCCATCCTTGGCAGCCAGGCGTTTGCGACGCTGCGCCAATGTTTCCTCTTCAATTTCTTCCTCTACAGGCGTTTCTATGGTTGGCAGATTCAGTTGCGAGGGGTTGGGATCACCCAGTCGAGAGGGCGAGAAGATCATGGTGGTTGGTCGGATTTGCTGAGGAGCAAGATCAAGTCCTTGTAAGCGAGCGCGGCGCTGGCTGAGTGGCTCGTTGTCTTCCATGTCGCGTCGCTCCATTAATCCCACAGGACGCTCAACATCCGCCATGTTCTTCGCTCCGTGCTGCTTCGCGGCAAGAATCGCGAGCGGAACATCTTCATCGTCTGAACCGTTCTGGTCAAGATGCATGTTGGGGTCTTCCCAGGCCAGGTTGACGCGTTTGGTTTGACGTCCTTTGCGTTGAGTTTCCGCAACAGCATCCATTTCCAACAATGTTGCGCGAGTGCCAGATGGTACAAGAAAACGCTGCTTGGTTCGATCCTTCTGCTGCTGCTTACGGAGTTGAAGTTCGGCCAATAGTGTTGTAGGTGGCCCGAAAAATGCATCGTCCTCCTCCTCTTCTTCCTCCATCAATTCCTCGCCCGCTGCTTCTAGGCCAGCTTCATGCTCCCCTGTCGCAGCATGTCCAGGTTCGGCATGCTCTGCATTATCAGCAACTGGCTGCCCTGGGGAATGAATGCTATGGCCCTCGTCGCGGGCCGGTTCGCTGCCAATCTTGGGGCTGCTTAGGTTGGATTCAGCAGGGTCAAGAAGAGAACGGCCACCAACGCTGTGCGCCTTTGGTATTTCTTGGCTGTTGTAGCTTGATGAGCGCTTACCCAACCACATGAATGACGAGCGGCTCTTAACAGTCTTCAGCTCAGTCGGCGAACCTACAGATGCCAAAGACGGTGAGAGAGTCATAGTCGACTGGCGCTTCTTCTCTTTGCCGTAGACTTCGGAGCCGAGAGGGCCAGCGTAAAGGTGGTCAGTAAAGGCACTAACAGGCGCAGTAGCGGAGACGTCCAAGATGTGGTCCAAAGTACGCATAGCAGAACCGTCCTTGATCTCAATGTCAGGTGAAACAACGGGAGCATCGAAAAAGGCACTAGCCCGTAGCTGTGAAGGGAGCTGCGAAAGTCTAGCCTTGCGTCGATCATCGATGTGAGAGATGCGTTTGGGTCGACGTAAAGTATCAGCCGGAGGCGGGGATTCCAGGGGCTCCTCCTGTGCCTGCTCAGGCTCCTCGGCACCTGGTTGAGTTACAGGTTCATGTTCACGAAATTCTGGGTGGGCTTCGCCAGGCAATGCCATAAAAGACGAGCGATATTGTCGGCGAAGGTCTGGAAGCCACGACTGTCTGACACCAGCACCTGCGCTTGCGCTGGTGGCCATTTTGGGCATGGCTGAGTGGCGTCGGTTAGGCATTTCCTTCGCACCACCATCACCAGTCCACATAGCGCTTAGAACTTTTTGTTGTCGTTCATTTCGTTCCACAGCCTTGGGCTTGCTCGAAAGCTTGCGGGGTCGGTTGAGCATAGCAGGAACCTTGGCCGGGTAATAAAACATTTCGATGCCGGTCTGGGGGTCCATGTACGACTGTGGGCGCTCTCTTCGGATGGCAGTAGGCTGGATAGGCTGCAAAATGGGGGGTTCTACCATGTCTGCTTCATCGATATGCTCTTGCTCTGGAATGCCCAAATCAAAATAGTCGTAGCCCTCCTCTTGGAAGTGCATGTCGGCAGGTGCTGATTGAGGAGCTTCGTCCTCACCAGCTTGATCATAATCACAATGAACTCCATCAAAGTCGGCAAAGGCATTCTGAGACTGGCTAAATGTATCGTGCGAACGTGTGCTAGACGGCCGCTCCGGATGCTCAACAGTAGCTGCCTTGTCTTGTGATTGGCCAGAGCTACTAAATTCAAAAGCGCTATTCATCATGGCATGGAAGGCGTCAGTGCTGGGGACCGGTGCCGGTTGCGTTGGCTCTGCTGGCGTAGAGGTGGTAAAGGCAGGTTCCAAGCCCAAACCGTGCGAGGTTTCGACTAACCCATTATCAACATCAGCAGTCTTGGGAGCTGAGGTTGGCTCGGACTCTGAAATCTCCGCCAAAGAGGGCTTGACGGATCGCACGCTGCGAACTGAGCTCTTGCCGGGTCCATTGCGAGACAAGAGGCTAGGAACCTCTGGTTCGTAGCCTATAGATCGGTTCGAGGAGGATCGCATCCTGCCTGGAGCTGCGAGACTACCAGGAGACTTGAGATAGCCTGCATGGCGGCTGGCATTTGCTGACGAGGTGGACAAGTGTCGAGTCAACTGCCCCGTGATGGGCTCGTCTTTGAGGCTGGCAGCTAACATGGAGGATCGGCGGCTGTCGCTTCGTTTCAGCTCGCCATGTAAATCGCGGATCGCGTCGTCGATGGAGCTCGTCATAGATAGGCGGACGGCGGTGGCTTCTAGCTGGGCAACGTTGCTCACAGCGGTGCCAGGTCGTGTTGGTACCTCGGATGGTGCGGCGGCGTTGATGGGTTTAGGGTGAACAATCTTGGTGGTAGACTGTACGGTTCCTGTATGCAGTGGGATTTCATCCATGGAAGGAAACACTTCTGTGGCTGCAGCTTGGTTGTCGTCGCGAATAGTCGCGTTTGTCGACGCGCTGGTGGCAGTCATGATTGACGACCTATCCTGCTTGGGCTCGGCTGGCGCGATGGCCTCGGAGCCGTGTGCTGCTGATTTATGATGGTCAGTGTGAACTGGCGATGCGCTCGGCGCGGGGGTTATTGTTTCTGGTTTAACAGTAGTTGAAGCAATGGGGGCAGCGTTGATGACTAGGCCGAGAGGAGTGCCAACGCGATCTGCGACGGTGCGTGCTGGCTCGGAGAGGTGCGGTTGGCAAGAATGTTGTCGCTGGTGTGCGGGCGCATTGTCTGGGCTGTTGCCGCCATCTGCGCTAGGGGTAGCCATGCCTCGATTTGTTTCTGTGCCCATGGCACAACGTAAGGCACGCTGGCACGGGTCAAGGATCGACAGATATAATAGAGCAGGTGTTTAAACGACGCGGTGCTGTGTCTGCGTTTCAACCTCCGGGTTTCTCTTCGTGGTACTGGTACCTCGCGAATCTGCAGCAAACAAAGGATAAATTTAGCTGCTTGTTTTGGCGCTTAGAGGAGACAAGGGAGGCGAAGAAGCTTCAGGGGCCAAAAGAGTTGCGGATCAGAGCGAGACACTAGCATGGGCAGCTGAAGCGCTGGCAAGTATTGACCCAAGAGCGTGCTGGTCGAATCTGGGGGTATCGTGTCACCGCCGAGAGTAAATTCTTAGGCTGTGCTGACCCAAATGAGACTGTTTCAGCGACGAGAGACGATTGCCGGGTGGGTATTTGGCGGCAAACAGAGCAGCAGTAGCGGTTGTTGATGGTTGGTTCTAGGGCTCGTATTGGGCGGAGGTCTTGGTTCGAGATTTGGGTCTAAATCAGAGCAAGCCCAAAAAATACGGGTTCGATGAGGCAAGAAAGAAAAAATCGTCGAATAGGGCGATAATCGAAAGCAGCGTCTGCTGTTGCAAGGATATCAAAAAGGAGGGTAGCGATGTCGCTTTGGGGGGTCGTCCGGACGGCTCGATAAGGTTTTAAGATTGCACCAACGTGCCGCTGGATTCTAACTTTTGAGGTGATTAAAGAGTGTTGGTGAAAGGAAATCGAAGCGAGAAGCACCCGAGTGCCTGCGCGTGTCGTGCAACAATGTGCGTGCAAACAAGTTGCGTTCCTGAGCAGCGATGAAACCTCGTGGGTGCGTCTGTGGTATTTCGGGCCGGGGCCGTGCAGGAGCAACGAAAAGGAGACTTGGGAAACAGCAAGGCCAAGATAAAACAAACAAGCCAAGAACGAGCAGGAGTCTCTCGCTGTTGTTTTTTTGTTTTCTCTTCCTTTGCACAAACCGCTACAGTACCCAAAGTGGGACACAAAGAAAAACAAAAAGAATACGAGACAGAGTGATGAAGAGGGAAGGGGAAGCCAAGCAAAAAGTCAAGAAAGACGAAAAAAGAGCCCGCTCAACGGCATCGGGCACTACCTAAAACGAAAAAAGTGGTGACGGGCTAGAGCGTGGAACGTCGAACCACAGCACTCCGTGGGCACACTAAAACACGCTAAACAACGCACAACCAAACAAGTATTAGGCGCTGTACCTTCTGTAGTGTAGGTACTGCAGCCCACCACAGTGGCCACACAGCGCTATAAGTTTTTACGACTTGGAACTACCACCACCACAGTTTTGCCCCTTAGAGGCCGCCCCTCCTCCTTGCATGCATGCAACGCCGCCCTAACGGCCCCCCTCTCCCATTGGCACCCAAATAATACAAACCGGCTCATTGGCCGTGGCGTGGCGCAAGTTTACGGGTCATGGAAGACGACGCCACGCTTTGGGCAAGGATTCTAGAGTCGCTTGATCGGCTACTAAAAAAAAAAACTTGGCACTGCGGCCCTACCATACAGAGCGCAGCAACGGCTTGTTGTTGGCCAGCGCTGCTCCCGTAGCGTGCAAGCCGCCAGCAGCAAACAGCGCAAAATACGAGGCTCGTGATAATCACAGCTGCACATGCGCACACATCACGCCACCCGCCATGCTGCATACTCAACAAAACGATATTGATGGGCTCCTGCTGCTATACTCCAGGAGAGCCATGTATTGTATCTTGGCTGGGAGGCCCCCCTGGTCTCTTTTATCATTTCAATGGCAGCTTGCTTGCAGCCATCGTCTGCAGCAGAAACAGGAAATTTGGGCTGCAGATATCAGGCACAGGCCCCAAGCCACCATCAGGAACCAGTCAATGGCAATGAGGTGGCTCCAGCACCCACATAAATTTACAGTAAGCACCCCTCGCTATTGTTGGGCGCTGACTCCACTGCTGCAGCGCCATCAACGCATGGCGCTAGCAAAACAAGGCACGGCACTGACAGGGCGCTGCGCTGCACCACACCAAACTGTATCGCAACGGTTGTGGGGGGACGAGGTGCGTGCAAGCAAACACTGAGTTCCGCCTCATCGCCGCTTTTACCGGATACAAAAAGCCAAAAGCCAAAAGCCAAACAATAAACAATGACATGTACCTCGCACGCCACCCAAAAACAATGGGCCGAGCAATCGTTGGAAACATTAAAAAGCAGAAGTCTCTTCCCATTGGATAGTATAGGCCTATCGAATTGTCTACACTGCTCAAGCTTTCTCAAACTCGGCAATCAACTCTTCCACCAGCTCTACCAGCCTTGGCCGCTGCGAAAGAAATGGCGAGTGGTCAGTGTCCATGTACTTGACTGACCAGCGCAGCCCGCTCGTCTCAACCATTGCCTTTTGAAGACGGAAGGGGACGGCATTGTCCTTTTCACATGCAATGTAACCTCTGCATCCGTCTAAGTCAGCGTCGTCCAGATATCCTTTCGCCGTGGGGGTTATGAGCGCCTTTAGCGACAGCCCTTGGAGCGTCTTTACAGTGGCCTCGGCAACATCTGTAGGGCATTCGTTGTAGAAAAAGTTGACGGCATCCGTGATACTCGCCAGGCCAGTTGCTGGCTATTTGTTTTCCTCAAGTTAGCAAATAGAGGCCAAGCTATCGAACAGTGGGGTTTTCTTACGTCGGGAATAACTCGCGGGTCAGGAGTATGGCCATCCATGGCACTGCTGGGAATAAAGGCTGCGATGTAGACGATGCCAGCGAGGCCACCGGTGAGCCCTTTGGATGCACGCTCCTTCTTGTGCAGGCCCTTGATTGCTAGCGATGCTCCTAGTCCAGCCATCGAGTGCGCAATAAAAACAATATCTTTGCCTTTCTCAATGTGTGAGAGCAGCACCGACCGCATCAGCTCGCTGTCGTCCTCTTTAAGCGCTGTAGGATCGCCAGTTATCTTAAGCTTGTGAGCTTCGGCGGGGTAGCCTTGCGCTTGCAGATCCTGTATAAACGGCTCCAGAGCGGACGCCGGATGCCAGGCACCTGCAAAGGCAACAATTGTCGGTTTCAAATCAGGAGACATATTTTAAGTGGTTTGCTTGGTTTGTTTTTTTATGTAGATGAGAGAAACATAAAAGTCTCCGGTTCGGGAGAGCTGACATTTCCTTCTCTGGTGAGGGGTTGATCGTCAGCCGTGAGCCTCATCGAAGCTTACCCTAAATAAAATTGGTAACGCTGCTTGTACACCGAACGGTACCTAAACTTCGTTGATATTATATATCAACGATGAAATATGTTACCATAGAACACTTTCTGCCCGTTGTTCCTTCCATGTCCCTTTTTTTTCCTTTTACAGAAGTAGTGGTTACTGGTCTGGCGTGGACATCAAGCGGTGCGTGTCTTTAGGGTCAGACTTACACTAAATTGGGATATTGATAGCAGTACGGTACCAGCAGACCAAGTAAAATATTCTAAAATAGAAAACTCGTCAAATAAATACAATAATTACCCATTATTTAACCTGTCAACTTAGACGATACTTATGGCTGTCTATTGTAACTATAAGCACCAGTGTGCTGTGTCTCAAGCTCCCTATACACTTACTGTTCTATAGAAGCAGCAGGTCATTCAACACAGGCATGTTACGGGAAATTGAAATCCAGGCCCTTCTCTAGCCACAGCCATGGGATACGGTAGGTCTCGGAATGCTACAGATCAACCACAGGCGACAGAACAGCCTCGTGGCCTGTCGTGCGGCCTGAACAACCCTGAACAATCCCGGTTAGGGGGCTACTGTAGCGCCCATTGCACTGGGGAATCAATTTTACCAAACCGTCCACAATCACCCATGAAGACCGAAATGAACTTTTTCGCAGACGGCGGAAATTGCATTTGTTCCATGGGCCAATCGTCAGATCACACAAAAAAGATCTGCGATGCATCGTTCTGCCCCGACACACTCGCCACAACATATACGCACTTCTCCGTCATCGGATGCACAACAGCAAGACTCGGTGGTGGCGGACTCGGCACCAAAGCTTGTCAAGCCAGTCAGATCAGCGAATTGACGTTTTACTAGGTGCCAGCATCACACCATATTTGCTTTTTGCTGTCTGCATATTCGTTGGCTGCAGCAGCAGAAGTCGTGGGGGACTGGCGCTGCGCTGTAAGTGGCTGGCCCAGCGGACCGGGGTTCCGGCGAGTCTCAGGCGTTCTCCAGGGGAAGCTTTTAGCGCACATGGCCGCAGCAAATGGTGGGTTAGGGGACGCTAAAGGTGCGCTGGAAGCAGCCTGCAGATTGTCTTTTAGTGAAAGGGCTGTCTGTGGTGGCTGGCGGAGTGTACACCGACATTTTCCATTCCTTATCATGGTATTTTCTTTTGAGAGAGTCGCTGATTGTACTATTTCTCTGGTTTCATTCAATTATTCATGATAATTTGTCTTTTATTATTTAAAATTTATTTTCTGGGCCGACAGGAATTGTCCGTTCATATCCCCATCCCACGTGTAAATTGCCTACGGAGCATGTCGGCCCCTATAAATACAGGCGGAGCAGGGTCCTGGTTCGGTAAAATGTTGCTTGCAGCCTTGCTCGGTAGCATGGGCAATGTCAAAGAACAGTGCGGATACGGCTGTTGCTGACAGCTAGATGTAGCGAGGTTTAGCGGGCATTTGGCACTGGGTTGCTGCAGAATATACAGTGCAAGAGACCATTACGAGCTTGGCGCGCACGGCCCAATTAACTGTCTCTGGACCCCGCCGCACCAATTTGCCCCACCGAGCAACCCATGCCTGGGCTGTTTCCATCGACAGAGTTAACAAGCCAAACTCAAAAGAGGCGGCACCGGCGGCGACTGATTTCCTCCTTGTCTACCTCTCCACGACACTCGCATACGCCAGACCTGACGGTTGGAGCGTAAAAAAACACGTATACGACGATATCCTATTATTTGGCTCCTTTATACGACCAGCCTTGCGTAGAGACACTGGCACGAGCCTTGTTGACTCTTCTCACGCGCGCGACCCGAGTGGTGCGATAATCGGAACAGATATTCAGACGACCGGCCGCAACATACGTTAGCCCGCCCTGCAGCTCGTTGCAACGATTTACTTTGGCTTTGGTAATCTACCATTGCTCAATAGCTACCATCATACTTCCGCTACTACCGCTGCTGGTCGGCCGCTGGGAGCCGCCGTAGTGAGATTCCCCCCCTTCGATATGTCGAATCCGAGCGAAACGCGGCGTCGTTTCGCCCCGATACCAATAGAGACTACTTTCCAATCAGTGAGAAAGGGTCCCCGCGCAATTGAACCGTATGGAGGCCCCAGCCCAGAGCTCACCCCCGAGCCATCCCCTCGGCAGCTCTCTCCTGTGGAAACAGTCAAGGATGCTCTGCCACGACGACGCTTTGCACCACAATTAATTGAATCTTCGCGGCGAACCTTCAGACTAGGAGATTCGGGCCCCGCCACAAAACCCACCGATAAGACCGACATTACCCCATACACCAACCACATATATCTCAGCAGAACCAAGTCGCGGCGGCGGCGAGACGAAGAGGTCACCGAGGAAGAGTTGGAGCAGCGTATACCGCCTACGAGGCGTGAGACGGAGGAAGATGGAGTCAAGGAATATCTGCTTGAGCTGGCGGCCAAGGAGGCTGACCGGCAGATGCAGGAGGATGCGCTGGCGGCGTTCCCCAACAGTCGAGCTCGAGAAGGTGGAGTGGCACATTTCTACTTTCGCGAGGGTTCAGTCAGCGACTCATCTGGACAGGTCTCACCTGGTGATGAACAAATATCGGAGCCGCAGACCCGGCATCGAAGGAAGTCATCGCACCTGGGGCTGAACTGGTGGCACAAGCACATGCAAGACCATGCTGAGAAGCTGGCCCATCTACGACGAGGGGACGAGGACAACGAAGAGGCCGTGGTGGACGATGAAGAAGACGACCGGAACAAGCAGCGAGATATGGACCGAGATCTTATACGATCGGATTCAGATCTTGACAGGATGGAGCTGCCGGGACCGCCCGATCCCATGTGGACCACGGACACACGGATACCACCTGACGTCTACCGACGAGACACTGACGCCGAGGAGGCTGAAGCGTTGGCGTTGGCAGCTCGTCTGGCACGAGCTAGTGTGCAAAATGTATTTCCTGGAGCAGGGCCCCCACCACAGGGCCGGGATGCAGCCCAACTTCTTTCTTCTGCTGCCACCCAACAACAGCAGCAGCAGCAACAGCAATCACAACCACCACAAACAACCACCACACAACAACAGCCACACGACCAACAAGCACAGCGACAAAACAACCAAGGACCCTTTGGACGCCCGTTTGCAGCACTCGGACTCAAGCCCGATGAAGCGCAGCTGCGGCGCCTCCGCCAGTTTGTGTCGCCTCCGATGCTCGGCTCAGAGCTCAAGTTTCGAAAATGCCCGTCGCCCAAGCAGACCAAGCTGGAAACCGACCATCCCTTCAACAAGAGGCGGCATGATGAGGGCTGCGCGCACGAGGAGCGTGACCGGGACATGTCGGGCAAAGGCGGCCTGTGGAGGGGTTACTGCTGCAGGTCGGAATCGACCGGCGGATACCTCGTGCCCGCCGACTTGCAGCCGACCAAAATGCTCGCGACGCCGTTTCCCCCTGCCACGCCGCTAGCCTACGAAGTCGACTCGCCCGTTGCCAGCAGCGAAGAGCCGCCGTCCATTCTCTCGACGTCTGCGTCGTCCGACTCGGTCGGCAGCCTCGATGTCTACTACCACCATGGCAGCGACGACGATGAAGATGACGGCGGGATCGTCCCACGTCGGCCCGGCGCCACAATCACTGTAACCGAACATGGGACAAATGCTGCTGCGACCACCAAAAGGAGCCACCGCAGCGGCAACAACAGTAACCGGCTTCACGTGCTGCACGGGCTCGACAAGCGCCTCGAGCAGGAAAAGGCCCGCGCCGACCTCGACGAAAAGATTGCTGCCGACTTTGACGACGCCTTTGTCACACAGGTCTACAACTACCTGTCGCTGGGGTACCCGGCCATGGCGCGCTCGTTTGATGACGAGCTGTCCAAGATTACACGGGTCAGCGTCGAGGAGCTGCGCAGTAAAGATGAGGCGGCGGCGGGAATCAAGGGCCACATGCTCGAGATGACGCTCGACGACAATGTGGCAGATGAAGACCGCTGTCCCAGATGGCGTGCTCTACGAACCTACATCTACGAATGGGCGAGACAGCATCCTGATCTCGATAATCTCGATCCGCTGGCCTGGGGCGTCCGTGAGAGACGCGGCAGCTGGGCCATTTAGAGCATCTTCCATTATCCCGTTTTACAGGCGCATTTTCTTTTATTGTTGCCGCTCGACTGGTTGAAGCCGTCGTTTTTTATTCCAGCTTTAGACGCTTATACAGAAAGCGTGTCGCGTGCCTCTTGCATATACATCTCGCTGCCCCTTGCATGAGCGAATGCATCTCATGACATCCTGCATTGCGCAAGCTATACATTGCGTTGCGATTTTTCTTTTGCGTCTTTCAATTAGTTCAGCGTTTCCATGGCCGTTTCTTACGAAACTGTTGCCCCCTTGCATCTATTTTTTGCTACTGCAAATATATTTTTTACACGGTAGTTGAGGCTACAAAGCCTGCATATGTATATATACTTACAAACCAACGTTATATTCTACGACATGCCTCCACGCCGTGATCTGATAAATGTGCTTTTGAATTTTTAATGTGTTTTTTTATTCATCGTAAATGAAACCAGCGTCCATAACTAACAAAAAAAGATGTACCCAAACGCCTAGATTATATCGGCCATGCAGACATATGCAAACTTTTTCTAATAAGCTTCCTTTTGCGATTCCTGGTGACGCTTTCATCACCCATCACCTGTTTGTACATTCACACATCGCGCCCCACTGCTCAAGCCTCTATCAAGCAGAAGGTTCCTACTTTCTCTTGAAGTAGTTGGCTACTTTTTGCAGCTTGCTCGGGGGAGCGGGCTCGGCATCGCTCTCCTCATCCTCGCCGTTGGACTCCTCAGGCTCATCGTACGCAACCTCGTGCTCATCAAGCTCGTCGCCCTCAACGCTCTCCTGGTCGTCCTCGACAACAGACTCGTCGTCCTCGTCGTCGTCAGACATGGCGTCGTAGCCATTTGCCAGGGGAGCAGCGCCATCGTCATCGTCGCCGCCAGCTCTGGCATTGTTGTCGCCCTCGACCCAGATAACGTGCTCGTCGACATCCTCGTCAAGGTCGTCCTCGTCGGCAATGCCCTTGCCGCTCTGCATCTTGCGGCGCAGGTCCATCTGGCCCTGCAGGAGATCCAGCTTGCCCTTGAGCGCGAGCAGACTGTTCAGGCCCTTGGCTCGCTCGGCCAGCACCTTTTGCAGGCCATTGAGGCCCTGGATGACCTTTGGTTGCGAGGCCAATGCGCCGCCGTGGGCAATGATGGTCCATTGGACCCAGGTCATCAGGTTGCCAGCGCGGCCGGGGCGGCGGTACAGGCGGGCGGCCAGCTTTGTCAGAAGAATGCCGGCATATGTGCTGTCGATTTCCTCTATTGTGTTGCGGATGGTGGGCAGGTCGCCGGTGCTCAGGCAGGACTCAAGCAGGTCGGTGTCGTCGGACTTGAGCGCCTGCGTGAGGGTTGCGGTGAGAGATCGGTGGGAGACTGGGTTGATGGCCTTGTCGGATGTTCTGGCGACAACGCCGGCGGCTGTGATGGGCTGTGCGAGCAGGGCGGTGACATCTACGGCGTCGCTTCCGCGGAGCAGCTCGCCGAAGGAGGGAGAGGTTGCCTCGCCGTCAGAGCCATCTTCGTCGTCGCCCTTGGCGGCCTTGCCGTTGACAAGGGCCTTGCTGTTGCGACGACCAGCAGCAGCAGCAGCAGCAGCGCCGTTGGCCTGCTCCATGTCGATATCGTCGTCGCTAGACTCGTACTCCTCGCCCGAGGAGATTTCTATCGTTTCGATCGCGGGGGCGGTCTCGGCTTCGGCAGCAACAATGGTTGCGTTGGACTCGTCAATCTTGGTCTTGTTTTGCACCTTGACCCCCGATCGCACGGCGGGGGTCGCCAGCTTTACTGGCGCCTTGCGCTTGGTAGCGGTAGGCATTCTATTTGGATGATGTGGTGAGGCGTTGGCTTGGTCAAGTCGTGATATATGGCTTTTAGACAAGAGCCACTAACAGTGCTTTGTCAAAGAGTCTGCTTGCAGGCTGTAAGTGAGGCAAAGCTCGCGAACAACTGATGAATGGCTTTGCAAAGTACTGTTTCAACTCTGCCAGAAATCGTACAAGAATTGAGCCGTTGCGGTGGCTCTGTCTTTCACGCTGCGTTCGCTGGGGAAATTTTCAGCGTCGATGCTTCACTAGTCAACTTTTTTTTCTTGCATGGGTACGGGACAGCGGCCGGCGGGCCCCACTCTGCGGTTCGAGCTGGATGACATAATCATTGGTCGCCGCCTCTTATTGTGAGCAGGCACGTGACTTGAGTCTGTCTACACCAACTATGCCATTGGCTTTTAAGGATTTTGCCTGAAATGCAGACCGCTACGACTAAACGAATGCATTGGTACTAGTCTGATAATTCTGCCTAGCTTGCATTTGACAAGATAGTTGAAGGGGGGGGGTGGCAATGGCGAGCTGCTGCCTGTTTGCAGGCAACGCAGACCGTTTGCATATAGGACAGAGCCCGTCACATGACTCACACCCAGCAGAGCCAGAAGAGCTGTTGCTGTGTTTGCGCCACACCTTCTCTGGAGGTTGAAGTGGCGTGCGGGAAATTGCATGATACCCCCCCACAGGCGGCACCCCGTTTAAACGATATTTGGCGAAATAACGCGATCCACACGCAAGGAGGACGAGCGGCTTTGGAGCGATTAGCAGGGTGCTGGGATAATCTAAAGTGGTGAAAATGGGCCTGGTGAAGTGGGTGTGAGCGGCGCTGGATAAGCTGGACCGCTGGGAACAGGAAGAAGAGTTATTGTTGTTGTTGATGATGATGGTGATGATGATGTAGTTATAGTAGTGGTTCGCTTTCTCATACAAGCTTGATATATCATGATATATCAAACTGGTGATTATGGGATGGAAATATCTGGCGATATGTTGTGATTCTAAGTGCACCGCCGACATCTGTAAGCCGATATCCGTCCCAGTCGTCTTCTGATTGTGTAGCTGATTGTGACAGCATTCATATATGGTACAACAACTGTCGCAAAGCGATAGCCCGTATAAGCGACGCTCTCTTTTTTGGGTGGCTCGCGGCCAACGGTTACACAGCGGCAGAAGATTTAAAAAAAAAGGTGAAGCTTCTATTAATTCTAGATGCATTCGCAAAGCCCACTCCCCCCTCTTTATCCCGCGTACCATTGTTCATCACCATCATGCTTCCTCCGTACGCATCGAGCTAATTAAAAGCGAGTCTTAGTCCAACCCGCTGCCCTGCGTTTTGGGGTCGGGAAAGCAACAGACTGCGCTAGTCCCGGCACCCAGGGTCACCTTTGTGGCGTCGCTCCTGCCAAAAGAACAGGGCGTCGTGCTGACGGCCCAATCAGCACGCGCAAAAACCACCCACCAGCCACAGAGCCCCGCTTTTCCAACCAAAATTTTCTCCCAAGATGCAGGACCCAGCCTTGAGGAAGCCCCGATATAGCGATGTCGACCCCTTTGCGCGCAGCTCTCATAAATACCACCGCGCCTCCGACGAGCCAAATTCTGCCGACGTGCACGCGCTTTTCTCGCATTTTGGCACAAAAACCGGAGGGTGGCCCCAAAAGATACCTCGCCTCCACACACAATTTGTATGTATTTTCCATGTACCCTATTTTCCCAACCTGCATGCGACCAATCACATCGCGCATCCCCATCGCCCAATCGTTTGCCTCTATTTTTCCCTCTTCCTTTCCGCACTGGCCCTGCCTCGCCTCTATATGCCCAGCCTCTCTTTCGTCATCATTTTCCGCCTATGGCCTGCTCGCTCTTCTTCTATTGCCGAATGTCCACCTTTTTTATTCAATAGACTTTTTTCTCCCAATCTAGTTTATTTAATAAAAACAATGGACGGCATGCAAGAGTAGATGCAGTTAAACAGCATAGTCCACACCAGCCGCACACCCTCTCCCACTGCACCCACCCCCCACTGGTCGCGCGCGTTCTGCCATCTGCCGGGCGCACCTTTCGCAGGCAAACGCACGCCAAACACGACTCGACCATCACCACCACCACATCGTCCGCTTCCGGATTCGCTCGTCGCATCTTAGCGCTTTTGCATTTCCGGCTTCATTTTCATCGTCGCATTACTGACTTCGACCTTGTTGTAGTGTCTGCCCACCTCCTCGTCGACATTTTAATTATCCTCCGGTCGTCGCGACACTCCGGCACGACACCTCTTCACTGCGCCTTCACCTAAGCTCTGTGATTCACGCGCCACTCCATTGCAGCCTGATCAACTGCTTTTGCCACCTGCGCGCCGTTTATAACTTCGCCCTTGCACCCTCCGCGCATTTCATCTTCACCTCGATTTTGGGGTCGTTGTTTTGCAACTTCCGCGCCAACACCATTGTCAACGTTGCGCGAGCTATTTACGGTCCCTGTTACTCTTGTCGACCTTTCCAACCGCCATCTACGCTAGTTACCCGGATTGCGAACCATGGAGCCATTGCTTCCTGGTGCTCCGGCCGTGGGAGCGGGCGTTCCCTCGGAGCCAAAGCCCGTGGCCGCCCCCTCCAGCGAATCGCTCAAGTCTGAAGTGAATGGGTATGTCGAATCTTGCGCCGCAACGGTGCTTCCAGCAGAAGAAGAATGTAATCGCATACTAACAAAGCTCTTTGCTACAGTGTCACGCCAGCCTCTGAACCAGCACCTGCCCCCGTGACAGAAAGCGCTACCCACGCGGCGCTCGACATCAAGACCATGCTCAATGGTAGCGATTCGACGCCAACCCCCCCAAGCACAAATGGACATGCGCACGTCACAGCCCAGCCAGCAGAGAGACCAGCAGCGGCCGTCGAACCACAGGAGCCTATATCCGCTCCCAAGCCAGTTGAGGCTAGCGCCTCATTGGCAGAACGCCCAGTCCCCGAGGCAAACACTACTGCCCCCGCTGCCGCACCCGCGCCGGCGCCGGCCCCTGCTTCTATTCCAGCCTCAGCTCCTGCTCCCGCTCCTGCTCCTGAACCTAAGACTGAAGATGCGCCCATGAAGGACTCTGCGCCTAGTGTTGCGGCGCCACAATCCGCTGCCACGCCGGCCCAGCCTGCTGTGAAACCCGAGGCTCTTGTGGACACCAAGATGGAAGATGCTGCAGACATCAAACCTGTTCAGGACACTCCTGCCAACACTCAGCCATCGCAGGGCTCCAGCACCCAGGCAGCCTCTGAAGTCGACTTGCAGCAAGCTAGCGTTTCTCAGCTCAACCTCGACACACAGCCCGAAGACTCGATTATGCCTTCTGTTGAGGTGGCCATGACTGACGCGCCCGCTCCTACAAAGGTAGCTCGTGAGCGCGAAGAGGATGTCGTTGACGAACCGGCTGCGAAGCGCGCCCGTACCGAACCCGAAGAAGACAAGCCCATTCCCAGCACCGAAACTGCTGCGAAGCCCGAGCCTGCTCCGGAGGCACCAGTGTCTGCTGCGCCAGCCCCTGCCGCTGCTGCTGCCGACGCGGATCCCGCTACCCCAGCCACGCCCGCTGACGTTCCCAGCGTCGACTCTCTTCACAAGTGGAATGATCCCGAAGCGATGAGCCGCGAGCTTACAGCTTTCCGTCGTCGCGAAATTCGCAAAATTATTGGCCGAGTTAAGAAAACTAAGAGCGGCGCTAACTTCAAAGACTCTGTTCCTAAGCTCTGGCCGCAGCTCGCTGATGCCTATCTGGCCAAGATTGATCATCCCGTCGATCTTAGCGAAATCGAGCGCAAGACCCGTGATGAGACTGGATACATGACCCTTGGCCAGTTCAAGGATGATCTCGGCTTGATTCACAAGAATGCTCTTACTTTCAACGGTCCCGCACATGACGTTACTGCTGGAGCCTTCAACGTCGTCAAGATGGTATGGGAGGATGCACTTCCCCTCCCTGCCGAAGAACCGGCTCGCCCCAAGCCTATTCCCAAGGCTAAGCCTGTTCGCGAGGCCAGAACCCCAACCAGCACTACACCGCAGCGCAGTATGGGCGAAGGCGCTGGCAAGGCTGACGCTTTGCTGGACGCTGACAGACCTAAGCGCAACATTCGGGCCCCTAAACCCAAGGATATCGACTACACCACAAAGCCCTCGCGCAAGAAGTTGAAGCCTGAGCTCCAATTCTGCTTTGAGGTCATGGATGAAATTATGCACCCCAAGAACGACACCTTGATTGAGTGGTTCAAGGTTCCTGTTGATGCCGAGGGCCTCAACATCCCCCACTACTACTCCATCATTAAGAAGCCTATGGACTTGGGCAAGGTTAACGCTATGCTGCAGGCCGGCGAATTCACCAGCCTGAAGGACTTTGACAAGACAGTGCGCCTCATTTTCGACAACTGCTACCAGTTTAACGGTCCCGTTGACCAGGGCAATGTTGTGTCGCTCCGTGCCAAGGACCTCGAGAACTTTTATAACAACCTGATGAAGGATAAGGACAACTGGCTTGCCAGGTTTGCCAAGGCCAACGCCCCTGTTGCTGCGTCCAACGACAGCGAAGACGACGAAGATGATGAGGATGACGACATGGATGATGCGCCTGCTGTTGACAACAGCAAGGAGATCCAAGAGCTCACAGCTAAGCTTGGTGAGGAGACATCAAAGCTCCACGCCATGTTTGTCCCTGGTGCCAACCAGTCACTCATCGACATCCAGAAGGGCATTGTTGACATGGTACAGGCTGCCTTGATGAAGGCCGTTGCCAGCGGCGGCGAGACCCAAGCCCGTGCACCCAAGAAGCCTGGTCGTGGCGGCAGACCCAAGGGATCCGGTAACCGCAAGTCGCTTAGCGGCCAACCCAAGAAGACCCCTGGTCCCAAGAAGGGAGCGGTTAAGAGAAGCCTGTCGGCATCGGACAAGGATGCCATTGCCAACGCCATCAATGACCTCGAATACCCCCATCTCGATCGTGCTATCGACATTATCAAGAAGGACACTGGTCAAAACGAAAACAATGATGGCGAGCTCGAGCTTGATATCGATCAGCTGAGCAACGATGCTCTTCTCAAGCTCTGGGAGCTCTGCAAGAAGGCGTTGCCTGGATTCGGCAAGGGATCTGCTTTTGAAGCGGCCGAGAAGGCTCCCAAGGCACCCAAGCCGGCGGCATCGTCTTCGTCGCTGGGCAAGCCCAAGAAGAACAAGCCCATGAGCGCACAAGAGCAGGAGGCACGCATTGCGCAGCTGACAGCACTGCGCCAAATGTACAAGGACGGCCAGGAGACGTCTGACGTCGCAGGCGGAGCAGGCGACTCGATGCTTTCACCACCTGCGGGGGCTGATTCGAGCGACGACTCAGACTCTGAGGAGGAATAAAGTAAATGAAAAAGCCCTCGCGGGATTTGGCGAGCTGATGATGGGAGTTGCTTGGAACAGGGTTGGGATATCTGGCGGGTGTTACGGTTGCTTTTTTTTTCTGCTTGTTCTTCTCTTCTTATTTTCTCTCTTGACCTTTTGGCTTCTTCTGGTCTTGGTTCCATGTATGAGTAAAACAGCAACTGATCTTTTTGATTTTCTTGTTAGCATATTTTACGACGGCATGGGGATTGCATATCTGGTCGTTTAATTGTTCTTTTAGGCGAACAATCGGGTCTCCTAGCCTCGGAGGGCTTGGGATATAAAAACGGTTATTTTTTTTTTCAGAGTTTTCTTCTTTATTTGTTCTTTATGTTACAACAGAGAAGAGAAAAAGAATATGCAGCGAACCCTTTATGGGCAGTTGTATGATGGCTAATTGACTCTTGTATATTCCACGTCTGTTGCGTTTCCAAAGTGTGGTGTGCTAGCTATCTCTTACGCAACTCATCTGAGATTTAAAGTTTGAAAGCAGCTGTAAATAGTAGCTATTGTATTTTGAGAACAAGTATCGATTTGTTCTAACATGCGTCTATGAGCGGTATATTAATGGAATTTTTCAAAAGCGCAATTGTTTCGCCTTGATACGATCCGATGGTGCAATTGCCGGCATCGCAACAGCGACTTCGGGGAGGAGTGCAGCATATTGCGGCAATTGATATTGTCTAAATACTAAGGGATGGTCCGCCCAGCATCATTTATTTTACTGTATTTTCTCTCCACCTTCTCACACACATGCAATGCCTGATACCCGCCCCGGCCGCTCATCGGCGTTTGCTTTTGCTGTTTGCTGTCGCATCCCGCTTATTGACCCCCACCCCCACTGTAGCGCACCGCTGTGGCGTGCTGTAACTTTGCTGGAGTAGCAGTGCACTCACGTACTATAGGTGGGTTGCTGAGCCCCTCCAAAAAACCATTTCCCGACGCCGGCCGGCAGCCCGCCAGGTGCCCGCCAGGTGCCGACCAGTTGGCGGGGGTGGCCATTTGGAAACTTGAATCCTCTCTCTTCTTTTATTTCCTCCTTTCCCTTCTTCAACCATCAATTGCCATCCGCTTTCTTCTCTTTTTCGCCAGCATCCTCAAATCACAGCCGCCACAATGAAGCTCCTCTATCCAACCTCCATCAAGCTCAACCTCGAGGAGAAGCTCAAGGGCCTTGACGTCACTCCCATCGCCTATGACCCCGCAAAGCCCTTCCCCGATGAGCATGTCGACGCGGATTTCCTCGTCACATGGGCCAACACAAAGGACAACCTCCGCGATGCTGTCGCCCGAATGAATAACCTGCGCTGGATTCAGTCGCTCGCCGCTGGCCCCAACGACGTTCTGTCTGCCGGCTTCGACCAGAGCCGCATCACCGTGACGTCAGGTTCTGGTCTGCACAACTTACCTGTTGCCGAGCACGCCCTGGGTCTGCTTCTCACTGCTTGCCGTAGATTCCACGAAATGCGCGACTGCCAGGTCCAGAGAAAGTGGGCTAAGCACCTCTGTGGCGACCCTACCATCCCCGCCAACATGTTTTCCACCCTGCGCAACGCCGAGATCCTCATCTGGGGCTATGGTAACATTGCCAAGACCCTGACGCCGTATCTCAAGGCCCTAGGTGCCAACGTTCGCGGCATTGCTCGTGAGCAGGGTACCCGAGACGGCGTCGAGGTCTTCACTGTGGACCAGCTCCCTACGCTGCTGCCTACCATTGATGCCCTCGTCATGATTCTTCCCGGTAGCGAGACTACTCGCCATGCGCTCAATGCCGAGCGCCTGAGCTACATGCGCGAGCACTCGTGGGTCGTCAATGTCGGCCGCGGTACCTCTGTTGACGAAGAGGCCCTCTATGAAGCTCTGACCAAGGGCCAGATTGGCGGTGCTGCCCTCGACGTCTTTGAGACGGAGCCCCTCCCGGAATCCAGCAAGTTGTGGTCTGCCCCTAACTTGGTCGTCTCCCCTCATGCTGCTGGTAACCGTCCCCTCGGATCCGAGGACTTGATTAGAGAAAACCTGGAGCTTTTGATTGGCGGCAAGGCGCTCAAGAACGTCATGCCCGGAACTGGTCCCCAGAACAAGCTATAGAATAACGAACCATATAGAGCCGGAATAATAATGACATATTGATTTATAAGACGAATTTACGCATGCTTATGGAACTCGGTCTACAGCTATGTCCGGAATATCCGTTGTTTTGTCCGGCGCGGAGCCGTTGTGCTGGAAGTTACGAAGCGTACAGGTTGTGAGCCTGCCGACATGCATTAGACCCGTTTAGGCAACCAGTCTCTTATTGGATGGCCAACGAAAATCACAGCTCTGCGAGCCGTGTTTTTATTTTAGCGCCACTGTAGGCTGCATGTGCTGTGGTTATCGCCGTGGTGGCTTAAATCCGATAGGCAGCCCAGTTGTCCCAAAAGGGTAAATGGTCTCTAATTGGGTTCGGCATGCACCTCAATCAATATAACATCAAGGCAGCAACAGTTTGTATTTTGAGTATAAAAAGGCAAGGAAATCGCTGCTGAAATTGGATTATTCTCATTCTACTCTCTATCCTCATCACATTCTCTCTTCTCTCCTCATCTTACAGACTTCTTCTATCAACCTCCACCAAACTCCAACAACATGCCTTCCTCTACTACTTACGCCGAATTCGGTGCCAATACTGAAGCTGTCGAAGTAGCAAAGGCTTTTGCTGATGGTATCAAGGGCAAGACTATCCTCGTTACTGGCGTCAACAAAGACGGCCTTGGCTACTCTGCCGCTTACGCCTTTGCTACCCAGCAGCCCGCCAACCTCATTTTGACTGGACGCAACCCAGATAAAATTCAAATTTGCATCGATGCAATCAATGCCGAATTCCCCAACATCAACTGCCGAGCGTTGAAGGTTGACCTCTCCAGCCAAGCGTCTATCCGCGAGGCTGCCAAAGAAGTGCTTGCCTGGGATGATATCCCTGCCATCAACATTATTGTTAACAGCGCTGGAGTCATGGGCCTGACTAACCGCACCATTAACAAAGACGGCATTGAGATGCACTTTGCCACGAACCACATTGGCCACTGGCTCCTGAGCTGTCTCATTATGCCCAAGCTCATCACGGCGGCCAAGTCAAGCCCCAAGGGTGCCACCCGCATTGTCAATGTTTCGTCTGGATCGCCCATGGTATCTTCGATGCGCTGGAGCGACATGAACTTTGAAAAGATTAACACGACGCTTCCCGAGGATGAGCAGCCCTCCTACGAGTGGCTCAAGAGCTGGGGCTATGAAAACGCAGCTGATGTTGCATACGTCCCTGTCGACGGCTACAACCGATCCAAGGTGGCCAATATTCTCTTTGGTATTGGCGCCACTAAGCGTCTTTTCGAGTCTCACGGCATCTTTGTTACTGGTTTACACCCCGGTGTTATTAAGACGGAGTTGGCACGAAACTTTGTTCCCGAGACGCTCGAAAAGATTGAGGAGTTGCGTGTCAAGGGCATCTATACGCTCAAGACACTTGGTGCTGGCTCATCTACTGCTCTAGTAGCAGCGCTGGATCCCAAGTTGGCGGTTGAGGTTGGCGAGACTGTCAATGGCATGGAGAACTATGGCGCGTTTTTGGCTGACTGCCAGATTTTTAACAAGACCAAGAAGCTCGCTGTGGCATCTAGCGAGGCAGAGAAGCTCTGGGAGCTTTCTGAGAAACTTGTTGGCCAGAAGTTTGCATGGTAGAGTTGTGACGCAGGGCAATAGTTTGACAGCTTTCTTATTATAATACAATAAATATAATAAAATACTTCTGTTATTAACAAAGCTTATGCCGAACTTATGGTAATGTGATTGTCCCAAAGACTCTTTCCAAAGTTATCATGCAGAGGAGTAAACCAGAGGAGCTTGCTCATGCGAGCCGAGACGTCCGCCCAATCCTGTAGCTCGAGACGCTTGCATACGGCTTTTATTTTGAGTGATAGCCATTCCACATCCTTATCGACGGAAAGCCATATGCCGCCCATAATGAAACTCCATAGACACGCGTCGGCGTCTGCTACGGTATCCACGTCGACCTGTTCAAACATATGCTTAAAGTACCGACATGATGCACTGTAGCTCACAGCCCTTCGCCCGTCGCTTTGCAACACTAGCGACATAAGAAATGCAATAATTCCAGCATGGTACAAAGTATCCGTGGTGATGTGCGCCTCTTCGACACAGTCTATGGAGCGGTATCGCAACAGCCGATAGAAGAAACCGGTGACCATGTCGAGAAAGTCGTACATTTCCATCTTGGACGAGTCCTTGTTTTCGTTAAACAGAATGCAAATGCTCTTGATATCTCTCAAAAGACCTGCAATGACGGGATGGATGCCCCTCAACTTGAGTAGACTGGCGGCTGTAAATGTATCCAGGAGAAGACCCTCTAGCTGAAGCTTCCAGCAGACCTGCGTGAAGTGATCTCTATAAAACATTGGCGGAACGCCATTTTGAAGAGCCACCATGACGTCGGTCCTATAAATAAGCGGGTGGTTAGACGACAACTTCAAGAATGCGTCAATAGAGGAAATACGTACTTGCATAATTTCAGCACAAGCGGCCGACAGTGATCAAGCTGCTCTAAGCCTCCCCGCATCTCAACCACTCTTTCAAGACCCTTTGTGTGGATTTTGGCGACATCAAAGCGCTGGTTAAGCTGTTCCTGGTTGATGAGCAGGATGATGATCCATATTGTAGAATCCGTTAGATTGTCAGGCCCTCGTAAACGCTGATTCACAATGGAATATGCCCGTGATTGGTGAACCAGCGCGGCCTGCGAGTATTGAGCGTAGCCAGGCTTGCTGAGCATCTCGATGCTGGCAGCCATCATGGCTATCGAGCAGTGGAAAGCTGCGCATTTGACAGAGTATTAGCCCATGGATAACATTTAATAAATACAACACCGTCGTAAAAACGTACTTCCAGTATCATAGAATAACAGTTCCAGCCACATAGCTCGGGCATCGCAGACGGAGAGGTCAATGTAAGTGGGATATACTCTATTTGCAACAAACGAATAAACTTGTAAAAGCAAAACAAAAATGTCAGCATATTTGCATCAATAGGAATTTCTAAGTGTACCGATTCATACATACACGTATCGATTACTTGTAGACTGGCTGGTGTGATCTTGGCTGGGAACGGCATGGAGTGCAGCGTGCCTCCAAAGCGGCGGAGATGAGCTACTAAGGAAAATGACCCTCGTGATATCATCTCAAGAGGCTCTGGGGTTTTCAAAACAGAGGATTTGGCGACCCGCGATCTCCGGAGAACCTTTTTACCTGCATTTTTGCCTTTCATGACATGTTGGCGTAGACGCTTCTTAGTGGCGCGATCGGCGTGGAGGCCGTCGACAAAGAGGAAGCCCGGTGACGGCATTTTGAAAACGGGTAGTATAAATAAATAAATATATTATACAATGTAAAATCTGAAAACAAAAGTAAATAGAATGTATATTCCAATAAGAGCGGCGGGGTCTGCCAGGCTTAAGCTTATTGGGCGTGGCTGTCTTAAGTCCGTGATGACGCTTTACATCCGGTGTCTAACGCCGAAACGAGGCAGCCACGACGCAGCAGGCAGATTTCGTGCAGCCTCGTTTTGTATAAAAGATGGGATGGACGTATTGGCTCCTGAAACATGTAATTATTCTATATTGGCAGGTCTACCGCGTGAGGTTTCAATTATCGCTACTGGTAGTGATAGAGGCACCTAAATAACACCTGTGTAGGGATACGTAGATACGCAACTGTGTACAAGATATAACGAAAATATCCCTAAAAATGTAATATATGCATTGTATATCGCTCTAAGATATATATGTATAAGAATGCAACGCTCTTCTTAATACAAAAAACACTCTCCGTCTGTATGGCTGAGGCCGCCGTGTCCAAGTGCACTACTATTTACAACACGCGGCCCTCACTTGGGTCGTAAAAATTCGTTAAATGGCTATAAAGACAACTGGTAAGCAAGACTGTATACACCACGAGAAGAACTAGAAAGTGCATCATCAAACGTACCAACACAGACATTGGACTGGGGCCACATGCCAGCGCATTCGTAGCCGTCCACGGTCAACCACGGGTTCCATTTCAGGAGCTGGTCCTTGGAGATGCTAAACTTGGCGGCTACTGGAGCGCAGTCGTCGCCATTCTGGATCTTGTACCACTGCTTGCAGTTGCACACGGTACCCTTGCCCTGAGGATACGGGGCATTCTTGTTGCAAGGAGGAGGGGGAAGGTTGTCGGGAGGTGTGATGCCTAAAGCATTCCACTGTTAGCTCATGCTGATGTCGCTGTGCACCATGGCGATATAGTGTATAAATGTAGACGTACCAACGCAAACGTTCGATCTGGGCCACATGCCGACACACTCGTAACCGTCGATGTTGAGCCACGGGTTCCAGCTCTCCAGTTGCTGCTTGGTGATGCCGTGCTTATCGGCCACGGGGCCGCAGTCGTCTCCGTTCTGAATCTTGTACCAGCTCCAGCAAGGGCAGACAGTAGAGTTGTTCACTTGGGTTGGAGCGCCGTCGGGCTGGTCACAAGTGCCCTGGGCATCTCTGGGAGCCAAGGGGCTAGCGGCCACGGCCACGGCAAGCAGAGATACTAAAAAGGACTTCATGGTGACGGTGGTAGATGTGACTGGATAGTATAGAGAAGAGCGATGTGGTGGCGAAAGAAGGAGATGGTGAGAACAGTCAACAAGTCGTCTTTTCTTTGTTGATCCAACTGCGGACCATTGTCCTCCTTATACTTTTAATCTCTTCATCCTCTGTTTGTCCGTATTATCACCACACGGTCGCGAGTCCAATCCACTTTCTTCCTGTCAGCTTTGCTCGCAGCCCAAGAGTTGCCTATTTGGGTAGCATTCTCCTGGGCGCCATCCAAGTGCCGATCTACCGACTATGATCCAGCGAAGGCTCTCGGGCGCACAGGGCTACTATTTTGCTCCTTCAGCGCTCTTTAGTGATTGATTGGTACCCTCGGCAAGTCTTCTAGTGGCCTCGGTGCTTACGCTGGAGTCCTTTGCAGCCTTACGCTTGCTTGAAGCTATAATCTTACTGCAGGGAGCACCCTTCTGGAAACGGCAGTGGAAGCCGCCAATATGCATATATATCTGCTTAGATAACCATGTTGCGCCTCTAGATGACAGGGCTTCTTGCCATGATTTCTGAATCGGTTTTTGGTTAACCGTTGATGGAGACTGAAGTTGGTTGAAAGTCGTCTCATCTTACTTTAGATCTTAGCGCCGCGATGCCGATGGCCGAGATCGCCATGGAGCATAATGGCGCTTGCAGCAGAGAAACATGGTATGCTGCTTGCATCACCTGCTGCATATTCGTCTCTTCTATCCCGGAGTCTAGCCTTTCTGCCCTGGTCCGCCGTGGTCTTGTTTTCCGCTGTATGCAGTTGCGCTCATGTGGTCGGCTACGCTTTTATCGCGTAAGCGGCTGACCACAATACTACGTCAACCGTTAACCCTTCAAAAATAATGAATCAAAACCTCCGAGTTATTAGGACGGTACTTGAGACCGTTGTAGCTGCCTTTAATTTGTGATCCTAGAATCTGCGTATGGGAAACCGGATTACTGTGAATGAAAGCTCTTGTCAGGCAATCCTTTTCTCAGCGCTGACACTTTCGTTTCGCAGTCGGGTTAAGGTGATGGCGAGAGAGACTATGAAGCAGTTTAAATTTCACGCCGTAAAATCAACGTGACAAAGCCAACAGTTGCTAGCTACCAAATCATACCGGGGAAGAGGCTGAGAGCCAACCGATGATGCATGCAATTTGCCAATTTCATTTCAGAATGAATCATCAAAAGCTTAACAGCATTAGCTGGAATTCCCTTGATATGTGCTGCTCTTACCAACAGCCGAGTGGCAAGCAAGGTGAGCCTTGGCAGCCTTTTTTGGGATTTGTCTGAGGACATTTTACGATAGCTATCCATGTAAAATGGTAAACCGGCATGTCCTCCGAACGAGTCGGAAATCAGTACAGTGGTTCGCCGGAACAACCAACGTAAATTTAGCACGGGCCAGAAATAGGCCAGACAGAGACAGGGGTCACACTCAGTATGGTTTATGCATTTGGTGGCCAGACTCTGCGGTGATGAGTGTGCGAGAAACAGGCGTCAAGACTGTTTCTCTAACCACCAAATATTCACCCTCAGAGCAGTTGGTGGGAAAGAGACATGTCTTTGCATTGCAAACATCGCATGGCCGGAAAAGCGATAGGTGTCAGTGTTTTGTCCGCTCCCAGGATGCGTATAAAGTATGCGGCGAGTCCTCTCGACTCGTCGCCATCTTCGGACTAACCCATTAAAACAAAACTTCATCTATCCAGAATATCGAAAAGTATTCATCATGAAGGCAACTCTCTTCCTTGCTGGTATGGCGTCCACGGGACTAGCCATGCCCGCCACTGAGCACTGGGGTGAGAAGGAACTCCTCAAGGTCGACATCCCCACAGACACTATCAAGATGGAGGATCTCCGAGCTGCTAAGCTCAAGGCTTGGGAGGAGATGAGAGCCAACGGCGAGTTCGACGACGGCCGCTACCATGCGCAGGCCATGACAAAGTGCGAGGGCGGCAAGGCCGGTGACTATGCCTGCATGAACATGGACCTTATGCACTTCTTGCCTCACGCCGACATGGGCAGCAAGAGCAAGGCTGGTAATGACGTCTGGGGTAAGTTATACGCAGCAAACATGTAGACACAGACGGCTAACAAAAGTGTTCTTCTATAGGCTGGACATCCAAGGATGGCCGTGAGTTTGGTGCCTTCTGCCAGACCGATGGTACTGCTTTCGTCGAAGTCCTCAAGGACGGAAAGATGGCCTACCTTGGCCGTTTGCCCACACAGACCTCCAACTCCAATTGGCGTGATGCCAAGCTCATTGGCGACCATATGTACATTGGTTCCGAAGCTGGCAACCACGGCATGCAAATCTTCGACATGAAGAAGTTGTTGGAGCTCAAGCCTGACAAGCCCAAGGTGTTTGATATCAAGGCCGATATTAAGCACTTTTCTGGTTTCGGCAGCTCCCACAACATTGTTGCCAACCCAGACACTCATATGATTTACGCTGTTGGCACTGCCCGCGGTGAGAAGTGCAAGGGTGGCCTCTGGATGGTCGACGTCAAGGATCCCAACTCGCCCAAGGATGCTGGTTGCGTCGGCGAAGACGGCTACACTCACGATGCCGAGTGCGTCATCTACAAGGGCCCTCACAAGGAGTACCAGGGCCGTGAGATTTGCTTCAATTACAACGAGAAGAAGCTTTCCATTTTCGATGTCACTGACCGTGGCAAGCCCAAGATGCTTTCGCGCATCGCGTACGAAGGTGTTGCATACACCCACCAGGGCTGGATCATTGACAAGGAGCAGCGCTTCCTTGCCCTTGATGACGAGCAGGATGAGATGGGCAGCAAGGGCCCTGCCAAGGACCAGAAGACTGTCACCTACATTGCCGATGTGACTGATCTGACCAAGCCCAAGTTCACTGGTGTCTACAAGTCGCCGCAAAAGGCCATTGACCACAACCTGTACGTCATTGACGGTATTGCCTACGAGGCCAACTACGGCTCTGGCCTTCGCGTCGTCGACATGAACTCTGTCACCAAGGACTCTAGCGGTGGCAGCTTCAAGGAGATTGCCTACTTCGACGTTCGCCCCGAGGATGACAAGGCTGGTGGTAAGGCTTCCTTCAACGGCGCTTGGTCTGTCTACCCCTACTTCAAGAGTGGCCATATTCTGATCAACAGCATTGAGCGTGGTGGTTTCTCCGTCAAGATGACCACCAAGTAAACAGCTTTTCAGCGGTGGTGTATCGCTCAGGGATATACTCTGGGAATCGCCCGTCCACAGCCTGCGTACATAGGTAGTAGTTTCTGCTGGTATACGAATAGACAATCTATTTTTCTTAATCCGTAAATAACATAATTGTAAAAGTTGTGGCGTTTGAAACAATTGCAACCGTAGTATTCGTTGGTTAAAGAGTGTTTGGGAAGCGGCCTGGTAGGGTCGAGGCTACGCGGCACTCTCCAACAAGATCTGTACCTCTCTTGGGATAGTGTCGACAGCGTCTTTGCCGTCTCTCATGCGCTGCAGGTAATCTTTCAATCCGACCATCTCATCGCTCTTCATTTTGTCTCCACGCTGATCAAGTTTCGCCTCTGTTGCACATTGAAAGTCTGAGACAAACGGGTCTGTACCACTGTTAGCGCCGTGATATTTGGGGCGGAAGTGTGAGGTGTACTGACCGCCGTTGATACGCCGGTAGATGTTCCGCAGTGCCACTTTCGGGTAGACGGCATGGTCAATATGATTATTAAATACGATACCTGCTTCATGCAGCTCTTCGAATACTTCCACGACAGCAGCGATGGTTTCGTCAGTTAGATCGTCCCTGGAGATTGGCTTCAGACCGGCTACGTGCTCAAATACCAAGCACCGTAGCCCAGTTTTACCACCTGTATCAGGTTCAAAGTGAGACTCAGTATCCTCGAGACTCTCTCGTTGTACACGCATCTGGCCAAAACATCGTGGCCAGTTGCCATCGGACCTCATCTCCAGCAGCTCCTGGACAGCATTTGCCTGGAGAGAGCAGCTTCCAATCTTCAAGTTGGCATTGGATTCTTTCTCAAAAGCCCTCTGGCCAGCAAGATTGCTAGGGAACTATCAATTCAAAATTAGAACGTTCAAGATGGGTGTATGGGGTGTGCAGCATAAACCTACAGCTTTGATGATCACATGTCTGTCGGTGCGGGCTCTGCTGTAGCCTTGATCGACAAGGCCTAGATCCCAAACGCGGGCGAAATATAGGCTGGTATGCTTGCCTAGCCCATCTCTGGAGATATGCCTGATATGAAATGCGACGGCGGCACCGGTAAGATCAGGGACAGCAGGACTGGAAGCCATTGTAAGTGAATGTTCAAGCGTAAAGACGAGGACGATGAATTTGTATTCAAATCATGGGAGTTGACCTACCAAAAGACTCTTAATGAAGTGTTGTGACTTCTCAAATTTATAGATATTTGGCCTATTTATACTAATTTTAGGAACTTTTGTCAATCTTGATGTTTCCGTGACCTTTTGCATGGCAGCTGTGACAGGTGGCAGGGGTGTCTTCACGACGGCGCACGTGTTTTAGCAGGCACATCGTGAATACACAGCAGGCTGTATCACAATTTGGAGATGCATCTACACAGCCTCGCCTAACAAGACATTTGAATAATTTCCAGAAAAGGAAACTGCGATCTAAACACATTCGAATATGGTTTAGTTTACTTGCCTATTCCCCCATAGTCGATATTCCCGTTTGGGTTAAAAGATACGATCTGCTCCACCAACGACGTCGCTACACTACTCAGATACGTTCGGCTATAATATGTCATATTAATGGAATAGCACTGAGACTGACAGATAGAAATTAACCTAGGAATTGACAGATGTCTATTCTACAACCACGATGGTCAACTGTAAACGCTACCAAACACACCAAACGCTCAGTACACGTCAAAGTTGTCAAACCCATAGGCCACCTCCACAAGAGTTGTCCCTGCAAGTTCCACCTCCTTGCTTTGCAGCTGTTTCGCGCCCATATGCTCGTAGAAGCGCCGTGCAGGATTGACATCTAGCACCCATAAAGCGGCATTGTGTATCCCTTGGCGCAGCATCGTTTCCTTCATTGCCCGCATCAGCATCCTCCCGAGACCTTTGCCCTTGGCCTCCTGCAGCACGTATATCAAGAAGATTTCACCCTGATAATCGAGATCTTTGTCCCGGCATTTCCCGGCCGCCGCAATACCGTATGCCTTGCCGCCAACTGTGGCAATATTCACTTCAAAGGCATCGGGGTTCTGAAGATGCATCGTCCAGTTTGTAATGCGCCGCTCCAGATCCAAGGAGTCGAGGTAGGCTTGAGGCATCATGCCCCTATATGTTTCTTGCCATGAATGGATGTGGATGCGCGCAACGTCTGCAGCGTCATCCACTGTTGCTTTTCTGATCTCAATGCTCATGGTTTTCGTTATGAATGTCCAGATGATGAGTTGGCAGACGCGAACCTCCGCCTGGTTTATCTTTACATGATGTGGGATGACTGCGCTAGTGAGTCACTCAGCCGCAAACCACATACATCCAGGTCGACAATCGGAGCCACATTGCGGTCCAGCCAAGTAAAGGAAATCGGAAATATAATTGTTTCTCATCTATATGGTCGTCATAAAGAGTCTAAAAAAAGGAGTTCGTCTAATCCAAGTGGTTCGTCTAGTCATAGAGTCCAGCGCCTAACGGAACTGGTTCTTCTGGGCTCAACCCAAGTGCCCCGCGCCCCATGCCGTCAGAAAGAGTCAGAGTCCGGCGGCCAGTCTCGGTCACTTTTGTTCCAAAGTCAAAGATTCTATAGTCTGCGTTGTGGTAGTAGAAGCTGGACACGCCTGCCCGCAGAAACGCGCCATGGGAGACGACGTAGATGAGCTTTTCCGGGCGATGATAGAGCGCCTCTAGCACCATCTTGCCTCGCTCCATGACGGCTGACCGCGTATTAGCGTATCGCTTTGCCGCCGGCGATGTCTTGTCCGGCCAGATGGGATCGACATTGCTGAAGTCGATATGGGGGAATTCAGCCTGCCATTTAGAGATTGGGCTGCCTGTGTCGCAGGGCTCGTCGGAGTTTTCTACAGTTCATTCCTTCCATTAGCTTGCTGGTTGGTCCAGTTTTTGATAGAGGGAATACTCACCTTGCCAGTCAGCGCTAGCCTCAAACACCACGCCCTGGTCCTTTAGCCAGTCCAGGCCGATACTTGCTGTCTGCATCGTGCGCAACATAGGGCTAACAATCACAGCAACATCCTTGGTAGGATAGTGTCCAAGCCGTGTATGTAGAGATGCCTTTAGCGACATGCATTGTGTCTTGCCCAGCGAAGTGAGCTCTGGATCATGCAGCATAAAGTCATGTGCTGGGAGACGGTGTCAGCAGAGTAGTTCTTTGTTTGGACAAGGTGGAAGACGTATTATCAACATTGTGATGGCCTTGGGCGTGCCGGATCAGCACAATTGTAGGCGGCATAGCGGAAATGGCTCTCTGTGGGAAAAGTTGGTTTGCATGAGATAAAAGTTGGCGGCCAAGCACGGCCCTGTATATAGAAGCCCGTTGCACGCTGCAGCCCACTATAATTTTAGCGAGTGATCACTGTTTGGTGCCTGCTGCCTGGGGTGCAGTGGGAGCCTCAGGGAATGCCCTGCGCTGCGCCCCCCGGTTATCGGGCTGTGCCAATATAGACGCTTATAAAAAGTGCCTTGTATAAATAAACCAAAGTTAGTTAATGCATCCTTGTATGAACAATGCTTCCACCAACTTAACCAACTTTTATTCACATATTCTTTTTATTAATCTATTTGATTATTCCCATATTCCGTCCCCTTCGTCATCATGTCTCACATACCGCCGCCCACTACAATACAGCACAACTCCTCACTGTACAGTGGGGCTTGTGCACGCGTTACCCATCGTCAACAACCGCCAGGCAGCCTTGCAGCAGGGTTTCATCACCAATACTTCACCACCGTTCAATGCCGCCAGCTTACCGGAAGTCTCAATCACGCTTTGTAAGTTCATCTAAAGCCATCCCTGTTACCTAGCATCTCGTCTGACACCCCTGCAGAGCCAGTTCATCACCATGTTCTCCTCCTCTATAGCAGCACCGCTTGATCCCCCTCCTCCCACGCTACTTGAGCTCATAGACTTGATAGACAAGTTCAGTATAGGCCATTCAACGTGCATTGTAATACCAACTAACACACTCTTTAGTGTTCCTGCAGGATTCCCAGTAAATAACGACAACTACTTCCCGCTGCTCATTGGCGATGACCCAAGGCCGCATGGCTTCGTCCTTTGCAGTATAGCTACCATTCTTCCATGGCCGCACGCCTTTCAGATTACTGATTCGGCAATCCATCTCCGCGCATCTACTGCCGCTGAAGCTACGGCTGCCTTTCAACTGCTCATCAACGCCACTAGAAACGTCGACCCGATAGGCAAGTCCATTGCTCTGCCCAGCGAGCACTTCCTGCTCCCTGGACAGCCGTTCCTCGGCGAGACTGTGCACATTGAGCGCTTTGCCAGCTCTATATTTGGCATCGGCACTAGAGGTTCACACATGACAGCCTACGTTCGCGGCCCTAGCGGCGAACCGGACGACATCCTCATCTGGGTAGCCCGCCGCTCTCCAGATCTCTTTAGCTATCCGCACAAGCTCGACAGCACTGTCGCTGGTGGTGTCAAAGCTTCCGATACACCATTGGAGTGCATTATTGCCGAGTCGGAAGAAGAAGCTAGCCTCCCGAGAGAGCTTGTACAGGCTCGCGTGAAGCACACCGGCGTGGTCACATTGGCAAACCGTAATCCGCGAAACGGTTTCTTCCATGGCGAAATTCTCTACGTATACGACCTGGAGCTTACGGCGGACGAGAAGCCGGAACTCGGCTATGATGGCGAAGTGTGCGAATTCATCCTCATGACTTGGCGTGAGGTCCTGGGCCGCATGCAGAATCTGGAATTCAAGCCCAATGTATGCCCTATTATGATTGACTTCTTTATGCGCCATGGTCTCATTACTCCCGACAATGAGCCTCGATATGTAGAGATTAGCTCAAGACTGAGGCGGAAGCTTCCCATGGCTACAAACGAGTTCGAAGGGAGGTGAAGTACTTAGATACTCAATAAAAACTATGTAAAATTTGGAAACGTCATATACCTCGTATCTACTCTAATAAAAGTATTCGTCCTTATCCATTGCCTCCAAGGCCCTCTCGAGGACAACACGACACCTTTGACGGTAGTCAATGGCAAGCTTTTGATTGCGCGTTAGCAGCTCAAGATCCTCTTCATCAACCTCCACATCGTGTTCATTCAGCTTTTCCAGTTCCTGAATCAGCTTCCCTTGAATTGTGCCAACCACACGCTCCAGAAGCCCCTTGTTCTCCTCGCTGATGGCACCAGAAAGGAGCATGCCCAGGCGTGCCTCATCTGCTTCTTCGCCTTCTTTGCCTTGAACAGGGAACAGAGCTTCTCGTTGCTCCGGGCTGGCAACTAACGTGACAATATCCCAGATCATCTGGGGCTGAACATGTTGAAGGGCAAGCAGAGTCTTGTCCGCCTGCTGAATCATAGTGGGCGTGAGCTTGGAGCGGATCATAATAGAGCTGGGATCGCTCATTGGTCGTCGCGACAGAAAGTATTCGTCGCCAAAGGCCTGTCCCGGAATAGGTGCCCGCTTTCGGAGGTGAATGTAGTCGTTGTGCAGGTCGTCTCGCGGGGGAATCATGAACCCGTAACCCAGCAACAGCTCGGCATTCGACTTCATGCTGTAGTTGTTGAAGATTTGTTCACCAGCAGAGTGTACCTTGCCAATCTTGAGGGTACAAGAATCGTGCTTCTCCAGCTCCCATCTGGCTGGGCGAGTAATATCATGGTTGCCAATATCAAACAGCGGCATCAAGACGGAAAAGTCGTCCACCTTTACACCAGCTGGCAAACTCTTTTGCTTTTCTTCCGACAGCACGAGACTTGGTCTAAAGCTTCTGCTAGAGAAGATAGCATATGCCCAGCTGTAAAGCTCATATGTAGCCCCGGCGGCCAGATCAGCGTCACCGCCCTCACCCAGAGCGTCCTGCAAATCTTCAAACTCTCGCTTCAGGTTCTCGGCGATGCTCGCAATACCAAACTCGACATTTGTTCCCTTGAGCAGAGCAACTTCATCTCCAGGCCAGAAAGGCGGTAGCAGCCACGAATCAGTTTCTGCTGGCTGCGGCAGCGCCTGAATATATGGCCACCAGAATGATTGCTTGCCCTGCAGATATTCTCTCATAAGCATGAGGCGGCTGATAACGTGAGGCTCCAAGCGAGCGATTAGCTGCTCCTTGTTCTTAAATGGGCTTTTCTCTCCAACAGCGTCGGTGAAGGATAGTGTAATGGTGCTAGGAATGCTGATGATGGTTTCGTATTCTCCAACATTCTCCTGGGCGTCTGGTTTTACCCGGAACGATAGACCAGTGAGTTCATCTTGGTAAACCTCGACAGACGGGTGCAACTTGACACCATTTTCCTGTCCCCAGGAAATCAGTGTTTGTATTCTCTCATCCATCTTTGATTCGATTGACGGCGGTGGGTTGCGTACTGAGGTGACGTGTTGGAGCAGAACTCACGTTACGCCCGCTTCTCGCTTAAAAAGATAGCCGCGGTGGATCTCCGCAACACAAACGCCGCAATCAAGATCCAACCACCACAGACGAACTGGGAATTAGATAACACAAATATCGAATATTGATAATTTTAAAGTAAGAGTAGCTATTAAAATGGAAAATAGAGCCAATTACAGACACCATTGACGATTTCGCCAGCTGTTGTCATCACACCGTCTTTTCTAGGGTAGCACGCACTACGCACCATGGAGAGGTGGCTGCGTATTGAACAAAAATGTAATATATATATGTATACTATGCTAAAATTTGACTGGCGCGCTTTTTCAAAACAAATTTAATGGAACTCTGCCTCCACTCTACCATATCTCACTCCGTCCACCTTGAGCTCGAAGCCCAAGCCAGCGCTGTCCACAATCATCTCCAACGTAAAGTCGAGGTTGTCAAACTCGACACCCCGCGTCGTTGTTAGCCTCGTGAACAAGCTTCGTGGCACAGCATTCAAGTCGGTAGTGAGTGTACAAACGTGCATTAGCTCACGTGTGTACGCTGCCGGTGGCTCTTCTGTATCACACGCAATCAAATCGTCAGTAACCGTCAGAGATTGGCCGGGACGGAAATTGCGCGTATAGTGAAATGCAATGGGCGAAAGCGGCGAGAGGGATTCACCCTAGAATCGTTAGCATACTTTATACAGCCCATTGACCGCGTAGAAGGACTTACCTTGGCGATATGCCACTGCATTCTATCCGACACCATCCAACGTTCCCAGAGCGGTGACCAGTATCGCTCGCTAACTGAGTGCTTGGCTTCGTCAAACACCGTGGCATAGGACGTTCCATAATGCATTCTTGACTTGCGAGATATAACCATGCTGCCCTCCAGGCCGCGAAGGACCGCACCACGGACAACAGCCGTCCACGCATACACGGGCTGCATGACCTCGATCGAGCCGGGCTCTTGATTGGAATTGGCCGTCGCATGCGTTGGGCGCTCGCTGTAGGGGGGCGGGGCTGCACTTGAGAAGTGAGCCTTCAATCGTCTATAGAGATAGTCGCTCTGGCCAAAGCCGCCCACCAGCACAATACCGGATACGACACCACCCTTGGCGCGAAGGCTGTCGACTTGACCTTGCACTAGATCACAGACTTCCTTAACTACAGGCTCGAATATGTCTTTGACTTGATCGCCAGTCATGACCAAGAAACCAGAGTCGAGTCCAGCTTCTTCATCGTCCGGCAGACCAGGGAATCTACAAAAAGTTAGCCAAACGGAACCAAAGTCATCGCAAAACGTTCAACACATACGGTACGTTGATTTCTTGGTGCTCGTCCTCGTTGAAGTTTCGCTTTACAAACTCCTCAAAATATTTGAGACCCATTTGCCATGTCTTGCCCTTCTTGTTCTTCATCTCGTCGAAGCGAGCTTGGCCCAGACGGTTGCGTACGTGCTCTTCGAACCGGTAGTTAAGGAAAGCACTTCCACAGAGGCCACCCGTACCAACAGCAGATTCTTCCACACGGAGCGGTTTCAAGGACATGATTTGGTACGCGATAAGACTGGTAAAGTGGTTAGGTTAGGCCCAGTTTTGTAAACGTTGCGCGTGTTACTTACTCAACAGTTCCACCACCAGCATCACACACAATAAAATTGTCGCCTACATTGAGATGATTGGGTTGAATGGCTTTCAGGGTGTACACAGCTGCAGCCTCGGGCTCGCTAATCATCTGGATGTCTGACCGACTGCCCATACCAGCCCGTTCGGCAGCTTGCAATGTCGTATTTTTGGCGGCGTCACTCCATACTGCAGGACACGTAAGAACAAAATCCACCTTTGTAGATGTCATGAAAGATTCGCCATAGCGTCGGGTGAGTGTATCCATGGTGTGTTTATAAATCTGTGTCAAGTAATCACCAACAGCATCCACCACATTCTTGTTGAACCGCTTCAGTTGTGCAGCCGTATCCAATGGGCTAACATAGAACGGTAACTTTTGCGAACGGTCCAGAAACAGCTTTATACATCTAAGCCGCGAGTCTTCTGGCTTGAATTGAAATCCCCATTTCGCAGTGGGCTCAGCATCAGCCTCTGCATTGGGAGGGTAACTATACGCAATTTCGGTAGGAACCTTGTCGGATGTAATGCCATTGCCTCCAGGCCATGTCTTAATAATCTCGATATCGTCCGGTGTAGAGGTATAAACGGCAGCAACACCGGAAAAGGTGGTGCCAAAGTCTACGCCAACAATGAGGCGGTCATTGATCGGCGGGGGATCTCTGGCGGGTTCGCGAACAGGCCCGTTTATCGCTTCTGTCGAGCTTGGAGGGGTGTAACTCGTAAAGTAGCTTCGGCTGTCTTGGTTTCTGCCTCGCGCAACATTGGGTCGATGAGGCAGGGCAAGGTTGACGCTGGCACTGGCGCTGCTATTGCCTGGACTGTTATTGGCTTGCATGGCGAGGGTCGTCTAACATGCCCTAGCTAATGGTGGTATATAGGATAGAAGGAGAAAGCTAGGGCTCTTGTGCCAACCTCTCTCGCCAGAGTTCCGCCGTCGGTTTGAACTCTGCTGAGGGTTCTGCTGCCACTACTCTGCAATTCTAGGGCGCGGGGTTGTGTGAGAGGGCCAATTCGGTCGGTATAGTTCGTACAAATGTCTAGCGAATTGCGGTCTAGAAAAACTTTGCTGTAACAAAATCAAATATTTTGCCGGAGGCCGCCTGCGAAAGAGGTCGGTGATGGTCGGAATTGGACTGCGGGGTGTTGCCGTTGGTTCCTCTTTAAACACTGAGTTTCTCGTACACAGATGTGGCCGTGTCGGTGGACAAACCCCTCGTTCAAGAAAATGACGCTTTGAAATACGATTCGCTCTAGGCAGACGAATTCCGCATGAAACACAAAGCGCGCAGATGGTGTTGTTGGGCGGGTGTCTGAGTTATTCTGCTGCCTTGAGTGCCCCGTTGCAGGAGTCCTCTCAGCTCCAAACTCCAGAAGGCAGCCACGCTAGAACCCCACATTGCGTCGTCGTGTACCGGCCCAGCCTCGTGCCCGTGCGTCTGTCAACACGTGACGGTGAGACGAGACGGCAGACGACTTCGGATAATACGCGATACTGTGTTGTAGCTGCCGCTCTATTTTGAATTTGCTGTAGGAATGTAAAAGATATTTATATGTCACGGAAGTAAAGCATTGGAAACAAACAAAATGCAGAATAACCAACATTGTCTATTCGTCTTTTTGATACGCAGGGGCTTGCAAAAAAACCCCACGCCCATGTGTCCTATAAATGAGAAAAGAGAAAAAAATACTTCCTAGCCTCCTCTTTTGATAATTAAGTATGTAGCTATAATAGAAAGCCAAAATGGTGCAAAGTGCCCAAGATTCATACATAACAAGTTGCCAAGTCCAGCTTGTCGAAAACGCCGATTCACAAAGTGCCCAGTAGCGAAAGGCTTCCCAAGTCTGTTGCAAAAAGCAGCTTGAATAGGGTGTTTCCCGGAGCTCATGCAGCTCGAGGAAATCTTGCCCAAGCCAATACGCAAACATTCTATGCAACTCTGCGCCGAGAAAATATTACATATTCCGCAACAACAAGAACGCCGGTGACTCCCGTCTTGTGATCCTTTTCTGCAAGATCAAAGATTCGATGAAATAGAGAAAAAAACAAATGAAACAAAAAGATGTTGGTTGCATGTCGCGATGCTTGCAGAAAAAAAAGAAGATGAAATGAGACAGGCTCTGGTAACCTGATTCTCGAAAATGGTTGAAAAATAGTAGGCTCTTCGCTGTGTTCTGTCTATATGGGGTATTATGTGCATATGCAGGCTGCTGCTAGGTTGAAGCGAAATGAATCGAAAGGAAAGATGTAAAGAGCGAGATATTAGAACAGATATGAAAGTAATAGGAATCGAAAGATCGTCAGGTGTTAAAGCTCTAAGGAGCTGGATAGGATGCAGTTCGAAGATTAGGCACGGTTGCCGGCGGCCCAGAGGTTGGTTTGTGTGCCGGCCCATTCATCGCCTTCGTAAGGAGGGGTTGGCCATTTGTATTGTGAGTTGACCTTCTTGTTCAGCGCCAACGGCTTAGGAGTAAGTGCTTCGTGGCCGTCGGTGTACATGACTTGGCTACCGCTAGCCGAGGGTGATGGGCTTGGGTAAGCATGCGTTGGGCTGGACAAGCCCAGGTTGCTGACAGATTGGCGGAGCGGCTTGCGGTTCTCGGTCTCCAGTCGGGTGAGAGCTCCGTGGGTAGAGGTGAGAACTTCATCGAGAAGCTCATCCGCCTCATCGGGGGCTTCATATTGCTGGGCACCATAAAATGCTTGCGAGCGGCGGGTTCTGCTGGACACGGGGCCTCCACGGGCAGCACCGATGAGATTATCAACGGAACGAGCCTGTTGTTGAGGCAAAGAGTGGTGTCGCTTTAGCTTGGTGGCAGCGGCAATCTGAGGAACCGGCACTCGGTTGTCCTCCTTGAGGGTTTTATCAAGGGACTCATGGGTTTCGTTCCTGGGGATCGAAGTGAACTGCTGGTCACTCATAATGGAGTTTCTGTTACTGTTGGTTGGCCAAGGGCCACAACCAACCTGGGCATCCATGCTGTCGAATGCAGGCGAAACTGGCGTCTGGTGACGGCCCGAGAAACGACGAGCGCGCTTACGGAGATGCGAGAAGAAGCTTTCCTTGTGTGCGCTAGGGGGAGAGACCAATCCTGTCTGTCCATTCAGGGCACGTTCAGCCTGCTGACGATGCATCTCAGTGTTGTAGTTGTTTGTGCTGGATGCAACAGAGAGTTGTCTACCGAGCTTCTTCTTCTCCTGGTTGTTGGCATTGGCAATAGCAGCCGCTGCAGCGGCAGCAGCATCGCTCTGGTTGGCCTTGGCGTTAACGGTGTCGGAGAGTGGTGAAATTGGGCGAATGGATGGGAGGATAGGCATTGGGGCACCGTTGGTGATGCCATTGGTCCAGGTTGTGCGTTTGCTAGGCGAGCGCTTGACTGCATTTGCCTCAGCGTTGATAGCGGCTTGGACCGCAGCAGGCTTAGGGCTGGCCGTATCCTTGGCAGCGGTAATGTCTGGGGTCTCGCTGCGGCCAATGATGGACTTGCGGAACCAAGAGGATCGGGATGAGACAATTGCTGGCTCCTTCTTCTCCTTCTCCTGGATAGGACGAGCGATATCTGATTGCTTGCGGCCCAGGATGCGCGACGCCGATGACTTGGGTCTCAATGGGTCGACGGCATCAGCAAAGTACTCGTGGGCAAGAGCTTGCGCCGACGTAGGTCTGCTCTTGGGATCCCACAACAAGCACCAGGTAACGAAGTGAGCAAGCGAGGCAGGCCATTGAGGGGCTTTGAGGATGTTCTCAATGGGGTGAGGGGCCATCTTGGGAAACGAGAAGCCAAGCTTGCTGGCCAACCGCGTACCCTCGCGCCATTCACCACCTCCGACACGGCCACCCGATTTGGTGTACCAGTTTCCAGGGCTGCCCATAATCTCGCAGACACGCCAAACCTGGTCAACCTCGTTGCCACCAGGGAACAGAGGCTTGAGCGTTGCAACTTCCACAGCCATGGCACCGACGGCCCAGATATCGACCGGTGCTGAGTATTCGCCAGCGCGAAGCAAGACCTCGGGGGCTCTATACCATCTCGTTGAGACGTATGTGGTGTATGGCAGTTTCGAGTGTGTCTCACGAGCGAGACCAAAGTCTGCCAGCTTAACTGTGTAGGTAGGAGGAGTAGATGGCGGCGTGACTAGGGCGGAGTAGCGGCGGAAAGAGCTTGATGAATCGTGGTGAGCAGATGTTGAGACGAGGATGTTTTCGGGTTTAATATCGCGGTGGAAGAACTGGTTGTTGTGAATATGCTCGAGACCCTGCATAATCTGGAACAGAATGCTCTTGACGCTTGCGTTGTCTAGCGGCTTGTGGTCGCGGGACTTCATAAGTTGATACAAGTTACCTTCCATGTACTCCATGCAAATGTGAAGCTTCTTGCTGTAGGGGTCGAGGAAGATGTCGAGGGCGGGGACTAGATGTACATGTGGTGGGATGGTGCGGAGGAAGACGACCTCGCGAAGCTCTAGGCAGGGTGCTAGCGAGTCAAAGGATTTCTTCATGGATTTAATAGCAACCTAGGAAGACAGTTAGAACTAGAAGCCGGGTCTGCTCACGATATGCGATTACTTACAACTGAGCCTCTGCGGGCAACAGAAGCACCAGCAGTTCTCACACGAGCGAGAACGACGCTGCCGAAGCTTCCATCACCAATGTCCTTGAGGACTTCGAATCGGTCTTCGAGGGCTAATTGTGCAGGCTGGCCCCGAGGGGTGCTGTCGCTTGTAACGGCCATTTTGGAACGTTTCTAGTCGGTTATGGGCGTAAAGCTATTAGAGCAGCGCGTAGTTGCCGGAAGCTATGTCGACGGTTTCACAGAAGCCGCACGGATAGAATCTTGAAGCCGTAGCTGTTAGCCACCTTTTGATCCTGCCACGAGCAGCCGGGAGCACCGTAGTACCTGGTCGGAGACGAACGCGGGCCCTTTCGCGGAGCCAATAGCGAATTATCGGGGCATGCAGTAGAGTATAACAGCGGATTTTAGATGGAGAGGACTTGAAGCGGCGGATAAGTGGCCTGATGCGAGAGTGTCGCTGTCTGCAGTGGCGGTAGTGATGTTGGAAGTGGTAGCATGAAGATGCGTCGGTCGGGCTGCAGGTGCTGAAGAATGTCCAGGTCGTGCAACGGAGCAGTTTGTGTGAAAGGAGAGCGACGGTTGCTAATTACCAGAGTGGATATTGTTGATATTAGGTAGGGAGGCCAGAGAGGACGAGAGAAAAGGAGAGTGGTTTCGTTATCGAAATTGGGCCAGGTCAGGGGGAGAGGACCCTTCTGTTTCTGAGTCTCCAGCGTTGGTTGGTGTTGGCTGGCAATTGAACCCAACTGGGAGGACCGCCTTTAAGATTGCCCCTGGGCGGCGGGCCGCTAGCGCCTGGAAAAACCAGGTCCGGGTACCTGTGGAGGGTGCGATGTACTGGACAGGTACAGTTGCACTAGGCACACGCAAAGTATAGTGTCCTTTTGGGGATAGGATGGGAGGTTAATTAAGCATCAACGTATCAAAACTCTACAAAAGAATAACATGATAAACTCCATTGGTTTGTTTTTATTTCTTTTATTTTGTCCCCAACAAGCGGTACCTAGAAACCAAAAATCACTCCAATGCCAGCCCAAGCGGCGAGAGAGGGGAAAAAAAGGAATCAGTCATTTTTCCTACAGCAGGTAGACTGGGGGGGTGGGAAGCCCCAAACTTGGGTAGCACTTTGGGTGCTGGGCGCCTCTGGACAGTGGCCTTTTTTGCTCGTTTTTTTCCTTTTTGCTGGCAGTTGGCTGTGGTGACAGACAAAGTACCCGTCCGTTCCATGGGCAGGGGTTCACACACCTGCCGCGTTGACCGGCCTGCCAGGGCAGCAGGGAGTCACTGGTACCTGGACTGGGACCAGCATCGTGGCGCGTGTCTGGTGAGAGGGGACTTGCAAGGAACCACGGCTGATCCGCCATTTACCGCCAACCCACTTGTACCTGGCCACGTCCCAGCCCCCCGTTGCGTCCACGCCAAAGTGCTCAGGCACAAGGTACCGGTACTTGGCAATTATGCATCATCGAGCCAGCACTACTAGGCGGCCACATCCCCCAGAGACCACCTCTGTCCCCCCTCTCTTAGGCATTGTCTTTCGGTGCCAGCCTGCCAGTTTTAGCGCTGTTTTCTCGTGCTCTTAGTGCATTCACTGGTGAACTGCCGCCCGTGAAAAAGAAAAGAAGAAGCCCAACAGAAGCAAACTGGACGCCGCGCACAGGCCCGCCAACAAAGTTCCATACTTTCGAGTACAGCAGTCTACTTACAGTCCAGTACCTAGTGCAAGTACTGCATTTAGGCTTGTGACGAGTTTTTCTGTTGTCGCCCCTTGACACGGTGCACCGCGTTCTGCGACAAGACACTCAATGCACGACTGAGCAACGCCTGCTGGCGCTGATGCTGATGCTGCTGTTGCCGGTGCTGATGCGTCGACTTAGCGGCACATCTCTGTAGCCTTGGCCCGCAGCAGAGTGACCAATTGACTCCTAGACATTTTCCTTGCCACTCCTTCCCACGTCACCCTTTTTTGTGAGATTTCGCTGGATTGTCTCGCCTTGCCAGGGCCAGCATGCTGCTTTGCTTGTGTGCGTGCTGCACTGGCAGTGGAAAAGGGGGCTCTACGCGTGCTGGACGCTCCCCATTCACAGGCCCTGTTCTTTAGTGGAGACAGGGCCCCCTGGCTCCCCGGCCTGAACCAAACCAGACTTTCTGTCCGTCCTCCGTGACGCCCCAGCATGTGCCTGCAACCAGCGCTTGCTTTGGTTGCGTGCTCGTGATCATGCCCAACAACAACAAGCACGCTTATCCTGGGCTCTCGAGTAGCAAACTTTATTCGGTGCCTCGCTTCGTCGGTTACGCCTGCGTAGAATAACTAAGGGCCGGTCTAAGGAAAACGCCTCGCCAAAGCCTGCCAGGCCAGCGCTGTACTGACAAATGTCCGGCTCCAACGGAAGCACCGCACCCAGCAGCACACGTCGCATCAACACCTCCATAGCCTTCCATCCAATTGCAAGTTTGCTGTCATCAACCCAGTATGTAAACTGCTGCTCTGCTCGTCGGGCCAGCAAAAACAGCCCAGATGGTTCCCGTGATCAACGGCCTCCCTGCCAAACGTAGCAGCCAAGGGCAAGACAAGAGGTTCACTCCAGCGCGCCTGGAAGCCAACCATTGCTGGCTCCCCCACCAGCAATTTACAAGGTGCCACTGAAAGCGAGGGTCGCCCCTCACGTTAACGATTTTTCGTTTTTACCCCTGCCAGGCAATAATCTCTTCTCCGCGCTTAGCAATGGGGTTGAAGAAACGGCTCTGTCTCCGCTAGAGATGCCCGCTCCGCAGGACTGTTTTGGTATTACCGGATCAGTTGATGACGCGCAGTCCGTGGGTGAAAGGCGATCGCGTCCATCAAACCTCATGGCACTGTGCCTGGGAAACAAAACAAGCACAGTTGCAGTTGCAACACACACGCTGCAGCCCAATGCAGACACGGCTCCAGCAAAATGTGCCCGACCTGGACACATTCAGTCAACCTTTGCACCAAGCATGGTTAGGCTGGCCCGCTACGGATCGCTCCGCGGTGGCAGATGTCCCGCTCCTACTGGCCGGGCCTGCTTTTGTTGGTGAAAATTACGCCCCCAAGGCGACTAGTGAAACTTACGCCAGTTATTCGTTATGGCAGAGACGTGTGCTGGCAGCAAACAGCGTGCCTTGCGGCTTTACCGCACATTGTTGTGACTCCAAACCTTCGAGCCTTGTTTGCTGCCCAGGCTCCCGCTCGATGCTTCTACCGAAGCCAGAAAAATAGCCAAGATTCCGACGTGGTGCGTGATGCCACCCACCCACAGTGTTGTCTGTCGGCAGCCGCGGTGCTGACGGGCTTTATGGGCATCTCCGGCTGAGTTCCTACAGTGCTTGCGCTGGCTGGCGCTCTTTGCCCCCTCGAGTCAGAATACAGCATATAGCCTAAGCACTTACTCAGCGGATGCCGAGTTTGTTAACTTGGTCTTGATGGTATCGCTCAAGTACACCGTTTGTATAGGGCTCAGTTGGAGCGGAACCATCGGCCTGCAGTAGAGGTTTGCTAGGCATCTCAATGTAGAGAAGGGCTTTGTGTCAATCTGGAACTCATAGCACAAAACAAAAAGGAGCCAGTACGTTTGACAGACACAAACATCTGGAACGACTTGTTCTTCGATGGCTGGAACACCAAACCCGTTGCCCCAGGGCATTGTGGCCCTCATACCAGAAATGCAGCTCCAAGTCAACGCAGCGAAAATCCGCGGAAGAAGACAGGCGTTCTCGCATTCCTTTCACTCCCAATACTCAATTTCGATAGACCCGTAGTATTCGCAGTGTATTGATGTATGCTTGCTTTTTTGAACGGTGATGGTAAAAGCAGGCACAGGCTCAGGCACAATGCAGGTCATGATGCATACTGTCTTTGCTTTTTACTACCATTACCTGCGCTTACTTGCAGTTTTCTCCTCTGCGTCATTCTGATCGGCTAAAATGAGCGCTAGTGAATTCTAAGATCCGGTTTATGCATTCTAAAGAGGTTCCTATGAAATGTCTAACGTGCCCAAGAAATGTGCACCAGCGTTCCAGAGCGTCGGGCCCCGTTCTATAGCTGGAAAGACCCTGTCTCCGCCAAATGTCTCTCTTGAAAGACAGCTTGTCGCCGTCAAACTTGTTGCCGCGTCATGAATGGAATTTACAGCATGTGAAAAGAACTTTTTTTAGTTGTTCACTTCTTTTAGATTGAAACTGGCGTTTTGCGGTTGTTTCGTAGTTTGAGGGTCTACTTACTGTACATAAACTCCAGATCGGGTAAGCAATCCATCGTGATACACCAGCGAGCAGAGGAGTGGCATAGTTACTCTGCAGATGCTTAGTTACAACTGCCCATGGTCATACTTGTGTTTAGTCAAGTTTCACAGTCATGATGTGGCGGTCAGTCACCGGATAGCTGCCTTTGTGCCTTTGTTCTGCACAGGCGGCCGCCAGTTGCTGGCACCTGGCAGGTTATCGCCTCGCCTGCCTGCCTCCATAACTATTCTTTGAGTGATTAAACTGGCTAGCAAACATACACTGCCAACTTAAGAACCATAAAGCCATCTCACGACCCTTCTTCTTGCTTGATTCGTAAACAGTAGATTGCGTATGATACCATGAAGGGCCGAAAGATTCCATGGACCCCAGAGGCCGATAAGACTACTGCGCCGTATGCAATCCCCAAGACGTATGCTTGCTCGTTTATGCTCCTCATCAAAGTCTTTTACTGAAGTCTTCCAGTTTTAGATGCCATGTTGGTGGCGAATGGAAGCCGTTGAGTTCCTTTGCGGAAACACAACAACACAAGATACGCAGGCAGATTGACCAACGCCTGCCCATCGATGCTGCGTGGACGAAGATGACATGCCGGGAGCACCAGGCCAAACCCAAAGACGAACTAAAATGTGCATTCTGCTCGACAGTCAAACATCTGTCCGAGTATAGCAAGAGTAGTCGGAAAACAGCTGAACCTGTAACGATCCCTCAGACCATATATGTCATACACTACTAACGTTTGTCTAGAAATGCCGAATGTGCGTAGCATGGATCGAGATTCAGGAGCCTCAGGTCACGCCAGGCTTCCTCCTAAATTCACAGATGTCACCCGATGAAGAGCGAAAGGAGATCCGAAACCAGCCCTTGCAGCCAAATGATGACTTCCTCCTCAACATTGAGGACCATGTAGTATGTGTCCGTGAATACAGTAACAGAGAAACGCACAAGGCTGACAAGGTAATACAGGAGAACGTATCAGTTGTGGATAGTATAGGACACTCTACTGAATTCGGAATCATCACTGATACGGACTCTCGTGAGAATCGTGCAGCCAGTGCCCTCCCACCCCATCTCCGGGCCAAGGTTGCCGGTGCTGCACGTCCTACACCACAGCCGAGTAGCCCAAACCCCTCTGTTTCCTCTCGCACAACCAGCATTGCAACCACCTACATATCTTTCCGCGGCTGGGATAATGAGGGGAACCGCCATCGCCAGACGCGAAGACAAGAATCGGTTGCCTCATCCGCTTCTACGGCAGGGCGGCGGGATGAGAATGTCATTGGTGATTGGTCGCACGCTGGCTTAAACCCCGACTCTGAAACCAAGAAAAACGATGCAAGACGGGGTGCATGGGGACGACCAGGAGTAAGTTTAACAGGACATTCGGTTGCTAGATTGGCTTAGACTAACGGGAGGCGGATAGGCTCGACTGACGGCACAAGAGCTGCGAGGGGAGACGGACTGGAAGTCTAAGGTGCCCAGAACGCCTTATATCAAGCGAGAGCAATATTGATCGAGCCAGCGACTAAAGAGAGCATCACGGGGGAATGGTAGAGGCAGAGTTTAACAATCAAGTTTGCTTGTGTGTCAATTGATAGTATCAAGGGTGAAAGATGTGTATCCCAACACAAATGCTTTCAAGTATCGCCAAGAAGATAAAAGTATAAAAATAAAAACCACCAGTTCGCCCTGCAGAGACCCGAAATGAAGAGAAAAATAAAAACAGTGCATAGTAAAAAGTAAAGTAAAAAGTATACCCGGATAACAGACGACTTCTAGTCAGTCTTTATGCGTAAATGGCTTTTCCCAAAGCGCTATGTGTCGGCTCATGTCATGGAAAGGTTTGTTTGTGTTTTTGTTTGCTTGTTTCAGTGAGGCAATGCCCAAGCCGTATTTTGCATGCCCCCTTACTCTCCTCGTAAAAGTCTGGGCGGCCAGCCTTGACATTTTCCATCAGAAGCATCGCAAATCCAGTTCCTCTGAGAGCCCGGGCTAACCGGCGAGTAAAAGCACAAGCTGCTCTTTAGACTTGGCGATCGTCGCCTTTGCCGGAGTATGAGCCCTCGGGGGCATTGACCACGGCTTCGGCGTCGCCGACTTGCCTACGCATTGTTACCTCGCGCGAGCGACGGTCCTTAAGCTGCTTGCTCAGAACAAGCGGGTGCAACATGGCGGAGGCGGACTTGCCGCGGTAGGTTGAGCGGGACGAGGAGGTCGAGGAAGAAGATTTGCAAGCTTTGAATAGCGGAGAGGTGGGGCTTAGTTGCTATTGTAGAGGCTCGGAGGAGGATGATAGACGGTTCAGATGGAGGTATACGTCGGTTCCGTAGCTGTAGTCTGTTAGTTTTCGTGCTGTCCATTGTGGCCTTAGGAAAATAAACTCACCCTTCCATGCTAATCAGTTTCAAATCACCGCCAAAGTAGCGGGCGTATAATCTTGATATAGGCAGTCCGTAGCCAAAACCAGCCATGGGTGCCTTGAAATCGCTCTTATCAAAATCTGGGTCCAGGCTGGGCGTTCGGTCAACGGTTGTGTACATGTATGTCCAGACAAGGGGGATAGAACTGCGGGGAATGCCGCCGCCTTCGTCGGAAATCTTAATTGTGATGTCTTCCTTGCCTTCCGCGACAATGACCTTGGTGACGGGGAATTCTTGCTTGTCCATGCCATGTGTCTCGACAACAGCGCGCAGAGAGTTTTTGAGAGTCTCGAAAAGCATGTGCGACAAGTGGCCGGGGACGTACATGAAGTCGAGGTTAGGATTGCAGACGAGCTGGACCTTGGGCGCTTCAAAGAGGCCGTAGTGGTCCTCGCAGACGAAGCGAGCGTTTTCAATGGCTTCGCGCGCAAGGTCGTGGACATTGGTCTTGGTGCAGATGACGCCGACGTACGTGGGGTCGAGCTGGCGGCTTTGGTCTGTGAGGGCAATGTGCTGGCCGATGAGCATACGGATACCAATACGCGACATGTAGAAGCGGTCGAGGAAAGACTGAATAGAGCTGTCGATTTGCATCCGTTGGCGGCTTCGCTTGTACTCGAGAATACCCTGGGCCATGGTTGTGACAACACCGTCGTGGCGGCGCTTAATGGTGTGAAGGGTCTGTGCAAAGCGCTGGTTGTAAAGCTGAAGCTCGGCGGGCCAAGATCCAGAGTCGTCAACAGTCGCAAAGTATCGTCTTGAGATGGACTTTTTGCCGTGGCCGTTGCCGTTGCCGTTGTGCTGGTTCAAGCCACCCCAGCCAGAGGCCTCGCCCTCTTCCAGTGACGGGTTAGGCGTAGCTTCTGAGAGGTGTTGGGGAATACCGCGACCATTGATGCGAGCAGGTTTCATCAGACGATCACGCGTTTCTTTGTCGAGCTCGGGGCGTCCTAGTTGTGTGATTTCCTATGAGGCGGATTTAGCAAAACGTGACTCGACGGCTGCGATTGCGGGGTGGCGATGATGTAACTAACCTCGAAGGATTGTGCGTACCAATCCTTGACTTTTTGAACAGACTGCATCTCATTGAGACCATCGGGCAGGTCTTCGAGCTCTTGCACACGGTGCGCCAGTCGGATCGGAAGCTCCTCGGCCAGGAATTGGGATGCTTTGAAGAGGGTGCCGGTGGACGGGTTGTCGCCAAACTGGACCATCTGGCGCAGGCTGACACCCGTTGCTGGGAACTTGGCATAATGCCTGATGGTATTCATCAACGGTTCTGAAGCCTTCCACGACATTTCGGGCGAGCGCGATATGGGATTGAGAGCGCGTAGTTGTTGGAGGAAGGACTTGAATATGTGGGTAGGGGAAGTTGGGGTTGTTGTTGCTGCTGTCTTTACCGATTGGGTTAGGAGGGACATGGACCAGTGCGGCAATGGTCCCGTCCTCGATGTGGTGTTTGACAGCGCAATGCGGGTTGAAAATAAAAAAAGGACGAGTTTGATGTGGAAGTAGAAGAAAGAGAAAAAGGAGGGAGGGAAGCAAAGAAGAGCACGCGCTACCCGGGCCGGAGAGTGTGCGTGTAGCGTAGCGTAGGGCGGAGAGAGCAGTTTGGTGTCGTGTGTGCAGCAGCCGATGCTGGAAACGGGCTTTGAGTCAAAAGCGGCGATATTCGGAGAACCGGGGCCCCACGGGAGGTACGAGCGAGAAAGCCGAGGCTGGCGACGTAAAAGCGGCGAGCGATTTTTTAGGGGCGAGAAGCGGTTAGCAGGCGAGGTTTGTTGGACAGCAGCAACAACAACGAGGGGGAAAAGAGAAAAAAAAAAGAAGAAGAAGAGAAGAAGAGGAGAAAAGCTGACCACGAATGATGAAAAGCAACACCCCACGAGTGGACTCTCATCTGATCAGGCTAGTAATTTGTCGAGGCTAAGTTATTACTACAGCAGCACATCCCCGCGAGACACCATGGCCGAGCACGCAAGCGCCCAGCAGTGCAGTGGTGTAGCAGGTCGCAGCAGGGCGGGCTACAGGCGGGTTTGGGCCCCCGCTCCAGCGCATTGGCGGAAGCTCCACGGGCTTATTCAAGGTGGTGGTGGGTGGTGCCTATACCGAAGGGGGGATGGATGATCATGAAATGGCAGATGATACTGGACAGCTGGTAGAATTACGGGAGAATGCACTATGTAGATAATCCATCATGATGGGTTACAGCATCTGTTTGATATTTTTGGCTCTCTTTTCCCTCGCTGTTGCGGCTACTAGTGGTTGTGGTTATGTGCTGCAGCTAACTTGCGCCATATCAAATCATCTCTCAGCGCTCTGCCCTCCCTGGATCTCCCGCTAGCGCCGCCCGGGATCTCGTCTAGACCGCGCAAACAGCACCCCTTGTAATGAGAAAAAAAAGGGTCTCGCGGCCATTGAGCCTTTGTTATCCGCGCAGTTTTAATTATTCATAGAAATTATCACCAGATTTGGAAGGAACATCAGTTCAGTGATTTGTGCCTTTTCGTGATGTTTGCCTTTTCCTTCTCTTTCTTCTGTTTGCCTTTTCCTTCTCTTTCTTCTGTTTGCCTTTTCCTTCTCTTTCTTCTGTTTGCCCGCCCATTCCTGACCCAAGCTTTTCTTACACTTCTCACATGGCCCGATACCACGCTATGGAGCTTGGCAGTAAGCGGATTACTCCTGTATTATGGCAGATGCGGCAACCGTCTTTATCGGAAACCATATCGGTGCCAGCGACAGGATAAACGTGGTAGAGATAAGGAACAAGGTCATCGCAGTGTCGTGCAGAAATTCAATTTTTATTTTCTATTTTTATTTGCGTCTATTTCGTACCGTTTTCTGACTTTCTGTTTGGCGCCGTCATTGACGGTCGTCCTCTCCGCCGGCGCACCGGAATGTCGCGCTTCCCCACACTTTGGCTTTGCCTCCCGTGCCGCCGCCTTCGAGAGCACTAACAGTCGTACGTTCCAGCGCTAAATACCGCTGTAATGGGTGGCGCCACAGCACATCCTACAACGACGTCCGGTTAGCCGGGAGGCTCTTCGCTGGGCTTAAAGCGGCGTCGCGCTCGATGCATTGCTGCAGCCAATCAGTCACATGCCGTTTGCGCTTTTTGCTTGCTTTGATTCACCAGCACCACAGCGCCTGGGACTTGCGGCTCCGGTCTTCGCTCAAGCCACAAGCGTGATCTTGACTTGGCCTGTGCGATGAGGCCAAAATCCGGGGTTAGGCCCTCCGGATAGCTTGTGAAGATTTTATTTATTATCAACTGCTCAAGCTTGAAAACGCTTCTGCTTGCTGCACCAAGCTGATGATGATACCTGATAATGCAGTAAAACACCAGCCCTGTTTCTTCCCCTCCATCTCCGCTCGCCTAATCAATGCTAGCTGCAGCACCCTAAACAAGGAGCCTGCATGAACAAATACGTCACAGAAACAGTGCTTTCAAACTGCGGCGTACTTTGGCGCTCTAGCCATTGGCTCGGGTATTCCTGCTAGCGAGGGGAGATGATGTAGAGGAGATGGTTTGCTAGAGGTAGTAAACCACCTAGTAGCTACCGTATATGTACAAAGGGTTTGCACCACCACCAGCGCTACGACAAAGAACAGCACTCTATTGTATATAGAGAACTAACTTAGAACCACCATATTTTGATTCTCCAACGTCGCCCATCGTTAACAACCCACTTCCGCTCTCCGTTTCTCATTCCTGACTACTTTTGGTCCGAACCCATCATCCCCTTATTTGTCACTGCAACGCTACCAAGCTGTCTTTCTGCCCCAAAAATGGGTGCTGCAGCAGACACAACCTGCTGCTATTCTTGGGCAGGAACTTCTGACGAGCGGTGTAGCTGCCCAAGTCATCGTACGCTGGGCGGACCTGCCACCCGCCCGCCGCCGTTGGCCCCGGCACACTGCCCCCCCCCTGTAGCCACGGTGGTTGGGCTCTGCAGCTACCGCTACGGCCCGCGCAAAACCTCCACTCCAATGCCATGCATACATCGACAATTCTTGACCGCAACATTCGTCTGGCTCGCCCCCTTTGCCCCTGGCGACTTTCTCTTACGGGCTTAGCTTGGACAGATCCCGTCCTCTAGCTCCCGCGAGAATGTCATCCCCGGATTCTTCTCCTTTGCCTCGCTCGTCCTCGCCGCTTGAGGGAATGTCAACAAGCCCAGACGAGCAGCATCAACAACATCAAGAATCCTCACAAACTACCGACGCTATGAACAGGGGCAGACCACGATACCGCCACCCGCAACAGCTCCACCCTAGCTTTACCTTACCAACCGATCCGAGCCTTAGCAGCGCGCGCCATACCAAGTGCCCATCCTGCACCTCGAGTCTCGATGAGCGTGGCTTCAATGAAGATGGCCTCTCGCCACCACTGCTTTCCAGTCCCAGTATAGCTTCTAGTCTTTCATTTTCGACACCCGGTAGTGCTGGCTCACTACGCCGTCGCTTATCTCGCTCCACGCTCCACGACCAAGATCACGACCGCGACTCGCTTGCGCAGAGACAGCACTTGGCTAAGCGCCTCAGCTTTCTCGCACAACGCTTAGCGTTTGAAGATGATATTGATGAGGCTGCTATTACAGAGCAAATAGAAGACATGGAAAGAACCTTTGCGCGATCATCGCATACAAAATGGGACGACAAGCAAGATGCGAAGCTGCGCAGTCCTCGAACGCCTCGAACTTCTAGCGATTTTGGGTCAATAATTTCATCACCAGTGTCGGATCTGATACGTGCAGAAATGACACAAATGTCATTGAGGGCTATAAGAGAACAAGAGGAAGAACGTGCTAGAGAACTTTACCAGCCAGAGTCGACAATTACCGTTCGTCAGGCGGTGAAAATTATCTCTGAAACGAATAAGCTCAACGACGAGATGGAAATCATTTGCGCCAACTTGCAAGCCAGACAGGAAGAAACAGATGTGAGTAACTCTATGCGGTATATAGAGGTTTAGTAGCGCTAACATCGAATCCCAGCACATTAACAGTCTATTGATTGAGCGAACCGAACGAGCAGCAGAACGCATCGTCTTCCTGCAAAACCGGATTGAGCATCTGTATGTGTTTAAGGTTCTATCGTACGTGACAGACCGATACTAACTCATGCCTTTCATTAGTGATCAAGAACTTAAGGAGAATGATGAAGAGCTCTTCTATCTTGGTATCAATCTTCAGGGTGTTTATGCGCTGATGCCGCGCCATCCCGACGAAGCGCTGGTTCGAGGCGTCGAGATCTGCCAACAAGAATATGCCGACATCAAAGAGCGTCGAGCTCAGCGAACCAACCAGCGCGTACTGAGCAACTCTAGCCAACCCCATTTGAAAAAGCCACCCCAGGGCGATATAACTCCAAAGCAACACTTTACGATTACTCGCGGCTAGTGCACGCAATCGCCCGAGTGCAACGATTTATGACAACGGCGCCGTCTTGATACCCTTACGCCATCTTTTGCAGAAAAGCATTTGTTTATTATGAAGATTGACGATTCTTATGCGTTGCATGGACTACATCGATGAGTACATTTAATCCATCTCCTTATGTTTCATTGGTTTTGTACAACAGAATTTTACGGTGGTGTTTTCGGAAAAGTATATATTAGTGCCGCCTTGAGTCGGTATCGAAGATGGGCTCGATTTCAGGTAGCCAATCTTTCTGTCTTTGTTTTTATAAGAATGATGATTAAGAATACCGTAATGACGAATGACAATGATACACACGAGCTTTGTTCAATCACTCTGTTCAGAATTTGTAACAGTTACGCATATTACACTTGCAAAACAAAAGTCCTCATCATTTATTGCTATTTTAATTTTTGTACACTCTTATAAATAGGAGGATCGCTCACAGGTTCAGTAGCTTTTGCTTTACGCCTTGTACAGGATGTCAAGGAAGCCAGTGGCCAAGCCAACAACGACACTCTTGTTTGGCAGAGAGCCAGCGACACCGTAAAGAGCCGCAGAGTCACCCATTGCCTTACCCTTGGTCGCCTTACCCTCTACCATGCGGACACGCTCCTTTTCTCTCTCATCCTCAACAACGGCCTCGAGGTCGGTAATCAGACGCGACCAGACGGTGGTGATGGGCAGCGTGACAGCCACATGAATGGCCGGAGGATCTTGCAGGGCGTTAAGGTGCCATCCCTTGGCGGACATGCCATCGGCAATCTCGTAGATGTTAAGTGTCTTGGAAGTAAAGGCGACTACTGACACAAGGGGCTTGCCGAGAATCTCAAGCTCGCCTTGCAGAGTGGGTGAGTCGCGGATCGAATCGGCAATCTTCTTGGTGGTACCGACAAGCTTGCCGCAGGCGTCGACGTAGCCGGACTCGCCAATCGACATCATACTGGCCCAGCAGCCGGCGATGAGAGCACCAGGGCGGGATCCAGCCAGGCCGGGCGAGGCATAGACGCCACCGGCCCAGTCGGGGCAGACGTAGTATTGGTAGGTGCGCAGCTGCGAGGTGCGGTAGAGAACAGTAGAGTTACCCTTTGGTGCGAAGCCATACTTGTGGGTGTCGCAGCTGATGCTGGTGACGCCCTTGAGACGGAAGTCGAATGGCTCGGATTCAAAGCCGGCCTTTTCGAGGCAGGCAATGACGAAGGAGCCAAGACAGCAGTCGACGTGCAGGCACAGCTTGTTCCGGAGAGCAAGCTTGGACAGGCCGGAAATGTCGTCGATGATGCCGTGGGGGAAGTTGGGCGCAGAGCCTACGAGAAGGACGGTGTTGCTGTTGATTAGGCGAGATACAGTCTTGAGATCAACCTGGTATGTGGGGGCAGGGCAGTCGACAAAGTGAATCTTGATCTTGAAGTAGTCGCCGGCCTTGCGGAAAGCTGTGTGAGCCGTCATGGGCAGAATCCTGTAAGAAGAGTGTTAGTCATTGATTGAGAATATGAGGAAATAGAGTTGATTTCTCCGTACATTTCAGGCTCGGTCACGCCGCGCTCGACGTAGGCCTTTTGGCGAGCAGCAAGACAGGCCATGAGGATACTTTCGGTGCCGCCGCTGGTGGAAACACCGGCCGAACCTTGGGGCGCATGGAACAGGTTGAGCACCATGCTGACCACTTCAGCCTCCATCTTGCGCACACCAGGGAAGACATCGGGGTGAATAGGGTTGGCTACAGTGAACATGCCAAACGCATCTGTCTGGAGCTTGAGCAGGTCGTCGCCGCCGTGGTACACAGCGCCAGAGACGAAGCCGTCCTCCCAACGTGTGTGGTCCATGTTGGCAAGAGTTGTGAGCTCAGCGCGGACTGTTTCCTCAGCAATACCATCCTTTGGCAGTGTGAGATATCTTGTTTGCGTAGGAGGGGCCAGCTTGGCCGACATCTTGTCAATAGCCTCCTTGAGCTGGGCGTTGACCTTGTTTCGGACACCAGGTGCACGGAGGAAGTAGCCGTAGAGGATTCGACGAATGTTGCGGTATGCTTCGAGAATGGTTCCGATAGGTCCGCGGCCCTTTAATTGCCAGTAGGCACGGCGTGTCCATCGGATGACAAAGTAGACGAAGACGACATTTCGGATTCTGTGTGGGTAAAGGCAACGGGGTTAGCACGGGGAATCCATTCGGCAGCGCAGCAGCAACAGAGGATATATAGCTGCGAAAGGTTATTGGGACTATAAACGTACAAGTCGATATTGATCATTCCGAGAGAAAAGCCAGGCTTGGCACGCTTGACGCTGTCAATGCCGCCGCGCAGACTGACAGGCATTCTGGAGCTTCCGGGCATGATGTCACCGCGAGCCGATCAGCCGAGGTAGGATATATGGTATGAAGAGGATTGGAAAAAGAAAGAGAAGAGCCCGCAATAAATATCCTCACGCGTCAATGAAGATCCGGATTGCAACTGGAACAAATGGGGCCCAGCGTGCGGGTGGTGGATATGCGGGGGATGTCAAGGAAGAAAAGGCCCGGCTCGCTCCAACATCGCCAAATTTAAAGCTCAAGTGTCTCCAGGTGCCAAAGCCGGCGCCCGTGGCGGGGGAGTGGCCGTTACTTGGACATTTTTTTAGTGGAGCTGTCGCATGTGGTGCAGCGATTGGTGGCTGCACCAGACAGCGCCACCACGCTGGCCGCCCGCTGCCAGCTGCAAACTACCAGTTGCCAGCTGCGAACCGCCAGCCGCGCTGCTATAAGAGGGTACCTGGTATAGGAGGGCGTCGTGTCAGCAAGGATGTGACATCTCCCTTTCATTACGCCCCCACGATGAAAACAAAGACTAAAAATACGAGCATGCAGACTATGTAATAAGAGCTGGAACAAACAAAAAAAAAAAGGCCATACGATACGTCATTGCGTAACGTTACGCTGTCTCCTTCACTTCTTCCTCCACAACACTCGCACGCTGGGAAGATACAAACTCCGTCTCCTGCCCAAGGCCTTGTACGGGAAATGCAAAGTTCAATATCAGAAACACGGAAAATCCGATGGCCATGCCTACAATAAAGGTGAGATTGTAAAGTCGGATCCAACCGGTCCAAGCAGAACCTTTATAGGAATTGATCGTGGCAATGAGGCCCGCTGCATAGAGGTTAGTGATGTTGACTTCTTGATGCCGTGCTATTTTGGTTGAAAAGAGCTATACTTACGGAGAAGCGGTCCACAACCCAGTATGAAGGCTGCAGGAGCTCGCCAATTGAATCCGTGGTTAAACCAGTATATTGAGCTCGAACCTCCAAAATAGAGATCGCACACCTTGAGCTTTCGGCGACGAATTATGTGGTAATCCGCGAGTTGCATCCCACTTTGACAAGTTAGGTTCATGACAAAAGGTGGGAGTATGTCATTCACTTACATTACTGGTGCGAGAAAGACGCCAAAACCGCTGAGTACTTGAAGAAACTTGGTTGCTGTCGCTAGAAGCTGCCATGGTCTACTGGTGTTAGTGTGTCAAATACGTGCATAAACGACAAGCACACATACTGAATGGCAATTCCAACACAGACCATGAGTGATGCACCTCGTCGGATATTGATATACTTGGGCCACAGCCCAGCAAGGTCCATCCCACATGAAACGGAGTTGAGAACCAGAGATATCTGCCAAACCACGCATTAGCAACTTCAAACAGAAAACCAGGCATGCAAAAGCTGGAAGGCCGTACCGCTAGCTGGGACGCTACCAAGCCAAGGGCAGCAAAAAGGACACCCGCTCGTACTGCAGAACTGGACTGGTAGTGGTCCTGCATGGCTGCCAAAAGGTATATAGGATTCCAGATAATATCACCACCAAGAACATCGCGGGCCGCACTAGTCACCACAATACCAATGATGGCAGTGACAGTGATTGTCATAGGGGATGCAATGAGTTGCGATACCACGGGTGCGTGCTTATGACTTGCATAACGCGTCCAGTCAGACTGGCCTAGAGTACCACCACCCCAGGCGCCTAGGATTGCAGTGATGCTAAACATGAATGCCCATCCTAGATCCGGTGCGGTCCCAGGCTGATGAAACATGGTACCCGGGCCATGCGCTTGACTTACAGACCTACAAGCGCTCAAAAATTAGTAGAGTTCACAAAATTTGATCAGAATAGGCGGAGATGATACCATATGAGCATCCCAAACGCGGAACAGCAGAAGAGCGCAAAACAGACTACAAATGGCACTTGAAGTCGTTCTGGTCGAATTAGGAGGGAAGGGATGAAAGCAACAAACCAAATTGCCAGGCCGATGAAGTCCTTTGTCTCCAAATGCGAATCGGGGTCAAAAGAATTCTTCATATGCGCAAGACCTATATTACTTTGGTCAGGCATACACTATCAGTAAACAGAACGGATAGTTCGCTTTTGCGTACCTGGAATAATAGCACCAAAACAGACTCGTGTTGCCTGTCCGCCCCAGAAGGCTTGCATGCCAAACCACATGCTTCCCAAAAACACTCTCAGTAGGACAGGGACTAACACATCAAAGTTAGAGGTGGAATTCCCCTATCGAGTACACGATTGCTTACTGTAGGATCCCCTCATGCCCCATGAATGGCGGCTAGCGACCGTGAACCCAATATGGTGCTTAGCTCCCATCCAGCCACTTGCAACTGCAAGGAGACCGGTCAAAATACCACCGACCACCTAGCATGTCAACACATATATCTGTCAGCAGTTATCTTAACAGACTTACCACGGCGCTTATAGCTTGCTGAGGGCTGAGACCGAACGCAAGCAGCGTACTCCCCACAGTCCAGGCCGATATGTTGGATCCGGAGACAGTCCAGTAACCTTTGGAGATATTAGATGGTTTCTGATTGAGACCAGTTCGTGGTGTATTTCTTACCGATATAGGACCAAGTACCAAAAGTGCGTCTAGATGGTGGAATTGGAATCAGATCCCGATTACACCACGCCGTGTTGTCATAGCTGGAATCCTTATCCTTTGGACTAAATAACTTGATTAGGTACGAAAAAGTATGAGCGCTCGAAAACGGAGTCAGCGAACCACTCTAACCGGCGCTTCCAGGCTTGCCAGCGTTGGGCGACCATTGCAACTACGATAGATTCTACCGGTTTTTGTGGCGCGTAGGCGGTATCTATCAGCCAAACTTCGATGGACGTATAATTTCTTCGAAAGTGTAATCAACCACACCGGCGCCTGTTCTTGTGCCGGATATATATATCTATACTGTGCGTGGCCAGTTGCATCCGGTGAGGCATGTGCTGTACTGAAGGGGGCTATTAAATTTACAGAAATACAGTGCAACATTCTCGGATCAGAAGAACTTGTCAGTATAAAACCTCGTACACCCCTCCATCTGCGGCAGTTGAAGCACAGTGTACGACCAAAGCAATGCAACCCTAACCAGGCTAGCTATATTGGATTGGGGTAGGATCTACACTTGAAGCAGGCAGAGCTGAAGCGAACCAGTGTGTTGCCATGCTGCAACTCAAAACAGGCTGCAATTAGCCTGTACCTCTCGTCTAGGGCCTTCCGAGTGTTAGGGTAAGCAGAATTCTTTGCTAAGTGAACTACTTGTAACTTTAGCTTGCCGACTGTATCAAACGGTGGGAAATATATCCAGCTCCACGAGTATAAACCGCTATCTGAAAAACATTATGTACGAAAATAGCCTAAATACGAAGCGTCTTCATATTCAATCAGCACTTGCACTCTGCCCCAACGAGAATGGCAGCAGTGTCGTGAGACTCAACGTCAGTCTTATACTCAGACAGACAGCCTAGGCTCTTACCCGTCCACACATCGGTAACTTTGTGCTTCTTGCCCTTGAGGCCAGGAACTTCAGACCACACTGCCGTCTTCGTTGTCTTTTGGTCGAGCGTGTTCACCATGAGTACCAAGTGGCCGTTCTGCGACTCACCAGCCCAGAACTCCGCGGGGTGCGTCTTGTTGAAAGTCCAGTCCGGGTTGATACCCCATTTGTACGGCGCAGCAGGCTTTCCAAATTTGTCATCCTGGTTAAAGGCAAGCAGATACTTGTTTTTGAGGATGTCAATGTTGGCTTGGCTGAGCACGCTGATATCCGTTCCGATGAGGAGGGGCGACTTCATGGCTGCCCAGAGAGCAAAGTGGGAGCGTGTCTCAGCGGGAGTCAAGTCACCGTTGCCAACCTCAAGCATGTCTGCATCGTTGTGGCTGTAAAAGTCGACAGTGTTCATGTGGAAGGAGTTGATGTTGAGGATGTTCATGACAGATCCCCAGTTGGGCGAAATATCGCCGCTCATGCGCCAGCTAATGGCTGTCTCCTTGCCCCAAGCAAAGACATCCGCCGTGCCCCAGATGCACAGGTTGTACAGAATCTTGCGGCTCTGTTTGACCAGGGCATCGCGCATGCGGTTGAAGCGCTCAGCAGACTTGGACTTGCTCCAATCGTAACCTGGAGGAGCAAGGTTTGGGTCTAGCGCCTGAGTACAGGTTCCGTTGGGCCCGGTCTTGACATGGTCAGAGTTGCAGTATACATACTGATCTTGCCAGTCTTGGGGGACATTGCAGTTGTCGCTGGAGAGAGTGTTAGTATGTATACGTGTACCACGGTGCATGTACAAGCATAGACCTACTACTTCAAAACTGGAATGCATGTTAGCTGAGAGTCCTCTTAATCGATGCCACAAGTGGTGTAAACTTACAATCGATACCCCATGTGGCAAAGTCGGCAGCGTCAACATCTTCATAGCCAAGACTTGCCGGGTACCCAGCACATGTCAAGTCACCAGCAGCTACTCAATCGAGTTAGTAGATCAGAGACATGGTACTCTGAGATCTCAGGTACGTACTACTGTAGATGCCAAACTTAAAGTCCATGGCGTGAATCTTGGTGGCCAGTCCATCAATTCCGTCGGGAAAACGAGTCTTGTTGACAGCAATGTGTCCGTCTACTCGGCCAGTCTTTTCAGACCAGCAATCGTCGACTGTGGTAGCAGGTTAGGCTAGGGCTCACAAGATTAGCTTCCCTGGTGGCGACTCACTGTTCACGTAGTTATAGCCGGCTGCTTGGAGACCGGTGGACTTCATCTTCTCCGCTGCAGAGAGAAACTTTTCCTCAGTAATGTCGCAATGGTACATGTTCCACGAGTTCCATCCCAGCGTAGGCAATTTTCCCTTAACGGTGGTTAGCCAGTTTGTATGCATGTACAGAGGTGAAGGTAGTGCTTACATCGTCTACTTTTGGTGTTGCGGCGGCATTGACGCTGCCAATGGCTAGCAGAGTCGATGCAATCTGGACCGTGTTCTTCATGATGGCCATTGTTGTAGTACTTTGTTAATCAGTTGCAGCTTGTCAAGGCTCTTTGGCCAGCAGCAGACATGCCGCTTAAATACCACCCCTAATCAATCACGAGCCGACTCCCACGTTACATTCGGTTGGAATTCAGGTTTTATTCTCGCAGTTATACCTTTCAGCAGTACCGACATGCGCTTGCCTGCCGTGTATGCCGATTCCCCCGCAGATACGTGCTAATATTATGTCGATCGGTGCGGGGGCTCGCCACCATATCATCCGGGCCGATACAGCGTTGTTCCGACGGATATTTCTCTCTATTACTTCCGTCCTAGGCAGCAGCTACAAAATCTTTCCATAAACTGCAGTAGTAAACATAAACAGGTTACTTGCTTGATGTCTAAGAAAGTGGCGTCCATTGACTGCAGCAACCACCGCCACAACTCACTCGGCTTTCATAATCCCGTCGGCGCAAATGAAGCAGAACAGTATTAAATTTCCATATAATAATACAGTGAGCAATAAAGGGCAGGGCTATTTATTAATACTACTATGAATACCTTACATAGTCACCCTCCGGAAGTTAATAAAAAAGCATTAATAGTTATTAGTTAGAGGCTAGTTGTATCTACAGTATAAGTCCCTCAAGCCATAATAGCAATGCTAGTAGTGGTAGACTTCAGTTCCTCGGCAAAATATTAAAGTGCTGGTAGGAAGATGGCGGCTGAAAGTTTCATTGTTATTTTGATATGGGCGAATATCCATGCAGCGAATTAAACTGTGGATTTACCCCGGTCCATGGATCAGTATGCTAAATCATGGCTCACCATTTCAGGCACTGGCTACAAACTACAACAGACTTGTCAGCCCTGCTCACCTCACTCTTGTCGCGAAATCCATGTGCAGCAAGTATAGCCTAGTCTTTTATTTTAGCTCAATATTTATATTGCAAATGAATGAGTCGCTTAGGCTATTCAGATTGTCTATATAACCCACCAAAGATATCCGCCAGCTTTTGGGTTACTCCGCCGCCCCTTCTACTACAACCGCAGCAGCTCAACTGGCTTTATATTGAATCCGTTACCACGGGCCTTACAGAAGAGAGACACACAAGGAAAATCATTGCTGTCCTCTTCTTGGTCGTGGGCGTGGTCCGCGCTGGCTCGTTGCCGCCGCGCGATCTCCATGTTACTAGCTACAGCGAAGCAGATGCCAGAGTGTACATCTTTTGGACCAATGGCGACGAGTACGAAAAAAGTCATTGTTGCGTGCCATAACACCGATGGCAAATATAACGACTAGCACGAGTTGATTGCCGGTGCTACTACAGCAAGACATCTTCGGCCTGTCGCCCAATACGCAGTATAAGATCAGCGTTGAAGGAGGATCTAGCGGCGACTATTCTGGCTGGACAGATATCTACTGTACATGACCAGCACCAGCTATGCCTCCTCCAAGACAATGGATGTAATTTATGTTGGTCAGAACAAATCTTTCCATATGTATAGATGGTATCAGCGGGGCCAATGGGCCGCTTATTCGCTATAACCAGCACCTGCAGGCACGGTCTCTCCTGGCACAGGCAGCAGCACTGTGTCACATAAAGCGGAGACGATGGATGTCTTTTACGTTGGTAGGGGTCGTCATTCAGCTGGTCTTAGCTCTAAGAACTGACTGAGTGGACGGTAGTATTCGGCACGTGCAGTTCGCGGTCTCACAGACCAAGAACAATGTCTGACTTAAAGCTCAGACCAAGGGAGGGAGCTAGTTTGCCAAGCTAGGGATGACGAAGGCAGACAACAGCACGCACCCACCACCGGAATAGCGCATTGCCTGGCTCGCTATTATTCTACCCAGTGTCTAGCGTCATCTGATGCAGGCAGCATAGTGGAAGATGCGGTGACGATATCAATGGCCTGCGGCGGCCCGAATTTGATCCTCCAGCGTCAGCAGAATACGAACAAGCTGTGAAGGTCTTGTGCGCTGGTGATGATGCCCCCAACGAAACGTTCCCACAGGGGGCCACATCGATCGCTAACCAGAACCGGCTCCAGTGGCGTGCACCACCGCGATTGCTGGAAATTCCTCCGAGACGGTGTCTTGCTCTTATGTGCTTGCTTAATTTCTGGCACGACTCGTTTATTTCGCATGGTTGCGCTTGAGCTTGGTCGCTCTAGAGTTCAATGTAAGCAATTGCAACGGCCACAAATCAAAACTGTAAAACACAGCAGCACTGTGATTAGACAGGCCCCTTTAACATGTTTGGCGCATCGACCACAGGGCCGGCACTTGGCCGCGGCGGGCGCTAAAAAAAGAAGCAAACACCGCCTACAATACGAGAAGTGGCTACGTCATGGGCCCATTTGACGTTGCATCGGGCTTCTCGTGTTGCAGGGTCCCCATCTCATGCGCATGGCTCGCTGCAGCTACCGCATCACAGCCAAATCTTAATCCCTCGTAAGAGGCTGCTGGGGCGAAAAGAGAACAGGCCTGCCGATCATAGAAGGGGCGAAGCCATGACGATCATGGACGGGCGCTTGGCCATCTTGTATAAATATCGTCCGACTCCCCTTTGCGTAGACTTGCTTTTTGGTGTTTCACTCACCCTGATCTGCAAGAAACTTTTTAAGTTAAATCGCACCCCATCTTCTCTCATCTCACTCACTCACTTTCTATCGCACCATCCACACAACGTTCACTTCCAACATGCAGTTCTTGGTTGCCTCTGCTCTCCTGGCTGGCGCTGCTGTCGCCATGCCCACCCACGTCCAGGTCGCGTCTGCTGTTAAGGCCATTGCCGATGCCAACCCCGACTCTTGCACCGCTCAGTCTCTCCGAACCAGCGAATGGACCCTCAAGGACTTTGACTTCCATGCCTCATACACCTTCACTACTCCAGCCCACCAGAACTCGTGGGGCTACGTCAACTTTGAGCTTGCCAACAAGAACCTCGACTACAATGCCAAGTGCAGCGCCACCTCTGGCTGGCTCGACTCCTTCTTCTACGGCCTCATCAACTACAACTGCACACAGCCTGACGGCAGCCTGTCCCAGGGTAGCTTCAACTTTAGCCGTGGCGACAACACCCTCAACATCAACCAGACCTGGCCTTGCAAGGAGGAAGGCAGCCGCTTCTACGCCCAGGGCGGTGCCAAGCTCCCTCTTGACTGCACGGAAGAGAAGTGGCAGAACCCCGATTGGCAGCTGGGCCAGATCTACTCGACTCGCGTCATCACCTGCAAGAACGTTACCATGCCCCTGCCCTTCACCAGCCTTGCTGCTATTGCCTAAGCAGTGATCCCTAGCAAGGCATTTGTCACCTTGCTGGCACCGAAAATATAACAACTGTACAAAAATGATTTTGAGCGTTGAATTACATATTCCTTGTTCGGGAAACGACGGATTGATCTTCACGGCATTCTCTTTAATACTTTTATCGCAAACAAGCGGCGGAACATAACCTGGAGCCTAATTATGTATGCAATGGACCCATATGAAGGAAAGGAGACTGGACATAGGTTAGCAAACAGTATAATACCCGAATAGACAAATAGATTTGAACCATATTCAAGTATCCAGCGTCACGTGTTTGATCAGTGTGTGGGATATGATGGTTCATGTCAGCTCATATCCATCAACGGCCAGCGTGGGTCGGCTGTATGATTGTAACTCCATTTTCGTCACCCATGCCGTAGCTGACGTGCTTCCAAATGGCAGAGAATCGATAATAGACATGAGACGAGACAGTTAGAGTGCGCTCGGCTCAACGGCCCGCCAGTGTAACGCAGCGAATCTATATTGTGCAGATTTCAGACCAATGTTTCATAGCCACGAGTTGCGTAAACTCTATCTCGCTTCCTGGAAAACGTCTGCAGCGGTTGAAGAAAGATGAAAACTTTGGAAGCAAAAATTACGTGCACCACTTTATATATGCTTTGCAACAAACTCTGCCAGCTGGTACGCACCTGGCAGACTGTCCTCCTCCACCGCCCACCCGTTCTTTAAAAATTGTCCCATCCGCATCAATCCGACAGAAACCGTTAACCATCAAACGGTTTTACCCCCTTTCTAGAAAAATCCGCTCCCACGTTGCCGTATTCGCCATTCTCGCCCAGAGTGCACAATGCCATGGGTACGGCCACTAAATTTGCATGGTCGCGGCTTCTGATTGGCGCTCGGAGGGGCCAGCCCGATCGCGTCATCGGCCCAAGCTTGAGTTTAAGTGCACCTCTGTGGTGCTAAAGAGGCCGAGTCAGGACCCTCAAAAAAAGTTTTGGAGTAATAGCTTTCCCTTTTCCTTTTTCTACAAAACATTTCTATTCTTTGATCTGGAGATTTTCTCTTCTGATAGTTGGCTGTGTGACTACCAAACCACCATCCTCTTTTCGCGACACATCGAAGCCAACCCCGATCATGAGTGTCTCGGATATCAAGCCGCCTGGCGAGGCTGCGTCCTCTGAAGAGGTGCGAGGCGACTCCGAAAGTGGTAAGTTTGAGGACGGCAGAATGTGCACGCGACCAGGAAACACTGACATTTTCATGCAGCGAGATTTGAATCTGCTCGCGAGGCAAAGCGCCAAATTGGAATTCCTTCCGCTACGCTTCTCATCTTCAACCGTATCATCGGCACGGGTATCTTTGCTACGCCCGGTACGATCCTGGCGCTCTGTGGCAGCCCTGGTCTTGCCCTCTTCATGTGGCTTGTCGGCGCCTTGATCGCCGCTGCAGGCACCGCCGTCTACATGGAATTTGGCACTGGACTGCCTAAAAATGGTGGTGAGAAAGGGTAATTATTATTATTTCCTCTTCTGCGGCCATTCAGGTCCCCTATGCAACATTGGCTAACTCTACGTTGCAGGTATCTCGAGTTCGTTTACCGCAAGCCACAATTCCTCACGACGAGTTTATATACCGGATACGTAATCCTCCTTGGCTGGGCTGCTGGTAACTCTGTTATTTTTGGCGAGTACATCTTGCATGCCGCTCAGGTTGAGATTACTAGATGGAACGCTCGCTTGCTGGGTTTGGCCTGTCTGACGGTGGCCTTCTTGATCCATGGCACCGCGTTGAAATGGGGCATCCGCCTCCAAAACTTCCTTGGCATTATCAAGATTCTCATCATCATCATCATCATTGTTTCGCCTCTCGCCAACCTGCCCAAGGTGCGCGAAAACACCAACCTTTCCCGACCGTTTGAGGGCACCAAGTCCAGCGCCTACGGTATTGTCACGGCGCTGTACAACATTATCTGGAGTTTCGTCGGCTACTCCAACGCCAACTACGCTCTCAGTGAGACGAAGAACCCTGTTCGAACTCTCAAGTTTGCCGCCCCTCTGGCTGTTGGAAGCATTTCGGTGCTGTACATGCTCACCAACGTTTCGTACTTTGCCGCTGTGTCTCGCGAGGAGATGCTCTCGTCCGACACTCTTGTCGCAGCATCGCTCTTCAAGAACATGTACGGCGAGTCTGCCTCACGAGCGCTTTCCGTCTTTGTTTCCCTCTCTGCTTTTGGCAATGTGTTGAGTGTCATCTTTTCCCAAGGTCGCCTCGTTCAAGAGCTTGGCCGTGAGGGCGTCTTGCCTTTCTCTAAGATTTGGGCCAGCAACAGGCCCTTCAACGCGCCGCTGGCTGGCCTTTTTGAGCACTGGTTTATCACTGCAATTACCATGCTTGCCCCTCCTGCCGGTGATGCCTACAACTTTATTCTCAAGTAAGTTCTTGGACGTGTTTCCAACCTCTATCCATTACTAACGAGTGCAGCCTTATCTCCTACCCCCTCGCCATCATCAACACCTTTGTCGGTGGAGGCCTCGTATACCTTTACTTCCACCGCGAGGAGCGAAACTGGTATCCCCCAATCAAGGCCACGCTGCCAGTCGCCATCTTCTTCTTCCTCAGCAATGTGTACCTTGTTATCGCACCGTTCATCGAGCCTCCTGAGGGCCAAAACGTTTACAAAAACCTGCCCTACTGGATTCACTGTGTGGTAGGATTTGGTGTCATCTTCGCCGGTGGTCTCTACTGGCTTGTCTGGGCCGTCATTTTGCCCAAGATCGGCAAGTACGAGCTCGTCAGCGAGACTGTCATTGACGAGATTGACGGCTGGGAGAGAAACCGCTTCTTCACACGCCCTCTTGCGGCAAAGACAGCCACCCCGGAGGGCGCTTCGCAATAGACATTTTTTCAAGTAGCAAGCATTTGTTTTACTCTTTAACGACTTTAGCAGATTATACACCCTTTTAATTATCCATCAACTGGATCACTCCTAGATACCTCAAATCAATCACGTTTCTCTATTCGCTTTATGCTCCTTATCCAATCCCGCTAGTTATCATCTCTCATAATTTCCAAATATCCATAAGCATATGCCCATAATTTTGTCAATCTCATAATCCCTCTTAAATTTTCTCCCTCTGTAACTTCTCAAAATCATTATCCTTCTTAAAATTTCCCTCCTCTGTTACTCTTCATAATCATCATCCCTCTGCTGACGCTTGCCGCATTTGCGCAAAGAACTGCTAGCCATTTTGTGACGGCCACCATACAACGCTTCGTCTAGAGTGATCTTGCGCAGGCGCTCATTTTTCTTCTCGTTGACCTTTTTGTTGTTCAACTTGTGCTGCTTCATTGTCAGCTGCTTGTGGTAGTACTCTATGTTTGGTTTCCTTACCGAAACTTCACTCTCTGGGCAGTTGGCAACGCGCAAGACCCAGCCTTGGCCAGAGGTCAACAGGGACTTGACAAGCTGCTTACAGTGCTTTTAAAGGGGTTAATATGAGTGTAGATGGTTTTCAGACTCGGGATTGATGACTGACCTTGAGAGCAGCACAAATGGCAGTAATCCTGTCTTTAAAGGTGGAATAGAATTCCTACACTCCTTCCGATCCAGACCAATAATAGACGCCTGTCATGCCACGCTGGGATAGTTTGGATGCTGCCTGTGGAAAAAAGTGAGTTTGAAGGCTGAAGAAAAGCGTCTTGATTGGAATGCTCACCACAAGATCCCAGCAGCTGATTTGAACAGCGAGGTTTGACAGTGGCCGGCCGAGCACCTGTCTCTGCTTCTCTTCGATACTTGGGGCATATTCTGTTTTGGAGCGCTTGCGTGCCGGCTTCTGCTCATGATAATCAGACCAGTCTAGAATGGCGTATCGAATTCGCTCTTTGTAGTCATACTCCATTCGGAGGCTGGTAGGATATGTCGGGTCTGCATGATGGTCATAGTATTCCGTGCCCTTGGCAAACGAGTTCGGGACAGTGGAGATTCGGCTCTGAATCTTCTGGATCATTCTGCGGATGTTCTTAGCTTGGTTGTATGTCCTTACGTCCAAACTTTGGGATTCATAGCTCAAGTTTCCTGAAATTTCATCTTGAACACATCTGTGTAAGGGATCATCGGGCTCGCACTTGATTGCCTGCGGCTTCACGAAACGCTTCCTAAATAGGCCAGCCATGCCCTTCATTTTGCCTGGAAGAAGCTCGCCATCGAGCTCTGAACTCTCCTTGCGCTTATACTTGGCGTTGTCAGGCTCTGAAGCGGCATTGCTTAGAGTTGGTGATGCAGGCTCTGAAGTAGATGTTGGTTCCAACTTGGCCTGGCCGTCTGGGGGCGAGACAAGAACAGACTGTCTCTCATCGGAAGCCTGTGAATCTGATGCAGGGGTGGATACATGAACCAGGTCCGAAAATTCAGACGATGGGTATGTTGATGGCAAGCTGTTATTCGCTACAATCGAGTCGTTCGTTGCAATCGAGCCGTCCAGTTCGTACTCAGCGGTTCCCTGGGGCTTTGTCTCCGAAAAGACACCTTCGTCCCAGTCGACCTGCATACAGCTTGAGTATGGAAAGGGGTTTTCAGCTGATGGTAGAGCAAGTTGGTCAGCGAAATCCTTGTAGGGCTCAAAAATATGGTGCAACGTCTGGTCAAGGAGGCCATGGCTAATGCTATCACCAAGAAAAACATCACTCAACCCCTGGTCGAGCAGACCATGGCTCTGGCTGTTGTCAGGGAAGGCATCGCTGAAGCTCTCGTCAAGGGGACCGTGGCCTAGGCTACCATCAGGTAAGAGATGGCTCGTTTTGTCGTCAGGAAAATTGTTGGCGTCAAGCCTTGCTGTCGAATGGGTATCAAGCCCCTCATTTGTACTGGTGTCAGCCATGTTGAATGTAGTTGATCAATCAGAGTCGCAACATGACCAGGGAAACAGCTGAAGAATTGAAGAATTGAAGAATTGCTTTGTAAACGGAGCTGGGAGATGCCTGTTTATAGAGAATCACCCGGCATGACGAACAAAGAGCGAGCACTGCATCTGCCAAAGAGAGCCCCTCAGAAGGGTCAGTGAATTACTTGGCCGATTATAGCTAATATTGGCTTGACTTCAAAATTCAACATTAGCAAGTGGCTCGTCAATATTTTCAGTCAAAGGCAAAGTGAAATACGATTCAAAATGGCTGGCCCGAGCTCAGAGGGCAGCCAAGGTACAGCGTAGGATTCCATGGCCCATTCGCCAAATTTCATGCATACAGTACAGTGCATACACGCAAGACCTTGGTGTTTGCTGTGGCGAATCCGTGCTGTTGTGGGAATGAATGGCCCGAACGCCACCAAAATTGCTTAATTAGAGTTCTGCATGTATTTCTTTTCCACGTGGAACAAGGTCCAAGGCAAGATATGCTAATGCCGGGGTGAATTGCCGCATGGCTGCTTGGCTTTTGGGGTAAAGTGATGGCGTCGCGGCTTTACAGATGCCAAGAGGCGGTTGGAGACGGTAGAGAATATAAGTTTGACGTTAAGCCGTGGAAGATGGCGTCTTGTTAGCCGATGAGGACCAATAGAACGATAAACATTGATTGTTGGCCTATTTTAGCCAGATTTGTGTCTTCTAGACGCATCTTTTTTGGCTGAGCTGAGTGTGCCATCGTGGGGAGGCAGCCGTTGCCCATGGAACATTCAACTCTGGGCACCCACTGCCAGCTGTCAAGGGCCCCGCCCGCTGTAAAAGGGCTCCTCTGTGACTCCAGAAAGCGGATACCTGCTGGAACACGAGGCTGCCGGTTATCGGAAGGAGAGGGAAAGAGTTATTTTTTTTTATGAAAATTTGCTTTGGAGAAGAAAAAATGAAGAAATAGACAGTCTCACCATCAAATTTCTTTGGCGTTGCGTAACCACACCTGGCGCCAGTGAGTGCCCAGCCTTTAGCGACAAGTCAGCCCCTGTCTCTCCCGTTATGGCCATTTTCCGCCGCCACAGCAGCCAAGTTTTACCTACCGTCGGCAATACTGTGCGTGCTGAAGAGCGAAATGACGCCCGCACCTGTAGAGCGCCATCCAAACTCGGGGCCTCACACTGCCATGACCGTCCCCGTAAATTGTGGTGCAAGTATCACTGTCTTAATCCTTTCAGTCGCCAAACCCCCACTGTAAAGGCTGCAACGCCACCACAAATTGTCACTAGCCACCCGCCCAGCGCCCTCGCGCCTTCGCTGATTCGCCCGAAGCCTGCGTTGCTTCTCCGCACTCTGCTCCTCATTTCAGCTTTCTGGGCGCCACCAAAATAAAATCCGGGGTCGGCCCCCCGAACTGCGAACCAAACCGCTACAACACACACACCGCACGCCGGGCTTTGATAAAAACACCGCTTTGCCCACCCTTCCCTGTCTTGCTTCCCTTGCAGTTGGCATCGCGTGGTTGAATTGCTCGTCTCTGTGCTGCTTCCATTGTACAGCTGACGCGCGCCCTTGTCTTCTTTGACTGCTTTTCTCTCTCAACGGGCTCTGGTGACAGACAACAGTTTGCTTACCCCAAAACACCACCACGCCTTTCCGGTATTCCCGACCCTTCCGCGCAACCGTTGCCCACCATGGCCACTCCCGGTATTCATGTTGCCCAGGATGTCGCCCGTGCGGAGAAGCCTGACGACATCGAGTCTCCCCCATCAGACGACGTTGCAGTGTGCCCTTCCAGCACCACAGATCGTCGGCTCATGGCCAAGATTGATGCGCATGTTCTTCCGTTCCTTTGCGTCATGTACCTGCTAGCCTTCCTGGGTATGTCTTTACAATCAATTATATAGATTCTGCCTATTCATTGTCGCTAACTCTTCTTTTTTGCTGTAGATCGTGTCAACATTGCCAATGCCAACATTTTCAGCTTGTCCGAAGATCTCAAGCTTAACATTGGGCATGACGGCAAAATCGACAACACGGCGACAAAGTACAATACCGCCCTTGTCATCTTCTTTGTCCCATACTGCCTCTTCGAGATCCCCTCCAACATTCTCCTCAAAAAGTTCAAGCCCCACGTCTGGCTCTCCATCAACATGTTCCTCTTTGGCTTTACCACGATGATGCAAGGCCTCGTCCAAAACTACAGTGGCCTGTTGGCCACCCGTTTCTTCCTGGGCGTGTTTGAAACCGGCATGTTCCCTGGTGGTAAGTGTTTCGATTATTCCCGTAAGATATGCGTCCGTAACTAATGCTTGTCCTACTGTAGCCTTCTACCTCATCGGCATGTGGTACAAGCGATCGGAAGCACAGCGCCGCTACTCCTTCTTCTTCAGCAGCACGACGCTCGCTGGTGCATTTGGTGGTCTTCTTGCCGCCGCCATTGGCAAGATGAACGGCCTGCGCGGTTACAACGGCTGGCGCTGGATCTTCCTCATTGAGGGCGGCCTGACTGTCTTTGTCAGCTTCTTCTTCTACTTCTGGCTCCCCGACTTCCCCGAAGACGTCAAGTGGCTCAACGAGGAGGAGAGAACATATGTGCAAGCCCGTCTGCAGGTTGACCAGGGTCGTGCTGCCGCCGCGCGCAAAATCACACTCAAGGATGTCGGGCGCACTCTTTCCGACCCCAAGGTCATCATTGGTGGTTTCATGTACTTTGGCTTGATCGTCCCAGCGTATGGTTACGCCTATTTCGCACCGGCCATTATCAACGCCTTCAAATACGGTGCCATTGAGACCCAACTTCGAAGCGTGCCCCCATGGGCTGCCGCCTTTGGCTTCTCCATGCTGATTGCTACAATCTCGGACAAGGTGCGCCACCGCATGGCGTTTGCCATTGCCTGCATCTTCATAACCATTGCGGGTTTCGCTGTTCTGCTCAACATCCACGACCACCGCGAAGTTCAATACGGCGCTCTATTCCTCATTACGTCGGGTGCATACACAGCCATGCCCATCATTGTGTGCTGGTTCAACATGAACCTGGGTGGCCATCACCGACGCTCCATTGGTAGCGCCTGGCAAGTTGGCTTTGGTAACCTGGGAGGTATCATTGCAGTCTACGCATTCTTGAAGAAGGATGCGCCTCTGTTCCTCCCTGGTCACCGAATTTGCCTCTCATTCTGTTGCATTTCGCTTGCGGCCTGCGTCATCTACGGCACCCTCTGCTTCTTTGCCAACAAGAAGCGATCCAGTGTCGAATCGAAAACTGCTGCCGAGAGCTTGTCTGAGGCAGAGAAGGAGGAAATGGGTGATTTGTCTCCCGAATACCGATACCTGCTGTAGAAGACCGATGGACATTGGCTGTCGTGTTTTTTTTTTCCTGGAAATATTGTCGTACATGTTTCGTATTTACTCTCTAGTTAGGCTGTCTGTCTCATTCTATATACCCGACCGCATAATAACAACGTTGCACGCCAGCAGGCACGCGAACCACACTTCATCTGTCTCTTTGAAAAATTGACTTGTTTATAAACTGATTGATTCCTCATTCAATAGTTCAGCGGTTTTATTACTGATCGCCTTGTTCTCCCGCATGCTGCAATCTGACTCGTGCTATTGAGGCTCTTGCCGGGTAACGCACTGAGCCCCCCCCGCCTCGCTTAAACGGCTGCCGGCTAACGAGACGCATTAGCGTCGTTCGTGGGGCCAAGTCACCAGCTGCTGGCACTGTCATGCAAACGCGAACCTTTCAAGCACCAATGGACACTATATGCAAAAATTTACAATGTTTTTTATTCTTATTTAGCGTACATGATTTGTCTTTGTCTTATGAATTACAATAAAACTCCTTTAAGCCTTAACCGAAACAGCCTCCTTAGCATTCACGGTGGCTGTGGGTAGCGAGATGGGTGCATCAGCGCCGTCCTCCTTCATACCGCCAAGAATCATGGACTTGGGAGCCATGAGCTGCCAAGTCTCGGGGTCAGTGAATGCCTTGAACTTCTCATCGTGCCACTGGCCAGCAGTGATGGCGCGGCCTTCAGAGTCGACAAACATGGTGTCATCCTCAGCACGCAAGAAGTAGGCAACAGAGTATCTGTGCTCCGTGGGGTCAAAGGGAACAACGCGGTGGATGCAGCTCTGGAACTTCATAGCACTGGCGAAGCGGAGAGAGTCGCCAACGTGGACAAAGGCGTGACCTTCCTTGGGAGCAACGAAGCCCATTTCACGGGCACCGCAAGTGCCAGGGGGGCGGACCTGGAGACCCCACTGCTCACTGAAGAGCAGGGTCAGAGTGCTGATATCGGTGTGCTTCTGGTGGCCGATACGGTTCTCGCCAGCGAGCTCCGAGGGGAGGTAGTGCATCATGGACAGCTGTAGGGATCGGGGTGTTAGCCAGGAATGTCTTCTTTGACAAGTGAGTGTGGAGGAGACACCGGCAGAAAACGACGTACAGTAGTGGTAGAGGGACGCTCATTGCGGTGCGAGTTTTCAAAGCGGCCAGCGCCGGTGAGATGCAGACCGGTGGAAAGAGCCGACAATATGACCTTGGTGACAGTGTTGCAGCTGCCAATGGCGTTTTCAAGAATCTGCAGGTCGCCGCTGTTCTTGACAGGGGCGGGGATCTTGGGGCTGTCACGCTGGATTTCATCGCGAGACACCTTGAGCATCTCGTATCCATCCTTGGAGCCGGCGACGACACCGGTGCGGCTGCCAACAGGCTCGTAGCTGGCAGGCTCGGTTAGCAAACCATACGATTTGAACGCCAAGACGAGGATGCAGAACAAACGACTTACCCTAAGTGGGAAGAGATGAGGCCAAACTCGTTCTTTTGCTCAAGCGGGGCGTCAAAGAAACGCTTCATGAGCTTCAGAGTCTCCTGGTGATCAGCGAGCATGCGGCGACCATCGATGCCGCGAAGGTCGAGGTAGAAGTAACCATCCTCCAAACAAGCATTGACGACCTTGTCAACTTCGCTAGGATCCTGAGAGAGAAGCAGACCGTAGTTGATGGTTTGCATGGACCAGACAGGCACTTGCTTACCCATCCACTCAATGGTCTGGGGAGGATCAAGAACGGGAGCCATTGTGAGATACTGGTTTGTGAGAAGACAAAAAGAAAAAAGAATATAAAATACAATTTCCTTTTGGTTGGGAATACTCAATTGCACAGCACGAAATTGGATAAACGACGGGAACAAATGGGAGGAGCAGGGTTTATATATTACAACACTAGTCGGCTTGGCTATGCAAACTCGCCCCAGCCAAAAGCGTTTTGCCAGATAAGCCCATTGACAGGCTCGCCAATCCGCTGGCAAGCAACATAACCACACTAACCACAGAGGCACTGCGCGAAATAGCGCCAACCAACCCCGCTTCCATAGCCTTGGAGGGGGGTTACTCAATGTACCAGTGCATACCAAGCAGGGATCAGGTGAGTTGCATAGTCCACTCTTTGCCCCCTCCGGCGCAGCAGCTAGCGCTACCACTATTCCCACCGTAGTGGGTAACTCGCATGCGTTGCCAACAGCAGACTTGCCCATTATGGCCCCTGTAAAAGGTGCCCGTCCGCACGCCGGAGCACTTTTTTCCGTCTGATGGCGACAGCGCTATCTTAGTAGAAGACGAGACAGCGGACCTCGATGCTCTGTCTGGACTCGCAAGCGCGATACGCGGGGTCCTCAAAAGCCGAATGCAACGCTCGACGGGCAACCTGGTCGTTGCTGTCAAAACACTTGATGAGCAACACGTCCTTCGGTGTCATTCCGTGTTTGTAATACCAGCAATGACGTGGGTTATGCCGGACGACCCACGACTCGCCTAGGAAGCCGTCCTCCGTCATCTCAGCGCCGACGAGATCTGCATCGGCAACAGTTGTTGAGTCTGCCACTGCAATGGGGTCTTTGAGGATGGGTTCAATCGGCCGCCAGACATTGATGATTTGATACCGGCGCTTGACAAGCTCATCGGCATCGTTGGGCTTCTCGAAGCGTAGACGACGCTCTGCACCGTCGTAGGACTGATCCACGTGCGTGCGAGTGACGGGCCCACGGTTGGCCAAGTTGTTAAATCCGAGATGGTGCCATTGGGTTGGGCCCCGACGGACTTTGTGGTTGAAGATGTGCACGTCGCGCGCGCCAGTAACAGACTTGATCAGGTCCTCACACTCTTTGTAGTAGAGTTCCTCAATGTGTTTATCGTCTGTAAATGCTTGCTCCTTGCTTTCATGTTGGCAATATTGGAAGCCCTGGCCATCGAGTGAGTATTTCTCTTCGTCGCCGCTGACGTCGGTTACCACGAAATCCCATGGTTTGTGAGGCCGCTTGTTGGTGATTCTTCCGTTGCCAATGATGATGGGCGTGGGCTTGGAGCCATCACCAGGGTCGTCCCAGTAGTTTAGCGTCGTTGCGACATTGTGTTTTGTGGCTGTCATTTCTGAGCGTTTGAAATAATTTTTTTTGATTGAGTGAGGGGAAAAGAAAGCGAAGGTGATGATGTTGCGAAAACGGGCTGTCGTCTGCTGTATGTTTAGGATGGGAGAGATCAAGCAATGGTGTCGACAGGTAAACCGCAACTGCTACTCCCACTCTTCTGCTGTATAAGTGGTGAACTGCACAAGGTCACCAAGGGTCACAATTAAAAATGGACAAAAGGACGGCTTACTCATCCGCTTTTGCAATTGGACAAAAAGCTCCAACCTTTCCGCCTACGACCCAGTTCTTAATGAAGGAAATGCACTGAATTAGCGCATCGTTTATACTGCTCCGCCCCCCGCGTTGGCACCGCTCTAGTTGTACCTCTGTGGATTCACAAACAACAACAGCGGGCCAAACGGTGAAACTGCAGTCAGAGATGGAAGCGGACGGGTTTGTCGTGGTTCCGCGCCCTGGAGAGGCTCAGTGGCCTGAGGAGAATGAACCGGAGCATTTGCGCCACCTTTCGAATATAATTGATGGCCTCGCCGAGGAGCTGTGGCCGCTCAACTGTCTCATACACGACAACCCAGAGCTGGCGTACAAAGAGTACAAGACTCATGACGCACTGGTCAAGTTTATGCGGACTCGCAAGGGATGGGTCGTGACACCCTCTGCGTTTGGGCTGCCTACTGCATGGAGGGCTGTTTACGATACTGGCCGCCCGGGGCCATCAGTGTCTTTTAATGCTGAGATGGGTAAACTGCTGCCTTCTGCAGTCCTACATTATGCGGGATACGACTAACTAACTGTTATAGACGCTCTAGCGAATCTCGGACATGCATGTGGCCACAATCTCATAGCTATGGCTTCATTAGCAGCAGCTATTGCAAGTGCTGAAATCTTGCAAAGTAGCTCTCTCACAGGCAAAATCACCATTATTGGCTCACCAGCAGAAGAGGGCGGCGCGGGAGGCAAAATCAAGTTACTGCAAGCAGGCGCCTACGCGGACGCAGATGTTTCTATAATATCGCATCCCGGTATAATCAACAATAGTCCCATGGTGCGGACCACAGCGTATACTCACCTTGATGTTGAGTACCACGGCCGGGCTGCGCATGCGGCGAGAAGTCCGTGGCAAGGTGTCAACGCCTTGGATGCGCTGGTGATCGCCTACAACTCGATTTCGGTGCTCAGGCAACAAACACGACCAGATGATGTCATTGGCATACAAATTACAAATGGTGGAAACCGGGCCAACATCATCCACAAGTACGCGGCTGGTGCTGTTTCGCTACGTGCTGTGACAGCACCACGCCTAGAGGAGCTCAAGAAGAAGGTGGAAGGGTGTTTCCGTGCTGGTGCTGAAGCTACAGGGGCGACAGTAGAAATTACGGAAGTCCCTGGCTACTACGACCATTTTCCGAATCGCGTGCTTGCAAGGTCCTACCGTAAATACTGGCTCGCGCTGCCTGAAGTTCCTGAACCAGCGCTCCCTCCCGAGGGTCAGTTTACATTTGTCAAAGCTAGCACTGACCAGGGCAACTTGAGCTATGCTCTGCCCAGTATGAACGTGAGCTTTGCGATTCCTCCTGGTCCCGAGCGCGGTCAGCCACACAGTCCCGATTTTGAAAGGGCATCACGGAAGCGGGGTGCGTTTGATGCAGCAATGAGAGTAGCCAAGGCCATGGCTGGCACAGCGGTTGATGTATGTACGATACCTGGATTGCTAGACGACGTAAAGAAGCAATGGAGACAAGATATGGGCAGATAGTGTAAGAATAAGTCAATGCGAAACCGAAAGAAATAAAAACGCCCCCTATATGCTACATATACTATGCTATTTGACTAAACAAGTGTGCTTCGGCGCCAGCATCAGCGGCGATGACCGCGGACACCAATGCAGCGAGCGGTTGATGCAAACGTCGGATGAGAAATGATCGCGAAGCTGCTTGAGCGTTTTAATCGTCATGTCGCCGCTGAGCTTGACCACAGGTCGCACCAGCAGGGGCACCTTTCGCTTGAGGACCTCCATGAACTCGGCGGAGGTGTCGACGCCACGCGAGAGAAACCCTTCCACCGTGTCGCAGAGGCTGTGCAGCTCAATCTCGGGTCTTCTAGCCTTGAGCACTCCCGCCAGAATATTGCCGTGCTTCTCTACCTTCAAAGCTGGAGAAACAAGAGGCAAGCATTGTGTTGCTTTGAGCGACGGGATGTTTTTCATGCGCACCAGGTCGGCCTCCAGATTCTCCAGCAGACCGCTCGCAGCCGAGGTTAGTCCATCAGGGCTACCGTGGAACTGGTTGGCGGCGCCAGCGAGCGCTTCGAAGCCTTGCCGGAGGTTTTGCAGTATCGATTTGGCTGTAGCGCCGTGATCGGGCTCGTCTGCGTCTGCATATGCAATGGCCACGAGCGAGAAGATGGTGGCGGCGAACGCATGGAAGCGCATCGTGATGCTGCTGCCGATGCAACCAGAATGGGTTGCGCAGAGCTGATCTAAATCGGATACGGGTAAACTATGTCTCGTGGTAATGGTGTAAATCAAGCCAATGGAATAGATTTCTTATTTCGATAAAAAAAAAAGGTAAGCTTCTAGAAGTGTCTGTCTGTGATGGATGATAGCCACGACTGGTGTAAGATGCATGAACGCAACCGGGCCCGCATTCAGCTAGCACAATCTAAGCTCCCCGCCCCGCGCGCGCCCTGTGCCCCACGCTTGTCAACGCCGTCAGTTAAAAAGCAGGGCCGTTGTCGCACCCTACTGGTTTTTATCCGCATCACCAGAACTTTTCTTTACTCACATATCTAAATTTGCGTCAAATATGCCTGCCGCACCAGGAGTAGTTCGCCATGCTTGCAAGGAGGGTACGCAATCCAAAAACGCACACCACAGAAACCTCCCCAACTAACAGCCCGCCGTGACCAGATGTCCCCACGATCCTCGCTTTGATCCAGGCCCTTGCCGACTACGAAAAGGAATCCGACGCAAACAAGGCAACTGTTGAAACCCTCGAAAACACAATTGCCTTTGCACCGTCCGGATCCGGCCCGATTACATCCTCTGTGCCCAACACTGAGTCGCCATCGCCCTCCAAGCCCGCCCGATGCTTCCTGCTCGACAACGAAAAGGGCGAGACCGTCGCCATGGCTCTGTACTTTTACAACTACAGCACATGGCGCGCCAAGCCTGGAATCTACCTCGAGGACCTCTTTGTCCAGCCCTCTGAGCGCGGCAAGGGCTACGGCAAGCGTCTGCTGGTTGAGCTGGCCAAGGAAGTCGTCGCCATGGACGGCGGCCGGCTGGAGTGGTCGGTGCTCAAGTGGAACGAGCCTAGCATCAAGTTCTATGAGAGCGTTGGCGCCGTAGCCATGAATGAATGGGTCACTATGCGTGTTACAGACGACGGATTGACCAAACTGGCTGGCTTGCTGGATTAAAAGGAAACCATAAAGAAACTCCGTTTACTAATGCTAGAGAGTATCGGGTATAGAAAAGTCTAGATAATATACATGATGATAATGTTACAGTATATGCAGTCGTCATTGTTTCTTCTTCTTGCTGGACGCGGGCTTTGCCTCTGGGGTGTTAAAAAATTCAAGCTGTTTGGCTGACGGCTCGGCGATGCGCACTTTGCCCTCGCCCCAGCGGAACTTGTAGCCCAGATTGTTGGGATCTTGGTCCATGAATGGTGTTCGCTGCCATGTACGATCATATGCCCTGCGGAACCAGCGAGCCGAGAAGGCAGCCCGGCGCAAGCGTGGCGAGTATGGGCTGTCATCCACCTGTCCAGATCGCCGTACTGCGTCACCGCGTTTGTTCTTTTCAATAACGGCAGCGGTTCCGGTTGCATATTCTTGCCAATTGCCAGTGCTAGAAGTATTTGTTAAGGCAGAAACAGCACCGGCTCGGCGAGGCGGGACCTGCCAGCTGGCATCGTGGGCTTGCAAATCGTTTGTGAGCTTGCTGAGAAGATCCCACCCTCCCTTTCCTAGCGGCGGCATCATCTTTTCAATGTTTCTCTTCCACCACTTGATTCGTTTTGCGTTTGCCAGCGATTCGGACGGCTTTGTTTTCCAGGGCGTAAGTTCCGGAATTAGACTGTCCGGGTTGGTGGACTTGATTGCGCTCCCAGCCCATCCTATCATTGTCCGTGTGTGGCCCTGTTTTCTTCGCTGCGATTCAAGCAAGTTGAGCAGCTTCTTGGTGTCCCATTTCGTTAAGAATCCCTTTCCTTTTGTGACTTGTTCCTTTTCGGTCGACTCGGGTGCCTCAATGGACGTAAGTGCAACCTCCAACGCCGCCGAATCGGGCGGTCCTTGCGGTCTGACAAAATCACCCATGAGCTCTCGTCTCCTCGGGCCGGTACGTCCGAATGCTTTGTCGATTAGAGTTATCATAGCCATTCTGTCGCCATTATTCGCCGCTCGAACAGTGCGGAGCACATTGTTTGCTCGTTTGGTGCGCTTCGCCGTTAGGTCATCGTTTTTGGTGTTGCGGTGGAATCGGTCTTGGATGAGGGCTGTGATGGTGGTACGGAATGCGGGCGGGAGATAGGAGCATTCACGTAGTATATGCCGATACAAATGAAGAGGGGTTGCCGCTGCTGTCAATAATGACGGCTGCTTGGACATAATTGCGGCAGTCGGATTACATTGGTGGCCGGTGTGTTGGTGGAAACTCAATGGTAGCAAAGCGGCGGATGGGGGCCCTTCTCTGGTGATGGTGACGTATATCCGATAGATGCATAGCCTCTGCCGGCGTCAACTTTGGGTCCGTAGTGGTGGTTCCGCCGCCCAAAGCTGGTACAACAGAAGATAGCTAGTAAAATCAGTCTTAATATAGTTGGTTGGTTATATTAAGTAGCGAGATTTCCTTATTAAGAAGCCCTTATTGGTTCTCTGTGAAGCATCTTGCAGCGTGCCACGTTCTGTACGTTCGGTGGTGTCGCCGGAACCAATTGGCTCTGAGCGGGACAAAGCAGGAGCAACAAAGAATCCATAAAACTGGAAATCGTCAAACCACAGCGAATAGAAGCATTGCTGTTTCAGATGCTTGCATTTTCGGGGAACATCTTTTGGCCGTTTAATGGAAGCCGAGCTCTGGTCGCGGTCGGGACGCGCCTCGACACGGTGCCCACGCGTGTGGGCGCGTGCAAGACACGCCCTTGCGGCTGCAATCAATTAAACTAACCATTCCGCAGGCGCGTCACGCCCGGGGCAATTAAACGGGTACCAGATACTTTTGACAGGCGAGTCCAAATGCAAGACTGCTGCTTTGGCTGTTTCTCAAGAGACCAGAATCAAGATTAATTTAATCTTTCAATTTATTCTATTATTGCGCACCAGGATTTTTCATCCGCACCAAAAACGCCAAATTGATGCGCTGTCGCCCATCCAACCAGACCCTAACCAGCGCACTGCATTTGGCGGCGCCCCCCTCCCTGGCTCGTGCTAACCAAAGTACCTTGTACCTCGACCTGCTGCCAGCTTCTGCCCTCTTTTCCATCTCGAACCATTCATTCCCTTTCCTTCTTCACTTCCACGCTTCCTCTTTTACGCTTTGAAACCCCATCAACTCCGCCCCGATTGACGACAGGCGCGAATATCTACACGACTGTCCAAGGGTACACTCGCTTTGGCAAATGCATTGGCCCTGACCTCGCTGTCTCCGCGCACGACTCGACTTCCCTGACGCCGATATCCCCCTCCGCGAGCAGGTCCCTCAAGGTCACCTTGAATACTTCCGCTGGCATCGCAGTCGTCTCACGATTCGATTCTCATGAGTCAACAATCACAGAATGGACGGGCCAACGCCTCGTTCCAGCGTAGCTTCAACGCACCAGTGGAAGCCCCTCAAATTTATTCGGTAAGCTCTTCGCCATGACTTCCCCGCGGCATATTGGATAACTATCTTACACATTTCTTATTTATAGGCTTCCTATTCTGGCGTCGATGTCTACGAAATGGAAGTAAACGGAGTAGCCGTCATGCGACGACGACACGATTCTTGCCTGAATGCTACGCAGATCCTAAAGGTCGCCGGCGTTGACAAGGGCAAGCGTACCAAGATTCTCGAAAAGGAAATCCAGACTGGCGAACATGAAAAGGTTCAGGGCGGATACGGCAAGTACCAAGGCACCTGGATCAAGTTTGAACGCGGTGTTGAAGTCTGCCGTCAGTACCACGTCGAGGAACTGCTTCGACCACTCCTCGTTTATGATATGGGTCAAGATGGCGGCGTTGCTGGCCAAGGCGACCTCAATACTCCCACTAAGGAACAGGCAATGGCTGCTCAGCGAAAGAGAATGTATAGCTCAGGTGCCGATGGCCGTCCTAACGGCATGTCCGGCACCTTTTTCAAGAATATCTCAACGACAGCCTCGCATGCTGTTGCTGCCATTAGCAAAGCTCGATTCGACTCGCCTGGCCCTCGAAACCGCAATGGTCCTACACGAGCCCCAAGCTTTAGCCGACAACCATCAATGACTAACGGTGACGAATTCCCCCCGAATTCTCAACAGAGCTACACTTCCGATTATAATCAGCCCGTTGACTCCGCATATTCAACACAGCAAAATGGCATGCAGATGAATGAAGTCGAACCACCTAGGAAACGACAGCGCGTGAACATGACACCTGCCGATAGCTTTGGAGGATACAGCCAGAATGTGGACGCCTTAGCCGCCGCCTTCCCTGGCTCCCCTACTGAAGCGAATGAGTCGTTCATGTTCTCACAAGCTACAGCACAAGATCGACCATCGCTAGACGACGGCAGTGGACCGCTGGCCCCTCTTCCATATGATATGTCGCCAGAAGTTGAGATGAAGCGTAACATGCTGATGGGCCTCTTCATGGACTCGGATAGCAACGACACATCGAAACATGATATGCTACGAACATTCAGTCCAGCCGAGCTCGATATGCCCATTGACCCTCAAAGCCACACTGCCCTGCATTGGGCAGCTACCTTGTCGCGAATGCCGCTACTACGTGCTTTGATTTCCTCTGGCGCCTCGGCATACCGGGTCAATGCGGCTGGTGAGACAGCTCTTATGCGTGCTTGCCTCGTTACAAACTCTATGGACCATGGCTCCTTTCCCGACTTGCTTGAGGCCCTAGGCGGTACGATTGAAGCCCGTGATCAAAAGGGACGCACTGTATTGCACCATATTGCTGTCACTAGTGCTGTCAAGGGCCGCAATGCTGCTAGCAGATACTACCTCGAGAGTTTGCTTGAATGGGTAGTTCGACAGGGCAGCGTTCCCAGCAGCCAGGCCAATGGTCATGGTTTACCCGGCTCCCAGTCTGCCATTCCAAAGATGGGCATCGCTCGATTTATGACGGAGATTGTAAACGCACAAGACCGATCTGGAGACACTGCTCTCAACATTGCTGCCCGATTCGGCAACCGAAGCATCATCTCACAGCTGCTTGAGGTTGGAGCGGACCCCAACATTGCTAACAGAGTTGGTCTACGTCCCGTTGATTTTGGCATTGGCAACGAGAACAGCGAAGACAAGGTCAACGGTGAGGTTGCCCTTCTCGAGAAGCCCAACGCCACTGGCTCGGTTGAGAAAACCCGCGAAAGTAGCGATGAAATCATTGCTTCCATTACACACCTGTTGAGCGAAACAGGTTCAGCCTTCCAGCAAGAAATGAAGTCCAAGCAAGTCTCGCTCGATGCTCTCCACGCTACCCTCCGAAACACATCTTCACAACTCGGAGATGCTCGCCGTAAGATTGAGACTCTTACTACAACAGTGACGAAGCAACAGCTTGCTCGCCAAAAGGTCACCAATCTTGCCAACGCCTGCGAGGAGGAAAAGCTCCGCTTGATGAACGAGCAAGCCCGCTCATCGCAACCAACCCCCAACTCGTCTTGGGAGAACGAACTTGGCGCTATGCTCGAGGCTGCTGACCACGGCGCTGGTTTCGGTGCCGACAGCATGCTCCCGTCTGCATCAGTATTAAGAGCGCGCCTCCGCGCTATTGAAATCCGCCGCGACACCACCAAGAAGATGGTCCAAGCTCTCCAGGGCCGCAGCCGTGACGTAGAAGTCAAATACCGCCGTGTAGTTGCTCTATGCACGGGTGTACAAGAACGCGAGGTTGATGCCGTCGTCGACGGTCTCCTCAAGGCTGTCGAGAGCGAACGTGACGAGCTGGAAATTGATCGCGTCAGACGCTTCCTGGGTGGCGTGGAAGGCGTCGTACACTAATGCTTAATGCTATTTATTTGTTTTTCTAGCCCTACTTGGGTGGCGTTTGTTTGGTTATATGATGTTATGGAGTACTGGTTTCTATCGTTTTCTTGTTTTGGGCACTACTGCTTCAGACCCTTCTTGGGAGTCTCTGTCGAAGCAGCGGATCACAGGATGCTTTGTGGAGCAATTGTATTGTGTATTTTCACGATTTGGGTATTACATATGGGTGTCACACTCTATAGCAGAAGTTAATGGACAATGCAGCTCTATTGCCGCTTTTACTTTTTTCTACGTGAGCTGGTCTCTATCTCGCCTCAATGTAACAAACATGGTTAAAACAGGAACCACATGGTTCAACACAAAATAAATGGTATGCAGTATTTCGCTAAGTATATGAAGAAAAGGAAACGCCGACGCCATGCCATGCCATGATGTAAAATAGAATGGACAGAGTAAATCTGGGTATACTCATTCTGCGTTTAATGAAGCCCATTGCGATATACCCCAGCCCACTTGTTTTCAAGTTTGGTGATTTGACTCCTCAGGTCGTCAATCTCTGTGTCAAGCTCGTCTCCGTTCCGGCTTAACGCCGCCACTTCCTCAAATCTTCGTGCTCCCTTAGCAAGCTTGAGCATGTCATTCACCATGAACCGCTGCTCTTCCAATATCACCAGTCGCTCTCGCAAGTCCTTCTCTTCCGTTTCGAGCTGACTGACTACAGTACTACTCTCACTGGCAGCTTGAGAAGCAGTGTCTGATTCAGCCAGCTCGCTGTGACGTAGACCTGAGGATATCGAATGATTTGAGGCGTTGTGCTTGTGACTAGATTTTCTGGATGACGAGGATGTTGTACCTTTGCGTAAGAGACTAGGGAGACTTTTTAATGGTAACATGTTGGTGTGGAGGAAGCCGCTGGAATACAGATAGATGGCATTTTGCAACTTCTTTTGTGTCGCGCTTTCGGTTGGCAGGTCGCGTATGCGCTTTGCCGCCACGCTGTACTTGCCAAAGCTATCAATCAGCCGCTTTCGTATCTTACCGGCTTCCTGAATTTGGGCATGGGTTGGAGGTGGGCGATTCAAGTTTACTTCGCCGCCATCTAATAGCTCTGGCTGAAGATTGAGGAGCGCTCGTTGGAAGGAAGGAAGAAGCTGCCGAATGCCTCGCTCGAACTGCCGCATTGTTTCGTATGCGCGCTGGTCTGCAGGTTTGAATTGTAGCGAGCTTTCAAAGTCGCGCCGCGCGAAGATGGTATGATTACAATCTTGGCACATTCGGACATCAACAACAACCTGCTTCGAGCCTACTAGCGGCTTCTCTGTTACAGTATCGACGGCTAGGGAGCATGTTAGCACAAATGCTGGGCCTTGGATCCCTGATATACTCACATGCAGCTACATTCAAGCTCATGTCTATGGAGCACCCGGTTTGCGTATCAGCGCAAACGACACGTCCACATATACGGCAATGGTGCCGCCTAAATGTCCAAGAGCCAAACTCTTGTTGACAGAACGGACACTTGGAAATGGTCTCATCATCTTCCCAGTTGACGACCGACTGCTCAATTGTTTTCCGTAGATTCTTTTGTCCTGTCAGGCTCGCCATCGGTGATAATATAGACGAATTAGAAGATGGTATCTTATCAGCAGAGTCGGCCAGGAGCCGGGTAAGTTTTGTCAACCGCTTTTCCAGTCGCGATGTCTCTAGCTTGTGTCGCTCGACTTTTTTCCGTCGAGTTTCGGCGAATGCGTTGGTCTGATCGATTAGAACGCCAGCATGATCATTGTATCCTTCGCGTGACTTGTAGCACGTTTCGCAAACACGAGCCCAGAACCCTCGCATGGGCTCGTGTTGGGCGCTGCGGCTAAGCTTCATTTGGTACATGGTATGCTCCTCGCAAAAGAGTCTGCCACAGCTCCTGCAGTTTATGCTTCCATTGATTGGACCCAGGCGTTTGCCACAGGCTGGGTCAGTGCAAAGGTCATGATTCGTACTTCGTTGCCAGTGATGGCGTGTAATGAGCTCGTCTGGGTCTATGTGGTGGTCCAGAGGGGCTTTGCCCGATGGTGTCGACGAGGCAGTTGGTACATGTTGCGAGTCGTTAGATTCGAAGACTTCCAATCCTCGAAGCTTCTGGTTTAGTATTGAGAGCGGTTGGAACTTTTTGGCTCGAGACACTTGCTTGTCGAACCATGTCTTGACTTCGTCTTGCTCTTCTTCGGGGAGCTCTTGGTGCATGTCGTCGATGTGTCGGTTTAATTGAAGCAACGTGACCTGTGATGTATCGTATCAGCTCTCGTCGGTACCGTGGCACTGAAAGTACGTACCATTGCCTCATTACAGATCGGGCAGACCAAATTGGACGGGTCTGTAACGCCGACTTTAGGCTGCGCCCCGATACTGATACTGGCGCCGATATCCTGGCTCAAGTCTGGCAGACTGGCCGTCCCAGGAGGCGATATGGAAGATGAGCCTATGGACACTGTGCTATCCGATGTTGGAAGTGGACTCGAAGGGCGGGCAGCAGAGATTGGCGGCGCAAGGCCCCTTCCGCTGCCTAGGATGCGGCCGCCTCCCAGTTTACGTCCGGACATGGCGGGTGGTGGACGTGGACTTCATGGAGGGACAAAAAAGGAAGAACCGGTAGAATAAAATGGTTATGGCGAGTGGCTGATCTGGAATACAGCAAAAAGAATCAAAGCGCGCGAGATTAAGCGTTGTTAAAAAAAGCAAAGACCAAGAAGGCAGAAGAGGCGTGGAGGGGGTGGAAGAGGGAGGAGGAGCTCAGATGACGACTGGCCCGCCACCAATGCAAGTTAGCACGAGGCAGCCCCAGCCCGCAGGTGCCTTTAACAGGTAGACGATGTTAGCAACAGCGTTAGCGTGGTGTGCCTTGAGACAGGCTGCGCTTTGATGCTCCAGTGGGTGCGGGCCCGCGCCTGCAAGCCTTGCAGCAGCAACATTAGCAGCAGCTTAGTGACTACCACCTGGTGAGCCGCCACTGCAACGGAACCGAGGCCCACTGTAAATTCTTATCGCCAGCGTTATCGGATATTTTCAGGCGGCCCTGCTTCCGGCGAGCGGAGGACAATACCGAATGACGCAAGTCTCCTTTTTCCCTCTTCTGCAAATCACCACACATATATATAAGCAACGATGGTCAAAAAGTTTGCAGATGTCCAGCCGGGCGGAAGTCTGATTCTCGCCTGGCAGGTGAAAGACAAAAATGTCCTCGTTGTCGGCGGAGGCGAGGTAAGAAGATGCCCAGTTACTACTCAGCTTCGATATTCTAACATGCAGCATCTAGGTCGCCGCAGGACGAATTCTCAACTGCCTGAATGCGGATGCAAAGGTTACAGTAGTATGCCCAAAGTCGGGGCTCAATCCAGAGGTCGCCTACCGCCTCGCCGAGAAGCAAATAACACACATCGATCGACTCTTCGAACCGACCGACCTCGATACTGCCGACATGGTCATGGTGGCCGTTGACGACCCTGCCGCTTCCACTGCGATTTGGAAGCTGTGCAAAGAAAAGAGAATCCCCGCCAATATTGCCGATGTACCGCCAGAGTGCGACTTCTACTTTGGCAGCGTGCATCGTGATGGCCCGCTGCAAATCATGGTCAGCACCAACGGCAAGGGGCCTAGACTAGCTGCGTCGATTCGCAAACTGATTGCTGGACGGCTGCCCAAGAATGTTGGCAACGCCATTGAATCGGTAGGCGAGCTACGAAAGAGACTTCGTAAAGTGGCTCCCAAGGCGGAGGAAGGGCCTCAGCGCATGAAATGGTATGTAATGAGTGGCACGTGCTTGTCTCTAACTGTGTGCTAACCACCAGCAATGCAGGATGTCCAAGGTCAGCGATACGTATACATGGGAACAAATGTGTGAAATGACTGAAGAAGATATGGAAAACCTATTATTGTTCTACCCTGCGAACAAGGTTCCCAACTTTTCCATCCTGGTGGCTCTCCGTGGCGGCCAGACGGTTCAGGACCTGGACGTCTTCCAAGGGCAGTTTGGTTTCAGCGTCGGCGTATAGAGTTCTTTGGGCAGCTTCATTTGGTTTGGCGTTTCAGACTGTGCTTTATTATGTAGACTAGAACAAGAATGTACAATACGGAGTCGTCCTAGCGATGCTAGAGTGGCTAGCTACGGGCAGGCCTCGACAGTCAATAACAAGTCGAATATTGAATACATGTATACGTATAGAGTATTTACAAACGTAAATCACTTACTATAAAACTCATATCATTTATATTCTGTCTCGTAGGCTGCTGGTGTCCCGCCCTCGTTTGCATGCAATGGTGACTTCATCCGCGCTTCTGCGGCGCCACCTTCCGGCCTAGCTTGACCAAGCCGGCGCCGTTGTCTGGCCCTCCCCACCAACGTCGCTTCGTCACTGTTGTCCGATTTCCAAACAAATTGCATTTCTATTCCTTCAAGATGCAAAAATAGCGCGCCGACACCACATCCCATTGTATTTAAATAGTGCCCAGACCAAATAACCCAATAGGTCAGCTTCTACGACGCGAATTGCCCCTCGGTCCTCCTACCCACCACAACAACCAAAATCATGTCGGAGCCACGATCAGACTCGGTCGACTCGGGTGCGGATGCAGGCTCGGGGCGCGGCAGTCGTAATAGCGATGAAAACGATCTGAACCCGCCGTTTTTCAATACGACATATTCTACACACCGCGTTTCGCCACTCTACGTGGGCGAGCACGCGCTCGATCAACCAAGGCTGAACGTGCTTGCGCACCGTTTACGAGATACCCTCGTGGGAGATGTCGTACGAGGTATTCAAATCAACTTGGAGTCAGTCGAGACGGGAGCCGGGCAAGTTGGTGCACTTCAATACGTACGCATAACATGGTTCGACGTACAAACGCTGTTGGCTGGGCCGCAGGCCGAAGAGACAATGGCATTTGGCAACCAGACACGCGGCCTTTGGATTCAAATACGACACGAAAACGCTCAGTATATCGCCATATTGATCCCCGGGTATTCTGACAGAGCAGATGTGGCGAACCGACCCGACCCAAGTTGGACAATGCAAGGCGTCGAGCCACCCGCTAACGACGCGACGCAAGAGGAGCGATTCATCCACTTACCACTGCTCCTACTGCGCATGCCAATGGCGCTGAAGGGTGTAGTTGGGGATTGGCTCTCTAGCACGTTCGATTGTCGCGTCAGCAAACTGTCTCTCGGCACCAAGACGCTTGTGTCTGCATGGCAAGGATGGATCGATAGCTATGGAATATCGACTAAAGGCGCCGACTTTGTGATGACATTTGCATTCAACGCACCACTTTCAACTAAATTAGGTGAAAAAGAATCAGATTCGGACTCGGACTCGGACTCGGATTCGGATTTAAGCAGTGACGAACAAAACTTGGAACCTGGCCTGCGTAGTATGAGTGTAGCCGTGGCACCACAAGACCTGGTTCGCTTTCTCCGAGCTGGCGAAATCCTCGGTGCAGATAAGTTTACATCTTCGGCGCTATGGGAGACAAATGAGAGAGAGCGGCATCGTCTCGCCGGCGGCAACGTTGATGACGGTTGGGCCTGGCGCATGAACGATACGGGGGATCATCCTTTCACCGAGGCTGTTGGCCGCTACGTACGACATCACCTGGGGCTAAACTTATTCCATCCAAGTGTACGGGTTATCCAGATATCATGTGGCGGCTTTTCGCTGTCGCAGTCTCGGATTAAGATCATTCGCAAAAAGGACGATGAAGGCGTGCCAGCTGCCGCTTGGAATTTTGTAACACAGCTTGGTGATAGAATACGCGGAGAAGCATTACCGAACGCAATTTCCGCAGCTACGACTTGAAATCGCGAAGTTGGCAGTATTCCGACAACCGCCGTGCCTGACAACGGGTTGTTACTTGTAGTCTGATGGAGTCCGATCGTGAAAGAGGGGCTCCATCTAACATCCCGCCGCTGACACTGCCCGCCAACCACCTTTATTAGCAACGCCAAACCGCGATTTGCAAACCCTACAGAAAGGAGCTCCCCAGACGCAAGAAAATACCACGCTGCAAGAATTGAGCATGAAGGTTATTGTAACTGGCGCCACTGGCAGTGCTGGGCGAGCGACTCTCAACCACTGCCTCACCGACAACAGAATCACAAAGGTCTTTGTCCTGAGCAGACGCGCGCTTCCTGACGAGATTACAAACAATTCCAAGGTTGAGATCATTCTGCACACAGATTTCCTTCAGTATCCGGATTCACTGATGGACCAGTTGGCTGGAGCCGAGGTCTGCCTTTGGTAAGTAGCTACACCAGTCACGAAGTCGCACCTGATGCATTCTAATGGTTTTTAAAGGGCTATTGGTGGTAGCATCGAGCAGTTCCACGGAGACAAAGAAAAGTGCCGTCAAGCCAACGTCGATTTCACGCTGGCTGGGGCGAAAGCTATGCGAGAGAAGCTAGCGGCCAATGCACCAAATGGCAAGTTTCGATTCATCTTTTGCAGCGGCAAGTTTGCAGAGTGGAATCAGGACAAGACACTATTATTCATGAGTGATTCTCGCAAAATCAAGGGCTCTGTTGAAAAGAGCCTGGCTGACCTCGCTGACGCGAATCCCAATACCTTTGAAACATGGCTACTACAGCCGAGCGGCTTCTTGGAGAACGATGCACCTGGTTGGAAGAAGGCCATTGGCGGATTGTACGGTGCCATTCCTGTATCACAGGTCGGTAAAGCTATGGTCAAAGTTGGGGTGGAGGGCTGGAAGGACCGCATTATTTCGAATGATGTGATGTTGACGATGTAACCGGTTGACTAGCTGGCAGATAAATATACCCTGATTTCACCTAGCAAGCGCCCATTTTGATATGTTTGGTTAAGAGAGCAAATACAATAGCTTAAAGAGTAGTTTGTTGTGGGAACAGCTGCTGCCGCGGAAGGAACCAACAGGATTGCTCACAAACCTGTTGACAATACATCCGCAGCTTGTTGAAAATGACATACACATGTCATTCAGTAGTCGTCCAAATAATATTTTCATGAGCCAGCGTATATTTATCATGGCAACTCGATAAATGCAAGAAACTTATCAAGAGATACAACCCATCAAACCATTTATGTTTCTGAAGCAAAGAGATGGCACCACTGACAAGCCCCAAGAACCCGGCCTACCTTGTCTTATACACAGTATTTGGCGTCGCCTGCTGTATCTATGTCGGCTGGCGTCTCTGGATCCAAATCAACATATCCAAGGCATCACGCGCGTGCTCTGAGACAGAGAATCTCGGCAATGCTCAATGGGCAGCAGAAGCAAAGAGGCAGGAAAGGAGGGAAGCACTACGGTGGAACAGGTTCCGGTGGATGAGGGCGACGGCCCAGGACGCTCCTGTACCGGTGAAGAAGGATATCATGATAGCTGGGATCCGAGTTCCGGCAAAGTGTCACGGCAAGTCTTGATGTGTGGTTGGTCGTCTTTGTAGACAATGGTTGAGGATGGAGCTGTAAGCTGCCAAGCTGGGCGTCAGCAATTGCGTGTAAACACATTGTTTATTGTATTAGTGGGGGATTCATGTTTTTGGTGGCTCTATATTTTGATGGCTATGGAAATCCATGATTATTGTTGTTCCTTTTTCGATTAACGATGTGACGGTCTCCTGTTCTTCCAGCTCTCAGCAAAGATAGTCGCTACAAAGTTGATTTTGCGGTCAGCAACAGCCACTTTGGGGAACCTAGCATGAGGCTCATCTCGGGTCAGCACCTAACTTGGTTGGCGGGTCTGTTAACTAAAATGGAAGAGGGAATGTAGAGAGTGGTGGTCTGGAACATAATTCAAAGGCTGTACTGTACTCTATAGCAGTCTCATATTCTTGGTCTTTATGTTGACAGAAACCCTGGCTGTAGTGACACATAATAAAGCATGCACAGCCTACAGCACAGCAACTTAAACACCCAGTTAACATGCAGTGCCTAGGCTAAAATAAATTTACAGGTATGCCTTGTCGTGCTGTGGCGATGAACTGAATCCGCCAAGAGCGCTAATAACGCAGCCACTGGGGGCAGGGAAAATAGTTCGATTTCAGGCTGACGTGAGCCGCCGGCAACAACTAAACAATACACTAACTTGCAGCGCAGCGCCACTTGACTCGCCTAATGACCAAAAAAAAAAGAAGAAGAAAAGACATCTGCCGTCGGTAATACATGGTGGCGGTGCTACGGCTCATTTTACTCTTATTTTCTGTGCATTTACTTCTGCTCCAGTGCTGACTGGCCCCCGCCACACTCTTGCTGCGGCCCTCGCTATACAGAGCACAGCCTGGACGCACGTTTCCCATTGTTTCAGCGGGGAGCCACGCCGCTAATGGCCCCGCCCGGCACCAGCAGCCCCGATGTTCTTATTCGTGGAGGAAACAGTGCCTGAACATCATCATCATGCACTGCAACCCTGTTGGAGAAGCGGCCCCGATTCGACCAGCGAGAGAGGAGGAAGGGCCATGCCGACACAATCCACTCACTAATGGTTGAGAGCGGTGGTGGATGGGCTCGGCCATATAAATAGTTCAACTGCTTACTCCCCCGTTCATACGCGCATGCTGCTCTTCTGCTGCCTCCCATCACCCACCGATTACACCCACACACATCAATAACAGCAATGTTTGTCCGCAACTCTCTTCTTGTCGGCCTTGCCACCGTGGCTACTGCCCGCGACATACCCGCCAACGTCAAGTCCTTCTACGACACCGTCCGCGCCAATGGCCAGTGCACCAACCCTCTCAAGTCGGGCTTCCACAGCATCTCTGGTGACAATGGCTGTAAGTGTCTCCGATTCTTCTATAGCCTACTGCCCTCGCGGCATCGTTCTTTCAGCACGAAGACACTTGGTCTGTTCCCTACTCAACAATTTGCTAACAACTCTCGTCTCTGCACAGCTTTCTCGTACTGTGGTGACCACTCTACCGACTACAAGGTCATCTACCTCCAGGGCAAGAATGGCCAGCTCGCCAACATGGACATTGACTGCGACGGCATCCAGGGCAGTGCTGCCGACGACGGCCGCTGCGGCAAGTCCACCGATACCCAGAGCCAAACCTCTTTCGCCGGCACCGTCCGCAGCTACGGTACCAGCCAAAAGGATCTCGATGCCAACATTCACCCTTATGTCGTCTTTGGCAACGAGGGCAGCCGAGCTGGCTACACCACCTTCAACCCTCAGTCCTACGGCATCAAGCCTCTCTCCGTTATGGCTGTTGTTTGCAACAACAAGCTGGTAAGCCGACTGCATTTGTCTCTATGCTTGCATCTTAACTAACAAGAATTTCACGCTTAGATCTACGGTGTCTGGGGTGACGAGAACGGCGATGACGACGCCGAGGCCATGATTGGCGAGGCGTCCATCTCGCTGGCCACTGCCTGCTTCGGCAAGAGCATCACCGGCGGCAACGGCTACGACGGCAACGACGTGCTGTACATTGCCTTTGCTGGCGACGATGCTGTTCCCGGCAAATCTGCCAAGTGGGATGCCAAGAACTACAGCGACTTCGAGAGCTCCATCTCTGCCCTCGGTGACAAGCTCGTAGCTCGTCTCGGCGGCAACGGCAGCACCCCTCCCCCCTCTGGCGGCAGCTGTTCATGGGCCGGCCACTGCGAAGGTACAAACGACCCCAATCACAAAGAGGGCCGTGGTGCGAGGCTGTCCAGCTCTTTGCTCGGCGTCGCACTCCCGCTCGCTCTGGCTACCCATTGGCTAACGTGATTCCCCCATCTAGGTGCTTCGTGCGGCAACGATAACGACTGCTCCGACGAGCTCACCTGCAAGAGCGGACGCTGCTCCAAGGGCGGCAGCAGCGCTCCCCCTCCCCCTCCTTGCTCCTGGGCTGGCCACTGCGCCGGTAAGTAAACAACCCAGCATCATGGTCACGGCCGGCTTTGCTAACAACCAATTTAGGTGCCTCTTGCAAGAGCGACAACGACTGCTCTGACTCTCTGACTTGCAAGAAGGGCAAGTGTGCTCAGTAGAGAGCAGCCACCCCGGCGCCAATCTACAATCGCTTCGGTAGTGGTGAAAGGACGGGTCCCCAACTTGTATATACCAAGTAAAAATAAAGTGTACATGACCTAGGCCGGGCTACTCTGGCCAGTTACATAGTGGAAATAGTTTTTTTCATTCATCTATTTTCTATGATTCTCTATTGCTTCTTCTTGACCATTTGTATTCTGCCTTCAACAGTGGGAGCAATCAGCCTTGTCCAATCGACAAGACACGCGCCTTTGGACACAGGATCGCATGGACACGACTTGACGCCTGCTTTGATGGCCCATCGTGTCCAAAACTTGCGCAGCAGAAGCGTCTCAATGTCCATCTGGTGGTCGGGGTCTCCGCCAATGATGGGCGAGATGGGCTCCGTCTCCTCCATGACAATACCCTCATCGACATCGTACGAGCTATCCTCGTCATGAGGAGTCTTGGAGTGTCCGAGACGAGCGCGTATGAAATCCTGCCAGCTATCTTCATACGGTGCATGCAGCTGTGATGGGAGCGACTTGGATCCATCCCCAGCCTGATCGTCGTGCTCACCCATGGGCTCGTGATGCACACTGGACGCAGTCTCAACCCACTGCTCAGCAAGCTTCTGCCACTTGCCTACCGTACGCAGCGCCATAAAGTATTGTCGCAGCATGGTACTGATGAGGATTCCATTCTCTTCGTCAATGATCTCTTCCGCCTCGCCGCCTTCCGACCCGGCAAGCAGGCAATCATAGCCATCTACAAGAACAACAACGTTAGTACATGTCACTCCCGTTCCTATCAGAGATATATCATCGTACCTTTACCTCGCGCCATGTATCCTCTAGTAGCGAGAACATACTTCTTCTCCGGCTGATAATCCTCTCCGCCAATCTTTAACCATGATAGTCGCTTTCCGCGCGGTCGTTCTGGGTCAAATTCAAACATAATATTAGACACTTGCGGGAACCGGCCTTCCAGCGCAGGGTACATGGATACGCCGTTCTCCAACGCATCCCAGATTGCCTGTCCAGTTACGCGCAGGACGACAATGGGATCCTCAAACGGGAAACACGTTGTAACGTCTTTGATGCGAATAGCGCCAGGCGGGTAGATTTGGTCGCCGCGAATCGTTCCAGATGCCATGATGGTGCAGTCCGCACGGTGATGCTGCCGCATAATGTCACAGACAAAGTTTCCAATATTCGATTCCTTAACTCGAACGGTGCTGAAGCGCGCGTCAAGCGGCATCGCTGTCCAGCCAATCGGCTGAGAGAGCGACTTTTGCAACTTGGCTGTAAGCTCATGGACCAGTTTTGCTGTAGGTTTATGCTCCTCGACAGAAGACATGACGTCGCGTCGCCAGATATCAAAATCCCATTTTCCCTGTTCCTTCTCGCTTCGTCTGGCCTCAATGTAGCTCAGCTGCTTGAAGTCGGTTCCAGAGCGCAGTATATGGGTGCCATTGATGTAATTGTGCTTGTAGAAGTGGTCGTGGCCGCCTAGAATAATGTCGATGATGCCGCCGGTCTGCTCGGCTAGTTTAATGTCGTTCGGCTCGCGCTGATGGCTGAGGCACACAATAATCTCCGCGCCCTGCTCTCTCAGCTGCGGGACAAGTTCTTTCGCGGTAGCGCTGGCGGACTTGTATATAAGGTTTGGTGGTAAACTGTTAATTGTGTCCAGCCATTCTCGTTCGCCGAGGCCAATGATGCCGACCTTGATACCATTCGAAGTAGTCATCATGTGAGTTCGCTTCGCATTGCCGAGCGGCACGTTGTCGCCAAGCGCGGGATCCAGTACATTTGCAATGAGCCACGGGAAGCTGCACTTCTTGATCAGATGTTCGAATTGCAGCACACCAAAGTCAAAGTCGTGATTCTAGAGGCAGAGTTAGCAGATTGCCAGAGAATTCGGAATGTGTGGGTTACAAACGCCAACGCAAGCTACATCAGTCCCAATAGCGTTTAGTACCGGAACCATGTGTTCACCTAAGCAGTTGTTAGAGCACAATTCTCCATTGTCATCTTCCTCACGGGGACGTAGCACCTTTTGTAACACTGCTCTCCAGACTTGGGTTGAAAGCGTCTCCGGAAAAGAGAGTCAGTACATCCGGTTGTCCCTTAAATTTCTCCGCATCTTTGTATTCATTGCACATCGTTATGAACCGCGCGAGGCCGCCGACAGGCTCTGCGCTTGCTGGGTCGACATGGTAGACATCGTTGTAATGCAAGATTCGCAGGTCGGGATTGGAGCTCGAATCCGCTCGGCCAGACGAGTAAGTGACTCTCGGATCCGCTGTGAAAGTCTCTTGGCCGCTCATTATGCACAATCAACGACAAGCAAAGCGCAAGTCACGGCGATCAACGAGTTACAGATCAAAAGACTCGGGAGGGGCGGATGAAGGCGGTGCTCATGCAGTGACGTCGATGGCAGCACGTGATGCTCCAATTCGTGACAAAACGGATGGCGCCAAGCCGAGTTGCACTTAAAAATTAAGCTGAAACTGTACAATTATTTTATTAGTTTTATATTAGAGGGATTCTGGCTCAAAAAGGGCAGTAATTCATGGTAGCCAAACTGCCAACTCAACCTTCGGGCTACGACCCCGCCCCCACCATAGACAACATGGGGGAGCTCTTCTAATACAGGCCCTGCTATTGGTAGACTGACTGCGCGCACCGGGTCACTTTCAACTGAACTTAAGACTGGTTGGTGTGCCATATGCCTGGCAAGCATAAAAAGAAATCCATGTCTATAATAATGTACATGAAGCACTTCTTGTGCACATGTCCATGTATCCTAAATAACAGTCTTACATCACGCTCATATGAACAATCTTCGTGATGTGATGATCAACCCCAACGTTCCTCGTATACACGCAGAATTCTTGTCAAAAAAAAAAGAACTTGAGACACTCTTTGCAACTTCCCATCGATTACATTGCTGCTTTGCCTCTAGACTCAAAAGGCAAAATAAGGACAATGAGACCAGCCACCAAAAACAGGGCACCACTAACATATACGGGAATCGGCGTGCTGAGATCCGCAAAAAGAAGAATAATCGGCTGGGAATATGTTAGTTATGTGCTTGGTGCAATTCAATACGGCTTAATAACTTACTGCCATGATGCCAAAGATTCGGTTGCATGTTGCTGAAAGAGCATTTCCAGTACCTCGCTGTGGAGTAGGGAAGATTTCTGGTGTGTAGCCGTATAGAACTGCATACATGACATTGCTGCAGAATGTGAAGGCGCAATTCCAACCAAGAAGGGCATTGCTCGATAGGGCAGTCGTAGAACAGAACAGAAACACGCCCGTCAGTAGGGTGAAGATGGAGAGTGTTCCTTTGCGGCCCAAACGAGGCAGCTCTACCAAGAGGCCGCCGAGCAACGCTCCGGGAACACCAAGAACTGAGTAAATCAGACTATTTCTGTACGACTTGTCGATAGAGAGATTGTCCAGTTGAGCGCCCTTTGCAGCTTGAATAGACGGGAGAAAAGCGTTGTAGAGCGGGAATCCGAGACCAATAAATGCCCAAAGCAACATGATCAATATGGTGCTCCAGGCGAGCTTAGGAGTTGCAAAGAGTGCCTTGAAGTGCTTTCCGTCAAGTTTTTCCATGTAGCGGCGAACAGCTGCAGATGCATCTGTTTGCGCAATGTAGCCATCAGGTTCGCAGTTTCGTAGATCTTCAATCGAGAACGTCGTTGTTTTGCCATTTCTGCGCGCAACCTCATGGACAACCTTGACAGCGTCTTCGTCGCGTCCTTTGCCAATGAGATACTTGGGCGACTCGTAGAGCTTGAAGAGGAGGAATCGGGAGAGGAACATGAGAAGCGTGATACCACCCATGGTAAGAAGGAAATATCTCCAACCCATGTTGTCTTCCTTGAGGCAGACTCCCTTGGCCGGGCAGGTTCGATATCCAATGAGAGGCCAGGCAATCAGAGTAGCAATCACTTGTGCGAAAGCCCAATCCAAAGAAAGGATAGTTAGCAGGTACTGGTGTGACTTGGGTAAAAACTCGAGGAAAATGGCAGAATCAACGGGTAGATTTCCACCAACACCAAAGGACCACAGGGCGTTGAAGATGCCTGCGGCAGCCCAATTGGGTGCTCCCGCAGCGACCATGCCCCAGAGAGCAGTCAGACCAAGGGTGAAGTTGAAGGCCCATTTGCGACCGAAAATATCACAGCCAAAGCCCCAGAATGCAGCACCAGCTAGTAGACCAATATTTTGAGCAAGAACATACAGTGGTGCGCGAGTCGAGGGAATACCAAATTCACGGGCAAGTGGTGTAAGGATCAGCGAGGTGATGACGGGCCAGAGGTTATCGCTAGCCCAACCAAATCCAACAACAATGAAGAGCTGCCATTGGTACCAGCCCATGCCAATATCTTGAATCTAGCAAGAGTAAAAACCGCCTAGTTAGCACCGAGTCAAACTGTTTGCGCGCCAATTCGCTCCGCAGCGCACGCAAGGGCGCTTTACGCAAGGGAAGGCAGCCCAGGCTCGCTGGTGTACGCCACCACCTTGCCGCATTGGGGTGCGCCATGCAAATCACTTACAGCTTTGTTCACAACCTTGGCCTTTGCCTCGTAGACGGGGTCGAGTGAGCCCTTGGGAATGATGACGCCGTCATCGTCGCTGAACTCGATACTGCTCTGGTCGCCGTATCTCGGGAGATTGGCATCATATTCGGGCGGCGCGGGCGCCAAGGTATCAACTTCCTTGCCCATGGTGTCGGTGACGATGGTGGGGGAAATGGTCGAGCTTCAGATCAGTGTTCCGCCGCAACGAGTAATCGGAGCTTCCGGGAGCAGCTGTGCCTGGAGTTGCGCAACAAACAAGGGAAATCCTGCAGCAAAGAGTAGCAGAAAAGGAACAATATGTGCGACGAGGCAAGAAAAAAAGATGATGAAGGAGAGAAGCGGACGCTGCGTAACATGGGATTTATTTTTTTTAGCAATAGCACTTCTCTGCAGACGGCGATCCGCTAAGCCTATATGTGGTGCGGGACGGAAACTTGGGGCTCCACCTCTGCCGTTAACGCCCTGTAGTGAGCACCAGTGCGTCGCGGCACCTATCGCATTGCGCACATGGGACAAGTACGTCTTTGTTTCGATGGCGCCATAGCACACGGGATTGTTCATTTGGCCGAGAGTAGTAGCGTCATGGCAAGGCCCGCTAAGAGACGCCGTAGTGGAGAGCATGTCGTTTGGGATGGACAACTAAAGGGCGGAGCATAGCATTTGTAATTGCGTCATTTAGGGCGTCTGAAAAGAATATGGACAGAATATGAGCTTTAAAATCCATCTATTGGTGATTTTCTCTTCATTTTTAGTGTTGAAAATAAGAAGCAATTTGTTGATGGACAGCACCGCTCTGCCCATCTGTTTGCGGCCAAGGTGATGATGTAGATGGTGCGTGCGTGGCTGGCGTGGCATGCCTAGTGGAGCTGAGCCTGCGCTACGGCACCAACCCAGATCGCCCCTGCTGTTGCATTCAGTACAGTGCACCCACCACATGGAAGCCTGTTTTCCAGGTGTCCACCTCCACTGTGCCGATCAACACAGCGCAGCAACAGTTGCGAATCTCACTAATCGAAGTGCATGGAGGATCGAGTGTCCTGCTCGGGTAGCTTTACAAGCATAACTGCGTGGGAAATAAATAATAGGCCCAATATGATACAGCCGGTTTATTGATCAATCAAAGCAACTTTACAGTATTTTTCTTTTGGTTTTTGTGTTGTTTTCATTTCTCAACCTTGTCAAAGCTTGCTTCTAGAAGCCCACCCCAGCCGCATCCTCATGCAGCGCTCGGAGCTTGCACAGTGGCCTTCCAGCGACCCAAACCCGCTGTCACAGCCCCGGAAAGCGCCCCCCGGCCCCATTCCGCGCAGCCCCCGAGCACGCAATTATTGCTGATTCCAAAGCAATTGCTGTGCGCAGGCCAATGAGATGCACCACCAGGCGCAATGGCTGCTGACAGCGGCTGGCAAAGGTCCGCCTTGATAGGCGTTAACGGCCCTTGCAGACGCAGCGGGCAATCTTCACGGCGTCCATTTCCCCCAATCAAGAGACTTGTCGGGTCATGGTATTTACTGGGAACTCGCTGCTGCAAGGCTTATAGATCCCATGTCACTCGGCGAGACCGATCGCTGACGTGCTTGGAGGCTTGTCCGAACCGATATCAAGGAAATTTGGTATGAACATGTCTCATCTGATGGCCGCTGGTCGTACGTTCTTAATTATGTAATTGCTAAATACAGTGTCGTGTATATTCTATGTAGTTGCCGTCATGTTCATTGAGCTGCGTTACTCTGTCGTAAGATCCCACAAACTCTGGATCGTAATATCCTTCATCCAGGCAATGTCCGTGTCATGCTGCACCTTGAAATCAACTTCCTTCTTTTGACCAGGGAGTAGAATAAATGCATTGTCGTCAAAGAATCCGCTCACGTCCTCAGAGTGGTGCAACCATGTATACAGTGATACCGCCTTCGTAGCCTCGACGTCAAATTTGCCTGACTCTTGGTTATAGGATATCTTCAGGCCAGGGTCCACCAGCTTGAGATCCTTTGGCCAAACGGGTATGAAATGGTTCTCATGGCTAAACTCAATCATTTCATCACCATTAGGCAGATGGCCAGATGCCTTCAAACTCAGCAACAAAAGCGCATCCTTCATGTCAGGGAGTGTAACATCCCTCATATTGGTCCTGACAATGCGGGTGCTATTTATCGCCTCAACTTGGAAATCCAAAGAAGTAGGCATGCCGGCATTGTCGGTGATAGGCTTACCGCGCAAGTCCACCCAAGAAAGTGATACAGTCCCGGACACGCGCTCCCATAAATCAGACGTAACCCATAGCTCCAGTTCGCCATGTTCGTAATCCCACAGTGGCGATACGGTGATATGTTTGTAGGCATTTCTAACAACATATGGAAGGACCTTCCAGCGCCCATCGTACTCAATCGCAGCCCAGCTAGGCGCTTGCCAAACATCGTTTAGCTGCCAGAGGAGAGAACCCAGTTGTCTCTCTGGCATTCCACTTCCATGGCGATAAAACTGAATCTGGTTTTTGTAAAAGTCGGCTTGGAACAACTGAGTTGCATGACACCATGAGCTGAAATTTCCAATTGGGTCTTTCTTGTTGGGGGCCGGATAGTATCGCTCAACACCCAGGGTCATCTCAGCTAATCCTTTTGTACCATTTGCATAGTTGTCAGTGGCGAGACTGTTGGGGGGGTAGTGATGATTGCGAAGCGTGATTGTTGACGAGTTGAAATGCAAGTCTTGATCATCCAATACCTGCTTCCAAGTCTCCAGGCTAGGCATACTCGGAAATCCGAATTCTGTAGAGAATCGCCCCACGGGATATTTGGAAATATTAAACGATATCGACGTGTCGTAGTTATAAAATTCCGTGTCGCCGTACATCTCGCCCGCTGTCTTATTGTTGTAGCGTTGCACCATTGGCACTGGCAAACTAAAGTCAATATTGGTGAAGCCGTTATTGCCGCTGGAAGGGGTATACGAGATGGATCGGCTGTTGGCAACCAGCGTCTTGAAAATTGTCGTGATGAAGAGGTCTTCATATTGACCGACAAAGTAGTTGAGTCCATCCGGAGCAGCTTGATATGTAAGTGGCAACATAAGGTTCTCCAGCTCATTTCCTCCCACCCAGCAGGCAAGTGACGGGTGGTGATTGATGCGGCGAACGTTGTATGTAACTTCACCAACAACATTCTGCAAGAAAGCTGGGTCATCGGGATATAAGCTGTCACCAAACTCGAATTCGCTCCAGAGTAGCACACCGCGTTCGTCTGCGATGTCGTAGATAAAGTCAGGAAGGTAAGCCCCAGAGGACCAGACGCGCAACATGTTGAAGTTTTGGGCTTCGACAGATTCGAAAAGATTGTTCATACTGCCTTTACTAACTCTTGGCCAGAAGGCATCGGGGGGCACCATGTTGGCGCCCTTGGAGTAGAATTCGTGGCCATTGATCTCGAAATGCCAATTATTACCGGGTTTGTAGCCTCTCGAAATTTGTGCATTCGTGACATTTCCAACATCGAGCAGAATGGTTCTAAATCCAATGCGTTTCTCAGTCGTCAATATCGGTGTTGTACCGCATGTAGAGGGGACAAAGACTTTGATCTTGTAGAGGTTCTGGGACCCCATGTCTCTTGGCCACCAAAGTTTTGGCTTATCACAATCAATGGATATGGAACCTGTAATCGTCATATTCGAGCTGGACACATTTTCCATTTCGCCAGAGTACAAGACCTTCGACTCATCACTGACATCAGTAATAACGGCGCGTAGCTGGCTGTTTTTGGGCAGAATGCCGATGAAATCGACGCTGGCATTGACAATCCAGGGCTGTGACTGGTCTGGTGCAAAGTTGTTCACTTGACCCTTGCGGTACACATCAATTGCCGTGTTTAACTGGTATGCTTGAACACGCTTTTGGAGTTGCACGATGCGCCCATCGCGCCATGGGCCTGTTGGGACAAACGCTGGGCTCCAATCCCATCCAAAGTCATTCTGCTCTTTGCGAACAAAGTGTCTGTTCGGATACTCATAAGCGTATACGGATATGCTTGGCCATGCTGAGAAGAGAAAAAAGTCAGCAGTTGTTTCGTGAAGATTTCAATATACCTACTTTCAGAGCTGCTAGCATTGAGTGCATTAATAATCCTGGGGACGCTACCGAAGTTGAGGCTTAGAACCGGTTCTTGGTCGGGGCACTGCTCTAGCACGTCTGTAACATCAAAGTACCACTGCCTAAACTGGTTATCGGCGGTGCCAACAATTTTGTTGCAAAAGGTAATTGTTGTGTATGTATCGAGGCCATCAAAGACCAAATGGCTCGATGTCGTACCATCCTTACGGAGATTCTTAATCGGTTTGCTGGTGTAGGTCCAATTTTGGGCAGCAATCCATCGCAGATTGAACTCGTTTAAGCCGTAATACGGACTCGTTATGACCCCAGCATGGTTCAAGTCAAGATGGACCTGGGATGGGTAGCTGCCTGGAACAGTGATGTTTCCATATTCATTCGTAACCGTCCACGTCTCTGCGCTAAACTCGTGGATTGACTGTTGGCTGTTCGTAGCACAGGTACGCTGTGCGAGCACGATGAGGTTAGCAGTAGCCGCCAGTAACCACTTCATGCTTGGAATGTATGACTATCGGGGATAGTACAACTACGGAGACAAGGGGGGGCGCGGCGCTTTTTAAAAGATCGGGCAGTGGTAAACCCGAACAATCCGCGATCTACTGCACTAAATCGGATACCGGGATGCTGCCGCGTCCCTTGTGTAGGAGCAACCGTGCGGGCAGTGGAGATTGCGTGCCGCCCTTGCTGAGACTCGATGAGCGTTGTTGTTGTTCCATTATAAGGTCTCAGAGACAATCTCTAGCACGGGCGCTTCGCCCTGGAATTGTTTGACTAGAATAATTGCGTCTGGTATGCGGCTGCGCTTGGCACTGGAGAAATGGCCCTGGCCTGCTTGTTTCCGCACGTTGTCGTTGTACCAGCCAACTCTGAGGGTGGTCAGGCGAGCACCTCGGCTGAGTACTACCACACAGTGCAAAGGTACCAATTTATCTTCTTTTTCAAACAGGCAAGCGATACGAAGGATCGAGGTAGTGATGCTCGGCTCGCGTCACAACCGAAGAAAAAAGACCCAAAAAGGTCGCCCTTGGCTATCTATGCCTGAATAAACTTGGCAGCATCAAATTGGCACTCGCCCTGTTCACGCCCTTGACGTTTTTCGGGGTAGACGTAGCCCCGTTGATTGGCGAGCACCCGGATCCCTGTATGTTGGAAATCTGTGTTGTAGTGCGTATGCCCAAATACCCAAGTCTTAACACCGGGGAGACTGTGCTGGCCAATCAGGTCGGTGCCGAAACAAGATTTAATAGGGCTGTCGTGATGGCGAGGCGAGGCGGTATTGCTTAGCAAGGGGGCATGATGGGTTGCAATTAACACCCTCCTGTTCAGCTGCCTAAGAATATCGACTTGCTCGAATAGCCAGCTAGATTCGTCATGATGCCTTTGATTGTGCATTTCAACAGTCCAATGAGAAATGCTGCTGAAGTCTGAAACTCGGCGCTGAGCAGTCTCAGTTGCTGTCTCCATGACGCGCGACCAAAGAGTGCAGCCCAGGATGGTGAATTCCGATGCTGGATCATCCCAACGAGTTTTATGCAGGAGAGTGACCTTGTCGTCAAGGCAAGGTTCTTGACAAAGGCTCTTGGCTGTTGCAATCGCGTCTTGGTACTCTGAACCGTGGAATTCGTGGTTACCGAGGACGAGGAATATTCTGTCGAACCGGCTCGCTTGCGCACTAAGAAAGTTCTTGTACGCAGCATAATCTTTTAGACATCCAACGTCACCAGCTAGGAGGAGGAATGGCGCAGTGGCTGGGAAGCGATACGTAGCATATTGATGACCAAGTTCAAGATGAAGGTCAGATTGCACTTGTATAGGAAACGATGGCCTGCGCAAAGGAGATAGGCATCTAGACGCGATCTTCATGATGCAAATGGTATTGATCCACACCAAATGTCGGAGCGATTAGAGAAGGGGAACGTCAATTGATGCAGGTGGTGATGCAGCGGGCGAGAAACACGCTCCGCCATAAGCTTGCACGACGTGCCGGGTAGCAAGCCCGCCAGCAGCAAGCTTATCTGGAGTAACTAGATACGCGGTTTTCGGGGCTTGCAATTTAGCTAGAGTGGTTTCTTTAAGTGGTTTCAGTAATTTTAATGTTTTACAATCTATTTCAGGCCAAAAGTGCAGTGTGTTGACAAGTCTCAATCTTTGCAACCCACAACGAAGTGGTGTAGTTCCAACCCAATAATCATGATCACACAGTACCATACGGTTAACATGTTAACTTACAACACATCTGTAAAATGCGTAGCCTTGGCAATGAATAACGATAGCTACATGCCGTGATATTCTTATTCTCGACACATAAACAAAGGATCTCTTTCATGGTAGAGATAAAATGTCAGCATCGCCCGAGGTAAATTGTCACACCACCGACGCTAGATGCATGAGCTGGTGTGAGACATATGAGTGCATCCACCGCACAGCCAAGACGGCAGAACCAAGACGCATTAGAAAAAGCTCAATGTACACCGGAATACCGGCACCACCACATGAGCGGTAGTGGTGCGTTGGCTCTGCCCAGGGTATGGGTGGCTTGGGTTACAGGAGCATCCCGCGGGTTGCGTCACCTTGTTCGACGCAACAGCTCGCCTACTACTTAGCGATTTAGCGAGGTTAAAATAATGCTAATGAGAAAATTCCAAGTGCACACGTTAAATATGGTACGGTCTTATCGTCGAATTTATCATTATATTTCTAGCAAGAGTATCCCTACTTAGCAATGCATGCACCCTGATGCTGGGAAATTGTAGACCACCCCCGACCGTCAAATAGAACCCCATTTTTAGCGCACGTCCCAGCTGTGCAGCGCCTATCCTTGCCGCCAAAGAGGGGTCGGCTGCCAGCTGCATTTGTAGCCTAAGGCTTCCTCGCCCGCTCTCCTCCTAGTACAGAAGACATTTGATGCTCCTGCGGCCTGCTACTTCTCCTCTGCCTCGTCTTGCCGTCGCCATCCTTGTCCCCCCCCCGCCGCTGTCGTTGGCTTTGTGTCCGTTGTAGAGTCACTGAGAACCTCTAGTTACCCAAATAATCGTCATGAATTTCCGACACAACCGCGAACAGAGACCGGCGGCTGCTGCCAGCGACGAACGAACACCGCTACTGTTTCCTGGATTGTCGAGTGAATCGACCGTTGGCGAATCCGATCACCATGCCCAGTTTTGCCACCTAGTTGGTGTTCGACCTGTCAACAAGCCGCACGATGAGCCACACCATCCTCACCCGGAATCTCTATATGTCCGAGCTGTTAAGAGGAGGGCTGGTCAGAACCGCACATACATGTTTACCGCCACGCTTATCAACTCGATGTTGCTGGCACAGGTCGTCCTTGGAGCATCTCTGACCGGTTTGGCGGCCACAGACAGCAGCAGGATCCTCATCACTGTCTTTGGTGCCCTTAACACCGTTATTGCTGGCGTTGTGGCCTTCCTCAAGTCTAGGGGACAGCCAATGCGAGCTCGCATGTTCCGTGATGACTTGGAACGTGTCGTTGACGAGATTGAGAACTCGGCAGTAATGTGGTACGGCATCAGCCAAAGCGTTCACGGCTACGACGCCATCGATACCGATGCCCAGGTGACGGTTCGCGGAGAAGTGGCCCGCCTTACGCGTCTCTATGACAAGGCTGTCAAGACCAACACCATGAACGACCCCGACATGTACTCGGCTGGCGGTGTTGGAGACTCGTTCTCTGCCGGATTACGAAAGGGTGGCCCTGCTCCAGGAGGAGCGGCCCCTGGCATTACTGCTGTGGCACTCCCTCCCGCCGTCCCTGCACCTGCGCCTCCTCCTCCAGCTCCTGTCGACGACGCCGACGATAGCCCAGCCAGCAAGGTTGTTGAATCACCCAAAGAATCCAAAGACAAAGGCCCGGCTACCGCTCCTGCAGAAGAGAACAAAGCAGAGGCTGCCCCTTCGCCAGCACCAGCACCAGCACCAGCCCCGGCCCCGGCTCCGCCTCCCGTTGAACCTCCCGCCGCTCCGCCTGCTGCGACTCCTGCTCCTGCTCCTGCTCCCGCCGCTGCCTCTGGACCTGACCCTGATGAGAGCCCTGCCAGCGCTGCTGATCCTCCTCGCAAGCACAGCGGAAGCGGTAACAACTCTCCTCATTAATACCACATTATTGCATTTTATGCTGCACCTACGCAGCCATCAGTACATCACGTCACCATTGATAGCGTTTTTACATTATATACCATAGCACTGCGTTTTAGTCGGAACTCTATTTTAGCGGTACCTGAGCTAGCAGGACCACAAAGCATCTAGCATTAATTTAGCCGTCGTATTTTTTTCGCCTCCTGCCACATTAGTGCCAATACAGAATTTCTAAACCGGTGTATGAGCAAATAGCTACAGTATTACTCTTTGTACTACAGAGAGCACAGCAACCCCGTGTTGGCGACTCATGGCTTCAGCGCGGGCACCAGCCAATGAACAGCTCCGGCCATGCACGCGTGCACGCCGCACAGCGGTCCACAGTGATCGCTCAGAACCTTCGATCCAGCGAAACCTCAAGCACGACGTCGTGGGGCGCCATGACCCGAGGCGACCAATGAATCGGCCTGCATCGTAAAGTTACCAACTTGCAGCATAACATGGGGTGTAAGCTTCGCGACAGCATATTTCCAGGTGACTTGCCTCTTGGCCAGCAAGCTCAATTGCGCTTTTATGCGACCCGCCCAATCATGCTCTGGCGGCTCCCGCAAAATGCGGGCTACGCTAAAGCTGCAGTTGTCGCGGCATCCAGAAAAAGCGGCGCCTCTGGGGCAGTCATGCTTGGCATTTAGCGATCATCGACGAATTTCCCACCAATGGAGCACGCAGCGTCGCCGATGGGGTGGACTGACTAGCCATCCCACGAGGCCCAAATGCCGGGATTCACTGACTATGACTATCCATGTCAGTCATGGCCATGGAGTTGAGGACACTACTCGGTGGATGCTGCAAGCTATAAAGGTGCTTGTCCCAGTGCCCTGCTCAGCCATTACCTCGTGCTGTTGCTATTCCTATATCCCCATACTCCAAAAACACTATCTCACAAACAAACCCGTACTACACTCCCATCATGCAACTCAACTCCATCCTCCTTGCCCTCTCTGCCGCCACCGTCGCCATCGCCGGCTCTCCTGTCGGAGGCGGCAAGTGGGCGGAGGACTTCCCCGGCCACAACGACCAGCACTGCGCCGGCGGCAGCGTCAGCGGAAACACCTTCAAGATCCCCAAGGAGGCTGATGGCAGCCACAGCGGCTCTGGCTGCTCCAACGGCCACCTTCGCGCCGAGCGCCGCTTCGACGACTACAGCTCCGGCACCCACCAGTTTGGCGGCAGCTTCAAGATCAACTCCATGTCGGGCGACAAGATCTCCATCAAGCAGACCTTCCACGGCTCGGACGGCCCCTTCTTCATCATGGGTGTCCAGAAGAACGGCCGCCTCTACAGCGTTGAGGGCGGTGCCGAAATTGCCCCTGCTGGTACTGCCGATGTTGGCAAGTCCGTCCGTATCAACACCGTCCACAACACCTCCACCAAGAAGTTCAAGGTCTACGTCAACGGCAAGGAGGCCTACAGCGAGGATGCTCCTGGTGGCACTTTCTACGACAAGATTGGTGCTTACACCACCAACAGTGGCTCTGGTGCCATGAGCATCACCTGGAGCGACGTCCAGTTCTGGCACAGCACCAAGTAAAGAGACTGCCGTGACAGAATGCAAAAAAGGAAAAACGTACATACAAAGAGGCTGGTAGTTGCACAGAATATAGAGCTTCGTAGTATATAGACACAAGAAGTAAATATAACAACCGGCAATGAGACATGCTTTAGTTGTTCACGAGTGCACATCCATCATAGTTCAATCGTAATCGTTGAAATTCATTCGCTATCAATAAATAGGTATTACGTAGCCATCATAAATACAGTATCGCGTTAAATAGTCCAATCAAATATAAACATCCAATGTACGCCGGTTTTGCCCCGTTTAGTTGTTGCCCATGAGCGCCTTTAATAACGCTTGGACAAAGTCCGACACCGCAGCCACTAGTGGTGTGGCGTCACCAATCAACTCTGTCGTCTCCGAGACAAAGTTCTCGCTCAGTAGCGCCTCGGCGTTGTAGAGCAGAGTAACGATGCCCTTGACGTGCTCGGGGGTAATGAGAGGAGTAATCTCATCGACGATGCCCTGGATGTCAATCTTACCCAGAGCATCGAGAAGAGGCTTGGCAGCCTTGGCAAGACCAGAGAGATCAAGCTTGGCAACCTCGTCGAGGAGGGGCTTGGCCGCCTTGAGGAGACCAGCAATGTCAACCGTGCCGAGTGCCTCAACGAGGGGAACAGCGTCTCCAATGAGGGTTTGGGTCTGGTTGACAAACTTGGAAGTGAGAAGACCTTCAGCGTTGGCGAGGAGGCCAATGAGACCCTTGACGGTGGTTGGGGTAAGGAAAGGAGCAAGGGTATCAAAGATGCCCTTGAGGTCAATCTTGCCAATCTCGTTAAGGATAGGAACAAGCTGCTTAACAAGGCCATCCAAGTCAATCTCACTAAGAGCGTTGAGAAGAGGAGTAAGCTGGTGGAGGAGCTGAGGAATGTTGATGGTGCTGAGACCCTCGACGAGGGGAACAGCTCCACCGATAAGAGTGTGGGTTTGGTTGACGAACTGGCTGGTAAGCAGATCCTCTGCGTTACCCAAAAGGCCGACAATGCCCTTGATGCTATCGGGGTTGAGGAGAGGAGCAAGAGAGTTAAGGATACCCTCGAGATCGAGCTTGCCAAGAACCTTGAGAAGAGGGCCAAGCTGGTTGATGAGATCCTGAAGATCAAGCTTGCCAAGGGCAGACACAAGAGGACCAGCGTTAGCAATAAGGTCCTTGGTTTGCTTAACAAAGTCAGAGGTAAGAAGGTTCTCAGCGTTGACAAGGAGAGTAACAAGGCCGCCAACAGTCTCCTTGGTGAGGAGAGGAGCAATGGCATCAAACAGACCCTTGAGATCGAGCTTGCTAACCTCCTCGAGGATGGGGCCAACCTGGTCAAGAAGCTTCTTAAGATCAAGCTTGCCAAGGGTATCCAAGAGGGGACCAGCGGAAGTGAGCAGGGACTTGAGCTGGTCAACGGTCTGCTTGCTGAGAAGGTCTTCAGCATTGCCAAGCAGGGTAACGAGACCACCAATAGCGTCCTTGTTCAGCAGCGGCTTCAGAGCATCGATGATGCCCTCAAGGTCCAAGCTGGCAAGCTTGAAGAGCAGAGGCTTGACACCAACAAGGATAAGCTTGAGCTCGTCAACAATGTCCTTGGTGAGCAGAGACTCGGCATTCTGGAGCAGGGTGACGATGCCAGAGATGGAATCCTTGGTAAGCAGAGGAGAGAGAGCATCAAGAATACCCTGGATGTCAAGACTACCCAGCTTATCGAGAAGAGGCTTGGCAGCCTTGAGCAAGTTCTTGAGGTCGCCGACAGTGTCCTTGCTGAGGAGAGACTCTGCGTTCTGCAGAAGCTCAACAATGCCCTGGATAGATTCCTTGGTGAGAAGAGGACCAAGAGCGTCAAGAAGACCCTTGATATCAATCTCAGAGAGCTTATCAATAAGAGGCTTGGCTGCACCAAGAATAGTCTTGAGCTGGCTGACAGTATCCTTGCTGAGAAGATCCTCAGCATTTTGCAGAAGCGTAACAATTCCAGCAACAGACTCCTTGGTAAGCAAGGGACCGAGAGCATCAAGGAGACCCTTGATGTCAATGTCGGCAAGCTTGTCAATAAGAGGCTTGGCAGCGCCAAGAATAGTCTTGAGTTGGTTGACAGTGTCCTTGCTAAGAAGATCTTCGGCGTTCTGAAGAAGTGTAACGATGCCGCCAACAGACTCTTTGGTGAGCAGTGGGCCGAGAGCGTCGAGCAAGCCCTTAATGTCAATGTCGGCAAGCTTGTCAATGAGGGGCTTGGCGGCACCGAGAATAGTCTTAAGCTGGTCAACAGTGTCCTTGGTAAGGAGGGCTTCGGCATTCTGCAAAAGACCGACAATGCCCTGGATGCTCTCCTTTGTAAGGATAGGAGAAAGGGCATCAAGAAGACCCTTGATATCGATGGAAGAGAATTTCTCGATGAGAGGCGAAACCTCGCCAATGAGAGCCTGGGTCTCATTGACAAAGGTAGGAGTGAGCAGGGCAGCACCGTTGGTGAGCAAGTTCTCGAGGTTGTTGTAGTTCTGGTCACTGAGGAGACCGACAACCTTCTTGATTAGGCTGCCAAGGTCAAGACCCTTGAGCTGGTCAAGCAAGCCAGCAAGATCGAGGCCAGCAAGCTTGTCGATGAGAGGACCAGCCTTGGAGATGAGGTCTCTTGCCTGGTTAGGGAATGGCGGCTGGAGGGTGGCATCGAGATCAATGACAGCGTCATGAAGAGCCTTGAGGAATTCGGGGGTGAGGAAGCTTTCGAGGATCTTGACGATGCTGCCGATATCGCCCAATGCTTTGAGGAGATCACCTATGTCTGGGAGGCCGAGCAGATCTGAGACTGGGTTTCCGCTCGCAGCTTGGCCGCTAGCGGCGCTGTTGTTGGCGCGAGGGTAGACCTTGACTTTTTGTTGCTGGAGTTGCTGCTGGCGGAGCAAACTGCTAAGCTCCGTAAGGGCGTCTGTGAGATCCGAACGAGGAACAAGAGCGAGGTTATGTCTGGCAAGGATTTCATCAAGCTTCAGCTCTGAATCAGCAACAGCTGGGCCGGCGAGAAGTCGGGCTGGCGCGAGGGCCGCCATGAGAAAGGTACTGAAGCGCATGTTGTCGCGGTGGACCGTCTATTGGACGACGACAAGCAGGACTGCGAGGATGATACGGATTGCGAGAAAGCTATCACAGCACCGGATTGGAAGGGGAATACTCGTTATAACAGAGCAAATTGGATGGGTAACTAAGACGCTGGACGGTTTCGGAAATCGCAGCGACTTTGTTTTGTGGGCTCTATAAAGGGAAAAGGCCGTTAGAGGAGGAGCAGGCGTACCCAGGCTCAATTTAACTAGCAAAAGTCAAATTGATAAGAACTGGGATGCGGATGGGCAAGGGGAAGGAAGAGAGATGCTAGCAGAGAAGAAAAAAAAATAGAAAAGCGTAAAAGCGAAGAGGGCTAGGTATAAAGGCCCAGCGGAGATGAAGCGGCGAGACAAAGTCGAGAGGCAGCAGGGAAGGTGCTTTGCCAGTGCCAGGGTGGGGAAAGGGGGCGTGTCGGCAAGTGTAGTGTGTGGGGTGCGGTGAGCAATCGGAGCGGGGGCAGCTAGCGTCCAAGGTTCCAGCTCGTGTGGGTGGGCAAGCTAACGCTGTGGATGACGCTAAGAATGGTCAGCAGTCATGAAGAACGTCCCAGAACGCGAAGAACAAAAAGAAGACGATGAAAAAAAATATTAGTTGATTATTTTCATATTGGCATGGTTTGGATCTCATGATTCTCATAGTAAGATTGCTTGTTACATTTTTACCATAATTTTATCCTGGATGTTTGGTATCCTGGGGCGCAGCTAATGTCGCTCGCCCCTCCAATTTCACGGCAAAGCCATGCCATATTGCCCAGCCATAAGAACCAAATCTAGGGCAATGGCGTCGAAAATAAAAGAAAATGCAGATAAAAAATATATACAGCCGACTAGAAATATCACGAGCCTATGCGCATATGCAACCAGATGGCTGGGGCTTGCAACTGGGGCACCAGCGCCAGTGGTTCACCGCGTCTCTTCACATGAACTCGACGGCCACAAGATTGCGCATGAAGTCGCGGTTATGCCGAGGAGCATAGTCGCACATCAAGTGATGAAAAGGGTAATTGCGCGGCAGCGAGAACGCCATGCAGTAAAGCACAGGGCAAGCGCTGTAGGGACACCGAAAAAAGGCGTTCTAGGGACTTAGACCAGCCGCTTTAGTAGCATGTGTAGGGCTTGGGCTGTGTAAACTCAAGCCGCTTTCATTCAAGCTACATACAGCGTTTGCTGTGGCTTGTGAAATTTCCAAGGTAAGACGTTAGATATCATCGCGAACTCTTGGTGTTGAACTACAAAGCGTTGTAAACCGTGCTCTGAAAGTCAAAAGGCGAACAAAAAAAAGACGTTTAGGTTTTGCCAACTGCCCTTGCCCACGGTAGTTGCGGATTCCTTGCTTTCCCCGCAATCATCATCGTTGCCCCAGGTATTATTCTTCGCCAGGATAGCCAGTGACGATTAAATGATATCTTGACTGTCATTCTCTCCACTTCCCCACGGGCGCGTGGGTTTGCGTGCTCAGCCGAACTACGGGGGGCCACCCTTGAACGAAACTAGGCCCTCTCTCACAGCTCGTACGATTAATGAATTTTACTTTTAAAAACAAATAGAAAAAGTACTGGTATTCCCCGCCGATGCCGGGTTGGGGCAGCCCAAGCCATGTGTTGAGGGGAACATGGAGCCTCGTGGAGGGAACGATGTCATCCATCTAACAGTACCACGGTGAAGAAGCAGGCTGTATGAGTGAGCGTCACGGTGGCCGATCTCTGTTGTTGAGTAAATCTTACCTGTTTACCCCTCATGCTTCCCCAGCTTTGTACAACGGGATGCCGAGGCTACTCGAGTCAGAGTAGCTTGTGGGCGGCATGTCCCTGCCAATTGGGGAAGGGCTCTTCCGTGGCTGGGTGTGCCACAGCGACACATTCAGCGGGGCTACAGCGCCTCTGGTGCGGAATTGCTCCACTAACAATGCTGCCATCTCAGCTGAGCTAGCTGGACTAGAGGCTCTTTTTACGCCTGGCTTGGCTACCGTCTCGGTTGTTTTGTTGTTTTCTTTTTCTTCTTCTTCGTTGCGCCTCTAGCTCGCTTCTTCGAAACAGGGACTACATGTTCCAGGCTTGACAGCGCCAACAGCCACCCTGAACTAGCCCTGTCTCTTAGCGTCTTTCTGTAATTATTCTCGGCGTTCCCAGCATAGTGAATGACAGGCTATAGCGGAATAGATCCTTTCTGTCTTGTCCAGGCCCACAGGCGCACGCTGCAAGATGTGGCCCCCCCTGGGCATTGGGTCATCGCCGTCTGGATCATCAACCTTGCCACTGGCGGGGAGGGAGGGGGGCAATTAATTCTCGCATGCTCCCGTTATCGCCCGTCTACCTTTCCCAGCTCATGATTCTTACCGTGCCCAGAACTCCAGTAGTTTTTCGCGGGGTACCGAGCAAAATGCGGGCTGGTGGCGTTTACCTTTTCCAGACCATCGCATGGCATTTCCAAGCAACGGGAGCAGACAACAAAGAAAGTTAAACTTACGGTTTCGGTTGCATTTGCGAAATCTTCATAGACGACCATCAACTTAGACGGCTGTCGCTGCTGCTGGCCATCTCCAACTAGGAGAAAAAAAAAGCCTCCTGCTGCAGCCCTCCTCCACTGGCCCGTGTTTTAGTGTGCAGCATGCGCCATCGCCTATTTTTTTGGGCCTTTACAGCACTGCTAGGACAAATGAGGAACAGTATACATGCAGGTGCGGCGGGGGGCTTGCAGCCAGCCTCGTTCAAGTTATTTTGCTTGTTTGCTGCCCAGGCAGGCCCTTGGCGCCACTGCTGCCGTTCACTGTGTTTGGGTGACATTTTGGGTGGCAGCGCTGGCTGCTTTCGTCCACTTAGTTTCTTTTTGGTGGAGGCGTCGCATCCACCACACGGCTATTAGCCTGTTTGCCGGGACATGGTCTCACGTACATAGTCTCACTGTATTTTTACGAGCCAACCCAGACTACTGAATTTTTAGATTGTTTTTTAGGTCCTTCTCCTCACACGGCCTCGCCTTGGCCGTGCAGACGCCATTGGCGCACAAGTGCGGAGAGCCGAGGATCTGTTGATGGCCAACTGAGGGGAAGCCAGAATAGCGGTTGCCGCATCCTATTCAGTATTCAGAATTTTTTTTCACTGTGGTTCGATCATCTCCCCCATAGTATTCCGGTGGCCGGTTTGCTTTCCTTTCCCACAATTGGCCCCGCTGCGAGTCCAATCCGTTCCCTGGACCCTGCAAGCGTATAGTACGATAACGTTATGGCCGCTATTGTTGCCCAGTGCTCGCCCGCGCTGGGTTACCTTTCGCCCGCCGGTGCATGATGATGCAAATCACATCGGCATCTTGCCTTGCCTTGTTGTGCAACTAGTGCCTATTTCCTGCTGCCACCACGGCCCAGATTCTCAAAGTAGCAAATGCTCAGCGCCTTGCCTTGCGCCGCCTTACTTGTGATCCCGACGCAGCCCACGCCCTGCAAGCGGTGATGCTAGGACGACGCCCCCCCTCTTCTCTCCCCACCCCACTGCGAGAGCGCCACCGCACATCTCGATCCCATTTTACCTCGCTTCACACGCTGCTCTCCGCATTAACCCAGCGCTGGTCCCAATTTCTTCCTCGTGCTGCTGCGTCGCTTCTTCATCTTGGGCTCTATTTCTCCTTCCTGTTCATCCCGACATTGCCCACAACTTCTGGCTTCAATTGAACTGCTTGACCCGGTAACCAGGCTAGCTTTTCTTGTTTTTCCTCTCGTCTGCACTGGCGTTTAGTTACAGCTTGAGAGCCCAGAGCCCAGCGCCCAGCGTCGTCCTTGTCTGCGACTCTCTTCTTGCGTTTCTCACAATTAGCACGTCGCCCTATCGCCAATAAGCCATCTCTCCTCCTCCTCATTGCCTTCAAACAGTCACCATGGCAAACACCCAGACCTCTGCGACCGCTCATGGCGCGCAGGGCGATGCAAACCCCTTCCAGGATCCTCCTCGATCTGGTGTTGAGAGCGACAGCGACGCAACTAGCGTTTCGTCAGGTCCTAATGAGAATATCGCGTCGCAGTCCGAGAAGCCGCGACCGATGAAGGATCGCCTTTTCCATCATTGTACCCGATTTTGGCTATGGTACCTTGTCGGCGCTGTTATTCTTGCTGCCATCCTCCTCCCTATCCTGTAAGTTGCCTGCGCACGCCCATTTTATCAGCCGTATGCTCATCTCTCCTAGCTTCAAGGTTATCATTCCCGCCATCGTGCAGTCTTTGGTTAGCAAGCAGTCGCTGCCAATCGACAGCGGCTCACTTATTGTACTGGATCCTCGTACCATCAAAATCTCCTTGACCACAGAGCTGGACACCCCTCTGCCGGTTGATATTGACACCACTGTGCTGCACCTCTACAACAAAAACACAACAACCTACAGCCCGTATCTTAACATTACGCTGGATGGCATGCACGTCAACCACCGTACAACTGTTTCCATCGTCAACCAGACCGTCCCCATTGCCAATGTTTCGGAGGCGTCTGTCTGGCTCGATCAAGTCTTTGACAGAGAAGTAGCAGATGTTTCCATCAAGTCTGACTTGACTGTCCGCCTTGGTGCCTTGACTTCGTACCCTTCTTTAGACAAGACGGTGACCATTCCTGGCTTGCGCAAGCTCTCTGGCCTTGGTATCAAGGATCTCAAACTCAGCATGACAGCTGACAAGGACGGTAATAATGTCCAGGGTGCACTCAACGTGCCCAACTGGGGTGTCCTTAAGCTTTTCCTGGGCGATATCACATTTGATTTGGCCACTGCCGGCATCACTATCGGCCAGGTTACGCTCAAAGACACCATGTTGAATCCTGGCAACAACACATGTCCTTTCTCAGGCACCCTGAGCATCCCGAATGTCATTTCTAACATCGGCAAAATCCTGCCAGCCCAAGCCGAACCTCTCAAGGATGGTAAAATCAGGCTGCAGGCGAAGGGCAATAAGACGGTCATTAATGGCGAGCGCGTTCCCATTGTGGAGAGCGTGCTCAACACCCGAACTCTGGAATTTGATACCCCCGTCATCAGCCTTCTTACTGATGTTCTCGGCTCCTTTATTGGCTCGGGCAACGGCAAAGATGTGCTCTCCAACCTGCTTGGTGGCACAATCGGCAACTCTACGTTGGTTGCGGAAGCTCTGGGCCACTGGAACAAGACCTCCAATGGTAACTCGACAACTCCCAAGGCACCCAAGAGCAAACGCAACCAAGAGAACATTATGTGGAACATAATGCGCATGGCCATCAACATGAAGATGAACCACCCAGAGCTCTAAACGGCTACCTGGAAGGTCAGGCGGCGGAGGTAGTGGTGCAAGAAACTTTTTCCCGGAGAGAATTTATTTTTAAAGTTGGTGTTTGGATGTATTTATGACGAGCCATGATGGGATTTACTGTTTATATTCCATGTTATTTAATGATGATGCTATGATACTCTACAACCGATTTTGTACATTGTTCCTCGTGATTCTTTTGACGTTCATGATGAGCGACGCTAGCTTCTAGTTCTTTTGCATGCAAGCAATCTTAAACAAAACTGATCGGTGTGCATCTCAAATTCATGCAACGTACAGCTAATGAGCCTTATGCATCTAGCATAAAGGAGTCAATGCAGAGCAATCTGCAGTGCGGTCCTTTAATCCCCTTAGGGGGAGGGGGAGTGAGGATCTGTTTCAGAGTGCCACGTTATTATTGTTAGGGGACTTTGCATTCCAGTCCATTGCGTCACCATATTTTTGCAACTATAATTAGCATTTGAAGCCGCAGAGGGAGCATCTCGTATGTAACCTTTGATCATGTTTCCAGCTTTCGTCTGATTGGTCTTGTCGCTCTTGTTCCTTTTCCCAACATCAGTCAGATACGATGTGGCCCCTGGCTGGAAGTGCAAGCCTCTGCGCATGGCGATCTCGTCGTCACCAATAAATTGCACACACACAGACACAACAACACACAAAACTCTCCGGACGGGAGCTTCCCTAATTTGTCCGCGTGTCGGTGACAAAAAGGCAAAACCTGGCGATGGGCCGCGCGCTCGCTTGGATACTGCAAATTCGTGCCTGATTTCTGAACATGGAAATCCCCCAGCCCTAGCGACTCAGGCAATGTAACCTGGTCGGCACTTGGTCCTTCAGGGTGTTGGCGAGCGGGCCAATAGCGGTGTCGCAGGCGTGCATGGTGCGCTATATCGAGCAATTCTTCTCCACACTGGATAAGCTTGGCCATGCGGAGCTAATAGGCCCTGCAGAAAAGAAGCTTATGCTGCGAGGGCCATTTTTCCTCCAATCTGATGCCAGCATCGCAGCGTATCGCGTGGAGAGGTCTATGATTCATGGAAACAAGGACTGCTTCTTGTAGGTATCCCCTTGGAGACGGGGTCATGTATGGATGGGTCTGGACGATGGTTGGGATCGTCTGCCCACGTTGACTCGTAAAATGGGCAAGTATAAGAAGCGGTGCCTGCGTCCGAGAAGAAGAAGAGGGGTTCTAACATCTTTATACTTCATTTTGCAAACAAACCTTTCCAAGTTCTATATCCAACTTTCATCATGCAGGGCTCTCTTCTTCTCGCTCTCGGTGCCTTGAGCACCATGGCTACCGCCTACGACCTCCCCGACAACCTTAAGAAGATCTACAACGACCACAAGGTAAGCACAAACAACCTCAAGCCAGTGTCTCGCAGCCCCATTGTGCTAATGCGCTATGCTTGTCTAGTCTGGTACCTGCAGCAACAAGCTCTCGGGCACCTTCACCGGCGGCGCTGCGTACTGCGGTGACATCAGCAACGTCATCTACCTCAAGGGCGGCAAGGGCAACTACGACAACATGGATGTGGACTGCGACGGCGCCAACAACAGCGGCGGTGACTGTGCCAACGATCCCAGCGGCCAGGGCGAGACTGCCTTCAAGGACACCGTCAAGGGCTACGGCATTGGCGACCTCGACGCCAACATCCACACCTACATTGTCTTTGGTAACGAGGGCGGCAAGACCACCTTCAAGCCCCAGGACCACGGCATCAAGCCCCTCTCCCTCATGGCTGTTGTTTGCGGCGGCAAGCTCGTATGTTCCTCTCCACCCACATATTGCCAATCGATCGTGAAACGCTAACCTGAAATGCTTTGCGCTTTGTAGCACTACGGTATCTGGGGTGACACCAACGGCGGCACTTCCACCGGCGAGGCTTCCATTGCCATGGCCAAACTTTGCTTCCCCAAGGACGGTCTCAACGGCAACAAGGGCCACGATGAGAAGGACGTCATGTACATTGCCTTTTCTGGCAAAGATGCTGTCCCCGGCAAGGATGGCGCCAAGTGGAAGGCCAAGAACCAGAAGGAGTTCTCCGACTCGCTCAAGACTCTTGGTGACAAGCTTGTCAAGGGCCTGTAAGCGATTGGCGGTAAATAATGTAAATAAATGTACATAGTAATGACGGGATGTTGAATTCCAGATAAAGTTTTTGTCAAACTGGAGCGAGCATTGTACGTAAGCTCTTTTGTTTGCTTGTGCGGGGCCTTCCCCGGATTTTCGCCTAGAACTGGGCGTGGTTTGAGACAGGCTCCCATCTCCATCCTCTACCCATCGAGAGGTGCTTGGCGTTGTAAATTATTTTCGTTTTAGCACAAGGAGGATGAATTGGTGTTAATGGGGCGCTTAGCATGGTTGGTGGGACGATAGAAGGATGCTTCTGGTGGTCGTCCGATGCGTAGCTGTGAGGTGAGAGAGAGACAGAAGACAGGCGCCGGCTGACCCCGCCCACAGGACATGCACTGGCAGTAAGCGTGGCATGCAGTGCAGACATTCGCTATCGGCACCAGATTTGGCGAGCGGTCAGCACAGCACGCGAACTGGCAGATTTGCAGCAAGATTAGCTCCCCCGCCGAACAGTGCCGAATGAATAGCGTGTTACGCAGGCTTAAAAAAGACAAAAGACGCACCTCGCGCGTATTTTCACGTCATATACGAAATACGGCTTCAGCTGCTCGCCCTCCGACGCTTCCCCTTTGTCGTGCCGAAGCCTTGAAGCGAATTTCGGTGCAACTTTTAGTGGCAAACCACCATTTTGAGCCGAGCCATGGCTGTCGTGCCGCTGCCCATCGCCGCGGTTCCTACCGACGCTGCGGAATACGCGGCCATCGAAAAGTCGTTGCTTCGCAAAATAGACTGGAGTTTGATGCCCGTCTTCATCTCCATGTTTGTGCTCAAGTACGTTTAAATTACATACATATAAGCCCCTGTTGTCCCATCCCCCGTCTCACGAAAAGGGTCGCTTCTCGCAGTCTGCACAATGGCCCGTCGGCTTTATATCTAATAAACGCGAGCCGCGAACGCCTTCTAGCGGTGGCGCCGGTGCAGATGAGAAGAAATAAAAAAGAACCAAAGAAGAAGGAGGGGAATAGCGCCGGGCTTGTGCTAAATTAACGCCTCCTCGGTGATTTCAGGCGCAGATGGCGTGGTTTCTATGACTGATTGGTTCGAATTGCGGCTGACACGTCTTTGTGCTTGCTAGTTACCTCGACCGAAATGCTCTGCCGAATGCGCGAGTCCAGGGCATTGAGAAGGACCTCGGACTTGAGGGAAACCAGTTCAACATATGCATATCGGTACTCTTTGCAGGTTATCTTGCGCTGCAGATTCCGTCCAACCTCTTGCTGACCCGAGTACGCCCTAGTCGTTACCTGCCGGCATGCATGGCCCTCTGGGGCATCGTATCTGGATGCACGGCACTCGCTACGGGGTTCCAGAGCCTTGTCGTCTGTCGATTCTTTCTTGGCTTTCTCGAAGCTCCCTTCTTTCCGGGGGCCATGTTCCTGCTGACCAGCTGGTACACGCCCCGCGAGCTGGCGACTCGGACGGGTATAATGTACGCCGGGTCATTGCTATCTAATGCATTTGGGGGGCTCGTCGGAGCCGGCATCCAATATGGCTTAGCGGACGTAAGAGGCCTGCACTCGTGGCAGTGGCTTTTCATCATCGAGGGCAGCGCCACGGTTGCTGTGTCGGTGGCGTCCTTGTTCATCCTTCCGGATTTTCCGTCGACCACGACTTGGCTGAGCGATCAGGAACGTGCGGTTGCCGTCCACCGCATCTCGATGACCAGCGGTACAGCCGATGAAGAGCGTGGTTCGCTGCTCCTTGGCTTCAAGCTAGCGCTGTTCGACTACAAGGTGTGGCTGCTGGCTGCCATTACCATTCTTAGAAACTCGGCGGAAGCGCTGTCTGCCTTTGTTCCCACGCTTGTGGCGACATTTCACTTTAGCAAAGTAAACACGCTGCTGATGACGTCGCCACCATATGTGTTTGCAGCCATTGTGTCTGTGGCTCTGTCCATCTCGAGTGATAAGCTGGGAGACCGGTACTTCCACACAGTGGCGCCTCTGTCGGTATCACTAATTGGTTTCATAGTGGCCGCCACCACCACCACGTTGGCGCCACGCTATCTATCATTGTTCCTCATCTTAGGCGGCACCTATGGTTGCTTCGACGTCACTTATGCGTGGCTGTCCTCGACGGTACGTTGTAGTAGGTGGTGCAGTGCCGGACCGTTGCCGGACGAGCAGGCGCGCCCTCTGTCTTTTCCGTGTAGCTCGGCTGGCAAAATTCTGAAACGCTAACAATGACTAAAAAGATCCCTCGACCCATGGAGAAGAGGTCAGTGGCGTTTGCGCTGGTCAACACCATCTCCAACGTTGCACAGGTGTATTCGCCCTATCTCTATGACAAGAAGGACAGCCCACGCTACCTAACGGCCATGATCGCGGACGCCTGCTTTGTGGTCGGCGCGATCTCGATGGCAACAGTGCTGTACTTTGCGCTGAGGTGGGAAAACCGCAAGCTGGATGCGGCTGAAGCACGCTGCCAAGGCCACGAGGAAGTGAACGCCAACGATGAGGATGGGCCGCTAGATGGGGCGAGGATCGCGGGAACCGCGCCGCTTGACCCGTCCTTTAGATACATGCTGTAGCAAAGTAGTAAAGGAAACTCCGAAGCTAACAAATAGGCCTATATTAAAAGCATACAGGACGAAAAGTGTGTCCGCATGGCCGGAATTTTGTGTGTGTCTGTTAGGTCGGGGATTGATTGAGACCGTGCTTACGCCGGCTGGCTCCGACAGAAAGCCAAGTGCGGAAGTTCCGAATCGGGATGGAGGCTGCGCAAGAGCACCGAAAGCCTCAGCTTCGTTTCATGGGTTCAGCTCGGTGGTCGATGGGGAGGCGCGGAGGATCTCAAAGGCACGCTTTCAGTGGGTTTACTCCGGGCACCAGCGAAGATCCCGAAGGCGGGTGCGATGCCTATTGGTCTCAGCCTCTCCCGTACGGCACGCTTCATCCGTTCGCTTTTTGTCGTAAAGGGAGTTTTTTCCTCGCAGCGACGGCATTGCAGCTAATCGTCCCAAAGCCTGCTACTGTGCCGCCTTTCCAATCTCGTTCCATGGGCTGCCATTCGGAAAAGGCGTTCACGGACCGGGGCTGCTGCGGATGCACCTCGCAAAACGCCAACAAAACCCTTCCCCCCCAAATGGCTGTGCGGCCCATCTCACCCATCAAGTCGGGGGGGCGACACTATTGCCATTGAGGCTTTCAGCGCAAGCCCCCAAGAAGCCGGATGACGTACTGAATGTCCCTAGTGCGTGCTGCTGGCTCCCATTGGCCCACCAGAGCGAGTATAGCACAAAATAAGGACAAAGGTTGACACCCTGCAAAAAAGAAGGCCGGAGCCCACTCGTAAAAGCGATGGCATGGAGCCGGGCTGTTCAGCTGCGCACGCTGGCTTACTATCCCACGCGCCGAGCATCCTTGCGCCGAACTGGTCTTTTGGCAAACATATAATTTGGGAGCCAGCCACCATCGCTTTGCATATCTAGATGTTTCGAAAGAGAAGTCTTTTTGTGTTTGTTCCCTGACTCGCTGCCCAGCCCTTGCCTCTTAGAAAGAACCAACTCCCCTCTCTACCCATCACAATAGAATCATGTCAGTATCAAACCGCGCCAGAAGAAAGTGGACGCCCGAGGAGGATGCTTTGCTCAAAGAAGCAGTCCAATTTGGTAAGTCGCAAACCACCCGCCCTGGCAAAGACAGTAGCAGCCGCCGCCGCCGCCACCACCACCGCCATCATCACCGTCATTTTGACGCTCTTTTTTATTCTGTCTTGTGCTCACACATTGGCAGCGCTTGATGAATCACGCCCTCTTCTCTGGAGAGATTTAGCCAAGGCTGTGCCCGGGCGTTCTAACAAGGACTGTCGCCGTAGATGGTGGAACAGCCTAGCCGAGGGCACAGCAAAGGGCCTCTGGTCTGAGGAAGAAGACGATCTCCTCATGCGAGCAGTGCAGCAGCACGGCCCGAATTGGAGGCATGTCGCGCAGGATGTCGGCACGAGAACGCCAGACCAGTGCTCAAGCCACTGGACACAAGTTTTGGACCCCGACATTAACCACTGTGACTGGACTGCCAAGGAGGTACGTTTCTTGCTAGGTTGCGTGGCTTTTTTTCCTTCTCTTTGTCTCTTTCTCTCTGTAAGCCATTGTGGCCATCTCTTACTAACACCGGCCCGCCCACTAGGACGAAGACCTTTTGCATGAGGTGCTAACGCACGCCACCAACTGGAAGACCATTTCTACCATTCATGTGCCTAAGCGCACAACGCTGTCGCTCAAGAACCGTTACTCTACGCTGCGGCTGAAGTTCCAGAAAAAAGCTGGGCAAGAAAAGAGCAAGTCCAAGAGCGAGAGCCGCAAGGCCCGCTCCTCGTCGTCGTCATCCTCCTCCCACCAGCACAGAGGCTCCACGCCCGAGCCGAATGGTGTTGGCCACTGCCCCAGCGCTATCTTACAGCCGCACCACAGCCGCAGCAGCGGGAACAACAACCCTACCAGCAGCCCGTACGCCGTCAGTGTTACTGGGCGAGATGTCTGCTACAGCACCTTGCCCTACAGTGTCGGGGCCATGGCCAGCAGCACGCCATCGGTGTCAACTGCGCGAGGCAGTGCATCGGGATCCGACATCTCGGAGGTTCTCACACCACTCACCATGCACGGCTCTCCAATGGTGTCGGATACGTGGCCAGACGTGATGATGGCCGACTCCAAAGCCTGCTTCGACGTCCACGACCCGACCGTCTTCTCGGCCTCCTTCCTAAACAGCGAGTATGCTATGTCGCCGATGCTTGACCAGCAGGACCTGTTGAGCCGAAGCAGCGACTTTGATTTCTTGACAGGCTTTGCGCCGCAGCCTTATGCAGACGTGAGCATGAATGTGGACGGTGTGTGGCCGTGAGAAGCAGCCCGGCCGAAGCCTAAAAAAATTGTTATTGAGTGATTTTTTTGGTTAGGTAGTTTCCTTTTCTCCCTTTCTTTTATATTATGACTGGCGTTTGAGGTGTCTTGCCATAGACAAGCTTAGTGGAGAGCGTTTGCCTTTTCTTCTTTCTTTCTTTACGTCGCGGAATACAATTACAGGACACAACGGACACATATAGGGGGGCAAAATTGTCTTTTTTTTCTTCTATTCTTTCTCATTTATGAGCTCTCTTTTTCCTTTTTCTTCAGACCGGAACATTTTCTAGTTTATGTTGTCTATAGTCTTTCTCTCTACTTGCAAGAGCGGTATAAAAAAGAATGGCCGAGTATGATTATACCACATGATGAATCTGAGCACGATTACTATTTTTCCTGCATTGCTGCCCATGTCTGGCTTATCTACCTCGGACTCTAAAGAGGCAATGCGTATACAGACAAACTCCGAACAGCGACATGCATTGTGCAGCACCATCCATCAGCACCCTGGTCTATATCGGAGCCTTAGCTGCCCTGCCCACAGCGGACCGACGCCGAGGCAAACGCTCCCCGGCTTGGCTGCAGCAACAGTGCAACATAACCACCGACAGCCGCCGTGGACGTGCTGTAGATTTAAAAGACTGGGCCATGCACCCACTGTAACAGTAACTACAGTAATTTTTGACAGCGCTGGCGGGGACCTGCTACAGCGGGTGGGCCCACGCGCCGAGAAGCGCTAAATCGGGTGTGGTGGGATGGCAGCAGAGATCTAAAACCTCCCCCCCCCCTTGCAAGGCTGGGCGGCGATATGAAGCAGACCAAGATGGGCATTTTGTTAGAATTGGATTTGTTTGCTGAGCTAGAAACGCGCAGATTGGTATTCTATAATAACATTTTTACAGCGCATTTGTTGCTTAGTGGCACCGCTGTCCAGAAGCTATCTCATATCAGCATGGACCCCTTGCGCGCAGGGCCGCTTTGAGAGTCCGAAGCCTAGACCACGGGCACTGCCTCTCTCTCCCAAGGCGCGCCGCTTGCCTTTTTTTTTTTAAGCTTCTTCATCTTCAAACTTTGACACCTCCCCCTTCCCATAATGCACAATCCGACGCGGCGATACAAATAATCAATAATAGACATCTATGCAACACGAGCGCTAGAATCTACCATCAGCAACCGCGAGAAGTAGTCGCCATGGAGCGCGAGGTCGACATGCCGGATCCCCCTCAACGAAGCTGGACAGCCCGGGTCCGCAAGCATCTCCCTCCTCTGACCTTTATCAGCATTCACTATGCCTACTTCATTGTCTTTGCCATGATCGGCTCCGTCATCTTTTGGAAATCCTCCAGCGACGAACGACCAGTGTCCTATGTAGACAGCCTCTTTCTCATCGTCTCCGCCATGACGCTCGCCGGCCTCAACACAGTCAACCTCAGTGAGCTGACGACGTGGCAACAGTTTCTGCTCTTCTTTTACATCATGCTCGGTAGTACCATTTGGGTCTCAATCTGGACGGTCCTTGCCCGCAAACAAGTCTTTAGCCGCCGCTTCGACGACATTGCTCGAGCGCAGCGCGCCAAAATGTCGGCCAGCGTCCTCTCTTTCCGGCGGACACTCTCGTTCCGAAAGGCTGTCACTGAGCCGATACAGCATACCTCTTCGGTGCTTCCTGGCCCCGTTATCAAGAAACACGCCTCTGATTTCCCCGATGTCGACGAAAATACGCTCGCGAACGCTCGTCGGCGCCGCGACTCGGTGCCCGAACCAAACCACACGGCCAACCACGAGCCCAAACCGACATCGCAGGACAAGACAGACGAAAAAGAAAATCACATTGCGTTTCAGGATACGCCTCATCCTCGCCAGCAGCAAGAAAAGGCGGCTGCGGGTGAAGCCGGTGACGAGAACAACAGCGATGCCTACAGCGAGGACGATCGCGGTCAGACTATGCGATACTTTCTCAAGCATCGCGCCTCTGGGCGCCACGGCGAATTTCACAGCTTGACTAGTGAGGAGCGAACACAGCTTGGCGGCTGCGAATACAGCGCTCTCCGTATACTCGCCGTCGTGGTCCCTCTCTATTTCGCCATGTGGCAGATCCTTGGTTGTGTTGCCCTCGGCGCCTGGATCAACAATAATATGCCCGACACAGCCCGCCAGAATGGAATCAATCCTTGGTGGCTAGGTATTTTCAACGGTGTATCTGCCTTTAACAACTCAGGCATGTCCTTGCTTGACGCCAACATGGTTCCCTTTCAAGGCGCCTACTTTGTCCTCATCACCATGGGTCTGATGATCTTGGCAGGCAATACAGCATATCCCATCTTTCTCCGATTCATCTTTTGGTCATTTCTACGCATTCTCCGATTAACAACCCGCCCAGAGGCCCTTAGCCACTTCAAGCTCACTCTCCAATTCATCCTCAAGTATCCTCGTCGAGTATACACCAACCTGTTTCCTTCCCGCGCTACCTGGTGGCTTCTCTTTATGCTGATTGGTCTCAATTGCGTTGATTGGGTGGCTTTTGAGATCTTCAATATTGGCAACCCCGTCATCGAGTCAATTCCCACCGGCCCGCGCGTTCTAGATGGTCTTTTCCAAGCCTTGGGTAAGTTCTTGCGTGTGCTTGCAAACCATCAATTACTAAAGCTAATCCTACACAGCTGTCCGCTCTGGTGGCTTTTATGTTGTCCCCATTGCTCAGATTTCCATCGCCATTCAATTTCTTTATGTTGTCATGATGTACATATCCGTATACCCCGTCGTCATTACTATGCGACACTCCAACGTTTACGAAGAGCGCTCTCTTGGCATATACCAAGACGACATCGACTCTGAATCGGAGAGCAATACTCCCTTGCTCGTCACAGGCAGCAGCGAAAATGTCAATGCAGCCACCGCCCGTGCTCGTACAGCAGCCACTACGAATACTGCAGCACAAGCACCGCCGCTACATCTAGCGCAACAGCTTCGAGGGCGACCAACTCTAATGCGTCAGCTCAGCCAGTCTATTCCAGCAACAGAGATTGGTAGAGCCCTGCAGCGGTCATTCACACCGTGGCATGGCGTCGGCGTACCTCCTGTTTCTCGCAACGGCCCTATTCAAAATACCCCTCTCCAAACCAACATGAGCTTCGTTCGCCAGCAAGTCCACGGCCAGCTTGCACATGATATCTGGTGGCTGGTCTTGGCCGTCTTTATCATCACTGCGATTGAGAGCTCCCACTTTAACTCAGACCCCGTGGCCTTCTCCGTCTTCAACATCATCTTTGAGGTCGTGTCAGCTTATGGAACTGTCGGTATCTCTGTTGGTGTCCCCACTGCAGCATACAGCTTCTGTGGTGCTTGGCATACTGCGAGCAAACTCGTCCTCTGCCTTGTCATGATTAGAGGTCGACACCGTGGCTTGCCCGTGGCTCTGGATCATGCCGTACGACTGCCAGGCGAGCACCTTCACAAGGAAGAAGAAGAGGACAATCGTATACGGCGAAGCCTAAGCATCAACCGTAGAAGAGAGAGTATGGACGTATAGACTGCTTGGCTGTTTTTCATTTTGTATTCTATATTTTCTGGGCTTATAGAAATGCCCACGTAGACAGTTTAATTTTGTGATTTTACCAGAGGCGCGTTTAACCCCGAGGTATTCCGCCCATCCTGACCCTCAAATGCGCTCATTTGAATGTACCGTCCTTCACCTGTCTCCGTAGTAGTCCTGCGGGATTTGATCAGATGCCAAATGTACGGTTCCCGAACTACAAGCTCTCCTGTTGGCTCGCCGTCACGAAGACTCACGTTTCCCAAGAACAATGTACAACAAAATGACTAATCACGTTAACCCTCTGGCTATTAAAAAGAAAGTACAGTTGGACTTACTGTTACTAGGATAGGCATGATGGATACATATGCCCAGACAATACCCATCTAATTTCATATGTTAGTAGCTGTTTCTGCAGCTCGCGCGAGCCAACAGAGGACCTACCTTGATCAGATGCAAGTGTGCCTCTCTTTCGTCTGCAGGCATACGCTGGATAGCCTCGAAATCAATCTTGTCCAAATTCAGCCCGCCAGATACATTGTTGAATACAGTGGACATGATTGTCAGCCCAACAGTCCCGCCGAGGGGCAGTGTGACAGCGATAATGGCAATAATGGAAGCTCGATGTTCGGGGAAAAGACCAATACCGTGTAACGGCGCACCCATGAAGCGAATCCCAATGCCAATGCCCACAAAGGCCATCATGCCGAGAATTGTAGGTACATTGCCCAGGTACAGGGCGTATGTGAAGAAGCCAACAGCAATAGCTTCCACAAAGGAGCCGAGAGCGAGGGGTGGCCAAGACATTTTGGGCCATCGATTGCATAGAACGGAACAGATAATCACACCACCTTGTCCACTATTAGAATCTTTTTTTTGCATATAGTTCAAAGCGTCGATACTTACCTGCCAGACCTGCAGTAAAGAGGGCGAGCTTCTTGCCCGCTTCATCTGGTTTGTACGCCTGTAGTTAGATTAGCATATAACTCCCCAATCAACAGGTAGTCCCATACCTTAACTAGTGTTAGATAGGCACTGCAAAAATAGAGAACAGAAAACACGCTTATGCCGGTCGAGCACTCGGTGAAGAATAGCAAACCTATGTTCCGAGTAGAGAGAATTTTCCAAGGAATCATGGCTCGCTGACGGGGAAGAATGCGAGTCAAATAGCCTTCAGGCGACAATGCTCTCTCCCAAGCGCCGAATCCAATAATGAGAAGGATGCCACTTATAACGGGGATAAGAACAGCAGCAGAGAGCCACGGGTATGTTGCTCCGGCCCACGTCAAGCCCAATGTAAGCAGCCCAAAGCCAGCAATAAAGAGTGCCTGGCCACCAAAGTCGATCGTTTTGATGCGCGCAAACAGTTTTGTTCGTCGGCCAGTGTCTACCGTTTCATCGAGCTCCGGGATCGGCTGCGGCCCTAACAGATGCTTGCGAAGCATCAAGAAGATGACCACTAGAGCAACAGCTCCTACCGGTAGGTTGATCCCAAAGCACCATCTCCAGCTCGACTTGGTCAAGTATCCTAAAAATGAAAACGATTAGCTTGATTCTTCACACCAAGAGTTTGAGGGGCTAACCGCCAATAATGGGCCCAAAGCCATAGCCCTGGCCGCCAATAAAGGCAAAAATGGCCCAATTCTTAGCACTCTCTTGAAGAGACTGGCCATCAGCTAAAATTGTTCGTGTGACAACGCTGAGTCCGGACGCCGCGACGCCCTGCAAGGCCCTGCCGAGCAGCAGCATGGGAAATGCGGTCGTCGGAGCTGCGGTACAGAGCGCACTGCCCACAATCATGATGACGGTGGCGCTGGAAATGGCGGCATGGCGGCCAAATACGTCTGCAATTTGCGCCCAGAAGGGGATGAAGGCGGCAGAGGTGAGGTTGAAAGAGGAGACGATCCAGTTTTGTTCGGAGAGGCGATCAAAGTCTCTGGCGATCCAGGGCAGGGAGCTTGCGATGCTATAGGTGAGTTAGCTGATATGTAATCTTGACGTGGGCTGTTTTTTTGAAGGTTGGACGTGCATTGTAGAATCGAGGGCTTGGAGGATAAATGGCCAGAAGAGACAGAAGATGAGGATGAAGCGGTATTTGCGCCGGGCAGCGGTGTCGGCTTTGCAGTCTAAACAGGGTGTTGACTGTGGTTGTTGGTCGTGGATACAAGGGGAAGATCGATGGATAGTTGAGTCTTGTGTTGTGAAAAACGATGATATATAGGATATTGCCATGTTGACGACGGGCCTGTGTGGTGAGAATTGGTGTTGTTGAGAGTTTACACAAGTTTGGGGGGCGTTGAATTAAAGTAGTAGCAATCAGCGGGAGGCCGCTCCTGAATTCTATCTATGTCACACGTTAAATTACAGAAATTAGAGTTTTATAGAGCATCTCGAATGGATTTACTGCTTTTGGGGGATGATGCAGGGCTAATCCTTGGCAGACGCACGCCCGCCAACAAGCAGACCCCTGTATACAGATTGCGAAACAAGGGAGTGAATAGACTAGCGCTCCTATTTTCGCTAAAATTATATTAATACACAAACTATGTGACAAACTATGTGACAAACTTTGTAGCATTTCTTTTGCTTACTTCTTGCCAGGGACGCGTCATAGCGCAGAGCCAAGCATGGGTCCAGTTCGCATCGAATGGAATTTCCTCTTTGGGTAATTTTTCGGAACCTTCTCCCCACTATTCCAACTATGCATGTTCCATATTAGTTGGTTTTCATTTGTGTTTGTTTGGCACGCAGCCTTACGAACCCAAAAGATGAATTAACTCCCAAAAACTTGCATTACTTTTATAAATTGTAAAAATCACCATTCTCTCTCCCAACACAATCGTATTCGCTCTTCCTAACTCGCTCGCTCACTCACTCATCAAGCCCAAGATACGGCCCTTCGTTGCCCACCAAGATGGCTCCAATCCGCAACAGCCTCCACCCAACAACCTCAATCTCATCTACCCGTTTGACTTTACACGACCGGCCAATTCCATACTCGTCTGGCATTTCGACGTTTTCCGTCTCCTTCTCATGCCGCTCCTCTAACTCGCGGCACGCATCGCGCATCGCCAGCGCCAGCCCCTCCTGCACCTGTCTCCAGAACATATAGTATGCCGGATTGCCCGACTGCGTGATGAACTTATGCGCAACAATCCCTGGAGCAGCCGCCCGTGGAATCGACCAGCCCGCGTTGGGTGGCCGCCGCAGACTGACCGCGTCACCCCATGGGATCTGCGCATCACTAGGCAACGCCTCGAGCTCGCAGTCGTAATGCTGCGACTGGTACGGTTCCCGGGCCCACGAGTGGCAGCCACGAAGCCGCACCGTTGGTAGAATATAGTTGAATGTCTGCAGGCGCGGCATCTGCGGGCGAAGGCTGCGGAAGAAGGGTCGCCAGAGAGACCCCATGTCTTCGGCCGGTTGTAGGCGATGGTGAGCAGCCAGCATGATGGCGCGCCACTCAATGCCAAAGTGCTGAACGCGGTCCAATCCTTGAATCTCCTCTGCTGGTCGGTAGTTCTTGTCGAGTTGCAGTACGCGCCGCTGGTTGCGGTCCAAGTAGAGCATGTCACGGCTGGGGTTGAACCAGGTGCCTTGGACGTTGTCCACCAGGCTTAGTGAGCCAATGAAGAAGCCCTTTCGCAGCGCTAAGGCTCGGGATTCCTTGCAGATGGACAGTGCAATGGGCGGTTCATGGCGGATATAGAATTGGAAGGTTTTGGTGTCTGTGCCGTGGATAGACGCTGTGGTTTGTACTTGGAAGACGCGGGCATCGGGCAGCGTAGCTTCCCAGATGAGACATCGTATGTCCTGGGGTAAGCTGGAGAACTTTGCAAGTACTGTATCGGATATGTCCCCTTCTGTATGCATTTTCTGGCACTGTTGCGGCTTTTTACCCCTTTTTTTGTGGTGATGATGCTGTGTAGCATGGATGAAGTTGCTTCTTCTCTTGTGGCTTATAAGTCGTACGCGGCGGCCAGGCTGCCGTATTTCGACGCGACCAGGCACCCGGATTTCTGTTTCTGTCTAGTGACATTTACTTTTTTCCTGCTTAAATTTAAATCGGTGCCTATTAATTTCTTTCTAATTCAGAAAAATTACAGAGAAGAATTTTCTAGATAATATATTTAGTAAAGAAATATCTTTGTGATGGTGCCGCTATTGGAGCTGCCCAGGTTATTCAGCAGCGCGGTATAAACCAACATAGCCAACCCCACGATACTTTATTCGGCTTCTGGATTGCCATTGAACAAAAGATCGGAGGTTGTATCATCGGGCACCCCAGTAACCACCCCTTTCAAGGCGAGTGCTTTCAGCCTATCACACACCAGGTCGCCTTTGATGCTTTCCGATGACATAAGAACAGCCGCCTGTCCTGCCACATGAGGACATGCCATGGAAGTTCCCGACATGGACACCTATATTTGTGTTAGTTTCACACAAGTCGACTTAAAGATACGGTAACATCAACTTACAGAACCACCGCCAGATTTGGCAGACACCACATCCACTCCAGGGGCTTGGGGGTCCACCAACGGCCCAAAGTTCGAAAAGCTGGCCATCTTGTCGTCTTCATCCATGGCTCCGACAGTACATGCCAGTGGTTCGCCGGCTGGTGAATGGCCCTCGGCGTCTTTATTCTTATTACCAGCCGATGCTGCAAAGAAGAAACCCTTCTTGACCAAGTTAGCTGTTGCCTGTTGCAAAGACTGTTGGGACCCTGCGAAACCAAGCGATACGCTCATAGCAACACCTCGTGGGCAATGGCGCTTCGGTGCGTCAGCCGCAACCTCGTCAATGGCCGCAATGACAGAGTCGACGTGACCTCGACCTTTATCATTAAGAACTTTCATGGCAAATAATGTGGCGTTTTTGCTACGCCGTAGGTCTTGCCGCCAACGGTCCCTGCACAATGTGTTCCGTGCCCGTGGACGTCCCCGGTTGAGTCGGGCACCCATGATTTAATCAGCTTTGCTCGCCCACCAAATTCCTACAGTTACATTGTTTAGATCCAGAAAATTGTATTTGGAGAGGACAAGATATACATACGGAGTGGGCTTCATCGATACCGGTATCAATAACATATACACAGACGCCAGTGCCAGCGGAGCTGTCGTATGTATAGGAGTGTTTGCCAGGGTTCGTATTCGAGATTCGTGCTAGGCCCCATTCGGGATTTTTCTGAGTAACCCATTTATCGACACCACCAATAACGGACTGCTCAATATATTCGACCTATACCATTGTTTGCAAATTAGAATAGACAAGAACAGGGTGTGATGTTTTGTGGGGGACGTACATCGGGGTGTGTCCGTACTTTCGCCAGCGTATCCCTATCCATCCGCGTCGCAAATCCTTGGAGTACACGTCGATAAATAAGATTTGGTTCTTGCGGTAGAAGGCTTAAAACGCTAGCCAAACTTGATGCGGCTGCTTCTTACTTTAGGACGGTGATGTAGCTTCCGTCGTGGCCATCATGGCGTAGCAATGGGGCTACGGCTTGTACTTGCGCCACCGTGGCACCGCTAATAGCAAATATAGTAAAGAGGCGCACCATCTTGGGCGTCAGATAGGGAGACTAGACGGATTCGAGCTACAGAGGAAAAGGTACATGGGAATTTCTCGAAATTGAGAATGAGATGTCTGCGCATGGCGCGTTCTGTAACTATATACTACTAGGAAACTGGAATAGGGCACGTTTGCGTGTCTCAAGAGAGCCCAATAGCAGGAAAATATATTAGTAAACGCCTACGATTTTTAAAGGGTATACTGAATACCAGTATGGACGAGAGACCGATATAGATGCCCATCTTCCATTGTTTGCGCTGTATGTGGAACAAGTAACGTCACTTGTTACAAGTGCACTACTCTTAGACCACACCTTCTACACATAAGCCAACCACATCGTCGCCAAAGTGTACGCCCAACTGTTTACTCACATACAAGTTTGTAACTTCTATCGGATGGCCAGAGCCTTTACATTTCCGTCTAGCATGTAGACAAGCAGTTTATTCAGTAGGTGCCCTTTCCCCCAGAAATACACAGGCTAACCAAGAAAAGCCAAGTGAAAATTACGCTGCCAACTTCTCCGCCAGTAACAAAAAACTGGACATGGGCCCCTGTATCTTATTGGTCTTCAGCCATCTACGTAATGTATCCTTTTATTGTGCGCCGCCGAGCCGTGGCTATGCGCACCGACAAGCCGGCCTAAAAGTCTTGGATCTCAAGCACAAAGAGTAAATCTTGTCAACACTCCCACAGCGTTGCATTGCATGTTTCCCATCTTGCATTGTTTCCTATTGCCACAAAAGGCAATCCTCCAGAAGACCATCCAACCAGACGACCCCCCTGGAGGCTCATTAAAACACCGTAGCGCGCGTACTGTACACAGTGCACACTCGCCAAATGAAGAGGAAAATTTTTAAACTCGGCGGATGTGGCGCCCTAAAAACCGGCCTTGCAACCGCTGCCGTATTCCCGCGGCGTGGCCCCAATCGAGCCTAGCGCATGCACTGAAGGCGCTAGAAGGACGCCAAGATCTCCATCCGTGGGTGCACTGTGCTGCCACTGTCCGCGCTACCTGGCCATGTTTTTTCGCAGTCTTTTGTGCTAATTGGCAGAGAGGAGATAAGAAAGTAGGCTTTTTTTTTTATAATACTCTGTTGGAACACGCTGTATGCCCTATATAAGTAAATAAGAATAAAACCTTGATGGTCACACCCAAAAGTGTATCCTTCTACTACCGTGCCCTCAACAACAACAAGCAGCGACACGGTCCTTGGGCTCTGAATCGCGTCCTGCTTCCTTGGCCGCTTGCAATTTCCTCGTCGTCGTCATAACTGTTTCCCTCAATACCTTGTGTCTACCCTCAACCCCAATTCCATCCCAAGCCCAGCCCTCCTCCACCACGCCGCGCCGTTGCTCCAGTCTTGGCCTCCCTCACTTTGCATGCCCCCGGCTTTCTCCCCGTGCACACACAACCTAGGATTTTTTGGCATCTGGGGAATACGTTGAAAAGAGCTCAAGCGAAATTTAAGTGCCCCATAACCCCACGGGACCCCAAAAGGCGGCTCTGAACCAATCTTGTCGTCGCCGTTGTCACATTCAATCTCCGCATCCTACTTCTCTCACACACACAACTTCTTCTCCCCTCTTCACCATTCCAACAACTCACCTCTTGTTGTTCTCATCCCCAGTCACATTGTTATAGCCAGTATCAGAGAAATGACTGCAGAGACGGAGCGCATTGCGCCCGCCGAAGAGCGCCGCTTGGACGCCGACAACAAGGACGGCAGCACCACAGACTCGCTCCAAGAAGATGTTATTGTCAAGCCTGCCGCTGATGCTCCTGAAAAGGATGAATCCAACATGTTTGGCGAGGGCAACCAGACGTTTCGCACACTGAGCCGCTGGGACACCATCCTGGTTCTCGTCACCAACCAAGTCGGCCTTGGAATCCTCACGCTCCCCTCCATTCTTCACACGCTCGGCATGGTCCCGGGCCTCATTGCCATTATCGGCCTCGGCATCGTCACTTGGTACACGGCCTTTGAGCTGCTGCAGTTCTATCGCCGCCACCCGCATGTCCTCAACCTCGTGGACATGGCCAAAGTTGTTGGTGGCCGGCCGCTCGAGATTATTGTCGGAATCGGCCTGCTCTTCAAGATTTGCATGACGTGCAGCTCTGCCACCGTCACCCTCTCTATTGCATTCAACTCCATCTCTAGCCACGCCATGTGCACAGTCGCCTTTTCTGCGTTTGGCGCCATTGGCTGCTGGCTTTTGTGCATCCCGCGCACGTTCAAGTTTGTTGCCCACGTCGGCGTGCCCTCTACCATTAGCATTCTCGCCGCTCTTTTGATTGTTGTCATTAGTTTGGGAGTCGCCGGCCATCCTGACGGCGCGCCATTGGACTGGAACAAAGAGCTCGTGGTTGTCGGCCGACCCGACTTTAGCTCTGGGTTAAGCGCCTGTCTCAAGGTGTGCTACGCATATGCCGGTAACGTTGCCTTTGTCTCGTACATGGCCGAGATGAAGAACCCGTCCAGAGACTTTGTCCCGGCATTGACCATCTTGCAGGTCTGCTCCATCCTGCTGTACATCTTCACTGCTGTCTCCATCTACTGCCTGTCTGGTCAGTACGTCCGCTCACCAGCCCTGGGCTCGGCGCCAGCCATCCCAGCCAAGATTGCCTACGGCATTGCTTTACCTGCCATCTTTGCCACGGGTATGGTTTTCGGCCACGCCGCAATCAAGTACATGTACGTCGTGGTACTGCGAGCACTCAAGTCTACCCACCAAGCCACCCAAAACTCTGTCAAGTCATGGAGCGTGTGGGTTGGCTGCACGACGGTATTCTGGTTGGTCTGCTTTGTATTTGCAAACGCCATCCCCATCTTTGACTCCATCCTATCCATCGCCTCTGCGACGTTTATCGCATGGTTTACCTTTGGTATCAGCGGCGTGTTCTGGTATCACCGCAACTGGGATGAGAAATTCCAGCGCAAGAATATCCCGCTTGCCATTGTTAATGCCCTCCTCATTCTGCAGGCCCTGTTTATGAACGGAGCTGGACTATGGGCTGCTATCCAAGGCTTGCTGAACATCTTTGCCTCCGAAAATGGCGTCAAGGGTTCCTTTACTTGCGCTGACAACTCTGTATTTTAATCCGCTGATATGATAATGACCAGTGTTTTCTAGGTTTTAGTTAGTACATAGAAACCCCCTCATGAATTAGAATCATTGTGAAAAAGCCTGTATGCAGTTCGCGTCGTCGCTCGTGTGCCCTGATGTATCGATTGTTGTGTCGCTAAAAATCGCCTTCAAAGAAATATGGCTTTGGGAATGAATCCTGTATTCGTGTTGTTTTCTTCGCTGGATGTTATATGTACAATATCCTCCACTCCTCAACCCATCACACCAATCCTCCCACGTAGACACTCGTCGCTTTAGTTGCTTCGGGCACCGCCCTTGGACTCTCGCAGCTCGTTCATCTTGGCGACTCGCTTCTTGAATTCGACGTACTGGCACTTTTCGTAGCTATGTCTCTCGTCCTAAAACACAAGGTCGCAAACGTTAGCCCCAACATACGAAATTCCACTCGCCATCAGCAGTCAGCATTGTTCGCTGTAGCCCGCCACCAATGCCGCTATGGCTGTAATTGAACATACCTCGCACTTCCACGGGGCGTACCAAGTCTCTTTACGGCACTGGTTCAAAGGGATAAGAAGGTGGGCGCAGGAGTCTCTGTAGGCAAGAGGGAGGCGAGCATCGCGCATCTCCTCGCGGGTCGCTTCTGTAGGCATTGTTAGCGACTTTTGGCTGCAGAAAATTGCGCAGCAGCAATGGCAGCGACTGGTTTACGTACGGCGCGCATCGGATGTTGTGTCGGAACCCATTTTGGCTGTTCAATTGGTCTTTGTCTGGCCGTTGAAAGATGTCGAGAGGTTGAAGCAAGCTGTGCAGCTGGCCGGGCCAAATTCGGGTTGGTTTTTGGTACCTCATGTTTCAGGCAGCAACCATGCGCCCACTATTAGTGCTGTAGAGTTACAGTGTATGACCGCCATCGAGCAAACGACAGGCAGGCAAGAAAACATCAGCGTTCGAAGAGCATGAAGACGAAAAAAATTCATCGTTATATTGTTGTTTCAGAATTAAAGTGTTTCTGTTCGCTATGGTGGAATTCGACATAATTTCGACCGTTGGTTACAGAGAATGCTCATAGACATTGTCGACGTCAACCGTTGCCAGCATGGCCTGGCACATTCACCACCAACCAGCGCCAGCGCATTACGAGGAAAGCTTGTCCGTTTCAAGCCTATAAATCCTTCGCGTCCACTAAATTCACGTCTCGAAACGCCAGCCTCCAGGGCACTGTGACGTGACGTGTTTGGTGTGGCAGGCCCCCAAACCCTGCCTGTCGCCCCCAGCCCACGCAAATCGATTGGCTCTCAGCGCCTCACAGCACCAAAGAGCCGCTTCACGTTGCCACCCGCATTCACGGTTCGCGCCGCCCCAACACGCTGTTGGTCCCTGCATTTCCATGGCCTTGCGCGTCTTTCTCATCGAATAGACGCGCTTCTAGTGGCGTCGTGACAGGCTGTTGTCTACGCAACGGCGGTGACCAGCCCAGCGCTCCCCTCAGGTTTGCATATAAGCCGCCTCTTTGCACTGTGAAAATGAACTTGTGCTTTCTTGTGCTCTGTGTCCTACTCTCCATCACTCATAATCAGTCTGTTCAACGTTGTTGACAAGGGTAATAACTTGTTCAGCACCGCTTTTCGAGTCGACTTGTACGTAACACTACTCTGTCACTCAGCCATTCTTTTACACCTACAAGGCGACTCTCATCGACCTTTCAGCTCATCAGCATTACGCCTGTCTTTCTTTCCGCTTTACAAAACTAATTCCTCTATTTCGTTTTTCCGGTCTATTTGGCATACTTGCATATAATCAAAATGATGGCCATCAACGAAGATGTTATTGCCTGGCTGGTTCCAGCAACACATTGTGCTGCCGCAGACAAGGTCATGAACAACCCTGCGAATCAATCACGCATCGTTGCCACTTCTGATCTTCCCACCCTTCTCCCTCAAATCTCGGATTCCATGACTGGAATCACACCTTCGCGAGCCATTCAGTTGTGCTTCAACAAGGCACCCAAAAACCACGGCCGTTTCATGATCGGCACAGATCCCAAGACATGCGATATTGTCTTTCCCAAACTCTACGACGCTTCTCCCTCAACACCCGAGGTCTCATCTCAGCATTGCTCCATTGGATTTGACAACGACAATCGTCTGACTCTCGACGATATTTCCGAATGGGGAACCGAAGTCTCCTATGATTGGGAGTCGAGCGGCAGGAATACTGAGTTCTGCTGGTTGCTTAGCGGCGGCAACTCCGGCGGCTTTCCAAGCTCTGTCAGAAACATCACAATCGACATCTTAGGAGCCAGATTCCAGGTCTTTATCAACCCGCACACACATACACTGCAGCAGTGGCAATCATTCGTCACCAAGATTGATCTTATGACAGAGCTTGCATATCAAGATCCTGCGGCCTTCACCATGCCGAGCATCTTCATGATTGCTCCAAGCGAGGGAGATGCTCTAGAAGCATACTTATGGAACAGCGACTGTCCATGGCAGCCATTAGTCCGTGTAGTGGATGTGTTGAATAGTGAGCCCTACATTTCGCTTCACGACTAAACGGCAGCTACGCCTACGGGACACGGCACGCTCACACAACAGGAAATGGGACATGATTTGTACTTGTTTGTCGATTTTTTTTATATAAAGGTTACTGTTCCTGCGTTTTTAACACAGTCGTTTCATATGTATGCAATACATTCGCTCTTAGATAGCTGTAACACCAACAACAATAATGCCATTTACTCCGTTATTCCAACAGAGGGCCGTCCTAGGGCAGATGTGTACCCATTTCATTTTGTCAAATACTCAGTCTTCGAAGACAATCTTCGTGCCCTCTGCCTCTGCTGCTTCTGCATTCTCGGCCGCATCAGCGGCCGCCCTGGCGGCTGCTCTCTCTGCTCGGGCTTCGCCCTGACGCTGGGCATCCTCTTCCGACATGAACGTCGTTGTGCTGAATTCGGGTGCTCTCTTTTTGTAAACCACGCGGCCGCTTCTGTTACTCTTTCGTGCCTTGGCGGCTTCGGCCTCTTCCTTGACCAGAACACGCTCCGTCTTCTTGTCGAGCATGGTACCTTCCAAGCTCAGATATGTGGTTTCGCCGCTGACACCAACGTCAAAGTTGCGGATGCGGAAGCGCAGTTTGCCCTTGACCTTATCGCCATTATCATCGACCCAAAAGCCCGTGCTGTTGATTTGACGAACGACACCGTGCTCATCGGGCGCAATAACAGAGCCTGTTTCTTCTATTCCCTCAGCTTCGGGATCGTCGTTGGAGATCCATTTCCAGCCTCTGGGCAGTCGACGAGCCTCAATGGAGGCATTGAACTTTCCAAAGCATACAACGCCGATGTGGCCTTCGGTTTGTAAGTTCACGCTGCCCTCCATCCAGGCACCGCGGCTGGGAACAAAGAGCTCCACATCAGCGGTAATCCAACCGTATCCAACAGCATATTCACCGCGTGAAAGTAGTGTCGTCGGTGACTCGTCGTCCTTGGCGGCGCCTTTGCGATTGGGGTTGGGTCCGAGAGTGACATTGGTATAGCTCATCAAGACGCCGCGCAGCGACGGGACGTATCGGTTGAGAAGATGGCGGAGGTACTGGAACTCGGCACTTGTGACCGGTTGCTCCCAGCCCACGGGGTAGATGGGTTCGTATAGCGAAACTGTTTGTGAGAAGAAGGGGAATTGCGGGTTGTGAGGAATGTCTGCTGGTTGGTAGACATTTGACGAGGTGCCGTATGTAGGTTTAGTCGGTTCATCAACATCCATGGCCTCAGCGTCAGCCGCAGGATTTGACGGAGCAGAATCCAGCTGTGATGCGATTTGGTTCGATTCATCATCGGAAGATTCTTCCTTGGCTTCGGCTTTGACCTTTGCTTGCTTCTTCTTCTTTTTCTTCTCAGACTCTTTGTCTGCTCGTTGTGATTCTTCGTCTTCTGAGTCGTCGGTCTCTTCTCTCTTGATTTTCTTTTCCTTTTTCGACTTTTTCTTTTCCTTCACTTCATGCCCTTCGCCATTGGCATCAAAAGCGTCGGCTGAGACGCTCTTGGACTTCTTGTGTTTTCGCGATGCGTCCACCCCATCTTCTTCTCGGGCTCGCTTCTTTTCCGACTTTTCTTTCTTCGACCGCTTCTCAGTCTTTACCGCCGTCGATTCTAGTGATCCTACAGCCGCCATTGTCGCTTGTGGTTTACTTTTCCAGCAGGATTGCGTGTGGTTACGGCGAGCTTCGTGCAAGACCGCTGCTGCAAGGAAATTTTTGCGGGCTTCCTTATCGATTAGCGTCTTTTTTTTCACACTGGCGGCTGGGCTACCTCCAGTGGGGCCGTGTAAGTGGATGGTAGCGAGTCCATGCGGACTACTACTGCCACCGCATCAGAAGCAAAGCGTATAACGAAAAAAGGTGTAAAAAAAATAACTTTTAAAAACAGTTACTGAGAAGTATGTTTTAAGAGATAGTTATGAAATTTATTTCTTACATCAAACAATTGAGATGCGTGGATGAATCATGTGGCTGTTTACGCAACCGGTGATACGTCCGTTTGCTGCAACAGGCGTCGTACCCTACAGCGCCTAATACGATTTTCAGAGGGTGCTGAAATCGTTAGACTGGAGTATTTACTGCTGTAAAACATTGGTCGTCTTTAGAATCGTCGCAACCTGCCGTATCAATCCCCTATCCCTGGGGGTCTGTGTTTTGGAAGACGTCTCGCCAAGCGCTTTGACGCGCTGTCTGCGACATCCGGCTCTGTTAACGCTAACCATACTATCCACTTCCAACGCTGTCTTAGAATGCCACTGTCGATTCTGTCTTTGCGCTGCTTACAAAAGTCATTATTGCCGGATTATATCAGACGTACCTTGCAGAGTGCATGCATAAAATCAGCGCCTCTGTGCCTGAACATGAATGGATTGTTACATGGCGCGGGCCGAAAAGAGCTTATCGAGCGAAGCCATCGGCAATGCAAGTAAGCGCAGAGTGGCATTGGATTTCGCCTTTATCCTTCTTGGCTAATACGGTGCCTCTGACGCTACCTAATACTCTTAGGTTGGCACGTTTTGGGTCGGAGACTTCTGAATGCGTAGGCCTGTTGGGCTTCTCGCACGCCAAGGTGCCCCCCCTCCTTACTAAATTAGCCCCTTGGTACCTGGCACTAAATTAGCTTAGGGCGTTACGCCTGGTCTCTGGACTAACTTGCTTCAACTTCCGCCAATCGAAAAGAGTCAAGGGTCGACCGTCAGCATATCGTGGGCCCTGAAATGGAGTCGCTTCCGGGGCATGTTGCTAGTTTGCCTACCGTTATGGACTTGTCGGAAGTCCCTCACACTATTCCGACCGACATGAGACGGCCGGCTGTTTTCTGATATCTTGACTAGTTGGCTAGCGTCGCTTACATCGTGCCGGAGGTTAGCTTGAAATATAAATAACCATGCTTCCCAGGTTCTAGTTCATCTGTTTAGTCCTCTTGATCTGCCTTCCCCTTCATAGACACCATTACACACTATCCTCAAGCTTCTCTATCCATCCCTATACAATACCTCTCAAAATGAAGGGCCAAATTGCTTCCGCTCTCGCTGCTTCCGCCGCCGTTGCTTCTGCCGCTAGCGTTCCTCGCGCGCAGTCTGCCAGCATCACTCCCCATGATATGTACTCCAGCTCTATCGGCGTCTTGGGCTGCCATATCAACACCAACCGCGTCGCTTACTGGCCCGGTGCCGTAGACTGCGATCAGATCTGCGTCAAGGTCTCACACGAGGGCCGCAGTGTCCACCTCCTCAAGATTGACTCTTCTGGCGGTGCCCATGACATCTCCTACGATGCTTGGAACTTCCTCATCTCTGGCAAGAGTGCCACCGAGTCTCCCCAGCAGGGCGGCGGCGTCAACATGAACTTCGAGTTTGTCCCCGCCAGCGAGTGTAGCAGCCTCCTTCACAACGGCAAGCTTCCTCTCAGCGCCTCCAACAGCATGAACTATGTTGCCTCCTGCCTCCAGAACCAACCTAACAGCTTCGCTGCCAAGAACCACGAGTTGCTCAACTTTGTTGATCCCATCTGCAAGTACGGCTATGATGAGGTTTGCACGCTCAACCTCCAGACCAGCAACCAGCCTACTTGCCCTCACCAGCTCGGCTCTACCCATACTCCTACTGGCCAGCATGTCTACAACATCCAGTACGGCACTGGCAAGAAGGTTGAAGCTCAGTAAAGGTTGAAATACCATACTGGATGTTCATGAAGTGATGGGACATCGTTGGCAGCCATTTCTGGCGATTTGTACATAGCAACGCAAGGTTAAAGACGGATTTGTACTTCTAGTAGAGTTAGCGGGCGGCGCATATCAATTCAATTTTATGATTTTTACATCTCTTGCTTATCATTGCTACACCAACATTCTAAAAAGAAGAAGCTTATTATTAAAACGGCGCAATGAAACCTTCCGGCCGGCTCGGCTGCTGGATGCGGCGCTGGAGTCCACCCATCAAGCCCCCCGCATTCGCCGAGGTTCCAGGGCTTCCATGCATTTCCGCAAAACCCCTCCGGCCGCGCCTCACAAACCAAGAGCACATGACTGACTAACGCTGACAAAAGTCAACTGTCGGCTATCCCCAAATCGCTGAAAGAAAAGGAAATACACCGTAGCTTTATCGCTTTTTCCTGGTGACCTATATTCCTACCATTTATCTCTTCTTTTCACGCCCTTGACCCTACTTCAATTCGCGCTGTCAGCGCCGGCATCGCTCGCAATGCCTACAATCACATCCGGCAACGCCGATTCAACCCAACTTCCCCCATTCTATTCACCTCGCACGAACGCTGTATCAGATGATGCAGCTCATCCCGAATCACAACATGTCGACGAACTAAACCTGGCGACACCGACCGAGTCCACACAACCACCACCACCGTCCCTCCTCTCACCCGCCTTCACCCCGCCAGGAACGCCTGGCACACAGACGCCTGGCCGCTCAGCTCCTCGCAGTGTACCTGTTGATAGCTCGGTCGCATCTGGCGGTTGTGGTACTAAGAAGCCAAAACTTCTCGATGCCCTTCCTGAAGTCCAGTGCATTGTGCGCGCGCGAATCCCGACCGTCAATGGTACCGAAATGTTCCTCCACCTCTATACCAATAACGTGGATAACAAAGAGCACTTGGCGATTGTGTTTGGCAAGCACATCCGGAGCACAAGTTTGGATGCCCCACGAGAAGGTGAGACGGAAATGGATCGCATGATCCGTGGTGCGTATACTGGCCGTCTCTACCCCGGCCGCGTGACAAGTGGCGCAGATGTCGAGGCTGCTCCGAAAGCAGATGCTAAACCGGCTGAACCGCCTCTTGTTCGTATACATTCCGAATGCTACACTGGCGAGACTGCGTGGTCTGCACGTTGCGATTGCGGTGAGCAGTTGGACGAGGCGGCCAGGTTGATGGCACTGCCCGAGAACAAGGCGGGCGGAATCATTGTATACCTTCGACAAGAGGGCCGTGGAATTGGTCTAGGCGAAAAGCTCAAGGCGTACAATCTTCAAGATCTAGGATCTGATACTGTCGAAGCTAATCTCCTCCTGCGACACCCCGCCGATGCGAGAAGCTACGGTCTTGGAACAGCTATTCTACAAGACTTGGGTCAAAAAGAGGTTCGCTTGTTGACCAACAATCCTGACAAAATCCGAGCTGTTGAAGGCCCTCACAGGGAGATTGTTGTCACTCAGCGTGTTGCCATGGTGCCGCTCTCGTGGCGTGGCAAGGGTGGATTCCAAAGTGAAGAGGTAGAGGGCTACTTGAAGGCAAAGGTAAACCGTCTCTCTCCTACTTCGCTATTTAACAGAACTAACATATCCGTTTGATAGATTGAAAAGATGGGACATATGCTCGACATGGGTGGCTTGCCCCGATAAGCTACCATTACCGCTATCACAACGACGATCACAAGACAACCCCATTTTACAAACAACGTTATACAACATCGAACAGCACGCTATGGCATAGACGGAGTTACAAGGCGTTTCATTTTTGTTTTTACACCCTGGATTATAGCCAAAGAATGGATTACCTCGAGAACTGGGAAGGCGATACAGATAGAGAGTATAATTATACCTCCTATCACATACACTACCTCTACCTATGGGATATGCTCTTGCATTTGTTAATTTATTACATGAAAATATACATACTCTTCTTTCTAACCAAATTTATAAAATATAAGCTCTTATATGAAGGTGGCAGCTTGCAGTAGTCCGCACTGTCACGTCTTAAAATCAGGCCCCACATGCGGTTACTGGCAGCCAAAAATTTGGGCACTTCGCGCCTGCCTGTCGCGTCTCTCAGATCCTCCCGGCCATTCTGTTAACCATACAGACGAGGCTTCAATCCAGTGCTCTGTCTAGTGCCGCAAATCGATTAATACGACGAAATGTGCCCTTAGAGCGGTCAGCATGGCACCCAACATCTTGCGGCTGCGCCTTACAGTACGCCGTCATGGCGTCCCCGACGTCAAACTGGTTTGGCCTTGCGACCTCATCAGCGACCCGACGATAGCCCAGCTTCTCACACAAATAAACGAGGTCATTCCGTTGGAGAGTGTGGAATGGGGCCTTGAAGATTATGCTCTAGAACTCTCAGATGGCATTGGAGGCAGTTTCGAGTGCTTGCACTTTCAAACAGTAGCAAGCACACTGAAGGCCGAGGACCAGATCATGTAAGTTGCAGTGATTTGCCCCATTTGTGTAGGACCTGGTTACTGATGTCTTCTTTTTTCAGGATTCGACCGCTCATGACCGACGATATAAAACAACGAAAGCTCGGTGGTCGCGACCAGATCTCAAGGGACGGCAAGCATCTTCTGGATGGCATGGCGTTTGGGCGCCGATGGCTGAGAGCTCCACGGGACAGACCTATGCTCGACATACCAGCTCGAAAGCGCGCTAGACTGACGTATCCGATCGAAGATGCTGAAGACGAATTACTAGAAGGAGAAGAAGAAGAAGAAGTTGTAGACGACGCAGAAGACGAAGAAGACTGCATTTCCAACGATGACGACAACGATAGCGGCTCATCAACTTCAGAAGACGTCGGATCAGAAGACTTTGAGAGCGAGGGGAGCGATGAAGAAGATACATCAGCTGAAGGCATGGACGAAGAGCTGCAACTCCTTCGCCGTGACAACGCAGACGCTGGCGAAGCCAAAGACACTAGCCGCAGTGGCCTATTACCTACGCTTGACTGCGTTGCAGCACTTCAAATAGCATTTCCGTTGGTCTCGAAACAAAATCTGAGAACTTCTTTCCGTCGACAGGGAAACGACATTAGGGACACATACGAGTATTTGAAGAAGAGAAACAACGCCAACTATACCTTTGACGAAATGATGGACAAAGCTGTGATGGGTGTTTTGGATTCCATCCCCAGCGAATCAGAAAGCGAAACAAGCAACCCCCGGTTGTTGATGCCCCCACGCCCTTTAATACAAGAAGTTGACGAGCCTAACGCTCCCTCAACATCTGTCGGTTTGGATCGCATTGACGAGCTTGTGGATGCCCATATTTCCAGCGACAGCGATAGTGAAACCTCAAGCAGCGCTTCATCAAGCTCAGATAGCTCCGATTCCGATTCCGATTCCGAATCTGATGAATCGTTTAAGGCATCCAGTGACAGTGATTCCGACGATTCGTCAGACTCGGACAGCGACAATGATTCAAAAGTTAGTGAGGAACCTATTACAAAGCGCTTGGTTGCTGCTGTTGGCCAAAATCCAAGCATGAAATCAGCTCCGCAAGTTGAAAAGCTGGTTCCTCCTGGCTCTGGACTCGCGAGAACACAGAAACGAAATGCTAGAAGAAAGCTGGCCAAAAAGATGAAGCGTCTCGAAGCGTTGGACGTTGAAACTCCCGTGGCGGCCACGGCAACTGATCCAATGGATGGCATTGTAGAGGAACTTGCTGCTCGGAAACGGGCACTGCTCGAGTCAATGTCTACCAGCGAACATCAATCGCCAGTGAACGGTGTCGCAGAGGAGAGTGTGAATGCGGAGCCGCCGTCGGTAGAAAGCTCTCGGCCACGAACGCGGATTGATGTTGGCGCCGGCAAACGCATACTTTTTGGCGCCCTTGGTATTAAGCCACCAAAGTCTCAAGACGACGAAATCAAAATCCGCCAGGAGCTAATGAAAGACGTTCGACCCGTCCAAAATGCCCGATTAATACAAGAAGTCATAGAAGACACAACCTCGGCAGATGATGCAGACGACAGTTGGCGAGAAAACATAGTATATCGCGCGGTCGAGTGTTGTCACGAAGGTATTGAGCTGAGCGAGCCACCATTTCCTTTTGTTCAGCGGTGGGATTCTCAGCAACAATATCAGCCAAGCAAGAAGCGAAAACGCAAAGTGGAATATGAGGACTACCAAGAAGAGCCTGCAGACGACTCATACATCGCTGTTGGTGACGACACTGCTGGAGAACTGAACTATGACGATGAGCCGCCGGCCCGCGAACCAGCACCACAGATAGACGATGATCTGCCTCCGCTCCCGCATGATGTAACGACATTGCCGGGGCTGGAGCAGCACGCTGTGGTTCCTGGAATGGTTATTACGTGGAAGCAGCTGGTGATGTCCAAAGCCACAAATTGGCAACCAGAACTTAAAGGTTTTACCGCTTTGGTGGTATCTAGTACGAACGATGAATTACAGTTAACATTGGCCAAGAGAGACAGAAATGGAAAGAGCAGGCAGTACGATAATGAAACCGGGCAGCGCATTTACGACAAGTTTGAGGCCCCAGATATGGATGATGACGATGACGAAGGTGAAGAAGAGGATGATGGTCACCGATCTCTCCCCTGGGCAGACCTTACGGATCCCAGACTCTTGCATTGTAAGCCAACGGAGGTTTCCAGACATTGATATCCTTGGCTGACGGAGTATGGAAAGGTTACCCACAGAACAACGAAGAAGAGCAAAGACAGGAAAATTCAGAAGCAATGATGGAACCAGGCCCATCTGAGAACGAGTCACAGATGCCGTGCGCACAGCCTGTGCCCCATTTGGGGTCGCTGCCAGTTGATGATGTGTTTAATAGCATCACCACAGACAGCTGGGACGCTGCCGGAGAGGGTAAAAACCAGACTACCGTTGATGTACTTGAAAATAATAGCGGCACCAACGATAGCAATATGGTTGATCAAGAGCCTCAAAATACGTCAAGGGATTCAAACGCGGAGCACACGACCATACCGTCGTCTCTTGCAGCAGCTAGCGAAAATGGTAGCGCCATGGACGGTCTGGAGCCGGGTGAGGAGCCACTACATTATCGTGGTAGGAGTATCTCATTGGGAGCCAGCCACCACGATTCAATCATCCCAGACACCCTTTTAGATGTTCATGGCGCTAATATAGCAACTGGCGATGTTGAAGAGCCTATAGACCGTGCAATAAGCAGCAGCCCTATGCCAACTATTGCAGAAATATGGTCGACAGCCACGGCCGTGCTAAACACACAAACCTCAGAGATAGTGGCGGATGCTATTGAGAAGGTTGCAGTATCGGAGCCCAACGCTGAATACGAGGAAGCAATGCGACAGTTTGACAACGAGGAGAGCACCGGGCCAGCATCAGCCTTGTTTCCTAACGCGACACAGCCTTGTGCTCCTCCAGCCCGGCCGCTACGGTCCACACGCTCCTTCAACTCTCTCAAACCATCCGATGCCCCGAGCACGCCTGATAAAGCTACTCGTAAGAAGAGAAAGAGGAAGGCTCGCCAAAGCAAAAAAGTTCAGTCTATTCCGGGGGGGAGTCAGATTATTCAGATCAGCTCGAGCCCCGTGCAGCCTGGATCCGCGCCAGCTAGGTAACAGTTTATGGGTGAAGGAGCTAGTTGCTCCATGGAAATTGACTGGCGCTGATTGGGCGTCGCAAAAAGTGTAACAAAGGGGACTCAATATTTGTACATTATCGAAAATATTGTGACACATTATGTTGAGACATTGGCGTCGTGACAGACTATAGGAGGAAAGGATCATGATGTGTGACAGTAGACACCAACGCTTATGCTGCCGGCTCTGGCATCTTGGCAAAACCATGCATGCAGGATTGATGTGAGAAATTTGTAACTAATAGAACAAAAGTCAAGTTTGTGAATTCCAACGGCCTACGTGGTCCAAGCGTGACGGGAATTGAATGGTGCTGGGATAGTGCTGGCGGCGCCATAAGCTGTCACATGGGCACCAGTAGTGCAGCGCCATGAATCGCTGGCGAATCGAGCTGAGACAGATGCGAATGGGGCTGAAGCGGGAAGTGGTGGTGCGTGCTGTTTAGCTACTACAGTACAGCTGGTGCAAGAAAACGCCCGTCTGCAGTGAGTACCGATGGGCACGCGACAATGCATTTCGCCATGATTGTGGCGTCGACGCTGTACATAGAGTGGTTTTGTTGTGAGCCTATAAATTTCTACATGGCAATACTCATCTGGTGCGCTGTACTGATGCATTTTTGGCGGGGTTTCGGGATGTCGTGCTGCCGTTCCCATCGAGTGGTTGTCAACCGCTCGTTTGTGTGTCTCGCTGTCTTTGTGGTGCAGCCGCCAACGACACGGTAGCGTTTTGTGAGCTTTACAGCGCTTGGCTTGGTTTCCTTGATGTTTTACCTGCTGGTGGCGAATCCTGTTTTCTTCGTTCTTTTTTGCCCGCGATCTGATGTGCGCCTTGCATGCACGCGCTCGCTCGCTGCCCAGAAGGAGGATGGTGGTGGGGGGTGGTGCCCTGAAGCTAGCGACTAGTGGATATGGTGTAGCGGGCTTTGCGACGCCTGACGCCTGCTGCGTGACTGGCCCTGACTTGGTGTTTGGAATCTTGGTTTGTCAATGGAGGGTAGCGTCGTTTCAATGAGCACAGAGGGTTATATACCCCCGTGTTTTTGCCTCTTCCATGGATTTGGTCCTCTCTGCTTGTTTAGTTTGCCTAGTTACGTTTTAAAAAAAAACTGAAAACAAATATATCTCTTCCTTCTTTCGGAAGCTGGTCCTACTTTCTTTTACATTTCTACCGCACGAACCGCGTACAGCTTGTATCGCTTAAGCTTCACCTGGTGTTTCTAACTGGTGCTTGCCCTTCGCCAAAGCGCTCGCCTCAGCATCTGACTCATCTATTTGCTGCTGCGGCTTCTTCTCCTGCAAACAAGAAGACGAGAAAACAGCCCGAGTTACGCCTCCTTCTACTTCGTTTTCGCCTTCTACAGGGCTGTCCAGACCCCCCAGCAGGGAGATCAGCAGACCTAGACCCTGAAGAAAAGGCCCCTCCAAAAGGCGCTATTCTTCGGCAGCTCGCTGGTTCCGGCGGTGTCGACCTTCACCAAAGCTTACCCAAACTGCGGGGAACCGGCGCTAACGGCACCCACTATAGCCCAGGCGGTGGGACCCTGCTGAACACAAGGCACGCTCTCACAGGACCGCTTTGGGCCCTATTTGCTGTTTGCTTATAATGCGCACGGCGTCACTGCTGCCCGGTGTCTCGTGGCATTTCAACTTGTTTTCTTCGCCTGTCTACCGATTCTCGACTGCCTGTCTGCTTTTCCTCACGCTACAAATAGCCGTCGTCGCCGCTGCAGCAGACGAAGCCGCTCCAGAGCCCACGGCTTCCCGGCACCCACGAGCACGCGCAGCTCCGTCGATACCGGCATACACACCCATTGTCACGCCAGCTCCAGATCAAGCTGCTATTCTCTCCAAGATGGGCTACAAGCAAGAGACTTACTATTCCTGCAACACATTCGACGGCCAACAACACTGCGGGTGGCATGTTCCTATTGTGCAGGCCGTTGCCGAGACAGCAATCCAGGGCTCGCTAGCACCAGGCACCAGGACAGACACAAGTGTCGTTGCCGCCGTGCTGGCATGTGTAGCGGGCATTTTTGCGTTTGGATTGATGTGATGGCGTATACCTACCTTGCAAGGGTGTCTTTTTTTATTTTTGGAACAGACCCTGGTTGGAGGCTCTGCTCGTCTGGACGAGCACGGTCTTTTTGCACCTGGTTGTTTCACGGGCGTTTTGGGGACCAACAGATGACCTAGCCTCATCATGATGGTGTCTACTCTGTGAGAGGATAACGAGCACTTCATGTTTTACGACGTTTTATGATAAATTTGGGACTTTTCTTTTTGCTGCGTTTTGTTCTTGGGTTGACGAAATAGCCTTGAGTGATGCTCGGCTTTGCTTTTGATGAGATACCACTTTGGAGTTTTTCGATTCACTTTCCTCGGAATGGTTGGCATGATGATGCATGCCTAAGATACATACAGTATACAGCATTATATTAAATATATATATCAACAGGATACCTCATTGTCACAAGAGCAACCGCGTAAAGACTTTGACCCTTGCGGCGGAGTGGCAAGTGTGAGTGAGCAGAGTGCTCATATAAGCTGATAGTACAAGCAAAAAGGTTCATACATCACATCACTAGGCAGTTGCGTGTTTGTTTTATCAAGTGTAAGTCTTTTGTTTTATTGGAAAGCCCCAAAAACACCATTGAATTCATGCTAGTGTATAGAGGGGTTGCACATTTGGTCCAGTTCTTGGAACCAAATAATAGTTTGACAGTCGACCAAGCAGCTGTCCTCCGAGGACGCTGTATATGCCGGCCGTCCTGGTTTCCCTCATGCATGCCGGAACAATAACAAGAAAAATTGCCAGTATAGCACTCGCAAACCGTCCATAGAATGCCCAGTACCATGATTTTTGTCCACGCGCCGTCCATTGCCATTTCATTTCGTAAGTGGCAGATCCTGTCCCTCCATTCTTTTCTACAAAACGAATCATTTATTTCTCGCGCTTGGGCTTGGCACCCTTGACCTTCGCCGTACCGCGGAGGGTCAGGAGCTTGTTCTTGCGCTGCTTGCCTATATACCAACAACCGTTAGTCAGGGTGGTTCAAAAAAAATAGCAAAAGAAATAATGGCTTCAAGGTCCAGGAAATCTGGGATATGAGCCACGAGTGAGATGACGTACGCTGCTGTCTGCTGGCACGCTCGCGCTTGGTGGCCATGCCGACGCGGACAAGGCGGTAACGGGGCTCGAACTTCTTCATAGCCTCGGGGGAGTCGTAGACAAGGGCGAAGCCGGTGGTCTTGCCACCACCGAACTGGGTGCGGAGACCGAAGGTAGAAACCTGGTCCTTCTGGGCCTTGTACATGCCGGCGAGCTTCTCGCGGAGCTCATCCTTGGAGATGTTGGCACGGCCGGGGTGCAGAACGTCACTGTGGAGGAGATAAGTCAGTAAATAATGTATCGCTTGTATATTTTCCGTGTCGCTCTTGGTGTCGTATAGTCCTGCATGGTGCCTGAAGTGAAAAATCGAATGCATTGCTGCCGCAGTCCTCAGACCAATTATGTTGAATCTAGTGAGACGTAGAAGCGTGGGCTGGGCCTCGCTGAGATGGCAATTATGTCTGCCAGCAGTTTCTAATTCGACGTAGCAAGACTGTGAATTGTCTGTATTTGATGCGTTGACGTGCGGCAGGCGGCGATTCGATTTCAAGCGGGAGCAGGACTATTCGAGGCGATACAAAGGCGACAGGGAAATATGGGCGGTAACTCACACGACCATCTGCTTGCGACCCAACAAGGGGTTGCGGATGAACTTGCGAGTGCGAAGCGTCACGGGAGCGTCGTTGTCCGCCATGTTTGCGATATCTTGTCGTGTGGTGGTGGTGGTGGGAGGAGATGGAATACCAAAATGAGGGTAAGAAGGGCTATGGCCGCAAATCTCGAAAATTCCGACCCGCCCGTGTCGCTTAACTGGGTCCAACCCTAAGAAATTTGTGTGCGCTGCGGCCTGGAAATTGGGGCTGGGTCGAAAATTTTGGAAACTGTCACGTGATGTGGGAATATCGCGTCCCTCGGGTTAATTTTAATCCACTCTCCACGGCAAGCGTTAGTGGTGCCAATGTTTATCTAATACACCCTGTCTCCCCAAGATTACCAACGAGCCGCCATCAATATGGAAAAATCTTGGAAAACTTCGACAGAAAGGTTTTGTTCGCAATATCTACAGCTAGAAGATTCTTTGGATTTCCCTCCTCCGGAAGTCTTGCAGCTCAGTGCCGTCCAAGATTACATCCATGAGCGTCTCTTTGCCGATGGCGCGGTGCAATATGGACCACCTCTGAGATATCAGAGTCAAAAATTGAAACAATTATTATCACGTATCGAGGCTAGTATTGATGACTGGGATCAATTTGTAAGCTTAGCTTCTCCAATCTTGTGGCATATGTAGTTGTGCTGCGTTTCACGTAGCTGGCGGTTCTGACCATTGTCATCTTGTCTGCGAACTTGTAGGGTATATCAGATGATCTCATGGCATCGCTTTCTATGATTATTGCACAACCTCTCCCACAAGAGGCAGAAGAGGCTCAACAAAAATGCTATGTCAATTATAGCTTATCGTTGCTCCAGTCGGCAGATGAGACTGCTAGCATCACCTTGTTGGAGAATAGGTTTCTTATCGCAGCATCGGGAACAACTGGACTGCGTACATGGGAAGCAGCACTTCACATGGGCCAATTTCTCTGTGGAAACAAACCCCTCGTACACCAAAAACGAATACTAGAATTGGGTGCAGGTACGGGTTATCTGTCCATCCTCTGCTCCAGACATCTCGGCGCCACCCATGTCATTGCATCAGATGGTTCCGATGACGTTGTAAACAATCTACCGGATAACTTATTCCTTAATTCTCTCCAGGAATCCGAAAATATTACACCTATGGATCTCAAATGGGGATATGCGCTGCTTGGAACTGAGGAGCAGAAATGGAACGGTGGTCGTCCAGTAGACGTTGTCATTGGTGCCGATATAACGTACGATAAAAGCGTTATACCATCGCTAATAAGTACACTGGAAGAACTGTTTGATTTATATCCTAGCGTGGATGTGTATATTTCGGCAACGCAACGAAACGCCGATACCTTTCAAGTCTTCCTTGACCGGTGCCGTGAAGCAGGGCTTCTACCCGTCGATATGGAATACGGGGTACCAAATCGAATTCAACAAGGTGGTCCATTTTATAACGATAAGGTCAATATCCTTATTTATCGAATCTGCAAAGATCGAAGTTAGCAACATCATAGACTTTGCTACCCGGGAGGGAAATAAATGATTCCATAACCACCAGCCGCTGGAGTAGTCTCTTCTGAAACCTTGAGATTTTAGACTAAATACTTTACACTGTGATTTCTGGCTCGATCCTAACTTAAACCATGCTCAGTTATGTTAAACTTCCACGCACTCCTCAACACCTCATGTTAAGGAGTGCGTGTAAGTGGATCCCAGCATGAAGAAAACGGTCGGATACCGCGCCAGGTATCCGAATCAAGCCAATCGCCACAATACTTAAAGAGGCCTACGACGATGATGCAAATTAATTCATGTACGACATCATTCTGACGGAACGATCGACATGGCAGCCTACAAAGAAATCCAAGCGCCTCAGCCACAGTTGAGGTTAGCCACAAACGTAGCACACCCTGTTTCGAGCTGGAAAACAAGGACTGCGGCGCAGCCGATGGGTCACTAAAGGGAAAACTTGACTAAAATCAAGCTTTTGACTGCTTTGTGATGGAGGCAGGTCACACAAGCCAGTGTACTTTGCAAGGCCAACTAAACCCTGTTCAAATCACAGGCCCAGCAAGGTGTGCGAGTGGGAGTAACGACGGAGGAGGCTTGGGCTGTGGTATGCCGCATATGGTCGGGAATACATGCCTTTACCAAACACTGCATGATATGTTGGTACATGTTCGCAGAAAATATGCGCCGGCAGCAAAAGCCCATTGCATAAGAGCGGAGCAACCTGACGCGAAGATCTGTTGTTATTTCTGGCAAATGGCTTTGGCCCAGAACCTCTACGGGATCCATTCACCAGCAATACCTACCGGAGGAGGGGCGACGGATGCAACGCCGATTCCCAGCAATAATAGTATGCCTGTCTGATGCAGAATCAGCCGTGGCGAGGAGGCGTGCCTGGCGCTGGAAGTAGGAGGTGTGGCCCAAAGTGGATTTTTGGTGGACAATGCTTAAAGCATGCAAGTGTGCAATGCGACCTATGCAGTCGGTGAGGTGCTGGCGAGCCATGTGGGCGAGTTGACGATGCACCTCGCATATACGTGTCTGTCGTGTTCTGTAGGTTGGGCCGCGTGGGCTGAATCATTCGGATCACCCCCTCACTTTTTTTTTTTCGCGTTGAGAGGATACGTTGTGCTCACAGGGATCAAGGATCTATCAACGGCAAATTTTTAAAACTAGAGCGGGCTCCAATAACCGCATGAGGAGAAACCACGCGGGGAGATTCACCGGTGAGGCGAGTTGGGCGGTGTCGATGGCGTGCGTAGGCGTCATGGAGACCATCGATCATCGCGATGATGCGTTGACAAATGGACAATTGCTCAGTGCTCTTTTGTAGACAGCGAGCCGTGAATTGTTCTGCGATGCGTTAATTAGTTGTACCGCCGTATATCGCTGATAACAGCTGTGCCCCCAAATGCGCTATCTTTGATGGCTTTGGATTGATGTAGCTAGTAATTACGATGCGCAATCCGATAGCACCAAAGCTTGGGCTATCGGCCGTCGCCGTCAGGGCACAGTGCCTCATCCCCAGCTGGTACGGCGTTGCGTTGAGCGGTTCGCCCAACTGTGTTTAGGGGAGCCACACAGGTTGGCCGGCCCTTTTTTGTCAGTGCCCGCAAAGCCTGAGCTCCACCTTTTAGCAGCGGGAGCCAGTGGTAGCCAAGCTATGGCCCAACGTGTGGTAGCGCCATCTGACTGCCAGCGTCTAACGTATGCAGTGTATGCTGCAAGCCAGGTGCGCCAGGCTCTGAACGAGGAGCAGCGAGGCCCAAGGGAGGAGAAGGAGGCTACGCAGGAGGAGTAGACGTTGGCAAAAGAAAAAAAAGAGTCTAAAGCGACGAACTTTTGGACAGCCACCATGGGGTTGGGCCAAGCCTTTGCTTTTTCGGCTTGTGCCCCAAGTATTGCACAGTGCTTGCTATGTGAGGTGAGGGGAAACATGTCTATGGAAACGGGCAAACGACACCAGGCAAACCAATTAGCTGTCAGCAATTCAGACTGTTTAACCCTTTCTGGAGGCGTTAAGCATTTCGGTTGATTGTACGTAAGTTGCAGAACAGTATCACTCGCTCTTTTCCCAAACCTAGACGGCACACGGCGGCATTCCTGGTCATCCCGTCTGGGGCTCCACGGCACCACCAGAAGCAGCGTACAGTGCACAGGCGACGCCCACCATTCCAGCCTGCTGCTACCACTGGAGCAACGGAATACCAACTGTGGTGTGCTCGTAGAACCGCGAAATTCTTTTCTTTTCCTAAAACGTAGCATCTCCCTTGACCAAGGTTTTTTTTTCTTCCCCTTTCCCATCATCACAGTCCAAGGGCCCATCATCTCCTGTGCCTTGGAGCAGCGCGATCTCCTTGAAATTCGTCGTCGCCACTTTCCTGGATCGCCCAGCACTGCCCGTCTCCGCCTCCAACGTTACCACCCGCCCGCCTGCACCAAAAACCAAACCTTGCAGCAGCCCCCTGGCCTCCACTATAAACTTTCGACGCGCTAGCTCCACCGTTCCCAAGCTTGATCCCTGCCCTCCCCCCAAACCGCAATCTTGCTTAGGCCCAAACCTCCTTATATCATATAACAGGCCAGGCCAGCCTCCCATCGCGACTCCCAAGCAACCTAATTTACTGCCACGGTAACTACTTAACTTCCCAATATCGCAACCGGAATTCTTTCTTCTACAAGACAGCAAAGTCTTGCACTCTGCCACCGTTTACTACACTCTACTGTTCCAACAAGCATCCGCCTATCTATACCGTCCTCCAATGATTCCTTGTCGCTGGGCATCTTCATATCGCAACCCAATCCCTTTTGCTTAGAGCACTCCGTCGCAATGGTGACCGCCAACCCCCAGCCCTACAACTTTGTCCTGCAGAAATACTTGCTGTTGCAGGAGCAGCACGAGGAGCTCTCCAACCACTTGGAGCAAATCCGCCCCCGCCAGCCCTCTGTTAGCAGCGCCTCCACCACCTCTTCCTCACCCGACATCTCTCCCAACCGCCTCGAATATATTGTGCCTACGGCCCACTCAGGTCACAGCCGCCGTGCTGACCGTGCTCGCGCTCGCGCACAAGCAAGATGCAGTGGTTGGATTAACAACCGCCGAGGCTCTGTCGTTCTCGACACCATCCCAGACGAAGACACGCTGGACGAAATCTCAGCAGAAGAACAGCAGCTGCTTGATGTAAACGAGAGCATCAAGAGAGCGCTGACTGAGCTACTCAACTCGGATATTATTCGAAAGGACATGTCCATGCGCATGTGGGCTCAAAGCCGACTTATGGAAGCAGAGAAGGAGCTTAGGTCAGGACGTCGTCGCCGCGGCTCTCCGCGCCGCGAATAGGCCCTGCCTCTTCCCGAGCCTCTTGTACACCTACTGAGCGTATATTATTTCTTGTAACAACACTTTCACATTTTGCCGCTCGAAGCATGGGCTATCGGGCGAGCCTTCAAAACGAAGCCCATCGCGGCTGGCTTTTCTATTACACATTTTTAATGGCGAGGAATTGACAGACAGCCGAATTCCGGCGTCTTTCTCTCCTTGCATCCATTTGCATCCTATATGGTATCATTCCCTTCAAGCTTCTCTTTACTCTGCATGGTTTTCAGAATGGTAGGGGCATAGCACCTCAGCATCCACACCTGCGATTTTGCTCCTCAGATAGGGAGCTCAAGTACATACGCACTAGTATACATACATAATATGACGAATAATGGCCTCTTCAATAACTGTTGCATTGTAATTGAGCTTTTCGTAAGAGCTTACCTTTAGTTCCTCCCCGCATTTCAGGTGTAGTTTATGTGTAACAGCGTTATGATGAGCTTTTGTCGGGACAATTGGCCCATGTGACTAGGCTGGGTGAAGAAAGCAGCTTAATTTTAGCCCTATTTGAACATTAGCAATTTTAGAGGACTTCACCAAAGCGGGCAAGGAATTCGGGGTTGTTTCACGCGCCTCAGTCTCCAACGCTGCGCCCAGATCCATCTAAGTTGGCCTTGCCGCAGCGGGCCCGCGCTAGTGACGTACTCTGCTAACAGTATTTTTTTGGGTCGCGTTTTGCCATCTCCAACTCCCACCAGCTTCAGACCTCATCACTCTGAGCGTAACAATGTCGGTCCTCCTTGAGACAAGCGCCGGTGATATTGTCATTGACCTTTTGGTTGATCATGCCCCTAAACTATGTGAAAAGTAGGCCCCAAGACAAACCACACTGTGCGGTGCGGTTCTGCTAACTGTACCTGCTAGTTTTTTGAAGCTCTGCAAGACCAAATACTACAATTTCTCACCGATCCATTCAGTACAGAAGAACTTCTCTTTCCAAACCGGCGACCCTCTGGGTCCTCTCTCGACCGAATCCGATGGCGGCTGCTCAATATGGGGGAACATCTCGCGGGACCCTACCAAACGCACATTCCCTGCCTTCTTCCATCCGAAGCTCAAACATCTTGAGCGCGGAACTGTTAGCATGGCAACTGCACCGCTACCATCAGACCCCGATACAAGATTAGCAGCTTCACAATTTATTATCACTCTCGGCGAAGAGACCGACTTTCTCGACGGCAAGGCTGCCATCTTTGGCAAGGTCGTCGAGGGATTCGACGCTCTGGAGAAAATTAATGAAGCTATAGTCGACGAGAAAGGCTACCCGCTTATTGATATAAGAATACAACACACCGTTGTCCTTGACGATCCATATCCAGACCCTGCTGGGCTACGAGAACCCGACGGAAGCCCGCCTCCGACAGATTCGCAGTTGAAAACAGTACGAATCGCCGATGAAGCGGCTCTACATGCTGATGATGGAGTGGATGAGGAGACATTGGAGAAAAGGCGGAGAGAAAGAGAAGCCCAAGCTCAGGCGCTGACACTGGAGATGATGGGTGACTTGCCATTTGCTGAAGTTAAGCCTCCCGAAAATGTCCTCTTTGTCTGTAAATTAAACCCAGTCACTGGGGATGAAGACTTGGAAATCATTTTTGGTAGATTTGGCAAAATTTTGAGCTGCGAAGTGATTCGTGATGGTAAAACAGGCGACAGCTTACAGTATGCCTTCATCGAGTTCGAATACAAGGCATCCTGCGAAGCTGCTTATTTCAAAATGCAAGGCGTCCTTATCGATGATCGCAGAATACATGTCGACTTTTCTCAGAGCGTGAGCAAGCTGAGTGATGTCTGGCGAAACAGCACCAACAAGAAACGGCGCGCCAACGCTGGAGGCTGGGGTGGTGTGGATGAGCTAGAGAAGCGCCGACAGTATAGAGCAGAGGGCGATAGGTCCGTAGGAAAGAGTTACGGTATGGTGCACGGAGACGAAGAATTGCGTGGCCGACATCAGCGGTCCAGAAACGACGGCCAAGATCGGGCATCCGGTCGCAGAGACGACCTCAGAGATGACCGGGGACGAGACACCAACAGGAGTCGCAGCCCCCGACGACGGGAAAGAAGCCGTGACAGAAATAACAGACCGAGAGGTGATGACCGCCATAGACGAGACCGCCATAGAGATGGCCAGAGCAGCCGAAGTTATGGGAAAGAGAGCAGTCACCATCGAGATAGCTACAGGCATGACGATCATGACCGAGATCGCCGAAGGGACGACAGACATAGGCGATAAAGCGAAACCCCCCTCTAGATACACATCGTGGTCTGTAGGCCTCGGTGTCGTCTCTTATCGCTTCATGCCTCCAACGTTGGGCGCTCTAAAATTATCTGGCCCTGTTTTAATGCTTTGGCCCGAGGACACCTCTTCATCATGCGGCGTTACGTCGCACAAATACCACGCCATACGTCAGACAGAATCAGCTCCTAGCCAAAGAAGTCACAGCGTCAAGAATATGGACGGCGGAATCTTCAGTTCATTTAGATGTGACGGCGTACGTTTCCCCTAAATAAACAACCATGTTTCGCAGGTCTGTCTCTCCAACTTGGACGGCGTTTTGCGCTGACATGGCTCTCGCGTCAAAGTCTATAATATCCTACAACGTATTACATCATAGTTGCACAAGTACTACGCGGTGTTGTCGAACCAGCAGAGCTCTTTGCTTAATCCACCGCATGCCCTAGTTTACTAGCATTATGTGCTGGATCTATTACGAAGACTGCCTAACATACCTCACGACCAGCATTACTAGGATCCCTTTTTGGTTATCTCACTGTACAAATGGAATAAACGCTGAATGATATTATATCTGTGGTCTTGCTCTGTGGCGTGTAAGTCCTCTCCTTCTCACGATAGTTCAATTTGCACTTACATGATACAAAATGTTACCCGCCACTTCTCGCATTTAACCTCCCACAGTACATGTCGACAGATAAAAGCAATGCAAATCGGTCTTATCATGTCGTTTGATAGTGGTTATTACAACGACTAAAGTAGGCGGCATGTGTGCTTCTTTGGCGTACATATCAGCCTGGATACCGGCGGGATCGACTTGTGTGATACATTGTGAGAGCATCGCTTGGCCATGATGGCTAAAATCATGCGCATAATCTCCAAGGCAGGATAAGGCTTTCACTCAGGCCTGGATTCATACGTTTTGGTTCGGCGTTGCGGTACCACGTGTCCTCCACACAAGGGGTTACTCAAAGCACGGTATCCTTCTACCAAGAAGACAACAAGTGGCAGACCAATGGATCCATGCTACATAGTTTCACATTGTGAGGCGTATGTAGTATGCCTTTCGACAGATAGAGGAGTGGCGTTGGCCGGCTGTGCCGATTTTGGGGTCCGCAAACGAAGTCCTGTTGCTGTCAAAGCAACATCTGTAAACGACACACCCAGACCGAGCCGGCACGCCGTATAGATCGGCATCGACTTGTCCAAACACACATTGTCAAGGATGATTTGAGACATCAGTTGATACGATAGCGTCGTAAACGCCTCCAGTACTGCAATGAGACGAGAATGCGAACCATCGTTGTACTAGCGAGGCAGCACACACCATAATTGCACCTGACTGAAGCCTCACTCCTGGTATGGTATTAGCTTGTCGCTTGCGCCCGTAGCTCTTTGGCTCCAAAATAAACAGCACGCAGCACCCCACAGCACCAGTCTTAAGCGGCTGGAGTGTGGTGTGGTCCTGCAGCCACGCAGCCTACCGCAAGCAGGTCCCCTGTTCTTCGGCATCCCCAACAGGAGACAATCATTAAGGCCTTCCGGATGATGGTTCCGTGCACAGTGGCTAGATGTAATATGCTAGCGGCATGGAAGGTTAAGAGAAGAAAAGAAGGATGCGGCAACCTACCGCCACAACGAAGCTGGCTTGTTCTGGGCAAACATACGCTACCCGGCGGGCAGTGACTGAGTTTCTATGCACATCACCGACGGTTATTCTCTCCACTCTTCATACAGTCCTAAAATGAAGTCACAAGTCTACTTTGTTGCAATCTCTGGGAGAATATTGACGTGGTCACTAGGCGATGCGGAACAAGCCAATTTCCAAGACCCATGGTACTTTCGGCTGCCTTGCTCTTCGTATTAGTTTTGTATGCTTCACTAGTAGCACAGAGTGCTCCGTCTCATCCTAATTGGGTCATTGCGTTACAAGATCCTCTGTTTCGTGTGGATATCGGCTATCTTTCAGCCGTCGAAAAATAATTGGATATATGATGCGAATTACGTATTTAGAATCTATATACCAAGGGCCACCATGTTAGCCCCAATCTCTAGGCAAGGTCGATAGCGAAGAGACAACACGAATGCAGGTCGGCTTGCCCGACAGCCAACCTGTAACCAAGGCGGCGAATGGCACCACGCCCACATTCAATAGGGCTTCGAGCAGAAGACAGTTGCTATTCAGCTGCTGAATTCAACCATTGCTTTTGAGCCCAAACATCCGTTTACGGGTAGAGGGCCCGGTACCGCCACTTGCCGAATATTTTACTTGTTTGAGCCGTTGATTATCCACCATTGCTACGCTGTCCTGATGTGGGCAGATGCATACCAGGGCTCCCTGCGTGTGGCTTGCAGGTTGCCAGCGTCTTGCAGTGTTTGATGGCGCCCAGCGCTGACTTGCATTGCCTAACTTGCAGGAAGAAGCAGAAAAGAGGGTATCCCGATTAAGGATACCACTAGCATTACCCTTGCCTTGCCACGGTCGTTTCGGGAAATGGGAGAAACAAGTGTTTGGAGATGGGCGATGTAAGTCACCCGAGATCCGGCTGGCCGTGGTGACAGGACATTTTATCGGCTTCATCCGTACGCTATGGCCACTTGCGGAATGGTGCAATAGCCAGCGAAGCAACCTTTTCCCGTGCCCCAACCCGCCATCCCCCCATATGATCGCGGGGAACCAGAGCCGGTTGCTAGGTGTCGCCGAATTGCTGAGTGGATGAAGTAAAGGACGGACCCTGTCTTGTAGCTTCAGTAGCAGCAGCAAGCGAGAGCAATCGTACGGTACCCTGCCGTCGTGCAGGTACTCCAGCCGCTCCATTTGATGGTGATACACCCCCTCTACTTCTCAACACCCCCTCATCTCTGTACTCAACCCTTATTAGGGTGATACATGATTGGTTGTGACGCTTCTCAGGCATGTTTGATCACAAGCAGGCCCTGGATGAGCCACTGCGCCAATCCCGTGTTGCTGGAGGCTGCACCCATTGGGAGAGAGTGTATGTAGTAGGCGGACTTTCTATATAACAGCGACTCCAGCGGCCTGTCCTCACATATGAAAGAATCCAATATCCATAATTGTATTGTTTAGGCATGATCCTTGTTTCTACGACTGACAGCTGCACCCAAACAACGGCTCTTCTTTCGTATTGCTCCCAGCAGCAAACGATCGTCTCTACTAGCGGTCAACAACTCTTTCAACGGGCCCCTCATCCAACGGCTAATTACCTTACTCGTCAAAGCCTCTCTACAGGCAATATGGTCAACCCCATAAACCACTATCCAATTCAAGGGAAACGATTTTCCCCTCGCGGCCTAGACCCATACTATGGCGGTCTCGTGGATCGCAAGGCAGCACAAAACCTACGCGCTGCGGAACAAGCTGAAGTTGGACCACATGAACGAGAAGCGAATGAAAATCAGCCTCAGAGAAAGCGCATATCACTAGCGGTACGTTGTTTGCCTCTGTGAGAGTTGCAAATCAGTCGCTAACAGCCTCCCAGTGCAGCCGGTGCCGCAAGAGGAAAATCCGGTGCAGCGGCGATGATGGCAACGGCCAGCCGTGTCTCAACTGCAAAAGCTCCAATAAGGAGCATGAGTGCCATTTCCTAAGGGTACGTTGATATTGATGTGAAATGTATTCAAACTGTGCACTAATGGACTTGTCAGGTTGGAGCGATTGCTAGGCCCGAGTTTGAGTATAACGTGGTTGCCTGCCGAAAGAATGAGCCAAGGGTGCCGTCTGCATATCAACCATTACCTGTGACACCAAACATCTACCAAGAGAACATGGTCATCCCAACGACAGAATCGAGTGTATACAGGAGCAATCCCCACTACGGTCTTGCACCGCGATACGTCTACCCAGTTGCCGGCTGGACAGGCGATTACTCTGATGAAGATGGTGCCGAATATGCGGTATGCCAACCATCGTATACGCAGCAGCTCAACGGTCCTGAGACGCAGTATGTTATGCCGTATCGCATAGTATCTACATCTGCAAGCCGTCAGCCCTTACAAGCGCCGGCCTATTCTGATCCAAGCATGCCGTTTGGTTACTCCGGAGATACAGTCTCAGCTCCTTTGATGCTGCGATCACCTAATCCAGACGCATTTCCCCTTGGACATGCCGTCGGTTCTGATCCGGTGGTAGATGGAAGCGAACGCCTCCCACTCGGATTGGCGCGTCGACCTCTTGTAGGCTGTGGTCCGTCCAACTATCGCGCTGGCTCTTTGTCATCGGCTTACAGTAAGAGCTCGCAGACGACGACAACGACGACGACGACGACAAGCACGAGTGACGCTGCCTCTCCAAGCAGCCCAGTGCCTGATATGTCGGCCAGCTACGCGGGCTATGAGTCTGTCTCCCCGCTCTCCGCGTTTCCTTTGTCAGTTACGTCAGCAGTACAGCCTCACATTGTGCCAGACAGCAATGTATATACCACGTCCATATCGCCAACCTCGGTACCTAGCACAGACGTTGTTTTGCGAACATCGGCGTCTGTCCCTGAGCTGAGTTACCGCTACGACGACACGACTATTCGGCTGGCAAAGAGCGGATCTACCGAATGCTTGTACTCTGGCATGGAGCTAGCCAGGCCATACCATGTGCTTCGGAGCCAAAAGATCAAGGCGTTATCTTCGCCAAGAAGCGATCCAGGTACTACCAGCCCTGAAATCAGGTGTAAGAGATCGCCCAGCCTGTCGACTTGCGGTATTCCGGGATGATGTAATAGGACCATAGAAGTTGGAGGGATGTTGTTTCCTTTTCATTTTGGGGGTTGAAATATTGGTAGGAAGTGGTTTTGGTAGCTGGGCCTGGGCCTTTTTATTTGATAGAATAGCTAGCTAGTGTAGGTTTTCTTTGCTGTTTGAACGTCGGGATGTAGAGACATGGCATAGATGGTTTGGCTACAATTGGTTTTCTTGTATTTAGAAAAAATCTTTTTTTAGTTTATCTTTCTCTGATGGGTAGGAATTTGGCTGTAGCTTCACATTATTTACTATAGAATTGTTTATTTTTTTCTTCTTTTCGTTTTTCTTTTGCTCTTTGTTCTTTGCACTGTAACCATCAATATTGGTTTGTGGCTTTCTTAAGTGGAGGTACGGTACCATAGACCAGCGTAACTACGCTGTACTTTGGACCCTAAAAGAGAATAGTGTCTGCAAGCCCCAGCATTTGAGCGTAGTGAATGCAAGCCCTTTGTTCCCCAAACACGCAAGGCTAATGCCGGACGTGCAGTTGAAAAGGCGGTGTTGGGTGTAGACGGGCCAATTGGGCGCGGGGGAAAAGCCATGCTGCCGCCGTTCGGCAAGCTGTGGTGGGGGTGGTTTGACGGCGGAGCAGTTAGCGGGGGTGTCCTTCCGCCGCGTTTCCCCCAACCAACTTCACACACATACACACGTATCCTTCGTTTTTTACTTTTCTTGCTGCTTGTGTTTCCCTGCCACGCAAATGTCCATTGCCAAGTTGCGCAGACAGCAGGATTCCAACAACAGTTCGCCAAACATGCAGGTCCCTTTGCTCCGCCTCCAATGCGGCGTCAACTCGTACGAATGGGGTAAGAAGGGCAGCTCTTCTGCCGCCGCCAAGTTTGCTGCTGCTACACCTGCTGCCAACTTCTCCATCCAGGAAGACCAGCCGTATGCCGAGGTGAGAAGAGATGAGAAGAAAATTGACATATCATGGGACATATCATGGGCTAACCTGCTGTCTTGGGCTACAGTTGTGGATGGGCACCCACCCCTCCAACCCCTCCAGAGACCTGACCACCGGCCGAACACTCCTTGAGCTTTGCAGCGAGAACGAAATCCTCCTCTCCAAGACGATTGCCGACAAGTATGGCGCCAAGCTGCCCTTCCTCTTCAAGGTGCTCTCCGTCAACAAGGCCCTGTCCATCCAGGCCCATCCCAACAAGAAGCTTGCCGAGCAGCTGCACGCCCGCGACCCTAAGAACTATCCCGATGACAACCACAAGCCTGAGATGGCTATTGCCATTACCCCCTTTGAGGGACTCTGCGGCTTCCGTCCCCTGGCGGAGATTACACACTTTCTCAACTCGGTCCCGTCCTTCAAGAAGCTCGTTGGTGCCGACAATGCCACTGCTCTCGCCAGCGCTGCCAACGACGGCGCCGAGGGCGTTACCGAGGGCAAGAAGGCTGCGTTGAAGACGGCCTTTGCTGGCCTCATGTCTTCGTCTGCTGAGGATATTGCTGCGGCCGTCAAGGAGCTCGTTGCTCAGGTCGAGGCTGAAGGTTCCTCGTTTGCTGCTGGCGGTGTCACCTCCACCTCTGGCGAGACTCTTGCTGAGCTTGTGCCCCGCCTCAACAGCCAATTCACCGACGACATTGGCCTTTTCGTTCTCTTCTTCCTCAACTTTGTTAAGCTGGAGGCGGGCGAGGCGCTCTTCCTCGTCGCTGACGACATCCACGCCTACGTCTCTGGCGACATTATCGAGTGCATGGCTGCTTCCGACAACGTTGTCCGTGCTGGATTCACACCCAAGTTCAAGGATGTTACAACCCTCGTTGACATGCTCACATACAACTTTGCTCCCATTGACGAGCAGAAGATGACCCCCGCCGAGTACCCCTATGCCACTCTCAACGCCCCCGCCTACACCAGCGGATCCAGCGTTTCTCTTTACGACCCTCCAATTGACGAGTTCAGCGTTGCTCGCGCCCAGCTCAAGGGTGTTGGTGCCAAGGCTACTTTCGAACCCCTTGAAGGCCCCAGCATTGTCATCTGCACCAATGGCTCTGGCCGCATCTCTGTTGGACCTACCGCTTTCGACATGGAAGAGGGATACGTCTTCTTTGTTGGCTCCACTGCCGAGTGCGTGCTGGAATCTACAAGCGAGGAGTTCACCACCTTCAAGGCATTCTGTGAAGTTGATGACCAGGCCAAGGAGCGCTTGTAACGGTAATGAATGAACAATGGCGAAGCAGGGAACAAAAAGTTTGCTTGACGAGAATCACGCTTATGTAGTTGACTGAAATGAATCATGTTTAATATTTCCCATCTTAATTTTTTTTACTCTTTTCTCTAAATTCATGTAGGAGATGCCGCTTTGGACAATTGTCTATTGTGTCCATTGACCGCCCAGGGGGCTTCTGCCAGATCGACGTCACGTCTCCGCACCCACCCCCCAAAGCTTAGAAGCCGCGCAACGAGACGTTAGCAGCACACCACACCACTCCAAAACCCGACGCCACCAAACAACCGACGAAGGATCGCTACGCGCAGACAGCCGACAGTCTGTGGTTTCCCAACGTCTAAAGCCGCCCGCCCCCTCCACTCTCCCATCTCCCCTTCCGCATCCTCCTCATCGCGCGCGCGCAGTCTGCTGCAGTCCTGCCATTGTCCTCCCTTGCATGGGCTAAGGACGCTGCACATTCCGCCTGCGCAATCCTTCCGACCGGTCGACTTTGATCTTCCTGTCCCTGCTGGGTGCGCGACCGTGCTGACGCCGATATCTCTATCGCCATCGCTCGCCACTTGGGTCTTTGCCGCTCGCGCGTCAGGACCAGCGACCGACTAGCTACCTTTGCATTGTTTCTGTTTGCAAGAGGCTAACCAATGTAAGTTGGGACCGTGTTGAAGAAGCCGGCAGCTGCCTCCTCCCCACCAGTGCCTCGACATGACGGCTGTCCTATCTATCACTTGCTCTTTCCGAGTCTTTTGCGATGCCGACAGGAAGGCTGCTATTCCAGAGACGGCCACGTTAAGAATCATGACCGAAGAGCTTTAGCTTTTGGCCCTCGCCACACAAACCCTCTCTATACCCCTCCTTTAGCTGTGTGCTCTTTTTATTTTATTTTAGAGTCGACATCTTTGGAACAATTCCTTGCTAACAAATGGGTGGCAGGCGAAAAGATCGGGCCGCAAACGAAATCAACCTTTTAAAAGAAAACTTAGGACCATATTATCATCAACCGCCCCAGGCGGTGCGAAACGACATGTCACAACGAAATCGAAGCGGCCGTGGCGCGGGCCGAAATACAGGCCAGACGCATGGAGAAGAGGTGCAGATTTGGGACGCTTGCAAGAGCCAGCTATCAGAGATCGTGTCGGGCATCAATGCCGAAAACGATGCGCTTTCGCAGCTAGTTGAGATGGACAAGCAGGCCGGCACAATGGATGCAGACGAGGTTCCCAAGGAATCGCTCAAACAGATGGATGATTTGTGCCGAACCGGACTTAAGCACTCGGATGCCAACATTGCCAGTCTGAAAGCAGTCATGGAACAGTTGAAGATTCTTCGCGCTGTCATTGTTGCCAAGGAGCAAAACGAAGCTGGGGCAGCAGGCCCTGGCAAGCGGGCTGCGAGAGACGCTGCTGCGTCGTCTCTGTATGACTTTGACACAGCGGGCGACTCACCTGTACCTAGTCCTATTGGAAACAGCACGCGAAAGCATAGCGAGCGCAACAAGGACCGTGAGCGAGACAGAGACAGTATGCCGCCCAAGGCTGAGAGCGTCGAGCCACCAGGTGGCAGCGCCAAGTCCAAGGTGATCTTTGCCAAGGGCGACGTTGTAGCTTTTAAGCCTAAGGGCGCCAACGGAGAGGCTTCGTCGGATTGGATTATGGGCGAGGTTGCTCAGGTGCTAGGAGACGCTAAGGGCAGACGATACAAGGTGCTTGACATTGAGCCGGATGACCAGAGCAAGCAGAAGGAGTACAGACTGCTGGCTGCCAACATGATTTCTATTGCGCCAGAAGATAAGGCAAGCACACTGCCAGATTGGGAGTCGGGCCAAATGGTGCTCGCCCTGTACCCGCAGACCACGACGTTCTACAAGGCTGAAGTGCACAGCATGGACAAGGAGGGCAAGGTCAATCTCAAGTTTGAAGGGGAAAACGACTCTACAACGCTGCAGCAGGTGGAACGCCGGTTTGTGATTGAATATCGGCCGTGATGTGCTGCTGCTGCTAGTGTTGACTTGTGTGATGTCAGTGAAGGGGCAAGATAATGACGGGTTTACGGCGTCGGCGTTTTTTATTGCTGGGTTTTGGTATATTTGGTTCTTCCCAGACAAGGAGGGAGGCTTGACCTGTAAGACTATCCTTACGAAGCATTCTGTACCAAAAAGAAAATTGAAGAAAAAAATAATCATTGATTAAGGCCCGGGATGTGTGTGTTTGTGTTGATAGTGAGTGCACGGTTATTGGCATGGATATGCTGTAGCAGACTGAATATACAGAGACTCCGTTGTTATAGGAGAGACGTATGTGAAATCGAATCAAGCTATGCGATTAGCATGTAGTTAGGCGTGTCATTGCCCGCGCCACCAAGCCAAGTAACAAAGCAAACTATGTAGCTTGACCAGAATGGATTGTTTGCCTGCTAAATAGATTGTCTGTTTCCGCTAACAAACCAATAACGCCCTGGTTAGCGCTGGTTGTGTGGACCGCCGCTCCCCCCCACAGGGGACCTGCAGCTGCCTGTACGGAAGACGAAGCGGCCCCTGGCAGGAAATTACAGGGCGGATGGCGGCGCCACTTTTCGCAGAGCGCCGCCTGGGTATTGGCGCGCAGCGACTCCGAGGGGCCGCCCGGGCGGTGTTTGGTGGTGGTGGTAGTGGTGCCTGGTGAGATGCGGTGCACGCTACCAAATGCCGGAGAAGCGTATACCACGTAGAGAGTACAGGAAGCCCAAGGGGATGAAGAAGAGGCCCATGGGTGATGGTGTCATTGTGTTGTGCGTCTCGATGATTTCGAACCATCTGCCGGATATCCCATTCTCTCTTCCTTTTTTCTTTCTGTGTCCCCTCTCATCTTCCCTTTTGCCTAGCAATTCCGTATTTTTCGCTAGCGTGATCACCTGCCGCAGCTAATACCTACCTCTCCAGTCGCGATCGTCGGCCACCTCTCCTCCTCCCCTTTTCGTGTTTTCTTTTCTGGCCCCGTCTTGCAACCCTTTGTACGCTCTGCAGTCACCGCCCGCCTCCTTTGCTTGGAAATACCTCGAATTAGCACGGCACGGGCATTCTGCGAATATTTACAGTCGCCTCTCTGTCTCTCGACTTGCACTAAACAAAACGGCCAGTTCCTTGCGCTCCCCCTCCCACGACCCCTCGACGTCGCGACTCTCTCTCTCTCTCTCTCTCTACAACCAACCAGCAAACACAACAGTCTTTTTCCGACCGCAATCATGGGTGGCTCATTCTCCAAGGTTATGGGCAAGATCTTCGGATCCAAGGAGATGCGCCTGCTGATGCTGGGCCTCGACGCTGCCGGCAAGACCACCATTCTCTATAAGCTCAAGCTCGGCCAGGACGTCACCACCATTCCTACTGTCGGTTTCAACGTCGAGACTGTCACCTATAAGAATGTCAAGTTCAACGTCTGGGACGTTGGTGGCCAGGACAAGATCCGTCCTCTGTGGCGCCATTACTTTAGCGGTAAGGGATCACGCCCTTCTGTTGCTGCCTGCCGTATCTGCTCGGCTCGGAGCATGTTGTGCAGAAGATATAGCACCGCCGCAAAAAGACACATTGCTAACTCGTTGTTCCTTTTTTTGGTATAATAGGTACTCAGGGTTTGATCTTCGTCATTGACTCTTCGGATCGCGCCCGCATGGACGAGGCCCGACAGGAACTCCACCGCATTATCAACGATCGCGAAATGAAGGACAGCTTGTTGCTCGTCTTTGCCAACAAGCAAGATCTTCCTGATGGTTCGTGTGCTCCAGGATATCCTATAAAACTATGGATGCGTTTGCTAACTCTCCACGTGCAGCTCTCAAGCCCCAAGAGGTGACCGAGGCCCTCCAACTCTCTAAGCTCAAGGACAAGGTCTGGTACGTTGTGCCCTCGTGCGCCACCACTGGCGAGGGTCTTCTCGAAGGTCTTGCATGGCTCTCCAACAACGTCAAGGCCCCTCCTGCGCCTGCTAAGAAATAAGCGCTTCTCGGAAACAAAGCTACTCGACTATCTACCTGCGTTAATAGGAGATCCCACGGCTGGATCTCCGTGCTCTTTTGTTTTGCGTTGACCTTTTTCCTGTACAAGCGACCCAATACTTATTAATACCTTGTTCGATTATCACGACCCAGCCTTTTTGAGGCTAGATTACCATCTCCCCGGAAGATGCACGGCGCTGCCTAGCGAGTAGGCTGCTTTGGCCATTGGGGTGACTGCTGAGGCAAACGAAATACCGGGCAACTTGATGGCAGCTGGCCGATGATGCTGTACCGCTGGTCCTATAGTCGTCGTATTTCGACTGATGCCTAGCCGATGGAATGAATCTAGCGGAAGAAGTGTTGGATTGGGACCAAAAAGCGACCACCATCTGTCACTCACAGTCTCGGATGGAGAAAAGACAACTTTGTATCTGCTAGGGAAAAAACAAAAACTACGGGGGGATTAATTGTTGGCGAACCGGACACTGATTTGCTTATACCATTTTCGTGTACATCTAATTACGTCTTTTTATTTGTTCGTTTCAAATCCAAGATATACAATATTGCGCGGCACAAATCATGTACAGATGTAAAGAATGTATAATCGAGTGTTTATCAATGGATACACTAACGTGTGATACCAAAAACGCCAAAAATGCTTTAAGAGACAACGCCGCCAACTCCTACGCAGAAATCAAAAGTGACCAATCTAGGTATCCATCCTCTTCCAATAACACCAACAACCTGAGAAACCAACCAACAGCACCTCAAAAGACGGAAAACTATCAAAACCAGACGCCCGGATGCCCACCATGAACGATACCAACACGTTTTACTCCTTGACTCGTTTTGACGGGCGAAGAAGGGAATCGTCAGCCAGTCCGGTTCTTTTGGTGCCCGGTAAGCTGTTGGTGCGGATATCGTTATCGTCTTGACTGACGCGGCGGTGGGGGTATTCAAACTTGATTCCCTCGAAAGCATTGGCGCTAACTTTGTCACCGGTGCTGAAGAAGGGAAGCTGAAGCGCCTGGGCCGCCGTTAGACGCTTCGTGGGGTCGTATTCGAGAAGACCAGAGAGGAGGCGGTAGCCATCCTGCCCGAGAGAGACGAGAGAGGAAGAGGAGGTAGATGAGACGTTTGTGCTAGTGGGTGCGTTATGGATGGTATTGTTGTACCACTTTTCAAGATTGGATGAAGGAGGGATGCCGTGCGAGGACTGGTGGCGTGATGAGGATGATGGCGTGAGCGAGGCGACAAGGGTGTTAAGCTGGCCGTACTCGGGCATCGTGGAGAGCAGGGGCCACTTGCTTTTAGTCGGGGCACCCATGATTTCCATAATCTTCTGCATCTGATTACGCTGAAACGGAACCGTCTTCTTGCTGTCCATCTTGGCCTCCTCGCCTTTGAAGATGGGACGCAGCGAGAGCAGCTCGGCAAAGATGCAGCCCACGGCCCACATGTCGATGGCCGGCGTGTAATGATAGGAGCCGAGTATAAGCTCAGGCGCACGGTACCAGATGGTGACGACGACCTTGTCACCGTTGAAGAGCGAGTGTAAGGGCTTGTCGAAGCGTCGAGCAAGACCCAAGTCACCAATCTTGACTTCGCCAGACGATGTGACCATGATGTTGGCGGGTTTCAGATCGCGATGTAGCACCCAGTTGGTGTGAAGATAGTGGCAGCCGTTGAGCAGTTGGAACATGATACTTTTTACAGTGGCGGGAGGAATCGGCTGGCGCGGCTGCTGTGTGTGGTGGTGGATGATTTGGAGCAAGTCGTGCTCGGCGTATTCAAAGACCATGAAGATGCACTTGTCCTCGAGAATGATTTCGACCAGGCGGATGACATTGGCGTGCTTGAGTTCGCTGCAGAGGCTCATCTCGCGGATAGCACTCTGCGAGATACCCGTATAGCTGACCTGCTCGCCCTCCTTGTCGGGCTTGAACTTTTTGATAGCCACCTCGTGTCCACCAGCTGTCGACGACACGCCCATGGCGTCCGTCGAGATGACGCCGCTGCGCCCTACGGCCTTGTATACTCGTCCATATGTACCGCTGCTGATGAAGCCGACGATTCGGTATCGCTCTGTCACGCGGGCTCGCGGTTGGTATCCCGGGTTTCGGCCGATGCCGTCTGCTGGTCGTTGGTAAGCATTGTGCGCGCGAGGAGCTGCTGCATAAGGGTTCATGGAAGAAGAGGAAGAGGACGAGGCAAGCAGGGAAGTAAACGGGTAAGGAGGGCCATCTTGTCGACGCTGGTACTGATAGAAGCCGGTGTTGAGTTGCTGCTGCTGCTGCTGTTGCGTGCCGTTGGAGCTGTTGCCGCCACCAGCTGCCCCTGGCCGCAGACGCAAAGGCATTTGACGGCAGAAGAGACAAGAAAGACAGTGTAGCTCTGTGGTGCGTTGAACTACTGTGCTCTCGATATCGTCATGGCCAAAGCAAACACAAATGGCAGCAGCGGGGAGGCAAGAAAATTCCAGGAGGCGACAATGTTGGAGCTCTCGGAGCGGTTGACGTTGCAGATTGGGAAAAAAAGACCGGCGACCTGCTCCACCACAAACCTGGAGGCGACCCTCTGTAACTCCACTGGGGTTGGCGGCGCCAGTGGCCAGTGCAGCGCTATTACAAGGGGGGTGGTTGTGCCGTAGGAGAAGGGGAGCGAAGAAAGCAAATGGCATAAAAGGAATCAAGAAGAGGGTTCATGGAAGAAGGAGATAAAACACAAACATACCATCAAAGGTGGCCGCTACGCCACGCTTCAGCGACTGATGCGTCCGCAGAGCAGATCCCGAGGCCGTTGACGGAGGATTCGTCAAGCTCATAGCTCGCTATTACTCAAGTAGAAGAAGTCCCAGCGTAGAAACCGCCGCTCCGATGCCGTGATAAGCGCCGAACCTCCTCCACTGAACTGAACTGACCTTGCAAGGATGCAGCAGCAAAGCAGCCGTCGGGCTCGTCAGCCAAAGCAACCCTGCCTCTTCTTTGCGCTGGATGCACGCACGCACGCTGCCAGCCAACGGGCTAGGTTAGGCTAGGTTCTGTACGTACTGTAGCAGCACGATGCGACCCGAGTCAAGCTCTCCTGCGCCCAACGTCTCTGCGCGGCGCGAGGTCGATCGCGCAACCTGCCGATGCCTGTATTCGCTAATGCGCTCAGTGCTGCGGTGCCCGTCACAACCCTGTATTCTGGGCAGCGAATTGCACAGATGCACCCGATCTCCAAGCAGCGCGGGATGGGTTGCTGCGACGGCAAAGGAATCTCGCTTCGGATGCGGTAGGGCGAGAGATTGCGGTGGAGAGACAAAGGCGCAAGACCAGGGCGTGTCTGTGGGCAAGACGGGCAAGTAAAAAGAGAATAAAGGCGTGATGGAGATTCAGCAGACGGTGCGCTGTGCTGGTGATTTGTATGAGTGATTGTAAAATGAGAGAAGAGTCGTGTGTTTTGCTTTGCGCGCAAACTAAGGCCATCGAGGTTGCGGTGGCTGCGTGTGATGCTGAGGGAGCTTAATGTAAGAAGCTGGCCAATCACAGTGCAGATGCGCATCCTCTTGTGTAATATACATTGCGCATCCCGCCACTTTTGGTTTTTTTTACCGCTTATTTTTACAGAAGGGAGAGAAGTGGATGCTTATTATGTGATTCTAGCCTGGGAAGCTATCGTGATTAATTTATGAGTAAAGATTGATGTAACATTTTCACATGAACAGAGAATCTCATCGTGTGATGGCTGCCTCTGTTAGCTCACGTCCACTACGATCATGTTTAACAAGTACACAGGCTAAAAAAGAGAGCGAGAGACAAACAAAAACTTTGCATTGCTTTCTTTCATAAATTTCCATTTTCAATGGTGTAACAATAAAATATAGTAATAACTGGCCATGAAATGCATGCTTTGAAATGCCCCTTTTGCTACCTTTATCGAGGCCCAAGCTTCTCCAACACGCGTGTGCCTTGCTCGTCCCATTCCGCCTTGGTAACCCACATGCTCTCCTTGTCTGCCATGATGTTTGCCAGCACAGCACCGCCCAGGAACACCATGTGTCTTCGTCGGGGAGGGTCTTCTATGCGAACCTTGAACTTGTTCAGGCGCTCCGGGTTGCCCTGCAGAGCCCGTGTCAGCCACAGCTGCTTCAGCTCCTTCTCCAGGCGAGACGGCAGGCCGGGGTACATGCTGCTGCCACCAGAGAGAACAATAGCCTTGAAAAGGGAAGCGCGAATATCAACATCGGCCGACTGGATCGTGTTGAACAAGAACTCGCCCAGACCCGGCGATTCGCTGTCGACAAGGTGCGGCTGAAAGAGGCATTCCGGCGCCTCAAAACGCTCGCTGCCCACGCGGATAACGCGGCCGTCAGGCAATGTGTAGTCTTCGACAAGCGTTGTTGTGTCCTCGCTCAGGCGCTTGTCAAGCTCCAGGTCGTATGATACGTAGCACAGCTTCTCCTTGATCTGGCGCACCGTCTCGAAATCGGCGGTTCGGTTGAGTGCGTAGCCGCGGCGCAGAAGCAGCTTGATCAGGTTGCGGGTCACATCGCGGCCCGCAACGTCAAGGCGCTTGGTAAGGTGGTTGAGGACGACGGATTCGTAGACGGGGACAATGTGGGTGACACCGTCACCCGAGTCGACAACGACACCTGAGCTGAGACCTATATAAGACCTCAATTAGCAGGCTGCACACACCTTTATAAAAGAACAGCACTTTAGTATTCGAGACAACTCACCTTGGGCGTAGAGCGCCAGGACGGCCTGGATGGCAACGTAGACGCCGTTGAAGCCGTACTTTTCAAACATGACCTGGCACATCTGCTCACGGTTCTTCAGAGGGTTCATGGGCGGCTCAGTCAGCAGAATTTTCTGGCCCTGAGGATCGACCTTGAGCTTCTCATAAAATGTGTAGTCCCAGAGATGCTCCATATCATCCCACTTCTTGACGATACCGTTCTCCATGGGGTAGCTGATTTGCAGCATGGTGCGGGCAGCGGCGGCCTGGTCTCCGCACATAATGTCCTTAATAATGATGTCATTGTCCGTCTTTTCTTCGGATCGCAGGATGGGACGGCCGACGATGGATGGGAACTGGTGCTCGGGGAAGTTCTGGCCGGCATAGCCAACCTTGAGGAAGCCGGTTCCTCCGTCGAGGACTGTGGTAGAGAGGGGCTACGTCAGCTATTCAGGCTTCTCATTGAGCGGGCGGCGAGGGGCAACGCCCAACGCATCGCTGGCAACGGTGCGCGGGCTTGCTAAATGCCGATGCGTCGACAATATACATACCAATGGGGGGAGGGTTGGCCATTTCTGTAGTGTTGCACGGCTCAATGCGAGAGAGAGGGAGACGTTGCGGTGCGGGAGCTTGTTGCGTAAAGCAGTGAGGCAGAGCTTCCGTTGGTGGAACCAAAGCGCATGGTGGGGTCAACCCGCCATCCAAGGTCGCCATCAGTGACGACCAGTGCATCACGTGATGCCCCGTGGAGGGCGTGTGTAAGTCGCAGCCCCAGCGGTTCAACACCTCGTCGGGGACTTGCGATGTCGGGGTTTTCATCGACAAGTCTAAAATAAGGTTGTTCAAAGCCAGAAGTCACCTATATCACTACCACAATTTCATACAGTAGTATCTCCTTTGGCACTCCCTACGACTACCTAGTCAAGATGCGTATCCTGCTACTCAACCCCAACTGCAGTAGCCAGATGACAGATGGCATGCTCGCTGCTGCAAAGTCACTGCCCATTTCTGAGGTATTTATTGCTGCTTGAGAACAATCTGTTTTATTTATTCATGGTTGTCAATTTTTTAGAGCATAGATATACAGCCTTACACTGCCACAGAAATGGCACCTGCCAGCATCAACGACGACGACGGCATTCAGAGCAGCACAGCCTGTGTGCTTTACGACTTGTCGGTTTCTACCAAAGGCTTTTTAGAGACTTTTGATGCTGTATTAGTGGCATGCTACAGCGTTCATAGTCTGGTCCCCCAGCTGCAAAAGCAATACGATTTGTCTGTCCTGGGAATCTTTGAAGCCAGTGTCCTTACGGCCCTCTCCATCACCAAAGAGAGTGAGCAATGGGGCATTGTCACTACGGGGCACTTTTGGGAGCAGCACCTGTCTGATGGAGTCAAGGCCTTCCTTGGACAAGGCTCAGCAGAACAGAATAACCGCTTTGCTGGTGTCTTTTCTAGTGGCCTCACTGCAGGCGACTTTCATACCGTGTCGCCCGAGCAGGTAAAAGAAAAGCTTCGCGACGCTACTCTCCGGCTTCTCAAGTCTGGCAAGGTGTCCTGCGTTGTAATGGGCTGTGGTGGAATGGCCGGCCTTGAAGATATTATCCGAGGAGCTGCAGAAGAGCTGAATGGGCCCGAGGCGGCCAAAGCTCTATACATTATCGATGGCGTTCAAGCGGGCATTCTTCAGCTTCACCAGATTATCCAGAGCAAGCGTGCATTTGTATGAAGCATTTCCTTTTTTAAGTATATACTGATTCTGATAGCTAATAATTACAACGGCTGGACTATCTAATCCAGTCTACGGACTCTACCCCAAACTTCATCCAGATCTCTCTTCCCCTTTGTCTCTGGGATCTTCCATTGAATGAACAGAGTAGAAACGGCAGCGACGGCAGCGAAGATGAAGTACACCCAGCCATGCCCTCCAAGAGCATTGTTTAGGGCTGTGTTAAGGATGGGGAAGAACTGGGCAACGAAAAAGGTTGACACGTAAGCTGCTGCAAGGCACCAGCTTTGCGCAGCACCGACTGCTTCTTGGCCAACGAGCTCAGAGGACAAAATAAATGGGACAGGTCCTAAGCCAACAGCAAAAAATGCGACAAAGAAGAGGACCGAGATGGCGGACAACACCTTATAGCCAAGGACAATGGATAGAGCCAATGCAAAAGAGCTGCTTCCTTGTCCAATAACGGAGATCAACAGACATGTCTTTCGACCCAGACGGTCAGGCAATGGCGAACACGCGAGGGTCATGGCCAAGTTGACGATGGAGATGATGACGGTGAGGAAGGCGGAGGAAATGGGAAGGAGGTCAGCAAGTAACGAAACAGAGTACATGATAATGCTGTTAATGCCGCAAAATTGCTGTACTGCCATCACACCCACTACCGCAACAATGGCGGGACAATATAGCGGATCGCGGACAACCTCGGCAAAGCCCATATGAACAGGGGCGACTCTCGTGGAATTAGAAGGCTCCGATAGAAGACCCTGTTCCTCTCCATTGGTATCATCGCCCCAGGTAGCAACCTCGTCCTGGATATCAGCATCCTTGCCGCGAATACGCTGCAGCGTGCGCTTGGCTCGAGTGACATCGCCGTGAGCAGCCGTCCAAGCTGGGCTTTCAGGTACTGCCAGCAATCCAACGACCTGAGACACGCCGATGAGTGCTCCGGCACCAAGGATCCAGCGCCAGACACCACCATAGCTCAAAAAGAGACCTAAGACTTGCGTGGCAAGGATACCGACATTGATGGAGACTTGAGTCATGACACCAAAAAAGCCGCGGGCATCAGGCGGCGCAATCTCGCTAATGTAAAGCGGAACAATTACAGTTGAGCCTCCTGCTCCAATACCCGAGAAGAATCGGCCAAATGCCATTGCAGGTGCATTTCCAGCAAACGTTTCGATCAGTGAGCCGAATAGAAAGAGCAGGGCGGTGATTCGCATGGCAAGCAAGCGGCCGCGCTTGGACGAGAAGGGTCCCGAGCAAAGGGCACCGATAAGGCCGCCCACGGTAAAGACGGATGAAATAGTCGCAAAAGTGGCCTCTGACATGGGGATACAGTCGGGAACGTAGGCCGCCTCAGACTTGGACGACCCTTGAAGCCATTCTACCAGCCTGGGCGACTTCTTGGGGCAGGTGATGGCATTTTGGGGGGCGTTTAGTTCAGCCTGTTAGATTGTTAGCTTCCATAGTACCAATATTTGATTAGGCGAACGTACAATATGGTAGCCGAACTGGAGAGGACCAAGGGTTGAGACAAAGACAAGGAAGATGAGGTGAAGCGTCGTGTTTCGGAGGGCGTCCCTCACTTCTATGTCGGCCATGTTTTTATCTGGGTGTTGCGGTAACTACGGCTAAAGGTAATGAGATTTTATGATTGTAGCCTTATCGTAACCTTTTCCCTTTGCGCGCCAGAATTGCAAAGGACTCCTGCTAACGTTGCTGATGAATGTTGGGGAAAATGGGGTTCGGTTGAGCGTGGGGGGACATCGTGAAGAGGCGGCGGCTGTAGTACCAGAGCTCGTGACCTACCCTTTTCGGCGCAAGCCTCGCTAATAAGCCTACTAAAAAAACAGAGGTCTGTTCGGGAAGAACATCATATAATGAGAATAACGATAATAGGGAAAATATTAGGAATAATAATAATCATTATTTTCATTATGCCTTTCTATTCATTCTATACATTTCGGCCCCATCTAATTACAATACTTAGCTGTAAAGAATATTCTTAACCTCCTTCTCGACGTTCTATTACACAACAGTCAATTTCTAATCTGGGTAGTAAAAGTATAATTGGGATCAACTTACCGATCTGTAGACGGATTGGAAGCGCATTCTAAGGAAGCACTTTAGGTTCATCTTGTCGCGCAAGAGGAAAGTAAGAAGCTGGTTGCCGAGAGAACCAGCTGCGTAGCCACCCAGCAGAGCACTAATCTCATCCCGCACAATACCCCATCCACCAAGGGCATCTACTCGGAGCGAGTAGACAAGGTGGGCAATATGATTGGATATAAGAGCGTGATGGAGGTTGTCCCAGATGTAGCCAATATCGTCAGTAATCATGATACCTCCAGGTTGCTCCCAATCCATTGCAATGTTGTGTTTCGTCAGGGTTGGTCTATGCATGCGAATACCGCCGTAGTCGCGGATAGCGAATCCCTTGATTTCGCCTGTAGTCTTGCATACGCGAAGAACAGAGTTTTGCTGGTGTGCTTCAAAAGCAATACCAAGCGTGATGGCGGGTAAGAGCACAGTCTTGAACAAGCTTCTGACATAGCTCTTAAACCAGGCTAGTCGTTGCTCTTCGGTATCCAAGTTGAATACGACTTCGGCGCGGGTTTTGCGATCACCAGGTTGCTGCTCAAAAAGGGATGTTGCGATGATGAGCGACTCCCCATTTGCAGCAGCCTTGGGCTCGAGGTCGTCTCTCAGAATACATGACAAGTGCTTAGCGTCATCAAAGTCGCTTTGGCTACCGCAGAAAGCCGCTTCCTCTCTGAAAAGCCACAGAGACTCTGGCAGTTGTGGTTCTAACTCGTCTAGAATCTTGGTAATGATGGGCGATGTGCTGGCGGTCCAAGGTGTAATGGTGCGGATGGCAGAGGTGATTTGGACCGCGAGAGGTAGCTTAATCTGGTAAGGGAATTGAAGCTCCGGAATTGTTGAGAGAGATCGAATACTGCATTGCGCTTCAAATTGATCCCCAACTTGTTTTAATATCTGGACGTCGCTGAAACGGGCGTGGATCGAGGGAAGCTGTCGAGTGAAGCAGATGAGAGCAGCGCGATCGTCAGCAATGGCTGGAATATCCAACTTTCGCATAAGTGGCTTCATCATCTTTTCAAAAGGGCCAGTAATGATGACGGCATTTCGCGGGACAGAAATAATAGACACACTGGGCCGGAGCAGTTCGGGGATGTCGTTGGGAGAGACTGGAGACAAGGGTGGCAGAGCGAAGCACGAGCGGTGCAGCTATGAGCCGTTAGTGTTATCATCCCGAAAATTCAGGGATAGAACAATTCTTACAGGATGAATCGGGTGGCCATAAACAACGCTCTGTTCCCAATCCATAAAGGACGACTTGATGCTAAGCGGCTTGTTGGCAGCGCAAAGCTCAAGCCACTTTTCTGTTTATAATATTAGTACCCATTGATGATGATGTATCCACGACAATTGGTACCTTGGAACAAAGCAGAGTTGGACAATTCTTTGGAAACTCGTTCCTTTGCCTCATCATCGATATCTTGAGCAAACCAAGGTGTAGCGAAGAGGAAGATGGCACCAGGATCAAGTTCTGGGTATTCTGAGGCACCGTTTCCAAGCATGACGGGCTGCTGCATCATTTCAGGACGAATGAAGCCTGCAAAGTTGGCTGGAACGGTCTTTAACGACACAGTAATGTATTTTTCATCAGCAGTAGGGCCGGTCAAACGCAAAGTTTGGCCATTGATGGCAGCATGTGCCAGGCCCTCGTTCACCAAGCCCGTGAGCAGGCGCTTGGTGGTCTCGAAGCGAGCCGCATCCTGTTTAGACACAACAGCCATTGTGTACAACTGAGATCAAAAGTTGGAGGTGGAAGAGAAGGAAAAAGAGGTTCCAGCTTCTACGAGAAAAAAATAAAAGCTGACTACCCCTCAATGGGTCGGAAGACTCAGCGTCCTGGACCGCATCTGCCGGGGCTTATCGACGCTAGTGGGATGTTAGGTAGCGTTGGTGCCATTGTGTCAATCTGGTTCGCAAGAACTACCCAAAGTATACCATGGGCGCTTCCACGTGTTGGGTCTCACAGGTAGATAGGCGCTAAAAACAGAAGAACAACCTTGTCAGTACAGCGCCATCAGGAATAAGCATGCAGGTATTCGCCCCACTGTGGTCTACTGTGGCCAAGTCCTTTGATTTGATCTTTTAAGATCATCCGAAAGGCATTGAACAGTGTGTTGGCGAGCCGTATAAATCAAGCAGATGAACCTAAAAGCCACCGCCACTCGTTTGGTTGATCTGCCGTAGCAAGATCAAGGTGAAAAAGATGTCGAGTCAGTGTGGCGTTGTCGGTCTGTCGGCCCCACGCATGTAGCCCTCGTCCAGTGATGTGCGGTCTATTTACAGTAGGTAAAGTACAAATTACGGCTAGGCTTGATTATATACATCGAGTTTTTAGGAACACAATACGCATACAGTTTGTATAAAATACACATTTGGAATAACTGTATTGTACTGTTGGAACGAGAATTACAGCATTTTACCTAGCCACTGTAAATAGCACTGTTGTTAGACACTAATTCTTTGTTTATCAGAGGCTAGCCCTGTGTGTACCTATGTCTCTTATTCGTATTCCTCTGTAGGGCAGTAGATGTTATATTTTTATAGTTGACGTACATAGAAGCTAAAGAAAGAGATAATGCCACTAGTACTCCTCCAGCAATTTTCGATCTCCAGCCAGTGCCTCCTTCTCGTGAAAAGGTTCCCGCTGCGTCTCAACGCGGCCCTGCTTAACCCACAGCTGCACTGCGGGGTGCTCCCAGAGCCGATCCATATATTTCTGAGCTTCGCCGTCCAGGTGGAGGCCATAGGTGTTGAGTCGCGAAGCAATTGGGGCGAAGAAAGCATCGGCGGCTGTGAATTCCTTGCCAGCTAACCAAGGGCCTCCAAACTTGGCGATGCCTTGGTTGAACAGTTCCGTGAAGCGGTCCAGGTCCTTCTGTAGGGCAGCGCTAGGCGTGCCAATATCTATGCGCAGGCCAACATTCATGCCGCACTCATTGCGAATAGCGTGGAAGCCTGCGTGCATTTCCGCCGCTGCGCTGCGTGCAAAGGCTCTGGCGATGCGATCCGAGGGCCAGACTTGAGGATGCTTCTCGGCAATGTATTCGCACAGGGCAAGAGATTCCCAGACTGCATGGCCTTCTTCGCCGTCGTATAAGCATGGAACGAGACCAGTGGGAGAAAATTCGTAAAAGATTGTCTGGCGCTGCTTCGCTTCAGCGTACACCAGCTTCTCCTCAAACGGGATATTGAGTGCGTGGAGGAGGACCCATGGCCGCATAGACCAGGACGAATATCGCTTGTTTGTGATGTATAGTGTGTAAGCCATGGTGATGTAGAGTTTAAAAAGAAAGCTAAAACAATTGAGGTTGAATGATGCACTCTACAGCTTGGGCGCTGGCGGGTGTTCAGCTTCACTTTATATTCACCTTGCTCCCGCAGCCACGCCTTTGTGTGTCACAACAGCGCGCCTTTTCAGCGCTCTCCACAGCGGGCCTGGCGACCTGGAGTTAGTTGTGCGAGTTACCGAAGATGTCATGTTGGATATTGTTATAAACCAGAAGTAGAGACGTAGTTGGACTTCAAAAGGTAATAGCGTCTGAAACTCTAACAAGCCCCAAAAATAGAACGGTAATTCCTTAGTGAGAGCAAGAGGAAGAGTCTATCTAATACCAAGAGCGTGCACTGAAGCCAATGCGCACGCTTGTCGTCTAAAGGGCGCCCCAGAGGCTTTGGTTACTCACAACCCACTAAGCTGGCAACGAGCTCCGCTGTTCGGCAGTCACCTTGGCGCATCTCGGTCTTTTTTTAAGCGCTGCTCGTGTGACTGGTCGAAGAAAGAGAACGGACGATTACACGACATTCCCCAAATTACTATAGTCTATCTTCTCCCTTGCTGTATCCGTGGCATCGTAGCAGCCAATCAAATCGACGTGCTGCAGAACTTTTCATGCACTCTCCCATTGGCGGCGTTATTCCCAGTATCGGAGATCAGCCTCCGGCCCGGATTACAAATTGCGGAACGGAATGACGAGCGACGGAATCCTAGTCGGAATTTTTTTCTTCGATTTCTCTTCCTCACAACTGCATTTTGCTTAGGGTTTATTCGAATTCGACGAGCTTCTCCAACTAATACAGGCTGTTTTCCAATCCCATCACGGCGTGTGAATTGTTTTTCCAAGACATGGCGCACAACGAAATAGCCGAGAAGGAGGCGGCCACCCCGCGTGAAGATACATCCGATACAACCATTCACGATGCTGATGTGACGCCTGCAAAAGACGAAGAGGCACAGGCGCAACAGGCAAATACTGAAGTTCCAGCTACAGCAGCCATTGTACCACCGCTGGCACCACCTCCAGATGGTGGGCGAGTCGCATGGTCGCAGGTTGTCGCCGCACATCTTGTTGTCTTTAACACATGGGGATTCGTTATTAGTTATGGCATCTTCCAACCATACTACGTCCAGGAGCTAGGACTTGATGCGTCAGCTATATCATGGATTGGCAGTGTTCAGATTTGCTTGATTGTCTTGGTTGGCGTTTTTTCGGGGCGCATGTTCGACGCCGGCTATGGTAAGACCATGCTGGTAGCCGGCGCCGTGACCCAGCTCGTGGGCATCTTCACTACCAGCGTGGCTCACGAATATTGGCAATTCTTCCTTTCACAGGGTCTTTGTCAGGGCATTGGATGCGGTCTCGTCTTTGCACCCACCATTGCCAATGTATCTAGCTACTTTGTCAAGAGACGCACCATGGCCATCTCGCTCGGTGCCTGCGGCGGCGGTACCGGAGGCATCGTCTTTCCTCTCATGGCACGACAGCTTCTTCCTCATATCTCATTTGGCTGGACTCTCCGAGCCATGGGACTTGTAGAACTTGTCGTCTACGTCATTGTTCTTCTTCTCGTGCGGACGAGGCTACCCCCCAGACGGTCAGGACCTCTCGTGGAGATTGCCGCCTTTAAAGAGCTTCCATTTTCCTTTTTTGCATTGGGCATGTTCTTTACGCTGTGGGCTACGTTTTTCACATACTTTTATGTAAGTCGAAATCACAAGATATCTCGATATATGCTAATCTCTACATCATAGGCTCGCGCTTATGCAATTGACCGTCTTGGAGGAGACGCAAGCACCTCGTTCAATATGCTCATGGTTATCAATGTCGTGGGCATTCCTGGTCGACTTGTCCCTGCATTCATAGCCGACAAATATTTTGACGCCCTTACCGTTCTCATCCCTACGGTTCTTGGTGCTGGAATCTGTGTCTTTGCGTGGGCCGGAGTCAATACTATTGGAGGGCAGTATGGCTGGATCATATTTATTGGCTACTTTGCTGCCGGTATCCAGAGTCTTTTCCCGTCCACCATTGCCAGCCTGTCGCCGGATCTCAGCAAGGTCGGCACTAGAATTGGCATGATCTTCGCCATATGCAGCATTCCAAACCTGACTGGACCTCCGCTTGCTGGTCGACTAATCGCAGCAGGAGGCGGTAGTTATCTAGGGGCTCAAATATGGGGAGGAGTCTGCCTTTTCTTGGGGGCATCGCTGCTCTATGTGGCCAAGTATACGCGAGATAACAAGAAATAATGTGGTCCGAAGGGGGCGCGTACATCTTCAAAAGTATATACATATATAATGATATCGATATCAAAGTATAATTATAGCATATAATATTGTTTTCATGATCCGGAGCAAATCCCACTCGTCGCGATCTAGTGAGTTTGGAGGGTGACCAAGCGGCCGCGGCCCACAGGCGTTGAACAGTGCCAGAAAAAAGTTGACCAGCCCAAAGTCGCAACTTCACACCTCTCTACCACAGCTCCCACCCAAGCCCATAGCAGCAATGTCTGCACTTCCATGGATCTGTAGAAGCTGCGCAAGAGCTATGCGCCCGCTTCATAGAAATCAATCCCTACGATATGCATCGACAGGTAAGTCCTTCTGCCTGCCCTCCAGCACCTACCAGGACCAAGGCCTCCCCTGACTGACACCACACAGCAACCTCTCGCCTAGCACCGAGCCTCATCGCACGAGCACAATCGATTGCGGCCGAGCATGACGACTTACAAAAGTCTCTTAATGCAGAGTTCGACCGCAAGAAGGCCAAGCGCGTAGGTGAGCTACGACGAGTGGCCGAGGCGCTTCGCAACTGGGACAAGGTCACGAGCGCCATCACTGAACTGTCATCCATGGTCGACGATCCCGAACAAGATGCCGATCTCGCCGCTATTGCAAAGGAAGAGCTGGAAATCGAAGAATCAAAACTAGACGATACGGAGCGCGCGCTCTCAGCCAGCTTGACCAAGCGTCACGCATTCGCCGACCTGCCCTGTCTTATCGAAATCCGACCTGGCCCCGGCGGCCTCGAGGGCCGATACTTTGCCGACTCCATGTTCAAAATGTACAAGGCACATTGCGCAAGACGCGGATACCAGGTTAATGTGGTTAAATACGAGTTGTCCGACGGGGCTGGCGACTCTTCGTCCTCACTAGGCGAGCTGCCGCTGCAGGAAGCCATTCTGGAGGTTGCTTCTGAAGGCGCATACGACATCTTCCGCATCGAAGCTGGCATGCATAGGGTACAGCGCGTACCAGATACAGAGAGCAAGGGGCGCATGCACACCAGCGCTGTAGCCGTCTGGGTTCTGCCGTCGTTTGCCGAGTCTACTGCCTCAGAGAGCGACTTTGACGACCCCGAGAGCGACTTCTACGTCAACCCGCAAGACGTCAAGATTGAGACCATGAGAGCCCGCGGCGCCGGCGGCCAGCACGTCAACAAGACAGAATCGGCTATCCGAATGACGCACGGGCCTACAGGCACGACGGTGTCGATGCAGGATCACCGATCGCAGCAGCGCAATCGTGAAGAGGCATGGCGCCTGCTTCGCTCTCGAATTGCAAGTCAGCGTGTTGAGCAGCGTGAAGAAGAAGCTGTGCGTCTTCGAAACAGTGTCCTGTCCAAGACGCAGATTACGCGTGGCGACAAGATCCGCACCTACAACTACAACCAGAACAGAGTTACAGATCACCGAGCAGGCCTGGATGTCTTTAATCTCGCAGACGTAGTTGCAGGCGGTGATAACCTTGACAAGCTCATGGATGCTGCGACACAGTGGCTCATTACGACGGAAATCGAGGCGGTCGCAGCAGAGGAAGAAGAGAAGCAAAAGGTGGCGAGCGGCACGAAGAAGACATAGCATTTAGGCAAGTAAAGCCGAATTGTATTAACAGCCACACTGTACTATATATAGACAACATCTGCCTTTCTTGAAGTGGCAAGAAAGAGCAAGATCAAATACACTTGACATGATTCATTATCCCAAACCTCTCACATGCACATGGCTAATGGCCACCCACCCGATAAAACTCCAATCCCGTAGTCGAAGAATAATAAAAATAACGTCTTTCCCAGATAGTAAAGCCTCGAAACCGTCAAAACGCCAACTCATTTGTATAAAGTTATATCAAGCCTCCCAAAACGACTTTGCCAATGTTCAAAACTTCTGCCTTGGCGTTACTCCGACTCTGTTCCTCAAAGTCCTTGATGACGCCCTGCACGATTAACTTCTTGACTTTGGCGTCGGCCTTGCTAAACAGTTCCGCAACGGGCGCTGTGCATTCGCGAGATGTTGGGATTAACGTCAAGAATCGTTGGTAGCAGTCGATTAGAACGTCACAGAGCGTGGAAAACGTTTCGAAAAAGTCAGGGTCGAAAGGCAGCGATGGTGTGAGGAGGTATGTGTATTCTTCACCAGGAAGAAGATCGGATTCTGATGCTGCAAAGTTCATAAACGATGGCATGGACGCTGCGCCGCCTACCGGAAGGCCCTGTGCGTCATCTCCGATGTCAGCTACTGATGTCGAGCGCCGCGTCTTGCCTCCCGGTCGGCGGAACATGTTAGGAAGCCGCGCGCGGGTCAGGCTGTTGGCAGAGTCGCTGTGTAGTTGCTGGAAAGAGTCGAACTCGGAGAAGAGGCTGTTGAGGCAGCGGAGGAATTCAAGCGGTGTGGAGGAGTAGAGGTCGTTGATGGTAGGTATCGAGAGGCCAAGGAGAAGTAAGTTGGTCGCTTTGCGCGCAAGCTTTCTAGGATCATATGAAGGTATGCGTGCAAGGTCAGTCTTTTCGAATAAATATGTTGTGAACCAGAAGATTCGGCCCTCGTGCCTATGTATGAGTTAGTAAATGCAGTCTACAGGGAAAGCTACAACTGATGATGGGTGGATGACGTACGCTTTACGCAGGTAGTCCAAGGTAGCAATCCGCTTATGTGCTAGGTCGAGCAGCTGCTGATGCGTGGATGTTGCCTCGCTGGTAGGCCAAGCGGTTGGGCTAATAATGCCCGACACCGCTGACGGTGTTGGCGGCGCCATGAAGCTCGACATCGTCGCTGACCTGCTGAGTGAAGAAGGAGCACCATCGGGGCTAACGGGACTCTTCGTGTCTCGGGCATCGCGGGGGATAACCTTGGCCGCGGCAGACAAGGCATAGTCCGGCAGCGCCGGTGGCGCGGTAGCATCTGTCACGACAGCATTCGATGAGGCCGCTGTGGACGTACTACCCCGCCTCCGCGATCCAGACAGCGAGGCTTTTCTGGAGAAGGAGAGCTTGCGCTCCTTTGTGAGGACGTTGGGGGCTGATGTTCCTAGATGTGAGCCGCTCAGGGGAGGGGGTAGGCCTGAGCCGTCGCGTGTGGTCGGCCGTGAGGGCGAAGTCGATGTGTTGGAGAAGAGGCTGACCGAAGACATGTTTGGCGAAAAGGGCGGGAGTGACATAGGGCCCTGCATGGCGATGAAGACAAGGTGAGGATCGCGGTCTGGAGACCGGCCTCGTTATAGAGGAGCGGGTTTATTGGATTTCGGTGAGCAGTGAAAGCCGGGGACCTTGTGCGGGTGCGTGTCGGCGTTTCGTTTTGCGTGCCCCTGGGCTCTTATGCGGCCAAGGCTCAGGGGGTATTTTGGCTAGGCTGATGCCTCGGCGGGGAATAGTCGATGATCAGACGGTGCAACTTAGCACTGCATGGTATATAAAGATGGTTGGTCCCAAGGGGGATGATATTTTCGGCAGCGAAAGCGTGTGCAGCGGGTGGATGGTGCACAGCGGCAGATTTGTTCGTGAGGAGAACAGACGTTGGCGATGTGCATCAAATCAGGGGAAAAGCTGGCCGCAACGTGGTCGGCAATGCAAGGAGGGCCTTGAAAGTGGGGTTTTATCGACACCAAGCTGCCGCTAGGAACAGTGAGTCGCCGCGTTTTAGCTTTATAGCCGGACGGAAATGCTGTCTATAGTTTATCAAGGGCGCATTTCTCTACAAATGCTATGCGTCATACTCTGGGAAAATTAAAACAAAGTTTATGCAGATTTTTTTTATTCATGACTTGGGTCATTATACAGTCGTTGTTTTCAAAAAAATAGCCGGGTGGGACGCCACAAGCGCCGCATTCTGTATGTCGCCGCCTATCTATTTACACCGAGGATTGGCGTGCGGCGGTATTTTTTTCTTTTTTTCGGTTCTTAGCCGTCATTTATGCTGTGGAAGTAGCACTGGGAGAAGAAGCAACACCGGTCTGCGAACAGACGCAGCCCTGGCCGCTAATGCTGGTCACGGGAGGAGCATTGCAGGTGGCTTCGGGAGTAAAGGACACCACAGGCTTGGTAACGGTGGGTGATACAACCTCGGCCTTGACCAGCACCGGGATAATCTGACCGGTGGACAAGCTGAACTTGCGGTGGTTGAGAACGCTCAAGAGACTGGCAATCTCGCCAGAGTGAGCAGTGATGCTGATCCACGTAGACTCATCCTCGGTGAAGACGTCCTGCAAGACGACCTGGTTGCGGGCAAACTGACCATCGGACGTCTCGCCTTCGACGCGGCGCCAGAGCTCATCCTTCTCCGTGAAACCGTCCTCGAAGCTAAAGTTGGGAACAAGCTGATGGATCTCGCTCTTGGTGGAACGGTGGTCGCAGGTATGGATCGAAATGGACTCGCGGAAGTTCTCCTTGATGACGGGAGCGAAAGGATGGGTGGAGGGGAAGTTGATGTCGCCAAACGTGATGTTGGCCGTCTGGAGACAGCGTGTAAGAGGCGAGCTGTAGTATGATTCAAAGTAGGGCATGCCCTCCTGTTCAAAGCGGCTTTTGAAGTACTTGTTGGCTTTTGTGGCCTCGGCGATACCAGCAGAGGTCAGCTTGGCATCGGCCCAGACAGAGGTGCCGTTGCCATTGAGCTCAGCCCAGTAGCACTGCATCTCGTTAGACCAGAGATTGATTTTGAAAGATTAATTGCGACTTACGTTCCAGGCAGGCGTTCCGTAGTAGCTCTCAGCAGCATTGTGGAAGCCCTGGCCGTGGCGGCCCATCACCAAGACCTTATAGCGGACGTTGCTGTCCTTCTGGCAGTTGTTGTTGAGGTACTTGACCCAGTTGGCGAAGCGCTCCCATGGCTTCTTGGTGCCTTTGGGATCGAACTTGCGATCCGTGGGATACTTTCTGTCGATGAGGCCAAAGTTGTGGTCAGCCTATAGAGCAGGGTTAGCAGTCGCGCAATGGTAGCGTAGAAAGCCAGCACTCGTACATAGTCGAAGCCGGTAACGTTGGTGTTCGCGTCATCTTGTAAGAAATAGCCGGGAACCGCAGTATACTTGATGGACTTGCCCTCAGCCTCGGGCCAGCAAGCAGAGGCGCTGGAGGCCAAGACGGCAATGGCAGACACAGCGGAGATCTTCATCGTGGGGGGCAAGTTTGCACGCGACGGGTGAACCTGGGGTTGAATGAGGTGACGTTGGATGTGCGAAATGCTGGATCAGGGTCGCTGGGCCGTTGGGTATTTCAATAATGCAGCTAGCGCACGTCACGTCTGCAAAGGCCTTGCAGTTAGAGCAGGGCTAGGAAGAAAAACCCATAATTCAGGCAATTGCGCCGAACTAACAGTGACCTAATGTCGCCTGTCACCATGGGATCCATGCCGAAAGCAAGCAACGTGGTGCTTGGTGGGCGGGCCATTGGCGGGAATTCAGGTACCGCGGCGCCCAGTGGCTTGAGGATCCGCTAAGGCCGGGTGCTGGCGCCGACGCCACAGCGGGCATTGGCAGGCGTTGAGGGAAACGAACCTTCAGCCACGTGGGAGCGAAGAAAAGGTTATTGAGTTTGTTAGAGAATGAAAGGGGAAAAAAGAGGACTATTGGCTTTTGTGGCGCAAATATTAAGTCCGTCTTATATCGCTATGATCGCAGACGTATTGCATGACAAGCTGTGCATCAATCAGCATATCACAAAGGGTTGTGTAAGATTAAGCTGATGGAGATATCTATGAAGCCAAAAGGGATTGTTTTAGGGACAAAACATGATATTTTCTTTTTACCGTCTATTCTGCTACTTTGTAACCTATCTTTCTCAATATCTTTCTCCAGCTCCTCTAATGTGATTTCTGCATTGAGCGTTTCCACTATTTCCTTTGTCAATGGCCTTCCCCGAAAAAGCGCAGCTACACTCTCAGCATCAATTGGCTTCTCATAGTACTCCTCAGCCCACCCGATATAGTCGTCAACCTCTCTATAATGTAGTAACCAAAACAGATGATCTGCGCCGTCTGGGTCTTCTACACGAGGGAATGCTATGTTCCCGTGACGCCATTCGTCGTCGTCTTTGCCGCGCCACAGGCACACAGTGACTAAAGGACCATCCCGGTAGCTGAATGCTGGCTCCTCCACAAAGCGTTGAAACTCGTTCGGCACAGTGTCTATAATACCTGGCCATGGCTTGGGGTCTTTCTGACGGAATGGGCTCATCGGTGACTCGTGGTCAAAGCCGCAGATGTATGCTCCCACAGATGAAAACATAATCAAATATTGGTCGCCTTGGCCGTTATTAAATTCTGCCATTTCTTCTCCCGTAGCCCAATTTGAGTCAAACAAATAGTAACGGTTCTCCCAATTAGGGTATACGATGGCTTCTACCATGGCGAGCCCACGGCAAAACTCCCGTAGAGTCTCAATATCTGGCAGGTTTTCTGCCAACTCAGAAACGGTCATTATGGAGATACGTTGTATGAATATGTGTATAGCTTGTACGTTCCAAATGGAGAAAGTGATATGTGCAAGAATTAAGAGTAAGATTAGGTTGTTTGTGAGGTGAAGATGTGTGTGGAGTGGGGGGTTCAAGTGGCCTAAAATAGCAAATCTTATAGAAACAGAACTATTCAGCGCACCCGAATGACATTTACTGCTGCAAAAATGCCGCCAACTTTCTCGGATGCTTCTAAATGCATTAAAAAGACGAGATCGTGATCGTAAATTGATACGACGAAAAATTCTTCAGTCTGTTGAAAACAGATGAGTATAATTGGTTGCCTTTGTACATGGTTGGTGTTTGAGCATACAACCATGGCTTACAAACAAAGACCACTATAACTTTCTAAATTTCATAGACACCGTAATCATCATGTTGATATAAAAACTACACTGTCAGATAGACTCTCTAAAAATCCAAGTATTTTCGTCTCGTCCATCTAGCAAGCCCCGCCTAGTGATAGTGCAGCCGCCTAACCGTAATGAACGTCCCGCCCTTTCACATGGGGCGGTGAATTGGCACCACCCCAACCGCAAGTTGCCGACAGTTGTATAGTGGGGAGCTTGAGCCAACAGCTTGGACGCCAAATTTCGCTTTTCGATCCTGCACCTCATTTGCTCTCGATTTCTTCCAGCGGTCTTGTGGGTTACTTTTAATTCTGGCCAAAGAATCCTTTGCTCTACCATCTAGCATAAGAGAATCGCCCTTACTGCTCTTCTTAATCTTCCCTGCTACCATCACAGTGCCCCTCCCCCGCCTATCTCCCATTCCTCTCACAGAATACCCCCGCCAGTGATGGATCGATCAGGAGCAGATTACGTCCCGGTAGGTGAAGCAGCACCTGAGCTTCTAGACGGTCGCATTTGGGTCGACGGATGCTTCGATTTTTTCCATCACGGTATGTCAACACTCTAGTTCGTTGGGTGTGACAGCGGGTTTGCTAACCAACAGACAGGCCATGCCGGAGCCATGGTCCAGGCGAGACAGCTCGGCACCGAGCTCTACGTCGGCGTCCATTCCGATGAAGACATCCTTGCAAACAAAGGTCCTACGGTCATGAACCTCACCGAACGGTACGAACGATTGACAGCCTCTACCGGGTGCAGAGGACGAATACGAAGCTAACAGCACAACAGACTCGCAGCAACGGACGCTTGCCGATGGGTTACCAAGTCCGTCGGTGATGCCCCCTATGTGACGCAGCTCCCCTACATTACCCACTACGGCTGCCGGTACGTTGTTCACGGCGACGACATTACCTCCGACAGCGACGGCAACGACTGCTATAGATTTGTCAAGGAAGCCGGCCGATTCAAGGTAGTGAAGCGCTCTCCTGGCATTTCTACAACAGACCTTGTAGGCAGAATGCTCCTCTGCACAAGAACACATTTCATTAAGTCACTTGAGAGAGTGTTGTCTGGAGAGGAGGGAAACGGCACCGAGTCTGAGCGCAAAGCAACCGCTGATGCCATGATGGAGCGCATGCGCCTCTATGCCACGGACGAGACTGCTCTTGCTCCTGGTGCTGAGGTGTGGTTCTGGACAGCATCAACCGAAGCCAAGGCTGAAGATAGCAAGGAAGAGAAGGGTAGCTTGAGTCAGCTGCTCAAGGGTAACGCCCCTTTCCCAGGCCAACGGATCGTCTACGTAGATGGCGGTTTTGATCTCTTCTCCAGTGGCCACATTGAATTCCTCCGTCGCGTCTTGGCTGAAGAAACCGACCTTGCCAAGGCTAACGGATGGTACACGGAAGAAGCTATTGCCAAGCGCAAAGCAGAAACCGGCAAGGACTATGGGCCTGTTCACATCATGGTTGGTATCCACGACGACGAAGTGATTAATTACTGGAAGGGCGTCAACTACCCCATTATGAACATCTTTGAGCGCGGTCTGTGCGTTTTACAGTGCAAGGTAAGTGACAACGTCCCAACTCAGGTCCAATGTACGTACTAATGGCTTGGATGTCTATAGTACATTGACTCGGTTGTCTTTGGTGCACCATTTGCGCCGACCAAGATCTATCTGACCAGCCTTCCTTACGGCACACCTAGCGCTGTCTACCACGGCCCTACTTCATTCATGCCCCTTACATACGACCCCTACGTCGCTCCCAAGGAGATGGGCATCTACAAGGCGATCGGAATGCACGACTTTGCCCACGTCAACGCGGGACAGATTGTGCAGCGCATCATGGCCAGCCGTGACCAGTACGAGGCCAGACAGAGAGCCAAGGGAATGAAGGCCGAGGTCGAAGCTGCTGCCAGAGAGCGCGAGATTTTGGAAGAGGAGCAAAAGAAGCGCCAGGCGGAGCGTGAGGCGGCCGCGTAAGAAGATTGAAGAAATTAAAAAAGGGGGGGATATTATATGCATATTAATATGTAAACGAGAAAGTATATAATAGAACGCAATTAATGAGAGTACAGGTACAGTACACATGGTGGCCACAACTGACGTGTGCAATATAGCCTTGCATATCACCCGTAGGATATTTCGTCCGGCGCCGAATACCCACTGTAAAAGATGCTCCGAAGGCGCCCCAGGAACTCCCCCACAATCCGCTGTAACCAAACCTGGTCCTAGTGCTAGACCCTGGAGCCACTCCAAGACCATAATTTAGCGGCTTCTAGCGTGCTGGGCAGCTTATTTTAGCCAGGGACCGTATCCGCTTCTGTATTTGACGGATGCTGACGCTTTTTTTGGTGAGGCAAGTTGGGCAATAAGACCCTGAATACGTTACTCTTCGTGCTCATGGCTACCCATCTTGGTTGAGCTGCTTGACGCCACAAGCCTTGCGCAATCCTGCGATACTACCTCCGCTTTCAGCCAAATGCAAGTCTGATGTCTCGCATACTTGCACCAATTGGCCATCAGCAACCTGCAGGCTGGCGTTTTTTTAGAATTGGCTTTCAGCTCGGGGAGTTATGAGTAGTGCAACGTCACATTCCTCTTTTGGCAAAGCAAACCCCGTAGGTTACCCCTCACGATGGACGGGACGGGAGACAGCAGTTGGAGAAACTATATAGGCTGCTCCATCGCTCATCCCTTGTCTCAGTCCATTCTTTCCCCTCAGCCTTCTTCTTCTTCTACCTAGAGACAATTCTTCCGCCGCCCATCATGCACCAATCCGTCCTTGTCAACGCGCTCGTCGCCTCAGCGACACTCGCCGCCGCCACGGTCCCTTGTGTCGATGTTCCCGCTTGCCCCAAGGTCGGCACGATCCGCTACTCCAAGTCGGTGCCCGACAAGAAGGACTTTCCTCGCACACAGGTCGACCTGTGCTACACCGACACCAAGCTCTCGCTGACATTTACGGCGCGCGATGAGGTCAACTTCTTCTTCAACGCGACCCAGGGCACCAACGACGCCATCTACGAGTACGAGGTCATGGAGGCCTTCATCTACAAGGGCACCGACGACCCTTCCACGTACCTCGAGTACGAGGTCAACCCCAACAACGTCACCTACCAGGCCATGATCTACAACCCCAGCAAGGACCGTAGCCCTGGTGCGCCGTTTGACCACTTCTACATCACGGACCCCGCCACCGACGGCTTCACGGCCAAGACGACGCTCGATAAGCCTGGCAAGACCTGGACAAGCAAGTCGGAGATTCCTCTGGCTCTGTTCAACGTGGATGCCGGCAAGGCCAAGGGCACCAAGTGGCGCATGAACTTTTTCAGAACCGTTGTGGCGCCTGATACGTATCCCGATCAGTTCCTGGGCGCCTGGGGCGTGCCTGACAAGGCCAGCTTCCACATTTCCAAGTTCTTTGGCAAGGTCAACTTTGTTTAAACGAAGAGAAAAATGAAGAATTAACTCTAGAGGACAAACGCTGTATATAGTAGAAATAGGGAATAAACTTTGTACATGTTTAGCTGCACTTTTTTGTTTCTCTGTAGTGGTTGTTCGCTGTGTTGTAAGTTAGCAGCAACCGCAGAAGCAGCCTGTACTTCCTAAATGGGAAATAGACGCCCCAGCAGCGAATTACAAGTGGTGGATTATGGGTTTGTTTGCAGGTGGCCCTCAATGAATGTCGTCATTTGCCAGCATGGCACTGTAGAATGTTTCTGGAAACACACTGCATGCATAGTCTGGTACAAAATGGATTGTTGGCGTGAGCAACCACCGGCTAGTGGCGGCCCACAGCGAGCCAAACAGGTGTCTTGTTTTACGCGTCACATGAGCCATGCCAGACGCAGCCCGCATCTCGGCTTAGCGGACAAGCCTACTGTAGACGAAAAGGCGTAGTCGACGAGATTATCTATTGACAAGGGCGATGCATGTTATCGGATTCAGATAAAGCAGTAAACCGACGTCGGAGTATTGGTACTGGCTGGGAGCATTGTGGGCATGGGCTTGCTACATCGGATAATTTTGTTATTTTTTTTCTCTTTAAAAAATTCTTCCCCAAGGTACCAAAGTATAAGGCTAAACTCTAAATATTTTGCTGAGGCGCCCTCCGGTTAGCTCGCCCTGTGTCTGCATCGGCCTTATTCCGCATTGCGTTGCCCAATGCCGACCGGAGCCCCGGGCCCGGCGGCGTCAAAGGCCCCGTCAAGGCGCAAACTTTCCCGGTTTAACGCCATCGTCTGCGGTGGTGTGAGAGATGACGTTTGCGCAGTAGAAGGGAGATGCAGAATTGTAAATATTTTTGGTACTTGCTTGTTTTTGTCGTTTCTTTTGCCTTCGTTTCGTTTGCCCGCTTCTTCACGCTACCCTCACAAGTAACACCGCCGCGGCCCCTCCGCTTCCGGTTGCGACACCGCGGGGGGTTGGGCGGTTCCGGGGTAGCGGTTGGCGACAGCAAGAGACGGGGCAACAACAGCAGCAAGTTGCTAGGTAATTAAGATAATACAAGGGCCACTCCTCTCTCTAATGTCTTTCTCTTTTTATTTTCGGGCAATGGCATTGGTACCGTACCATGGCGCGGCGCGGCGCATGGCCCTGTTGCTGACTGCCACCCTTCAAAAGGTAGCGACGTAGTGGTGGTGGTCACCTGTTACCGCCCTTGGCCTTACCGCTCCTTACGCCGAGCCAACGTGTTGATGGGTAACAACAAGTGTGCATTTGTTGAGGCTGGACCAAATACGTAATTGGATGTGCGTGTTTTCTGGTCTTTGTTTTAAAAGGGACACAGCGCCCGTTCCTCGTCCTTGTCAGCCTGCTCACTGTTTCTTACCTCTGCCTGTCTGCTCACCAAACCGTGTTCGGCCTTCTTCGGTCTTGTTCGCCCTACTCAGCTCCGGATAGCCTCAATTGAATCCCCAATCCCTCATCAACCTATCTTTCTTCAGAGTTGGCTCACGTCAATCGCATCTGCCCCTGCCCCTCACTTGCGCAATCCACTTTTGCGCCCATTGTGCCAATTTTCCCTAAGCCGAACGCTAACACTCGCCTGCCCGTCCCCTCCAACTGGCTGCTACAGTGGACCCGCGCCCCTGTATCGCCCCCTCTCCAGGCGTTTCCTCCACACTGCCCGCCGCCCAGCAAAGGGGAAAAAAAAAAACTTTTTGCCCGCACTCGGCCGCCCCCCCCCCACGCCTACGCTGTTTGACTCAGACGCTCTCATCATTTAACATTGTGCCCCTCCAACCACGTTTTTTTTCTTCCTCCCTTCTTTCTTCTCCCTCTCCTGTTGTAACCATTCCTTCTTCCCATAGTCTTCTTTCTCTTCTAGAAGACTCAAATCTTGATACCCTCCTCAAACAGAACTCACTCAACCTAGTCTCTACTCCCTCCCACGAATCCGAAGTCGCCACTACCACACCAACAACGACACACACCGACTGTCACCATGTCTCCCGCCGCCGTTCAGACCCAGGACGCCAACTTGACGGCCGCTGCCGTTCAGGTCAAGGAAGTCAACGGCTCTGCCATCGCCGAGCTCGATGCCTCCAAGCTCACCTACACCTACAACAAGGAGAACCGTACCGTCCCCGATGAGGCCGTTGCCAACGCCGGCTCCGAGACTATTGCCACTGACCACATGGTCATCGCCAACTGGTCTGCTGCTACTGGCTGGGCCGCCCCCGAACTCAAGCCCTACGGTCCTCTGAGCCTCATGCCCACTGCTTCTTGCCTGCACTACGCTACCGAGTGCTTCGAAGGCCTCAAGGTCTACCGCGGATACGACGGCAAGCTTCGCATCTTCCGCCCTGACCGCAACGCTGAGCGCTTCCGCATGTCTGCTAGCCGTATCTCTCTCCCCGTCTTCCCTCCTGCTGAGCTCACCAAGCTCATCATCGCTCTCCTCGAAGTCGATGGCCCCAAGTGGCTCCCCGCTGACAAGCCCGGTGCTTACCTCTACCTCCGCCCTACCTTGATTGGTACTCAGTCTCAACTTGGTGTCCAGAGCCCCAAGGAGGCTATGCTCTACATCATCGTCACCTTCATGCCCCGTCTCGATGCTCCCCCCGGTGGTATGCGTCTCCACACCTCTCCCGAGGACATGGTTCGCGCCTGGGTTGGTGGCTTCGGTTACGCCAAGGTCGGTGCGAACTACGGCCCTTCTTTGATGGCCACTAGCGAAGCCCGTGCCCGCGGCTACCACCAGATTCTCTGGCTCTACGGACCCCAGGGTGAGTGCACTGAAGCCGGTGCCTCCAACTTCTTCGTCTTGTGGAAGCGCAAGGACGGCAAGACCGAGCTCATCACCGCTCCTCTTGATGACAAGCTCATCCTTGACGGTGTTACTCGCCGCAGTGTTCTTGACATTGCTCGCGAGAAGCTCAGTGACGAAATTGAAATCACTGAGCGCAAGTACACCATCGACGAAGTTGTTGAGGCTGACGCTGAGGGCCGCATCATTGAATCTTTCGCTGCCGGTACTGCTGTAAGTTGAACTGAAATGCATAACGGTAATATAACAACAACCCACTAACCTCAATATTAGTACTTCATTTGCGCCATCTCTGCTATCCACCACCGTGGCAAGGATATCAACATCCCCATGGGCCCCGACGGCAAGGCCGGTGAGATCACCAGCAAGATCAAGGGCTGGGTCGGCGACATCATGTACGGAAACACTCCTGACCACCCCTGGGCTATTGTCATCAACGAGAAGGGTGCTCAGTAAATATGCTTCGCCGTTTCGACAGCTATGGGAGTGGCTGCTTCCGAAAAACAGCAATATAGACAAGACGAGTGGGCTAGTCGGCAGACTAACCTACCAACACAAAAGCATTCTGCTTAGCCAGTTGCCATAGGCATACCTGGGATATTTCTCTTTTACTTTCCTTTTTTTTTCATTGTTTCAAGTTCTAGGTTAGACAACATTCACATGATTGGAGTTTGTGTTTTATGCGGTATGGGCAAGGAAGCTTAAAGAGGGCACGACTTATACGACAGATGAAAAGGTCATATCGAACGTACATAGCATTTCAGAAGGCTTTTAATAGACTTTCTAAGCAATTTCAACAATCTGTTTATTTCGTTACTCGTCCATAATTGAGTGCATCATGAACAGTGTCGCTTCTTGGATTTTCTCGCGATATTTCTGACGCAGCATTAGCATTGATAACTACTCATCGACCTGAGGTTTCAAGTACCGTTTCTTCATTCTCAATTTCCTTCAGGGCATTTTGTTCAGCCTCGTTGACTTCGTGGAGCAATTCATCCAGGTCCATTGTATCTTTCCCGTCATTTTCAGCATCTGAAAGTGCCAGTGAGCGCCGTGCCTCTACCTCTGCAACAGCGCACTCATTCCACTGGTCCTGGAGTGTTTGAAGGGACCTTTCACCCTCTTGGAGCGTTCTCTGAAGATTCAGTAGATGAGTTTCAATAGTAGCAGTGGCACTACTATCCCCCTCGCATAGGATTGAGGAGAGCGGGTTGGAGGCATAGCCATCGACCTTTTCCTTTGCAACGATAGCATTCGTAACATCGCAATCATATGCATCGATTCTTTTCTGTATTACTTGCTCCGACTCTCCAAGATTGTTCAATGCAGCCGAGCGAAGTTCGACCCCTGCTGCGGAGAAGGCATCTGCTGTCCTATCAGCGGCTGTCCTAAAAGAAAGACCCCTCTAGATACGTACCAGCCAGGTCAAATAAAGACTTCTTGTTTTGAAACCTAACTGCAGCATGGTTGCGGCTGTATTGCTGCATTGTTGATGGCGGATCAATCGCCCCGCGAAATTGAAGCTGGACCTCGCCAGCTACAACTGGCATCGAACTTTCCTGGAGCTGGCTTGTTTGACAAAGATTATGAAGCCTTTCACGGAAAGATTCAGTAGCTGCATTCTCGTTTTCAAAGAGCGGCGTATCGTCGGATTCATGAGAGACCCTTTGGTTTCTCTTGCGACGAGGCTGACCCATGGCGGTACAGTACACCAGAGCAAGATACCAGTTAGCCTAGAAAATTGACACGTGCTGACTGAAGATGTTGCAGGTGAGAACTCAGATCGCGTTCTCAGAAACTGTCGTAGCTGTACACGAACAGAGCGACGCGCGGTGCGTTGTACGGGCAGCTGCTACCAGCTGTCAAGCTGGGCTCGGCACAGCAACGGTGTCCACCGTTGCTGAAAGACTACACGCAGTGTGGCCTAATCAACAAGGAAGACCCGGCCGCCATCATTCAAAGCTCTAGCCTCTCTTCAATCTTTTCAACAATCGTCTGCCAGCTGACCATTGCTCCTTCGCCAACATCGCCACAGGCCAACGTTTTCTCAATCGGCCGTAATACTTCCACCCATCCGCTCTCCCCTCCCCATTCTTCTTCAAGGATTTTAAGATGCTTGGCCGTCACCGGATGCCTCCACATGGCAGTATTCATGGCGGTTGCTACCACAATCTTCTTCTTCAGCCCATCCACGGTGCCATCAGTATCCCAAGCACGAATGACTGACGTCAGCAGGTTTGCTGAAGTACCTGCTACCATGCTTGCCATTGTATTTGCGCTCAGAGGAGCAATGACGAGCACATCTGCCCATTTTCGCATTTCAATATGAAGGATAGGGGCGCCGCGAGTCCATGGATGCGACCACTCTGCATCATCCTCGTATATCCCGTCCACATTGGGCAGTTTGGCGATATCGGCCAAGCTAGGCTGCTCCTCCGCTTGGCCTTTGAGAAACTGAGCTGCTGAGCTTGTGAGGATCAATCTGATGGAAAGGCTTTTGTGCTCTGCGAGACCTTGGATAATGTTGCCGATTTTTATAGTTGCGACTGAGCCCGACGCGGCTAACAACAAGTGCTTCTTTCCATCCGCCTTGGACAACGACACATCTTCGGCAGAGCTCCGCGCTGTTTGTGACATGGTTTTGCTTTTTCCTTTTTGAGTAGATTGGAATTATAACTGTTTATCTAACCTTTTATAGGAGCAGCCCGGCGCAGTTGGGATGACTGGGGTGGATGTGTAGGGCGATGGGCCTTGGGCCGTTATATAGGTCGCACTAAATGGCCAATCGCAGCGCACCTCCACTGATTGGTCAGCTGCTAGAAGCATCGGCATTGCACCACCACTCACCCCGTCGCATCCCGTCTTTTTTTGCCTCCGTCACTAAATTCGTCAACCACGCAACCCATCACAGCCACCATGTTTGCCAGACCAGTAGCGTCGGTACGGATCCCTTTTATGGGTTCAATTGTCCAATTATGTTGAACATGTGCTAACTTGCCTTCTCACAGGGCATCCTCCGCCATGCCGCACGCCCTGCTGCGTTCCGAGCCAGCTTCGCCAACAAGCTCGTCGTTCCCTTCCAGACCCGTCTCTTGTCCGACAAAGTCCGCGCTGCCATTGATGAGGCTGTTGGCTCTGCCCCTGTTGTCCTTTTCATGAAGGGCACCCCTGAGCTGCCTCAGTGCGGCTTCTCTCGCGCCGCCATCCAGATCCTTGGTGTTCAGGGAGTCAACCCCGAGAAGTTTGCCGCCTTCAACGTCCTCGAAGACAGCGAACTGCGCGAGGGTATCAAGGAGTACTCCGACTGGCCCACGATTCCCCAACTATACGTCGAAAAGGAGTTCATTGGTGGCTGCGATATCCTCGTATCCATGCACAAGAACGGCGACCTGACCAAGATGCTCGAGGAGAAGAAGCTTGTCGTCGAAGGCGAGGGCGAGGGCGAGCAGTAAGAGCTCAGTCAACAGAAACATGCGCTTAAAAGTATTCCCAGATTGTATGAATAGATGTATTACATAGAAGATTTACCGCCTGTCGCTTTCCGTATACATCGGAGTCGACCAAATAAAGGACGATATTTACACTTTTTTGTCATCCTACTATTTGCTATCTACAAGGGATAAGCGGCACCATCACCACGCAAATCACTTCCAGCCGACCAGACATGCATGTTGTCCACGGGGTCTGTACTGCTTCGGATGATTTGGCCCTTTCCAAACAAGCTACGGCGATGGTTTCTAACTATGGTGACATTATGGCCTAGTTTCTTGAGGCCCTCTGCGGTCTCTTCAGGCAATCCCTCCTCTATACTAACCTCCCACGTCATAGCTTTTCCTGGGATGGGGTAACTAGCACCAATGCAGACTCGCGGGGCGTCCAGCGCTTCCTGCGGGTTCAGTTTGCCAACAATCTGACCGAGCAAGACCTGCAAGTGTCCTTGGGGCTGCATAAATGCACCCATAACACCATAGGCCGAGTGCAGAGAGCCATCCCCAATGTTGGTGACCATGCCAGGGATAATCGTATGATAAGGACGCTTGCGAGGCTCCAGCTTGTTGGGGTGGCGTGCATCAAGAGAGAAGTTGGCACCGCGGTTCTGGAGGGTGAAGCCGCAGCCCTTGGGGACAGCACAGGTTCCAAAGCCCTTGTAGTTGGAATTGATAAACGAAGCTGCGTTACCGTCCGCATCAGTGACACAGAAATAGACGGTGTCACTGCTCGACAGGGCAGGTGAGATAAACTCGGGCTTGCCGTGTTGCATGTTTTCAATCACTTTGGAAGGATCAAAAAGCTTGGCTCGCTCAGCCAAATACTGTTCGGAGATGAGGCCCTCAGTAGGGACCTTTGTCACGTTGGGATCCGTGACATACCAGGTGCCATCTGCAAAGGCAAGACGCAGACTCTCGATAACAGCATGGAGATACGGAACGGAGTTGAAGTCCTCTGGCTTAAAGACGGGGATCTTACCCTGCTTCTCCAGCTGTTCCATGATACCTAGGGCCATGAGTGCAACGATACCTTGGCCGTTTGGAGGGTGCTCCCAGAGTTCCACACCCTCGGAGCCCTGACCACGGAACTTGAGCGAGATCGGTTCCACAGGCTCACTACCAGTTTCGAGGTGGTGCTTGAGGTCGTCAAGATCCAACAAGCCGCCACGGTCCTGGACGACCTTTACGATCTCCTCAGCGATTCTGCCGGTATAGAAGCCCTTCTTGCCTTCTTCAGCAAGAGTGCGGAACGTGCGAGCAAGGTTCGGGTTCTTCATAATCTCTCCAGCTTCGGGGGCACGGACACCGCCCTCAGCAGCAGGATCATGCTTGAGTATCTCTGCAAAGTTGGGAGATGCATCACGAATCTTCTGCTCCGATACTCCCCACTGTTTCCATGTCATTAGCACGATATCACCACTCGATCATTACTTCAGTCCACACTCACACTACGGGCAGTGATTTGCGACACGGGGAATCCTTTCTCGCCGAGCTGGATAGCCGGAGCCAAAATCTGTGACAAGTCGATTTTGCCGCTGCCAAAACGCTCCACTGTATCAACCCAGCCGGCAGCCGCACCTGGCACCGTGACGCTGTGGATGCTGAGCTCTGGGATGCCGAACTCGTCTTCTTTCAGGCCCAATTCGCTGCGGACACGCTCCAGCGTGCTGTTTGCCGAGGCCCGTCCCGAGCCATTCATGGCCTTGACTTTCTTGGTGGCCGCGTCGTAGAAGAGTATAAACATGTCGCCGCCGATGCCGGTAGAGCAAGGCTCGGTCATGTTGAGGCCAGCAGCCACGGCTACAGCGGCATCTGCAGCATTGCCGCCTGCTCTGAGCACCTCAAGGCCGCACTTTGCCGCCAGTGGTTGTGAGCAGGCAATCATACCCTCAGTGCTGTGAACAACACTTCGTCGAGAAGCGAAGCGGCTGAACGGAGCATCACGCTGCGGGAACACTGGTGGAGGGGCCATGACGGATACAATGAAAGAACTAGAGAAGGCCAACGGCGATTGGTTGGTAAGTGTAGTAGTGAGTTTCCAACCTTCTATGATGGTGTTTTGGACAAGAATATGAGAGAAGAAGTGTGGCCTTAAGGGGAAATAAATGACTCGGGCGCGGGAGCAAGTCCGTTACCCCAACTATCGTTCGGTTACCGCGCCACCTGGAGAGCCCCGGAGGTCGGCGGCGACAGCGCGGGGCAGTCGCTACGTGGGGAAGGGCGCGGTGGGGGCCATACGCATGCGATATTAGCCGTGACAGTGTAGCAGTAACCTCTATCATCCCCGAGATAGATCCAGGTCTTGTTAATACAGTTGCTGAGGCCCTGGACGCTGCCCGGGCCCCCGACGCTGATGCCTCCAGTACCGAAGGCGAGCTGCTCGGTTCCTCTCCAGCCCCGCCACCCGGCCGTAGAATCTATGTCGAGATAGAAGCGTAGTCTTCCTCTTTCTTTACTTTATACAAATTTAAATATTTATAATTTAAAGAAAACGACACATATGTTTAAATGCAGCAAACTATTTATCAATTATTTTAAGAACTTTATAGAAAAGAAACTGGAGCTTATAAGTTAGTAAAATTTAAATCTTGCTGTTTTGTTAGTATTTTTGACCACGCCGCTTGCTGGTGCGGGCCGGTTATAGCGGCAGAGTGAATGAATTGGCTTCATTAGGGTCGTTATTAATATATTTACTATGCTATACAAGACTATATATAAGAAATATGACTTTATGCCGTATTAACTTCGTTTCTCATGATCGCGCCATACACTGGACACTAACTACACCAAACTCGTTATCTCAGTTAAGCAACGTTCAAAATCTCAAAAGTCTGGACTTGGTTTGTGGCAAATGGAACAGTGAATTTGCCGCCAGAGATCTTGATGTCGTTGTAGGAAGCGTACTCATCGCCACCGCCAGTGTTTGTCGACCATCGCGCAACAGTGGCACCGTCGTCGCCATGCTTGCCGTACTTGGTGATGTCGTATGTGATCTGCTGTGCACCGTCCCAGTTTGCGGAGACAATAACAAGCTTCTTGGCATCGGCGTCATAAGCAGCCATAGTAGAGTCGTTGTCGGTGCTAAGAATGCGCATGCCCGGTGTGACGTGGCGTGAGAATTGCGCCATGACAAAGTATTTGGTAGCAGCACCAGAGATGGTATGAGCGTCGTTGTCGCCTACGATAAGACCCCAGCCAGAGATATCGAGAGCTTGCCAGTATACCCAAGCAGTGGGGTGGAGCCAGACGAAGTCAAGCAGCAAGTTTTGGAATAGTTGCTTTCCGGAGCCATCGCCCTCGCTGTATTCGCTGTTCCAAAGCTTCTTCTTTGCGTCGCGTGCCAGGTCGTAGAGCCAGTCACGGCGGCCGCCGCCATACTCATAGCCGTGGACATTAATGCGCTTAATAATATCCTTGGACGCGCCAGAGAGTCCCAACCAGGTGGCAATAGCAAATGTCATTCTATTTTCATCGGAAGCTGCGACGTAGGTGGAGAGCTTGCGGCTGTCGAGGTGTGTCTTGAGATAGCCCAGGACCTTGTTTTGCGTGCTGACGGCAAAGTGGCAGCCTTCTTGGTTACCTGAGCTTAGCCAGAAGGGAGAAATCGGCTCGTTGAAAGGATCAACAGAGTCGAAAACGATACCCCAGTTGTTCTTGGCATGCTCTGCCACGTTGGCCATGTAAATTGCATGGCTCTCATAGTTCCAAGATTGCAGGTTGTCAGTGCCGATAATGGTAGAGCCTGAGGGGTTGTGGTTCAGACACATCCACCACATAGGCGAGTTGGAGAAGAGTTCGAAAATGTTGGCGCCGCGAGCCTTGGCCATCTGTAGCATAGCACGCTGGTTTGCATCGACCGACCAATCCCAACTGTCTGATGTGGGATCGCGGCTGCCCCAGTCGAGCCAGAAGCCGTCTATCTGACGAGAGGGCTTGATGTTGGATGAGACTACCATCGAGTCGCCGTGGTATGTCCTGGTGGCGCAAGCGCCGGCATTGTACCTGACAATGTTGAAGCCGAGACCGGGTAGGTTCTTTCCATTTAAGGTTTGATAGTTCTTGGTGAAGAAGAGGTTAGCTAGATCGTCGCGGTCGCCAAAGGCTTTCGCCCACCAAGCGAGCGAAGTACCCCAGCCTTCCCAGGTTCCCCAGTCAGCGGAGGCATCGACGACGACGGTTCTATCTGCGGCTGCGGAGGGTGCCATGGTTGCGGTGCAGGCGAGAAGAGTAACAAGTGATGGGGAATGCATCTTTTATTTGGCGGGTATACGCTTTCGAAGAGGAAGAAGCTTTTTTTGTGACAAGTCTGTCAGGTGAGGGGGACGGGCCGATCGCAACGGGCACAAGTGCGGTTTAGCTTGGCCTGGAATGACAATGACGCGCGAGACAAGGCGAGGAGGACAGAAAATATCGCCAGACTTATAAGACGCAGGAACAGCAGATCACCGCCATCTGACAGTGCAGAGTGGCGTCTGCTCGATAATTATATTGGTTCATGCGTTGCAGCGAGCCACTGGTCACAGCGTCCGCACCGCATGCACGCTGGAGCGTGCGCTGAGGACGCCCAACACATGTGAGACTGTCGCCCGCCATAAGCATCAACTGGGGAACTGATCACGCCCCAGGATTTTTTTTAGCTTTGCGGTTGGTGGCCGCTAGTGCCAGGTAGGAAGGGTCCGCCGAAAGCTGAAACAGACATATATTGTACTGGGCAGACGAACCCTGCGCGTGGATTGGACGACTGCGCATGCTGGGCGAAGCCAAGATGAGGCCTCTATAAATCAGGTCGGCGGAGTCATCTCCATTGGGCCAAGTGCGCCTCTGAAGTTCGAGCCAATACTATGTCGATGCTGCTATATTGGCCGTGGGGAAGGGCGGGTTGGCGCCGTCTGTGGGTTCTACCCGTCTGTCCATACAGAGGGCAGAGGTCATCTGCCGGGGGTGCCGATACAGAGGCATGACTCTGGCAAAAGCTGTGCCTGTATGGTGATTGGCCGACGTGGCTGGGCTTGTGGCAGGGCCAAAGTCAGCCTCGGGCACGAGCTTTCCGGGGTTACATTATGGCATAACGCAGCCGGTGGACCAGTTCGATGCGGCGACCCGTTGTACAGGGGATTGTTCCTGTCGGTCAGCTAGGCAAGACGAGACGATTATCTGCGAGAGACGCAGGCTGTCGTGGTCGGCATTTGAGAGATATTCAAGATGAAAACCAGCGTGAAGCGTAGTGGCTGATTCGTATCCGCTGAGGTTAGCGGCGGCACGCTGTTATTATCCATTTCGGTGTTGCGTTATCGGACAACAGTACCAGCGAAAGTCTTGGAGATCTCCTTCTCCTTTGGGGATGGCTCCTGAGCTCTTTATATGTTGGCATAGGATGGTTATCCAAAGATGCAACATGCACAAGTGCAGATTTCAAACTCTGGAGGAGTGACACCTGGCGTGGACCTAGAGGCGGAGGTGCGGCCATATGTTTTTTCCGCTCCTGAGGTCTGAGTTCGGTTCGTCCACTGTGCAATGTTCACTGTTGGCTGTTCAACATGTACGCTAAATACCATGCTGAGTGATGACCTTCTAATGCAGCAGCAGCAAATGCTAGACAGAAAATATACCCAGATCAGGCAGGATATTCATCAGCAGAAACAGCCCAGTGCAGTGGACAAGGCGCTATTAGACAATCAGCACATAACTTAGCGCGAATTACAGTGCTCTTCCCCCGCATTATGGCACCCTCTAACGCGAACTAGGATCCACTGAAGCGCAACACTGTTAATTTAGCAATAACCACCTGTCACTCTTTTCTCTTGCAGCTGCCAGGTCAGCCAATCTCCGTTTTCGCACCAAGTCTACAGCGGCTTGGCTCGGCACAGCCTAGTGGCTGTCTACTTGCTTTCTTCTAGAAAATGCAGACCCTGTTACCCCCATATTACTAAAACATAGCTCCGGTGGGCGGCCGTAGCGGTGGAGGCGAGCAACACAAGCGATTACTTGTCGTTGGGATGACGAACCGGCCTCATCCAGAAGTCCTCGCAGCCATACTAGCTTAGCACCATGCGCTATCAACTACAGATGACGCCCCCCTGGCGTTTATCTGTTTTCCTGGTCGCGTACTAACCAGCTTGGGCAGGCTGTAATGGCTAAAGACGATGCCGAGTTTAGCCATCTTATACATCAGACGGGCGATGAGAAGATGCCGCTACGGAGGTGGGTGTATGTGGTTTCTGTCGTGGCTAAAAGGGAATGCTTCGCAGTTGTCATTTTCCCACATTTTCGGCAGTTCCCCAGACTGTCATATTCGCCCCCTATTACCGGTGACCCAGTGGCCCAGTGTAAGGGCACGCTCTCAAAATCACCTACTGTTTTGGGACATGACAGTTTCCAATACAACGCAGTAATCACTCGCTGCCCCTCTCCTCATACACCATCTCCTTCCTCATCTGTACCTAGTTTCGAGTGCTGTAGCGCTATCATGCTGTGGGGGAGACAAGTCAGCAAACCACATCCCAGGTATCTTCGTTTGTCGAATGACCAGACGTCTGCGTTTGCCCAGTCTGTGCCAGATAGATTGCTTCACAGCCGGATAGGGCGGCGCGCTAGTCTTGCCCTTTGAGGCGGCTATAATCGGGACGCAGATTCTATTTCTGTATAAGGAAGGCTGCTAGTCCTTGCTTGGCCAAGTGATGTAGAAGCAGCGAGATCGTGGGTGCGACGACGGGGATCAGGCTGTTCTCATTATGACGGAGGTCGTGGAAAATTATAAAGACACCATGCCTCCCTAGGCTATCATGAAAAGACTCTTGGTGACATTACATCAACCAGTTTATTCATCATTCCATTGTCCCGTTCTATTCGCAGACCAAGATGCACTTCTCTACTATCATTCCTTCACTCTTCGCCGCCCTGGCTGCTGCTACTCCCTCGGGTATGGCGGAGAGGCGCACTCTTCACAAGCGTGATTACTACTCTGGCAACTGGTGTGGTCAAGTTCTCAGCGGAAGCAACTTTACTGAAGTTGATGCCACCTGGGTCATGCCAAAGTCCACTCCCACCAAAACCAACCTCGCCAACCAGCCTATTTACAACTATCAGTGGGTTGGAATTGACGGCGCCTCTTCCGACTGCCAAACTATCCTTCAAGCTGGTACCTATTACACTGTTTGTTCCCCCCTAGTTGTCCATAATCTGTGATAACAACCTGCTAACTAGAGCTTCCGGGCGTACAGCTGATTAACAATCAGCCAGCATATGGCTTCTGGTACGAGTTTTACCCCGACAACTCTTGGTTACTTTCGGAGCCGACAGGTAAGCGCCGATTAACGCATATGCAGTGCACATTTCAATATCAGTAATATTAATTCTGACAGTGAACCCTGGTGACTCCGTCTATGTCAAAGTTACGGCTACCTCGACAACCACTGGCAACGTGTGAGTCGCTTGCCCTGCTCTGTGGAGCCATTTCCTCTTTAGTCACACCACTAACAGAATCGTTGCAAAGCTACATGAAGAACCTTTCTACTGGAAAAGACTTTTCTTACGATATGACGGCTCCTTCTGGTTCCCAGCTTTGCCAGTCGACGGCTGAATGGATCCAGGAAAACTCTGGTGGTAACCAGAAGCAATTCGCTCCATTCTCTACTTTTAGCTTCACCAATACCCATGCTACTGATGGTAATGGAGTCAACTACAGCCTGACTGGCTCTGAAAAATGGATCATGGAGCCCGGCACACAGGTGCTCTGCACGCCCTCTGCCCTGACCAGCAACTCGGTCAAGATCAGCTACACGGGTCCTACAAACTAAGTTCTCGTTACTTGCTAACTTTCTATCATGCCAGCTATACTGACTGTCAGATTTAATGAGAGCTACTGGTATTTTATGGCCAAGTGAGCCATGGAACGGACACAGAGCATCGAAGTAGCTGATTTTTTCCTTTACATACCATACAAACTTTTCTTCCCATGATTGTCTTCCTATGTACTTTTTAGTACGGCATATTGTGGTGTTCGGCGTTATCTACTACTCTACAACTCATATCTACACATAAACAGACATGAACAGATTTTGCTTCACCACGTCATAGTCGTGGGCTCGTCTCGGGGCAATCAGCGCCGACTCGTAGCGTTGCTACCCTCATCCTGATAGCCCTGATAAGTAACATGTAACAATGGTGGTTGCAATCGGGCCGCTAACACGCTACGGCACTTCGCTTCGGGGCTCCCTTTGCTCCACAGCCCCATCAACTTGACCTGCTTGGCTTGAAAGCCTCGGTCCGCCACGGCTGCGCAGCACAGACCTCGCCACGTTTGGCGCTGCCGGCAGCCTCTTTGTAGATCATGTACACGGTATTGGACGAAAGAGATTTGCGACAGACGAGGCTGGGCTGCAGGGGCAGATGGATAATAGGTAACTGATTCAAGCACTGGCAACCCCGGGTACTGTATGCCTCGCACTATACTGAGACACGCCGATGAAAGACATCACGGGGCGATCCGTTCAAACCGAACCCTGGATCGAGAACGCAAAAAGTTGTATGCTTTGTAATCTGCAAAAGATACCACCGGAAAGAAGGCCGAGCGATGGATCCAGGTCCTGGAGCCAGCCAGAAGTCTTCTTTACCTTGATGGGGCCAACACCCGCTGGCGGTCTGGGCTAGGCTGCAAGATTATGGTTATGGAGTCCAAACGAGAGAATTATCAATAGCCGTTTATTGGAAAAACTTTTTTTCATGTTTTTTTTGTTTGTTTGCCGGCCGAGGCAGGGGCGGGGGCTTAGTTGGTGGTTGTTCGGAGCGAGCGATGCAAGTGTAAAATCCTGTTGCATACTAGTGGAAACCAGCAGCCAGCCAATCACGCCGCAGAACCAGGCTATAATTGGATGCATTGGGAGAGTCGATCTCTGCACAAAGGCTCAATGTACCTTGGCATTTATGTTAAACATATTGTTAAGTTACTAAGTCCCAAGCATTAGGCTGTAAGCGGTACCCTACCTGTTACATCGGTTCCAGCGGCCTCCCAAATGCGGCGTTGGCTCTCCACTGCTGAAGGATTCACCAGTAGCGAAGTTACAGTGGAAAGTCCGCCAGCACAACCAGCCACCATGTACATGTGACCACCCCAGCGCAAGTTAGCTAGGTATACTTTGGTACAGAGACAAAAGAAATCTCTACGGAGCTTTGGAAGATGCGTCTCTAGCCAGCGGAGATGTTACATCCCTTGAAGTGACTGCAGACCTGGGCAAAAAAACCAGTAAAAAATTAAACAAGGCTTCGGGATGCGAGGCTTTGCAAGCGGCTACATGCTTAAACGAGAGGCGCTAAGCCTTACCAGCGGCAGTGCTTTTTTTGGGCGACTGGGGCGCTGGAGCCACCTACTACTTACAGCGCCCCCTGTGCTGGAAGTACCGCTGTATTCCCGCCAATGCCGTGGTCAGTACTGTGCAATACAGGGCCTTCCCACCCTTCCAACAGTGGGCGCTTTGCTTGACTCAGGACCCCCCCCCCCCCCCCCGGCAGTGCTCTTTTGTTGGCGCTGACGGTCCACCAACCAGAGCTCGTCTTCGCCGACCTTGCCATCTGCATCATCATTCTTGCAGACAACTTCCGTCATCCGCTTCTCCGGCCGTTGTCTATCTTTTAATTTATTTCTATTTTTATAGGGCGTCTTTTTTATATCAGCAGCATCATTGCTCACTCCTGTGCTACATTAATCCCAATTGCCGTGTCATATCAAACGCTTCTTTGCTATTCATACAGCTTCCTCTCTCAGCACTGGACCAGCTGCATCACTGCGTCATCTATATACACCTCGCCCCCATTCGAGCACAACAGCACTCATAGAGGCTGGTTCTCAAACCTGCCTTCTATGATTTATTACTCATGTATCAACTTTACATGATCATCCTACACTAATCAACATGCAAACGGGGAGCGCAGGGTCAAAGTCAAGAGGTTGCCGCACCTGCCGGCGGCGGAAGAAAGGTGTAGGTCTTAGTCTCCTTGCACAGCTTACACAGTGTTGCTAATCATCTTTTACCATCTGTAGTGTGATCGTGCCCAGCCATCCTGCAACCAGTGCCTCTCGGCTAACCTGGTCTGTGGTGGGTACGAGCAGGACTTTGTTTGGGTAAACGCCACCACCGAGGAACCGGAGAAGCGAAGAGACCAGACCCGTCGGGGCCCCTGGCAAGTCAGATATGCGACACAATCTACCCCAGAAACAAGCATTGTGCTCCGAGACTCTCTCGCTAGAACAGCCCGGGAAGTCAAGTACCTGGGTTCGTTCTGGTCCGCATACCTACCCAATGGCAGGGCCTTTTCCAACCAGGCCATCAAAAGATCCAATGGCGGCTGGACCGGTTCCCTGGGTCGTTTATATGATTCTGAGCCTACTCTTCGACTTGCAGCTCTGGCCATTAGTGCCTCTGTGCTCGGCTGCCAGGCAGACGACACTCAATTAAGGATTAAAGGCCTACAAACTTACAGCAAGGCTTTGGAGGAAATGAAGATTGCACTGAATCACCCCACCCGATGGAAGGGGGATGGACTGCTAGCCGCTGTGCGCGTAATGGAGTTGTACGAGATCTTCTTTGGCATGGACACTCGCCACCGAACCGAAATCACCAGCCAAATATCGGGTTGGAGGAGTCACAACGACGGCCTTCTTTCTCTCGTCCTCGCAAAGGGTCCCAAAAACGTTGGATCTGGTGCTGGTCATCAGCTCTTTGCAGACTGTAGATTAAATATTGTGAGTCCTTCATCAGTGATGTCAAGATGCTGTTGTCAAAGCTAACTCTACTGCCCCGTAGTTTTGTGGCGTACTTACCAAACGAATAAGATCACCTCTCAGCGACGAGGAGTGGAAGACATTGCCATGGATCGGTCGTGAGAAAAGTACAAACGACAAGATTATGGATATTTTGGTTGATATGACGGGCTTACTCGAACAATTGGATAACTTGAGAGCATCCTCGCCTTCGGAAGCAGCTGGCCTGCTGCCCCCAATTTTAACCCTATGTAAGACTTCACACGATGCCTTACTAGTATTCGAACAAGAGATGGGAGACAACTTATTCACATTTGACTGCCACATTATGGGCGATATATTACCACTGCCTAGGGAGGATAAGGATGTGGCACACCTCCAAATTACCCATCTATATTGGTCAACGTGTCTGCTTCTATATTCGACATTAGGGACTGTGATAGCGATGCAAGGCAGCGAAGCAGCACGCCTCCAACAAAGAGTCTCGGAGGCCTTTGATCAGTTTGGTGATTCATTCTCAAAGAGATATCCCCGGACAGATCCGAAATTATACACTACCAAGATTGCACGATCGATTAGCTTGTTTTGGGAGCCAGACGCAGGCACGTATGGTAACCACATGAGCATGTTTCCACTTGCACTCTGTATGCAATTCCTTGCCGCAACAGACCCTAATTTTCGAATGAATAAGGATTTCCAACTGCTAACGGAGGTATTCCATCGACCATTTCTGGGGCAACTGGTTGGAAGCTTTGTTCGAAACCTAGGCCGAGTAGGCGGAACGAGTGGAAAGTCGGATCCGGAGTGGAAAGGAGATGATGATGTCGCCAGTATGTGGTGGGGTGGGAAGGCTACAAACATTTAATGAACACATCACGTAATGAATAAGATTGATGATTACAAAAAGCAAGAGAATGGTATTAAAGCTGCAGAAGACTGCAATTAGAACTCAAGCTAATATGTAGAATGCTCCCGTAATCCTCCACACATCATACAGACCCCGTGGTAAAAGAAGCTTAGTTGATGACAGAGCCGAGGGCGATGCAAGGAAGAGCAGCGTTAATGAGACCACCAACGGCAACGGACTGGGAGCGGTTGCAGCAAGCAACCTTGCCACGGCAGGTCTGGCCGTTGAGGATGGCACCGGCACCAATGACTGTATAACATGTTAGTAAAATATCCAGTGGAACAGACACAATAGCGCAAGGCTACCGATGGAAGAGAAACTTACGGGAAGCAACATCGATGGGAGAGCAGTCACCGAGAATGGAGCCACCAGCACCACCAAGAGCACCGTTGAGGATACCAGCAAGGAGTCCAGACTGGTGGGGACCGATGTCAGCGGTCTTGGTGTCAACCTGGCGGTTGCAGCAGTTGAGCTCCATGCCGGAGCCACAGTACTCGCCGGCCTCACCAGCGGTCATCTTGGAGAGGTTGGGGATCTCGGGGGGAGCGGCCACAGCAACGGCGGCGAGGACAACGGTGGCAATAGCGAACTGCATGTTGACGGTTTGTGTAGTAAAGGTAATAAGTTGGAAAAGGTTTATGTAACGGGTGTGAGAAGAGTATATTGTTACTGGAGTGGGATGGTGAGAGGAAGGATTCGATGGGACCTTGGGGAGGAGGCGGGCGTCTTTATACCAGTTTGCAACACACGGCAGAGATGTTCATTTTAAGCGGCGCGCATAGGAAACATACACAGGGGCGTTAACTGGCATGCTGCTTGCTTTGGATACCAAAGCCTTCAACCCGGGCTCACAAGCACTGGTGGGACTGTATTGGGCCAAGGAGGGGGGGTGTGGGTGGACTAACTCGCACCCAAACAAGCCTGCCAGCCAGCAATGAGATTGTTTTGCCGATCGTGCGCAACCGGTTCATTGGCATTGGGCATACCGGGAAACAACAAGGTTGGGAGGGAGTCCGTGGCGCGCCGGGCTTGAAGACTGGAATGCACGGCTGGCCGGCGGGCCATGCTTGCGCGAGGCGGGCGCGCTATTGGGCGGAGCTGGTGGACGCCGGAAGCTTTTTTTTTTCTGTAAAGCATTTACAAGGTGATCGTTTGATTAGCAGACACACAATGTCTGTGGAATTGTCTTGGTGCAGAACGTTGTAGCCCATAGCTTTTCTCTGCAGCGGCAGCTAGTCCCTATCCTTGCTTGACCCAGTGTGTTTTTTTGTTGCCCTTTTTGTGACAGCAGCGGCTCTCTTCCTCTCCCCTTCGCTCTGGCACCCCGTTTGCCCTCCCTCCCTCTTTTCCATAGCTACAGCTTGGATGGATACCCGGTCCGCTCAGCATCTGGGCAATAGGCTTTTGGAATGAGGCTCAATTTGCTGTGGCGCTTGGCTCATCTCACACCTTGGCGCCGATCTAACCAAAGCGTTTCGGCGGGCCTCAAGTCGCTTGCGTTGCTTCCACCAGTCCAATAAACAGCGGGGAATCCGTCTGTATCTGTGGCGAAAGAATCTGGTTCCCAAGACGGAGATGACAGGGCCCGTTTTGCTCTCCTTACGGATATGACAGCGGAAGAGGCAAGAGGCAACATAGGGCTGCCCGGGGGCAAAGGATATACCACGTACCAGCTAGAGGAATGCGAGGACGGCCGGCGGCTCTCCGCAATAGCGGGTGTAAGTCGCATCGCAATATAGTACAACCTGCTGTCAATGTAGGTAGTCGCACATGCGTCAGTTACCCAGCACGGATCTGTCTCTTTTTTTTTTGTCCTTCCGAGGCTACGCTAGATTCATTGATGCAGTCATCATCTAACCTGCCACGCATTTTTAGCACAGCTAGAGACATGGCTGTTGCGTCCAGTGGTGTCTCTGCCAAACACGCAACCACCAAGTCGCCCTCACCTAGCCATAACGGATGCGGTCTTTCCAACAAGGGCGACTACGGTGGATTAATGGAGCCGCTCCAGAAAAATGTCAGCAAGGGCAAAGTCTAATGGCTAGAAACCCTGTAAAAGGTCGACGAAACAAATCACCTTGTTGTCGGGCAGCAGTTCCGGTACCAAGGTTTGGCCACTCGTCGCCGGATCTTGTGGCGCTGGTGGAGAGTTAAGGAATGGTACGCTGCCGCGTTGGAGCTCAATGTCTCGCGTTCCTGACAGGGCGGATGACAAGATTGGCCTCTGCAACGTGCTTGTGGATTTCATGGATACGCCTATTATGGGGAATAAACTGGTCCATTTCCTTGTTTTCGTCCCCCTTCTTCTCTTGCCAGACGTCTGCAACGGTTGCGAATAAGCACAACGCAGGTCCCTTGCCTGGTTGGTCCCCTCGATCACGGCCCAGGCATAAGCCGAGCTCCATATTGGTGGTTGTCTTCCGGTAGCATTTTGTGTATAATACAACCCAGGTCTACCCGTGCATACCTTCAAGTGGCTACTGGTTGCAGTGGCAATGTCTTGAGATGCCTTCCGCGCTAACTGTCACGAGCGTTATTTTTCTCCGCTAAGCTTTCGGTACTATACATCGTCTTGGCTCTTGGGTGGGCGTCTCGTATCCTCTAGATCCAGGCCAAAGAATATCGCAGAAAATATTTTTCTGTCTTTTTTTACCTCTAATATCCATCTATACCAACATCTGCATGCAGCGTAATCAGGAAACGCCACCTGCCGAAGTCCGAGAGTGGCCCTTAAAGTTTATCAGGGCTCACAAGTCGTGGATAGGTCAGATAAGACGAAGTCCAACAGCTGGGTCTGGTAAGTAGATGTGACTAGGAAGTATTTTCGTTCTGAAAACTTGGTCAAAAAATAGAGCCATTTTCAACCAATCAGAAAATTAGGCAGCTTAAAAATAAAGAGGTGCTGCCGGCGTTATTCCAGAAAGAGACATACAGTTGCTTGTAGTCGATTGGACATGTCCCGACGCTCTGGGGCAAACACCACTAAGCCCTCAAATGGCCCATGCGTTGTTGCTGGAATGTTGATAATGGGTTCGCGCTACGTCTGGCGCAAATGCTAATTTCCTGTACTGGTACAGTGGTAGCAAGCTCACGTGCGCAGATCCAGAGCATGAGGCGCTGCCATCAGTGTGTTTGGATAATCGATGACGATGTCCATGTTTCAATCGCTATCAATATCTTGTGGGCAAGCTACTATTTGTGACTCTTGTGATTCAGCACCGGATACTGTTGCTGTAGCGGCTCGCTTCGCTACGCGACTGGGTTGCCTACTATCTCGTCCTGGTAGACTTTTTGGGGGAGGCGAAGTATGCTACCAAACTTGCTTAATTGAGTTTGGTGTTAGTTCACGGGGCCAGTCGGGCGGTAGCTTTACACCTGTTTCGTTTTTGCCCCTTTGTACGTACCTTCAAAACGAGGACCCTTCACGGAAGCAAGTTGCCCTTGCCGAGCTGCCGGACGGCATCGGGGAGGCGTGGCGAATCCTACAGTAGAGTTTGATTATTCCCTCTAGCGATGGCGAAACAACGTTTCGACTCTGTCCTTTGCTTGTTTCCGTACTCGATTATGAACAAAATGCCGGAGTGAGCCCCATCCGATATTCGATATATCTAAGTCGAAATATGTTGAGCGACTGGATACAGCTCATTAGCGCAAACGCAGTGGGCAAAGAGTCACTCTGCCGTTCCCGCGTCCTAAAGTGCGACTGTTAAGATGTACCATTGGCTAGGCGTCATCTTCATATCCTCATTTACAGAAAATTATGCCCTGGATACGAGACAACTGCCCGTCTTCAACGAGTTTTACATCTCGTGTTCATCTCGCGTTAAATTGAACCCAGACACGCGATGCGCAGGGCGTCAGCTAACCAAGAACTGTAAATGGTTTGTGATGCGCGCAAGAGTCTCAAGGTAGGCGTCGATCGTAGAGACAAGGGAGATGGCGCGTTTCTTTTTGCGAGATTTTCGCGTGGATAGAGACCTAGTGTGATGTCTGGGAGAAGAATTTGTGATGAGTCTTTACAGCTAAAGGTCGACAGTGTACAGAAGCAAGAGCAGAACCTGCCTTAGGAAGGACCTTAGCTTACGTACACCAACAACGATCAATAATAACACCAGAAGAAGCTCTCTACTACCTCAGTATAATTTAAATGCATATAAATTGTATATTTAGGATAGTAAATATATGCTATATTCACAAAACAGATGTTATAGACAAGGCGACATGCATGCAGGGTAGCTGCAGTACGTCACTGCCGTCACGTATTGAACTCCCTCAGACCTGAGGCAAGAAAAGCGTAACCACTGTAAGTTGGAGGGCAGATTAATCACTTCCTACTGAGACAAGACACTCGACGCACGTCAAACATAAAAAGGTTATCATGCTATGTTCATTAAACTATAAATATCCAAAATGCCTTAAAATGTACAAAAATCATCACTCCGAACTTGTATCCTCCTTATCCATCGCGGCGTCAATGCGATTGTTGAATTCCTTGCGAGGATCAAAGAGGAAGACTGCAGCAATAGCAGCGAGGCCAACGAAACAAGAAGCAGCAATCCAAACATGACTGAAGCCTGTGATGAATGTATCGACCAATGCCGTGGCACCTGCGCCAATAATCTCGGGTGTCACGCCAGGAACACCCATCAAGGCTGTCTGATTATGCGAGCTGAGAGCACCGATAAACTGTGGCAGCGCATCCGGCGAAAGGCCCTTGGGCAAAACGGCATTGGCCACGTTGTCACCAATGCGATTGAGCTGGTCGTTGAACAGTGCTGTGTAGATAGCGATACCGATAGTGCCTCCGAGCGATCGCACGCTAATGATAAGTCCGCTAGCAATGGAAATGAGCTCTGGTGGTGTAGAGAGCTGCGCAACAGTGACAAGGGCCGTCAGAGTCATACCGAGACCAAAGCCCAGCAACACTCCATATCCCCAAACTGCGTGGTCGGTACTGCGGTCTGCCTTGGCCATGGCTGCGAAGAAAGCAGTGAAAATGACGAAAGCAGCAACCGTGATCCAACGGATGCGGCGGGTAGCTGAACAGTATATGCCCGAAAGAATGGCGCTGAAGATGAGGGCGAAAAGAGAGATGGTGTAGCGTGTGTTGACAAGCAGGGCATCCGTCTCGTAGAGAACACTGACTTCAAAAGCAAAGTAGATGTTGGCGGCGAAAAAGGCCAAGCCTTCAGCGAAAACACAGAAGAGAGCAATAGAAAAGTTGCGGTTGCCGGTGAAAAGCCCGTGGTGGAACATGCCATCGCTCTTGAACCAAGTCTCGTATGCTACCAGAGCCAGAGCAAGGGCCACGCCAACAGCGAACGTAGCAGATACGTGTGCATCAGCCCAGGTATACGGATTGCCAGAGTATGAAAGGGCAACACAGAAGAGGATAAGACCGGCGGCCAGCAAGACATAGCCAACCCAATCCAAGCGATGAAGTTTGTCCATGGTCCTGCCGCGAAACTCGACCTGCTTGGCCGTGGGAGGTGGGTGGTAGACGGCCACGCAGAGAATGGTAGCAGCCAAGTAGATTGCCATTGTGATATAGAAGTAGTATTGAAAGCCAAGAGAGTTGGGGTCGTAGTTGCGGTTGAGGGCACCGCCAACCAACAGGCCAGTGACGCTGCCCATGGAGCTGGAAGAGAGTGTGGCAGCCTGCGCATATGGTCGCCAGCGACGAGGTAGGACTTCGGCAGCAACTGTGTGAAGCAAAGGCTGGACGCCAAACGAGATACCGAGAACAGTGAAGCCGGCAATGGCCATGCTCATGGAGCTAGCGCGGGCGACAATGATGGAGCCAACCACGCCGGCCAAGCTGAAGATGACAAGGAACCATTTGCGGCCCCAGTAGTCGGCAGCCTGGGACACAATGGGGCCAAGGACAACAGTCAGGATAGTAATAGGAGCAGAGAACCAGACGACGTCTTTGGAGCCAAAGTGGCCAGCAATGGTTTGACCCTGGGTACCAGCGCCGACGATGCACAGCAGCTGGGCAAAGTATATGAAGCAGACGGCGAGGACAGCAAGAAACGTCTTTGCGTGGAGACGAGGTCGCTTGGTGTCATCAAAGCTGTCACCGGTCGAGCTGTGGTCAACAGCTTGGTTGGCAGACGATTGTTGTTCTTTGTTTGCGGCCATTGTTGGACGTGGTTGTGTTGGGTCGAGGCCAGTGCGCGTGGGCGGATGAGTGGATGAAGCGGCGTGGCGAGAGCAACCCCTAAAAGAATCGCTATGATGCTTCGTATCAATTAACGGCGCAGTCTCTGTCCACTGGAAGGAGGGGGAAATGCGCGCCGCCGTGCCAAAAATCCGGTGGTGAGAAAAGAGCGCGGGAAAAAAAAGACGACCAGAGAGCTCACTCAGGGTGCAGCTGTTGGGCGGAGTCCTGCGGGGGCCAAATTGAGAATCCCACGCGGCGTTAAGATTAACCGTCGATCGGCTGCTCCGCTGTCGAAGAACCAGAGAAAGGTGCAGGCGTGGTAGGCAAGCAAGGGGCCAGCCACATCCACTGGAACGGTCGCTGACTAGTGCCTGGCGGGAGGGGCGCCTTGAACCGTGGAGACAGGACACCAAGAAGGCTCTGTAGCGTCGATTTGGAGAACGATGCGATGCGATGGACCGGAGGGTTTTCTTTTTTTTGTGTTATTTTTTATACAAAGGAGTGGCGATGGGGGAATCGATCCAACTATATTAGCCATTCAACAGGGGCTGTGACAGGGACGCTCTGAGACACGGGAAGCCGAATATTGGATGCTTGAACCTGCGCCGAGCCTTTTTGGCTGCCAATGGGATTCAGTTTTATGACTCAGCTTGAGAACGCCAGTCAGCATACCCTGGAGACAAACATGTCGCCGGTAGACGAACAAGGAAATACTATTAAATTCTGTTAAATTCTGTTAAATTCTGTTAGAATAATTTTGACGCAATTTATATGTCGTAACGTTGATGCAATGAATCCCGAATATGTTGAACCCGAATGGTGTATTCCATTTGCCTTGGCTCTATGTTGTCATAACGAACTGGTAAGCAAGGCCATTGCTGGGACGTGGCGGCCAATGGAAGTGCTGTACCAGTGGCTACTCTGCCTAAACAGGATGTCCCACAATGGTCCCGCCAAACGGTCACTGAGGCTCCTCTCCTTCGGCAGTTGGCTTGGTAGACCCTCTTCTTTGGCTAAGCTTCTAGAAGACGGAAAAAGGAATGAGCTGTTTACGCTCTTGGGCAATATCGTACAAACTCAACACGAGGATGGAAACATCGTCACGTCGTCCCATATACAATGCCTGGCTAACTGTGTCCCACAACGCGTCCACAGCACACGCTTGCAGATGGCAAACGCAAACTTCACCAATGCCGACATATCGCGTAATTGAAACCCACCGCAGGATTACACTGCTATTGAAAATGGCAGACGTTGTCCATTTATTTCATGATAATTTTTTTTTAACAAATGCCCACTTCCGTGCAGCAGCCAAGAGAGCAGCCACCTGGGTGCAATGTCAGCGACGTATCCGCCATAATTGGGATCTCCGCCCATGATTCCGTATTCATACGATGCCAGCTCTCGTTATTCTCGTTTACTTATCCAATTATTCCCTTTGGCCAGCATCGTACCACCACCACCCCGCTCTCATTGTTCCGAAGGTGCGCAGGTCGGTGGCTATAGTGAAAATCTCACCTGCCGGGATGTGGGTGGAGGCCCGACGCCCATCCCGTAGAGTGGGCGTACACTTGCTGGGTGTCCGTCCACAATCTGTCTCCAAGCCTCCCGGTACAATTCTCCTTCGGAGAATATGCGCCAAAAATACAAAATTAGCATGGAACGTATGGTCTTATTACGTCAAAGCATTGTATATTGGTAGCCACGGTGGTCTGCCAATTGCTTGTAGAATGAGCGGCGTGAACCTGCATATAATCAGCTACATCAGCATCCCAAGACTCTCAAACACTGACAGTTCCACTGATGGAAAGCTACCACGTATAAACAATATCAGACCATACTCAAGCTAGTCAATTGACTGGACGGACATTGTCCCGAAGCAATGGTTCGCCTAGCGTTAACTGAGATCGACGCCAAACACAAAGAGCAAGGAGTTAGCCCCGCGGTTGCATTGTGCGCTCTTCGGGAGCGGTCGCCCTCATGGCGAGGTGTGCCGAATGGATGGATGCGCCCATAACCCGATGTTAATGCCTGTTTGAGCTGTCTGCATGCAAGGGTCTGCCGGAAAGATATTGACCAGGAGGCATCGCAGATGCTCTATCTCTGTAAAGGACGCCAGAATGCATGGTAATACTAAATGAAACTTCCGACACCCGTGCCTAGACCTTTTACTTTATGTCGCTCCTCCGTGAGGAAGCCTAGTATGCATATGATACGTTATATTGGGTCTGCTTCGGTGTTAAACGGAGAGGGCCTGGCTGTCAACACTAGAGCACAACTCAAGACAAGTTTTAGAAAAAAAACCACCGTAGTAATTGTTCTGGCAGATAATCAACCAAGCTCGGTATGACAGCCACCGAACGGGGTTAGCTCATTCCTTTTCACTGGGTCGATAGGTACAATTTGTCGCCCGGGAGTGCATTTCGGCCACCCAAGCCACCAACAGGCGCCTGAAGCTAGCGGTCCGCCCACTTGTCGTTCAAGAGGGCTCCGCGCGGCGTGCGCGTGCGCTGTTGGTTGCCAGCTGTCGGAGCTGCCAGAAAAAAAAAACGAGCAGCCAACTAGGCCCCGGAATACTAAATATTGGGGACGCCCAGAACCAACAAGCTCCGTGCCTCCCCATTTCCTGTAATTAAGCCCTCAAAGGAGGACCCTTACTTATATCATCTTCATCAACCCTTTTATTTGTCTTGTCCTTTTTAACCTCATTGTCCTGACACGCATCTCTTCTCTTCTCCTAACCTCTCGCCCCCGCCTCCCGAAGACATGTGTTGGCCCGTCGACTATCTCCGCAGTTGACTATCATCGACAGCTCCATCAAAGCCTCCCGCAATGTTGCACGTTATTATTTCCGGCGCCGGAATTGCCGGCCTTGCTGCTGCTGTATCGTTACGCAGAGCTGGTCACATTGTAGACATTTACGAACGCTCGGCCATGAACAATGAGGTTGGAGCTGCCATCAATGTCCCGCCCAACGCGAGCCGCTTCCTCCAAGCATGGGGATTGGATCCCAAAGAATGGCGATTTGTCACTGCTCGCCTCCAGACATTCAACGACCCCAAAAGCTTGAAGCCATTTATTATTAACGATCTATCGGCTGCTCAAACAGCTGATACTGCTAAGCTATATCTTGCCCACCGGGTGGACTTGCACAACGCTCTCAAGTGGATGGCAACTCGACCAGATGGTCCTGGAGAGCCGGTGCGAATTCATCTCCAAAGCGAAGTTGTGGCATATGTAAGCTCTATACTTGTCAAAATGAACGGCATTATGACCCGTGGCTAACTCTTCATATAGGACCCTGACGCACCGTCAATGACATTGCGCAGTGGCGAAGTCATACACGGAGATCTTATTATTGGCGCAGACGGCGTCCACTCTGTCGCATGCGAGACAGTATTACAGCGGAAAAATAAGCCAATTAAACCCATGCACGCCAACTTTTGCTACCGATTCCTGATCCCGACAGCGGATATTGAAGCAGACCCAGAAACGAGATTCTATAACGAAAACTGCGAAGGTGGAACAAGAGTTATTCCTCACAGCGATGGAAAGCGTCGTGTAGTATCCTACATGTGCAGAGAGTAAGCAAAATCTTATAGCAACCGCGTAATACTCAGACTGACCGGACTTAGAAACACGATACATAACTTTGTTGGTCTATTTTCCGACGATGACATGGAGGCTGGAACAGAAGGTGAGCGGAGGCTTCGCAGCAGTCAGCCCCATAACATCACTAACATCACTCGATAGACTGGCAAGCATCCGTGGACATATCTGAAGTGCTAAAACGCTTCTCCGACTTCAATCCTGATCTTCTTAAAGTTATGGCCAAGGCATCTGAAGCAAAGCAATGGCCACTATTGTATAGATCGCCGTTGGAAACATGGCATAGGGGTTACATGGCTCTTGCCGGCGACTCTGCGCACCCCATGCTCCCTCGTAAGTTGATATTTCATGTCCGCTTGGTATGTGCTCGTATGTCTAACCACAATGCAGATCAAGGACAGGGTGGCGCCCAAGGTATGGAAGACGGACTCGCTCTGGGTATCATTATGAGCGGTGCGACATCCAAGGAAGAAGCCAAGGAACGGTTTAAAATTTATCAACAAGTCCGTCACTCGCGCGTCAGTGTAATACAGGTCCTCAGCAACGTCGGCCAGGACCAGCTCAATGAGATCAGACACGAAGCTGCGCGTTACATGCCCGAGGACAGGATCCCTTCCAACCAACAGGAAGTGCGGCAATTCAACTTTCACTTTGACATTGTCGACGCTTCTATCCGGGCTATGAGGCAGTACGACCCGTCCTTTGAGCTGCCATCCGACTTTTTTGATCGTCCCGTCGCAGGGGTACCAAACTCGGACACGCTACAGAGAAAGACATCGAATCTAGTAGCCAACGCGGCCAAAATCTAAAACTTGCATATCATCACAGAAACCTATCAGCATACATCAATTAGCATTGGGAAGGGAAGGAACTCTTATGATGGCCGGACTGTATATATACACATGACTCAGTCGCAGCGCAGCAGATATTGCGCCAGGTAGCCGGTATATCCAGCATGACAGGGAGGCTATAGAGTTATATGACTTATGACATGAATACAGAACCACTATATAAGCTGTATGGGACCAAGATAACAAAATATAGCACTAATGGACACTTTGCATCTGCGGGGTGATTCGATGTTCATGGGGGATTGACATGGAACCCGGCATTAGGCGCTTGGCAGCGGGCCTCGCGCTGTGTCTTGTTTGCCTGGTCAACGTGGATGGATAATTGGGCGCTGAGAGACCGCTTGTTGCAGCCACGATACTGTACACCGCAAAGCAGCATCTCAACACTCAACAAGCCAGAACGTGGGGGAAGAGTCTAGGCCATGCATGTAGTACCTAACCAGCTAATGCTCGGCTGTGCGATACATCACGCGGGGTTCTTTTACCGGGCGGACTTGGGCCAGCTAGCCAGCTAGCCAACCAGCCAGTCAGCCTCCCTTGGCCTCCCCCGGTTCACTTGGAGCTCTCTCTAGTACGTGGTAAAGTTACTGAGTGTTGTTGCACTTCTGTTGAGAGAAAGTCGGCTCTCATAAATTGGACGCGTACTGTGCTGCGCTGTCGGACGGATATGTCGCCTCCCACATGTATCAAGCTGCATCTTTTGGATTGTTTCCCCAGACATTTCGTGTCAAGCACGCTTTTTTACCCCAGAAATCGTATGCAGTCTTACTCTCAGCGCCAAACCCGGCCGCCTCTGCATCTGTAGTTTGGGGGTCACCCTGCAAACGACACCTCATCGCTGAATCTTGTTGGTGGCGCCCCTGTAAATTTTACAGTTTGACCGCCCCAAACCCGCAGTGCAACGCTCTTGTACCGCTAGCGGCTCGGTTGGCCCGCCCGGTCCCCCAACCCAGGAACATGCACTGGAGCTTCCCCCTGGCTAAAGTAACTAACAATCCCCCCCAAATGGGTTTTAGCTTCGCGGCCATCTGCAGCCCTTGTACAACTACAGTTGGGCTTGAGAACAGATCGACGCATTGTTGGAGGTGCTTGTTTTTACTGTATTATTACTGTATATTTGGCCTGTTTGTAATAGTCCCCTGCTGACCAAGTCTATCAGTGACACGGAGCAAACGCACTGTGTCGCCCCCTTCTCCAGTAAACCCGGCTCCGTTGTCGCCGGTCCTTGGGAGAGAACCATCATCACCAAAAGAGCCGTGTTTGCCGTCTCACCACACTTTTACCACTGCGGCGGCATCGGCGCTTGTGCGACGTGAATCCCGGTGCTGTGAAGCATGTTCGTGATCTTGAATGAAAATTAAAAATCAAATAAAAATAGATGCAAAACACAATCGCGCTCGTAAAACAAAGAGTAGCATTCAAAAACACCATCTGGCCAGTCTATGCCGCAACCGGCACTGCGCTTCAGTGGAGATGGAGGGGCCACGGCTTCCGGCACCGGGTTCCCACGGCATACACTCACCAAAAACCTTCCAGAACGCGCTTCCCATCGCCCCAAAGCTCGGCCTGAACCCGTAGATTTTTTTTTCTCACCGACCCACTGCGTGCGTTCCCTACGGGACCTTTTGGTACTGCCTGGTGGCTGTCGTTTTGGGGGTCGTGGCCCCCCCAACATTGCTGGAACCGAATTGTTGTCCGACTCCCTTTTGACCCGTTCCCCTCCCCGTTTCCTGTCATTCTAAAGCTTTCATCATCTTTTGACATTCATCTTTGTTCAGACAACTTAGTAAAACAGCTTGCTTACTTGATTTTACTACCTGTGTGGTTGAGTCGACATATATTTACACCACGACTCGTAAGCTTCCACTAAGGCTCCACGCCCTCATTGCTTGAGAAGATTTCTCCCTCCACCAGCCCGCCACCACTGTTTATTATCATTTAATATACGAGATCGATTCAGAAATCGTCATCAAAAACACCCTTGCTTCTTTATCAACACCATTTCTCCACAACTCTTTGCAATGCCTGCCTCCGGAGGTATCGCCACCAAGCCCAAGTACAGCTTCCTCGACGACTACAGTGAAGGTGCCCATCCTGATCTGCTCCGCGCTCTCGTCGCCTCCAACGACACCCAGGAAGCCGGCTACGGAAGAGACACATATAGCCAGGATGCTCGTGAACTGATTAGACAGCAAGTTGGCTGCCCGGAAGCCGGTGTCTTCTTCGTCCCCAGTGGCACTTCTGCCAATGCCATCTCAATTGCTTCTTGCCTCCGCCCTCATGAGGCTGTTATTGCTGCCAGCTCCGGTCACATTGTCACCAGAGAGACTGGTGCTATCGAGGCCGGTGGTCACAAGATTATTAGCGTCGTTCCCCAGAACGGCAAGCTGACTCCTGCCTCCATCACAAAGGCTATCGACGACAACTGGCACTTCCCTCACATGGCCAAGCCTCGTCTTGTCTACATCTCCAACGCCACCGAAGTTGGCACCATCTACACCAAGGCAGAGTTGACTGCCCTTAAGCAGCTCTGTGAGATGAATGGTCTTCTGCTCTTCATCGATGGTGCTCGCATGGGTGCTGCTATGACCTCCAAGAAGAACGATATGACCCTTAACGATGTTCTCCAGCTCAGCGACATCTTCTGGATCGGTGGCACCAAGAACGGCGCTCTCCTGGGTGAGGCTGTCGTCGTGAAGGATCCCAAGCATGCCGAGGACTTTGAATTCTTCGTCAAGCAACAGGGCTCGCTGCTCGCCAAGGGCCGCATCATGGGCACTCAGTTCACAGAACTGTTCCGAGAAGGCCTCTTTTTCAACTTAGCTCGCACTGCCAACGAGGCGGCGCTCGCTCTCTCCTCTGCCATTCTTCAGGGCGGCTATGAGTTGCTCGCCGAGACCGAGACTAACCAAGTCTTTGCCATTCTGCCTCTGGAATTGGCCAACTTCCTCCAGCAGAGCTTCAACTTCTACATCTGGGAAAAGTTTGACCAAGACCGCGTCGTGGTTAGACTGTTGACAACCTGGGCAACCCAGCCTGCTCAACTTGAAAAGTTTAGCCGCATTGTTGTTACTTGGGGTACCGCCGCCGCAGAGGTGTAATCATGTGTACCGACTTCATTTTGTTCATTTTGTTTGGCGTTTTAAGGACTACATTTAATCTTGGGTGGCATACATATATAACCTCATTTACGAAAACTAATAATTTACGACATATAATTTTCTTTTGCAAAACATCGATAAAGACTCGCTAAGGAAGCAATGCAATCTTACGTGGTACCAAATAGTAACGATTTTGGCCCCCAACTGTGTACACATATGTAACGAGTGAGAAGCGGGCAATTGATGGAAAACAAACTCAAATTGGTATTATTCATTGCTTCAATCTCGCTATGACTACATAGTAAAAAAATAGAAACAGTTCACATCTTACTCATGTTCCATTACAGAGACTTCTTCTCACTAACATGCTCGGAAGTACCGAGCTCGCCAGTCTCATCCTTGGGTTCCTCACCGAGCTGGCTAGTATCCCAACCATGGCTCTCAAGATACGCACGGAATTTGGCATCTTCCTCATGGATAGTATCCTGGCCAACGAGAGGGATTAGGAGCGCGAGGGAGGCGGCAAACAGCCCAAGACTGGATGAGACCCAGAAAGGGTACTGTGCCTTCTTGGTTGTGTCACTACCGGCGGCCGTGATGACATAAGGGAACACATATGTGCCAATGAACGCACCAATCTTGCCAATAGCTGCGGCGATGCCATAGTAGCGTCCACGAACGCCGGTAGCACAAGTTTTGGATGCCAAAAGACCGATGTTGTTGCCAGCACCAAACTCACCAAGACTCTGGAAGATACCGTAGATGACAATAAAGCCTCCGATAGAGCCTTTGAGATGCTCGTAAACTCCTGCCATGATGAATCCTACAATAGATTGCAGCACTAGACCAGTGATGAGCGCTGTCTTGGGACCCAGCCAATCCGAGGCAAAGGCACCGATGATGGTACCGGGGATGTAGAAGAGGTTAATGACAACGTTCCAGCCGAAAATGATGTATAGAGGAGCGGTAGACGAATCGAAAAAGTTGGCAAGGATCACGGGGCTGTAGATGCTAAAAGCATACGTGGTAAACTATTTCTAAAGTCAGTTATGCTTGAATGGCGTGATGAATTGATGAAACGTACGTCGTAGATGAACCAGATGACGCTGACAAGCGTGAGGCGGAACCAGTAGTAACGAAAGACGAGGGAGTATGGGGTAGCGCGCTTCATGGATTCTTTGGTGAACTCCTCAGGCTCCTTGAGGCGAAGACGGAGGACAAAGAGGATGGCAGGGAATAGGATACCGACTCCAAGACTGGCGCGCCACATGGCGTCGTAGTTGTCAGTAGCAACAGCGGTAACGTCTGGTAGGAGTTAGCACTACACAAACTCTAGAAGTTTATAAGTTTGAGCAACATACAGGGGACAAACGCGCCAAGGACAAAGCCCCAGTCAATCATGGTATTGGTGAAGAGAATGAACCATCGGTGACGAGTGCCAGATTTCAGTTCGCCAGTGGCTTCCGCGCTGGCAACACTGCCAGCGGGGTACTCGCCGCCAATGCCGACACCAACAAAGAATCGCCAAGCAACAAGCATGTTGAACATGCCGACAGGATCACCGTGCCAGTAGGAGCCAGTAGCGAGGGCTGTGAAGAGGAGAAGGATACCAGTAGAGGTGAGCAGCGAGTTGGAGCGTGACCAGTGATCGGAGGCGAAGCCAAAGACGAGCTGACCAACAACGGTTCCGGCAAAAGCAATGGCAGGGAGCACCTTGGCGGGCGTGGAATCCGAGTAAACCTGCTGGCCGGGAATCGGGTTGCCGGCGGGATCCGTCTTATCGTACTGACGGGAGAGAATGGCAGTGACAGAGCCAATGACCTGTGGACGAGGGTATGTTAGATCAACGGGACAAGGCAAGTCGGCCAATGGAAGATATCAGAGTACTTACGTTTCCGACATAGCCATCAGAGAAGAGACCAGCACCGGCCGCGAAGACGGGGAGGGCGGCCTGGAAGAAAGACTTGCGGGGACGCTGTTCGTCGACAGTGTTGGTGGTGTTTACATTGTCGGCAGCGGGCTGCTGGACAATGTCTTCCTTGGTGATGTCAGCCATGGCGATCTTGTTCGCAATGGCGAGGAGTTCTTCAGTGGGATTGGGGGATTATTGAAACACCACCAAAAAAGAAAATCCAGAAAATGGAAAAAAAGAGGCGGCAAGCTAGTTTTCTACTTTCTGGGTGAGGCACGCGCCGCTAGGTGTGCTTTACTTTTCGTTAAGAGCCGGGCCTCTGGGGTCGCTGGCAAAATAAAGCGGGGACCTCCGTGTCTCTTTGTGGAGAGCCCGCAGGGTGCGCTAGGACGCACTAAGCAAAGCCTCATGGACTATCATTACGGGGCGCAATCTGCGGGCATGAAAAGTCAAGTTGTAGGGGATGATAGCGGCCCAAACACGCAGACTACAGCGGTGCAAGTCAGCACATATGGCGGCGGAGAATTGGCCTGACACGGCGTGTGGCTGCTGCCAGACAAGTGGCTTGCAGGGAAGCCAACTAGAAGAGGACCCGCCTGTCAGCGCTGAAGGCAGCCACCGTATCTTTTGCTTCTCTCCTTGCGGTGCTCGGCCATTAACATGCGGCGCCAAGCCGCCCGTTATTTCCTTGACTTGCCCGGCTAGCCTCGTGAGTGTTCCAAGAGATTTAGATTAACAATACTGTCGTGGCGGGAGCCAAGGCACGCGACACAATTGTTGAAAAAAAAAAGCATGTGCTGACTGGCTTGATCGGAGCTGTATACCTGTCGCGGACGCAGGATAAAATGTCACTGTGCCAAAAAAGATTAGCCTGGTCGATGCGATACAATGTGTGTGCCCCAAAAAAGCGGACGACGGGTCAATTGGAAAAAAAAAATAAAATGAAAAACGAAGAAAACAACTACAGCAGGGACAGGACTGTTTAAAAGCCCACGTGGGTGCATCCTGTGGCCATTCTTGCTCCGTCAGCAGAGGACATGCAAGATTACAATCTGCCCAACAACAGCCCACGTCCACTACAGCATTGGGTCATGCCGCTAGTTTCTTCATCCGCCAGCCTTGCCATAGGCGGAATCGCCGAGTACTGGGCAGCGCCTCCTGGCGCTAACGGCACAGCGCTGCCGGGCCTTGATTGGTGGCATCATCAGATGCGTGTGAGATGGTGCTGCAGGTGGCGCCACCACGCCAGTGGCCGGTAGCGCTAGACTACGGCGCTGTCCAGTGGGTGGTAATGGTGCACCAATGTGGACAGTTTTGCCTGCACAATGAGCATATCTCGATATTCCCGGGACAAGACGCGTAGAATGATCAATGGAAAAATATTTTTCAACACTTGATGGTCTACGCCACTTACAAAATTCATTCCAGCGCATCGTGTTGCAGCCTCAACGTGCCGACGCTCTGCGTCGACAGCCTGTCAGCACCACGGCAGGCTGTGTCACCGAAATGTGCTGTAGGACCCTCTTCTCTGCCCACCACCAACTTCTGACAGACGTTTAACGCACAGCTTTCATCCTTCAACGGCTGCCCGATGGATCCTCATCACGGCCCGAGCACGTTCGCCTTATGGCGCTTGTCTATGGATTCTACGAGTTCTCGTAGGACCCGTCGGTTCCTTGCAGGATGTGCCGTGCATCCGGAAGCTCGCTCTTGGTCGTGGTTTGACACTATTCCTACCCTCTGCAGGGTTTATGGCGTTCTGTATTGAATACATCCTTGCAAGTGACAATGTCGTTGACAGAGTTCGAAATATGGTGTAATCAACACGTGGAGCGGTATGCAAGTTAAGACGAGTCTTTAGAAAGCTGAATTTTTTAGGTTGCCGTTACCAGCATTATAGACAGGGTTGCTGGGAGCAATTGGTCGACCATGCCGGAGCACACCAACCGCAAACTCGAGCAATACTATATACAAAATATACATTCCATCATCAATGTATTTACAATCATTTCTGTCGTCTCCAAACGCAAAGTGTCTTCAAATTCATTCGATTAGCACTTGCGAGGGCGGAAGTTGGGGATGATGTAGCTGCCATCACCCTTGACCATGTCGAACTTGTCCTCGCCGCGCCAGGCGTGGAGGAACCAACCGACGTTCTTGGACTTGAACCACTCGCAGTTGTCGTCAAAGGTCTTCCAGTAAGCAGTGTACTGCTTAACACCAGTGTCCTTGTGGTTGGGGTAGTGGTCAGTGTTGCCCCACGCCCACTGCGTTTCGCTGATCATGGTGGGCAGTTTGACGTTGTCAAGAACAAACTGAGTGGCCTTTTGAATGTAAGCCCAGCCCTTGGACTCATCGTCGTTGAAGTGGTAGAAGGGCATAGGGTGGATGTGGGCAACGTCAGAGTTGGCCTTGACTCCCTGGCCTGTAGGACCAAGGGACTTGCCGTCCTTGCTGGACATGCTACCAGGGCGGTCCCAATCCTCACTGATACCAACGGGGATGTTGTGCTTGTTCATGTGAGTACGGAACTTGCCCAGATCGGTGACAAAGTTGTCGCCATCCATGCCATCGCCGACTGGCTCACTGCCAAACTCGGCAGAGTGCACCACGTACGGTGCGATCTGGTAGTTGTTGCCAATGGCGTCGTAGATGGCCTGCTGCGACGTCTTCCAAGTGTCGCCGCTGCCGAAGTTGGTCCAGACCTGGAAGATGACACCCATGTTGTTCTTGGCGGCCGCCTTGAGGGCGTTCTCAAAGACGGAAGGCTGGGTGCAGGTAGGGTAGTACATGCGGATGAGGCTGGCACCAAAGTCTTTCTTCATCTGAGCAAAGTCCTTGTTCATCTTATCGAAACCATTGTCGGACGAGCTGCAGTCACTGTTCTCCAGAGGGTACGAGAAGCCCTGGAAGCCGTAGGCCATGGACTGGGGGCACCACCACTGATCGCGAGTGACAGTAGGTGCACTGCCATCGGCAGGCAAGGTGGCGTTTCCGTAGGGAAAGCAGTTGGCCGCCGCGCGAGCATCGACAGCAGCGCGGGAATCAACAGCCGCACCGTGAACGGCAGGGACGGTCAGAAGAGCAGCGGTGAGGACAGCGTTGGCGTGCATTGTACTAAAGAGGCTGACGACGAGGTCAACGAAAGGTATGTATGGGGCCGTGCAGGCAAAAATAGAGGCTTAATTGGAGAGAGATATCCAGCGCACGATGCCAAGAGATCTTCAGTCGGGACAGGAACACGGGCTACCTTATATACCGGAACAACATCCCCACGGTCATGCTGCATAATCCAATGTTACATGGCAAGCAGCGAAAGGGCCGAGTCCATGCCGCCATTGCTCCCCACAACGGTGCTTTGTGCAGTGCGGGGGCGGGAGCAACAAAGCTAAAGCTATAGTTGGCGCATTGCCTGAATAGGCAAGCCGGCACTGGAAATGCACCAACCAGAGCGCGAAGAGGCACCATCCAGCCCCCGATCTCGACCCAATGGCGTACCAAGCCCCCTAGCTAGGGCATTTTTGGTGGTCTATCGCGGTGGTTTACACTGGAGCTTCAGTAAGCACTTACGCGAGTTTGGACGGATAAACTGTCTCCAGCGCCCCGTCTCCAGACAGCCCATGCTACCTTGTGCTAACCAATAGCGCCGCACGCTGCATTGGAAACAGGGCAGACTCCGTCAATTTCTCCGCATGGGCAATAAGGCCTCACTACTTGCCTTACCTAACACTTGGTGTCGAAACGTGCCTTTGGGATGTTTCTTTTGTTGCGTCTCTCATAATGCCGCCGGTACTCTAAATTCCCGCCTCAGCACGCCACGCGGGGAAGGAGAAACAGGAAGCTTGGACAATTTCGGCTACTGTCCTTGTTGCGTATTTACTGTTTTTATTTATTCATTGTTATACACGCGCTTATTTACTGGTAGTGTTCTTCCAAAAAATCATAGGCGCTGCTTGCCGCGTCATTAGCGAGAACAGCTGCCATTTTCATTCCAAGCGCCATGGTACCCAACATTGGTCCATTTAGATGGGGCAGACACAGGTTCCCTTGCAGCAAGGGGTGCTGACGTAGCTAGAAACTCAATTAGTTTACAGGACGAAAAAGATTTCCTCATCTGGAGGACTCACTTGACGGTCAGCTCGCCCTTGTTGACGTCGTTTCCGGGCTCGGTGGGGATGGAACCGCACTGCTTGCAGCCGTGGTTGATGAGGTCCTGGACGAGACCGGCAGCGCGGTCTGCAGTGCCAGAGGCGCCCTTCTGGTAATAGGCGCAGATAGGACCATACTGGCCGTCAGCGCAGGCAAGCTGGATACCAGTGCCATAGTTGTGACCGCCGTTGCCCTGAGCCTTGATCTGGTTGATCTGGTTCAGAATGTCCGAGAGCTTGGCATCATTGGCCTTGCAGGCGCCAGATCCGTTGCAGTTGATGCCACCAGCGGCAACAGAGCTGATAAGAGCAGCGATAGAGAGGATGGAGAACTGCATTTTGGAAATAGGAAGGGAGGGGGATAAGATGAAAAAGGGTTGGATGAGAGTCTGTGACGAGATGGGCAGAGCAAATGTGCAGCTCGCGGATTGACGGGGACTATATGGTTCTTATGTGTTCAGAGCGTTGACAATCCAGGTTATGGGAGTGTCCTATGCTCCTTACCAAGTCATATCCCAAGTCCAAGGGCCACAAGACTGAGTCGGAGGCCCCATGGCTGTGCTCAAGATACATTGCACAGTATGAACTCTCACGGTGCAACGTGCATAGCATTTGCAAGGGGACTCATCATCGTTCTTTGTTCATTATGGAGACAAGCTTGCGGATACTGCCTTGGAACCTTTATGATTCCTAAGTGCCGACTCGGCAACGCTTCGTCTCAGCCCTGTCCTTTGGCTAACAGGGCACCATCTAAGAACGTGGAGGCCATAGCACCGGGGCAGGTGACGTCGGTAGTGGACCAAAAGAGTGTCGATTATCGTGCTGCAAGGGCCTCCGATTTGTTGGATTATTTTTTCCGTCGATTACTGTAAGGTGCTTGAGCCTGATGATTGTCGTCCTCATGGGGCTGGTGTGGAGATGCGGGAACCTTGGCGGAAACTCTACCATGTTCAATGTTACGGCATATCGGTCAACTGCAAAGACCGGGATCCTTCAAGGTTCCGATGACAATGATGTCGTTTCGTACCAGGGAAGAATACGGAGGTACGACGAAGGAACGTGCTTGTCTTTGGGACCGTATTGGAATCGACTCGCTTACATGATGGTAGTTGCCTTATTACTGGCATATCCCCCCTTCAATTGAAAGAGAAGCCTAATTCTTTAGCATCCTCATTTACCTTTACTCTTCAAACAACGATTTTCTTTTGCAAATCCTATACCGCAAAAATGCAGTTCTCTCTTCTCTCCATCGCCGCTCTGGCCTCCGTTGCCGCCGCCGAAGGCATCAACTGCAACGGCTCCGCCCTGTGCAAATCTTCTGGTGTTGCTGGAAACGTAAGTGATAAAGACATATGTTGAAAATGAAAACAATTTCCCCCATGTAACTAACATGACTACTATAGCTCCTCAACCTCAAGGCTATTGTTGACAACATCCCTGACCGCAACCGTCACTACGACACCGCCAAGCAAATTGCTTGCACTGGCTCCATCTGCGCTTACTTCCAGAAGGGTGCCTCTGGTACCGCCGCCCGTGCCTCCGAACTTCTTGGACAGCTCCTGGACCACGGCTGCAAGAAGTGTGGCTCTATCCCTACCGAGGCTGGCAATGATGTTAATAAGGGCGAGCTCACCGTCAAGTAAGTACTGTTCACGAAACATGGTGCGCCAAGGATCAACTGTGTTAACCAATTGATAGCTACGTCTCTCACCAGGACTGCCAGGGTGCTTGCTAAATATTGTCCATATGATTTAGAAGGAAAATGTGTAGATATATAATGAATGGAATATATTTCCCATGTGCCAGTACTGTTCATCCTTGCTGGTTTCTGTCTGATGTCTCGTCTACCAGACTCTGAAGACGAAGAACCTTACTGCTTTTTACCCCTAAGCGCTGCAAGCCATGAACTTTTCGTCTATATCCATCGTCAATGCTCGACTCAACTCCTTGCGCTTCTACTCGCTTTCTATACGACGTCATTGTTGCATCTTCAACATCCGATTCTCTCCACATGTAAGCAGACCCACTGATCGCATATGGAAGCAGATCGGCATCATATTGGCATCGACGCGCCATGGAGCTTTACGGACGGACAAAGACGGCTCCGCAGCGGCAATCTAGTCGTCGAAACAGACGAGTCGTGAAACTAGGCCATTGAGTTGGGGACACTGGTCCTCTTGGACACTAGAGACGCTTGCTTATTTCCAGCCACCCACGGGAACCTTTGTCGATTTGCCCATTAGAATGGGCCCGTAAGCTAATCCTACCGGGTCGTCGGCATAATACGGACATGATGAAGAGAGATGTGATGTTGATTCCATTCTCTTGAGAGATGCGAAAGTCAAGGCCGTACCTTTTGCGCAATTAAGGTTTTCTGATCAGCAGTCTTCCGTCAGCAACCCCCTGAAGCAGAGCCTCCAACCAGCTTGGCCAGTTCCGGAGAGCCAGCGGCAGCCCTCTTCCGCTATCGAAGCTCTCTCTGTTAGTTCACCTCAATCTAGCGATAGTAATCAGATTGTTCCAGCGCGGAGATGCCTCTGCCGTGGATTGCACGTGGACAAAGCAAACTTAGGGCGTAGCAGCATCTCGATCTGTACAAATAACCATGCCAATGAATCCAGTTGTGACGCAACGCTGCGAAATAGGCGGATGAGGGCGTCCAATCGAGCCCGCACCATGCTTTCTGAAAATATATCTGAACTATTTTCTAACGGACAACATTCTTCCGTTGACTGTAGAAATGCGTGGGCAGGTAGCATGGAATCAGTTGCGGCCACTGTGACGACGTCATCACTGTTGCATTTGAGTTTGGGGGGGGGGGGGGGCTGCAGGCACTAGCGCCGGCAGCCGGCACTCTCACAGGGGATTATTCCCGCAGCGCAGTGGCTGGCGAGCGCTAACACGGCCGCTAATGGCGCTCCACCATCCCCTAATGCAATCTGCAACGCCACGCACCACGACTCGGACCTTGTTTCATCCTGCCCTATGTTGCTACTTGGAATCTTCTGCTGAGCTTCGCGCCGATCCCAAGCGGTTTAATCAGTCCGGTAACCATGAGATGGGCCGCTTTTGGCTAGCCACAAGGTTTCGGTCACTCGTGTTATTGGCGGAAGAACAGGGGAGACTGAGGGCTATCCACACCGTCAGCACCCAGTTCCATGCTATACCGTGGATGGATATGGTTTACATGGATGAGCAACTTTGTCGAGCGGTTGGGTCATCGAAGGGCACGCTTTTGGATACATGGGCAGCAGGAAAGATACATGGTTACCAGTCGTTGGCACTGTGCAATGTAGATGTTACTGGCATATAATACTCTCCAAGTCTTGTCCGTGAAGAGGTCGGAGATTGACCCAGATCACAGCTCTGTAATCAACATCCGTTTTCAAAATGCAATTCTCTCTTCTCTCTATTGCCGCTCTGGCCACCACTGCTGCCGCTGGCGGCATCAACTGCAATGGATCTGGCTACTGCAAGATCAACCCTGGCGCTTCTCTCCAAATGGTCCACGACCAGGTTGGCAACTTGATTGCTGCTGGTGGCGGCGATCGCCACTTCAACGGCGGTGGTAAGTTTGAGCCACCTTCGTTTTTGCCCCCTCCTCTTTTTCTAACCATATGCTACAGAGAACATTGCCTGCTCTCACGGATCCATGGGCTCTGTCTGCGCTTTCTACCAGAACGGCGCCTCCGGATCTGCGAAGGACGCCTACAAGCAGCTCCAGGACCTCATGAACCACGGCTGCAAGCTTTGCGGTTCCATCCCTACCCAGCCTGGCAACGACGTCAGCAAGGGCGAGCTCACTGTCAAGTAAGTTGTTCGTCATTGTGTGCAAATCTCTTTCTAACAACCTTGCCTAGCTACGTTACCAACCCTGGCTGTGAGGGTGATTGCCACGTCTAAATAGTGGCTGAAAAGATGTATATACTGTATAATATACGCCGAGGCGATGATTATGATTGATTGTAACCGACGTCATTGTGAACTGTGAAAACTGGTCTCCTGTTGTGATATGCCGAGCTCTAACAACCAAGTGCCGAAGACCATAGCCTTACCCTTTGAACAGGCCGTTGGGGGTGGCTGTCGGCAGCGCACGAGATCCTGCACAATGCGGCTGAAGCAAACAGCAGCCGTTAATGGTGAAAGTTTGTCACCTGCAGCCTTCATGCGTACATGCCACCACTCCTCTTTTCCACCCTTTGTTTGCTCTTGTCGCTGTTTCTGCTTTTGCTTCTGCATAGTTTGACGACTCCCCACCCTCCTATTTTGTATGTTTGTTACCCAAAACCTCGACTAATAGTGCACTGGCCTTACGGTAGACAGTGTTTTCTCTTTGGCGGGGAAGAAAATTACTGTTCAAGGCTAGAGACATCCCCGGTCCCCACGCCGTTTTGATCGATGCAACCTCATGCATTTGTGTGAAAACCGCGTCTTTGTTCACCGCACAACGACATCCTGATAAAAGTGTCTGTGTGTCTGATAATTTTCTTTCCCTCCTTTCTCTCGCATGCACCACACGATGATGCACCAGCATGGATCCCCCGCAAAATGAAACTACGCCGCCGAGATACTGGCTCGAGTTTCGCACCTTGCACAACGGCGATCACGACTGTCCAGAAGCCCCCACCACGGCAACCTTCCACGATTTCCCCAGGCTGCCTACTGAGTTGCGAGTCAAAATCTGGATGCATCTCATACAGCCGCGGATTGTCATTGCTTGCTGCCTCGACCGTTCAGCCGAGGACCTTGACGAACGGAGAGCGCAGCTGCGTGCTCGCACGACCAACTACAACAACGGCATCCCCGTACTTTTGCATATAAGTCAGGAGGCACGAGCTGTCGGTTTGCGATACTATGAGCCGGCATTTAGTTGGAGCGTTGGCAGAACCGTCTCAGATATGCCATCGTCGGGTCCCTCAACGGCGTACTTTAATTTCGAGCTCGACGCTCTCTACATATTTGGCGAGTTGGAGGTCTTTGGAGAGGGTGGTATGAACACGCCTCTTCCATACTTTCTGCACCAAAAAGATACTAGCCGTGTCCAGAGCGTTGCATGTTCGTTCCGCGAGCTAGGCTATCCTGACACCGGGGGCGACCAAATCTTTGGAAGACTGTGGCATGTAGCAGATCGATTCTCTGCGGTCGATAAGGTGTGGATGGCCCTCAGCAAGGAAGATGAGGAAGAGTACAATGAAGAGGCCCAGTTTATGGCCACGACGGCGAGCAATGTTATCCAACAGATATGGGACGCTTGGACTGTGAGCACCCGGTGGGGAGCATCAAACGAGACACTGGTTCGGAAAAAGATGGTCTTTGTCAAGGAAGTCGATCTTTTGAATATTGTTTTGGGAGTTGATCAGAGAGAGTAGCCGGGAAGACGGGCTACATGCCTGTGAGGCACTGGTCGATTAGCACGCGAATCGTTATGGATAATTTTATCCGCTTCGAGATTCAAGTCGCAACGTGCCACGAACTCTATAGAGCAAGCTCCATCCAGGTGGTTATTCTACATCACAGCAACGTCAGCACAACCGGCATGGCCAACAGCACCTTGGTGATCTAGGAGCTTGATAAGCTTTGCGGCTCAGGTAGTTAACTTTCCGTACGCTAGCGGGGAAGCTATGTTGCTACCGCGGTTGGCAGTCTGTTTCCATTTGTCCTAATAAAGAAAAGATTTTTATCATCGTCATTTTCTCTGTACTCTTCTTTCATTTTCGTCATCGTCACATCTGCAGCCTCTTCGGCGATCACGGATGAGCTGCCAGCGCCAAACAACTTTTCTTTATTTTGGCGGGGCAGCGTTGCTGTCGGTGATGGGCGAGCTGGACGGCCCCGCCAGAGCTCAAGAAGCTTCGACTGGAGCCCCGCCAGCCAACCAGCTGCGCCCGTTGCCTCGCCACTGCATGGACCTGCAGCAGCTTGTTGGCTGGGGGTGTGCAGGGCAATTGAGGGAAGAAAAAAGTTTGCCTGGGATACCACCCATGCGTTGGCTTGGGCAGGCCAGCGGCTGGTGCTTGCAACAGGGAGCGGTGTGTGTATCAGGCTCAGAGGTCAGACAGTAGGCTCAGTTGTCAGTGCTAGAGAATAGGCGGGATGGGTCTATGAACTCATAATTCGTGATAGAATGCTGTGATTGACCTCCCTATGTGTGAGTCGGGCCACTTGCTAGCAGTCTTCGAGCCAATTCCATTCTTGTTCGATCGGTCGAGGGCTTCCAAAGTTTCCACCCAAGCCGTGATGAAATCATAGGCGGGAGGAAATTTTTTTTGGAGGGGTTCGGAATCGCAGGCAAGTCGTCATGTGGGGCAATGTATCGCATACTTGTAGTGTTGCCTAGGCTGCTATGGGGAGGTAAGGTAACTTGTACCTGCCTCACTGCCCCGCGCTGGAAGGTTCTCACAGCATGGAGGCAGAACAGTTGGCATCCAAAACGGCGGCCAGAGAGCGTTGAAAAATGCCAGAATTTGTCAGGAAAACAAACCGTAATGGCAAAAAGAGGCAAAAAATAGTGCCCTCGCGGCCAATTCAAACCCCTTTGTCCGATCGTGCAGGAAGCTTCCACTTTATACCAGCGTTGCTGGGTGCCTTCCAGCTCCATCCACCAACGGCTAGCGGGCGCCAGACGCTTCCACAAGCCCCTCGCCCGCAGTAGTGGGCACCGCTGGAACACTGTAGAACCAAGTAGAATCGCACACGCTGGGCCTATTTAGGTCTTTTCCCGCATCGCTCCTTCCTCAACAAACTATTCTTTCCTCATCATCTCTTTGTTGTCTCATTTTATACCCCTTCCCTTTTTTCTTGAGATAGCCTTACACATTCTGACAGTTGTCAACTGTGTGCCAATTACGAATTCCCGTCCTTATTTCCGCCTACACCACATACATCACAACCGCCCAACATGTCTACCAACGCCGTCGGTATCGATTTGGGTACCACCTACTCTTGTGTCGGTGTCTTCCGTGAAGACCGTTGCGACATCATCGCCAACGACCAGGGTAACCGTACCACTCCTTCTTTCGTCGCTTTCACCGACACCGAGCGTCTGATTGGTGATGCCGCCAAGAACCAGGTCGCCATGAACCCCAACAACACCGTCTTCGACGCCAAGCGTCTCATTGGCCGCAAGTTCTCCGATGCTGAGGTCCAGGCCGATATGAAGCACTTCCCCTTCAAGGTCATTGACAAGGGTGGCAAGCCCATTGTCGAGGTTGAGTTCAAGGGCGAGAACAAGACCTTCACCCCTGAGGAAATCTCTTCCATGATCCTCATCAAGATGCGCGAGACTGCTGAGGCTTACCTCGGTGGCACCGTCAACAACGCTGTCATCACTGTCCCCGCCTACTTCAACGACTCTCAGCGTCAGGCTACCAAGGATGCCGGTCTCATTGCTGGCCTCAACGTCCTCCGTATCATCAACGAGCCTACTGCCGCTGCCATTGCCTACGGTCTTGACAAGAAGATCTCCGGCGAGCGCAACGTCCTCATCTTCGATCTTGGTGGTGGTACCTTCGATGTTTCTCTCCTCACCATTGAGGAGGGTATCTTTGAGGTCAAGTCCACTGCTGGTGACACCCACTTGGGTGGTGAAGACTTCGACAACCGTCTCGTTAACCACTTTGCTAACGAATTCAAACGCAAGAGCAAAAAAGATCTGACATCAAACAACCGTGCCATGCGCCGTCTCCGCACTGCTTGCGAGCGTGCCAAGCGTACCCTTTCTTCCTCCGCTCAGACCTCCATTGAGATCGACTCTCTCTTCGAGGGTATCGACTTCTACACCTCCATCACCCGTGCTCGTTTCGAAGAGCTTTGCCAGGACCTCTTCCGCTCTACCATCCAGCCCGTCGACCGTGTCCTTGCTGACGCCAAGATCGACAAGAGCCAGGTCCACGAGATTGTTCTCGTCGGTGGTTCCACCCGTATCCCCCGCATCCAGAAGCTCATTACCGACTACTTCAACGGCAAGGAGCCCAACAAGTCCATCAACCCCGATGAGGCTGTTGCTTACGGTGCTGCCGTCCAGGCTGCTATCCTGTCTGGTGACACCACCTCCACCTCCACCAAGGAAATCCTCCTCCTTGATGTCGCTCCCCTCTCTCTCGGTATCGAGACTGCTGGTGGTATGATGACCAAGCTGATCCCCCGCAACACCACCGTTCCCACCAAGAAGTCCGAGGTCTTCTCTACCTTCTCTGACAACCAGCCCGGTGTCCTTATCCAGGTCTACGAGGGTGAGCGTCAGCGCACCAAGGACAACAACTTGCTCGGCAAGTTCGAGCTCACTGGCATCCCCCCTGCCCCCCGTGGTGTTCCCCAGATTGAGGTCACCTTCGATGTTGATGCCAACGGTATCATGAACGTCTCCGCCGTCGAGAAGGGTACTGGCAAGTCCAATAAGATTGTCATCACCAACGACAAGGGCCGCCTCTCCAAGGAGGACATTGAGCAGATGCTTGCTGATGCTGAGAAGTACAAGGAGGAAGACGAGAAGGAGGGCCAGCGTGTCGCTGCCAAGAACGGCCTTGAGTCTTACGCCTACTCTCTCCGCAACACTCTCTCCGACCCCAAGGTCGACGAGAAGATTGAGGCCGCCGACAAGGAGACCCTCACCAAGAAGATCGATGAGATCGTCTCTTGGCTCGACGACAGCCAGTCTGCCTCCAAGGAGGAGTACGAGGAGCACCAGAAGGAGCTCGAGGCTGTCGCCAACCCCATCATGATGAAGTTCTACGGAGCTGGTGGTGAGGGTGGTATGCCCGGTGGCATGCCCGGTGGCCCTGGTGGCTTCCCCGGTGCCGGTGGCGCTCCTCCCGCTGAGGATGCCTCTGGCCCTACCGTCGAGGAGGTCGACTAAATGCATTTCTAAGTACTGGTTGAGCTCTCCGACCGTCTATAATTTGTTACGAGGCGAGTCGGTGGCCAGCTGGAGTGCGAAGAATTTTACGGTTTTCCTTTGTTGATTGCTTTACGGTTATGATTCAGGAACGAAAAAAGAGAGCAACGCAGGTTTTGCGTAGTCATGTATTTTAGATTGCTTTGCTTTTCCATGATAAATCAAAATATTTCATCAGAACAATTTTCTTAATTTTCCCTCTTCAAAGTTTGTGACACACACCAGTTTAATCTATACTGTCTCTTCCACGTGTGTTTGTGTATGTGTAAGTTTGTGTATATACATGTAATTGTGCACGTTTATTGTTGAGAACACTGTAAGTGTCCTCGTGTAGCGCTGTACAGGTATAGTAATTGTAGCGGACATTGGTACCAGTTAGCGCCTTAAGGGGGAAGAGGGGGAGGCCGAGCAGGTGGGCAATTGCGCATGTGGTCCAGTGGCTTGTTGGGATCACAAGGCGGGAGCCGTGGCCAAAAGGTGGTCTCACCTCCACCAACTTCCTGCCACTGCCTTTCCTCGGCATCGTCTCGCTCGCCTCCCAACGCTGCGCCTCGGGCATCTGCGTTTGTCTCGCTGTGCTTTAATTTAGCTGCATCCCCCCTTTCTGCATTATTACTGTGCTATACCTTTAGCCCCTCTTCTATTCCCGTGTCCTGGCGATAGCGGATGCTGCCACAACGTCGCTAACCGGCCGCCCCCTTGGAATACATTGTCATCATGAACGGCCATTTTGCTGCAGTAGGCGAACAGCCTACAGACGGCAACTACGAGCATGGCGTGCAGGTCATTGACGAAGAGAAGGAGTTCAAGTAAGTCTACCCAATGCTTGACTGCTGTGCCGCGCCGCGCGACGATAGATTGCTGTATACTAACCGCGCGACACGATGCAGCTCCAACCTCAACGACTACCTCCAGAAGACACATGTCGCGCCCGCCGGCTTCAACTATCATCTCATCTCCGTCTTTGGCTCACAGTCGACTGGCAAATCTACCCTCCTGAACAACCTCTTTGGCACCGAGTTCTCCGTGATGTCCGAAACGGAACGACGACAGACAACCAAGGGCATTTGGATGTCCAAGAACAAGCGCGAGAAGAGCGCCGGCGTTACCATGGCCCAAAACATCCTTGTTATGGATGTGGAGGGTACGGACGGACGAGAGCGCGGCGAAGATCAGGATTTCGAGAGAAAGAGTGCTCTCTTTGCCTTGGCCACCAGTGAGGTCCTCATCGTCAACATCTGGGAGCACCAGGTCGGCCTGTACCAGGGAGCCAATATGGGCCTCCTCAAGACTGTGTTTGAAGTCAATCTGCAGCTCTTCCTTAAAGATAAACAGTATGTTCTCCGGAGCTTCCCCAGCATTGTAGCTGTAGCTAACCCCTTGCAGATCTACCCCTCGATCACTCCTCTTCTTCGTTATTCGCGACCACCTCGGCACAACTCCTCTTGCGAATCTGCGAAATACCCTGGTCCAGGATCTGACAAAGATCTGGTCGACCATCTCTAAGCCCACCGGCCTCGAATCCTCTCGCATTGACGACTACTTCGACTTCGGTTTCGCCGCCCTGCCACACAAAATCCTCCAGGCCGATAAGTTTACTTCCGAGGTACAAAAGCTTGGAGCACGCTTTACTTCTGGCCACCGCGCGTCAGACAAGGAAAGCCAGGGAGAACAAGAACTCGAAGGTGGAATCTTCTTGCCTGAATACCACCGCAGAATCCCTGCCGATGGCTTCTCCGTCTACGCAGAAGGCATCTGGGACCAAATTGTTCATAACAAAGATCTCGACTTGCCTACCCAGCAAGAGCTTCTTGCGCAATTTAGATGCGACGAGATTTCCAAGGAGGTTACTGTCGCGTTTGATCTTGTTGTAGCTCCTCTAGAAGAGCGTCAACTTGAGGCTACCAATTTGGGCAAGGTGCTTGTGTTGGCCAACTTGAGCACACTCTGCAGTGATGCTCGAGACGCTTGCCTTAAGGCGTTCCAGAGCCAGGCTAGCCGCTACCACAAGAAGGTGTATACTGATAAGAAGCTTGAGCTTGAGAGTAAAGTGGACGCCAGGCTTAAGACTCTTTACCTAGGCCAGCTGGCAGCTGCGCATAAAGCCGGAGTGGCAACCTTTTCCGAATCTGTATCTGACAAGGTTAAAGCTGGACAAAGATCTGGTGGCTCTTACGAGTTCGCTGAGATCATCAAAGTCCAGAAGAAGGAGGCTTTGGATGTGTTCAAGGCTGAGGCTCAAGGACTGGCTATCCAGGGTGTGCCATGGACCAATTTTAAGCCCCAATATCAACTTTTTGAAGCAGAACTTGATGAAGTTAGTGGCAAACTTCGCAAGGACGAGATGAGACGATTAGCCAGCCGTGTTGAACGCTGGGTCAAGGGTCGCCTTACCGATGTCGTCAGTTTTGAATTCAACAAGCTCGGTTCTGGTAGAGGAGGCTCTGGAGCTCCCGAGTCCGGCGAAAAGCCCGACGAAGCTGATCTTTGGGATCGCATATGGAAGGTTTTCACCGAAATTGTCTCGGACGCAGAGTCTCGATTCATTGAACGTGCCAAGGGCTTTGATGCCAGCCAAGAGGAGATGGACGTCGGACTGTGGCGCCTGCATCGCAAAAGCTGGAGTGCTCTCCGAGAGAAGATTGAGGAGGAGGTCATGGAAGGAAATATTCTGCTCAAATTGCGCGAAAACTTTGAAGACAAGTTCCGATACGACGAGGCCGGTGTGCCTCGCATCTGGCGACCTACTGACGATATTGAGGGCATTTACACCAAGGCCAGAGAGTCTACATTGACGCTTATTCCGCTACTCTCCCGATTCAGGCTCTCATCTACCTATGCCGCGCCCGACCTAGTCAGCTTCATCGGCCCACAGCCTGCAGAGGTTGAGCAGGGTGACGAAGAAGATTTGACCCCCATTGGTGGCGTAGACAGTGAGGATGGCAAGACTCTGGAAGAGGAGATGACTGTGCTCAGTGAAAGCAAGCGCCAAGATCTTGTGGTCCGCTTCAAGAAGACAGCCGACGGCGTCTATGTGGAAGCCAAACGAAGCGCGATTGGTGGCATGGCCCAAATCCCTCTCTACTTTTATGCTATCCTCGTCGTCCTGGGCTGGAACGAGCTCTGGATGGTGCTTAGTAACCCCATCCTGTTTGTGTTCCTGCTTCTACTTGGTGGTGGCGCCTACATTGCATACACACTGAATCTCTTGGGACCCATGCTCCAAATGGGTAATGCTGCAGCCACGCAAGGTATTGACCTGGCCAAACAACAGCTTCGAGAATTTATTGTCAACTCGGACATGGCCCGACAGGCTGTCGATGCGCCACGAAACTCGCAGCGAAAAGAGCCCGAAGCTATCAGCATGGACACTTTGGATAGCCGCGGCAAAAAGGCAACTACGACAGGGGATGACTTGGATGATATTTAGATGCACGTGCTGACTTGTTTCATAATTCGTAGCCGTTACGCATAATATGACTTATTCACAGCGATTGTGGCAAGTAGTCCTATGAACGATTAATACGAAATTCAGTTTGGTTAAGAATCTTATTTATTGTAGTATTGTACAAGGTGCTTTCCCATGACTAATTAAATATGTTTGTCCAAAACCCCGTTTGCGCCGCGACTCCCATTTGTATATGCATTACCGCTGTCAGGCGTCTCCTGTTTTAGAATGCTGCCGTACTAGCCGGTGTACCAAACCAGCTCCCAAGCTCGCTTCCGTTTTTACTTTGGTCACTTGAGACGAAGAAATCTGTTACTCGGCTAGTCTCTTCATCCTCTTCTACTGGCCAATCGACCTTGACACCGGCGCCTTTGCCGTCGAGCATATCCTTGGCAGTTCCCCAGCTGAAGCGGCACTCTGGGCCCCAGCCAAAGACAGGATGCATGTTGGAGCGAAGCCAACCAACACATCTTGCGTCTGATGGGTAGCCTGAACCCCAAGCCATGGTGCCAGGCTTGTTGTTATTGGTCTTGTCTGCGTCATCCTTTCGGGTTTCGTAAAGGACCTCCAGGGCAGCGTCACGAGTAACCTTGGCACAGACTGAGGCAGCACTGACGCACGGGTAGAGACTATCAGCCTTCTTTGCAACCGTCACCTTAGCTGTTGGAAAGATGCGCTGAAGCTTTGCTTGATAGGTGGCAGGCGGGCCGATGGTGTCGACATAGATTTCTTGAATATTGACTCCCTTCGCGTAAACGCCTTTGATTAGGTCGATGGTGGCGTCCATAGCTTGCGCATTAAGGTTGTATACGCCAACTGGCTTGAGCATGTTGGCACCAATATCTCGCGCAGAGAGTGATGTTGTAGCCCAACCGCATGATTCGTATAGATCAGAGTCTGAAGTGCACAGCTTCTCCATCAAGTCGGATCGTACCGCGGCCGTAAGGACCTTGGAGTCGTCAAAGTGGTGGGTTTCGCGAAGGAGAGGGTCGGACAATGGCAGCGGGAGGTAGAAGACACCATATACCATGGGCCCAAGGACTGGGCCACGGCCAGCTTCGTCCACGCCAAGGGCGCACGGTGTAGCGCTGGAAGGGTCCTCTGGGTTTGATGGTAGAAGAGAAGGAGGCACGTCGGAGTAGTGTGAGAAGCTGGCGCCGGACAAGAGCTCGGTTTCGTGCACTGAAGGAGGGATGAAGATGGACGAGGTGGAAGGCTCAATGTCCATTGCGTCGTCGGCAACGGTGTCCACTGGTTGCGAGTCTGACATGTTGCTTATTTTGACGGATATATAACTTTATATGTGAAATAGCAAGTAATAAATGGAAGCTAGCGTTGCATGAGGTGGTCCTGGTGGTGATGCTGAGTGCTGTACAACTGTCGCTGAACGAAAGACGCGTGGTGGGGCCGCCAAACGCGTTGAAGGGCAGCAGTAGCAAGCGCCAGAGCACGTGCACCAACTAAAAAGCTACAGCTACCTGGCGCGGGCGTTTGTCAACCAACTCGTAGCGCTAACAGCCCACCTGAGACTGCTTCTTCAACACCAACAACAACACGCGCGTCAAGCTTCATTTGTAGCTACGGAATCGCACCGTTGCCAACGACGCCCACGATATCACTGCAAATCAGACTACGAGAGTCGAAAACGTGCGATATGAGATAAACATCGATAAACTGAATCTAATAATATAATTACAAAATTGTTCCGAACCCTGTACAACATCCTGCGAAGCGGACATTGAAAGGCATCGCCGCTTACTGCGGCAGACGCCAAAACAACAACAACCGCCCACCATGGCAGCCCGTCCGACACGGCGTGGCGATACAGCCTCGCCAAAGATGTTTCATGAGCTTGGTGTAAAGGGCCGGTAAGTTCTGATGCCGACTAGTGACAATCGTACGCATGTAATGGCAACTAACATGGTACTCTGCAGCAAAACCGGCGTTGTCCTCGAAGATAATGGAGTTCGTGATTCGCTTGGTTTGCAGCCTCTTGATGGCATTTTCTCTTCTCCCCAGAATCCCGCTCCCCCACCGCCTGCGCCAAAAGCCCCTACGAATGCCTCTACCGCACGACTCCAACAACAAGCACCAGCGCCTCCAACACCCGACGAATATGGGAGCGAAGCGATGGATATCCCGTCAAGCGCTGGCCCTGGTCCTCAAACAGTCCTGAGAACTCGCCTGAGCCAGCAACTACAGCTCCCGCAGAGCCGATCACCACAGAAGCCACTTTTGAAGTCTCCGCCGAAGCACAATCCTTACGTCGGGCCAAGATCTTCGTCACCAGCAGTGTCTGGCTCAGCAAGCAAAGTCAGCAATGCAAATGTTCGTCGGCAGCTGTTCGAAAAGTCAAGTGCACAATCCAACGCAGGACCTCGACCCGGATTAGCAACCACTACACGCACAATCGATCAGCCTAGCGAAGCTACAAGCCCAATGGGCCACAATCTTACTATTTCCGACATGGCTGAGGATGCGATGGCTTTGGTCGACACCATGAGAACAGATCCCCAAGAAGCACCGTCCGAGCAGTGGCCCGCTGGAAGAGCAAAGAGCTCGCCTGTATCAGCAATCATGAAAGGCAAGCAAAAGGTTGCACCCTCACCATTATCTCGAATATCATCATACCCTCCGCAATTTGGAGACGATGATCTTCCGGACTTTGGAGGCTCGCCAGAATTGCCTCTACCGTCAAGGGAATCTGAAAAAGACAACCGTAACTCTTCTACAACGTCGGCTTCAAGGTACAGTACCAGCACAATTAAGCGTCCTGCGTTACAAGACGTCCCTGAAGATACTGAGATTGCGACATATCGGCCAGCGGAGAAAAAGGCCCGTTCTATAGAACCATCAGTACCACCAAAGCGCGGGCGAGGCCGCCCACCATCGAATCCCAATGCTGTTAAACGGGGGAGAGGACGGCCTAGAAAAGGCACGTCTGTTAGCAGAGATAAAAGGGAAGAGAGCACATTTGTGGAGGTGCAACGAGGACCACCACTACCAAGATCAAGAGGGTTGGTATCTTTCCGTAGCGACAGCAGAAATGGGCAGCAAATGCGATCCCAGAACCGACCAGCCCATCGGGGGACCGAACAGCCAGGCTTGTTATCGCACGACGCGTTTGATACAGAAGACATGTTCAACCCCAGACCGCGAGACAACAGAGGCTCACCGCGCGAGTCACGTCACTCGAGGCATCACGAGGAGATTGAGGAGGAGCTGGAAGACTGGGAACGAGAAGAAGGCACATTCACCGCAGATGTTATTGTTTGGGACAAGCAGTTTGATATGGATTCTGAATCCTTTGACGGCATTGTACAGGAACGCGCAGAGCCTATTGCCGTGTCAGTCAGAGCTCTTAAGACTCAGCCTGCTAAGGGCGGCACATTTGGCTACGCAACAGCACTAAGGATGCCGTTCATGTCTGCTGGTGTTGTGGATCTGCCCCCAGGTGGCGTCAAGAAACCCAAAGACTCGAAAAATATGCATCTGGTATTCTTCATCCACCGCGGCAAGGCGTTGGTGACGGTGAACGAAACATCGTTCCGCATCTCAGCTGGTGGCATGTGGTTTGTACCTCGACGTGAGTTGTTATTCGTTTTCCCAGAAGAATTATGCTAACAGTAGCACAGGAAACTTTTATAGCATTGCCAATGATTCCGACACAGACTGTCGAGTTTTCTTCTCCCAGGCGAAACAGATGCCGGTTGGCGACGATGAAGAGGGGGATTAATGCTCCCAGTGGCTTTTTTTATATTGGGAAGCATGTGTACATATTATTTAGCGAGTGTCCTTTTTACGCGCCAATGCAGGTGCCATTTCGAGATGTTTGGCTATGACAGGAGTTATCATGACTTTACTATTTTTTTTTTTTTTTTAGCTTCGATACCAATTTTAAATGAAGGCATGGCTTGTTCAACGACCTATGCATTAACAACACGCTTCACGAGAATAATTGGCGGCAGATGAGTGACTATTAAAACAGAGGAGTCGTATATTTACTAAGTAAAGGGCGAATGGGGAGTATCGCTGGTATAAAATATAAGAGTCAAACACCTAACAGTGGTTACGATTCTTCAGCCAAAATCTTCTTGCGCTCCGCGATATCCTTCTCAAATAGAATAATCTTCTTCTGCGACGCATCCAGTTTGGTGAGGAGATACTGAATTCTGCCTGCAGTCTCACTTGTCTGGCGCGGCAGGCTACCCAATAGCGATAATTCTGTTTCCGCCTTGTCAATAGTCTTAGCCTCAATCTTGGCAAGTTCGTTCAGTAGAAGCAGGTCCATCTTGGCGCTCAGCACTCTATCGCGCATAAGAAGACCAAAGGCAGCCTGCTGGACGGGCTTGCCAGCTGTGATGACAGTTGGGTGTCCCCGAGAGAACTTGACGGAAATAAGATCACTGGCAGCAAGGTATTCGATGGCAGCCTCAGCGTTGGCACCAGCGGATGAAATGGATGATGCAAACGTCGAAGACAAAAGAACTTGGTTATATCGTAGCGACGGCTCCTTGGCAAGTCCCTTGATCAAGTGCCACACTTGTTCGGTGGACCATTTCTTTTCAGGACCATCGCCATTCTTACCCATCAAGAACATCTTGACGATGTCGGTGGCGCATTCGCCGACAATCTCATCAGTTGCCTGTCGTGGCGATTGACCGGCCTTGATGCGACGTGCGAGAGACTCTAGATCCATCAAGCGACCGCCGACAGTCTCAATGGCTGTGTCCAGGCCGCGAAGGGTGATTTGGGGAGCGGGTTTGCCGTCATCCTTGTCAGAATTGCTAGGAGTATCGTTGTCGATGCGTCCCTTGACAAATGCCATGGCTACCTCCGGGTCGAGATCTCCAAGGGACACGCTGCGGAAGACTCGGTCAGGTAGCGCCTTGGAAAGCGCCTTGGAGTAGGTCGACTCGCTGGTGATGAAGATGACCTGGGCAGCATTGTTCTGCACAAGCGAAGCAGCCCACTCGGCAATCTTTTCGTAAACAATCGTTTGCTCTTCGCTCTTATGGAGGAAGTTATCAATAACAACAACAGGTCGGCACTCGGGGTGAGCTTCTAGGTATGCATCATCGGAAAGACTGGCGTCCTTGTCCTTTTTGGATCTTTCGCAGAGACCAACATCTTTCAGTGCGCTGGCAGTTGTGTACAGAATCTTGTTGAGCTGCGATTCAAGAGTTTCGGAGAAGCCTGCCTTAACGCCAGTAGTGCTCTGCACCGCTAAATCGACCAAGCTGCTGATGCTGTTGGCCCAGGAGAAGAGTGGCCTGTAGCCGACGGTTGTAGCGAGACGCTTAATGGTAGCAGTCTCTCCTCTGGCTTCTACTATGGGTTTGCAATCGAATAGAAGGACGTCCCTTCTGCCATCTAAAGCCTTCTCCATGACAAGTTCTACCTTGCCAGTACCCTTCGGGCCAGTGACGACGATGAAGTTGTCTGAAGTCTCACCCACCCATTCTTCAAGCTGAGTAATGACTTCTTTACGATGGTTCCAAGCGTTGTTGAGGTTGTCTGCCGATTCCCTCCTGGCACCAAATGTGAAGCTCTGGCGGTGCGACTGGAACCACTTGTATATTCTGGATTCCGAAAAGTTTAGAGAGTGGTGGACATGTAATTTGACGAAGAACTGGCGAATAGGGTCGAAAATGAGGACAGAAAAGCCGGCAAGTAACGCAGCCAGGATTGGAATAACAATACGCGGGTGACTAGTGAGCCAGTTCCAGATATTGTGGCCTTTGAGGCGCTGCACGTAGGAGAGGCGAAGAACAGTGCCTGCTTTACCTCCGCCCTTTTCCTCGCTGACAATGTAACCGTGCATACAGTTGCGTGCCATGATTGCATCGCGCGTCAACGGGAAGGCAATCTGTGCATATTTTGGCATATCCTTGGAATCGGCCGGCTGTGGAAGAATATCGGCAATCTTGCCATATCGTCGAAACAGGCTGTACAGGACTTCTTCGGATAGCTGCTCTGGAGGGCCTCCGGCCTCAGTAGCGACAAACTCGACTTTGATAATGCTGGCTGGGAATCGGTAGAGATCTTCCAGCCATGGTGTTCCTCGAACAAGTCGGGCCTGGATGCCGCGAAACAGGTGGAACCATGGCTTCACCGGGTTCTCTTTCAGTCGGTTGATCAGGTTGGCTAGTTATTGTTAGCATGGCGTTCCTTTGCACTTCTAATCAGCTCCAACACATACTCTCGATTTCTAGAGGATCTATGTCGGCAGGGTATCGGAATTTGACGAATGCACCACCATCCTTAAGTCTTGGCAAGATCTCTGTCACCTTGATAGGCATATCGGCAGGTATAGCTTCTCGCACCATGCGAATCGGGTCCATGATACCGAGTCGCGAGCTGTTGAAGCGGCCCATGAGATCGGAGAGTTCTTTATCGGTCTCCGACGGTCGGACAAGAAAGTTGCTGACTTTAAGAGGGAAGATATCTTTGCAACGTTAGCTATGGTTGACACTGGGACAGCTGCACTCTAGCTGTGATGGAGGGGCAACTGACTGCTGAAAAAGAGAACGGACTCGTTGGATTTGACTTCGAAGTGTCCTGTTGCCTTTTCTTCTGTAATTGTTTCCACCGGTGTGCTCTCGCCGTGACTGATAGCTGATGTTGTGGGAATCGTGCTCTCCCACGCCCGCCGCGTCTGGGGCACAAGCGCTGTGTATCGCCACAACGTCTGGCCAGGGCGAGCCAGAGGCCGAGTGGCCATCATGCCAATTCTTCTAGTCGTGAGCATGATTACTGACTCGATAGAATAATTATCTGCAGCGCATGCTGATGGTGTTGGAAAGCAGCGCGCGCTGAAGAAGTGGGCAGCTGGTGACAGCTCCTAGTACAGCGGAATGAAGTCATCATTACAGAGGGTCGCTGTACAAGGCGGGACTGCGGCGGATTAATTTTCCCGCACCAACCCTGAATCTAACCTGCCTGGAGCAGCATCACTACACATTTCTCAACGAGACACGACAGATCTTTATGATTTTGCCACTTAAATACCAGAGGACATAAGAATTATAGAATCCTCCACAGTCCCTAACACAGCCAACATCTCTGCGACCCAGGCACTACCGCCCCTTTGGCCTGCGCTGCTAAACACCACTTCTCCCAACCGCAACCCAAACAACAACCATACCGATATCACAATGGGCTGGCTCTGGTCCTCCTCACAGTCAAAGACGGATTCGCCGTCGCCATCGCAAGATCAGCCCGCAGCTGCAACCCCAGCTCCTGCTCCTGCGCAGTCACGCAACGAATCCGAAGACCCAGAGATCCAAAAGTTTCTCGAGCTTCTCAAGACTGACGAAACATCCCAAGACGCCGTTCGCAACTCCTCTCAGACATCACAGACACCTTCATGGCTAAGCCGACTAGCCTCGCGCGCCGATCCGAACGCTCCCGAGTCCCAACCCGCTCCTGTGCGCGATGCCTTGTCAGAATCACTCCTACCAACGGAGATGTCCTGTCGGCAGGCATTCGATCTAGCCTGGGGCTGCAATTCCGTTGGAGGTCAATGGAACGGTGTTTACCGCGAGGGTGGCATGCGATCATGCTCTGATCAATGGAACGACTTTTGGTTCTGCATGCGCACAAAGAGCCAGACCGGTCCTGTCAAAGACCAACTGGTGCGCGCGCACTACCGCGATAAGGACTTTGCAAAGTACTACGCGCCTGGAAAGCGCAGTAGTGAGGATGTCTGGGAGGCTAGAACAACCCGTGTACAGCCAGGAACGGCGTTTTCGCAAAGCATGGATCTGCCGAGCGTAGACGACGAAGAATGGCGCAAGATGGAAAACGAGAGAAGAAACAAGATTAGGGGCGAGCTGGGCTTCGACAACAAGTCATGAGGCTGGATATATGTGTATTAGAATCTATGTAATAATATCTGTACAATCTTTGCCGTAAAACGCCGTTGTTTCTGTTGCTGATTTGTATAGGGTGGCTGTGTTGCGGTACGCTCCTGTATCTAAAGACAACTGCGCTGAAGCTATGTATTCCCCTCTATATATTCTAGTGATAATATAGCGCTCCAGATACGTCTAAGATTTATTTTAAATTATTTAGATATTATTTCTATTGTCGATTCACTTCATCATACACCTTGCCATCGCCGTTTATCAGTGCCGCTAACCTCGAAGCGGGGCTCTCCACTTACATCCATCAACTCTCTTTCCGACATCACCGGCTGCAACTCTGTTCCGCATACAAGACCTTTCACTTTAATCTCATTTACTTCAAAGCCATACTGAAACCATGTTAATCACCGAAAGCCATGTCGATGTCCAGACCACTGCCAATGACAAGAACAGCACCATGAGTAACAAATGCATCAATCCCAGCTGGCAGCCCAGTCTCTAACGCCGCGCACAGGGATATACCTCTTTCATCCTACAATCCCTGGCTACCCTAATGCGTACATTGCCACCCAATTCTTAATATTGAAGCGTTTAGAAACTGACCTTTGAGCTCTAGCCGCTTCCCAGGTGTCTGTCTCTTCAGCGAAATCTACCAGGGTATGTCCCCATTGCAGTACATACATTCTATGGACGAGATACTGAACTTCAATCTAATAGTTACCGGCCCTGTGGCCCGATTCGCTCGCCAAATCGCCGGCCATGGATACATTGTTGCCGCCCCCTCTTCATACCACGACTTTGTAGGACCCGAGCCTCTAAAGTATGATTCCGCCGACACCGATCGCGGCAACCAGTTCAAGATTGAAAAGGTTTGGCTGCTCTAGTCACCCCAGCGCATACTACCAGAATCTAATAGACAAGTAGACGCTGGAATCATATGATGCTGATTCCTACAAGACCGTGGACTACCTTCTCTCGCTGCCTACCTGCACTGGTCTCATTGGTGCCACGGGAATGTGCCTCGGTGGTCATCTTGCCGTTCGCGCAGCTGTAAGTGTGCAAAGCACAACTGATGATCTATCACGCTAATTGTCCTTCAAAGCTTGACTCCCGCATTTCGGCCTGTGTCTCTTACTTTGCCACTGATATTCACAGCCGCACCCTTGGACCAAACACTGGTGCAAACACCGCCGCAGTTGGAGCAGCTGACAGCATCCACACCCTAGACCTCTTCTCCAAGTTCAAGGGCGAAGTGGCCATGATCTTTGGTATCAAGGATACACACGTGCCAGATGCGGGTAGAGACTTGATCCGAGCCAAGCTTCGCGAAGCTGGTGTATGCTTTAGCTTCCACGAATTTGCTTGGGCTCAACACGCCTTTATCCGTGATGAGCTTAGCAAGGGTCGCTATGACCCTGCCATCACGAAGGTGTGCTTTGAGGTGCTCTTGGAACTCTTTGGTCGTGTGCTTAAGACTGATCTTGGCGCCAAAGAAGCCGTTGCACCACCAGAGCATGATTGCTAAAAATCCTCACAATGGGGAAATTTGATGAGATAAAGCATCATAGTCAATATACGATAGTGTGTCTAATTGAAGTAGCCAACGCCTGGTCCTCACAGAGGATGTTCTATACTGGGATAATTACAAAACAAAAAAGCAAACAACTTTCCTAATTTTTGCTTCATTATGCTAAAGCTTTCTCCTGTGACATTCTTACTGTCTGTGAGGAGATCGCGAACGTGTCTTGGTAGGCCAGTGCACAGCACGGCGGACGCTGGACATGGATGGTCGACCTTGCTGCTGCTCTTCTTCTGTCATTACCATTGGAGACGACACCTGGTCACGGAAGTGTTGTGATAGAGGGATCTCTGTTTGAGCTTCCTCATCAAACGTGCCGAGTCGGGGCCCGCCTGACTTGCTAGGGAATCGACCATCTACCGGAGTAGCTGAGATTGTGTCACCAGCCTTGCGACGTCCACGCTGACTCTCTTTCTTATGAAGATCATTGCGCATTTGCTGGATCTCACGAGAACGGAGAGGATCGTCCTCGGCAGCAAAATCACCAGGTGAGTTCTGCGGCTCCGAGTCTCGCGTATCCCACGCACTAAGGGTTGTCTCAACATGGAGAGGTCTAGTGTTGAGCTCAGAGACTGCGTGCTCTTCGGCCTGTTGGTGCTCCTTAGCTGTTTGCTCCTTGGCTGTAGGCACCATACGTGCGGAATCCTTGCTCTTTGCAGCATCCTCACGACTTTGACTAGCAAATGCATCCGTAACAGCCACGGAGTATGTGGGGTTGGTTGGTCCCCCAAGAGTTTCTGTTCCACCACCAGGAGCATAGATTGGTACTTTCTTGAGCGCCAAAGCCAACGCGCACATAAACTTGGATCGTCTGGTAGCACGAATGCTGTCATTGTGCCAGTTTGACTTATGCTTGATGACGAACTCGAGCGTCATCTTGTCAAGGTTATTGACGCTACCGACGCCGATATTGAAATCAGGGTGGAAATCGCGTGAGTTCTCAGGGGCACGGACGAATTTCTCCATTTCCACGCGGAGCAATTCAATGTCCTCAAACGACGTATCGTATGAGACGTTGACCTCAAAGCATTCAATCATAGCCCTGCTTCGAGTAACGTTGTCGACCCAGAGGTTGTTGAGTTGAATGTTTGGAACCTGTACAGTTTGCATCTTGTCTGTGCGAACAAAGACTGAGTACAAAAGGGAGATGCGCTCGACGACCATTTGAGTCTTGTTGATCTCAACGCGGTCACCGACATCATATGGATGCTTGACAAAAAGAAAGATGCAAGAGCCGAGGAATTCTTGTGTGGTTGTAGCAAAAACGAAGGACAGTGAGAGCAAAGCCGTTCCTGCAGTCGCCACAGTCTTTAGGAAGTCACTTTGGAATGCCCACAGGAAGATGAAGATACTGACAATGAGCACAATGAAGAGCAGGACTTTGTCAAACGCCTGAAGTGCTTGGCCAATATCCTTCATTCCCTCACTAATGGCCTTGCGTTCTTTGCCGAGTTCAACAACCTTTAGTACCATCTCGTCAAGACTAATGTCTCCATTCAGATCAGCGTCGATCATACCAAAGGCTTCCTCAGCTTCAGCGGTATATTCGGGACCAAGAACCTCGTAAAAGTCTTCAACGAACAGAGCATCGCGGCCCTCGCAGACAAAAGAGAGCCAGATTCGACGAGCCAGAGCTTCGGAAGGCAGGCGCTTCTCAAGGGCCTCAATGACGATGGAATGCGCCGAGTGCGGGTTGAAGACTTGCTTTCCAGCAATCTCAGACGCGACGTTGCCAAAAGCGGATGTTACCTTACCACCAAGGCGCGAGACATCACCAATCAGTTTCATGGGTGTAGCGGATCCAGTTCTTTTATGGTGTCCAGATTTCTTGCGAAGCATCATTTCAATGCTATCATCAATGATGTAGTCTTCTTCAGCGAATTCGGTGCAATACATGGGGAATAGTGTGCGGGAGGCTTCGTAGAGCAGACCAAGCAGACGAATTTCGTGCTTTGAATCCTTGATACGGTTCGCAAAGGAGCGCTGGTGATATGTCACGCCAATGATTTGCACCCAAGCCTTTTCTGCCAGGAGGACACCGCTGCAACCAAAAAGAGCCTTGAGAACGCGGTCTACAGCAACGACCCACGGGGTCGGACCGTACAAGCCTTTAACAGGATTGTTTTCGATATTCAAGGCATCCGTGAAGATTCGGTCGAAGGAGATGAAGGATGCCAAGCCCCAAAAGAAGAGGGAGAGCGGGATCTTGAGGTTTTTGAGGACAGTGGCATACTTTCGAACGCCAGCACTAACGATGCCGCAGAGGAACATGAAGACTTTCGGCAACAGCCAGGCGGCAAGTTTACCGACCCAGAGGGATAGCCACCATATCTCAACCCATACGAGAATACGGAGGGCGGTTGGACCATCTTTTGCAACGCTGTCACCGTCCTTTGTATCTTCTTGACTGTCTCGATTCAATTTAGCCCCGCCGTGGACGAGAATGATGATTGGGATCGCGATAAAAATGCCGATAGGGATTATGTAAACCAAGTTGCGAACAACGGGAGATGAGCTGACAACACGACGGTACAGCCTTCCCAGAGCATTGACCTCGACAGAGTCGCCAGTGCCCTTGCGAGAGAGGCGCTCAACCTTTTTTCGCTTGCCGGCGTGCTTGTGTAAGATAGAGCCGGTGCTCTTTTCTTCTGTCGTGGAGGAACTAGCGTCATACGCAGAGTTTAAACGGTTAATTGTCTGGTTGGGCATTCGAGAGCCCGTGGAGGCGGCGCTCCTGACCGTGGTCAAAGGGATGTCTCTCTCGGTCATTTCGTCTGCACCACCGTCGAGAGCGTGGAAGCCGGATCGTTGAGATGCTCGTGGGGAGGAGAAAGTGACCATTTGATAAAAGGGCCCAGTTGCTCAGCACACGGCGCCCTTCGGGACCAATTGGGGCTGCAAGTCTCAGATTGCGACTTGGATCGACAGGGCGAGAGGGTTGGGATGCCTTGGTTGAAAGTTGTCTCGCTTGTGCTGGGAGGGAGACTGGGATGTTTGTAATGCGGTCGAGAGGTAACGGTATGTCGGGAATAACTGGCTGGCGGCAATCTGTATAGAGATTTCAGGCGTCCTGCGCTTTGACGATGCTGGCGCTTGTGGTGGAAGAGGGACGAGCGTCGTGGGTGTCAAAGCGGGTAGAGTACAAGGATAAGCGAGAGTCAGGTTTGTAGGAAATGTACGAAAGGAAAATGAAAACAAGAAGAACGAAAGTAGAGAGATGTGAAAGATACAGCAGGAAATTCAAAGGGGAAAAGGACAGAGGATGGACATGAAACAAGGAAAGGAAGAAGAAAAAGAAGTTTTGGGGCCGAGAAAGGAAGCCCGCGACACAGTGACGAAGCACTGACCCCTCCAAGTTCCTGCAGCAGCTGCAGCGGTGCTCGCCGCCCCTGCGCAGAGGCGAAAAAAGTGCCGAGCCACTTGAAACGCCAGTGATCGCTTTGGTGGAAACGACTCGCTGTGGGTTGCTGGATGGGGGCCTGTGGGACCGCTGCAAGGGTCGCGAGTCCCACCAAAAACACAGTGCGTTTGCTGGGCACTGTCCAGTGCGGCCACCTGCTGGTGCTGGTGCTGGCGAATGACGGTCACTGGCTTGTAGCGGCTGATGCAAGCCAAGCAACCCCTAAAACAAAACGCTGATACAGGCACATGGCCCTAACGTTGCAAACTCTTTTTAAGCTTTTTTTCCCTTTTCACCGGATTCAATCAAAACGGCCCGAAGCTTGAATCGTCCCGTGCATCGTATTCAAAAACCTTAAAATACCACCACAAATTCTGTTATACTTGTTTTTTTTGTTTCAACAAACCACTGCACTGCCCGTTTACAGCGTCCCGCTCCAGCGACCATTACAGCGGGTTGCGCTCCGCTCTTTTGGTGGCGAAGCCCTTCCAGGGGCACCCACATTTTCATTCGCGCGTTCCAATTAGCCGCCCCAAACAATGCTGCTCCCAAGCATATCACTGGCCTTTGTACAGTACGGGGGACCCTAGTGTATCCAAGCGTCTAATAATAGCTGTTGGGCCTATAGCATCGACAAAAGCAGGGCTTAACAAGCGTAAGCCCTTGTGCAATTCAAGCGCTAGTCCCTCGGGCTTAGCGACAGATGGAGCGGGAAGCCGGGCCCCCATCGTGTCTATGCCTTGGAAAAGGGCTTGATAGCGCGCATAAGATATCTCGTATTTGCTCCCTCCCCTAGATTCGCCGAGGAAGATTCTGCAAAATTTGTCCCAACGCATTGTCTAGCCGAAAAAAAGGGGAGAAGACACAAGAACGAAAAAAAGATATGCAAGCCAACATGTAGCCACTGTTTTCGTGTTGGCATGGCCGCCAATCACTTACATCATGGACTTCAGCCATTCCTCCACATGTCTCCACGCTCACCAGCATGTGTGTCTTGCGTCTCCTCCTTTTTTCTATGCCCCTTGTTCTTAACAAACGAGAAGCCGTGCTGATCCTTAATGCCATAAGTTCTTTTGTTCCTATGGCTCCGATAGCGCTGTTGTAGCTGATAATGGTAGTCCAACATAGTTCGCTCCCTGGCACATGCTGTGCTGTCTCGCTTGGTTGTCTGATCACACGACTGTCGCACTCGCACAGCGGCGCCGTTGCCGCATCCAATGTCGCGCTGCAATATAGCATTTGTTTCTGATTGACATCACACGTGGATTCCAGTTTCGAGGCCCAAACCAACCGACGGGCTCTTTGATCGGTGGTGTCTCGCCTTGTCGGTCAATATCTGGGAAACCTATCCGTTTTTCATGCTAGAGGTGGATAGCGTATGCCCATCTCCATCGCCAAGAGCATTAGTGAATAACCGTTACAAAGTCCTAAATTTTAAAAAGCCTGTAGCCTTTGGATCTCCACCAGTGAGAAAAAGAGCTGCTGCTATGACGTGAGGTGCTTTTGGAGCAGAAAGCAGTGTTCACAATGGCACTCTGAAGGCTGTCAACCAAATGTATGCAAAGTAATAATCATTAACAATCAACATTAGCAAAGGGTATCTAGAATATCATCGCACTCCTCCAAAATACAGATCCAATAATACAATAAATACTACTGATGCCACACTCTCCAAATATCAAACTCCATCAAACTCCAGCAGAAATCAAAGCATTTGAACTATCGCGTTGCACAGCTCTCATCGAGCTGCGGCGGGGGACAGAATAGAAAGAAGCATCGTTATAGATGATGTCGTAAAAGGCCCTACAAGTTATCTTTCGAGAACTCGTATCAGCAGATGTCGTTTAATGTGGTGGGTGAGCAGCGCCGATCGGCCGATGGGTGAAGCTGGGCCCTGTTTGAGATTGAGAGGATGATGATGATGAGCCAAACCCAATCATATCCTTAAGTTCGACAAGGGCTTTGTCGTTGTCATGGTCGTCAAAGTGCTCATCAACACTCTCCTCCCCGTCGTGATGCTCAGCAAGATCAAGATGGTATAGGGGCTCCAGCGTGGCATCTCGTTTCAGTAGAATCCATCGCTTGAACCACCAAGGGAGTGTTTTGGTAATTTGGTACTTCATAAACACTGTGGTAGGAACGGCAAAGATGTAATCCAGTTCCTCAAGCGTTCGCTGTTTCGTTTCGGGAAGCCACAAGAAAATCATAATCAGCCCCAGCAGGTTAAAGCCGGCATACAGTCCAAAGGCGCCCAAAACTTGTAATCTGTCCAAGAGAAGCGGGAATGTAATGGATAGAACAGCAGCCCAGAATAAGCAGGTTGCAACGGCGAAAGCCATGCCGACCTCACGGTGTGACAGAGGGAATACCTCGGCCGAGTAGGTAAAGGGGACAGGGCCCTCACCTGGAGAGTAAAATGCTGCAAACAAGTACACGAAAAAAGCGACCATGCCAAGATGGGCACCATCCGTGCCAGGAATGAGCGTACAGAAGCCTGCAGCAAGTAGAGTCCACGACATTTGGGGAAATGTGAATAGCAAGAGTGAACGGCGTCCAAAGGTGTCAATGGTCCAAATGGCGGGAAACGCGAATATGAAGTTGATCAGTCCGAAGCCAAACGTAGCAAGGAGAGCTTTGGAATCGCTAGCTCCAGCCTTGGCGAAAACGTCGGACGAGTAAAAGGCGATAATGTTGATGCCGCAAAGCTGCTGGGCAAGCATGACGGTCGAAGCGGCGAGAGTGGCTCGTCGAATGCGAGGGACAGTGAAAAGCTCGACAAATCGCTGTATATAGTTTGTCTCTCCCACGAACTCCTTCTCAACCTGTAGTTGGACATGAATATAATACAAATCGCGGCCAGCCTGAATGGGGTTGTTTCGCAGACGCAAAAGTGACTTCATGGCATCGGGATACCGGTTCTTTTTAATGTACCAGCGCGGTGACTCGGGACAAAAGTAAATCAAAATAACAAGAGGCACTGCAGGGATAAATGCAGCTCCAAGTTGGTATCGCCAGGACTGGTCGCCAATACTAGCACCGATCAGGTTGGCGCAGGTTCCGAGCAGGATACCAAAGGCGGTCCATAGCTGCCAACTCATGACAAGCGCGCCTCGAATGGGGGCAGGCGAATTCTCTGCGGCAAAGATGGGCACCGTCGATGCTTTCGTGCCCATTCCAACTCCAAGAAGCAAACGGCAGATGAGGAGCTGCTGCCAGGTGGCGCAAAAGGCGCTGGCGAGGACCGGCCAGAGACAAAAGTTGCCAGCAAAAAAGATAGTGCCTCGACGGCCGAAGTAATTATTAATAGGGTCCGAAAGCCAGCAGCCGACAAATGCGGTTCCCAAATACGGCGCGGCATTGATGAGACCAATGGTAAGCTTATCCGCTATTGAGCCCGAGCCGATGCCGTACGCTTCGGGCATGTGCAAGTTGGCGCCGTTTGATCCGGTCTGGTCCCATCCTTGCACAGCAGCACCAATAGAGCAGGTAACTATAGTAAGTAGGAGGGTTCGAGGAATACGCCACTTGTGCAGAACTTCATCGCGCAGCGCTTCGACTTCTTCTTCGGACAGGGCCTCTTCGCCGGTGATGTCTTCGTATCCAGTCGGATCCTGGGCGACAAGTGCGCCCTTTCGGATGATTGCCCGGTGTTCTTCGATTTGTTTTATTCGACAAAATTCGTCGACGTCTCGTAGAAGCGTTCGTTTAGGGATTCCCACCAAGGGATTCTTGATTCTAGCAGCGAAGGTTGTGTCAGCAACGCAAAATGGGATTTGTCAAACCAACACTCTGACGTCACCTACTTTGCTTCGATATTGGCATGGAAATTAACAGGCTGGTTTTTTGGGTTCAGACCGAGTTCTGCAGCTGATGAAATCGAGCCATGAAAGTCGTTGGGTGCGCTGCAACAAGAGACGAGGCCATGTTAGCGAAACAGTGCGGGGTGAAAAGACGGGGCGAAACAGCGACGATCAGGACGGAATTGAAGCCGCAATTCAGCAGCATCTCTCCATCCAGATATTCCAACACAAAATAAAATCAAAAAGGTCATCTACGTACGGCGTGACCTCGTCGGACGGCCCTCGCTGAGCGGATGTCATATTGCAGCAGACATCCGGGGAACGTCGCGTGCGAGGTGGGTATAAAGGTTTGGACGCTGGTGGATGTTGAGCGATTGCCTGCCCTTCTGCAGCAGCGACGGTGCGCAGGGTCGGGATGAGACAGGCAGCGTGTGTGTGGTGGAAAATGCGACGGTGGACGGGACGAGCGGTGGTTTTGACGCGGGCGGCGATGTCGATGGCAGCAGCACCAGCAGAACGCAAGACAAACGACAAAACCGAATGCCGCTGCGTGTGTATGTGTGTGTGTGAAAGAGAAAGGATGGCGTTCTCCTAGTTGCCAGCAGGAGAAGGAGGCTGAGGAAGAGGCGGGATTACTTCTTCGTCACATCCTGCCACGGGCCCCCGGCTAGTCATTCACCACATCACCGTGCTGACGGGCGGCGCCCCTCCTTTCTGCGCTTTCGCCTGGCTTGGCTTAGCCTGGGTGCCCCCTAAGCCGCCGACTGCCCGCCCAACACAGCGAGCCTATTTGGCAACTACAGCAGTCACAGGAGGTGTGCGCCAGTGTGTGTACGCTAAGTTTTAACAGCAAGAGCCTCCAGTATATCCTCTAAGACATACCGCTCTACTGGATGCACACACATTAAGTACAGCAGTGTACTTATTTATTTACTGCACTCTACTATGGGCAGTAGACCCTGCCGCTTCATCCCTCCCCTCCCCCAGACTGTCCTGTCTCACCCCCAACCAGTTTTGTCCTCTCCTCATCTACCTCCCCCGCATAATCATACAAACTGGAAGGGCTTTTCCATTTCATTCCAGATTCCTTTTTCATCCCGTTCTCAAACCGCTAATATAAAGAAATACGCCACACCGACCCCAGACCCCACGAACAGCCGCAATCTATCCTTAGACAACAAGCTCATCTGCTTTCCCGCGCACAATGCAGCCCGCTGCAAAATGAGCCAACGTCCTATTTCGTCCTAGCTTCGCCCATCGCAAACACGTCCTGCATTTACCTACTTACACCGCGGCCTGCTCATGGCCAAGATTGCTACGCTAAAATTACAAGTCGCAGGGATGATGGATGCTTCTCGGTCCTCCGAGTAAGCAAACCCCAGAGTAAAGAGAACCCGTCGCTTAGGTCTTTGGGCACCGTTGGACTCACAGGCCACCAACACCCACTCGCCTCCACAGGCCGATGCTTCTGCCTTCATAGCCCGATGTAGAGATTGCTCCTCGCCTCGCCTACTGCTAGCCGATTCCCCTGTCCGCCCACACCCGGCTGCTTAACCCTCCGAGCGGGCGATGTGATTCGCGATGCGTGTGGATGGGGGTGTGCCGCTCTTCTGGGAGTGGCGCATACAGGTGGCTGCAGAAGTAAGACGCATCGTCTTGCCTTTTGCTTACATGGTGGTGGGCTTCCTTGTCACATGTGCTCTGCTTCACAATAACCTTTTCCTTCCCAAGGTGGTTTGTTTCTGGAAAAGATGTTTAAGTTGTGCCGGTGAAGCTTTGTGTCAATGATGAATGTGATTGCTCTTCTATTTTCATATTCTAAGCTGGATAAATGTACAGTCATGTCCTCTGTTTTTAAGCACCGATGAGGCCACAAACAACGCCAATAGCGGCAGAGAAGTAGCCGCCAAACTCGGGAACGGCACCAGCGGCATCGCCAATGAGCTCAACCCACTTAGGGCAGTCACCATCAATAGCCTCCTCAGTAATCGTCATGGTAAGGACGTTGTCACCACCGTCGTTATCACGGTGGTTGGTTCCGACAAACGACGGGCCGTTGTGGTGGACGTGCCAAGTCGTCAAAGGAGGACCACAGACGGGCTTACCACAGCCGGGGTTGCTAGACTCGGTCGACTTATCCGTGTCCTTGCTAACCGTCTTGTCAAAGTTGCGGCGCATCAGCTGGTACAGAGGGTCGACATCGCCAATGAAGGAACCATCCCAGACGACACAGTAGTTCTTGCCGTTCTCCTCAAAGCACTTCTTGGTCTTGTCGCAGGGAGAAGCGCTGCAGCGCTCATGGAAGGACTCCCAGATGTTGGTAAAGGCCTCGGGGATGTCACCATCACCAGGCTCCTTGCTGAAGTCCTTGGCAGTGTTAATCTGCTCGTTACCAATGTGCAGGCAGGTCTTGCCGTTGGCATCGGCGGAGCAGCCGTCGTTGCGCTTGGCCAGGATGGCAGCATGCTCAGTAGCGTTATACGGCTCGTCCCAGTTGTTCAGAGTGTACTTGGGAGCGACAGCCGAGACGGCCGTGAAAAGGGCAAAGCTGGTGAACTTCATAGTGAATGTGGAAAAGACAAGTGGTTGGGCAAGATTGTGAGACGAATGATCTGAATGTCCTAAACACCAAAAGGATTCTCAACAGCTACCTCTGCACTCCCTTTATATAATTGCTAGAGAACATGCTGTCTCCACATGATTCGTTCAAACGACTCATACCTCGTTCACCATGACAACCTTGGATATTCATGAACAGCCTCGCTCAAGAACGTGTTCAGCTCATGGCCACCTACGGGCTCCATGGCCCGCTGTAGAAGGCCAAAAGGGCATGCCAAGACTCTAATATGCTACAAACGGTGAACTCTACGCTATAAAGTCCAGTATTCTACCATTCTCAGGCTACGAATGGGGTATGATCGACAATATACGAGGCCGAGCACCCTGCGCGAGAGTTCATTGTAGCGGCGCTGGCGATCTTGTTAAAGTAAGGCCTATCGGCACTCGGATACTTTTCGCCTTATTCTTCGTGGGTCTTGAGCATGCGCTAGAGGCATTCTTAAATTATACGCTTGGATAGACCCGGCAATTACCATGTAAGCGACGGGGATGCGATCCGGAGACCAATGAACAATGGCGTCATAGACCGACCTGAGCTCCACTAACAGCCTTAACAACTCAGCGTCGGATATAACAGTCGTTCAACGAGAAATTCGCTTCGGCTGTTATGGATAAACGTAAGCATGTCTGTGGGGTACATGTGGTTCGTCGTCCCAAAGGTTCGCTTCTTTTCATTTAGTGTGACGTACGAGTTCAATTGTAGGCTGGACGAACGAGGGCTACGTCTGCATAGTGCGTCATCAAGGTATGCATCGCAGCTTGGAAGATTGACTTTATTTTAGCAAAGAGAGTAGTTAGATACAGGTAACATGTAATTCTATTATATAAAGCTACCTTAAATAGAATGAGTCCTCGTGTATCCATAATCCTGAACGCCGTCTCAAGATCAATGCTATATACAATCATCTTCGATTACCCCCCAAAAAAAAATGTATAGAAATAGATGGAACCACGATATGGTGTGCCATCATCAGCTGTTGTTACCACTTCCCAAAGATGCAACAACGCTATTCTTGAGGCGAAATAGCTCCATATCCTTCCTTTCCATTTCTAGCAGCAGCTCGCGATACTTTTCTTGCCACTCCACAGCGGTTAGCTGTGCTCCGTCGGCACCTAGGCCCTTTCCGGCAGCGTCTTTGTTTTGCTTTGCTCTCCACATGCTAAACGGCACATTTACAACCATATTAAAGTAGCCGCTAAGCGTACCGAAGCGATACTCCCACTCGCACTGGTATGAAGTGTGCCCATCACGCTCGCCAAGGCGCTGGCAGCGAGACACGCCAGTCATAAGCATACGTGCGCCGGCTAGCGCAGCCAGGTTGATGAGAAACTCCTTGATGGTGTTGGAGCTCCTGTACATATTTTGGAGCGTGGCATTGGTGATGGCGTTGGCTTCGTCGACCGTGGCTCGTTTGCCTGGGCTGCCGTCAGTCTCAAACCAGTCGGCTCCAATTGATGCCCGGACAAAGTATGCAATCAGATCGTCTATGTTTTGGCGGTTTTCTACTGTCGCAAAGTAATAGTCAGGAATGCTTTCCCGTGGCGGGTCAAACTCGCTCGCCGTCGGAGGGTCTGGAGCATTTTGGGATGTAGCCGCGGCATTATCCCATGGAGATAATCCTTTGTTAACAGTAGGATGGCCTGTGCCACCGTTTTGAGTCTGATTTCCAGTTACTGCTGCCAATTGCTCCCCGATAGACTGTCCGCGCGGCGGCGCTTGAGTGGGGGGCGGCGGCGTGGCCAACCTAACAGCACCGCCCTGCCGCTCAGGAACTTGCAGAGAGATGCTTGGACGAGCCGGCCGGGGGTTCTCTGAACCTGGTTGATTAGGCTTGGGCGGCGGTGCTGGGGGTTTAGGGTGTGCGAAGGGTGCAGCTGGTGAGTGTAGCGGCGGTTGTGAGGCGTTGCCATTAACGTGAGTGGGTTGAGATGTCAAATCTCGTGGTATTTCGTATGATCCTTGAGTAGGTGTCCATGTAGCATTGGACATGTTTGGAGTGTCTATCGGTGTTCGGTTGATGGGCGGGCGACCTCTTGTCTTGGAGCCGTGTTCTAAGCCTCCGAGCCTCCAGGCCGACGACACATTCTTGGCGCCTCTTCTCTGACTAGGTTTGGATGGTGTGATGGCAGACTTTGGTTCAAGCGCATCGTCGCCCCAAAAAGCACCCTTTATAGTAGGCGTAGCCGCTGATTGCGGCCATCTCGAGAGCGGTATTTGCGGGACGTCCTGGCTTGGCCATGCAGTGGCGGGTGTTTGGATCTGGTCAAATGAGGAGGCAGCCATGTTATTAGCATCGGAAGCTATATCATCGTTTAAATTCGGCGGCGATACACGCGGCTTTTGTGAAGGCGTGCTGGCGGCATCCTCCTGTTCTGGGCGTTTGCGACCCCTCTTTGGCCGAATATGAGGCAACAGTGCACGCAGGGCCATATCATCCTCGACGGCCACGCCGTCTCGTATGGGACGAGATATCGGGTTAGAATCTTGCGGTACATCCGTCCAATACTCATTGGGGATATCCATCAGATACTCGAAGAAGGACTTGACGTGCATCGAATGCATCCATTTCTTTAAACGAACACCGTACTGTGCAACTTTTTGTGCACTCTCATCTTTTGTGATGTCGGGGGGCTCAACACCCAAAGTGATGGTCAACTCTGTCCATGTTTTGATTTCCTTGTTGTAGAATAGGCGCACCAGCTCGTAAATGGCAAAGGGCTCAAATACCTTGCCCCCGCTACGAGGAGGGTTGCGAAAGGCCTCTTCCAGACTACCAGAATCGCAGTCAGGGGGTAGCGCGGGGTTGCAATAGAAGATGAATTGCATATATGCTTGCGCAATGGTATCACGCGATACAGCACGATCAGGCAGCGTCAAGGGGCGATGGCCCGGTGCGGTAGTTGGTTGGGACATGCTATCAGCGTCCTGCCCAGTGGTGAAGAGGACTGGCGACATGGCGTAGATTTTTTGGCAATCGCGAGGATCGCAGAGAATCTTTTATATCAGCAGACCCATAAGGAAGAGCTGCTATCCAAGTTTAGGGTTTTGCGCCAGCGCTGCAGGTGAATCTGTTGTTGCGGCCGAGATCCGGAGCTTGTGTGATCCAATGGACAGCGCGAACCGCATCCAAAAGGTGTGATTTTGTCACGGAGAGGCGGCTAACAGTGCACTACCAGTGTGATCCAGGGCCTGTTTCATTGGCGATTGGCTTTTTTGGTCGTTGGGAGGTGAGATGGAAGTTGAGATCTGGCGATTCAGGGTTGTGATGAGCAGCCGCCGGGGATAGATGGCGAGAAAGAGTGGCTCCTCGTGCAGAGGAAGCAGTGTGGCTGGGATTTTTTTCTGTGGCGCACGAGGGGCTCACTAATGCACGGCGGCTGATGGGCGGGCGAATTCCTCATAGTTGTTGGGTTTGGTTTAATTCCGGCTGGTGATAACGATTCAGTATGTGAGACGACATTTAAGCGGACTTTATTCATACTTTGTTTTTATTTTTTGCTTTATTTTATTGTGTTTGTATCGAGATTTATACTCTGAGGCGTATGTTTCCAAAGATCTACGCAGGCATCCACTCACCAGGGAGCTAAAAACAGCTTACACAGAGAGAGTACTTGGCGGCTGTCTACGGTAAGTACAGAGGGGAGGGACATTGACAACTCTCAAATGGGCGAAGTGGAACGGATAAAGACGACAAGGCATCATTATAAAGTAGAGGAAAGGCAGACACAGCGCAATATAAAATCTAGTTACGATGAGGGATTGAATATTTAAACGTCGCCGCTCTTCAAATCAGACATGCATCTACTGTACCTGCGCCAGCCTTTTACTCCCATTTTCAGTGGGTAGACCGCCGCTAAAGCCCACTAACTGGTCCTCCCCCTGCTGGCAGCCAACGATGCAATGGCGCCATCGACGCTACCAGCAAAGCACGCCCTTGTCCGACTTCCCCGCGATTGTAGCTGCAGCATCTTTTACTAATGCACGAGCTCCTTACAAATCGAACTTGCCGTGCTCTATTCTCCGTCCCACCCACCATTTTCAGGCCGTAGTCTGCACTCTAATTCACGGGATAGCGTCATAATAGCCAAGTCCACGGCGCATAGGCCACTTAACCTGTCGATGGCGCAACCAGCTTCAGTAGTCCTTGATTTCAAATCTCCCTCCGCCCGCCGCCGGTTCCCCTCCCGTATCGGCTATATAAATAGCTTCAAGTTTCCCGCCTACAGCTTGCTCAGTTTTACCTATCAATGTAATAGATAAGTTTAAATACATTTATTTTGACTTCATTCTCATTCTCAACAACACTACCCAGCCCTGCTCCCAAATATATCGGTAACTGCTTACACCCTCCACAAACGCCGCCCTTTACAGCCACCACCCACGTATACACCATCTTTCCACCAAAAGCCAATACATCACCAGCGCAACAATGACTGCCGCAGTCCTCCCTCCTCGTGGTGATGTTATAGCCACTCTGAATTTCTACAGCCCCCCAGAGGACAACTCCAAGCCCTACAACAATGTCGACCCAAACCCTGGCCAGCCCCCGCGAAACTACGGCAGCGTCTCACATAACGCCACCATCCACGACATCCGCGGCCACGAGACGGAGTATTCGCTCGACAGGGACGCATTCCAGGTGCTTCTTAATGTTCCAGAGTCTGTTGAAAAGGAATTCGTTGACGAAGAGTCCATCAAGACAAACTACTACCCCGAGGTAGAGAAGCTGCTCTTGGACAACATCCCTGGCACCAACCGTGTCTACATCTTCGACCACACTATCCGCCGCTCTAGACCTGATGCTCCCCGTCAGCCAGTCAACCAGGTGCATATTGACCAAACGGCAAAATCTGTTGCGAAGCGTGTCCAGCGTTATTTCCCTGATGAGGCTGAGAAGCTTCTCCAAGGGCGCTACCGCATTGTCAATGTCTGGCGTCCGCTGAACAAGAAGCCGGTTGAAAGCAACCCGCTATCCTTCGCTTCAACTTCCTCCCTCCTGGATCAGGACGTTGTGCCCATCGAGCATCGCTATCAGAAGACAGGCTACGTTGGAGAGACAGCTGGCATCAAGCACAACAGCACGCAGAGGTGGCACTACATTAGCGGTATGACTGGCAGCGAGCGCCTGTTCCTCGAATGCTTCGATAGCGAGTCCCTCAAGGAAGGCTCCAAGATTGGTGGACGTGCTCCTCACACGGCCTTTGTTGACCCGCGCAGCCCTGCTGATGCTGAAGGCCGCGAGAGTATTGAGGTCCGCGCCTTGGTATTTGGCCCTTGATCAGCGACTAAATAAGAATGTGATTAGATGTAATTGGTAACGATGTAATGATATAATAAATCAAGAAATTGTCCAAAAGGCCGTCGTTCAGAGCAAAGAACACAATGTGTGTTAAATTCAATTCAAGTAAGAGTGAAACTCGTCTATAAAGAGCCATGGTTTCTTTTTCGTTCGTTATGAGACGCAAGGAAATATAAAATGAAACAGGCGGTAAAACAAAGACCAAAAGACCGGTTTCCCAAATAACAACATCAACGAAGAAAGGCTAGTAAACCGGGCGGGGGGTACGCATTCGAGAATCAGCATATTCATCGGTTCGAAAGCCCCCTCGCATAGGGTAAGAAATACAAACTCGAGACCTCGAAGGCTTTGCATACAGGAGATGAGGTTCCGAGGGGTAAATGCAAGACGTAGCCATATCATCAGAAAAAAAACATAAACACCTGGTCCATCCCAAGATGCAGTAGAAACCTCCAAAATCAAAGGAAAGAGAAAAAGCCATCCCTGCCTGATACGTGAAGTAACCAGCGCAGCGTTCCGTCAGGTACGACGCAGCAGAGGTCGCCAAATACAAGAAAATTATATCTCTTTTGTACAAATGTTGTTTCATCCTCGGCGGCCCTTGGCTCGAGAGCCGCCTGCTGCTCCCTGTCTACCACCTGTGCTGCTCTGGCGGCTCATGGGCACTGATGCAGAAGAGTACGATGCACCGCCGGGGCCGGAGCGAGGAGGGGTGACCTCATCTCTTAGATTGCTTGTAGTTGGGAGACCCAGAGCGTCGGCCACATTCTCGGGGTCGTCACGAGGAGCACCGGTAAAGGCAACGTATTTGCTTTGGTGGTACGGCACCGCAACAGCCTCAAGAACTTTGCGGAGACCGCTGGGGGCATCCAGGTGCGCGCCTGGCTTGTGCGTCTGGTCATACTGCTTGAAGAAACCAATAACAGACAGATCGGAGACGATATCGTCCTGAGATAGAGCAACGGGGAAGTTCTGGTCGGCTGTACGGGGGTATGGCTTCAGATACTGCTGAGGGACAGGTGGCGGCATTTTGGGTGGCTCCTGGGCGTGGATCATGTCGAGGTTTGCCGGCAGCTCAAAGTTCGCAATACCTTCAATGCCAAGGATCTTGTCCTCTACAAGGTTCTGTGTTGGGATACCGCGTGTGCTTCGTGTCGCATGCGAAGCGTTGCGCTCCATGGCTGGGGCCGACGGCACGGATTCCGAATCACCCTCGTCGCCATTGTTGGAATCGCTGTCCTCGGGGAGCACCGCTGTGCCATTAGCTTTGTTCCGCAGAATGAATCTATGGGCTGCCAAAGCGGCTGTGTTGTAGTGCAGCGACAACTCCTTGTCAGTGAAGAGCTTGTCGATTGTGTAGATAGGGCCATTCTGCTTGGCCGCCGTACGGGCTTTCTCGGACTGCCATAGCGGCGTCGTGCTGTTGGGATCGAGGCCACGCTTTGATTGAGCAGATGAGGACTCATCTTCGCCAGTGTTGCGCTTGCGCTTCTTGCCGTCAGGAAACATGGAAAGCTCTTCCGCGTCCTTGCGTAAGCGAGTAGCACGCTTGCCATGAGCACCTCCAGGGCTGCCAGGGTTCGTGAGACTAAATTGGTTCGGGTTCAGAAGCAACGCATTAGAGTCGTTGATTTCTAGGACTTCCTTCTCCCTATTAAGGCGGTTCTTCTTGTTCGTAAGGGTGTTGATCAATCGATCGCGCAGCGTGTTGGTCAGGGCTCGGTGTTCCCGTCTAGCAGTTTCGACTTTATATGCGTGCGTGTTCTTGTATTCCTGCACTTTTCGCTCGTATTCGTTCTATTCAGCCAAATATTAGTTGCTAGTTCAACGGACCGTTGTGTATATCGAATGACTCGGAGCGCGGGGCCAGCTAGTAACGTACCTTTGACTGTGCAAGCTGGAAGTCACGGAGTTCAATCAAATCCTCAAGATCGTCCAAAAACTCGGGGAACCGAATTCCAGCCATATCAATCATACTTCTAGCATTATCCGCGTTGACAAGTGGGCCGAGGACTTTCTCGTGTTCAGTGCGCAAGTCGGCGGCGATGTCCAGAGCGCTCGGGTCGTATGGGTCGAAGCGTTGAACAAGATTGAGTTCAAATTGAATCTTTTGCAGCTGATCACGGTAGGTGAGATCCTGCTCCTGCTTCAGCTTGTCACTCATCATTGTGAGGCGCTCCATTAGAGCTTGACGCTTGCGATCCCTCTTGGACTGGGATGCAGGAGCAGGAGATCGTCGGTCGGCACCTGAGCCTGAAGGCACCGCGGCACCGCTCGTAGCCATGTTTGATGGAGTATAATAGTATTCTTTCGTAGGTTATGCGCCGTCGGTAAGCGTGTATGCCGTAAATGTGAGTGCTTGGCTATGCTGAGGAGAAGCGCGAACGTAATCTTCCCAACGCAGGCGTGTTTGCCCAATCGTGGCCGATGCAACGAAGGCGATAGTAGGTAAACAAAGAAACAAAAATGGTAAAGTGTAAAAGTAGACGATGCAATCCAAAGCGCCGTAAACTTGGTCACGTCAACGTTCAAGGAGATTGACTGGAGGTTTAACAGATTTTGACTCTTGGACAAAGCTGCTCTTAGTCTTTCTGCCCCAGACGTGCCAGGCGATTCAGAGGCTGGGCTGTAGCCGTATTAGGTCACCTCACCGCCCGCGTCCAGGCGGGCCGCAGATTAACAACATCTGATTGGCTGGCATAGTTGGCCGTGGATCTTGGACACATATAGTAGCAATATTAATTGAACACTGTTTTCACACTGTATGTCCTTCAAGCATTATCGTTTTTGTGTTTTCTCCGGATTAATGGGCTGTGGAAATAGATCATCTTATTTCACACTCTTTGTTTGTAATCAGAGCCATGCTTCAGAACCCAAGTCAGAATTTTGATTTCCATATGTCCAGCCAGCGCGGCATTCCTCTCTTGCATCTATATGCATCATGAAGTTGTCATTATCATAGCTCTTTCGTCAGTTTGAAGATGCTTTTAAATCTATACTCCACCTCTAAGCTTTTGTAACTGGCTGATAAGTCCAAATCCTCCGGGAGGCGCCTTGCCCTCATCTGCACCTAATGCTGCTGGCGCTGGTGCTGAGGCCTTGGCCACTCTCGAGAAATCGGTCCTGTTCTCCTTCTTATTACCTTGGCTATATTCCTTCAAAAGTTCCTTATGTCTATCTTCCACCATTTTCGTCAGGCTTTCAATAAATTTCGCTCGGCCGTTTTCCTCGGCAGTATCCTTCCAGACGCGCGCCAAGGCGCTGAGCGCTTCCAATCTATTCGCAGCTTTCTCGACTCCTTCGATTGGATCTGGGCTTTTATAAAGCAAATCTGATATCTCCTCACGCAGCTTCTTAAGCACTTCTTGTCCTTTGTCCTCGGAACTCTGCTGCTCTGAGCCAGGCTCTGGTGCCGAAACGGACAGGAAAGACGATGTAACGGATACTTCAGACGGAGGGAATACAAAGTCCATGGCGTCACCAAATGTCTTGACAACAGTATCTATTCGCGAGCGGACGAGCGTAAGAGTTTTGAGCTGCTGAATGGGGAGCGGGTCAACGCTGTTGGTGTCATTTTCCGAGGTCGGGATCGGAAGGCCTTTGACATCTGATTTTTGGCCTCCATGTGAGTCCTCCGATATATCATGCTTCTCGTTACTCCCATGGAGCCCTTCAGGTATAAAAACTTCTATGTCGTCCTTGAGGGTCTCGTTTAGTGCCTCTGAAAGGCCAAGAGTTTCGCCTCGAAGCAATTCCACCTCGTACGCCAACCGGCTACCGCTCCGCAAGATATCGTCCGTGAGTTGTGTGAGTGTCTCTGACAATCTTGTAGTTTGGGCATTGACTTGTGAGAGCAATGTATTGGCTTGTTTGGATAACTCGATAAGAGGAACAGCTCCAGAGGCTGTTTGGCTTGTGCCAGACGCGGACTTCGTCGCTAGCTTCGGTAGTTTTGCGTTAAGATAGGATGCTGGGTTGAAGTATGGGTTGAGAAACTCTTTTAAAAACTCGTCGGAAGTATGCGTCGACTTTGGCTGGATATTTGCAGCTGCCTTTGATGCTGTTCGCGTGTGGTTGCTGAGGTGCGCTGAGCTGCCCGCTCTCCGGCGGCCGGTCTTCAAATCGGATGCCATTGCTGTAACAATATCGTTATGTTATTTTCCAGCGCAAAGCACCATAATTCGGTCGACTTTCAGCACTTCTCACTAAACGTCAGGCTGCTGAGGATGATGAAAGTAGGCCAGCGGTCCCTCTAAACCCCACGTTGACGTCGGTGGGCTGCGCCGCTGTCGCCGAAAATGACCCGGCTCACTGACGCCCTATGGATGGACATGTCTCTTTCTGACACAAGCACCGTTCCACCAATCTCCCACCTTTCTGTTATTTGAACTGTAATAATAGTATCATGAGAAGAGAGACATGACAGACACAGTACCCGAAATGAAAGTCGATCCTGCCAGGGCCCAAGCCCTCATCTCCCAACTCACCAGCGTCCGAGACCGCATCGCGGCCGTAAGCGCTGGACGTGCTGTACGTATACCAACCAGATTCATGATTGCATAAAATGATGACATATAGATATCCCACTGCAATAATTATTGACATTTTCACACACAGGTCAGACTCGTTGCAGTATCAAAGCTCAAGCCCGCTAACGACATCCTCGCCCTTCACCAATCGCCAGCAAATCAGACACATTTTGGCGAAAACTATGCTCAAGAGCTAACACAAAAGGCAGAACTTCTGCCGAAAACTGTTCAATGGCACTTCATTGGTGGCTTACAGTCAGGTGAATCATATCCATCAGTCCAGACCAGACCGTACCAATTCGCCTACTGACAAATCGCCAGGGCATTGCAAGTCGCTAGCAAAGATTCCCAACTTGTTTTGCGTCTCAAGTGTTGATACCTCTAAAAAGGCTCAGCTTCTCAACAGCAATCGTGCCCCTCTTCTGGAATCAGATCCTTCTGTCCCCAAAATCTCTATACATGTTCAAGTTAACACCTCTGGAGAGGAAAGCAAGTCTGGTTGCTCGCCCGGTAAGGAAACAGTGGCCTTGTGCCGTGAGATTGTCGACAACTGCCCCAGCCTAAATCTACTCGGCCTTATGACCATTGGTGCTATTGCGCGAAGCAAGGCGACTACTCCAGAGAACGAGAATGAAGACTTTCTTCTGCTCAAAGAACAGCGAGACTTGGTTGCCAAGGAGCTTGGACTCTCTTCGGATGCCTTGGAACTCAGCATGGGCATGAGTGAGGATTTCGAGGGCGCTATTGCTTTGGGTAGCGGCGAAGTACGAGTAGGCAGCACCATCTTCGGTCAGAGACCTGCAAAGGCAGATGCCAAGCTCCTCGCTTGAGTTTATGTCCCGTCACAAAAGGTTATAAATAAAGATATTTCAAAAGTTGACGTTCTCTCTAGAAGTGCCATGATATCGTAGAAACTGTTTACTGAAGACATAATGCATTCCCTGCCTTGACTAGAATTTTCTTTCGCTATCATGTTTCCTTCCGTCCGTCGCGTCCCAAACGCCCGAATGCCATACATACGAAAGTGTTACATTTACAATATCAGCCTCTCCTACGACACCATAATGCTACCAAATGTCTGAGAAATATCATCCCGCGAGATCGTCTGTGGCAAGTCTTGATGTGTGTTGACTCCGTTTGAGAGTCGTTCCTGCATTAACTTCAACATGATAGATGGAACTGAATCATCTGTGACGCGAATAGTCAGGCGAATCATCTATAGATATTGTTAGCATCCTAAATATAGCAAGAATGTAGCTGACTGGGCTCACCTGATTAGCGTAGTTTGGCTCCAAGCGCATCAAGCATCCAAATTTTCCGCCAGCCGAAGTATGGAGAACGCTTGCACCAACAATGTTCTTTGGGTTAGGATCGACCATATCTAGAACTCTCCATCGGAACCCCTCAACAGTCTTTCGAACAAATGTTTCTGTAATCTCATGGCCCTTGGCTTTGGGGTTCAAGCCAAAAATGGCTTGTGCTTCTCGAGCTCCAGCACCAATCTGCTTCCATCTCTTGAAGAAGTCTTCTGCCGATAAATCGGCTGGGTCCATGAACTTGTGCAAAGCAACAGGGAGCTTCAGTGTAATTGCCTGCAGTGCACCAGCGAGATAACTGATACGAATTGTCGGACTTTTATCAAAGGCGCTCTTAGCCTCAAACATGATTACCTGTTGCGACTGACCTCCGTTCAAAAGACTGCTGTCTGGAAGTCCCTTAACATCCCACGACAGCTTGTCTTTCTCGCTCTCATCTAGGTCAAGCGTGGTAGTGAATGATGAGATGGGTCCTGGGTTCTTGTTCTTGAAATAAGCAATCAAACAAGCCATTTGTCCACGATATTCTGAACGGATGCCAATTTGAATCTGCGAATCTTCGTACAAGACACCCTCAGCGCGGAGAAGAAGCTTGTTATAGCCCTTCTCCCATCCGGGAGAAAGATGCGCAGCGCTCGCAAGGTTAGGTGCCTTGGCTGTTCTTGAGTCGGCGCTGCCTGCTCCCAGATCGAGACCGTCTAGATCGGAGATTCCACTCGTCTTGCCGTTGGCAGCTCCTCCGTTAAGAGCCGTACCTGAACTGAATGACCTCTTAAGAGTGGGCTTTGCCATACCAAGTTCTGTGCCATCAGCATTTGCAGTCTTGCCTCCGACAACCCAAGTAAGTCGATCACTCGTGTTGGCATGTTTTTGGTGCAGTCTTGACAAAAGTGCTGATTCTCGCTCAGGGAAAGGTGGCATTTCATCGCAGACAGTTCTCAGCAGATCATCCGTTGGTAGCCTTGCGAGTGCCAGAAACTCGCAAGCACGCTGTTGCATTTCTGGGTCCAGAGTAAAGCTATAGACTTCAAAGACTCGTAACAGTTGCGGCTTGATCTCGGGGAACAGGTTTACAAATTTGATGAAACAGGAGAGAATCATAGCTCGTGTGCTCGCAGAGCTACCAGCAAGTTTGTTCTGCAGGGCCATGAATTGTTCAACAGGGCTACAACTTGGTTGCTCAGCAATAAGATGGCCGAATTCGCCGAGAATGTACGCCCCGATCTTGACAAGAGTTTCGTGACAATGGTCCGATTTGACATGTTTCAGAGTGTTTTGCGCAGCGTAAACTTGTAGCTCTTCGTTATTTGTGACGATTTGAATGACACGCTGCCAAACCTCATCGCTGACATGATCACCAGCAATGGCAATCAGTCTCAAGGAGATATCCACATACCATTGAACATCAGTGGCATACTTTTCTGTCAAAATGGCAATCTTGAGTACCATTTCCTCTCGAATACCAAAGTCGGCATTTTGGAGATGATGCAAAAGTTCAGCGACAATGACACGAGCATTAGTAGAGTCGCACATGCTGTACAACAGATCAAGACCCTTGCGTCTGACACTGATGTCTCGGTCCTTCAGGGACCCGATAATGATGTCTTGATGTTGCTTAATAGGTTGCAGGGTCTCTGTGCGAGCTGCCAAATGTGTCATGGCCTCGAGTCCTAGATAGCGGACGTTCGTCTCTCGACTCTGGATAAAGCGGCCAAGACGCGTGCATACTTGATCCATAAGATCATGTTCCGTATCTAGGTGAATAATAAGATTGATAGCTTCGAAGAGAACGGCATTTTGCGCATTATTCTGTTGCACGTTTTTACCGGATTCCATAGCTTGGTTCAATATCTTTTGCAAAGATTCTCGAATCATAGATCGAACATGCGTATCATCTATAAACATTAGCTTGGATCAAACCCGCTTTGGTAGGGTCATTTACCAGACGGCGCAAAGTATTGCAACAAACGTAAAAGCTTGATTTGCAGCCAGGGGCAAGGCACCTTGTAATACAGATAATCGGCCGTGTATTCTGCATCAATCACGATGCGCTTCAGTCTTGCGGCAGCCTTCGCATATGCTCCCTTGTATAAATCGAGGTTGTCTTGGGCTATCGTCATAACCAAGGAAGTAACAGACAGCGCAACGCCTACATCGTTTTCATCCATCAGATGGATGATGCGGTCTGCCCACTGTGGTGATACGATATCAGGATGCTTTCGGTAGAGACGCAGTAGTGTTAATGCAGCCTTCTTCTTAACAAAAGATTTGGACGTTCTAGTTTATAATGTTAGCGATTGAAAGACAGTAGGCAGCTATGCATACATACGGTCCAATAAGAAGGCGGTGGACATCAGGGCTGAGCGCTTCACCCATTTCACGTCCGCCGACATTTGCAATTGCATGAAGAGCCAAGCAATTAAAGAGCTCGTTGTTGTCCAACAGATCCTTTCTAATGCTGTTTACAACCAAGTGCAACAGTTCGTGCTTCTCATGAAGAAAGAGCGTAACTGCGAGATAGCCAATTTGTTTCTCAGAATATTTGGTAGCAGAGATCAAATTAACAGCTTCAAGGTGTCCGAAGTCAACATCCCAGCCCAGGATATAGATATAAAGCAGCTTGCAGACGTATTTCTTCTTGTGATAGCCGCTCAGGTTGCCGTCTTTGAACTTGTGTCGAATGTTGGCAAGCTCCTTATTAATGCGCTTCTCTTCAAGCTCTCTTGCGCGAGCATTTCTTAAATCAGCAATAAACTGAACCAAACCGCGCATATTGGCATTGCTGGAGCTGGAACGGCCGAGGAAGCCGCCGCCGCTCGACATGGTGGCGGTGTCTCGTGGGGGGTAGTTTCGTTCGGGATAAATGGGAGTCGCCCGGTTAGGTGTTTTGCAGCAATACTAATCGTCAAGCATGCATATGTCAACCTTCCATCCTATGAATCTATGGCGAAAAGATGTACAGCCAGGCGTCAGCTCAGGCAATATTGCTTGGTAGATAGACTCGGGGAGCCCCTGGAAAGCGTGTGGGTATCGTTGGGTCGTAGTGCGTCAGGGCAAGCTCTTCAGGCGGGGGACAGTTGAAGTATGCGACGGTTAGTTCGACTCGGATACAGCGGCAAAGATGTATGTTCAGCTGTCGATGCAAAGGATACGCTGTTGTAGAGTGGAAAGAAAAAGATGCGGTGGCGGCTCGAGAGTTGTCTGTCTTCAGCACAGTGGTGGTAGGGGCCAAAGTACGTACCCGCCCGCCGACAACTGCTGGTGATTGGCCCGTGCACATAACCTCTCCAGGTGCGGACCGCCAACGTCCAGAGTCTAGCAATATTTCTTCATCAAGCGTTTGCGCCGTTCGCTGCCATATTCGGAGACAATGCATCAGTGCGCCGGGCGAATCCTCGCGCCTCTAAGATCATCCATCACAGTCAACACGCAAGCACCGTGTTTGCGCTCCCTGCCAGCGGCGCAAAGATCCTACGCCGTCACCTCGTCTGCCGCCCCGCGATTCCAGGTCTTTAACCCGAGGACGAAATGGTTACAAAAAGAACGAGCCGGCGCCAATGTAGAAGAGGGACGTCAGACAGACTATTTGAAGGATGAAGTTGCTATTAGGTTATCGGAGAGACTGCTCGTAGGTAGCTTTGTGTGCCGGTCATGTCCAACTCTAACCAAGCTCCCCTAGGACGTCAATCGACACTTTCCACGCGTTTTAGACGTAGGAGCGAACTCATGCAACATCGCAAGAGCCCTCACACGCCTTAATCCCGATCCCGACCCCGCGAAGACCGACTCACCACCACTGTCCAATAAAATAGGGGAGCTTGTCGCTGCAGACTCTTCAGAGACCCTGCTCTATCGAGACGCTGGTTTGGATTTCAACAAACAACTCAAAATTACACGACACGTATTAAGCGATGAGGAGACGCTACCGTTTGAGCCTGCATCTTTTGATCTCGTTATGAGCTCTCTGAGCATGCATTGGATCAATGACTTGCCCGGTATCTTGTCGCAGATCAACAACGTTTTAAAGCCAGACTGTGCCTTTATCGGGGCCATGTTAGGCGGCGACTCGCTTTTTGAGCTTCGTACTTCTCTGCAGTTGGCAGATTTGGAACGTAAAGGTGGAATATCGCCGCACGTATCGCCGCTCGCAGACGTGCGTGACGTCGGAGGTCTCCTACAAAAGGCGGGATTCAAGATGCTTACAGTAGATGTCGACGACATTATCGTCGATTATCCAGATACCTTTGCTCTTATGCAGGATTTACAGGCAATGGGCGAGAGCAACGCTATCCTAGGTCGAGAAATGGGCCCGATTGGTCGTGACATTCTGCTAGCAAACGACGCCATCTACCGCCAGCTTCACGGGAATGAGGATGGCACGATACCGGCTACGTTTAGAATTATTTACATGATTGGCTGGCGTGAGGGAGCCAATCAGCCGCAACCTCTGGCTAGAGGTAGCGGTCAGACCAACCTGAAGGATATTCTTGAACAACAATAGATGTAAAGTAGAACTGTATCATATCATGTACAATATTGCCCTTCTGGGCCAGGCATTATCAGAAAAGTAATATATTTCGTTGGATGTTAAATTTTATTTGAATTCGTAGAAAGTTTAGTATGCTCTGTCAAGACTGACAATACTCTATACCCGGCGCCAATCCGTCATGGTGCGACCAATACAGCCTAATCCAGCAACCTCTACCAACTTTTCGTGCCAGCTAAGCAGAACGCTCATTGCAGATGATGCTGATTCGTTTGAGGCACCCGGTCGCGATCCAATTTGGCTAAAACCACCAGTAGATTGAGGGGTAACCTTTGACGGGGACTTGAGGCCGGGGGCGGCGTGGCTGGACATGCCCTTATAGCTATGCGACTGTTAGAAAAGAAGCTTTGACGCTGTATTCTGCATAACGTGATCTTCAGCCTTACATGTACTTCATTAGGACGTCGAGGCATTCGCTGCCACCCTCCGATTCGTAAATACGCTTCAGCAACGGCGACATGTCGCTGGCCTTGATCGACTGTAGAACCTCGGTGATAGTGTGTAGATGCGCCTCCTATTTAACACAAGTACGTTAGCATTATAAAGCTTTCCGTTTATTAGCTCGTCAGTACCTTTGCAGCGTCTGTTCCGTTATACACAGGCGTTTCGAGGCAACCACGGAGAGCACCCTCGGTATCGCCGCCACGGAGCAATTGGCGCACCTGTCCGGCAATGCCGCGGACGTCGGCTTCAGAGAGCTCGGGCTGTGGAGGGTGAAGTGTAGAAGTGTCGAAGTTAACGCTGGAATCTTCTGTCAGCGCATCGATGTTAATCGTGCGCCATGAGTCGCCCAGCGACGCGCTGGTGTGCTGTTGGATAATCGACATGTTGACCGATAAATTGTCCTTCTCGATCGGGTCACAGCTTCTAAGATTTGGGTTTTGGTTTTTTATCGGCTTTCGTTATTCGATCTGATCCAACTAGAAGCTACCGGGAGCTGTTATGGACAGTGACGGGCCAGAGTTCGTGATGGTAGGAAGCTGCGTCATCTGTTGGTGGGGGAAGAGAGGCTGAGGTGGGAGCTGGCGTGTGGGGTTCATTGCATGTTAGTGGTATACATTTGTTTGTTGCAATTAGCTACGTGCAGGCATGTACCCCATTATCCACTGTGACTAAACATAGCTTTTCTTCTCTATATTAAATTTATAAAAAATGTTATTATGTCTAATTATTATAATTTATATACAGCAATATCTCATTTTGAGGGGTTATGGATGGTTTGTGGTGGTTGGGCCTGTTTCATTTAGTCCGTACACATTGGTCGTTGATGGTAGAAGTAAATGCATTACATTCTCATCAACACATCCACAACAAGATAATGGCTCAAACATTTGCGAATAGACACGATATCACATTAAAGGCCGATACCAAACACACGAGATATATCAAGAATAATGTCACTGGAAAAATCAGTCCCATGAAAGGCATGAATCACGTATTCCCCTTCACATACACAACTACCCTATACGCGGACCTAGCTCTCAAACTACTCGCTGTTTCGGAGCAACGTATGTACCACAGAAAGCATTTACCAGGCAGATAGTCTCCTTCGCAGGCGACTATTGCTCTTTCGCCACTACAATTACGGGGAGCATGCGGCCCGTTGCGTTTACCATCCGCTAGTACGTCCCACCCTACCGCTCAGCGCAGTTTCAGGTTCATGGGATAGCCTGCTTTGACAGAGCACAGTGGAAAGGGGAGAGCAGCCTGGATCCGTTCAACAGCCACCTCCAGAACGCGGGAGTCGATAACGTGAGCCCCTGCGCAGCTTGCTTCGGCAGTAAGGTTGCACTATAATCCACTTGCCGCTGCGTCCTACGCATGTCGCCATGTCATGGACCCTGGGGGTAGAAGAATTTGGCTGGGGGACGGACGCTAACAGAGCAAAATTTTCTTCTTGACTGGTTGTGCAAATTAGTTGATTATTGCAGTGGGCAGCCCCCTGGCAAACGGATGGCTTCCGCGCCGCGACGCCCTGCGATCCAACATTGGCACTGCCTCAACCACTTTAGCGGCGTTTCGCGGGATCTTCTGGAAGCTAGCAAGCGTCTTCGTCCGCCGCGTTGGCTGGCCGTCGCATTTCGGGACTCCTAAAGACGGGCGTGGAGGCGAGGGAGACTGTCGGATACCACAAGATGCCACCCGCGACGTGATGTCTGCATCTCGCCACTTGATACAAGAACGGCCCGCGCTACAGAGGTTTGGTGCGGCCGACTGCTGCAAAAACACAAGTACCTTTTGGAAAAGGGGCGCCAAAAGCCACTGTTCTACAGAGGAAACGCCTTCTAGAAGCTTGGCAGGAACGTTCCGAGGGTATGGAACCGAAGAATTTTGGCGCTGCATGAAAACTGGCGCCACCGCAGGTCGCTCAGGGGCATTGCTGATGTCATTGTACCTGCACCCCAGACGAACCACTTCATGCAGCATTTTGCTTTCTGGATCGGAGATGCCTTTTTCTTGCACGACTCTTCCAGTAATAATATATCACACTACCAAGATGATGCATAAAGGGACAAAATAAGATAGCTGGTCTCCTTGCTAAGTCAGGGAGGCTTCCCGTCCCGCCGCGGAATGTATCCCCGGGACAGGGCTTGCTGAAGCGACACCCTGAATCGCACGCAGGCTGGTTGGGCCTTGCAGGTAGCGACCCAGCAACGGGAATAATAATGCTGGTATTAAACGGTACCAGAGTGTACTGTAAAACATACTGCATTGAATCATGTCCGCATTACATGGTGGTTGGTCCGAGACACGCCGGCAAACCACGTTGGACATGCATACCCGGAATTTGCCACTGTGTCGCGAGACCCGAAGGGCTGGGATATCAAGCGAATAGAAAAAAAAAACCCGCAATCTATTTTATATCGGAAAGCGTTGACCATCGCTGAACAATGGTTGTGCGACTGCGGCTGTTCCCGGTTAAGATGTCGCCTACCGAGGCACTTGATCGTATTCACGTGCGAGTGGGAGTTGTTGTCGAGATAGATTCCCGTAGGACGAGGACAAAGCACTGTACGTGTAATAAACGATGGCTGTAAAAGGACGACGACATTTTTGTATGACTATGGGCTTGTTCACTCAATGCAGAAATCGCCTCCTATTAGCGCGTTTACAGGGCCGCTTCAGGGTGCACCAGTGCTTCCGTGATTGTTAAGGTTCTAGAAGCCGTTGAGAATAATGTGTCAAGCATTAATATGGAGAGCCATACAGCAACACCCTCCTTGTCTCCGAAGAAAAAAAAAAGGTCCCTTTTTTCATTCATGTAGCACAGGGCAGCCCGTAAACGTTGCAAAGAACCTCTCACCCCTGTTTCAAGTGTAATTTGCAGACTGGGGAAAAGCCTTACCGGAAATGGCCTAATCCAGGTACAGACACTACCAAAGAGGGCAGCTCCCTATCCACAGTGGAGGCACAGGCTGGTTTGCTTGATTACACATTTCCGCGGTGCCCCCCCTCAAGTGTTTCTCAACAGTCTTTGTCGTGTTCATTTACGAGCAGAGAAGTTACCTTGGTGCGGGCTGGGTGTACTTTTGGCGCTGGAAATCATTGTATGCCATCAAGCGCCCGTGTGTTGGATACAAACCTTTCAGGGCTTTGGAAGCCACAATAGCGCTGTGACCAGCCTTGTTTGTATGCAAGCCGCAATTGCCCCAATGCGCCAAGTGCAAGGAGTAATGCCTAAATTGGACAAACAGCGATGCAGACCATCTAGCGGCTGGTGGGTTAACAGCAAAGGCCTGGTGGCGGAACGGCTTCTAGAAGGCCCACAGAACACGGCGGCCGCAAGCCATGTATGGCGGCTGACACAGATATGAGGCAATAGTCGCATTAAACCACTACTGCTGACAAGAAACGACTAATACAAACAAATGATGTAAAGGTGCGTCAGGTGTATGTGCAACAACTGTTAATGGGTGTAAGGCTGCATATGAAGCTCGTTCCATCACCTAAGGCTTCGTCTGTCACGGGGGCGGCCGTTGACACTGCATAACCTCTCTAGAGTCTGCCTTGAGTGACGGCGACGAGCCTCGCAAAGTGTAAGCCATGTATAATTTATAGAAGCATGAGTTATAATTCCCACAGCCGGTACTATTGATAGACAGCCTCTAAGGCTTCAGCCTTGAACCCTCGTATCTGCTGGCACGGCACAGCCGCAGTTGCATCAGGCTTGGTATGCAACTTGGCTACTGGCGCCGGTTTGTGCAGCTGGGCAGCAGTATATCTACGCTTGCCACGGATGCAGCGGGTGTTACAATGATGCATGTGGCAAATTCCAAGTTTGCTTACCCTCGATGTCTTCAGTGTGACCGGCTCATCCCACTGCTCGGGCGCCATAGTATTACGTGTCGATGGGTTCAGTCAGGCGACGGTGCAGAGCCTGTTAGAACCAAGAATACAACCACACGGCCTGCTATCATGGCATACAACCATATCTTAATATTGGGACACCTATCTCGATAGACGAACGGCTGTTGTGACCAAAGAATAGCGTGGTCCATCCGAGACGTTGCGTCTACAGTATCCAGAACCAGCCCTACCACTCTGGGGGGGCACTGGGGCTAGGTGCTGGGAGGGGTGCTATTCCTTCAGCAACAGCCTCGAGTAGCACAGCAGTCTGTAGCCCACCCGCTTCAATAGGCAACTTTTTTTTATGTATACCAGTTTGTTGTATGCACACACTCTAGGCACTAAGTGGCTGGTGGCTGTAGATTTGGATCAAACACGGCCAAGTTTGACAAACTGGGCCGTGTCGGTTTGAGATTTTCCCCGGAACAACGTTTAAGAAACTCATGGATACGGCAGCCAAGGACAACAAGAGTCAGAAGGGGAAAGAGGAGGCTTAGCGCAAGTAATCCGAATAATGATGCCCGACCTTGTGGCAGTCCTAGCGTCTGAGATGGTGGTGTCCTCGCACACCAGCGCTCAAAGTCGCCATCTTGCGCCAGTCAAGTATGTCTCTGTACGAGTACGGGTAGCCTTTTGGGATCAAACCTCCGCCCGGATGTCGCTTCCGGGGGCCCATCAGCACTTGTAAGGTTGGCTTCTCGCAGCTTTAGCGGCACTTTGCGCTGCCTGCCCGCTTCCACTTCTCCCCTTGTCCCAGGTGCGACCAGATTGATTTCTCCACGGATGGCAAAGTAAGTACTGTAAGTACAGTACGACAGCGATCCGCAAAGGAGAAGATGTGCCAAAGAAAAGAACAAATAGCAAAGCGACAACAAGAGGCGGCATCATCTCTCTCTCCGCGCGATGGGCTGCCTAGGGCCGTCCCGAGCAAACAAAATAAGCAAAAAAGGATCCTTGGCCATTAGGTAGAGAAAAGAAGAAACAAAAAAGCAAAGCGAAAGCCGACAAATAAAATAAACGCCCCCCCGTCAGGCACCAAAGCACCGGCGCTGGCTGCATTGGGGGAGGGGCTGGCTGGCTGGCTGGCTGGCAACAGACGCAATGTCCACTGGCCAGGCCGGCGAGGTAGCTCTTGTAACCCAGAAGGTAGCGGTGGTACAACTGGGTGTTACGGCAGCCTACCCGGCGCTGGCTCAGAGGTGCCGCGGCGACAGCCCACATACCTAACGAACGGCGAACCCAGCTACTTGGGCACTCGGATCACCACCCTCGAGCCCGCTAGCGACCCAGCTCCACCAGGCAAAAAGGCTGTTGGGGTACCTTTTGACGCCCGGCCAAGTCCCCTCTGGGCGCCGGGTTGGGCCCAATGCGCGCCACGTTCCTGGACGACGGTACCCTCGTACGCTGGGGGACGCTTTCGCGGCGGCCTAGTGTACGCCACATCATGACAGTTTCGGGTTGGTAAGGGCGAAATGGGCAT